TTTCTTTTGGTGGTAAACTGTTACTAAATCCAGTGATAAACTTGTGATTGGAAAGCTTTGGATAACTTCCTCCAGCGACTTATAATTAACTATATTATTATCTTGTTGTGGTTGTTGTTGTTTGTGTTGCTGCTGTTGTTCATCGAATTCCCTTATGACTCGAGCGAATTCATGGATAAAGTAATATGAGAAACTCATTCGATCTTTTTCATCTTCGAGCTCAGCTTTCTTTTGGAAATAAATACCAACTAATTCCCACGAATAGCTGGTAATTGGAAAATTATCTAATCTTTAAGTTGTTGTGTCATATGCATGATTTATTTAATTTATAAAAATAATGAAATATATATATTATTTAAATATTTTATTCAATGAATACAACAAGTTGATATTTAAAATTAAAACAAAGTAATTTTTACTTAAAACTTTCAATTTATTTGTTAAAAGTATAAAAAGATACTTTATTTAATTCTTAAAACTAGAAAATAATCAAAATAAAAGTGTACATTCGTTTATTTTTAATTAAAGTTAATTAATGTTTCACCTTAACTGAACTTCAAAAAATAAAAAACATACTAATAGTAATCTTTAGATGAGTGTGATAATAGAATATCTTGATAATCATAATAATAATGTAATACAGATAAGATAAGAAAAAAGTTTAATCATTCAACTTGGTTTTATTCAATTGAAGAGTACAAACTATCAATACTTACAATTTTGGAAATACCAATTATCAATCTTATAAGAGCAAAATCATTACCAGCATCTCTCAAACTATTGAAAATCTCCAATTCATATTGTACAAAGCTACCTTTTAATTCGATTCCTATGACCTATACCACTAAAAATAACAAAAATAACCATAATAACAATAGTTTTACATTTTAATCAAGGTGGAATGATCAACTTACTCACTTGATTGGGACCAAGACAAGACGATATAAAACTATTGTTTCCAATTCTTCAAAGTGTAGATTTTACATTAATATTAATAATAATAACAGTTTTAATATCAATCAATTTCAATCAAGGTGGAATCATCAACTCAACTGAACAACTACAAAAATTGATACAGTAATCTTATGAAATAGATATTACAAATAAATAATGAAAAACTAAATACAAAACAAAACTGGCTCTTGCTTGTAACCATAAATAGAATAATAAAACAAAAACAGCCACAACCACTATCATTGTAAAAAATTTTATTTGGTTTTTTTTTTCACGAAAATGGCTATAGATAATAATAATAATAGTTATAAAATAGTTCATTTATCACATTTATTATTGAATAATATTACTAGATATCTTGATAATGTAGATAATATTAGATTCTCATTTGTTTGTAAAAGATGGTATCATGAAAGAGAATCTTATTTGTTCTTTACTAGTGATGCTGATGTTGATTATTTTAACTTTTATAAAGAAGTTCAACTAAAGTCATTTAAATCAATTAAAATACATAATAATCTAAAATATAAAACATTATTTATATTTAATAAAAAAAGTCACTTTGATAGGTACGACAAATCACCGTATAATAATAACAATCGGTATGTATATTTGTTTGTTTAAATTATTACTACTTTTAAATATATATATTGAAATGACTTGTTAATAGATTAAATTTGTAAATATATAGATCGAATTTTTAGAGGGAAGTGTTACCTACAATGATATTGATCAAGTACATTTAAAGTTATCTCAGGGTAGTATGGATATTTTAAAGTTCAAAGATCAACTTGAGAGATTAGCAGTGAAAAAGTTGGCTCTTCCACCGACAATTCAACGTTTTACACATGGTAGTTTACCATCGAATTTGAAAGAGCTTAGATTATTTAATTATCAGTTTCCCTTTGGAAGAGTGGAGATCTTCCTTCTTCGTTAAAGTATCTATCTTTAGATGATTATTCATCATCATTGTCTGTTGGTTCACTACCGCCACAACTTGAACACCTACATATTGTAACCTATAGAAATGTAATAGAATTGGCAAATGACAGTGTACTGCCAAGAACATTGACAACAATAGAGAACTGTCCTTCTCAATGGTTCAAGATTCTAAGAAATCTACCATTACTTACAACTCTTACCTCGGATTGCAATATACCGTTTGGCTATTTGGAAGCAGGTGATCTTCCACAGTCATTGACAAGATTGGAACTACATAAGTCAACTACCAAATTTAAGCCTGGAGTAATACCATCTTCGATCAAATATCTATTTCTAAATACATTGGATCTGTCCTCAGAGGTGTTACCAAAAGATGCACACTTTGATTATCTTGGATTTTCTGATACTACATCACCTATTCTTCCTGGTCAGTTACCACCAAACATCATTGAGCTTGAAATATTTAAATATAGTAAACTTCTTGTTCCTGGATCACTGCCATTTGGAATCGTAACATTGAAATTTCCCTGTCTAGATGCCAAGTTTCTCATTGAAGGAGTGATTCCATCCTCCACCAAAACACTTCAACTTTTTAATTACAACACCCTCCAGCACACTCCATTTGACATTGCATCGATACCAAACTCAGTTGAACACCTAATTCTTGGCACCGATGAAGTGGACGTAGATCTCCCAAATCTTCCTGATTCCATCAAAACATTAGAATGTAGAAGACACCTTCTCAAGAAATACAATATTGAATCACTCAAACCATCGATCACAACCATAAAGATGATAGAGGTTAAAGCTGCTTATTTCTATCGAATTGATCCAAGTTATTTTATAGCAAGAACATCATCAGATTTCATATTGATCAAATCAAAAGCTTCTAATAATATTGTAAAAAAACTACGTTCTAAAATAAAAGTTATATAACTCTGAATTAGTGGAATATTATTTTTTTGCACACCTCCGAATGATCTGATGTTTGAATGTTTGATTCATTTAAATCACTCATTTCTCTTTATTCACTTTGACCTATATATATGTGTTATCATCCTACCTCCATAAATACCACCTTTTCTTAGTCCATGACTATGATTATATTCACTTTATATATGTGACTATCTCAATTTCTATCTTTATATCTGTGTTTTATTAGTACATGCTCAATCCACGCCACCCTTTTGAATCTCTATTTAAATATCATTTTTACATCATATAAATGACATTTCATTCTTATTTACACTCTATATATTGTTATCTGTGATATTACTACTTACAATTAGTTAACCAAAACCAATCCTTTTTGTTTTAATGGCTAAACTTTTTTGATCAATCTCCTTACTCTTTTTTTACTTTGTTTTACTTGACAATATGAGCAAAACATCTAAATACAACGTAAAACAATATAGGTATATTTATTTTTTGAAACAAATAATTGTTGTTTAAAATTGGGTGGGTCCCATATTAACCCCTATAAAAATTTTCACTTGTGATTGTTGTTGTGCTGTGGATTCGTGCTTGCCTGGTCGAAGTGAAATTGGACATCAATATTCCAGATACGCAAAAGTAACCAGACACCATTGAAGAATACTAAACTACCTATAGTCTTTTCAGTGCACTTTGTAATATCATCAGATACATCTGATTCATTTTAGAAAAATTATTTGTATTCCAACAATTATATTACCACAATTAAATATTTACCAATAATCAAGCAAATCTTACAATTTGTTTAACCACTAACAATATACATCAATAAATAAAATCTTTACTAAAATTATATTTGATTTTAAATTATCTTTAACCTTGAACTCCTACAAACTCTTTCTCTACCTAAACCAAACATGAGTAGTATTTATAAATTATAAATTGGGTATCTATATATATGTATTGGAGATGTTATAAAATAAATCAGTTGCTTATTGCTTTATTTTCTTGTAGTTTTTCAATATTTTCAGATTTAATAAATGATACACTGGATGTATTCTTAAGAATGAAACTCTAATGATCGATACGATATAGATATTTATATCTATATTTACTAGTTGATTTAATAGTTCCAAGTATGATGCAAGTGATAGTTGATCTGTATGAATCTATTCCATATCTAATTATATCTTCTAATTTGATAGTTATCGTTCGAATTTAATCCGGAAGCATTGTTGGATCATAGTTAAAATAATCTCCAACAATGTTAGTGATTCAATGGAATTTGGAGGTGATTTCGAATCAAAAGTATCTTCATTTGGGTATATAATTTTACATTTGAAAAGATTTAGATCTTTTGTGGAGGAAGGAATGACACCTTCAATGATACTTTGGATTAATGAAGTAGAGTGATAATGATTCGATTCCAAATGGTAAACTTCCTGGAACAAGATGTATATCATATTTTTCAACTTGAGACTTTTGATATTTTAAAAAAGAATACGATTTGGTAAATCTAGATTTTCTAACAAAAATCAAAAGATAAATCATGATAAATTTATTGTTAGTTTTAAATTATATTAAATTAAAATGTTGTTGTATTAAGGGAATAAAAAAGGGATCCGCATGTGCGTCGATCGGAATGTGAATCTTTGAATACACTTTGCCATTTGTCGGATTCGATGGAATATCGATGATTTCCATAGTGCTTACCACCGAGAAGATAGATAAAACTGTGTGAAGGATCAACTTGATGGTATACCATCGAACAGAAATTCTTAAAGTGCAAATCCAAATGTTTAAGTTGTTTGATCTCCTTGGTGTCGATATTGATGGAGAAGAAACGTCGGTCATCCGAGTGTATGTAGATTTTTCCATTGCCATCGTGACAGTGAGCACTGGAATTGGCCAGCTCCTTTGACACCAGGAAGTCGGCGACACTACACCCGACAGGATCGAATGTGATTATCTTGTTGGTGTTATAGCCGACGGTGTAGAGCAGTCCTCGATAGAAGAACGAAAGCACCTGAGTTTTGGCGAGAGTTGGGTCGCGCACCTCGAAATACCTGATGAATTGCATGGTGTGTAGATTGAAGCGTGAGATCACCAGCGTCGATCGCTTGTACCCATTGAGCAGATAGATATTTTCGTAGCCATCGAAACACACGCTGATGTCTTTGCCACCTTCAATGCCAACGATGTCTCCTTCCATATCGATCGATTTCGACTTTATCGAGAATCGTTGGTATCTACTGCTAAAGTCATCGCCACCGAAAGTGTAGATACTATCGCCAACCACCACCATTGAGTTAAAGGTACAAGCACCGTGCGATCGGATATCCAGTAGTTCGACTTCAGTGTTTGTAAGATTATAGAGCATCGCTTCATTATCACAATCTACACTGAAAATGAATGACATTGAATGTTGGTGATGACCATTACCACTACCGCCACCACTACCACCAACAAATAAAGATTGTGATTGACTTAATGACAAACTAGACATTGACAAACTAGATCGTCTGTTGCTCGTTGAATTATTATTGGAATCTATCAAATTAATTGATAATGATATATTTTGTTTTATTTGATTTACCAATTGTTGATTAACAATTAATTTATAATTATAAAGTTGATTTGTTGTTGTTGTTGTTGTTGAATTTGATGTGGTTGTTGAAGTTGTGGTGTTTTACTTAATGTTTTTTCACCATTGAAATTGATTGAAGCAGATGATAATGAAAGTGCACTGAAAAAAGCTGATGATGACGTAGATGATAAAGATGATGAAGAGGATGATAATAAAGGTGAATGTGGTAGTGTTGCTGTTGCAGTTTGAACTGGGTTGTTAGGAACAATACCAAATTCATTATTAACCAAAATATTATTGGATTTAAACAGTTTATTATGTTGCTGAATTAATTGTAATATTTTAAAATCATCTTTATCATCTTGACTATTACCATTACTACTATCATTATTTCTATTATTGTTACTAAAATTAAAATTACCAAATAAATTCTGATTATTTTCATTTATAAACTGTTGAATTGATTTCGATCTTTGTATTGATTCGATAATCGATTGAATATCAGTTCGATCGAATAATTGTTTTTCTTCATCTTCTTGATTTTGTTTTGTTGTTTTATCAGTGCTATCGTTACTGTTGCTATTTGAAATGTTTATAATATTTACTAATGATTTCAATTCATTGATATCAAATTGTACTTTATCTCTAAGTGAATCTTTATCATCTAGTATCGGTATCTTTATTCTCTGTTCCTCTTGAGTGAGATAGTCGTGTAGTTGTCGGAAGTGCTCAGAGATCTCTTCATCTGTCTTTTGCAAACGTTGATATGATTCCGATCTCATTTTAGCAGTTGACCAAATTTCATTGATTCTCGAAAATAAGTAACTCTCATTTTGACTGTTCTGTTGTCGCTGTTTCTGTTGTTTTTGTTGTTGATCTACTATATTATTAATAATTATCAATGGATTACTAATACTACTATTATTACTATTTAAATTGTTGATAATATCATTTCTGTTGTTTAAAAGTGATTGTTTTATATTGAAAACATGTTCAAATTGATGTGTTCGATGATTTGTAATACATATGGAGCACAGTAACTTGTTACAATCATAACATATAAACTCTGTTTGTTTCTTATGTTCCAAACATAGTTGTTGTTCTTGTTTTACTCTTTCATACATATTAAGAAATAAATAAAATGTAATTGTTTTTTCAAAAAAAAAAAAAATGACCCATTCTCTAAAAAAAATTCTAAATCAGTTGTTGTGCCCATGTCATTGAACGACACATCTACTTTTTTTTTAAAAAATTGATTTTTCTTTTAAAAAATAAAAAACCTTAAATATTCTTTTAAAATTAATTAACTTTAATATTAAAATTAATCTATTTCAAATTCAAAACTATTGATTAATTTATTTCCTAATTTGTAAAAAATGATCTTCAAAAAATTAAAAAATGGGAAGTGTGTTGATAAAAACCCCATGTCCGAAATATTGATGACACATTTTTATGCGTCATACAATTGTTTTGAACACCAGCAGATATAAATAAGTGTTGTTGGAGTTTGAATTGATTTAATTAAAAAAAAAACCAAAAGTTTTACAATTAAATAATATTTTTAATATAAATTTTATCTATAAATATAAAATGGAAAATCATATCAATGATAAAAGATATTCTTTAGAAGATCTACCAGAGAATGTAGCTAAATTCTATAGATCCGTGCCATTTCCACATGACTATGCAACCAACTTTAAAAGTATAAAAGAATTCGCAAGACAATGTCAACTTTCACATTCAAAAACAATACTTATCACTGTATGTTAGTTTATATTGAAAAACAAAACAAAAATGTTTGTACATGTATGTTTTTGTTAATTTCTATATTTATATATATTTATATAATAGTCTGGAGGTACAATCGTACCAATAGAGAAAAACATGGTTAGATACTTGGATAACTTTAGTGGTGGAGGTAGAGGTGCTGCAACTGCTGAGTAATTATCACTATTATTATTTTTATTTTTAGAAATTCATCTTTGGTATTGTTCAAACAATTTTATATTTACAATCTTTATTGTTTACTGTTTATTTATCTCTCCCTTTTAGATACTTTTTAGAACATGGATATCATGTATTGTTCCTCTATAGAAAGAATTCATTGCAACCATTCATTAGACATCTGATGTTACATGACACCAACTTTTTTACATTCCTATCGTATAATCCTGAGCAACATCTAGCCTACGTAAGCGATACCTATAAAGAACAAGTATCTAATCTATTTATGAAATGGAAATCTGTAAGTAATCTAATTGACTCTATCTATTAAATCTATCTTTTAACTCTAATCTAATCTAACATCATTCTTCTTTAATAATAGTATATAGACTCTGGTAGACTTTTAAGAGTTCATTTCGAAACAGTTGGTGAATATCTTTATTATCTAAGAGCATCTACAATTGAACTATCGACACTAAAAAGAAATATGATTATATTTGCTGCTGCTGCTGTATCCGACTTCTATATCCCATTAGATCAAATGGTAAATATCATTATATATTATATGATATGATTATAAACTAGAAATTGTATATATTAATTGATCAATTTGTTGTTGCTTTTAGTCAGAACATAAGATTCAATCAAAGAATGAAGGATTAACAATTAATTTAGATCCAGTACCAAAGTTGTTAAAGTTGGTTGTCTCTGAGTGGGCACCCGATGCATATACAGTGTCATTCAAGTTGGAAACCGATATTAATATACTGGATGCCAAGTGTCAGACATCGTTGAACTCCTATCATCATCAATTGGTCATTGGTAATCTACTGTCGGACTATAAGAACTGGGTGGTATTCCACACACCCTCTAAACCGGCAATGTACATCAGAAAGACAGAACAGCAGATAAAAGATCATGTAGATATTGAACCGATGATTGGTGAACGTTTGAAAGATCTTCATAGAATCTATTGTGATCATCCACCTCATACAACTACTAATCATAATCATAATCATCATCAACAAAATTAAAAACAATAGAAAATAAATAACAACAACAACAATAACAACAATAACAACAATTAACAGTACATGAATAATAATAATTATTATTATTAAAAATGATGATATAAAGATCTTTAAACTTTGTATTTAATTTTCTTTTCTCTTTTTTTTTCTTTTTTGATAACCTCCTTCCATAAGAGATTTAAATAGTATCACTATTATTATATTATTATCTTTTAATATTATTATTATTATTATTATTATTTGTTTTACTTTTTTTATCATTTACTTATTGTTTGTTTACTTTTGCTTTTTCTTTTTTTAAGTTGTGTTTGTGTTAAGTTGTTGGAGTTTGGATTGGGAATGGGAATGGGGTTTGGAATATGAGGATAAAACTTGGAACTATTAATAACAATTGTTAGTATTTTACTTTGAACTGAGTGGATCTTCTGTATCGGCATCGAATTCATCGTAATCTGGTATATTCTCTGGAAGTGGAAGATCACCAAGTAACATATCCTTGATTTGCTTTACTTGTGCAACTGCCAACATCAATGAATCATGATTAATCAATGATGGACTAGTTTATATTGTAATATAAATAGATAGATATTAGTTAATTAACTACCGTTTAAATTAAATGTAAATAGAATAGAATTGTTATATATGTCATACTTTTCACTAAATCCAGCTTGTAAAGTCGGTACGATATCACCTAATGAATTACCGATGTACTTCTGGATGTTACGTAGTCTTTTGATCTCTTGATTGATCGCTGCCTTTGGTGTTATGGTAGATACTTTGGTGACGGCAACACTCGATCGTTTGCTCTCATAGTTGGAGCGTGCCGCTGACAGACTGACAGAGGTCGTCAAGAAACCGAGTGGCTCCATGTCTTTCTTGGCCGACTCGAACAGGTCGCTCGAACTGATATTAACCAAACGACTCTTGAGATCGGAGGAATTAGTTGATACGGTTGTAGCTGGTTTGGCAAAGAGCGATTCTCCATAGATCGAAGTGGTGGCACTCGAACTGATAACCTTTGGTGGTGGAGCGGTGGTGGTGGTGGTGGTGGTGGTGACCGGTGCAGACATCGGTGTAGTTGGCGCACTCTGACTCTGACTGACACCAACGATATTTGGTGTAGTTGCAGTCGATGAATAGGCAGAGGTTGACGATGAATATGAATAATTATTGGAAGTTCCTTTAGGTGAAGTACTGGTGATGCTCGTTGCTACCTTTGAAGTGGTACTGGCAATAGTACCAAGAGGATCATGCAACAACGCTGAAAACGGTGTAAATATATTCGATGGACTGTTCTTTCCGTGTTGCTCCGGTGATTTAAATTGATGGCTAGTTGGCAATGCACTTGTTCCATTACCAGCCACATTCTTCTGTTGATGTTGCTGCTGCTGCTTACTCGATGCCTTTTGATAGTTATAATTATTATTCATATTGAATGGACCGTGACTATCTTTAATTCTAAAGGCCTGGTTGATCAACAAATAAATATCTTCAACCGGTGGATATTTAAACAATCTTTTCAATACACCACTATTATCTTTTTGTAATACTATAATATCAAATATCAAACATTAATATATACACAATTAAAACTAAATAGATAATACATAAACATACATTGTTCTCTAATATAAACCAACATTGAAATTGATACGAAATCTATTAAAACTAAATCTTCACCATATGCAAATAATGAATCCCACATTTTCAATACATCTTCCAAATGAAATTCTCTTCCAAATAACAATCTAATCCAACGTCTATATTATAATAATATTATTAATATTAATCAGATTTATATTGTATTTAAATACATACAATAAATAGATTTGTGGTTCGATACCAAGAGATTCGAGATGTGCATGTAACTCTGGATCCTTTTGTCTAAGTAATTTGTTGATATTTTTACATTTCTGAACTGCTTCATTTATAACTACAGGTGTTGTTTCTTTCTTTTGTTCTTCATTCTATCAATATTATTATTATTATTAGAATGTTATTAATGAATATCGGAACTAAATCAATCATATGATATATATATGTTAACTTACTGTGTTTAAAATATTAAATGATGTTGTTAAAGATGATAATGTTTGTGAATTTGGATTTGAAGAAGTTGATGTTGATGTTGACGATGATGATTGTAATGAATTTGATAAGTTTGTAAATGATGTATTTGGTGTTGTTGATGTACTATTATTATTGCTGCTATTATTGGTTGTGGCTGTTGCTGTAGGTGATGATACATTTGGATTTGGCGTCACACCAAACCAATTGGATGCACGCTTCATCAGAGCTTCGAAAACGGTGAATAGATCGTGCTCCAAGAAGTTCCTATCATAGATTGTATCGATCAACGTTGGATTCTTCTCTGCGTCGTCACTCTTCTTAAACCTATCGACCTCACTAAAAAACAAATAGAGCATCGGTGCCAGCAACTCATGCATACCCTGTCTATATGATATCTGACTATTCGTCTTTGAATATATAAATAGTATTCTCAACATAATCTATACAAGTGTAGGAGTATAGTACAACCAATTAGTTACAATTCAGTGCAAGCAAAGCAAACAGAATAACAAGAAAAACAAACAAAACATACCTCTTTTGTTGTTTGATTTTGAAAGAATTCATTATCAGGATAAGTTCTCTCAATGTCTAATGTAATTGTCTTTTGTAACTCTCTATTTCTAAAGAATTTGTTCCATGGTGACTATAGAATATGTAAACAATATATAATTAGTTAGCTATAAACAAAAACATAACATAACTTAACATACATTTTCATCATTTGATAATGGATCGAATACAGCAGTCTCTTTTCTTGGATCTACATAGTGCTCTTCTAATAGCTTTGTGTAATGTGAACGTTGTAAAGTTATCTCTTGTTGCCATCTTTCAATTGCATCTACATTTAAACATCCTAAGAATATCTAAAAAGTTGTTGAATATGTTATGTTAGTTAATATGTTTTGGTATAATTGAAATGAATTGAAATGAGGTAATGATGTTTGTTGGTTTGTTGGTTTGTGATGATGACGATGATGATAAAAAACATACTCTCCATGCTAAACCACGAAGTGTTGAAGTTGCAAGTGCGCCGGTGTATGCATTATGTTTCAGTATCTCCAGTGGTGTCTTGTTGAGTGGTGCCACCGAGAAGAAGAGACTGTTGAACTCTACATTTACATCGGGAACATTCAATACACTCTTGGGTTCGTGTACCTCTGCTTCGATAACTCCGACTACAACGGTAGATTCATTCTCACTCGATGTAGTGGCATTATCCACCGACATTGTAAACTGTGAATTATTTGTATCCATGTATATATAATATATATTCTAACAGTTATTAAATATATCTATTCTAATTCTATTTTTCTACTAAATACTACTACTAATACTCTACTCTATTCTAACTCAACTCTACTCTATTCCACTATTATAATATTATATTACTCTATATTACTCCACTTAAAATTTTCAAACCAAACTTAAACTAATTTTACCACTTTTTCAAAAAAAAAAAAAAAAAAACAAACAAAAATGAATTTTACAAAAAAAAAATAAAGTTATTCAGAAAAGTATCGATAAATTTGATTACAATATGAATAAAGTTTTAGAACTAATGATATTTGTTGTGTATATATAAATAAAGTGCAAAGTTGAGAAGAGAAGCGTATACCAAATAGAAAAAAAAAAAAGTTAATTTTGAAAATTTTGTTGCAAACGAATTTTCTTTTTTTAATTTTTTTTTATATTATTTTTTTTCCCCTTTTCTGGTGGTAATAAACACCTAGGCACCCTCTTAAGAAATCAATCAAATAAAAAAGATATTTCATTTTTTGAAACTAAACAAACTTGATTAATTGCTTTTGAGTAAAGTTTTGCATTAGAAAATAATTTAATTTATGATATTTGTAAATAAATATCAAGTTTGTGTTTAAATCAAAAATGATCATTACATTTTAACTTTTCTTTTGAATTTTGCAAAGATTCAGTCCACCAAAGTTATTTATATGAAGTTCAGTAAAGTATCATTATGAAAAAAGTTGAGATTTTAAAGTAAAAAAAAAAATCTAAAAGTTTGATTATATTTTTGTTTTTTTTTAGCTTTTTTAAAAAAACATGTTTTGTGGTGTGTTTTTAGTTAAAATTCTGATCAACACCAGTTTTTTTACACGAGTGTACCCGGTGTTATCGTGAGACCTCGAGCTTTTAAATTAATTTTTAATTAAGCATTTTTCTTTGAGGCTGAAACTATTTTTTTGTTTACCACCAGTCGCTAAATTTTTTTGGTTTTTTCGTTCATCAGTTATTTTTAATATGTTATGATTAATATTTTTTTTGAGTCAAAACAAAACACTAAAAAAATAAATAAAAAAATTGTTATTTATATATTTATAAATACAAATCTGTTCTGTTAAAATATAAATATATAAAAAAAAAAAACAATCAACCAAGTCAATTGTTAATAGTTAGTTAATTAATAAAAGTTTGGAAATTTTTGTTTTTTTAAAATTGTTTTTTTTTGGTTATCAATATTTTATTTTCATTTTAATCTTTTTGACAAGATTTTTATATCTATAATAAAATTCAAATCAAATAAAATAAAATAGTAACTTTTAGATCCTTATCAAATCAAATTTTAACAAATATTATTATAATTATAAAAAAAAAACAAAAAAAAATTTACAAAAAAAAGATTTTCATATTTTTTTATTTTCCACTTACTCCACACACATTTTTTATTTTTAAAATTTTGTTCAGCACACAATCAATCCATCATATCCGTCAGCACCATCAGTCAGTTATTATTTTTATTTATATAAAATTATTTATATATAATTATATAATTATTATTTCTCTTTAATAGTAACTTTAAAGAGAGTTCCCTTTTTTCAAAGATTTTCGCTTAGAACTTTCAAAAGTTTAGATTTGGTTGAGTTGTTGTTAGTTATTTTCAAAATAACAACGACAGCAACGACAATAAAGAAAGGAAGCAACAATAGCATCATCAACATCAATCATAATCGTAGAAGAAGAAGAAGAGGAAGATATATAAACCCAACTATTAATTATTAATAAACAATATATATAATAATATTAATAGTTTAAAAAGTATATTTTTTGCAACATTATATATTTTATATATATAGAGTTGCTTACTTTTCGTTCCAATTCAAATTACAGCACAAACAAAACAACAATCCAAACAATTCAAACAAAACACAAATCACAATTACAACAACAACAACCGCAAAACAAAACAATTCACCTTATTTCACACTCTCTCTATTTTCCAACTTCACACACCTTTTTATTTTTTGTTTTTCTTTGTTTTTGTTTATCTCTCTCTTTCTCTCTCTTTTTCTTTCAATCAATCAATCAATAATCAGTCATTTAAAACAATCGTTTATTAATTAATTAAAAAAACAAAACAAAACAAAAAAAAAAGATATATATATAATTATCAATATTATATATATTCTCATAATTTTATTTTCATTTTATATAATATTCTTTTATTGATAAACAACCAAATTGTTTTATAAATATATTTTTTATTTTTATTTTTATTTTTAAATAATTATATTATTAAAAATAAAAATAGAAATATTAAATATTAAGAAAAGAGAATAAAACAAACCGAATTCAAGGAATGAGTAGAAGTAATAGTCCAAAGAATACAACTACAACTAATAAATTATCAAATAGTGGTAGTAATATTAATAATAATAATAACAATGGTAGCAACAACAGCAGTAGCAGTAACAGAAAGAAAAGAAACGAAGCTAATGGTATAGAGATTTTACAAACATCACCTGATAGTAACTCTATTTCACTATCAACAAGTAGTAACGGTACTATTACTACATCATCATCAAATAGCAACAATAATACCACTACAAATAACAAAGAAAAAGATAATAGTAATAATAAGGATAAAGATAATAAAGATAATAGTGGAAATAGTACATCATCATCATCATCAAATAAAAGATCATCGAGATCATCAAAAAGTAATGGTAGTAGCGATACTATGATGACTTCTACAACAACAACATCCTCTTCTTCTGGAAAGAATAGTAAATCATCGTCATCTTCATCATCATCAAAGAAAAAGTCATCATCATCATCATCATCAAATAGAAGTAGAAGTCATAGTAGAGGAAGAAGTAGAAGTAGAAGTAAGTCCGACACAAGCGGAAGTAGCAGACACGGAAGTGATGGTAGCGACAGAAGTCATAGCAGAGGAAGAAGTAAGAGTAAGAGTAGATCAAGAAGTAGAAGTAAGAGCAAGAATACACGATCGCGCAGTAGAAGTGGTGGAGAAACAACAACGACATCACACAGTAGTAGATCTTCACCGAGCCATCATTCATCGTCGTCACATCATCACCATCATCATAGTAGCAGTCACCATCACGGACATCACAGCCACGGACATCATGGACATGGACATCATCATCATCACCACCACAGCAGCAGCGGTCACCACAGCAAGAGTCGCAGTCGTAGTCGAAGTAGTCGTCGATCGAGTAAGAGTAGATCGAGCCGATCCAACAGCTCCAGCAGCAGTAGCAGCAGAAGTAGAAGTAGAAGTCGCAGCAGAAGTCACAGTAGTCGCGCCAGTCGCTCTCACGGCAACTCGAGAAGTCACAGTCGAAGTCGTAGTCGAAGTCGATCCAACAGCCGAAAGTCGAGAAGCAGAACCAGAAACAACAGTAGTAGCAGCAGCAGAAGTAGAAGTAGCAGTCGCAGCAGAAGTCACAGCAACAACAGCAGAAGTCGCGGAAGAAGCAAGAGTCGCGACCGATCGGGATCTTCATCGTCGTCGTCGTCCAGTCGCTCGCACTCGCGAAGCAACAGCAACAGCAGCTCCAAACGAAAGCACTCTCGTTCGCGTTCCAGAAGTAAAGAATCTAGCAGCAAATCGTCACGTCGTCGCAAGGAATCATCTCGCTATAGCAGTCGCAGCGACAACAACAACAAGTCGTCGTCATCGAGACGAAGCGAGCGTAACGGAAGCAAGCGAAGCAAGCGTGATAAAGATCATCGCGATAGCAATAGCAGTCGTGATAGAAAGAGCAGTAACAGCAGCAACAATAGCAGCTCATCGAGATATAAGGACCGATCCGACCGATACAGCAGCAACAGCAGCCGAAAGTCAGGCGATAGCCGAGACAACGATCGTTACTATCGTTCGTCAAAGCGATACTCGTCTACCAGTCGATCGAGAAGCAGGAGCAGCAACAACAGCTATTCATCTTCATCACGTGATAAAAAAGACTACAACAGCAGCAACAATAACAACCACAGTAGCAGTAGTAACAGCAACAGCAGCAGCAGCAGTAACAACAACAATAACGACAGAAAGAGAAACAGAAGTCAAGAAAAATCAGATAACGAACTCGGTCAATCAGCGCTGAAAAAGAAGACATCTGGTTGGGATAATTTGCCAGACAGTAAGTTAACTATATTTAGATCATCACCAACAAATCAACGCCAACAAAACAAACATTATATCAACTATCGACAATCTTCTACATTTTCAAGTGTGACTATAGTATTATTATTTGTTTTTGTGAAAATTTATCCACATTTTATTTTCATATTTTTATTTCCACTTTTCAACTTTACTACTTTTCCATTTTCAATTTCATTCCAAATATTACTTTACTTTCACTTTCAATATCATTTCCAATTCTATATGAATATTTACTACTATTATCTATTAACTTTTTCTCTTAACTTTTTAATTTTAAAAAAACTCCAATCTATCTACTTTTATCATGACTGATAAATATTTTTTGATAAGTTTTTTCTTTTTATTACTATACTTTAAAACAGTTTAGAATTTAGAAAATTACTTTTATTTACTTTTTTTTTTAGCTACCTTTTTTTTTTTTCTTTCTTTCTTTTCTGAATTATAGGTGAATTTGATTGATTTTGATGTACTAACTCTAATACATTTTTACTTTTTTTTTTAGAACAATCGATCGAATCACTTACACCTCAACAAATACAACAACTACAACAGGCAGCACTCAATCCAAATTTGGGTGCAGGATTAATTCCACTTTCCACTTTGCAATACACAACTAAGTCACCTACCTCAACAACATCCAATTCACCTGTGAATAATTTAATTCAACAACAACAACAACAACAACATCAACTAAATCAATCTGGATCATCGTTGCTCAATAACCATCATCATCATCATCATCACCATATTCCAACAGCAACAGCCAGTACAACAACTCAACTTCTGAATCTATCAGGAGGTATTCCACCACCACAACAACAATCATCACCGTCAAACAACAACCCACAATCTTTAGTTTCAACACAGCCATCAACGTCGTCGTCGTTATCATCGTCGACGTCGCATCTCGTTCAACCACCATCCACTATTCTACCGTCAACAACGCCAACAACACACCCGAAACAACAACAAACTCCAGAACAAGCTCAGTCTAGAATCTATATTGGTAATATACATTTCAACTTGACCGAGACCGACCTCACCTCCATATTCTCGCCGTTTGGTCCCATCAAATCACTGTCGCTCTCCAAGGACCCTGCCACAGGAAAATCAAAGGGTTACTGCTTCATCGAGTACTCCTACCCCGAGGCTGCCAACAATGCCATCTCACACATGAATCACCAATCGCTAGCCGGTAGACAGATCAAAGTTGGCAGACCCTATATCCCTGTGGCCGGAAGCGCTGGAGTCGGAGTTGGAGTCGGCGGCGTCGCACCCACTGCCAACGCTAACACAATAGCAATTAACGCCAGTACCACCGGTGGTATGGCCGTCAACAATCAACCAACACCCCTACCAGCTACAACAACAGCACTTCTGACGACACCATCACCCTCACCCTCACAAACACCAACCCCATTCACAAGCATATCATCAACGACGCTATCCTCATCCAACTCGAATGTCCCACTGATCACTATTCCAGCAGTTACCTCGCAGCAACTACAACAACCAACATCGATACTACCGAAACAAGATCCAATGGCATCGGAAAATCGTATCTATGTAGGATCGATCCCATGGAACGTAAACGAAGATCAAATCAAAGTGATCTTTAGTTCCATTGGTAATGTTGTTTCTTGTTCATTAATGCCAAATTTAGAATCAGGAAGACATAAAGGTTTTGGGTAAGTTGTTTTTTAATTATTAATATAATTAATTGATTGTTTGATTGGTTGAGTAATGATTATTAATATAACTATGTTGTTTTATTTAGATTTATTGACTATGATAATTCAAAATCAGCAGAGGATGCAATAGCAACTTTAAATGGATATGACATTGGAGGTCGACAACTAAAAGTTGGCAGACCAATTAAAAATGCATCAATTAGCAGTAGTAATGGTAAGTTTAAGTTTGATATTTAAATTGAAGCAAATCTCTTATAAATTTATTAATATAATATTATTTAGAATCAAAACAAACTACTCCTTTAAGTACACCAATGGTTCCAACTTTATCATCATCGGTAGGAACTGATTCAATAGAAGATGATGTAACTCTAAGTACCGAGCAAAGAATATTGCTCACCCAGAAATTACTTCGACAAGATATATCTCGTACCAGTGTATGTTTATTAATATAATTTGTTAGCTAATATTTTAACTAATCATATGATTGTTTCTTAATTCATTAGAATCGTTGTTTGGTACTTAGAAATCTAGGTTCACCCAAAGAGATTGATGATTTTTTTGAAGAGGAGATTAAAGCTGAATGTATGAGCTTTGGACAAGTTGAGAAATTTGTGCTTACTCACGATGCTTCGGTGAAGGCCTTCATACTGTTTAAAGAGCCTGCCGCATGTGCCACCTGCTTCAACAAGCAGAATGGAAGATACTTTAGTGGCTACATTGTAAAGGCAGAGTACTACGATATCTCTCTTTTCAACAAAGGTGTTTATAATTGATTTCTTAAGCGTGATCATCCCAGATCGATACCAACCTGACCTGACCCAACCCGACTATGACAACTCACATTTACTCACTCACCTCACTCACTCACCTCACACCGACCAATCATGATTGGAGCCAACACATCACAGATACAACCAATCAAAATAGATATTAGATATATAAATAGAGAGAGAAGGATGTGAAGTAGTTAGTAAAAAAATGATATCAGATGCCAATCAAACAACATTTCAACAATAGCAAAAAAAAAACCAAAAACCAAAAAAAAAAAAAAAAAATAATAGTAACATCAACACAACACACAACCAAATTTGCATAACATAAAAAAATAGAAATTAGAAAACTAAAACCAAGTTTACCAACCAAACAACACCTGTTATTGTTTACACAAAACAATTTTGCACTGAAATAAAAAAAAACTATTGTCTAAACTAATATTATTATTAAATTTCTCTTAATTTTTAAAAAGAATAATGGTATGGATTCCAAAGAATGTTTAGAAAAATAGACATTTAATTTTAAACAATTGTTTCTGATAAATAACTTTGTCCAGGCTAAAAACTTGAATTTTTAATGAAAATACACAGACTAAAAATCCAATTTTTTGTTTATATAATCTGGGGATAACAGATTATTGATTCATCTATTTTTATTATATTTTTATTTATCTTTATTAGAATTAAAATTTATTTCGATCTCTTTAGCAATTAGTCAGTAAAAAAAAACCGAAATATTTCAATGGAGGTTCATTCATTTATTTTGTCAGAGTTTCGATTATTGGATATTAGAAATTCCAAAGCTAAATTAATAACCCCTGAGGGAAATAAATCTGTAACAGTAACTTTAGGAAATTTCATTGGTAAAGGAGCTATGAATTCTGCTTTTCATCTCAAGATTAAAGATGATCCAAAAAAATATGTTGTAAAAGTTCCATTAAAATATCGAATGACAAGTGAAGCTATGGTGGAAGATTGCTCAATAATTATTTTTGAAATAGCAAAAAAAATGGCTAACTGTTTCAATAGTAGAGGTGTACCTAAAAAAGTTAAAATCAATATCCCATCTCTTTTAATTCTTGAAGAGTAAGTAAAAATAATTTTAAATTATGAATAAAAGTTTTTTTAATATTTATTAATTATAACAGTCTAAGATTTAGGATGGCTGTGGTTGAAGAGTTTTTAGAAGGGGATTATGTAAAGTATAATAATAACAAAGGATGGGTAGATGATAATAGAAACACACCCAATGCATTCAGTCACTTTTCATTCATTGCATCCAAGGGACAAATATTAATCGCTGACATCCAAGGAGTAGGACATTATTATACCGATATTCAAATACATTACCATAATCCAGAGGAGTTTGGACAAGGTAATCTATCTCATCTTGGAATAGTTGCATTTTTCCAAAATCACAAATGCAATCCAATCTGTGAACAATTGGGAATAGCCACCGAGGTAAAAATTAAAACTGGTACTTACCCAAAAGGTTTCTACTAAAAAATATTTGTAAATAAAAAATAGTATAGTTAGTTTAAAATTAAGAAGCCAAGTATAGTTAATATTCTTTGATTATTTATTATAGAGTAAATATATTTGATTGTTGTCCACCAACCATTATTTGTACATAGTTTGGTAAATTAACATATTGACATGAAACTTCTGTACTGCTTATGAATGATGTACATGTTTCATTGTGATTCGAATAAATTAAATTAATGTATGAGGAATTTGGATTGAATGATACACCAGATTCAACAGGAACAAAGTTATTTCCAACGATTGAAATAAAACCTGAATTTAAATAGTAATTTGTGATCGATGGGGGCAAATAGGAAACTGAGTTATTGTTACCCATACTAACTGATTGATTGCTAAGTGATGCAGCTATTGAGAGATTGTATCCTATTCCTGGAGGGATATAGCACTCAATGAAATAGTTGAATGCAGTACAATCGATTGGCTTTGAATTCAATGTGAATTTTAGATCGGTTGATGAAAGTCCCCAACCAAAACCTTTAATCTGTATTAAACCTCCACGTGTCTCTACTAAGGTATTATTGAATTGTGTTACTATTGGTGGCAAGTAGCTGAATTGTGATTCAAGCGATTGATCTCCAGCTTGGACAATGATAGGTTGATTTAGAGTATTGCTATCTAAAACGAAATTGATTGATTGGTCTGTAACGTTACTGATATCAACTTGGAAATCACCTACATATACATTAGGTAATTGTTCCAGGCCATTTCCAAATCCACTACCCAAAATAACGATTGTGTCACCAGGATCGCCAGAGCTTGGCGAAAATCCAATAACAGAAGGTCCACTGAAACTAAAGGATTGTGGTACTACAGAGTTGATGGAAAACTTTGAAGATTGATTATCGACTACCACTCTAATTGTTTTATAGTCACCAATTGCTGGTGGTGTAAGACAAGTGATTGAAGATGATGTAACTAAAGTAATTGGAGAGCATTCTACGACTTCATCGATCCATACTTGTACTTTAGTTTCGTCTTCACCGAAATTAGATCCAACAACAGTCAATAAATCATTTCCAAAACTATTAATTATATCTGGCTGAATATCTGTGATTATTGGTATGTCGTAGGAGAACAAGAAATTGGTTCTTTGGATATTGAAAATAGATTGGTCAGTTGATAGGTATATGAGATTTTTAGAGCCAACACCACTTGGAACTTGGCAAACCATTTGGTTTGAAGATAAAAGTAATGAAGATTGGCATTGATTGTTATCTCCAATGGAAATGGTCATCGATGAATTAAATCTAATACCGTTCAACGTTATTGGATATCCACCAGCAGTCGATCCAGACAGCTTATCTACGGATGTAATGATTGGTCCAACTCCAGAGCATAAAGAATCAAAGTTATTTGATGTAAAATCGTTATAACTTATCATCTTTATATCACACAGTTTAGAATTTACGGTGGCAATGACAATGCCATCATAATCGCTGGAGATTACACCATTATAGGAACTTGGTTTTTGAAGATAGAAAACTTCTAAATCACCAAATTTTACACTTGAGGTTGATTTACTTATTATTATACTTTCCAAAACACCTGTTATTGAAGCAATAGAAAGTGGAGATAACAAAGTGATTCTTGTTCCAGTTGTTCCTACTTTCTCGTATGCCAAGTCTATTTGGTCACCGTATCTATCACGATTGGTCTCATCAATGAATTTAATGGGTTGATTATGATATTGGCTAATTGGATCCAATATTAATGTTTGGATAGCTTGGCTTTGGTTGGAAATGGTTATCCATTTATCAATTGAATTTTCTAATTTCTCCAATTGATAAACTGTTAGCGCAGCCAAACTACTCTCGTTCATTGTCTTCATATAGGATTGTAATAATTGATGAATTCCAGTCTTAATTATTCTTTCATCTGGTTGAAGTGGTGATTGTTGTATTGTTGGAATATCGGTAGTTGAAAGTTTCATATTTCTGTGAATAAGTATTGAGTCTGTTTTCATCATTGTCATTACTACATCTACATCTGCAAGTGGAGCTGGTGGATTGATAATATAATTATTTATCAAGATTGTCTGGAAATTGTTATCGGTGTTGTAAGCGGCATCTACGTAATCAGCAAAATCAGCTAATGACTTGATACCATCTTCTTTGGATGTAGTAATGAGAATATTTAATAAATCAGTGACAGGAATTGAATCGGAATCATCTACTTTATCCACTCTTCCAGCAGCACCATTGGCAATAGATCCACCCATCCAATCCCAAACTGCAGCAGCTGTTCTTCTAATTGATTGATCAACAGTTGGATTTACCATATCTCCATTACTATATTCATAATCAATATCTTATTAATAATTTTATTCTCTTTTATTTAATATAAGTAATTACTTACTCTGTAGAAATATAAGTTTCAATATTACCAAATACATTGAATGTTGTATCCATACAGATATCAAAATTTTCATCCTTTGTAAAGAATAAATTCTAGAATAAAAATAAATAGAAGATTAATTAAATTTCCATTCTTTTTAAAAATAATAATTATAATAATTACATTATAAAGTTTCTTTGAAATAGCTAAAATAATACCATTTGCCCAGTTTGGATGTTCATCTATTGAATAGATTAATTTCGCTTTATCTGGAGCACCGGCTTGATTGTAAATGTATTTAAGTGTCATAAAATATGCAACTTCCTCTTCACAAAGGGCATCACTTATTCTTAATATGAAAGGTGTCTCGAAACGTGGAGTAAGAATAACACCACTAGTATCAACCATGTATTGATATATCTTACTCTTTGCATTTGGAAGTTTAGTTTGGAAAGTGGAGGTAAATTTCATCAATTTGAAATCATCGTTGGCTTCCAAATCATAGTTTCTAACTGCTTCCACGTTAGCATAGGGATGTTGGTAGACAGGTGGGAAGTCAGGTGCAACATATCCAGCTGGCAATACCCGCTGTATTTGGGTCACACGCGATTTATCTTTGGTACACTCGGTTAGCGCATCATCGTATTCGCAAACCGCTCCAATCTTATCGTCGAATGCAATATAGTGAAGTGACATGGTATCGTCGGAAACATAGTTTAGAATATCAATACCCGGTAAATCTGGTGGAGTTGGAAGTACCGATTGTTCACCGGCTGTCGCAACATTTGCGTGCGAAGTTCTCAGAGCTTTGAGATCCAAGTTGAGATCGTGAGCGTTTGGCATTGTTGCAGCAGTCACTGTTTCAATTTGTTTTGGAAGCTTTGAAATATGATTGGTAGCAATAAAATCTTTAACCTCTACTAAAATATCGTTTTGCCAGACTGGTCTATCCAATTTAATCGGTTGATCAACGGTCAAAAACAACTCGATAGAATCGGCTCTCTTTGAAAAAGTTCCATCTGCTTTAATTGAATTATATGCCCTAACGAATCGATTGAATTGATATACTAAATAGGGGTTTTGGAAACATACAGCCCCACCTCCACGACCACCTTGTCCATTATGTCTATTAGTGTCACCAGTGCAGAAATAATTTTCTAATTTAATTAAAAAAAATAAAAGTTAGTTCTGTTTCTAAATTGAAAATCCTGGAAAATTATTAAAGTTAACAATTGTTTACCATTTGCACTGTATGCATTAGCTCCATATGCTGGATACATTGGAAATCCAATTTTAGAATGATCTTTAAATTGTATAAATAAATTTTGTTAGTTAGAATGATCTTTAAATTGTATAAATAAATTTACAAAAACAATATGTTTACTTACCAGTTTTACTTCCAAAATAAATATTATTGACATAACCACCACCTCCACCTACTGCAGGAGTTGCAAGACCTCTATTAAATTCAAGATGTGCAATATTTAATACCTGTTCAGTTGGTGAATATTGTACGAGACTCATTCCATACCACATTTCAACAAACATTCTTCGTTTGAAATGGTCTGCGATTGGCATCCAAATGTCAATTCCATCATAGATTTTCGCTTTCTTTTGAATGTATGGAGAGAGTGTTGCAGGTCTCGGTAGCGCAATATCTGGATATGGACTGTTTTTATCATCAAAGCCGGTACCACTTTTCATGAAATAGACGGCATTCAAACCACCACCGATAACGGTTGCCGCTGACTTCCACCAGCATGTATTCTCAAGATTTAGTGTGTTGGCAACGATTGCGTCACAATCGGCAATTAAATCCTTTTGTGTCTTTTGAACTGGTGACGCTGCGAGTGGAACTCTAGCCGGAAATCCTTCATAGTAAGCGATAAAGTCATAGAAATATGGATATCGGTTCTGTTGATTCTGGTCGTATGTATCCATACCGGGGAATACTTTTCTATTCGAAAGGAGATGAGCATCGTTCCTAATCAAATATTTAGCAATATCCTCCAAATGATTAAAAGAATAACAAAAGAAATGTTGACTCTTGTCTGGTTTTCCAAGGAATTTAATGAGCTGAGCTGGATGATTATATGAAAATCCATCCGCTTGATAGGATGGAAAAGCAGGATTTGAATGTTGTACATGTATTCCATTCACTTTTCCAGTGGGATCTTCATCTTCGAATATCACGAAACCTTTGACGTGTCCATTGCCAACGGTATTAGTGAATTTTGAATTTCCACGACCACCAGCATTTGTTCTTGTATCGGGTTGATCGTTGATGAATAGATAATAATAATCTTCATATTGTTTGAAGGTAGCTTCGATCGGACTGAAATTAACTTGACCTCTGGCACCAGTGGGATCTTGAAGGTCATCCAACTTTACCAAACTCTGAGAATTAGAATCCATGTATAAATAGGAACTGCTTTTACTCAATCCAAGCTTATAGATAAACCACCAATCTACAGGACTGTTTGTTCCTTCGCCTGAATCTGGTTCCGGTACACCAAGACATGACAGTGCATTGGAAGTGAATGTAATGGTTTCCATAGAGTCTACGGCAGCGGTAGTGGCATCAGGTTGTACATGTATCTCGACATTGTATACACCTTTGATAATAGCTGGAATATCACAGGTTATTTTGGTATCGTCATTGACAATCGCTATGTTCACACATGCCTGAGTACCGACATCGACAGCAATCAAACCAGCGTTAATACCAAATCCATTTCCTGTCAAGGTGAGAGTGTAACCTCTCTTTTCCGATCCTTGCTTCGGAACGATTTCATTAATCGATGGACCAATAAACTCTATTTCATGTAATGTTGAAAATTCATGTTCTATACCTTCATGATCTTTCACATACAGAATTACATAATAAAGTCCAGGAGTATATGGTGGAATTGTACATGTTATTTGATCGGGTTGAATAGTACATCCAGTCAAATCCATTTCCTTTTCATCGAATTTAATTGCTGTTACAGTTTGGAGATTTGTTCCATCGATAATAAGATCACCACCACCTTTTGGTGGATTGGTGGTTTGTGACATATCGGTAATAGCTGGTTCACTATAGGTAAAGGTCAGAGTTGATTTATAATCCATCTTTCTAATTGCGAATGTAATTTCTTTGGCACCAACAGAATCTCCAGCCGGTACGAAACATGTGAATTGATTTGCATTGATCTGGAGTAGTCTCTGACATTGTTTATTATCGACAAACACTTGTATTTCCTTACGAAGTACAAGTACCGACAAACCAATTGGAAAATTAGTACATGTCAAAGTGACGAGAGAAGAAGAGTGTAAGAAACCATTATCTTTGGAAATGGCGGTGATCGATGGTACAATAGTTTCCAATAGCACAGGATTACTATCTCCACCATTCGATTTGACAACCAATGTTCTATCACCAACCGGATGCTTACTGGAATCGAAATTAATATATAGAGTGGCGGAAGTTGATAGTGGTGTAGTTAAATACTGTATTCCATCGACAAAAACGTTGGTTTCTCTGTGGAATCCACTTCCTTTAACCTCGATCAACCATACACCTTGATTCAATACCTTATCGGGATTGATATTATCGATCTTTGGTTCATAGTAATTGAAAAACGATAAAGACGTATAGATACCACCACCAATGTTTGCTTTGATTTGATAGGACGATCCCAATGGATTACTCATATCGAAAGCAGCTGTTTTACAAACAAACGAACTAGCTTGTAATGTAGTTGGATCTACTGTACATACGGAACCACCGATATCAACTGTAACAACATCCATTAAATGTTTACCAGTTACAGTAATATCAGTTCCACCTACATTTATACCAATATCTGGTAATGATCCGAAAATTTCTGGATCTATAAGAGTATATATCAGTTAGTTTTGTTTTGTTTTGTTATGGAATATTTATAAACAAACTTACGATATAATCCAAATTTCTTATCACAGAAAGCAGGTTGTTTATCTATTGAGATGATTACATCTTGGAATTCTACCAATCCGGCACCAAGGTCGAATATAGTGGTATCACAACTGAGTGCACCGGTTAGTTTGTCGACTTGAACATTGGAGCATGGTTGTCCACCTACGGTGATGGTTGAGAGCGATGCACCGTAGATATCGTGGAAATCAGTTCCTTCAATAACGATGTTATGAGAGAGTCCTGCAACACCGTGATCTGGTCGAATCGATGTAACTACCGGAGCGACATAACTAAATGGATTTGGTGCAATCATTTCCAATTTCGTATAGGTTCTGACCCTGAGTAGATAATCTCCTGTTTCCATTGGGTCGATATCGGGTATCACCGCTTGAATCTCTGTTGCCTTTACAATGTTGACTTTCAGTGTGATTACAGTGGCATCACGAACCAATTCCACAACGGGAGGTGTATCATATTGATTGACAATAAAATGTTCACCTTCAATTCTCAATATTCTTGCATTGGCATTTGGATAATAGCTATTTGGTGAAAATGATTTAATTGATGGTTCTAATAATATATATTAAAAATTAATAAAATTATATTAGTTAATTTTTATTTGTTGTAGTAAAAGTAACATTTAATTATATTTACTACTTACCAACATATGTAAATACACCAGTAAAGAAAGGTGGTTTTGAAGGGTCAAAGAAGATTTTAAAGGTGTTTGAATCGGTATCTAATTTACGTTTACGAGAAGAGGTATCATAGTTTGGTCTTGGAACCTCAAAGGCGTAACCGTCGTCCAGTTCGTACAAAAATTTAAAAGGAGTAATACCTGCACTATTTTCAATTTGTAAAATTGGGACACTAAATGGTGGTGCTGGAAAATCATTGCCTCTAATAATGAATCTGGTGAGGTAGTCAGTCAAGTTAGTGAAAAGTATGTTTAAACAATATAGCTATTATCTATTCTTAAGATAATACATACAAATTACCACCAGTTGCGAAACCTACAAGTTGACTATCAACGTATATTGCACTCACTTGTGAAAATAAACTAAAAATAATAAATAGATTTACAACATTATAAGAAGATATTATCATCTTTATAATATTTGTTGTTAAAAAAGATGAAAACTATTAAAATAAAATATTGATGATGACATTTTTATAGAAAGAGAAGTCGCGAACGACAACTATTAAAAAGAAATTCGATAATTTCGTGTATCGGCACAATATGATTTTGATTGGGTGACGGGTTGATTTTGGAATCTATCATTAAATTTATGTTGAGGATATTTTTTCAGAATATTTATAAATAAATTATTAGTTTTCTTATAAAATAGCAATTAAATTGAATTTAAAATTATTAATAATTTGATTTAGAAATGAATTGATTATTTTTTTTAAATATAATATTAATTTTTTCCAAAGACAAAAAAGAATCATCATCTCCCCTTTGGTCTAGTGGTGAGGATTTTCGCCTGTCACGCGAAAGGCCCGGGTTCAATTCCCGGAAGGGGAGAAAAATTTATTTAAAATTTGTCCGCATGCGAATCGTTGACCACTTATGTAATGTAAGAAGGTTTATCTGTCGAACAGATCATAATTAGTTAACTTACACAACCTTATCAACCATCACCACAAACCAGTACTTACATCAGGTCAATTCCAACTATCTCTTCCCCCCACTAAAATAGACTTTACATCAACCCGAAACATCTTCTACTACATTAACTCCATCAAACACCACAGAGGTAGAAACACAGTATTCAGATTCTTCTCAAGATCACTTCCTGGTATGGCATACATCAAACAAGATAGTTGTAAACTATGTTCAGCAAATGACTTTGACCCACACACACATTATTTCTTTAATTGTCGAGTCATCCTAAACAAATTCAACCTCAAACACATCAGACAACATCTACAAATTGCCAACTACGAAGACGAATGGTCACTGGAAAAATCTACTACTCACTTCTACCTCTGCGATGAATCATCAGACCTAACAGCGATCATCTACCACAACATTTGGAAACATGTCAGTTCAATTCTATTCAGTCAAGATGACAAAATACTCGATTTCTCCAACCAATCTATTATATCCGACTTCGATATCCACAGAAACATTCTAAAATTAATAAACAACACTCCAACACCAGCCAACTAATCAAGTAAATGAAATTAACTCTCTTCCCAACCTGCCAACTAATTAATTAAATCAACCAACAACTAAAAAGAAAAAAAATAGACTACGAAAAAAACTTGATGGTAAATCCATCCTTTTAATACAACTTTTAATAAAACATGTATACCACTTTAGTTATTATAAAAAAAAAAATAATTAGTTAACTTCCCTTTTGGCATAGCGGGAAAACCCATTGGTTACATGTAAGAAGGTTCATCCTAAGCGCACTGGTCATGTCTGTGAGTTCTGTGGTGACACCTTCACTGAACTCTGCAACCCACATGAGCATTTCTTCTTTAAATGCAGGAATGTAGTTTCACAGCAGTTCCTTTCCTTTATCAAACATATATACCAGAAGTACTGTAACTATAGACTTCGCAATTGGAAGCACTGGTGCATCAAGTTCGACGGTCCTATTCGTACTACTGTCCACTTCACCCACCTTACTGCTGCTATCGTACATTCGTTATGGCAGGCGCTGTCCTGTGAAATGTTTGGTGATGGCACCCATTACAAGCTGGAAAATACCGTGAAGAGAGCAGTCACCCATTACACCAAATTAATCGATGCCAATTACCACAAGCTTAACTTCACAATCGCTAATTCTATCTCCCAAGGAATCACTGTCGACTGCTCTACAATAACACGTAAATTTAAATCTGATTGGAATCTAAATCCTTCCAACTACGTGCCACCACTTTATACTGTTGTTCATCAACACTCAACTACTGTTAGATCTATTCTATCCTAATACTACTAAACTTATTAATTAATAATAAAAAAAAAAATAGATCAATCATCATTTAAATTTCCAGATATGTTAAGAGTCAATTAAAGCCAGTGAGAAAAATAAAAAAAAAATGACATAGCGAACCACTAACTGTTCACCCATTTTTTTTTTTTCATGACAAAAAACTATTTTTGCTGTGTCCCGTCAGGCTTCTGAATGTCCATCTTCATTATCACCAATATGATATCGATATTTAAATGTATATGATAATATTAACTTTAATATAATATGTTAAAAATCATTTAAAACACCTAAAGTAAAATTAACTAACAAACAAGTCGATGGTTTTTTATTTTTTAACATTGGCATCGGTGGTGTATGTACAAAACACTAGAGTAAATCACATTAAACAAGTCGATGGTTTTTTTATTCTTTAATTGGCATCGGTGGTGGATGTACAAAACGCCAGAGTAAATCACATTCATCTTCTATGGATTCGTATGGATCTTCTGAGATAGTTACCAATTTCTAGCTCTTAATTTTGCTAAGGATTCTTATTGTCCAACATCGGCATGCTATGACAACAAAGATCACATCTATTTAGTCAAAGGTGTTGATAATAAAAGAATAGACCAATTCAATATTAAATCTATCTGATTGATCGATTGTTTTGGTTTTCACTGAGAATCTATACCAAATATTAAAAGTTCTATAGCTGTTTGAACCACCGAATATATAGATATATTCACCATTGATCCAAATGTTGTGCCTAGGCATCTCTACTCTTTCTATCATTCAATTACTTCTGGTTTACTGGGTGTACTAAAATCAATCAATGTTATTCTAGAACGGAGAAGAATGAAGCTGAACAATATATATACTGCAAAATAAACATTTTAAAAAAATAATAAAAATAATAAAAATATATCTCTTTTGTGCTGACTTCAATGTGTAAAAAACAAACCTATAAAATGAAATAACACATTTTATATTTTTATTTACAATCGATGTGGAATGATTCCATTGAATTATTTAGTAGTGATGTTGATATTATTTTATTATTATTATCAACATAGTTTAGAATGAGTACATTTCTTATGATTTAAAAGAAGGGATACCTTTGAATGGTATTGCAGTACCTCTATATAAATTGGGAGGTTGTCTGGTGCCACCACCAGCATACAAACTGTTAATGTTGGGTCCTTGGGGTGTTGGTCTTCCTGTGTTTCCTATTGAATCAAAAAAATAAAAATAAATATAATTATAAGTCTAAAATACCTATTAATATTATTTATATATAATACAAACTTGACATTATTATTTCTTAGAGTTTTTATTATTATTATAAATAAAAACAAATCTTTTCTAGATTGGATTAAAATGAAATCTTAAAAAGAAAATTAATTTAAAAAAAAAATATCTGGATAAAATGTTTAAAATAAGTTGTAAAAAAAAAAATATCTTTCACCATGATTTTTGTTGATCTACACAAAAAGGTTTTTTTTGCTAAAATTTAATGTATCTTATCGGCATTATAATGATGACTTTTTACTTTCAAAACATTAAAGTGGTAATTGATTTTAAATTATTGTTTTTTTTTTTTTTTTAAGATAATGATCATCTTCCGAATGAATATCAAGATTTTTCTTTTGCAAAAGAAATTAAGCCTGGTGATAGATAAAATGTATTTATGATATTTTTTTACTAGCACAAAAGTTAAATATTTATTTAATATTTAAAATTTTTGATTGTTCTATTATTCCTGCAACCAATTGAAATCGTTTACTGTTTCCATATAACAAGAAATGTTTGCTATCCAATCTTCTGAGTGTACAGTTATAGCCTTTAGATGTAAGTTGGATGGTGGTGATAGTTGTTGTTAGGTTTTCAATTTTGTTGAGTTTTAGGAATTTTTTTGGAATGGAAATCGACTTGAGTAAAGCCGGTAAGAATTCGCCTGGAACTTGAAATTCAAAGCAAGGTATATGTAGTCGCTCTACGGTCTGCGGAATTGACTCGATGTTATTCTTTGTTGAATGAATCACCAGTTCTCTACAACTAGGAATCATACCTGGCAGTATGATATTCTCACCGTAACCCAAATGTAAATAGTCAAGAAAACTGGTGGCGCTACTACTACCACTACCACTACCACTACCGACTTGGTCAGTACCACCGGTGGTGCTGCAATACTTGAAAAGTTGGTTACCAACCAAGTCAGGATCGAAATTGAAAACCGGTAGTAGCAATCGTTGTATACTGCTTGGAAGCCGGCCTAGTGGATCGAGCGTGTAGACTTCCTCGAGATCGAGAGTCACCAGCTGGTGCAGCTCGCTAAAGACATCCTCTTCGAACCGAGTGTTTCCAACGATCTTCAAATGGGAGAGTCCGCTCGGTAGCATTCCTTTGCGAAAATGAAAACTATCGATGGGATATAGATTCAATTCGCTGATCCGCGGCGGAATATCGCCAGGCTGCAGGGTGTCGCTATTCGAGATCTGTAGACACATCGATTCGAGAGTCGCCGGCAACCTATCTCCTCTGAGCAGCTTTAGTAGCTTCAGCGGTATGCTCAGTGATTGTAGAGCGCCTGGCAACTGAATCGCCGGTGATATAACATTGTTGCCAAACTTGTCGACTTGGATGAACGCTCGTAGCTCCTTGAGATTCGGCGGTAGTGTCTCCATGTTGAAGCGATGGTGATAGTCCTCCAGCAGAGTAAGTCGTTCGAGTCGGCGTGGCAACAAGCCGGTATCTATCGGTTCGTTCAGTGTACACAAATAGGAGAGACTCTCAAGAGTATCCGGCAGTTTCGATATATCGAGCTGGTGATCTGTGGTGATTCTCTTGATGTTTGGTGGAAGTCTGTCAAACTTGAAATCCACTCTGTTATTGAAATTCAAAGAAACAACATTGGAGTTTGCCAATCTATCTCTAAAATTCCAATCTAAACTGATATCACCCAATCCATCATGAAATATTATCTGTGTTACAGATTCAGGTATTTCGTATTGATCTAGAGGATAACATAACAAACAAACAAACGATTAATAATCGTTTGTACTTTAGTATGTGAATGTTGTTTCTCTTACCCAGATTAAATATATAATCAATAGAATCGAATTGATAATGTTTAGCATAGTAGTTTGGTGCAAAGAATAGAGAACACTGCGTTTTAAGTTCTAACGATTGTTTGAGTTGTGATTTATAGGAGTTCAAATGAAATTGAGGATACTCTTTATCGATTCTATTGGAGTTACTTTGCGAGAGATTCGCACACTCCAATAAAAGATATTTATCTTTTTGTAGATAGAAACGCTTACAAGTTAAACTAAAACATATTTTATCGATATTGTGATTTAAGAATCTAATGATATTTGATAATAACAAATGTGATAAATTAACAAATCTATGATTATTATTATTATTATTATTATTATTATTATTATTATTATTATTATTACTATTACTATTACTACTATTATTAATATAATTTGAATGTTTATCTGTCATCTGATAAAATAGGAATCACATGATTGTTAATAATATATGATCGTGCTGCTTATAATACCATATGAATTCAAATTTTTATTTTTATTTTTATTTTTATTTTTTTTTTTTTTTTAAATCTTGTATTTAACAACAGCAATTCTCATTGAACAAAAATAGAATCACATTGGATTTGATTGTTTGTAAAGATATTTTATTAATAAACAAAAAAATAATTAATAAAATGATACAGATAGAAAAAAATATATTTAGATTTTAATAAAGTATTTCAAATTATTATTATAATTATATGATGACGGTGACGACAAACCCATAGAAGTACTTCCATAGTTGAAACAAAACAATATTAAATTCATAACCGACGCTGACTCTTCTTAACATCCAGAGGATGTGTCGCAATTCATCTCAAATTGAGGAACTATACAAACTATCACAAACCTTAATTAAAAATAATAAAATAAAGTCAATATACTTTACAATTTATATTATTACTTAATTCTTTATTATCTCAAAGCAAGCTTTAAATAATATGGGACACCTGATTCAAAGTATGGAATGATTATTTTCGTTATTTCTTCACTGTCAAGGTTTATCAAGGAAATATCGATATTGATGTAATCCTGACTGTTGACGAATGCGATGTATCCATTCACGGGATCAAAGACGTAGGGGAAGAAGAATGATAGTTGACTTGGTTTGGTATTAAAGAAGGCAATCGAAATGTTGGTGGTCAAATCTATTTTAATAATAGTCAACAGTTCACTGGTGGTGCAAATGTAGATGCAATCATTGTATAGATATACGTTGAAGATCTCTTGCTCTGAGGTTTGTAAGTGGTAGATAAAGTACTCTTGATCTTTGATCACTGACTTACTAGCCAAGTCAAAGACAGTAAGTCTGATATTCGATTCGGATCTCTGCTTTTCACTTTGTGAAATCAAATAGTTTCTATTTCCAATTGGATCGTAGTAACATCCGACGATTGAAGTACTAATATTTGAATTATAGGCAAATCTAAAAGATGTGTAAAGAAAAAAATCGGGTTGTTAGTGGTGTGTTGTGATTTGTTTTGTTTGTTTTCTACAAAGTGGAACAATCAACTTACTGAGATTGTGTTTTAAAATTATCTCCTACCAAATCAATGGTTTGGGTAACTTGGTTTTGAACACATTGATAAACAATTTTATTAACACTGTCATAACCGATATATCCATTTAACAAATCATATATTTGAAAGTTGACAGAGACTGACATTTCATTTTGAGTGGTTACTTTATTACTCTAATCAACGTGAGATTTATGTTAGTTTTCGAAAGAATTTTAAGCGTTAAAATATTATAGTATTGGTATGTACGTTACCGTTGAGTTGTAGGTATAAAGTGTTGGTCGACCATTGCTTAAAGTACCATTCACACCAAACAGTTGATATTGATCACCTTGACCTGGTGCTAAACCAAGCAAAGGATTATAGTTTGGGCTCTGAATCGGTATTTGATTGGAGAGTAGGGTTTTACCATTACTCAAATCGATCGAAGTGAATTCTTTTGACAAAAGATTAATAAAGTTCAATGTTTGTGGTGTTGCCTACAGCGTAAAGGTGGTAAGTATTTATTTAGAATTAAAATAAAAATTCGAATCTATCTTTTGATTACTACATACTGAATAGGCAATCTTGCAACTTGACAAACATAAAACAAATAAAATAATGATTAATTTCATTGTTGTTTATATCTGTTTAATATTGAAAATTTTTGTGGAGCAGAGCAATAAAGAATAAATCTTCCACTTGGTACTTTATATAGCTACCATTATGACTATTGGAAAGTATCTTTCTTTTTCATCAAATTTTATTCTTAGATAAAAGAAAAATAAGATACTCGAATCAAAGATTTTTAAAGTAATATCATGATTTAAAATAATTTTAAGATAAAAATTGTGTATGCACAAAAAAAAAATACTTTAATTAATCGGAAGCAAGCAAACACCTATACTTTTCGGTGTTTTTAAAATTAAATGATTAATAAATTCTAACTTTTTACTTGAGAAACAAGGATTATATATATATCAGTCAACAGAAAGTTAGACATACCTCTCGAATCTAAATTTACTGAGAAATTAGTTCTGTTTACTATATGAATACATAAAACCATCCACACTATTTTGAAAAACTGAAAAAAACCATCGGATGATCATTTTGAATGAATATTAATAAAAGTCGATTAATAATGATAGATAAAACTAGTATACAAAAAGTTGGCGTCTTAGGTATCGGTGCTTTCATCTTTGGTTCAATAGTATTTGGATTAATCTTACTTGTTATTGTTTTATACTATTCATTATGTTCTAATAGATTGGAATCTGTTACATCGTCTAAAATAAATAAATCAAAGAATGAATCACTATCATCATCATCATCATCATCACTATCATCGTCATCATCATATCAACTAAAAAAGAAAAATAACTAAAAATCTACAACAACAACAACTACTACATTAAAAATAAAAGATACAACACTACACTTTTTATTTATAAACAATAATACAAAAATATCTATTCTAATGAATGAAGTTGTTTCAATTCGGTCAAGGTGAAACTAGCATAGTTCTTGTTCCAGAGTCTGGCGTTATTCCAGTACTCGGTTGGATTGTCTCTGTAGAGTCCGGCTTTAACAGGATCGATCGGATCCATTGGATTCGGTGACTGTAAGAGTGAACTTATGGCCAACATTATCTGATGGAGCGTTAGCTGTGGACCGTACTTATCCTTGAGAATATCCAAGCAGATAGCGCCGTTCGAGTTGATATTGCAATGGTACACTTTTGTTTCGAAATGGACTTTTGGTGGTTTGAATGGGTAGTCGTCTGGGAACACCACCGACAGCAAATAGAGACCTTCGTACGCCGTTCCAACGGGTCCGCGCATCGCCACTTTCCACACCTGGATGTTTGTCTGCGACATGAATATGGTGAACATCGGTGAGGTGGTCTTTTCATTCTCATTGGTGAACACCTGGTATTCTTTGAGGATACGCTTGCTACACATCTTTGAGCCATACACAGGATTACTCTCCAAACTAGCGACCGCCACATTACTAGAGCATTTTCCAGCGCTTTTAATGGTGGCATCCGCCTTTTGTTCGACGGTGGTAACTATTTCCGGAGCGATCGCTGAGAATGCCGCTTTACTGTTGATTGGGATAGAGAATGCTGCCAAGTTGTCACGTGTCGATAGATTGACGACTGCTTCACGCTCGAATAGCTCTACACCTGCCTTTGACGAGTTGAAAGTGAAACACGATCCACCTGTTGCCTTGGTGAAAGATCCGAGTGTATTTCCACCCTCTCCAATGGGAATAGCATCCAAGATGATATTGGCACTCTTCAAATATTTATACACTTCATAAGGACATGCATTACTATTGTCTTGTCCGTCGGTCAATGCAAATACTCTACAAATTAATTTATCCGACGGTGCTAAAACGAAACCGTCCGCCAAAGATGTTGGATTTTCACGATATTTAACAATTGTTTCTCCTGCCAATTTAATAGCTAGTGGTAGTAGTAGTTGGATGAAAGAAATATAGAATTAGATTCGTTAATAAATTCGAATAAACCATTAACCTATGTTATAATTACCTTCATATAATCTTGTTTTACTTTGATTGGCAACTACTTCACCCAATTCAGTGGAGAATGAATCAAAGTTACGGGTTGGTGGGAATGTTACTTCGATACGCTCGCCAAAGCAAACCAAACCAACGATTGCAGCAATCTCCAACTGAACATACTTGTCGATCATAGTTTGGAATAAAGCTTGAGCTATCTCTATTCTCTTCATTTCTAACTCGCCTGGTGTCAATGATCCTTTGAATGCAGCTGATCTCATGGATCCAGATAAATCCAAAACAATCTATAAGTAAGTAATTACAAAAAAACAATTAAAGTTAGTTTTTTTTAACTTATCTTTATAATTTTATTATTATTAATTTCAATCTTACCATATCAATTTGTTTAATTTCTTGTTTATAATTATTATTATTATTATTGTTATTATTATTATCACTATCTTTAGTGATTTCCGATGATGTTGTTGATGTTGATGATGTTGTGGTTGTTGAAATATTTACATTTGACAACTTTTCAGATATGTTATCTGCTATTGTTGTTGTCGTTGATTGTTGTTGTTGTGGTGGTTGTTGTTGATTATCATCACCAACAACTGGCTGTTGAGATTGTTTTAATTGAAGTAGATCATTGTCATTTATACCTAAATCCTCGAGAGTATCTTCATGATACAGCTCCGAGCTGTTATGATACAATTGATATTCAGAGGTGACATCAACTGTTAGAAGTGCTCTTTTAATGATTTCTTTAATCAATTGCTCTATGGATTGTCCTTTCTTATAAGGCACAGCAATTTTTTTATTTATTGAAACAATTTCAATTGTCAACATTTTTCTTTTATTTAATAGATATTTATCTATAAATATATATATTTAATAATAACAAACAAAAACAATAACCAACTTTAATAATCAAATCAATGGACAATACATTTCACATGTTTTAAACTTGTATCTGCTTTTAGATTTAGCAGAAAATTTTAAGATTATTTTTTTAATAATAATAATAATTTTGGTTCATGGGTGTTGTTTTTTCACTAGTGACTGTTTTTGAATCATCTGATTGATCTATCATCAGAAGATGGGGTTGAAAAAAAATAAAATAAAATAAAAATAATTTCTTTTCTTCAAAATATTTGTAAAGAGAGGATGAATCAATAGAAAGTCAATGGATATCAATTTTAGTGATAGAAATTCATTGGTTAACTTCATCATACAATCTATATTATTGCTTGATTGATAGCGATGATAATGATGATGAACAAAAGAGATCAGAGTGTGTAAAATTATTCTCAAACTATCATTTAAATAAATTCATTCACTATTTCGATGTCGAAGGTTATGTAAAGTTCTTGGTTGATTTCTTCTTTGAGAGATCATCTAAAGTATTCAATCAAATTTATATAAGTCTTCAATGCCAAGATTATAAACCATTGGTACTTATTATTATAAGAAAGATTGTAGATGATAAAAGAGTATGTTATTTATTTATATATATATATATGTATTCTCAGAGAGATGATCGATCATACTTATAATTTGTAAATTAATATACTTTGTTATTATTATCTAGTTTTGTGACTAGTTCATACAAATGAATCAATCTGATATCGAAGAATTGAAAAGAAGAATAGATAGTTATAGTAATAATTTAAAATTAAATAGATATAATTATAGTTTTAATTATAATTATTTGTATGAAAAGGACAATACAAACAATAATAAAGTAATCTCTAACAGCAGCAACAACAACAACAAATTAGATATAAAAACAACAACAAACTCTACAACAATAACAACTACACAAAAATACATTTTATCAGATTTAGTATTGAAAAATATCATTTCAAAGACTGAATTCGATTTTGAAGATCAAAGGAGTGAGAAGAATGATAATAACAAACTTTTTAACTTTAAGAATTTCAATACAATTAATCTTGCGTTGGTATCGAAAAGATTCTTTAATATAGTTTCGAAAATCATAAACAATCTCTATTATGGTTGGTACAACTATTTCAATATTGACAATAAATATTGTTTAATCAAAAAAACTCCGCTTCTATTTGATTATGAATCGATCAAATATATCAGATACGATCGAGGTGCTGAATATGCCAATAGAATGACATCAAGAGTCGAAACATTCCACATAGAATCGGATGAAATCTACTCCACTACCGGAGGGTCTTTACGTAGAGATTATTTATATTCACATTCGCTCAGCCCGAATAGTCAAGATCGTACATCAATTTTACTACCAGCGTATTTAGTACACCCACCACCAATGCCAAACCTAAAGAATATCGTTGTTCATAATTATATGGGATTCAGAGAAAACTAAAGCCAACTGCTTATACACATCTTTAAGACGACACCGAATGGCAATAGACATGGAATCGAACGATTCACAATTAATATGAGAAAATCATGGGACAGGACACCAGCGTATCAGATTATTGATTTTCTCACTCCACTTGCTCGGCTACATTTCAAGACATTGAAATCAATCAAAATGACTTTTTGTAACAAAACAAATGATAATGATATCAAGCAACTTGTCCAAGAACTGAAAGAGCTACTTCCATTGTTGAAACAATACAATATTGAGTTCATAACAGACGATAATATGCTTTGTGAAATCAGAAAGATGTTCACCGAAAAAGATGAAGTCTATCAATTCTTAAACGTTTTAGAATAAATTAATAAAAGTTACAAAAAAGAATCTAAATGATTTTTATTAATAATTCTGTTAGTTTTTTTTTTAACTATCGCCATGCTTTATAGCTTGACTTCTATAACGGTCATTTGGTTTTGCTCATGAATTGGACTCTTTTTTAGATTTACCAACAAAGACTATGGATGAAGTGGAGTTTTTGTTTTTTTTTATTATAATTTTGTGGTTCAAGTACATTTTAAAAGTTACATCAGAATGAACCATTTCACTAACTACGTCCTTCGACACTGGATGCTTTACCATCATGAAGTGGGTAACAAGGTTGAAAAAATAAAAATCAAGAAGACAGATCTCATTTGGTTTAATTTGACGATTTAAATTTGATTTTTGATTGCTGTATGAGAACTTGATAAATCAAGATCAAATAATATATTAAATATTACTAAAATATTTTAGATTTTAATAAAAGTGATGTATTTGATTGTTTAAAAAGTGTAAGTAAAAACTATTGATTGTGATAAAAATTAAAATATATTGGTATTTTATTTATTGGGGTGTGATTTTGGTAGTATTCGGATCGTATTTATATATTATTATTATTATTTTAGGATAGTGCACCATAAATAATATTATTTAATCATCGATGATTGAAGAGGTGATTGATTTCGTAAGAGTATAAATACTAAAAAATTATTTCTTTTATTTAGTATCATCAACAACAAATACAATAATTGTTAATATTGCTTAATCTTCTCTAGAGAGTTATATAAACTAATTATCTATCTAAATAATCAAAATAATGAAATCAAAATTTTTCTATATTTTAATAATTCTATCATTGCTCATTGTTGGACTTGTCAAGAGTCAGAATGATAACTTGAAATGTCCACGCATGAATGATCCCACTCAATATGGTACCTGTGCCGATACCTGTTCAGAAATAGAAGAGTGTAGTAATGGAGAATTATGTTGCAGTATGAATTACCAATCATTATTTAAAGATAAATTTATTATATCACTAATTAATATTAATATTAATTCTTTTTAATTTTAATTAATAAAAACTTACACAGTGGCTGGATGTGGTAAAGCTTGTGTTGTTGGTATTCCTATCTAGATATCAGTTGTAAAAGTTAATTTAAGTATTGAATTATTATTTATAATAAAAATCCATATTTGAAGGGTTAATAATGTATAATTTTTTATACATCATTTTATGTATCAAAACTTTAAAATAATAAATAATATTAAACAAATATCTAAAAATTAATATTTTATTTTTTTAATAAGAAATGAATTACTTAATTGTAAAAACTACATTAATCTTTGATTATTGGAAGTGACAATACAATATAATGCCCATATAATTAAATAATATTAAATACTATTTGTTAAAAATCATTTAAAACACCTCGCCTGACGGTATTTAGATATCTAAAGGTTGAAGCTGGAATTTGTGATGAAATGTTAACTAAAGCTAAACGTAGTCCAAAAGGAGAACTAAGCTGTAGTAAGTTATTTTAATAAATATTTAAAATTATTTAACAATAATTCTAAATCTGATTTTTTTACATATTATAATTAATTTTAGGTAATGGATATGGTCATTCATGTATGAAGGGAGTACTATCTGAATAATATATTTAGATAACTTTGTTCTATAACTTAACGGAATATATAATTTATTAATAAGAATAGCTAAAATTAAATGATTATATAGATTTTATTCAAGTTAGCTTATTATAATATTAGTAAGATGATATATAATAGTTTCAAAATAAAATGTAATATTTTCCATCATATATTTCGATATTTAAGTTTATTATAAATTCAAACTTTCTAAAATTCAGACTTTAAAGTTATATATAAGGTTATTATGTTCTTAACTTCTAATAGATTTATATTTTCTTTTTTCAATTTTATTTACTTTTTGTTTAAAATTATTCTTTTTTCTTTTGGAAATTATTATTATGAATATGTAGTTTCCTAATGAGGTTTAAAAAACAATTAAATTAAAATTAATAACTAAAATCATATATAATAAAACAATAACAAAAATCAATTAAAAATGAATACTATCAAGATATTTTGTTTCCTATTTATCTTCTCATTCTTAACAATTGGAATTGTAAGAGGTGAAACTGATCGGGTTGATCGAACTGAAGGATTAGTTTGTCCATCACATGTTGGACCACCAGCATGTGTTATTGCTTGTGAAGATGATAGTAGTTGTAATCCTGGTTATTTATGTTGTGGTAAGTTATTATTAAAATAATATTTATCATTCAAAAAATTAATTCTAATCTTTTTTTCTAATTTAAGGCAATGGATGTGGTCAAGTTTGTAAGAAGGGAGTTCCTGTTCAATAAAATGAAGTCACCAACAAATTTTTTGTTCAACAAGATTTTTAATAAAGATATAAAGCAAAAATAAACTATGAATAATTCCCAATTTCTAAAATGTTACTAAAATAAATATTAAATTTGAATACATCTCCATTATTAAAACAAGAAAATCTATGTTTTTTAATTTTTTTGTGTTCTCAAATATTTGGACAAAAAGTCTATCTTAAAGGAAATCGCTATAGCCGGAAACAAAGAGATTCTTCCGGTAAATTCTCAATCCATGACCCAAAAAGAACGGGCTATAGAAATAAGAGATAAAAAGCGCAATAATAACTTCCCAAGATACACAGTATGTTCAACTTTTTTTTAAATCACCTCATTAACCTTATTAATTGAATCAAATTTTGACAGGGATATTATCAAAATAACCTATGATGTAACTAAAAAAGAAAAGAAAGATACTAGACGAAGAACCAACAATTTCTTTGTATCAAGCAAACCTTCAAATCAATAATACCACCAACAACATTTGGAATAATGTACAATCTTCTACATCATAACCTCAAATTGTTTCCCAAAATACCTCAACTACAACCCAAAACTGTGGGTCTAAGTAACTTGATTTTTTTTTTTTTTTAATATAACTAATGTAGTATACATGTTTTATTTAAAGTGATTGAAAGGTAGCTTATAGCTACGAAAGAGGTATTTAAAATTGGAGAAGGAGGGTTGTACCGCTCAATTGATCGTTTGTAATTTGATTAATATTCCACCGGTCTACTTTCATGCTTGATTTATCCTTAAAAAGATGTATTTGATCCACATCGTACGATTCTCCCATACCCTAAAAGAATTGTTGTATGAACTTTACCATTTCTAGATTCTATATCTAGTCATTCTAACTATTAAATTTCCATCGCCACATTCCACGATTTGATGGCTTCTATCTACGTTGACAAGGCGTATGATTCTCGAAAAAACAGAAGCATCTAAGTAACTTGAAGTTGAAAAAATAAAATCAAGAAGACAGATCTCATTTTTGTTTAATTTGACGATTTAAATTTGATTTTTGATTGCTGTATGAGAACTTGATAAATCAAAATCAAATGATATATTAAATATTACTAAAATATTTTAGATTTATTTGTTTATGGTTGTTTTTCTTAAATTTTTCCAATAATTGAATATTAAAAAAAAAATTAATTTTAAATCTTAAAAAATTCAGACAACAAAAAAAAACGACTAGGTCCCAAATATTAATTTTTTTCTCTGTTGCTGAATGGAATCAACTTATGTTTTCAAAAATAATCAATAATATAGTATTGAGTAAACTGATCTTTGATCAAGTTCATTATATATCTAAATTGAATAGTGAAAAGTCATACAAATGGAATGAAGTTTTAAAAAAGCAACCACAAATCTTGGCAAGTCATGGCTATTATGACGATATAAAACAATATTTAGGTGATCGTAAAAACTGCAGATTTAGACTTTTCAATGATGAATTAGTGTTTGTCATCATTAAACAAGGAAGTTTACAGATGTTTGAATTGGTCATGGAGTATCAACAACCGACAAAGAAAAAAGATTATCTAAACAGGCTATTACAGAGAGCAGCGAGATATGGGAGATTAGATATTTGTCAATATCTATTAGACGAATTCCCTTCATACCGATGGAACTACTATGAGGCAATTCAGTTGACACCTCTTTCCAATAGTAGAGAGGTGTTGGAATTCTTGGAGAGTAAAACTGATCGATCTATGCTTGGCCACGAATTACAAACATTGAATTGTGCTGCTGGTTGTGGTAGTTTGGAGATGATCAAATGGTTGATAGCTACGAGGTCGCCACCTTTGACCTCTTCCGATATGTTGAATCAAGCAATCATTGGAAATCAAATGGAAGTGTTAAAGTACCTGATTGACGAACATTCACAACTGTTAAACCTTGACAATACAAGTTATCTTGTGAATGCAGCTGGTTCAAGCCAACGATTCGAAATATTCAAGATGTTGTATGATTACGGTTGCAAGTGTCCAGAGAATGTCGCGAATGTTGCAGCCTGCTCTGGAAATCTAGTGTTGATCCAATGGTTGATTGCAAATACCAGTTGCGAAATCAATGGCAAGTCATTGGAAATGGCTGCTGAGTATGGACATCTCAATTTGGTCAAGTGGTTGGTGAGTAATCATTTGCAACCCGACGTCGGTTCACAACTACCAGTAAACATAATGAATAGAGTAGCATTAAGAGGTCACCTCGATACATTGGTTTGGTTGGAGAATAATACATCGCATCGCATCGATGATATCTTAGATATAGCGAATAGAGTTTTATATTTGGGTTTTCCAAACATGATTCAATATCTCTGTGAAATGATCGATAGAGAAGCATCAAAAACAACAACATCAACAACATCAACATCAACAACCGAGAACCGATTTACATTCACAGGACTGTTGGAAATCGCTGTGATGAGTTGTGATTTGAACATTGCCAAATGGGCGTATACCTTCTATTCCGATTCTGACAATACTATTGCAATAGAAGGTAGATTGGAAGAGAAAATCATACATGCACTCACAAGAGATAAAGTTAAGATGATTGATTGGTTGTATACCAACGTGACAGAGCATCGTGGTTGGCTAAACAAATGGCAGAAATACATTAAAACCGTGGTACAATTAAATAGCTACGAATCATTGGAATGGCTATTAGATAGGATCACTCTACCAGCGGAATATCAACAAGAGCTATGTAAAAAATATCCAAATTCATTTGAATGTATAGAAATAATTAATCATCATTTTTATATGCAAAGTTTAAATTTAAAACAAAAATAAAAAAAGTGAAGCGCATTAACCCCACAAATTTTTTGTCATTTTTACAACAAATGATCATTTTTTTAGTCTTAAAAGGTTTATTATCGTGCTTTGACCAAGCATGAGCATAATCAAACCTACACAGAAATTTATAGTGTCACAAAAAGAAACTAGTGATCATAAAAGTGATGATAGTTGTTGGTTTAATCAATGGAGAGATCAAATAAATCTAAAATATAATATAAAAGCAATAGAAGTAGAAAATATTAATAATAATAATAAAGATAATAATTATAAAGTAAAACAAAATAAAAAGAAAAAAGTATATTTTATTTTATTTTATTTTATTTATTTAAATCTTATTATAAACTAACCTTTATATTATTAATATTAACAAAAAATAGTTAAGACATAAACTAAAGAAAAAGAAATATATCAAAGAGAAGAAGAATCAATTACTCTTATTAAATGAAACTATTGATGAATGGCAACAATTAGTCAGACAAAATGAAATAGATAATCAAAATAGAATAGAGTTAAATAATGTAAAGAGTAATAGCAATAACAATAATCATAATAGTAATAAGAATAAACAAAATAATATAGAAAATAGTGAAAATAATAGTAGTACTTTATCGATTTCAAGTACATTGAAATTACTTAGAAATAAACCAATTAGTAATCAAACAACAAGTGAGCATGTAGAAAAAGAAAAAGTAGATCAATATAATCAACAATTTTATAATAAATCATATCTTTCATTTAATGGATTGGTAGAAGTTAGGACTACGTGGGATAGATATCAAAGTGAAGAATGAATATGAATGATAATATTGTGCTTAGGAATAACTGAATTTGTAGTTGATGATGACGATGACGATCATGTAAAGATAGACCATGATTGTTGGATTTATGACATGGAACAATGGGAGTGTGATAGCACCCAGTTTGGTTACTACATAGATCCATTGTACAAACATCGGAGTCATCACACAACGATGTCTTTGGAAACAGACAGCCGGTGCCGTTCACACAGAGATCGTCAGTACAGATATTACCATCGTTACAAATCACCGGTTGGTTTATGCAGCCCACAGATCGTTCACAGCTATCGGTTGTACATTGATCGTGGTCATTGCAATTCTTCAGTTCGAATACACACCCGGTTGCATTGTCACAGTAATCAATGGTACAAGCAGACCAGTCGTCACAAACCACAGGCTTATCAAGGCAGCCTTTAGCTTCATCGCAAAAGTTTTTTGTACAAGCCAAACCGTCTTCACAACTCAATAAACTGAATTGACAGCCGAGTGTTGGGTTGCAGCTGTCGGTGGTGCACCGATTCCTATCATCACATTGGATTGCAATGTTAGAACATCCTTGTTTGGCGGAGCAGCTGTCGTTCGTACAAAGATTGTTGTCGTCACAAGACAATGGCGTGTTTAGACAACCCAGACTTGGAATGCATGTATCGACAGTGCACAGATCCATATCGTTACAATCGATGGGAGAATGAACACAACCATTGTTAACAGTCACATTACAACTGTCGACAGTACAAGGATTATCGTCGTCACACGCAGTAGGAAGATGTTCACAGCCTTGAGAAGATATACAACTATCGACAGTACACGGATTACTATCGTTACAGCTGATAGCAGTATATTGGCAGCCAAGTAACTTGTGACAATTGTCATTGGTACACAGATCATTGTCATCACAGAGAACCGGTGAATATACACATTGACCATTGGCAGAGTTACAACTATCGATCGTACAGATATTGCTATCGTTACAATTGATTGGAGTGTAGATACATCGTTCTTCTTCTTCTTCAACTCCTTTCGATCGAAACATACTGCTGTTGCAGTGGTCGGTAGTACAAAGATCGTTGTCATTACAAACCAGTGGAGTGTGTAGGCAACCATTCGGAGATTGACAACTATCGGCAGTACAAAGATCGTTGTCATCACAAACAATTGGAGTATGTATACACTTTCCATCTTTACATCCATCGGCAGTACAATTATTGTAATCATCACATATTTCACTTATAATACAACTCTCTATTGATTGTAATGATGTTGTTATTGATGTTGATGTCGATGATTTTATATATATTTCATGACATCCAACACATTTTATATAAATATCACTATCTTTAACTTTTTCCAACTGATTATTTTCACATTCTTCTTCTAAACTATCTAAACCATTGTTGACAACAAATAAAATATATAACAACAAATAAATATAAAAACATAATTTAAACATTGTTATTATTTAAATATTAGAATTAAACATTTTGTTTGTAGAAGAATAGAAGTATTAGTAGTAGTAATCATTATAATGTTAATAATAATATTTATTCAGTTTAAAAATAATTATACAAAAAAAGATCAATGTTTTAAAATAAGAAATAATAAGTTGATTATTATAATTGCAAAAAAAAATAAAAGGAGTTCTTAAACCTTTCTTATTTTCTTTTTCTTTATTTGTATAGTATTATAATTAGTAATATATATGGTTATTTTTTCCATTGAGGTGACAATGGATTCTGTGAAGCGACTTGAACTGAACGTCTGGATGAACGTGGTGATGGAGTTGGTGGTGGTGTAATACATTGTTGGCAATCAATTAATGCACTCATCCATTTATCCTTCAATTCTGTCGATGGTGCAACAAATGTATATACTTTTTTAGATGTTACAACTTGGAATGAATTTTGGAAATCTAAAAATGGCAATAAATTGATAATTAATCATTTTGTTTTGTAATTACAATCCATATTTTCCAACTTACTTTTTAATACAGAAATAGCTTTTACATCGGAGAATAATATAGTTTTGAATAATGATTTTCGTTTTAAACTGTTGTTGCTGTTGGTATGAGAAAGTACTGACGATGATGTCGTCAACGACATCGATGAGGTGGTCGGTGAAAGTGTGTGTGGTGGAGTGGATGCGCTCGAGTTGGGAAGTGTTTTCGATTTGTGATTGTGATTGGTTTTTCTTGGTGAGGTCGGTGATTTGTTGTTTTGTTCCGTGCAGATGATACATTCCTTAAAGAGATATACAAAGAGGTCTTTCTTGGTGGATGCCACCATGCCTTTAAGCAGTGACAGCTGTCCCTCCATAATATATTTGGAGCCACCAATCAAGTCGTCGGCACCGCTTATTATAGATTTGATCTCGGCTATCTTGTCGGCATCGCTCGAGGTTCGCTTCGATTCGTTCAAGTAGAGAGTCAAGTCGTGAAGCTGACAGAGAGCAAGCGCAGCCATATTGGTGTCGGGGTGGTCAGGTGCAGTGAACTTTTCGATCTCCTTTAGGAATATGATGTAACGTGGCAATCTTTGGACAGGCATAACAATGAAACTACCGAAATCCAAATTACGACAACGATCGTTACACTCACCCGACAGAATCTTCTTGTAAACGGTTGCACAATTACTGTTGGTCTTTAAATACTTGGTATAGGCAAAAGCTTTTTCATAATTATTAATATACACTTCATATAATTTTTGGAAATCTCCCATCTTTTTTTTCGAAAATTAAATTAATAAACAAATACTTTAAATGATAAAAGTTAAATAACTTACAAAAGGTAAAAAAATATCACCAATAGTTGATTCATCTTTCCAGTTTTTCAATGAATTTTCAAATTGTGACAGTAGTTTGGTGTGAACATCGCGCAGTTCATGAATGTTTGAGAATAATATATATAGATTTTCATCGGTTAAAAGATTCGAATCTTTCAATGGTTGATAGAAAACATCGATAATCGTATTCATGTCTGAAACGTATCCTTTCTCTACATGTACCATTTCATCGATTGTTTTTGTTCTTCTTGATGTTGGTGGTGATGATGATGATGTATTTGTTGTTGTTGTTGGTGTTGCTGGTTTTGTTATTGTAATTGTTGGTTTGTTGTTTTCATTGTTATCGTTGTTACTCGAGGTTGTTGAAGTTGTATTCTCTAGCAATGAAGGTGATGAAATCGATGGTGTAATAGATACAGCAGCACTTTGCTTTGTACCAGCACTATTTGAAATAGATTCAATGGCAGCAGGTGAAGATGATGCAGATGAACTGGAGATGCAAGAGGACATCGACGATGATCTAGATGGATGTGGTGTCGACTCTTCTGACATCAAATCGATTGACAATGAATGTTGCTCTCTGGTAAGGTTAACATTGTTATGCATTTCCAATTTCTCAAATGATCTTTTCAATAGTTCATCTTCAATTGGTTTCAATTCTTCAGTATTATTGGTTGATGATGTTATTGATGTAGTTGATTTATCATTTTGATCAGATTCTTCATCTGAACTGGTTTCACCAACAATCAAATTCGGATTGAATTCGTCACCCACCGGATTCAAATCGATTTGATCTGGCAGTTGTTGTTGCTGTAGTTTGTGTGCACCAATGACGGCAGAGATGGTTGGAGTTAACTCTAGTTGTTTGATCTCTAAAACCTGTTGTTCTCTCTGTTGTTTCTCCAATTTCAATTTCTTAAGCAATCGAATTGCCAGCCATCTACGTACGACCGACTGAACCTTGACTATACACCATATTCTATGTGAATTCTTTGAAACGATTCTAACGTTTGGATAACCAATCGATAGTTTTTTCAATAATTTTAAAATATTTATCATCATTTTTTTAATATTTAGAAAAGTAGGCGTAGGTATGTTAGAAATATTTGTTTAAAAAACAATTAAAAAAATGATTGATTGATTGACCATTCAATTTGATTTGAAATTAAAATCAAATTAAAATTAATTAATCAACAATACAATTATTATTAACATTTACATACACTCCTGATTTTACTCTGGATGAAATTGGTCTATGTTGTTGATGTTGATCGGGTCGTTTTGAGAACTGACTGACAGTAGAAGTCCTTGCCAACATTCTGTTATATTCTTTTGTCGTGATGTGATGCGATGCGATGTGATGCGATATGATGTGTTGGTTATTTTATTTTATTTTTTTATTGCTAATTTACTACTAACTACTATTGCTATTTTCTATTATTAAAACTACTACTACAGTCTAATCTTGATTTGATTTGCTTTTTGGTAATTCTACTTGAATGATTTGATGGATTGTTTGATTGATTTGGTTGACAATATTACTAATGATTTGTGATGTAAATGAATGAATAAAAATGTAACTATTTTAATAATTACAATGTAAATATAGATAAACTTGTAAATTTACTTCTTCTACTATTTAGTTTGTGCGATTGTTTTTGGTGTTAGATTTAAATCTGGATGCGTTTACCGAATTGTGGTTGTTGTTGTTGGATTAATTTGATTTGATATTCAATTCCTAAACACCACCCTTTTTTTTGATTGGTGAATACTAGTATGATTCAAGTGAAAAGATATATCTGATCAATCTGTTCTTATTAATTCTATTTCATAATATTCTACTATTGTTGCTGCTGTTGATTATGATGTCCTATCAATTTATAAAGTGTTACTACACTATTTGTAAATCTATATTTTAAATATAAAAAATAAAATCCGGAAGAAATAAATTAATAAAGAGAAATAAGCTTATTTATTTATCCCATATATGAAATAAAATAAACAAAACAAAACAAAACAAAAAAAAAGATATTTTACAATTATTTAAAATTTTAATCATCCCATATGGATATCATGTCATGTCATATGATGATAATGATAATGATATTGATGATGATGATAATAATGATGAAGTAGGTTGATGATCTATTTGTTTAATTGTTTGTGTTGTGTTGTGTTGTGTCTGTCTGATTCATATATATTTATATTAAAAAAATTTTTTTTTAATTGGAATTCCACTACCAAGACAAGATAAAAATTAAAAATAATCAAGAAATTTAATAAACTGAGGATGAAAATGAGAATTGGTGTTTGATTGATGAAAAACGATGATCGTTGGGTGAAAAAAAATGAGTTGGGGATTTAAAAACAAAAAAAATTGTAAACAATCAATTTATATTGCATGCAAACAGTTGTTTTGCTTTGAGATAATCGGTTTTGATAGTTTTTTTTCCTCCTTCTCCAAACAAAAAAGTGTAGAATAGACTTGTTTATAAACCACTTTGTCATTTAAACCCATACCATTATCTTATCTAAATTATTTACCTACACATGTTAAATTACACTTTTTTTATTATCTTTATATTTTTTTTTTTGTTATTAATTGATTGGGTTAACGTATAAATATGTGTGTTTTTTTTGTTAAATATTTATTTATTTATTTAGCAAGTTTAACAAACAAACAAATAATAAATAAAAGAAATATATATATATTACTATGAGTACTACTTCAATACAATATTTTTTGATATATAATTAAACTTTTCCTTTACTGTAATTAGTTTTTTTTTTTTTGGTTTTTCTGTTTTGTTTATTTTAAAAGTAAACAGTACCAATATCAAATTGAAATACCAACCAAACCATCTTGACACCAATGTTATAAATTTGCTTTGTTTTTACCAATTGGTTTTAATTATTGTTTGTTTTTTGTTGAGAGTAAAGTTTAGTGTGTGTGTGGGTGGTTGATGATGGATTCCTATCTGAAACTGTGGTATAAAATAAATAGTCAAGCATTGATGTATGAAAAAAACAATGAAAATGGAAAGAATGTATGAATATTTGGTTTACTTTGTTGTTATTGGTTTTTATCGTTGCTGTAGTTGGTGGTACCCGAGTTTAGTTGTGATGTTTAGGTTTGTATGTTACTTTTGAATGACATTCATACCAATTCCATTTAATTCCAATCCAATCTTGTAAGTTATGTCGACAACACAACAATAACTACAACTATACAAATACAAAAATAATACTATTGTTATTATTATTATTATTTCTTCGTGGTATACAATATAAAAGTATAATTTTAAGATTTTATTTTTAAATCTTTCAAAATTAATACAAAAAGGTGTTCCACACAAACTGCTTCCGTGTTTGTTGTTGGAAACAGTTTTTTTTTTTGAATCCAAATTGCTATTCCTGTTTTGTAAAGTAGTTGTTTTGTTTGATACTGATATCTCAGTACATGGTTGAAATGTTCATTGAAAATTGCAACAAAATCTAGATTCTCATCTTGAACAATATTTATACAAATATAACTTTTTTTCAGATAAATCTTACTTTTTTTGTTTTTAAAAATCGGATATTACATAAACATTTATTACTACTATTTATTATATTATTATTATTTTTAGTACTATTATTATACAATTATATTATTACTATTATTATTATTTGACAAATTAATTTTATTAATGTATAGCTGTTCAATATTGAACTTAACTATAATAATATTACACTAAACTATGATTTTCTTTATTTTATTTTTGTTTTTTGTTTGTGATCACAATGTCCAAACAATTCAATAGTTGTCTCTGTTTTAACTTTGAAAGACTATAATTTTATAATAAAAAGAAAATATATCTTTTTTTTTTTTTTATTTAAATGAAAGTTTTGAAGGTAATGTGTGGGTTGGGCATTGCATGTTTTTTTAAATGGTTTTTGTCACACCATAATCATATAAATGGGGGATAGTTAATTAAAAAACCCCCAACCTGTTAATGCAAAATTAAAAAAATTGAATTTTTAAATATTTGAAAAATTGTTTATTTGAAAAAACCTTGTTGTTTTCCTCAAATTAAAGTAAATGATGGTAATCTTGTTGTGATCTCAAATCTAACCATTATATTGCGATTTTATAATTTACAATTAATTTTTATTAAATTTTTATTTAACCAGAATCAACAAAAATGATCATTCGAGATACAATCATTCATTTTTAAATATGACTACCTAAGTTGAACAGACATCTTGAAAAAATAAAGTTAAATTAAAGTTAATTTTTTGAACTTTAATTTAACTTTATTTTTTCAAGATGTCTGTTCAAAAAATTACTTTAAAAAACTGTATTAGACTATTATTTTTCATGGTTTCTAATGCCAATGAAATTAAAATATATAACTTGAATAATGAACACAAACTATAAATTAAAATAATGTTAAGAATGATATTCTTTCATTAAATATTTCATGTTCATTCATTCATACATTCATTTTTATCATGACTTTCGTCATAGCAAATAGGATAGAACATTTAAACTCTAACAATGACAATCAAAACATGGGAAATCCAAAATCATTCATCTTAGAGAGGTAAAGCGCCCAGCAGATATATTTTGTTTTAACAATAACTAACCTAACACAATCCACCTAATTAATTAGATTCACAGAGGATAATCGATGATGGCGATGAAAGTGACAGAGTGGAACTTGAGCCATATACTATAGCTGAGAATATTACGATCAAGAAGTACTTATCGAAACATGAACGATTCGGCTTCAAGAATCGACTTGCCTATGTCCGTGGATCAGTGCTAGTCTATGAGCTTGAGATATCTATAGCTAACGCTATGCTTTCTGATTGGTTCTCTAGTAGGTGGGCTCCATGTGGTTTAGGCACAGATTTTGGTCGATACCTCCAGAGACCAGGCACCGTCGATCTCACTGTTGCTCCTGGCACCATAGTCCAACAAGCCGATCAATCGTTTAGGCCGTACGGTCGTGTAGGATTGGCTGCCAATGCAACTGGTGTAACATTCCCAACGATGGTAATCGAGGTTGGTGTTAGCCAGTCGCTCAATTCGCTCCATGAAAAAGCACAGCGTTATCTGTTGCCAACAACCGATATATAGTGTTGATAATTGTTATATATTTTATTATTCCTACTTTTGTTGTTATTTTTATCACAGTTTCTTGATGATAGCTCATTGGGAACGAGATTGAATTTTACTCTTACAATGACACCCAAGAGATCTACAACCGTTCAGGGGCAGAGAGGTAGAACAAAGAAGACAAAGAGTGCCACAACTCAAGTTGTTAACAACACCCAGTCGCAAGATTCTCCTTAAGAAGAACATCGTACATGGGAGTCGACTATCATCCATCTCAAAAAGGTAATAATGTATTTTCTTCATTAAACACACTGATGCATCTTAATTCACATAGGAGAACAGATGGCTATCCTATTCATGGACACCTCGATGCAGCTACAGCTCCTCCTGTTGTTGGTAATCCACCAAACCCAGTGTACACACTCAATGAAAGCCTACCTATATTTTATAACGATACCGCAGAGATAGACATCTTGATGACTAACAACATAATTAACAGATACCCGCCACTTTATAAAGTGACAACACTCAAATAAAAAAAAAATAAGTTTAAAATTTATTATCTATCTATATATCAAATATTCAATATTCATTCAAATATTCTTTTTATAAATAAATAATAAAATAATTTAATTTATCGTTTTATTTAAATAAATTAAATTATTTTTAACAGACTTTTTTTTTTTTTTTTTTTTTTGATGTTCAATTTTTTTAATAAATTTTTAAATTTAAATTATTTTATTTTATTTTTTTTTGATCATTTTTAATTAATTGTAGATAGTTAGATAATCACATATATACACATATATAATTCAATATATTTTTTTGTAATTTAATAGTTTTTTTGTTTTTGATATAATAATAATAATAATATATAGATAAAATAAGTTTAGAAAATGAATAGACAATCGATTATGAGTTTATTTGGTAGAGATGGTATGGGAATGGAGAAGATTACAGATGCTACACCATTACCAGATACAGCTGAAACCATACATATATCATCTTTAGCTTTATTAAAAATGTTACAACATGGTATGTTATTATTATTACTTTTTAATTGTTCATTTTTAATTTTATTAATATTTATTTAATTAATAATCAATCAATCAATCAATCAATCAATTAATTAATCAATCGATTATTATAGCAAGAGCAGGTGTACCACTTGAAGTTATGGGTTTGATGCTTGGTGAGCTGATTGATGAATATACTATTAGAGTGATCGATGTGTTTGCCATGCCACAGAGTGGTACCAGTGTCAGTGTCGAAGCGATCGATCCCGTCTTCCAAACCAAGATGTTGGATATGTTGAAACAGACCGGTCGTAATGAGATCGTTATCGGTTGGTATCACAGTCATCCGGGATTCGGATGTTGGTTGTCGTCGGTCGACGTCAACACTCAGCAGTCATTCGAGCAGCTACAGGCACGTGCCGTTGCCGTCGTAGTCGATCCACTGCAATCCGTAAGAGGTAAAGTCGTAATCGATGCCTTCCGTACCATAAAGACACCGCCCACCTCTGAACCACGTCAGATCACATCGAACCTCGGACATCTCCAGGACGCATCGATCCAGGCACTCATCCACGGACTCAACCGTACCTACTACTCGATCGCCATCAACTACAGAAAGAACGAACTCGAGCAAAAGATGCTCTTGAATCTTCACAAGAAGAAATGGACCGAAGCTTTGAATCTCGAGAAATTCGATACTCACTCACAAAACAATGAAAAGAAATTAAGTGTATGTAATTGACATGTTACAACAACATCTTCTTCTATCGTTTTTGTTTATTAATAATACTTTTTACTTACTTGCTTTATCATATAATATCTATATAATTATAGGATTTGTTAGAGTTGACTAAATCATATCATAAATCGATTCAAGAAGAAGATAAGATTACCGACCCAGAGAAGAAAGAGGTATCTTTGGTTGGTAAATTGGATCCAAAGAAGCATTTGGTTGCCGATGTACATTCTTTGATGGCTTCAAATGTAGTTAGAGTTTTAACTGTCATGTTAGATACAACTGTATTCTAAATTAATTAAAATTAAAAAATAAATCAATCATCCAAATCATATCAAACACCCTGCAAGTAAATACACAATAAATCAACCTCCAACACAATTTCAAATTCAAATTCAAACAACACAAATACAAATACAAACCAAACCAACACTTAAAAATAAATAAAACAATTAAAAAAATAAACAAATTGCAAGATTGTAAAAGTTCGCAAAAATGCATTGCAACTTTCTTTTTTGTGTTGGTTTGCAAATGAGGGATGCGTCGCCCGACAACTTTTTTACGATTATAGAATCTGATATTGATTGTTGTGCACAACATTTTTTTTAAACTTAAATTAATCTTCTTTTTTTCTTAATTTTTATTATTCTTTCATCATTGTCATCAACAGATAACCTATAATCTGTATCAAATAAACTGATTTAAACTATTTAATATTCGATGTCATTTCCATTCCCATCATTCTGTGCTGGCTGTGGCAAAAGCAAAAGACCAAACGAACCTCATCAATGTGATTTACCACCTAGAACTACAGATACATTCTGTGTACATTGCCGATCATGGATATCAGTCCCTACTGCAAGAAGATGTCCAAATTGCAATAGCGTATTACATGGAGGCATAGTTGTGAGTAATCCTAATGAACCAGACTACTCAGTGGTTCATTATCACAGAGGTAATACTAATAGAAATCCATATGGTGGAAATCCTTTTGGAGGAAATCCTAATGGTGGTTTTGGTGGAAATCCTTATAGTGGCAATCCTTATGGTGGCGGAGGTGGATTTATTGGTAATCAGCCATGGTTTTAAATGTATTATTAGTATATTGTTAGTTATTAATTTAAAATTAATAAAATAGATATAATTCTTGTTTACGAATGGAGACAGGTGGTCACCTTTCAAAATTAAACAGAAAAATAACAAATAGATGATCGATTTAAATAAATATCATTGAGTTAAATCCATTAATTAAATATTTTATATTTCTGAATTAGAAATTTTACTAAATGATTCCTCAGAAAGGTGGTAGCTTGCTGTTACATGCAAGAAAAAAATTAGTGTGAAAAAGTTTACCATCTAAAATTTAAGTTTTATTTTTATCCCTCATATGAATTTTTTTTAAAACCATTTAACAAACTAATTATAGTTCTTTTGTTACTTTTACAAAAACAATAATAATTCTTAACAAATAATTTTATTGAAAAGTTACTTTAATATAAATGTCATCAATGTCTAATAGCAATGGTAAGAAAAAAAAATTTTTTGTTGCTGTTTTTAAAAAATTTATTTTTCTAATTTTTTTTTGTTTATGCTAAAGATATATGTTTTACAAAAGTATTTCAAAATAAGATACTTCTTCAAAAGCTACTGAAACATGTGAGAGAAGATATCAATGGTCATTCGGTTCAAGATGAAATGTTCTTGTTTAAAAGGCGAAAGTACAATCATTGGAGCAGAGGATATGAAATTCTTGGTAAAAATCATATTGGTTTGTTTGTTGACAAGATTAAAACAGGTCGATATATAGAGATCTCGAGGTCTGACATATCAAGTTTCTGTATGAAAGTAAAGGATATCAATCAATTTATGGTGGTGTAGAGCAAGTACAGAGACACTCTATTTATATCTAGAGATTTGATATCAAATGCATGTAGAGCTGGTAACATTGAAATTGTAAAGATACTTCTCAATCAAACATCACCGATTCAACTTAAAAGAGATGGTGCATTTAAAGGTGCTTTGATAGGTGGTCATGTGGAAATTCTCGATTATCTCGTGAAGAATGGAATCGATCCTATCAATGAATTGGACAAGAAGATAATGGATGATTTAATCAATTACCCAAAGATCCAATCAATCGAATGGTTATTTGCTAAATTCGGTGAGGATATCATCATGGAAAAGTACAAGACTACCCTCGGAACTTTATATTTCAATCCACAATTGAGCGATGATAAAGTATTTATCTATCGATTATTAAAGAAACATGGTTATACTTTTGGTCCAAAGATAATAGAGCCGATCATTAACGGTAATCTCTCTCTCAGTAATTCTATAGAATTATTATCATATCTCATGGTTAATAAGGAGAGCAATCATCTTGGAGTTACTTCAGAAACAGATACCAAATACCTCTTATCAATGAAAGAGAGTATAGTAAAACAATTTCCAATTCCTGAATCACCCCTGGTTGACAATCTCTGTTATAATCTCCTACTTCTTGATGTTATGTATCATCATCACGGTGCATTATACTCAAGTGATTATATTGGCAAAACAGTCTCAGAAATCGTTAGAATTAAACTTCAATTGGCAGGTCAATTAAATATATCAAACCAATCAATCATCGATGATTTTCTATCGAAGATCGTTTCACTCAATATGAATATAGATGATCGTGGAAATGTAAAAGATGAAACCAATCTTCGAAAGACTCTAACATTGTTATTCAATCATGGATCTCGCAATCAAATTGAGTATCTTGTCAATAGAATGGATACCGATCGATCAATCATTGAAGTACCTCTTCAAGAATGTATTTATCGATGTGTTGCATCACTTTTCGAAAGAGAAGATGGAAATCTTGCAATTCAAATGATTGAATGCATAAAGAGAGTTTTCACCAAACAAGGTTTAAAGTTATTCAGAAACTTTAAAGAAGATCGCAGGGACCATGGAAATGCTTGCATGATATATGAAAGATCACATCAGAAAGCTGGATCAAAAGAATCAATTCTTTATCTCATGGATAACCTTGATGGATGGCAAGTTGATATTCATGACAATGAAACTACTCAGCGATTTGGTTCATTAATATTCGATCAATTGGTAATGCGTGGAAAAGTTATCAAAGAAGATGGATCACTATCAAATGAAGCATGGCATATTATTGAAAGATCAAGAACTAAGCAGCAATTGGATCACATTTTGAAATATGAAGGAGTCATCCAAGCAACAACTGAGGATCAATCAATATGGAACAAAAAGGAATATAATGCACTTGATTTTACAATCAAATATGCACCAACTATTCATCGAATGTTTCTTATTGGTATCTGGATTGGTACATATCATTTTTATGAAGTACAAACGATAGAATTCCTCAATTGGTTGACAATATATGCCAAGGGTTGTCTAAAGTTTGATCATAAGATAATTCAAGATCCAGAATTGATCTTTCATGTCTTGAAGAACAAAATCTTCTCAGATGTTAATCTCTCTTGCTTTGATATCAAACAACTAATGACAATTAAGCAAAATCCAAATCTATTAAGATTCATCTATGAAAATCACAGATCTCAATGGAATCAAGTGGTGAGAAACAACATGTTGGATATCCTTAGATCATCGAACGAAATTCTTGACCTAATATTCGGAATCGATCCCGATGCAATGAAATTATTAACAAACAATGCCCAGGACTTTGTACCAAGGCTCCATGAATATTATTACGACAGATTGTTTTGGATGCATAGAAAAGGAACTCATCTTTCTTTGGATGAAACCATCACAAAGTTTGGTGATTCAACTGGTATTCTTACGTTGATCAATAGAGAAACCAAAAAAATAACAAAGACAAACGCAAATCAGACAATCAAACAAAAATCAAATAATAAAAAACAAAAAAATTAATTAAATTAATTTCATTCATTTTTTTTGCAAAACAAAACGAACGTACCTTTTTTTTTTTTAAATTTTAATTTATCATTTTTTTGGTTAGTTATATAGATAAAAATGAAGAGAGCAGCAGATGAAGATGAAGTTGAAATGGATGATGATGTAGAAGATCAATCGGCTAATACAACTGCAGCAGCGACAAAGAAGAAGAAGAAACAGGTAAAGAAAAAGTCAAAGCCAGTACCTCTGACCAAGTCGGTTCCATCGGCATCGGCAGCAGCACCACCAAAACCAATACATATGGTACCGAAACAAATGCAACCAATCACCAAAGTACACTTTAATGACATCGGTCAGAACGCTGCCACCAATAGCGATCACCGTGTCGAAGCCGACGGTGTCATGTCGTGGTTGCTCGGTTCAAAGGTGTCACTCGATGAGTTCTACGACGACTATTTCGGTGTGAAGCATCTCGTTGTGAAACGTGGTGACTCGAACTACTACAAGTCGTTCTTCACCAAGGATTCAATCGATAAGATGCTCAAGAGCAACTGTCTCAAGTTCAGCGAGAACATCGACGTCACCAACTATGTTGATGGCGAGCGTCAAACTTTGAATCCAGAGGGTCGTGCTTACCCCGCTCAAGTATGGAAACACTACCGTGAGGGATGTTCGATCCGTCTTCTCAATCCACAGACATTCAACGCCAACGTCTGGAGAGTTCTCTCCACACTACAAACTCACTTCCAATGCGGAATGGGTGCCAATGTCTACCTAACTCCAGCTGGCGCACAAGGATTCGCTCCACACTACGACGACGTTGACGTCTTTATCATCCAACTGGAAGGTAAAAAAGTATGGAGATTATATCCACCAAGAAGTGAACAAGAAGTTTTAGCAAAGAAATCAAGTGGTATGTTGTTGTTACTGAATTCAAATAATATACTACAAGTTTATTAATTAACAATTGTTTTCTAGATAATTTTGAACAAGAAGAAATTGGAGAACCAATCGTTGAGGTTACTTTGGAAGCTGGTGATGTTATGTATTTCCCAAGAGGTGTTATTCATCAAGCTTATAGTCCAGAGGATGTACATTCATTGCATATCACCATTTCGACATATATGAATAATACTTGGGGTGATTTGATTGGAAAGGTGTTGACACGTGCACTCGACATTGCCAACGATGAGTATGTTGAGTTCCGTGAGGGACTGCCACGTGACTACACTCAGTTCCTCGGTGTGATGCACTCTGATAAAGCGGGTGACGAACGTCGTAAGGAGCTGTTGGACAAGGTTGGAACACTCTGGGAGAAGCTCGGTCAGTGTTTGCCAACCGATGTCGGTGCCGATTTGATGGCCGTAAAATTCTTGCACGATTCGCTGCCACCCGTTTTCAATCAACTCGAAAAGAAACACTCGATCGAAGACGACAATGCAGCGAGCGAATTGAAGTTGGAGAGTCGTGTGCGTTTGATTCGTCAGGACTCGATTAGAATTGTTCATGAAGACATTGCAGTGTGCTACCACAACATGGACAACACAAGAGTCTATCACCAAGTTGGAACGGAGCCTGGTGTCATTGAATTCACATTGGAGTGTGTCGATGCCATCGAACACCTGATCGACTCTTACCCAACTTATATTTCCATCAAAGATCTTCCAGCAGAATCCGATCTACAGAAATTGGACGTTGCAAATGCACTTTATGAAAAAGGTTTATTAATGATTGAAAAATAAATAAAATAAAAAAAAGAGAATAGAATGTTTTTTTTTTAAAATCGTCATTTGTTCAAGCTATCTGAGATAATTAACAGATATATCTGTTTTTCAGACTATTTTCATTGGGTCTAATGAACTACAAATAAAAATAGTCATTATTTGGTTTGATAAGGTCTCCACCGGTGGGGTGGGTAAGGAATATCATTGTTTGTCGCAGTTAGTTGTATTATTATGATCATAATACACCCTCCATTATTCATAAATAATTGGTGTATCTTTGAATTCTTATAAAGTCTATAAGCTTAGTAAGATAATAATCCGATCAGCTAAACAACTAAGAAACTTTTCGATTTTGTATCTCTAAATAAGTCTATTAACATTTCACCTATTGATAACCTATAAAAATCTTTTTAAAAAATAAATAAATAAAGTGATTGATCACTTTGATGCAACCCAAAGCCAATTTAAACAACATGTTGGTTAGTTTCAAAGAAAAAAAAATAAAATGAAACAAAATAAAAAAAATTTTCAAACCTTTTTTTTTTAAAAACTAAAAGTGTTGGTTACAGGGTTGTTTTTTTGATTTATTTTATTCATATCATTTTTAAATATTATCTTTTTTGAACTAGTTAGTAAAAGAACATAAAAAAAATGATTGATAAAGCAAATACACAACAACAACTTAGTGATAACATTGCGACGATAGGTGTCATAGGTCTTGGTGTTTTCATTACTGTCTTTACTGGCTCTATGATCTATGGATTACTATTGTTTGGTACTGTTTTGTTCTATACTTCATATTCAAAGAGATTGGAATCAACAACAACAACATCATCATCATCATCATCATCATCGGCAGCACCTTCAAAGTCATCTGGTACACCAACAACTTTAATATCAAATGTAGAAGAAAAACTTAAACAGATGGTGTCAAGTGCTAATGCTGCTATTGCTAATGCTAATGCATCTTCGACATCAAAACAAACTACATCGTCATCGCCAATGAAAGTTACTGCACAACTTAACAAATCATTACCACAAACACCACCAACCACGTCAACATCAACAACTACAAGTCCATCCACTACACCCAATAAACCGTTGAGACAAGTACCAAATCCTCCAGTTCCACCAAGACCATCTACAACAACTGTCAGTGCAGAGTTGGCTCCACCTCTTCCACCAAGAAAACAACCCATTGCCACAGAGGAAGAGGAAACCGCTCCACCACCTCCTCCACGTAGATCGTCAGTTCCCCTTCCAAATCCATCACCTGTATCATCACCAGTCAAAGTTGTACCAAAGCCAGCATCCACTCCAGCTACACCTTCAACACCGTCCACTCCATCAACTCCAAACGTTGCTGTTACAGATTCTCCAACTAAATCATCCCCATTCAAACCAACAACAACAACAACTTCATCCTCTTCAACACCATCTTCATCATCACCAACATCGGAAGGTAAATCATCTAAAGCAGCAGGAATGTCAACACTTCGTGGACTCATTGGAGGTGTCGTAAAGAATATTACAGGACCACAGATATCGTCGGAGGAGCGTGAAAAGAACAACCTCAAGCGTAAGAACATTGCCGATGAGATTCTACAGACTGAGAAGGTGTACGTCGGTAAACTCAAGGTTATTGTCGAAGTCTTTTACATCCCATTGAAGACTGCGGCAACTGAGAATCCACATCCTCCACTCACCATCGAACAGGTACACTCTATCTTCTCAGAGATCGTAACCATCTACAATTACAACTCTCATTTCCTCAATTCACTACAAGACAGAATTAGCAAATCAACAAGCTCTTCAACAACAGTATTAGGTGATATTTTCATTTCAATCGTAAGTTATTAATATTATAACATGATTAACTTTGCTTTTAAATGGTAGCAATTGCACATTTATTAATTATCCAATCCGAATCAATATAAATTTCTATAGACTGATTTCCTAAAGACATATACTGTTTATATTAATAACTATTCGAAATCGATGGAGACTTTGGAAAGAGCGAAAAAGAATCAATCTCTAGTTAATCTTTTGGATATATTCTCTCAGAATCCGGCATGTGATTGTTTGGGATTGGAATCAATGTTGATTATGCCCGTTCAACGTATTCCAAGATACATTTTGTTGTTGACCGAGCTCTCAAAGGTAACCGATAAGAATAGCTCTGACTTTGCACCACTGCAGAAAGCGTTGGAGAAGATGAAGGTACTTGCCTCCGATATGAATGAGAACAGACGTGAAGCGGAACTGCTCAACCGTATGTACGAAATACAGAATACTCTCGATGGCTATCATGACGGTGACTTTATCTCACCCGCTAGAAAACTGATTGCCGAAGCCAACTTTCAAGAGAGATCCGTCAAGAACGGTAGTCCGAAACCAAGAGACAGCGTATCAAAGAGCTCCAACGTTCATTACATCCTCTGTAATGATATTCTTCTGAGAACCAAACAAAAAGGTAAAAAGCTACAACTCAAAGAAGTAATCTCTGTAAATAACATTTCATTTAAAGATATTCCAGGTACGTTTTAACAACAATCTATTAAAGTGTTAATCCGATTAAACTAACTTTTATTTATACTATTTTATTAGATGAACCATTGGCAATAGTATCATCTGATGGTGATATATTATTATTAAAATCAGAAGAGGATCCAATAGAAGAGAAATGGAAAGACTTAATTAGAAATCAACAAAAGATTAATAAGGATAATGAAATCTCGTTTGGTGTAAAAAGAGATTCATTGCGTTTGTAGCATTTAAACTAAATGTATTTTTAATTGAAAAAAAATAAACAAAAAATCAATAATTGTTTGTTATTTATTAATTTCTTTATGTACTTATTATATTATTATTAAATAGATTATTACAATAAAAACTTTTTTTTTTTTTCAATATTTAAAATTATTATCATTTTCTAAACTAAAATGTCATCAGATAAGCTGGTGTCACAAAACCAAAAAAGACCAATCCTAGCCAAAAAACAAAATAAAATAATATCATGATGGAGTGGTGGTCTATGATTGGAATGGTAATTGGTTGTAGGCACGGTAATCATCTCTTGAAAGAACTCTACCAGTAGTTGAGAATAGTCTTTCTGAGTCTACTGAAGAAAGTGGGAATGATAATAGTATTCAGGCTGTTTTAAATAGAGATACACATAGAACAAACAAACCTAAAAAAAAAAAAAATAATTAATAAATTATTAATTTAAATTAGGAAAAAAAATTCTAAAATCAAATAAGATAGTATTCATACACTCTAGTTTGAAACCTAAATATATTCACTAGAATTTCCATTATCAATGGTAGGTTGTCAGTCATGATTTCATCGGTTGGAAGATGGGAATTGGTCTCGGAAGCACGAATATTCCTAGTGATAATTACAAATAGTTCTATTTGATGACATTTTAGTTTAGAACTTAATAAAAATTTATAAATAAATAAAAAAAAAGTGGAATTAAGAAATAAAAAGACTAGGAAAAAAATTAAATAAATAAATAAATAAATTTGTATTCCAAAATTAGTTTTATTTTCCATTAACTAGTTAGAATATTTATTTATCAAATTTCAACCCTTTTTAAAGTGAATTTTTATCCTCCAAACTTAGAATCAATATTAATTTTATTTTTTAAAGATATCTAGCAGTCAAAGATATTAATATACAGGTAGTTTCGGAGATGCAATTGTTTGTGATACTAAACTTTAACAATTTTCTGAAATGATCTCTCCTTTTTCTTAAAGTAGTGCTTTTTATAATAAATACATTACATCTATTAAGAATTGGAAGAATTCATTAAAATTTATTATCCTCAACACTGTTGCATTTAAATATAAGAAATAGATATTGTATCAAGAAACTGAGCAACACAATTCTATCTTAGTAAAAAAAAAAATAGTCAAAATGATCATGATATTATTTCAATTAAGATTAAAAAAGATTTATTATAGGTACAAAAAGAAAAAAAAAGGTAAATTGTTTAATAATTACTTATCGTTGGCGTGTGTTGTGTTGGTTTTATATAAACTACTATTATTATTATTATTATTATTATTATTATTATTATTATTATTATTATTAAATTGTATATGTTGTGGTGATTGATAATGAATCGCTATGTTATTAAAATAGTATAATATTATTAACTAGGCAGTAGCGAAAGCTGTTTAGTTCCATGAGGAAGTTGAGCTTTGCTTACCGATACCGTATTTCATTCTCATCTCCTCACGTCTTCTGTCGGTGAGTGGTGTTTGAGAGTGATTCGATGATAAGAGGCTACGAGTCTCCTCGTCTTGGATGTGGTAGACCTTGGTGACCTTCTTACGACGGCAACAGCAACAGCAGATCAAAGCGAGGAAGAATACGATGATGAACAAAGCGATACCACCGGCAATCAACAAGGTGTAGAGTCCTTGCATCTTGCATTGCATCCATTGGAAGTCCTTGCAGGTATCGATTGGCTTGGAACCGTAGAAGGTACCGCTGACACAGACCTTGTCACCCTCACACCAGACACAATCACGATCGTCGGTACACGACGAACAATCGGTCTTTGATGCACAAGTACCGTTCTTGGCTACCTCACCAGATGAGGAGGTGTCATTACTCGAACTGAGAAGCATACCATAAGCACTTGAGTGTAATTGTGATGGTGAAGCAATAACAGCACCTATAATAATCAATCAAAAATTAATTAATTAATATATTTATTTATTTTGTAATAATTAATAAAAATACTTACAAGTTAGTGCTAATAAAGCTAAGACTACTAAAGTTAATTTCATTGTATTATATATGTATAGTTAAAAATATGTGTGTTTGTTTAAATTAATAAGAAAAAAAATGGTGTGCCGATTTGTCTTTTATTATTTTTTTTTAATTTTTACAAATTACAAAAATAAAAAATAAATTCTTTGTAATTCGAGAAAAATTTTAAAATTTTTTTTTAAAAAATACATCATCAATTTTTAAAACAGCAAAAAAGGTTAAAAAAACAATCAGATTTTTTTTTCCTTCAAAATTGGGTGTTAGTGTTATCTTTGATTGGAAAGAAAGAATATATTTATATATTAGATGGATCGGAAATAATAATCAAAATTGAATTGTCAATCATCCTAAAAATTTGGAAACAAAAATTTGAGAAAATTTCCTTTGGTAAAAAACTTTACTAAAACAAATCTTGAGAATCAATTTTTAAACAGTAGAATTTGTTTTTTAATCTTATCTAAAGAAATTAATTTTATTTAATACCTTTTATTGGTAGAGTTAAAATAAAATAAAAAAGATAAAGAAAAGTTTTCGACCACAATGTTTGCAGTTAGAATTTGTATTTTTTTTTTTTAAAAAAATAATTAGATTTGTAAAAATTTTTGATCTTTTTGATTGAATTAACCAATCATTTGAATGATTGATTGTTTTGTGATTAGTTTACTTTTTTTTTTTTGTTTTGGAAAATATAAATGGATTCTAGTAATAATAATAGTTTATTATTTAAAAAGATAATATCAAATATTGTGTTATCAAATAAAATATTTAAATTTATATATGAAATCGATATTATTAAAAGAGATAAAAGCAGTCACAGGCATTTGCGATGGAAAGTGTTAATAGAAACACCCTCTGCTCTAATGGAATATGGTTATTTGGAGTTGTTGAAACACTATATCGAGAGAAAGCAGAGTGAATGCAAACCGAATGAACTGCGCAAGCTGTTCGATTCAAAGATTAAACCGTTTCTAAATCGGGTCATTGTCGTTGGTAACCCTAGAATCATCGATTACTTGCTATCGGTGTTCACCGAAGCTGTCACCAAGTGGGATGATAACTTGGCAATGTTTGCAGTGAAGCATAAGCACTTTGATGTTCTCCAACTGCTTGCCGAGAAGAGAACCGATCAGAACTTGGAGATCGCTCTTAATAAAGCTGCTTTCGATGGTGAAGTTGAAATGGTTAGTTATCTCCTCGACAAAGTGTACGATCCATCTCTAATCTCAGATACAGACAAAAATAACTATCAACATAGATTGATAGTGACCGGTACTCTAGGGATTGTCAAACTACTCAAGAATATCAACATTACAAAAATCATTTCAAAATCAGTAGTAGAATTGTTGTGTGGATATAAAAAGTTTGATATACTTCAATATTTATTATTAGAATACTATCAAAATAATAGCAATAGTAATAATAATAATAATAGTAATAATAATAATATTTTTAATAACTTAATTACTGTATATAGTTTGGAAAAGATTACAGAGTTTTGTGATTTTCAATTGTTTAAAATCATTATGGAGAATTCAACTGATTGTAGGATTACAGTAAAAACAATTGAGAGAGCAGCAGCCAGCAATAAAATAGAGGTTCTCGAATGGATTAATAAGAACAAAAGAAATGCAGTTTGGAGTAAAAGTGCAATGGATTTGGCTGCGGAAAAAGGTCATTTCGATACCGTCAAGTGGATTCATTCAAATCGTACGGAAGGATGTTCAAAGCATGCAATGGACTTTGCTTCAAGACGAGGCTGGCTTGCGATCGTAAAGTTCTTACATAAAAATCGAACGGAAGGATGTTCTAAGCAAGCAATGGATTACGCAGCACAATTTGGACACTTTGAATTGGTAAAGTTCCTGCATGAGAATCGAACGGAAGGATGTTCTCTGCTTGCAATGAAACATGGATTCATTGATATTCTTCGATATCTATACGATAAATATCAGTTTGATCACATTTGGATGAATGTTGAAACAGCGATATGGCATGGACACTACGCAGCGTTGGTATTCATTTTGCAATGTAATCAGGATCAGAATTTGAGTTATAATGCATTCGAAGTGCACAGTAGCTATTGGTTGTTACGAGCACTCAAGAAAGGAACTAACTTGTCGATTGCCAAGCATATCGCTGAGAAGCGCAATTGGTGTCTAGACTTTATCACCTACAAAGATATTGTTTCACTCATTAAAAGCTACCGGCTCGACAGTATAAAGTTTGTTTTCGAGCATACCGACGCATCGACTCATTCAGAGCTATTCAATATGAAATGTTTCAACACGGCAGCGCTAGTGGGAGACCTGGAAATCTTAAAGTTCTTGCACGAAAATCAACTCATTCCAAAGCATTGGAAAGGCAATACTCAGGTTCGAGCACTTCAGAACGCTGCGACACACAACAGCGATAGAATCATCGCTTACCTCTGTAGCAATAACATTCTCTTTAGCATGAGCGACTGTCAGGTGGCCACTCTCACAGCAACCCACAAACTAAACTACCGAATCTTGAGCTACCTTATACCCCACTATCTTGAAAACACCAAACATGGAAACTTTGTGAAACTAGCTGTCTATCCAACTCAAATACTAGACGATTGTGCTCAAATCGAAAACCGAAACGATATAGTAGATCTATTTAAACATTACGATATTAGATTAGGAAATATTTATTTACCAACAACATCAACAACAAATGTTTTTATAATAAAATAATTAATATTTGGACAGACCTTAAAATAAATAGTTTTTTTTTTTTGGTGTTTATTTTATTTTTATTTTTTCCAAGGTTGAATAAAACTTTGGCATTGATGATGAGTTTGTTTGTAGATGGATTGAATTTAATTGTACAATTAACTAATAATTTAATTAAAGAAATTGAAGTGTGATTATATTAAAGAATAAAAAGTAAATTTGTAATAATAATTTAAAACTAAACAATTTTGATAATATTATATTTGTTATTTTGTTTTTTTTTGTTTTTTTTTTGGATGTAGTTTTTTCTTTTCCTTCTTTTCCTTTTTTTTTTGTTATTTTAACCAAATAATTTAGAGTGACATACTTTACAGTATGGTTTACCATTGTTGGCGGTATAGGATCCACCTGCCAATGGGTTCATACAAAAAGCGCAAACGAAATGCTCTGGATGCCATTTCTTGTCGAGTGCATCTACGCAACGACCGGACACGGCCTTACCGCAACCGGAGCAGACAGAACCAGCCTGTTGGTGATAATGGATGTCACAGTATGGCTTACCACCAAACTCGAAAAAGGTTCCACTGGCAAAACTCTTTTGACAGTATTGGCAGACGAAATGCTCTGGATGCCACTGGGTTCCGAGTGCGTTGATGCACTCACCACGAATCGGTTGGTTGCATCCACCGCAACGTGCAGCGAATGTCGAGTAGAAATCGGTTTCACAGTAGGGACGACCTTCACGCTCAAAGAAGTTACCTCCCTCGAATGGCTTCAAACACTGGGTACAGACAAAGTGGTGGACGTGCCACTTCTTTCCGAGCGCGGTGATGCAACGATCGGTGATGGCGTCGTCACAGTGTGCGCAACGTGCACAGAACAACTCTTGGTAGCACTTCTCGCAGTGGGGAATACCTTCCTGTTCGTAGAAATTCTTGGTTCCAATGGGGTTCTGGCAGTTGTGACATTGGAAATGCTCTGGATGGAAAAGCTTGCCCATGGCTTGGATGGTCTCACCGAGAATTGGCTTACGACATCCACCACAGATTCCACGTGGAGTTGGACCGGATGAGTCGATTTCGTTCATCTGACTGGTGAGGTTACTCAAGAGATTATCGAGATCGTCACCGGCCAATACCTTTGATTTTTGTGAGGTAGCTTCTTGTTGTCTTGGTGCTGCTGGTGATGCGCTGTGATTGTGGTGGTGATGGTGACTGTGGTGATTGTGATGATCGTGATCGTGATCGTGGTGATGATTGTGATTGTGATTGTTGTGAGCTGCTGCTGGTTGATGAGTGTGTTGAATGCTGACAGAGGCAGAGACGGTAGTTGGTGGAATGGCTGGAGCTGGAGTCTGTTTGTGATCGACAACCGGTTGTTGTGGATTCAAATTCTTGAGAAGTTCATCGAGATCGTCGGTACTGAGTGAAGCGGCAGCTGGTTGGTTGGCAGGTGCTTTGGTTTCCAATACTGCCTTTGATACTTGCAATGGCTGTTTCTTTGTGACAACGGTGGCAGTTGATGTATATTTGACGGGTGTGGATGGAGTGCTCGATGGTTTGGCACTGCTGGTATATGAGGTGGTAGTGGTTGCCTGAGCGGCAGGCTTTGGAATTTCGCTGCTGCTCTTGAGCGCGGTGGAAATCGACGAGTTGAGTGACTCCATCAAAGCATCCAAATCATCTGATGTATCGAGAGCTTGTTGTTGAGCACTGCTATTATTATTGTTATGATGGTGATGATGATGATCATGTGTTGATGAGGTGCTATATGAAACTGGTTCCGACTTTGGAACTGGAGTTGGATTACCACTTGTCTGAAGATCTGCCATCAACGATTCAATTTCATTCAAATTAACTTTTGATCCACTGTCTGCTGGTTTGACAGTGACACTGACAGTTGCTGTTGGTGTTTTCAATCCAGACTTGGGTCTACCCAAATCTGCCAATAACATATCTAAATCATCCATTGCTAATCCTTGATTCATTATTATTATATTATTATTATTATGGAAATATTAATTAATAAAAGTTGGAATTATTTTTATTATTTTTTTTTTTAAAGATTTAAATAGTGAATTCAGAATTGAACTATAATAAAATAGGAAAGTAAACAAATAATTTAAAAAAAAATAAAGAACAACAACCAAAATACAATTAAAACAAAACAAATGAAATTAAAATTAAATCAATTCGAAAAAAAAGAAAAAGAATAAGTTTTATTTTGCATGGCTTTGTTAGCTGTCAATTAATTCTCTTCTCTCTTCCATTATAATTGTTTAATTGAATTTAAATCACAAAGATTTGCGCACATATTATATAATATGTGATAAATTATAAAAATTGAATATGAATCACACCACAACACAACCCAAAACATCCACTTTGAACCAAATATAAAATATTATTTTGCTATGTTGATTGATTGGTATCAAGCCAAATCTTATGATCACCATATTAATGGTGGTCAGTCATTTGTTACTTTTTTTTTTTTTTACTAAATTTTTTTTCTCTATTTTTTTGTTAAAGTTTGAGATGGGTTTTTTTAAAAGGATGGATAGTTGGTTGGATTAAGTGGATAATTAACAATAAAAAAAAGAAAATATAAAAAATTGTTATAACAACTTCAACACAAACTTTGACTTATATTAGTGGTGGTGTTTGAATGATTTGTTTTTTTTTTTTAAAAAAAAAAATTGGTGTGTGTGTGTATATTCATCAGTGTGTTTTGTTTAGATTCAAATCTAAGATGGTCATCATCATTATCATCACTGATTTTAATGATATGAAAGAATTGACTTTTATTTGTATGATTTATTACTTAGATTTGAATTTGCTATGTTTTGTTTAACACCTACTATATCTATAACCTAACACTCTCACTCTCACTCACACTCTATATCTCTTCCCTCAACTCTTAATCTCTTCCTTCATTTTGATTTGAATACCTACAAAAAAAAATATATAATATGATATAAAAAAGTAAAGTGTTTGTTAAAAGTTTAGTTTTAAATGAAAAATATTGTACAAATTTGATTTTATATATAAATAAATAAATAATAAATAAATAATATGTTTTACAATAACAAAATACAATAGAATAATATAATTAGTAGTATTGTTGTTTTTGACTGAAAAAAAAAAATGGTAATGAATGGCAAAAGACAGAACAAAAATTAAATTGTGCTTGTATTCTGTGCTGTTGTTGTTGTTGGTTGGATCAAAAAGAGGTGGGTACTTGGTGTGTTGGAGGCAAAACTTAACTGACATTCTACTGCGAAATGGTCATAATTGAAAAAAATAAAAATAAAAATAAATAAAAATAAAAATATGCTAAAGTTTTTTTTTTTTTTTTTAATAAAAACCCAATTCATTTTTGGATTTTGTGGACAGGTGATTTAACAATTTTTTTCAAAAAAAAACCAAAAATTATATGAATTTTTCTGGCTCCATTCATTTAAAAAATAGTCGATCAGTTGTTGGGTGAAATAAATTTATCATCGGCGGTATTAATCTCGAGGGAGGAATTTAAACCAATAATAACACCTCATCCATTTAAAAATGATCAAAGGTAATATTAAAAAAAAAAAATAAATGAAATATTTTTAGATATTATTTTTTCAAGCCAAAAATGATAAATAAATGATTCATTTTCAAAGATTACTTATTTTTTGTTTATTATATAATGATAAAAAATTATTTTTGGTCAATATTATTAGTCCAACGGTTTCAAAGATGATCTTAACTTTTCTTAAAAATAAAATTTTTTAAATAGTGGAAGATTTTTTTTTTTTTTAAAAGAACATGATTGTTTCTCTTTTAATAGACAATTACTTCTTAAATATATTGGTAATATGCTTGGGTTTTCATAATGCAACTTTTTTCTATTATTTTTTTATTTAACAAACAATTAAAAGAAAATAAATCTTTTTTTATTTTTAATCTTATTACTACTATTATTATTATTATTATTATTTTTAATTTCATTTCCAAATATTAAAATATTGTTTTGTTTTGAAAGATTTAATATATAATTATCACATTCAAATTTGTTATTGGTATTATCAACTTTTGCTTGAATATTATTATTGATAAGCCAGAGAATGATTTCATTTCTATAGCTGCAGTGTTGTAAGATATCGGTTTTTGAAAACGCTATTTGAATTTCATTTCTCCATTTTCCATCGTCTACGTTGTACAGATAATCCAGTTGCTCTATGGTACAAAGTTCTTTTATCAATTTTAATAGTAGATCCGACAGTTGGATTGGTTCAGATCTTTGTTGGTTTTGTGGCGATTGAATAAACTCGAGATAATGTTGAACCGATGGTACTGTTAGTACTTTGGCTGTAGATGCATAGGTCCTATGTCGTGAGTGTGACATATTATCACCAATCCATTTATCATACAGACTGAGATCGGACGTAGATTTGATGGATTCGATCAGCTTGTAATTTCTATGGGCATGCGCATGGTGCAATGCCAAGAATTCCCAAGCACCATTGATTATTTCAATAAGTTTGTCTTTTTGAAGTTGAATTAAAAGTCGATAGATCTCTGGTGTTCCGTATGCTCCCATTTCAATGTGAGCTATTTCAATCCTGATCGGGCTGTCTCTCATTGTCGGATTGGCTATAGATTTAAGATATCTAAAGTTATTAGATGTGAAAGGAGTACCGTGATTGATTCTAATATTGGTATATCGGTAGTTTTGACGACGAATCACACTGTCAGCAAACACTGGTGCTATCAGTGACATAATATGGTGATATCGCCAATCATATGGTACGGTCGTTGAGAATGCAACCTTTTCAAACATGATGAACCACTCTGTCTCTGGAATAGTTGATTTACTTAGTTCCAACAGTTCCTCATACAGGCCGCGATGATTGAAGATATTCATTATTGTGTCGACACTGATTGACAGTTCTTGGTTGAAATCATTCCTTCTCATGAAAACAAACTTGATCGCTTCTCTTGATTCCACTTTAATATCTACCAGTAGATTGAAAACCATGCCAATACGCGAAGGATGAATGGTTAGGAATCGATCCAAAAGGAAATCGGCAACAATAATATTGGGATTCTTTTTCGAAATTAGATTAAACATGATCGAGTGTGAGAATTCATAAAAGTCATCGAATGGATTGTCATTCAGCTGATCGAGAATGATTCTCAGTTGTTCAAGATTCGCATATCCATAGACAAGATATTTAGAGTTGCCAGCTTGTTTCATTATCTTGGCGAGTTGCGGGTATCCAATGTTTGGAAGTGACATCTCCAGCTCTATCATCCTATCAAGGTAGTCAAGATCATTGGAATTCTGAATCAACGATTGTAGAAACAGATAGATCAACTCCCAATTGTCACTCGTCTTATGAGGATCCAAATGTGAATCTGTAGTGGACTTTAGGATTTCTGAAATCTCGAAGTTAACTTCTGTCGAGGATTCCGGTACTTTCTTTCTCTGTAGCATTAGGATTATAGCTACTATCTCTGCTTTTTCTTCGAATGATTGTTGTAGGAATGATTGATGTTTGAATAGATTCGACATATTAAGTTGATCCAAGTTGTCGAACGGTGCTTTATATCTATAGTTATAGCTATCTGCCAATTGATAAAAGATAGTCAAACCAAGTGATAGAATATGATAAACACTTGGTTTCAGTTGATCTATCATCCGCTTTATACAATCTATTTCATCTTTTCCACCAAACAACTCTAACATTGCGGAATGACCGTCGCTCTTGTCGTTCTGCCACAGCCGGAACCAATTGGCAATGTAATTCCGATGATATTCCGTCTTCTTAATGATTCTCTTGTAGTTACATTGCTGTTCCACTGGTAGCGATTTACTAATGACATGTCTGTGAAGATATAGGACGATGTCAGTGTGACCTTTGTCAATGGCAGAATCCATCGCGCCATCCAACGGTAACGCGACAGGATCCACTTGATTCACCAATAGTTTGACAATCTCAAGATTACCACCACTACACGCTGATTCAACGACACCCGCTCCTATGAAATAGCGTTGTTTCAACCGGTAGATCGAATGAAACAACTGGTAATCTCTAACGGATCTACAAAGTACTCTAGCATCATAATTGGTAAATCTAATCGAATCTCTGTAGATCGGATGTTTTAGCTTGTCAAGTAGCAGATATGGGTATGTATTGCTATGCGGATTCTCTAAAATCATATTAGAGACATCTAACCAATGATGATACTTGAAGCACTGTAATGAATATTGTTTATCTATCTGTGAGATCTTGCTATATTCCTGAATCTTTGAGAATATATATTTTGATAAAAATGTATTATTAAATAATACATTTCTTAAACTTTTATCAATTGAATATTGTTCCATTTTCTGTCTATTCTATTATATCAATCTATTTTTATTTAACTATCTATTTAAGTAAATTTTTAAAAAGATCATCATCAAAAAAGAAATATTTAAATTTATTTTTATTTCTATCAATTTTTTGGAATTGAAGTTCTAAATAAGATAGTAATGCCATTTCATTCTTATTATACGATTTTAATTTATAAATTATAATTATGTATAACTATTCTAAATTTATTATTTCTATAAATATCAAAAATATCTAGAATCATCTAATCCTCTTATGTATTAAAAATAAAATTAAAAAATCAATAGAAATCTATATCGATTTTAACTTTATTAAAAATACCAAAAGAGATTTTTATTTAATAAATTGTTCAAGTCATTTCAACGAAATCTATTGGAAGTATTATTTCCCCAATTATAGTATGGACTATTGACTGATTGAACAGAATTTGTAGTCTGACTAAAGAACGGACTTTGACTAAAAGAAGATGAGTTTGAAAGTTCAAAGGTTGTTTGTTTGTTTGATTTCATATCGAAATTAGATGAACCAAAGAGATTTTGAAGATGTTCTATTAAAATAATTTAAAATATTAATATTAAATTAAATTTTCATTAGTTTGTTTTTAATAATTACTGATTAACATTTTTTTGATAGATTTTTGATAGTATTACAAATTTAAAAAATAATAATATACAACAGTAGGTATTATACAATTTTATTTTACAAATATTGAAGAAAATATGATATTATATGATAGTTAGTTTGAGAAATTCAATATTTATAGTTTTGTTTTTAAATTGCCGTTTACTTTTTTAAACAATATTAGATTTTCAAAGATTTTATTTTGGTAACAAGAAAAAGTGATAATACTAAATTGAGTGGTTTGATCTTCACACAACACAGTTCTGGGAAGTCTATATTGAGATTATGTACTTTGGAAGTATACACTTTTTGTAGTGCCAATATCAGTTTTTTTAAAATAAAATTTATAGACAATTTTTATATTCAAATTGTGTTAAAAACAAGATGGTGTTCCCACTTTCACAGGTGTGTTTTATTGATTGTTGTAACACAGTAATCTGTGAAGGGGTGCAAAGTAAAAAAATTTGTAAAGTCGATTGTTGGTCTATAGTTGAATAATTTTTATTTGCTAATAATAGGAATACCTTTCCAATATTGTCTGTATTGGATTGATAAATATTAATAATCTGTTAACTTATCTAGGTTTAATTTTTTTTTGAACAATAATTATCATCTCCCTAAATCAGTTATCTATCTAACTGAATTTCAGTTAGTTAGATGATGTATTTTTTAAAATAATCAATTCTATTTAAAAATTAATATTTTTCAAGTAAGAGTATTGAAGATCATGAGATGATCTGTAAATCTATTTTTCAAATAATAATACAAATACAATTTTAGTATAGAATCATAAAGATACCAATACCATTATAATCTTTTACTTTTATTGCTTTCCGAACTTACTCACAAATTTTCTTGATTTTTTTGGAGGTATTTCGATCTTTTCAAAAATAAAAATGTTGTTTTGTTTGGCTAATCCTATTATATTATGATCATAATAATTTTTGTAGATATTACAATACTTGGGCTCTACTTTTGTTTGAATGTTTTTTTTGACAAGCCAAAAAACTATATCGCTTCTGATGCAATCGCAATGTCCAAGTAGATTGTTATTTGAGAAAATGATGTGAATTTCATCTTGCAATCTTCCATTGTGCAGGTCGTACAGATAGTCCAGTTGTTCAAGCGTACATTGTTCTCTAACCATTTTCAAGAGCAACTTGAGCAATTCTATTGGTTTGGCGCTTTGTTGGTTCTCTGGTGATTCAATAAAGTCGAGATAGTGCTGAACCGATGCAATAGTTGTGGTTTTCGGTGTATTCTCAATGAATGTCTGACAAACTAAACTTTCACCGAGCCATTCTTCATAGCTGCGGAATTGCGAGGTTGAACAAGAGAATTCAGAGTCTTCCAAACCAATGTATTCGATCCACTTGTGGTTTCCGTGGGCATGTGCATAGTAAAATACATTATATTCCCAAGAGGGTACCATTATTTTTATGGAGAGATCGCTTTGAAGATCTTTTAAAAGCTGGTAAGTCTCTACGTTTCCAAATGCTCCCATTTTTTCAGTGTTTAAAATAACACCGATTGGATTCTGTCTTAAGTTTCGATCCGATAAAACTTTGAGATGTCTAAAGTTATTGGATGTGAATGTAATACTTTGATGAATTCTATTGCTGATTTCATCGTATGAAATGGTTGGAGCAATCGATGAGAGTAGCGACATAATATGGTGATATCGCCAATCGTGTACTGTCGATGTAAATACAACCTTTTCAAACATTACGAACCAACCCTCTTTGGTGATGATCGATTCACACAACTCCACCAGCTCTTCATATAGCCCGTGATGATTGAAGATATTCATTATCGTTTGAACACTGAGCGAAAGGTTACTATTGAGATCATTGAACCGATTAAAGATAAAAAGGAAGGAATCTCTTGACTCTAAATGGAGTTCTACACGACTGTTCAACACATGACCAACGATTTCAGGGTTTATGGTTAATAATTGATCCAAAAGATATTCGGCAACAATGATATTCGGATTGGTTTTCGACACTAGATGTAGTAAAAGTTCGGAGAAATCCACGATGAATGGATTGTCAATGGATTGATCAAGAATGATTCTCAGCTGAACAAGATCTGAATATCCATAGACAAGATATCTGGAGTGACCGGCTTGTTTCATTATCTTTCTGAGTTGGTTGTGTCCAATGTCTGGAAGTGACATCTCCAGCTCTATCATTCTATCAAGATAGCCAGTATCCGAACTCGTCACAATCAACGATCGTAGGAATAGATAGATCAACTCCCAATTGTCACTCGTATGAAGATCCAAATGTAAATCGGTTGTTTGCAAAAGAAGATGCTTAATTTTCATGTTTACTTCTGCTGATGACTTTGGTACTTTCTGTTCCTCTGATAGCATTATCAAGATAGTTGTAATCTCTGCTTTAACCTCGAATGTTTGTTGAAGGAACGATCGATCTTTGAAGAGATCTCTCATGTATTGTTGATCTAGATTGTCGAATGGTGCTACATATTGATAGTTATAACTGGCCGCCAACTGATAGAATAGCGAACAACCCAAGAACAAGATATGGCAGATACTCGGTTTAGCAAGTTGATCTATCATCGTTTTGACACAATCCAATTCACTGTTGCAATCGTCTCCACCAAACAACTCTAACATTGCGGAATGACCTTCACTCTTGTCTTTATTCCACAGTCGGAACCAGCTGGCAATGAAATTCGGGTTGTATGCCATTCGATTGAGAATGCATTTGAAACTACAACGTTGTCCATCGGGCAGTCCTAGACTAATTGCATGTCTGTGGAGATACAATACGATATCGATGTGTCCGTATTCAATGGCTGTCTCCAGTGCACCTTCCAACGGTAACGGATCATGATCCACTTGACTCCACAGTAGTTTGACAATCTCAAGATTACCGGCAACGCATGCCGATTCAATGACACCGGTTCCTACGAAATAGCGTTTTTTCAACTGGTAGATTGAATGAAACAACTGGTAATCTGAAACGGATTTACCAAGAACTCTAGCATCTTTTAGTGCAAATGCTATGCTATCTCTGTAGATCGGATGTTTTAACTTGTCAAGTAGCAGATATGGATATTTCAATATCATATCAGAGACATCTAACCATTGATGATACTTGAAGCACTGTAATGAATATTGTTTATCTATCTCTGATATCTTGCTTAGTTCTTCAACCTTTGAAAATATATATCTAGATAAAGCTTTATTTATAAACAATACATTTCTTAAACTTTTATCAATTGAATTTTGTTCCATTCTTTGTATATCTATCTATTTTTTATTAAAACTACCTTTTTATCTAATCTATCTATCTAATTAATTAAAACTAAAACAAACTAATTCAAATTTAATAATATTAAAATTAAAGTTTTTTAATATCTTGATTTTGTTTTTTAAGTACGACCTTTTTTTTGAATTTTTCAAGAGTCTTTTGGTTAGTTGAGAAATAGACGACAGCGATTTCTATTTTTTTGATTTTGGTAATTATTATTAATGTTATTATTATTATTATTTTATTTTATTTTATTTTATTTATTTTTTTTTTTTGTTGTTTTGTTGTTGTGTTGTTTAGTAGGTAGTATTTTATTAAGATTGAGTTGAATATATTTAATTGTACAGTTGGATCATTAAGATAGGCATCAGTTATAAAGTAGCAATCTAAACATCTTTGTCAATAATTTTCGAGTATATATAGTTTCTGATAACACGACTATTGATTGTTGCATCATATTCATCGGATTCAATGAGGAATGTTTCAACTCTTGATGTGAATTGCCTAGTATATTCAACGCCTTTGTCATGCTTGAAAGAAGATATCTTTTTATAATCAAAGTACAATGGAGGTTGTTTCATTAAAGAGTACTCGTTGTTGAATTTGTATTGATTGTGCCATCGAACATTTTGATTTTTTAATTGTTTTACAATGATTTGGAAGACCCGTTTGCAAACAAATGAAAATTTAAAGAGATCGTGTCCACGATCAAACTCCAAAACATTGTAACTATAGTTTGCTACACATCTAGGTCGTTGTTCCATATCGAAACAAAATGAAATGATCTTTTCCATGATGATATCTGAGAATTTAAAATGATTATTACTAATATTACTATTATCATTATTAACATAGATGATATTATTATCATCTTCACTATCACTGCTATTATTCTCGTATACCAATTGATATAAATAAAAATAATTGAATGAATTGTTTGTTATTTCTGTTGTTCGAAATTTAAAGATATATCTATATGTATCTATTCTAAACTTTAATTGAACATTGTCATCTTGATTTAATCGTTTAAACCAATCATTAAACTAATAATAATAATAATAAAAGTTTTGTTATTAGACTATTTTTGTTTTTACAAGTTAATTTAATTCTTTACTTACTCTTTTATTATCGATAATATTAGAGCATATCAATTAGCATCGGTGTATAATCTTGACATTGAAGAATGATCGAATACCTTGTTTGATCGATCAAAGAAGACATCGACCACAAACTTTGAAAAGCCAACCTCGTCAAAGTAGTGAACAAACTTTCTTTCATGGTAGTCTGATCTTTGTTGACATCTTTACGCTATCAATTAATTTATAATATAGATCGTAGGCTCTGATCATATTCAATAATGTTCTATCTTTGAATTCAATTGTTGTTTTTATATTTTGATCTTCTTCTGTATTGCTTGAAGTTGTATGTTCATCTAACTATCCAGATTTGCTATTACTATTATTTTCATTATTGTTATTTGAATATTGATCACTCTTATGTGATCTCCTTTGACTTGAAGTAAATTCAGTTACTGAATTCATTTATAAATCGTAGATATTAAAGATATAATTGAATAAAAAAAAAAAACAAATAAAAAAAAAGTGATCAAAAAATTTCAAAGAAAAAAAAAGATTTCTATTAAAAATTCAAAACAAAAAAAAAAAAAACTGTTGTGTGTTATTAAATGTATTATTATTAATATATGAATGCATTTATTCAATAAATAATTGAGATTTTCTAAAATAATGATTAAAATTTGATTTATGAATGATTTTTGTAATTCTTGTATCTTGATAATTATCTTTGTGCAACCAACCAAACAATAGATAATAATTTGAATCTATCTTTCTGATTTGACATTTATCTTTTCCAACACTCAAATATTTAAATATGATATTGGTGAGAGTTGGTGGAATGTAGAGTGGATATTCGAATGAAAAGTCAATGATTAATGTTCGAATAAAATCTGGAATCACATAGAATGGTAGTTTTTTGCAAGTCACTGTTATTTGTACAATTTCAATAGTTTCAACCGATGTTGGAATTGTTGCTGTATTTATAATAAGATCTTCCAAACTGATTCGAAGATATTTGATTCCATATGGAAGTGTTGGCAAATTCATTGTAGATTTGAAAATACTCTGTTCGATTCCTTCTTTCATTACTTTGACTTCCAAACGATCCTTATTAACAAATTGTAGATTTGAAAATACTGATTCCTCTGAATAAATGAATTTGTCAATCTTGAGATTTGGTAAAACTGATTCGGGCAAGCTGATGGCTGATAACTCTTCCAAGTGATATTGTATTGTCTCTGGAAACATCTCTTTGAAATCATATAATTGTACACCATTATCGTTTTGAATACTATGGAGGTAAAGATATTTGATTGTTGGTGATAATGCTGATTTCAAATGATATCCAGACTTAAGTGTTAGACTTGTCAATGTTGGTGGAAGATCTGACAGGTTTAACACATTCTCGATGCCAGTAGGAGATCGATTCTTTAAACTGAGTGTTGTTAAATTTGGTAGTGATTTGATCAATGGAATCCAGCTTGAAGGTACCAATTCAAGAGTTTGGAGCGTCTTTGGTAAATAATGTTCGTTAATGTTTGGAGGTGGATCACCATTGATTTGTAGATACTCTAGATTCGGTGGAAGTACTCCCATTTTGATGAGTTGATTGGGTTTGGCTAATATTAAAGTTAACTGCCTGAGTGAAGAAGGTAGAACACCTGGTTCTATTGGTTGATCTTGTTCAAGTCCAAAGTAGATGCTATTCAAACCATCTGGTAGCATACCAAAAGTGAGATGACACCTTAGAAATCTCCTCATTTTGAGTTCCTCTAAACCAGATGGAAAGCAATCTTTAGTCAAATCTACATTTGAGTCATTGTTACCGAAATGTAGAATCTTGGTGGTTGGTGGTAGTTTCAATTTGAAATTTTCGAAACCTATTATCTTTGTGATGTTCGACGACAACAATGCATCTTCAGGAAGATCTAAACGTGGAGACAGAAAAAGAGATCTAACATTCGAAGGAATACCATACTGAGATAATGTTTCTATATAATTAAATTAAAGATGATTAGAATCTCTATGTTTTAGTCATTATATATCTAGTATTTTTCTTATTAAATATGAATTCATTTCTATTTTGGTACTGCTTACTTTGATCGTACACAAAGTCGTAAAAATCACTAAAAAATTGTATACGACTTTGGTCGTAAAAATCTCTAAAAAATTGAGATTGATTATCTCTAATAATCATTGTAGCATTCTCTTTAAGCTCTAATGAAGTCGAATATATTGATTGATAGGAACCTACTACTTCATTTGATTTGTTGTTTTGTTGATCATTGTTAAGTAATGTTGGTATTGTTTTTAAAGTGTTGGCATCGAACAATAGATATTTATCTCTGTTATCAAAGAATCTCTTACAAACCAAACTAAAGCAAACTCTATCAATGTTCTCACTTATTTTATCAACGATTGATCTTAATATTAGAAAAGGTAAATTTACAATATTATTATTGTGTTGTTGTGACATTAATAATCGTTAATATTTTAATTATTTGTTTTTTTTTTTTGGTGCACCACCATATAAGTTAAAAAAATCAAGATTTTTTTAATTTGCTTTTTTTTTATATTTTTTTAACTAAAATGAAACCTTTTCAATCTTGTTATAATCAAGCAATATTTCCAACATCAATCGAAACTCTTGAAATAGTTCAAATATCATTTCAAAAAGTTTTTACTTCCTATTTCATTCCAGATAGATGAATTTGTCAATCTTGAGATTTGGTAAAACTGATTCTGGCAAGCTGAGGTTGATAACTACTCCAAGAGATACTGAATTGTCTCTGGAAATATTTCTTTGTAATCATATAATTGTACACCATTATCGTTTTGAATACTATGGAGGTAAAGATATTTTATTGTTGGTGATAATGCTGATTTCAAATGATATCTAGAATAAAATGATAGACTTGTCAATGTTGGTGAAGATCTGAGATTTTATTCGAACATTAATAATTGACAATTCATTTTGTCATCCACTTTAAATTCTACCAACTCTCACCAATATCATTTTTAAAGATAATTGTGGTGAAGATAAAAGTCATATAAAAAAGATAGATTCAAATTATTATCTATTATTTGGTTGGCTCAGAAATAATTATCAAGATACAAGAATTAAAAAATCATTCAAAATCAAATTTTAAAAATTATTTTGCGAAATCAAAATTATGTATTGAATAAGTTCAATTCATCAAATAAATAAATTAACAAAATTTATTCATAACGTTACATTATCATATAAAATAGTTGACTTAAGCATAGAGTTTGAGGGGGTTGTTTCAAAAGTGTAAAAAAAAAAACATATAGAGCTATTGCTATAAAATGAATTTCTCTGTCTATTTAAGTAATGTTGGTATTGTTTTTAAAGTGTTGGCATCGAACAATAGATATTTATCTCTGTGATCAAACCTTCTCTTGCAAGCTAAACTGAAACAAACTCTGTCAATATTAGAATGAATATTATTAACTATTATTCCCTATCAATATAAAAGGAAAACAATATTATTATTCTTATTAATATCTGATAACATTTTATTATATAAATACTAATGATGTAATATTATATTGATTAAGTGAAATGAATTTTTAATTGATAGAGAATTTATTAAATCTCTTTTTTTTTTTTGACTCAATTATTTATAATTTACTTTTTTGGGATAATCCACAATTGTAATTATAGAAAAATATACAAGAAAGTTTAAAACTAATGGCTCTGTTGGTTATAATATTTGTTGATTTTGATAAATTAAATTTATATATTTGTATTGTATTGTTTTTTTATTGTTATTTTATTTATAAATAAAGTGAACCAGCGAATGGAATATCTCTCTTGATCTTTACTATTGCGCTTGAGAATTTAACTTCCAAATCGTTGTTTCCAATTGATTTCGATGCAACTACCATTTGTCTGAGGAGTTCGTCGAGTCTTCTGATGGAACGGATGATGTTACCTTCGAATGTTTCAGTCATCTTACAGATCTCGGCAAACGAAGCACCGTTTGCCCAGGCGAATGCGACATCCATGAAATGTGGATTGAATCGATTGAGATACTCTTTCTCATCGATGGTGAGTTTGCACTCCTGTGAAACTTGGACGATACGTCGAGCGGTGTCCTGTATGCTTCTAAAGAGTGGAGCGAGATCCGGCTTGATCTTGGCGTTGTTGACGTCGCCACCACCCTCCGATTGGAATACGAAAACTGAGAATACCGCCACACACTGCTCCACCGTGAGATCGTTGAACAAACCCATGAACAAAAGCTCACTGATTACCAGTTCGTCACCGGCTGAGATCTCACTGGCGACACGACCTTTCACCTGAACGACATCCTCCGCATTGATGTAATCCAAACGCTTCAAGATTCTCTTCATAGCACGAAGATCATCCTTTAAAATAATTTCATCGCCCTCTCTAATCTTCTTTCGCAACAATTTCACCTCCTTGTCGATTTCATTCTTTTTCTGGAGTTGTTCGGTACGCTCCTCGATGTCGGAATCTTTGAATCCCGCTGTTCCAACAAGACGTGCTTCCAGTGTTTCGATCTTTCTTATCAGTTTCTTAAAGTTGGCGTCGGTAATTCTCATGTCTTCGATTGGGTCGATCAGCGGTAGTCCTCCCTCCTTCTTGAAACGGTTGTCGGCTTCTCTCAGCATCTTGTAGACATGTGGCTTGAGATCGTTCGGTGACAGATCCTTCTTGATATTCAAACACACCGAAGTGATTCCGTCAAACAACTTTATGGAGACTGGGATGATTTGTGGTTCACCGGTTTCGTTGGCTGGACACGGCTTTGGAGTGGCAATGCTGGTGGCGTCGGTATTCAACAGCATGTCTGTGACAATCTCAAATGTTTGATCGGAAACACCTTGTTTCACGGACCTTCTGTAGAAATTCAAAACGACACCGTATCCCCAATCGAGATTCTCGTCACGCACACGAACAATTCTTCCGGGTTGGAGGTAGGGCTGCACATAAGATGGTTGATTAATGAAATCGCGCATTCCATCTTTGAGCTTGGCAAGTTGCAATCGAAGATTCAGATACTCCTGAACGACCTGCTCGTCTTTGATAACGATCGTTGTCTTTTCTTTTTCCAGCTGTGTGATCTTCTGGTTGAGTTGTGGGATGAGCGATTCCTGTTGGTATTGATGGAACGATCGCTTCAGCAGTGATTCAGGATCGATGTCTTCGACACGCATCATATTCAACAACATGGAGTAACCGATCCAGAAGGAACTGGTCAAACGATCGGCTTGACCCTTAACCATTCCCTTGGCAACGACCGGCTCCATCTTTTCGTCGACCATCATAATAACGATACCACGCTCGTCCAGACCACGACGACCGGCACGACCAGACATCTGGATATACTCACCACCCGTTACCCAACGTTGTGATTCACCATCGAATTTTCTGACACTGGTAAAGATAACTGTTTTCGCAGGCATGTTCAAACCAATGGAGAATGTCTCCGTTGCAAACAACGCCTTGATATATCCGTACTGGAAGAGAATCTCAATGATCTCCTTGAGAATAGGGAGCAGTCCAGCATGATGAATTCCAATGCCACGCTTCAACAACGGCAAGATATTGACGACGGCAGTCAAGTTCTTGTCGCTATCGGACAGCGAATCGATAGCATTCGAAAAGATCGTTTCAATCGCCTTCTTCTCTTCGTCGTTATTGAAATCCAACTTTGACATCTGCAGTGCATAAAACTCACAGTCCTTCTTGCTGAAACTGAATACAATTACGGGCTGATAGTTTCTCTCCATAATCATCTTTACGATCTTGTAGCAGTCGGACTGTCCTTTCTGCATACGCTTCTTCTTGCCAAGCTCGGTCTGTGCCAAGCCAGACAGCGACTTTAGGAAGTTCTCCTCTTTGAACGTGCCTTTTTCGTCGACCACCAAATGCAGACCGTCGCCACCCGACGGGAAGATATAGTGTTGCAGTGGAATCGGACGATACTCTGTGTAGACGACGTGACACGGCTGCTTGTGAATCTTGGCAATCCACGCAGCAAACTCCTTGGCGTTCGGGATGGTAGCAGAGAGGAACACAAACTTGACGGTGTCCGGCAGCAGAATAATGGTTTCCTCCCAGACGACACCTCTCTCTTTGTCACGCAAGTAGTGAATCTCATCGAAAATCACCCATGCAACTTCACGCATCAACTCGGAACCACGATACAACATCGATCTGAGAATCTCTGTTGTCATAACCAAACACGATGCATTCGGATTGATAGTGATATCACCAGTCATCAAACCAACATCTTGGAACGTATCATTGAGATCACGATACTTCTGATTACTCAGTGCTTTAATTGGTGATGTATAAATAACTCTTTGTCCTTCTCTTAGAGCGACTGCAATTGAATATCTAAATAATACAAATATTTGTTATATATGAAAATTAGTAAAGTTATTATTAATTACTTTCAAATTTTAATGATACCGCGGTTAACTAAGTTACCGCTCACGGAAACTGAAAAGTTTATATGGCGCCACTCCAAATTCCGTCGGTAACTGAAAATTAATATGGGCGGTAACTGAGTTACCGGTACCATTAAAATTTGAAATCTTTAAGGTTATTATCATGATACTAACTCTGCTACTACTGTTTTACCTGCAGATGTATGTGCAGATACTAAAACAGACTCTTTTCTTTCGATACATGCTACAGAGGTCGCTTGGAACGGATCTAGTTTGAATGGATAGGTACGTGCTGGCTTGACTGGTTCCTTTGGATTATAAAGATCTGGATCGTTATCAATGTAATCTGGTGGTAACAATACTTCATGCGTACATGTTTTAGGTAATGAAAATGTTGTTAAATCTGTTGATGTTGATGTTGAAGTAGTCGTTGTTGTTGTTGTTGTTTCATTATCATCATTATTATTGTTATTATTATTATTGTTATTTTGTTCACCAGTTGTTGCAGCAGCAGTAGCAGAAGCTCTTAATTCATTCAATGTATTATCTGTTTTCTTTGAGTTGATAGAGATGTCTGCTTCACGACCTATACTATCGGCAGCACGTTGTTTCTTTGATTGCTGTACTTCACGATCCAACTGTGCTGTATTTACATTCGATACTGTATCACCTAATTTATTTCCACTTGGTTTCTCCCATTTACCATTTCTAATTGTTAATGTGAATAACAATCATTGTTAATTAGTTAATTAAGTTCATTGTATTCGATCAAACATTGTGTTGTGTTACATACTCTTTTTCATCATCTCTTTCTCTTTGTCTTTTGGTATATTTAGAATTTGCTTGTGTTGGTGCATCAAACACTGAGAATAGCTCATCCATCTCTATTCTATAACTATCTAACTAATTAACTAATAAATAAATATCTATATATATATTAAATTATGAAAAAGAACAGAAAAAAAATAAAACAATTAAATTAAGACTGTCGTTCGGTTTTATTTTTTTAAAATATTTTGCACAATTTTTTTCTTTTTTTTTTTTTTTGATTATCTCTTTTTATCTCTTCCTTCTTGACATCATTTACATAGATGAAAAATATTTCTACAATTTTAAACATTTATCGTTTTTTTGTCAAAAGACTTAAGTTACTGAATACATAACTAAACACAATTGTTTATTCAATTGCGAAATAAATTATAATATAATATATTATTATGCATAAATAAATCGGATTTTATTTGTAGGTTTATTTTTTTTTTTTTGTTTTTTTGTATTGATACTATAGTTTTGTAATATTAAGTGGTTATTTGATTTGCCGTGCATGTCACTAATAATAATACAATTTTCAGACGAAACGGAATGAAAATTGATTAAATTTTAGAAGAGATCCAACCAATTTGTCTTCACCAATCCCAGATCTTGTTTGTTTGTTGTCATAGTAGGAATTACGTTGTGTGGTGGGCGGTGGTGGTTGCAACTACTTTTCCAAAGACCATTTCAATCGATGAAATCCTATTCTTTCTTTATAACACAGTGGTGTGTATAGAAAGAGAAGAAATCGAAATGAATTTGAAATTTAAACAGTGTGTTGTGATAATATTAAATTTGTTTTGTTTTGGATTGTAATGTTATGTTTGATTGTTGTTTGTTGTTGATGATGTTCGATCATTTTTTGAAAATTAATTTACATAGGAATATGAATTCTATAGAGGGATTTGACTGAATTTGCTTCGGTTGTTGTCTTCCGGTTTGGTGCCCACAGGTGAATCGCCAGATGAACTTGGACTTGTACTTGTATTGGTTGCCACAGTATTTACTCTTGGTCTTACAAAATGAAATTTATATCTCTTTACAACTAGTAATGTCATTTTTCTATAGAGGTAGTTTAAGTTTTAATATAAATATAAAAGTATTAATATCTATTAAAATAATTTATTTGGTTGGTTGGTTGATTGGTTATTTTATAATTTGTAAAATGAAATGATGATGATAATGATTTATCTATTTATACTTACTTTACTTTATTAATGTTTTACAATAAATTTATAATATATTATATGTGTGCTGATTGATTTATGTCAGTTGGGTCAATATATTGATTGTCTTGTCTGATTTTATTTAAAATTAAATAGAGAAATGTTCGGAAATATTTAGATTGATAGATTTCACTTGATGTGATATGATTTAATTTGATTTGGAATGATTTTGGTATGATTTGGAATGATATTATATGATAATAAATAATAAATGTTTCGGAAAGATTTGAATTTAATCAGAAGATAGATAAGATTAAGAATTCTAAAGAAGATTAATTTAAATTGTTTTATTTTGTTTTTAATTAGTGATTTAGGAAAATAATGTTTTTAAAATAGATTTAAATGAAATAGAAAGGTTTGAACTGATTGAAAATTTAATTAGAATGAATTGATGATTGATTTTTCGATTTATTTATATAATTTGTTTAATTTTATATTGCTGATTGTTGTTGTTGTTGATGTTGTTGTTGCTTTTGTTTGTTTTTTAAATGATTTCCTAAAGGGAAAGAGCAAAGCTTTCTTATTTTCATGTTGTGTTGATGTGTTGTTGTTGTTGTTGTTGCACATATCTTTAACACAACACTACCACTACCACCACAATTTCCTTATCATATCTATTGTTTAATATAGTAGTTTATTTATAACAACATCAACCCAAACCACAAAGTGTGAATGAAATACATACACACTCACACAGACATTTAAATCATCTGATGATTTTGATATTAAAAACAAAATTTATTATTATTGACCACCATCACACATTCACACTTAAATTAAAAACACACCACTCACTACTCACGATTTCCATTTTTGTTAAAGTAGAAAAAAAAAACACCTTTACAAAAGTAAAAGGCACAATCAGCTTAAATTTTAATTAATTAACACATCATGTATTATTTATATCAATACCAGTACAGGGTAGGTATTTTTGACAACAATTGATGGTTGATCTGATCAATTTCAAATCAAGTCACTCAAGTAAGTACGATCATATCATTTGAGTATTGGTGGGTAGTAGCTGATAGTTTTAGTTATTGTTTATTCCTTCGCCAACAAACAGACTGATATAAATCATTGTTGTTGTTGTTGTTGTTATTGTTTTATTTTGTGTTTGTGTTATTTTTTTTATTTATTATTAACGAGTTGGTCACTCCATGTATGTGTGGTGTGTGAATTGGTGTTATTTTGTTGTCTATAGATGATGATAAGTTGTTTATTGATGTTTGATTTTAAACACAAATCCTATTTATATTTGAAAGTGAAATTAATAGGAAGTAAAGAACTAAAGTTTATGATATAAAAGGAATTAATGCTGGATAGAAATTTTAAAGCAAAATTTTGTTTGTCAATCACTCGATTGATCATTTTTTTGCATTTAAATGGCTGTAAGGTTAAAGAACTGTTACTAAATCAACAAGATTTGTTTTGTTATGTATCAATCAAACCACCCTAACAGTCAGACTAACTTATTTAAAATTTGAGTTTATTGAAGTTGAGTTGTTTGCTGTTTGTTTATTTTGTTGTTGTTGTTGTTGTGATACCAACAACCACTCTTGGTGTACTTACATACATATACATATATATTCAAATTGCTACGAAAAATAAATTTTAAAATGAGGGAGAAATTAAATTTAAGTGTGATTGAATTGTAGATAACAAGTAGTGTTAATGTGTTAGAATACGGTAATGATGTTAATCTTACCACAAACTCTTTTTGTGTGTTGGTTGATTAACAATCGATAATTTAACTGTTTGTTTAATGTATTATCAATAATCTCATAAAACGTGTGTAAGTTGAATTTATCTACTTTTTTCTTTACTGTGTTGTATTGATTGCTAAACCATGTGAAGTGAGAGATGTGCAGTGAGCAATGTGAAAGTGAAATGACCTTGGGTGTGATGTGGGGACCACTCATTGTGTGTTAGTATTTATTGTAGAGTAAATTTTAACATATACACATACATTTATATACATATACATATAATATACATATATTTGTATTTTAAAACAAAATAATAATATGTAAATATATAATTTTATTGATCGTACACATGAAAACTAAACACTTATTACTTTTTGATCAAAAGTAACATGTTACTTTATTTTTTCCAAAGGTCACCATATTATTATGTTAAATAATTATAAGAGGAAGGTTTATGGTTACCGGCAAAATTTATGTTGGAGAGATTGAAGGAAAGGATGAAGTTAACCTTATATCAACACTCTCAGAGTGTTTATTGTTTTTTTATGTCTGTTCAATATCTAAAGTTTGAGAGTATGCTATACCAAACTTGCCAAATGTGGTTTATTACATATCAAATCATATCATACAAACACAATTCATGAATACCAATAAGTATGTATACATTGTTATTTGATGTTGTTTTTATAAATGAATATATATATTAATTGTCATTGTCAGCAATGTTAGACCAATCTACTTAAAAAGAGGGAGTTTTTCTTTTTTATCTATATAATATGAACTGACATTTTGGATAGCAAAACAAACAAAAAGGTTTATCTTTCCAAATTTTAAAAGTTATTATTACCAAAAATAACCAACAAAAAAACCTTGATAAACAAAATTATACAATGAAATTAATTTTAAAAATATATTTATATAAATAAAGAAATTCCGATTGTTTTACAACTTGGTTAAAAAAAAAAAGTTTAAAATTGGTAACAAATAATTATTACAATTGACCAATCAAAGAGAAACTTTTAAATTAAAGTAAAGAGCATTTAGTGAATCTTCCACTTCCATTTTAAGAAATATTTACATATATATACATATATATATTAATTGTGGTTATTTTTTTGTTGATTTAAAAATATATACCATTTGGTTAATGGGTTACTTTCTATTTAAAATACCCAACAAATTTAGATGTTCGGTTTGATTGTTTAGGTGACTTGTTTGAGATTTTTGGGTGAACTACCGTTTTTGGTAATACAATGATTTTTGATTATTATTATAACAATCAAATTTGATACATTCATTCTATTTATAGTTCAACAACACAACAACAACATTTGGTATTGTAATTTATTATTTTTTGATAGATAAGGGATTAGTGTTAATTTAATATTCGGAACTGAGAATGAGAATTGAGAATGTGTGATGAATTGTGAATTAGTGTTATTGCACAATATGTTATTGTTCAATTTATAACTTTAACAATAGTGAATATAATATATAATATATATTATATCTTCTATGATTATAAAAATGATATTGCTATGAGATAAATGATCATTATAAAAATAAAATAAAATCAAAAAACGAAAAATATCAAAAAAAAAAAAAATTAAAATTAAAATTAAAATTGTCAAAAAAACGACAACTAATTAATTACAAATGTTAAGGAACGAATTTTTGATCACCTAATATATTACATTGTTATATCTATAAATAATATATTTATATTTATAGATATAAAGATGAATCATCTTTTAAGATCAACAAAAACAACATCATATAATATCTCTAAATTACCAATAAATTTGGTAAACAATATATTAAAACAATCATCATCATCAACATCATCATCATCATCGTTAATAAAAGAAGATGGTTGTAAGCAACAACAAAAACAAAGATTAAATATAATAAGTTCTACATTTAATAATCATTCATTTAGTAATTTTAATAACTATAATAGAATCATTAGAGCTTTCAATGAAAATGATAATAATAGTTTAAAAAGATATAACTATTCTACATTAAATAATAATAATAATAATTTTGATAATAACAATAACAATAATAATAATAATCACTCTACACAACAACAACAACATTATCCACCACAACAAACATTAAAACAAAAATATAAACAAAGCACATCGAATGATATAACTGATGGTTTTGAAGAGCTTTCAAGTAAACATGTTTTTAGAATATTGGAAACAGAATATAATAATAATCAATGTGAATTGTAAGTTTGTTTTGTTAAATAACTAAATTAATTAGTGTTGATATCAAATATATTAATATAAATAAACTATTAGTTTAATTGCATATTTAAATGCAATCAAGAATTCAAATCAATCGATTTTCTTGGATATCTATGAGTGGGTGTCAAAGAGACAAGTGAAATCAGTGAGTGTTTTCAATATTTTCTTGGAGTATTTCTCGAAGCGACCACAGGACAATATCAACGTGGAGTCGATCGTTGAGTTGATGGAGAGCATCGGTGTCAGCTACGATATCAATACGGTGCATGTCTTGATGACTTACTATGCCGCTGCCAACGAGACAGACTCCATGTTGAAGTTGTTCGAGCAACTCTCGGACACCGATCGTTTCACTCCCAACGAAGAGACAATTCCATTGTTGATCAGGTGTTTCGGTGGCAACGTTGACGCGTCGATGCAGCAGACGCTCCAACGCTGTTTCTACTTTATGCTGCGACGTCCTCAGCTGCGAACCACCGTCAATTTCAACTTGTTCATTGCCAACTCGATGGCACTGAAAGACACTCACCAAGTGAAGTACATCTACAACAAGATGACAGAGTACAACGTGCAGGCAACCATCGATACCTACTACCTGTTGGTATCGATGTACGGCCAGATGGGACGATTCGAAACCGCCAGTATGATTATCCGGCGCGTTCCACACCAGCTCGGACACGTCGATACGCTGTACGCTTCGATCTTCAAGTCGTACATCGATCACGGACAATGCGATCGTGCCGTCAAATACTTTTCAAAGCTGCTCAGTCGTGTCAGGGATCTCGCCAAACCAGAGCCGTTGGGTGTGCTCGTGCACGGACTGCTCGTCAACAATATGGATCGTGAGTTGGATGTGCTGATCGAGCGTCTCAAGGACACAAACCTCATGGCACTTGGTACCTACAACGTCATTCTCAAACAACTCAGTTTGCTGAGAAGCAAGGAAGCGTATCTCGACGTGTATTGCAAGATGATCGAAACGATTCGTCCGTCGTTCCTGACATTCAAATCGCTGATCAACGTCGCCATTGCCAGCGAGGATGTTCAGGGTTGCAAAATCCTCGAGCAACAGATCTTGGGTGAGCTGGCCGAGTTCAAAGTGGGACTGTTCAGAGACATTGTTAAATTCTATTTCCAACATCGCGACTTTGAGTCACTCGACGATACGATAGACTATATTTTCACTGCCGGTCACTCCGTACCGAATGGAGTCAACCATATCTTTGTACACTTTGAAATCGAGGAGAATCAGGAACTCGTGGAATATCTGATTGGCAAGATGTCACAGTACAACACAGCGTTCCAATCGATCCATATCACCAAGATCATTCAGCTTCTGCTGGTGACCGGAAACTATCAGAAAGCATTGAAATGGCTGGAACTCAGAGAATCGCATTTCGGTATACATCTGGATAGTTTTGCTATTCTGCCGTTCTACTATTTCCACAAGTTGCGTGGGGAGTACGACCTGTGCAACTACTGGCGCGCCAAGGCCAACGAGAAAGGAATCGACCTCGACGTTCCACAGATGTTTGAAACCTACTTCCGTTTAAATTTAAATCGCGACGGTTCCTTTATCGATTGGAACAAACACACCGAGGGAGAAACATTCGAGGAGATCTACGAGCGTGTAAACAAACCTGAGCACCTCTATCTCAAGAACCACAAGCATTCGGTTCTCGACCGTCAATTCGCCTCGAAAATTCAAGAGAACTCTGATGTTCCTCATGTCAATGTATCGATTGAATCGATTGCATTCTATAAAGAACCAAGAAAGCATAACTCCAATCATTTTAAACAAACTGAAGAGTTTATACTTCAAGAAACAACAGCAGCAGCAGCAGCAACAGCCAGTCAACAAAATAATAAAAGTGGAAATATCAACAACAACAACAACAACAGCAATAATAACAACAACAACAATTCACTATTTGATATTTCAAATGTTGGATCAGCAACTAATTCAAGTGAGTTTAGTACAACAGATATTGGAACTCAGACACTGGTACATGTTGACTTTGCCAGTAGAATAACATATCTTTTGAATGAGTCACAAAAGGAAGTTGCTCTGGCCGAGACAGACCAGCGTGATGATGGTGGACAATTCGTTGGCGAGTTTGTCTATGTCACTCTGATAAACTACCTACTGAAAGAACAAGACGAACCCAACGTCAGAAAATACTATAAGCGCATGTTGGACAAACAATTCAATCCACCTTCGAGTCTCACGCTAAAAGTTTTCAAATTGAATGAACAACTTGGAACTCTCGATGAATTTTTGGCATCGTTCAGCAACGACTTGCGAAAGAGCTACATTGAGGAGAAGTACATGTCGTTCCTGTTGTCACATGACTTTGCCAGGGGATTGCGTCGACTCCAAGAGAGTGGTCGTGAGGAACTGTTGTTCTTCAACCAAGACTACAAGAACTCACTCACACTCGGCTACCTAAAGAACGGTAGCATCACAATGGCAGAGGCAACCATCCAAACGATCATTCGAAGCAAATACAATTTACAGCCTATGGTTATTAGCGAATATATCAACGAAGCAAACAAATCTTTGGATCAAACAACCTCACTACAACCAATCAATCCAACCACACCAATTTCAATCAATCACTATTTACAATCTCGTTTCATAACTCCTCCACCAGAATTAGATGCCTTGATAAAGAAATTAAAAATACAATAAACTTTATTATATATGAAAGAATTTCTTTTTGTGAATATATTTAATTCCTAACGATTATTATTATTATTGTTATTGTGACTATTGTATTATTTTATAAACAGATGTTAAATTATTGAATGAAAATTGTTTTAATAATTTTACTTACTCTTGAACATGGGCATCAGGATAAAGGTTAGCATTCAAACATCGAGTACTGATTTCAAACAATCTATCACTATTGTTTGATGCAAGGTTAAAGATTTCTTCCCAGACATACTGAACTGACTCTGGGATTGGTTTTCTGTTTTCATTTTGATTCTCCATTTCAATTTAATGAAGAAAATCCTTTCTATTTGATTTATTCTCTTGAAAAACAGAAAAAAATTTAACATTTAAAAGGTAAAAAATTAATTTTAATATTAAATATATCTTTTACTAATATGATTAGAATACTTATCATAAAAAATTAATATAACTTGACACTTTCATGATTGGTATAATAAAGCTAATACCATTTTTGTAAAATAAAGATTCACTAGTTTTAACTAAAGCATTTAAATTCATTTTATTTGTATAATAAATGATATCATACCATCCATTCACTTTCTAGTTTGAAGGATGATAGTTTTTAAAAGGTTGTAATTTATATTGTTCTATAGAGTCGTGTAACCATTTGTCAGTGACAATGGGGTGGTCATTAGAACCAGCAGTATACTTTGAGTTTGATAAACAAATATCACATTTCTCATAATCTTTAGCAATCTATATAGTATTTTATAATAATAAAAATAAATGTTAGAAATATAATAATAATAAATAAAATAAATATGTTTTTAATTGGTTATATTTACCTTTCCACCTAGAGATACAATGATTTTAATTTTATCTTTCTTTGGCATGACTTCTTTCTCACGTAAGCTATTGATGAAAATCGATTTGTCTTTGAGCAGTAGCTCACCTGTTTCATGTGCTAAACGCGAAGCTTTGATGCCGGTGTATTTGGTGGATTCATAGAGTGACTCATCTAGCCATTTGCCCTGTTTGCGTGATTCTGTGACCCAAGCAGGTGTGAGAATCCAACGACCCGATGCCATTGCATAGAAAAACTTGATTGTACGCAGGTTCTGGTTGCCAAGTACGAGATGAGTGAATTCATTGACGTTGTCGGTGAGATCCGATCCTTTGAGTTGAGCAATCGACTCTGCCAACTCCTTCTTCTCGTCGATGTCGTCCACCGCGGAGATACAAACGAGTCGCTCTTCTTTAAAATCATCGTCCTCCTCGGATTCCATCTTATCGTTGGCATCGACTTCCATTTTGTCCTCTTCATCTTCATCGTCGTCACCAATGATCGATTTGGTTGCCTTTGTCTTTTCTTTCTTATCTTTTGGTGACTTTGATTTTGTTTCCTTTTCCTTCTCTTTCTTACTCTTGCTTGGTGTTTCTTTCTTTTCTTTTACAGATTTCTCTTTCTCCTTTTCTTTTACTTTCTCTTTCTCTTTTGGTGAAGATTTACTTTTGGATGTTGATGATGCTGCTGCTACTGATTTGGAATCTGGTGACTTTTGTTTCTTTGTTGTAACTGGATCTTCTTCATCCTTCTCAACTGATCTCTTCTTACTTGGTGTTTTCTTTGTTTCTTTTTCTTCGGTTGTGTTGTCATTTGTTGATTGTTTCTTTGGAGTTGTTGTTGTTGTTGCCTTTTTAGCTGTAGTTTTCTTTGATTTCGAATCTTCTTCCTCCTCTTCCTCTTCTTCCTCTTTTTCTTTTTCCTTCTCTTTACTATTTGATTTAGCTGGTGTCTTCTTCTTTGTTTCTTTTGGTTTTGACTTTGTATCTTCTTCCTCCTTCTCTTCCTCTTCCTCTTTTTCTTTTTCTTTTTCCAACTTTTTTGATTTTGGAGATGTTGTTGTCTTCTTCTTTGTTTCCTTTGGCTTCTCACTCTCCTTTTCATCTTGGAAATCCTCATCATCGTCTGCTTCTTTCTCTGATTTCTTTGATCTTGACGCTGCTACCTTCTTCTTGGTTGTTGTCTTTGGTTTTGGTTTCTCTTCCTCCTCATCTTGTTCTTCCATTTCCTCATCTTCATCTTTCTTCTTTTTCTTTGATGACGTAGCCTTTTCCTTTTCTTTTTCCTTCTTCTCCTGTTCCTTCTCTTTCTTACCATCCTTCTTCTCTGTTACTTTCTTTTTCTTTGTTGTCTTTTCTGTCTCATCCTCTTCTTCTTCCTCATCTTTCTCCTCTTCTTCTTCATCTTTCTTTTTCTTCTTTTCTGTTTCTTTCTTTGCAGGTTTCTTTGCTTCATCTTTTGGTGATGACTCCTGACTGTCTTTCTTTGGTCTTCCCTGTGCTTTTTTAGTTGAAGGTGATGAAGGTTTCTCTGGTACTGCTTTAGGTGGTGACTTTGCTCTCTTGGTAGTTGGCGATGTTACCTTCTCTTTCTCCTTCTCTTTCTCTTTTTCCTTCTCCTTCTCCTTCTCCTTCTCTTTTTCTTTCTCATTCTCTACATCAGAACCTATTATTTATTTAAATTAGTATTATTACCAGATAATCAACATTTTTGTGAATAATTGAATATTATTTACCATCAATTTCGACCTTGCCGCTATCATCGACATCAGATGGAGCAGTAGTTGAAGGTACTGAATCCATATTCAAATACTGATTCAACACATCATCACTATTGGAAATGGGTGATGGTGAACTAGACACCTTTCCAACATTCTTTTTAAATTTCTTTGTATTTACACCGTCGTCTGAATCTGACATCACCACCAATCTGTATATTCGAACAAATAGTTGTGTTTTGTTAGATCTAATAAATAATAAAAATAAAATAAAAATCTTAATTAACTAAATAATATAAACAAAAGACTATGTTATTATTTGTATTTGTATCTTTATTATATCAAATAATTTAAAAAAGTAATTTTCTTGTAAACAAGATCTTGTTTATGTTTTGATTGTTTTTTCAAAAATCATTTTTTATTGGAAATTGAATTTTAGCAAACTTCAAACATTTTTTTTGTTTTTTTTTTTAAGATGTTTGTTTGATTCCTCCTATTTCTAGGTTGGTTAATTAAATAATATGTTATAGTTAATTATCTTCTAACAAGGAATTGAAAATGAATTTGTTGTCTGGATTGTTTGCAATCCAAAGTTGGTAAGACTGATTGGAGGCCAACAGAGATTTCAGTGATTTGATCCAGTTTCTTAGTTCTCTGATGGTGTTGAATGTCACTGTTGTCACCTTTCTATCGGTGATCTTTCTAATTCCAAACTTTATATCATCAAGTACATTAGTTCTAATATAGTATATTAAAATTGAATGTATAGATAACAATAATGATTGACTAATAATAAAGTAAAGTAAAAGTTAATTAGTAACTTGTTGTTTTATGTATTAATGTGAAGATGTTGTTGTTGTCGTTATTCAAACATACTTATTTATAAAATTATAATTTCTAAGAGTGATTTGATTCTTTGATTTCATTTGAAGTTCTCTTAGGTCGATTAACTCGTTCAAGATGATCTTGTGTGGTTTCGAGGCGAGATAGAGATCGAGCTTCTTCAATAGATTCTCATTGTTGAGTATCATTGGTATGTACTTATCGTCGAGATACTCTAGATTGAACAAATTAATAATGAACTGGATGTATTCACTTGTTACTTTGCTAATCTCTGTCGGTGCTTTCACATCCTCTTGTTGTCTAGCATGATAACCACCACCACCTCTTCTATATTGATACTTCTTAAACAACATATTTAAACTATTCAATATCATAATATCATTGAACTTATAAGATATCTTTTAAAAAAAAGTGGAAAAAATAAAAATAGATAAAATTAGTTTGTTGTTGTTTAGGTGTATGGGGGTGTAACTTTAGCTTTAAAAGGTAAACATACATTATCTAATTCACTTAATAGTTGAATATCTTCAGTGGTGTTTGGATTGTTGTTGTTGTTGTTGTTTGTGTAGGGGTTGTTGTTTTGGTAGGTATTTGCATTTGGATTTACATAAACATTGGTGTTGACAACAGCAGCAGCAGGATTGGTATCTCTTGGTAGGATATAAAGTTTGTCGATGATGTATTGAATGAATAGCAAGTTGTTTCTCTGGGTGTTTTGATCTTGAAAAGCGGTTGGACTGTTCATGTCATTGGTGATTCTATCGATCAGCAACGATAGGAAGTGTTTGTAGAGTTGAGTTCTATCGATGTAGTTGATATCGACACAGATCTCAGTGTCAATCGATTCATCTAGTGAATTTAAATGATAGATTACCGAAGGCAGTATATCAATTAATGACTTCCAAAATTGATATTCCTATTTTTTTTTAATAATTATAGTATAATATAAAGTTGATAGAGAGAGAGAGAGAGAGAGAAAGAGATTTAAAATAAAAATAATTATAATTATAATAATGATAATAATAAAGTAACTAATTAGAACAATTTTATTTTATTTTATTTTTATTTTATTTTTATTTTATTTTTATATTTGTCATTTTCTATCTAATCTATCTAATCTATCTATCTATATATGTCTGTCTGTCTAACATCATCATCATCAACATCATTATTATCATCGTTTATGATTTAATATTAGATTACATTTTCAACTGTTTGATTTGATTTTAAAATATTGTATGAATCAAGTATTTGCTGATTGTTTACACCACAATCAAACAATAGTTTCTCTAATAGTAGCATTCTTGTCTGTTCTTTATAAAATATTATAATATGTTTAATTTTTAAACTTAATTAGGTTTTCTCATGATCATATTTTTAAACCCTTTTTTTAAAAAATTTAATTTAATTTTTTTTTATTTTTTTATTTTTTTATCACTATCTATTTTGTTTTTTGTTTATAAGTAATAAGAAAGAAACAACAATCACTGTATATCTAAATATATAAATTATAACTTATATTTTGTAAGTTTTCAAAAATATTAAATATTTGTTATTTTAAAGTCGCATTTATCTTATCTAAAAGTAATTGATTAAAGTTTTATTTGTTTTTTGTTTTTTTTTTTTTGAAAATATAAATAAATGTGTGTTTGATCAAAAATCAAAAATAATCATATGATATGTTATCATTATATTTTATTTATATCTTTTGAAAGAAAAGTAGTTAACAATCTCCCAATTATAATTAATTATGTCTAAAATATTATTTTTATTAAATAACCAAAGTGAAATAACATTGTTAGATTTCACAAATGAACCACCACCAAATAATAATAATGATCATAGTGCAGTTTCAACCAAGAAACTAACATCTATCGATTGTCAATCACTTAGTTACTCTTTCAACTCCACAGTAAAAGTAGGACAACAAATTTTTATATTTGGTAGTCAAAAAGAGGAATATGAAAATAAATATTTTAAAATATCAATAGAGAAGAAAAACAATAACAGCAGCATTAATAATAATGATATTTTTGAATGTAAAGTTATAGTTGGTGATATCAATAATAATATTGCTGGTGGTCGTGCCATATCGGTTTGTTATGATGGCGACGACTACATCTATTTGGTGTGTGGCGCGAGTATTGCCAATTCATCGTATCATCATCGAATCGATCGATTCCAACTGAGCACTGCGAAATTCGAGAAATTCTTTGACATCAAAGGCTGTGTCGATACCGATTACTTCTCGTTCCACTACGACGGAGCCATTCACTCGCTGCCCGTGAATGAATCTATTCTCTACGTAATCGATATTCTCACGAAATCAACGATAGAATACCAATCGGAAGATCTCTTTGAAAGATTGATTGGCGCGTGTATCGATGACAATGGTAACATCTATATGTATTCGAAATGTGGACAATTCAAAAGATTCAATTTGAAAACAAAAGAAATACAACCATTAAAAGAGAATCAAATTGAAATAATTAGTAATAATAACTCTACCAATAATATCAATATCAATAATAATAATAATAATGCAAATGATAAATTATCATTAATTTATTGTCCAATTTCAAACAATGTAAATAATAATAACAGTTTAAGAGGAAATATATATTTGATGGGTGGAAGAAAGTTTAAAAATTATAAATATTCCATTGAAGACAATAACTGGACTCCATTCTTTCAAGATGATGAAAGTGAAAGGTCAAATTGTGGCTCTTGTTTTATTACACTATAATTAAATAAAAATAAAATCTCAAAGACTTGTTTGTTTCTTTTTAAGTAAATTTAAAATTAAAGGGGAATTTGGGGAATTTTATTGTATTTTAAATATATATATATAAGTTGAGAAAATCTAATATTTTCCTAACTAAATTACTTATTTTAGCTAAAAATAATTACATTATCTAATTATATATTTACACTATATATACTATATATTATTTTATATGTTTGCTGTTCGAAACGAGTTGGTATTGGAGTGGAGTTTGTTTGATATTATTATTATTATTATAGTTATAAAGTTATTATTAAATTAATGGTTTTGATTCGTCAAGTTGAGATTCTGATTGAATATCTAAATCTTGAGATTTTGGTGGTTTAATTAGGAGGTTGAGTCCACACATCACAAGGAAGAGCTCACCAACAATCACCGGTATGAGTATCGCTATGTAGGGAAATGAAAAGTCAGAGTCGAGTTTCAGTGTAAAGAGTATCTTGAATACCAGTGAGCACATAATGATGAACTCAAACGATACCAACTGTAGCAATGAGAAATTGGAGTTGTCACGTGCTCCCACACTGAAGAGCAGCAGGAAGAATGAAAAACAAGCAATGATAGCATCACCGGTGAACAGTGGAATGAAACAGATCGCCCAACTTAGATCTTTCGAGTGGTTCGCATATTTCAGTGCTATCATCACCACGGACGGTGTCAGTGTCATGCCAGCGAAAAACATCGGCAGTCCACCGACGATGTACTTTTGTTTGCGGCCCGGCTTCTCGGTGGCGCCGTCCGACATGCACAGTCCAAACAGGAACGAGTAGAGACCCGACAACATAGTGGCGCCGCTAATCACGATGATCGGCGAGATGATGATGAGCGGCGTCAGAACGCTCGGTGCGTACTGCAGATGAACGATCATCATAAAGACAAAAACGGTGGCGCCAATCACCCATACCACCCAGGTGAGTCTGATGATCCACGAGACGATCGTAGCGAGAGCACGCGACGATGTAATAGAGAATCCTATCAGTAGAATGACAAAGATCGGCGAGAACACAAGCCACCAACTCCAATCGATAATGGAATCCAACATCATCCCGAGAAACACTGTAAACACCACAGCCAGAACACCACAAACCTGAAACAGCAAGCCAATCTTTCGCCAGAATTGTTCCATCTCTATTTTCTTTTTCCACGGTAATCTGTAATCTTTTGTATTTTGATGATGTTGTATTGTTGTTGTAGTAGTATTAGTAGTAGTTGAACCACTTCTGCTTCCTCTATTACTATTACTATTAATATTACTATTACTATTATATCTAGTGTTGCTATTGTTGTTGTTTGGTGTTGAGCTTCCACTCTTTATACTACTAATATTGTCATTTTCAATTATTATATCATCATCTTCACCACCACCACCACCACCAACACCTGAATAACCTGTATCATTTAAATTTGAAGAACTTCCATACTGAGACATTGATGTTACTATCTAATAAAAAAAACAACAAAATAAAATTAAAAAAAAGAAACCAATGACCAGTTTTAGCCTTATTTATCTAAATATCTATCTATCTCCTAATTTTTAAAAACTATTAAACAAGTTAAATAGCATGTGTGTTGTTGCCACATATATAAATAAATTATTATTTTATTGTTGTTGTTGTTCTCTTATTATACTTTATGTGTGTGTAGTTGTTTTATAAAGTAAAAATATCATAACCTATAAAAAATGCACTTGCAATGGTGAAATTGAATAAAATAAATCAAAAAAAAATACAAAAAATTAACAAAAAAATAATTTAAAAGCAAGTCAGATGGTGAATTAATTGTTGTAAGCATTCATGTCGAAAAACAACACTGTTCACACATATGTTTCTTTTATACTCGTTAAAAAGATAGAAACCAGAGTCACTCTTTATTTCAAACTTTAACTTTGACCTTGATTATCAAAGAATAAACAATCAGCCACATCTGCAAGTTTATCATTCAAACAAACAACTAGTTAGTGTTTGTTAATCTGATGAAAAAAATCAAATAACTTTTTACAAAAAGATTCTTTTGAAATTTTTTTGGATATTTTTTCTTTTTTTGATCAGTTTTTTTTCCCAGGTCTTAGTTATTTGGTATCGAAATCAAAAAAAAATGTGAAGTCGCACGTAACTGCAAAGAAATACAAAAAAATATTACTTCACAGTGTTAGAGTATAATCATGATCGATTCTGGTCCAACTTGATTCACTATGTACCAGAAAAACACTTTAGCTCGAATTCAAAAGAATTGTTAACTTAGTGATTTCTTATGTTTTTATTATTTTTTTTTCTTATCTTGAACACCACCAATAATGTAAGGAATTCTTTGATTAAAAACAGTGAAAAAAAAAAAAAAAGTAAACACTTAAAAGTAGAGAACAGATACTCATAAGTAATGAATCACACACGTGACGACAACAACAACAATCAGAATAGTAATAATATATTTGTTAAATTACCTTTTTTAATATTAAATTTGATCTGTAAAAGTATAGATGATAACATAGACAGAGTTTGTTTTAGTTTAGTTTGTAAAAGATGGTTTGATAACAAAGATAAATATCTATTGTTCAATCACAACACTTTACCAATCAGATCATCAAAGCCATTAGATAATTACGTAAATGAACATAATAATAACATAAACTCTACTTTAAATTCATATCATTCAATCTATTTAAGATCATTGATCAACTATAAAGCTTCAGTAGTTATTGGTTCCCATATATTTGAATCATATGATTATTATTATTATTATTTGGACCAGTGTAAGTTTTAATATATCAATTTATTTTAAAATAACATTTATATTAATCTATTTACTTTAAAATATTCTTAAATTTAGTAATGATATATAAACTTGAATGTTTTCCAACGAATGTAACATCGGTTGATTTAAATTTAGAGAGATTTATCGATCTATCTGTTTCTAATATTTCCTTTAATGAACATTTAAATAAAATGTTGTGGTCACCTATCTCAAATGTAACGGAATTGATACACTGCCGAACCTTGAAATATAAACTACCACCGACCATTAAGAAAATCTCATTCTCCCCAAGATTCAATGAAGAACTGACTCCAGGTTGTTTTCCTTTGGGTATCGAATGTATAACCCTCAGTAGATGTTTCAACCGTACCATTGAACACGGTGTTTTACCAGAGGGTTTGGAAACCATTGAATTTGGATCGGATTTCCAACAGAAAATCGAGCCAGGTGTACTTCCATCATCTCTACATACCTTGAGAATCGGTAGAAGTCAAGGAATGTCCTTTCTCAAACAGGCTGGAGTATTACCACCGAATCTCAAAGTTCTCAGAGCATCGGGTGTAATAGTGAAAGCTGGAGTTGGAGTACTACCAACCTCACTCCACACACTGAGTTTCATACCTGGTAAATGGATTTCATTGTTCAATCATCTACCGAACTTAACCAGTTTAAGCTTCTTTGACACCCATTCCTTGATTAGATCACCGTTTACTTTCACTATTGACCTCTCGCTACTCCCAATTACCTTAACTTTCTTATCATTGAACTCAACCTATCGATTGAAATCAGCAATGCCACAGTCAATCAAATATCTATATCTTTATCAATCCACAATCAATGGTTTAATCGATTTCAATGAGATACTTCCAGAGTCAATTCAATATCATTTCAAAGAATTCGAATCATCTTACTTGCCAACCGATAAAACCAATCTAAAGATTGATAAATATATTCAAATAACATATAATCTAGAGCCAGAGAGTGAAGGTAGTTTATTTTCAAGAGACATTACAGCCGAATCTTCACTAAATTTCGAGATCATTCCATATTCCATCAAGTGTTTAAAAGTAAGATTGAGTGATCTCATCAAACGCAATATCAATGCCAACACCATTGAAACACTGGAAATCGAAAAGACAACTGAAAAATTTGATTTATTAGCAACACCATTCGATGTAATTCCTCTTTCAACAAGAACATTGATTATCGACTCTAATTTTCAATATCCACTTGTAATTCCATCAACCCTCGAAAACATCATATTTAGAGATAATCAAAATAGATGTACATTTCATATTAGACGTCTTGATTCATTCCATTTTATTGCATTTGGATGGAATGCCAATGAAAAGAAAGCTCAAATCCCTAATAGTAAATTGAAATTCATAACAAAGATGTTTCATATCTCACAATTCAATTCACTTCTATCATTCTGTAGTTTATCTATTCAATCATAAGATTAAAAAAAGAAACAAAGATATATACTTCCATTAAAAAATAAACTATATTTTCTTTAAATTCTAAAAAGATATAATTCTCTAAGAACGACGAGAATTTGATTGGGGGTGCACTAAATTGATAAAACTCAAACCACATAAAAGTAAAAAAAAACAAATTTTGGAATTATTTATAATAAATCATATATAAGTGTGTGTGATGTTAGTACCGATTTTCCAATTAACAACAAACATCTTCATGAGGTTTTATGGTCATCACCCAATGTAACAGAGTTTCATGGTTGTCAAACATTAAAGTTCAAACTACCTCCAACCATCAAAATATTGTCCTTCGCTGATAATTTCAAAGAACAGTTTGAAAAAGATTGTTTTCCATCTGGCATCGAGGAAATTCGACTTAATGTACTATATAACCAGTATATTGGACCGGACATTCTCCCAGAGGGTCTGAAGAGTATGGATTTCGGCAGATCCTATCAACATCCAATTGGCATCGGTGTTATTCCGAACAGTGTGACACACCTATCGACCTATCGATTGACTGATCTGCATGGTCTAGTTGTGGATCGACTGCTACACAGCCTGGAATCGCTTTATATTCATTCACGTGAAGAAGGCAAGCTCATAGATGGTTATTTACCAGCGACCCTTAAAACACTGAGTTTCGTTCCAGCATCGTGGAGTCAACAGTTTTCAAAGTCACTACCGAATTTAACAACACTGACAGTATTCAACATGGAATCGAACCGTAGGAATCCACAGAATCATATTGATTTCTCTGAACTCCCACCAAGTATAACCTATCTATCACTCAAATCAACCTACAGAATGATATCAGCAATGCCAACTTCCATCAAATATTTACATCTCTATCAATCCAACTATAGTCTCTATGATTAGAATGAAATGTTTCCAAATAGTACAATATTACCTTGAAAGCTGACTTCAGTTTCCATACCAATGAATAAACCAAATTTAAAGATCAACAAATTTATTAAAATCAAAGAGACCGATATAGAAACAGTTCCAATAAATAGTGCATTGCCTACGCTTCATACAATCAAAGCATCTCTCAAAACTCAAACAATGGTACATATTACATTATAAAACCAGATTGGATGATTATATTAAACAATTGGTCATCCCAAGAACAAATGATATATTGGATATCATATCAATTTCGGGCAGTATCTTTGCTGATTTCGATCTGGCTCCTAGAACAGCCAAAACATTGATCATCGACTACAGGCTTGGATATCCAACATTCATTCCTCCAAACATTACTAACATTATCATTCAAGAATATAACAAATCTTGTCATATAAGAAGACTTAGTAATAGCTATTTTCTAATGTTTGGTTGGACGGATTATATCAAGAAAAACTATGAGAACACAAATCATATTATAATTATTTTTAACAAAGAAAGCTTCAATATTTTCCTAGGCTGTTCCAGATTTTCAAAATTATTTTTAAAAGAAATAGAAAATCAATATTACTAAGCTACTGGCTTAATGTAAATAAAATGTAAATGTTATCTGTCTTATTAATTTTTTATTTTTGGAATTGAACTTATTCAATAAATAATTGAAATTCTCTAAAATAATGATTAAAATTTGATTTATGAATGATTTTTGTAATTCTTTTATCTTGATAATTATCTCTATACCTCCAACCAAAAAAAAGATAATAATTTGAATCTATCTTTCTGATATGATATTTGCCTTTATTGGTTTTCATATCTTTAAATATGATATTGGTGAGAATAGGTGGAATGTAAAGTTTTGAATGAAAAGTTAACGATTAATCATATATACTGGTAATTTTTTAGAAACATATATATTCATTATTTTTTTAAAAACAAAAAAACAATAAAAAAGGATTTTTATTTAAGAACACCAAAAAAAAAATCAGTTAAATCTTATTTATTCCGAATCACGCCTTATGTCACAACAACACAATATATTTGAAGATTTACCTTTTCTAATATTAAGAGCAATTGTTAATAGAATAAATGATAACATAGATAGAGTTTGCTTTAGTTTAGTTTGTAAGAGATGGTTTGATAACAGAGATAAATATCTATTGTTCAATGCCAACACTTTAAAAACAATACCAACATTACGAGACGATAGTGAATGTAATACCAAATCAAATGTATTAGGTTCCTATCAGTCGATATATTCGAATTCATTAGAGTTTAAAGATAATGCTACAATGATCATTTTAGATAATCATACTCAATTTTTTACAGATTATTACGACTTTGTGTACGATCATTGTAAGTTGTAATAAAATAGAAATGAAATGAATTCATATTCAATGAAAAATAGAAATTCTAATTATAATTATCAATTAAATTACATAGATATATTATCTCAGTACGGTATTCCTTCAAATGTTAGATCTCTTTTTATATCTACGCGTGTCGATCTTCGTGATGATGCATTGTTGTCGTCGAACATCACAAATATAATAGGTTACAAGAGTTTCAAACTAAAACTGCCACCAACCACCAAGATTTTACATGTAGGTAGTACTATCCGTGAGATTTTGACCAAAGATTGTTTTCCTTCTGGTTTAGAGCAACTCAATTTGAAGTTTTTAAGGAACCAGATTACTAAAGGTATGCTACCAGATGGTTTAAAGAGCATTCATTTTGAACTTGAACAAGATCAACCAATAGAACCAGGTGTTCTACCTTCATCTCTCTTGAAGTTAACTTTAATCAATGCCAAACCCAATCAACTCATCAAAATGGGAGTACTTCCACCGAATCTAGAGTATCTACGAATCAATGGTAATAAACCTCCAAACATAAGTGAAAGTTATTTACCACAGACTCTTCAAACTCTTGAATCTATACCTTCAAGCTGGATTCCATTGATCAAATCACTGCCAAATTTAACAACTCTTGTTTTGGAGAATCCAGATCCTATTAAAGAGAATGTTTTAAACTTGTCAGATCTTCCACCAACATTGACAAGTCTATCATTTAACTCTGAATATCATTTGACATCAGCATTGTCGCCAACAATCAAATACCTCTATCTCCATCGTATTCATAACAACAATGGTGTACAATTATATGATTTCAAAGAGATATTTCCAGAGACAATACAATATCACTTGATAGAGTTAACAGCCTTCAGCTTGCCCGAATCAGTTTTACCAAATCTCAAGATTGACAAATTCATCCATGCAAACGAATCATTATTTTCAGATCTACCATTATTAAATGTGGATCATATGGAGGTTAAAGTAATACAAAGAATCGAACAGAGTATTATCAAATCTACAATGAATTTGCCAACACTTCCATATGGAACCAAATATCTTCAAATCAGTTTGGAGGAACTTGTTCAAAATCCACTTACAATTCCAACATCGGTTGAAACTCTTGAAATTGTACAAGCAACTCAGACTTTAAAAAAATTAGCAATCTATGTGATTCCAGATTTTGTTCGAACATTAATCATTGACTTTTCATTCGAATATCCACTTTACATTCCACCAACTCTCACCAATATCACATTTAAATATTTGAGTGTTGGAAAAGATAAATGTAATATCCGAAAGATAGATTCAAATTATTTTCTTTTTTTTGGTTGGTTGCATCAAGATAATTATCAAGATAAAAGAATTACAAAAATCATTCACAAATCAAATTTTAATCATTATTTTAGAGAATCTCAATTATTTATTTGAATAAATACTTTTAATAATTATTTAATTTTATAAAAAAATTTAACAAATATCAGAATTTTGATAATAAAAAAAAAGAAATTTTTTGTTTGATCATTTCTTTTCACACCAGTCATATATTGTCAAGGCTACAAAGATACAAAAAAAAAAATAACCACTTAAATCTTTACATTTATATATGTCACTACAACCAAACAATAATAGTAATCTTGTAAACTTACCTTTTGTATTATTAAGATTAATTGTTAATAGTATAAATGATAACATAGATAGAGTTTGCTTTAGTTTAGTTTGTAAGAGATGGTTTGATAACAGAGATAAATATCTATTGTTCAATGCCAACACTTTAAAAAACAATACCAACATTACTAGATAACGAAAATCAATCTCAATACAAATCAAATGTATTAGGTTCCTATCAGTCGATATATTTGAATTCATTAGAGTTTAAAGATAATGCTACAATGATTATTATTGATAATAAAACTCAATATTTTACAGATTATTACGACTTTGTGTACGATCATTGTAAGTAGTAACTAAATAGAAATGAAATGAATTCATATTCAATAAGAAAAATAGAGTGATTCTAATAATCATCATTAATTTTAAATTACATAGATTCATTATCTCGGTACAGCATACCTTCGAATGTTAGTTTTGTTTTTTTATCTACACGTATCGATCTTCGTGATGATGCATTGTTGTCGTCGAACATCACAAAGATATTAGGTCCTAACAATTTCAAATTGAAACTACCACCAACCACCAAGTTTCTAAATATTGGTTGCACTACCAGTGAGAATTTGACTAAAAATTACTTTCCATCTGGTTTAGAGGACCTCAAAATGAGAATACCTTTAGAATATCATCTCACTAAAGGTATTCTACCAGATGGTCTGAAAAGCCTCCACATTGGTTTTAAACAAGATCAACCAATTGAACCAGGTGTTCTACCTTCATCACTCAAGAAGTTAACTTTAATATTAGCCAAACCGAATCAACTCGCCAAAACCGGAGTACTTCCACCGAATCTAGAGTTTCTACAAATCAATTGTGATCCACCTCCACACATAAGTGAAAGTTATTTACCACAGACACTCCAAACTCTTGAATTCGTACCTTCAACATGGGTTCCATTGATCAAATCACTGCCAAACTTAACAACACTAAGTTTAGAGAATCAAGATCCTGACCAGAATGTGGATGTTTTAAACCTGTCAGATCTTCCACCAACATTGACAAGTCTATCATTTAAATCTAGATATCATTTGAAATTGGCATTGTCGCCAACTATCAAATACCTTTACCTCTATACTTTTCAAATTGACATCGGTGTACAATTATATGATTTCAAAGAGATGTTTCCAGAGACAATACAATATCACTTGATAGAGTTAAAAGCCATCAGTTTACCAGAATCAGTTTTACCAAATCTCAAGATTGACAAATTCATCCATGCAAACGAATCATTATTTTCAGATCTAGCATTTCTAAATAACGATCGTTTGGAGGTTAAAGTAACGAAAGAAGGAACCGAACAGAGTATTTTCAAATGTTCATTGAATTTACAAACACTTCCATATGGAATCAAATATCTTCAAATCAGTTTGGAGGAACTTTTTAAAAACCGAGTAACAATTCCAACATCAGTTGAAACTCTTGAAATTGTACAAATAGCAGTGACTGGAACAAAGTTACCAGTATATGGGATTCCAGATTTTGTTCGAACATTAATCATTGAATGTTCATTCGAATATCCACTCTACATTCCACCAACTATCACCAATATCACATTTAAATATTTGAGTTTTGGTAAAGATAAATGTCAAGTCAGAAAGTTAGATTCAAATTATTATCTATTATTTGGTTGGCCAAACAAAGATAATTATCATGACAAAAGAATTACAAAAATCATTCACAAATCAAATTTTAATCATTATTTTAGAAAATCTCAATTATTTATTGAATAAATACATATATTAATAAAATATTTTATTTAGATTTCATCTATTTTCTTTATATTTATTTATTCTTTTGAAAAATTTAATAATAACTTTGAAGATCTTGATTTGCTGAGAACTTCATTGAATTTATCTTGGTGAAATATTATTATGTTATGGCGAGTATCTTCTTTCATTAATGATATAAAATTTGTCCAACCAAACATTAAAAAATAGTTGGTATCAAGTCTTCTAATATGACAAGATTTCTCATTATCTTGAATGATAATGTTGGTAATGTTTGGAGGAATGTGTGTTGGATTCACAAGTCTATAGTTAATGATCAATGTTCTAACTGTTCTTGGAACCAGATCGATAGAATCCACGTTACGTACTGAACCGCTGAAATCAAGTATATCGATAGCTCTTGGAATGGTAGCTTGGCCAACGAAATCACTAATTGCGACATTAAGATATTGTGTATGTGCCAATGTTTGTGATTTGATAGCATCTTCCACTGTTTGGAGAGTGGGTAGTGTTGTTTTTGAAGGATATTTCTCTACCTCATCGTACAATTTAACAAATCTGTTGACCTTGACATTAGGTTTGTTCATTGGTACGGATCCAGACTTCAATTCCTCGAGATGGTATTGTGTGGTGTCTGGAAACATTTCATTATTAAATTTCGATTGATAAAGATGTAAATATTTGATTGATGATGGCATGGCTGATACTATTTTAAAGTTTGAGTTTATCGATAGATAGGTAATGCTTGGTGGGAGTTCAGACAAATCAAATATTTTCTGTGCGCTTCGAGGATATGACTCAGGGTCTAAGGTTGACAGAGTTGTCAGCTTTGTTAATGACTTTAAGAACTGTTGATTCCACAATGCTGAAACGATGCCGAATCGATAACCAGATAAGTATATCTTTAAAGAACTTGAATGAATGTGAAGAGACTCCAGATTGGATGGCAGTCGATCCTCTACATTGTCATCGATGTCAGAGAAACGAAAGTTTGTGAGGTGTGTCACACTGCTTGGAATAACACCGACGCCAATTGGATGTTGATAGGATCTTCCGAAATCCAAACGTTTCAAACCCTCTGGGAGAATGCCAGGTTTGATGATTTTACATTGATAACTCAGTATAATCTCTTCAATACCAGGTGGAAAACAACCAATGGTAAACTCTTCTTTGAAATATTCAGAGAATGACAATACCTTTATGGTTGGAGGTAGTTTGAACTTCAATGTTTGACAACCATGAAACTCTGTTACATTGGGTGATGACCACAACACTTCATAGAGATGTTTATTAACATTCATGTTATTTGGCATATAAACCTCACACATATTAACATATGTTATATTTGGTAGAAATGATTGGAATTTTACAATCGATGCTATGTGTATTCTTTAGTTAATAATTAAATATGCATATTAAGTAAACAAATAAACTTACCGACAGTCATGAAAAAATCATATTCACAAGACGTTGGACAAATGGTGACCGCGTTGAATGAATTACCTTCTCCGATATTTGATGATATTTTCAATTTTGCATCACTCTTTATCTTTAATGATTTATGATAGATCGAGTTGAATGATGCTGACTGATTTGAACCACTATTCTCATCATCAGAAATAACTTCATTACCATCGGTTAATTTAGCTCTGAATCGTAAGGTTTTGGTATTAAACAACAAAAATTGAGATCTGTTGTCATACCATCTCTTACAAACCAAACTAAAACAAATTTTGTCTATGTTATCATTTATGTTATTAACAATTGAACCTAACAATATAAATGGTAGTTGAACTATTTTATTTATTCTATTTTCATTATCTTTATTGTCTTGTGACATCTTTGAATGAATGAATGTATTCTTTGGTACTTTGGTCGAAGAACTTGACTAAGAATATTCTTTCTTGATTCTATTATTAAAAATAGAATCATTTTTCTTGAGTTCGATTTCAAAAATTTCGCTAATAAGAAATCTACATAGTTTACAAAATAAAAACAAAAGAAAATACTAAAAATAAAGGGTTTAAAAGTTTTTTATAATGTTGTTTTTTTTTTTTTCTTGAATTATTTATTTAACTAAACAATCAATTAAACAACATTCAAATAAAGAATAAAGATTACCAAGTATTTTTTATTTTTTTTTGTCTGATATCTTCAAAGTGAATTAAAAAAATTTGGGTTGTTGGTTAATGTATAGAATTTATTTTTCTCACAGTTTTTGTTTTTATGCTATTATTATTAAACTACAATATCAACAACAACAATGATAATTTTAAAATAGATCGCAAATCAAAAATATTAATTAAACTTATTAACTTTTGACTAATATTATTGATTTGAGAACTTTTTTTAAAAAGTAATCATTGTTTTGTTTTGTTTTGTCTTGTTTTATATTTTTGATTTGTTTAATTGTATAATTATTATTATTATTATTATTTAGTTATCTTCGTTATCTGATGATTCTGGTGGTGGTAATCTCTTGGTTTCAGAGTTGACTCTGAATGACTCGAAGAATTCCTTCTCGTGGAAATGCATGTCACCTGCAATAACGAATGAATGTAGAGGTGCTCCAAAGTCGACGTTTACCAATTCCTCCATGGTTCCACTGGTGATTTGTTGGGTGTCTTGTCCAACTCTAGCCAATCCAACACAGAGTGTATCTTTACTGTAGACATTCTCCTGTCTGAGTTCCTCGATTTCCAACAGCTGTTCGATACACTGGTTGATTGTCATGAATCTCGGTTTCTCATAGATCTTATTGCCACGCAGCAAATTGGCAATCGATTGCTCCTTCACCTTGATATCCAACAACACCAAAGTATGCAATCCATCACGACGATTCGACTTGATACGATCGTAGAAGGAATCTGGCTTGCTAGTCTCAGTGAAGAATACCATCGAGATGGTTTGTCCGTAGGTGTACAACTGCAATCCACAACAACCGATGGCATTCATAATCGAAGCGTTATGGATGACCTGATAGGGAATCGATCGCTCTTTCGCACGCATCACCAAATCGGTGTGAGTGGTAGCACCGAATGGATCACCGACCACCAAGAAACTGACGGACATAGTTCGCGACTCCTCTAGCATCTCTTCGCAACCGGATTCAACCATTTCACGATCGGCCAAAATAATATCTTTTCCATAGTACTCTTTCATTCTATCGATCGAAGTCGAACCACCCAACAACGAAGTGTAAAACTCCAAGTAAACTTTATCCGATGACTTTATAGCTTCCAATCCTTTGATAGTAATATCTTTTTCGTCACCCAAACCTAAACCAATAACATATAAAACCATCTTTTTTTTTCTTTCTTTTAAAAATAATATATATATTAAAAATAAATTTTAATTTATTTGATTTTTTTTATCTCGTTCGTTTTTTTTTTTTTTTTTTGCTTATGTGAAATTTGGAGTATTTAGTAAATGACCAACGTTACTCTGAGCAACCATGTTTTTTGAAAATCAAATTTTTTTATTTTTGAAATTCAAATTTTTTCACAGAGTGTGAGTGTGTTACCCCTCCTCACAGAGTTTCCATTGTCAAGAAGTTATTCATTGATAGTATATAAACTTTTTATAATATTAACTATATACGATATCTTTTAATTAATTTAAAATAGATTAATTAAAATAATAATATAGATATTATTAACAAAAGCAAAAGAGAAAGCAGCATTTCGATATTTCATACCTTCATCTTTTTTGAACAAATTCGATTTTCAAATTTCAACAAGATCATCTTCACCGATCAAATCGCAAATTGAACATTCAACAACTTTTCGATATAAAGAAGTAGAGATAGATAATAGATCATATAAATTTGTATAAAACGAAGAATAGATAGATTAGATATATAAAAGATGATGCAATTAACTGATATGTTAAAGGATGGTGCTAAGCACTTCTCTGGTAGAGACGAAGCGATCCTTCGTAATATCGAGGCTGCCAAGCAGTTGGCAGAGATCACACGTACATCAATGGGTCCAAATGGAATGAATAAAATGATTATCAATCACTTGGAAAAGTTGTTTGTCACCAACGATGCTGCTACCATCATCAAGCAATTGGACGTTGTACATCCAGCTGCCAAGATGTTGGTTTTAGCTGCTCAAATGCAAGAACAAGAGGTAAGTTTAGTTTTAACAATATCAAATAATATTAATAATAATAATATATGCTAATAATTGTTTGGTTTTTTTTCTTTTTTACTTCTTTTTAATTAATTGTAGATGGGAGATGGAACTAATTTAGTTGTTACTTTGGCAGGTGAATTCCTTCAGAAAGCAGCTGCACTCTTGGAGATGGGATTGCATTCATCAGAGATTATCTTTGGTTACGATAGAGCTGGTGAGAAAGTACAGAGTATCATTGAATCGTTGATCGTTCATACATTGACTGACGTTCGTAATATCGATGAGGTCAAGAAGGGATTGAAATCGGCGTTGGCATCGAAGCAGTATGGTTACGAGACATTCCTCTCTGATATCATTGCAAAGGCATGCATTCAAGTGCTCCCAAAGAAACCATCGAACTTCAACGTCGACAATGTGCGTGTCACCAAGATTCCAGGTGGTGGTGTCACCGATACCTCTGTCTTCAAGGGTCTTGTCGTCGCTGGTGACGCCGAAGGTGCAATCAAACGTGTAGAGAAAGGAAAGATCGCCGTCTTTGCAAGCGGTATCGACATTGGAAAGACTGAAACCACCGGTAAAGTTTTGATCACAAACGATACCGAACTACTAAACTTTTCCAAAGGTGAAGAGGATTCCATCAGAGAGGTAAGTATTACTTGGGAATTAGAGATCTAATTAACAAGCACCCATACCTATTCAAATATATATTAATAATTTATTTATTGTTGTTTAGACAATTCAAGGTATTGCAGATGCAGGTGTTAAGATTATTGTTTCCGGTTCATCAGTTTCAGAGATTGCACTTCATTATATAGAGAGATACGGAATGATGTTGGTCAAGTTACCATCGAAGTTCCAATTGCGTAGACTTTGTAAGACTGTTGGTTCGACACCTTTGGTGAAGTTGGGTGCTCCCATTCCAGAGGAACTCGGTTACTGCGATGAGGTGTACGTCGAAGAGATCGGATCGACCAAGTGTGTCATTTTCCGTCAGACTCGTGAGGACTCTGAGATTTCATCGATTGTCGTTCGTGGTTCCACCAACAATATTCTCGACGATATCGAGCGTGCCATCGACGATGGTGTCAACGTCTTCAAGGGAATGTGCAAGGACGGTCGTTTCTTGGCTGGTGCAGGTGCCTTTGAACTCGAGGTATCGCGTCAACTCCAACAGTTTGCCGACGCCACCCCGGGATTGGCCCAGTATGCCATTCGTGCCTACGCCGAGGCTTTCGAGATCATCCCACGTACACTCGCCGAGACATCCGGTCACGATGCCACCAAGATCATTTCAAACATTTACGCTGCACACACCAAAGGTAACACCGATTTCGGTTTGGACATTGAGACCGGTAATGCCAAGAGCGCCAAGGAAATGGAAATCTTTGATCTTTTCATTGGAAAACAATATGCCATCAAGTTGGCTACCAACACTGCCACAACCGTTTTAAGAGTCGATCAAATCATCATGTCTAAACCAGCTGGTGGTCCAAAGGCACCAAAGCAAAACTCTGGTGATGGTGATCCCGATTTTTAAATAAATTAAAAATAAATAAAAAAATAAAACAAAAATAAATATTAAAAAATCAAAAAGAAGATAATATATATCTATATTATATCTATATTATATCAAAATCATAATGTTTATTATAATTCATTGAATTAAGTTTTAGTTTTTAGTTTAGTATAGTTTTAAGATTATTGAGTGGTGGTGGTGATGGTGTGTTTGTTGTTTTCTTTTTGAGCGGCAAAAATAAGAAAGTTGTAATAGAATAAACGAAGGCGAATAAAGATAAAGATCGTTTGTTTGTTGTTTGTTTGTTGTTATAGTTAAATAATAATATTATTACTATATAATTATTATTATTAAAATATTAAAAAGTTTGTTGTTGTTGTTATTACTGTTGAGTTGGGTTTGAGTTGGATTGGATTGGGTTGGATTGTTTTGTTTTGTTTTAGGTGAGGTGTATTGTAATGTTAATGTTGTTTGTTTCTTTTAAAAATTTATTGTAATATACAATTCTTTTCTTTCATATCCTTTCCTTTCTTTTGTTGAGCGGCCAATTCCTCTTTTGAGGGGGGGAACAAGACGACTCTTCCTGCCTCTTCGAAAACATTAGTTAAACCATCTTGAGTCAACGCTGAGCACTCGCAGTATTTATAGGCTCCAATCTCTGCTCTCATTTGCTCGCCCATCTCTGCTGTGATTGGTTCTTCACCATTTACTTTTGTTTTCGAACGCAAATCCAATTTAGTTCCAACCAAAATAATTGGTGGAACAACTTCCATACTCGCTGTGATCTCTGCATACCACTATATAATTAATTAATGATTATTGTTATAATAAATAAAAACAAAATATTAATAAATAATAAAAATAAATATAAAATAATCTAACAATCTACAGATTTAAGATTTTATAAGATAATATCTTATCTTATGCTATCATTTACCTTTTTTAAAACATTTTCAAAACTAATCTGTGATATCAATGAAAAACATATAAGAAAAACATCTGTACCTGGATAACTTAGTGGTCTAAAACTATTGTATTCTTCAGAACCTATGTTTATTATTATTATTTGATTGTAATGATAGTTTTGTTAGTATATAACATAATAGATGATAATAATGAATGAGGAATAGATCAATCTTACCTGCAGTATCCCAAAGTCCTAAATTAACAGGTGTATTATTTACAATAGCATTTGCATTATAATTATCTGTTTGTTATGGTTGTTATGGTTGTTGTTGTTGAATATTGATGATGTTAATGATTGTTTGGTTAGTTATGCTTAGTTAGTTTGATGTCGAATATCAAAAAGGGTCAATATACATACCGAATACAGTTGGGACATATTCACCTGGAAAAGAGTTGGTGGTGTATGAGATCAAAAGACATGTCTTACCAACACTCATATCTCCTACTACCATAACCTTAATATCTTTGACCATTTCTTTTTGTTTTCTTTACTATACTGTTTATATATGCTATATTATATTATTATCGGAGGGTTTAAAGTTGATTGTTGTCGTTGTTGTTGTTGTTGTGATGAATTGTAGTATATGTTGTGTTGTGTTGTGTCGTGTTCTTCCCTTATTCTTATTTTGTTTTTTACTAGTATTATATTATTAGGGGAAGTTTAAAAAGATGATATGAATAAAGTGAAGGATGATGAAATGATATAATACAACAAGTTATATATATAATATATTATTTATTTAGATTGATTTGATTGTTTTTTTAATAATAAATAAATAAAATAAAAAAAAAAAGTAAAATGGGTAATTTTTTTTTGTCGCAGTTATTAAAAAAAACCAAAAAACAAACAGACAAAAAAAAACACCAACAAACAAATCAATAAATAACTTTTTTTTTCTAAGTGATCTTAAAAGAATGATCTATCTATCTAATAAATAAACTTATTTTATTAAAAGATATAATGTTTTTTATTTATACTATATTTACTTTTCTTTTTTGGAACAAGTGAAAATTTTTTGATGATATTGACAAAAAAAAGATTTAATAATTTTTTTCTATTTTTTTTTTAAAAAGCCACCAACAAACAATCCAAATATATTTTTCAAATTATTTATTTTTTTGTTGTTTCTATTTTTAAAAAAGATTTTGGTTTGATTGGTTTTTTTCTCACAACCAAAAAAAAAAATTTGAAAGATCGGTGACCATAAAACAGTTTTAAATTTATTCAATTCAGAAAGCAGACAGATAAATAAAAATTTATTATCTTATCTTAATTTAATAAGTTTATGTTTATGAGATAAATAAATAGATTAAATAGTAAACAATACAAATAAATGAAAATAATAATTAGGGTGTGGGTGTGATGAGGTGTGTGTGGTAAAGCGAAATAAATGATCTATGGAAATTGAATGGACCAAAAACAATGAATACTCAGATTATATTATTATAAGGTAAAAAGAAATTTCCATAGATGTTTATATTATAATTTGAAGTTATATAATTTATTATAAATTTGTTAGATATTTTCACAGATGAAGATTAAATATAATCGATTTCTTATATTTTTATTAGTTGTCTATGTATCTTTTACATTCTCAACAGTTGTTGGCGAAATAAATGAAAAATCTAAAAAATTAATACTGCCATTGCATTCAGCCCCTTTAAAAGTCTCAATTTCAGAGCTCTCAGGAAATTATATTGGCATAATAACATCAATAACCTTTGGAAATATAACTGCTAAATTATTATTGGATACTGGTTCAAGAATGGTAAGAATAATAAATAAATCTTAAAGAATATTATTATTATTAAAATAGTAACCAATTAGTGGTTTGGTTTTTAAAAATTTAGTTAGTTTTACCGAAAGAAAATTGTAAAGGATGTTTAATAAAAAAACCATATTATGTTCCAACAGAGAAAGCACAGTTGATAGAATGTTCATCAAAAGAATGCATGTCCATAACGAAAACTTTGAATAGTTGTCACGATCGGGAATCAACAGGTTCATGTCTTGCTGCTATTACTTATGCTGACGGAACTAAATGGATCACTCAATCATACATAGACGAAGTCATTATAAATGGATCAATCATTCCCAATGTTTTGATAGGAGCCATCATTGGAGATATCGGTACAAAACAGAAATCAATGAACTATGGACTATTGGGTTTGGCAAGATGTTCTGGTGATAGTTGTCTTCCAACTATAGTTGATTCAATCATTAAATTCACAGGTTATAAAAGTATGTATGAATATATATAATTTAATTATATTAATTTAATTAATATTTATTTTTATATTTTTAATAGATATGTTTGGAATAAGAGTAGAAAAAGATTATAGTGGTAAATTCACTATTGGAGAACCAGATTTAAGAGAAGGTGAGTCAATTGTTTATGCACCATTGATTCCAAGTTATAATGAAAAATATTTTGTTATGCCGAAATCAATTAAAGTATTGGGTATCGATAGAGTAGTTGAAGTTCCAACACAGCTAATGTCACCAACCATAGTAGATACAGGAAGTTCAATATCTTACTTTTCACCAGAAATCTATGATCTAATTGGAAATGAAATAGGTGATGTCTGTACTTTAGAAAATGGATGTGATTGGTTAAATAAAAAAGTAAGTAAAAGTTAATCATATTAATAATATTAATAATAAATTTATTTATATTAATTATTTTGTGGAAATCACTAGTGTTTAACTTTAAATGATACAGATGTCATACATAAATTCCCAACTTTCGAAATAGGTTTAGAAGATAATGTTTATTTTAGAGTACCTTGGGATATCTATATGATTTCATCGAGTTTACTACCTAATATGTGGTGTATTGGATTGACACGTGGGGAAACGCCAAATAAAAGTTTAATTGGTTTATCATTTATGAGAGGTAAATTAATTAATAATATGAAATGTTTATAGCTGAAAGATTAGATTATTAATATTTTATTTTCTATTTTAGATAATTATTTGATTTTTGATAATGAAAATAAAAGAGTTGGATTTCTTAAAAGATGATAATGAAATGGATAACAAAATAAAATAAATCAATTACTACTGGTTTTTTAATGATATTATAATATTTGTATTTTTGATATCATTTTTTTTTATTCTAACCATTTCAATGTACCCATGAGCAAAAACTTTGATGGTAAATCACCTGGACATGGCGCCAAAAATGAAATCTTTTTAGTTTCCATATTAATATCAGAGCTATAAAATGAATAATTATGTGATGTTAATAATGATTGTTTTGTTTTGTTTTGAATTTTAAAATTACTTACACATAAAGAAAACCAGCAACATTACTTCTCAAAAGTGATTGTGAATTCTTGGCATAGGAAATGGCGAGTACCGAATGTAACATCTCTGGAGATGGTTGAATCTCTTGGAGTGCCAATGGATCGATTACCGATGTTGAACCAATTGGAAGTGCTGTGGATGGCGCTGGTGGACCTCCACCAGTTCTAAATATACAAACATCCTTAAAGTCGACGATGGTGATGTGTGGACAGAGATCACCTTGAATGCCATAGAAATACTCACGAATTCTTTGCATTCTAGTTTGTTTTCTAAAGAGTGCAGATCGCAAATAGACACCACCCGATTTCGGGAGTTTCATTACTTTCATGCCGCTGCTGCTGTTGTTACCGCCGCCGCTCGAAAACTCACGTGATAGATCACTATACAGTTTCTCATTGTCTATGACAACGATGATGTTGATTCGCAACAGGTTGATACTCTCACGTAGCAACTCGTAGCCAAGACCCTCTATCCAACCGCAGGTATTCACAATCATACCAGAGACACGAGCATTGTCGGATTGTTCCATTCGTTTGTCGACAGAGATTCCCAGACTTTGAATCTGTGCTTTGAAGAGTGTCGGATTGATATCGAGTGATGTGTGACCGTAGTACTGAACGAAAGGAACGGTATTCGAGAGTCCCTCTTCAATGTCGACCGGTCTATCGATCAACGATGCACACAGAGCACCCGGCAAAGTAATACTACCCTGTCCTGGATCCAAATCAATGAATGCCGGATTATAACCTAATCTAGCAGAGTATCCCATCAATATCTTTGCTAGGGTACTCTTTCCTACATCTGTTGGTCCTGCAATCAATACCTAATAATCATGATATAATATAAAATGTTAAGAGATAGATAGATTTAGTTTGTTTTGTTTGTTTTAATTAGATCTAATAATAAAAGTGAATAGTTACTTACTCTTGGACCTTGTTGATTCTTTTGACTTAGTATAGACATACGATGTTGATCCATGATGGAATGTATGTTTGCATATGAAAGCATGGGTGTACCATTCGATATGTATGCTTTGACATTGTCGGTCACTTCAATTTTACATCCTTTCCAAGAGAATATAGCACCCTTGACATTGTTCAATGTGTATTCTCTATTCAATGCTAACTCTGTACCAAAGTATTCTGCAGTACCATCAGCTAACTAATATGATCATATTAAATAGAAAATAGGGTTATTATTAGTTTATCGTTTGTTAAAGGATTGAATCAATCATTCATTCATTAAACTATTGCAATGATTACAAGTTTATATCTTCTTTACACTAATCTATTTACTTTTATTTTTGCTTCTTTATCAATTTCAAATCTTAATTCATCTTCTGATTTCAAAGTATATGGTACCCATGTAATCTGTGGTGTCTGTGTTTGTGTATCTTTTGGTGAGTCTGGATTGTTTTCAAACATTCTATATATTTATTAAATGTGATCGATTTCTCTTTGTTTCAGGTTTAAAAAAAACATGAGCAATGATGGTGATCATCATTTAATAATTGACATTTAGTAAGATTTATAATTTAAATGATTTTTATTTGATAATAGATTTGTAAAAAAGAAAATTTTACAAATGGAATGAGTTGGATTTTTTAAAATAGAATAAAAGAGCCAAAATCAATAATTTTCGATTGGATGTCATCTAAGCTCGATTAGCTCAGTCGGCAGAGCGTGGTGCTAATAACGCCACGGTCGCAGGTTCGATCCCTGCATCGAGCAAAGAACATTTGAAATATATTTGTCCGCATGCGGTTTTAAACAAAAAACTTAATTGTCAAAGCTTGTCAACAGACTTATTACTTGGTTCTTCACCAGTGCACCAGATGCCAAAGCAAAGTTCACTGCTTCCGACTTGAAAGGAGCGCGCCACGTACTAATCTAGTATACAATACTATCTTGGACCCCATGAAGTTGACACCGACAGTAACTAGCAGGCTTATCATAGGTGAACACAGAGTGATTTACACACATACCCGCTAAGAATTCTAAGTGGCTTAAATACATGTACTCAGTCTGCCAAACCAAATCAATGGGAACATCATCCCTTTCTCAAAATGATGGCCATCTCAGCCGGCCTGTGGCTGAATTGCTCCAACAAATAAATAAATAAAACACGAACCGTAGGGTAATATCCAAGCTCTACACCTTGACTATCAGTAATAAAAAAAAAAAAAAAAATCACTGCTTTGAATGTCTTTTGACAGCTATTGGAATGATGGTTGTCTGAATTTGTGGGATTTATTTCTTCGCTCTGCTGCTTACAAGTTATGGGTCTTTAATAGATTCCTGTTGTTAAGTAGAAGAAACTCATTTGATTACTTCAAAACTTGGTTATCCATTCTAGATTGTGCCAAAAAATTTACTAACCCAACTTCTTCACCTTCCTTCAAACTATTCCATTCGTCTTGGATGGATTTTAGAAACAATCACTTCTCCAGAGTCATACCAGGTAATCCCATCCTTGCTGATGACGTAGCCTCCTATCCTTGAAGGAAATCTATTCTGTTCTTTTCAACCACAAGTACCCCCATGTCAGCCTTACTGAAGGTCAACTAACCATCCAGATTGGTCACTCTTTTGTTCTCCAATCTCAGTTCCTACACATTTCCAAGGTAAAAGTGCCTATGCTACGTAACAGCTTATTCAGGCTGTACTCTCACACCTTCTCAATCAACCACAAGCGCACTGGTCATATCTGTGAATTCTGTGGTGATCCTCTGCCAGTTTCAAATGTTGAAATTTATCAATTTCAAAAATAATTGGAATGAATTAAATATATTAAAGACCTTTATTCATATCTGATAACCTATTTTTCATCTTCATCTCTTGTTGTTTGAATTTCTTTTTTTTCTTGATTAATAGAGCTGCTGCAATTACGATTGAAAGGAAAACTACACCACCAACGACAATTCCTGCAATTGCACCGTTACTTAGCTTCTTGTTTGATGAACATTTGAAATCAGAGGTGTCGGTTGATCCTACATCAATCAGATTCGAGAAATCTGGATCCAAACTAAGTGAATGATCAAATGCAGTACTTGTAATTCCAACAATGACCGATCTCATCTGTTTGGTTTGTTCAGATTCATTATCTTCTATAATTACATTCTGGATGACACTGACTCTACCATCCCTTACACCCTTCGAGAGGAATCTTCCATAAAGACTGTTTTGATCGATATTTAATTTAATCCATTGCACTGATTTATCGATAACTCCAACACCAGTTGATGAGCAGACTTTAGAGTTATTGGATTGAATAGATGATCTCATCATGATTTGAATGAGATTGGTCTGCTCTTTGAATTGATAGGAACTCATATTCATTGAGAATTTGATTGACGATGCCGGAATGTCAAGTTGTTCATCTGCAAATGTGATGTTTGCAGATTGCTTAAAGTATTCAATCGATACATTCAAAAAGGTTGATCGTTGCTCGAGAATCGTTGAGTAATAATATTTTGGATTGGTAGAAGCTGTTGTAAGATCTGTGAAATTCCATTTGCTGATATTGAATGACTGAACTACATTCATTGTGGCATCCAATTCTCTTACTCCAACGATTTCAATCGATGATGTAATCAAACTTCCAGACTCTGTGATATTTGTACCTGTCAAAGGATCTGGATAAGCTGGTGGAATTGGTGTAATAATAGTTTCTTTTTGATTTTGATTTCATTAATAAGAATTAGCTTAAAAGTAAAATAAATTGATACATACTAGATGAACAGGATGGACCATACCATGGATTAAAGCACTGACAAGTAGAATTGATGCATCTACCATTGTTATTACATTCTGTTGGTGTTCCTGGACATTTCTGGCTTGGTGTTGTAGTGGGGTTTGGTGTATTTGTTGGATTCGGTGTGTCTGTTGGTTTTGGAGGTAAGGCACCGTCATAAACAACTGGAATTAACAGTTCATTGGAATCGATTCCATTCTTTGTGACAATGAGAGTGATATTATTTGCGTAAATCGGCTGAATATTATTAAAAATAACCATGATACCAGTGTGTACATCAATTCCAGTATTGACATATCCTTTTCCATCTTGATAGTTGATTTTAGTTGAAAATCCGGTGCTGTTCAAACCGAAATTTTTTCCAAATACAATCAACTCTCCTCCTTGGTTCGATAGTTTCAATGATTTCTCTAAAATCGGTTCATCATAGCTACGCGATATGTTTATATAGTAAGGCCAAGCATTGCTAGAATTTCTTAAATCGTATGTATGGTAGGCACCATAGTTTTTGAAATTGTCAACCAGACCATAAACACTAACCAAAAGCAAATTAATTCCAAAACCATACTTCAATTGAATGGAACCTTGGAATAAAGTTCCAGTGGGTGTGTCTCTTTTACGCTCCATTGAAACCTGAACGGTATCTGAGTTTTCCGAGGTCAATATAACTATTGGTGTATGTCTTAATGATAAACCAGCTGGTCCTATATCACTGATAACCATCTCAAATTGAACTGTTCTGTTTTGTCTTCCAGTATCAATGATTTTTGGTGAAAAGTCAAAAGATGTCATTATTGGTGGATCATTATCTACGATAACTAAAATTAAAATACAAACAATTAATTATTATTATTATTTAAATGATTGTTAAAATATTAATATTCTATACTTACTTGTTGGACAAGAAACTTGAATTTTTAGTTGTGATTCCAATTGAGTTCCATAGATTGATGTCAGTGGGTTCATTGAGACTAAAGCTGGATTGCGATATGCTTGCTTATCATAAAGTACAACATTTGTCATTGAATATGCTTGAGTACGACAGGTTCCATTGACTGGGAATCTAATTTCATAGATACCATCAAATTGATCTCCAAAGATCAATGAAGATGAATTGAAATTAATTGTAATTGGTAAAACGTCAAGATCTGTAATTACATTCAAAGATCCATAGGAAAAGCCATTTGGAAAATCGGTGATTCTTATATTCCAACCAATCATCTCCACACCTGGATTGTTTATTATAAAACTATTACCTGGAATTGCATGAACTTCCTCGAGAATGGGAGGCATGAAATCAGAAGCTAAAATAAATAATAATTTGATCAGAAAAAAGTTGTTGTTATCTTTATAAAATATTTTAACTAACCTGAATTGACAATAGTTATTGCTGCAATACTTTCACCGAAATATGACTCCAATGTTGGTGAATCTACACTGAATATTGGGAAATTTAATTGATAAAACATTTTTCCTTGTATCATTCCTTGGGGTATAGTAAATGGGAGGACATATAATCCCAAGCTTGAATTATAACTTCCTGTATATCTTAATGAAAAATATGAATTTATGAATATTGGCTCCAAATATCTGAGATGGCTAGTCAAATTGAAATAGATAGTTCCATTTACGTCACCACCCCCGCTTAAATCAAATTGATTACTTGATATCTTGAAATATGTAATATTAGTAATGTCAAAAGCTAGAAAATAAAATAGACAGTTAATAAAAAGCTATTTTTATTATTATTATTGTTGTTGTTTTTATAAAACAAACACTTACTTTCAGTTGGAACTTTAGCAAGTAATCCTCTTCCGACTATTGGGTTGAATAATAGAGCACTTGAGAAATAATATTGCTTGGAGCAAGCATCATCGACGGCAAGAGTATAGTCATTATAAACAATGACAGGAGAAACTTCATATTCATAAACTCCATTGAGCGCATCACCATAGATGAGAGACGCTGTATTTGTGCCAGGACCGCTTAGAGTGATTGTAGTTACATGACATTCTGAGCTGATATTTAATCTTGCAATCACAGAATACCATTGAACTCTAACATAACTAACACTATTTATAACTACATTACTTGCTATCATTTTTATTAAAAATAGAAATAGAAAATAAAATAATAGATTTAGTAGGTGTTATTTTGAATATATCTATAGAGTGTTTCTTTTTACACTCTAGTGTAAAGTATACTTTTTGGGAGTGATCTAAAAGGAGATGTGCCAAAACCACCAGGAGAGAAATTTAAAAATAAATTATCTTTTTGTAGATAACTACTTAGAGCAAAGACATTTGAGAATGTGAATACTCCTTGAATTGGGTCATAGCTGTATGGGTATGGGTTTGGATAGTTTAGCGCGGAGGATGATGAAACAGATGTAACCAAAACTGGTTTACCGATAGTAGATATATTAATAGTAGCAAATCCCAAAAAACATCCTAAACTCGGATCATATCCATTATTTGAAGACAGAGGTTGATTTACTAATAGATAAATTAAGATATATATGTTGAATGATTAATGCTGGAAATATATTTAATTTTGATGAATATTTAACTTACATGAAAATCTAGTGTAGGTAGATGAGTAATTGTTTGATATGATAGTTGTTTGGTTATCTAGAATCAATGGACTGATTTGACCGCTCAGAATGGTACGATATGCAGTATTTTGGAGATAGGTAGAGTGTGTTTGATTTTGTTGTAGCAAAGTGTAAGGAGAAAACGATGGCATACTTTGTGAGGAGTCTTTGATATAGAAAAATGAATTGGAGTTCTCTACCAATAAAATGTTTACTTTTTCATAGGGGAACATTTGATAATCTTGAACGATTGTTTTACCCGATGGCGGATAGTTAATTTCTTTAACAACATTTGAAGTTCTGCTAACTGAAAACAACAGATATTAGTTGTTGTACTACTCTATTAATAGTAGTTAATTGCGCAACAATTAATAATAATACAAACCATTATAGGGGAATAGATTTTTGAAGCTAGTGGTAAAATCAATACCTCTGACAGTTAGCTTTATTGGGATATCGGGTGGAGGTTCACTTGAATATTCCTCAGCTATGGAAATGATCAATGTTTGAAGTTTTGGTGTAAGACCATCTGGTGAAATCAATTTGCAACTGTAGGGCGATACTGTTGTGCATGTGACCGGTAGCTGAGATACATACAGTGGATATCCGTTTGGATAGTCCACTATTACATTAACCATCATATTGATTAACCTATACATAGATGGTAAACTAAACTTAAAATTAACTTTACTCATATCAATTTCTATAGAAAACTCAACAAAATAGAATATAAGTATAAAGTAATGTAATGATTGTTTGATTGTAACACTGATAACTATAACATACCAATACATTGTAATCCAGGAACGGCTATTGAATCGAGACCACCTGAATTGGTGGTGATGTTGATTACGAGATCAACTGAGGTTTGACCGATTGGTAGTACCATCTGAGTTTGGAAGTTGAACAGCTGATTCGTTCCATTCTCGCCTCTAGAGATCGCCAAACTATTTAGTGCAGTGGGTCCAGGCTGAACAACGGAAAAGTTTGATGGAAACAATGGTTCTGGATGTGAAACTATAACTGCGAATGTGAATGAACATCTATTGGATTCATCTTTTATAGGAGTAGGTTTGCCAATATTATATTCCAACAATGTAGCACCTTTAATTAAATCTGTTTTATGTTTGTAAAATGATCAAATTTATTTATTTTTAAAAAGTTAAAAAAAATGCGCATTTTTCATGTCTTTAATTAAATTAATTTTATTTACCAAAATAAATCAACAATAATGCTATCAGATAATAATATTTGAAAGAGATAAACATTTTTTTTTAAAAGTTGTTTTAAAATAAAAAAGTGTAAAATGTTATGATAAGTTTTTAAACAAAAAAAAAAAATCTGAAGATTTTCTTTGGGACTATAACCCAATCTCAAACTCCAAAAATAATAAAAACCTTCATTTTCCGATATTTTCTTAGATTTTTTTTTAAATACATAAAAATTGTAAAACGATCGTGTTTTTTGATCACAAAAATAAATGTTTTCAAGATCTGAAATCTAGAATAACAATTAAAAACATATTATTTGTTGTTCTGAGCTCACATGATGTGATTTACGGGGATAGCGGTAGTTGATAGAATAGTGATATACTTGATATTGCCTTATTTGTTTTAAAAGAGGAAGAGGAGGTTTAGCGGGTTGTTGGAACATTCTTCCTGACAATACAATTTGTATCCACCTGCAAGCAATACCATTTCTCGATTAAAACTCCACTCATCACCAACTTTAAAGTAATGAGTGGGCGCCCAGCAATATGGAAAATGATGATGTAGCAATTCTCAATTTTCCAATCACAACAACAACATCTGCTACTGCTACACCCAATAGCACTGTAAATGGGCGCCCTTCACTCTAAATATATTTTTGGTTAATAGATAGTAAAATGAAGATAACCTTTTTTTTTTTTTATTCTCAATAAATTAAAAGACTTTAAAATTATTTTTTTTCGGATGTGAAACAAGAGGTCGAAAAGGTCGGTCCTTTTTTTTTTTATTATTTATATAGGATTAAAAAATGTATCGGAATGCTATATAATTAATTTAGATTACAATGATTGGTTGATGTTGATCGACGTAGGTGAGCAAAGTCTGGAGGGCACTGACAATACCGGCTGGATTTTGAATTGGGATAAAGTGACTGGAGGTGTTATCGTGGATGTGATAGCTCTTTGAGGACAATGAAGCCAAGACATTTTGACGAAGAATCCAGTATTCACCGTTGGAGTCGGCAGTCATTACGACCAATGGGATGTTGGAGAGTGGAGTGGCGGTGTTCATTGACTCGTAGGTTTGGTTCAAGAGTGAAGTCGATGGGATCATGATTTGGACTTCTTGGAGGGCGGTGTTGAGATTCTTCTCGGTCATCCACCATTGGTTGTTGGCGGTTTGAGCTTCGATTGGGAAGGCGCAACCGAGTGGGTTCGATGGGATGTAACCGAATTCCAATGGGATGTTGGCGAGCATACCCTCGACGGCACCGGTTGGGAGCAATTGGAGGAGTTGTTCGATGGCAGCGGTGGCACCAGCCAAACCTGGGGCGTTCTTTGGATCGAAGGCGTAGGCAGAGTCGGTACCGTCAATGGTGAGGAGACCAACGACTTCGTTCATGTATTGGAGGGCGTAGTTTTGGATGTCGACGGATCCCCATGACCAACCGACCATGATGTATGGCGATTGAATGCTGGCAGCATTGAGGGAACCGTGGAGACGGTAGACAAACTCGGTCGACATGAATGGGTATGGAGCTGGGTCGGACCAACCGTAACCGTAACGATCGAATACACAAGCACGACTGATATTCATGGTGGAGATGGTTGGGAGGAGTTCAATCAAGACGTTGGCAAAGACCAATGATGAGAATGGGAGACCGGCATCAAAGAGGGCAACTGGACCGTTTGACATTGAGGTGTTTGGATTGGCATAACATCTGATGTGCATCTTCAAACCTTGATAAACTGGGAAGTGGCTAACACCATTGTCGTTTGCACCAATGTAATTGATGGTTGGGTCGGCCAAAGCGATCATGAAGAAACATGAAATTAAAGCAATTGATAAGATGATTGATTTTGATTCCATTTTTGTTGTTTTTTTTTTTTTTTTGATTGATATTTCAAATTAAATAATACTAATATAACAAAGATGATACTAAAAGATTGATAAGTTGTTGTTGGTAGTTGTAGTTGTTAAGTAATGGTAGTGATACAAATGAGTCAAGCTAACTTTGAAACTTGGATTCGGAAGTAAACTTGTTTGACTAAAGATTGACTAGTTGATTCGAAATTAGAAAATAAAGTTAATATTTAACGATGGAAATGAATAAGAACTGAAACAGTTTGCAAATCTAATGAAACCATGTACAGAATTGTGAAAGGTAGAAGAGAATCAATTTAAATAGTTGATTATTAATGCTGAGCAAAAATAACATCAACAACAAATAAAATAAACAACAATTAAAAACATATTATTTGTTGTTCTGAGTTCACATGATGTGATTTACGGGGATAGCAGTAGTTGGATATGCGTTGTTATTATTGATTTAATATTTTTTAAAATAATAGATTGATTGCGGTAGTGTTGGTTTTGGTTTTGGTTTTGTTTTAATCCAAATAGATTTAGGATAAAAAGTGTAGATAATATTATTATTATTATTAGGATGTGGATGTGAGGATGAGGAGGATGTGGAAGATGGTCTAAACAAATTATCTTCTTATCTCTTATAATCCAATTATATTATTTAATTAAGTGTTTTTTTAGTAATACAATAGGTTATTTTTGGTTGCGTTGAGTATATTAACAATGTCGATATATAGGTTACAGAGAGTGAGAGTGTGTTGTGAAGTGCTATTGGGTGTAGCAGTAGCAGATGTTGTTGTTGTGATTGGAAAATTGAGAATTGCTACATCATCATTTTCCATATTGCTGGGCGCCCACTCATTACTTTAAAGTTGGTGATGAGTGGAGTTTTAATCGAGAAATGGTATTGCTTGCAGGTGGATACAAATTGTATTGTCAGGAAAGAATGTTCCAACAACCCGCTAAACCTCCTCTTTCCTCTTTTAAAACAAATAAGGCAATATCAAGCATAGCACTATGCTATCACATACTACTACTGTAATAAATTGGATAAACTCAATGAAGTGAATTGATTGATGAAATATAATTATAGTTGTTATTGCAATTTGCAACTTCCAACTAAAAACAACAACTTTCACTTGTTTTTATCTATCCATCCATATACAGTAGTAGATCTCTCTCTGTTTGTACAAACCAACAACTTCCGCATAGCACACATTCATCTTTTATCCACCAAATATTTCAACAAAAACAAATTAAGTAATAAAAAAATTGATATTATCAATATAAAAGATATGGTAGTGTCGACTGGAATGAAAATATAAAAAACAAATATGTTTTTTATGTTATATTTGTGTTGTTGTTGTTGTGTGAGTTGAGTGAAAGTGTGTGGTAATTGTGATGTATTTTATGGTTAATAAATATTGAAAACACCCACACATAATATTTAATTTTAATTTGGGTTGACAAAAACAGAAACTTGAAAAAAGTAGTAGTTAGGGGTTTGCCCTTTCACTAAAGAAAAGCCAAATCTGTAGAGTAACCAATGCCAATAGAAATATAATAGTTTTTTTTACTGCTATTCTATTGCAATGCATTGGCATACATATAGTAAATGATTGAACAGTTCTAATCTACAAAGGAGTAGTTCGAAGCAATGGCAACAATATGGAAAATATAGTATGACAAGGTGTAGTTGCTCTTACCAATACACTGAAAAAAATAATGTGTGTTGAACAATTTTAATTTTTTAAATAAATAAATAAATAAATAAATTATATTAAATTAAATAAATAAATATAGTTTTATAAAGTAATTATATTTTAAATATTGTTGTTATAATAGTTTGATTCCAAGGAAACAAATAAATCTGAAGTTGTTATTTTCCAAACTATTTATAATGGAAATCCAAGTTGATACAAAAACAAAAAAAAAAAAGTATAAATGCACTATACATTAAAATGTAGACATGATATTACTACACAATAGCTATACTACTAGTTTTACGATTACAATACTACAATATTTTGCGTCTACAACGACACAACAAATACCAAACTTAAAATTGAGATAAGGGAATGGATGCAATAGATATATTGTACAATAAAGTCCTCACATTCCAAAGTACAACCATTAATTTTCTGATCAAAAGGTAGTAAAGAAGGAATGTGTGGTTGGGTAATGAAATGTGTTGTTGATTGTTTGATTGATCAAGTTGTTATACCATAAGTAAATGATTGGATTGGTGTCTAAAAGCTTGTTATATTTTTAATTAAAAATATAACAAAAGACTATCAAACCATTCACTTGATCATTGAATCGATGAAAGTTGTCGATGGCAATAATATTGAAGAGAGTAGATGATTAAAAGAAAGTAGAGGTAACTTTGAAAATGAACAACACTGGTGTTGAGCTGATCAACCAAACACATCTTTTTTCTTTTTTCTTTTTTTTTTTCTTTTCTTTTTGTTTTTATTGTGATCTTGCGTGGAAGATATTAAACGGATGATAGGACAGACACAACACACAACACAACAGACACACCACATACATATAGTACAACACATCTCCCTCAACACCACCCACCACCACCACCAAACATATAAGTAACACTTAGTTAGAGTCGATTAATAATTCGCTAGGAAACAAACAATGTTTGGTGTGTTGTGGATTTTCTTTAGAAAAATGTAGAGGAGTAGTAGTGAAGTAGTTACTGTTGGTGCCATGTCGAACATCACACTTCACATATCTCTTGAGATATGTAGAATAGTATTGATAATCCCATGGTGGCACTGAATTACCAATGGCACTTGTGATTTAAAACTAAAAATATAATATCCATCTGATCCATCAAAAATCATTTCCACAATCAATATAAAAGTAACAAATAACAAAACAAGCAAGAAAACAACAGAAATTGTTTGTGGATGATGATGAGGTAGCAATAGTGCGGAAGATCAGATTATATCAAGTAAGAATGTTAAATATCAAAAAAAGTGAAAAAAAAAAAGTTTTGTGGTGTGTTGTACATTTATATCAAAAGATGTGGGTGGTGTGGTATTGAATATGCGATGCGATGAATCTATATGTTGTTGTTGATTGAACAACATGGTTTGTGTGTTTTGGTTGTTGTTTTATAGTTGGTGTGTGAGTGTTGTTAGAAATTGAGTGGGGTTATTAAGTGACTTTTACAACCATCAATTAGATGGTTGATTGACTCTTATAATTTACATATGTTAGGGGGTGGAAGAAGTGATATTATTTCAATTGGTGAAAAATAACAATGACTAACATAATGTTATATGTGAAAAACACAAATAAACAATACCACCTATATGATCAATGTATTGTCTGTTACTACTGACTACATTCATGATCAAATGTCCAATCAATCTACCGATTTCAAACCACAAATAATCTTAACCATGTATGTTCATCTGATCAGATTTCCAAATATGGATAAGATTGCTTGTTTGAAATTGAAAAAGCACGATACCGATGTTTGATTGATTTTCAGTGGCAATAGCGGTGGTGGTATCATATTATTTTGAAAACAAATGATAAAGTGATAACGAGTGGAATAAAGCAAGAAATTGTTCCAAAAAGATAGTAGAATTGAAATTTTTTGTTGAAGTGCAAACTGTGCTTATTGAATATTAAATTTACTTACATTATAAGGTATTTTGATTGGAGAGCAGAACTAATTTTATGTTGTAGTTGTTGGTTGGACAAAGACAGTTGTTGTTGTTGATTTTTTTTTTAATGATGATTTTCTTTATAAATGAACAAACGATTGGTGAAAATTTATAATACTAAGAAGTGGAATGATGATGGACTGATTGTTGAAGGTAATGGTAATGGTAATGTTACAGATTGCTTACTACAGGGATGGTATTGTTTTGTAGTAGTTGAACTGATAATATAATAGTAGTACAGGTAGTGATATTACAACGGCTATTTTATAGTAATACAAGTTGGATTGTTTAAATAAATATAAAGATGTTAATAATTTAATAATACATTTGGGTTTTTAATTTCCAAAATCGATTCCAAAAAGAGATAGATGGATAGGTATTGATACAAGAGAGTTGGATGGTAAGTGAAGTAAAGTACAGTGAAAGTTGATAAAACGATCGATCGTGTTGATGATAGGAGCAATTTTAATCGATCAAACACCAAACAAATAACGAGATTAATTTAGGAGTCGTTTGATTGGATTGCTTTTGATTTTTAAATAATGATACAATAGATAGCGATGATTATTGGAAAATGGAACTGTTATTGATGTCAATAATAAATTATTATTATTATTTTCAGGCAATGACAGGATGAAAAGTAATGGTACAATGGAAAAAAACAAGGTGAAGTTATAATGTTATTATTATTATTATTTATCTAATATTATTAATTCTTAATATTTCAATAGTTATACAAAATATATTATTTGTTAATTATATTATTTGTTTTTGGTTGTTGTTAATGATTTGGAAAAATGTAAGGGTTTTTATGGATTGTCAATTGTTGGAGAAGATGGTTCAAATTTCATATTATTAATATTTTTCTTCAATATTATTCTTAAGAGGAGGAACAACATTAGAAATTCTAGCTAAACAATAACAAAATGATAGCGCACAACATGGTGTGGTTGAAGATTAGGTGAAATGAGAATTGTAAGAATTTGAATAATAATAATAAGTTGATGGGTGTGAAAAGGCATAATTATTTCGTTCTATAATATGATGTTGGTGAATAATACTAATAATAGTTTAATTATAGAATTTACTTATTGATTGAAAGCGCTAAGATAGTGGTAGTGAAGATTATGGTGTGATTTCTCATGATATTGTTTTCAATGGGGTATTGTTATTGTTGTTGTTTAGGTGTAGGCCTGAGGAAAAAAGAAAAAGAAAAAAGAAAAATAGAAAGCGTATACCCTTGCCATCATTCACATTAAAAGTAAAACTACTAAACAAAAGCAAAAACTAAAAAAAAAAACAAAAGATTGGTATTGACGCTTCGTTGCTCACGCTCAATCTTGTAATTATTATCATTACTATTATTATTAATATTTGATGTGCAATTGCACTGTGTTTTGCAAGTAGTGGCAGGGGTGTGGTGGTTATAAACAATTATTATTATTATTATTTTGTTTTATCGTTATGAAATTCATGCCTATTGTTAACAATGTTGATGAAGATGTTTAACAATAAAATAACAGTAGCACTTCTGCTAATCTATAGATGAAATGTTGATCACACGAACAACATCCATATTTAAAAGCAAAATAAAAATATTTGTATGTGTTTTTGTTTGTTGCAGTTACTGAAGCTACAGTATCTTAGTTGTCATCACATTTCAAGATTTCTATAGAATCAGTAACAACACTACATCACACACACAACCATAACCACACACACACAAAACACAACTTCACCACACCATTCACAACAATAACAACCAATCCAATGCGCACACCTATCTATACTAAGGACGACTCTCCATCGGAGAAGAGTATACCCCCATTAACATGTTCTCATTTTTTCTGTTTAAAGTTAAATCCACTAAATATATAATGTATATAATGTTTTCAAATGATTTGATTGGAAGTGTGAGTGTGTGATTGAAAAATTGTGTGATGATATTTGTGTGTGTATGGTAGTGATCATAACAATCAAATGTATTAATATAATAAAATTTTCAACCACAAACCCCTTTTGGATCTTAAAGGTAGTGATCAAAAATATTTTATTTTATTTTTTACATTTCTAATGAAATGATTGATTATATTGACCACTTTTTTATTATTACAACAATAAAAAGTAATTAATTTTAATTATAGCAACTGGTTGAGTAACTTGATTGCTTATGATTACGAATTATTATTTTTAAATTATTTAACACAAAATTATTAATAATATAATTAGATGAGTTGTTGGCAGAGATTGTTATTGTGAATCTGTAAATTCTCTCTAGATGAATGTTGATCCATCAGCAAACACACACACACACAATACCACCACACGAAAATTGAATCGAACATTTTCATTGCATTCATTCAAGCTATGGCACCATTAATGGTAAAATATTTGATGAATGTGGGGAGAACATATCCAAAATTAGGAGTGTTGGTTTGAAAGATGATCGGACAGTTATTAGAGTGTACGAATAACTTCAATCAAAGAATCATGATGATGATGATGCCGTTGACAATCGTAGAATAAACAGTGTGATAGATATTATTATAGGATAATTATGGAACAAATAAAACAAAGTTTAACGAAATTTAACTAATTCTGAACTTTGAAAAAACAAGAACAAACAGTAAAGAGTAAAGAGGAGGTATGAAAGAGTTTGAAAGAATTAAAGAATCGATTTTTGGATTGAATATAAATATATAAACACATTATATATTTATAAACCTTTTATACATATAAATAATAACTAACATACCTTCAGTTAATTACTTGAGATATAACAATTCAAATAATTGATTATGTTTTATCTAGATAGAGGAGCTGTATAAATAACTGAAATATAGGAACAGAGATCTATGATGAGTTGTTGATGTTACAAATAATAATTTACAAATGACATTCTAAAACTGCTTTGAGTTATATAGGTTTTGAAATCCTCACACATCTAATTTTTTGATATCAAGAAATTCTTGGTGTTTTATCAATCAATATTGGAGAATTGATTGATCAGGTTAATGTGAGGGGGGGTGTGGTTTTGTTTCGATCAAAAAGGTAATAAGAAATACTACCAAGAACAAACTCATAATATTGCAAGGAGAAGCTCTTGTGGTGGCATAATTAAATCCACCCACAAATGAAATTCAAGGTATGTAAGATGGGCAATGATGAGAATCAAATACCCCCACACCACAAAATATATACAACAAAATCAAAAAAAAGGGTGTTTTTTTTGTGTGTCAGTGTGAAACTAAATTGGTGAGTGTTGTTGGTTGGTTTTCAAGAAAGGAAAGCTTGCAATAAAAGCTTAAAGTTGTTTACTTTACTTCATTAGTTAAAAAGCGAGAGAAAAAAAGGAAGAAAGTAACTGATATCAACGAACACCCACATACAATAGAGAAAGACAATATGAGAAAACATACGGAGCAATATTGGTGGAATTTAATTACAACAAATGTTTCTTAAAAAAGTGTATGTGTGTGGTAGTGATTATGGAGGTGGTAGTAGGTAGATGTGATAGATGATTGATATAATCTAGTTATTAAATGGTCTTGAGCCACAATCACGAGTCAAACCGCTCAGCAATGAGCCTCTGTGCTTTGATCTCACAATCCGATGAATAGATATTGGAGCCTTTTGGTTGGTGGTTATTAATTACCACATGTTTAACAGTATTTATTTATGGCATAATATTATGAGGAAAGTTAATTTTATCATGTGATTGTAATCTTATGATTTAAAACAAAGCTATTTGATTGGGTTTTGATTGATTATGAGTCGTGTACTAAACAAACAAATCAGATTAATCAAAGAAAAGACTCAGTCAATCAATTTGAAAAGAAAATTAAATATTTAAATCGAAAATAAATTAAATATTAATTAAAATTTTACAAAAACAAACAAAAAACACAATCGAATGATTGGGGGATCATGATATGATCATAGAGGGTGTTGGTTTATTTTTCACACACCATGATTTAAAGACTTTTTACTTGAAATTGATCAATTCACTATGATTTTGCTTATCATAAAAAATTTTATTTTGTATGATAAATTTGTTTTGATGTTTTTCATAGGTTTTTTTTGTCTTTTGTCACAAAACGGTTTAAGATATTCAAAATTTAATTTTTGTTTTTTTTTTTTTTTGTTTGACGGAAGTTGTTTTTGTGTTTTGTTTGTTTTTTTACATTAATGGATATTTCTTGATCTCGCATCCATAGGCGGTGGGTGTGAGTGAGATTACAGTGTGCAGGGGTATTTCGATTGTTGGGAATTTTTCGATGGGCTCACCAGTGATGTAGCCGTACAAGCAACGCAGAGGAGCAGGATGACTTACAATGAGAGAGGTGTTTCTCGCTATTTAACAGTTTCGAGGATCGGTCAATAATTTCACGGTGCGCAGGGAGGAAGAACAAATGAGATTGAGAGAAAATTCGATCAGCCAATTATTGGGAGGTAGGATGTCAAATTAAATCATTCACAATCATCATATTAAATTGATCAATTTCAAGATTTATCAAACGATTGGTTGAATGATCACAATTAATTTCGAATAAAAATGAGAATGCAAGAAGATAAGAAAAGAGAAGAAAAAGAAGAACAGATTGGTGATTGGTTAGTTATAAATCTGAAAGTCTTGTAAGATCTAAAAATGTATTCATATATTATTATTATTATTATTAGATTAGATACGAGGTGGTGATTGGTGTGTTTATACTAAATAGCTAAATACAACCACCTTGTCTATTTCGAAACAAAACTTTTGCGAAACTATAGTTTCCTTTTTAAATCTTTAGAAAAAAGAGAAAGAAAGGAAAGGAATCTAAAGAAAAAGTAAAAGAAAAAACTAAAGGATAAGGTCTGACCTCCCAAAAGTACATGCTCCACCAAACACAACACAACACAACGCACAAAACAAACACAAAATAATAATAATCACAAATAATCAACAATGAAATAGCTACATTTATGGTAAATTGTGTTGTATCTTAACCACCCCAAAGATTACACATTGATTGTTGGGGGAATGAAATATTAATTTTAGAATGGAATGAATGAGTGAAGAATGAATGAATGATAATGAGTGTGATTATTTTTTTGATTGTTGTTGTTGTTGTTGTTGTTGTTGTTGTTGTTGTTGTTGTAGTTGCTTTGTTTTGAACAAATAAATAAATAGATAAATAGGTAATGATTAAAAAACTATACTTACTTCTTTCAAGTTCTAAAATTACAGATTCAAGACGTTGAATAACGTCGAGGTAGTTCTCACCACGTGGAATACGATATCCAAGTTTATCGTCGGAGTGAGCACCGAATTCATCGGGCATCTTCGTGAGGATCTCCTCGCGGGTCATTCCAACCCATTCGCCACGCTCGATGTCATCGAGTTGGCGAACGTGCACCTTGGGATGCGGGATATACTGAGCGGTACGGATGGCACGTCTCAGCGTCGACGTCCAAACAGTCACCTCCTCGTTGTTCTTGGTGTGTTCATCTACCCAGCTAGCAAGACGATGTGAGAATGTCTCGCCTTCCGCATTCAGGTCGGAATCACCACCTTTTCTGCCTTGTGTTTTCCACTCGCTGGCACCGGAGCGACACAGCCAAATCGGACGTGGACTGAGATGTAGATTCATCAGCAAATACATAATTCTACCGGGCAGATATCCAGTGATACGATTGGCAATGATCTTCTTACCGACATCGTACAACTTTATATACTGTAGTTTATCATCTTCGATCGATGCATACTCCTTCTGATAATAAAACAATCTCTCCTTAAAGTGTTTGGCTGCTTCCACTTCACTTACTTGATGTGCATAACTATTTTTTTTTAAATAAAATATATTATAAGTTAATAAACAACAAATCGTACATTAGTTTAAAACAACATATAATTAAGATAACTAATAAACTAATAGTTATTTAAAACAAAACATACTCTGGTGATAACTTCCAGTTTTCCAACATGTTTGCTTCCATCTTTGATTGATCGGTAAAGATTGACTCTACGAATATTACCTTTGAGATACCTTCTCTTTGACAACGCTGAGAGATCAGTTGTCTTCTCTCGTTGGTGAGATTGGTCGCATCGTATATACCGACTTGAGCACCACTATTTAACCATGACATCATATCATCTATTGCTGCAACTGCCATATGTAATCTTACACGACTACATTAAACAAACATAAACAAACGTAAAAAGATACATTATATTAGTCAACAAGTTCAAACGAAAACAGTTAGTTATATGTATACATACGAAGCATCAACATTACCGGGATCAAAGAATTCAGCAGGTTGTTGAGCACCCACTCTTATTCTACGATAGTCACCAACAGTGAATACCTTTGCCAGTATTCCCATCCAATTCAAGAGATTTCTGATCTTCCTGGCAATGAATGTCTTTCCCGATGCAGGCATACCAACCATAACCACAACGATCTTATCCGATTCGAATCCAGTATATACATAATTTCTTCTTTTACCTTCTACAATAGCTAATGTTTAGTTATTAGTAAGTTTGTTAATAAGTTATAGCAGCATAATGATTGATATGATATTTACAATCATTTGTATTCTTTCTCATCTCTAATATACAACCGGGATATAGATCGGTGATGTCATCCAGCTCGTAGAGAATACGTGTTTCTCTGTGTTTGATTACGAATGGTGTGAGTGTATCTCTTCCAAACTCTGGGAAGTTCACTACGAATATATCATTCAGATCATCTAGAGTGCTACCTGTGAATCTAATAGATTTCATCTTGCCTCTAACCTTGAAGAATATAACAACCTCGTGTGAATGTGTTGTTGTTGGCTTTACATGTTGTTGACTCTTTTGTTGTTGTTGTTGTTGTTGATTTGAACTCTTATCATTATTTACACCACTACTGCTACCAACAACATTGTCTTTTGTTGTTGACATTTTATATCTAACTATAGTTAATCTACAATCTAATCTAATCTAATCAAATCTATTATTTATCTGTAAAATTTATAAACTATATTATTTATTTTTTTTCATTAAAAAAACATTAAATTAAAAATCAAATCAAACTATGATTAAAAAAATGTTAAAAAAAGATATTTTTTTTAAAAAAAATGAATGATATGAACATGTGATTATCACTTTTTTAATCAAAATAATATTACAATGAAAATTCATATTTAAAGTTATATATACATCGATAATTAATATTTTTTTTTTAAATTTTATTTATTTAATAAAAAAATAAAATAAAAAATTATAAATATATATGATCATTGATCTCCTTTCTTTGAGAGCACCAATTTTACATTGCAATAGATTTGATATTCAAACAATTTAGGCTGACCATCTCCTATTTGGAAATAATTGTTAAAAAATAAAAAAATAAAAAAATAAATAAATATTGTAATATAAAAAGGAAAATAGATCTATTTCTAAATTTATATTAAAATTAGATTCAACTAAAGTCCAATCTTTTACTTCACAAGAGCGGAAATAAAGAATAATTGGAAAAATAAAAAATATTGTTTAATTTGATGGAAATGTCCCAAAGTACACAATTTCAATAAAAGGAATCAAGGTAAGTATTCAGTAATTGTCAATAAGTATTGTTTATTTTAGTGATACTAAATTGATATATTAAAAAATATTTTTTTAAACTAGCTTCTTTTGATTGTGTTTGACACTCCAGATCAATCCAATGTTGATACCCTAATTTAAGTAAATCCAATAAAATATGAGAATCAAAATCATCGATTTCATATCGATTTATTTTCTTTTGATAAACACTGTGATGTTGGTCTCTATAAAAAAGGCTAATGGAAATAGCATCCATCTTTGACGCTTGATGGCATATGATATCGGCATATTGTTCCAAAGTTGGTTTGATTCTATTGTAAGTATTAAAAGTATAGATAACTACATTCACTGTTGAAATAGAAGGGCAGTAGTCACTGAAAGCACCAATACTAAGATCATCGATTGAATAGCTATCGGTTGCAAACCAGTTTAATCGAAATCTATCATATTCGTTATTCGAATCCGAATAATGATAGATTCTGTAACCCTTATTGTTTGATCTTCCATTTCTGCAATGATAGTTCTCTAGTCTTGGTTGTCCGTCGATCAACGATATACCAATGTCCAACTCCTTACACCTAATGAAACCATTGACTCGCACCTTTATTAGAGTGTCATCGGTTAGCGGTGCATTGAACGGTACCTCGATTGTCTTTACTTTACTATCTTTGAATTTCAAATAGATTCCTAATATCTCTTCTTCCTTGGTCAGCTGATCCTTTTTTAACCATACCACCATTGACAATCTCTCTTCACTGTATTCTTCACAAACACTAATCACCACATCAAAACTACCTGTAACAACATTGTCTTTGAAACTATCAACATATAAATCATCCATCAAAACTTCCAAACTAAATGGTTCCATATTATTATGTTTATTATTTATAGATAAAAATGGTTTGTTTGATCAAAAAAAATGATCGAGCGAATGATCATTTATTTTTACAAAAAAAAAAATAAAATCTTTCTTTTTATTTTTTTTATTTATCTTACGATCATATTATTTTTTCTATAGTGGTGTGTATTGAAAATTGAGAAGTATCTAAAACATATTCTTTTTCTAAATCCTCTTTTGGTGTGGTGCAATTGTAATCGATTTGCTTTAAATCTTTATAGTGTTGATAACCCATTCTTAATTTATCTAATAAATGATGGGGATTGAATCTGGTAAATCCCTGGGATATAATGTCATTTCGTATAGGACTTCTTTTTGATCTTTAAAGAATAGAATAAGGCAATTGGATCTCAGTTGAGTTGCACGATGACAAACTATATCTACATATTGCTCGATAGTAGGTAAAAGGTAATTCAACAGCATATCTTTTGGGCATTTAAAATCATAGTGGACAACGTTGTACTTAGATATACTATAACTACTCAATCCACCAAAGTAATATGAACAGAGACTCTCTATGCAATAGCTATAGGTAGTTGGCCAATTTTCATATTCTCTAATAGCTCGATATCCTTGTGAAGCTAATCGTGTAGCTCTCGTTCTGGGATCTTCCAGTCTAGGCTGACCATTGATTAGACTTACTCCGATATAGCGACTTGATGTATATATAATAGACTCTATATTTACAGAGACGCAGAGGAGAATATCGTCATTGACTGGTACTTCAAATGGTATGGTTAAAGTGAGTAGTTGATTATCTTTAAAATTGATACCTTTCGTATTATATATATTTTCTTCATTTGACAATGGATCTTTTCTCATCCAAAGATTTAATCTAGGTGTGGTATACTTTGATGTAACTTTTACTTTAATATCTATAGTTCCAGATACAATATTAGATTTGAAAATATTGATTTTCTGAGTTGAAAAGTCAATATTCATTGTAAAAGGTCTTATTATTTCTTTTTCTGGTGACATTTTAGTTTATAAAAATAAATATCAGAATTAAAAAACAAAGTAGAATAACTTAAATTAAAAATAATAAATCATTTTATTTAAATGAGGGAATCAAAAAATGGATGGCATGTAAATTTTATTTAAAAAATAAACCAATTTTTCTATTGTAGATCATGTAGTTGATTGTTTTGACTTTGTTTAGTAAATATTGAAGTTGTTACAAGATGTGAGTTGACCTAAATAGTTCCATTTCGTAGTTATTAGATCTATCAAATCGCTTGTTTGGCTAGAGTTCAAGATTAGGAAATTCGTACCGTTTGATTGCTTTATCATTTGTTATAGTAACTGATAATTGAATATAAAAGGTAAGAAAATGTTAAATGAAAATAAAAAAATATGTTTAATTAGATTATAAATAAATATAATATTTTATAGATTCTCCCAATTGTCAGCTATTTCTTCTTCATTAATATTATTTGAGTTATTGTTGTTGTTGTTGTTGTTGTTGATGGTTGTTGTGGTAGTTAATGTATTTTGATTTTGATCTACAACTGATACTTTGGGTGTTGTTGTTTGTTGTTTTGAATAGTCGAGATGAGGATGTGTTTCTTTGAGATAGTCGAGAAGTGAAAGGTTTTTACTTTTGATGGCAGAGTCTACCACTTCTTGTGTTAGCTTTATCGATTTATCTTGCAGGTAGTTGTCTCTAAGATACTCATAGAGTTCAGTACTATGTTCCACGGCACAATTAAGTGTTGAACTTGTAACTTGAACCGCTTTACCATTACCATTGTTATTTGTATCCAACATATATTGCATAACCAGTAGCAATCGATATTTAATAGTCTGATCAAAGAGATTACCTTGGTAATCAGGTACTTCTTTATCCTCTGGATAGAGTGCTTTCGATTCTATCATCATTTTCAACATGACCGGGTTGCTGTACAGTAGAGTCTGGTCATAGTAATAGTTATTCCTCAAATTGAACTTGGAGAGATGCAGCATGAAGTGAAGAAGATGATCTAGTTTCGAAAGATAACGTGTGTAGATTAGCGATATCATACCAATGCGATCTTGTTGATATGTATGGTCGCCAAGTAGATAGTTTATCAACTCTACATTGCCAACGCTCTTTACAATGTAATCGCATTCCATAACATAACTTGGCAGTGGCATATTCTTCTTTAGATAACATTCATTCTCCATGTACTCAAGGATGTCTACATCGGATTGTCGTGTAGCCGATGACACCAGTGTCTTGTACCAATGATTCCAATCGCCATCCGGTGATGATTCCACGATGAATTTTACGATATTGAAATAGTTCTCTGTTATTGCCCATGACAATTGATTGACATAGCTCTTTTCCTTACGGATGGTATGCAGGTATTTAACAACTTGGTAATGGCCATTCTTAACAGCATCTCCCATCGCTAGCGACGTCGGTTTCTCACCTCTCGTTTCATAGAGATAGACAACCGTTTCCAACCAACCGTTGCCCGCAGCTTTATCGATTGATTCCGTGAATTTCATTGATCTATAATGCTTATTGAGATAGTGAATCACTTCAATCTCACCATTGCCTGCAGCCAGTGAAAGTGCTTTAATAGTACATCCTTCTCGGCGGTTCTCATGTAGGAATCGGACGATGTTTAGATGCCCGTATTGCGCGGCAGTATCCATAGCCATCTTACTGAAAACGTCACAATGATTCTCGTGAAGAAACTGCACTGTCGCCAAATGTCCTTTCTTTATTGCAACGAGAAGTGAACCTGCCGATGCAACCTGTTTCTTCTCCACCCTGAGATATCTCACAACCTCTGTATTACCCGCTTCCACAGCATTGTTGATTGCATTCCTTGCCAGTTCATTGTTGTAATACTTCTGAATCAAATCCAATCGATTGTATTGCGCTGCCATCTTTATAATGTTTTTCGGTACCGACACTGCAGTGTCGCTATATTTCGACAAGATATATTCAACCATATCAAACTTTCCATTGCTAGTTGCTACCATTAGCGATACCTCTAGGTTCGGTTGTTCCTTCCTGACTGTCAACAGCCAATTGAATATCGCTAGCTGTCCATTCTTTATTGCACTATCCAACAGATTGATATGATCGTTGCCATCGTCCAACGACTTCCACGGATTATTATCCGGTCGATCCAACAGCTGTTGTTTACTCTTGTAGATCATCTCTATCAGTTTAAGATTACCATTTGCAATAGCGTAGTTTATAGCGCTAATCAATTCCTTTGCAGAGAACAACAGAGATTTCGATCGATTCAGCAGTAGATCTGCAATCTCCATTGTCAAATCTGAAGAAACGTCGCCACCACTTTCCAACTGAGCAATCTTTGCTAAGAGTGAACGTCTAACATCTGTGAATTGATCTAACCTATTCAACAGTAGATATCTAACAGCTTCCCATTGATTTGCATAGGCAGCATACTTCACTTCGTCGCCATAGAAGAAAGAACCCGACATCTTTGAGAGGTATTCAATCACGGGAATACGACCTTTCTTTGCAGCCAACCTCGACAACGATAAGAAATAGGTGATATCGCTCATTCTACATTCGAAAGGGTTGTGTTGTTTCTCTAGAAGCTCTAGATATCCATATTCAACCAACAGCTTCGATCTTTTACACAACTGTTCATAGTTGAACGTTCTATAATTTAAATGTAAATGAATGTCCGGTATAAATTTAAATACATTTATTCTAACGACCAAATTATTTAAAATTAATTTAAATAAATAATTTCTATCTCTTTTTTCCCTGTTCATTTTAAATTACATATGTTTTTTAAATTAAAAATAAAAAGGATTAATTTGCAAAAATGGGAAAAAGATAGTTTCCCAAATTCAGATTTTGAAATGATTCATAAAAATTTAATCATAATTAAACTTATAGTTCATTTTACAATTTTTAAATTATTAAATGTAAAAATCAATTACAATAAATAAAACCAATGAAATAATAAAATTAAAATTTATTTATTTTTAAAAGTAAATGGTAAATTGATCCATGTTTAAACTATACTCTCTTTGACCTAGAGGATCTTGATTTCCTTTCTCTATAGGATTCAAATCTAAAAAGTGTTGATATCCCAATTTAATGATTTCAAGCAATTCATGTGTATTGTAACCGATTTGATTGAAATTTTTGAAATCCTTGCTACCTAGTTCCAGGTTGTATCCTATGTTGTCTTGATCATTAAACTGTATAAATATTTTTGAATTTACTGATTTCGATGCTTTAAAACAAACGATATCTGCAAACTGCTCTATAGTAGGGGGTTTCGGGTTCTTTTTCAAACTGAATCGTTGTTCACCCAAATTGAAATATCTGTATCTCTCTTCATAGAAATACCAACACAATGACTCTATTGAATAGGTATTTAAAGCATCCCAAAAACCATCATCGTCGTAACGGTAATAGCAATGACCAATCGAATGTTTTCCTTCATATGGATTCTCCAATCCTAGTATTCCATCTTCAACTACCATGCGAAAGGTTAATTGACCGTCATACTTAACTCCAGTAGCTATATATTGATATTCCATTGATGATATTATTTTGAACATCGATTCATCACTGAATTGAACGTCTACCAAAGAAATAGTAATTGTCTTTACTCCTTTTTCACTAATCATGTCTCTATTGAATATACTCTCCTTCTCCACCAATTGATTTCTCTTTAACCAAACACTAATATTAAATTCTTTTCCAACAAAACCTGGATGACAATCCAAATTTATATCAAAACTTAATGACATTCGATTTAAGTTAGATGTATGATTGAGTTTTAGAGTATTCGGTATAATTTCTATTTCGACTGGTGTAACTATTACCGTCATTTTTTTATTATAATATCTAATTATAAATATAATTCTTTTATTTAAGTGAAATCATAATTAATTTGGTTTCTTTTTTCTTATTTTTTTTTTTTTTCCCATGAGGGAACCAACTTTAGTTAGTTCTTTTATTTTCAAGAACAGATTACATTGATTTAATTAATGACGTATATAGGTTCAATAAAAACTTAATTGAATCATATCTTTTTTATATTAATATAAATCTGAAACTTTAAATTTTTGGCACAACTCACAAGTTTAAACATCACAGCCAAGATCATTGGGAAAGAGAGAAATTTGTATTTATAATTTTGTTAAGTATTTTTATTCAAATTATTATAGTGAACAAAAAGGTGAAAAAAATTAATCAACAATGAAGCTTTTGGTGATTATGATCAATATTGTTTGTCTGGCATCATAATCTTTGAAAGAATAGCATCTTTTTCGCCGGATGATTCGTTCATCGACGCGTTGCTAAGGGTGACGAATGCATATTGAAAAGCAGCTTTGACACGACCGAAATTGAATGAACCGGCAGCTACATTTTTACCTGGTGCAAATGGATCACTCACATAGAGATAGGTGGAAAAGTCTCTTGTTATCTTTTCTTGGTTGTTGCTGCTATTGGTGCTGTCCGTAGTTGTCAATAGATCATCTAATGGGAATGTATACTTTGATTCTTCAATTGAGATACCTGTCTTTTGATAGTTGAAATTGACACCGTAGTACTCCAAGAATCTCATCAGAGCACAGCCAATATTTAGTCCAGAGACATGATCAGTGTAATCACATTTACATGGTTTAGCAAACAATGTTGGTTGATTATTATTATTATTGCTATTGTTATTGTTATTATTATTATTATTATTTATATTTGAATGATTTCCATTCATTTGTTTTGTTGTTGATATTGATGTTGTCGTTGTTGTTGTTGTTGATGATACCACTGCTTCTTGTTGTTGTTGTTGTTGTTGCTGTTGTTGTTGTTGTATTTTCTTTGGACAATGTTCATTGTTCTTTAGGAAACTAATCAACATGAGTACAAGACAATAGGAACTTAAACCACCGCTATAGGTGTTATTCAATCCTCGCTCTCTGAGGAACCATTTCAATACGATTGCCAGTGGGTACAGACCTACCAATGTTTCTACGTTCTCCGATACTAAATTGCGTGCTGCAATTCCAGTGTGAGGGGAAGTGGGTGACTCTCTAAAGGAAATGTCAACGGCAATATTGTTTTTGGTTACAAGTTTAATCACGGGAATTCTGGCGGATGGAATACACATCATAGTGAGAATAAAGTTATTGAGATCGTGTCGAATCTGTTTCTCCAAGACCTCCAACAGGAACTGTGCATTCTTTGAACGGATCGACATGTTCTTACCGTAGTTTACTACGATGTCGACATCACTCGACGGCAGCCACAGCCCTGTGTAGAAAGAACCGTAGATTTCCAACTCTGCATTGGGCCAGAGTCTCTTGACGACAGTACGAATCATCTCTATCACTTGATGACAGTTTTGAACGTGTGGATAGGTACGCTCACCTACATCAGAGACAAAGTCAAGTATCTCTTGGTGCAGACGAATCGAGAAGAGCGGGTGTGGGTATGGAAGTGGTGGATCGTCCCACGGTTGCCAATGCACCGGGAGTTGTTGTTGGTTCTGTTTGGACATTTGAATCCAATTGAACAGTTTGTTGTGTCTCCATTCCTTGTAGCGGTCTACCACCTGAAGTTGTTGTTCGGTTTGTTGATGTGGTTGTTGTTGCTGTTGTTGCTGTTGGGTTGCTTGGTTTTGCTGTTGTGAATTTGGTGTTTCCTGAACTCGTTCTGCTTTTTCTTTTTCCTTTTCTTCCTTTTGCATTATTTCATCGATGATTGGTTCGTTCCATGCATTCTGTTGCTTGGCATCTTGGAGATAAGGATTAGGTTTCAGTTTGATTGGATTGGAGGAAACAGAGTTGTTGTTGTTATTGTTATTGTTAGAGGTGGTTGTGCTGGTTGGTCTCCATTCATTGGCCTGATGGAAATGATGTGGATGATGTGGTGGATGTTGATTGCTATATTGACTCGGTTGTAATTGATTGGAAGGTAGTAGAATGGGAGGAGGTGATGGTTTTGGTGTTGTTGATGTTGGAGTTGATTGACTAGATGATGATGATGTTGTTGTTGTTGAAGTCGCTGCCTTTGGTGGTAGTGTTCCTGTTACTATTGTTGTTGATGTTGTGGTTGGTGTTGAAGTTGGAGTTGTTGTTGGCTGAGATAACTTGACCGATAACAATGGTGTTGATGTGGTAGTTGGTTGACCTGCAGAAGATGATCTTTGTGGGAACATTACATTTGATGAACCGTTTTGTTGAATATATGATCTAGTTGGTTTAGGTTGTTTATATGTACATTGTTGTTGTTGTTGTTGTTGTTGTTGATTTGATGAAGTGTTTGTTGTTGTTGTTGTTGTTGATGTAGTGGAAGTGGTTGAGCTAGTTGATGTAGTGGTATTATTATTGTTGCTGTAGCTTGTCAAGATGTTTAATTTCTTTGGTGATTGAGGTGTTGATCTGACATCAGAGGCAGAAGAAGACTTTAAGAGCATCGATGTTTTAGTTGGTCTGTTTAGGTGAAGATGGCACATTGATATTGGAGATACTGCCACTGAATGATGTGTTGGATGGTGATTGTGACCAATCTTCGAAACTTCGTGACATGGAATCAATTGATTTCGACTTTAGCTTCTCCGGTGTATTATTGATAGAAAGTTGGCTGAACATTTCCGTTTCATCGTTGCCATTATTACTTAATGGTAGATCCTCCCATTCTCCACTAACACGAGTAGAGTTGTTATTATTATTGGTGGTTGTGTTGTTATTGTTATTGTTATTACCACTATTGTTATTATTGTTGTTATTGTTATTATTACCACTACTGCTACTACTACTACTTGTACTTCCACTTGGCGAGCCGGCATTGCCGATGATGGAACGAGTTGAATAGCGAGAATGATTCATTGGGTGATCGTCTATATCACCTTCGGAACCAAGCCATAGCATTCCATCTTCGTCTTCGGTGGTCGAGTCAATTGCAACACCAACACCTTTGACAGACTCCACCTCCATCGGCAGTGAATGTCTACGTGGTCTCGTCTGGATAGTCTCTTTCTCAGTGTCAGAGTTTGACGATGCATTATCCTCGGTAGTGGCGGAATTGACATGAATATGATGTTTCATAGTACGTTCTCTATTGGCATTAATGTAATCTGATTTCTTCTTGCGTTTCTTTCTGCCGGATCCACCACCACTTCTGCCGCCACCACCACCAGATGTCGAAGTATCATCTCTACTACCACTACCACTGTCTTTTACGGATTTCTTCTTCTTTTTCTTTGTCGGTGTAAGTTGTCCACTCGATGAAACCGATGACTTTTTCTTTTTCAAACGCTCCTCACTACTAATCAGATCCATAGCTTCCTTATCGATATAATAGTTTTGAAGTTGTGCACCAATCTCTCTTACTAGAATATCTATTGCTGAACCTATAATTTCCATCATAATTTTATTATTATTATCATAATTAAAATGAATGAAAACATAAATATAAGATAGAGTAATAAAGTGTTAGTAAGTTATTTTTAGACATATTTCAAAAACCATTTGTTTTAAACAAACAATCAAAATGACATACCTGCTCTTTCCAGTGGTGAAAAACAAAGAAACTCTATAAATTGTATAGGATTCTGTGTCAGTGCTTCTTCAAAGATTGTCTTTATCGATGACATATCATCATATACCGATGACATTGATCTTGTTTCATGTTGATCTGCATTATTATTATTGTTGTTGTTATTGCTACCACTACCACTATTACTATTATTAGATGTATTAGAAGTCGAACCACTACTACTTCCAAGCTTTAAACTACTTCCACTTGATTTCTTTGTTGTATTTGTTGATTTACTTAATTGTTTATTACCACTATTACTACTGCTACTATTATTATTATTAGTGTTGTTATTGTTATTGTTGTTATTTGTATTATTATTGTTGTTATTAGCACTAGTATTATTATTATTATTGTTATTACTATTAGAACTAGTATTATTGTTATTATTTAATAATGAAATATTATCAATTTCAATTGACGCAATTAAAGTATCTTTTAATATGTTTAATAGGATATCTAGTTGTTCGAGGTAGTCAACTTCATGTTCATTCGATTCATGACGTAGTGTTTGAAATATAGAGTTTAAACTGTTGTTTAGCTTGCTGGCAGCGTATCGCTCACGTTCCACACGTGACAAACCATTCCAAAAGTTCTTTAATCTACGTTTTCTACTATCCATTGCAATTGTCTTGTCTTTCTTCCTCAGTATACTAATACTAATATTACTATTATCAATTGGTGGTATTGTTGTTGTTGTTGATGATGTTGCTGAAGATGTTGATGTAGTTGTAGTTGTAGCTGTTGTTGATGTTGCATTAGATAATGTCGACATTATACAATTACTATTATTGTTATTGCTGTTGTTTGTCGATGGCTCGATACCAAATTGCTTACAATAGCTCGTCCATATCAGCTTCTCGAAAAGTGCAGATATATATTCACCTAGAGTGAAGTAACCTTTCGATATGAACCAATTGGGAGTGGCGCAACGATACTCCTTGACTGCACTCTCGTAGACCATCGGACAGAACACCGAGAGGAATCCACCCTGCGTCAGTGTCGTCAACAACTCCAACAACTCGCTATTGGTAATGCCATTCGACTCCACCGTGAATGTATCAAGATAACTAGTGGTATCACACAATCTAACCAAATCAATGATTCTGTACAAACAAAAACAACAATAATAATGTCATTGACAAGTGATTGATAAGTAAGTATATACAATTACAACTAATATGTTTAGTAGTTTGATCACTACTATTACTACTACTACTTACTTTTGTTCGGCATCACCTACTATCTTTGGAAAGAAGAATAAACCGAGTGATGACTCCAGTGATGATCTCGTTTTGAATTGTAGATTGCGTAGTGGGTTGGAGAGATCGGGTTTGATGTGCTTCTTGAGTTGTTGGTCGATGAACGATAGTCCAGGGATGTTTGGTCCAAAGTCATCGTCCATCGGTAGGAAGAATCCATGACCTTGATTCTTACATTTCAAGTACATCGCCCTCAGTTTATCACATTCCTCCTTATTGAAATCTGTCAAAACAAAACAAAGATCTTCTGGTGGTAATGAAAGAAACCAACTTCTAACTTGTTTTCTATGATCCATTATTAAATCTATTATCTATTGATCTATGACTTTATCTAATGATCTAATTATCTACTTTATTTAAAGATATATATAAACTTTACTTTACTTTACTAAAAAAAAAAAAAAACAAAATAGTGTAAACAAAACAAAACAATCTAGACAATAATAATTAAAAAAATAATAATGAATTGAATTATAATAGATTTAATCTTAATGTTTACAAATAAAATAGGATTGATTATATTGATTATATAGATTAAAAATGATTTGAATTATCATCCCTACTTTAAGAAAAAAAAAAAGCTAAACTTTTGTTTACAACGTTGTTATTATTGTTTGTTTTTATATAATTTATTTACAACAATTATAAATATATTTATATTTATAAATCTATATTTAAAATAAATAATAACTAATTTACTAAAATAGAAAAGATTTTTTTCTTTCCTCTTCCTATTTGATGTGATATCTACTGATGTTGATTTCTTTTATGTAATTATTTTTTATTATTATTTATTTTAGATTGAATTGTTGTTGTTTTTGTTGTTTGATATTGTTAAAAATGAATAAAAATAACTATAACCAATAAAGATTATACTTTACATAAAAATTGAAATTTAATTATTTTTATTATTTTTGTTTTTCTGTTTTTTGTTTTTTTTTTTTTTTTTTTAATAGACAGACACCCACACACAGAACTTGAACTGACAATAATAATAAGTTCAAATTGTTAACATATATGTTAATGTGAGTGAGAGATGAGAAATACTTTTGAAATTTTATTTAATCATTTTTTTTTTTCATTATTGTTTGTTTGTTATGTTTTTTGATTTAATTTTATAAATAAAACAAACTTTGTTGTAAACTCAATCTGGTTGATATCCAATCTAGTTATTAAATTTTAATTGGAAATTTCGAATAATAATATTAAAAAAGATAAAAGTTTACAAAATTTTTGTATTTTATTTTTTTTGATTACTATGATGATCTTTTTTTAGAATAATTTGGTTTAAATTCATTTCCATTGATTTCATCTTGAATGAATTCACTTAGCTCTTTGACATCTAAATCACCTTGATATATGATGGCTTGTTGACGTTTCCCAGAGAAGAGAATTGCCATCGATCTACTCTCCATTCCACCATGATCCATACAATTAACAGTGTTCTCATAGCATTGTACTCTTGCAATCATAAAGTTTGCTTCGTTTGCAAAGATACTCGACAGTGCTTCGAATCTTGGAACGTAAAGTGCTTTATCGTGTCCACTGAATCCATAATAATATTGCACGAGAACACTCTTATTCTCTTTATTATAAAGAATATCTAACACATTATCACCCGATAATTCAACAATAGTAATAGGTGTACCTACAATCTTACATATTTCTCTTATATCTCTAGAGAATCGAATTTGAAGTAATTGCAATCAAATTAGTTGGTTTGTTAATATATTGTTGTTGATTTAGCTAAATCTTACTTACTTTGATGTTACTATAATATATTCATCAATATTCTTATTGTTATTGTTATTATGAATTAGAACTTGTTCCATATGTTTGTTATTTGATTTTGAAATATTATCTAAAATATCTGTTAATTGTTGTTGTTGTTGTTGTTGTTGTTGTTGATCGGCTGCTGATTGTAATATCTGTTTACATAGTGCTTCATTTTCATTACAATCGATTCCTCTTATGATTATATTGGGAAAAGGTTTAATTTTCTGTTGTAAATAATGATAGAATTCAAAAGTATCGTAATTCCAATATAACTCTAGTAACACTGCTTGATTATTTGTTTTTGCATCGTTGATCGTCTCTTTATAATTATCTTGATTCAATAGCTTTATATAAAATGAACTAGCCTGACTCTCTACCAATGTAGAATGATTTATGAACAATACAAATAAAATAGATAATAATATTGATAATCTATATTTTAACATATTTTCGAAATGTTAATTAATTAATCAAATGAATCATCATCTTTTATCATGATCTTAAGAATAAATGATCATTACATTAATAAATGAAAAAATTGTTAAGTCTTGCACTTTTTTTTTCACATTATTTTGATGATTCACCTGATTTGGTGACTCATTTAAATAAGATCTTTAGTGATTGCAATATGATAGGAAAGCAGCACATCATTACATTAACTAACTGAATTCAAGCTAGAGATAAATTGAATAGTACTCTAGTGTTTCTTTCAATAAGTTTAATCAATTCAATATATCCGCTATTCTGGTTTTATTGAAATGATCAACCAAACTAACAAAATACTCACTTCTCATATATTCATTCACAGTCGGTCTGTCTGGTTGGACCAGCCATTTTCATTCAAGATCAAAATCAAATCGTGTACTTCTTTATTTTGAAATATAAAAAATAAATAAAGCATGTTGTTTTAATATAAAAAAATTATATAAACTATATAATCATAATACAGTTGTTATTTGATATCACTTAAACTAATCGATATATCTCTAGAGTATAATTTGATTATATAAGCATATGTTACAATATTGAGGGTATCCGCATTCTTGGTATTGTTTTTAAATAGATACTATCTATGCTATCACTTTTAGAAAATTTGAATCTATTTATATATTTATATTTATATAAATGAGAAAAGTAAAGAATATATTATAGACTTTGTAGAAAATTCAAAAATAGAAATGGTTTAAAAATTAATCTAGATTTAAAATAACGGTTTGATTTTTATTCAAACACGACAAACAACAAATAAACTAAAAATAATACTGTTATAACAACATCAAGAAATAAAATAAATAATGAATGTTGTTAATATTGTAAAGAATAATGATAATGATTATAAAAATCATGAAGAAAAAGATAAAGAAGAAAGCAATAGTGATGATAATCTAAATGGTAAATCAAAGAGTACTATTAGTTTTTCATTTAAAAGCAATAGTAGCAGTATTAATAGTAATAGTAGTAATAATAATAATAGTAGCAATCAAAAAAGAAAAGAACCAGAAAAGAAACAAGAAAACTTTATTACATCACTTGAAGGTACAAAGATTACCTCTAGCATATCAGATGAAAAACCTTTACCGAAACCACCGAAAGTAATACCATTATCAGAACAAAGACATATAAATAGTATAACTGAAATAGAAACATCAATATCAACAACAATATCGACAACAACATCGACAAGTAAATCAACAAATACATTTGAAAATATAATTAAAACAGAAAGAGAAGAAAAAGATAAATTTAAAAGATTGAAATCTGATAATAATAGTAGTAGTGATAAAAATGAAGATGATAATAGTAATACTTTTAAACCAAAACAACATGGATTACAAATAATAAAACAAAAGGATAAGAACAAACAAAAAGATGATAATAATAGTAGTGGTAGTAATAGACAAGAGATAAAATCATTGATTGGAAATAAGAAGAATGATGATCATAAGGATGTGGAGATGAATCAAGTAGTAAAGGTTAGACCATTGATTGAAAAGTTGGATGGTCTGGATCGATTCGATAACGACGATGATAAGTTTAAGTTTGATGTTGAATCTCGACCGGAGGAAGCGGACAATGAAGATTACGAGGAGACACCGATCGAGGTGTTTGGCGAAGCGATGCTCCGTGGCATGGGATGGCAACCCGGTCAAGCAATAGGTCTAACCAACAAGGGTCTGAATGAACCGATTCAGTTTGTTAAGCGACCGGGTTACCGATTGGGACTTGGTGCGCAACCGAAGGATGTAGACGACAAAGACAAACGCTATCTGGTTGCACAGAAAGGTGAAGACGGTAAAGTTAGACACATGGTAGGGATCTCTGAGAAGCTGGTACCGATGAACAAGAGTGGTTCACAATCATACAACGTAGGTGAAAGAGTATTAGTAATCAGTGGGCAACACGAAGGAATGTACGCAGAGATTGATTCCATCCCCAAAGATTCCGACGACAAGCTAGTTATCATATTCAAATCAAATGAACGTGCAGTCATTAACAAAGTAGATATACAACTAATTGAAAAGACATCAAATTCAAACTCAACATCATCATCATCATCATCATCTAAACAACAACAACAACAACCTGTTAAATCAATAAGTAAAAGTAGTAGTAGTAGTAGTAATAGTAATAATAGTAAAAGCAGTAGTAGTAGGGTTGACGATGAACCAATGTGGTTAAGAAATAATGTGTTGGTAAAGATAGTTAGTAAGAGTTTGGCGGATGGAAAGTATTATAATAAGAAAGCAAAGGTGATAGATATTGTTGGTGAGAAGTTATGTTGTTTGGAGTTATTGGATAGTGGTGTGGTGCTAGAGAATATTAAACAAAGAATGTTGGAAACAGCTATTCCAAGAGAAAAAGGTGCTTCCGTTTGTGTTGTACAAGGTAAACATCGTGGTCGTCTAGGTTCACTCGTAGAAAGAACTACCAATTCTAAACGTAGAGAAGTCGCTATCATTCAACTGATAGGCGATCTATCGGTACAGGAATTCGATTTAGATGATATCTGTCAGTTCATCGGTAATAGAGATAGTGAATATCATACTTAAAATAAATGTGATTATTATCAATCGATTGTTGTGTCATTCTATAATATCATCTCAAATAAAAGATCTTAAACAATTGTTGATATGTAACATATGCTAAACTATTATTATATTGATATTGCTGTTGATTATATTATTTTCCAAATGGTTTTATCTTTTCATTAACTGTATGAATAAATATTTGATCATTTGGATGACTTGAATTTAAAAAAGATAGATTGATTATTAGTATACTAATTAGAATGATGATAGTAATGATAATAACATGATTATGTTTATGATACATACTCTTTTTCACCTTCTTCATATGTATAGGATGATGCAACTGCTAATAGATTACCTTCTGAATTGAATGCTAATGCTGATATAGATGTTGGATAGTGTTTCAAATGGAATAATCTCTTTCTATTCTGTCCATCCCAATAATATACATTACCATCACATCCACCTGTTGCAAATGTTCCATATCTATATATTGATAGACACAATATATATATTAGTATTATATTATATGATTAAACAGATAACCTGTTGAATGTTGATATTAATATTTACATTGGATGAAAAGCAATTGTATTAACTGGATAAACAACATCTACACCTGCTTCATTCGCACGATGACATTTGAATGCATATTTCTTTGCCTGTTGTTCCTTTGGATCGAAATACTCCATTCCTATACGACCTTCGACCGATGCCAACGCGTAGCCACTGCCATCGATAAACGTTCTGATACATCGCGTTTGGAATTTGATAGAGGATTCACGTTTCTGTACGGGTTGTTGCATTTGACGCGTATCGAATATCGTTATCATCTTGTCGGCCGTTCCTACCACTAGCCAGTTGGCGGTGGTCGACATCGTGAATATCTGTGCTTCGAGGTTGTGTTGGTGCATCTCTTTCGGTTGATGAGGATCGCGCACGTCCCACGCCTTTAGGATGCCATCCCAGCCACCGCTGAACAGCAGCTGTGACTCGTGGTTATAGGCGAGAGCACGCACTCCCTTCTCGTGCGATCCTATATCGCTGGCGACACCACTAGCGACATCGTAACTCTTGATTCGACCAGAGATATCACTGGAGAACACCCGACTCTTGTCTTGTACACAGCCATCCAACACAGCGACATCATGATTATACTGCCATCTCTGAACATTACCTGTTGTATCATAACATCTAACTGACTTTGAAAATGATATTATAGTTGTTCGAACAATTAATTGTTGTTAGTTAGTTAGTTAATAGGAATGAATTCATTTCTATCTTTATAATCTAGTCGAATCGAATTGAATCTCGATTGATCACACACATACAGTATCCCATGAAGTAACTAACAGTAAATTGGTTTGAGGTATGAAATTCAATGAAGAGATACCATCTTGTGGTGGTAGTCTTAATTCAAAGTAATCTGTCATTTTTAATATTATTATATTATGTACAAAAAAATAAATAAAAAGATATATTAATATATAAATCTTGTAAGTTAAAAAAAATTTTGCCGCCTTTTTAACTTTACAAAAACTTTTACTATATTTAAAAAAAAAACATATTCTGAAAAGGAATGAGAATACTAGTTGATTATGTGCCAAATATAATAATCATCAACATTCTTGTAAGAGCCTATTAATATTTCATTATTTGTTTGGACCTTCTGGATCGAAAGTGAAGATAGAGAATTATCATCATCTATCGAACTTAACTTTTTAACATATATTTACAATTAAAGTATAAACAATGATTGGATTCTTTTAAAGATATCATGTCTGTTGAATAGCTACAATCAACTCATTCATTTGCTTAGGAAATTCGTACCATTGGTCAACCAACTGTAAGCACACCTTTGATACAACCAAGAAGTTTTAAACCAGCTAACACCTCAAAGAGATTCACTAGATGACATAAAGAACTATCGTATTCAATAACCATGCTCGATTTAAATATTAAAAGTCTAAAAGCTCTACAAAAAATCAGCCAAACACCTCAAACCAAATAATAAGGAAACAATAAAATAATTAATTGTAAATATTAATTAAAATTCCAAGAATTGAAAGTTTGTTTATATTATAATAATTAATTGAAGATACAATTGAATTGATTTTCAGAAAAAAAAAAAAAAGAACTGAAACCAAACTCTTTCATAGTATTTTGTAACTATAAAAATTTTATTATCATTTCTATTGAAGAAATATTCAAAAATCAGGTTTGTTTGATTTTTGAGAACCCAGCATAATTTTCTGGTTTATTAACCTAAAAGACCATTTACCAATCCAAGTACACTGTCTAATAAACCAGAAACAGTTTCACCAAGACCACCAGTACTGGTGTTGGAAGTTTGACCAGAAAGACTTCCACTTGATGATCCAAAGTTTTTGGTCATTGACGATGTGTTTCCAACATTTCCGAGTGAAGTTAAGGATTCTATTTGAAGTAAAAAAAATATTAATTTTATTTTTTAGGAATTTAATCAATCTATTTAAATACTTACTTATTAACATTTTAGAATTTGAATTTGAGTAAATTAAGAAAATTATTGATATATAGAATGATATTTCTTTCTTCTTTATATAGATTTTTTTATTTCATATTTTCCTATTCGTTCAATTTTTCTTTTAAATTTTTAAAAGACTTTTAATATGAAAATGTAAGATACTATTTCTATTTGTTTGAAAAAACACTCAAAATTATTTAATTTAAAATGATTGCAAGAAAATGGAATACCCTGAAAGAGAAATTATTTTAAAAAATTCTTTTCTCACACTTTCCAAATACATTTACAACAAGTGAGAGTGTTGGTTTTCATTTACAATTAAACACAATATTACAGAAATTCATTAAATCATTGTAATATTAAATTCTCAATCTTTGTATAGTAATTGAATTAAAATGAATCGTTGAGAAAATTGTAAAAAAAAGCCACATTGAAAAAACAAAAGAGATATTTGTATTTATTTTTATTTAAAAATGTTTACACACCCTTCTCAAAAGTAACAAATATTTTTAATTTATCAATATATCCACGCATCATTATTACCTCTACAAAGTTAGTTTTACAAAATAAAAAAAAATTATAAACCAATAAATAGATAGTATTTATTTTGTAAAAATCGTGTGTTTTAATAAAATATTTTATCAAAAACTGTAATGTTAAGCATGCCGATTGTTTATTATTGAAAGAATAGATATTAAGGATAGATAAAATATTTAATTTTTCAAAAAGAAAACATAAGCAAAATGATTATTCTGATCGACAGTAGTAGCAGAACTAAATGAAATAAAATGTAATTAGAATGAGATAGTTATTCCTTAGGTAGCTAGGAATTATATATTTTTAATAAGTTTAGTAAAACAAAGAAATTAACAATTTTTTAGGAGACAAAAAACTTCTGTCTTATTGTGATTTGTTTTGAAAATCTTAAAACAAATATTTGAATCGGGCCTATTCAACCGACTTAACTTGTGTTATTTATTACTTGATTAATCATGTACTGCATGAAATTGTGTAGATACATTTTGTAATATATCACTGCTGGATTTCATGGTATCATTATACTACTGTGTCTGCACCCTCCAAGGTATTGGAAATCCCAGTCAAACTAATCTAGATTCTGAATTTACCAAGTTGTTCCATTTCGTAGTTAATAGATCACTAGTTTGACTACAGTTCAAGCTGGACTCTACTCGTTCATTTGCTTAGGAAATTCGCACCGTTTGATTGGTTAACCAACTGTCGCACACCTTTGATACAACCAAGTCAGCTAACACTACAAAGCGTCTCACTCGATGCCAAATCTATAAAGTATGCAATAACTTATCATTGTAAATTTAATAATTTATAAATCTAACGGCTCAACGAAAAGCCTGAAAATACACTAATAGATCCATGTATACAACGACCAGCAACAACATGTTTAAATCTACCTACTACACCATAGCTATCGAAAATCAATCATCCCATCTGAGTATTAATTGCATAAACAATCAAGATGATGATGATGTAACTATTGACCTTGGTGAATCATTAGAGTATTAAGTATCTTTATTATTAGCTATCGAAATACAATATAAAAAAAACTATTATTATGAACAATAAACTGTTTTGTTATTAAAAATTTTTAAAAAAAAAAAACTAAATTCTGTTTTTATTCATTGTTTTAATTTAAATTGTATTAAATTAATAATGATAGATATCACCTTTATAAATATTATTATTAACACTTAAATTAAAATAATGAATAAAAAAAATTTTAAAAAAAAAAAATTCCAAATCTATCTTCAGAATTAGAGAGTTTGCAAAACTCATAATTTTAATTTATTTATTTATCTTTTTTATTTTTATTTGTTTTCAGGATTGAAAGAATCATTTACATTGACTCATTTACATTGCAATTCAATTGAACATTATTTTTAAAACACACAAATAATAATAATAATTATTTTAATTAAAAATCAACAAACAACAAAAATAAATATCTGATAAATAAATAAAATTTAACATTAAATATCATTGTTTTTTTTTTTGTATTATATTTTGTATAGTTTTTTTTCAAAAAATCAAATCATATCATATCATAAATAAATATCAATAATATATCAATAATATATATAAATAAAAGTTGAATTTAATAAATTAAAAGTAAAACAAAGTAAAGTAAAGTGTAGAAAATCAATATATATTTAATTATGTCAAACTATCCTGATATTAGTACTGTACCAAACAGTAGTAATAACTATAATCATACACCGGTCGGTGCCTATCCAAATTTGAATACTGAACATGATCCTAATGCACCAATAACTACCACTGCACCCAATGAAGTTAAAGAGGTGAGTAAAACAATATCAATATATATAGATAATATATTATCGATGAATATATATTAACATTAATAACTCATTGTATATATGTTATAACAGAATCATTATGAAGGTTGGTTACAAAAGAAAGGAGCAAAAGGATTGATACAAACATGGAAGAAGAGATTCTTCATTGCCAATATAGATAGTATCAAATACTATGCCGACGAGAAGCAGGTAGACTACAGAGGAAACATCCTCTGGGAACACGTTACAAACATTCAATTCTCTACATCTGCTGTTTGGAGTGACAATAGATACTTTGAAATACAAACAGTAAGTAGTATTGAACTATTATTATTGTTGTTGTTATTGTGATGATAAGATGCAGATACTTACTCTGCTCTCTTTTAAAAACTATAGAATAGAGGTAGAGTTTATTTCTTGTTTGCTGACGATCAGTATTTCTCGTTGAATTGGATCAATGCGTTGAAAAAGATACACGCCGCTTACATTGTGAGAAGGGATCACATTAGACAGGCAGTCGAGAAGCAAGCGCAAGCAGAGCAGGCTAAGCAGGAGCAGTTGAACCAACAGAAACAGTATGAAGAGCAACTGATTCAACAGCAACAGCAGTTCCAAAATAGTAATTCACCGTATCGCGAGTTCACCAATTACATTCATCAGGGATTCTCGCATTTCGATTCGATTGGAACACCGATTGCTTCGCCGCCACCCATAGATTCGTCGCTACACATACCACCACGTCCACCAGGACCATTGCGAACACTCGATCACGAGACTGTCAAGTCTATAGTGCCGTCCGAGGGTAAAGATCTCGAGATATACTACGAGTCAACCACCTACTTTGCAAACATCCTCATGGCAAAGCCACAGAATGAATATCACATACTCGCCGCCTATCTAATTCTCGCCACTCTCGACTGGGACAACAAAAAGACACAACCACTTCCATACCCATGCACACCTCCCTATGAAAGTGATATTGTATATCCATATTTTACATATTGTTTACATTTAATTAGAACTGTAAGTAGTGTAAAGCTAAGCAACTTTATTTTATAATAACTAACATTCTTTGTTGTTCATAGGAAATTATTAATAAATGGAAATTGGAAGGACCAACTTTTATCACTCAGATCGATACTTTTACAAAGAAGAAGAGACAAAACTACTTGTTGATATTGGAAAATGAAGATAGAGAGACATTCCTCAATAGAAATATGTTGCTATTGAGTTATGCACTCAACTACACGGTGATGGGTAACAAACTTGCTGTCATTGAAGATGCCATTTTAGTTTTGATCGACCGTTTCCTCGAGAACTACGAATCACTGCCTTCCATTAAGTACGGTGCCTTCCTCTGGAAGGAAATCGAACAAGCCGACAAGAATAACTCTTTCACTCCATCCGATAAAGCAATGTTACAATCATTCACTCATTCTTATTTATTATATCAAGTAAGTACTTACTAAACGGTTGTTTTTTTTTTTTTTTGCGAATTTATTTAGCTCAATTTTGTTATTAACATGTTTTAAACTATTCTAAAATAATAATAATAGAAATTACATTTAGAGAATAAGAATAATAATAAATTTAAATTGGATCCAATCATTACACAGAAATATGAAAATGTCAGTCATAACTTCTCGACTATTCTACATCAGTTGCCAATATTGACACCATTCTCTGGACACATTCAAAGAACCATTGTAAAGATATTCTACTTGTGGCATCGTGATCTACCTCTATGTGAATCGACATCCACTTTCGAGGTGTCTGTCTATAGAAACTACAAGGTATTCATTAGAATCCTCAGTAAATTGGATTCCATTCAATTCACTCAGTTGTTTAACTCTGTTAAAGAAGTTCAAGTAAGTTAATGTTAAAAAAATTTTTAATACCATTATGTACAAGTTTATTCTAACAATTTATTATTTCTATCTATTTACCATCATTATAGGAAACATTGTATAGAATTATAGAAAGGAACATTGGTGTATTTGATATGAGCAAAGTTGATATTTCACATCTACAATCAATAATGTCAAATAAATAAATAATACCAATATCATATATTTATATATTGCACAAAATAATAATCATAAAGAAAAAAAAGGTTTTAAAATAAAAAATAGTTATATGTACAAATTAATTATCAATCTTAAAGTAAACTATTATTTACTTGAAGTAAGTCAAAAGAGTACTTTACTAAATTTAGATAATCACTAATAATTAACAAATTTAACCGTTGGAATTAATTTAGAATCTTTAAAAGTCAAAAAACATTAATGACTAAAGATACTTAATATTTGTTTGATACATGAGAAATTAATACTATCACATTATCTTCACACCCGAACTCTTTTTGTGATAGGTTGATCAAGTTAAAATCGTGGACCCTTTTTAATTTTCAGACCAAAAAATATCTTTTCACGAAAAGGTGAATAAATTCGATGAAAGTACATAATTTGGAATCTTTTAAATTCAAAAAAATAAAACAAAAAAAAAAAGATTTTAAATCAAAAAATAACAAATATAAATAGATCTTTAAAGTAAACTTATCATACCAAATCAAAATATAAAATCATTTTTTATTTATTTATAAATATATACAACTATAAAATGGGTCAAGCAAATACCAAATTGTCAAAAGAGGAATTAGATCAATTGATGAAGACCACCAAATACAGCAAGGATGATATCGAAATTTTGACTCGTGACTTCAAGGAGTACAGTGGTGCTGACAAGAAGATCGGTTTCTCAGAGGAAGAGTTTCTTAAATTCTTCAAGACTCGTTTCCAAGACTGGAGTACTGAAGACATGAAGAAAATGTTCAAAGTTTTCGATACTGATAAAGTAAGATATGCCAAAACATATAATTAAAATTTAAATAGAAACCTAATAGTGAATCAAAAAAATTAAGAACGGAACAGTTGATTTTAAAGAGTTTACCACTGCCCTTTATTTAATGACCAAGGCACCTGTAGAAGAAAGAATGGCTGTTTTGTTTGATATTTTTGACGACGACAAGAGTGGAACCTTGTCATCACAAGAAGTTGAAAAAATGATCCATGTCGCTGTCAATTGTGGAACCGCTTTGGGATGTGGAGGTGTAGAATCTTTTGAATATTGCTTCGATTTATTCAAACAGGGACTCACTGTAAATGGTAAATTTCATAACTTTTTATTCTACCCAATTATTTCAAAACTAACAATAGTTAATTAACATTAGGTTTGACAAAAGCTCAATTTGTTAAAATTGGAGGTGGATCAACCAGATTCACCAGAATGATTTGTTTCTATGACTCTGCAAATGGATTATTATATTAAATTCCAAAAAAGAAAAAACCAAAGTTGTGTAGAATAAAATATTGTTTATTGAAATAATAGTATAAAATAAGCTAGCTACATTGTAATGATGGATGCACCACAAAAATCTCTATCTTTATCATCATCGAAAGTTGTCCATTCATTGGTCTCAATGTTATATATATGATTATCATAATTACAGCCACCCAATAAATAAATTAAACCTTCCTTGCTAGAGATATGATGATAAATCATTGATATTTTTACTTCCAATTCAATGCTAGTCTCTAACTCCTCGATATCTTTGGAAACGACATTGAATCTAATGAATCTTCCATCCAATGAATGCATAAAGATGTTTCCATATCTATCGTGACACATTGCACTAATTTCATCCAGGATTTGATCGGATTTATATTTGTCTATCGCTCTTGTGATTGGATTAATTGCATAAAGTAATCCACCTTGATATGGCACGGTGTAGAGAGTTCCATTGAAGAAGAATGAATAGTAATCGGTGTAGAGACAGTCGAAATTTAATTGCGATTCAAATTTCATTGATTTAATATTAAACCTATCGACTCTATGATGATAGATGTCATTCTCACTGTCGTATCCATTTATCAAGTAGATATGATCTGCACCATCATAGCAAACCGATATCTCTTGTCCTCCTTTGATTCCTTTCATCTCTCCTATGTGGTCAATCGATTTTGATTTGATAGAGATTCTACAATATTTGTTGGAAATATCGGGTTTGTTGCTACCGAAAATATAGATATGGTCACCTGCTTGCACCATTGAGTTGTATGTCGATCCAGATTCATAGTCTTTCAATTGAAAAGATGATTCAGTTGAATAACTTTGGTCAGAGATATTGATTAGAGATGCAGAATCACAATCGAATATGCTGAAAATATAGTTTTGTTTGATTCTTTGAGAGATCAAGTTGAATGATTGTTGAATTGATAATTTAACTTGTTCAACCTTTTCGCTAGAAACTATTAGCTCATACTTCATATTTCCATTGTTATTATTGTTGTTTGGAGTTGCAGAAGTACTCTTTAAAGAATATTGTTGATTATACTTGTAAATCATATCCAATACAACTAAATCTACATCTCTATTCTCATCGGTACTCTCTGGAACAATATAATCAAAGAGTGTATTGCTATTTCTATTGATAAAATTACACAGGGAATTGGATTGATTGATAGATTCCATTATTGATGATAATGAATAGCTTTCTGCTGTTGAATCTGTATTGGAATCTTCACTTCCAACCACTAGACTATCATCCTCACTACCGTCTCCCTTCTTTTCGATATGCTTCCAAGTGTTGGCAATATCCACTAACGACTTTAACTGATTGACATTGATATCGATTTGCTCCTTGATCAGATCTTTCTGTGTGACAATAGATTTCTTTAACTTGTGCTCCTCTACGATGAGATACTCATGAAATTGTGAAAACTGTGCAGATATCTCAGATTCGGTTGACTCTAAAGAATGATGTCTGGTTGCCTGTGACTTTATAGTAGTCCAGATTGAACTGAGCCTGTTTTTTATAGATGAACTCTCACTGCCACTCTCACTGGCTGAACCGGTACTAATGACAGTCTCCAATGAATTCTTGATATCATCTACATGGTCACAGAATGGAGAGTGATCTACGAATTTCTTATTATGATTGTTTGAACATTTTGAACACAACAATATATTACATTTAAAACAAATAAATTCCAATTGTCTTTTATGCTCTGGACATATAAAATTACTATCTCCCTTCATATCTGTAACTAAATATAACAAAATAAAAGAAAAAAATTAGCTATAACTTAATGTGATATTCATTTAACTTCAACTTTACTCATTGACAATTTATATTGTTAAAGAATTTGTTAATTTTTTAAGAAGTGGGGATTAAGAGAAAAATTAATAAGCACACCCAATGATTCTTTGGATTTTCACAAATTATCACCATCTATCAATTTAAACATCTTGATTGATTGTTAAACTGAATGTATATTCTAAAGACAAACAATGAATAACATTGTTTTGAATAAGTTTATAAAACTAGTTGTTCAAAAAAATAAGTTTCTATTACTATCAATTTAAACAATCATCTTTTGATTCTTTGTAAAAACAACATTCTTCTACCAACTCTTAATACTTCTCTTGTTTTATTGAACATAGTCAATCAAAAGTTATTTGAATAAAACACAAAATTGTTTTTCAAAAGAGAAAAATTTAAAATTGATCAAATAAAATGTATTGTTGTTTGATTTTTTAGTTTACAAATAAAGCCAACTGGATAAAATCAACAGATGACTTTTTGATTCATTTATTGATATATTAATAATAAATTAAAATATATTACAAAGAGCGTTTAGAAGCACTTTCTGTGGACGATGGATGGACCAGACTCATCGTATTCTTCCTTGGAGATCCACATTTGTTGGAAAGTGGAGAGGGAGGCCAAGATGGAACCACCAATCCAGACAGAGTATTTACGTTCTGGTGGGGCGATGATCTTGATCTTCATGGTGGATGGGGCCAAAGCGGTCAATTCCTTTTGCATACGGTCAGCAATACCTGGGAACATAGTGGTACCACCAGAGAGGACGACGTTACCGTACAAGTCCTTACGGATATCAACATCACACTTCATGATGGAGTTGTAGGTGGTCTCGTGGATACCAGCAGATTCCATACCCAAGAAGGATGGTTGGAAGAGAGCCTCTGGGCAACGGAAACGTTCGTTACCGATGGTAATGACTTGACCGTCTGGCAATTCGTATGATTTCTCGAGGGCTGAGGATGAGGCAGCAGTTTGCATTTCGTTTTCGAAGTCAAGGGCAACGTAGGCGAGCTTTTCCTTGATGTCACGGACGATTTCACGTTCGGCGGTGGTGGTGAATGAATAACCACGTTCAGTCAAGATCTTCATCATGTAGTCAGTGAGATCACGACCAGCAAGATCGAGACGGAGGATAGCGTGTGGGAGGGCATAACCTTCGTAGATTGGAACAGTGTGGGAGACACCATCACCAGAGTCCATAACGATACCGGTGGTACGACCAGAGGCATAGAGGGAAAGGACGGCTTGGATAGCAACGTACATGGCTGGAGTGTTGAAGGTCTCGAACATAATTTGAGTCATCTTCTCACGATTGGCCTTTGGGTTGAGTGGGGCTTCAGTCAAGAGAACTGGGTGTTCCTCTGGGGCAACACGGAGTTCGTTGTAGAAAGTGTGATGCCAGATCTTCTCCATATCATCCCAGTTGGTGACGATACCGTGCTCAATTGGGTACTTGAGGGTCAAGATACCTCTCTTTGATTGAGCTTCATCTCCGACGTAGGAGTCCTTTTGACCCATACCGACCATGACACCAGTGTGTCTTGGACGACCGACAATCGATGGGAATACAGCACGTGGGGCATCATCTCCAGCGAAACCAGCCTTACACATACCAGAACCCTGAAATTAATAAAGAAAAAAAGAATTTTTAAATATTAATATTTGAGAAATAATAGTTGATTTAAAATTATTATTGAGACATACGTTATCAATTACCAAAGCAGTTACGTCTTCACCTTCCATTTTATTTATTTATTAGTTTATTATTAAGTTATACAACAAAGATAAATGAAATAATTGATCAGCGTCACTATTTATGCAATCCAAAAGATGGAAGGTAAACCACAACAAAAAATCAATTTAATTAAAAAAAATCATTTTTTTCATATGAAAACCCAATTTCTTTTACAACCCAATCAAAAGCCATAATTATAATAGGTTTGAAGTTGAACAATTTTTTTTTCAAAAAAAATACTGGTCAATTTCATATAAAATTTGGTTGATTTTTTTTGAAAATTTTTTATTGCATTTTAGATGGGTACAATATCATTATTCTCTTTTGAGGGTCGATATTGTGTAGTCATATTCATTATCATTGTCTTTTTTAAAAGATTTTTTATCCATTATGACCCATGATTGGTTGTTACAGTCAATTAGTGGAGTGGCTTTGTTAGGGAAGAGATTAAAGAAGGTATCGCCACCCTCTATAACAGTGTCCACCGTAGTAATCAACAACTCATTAGCATATTTGAATGTTTCTTTGTATATTGTTTCACCTAAAAAAAAATAATGTAAAAATAATTCAAATTAAAATAAAATAAAATATAAAATAATAATTTATATTAGGATTACTGTTAATTTTTATAATATTTATATTTTGTAACACTTACCACCTATGATATAAACTACATCACTATTTAAATTGTTAACCAACTCTATTGCTTGATCAGTTGATCTTACTATGGTTAGAACATCTGGTTTCTCTTGATATTCTATACCATCTCTGTTATAAAGTTTCCCTGATGATGTTATGACTATTGAGTGTCTGTTGGGTAGAGGTCTTCCTATTGAATCAAATGTTTTTCTTCCCATTACAATGGGATGTCCTGTTGTTGTTTTTGAAAAGAATGCTAAATCACCTTTGAGCCTCCAAGGTATTCCTCCATCTTTACCAATAACATTGTTTAAAGATACTGCAACTACAAATGATATCTTTACCATATCTATGAGTAATCATAATCAAAAAATAAAATAAAAATAAAAATAAAACAAATTAATTTGGTTGTAAAATGAAAAAAAAAATTATCATCATTTTCTTTGAGACAAAAAAATTCTTTTTATGTAACTAATAAAAAACTACTCTTTTTGTTGTAAATGTTAATAATGTTAATAATTATTTTTGTTATTAATATTTATTTTTAAACTTATTATTATTAAATTAAATAAAATAAAATAATTTTTTAAATTATATTCACACAATATGTAATCTTTTGATGTTACCAAACATTAACACCTAATAATAAATTTTAGGAGGTAAATATGCAGAAATCGGTGGTTAGAAATAAGTATGAATCAAACATGTTCAGTATTATTAATTTGGGAATGAATTATGTGTTTGTGTCATCATTTATTTTAAAAAGTGTTTTCCTGCAAAGTTTGATTAACTTAAAAATCTTTGGTTGTTACAAAATACTCTTATTGGGCAATTATATTAAAAAACGAAAAATGACTTCAATGTTTTCGGTGTTCAATCAAAATGGGAACAAAAAAAACTTAACCTTAGTGGAATCTGACTGATATCTTTACTTAACCGTTTTATTCAAAACCAATTTACAACCTGATTTTTTTTTTTAAACAAATCAAAAGTGGTGACAATGATTGCTTTGCAAAAATTTGTCGACAAATATCATTTCGCCGAGTATTCAGTAAATTTCAAATTATGTTAAATTTATTCCTGTAATATTTGTGGAGCAGTCATATGATATTCTATTAAATATCTCAATAAATTTTGTTTCACTAATAATGATTATCATTTTGTCTATTGAGACTGCAAGAGTGGTAACATAATATTAGACTATATTTTTCTAAAAAAAAAATGACAAAACAAATCACAAAATCACAACACTATCACCTTTGTTGAATCAGCTGACCACACATCAGACGACACCTCTTTGCGGGATGGGTTTAAAAAAAACACAAAACAAAAAACTGACGCTGCATAGCTAAATGAAATTACCCCAATAGTTTGTTCTTAGGAAATTATTTGTTAGTAACTACAACAAAACTATGGTGTTGCTGTGTTTGTTTGCTATGTCATAATACAAGACGAAATTTGTAATGTTATGAGTTTGAAGTTGACTGGTAATTTTAACAAAAACTGACTTTATTTCAATCAATCAATATTGATGTGGTGATATACACACGAGAATGTGTAACTACTACCTACCTCTTTCCCACTCCAAACTTGGTCTTATAATTTTTCTATAAAATAATTAAAATTAATTTTTATTGTTTTGTTTGATTGGAAAAAAAGTCTATAAAAACTATCAATAGTTCAGAACCTATAGTTATCATTCCAAACAAAATAAATAGTTATAAAAAAAAAATGAATAGAAACTTAGTTTTAGTTATCTTTACTTTATATATTGCTTCTACCTTTGTAGTTGCCGATGAGAACGTGTGCGCTGCTGTTCTTTGCCAACCAGTTAGCAGATTAAGATGTCTTGCTATTGGTGGTGTCTTTATTCCAAAGAATATTGCAAATGGTGATTGTTGTGATAGATGTAATCCACCATGTTCCACTGTGAAATGCGCTGGTGTAGATGAACGTGTTTGCACTGCCAACGGTGGTTCCTATGTACCAAGCAATCCAGCTAGAGGACGCTGCTGCTCCGACTGTGTCTATGGTCCATCCTATTGCGCCGCTGTGCAATGTCTTGCTGTATCTGAAGAGAAGTGTAATGCTGCTCTTGGAGAATTCATTCCAGCTGATCCAGTGCATGGACGTTGTTGTAATACATGTCTTAATGCTTGTCAAACAATCAGATGCGTTGGTGCCAATGAGACTGAATGCGCTTTGAACAACGGACAATTCTTGCCATACAATCCAGCAGCTGCTCAATGTTGCTCTGATTGTATCTATGATCCATCAATCTGTGCTGCTACCCTATGTTTGGCTGTCTCTGAAAAACAATGTAAAGCTGCTCTTGGAGAATTCGTTCCTGCTGATGTAGCTCATGGTAAATGTTGTGATACATGTCTTAATGCCTGCCAAACCATTAAGTGTGTTGGTGCCAATGAGACTGAATGTGCCTTGAACGGTGGTCAATACTTGCCAGCTAATGCCGCCGTGGGTAGATGTTGCGCTGACTGTGTCTATGACCCAGAGATTTGCAATTTGGTTGATTGTTTGAATGTCAGTGAAGAAGAATGTGCCAATGTAGGTGGAGAATACACTCCAGCTGATCCGGTACATGGCCGTTGTTGTGCCCAATGCCACACTAGATGCGAAACTGTCAAGTGTATTGGTGCTAATGAAACCGAATGTCTTTCCAATCCAGGAAATATCTATGTTCCAGCCGATCCAAGAAATGGTGTCTGCTGCTCGTACTGTGATGTCAGAATGACTATTGAGCCACAAACCACCCGTTTCACCATCGAACCACAACCAACTCCAACTCCAACCTCATTCTGTAATGGTGTTCGTTGCGCATACGTTGATCCAAAGAAATGTAGAGCCACCGGTGGATTCTTTTCACCAGCCGATCCAGCTAATGGTAAGTGCTGCGATTCATGTGAGCGTAGAGTAACTATCGAACCACAATGCAGTCTTGTTAAATGCATTTTCGTTGATGAAGCAAAATGCAGAGAATCCGGTAATTTCTACGTACCAGCTAATCCACCTTCAAAGTGTTGCGCTACTTGTGAGCCACGTTTTACCATTGAGCCACAAACCACTTCCGTTTCAATTTAAATAGATTAGATTCCAACTCAATCGATTTATCTTTTATTCCTCTCACTTAAAAAAAATTACTTTTTTTTTTTAATCATCCAAATCAAAATAAACTTTAATTTATAAAAAAAAAATATATTTGTTTCACTTTTAGTACTAAAAATGTTTAAGTTAGTTGTTCTTATTACTTTCCATAATTTATAAATGATATTTTAAAGAGTTGTATCCAATATATATATATTTTTTAATTGTTCACAATTTAAAAGTCATAATATTCACAAATACTAGGTAAACCGCACCTAGTTTTTCACCCTCTTTTTGATTTTGCAAATTACTTTAATTTTCTTCAATTAATTTTTAATTCTATTCATTTTTGTTCTTACCATTATTATTCATAGACATAGAAGACATTTTATAAAAGTTGGAGAGTTTTTATTTAAAAATTGAAGGGTACTAACATTGTTTAAAAAAATTACAACAAAATATTTTTATTTATTTATTTATTTTTTTTAAAACAGGTAGAGATATCATGTATGCTAATTTGATTTGCGTTTGCGATTGTTTGTTTTGGTTTCATCAGAAATCAATTTTAGAATACCAGTTGGATCACCAAACTTTGAGATGGTTTCATCCAAAGAAAGATGAATTCCTTTTCTATGCATCCAAAACAATGTGTCGTAATAATATTCATTGAGCCTTGGTACAAAGTCCTGGGCATTGTTTGTTAATAATTTCATTGCATCGGGATCGATTCCGAATATTAGGTCAAGAATTTCGTTCGATGATCTTTGAAGGATATTCAACAAGTTGTCTCTCACCACTTGATTCCATTGAGATCTGTGATTTTCATAGATGAATCTTAATAGATTTGGATTTTGCTTAATTGTCATTAGTTCTTTGATATCAAAGCAAGAGAGATTAACATCGGAGAAGATTTTGTTCTTCAAGACATGAAAGATCAATTCTGGATCTTGAATTATCTTTGGATCAAACTTTAGACAACTCTTGGTATTTATTGTCAACCAATTGAGGAATTCTATCGTTTGTACTTCATAAAAATGATATGTACCAATACAGATACCAACAAGAAACATTCGATGAATAGTTGGTGCATATTTGATTGTAAAATCAAGTGCATTATATTTCTTTTTGTTCCATCTTGATTGATCCTCAGTTGTTGCTTGGATGATTCCTTCATATTTCAAAATGTGATCCAATTGCTGCTTAGTTCTTGATCTTTCAATAATATGCCATGCTTCATATGATATTGATCCATCCTCATTGATAACTTTTCCACGCATTACCAATTGATCGAATATGAATGAACCAAATCGCTGAGTAGTTTCATTGTCATGATAGTCTAGTTTCCATCCATCAAGGTTATCCATGAGATAAAGAATTGATTCTTTTGATCCAGCTTTCTGATGTGATCTTTTATATCTCATGCAAGCATTTCCATGGTTTCTACGATCTTCTTTAAAGTTTCTGAATAACTTTAAACCTTGTTTGGTGAAAACTCTCTTTATGTATTCAATCATTTCAATTGCAAGATTGCCATCTTCTCTTTCGAAAAGTGATGCAACACATCGATAAATACATTCTTGAAGAGGTACTTCAATGATTGATCGATCGGTATCCATTCTATTGACAAGATACTCAATTTGATTGCGAGATCCATGATTGAATAACAATGTTAGAGTCTTTCGAAGATTGGTTTCATCTTCTACATTTCCACGATCATCTACATTCATATCGAGTGAAACGATCTTCGATAGAATATCATCGATGATTGATTGGTTTGATATATTTAATTGACCTGCCAATTGAAGTTTAATTCTAACGATTTCTGAGACTGTTTTGCCAATATAATCACTTGAGTATAATGCATTGTGATGATGATACATAACATCAAGAAGTAGGAGATTATAACAGAGATTGTCAATCAGGGGTGATTCAGGAATTGGAAATTGTTTTACTATACTCTCTTTCATTGATAAGAGGTATTTGGTATCTGTTTCTGAAGCAACTCCAAGATGATTACTCTCCTTATTAACCATGAGATATGATAATAATTCTATAGAATTACTGAGAGAGAGATTGGCTTTAATGATCGGCTCTATTATCTTTGGACCAAAAGTATAACCATGTTTCTTTAATAATCGATAGATAAATACTTTATCCTCGCTCAATTGTGGATTGAAATGTAAAGCCCCGAGGGTAGTCTTGTACTTTTCCATGATGACATCCTCACCGAATTTAGCAAATAACCATTCGATTGATTGGATCTTTGGGTAATTGATTAAATCATCCATTATCTTCTTGTCCAATTCATTGATAGGATCGATTCCATTCTCCACGAGATAATCGAGAATTTCCACTTGACCACCTAACAGAGCACCTTTAAATGCACCCTCTCTTTTAAGTTGAATCGGTGATGTTTGATTGAGAAGTATCTTTACAATTTCAATGTTACCAGTTCTACATGCATTTGATATCAAATCTCTTGACAAGAATAGAGTGTCTCTGTACTTGTTGTACACCACCATAAATGATTGATATCCTTTACTTTCATACAGAAACTTGATATGTCAGACCCCGAGATCTGTATATATCGACCTGTTTTAATCTTGTCAACAAATAAACCAATATGATTATTACGAAGAATTTCATATCCTTTGATCCAATGATTGTACTTTCGCTTTGTAAACAAGAACATTTCATCTTGATCCGAATGACCATTGATATCTTCTCTCACATGTTTCAGTAGCTTTTGAAGAAGTATCTTATTTTGAAATACTTTTGTAAAACATATATCTTTAAACAAAAAAAAAAAAAATTAGAATAATAAATTGTTTAAAAACACCAACAATTTTTTTACTTACTATTGCTATTAGACATTGATGACATTTATATTAAAGTAACTTTTCAATAAAATTATTTGTTAAGAATTATTATTTATTATTGTTTTTGTAAAGTAACAAAAGAACTATAATTAGTTTGTTAAATGGTTTTAACAAAATTCTCCCTCATATGAGGGATAAAAATAAAACACAACTTTTAGAGAGTAAACTTTTTCATACTAATTTTTTTCTTGAAAGTAACAGCAAATTACCACCTTTCTAAGGAATCATTTCACAGTCATTCGTGGTACATGTCAGCAATAAATCCCTCATGAGGGAGAATTTATTATTAATAGTAAAATTTCTCTTACAGAAATATAAAATATTTAATTAATGAGTTAACTCAATGATTTTAATTTAAATGGATCATCTCAGAGAGTGAAGCATAAACAATACAGCTTTGGACATGATCATTTGTTAATGTTGGATAGACACTATTAAACTTTGAGATTAAGTATTATCTCAAAGACACAGGTTACTTGCTTAATATATAGAGCAGCAAAGATAATATATTTTAGAATTTAAAATTTTTTTTATTATATATTTTTATTATAATTTTGGAAAAAAGTAAACTTGGATATATAATATAATTATCTAATTGATATAGTTTGATAACCATCTGAATCCGTCACCATAACCAAATCTTCTAACTACACTACACATGAAAACTTCGATTGGTCTAACACCTGGGTTGAGTGGAACTTTGTCTTTGCCTGTGGTCTGGGTCAATCCCATTGATGCTCTAAACTTTTCTTCAGATGTTCCGGCGATATCGATTTTATTACCGAGAATGAGGAATGGTACATTTGAGAGTTCATCAGAGGAGAGAAGTGCGTCGAGTTCTCTCTTTGATTCTTCGAATCTTTGTGGTGCAGATGAGTCAACCATGAAAACGATGGCATCGACTGAAGTATAATAATCTTTCCATAATCTACGAGCTGTCTCGTGACCACCGAGATCGTAAGTTCTAAATTTAATATTACCCATTGAAAGTTCCTCAGATGCTGTTGTTGTTGATATTGTTGTTGGTAGTAGTGATTATTATTATAAAACAAATTCAAATAGTAATAGTGATTGATAATTAAACAATAATAATAGCTATTGTTAGTAACTGAGAGATGTTTACTGGCATTTCTATTTGACATTATATTAATTAATACATACTTGGATGGAAAGTTGGACGATTTTGTGAAAGACGACCATCTTTCAAAACACCTAACAATGTAGTCTTACCGGCATTATCTAATCCAAGAAATAGAATCTTGGCATTCTTATTGTAGAGTCCTAGAAAACTCAAAACACCCCAGAACCAATCAAACAAAAACATGATTTATATAATCCTACAAAAAAAAAAAAAAAGAAATATATTTAAAAATATTAATAAATGATTATATTTATATTATTATTAAATTAGATTAAATTAATGAGTTGCTAGTTTAGTCGATCAAAAATAAAAAATAAAATAAAAATATAAAAAAAAAAAACAGAAAAATAATAAATTAATTTATATTAAAACAACAACAACAACAACTAACAACAATAACACATACAATTATTAAATAAAAATAAAAGAATTTGATTAATAAAAGATAGAAATTTAGTGTTATTTTTAAATTATTATTATTTTTTTGGTTTTTTTTTTTGTGTAAATATATATATTTTTTGTTTTAACTTGTTTTATTTCCAACCAAATATTCAAGTTGACAAATTTGATGACTGTAATGTGCAATATGTTGTAGATTGTGTATGTTTATTAATTGACTGATTTTGATATATGTTTTTTTTTTAAAAAAAAAAAAACGAATCTTTGTAGTTGTTTAATCTAATGGTTACTGAACTTATAAAGTGTAATTTAACTAAACAGAACAATAATGATACTGTCGATCTATAATCTATCTTCAATATACTATCTTTTATCTACTATCTGCTTTCTTTCTTCTATACCAATCACTATTTTCAAATATTATAGCTTTACTGACTAACTAACAACTAACAACTAACTAATAAAACTTTTTTGTTTTTCAAAACAATTGTATTGTTGCAACATAAAAAGACATTTTACCTTGTTAAAAATATAAAATAAAAATAAAATAAAAAAATTAAGTGCTAATAAAAATGTATGGTAAAGATGTAATAATAAGTTCAACCTGAACACTTTATGTAAAAGTTTTATTCAGTTGAGGAGCACCCCAAACAAAAAAAAAATAAAAAATAAAAAATAAAAAAAATTAATTTTTTGGTCAATTTTTTTCTTATCAAATTTCCCAATGATTTTTGTAATCATTTAGATATTAATAGTAATATGAAAGTCGAAAGATCAATTGATTGCAAGTTTTTAATTGCAATAGTATTATCTAGATAACTTTTCTCAAATAAACTTTTTTTTTTTTAGATCAAAACTCACAGAAAATCTAAAGTGTTGTTACTTTAGTTTCTTAAATAAACACACTATTCTTCATTGGCGAATGAGTTTTGGATGTTATTAATATCGATGAAAATTAATACCACTTTGATATATACTACTGCCAATTATATGTATTCGGGAATGATCTCTTTGGAATGAGTCTGATCAATATCCAGAAACATGGATATCTTTTTTTTTTTAACACGTGAATTTCTAATAACTCTATATTTAATTAAATAGACATGTTTTGATTTTTATTTTTTAGTATAATATAGTTGGTTGGTTTTGTTTGTTTTGATTAAGTTAATGAAGTTGTTATTGTTATTTTGATTTTTTGGTTTGTCGTTGTTGTTAAATTATTACTATTATTTGTTTAAACAGATAATTTAGTAAGTTTGTCAAGACATTTAATACCCTTCTCTTCGTATTCAGCCTTGGAGATCCAGAAATCTGGACGATCCTTGGTGAGTTCAGCCAATACGGCACCACCCAAGAATACCATGTGCTTACGACGTGGTGGATCTTCGATTCTGCACTTGAATTTGGCCAAACCGTTGACGTCACCCTTCAATACCTTCTCGAGGTAGAGTGCACGAATCTCCTTTTCGAGACGCGATGGCAAACCTGGATACATACTGGAACCACCAGAGAGAACGATGTGCTGGTAGAATCCTTGGTGGAGATCACGATCGGACTTTTGAATGCAGTCAAAGAGCAAGTCGGCAACACCACCACCTTCGACGTCGACCAAACCTGGATGGAAGAGAGCCTCGGAAGCCTGGAAACGTTCTTGACCGACCTTGATAACTCTTCCGTCAGGGAGAGTGTACGATTCGACGAGGACGGTTGTCTCACTGGCTAACTTCTTCTCTTGCTCGACGTCGTAGGCGACGTAGCAGAGCTTCTCCTTGATTTGACGCACGGTTTCAAAGTCGGCAGTACGGTTGAATGCGTAACCACGGAGCAAGAGCAACTTGATCAAGTAACGGGTGACGTCACGACCGGCGATATCGAGACGACGTGTCAAATGTGGGATGGAGTAACCTTCGTAGACCGGGATGATGTGAGTGACACCATCACCAGAGTCGACGACGACACCTGTGAGGAGACCCTGTGCGTAGAGAGTGAGAACGGCCTGGATGGCAACGTAGACCGCTTGGAAACCGTATTTCTCAAACATGGTCTCGACCATCTTCTGACGATTGGTCAGTGGATTCATGGGTGGTTCGGTCAAGAGGATCTTGCATTCACGTGGATTGCTGATCTTTAACTTCTCCTTGAAAGCATAGTCCCAGACGTGGGTGATGTCATCCCAATTACGGATGATACCGTTCTCTAGTGGATAGGTGATTTGCAACATCGAACGAAACTTGGCAGCTTCATCTCCAACCATAATATCCTTAATCTCTACATTCTCGATCTTCTCTTCAGAACGCAAGATTGGACGACCAACCATAGATGGGAAAATAGCTGTTGGGAAATTTGCACCAGCAAAACCACATTTTACAAACTACAATTATAATTGTTGAATTGATTGTATATGTTGAATTATCCAAAAATGTTGAAAATCAATATATATATATGAATTTTATTTGATTAATACTACTAATAATAATGATGATGATGTTCATTTACTGATTGATTACTTACACCTGTTCCATTGTCGCAAACAATAACTTTATTGGAATCCATTTCTATATATATTTATAAAGTGTGTTTTCTTTTTTGATGAAAAGTATTAGTTTTTTGAATTCTTATTATAACTTAAAGGGGGTTGATTGACAAATTCATTTCATCATGATCATCTTAAATCAAACTAAAAATACAAATACTTGAATTTTTATAGATATATGAATGTTTCGAACTTTAAAAGTTGAAAGTTACACTACAATCATCAAGATATTTATATTTTTTTTTGATTGCATTTTTGAATATATGATGACTTAATGATGATCGAACTATAACCTATAGTTTTGTATATTATCTTTAAATCAAGATTACTTACAAAATACAATATTATGTCTAGAGTTATAATAATTTAATTTATTTTTATTTTTTTTAGTATACAAGGTGTGATGAGTGAAGGTGATTGTTAATTACAGTCCAAGTGTGTATGTCCTTAATAAAAAACCTGTTGTTGAAGGATGTTTTGTGATTATTACTACAGAGTATCTATTAAAGCGTATATATGTCCACTAACTACTGTTGCCAATTTGATTATTACTATTGCTAGGGCTAGATAATCTAATTGATTGAAAGAATAGATAGTTTTTGGTTTGAAAAAATAAAAAAAAATGATGAAAAACAAAAAAAAAATATGTTGTTGTGTGATGAACAATAGCACTAAAAATCAATTTTGGTGGGAGTGATGTTAGTGTTGTTTGGGTTCTGACTTTGATTTTTTTTTGCCAATTTTTTTCAATTTTTTTTTTAATTTTATTTTAAATTGAATTTTTTTTGCAATATATTTTTTTATGCTAATTTCAATCACAATGGGTTTTCATAAATCAATCCACTGACGTGAACTGCTGAAAATTATTTTTTGCAAAAATTTTTTTTATTACAAAAGATCATATGGCTTTTTAGTTGGGTTTTTCATGAATGATATTACAATAACGTTATTTGGTTTATTGTTTTTTTTTTATAAATATTAATAAAAAAAAATCATATTAGCATAGGAGACCAACACATTTTTAATTAAAGAGATTTTTATTATAAATGGTAAACAATAGATATCATAATTATAAAATATTCAATTTGAAATGATCATAGTTGTTTACAACTAACAAAGTTGAATGTATTAATTGGTTCAATGTTAACATATATATTCGAAATTTTCAAAAGCAAATATAGTTTTGAAACTTTTTATAACTTAGTATAAAAAGGAACTTGTATTATTATTTTGGTTGGACAATCAATTTTTTTATTTTATAATTCTTTAAGGGTTTCAACACTTAATATATATTTAGATATCAACCAATAATGTCTGAGTTTTTTCTATTTTTTACAAATTATTTGAAAAAATAAAAAACGAAACAAAAAAATATTCAATTTTCTAGGTCTTGTCTTGCATTAATACTCGAGTAATCATTGTTTTAACTATATAGATTATATGATTTATAAATAAGTAATAACAACAACCACAATTAGATGTTAAAGTGATTTAAAATATATAACTAGCTACACTTTCTTGAGATTGAATGAAATTCAAGTGTCAATAAGCTATACATAAATAATATGATCAAGTTTGATAGTAACAACAGTGAAAGCAACAACAATAGTGGTGGCAGCAGAAGTAGTATCGAGAGTAACAATAACAGTGGTAGGTACAAACCTGTCCAAAGAAATATATATGTCACCAATAATATCAACTATTAATCAATTGGTGATGATATTGATATCAGATTGTTAATATTTAAATCAATCAATCATATCACAACTAATTAATAGTGTATTCATCATAGTAGTAGTAGTTTAATAATAATGACAATCAATGTCATTGTCATTGTCATCAATATCGCTTTAGTAGATAAATAAATAAATAAATAAAATAATAATAATGTTGTTGTTATATATCCAAAATATATTTATAAATAGTTTTTCGATTTGGATTTATTAATTTACAACACAGAAAAATCAGGATGACTGGATATGACAATTTGGAATAATGAATATGAAATTAAAACAAAAGAAAGAAACACATACACACCACTCACATCAAACATTACAAATACACCAAATACTATCTCTCTCTCTCTCTCTACTTTCAACTTGAAATTCTCCCAATGGAATGAATATTGAAAGTATAGTGTGGATAGTGTGTTTGTGGCAGTGAATTCATGAGGAGGTAGAATGTTTTAATTTTACAGTGTAGTGTGTGGTTTGGGAGAGTAGGTAGGGTGTGTGCTGCAATCTTATCTTATTTATTTCATTCTTTCATTAGTTTTTAGTTGTAATTATCAACTATTAAAAACGATTAAAAATTTATACAACAATAATATCATAAATTTAATAAATAAAAAATAAAAATAAAAAAAAAAGTGTACTTCAAACCTTATCTATCAAATACATATCATTTTTTTTTCTTAGTTATTTTTATTCATCTTTTTAATATAAAAAAATTAGAAAAAAAAGAAAAAGAAATAATGTTTTTTTAAAAAAGTATATACATATTATATAATATTTGTTCATTCATATATTCATTCGTTCATTTTATTTTGTTTTTTAATGCTAGTTCATTTTCACTGTGAAAAGAAGAAAACGATTATTATAGAAATATTTAGATACGAAATTAGATTAGATTGATAAAATTTGATTTTTTGGTTGAAGCAAGAACAAGAATTCGACAAGTTGTCATTACTTTAAATAAACAAAAAGATAGCGTTTAAATGTAGGAGGTGGTTAGTTTACAACAATAGAGTTAATTTCGAAAAATATTCAAGTTTAATAATTTTTTCTTATTTTTAATTTTTTTTGCAAAACAACATTTTTTTTTAATTAAACTTTTTTTTTTTTTTTTTTTTAAACAATAACCACCTCCATACTTACTTAATTCATTAAAAAAAAAAAGAGTAATCACCATCATCAACATAATCATAATCAATATTATCACACAACACCAACCAACCAACCAACCAATAATAGAATATAATAGTGATAAATATAACAATTCAACTTTGTTCGATAATAATTGAAAAAACAAAAAACCAAATTCTCTAACTTTTTTTATTATTATTATCGTTTTACTTATTGTTATTTATTTATTTATTATTTATAGAGGAAAATAGTAAAATACAACAACAGCAACAACAGAAATCATTGAAAAATATAGAATATATACAAAATCATCCGAATAACTACTTCAATCCGATCAATAGAATCAGAAAGAGTCAGGAGCAGATCGATACATCGACGGATAGCAATATCATTCCACCCTATAAAAAGTTGGCACAACATCATCATCAACAACAACCTTTAACATATAATAAAAGTAATGATAAGATGACTGTGACCCCTGTTATGACATTAGGTATGTTATTTATCATCACCATTACTTCAATCTCCACTTATCACTTCATTTCTACATTCTATATTGATAATCTGATTATTAGTTCCATGGTCATGGAAACCAGAATGGTCTGCAACACTTTTATCAAATAATGGTTTGACAGCAAAGGATCAGGGAATGGGCAAGGCATGGACAACCTCTGTAGCATTGACACCGATTCCGCCTGGTACCGGCTATTATTACTATGAAATAAAGGTTGACTTTTGTAATATATCGAATAATATAAAAATTGGTAAGTTGTTTGAATGAAACAAAATCAATAGATAATGAATGATTAGCAATTAGCAATTAACACACACACACACATATATATATTATTGGTATACTATAGTTTTTGGTATATTATCATCACTTTATTTAAAGAATATATTATCACGAGAGATAGGAAAGATGGGAAGCTTGAAGGGCGGCTGTCCGTTTGGATACTTTCCACAGTTTGGCAAGGGCACGCTCTGCTATTTTGCAAATGGACAAATATATAAAGATGGTCAGGAAGCATGTAAAACCGAACCGTTTACAAAGGATGACCTCATCGGTATGTGTGTCGATACTCATACCAACTCGATTACCTTTTATAAAAACCACAAGATGGTCGGTATGCCCTTTGAGGGTGTTTTGGCGCAGCTGTTCGACACCAACTCTGAGAACGACCAGTCGATACACCAAGAGTTGTATCCTGCTGTATCACTCATCAAAGACAACACCATATCAATCATTCCAAATCCAACCATTAATAACAACCCATCAACAACAACAATAACAAACAATGAACTACTTGTAAATAATCAACAACAACAACTACAATATCATAGTAATATATCAACTGGTGAACAATCACAATCTTCATCATCATCTTCTTCCTCCACTTCCTCTTCAGATTTGACTTCTTTAGTATCACAACAACAACAACAGCAACAGCAACAGCAACCACTACCATATCAACCACTACCAATGATGGTGACAACAACAACAACTACAACTACAACGAATAACAATGGTGTATCACTTCTTGCTCATCCTCAACAGTTGACAGATTCATCACAATCCATTAAAGCTATGAGTGCTATGGCTATTAATAATAATAATAATAGTAATAATAGCAGTGGTGGTGCTTCAACAACAACTACCACCACAGTCATACCACCAACGTTATTAGTCAATAATAATTACAACACTAGCAACAATAGTATTAGTAGTAGCAATAACAATGTCAAGCCACCACCTACACCTCCTTTAGTTAGTGACCCAGGAAATACATGTCCGGTTTGTGGAATCTCATTAAAAACTGTTGGAAAAGACTGGGCCACTGTAAATAGACATATAGACGAGTGTTTAACATTGAGTTTATTAGATAATGAACAAGGGTATTTATCTATTTTTTGCATAAACAAATATAGCTACAAATATTAATTACTTTTTTATTATTATATTTACATTTTTTATAGTTCCAAGATATTCAAGATCACTTGTCCATATCCAGGATGTAAAAAACCAAATCAATTATCTAAAGATTTTGTAGTTCATTGTAGTGATTCACACTTTTTGGAAAATAATCACAATCTTGAATGTCCACTTTGCAATACTAAAGTAAGTGAGATATGTAAAAAACATTTTGTTAAAATTTGATCAATATCATCCATCAGTGATACTAATTGTTATTTTCTTTTTTCTTTTCTATTTAGACATCTAATCTTATCAGTCATCTCAGCAAAAAGCATATTGTTTTACCAGTTAAAAAAGAATCTTTTGTTGGTGTTGGATATTCCAGTAAGTTGCAATCATTACAATCAATTCAGCTCAAATCATTTCAAAATATAGTAAACTAGAATACTAATTAATTAACTTGCTTTTTTTTTATTTAAATCATTTAGCAAATATATTGGACCATGATTTAGGCGATCTTGAGTGTCCAATTTGTTTAGAAGAGTTTTATAAGGGACAGAATGTTGCACGTTTGGAGTGTTGGTGTATTTTTCATACAGACTGTATATCTGGTTATCTCTTGAAGGCAAAGAAGTGCCCAGTTCACACATAAAAAATAATATTATTATTTCGACTTTTATCTAAACATAACCTACACACACATTAAAACAAATTCAAAACTATTACAATACAATACAATACAACACAAATGTACATTCAACATTGATGATCAACATTATTATTAATAATAATAGTTCATTTGTTTAAACCAAAACCAAACAGATAATCAATAAATCGGTTGTTCCTTTTGTTTTTTTTTTTAATATATATAATGAATTTAGAGTTGACATTATTATTATTATTATTATTATTAATATTATCATCATTAACAATAGTACATAGTATCTTCTTTCACACTCAACTATTTGTGGTTATGGAAAGAATGTACGCATTTCTTTCTGTCCAAACTAAAAAAAAAAAAAAAAATGTTGCGAATATCATTAAAATCAGATCTTCCACCAACATTGACAAATCTATCATTTAATTCTAGATATCATTTGAAATCCGCATTATCACCGGTTTGAAATTGTACATATACAAAGAACGAGTTTAAAAAATTCTTTTTTAAGAAACAAACATAAAACAGATAAGCAAATCCTTAAAAGTAGTTGTGAAGAAAAATGCTGTAACAACGAGACAATGTAGACGTTTAGAATGTAGATAGGGTTAAAAAAGATGCCTGTGTACTTTCTAAATGTCTACACTTTCAAGCTTATTACAGCATTTTTCCTCAAAAACTTCCAATTTCTTTATTAATTAATGTTGTCGCTAAGGCGAATAATATCAACCAAATTTGATGGCATAAACGGTGAGATGCCTTCAATACTATTGAACGTATCATTTCGATTCCCAATGCAGCTGTTTTTGCCTCTCCACTAACTTTAGACTCTTCATTTACAGAAACGCTCCAAATTGGACAAAATATAAATTACTTGTCTTCGCAATTTTCAACAATGATAAATCGCCAGATCATTGGTACCGTCTTCTCCACTGCATGTTCTATAGGAATTCCCAAGTTTTATTAAAACTCCTCTTCAACCGTGAGTTCGCTCTTGTCGTTGTAAAGGACAAAAATATTAAATTTAATCCGTAAACATATGAATTTGGTGAATGAAAACAAATAAATTAAAAAATTTTCATGAATTAAAAATTTTATTAAATAAATATAAATCTAATTAACTACGTGCAAAAATATCGAAAAGATTAATTAATTAATCTAATCTAATCTTGACAAACATGACGGTGATAGGGGTATCCATAAATTAAAATGAAAAAAATAGTTTTACTCCCCTGTATGCGTGGGTAAATTTATTAATGAATTATACGATGACGTATCTAAAGATTTCGAAGTTGACAATGATAAAGATAAACACAGTGGATGAAGTTGATGATGCTTCTATTGAAAATGAAAGGTTGGATATTTTACAAAAAATGTTTCCAAATGTGTTTATACCATTCAATGATTTCCCGCGGCCGTCTCGGGGTAAAGACTACGATATGACAATTAAATTGAAAACTGAAGAAGTACTAAATCTATGTTGTATCCCGTTCTCTGGGAATGTTTACCTGTCGATAGACAATTGCACTAGAAATACCAATCGTTTCCAAAGTTATCGAAAGAATTGTTCGGCTTGACTTGCGATACCTCACCCCACACCCGCCGATAGCTCTTCCACAACAACAATCTTCACCATTGGTGTTTTCACATCGACAAACATCCCAAACCACAACTCTGCATCAATCACCACCACTAACTTTCAAATCTTATCATCACTTAAATTAATTATTTTTTTATTTATTATTTTTGTGTTTCATTCATTATTAATTTGATGTGATCAAATTAACACAAATAAATAAATAAATAAAAATAAATAAATTATATTTATGATCACACACGAAAATAAATCTAAAAATAAAAAGTTATCATGATTATGTAACGTTTTTTAATAATCACAATAAAAATAAAAAATAAAGAAAAATAAAAAAATCAAAAAAATAAAAAAATTAAAAAAAATTAGGAACATTTTTTTTTTATTTTTTTTTAAATAAGTTGTTTATATATAGTTATTATTTGTGTTTATATATTATATCTAATTTAATTAGTAGAGTTTTGTTTTTTTTTTTTCTTAGTTGGTAGGTTTTATATATTTAAGATTTTTTTTGTTGGACCCAACAAATTAAATAAAGAATGAATAGATTACAATTCTATCATTGTGGATCATCACCATCATCAATAGCATTACTAGATTATCTTAGATTACATTGAATTACATTAAACTATTGCAATATGACATACAAACAGCAACTTTACCTACAGATAATACCTTATTTTAACATAAAACAGCAAACACAAAACTCTTTATTTTTTTTTATCATTGACAACACATTCATACATGTGGAACGGAGTGAAATTCGAATCAATCAAACTAGTTTGTTAACATAAATTAAATTTGTTATTTGTGTTGTTAAACAAAAAAAAAAAAAAGAAAAAAAATAGTTTTTTTATTATTATTAAAAAACAACAATTTATTAATTGTCAATTTTTATTTAAATTTAATTAATATAGAAAATATATAATATAATATAAAAATAGAAAATGAGTCTACCTTTGGATGAATGGATTGAAACAGTCAAGCAATGCAAATACTTACCAGAGAATGATTTAAAGAAGTTGTGCGAACGTGTAAAGGACCTCTTGTTGGAAGAGTCCAACGTACAACCAGTACGTAGTCCAGTCACCATCTGTGGTGACATTCACGGTCAATTCTATGATCTCTTGGAACTCTTCAAGACTGGTGGTGAAATTCCAGATACCAACTATGTATTCATGGTAAATATTCTATAAACATATATACATTACAATGTAGTTTACAGATAACTAACTAACAAACAAACAAACAAACTAAACAATAACATCATAATCAATAACAACAATAATAATTCAATAATTATTATTAACAGGGTGACTTTGTCGATAGAGGATATTACAGTTTGGAAACATTTACATATTTATTGACTTTGAAAGCACGTTATCCAGACAAGATTACTCTCTTGAGAGGAAACCACGAATCTAGACAAATCACTCAAGTCTATGGTTTCTACGACGAATGTCAACAAAAGTATGGTAATGCCAATGCCTGGAAGTATTGCACTAGTGTATTCGATTTCCTCACTCTTGCTGCTGTATGTTTTTGAATAACAAATTATTATTACTATTAGATGATCTAGGTTTGTTTATTAACAACAATAACGTTATTTATATCTATCTTGTTTCATTATTAGATTATCGATAGTAAAGTACTCTGTGTACATGGTGGTCTCTCACCAAAGGTTCGTACTCTCGATCAAATCAGAATTATCTTGAGAAGTCTCGAGATTCCACACGAAGGACCATTCTGTGATTTGATGTGGTCAGATCCAGAGGAGATCGAACAGTGGCAACCAAGTCCACGTGGTGCCGGTTGGCTGTTTGGTTCAAAGGTCACCCAGGAGTTTCAACACATCAACAATCTCGAGCTCATCTGCAGAGCACATCAATTGGTACAAGAGGGTTATAAATACATGTTTGACGAGTCGCTAGTCACCGTTTGGTCCGCACCAAACTACTGTTATCGTTGTGGTAACGTCGCTTCGATCTTGGCACTCGACGAGAACCTCAACAAGGACTTTAAGATTTTCCAAGCCGTCCAAGAAGAGAGAACCGTTCCACCACGTACCACCATGCAATATTTCTTCTAAACTGTGCGCACAGGTCTCACACTTTTTTTACTATTTTTCTATTTTCAACAACAACAACAACAATTAATATTAATATTTGTTTCTGAAAAAAGTTCAAAACTACTTTTTTCTTGTAAACAAAGAATCAAATCAATCACTCCAACTCAACACTCTCTCTCCTCTTTCCACTTTACTTTTAAAACAGCCTATTTTTTATTTTTTTCAATAGCAACAATACTACAACCAAACAATGCAATAATTATAATAGCAATAGACAGAAAACAACAAATATAGGTTTTAATTTATCCATTTTTGTAATATATCTTTATTTATATGAGGATAACAATAATAAATAAAATATTTAAAAACAAAACAAAACATTAACACATGTTATTTATCATTTTTATTAATTTGATTTCATTTATTTTAAATTGTGATTAAAGATTAAAGACTAAAGACAAAGACAATGCAATTGAAGTTGAACACTGACCTGGTTGGTTGGTAACTTTTTTAATACCAAGAAAACCACACACAACGTTGCAAATCACAAAACAAGTTACCCCTCAAGAAGTAATAAATCTATTTTTAATTTTTTGTATTATTTTTTTGATTTTTCTTTGTTTGTTTATCGATTTTTCATTTTATTACTCTTTAATAGCATTATTATTCTATTAGTATTAAGTATTATTTCTATTACTTGTGCATGATTTTGTGCATGATTGTTTTCGATGATCAATCATCAATAAATCTATCTGAATTTAAACATCAATCTTAAAATTACGACAAAGAAATAAAAAAAAGGTAAAGATTTATCTAGAATTTAATGTTTAATAATTATTAAACAATAATGGTTGTTTAAAAACTAATAATAATAATAATATTGAATATATAAAAGATTAGATATAGATCATGTTTTAGTTAAAAGAAATGGATATTTTACAGCAAATCAATAATAACTTTGGTTTTGATATAGTATTTCCACTAAAAGACTATGTATTTGATAACGATAGGTGGGTTATTGTAGCCTCTATTCTGGTTATGGTGACCACTGTAGCGTTGCTGGTTGGTCCTTTAAGATGGTGGTTATTATCAAACAGAGAGAAGAAACAACAAAAGCTACCACTACAAAAACATCTAAAGAAACATTTACCACAAAAACAACTACAATATCAACAACAACAACTTAAACTACAGCAACAACAACAACAATTACCAATTAATCAATTAGCATTGCTACAAGATCCAATACTTAACTTCAATAGAAATCTACAAACCAATAATCATCATCATCATCACCACTACGATAACGATGCATCGTTAAACAACAACTTTAACGATATCAATACACTACGCTCGAAAGGCGATATCATAGGTGGTCAACTCAGTAGTGGTAGTAGTAGTTTAAAGAAGTATAATAATATCAACAACTACAACAACAAAGATATGATGAATAGTAGTATAAATAGTAATAGTAGCGGTAGCAGTAGTGGAAGCAGTAGTAATGGTATCGATGAAGATGAATTTGATATGGTGGATGGCAGTGAATTGTCAGAGTCTGTACTCTCACAGAGAATCTTTGAAGAGAAGATCAGAATCAAACAAGCATTGCTAGTGCGTAGAGCCAACATTATCTTACAACCGATGTTAGAACAACAGAAATCGGAGCAACAGAAACCTAGCAGACCAAAGAGAATCACTGTTGGACGTAAACCATATCATCACCACAACACCTACAGTCTAAACTCTGCCAATCTATTCAACAATGTTAAATCACCGATCATTACATCTGCCAAAGTAAATCCATCTCTTTACATACCAACCAACGTATATGGCTATTATAAAGAGGAAGGAAATTCCAGTAATACAAGTAAAAATAATAATAATAATAACAATAATAATAATAATAATAACAATACGAATAATAGTGATAAAATTAATAATATTGAAAGAATAATAATAACATCTGCAATCTCTTCACCTCCAACATTATCATCTTTATTATTAAATGGTGGTAATGCTACCAAATCAGCTGATCTTTTAGTTTTGGAGAACTTTTTAGTAAATAATAATAACAATAATAATAATACTATCATTGATGATAATAGTAGTGTTAATATAGATAGTGTATCAGATAGAAAACAATTGGTATCATCAAATTATTCGATGGATTCTGGTATACAGTTGAGATCTGCAAATGATGGTATAAAGACAAGACAAATGAAAGGTACAGCTGGTGGACAACAACAAGTTGGTAATCATGTTACTTTACAAGATCAGTTGGAAGATGATGAAATCGATGAGATTGATAATCTCTATAAGAGTAGATTGAATAGTTCAACCAATTCAACAATGTCAATGTCAATGATGGACTATCAACAACAGCAACTACAACAGAAACGTGATAGTTATAATCATAGTCATCAACAACAGCAACAGCAACAACCAACAAAGAAATCACAAGTAACTAATTTGTTAGCTGAACAATTTGCAACATCCAATGATTCTGTTGCTACCAACAAGAGTTTGGAGGAAGACGAAGAGGAGGATTACTGTGGTAGCGATATCGATGGTGAAGACTTTTCGAGTGTCAACATCGATTATAATGAACGATTCCAAGAGATCATGGAGGATCTTCGTAACGTCGATTGTAATGCCTATCAACACGATCGAATTCGAGTGAACAGTCAGTTCATCGCCCTCACTCAGGACTTTGTCTATGCCAGTTCAACCTTTGGAAAGGTTATCATATCGGAACGTTATCTTCCGAATAACGAGAAAACCATACCACCTATCGATATCGGTGGATTGGCCGGAGGTGACAAGTTTATCGTTCACGGTATCCTCTTTAAGTTTGCCATTGACAAGGAGAATTTCTATGGTAGTGACTATGCTGCTTCGTGTGTAGCCGGACACGAGTTGAAGGGTTTAATCAATATCTTTAATTTGAATACCGATCTAAGTCTACCATTGATGGCTTTGGTAGATTATCGTGGTTTTCGTGTGATTGCCATGTCGATTCTCCCGGTGGCTAAAGATACTATTTGCTATGGTTCGAACGACTATGGCATGACCATTCACAACAGCGACAATATGTTGTCTGACAGTGTCCAAGAGGTTGCTAGACAACTCAATATTAAATCTCATCATTGTGGTGAGCAGGCTACCTATTTACATTCGCCTGCTGACTTGGAGGGACATATCGGGTTCGACGGACGACATTATCTCTTGGACTTTGCACGTCTCTTCCCACCAGAGGCACCAAAGAAGGGTATAAAGATGGGTCATCTCTATCGGCTGTTGCGTCCAGAGTTTGTGAGAAACTACAAGATGGCGCTCTGCTCTGATTCATTCTCTCGATTCATTCGTGGTCACAAAGATGAGGAGCACAACTCTGAGACGGTCGACGCAACAATGTATCTGCTAAACACTACTATTCCAGAGTTGGCAGAGGAATTGAATCATGTCGAGCTGAACGGATCCAATATCTACTCGTTCCCACTGTCAGAGCGACTTCACAAGACTGGCGTCAATATCCGTTATCTCGGTCATGTGAGACGTTTGGTGGAGTCACCCGATATGAAATCATTGATATTCGTAGAGATGTGTGCTCGTGTCATCAAACAACAGATCAGACAGAAGCTGCGATACAAGATGAAACAAGCCAAGATTCCTTTGGATGCTCCGTATCGTCGTTTGATTGTTGCTTATCTCAATCGTGTGCTCGGTGTCAGCGACAAGTCCGATGAATTCTGGGACACCAAGATGAAAAAGTACATCATGAAAAAGTTTGATCGTGGTCTCTTTGATGATGAGTTGAATGGCAATTCAATGGTGCTTTCTCTGTTCTCCTTCGAGGACAATCTTACCGATGGTAAATACCTGTTGTTCAAGCGAATTCAAAAGATGACAGGACTCAAGTTTACTTCGCGTATCAACGAGGAATTCCAAGACAAACCGAATTGTTGGTTGGAAAGAGGTGAACAGCCGCTGGACATCAACGATCTCGAGGAGATTGGCATCCGTGTCAAATACGTTCCATTCATGAACGTCGCTCAGGGCTACCTGTTCAAAGTAAAAGGTGAAATGCTCTTTGCTAGCGATCCCATTGCCGCTACTCGTTTCTTTAATATGGCACTCGAGAAGTTGGAGACCGCTTTGGAAACCGATCCAAACAATACAAACACTCTCTGTACCATGGGTGAAGTGTACACTCATTTGGGTGTGGGTAACTCACTCTCGCTTTCATCGCTAACCTTCTCGCTCGATAATCCATACGTTGCCAAAGCCTATGAGTATTTGCAACGTGCAATCTTTTCCAATCGTACTCATACAACGAGTTTGTTTAGATTTGCACAGCTGCTGGAGCGTTTGGAAGAGGTCGATCGTGCAGAGGAATACTATATCTCTGCACTGGAATCGAATCCCAACAACATTGCTTGTCTTCAAGAGTATGGTAATTTCTTGCAGACCGTTCGACACGATCCGATTGCTGCCGAGCCATTCTTTGTGCGTGTCTCTGAGAACCATCAATATCTACATTTAACCTCGCAGAAACAGAATGAGTTGAATCTCAGAGGATCGTCGGGACTACTCAAGGTCAAGCCAAAGTTGAGCGATAGCAACAGCCCGTCGACAAGATCATCGTTAGGAGGTCACTCGAGATCTTCATCTACAAGTTCCGCTTCATCCTCTGACACCAAATCATCACTCTCAAGTTCCTATCGACTTTCCTTATCACAGACATCACAAACACAATACAACAACAACAGCAACAGCAATAACAACATTGGTTCTAAATCAACCAGTTTTCTACAAGTACCAAAACTACTCGACAAATCCAAATCTAGCACTCATTTAACAACGCCTACACATCTTTCTTCATCATTTCCTTCTGTTAAAACTCCAAACTCACCTCCAAACACACCAAGATCACCAAACAACACTTTATTTTCAACCTCTGATCTAAACATTTCACCAATTCAACGACAGAAATCTTTTATAACTTAAATAATAAATGTAAAATAAATAAAATAATAATGTAATATCATACTAATTAATTATCAAAATAAGATGAATGTGTCATTTTTTGGGCAATTAATGAAAAGAGTTATACAAATTATATATTTCGAACAAGTTGTTAATTGTTTACTTCTAAAAGAGGTATTTAAAACAAATAGGATATAAAGATATAGAATTAAATTATACAGAAGTGATTGGTGTAATGTGGGTATAAAATTTTAATCTCTAAATTCAAACACAGTAAGTTTTTTAAACTTTAATTGGAAATGATTTGTGAGATTTTTTTTTAATACCTGATTCTTCTTTATAATAAATAAAGTATAGGGTTATTTTTTCTTTAATTATTGAAATTAATTAAAGTTTTTATTTTGTTGTTTTTAAATAATAATGGTTCAATTTCATATTTTAATAGACTTTCTACTCTGATTGAAATAGATTGAAATTTCTAAAAGTTGTCTTTTTGTATTTAAAAGAGTACCTATTAGAGTGTGACAAAAACGAAAATGAAAAAACTATTTAAAGGAAATTGAAATAACTATTATTATTCATCAAATAATCAATTCTTACTTAAAATTAATTTCAAAACTAAAATCTAAAATGTTAATTAGTAAGTAATTCAAGATATATTTCATATAAATAATAAATTAATATTTTTTAAAATAGAATCATTAACCTCACTCGGAAATGTTGGAAACACTTCATCAATGACCAAGAGCTTTGGATCATCAAGTGGAGGTCTTTCTGGTCAATCATCAAACAGTACCGCTTGTTGTAGCAGTGGTGGAATCAATGTTGGTGTAGGTGCCAATGTCAATCTTGGTTGTGTTGTTGGCACTGTTGAAGGTGTAGTTGGAGGTGTAGTTGGAGGTGTTCTTGGACTTGTTGGTGGACTCCTCGGAGGGGGAGGTTGTGGCTGTTAAATAACCAATATTTATCAAATTAATTTAAATAAATAAAATATTTTATTATTTTTATTCCAATTGATAGTTCTTTGAACAATATATTTTGTAGATCTGATCTTGATATGATATTATTTATTATCTTATATATTAATTATTTTTCTTATTCTATTTTATGAAACCTTCTTTCAAAGATTCAAAACATATTGATAAAAATCAACTACCACCAATGAAATAAAATTTTTTTCAATAAACAATAAATTCATAATAATCTTTGATTTAACAAACAGTATTAATATATCATTTGTTAAATAAGTAATAAAAAGGTGGTTTTGCAAATTTTCAAGAGTTTTGATCAAAGTGGGTTAACCAGTTTTATTTCAAAACAGTTTTAACAAAATCTGTAGAACCAGAGATTGATTGGAGTTAATTATTTATAAAATATCAAAAGAGTATACGAAATATATATATTTTATATGTTATTTCAAAATCGAAAATGCATCAAATCAGATGGAATCTGTCAATCTTTTTTAGAGTTATTGCTTAACTTGATAGAATGAATTATTGATTCAAAATAAAGAATCATTGAAAAATTGTACAATTTGAAGTATTCAAATAATAGTGACTCTTTAAAATTAAAGATCTTTGTTTAGATTATCAACTTTAAACATTTAGAATCAATTATTATGTGAATAAAAAACTATTTAAAGGAGAATGAATTTACATTATTATTCATCAAAACATCAAATACTTAATTATCTCTAATTCAAATATCTAAAATCTAAAATGTTAATCAGTATGTATTCAAAGATGAAATTTATTTTAAATATAAATGATATTTTGAACAAATTTATCTTAACAAATTTTAAAAAAAATAGAATCCTTAACCTCACTCGGAAATGTTGGAAACACTTCATCAATGACCAAGAGCTTTGGATCATCAAGTGGAAGTCTTTCTGGTCAATCATCAAACAGCACCGCTTGTTGTGGTAGTGGTGGAATCAATGTTGGTGTTGATGTTGATGTCAATCTTGGTTGTGTTGTTGGTGTTGTTGGAGGTGTAGTTGGAGGTGTTCTTGGTCTTGTTGGTGGTCTTCTCGGTGGTGGTGGTAGATGTAGTTGTTAAATACACAAAATCAATATCGAACGATTCATAATACTAAATAAAACAATAATAACATTATTTCAATTATTATTTTCTTGACATTTTTAATGTAATATTGACATATTATTTTATTTTTAGTAAGCACTACTAAATGTTTTTTTTTATAAATAAAGTGGTATACATGTTTTATTAAAGTTATATTAAAAGGATGGATTTATCATCAAGTTTTTTTTCGTAGTCTATTTTTTTTCTTTTTAGTTGTTGGTTGATTTAATTAATTAGTTAGCAGGTTGGGAAGAGAGTTAATTTCATTTACTTGATTAGTTAGTTGGCGTTGGAGTGTTGTTTATTATTTTTAGAATGTTTCTGTGGATATCGAAGTCAGATATAATAGATTGGTTGGAGAAATCGAGTATTTTGTCATCTTGACTGAATAGAATTGAACTGACATGTTTCAAAATGTGGTAGATGATCGCTGTTAGGTCTGATGATTCGTCGAAGAGGTAGAAGTGAGTAGTAGTTTACAACTGTCTTGTTTGATGTATGCCATACCAGGAAGTGATCTTGAGTGTATGTGAGGATATCTTGTTATGTCTGATCTGGTTACGCCAGCTTTGGTAGTATGGAGAATAGACGTCTTGATTTGCAATTACTCTATTTAGTATCCATATGTGTTGAGCGTCATTTCGTAGTTTCATATCCCACAATGAAATACCACCATTTTTCCAATGATGTACTGCTCTGGAGAGTGTCATTGTATTCTTAAATGATTTAGCATCGGATGACCATAGGAACCAAGTGATTATTTGTATGTTGATAAAGATTTTTTTTTTTTTTTTTTTTTTTTAAAATTTATTACTGATAGTCAAGGTGTATTTTTTTTTTATATAACTAATGTGGTCATGTTTTATTTAAAGTGGTTGAAAGAGGTATTTAAAATTGGAGAAGGAGGGTTGTACCGCTCAATAGAACGCTGTATTTTTGATTAATATTCCACCCACCGGTTTACTTTCATGCTTGATTTATCCTTAAAAAGATGTATTTGATCCACGTCATACGATTCTCCCACATTCCACGATTTGATGGCTTCTATCTACGTTGACAAGGCGTATGATTAGCTGTTAAATCGTTAAGGAGTGTGTCTATTCTCGATTGTTGATCGCTGCTATATCCATTAAGTACTGGTATCTGTTCACTCTCACCCGACTAAGAGCGAATACCAATGTGAATAGTATGACATACTGATGGATACCATATCCTCTATCCCGTCTGAGGTGTAAATGATTGATTGTTATCATTTGCCAGCGTAGGTTCGAAAGACATCTCAGACCATGATATCGATCTCGCCAATCTACATGATTCCCAGCACACTATAAGAACCACTTTTTTGTGTAGCGCAGTCACAAGAGGGCGAAGTCATCCCAACGGACTAGAATAGCAGAATGTAAGATGACAGTGACGTTCTACGATTTCTAAAAAATTTGTAAAAAATGAAAAAAAAAGTGAAAAATTTATTAATAAAAACGAGTGATGATTGCAAAAAAAGGCTTTATGTTAAAAAAGTAAAAATCAACTTAACAATGAACAATGCTGTGATTGAACAAATATAATTTTTACCATACAAAAGTGACTAATGTTTTTATATACAGATAAATAAATAAATATATACTCAACTAATTGAGAGAAAAAACAAAAGCCGATAGTCAAGGTGTAGAGCTTGATATCACCCCACAGTTCGTGTTTAATAAAGATAGAAAGGCGAAAAAAAACGAGTTTGAGGTTTAGTTCCTGCACTTCGATTGGTAGATATTTGATTGTGATCTGCGCACTACAGTCGGCTCCGAATTTTTGCCTGTTCTGTTGCCAGCCTTGAGCCACATCCGGTATTTAGAAACCTGGGATCCAGTCTCTTACGAAACCAGCCACATGTTTGTCAACCACTTGCGTCAGGCAATCAGTTACCATCTATTGCTCCGATCTCTTTACTGAAACCTCCCCATTCATGTTTTTATGGCCTCTTTCGATAACAGGTGACCTTTGCAGATACCCAGCCAATCAAACAACATAATTAAATGAGTTGTAAATCATTTTTTCTAATTTCTTTTATAAACTATTGTGATATATTGCTCTTTTAAAATTATGGGTTGAATTTTTGATCACCACACAAAAACAATTAGTTTGTTGACTGGTCAAAAGAATAAAAATTTGACAGGTAAATCAATTTTTTGAAATTTTAGTAAATTTTAAAACTTTATTTTTTTTTTAAATTAATAATTGTATACATATTAGTTATTAAATAACTTTATTTCATTTGTCTCGCTAACTCGTAGATGCGCTATTGATGATAGATAAAAAATGACTGTTGTTGTTACATAAATCCGTTGAGATGTCCGATGAATTCGATTCGGATAGACGCAACTCTGATGTCTGAAGTGGTGTAATACCAGCATGTGTGGTTGATGAATCTAATTCTGCAATGAATTTGTTGGTGTACTATTTAACTATTGTAGGATGTCATCTTTAAATTCTATGTACTGTGCTATTCTTTAATCTAATCTTATTTCTTTTATTATTACATGTATCATATACGCTATTAACCACTAATTTATAAATCGCTTTTTTAATATTATATTTCTTATAAAACGATTGAAAATCATAGTATTGGTTATCTTTATATCTTCAAATAATATTCTCCATTTTGCTCTAGTATTAAACTCCAAGCATACTAATCGTATATTATCTAAAAAATAACCTCTTTTGTCTTTCTTTCTGTCCAAACTCATTTGGAAATGTCGTTTACTTCCAACCTGCATTTCAATATTTGATATTGCGCATTTTCCACCTTGATCAACGTATAGTTTTTTCAAATATTCTATTCCAATTCCCGAGAGATCTGGTAATCCAAATTTCTTTTTTAAGAATGCTAAATTAAAAAATTATAGGTTCAAAGATAAATTATTCTCCAATACTTTGAATTTTAGATTCAAATATAATTTTTATTGTCAACCTGGAATAATAATAATTTATAATTGTCTTGCAATTAAATTTGTATAAACACCATTCAATTCCAATAATTGATCATGAGTACCAATTTCAACTACACGACCACCTTTAACAACTGCTATGATATCGGAATCGATGATTGTAGTAAGACGATGTGCTATTACGATTGAAGTTCTACCTTTCATTACATTATCCAAGGCCTCCTGTACGATTGTCTCTGATTTGGAATCGAGTGCGCTAGTTGCTTCGTCCAGTAGCAATATCTTTGGATTACGGATGATCGCTCTTGCAATGGCAACTCTCTGTTTCTGTCCACCCGATAATTGAGTATATTTATCACCGAGCGGTGTATCGTACCCATTCGGTAGTTCCTCGATAAAGGTATGAGCGTTGGCTGCTTTAGCTGCTTCGATCACTTCATCCAGAGTTGCATCCGGCTTACCATATTTAATATTGTCTTTGATGGTTCCTGAAAATAAAAATGGTTCTTGACCGACCAAACCCAAATTACTTCGCAACCAAGAGAGATTCATGTCTTTGATTGGCACACCATCCAGTAGAATTTCGCCTACTGCCGGATCGTAGAATCGCTCGAGCAATGAGATTACCGATGATTTACCACCTCCGGAATCACCTACCAGCGCCACTTTCTTGCCGGCTGGGATACTGAGTGAAAAGTCGTTGAAAATCAACTTGTTTGGACGTGAAGGATATGAGAATTGAATACCTCGGAATTCAATGTCACCTTTGATATCCTCAAGAGTATGACCAGTCTTTTTAAAGGGATCGATCTTACTGACTTTGTCAATCAATTTGAAAATGGCATTGGTTGCCGTCTTTGCCTTGGCCATATCCGGTGCGAATGCACTTGCATTTCCCATACTCATGGCAGACATTACAATGGCAAAGAATACACGCTGCATCTGTCCAAATCCATAGATACTATTCTGAATGTAAATACAACGACCTCTACTAACTCCATAGGTATAGTTTGGTGGAACACAAATATCTACGATATCAGAGCTGGGTGCTTTCCACTCGCCTTCGCCAACCAGTTTTCCACCGTACCAATAACCGAGTGCCCATATTAAAAACATGGTGGATTGAGTGAATCCAAATATCAAACCAGCAGTGATTGCCTTCTTTTTGGCAATCTTTATCGGTTCAGAGAGTGCAAATTTGAATTTATCGTAAACCTTTTTCTCGGCATTGAATGATGCCACCGTACGAATACCACCGATTGCCTCTGTTGCAATCTGTCCTGATTTGGCATATGCTTCTTTTCCCTCTTTGGAGAAACCCGACATAAATTCCATTTCAACTTTGCCTGCGAATGCAATGATTGGAACCGTTGCCAAAACAACAAGTGTCAGCTTCCAACCAGAGATGAAAGCAATCACCAAACCAACGACAATTGTCACCAGGTTTTGAATGACCAATCCAAGACGTTGACTCGACATTCCCTGTACTAGAGTGGCATCGGTTGCCAAGTTGGCAGTAAGAATACCGGTTGCATTCTCTGGCATATCAAACCAACCAATGTCCTGTCGGATAATCGAACGAAATGAGAAATAACGTAGATGGTAGGTAAGAACCTCACCGATATAGGTAAACGATGAGATCTGTACGAAATTGGCGACACCCGCACACGACGCCAACAACAAGAACCAAAGACACAGACGAATAGCATCGTGATACATACTGGTGGAATTGAAAACCTTGAGAATCTCTGAGAAAATAATAGAAAACACTGGCATAATTGCACCATTCACCATTGCACCCAGTACACCCAATAAAAAGAATGGCCACTCCTCTTGACTCATCTTGAATATTCTTGTCATTGGCACCGACTTTTCCTTTGTCTTTTTCTTTTTCTTTTCCAACTTTTTCTTCTTTCTCTTTTCCTTCTTTTCGTCGTTGTTCTCAGTAGCCGATTCATCGTTACTCGAGGAATCATTATCACTATCGGAAATCGATGAAGATATCGAAGCGGTATCAGTAATGGACAGTGGTCTGCCATTTGATAATTTCTTTTTGAATCTTGATTTCAAACGACGACGATCCTCAGCTTCTCCATTCTGTTGACGATGAACCAACGATGTGTAGACGCCATTCATTGAGAGCAACTCTTGATGTGTTCCTTGTTCAATAATGGTACCACCTCGAACTACAGCAATAACATCTGCATGTTGAACAGTGGTGAGACGGTGAGCAATCACAATCGTCGTTCTTCCTTGCATCAGCTTATCGATGGCTTGTTGAACCAAGTGTTCATTCTCTGCATCCAACGCACTGGTAGCTTCATCCAACAATAGAATCTTTGGATTCTTTATTAGTGCTCTTGCGATGGCAATTCTTTGTTTCTGACCACCTGACATTTGTACACCCTTTTCACCGACCTGTGTATTATATCCATCGGGTAACGCCGATATGAAATCATGAGCATTGGCAGTTTGAGCTGCTTCAATAATCTGCTCCATCGAAGCATTTTCACAGCCATATCTAATGTTGTCGGCAATGGAAACACCAAACAATGTCGGCTCTTGTGATACTAATCCAATGTTTTGTCTAAGACATCTAACATTGATATCTTTGATATTGATAGCATCCATCAAGATTTCACCATCCAATGGATCATAGAAACGTTCCAACAATGAGATTACCGATGATTTACCACCTCCAGAATCACCAACCAACGCAACAGTCTGACCCTTCTTTATAGACAAACTAAATCCATTGAAAATACGTACTTCAGGTCTGGAAGGATAGGCAAACGATACATTTCTAAATTCAATATCACCCTCTGCCGAATGTTCAATTCCATCCTTTGAAAATGGATCAATCTTTGAATGATTATCGATCACTTGGAATATTTTATAGGCAGCACCTCTTCCATTAGCAAAATTTGCAAGATTTGGTGTTGCTTGTCCTAATGCCATTGCTCCCTAGAGTAATTAAAATAAATTAATAATCAATTATAAATTTAAAATTATAAAATTAAACCAACCATTATAACAGAAAAGAATACAGTTAAAACATCTGAACCTTGCCAATCACGATGTGAAACTGGATTATAATATTTGTCAGTGATCAATTTAGCACCGTACCAAAAAGCTAAACTATAGGATCCAAACATGACAAAGAATACCAAACCAATACCCAATCCATTCATTAGACCTTTTTGACGACCAATCTTTAGAGCATCACTTAGGTTCGATGCATAGAGTGTTGTCTCTCGCTCCTCACCAGAGAAAGTAGCAACCGTCCTAATTGATCCGATCTTCTCCTCGGCTACACTTCCCGCTTTGGCATAGGCATCCTGACCACGTTTCGTTAGTTCAGTCATCATCTTTGTCATGAAAGCACCGGCTGCAGCAATCAGAGGTGTAATCGATATGATAACCAAAGCCAGTTGCCAGCCATTCACTAAACCAATGATGAATCCCGATACAAAAGTCGAAGAGAAATGTAGGAAATTTCCAACTTTCTCACCGATTGCCTCTTGGAACAACTGAGTATCCGAAGCGATACGTGTCGACAACTCACTGGATTTAGTGACATCGTACCATCCTATCTCCTGACTGAGAATTGCTTTCAGGTAGCGTTTACGACAGCGAACCGATTGACGCTCACCAGCTATCGACCAGCAAGAAACTTCGATATAGCAAGCGACAAACATTCCAATAGCGATCCAAACGAAATTCAGAGTGACCTTGGAAATCTCTTTGTAGATATCGAAATCCGGTTTGCTCAGCTCCTGATAGGTAAAGACATTCATAACCTGTCCGAATACAATGGAAATGGCTGGAGTTGCTACACCAGCTGCACAAGCACCGATACTTCCAATGATCATCAAAACAATATCAATCCATGTTGCAAAACGAAACAATTCGAAAAATCCAACTGATTGAATTGATTTTTCTATCGTTGGATGGTACTGCTGGATTATTTTCTGGTTTTCTTGGTGAAATATTGGTTGATGAGTTGTTTGTAGATATTGGTGAAATTGGTGTTATAATATTGTTATTGTTATTATTTTTATTATTATTATTATTATTGTGTACTAATTCAAATGATTCCTCAGGAGAATATGATTCATTTGGTGAAATTGGTAAATTATAAAGCTCATCATTTATCGTTGGTATGGGAAGATCGTCATTATTTACAAAACCACTAATATCACTATTATTATAAACGATATTATAGCTATTATTGTCACTATTTTCACTATTATTATTATTATTATTATCCATATATAAACTATGAATAATTTTAAAGTATAATTTTACAAATTATTTATAAAAAGAAAAACTATTTATTTGTCTATTAGTATTGGAATATTTAATTAAATATATAATATATAACAATGAATAATGATTACTTACTTCTTTTCTTTTTTGTGATTAAAAAAGTAAATCTCGGTTCTTTTTATTTGTTAGAAATTTATATATTTTTAGATGTAGATATATAAATTGTGAAGTAATATAAATTAATGAAATAATGATTTGTCAATGTGTGTACTTATAAGTAGACATTTATTAATTAAGGAGTTATTTTAATAAATTTACCAATAAAAAATAAAAAAAATAACACAACATATATAAACAAATAATGAAATAGAACACCTGTATTACCATTTGATCACTGGTAACTACAGCAGTGCACTAGTGGTGTGACTATTGATGTATAATATCATTCTATATTTATCGTGAGATATAAAATAAAAACCAACCATATGTTGCTGTTTTGCAATCAAAATACAATAGCCATGATTTTTAATTTTAACTTTAAAAATATATCTATTATCTTATTTTTTTGTCTTTTATATATATATCTGTGAGTGTGTTTGTTTGTGTGGGTGTTTGAATATAATTTATATATTGATGTGGTTATATTAATATATAAATAAAACTGAAAATCATCGACAATGTAAACATGACTAATCATGTGAAAAATAAACATAAAAAAAAAAAAAAAAAAGGTAGAGTTTTTGATTAACCCAAAAGAGGTGAGTGCACATATATATTTGTTTGTTTTAACTGGTAACATATCTATATTTATTATGGTTATGATAACATGAAACATCAACATTCGCTATCACTACTAACTGATCAAATAAAGTTCAACTAACTTTCTCCAAAAGTTAAATAACTTATACTATTTTTAAGATAATTTTATTGGAATTGAATGGTCATTTATCATGATCATGATCATCATGATCATCATAATCATCATCATTAACCAACCAATTAATTAATTTTAACCAAAAACAACAATTTGCTTAATAATGTTGTTTATCAGGATTAATATCCTTTCCCCAACAAGACACTGAAACAGTGAAATCTAAATTCTTTACATAGTGATTCCAACCGATGGGAATGAAAAGAGCGTCTCCAACGTCCAATGTCGTAACAAAGGCATTGTTTACGCGTGCAAGTGAAGGATGTGACTCGAGTGGTGCACCTGAATCGTTCTCGCCAACCGAGATATTGAGAGGATCTCTTGTCAAGTTTGATTCCTCCGCTGGTGGAACTAGAACAACCAGCTTCTTTCCACGAATAACAGCGACGACATTATCACCTGTATCCTTATGGAAATGAGTGGCAGTGTTTTTAGCACCGATAAATGCTCCACGAACAATCATATTATGAATGTCGGGTTTGAAAAGTTCTTGACTACGGACATCATCGCCAAACGCAGGAAACTCACCGAAACAATCGAAATTTCTGAGGTATGGAAGATTCTGATTGAGTGTCTCCGGTTTGATGTCTGGCCATTGTGCGAGTGAGTTACGATAATACTCGGCGAACGACATCTTGGTAATATCGGACATCTTTCCAAACGTACACATATTGACATCGACCTTGTGATCACCGATCACTCGCAATATATAATCGTCAGTCCATTTCGAGAGAGCACTCCAACTGTTTGCAACATTTGTAAAAACGACTGGTTTGTTCTTCTCCAAGTATTTCGAATAAAAGATATCACTATTTATTTTTTGATTATTTCTTTCTAATCTCTTGAATGTTAACCATTTTTTTTTTTTTTTGTTTTTTTCTTCAAATATAAAAAGTTTTGTTTAACTAATTAAAAATATATACTATAATTAAACAATGATTAATAATACAATGATCTATTTATACAACAAATTACAAAAATATTTTACAAAATGAAACTTAGATCTTTTAAATCAATTCACACAAAAACAATCAAAAAATAAAATTCTTTGATTTTCAGAGTTTTTTCGAAATAAAAAAGAATAATTTAATTAGATTAATTTGAATAGCATCTCATTTGATTTATTCTCTTTGAAGAAACAGAAAAAAAAATTAGTTTTGTCATTAATTTTTTAAATAAATAATTTAATTAGATTAATTTTAATAGCATCTCATTTTTAACCAGAATTCAAAAAAATTAAAAAAAAATTAAAAATTAATTTAAATAAAAAAAATCAGAATCATGAAGATCAAAAATTTTTTCATTTAATATAAAATATTTGTATTATTATATAATATATATTTATAAGATTAAAAAACAAATTCTACTGTTTAAAAATTGATTCTCAAGATTTGTTTTAGTAAAGTTTTTTATTGTTTTCTGTAAATATTATTGAGCATTCACATTCAAATAGCTTAGTTTAGATTATTATAATTATTATTATCATATTTATTTGTAAAATATAATTTATATACATATACACCTTAAGTTTAAACTATATATCGTCGATAAAAAGATTTATATTAAACATCAAATCAAATAAAAAAGAGAAAGAAAAGATAACAAGAGAAAAAGAAAAATAAAAAAGAAATGATAACAATTGTAAATAAAACAAATAGATTAAATCAATATTCTATATCTTCTTTATTTGTAGCGAATTATTCAAGTGTAAGTAACAACAACTACTTTAGATATTATTAAATTGAGCATTTTATTTATATTTTTCTACTACACTTCAAAAACAGAGATCGAATGTAAAGATTCATGTTCCTCGTGAAAAGATTGATTTTCAATTCTCAAGATCAAGTGGTGCAGGAGGTCAAAATGTAAATAAAGTAAATACAAAAGTAGAAGCAAGATTCAATCTTGACAATGCCGATTGGCTAAGTGAACATTGCAGAGATACACTAAGAGTATGAGTTACTATTATCATTATCATCATTATTACCATCTTTATTATTATTATCAGTAAAAACAAGTTTGCTTTATGTTTAAACAACAAACATGAAAGATAAAAAAAAGGTGAAAGTTTAATTGAACTATTATTAACTTTTCTTTTTTTCAAAAACCTTATTATAGATGCAGTATGCTAAGAACATAACAAGTGACGGTGAATTCGTGATCAACTCATCGAAGCATCGTGAGCAGAAACTTAATGTCAGTGATGTAATAGAGAAACTAGAAAAGATAGTAACAAAAGCATCGATCATCCCCAAAGAGAGATTGCCCACCGATGTTCCTACTTACGCCGAAGAGAAACGTAAAAAGGATAAAATGGTGAGATCCGAGGTTAAAGCCGGTCGTCAAAAACCGAGATTCACATTTGATGACTAACTAGCTAATCTCAACCCAAATCATAATAATCCTCAACTTAATTTAATTTTAAAATTAAATAAATTTGTATAAAATGAGCTAATATTAAATTAATTATTTAGTGACTCACCACACACACACATAACCAACCAAATCAGTACATACATACAAATTTATTTTAAATAAAATAAAATAATATTATAACCAAAACCAGGGTAGTCAACTTATAAGTCAACATTCACCACCAACGCACGAAGCTTTATTAAATTTTAAGTAACATTCCCTCAACTTTTCAGAATCAAACCTAAACTTACGAATTTAGTTTTTGTCCATGTGCAAATTTGAAATGGTATTGTAATGTTGTTGTTTTGCAAATAAAATAAAATCATTTTAAATTAAATAGAATTTAATGGAATTTAATTGCCTTATTAGTACTTTAAATTTGTTTAATCTTGAGATGAAAAGGTATGTTAATATTGAATAGAAACAAAAATATATAACACACACGCACTCCGTGGAGTTCCCTTCTAGAGAGGAATTTTGCACTTTGCTCGATTATTCTTATAACTCTAGAGTTACCCCCCAAAAAAGTTCGTGATGTTTTTTTTCGAAAGAAACCCCACTATCGCTATATTTAGTGACACTCTTTTAGCACCGAATCTATTCCACCATAATTTTCTTTTTTATTTTTCTAATTTCTAGAAAAAAACTTTAAATTTTGACCAATTTTATCCTGCAAAATCAATGATGCAAAGAAAAAAAAATCATATTTTGACTCACCATTATTATTCTTTCAGTTGTGATTCATTTAACCACACTTGTTTGGTTTTTTTTTTTTTTGTTTTTCGATATCAAAAAATATCATTGTGTTACAATAAACAAATATAATAACCACCCTACACAACCTATATACTTTTAGTTATTATAAAAATCAAATTAAAGTTTGCAAAAAAAAACAAATAAAAAAATAAATAAAATAAATTTGCAAAAAAAAAAAAGTCTTCTTTGGTGACAACACGTGTCTCCCCACACACACTGACATGTTGCAATAACACCACACTCACACCAAGATCCCCCACCAGAATGCTAGAAAAACAAAAACCACCACAGTTGTTTTAATCGATTAAATTTTACAAACTTAGTATTTAAAAACAACAAATAAATACCAACAAAGCAAATCAGAGTTCTACAAATATTCAGAAAAAAAAAAAAAAAAAAAAAAAACTCTCTCACACAAACTCATCTCTTCACAATAATAATCAGTTTACCCCATTAGAATCATTGACAATAGCAGCAACCGTATACAACCTATTTAGCATTGCAGTGCTTTTTAGCAACATCATCAGAAAAGAAAAAACAACAACAACCTTCCAGCCAACATACTTTTTAGTTTTTCAAAATTTCCAACTATTTTTTTATAAAAATTCCATTCAAGAAATTTAATCATAAATCAAAAATATAAATTAATTATTACTTCTTTATAATATTTATTTATTTTATTATTTAATTATTTAATATATTTTTTACTTTTTAATAAATTAACCCACACATAAAAAAAATAAAATAAAATAAAAATAATTTAACTTCAACAACACACACCTTATCAAATCCAATTTAATTAATCATTGGCAAACACACACACTCACATCTATATTCATCTTTTAAATATTTTATTACAGTCAAAATAAACTAAACCGTTTGCATAAATTCCAAACCAGTGAACATCACCAAAATCAATCATTTTCAACAAATATCAGATTATTTAAACCAATAACTTTGTCATCATTTATTTATTATCATATAATTATTTATAAGCAACAGCATCATCATCAGAATAATAATTAATTATTTTAGATTTTATCTATATTATTATTATAATTATTTTATTGTAATCATTTTTTTATTATTTTTTTCAATAGTTTATTTCCAGGATTGCCACTTTTGCAATTTCCACAGGAAATTAAAAAATATTAAAAGATGGTTATGATGATGATTGACAATCAGATCTCATTGTTTTCGAGTTTTATCAAAAACATTGGATCGCAAGCACTGAAGTACTTGACACCTCAACTCAGCGAATCAGCCGGTTCAATCGACACAACCGCTTTTCTTGGAGGATCCGTACTCACTTCCAACCACCACAACCCACAATATCAATATTTACAACAACAAAATCAACAACAACAAGTTTTTTTAGTATAATAATAGTGCCAATAGCAATTATAATTATTACAATGGAAATTCAGTTTTTAACGATCAACAACAACAACAACCAATAATTTATAATTTTTCAAATGAACCTCAACAACAACTTTTTCAATTCAATTTTCAACAACCACAGCAACAACAACAACAAGATTTTTTCCAACTTCCAGAGCAGTCAAATGAGTTTTTAATTTCCAATGAATATGCTTCCGCAGTTTCCACAGGTAGTTATTTATACGATTTTCAACAAAACAACGAACTTGACAGAATGTTAGTCGATAACAATAGTTTACAACAACAACAACAACCTTTAAAATCAATATCAACAAACACAAATAATATCAATAGTTTCCAAGACACAATCTCCACCATTCCAATTTACAATATCGATACCAACTGTAGTTCAGCCGACCAAATGATTGTCATTCCCACCGATATTAATTTCTATGTCTACAAAGTTCTGTCATGGCTAATCAACTATGACAGTAACTACATCATCAATTATTACAACCTCCAATCGATGGAGCTCATCAAATACTCCCTCGAATGTGCAAAGAACGTATTGGTAGCACACGAAACACCAATGTCATTTTTCCCTCTGGTTCTCTACTATGCCGACAAATTTGTAAATCGATGTGGAATCAACCACAAACAAATTTTCAACCTTTTGCTCATAAGGTAAATATTTAATTTTTAAATAACAGTTAAGTCAATATTTATATTAACATTTTCTCTTTTTTAACTATATAGCTCTGTTATGTGTGTAAAGTTTTGGGGTGAAACAGTTCGTGTTGATTATCAAGTACTTGGTAAATTCTTTAATTTCACTGGCAAAGACTTTTGCTATATGGAGAAATTATTTTTGAATGGAATCAACTTTGAACTCTATGTACATAACAACTTGATCAAGGAATTCTTGGAGCAATTGGAAAAAGAAAAGGAAAGTTTCGAGTCAAAATGCGACTTTTTGTAAATAACAACAAAACAAAGAAAAACAACAAAAACAAATAACAAAATGTAATTTCGAAATGACAACAACAATAATATATTACAAACAATCGATAAATCAACAAATCAAAATTCAATAATAAATAAATTTCACACTCTTTGATTTCATTAAATCAAAATTCACAAAATAAATATTTATTTTTATTATTACCATATCAAATAAAATAATCACAGGCATCAACAAATCAAAATTCAATAACGATTCTGTTGTTTTGCTCACAAATTAAATTTTTAAGTTTCAAAATAATTTTTTTACAGTGAAAAAAAAAAACAACTGATTTCTGATTTGTTTTAGTAGTTAGTAGTAGTATTAATTTGTTCAGATATGTTCGATTTAAATAGTAATCATTTTGTGCTGTGCCAAGAACATAATAGAAGTTTTGAAACTATTTGTATTTTTTGCAATAAGTTGTTATGTTCTAGATGCTATTTTCTACATATAAATGATAATCAATCTCATATTAGTCACTGTGAGCATATCACTGATATAAAAGAATCATTAGATAGTAATAAAATACTAAAGTTTAGTGACGATCAAGAAGATGAAAGTGTTAGTTCAGTATATAGCAACAGAATAGAAGAGCTATGGGAAACAATAAAACTGTCCACTGATAGATATCGTTCTTTGTTTGAAAAGGAAGAGACTATTTCCGATCATTTCCGTAAGCTACACGAATATCTTACTTTGGAGGAGTATAAACTAAAGAAGCCGATTGTAGAGGACAAAGATAGAATTAAACAACATTTCGACACCAGTTTAGATCTATTAAGAAAATTAATTGGTATTATAAATTTAAATAGTAATAATATTAGTAAAATTAGTGAAAGTAGTGAAGGTAGTAATAGTTATGGTGATAGTATAGAGCCAGATACACAAGATAGATATTCATTTAAATCAGCTTTGGAATCGGTTGAAAAAAGTAAATCATTATTAGAATTCGTTGAAGATAATAAGAAAACACTGTTCTACTTTCACAATGAAATATTAACCAAGATGATGGAGCACTACGATAATGATTACAATGTAATGCTATTGGATTTACTTTACAAATTCAATCGAAAGTTTTCATTGATGACAAAACCGGATATCATGTCCAACCTTTTAAAGTCAGTCAAAAATTACCGTTTAACAGTGAGCGATTTCGATTTTGATAAACTCAATGAAATCATTCAATTGTCGATTCAGCTGGATTTGGATTGTAGACATCAAGCCTACATCTTCTCGTTGCATTACTCAAGACTGAAATCTGATGGCATGCTTATTGGCACCGATAATAACTCGGTCGAACAACTCTCAATGAAACATCTACCAAATACTTTCAACTCTGTTGTGTCGGTCGGTGAATTCATCTATGTATTTGGAGGAAATGATTCAGAGAGAACTTGTCATAGGTTATCCGTTAAAACGCGTGAGCTCATCACCGAAGAGATGACAGGAATCAAAGGTGGAACTTATATATCGGTTTGTTACGACGGTGAAGATCATATCTATTTGGTTTGCGGCTTTGAGAATGATAAACACATTGACAGAGTCGATCGATACAATATCAGGACAAACAAGTTTGAGACACACGGTGAAATACCATTGTTTTCCTACCTTTTAGTGTCTTTTGTCTATAACGGTAAACTCTATAGCATTCAACAGTATAGTCGTGAGTTGGTTATCTACGATATCGCCACCAAGAAATCAGAAACTCACAGCTCAACTCATCTGTTTAGTCACAGTATGTCAGCTTGTACCGACGGTAATGGTAATGTCTACATTCACTCTTCCGAGAAACAATTCATCCGATTCAATGTAACAACTAAACAATCTGTGACTTTGAAATCAACTGATATTGAAAGCCATGGAGCGACTCTATCAATGCTCTATCACCATAATAACAATAACAAAAACAACTGCAACACTGATAACAATAACAACAACGATTATATCTATCTTATGGGTGGTGTGATTTTCAAGAATCATAGATACTCTTTGAAATATGATAACTGGGAGACATTCTACAATGAAGATAATCGAATAAGAGGTGGTTATGGCTCTGCGCTACTCTATCCAAATCAGATGTAAACATAACTTTATATTATAAATAAAAAAATAATCAAAACAACTTAAAATTTTAAAATGACTATAAACAACAATCGATCGATTTATAACCAACCGAATCAAATTAAACTCAGTCATAAAAAGTATATATTTTTGTGTGAGTTGATATTGCTATGTAATATTCTAATTCAATTTAATTTTTTAATTTGAAAATAATTATTTTATGATTATCCGATTATTGCTCACACGAGCACTATTTATAAGATAAATTGATCGGTCAGAAAATCATAATTAGCACAAGTAATAGTTATTAGTCAATATTATTCGAATCAATAATTTCAGTCAGCAGTAGTAGTTTGAAATCAGATATGTTTGATTTAAATTGGAATCATTTTATGCTCTGCCAAGAACGCAATGGTAGTTTTGAAACTATTTGTATTCTTTGCAATAAGTTGTCGTGTTCTAGATGCTATTTTCTGCATACACAAGAGAATCAATCACATACTCGCCACTGTGAGCATATCATCGGTATTAAAGAATCATTAGATAACTAAAAAGAGAATACTATGAAAGTTTAATGACCATCAAGATCTTGGTAAATGTGGTGGTGATAATACCAACAGTACAAGTTCATTATATAGCAATAGATTAGAAGAGTTGTGGAAAACAATAAAGCTCTCCACCGATAGATATCGTTCTTTGTTTGAAAAGGAAGAGTCTATTCCAGCCATTTCCGTAAACTACATGAACATCTTTTAGCAGAAGAGAGTAAACTAAAGAAACCGATCGAAGAGGATAGAAAGAAAATTAAAAAGCATATAAATACCAGTTTAGAAACCGACAATCACAATGAAACATCTACCAAATACTTTCAACTCTGTTGTGTCGGGTGAATTCATCTATGTATTCGGAGGATCTGGTTCAGAGAGAACTTGTCATAGGTTATCCGTTAAAACGCGTGCACTCATCACCGAAGAGATGACAGGAATCAAAGGTGGAACTAAGATATCGGTTTGTTGCGACGGTGAAGATCATATCTATTTGGTTGGTGGATTTGAAAATGATCGCTTGGCCAGAGTCGATCGATACAATATCAGGACAAACAAGTTTGAGAGACACGGTGAATTACGATTACCTTGCTACTTCCTGGTGTCTTTTGTCTATAATGGCAAACTCTATAGTATTCCACAGTATGGTCCTGATCTGGTTATCTACGATATTGCAACCAAAAAATCAGAGACTCATACCCCACCTCATCTGTTTAGTGCCAGTATGTCAGCTTGTACCGTTGTTTATTTTTTTAATTTATTAATATAATATTCAGTTATATATTATTATACATTTAGATCTGATTTGGATAAAGTAGTGCAGAGCCATAATCATCTCTTAATTGTTCATCCTCAGTGTAAAAAGTCTGCCAAATATCATACCTCAAAGAGTATCTGTGATTCTTAAACTCATTTCCACCCATAAGATTTTTTTGTATAATTTTGCTCATAATTTTTTTTTTTATTTTAATTTCTTGCTTTTGAATGATCACATCTAATTTTATTAACACACATATGTGGTGTACAAAATGTAATATATTTAAAACTTAAAACTAGTATATTGTTTTATCTATTTCACTTTTTTTATTTATTCTTTTTTACTACATGGTTTAATAATAGATAGATAGTTTTAATCAAAAAATAAAATTAGCAAAAATGGGACTTTCAGATAGATTATCACATATAAAGATTAATAGTGAGAAGAATGAAATAGAAAAGATTGACGATAATAATAAAACAGCTACAACAACAGTAAAAGTTCAGTTACCGAATGAACACGTTGTAGAGGATTGCGGTACTTGTACATTGCTGGGTGTTGACGATACAAAGAATAAGATGTTTCAATTTATGAATACAGGTGGTGCCGATAAGATTGACAGCAGTAGCAAGACTGAACAACATAGATTTTGGGAGCCTTTAGATGAGCCTGTAGATGCAGTGGGACTGGGTAACAGCGGGTGGAATCTACTGCATACGATCGCCGCTTACTACCCAGAGAAACCCGATGCTCAACACCAAGAGGACACACGTCAATTCCTCCAGGCATTCTCAAAGGTTTACCCGTGCAAAGTGTGTGCCAAAGACTTTCAAGAGGTCCTCACAGCGACACCCGCACGTCTACAGAGTCAACATGAATTTGCACAATGGATGTGCGAGGCACACAATCACGTCAACAAAATACTAGGCAAGCCTGAATTTGATTGTGATCAAGTAGATAAACGTTGGAAACGTACAGCTATCAAAAAACAACTAGATCATTAAAAAAAAATAGATAAAACAAAACATATATATAATTTTTATCAACATGTAATCATATAACATTTTTATTATTTATTCTTTTAATTCATTGAAATTTACAATTTTTTTTTATTTTTTTTATCAAAAAATTATTTCCATTTTTAAAAATAACCGCCCACCATTTGAAAATTCCATCGAAAAAATCTTTGCTTTATTATTTTATGTTTTTTAATTCTCAAAGAAAGAAACAGGTTTTAGAATTGAATGGAATAAGAAATTGATACACTATTAAATCTGAAATTCATAATATTTAATAATCATTTTTTTGAATTCTCAAGAATAAACAAATTCTAACAAAATTAATATCTGTTAGTTGTTGTTTAAACAACTTGTAAAAGTAATCAATTTTTTTTTTGAGGTTTTTTTATTTTATTTTCTTTAATTTTTGAGAATTTTTCAATTTATTTTTTTTTATGCTTTTTTTTTGGTGGCAAAACGTCATTCATCTTTGTTTATTTTTTATTATTATTGTTATTTCACTCCATCTCAGTGTCATTCAATTACATTTATTTTATTTATTTAACATTCTTTTGTATATTATCATTAATATTCCATTTTTATTCTATTTTTATAAATTTTATAAAAAACAAAACTATCTTTTTTATTTCATTCATTCATTCAATTAATTACGATTATAGAAACAAAATGAGTCACCATCATCATCATCACCATTGTCCAAAGTCAACTGGACTCACCTATTTACTCTGGTTCTTCTTTGGTGTATTTGGAGTACATAGATTCTATTTACAACGTTATGTCTCTGGTTTCATTTATTTGTTCACATTGTAAGTATTGTTAAGTAAAAACAACAAAACTATAGCAATTGATGTCTAATACTTTTTTTGATAACAATATTACAATTAAAACAGAGGTATTTTCGGTATTGGATGGCTTGTAGATTTGTTTTTGATTCCATCGATGGTTCGTCATTTCAACAACCACTACTTCTCAGAGGAAACCGTCATCGTTGCACCAGCTCCAATTATCTACCAAAACCAACCATACCAACCATACCAACCACAACCACAACAATACTATGCTTACGGTGCTCCACAGGTTCAACAGGTTCAACCAGTCCAACCATACCAACCACAACCAGCTCCATACAATCCACCAGCTTATTAAATACTACAATTTTCATAATACTACAACTTAGCAATAGTATACACAACCAGCAGCAACAGAACAACAACTTATAACAACAGTCGAAATTTCAAAGCCTTACCCTAGATACTTTTTTTATTATAATTAATTAATATATAATATAGATAAATATAGAAATGATTATACGATCATTTAATTAAATGATTCATAATAATCATTACTTTTACCATTTTAACAACAAAAAACAATACAATCTACAAATTCTTTTCCCTCATTTGATTGAATTATTTACTTATCCCTCATTTGATTTATTTAAATTGGTTGATTATTATTTCTTTAAATTTAAAATCGATTGAAACTTTGGTGAGAGTGTGAAATATATATCAAACATTGCTAATATACCAGGACATGATTGTTTGACTGAAGTTGTGTCCAATGTCGCTCTAAATATATTGTTTTCCTTTTCGATCCTATCATATACATCTATTGATTGTTTCAATGCTTTCATTGTTTTATTTATATCCTATAATATGATGATGATTATAAGAGTCTTAGTATGAAAAGTAACAATTAATGTAATTGTTGTTTTTGTTTACTTACAACATCATCACTATTAAAGTATCTTCCTTGTACTCTTTGCTCTATTAGTTCTTCTGGTGTTTTACAATAGATGATCGATTCACCATAGTTATCGTTATTATTGCTATTTTCTTTATATTCTGAATTGATATGACTGACTGCCTTATCGACATCTTCAAATTCACAAAGGTTCGAATAGAGTGTGGAACTAAAAAGTGGTGATCTATGTACAAATATCAATCCATTTTTGATCGATTGTTTCTATATTTATTTATTAAATAGTAATGATTAATAAGTAAAGGGTTTTGATAATAGAACTTTGTTGTATTTGTTTGTTGTTTGTCGATTATTACTTACTTTTTGAAGAAATCTATTGATTTGATTGTTTATATCGTTGGCCCAATTGGTTTGTTGTGTTTTTGATGGTTTTTGGTTGACCGGTTCCATTGTGAAGTGTAGGTAGGGTTGTGCTATGGTTTCATAGCCTAGTTTGTGTAGTCTTTCGAGTAGTTGCGCTTTACCACTACCACTGGGTCCCTCTAGATAGACAACATGCGGTAGCTCCTTGGCAATCAGGTCATCATGATACTTTTTCAACACTTGATTTGGTTTAAACCAATCTTTTTCGACTTCTTCTTGTTGTTTTCTTCCATCCAAGTTACTACCGACATAGTTTCTAACGATATAGTTATAACTGCTGACACTTATTAGTTTTGAGTTTTTAAATTTTAACATTATTAACTTTAACAAATGTTAAATTTTATGCATATGCAAGCACAACTCAAAATCAATCAAAAAACATCCTTTTTAGGATTTTTTTTTTTAATAATTTGTTTTTTTTAAGTTAAAATATATTTATTAATACTTTAATTTAACAATGAATGTTATTATTAATATAAATTGGTCGACCAACTTGTATGGAATAGGTTATTTAACAACCACATCTTCCACCACCGAGGAGTCCACCAACAAGTCCAAGAACACCTCCGACAACACCACCAACAGCACCAACAACACAACCAAGATTGACATCAACATCAACACCAACATTGATTCCACCACTACCACAGCCAGCAGTGCTGTTTGATGATTGACCAGAAAGACCTCCACTTGATGATCCAAAGCTCTTGGTCATTGATGAGGTGTTTCCAACATTTCCGAGTGAGGTTAAGGATTCTATTTGTTTAAAAATTAATATTTGTTTATTTATAAATTAAAATTTATCTTTAAATACATACTGATTAACATTTTAGATTTTAGATATTTGAATTAGAGATAATTAAGTATTTAATGTTTTGATGAATAATAATGGAATTTATTCTCCTTTAAATAGTTTTTTATTTCATATTATAAGTTAGAAAGAGTAGTTTAAAAATTAGAAAGACATTTATTTGAATTCTAAATTTTAATCAATCTTTTAATTAATTTCGCCTCTTTATTTATTAATTGACAAGAATGAAATTTCATTTTCTAAAAATGTTATAAATTTAATCTTCCAATCTTAAGTGTTTTGAAAAAAATTTGGTTCGTCATTTGCAAAAATGAAAAATATTATATGCATCATTTCAACCTCAACAAGCTTTTAATCTTGAGATTCGGGCACCAATTAATTTTATGGGTGGGTGATTTAATATAACCAGTTAAAAATCAAAACTAATATTTTCTTTACATTTTATAAATAGATATGGGTTCGAATTTCAGAATTTATTTATCGATTACACTTTCACAATAATTTTAAGAGGACATTTAATATAAATCAGGAGTTTAATAAATAAATCAATAAAAAAATTAAACTATTCAAAGAATAAAACTTTTTAATTATAAATTTCAAATTTTATTTTATTACATATATTGGTAAAAGGTAAGCCAATGAAATTCATTTTAAAAATCATTTAACAACCACATCTACGACCTCCGTGTCCAATGTTAATATTGATATCGATATCAATATTGATTCCACCACCACAATGATTATAGTGGTAGCAACATGATGCAGTGTCAATAGAAGATTGACTAGATGAGTTACCGTTTGATGATCCAAAGTTCTTGGTCAATGAAGAGGTGTTTCCAACATTTCCGAGAGAGGTTAAGGATTCTATAATTTTTTTTGAAAAAAAAGAAGAAAAGAAAGAAAAAAAGTATTAAAGTATTAATATCTAAATTATTAAGATCTTTTTTAAAATAATACCAACTGATTAACATTTTAGTAGATTTTTTTAAAAGTTTAAATTAAGATTAGATTAGAATATGTTGAGATGAATGATTTCAAAGCTTGAGATTTACTTCTTTAAATACTATTGTTCCATCACTTTAAATTTTAAATCACCAAATAAATTGTAGTAAAAAACATATAGATTGTTCACTTAAATTCTATTAAATCTTGTACAATCCTTGAAATATAATTTTCTCGAATTTGTTTACTCAATTGGTTCAAAAATCAATATTCAATGACAACATGATGAACATTCCAAATAGGAAGGTTATGCCATTTTTCGAAAATGAATCATTTTATAATAATTCTTATAAATGTGACTTGCAAAACAATGATTCAATTTCAAAAGTTGTTACTTTTTTTTATTGATATTGTGTGCGTCAACAAACATAGAATAACTCAAAATCGAATTCGATTGTGTGTGGTGGTTTATGTATCATCAAAAAAACAACTGATTACCAAAATGGTTGTATAACTTTTTTTATCTTTTAAAAAACCAAATAAAGTAGTTATTTTTTTAAAATTTTGTATCAGCACATCCAATACACACACACTACTATATATATTGTTATTGATGTGAGGAATGGGATATGATAGCAACTAACATATCTATTAAGTTCACTGTCTGTAACATATTATCACATTTTATACATTCATGTTGATGTTTTTTTTAAATAAAATAAATTAAGCTTGATTATTTTTGTTTTAGTTTAGTTGGTTTGTGGCAATCATGCTATCATCATAATCTTCATCTTCTTAGTTGCAGAATACAGTTATTTGAACTAAAATCGAATGACTGGTAGGAATGATGATATAACTATAACAATTGTTGTATCCATTATATCATCCAGTATGTGTATGTATGTACATATAGATGATTGTTTTGACAGCGAGAGCAGTTTGTGATTGCATTGAGATCAAATATTTGGTGAAGGTTGTTGTTCTTGGCAATTTGTAGAGATTATGTGTTTTTGTTTTTTTAAATAAATTTACTGTTACTAATGACGATGATACATTGATACAATCATTTTATTTAAAACTTAGCATCTACTACCTTAATCTTTAACTTTATCTATGCACCAATCATTAGCTTTATCCTGGACCAACCTATTAAGTTAAATTCATTTAATTGATAGTTTAAAATGAATTTCAATTCAAATTAAAAAAAATGGTTAGTGATTATAATTATGTATATATATGTATTTAATGTATAATTGAATATGAGTATTAATGAGATATTTATATGGATAGATGATTAGAGAGTAAACTTTAAATGATTGTATTGTATTTTATTGTATTGTATTGAATTGAATTGGTTAAGTTGATTAACTTGCCTTTGGAATATCGTTATGCTCTGGAAGATTCCCTAGCTTTCTATTGTATTCTTCTACTTTCTCTTTGTGTGAATTTTTTATCATTGATTCGATTCTCTTTGCTTCTAGTCTTTCTTGTTGTTTCTTATGTTTGATTTCCGACTCTGTTAGACCGGTTGTAGGAATAGCACCAGCGTTATTTATATCATCGTTACTTTCATCATCTACCTTTCTAATCTTTGACTTTTTCTTTTTCTTCTTCCCATCGAAACTCGGTTTCAAAGGTACTGCTGCTCCTTTTAACTTTAACTTTCCACCAACTATATTATCATATTTTGACATTATTAAAATTCTATAGAGTTATCTATCTATGCTATAATTACAAAAAAAGAAAACTATAAAACTAAAAACAAAACAAGGTTCATGTTTAATTAAATAACGGTTAAATTTTTAAAATTTTTACAAAAAATAAAATAAAAATGCTTTTAATTTATTTACAAAGGTTAACATATTTAGATATGAGTATGATATGATATGATATGATTAGAACTTTCTTTCTACATATTCATCATCACTTTCTTTACGATGATCTTTTTCTTTATGATGAGATCTTTTCGTTGATTTATTCTTTCTGTGAGATGATTTATCGTCTTCACTGTCAGAGCTATAATTGTCATTACTCGAATAGTCGTTATCACTCTCACTACTACTACTACTACTACTATTATAATCTTTGTTATTCTTTCTCTTTCTCTTTCTTTTATTCTTTTTCTTTTACTTTTTCTTTATCATTTTTATCTTTCTTTTTCTTTTGTTTCTCTTCTTTCTTGATTTGTCTAAGTAGTAATTTTCTTTGTTTCTTTGATAAACTCTCTAAGAATTCTCTTAATATACTATCGTCATCTTCATCGTCATTATTATCACCTTGCTGATTATCTGTTGACATTGAGAATAGTGGATCTTCACGTTGTAATCTCTTAAGGTCATTAGGGTTAACATCTTTCAATGGACAATCGCGATCACCCGATTTATGACCCCATTGCTGACAACGAATGCATCGGACATCACGTAACTCTATGCCGAACGGTTTATGAGTCACCTTGATATCGCTGGTGTAGTCGCCTTGCACCGGTGCATTCGCCAAGAACGGGAATTTCTCTGTATCTGTCATCTGTCTGATATCTTTCTTTTCATTCTCTGGTGATCGATTCGAATTGCTATCGTTGTTGGTTTTCGTTGTCTTTTCTTTCTCTAGAGTGGCACCCGGTGGTGCAGCATAGAGAAAACTAACTTTTGAACGTTCTGCCTCCATTTTCGATTGTCTACCGAGTGCCGCTTTGTTCTTGTAGAATTCGATTTCATCTTGTCTTTCTTTTGCTCGCTCTCTCTCACGTTTCTCATTGGCACTCGCTTTCTGCTCGGCAATAAACAGTTTCTTTTGATTCTCTTTCGTTCCCGGATGAAACGACTTCATATTTAGAAACTCTAATGACGACATCTTTTTTCCTCTCTTTTGTTCTTTTCTATTGATATACTATTGATTTCGTTTGAGATAAAGATTCAACTTTTAATTTCTTATTATTATTACTGAAAAATTATTATTACATTTTAATTACAAAAAAACAAAAAAGTGATTTTGCAAAATTTCACAATAAGCGACAATATTTTAAAAAACACACAAATTTAATAAAAGAAATGGAAAGGTAGTTATAAGTAAGTAGAAGAATATATTTATATTTATTTATAGATCAATTAAGAAATTCAATAAGTTTATATATTTTATTTTATTTATTGGTTTAAATAATATTATTCCCTTCATCTTTAAATAAATAGGGTTAACCCAAAATGAAATCACACTTAACTTTATTTGTAGGAAAATTGTGAATTGCTTTAAAATCAATAAATCTATTAAAATAAAAGAAGAACTATTATTTGATTTATTATTTCAAATGAAGTTCAACTTTCATTTTGATTGGCAAAAAATCAAAAAAAAAATTAAAAAAAAAATCAAAAACAGTTTGTTTGTTTTGACACCGGGATACTGATTGGTCGGGGTTACAATGTCATAGTTTATACATTTTTTTTTTTTAGAATTAGACTTCTTTTATTCTTTACATAATAATATTTTTAATAATTCCTATAGTTTATCATAAAGATTTTAGAAAACATTAGATTAAATATAAGGGTTACAATAATAGTTTACCTGGTTTTCAATTTCTACTCAAAACAATCGAGACTATCCATAATCTCGTTTCTGAGATTCAATCATTATCAATAGCAATGTCATTAGCAAAACAAAAAAAGATATTCTTTCTGTTTCATATAATGAGTTTAAACAAAATCGATTATAAATAGAGAGATGAACATAGTCTAAATCAAATCATTATCCTAAACTTTAACAACTCAACTTCAACATCAACAACAACAATGAAATTCATTCAAATATTAATTGTTTTATTAGTATCTTTAATTGCAACAAGTTCAGCTGCATTGTTTGTTTTCACAGACAATGTCAGTGAATTTACTATTGAACTGACCGATCCCACCTTAATCCAACATGCTCGTGATCTTATCAGCGGTGCTTCAACTTCCTCCCCACATGTAATGGGTACTATTGTCAAGAGTGCTGCAAGCTACAACTCGCCATGGTCTTACTATTTGGATCCATCGACAATCAGTTTCTTTGACTTTGCTATCGAAGTGTGTGATGCTGCCATTGCCTATACTGAAGATCATCTATTAGAGGTTGGTGGTGCATTTTTACCAGGTAAATATTATCTTGAATATACAATTAAAATTTGTTAAACTAATCTTTTTCATTTAATTTTAATTTAGGAAATGTTTGGTGTCCATGGGGATCACGTTTGGTTAGAGAAGTTTAAGAAGTCTGTTAATAAAAAGTATAAAAAAGTATGTATTACTTTTTTATACTTTCAAGATATTTAATTCTATCTATTTATTTTTATAAATTTTTGATTGAGTATTTTTCAATTTTATTTCTATCTTTGGAAAGTCAATTCATAAAACTCCATCGACTACATAATATATAGTCCAATTCCATTGGGTACTAGTTTCAAACAATGATTGTTTTTATTTAATAAAAACTTATCTTTGATATACCTAATAGTTCCAGCATTGAACTTCCCAAGCTTTCGATCCTTTTTTACCAAGCGGAAGAATTCGAAAACAGATATTTTTTTTAAGCTGATTGGAATGAATATTAGGCTTTTAAGTTGAAGTTTAAAAATGATTAATTTATTTATTTTAAAATTTATTTTAAAATTTTTAAAGTGGAGCTTTGGGAATTTCAAGGGTCAAAACTCCATTGACAACATCATAATTTCCAATACCATCAGGTACTAGTTTCAAACAATGCATGTTATCGATGTTAATTCTCTTAGCAAAGTTTGCATGAAGGATACGATTGTACTGATTGATTATTTGATTTTCTCCATACTCGGCATCAATAGCTTTTCCAATGATTGTAACTGTTGTATCCTTACATTTAATGGTGACCTCCTTCTGTCCTGGCAGATGAACAATCAGTTTGTAGGAAGATTCTTGATTCACAAGGTCATAGTGAAGAGCATGTTCACCAACTACATAATCCAAAGGGACCATTACAATAGACGATTCTGTTTTTGGTAAAACAATTGAACCATTGTTTTCTGAAGTTGCTTGAGTATAGACCAACTTAAATGAATCCTTTTGGTTTTCCTCTTTTTCTTCCAAATTGTAATCAAATACTCTTGTGATAATTGGTTTGGTATTATAAAGATTCTCAGATGGAATACCAAAGTATCTCTTCATAACCGTTTGACCAACATCGATAAATGATTCCATGATTTTTTTTTGGTTGATGACTCCTTTAAATAGAAAGGTACTCTTTATATATTTAAAGGTGGCTGCATTGAACTTTCCAGCATTGGATCCTTCTCTTCCAAGAGCAAGTATTCTAATATAATTCTGATCCAAGAAATATGAAAGATAATTGTTTGGAATATCACAATCATTAGTTGCACTTTTGAATGATTTCATGTCTGAATTAAATTGGTTTATCAACTTTTGAGGATCAGTGAACTTCTGATAGTTGATGACAATTAAAACTCTGTTCATTTTGGTGGTTTCCTGTTCCAATTTCGAAATGGTAAAGATATCTTGGATAGATAGTTGATCGAAAACATAAATAAACTGATTGGATACCAACTTGGTAGTCTCAGCAATATATCGATCTGTAATGATTCTCTCTGTAATGTTGGCAAACTTCGGGTTAGCTTTGAGACTACTGGAAATCGGTCTATGATAACCCTGAGTATCAAGTAAGATTTTGAGGATGTTGTTTGATGATTCCTTAGACTTTACAAAAGCAAAAGCTGGAGTTACAGTATCGATTCCACTACCCTCTGGCAGATTGATTCCTTCTAATCTAGAAATTAGATAAGTCTATAGAATAAAATTAATAAATTGTTTGTTTTCATTATTTTTTGAAATTTCAATAAACTTACTTTACCACTATTGAAACCACCTGTGACAGCACAAATACTTGATTGGTTTGGAGCCAATATATCTGGATTATTAATAATGACTGGCCAACCATTTGTTTCTTGAAGTGATAGTACACTATCTACATCTATTACACAGTCGTAATTTTTTAAATTTTTAAACAAATTAAAGATAGGCTGTGTATCGAATAGAAAACAAATAAAAATTATTAACAGAGCATTAAGAAAAATGGATCTCCAATATAAAGTGTTGTATGCATCTTTTTGGTCTTTGAATTTCTTTAATAATTCTACTTCTTCAGCTTGAGGATCCTCAGCTCGAACATTATTAACTTTAGGTTCCATTTTTATTTCTATATCTATGAAAATTATTGAATGACTGAATAAGTAAATAAAATTAAATTATTGATAGTAGAAAAAGAATAAATATATATATAAAAAAAAATTAAATTTTTAATTTTCATTCAAACTTAATACCAATTCGGAATTTGATGTGGTACCAATGGTAAAAAAATCGCCTAGCTTCAAAATCAAATTTTTAGGTTTTTTAATTAAATTTTCAATTTCTTTTTTTGCCATTTTTTTTGTGGTTTTTTTTTTATATTTTTATTTATTAGTAGTTACTTGTTAAGTTAGAAAATTAATAACATAATTATTATTAAGAAATGACAGGTACAACAGAAAAAAAAAAAAAATAATTAATGTCAAAAAAAATGATGTGAATACATTAATATATGATCAAGATGACAGAGGTCCTGGAAATCAGACAAAGCCACATACTTCAAACAATATAATATTCATGATTTTGTTGATAGTAGGAATCTTTTATTTTCACCTATCATATATAAACCATATCACTAGCAATAATAATTATAAGAATAATAATAATTCAGAGAGTGCGAACAGCATCCAAAAACAAATATTCAATCACTACACTTTACTATTAAATTCTTTATCGATCATACATAATGACAAATCAATTTTAGTTGACCAATATAATAAAGAACAATCAATTAACAAAGATAACCTACATTATCAATCAAATAAAGATAATCAACCACCTACAGATGATCAATCAATCAAAGATAACCAGCCAATAGTAGATGATCAATCAATCAAAGAACCATTAATAGATAATCAACCAACTACAGATGATCAATCAATTAAAGATAATCAACCAACTACATATGATAAAGATAGTCAGTCAATAACAGATGATCAAAACAAAGATATCCAACGAATAGTAGATGATAAAGATAATCAGTCAATTACAGATGATCAAAACAAAGATAACCTACAAGTTCAAGCAATCAAAGATAACCAGCCAATAGTAGATGATCAATCAGGCAAAGATAATCAACGAACCAAAGATTATCATTCAAATAAAAAAAACCAACCAACCAAAGTTAAACTTCAAAAACATCGATATGACCTAGCCATTAAGATCGATACACTCGAAAGTATTAAATCATCAGGTTGGAAGTTAATTTATTCAGACTCTGTTTTGAATGAAGAGCCAGATAATTACATATCAATCATTGGATCATATCAATCTGGCAAGGTATTGTTATTAAATTTATGAATCAAAATTTTTATTATTAACTTAAAAAATTTAATTTTTTTATAGTCGTATATCTTGAATAAATTGGAATCTAAGGCAATGGAAGAACAACCATTATCGTCCATATCGCTGGTTAAATCGAATCTGGCAAAGGATACCTACTTCATCAATTCACCTGGTGAAAACGGACCAGTTCCAAGTGGTTGCGATTTGGTCAATGCATGTTTACTCGAAAAGTTTATAGGCCATGTCGTTAGTCTATGGTCCAACAATCATATCGTTGTTTTCAACCGATTGACATACCCAGATATCGCCTCACTCGACAAAATGAAGCTTGACAACACTGTAAAGAGATTGATTGTTTTGAACTATCATCATCTATACAAAGATAGTGATGATTTTAAACAACAATTGCTGTCGGATCTGTCAATACTTGGTGCAAAACAATTGGATAGTTTGGATATACATAATTCATTTGCCAAGATTGTTGTTCTCACCAGAGAAGATCAGAGCGATCCAACTGTGAACAATGAAGCATTTTCAATCATAAGAGATTGGGTACAAAATGGCTTGTCTCCATACAGTAGATCGGTTAGAAAGTTGAGTGCCATCAATGATTTTATGTCGGTGGCACAAGAGACTATGAAACTCTACTTTGAAATTCAACGAAACAAAAAAGAAGTAGCAAGACCATTGAGGATAGTCCCCGATTTGTGGATTTGGAGAGAAACCGTTCTTGATTATCTGGAAAAGCAGATTAATATAGCATACCGATTGAAATTGGAGGAGAGCACAAAAGATGGACTAATTGTGAAACTTGCCAATGACGATGATGATATTGAGGAAGTCGTTTTGGCAAGAGCATATTTTGGATGTGACATGGACCTAGGTCTCAGATACGATGTTTCTCAGGAGAATAACGATATTAAAATCTCATTCGAAACATTATCACAAATCTCTTTTGAATGTTTCCGTAAGAGTACTATCCTGGCCACCACAAATAAGATATCTCAATCCCATTCCAGTAATTATCCCAAATATATTTCCTCACTTCAAAATAGAGAACATCGAAGAATCTACGGTGAATTAACCATGGCAATTAGATTACCAGAAAAATTCCATTGTGATAAAGATTTACCAACCTCTAAAGCTCCACAACTTGGATTAATTCAAATAGAAATTAAAAGAACCAAATAAATAATATTAGTTTTAGAGGTAGTGATATTAAATTCTATATTTTTAGACAACTTTCTTTAAAAAATTAAATATATAAAAACTTCTTGATATTTTTGTATTCAATATCATTTATTTTCTATAAATTAGATACATTCTGAATAAGTATATACCAAAAATTTCTACAAATGTATCACTTATAAAAAATTAAACAAATTCAGATAAAATAGTCTGCTGAAGACGAATTAAATTTAGTTTCACTGATATAGGTATCAAACACTCTACCGACAGTTTGTTTGGTATTATTTCTATTCTCTGGTGGAATACCAAAGTATCTCTTCATAACATTTTTACCAACTTCTAAAAACGATCTGATAGCGACAGAACACTATCGACATCAATTTTAGCATCATAGAATCTTACTGTATCAAAATAAGAAAAACTAAAGATTGGTAGATCTAATTTATAAATCAAAAAAGCAATAACAAGAAAAAAGAATGCAATAAAATATATAATTTGTTTTAGAATGATTTCTCCTTAATTATTATTTTTATTTTTATTATTATTATTTAACAAAATATAAACTATACAAACAAATAAAATAATAAATGATCAATGAATGAATATACATATCATAAAACAAAGTAGTTAGTCACATCCAATTAATTAAAATTTTAAGTTGGAACTTAAAATATTTGGTCAAAATAATAGATATATTTATGAAAACATACAAAAAAAAACTCTGTATTTTAGTTTTATTAAATTGATCTGAGATAAATTAAAATACAAAGTTCAATATCTTACAGGTATATTTAATGATTCCATAGTTAACTCTGTTTTTTTCAATATCTGAAAAAAAAAAACCAAATGAATATTTTTTAATTACAAAATGAATTATTGAAAAAGGTAAATAAAATTAATAAAAAAATTTCTAAATTTTATCCAAAGATCTAAAAAAAATAAAATATTTTTACAAAAATGAACATCAACTTTATTTCAATTTTCCCATTTTTTTATAAAATAAAATAATTGTTAACTTTATTGAGTTTTTATTTTATTCTTTTCTTTATTTTTTTTTTTTTTTAATCATAAATAATTAATTAGAGAATATTTTAAACTTTTCACTATTATTATCATACTATATTTTACAAATGTCAATACAATCTCAATTCGATTATCTATTAACCAGAATCGAAAGATTGAATCCGAAAGCTGTTGTCAGTGGTGGCACTAGCGGTAGCGGTACTGTTGGTACCAGTGCAACCATAGCCACAACCGGTAGTGATAACAACAGTTTCTTTAGTAGTAATAATATTATTTTTTCACAATTAAAGAGTACTTCAAATATTAATAACAATAATAGTAATAGCAATAATAATAAATCAAATAAAAATAATAGTAATAATAATGTAAATAATAATAAATATGATAATAATCATCATAATCATTTATCTGACTTTGAATTAGATGAATCTATTATTTCTATTATAAATGATACTATTCAATTATATCATAGTCAGCAACAACAACAACAGCAGCAACAACAACCAAATACACAACAACAACAACAACTTTTGAAAGACTACTACATAAGAATCATATTGAAACTATGTCAATACGTCAATAATAATAACAATGACAGTATTGCATTGAAGTACTTTCAAATGACTATTCTGTTGGCACAGAACAACCAACTTTCATTGCAGGAATACAGCAATGAATTAGCACCACTGTTACAAATGTTTCAGAAATACATTCAACTAAATACACCAAACACTAATACCAATACCAATACAAGTCATAATAACAACAACAATAGCAATAATAATATTGGTAGTGGTAAGCATATGGCATCGGGATCATCATCGTCGTCGTCTTCATCGACATCAACAACAACTTCAACATCTTCACACAATCAATTTCAATCACATCAATATACAACTGTTAGAATAGAAGCATTGAAAGCACTGTCTATTCTGCTCTACAACAATGGTCCGTCTATTCCATCGAAATTTCACCAACCTCTCTTTGATAGTCTGCTGCTACTCGCAAATCTGCATCCTACCACCAACAACCCATCGCCTCTCTCCATTAACCAAGAAACAAAGCGATTGGCTACCATTTCAATTGGTAACCTCTGTGTACAATGTGGTTCGAAACTATCAAAGTTCTACCCACTTCTCTTTGACAAACTTTATTCAAATCTCGAGAAACTTGTTGTTCAACTTTCAAATGACCAACATATTATAAAAGTAAGTTAACAAAACAAACCAAATTATATATTATCTTTAAGATACTTATTTATTAATAATATTCATATGAAAAACAATAACAGTTCACTTGTAGTACTTTAAGATCATTACAACTTATTTTAACTCAATGTAAAGGTGTCTATGATAATAAGGCATCTTCACTGTTAAGTATTTTGAAACGGTTGATGTTCTTTGGAACTAGTATCAATCCAAATGCTGTGCTACCATCGCAACTTCACTCGGTCGAACCCTACAAACTGGTTCTCAAGAAGAAAAAGAATAGAGATATCGGTGGCGAACTCAGTGATGGTATATCGAGTTCAGACAGCGATATCGATGAACGTTACTCGTTTGCAAAGGTTAGACTGTCGACTCTCTCGTTGTTGTCAACGTTGTGCAAGTCGTCGGCACGTCTGTTCTTTGGGTATTGGACAACTTTCTTGCCGTCCAACATGACGATGCCGTCGTTGTTCACCGCTGCGCTAATCGACCAAGACTACCGTGTGCGACTAGCAGCCGTCCAAGTTCTAACAACCATATTCGATGGCTGTAAAGACCTGCTCGTTGCCATCCCAAAAGTACCTTCGACACCGACTTCCTACACCAGTTTCTCGCAGGTTCTCACATCGATGATACAGGAATCGCATCGTGGACTTCAGCTGATCATCGAGCAAGAGAAGAATAGCAATCTACTGGTACCGTCACTCAAGTGTCTGACAATGCTCATTTTGAACTCGCCATATGAACGTCTGCCATCGGGACTGCTCTCACAGCTCATCCGACTGGTATCACCATTCCTCAGCAACGCTGCCACCGACGTCCAACTGGCTAGTTTGTCGTCGATCATCGCAATACTCTCGGCGGAACCACCAACACCCGATGAACTACAAGAGTTCCTCGCGAGCAACGACATTGTCGAACGTATCATACAGTTTGCTTCTAACCCAGCCAATACCGATCACATGAGAATCGAAGCCACTCAATGCATTCTCGCATTGACCAAACACAACTTTCAGATGTTTTGTAAGCATCATGAGAGTATCTATACAACACTGTTCGGTCTATTGACTACACCGACATTGGACTCAACTCTTCGTATTCAAAGTTCAAAAACTATCGAAGAGATTTCAAAATCAATTCATGAATCTCAAAAATCAAATATTACCTATGTAAGAATAGAATTATATTATTTATAAAAAACTAAACATTAAAACCTAACAAACCAACTCTTCTATGCTAATTTATAGGAACCAAATGTTGAAAAAAGACTATGGGATCTATTCTTTAAATCTTTAACTGGATTAATTGAAGATCCACTACCACAAATTAGATCATCCATTTGTAATTGTCTTTCACATTTAACCTCAAATGTATTTGCTAATCTACCAGTATGTAATTGATATATAAATTTATTCTAGTTTCAAATATTAATATTAATATTTCTTGATTAGATTCAATTACAACTTCACTCTGTAACTGTTATTCTTGGATTAATGTCAGATGATTCTTATTTGGTACGTGCCAGTTCCTGTAGAACCATTGGTATGTTTGTTAAACTTGAGACTCTGGCTGATGACACTACCTTCCTCTCAAAGGCAGCGAGTTGTCTGTACAAATCGATGTGTGACAACAACATCAATATTCGTATAAAGGCATGTTGGTCACTTGCAAACCTATGTGACCATCTCGTTTCCATCAGAAAAGATGAGGTGTTCAATGACATTCCAACTCTGATTCTCTCCAAGGTTGTAGAGGTTCTATTGCTGGCATCCTATGATAATCCAAAGGTGAGAAGCAATGCTGTCCGTGCTCTCGGTAACTTTGCTCGATTTGCACCACGTGAACTCCTCTACAATTCGACACCGGTCGACATTCAAGACATATTCGAAACGATACAACAGAATCAACAGTTACAAAATACCAATGGTGATCTTTCAAAGATCAACTCGGTAACTACTCCCCCCAACACTCCAGGCGGTAGCACCAGCAATAGTAATGAGCAAAACAGCTTGACTTACAATCACAAGAATATGATGGATCACTACATTAAGAATCACCATAAATCTCTTATAGACAGAATCATAGATTCTTTGGTGATTAACGCTGCCGAACCTTCGACCTCGTTCAACTTTGTCAAGGTGAAATGGAATGCTTGCTATGCTCTTGGCAATCTGTTTTACAACAGTGATATCCAATTCGACCCAACACCAAAGTGGCTACATCAAATCTACGAGACACTCGTCATTCTCGTACAGAACTGTAAAAACTACAAGATCAAGATCAATGCCTCTGCTTCTTTGGCCACACCAACACATAATCGTCTTCAATATGGTGAAGACTACCAATCGATCTTGGAAACCATCATCAATTCACTCTCCAATGTAAATACACTTGTTGACCATTCTGAATATCAATATAAAGATATACTTGAAAGACAAGTAAGTAATTAAATAACAATAATTCAAATTGATCTCTTTACTAAAACTATAACATTAATAAACAAAACAATAGCTTGGAGTATCATTAATTCATTTATTAGGTGAAATGACCTATGATGAGATCGAAACCTATCAAACATTGCTGCTGAATCACAGTGAAATTATTTATGAAACCTTTGAAAAGTTGAATCCAACCGATCAGATAGGAAAGAAACAAGACAGACCTACAGCAATGGAGTACAATCAGGGTATGGCTACTATTAAGCAATTCATAGACCATTACAACAACAACGATACACAATTTGAAAGTGACTGCCAATTTAAATTGACAAATTTAAAAAAACTTTTTGAAAACCAATTCGAATGAATATTAAAATTTAAAATATTTGGAGAGACAGACATACAGAAGTGATAGTTAAGTTAATTTAAATAAAACTGATTATAAATTTGATGAATGAAAAAAGAATAATGACTTAATTAAATAAATACCATTTATTTTAATAATATCATTAAGTTGAGAGCAAATAAATGTACAACATATATATTACTTGAAATATATACTTTAAAATCAATTAACAATAAAAACAAATTATTTTTATTTTATCGCACTATTTTTGTTTTAGGTTATTATTGTAAGTTAAATGTGATGAACCTTAAATTAGATTCACCTAAATTTTAATAAGTTTGATTTTAAATTCATATATGTCAGGACTATCATCATTTAACAACCACTTTTGTCTTTAAATATCTATTTTAAATTTTAATCTTCTTTCAAAATGGTAAATTACAAAAAAGAGTTTAAGTTTTAATTAGAAATTTTATTTCGAACTTGGAGAAAATCATTATATAACTTGGTGTATTTTTGTAAATTAGAAAGAATTTATTAAGTGATTCCTTTTCCAAAAAATCTTTCCAGTTTTTTTGTAAATTTCCCAAAGGAGATTTTCATTTTCTTTTTAATCAGCAATGACAAATTTTAAAACTTGCTACTGTTTTTTAAAAGTAGCTAAAAATATTAATTTAAAAAAAAAGAAAAAAAGTGTAAATTTACAAAAATGGGGTTTTTTTTCATTTATTTTGGGTTGCACTCTCTTTTCTTTTTATTCAAATGTATTCATTATTAAATTACACCAATTATTTTTCTTTTGCAATTTACAAAGGGGCTAATCATATTTGGAAGTTATCATTGAAATGAGTTAAATAAATTAAAATAACAACAAAAATGAAAAAGTATTTAAAGGACAACTTCAAGTTCAATTAAAACAAAACAAATTGAACAAGGTCTTTAAATTTAAAATTTTTGTAAACAAATAATCAACTCTTTCAAAATGCTTATTATCCCATACATCGATGTCTCTATAAATGCCGATTGGAGTGATTGGCAGCACTATCCAAATGGTCGTCCAAATCCAATGTTTGTATTTTATTACTATTTTTTTAATAGAGATAAATAATTAAAAATAGGCTTTACCAAAATAAAAAAAACATACTATATAGTTACTCTCAACAAGTTATTAACTATGGTTTGGATGGAGTTATCATGGGATTCATTACTCTTTCCTCTGCTGGTACAGCATGCTGGGCAGCTCAACCAACTATGCCATGGGATTGGGCTTTGCCAATGGCTGATGACTTGAAAAAAGCAGGAAAAAAAGTAGTTGTATCTTTTGGTGGTGCTTCCAATTCCGACATTTCTAAAAGCTTTACAGTTGACGAGTTAGTGGCTACCTATAATCAAGTGATTAAAGGTTACAATGCTTACCAATTGGATTTCGATTTGGAGAATGGTCTCTACAATATCGATAATATTTGTGCTGCTTTGAAGCAGATCGCCGCAACCAATCCATCAGTCCTCCTTAGCTTTACACTTCCAACTTTGCCAACTGGACTTGTAGCTGAAGGTATGAATATTATCACCAAAGCTAAAGCAGCTGGTTTAACATTCATAGTTAATGGTATGGCCATGGACTACTATATGGAAGAATTCAAAGACAAGATGGGTGAAGCTGCTGTCCAGGCATGTACCAGTATCAAGAATCAATTAAAGACAGTTGATAGCTCACTCTCTGATGCTCAAGCATTTTCAAGATGTGGAGTTACACCAATGATAGGTAAGCAATTAGTATACAAGTTAAAAATGTTTACAATTAATTAATTAAATCTTAAAATAGGGCTTAACGACGATTTGAGCATGTTCACCCTTCCTGATGCTACCATGGTTGGTACATTTGGAAAACAAAACAACATTTCATTCTGTTCTTTCTGGAGTCTCAACAGAGATAACCCCTCTTCATTCACCTATGTCGACTTGACCTCATCTTCAAACCCAGCTCAAAAGGCATCCGGAGATTATTCAAAGGCTTTCGTCAATGCTCCAAAGTAGGTTAAGGTTTTGAAAAATCAACTTCTAATCCATAAAAATTAAGTTCTATTCAATTAACTCATAACTAAATAAAACTGTTCATCCTTTTTGTTTCATACATGTTTTAACCTCACTCTAGAGACAAATAATAGGGTCGTAATATTTTAAAAGTAAATTAGTGAGGAAAACAAAAAAAGTGAGATTGAGAACAGATCTCTCTTCACTTATTTTTGGATAAAATAAAGTTGGCGACTGAAGAAGACTATTTTCTTTATGTCTAGTCAGGTGTGGAGTTAATCATATCATATGATTTTTAAATGAAAGATATTTATTTTTTAAAAAATTTTGATTCAAAATAATTATTGTTTGAATGAAACATTATACATTCTTACTATTCTGATATTTTCTTTCATTTTTAAGAGAATAATCTTTGTTTATTAACTATCTATATCTAAATAACAATAATAATAAATGCTCATCATGTTATTGAGATCATCAATACTTTATTATTGGTGACCAAAACTAAGTACTTATAATAAACATCATCTCCAAATGATTTATTCTCATTAAAAACAGAAAAATATTTAACCAATAAAAAAAAGATTTAACTCTTTTATCTTATTTTATTTATTTTTTAAGAATATTCGTTTATATTTTAAAAAAAAAAACAAACTCTATTCAGTCATTTGTTAATGATGAATAAAGAATAACCACCCCTAATTTTCAGATAAAGAGGAGAATCTCTATAATAGATTGAACTCAAAACCCAATCTATTTGTCATATTTGTTTTAGATTATCCATAAACATCATTGAAAATTGACAAATGTCAATTAAAAAATAACATTTCAAAACAGAATAAAAACAATTTTCAAAATGTATCTCTACATATTTTAAATATTTATTTTTTCAGGCAATCAATCAATATCTATAAATAACAATGTATACACAGTTGTGAAGATCATAACATTAGCAATCATGATTCACAAGAAATGTTTCTCGGACTCCAAATTTGCTCCACTATTCAACTACAAAAAAAACACCTCTTTATTTATCCAAGATAAATGAATATCTGGCTTTCAAAACTATCCTCTATGAAACCATCGGATTTGGAGTAGAATAATCTTTATCAAGTACCCTCTTTTTCGAAGTCATAGGAGTAGTGGAGTCAAGACAAATATTTTCTTTAAATTAATTTTAATATTCTTTGGTTTTTTATATCCTAGGAGCTGTCTTCAATCCAATTTTTTTTACTATCAAAAAATACTGTTTTTTAAAATTGATTAAGATATATAAAAGAATAGTAGAAGAGTTGATCCTGTTCCGAAAAATATCAATGATAGATATGAGGTGTTCACCTATAAGAGTCAGTCGATTAGAAAGAAACTTCTTAAGAAGACCTTTGATATCACTTGTACCATAGATCATTACTCATCCTATAGATCTAATATTATAATTATATGGTTGAGTCTTAATCAAAACTAAACATTTTTTTTGTGATTTTTAATTTCCAAAAACGAACGAATTTTCAAAATCTGAATAAATTTAAAAAAAAATATTATTTAATTAAGATATGAATATACTTTCAAATGATATATATAGCTATATTATAAATATACTATGGAATAGTTGCAATAGAAATGATAGGAAATGGTTAATTTCATTGGATTTAGTTTGTTGGCATTTTCATCATCAGATCAAATCATATAACAATCAATTTAGTATCTCCTACAGCAGTGCAAAGTTTGAGCTAAAGCAGTATCTTCAATATCATTATATGAATAAATATTGTTCTATATCAGATCAACCAGTTTCTTTTGTGGTTAGGAATTGTAGAGGTTTGAGAGCACCTCTTAATCTAGTAGACAAGTTCAAACAGTTCACGGCTCATCTCTCTCACTATCAAGGTGGAAGTTATTGTTTACAACAGATTATCGGTGACAAAACAATCAGCTCTATCAAATCAATTGATTTGATCATTGAGAAATCGGATGATCTAGATGAAGAGCAAACAGAGAATCAACAAATCGATGGTGGAGCAGACAATGGCCAAGACGATGATGAAATACAATACATGTCATTCTTGATAAAGAGCTCAATTAAGAAACAGAATCAAATGTTTGGTGATGATAACAACAACAATAACAATAACAATAACAATAACAATAACAATAACAATAACAATAGCAACGAAGAAATCAATGCAGATTTGGGTGCACAATATGAGCGATATCATTATAACAAAGATGACGATTCAGATAGATTTGAAGATTGGAAACATCTGGTGGATACTCTTGAATTGCTATGTGTTCATGCCAATCAAAGTAAACTGGAGAATCTAAGCATTGCAATAGAGATTGGTCAGTTCGATCACTACAACAAGTACGAATTGATATTGGTTCATCTATTTTCATCTGGTTTCTCAGAGTTAAAGTCTTTGACTCTTGGTGGTGCCGGCGGTGGTGAAAACTTTACAACCTGTTTTGTTGTCTATCCAGAAGTTCTTTTCCCTGGTCTAGCTAGGCTAACCAAGTTGCAATCATTGGAACTACGATTTGACATGGCTGGACTACAATATGAATCAGAGTCGTTCTTTACTGAACTCCAAAACTATCTTACCAGTCAAGATTGTAAACTGTCATCACTCTCAATGGATTATCCAATTAGAAGCGATCAAGATAAGCAATTCCTCAGTTTTCTACTCAGCGAAGAATGCAGACTATCCACGATCGACTTTATTTGGATATCACTAAGTGCCTGCTTGCCAATAAATAACAGCAATAATAATTTGGTTTTTAAAACCATTAGAGTGTCAATTAAATCTAAAAATGAAGAAACATTACCAGCCGAATTGGACAGTCAGGTCTATCAGTCACTCGGTTCAATTGAAAATCTTCAACTCTGGTGTCACTCAACTAACTATACTCCATTACTAAATATCCTTTCCTTCAACTCTGCTTCAACAACTCTAGTTAAATCGCTATTCATTAAGATAATGGATGAAATCGATAAACAAACAGTTGAGGCAATAATCATTGCCATAAAGAATCATTTCAGCCACCTGACACAACTCACACTTGACTTGTCAGATGGTTTTCTCACAGACTCACACATTCACCAAACGATGCTAAGGAAACAATTAAATCTTTTTATTGCAGACCACCCCACCATCAAAAAGTCATCCATTTTGGGTTTAGAAATTTTTGAATGAAAAAAAAATAAAAATGTTGAAAATCAGTTTTGCAATAAAAAAATAAAAATCCAACTTGAAAATGGGTTGGATGGCTTTTAGTTCACAATCCAATTTTGGCAAATTTCATCTAACTTTATATGAAAAAAAGAATGAAAAAATGATTTTTTTTTAATTAATTTGATTTTTTGTTGTGGTTTACCTTTCATCTTTTGGATTGCATAAATAGTGACGCTGATCAATTATTTCATTTATCTTTGTTGTATAACTTAATAATAAACTAATAAATAAATAAAATGGAAGGTGAAGACGTAACTGCTTTGGTAATTGATAACGTATGTCTCAATAACAATAATAATAATAAATCAACCATTATTTCTCAAATATTAATATTTTCAAATTCTTTTTTTTTTTCTTTTTTTTTTTTAATGAATTTCAGGGTTCTGGTATGTGTAAGGCTGGTTTCGCTGGAGATGATGCCCCACGTGCTGTATTCCCATCGATTGTCGGTCGTCCAAGACACACTGGTGTCATGGTCGGTATGGGTCAAAAGGACTCCTACGTCGGAGATGAAGCTCAATCAAAGAGAGGTATCTTGACCCTCAAGTACCCAATTGAGCACGGTATCGTCACCAACTGGGATGATATGGAGAAGATCTGGCATCACACTTTCTACAACGAACTCCGTGTTGCCCCAGAGGAACACCCAGTTCTCTTGACTGAGGCCCCACTCAACCCAAAGGCCAATCGTGAGAAGATGACTCAAATTATGTTCGAGACCTTCAACACCCCAGCCATGTACGTTGCTATCCAAGCCGTCCTTTCCCTCTATGCCTCTGGTCGTACCACCGGTATCGTTATGGACTCTGGTGATGGTGTCTCCCACACTGTTCCAATCTACGAAGGTTATGCCCTCCCACACGCTATCCTCCGTCTCGATCTCGCTGGTCGTGATCTCACTGACTACATGATGAAGATCTTGACTGAGCGTGGTTACTCATTCACCACCACCGCCGAACGTGAAATCGTTCGTGACATCAAGGAGAAGCTCGCCTACGTTGCCCTTGACTTCGAAAACGAAATGCAAACTGCTGCCTCATCCTCAGCCCTCGAGAAATCATACGAATTGCCAGACGGTCAAGTCATTACCATCGGTAACGAACGTTTCCGTTGCCCAGAGGCTCTCTTCCAACCATCCTTCTTGGGTATGGAATCTGCTGGTATCCACGAAACCACCTACAACTCCATCATGAAGTGTGATGTTGATATCCGTAAGGACTTGTACGGTAACGTCGTCCTCTCTGGTGGTACCACTATGTTCCCAGGTATTGCTGACCGTATGCAAAAGGAATTGACCGCTTTGGCCCCATCCACCATGAAGATTAAGATCATCGCCCCACCAGAACGTAAATACTCTGTCTGGATTGGTGGTTCCATCTTGGCCTCCCTCTCCACTTTCCAACAAATGTGGATCTCCAAGGAAGAATACGACGAGTCTGGTCCATCCATCGTCCACAGAAAGTGCTTCTAAGACGCTCTTTGTAATATATTTTAATTTATTATTAATATATCAATAAATGAATCAAAAAGTCATCTGTTGGATTTTATCCAGTTGGCTTTATTTGTAAACTAAAAAAATCAAAAAAAAAAAACACAATACATATTATTTGATCAATTTTGCTCTTTTTGCAAACAATACATTGTTGTTTTTTGTTTATTCATGTTTTAAAATAAAGAATCAATATGTTTAAATTAATAGATCTTGATTCTTTTATCCAGTTGGCTTTATTTGTGAACAAAACAAATTACAAGACAAAAAAAAATTTTCGCTATCAACATCAAAATCAAAACGTCTTCTGTCTATTGCCCACCAGTTTTACTTCTCAAATAAAACAATATAACAGAGAGTTATATAAATCTTTGCTTGAGTATACTCAAGATGTTTAAATGAATTTTTATAAAAATCCAATGAATCATTTAGTTTAAAAACTTAACTAAAAACACAAAGAAAAACATAAGATTAACTGTAGAGAGTTGTTTTAATAAAATTATATATTATTTTTTTTATTTTACAAAAATATTTTTTAAAAAATATATTATTATTATGGTAGGAAAGTTCTTAATACTCCAGTGAAATGCAATGCACTGCCAACGAGAACCAATAAAGTCAAGATATATGGTGACCAACTTCCAGATGAGGTTGATATCTCTTCGAATTTCTTTACTTTGAGTGCTTCAATAGAGAGTTCACCCTGAAGGTTGGAAATGACACTTTGTGTTCTCTGTAGCAATGCCGATGCGATATCGAGTTTCTTTTGTAGTATTTCCAGTCGATCCGTTCCAATATTTCCATTCGCTATGACAACATCGCCTCTCTCTGGAGACTTGCCCTCTATCAATGAATTCAGTTTGCTATCAAGCAAAACGACAGAGTCTGAGAATTTATATAGCTCTTGATTTAACCATTGATTGGTTCTAGATGTTGAATATACATTGATGACAAGTCCAATAAATAGTATAGATATTAGCGCAACCACCAATAGGGAAATCTGTTTCTCTGTCGATGAAAGATTCTTCCAGAGTGTTGTGAGTGAAAGGTTCGTTGGAACTGAAGTGTGAGTTGAGGTGGTTTCGTTTTCCTTTGGTTGGTTGCTAGTGGTTGCTTCTTGGTTTGTTTGAGTGCTGACGTTTTCTTGTGTAGTGGGGGTGGTGGAGGTGGAAGTGGTGGAGGTGGTTGTGGTCGGTTGTGGTACGGTTTGTTCGGTGACTGTTGTTGCGCTTGAGGTGGTTGGATCTGGAATTGCTGATTTGGCTTGTTTTAGTTTGTTATATGTGTAGGCTTCGATTTGGTTTCTCACCATTGAGAACCAGAGCACAAAGTAATCTTTGTTTCCTTGGTAGGCAGACTTTTGAATCATTGATGCAATACCCCAGAGAGTTTTGGTGAACTTGATCTTTGATGACAACTTTACGGTGCAACCGTTTCCTCCGTCGTCAGAGGCGATGGAAAATAGATTTTCAACCGAGAACGAGTCACCGTATGGCACGTCTTTAGAGACGGAGCTGCACTGCAAAAGCAACTCGTCTTTGTTTCTCAATCTACAACGTTGAGTCTGGTAGACTCTTGTAGATTTTGGTCCAATCTTGAAGCTGATGGCCGTTCTAAAGTCCATTGTTCTGGTGGTACAACACGAACCATTCTTCCATTCATTGACCGATTGCTCTGTGTATCCATGAGTGGTGTTGACCAACGCCCAAAAGTCTGTTCTAATAATAACATTGTAGAACTCTTCAACACTGATCGGATACTTTTCGGTTGCCCATGGAGCTTCTTCAAATTCACTGGATACGATATGCTCGCATTTATCTTTGATTGGTATCGATTTAAATTGAAGTGTATTCGAAACTGCAACTGATGCTGGTGATGGTGAAGATGTTGCACCAGTTGAGGCTGTGCTAGTTGTGCTTGAAACACCATTGCTTGGTGTAGAGATGAGTGAAGATGTAGGAAATAGTATGTCTGAGTGGTGATGGTGCTGCGCTATTTTGTTGTTGTTGTTGTTGTTGTTGCTGTGTTGGTAATGAATCAACAGTGTTCTTTCTTTTCTGTATTGGTGATGATTTTGATGTTTGTTGTTGTGGTGGTTGTTGCTGTTGTTGTTGTTGTTGAGTGGCGGTGGTTGTTTGTTGAGATGTTGTTTGTTTGTTAGGTGTCGACGATGATAAAGATTCATTCAAGTTCAATTGTGAATCAGCTTTCTTTGGTGTTGATGGTAATGATGAACTTGATTGTGTTGTTGGTGTGGTGTTGCTAGTGGTATTGCTATTGCTTGTGGTAGTTGAGGTTGAGGTTGATGTTGTTGTCGGTGTAGATTCTTCATTGGGTTGATTACCAACCACCAAATTCTCATCGAGTTCAACCGGTGTCTGACCATTGCTCTGACTGTCACCATTCGATTGCTCCTTTGAACTATCGATGGTAGAGTTTAACATCTTTATCGAAGGAGACTGTGACTTTGGTGGTGAATTTGATCCAGAGCTGTTTGTCTGTGAGGTAGACTCTGAGTTGTTCGCACTCTGAGTCAAAGGTTCTGGAAATTGAGAGGTAGACGACGATAAGCTTGAACTAGTTGGTACAAAACTAGAGACTGTTGGTGTATCTTGGAATGGTTCATGTTCTTGTTCGTCATCCGATGATTTGATTGCTGATGTCGCTGTTTTCTCATCATATATAATACCATTCATTGCATCTTCAAAGATCTTGGTTCTTGTACCACCACCCTGTTGAAACAATGTTTGAAGTGTTGCAAATGCTAAATCTCTTGATAAAAATGCTGAAAAGAAATACTATAAATATCAACAACAACAACAGTAAAGATGAGATGATTAGTAATCAATCATTTAAAGATAATATGTTTGTTTTGATTCAATCAAACTTACTTTTTGAGTTGAAGTGCATACTTCAATTGCATTGGGGAATAAATAAACAGAGTATTTCTTTGAGATGTTTGTAATATCTTTGATTGGAATGATGATCTGTGTCGATCCTAGTTTTGGTGCATAGGAAACATGTTGTTGTGAAATATATAATCTTCCAATGGAGACTGATCCACCATCGGTATAACTACAGCTGTATTCTATAGTATTGTTGTTGTTATTCAAAAGTTAATTGATTATTGTCCTTTCAGAGCAGATAAGATCTGCTATTCTTTGTTTATTATCTCTTTTCTTTTTTTATTTATCTATTTACCTTCAATTAACTTTTCATCGTTTGGTATCGATTGGAATATCTGATGAAAAGAGTTTTCATCTTTGACGGCTACTGTCATGATTTTCTGTATGATCGAATTGGTTCCCGGTATATAGGTTAAAAAAGATGGATCCTCTCTCTTTTGACCGCCGTTGGTATATGGCGAATGAAGATAAATGATTGCAAGTTAAAGTCCGCTGTAAAATCTATGAATATATAATAGAGGTTCAGTGACTGTATTATCCCTCTACTACTTGTTTTTCTTTTTTAAAAAATTTAACTAATTTACTATCTAAACGAATAAAGAATTAACAGATAGATAAGAAAAATTAGTAAATTATTATTTGTTTTTTAAAAAAAAGAAAAAGTAAACTAAACTATTTATATCAGAATCATATAAATAAATTTAATAAAACAACAATTGAGATTGTTGATGTTGTGTTGTTGTTTCTTTCAACAACAATAGAAATAAATAAAATAAAACACCTTTGAAAAAAAGAGATAGGAGAATTAAACAACAACATCAATTTAAATATTCAGTACTACACACCACCACCAAATTTAAATGATAGTACTATTTGTAAATTTTTGAAATTGATGAGAAGCAAACAACATCATGATTCAAGAAAAAAAAGAAAAATACAATAAACAGTCACCAATTCAGTCGGTCAGGACAAGATTAATCTTATTTTTATGAATATTATTGAAAGCAGTATTGTTGGTAGGTGTCAGAAAGAGTGAATGTAGTGAAAATACGCAATTTATCGTCTAGTTAGGTGGAGCAGCACTGCTTTTTAGATAGATAGTGGTACTAACTATAGAAAAAAAAAAAAATTAATAAAAAAAATATTGCATTCTATCTAATATGTGAACTCTAATTGTTTATGTCTAGAATGTGTGTGTGGTATATTATTATGTGCGTGTGATGTGGGTTTAATAGATTTGAATATGCAAACGAGCATTTTCTATTGGTGAACATTAGATTAACTTTGCTTTGTGTGGTATATTATTATTATTATTCATATAGTATATGTATATTGTATTGTAAATTAAACTATTGCTCTTATAAAATAATTATATAAACAAAATAATATTTTTAAAAGAGAAATAGATATTGTTTTTTTAGTTTTAAAGATATTTACTTAATAGTAGTATTTAAAATACTGTTTTGTTTGTTTTTTTTTGGTTATTATTATATTATTTATAACTTAGGAATAATTCTCTTCTTGCATTAATTATGATTGAATAAATTATAATACAGCTTTGTTAATTAAATATACGTTGACTTTTTTGTTATTTTTTATTTTAAATATTTTTTGTGAAGTTGACAATTTGAATTTAAAATTGTGAGGTTGACTGAAATACCAGGGTCTCTTTCAGATTTTTTTTTTTATATTTTAAAACATGAGAGGAACTTAAAAAAAATTTAAAAAAAATCCCCAATAATTAAAATATTTAGATTTTTAATTATACAAATTGAACACACTTACATTTTGATTATAAATAGTTAAATTAATTAATATCTTTTTAAGAAAGAAAAAAAAAAAGAAATTTGACTTAATAAAGAGTAAAGTAAATATATTCAGTGTGTTTTAACAAATATAAATAATAAATATTCTTAATTGAATTATTTCGATGTTGATTTTGAGCAAAAGAATAGAAGACTTCTTTTTTGCGAACAAATTATTATTATTTAAAAAAAAAAATTTTTTAAAAAACTTAATTTAAGAAAATTTTTTAAAAAACCACCAAAACATCATCTGAAATTTTGTATATGATGATGAATGTTTTTATTTGATGACGAATCCAAAAGCAAAAATTCCAAATTTGATTAATTTTTTTTAGTAACGACCAACTTCTTTCATACCCATTAATTAGTGGCACTAAAATTTAATTAAATGATTGTCATGAATGACTCAATGCCTGGCGATCATTTGTTGTTCTCAAAAATCAATAAACCTAAGATCTGATTTTTGTTTGATTAAATTTACTTAAATTGAACAAAACAAATGAATATTTCTTTGATTTTTAATTTAGCTAAAGATATTTTCAAAATAACCTTGTTTCTTTTTTTTTTTGTTTGAAAAACATTGAGAGAATAAGATCAGAAGAAAGATAACTATGATCTGATAATTATCTATTTTTTTTTTTTTTTTTTGATTTTAAAAAATGAACAATTGTGATAAAGTTAAGAAAGGAAAAAAAAAGATATTTATATGTACTTTTATATTATATGTTTGTTTTAAAAGTTATTGTTCAGACTTGGTTGATTCACGCAGGGCTGGGTTGTTATCAAGTTTTTCTAAAATTATTCTAGATGATTTTTCAAAAGCCTATATATTACAAGTAATGACAATGATAGTGAAAGATTATTAATAATTTGAAATCAATTTGATTAGAGAGGAATCGAATGTATGTATAATAACTTACTTCATTTACATTGGTACCAGTTTTAGCACTGGCTTCAAAAAACAAAAGACCGTGTTCCTCTGCGAATGACTGTGCCTCTGCAGTGGAGACTTGACGTGCACTCTCGAGGTCACTCTTGTTACCGATGAGAGTGATGGTGATGTCACCGGTTGAATATTTTCTACAATCGCTGAGCCACGATGTCAAACTGTCGAATGTCTCACGTCTGGTGATGTCATAGACAATCATAGCACCGACAGCACCTCTATAATAGGCTCTGGTGATACTTCTAAACTTCTCTTGACCTGCAGTGTCCCATACCTGTATCTTTAGCTGTTTATTATCGATGTCAATGATTCGCGATCCAAACTCAACACCAATGGTAAACTCTGAATTCGGTGAAAATCTTCTATCAACAAATTGCAATGTTAAATTACTCTTTCCAACCGCTAAAAAAGATTAATTAATAGATAGAGTTGAGGTGTAAGTAAATAGATCGGTTTTCGAATATAATTATAATAGACAGTTCAATTATTGTAAAATTTACCAGAATCTCCGACCATAATATATTTTAGGAAATGTGTATAGTTAACCTTTCTTTCATATACATATTGATTTTTATTTTCTCCACCTCCACAACAAGACATGTTTGTTTTCTAATGTGTTTTCTAAAATCTATCGAATATAATTATACAATGATGAAGCTGTTTGTTGTTTCTTTTGTCGTAGTAGCGCGATCTTATTTGTTTTATTTAGATTTGCAAATGTTCTCTATTGATGAAAAAAATTAAAAAAAAAATATTAATTTACTTTTGTTGTTGATTTTTTAAAATAAATTAAAGAAAATTGCAAAAAAAAGAAAAAAGAAAAAAAGTAGCAAGAGAAAATTCAAGTTGAAACAAATCAAGAAATGAAAATGAATGAATGCGATATTACATAATGAATGTATAATACAAATTGAATTGGATTGAATAATATTAAAAAAACTATTAATACTATTTTTGTTTTTTAGATTCTATCTATCTAATTTTAAAATAAAAACAAACTAAACTAAATAAAAGAAATAGAATAGTAGAATGGATTTTTGGTTTGATTTGTTATGTTTGTTGTTGTTGTGTGAAAAGCTATCAATAACAACAAATTGACTATTATTTTTATTGTTTGATTGTTTGTGGTCGTGTTTGGATTTGTCGTTAAAGTGGTTATGATTTGGATGTGATGAGAAAAGTGGGTGTGATTGCTGAAAGTATAGGGTGTAATAAACAACGATAATCTACAGGATTTATCCTTTTAAAAAATTGTTTTATTTTTGATTCGAACTTTTAAAAGTCATTCATTATTTATTCATTGACAATTTTTATCGTTTTGTTACTACTACACTACATATGATATAAAAAACTAACAACCCAAACCAACAATCTTTTATCAATCTATTAACTTTTTAATTAATTAAAGTTATTTTAGAGAGAATAGTTATCGATATTTTTTAAGTAGTTTATAATATATATACATATATTGTATAACTATCTTTATTTTATTCTATCTCAATTTTTATTTTATTTAATAAGATACTCTAAAGATTACAGATTTGGGGTGGGAGTAATAATAATAAGAAGCGTTGACAATAAAAAACACAATGACAATTATAGAAATATCAAAAGGGTTTGAGATGTATCAATAACATTGTGTTATGCATACTTTATTGCTGATGTTTTGAAAACTATGTTTACACTATATATATTTATAATTTAAAAAAAAAACTAATACTGTTATTATATTTATCTTTTGCTCTGTTTTGTTTTTTTTTGTTTTTTGTTTTTTTTTTTTCGATTTTTGAATTATTAATTTTTTTGAACAGATGAATCTGTGTGGTAATAAAGACAACAACCAAAACAACTTTCTTTGAAAGTTATTACTTTAATTTGAAATATAACTTTAATTGTTTTCTCAATTTTGTACTACCTTGCATGACTATATATATATATATACTTTATTTTTTGAGAAAAGAATTCTCATATTTTATTTATTTATTTTTATCTTTTTACTTTTTTTTTTTTTTAAATTTCAATTAAATTTGTTATTTATTCATATACATAGGCGTTATTTTATTTGTAAAAATGATATAAATATTATAACTCTTCTCTTCTCCTAAGGGTATAAAATAAAATCAAAATTAATAAAAAAATTAAAAAAAAAATTAAAAAAAAAAGTCGACTGAGTGATAATTATGATTATGAAAATCGAGAATTTCTTTTAAACATTATCAATTATTGAGATCAATAATTGAAGTAGATCAGATTAGAATGTCAAATTTGTTTTCAGCATTAATCAGAAGAACTGTATTACCATTTCAACAGCAATGTAGTGGTGCATTCCTTACCACTATGAGAGCTGAACCAAAGAAAGGTGCTCCAGCTGGAAAGGGTGCCGTCAAAAAGAAGGCTGGTGGTGCTCCAAAGAAGAAGAAGAATGGTAATCAATCATAATCATAATAATAATCAATAGAGGAAAATAGACAGTAGTAGTAGCAATAGTATAAATAGTAACGACAGACAACGACAACAACAGCAACAACAAACCAAGCATATTGTTGTTGGAAGATAGATTAGATATCTTTTTTGAGATGCTATCTATATTTATAAATACAACTATAGCATAGAAAATACCTTTTAACAATTCACGAGGACAGACTATAGTTGATTTTTAATGAATATACAAGATTAATTCATAGAATAGAATAGTAATGACAGGAATAACAATAATAATAGTTTTTTTTAGTTTAGAATGATGATAATGAAGATCTTTAATTGCTAATACTTTAAAAATGATTATTATTATTATAATTATAGATAGAGGAAACACACCATTACAATTAGAAAAGGTAGCACCACAATTGTTTACAACCAAATTACCACAAAACGATTCAGACTACCCAGATTGGTTATACGAAATCGAAGAACAATTACCAAGAGATCAACCAGTAAAGATTTTGACACCTGCCGATGGTGGTCGTTATTTTAAACAACAAAATAGAAAGAAAATTAAGTTACACAATGAAATCATGTTGGCAACCAAAGGAAAAGGTCTATAAAATAAATAGTGATAACATAACATAACATAATAATAAAACATATATAAAATATACAATATTAATTTAAAGTTAAATATCTTATTAACAATTAATCCTTTTATAATATATTAATCTTTACTGTGGATTTTGTTATGTTTTGTTTTGTTTTTTTTTTATTTAAACTGTTTTAAAATAATAATAATGTTTACATATTTGCTTCTTCTAAAGCTTGCTTGGCCAAAGTTTCAGCCTCGTCCTTCAATGGTGCTGGTACCATTTGATGAACATTGTTTGATTCAGTAGAGATCCAACTCAACTCCAATTCGAAATCTTTATCCTTTACTTCATCATGTACAGAGTAAATACTAAAAAGAACAATAATTACAATCGAATCAAATTTTATATTAGTATACAAATCTAGATGTTATTTAATCATCATCATCATCATCATGATTGTTATTATTATTCATACATTTTAGAAACCAACTTGATTGCCTCACGGCATGTAATATCGGCAAACTTTACTTTTTCTAATTCATTCTTTGCTGCTTGTTTACCTTTACCCATAGCAGTACCGAAATATCCCTGCAATTATGATCATATTATTATTATAATTTATGATGATTAATACATATAACTACAATTATGATTGTTTTTGCTTTGTAATACTTACGATACATGATCCAGATGGTTCAATTAAGAAAAGTTGTGGTCCGTATGAATCAATACCAACTACGGTGATCGAACAACCAAATGGTCTTACACTACCATACAATGTGAAAGCATGACAGAATCTGCAAATGAAAAATAGAAAATATAGTTAATAGTTAGATTATCTTTGATCTTTATTAAACCCTCTATAGTTGTGGTTGTAGTTGCGATACATACGAAGCAATACGTTGTGATAATACTTTAATTGGAATTGGTTGACCATATACCTGTTTGTATTGTTTTGCTTCATCACGAGCTCTCAAAACCAATTGTCTTGCATCAGTTAAAAATCCAGCAATACCCTATTTTTCATGAAAATATATATGTTATTAAGTTACGTTATGTTATTAATTTGATTGATCTTCATGGTTGATTGAATGATTGTGATGATGAACGTACAATTCCAACGTGTAAATCTATAGAGTGAATTCTTCTGTTTGAGGTAGATTCCAACATCTTTGATGGAATGATCTTTTCGACACCAATGACAACACCATCCTTAGCTCTAATTGCAACGACAGTACCACTGTTCTCTACTGCCTTGTTGGCATACTCTATTTGAAAGATCTTACCATCCGGTGAAAAAGTAGATACTGATAAATCATACTAAATGTATTATATTATATTAAATTAGCAAAGTAAATCATAAAACACAACATTTTTGTTTTTAATATCGCATCTAACTCTATACTTACACCTGAACCAACACTTGTCATTTTTCTTTTCTATATAAATATATATATGTAAGTAAATTAAATAATAACAAAAACAATAATAATAAGATAAAATATAATAATAATATTAAATTTATAACTTTTTTTTTAAAAAATATTTACAAAATTGATCAAAAATTTAATAAATTAAAAAAAGTTTGATGATCACCTAATTAATTTCACTTTTTTTTTAATTTTTTAATTTTTTGTTTTTTAAACTGGTTTGAAGTTCAACACAAAGAAACAAATGATAAAACACACACAAAAGCCTGAAAAAAACATAAAACAAATAAATAAAATTGAATTGAATTGAAATCGATATAATTTAAAAGAATAGAATAAATACATATGATAGTCGCCAGAGAAGAGTCGACGTCGCAAAACATTAATTTTTGTAATAAATTAAAATGATAATTCAAATTCAAATAAAATTGAAGATAAATAATGATTTAAAAGTGTAAGGGTGTTTATGTCAATAGTTTATTCTTTGGACCAGTCAGACTTGATGGAGAAACCATATTCGATGTCGAGATGTTTAGCTCCGTCGTCATCCTCGAAAGTGATCTTGGCAGTGTAGCTACCTCTGGCAAGAATACCAGATGGTGCCTCTTCCCAAACATTACGTGGAACGGTGACCTCGTGGTATGCAGCTTGTGGACCAAAACTACCCAACATATTCTTGACAGTGGCAACTGTGTTTATTAAAAAAAAAAAAAAGAAAAAAAAAAAAAAAAAGATTAATATTTTGTTTTAAAAACAAAACTGTTGTTGTAATCTCTTCACTTACCTTTAATACCCTTTCTGTAGGCTGTGTTGACATACTTGAGACCAGATACGATATCGTGTTGTACCTTGAATACGATACGGATCTTATATTTACATTCTTCCTTGAGAACGAATGGGGTGTTCTTCATCTTCTCGATACTCTCTTTGGTTTCCAAATTATAGGTGATGTTACCTCCTGGACGGTCTTCAAACATGACAATCATCTCCTGAACGACGACTCTTCTTGGGTCATCCTTTGCTGTTAGAAAAGGAAGAATAAAAATAAAAATAAAAAAAGAGAGAAATTGCGATTGATGATAAGTAATTTATCAATTTGATAAATTGTTTAGTGTTGTAGTTCTTTGTATACATACGACCAGCAACAGCACTACCCAACAATGCTTGTTTGTATTTACGGAGTGATTCATCTTCTGCATCTTGATTCATAAGCTCATCGACAGTGACCTTCTTGGATGGCTTGTATTCTGGGGCATCTACTCTTTCATCGTCAGACATGATTTATTCACTATTGTTTGTTTTTTTTTTTGTTTTTTTTTAAGTAATTTAAAACATTGATTAATTAAATTGAACATTAAACACAATATTATTATCTTTATCTTTTATTATCATGCTTGTAATATATCCAATATCTATCTATAAAAAAAACAAAAAAACATACATTTGAATTTATTACTAAAAAAACAGATATTATACAAATCTTTTATATATATATTTTGATTGATTTAAAAAATTATTATTGTACAAAATTATAAAATAACAACAAAAAGTAAAAAAGATTGTTTTTTTCACAGTGAACTTGTTTGATAGCACAACACAAAATTTCAATTAATTTAAATTTAATTATTTTTTTTTCTAAAAGTCAAAATAAAAAAATTGATTCTAATAAAAAACCACAAAAACCCAAAAACAAAATAATTTTCTTTTTGCAAAAATAAATTGAACAAAAAATCATCAAATTTATGTGTGATCCTTTTTTTTAATCACAAGCAAAGATTATTGATCTTAAAATGGACTCAACAATTATAAACCACAATGGAATTGATGATTTCTTCAACTAAATGAATTCGATGAATCAATATATTTGGTCTTTAAAAAAAAAAAAAAAAAAAAGTATATTGATTTATTTACTTATTATTACATTTCAATTATTTTTGATCCACACCAAATTCTATTGCGATCGTCTTCCATATCAAACAATTCCCATTCACAACTTGAAATGTTATATCTATGGTTGCCATAGGAATGACCTCCAACCAAATAGATGTAAGAGGATTGTATATCGTTGTTGTTGTTGTTGTTGTTGTTGACTGTGAGATAGTTCATTGATAGTACATCACCTAAAGTAATAAGAGGTTCCAATGTGGTGAATTTCTCGGTTTCAATGTTGTATCGGATGAATCGCATATCATCGGTGTGAATATAGATCGAACCATTGCCATCGGTACAGGCCGCTCTTGGTTTAGAGGTGTTCAGAACCTTTTGTATTTTGATATCGGACGATGTTTTGTTCTCTGTATCGAATTGTACGATGACATTACGATTATATGGAATCGAATAGATCATTCCTTGATGGAAGAACGATAGTATGTGTACACCAAGTAGATCGTTAGTTACAAACACATGATACTTTTCAAATTGTCGGGTGTTAATATTGAATCGATCGACTCTATTTAGGTATTTCTTTTTGGTTTCGTTGTACCCGTTGATCAAGTAGATGTAATCCTGACCGTCGTAGCACAATGATATCGATCTTCCAAGTAGTAGTCCATCGATATCTCCATTTAGATCGATTGATTTCGTAGCCAGTGAAATTCTACAGTATTTATCTTGAGTGTTCTTGGCTTTACTACCACCAAACACATAGAGATGTTCGCCAATTCGCAGGAAATTGGCAAAAGTACAATGAAGATTATAATCGATTTTAAATGATTCTTTTTCTTTAGTGTTGATATTGATGAATGTAATACCAAACTCTTTATCCGCTGCAACAATATATAGTTGTTTAGGTTGTATTACTGCTGCTGCCACTTCATTCGGTTGTTGTTTATTTATTTGTCTCAGAGGTGGCGGCACTACTACCACCTTTAATGACTGTTCAATTAAATTCTTTGAATTGTTAATTCCATCTTGATTAATAGATAGTTTATAGTCATTGCTGATTTCATTGGTCAAACTCGATGTTAAATTGAATTGCGAGTTATGTTTGATCATCAAATCGAAAAGCTCCAATTTGAAATCTCTATCGTTGATCCGTTCATTGCCATGATGATTGGGATTGTAGAATAGAGTACTATTGTTATTCTCTATGAAACTAATGATTGATTCCGTCTCTTTAATTGATTTAATTATATTTTCCAATTGATATCGATCGGTTGTATCCTCATGAATGTCACCATCACATGACATAGATGACGATGATGACGAAGAAGATGCAGCAGATTGTCCATTTTGACCATTGTGCTGAGCGGCAGTGCTAGTGATTTTCAATATATTGACCAACGATTTCAACTCTGATAACTGTGTTTCCAAATGTTGTTTGAGTTGTTCAAAGTCTGTACTGATTGTCTTTTTCAATTTGTGCTCTTGGAGTACCAGGTATTCATGGAAACCACCGAAATAACCTGATATCTCACCTTCTTGAGATTGTAATGAATGGCATCGCTCGGTTAATTCTCTCATCGTCGACCATAGCTGCGATAATCTCGATTTTATAAGACATTCCTTTGTCTGATGTTCGTTGTCATCTAATAATTTGCTATCTGCAATATCATCGATATGATCCATCGTGTGATTGGTATGACTCGATACACATCTTGAACATATTGCTAAATTACATTGATAGCAAATCAATTCACAATCTCTTCTATGCTCTGCACATCTAATAGTTGGACAGTCCATATTATTATTATGATAGTTGATATGCTTTGTTAAAAGTATGTTTTTAAGTAATAATTTAGTTGTGCAAAAATAAATGTAACCTATTTGTAAAAAGATCTGATTTGATTTATGTGTGGAAATTTCCTGGAAACAAAACTCTCCCAAAGATGTGTTATAACCTTCAGTTTTAAATTCAAAGTTTAATTTAATTAAAAATGATGATTTCTTTATCAACATCGGGGTTATCATCTGATCATTTAGGATGGTTATGTTCTTGATTATGTAATAAAAATATAGTAGGTTATGATTTTAAGTTCCGAAACTTATTTCATTTGTTTATAAGTTTTTAAGATTAAGAAAAATTATTAAAATTATTAATTTGTTATTTAGTTCAATCAGTAATGACAATTGATATCACCATAAGATCTTACCCCAGAAGAAGTGATTCTGAAAATTATAGATGTTATTAAAGAAATAACTAACATCATAGATCCTATCAAAGAATATATTTTTCTCTTTAAATAATTTTTTTATGAAATTCAAAATGATTTTTTAATTTATGTAAAATCAGCCAACAAATTGTTTATTCATTATTTTTGTCAATTTATTGTTATTAAAGATGGGAGATAAAGAAAATAATAACAATAATAATAATAATAATAATAGTAGTAATAGTAATAATAGATCACCACCTACAAATAATATATCATTATATTGTAAAGATGTTAAGAAACAAAAGAGATTAGCGATGGTATGCGCCAGTAATCAGAATAGAAGTGTAGAGGCACACAATCTATTCCTATTGAAAGGTTATAGGAATATTAGATCGTTCGGTACCAGTGGTAACTGTAAGCTACCGGGACCTTCACAGGATCGTCCCAATATATTCCCGTTTGGCACACCGTATCAATCGATACACGAGAGTCTCAGACAACAGAATCAAGAGCTGTACACCCAGAACGGTATTCTCAATATGCTCGAGAGAAATCAACGAGTGAAACTAGCACCAGAGAAGTGGCAAGAAGAGCAGTTGGCTCGTTTCGATATAGTATTCACTTTTGATCAGCGTGTCTTTGATATGGTCGTCGATGACCTTACACAACGCGATATCACAGCACCTATGCAACCGGTGCACATTGTCAATCTACAAGTGAAGGACACTCACGAAGAGGCTGCTGGTGGTGCATCACATGCACTTCAACTACTCAACCTAATCGATGAAACCGAAGACAACTGGGAAGATTCAATGGATGACATATTGGAAAAGTTTTATAGAAAAACAGGTAGACAACTATTATATACATTAATGTTTTATTGATAAAGATATGTAGAGGAGATAGAGATATATAATAGTAACTAATTATTATTAATAATAATAATACAAGTTTGATAGTTAGATAGATAGCATAACAATCATAATTCACATAGATGACCAACCCTACAACTTTTCAAATGTCATCCAAACAAATTACAAATATATTATTGATAATCAATAACAATTAAATAATAAACTAAAATGATCATTATGCTATCATATAAATAAACATTATTTTTCTATGATTTATTTCTTTAATACTCTATTTTATTGTTATTATGATTGTTCTTTTGTTTTTCTTTTGCTTTTCTTTTACTTTAAAAAGATAACACTGGATCTTTGTAAATGGATGTTGGTTCACCGTGAACTCTAGTTCTATAGATACATGTATAATCATATCCGAAATTCGATAAGACCTTTAAAACTACAATTGGAAACACTTCTTCATTCTATAATTATTTGATTGGTTGTTAGTTAGCTATTTTAGTTATAATGATTTGATTTGATTAGATAGCTTACATTGATTAAAAATGTTTGAATATGTTTGTTATTCTTTTCGAATCGGAATGTACCGAGATGTGTACCGGTGTCTGTTTCGTTGCGGACACCTACGACGCTAAACTCTTGGAGTGCAGATTCAAAGTGGTAGGAGATCTTTGGATTGGGATGTTCGATTGTAATTGCTTTGACGATGATCGGTTGTGCCAACTTGATAGCGATGCTACCGTTCTGTCCTTTGAATGCCCAGCAGTCACCGAGGAGATTACGCGATTGGTCCAAGATGATCTCCGGTACGTTTGGTCGGTGATCTGAGCGGATCCATTGAGTAGCCACTCTAAGCAGTGCCGGTATAGTGATCTCTGGATAGGTCTCTGTATTTGGATGATGCACCAAGCCATACTGAATACTGGCACCACCACGTCTCAGGGCATAGTCCAACCTCGCAGTCTTATCGGAAGCATACACCTCCAGAGCATTGTCAATCAACGATTGAATCTTCTCAACCGTAATCAAACTTGATTCCAACGATTGTAACTCTGGTGAATCTTTAATCCATTGTTGAATACTATTGATCTTCAAAGATATCTCTTGTAATGATGAATCTATAAATATTAATTTATATAATAATAATAATATTATTATTATTAGTATGAATGATGATGATAAACACACCTAAACAAACAAACGACTGTTACTTACATAATTTATCTTTTTCATTTTCTTGTGATTTCTCTAATTGTGAAATGAGTTGTAATGTATGAGATTGAGTGGTAGATTCAAAGTCTTTGATGAGCGATTCGAATTTCTCTTTGCTCTGCGATTGCAGTTGTTGGATGAGAGTGTTCTTCTCGGCGATGAGTTGATCGATGAACGATTTCGTGTTGGTGCTGAGTTGTTCGCGTTCCATTCTGGCGAGTTCTTTGATTTGCTCGAGGAATTTCTCATAGACAGTGGCAGAGTCTTGTTTGTACTGGATGAACAACTCATTGATATCCTTGCCAATGGAGACACTCGATTGCAGCTTGACATCCTCTTCCAGTCGGTTGACCTTATCAAAGAGAGGAACGTGCTCCTTTTGTTTGAAATAATCGATCTTCTGTGTGATGACATCGATCAACTTTTGATTGTTACCACTAATCTCATCCATATATGCTAATTTTATCAAATCCATCTTTTCATCGATTATCTTGTTGATCTTTGCATCTATAGATATTAAATATAACAATATTAGCATTAATATATATTAACACAACTATAATATTAATTATTATTTTCAGATACATTACTATTTGAATTAAGTAATTCATGTAATATTTGTTGTAAATATTCTTTGTCGATTTTAGTTGGTGGAATGACAGTGTTGTTATTCGTGTTGATATCGAATGGTGTTGGTCTGACCAGTAAGAGATATACTGCAAACAGTGATACCAACGATACCAATGTTACCCATGATATTATTCTACATTTGTTTTCAATCTTTCCTTTTGTTTGATATGTCATCTATAAATAAATAAATAGATAAATAATAATAAGATTAGCGATGATTATGATGATGTATGTTAATAATAAATATAACAATATTAAATACTTACATCAACAGGACCTCTAAATATACTCATTATAAATACATCGAGCCATACTATTGGTAATATGACCAATCTGAGTAAATAAAGAATTGGTGCAATTGTATATTTGTAAACTATTGATCTATTATTATTGTTGCTATTTGAGTTATTATTGTTATTATGTTGTTGTTGTTTTGTTGATATTGGTTGTTTATATTTTGAATTACTGCTATTATTTAAACTATTATTGTTGTTAATATTTGATGAGGATGTTGTGTTTGTGTTTGTTGTTGTTGTTGTTGTTGTCAAAGATGATGATTCATTATAATTATCATCTGCATCGAATTGAACATTATTATTATTATTATTAGAATACAAAGTGGATGAAGTTGTTGATGATATTGGTCTTGCTCTTGTTGTTGATTGATGTAAATCATTACTGTTATTGGAATCAAAGAATCTAGATCTAGATGTTGTAGACATCGTATTGATCTGATTCATCTACATAATGACTGTTGTTATTATTATTACTTTGATTCTGATAGAGCAATGCATTGAATTTATTGGTAACTGTCGATGATGACTTCTCATCATCTGTACTTGACACCGATCCATATTTATTCACTCTAGATGTCTCTGGTATATGAATCACTCTTTTTCGATTCGGTGTTGATTTACCATAACTTGGTTGATAGTTTGAATTCATATTTCGATCAAATAACTACTCTTAATCTTCTTCTTTCTTCTTTCTTCTTCTTACTTTTTATGAAAAAACTAAACTTTTAATAAAAAAATAAAAATAATAACTATAAAACTAAAACTTAGATTTATAATTATAAAAGAAAAGAAGATGATGTTGTTGTTTGTTGGGGGTGTTTCTTGTGATGATCATCATCGTGACAAAAAAAATTAATTTCGAATTATTTGATCAAAAATTGGCGCTTTTTTTTTTATTAATTATTTGTTTGTTTTTGTTTTTGATTATTATTATTATAATATCTTTTTTAAACCAATACAAATGTTAATAATGATAATATTAAAATTAAGAAACTGGAATATGTTAGAGTGAATCCAGTGTTGGAGTTACTGTTTTCATTTTCTTCGTGGGTTGCTGGATTGTTGTGATTGACTGGTGTCTGTACTTTTGGTTTGGTGGTGGTGATCTTTGGACACTTGGCGTCGAGCGATGAATAGGTTGGATCGCTAGCGTAATTGGAGTTACATCTGAATTGGTAGCAAAGCCAGTCGTTGTAGCACTTTGGACAGGTCTCTGGCAGGGTTCTGGTGCATTGGTTGTCGATCAAGCACTTGGCGACAGTCTCGGACATGTCCTTGCAAGCAGAGATCGACATTGCACCGTCGTAGCCAACACAGACCTTGTTGCTTCCGGTACAGGCACACGATCCACCACCACACTCGGAATCTACATAGCATTCCTTGTCCAAGTAGCTGTTTCTCTTACAGATATTGGCGTTCTTATCACATACGTATCCATCGTAGACATTACATTGCTCTGGACTATGACAAACAGTACCGATCTCACCACTGTACTTCTCTACACACTTGTCACCACTACAGACTTCATTTACCAAACACATTGAATCTTTAGAACATGATCCACCAGGCTAATAATTTTTATTATTTTAGAAAATGTTAGTTATATTGTTTGTTTGTTTTTTGTAATATCAATTTAAATATAAATAAATAACTTACAGTTGCTTTAATACATTTAGATTCTGAGCAATAGTAATTTAAACCACATTCATCGTCATCGGAACAATCTTTGGAGGAACAGACATCGTTAAGACAGTCGGAGGTGTCGACACAATTTCTATTTACACAACTCTCACCGTTGGCAGCTTCAAGGATACATTGACCGTTGGCACATTTCATCTTGGTGACATCAGAAGCACAGTCGCTATTGGTCGAACATGTACCATTATCTGGTTTTCTTTCTGAACAAATTGTATGATAACAAACTAATGGATATAGACATTCTTTGCTATAAATTGATTTTTATTTGAAAAAATAAACAAATAATATTAAATTAATATTTATAATTACAAATTTAATATTTATAAATTTAATAACTATTACTTACTGTGATGTACAAGATCCACCTTTTGATTTTGGATCAACTAATTTACATTCATTTCCAGCATGAACCAATACAATTGTTAGACAACCTATTAAAAATAAAATATTTAGAATTTTCATAACTTTATAGTTTTTTTTTATTGTTTTGATTTTTGTTTTATATATATTAATGTTAATCTGAATTATCTAAAACAATAATGTTAAAAGGATTTCTTGAATTTATATTTAATCTTTTGGAAGATCAATTTAAATAAAAAATAAATTTAATTGATTTTAATAAATATTTTCCATTTCTAATACTATTCGTATATAAACTAAACACCAACATCAAACCCACCCAATTTATCAATTATTACTTTTATCATCGATCTAATACTAATAAAACGTCTAACAATTAATGTTCAACTTTGGTTAAAATTGATTTACATGTTGACATAGATTACAATATTGTCATTTTAAAGCTGTCGTAATTTTGAAGATGAACTAATCAATATCAAAATCAAAATACACTTTTTCTAAATATAATAAATATCAATCAAAATATAAAATTAAAGGACAATAAATGATGATTACATAATATATGTTTTTGGGTTTACAAACTAAATAAAAAAAATGAAATGAATCAGTACATCACACATCACATTCACACCACACAATTGCTAGTTAGTTAATTGTTTTGTAGATGATTCTCACACACCCACACTCATCATCATCCACAAATCAACAACACTATTTTCAGTAAAAAAATAACAAACAAATCAGAATTTGTAAATAATTTATACAATTAAAATCTGACTATTTATTTTAATATGATATTTGATGATATAATAACCTATTTTGTATATAAATGATTGATTGATTGATTGATTGAAAATAATATAAATATATTATGAAACATATGAATATCAACAAACTAAAATCTATCTATCTCTATCTATTTTGAACCAAATAATCTTCTTTTGATCTCTTTCTTTAGGAATAATAATTCAGTTGCACTATTTGAACCAATGAATCCTCTGTTTTCTTGCATACGACGAATCAAATAGGGCAATACTTCTTGTACTGGTCCATACGGTACATATTTGAATACTCTTTGATTCTGATTGACGAGATTGAGTGAGAGGAAATCAGCCATACCAAAGAGTTGACCGAATTGAATGTTTGGATTCTTTGGATCGATGTTCAATTGCTTCATTCTCTCGACACCAAAGTTGACAGATTGTTCGTTGTGAGTGGCAAACATGATACCGATGTTTGAAGAATCCTTGAGGAGTGTTTCCATCGCTGTGAAGTAGCTGTGATGAGTCTCTTGGATGTTCGGCAGAATCGGGCTCGGATAGCCATGATCTTCGGCACGCTTTCTCTCGGACACCATGTAGGCGCCTCTCACCACCTTTGCACCCAACTTGAATCCCAGTTGCTTCGAGAGTGCCAAGTGGTCGTTCAACATGTTCAAACCCTGTGATAAGTACATCTGATAGGTATTGTAGATCAACGGCTTCGACTTGTTGTATTTCGCAGAGAATGCGATTGCAATGTGATGAATGGCCGCCTGGTAGTAGGACTGCTCGGCATCCACGAGAATTGGAACGTTGGAACGATAGCACTCTGCGAATATCGAATCCAAACGGTTCATCAGTTGCACCATCTCGACCTTCTCAGAGTCTGAGAGCAAGTTTGATGCAGCGTAGATCGCAGTTGGCGAAGTAATGAAATCAGCCGGCAGTTGTTGTTTCTGCTGAATGGCAGACAACACGATTTGATTCAACTTCTCCATGAGTTTGGTACCGGTCAAACCAGTTACCTTGACACAACTGAATGAGTAATCCGGATATTTAGCTGCGATTGCAATTGTCTTTTGAATCTGACTTGCAACGTGATCGAATGACTCTGGAGTACCATCTTTATCTTCAACACTGTAATCCAAGATCGTTCCAATGCCTTGATCATTCAGCTTCTTTGTGAATTCCTCAGTTTCATCGATAGTTTCACCTGCACAAAATTGTTTAAAGAATGTATGTTTAACAATGAAATTCATTGGTACTGATAATCCCCAACTAAATTTAAAATTAATGAGAAAGAAAGAAAACATAATAAAATTAATTTTACAAATTCCAATGGAGCGTTTATGCTGATAATTAATAACAACTTACTTGTTTGCGAAATTAATGAATGCAGATCCATTCTCTGAGAATATTTTGAATGTACATAACTTTAGAATGAAAAATGAAAACATAAGTTCACTTGTCGACTTTGACGAGTATATCTTTTGAATGTCGATGTTTGGTGGTGGTTGAGCGACTTCTCCATCCTCAACTGCAAGGAAAAATAATGGAATTATAAATCCTGCTCCCAATAATGGTACCATATATTTAAAATTTGAATTGTTATTATTATTATTTTGTTGTTGTTGTTGTTGTTGATATTCATTATTATTGCTGTTGTTGTGATTGTTGTTAGTTGAATAATAAAGAGGTGATGAAATTAATTTATTGTTAAATAAAGTATTGTTGTTATTAAAATATTTATTGTAATGAATCGATTTTGTTGTATTAACATTTTGATTGAATAGCGATGTTGTAGTGACTTTATTAGTAGGAGTCACAATTCTACTTTGACTAAGACATTGTTTTGCTGCTGCTCTGAACATTTACCAATAGTTTGATTGTTTTTGTTTTGTAATAATAATAATAATAATAATAATAATAATTTATTTGTTATATAGTTTGTTTATTTGTTTGTTTGTTGCTTATATAAAAATAATTAAAAGTTAACTATCTAACTAACAATGATATGTATATATATTATTTATAAATATTAAAAAAAAAGTACTATTTATAATAAAGATATTTTTGCTAAATAAAAAAACCAAAATATTAAAGTTTTGTTTGTTTGAATGGTTGGTGTGTGAAAATAAAATAGATAGTGATAATTGACAGGTTTTGTTTGTGTGTGTTAATAATTCTATCACTGGTTATATAAAATTGTGTGAAAAAAATGCTTCTTTTTCTTTTTTTCAACAAAAAATACAACGTTTGATGGAAAAAAACACACCCCTACCTTTAAATCAAACAACTTGAAATTTCGCCCATATAAATTAACACTCAAATCCCAAAAAAACAACCTAAAAGGTTTTTTATTTTTTTTATTTTTTTTATTTTTCTTTGCAAAAAAAAAACATCATTATTTTGTAAAAATATGTCTCCCGAACGATTCCAGATAAATGATGTTTGGTCCAAAAAGGTGAGATATATCTATTTTTTTTTTGAAACGATGATAGAATGATGTTGTTTCGTTTTTAATGATTATTTATTTTTTAAAAAAAACAAAATAATTAAATTGAACCATTTTTGTTTCCCGATATATGTTAAATCATGTTTTCGAATACCATGGATTATTAATCACTATAAAAACATTAACAAATACACCTCAGGTTTATGTTTTTTTTTTTGATAATATTTTATTGTTGTTGTTGTTTGTTGACTTGTTGTTGTTGTTAAAATTAGGATGTTGTCTTTGAGTTTAAGAAATCAACAAAGTACTCTGCGATTTGATTTTGTTGTGGTGGATGTAGTTGTGCGAATTTATAGAATTGACGACGTTGATTTCGAAGTTCCGCTGCATTGAGCATCGAGTGGATGTAGACACGCTTCTCTGTGCCTGGCACCTTGATCTTGTCACCGGGCAACGACGATTGCAGTGCGTCCAACACTACATTGGCAATCTCTTGTGTCACCGTTTCGAGTTGATGTACAAAGTTGGTCGGTGATATTGCTTGTGGCTGAGTGGCGTAGTTTGGTCGCAACTCCTGCACCTCAAACAACGTCTTGTACAACATATCGAACGGTAGAGAATGTTGTGGTTCCAAAGTAAATAACGGTGAATCCCATCGATTCTTTGGATTAGGTACTTCAAATCTATTTGTTAATTCTTCTAATCTATAAATAGTTGTTAATTGTATTTATCTTATAGTTAGTTGTTATTATTCCACTGATTCAAGTGTATTTTAATTATTTACAATTGATCTGTAAAAGCATTTGATTGATCTCTCTCGAGATTCCATTGTTTCGATTGTTCTCTTGGTGTTTGACAGTAGACTAGAAGTAATCTTGTACCAGCAGCTCTTGCAATACAATACAATTCGTATCTATATCCTTTAATATAATTCAAAGAGTCAGCAATAACAATAGTATCTTTTGTCAAACTTCTTTCTACTGCTGCTTTTAATGTTCCTCTTGTCATCTTTTCAGACAATGAATCTATTTTTATAAAATAAACTATGTTTAGAATATGTATGTATTATTAACAACAATACATTGAATAATAATCAAACCTTTATATCCTTGATTTCTATCTATTAATTGAGATTCTTCATTTATAATGATAACCTTCTTTCCCATCTCTTGAAAATGTTTACTGATATCATTTGCTCTAGCAGTCTATATATATTAAAAGAAAGATAGTCGTTTTTAATGAAATGAAACAAACAAATTAGTTTCTTAATTAAAATTCTATATAAATTGTATGATGATATTTACTTTTCCACTTGATGGTGGACCGCTCATAACAATTAAAGGCATTTCAAATAATATAAAGATATATAAGATAAACCAATATATAATTTGTAATAACACAATCTTTCGCTTTTAAAGTTTTGCGAAAAAACGGTGAAAAAGTTTTCGTTTTATTAAATATTTGGTTATTATGATTGTTTCATTCAACTTGTTTTCCAAATTGCTAAAGAGTGAATGATGAATATAATCAGTTAAATACAGTTATAACTATTAGAATGAGTTAATTTGTGTTTATAAACTTACAATTATAAGTGGTTTATCTTTTAATTTAAAACCTTGTAGTTCGTTAAGTGCATCTACGGCCAATTCAATGGTTGGTAATGTAATGAATGCCTGTTGTTTCATTCTTCCTTCTTTGTAGTGTACTATATTCATTTGTTCTTTCATCGTTGTATCACTCTCAAAGTATCTACCGAATAGATAGTAGAAATCATCATTCTCCAAATCCTTTGCTAGATTCTTTAGATATAACTTTCTACTACTGACACCAACCCTCTAGTTTCTTTTTATTTTAATGTTTCTAATTCTAAAACAATAATAATTATTAACATATTGATAGTTGATTATATCATTTAAATATTTAAAACATACCCTCTATTGTAATTCTATTGCTTTCAATATCTACTAGTTTCAATACACCATCTCTATATTTATATTTCCCATTTTCTTGAGATGTGACCGATTGACTTTTGATTCCAATTTTAATTTGAATTCTATTGGTGTCTATAACATTGTTGTTTGTAACACCTTGATTCAATGGTAACGCTACATGATTTTCTACATTATGATCTAATTTAATTTTCTTATTATCATTTAGATTGTCAACTTCATCTTGATCTTCTTCATCTATTTCGTTCTCCTCTTCATTTTTCAAGGTTCTTTTTGTTTTCTGTTGTTGCAGTGGTTGTTGTTGTTGTTGATTTAATTGATTTTGAAGAATATGTTGATTTTGCTGTTCAAAAGGATCGACTTTAAAGTATTGATTCTAAAATGATCGGTTATAAAGTAAATATAAATAAATGATCATTGCTTATTGTTAAAATAATTATATTGATTACTTTACATCTGGTTTAGGAAATATAGATTCGAAAGGTGCAGGTAGATTCATCTGATTCATTAGGTTCAAAACGCTATCATAGAATTTAGGTACTGCATATAATGATTTACAAATATTTGAAGCAATCATATGATTGATAGGCGGATATTGATATTTATGTTTCTTTATCTTATCATCATTGCAATTATTATTATTATTATTATTATTATTATTATTATTATTATTATTATTATTATTATTATTATTATTATTATTATTATTTAGTAATGCTGTAGTTGTTGTCGTTGTTGTCGTTGTTGTTGATGTCGTTTCATTTAACTTGTTATTATCAATATCTTTGTTTGATAATAAAATCTTAACTTTGATTGTTTTGTTGAAAACTACTTGTTTATCAATATCTTTGATTAGAGTATCACGATCCAATTGATTTCTAAATGTTAAAATAAAACATGCTTTCTTATGTTATTAATAATTAGAATATGTATATATAGTAGTAAAATTTTACAAAGTTTATAAAATATACAATACCATTGATTTATCTAATCTTTTAATTGATAAAGTATTATACTTTTGAAACAATTCATTTGTATCAGAGTCATCCAAGAACAAAGGTAAGTTCTTAACAATTACTTTATACTCATTGCTATTACATTCGTTATTATTATTGTCATCTATGTCTATATCTTTGTCATTCATCATCAAATGATCGAAATTTTTTCATAGACATTTTTGGAGTGGTTTTGAACATAAAAATAATAAATTGGTGTTGTGAATTGCCCTAACATAATAAATACAAGTTAATAGTAATTATTTAAGCTATCATTTACAATAAATCTTACAAATGCCATGAATTCTTTTTAATTTTGTTTGGATCTTCTTGTGGTGCTTTCCAATTTGAGAAATATAATGCTTGGTTTGGTGATCAATCAAAATTAATAGTGTTCTAATCACTTATTTAATTTAATACATAATCTGAAAACTATATTATATATATATTAGTTAATTTAGATTTTCTTCAGAGGTAGTTCTGATATCACAATTTAATATATCCATCAGATCTTTCCAAAATTTACTTGTAAATCAGAGACTATTTCAACAGGCATGCCATAATGTTTGAATATTTCAAGAGATGAGATTTTTTATTTTCTTTGACAAATTTAATTAAAAAGTGTGGTTAGAAATTTTATTTGCATATCATCCACACTAAGGCACAACATTCATAGTTATCACTCTCGCTTTGCGAGATTAAACAGTTTCTAGTTTCAACTAGATTAGTTTGAATAGAATCGTTTAGAGTATTAAATTTAATAGCCAGTTCCTGTTTTCTTTATCAGCATTAGGTAAAGATATTATTTTATTTTTAAAATCAATTTTCAAATTTAAATTTTGTAACGTCTCTGTTCCCAACAGAATAAAGTTTGTTTTAGAATTGATTATAAAAAATGGTATGTTAAATACTTTATTGTTAATAGTTATGTTTTTATTGATTCGCTTAGATAATGTAGAACTATCTTTATTGATACCATTCAAGGTAATGTTGACATTGGTTAGATTCTTGATGTCACTTTCCTATAATTCTTGCGTTGAAAGACCCGATTTACCATAGATCTCACGGAATTTGACAATGAACTTGTGAGTAGTTTCGAATTGTTCAAGTCTCAAACTCTTAAGATCAACAACTTATTCGTCAGATTCTCGTTTGGTACCGAAGGTATTGGTTAAAATAAAAGAGAATTCCTTCCATTTCATTGTGCGTTTCAAAACTTCTGCATCTTCTGCTGATGAAGTCGAAGTGATAGCCTCTTCTGAGTTTGCTTAAAGCAATGACACAACGTAACCTATCCCATGGCACTACGTTCTCAACTTGGATATGAATGTTGGAGTATCACTCACATCTGGAACGAATAGTGGGATCTTGGCAGTATAACCTTTGACTTGGTCTCTCAAATGACTGGAGACAAGATTGGATACCGAGTAGATCGACTCTTTCAATGACTGCTGCCTCGAATGCACCTTTGCCATCACCAAGTTGTGGATTTGATACTAAGAATTGGGCAGCTCTTTCAATCAAATCTTTGTTTGATGCTAATAGCATATCGCTGAAAGAGACTGCTCTGATTCTCGCTCTTGCTTCTCTCAAAGCTTGACTACGTTCGAAGGTAGTGCCAGAGGATAGGTTACGTTGTGTCATTGCTTTAAGCAAACTCAGAAAGATCGAACTCCACTGTATTTAAATGGGACATCTTTTAGTTGGTTTGTTTCTTTATTTAACTTTGATATAAAATTAGGAATTACTTTTAGGAATAGTTTTGGTACAAGAAATATGGATTTAATAAATGTAATAAAGATATAATTTACAGTATAAGATTTAAAGATAATAATTTATTTGATTTACAATTTGAAGATAAGAATAATATTTGATAGTGTTGAATAAATGTTGGATAATAATTTTTCATAGTGGATTTTCCATGGTATTTATACTGTTGGATTTCTTCGACCAGTGCAGTTGCCCAATCTCAGAAATCTTTTTGATTAACTTATTTGGTATTCATTATAGATTAACTTGTTGGTTATTTCTTTATGTTAATATTCCCAACACCATGATGTTCAATTTCAAATAAAAATAAACAAATATAAACAGAATTAAATAGTAATTATTAATATTTTAGTGTTAAAGAATTATTATTTTATTAAATTAAAATAATCTCTTTAAATACATCAATTTGGTGTAACAGTACTGAATGGTTTGCTCTTGGATGTTTAGAGCATGTGGAAATTCTTGACGTACAAGTTGGCTTGGGAGACACGGTTGATGTAACCAAAGGTGTAACTTTGACCGGCGTTGATGGTGGAGGCGTACGATGGAAGAGTGAGATCGTTTCCGGTGGAAACAACTCCCCAGATGGCATTGTTATCCTTCAATTTCAAAGTACCGTCAGCAGCACCGATGATAACGTTGTTGACATTTCTTGGACCGTTGTTGTGGACGGTGACTTGCACTTGGACGTACTTGTCTTTTCCATTGTTGTCAGCCCATGAGTTGATTACCTGTTGGGTGATGGTGACTTGTTCGCATCTGTAGATACATCCGTACTTGGCGTTGTCCAAGACACAACTGTAGTATGGGTTACAAATGCTTGGTCCACATGGGTAGTGTGCAGAGGTCAAGGCAACTGCCATCAGAACGAAAAGGCTCAAAATTACTTTCATTTTTTCTTAGTTTATAGTATTATTGTTATTATAATAGTATTTGGTTTGTTTTGTTTTTGTATTTAGAATAATTAAAATCAGCTATTTTATACAATTGGAATTCCACAGTAGAATTATTAAAGTCTAAATTCAATTATTAATTTCATTTTTTTATTATTAATCATCATTTTTAATGAATTTAACTATATTTAGTTCATTGATTTCAACCGATGATTATGTCATCGTTTTATAAATTGTTTTGGAATATCAGATGAAAGTAAATATTCAATATTTATTTCTTTTAATTAATTTTCTTTGTTTTTTAAAGTACAGGTATTTTTTGTTCAATGATTGTTAAAAAACGAATAGTCAAACATACAAATCATAAAACAGATAAATTTTAATCTATTATATAATTTGTAAAAAGTGAAAAAATTCTATTGTTGTATATAATTCAACCACATAAAGCTATTTTATTGAACGAATATTAAATATGTTTGTTTTTAATTTAAACTTTTAAGAATAACATCCATCTTATTTGAGTTCTAAATTTACTGAAATATCTTTTAAAATTATTTCCATTAATATTATTATTCAACTTTAGACTTTTTAAAAAAAATGTAAATTATCTCTTAAGACTACTTAATCATATAGATATTGAAAATTTCAAATTTCTACCAAAATTGTTTTTAATTAGATTAATAAATTAATTTTAGTTGTTTTTTATCCCTGTTCACAAAATAATTCAACCGAGTAATTTGATTAATCTTTTTAAATTTTTTTATCTATAGTGTTTCAAAACAACTAATGAATCTTTACCTGGATTCCTTTTTTAGAAGTTTTTAATGGTGATTTAAAAAATAAAACAAAGATAATCAGAATTAAAATTTTAACCTTAATCAACAGAGTGTGATTCCGGAAGGACATCACGATTTGTTTTCTTTTCCATCCACTAATTAAACATCATTATTCAACCACTTTATAATAAAATACTAAAATTGAAGACAATAATCAATTAAAAACCAAGTTAAGAATTCTAAGGATTAAAATAGAAGTTCGATCAAGATTTTTTTTTTAAGAGAATATAAATTATTTATTAAATATAATTTTCTTTATTAATGATTCTATTTTTTTATAAGTTTAAGTCTTGATGGATAGTCAAATGTTGAGTGGTGTTTTAAATTATGCAGTTTATTGTTTAATATCCGTAGTTAAAAGTTCTATTTTGAACTAGGTATTGATTATTTGATTCAAATTGTTTCATAAAGATTCATAGGGTTTTTGGCAATAGCCAGATGTCATTTCATATCACCTCTATTAACATTATTTAATAGTTATATTGAGTTTAGAATAGTATATATATTTATCTCATGAATACCAAAGAATTTTAAACATTCAGATCCTGACAGGTTTGTTTATATATCAAATTTAGTTAAGTATTCATTTTAAGTAAAAAAATAATATGTGTTTTAGTATATTGATGACAGGTGAGATGTCTTGTACTGTTGTCAGAATATACTAAAATTAGTTAAACAAAATTATTTATTAGTCGATCTATATCATACTCTAAATTTTCCAATAAATCTGGGAATCTAGAGCTTAAGATAGTTTGTCTAAGTATCTGGTTCCATATAAAATTAAATCGAGTAAAGATTGAATTTGAATCTACCACTTCGTTGAACCATTGGCATCGGTAGGCAGAGAACACAAAGGAAAGGAGACACCATCTTCAATTGACACAAGACTAAACTTCATTACCTTGTTAGCTAGCAACTTCATCACATCTTCCTTAGACATCTTCTGGTATTCACTAAGATTGTCTGAATTGATAGTCTCCTTTGCTATGCCAATCAACTGCTGTGAATGAGGGTAACAGAAGACCTGCAGATATTTCGATCTCGTCCATGGCCAATGCATAATACTTTTGCTTGGAGAGTGACTCAAGGACCTTGTGATCTGAGGATCCATAATATATGATTGGAGGTATATAGTTCTTGATGGTTCCTACAGATGGAAGTGGAAGAGAAATAGCAGATCAGTCAATTTCTAATTTTCCATCGACTCTCCTGAGATGATCTCCCCTAAGGTGATGAGGGGGCTCCCTCTCCAGCTATGAACCTCAGAGTAGTGGCAAACTGTATCATTTCATTTGACCATTTATGCCCCTCAGGCTTCGACAGAGTATACTCACATCCTTCTTTTATTAAATGGTACCAGAAAGATTGTTTCGTCTCAGGATACGTTTGGACCATTCGATCAACCAACTGACCAAGAGAGGTTTGCGCAACTTGATCAGTCCTAACTTGCTCGCCACTCTTTACATGCTGCTTATTACTGTATTTGATTTCCAATACCCGTCCATTCTTGTACTTATGTAGACTTTGATAGACAATTTGTTGCATTCTTATGCAGCTACTGCACCTTCTGTAGTTATTATACAATTTGGTAGTTACAACTTGATCCTTTTTGCAAGCATAGTAGTTCGATTCAGAGAATTTACCATACACCAATCCATTTATGTTTGTAACTTTCTGTCCATAAAGAAGAATGGCAAATTTGATTAACTCAGGATAAGAGAGACCTTGACAAAAGTGGTCACCTGATTCTGAGGGTTGGTCAACCGGATGTGAGCGATTACGAGTCGAACTTTTCAGATTCTTGTTGCCCCATGACAAAGCAAGGTTTATATTGAACAGATTTATAAAATTGATATCAAATTTAACCGTTCCCTAATATAATTATATTAATATTCTGTGAAGGGAGGGTTGACTAAAATAAAATTTAAATTACTTACTGTGTAAGGAAGATGATAGAGCAGCCCTGATCGAAATTTCGATTTTTTGCATGTAAGAGTTGGAGAAGTAATACTTTCTATGGATCTAAAACAGTGTGGGTTTTTTGTTTGAAATAATAGCAGCTGATTATTGAGATACTCTATTGTTTGTTTATCACTTGCACTTTCTTCTTCCCAATGTATTCTATCTGATTGATATTGCAACATTACTGAATGTAATTGAAAAGCTGTTGACATATCGACTGAGGTTGTTGTTGTTGTGCTTGTTGTGGATTCAGTAGAAGTAGTTGGGTTTTTATGGTTTGTACTTGCTGTGGTGGTAGTTGTTGTAGTTGTAGTTGTTGAAATCGGTGGCTGAATGCTAAAAGTTGAAGTTATTGTAGTATCGATCGATTCGAATGACTTTATAGCATTATTAACCTTGTCACTGAATTGACACAGTTCTTTATCTGGTATAGACGGTGAATAGTCACCTTCTTCCTCTAATCCACCTCCACCTCCACCATCGTAACTATAATACACCAAAATGTAAGATTAGACCCTAAACTACTGGTTCAATAGAAACTCATACTTACTGTTCGCCACCACTGTCAATAAAGAGTGTATGAGGTACTACAGAAGTAGTGTTAACGCTATTGTGAATAGATTTACGCTTTAGGAATCATATACATAAATGGCAAATAAAAATAGTTTTATGAATGAGAAAAGAGAAATGAACAAGAAAGATGGGACATGTGTTAATAAGAAAGAAAGAGAGCGGCACTTGTAAGAATTGATTCTAGAATTGATAGGAAGATTACATACCGAAAATCTAAAATATTTTATTTTTTCTTTTATATAGAAACCCTGGTTATGACCAATTAATTTGCAAATTCTATCATATGCAGGCTTATTAAAGACTAAAACCTGGTGTTTGTTCATTGTAACCAAGTCTTTAAAGACTCCATTATCTGATGGGAGAAGATCTCTAAAGGTTATCAACGATACAAACTTGTCAGGGTCTGTCTCTGGATAACAAAACGAACCTATAAACCACTATACCAATGCAAGTAAAACTATCGAGAATTACATAAATTATGATCACATACACTATCAAAATCTTTCCAATAATTATCTAAAGCAGAACTGGTTAGTCTTTTTCTTTGATTATTACACTGAACTTTAATATTTTTTAGTTCGTCACCAATTTGAACTCCATCATTCAACTCTTCTATTGTTCTTTTATATGTCATAATTGATATATAAATACAGATAAATATAAAACAAAATTTGTGAGATCAAAAAAATTAAAAATTAAATCAAAATAATTCAAAAAAAAAAAAATTTGTTCACGTAATGGAATACTTGTATTATCACGAATCCATTCGATGACCGGTAGATTTGATTTTCCGATTGCATATCTATAGGCACCTTCCGAACATTGCATAGTTGTATTATCCTTGAGCCATTGGAGTGCGCTGCCATCTTTATAACCGGAAAAGTAGTATGGTGTTGTTTGGAATTCGGTATTCTTTTCGATTCTCAAACAAATATTTAAATGTATCGAAATGGACATTCTTCACAACATCTTTGAGTGTATCTTCTCGAGAACGATCAGAGATTTAGACATGATTTGCTTGGTGTTCTCCACCAAGTATTGTACAGTGGGTAAGTAACGTGTATCTATTTTTCAGTCAAACAGAAAACTGTCACACACTGATTACACCAGAATAGATGAGTGTGGTAACTTCATGTCATTGGGTAGATACAGGAGTGTGTCGAGATGACCATTCTTGGCTGCTTCTAATATTAAACTTTCGGTGGATAGTGGCACATCATTTCCACGGAGGAACTTTAAAGTTTCAAGATTACCACTACTGACAGCATTGCGCTACCCGATGGTCTTTCAGATCTATTCTCGTACAGCCATTTGAATACCTGGAAACCACCGGATGCAAGATTATCCAACACTTTCGAACCTTGTAATCTGAACCAACGATCTACATTGTGATGAAGGAATTGTCTCTAGATCTTTGATAAGTATTCCTTTTTAGCGTATTTGGAATAATCTATTTCTTTAGCAAGTGTATTATGAATATGATTTATTGCCTGAAGATTTCCAACACTGAAAGCATCCTCCAAAGAATCTAAATATAATTTTTTAAACTTTGCTATACTATTATTAATATCCTTATTATTATTCATTTAACAATCCTCTCTCATTATTGTATGGAATATCTGTTCATATCTAAATATATAGTTGAACTTGATCAATTGACCTGGGAAACAACCAAGATCATACCAATCACATCGCAATGAATTGATTCCCAGTGTTGATCATGAATATCTCTAACACTTTCAAATATCTTGTTTCTCAACTCCCCACTGACTGAAGTAATTTCTTAAATGAAATTGGTATCTATTTAAATTTATCTCTTTGATGTAATGAATAGTAGATTTTAACAATGAAAATAAAATAACATTTGTAAATTATATAAAATGAAATGAACCAGTTTGACGATTGTTTTCTCTCTAAACAGAAATGGAAAAAAATAAAAAAAAATAAAAGAATTCTCGCCTAATCTAATAAATAAAATTACATAATTTATATAGAAAAAGTAATAAATAAATAAAACAACATTTTATTGAATGGTTGAAATCAATTCTTTGATTGTAAGATTTGAACCTTTGTAGATGATAGATGGTGCTACACCTACCATTTTATATTGGTTGGTGATTTTAATGAAATACTTGATGAGTGGTGTATTCTCATAGTCGACCGACATCTTTAGGTATTGCGGTATGTTGTTGAGTAGCTTTGGGTATTTCGGTAGCATGATCGATAGGATGTGTCTGGCTGTGTTTACACGGTCATAGTTCATACAGACCACCAAACTTTTATCGACCTCGGAGAGCAGTGTGTCTGCATCCATCAGTGGTTCAATCTCTGAGAACAATCGAGCAAGCAGTACACTGTTACCCATCATCGAAGCATAGTGAATACCTTGTAGCCGAGAGTGACTGTTACTGACATCCGGGTATTGGTAGTTGGTCTCGAGGTAGCTGAGAAACTGAAAGTCACTGGAGAAACAACCACCACAATAGAGATAATAGAGAATTGCATTGTCACGATGATTTTCATTGATGTTTAGATTGTTTGTTTGTTGTAGTTGATCTCTTCCCGATGGCAATTCAATGACTCGCTCAAAGAGTTCAACACTTCCGACTTTGCCAATGTAGAAGCAGAATGTATTTAGACTGATATTGGTTGGATTCCTATCGAGTAGATAACCAATGAGATGATAATCACCATTGAATATGGCATTCGATATCGTCTCAGTGGTGATCAGGTCAGTGTTAAAGATATTCGCTTTGAAGAGATGTTGAATCGCTGACAAGTGACCCTGACGAGTTAGCTTTATCAGTAGTTTCGATAGATTCACTGGTTGTCTTAGATTGATCAACAGATGATTTATCAACTCTACACTGCCACTGTTTGCAGCGTTGGTAACTGAATTGTTATTCAGTAGATACACCGAGTGCTGTTGTTGATGAAGTTGTAGCTGTTGATTCAGATGCTGTAGTTTCTTCTCGATTCGATCGAGTGCTAGTAGTTGTCCGATGATCGTATCCGACAGCAACGGTAGGATGTTTGATTTCACGTATTGTGAAACCAGGTCGAACAGATCGATTGGATCCTCACCGATGGCAACCAGTTGTGTGATATACCGTGATATTGCAATGTGACTATCACAAGAGAGTACAAGTAACATCGTCACACTGCTTCTAAGCATACGGTCATTGATAAGATTCAAATTGTATAGTGATTGCACTATGATTGGATCGAAATCTATCGATATCAATGATTGTACAACTATATTAATATTATTACCAATATTTTCGAAATTGAGAGAAGTAGCTGTAGCTGTAGTTGTTTGATCAACAGTATCATCAGAACTATTTAATAACTCTGAAAACATCTGAATTAACTCTAAATCTTTTGTTCCAACAATAAAAGATAAACATAATATTCTCCAATTTTCAATGTTTCCACTGTTAACTGACTTCTTGTTGTTATTTTCAAACCGTTCTATTAATCTATATTTATATAATATCATACGTATTAATTTAATTGTTTTAATATATAAAATATTACTACTACTACTATTATTATTATTATTATTATTACTACTATTGTTGTTATTGTTATTACTATTATATTCTAATTTTAATTGATTTATAATTGATTTGTTTAAAATATTAAGATTTTCTATTATATCTATTAATAGGTTGGTATGTTGATAGATATTATTTGATTTAGATAAACATAATCTATTCATAAGTGATAATACAGTGTATTTGTTGAATTTTAGTTGTGGTGTACTAGTAATAGTAGTGGATGTTGTTACTTTTGTTGTTTCTGTAAAGTAATATTTTAACATTGATTCGTCAGCAACTAACAGTATCTCTACTAGCTGTTCATTGTTTTTGATGTCAATCGATAGTTTATGTTGCATGATAAACTTTAGTAGTTGGTAGAGCATAGCTGATTGATCGGCATACGATGGTGTACTGTTATTGAATACCAATGATACTTTGCTAGATAATGATGATGATGATGACGATGATGAAGATAACGATGATGATGATGTTGATGAACTGGATGATGATTGTAATTTAATAGGTAGGTTACTGACAGAGTAGATAAGTGCACCTGTGAATTGAGTGTATCGATGATGTAGTTCCTTGATGATATCTATACTGGCATGATTACTGGCTGACAGTGCAACATCCAATAGCTTATAGATGTCTGCAGGTCCCAGCAGATGTCTGTAGTGATAAATCAACAGTTGGAGTGCAGTGATATTACCATGTTCGACAGCACTCTCTATTAATGAATATTGTGGATGTTGTATTGAAGCTGATGATGTTACAATAGAGGTGGTAATATTAACATCATCATCTTCAGTTGATTGATAACTATCATTAAGATATTGATTGTATCTAAGTAGTAGTAGTTCTAATAGTTCATTATCTGTACATCTACCAAAGAGATCGATGAAATCTTCACCGACGAATTCAAAAGGATCATTTCTCTGTAGTTTCAGTTTCAAAACACCGAAATGCTTCGATTTAATTGCTTGTGATGCCCAATAGATCTGTCTGTATCTTCTATCATATATATTTTGATTCTGAATGTTTGAGAATATTAACTTTACAATATATTTATGATTGATGATCTTAAAAAATAATTTACTACTTTGTTGTTGTTGTTGCACTTCCTCTCTTTGTTTTTGTTGTTTTATTTGATCGATTCTTTCTTCGTTATTGATCATCTTTTAATATTATTTAAATTATATTATTATTATTGCAACCTTAAGTAGAATAATAATAATTGAATTGTGTGTTTTATTTTTTTTTAATCACTTTCAATTTTTTTTTTTTATATGTCACTGATCCTAACAGTTTTATTTTTATAACTACAGTAAAGCTAATACTGTTTGAAGTGAGTTGGATAGACATAATATAGTTATCTGGGTCAATGGACAAAACGTAAGTCAATATATGGAATACTGAATATGGTAAGTTATTATGTTTTATTTCTTCAAAGAGAACATAACCAATATATATATTAATGTTATTTTAGAAATTGTATACAGATAATTAGAGAACCTCATTTCGTAAATGATTGTCATGGGATATTTATATATTTATTTCATTATTAATTCTATTGAATTGAACAAGTTACAATTTGAATTAAATACCATAGCAGTATCCTTCTCTAAGAAATCAATCAATCTTAATATTTTTAAAAAAAAAAATAGCGCGTCATATTTCCAAACACTTTTGCACTCGTATCACACCAATGACCAACACCAAAACTTCTTCATCCACCTCAAAAAAAAAGAACTCTTTACAAACAATAAAAAAGAAAGACTTGCAATTGTGTTCCAAAATGCAATTTAAGTTCATACTATAGTTGTGAGCACTGTGGCGAATATTTTGCAATAAGCCACTTTGATAACCATCGAAGTGCAACAGATTAAACTTAAAAATAAAATTAAAAAAAACAAAAATTCTGTGGTATCGTGAAAGTTAAAAAGAAAATTGAAAATTAAATTAAATTTTTAATAAACATATTTTTTTTATTTTTTCGATTGCTTGCAAACAAATATTTATTATTTATCATTTCATTTCAACAATTACCACTACTAATACTATTATTACTCAATAACTATAATAAAAAGAAAGAGAATCATGGCACAAGCTACAAAAGAAATGGTTGTTTATTGCTTCGACAGTCTTATCTGTCATTTCAAACAACAGAAACTTGACATTCCCAATATTATAAATGAAAGTTTGTAAGACACTCATTATTGAAATATCGAAACTGTATACTTTATCACATCTTTATTAATAACTATTGATATACAGTCCTTTATTTGTAACATGGAATATCGATAAGTATGGTAATGGTGATAAAGAGTTAAGAGGTTGCATCGGTACATTCAGTCCAATTCCTTTAGTAAAAGGTTTGAATGAATATGCTTTAACAAGGTAAGATTAATATATATATATATATGTTACTTTATTTTATCATTAAATATTATACTTATATATATTTACTATTATTATTATAGTGCATTCAAAGACACTAGATTTAAACCAATACCAGAAAAAGATTTACCAAAGTTACATTGTGCTATATCGTTGTTGGTCAATTTCGAACAGGCTAAAGATTGTTGGGATTGGGAAGTCGGAAAGCATGGTATTCTTATCGATTTCAAAGACTCGAGAAACCAAAGTCATAGAGGCACCTATCTACCGGAGGTCATGCCAGAGCAAGAGTGGTCACAAAGAGAAGCATTGGAATCATTGATAAAGAAGGCTGGTTACTACGGCAAAGTAGACGATCATCTCTTTCAATCGATTAAACTGACTCGTTATCAATCATCAAAGATCTCTTTATCTTACAATCAATATTTACAATTTAAAGAACAACAAAACAAACAACAGTAACAAACAACAACTACTACAACAACTACAACAACAATAAAAACAAACAAACAACTTCTTCTTTTTTTTGTACAATATATATAGCTTTAATAATACTTTTTTGTTTACTTTATCTTTATTTTAGTTTGTTATTTAGTTATGTACTTTTAGATGATGAAGATGATGATGATCCGGATGTATCGGATGATCCGGATGATCCGGATGATGAAACGATTGTTGATGAAGAAGGCAGATGACTCGCAATAGCAGATACCAGTTTCTCAAATGGCAGACTTTGGAGTATTACTAAACCAGGTCCAGATAGAGTTGCCAAGAACAGACCTTCGCCACCAAAGAATATATTCTTTGCACCCTTTACCCATTCGATATCGTATTGGATTGTAGGTTCGAACGCAACGATACAACCTGTACTGACCTTGATTGTCTCCATCGGTTTCAACATCCGATACATAATAGAACCACTTCCATGTATAAAAGCAAGACCATGACCAGTTAATTTTTGCTACACATAATCAAACATATTAGTTATACCTATTAATCAAATCAACATTGATATATTATCAATTCATCATTCTAAAACTAAAACATACCAAAATAAAACCTTGGCCACCAAAGAAACCAATTGAAAACCGATTGGTTAGTCTTGGTCCAATTTCAATATCGTTATCACCACAGAGAAATGCATTCTTTTTACAAATAAGTTCTCCACCAATCTCTGACATCTGTATTGCCAATATCTTTGATATATAAGGTGATGAGAATGTTATTCTAGCTGTTTCCTATTATAATAATAGAATATTTGTTAAAATCATACAAACAGCCATGATCAATACCAATTTATTCTTAAATACTTACAGTATCGGATGAATTTTTAAATTTCGTAAGGAAAATACCTTGTCCTGTTATCATTCTTTTCATACTTGACATGAATCCACCTCTTGCTGTGGTATCCATCTCCATTGTCGCGCTCATTTCCAAGAGAGCACCAGTTTCTGCTGTAATCGAAGTTCCTGGATTCAAATGTAATTGAATCACTTGTGATTCATGTCCAAATATCTCCCACTTTATATATATGATTATAGTTTCAATATGTTAATATATTATGTTGTTCACATGCATATCCATCCAAAATAATATTATTTTGATTGGTATTTTGTTTTGTTTTGTTTTGATATGTTTTTTGATTGCATACATCATATGTATTTGTTTTTCCTTTAAGACTATCGTATTGAGTCATATGATTGAGTACCGATTTCTTTAATGAGTTGGATGCATTGCTCGCTGTCGATTCAATACCACTATTGCCGCTGCTAGCAGTTGAAGTAGATTTATGTCTCTGACCTTTTGTGAATTTACCTTTACTGCTTGTTGTTGGTGATGTTGTTGTTTTAGCTGTTGCCGCTTTATTACCAGTCAAATGTGTAGATCCAAACACCAAATGTTGTATAATAATATTTCTAGTTGATTTTATAATTTCTCTTGATATCATTTTTATTTTAATTTAAATTATATAAAAAAATTAAAAAAATAATAATAATTATTAATAATCGAATTGATTATACAATAAAATCTATAATTTATTGTAAAATAATATATTTATATATTCTCTAACAAATAGAAAGAAAATAGATAAATTTTATGTAATAGGAAGTATTTATTACTATTGATTTATGATCCATTTTTTTATTTATTTTTAATTTGTTTAATTTTTTTTTTTTTTTCAATGTATTTTTTTGTTAGTTGTTTTGTTTTTTTTTTTTTTTGTGTGTGTTTCAAGAAAAAATGAAGTGTTTGTTTGTAATAATATGAATAAAAAAAAACAGTTGATAGTCAAATTAAAAATTAATTATTATTTTCACTCGTACCCTGCAAATCATCGCATTTTTTATGAAATTGAAAAAGCTTTTTCAAAAAAAAAATCAAAAGTTTTGTTTCCACAAAACTCTTCCAATGAATTTTTAATTTACAATTTTTTTATATTTTTTTAATTTTTATTAAATTGTATTTTTCTATTTTTTTGATTTTTACTAAAAACAGTTATAATTAATTTAGCTTTATCCAAACTACAATACTCTATTTTCAAACAAAAAGTAAGTTTATCTTTTCTTTTCTTTCACCATTGCAAAATTATTATTGTTCATTGAGTTAATTCATGTGTTGTGATGCGACAACCCCCACCTCTATCAACTTTTTATTATTATTATTTTTATAAAACACTACTGTGTAGCTTAATAGTATCTTCTCAACACACTGTGTTTACTATATTTATCTTTAAACCAAAAAAATCATTTACATTTCTATATTAGATCATCTTCATCAATCAAATCATTGAAAACTAACTTATTTATAATTAATTAACAGATTTAGAAATAGAAAATATTAAGAATGGAGGAAAATAATCAAGCTTCATCATCTTCTTCTACAACTTCACATAATAATAATTCAGAGCATCTTAAAAAAGGAAAATATGATTTGGTTAAAATCGTTACACCAAGAATCTATGGAAGCACTCTAAAAGTTGGTGTTTTTATGGCTGAAAGTTCATTATTCAAGTATGTTAATTTCGAAATTGAACGCAACAGTTGATTTATGATTTGAATTGTTAACGATAGATATTGTTTCTTTTCTTTTTTCTATTCCTTTTAGGAATATGTTTATTGGTACAATGATGAAAAAGAATGGATTCACAGAATTGTTTGCTCATAAATTGAGTTTGCCAGTTACACCGTTCCCACATGAATTGTTGATGGACATTGCCAAACCATATGAATACAAGACCTATGGAGCACAAGAGTTCCTCAAAGACGTCGAGGGTATCAAAGAATCGATGAAACACATTGCCAATCAAGCCAATACCACGCTTGGATTCTATCGTGCTTTCCAAGAGGGTAAGACCGATCCGGTGGCCGTCGCCTCTACATTCCTGTTAGTCCAAAAGCAATCGGACGAAATGAAACCACCATTGGGGGCATTCATCGCAGTGAACGACGACGACGTCTTGGAGCAGGCAAGAGCCAGTCAACAACGTTGGAAACAAGGCACTCCACTTTCAATCTTGGACGGTGTGCCTGTCTCCATTAAGGATGAGGTCGATCAAAGAGGATATAAAACTACATGTGGTACAAGTTTCCTAGGAAAGATCAATGGTGCCGCGCAAGCAGATGCATATCCAGTCGACAAGTTGAGAGAGAACGGAGCACTTCTAGTTGGTAAGGCAAACATGCATGAAATCGGTATCTCTACACTTGGTTATAACTTGCATCACGGATTCATAAGAAATCCATTCAATCTTGATCACTATCCAGGTGGTAGTTCTTCTGGTTCTGCTAGTTCAGTTTCCGCTGGTTTAAATCCAAGTAACTAGATCTCAAACTATTTTAAAAAACTATATCATCAAAGTAGAGATTTATTAATACTCTTATTACCTATTTTTTAAAATTATATAGTTAGTATTGGATGTGATGGTGGTGGATCAGTTCGTGTACCTGCTTCACTTTGTGGTGTCGTCGGTATGAAACCAACTTTTGGTAGAGTTAGTCACACTGGAACCTTTGATCTTTGTTCAACTGTTGGTCATATTGGTCCACTTTCTTCAACTGTTGTGTATGTAACAATAACAATATTGTCTACTTTTCAACAACAAACTAACAAAATTTTATTATAATGTAGTGATAATGCTATTGCATATGCAGTAATCGCAGGTAGAGATCCACTTGACTTCCAAACTATGATCCAACCAGAACCAATTATACCAGTATTCCAAGATATCCCATTGAATAAACCATTACAGGGTATTAGAGTTGGTGTCTTCAAAGAATGGTGTAATGATTGCACTCCAGATATTCAAGCTGCCTTCAAGAAATCATTGACTGTTCTCGAAGAACAAGGTGCTACCTTTGTAGATTACTCAATCTCTGATCTTCTTCATATTAGATTATCTCAAATCGTATTGATTCTTTCAGAAATGAGAAATTCAATGAGTAGAGTAAGTTTTATAAAAACAAAGAGAGTGGGAGAGATTAAACTATTTATATCTAACTAATCTATCTTTTTTATTTATTCAAAGTTCTGGGATAAACATAGAACAGATCTTCATAATGATACTAGAGTTTCATTGTCATTGATGGATGGTATTACAAGTTCCGATTATTTACACTGCAATAGATTCAGAACACATGCTATCGAACAACTCAAGGAGATCTTCCAGAGTGTAGATGTTATTGTTACTCCAACCAACGCTACATTGGCTCCAAAGATCATGCCATACGTCCTGAGCAATGGTGAGAGTAACATGTCGGACATCGCAGAGTTGATGAAGTTTGCATTCTTGGGCAACATCACTGGTGTACCAGGACTCTCCATTCCAATCAGTGTCAACGAAGAGAATCTACCGATCGGTATTCAACTCATGGGAAGATGGTGGGAAGAGGATCTTCTCTACTACACAGGTTACGTATTGGAAAGAGAATTCAAATTTAATGGTGTACCAAAATTCTTTAAACCAATCTTGGAGAATCAAATTTCAACAAACTAAAAAAATTAATTAAACAAAAAAACTATACTATAACTAATTTAAATTACTAAATCAACCAAATCAAAACAACAACTCTTACACTTTTTTTTTCTCTAAATAAATGATATTCTATGTATTTTATAAATATTTTATGAATAGTTTTACATTATTACATTATTGAGCAATCAATTGTTCCTGAACTGTGATGTTGAGATGATTCTTGATTTACCATATAAGATTTTAGTAGTTTCTTAACACTCTTGTGAGCAACATCCAAAGGTGTTGTATTTTCTCTTGACTTTGCTCTAAAATCTGCATTATATTTAATTAAACATTCTATCACATCACTGTTTATAATAATAATAATAAGTTAATTAATAATTCATTCATTAAAAAGTTTAATAGATTGCTCTTTGTTGTTGACATACCCATGACCTTCAGAAGAAGCTTTATGTAATGGTGTAAAACCATTTCTATCGGTAACTTGTGTATTTGCTTTCTTTTGTAATAAAAGTTCAACGATCTTAACATGACCTCTGTGTGATGCAGTATACAATGGAGTTGCACCACTTCTCATACCAGAACGAATCTTTGCCTCTACATTAGCACTATGATCCAACAAGAGTTTCACAATCTCTGTATATCCTTCCTGTGCAGAAATATAAAGTGGTGTAGCACCATGATTCTTTGTTGTACCTTCGATATTAGCATTATATCTTAATAAACATTCTACAACCTTAAACTAAAATATGTAAAAATATTAAGTATAAGTAAATTAAATGTCAATGAAACTAAATTATTATATCAAACTTACATGACCTCTATGAGCAGCAGAATATAATGGTGTGATACCATTTTTGTTGGTTGCTTCCATGTTGGCGTTTAGATTCAAGAGACATTCGACTACCTCGGTGTGTCCGTTGTGTGCGGCAGAGTTTAGTGGTGTGACACCATTGCTGTTGGTCGCTTCGATACAAGCACCATGTCGGATGAGCAGTTCCACTACAGAGACATGACCTTTCTGGGCAGCGGTGTGTAGTGGTGTCGAACCATTTCTATTTTTACATTCGATCTTGGCGTTGTATTGCAGTAGACACTCTGCGACTTCGGCATGACCCTTACCGCATGCCATATGCAGCGCGGTAAATCCACTACGTGTGATCGCTTCCACCTCTGCACCGTTCTTTAGCAAGACCTCGACGACAGCACGATGTCCCTTGTACGATGCTTTCAAAAGGAACTTGTTTCTCTTTTTCAACGAAATTCCAGTGGTATCGTTAATCTTTGGACTTAAACCAGAGGGTGACGATGGTCCTGCAATATCTACATCTTCAATCTCCATATCTACATCGAAATTAAAACCTTCACCATTATTTTGATTATCATTATTATTTTGATTATTATTATTATTAACATTTTGATTATTATTATTGTTATCGTTACTACTATTATTAATTGTTGATGTTGTTGTTGTTGTTGTTGGAGTATCATCATTTAAATTTAAATAAGTTGGTTTAGTACATGTTGCACATTGACAATTTGAATTGTTTAAGCATATGATTCTCTTGCTATCGAATGCTCTCTGAAGAATCTGGTCATGACCATTCTCACATGCCCACAACAACTTTTGTTCGAAAGAGTCTTCACCTTTAAACTCTCTTAGTTTAACTAAATTTTTAATAACTACATTCTTCCATTTCTATAAATAATATATAATGTTAATTAAATATAGTTATTATTATTATTATTATTATAAACTTACAATATCAGTTTTAAGACTATCACCAAATACACGTTTACTCAACATTATCCAAAGTTGTTCATCGTTGACCAATTCATTCCAAGATCTAGAGGTGGCTGCTGTTCGAGAGAGATCCGAAGCATCGGTGAATGATAGTATGTGCATTCTAATCTCAATAGGAAGACCAAAAAAGTCGAAGCACACTTCACTCGCTGGATGTAACAATGAGAGATGAAGTTGTTTCATTTGTGATAATAACTCTAGATCACCATCACTCAATGCAGGTGGTTGTTGGTGGTGGTGTTGGTTATTATGATGATTACTATTATTATTATGTTTCGATCTTGGTGAATGTGGTCCATTTGAATTACTATTATTACCATGCGATGAACTTGTGAATAGTGTCATAAGTTTGCTAGACAACGAACTAAATGTTGGTGACGATGGTGATGTTGAGAATGTCTTCTTCTTCATCGTGGCAGATGACGAACTAGAGTACACTGGCATATTACTGCTATTGTTATTCATCTGCGGTGACTGTAATGAATTGGCAGGTGTAGTAGTAATTACTATAGGTATATTTGATGGTGATGTAGCATTCATACTACCACCTACACCAACACCAATTGGAATTGATAAACTATTTGACATATTATTACAACTATTATTATTATTATTATTATTAAAACTATTATTGACATTATTATTAAAACTATTATTGTTATTATTATTAAAACTACTATTATTATTATTATTATTATTGTTTATAGCACTTCCACCAGCAGCAATATTTATATTAAGACTGTTATGATCTGAAAAACTTAAACTTCCACCGATACCAGCATAAAAGTTGGCAGCATTGTTGTTTGTGCTGTGATGATTATGTTCGTTACTCCATGGACTAACATAAGTAGATGAGCTATCTGAATTTCTTTTATCTTTCATATTCTATTCTATTCTATTCTATTCTATTCTATATTATATTATATAACAAACAACTAAATAAATAAATAAATAAATAAAGTAACTGTATATTATTATTTTTATTATTATTGTGGGTTATATGTTATTTTTATTATATAAATATTTTTTAATCTATTATTTTTATTTTTTTTGAGAAATTCAAATACAACTAAATTAAAATTAAAATTAAAAAAGAATGAATAAATGAATGAATTAAGGAGAACAAACAACAACCTTCTTTACTAACCTAAACTAACTTAACTACTAACAAACAAACAAACAAAACAATCAATCAATCAAAACAAAAAAAAAAAGTGTGGAAATAAATAAATAAAATAAATTAATTAATAAATATAATAAATTTTAATATATTATATATATATTTGAAAGTAATGGTATGTATATGTTTTTGATTTTTGATATTATATGTTGGTGTGTTTGTGTGTTGTCTTCTTAGTTTGTGTACAATCAATTATTCAATACAAAGGGAAAGTAGATAACTACCACACAATATATTTACTTGATTAAAAAAAAAAAAAAACAATTTTTTCAAAATGATTTTTTTTTATTTAAATTATTTTTTCAAATTAATTAAATGAGGTCGGTTTCTTTGCTCTGCCTATCACCATCATAAAAAACTCATTGAATTTAATAACCATCAAACGTATTATTAAAATAAAACAACAAAAAACTATCCATTATATGGATTTTAATTTGTTATAAAAAAAATCTTAAAATTGATTCTTTAATAAATTAATATTTTAAACATCTAAATATTTCTATTATTTAATTATAAGTTATGTTCTGGTTATCAATCAAGATTAATTAAATTTAATAACATCTATTTTCTTAAGATATCAAAGTGTTGCAAATAAAAAAAAAGTCCAACCTTTGCAAATTAATATTATTATTTTTATTATTGTTATCTGTAATTGTATTGTAAACGAATTAGAGAAATAACAATTTATTGTGATACAAAAAAAAAAACAATAATGGGAATCATAAGAAATACCTATAATATTATTCTGTAAAAAAATAAAACATATAAACAAAGACAAAAACATAAATAATTATTTGATTTCTAATTTAGTAATAATGATAGATATATGAGTATTATTTTTTGTAAATCGATATTCAATTTGTAAATGATGTTGATTATTTGTACCCCAACATATTTTATCTATATCTGTCTATCGACATCACCATCCAACCACATTCTACACACACTGATGATTTTTTTAATATAATCAAACAAATTGTGTTTTTACTTCAATTTATATTTTTGGGTGTAATTAATGAATGAATGAATGAACTGTGTCAAATCCAGAGAGATATATAATATTAATGATCATTTTATTAAAAAGATTGAAATTTGAATTATTATTATACAACTACTACTATTTATTATTTGACCTACTGAGAATATAATAAATATTAATAAAATGACAGTACTTGTACTAATAGTAGTATAAACAATTTATGTATAATAAATTTGATATATAATTATAAATGTCCAGATATTTGATTGAACCAATCTTATTATTAATGTGCTTATCAATAACACCACCCACAAACACATTTTTGGGTTTTTTTATAATTTTTTTTTTGTTTTGGTTTTGTTTTGTTTTTTTTTGTTTTTAAAAATAAATGATTTGATGGAATCTTGTATAATAAATTTCCAATTGTATTTTAATTTTTAATTTTTTTTTTTGTGTATATATATAAAATATCAATTATGTATTATTATAAGATTTAATAGAATGTCATCAAGTATCAATAATAATAATAATAATAGTATTATTACTAATAAGAATAATGATATCGATGAGGTCATCGAAAATAGCCAATCAGCAGTATCAACACCTATATCTACATGTATAGGTGATAGGAAATCATTTAATGCACCATTGAAAAATACAGATCTCCACCACCTTCTTGTTGACTCTACTACTCCCTCTTCGGATGCATCGTTATCAACATCACCTTCGTTGGCCACCAGTGGCGGCGGCGGCAATAGCAACTTGGCGGCGGATCGTCCAGTTTCGCCAAGTGTAAAACTATTGGGAAAGGTATTCGATACCACTGCAGATAAGCACATTCAGCAACAGAATAAACTCAACAGATGCTCTCCTCCACCTCTGACCAAACCAAATTTCATTATTGCCAAAAAGGAAAAACACTGGATGTCATACTCCACATCATCAATACCAACCACACCTCCCTCCGCTGAAATTCCTACAGCACCATTCCCAACAACAGCATCAACAACACAAGCAAATACATTGAAATCATCTAATGATCGTCAACAACAAGTTCTTTCAAGATCAAAAGATGAGAATCTAAACAACAATGAAAATAACATAAACTCTCCCGGTTCTTCACCAAATACATCGTCAACTAATATTGTAAAACAAACACAACAACAACAACAACAGCAACAAGGTTGGGTATCATCACCCACCACATCACCAAATACAATTTCTCCTTTACCATCACCTCCAACAACACGCATCAGAAATAACCATAGACTTTCTGGGAGAGTGATTTCCGCTTCAACCAATGAAGAATGTAACACTACAGTATCTAATAATAATAATCTTAATAGTAGTAATATTGTTTTAGAAATAGTAAATAATAGTTCTAATGATGTACAAACATTAACACCATTGAATATTGAAAATAATAATAATAATAATAACAATATTAATAATAATGATAATGATGGTAGTAACAATAATAATAATAATAATAATAATAATGATCAGACCAATGTACCTAATATGGATGAACAAAGAATTGAGAAATCAGTTGGTTTATCACAATTTTTAAATAAGAGGAACTATCAGGCAAGACGTGTCGCCGGTGATTGGAAAGATAAACAAATGTTCACCCAAGGTACCACTGTCAATTTGGTGTCAAAAGAGAGAAAGAATCTTATTGGATCTAGAGATCCATTATTATCACCAAAAGAATTCATTTGCATTAATAGTAATAATAATAACACTAATAATAGTAATAATAATAATAATAATAACAATAGTGAAATTGATAATAACTGTAAATGTATCAATGATTCTAACATCGATGTAAATAGTAATAATAATAATAGTAATGATATTAATAGTAATAATGATAATAATAGTAATAGTAATAATAATAATGATGAAACAACAAATCAAGTTAGTGGTACTAGTGCTACTGGTGAAGATGATGCTGCCGTACAGAATCTCGTTAATAGATATCGAACACGAAGAGACAACGCTTCAAGAAAGTCAAAGTTGTCAACTCAAGATGTTGAATGGATCACAACGAAATTCTATGAAAATAATAACACCAAAGAGAGTAGCACCAACACACCAGAGAAGAAAGCACTTTTATTACAACAACAACAACAACCACCACAATCCAAAGCGTCACCACTACTTAAAAATAAATATTTAGGTGGTAGTGGTAATAGTGGTAATAATAGTAGTGGTGTTGTTGCAAACAACATTAGTAGTAGTAGTAATAGTAGTAGTGGTAATACAACTAATAAAATTAGTGGTGGTGGTGGTGGTGGATTTAGTATTAGTAGTAATAATAAAAAGAGAACAAATAAAAACAATAATAATAGCAATAATAATAATAACTCTACTGTTGATTCTAGTGGTGATGAAGAGGAGGATACTGAACAATCGAGCAACCCTAATAGTGCACCTTGCTATCGATACTTGGAGGATGTTGCCAAGCGACGTAATATTCCTTCTGAACCATCTCGTAAGCCAGGTTTGAAATCACCACTGTTTCTACACGTTCCCACACTGGCACAGCCAACACAATTCCACCAGAACGCACCAGAGAAGCTAAACTCTACCAGTCTCTCGATATCGGTGGAGGAAAACAGTCATCAGGATCAATCGTTACTCTTCAATCAGCAGATTATCAATCGTGTTGCACACGACAAGGATCTCACTTATCTCTTCTTTCCGGTTTTGAAGAGTTCCACCAAGATTGTCACTCCACCCTCAATCAATTCACACCACCACAATCACCACAATGTAAAATCAACAAACATAATCAACGCAGCAGCAGCAAACAAACAACCATCAACAAACAACAACAATAATAACATCATCAATAATAATAATAATAGTAGTAGTAATAGTAGAACCGCCAACGGAAATACCGCCGGTAACAACAACAACAATAATAATAACAGTGGAAGTAGTTCAAGTAGTAGCAGTAGTTCTGGAGTCAACATATCTTCTAGTGATTCTTATATCTCTCTGTCGCTCTCACCGTCATTGTCTCCGTGTTCCTCTTTGACACCGTCGCAAGCATCACCACCGTCATCCGCCAGCTCACCAATTGAATCTTTGTCTTCGTTGCCACTCTCTCCACCCAATAGCATCGGTAGTCAAACCAGCAGCAGCAACACTGTTACCACTCCTCGTGGACATGATCAACAACAACAACAAAGAAAATCAATTTGGTCACCTAAACCTAATAACAACAACAACAACAAACTATCGCCAATTAACAACTCACCTCAGAGCGATACAACCATGTCACCTTCTCTATCACCGTCAAGTCCACAAGAGTATCTACAATCACCGACTCCACCAATGACTCTCAGTCTCTCGGATAGTAACAACACTGAACTTCAACTACAACAACAACAACAAGTAGTAGTCGATAGTCAAACGTATAATCCTATAGAGGAGGAGTTCAAGTCGAGAAGTGATATCTATTTCGTTAGTCAACCACCACCAATCAAAAAGTTTGTAAAGATCAAATGTGGTTCGTTGGATGCTCTCGTGGAAGTTCTCACTCATCATAAGCTATCGGATCCCAACTTTGTCGATACGTTCCTCCTGACACACAAGACCTTCACCACCTCTCAGACTCTACTGAGTAAGCTAATCGAGCGATACGAAGAGGAACCAACTGCACTCGACGAAGAGAATGAAGAACAGATCGAGAAGCAATCAAAGATCTACAGATCTATCAAACTCAGAGTCTGCAGCATACTAAAGATTTGGATCGATAAACATTTCTATGATTTCGAAAAGAATCCACAACTACTAAAAGACTTTGAACATTTTATTAAAGTAACACTAGTAGAGGATGGTATGGAAAAGATTTCTCAAAACATTCAAAGAAATATAGCTAGAAAAGTATGTATCTAATTTTAACTTTTAAATTTAAACAAACAAAACAAACTAATTTTAAACAATTATGATAATAGTTAAATGGTGAAACATTTGATAATACATTATTAATGAATAGAGTACCTGCACCAATTATACCAACATTAAAACAAGATCAAATAGGTAAATACACTATATTTTAAATATATTTTTTTAAAAAAAAAAAAAACAAATATTTACTTATTTTATTTTATTTTTAAAAGTTACATTATTTTCACTTGACGATTTAGAGATTGCTCGACAATTGACATTGATAGAACATGAAGCATACTCATTGATTAAACCAAATGAGTGTGTAAATTTAGCGTTTAGTAAGTTGGGTAAAGAAGAGAATGCACCGAATATCACTGGAATCATTAGAAGATCAAATATCATTCCACTATGGGTTGCAACTGAAATCGTACAAGAAGAAAGATTAACAAAACGTGCAAATATAATTAAAAGTTTATTAATATTGCTGATGTATGTATTATTATTAGATCAATCTAAAATCAATCAAATATTAATTAAATTTATAATATTTTTTAAATATTTATAGCATTGTAGAAATTTAAATAATTTCAATGGTGTGATGGAAATCTTGTCAGGTTTAAATATCACACCGGTATTTAGATTGAAAAAGACATGGGAAACCATACCGAGAAAGTATTTAGCGACGTTTAGACATCTGAATTCACTGATGGCACCGAAACACAACTTTAAGGTGTATCGTGATGTACTGCACACCAAGAATCCACCTTGTTTGCCATTCCTCGGTGTCTATCTGACGGATTTGACGTTCTTGGAAGAAGGTTCACCCGATACCTTAGAGGGCGGTCTCATCAACATGGTGAAACGAACACAGCTAGCAGCGGTCATTCAAGAGATTCAACAGTTCCAACAGCTACCCTATTCGCTTAGCACCGTTCCCATTATCAGAGATTTCCTACACCAAGTGAACGGACTTCAAGAGCGAGCTCTCTATAAACAATCAAGAATCGTAGAGCCATAACATAGAAAAACAACACAAAGTAACAAAGCACATGACCAAAAAAAAAACCAAACCAAACCAAACAACACATAAAAAAAAAAACAAAATTTGTATTATTTATTATTAATTAAAAATTTTGGTATTATTGTTATCATTTTTGCTGTTTATTCCCAAAATGATCACCACCTCTAGAACCATTCCCATTCACAAAACAAGATTTTTTGATTTTTTTTTTTTTTTTTTTGATTTTTTTCATGAAATTTTAAGAGTGCAAAGATAACATAGAATGTAATCTTGCTAATATATTACCTTTTTAGAAATGCCGAAAACTAATGTGGTGATATTGATATTTTTTTATTTTTTTATATTTTTATCCTGGTTTGATTAAATAAAAATGGGTACTCACCCTTAGATTATATACCTGGATATCCAACAGGTTGTTTATTTTACACTTAACCAAAAGAAATAAATATATTACAACAAACTTATAATTTCAGTTTTAATATAAATAAATACATATAAACATATATATACATATAGTAATAAGTAATAAGTAATTACATAATTTTTTAATCATCATTATCTTAACTCAAAAGGTAAAATTTAAATTTCACCATTTACACTTTTTTAAATCAAAACAACACACTCCAATAATAAATACGTACAAAAAACATAGATTCTCATACAGATATACAACACAATTAATTAGAAGATAATATATACAAATAATTAATTACCAACAAATACTCATACACACACATATTATGTACATTTGTTATATTATAATATCTTTTTTTTTTTTTTACTTTAATAGATAGCAGGTGTGTACAACTGTAAATTTGGGGTGTTGAAATTGTAAAACAAGTCTTTTTTTTAAACACAACTCACCCTACATAAATAAATTTCAAGATAAAATTGTGACACACAACAAATTCTATTGTTTTTTTTTTAATATTATTATAATATTTAATTTTTTTTATTTTTTATTTTAATTTTTGCTGTCGATCTTTAAATGCCTATAACTATTACAACAACTACGATACAATCTCTAACAATAATAGTCAAATTCCTACCAACATTATAGCTGTAAACAAAAAAAGAAAAAAAAGAATAATAACATAGTTTACTTTTTTTTTTTATCTATTTATTTATTTATTTTTACTTTTAAAATAATTATAATAATAATAATAATTATATTGACAAAAAAATATCCATTTTAAAATTAGTTTAGTATATCCAAATATTAAAAATCAAAATAAAAACAATGGAAACGATTCAACAATCAACACAACCCATTGTGAATGTTCAGACATTCGATAATATCGATGCCGTAAATCATAAGGATCTATGGTGGAAGCTATTATATACATTATTTACTGCGACTGCATTAGCATATCTCTATGCAAGAAGAAAAGACAATAGAATGTTACATCTCGTTAAACCATTGCCAGTTCTCATCCTTGGATATGTAGTTTTACTTTGGTGTTCCGTGCATCACGTTGGAATGTCATCGTTATTCCACTTGATCGTTCCACATAAACCATCGGACTATGCAGTCTATATATCGATAGGATTGTTCCTCTCGGCAATAGGTGACCTTTTACTGATTTTCGATAAATACTTTGTACATGGAATCATTTTCTTCTTGACTGCGCATCTCTCCTTCATTTTGGCATTCACTGCCGAGAGTGACAGTCTCACTCAGTTCTTTACACCGTTGGTGGTTGTAATTTTGGTTGGATTCAATATTTTCTTTGTCTACCTATTCATCACCAAGGTGGTTCCACTGTTTGTCCACACCACACCAACCTCGATCGTCATTGCCCTCTTCTTTTACATGGCAGTCATTATCACCATGTGTTACACCGCTTCACTAAAGGCTTTGACCAAGGTCGCACAACTCTGGGAGCTATCATCATCGGTTTCACATACACTTACCATCTACTCTTGCTGTGGAGCAATCGGTGCCGTCTTGTTTTTCATTAGTGATCTGATGATTCTCATTCGTGAGATGAACGCACTCAAAAAGAATAAGGTTTCAACTTTCCGTAGATTTTTGGGTAACGGAGATGTTGGAATGATCACTTACTGGCTAGGTCAATTCTGTATTGCTTTAAGTGTTACCTCAATATTGTAACTAATATAATATTTAAATAAATTTAATATTTATATTTTATCGATTAAATAATAGATATGTGAATAAAAAGAATTTAAATAATAAAATAGAAATATGAAGTATAATTAATAAACAAAATATAAATTGTTTAAATAAAGGACAAAATAAAGTATAAAACCAGTGGGAATAAAAGAAATAAAAGGAATGGAAGGTAATATGCACATATATTTGACTTTAACAATTTCAAATATTTATTTTTATGAATGATATTGATAAAAAACCAATTTTGAGTTTATTCTGATCCTCAAATCCTAACATTTTCTGAATTTCTTTAAATAAAGTAATGTTTTAAAAGAATTAAGTTAGTTTATCATAAAAAAGTTTATATTTTGATTTAATGTTTTTTTTATTTATTTAAATATACATAGAAAAAAGATAACAATTTAAAATATTTAGAAGAAATAAGCTGATCCACAATTTCCACTAAACATAAATACATGTCCAACTTCTTTAGTAATGTAAGATCCATATCTTGCAATATCTTCAGAGTTAAAAATTGATTTTTTCTTTGGTTTTTCTTCAACTGACTTTTGCTCCTCTTCTCTCATTCTCTCTTTTAGTTCCTCGATGTCCTTATCCTTTGGTTCGGGTGGTGTGAAAATAATCTTTCTCAAAGTATTCATTCTACCAGAGAGAGTAAGATATTTCTTCTTTTGAACTGGGTCGTGATCCTCCCTGTTCTCAGTGGTACCATCGATGCTATTAAAGTTGTTTGGAATAGAAGAAGTGGTACGATTCAATTCCTTTCTCTTTGAGTTGGAACTGCTTGACTTTGGTTCGTTCTCTTCGGCTGCCAAATCGTTTTCATATTTAGTTGATCTCTTCTTTGAAAAAGTATTGTAGAATTTCATACGAAGTGATTTCTTTCGTGACAATGATTTCTTTGGAAGATCTTGTTGGTACTGCTCTAAATTGATTTCCTTTGGTTTGTAGTCTGGTGGTAGATCTGATTTATTTGCTTCTGATTCGAATAGATTCAATAGTTCAACCTCTGCTCTAGTTGGACGTCTAACTCTCTCTACTGCAATATTCTCGGCTTCATCGATTGGTGGAAGAGGGTGTTCCTCCTCAGTCTTTGGTTTCTCCTCTTCAATCTCTTCCAACTTTGGTTGTTCTGGTTCCTCCTCGATCTTTGGTTTTTCATCTTCAATCTCTTCCAACTTTGGTTGTTCTGGTTCTTCTAGCTTTGGTTGATTGGGTTCTACAATTGGAGACTCTTCTGGCTTAGCATCTTCCACGACTACCTCTTTTGGTTTTTCTTCTTCTCCTACTGGCTTTGGTTCGCAATTCTCGATTTGACTTGGTAAAGTATCTATAGAAGGTGGATTTTCAATTGGAGAAGTACTTCCTACTGGTTTGGATTCATCGACTGGTTGATCATTCTCTTTGTTTATTTCAGGTTCTGTTGATACTGGAGTAACTGGAGGTTGTTCAGCTGGTTCATTTGAAATAGCAACTGGTTTTTCAACCTGTTTATTATTATCTGGTAAATTATTATTATTCTTTGTTGATTTTCTTTTTGACGAACTATTTCCCATTTTTTAATAAAAACAATATTAATATGGAAAAAAAACTTGTTATTTAAAGTAGGAAACAAATATTGATATTTAATTTATAACAAAAAAAATATTGACAATAATAACAAATATGATATGGTTAATGATTATAAAATATATAATTTTTTTTTTAATATGTTCTGTCGAATTTCAAAATATATACAATAAATTCTATTGTGTTTTTATTTTATTTAAAAAACATAAGTGATTTAAATATTTTTTTAACTAAATATATTGATTTAACACTATGATCACTCTTCATCAACAGAAAAAACAACCATCAATATTAATATTGATAACAAACAACACCAAACAACATCAAACCACATCTCCACTAAAACAAAATACCCCACATGACTTATGGTAATCATATACTTTCTTTCTATTTAAATAGAAAGAAATGATCATCCTATAACAAACTCTTAATGGTACCTCCTACGATCCAATAATTTTTGATTGCTCCATTGTTGTTTGTTTTTGCTTGATGAAATGGATCATGATTCTGATTATTGGTAGTGGGGTGTTTAATTAATAGTATAACTATAAAGAAAGGTCATCTTCATCAATCTAAAAGTGTACACTTTCAAAATAGTGGAATCTTAAACTGTGTAGAAACGCAACATTATCATCATCATGATACATACACACTCTATCAAATAATATTGGATTCAACTGAAAAGAAGAAGCTGCAACAAACCTGACAACCAACTAACGAACCACCAACTATTCAACACAAATAAATAAATTTAACTACTTATATATCAATTATCATACCCACACACAGAAAAACACAAAAAATTCTTTAAAACATGTAAATTTTTTATGGAACCAATTCACACTTTAAATTTAAAAAAAAACACACAAAACACATTAAACACCATTATTTTTATTTTGATTATGATTGCTGTTGATGGTATTCGTTCATTGGATGACGTTTTAAATTATGATTATCGTGATATATAAATAAAATTGAAAGCATAGAACCTACAACAATAGAAACAACTATTTATATCACAATAGTTTATGTGTTTGTTTAATTTTATTTATTATTTTAGAAGGCTTGTCATAAGATCGAATAATAATATTAAATTAACGAAAAATGGATAATTTGTTAACAACATCAAACACAATGATCAATTTTGTTACTTCAAATAATATCATCAACCAAATATAAATACAAAGTTATATATTTTATTTGATGTGGTATGAAATTAATAGTAATAAAGTGAGGTCATTATGATCATTAAAAAAGATATTATTTGATTTAAACCGACACATCAATTACTTTCCATTTTAAGTTATCATCAATTTATTTTTTTTTGGGTAATAAAATTATTTGTAAACAATGAATAAATCTGATAATTAAATAAACAAATTGTTGGTGTTTTTTTGTTTTTTTAAAAAATTAATTTAAATTTATTAATATATTATATTCAAAAAGGCTTCAAACCAATTTGATATATAATTATTGTTGTTGTTGCTGTTGTTGTTGATTTGTTATATCGATAGTTAGATAAAAATGTATAGTTTGTTAGTTAATTGTTGTTGTGTTGAACATTCTCTGTCTGAATGTAATTGTTGTTGTCTTTTTTTAAATATAAGTTTGAACATTCTCTTGATCATCGAAATCATTGTCAGAGTCTGAAAAGAATGAATCATCATTGGTTTTCTTTAGAGATGATTTTGGACGCTTGACCTCCGGAGAATCATCGACTCTGATGTTGGAGAATTTCTTTTTGAGTGCATTTGCAATAAAGTCTTGGGTGGAAATGGGTTGTTGATTGGTGACATCACGGACTGGTGTTCCACCTGGTGATCTGACGACATCTGATTTCTTGAGAGTAACCTTTTGACCACTACGCAAGATGTCTCCGATCGACATTGATGACTGTTTGGTAGGTGTCATAGGAGCTGGCGATTCAGTGCCATTGGACTTTAGTTTCTTGAGTGCCAAGTTGGCTGGCTTGAAAACAGGTGGTACTGGTGGTGGTGGAGGTGGTGGCCCGCCAGCAGCCATTACTGGTTGGACATTAGTGGCGGCGGCATTACTGTTATTGGCCATAATTCTAGCGATCTCTTCACGCAATCTGCTGAGCTCACATTCTAAATTCTTTACTTTTTCATTGGATTGAGCTGGTTGTGTTGTTGTTGTTGGTGTAGTGAACTGACCAGTGGAAAGAATGGAGGTGGTTGATGACTGATTGTCTGATTTATTTAATAGTACAGATGATGGAGTTGAAATTATATTATTAGTATAGGGTGTGGGTGTGGATGTAGTGATGTTATTATTAGTGGTGTTGCTGTTGCTGTTGGATGTTGATGTTATCGATGAATCAACAGAGATGGTATAATGAGTTTTTGTAGTTGTACTCGATGTGATTCTAAGAGATGATCTTATTTTGGTAAACTGCATGGCTATTCTATAAAAGATTCCATTCTTTCTTCGCATCTGACGATTGAATAACTCTGGTAGAGTCACAACAAGATCAGAGAAACTGAGCAAAGTGTGACCTGCGAATTCAAAAAATAAGAATCCATACTCCATTATTCTTGTTGAAATATTATTATCTCTATAGTGCACAATTTTACGATTACTCATTTATAAATCTATATCTATCTCTATTTTATTATTTAAAAATTATTATTATATATTTAATTAATTAAAATTTATATATAAATAATTAAATTAATAATAATTATTATTTTATTATTATTATTATTATTATGAATATTTAATATTTGAAAATAATTAACAATCACCATTCAAAAATGTAATCATAATTTCATAACTGTCAGATTCCCAATTCATTTTAATGGCGGGTATTTGATCTAAAAAAAAATCAAAATTCAAATTTGAAAAAAAAAAAAAAAAACAAACATACACCACCGTACTTCCAAACAAAATCATTGAAAATAAGGGTAATTTTTTTTGAATAATCTTTAAAAAAAATTAAAAAAAATAATGCATTAAATCAACCAATCAAATAAATTAAATGCTGATAAATCACAATAATATATATTTTACTATATAAATCAATCATAATTATACATTTACGATAATATTTATTTATATTATAATATTTGAAAAACAAACAATTGAAAGAACAAAAAGAAAGAGTAGAAAAATAGATTTGATTTGATAACCAACACACAATGTCATGGACAAGATGCAGTATCAATGGCAACAAAGTGATGCCTGTCAGATGCGCACACTCATCGGTATTCATCAGTAAAAAGAATAGCATATATCTATTTGGTGGTTGGGATGGATCTCGTGTTTTAGATGATCTTATTAGATTCAATTTAGGTAAATGTTATATATCTATCAATCTCTCTGTCAATCAATTGCTAACATAACATTTTATCATTTTATAATAAATAAATAAATCATTAAAGAGACATCTTCATGGGATTTCCCATTACCGATCACAGGTAAAATACCATGGAAAAGAGCAGGTCACAGTGGTACACCACTTCCAAATTCAAATAGTTTTCTGATTTTCGGTGGTTCTGATGGTGAGCACTACACTTCTGAAGTTTTCATTTTTGACTGTGGTAAATATGATATGCATAACACTCAACTATCACTTATATAAGTTAGCGTGTATTAAACAAACACAATCCATTCTTATAATTATTAGATAGGATGCAATGGAATGAAATCAATACAACTGGAACAATACCACAACCTCGATCTAGACACTCTGCATCACTGGTAAACAATAAGATTTATATATATGGTGGAAGCGATGGTAGTAGATCATTCAACTCACTCTACGTATTGGATTTAAGCACAATGCGATGGTCAATACCGAATTGTAATGGCGATATACCACCTGCTACATGGGGACACTCTTCCATTCTCTATGGAAATAAACTTTACTTTTTCGGTGGATCCGATAGTGATTCAATGTCAATGTCATCAATGTTGAATATTTTAGATCTATGTAAATATTTTATTATTTTATTATTCATCATCACCACCAACAACAAAAATAACCAAAACTAATTTATCTATATTGTCTACTATTATAGCTAATCATGAATGGAAAGTAAATGTAAAGGTTGCTTCAGATGCTTCTAATGCGCCGCCACTTGGCAGAGCAGGTCATTCTTTTACATTGGTCAAGGATAATATTGTGTTGTTTGGTGGTGCATCTGATAACGATAAGATTCTCAATGACACTTTTGTTTTGGACCTGTCATCGGATAGTTTGGTGTGGAAGAAGTTCCTTGGAGAGCATACACCAACCAACAGATGTGCTCATACATCTGAAATTGTAAATAATAAGATATATATTTTTGGTGGTAGCGATAGTAAACAGTATTTCAAAGACATAGCCATACTCGATGTAGACAAAGTAATGGCCAAGATTCAACAGCAACCAAAGAAACGTATAAGATTAAGACCTTTTAAAACACCAATAGATAATAATAATAATAATAATAATAATAATAATAATAATAATAATCAAAATGATAATCAATCGAATCCACCAAATATCATTGTAACATTGAATACAAACACTCAAACAATTCAACCACAACCAATTAAAGCACAACCAAACGGTAACCAAGCGAAACCACCTGTAAATAATATTCCACCTCCACAACCACTACCATCAAGATTGAAAAAAGCAGCAACACCAACACCTACTGCCATTGCAATGAAAGATTCAACTCAACAAAAACAAAAAGGTAAATCAACAAAAAACAAAGAAAAGGAATAACATAATATATTTTAGTTATTTTATTAATAATCTTTTTTACTATTTAATAGATTTAATAGAATGGCTTAATAGATTAAATCTAAGTAAATATGAAAATCATTTTTTAAAGAATGGAATGACTATCGATGTATTGGACTACCTGACGGAACAACATTTGGTTGAAGATCTAAAGATTCCTACGTTGGGTGCAAGACTAAAGATATTGAATAGTATACAACTCGAGAAATCAAAGAATCAAACAACCAAGAAGGTGAAGGATGACAAAGAGACATTGAAAGAAACGATCGACAGTTTGAAACAGGTTGCCGATGCACTCGCTGCTTCCGTGCAAACACTGAGCATGAGAGAATCACATTCAAACAATATCGGTGGTCATGTCAGTCCGAGTATCATTGGTATGAACGGTAGATCAAGAAGAGGCTCCAACGCATTCGAACATCCAATAAAATAAATGTAACATCTATTATTTTATTTTATTTTATTTTTTAAAGCAAATGTGGTATAAATGTTTTATGTAAAGTATTTGAAAGGCACAAGCTTACAATACAATAAATTCAAACAAAAAAAAAACCAATAATAGTTAAAAACAAATAATTAAATTAAATAAAAAGAATAATATGTCGAGTGAAGTAGATAAAGTTTTAAATCAATTAATAAGATATCTCAGAGGAGATGATGTACTTATGGTTTATAAATATAGAAGAAGCATTGAATCAACTATTTCTACTTTGGAATCGATTCAATCTTATTTTATCTAGCACCAAACCAAGGAGATAAAGAACAAAGATTCAGTGGTAAAAGCTATAGAGGAGTTTTTAAAAGAAATAGAAAAAAATATTCATAATCGAAAAGCTTTCAATAATATAAGTAAAGTTATCCAAAATTTAAAAGAGAAAAAGAAAATCAGATATGACTGCCGTCAAGTTGGCAGCTCCAATAGTTAGTTGGAGTGGAAATTGAAATTATAATTTTCTTAAATTTGTTTAATCAATTTTAAAAGAAAGATATTTAAATGTAACAAATTCACAAATTCAAAATTAGATAAATAAACTTCAATCACAATTTAATTTGTTTCAATTTTTTAAGAATTACAATTTTTATCCCAATCAAGAGATTGTAAAATATAATATATGAATTTATTTTATAAACAAACTTCATATTTTTAATTATTTCATAAGATTTTATAAAAATTTATGTTTTTATTAGTGTTCAGTTTTTCATATAGATAAAGAACAACTTTTTAAATATTTATATATTCTTTGGAATAGAATGTGAGAATCAACTCAAAGAAAATTAGCAAATTAAAGATGGTTAGTGGAGTCTGGAATCTAGACAAGGAATACTTTTAGATTTATTTAATATTTGATATATACAGATTTATATCAGTTACATGTTTATACTTTTTGGAAAAAAGAGGATCTAATGGTATTGATACAAAACCATTCAAATCTCTTTATAATGGTCATAATATCTACATTGGTATTTCAACTTTAATCGATTAGCTTTGACCTGCTTAGTCCTAAACAGACTTTCTTTCCTATCGATCGTCGACCTGACATTGGTTCATTCGTTCAGTGTGGAGAGAAGTAACTTTTCCAAATCTATGTAGGATAGTCCATTATGTTTTGTCTAATAAAAATTTCTTGTTGGTTGTGATCTTTCTTCAGTAAAACAACCAACTAAATAGTATCAGTGGTGACGACCAACCGACTCTCACATCCTATTCCAAAGATCAAATAAATTCAATAAACAATTAACTTTGTCTGTATTTAAACCAAAATTCTTTTACAAAATCAATTTGATTGTTTTACAAATTTTATTTCAATTAAGATTCAAAGTTAAAGACATTAATGTTTTATTTTCGTATCGAAAATTTGATATCTAATATTCTCTGGTGCAACTTTATCCTGAACATAATAAGATTTAATACAACAATAAAACTCCTTTCCTTCTTTCAAACGTTTGATATCATTTTCCACTCTTAACAGAAAATCTTTTTCATCATAAAAGTTAACTGCTTGCAAACCAAAGAATTTTTCCTAAAGATATTTCATTAATATGTTTAAAAGTAAGAATCTTATTAAACTCTACTTACAGCTTCTTCTCCATATAAAATAACAGGTATATCACCAGTATCATCCTCTAATATAAATTTAAGTAAATAAATATATCCAATAGTATTTTCTTGTGCGCAGTTTACACATTTCTGAAAAGAATCCATATAAAAGTCGGCAATGTTGAATTGGAAAACTGATTTACAAGCCTTACAAGATGGACGTGTCATATTCATTATATTCATAGGAATATGTTGTATTAATTTAGCACATATCTTGTATTTCTTTGGTACCTATAATGAATTAATTTAAAAATAAATAATATTAATAAAAAAATGTTTTGAAAAGAAATTGAATGTTACTACTACTACTTGATAATTGTAACTTACATGTGCATCTAGTGATTTTATATCATTAATTTTTGTAACATTTTTACTTGGATATTCTGTTTCCGTTAAAAATATCTGTGGATCTATATGTCTATCTGGTATTTTTGGTATACTACTATCATTATCATTATTGTTATTATTATCATTATTATCATTATTATTTGTAAAATTCATTATTCTAATATAATCATCTACTCTTGATTTGTGATATCTACATGAAAATAGAAAATAAAAAATATTGTTAGAAATGATAGATTTAACCAATCGTGATAAAATATAGTTTACTCTAAAATATGTAAAATGACAGGATCATTCTTATCGACAGGAATAATATCAGAGTTTGATTGTACTTTTAGTTCATCTTTGCCGTTGTAGATGTTTGGTTGTACTTTTTTAAAGAGGATCCATTGTCCTTCGTTGATGGAATCCAAGATCGGTATCTTATGAGAGTCCCACGACAGTACATCCAAGAGTCTTCCGAATCGATGTTGATCGTCGACCACCTCATAGGCATCGCCAGTACCATCCCAAATCCAAAGATTCAATCGTTTGCCAACCGCTGTAGTAGAGAATGACTTTACCAATACCTTTCCGACCACGTTGATAGCGGAGGGATCATTGAAATCGATATCAGAGATTGGTGTACGATTGATAACATTCTGCGTTTGCGAAACGAAATGCTGTTTGATTTCAACCCATAGCTCTCGCAACTGATCCACTCTAATCCGATCGTCATCAGTAAAACTGAATTGTGGTAACGATCCCAGAGGTTCTATTTTGTCATCTTTATCACCAGTGATCACCACAACATTGAAATGTGTTCTAGCATGTGTTATATTTCCTATTGCCAAGAAAGTACCATATTCTTTTGTAATCTAAAATAGTAGTGATCATTAAAATTATTAGTTTCTAGAATATAATATTATGATATATCTTTTATTTAAATAACATTACCTTTGCTCTATCTAATCTAACAATATTACCAACTTGTAAATGAGAAAGAATCTCGTTCTCCTCTGAATAGAATAGACTGACGTTTATCTTTAAATCGATTGAATCTGCAACAACAAACTTTAAAAGATTATCGTTTGCAGTTGGTTTCGGCTTGAATACACCAACTATAAAACCATAAAAACTATCTATTGTACCATTATTTAATGATCTAATTTCATGATATACAGGTTTCTAAGAAAAATATTAATATGATTCTGTTTTTTAACTTTAATATAAATTAGAATCAAAACATACAGGTATATTCTTTTTCTTTCTCTTTTTATTTGTATTATTATTATTATTACTCATGTTTGAATAACTCTGAATATTTAAATTGAAAGAAAGAAATATAAAAGACAGAGTTTGAAATTCGAATAAAAGATTTTAACACACTGAATGAATTGTGTTCGTTAAAATTTTTTGAATTGATCATATTAAAAAAAAAGAGAGGGAACATCAATATTTTTCATTAATAAAACCTCTGTTTTATTTTTATATTATTTTTTTAAAACTTATTTATTTATTTATAAACAAATGACAGATAACAAGTTTCAAAATATAATAGATACACTTGGTATTGATACTTTTGAAAAGATTAGATCTGCAAAGGTGTTGGTTGTTGGTGCCGGTGGAATCGGATGTGAACTTTTAAAGAATCTTGTACTCTCTGGTTTCAGAGATATTCATATCGTATGTATTATCGGTATATCTATTTCTTCACCATTTCAACATTACTTATTAAATTAAATTTTAGATTGATTTAGATACTATTGATCTAAGTAATTTAAATAGACAATTCTTATTTAGAAAACATCATATCGGTATGTCAAAAGCAAAGGTATGTTAAATCATATGATAATCAAATCAATTAAATTAGCAATCATATATATTAATTTGAAGCATAACAACAACTATATAGATTGCTAGAGAATCAGTATTGAAATATTGTAATAATAGTGATGATATAAAGATTGTTGCACATCACGCAGATATCAAGACACACGAATTTGGACCGAATTACTTTAAACAATTCAACTTGGTGATGAATGCTCTCGACAATCTTAGTGCAAGAAGACATGTCAATAGAATTTGTTTGTCCGTAGATATTCCGTTGATTGAGAGTGGTACAGCTGGATTCCTTGGTCAGGTCAGTGTCATTCGAAAGGGTGTGACCGAGTGCTTCGAGTGCATTCCAAAGGTGCCACCCAAAGAGTTTGCTGTGTGTACTATTCGTTCGAATCCATCGGCACCGATTCACTGTATCGTTTGGGCAAAGATGTTGTTTGGTCGTCTGTTTGGACTGGCCGACGACTCGAATGCCGTCACCGACATGGACGACAACATCGTCGAAGGCGACAAAGATGACACTGACAATGTGATTCGTGATGAACTACTCCCACTGGCCAAGCAAAAGAGTTATGAACAATGGGTATTCCACAAGGTGTTCTACACTGACATTGACAGACTCGCCAGAATGACTGAACTCTGGAAGGAGAAGAAACCACCAAGACCACTTGTTTACGATGAATTGTTTTCACCTGATGGACAACAAACAACCACAACAACCACTACAACTAGTAATGGTATTAACTCTTCTTCTGGAAGAGGACTTAAAGATCAAGTTGTAATGAGTTTCCAAGAGAATATCAATATGTTTGTTGAATCCATTAGAAAACTACAGGTTCAAAACGAGCAGAATGGTGCGCTCACATGGGATAAAGATGATAATCTTGCATTGAACTTTGTAGTGTCTGCATCAAACATCAGATCGCACATCTTTAACATTCCTTTGAAATCGAAATTCGACATCAAAGCAATGGCTGGTAATATCATTCCCGCTATTGCAACTACCAATGCAATCATCAGTGGTCTTATCGTTTTAGAAGCATTCAAAGTATTAAATAATGAATTTGATAAATGTAAATCAGTAAGTAGTAAATAACAACAACAACAATAATATATTTATATCAAAATGATCATAAACTAACTAATAATCTTACTATTACTATTATTTTAGACATATCTATTAAAACAACCATCAGGTAAAAGATTATTATTACCAATTGATCCAGAGAAACCGAAATCAGATTGTTATGTTTGTTCTCAAAACTTTATTACTTTGAAGATCAATACAAAGACAACGACACTCTCTCAACTATTAAATGATGTTCTAAAAAAGAATCTATCATTCCATGATCCAATTCTAACTGTTGGTGCAAGGTAACTAAACCATTATCATTTAAACTGTCAATATCATATGATTGATATTAACAATATATCTATCTATAGTTTACTTTATGAAGGTGGTGATGAAGATCTGAGTAAAGAGGAAATCGAAGAGAGAAATAAATTGGAACAAAAGATCATTGCTGATTATAAGATGCCAGATAACACCATCTTGAACGTAGAAGACTATTTACAGAATTTCAAAGTTTCAATTTTAATTATTCATTGGTAAGAATAAGCTATTGATTAACATTATTTGAAAGAGTAGTAAACTAATTGCAACTGTTTTATGATTATCAGTGAAACATTTGATGAAGATGGTAAATGGTTTGATATTTCAGGAAAACAAAAAGATCAATCTACAAACAATAACAACAATCATGATAGTAACAACAATAATAATAACAATACAGAAGACGACTTGGATGATCTCGAAATCATTGAGAATCCAGTTGATATGCAAATCGATGCCTCAAGCGACAAATCCACTGCCAAGCGTAAAGAAATCGAATCAGAAACATCTGATTCCACAAAGAAACATAAACTGAACGAAAATAATGAACAATAAATGAAACAACATAACACAACAACTTGTTTAGATTCTTTTTTTGTTTTTTTTTTTTCCACTATCAATTTTGATCTTACCAATCACTAACTAATTAGATAGATCTTTTAAAAAATATCTAAGTTCTTAGTTTACAATTATTTAACTCTGTAGTTTAATGACTCATCAAACAAAAAACAAAAAAAACAAAAAAAAAAAAAAACAAAACAAAACATTATCTCATTTCGACTTCATATGTAATGATAATCATTGTTGTTGAAGTTTTTTTTGATTAGGCAAATTATGATCATAACGGCGTAAAATCAATCCAATATTCTATTCTATGGTATTTAATATTCAAAGGCGAAATTAACAATCTTTGCATTAGCATTTTTAATAAAAAACGAATCATATTTTACTTTATGACTCAATGCGCATTTAAATTGTAAAAAACTAAAAATATATCATTTTTTTGTTTTTATTTTCACCACTCGGCTTTATTTATATAGGCTCCCACCCGTTGTTTTATTTTGGTTCTTGGGAGGGCGATAATTGATCAAACAACTTCTTTTTTATTATTATTTTTATTTTTAAATTATTTTTTATTATTATTATTTTTATTTTTTTTTGAATTAACAAAATAAAATGATTTTTTAATATCCAAAACATTATCATTATTACTTTTTACTTATTACTTTAAATCTATCTTTTTTTTTTTTTTTTTTTTATTATAAAACAATCTTTTAAACAAATCCAACTACTTTTTAGTTGTATTTGAATTTCCCACGAATTTTTTGACATTTTTTAGCAATAAATTCAACTTCACACAATTTATTTTTTAACTTATTAAATTTCATTTCATTTAGATTTCTATATTTATAGTATTATCATATAAAAATGGTAAGTAACAAAGCAATGATAATAAATGAATATATAGAGAGCAAATATATTGATAATCATTTATTTTTTTATTATTATTGTTTGTTTTTTTTTTTTTAATATTTTTTTAGTCAGAAGAATTCATTGGACATAGACCACTTAATGTTGTTGACGAAGAGGTATTCAACTTGTGCAAGAGAGAAAAGGCAAGACAAAAGGATGGTTTAGAGTTGATTGCCTCTGAGAATTTCACATCGAGAGCTGTCATGGAGGCTCTCGGTTCACATTTCACTAATAAATACGCCGAAGGTTACCCAGGTGCACGTTACTATGGTGGTTCTGAGGTTGTCGACGATTTGGAGAATCTCTGTGTAAAGAGAGCTTTGAAGTGTTTCCATCTCGATGAAGCATTGTGGGGTTGCAACGTACAACCATACTCTGGTTCACCTGCCAACTTTGCCGTCTACACCGGTCTCTTAAAACCACACGATCGTATCATGGGTTTGGATTTACCATCTGGTGGACAGTATGTAATATAAAAATTAGATTAGATTAGTCATAGTTTATATTAATTGTTTGTTTTGTTTTCTTTTCTTTTTCTTTTGTTTTTGTTTTTGTTTTATTTAGTTTAACTCATGGATATCAAACTGATAAGAAAAAGATCTCTGCAAGTTCAATCTATTTCGAATCGATGCCATACCAAATCAATGCTACTGGTTATGTTGATTATCAAAGATTAGAGGAGAACGCTCTTTTGTTCAAACCAAAGTTGATTATTGCCGGTGGTTCATCGTACCCAAGAGAATGGGACTACAAGAGAATGAGAGCAATTGCCGATAGAGTAGGTGCCTATCTTATGTGTGATATGGCTCACTACAGTGGTTTGGTTGCTTCCAAACTCTTGGACTCACCATTCAACTATTGTGATGTCGTAACTACCACCACTCACAAGACATTGAGAGGTCCACGTTCCGGTATCATCTTCTTCCGTCGTGGAAAGAGAGTCACCGGTGACGGTAAGCCATTGGAGGACTACGATCTCGAAGCAAAGATCAACTTTGCCGTTTTCCCATCGCTCCAAGGTGGACCACACGAGAACGTCATTGCTGGTGTCGCCGTAGCCTTGAAGGAGGCTTCACAACAAGAGTACTACGACTACTGTGCTCAAGTACAAAAGAATGCCAGAGCAATCGGTGAGGCACTCATCTCCAAGGGTTACAAGTTGGTCACCGGTGGTACCGATAACCATTTGATTCTCTGGGATCTTCGTCCACAAGACGTCACCGGTAGCAAGGTTGAGAAGGCCTGTGACTACGCCGGTATCACCGTCAACAAGAACGCCGTCTTTGGTGACACCAGTGCCTTGACACCAGGTGGAGTCCGTATCGGTGCACCTGCACTCACCTCTAGAGGTTTGAAGGAATCTGATTTCGTTCAAGTCGCAGAGTTTTTGGATCGTATCGTTAAGATTTGCATTGATGTTCAATCAAAGACCGGAAAGAAGATGGTTGACTTTACCGCTGCACTTCCAGAAAACGAACAAATCAAACAATTAAGAAAAGAAGTCGAACAATTCTCAATTAAATTCCCACTTCCAGGTTTCTAAAAAAAAAAATAATCAATTTATTTGTTTAAAAAAAAAAAAGTATTAAATAAAAACTTTTGTGAATTATTACATGTAATTAAAAAAAAAAAAAAGATATATTTAATAATCATCGAAAATCTATCTAAAAATAAATAAGATCTTGTTATTTATTTTTTTTGTTTTTTTTTTTGTTTTTCAAAGTTTTTGAATTTTTTTTTTTTTTTTCTATCAGTCCTCAGTACCCTTCATAATGAGAATTGCGTTGATGATTTGCTCGCGACAACAACAAACAATTTTCTAAAAAAATAACGTCAGGATGTTGTTTTTCACACGAATTTGGTGAAAAATTTGGGCTCAATATTGGCATGATTTATTTTTATAACAAAGTATATTTTCTATTATTATTTTAAATTGTCATTTTTTTGTTAATAATAAAAGAGATCACCCAACTATTATTAACTTTTTATTTTTATTTTTTTTTGCAACACCAACTTACACACTTTCACACATACACACAACAAGCATCAGTATATACTCAAATAACACGATCAATACATTTTTCAATTATTTGTTGTTTAAACATCAACAACACCACACAAATAAACAACATTTGATCATACTGTTTATATTGGTATTGTTTTTTTTCGTGAAATAAGTTGGTTTTTTTTAGTTGGTCTTGTGTTTTGAAGAAGTTATAAAATTATTAGATATAATTATAATTATCACTACAGATTTTGTATAATTACTTAAATAGAAAAAAAAGATTTATAAATTTTTAGTTGTTGTAAAATATTATTTGTAATTAATAGTTTTGAAAATAACAATCAAAACTTGGGCTTTTTTTTAAACAGAAATGAGTTCAAGATGGAGACAAACTAAGATTCTTTTAAGAAAGAATTTTATTTTATTGGTAAATATATTTAGTGTTATTTTAAATCTTATTTCTAATCTAACGAACCTATTAATCAATAATAGAGAAGAGGATATAGAAGTACTATTATGCAAATTTTAGTACCATTTTTATTTGTTTTCTTTTTATGGATTTTACAATTTGGTATAAAAGCAAATAATAAAAATGATGCTTCAACTTTAGTTTGTAAGTAAAACAAAAAGTAAATAATAAAAGTAAAAGTTGATGATTAATTTTAAAATTTTATAATCATTGATTTATAGTTAGAAACCCAGATCCAGAAATAATTTCATCACCACCAAGATGTTATATAGGTGAAGATAAGGATAGTTGCTATACTTTGACGTATGTAAGTGATAATCCAACTGGTGATTGGGTAGTTCAACAGATTTCCAGTAAATATGCGATTCCTCAAGCAGAGATTAGAAAATTCGATAGCGTTCAGAATATGAATGGTTACATCGATGCCAACCATAATATGACAACTGCCAGTTTAGTTTTCTTGACCGATCCAATCACCAATATCATTCATTATGCAGTTCAGTACAACAAGACTACCGAGTATTCAAAGCAAAAGGAAATTAAAAAGGGTACCTATATTGAGTTGCCATGGATCAATGCAGTGGAACAACAGTTACAGTCCAACTTTTCCAATGGACAAAAGAGCTACGCTATCGATTTCGTACAATTTCCACATCCCGAGTTGGTAGTTGAGGATATCATCAAGGATATGGGTCCAATCTTTTTCTTTGCAGCACTGATGTTCAACGTAGTCATTCAGTTGGGTCAAATCGTTTTAGAGAAGGAGTTAAAACTTCGTGAGGGAATGAATATGATGGGTCTCAAGGATTCCGTCTATTGGTTCACATGGACCGTCACAAACATCCTCGTCAACGTTATCTCTTGTTTCGTTTTGGTAGCAGCTGGATATATATTCCAATTCGATTTCTTTAAAAAGAATAACTTTGGTACTTTCTTTGTTTTATTCTTATTGTTTGGTATTTCCATGGTTACTTTTGTATTCTTTTTAAGTACATTAATTAAAAGAGCTGATATTGCAAGTAAGTTGTATAAAAAAAAAAAAAGGAAAAAGATTATACCAAAAATAATTTATAATAATAATTAATTTCTTTTTCTCTTTTTTTTTCCTTCTTTTAGCATCAATTGGATTTGTTATTTTCTTGATTGGTATTATTATTCAAGGATTTGCATCGGTTGCATTCCAAGAGGATTTCTATGTTGCAGTTAGAGTGATTCTATCATTCTTGCCGTTTGCTTTGCTGTCCAAAGGTATATCTGATCTTTCAGATACAAGTGGTGGTTCAACATCGGGTGGTATGAAATGGAGTGATATCGATAAGGGATTCTTTTCGTTAAAGACCAACTATTCATGGATGATCATCGATTTCTTCTTTTACTTTTTGTTGGCACTCTATTTGGACAATGTACTGCCATCGCTATACGGTACTTCCAAGGGACCTTTCTTCTTTTTGAAGCCATCCTACTGGGTATGGAAACCATCGAAACCAAAGGTTGAGAAGAAGAACAAAAAGAATGAACAAACAGAGGATCACAATGAAGATGAGGATATCGTAAGAGAACGTGAGAACGTTTTGAATGACAATTTGCCAGAGGATACCGCCGTAAAGTTTATAAATCTTCGTAAGGTCTACACTTCATCGTCGGGTTGTTGTGGATGCACAAAGAAGCAGTTTGTTGCAGTCAAAGGAACTTGTCTATCGATTGGAAACGGTCAACTCTTTGTACTCCTCGGACACAACGGTGCCGGTAAGACAACAACATTCAATATGATGACCGGTCTTTTCTCACCATCGTCCGGTGATGCTTTTGTATTTGGTAATTCGATTGTACACAACATGCCAGCCATCCGTAAGGATATGGGTGTTTGTCCACAACACGATATTCTCTGGTCGGAACTCACTGGACGTGAGCATCTCGAGATCTACGCTGCTTTCAAGGGTATTCCAGAGGACAGAATCGCCGCTGAAGTCGAAGAGCGTCTCAAGGATGTAGAGTTGGGTGCAGCTGCTAATCTTCCAACCGGAAAGTACAGTGGTGGTATGAGAAGAAGATTGTCTACGGCTATCGCTTTGATTGCCGATCCAAAGATTGTATATCTCGACGAACCAACCACCGGTATGGATCCAGTATCGAGACGTCAAGTTTGGAATCTCATTGAGAAGGTAAAGAAGGGTCGTGTCATCATTCTCACCACTCACAGTATGGAAGAAGCCGACGTTCTCGGTGATCGTATCGCCATCATGAAGAAAGGAAAACTAGTGTGTCTCGGTACATCTCTGAGATTGAAGAATAAGTTTGGTGCAGGATATCGTTTGGTTGCATTGATCGACCCAACCAAGATGAACGCTGCCGACGACGTTATCAAGTTCTTTGAAATGCATCTTTCGATACGACCAATCGTTCAAAGCATTGGATCACTCGAATACAACGTTCCAAGAGAACAACTAAACGGTTTAATGTCATTTTTCGAAAAATTAGAACATGCCAGATCAATGTTACCAATCATTGATGTTCAAATTAGTATGACAACACTTGAAGAGGTATTCCTTACAATTGCTGGTCATGATGAATAAAAAAAAAAACAAGATAATAACAAAACAACAACAACAATAATAATATATCATTACTTTTCCTTTTTATGTCTGTAATAACTTTATTTTTAGAACAATAAATAGAATAATTATTATTTAATAATAATTGATCTTTATATTTTATTTATTTATCTATTCCTGTTTCTTTTTTCAATATTGACCAGATTTAATAATTTTCTTTAAATCAGTACCTGATAATGCGGTATCTTGAGAACCATCATAGATGGCAACGATGGTTGGTTCTGTCAAAAGTAATTGATCCAAGAATCTCAAGATATCTTCTTTGGTGACTGAATCGATTCCCCTGCAGATCTCGTCGGGTGTTCTCCATACTCCGGTGGTGAGTAGCTGTTTGGCCATGTCATCACACAAGACACCACGCAGCTCCAAATTCATTAAAATCAAACTCTTTTGTTGTCGCTTGGCTCTTTCAATCTCTTCATCGGTGATCAAACGACGTAGCGACAGTAACTGATTCAACATCAGTGAAATACCATTCTTAAGGAAACCGGTGCTGGTTGCCAAACGAATTCCGAAAAGACCGATGCCAGCTTCGAGATTCAAAAACGCTGAACACTCACGGACGTGTTGCAAAGCGTATACAACATGTAGATTCAAACGAGATTGCATACCTTTGCCTGGTCCACCGACTGAGAAATCTCTGCCACCTCCCAGCAGTGTCTGCAATACGAAACCGGCGTAGACGTCTTTGCTTTCGCCGACACTCTTGAATCCTCTACATGGGAATGCAAGGTAGTAGTATGCCTGTTCGGCATCCTCCACGTCGGAGATCAAATGTGATCCACCATAGTAAGGAACACGATCGGTGTTGACCAGCGACGATGCAGCGGCGGCAACGCCTGGCGATGGAGCACTGTATGGGATGTCACCGTAGTATCGCTCGACATAGTTTACCAACTGGCGATGATCTATACCGGTTGCAGAGATCACAATGTTCTTACCGATGTAGTGGTTCTTCAGTGTCTCGCGCAGGTGTTCAACAGTGAGTGCTTCATATTCTTGTGGCTGGGCGTGAGGACTCTGACCGAATCCAGTGTTTCCAAATGCAACATTTTGCATCAACAGTGGTAATAGATCTTCTGGATAGTTTAAAAAGTGTGAAAACGTTCTGATCGCATCCATCTTTACTTCTTCAAACTCTTCACCATCGAAATTCGGACATGTAATCTGATCTGCAAATGATTTCAAAATGTACTCTACATCTTTTCTTAATACTTCAACTGAAAATTGAATAGAATCATTGGATGTTGCTGATTGTGCATTTAATGATATAGTTTCATATTTCTTTACAATATCTGCAGTTGATTCATTTTTTGTTCCCTAAATAAAAATTAATAAATGTATATATATATTACTTATTAATATAACAATATTAAATAATGATTTAAATAATAATAATTAAATTACTTTAAAAGTCATTTTCTCTAATAATTTGAATACACCTCTATTCTTTTCGGTCTCGAAAGCAGAACCACCACGAACATACAATCCAATGGCACATGCATTCTGATTGGTTTGTTGTGATATCACTTTAATACCGTTTGGTAGTGTAGAGATATCTGCACGATTAAAGTTTGCTGCTGTATTAAATGGTGTATGTTGTTGTTGTTGTTGTGATGTTGTTGATGATGTTGATGTAGTAATGTTTGGTGTTGGAATTGATTTCTGTAGGAATTGATTAAGCTTTGGATGTGGTGTGTTCAATGATGTAAATGGACTTGGTTGTTGTTTGATTTGTTGATGAGCAGCGGCAGAGGTGATATTAACACTGCTATTATTGTTACCACTGGAAACAACATGAAGATCATTTTGAACTTTCAAATCATCTTTGGGTGATTGAAAAAATGACTTGCTACTATTATAATGAAATCTATTAAATAAAGGAGATGCTACATTCTGTAGCGATCTATATCCTTTTAATAAATTATTCATAATTTAAATATATATTTAAAAATGAGAAAACGAAATGAATAAAATGAAAATTGATCAATGAATTTATTTTTTTATTAATTAATATACAATTAAATTTAACACGAACAAAAAAAATGTGATCATCAAATATTTATTTTACATATTTCTTTATTACTTATTTTTAATTGTTATTATTTTGATGATGTTATTATAATTATTTTAGATTGCAATTATCTATATAAATCAAGATAAAATCCCATAATTGATGCAGATCGTAAATGTTTTTACTAAAACGAGATTTGTCAGAATCTTTATAAAATATATACACAATTTAAGTAGTTGATTCACACCTTATTCCATGGTATACGAGTCAGGGATAATCCATTGTGTTAAAGTGATTGTTGAATATGTTATGAGGTTTACTATCATGATTGATTATTCTGATTACTTATTCATCATACATTTCATTTTAAAAAAATATTAAAAAATTATAAAAAAAAAAAAAAGTGTTTCAAAAAAATAAAAGACTACTACTTGTATGAAAATAACATTTGGTGACAGGTGCAAGTTGGTTGTTCTTTAAATTAACTTGGCAAACAATACAATACCAGCAGCGCAAATAATATGTGTGTTTTTCGAACAAAGACAAGAAAAAAAATTATTAAATAAAAATTAAAAAAAATGATATTATTATGTGTGTTTTAAACCATTTAAATTTTTCAAAAAATCTTAAATTGAGAGAAGCAAAAAACAGAGAAAACAATTCAAGTTAAACGGAATTCTCATTTTATTATTCTTTTTTTAATTGTAAAGATTTAATCTTTAACTATAGCAGAAGTATTTTTTATTATTATTTTTTTTTTAAAACAAAATTTAAAAAAGTTCTTTAGTTATTCATTTATTATTATTATTATTATTATTATTTTTTGAATGAAGAGAACTGAACCTCAATTAAGGTCATCTTCTTCCAGTACACCTACTACCTCTACATCTTCTAGTGGTGCTAGTGGTGGTGGTAGTAGTAGTACTGTTGGAAGTAGTAGTAGTAGTGTTAAGCGAACTACTACTACCCCTACATCTACAACATCATCTTCATCTACAACATTAAAATCAAAACCACTTAGTTCTATTACATCTACACCTAGAACGACAAGTAGTAGTTCACTGACTACAAAACATTCAACATTACCAGCATCTTTACCTTCTAGAACAACAACAACAACTTCAAGTTCAAGTAGTAAGCCATTGTCTACTACCACTACCAAACCAACAACAACAACATCTACCAGTAAATCAAGTTCAACAGTTAGTAAAGTATCACCAACAACTAGAACATCACTTTCAAGTAGAACTACCACAACCACAACATCAACAACCAGTAGAACGAAATTAAGTTCATCTAGCAGCGGTCTAAGTACAACCAAAACAGCAAAGACCGCTTCTAGTACTGTTTCTTCGTCGACTGTCAAACCAACTAAAGTAATATCATCAAACGTTGATAATGGTAATCAAAATTACGAACAATTCAGCCCAAACACACTGAAAGCAATCAATGTCGATACCAATAGTTTAGCAAGTAGCACTTCTTCAGAGTTTTCACAAGATTTCGAACGTGTTGTATCAGAGTTTATTGTACTTGATGAGAAACAACAACAACAACAGCAGCAACAACAACAACAATACCAGCAACAAATAGTCATTTCGGATAGCTATGATTCACTTCCACAAGAGACATTCCTCAATGATCCTACCAATCCTATTGTCATTAGTGACAACGAAGAAGAGCCAGAAGATGACAACTATTCTACTCAACACGAAAATAACTTTGACGATGAGGAAGAAGAGGAAGAGATAAACGATGAGCAACAACAAGAGGAGGAAGAAGAAGAAGAAGATCAAATCGAACATGTTAATGAAGAGCAAGTCAGTCAACAAGAGGTACAAGAGCCGGTGGAACCAATCGAAAGAATAGCAACAAAGAAATCTAGTGGTGGAATATTTTCATCATTTTTCAATCTTTTACCTAAATCTTTTGTTCAAACAAAATCAACTACAACACAATCTACACCTTTATCAACAACAACAACAACAACAATTAGTGACACAAAAACAACACAAGCAACACAAATAACACCAACAACTATTACATCTACCTCCACTAGTATAACATCTATCTCTACCTCTGAGATTTTAGAGACATTTACATCACCAAACCAGCATACAGTTGAATCAACAACTATAGTTGAGAAAGAATCATCTTCAGTTGATAAAAATCAAACACCACCAACAACAATAACAGCTTCTCAAAATCTTACAACCTCTAATTCAATAACAGAAACAATTCAAAACACTAACAATAGCAACAATAACAATAACAATAGTAATAATAACAATAGCAATAGCAATAATATTGTTTATAAACAACCACCTCCACCTGTTCAACAACCAATTCAATATCAACAACAACAACAACAACAACAACAAAATTATAGATATTCACAACAAATGATGATGGGTCCACCACAACAACAACAACAACAATATCAACAACAATTATATCAACAAAAGAGTATGACAATGATGTCAATGGCAAATATGAATCCTAGAGATAATTTCCAATCAAGTCATTATCATCCAATGTCACAATCATCACCAAACCTGACAAACTATCGTGCAAGTCAACAATTTAATCCCAATATGTTTATGCCACATAATCAACCGAATGGTGTAGCTCTTTTACCATTCGTTATACCACCAGCAAAAGCATTGTCGATATTCCAAGATTGGTACAAGTCACTTTGGTTTGCACCCACCAACTTTAGAGAGCAGTTGGAGGAAACACTCGATATGAACTACTATTTCGTTCCCTATTACAACTTCAACTCAGTGGTCAGCTCTGTGCACAAAGGTAGCATTGGTTTGGTAAAGAGTGATCACCAACAACAGGTGGTAGTGGTAGGTGATAAACAGATGGAGCACTACAATGAAGACGAGATTGAATGGTCCAATGCAATATCAAATGTATATCCACAGACCTATAGTGATATGTTGATCTATTCACCATTGGACTTTACAGAGGCGCCACTCTATGAGGATATCAAAGAGATTCAGTATTGGAAGTTGGATGTAGGTGAACCACACCATGCTCAACACCCACAGCTTGCAAACTCTATCTATGAGCCAATGAAATACTATCAGAACAACAATATCAACTATCTACCACCATTAGATCAACCACCTGTAACAACTCAACAACCAACCACTGATCCACAATTAACAAAGATCCCTCAAGTCATACAACCAATGGAGATGAATAGTGCATGGGAATTTGCAGAGGCAAAAATCAAAAGAAACGAATCCTATGGTAATGATCAAAAGTTAAAGAAAGATCATATGGCTCATACTGTTTCAGATGTTGAAACAACTACTCAAATTGGTAAGTTACAATAGATAAGATAACGATTAAAAAACAACAATTTTTAATCAAATAATTAATTTTTTTAAATTTTTAGATTCATTTACATTTAGAACTATTTATGCACCAATTTATAAAATTAATTATCGATTTGAAGGTACTCAATATTCATTTATTATCAATGGTCAAAATGGAAATTCGCATGGTCAAAGACCTTATGGTGTTGGTTCAATCAAAAGTACAGCAATCAAATTCCTGACAGCAGGACTTTTTGAGAATCATAATGGAACGGCCAAGGCAGAGAAAGAGATTACACAAAATGGATTGATTAAAGGTTCTGATCTAAATGAAGTGGATTCCTTAGATTATTATAAACCTGATCTATATTATCTCTTGTTGCCTGCATCCGATCAATTCCTTATGATTAAAAGTAAAGGTTTCATTGTAAGTATATAAAAAAAAAATAATAAAAAAAAGACTAATAGTTTTTATTAATTTTTTTTTTTTTTTTTTTTATAGATTTTAAAGAATATTGGAAAACAAGATATAAAGCTTGAAGCTCACAAGAGAATGAGTGATGAAATTGGTGGAAATTGTTTATTAAAATCTGGTGAAACTCAAACTTTTGCATACAAAGGTGTTTGGTGTATATGTGTTGTCGAAGGACAACATTCTTCATTGGAACTGATCAGAGCAGAGACAAATTCAGGAGGTGATAAACCAGAAGGTGATTTACTTATGGTTTCCTCTTAGTTCTTTTGCTTTTTTTTTTGATGTACATAAAAATAAATATTTAATTGGTATTATTTTAAAAGTTGTAAAAAATTACTTTTTTATTTTCTTTTTTAAATCATTTATAATCTAAATATTATGTTTATTTTTTGATTTCTTTCAGTTTATTTGAAATTCGTTTATCCTCTGCTCTTATTTTCTTTCGATTGAAAAGGTAGATTGATAAACCAATGACTAGTGCAACACCAACTATACCTCCAATTACACTTCCCACTATGATCTTCCATTTTGTGTTGCTTTGTGTGCCTGGACATTGTGCATTGCTATTATCAACATCGGTCTCTACTATCACACTAAAGTCAGGATCAATGATAGCTAGTTGAGTATAAAATGGAATGTTCATGCCAACTTTACTGCTGAGTATTGTATTGTTTGTGTCGTCCAACAATTTGTTACTGATAATCGTTGGTCTCGAATCAATCATTGCTCTATTTAGGAATTGGCAATAGAGGCTCTGATCGTTCACTCTGATCTTCACCCAACGAATATCGCTTGTCTTTGGTGATGTCACTTTTTCAATGCATCCATCTTGATTCATCTCCACCACTTGAATATCAATGACAATCTGCATGTAGTTGAGAGGTGTATCAAATGGGTATTCGTTCAAAACTATACTATATTTTAGGGTACCTGGTGTCATCGTATTATTTATACCAGCAAATTGAACACTACTTTCTTCACCAAACCATTGGACAACTACAGTAATGTTGGTACCGATGTTTTCGATTGTCGAGGTATAGTTGTATTGACGGTATTTGTCTGATGTCAAGTTACCAGATTGTACCTGTACCATTTTCCAATTATCCATTTTATATTGTTTGAAAATCTGACCGTCTGGTTGAATTTCATTTAGATATTCGATTTTGATTATGCTGCTAAAGAGGATATCAGAGCTGTTCGTGATTGTAGTAGTTGGTGTATTTGGATCGACGTTTGGTGGTGGTTGTGGAATAAATTTGGAAGTACAATCAGGACCACTATAGAATGCATTACATTGACACATTCCATCTACACATACTCCATTTCCTCCGCAAATTGGATCAACACAAGACTCTGGTTTCGATGTTGGAGTAGGTACATTTTCACCTGCAAGGTACAATATATTTGAGTAGCCTGCCTTACTCTTTACAATGATCTTGGCTGATTTGGCTGGTTGAATAATGAATGAAAAAACAACACCACTAAAGAATGTAACGTTGAATGGTTTAAACTGTCCATTATCATAAGAGATGTATCCATTAAAGTTTGACAAGCTGGATCCTAGCTTTTGACCAAAAACAGATACCTCCACAACTGTATCATTAAAAGGTGTATATGATTCTAATCTTGGTACTAAAAGTGAATGTTAGTCAATGAACACCTCTACAATCTATCAATGTTATTTAATCTTACAGTTTGAATAGAGTATTTGAAGTGATCCCATTGATTTTGAAGTACAATTCAGCATTATTGTGCATATATTATTAATATAAAGAGTTCTTGTTGAAGGAGCTGAGAATCCATATGGGAATATATATGACTGTTTAAATCTAACGAATGTATTGTTTGGTGGTACATATATATAGTTTAATGGAATATACAATGATTGACCCAATACTTGTTGTGATATTACAACTGGTGTTTGAGATGATGAAAGTCTTGTATTATTAATCCTTACAAAACATGTGATATTCAAAGTTCTTTTTGATGGATCTACCTCTCCAACATCAATAACCTTTGGGAAGAAATCAAGCTCCAATATCTCTGGTTGATCATATACAATTGGTACTAAAAAAATTATAATTAATATTTTTGTTAATTATATATATTTCAATTTTTTTAACTTACACGAAGGATTTAGAAATATTATTTTAAATGTAGTAGAAGTATCGTTCAACATGAAAGGATTGTATAGGGGTGGACTACTACCTGGTATGTTGGTTGCATAGTTTCCACCAGTATCATATAGCTCTACATAGTTCAATGTATAGTCCTGAGTTATATACATGTCTGAGCTAGCCATGAAAGCAACTTGGTATTTATTGGTGGTACCTTGAACCAAGTTGCTTTTGTCAATAGTAATGTTGGTTTGATATTTATTCTTGCTACCTTGAATGATAAAAGTTCCATGATCAAAGCCATTTGGTGAATCTTCAATGGTCACGTACCAACCGACTGTAATCAAACCTTGCATTGTTATTTCAACAGGATTCGGTGATATCAATTCTACTCTTGTGATCATTGGTGGCATATGATCACAGTTAGTAGATACCACAGAAAATGATTTAAAGTTGAATAAAGAGATGTCTGTCGAACTAACATAATATGAAAGCGGTAGTCTAATGATGATTTCACGTGGTGCCATATTGATTTGAGTGAGATTGATAAACACTTGATAGTATTTCTCTGTTGAATTCCAAATTCCTTTGAAAACCTTTGTGTTTTTTTCGTATTCGAAATAACTAAAGTCCAAAATTATGAATGGTTCAATATTTGGATTAGAATTACTGAGATTGAATCTTAACATATTGGTTTTATAGCTATCTGTATTAACCAAATTATTTTCCATTTCAAACATTGTTATATTATTTATATAAACATTATCTCCATCTATAAAAATTAGATATTTAATTAGTAAAATTATAAAATTTTATAGTATATATAGATTCACTTACAAATGGAAGGAAAACTTGGAAATAAGTTTTGATCATTTGTAAAATCAATCCCACTTTGGAATTGAACAATGTTTAGATTGGTATCAGTAATACTTAGAGTATAAACTGAATCGGAAAGTGAATTATAGTTGACAAGCTTCTCATAAACACCATCTGTAATATCACCATCTACTAAATTTCCTGCATCCATATGAACACCATTGGAAAAGGAAATGAATAAACAACCACTTTGTTCAATAACACCAATTCTAACCAAGAGTATAGATGGAGAGAATCTAACAAACTCTAAAAATTCTACAGATGATCTATTTAATTCTATAAAAAGCTTATTAATATCAATTCAAAAAAGGGGGTTTATAAATCCAATAGTTACCTTGAGGAGGATTTCCTCCACCTGGAGAAATGGTGTAATTTCTTATAAAAAAATTGGCAGAAGAGTCTGCGGTGTCAAGATATGAATATGATACAGTGGTGACAGAGTTGACTTTATCTGGATAGTGAATGGCCAGTAACGTACCACTCTGATAGTTTCCATTTACAAGCTTGTTGTTTGACAATAGATATGGAGTTGTATTGGGCTGATAGGAAACTGTCATATTTGGTCCCATATTTGTTGCATTAGCATACCAATAGACGTATGAATTGTCGAAAGTTGCAGCAAGTACAGGGTTGGTAAGATAGCCAGTCAGAACAATCTTGTATTCTAAATAAATCTAATTTAGTATCATATATTAGAAAAAAATTATAAAATGATATTTTCTTACTAGGATAGAATGTCAACTGATTATCGTAGGTGAAAAGACCACTATTGTCATATCCGGAAAATGACATTTCAATGTTGGACGTACTATAGTTTGAACAAGAAGAGAGACCATTTAAGCTTGGTGTAATATCAACATAGTATATACCATCTCGACCTGGCAGTCTATTCATCAGTGGACTGGCAAAGTAACAATTATTCATGGAAAGTAAATTAAATTTTACAGGATATGCTTTGTCAACATAATTTGTTTCAATATAAACGGTAAGATGATTGGAGTTTGGATATCTCATAACATATGGTTTGGTTGAAACCATTTGAAAAGTAGGTGGTTCTTTAATAAAATATTAATAGTATTAGTAGAGGAAATATTGACAATCATTAAGCCAAAATTTACCTTGTATATTGAATCCGAATAGACGTTTAAAATTGGACCGTCCATTGTAGAGATCGATCAAAATGCTTTGGCTTGTTGGGCTGTATGATAAATTCAATGTTCCCGAGCAGGTATAGAGAAAAGTGTTGTGGTCACTCGGCTTTACATAGGAACATACAAAATTTTGTCCGACAATCTTATATTCTGATGTTTGTACTTCTGATTGTATGAAAAAAGTGACTCGCTGAGTAGAACCAACTAAAGTGAAATCTGTCTCTACATATTTGAAATCTATAATATCTGATTGTTGACCTAGTTTTTCAACACATGTTAGTTTGTTTTCTGTTTGTCAAATAAAAAAAAAATTACCATTTATAAAATACAAAGATATTACAACTATAAAAATACAAATAAAATATTTATTCATTGTTTACTAAACACAATCTTAAAAATAAAAAAAAAGAGAAATTTGTGTTCAAACCTTTTAACGAGCTAAAAGATTTTTTCGAAAATAAATAATGTCGGGGCTGTAACCTGGTAAAAATAATCAATCTTTTGAAAAAAAAAAAAAAAAAATTGAGAATTGGTTGTTTGATATTTGATATTCTGATTATCAGAATCACCACCATGGTATAAATTTGGTTAGAACCATGTTGATCAAGATCTTAGTGGTCGAGCTTCTAAATTCCATACTCCATAATATGTAAAAAAAATAAAAAAAAGTCAAACAAAAATATATAATTCACATTGTTAACTTACTCTTTATTTGATTGTAGTCTCTTGATGATTCAAAACGTGGAATAGCTATAGGTTGTTGTTGTTGCTCAATCATCATACTTCGAACTTGGTATTGCTTGTTACATGCTTTGTAAGGGCATCGACATACAGACTATAAAGATAAACCATGATAAGAAGTCCAACAGCTACTTGAGACAATTGCATCAATCGTTGGTCACTTTGGGATGAAGGCCATCAGAGATCTATATATTGTACAAGATACTCTTGTAAATTAGTATATGATCATCATTATTAATTCTAATATTTAAATCTTTGTCAGCATGCATATTCAATAATGCTTATCTTAAAAAAAAATTTTATAACGCCAATTTTAATATTAGTTTAATATCAAGATACATCATATCTATAGTATATTGATTTATCTTTTTTTTTGGAATTGTGATCTATACAGATACATAAATAGTGTAATTCTATTTAGGTTTTTAGTTTTCTATTTTTTAAAACAGGTGACTTGATAGATATTATTTATATAATAACATTTTATAAGCATCATAATAAAAATATTAAAGATTTAAAAGTTAATTAATAATAAAGATAGTTTTATTGTTATTTGATTATAAAAGTAACATATTGAAAGTATAACTTCAAATGAAAATTTTTGTTTTTATACGTTTAGTTGATTAGTTTTTCTTTTAAAATATGATTTTCTGAGTTGTTGTCTTGTTGAATAATATAACTTGGCACTGAAGATGTCTGATCAAAATTATTATTAAAATAAATTGGTTGTTGCATTGGGTATGGTTGTTGCATTGGTTGTTGAGTTTGTTGCATTGGATATGGGAAATATGGATTCGGTTGAGCTACTTGAGAATAATCAATATATGTTACATATGGTGGTTGTTGTTGTTGGTTTAGTTGTTGTAATGGTACCACTTGTTGTGGTAGTTGTTGTAAATATGGTTGTGGAATATATATTATTGGTTGTTGTTGTATTTGTTGTGGTTGTTGTTGTAATTCTTGTTGTTGTCTGAGTAATCCGATTTCATTTGTCGCACCATTTTCGGCTACATTAATTGGTAGTGGGAGTTTTGTGATAACAACTCGCTTACCAAGGTGATAGAAGAAGTTGATGAGACAGAATATGACGATTGCGCATAGCACAAATATACCAACACCAACAGGAAAATACATAAAAGCAACATAACAAATTACATAGGAGATATGTAATATAATCCAAAATGCAATCTCCCAAGTAGATAGCTTACTACTTCTGCCTGTTAGAACATGTCCAGTTTCAACATTCACGTTATTAAGATAGAGACTCTTTTTCAAAAAGAGAGTCATCAAACTAAACAATGGTACAACAACATAGGTGTCTGTTACCTGTTGACCATTTGCATTGATTGATGTCACATTAAATGTTCTTCTTCTTCCAAATTTCTCGACCTCTACTACTTGTCCATTGAAAGTGATCTCCTTGGAGTCGGCAACAATCTCTCTCTCTTGTTGTCCACTTAATCTTAAAACCCAAGTTGACTTCATTTAAATTGTATATATAATAATAAAAATAATAATGATAATACTAAAATAATTTTAAGAGTTTTGTTTTTAAATTTAAATTTATTTGTAATTTTATTTTAAAAAATACTTCTTTCATAAAATTTGTGAGGTTACAAAAATAAATGGTGGTGTTGTGCGGTTTTACCTTTGATTTAAGCAAAAATGTGACATGGTTCTTGTAGGCGCAGGAAATTAATTAATTTTTTTTTTTTTTGCACAAACACAAAATCAATTTAAAAAAGAACATAAATAAATTAAATAATCTAAATCATTTTGTAAATCTGCCTTTAAAGTTAACAAAAAAATTTTGATCATCTGTTTGATTGACAAAGTGAATTCCAGATGATGTATTTAGATCTTTTATTTAATAATATTTTATTGATTTGACATCAATCAATCACAATCAAATTCTGGGAGGAAGAAACTTTTAAAACATTTTTTTTAGAACATACTTTTCAGATCTATCATGATAGATTATAAATTTTTATTAGATATTAGATATTTGTTGATTGACAAAACATACCCAATAGGATGTTCAAATAATGATGATAATTAAGATGACGATAATTATGATCACTCTCAAACTGTTGATTGACATTAATGTTGGTGATAACTATTTAGAGCCTTCATCCAACAATTACAATAGAAATTATTTTAATTCTCAAGTAAATTAAATCCAAACTCTGTAAAATCACTGACTGCTCACAGTGTAAAGAGATCATTTTAAATTCTCGATAGAATTGCTTCAAAGCCAATTGGTGAGCAAAGAAGTATTGCAAAATAAATAGTACAAAAGAGTTTTTATATTAATTTTGAATTTTGAGAACCAATGATTTAAGTAAATGTATAATAATTTAAGAGAAATAAATATTAGAGTAGGAAGTATTTCATAGAAGTGCCTAAGGTATAGAAATTAATTAAATAGTTTGGAGAAAATTCTATAAATATTTTGGAATAAAAAAATTTTCGATAGATATACAATTCATGTGTTAAAAAAAATAAGATATTTTTATTTGTTATAATTGTAATTTACCCATATGGAGGGTAATTAAATAAAATTTTTGATTAGGATAAAAAGATAGGAGTAGATATTGTTAAATTAAATATTTGGTATTGATTTTTAATAAAAGAATATGTTTATTGGGTAGAGTGGAATATGATCAAGATATCTTAAATGAATTTCTTCACTTGATCTATATAGATTTGAACTGCTGATAGGTTTAATCTACAACTTTGGGACCATTGCAACTATTACATTTCAATTTTGATGATATTTCTACACTATTAAAAAAATTATCGAAAGACTTGATAGAGACTGGTAGAATATTGTGTTTGCACTGTTTGCAAAATATTTCAAAAAATTCATTTAAGATATCTTGATCATATTCCACTCTACCCAATTCCATGACTTTCTTTAAGTTCTCCAAACAAAATTTTTGTTTGTCTGTAATTGCACAACCATCTTTGCATTTAAGAAAATCTAATTCCCAGAATCATTCTTTTTCATTAATGTAAATGCTAAGAACATATTAATATTATTTTAATATTTCTATTTTAAAGAATACATACTAGTTAATGGAAAAGAATGTATATCACATTTTGATTAAACCTGAACAAATGCCTCTCACATCATGAGCTTTACCAGATTTGGACTGAGTATCAAGCAATTGATTACGGGAATTGGATAGGTTCTCCCCTTTAAGATACTTGCAATAAACTTGAAAAGCTTTTTTGTAATCTTGTGTTTTAAATGTATTTTCGTTAATATTCATTTAATATTTTTTATATGAACAGTTAGAATAATGATATTAAATAAAACTATTTTACCTAGGCAATTTATACTTATCAACAATGTGATGAATGTTTAAACTGTAATTTTATAAACTTCTCTAATTGAATTAAACCCCGGTGGAGTAACATCTTTCATTAAAATTGATATCTTATCCTTCTGGACTCAATGAACTTATGGAACTATAATCTAAAATTGGGTTATTTTTTTGAAATCTGAACCAATTTTTGATCTTTTATTTCTATAACACTATTTGATTGAAAAAACATACATCATCATTTCAGTAAAACCACCAATAACGAAATACTTATTTTCAAAGATTGTTAAAAAAGATTATTTTTATAGAATTTATTTTATGAAGAGGGTATGGAACCAATAATATATCTAAATGACATGAATTTTTGTTGTTTGAAAGCAAATCTATCTGACCCAATTAGTAAGAGATTGAAATCTGCCTACCTTTAATAAATTTGATTGATTTATATCAAAAACAACACTACTAATCTATTTGCTTCTTATACTCAACACTCTTGATTGTATTTTAAACAACCATCATGGGTATATAAAATTTTCAAAAAAACAAAATTTGATATCTTTTAACTTATTTATTTAATCATACTCAAATATTTTACTACAATAAACAATAATATGTATCAATAATCATTCTAAAGATATTATTGTTCTTTTTGGAGAATCTTTAAATCTATTCAATAGTATAGATCCCTATTGGGAAAATATTAAATTAGAATATCAGTACCCTAATAGAATAACACAGATTTAAATAAAAATAGAATAGATTTTTCAATCAAAATAGGTGATTCAACTTATTTTATCCGATGCCATCATGGTAGCAAAAAAGTATAGCTTTAGCGATACACTCAAAAGCAAATTGAAAAAAAAACCAAATGAAAGAGGATCCATTATTCATGGCTATTAAAGGATCTACCGTGGCAATGTTTAGGGAAATTCAAACTGTATCATTCTGAATGGCTGGCATATAGGAAAACCATTCTTCATACACTGCCCATGGCCTGCCGATACGACTATCTGATGGTGAGCTACCCATCTATTCTTGTTTGCTCAAGTCTACCCATCCGCACATTCGTCTCACCGTTGGCCAGGATAACATGAAACTTCTACTGTCTGTCAAAAGAACCAAAAGACCTTTCATGCATCTCACTGCTGCTATTCGATCGATTACAGTGACCTGTCATATATGGTGATAATGCACAACCTGTTAATAAGATATTGGATAACGCCAACACACTATACACCAAATATGGCAATAAAAGAGACTCTTGAAGATAAATACTCTATCAAATCAGATTTGATCGCTTCCATAAGGAAACAACAGAAGAGGTAATACAAATCGAGTAATACACAATTAAATAATTATGATTAGAATTTGTCAATTTAATATTTATTTTTAAAATTTTATGGTAATAGACAGTAACATGTTTATTCTGAACCAACACCACCTTCGAAACCGAGCATCTATTAAAATTATTAAAAAAAAAAATAAAATAAAAAAAGTAGGGGTTAGTAAAAAATTCATCAAACCTTTTGAATTTCGTCAAAAAAAAAAATTAAAATTCATCAAACCTTTTGAATTTCGTCGTAGAAGACAAGTACCAAGGCTCCTCCTGAACCTCTGATGGCATTGGAGAGAGCACCCTTGAAGAATGCAGATGGTCCTTCCTTGGAGGCAATCTTCTTCCAGCAGTCCCAGGTGCTTGAGTAAAGGATATCAGCACGACCGGCTTGCATCATCATACGTCTACGGACAGTATCGAATGGATAAGAGATGACACCAGCAGCAGTGGTAACAACTTGAGCGATAGCCCAGTTTTGCCAGAAGGTAGCCTTCTTTGGATCGTCGAGGAGCAATCCCTTGGCTGAATCGTAACCACCGAAGAAGGCAGCACGGTAGACAAAGATACCTCCGACAGAGACACCGAAACCACGGTACAAACCGATCAAACCATCACGCTTGTAGATGGAAGAGATACAGTTACCCAAACCAGTGAATTGACGGTTGGCACCAGTACCGATATCAGCAGCTAAACGGGTACGGGCAAAGTCCAATGGGTAGACAAAGAGCAAGGAAGTAGCACCAGCAGCACCACCAGAGAACAAGTTACCAACAAAGAACTTGAATGGATCTTGCTTTGGAGACCAACGGACGAAAAACTTCTTATATTTATCCTTGAAGGCAAAGTTCAAAGCTTGAGTTGGGAAATATCTGATGACGTTGGCAAGATTACCTCTCCTTTAATTAAAATTAAATTAAAATTAAATAAATAAAAAATTAATTAAAAAATTATTTTTTTTCTTATATATATATATAAAAAAATAATTACCAGAGTGACATGACACCTTGTTCCTTGGAAACTCTAGCGAAACAATCGATGATACCCTTGTATTGCTTGTCGGCGGCAATTTGGGTGGAGGCAGCTTGAACTTGGAGCAAAAGCTTGACACGTTCAATTGGAGCTACGATGGTCTTTGAGACACCACCGGCAGTACCTCCGATCAAGGAATCCTTAATGAAGGTGAAGACTGGATCTTGCTTCTTGTCTTGTGACATATTTCTTTTGTTATATATGTAAAAGGCAGATAACTACAAAAAACTAGCTTTGATTGTGATGTGAGTATTTCAGCAACTGAGAGCGACCAGCGAGAGAGCAGACTACACGTGAAAAAAAATCCAGTAAAAAAATTTAGAAAAAAATTAAATAAAATAAAAAAATTAATAAAATTTATCAATTTTTTTGGTTAAAAAAAATAATCAAAAATGGATTATTATGATTTTTTAAGTCAAATGGAATTTTCTGCACTCAGATTTATATTGTTTAGGGTGGGAGGTGAAAAGGTGGATTGTGGCAAAAAAAAAAAAAATAGAAAAAAAAATAAAAATAAAAAATAATAATGACGAATGATTCAGGTGTAAATTTTTTTTTTTTGTTTTTTTTTTGTTTCAACCCCAGGGTTTGTGCCGAAATGCTATGTCGGTTGATGTAAAAAAGTTTCAACAACACATCAAATAAATTAAATAATAAACAAATATTAATGATTACCAAATAAATGAAGATCAATCATCAATTAATCTATGTTATTGATTATTCACACGTGAAAAACATAATTATTTGTTGTCTTTTCTATTTTTTAGACCACCAATCAAAAGTTTTTATTTCTTTTGTTTACCTCCAAAGTATTGAGATAATTTGAAATTTAATTTTTTGTTTGGTTTCTTATTATTATTATTGTTATTGGTGGTGGTATTATTATTATTATCATTATTAATATTGTTATTAATTAAATCATTTGGATTATTTAATATTTGTAATTGATGTTTTAGTTTTTGAATCCAATTATGTTGGTCTTGTTGAGTGGGTGCTTTCATAAGATACTTTCTCTTTGGTGTTACTATATAGAATGATTTCAATTCTGAAAGTTGATCAGCAGCTCCTTTATCTTTGACACGTTTGATTGTGAAATGACCAGTACTTCTTTCACCTTCTTTAATTTCCAATATCTCTGTCAATGGAATACGTACACTGGTTTCATCGTCGCTGGTAGGTGATACTGGTGGTGAGCTATCCTTTTCCTTCTTTGCTTGATTACCAGATAGGTGATCAACAGTCAATGTAAACCAAAGGGTATCATATCTTTTCAAATATTTCGATTGTTTATCTAAATATCCTTCAAATATTATATTTTGAGGTTGATTATTTGATGACATATTATTATTTGAAGTAGTAGTTGTAGTTGTTGTAGTTGTAGTTTCAATATTTGGTGAGCTTGTAACAATTGATTCATTATTATTATTATTACTAATAGTATTTGCTAAATTTGATGATACATTATTATTACTATTATTACTATTATTATTTAAATGTTGTTCAAATATTTGATTTAAATTATTATAAACTTGTTTGATTGTATCGGATGATGGTATGGGTGATCGAATAATTGATTGGTCCGATTGATTATCCCATGATAATTGTTGATTTGGTTCCAAGAATCTATCTAGTCTGACAATGGACTGAAGGAAATCTATTGATTTCCAAAAATCTAAATGACTTGATACCGGTAGTTCTATACGATCATTTCCAAATTTAAAGAATAGCATGTCACCGGTTGTACCACTTGGAATTGGAATCAACTGTAATACATCGAAAATTAGCTGATATTTGGTAAGTAAATGATCCCTAATGGCATCGTATTGACTGATAGACTCTAATTCTTTTGCAACTTGTGGGCGCTGATTATCGATTGATTCTAATAGACTATCGGAAAGAGGTCGACAATATGATTGCTTTTTGGTGGTGGTGGTGGATGACTCTTTGATTTGATCAATTAAATCCTGTGCCAATGTGGTGATAAACTCTGTATAGTTATTGGATTGTAGATATTTACTGAATAGTTGTGGGTTGTTAAACAGATTGGGTGATGTTTTTTGAATTGATTTCATTCCTTTCAATATAGAAACAATAGTGTCTGGTGGTAAATTATTCTGATTATTTAAAAGTTGAAATAGATATTCTAATGATTGTTCTGTTTTCTCTGGTCCACACATACCAATGCTAAAACAATTGATAAAGCAATTAATAAAATTATAATTTATAGTAAATTATTATAGCTATTTACATTTGAACCAATGAATATTTTGAAGAAGTAATATTTGAAATTGACTCCAAGATATCACTGAAAATAGGTGTAATGGCAGATGGATATTTAGAGACAACCGATTTCAAAATGATTCCATAAAGAGTGCACAAAGATTGTTGTTGTAAACATGACTTTAATTGTACAATATATGGTATAATCGAGTATGGATTGTGTTTGGCAACTTCCGAGAAAATCGATAGTACCGATGCTTTGGATTCCGATTTATCTTCAAACTCTGTTATTAAAAAACCAAGATTATTTTCAAAATCTTTTGGATTGTATTGAATTAATCCACTTAGAATAGATAAATAATTTGGATATTTCGATGAATACTTTATTATTAAGAAAAAAAAAAGATATTAATAAATATAAATAAATAATATTATTAAATATTTTACTTACTTTAATTAAATCATTTACATAAGGTGCTAAAACGGATGCTTGATTGATTGCTTCCGATGAAAGAGATGAAAATACAATCGATTGAATTTGTGCATTCTGTTTACCGATTTCCAATACAAAAGGTATCGATTGTGATAATAGTGTATTGTTGGTTGGGAATAAGAATGATATGGTACCAAACATGGTGTATACAGTGGCATTTGCAACTTCAATCATGTTGGAAGGATTCGGTGAACCGCTCAACACTGACGATCTATTTGGACTGCTGGGTATTGCTGGTGGTGTTTGAACTGTACCAGAGGTTTCCTTTAAAAGATATAAAATACAACCATAGTATTGTTTCAAAAGAGGAATAACCAAGTCCACATTATCCTTTACGACTTCACATAATATATTTACTAAAGTAATAACAGCATCACCTTTTGATGAGTCTGATGTTGTAGAGATTGGTACTTTTTCAATATAATCCAATATTGTTGTTATAGTTGAACTATTATATAATTGATTCTTATCATTCTTGTATAATGAAATAATTTCTTCAGTTGATGTCATACTTTTAAAAAATAAATTGTAAAATATATAAAAATAAATCTGATTTCATAAATAAAAAACCTCAATGTAACATCCAAAATTAATAAATAAAAAAAAAATCAAATCAAATCAATTTTTTTTTTTTGTATTTTTTTGTTTCAATGAATAAAAAATGAATGATTTTATTTTATTTGTTTTTTTAACGGTCATTGTATGATTCAAAAAACTTTTCTAATAATGTCAATACATAATGATTTTCTTCGTCACCGTCATTCCATGTGATCTTCTTTCCACTTCCCGTATTGAATACAAGATAATGATAAGTTATTTCTTTACTGAGTGATTCTGGTTGTGCAAGACCATTGATTTGATCTGCTATATTACCCAATTCATTTAATTCCTCATCGGTCAAATGAAACAACTTTGATCTTGTATTAATTAATGAACCTGATTCTAAATTTACCATCAAATTACTTCTAGTGTTTTTTAATATATTTGATCTCATAACCATCATTGTACCCTAATAAATAAAATAAATAAGATAAAAAAAAAGATAATAATATATTTATTCTATATAAACTTACATAATTACTTTTTGATGATATAACATTTATAAATAATAATGTTAATAATATATATCTTATAGAATTATGATACATCATTTTAATATAAAAAATAATCTAAAAATAATAAAGTTATTATTATTCATCTTGAGATATATATATATCTCTATTTAAAACATTACTTTGTATTATCTAATTAATCAATTCATATTACAAAGTAAAAAAAAAAGAAAAAGAAGATAAATGAAAAAAAAGCTTTTTTTTTTTTTTTTTTTTGGTTTAAAATTATAATTTATTTATAAACCTAGATTGGTGTTTATACTACTAGGTTGAGATATTTACTACGATACTAACAACATATGTGTTGATTTTATTAACATGCAAAGGGTTTGTTAATCCAATACAATGTCAATAACAATTATTGCGGAAGGTAGATAGAGAAAAAGAAAGATATAAAAAAGATAGAAAAAGTGTGAAAAAAAATAGTTTGAAGTTGATCGGTCAGAACATTCAATGGTTTGTTTGTTGGTGTGGTGTGAATGAATGAGTGAGTGAGTGTTTATAATAATTTATATATATAAAAATTATTTGATAGGTTTTGGTTGTAGAAAGGTAAATAAAGATAGAGAGAGAGAGAGAGAGAGGGAAAGAGAGTAGAGAGAGAATATAAATGTTGTTTTGTAATTGTAGTAAATGAGATTTGTTTGGGTTATTGTTGTTTGCAGGCAGGGGAGGGTTTGTATCTATTTCAATAAAAAAAACAAACATTTTTATACTTCGTAAAGATTTCTGTTTCCGTGACTTCTATTGGTCTTCAGTGAATCAGAGTGAAGAGTATAGCCAATAGTTTGAGTGGGAAGAAGTTCTAAAGCAGATTTCAATGAACGACTAAAATAAAATAAAAAAGAAAAATAATAAAATATTGATTAATAAATAATAATTTATAATAATATAATAATTAAATAATTACCCAATTTCTTTTGAAGCTCTTTCATCATGACCGTTCCTTGTCCAAACAGTGATCTTATCACCTTGCTTTCTTGCGTTATAAACTAAACCACAAATATCTTCACTCGAATCAAAAGTTTCACCTACGCATGCCATGACAGCTTGTAACCATTGGTTGTCGACGGTTGCCTTTACTACGGGGACAGACCATTTACCGCCACGCTTGTTAGCTTCGTGCTCCCAAGTAGGTTCAATATCATCCTTGAAAAGATGGAAACTGCTACCTGGTCTAACTGTACTGACGAGTGGTAGGTTGTTAAATACGCACCAAAAATCTTCAACTGTATCGAAACTAATAATCTTCTTCAGACCTTCGGCCCAACTGTCTTGGGAAATCTTTTGGTTACGATAATCGAACCATAATGACCACTTGTTTTGTAGTGGATGCTTTATATTTGAATGTTGTTGGTCTTCTGTTACTTCGTTTTCTTGTTGTTGTTCGGTGGTGGCTGTTGTTGTGGTGGTTGTTTCTTCTTGTTGTTGTTGGTTTTCGGACATTTTATTGTTGTTATCGTTGTTATTAATTGTGTTGTTTGATGTTTCGTTGTTGTTATCAGAGATAGATAAATTAGCTGATTGTTCTACTAAGCACTCTACTTGGTTGTTTGAAGTTGTCATAGTTTAAAGAAAATTAATTTTTTTTAAAAAAAAGAGGTGTGTTGGTTTGAGAAAAAAAATAAAAAATAAAAATTTACAAAATTTTTTGCAAAAAAAAAAAATTAAAAAATTTTGTTTTTGAACGAAAAGTTATAATGGTAATAATATAAATAATAATAAATGTTTTAAAATAAAACTAGTACTACTTTAGTGTTATCTTTAGTGTTATTAGTTTGTTAAAACTTTGAGAAAGTTAAAGTTAGAATGGTGAATGGGGAAAGTTTTGATGTGTGGTGGTTGAAAAAAAAAAAAAAAAAGTTTTAAAATTTACAAACAAGTTTTTTGATATATATAAATCTTGATTGTTTGATACAGTGATTAGTTTAGTTAATAAAAAGGTTATTAATTATTCTTTAAAATAAAAAAGGTATAATTGAAAAAAAAAACAAAAGGTTACTAAAATAAAAATAATAAAAAAACGAAAGAGGCGGATGTTTAAGGTGAATGAAACTCACCAAAAAAAAAAAAAAAAATCCAAAAAAAAAAAAAAAAACAAGTTTTTTTAAAAATTGCTTTTATCAAAAATAATTAAAATTGATCAAATGCTTGTTTTTTTATTGAACTCGATGGCACACAAAAAAAAAGTGTGGTTTTTTTTGAAGAACATTAAATTTGCACAGTTTGATAATTTTTTTTTTTTTTTAAAGTTTTGCTTTTGGTAGTGCCAAACTAGATAGTCATTGCTGTTTGGTTTCATAGGTTGGGTAATAGATATTACTACGAACGAATTGTTCAATGTTTTCTGGTCTTTGAATGGTAGCGATACCTTGTTCGAATGCCTTTTCAATGACGTTGGTTGCAATTTGAACAGAGATCTCACGAATCTTTGAGAGACCTGGATAGATCTTACCGGTGATAACCTCTGCGTCATCTACGTTTGATGCCAATGTCTTGGCGGCGGTGTTGATCATCTCGTCGGTGACACGCAACGATTGACACAGGAAAGCACCCAATCCCAAACCTGGGAAGATATACATGTTGTTTCCTTGACCTGGAACAAAGGTATGTCCACGGTACTCAACTGGGGCAAATGGTGAACCAGAGGCAAAGATACAACGTCCCTCTGACCATTGGTAGGCTTGCTCGGCAGTGCACTCGGCATTGGAAGTTGGGTTGGAGAGTGAGAAAACGATTGGTTTCTCAACATTCTTGGACATTTCTTCAACGATTTCCTGTGTGAATGATCTTCCGATACCAGAGAGACCGACGAGAGCAGTTGGCTTGACATCCTTTACGACTTCGAGCAATGATTTCAATTGAGTGGTATAATCGGTACGGGCATATGCCTTTTTGTGTTCGGCCAACTCGTCGCCACGGTTGGTGGTAATCAAACCTTTACTATCGACAAACCAGAATCTCTTTCTGGCTTCCTCCTTGGTCATACCTTGCTCTTCCATCAACGATACAATACAATCAGCAACACCAATACCAGCACTACCAGCACCAAAGAATACCATTCTATGATCCTTCAATGGAATCTGAGTTGCTCTCACAGCATTAATAAATCCAGCTAAAATAACTGATCCAGTACTAAAAATTAAATTAATAAAATAATATGTAACATGTTAATTTTAATAGCTTACCCTTGAATATCATCATTGAAACAAAGGAATCTATTTCTATAATTTTCCAACAAGGTGAAACAATGATCATTGGAGATATCTTCGAATTGAACTAATACTTTTGGCCATTTATTGTAAACAGCAACCAAAAACTCTTCCATCAAAGCATAGTATTCTGGATCAGAGAGACGAGCATGCTTTTCACCCAAGTAAAACTTGTCATCCAAATATTTCTTGGTATTGACACCAGCATCAATAATAACTGGGAGTGTTCTTGATGGATGGAATCCAGCACCTGCAACATATAATTGTAATTTACCAACTGGAATACCCATACCATTTGTACCAAGATCACTTTATTTTAAAAATAAAATAAAATAAATATTAATATATTATATTATGTGTTGATGTTTTTTTTTTTTTTTTTTTTTTTTGAACTTACCCTAAACCAAGAATTCTCGAACCATCTGAAACTACAATAATATCAACTTCTTTGTGTGGCCAATTATCCAACATCTCACGGAATTGTCCTTTGTCTTGTGAGGAAAAGTACATTCCTTGAGCGAAACGGAACTCATTTCCAAACTTTTGACAAGCTTCACCTACTGTTGGAGTATAGACGATTGGCATCATCAATTCCAAGTTATTTACCAAGAGATAAAAGAACAAAGTTTCATTTCTATCACGAAGGCAATTCAAAAAGATATATTTCTCCAAGTTGGATTGGAAAGAGGTGAATTGGGCAAGAGCTCTCTCGGCTTGTTCTACAATTGTTTCTGTTCTTGGTGGTAGCAATCCTCTCAATCCATATTTCTTACGTTCATCTTGATCAAAAGCAGTACCTAAATTAAAAAAAAATATATTTAAATAAAATAAATATAAAAATTTTAAAAAAAAAAAACAAAGATGTTGCAAAGATATTTATTGATTTACCTTTGTTGGCAAATGACGATCTTAAAATATTATATCCTCCTTCCATTATTTATTTAAACTTGAAATAGATGTGATTGTTGCTATCAAATAGAGGAAAGCACTAGTGAAACTAAAATCTATGGAGCCGAGAACAGTTCTACATTAATAATCTTTTTTTGAATTGTTTCAATATAAAAAAAATTAAAAAAAAAAAAATAGAAAAAAAAGTAACAGAGACTTCAAGGGTCAAAAATGTGATCAACAATAGTTTGCATCATCATCGTGTGTGAGCTACTAAACCCCCATTACACACTTTGACCGTATTGTTTGATGAAAAAAAAATATAATCATCTTGAGATAGTTTTTTTTTCGAAAAAAATAGTAATTTTTTGCTGGGATTTGTGTTCCATCTTATGTGACAATAATTTTATTTTCTTTTTGGGGCTAAAAATGTGGGATTTATTTAAATTTTTTTTTTTGATTTTCAAACCCACCAGGTGCAAAAATAAATAATCTTTAAATTAACAAATAAATCAATATGTTTATTAATATACCATTTATTATTAAACAAATAATATTATCAAAATATCTAGATTTTATATATTTTTATAAAAATAAAGAATTATGGAGAAATGAAATATCAAAGATTTCGTTGGTTTCTCATGAAATATTTAATATAGTTTCTAGATTAGTAAAAAAGTGTTATCTACTTGATCATCAAATCAACAAACAAATCAGTTCAAAGTTCAAATTAATCAAATATGAAAATATAACAACATTAATAACAAATATTCCAATCATTTCAATTAGTCAATTTCTTCCAAAGTTAGAGTTGGTGATCATATCTTTTCTTGAAGGTAACAAGCCAAATAATGAAAAGTTATTATCATACATTGAAAATGGTGTGCAAGATAAAAATAATATTGCTAAAGTAATCATTGAATCTTATTCTCAAGTCAACACTTCTTCAACGCTATTCAAATTGTGTAACTACTATCAAAGTAATAGCTATAGAGTTAGAGAGAGGTTGTTATTTAGAAATATAGATATACTCCACCATGAGGGTGTCTATTTATTGAATTCATTAGTCAAGCTTTCACCAACTTCCATCAACTTCCTAGCATTGCCAAGATATCATCATTATAGTTATGAAGATCTACTCGATACATCAAACAGCTTGCAGTCGGTTTCAATTACTTATGATTTCATAGAGCCATACCATTTCACGAGTATAGTTGCCGGTTTAAAGTCATTGAAATCGTTGAGAGTCATGGTTAATTTTCATCAGATTGCAATGAGCTTCCTAGAGAATAGAGTCGATTGGAGTGGAGACGAACACAAGTGTTACAATCGTGATACAGAGCCGGCATACAAGACCAAACTGTACAAACATTGGGTAAGGTTTTTGGATCAGATAGCAGAACATCCAAGCTTGTCAGATCTAACAATCATTGATGTCGATTGTAAAAATCCCACACACAATTTCCTATCGCATCAAGTAGAGACAAGAGCTCAACTCATGGCACCACTGAGCCAAATGTTACAGAAGAAATCAAATTTACAATCTCTATTCATATCAAAGTTGGGTGTTGGTATTTACGATGACTCTTTGTTTAAAAACACAATACAATCAATTTTTATAAATCATAATATAACAACAATCAAATTATTATATCCAGATCTTTCAGCAGAGGTAATGGATTATATCTTTGACAACTATCATCTTTACAAACAAATAAAGAGTGTCCAACTATTCACACAACAACATCATCAAAAGATACTCGATTTCATCGACTCTATTCCAAAGTTGGAATCATTTTATTTCTCTATACCAATAGAAATGGCAGATTCTCTATTCGATGTTTTGGAGAAACTCTATCGATACAGTATTATCAATAATAGAATCATACCAAAGTTAATCAATGTCGTTGGATCAAAAAGAGAATTCTTTTCATTTCAAAATCATATCAAACATAACGATTATATTCCATTAGAAATCATTAAATTCGATTTATGATGATTTAAAAGTTGACAATGTCAATCTTACCAAAAAAAGAAGAGTGGTACTTGGCACATAATACAAAAAAGGAAATTGTTTTAAAAATCATTAAAAAAATAAAAAATTTTCGTTGCAAAGAATGTCAAATTCCACATTCTTTTTAATACATTGTTTTTTTTTATTATTAAAATTTAAAGTTTGAGGAGTCATTTATATTTATTTAATATGTATTAAGCTTATCTTTTTATTAATTTTGTTTTTTGTTTTTATTTTTTTGATATTGTACGACATTTATTTAAATTTGGTTTTTACAGATACAAAAGTAGAATCTCTTTGCACAATTTTCAAAATCCACAAGTACCACATAGTCATTGGTTTTTTATTTATTCCTTTTTTGTAATATTTATTATTTTCAATACTATCAGTTTCTAGAATTATCAAAAATAATAATACATTAATAATAACAATATTTATAAATATATTTTTTTGTAATATCAAGTTTTTTTTATTTTAAATTTTATTAAACAAATAATAATTAAGTAATATTATGAATAATATTACTGAGAATGGAGGAGCAATTAATAAACAATCTTTTAATAACCATATTTTGTCTTCTTTTACTCAAAATGATATTTTATTTATTAAGACACCAATAATGAATTCACCATCATCACAAACATCATCAACCTCTTCATCAACCACACAACCAAATGAATCGAGATATAATATTTTTGATAATCAAAAAAATAATAATAAACAAATATCTCAAGAGGTTCCTACTTTTAAAAATATTGTTGACAACAATGATTTATATCAATCACCATTTCAATCAAAATTTCAAAATCAAGAACAATCAACAAATATTTATAGCAATTCTGAAGGATCAAGTAGAATTACATCAGAAAATAATAATAGGAATTTATTAAATATTTTTAAAAGTGAAAATAATAATAATAATAATTGTAATATTGAATCAATTAATAAATCATTAGAATCAAATATTAAAAAAGGAATAAAAATACCTGTCGGTGAAAAAACAATCAATCAGTTAATATTGGATTTATATGAAAATGATAAAAGAGAAGAAACTCTATCAGAGATTATCAAAAGAAAGGATTCCATTCCAAATCTACATTTATATATTTCTTATTCTCCAATGATAATGACAATTCTTCTTCAAGAGGTACTGAGTATCTATCGATATATACTTCCTCCCAATCAAAAGTTAAAAGCTAGATCTTCCAATCGGGTTTGTAATACATTGGCCTTACTACAATTAGTAGCATCAAATTTAGAGTCAAGATCGATATTAATTAAATGTAAATTGTTTTTTTTATAACAATTTATTCTAAGAATATTAATTAAATTATTTTTTATTTTTTTAGCAAGAATAATAGTTTATTTATTTCCATTTTTAAAGACCGGATCACGAAACAAACCTTTTGAATATCTAAGATTATCAACACTCAATGTAATTAGCGCTCTTATCAAGGTTGAGATTAGAGATGTTATCAAGTTATTGCTTGATTCCGATTTAATATCAAGTTGTTTGAAAATTATGGAGACATGTAGTGAGCTTTCAAAAACAGGTATTTAACAACAACGTTAATATTGGTGGTTTCAAAACATTTTAATTAACTTTTTTATATCTATAGTTTCAACATTTATATTACAAAAAATATTGAATGAAGATGAAGGTTTGAATTATTTCTGTCAATCACCAACTAGATTACAACAGATATTTCATTCTTTGAATTCAATGATAGAAGCAATGTTACCAGACCACATGTCGTCTCGACTTCTCAAGCATATTGTAAGGTGTTACCTAAGATTGAGTGATAACCTAAAGGCAAGAGACATGCTTTCAAAATCTATCATGCCCGAGTGTTTCTCGAATGGTCAGTTGAATGACTTTTTAAATCAAGAGGGTGATATGATTGTAAAGCGATGGTATCATCAACTTATGACAAATGTTTTCCCACAACAACAACAACAACAACCACCTAGAAGAAGTCCATTCAATCAACAACAGCAACAACAACAACAACAACAACAATATAATAATAATAGAAGAGGTTTTAATCGTAAATAAAAAAGAATGATGTACATGCTTAATAATATTTTTAACAAACTTTATTTTTTAAAATTTTTTTTTTTTTTAATATAAATGATCACTCTTATTATTTTTTTAATTAATTTAAATATAGTTCAACAACAACAATAAATAATGCCAAAGAGAGGTAGACCACCAAAGAATAGACCTTTAAATACAACAGATGATCATAATACTAGACCAGGTTATAAAGGTGTTGGTAGACCACCTAAAAATAGAGATAGAGATAAAGAAATCGAACAACAATTAGAGTATGATCAATATTATTATTATTATTATCTCTTTTATCATTATATATTAACATTTTATATTTATAGATCTAAAAGAGAATATTTAGATGAAAAGGTTCCTCTTTATGTACCTTCACTTGATATATATAAAAAGATTGGTGGTGAGAATAGTGCAATATCAAAGATTGCATCTATTGATATACCTTCAAATTATGATATTTCAGATGATGACCCTGATGATCAACCAACAACAACGACAACAACAACAACAACCACCACTACGACAACAACAACAACAACAACAAATACAGAAACAACACCTATTAATATAGATGATACAATATTAAATCAAGCATTAGAAGATGTAGTTTCATTTCAAAACTATGTTTCAAATTCAAAAGGTTTAATAACAAAACAAATCGATTTATTAAACAATAATCACAAGAATTCAAATCAAGTTAAAAAATATAGTAACTATCAAATTATTGTAATTCAATCTATAAATTTATATTAACGGTCACCTTTTTAGTTGTACAAAGAAAAAAGAATGTAAAATTAAATCATAATGAAAGAATAAATAGAAATCAAGTCAATGAACATCCAAGGGATATCAATGATAGTGCAGTTTCGATAAAGTCAACGACAACCAATGATAACGATATCAGTAGCGATGCAATGACGTTGGATGACTCTGACAATGCAGTCTCTAGTGCATCGGCTTCAAGATTAAAGAAGAAAAAGATGGTTCAAGACGATGATTACGATGACCAAGACGATGAAGATATCGATATTCTCGATATCGATCACAGTATGAATGAATCGATCGACTATCAGGATGACGATGATGATCATGTTAAGCGACCGACACCACCAGTAAAGGTTTTAAAGTTGACGGAGAACGACGATCCTGGCGATGACATTGACGATCAAACCAGTACTCTTTCCGACGACAGTACTACCACTGGCAGTGTTGCAGCACCCTATCATCATCATCATCTCAAGAAATCCGCAGGCAAAAAGAAAAACCTTATCAAAAAGAAAGGTTCTAAATATCAACACGACGAGCTATCAGCATCGAGCAAGAACAAAAAGAAAAAGAAACAGGAGGATGAACAGCCTAAAGTACACTATATCGGACCTAACGTGTTTTGGGCTGCTATGGATTCCTATTTTCGTTGGATCAATGAAATCGATTTGGATTTGGTGACACCAAAGCCAGAGGACTACTATTCATCGTCATTCGTTATTCCACCACTTGGAACGCACTACACTGAGCAGTGGTCAAACGAAGATCAAGAGAGACTGTCAAAGCCAAGTGGTTTGCTACGACCACAGCCACAGAGATTACAGCACAGCTCGTCAACCGATAGTATGGAAGAAACAATGTCGTCGAGTGGTGGTAATGATGGAATATCCAGTGACCTGTTTATGGGTGATCTTTCGATGCGTCTACTCTCATGTTTGATCGAAGAGAATCTTTTGACGACATCTAGTGCAACAAGCTTGGCATCGAAGCAACCACATCAACCCGGTGGTAAAGGACAACTACTTCCAACGGAATCACCGAGCAACGCCTACAATCCAGACACACAACTTTCATTAGAAAAGAGAATTCAATTAGAGTTAAAGTGTTTAGGATTGTATGACGACTATCAAACACCTACTACCGAACGTCAAGACGATGAGATTTGTGCTGAACTCAGATTCCTGCAAAACCAACTACGTGATCAAATCAATGCCAACAACCAATTGAAATCACAAACCTATATTAAATGTAAACAAATCATGTCGAAACAAGATCAAATTAAAAAGAGAAAACAATATCATTCTGTATCTGAAAGAAATTATCAAAAGTTAATGGTATGTAAAAATAATAATAATAATAATCAAATTATATTTTATTATAAAACTCTAACTCTAAAATTTATTCATATATATAAAGAAGAAAGATAGAAAGAAAAAAAAAGTTAAAGCTTCACTAAATTAATAATAATATAATATAATAAACAAACAATCTTTTTTTTGTTTTAAAAAGAAATTTTTTTTTTTTTTTTTTTCAAGTTCATTCTCTCTTCTTTTTTTTCATTTATTTATAATCAAAAGTCAAAGGTAGTCAGTAACTAGTTATCATTATGATGATGATGATAAGTGAACACTATAGTATAAAGTTTGTAGTTTAGTAGTTAATTGATATAAACTATGGGTATTGGTGGCTCAGTCATTTCAACAGAGTCTATTGCAAAGACGGTTGGTCTGAGCAATCAGATGAATGATGAGCTTAAAGTATTGGTATCACAACAATCAATACCATTAGAGGTTGAACAATTCATGGAAACTCTTTTGCTTAGTTTGAATTTCTCTGAAAGTTCCAATCATACCTATCTATCTATACTATTACAAGATCTATCAAAACAATTAGGTAAATTAATAATAGCTACTATACTTTTATATATCTTTTAATTAATCATCTATCTATTACTAGCTGTAAACAATTTAAAATCAAAGAATTTCAATCGAATAGTATTACATTTCATTTTGAAATTAAATCAATTTTATCATTCTTTAGTTTCATTACCTTCACATTATTTAATTAATAATAATATTAGCAATCAAAATAATAATCAAAATAATAATAATAATAATAATCATCAAAATATAGATACAAAACTTCAAATTAAAATATTGAATCAACAACAATATCTTATAAACTATACTATACTATTACAATCATTCACAAGATATTTCATAGAGAATATGGTACAACTTGATCTGGAGGATCAGTTTTGTGGTGTTGATCGATCTTATAAAGACCTACCGTTCGATCTATTAACAGGAATAGTAAACTTTTTATCTCTAGAATCAAAGTATGTGATCATTCATCTAGGATATCTCAATTATAGATTAGTCATTCCAATAATTAACAAACACACAAACCCATTCAATCAGTGACTACTCATACGATTTACATTTAGCACTTTACAATTTTCTGCTCATTCTATTTTCGACAGAGATGTACCAACCATTGCCTCTACTCGATGAGTCACCTCGATCAGAGAACCAGCCAACCAACATATTCCTAACAATGATGATGCGATTCGAATGTGATCAACTCTTACCAAGAGCCACGCTAAACTCATTCATTAGAAATCTTTACAACAATGTAATCTATGACAAACCAAGACCTTCAAGTTCAAGTAGTTTATTTAATTCTATTGGAAATGCTGCATGTAAATATATATATATATATAATATTTTGGATAGGAACAAGACATTTTTATTAACTAATCTTAGCATTCCTTTTATTAATACCATGGAGTGCATATAGATATTTTTTCCCTGTAGATAGTTCATCTCATTCTGGGCCGCTTTCAGACCTATCACTACTTACATTACTTTCAATGATTCAATATTACTATCTACCCATCAATCCATATAGAAAGATAACACATTCAATACAGGATGCTGATTGTAAATACACACTTATATATATAACAAGTTTTTTAACAATCCTTACTAATTAGTAGTTATTATAGTTTCAGATTTAGATAAAAATACAAATATATCAATATCAATGTCAAAGTTGTATGAAGTTATTTTACAATCACCTGCATCCAACAAAAACCTTTTATTATTATATTATTTATTACAAGAGAATCCTTATTTCTTTAAATATGTACAGTCAAGAACAGATATAGATAATTTAGTAAGTTGAACTGGTTTTTATAAATAAATCAAAACTAACTTTTATCATTTCCAACCAGGTTTTACCAATGTTACAAGTTTTATATAGTTCATTTGAGGAAAAACCTCAACAAGTATATATGATCTTAATTATTATACTTATTTTATCACAAGATACTTTATTCAATGCAAACGTTCATTCTTTGGTAAGCTTTAAAATATTAATAATTATTAGAAAATATATAACTAATTTATAAAAATTAGGTTATTCATCAGGTACTTTGGTATAAAGAAAGACATTTAGTTGATATCTCATTGGGTGGATTGTTAATGGTTGTTTTAATTAAATCAATCATGTTGAATCTTTCTAAATTGAGGGTAACTTGAAAAAACAAATAATTTTATTATTAACATCATTTTATTAACCATTACCAACTTTAGGATGTTTATCTTCATACCAATTGTTTAGCAATATTAGCAAATCTTTCTTCAAATATATCACATATTCATCCATATGTTTCATCTAGATTGGTAAAGTTATTGGAAATTTTAAGTAAAAGATATATGAAATTGTAAGTTTGATTTAAAAAAAAAGAATATTTATATTTGTTTAATTTCTAATTATTTTATTTATTTTTTAAAAAAGGAAAAGATCATCAACTCAAAATCAATCATCTGAAAATTTAGAAATCTCTTTAACAGATATAAACTCTGATGAATTACAAACACATTCAGATTTTCTATACATAGTGTTACAGATTATAAATAATACACTTACATACAGAGCTACATCGAATCCTCATCTTATATACTCTCTGTTACACCAAAATGAATATCTACCAGGTTTCATTAACGATGATAACCTCTCAGAGTTATCAACAAATATCCTAAATGTAAGTAAAAGTAAAGAGATTGATGGAGATTTATATTCTAATACGAAAAAATACATTTAGATATTATCATTTTTTACCTATGAATTATCATTGGAGAGTTCACAAGATTGGTCAGCAGAGAAGATTCTACTGTTTTTAGAAACTAAATCAAAACAGATTGCAGTACCTCCATTGGATCAAGAAGGTATTCTACGTTTCAAATATGAAGAGGAGTCAAATAGTTTCGAATTTATAACACCTTATATATGGTCGCTCATCTACAATTTCATGGGTGAGAAATGGGACACCAAACACCTTACCCTATTCCAAAACAAACCATCAGACATTGAATCAACAGTTAAAGATATCAGTGACAAAATCAAAAGTAATGATTTACTTTCCGATGATTCCAATAATAATAGTCCTGATTTTCAGTCAACAATAAATTCGATTTAATTGTTTTTATTTATATTTTTTTTTTTATATTTCATTTTCTTTATTCTTTACTACAATGGGTTTATTAACAGTACTTAAAAAAATTAAACAAAAAGAAAAAGAACTTAGATTGTTAATGTTGTATGTATCATGTTTCTACTTTATAAACAGTTTGTTTTGTTTTAACATCGTAGTAATATTATAGAGGTTTAGATAATGCAGGTAAAACTACAATTTTAAAACAATTCAACGGTGAAGATATAACTACAATAAGTCCAACACTAGGTTTTAATATACAAACTTTAATATATAAAGAGTAAGTATATCATATGATTTCACTACTATACTAGTATTCACTAAAAAGTTTAGATATAAATTAAATATATGGGATATTGGTGGTCAAAAGACATTAAGAACCTATTGGAGGAATTACTATGAAGAGAATGATGCTGTCATATGGGTAATCGATAGCTCTGATATTCGAAGAATAGATGATTGTAAATTAGAATTAAAGTCGTTATTAGAAGAAGAGGTATGTTTAAAATAGATAATACAATATGTTTAAACATCTTTCTTTGACTAACTTGAATGAATATCAATAGAAACTTGCAGGTGCAACTTTTTTAGTATTTGCAAATAAACAAGATCTTGAAGGTTCAAAATCATCAGAAGAAATTATAAAGGTACGATAGTTTAAATTAACAAAAGATAATATTTGATCGATTTTTTTATTAAAATGAAATCATCATTGTTATTTTAGTATTTGGATTTAGAATCATTAAGCACGCATAATTGGAAGATACAGAGTTGCAGTGCTATATCTGGAGAAGGTTTAGAAGAAGGTATAGAATGGGTTGTCAATGATATTGTTTCAAGATGTTTTATTTTAGATTAAATCATAAAATTAACAAGTTTTTTTAAAAGGAGACATAGTAATATTACATCTATTATTTAAATCTAAAAAAAAATAAAAAATAATAAAAGCTTTATTTATTTAAGGTTCATTTTCAATTGAAGATCTACCATCTGATAATGACCTATCTATTGGTCTTTCACGTGTGAATGGTAATGAATCAAGATTGAAACTTTGAGCTCGGCTGTTTGTTGCCAAGATATTGCTATTGGTGTTATTAACCATATTATTGCTGCTATTATTATTATTATTATTGTTATTATTATTATTATTATTATTATTGCTACTATTGTTATTATTATTATTATTATTATTATTATTGTTGCTAATATTATTCATTGGAATGTCATTAATATCTTCAATAGAGCTACCATCTAAATCATTTCGGTGTCGATATAAACCAAGAAAAACTCTTTTTCTCAATAACATTAGTGCAATGCAAACTAAAACAAATGTTAATGCTGCTCCGAAAATTAAAAATATAGTTCCCAATGTTTGTTGTGTATCCTATAGATAGATAGTTGATCGATTATTAATATTGAATAGTGAGTGCACTATCATTTCTTCTAATATCACTTACTCTTGACATTCCAAATGTATAGGTTCCCTTTGTTAAATCACCAGCAACTATCCAAGGATCTCTATTTGCTTTTATCTTTATAATTGTATCTCTAAATATAACTGGATTGTTCTTTGTAACTGTAATATCTGTATAACTAGAATTGGTTTAGTAATTATATCTTTTGTGATATTAACAAAAAAGTACTACCTACTTTAAGTATGATATATCTCCATATTTACAGGTTTGAGCAACTGCAGCATTATTAATAACATAACATCCTCCACTAAATTTCTGTTTTATAACATAATTAATTAATTAATTTTGTTTAAACAAATAGAGTTTAAATTTTTCTTACCTTTTTAGGTCCTAATAAAGAATTATTTAGAGATTCACTATGATTATTATTGTTATTATTATTATTTATATTATTATTACTATTACTATTATTTGATAGTTTTGAACCATAATCGTTTATGAGATCTACTGTTGTTGTTAAAATAAGTTGTGGTAAAAATGTTTTGGTCTACATCATTTAAAAGATTGATTTAGTAACTTAGTTAACTATTGTTTATAAATTTCTTTAAACTTACATTAAAGCTGTACAATGAAAAAGTTAATGTTGGTACTGATGGTGAGTCATATGGAATTGAAGGTATGATCGAGGATATGTTACATAAGAAATACAATGGTTTATAGGGTAAAAGTGGGTTTTTCGATGGTAAAGGTATATATTCTGTATAGACTGAAGGAATAAAGTTATATTTTTGTGCTTGATCTATATTTGTGCTGATAGTCACATTGACAAAGTATTGTTGTTTTGAAAATTCTTGTCTAAATCTATTATTCCACATCTAAAAGATAATTAGCATCATTATCATAGAAAAGAAAACAAATGTGAATTATAACTTACATTTACTGCATTATTATACCTTTCTAATAATGGTACTTGAACTATTATAATCGATGGATCTAAAAATGCAAATGCTGTGATAAAAAATGTAGGTGCTAATAATCCAAGAAAGCAACTAATTATGAAGAATGATCTCCATTGTTTAGTTGTTCTAACAAAGTTTCTCATCCTAATTTGATTGTATATTTGATTATTACAGTTTTAAAAAACACAACACATAGTTCAATTTTAATAAAAACAAAAAAAAAAAGTTTGATTTGTTTTTTTTTTTTTTTCGTGGTGTTGTGAAAAAAAAAAACAGGTAAAAGAAATCGATCTTTGAATATAACGGGTAAATATTATTAAATTAATTTTTATTTTTTTTACCCTCTACAATATGTATTATAAGAAGATAAATTAATTTTACACTGATTTTTTTTAAAAATGTTTCTAAAAATTTAATAAAAAAAATAATTAATTAAAATATATTTGTGTTGTATTTTTAAAAACCAACTTACATAAAGATGAGATTTTGTAATTTTATCACGTGATTGGAAGATAAAGTAAAAAGCAAATCCAACTAATAAATGCCATATTCCATGATTAATACGAAGATAATCATTTTCGTCATCCAATCCACGAGCAAAGAAAAATGCGGCAATACCTAAAGAACCAATTCCGTATAGGAAGTACCTATTCTTGATCCACTCTGGTATTTTCTTTTTGTAGATATGGGTGCATATTAAGAGGAACAATGACGATACGATCGGTAGAATAGTGAATGCTAGATTCCAAGGGTTTATCATTTGACAATATAATGTAAACACCAAGAATATCCAACGAAGTAGATCTACTATTTGTGGATGATTGTATTCCATGAGGTAGAACATCATTGCTTGAAAAGCAAGGATTGTGAATATATTATCTAAACGATGCCACTTATCCGCATTTAGACCAGACAGCTCAAACCACCATGTCTTTTCATAGATCTCACCAATGTGATACATCATCGATGATATGGCACAAGCAACACCAACTACCGCTTCATAGGCATGTCCTCTTTTAACACACATCACACCTAAAGGAATACATGACAGATTGGTTGTAAACGCAATGACTGCTGTCATCATCTTTTCCCATGCAACGTCTGACATTATTATATCTCTTTTAATAAATTAAGCAATAATAAAGAAAATGAAATGATTTTTTTTTTTTTTTTTTTGATTAGTTAAAATAAAAAAAAAAAGAGTTTTGAGTAATTTTTTAAGGTTATATCTTAAGATGGAGTCAACAACATTAAAATATGTATGGTTGGATTGCGACCCAGGACATGATGATGCTTTTGCCATTATGGTTAGTTATTCTATTTTAAAAATAACAAAGAAAACAAGATAATTAATATATATTTAATTTAATATGATTAGATGGCTGGTCATTCAAAGTCATTAAAATTACTTGGTATTTCAACTGTAGTTGGTAATCAAACAGTCGAAAAGACAACAATAAATGCTCTAAAGGTATGTGCAATCTCTGGTTTATCAGATGTCGAAGTTGTCAAGGGTGCTGCAAATCCTTTGATGAGACCATCCATGGTATGTCCAGAGATACATGGTGACTCTGGTTTGGATTCATCAGTAGTATGGTCTGTCGATACCAAGTCACCACTTGAAAAGAATGCAATCGTTCATATGTACGATACAATAAGATCGACTTTTCTAGAGACAGGCAAGCTGACTACCATCATAGCAACTGCAGCACTCACAAATGTAGCATTACTATTCTCTGTGTTTCCAGATGTAAAGTCCATGGTAGAGAGTGTTACACTCTTAGGTGGTGCGATGACCGTTGGTAACATGACACCCGTAGCCGAGTTTAACATCTTGGTTGATCCAGAGGCTGCCAAAATAGTGTACGATAGTGGAGTAAAGATATTCATGGTACCACTCGAAGTTAGTCACAAAGCACTTATCACCAAACAAATATTAGAAAGAATTCAATCACTCGACAACTCTTATTTTATCACATTATCAATTGAACTATTAAAGTTCTTTACGCAACAATATATGAATCTTTTTGGTATGGAGGTATGTAAACAAAAAATTAAACAATACAATTTATTTTTACTAAACTTTTATAACATTATAATTGTAATAGAGTCCACCACTACATGATCCATTAGCAGTTGCAGCTGTTATAAATCCAAGTATGTTCACAACTAGATTACTTCGTGTTGACATTGAATGTAAATCTGATCTTTGTGCTGGTCAAACTGTATGTGATGTTTGGAATTTCTCAAACAAACCAAAGAATGTTCATGTCGCAACCGATGTCGATTTACCTGCATTCTATGATATGTTGATCGATTCCATCGATAAAAGTAATAAGCAAAGTTGCTTAAATAAAAAATAATATCATATTTTTATATTGTTTATTATAATAATTAAATACATTTATAAAAGAACTATGTAAGAACTTTTGGTGGAATTATATCTGACAAGAATTCAAGTGATTCAATCTCTTTAACTGTAGATGCTAGGTTTATGAAAATATATATATAAGTGTTTGTTTTAAAACAGTATATAGTAAAGTGTTCACACATACCTATATCTTTATATTGTAAAATCTTTCTCTTTCCTGTTGTCTTTTTATATGATTCCCTTACTATAAAGTCTAAAAATAATTCCTAATAGTATCATAACTATTGATTAGCTATCGAGTATGTTTAAAACAAATTTATGATTGATATTTACAGTTGATTTAGTAATCAAAAGAGTAGCGTCGTTTGCAATCAGTTTAACATCTTTATCAGATTTAATGATTCTTCTAATTCTGGCTACTGGTAGGTGTGTATTGACCGATTTCTTTTTAATCTTTTTTTTACCATCTGTTGTGTTTGTTGTCGATGTTTTATTGTCTTCATCTTCATCTTCATCTTCGTCATCGTCTTCAGCACCTGTTTCCTCTTCATCTTTTTCAACATCCATTTCATCTTCTTTTTCTTCATCATGAGTATCATCAGCAAGATCTTCGTCTGCCTCGTTCATTGTCTCATCTTGTTTCTTTGTCATTGTCAATATATAATATAAAAAAAAAAAAGATAACAAATAATTTTTTTAAAAAACAAACTATTTTTTTTTATTATAAAAAAGGCGCATTAATTTGATCAATATTTTTTTTAGATTGAAAGCTCATTCAATAAGAGTATTTTGTTTTAACAATAACAAAAGAGTATTATCAAGGAATAACACGCTCTTTTTAAAGACATTTAGAGTTAGCAGTTAAACGTTCACAAATTAGCAACATATACCAAATCTTGGATCATTTTATATCATAAGTTTTATGTAAATCATTTCTAAGATAATTTCAATATAACTTGATACACCCCTACCAACAAAGAGTCCTTTGTATTAAATTGTATCTCACATATGTTAGATTCAGACTAAAAGAGAAATCAACACCAAGCTATAAGATGTTCAAAGGTTTCAAAGAACTTCTTTATTAATATTTAATATTTAATTATTATTTGAAGAAACTCTGCATCAACCAACGTCAATCAGAATTAATATTTGTAGGAAAGTTGTTGGCAGTCAGACAGTAGATCCAGAAGGGATTGGAACCACCAGTACTCATTTTCGTAGAGTCAAAGGAGAGAGCACAAGAGTTGATCTTTGATAATATCAATGCCGATGTGATACACTAGGATCGCACGTGATAAGATAGTGGAGAAGTTCCATACGGCTAGACCTGTGTGTTAACTATTATCAATTTCGACTCTCCAAAGACTAGTTCATTAAATTTTAATTTTTTATTTATTTAAACTTCAAACATCCCATTACTTTATTAAACTTTAAATCTTAATTTATTTATTTTTTAAACTTTTATTGTTTGAATTGCCATTGATACAATATTTGTCATATTAATCTCTGGACCAAATACTTTAATTGGGATATGTAACTTGTGACCGATCTCACGCATATGTTGCAAACCTGATTGATAATTGGGACCACCTCTTCTAACAAAGATATGTAAATTGGCTTTGAGGATATCTTCATGATACTCTTTGATTGCTCTTATGATTCCCTTAAAGGTTGCAGCTACATCTGTAAAGTTGGCAATACCACCACCAATCAAGAGAGCTCTTGGTCTTCCATCTGGATTTCTAGTGGCCAAACTCAACATGGTCGAGGCATACTTGTGTGTGTCTTCTTCATTGGGATCACCAGAGTATTCACCATAGCTTCCTAGTTCATGTCCATATCCAAGATCGGCAACAGTATCTGCATAGATAACGCTTGCACCACCTCCCGCGATAACCGGCCAAATCCTTCCATTCGGATTTAGAATGGTCAACTTGAGTGACGCACCAGTCTTTTCATCAATGTCATTAACAAATGTTTCCTCTGGGAACAAAGCACGACCAAATGGTTGTGGGAATTGGATTGGTTCTCCATCTACAACCCATTTACTTCCACACTTGAATGATGCACATTCATCCACCTCACCTCTCATATCCAATGGGAATGGTTTACCATCTTGATCCAAAGTAAATGGATTCATTTCAATGAAATGGAATGATAATTCTAAAATTTTTAAATAAATTATTAATAAATATATCAACTTCTATTTTGATTTGTTGTTTTTTTTTTTATACCTTCAAAAATCTTATAAACATTTCTAATAAATTGAATAATAAATTCTCTACCGGATGTATTAGAGTCAACCAATTCATGAAGGTTGGCAGCGTCAATTGGTTCACCGTATGGAATGTCGAGTGTCTTTACATGGTCCCAACACTCTTCGATTTCCATTCCACCGACATTTGAGAATGAAATGGTATTTCCGTCACGCTTGGCAACAATAGATAGATAGTATTCAACAGTGTGTGGTACGAATGGCTCAACAATGAAATGAGTGACTGGTCCTTTCTTTCCAGAGATATCGACTTCTTTGTTCATACGCTCCTTTATGAATTGGTCGGCTTGCTCTACGTTGGCATTCAACAATACCAAGTTATTCTTTCCACGCTTTCCAAACAACATATCGGGTTTCACCACCAACTTGGTATTACCTAGCCATGGTTGAGCAGTAACCATCTCTTTCAAGTCTAATGAACCAGGATGTACCTGGACCATCTTTAAATTCAATCTCTCATTACATATATTCTGGAATTGTGTTCTCAACAATGATTTACTTGTATATTCTCTAATCTTCTTTCTTGCCATTATTACTACTATCAAAAAATTGTTATTACTGCAATTTAAATAAATATATTTATAAATAAATAAAAACTAAAACCAAAATATTGTTATATAATTATAAATAATAAAAAAAGAAAAAGAAAGAAAAGTAAAGTAAAGTTAATAATAATCTTTTTAAATATAAAATTTTTTTAAATTAACATTAATTTAAGAATAGTAGTTATGTTATTGGCAGTGTGGTTAAGTTATTGGTTGTAATATTCTTGTTAGTCGACACTCAATTTAAATTCAAATTAAAATGATATTTAAATTTCATTGGGCAGATAAAATATTGCAAAACATAAAAAAAAGTTTAAATTAAAAACAAATTTAATTTATAAATGAAATGATTAAAAAAATAACCGTTGAAAATACTGATAAGTAGTTTTTACAAAAAAGGAAATAAAGTTATTGTAATTAATTTACTTACATTTATAAAATTGTTAAATTAATAAATAAAATATAAAGAAAACTAAAATTGAATTCACTGGAGTGATTTATAGATAATGATAAAACTAAATAAAAATCAAAAAATAAAAATAAAAAATAATAATGTGTGTTTGATTTGTTTGTTCTAAAAAGAGAGATAGGGTTAGGAGGTTGTTTATATTAACATTTAATAAAAAACAATAAATTTTAAAATTTAAAATTTTAAAAAAATAATAATAATAATCGTCGACAACATCATCTTCATTTTCATAAACACACTTGCTTACAACCTTTTGATTAGTCAACAAGTTTTGAGCTACTCAACATAATATTATGTCTAATAATCAAGTCTGATAAAAAAATAACTCAAAAAATGTTCATTTGGGAACTTGACTGATGTTTTTTTTTTTTTTTCTGTAAAATCCCAACTTTAATCTTTCTCTATGTTTCCCAAGCTTGATTACTCATTGAGCACATCAATAAAAAATTAAAAAAAATTTGAAAATTTAAAATTATCTTTGGATTTTTCATGTTTTTTTATTTATTTATTGAAATTTATACAAAACTAAAATCTGTCATTTCATTAATTTAAATGAATGATTTATTATGATCCTTCAATTGTTTCCGACGACAAAGATGATGATGTTGTTGCTGACTGTATCTCTGATGTAGTTGATTGAAGTAAAGCAGGAACAAATTTAGGTGGATTATAAGTTGGAGAGTTTCTGGGTAGTGATGCATATATCAGTTCTTTAATATTCTCTCTTTCATTCTCTGGTAATGCAGATTCTATCTGCTCAATTAGATCACCTATCCTATAAACCAATGCATTTGTTTTTATTATATTAAATTTAACTTTATCTGTCACTAAATATATATTAATAGTTTAGTTTTTAGTTTGTTAGTTGGTTGGTGTTGGTTAGTTTAATATATTAAACTATTTATTATTTACCTTCTTTAAAACCATAATTATAATGAGTTGTTTCGCTAACCCTGGTTGACATTGAATGTGTTAGTTTTTTCGATTGTTTCATCTCGACTTCTCTGATACGATTGATGATTTCCATTTGTTTCTCGACAATGTAACCTGTAGAGTTTTTAAGATAGTTTTGAATGTCGATACTGATGTTGAGTGCACCTCTGTTATCCATGTCTGCAACCGACAATGGATTACCGTTTGGTGTTATCCAAGATTCATCATTATCATTTAGCAGCGGAAAGAACTATCAGATAGGTATACAAACAAACTTGTTAATATCATGAAAAGAAACAAATCTCTAATAATGATTATGATTGACGTTCCCATTTCATCTTTTATTCTTTACATACATACATGTGGAGTTTTTGCTAATCTTTCCAACTCTTGTTCTGTTTCATTTGATTTCTCTACTTTTGAAAGTGTAATTATTTCATCTTTATTATAGCTATTATTTAGTATATTTTGTTGTTGTTGTTGTATTTGATTATTATTTAAAGATGATGATGATAATGAAGAAGATGAAGATTGATTAGATTGATTAGATTGTTGTTGTTGTTGTTGTTGCTGTTGCTGTTGATGTTGTATTTCTTGTTTCGATGGTAGTTTCTCATAAGAGTAACTTGTATATGGTATATTCTGATAGATTAGACTACTACTGGTAGAAGAAGATAATGTCGGTGGTACTAAAACATCATTAAGATCATCATGATGAACATGACTTCCACTCGATGGTTTACTATCTGTTTGACCCATTAAATAAATAAGTAACTACTATATTAAATATAACTATCTATTTTATTTTAATGATCCTAAAATAAAATTGTACCTCTTCGATGCCTCACAAGCAAAAACAAAATAAAATTATTATTGGGCTTTATAATAATAACAACAATGAAAAGTTTTTAGTTTTTAAGATTATTTTTTTTTTTTTCTGGTACTAGCAAAGACTCTTTAAATTTAACGATCTTTTTAATCTAATATAGATTGAATTATTTATTATTAAAATTTATGACATTTGATCATCTTCATCTTCATCTTCATCTTCACCTTCATTATTTTGTTGTACTTGTTGTTGTTGTTGTTGTTGTTTTTTCAATGCTTGTTTCTCTTTTCTTTGCTTTATCATTTCTTTCTTCTTTTCTCTGTTTGATTGAGAGATTGTAAAGTCAGTACCAATGAATTCGTTGCAATTCTTTTTAAATTCTTGTGGAACGGTTTGATTATTCTCCTCCAAGAGTGTCACTAGATCCTGTGCCAATTGCATATTCTTTCTAGAGACAAACGAGATTGCTTCACCTTTTCTACCGTTTCTTCCAACTCTACCTATTCTATGACAGTATTGTTCCAAATTACTTGGTAGATCGTAGTTCAACACCAAATCGAGATCATCAATATGAATACCACGACCAATAACATCGGTTGCCAACAACAATCGCTGTTCTTTCTGTCTCTTAAAAGTTTGAATAATCTTTTCTCTTTCCATTTGATTCAACGATCCATAAATAGTTTGATGTTCAACATTTATCTTTAGCAATCTTTTACTAATAGATCTTAGATGCTATAGATAACAATATTAGTAAAATATAAATTATCAATAAAAACAAACACTACATACAGATATCTGATTAAAAAATATAATAGTTTTGTTATTTCTAGTTAAACCAGGTAATATCTTTAATAGTTTCTTTGCTTTCTTAAACTCTGTTACATAATGTAAATTCTAAAAAGAGATTCGATTAGTAAAGTGTATATTTAGAATAAACTTTAACGATAATAAATATTACTTGTTTGATATGTGATTGATTTGGTAATTGTTCAGATCCAATCTTTAATCTTATGTATGGTTGTTTCAACCAGGTGGCTTCTATTGTCTGTAAACTAGATGGGAAAGTTGCACTAAAGAAAAGAGTTTGTACGTCTGGTCTTATCTGTGATTTGATTTGCTCTAATTGATCGATTAGACCCATCGATAGCATCTTATCGGCTTCATCTACAACCAACATTGTTACACCATTCAAGTTAAGAACACCCATATCTATTAAATCGACTAAACGACCCGGTGTTGCAATCAGAATATGAGGAATACCACCTTGTAACGATTGTATCTGTGGTTCTTTGGCAACACCACCATAAATAGGTAATGAATGTATACCAAAATGTTTTCTTAATTTTGATGATATAGAATAAATCTTTATAAAGAAACAATCGATAATAATAATAATGAGTAAAAAAAATAAAAATAATAATAATAATAAATTAGTTAACTTACTTGTCTTGCTAATTCTCTTGTTGGAACTAATATAAGAATAGATGGACTGTTTGGTATGATTGTTTCATTCTTTATTCTATCTTGACAGTGTGGAATCATTGGTAGTAAGAAACCAGCTGTTTTACCTGAGCCAGGAAGTGATATACCGAGCACATCATGTCCAGTCAAAACACAAGGCCATGCATATTGTTGAAGTTTAGTTGGTGTCGAATGTTGTAATACGAAAAAGAATGTCTTAAAAGATTGTGGTAAACAACTATTCTTAACACTTGTTGCAACAGGTATATTTGTACCAATAATAAATTGTTCTTCAATTATTTCATCTTTTTTCTTATTATTATTACTATTATCACTATCACTATCACTATCACTATCTTCTTCTTCAATATTATTTCTCTTATTTGTTATAATTTGATCATCTGTATCTATTATTAACTCTTTTGTTTCTGTCAAGTTGATTGAAGGAGCGTTGAGAAAGTATCGTTCGAAATAGAAAAGATCTTGTTTCCTGTAGATAACAGGCTCAAGATTGATTTTAATTTCAGCTTCCTTCTCATCGATGGTTGTTTCTTTACTGATTAATAATGGATCGATCTCTGCTTTCTCTTCTACTTCGTCATCATCATCATCATCATCTGATTGATCATCTTCTTTTATAAATTTCTTATTTTTATCAAACTTTTTATTATTATGATGATTATTTTTATTATTGTTTAAAAATGATTTCTTATTATTGTTAAAACTACTATTCTTATTATTATCAAACTTATTTCCTTTTTTAAATTGATTATTTTCTTTTTGTTTTACTGATTTATTTTCATATTCATTATCATTATTATCTTTTCCTTTATAAAACTGATTGTTTCTATCTTTATTATTATTATTATTTTTAATAAATTTATTATTTTTATTAAATGATTGATTTGGTTTAGGCATTGTTTTTATTATTTTTAACAAATAAACACAATCATAACAATTATTAATAGTTTGAGAATAATATTTAATTTTTTAAACTTTCGTTCGTTTTTTTGTTGAACAAATTTTTTTTAATTTTAATTTATTTTTGTTTATTAATTACATAAAGATTAAAGATGTCAGAAAGTAACAACAATAATAATAATATTTCAATTGAAGATGAACTTAAACAATATATAGAATCATTACAATTTCCATTCCCATATAGATTTGGAATCGAGTATTATAAGTTAATGAGAGACAGTCAATTGGAATCAGCAGTTCGTCCTTTAGTTATTATTGGTGTTGATCGTACATTATCACCACAAGAGAGATCGTTGGTACCTTCAAACTATAATGGTGTTAGAATTCAAATGGAATACACTCAAATCATTGATGTAGATGCCAGACTTCAAAGTGCAGTAGCTGCAAGATCTGCAACAGATCCAATAGACAAACTAATTGTAGAATCTGAAATGAACGAAGATGATGAAGATGAAGATGAAGATGATGAAGATTGTGAAGAAGATGAAATGGATCAATAAATAACTCTACTGTATTAAATATTCTTTAAATCAATATTTTATTATTAGTTATATTTTTCTATTTGTTAATTTTTGATTTGCTAATAGATAGTAATTATGGAATGTACTATGCTTGTCAGAGTAGAATGGAATGTAGAATGCACGCGCCAAAGATGATGATTGTGATGCGTCCAAGAATGGTGTGGTAAAGATGGGAGTGAACGATGGATCGACGGTGTAGTGTGGTTCTTGTTGTGAAGGATAGTCAAAGTCTATGATGTAGTGACATCTTGAGACATCGAGATAACGGTCGAGTTCCTCTTGGTTACGGTCGTTCATGTTGCTCGGAATATTGCTGGTACCGGTGAATGGCTTTGGAAGGTGACCTTTAAAGTTGGACTTGAGGAACGACAAGTGGAAGCGTAATGGTGTACCGTTTCGTTGTTGTTGTTCGTTTGGAAGGAAAAAGTGGGAGGGGAATCGGTACCATTCTTTACCTACACATACATTGACAGTGTTGTTATCGAGTTTGTTGAATGCAAACTTTGGGAATAGAGGCTCGGTTGTATCACCTCTTCTCAGCTCGTGGTCATACAAATAGGTATATGTATCTATTGCACCTGTATAGTTTCTATAGGTTGAGAAAATACGTGATGCCGACAAACCAAAGAATAAAACTACAACCATTACCTGTAGGAATAAATTTAATGATCTAATGAATCTTTTAAATCCACTATCTACTTGTTGATTGTTGTCGTCTGATTTCTTATGAGAGTAACTGTCGTTTAAGAATAGCTGTTTAAGTATGTTGATAACCAAATAAATGGTGATGGCAGCAGTCAAGCAAATGAAAGGATAAATGACAAATAGGAAACGTTCTTCTTTGTGTGGAAGATAAGTCATGAATGCAAACCATATGTAATAGGGAGAGACTATGAGTAGGGTTAATACTCTTGGTAGGTTGTTGAGAGTACCGAGATAGTTGGATTTGAATAAAAGTAGAAGGAAGTAGAGGGGAATGGTGAGCATCGATAGTAAGAATACAATATTAAAATTGACAAAACAATTGATAAAGTAGAATGTCCAGTGTTCGATACCATAGAGTTGCGATCCACCGGCATGACTCGATGTAAAGTTATAGGCAATGATGTTCCAGATGGCAAGTACAGTCTTTCCATAGTATTGTTTATCGATTGCCATCATTGGTAGCAATACTGATACAGTTGGAATGATTGCCCATAGCAACAACTTTACAATACCACGGCGATATAGAAGGTCGAGAGCTATAGGGACACACAAAACAATAACAAATGGCCAACCTAAAAACACGGATACAGCACACGAAAAAACTGACAACAATGGTCTATTCAACATCCAAAATCCATAACCAAACATAATTGTTATCATTGAGAATGTTGTTGGTAAATATGCTTTTGTTAAAAAAATTGTTAATAACATAATACAATATGATTATAATAAATATTACTTACTTGTTGTTGATAAGAATAAACCTGGATTACATAACATGAATAATGTTGTAAGTAATGATATTTTGTTACCGAAACGATTGTTTACACCACGGATGAAAATGGTTTGAGCAAATGCACTGTTCAATCCAATGAATATCTTGATGAGATAGAATAGTACTACTTTGTTGTTTTGTGAGAGTGGCTCCAAGAATAGTTTACCGGTGACAGAGTGAATCAATAGATAGCAATAGGATCTTAGTGCATACACTGGACTGTATTCCCATGTCTGTAGACCATGACCATACATCAAGTAGTGTGTAGGTTCCCAATAGTTCATAGGTTCATCACAATCGATGATTCTATTATACAGAGCCGACAATACATTCGATAGGAAAATAAACAAAAACACTGTTAGCGTGCTTGGTTTAAAAATTGAACGATCATCTAAATCTGAACCAATCGATTTTACAACTCTGTGTTGTTTTTGTTGACCACCACCACCAACTCCTGTGTTTGATTTATTTTGTTGTTTTATAACCATGGTTATAAATAGTATTACTAAAAAACAAGAAATGAAATGAAATGGAAAGTTATTAAAAAAAAATGAAGTTCACAAATTTTTAATAAAAAAAAAAATTATTTATTCAAAAAAAGACTTTGTTTTTAGTTTTTCTTCATTTCATCAATATCAGATTTCTTATCCATCATACACCAGTTGAGTTGTGGAACAATGGTTGTTTTTTGGTCGGCAAGATTAACAGCATATGACCACCATAGAGTTGACCTTTGTACGTAGTACCGTTGTCAATCTCGACTTCCATCATTACATAACAGTGGGCAATATTATGAGTATAAATGAATAGCCAGTCCTTGATAGATGGATCGTTGATATTCTTGGCAATAAGTTCGGTCATAGCCAAGGTCATTTCATCGAATGGAGCATTTAAAATGGACCTCCTACAATGACTCTGAGAGTCTTCTGACCGGCGTGGCTCACAATTTTGGATCTGAGTTGCTCGGCATTGAGGTAGAATGAGAACTGTGTCATCTAACTAATTAACTAACTTTTAGAATTGATTTTTAATTCGTTGGAATATTATCTAAAGAAAATGAAATCAGGGATGAATCTTCAAGGCACACTGTTCTACAACAAAAAGAAACTAAGGTTACTTATTAAAAGTTTTTTTTTTTCATTATTTTTTGAATTACACATCCTATCGATTTTGATCTATTAAACTAATATCTTAAACACCATCACCATAGTGTCTCGTTGTATAAATATATGATTAAATATCACAAAAATCAGTTGTTTTTAGATGTATTATTGTTTTAAAAAAATATATATCATTTTATTTTTTAATGAATTTTTAAATCATCACTTTCACTTGCATATTCATCTTTATATTTATGAAATAGATTTGATAGTGAATCCATATACAATTGTTGATAATGGTCGATGAGTTCGTCGGATGGACTTGCGACTTTCGGTACGTCTATAGGCTCTCCTACAACAGAGACAATCTTTCTGCGGTGAGGTAGTAATCCAAAGTCATAGTTGAAAATTCCACGACCATTAAAGAGTGCCGGTGCAATTCCGGTCAGTTTCATCACTTTGGTTTGACATTTTCTGATCCAACTTCCTTTAGGGTTATCTACCTGATCGAATATGTCGTTCTCGCCAAACGAGTAGATCGGCACTAGTGAAGCACCGTGTGCAAATGCCAGCTTGACGAATCCCTTGCGTTTCTTGAGTAGCAACTCGTTGTGGCCAGGATGCGCATCCAGAGATTCCTCTGCACCGCCAATCACTATCATAACGGACTGCCCGGGACCTGACTCCAACACATTATCACAGCCATTGCGTGCGACCGACGATATTCCAAAACTCATAAGTACATCGCGTAGAAAAGGTATCTTGAAATTCGATGTTAGTGTCAACGGGTGTATCGTAATGCCAGGATACTTTTCATCGACGCCAGTGGCATTGGTTGCGAAATTACAGAATGCACCCATGCTAATGATGCCATGTGGATGGTAACCAAATATATAGTTCTTGGCTGGATCTAGCTTTGTGCTGGTGACCAACGAAATCGGGAAGTAATCTCTAAAGTAACGCCATGTACGGTGGTTTCGTATCCAGTTGTTTCTGCGTCCGCCACGCTCCCATGCCGTATCATAAAAAAACGTCCATAACAAATAAGGAATAGTAAAACCCCAGAATATCGGTATTATAATCGAGTAGAAAGCAAACAACATACACATCGGTACAATCATCAAATAGAATAGCACTGCTGTTGTTTCTAACCTACGATGAAGTGGTAATGATGCTGGTATCCATCTAACCATCTTTTTCTTTTTTTCTATTTATATTTTTATTTTCAAACTAAATAAACTAAATAATTTAACTTTTTTATACAATTAATTAATATACTATGAAAACACAAAAAAAAAAAAAAAACTATTATTCTTTTCAAAACAAATTAATAAACTATTATTAATTGAATTATTTTTAAAACTACAACATTAATAACTAACTATTATTTATATATATATATATGAATTATCTTTACAAATAAATGAAATAATAACACACTGTTATAAGATCAAAAAAATAATATCAATAAAATAAATGAAAAAAAAAAAAAACATCTTCACCAAACAATAATATTTTTTTTTATGAACATCAAAATTTTCTTTTTTTTGGAACACAATAGTTTGAATTTTAAAAGGTTTCAATCGACATAATATTAATATATTTATACATATATGATAATATTAAATTTTTGTGTATTTTTTATTATTATTATTATTGAATAATTTTAATGTTTGATTTATATTTACGAGGATCGTGTTGAAGAATGAATCTCACTAGAATCCAAATGTTTACGCAAAAGAATAGGATACCTGCAAGCCAGATGTTAAAGAATGTCTGGTGACCAAGGAATTCTAGTTGGAATGCTGATACCAACCAGAGTGCTTGTGCACCTAACCAGAGGAGGAACATGATGACACCACCGACAATCGTTATTCTAGTGGTAGGCAGCACCAACGGTAGCAACGAGTAGTACCAGATAAAATACTGAACCGTACAGACCTTGTTGAACGCAACGAATGTTATGGTTTCCAATAGCATGCAGAACTCCAAGTCGTTGTAGTAGACCCAACTGATTGCAAGCAATAGTAGTACCTGTGGAAGGAACGATGCCAATGCCACACCGACCGATGCCAACGACACCGATCCGACCGCACCTACATCACTAATCGATTCTACCACCGGTGTATTCAAATAGATCTGATAGAAATACACTGAAAAGTTGTGACGATTATCTGCTCTAATCACATGATACAAATAGGTTTCAAATAAAAATATATATCCATAACTATCAGAGAATGATTTATGATTAGTTTGTTAAACAACATTTCAAATAACTACTACTACTACTACTGCTACTACTTACATTAAATACATAATAAAAGTTAAAGATAGAAAAGTGGTTGCGCTTACAAAGAAAAAGGTAAGTCTGTTCTTGTTGAATATGTTTTTCAGGATTGTTGAAAAAGAAGAACGATCGGTCGAGTTGTAGGAGGATGGTAACTTGTTATAGTAGTTCTTATCGATATACAAATAGATTGGAATTGAATATATAATTGGATAGATCTTAAAATGTACTGATAATCCATAGCTATAGATATTATTCAGAAATAAGTATTCATATTCGATATAATTGCTTAGCTAAATGGTTTACTTACAAAATGGATGCAAGAATTAAACGTTTCTTAAAAAGGAAATAGACAGATAGTAACACCATTGCACCAATGACAGACTCTGCATTGCCTCTAGTAGATACATTGATTACGAATGGATTCAATATCCAAGCGGTGGTGCATGCAAATAACATCGATTCCTTTATCTTTGGGAATCGTTGAATTAGAATCGATTTTAACAGATATCCAATAATCATATCACATATAACAAATAAAAGTTTGCCAAATGCTTTGTGTACCAATATATTTGGAATTAAAAGAAATGATCTATAATAACAAATTTAGAATGAATGTTTAGTTGAAAAGTGTTTTGAATGTTTGAGAATATATATATATACATACAACAATGGTGTATAACGATAAGTTGATCTATCATAAGGTGATAGTCCTTCTACTACGAATCTAGATGCATCTGTATAAACTTCATAATCGATATCTGTATATTTAACTAACACTATTATTTATATTCGAGATAATATGGACCGACCGTTTGTAAGTCAAAGTTAAAGTGAAATGAAGATGATTTCTATGATAGATGTGTTTTACATACTGTTTGCATCTTGCCATTCGGAGAATACTATTAGTATCAATCTTATGATCAATCCAAATGTAAATGATATCTTTGTCAAGTTATATCCTTTATATATAAAATCATATCCACTGTTTTTGGAACTAGTAACAGTAGATTTCACCATTTTTTATTAAATAATGTATTACTATTGTATTTAATGAATCAAATAATATTAAAAGATTTTTTTTTTTTTTTTTTGTTTTGTATCCTTTTTTTTTTTTTTTTTTTTGTTGATCTTCAACAACCCTAATGTGACTGTGTTGTTCTTAATCTTACAAAGATCATCAACAATTTAATAGAATGAATTATAATTTCATTAAAAAAATATCTAAAAGATATTATTTAAGTTAAAAAAAAAAACTTAAATTATTTACTTTTAAAATTTGTTTAATCATATCTTTTTATGGATAATCTAGAAAAAGACTATGATAGTAAAAGATCTAAAATTTGGTGATTCATTTAACTAGTTTTTTTTAACTTTTTATATTATTTTTAAAAACAGTTCTATCTGTTGATCTTCACAAAAATTCATTTTTATTTTGCAAAACAAATATAATTTTAAAATGAAATTCTCTAAAGCATCCTCATTAGGAACATTGAGGTTATACACATTCTTTTTACTTTTAATTCTATTTATTATCACTGTGTATGTAGTTTTATAACGATAGATATAGTTCGCGGCGTCAAACTAATATACACTTATTAAAATTATAAATAAAAGGATATCAAACTTATTTGCAAACATAGATTATTGTTATAGAGAAAGAGTATACAACAAATCATGGACAAGACATAGTTATTTATTTTTATCATTATTCTGTATCATTATATCTGCAGTACTCTTAGTTATTTGGAAACCTTTTAAACCTTTGAATATTAAAGATAAGGTATATTACAAGAATATATTTTATATAATAGATATCGATTAATTAACATACAGCTTTGTTATGTCATTGCTTTTTTTTTATTAGAAATATACAAGATCTATATTTTATATTGGTTATACATTCTTGTGGTACGGTGCAACCTATTGTCTTTGTTTTATTGGAAAGAAACTGCTTAATGACAATCTTTGTAATGATAGAAAACAGAACTCTGTAAGTGGTCACTTCTTGTTCCATACGTTCTTCTTGTTGGCCATACCATACTGGTTCTTTGCCATTGGTAGATTCTCATATAAAGATTCGGTTCGTACCACTTCAACTCAAAGAAATGAATTACAACTTGTAAAGAAGTAAGATTCTTAACAAACTCTATTGACAATGAATGAATCACTAACTCACTTTTCTAATACAACTCATCCTATAGATTATTATTATCAAGTAATTTAGTTATTTTCATGGTTATTGCATATATTGGATATATTGGTGCTTCTTTTGTCAATCTCGAGACTACTTGGTCACATGGATTCCACACTATCAGACAAATACTCTACGGTACATTGTTGGCTTTGATTTCATTCCACATCTTATTGAATTCCACTGCATATGGTATGATCATTATTAATTTTAATAAAAGACAATATACTAACTATTTATTTTTAATAATTTATATTTCTATACAAATAGTTGGAACTAGAACAGAAAGAAGTTTAACCATTCTTATGAATATATTAATTGCCTTCTGGGTAGCAGTGATATCTTTAAATTATGTTTTAGGATTCCGTTATCCATTTAGTAAGATAGAAATGGTTTTGGGAGGTGCATTGTTTATATTCCTATATTATATATCAAGAATTACACCACTGCCTCCAAATATTAAACTTGCACCGAAATACAAAAAGTCAACAAACTCAAATCAGCAACAATCAACTGATAGCGAAAGCACAACACTTAAAAAAAGATTAAACAATCCTATAATTTATGATTAATAAATAAAAAGTATTGTGATACTCAAAACAATGTTCTTTATTTTGTTGTTGTTGTTCTTGTGTTTGACTCCCTCAAAAAAGATTTTATATGGTAGAGAAAATAGTTATATAAATATATAAATAAACTAACTTACAGAATGGATAGTTTATGTAATATTTATCAAAACCTGTATAGCCAAAATTAAATTTGTTGTGATCTAGAAGTGTTTATACTTTGATAATTTCCTCCAAATAGTTTCAGATTGTGTTAATATACTTTGAATTTTCTTTTTTGTACATTCCAACTTATTAATTTTTAAAATAAGTAATAAATCGGTCTAATAAAAATAAAAGATAATATTTTTAGATTCCAAGTTATTTGCTTGTATTATATGTTTTTACCAAAAGAACAACCTAATAATTACCTTTGAAAGACAACTATATCATTGATAAAATACCAAATTTCTCTTTTATAAATTAATAGTGATCACAATATAAAAAAAAAGGTTTTATGAGTCAAATTAAAAAACAAAGTAAAAAAATTTAATCTATAAGTAGATCACTCTGAGATATGATGATTCTACTAGTGATAAGATGAAATTTGAAGAAGTTATGGTGTCAATGTGGGAATATTAATTCTTAATTCGTTTCTTATACAGAGAAAAAAAGTTGGGAACCCCTGAAATTTTCACCTGTTGCCTTAGTTTAATCGCTTTGAAGTCTTGAAATAGAACCAATTGAAATAAAACAAATCTTAAATAAGATGAAGTCAATCAAAATGATATTGAATAAATTTTGTAAGAAAAAAAATAAATAATAAAAAAAACAATTATTTTATTGATAAAATTGAATACAGTAGTAATCAGATTCTTTATTGTGTTAGTTTAACAACTTAAATAGACTTTAGAGTTATGGTAAAGCCCCAAATGTCATCTTTCTCAATATCCATGTTTACTGGGAAACCTTCTGTCTTTGTGAATGTGATATCTTCGGTTGTTGGATTATATTTGAAATATACCGATCCATTGGCAACGATTTGGTGTGGCCATGGGACCTCACGAACAGAAATCTGTGATACAATCAAAGAATCGGGTGGGTTGAGTTGTGGGATTTGAACTCCAAGGTAATCTCCTCCAGATGTAATAACGCTATTTTCAAAATGGAGTGGTTTAATGGCTAAGGTATAGTCATTCTCTGGTTTACCTGCAATGGTGTGTTTGAATCGAATATCAATTGAAAACTTGAAGGAATTGTCCACAGCTTGAGTGATTGAATCATAGGGGATAGTAGAACCCTCAGGGTAGTTACCAGTACCTTTCTCCCAAATTTTTCCATTTGGTTCCCATACTCTAATCTTGGTATTAGGTCCGATCTTCATGGATTTTTGATCCGCAGCAACATTGTGGTAACGACCTGGAACATGCATTTCGAATCTTTGTCCGGTGTAGTTGGTATCTAAGTAAAGATAAAAAAAAAAAAAAAAATTAATATTTAATTTTATAGTAATTATAGAGATAATACGAATCTTACTTAACCCATTTTAGAATTTGTCCTTTTACTGGATCAGTCATTTTAATTTATTTGATTTAATGTTTTGAAAAATAGAATGATTTTGACAGCTATTTATATTTAATTAATGATTAATTAATTAGATTTCGAAAAGTTATTAAATTCAATCTTTATACCAAGTTACAAACTTTTTATTTTTTTTTCTTTTTTTCTTTGGTGACAATCTACAAACACCACCCAAAAGAAAACATTGTTTTAAAAACAACTTCTATTTGATATCTTGCTTACAAGTGATTTATTTTGTTACTCTAGTTGCTTTGGCATTTTACATTCCTTGGTGATTGTTTCTAACTACTATTCTTTAAAAAATTAACATTCATAATCTAGGTAAGGAGCTCTTTTATTTATGATCTCGTCAATCAAGAACTCTAAATTTACAAATTACAAATTAAATTAAGTAAGCAGGTATTATTGGAATTAAATCTGTCGGAAACACTTTATTGAATAACAAAAAATTATCACTTTATTTACTCTCATTGTTTGTTGTTGTCATATGAAGATATTACTTTTTTCTAAGAGAGCTAAAAATTTTATGAAGCTTCAAAGATGTTAAAGTGTAATTCACACAAAGACCTTCGCTGATCAACCAAATGGAATCATTCCAAATTGGAAGAATCTTTCTAAAGATCATTGTAGTAGATTACAAGTTTTTAAATAATAATAATAATAGTAACTATTCCTTCTATCTTTATTGTGAAGAGAGTTTAATATTGGATATTCTATATTACGAGTACATCAATATTATTCATTCATGTTTATTAAATTAATATAATTATTAAGAAATAAAATTGGTATGGGTTTTGTTTGGATGAAATGATTAGAGATCATTAATGATTTAGTAGTTATGTTGATTATTGTATTATATTGTACTGTGTTTGTAGGATGATGATGATGATGATGATGATGATTAATGTTAAAATTTATGACAAAATAGTAGATAGGTATTGAATTAACTACTAATATATTCTATATATGAGGATGGGAAAATACCTTCGGTACCATGGTAGTCTCTACCCTTGGTCCAACCGGAACCATCGTCCTGCTGAATGACGGTGATGATGTCACCGGCACGCAAATTGAGATCGGTCGACTCTTGGCTCTCATAGTCGTAGAGTGCACGTGCTTGCAACTCGCCACCGCCACCGCTATTGTTGTAATCGTAGGAGTTGTCTGTGTAGGAAGAGTTTTCGTACGACGAATCGTAGTTATCGTAAGAGTCGTACGATTCATAGGTGTCGTATCCAGCTGCCGAACTGCTACCTCCTCCTTGAACCTTACCAGGTGCATATGAAATACGATAGCTATCACCATTGTCTGCCTGTGGTTGAATTTGAACCAATGTTCTCTCCTGTTTACTAATCAGTGATTCAACATCTCCTGGTAACTATCAAGTTGATATTTAGTTTATTAGTACACAAATAATAATATAAACTAATTAGTTTCAACGCTACATACTTGATTTTGAACATTAATTAAATCTCTCCATGTTTGTAATCCAGCAGTTAGTTTGACATTCGATTCATTCGATAGATCCAATTCCTTATCGAGGAATTGATTGAATTGTGATAAAAATGTTGCAAACTTTCTTCTCTCCATCAAAACTACATCTCTTAACTTGTTTGTGTTTAATTGATCTGATTCCTTTATCTTGTCATTTAACTCTGTGATTTGCTATAATTTAATAAATAAATCATTGTTAATGGTCTACTGCTGACAAAATATTATTGTTATTATATTATTAAAATGTTACAAACTTGTTTAAGTACTTCAGCAGTAGTCTTCTTTCCTGCCTTTCTAGTCTTGGCTTCAAGTTTAAGAATCTCTTGTCTCATGTTCTCTTTATCTTTTTTATAATTCTTTTCGAATGTCTACAGAAGTAATAATAAGAAAATAATATAAGAATTGTTATGTTAAAAACCACTATTATTATTATTATTATTATGATTATTGACATACTAGAATATCCTTGTGATCTGTTTCAATCGATTGTTTACATGGAGCAATGAAATCATTTAATAATGTTTTTGACTAGATTGATCAATTAATAATAATTATAAAAAAAGGAGAATAATTAGTTATATTTCATTAATATTGGTAGTATCTATCGATTATTTATTATACGTACAACTTCATCTCTCTTTGTTTCCAATTCTCTAATTACATCTGATAGTTTCTTTAGACCTTCACCGAAATCACCAGTGTTGTGTACAGTTAGTCTGGCGATGGTGTCAGCCAAGACGATACCGGCCTGACTCAATGCTTGACATTGTTGCTGATATTTGTTGGCTGCTCTTACAATCTCTGTGAATAATGGCGGTGAATTGACTTTCAAATTCTAATATTAAAAATAGAATCTCCATTAATCATCAAATGAATCTTTAACAATATCTTTATCAAATGTGTTCAAATCTCTTACATTGATTGTCTTTAGAGTGTTCTCTGTTACTGGATTCGCTTTTTTGGCGTTGGCTGACATTTCTTCTGTTTTTGAAATAATTATTGTTATTATTGTAATGCAAAAAAATTTTTAATTTCACAAGTTCACTCTTTTATTATATATGTATAAAATGATGATGATGATAATGATGACGAGGATGTATGATTAAACAACTAAAAGTAGTAGTGATCACTCTGCTTGTATGATTAAACAAATTAAAGTAAATTACTGATATAATGTCAGTGACGACAATGTTATTGATTATGATGATAAAGGTAGTAATGATAATTTAATAATGTAGAGAATGTGATTTTCAAAAAAAAATAAAATGCCAAAAAAAAATAAATGAAAAGATTTTTTTTTTTTGGTATTACCCTTTATTTTATTTTTATTTTTATTTTTGATGGTTTTGAGAGTGAGCAAAAAGGTATGATTCAATAAATAAATTTGCTAATTCTCAAACCAGATCTGGTTTGATGAACAAATTTGATTATTATAAACTAAAAACTTACAATTTATGATCTGGTGTTTTTCTTTTTTTTGTTTGTTTTTTGTTAAAAATACAACTTAAATTAGTTAAATAAATATTGAATAAAATAAATAAAGAATTGTTTAAATTGCTAACTTCCTGATCGAAACTATTATATTATTTATTTATAGATATAATTTTAGATATGGTATGACATGGATTGATTAATGGATCAACAATTCAATTATTTTGTAAAAAAAATTAATTTTATTTACTTTTTTTTTTTTTTTTTAAAGGGTGATAAAATGGGTAGAGTTCATTTCTATTTTTATTTGAAATTTTAAGACCAAAAAAAAAAAAAATATTGCAAAAATTGATAACCACAACATGATTCTTTTGTTAATGTTTACTGTTGGCAGTCCATCAAATCAATTTGGTTCAAATAAATTTAAAACTTTTGTTTGTTTCGCTTTATTATTTTTTAAGATATATATTTTAATTTTATTCAAATTTAAAATATCCTTTAAGATGATAAAAATAATTTTGCAAAGTTTATAAATATCTTAAAAATTAAACTTTTTATTTATTATAATTTTGCTTTCAATCAATATTTGACATTTAACATTTTATGTATCTATTTGTATAAATCTCCGTGTTTTATTTGTATATAGATAATAACTATTTTCTATGGTGACACGTGATTTGTTTTTCATATTCATATATTTATTTTATTTTTAATTCACCCATTAATAACATTTTGTGTTTCTTTTTTTTTTTTTAAATGTGTTCGCTCTCTAGATCTAATTACTAGAGATATAATACTATTTAAAATTGTATTTGTAGAAGGATTGAGATTACTCTTGTCATTTGGTGTTCATGAACTTTTTAAATCTCCAATGTTGGTATTGATACTTATTTCTGATGTTATGCATTAAAAAAGGATAATAAATAAAGATATAAATTGAAAGTTTAGAGTTAAAAATTTAAAGTATTATCATTTTAATAATGTATAGTTTTAAAAGAAATATTTATATTTTAGGTTTATTGGTAGTTTTATTTACTATTGGTTTATTGGAGGTTGTTGAAGGAGAAAAAGCTGTTTTCTTTGATTATGATGAAAGAGTATATAACGGTCTTCAACATCCAGGAGATACAACACCATGTGTCTATAAATACAGAAATAAAATTGGAAGAGATGCTCTCATGAAAAAGGGTAGTAAATACCCAATGCAATTTGCAATTTTCGGAGCAGGTGAAAAAGAAATTGTATCTTGCAGTGATAATTTTGAATTTCAGCTAAAAGAGATCGAATCTTTCTATGAAAAAGATCATATAATGAAGATGTATGAAGATATTCATTTAAATGGTGGTGAGAGCTATAATGTTGTTAGTAGAAAAAGTACAGATGCTGGCTATGGTCAGACAGAGATTTTGGCAATTCGAACTAGTAACCAAATATATCTATCATTATAAATACAAATTGGAAAATTCTCTTCACTCCCTGATGTTTGTAGGATGGTATAAAAGTTATGATTTATTAAGAAATTCGAATGCACAAGATCTAGCTAAACAAATTGTTCATCAAATTTCAGAAGTAAAAATGCATACTGGTGGTACCTATTGTAAGAGAATCTAAACAAAATAAATTCTAGATTTATTCAAAGACCTGTTTTTGAAAATAAAAGAAAACATTTTTGTGATCGATCATTATTACATTCAATTCATTAATGAATGAAACAAAAAGATGTTAAAAAAAAAAATGAAAAAATTCACATTAAAAAATTTTTCTTGGAATAATATGTTTTTTTTTCCAAAAACTACTAATTTGTTAGGATTAATATTTCATTAAGTTGATTATATTATTAATATTTATTTGTTTAAAGAACATTTTGTATATATTTTATTTATATATTTTTATCGAGAGATAGTAGAAATGAAAAGATCATTAGCACCTTCACTTTTATTCGAGAAGAAGAAACAGAAATTAGAGAATCTACAACAGATCGAAAAGTTGATTGAACAACAACAGAATCTGTTGAGTGGTGCTGATGCAGCACCAAAGAGAGGTGCAAAGAAAGCTGCTGCTGCAATCAAACCGATCAATCATTTAGATCTCTATTCAATGGTGCTCAAGAAATCAGAGGAAGCCGAAGAGAAAAACGAAGAGACCAACAACAACAGTGCACCGGTTGCCGTGGAAGAAGAGAATAGAAAAGGAAGGAATGTAGTACTCCTCTCCAATTCAAAACCGATATATTATCTTGCAAACTACAAGAGTACATCGAGAATAGACGATGAAGGTCTGGCAATTTTGGAGGTTGCATACGATGCTGTCACTATACTCTCGATGGATGGTAAACAGATAGGACGTTCTGGATTGACACGTATGGGTGCAACAGATTATGAAGATGATGAAGGTGGTGGAAGTGGTGGTGGTGGTGGAAAGACACAAAAAGTATTGATTAAAAAGAAAGAGGTATTTTTTCAAGAGGATATCTCAATGACGATTGGAAGCAAGTGGTGTAAGATCATCTCATCGGTCAGTGCTGAAGACTATAATAATGGAACTATTTTCTTAAAGACTGACGCTATCATAGCTAATAAGAAGAAGAAGGAAGAGGAACATCAAGTGAAAAAGTTAAAGTTTCGTTTGTCTGCCGCTGCCAAACCCAAAGGATTTGTCGTTCCTTACAAAGGTGTCGACAGAACCAAGAAGCTGACGAAACCACTACACAATCCATATGCACCGAATGCTTTCGTTTTATACATGCCAAAGGATCAGTTGAATGGCGAGATTCCGGTGGTGATGGATCCAATGTTGGGAAACAAACTTCGTCCACATCAACGTGTTGGTATTCAATTTATGTTTGATTGCTTACTCGGTCTCGGTGGATTTAAAGATGGCAACGGTTGTATTCTCGCAGATGATATGGGTTTGGGTAAGACTATTCAAGCTATCTCTATCATGTGGACACTTCTCAAGCAGGGAATTCGTGGTGAACCTACATGTCAGCGTGCTATTATTGTCGCACCAACTGGTTTAGTCGGTAATTGGGTGAAGGAGTTGAAAAAATGGTTGGGCGAAGGTATCAAGTCGATTCACATTGGAAAGTCAACACCAACGGGAAGAGCAAAGTTGGCACAGCTGGAAACTGGTGATGCCGACGTTCTGGTGATTTCCTATGACCAGCTGAAGATTTGGATCAACGACTTGATAAAGATCGATATGATTGGTTTGGTTATTTGTGATGAAGGTCACAGATTGAAGAATGCAGAGACCAAATCGACTCAGGCAGTCAACATGTTGCCTACGAAACGTCGTGTCATTCTCTCTGGTACTCCCATTCAAAACAACTTGATGGAGTTTTATGCGATGGTTAACTTTGTTAATCCCGGTGTTCTCAAATCGGTACCGATGTTCAACAATGTCTATAACGGACCGATCTTGGCGAGTCGTTCGCCAGATGCCACTCCAGAGGAGAAGCGTGTTGGTCGTGAGCGTTCTCTGATGCTGACAGAGATCACTGGTAAATTCATTCTAAGAAGAACTGCAGCGATCAACACACAATATCTGCCTAAAAAGACAGAGTACACTGTGTTTTGTAAACTATCACCCCTTCAGAAAACAATCTATTTGAAACTATTGGAAATCATCAAAGGTCGTGGTTATCAAACATTCACTGGTGCACTACCACTGATCACATCGTTGAAGAAACTATCGAATTGTCCAGAGTTGGTGTATACTCCACCATCGGCAAAAGAAGACGATAAAGAAGAAGAGAAAGCTGAAGATGTCTCTTCTGTGATTCACGGTCTCTTCCCAAAGGAGTTCAACACTAAAGTCAGTCAGCCACAATACTCTGGTAAACTGCAATTTATCGATACTCTCATGCAACAGATCCGAAACAAAACCAAAGATCGTGTCGTTGTAATTTCCAACTACACTCAAACACTCTCTGTTCTCGCTAGACTATGTAACGAGCGTGGTTATCCATTCTTCCAATTGGACGGATCAACACCATCCGATAAAAGACAAGTTTTAGTAGATAAATTTAACGATCCGTCGAGTCCACAATGTAAATATGTCAATACTTTAATATATTAATTATTAATTAACTAACATTTTATTATTATTAATAATTTAGTTGTTTTCTTATTGAGTTCAAAAGCTGGTGGTATTGGTTTGAATTTAATTGGTGCCAATCATTTGATTTTAGTGGATCCAGATTGGAACCCAGCTAATGATGCACAGGCTATGGCAAGAGTTTGGAGAGAAGGTCAGAAGAAGGTGGTATCGATTTACAGAACACTGTCAACTGGAACTATCGAAGAGAAGATCTATCAACGTCAGATTACAAAGATGGCTTTGTCTGTTAGTGTTGTCGAGGGTGACTCTGATAATGCCCCGTCATTCGACACCAAGGATCTCAAAGATATTTTTAACTTGCGTGACGACACTCTCTGTGACACTCACGATATGCTCGGAAGAATCTGCGATTGTGGAGCACCCGCCAGAAACAAGGATGTCAAGTCGGCCGAGCGTCAAGGTATGGCAATCAGTGAACTGGCAACCTACAAACACTATCACGATATGTCGAAAATCCCCGACCCAATCCTATCGTTTGCCGCCAAGAACAACTGTACATTTATTTTTGCCAATGACAAGCCACCCGTTGTCAAAGAACGCAAGAAGAAAGAGGATGAAGTAGAGATTGAAGACACACCCACCGAAGCAAACTTTGTTGTTGAAGACGACGAGGATTTATCATCAAGCGATGGTGAATATCAAGCAGAGGATGATGAATAAAAATCAATAAAATGAAAAGAAAAGAAAAGAAAATTATTTTATATTTTTTAAAAAACAAACATTAACTCTGTTTTTTTTTGGTTTAGACAAATATCTTTTCTTAATTTATTTTTAGCAACTTAAATACATCGCCAAACTCAGAGTTTTCCAAATTTGAATTATTATTATCCAATTAAATTTTATCTAAATAAGTTAATATAATCATTATTTTTTTAAGAAACCGAAACTTCAGGTTGTGGTGTTAAATTGTATTTTTTTTTTTTTGTTTAAGATTGATTTTTTTTTAAAACACGTGTACTTAAAAATAAATCTGTAGATTTTAGAAGTTTATTAATCAAGATAAATTGTAAGTTTATTTATTTCCCTTTAACTCTTTTAAAATATATCTATTTTCTAAGATAAAAATTATTCAGTTGTTATTTATTTGACTATTGAAGTGTCTAAAGTCAATTAACAGTGCTTCTAAAAATAAACTTAGGTGGTTGCGAGAGATTATGTGAATTTTTTAATTTTGAAAAGTTTGATTTTTTAGATTATGTGAGCGTTTGGTTGCAAAAAACACCAAAATGGGCAAATCTCACATTCGAATGAAAATTTCAAAAATTTTTTAATCCTTTTTTAGGAAAACTTGCAAAAAAAACAAACAAATGTGTTGTTACCTGGATTTAATTCTCATAGTATATTATGTGTTATTTTTGTTATCTTTCTTTATTGTTGTTTCGAAAAACTCTAAAACAAGATTGTTGAGCTTACAACCAACCAAAGTTGTTCAAAAAAATCATCATTATCAATTCCTTTCATTTATTTATTTTGTTTCGATTTCCTAAATAACAAAAACATAGATATCTTTTTAAGGGAAATAACTATTATTCTTTTCCTTCCTTTCGATAAATTTACTATTTATTAACATATTGTTTATATATTTATTTTAAATAATTTATTTAAACTTTTAATGAAATAGATATATAAATAATAATTATTATATTTTTCAATTTTATATCCTCAGTTTACTCATAGAAAGAAAGATATAGTTATATATATATATATTTTTATAAATAATCATCAAAATAATCATCATCATCATTTTAGCTAAACAAACTTTATCCAACCAACCGAATAATAATAAAGTTCAAAACCACACACATTCTCACACATCTTCATTAAACATAAAACAACACACAATAAACACTTCACACCAAGCAGGCAGTCAGACACAATTTTAGTAAAACACCAAACAACAACAATAAATTTGAATGATATGTCATTAGCTAAATACAGGCATTAACAAACACACCAAAGAATTAATTTAAAAACTACTATAACACATTGGATTGGACAAAAACTACAATAACAACAACAACAACAGAAATAAATCATTTATAACAACATTAAATACCCCAATAGGGCATCACACCTAGATTCTCTGACTCGAGCAGAGTGTAAGAAACAGAGAGTGCAGTTTAGGTGTAGTGTCATTTACATATTCAAGAAGAAGAAGAAGCAGAACAACATCATCATCATCAAAAATAACAATAATAACCAGATTCTATTCTAATCAAACATCAGTCATCACATGTTTGTTTTTTCTTTTAGAAAAGATTAGAAATTTGAATAGACAAGATTAGATTTGTTAATATTACTATATATATATCTTTAATCTTCACATTCAGCTTATAAAGTAAAAGTCACTTCTTTACTATTTTTTTATTATTAAATATTTAAATATCAATCAAAGTCAAATAGTCTATCCTTTAAACAATATAAACTAAATATATTTTAATACAAAAAAAGATAGAATAGTATCAAAAACTTTAAGTTTTTTTTGTTTTTAAAAAAAAAGTAATTCATTGCCAAACATACAAAATTAATACATGACAGAACAGAATAATTTATAATATTTGAACATACAACATCAAATTAAATTAAAAAGATGATAAATCTGTTTGATCAAGGTAGCTCTGCCTATCAACTTCAACAGAATCCGTTAATTAGGTCCACCAGGAGATCTCTAGATCTAACAATGTTGAGTGACCCAGCAAAATACAGGTATGATTTTATAATTTATTTTTTCTTTATTTCCATACACCCAGAACACACACATATCACACCAAACACTTTATTTCATTCTTATTTTTAAATCTCGAATGATCTATATAACTTTGAAAAATAAATGAAGAATATTTATTTTCGATCAAAATAGTAAAATTTAAGAACAGATTTACATCTGGAACTCATAGCAATTTAAATTGATCTTTGCAAAGAAATCATTCACTTTTGTGGGGTTTTGTTTTTTTAGCAAACTAATTCATTTTATATTTTTCATTTTAAATTTGTATGTTGTGTGTGTATTTTTAAATCTATTTATTTACTTATATAATTACCTGTTTTATTATTTCATTGTAACATTTATTTTTATATATTTGGGTTGTTTTGTGGTGTGTTGTGTTGTTTCTTGTGTTAATTCACTTCACTGTTTTGTTTTAATATTCTTTATTTCTTTTTCAGTAACATAAATTTATTTTTAGTCATCTTTGTTTCTATATTTAAAATTGTTTTTATATTATTGATGATAATAAACACTTTCTTGTTTTGTTGAATTGTTTTGTTGTTTTATTAAGCTATATATATATTAAAAATTGGAACCTAAAACTAAAATAAAATATAATCTACAAAAAAACAGTGTAACGGCCAGTAATATGCTACCGCCGATGCATCCAAACTCACCCAGTAGTGTCGTTCTCTCTGGGTTGAGTAATGGTTTGGGTGTAATCAATAATAGTATCAACATTAGCAACAGCAGTAGCGGGTTGAATGGCAATAACATTGCTGGCTCTTCACTTGGTGGTTCGAATGGCATAAACATCAACGGTAGCAGCAACAGCAATAGTAATAACAATAATAGTAGTAATGTAAATATCATAAGTGGAGTACAACCACCTCGACCACGTGAACGTTTCAAATCGTTCAGTTGGACTGTTGGCGAGTCCAATCACACCAACTCGCGACTCTCTGAACTCTCGATGATCCAATCAAAGTCAAAGAGCTTGAAAAACGAATTCACAATACTCTATGACATTCTAAAGACAAGCGATCACACTAGCAGTGCCATGCAGATCGACCAGCAGCTATGCAAACACCACTCAAAGTTCAAGACTCTGCTGATCCAGAACAGTCAGTCACACAACAAACATCTTCTAAGTAATATTTTGAAGCGACGTGGACATCTTGTTACGACAGTAGCGCTCGATCTCCAGCACATTCAACATCTTCACAATAAGGAGCAATTTTCCCTATTTATTTATAATGCAACACCCAACTGTACAGATGACATATACACTCCATTCAACGTGGAGACAGCCGAACCAACACCACAACCAACACCACAACTAACACCACCACCACCACCAGTAGTCAATATTACCAGTGCTACAACACCATCAACCACAACCACAACTACGACGACGACGACACCCGCTGCAGCAGCATCAGTAGTAGCAACTACACCACCATCGATTTCAAACATTGCATCACCATCACAAAACACCAACTACTTTTTCAATATAGCAGAGCCGACTTCACCCACTCAGTATCAGAGTAATAGTTATTTTAAGAATGTTGAAAGCGTTGAATTCGTCAAAGAACTCAGAAAGATTGTTGGACCATACTGCGTTATCCTGGCAATCTCTGAGAGTAACAGTCCAATTGAATTTTCATCGCTAATCGATGCCGGTGCCAACGACTATATACCACAACCATTGACATCGGTACTGCTAGATGTTAGATTAACTTGTACAGAAAGATTGATTGCCGATCACCACTATCTAATGAAAGCAGACGAAATCACCGACGGTGCCAAGAAAATGATTAGCTGTGTAGAATATAATAATGATGGAATTGAAATTTGGGATCCGTAAGTTGCGAAATCTTGCAAATAGTCAATTAATTGTACAATCATATTAATTTATTTTAATATTCTAGAAATGGTCATATAAAATATTTAAATTATTCAACGGCTGATTCAATTGGTTATTCAAGATGGGAAATATTAGGGAAAGAATTTTCATTTCTTATTGATAATCAGGAGATTATTCCTCAGATGTGGGCGACAATCACTGGTGGTAAACCTTGGAATGGGTATATTCGTACGAAACACGCAAATGGTGCATTGGTATATTTCGAATCTTCAGTGTCACCCGTGTATGACACTCAACAAAAATTGATCTATTACAATTGTTCGAAGCGAGACGCAACACAGAAGCGAATCGATGAGGAATTCAGAACACAAGAGCAAGAGCGTACCATTGAGACATCGCGACTCCGTCTAAGTATGATGTCACACGACATTCGTACACCGATGAGCGGAATCATTGGAATGACAGATCTTCTCGCTGAAACAGAACTTCATCCACAACAAAGACATTACTTGGATATTATTAGAGCTTCATCCAATACACTGTTGAATATCATCAATGATCTATTAGATATTTCAAAGGTAAAAATAGATTAATCAAAATAACAATTGATTTAATTATTATTTATTAATACTTCTACTACTATTTATTTGTATAGATTGAAGCAGGTAAATTAGAGATTGAAAATAGAGAATTTGATTTTAGAGAAACAGTTGAAGATGTTTGTGAACTTATGGGTGAGCGAGCACAAGCAAAAGCATTGAGTTTAATGTGTTTTGTTCATCCTACTGTTCCTCAGAATCTTATTGGTGATTCAAGTAGATTAAAACAAATTTTAAATAATTTGGTAAATATTGAATATATAAATTTATTATTATTATAGCTTATTATTAATAATATTATTATTATTATTATTATATTTAAAGTTAGGAAACTCTGTTAAATTTACAGATAATGGAGAGATTCTTGTTGTTTGTAATGTTGCTAATGTAAGCGAAGATATTGTAGCACTAAGGATAGAGGTTAAAGATACTGGTATTGGAATCAAGAAGGAAGCACTACCTCTGTTGTTTAAGGCTTTTACTCAGGCCGAGGGTAGCATAGCTCGTCAGTATGCTGGAAGTGGACTTGGTTTGGCGATTTGCAAGGAGTTGGCAAACTTGGCATTCAATGGTGATATTGGCGTCGAGAGTCAATATGGCGTTGGCAGTACTTTTTGGACAGTACTCAACTTTAAGCTGATCAATCCGATCACAACATCAATGTCGGTCGGTGTTGCACTCTCAAAGTCACCCATTCAAATGCCTCAAACTCAATCATCATTTGCCAACAATCATAATCATCACCATCTTCTTCCAATTGTCAATGGAAATCTTAATCCCAGTCTCCATCCTCACAACCAACAACAACAACAGCATCATCATGATCCAATGAATATTACTCCAAGTGGTAATGGTACTAATGAAGGAACCGCTGCTGCTATCCAACAAGAAGATATGGTAGTTATGTCAATGGTTCCTCCACTTCAGAACATCGATAGTTTGGCTCGAGAGTGCACTATCAGCAGTGAAAATCCACCCAATTTCAATGGAATACGCGTGTTGTTGATCGAAAGAAACGCGAACCAACGCAACTTTCTGACGCAACAGATGGGTGTGTGGAATATATTCTTGGACTCTACCGATGATGTCAATGACGCCATAGTCATGTGTGAACATGCCATAGCAATGCTCAGACCCTACTCATTTATAATAATCGATCTTGCAACTGTTGGTAACGATGCTCTCCTCCTTGCACAAAAGTTAACCGAACAATCAAAGGCAAGTGGTCACATGCTACAACTGATCCTCTTGGTTCCATTGAAAATGAGATCACCACAGCTCGAAGAAGAAGCAAGAAAATCTGGATTCGGTGAGATAGTTACCAAACCAATCCGAATGTCTGTTCTATTGGATAGTTTGAAATCTTTATCAGGTGTAAGTTAAGAACTAGTTGACACATATAAAATAAATTTATTAATTGTTGTTTCTTTATAAATATTTAGTTACAGAGACAGAAAACAATAAGAAGCGAATCAATTGTTTCAAATCCTGACAGTCCACATGATAAGTTGGAGATGAGAGTGTTGGTTGTCGATGATAATATGGTAAATCGACAGGTAGCCTACAAGATGTTGCAATCGATGGGTTGCAATGTTGATGTTGTATCTAGTGGCATGGAAGCACTGGACCGCATTGAAAAGGTTACTTACGATATGATATTCCTCGATATTATGATGCCCGGAATGGATGGATTCCAAGTGACCAAAGAGATTCGTGAAAGAGAGTTGAAGCGATCCAACGGTACCAAACACATCCCTATCATTGCAATGACGGCTAACGCTTTCAAAGAGGATGAAGTCAAGTGTATCAACAGTGGTATGGATGACTATCTCTCAAAACCCATTAAAATCACTGAATTCCGACTGCTCATGTCGAAATGGAGACAAAACATCTTTTTGGCAACACAAACCAAATAAAACATTTGTAATTCAAAAAAAAAAAAAAACAATTAAACTTGTTCTTTTTGATGTTCAGATATACATAGAAACGTCTTTTTATGTATGTTGAAGTATTAATATTCAATCTAGTCACTTTAGTCAAAATTTGAAAAAATATTTGGCTCTTTGTCATTGGTTAATCTACTCTTTGTTAAAAAATTTATTGTATTCTTATTATTTTTTGATAGTTTTGTGTCAATAGACTCGCTTAATGATTATATATCTATATATCTTTGTTTTATTACATGAAGTGTCGATTTCAAAAAGATATAAAAAGACAAACAAAAAATATTGTTCTTTTGAAGAAAAGATAGATAAAATAATAAAATCAGATGATTATATCGATAGTCCTATTATTACTTGACAATTTTGATATCAATAGACTCGTCTAGTTATTATCTATCAATATATCACTGCTTTATTTATTTATATCTTTATTTCAAAAAGATATAAAACTAATCTATTTAATTTTTGTCACAAAAAAGTTACAAATTTATTTTTAGAAAAATAGAATTAAATATAGATTCTTATTATTTTTTTGATAACTTTGATATTAATAGACTAGTGTTTGTCTATATTCTATATGCTTTTCATTCAATGACCTATTAATTTCAAAAAGATATTAGGCTTTTTTTTATAAAAAAAAATTATCATGAATTGTAAAAATATATTAATATTTAGAAAGATCTTGATAAAATATAATTATTTGTAACTGTTCATAACTAACTGATAGTATTATTTTTAAAAAAAACGAACCAACAAAAACTTACAGGCAATTTTCGGGAATGTGCTTGTGCATGAGTCATTTGAATTTCAACGTTTTTTTTATTTTATTTTTCTTCATTTTATTATCTTTTTTTTTTTATATCATTAATAATATTACGCAATCCAGAATTATAGCTAGCTTTGATAATTGGTTAGATAGATAGTAAAATAAATAATATTTATAAAAATCAAAAAAATCAAAAACAAAGATCGAAATAACACAACAATTAAACTGTTTTAATTTTTCCCAATTAATCTGTCTTTCTTTTTTTCTTTTTTTTTTTTTTTTCTTTCTGTCAATCAATCTTTCAACACTCTTTTTGTATTATTATTTAATATAAAACTATATAATATTTATAATATATTTAATGTTTATGTAATAGTAGTAGTAGTTCGAACTATAGTAATAAAAATAATAAAATATATCAATAATACATACATAGATTTTAGTCAAATCCTAATAAAATAGGAGAATGAAAGAACAACCTGTTTATAATAGATATAGAGGTGGTGGTACGAATATAATATCGAATATCTTTGGTGGCGGTGTTGTAGATGGTGCCGTTGGTACCGCTGGAAATCAACAACAATATTATAGTAATGGAAATGATATAGGTAGTGGTGGTGGTGGTGGTGGATATGGTAATGGTAATGGAGGTGTAGGTGGTTCTAAAGGATCACCTTCTTCCGCTTTTATGTATTCATCATCATCTTTGTTATCGTCGTCTTCATCTTCAACGAGCGCTGCCGCTTCACTCTTCTCTTCATCGACATCGAGATTCACATCATATATATATCAATCGAAACTGTACCGTACTATCTACCCGTTTATCGCAATCGTTGGAAACGGCATCGGTCAAATCAATCAGCGTATAGGCGGTCGTGGTCGTCTGGCGCTATTCCTCCAGGTCTTGGCGCTGGCACTGCTACTGTCTCACACGCTCGACAAATTCCAAATGACAGACGATGCAGACGCGCGACTCGTAACTCTGCGAAACAACTTGTGTTCACAACACCTACAGCAACAAGCAGATTTCTATCATCAACCGGCGTTCGCTGGCGACATTCCAGCGAATATCGACACCTCCATACTCTGTCGGTCGACACCTACACAGTTTAGCAAGTTTGTTTGGATTTTCGTTGATTCGTTGGCGCGTGACCAAGCAACCGACTTGATTGAAGCATTCCAAGAGAGCGCATCCGTCTATCGTATTATGAATCATGGATTCAAATTCTCGACAGCCATCTACACTTCGTTCTTCACTGGAAAGATTCCGACCAACTATGCAGGACGGGTCATCAAATCGGACAACATCTTCTACCAGATGAAAAGAGCCAACTTCCAAATTAGGTATATGGGACCAGAGTTTCCTACCCTCGGACTACTCGGTGACAATCAATACAACAGAATGTACTTTGACGAATACTCTATCATTCCTGACGAGCACAACATTCTCTACAATCTATTTGGTGATCAAAGAATGCCTGCTTCAGAAACAACTGTATCATTAGCATTAGATGAATTAACTGATTCTGGAAGAGTAGATATCGAATCGCTAATACAAACAAATATTCATATTTCAATAACTATACTAACATACTATTATCTAATCATAGAAAAGTATAATGCTAACTTCGAATTTGTTGGATGATAAGATTCATAAGAAAGGAAAGTATGATCCTCCCACTTTGAAATTATTGTCGGATTTAAATAGAAATATACCATTGTTGAAGAAATGGTTGGCCGATCATCCAGAGTATCTGTTGATTGTTAATTCCGATCATGGTGGAAGTAAGACTGGTGGTCAGCACGAAGGTGAACTTCATGGAAAGAAAGACGGTGGCAACGAAGGATTTATCATGTTTGCCAATCAGCATATTAGACCGGCAGACAAACGACAGAATCAAAATGGACCGCAATGGTTGGACACTGTCGATGTTGCACCGACACTCGTTCGATACCTCAAGAATGTTGGTATACCTCTGGAGTCACTCGGTAAGGCAGCGGTACCTCTTTTGGAACAGCCAAGCTATCGTACACAGTATCTCGATCTTCTCACCAATGCCATTCAAATCCGTCAACTGTGCAAACTCAAAGGATTCCCATACAGCGAGTCGGAATTCGAGAGGGCATCGTCTGTTGGAACCGACATTGAGAACGTCGACGACAGTATATTGCGCGAGCAAATCAGTATTCTAAACAGATTTATCGTATCAATCAAAGAACCAATGGTAGATTTCAAGAAATTCCCAAGTAGATATCTTTTGGTTATCGGTATATTAATGATTAGTTTACAAGTAAGTTTCGAATTATCATTTATTTCTATGGTATACTAACTTATTGTTTTTTTTTTTTAATTTTTTGACAGATTTTAAATTTAAAATATGAATCAAATCTATTTGGACAACTTAGAAGCTATACAGTACCAATTGTACTTATATTCTTCTTTTTGTATATCGATTTCCTTTTCTTGAAATTCGATTATCACAAACACTTTCAGAATATTTTTAATTTCTATTTGATGTTGTCATCATTCTCTATTCTCTTTACTGTAAACTCTTTTATTAGAGATTTCAAACTAAAGAGCAACTCACCTCAATTACAATCACAACAACAACTACAACAACAACCATTACAAGTTGAATTACAACCTATACAAACAATGAATATTCTACAACCAAATGATATTAGTTTAGATAATAATAATAATTTCAATATTAACAATAATAGTAATATAATAGACAACAACAACAATAATAACAATAATAATAATGTTAATAATAATAACAATGATATGATTTCAATAGATACAGGATTTAGTGAGATAGATATACAACTTGTACAGCAACAACAACAACAATTACAACAACAACAAAATGGATTAAATAATAACAATAATAATAATATAATTGATCCATTATCAAACTTTACAATGATTGATGATTCACAATCATCAGATTCGATCATCCTCGATTCTCTCAGTGAACTATCAAACAACGTATGTTATGTGATGTTTGCTTTGCTAATTTCAAATATGTTGGGTGAATACTTGGAGATGGTGTACGAACCATTCGTCCCAGCTTTGCCGTTGCTCAACGTAGTTCTACCGATCACATTACTATATTTATTGTTCAAGAAAAGAATGCAACAAAACTCGACCACAAAAGTAGTTTTCATGTCTGGAGGTGGATACTCTGCGGTCATTGTTCTAAGCATGCTCTACGAGTTGACTGGAATCGTATCTTTGATGCAACTTGGTTATATCGTTTTGTTTTTACAATTCATTCAGCTGATGATGTTCAACCGTCTTGCCGAAGACGGATATCTTATAAGCTCGATTCTCTATTATGTTGTCGCCACCGAGCAACAGAGATTCTATCTACTTGCACTGTTTGTACCATCACTCTACCTGCTAAGCAACCATATATTCAACCTATACCCATCGGTCTCTAGAAGTGGACAGATCTCTATGATCAATGCAACAAGACAACTCTCAAGATTGACTGCATTCCTATTGCTGGCGATCGCATTCCATTCCTACTTGCTAATGGGCGGAACCTTCAATATGAATGTCGATGTCCGTGCCGGTAACATTGGTCTTGTCAACATGGAAGACTATCCTACATTCAGTGGATTCCTTATGCTCTATCACAAGCTTGGATTCTTCTTTATTCTCGTAACATTCTTGGCACGTCTATCAAGAGGTGAACAGAGTTGCTCTGAACATTGGAACCACAACAACAACAGCAGCAATAACAACAACAACAACAACAACAATAAGCTATTGTCAAACGAAGATACATCATTCAAATACTGGATATTCCGTTATCTTGGACAGAAAGCAGTCATTATGATGTGGATTTTCAATCTAAACTTTTGGCAATACAAAGACTATCTCGACTGTTTCATCATGACCATGATTATATCGATCGTTGTTATCCTCTACGGTGTACTTATACTTCTTGACGACTATTGTAAAACATTACAACCAAAGATTGGTCATTATATAATAAGAATGAAGCAATCATTATCCAGAAGATAGTTTGAGTATAACTTTTCGAATTGTAGCGGATAGATTCTAGCCTCAAAGGATAAAAATAAAATAAACATACATTACTCTCATTATTTATGTTTAAATCTATTAATTTAAATATTTTCTCTAAGGAATCTTGGCTTCTAGTGGTAGGAATAAAAAAAAATTTTTATTTTTAATCTTGTTTACAAATATATTTAGATTATTGGTCATATAAAATCAATCTTTAATCTTTTTAAGTGATTGTATGAATAAAGAATCCCCAAACATCAATAATTCGACCATCAGGAAGTTTACACATTGGTCTCTCTTCTTTAACTATTTCACCGCCATGGTCTAAGCAATTTTGATTAGCTGGATTTATACCCCATACCTTGAAGGGAGGAAGATGGACTCCTTCAGCTGTATAAGATGAACTCTATAGTATTAAAGCTTTAGTAAATTTTTTGTTTTTGTTTATACTTTTCTTTTTAGAATTAATTTACTATTTCATTTAATAAGGGTTGACAAGATACTAATCCATAAAAAACAGAAAGAACTATTCCAATAAAAAATAAAGAAATAAAGAATTTCATTTTTTATATATTTTTAGAATGAATAATTTGTAAAAAAAAAAAGAGTAAGAAAATTGGAATTTTCATATCACTGCATTCTAATAAAATCATATTCTCATTCAGAATAAACAATAACCCCACCACTGATCTTATCATGTATAGAGTAAATAAATTTCTAATTTTTAAAAAAAATTTTAGAATTAAAAACATTTTTATATCTCAATATTGTTGAATTCTTATGTAAAAAAACCTAATTATTTCCTTAATAGATTTAAAGAATAAACCAAAATCATCAATATTATTATTTATTTAAAAATATTGGGTTTATAAGATAGAATTGATTAGAAATTGAAAATTTTTTCAAAATTATCTGGGTTGTTGTTTCTTATTTCTTTATATTTGAAAGCTTGAGCATTCCAGTAATCAAGAGGTTCTTGAATACTTTTTGGTTTGGTATTGGGGTCTGTCAGAGAGATTTCTTGGGGTCCTGATTTTGGGGGTGAGGCAGATACCACATTTATTGGAATTGGAACAGTTCTTGTTGGATCTATTGGAGTTGGTCCACCAGATGGATATGTCAAATCACCAAGATCTTGAATCATCTTATTATAAATATAGTATTGAATGATGTCTGCAAGGTTCTTTTCTTCAATAATCAATTCTTGTTCCCTTCTGCCTAATCTATCTAAATTGGTAAGGGCTTTAAACAATTGGAAATCATCATCAAATTCCTTTGTCACATATAAGAAAAAATAAAATAAATAAACTATATTAAAAACTAGATTTCAATAATACAAACTTTTGTTATAACTACTGGAGTGGTTCCATATACTAGTACAAGAAAAATTCCCAATAATAAAAGGGAGATCAAAGCTTTCATATTCTTAGATACTATTTATTTGAATTAAAAAATATTAATAAAAAAAACAAAAATACTAAAAGATTAATGAGAAATTTTCTTCAAAAATGAAAAATAATTGCTGTAGAACTTACTGTTAACAAAATAAAATAAATTTTATTTCATATATTATATTATCAATAGATATGGTGTAATTCTATTCATAAATTGTAACTTTTGTTCCTATTCAAAATTGATACAATGATTTATAAAAAGGGTTAAAAAAAAAATCATCATCATTGTAAAATTGAGTGATCAAAATGAGGGGTTCATACAAAAAAAACAAAAGAATAGGATAGTGTAATACCCCATATATATAGTAATTGTACAATTAACTATAGTTAAATCAAAAAATGAACTTGATAATTAAAAAAATCATATTATTAATAAACTTTGTTCAATAAATAAATAATAAATAATAATATTTTTTATTAATAATATGATTTTTTATTTATTTATTGAACAAAAAAATAATGAAAAGATTGATAGATTTATTGTCTATCTGGGTTCCATTGATTTAATAAGTTTGAAAGTCCATTCTCCAAAAATGCTGGTGAAGTTTGGAAATTTGGGGCTTGCGATTGAATCTTTGATAGGAAAGGCAAAAGTTGTTTATAAACAAAAATATGTGTACCCCAATATTTATATGGGTCAGATGGATAAGGAGGATAGGTTGGAGCGCGTAAAGAAAGGCCACCATTCTGGATTAATGTCATAATAAGATATTGCTGATATTTTCTCTTTTCAAACTCTATACTTTGAATTTCTGCTTGGATCTCCATCCATCTATTAAAAACTGCTAAAAGCACTTGAATACGATATTGATCTAAATATTTTGAATAGTTATTATTTGCATCAATACCCTAAAATAGATTTTAATTTAAAAAAAAGTTAAGTTTGAAAAAATAATTAATATGGTTGTTTCATATTTATTAGATGATATTTTTATAATTACCTGGAAATCACGAGTAATATCATATATACCCTGGTATGGGTATTGAGCTCTACATACTGAGACACCTAATATGAATAACAAAGTAATCAGTAGTATTCTCATTTTTGAAACTCTATTATTATTGAATTCTAAAATCCAACTTTAATAAATAAAATAAAGAATAAGAATAATATGAAACAACAATAAAAAATAAGAAATAATCTTTGGTATGATTTATTTTTTTTGATTCATATCAAAAACAAGTAATATTACAATACTTTGCTATTGAATTTGTGTTGTTTGATTATTTATCATGTTTACAATGCTCTCCAAAACAAAATATCAATCATATCCAAAAGGGTACAAGAAAAGAAAAATCATACATAATGAAAATTCATCTTAACTTTTATAATATCGCATCTTCATAAAAATGATCATCAGTAACCTCATCTCTACTACAAAATGTGAACAGTTTGTATCATGAAAAAACAAAAAAAAATGGAAGATACACATACACAACACATATGAATATACAGTAATAAGAATTGATTTCATTGTTTGTATACATAGGTGTGAGAGTGAGTGATAGAGAATGTGTGAGTTTATGAAATCATACTATCATATACAAACGTGTTAAACTTTGTTATAATTCATTCTACAGTATAAATATTTATTTTTATTTTATTTTATTTTTTGTTTTGTTGTTATTCTTTTTCAATTTGAAGTTCAAGTTTCAACTGTCAATGAAAATAAAAATTCAAATTTAATGTTTTCAATAATTCTTTTAAATTTATTTTTTTCAATTTTTTTTCAATTTTTTTTTATTTTTGTTCATAATATTTTGAAGAAAACCGGTTGAAATTGACAAGTCGATATTTTTGAAGTCTTGTTGAAGTAGTTTGTTGTAGAAGTCGAGTTAGAGGCAGTAGCAGCAGGCAGAAGAGAAGTAGAAGAACTCGTTAGTTAGTTGTCGTAGAAGTAGAAGTGAAAAATAGTTTTGTTAAAAAAAATCCAAAAGTATATCTTTAGATTTTTAATTAATTAGGGTATGATGAGAGAATAATGAATTAGAGAGAGAAAGAAAGATTAAAGAAGTAGAAGAGAGAGGGACAAGAGAGATAATACATATATAATTATGTTTTTTTTTTATTTAGTTGGGTGGTGGTGGTGTGACTGTGAGAGAAGAGGGAGAAAGTTATATATATATATACATATTTTTTTTTAAAACAAAAAAGAAGGAGGCAGAGTTTGAGAGTTGCGGAATAGAAATATAATTATAAATCAGTATTAACACAAACTTATCTTAGATATTTATTTATAAATTAAATCAAGTTAAAAATGGCAGAAAGAGAACAACTTTGTTACAAGTATGTAGTCAGTTAATCAACGAATCTTTATTTACAAAAAAAAAATATGGAATAGATTGGAGAAGAAAAATAATAATAATAATTTCAAAACAAATGAATGTTGGAATTAGAATATAATGTTAAAGATTAGATAAACCAAATTCATTCCATTCCTTTTTTTTTTTTTTGTAAATAATAACAATGGATGGTGAATTAATAATTGTTTGAAAATTTGATTATTTTAGATGTCAAAAGCCAGGTCACAAGGCTGCAGGATGCACTGAGGAAATTGTTTGCCGTGTTTGCAAGCAACCAGGTCACATGGCTCGTGATTGCTCAGAGAAGCGTAGTGCTCCAGCTCCATCTGAAGGTGGTGCCAAGTGCTATAGCTGTCACCAAACTGGTCACATTCAAAAGAACTGTCCAACTGCCCGTCGTTGTTTCAACTGCGGTGGTGTAGGTCACATCTCATCAGCTTGTCCATCCGAGTTTGGTGGAGGTTCCCGTGGTAGTGGTCCATCCCAAAAGAAGTGTTACAACTGTCAAAAGGTCGGACACATCTCAAAGGATTGCACAAACATGAGCAACTAAACCAAACCAAATCAAACCAAACCAAACTAAACTAAACTAAAATAATAACCTGAAATATATTTTGTTTTTTTTTTTAAAAGAAAGAAGATAATTATCATTTGACCATTTATTTTTTTTTTCTTTGGATATATTATTCAAAACAAGTTCAACCTTTATGTAAATAATAAATAAAGGATTTTAATTAAACCACAAGTTAATTAATATTAATTAAATAATAGTTTATTGTTTATTGTTTTTGTTTATTGCATAAAACTACTGACTTCTGAAAGAAAACTACTTAAATCACCACCTTTCTTGTTACTGTTATTATTCTTTTTATCTTTACTGCTATTGTTACTTTTTTTATCTTTACTACTACTATTGTTACTTTTATTATTCTTTTTAGATGTAATATTTTGATTATTTACAATACTTTTAATTTGTTGATCATTTGTCTGAGTTGTTTGTTTATTATTATTATTAATATTATCTTCAGAGGTTGTTAAAATGGATGATGAAGAAGCAGAGGAGGAAGATGAAGTAGAAGTTTTCTTTTTTGATTCCTCTTTAGAATTTGTTTTTACTTCATGAGATGGTGCTATTGTTGTTGTTGTTGATAAAGATTGTAAAAGTTTCTTTGATTGTGTTGATCTCTTTAATCTTTTGTTTTGTGTTTCCGTTGTGATTGACTGTGTAGATTGACATTGATTGCAATGTATCTTTATGAAACCTACTGTCTTATTATCTTTTCTTGATTTTCTTTGTTGTTGTAATGATTGATTGCCACTACTAGATTTATGTTTAACACGAAGTGTACAATTGACACCCGGCACCAAATGATTTGCACACTTTACACATATTCTAATACCACCGGATGATTTCCTTTCAGTTGGCACTCCACTCACGTAGTTATCGACAGCACACTCGCCAAAGTTGAACATTAGCCATCGAGCTTCATCGGTGGCACCACCGACCTGCATTAAACTCGCAGCTTTCCAAAGATGATTGAGACGTTCAACATCTCTACGCTCACTATAATCAATATAGGTCTTGATGGAATTTGAAGTATTCGCCTGATTGTTGTACATATCACTCAGACTCTGATGATTATTTGTTACATTATCACCAGAAGCAGTAGCAGCAACATTATTAGAATCACTTGATTTCGTTGCAACCATCTGATTATTCCAATAGTTTAATCTATTTGAATTGTCATTTCTTTGTTTCTCGAATTGTTTTGACTTTTCTTTCTTTTGTGTATCATTAATCGATACTTTTGGTTGTTGTTGTTGTTGTTGATTCTTATTATTATTATTATTTTTACTATTACTATTACTATTGTTATTTATAGTTGTAGTATTTATTGAATTTATATCACCACCATTATTTATCAACTCTATATAACTATTACTATAATTATTATTATTATTTTGATTATAATTTGAGTTATAATTTGAATTATAGTTTTTATTTGTATTTATTTTATTATTATTATTTTGATTGTTCGCATTATTATTATTATAATTCTTATTATAATTTGAATTTGTTTTAAATTTATTATTATTATTATTGTTGTTATTCATTTTCCAACAGTTCTAAGGATCGGTAGATCATAATATGAAGGTTTAAAAAAAATCTTCGAAAGACCCACCAAAAAATATGGATTGACACCAACTTTTTTTTGTTTTTTTCAGATCAATACACGATTCGTACTATCGAATTTAATAAATTAAAATTGTTTTTTCTTTGCTTCACACCATTTTGGTCATAACTGCAGTTATTAGGTAATAATTTTTATTTTTTTTGATTTATTTTTTATTTTTTAATTAAATTAAATAAAAATCATTACTTGATCTCACAAGATTTTACATTCTCTTTTTTTGTTATTGCATTTAACACACAACACATATTGCATATTCATAGCAAGAATCTATGTTGTAACTTACATTCACAAAAAACCATTTATTTTAATTTTTAATTCATTTTTTCTAAACACTTCATAATTTTAATTTAACGTTTTTATTTTTTTATTTTTAACAATTAGTTTTCTTTTTAAATATAATAAATTTAGATCTATAGTTTATAGTTTAGTTATAATAAAATATTAATATTTGTATCAATACACACTATTTAAATATTAGATATTTGCAATTATCAACAACAATAATAACAGTTTTTGTTTATATACATACATTTAATAAGAGATGTCTGAAAAAGGAGCAGATACTTGGAAGAGTTTCAAGACTGGCTTTGCAAGAGCAAAACATAGAGTTTTAGCTAAAGTAGGTGCTGCAGAGACAACAGTCGATACAAAGATTCAAGTAGAATCTGAAAAGTTATTCACTTTATTCAAGTTGATGAAGAGATTGAATAAAAATGTTGAGAAATATCAAGAAATTATTAAAAGTATGTAAAATTATCATTATATATAAATATATAAAGATATATATTAACAATAAACATCAATAAAATATTATTATAGATATTTCAATCTTACAAAATGAAATGGCACATGATATCTTATCTTTTGATGAGAAGGATCCAAATAATTTGGCCTATCAAGAATCGATGCGTGAGTTGGAACGTCAACGTGTTGTAATGGAGGAATTTATTGAGACCTATTATCACGACCCGTTGCGTCAATATCTAGCACAGTTCAGAGAGATCAGAGAGAGACTCGAAGAGTTGGATCTCAGACGTTTGGACATGGATAGATACTTCCGTGATTACTCGATCAAAGCAAACAAGGGTAAGGATGCCACTTCGCTCGCCAAGACAGAGTCGAAACATCAAAAGACCAAAGAAGGTTATCAGACTTTGAGTGACGAGTTGATGCGTGACATGCCAATGTTGTACAACGACAGACAAACCGTGTTCGATCCGGCATTCGCTGCGCTGATCAATAGAAGTGCAGAGTTTTTCAATGGTACACACGCTGCCTACGGTCGATCGCTACACTCTGTCCAATCGATCAACGAGTACGACGTTATCAATCATCCATGGGTGATCACTGCAACAGAGTTGTCGTCAATCTCGACCAACGTGCGTTCATCCGCTGTATTCACCACAAAGATCGATTCAAACTATTCGCCACCAACCTCGAGAAGTCGTGCCTCTACCATCGCCACAACCACACCGACCAACAACAGCGCCAACAACAACGAGCACAATGCCTATGGTGATCACTACCACGAAGCACCACCACCTGTTACATTAAACAAATACGAACAACCATCTGCGCCATACCAACCACAACCCACATACACTACCACCACAACCACCACTTCCTACACACAAAGCTACTCGCCACCAGCATCTCAGCAACACCAATACCAATCGCCACCACCTCAGCAACAGATGCATAACCTCAATTTGAACGGTGCCAACAACCACACTGCCAATCTCTCTAAATCACCATCTCCCAAATTTTCACCACAAACCACTCAGCAACCGTCTGGTATGACCGTGATCAAACCGGCACCAGGCAGTAGCACCTATGGAACCGTTGCCTTCTCTGGTTCAAACCCTGGCGGTGCAGGCTCCACCGGTGGAGCACCAAGAGCCAATCCAAATGCAGGTAGAGCACTTCCAAAGCCAGCCGGTATCGTACCGCCATCAAAGGCATTGCCAACTGCCGAGGCAATCTATGACTTTGCTGGACAAGACCAAACAGAACTCAGTTTTAAGAAAGGTGATATCATTTCATTACACTCAACCACCGGAGATTGGTTAGATGGTGAATTACATGGTCGTAAAGGTTTAATTCCATTCAACTATGTAAAATTTTTATAAACAAATAATCATAAATAGAGTTGTAGCCACCCCGCTGTGATAATGTATACATAAAATATCTAATATTTTAAATAAAAAAACATATTTTTTAATATAATAAAAATATCTTGCAGTTCATATATTATTTGGTTAAATGATCAATATAAAATTAACCAAATCAATCATGTAATTAGACCAAAAATTTATTGTTGAAAAGTTTTAAAATTATTTTTTTAAAAATAAATTTTTAACGACTTTATATATTGTTTGACTTTCAAAGATTATATTTTTTTTTTTTAAATCAATATATATATTACACATTCTAATAATAAAATGGTAAATTATTAACATCACATTCAACTATTACATTTTATGAATCAAACCTAATTTAATCTATGATTTTAATCTAATAATAATAATGATCATCATCTAGGACAAACATACAATCGTTTTGATTCAACCAGAGTACAAAAAGGCATCACGTACTTTTATCGATTATGAATCTGTTGATGCTGCTTTAGAAGGTAAGATATAATATAGTAGAACGAATGATATCAAAGTAATATATATTAATTATTTAAAAAACATTACATTTATAGGTATTTGTTTCATGTTTGAGCAAAGACTTAAACAAATGCGTCCAAATCAAAAGAATATTACCTATGATGTTCAATCATTATTTAAATACTTGGACGAAATCCCAGATTTATCATGTTTAATGTAACTTATTAATAACAACTTCATTCATTTCGATTCAAACACTAACAACAACACAAAATCTATCATTATCTAGTTATACTCCATCAATTAATGCTTACACTCCATACAACAAGGAATGGATTAAGAACAAGATTGTTATCCTTCTTCAAAAGATGGCTCGTTAAACAGCAATATGTTTAGATAGACAATCATCAAAGAAATAAAAAAAAATAACAAAACAAAAAAAAACAAAAAGATAGAATAACAAACATTGTTATATAAGAGCATCAAAATTATTATAAATTAAATAATAAACGATGAAAATGATACATTATTGTAGAAATAGAAACTAACTAAATAATCTTATAGAGAGAATCATATCTTTTTTTTTTTACTAGAATCATTTACATAGATAATAGTTTTAATTTATTTCTTTTGTTTTTTAAATGGTTGAGTTTGTTTTGATACTGTTGGTTTTGGTTGTTGTTTTTGTTTGTTATTATTATTATTATTGTTGTTATTATTGTTATTTTCTTTCTTATCTTTCTTATTATTATTATGATTGTTATTGTTATTATTATCTTTCTTATTGTTTTTATGATTATTATTATCTTTTTTATTATTTTGATTGTTGTTATTATTATTATTTAACTTTTCTTTCTTATCGTAATGTGATTTCTTTGATGATGATCTGTTGATTACTTTCCATCTTTCGCTCTTTGGTATGGTGGAGATTGATTCTCTTTCGACACCACGCTTCTTGTAGTTATGCTTGTCTTGTCTCTTCACCTTGATGGTATGCATCCACTCGGGTACTTCAGAGCCAGAGTTTCTAATGACGTTGGCGATCGATGGTAACATAGGTGCGTCTGCCTCAGTGTAGAGAGTGTAAGCAACACCGGTACGACCAGCTCTACCAGTACGACCGATACGATGAACATAACTAGCAACGGTCTTTGGAAAGTCGAAATTGATAACATAGTTGACACCCTTGAAATCCATACCACGAGCCATCAGCTCAGTACAGATCAACACCCAGATCTTACCGGTACGGAACTTCTCTACGATCTTATCACGTTGGAACTGTGTACGATCCGAGTGAATCACATCGACATTGATATTGTCAAAGATCAACTCTTGGAACAACTCTTGTGCTCTCTCTTTCGATTGTACGAAAATGAGTACTGGTGGTTCTAATCCCTTCTGGAACAACTGTCTGACTGCCAACAACTTTCCTTCTTCCTTTCCTACAAATATTAACTTTTGATCGACATTGGTTGATGCAGAGTTTCTTTAATTATATTTTAAATATTAATAAGATTCTCTATACTTTTGTTGTTCATCTACTTACTCTTGACCAATAACAATCTTAATTGGATTGTTCATGATTGAACGAGCCATATCCTCTACCAAGTTATTCATAGTTGCACTAAACAATGAGATCTTTAACTTTTTGTTCTTACAAGCATTAACAACATCATCAACTTGCTCAACGAATTGTTGATCAAACAACTTATCTGCTTCGTCAAATACTAAATGTTCAACCCTATAAACAATTAATAATTGAAATAATAATTAATATTTAATGATCATGATAATGAATAAAGTTTATACTTACTTATTTAAATTAACATTCTCTTCTTTAATTAAATGTACCAATCTTAAAGGTGTTGTAATTAAAATATCTATATTTTAAATAAATGAAATTGGTTAACATGTATATAAATGATTGTTATTTGTTTATTTTTGTTGTTAGTAACATACCAAAAGTCTTTGAAAATGGTTCTGCTTTGTTGGATTGAGACAATCCTTTTGTGAGTACACAAATTCTGAATGGTTTGCCTTTGGAGAACAATCTGAATTGTCTGTAGATTTGTTGTGCCAACTCACGTGTCGGTGAGATAATGACTGCTCTGAATCCTACTTTCTGTGGTTTATTCAAAGTATGAAGTATAGGTATGGTAAATGCAGCTGTCTTACCGGAACCAGTTGGTGCACAAGCAATCACTTCACGTTCCTTCAAAATCGCTGGTATAGCTTGCATCTGAATGGGTGATGGCTGTGAATATCCCATCGATGCAATGTTTCTCGAGAGATAGTTCTTTAGACTATATGGCTCACCATCGAGTTCCTTAAAGTATTCGATTGGTTCCGGTATGTCTGTTCCCTTCACTTTGATTCTCATTCTATTTCTCAGATTTCTTTCTTGTTGTTCTTTTGTTGATTGTTCCTCTTCTTCTTCTTCTTCTTCCTCCTCCTCTTCTTCATCTAGATATTCTTCAGGTGGTACATATTTCTTTTTAAATAAACTAACATCTTCTTCTTCTTCTTCTTCTTCATCATCATCACTTTCCTTCTCTTTATCTTCCTCATCACTTTCCTCAACAAAATCTTCTACCTCTTCATCATCATCATTCTCGTTATCTTCTTCCTCTGCTACTTCATCCTCTTCTTCTTCTTTCTTAACTACTATCTTTTCTTCTTCTTCCTCTTCAACTTGATTAATTGATCTCTTTTTACTATTCTTATTCTCTTTTGGTTGTTGTTCTTCTTTTTTCTCGACTTTTACTTTTGGTTCATCTTTAACTTTCTTTTTATCATCGGTTTTGGCTGTGTTATTTTTATTAAAGAAAGATAGTGTTGTATTTTGTTGATTTTTATCTAAATCCATCAATTTATTTCCCTATTATTATAAAATTATAATGTTACTACTTTGTTAGTCATGTTTATGATCACAAGCAACAACTTTAATCTCTTTTACCTTAAATAAATTAACATCTTTTTGAAACTTTGTTTTATTAAACTTGGCACCTAATCCCAAGCTAAAGAATATAGTATTATCCATTTGATACTCTCTCTATCTAAAACTATTTAATTAATATTAAAATAAATTAAATCTAATTTTATGATTTTGAGAATGAGCATGTTTCGTTCGTTTTTTTGATTTATTTCTTTTTTTTAATTTTTTTTTCAATTTTTAATTTTCAATTTTTTAATGGTTATTATTTTGATCAGCTTTATCATTTTATTAACTTTGAAAAATAACAAAACTTCTTTCTGGGTTTATATATAAGTACAATTTCATCGTTGTAATTGGCCAGTGTTGTACTACAAAGATATCAGCTTCTGATAGCTTCTCTTTGATGTAATCAGCTTGTTCATCCTTGTATCATCACGTACTGGCTTTCCAACTTGTTTTAATAGTTCGAAAATCACAGGAAGATCATAGTTGATTGCTTTTTTGCAGGTAGAACCACCACCACGGGATTTGAGAATACTATTCAACAGTACACCTTGACTACCACCAATAGCAACGATCGATTCAAACTTGTCTGCGTGAAAGTCACTCATTTCAAGAAGAGTCGATGCGAAATTAATAGCATAGATAGAGAGTATGTTGAAAAGACATTTGGCAACATCGTGATGGTCAATTAGATACTCCCAAATACTTGGTTTTCCAATGAGTAAGCTCAAGTTGGAGTGACCGCTACGAATGGTGCTAGTCAAGTTCTTCCACAAGTTGTACGCCAATGGACTACCGTTGAGAAGTACGTACAACAGGAACCAGCAACATCTAAGATAATGCAGTATGTTGGAATACACGAGTATCGGTATCTCTAAAGATACCAATGGAGGACAATGCACGTAGCAAACGGTAGAGTGCATCTGGACAACAGGTAGAGTCTATTGCTAACTTTTCAATTGATTTCGATCCAGTGACATGTGTTTGGCAACATCCAGTTCACAAACATGCACGCGATTTTTAAAGACTACCACAGAGTTGGGTGATCGTGAGAGTTGGGTTTTGAACTTCTTCCATACTTTTATAGTGAGAAATATTTTGAAAAGTAATAAATTAAACTTTAATATTATATTATTGTAATTTATACAACTGTAATAAATTCAATAAATAAATAAAATTTACTTTTTATTCAGTTTCATTATTTATATTTTAATTAGATTTTAATTAGATTTTAATTTTAGTTATTGTAATCTTTTTTGATTAATATTACAATTTATTTAAAAAAAAAAGACATCTGTTTTTATTAAAAAAAATTATATCAATAGACTATTTTATGTACATATTAATAATGAGCAAATTAACTTTTTTTTTTTGGTAACATTATTTTATTTTTTATTTAAATTATTTTATTAAGGTGATTTTGTTGCACCATCAATATTTGGTATATTAGATCTCTTTCTAACTCTGATGATATAGAATGCAATACTACTAATAGATGCCACTGCGAAAACAGCAAGTATAGCAAGAGATGCTGCCAAAACAACATTGTCGTCGGATACATTTGAACATTTGGGTGTAGGTGGATTCGCGTTTACTAGCACCGAGTAATCAGGATCGACTATACAGGTTCTCTTGAAGTACGGTATGATGAGTGCAATGTCAACACTTGGTGAGTCATTGTTTTTAATCGATGCGAATCTTATACTCTTCATCTTTCCATCCAATATAGCTTTGTTAAAGAATTTGGCAAACAGAGTTGACCATCCAGTGTAGGTTTTGAACCATAGTACTTCACTTCTTTGATCATCGTTGGTGGCTACATTGGTGGTTGGTCTTGGGTTGAATTTATTGTTGAAACCAAATTTAGTGTAGAGTAGCGATGATGAATAACATTTATCATTGATATCTCTCTGAATTGCATCGCTAGTTAATATAAGCTCGAGATGATTGCTGCGATTAGAGAATGGCCAATGATCTATGGAAATGGTGTATTTCAGTGAACCTTTACTCTTGCGAAGTTGTTGATCACCGAAATTAAAGTGTTTCGTTTCGTTTGAGAATTCAATGTCAACGGTGAGATTCGCAAGATTTGGCATCGTCAAGTTGTAAACCCATTGTTCTTTCGATAGAGACACCATTGTCCAACTCATCTTGTTGAGATCATATCTCTGAACTATTGATTTGCTTGCAGACATTTCTCTGATCTCTTTGATATTCAGATTGAATGTCGAAAGAGATTCCGTTATGATTTGAGTATGCGGCGAATAATCGGAGAGTGACAGAGAAACATTGGTATCAATATTGTTTGAACTTATATTACAATACGGTCCAGTCCAATTCTCATTACAAAAGCATATTCCACTATTACAGAATCCATTATTATAACATGTAGTGTTATCACAATCATAACCTTTTTTAATTGGAAAAATAAATTAGTTACTTTTTAAAGATTGAATTTATAAAGATATTACTTACTTGGATCTATAAATAATATAAAATCATCAGATCTTTGATTTGATACAGAGACATATAAAATATCTTTGTAAAAATTATTTGCGGCAACCCAACATGAAAGTGATTTATGAGGTGTGATTAATGAAATATTTGAGCATGAATTGCTTCCAATGAAAATTGAGATATCACTGGTTATATTTCCAAAATTGTCACCGTAAATCGTTAATAATCCACCACTTTGTGTGATAGTAGATGTTTCATTAATTGAAGGGGGTAGATAATAAAAACTTTGATTATCTGTTGAGAATTGTCCGAGTGATACAAGAGAGATGGAATGTGAACCAGTACCTAGACTAATAAGACATTGCAAATAATTTTCGTTTATCACTGTTAGGTTGGTACAATTCTTTGAATCTATTAGAACCCAAGTATTATCAAAGTCATGTATTCCACTAACATTAAGCGAAACAATTCCACCTGATGTAGGTACTCTTGTAGTACTATTTATATAGGGAGCTAAAATATTGATTTTCAATAAATTTAATTAATATATAATAAATATTAAAAAGTTTTAAAAAGTTTTTACAATACCTTTGAATTTTGCAACAATTTTCTTTACACCATTTATCACAATAATAACATTTTCACTATCCAAAAAATCTGGATTAACTTGACAAGTTAAAATATTAGCTTTTTTCAAAACAATATTATTACAACTTCTTTTTCCAATTTCTATTGTAAAATTAGTTGATTGAGGGATCTTTTCTCCTTCCATCTCTATCAATCCCTTTCCCAAACTAGAAACTCTTATTATATTTGGAAATTCTAGATTCTTTTATTAATATTAAATCAATATAAAAATTAAAATTATACAAACCTTGGCAATATTTTAAATTTTCTGGTGGACAAAAACAATTAAATGAACCAATAGTATTAACACAACTATAATAGTTTGGACATATATTGGGAATTGTAGTGCATTCATCAATATCTACACATTGTTGGTTCATAAATTTAAAACCATCGGGACAATCACAACGATATCCACCATAACTATTTATACAAGTTCCATTACCACATGGTTTTTGGGTTTTACATTCATCTTCATCTAAAATTATTTTTTAAATAATAAAAATTAATAAAAATATTGATAATACTATATGATTAACTTACCTATACAAGTAAAACTATCTTTAGGTACATATCCAAGTTTACATTGACAAGTATAGCTTCCAACGGTATTTGCACAAACAGAATTCTCAGAGTTACAAATTGTAGTATTTGAACATTCATTTATATCTATAATTTAGAATATTAATATTAAATAATTAAATAATAGATAATTTTTTAGTATTTACCAACACACTGATTATTTTTAAATTCATAACCATCTGCACATCTATTACATGTAGGTCCTGCAAATAGATCATAACAATCACATTGACCTTTGCTATTACATTTTCCATGAAGACATAGATCTGGACAAGTTGATGAGAAATTCGTTGGTGTTCCAATGTAAAAAGTTTGGTTGTAGAGTAATGTAAATGTCTCTTTATCGGTATTGTATTTACTGCAATTAAAAAATATATCGTTGCATTCGGAATTGACTAGTGTTTGGAATTCAGAGTAAATAGAGGATGATCCACCACATACATAGGTTGACAGACAAGGTTTACTCAGTTCGATAACATTGGAGAATGGAGGAGTCTTTTCAATGGTGGTCGATTGTGATGCGAATATACATGCAGACTCTACTTTTTCATCTGGATTATTTGTCGATTTAATACCAATCTTTGATCGAGTTGCTGAAGCACACTGAGAATAGACCAAATACTTATTCTTTACAATTTCTATGTCGGATATATCAGCAAACGATCTCATTCCATTCAAAGGTTTTGAAAGAGCTGGACAATATGAGCTGGAATGTTCTTGATTAAGATCAACACCAAAAACATTTAATGGATTTTTCCAAAAATTCGAAGAAGTACTTGATACTTCATTAATAGAAGTTTGATCAATAAAATAAACTGAATATCCACTATATAAACACTTTTTAAAATATATTTATTAATATTTAAAACTAAACTTTTTGATTTTAAATTCCAAAACCAAACTTACCTCTGAAAAATATAAAGTTTTAATACCTGATGTTCTCCCTAAACATACCGAATCATTTGAATTATAATAAAAATTTGATGGACATATCGAATTTACACATTTAAATATAAATATAATAAATATTAAATAAAAAAGTTTCATTTTCCTAAAAAAAAATTGTTTTATGGACTTTCGATAGATAAATACTATTAAAAAAAAATATATTTGATTATTTCTATATCATTGTATATATAAAAATAAAATTTTGGGGATATTAAAAATTTCTATAAAGTAATATAAAAATAAATAAACTTATATTAAAAATAAATTAATAATTCTCATTAAAACAATACAAATAAAACATAAACAATGTTATCATTTGTTTTGCCCTAAATGGATTACACTAAACAATCAATAAGAACCAGTAATCGTACAGTACGAAATTATATAAAATTGAATAATGATCTATCATTATACTACTTTTATTCACCAACATCATCAGAATTCGAAAATAACCACATGATTAATTTTTCAACTGGATCTTTTTGATAAAGACAAATAAAATTACATTAACACACCACACAACAAACTGCTCATATAAATGTTAATCAGTATCTAAACGCACATTGTGTTAATTTTATTTTATTGTTATTATGTTTTATGTTTTTATTTTAACTTGTTATCATTATTGTGTAACAGTACTACTATTATTAAAGTAGCTGTAGTAACTTTGATTGAAATCACTCTAGATATATGGTATACCAACCATCTGAAATACCTATACTATATTGTAATAAATTGAAAATCGTAGATTGATTTGAGTTTCTCACATGTGTTGGTATGTAAATGTGGGTTTATATAACCATGCCATGTGTTGTTTAGTTTTATTATCATTTTCTATATGGAGTTTAGGTTATTGACAATATATTGTTTTATTGATTCTAATTAATTTATTTTCAATGTTCTACAGCTAGAAGAATATTAATGACTCATTTCATCTTTGTTGGAATTAAGTTGTAACATGAGAAAATAATAGTTTAAAATCATCTTTTTTGTTTTAAATAATGATTTTGAAAAGAAAAAAATAGTAAATAATGGGATGACCTGTTATGTGGATTATATAATAGATTTGTAATGTTTATAATTGTCCACTGATGGACATTATTAATTGGGGTTGGTGTGTTCCAATCAAATTTTATTTATAAATAGACTGAGAAAAGAAATACCTTTTGAAAAGTTAAGATATCTATTATCTTTTTAATCAAAACAAGGATTTATAGAGCGTGGAATGAATAATAAAAGTGAGTTTATTAAATATATATTAACATTTCAATCGACATATATATATCTAATTTACAAATTTAACAGATGGTTTTAATTAATTTGATTGGACCTAAATAAATAAGGAAGTTAGATAGATTTGAATAGATCTAATGTTTAGATCTATATAATAATGAACTAACTGAAAACTATAAGTTATAAAAATAATTCTATATTTAAGTTTGAATAAATCTAAACTTTTTCTGTTTACAGATGCAAACAAAAAAAAAAGAATGAAGTTATTTGATTTTTGTTTTTTTTTTTATTATTATTTGTATTTATAAAATGTAGATGTAGTTTTAATAAAAAAAGTATGATTTAAAATTAACGAATCTTGTAAATAGATGGGTTTGGTCAATTATTTGAATTTAGTTGATTTTTTTTTTTTTGTACCATTTTCCACCAAAAAAAAAAGAATCAGTTGAAATCTGCAAATATCTTGTGGTTATATAAGGTTTCAAAATATCTGTTGCTGCGTAATTTGTATTCCAACTCTGAGGGCAAATGATTTAGTTCTTTCTTATCAGACTTTTAATTGATATCTTTTAAAAACATTAGATGTAATAATTTGAAAAAAAAAAAAGAGTAGAATGAGCGGATTTAACAATTTTACAAGTACAACATTTTTTGTAGTTTTATTAGTTAGCTGTAGTTTTGTGTTGAGATGTTCTTCACAATCCAATGAGTACACTGTGTTTGACACGAGCGGTAATCTAGCGGTAGGACTCAAAGTTGAAGCAATCAATGGTCAATACAGCGATACCTATCTGGTCAATGGCAGAGCAGCTTTATCCGTTACTGGACATAACGATTGTAAGTGTTAGTTAAAATTAGGATATCCTTTGATTGACGCATAGAATATCAACTAATTCGATTCTAGTTAATGTCTTTTCTATTATTTCCTATCCAAATGGATTTGATTTGAAAAGATGGAAATATTTAGAGTTTTATCTCTATATAGAGAATTCTTTGAACGTACAAAATACTTCGATTAGAATGTTCTTTGACAGTTCTTTGGGAAATCTACCGGCCGATTCGAAAATGGTTACCATCACAGATAATAGCAACTACCTCGTTGGTAACATCACTCAAGACTATCAATTGGTTAGGGTGTTAATGTCAGACCTGAACTTTGGTGGTGTCGACTCAGTCACTCGTATCTGTTTCAATAGCAGACCAACAGAGTGGTGGTACAACATTGCCAATGCAACACTTCTTTCCTCTCCATCTTCAACACTAGGTCCCTCTGGACATGATCCATCCAATCCAAACAAACCTTCGGTGAACAACGCCACCTACACATCACTTTCATGTCTATATATCATATCAACTCTAATTTTATCTATCATTCTTATATAATAAAATAAATAAATTTAATAAATAATAGATTTATACTACTGTTGTAATAATTTTAGATCACTAATTCAAAAATAGTCAAACATCTACGAAAGGATATTTCGCTTTAAGTTGTAGTTTTACAACAGTTTTTAGAACATTTGTAGTTAGCATAATCATGTTTCTATTGAGATTCAATCTCTAGCTAAACCTGTCATTGAGATTCTAATGAACAAAATTTTATATTTGCAACTTTTGTGGTGACATATTAATATTTGCTGTGTATCAACACAAACTTAAATTTATTAATTATTAATTAATTAAAATTAAAGAATCTTTATTATCCAATTGGCAAATTACAAATTTTTTTTTGTTTCATTCCACCCAAAAAAAAAAAAAAAAAATTTTTTTTGCCGATCACGGACCAAATTACAAATTATTTAATTTAAAAAGCCCACAAATGTTTCAGAATGGACCATTATAAAAGCTTCTATTAAACTCATCAGTAGTATTTATTATTATTATTCTTAATAACTACTTTATTATTACAACTAAATATATATAAAAAATGGATAGATCAAATATACAAGACCCACCCGAATATGGTATGTTAATATTATTACTATTACGAAAGAATTAGAAAAGATTATATTTAATATGTATTAATTGAAATTAATTCTTTTTTTTTTCTCTCTATCTCTTTTTATAGAGGACCAAGAACAATCAGATCCATTAAAGAAAGGTTGGATGATTGGAAGCCCACCACCAGCTGATAAGATAATTAAGTTTATTCATGAAGATAATAAATTCCCACAGATGAGATGGTCATTGGCCAACATTAGACAATTGGTACCAACCGCTCAAATCTCTCATGGTCTAGGTCCAATCTCAAATCTACCACAACGTCCCCATGATATCTCTCAAGTTCAATGGGTCGATGCCGAAGGAAACACTAAAACCTTTATGGATATGATGAATTTGACCTATACCGATGGTCTCATGGTTCTACACAAGGGTCATGTTGTCTATGAGAAATATTTCGGTGTTATGAATCCAACGAAACCACATCTTGCAATGTCCGTTACCAAATCATTCGTTGGAACATTGGGTGCCATTCTCGTACACGAAGGAAAGATCGATGATACTAAGCAAGTGATTCATTACGTTCCAGAGTTGGCTCGTACTGCCTATGGTGATGCCACCGTTCGACAAGTCTTGGACATGACCATCTCTGTTAAATACAGTGAAGACTATTCCGATGAAAATGCAGAGGTTTGGAACTACAGTCAATCCGCTGGTTCAATGCCACGTCTTCCCGACTACGACGGACCAGAGACTCTCTATGAATTCCTTCTTACATTGAGAAAGGATAAAGAGCATCAACATGACGAACGTTTCTGGTACAAGACCGTCAACACTGAAATCTTGGCCTGGATCATCAGACGTGTCACTCAGAAGCCATTGGCTGTCTATCTCTCCGAGAGAATCTGGCAGAGAATGGGTGCTGCCGACGACGCTTACTTCATGGTCGACAGTATCGGTACCGAGTCGGCAGGTGGTGGTTTCAATACATGTCTCCATGATCTCGCCAGATTCGGTGAGGTCATGCGTAACCGTGGTTTCTTCAATGGCCAACAAGTGATCCCAGCTGAGGTTGTCGATGATATCAAATTTAATGGTGACAAGAAGAAATTCGAACCCGCTGGTTATCACACCCTCGAAGGATGGAGCTATCGTAATATGTGGTGGGTAGGTGAAGATGCAGTCGGAGAGTTTGAGGCCAGAGGTATCCATGGTCAGAGAATCCACGTCAACACAAAGGCTGAAATGACCATCGTTAGATATGCATCACATCCATATGCTTCCAACATTATTAATGATCCACCCACTCAAGCTGCCTACAGAGCATTGGCCAAGTATTTGCAGCAATTAAAATAAATTCTTTCGCAGGTTACAAACATGTCTGTCTAATCCAATTTTAACTAATAAAGTGATTTTTATTTGTATTCTGACTCTATAAAAACTTGAAAAATAATATTCTCAATAGCGCTATCATTTTTGATATTATAATTGAATCGATTTTATAATTATTCTACAGTAATATATTTTATTAATCGATAAAATAGTGACTTGAAACTTTTTATTAGGTACTTTCCACCAATCTTACACTGCAAAGAAAGATTTTCAAGTTAACAAAAAAAAAAATTTTTTGTTTCGAAAATGGAGAATTATCTGGAAGCTATTAAAAAGATGATTAAATACTTACGCTCTACTAATGGATACCAATTGTTTGTAAAACTCTAGAAGTGCATAATATTAAAATTAAAATATTATAATCTATTCCAATAAAGATAAATAGAATATTATAACTATTTAATATCATACAATGCTGATATATTCTTTGAACTTGAAATTTTTAAATTATATTTTCATAAAGATTACATTTACAAATAAGATAATCCTATTGACAAACAAATTAGAAAAGAAAAGTATTTAAAAGAAATAGATAATTGAAGGTCAAGTTATAACATACTTCAACCATTACTTTGAACTCCCACTTAGAACCTCATTAATGAAATTGAAGTGTAAGAAATAAAACAAAATTAAAAATAAAAAATTCTATGGTTATGTAATTATTAAAGAAAAATAATTTGTATTTTAACAATGCTATTAATTTTAATTTATTTTATATTGATAAAGAAAACTTTTAGGGAAGAGGAAAAAAAAAAAAATTGCTCGGGAGTATTTAAATTTATTTTCCATTTTTGTCTTTGAGTAAATTAACCATACTATGGGTGTATGGTTAATTTACTCAAAGACAAAAATGAGTAATATCAGATTGTTTTTCAAATCGTTTTTGAATTCGACTTTGGAAAAATTGATAATAAATCTGCATCGATTAAATCTCCGTTCTCTGTGACATTTGGATGTGCTTAAATGTTTCTAAAGTTTTTGAGTTCTGTCAAGGTATCATTGGTATCATTGATAAAGTCTTTATAAAAATCCAAATTGATTTGTAATTCTGAATTATTCTTTACAATTTTTTTGAATTGGTGAAGGGATTTAGATTTGGTATTCTCACCTTCGACCAGAATGCAGAATTTTCTTTCAGTACCAAAACTTTCTTAATACTAATGTAAAATGATTATTCTTCTTTTCCATCTCCAAATTATTTACAATATTAAATAGTTGTTTGTTTAATAAGATTGTTTTGGTAAATTTAAAATTGATGTTTGATTTAGATGTACATTTAAACAATAAATAATGATATGGTGAATATTTAATATATTTATAGAATTCATGATTTAATTATAGATAATAAAAGATATAGTAATATAATAATATGAGAATTTAAATATACAAATGGTCCACTATAATTCCTTTAAATACCTTCATTTCTGAAGACCATCATCAATGATAGTTTACATTAAAAATGAAAACTAACAAATGATAGATAGAAAAAGGGTTAAAACAACTAAAATAGCTCAAATTTATGGCATTGGTAAACCTGTCTTCATGTCAAAGAGAAAGAATCAAAAAAAAAATTTTTAGAGAAAAGTGTCGAGGTCTAATAAGACAATGGATTTATATGTGAAAAAAAGACGTACATATTTTCATCATACACAAAATCAAGTTTATAAATAACATTAACTTATGTAAATAAACACCGAGTTTGTTTTTATAATTAGAAATCAATTGTAACTCTAAGAAATAAACTTTGATTTGATGGAACCTATTTTATTCAGAATTTGTATAATATTCAACTGATTTTTCTAAAATAGTATCTATATTTATATCTTTAATCTAAATTGATGGGTTTTTATTAGTATACTCGTAATTGAATAAAAATTGATGTTAGAGTAAACATACATTTAATAAGAAATTTAATATATCTAAACTTGATGTCATCTCTAATATTATAGATTTTTTTGATTGCAGAATAGAGAGTGCAATAAATGCCATATAGTCAAGTGATACTCCAATGATTCTATCCCATACTCTATTCAAACTGGTGGTTGGGAAACAACATGTAAAATATGTTTTAAACCATCTATTTAATAGGATAATAATAATATTTTTGTTAATCAATAGAATAAAGAAATTTTTAAATTTGATTAATAGAATAATAATTACTTTGTACTGAATTGATCTACATGTATATTGTGTTGATGGAAATGATCCCAGAGCGATCGTTCATACAATTCTAGCAGTCTAGATAATATATTGATTTGATGATATATACCTATATCCTGTTAACATAAATAAGAGATTAGTATTTGAACGTTGAATAATATTGATTATTATTTTAATGAATAATATTACTTTGTGACCGTATTGTTTGAATGATCTATTCAAAAAGTTGTTGAAACACCAGAATGCATCGACTTCATTCTCGCAAACATAACAAAATACCTCTGCAATAGCTTTGAGATGCTCTTCAAATTGTAATCCAAATGTATTATCCTTGTTCAATGTCAGTGATGATATCGAAGAAGACGATGAAGAGGATGACAACGATGGTGAATCTGTTATTTCATTTATCATTTGTTCTATATTTATATTATTATTATTATTATTATTTATATTATTTACATCATTATTGTTTGTTGTTGTTGTTGTTGTATTATTGTTATTATTATTATTATTATTATTATTTGGTATTAAAGTATTTACTAAACTCGGTACTGAATTTTCTGGAAAACTAGGTATACCTTCACTTGAACTATATTGTTGTTGTTGTTGATTATTACCATGATGACCATGATGACTATGATGACCACTATGACTACTACCACTTCCACTTCCAGTGTTATTGAATTCATTATCACTGATATAATACAATCCGTTCTGAAAATTGAAATACTGTTCTTTTGTATGATATATGATTGCCAGACCATTGGCAGCAACCTCTTTTGCATCCAATACAATCTTCTCATTCGAATCAATTGAATATTCTTTGATAACTTCTTTCCTATTAAAAATGATTATTTGATTTGTTAACAATATTGTTGTTGAGATGAACTAATAATAACAATAGCCCGATGATGTTCATACTGTTGAACACATTAATATTTACCATTTATGATAGAATGCATCCGGTAGGTTACCACGACGTACAAGAGTGACTGCATGTTTCAAATCTTCATATTCGATGGTGCGTTGCTCTTGAATGAAATCCCATGTCTCTTGGTAGGAGGAAGAGACACCGAGGAGAATCTTCCAAACACGACATCGATACTGATTGGGTATCTCAAAGATATTACAAATCTTTTTAAGCTTGTTAAGGTCGATCACACGATGTTCAAAGATTGCTTCCAACGATGTCTTTAACTGACCACCTTTAAAACCCAATGTATTCAAATATGCTGTTCTAAAATCTTTTTTCATCTTTATTTAAAATAATCAATTGACTATCTACTGTAATACTATTATTTTATTCTCTATCTATTCTATACTATTCTATTCTAATTCTAATATCACAGAACTTTAATAGTAGTAGTACCGTAAATCATTACAAAAAAAAAAAAGAAGATGATAGGTAAATGATTATAATTTGTTAATTGTAACAAATACAAATAAGTATTCAAACTTAAATTGTTGCAAACTATAATAGATTACTTTGTTTATTACTTTCTATTTCTATTTTTTATATTATTGACTAAAAACCAACTAACTGATAATGAATAATATTATTATATGTTTAAAAAATAACATCACAAAAACAATGTTTTTTTTTTATTATTTTTTTTTTTTTTTTGAAGAGTTTTATTTTTTTTTTCAAAGATTGATAATCTTTCGACTTATCATTGAACAAAATCAATCGTATCGTAATTGATCTATAAATTCAATTGATTTATATCAAATTGATTTGATAGCTTATATGATCCAAAATAAATTATTTTAATTCATCCAATTATCTGGTTTGTGACCAACAACCAACTAACCAATCTAAATTAAATCATGTAATTTTAAACTTTAAAACTTGAAATTTCAATTAAAATATGTATGAGATGACCATGACTGACTGGCTGTCGACCGAACCATCATGATGATTGATTATGATGCCTTCGCTTGTGTTGAAGTAGCAACCCTATTTGCATTTTCACTGAATGAATGAATGATTTGAATTTGTGTGAATTTTGTTAGGTTAGTTAATTGGCTTGCTTTGGTAATAAAAATATTTGTATTTTGATGACGATGTGATGATGATAATGATAATACATACATATTCTTACAAATGGTATTTAATGAAGATGTCAGCTTTGATAGATCTTCATCGTTTTCACGTACGGTATCATAAACATTTTGATCGAGATCGTCCTTTCCTAGATTGTCGACATCGTGAAACTTGATACGTTCAGAACCGATCGAGACTTGCTTCATCGAGAGTTGTGCCTGTTGCTTTCTAATGTCCTGCAGCTCCTTCAATATCTTTTGTTGATTCAATCCGAATGCTTTCATCTCTCCACTTTCGAACCTCTTATTGATCTTCATCAGCTCTTCGTCCAACAACAATGCACTACTATCATCCATTCTATTCTATTCTATTCTTTACCTTTAACTTTACTTTACTTCTTTATTTATTTTTAAAAATCAAAAAAATAAAAACAAAAAAAAAAAATAAGAAAACCAAATAATTATATGATTTTAATTATTAAAAGAACAACACAACCACCTATGATATATATATATATAACAAATATTTATTCTATGAAAGGTAAGGTAATAATCTTTGCTCTTCTATTCTTCAAACTAAAATAATCAAAAAACAAAAAACAAAAAAAATATATACAACAACAGATTATCAAATTTTTAACTATAAATTGCAAAAAAACCACATTTTTGAATAATTAAAATTAAAAAACTGCTACAGCTGCGAAAAATCTCACTTTGTTATTATCCCCTATCATTATTATCATTACTACTGGAGTAAATGTTATAAATCAACAACACAATTTATTTTTTTTATCTACTCCAACAAAACAATAACAATAAATTTATTATGTATATAAATTTAACATCAATAAACATAATTAAATAATTTAATTTAATTTATTTATTTATTTATTAATTTATTTATTTTATTTTTTTAAATATCCATATTTATTAATATAATATAACAAGTTCATAGTTAGTTTAGTTTAATTAATAACTAGTAGTTATGAATGAAATGAGTATTAATAATAATAACAATAGATATTATGGAAATAATGGAAATGGAAACAGCAATAATAATAATAATAATAATAAAAGAAGAGATCATTTAAATCATTTAGATGTATTATTAAATAATAATAATAATAATAACAATAGTAATATTGTTAATAATAATAATGAGTTTGATTTTCAACAACATCATAATACTCATTCAACAGCAACAATGCAACAACAATATAACCAACAACAGCAACAACAACAATCTTCATTTTATTCACCATTGTCAATAAGTGGCAATGGAGGTTCAAGTCAATCTTCTGTTTTATCACCTTTAATTATACATCAGCAGCAACAGCAACAACAACAGCAGCAACAACAAAATAATACAAAATCTGGAAATATAGTTGGTTCCAATTCTCAATCTTCTTCACTTTCTATAACACCTTTATCGATGGGATCACCTCTTTCCAATGGAAATGGAAGTGTCGGTACCAGTGGAAGCAGTTCAGCTGGTAAACTACATACACTCTCACCACCCTATCGATTTTCATCGTCATCCTCTATCATTTTACCGCCAATTTCTTCGTCACCTGGCCACCATCAGTTAAGTCCACTTGGTGGCGTTGGCGTAGGAATCAATAGTAGCAGCAATAGCGGCAACAACTCCAGTGGCGCGAACAATAGCAGCAGCAACAGTAACAACAACATAGGATCACCTTCACAACAGCTAAGACAACAGCAACAGATACACATAATGCAACAGCAGCAGCAACAGCAACAGCAGCAACAACAACAGTTTAACTACGACTTTAATACAACCTCAGACACATCTCTAGGCTCGTCATTCCTAGAGCCAAGATCACCGGCATCGCAAATGAATGCATCGCCAATACACTTTAACGATCCACCACCTTTTAAGATACCAATACAACTACCTCTTATTGCTTCACCCTCTCAAACATCGACTTCGCCTGACCATAATCATAGCCATCACCATAATGGTGGTCACAGTCATGCTCACCATAGTAATCATCATGGACATCACCACAACCAAAATCAAATGCACTATCCTCTCTATAGCAGTGGAAACAGTAGTAACAAAGCATCGCCAACAAGACATACTTATTATCCTCAACTAAACCAACAACAACAGCAGCAGCAAAGTGAAAACAACAATAGTTTAATTAATCATAATCATAGTAGTAGTCTTGGTTCAACTTTTCATCCAAATGTATATCTATCACCACCTTCTTCATCTTCTTCCTCAAGTAATAACAATAATAACAATAATAATAATAACCATGTAAACATTAACTTAAACCAACCGATTTCACCTCAATCCTCATATTTGTACAATCATACATCCTCAACATCATCATCCACTAGTAATAACAATAACAGCAACATCATTAACAACAACAACAACAACAACAACAATAGTAACATTATCAATAGCAATAATAACACACCAATATCAAGAACAAAACAACAAACAATCGATTCTATAACCTGGTTAGATAGTAGTAGTAGTAATAATAATAGTAAATCAAACAACAATAATAACAACAGTAATAATATAGATTCTGTATTAAATTTTGTAGACAACACAGCATACTTTTCAAATAAACATAATAACATTCAATTTATATCGAATAACTCAATATCGACTACTGGTAATGGTAGCACTGCAACGACTACAACCGGTGGCAGAAAGAAGCAGAACGTCAATGGTAGTGGCAGGCAAGTATCAACGCCACCCATGAAATCATCGAATTCCGTTGCCGGTAGCATTCCAGGCACTGTTGCCGGCATGGTCAGTCTGCAGCGCGCCAACAACGTCTACAACACCTACTTTGATATCAGCCAGCTTGCAAACAGTCCGTCGGAATACTCGGAACAAGAGTATCCAGAGATCAAAGGTCGATTCCGGATCCTCGAGAAAATCGGTCAGGGAACGTTCAGTGGCGTCTACAAGTCGGTGTGCATTCAGGGACCAGACACAGGTCTGGTTGTTGCACTGAAGCGTGTCGCGCCAACATCGTCCCCAACACGTATTCTCAATGAGATAACGTCGTTGCTTCGTGTGGGCGGCTCGTCTTATGTCTCCAAGCTGATGGGTGCAATGCGATACATGGATCAAGTCACTCTGATTCTGCCCTACTTTGAGCACGACTCCTTCAAAGACTACTTCTTCAAAATAACACCCACCGAACTACGTCACTATCTATTCGCGCTTTTCACAGCATTGGAACATGTACATTCCCATAACATCTGTCATCGCGACGTCAAACCAACCAACTTTTTATACAACCAACAAAAGAACCTATTCATGCTAATTGACTTTGGACTGGCACAAGAAGTAAGTAGTTTGATAATTATAAGTGAATGAATCAAACTAACACTAATCAATTGTAATCTCTTTTAGATGCCACCTGAAACAGATGAAAGAAAGAAAAGACCAAGAGAAGATTCAAGATCAAAGTCAAAAGCTAATGAACCAAAACAACAGGCACCAAGAGCTGGAACAAGAGGTTTCAGAGCACCGGAAGTCTTGTTAAAGTATAATAAGCAAACTACTTCTATCGATATTTGGTCGGTCGGTGTCATTTTGATGTGTGTACTGTCGGGTCGCTATCCGTTTTTCATCTCACCCGATGATATCACTAGTTTGGCAGAGATCGTTGCTATCATTGGTACGAAAAAGATTACGGAGCTCGCTCATATGCTCGACAAGCAGATCACCATCTCTGAGACCATCGAGCCGACAAGCTGGAAGAGTTTGGCACACCGACTGCGTGACGAAAGCGGTCAGGTCAAAGAAACAATGCCACCAGAGGCATACGATCTGCTCGAGAGGTGTCTCGATCCGAATCCATTCACCAGAATCACCGCCAAAGATGCACTAAGCCATCCATTCCTTCAAGCAATTCATCAACATCAACATCATCATAATCATTCTCATCCTCCACATTAAAAAAGATAGATTCAGTATGTAATTTAATGTACTAATTAACAAGAGAAAATTAAAATAAAACTAATTCAAAACAAAAACAAGATAATTATTACAACTGTTTCACTTTTGATCAAAACAAAGTTTAACTAATAATATTAATGTTTATAACCCAAAAATGGAATATTAAAAAAAAAAAAAGTTATCACTTATTTGTTATATTTAATGATTGATTGAAATGATAGAATCAATATTGTCATGGAACCTTTAAACCTATCTATACAATCTATCGGTTTTAAACAACATTCAATTTATATCATGATTGATTGATTGATATACATACAAAATAACAATGATGATTTAAAAATAAAAAAGAAACCAAAAAAACAAAACCAATAATTAATAATATTTCTATTCAATAATTAATGTAAAATAACATTTCAAATTAAATAAATATAAATAATTCATTTCACACTCAAACAACAATTTAATTGTTTGAAATTAAAACAGTCCAAAAAATGAAAATGAATAATATTATATTGTGTCACACTTGGTTAAAAATTTTTCGTTTCCAATTATACCCCTAACTATCTACCTATCTTTGCTTAATTCTATACAAAAAAGTACCCACTAAACAACAACAACAACAACAACAAGATTATATAAATATATATATATATTGTTGCTGAAATAGATAATTTCCTTTCTTTCTCTCGCTATCTCAATAATCATTTTTTTTTGATAAAAATTATTTAATAAAATAATTAGAGATTCTATTTATTTTTATTAAATTACCATTTTCCATATTTATATTAATATTATTGTTCTATTTTTATTTTTAAATCATTTATATTTTTAAATCATTTACAAAATAGTCATCAATTAAATTCTATATGTTTTGTTTATTTAATATAGCTTGTTAGATAGGAAATCAATAGAAAATAAGAGAGTCTATCAATTTTGAAAATCATCGATTGAAATAAATTTATATTCAAAAACTACAACATTAATAATAATAATAATAAACAACAGAAATATAAATAGATAATATTTAAGAATTGTAGGTAGAAATAATAATATTTCTTTTTTGTTTCATTTTATTTTTGAAAACTATTTATCTACAGATAATGCTGTATAGTTGTCGAATTTATTTAGCTATAATTCGTTTGAAAGTAATGAGATCTCATTGATGATAGAGAAAAAACTAACAAGAGCATCAAATAATAATTATGACATTAAAACCACTTTTTTGATAAATAAGGCAAAATCGATTTAAATGCTAAGTTTTTTTTTTGTTTTTTTTTGTTTTAAAATGAATGAGAAGAACCTCAAACCCACCCAACAACATCACAAATTAAATTTTTATTTAATTTTTAACAATTTAATTAAATTTGATAGAAAAGTGTTATTTCTTCTGAAGAATTTATTATTATTTATTATTAAATAACAACAAACTAAACAATTAACAATTAGAAAAAAAAGACTAAATCAATCAACCAAACACTAAACTAAACAAAAAGGAAAAACACATCATTTCTAAAACGAATAACAATATTATATTGTATAAATAACAGATAAACAACATACTATTCTAAATACAAAATACATAATTGATTTATATATAATTATGTTTGTTTAGTTAGTTTGTTAATAATAATAATAATTTGTGTATTCAATTTTTAATTTTATATATTATTTTTTCATTAAACTAGATGTTCAAATTTAATATTAATTTCATTAATTAAACTTATATTTCTTAAACAAAAAAAAAAAACAAATTAAAAAAAAAAGATAAATAAGAGATAATTAGATAGATAGATTAGGTAGATAGTATAGATATAACAACAACAACAACAACAATTGTTAGCATTATTATAATAGATTGATTAATAGATATAGATAGATTAGATTAAAGATAGCATTCATTTTTGTAAATAATATAAATAAACACAATCATAATAACAGTGTAGATTGATAGAAAGAAATAACGTACAACAAGTGCAAAAGTCATGTCGATAGCATCAACACAGTCAGTTTCACAAAAGAATGTCAAACTTGATGAGATTTGGCCTGAACTTGAGGAGGGTATCTACAAAATCATAACAGAGCTCTACAAAGGTTTTCCAAAACAAAAATGGATGGCTTTATATACGTATGTAGAAAAAGAGTTAACGAACGATAATGATTATTCATAAATATGTATATGCGTATATTGATTTTATGATTGTTATTGGCTTTTTTGCTTTAATATTATTATTATTTTTAGTCATGTTTATAATTATTGTGCAGCTTCACAATCGAAAACAGGCAAGGTTGGTGTTACCAAACAATCAAATGCAGGTGCCAACTATGTTGGTGAGGAGCTCTACAATCGACTGAATAACTTCCTGAAGCGGCACATGAAAGAGCTGCTAAAGGTAGCCGAAACAAAGATGGACGAACCACTCTTGAACTACTACTATACAGAATGGGATCGTTATACCTGCGCAATGAAATACATCAATAATATATTCCAATACTTGGTAAGTGTACACAACAGCAATCAAACATCAAACTCATTACTAAACCACCAATCATCTTTAATCATTCTTTAGAATCGTTATTGGATTAAGAGAGAGATAGACGATGGAAAGAAAGAAGTCTATGAAGTTTTTGTTGTAAGTTATATATATATATATATTAAACAATGATTATAATAATAGCAATAACAATAATCGTTAGCATTTGAAACTAATACTTTATTTTGATTAGTTGTCATTGGTTATCTGGAGAGATTGCTTGTTCACTCCATTGAAGAGTAGATTGACATCTGCTCTACTGGATCTAATCGAAAACGAAAGAAATGGATATCAAATCAATACACATTTAGTTAAAGGTGTTATCAATGGTTATGGTAAGTTAAATTAAGAAAAGTTATGATTATGATGGTGATTGAATAATAATAATATTCGAATTCAAATAAATTAGTGAGTCTTGGATTGAATAGAGAAAAACCAAAGGAAACTATTCTACAGGTCTACAAAACCAGCTTTGAAGAATTATTTTTAACCGCAACAGAGAACTACTATACAAACGAATCTGTAAAGTTTATCTCTGAAAATACAGTTGCCGAGTACATGAAGAAGATTGAGAATCGTTTGAACGAAGAAGTCAAAAGAGTACAACAATATCTCCATCCGAGTACAGAAACAGATGTAAGAATCAATCAATTAAGTTATTGTTTTCATTAAATATTAATTAACTAACCAACTCTGTTCTCTCTCTCTTTTCTAATACACTTTTTAGCTTATTTCAAGATGTGAAAAGGTTTTGATTGAAAAGGTGGTTGAGGTGATATGGAACGAATTCCAAAATCTTTTGGAAACAGACAAGATTGCCGATCTAACCAGAATGTACTCTCTGCTATCGAGAATTCCAAAAGGATTGGAACCTTTGAGAGCAACTCTCGAAAAACATGTGCAAAACGTTGGTTTGCAAGCTGTTTCCTCTATTGGCGCTGTTGGTGCAACTGTAAGATTTTTTTTTTTGAACAAATTGAACATTCAATTGATTAGTACTAATCTATTTATATATATATATATATAGGATCCGAAATTATATATTGAGACATTACTTCAGGTGTTTAAGAAATATAATGATTTGGTGACAGGTGCGTTCAGATGTGACACTGGCTTTGTTGCATCACTCGATAAAGCTTGTAGAAGATTTATTAATGAAAATGCAGTTACACAAGCAGCCAAATCATCATCGAAATCACCAGAGTTGTTGGCCAAATTCACCGACTTTTTATTAAAGAAGAGTCCAAAGAATCCAGAGGAAGCAGAGATGGATCAATTATTAAATGATGTCGTAAGTGTTTTTTTATTTTTATTTTTATTGGACAATTAATTTGTTTATTATTCAAATATATATTGACAAAATAATTAATATTTATAAATATTTAGATGATTGTATTTAAATATATTGAAGACAAGGATGTATTCCAAGATTTCTATTCAAAGATGTTAGCGAAGCGTCTTATCCATGGTACATCGACATCCGAGGATCTCGAGGGTGTCATGATTGGAAAGCTCAAGTCGACCTGTGGATACGAATATACCTCGAAGCTTCAGCGTATGTTTACCGATATGTCGCTGAGTAGAGAGCTACTCGATCGATTCAATCAGCATCTCGAGGAGCAATCGGCATTGGGAGGTATCGATTTTAGCGTTTTAGTGTTGGCCACCGGATCATGGCCATTACAACCACCTGCAACCAATTTTAGTATACCAAAAGAGGTAAGATTAAAATATAACTATAATATATAGATATATCCATTTCAATTATAATTACTAACTTTTTATTATTTCTTTCTCCCTATTTTACACTTACTCTAATAAATAGTTACAAGCATGTGAACAATTGTTCCAGAAATTCTATCAAGTTCAATACTCTGGTAGAAAATTGAATTGGCTACATCATCTATCAAAGGGTGAATTAAAGACTAAATACTTGCCATCCAACAAGAGTGGATACACACTACAATGCTCCACCTATCAGATCGGTGTTTTACTTCAATTCAACACAGATGAAGAGCTAACTGCAGAAGAGATTCAAGGTTCAACTCAATTAATTGATCATGCATTGAAGGGTACTCTAACTGTATGTAATAGATAGATAGATAGATACTTAATTTAACTTTAATAATATAACTAACCTATTATTACTTTTATTCTCTTTACAGACATTGGTTAAATCAAAGATTCTGTTAGCTGATCCACCCATTGAGGATGAGATTCCAAAGACAACCAAATTCACTCTAAACAAACAATTTAAAAACAAAAAGACAAAGATCTTTATCAACGTACCACTGGCTCAACAGGCAAAGGAGGAGACCGATACCACTCACAAGACTGTAGAAGAAGACAGAAAGCTGCAGATCCAGGCCGCCATCGTTCGTATTATGAAGATGAGAAAGCAATTGTCGCACAGCAGTCTAATGTCAGAGGTCATCGCCCAACTTCAGACTCGGTTCAACCCCAAAGTAAATATTATCAAGAAATGTATAGATATATTGATAGAAAGAGAATACCTTCAAAGAGTAGAAGGTCAGAAAGATATGTACAGTTATGTAGCCTAAAATAATCATAAAAGCAACACTTATATATATAAGATTAAATTGTTTGAAAGAAAAAAAGAGAAAAAAAATCAAAAAAAAAAAAAAAAAATCAAAAAGTTTTATTTGAAAAAATTATATAAAATCAATCATTCAACCAAACCAACCTTAATTATAGTTCGTATTTGTATATGAACACACATTGATTATCTGTATTTTAAAAATTAGAATTAAATTAAAAAACAAACAACTTTTTGTTTTTTTTTTCAAAAATAATATAAAAATCATTCATTGATGTGATGTTGTTTAGATAGATTATTATGATTTAGTTGTGTTGATCGATAAATTATTTTATCAAAGAAGATAAATATCAATCTGTCATTGAACACAAATAAGTCGATTTGATATTTTTATTCTATGAGGTAAACATTAACGATTCAGTTTTAAAAAAAATCTAATATTGGGGTGACTAATAATTAATATTGTTTTAATCTTAATCTATACCAATGTCTTTTTTTTTGATCAAAAATGAAACCATCCAGTTGCGAAAAAATATTTTTAAGATAAAAGTTTTGATGAAAAAAAAAAAACAACTATAAATATCGATTATTGTTGTTATTTCATTCACAAATCGTAGATCTGTTTGTGCTTTGTTTTCGAAAAAAATAGTGATTGAAATCAAGAGCTCTCATAACTATCCTCCATCGATTTTTGAAATCAAAAAAACTATTTTTTTGTACACCCATCAAAAATTAAAAATAAAAATAAAAATTAATCATCAAAACGAGAATGGTGCCCTTGTCTAACCAAAGTGTGTTTTGCTTGCGTAATAATAAAAAATAAAGTAACAAAAAAAAAAAAAGTTTATTCAAATCATCAATCAAACCAACAAAACCTTATAATATTTATATAAATATATAGATATAGATAATATATTTATGTCCACCACCCGTTAGTCTTCAATCTTATTTAATTTATTTGGATTTTCAGAGTTAGAATTTAAACATTTCCAACAACAGCAATCATCATTTAACAGAATAATAATAAAATAAGAGTTGTTGTAGGCACCTTGTAATAATAATAGTTTTTTCTACTTTGATCAACGCGTTAACAACAGTGCACCTCTCAATCTGTATTAAATTAAAACAATTGTAAAACCAGTCAAACCTTTTATCCTAAGAAGGAACCAACAAACAAACAAAAAAAAAACAGATTGAAGACTCAATTAATATTACTTATTTGTACAACTACCAAATCAATCACACCAACCATCACCAATTCACAAACAACAACATAGTATTATAAAATGTAAGTTTACTTTTACTATTTTCTTTTTATTTCCTACTTTCTTTCTACTCTTCTCTTTTTATTTGTTTATGTTTTTTTATTTTAAATTTTTTTGTAGAGATAAATAAATTTGTTAATGATGACGATGATCAACTCAGATCGGATCATGATCATACACACACTACACACAAATAACTATTGGTGGTTATAATTAAATCTAATAGTCATTACATTATGAATTATGCTTCTTTCAGTGATAAAGCATCATCAACAACACAAAAACCGGTTTTTCATATCTCAAAGAACAAACGAACCAAAATTCTAATTGAATGAACCAATCACACCAATCAATAGAACCAACTATACTTTAATATTTATCAGTCAGCCAACACAATCACATCTATATTTTTTTTTTATTCATCCTGAATGAAGCACTTTATTTTTTATTTTTACCATCAAAACAAACCACCTTTGGTTTTGCAAAAAATTTTTTCATCACAATCAGTGGTTTCTATTATAAGAAGACCTAAATCTTCTGAAAAAAATTAAAAAAAAATACTACAATACCACACAACGCAAAAAAAAAAAAAAAAAAAACAAACCAAGCACTTTTAAAATAATGAAAAAGAGTAAAATAAGTGTGTTTAGTTTTGAATTTGGTTTCTGATTGGTGCGATGTTTTTTGTGGGTGTTTTTGTTTGTTAATCACAAATAGAATACGGTGCAAACAACAACGTGATTCTCTCTGAATCATAAAATAAATAGCAAACATACAACAACAACAACAACAATTAATTGGAGGGAGATAAAACCGGTGATAATTTAATAATACCCTCAAATTGTTTGTTTTTCTTTGATCAAATTTGAGTTGATTGATGCTGGCAAAGAGGTCTCTTTCAACTTATTTGTTTTCATTATTATTTATATACAATATCTCCATCCATTCTACACATTTCACACAATTGCATCTCGATCTCATCTATTTTCTATAGCCTATCTTTATCACTCAACCAACACACAACACAACTCAACTCATAAACTCAACTCAATCATCATTCGTACAATAACTATTGATTGAAAAAGTGTAGTAGTAGTCGTTAATAGCACCAATTATACACAAACCAATAACAATAACAGTAGCAAATATTAAAAATTAATAACAATAATGTTTAGGAAATATTAAGTAATCAATATTTCATCACCCAGTTACATCTAAACAAAATTTGTCAACATCTTTTTGTTTTGTTCTTCTTGTGTACTTTTTCACAATAATGTTGGTTCCATTCCAATCTCATCACCTTAATTAAACATAACAGTAACACATAAACACAATACACATAATATCAACAGTCACAAGAGTTTTATTTATTACCTTTTTGTAAATATACAGTGCACCTTCATTTTTATTCCCAAATCAATAACAATTATTTATTTATTTATCAAATTGTACAAATAGCAGCAGTACTCTACTATACTATACTAAAGTTAAGAAGTACTTCTTTTTCTTTTAAAATATTTTCATTTTGCCTTCAAAAAGCAACCCTTTTTTATATAAACAATTCAAAGCAACTTGACTAAAATCAGCCCAATTACAGTAAATAAATTTAGGAACAGTGTAAAACTTTAGTTATAGAAATTTAGCGCACGATAATTAATAGAATTCAAGGTAATTTTCATAATAATAATGATCAATCAACTTTTTTGGATGTAATTCAACAACATTGTTTAGTTTGATATTTTAAATCTTCAAATTTAAAAATATTGTTGTCGTTGATTCAATTTAAATCTATAGCTCCATATAGATTTATCTTCCCTCTTTAAACAACAACAACACTCTACCAAAGTGTTTAATAACCAACTTCCAGAATTTTATATTCACTTTTATCATTTTATACATTAATCTTATCACACGACCACCTACTTACTACACTTCTTTCAATCATTGGCCAAATGACTTACTCACTCTCCACACGCACCATTTCAATCAATATAATTTTTTAAATCAGTTTATCAATAATATATATAACACAATGCAGCAGGAGCAGTAGTAGATCAATAATTAAAGAAGATTCAAACAAAATCAACTTTTATATACATTCAAAATTTCTTAGTGGAATTGATCAACAGGGTCAAAGTACTACTTGAAATGAATGAATTCCATTCAGAAATATAGTGAACAACAGTTACAATTTATGATCATCGTGTTTTGGGGTTTGTTTTATATTGTGTTTGTTTCAATGTGTGTGTGTGTGTTATTTTCAATGTTTCAGTTATAAATTTCAAATGTGTTGGAATCTATATTTAAAATCAAGACACAACTCCACTAACTATATTATAACAAAATATAATAACAACATTATATATCCAATCCAAATCCGTCCCTCTACTTTGATTTTGGTGTTTTAATAAAAATCATATATGATTTAGAAAATTGCGCTGTTGCACATGAATGAATTCATATTCCATTATTTTGTTTTGTTTTGTTTTGTTACATCAAAACAATCTCAATTCAGCTAATCAATATATACATTATATCTAAATAACTTAAATTAATCTTTAGTCAGCAACAACAACCAACAATAACAACAATTGTTTTGTTTTCAACCAACTTCCTCTTCTTCTTCGTAAATCTAAATTTGATACCTTATAATCAACAATATAAACAAACAGACTAGTAAATATAATTATAATTACGATTCACACACAAACGATGTGGTTGTGGTTGTGTGTTTGTTTGCTTTTAATTTTGGACCATTGTACCTTAGAGGTGTCCCTATCAATATTCAATTTCTTTAAACCAACACCCCAACTAAACTCAGTGTCACCTTTAAACCACTACTACTATTACTACTGCCATCAATTAGATTTCTTTATTCTCAGTAACTTTTTGTTTGTTTTTATTTGATCAATCAGCCAAACACAAAGAATTGAAATCCATATTCTTTATTCTATATTCTATATCCTGTATACTTACCTCTACAGTAATATTAATAAATCAATAAATAACACACCAATAACAACAATAACAATAACATATAAACAATAATATTTTAAATAACTAGTTATTTTAGTTTAAATTAATATAAAAAGTGGAGTAGCGAATTATTATAATCAACAATAACAATAACAAAACCAATATTATTAATAGGTTGTTGATTTTTAGAGTCACTCTTTTGAATCAATTATAATTATGGTTTCATTATAGTTCTTATTATTAAATGTTGTTTGTTGTTTTATAAAATCAAAAAGTCTATAAAACAAATACTAAAATCAAAAACAGCGGCTACTATACAAATCCAACTTTAAATAATCAGACGGTCATCAATGATATTTAAATATCAACAGTCTTTTTTGAGATTCGTTTAAATATCAAATCATCATCATCTTAACTCAATTAAGATAAAAACAAAAACAAAAACAAAACAAAAAAACATAATCTCTTCAGTGTTGGTTTCCCGAAATCTCTTACGATTCCCACCATCATCATTTTGTTTCCACCAAACCAAACTAAACTAAACCATACAATACAGTTAGTTATCTATTCAAATTCAATTATTATTATCGTTAAATTATAAATTATATCTCTTGAAGTAAAACATCAGCATCACATAAATATTCTACCTACCTACCTTACCTCTCTAACCTATTATAAAAACAATCGCATTAACAATCAATTTAGTTGTCAACTAAGTATTGTCATTCATTCGATTAAACAGACAAAAACAAAACAATTTGATATTCGAACTACAAATTGTAATATAAGCACTAAACAAAGCAAATTCTAATTCCACACTCACCACAACCACCATTATATATCTCTCAATACACCAACCTTAACACCACACAATCCAAAAAAAAAAAAAAAACAAAAACAAAAACAAAAAAATACACTTTAATAAGTTCTGATCAAATTTAAAATTATCACAATAATATAAATAATATAATAATAATAAATAGGATTACCCTTCAAAACATAAGAAAATTGTACAATTCATAATCAATCAAAATCAAAACAAATCAATCAAACAATCAACCAATTTGTTTTGTTTTTTTTTTTTTTTTTTTTTTGTTTCCCAAAACCAAAGAGGTAAATTGCTTTTTTGTCAAACTCTATACAGCAGTACAATATTTATTGTGTGGCAATTAAAAAAAAAAAAAACAATAGTAGTAATAACAATTATTATAATAACCATAACTATCATATGATAGTTATTATCATCATCAGCATCATCACATTCTTTGATATCCATCACAGGAATACAACATTCATAAAACATGTTTGATACACCACAAAAATAATTAAAATAATCAACAACCAAATATTTCCAATATTAAAATCGTAATATTAATTTAATTTCTTTTTTTTTATTTTGATTTCCTAAATAGATAATTATAAAGTAAAGTAATAATAATAGTTTTTTTTGGTATTCACACTAAAATCAGAAATTTCAGAACATTTTGGAAAAGAACAAAACAATACAAAACAAAACAGGAATTTTAAAATAGTAAAATAGTAGTAATAATAATAATAGTAATTTTAGTTTAATTTTAAAATATATAATATATATAAATATAATAGTCAAGTTGTGTTATTAGTAGTGTTACCAATAGAAATATTTATAAAATGGCTAGTACAATATCACCAAACCAACAAGTGTTTGGCGTTGATCTTGAAACTCTAGTCAATTCACAAGCAGACAGGAAACCTCAGATTGAATCACCAAACTGTCCAAAAGATTTGCCATTTGTTGTAGTTGAGACGATTGGATGGTTGGAAACTCACAATGCCATCGCCGAAGAAGGTTTATTCAGAATTCCTGGCAACGGTCAGCAAATTCAGCTGATCAAAAAGGATTACAACGAGGGAAAAGCAGATCTATCGAAATTCACCAATGCCGACATACATACTATCGCAGGAGTATTGAAATTATACTTAAGAGAGCTACCAGAGCCACTTTTCATTTGGAGATATTATTCTACATTTATCAAAGTAATAAGTAAGTAGAGTTGACAAATATATATATTTCCAAAAAAAAAAAAAAAAAAGTTAAAAGTAAAATTAACTGTAATACCAATTTAAAAACAATAACAGAGAATCCAGATTTTTTACAGAGACTGTTACATTTAAGAATGTTAATATATGGTTTACCCAAAGTAAACAGAGATTTAGTATTATTTATGATGACATTTTTAAATAAGGTATCATCGAATTGCAGTGTCAACAAGATGACATCTACCAATCTAGCTGTTGTATTTGCACCCAATATACTTAGACATCAAAAAGAGAGTTTGAATCAGATTATGGAGGATTCAACTCATGTAAGTAACATTATAAAATATTTAATAGAGGAGATCTCTTATATATCAAAGGTTAGTAAAGACAAAGTATTTTCAAATCATTTGAACAAACTAACTAAACTATTATTTTGTTGATTTAGATAACCCACCATCTATCAACATCAAGTACTGATGTACCATCACCAGTACTACCAAAATCGGCAGAGTCTGGTTCAAAGTTGTCATTGTCAACGGGTCTGCCAAACTCGGAATCCACCGAATTTTTGTATGCACGTGCACTCTACCCCTATCAGACGAGTGGTCAATGGCATCTCCCATTTGCAAAGGACGACCAAATTACATTGTTGGATATAAAGTCAGAGGAAGGTTGGATGAAGGGAGAGTACAATGGTCGTGTTGGTTACTTCCCCGCTTCCTATGTCGAAATCATTGCACTACCGCCACCCACTACTCCCGTCACCTTAATTCCGATTCCCGATTTAGATCAGCAAGCCGATTGCACCATCATCACCACCACTACAACCACCACCCAACAGACAACCACTACCACCACCACAACCACAACAACGATGATCAGTGGTGCAACAGCTCCAGGAGCACCACCACCTCTGCTCGCCACACCAGCGCCAATCAGCTCGTCCAACTCCAACTCGTTCAACAACGGCACCAAACGAACACCGTTGGCATCGAGTGCTGGCCAGTTGACATCGCCAGCAACCAACACTCCACCCACTCACAAATCGAGTGGATCTTCTTCGTCACTCACCAACTCGCCAAAGATCACACCAAGCACCTCCAAACTGAATCTTGCATCGAGCGGAACGATTCCACCTCCTCCAGCTCTTTCCACTCCACCTCCACCTCTAGTTGCACCAATGATGAATCCCGGTAGTAATCTCTCGCTCAACAGCAGCTCAAAGACCACTATCTCGTCGTCTTCATCCAGCCAGAATATCAGTCGTTCCGGTTCATTTGTATCAAATAATAATAATGCTAACAATAGTTCAAATACATCACCAGACTTGGGAAAGGTAATGTCGATTACACCCAAACTCTCGTTCTCTGGCGCTCTTCCCCCAAGTTTGACTTTGCCACCTCCATTATTGCCATCGCGTCTTCCAGGTGTCGTCCAAACTACACCACCACAACCAAACGCCTCCGTCAGTGGATCAAAGTCTGGATCGTTTATTGATTTCAGTTTGAATACACCTCCACCTCCACCACCTCTCTCGCTGCCAAGTGAAAACATACCGGCACCACTCTCCAGCATGTCCACTCCAGTCAAGGCGCCACCACCCATCGACCTCAACAAACTTCCACCACCACCATTTTCACCATGTTCACCGGAACCAAATACAATCGACGCCACCACCTCTATTAATATTACCACTGATATTCCACCACCACCTGTATTCGATATGCCATTGCCACCACCACCACTCTCGTCGTCGGATCTCAACGCCTCACTCACTGGCTCCTCCAACAATATGGACAGCTCCGACACATCGTCCATCGATGACACTTCATCGCTGACATCCGGTCATGACATTCCTCTGCCACCTCCACCCGTCAATCTCGATGAATTCACCAGTCCGGTGATTGACGAAGCCAAGATCGCCGAGATTAGAAAGAAGCGTAAGGAGCGTGCCGAAGAGATGCTAACCACCGAGCGAACCTATGTAAAACAACTGAATTGCATCTACGAGCATTTCATCGAGCCATCGAAACGTAACAACAAAATCTATTGTTTGTCCGAGGAGATGTTGAACACATTCTCTTGTTTGGAGGTCATTCTCAACGCTCACAAAACCAACATTCTCAAGGCACTCGAAGAGCGTATGCTCGTCTGGGACGACAAGCCAAAGATGGGTGATATCTTTTGTAACAATACATCGTTCATCAAACTCTACAAACATTACGTAAACAACTACGACAAGTCGATCGTCTCGTTGAAACAATGTAAAGAGAAGAACTCAGAGTTCCGCAATTTCGTCAAGACTCTTGATTACAGTGAGAAATTCTCCGGACTCAACGTTGAATCTTTCCTGATTCTACCGGTTCAACGTATTCCACGTTATGTTTTACTGTTGCAGGACCTGTTGAAATACACTGACAATTCACACGAGGACTTTGACCAGTTGTGTGAAGCACTCGGAACCATCAAGGATTTCGCAGAGACCATCAACTACAAGAAGAGCGAAGAGGATAACTACACAAGAATCCAACAGATTCAAGAGACCATCAAGAATCTCCCGCCACACATGTTGGAGCGTCGCAAACGTTTCGTACACGAGGGACCACTCGCCACCAAGAAGGACAAGTACTACCTGTTCTTGTTCTCCGATGCACTGCTGCTAACCAAGTCCAGCAAGGACAAGAAGAAATTCAAACAGTTTATCAACCTCCAAACGGCATCGCTAAACACCACCGACGAAGCCGGTGTCATTAAGATCATCAGTCAAGAGGGAACCTACAAGTTCTTGTGTGAGAATGTCAAGGATCGTGATTTCTGGATCAAGACATTCAAAGACACCATTGAGATGGCACGTCAAGAGATGATCCAGTCGGCATTCGGTGATTCCGTTCTTCAAAACGAGGGATCCAAAGGATTCAATCGTATTCAAGACGAAAAGAATGCATTGAAGAAACAAAAGTTGGCAGAGGAGTTGTCTTCGTCTGAGCAGGAATACGTCACCTCGCTGCAATACATTCAGAATGTATTCCTCTCACCGATCCGTAAGTCACTGGACACCCCGAATCCACTGGTTTCCTACTCCGAGGGATTGGACATCTGCTCGAATTTCGAGACACTCTTGAATTGCCACATCACATTCGCATCGGTGTTGAAAGAGCGTATCGAACAGTGGGATCAGAAACCGACACTGTCCGATTTGTTCTTGGAGAAGGGAGGATTCCTCAAGTTGTACAACTACTACGTGCAACACCACAACTCATCGCTTCTGACCATCGAGAGTTGCATCGAGAAGTACTCGTTGTTTGCCATACACCTGCGAAACATCGAGTCCAACGAGAAGGCGGAACTCAAGCATCTACTGGCCGAGCCACTCAGACGTATCGCGCGATACTACTTGATTCTCCAGGAGATTCTCCAGTACACACGTCCCAAGCAAGACGACTACGAAGCACTCTTCAAAGTTGTCAACAACCTCAAGGAGCAAAACGACAAGTTCAACACCGCCTCGATGTTGAGCGCAAGCACCGGCATTGAAATGGGTTCGAGATCACCACACAAATCAAAGACTCTCAGAATCAAACAACCCAAAGGTCTATCGAAAGACAGTAAAATTAATACAAGTGGTTATTTCTCTGTTTAAAACAAAAACATAACATAACATAACATTTAATATACAAAAAAAAAACAAACAAACAAATCAACAAACAAATTACTACAAAGCATAAACAACCATTATTTATCGATATTCAATCTACCTATCTCTCTCTCTCTCTTACCAACAAACCCAACCAAAACCAACATTATAATAGCTAGAATCATTTGCAAACAAAACAAAACATAGATTACAATTGTATAAATAAAAAAGTATTCATAAAAATCAAATATATTGAAATATATCGTGAATAGAAAAAGAAATATCTTTATAATATAAATTTCTACCCCCTTTTTAAATATTTTTTTTTAAAGATCTCAAACAAAGGTAGACAGTTCATTTTTGTCACCAATGATCATTGGTTTTATAGAATTATATTGAAACAAATATAATTTAAGTAAATTTTTTTATTTTTATTTTGAAAATATATTTAAATTGCAACATCCACAGTTGAATTATATTTATCTGCGGTGATCCTGAATTGATCTTTTCTGGATACGGTGAATTAAGTTGGATCACTTAATATTATAAGGTTTTGGTAGCCCTTTGGTCTCAGATCAGACAATCGACTGACCAGTCGGTTCTTTGGTTAATTCTCAAGGTTGGGTGATGGAGTATCTATTCCAAACAAAATTTCTCAAAAAGAAAATTCTGTTTCTCAAGTGGGTCGATTGAATTTTCGATCAATTAATTTAATTTAAATTCTATTTTTTTTCTATTCACAAAAAATAACGTATTTTTAATCACAAACTTAGATTTCTCAAAAATTTAGCAACTGAAATATAAACTTTTCAATAAAAGGTCATTTTTAGCACAGATTTAAATTTATCTTATTAATTAGCATCAACAAATAATTGTAATTTCTTATTCTTTCAAAAAAAAAAAAAAAAACATAAAAAAACAATAGATATTATGTCAAAATCTTCAGTTAAAGATATACCACTCTATATTTCAATTGATTTACCAGATTTTAGAAAGAGATTTATAATTACCTATGAAAATGTATGTACATTTATATTGTTAATGTTATTATTACAATAGAAATTCAATCAAAATACTTATTAAATATTATCATTACAATATATAAATAAATAGGTCACATTAACATTTCTGATTGATGCTAAATTAACATTCCAAGGATTAATATCTATTATTTTCCAAAGATTCAAAATCAATTCCGATCAAAAAGGAGTTGATTCGTATCAAGACAAAGGATGGACGTCGTCTTACCAGTTTAAATTCTACCTACAACAATCAGTTGTTGGATGTCACTATCAGTACAATGTCAAAGGGTGGTGATCAAGACGATGATTCACCGACCTACTCACTCAGACACTCCTCAAATCACGAACCACTACCATCGCAAGCTAAAAACAACGATCCAACCTATGTTTCCGACAGTGTTTTTCTCGCACATTGCCGTGAGCTCCAAGCTACGCTCGGCAAATCGCAAGTAATCGTAAGCGAGTCACTGCCATATTGTGTGCACGTACACCTTGGAAACAACAACGCTTTACGCAGTTCCAGTGTTTCATTGTACTTGCTCGACCACCCAGAGTACAAAGAGGTTGGACTCACCTCGAAATCTATCATTCTTCGTGCCAATGAAGATTCTCTCCAGGATATCGTTCGTGTCGAACTGGTAAATCATCCATCGAGCGATATGATCACACTGGTCAACTCTGTTGTCAGAGTCTACAATCAATACATCCAAACACAAATCACAACAGATCCACAACTTCCAAAAGAAGTACAAGAGATTTTCCCACTTAATTTCAAAGAATTACCAACTATTTCACCTGTAAGTGTAAATCAACAAATATCTATATGTAGTTACATATGCTTATTAACCATAACTCTTATTTTAGGTATCATTTTATAATCAATTGAATGAATTAATTATTCAAGTTTCAAAAGATTATCAAGTTCCAGCTTCGGTTGCTATGAATTTCCTCTTCAAATATAAATTCAATATCAAGGGTATGAGGAAATCGTTGACCAACATCGACTCTTATGGATGTGCCAACATTGAGAAACATAGATTTTTAAATATTTCAGGTGGTGAATGCTCTATTTGCTATTGTGATATCGATGAACCGATCGAGTTTTTCTGTGGACATCGTTTCTGTCGTGGTTGTATCTCCGAGTATCTGATTGCTTCCATTAACGATGGTAACGGTATTGTCTCACCGATTCGTTGTTGTGCCACCGGTTGTCCTGTGATGATCGATCAAGTCACCATTGCATCGTTGATTCCCGATCGTAATGCCGACCATCTCAAACAGATGTTTATCAACGACGCAGCTTCGCTCACTCGTTCCAAGTGGTGCACATCTCGTGGATGTAAGCGGCTGTTCTATCCTAAAGGATTGAAAGACTGCATTCCATACTCGCCATGTCACTGTAAGAATATCATCTGTATCTACTGCGGTAAGAACGAGCTTCATTGGCCATCGCCATGTGACCATTCTTTCATGCAGGAAGACGATTTCGCCAACTATTTGTGGATGGCACAAAACACTACATTGTGCTTCAACTGCAAGTATCCCATTCAACGTAACGAGGGATGCAATCATATGACTTGCACGAAATGTCGCTACGAATTCTGCTATGTATGTGGATCGAAATGGGGAGGTTCACATTACAATTGCAAAAACCAATCGAAAAAGCTGGCTCGTTTCACCTCACATTTGACAGAGACCGCTGAGAACGTCTCCAGTTTGCTCTCTGATTTTCTCTTGGGAAGAAACAACAACAAGGTAATGGTCATCTACGGTAACTTTATCTTTCATTTCAAATCCACAAAGAACAAGTTGAAGAAGAAGATCATCGAAGTCTTGCTCTATTATCTCCAAGAGACCGTGAGAAAAGATATCTTACCCAAGGACCGTGACCAAATCTTGCAGATCGTTCGTTACAATATTCAGCGTGTGTTCAAGATTCTCCAGGAACAAGAGACAAAGAAGGTCGATTGCAAGCCAGAGTACAGTCGTGTACGTTCACTCAGATGCTTGGTGCACTTCAACGGTACCAACAATGAGATTGGTACTTTCTTCATTCCATCGCAATTCAGCAAACTTCGTGAATCTATCCTCACCAGTCTTCAAAAGGCTAATCAATTTGAGGGAGTTGCACAATCTCAGTTGGTTCTCTACAATCAATACGGAGGACAAATTAAACACTCCGAGGAGATTATGTATAACGAGGTTCTATATGTTGCACGCGAGAACGAGGAGTTCAAGGAGCCACCTGAAGTCGCCCCATCTTCTGAATCACCAGAAACAATCTTTAACAAGAAAGCTGCTTTGAGAAAGAAGGAAGCATTGTTGGCCAACAATGTTGACGAGAAGAAATTGACTGAAGATCAAATCACCGATATTGCCAACAGACTTTCAGAGATGTTGGATCTCACCATCGATGAATGCTATGAAATGGTAAAGAAGACCGGTGCTACCAGCGAAGTCGATGCTATCAACTCGGTTCTGACCTATCAGATTCACAACCAGAATACCACTGTTGACGAAGAGAATGCTCAAGAGATTCTGACCTATGAACAATTGGTCGAGTTGTTCCCATCGGTCGCCGAAGATGTTATCGAGAGAGCATTGATCGAATCAAAGAACGACCTTGAGAAGGCTGCAGACTGGCTCTACGATTACGAAGACAAGTGGATGAAGAACATCTGTAGCAATCAAGAAGACAAATCCACTTCACCAAAAGCCAAATATAATACTGATTATTTCGATGATGAGGACGATGACAATGAATATGAAGATGATCCAGATTATATCTATGCAAATTCAAGACTTTCAGATACTCAAGCAAAGTTGTACGATTAAATAAAATGTTATAAATATTTTGTATAAATATTCAAAGTTAAAATAACCTTTCAAAAATAACTTTAAATCAATCAATTTATGAATTATTTGATTTTGGCAATAAAATTCTTTTAAAAGAAAGATATGTTTGAAAGTAAAATTAATTAACAACCTTTGGCCCAAAGAAAATAACAAATATAAATATCTATTTATTTATCTATTCATATTGCAACTTAAATTTTATTATTTATTAGAAATCCCTAAAAAAAAATACAGTTATTTTAAAATCTTGCTTGGTTGGTTATTATTTAAATTAAGTATCTTGTCAATGGGGTGGATTGAATGATTGTTCCTAAGTAACTCAAACTATAAATACTACTCCGATGTTTTTACTCCGGTAACTAGTTGTTTCAATAATCGATAGATTTGAAAGGACAAATGAATACCTATAAAAGAAAGAGAAAAAAATAAATAATAATTTTTTGTTTTTTATAAAAATTAAATTTTTAAGTTCAAACCTGGAAAATGTGATTTTAAAAGGCAAAACATAATAAAAAATAATATTAATTTTTAAATCTTATTTTAAACAGTGATACATCACTGACCAACGGTATTAATATAAAACAGATGAATTTCATCACTTTATTTCTTTTAGTACTTCTTTTGACACTCTCAATTACAGCCACAGTTGAAGCTACTTGCGGTGACTCTGTTCGTGTTGCGTGTATTCAGGTATCCAATGGAGATGCAAATAAACTACGCAATTGTTTATATGCTAATAATTGTAATTATTAGTAGTTTTGACATCAGGATAACTTTCTTTGATTAACTATCTAACCAATCATTCTAAATAAATTATATGGTTCTTAAACCTATAATATTCTTCTCGGTTAGTTTACTTAAATTAATACAACTTCAAATAAATAATGGATCTAAAGAATTTTTTATTTTTTATTTTAATTATTAGTTATTTTCAATCTGTTTTTTATTTTATTTTTTTAAGCAATAAGATCACATATTTGTGTAATGATCATTTTTTTTTTGTAAAACAAAAAAAAATATCTAAAAAAAAAATGTTAATTGTCGATTGGCTCAATCGTCATTATATTAAAAAATCAAATCAAAAAAAAAACCCAATCCCAAAAAAAATTTACACAATTTTTTTAATCAAATATTATTCTCTATTTGGAAATAAATAAATTTGTTAAATTAGATGCAGACAAAGAGAGCTCTGTTTTATAAAAATAGAACATTTAATAGTGAACCTTTTGTTGTAGAACAACAATTTTCTTATTCAGCTGGTTTGCTCCAGCGACAGCGTTACAAATCAGTAATTGTAGAAGATGGCGTCTATCTCCTTGCTTTTGAAATAAAGGATCCTGTTCACGTCAAGAAATATAAAGATATTGGTCATCACACCCTTCTCTTACCAGGAAGATACAGTGATTTGCTCTCACTAGGTGATTTCTCGCAATTCAGAGTTGTCCCAGAAAATTGCACTCATTCCATCGATATTGGTTTAAATATTATTAGCAATATCAACAGTAGCAATATTAATTTTATTCATGAAGAAGAAGATAGCAATAATAATATTTACAATCAAATATCACAAGAACAACAATATAATAAGAATAATAATAGTAGTAAAAATAATTTTTTGTTAACACTCACTGATATTAAACAAATAGATATTTTTACAGGTGGTAACAATAGTAGTAGTGCCAACGATCGTTTTAATTTTCAAGCATCACAGCTTAGCGGATTGAAACAATGTGATATCCCAAGACATTGTAATTCAACCAATAGAAATGAAGCCATTTTAAAATTTTGCATCTCCGAAGGAAATACCGAGATTGAAAAAGGCACATTGCTAATTAAGCTAAACGAAAACAATGGATTCTACTCAGTTACTGCAACAAGTGATAACCAATTTCCTAAACAGTTTGACATTCAACAGATTGGTCGTTCAAAGTTTATATTTCAATATAAACAAAACCCCAAACCCCAAACAACATCAATTACTAATTAAATAAATTAATAATTGCTTTTTACCTCCTCTACATAACCAGAGTATTTAATAGATTCACTATTAATATATTAATTATTATTTAAAAATTATCTTTACATTTATTTTGTTTTTCTTTCCTTTTCAGCATCTTCAGCTATCTTGAGGAAGACTTCTTCTAAAGTTGAAAGATTAACATCGATATCGTGAATGTGTAGGGAGTTTTGGTTGATTTCCAAAGTTTCTAAAAAGTATGGAAGTTGCTCTGTTCTCTGACGAGGAACTGAGAAAACGATTTGTTCGGTTGTCTTGCTTGCCACCGATGTTCCTTCGAGTGTCGCAAGCACGAAACTGATGATTCTATTTTGAATATTATTTACAAGATTAAGATTGGCCATTGATGAATGACTTCCCAATCCAACGCTCTTGAGGAAAACAGTTACTTTGTAACCTGCACCAAATTTATTCTTCAAGTGAAGATTGTTTCCCAAACATCTTAATCTACCCATTGCCATAATACCGATCTTATCGGAGAGGATATCTGCTTCTTCCATAGAGTGAGTAGTCAAAACGATAGCACGTTTTCTTTTGGCATTCTCAATGATTTGCCAAACTGAGTGACGAGCTACTGGATCCATACCGGTTGTCGGTTCGTCGAGGAATACAATCTGTGGATTTCCAGTCATTGCAATGGCAACCGACAATCTACGTCTCTCACCACCACTGTAGACATTGACAAAACTGTCAGCCAAGTTTTGGATTCCGACTTCATTCAGACGCTCTGTGACTTGGTCTGAGATTTGGCTAGCCTTTACATTCTTGAATGCAGAGTAGAGTTCAAGATGTTCTCTACCTGTGAGATGGGACCAGAGTAAATCATGTTGTGGACATACACCCATGAATTTTCTAATGGCTACCATATCGGTACGGATAGATTTACCAAAGATAAGAGCATCTCCTTTGGTTGGACCAAACAAACCGGTCAACATACTGAGAGTAGTTGTCTTTCCAGCACCATTTGGACCGAGCAAACAAAACAACTTGTTCTTCTCCATTGTTAGATTTAGACCTTTTACAGCGTAGAAATCCTTCTTTGATTTCCAAAACATATTGTTACGGTAGACTTTTACCAGGTTTTTGATGATGACTGCATGCTCAGTTCCATGGTTCATTTTGTTGACATCTTCTTCTTCGGCGCGGACATCCTCATCTTCGACTGGCGTTGGTTCATATTCGGAATTGGCTTCCCATTTCATTGAGGAACTATCAGTCCAATAGGATGGTGTCAAGAAGAAATAGAATGGTTTGGGTGTACCGAATTCACCTGGGAATACATTATCAATGTACCATCCAAGCACGATAAAGATGATTCCATCCAAAAGAATCCATCTATAAACCATGAGCAATGGAAAAACTGGAGAGTTATTACTGATTTGAGACCATCTAATACCACCCATGTCACTGGCAATGGCGAGGTCAGTCAATCCCTTGGCAAAAACAACTGGCGACAACAAAGAAAAGATAGCTTGAACTGAATAGGGCTTTCCTTCAATATACAATAAGTTTGGGATGAAAGCTTGGAGCACTGAGAACAGAATGAATAAAAAGAATCCGAGGAATGTAGCTGTTTGACTCTTACGAAGACAGGCACTCAGGAAAAAGGCAAAGCAAATAATGGAGAAACCAAAGAACAAGAAAAGGAAAAAATAAGTTCCAAAGTCATTATGTTTAAAGAATGAAAATTGGAAAATAAAACCAGAGGCAATTAAAAGGAAGACATTAAGAATAATGAAAATCAAATAGGTAAAGAACCATGACATATAGTAAGAACTTTCCTTAAGACCCATCATTCTCATACCTTCCTTTAATTTGGTTTCCTTTTCAAGCACCATGTCTTGTAGCATCAGAACAAACTGGAACATCAAAGATGCAAAGAAAAATATACTACCAAGATCAGTAACAACTATTAATAAAATAAATTAGTATAAAATTGATTATTCTTTTTTAAATATTTGAAAACATACTATTATAAGTTAAAGTCTTTGGATGTGCAAAGATACCACTGTTCCATGTAATTTGAACATCGGATGAGTTGGAAGTGGGATTCTGTAGGTTATTTTGATAACGAATGATTTGTCTATCCATGGTTACTTGCATTGGTGTGATAATATTCTCTACTGGTGGTGGACACAAATTTCCAGAGCTACCCCAACTGGCAATACAACTCGAATTATACTGAATATCGTAGGAGAATATACCGTTTGATGTAGAATTAAATACATATGCGGCCTGTGTAATATTTGGATTGGTTAAAATAAAAGCATTGAGGGAGTCTGGACTAGAAAAACCTTTAATATCTGCACTTGTCAAATGAGGATTCTCCATCATCACAGCTGCAATCAGGTTCTCCACAATAGGATTATCGGGGGCATAAATAAAAGAATAACAATAATAATCACCATTTGGATGTGGTGTACATTTTGGAATTGGTGGAACTATTACTGAATATGATTCAGGTACTAATTTTATTTAAAAAAAACAAATTAAGAAATTATTAATATTTTTAAATTATATAAAAAAATAACAATAAAATTGTTTTTTTTACCTATTTCTATAATGAGCATTTGTATCCAATGCATTGGAAACAGCTAATTGAATCAAGTATAATCCACCTACGAAAAAGAATGGTACAGTCAATTGGATGGTTGTGGTTACTGTCTTACGGTAAGCAATTCTCCAATTTTTAATTAATAATATTTTAGTTTGTTTGAGAACCGTTTGAAAATAATTTGGTTCTTCATATTCTATCTCTGATGTAACAGTTTTAGAAATAGTTTCCATTATTATTATTATTTAGAATGGTAAATAACTAATTTATTAATTTCTAAATTGTTATTTATTTATTTTTCAATATCTATATATACATATAAAAAATTATTTTATTATTTGTTTAAAATTATTTAAGGCTATGAAATAAATATTTACAAAATAGAACAATTGGGGAAGAAAAAAAGATGGGTTAATGAACAACAAAGCAAAGTAGTTTAATAGAATGTGCTTGCTTGTGAACATAAAAAAAAAAGAAATCGAACTTTTTGGTTTATTGTTTAAAAATTTGCTAAACTTATCATAATGATGAGCTAACCCACACACTTTCTTTTCGGGAGTATCCAAATGGACTAAAGAAAGAAATCAAACAAATTGTTAAAAAGTTCGATTTCTTTTTTAAAAGTAAATCACCACAAAATTTTAAACCCCTCCTCATAGTAGTGCATCAAATTTTCAACTTCGATTTCTTTTATGTTTTTTAACACACACATAGCAAGGGGATTTTAGAATTTTTTTGCCCGATAATTTATAATGCCGATGACCATAACCAATTACACTCATTAATCACATCACCAAACATCATCATTTAAATTAGGTTATATTTGTTGAACATTTTGATTACTTTTGTTTTTTACAAATATCAATCAAATTATTATTTAAATAATTTGATATTTATATTATTTATTATTTATCTATTTTTATTTACAGGAAAGGATCAGTTGATACTCTGGTGTGAGTTGGACATCCTCGTGTGTAAATGCCTGGTGATACATCCTCTTCCAATGGTATTCCGAATTGATGATACTTCATGATGGTAAGATGTTCTTTTAGTTTGGGGTTAATCTGTAGTTCCTCTTTGAAGGTGACCGGTATCGACTCGACTCGACCGCCAAGACTCGATCGACGTTTGTGAATAGAGGTATTGAGACTCTTTCGAGCGAGCTTCTTGAGATCTTCGAGGTTGTCGCAGTAGTTGGGATGTGAGGTGACCGAGGTGACCGAGGCAGTGTCGTTCTGCAATGTCGTATCGTTCGATGGGATGACATCGCTCTGTGTGTCTTTGTTGAGGAAATCCTTGATCTGGTAGAGATCAGCTTGGGAGGACGATGCTGAACCACCTGTAGAATGACTGCTTCGTCTGCCCTTTGATCGATTCGGTAATTCCATGTCGATTCTCTCCATAATCTTCTCACGTTGTACTCGTTTCTCGACTTTTCTAATTTGATCTAACGTCACCTTTTTACTCTCGTCCGATGTAAACAACACACTCGATATCGACTGTTCTAGATCCGATATCTTTTCATACATTTTCTTGATGATCGCTTCCTCTAAACCAGATTTAATCTTCTTTTGAAACAATTTAAATATTTTCTCATAGATTCTATTATGTTTACTATTTAATATTTGAATATCTAATTATAAATAGATTAATTAGTAGTCAAATTACTTTTAATATTAATTGTATTGTTAAAGTATAAACACATACGTATATCATTGATTGTACATTTAACTTTAGATATTGTGAATAATCTCTTTTGTGCAAACAAAGCTTGTGAAACTTCTAATTTAACTTTTATCTAATTATTATTAAGTTAACAAGTTAATAAGATAATAATAATGAATATCATATTGATATTTAACTACATACATCGATACCTCTTTCACCTGTAAATACATTTGCTAAACCTGTATCTTTTATTCTAGGAATACCATATTTCTTGAAATACCATTTCATATTATCGATTCTAAATTTAATATTTGTTCTATAGATATATAAATAGTAGAAGAGTAAGTAATTAAAGAACTTAATTTATCTAGATTTGATAATATAATAATAACTTACAATTCAATCATTAGTAGAGATGAAACCTTTCCAGATAAAGTAAGAGGAGTTGCTTGAACACAAGCCAATATTCCGACATTGAAGCAATTGGGATCGAAAAATGTAAGTTTAATATTGATATCTTCCAATTTAAAATCTATTTTCTTTTCTCTATTAACTAAATTACAGAATAATTTTGATATTAGAACAAAAACAAACATATGTAACTATAGTTAATATTTACCATCATCCATATTTGTTATAACAGGCAGTGGTATCGATCTTATCTTGTTGATTGCCATTGGAATTAACATGTGTTTGATTTCATTAAACATTTCATAGTCGAGTCGATACTTCATTTTATCACCACTGGCAGAGACCGGTCTCAACATCGATTTGAAGAGTAGCTTGAGATCGTCGATAAACTTTGAGTTGAGATGGTCTTTCTTGAACGACGTTATCACCAGCGATGTCTGCACACGAAACTCAATCATCGATGGCAGCGCACAGATCTCGATGAAGATCTTCTCCAGCTTGTCAATGATGTTACGCGCACGAAGCTCCAACTCCTCGTTCATGTAGAGTTCGTCCATCGAGTAGATATTGCTCACCAAGTCAGTGAACTCCTTTATAGTCTCCTGATAAGACTTGTTAGTCTTTACGTAGTTGACCACCTCACGAACGTTTCTCGCCATGATCTTGATGTTTATCTGCTCACCGATGATACTCTGAATCGCCAAGAGAATATCGTTGGTTATCGGAGCGTCCTTCATGATGTCACGTAGTCGTTCAATAGGGAAGATCTTCTTTTGCTCCTCCTTGGCAATGGAGATCTGTTTCTTGAGATTCTCGATGTTCTTGATGAGCACAATGAACTCCTCGTTGTGCAACACAAAGTTGATGAGATTCTTGAGTGACGTCACTATCTTCATACGCTGCTTCTCCTCGATCTGGAACATCTCGTAGGTTTGCGATTCATTGGTGATCGCCTTGGTGATACTATTGATAACGCCCACCATCTTTTTGAACTCGACAAAGAACGTCAGTGTTTCGTCGGTATTCCTCAGTTCGCCCAGCAGTCGGAAGAGCGATCGCATCGATTCAATAAAGTATCCACTCTTAACGGTGATCTCGCCAATGAACTTGATGTCTTCGGCAATCATTAGGAAACTACCGCTATTGATCATAACCTTGCAGGTATTCATGAATTTCAACAGGAAATTCCTCAGCGATCGGTTGTTTCTATTCATAATCTCATCCTTCTCTCTTAGCACCTGCTTGAACAAGTCGAGAAAGATCTGTGATTTCTCTGATAGAACTGGAACGTGCGTTTTAAATATATTATGTTGATCCAACGACAAAAAGTTATGTTTTATCTTTTTCTGTTTAATAACTGTTGTCGTAGTTGAAGGTGATACTATTGTCGTTGTCGATGTTGATGGTTCTGAAATTAAACTAATAGTTGTATTATTTGTTGTAACTGTTGTTAGTTTATTACTACTATTACTTCTACTACTACTATTACTATTGTTATTGCTAATATTACTACTACTATTACTACTACTACTTCTAGTTTTGTTGGTATCTTGACTTGAACTTCTTGATAGGATGATTGGCTGTACAATTGGTGTTGGTGGTTGTTCAACTACTACTGCTGCTGATTTCTGTACTATGACCGGCTCTACAACTTGTGGTGAGATGATTTTGATTCCTCTGTGTGAGCCGACTGAGTGTAGGTCCGGTTGAATCGAAGCATTCTTCAAGTGGTCGTAGGATACTGCGCTGTCGAGTAGTGATCTCGTCATGAATTCTCTCGATTGATTCAATACCGGACATGGTGGAGTATCCGTAAACATTCGGTACTCTTCGTCGAGACCCTCTAGCTTCTGAAGATTAGGACATTGGATATCGTTGTTTCCCAGTTGATTCGGATTCAGCTTTTCACAATTCAAAAGATTCTCTCTTCGCTCTCTACCTAAATCTCCATCATCGTCATCATTTCCATAATAATCATCATCTGGAATCTTCACATTTCCAGTAGTAAGTCTTCCACTCTGTGATAATTCCGTTGTAATATCACCTATGCTGACTCTTCTCTTATGATTCAACACCACTTTTTTCCTTAAATCTGCCATTTTTCATAAACCGCCAAAATTTCATAAAACTACCAATATTTTTATTTCATTAACTTTATCTGTATAATTATTACTTCTATTGTTATTTATAACTATCTATTTCTAATAATTGTGATATTAAATTTCTTTGATTTATTTGTTTCTATACTAAAATTTATTAATCTATTTTGATATTGTTTTGTTTTTGTTTTTAAATCCTCATAGTTTATTTCTTGATTCTATTGCTATTGTTGTTGCTGTTGCTGTTGCTTTTGCATGTTCATGTATGTAATTACAAAACACACAACACTATTAATTAATTTTTAATTTTTATAATTATTTTTTTTCTTATAAATATTAAAATTTTAAATTAAATAAATAAATTGAGATTAAATAGATAGATATTAACAATTTGATATTGAATGTGAACTAATAAAGTAATATAATTATATATATTTCATATAGGATCAAAATTACTTTTTACTTAATATATTGTTGTTATTGTGGTTAATGTTGTTGTTTTTATCTATTTTTCAAAAAAATAATTGAAAAAAATAATATATTAATGTCAATATTACAACCAACAAGTAAATAAAGTCACATTGAAAATTACAACTGTAATATGTTGTCCAATATACATCCCCCCACCTCACTTCCACATTAACACAATTGCCAATTCACACAACACACATAAAAAATCCAAACGAATAAATAATTTTTTTTTTATCCAACAAGGTATAATTTTTGGTTTTAATTTAAAATTTCTGGAGGTTATATCTTTTGACGCCATGTTATGCTTCAAATCTTTAAAAAAAGAAAGTTCTAAAAATCTATTATCACCATCATCATCATGATAATGATAATTTATTAATTAAAAAATATTATTATTATTTTGTTGTTTTATTTTATTTTATTTTTTAATTTATTTTATTTTTTTGTTTAAAAACATTGATGTGACCAAAGTTCAAGTGTGTGTGGTTTTGGATCTTCTGGAATGACACCGTCCTTGGGGAATGGTGGTGTCATCTCTAGCATGTAGAGCATCTTGAAGGTTTGAAGTTGTTCACCCTCACCTTTGTGACGACCGTACCAATTCCACTCTCTACACAGGTATCTACCGTAGAAGAGTCTACGATCTTTGTGGTGTGAACCCTCGAGATTCATGAGGAACTTTCTCCAACGCTGTGTTGGGAACATATCAGAGGTTACGGCTGGCTTCTCATAGTCGACTTCTATGCCACCCCTAAATATATCGACCACCTTGCCGTTCGCCAGAGTTCCGGGGAACACCAACCAACCGTCGTCCTTCGATGGATACGGACTGAACATCGACCAATATTGGTCAATCTTGAAAATTGGACCGATCCAACGAATCGAATCTGGCACTGCATAGGTCATCGAAGATCCTGCCATATTCCAATTGATTACGAAAACAAGTAATAAGAATAATGCAATCTCCTTTACATAACTGAATAATAATAATAAGAAATATTATATATTAGAAATTTTAATTTGATATATATAAATATCAATTATATGTACTTACCCTCTTTGAACTACAACAGGTTTGGTTGGATACATGTTGGCAAAGAAGTTCCAACTGGATCCATTTATAAAGAGTGGTCTGTTGACTACCCAATTGTAGAATTTCTTAAAGAGCGAGGTTGCAAAGAGATAGCTGAGTAGCTTGAGGATCGGTGAGAGTCTTACCAATTCTACGAATGCGTTGTATCCATATTTACGTTCTAGAGTGGTAGCGTTTTCGATTGCTATCCAGCTGTCCGATGACTTCATTTCACTGTAAATCGAATCTTGGTATTGAAGACTAATCGATTCGTCTTCGCGTTGTGCAGGCAGCAATGGTGTGGTATGAATCAAAAACATTGACTTGTAAATCGATAACACCTTAAACAATGATTCATTATTTGCCGAGAAATAGATAATTGCAGATGTTCTATCTGGACTATAAAGATAATTCAAGAAATTATCCCAGAACCATGATGGTAAAAACATAAAAGCAGCAACACCTATTTTTTGTTTTTGATAAAAGATAGTTAGACTATATTGTTTGTTTTTATAACAAACAAAACATAATTAATGAAAGAAAATTCAAACCCAAAATATAATAATAACTTGGGAAAACATATTATATAAATTACTCTCTCATAATCATATATTATATGGTTTGAATTTTCTCATTATGAAGATATGTTTTTAGAAAAAAAAAAGAATGAATTAATAATAATAATTACCTGGAATATACATAAAGAAACCTAATTGTAAACATGATCCAAAACCAATGTGTAGACACCAAAACATGAGTACACCAAGGGTACGAAGTGGTCCATGTACTTTCTTGAATGGAACAAAGAAGAGAAGGTACCCGAACCATTCGAACCAGATGGTGAACCAAGTTAGGAATTGGCCGAGTGTGATGAATTGACGGAGGTACACTCCGAGTGGTGTTACAAACTGATCGAGATTCAGTGCATACCAGACGGCAGAGTACTCAGAGTTCCACTCGGCGCCAGTCTTTAACACAGCAGTAAAGAGATACATAATACAGAATTGCATCATAATTGCAATGGTGCCAAACGAAAGATAGTACTTTCCGGCAGAGTCGGTCGAAGGGAAAGTAGAGTTGCTCTGTGTAACCGGTGAATAACTGATATTTCTAGCATTGTTTATATTGGTTCGTTTATTGATTTGCTCTACATTCAGCGATGCATCGACTGAGCATTTCGACTCCAAAGGTAGAAACAACATCCACCAAAGAATTAATCTAAAAAAGTCGTCACCTAAAAGAAGAAGAAGATTGTCAGAATTCTGAGGAAACAATAAGAATAGAATGTTTGTTATTATCATCATTTCCATACCTCCATTTAATACCATTGGATTTCTAACATGTAAGGAAGTCATTAAAACCCAAGCGATAAAAGTGGACAAACGAGTTCGATATCCGATCGCCATTGAAAAGGCGGCGATGAAATTGATTGTGAAAAGTAGACCGGCCCAGTACTTTGAGGCGTTGACGTAGTAGAACGACCAGAGATAGGGACTGTTGTCTATGACGGTGTTAGCGGGCACCGCACCCAAATCTGTGTAGTGGTCGTGCAGGTAGAGACCACGCACGTATAGATCCAACATAATCAGAATACCCATTCCAACACGCAGCAAAGCCAGACTTCTAAGATCGATTCCCAGTACTTGTACAAATGTATCGAGTGCCGTCGATCCCGCTGCACCCGATGCCATCGCTTTCTGTTGAGATTTCATACCATCGCTACTAATGAGCAGGTCATCCTCGACATCCAGTGCACTGACATGAACCTCCTCGAATTTCGGTGATTGATACAGCGGTGATTGATAAGATGGTAGATCTTCTTTCGAAGGTTTACGTTTGAAATATGCTGCCATACTATTATTATTATTATTATTATTATTATTATTATTATTAATATTATTATTTATGATATGATTAATGCAAACAAACTAACTATTTTATATAAATAAAAAAACAATATAATATTTTTGTTTATTCCTAAATAAGTTAACTAATTCATGAGTAGTGATGTTGTATAATAATATAATTGTAATGTAACAATTGATTTTGTTTGTTGTGCTGTTTTGTAATATTACAAAAATAATAATCTATATCTATATCTATTTAACCAATGAAACTAAACTAAAATAACTTTTTTGGTTATATTTGTAAAAATAAAAAAAATAAAAAAAAACAGAACTATTGTCAAAATACAATTCTATAGAATACTGAATGATATATAATAATTCTAAGAGTTAAGGTGTCGTAAGTCAAAATAAAAAAACTACTAAGATTGCAATAATTGAAAAAGAGTCAGATTTTTCTTTTTTTTTAATATTAAAAACCAACAAAACACCAAAATTATCTTTTCAACGTTCGTGTTTTTTTGTTTTAAAATTTCTTTTGTGGTTTGTGAAAAATCAAACTTGTTTTAAAAAGTGTAGTGTTGGTGTGTGTGTTTTGTGTTTTATGTTTTGTTGGGGGAAGCTGCTGTATCACTATGAGAGATATATATAAAGAGAGAGACTTCTTAAATATTTTATTCAATTTTAAAATTACAAAAATATAATATAAATATTAAAAAATAATAAAAATGAATTGATTGATAATTTATATATAGTACAACAAACTATTTTTAATGTAGCTAAACTTTTATTAATAAGATAAGTAATAGTAGGAGGAAGTAAAGTAAAGAATAAAGAATTCTCTTTGTGAATTTCGCAATTGACTCTTTAAAGAAAATAAAAATAATAAATTAAAATAAAATTATATTACAAATAATAATTAAGTGGACAATGATAATAATATTAAAAGTAAAGGTGCAGAGGTCAGAGTTTCTCGAAAGATATTTATATTTTCGCAATCCACAACACAGCAACAATGCACAACAAGGTGTTGTGTCGTTCTGACTACTACTAATAAAAGAGAAATCAACCAAAACTAGTAAAAACAAAATAAAAAAAAATAACGTCCTTCGATGTCTTTGGATTGGTTCTTGGTTGTTCAGACCTTAAAGCAAAGACGGGTCAAAAGGAAATTTAGGGGTAAAGCTCATAATAATAATGGAGCCTGGTTTGATTTTTCATTCAATATCTAAAAACGGATGATTTGTGATTCGTAGTCAACTTCAGTGTATGTTTCGTTGTTGTTTTTTAAAAAAACAATAATAAAGTATGTGGGGGTATGTGGTGTTTGTGGTTTGTGGGTAAAACAAAAGAAAACATCTTTTTGTCGTGTGTTTGAAATGATTTTATTAAAAAACAAGATAATTATCGATATTCTATTCTCATTGTCATTTTGATAGAAAAGAATGCATAATGTTAATAAAAATGCAATGCGCAATATTTATACAAAAATAGAATCTATTGTATTTTGTTTTTTTATAATTTATTTAAAGATTTTTAATTTGTAAGTCAGTCAGTCACTCACTTGTCAAGTTTATCAAGTTGACTTTCTATTTCTTTGATATGGTCGGTGTGAATCGATGCTAGAACAGTGAGTTGTTCTACACTGAGGTATTCCAAGCCTATACCAAGTATCTCTGGTATACCAAGACCAAGTACCTCTGCCTTTTCGTTTCTTTCATAGAGACTCTCTCTAAACTCTATGAAATTATCCTCTATCTCTGTCAATTGATTAAGTGTCTCTTTCAACCTACTCGCTTGTTCCAAATATAAAATAGCTAATTCCTTATATTTCTCTCTGTAATCTAAATTATTTTGTTGTTGTTGTTGTTCTGGTTGTGTTTGTTGTGTTTGTTGTTGAATTTGTACATTGTTTGATAAAGATGAAGTTGTCGATAGTTCTAATGATTCATTATTTATATTTGTAATTTCTTTTTGTGATATTTCATTTTCTATATTATTGTTATTATCATTATTATTATTATTATTATTAATATTATTAATATTATTAATATTATTACTTTTATCTTGAATAAACTGTTGTTTTTCTAAATCTTTGTTATCTTTATCTTTAATCAAATCTAAATCTAATTGAACAGCTATCTTTTTAGTTTCATTCTTTGTTTGTTCTTCTAATGTTTGTTTTCTACTCTTATTATTATTATTATTATTATTGTTATTGTTATTCTTTGTTGTTGATGTGTTATTGGTATTATTAGTAACAGTTGTTGTTTTTGGTTGTGGTTGTTTATTCTTATTTGAATTATTCTTTGATTTCTTTGATTGCTGTTGTTGATTATGATGTTGTGTATGTTGTTGTTTCTCTACTGCCAATAGCGATTCTAGATTCTTTGTGATCTCTTGTTCCTTCTGTTTAATATAGTCGTCGAATATCTTTATAATCTTTTGATATGATTTCGTTGTCTTTTTAACTTTTTTAACTAAATTAAACCTAGATATCAATCTATCTTTAAATTCACTTGGTAACAATTGATTTACATATTCTAATGATTCTATTTCTTCTTTAATATTTATATTACTATTATTACTATTGTTATTACTATTATTATTAATATTCTTTTTTGATAATTGTAATCCCTTCTTTGCTAAATCTAAAGGTGTACAACGATTCTTATTGGCAATGTTGATTTCCGATCCACAATCCAATAGAGCTTTGACAGATTTGGTGAAACCGAGTCGCGATGCAATGTGTAGCGGTGTTTCACCGTCTTTGTCGCGTAGGTCCAACATTGCCTGTAGTCGCTTCTTTCCGTGAGTTCGCTCGATTAGTCGCGCCAGCAGCGTGATGGTAGTCGACTGGTTGTGGAATGCAGCGCAGATAAACACGTTGAATCCATGGTGATTAACAGCTTTGAGATCTTCGCCAGCCTTGCTCAGTCGTTCCACCAGTGTATCGTCACCGTTCATTGCAGCAAACAGCATGGCGGTGTCACCATTACTGTTGGCATGGTTAAGTGGCGCGGCATTTGCAATGAAGAAGTCGTATGCCTCGACATTGGCATACAGCACCGCCGTCATCAGATAGCTATTGTCAATCTTCAACGTTATATCCATGCCGTGCGATAGCAGTAGGGTGAGCAGATCTCTATTGCCAAACGGTATGGCAAAGCAGAAAGGAATACCCTCGATAAAGTTCTTTGAGATCGTTTTGTTGGCAAACATTCGGTGACACTCGGCTATCAACGGACGATAGACTTGCTCATTGCCCGAGAAGAAGCAGAGACACATGATGAACTCGAGATTCCTATTGACAAAGTCGACCTCCAATGATTTGTCGTCAACCAGCGATATCAGCTGTCGTCCAACATCGATAAACGATTGCAATCCAACAAACTCATCGTCTTCTTCGTTGTCGATATCACCGTCTTCATTACCAATACCATCTTCTGCACAACTTGTACTATTACTATAGTATTCCTTTAAGTATAAATCAAATTCCTTATAGATACCAATTAAATATGTATTAAATGAATCCATTATTATATATTATTAGAGAACTTGTTTCTTTTCTCATCTTAAAAATAATTCAAAAAATGTAAAAAAAAAAAAAATATGAACAGTTAATTAATAATTTAGGGTATTTAGGTGCCTATCTGTAAAGACAAATAAGTTGGATGCATAACTTGAGTACACATATTATTAAATTTGATATTTTAAACTAAAAGTTTGATTATTTGATAACAAATATTTATTTTCGAAAATTACGATTCTCTCTACCAGATCTTGTTGGTTCTGATATAAATAGACCAATATTATTTATGGTAAATTCTGTTAACTTTTTAAATTCCTTTATTTATTTTTGGTGCGTTACAGATTAAGAGTTAATTGTTTCTCTAAATTTGTTTCGAAATTCATGATCACATAAAAGAATTAAATAATAAGAGTTTATTAAAAATAAATGTATTTATTATTTAAGATCTTGCTTTTCTAAGGAGTTGTCTTCTTGACATTTGTTCACCATTTGGAAGTGTTATTGTTTGTTTGTTGTTTGAAAGTGTGAGTCCAAGGTGCCTATATACATTGATTTGTGTGTGACCATTTTTGATAGCTTCTAAATATAGTTGTTGTTTTGTCATTGATAGTCCATCATGGAGTGTAATTGTTTCTTTTGATGAGAGCGAAGTTGCAAGTTTATTGAAGGATTTGGCATGTAATGGATCACATTCTATTGCTTTCAAGTATAACTGTTGTTTGGTCATCGATTCTCCATTTAAAAGTGTGATTGCATTATCTGATGATAGTGATAATACAAGATTATAATAAAAATTGGCTTGAAATGGATCATAATCTATTGATTTCAAGTATAACTGTTGTTTGGTCATCGATTGTCCATTGAAAAGTGTGATTGTTTCATTTGAAGATTTTAGTGTACATGCAAGGTTATTGTATGAGTTGGCATTTAACGGATTACATTCTATTGCTTTCAAGTATAGTTGGTGTTGTGTCATCGATTCTCCATTTAAAAGTGTGATTGTTTCATTTGAAGATTTTAGTGTACATGCAAGGTTACTGTATGAATTGGCATGTAATGGATCACATTCTATTGCTTTCAAGTATAATTGTTGTTCTGTCATCGATTGTCCATTTAAAAGTTTGATTGTTTCATTTGAAGATTTTAGTGTACATGCAAGGTTACTGTATGAATTGGCATTTAACGGATTACATTCTATTGCTTTCAAGTATAGTTGTTGTTGTGTCATCGATTCTCCATTTAAAAGTGTGATTGTTTCATTTGAAGATTTTAGTGTACATGCAAGGTTACTGTATGAATTGGCATGTAACGGATTACATTCTATTGCTTTCAAGTATAGTTGTTGTTGTGTCATCGATTGTCCATTGAAAAGTGTGATTGTTTCATTTGAAGATTTTAGTGTACATGCAAGGTTACTGTATGAATTGGCATGTAATGGACCACATTCTATTGCTTTCAAGTATAATTGTTGTTCTGTCATTGAAAGTCCATTTAAAAGTGTGATTGTTTCATCAGATGATAATGTATTGGCAAGGTTATAATATGCAATGGTATTCAATGGGTCACACTCTATTACTTTCAAGTATAGTTGTTGTTTTGTCATTGACTGTCCATTAAGAAAATTGATTATTTCGTTAGACGATAGTGAATATGCAAGGTTAAAATACGAATTGAAATGGAATGGATCACACTCTATTGCTTTCAAGTATAGTTGGTGTTGTGTCATTGATTGTCCATTAAAAAGTGTGATTATATTATCTTCGTTGGATGATAGTGTTGTTGCAAGGTTATAGTATGGATCGGAGTCGGTTGGACTACATTCTATCGCCTTCAAATATAGTTGATGTTGTGTCATTGATTCTCCATTTAAAAGTGTGATTGTTTCATCACAAGATAATAGTGTATAGGCAAGGTTATTGTATGGATTCGGGTCGGTTGGGTCACATTCTATTGCTTTCAAGTATAGTTGTTGTTGTGTCATCGATTGTCCATTTAATAATGTGATTGTTTCATCACCAGATGATAGTGAATATGCAAGGTTACTGTATGAATTGGAATGCAATGGATCACAATCTATTGATTTCATGTATAATTGTTGTTCTGTTATCGATTGTCCATTTAAAAGTGTGATTGTTTCATCGCCATCGGATGATAGTGTTAATGCAAGGTTATAATATGCTTGAAGGTGATTTGGATCAATCTCTATTACTTTCAAGTATAGCTGTTTCTCTGTCATTGATTCTCCTGATGGAAGAATGATCGATGGTTGATGATCTTTATCGGAAAGAATCGTTGCCAGCATGTGATATGCTTCTGCATTGTTTGGATCTAAACCAATGCATTTCAATAAGATTTGTTCTTGGCTAATTGATTCTCCTGAAGGAAGTGTTGTTGAATCATCTCCATGATCGAGTTTCGTTGCAATTTGGTAGAGTTGATTCGAATTTAAATTTCTTTTGGTTACTCTGTAGAAAAAGTAAATAAAAAAATTGAAACTTCCAATACTATTTCTTTAAAAAGTATTTCTAAATGTTTGATAATAGTGTATAATTTTTTTATCATTTTATAAAAGAAAAAATTAATTTTTATTTTTTTATTTGCAAAACATTTTTTCTCTTGAACTCACGAGGGATTAAAAATAATATGTTTTTTTTAATAGAGTTCGTAACGTTTTAAGGAGATGCTATAATATTAGATGCCAAAACAAATATAATTTATTGATTCAATTGGATAGATTTCTGTGAGATGTGTTTTTCCAATACAACCTCGGAATCTATTAGCTTTTTATCTCTATATCTTATGAAATCTTGAAGCTGAATGAGTTTGTTAAGTGGATAATCTCGGTTACTCAATAGCCAATCTAATATTTCATAACGATTGTCCATTGTCAGTTGTTCAATGGTTGATTCTACGTAGACCGAAACTAATTGTTCTCGTGATACATTGGTAAATAGTCATTTGAGTAACTCTGTATTGCAGCAATTCGACAGGCGATATCATAGGAAAATACGCATAGATCCGGTACTTCCTGGCAGAGCAGTTTGAATATTTCCATACCATCGTGTTCAAATGCTGTTGGTAGGTATAGATCAGCCTGGAACAATAGATCTCTGTGCTCTCTAATTAGAAACTGTATGGTTTATTCTCTACTGCAGCATATTCGACATGACAAAATCATGTGGTCAGTAGATTAGAAGCCATTCTATCATGTCGATCCGACGGATGCTCGCCGCATTCTCGAATACATTACTAAACTTTGAGATCAGCTTTTTCAAGCTTGGTTTATCATAGCCGAGTTTGTCAGACATCAGTTTCAGTAGGTTGATTTCACCAGAGAATACAGTGTTCCATTGCCGGGTACAAGTCCCAGTCAGCAGTTGGGTATCGATTGAAAAGGTATTGAATTAGCTCTAGTTTACCACGCATGGCACAGTGTGCTAACACCCTATCGAGACATGATGAATCAGCTATAGATATACGATCGTAATGTTTGAAATCCAAAAGATTTTGAAATTTCTCATCAATAAATAAATATAACAAATATTATCATTTTTTAAAAAAATTTTTTTTTTTAGTTTTTTTTTTAGATTTTATTGGTGGCCTCTTTGGCTTCGGTTTCCGGCTTCTTCTTCTTTAGCTTCTCAAGCTCTTTGGCCTTCTTGTATTCGGCTGGATGTTTATCTTCACGGCCACAAATAGTTAAGGACTTACACGGACCCTTGCATTCGTGTTCTGCTGTGCCCCTCTTGGCTTTCTTTGGCTTATGGCAAACTGGACATAATCTTGGACGATAAGATTTTTTCTTGGCTTCCACCGCACCATCTTCACTGTCATGTTCATCACTGGATGCTTCCTCCAAATCGGATAAATCAGAGTCGGTATCAGCTTGCAATGGCTTAGATCTAGAGATATTCTGCAACTTCTATAGAATCAAATAGTATATCAAAAAGAATATTAATAAAAGAAAGTTTTTTTAAAAACAATATTTAAAATTGTATATTTACTTTAGCTTGACGATCAGGATAATTGTCCTCTTCTTCAGTGGATTCTAAATCCTCTTCTTCTACTTCTTCTTCTTCTACATGTATTATTTGTTTATTTCTATAATTCTTCTAAACAAATAATAAAAATAAAGGGGTCTCATGTTTCACTTTTGCAATAATTTGTTATTAAAATTAGATATTAATTAGTAAATCAGAATAAATTAATTATTATATAGTGAATAAAAATCACTAAGATAAATTCACCCAAGGGGACTTTTGTTACATATAAAACAACAACATATAAATGGAGAAATAAATAAAATTGAAAGTTTGTTCTGTTTCTTAATCATTTTATTTTATTATTAAACAAATACTTTTATACAAAATTATGTTATTCATATTTAATTAGTAGTGGTGGAGGTTGTTGCAACCTTTTCAATATATTTAGCTAATACGTTGATTGCTTTCGATGATTCTGGGAATTTCTCAGCGAGTTGGGCTTGATATTCCAAGAGTTTTTCTGTTGGCAAGTCGACTCTATCAATGTTGTTGAGTAACCATTCCAACGTTTCTTCGGAGTCACATTCGAAAAGGTTTTCCAAGTGTTCATTGAGATAATTGTTAATATTAATATTCTTCATGTTGTATTTCGGTATATTTTCCAATAGCCATTGAGCAATATCCAATCGCTCCGAGTAAATAGCATAATGCAATGCGGTCTCTGTGCATCCTTCGGTTCTGTTGGCATGTAACCACTTCATAACATCGTATTGTTGATACCTCAGAGCGGTATCCATGGTGTCAGTGGAGAACTTGAAACGGTTATTGTCACCATCGTTACGCTCGTGTAGGAATTGAAGTAGTTCGAGGTTGCCTTGTTTGATAACAAAGGGTAGTGAATTAGCGGTACACTGTTGAGTGGTGTTCTGGTCGAGCCATTTCAGAGTTTCAAAGAATCCATTCTTTACGACATCATCCATCACATCGGATTCACAACGCTCCGTTCTATTCTCATAGATCCACTTCAACATTTCTAGGTGTCCTCTTTTGGCAGCTTCTTCTATTCTTCTTGGAGACAACTTTTCGTTTGGATATTTCTCATTCATCCATTTAACAACGTTCAGCTGACCACCTTCAATTGCGGCATCCATTGGTGATTCCCATCGAACATCTTTATCGTCGCTTAACAAATGGAGCACCTCCAAGTTTCCAGTCTTGGCAGCCGTTTCAAGCATTCTATTTGGGAGAGTGAATTTATGTTCACGTAATAGCTTGAATATTGCAAATGGTTTGCCGGGTAACGAAGCAATTTTCATATACTCATCATTCTTTGGACGTTGGAGTTGTTTGTGCTCGGCAAGAAGATACTCTACCGTTTGGAGATGTCCTCCCAAGACGGCATACTTCATCATATCAGATTTCGACAGTTCGTGTCCTCTATTCTCAGCCAACCATTGTATGAGATCGATTCTTCCGATTCTGGCAGAGTTGTTCAATGCATTATTGAAAGTATTGATAACCGGCTTTGAGCTGGGATCTTCATCGAATTTTCGGGAAAAGAATTTAACCACATCCAAGTCACCTGACAATGGTGCAACTGCCAACATCTTATTGAAATCCCACTTAATAATAACTGTTGAAGTTTCAGTAGAAGTGGTAGTAGTAGCAGCAGCTAATCTATCCATTAGATAATTAATTATATCTAATCTACCGTTCTTTGATGCATATTCCAATGCGTCGTTGAGAGTGTCTTGTACTTGTGTTGTTGGTGTAGTTGTTGCTTTTTCTTTGACAGTAGTAGTAGTAGTAGTTGATTCCAATTCCTCTTTGAGTCGTTGTTCAATGTCGTAGTGATCCAATAAGTATTTCATCATCTCTACACTACCACCTTTAATAACACCAAAGAATATCGATAGATTCAATCTCTTGACACCGTTGACCTTCAATCGTTCAAGACACGCCTTAAACTCTGGTAGATAGCCATGTGTTGCCAAGACATAGGGTCTCTTAATCACTTCGCTCCACTGGTAGTGATACTTAAACAGTATCTCATCATTCCAACGTGCTATCTCTTTGATATGGTTAACAATCAACTTGCAAACCACAACATTTTTTAAAACAGATATAATTAATTGTTTATCCATTATTATTATTATTACTAAAAAGTAAATAAAATATATAGAAATAAGTTTAAAAATACAATATAAAATAATAATAATCTAATATGTTTTAGTATTAGATTTTGTTCAAAAACAATAAATCATCCCTCATCTGATCAACACTTTTCATCCCTCAAATTTTCCGTTTTTCTCAAGAAAATGTTGTTGATTTATAAATAATATTTATTCTTTAATTGATTTTGTTAATGGTTTACAACTATCATCATTTTCATTCTCTTCATGCTTTCTCTTTGTGGATTTCGAAAGGATGGTCTCTTGAATATGATCAACTAAATAGGTATTGCTTTTTGTTGATTTCGGAAACTCCTTTGCCATCTTGGTTTGGTATTTAAGAAGTTCATCCGGTGGCAATTGAATATGTTCTATGAGCCATTTCAAAATATCTCGGTCATCTCTCTCGAAAAGATATTCCAGGTGTCTATCTAATTGCTCGCTAATACCATCGATGTTCAGCGATTTCGGATACTTTTCGTAGACCCATTCGACCATGTCCAATCGTAGATGATAAATACACTGAAGCAATGACATATAAGTACAGCCTTCGGTTCGATTCTCTTGTAACCACCGCATCATATTAAAATCCTCTTTCTCGGCAGCACAATCCATTGTCTCCTCTGAGAAATGGAATCGGTTATTCTTACCGTTGTTTCTCTCGTGCATGAATTTAACAACATCCAGATGTCCAGCTTTCACTACAGTATCTAGGATATTATTATCGAATTGAAAATATTGATCTGATTGCGGTTGCTCTACTACATGAGTTGTTGTCGTTGTCGTCGCCATCATTGGTTCCTCACTATCCAACCAAAGAAGTACTTCAATATGGCCATTCGATGCAACTTCATTAACAATGTTACGTGAACATCGTTCCGTACGGTTAACATACAGCCATTTCAGAGCGTCGATGTATCCACGTTTTGCACACTCATCGAATGCCTTTGTCGTACAGCCTTCACTTCGATTCTCGTGTAACCATCGCATCATCCCAAAGTGATTGTGTTCCGCAGCAACATCCATATGTGTTTTTTCGAATCTTACTCTGGTATCTGATTTTTTGGATTCATTGTCAATCAGTTTCATCACCTCGACATTGCCACTTCTAGCGACCATCTCCACGAGGCTCGGTGGATATTGGTAGTCATTGTCATTGAGAAGCTTGAAGATTTCCAATGCTTTCTCATTGCCGAAGCGAATCAATCGCATGTAGGCATCGTTTCTCGGACGTTGCAGTAATTTGTGTTTCGTCCACAGGTAAACAACGGTATCTAAATGACTTCCAGAGATTGCATATTTCATCATATCGGATTTCGTCAGCTCACTCGAACGATTCTCTGCCAACCACTGAATCAAATCGATTCTACCGATTCTCGCGGCATTATTGAAGCAATTATTAAAAGTATTGATTTCTGGTCGTGCAGTTGGATCTTCATCGACTTTGCGTGAAAAGAATTTAACCACCTCCAGGTCACCGGACAACGGTGCAACCGAGAGCATCTTACGGTAATCCCAATGCATAGATGTAAATTCGGCTGTTGTGAATCTCTCAAAGAGGCAATTAACAATATCCATTCTACCTTTCTTTGTTGCATGCTCCATTACGTCGTTCAGCGTCATTTGTACTTCCGATGGTTTCCGATTGGCAGTCGATTGCAATTCCTCTTTGAGAAGCTGATCTACTTTGTAGTGATCCAACAAGTGCTGCATCATCTCTACGTTACCACCTTTGATAACACCAAAGAACAACGAGAGATGTGATCTCTGTAGTTCAAAGCGCATCACGTCAAGACACGCCTTAAACTCTTTTGAATATCCATGAGCCGCCAAAACATAAGGTCTCGTAATAATTTCATTCCAACTATAATAAATTCTTTGACTATTGTGATCAATCGTTCTAGTTACTTCATTAACCTTTTCAAATATTAATTGATTCAATACTACATTTCTAAAGACACAAGAAAATAATGATTTTTCCATTGTTTTTTTTTTTAAAAATTAAAATATATCTATCTTGTATCTATTAATCTATTATCTTCAATTAGACAATGAAAAAAAAAATGTAAAAAAGATGATGTTGATGTGGTTAACAAGTGCCTCATCATAATCAGGGAAGTGTGGCAAATTTTTATAATTAACATGAATTCTAAATTCATATAATTAAAAGATGAGAATATATATAGTTAATAAAAAGAGATCGATAACAAGATGACAAAAGAGATATTAGAACATAAAGTATATAATAGAGATGAACTTGAGAAAATGAAAAGAGATGTGTTGGTTGAAATAATGAAAGAATACTCATTTAAAACACGGTGGCTTAAAAAAAGATATGCTGATAGATGCGATCATTCAACGTCAGGAGCATCTCGCAGATCTGAAATCAAAGCTAGTTACAGACAACTCAATCGAACAATATCATCGTGGAACGGTCGAGTATCGATTGCCAACAATGCTCATCTATCGAATCATTCGTGATCTCTGGCACGATGATATCGACTTCATACTGAACCCAGATCAACTTTGTCAGAACTACCGATGGCTACTCTCAATTGGCTTGGTCTCCAAGGAGTTGTTCAAACTGATATCATCGTTGTTCACTCGTGTCGATCTTTACAATCGGGACGCTCTCTACAACGGCGAGGTCGATCCAACTATGAATGTACATTCGGCACAGTCACTCAAGAACTGTATTCTTAATCCACGTTCAGTATTCAAGAATATCATTCACCTAACACTCTCAATGGAAACCTTCAAGAATCTAACAGACAAGACAACGACGACAACATGTACACCAGTCGAATTACGACTGATCTTCAACAGTGTCAGAAAGTTCAAGGTGATCGACACTCAAAGAGAGAAGCCGTTCCAAATTCAACATTGTAAGCTGCTCATCCAGTACATGCCGAATCTAAAATCATTGATACTCGATCAAGCAAAGATCGACAACATCAAAGTATTTCAAATTCTCCAACAAATACCGAGATTGACATCACTCGACATCTCAAACATACGATGGGGCAGATTTCCATCTAAAGAACATATCATCGGTAATTCCATGCGCAAGTTGAAACTACCAATGTATTTCTCAAGAATGTGCAGTAATATGCCAAGTGAGAATACCCAACTGGAAACTCTCAGTCTCGGTTCCGTAGAACAAAAAGATATGATTTACTTGAAGGATCAACTCAAGTATCTCAACAAACTCATTGTTTGGTATGTTCAACACGAATTAGGTTTGTCTTTGTCGAAACTGTTGTGTTTGGCTGAGTGCCGGGTTCGTACACTCTATGCCACTGAAACCGGCTGGATCACTCAAATGCTACGAACCAATCGGACCATCGTAACTCTGGACGTCGGTGATGATCTGTCTTCCACTGTCAGAATGGCATCGAATTCGCCATCGATCAACCGAATCATCTATCATAGCAATAGTACCATGCACAATCTCGCCATGAATACAAAGACCGATCGCAATAAATCCAGTGGATATGCACATATCAAATCAAAGAATCGACCATTGTCAAATCATGCACAACTACCGATTTGGAATTATGCCAAGAAGATCTACGATGCCACAGATAATCACACTGAAAACCAAACGATCGAAGAAAGCTTTCCGAATCTCAAGTTTCTATACTATCGACATTTCAGCCACGGCTGATCAGAGATGATAATGATGATATTGATGATGTGAACTTGTTCCACCTTAAGGGACCTGTGCAATAATATTATCCTTAGAAATGAATTAGAATTGCAATGATTATAATGATATAAATAAATCATTTATTATTTTTAGGACTTATCCAGAGAAGAATGAATCGATCATTATAGTTATAATAACCAATTATGTTTGTTGCGTATTGTTGGATGACTTTTAATGATATCATCTATAGGTTTAAGGTGAATAAACTCTGGTTTGACGTTGGCTTTATTTCTAAGGTCATTTTGTTAATATTTGTTATTAAATATTCAACGTTAGGAGCATCTCGCAGATCGGAAAGCTTTGAAATCAAAAATAGTTACAGACAACTCAATTGAACAGTACCATCGTGGAACTATTGAGTATCGATTGCCAACGTTATGATAAAACAAAATTTGAAATTTATTAAGATTTTATTAGAATTATAATAACCAATTATGTTTGTTGCGTATTGTTGGATGACTTTTAATGATATCATCTATAGGTTTAAGGTGAATAAACTCTGGTTTGATGTTGGCTTTATTCCTTAGTCTTATATCAATGTAGATTCTTCTTAAAGTTCTATTATTCTTAAGAGTCTCAAGGAATTCAGTATCGATTTGATTGTTCATCATGTTGATTTCACACTTTAGAACTCTGTCTGGTGGAAATCCATATTGTTGTTGAAGCTCTTGTTGTTTGTTGAGAAGTTTGGTGATTCCTTCAAAGGTGTTGTAAGGGAATGGTCGGATATTCAATTCTCTGACCAAAGCTAACATCTCAATATCTACGTCTTGGACAATGATTTTTAAATGCTGAAGTGTAGTTCGTGTCACTGGACAACGGGAACTGAGCCAATCGAGTTGAAGTCGTTCAATTGATGACTCTTGAAATAGATAGTCTAGACATTGTGTGTTGTGCTTTGGAAATTCAAATGGTAGAGAAAGGCTTTTCAAAGATTGCTGTTTCTTTAGATAGTTTAACAGTGCTGTTTGAAATGAATCCAATAGTTCCAATGGTTCAGATGATTGAACTTTGAATGCAAAATGCTCCAAAGATTTGAATTTGAGTAAACCATTGAAGAAAAGCGATGAATAGCTATCGAACATTAGAAAGTAACCATAGTCACTCGAATCTGAATTGGTATCTACAATTTCGAGTGATGTCAAATGTTGGAAATGATCTGATACCAGAAACTTTGTGAATGGTACGAAATCTTCGTAACTAATATTTTCAAAGTCTTCTGGGAATTCTCTAGTAACACCGATCATGAGATGTTTCAGCGTTGGTGATAATAACTTGATATCTTCGTATATATCTGGGTAACTAGCATTGAGATTACATTTCAAAGTTTCAAGTGAATTCATTCCTAAATTGATCATAATTTTAATATCTGAATGAGCAGATCTCAGTGATCTAAGAGTTGGTGTGATTAACGCCAAACCATCTCTAGTCACCTCTCTAAGTGCTCCAACATTACAGTCCAACTCTAATAGATTACTAAACAATGAACATCTGTTTAGATTGTCATCTGATTTCATTCTAAAATGAGACTTTAACAATTCATCTATCCTCCGAGATGATCCTATAAAACTTGTATTCAGCGAACAAATGACATCATGACAATACCAATTTATCATACTAAGTGATCTTGCATAATTTTTATTCTTTTCATTATCAAACCAAAGATATTCTACTATTATTTTATAGATTCTATTTTCAAATATAGTCATTCTTCTACGACATATATATATATATTTAATATAGGATGTGATTAAAAAAAACAACTATTGAATAAATAATTAAAAAAACTGTGTTTGAAATCTAAAAAACAAATATGGTCTTCTTTGTTTCAACTATCAGCTAATGTTGATCACACCCAGGACACTAATTTCAAAACAATTTTTTTTGATAAATTTTTTAATTTTTTTCAAAAAACAAAAACATATTATTCTATCTCTTTGTTCTTTCTATTATATATATTAATACTATCTTAGTATAAACAAATAAATAGTTTTAAATGATTCATATCAAGATTGATTTTAAACAAAAAAAAAAAAAACGGTTGTAATTTATTAAGATTTATTCAGATTAATTAAAATTAATTAAAATTTCACATATTATAATAACCAATTATGTTTATTGCGTATTGTTGGATGACTTTTAATAATATCATCTATAGGTTTAAGGTGAATAAACTCTGGTTTAATGTTGCCTTCGTTCTGACATATAATTTCAATGTAGATTCTTCTAAGAGTTCTATTATTCTTGAGAGTCTTTAGGAATTCTTCATCGATTTGATTGTCGATCATTTGTACTTTACAGGTTAGTACTCTATCTGCTGGAAATCCATATTGCTGTTGAAGATCTTGTTGTTTGATTAGAAGCTTGGTGATTCCTCCAAAGGTATTGGTTATGAATGATCGGTTATCCAATTCTCTTACCAATGCCAACATCTCGATATCTTGATCTTCTACCCCGATTGTAAAATGTTGAAGTGTAGTTCGTGTCACTAGGCAATGAAAAGCAAGCCAATCGATATGAAGTCTTTCAATTGATGACTCTTGGAAAAGATAGTCTAAACAAGAGGTGTTTTGCTTTGGAGATTCAAACAACGGTAATACTAGGCTTTTCAAAGACTTTTGGCTCGTAAGATAGTTTAATAACTTCGCTTGGAATGCATCCATTTTCTCCATCGGTTCAAAAGATTGGATTTTAAAAGAAATGTTTAATGCCAAACGCTCCAAAGATTTGAATTTGAGTAAACCATTGAAGAACATTGATGAATAGCTATCGAGCATTAGAAAGTAACCATAGTCACCGGAATCTAAATTGGTGTCTTCAATTTCGAGTGATGTCAAATGTTGGAAATGGTCTGATACCAAATACTTGGTAATTGGAACGAAATCTTCGTATCTAACACTTTGATAAGCATCATGGAAATCCATACCAACACCGATCTTGAGATGTTTCAGTGTGGGTGATAATAACTTGATATCTTCGTAATCGCTAACTTTATTTACGAATACATTACACTCCAAACTTTCAAGTGAATTCATTCCTAAATCGATCATCAATTTAATATCTGAATGAGCACATTTCAATGATCTGATTGTTGGTGCAATTAACTTCAAACCATCTCTGGTCACCTCTCTAAGTTCACCAACATTACAGTACAACTCTAATAGATTACTAAACAATGAACATCTGTTTAGATTGTCATCTGTTTTAATTCTAAAATGAGACTTTAACAATTCATCTATGATCTGAGATGATCCTTGAAAGCTAGTATTCAGCGAACAAATGACATCATGACAATACCAATTTATCATACTAAGTGATCTTGCATAACTTTTATTATTTTCATAATCAAACCAAAGATATTCTACTATTATTCTATAGATTCTATTTTCAAATATTGTCATTTTTTTTATTTGTTGTTATATAAATATTAAATAAAAAACAAATTATATGATTTTATAAATATTAAAATGAATTCTAATCAAAACAATTAGTTTAAATCCTTCTCTTTGTCTTCTATTTATTAACTAGAAGTATTCAACTCTAGAGACATGGTTTTACTTCGATACCAGCAACCAAATATTATCTTGATTTTTTTTCAAATTTTACACGCTGGTATCCTGGTAGAATCTTTTTTGGGTCGACTTGATTTCTGATTTTTACTAGTTATTTGAATTTAATGATATTTATATAATTATAATCTTGAAGTCGACAAAATAAAACTATCTTCACTAATATTACTATTGTTATTCCCACCTTTAAAGGTTGTTGAATTTTAAAGAATCAACCAGAGATTTAATTATTTTCTCTCAAAAGAGTAACTAGTTTTTTTTCTAAATTCATATTAAGATTTTAGTTAAGAAAACGCATATGATCCAAACTATTTATTGTATAATTTTTTGATAAAGTTTTCCTTCTGAATTGTACAACATAGTAGATTGTAAACATCCAAAAGTAGTATTATAATGGATCCATTGAACCAATGCAAGATTACCTGCTTCTGATGCTAAATGCATAACCGGAAGTGGACATTTACATCCAAGTTGGTAAAGTTGAATAATAAAAAAAACAATAATTTTTAAAACAAACCTATCTCAATTCTTACTCTAAAGAATACTAAAGCCATTGTATAATGGATAATAAAAGTATTCTCATTATTTAGATTATTGAAAACTTGTATTTATAAATAAAATAAAAAGATATCTAATCTTTGTTGATCTATCTTTGATTGTTTTGAGGTGAACAAAACTGATGAACACCCTTTTGATCTGATGATCAGTGAAGCTAAACATTTATTTATACATTGATTGTTGTTGTTTTTGATTATAGTATCTTTTGTTTTTCTTTTTATCTTGCACTACCTAAACTTTTAAAAAGATTGACATATTGTATCGATGTGTGTAGTTCAGAGTAGTTTCGCGGCAGTGCTGGGAATGCACTGAAATCGTATGAGGTTTGTACTTGATCAGCTGGGAATCCCAGGTTTCCACTGATAAACTCTGAGAGTAGTTTCGATGCGTTGAATGGTGATGTCGATGTAACCGAGCAAGCTGTATACTCTACTTCCACCGCAATTGCTTTTACATCTGCATTCAAAACAATCGGTCCTATTCTAATGATAAAATCACCTATTTCATATTTACTACCCTGTTTGTTGTAATATTAGAGTTAGTTTTATCATTAATAATTATGATAAAGATAATGATTAACAAAACAAATCAATAATAAACTTACTGATATCTCATGGGTTTGTCTTTTTTTATAGCTGTTGGTTTTCTCCAAGATTGATACAACTTCACGATCTGCTTCTACAACTGTGTACTGACTGACCATGTAACTCTTTTTTATCTTTTCGTCAAAGGTTAACAGATGAAACTCTCTGGGTGCATTGGGTGAACCATCAGGTAGTCTCTCTAGGTATAAAGAACATGATATTGACCACGATGATACTCTAATTCCTCCAAGAAATTCAATCTTTTTCTCAAGTTCTTTGATATTATCACCTTTAAATATACTGTAAAATTAGTTAAGTATTGATTTAATTTTTAGCAGCTTTCGTTCAATCATGTTTACCATTTGTAACCCATTGCTTATTAGCACTAACCAAAACATTATTTAATTAAATATGATCACAAATTTTCAAATTAATAAAATTGATTGGATTTTTTCCTGTACATATGATATTCTTGTTTTATCAAATATTTTACTTTGAGCAAGATTCAAGAATAATAAAATTAAATATATATGAGTAAAATGCAAGAAATAAATATCTTAAATAATTTTGCAAAAATATGAAATGCGTTGTTGGTCTAGTGGCAGAATTCTTGCCTACCAAGCAGGAGACCCGGGTTCGATTCCCGGACAACGCATCTATATCATCCTAATCACTTCCCCGGAAGCGGATAAAATATTTGTTGTGCATCATTCCAATTGATAATGAATTATATCTACCATTCTCTGATGCTACTTTTAATAGGTTATTTAACAAGTTTGTTCTATTATACAGTAAAATTACTATTTTTTTACCATCTAGTACCAAACTTAAAGATTAGTATATATCTTTTATATTTTTAATTTATTAAAGTTAAATAATATATTAGGAATAAGTACAAAGTAAGATGTATTCAAATATATAAGTCTTAATTTAAAAAAATAAAAATAAAAAATAAAAAAAAATAAAAAAGAAAAAAAATTATAAACTCAAACATGACAATTATTTAGTATTGTTTGAAAACAAGATAATTATTTATTTTATTTTATTCTTTAAAAATAATAAATTTAATAAAATATTATATATACATTTATAAAGTCTATAACAGAGATACTTAGACAAAGAATAGTAGATAGTTTCAATAGAGGTGACTCACAAGCACAGATAGCTCGAACTTTTGGAGTTAGTAGAGGAACAGTAGTAAATAGAATTAAAAGATTCAAACAAATAGAATCTTTGAAAGATAGAGTAAGAACAGGTAGACCAAGAATATTCAGTGACAGAATCAGAAGAGCAATAGTCAGATTTTTGTTAATTCGAGAATGTATGACCGTTCCCCAAGTGCAACAATGTATCGAGAGATGATTCAATAGGCTCGTTTCTATTAGCCAGATTCACAGAAAATATTTTCTGTGAATCCATCAACAATTTCTTGTATACAAACCTCTGTCGAAAAAACATGATTTGACACCGGCTGCAATCAAGGCAAGGTTGGCTTTCGCCAAAGAACATCGTCACTGGACAGTCGACCAATGGAAGCACTGTATATTCACCGATGAGTCTACAATCGAATCAAATCCTAAGAATTACAATCAATATGAATGGAACAGACTTGGTTGCAACAGATTCGAGAGAGTTTACAGGATGAGGAGATACCTGCGAAGGAAGTTTAATTTTTGGAGTTGTGTGACACCAGTCGGAACAGGCTATCTTGCTGAAATCGAAGGAACTTGGAAAACCAACAATATATAGAGATTCTCCAAAATCAAAACGTCGATTCTATTCAGCTTTATCGTGGAAACGTACGACAATATATTCTAGTTCAAGACAATTGTCCAGTTCATACCGCCAATAATGTGGTCAACTTTATGAGAGCTCGAAGTTTAAAAAATCTATTCATACCGGCATACTCACCAGATATTAAAATCATCGAGAACCTATGGGGAATAGTTAAAAAGAAAGTAAAGAATCACATGTACAGTCACCCTGGCGCGGATATGATGGAGGTGATCTGTGAGATATGGGAGGATATTGACCTACAATTAATTGACCATTTATATGAATCACTTCCAAACCGAATGGATGCTATTATACAGACAAAAGGCAAATGGACCATATATTAAATAAATTATTTTTTTTAAAAATTATTTTTTATTCAAAACATCAACTGTCACCATTCCGTACTAAATAATTGTCATGTTTGAGTTTATAACTTTTTTTCTTTTTTATTATTTTTTATTTTTTATTTTTATTTTTTTAAATTAAGACTTATATATTTGAATACATCTTACTTTGTACTTATTCCTAATATATTATTTAACTTTAATAAATTAAAAATATAAAAGATATATACTAATCTTTAAGTTTGGTACTAGATGGTAAAAAAATAGTAATTTTACTGTATTTATTTTTGGACAACTGCAAATCATTATTTATTTGTTAATCTTTTTGTTTTTTTAATATGTCGATTTATAATATCGTAAGCTTTAAAAAAAGATGGATGTTCTCTTTGAATCTCTTTTAGTAGCTCTGTTGTTGTAGACATGTTGTTTAATACCCATTCTAACGATTCGAATTGATCTTCGTTTATGAATCTCGAAATAACTGTTTTGACATCAATAGATTTGATATTGTATTGTGTTGGATGTTCGAGTAGCCATCGGAGGACTTTCAACTTTGAATAGGATGATTTCAACTTATTGTTTGTGCATAGCTCTGGCAATGTCACGTGAAACCATTTCATTATGCCAAGACACTCATTCTCAATGGCCAGATCCATTATTTCTCTTGAGAATCCAAATCGGTTGTTCACACCATTCTTTGAGTACAAGTATTTGACGGTTTCCAACTTTTTTTTGCCTGGTTCTATGATCACATGCAGTATATCATCGCTGAGTGTTATCTCTATACCGGGTTGTTGTTCGAACCATTCAAGCATCTCAACATGTCCACACGTTGCAATGGTATCGAAAAATATATCTGAATAGCGTTCGGTACGATTGGTGTATAGGAATTTCACCACTTCCAATTTACCATCGATTCCAGCGTTCTCGTATGCCTGATCAGTACATCCTTCACTTCTATTCTCGTGCAAAAACTGAATGATCTTGAGTGTAGTTCCATCTTCTACCTTATCAAAGATAGAATCGTATTCGATTTCATTACAACAAAAGTCCATAGCTCTAGTTGTGCAACCTTCACTTCTATTATAATGCAACCATTTAACAACATGGAGGTGGCCATTTACTGAAGCTTCATCCATAGCTTTACTTGAACATCCTTCAGTTCTATTTTCATTCAACCACCTAACCATTTCCAAGTTACCGGCTTTAGCTGCTCTGTTCATTGATGATTGTGAACATTGATAGGTTGTATTGGAATGCAGCCATTTCAGTAAATCTAAATTGTTTGTATCAACTGTATATTCCATTATTCTCTTGGTAATTTTCATTCCATTTTTAACCAACAGTTGAAAAGTTTCAGGACTATGATTTGTACTATACACAGAGTATGCAGAGTTTTCAAAATTAAAGAGTTGTCGGTGTTCTTTAAAGAGGTATTCCAACAATGCCAAGTGGTTTCCACTCTTGTTGTGAAGTAGCGCAAACTCCAACAAGTCAGAGTGCTGCAAATCCTCCAATCGATTTGCCATCAGCCATTCGATCATGTTGATACGACCGACTCTGGCAGCAGTCTCGAACGCATAGGTATGATAGAAAGATGTCGGTGAACTCTCCGATTGATCTTTCATTTTGATTGTCAGGAATTTCAATAGCTCCAAATTGCCTGAATACGGTGCTTCGGTGAGTGCCCGGTGAAAATCGAAATACATTAGACCGAATCTGTCGATCACGTAGTGAATGATATCGAGCCGATTGTACCTCGCTGCATGTGCAGAGAGATGACTGATAATGATTTTCTCAGATGTAACTTGGAGTCTTCGATCGATCTGAAAGTAAGCCAAAAGGTATTGAAACATGTCAAAGCTTCCACCTTTGATTGCACACGCCACTATCGAGTCGATATCACCAAATATCTCTTGACTGTTTGTCGGTATTGGATTACTCTTATCCATTAGATAGCTTTTTAACAAATCGAAATAGTCATATCTTGCCAACAGATTTGGAAGTTTCAAAACTTCACACCACTTGTAAGACTTCCTTTCAAATCTACAATTTAATTGATTTACTTTGATGAATATTAAATTTTTAATAACTTTATTATTAAATAATATTGAAAATAATATATTATCCATGTTTATTTAAAAAAAAAAAAAATTTAATGATCAGCTGATGCACCATTGCAAATTTGGCAACAAAGAAAGAATGGTTCAATAAAAATCTGATCGAAATCTAGTATAATTTAAGAAAGTTTAATGATCATATAAATATATATATTTTGTACTTTTGATACCATTGAAGTCAGTAAGTGATGAAACCTAATCAGAAGAACACAGTGAAACAACATGTAAGTCAATTGTCTAGATTAATTCTGTAATTCAAGTAGTGTTAAATATATATATTAATAGATTATACCTACCAACAATTTTATAGTGTTCTGTTGATATTCGAGACATATAGACAACTTGTGATTCTTCGGATACTTAATTGGGATATTGTTTGAAAGAGTATTCCTGTATTTGTGTGAATATAAGTTCTATTAAGTACAAATATGGGAAATCTCTAAACTATCATTTATTTACATATATTTCAAAAGGGTAATCATTTATCTCATATATGTCCCAGGCGTATTTAGTATAAGAATTTACAAAGCTATTTGTATGTCTCCAGATCAATATGTTGCGATATTAAGAAATTCAACCTATCTTTGGTCTCTATGCCATTGTTTTTGTTCGACAAAGCAATACAAGTAAAGTATTTCAAGGATTTGATGTTTTACACTATAGCATCCAACAGAACATGATCAATCCTATCAGTTCTTTATAAAGCCTTATAAGGCGAAACTTCTTTCAAAACTGTATTGACAACAAAATAAACTCTGTATTCTTCAAATTCTATAAAATGCCTAAATTTTATCTAATTCAAGAATTGTTATCATAAAATAATTAATAGTTGAACAGTGTTTTTACAAATAAATTAATGAAGTTGATTTTTTGTTTTTTTTTTTGTTGAAGAACTTTCAATAATAAAATTAAAATTTATTAAATATATAAACAAACTAATTTAGAAAGAAGAATAAGAAAGAATGTCAGATGATGATGATGACGAATGGGTTGAAGCACCTACAACAACAGATCATTCAAGTCAAAAAGAAAAGAAACATAAAGAAAAAAATAGCAAGAAGAAACATAAAGAAAAAAATAGAGATAGAGATAGAGATAGAGAAAGAGAAAGAGGAGATAATCATAAGAAAAGAAGTAAACAACATAAAAATGATGACGATGATGATGTAGTTGATGATAGTAAAAAGAAATTGAAAATAGATAATAATGATAGTAAAGATAGCGATAATGCTACTGGTGTTGGTGGTAGTGGTGGTGGTGGCAGAGATGATTGGATGAATATGGAATCGTCTTCATGGCTATCAGGTTCTAAGTCACACAACGATGTCAAACGTGAGTTGATGCAGCAAGCCAAAGACGAAAAGAATGCACTTGCCGATAAACTATCAAAGACTGCCGGACTTGTAGATCCTGAGCTATTTATGAAACAACATCAACAACAACAACAACAACAATCTACAGATAAAACAACGACAACAGCAACAGCAATACCTACAAGTAGCAAAAGTGACACTGATAAATCATTTCTGGTTGGAGATGGCGGTGCATCTTGGAGAGCAAAGAAATTACTTAGAGCACAACAACAAGCATCAGAATCTGGTGAATCGGTTAACACTGTTCTAAAAGAGAGATTAAGTGAAAATGAAATAGAGAATATCACCAAGACAAGCAATAAAAATAATTATAGCAATTATAATAAAAATAGTAACAGTCAAAGAAGTAATAATAACCCTAGAGATTACTTAAGAAAGGAAGAAGATGATAACATTAGTTTGAAAATGAAGAAACCAAGTAATGACTCTAAGCTATTCTGGAGTCCTGGTTCAAATAGAAGACATTCTAGCGGTGAGCATACCGATAGAGATACTTATGATAGAGATAGAAGAGATAGAGATAGAGATAGAGATAGAGACAGAGAAAGAAGTGATAGAGACAGAGATAGAGATAGAAGTAATAGAGATAGAGACAGAGACAGAGATAGAGACTATAAAGACAGAGACAGGGGTGATAATGATAAAAAGAGAGATAGAGACTATAGAGATGGAGACAGAGATAGAGACTATAAAAACAGAGACAGAGACAGAGATAATGACAAAAAGAGGGATGGAGACTATGGTGATAAAGATAAGGTTAAGGAAATTAAACCTGTTGTCGAGGTTGTTAGAACTGAACAACCTTCATATGCAGAACTATTCCCACATTTAGCAAAGAACAAAGTTAGTGAAAAAGAAGAGTCAAAGAAGAATCAGAATGAAGATTCACCAAGTTCAACAACAGCAGCAGCAGTAGTAACATCGACAACATCAACGACATCAACAACAAGATCCACTAATACAACAACAACAACAACACCTATCAACTTAAATAAATTAAATGCAGAGATGCTAAAAGCAAAGATGATGGGAGATAAAAATAAAATGGAGAAACTACAGAAACAGATAGATGAATATAAAGAACAACAACAACAGAATAATAATAATAATAATAATAATAATGAAAGAAAAGAAAATGAAAATAGAATAGAAGGTAGTAATCAAGTAAAGATATCTGGTTTGGATGAATTCGGTAAGAAGATTTATATGAAGGAATCGACCAGTAAGCTTAGCTCTAGACAGGAAGAACATTTCGATAAGAATGGTGAAAGATTGAAATATTATGATGATGACGATAAGGTTGATCTTGACACGCTTGTGGCGCGTGAGAAGCGTGGAACCGCCGGAAACATGGACTATGAATTCTTGAATACCATCTCCAAGGCAGAGAAGTGGGCACAGGATGACCGCGATGACTACGGTCCAGAGATGCAAGCGGGCAGCAAACAATCGAAGCGCAGACAACAGGAGAAGGAGAGTCGTGATGTCGATAAATTCAAACAGCAACTGGTCAATTCCGACCGGCGCGTCAACAGCGCGCTGGAGCGGTGCTGGCATTGTCCGGCAAGCAAGCAGTATCAACGCCACATGACAATTGCAACCGGACATCACATGTATCTATCGTTGCCAACGCGAAACTCGCTCGTCAATGGACACTGCCAGATCGTGCCGCTACAACATTCGCTCGCGTCAACTGCGATCGACGAAGAAGCATGGGACGAACTCAACAACTTTCGCAAGTGTTTGATTCAGATGTTTGCCGAGCAGGACAAGCAGGTCGTATTCATGGAGACGGCAATGCGATTCAAGCAACAGTATCATATGGTCGTAGATTGCATCCCACTGAGGAGTAACGACGCCACTAGCGCACCGGCATTCTTTAAGAAGGCACTGATGGAGTCAGAGTCGGAGTGGTCCAACAATCGACTGATCGACTCTGTCAAGAAAGGTGGATTACGTAATAGCATACCGCAGAACTTCTCTTATTTCTGGGTGGAATGTGGCTATAAACAGGTGGGATTCGTTCATCCCATAGAGAATGAAATCAAATTCCAGCGAGACTTTGGTAAGAATGTAATCGCAGGAATGTTAGATCTCGACCTCGATGAACTTCATTCCAAGAGAAAGAGTTATCAAGAGGAAGAAAGATATTCAAATCAATTTAAATCTCAATTCTCTGATTTCGATTGGACAAAACAATTAGAATAGGAAAATAAATAATAATGTTAACATAAATCTAATATATAATAATATAATATCACAGTTTATTTAATTGTTCTTTAACATCTTCTTTTACATCTTCTTCTTCTTCTTTTTGTTGTTTTATTAGTTGTAGGTGTTTATTATCTATTTTATTTACATTATCTATAAATTGTTTATCATTCTCTAATAAATTTGAATTAATTGTCGATATATCTTTAAGTAACACTAAATTATCAAGATTGTTGTTGTTGTTGTTGTTGTTGTTGTTATTGATATTATTGTTGTTGTTATTATTTTCATTTGATGAGTGAGTAGATCTACTATTTTGTATATTTTGTTTTAAGTTGATCAGTTCTTGTTTTCTTCTTTCAAACTCTTGTGTATATTTTTTAAACTCTGATTCAATCTCTAATTTATATTTAACTAAATCATCTTTTAACAATTCTTTCTTTTTCTTAATCTCTAAGCTTTTTTCTTTCAAATCTTCATCTTTTTGATCATTTGTATTATTCATTCTTATACTAGATAAATGATGATGATCATAAAAATAAGCAAGCACAAATATCAGTTAAGAATTATCAGATTTAAATGAAAAAAAAAGCCAAAAAAATTTAGAAAGTATTCTCATAAAAAACTATAGAGTTTATATAAATTGAATTTTCTTATTCATTAATTTTATTAGTTATTAGAATTCAGCAGTATTAGCTAGATTCCATACTCGTATCTTCTATATTTAAATTTAAGAGAATATATAGTCCAATTATCTTTATTCAAAATAAAGATAAATAATATTTACAACACGCAATGGATAAAACAATATTTTCAAATATATTTAATAATATCATTTTAAATAGAATCATATTCAATAATGTTCATGAATTGAACTGTAGATTTAATAAAAAGTCTTTTAAATGGTGTGAAGTTTTAAAGTTACCTTGCCTGTTGGCTTCCCGTAATTATTTAGATCAACTAAAGATCTATCTAAATGATGATAGCAATCCAATATCAACAAAAAACAATGATATTTTTCCTGAAGGAAAAATCGTAGATGAAGCAATCAGAGGTGGAAGTTTGGAGATGTTTGAATATCTTATCAACTACTTTCATATCGATCATAATCTCAAATACAAATCGGAAACAATCATAGTTAGTGAACTCCTCCTGGTGAGTGCAACGAAGCACGATCGTTTCGATATAATTCACTACCTATTGGACAGATTCAAAACAATGGAATTCAATTTCAAGCTTGCATATTCATATTCACCTTTTTCTGGAAACTTGGAGCTTATGAAATTCTTATCTGCTAAAGCAGATGAGAGCACTTTTGAAGAGGAATATTTTGGTGCTACAAAAAGAAATGTATTTGACGCTGCTACAGCGGTTGGAAACATTGGTTTAATAGAATGGTTGTTTGCCAACCGCACACAAGATATCCAAGGCTCTGACATGTTGAAAACAGCACTTAAATTTAGAAATAATACAAATATGGTAGAATACTTGTTGACAGAACACAAACATACCTTTAATTTTGAGGAGAACAAGTTTATACCATCTCATTATGTTTCAAGGGAAAACCATGAATTTTTTGAAATGTTGGTTCGAAATGGTTGCATTATTTCCGATGAAATAATGGATCATGCTATTGATGAAAACAACCTCGATCTTGTCAAATGGTTACATTACAACACAACATACCAATGTTGTTGGCAAACAATCGACAAAACTGCTAAAGCAGGTAACTTGGATTTGTTAAAGTGGCTGAATGAAAATAGAACTGAAGTTGCTTCAACTGATGCAATGGATTATGCTTCAGCAAATGGCCACCTCCATGTTGTTAAATGGTTGCATTATAATAGAAGTGAAGGTTGTACAACTAGAGCTATGGACTTTTGTTGTATGGAGAAAGACTATTTTGGTAATGAAGACTATAATAATGACAAGACTCCATTGGAAATCATCAAGTTTTTGCATGAAACTAGAAGTGAAGGATGTACTGAGGATGCACTCAACAGTGCAGCGATCGAAGGCAACCTAGAAGTGGTGAAATTCCTTTACAACAATCGTACTGAACGATATTCAGATGATGTGTTTGATGAAATCGCATTGAATGGACAACATCAAATACTAGAGTGGTTCGATCAGCAAGAAGATACAGATATGATATTCAGTGAAGATATTCTTCTTCATATCGTCCAATCAGGATATTTGAACGTTCTCAAATTCTTGTATTCAAAGAATGGAGAGGAAAACAGATTTGGATTCACAACAGAGATAATGGATCTTGCAATTATGTATGAACATCTCGATATCATGATATGGCTTTATGAGAATCTACCGGAAATAACCAAAAACCCTAGCTTGAGCAAAACTTACTATTGCAATATGGAAGTCTTTCAATGGTTGGTCGAACATTATGGTCAAAACAAAATTATCAAATCGATTAATCTTTCATATTTCCTCAAATTTATTGATAATCAAAAAGATATGAAATTCTTATTAAACATGCTTTCAACAGATTACTTGAATCAGCTGATAACAATTCAAAAAGAAATGGAGTCAGAATATATAGCTTTCATAATTCTCGATACATTGAAAAAACATATTAAAATCATGAAAAAAATGAAAATAAATAATAAAATTTCTATCTAAATAAAAATTAATATTTTCAATTTTTAATAAAGTGTTGGTGGAAACAGAGATACCACCAGTGGAAACTCAAAATTAATATGGGTGGAAACAGAATAGACACCACTAAAATAATTGTAAAAAAAAAAAAAAAGTAAATTGTTCATTTTTAAATTATTTATAATTAATTAATAGAAATAAATGTATAATTTACCAAATTATATTCAAAAAGAAATTATATATTATTGTATCGATGATAATTGTAATGTATTTGAATGGAAGATCACTCTAGGATTGGTATCAAAAGATTGGTTTCAGTATGTAAAGCAAGCATTGTCACAATCGATCAATGTAGAGTTTGATCTTTACGACAGTACACACATCGAGCATATGTTTCTAGATCACTGTTTGTTGTCTGGTTGCACGTCGATGACCATAGAGATAAGATATGCAAGACTATATAAACCGATTCCTACACTTGCACGGCTACACCAACTGCTTGCGTTGTCGCGCATCCATCATTTAAACATCCGACTTGCAAGCTGTCTACAGACGATCGGCGAGTTGGTTCCAACGATAAACCGATACGTTCGTACACTCGCATTCGTCGGACAGAACATAATGAATCAAGAGGTTCTCGATATCCTGACGTCACTGACCATACCGGTAATCAAGTATCCGACACTCGATTACAAGAGTTGTCGGTTCGGTGGTAGCACCGGTACTTTCACCGACTCGTTCAACTCGATACTCTTTCAGAAGCTGGTGGATCTCGAGGAGTTGCGAATCCGCTACGAACCGGAACTAGAGAATATCTTTCATAGAATCGATTGTCCAAAGATAAAGTCGTTGATGTTCCAGTGTCACCCCTATGACATACCTATGGAGTTACTGGGTGAATTACTCGATCGATCGCCACATCTAACACAACTGTCGATCATAGATCAAGTCAATTTCAACCAGAATGCAAACCAGCTGCACAACTATCGACTTCTCTTGGAACACATCACACAGAATCAAACTATAACCGAGCTTACCATAGACACAATGATCTACGATGACTTTCTGATACACCGATTACTACCTAAATCAACTTTAAAATCATTATCCATTCATCAGTTAACAAAGAATACAATAAGCAATGAAGAAGAACAACAACAACAAGTATTAGATAATAATGACAATAACAACAACAACAATAACAATTATGATAATAATAATAACCAAGTTATTGTGATAAACAAATCGATTAGATATTTAGAATTAGAAAGTCAAAATTTCGATTCAATCATCATACAGAACCCGGTTTTATACTTTAGTAACATACATAGTCTGCGTTTGGTTTGCAACGATAAAGAGATTCACTGTGACTTTCAGTATTTGGCGAATGAAGATTGCACTATATCAGAGATAGTTATCGATCAGTATGTTGTATCACATCATCAGCTGTCATTCTTTGAGAAACTGGCACTCAACAAATCAATCAAGAAGCTAGTCTATTTGACATCGAGTTATAAGAAACCAATAAAATGGATGGAACAAGCAATACAATTATTAGATTCCAATCAATCGATTCTACTCATACGCATGTGTGATGACAAACTAAGCAAACATCTCGATAAATCGAAAATTTACAATCCATGTAAATCGGGTAGATATTTAAAAGATTATACACGATCAAAATCATATCTATAGACCAATCAATAAATAAATTTTTGATAATACAAGAGTGGTGTGTTGTAGGTGTGAGTGTGTTGTGGTGTTTACTATATCAAAATGAAATAATTGTTGATTGATGAACATTATGATATTGGTGTGTTATGAATTTAACTCATAGTTTAATTCATTTTAGATATATCAAATTAAGCAAAATAATGACAATATTTGAATATATCAAATAGTAAGAATGACAATACTTCAAAATCATATCTATAAAAAAATAATAGAATATCTATGGTTTGAAAATAAAAAGAATAGAAGGTTTGCTCGATCACTTAGTATGATCAATTGGTACTTTCACGGTGTCATTTGTTCGCTGAATACAAAGTTTAGTGGTAGATACAAAAGAATAGAAAAGTTGTTGAACCATCATTACCAGAAACCAAACTCAAGAGATAAGCTTAACAGGTGTGCACTCTTTAACAATTTGACGGAATTGGATTGTGCTACCGGTGCACTCAGAGATGTCAGTATGGATGCTCTAAAGATGATCGCTCCGAATCTTCGTTCTCTAAAGTGTGGTCACGGCGACATCAGGATGATGATCAAGCTCGGAGTTAAACCAGAGTATTTCAGTTGTCCAGTAAGTTGCACCTACGACGATGAATACTATGACATCAAACTGTTGTCACCGCTCGGCTTGAAACGTTTGAGAATTGGCGCGGAAAGAGATTCTTTCGATCACTCCAAGACCTACAATCTGTACATTCCGTTCGCAAAGTATCTGTTTTTCGAAGGCAATTTCAACCAGCTCACCTACCTGGAGTTGGCCGACAGCAACGAAGAAACCGGTGACTTTTGTTTCTTCTTGATGGGCGACAAGTATTCACCGATGGTATTCGAAGGTCTGCTGAATTTGAAGGTGTTGGAACACTTGCTATTCCGCTTCAACTTGTTTTTCGATCGTGAACCAGTCGATGCTACACCGGCATTCCAAGTGCAGCTGATCAACTACCTCAAGAAACACCGAATTCTCAAGAGTTTCCACATCGATTGTGAATTCAATGATGGAGCGAAATGCGTAGAGTTCCTCTTGCAGGACACAACGATCGAACGACTCTCCATGGATTGTATCGACTATTGCTCGCTGGTATCGAGAAACAACTTGTACAAGATGAAGACATCGGTAAACGACCGAAAGTTAGAGATGCTCGCTCGTGTTCACCACTTGAAACTTGGTCGCGACCTCGATAATACATTCAAAGGAATCACCAGACTCTTAAATAGACAACAACAATATGGATTCAAGGCAGACAGAGTTTTGAAATGCAGCGTCAAAATGACAGGTGATCAAATCGAACCGGAATTCATTGAAACTCTCAAGAATAACAGATCAATACGTAGATTGTACCTAAATATCCGTGATCCAACTGACAAAACAGCAAACTTTAAATTTATTAAACAAATCAATGATATCATTCAAGAACATCCTACCATCGCAAATAAATCAAAGTGGTTTTATCAATAGCACAATATTTGGATAATTAAAACAATGATAAATAAATAAAAAATAAATTTAATAAAATTTTACTTTTTTTTTTTTTTTTTTTCAAATCAAACAAAAGAAAATCAAATAAAAAAGTGATCTTGCAATTTGTTTTCAAATAAAATGGATAAATCATTATTTTTATCATTATTCAATAATATTGTATTAAATAAATTAATATTTAGTTTATTAAGATGTCAGTGTAAATCATCTAGTTGTAAAGTTTATAGTTGGAGTGTTATGATTAAAAAACCACATGTTTTGGCAGGAAATGGTTATCTTGATCTGTTGAAACAGTGTAGACATAGATATCATAGTAGTATCAGAGGTTTAATTTTTAACTTTTTTAAAAAGGATCCAATGTATCGAACTCTAGTCAATACCACCAAATCATCACATCCAAACTCCTTACCAATTCTAAAGTATCTAATCGAAGAAATCGGTATCGATTTGGAGATACTTTTGGGTGAAAACACCAGAGCAAAATATACACCCAAAGATCTTTTATACTATGCATCGAGATATGATAGATTAGAGATTTTAAAATATTTCGACAGTGTACTCCAAAAAAATCGAATTGACCTCAATCGAAAGGGATATTTAGTTACTTACGAAGATGCATTCATAGTATCGCCATTCTCACATAATATCGATATAATGGCATTTCTGTTGGATAAAATCAGTAATCATCCTCTTGTGACAAAGGCATTCGACTCTGCTGCAAGAGTTGGGAGAATAGATATGATTGAATGGTTGGCTAAACATAGACCACAAGATAGAGTTGGCAATTTTATGTTTGATCAAGCGGTTCGTGGAAATCACATCGATTTGGTAAAATACCTCAGAAAAGAGAATAAAGATAGAGATGAATATCCAGAAGACAACATTTTCTTAATAGACACAGCTGCTGAATGTGGTCATTTCGATCTTTTGAAACAATTACATCAAATGAATTATAATGGAACAACAAAGGCAATGGATTTAGCTGCATCAAACGGACACCTCGAAATTATTGAATGGCTTCACCACTTTCGAGATGAAGGAGCTACAGTATTAGCAATGAATGGTGCTGCTAAGAATGGACACAAGGATCTGGTTGAATGGCTCCACTATAATAGAACAGAAGGCTGTTTGAGCTATGCAATGGATGATGCCGCAACTAATGGACACCTTGGTATAGTCCAGTTTCTTCATATTAATCGTACAGAAGGTTGTTCACATGAAGCATTTGATGGTGCTGCCAAAGGACATCTTAATCTAGTCGAGTTTCATCATCACAACAGAACTGAAGGATTTACAACGACAGCACTTGATCTATCTTCAAATAACGGACATTTGCACGTGGTGGAATGGATTCTTGAAAACCGAACCGAAGGCTGCACTATTAGAGCATTGGTGTTTAGCAAAGATAAAAAGATTAAAGCATCATTGACCAAGAAAAAACCAATAATTATTATTATCGATTTTTTGTACATTTTTTTACTTCAAATGTTCGTTATTCTTTTAGCATGGACCATCTACCAATTTTATTCTAAAGGTAAAATCTTTAATTTTTTATTCATTCCAGTAGCTCTCTATATTTTATATAAATGTGAATGTTGGCTAATGCATTTGAAACTTTGAGTCTATTTCATTCATACAAAGAATATTATAAAATAAATTATTTAAATCACCAATAGCTATTAGTCTTTAAACTTTATAAATTTTATACTTTATTCCAAATGTTGCAACAAAGTTGCATTTTTTTTGTGTTGTTGTCTGTTAATTATTTAGATTAATATATTGTTGGTATTGATAACAATAGTAGTAGATTGAATAAAAGTAGTGTCGGTGGTGATAGAAGCTGATCGATAAGCGATGGCTATTTGTTGGCAGTTGGTGCACATTGGGTCGTTAAGGTATCGTTCACACCTGTACTCTGGTATCATGCATTTACTCTGGTTGTCACGAGTTCATAATTGTTATAAATGGTCTGTTAATTTAATAATAGATAAGATGTATCATCTGATGATAACTCTTGCTTTGAAAAGAGTAATATGAAGAATTTTCATACTCTGTGAACTATCGCTTGAACTCAAGGGTGTAATTTCATATTATCAAAACAAAAACCAAACCTATAAAATGAAATAACATGAGTGAACAGCCTAACAAAAGTTATTTATAACATATAAAGATAAAATTGTTAAATATATATATATATGTAACGTTTGATTTTTTGATATAGTTTTATAACAAAACCTAACTCAGTTAATAATTGTTGGAGTTGATGTGCAGCTTCCATACACTGAATAGGCGAGTTTCCAATTATTAACATGTCGTCGAGATAAATAATTATTTTTATACCTTTTCTTCTTAGTGACGCGATTACCGGTTTCAATAACTCTGTAAATACTCTGGGGGCTGAAGACAGACCTAACGGCATTGCTCGGAATCGATAATGCTCTTTCCCATTCGAATCGAAGGTAATCTCTGAACTTCTTGTCTACTAATATGTGATGATAAGCTTTTCAGGATTGACTAGAAATCCTTCTTTCTCTTTTAATTCTATTGCAAAATATGTGGAATCCAATAAATCAAATAAATAAATACCAAAAAGTGATAGATTGTATTAAAAGTCAATTATCGTTTACGTTTATTGGTAGAATTTTTTGAAAATGAACTTGTTGAATTATTACCATAAGATGTATAATTTTCTAACTTGGTTAGATGAGCATTGATTTTCATGTGGTATAGTATCAGTACAATCATCATTGTAAGTAACATTTGGCAATTTTGTTTGTAAATTGGCAGGTAATGCATGTGTAGATGTTCTAACTCTTTTTTGTTTAGCTACCATAGGTTGAGTAGTGTTGGAACTTAAGCAGGTCTGAAACATTTGAAGAAGAGTTTGGTACAGGTGTAGCATTTAGAGCAAGAGTAACTGATAGAGAAGGTGGTGTAGATGTAGTAATTTTCTTGGTCTTCCATGCTTTGCAGGTGCAGGTTCAAGTGTTGAAGTTTGTACATTTCCAAACATAGTTTGGGATTTGGCAATGAACTTTTCGTGGAGAGTGGCCTTATCCTGATTTGATAAACTAAGACGCCGAAGTTTACTGTCTGTGGTTGAACACAACACCGTATTCTTAAACATCTGTTTGACAGGGCAATGAACACATGCAGAAAGCAAGGATACTGTATCTTTGAATCACATTCGAAAACAGGAGGTTGCACTTGGCCATATAGCTTACCATTGACTTCTCCACCAATATCCTTCAATGCTTTCGGTGAAAAGACTGGCATCATATGTTCGTGACCAACTATCTTACTACCTTGAGGTTCAAGTTTGAACTTGACATCGCCAACCTCTACATTTGAACTGTAGTCTCTTAAGAGACTCCAAATGTCGATTGCCCCTTGTTAATTTGTCACAAACAATTCGATGTCATCCATATTACAGAAACACCACATGCATTTAAAAAAACACCTTTGGATTGAACACTTCCTCTAGACCTTGCAACTCAGTGAAACACTTGTAATCATTGACAAAGACTATGTCAACTTTGTACGTATGTCCACCCACAACAATCTTCTTTTCTTTTACCCATTTATTTATTACATCTACTAATGGTTTTAATTGTTTCATAAACAAATCATAGCTTTCCTTGCCATGGTATAGAAGAAAAGGTTGTTGGCTTGCTCATATTAGATTTGGCCTCGATTGCCTCTCGAAGTTTCTCAAACATAGTTTCCTGCTTTTAATGTTGGAGTTGCAAAGCGCGTCATTTTAAAGAATAGTTATTGTGGAGGAAGAAAAAGGGGGTTTCTGCGATTTTATTATTTTTTTCAATTTTTGATTTATTTTTAATACCAAACCCATATTAAAAATAAATCAAAAATTGCAGGAAAAAGGGGTTTCTGCAATCAGACCAAAATGCTGTGCACAATAAAGAGCCTTTTTTTTTGTTTGGTTAATTTCAAAATGATAAATAAAAAATAAATTTAATTTAACAAATCCATTACTTTTTTTTTTTGCAAATCAAACAAAAGAAAGTCAAATAAAAAGTGATCTTGCAATTTTTTTTCAAATAAAATGGATAAATCATTATTTTTATCATTATTCAATAATATTGTATTAAATAAATTAATATTTAGTTTATTAAGATGTCAGTGTAAATCATATAGTTGCAGAGTATATAGATGGTGTGAAATGGTTAAAAAACCACAGGTAATGGCAGGCAATGGTTATCTTGATCTGATGAAACAGTATCGATATTTCATTTTTCAAAAAGATAAAATGTATCGAACCCTGGTTAATACAATCAAATCATCACATCCAAACTCCTTCGTGATTCTAAGGTATCTAATCGAAGAAATCGGTATCAATCCAGAGATAATTTTGGGTGCAAAAACAAAACAAAAGATTAAACCCAAAGATCTTTTATACTATGCATCCAAATATAATAGATTAGACATTCTAAGATACTTTGACATTATACTCGTAGCAAAATCAAGAGAACTCGATAAACAAGGATTTCATGTTGATTACCGACCTGCATTCATAGTATCGCCATTCTCACATAATATCGGTGTAATGGCCTTTCTTTTGAATAAAATCAGTAGTCAACAGGTTGTAACAAAGGCATTCGACTCTGCTGCAAGAGTTGGGAGAATAGATTTGATAGAATGGTTGGCTGAACATAGACCACAAGATAGAGCTGGTAATTTTATGTTTGATCAAGCTGTTCGTGGAAATCACATCGATTTGGTAAAATACCTCAGAAAAGAGAATAAAGATAGAGATGAATATCCAGAAGACAATATTTTCTTAATAGACACAGCTGCTGAATGTGGTCATTTAGATCTTTTGAAACAATTACATCAAATGAATTATAATGGAACAACCAAGGCAATGGATTTAGCTGCATCAAACGGACACCTCGAAATTATTGAATGGCTCAATCACTTTCGAGATGAAGGAGCTACAGTATTAGCAATGAATGGTGCTGCTAAAAATGGACACCTTAGAATTGTTGAATGGCTCCACTATAATAGAACAGAAGGTTGCTCGAGCGTTGCAATGGATGATGCCTCTACCAATGGACACCTTAAAATTGTTGAATTTTTACATAATCATAGATTTGAAGGATGTTCAATAATTGCGATGAATGGAGCTGCATCTAATGGACACCTTGATCTTGTCGAGTTTCTTCATATTAATCGTATAGAAGGTTGTTCACATGAAGCATTTGATGGTGCTGCTGCCAAAGGACATCTTAATCTGGTCGAGTTTCTTCATCATAACAGAACTGAAGGATTTACAACGAACGCACTTGATCTATCTTCAAAAAACGGACATTTGCATATCGTAGAATGGCTTCTTGAAAACCGAACCGAAGGCTGCACTCTTGAAGCAATGGTGTTTAGCAAAGATAAAAAGATTAAAGCATCATTGACCAAGAAGAAACCAAAACTCTATTATTACGAAATTTTGTACGATCTTGTAATTTTATTCTTCTTTATTTTTATTGGATGGACCTTCTACCAATTTCAATATAAAGAAGGTATCAATAAGATTATATTCATTATTATCATATTTATTTTCTTTAAGTGTGGTAGTTGGTTATTGAATAAGAAATTTTGAGTCTATCTCAAACACACAAAAAGAATAAAAAATTAAAATTACATAGCTATATTTAAAAGTATACATACTATTAGTCTTTAAACTTGTTCAAGATTTATTTTTACTTTTAATTAATCCAAATGATGCATCAAAGATAAAAATGTAATAAATTTTGAGTTGTTTATTGTTTAGATTAATATATTGATGGTAATGATAACAATAGTAGTAGATTCAATAAAAGTAGTGTCGGTGATGATAGCTGATCGATGAGCGATGGCGAGCTGTTGGCTGTTGGTGCACATTGTGGATCTTTAAGGTATCGTTCACAACTGTACTCTGGTATCATGCATTTACTCTGGTAGTCACACAGTTCTTGAGTACAGTGCTGGGTCTGACATGATCTCGGACTATAAGGATTTTGAATATCCATAATACACTGGTTGGTCATCAAACATGCATAGTAAGCATGATAGGCCTGTGAACAATTCAATCCAATCTTGGTGACCTGTTGACATTTTCCTTCAAACTGTGTTACATTATTACAAATACATTTCTCAATGCCAATAAAGCAGACCGTATCATCCAGACAATACACCTTATTACTATCGACATGTGGTTTATACTTTGTACATATTCCATTCTTACACTATATTATAATTAAATAAAGAATGGTTAATCAACTTTATATTGTATTTTTTGTTTTGTTTTCTTTTTTGTTTTATGTTTATATAACTTACACCCAAACCTTTACCGATATCACAAGATATATCATTATTACATGGATCACCTTCTGATCTTGAGTAGGCAGGTCTACAAATGGTGTCGTTGAAACCACCGCTGCAGATCGATCCTGGATAGCAGTGAGGTTCTAGTGGATCGCATTCATCACCATCGGTAATCAAAGGGGTACAAACTTTCTTTTGACTACAGAACTTGCCGTATGGACATGAATAAGTTGTACACATCTGCGGTGTATGATCACATGTATTATTCATACAATCTAAACCAGTCGAACATTCTTCAGGTAAATAACATTCTTCACCATATCTAAAAAAATAATCATCGATTATAATAGTATTAATATAAATGATGATTGTTTGAACGACAATGTTTATTATTATTATAAATTAACTATAGTTACCCTTTAAAACCTATTTCTTTACAATATCTATCGTAGTGTTTTGTTACACAAACGGTTCCCTTCTTGCATTGTATGTTGCTAGTGCAACCATTGAACTCCTCGACCCTGGAATAACAGACGGGTGTGCTATCACCAGTGTTACAATATAATCCTTCGGAACAAATCTGTCCTGGCTTGCCACAGTCTCTATATAATCCTTGACATTTATAAGGTGTACATTTATCGGCTCCACAATTCACCAATCCAACGAAATTTACTATTACAACAATATATACAATTAATTTTATCATTACTTGATATATTACTTATTAATAGATATATAAATAACGAAATGATATGATTTTATAGAAATAATAATAACAAAAGTAGTAGTAAAAGAAAAAAGTAATTAAGTAAATCTATAGTTAATAAATAAAATAGGATATGATTGATTTATGTTGTTTGTTGTTGATTCAACATCAATATATTTGAAAGTATGAAACTGAATTAGAAGTACAAGTAGAACTAGGTTGAAGGTAGAAAAGAAATAACAACTACATGAACAAAGAATAGATAGAATACAATTTTATAACAGTATGTTGATCATTATTTGTTTATTTGTTTGAATCCAACTTGTTTATATCAGTATACAAACTTTAAGTGACCCAAAAACACATTAAACAACACATCAACAACAACAACAACATCATCATATATCTATCTATCTATCTAACTATATATCCATCCATCTTATAATATTATTAAGATAAAACAGACAGCTTTAACCATTTAAAGTTATCCTGACTATTGGATATGTGGTGTTAATATTATCCTATATTGTTAGTTATATATAATAGTGTAGACATGTTAACAAATAAAATCATATGACTAACTTCAAACACACAAAATTAAAAAAAAAAAATTTGTAGTTTTGATTTTATGATCAAAACACATTAAAAAATAAATCATTTAAAAATAAATAAATAATAACTGTTTATATTTAAAAAGTCAACAATCATTAAATTTAAATTAAATGAAACAGATATTTTAATATGAACAATTTGTATTATTTTATTTGGTCGGGGGTTAATATATATATAGTGTTCATGTTATTAATGTTACAAGTTAATAATATTAATAACATTTATATAATAAATATAAATTTATATTATTGGTGTTTGTTATTATTGTTGTTTAATGTTGGTTAAAGTTGCAATGTTATCTAGAGATGTGCCAAGTCTTCTACCAGAATTTGGTGACTGAACCAATCAATCAATCAATCAATAAGGTTAGTATATCTAATTTAATAAATCTTGTGGAATGTAAATGGAACTTACAAATGTAACAATATGAGGGGTTGAACGTCTTAAATTCTTTGGTGAATGCATAATGTGGTATGGTGGTGTAGTTGGTTGTTCTTCATTAATTATCTTTTGTGTTGGTGGAATTTGTTGTTGTTGTGATTGTTGTTGTTGACTCTGTTGAATGTCATTAGCTAAAGATTCGATATTGCTATTATTACTATTATTTTCATTATTTTCATTTTGATTCTCTAAATGACTACTAAATATGGTACCGAGATATACTATCAGCAATAAACTTAGTAGTCCTATTGAACCAAAGAGAATCATTGAAGACAAAGAAACAGCCAATAAATATTTCAATTTAAGACTCATTCCATAGACCTTTGCTTCCAACTCTAATGTTTTTACTATTCTTTCATTGAGAGATTTGGATTCGATGGGTTTTACATTTTTTTGAGAAAACGATTCCATCCAACTTTGAGAATCGACAATTGATCCATTTACAATTTTAACCATTCTTTGCAAATAAATAAAATATTTTTTGAATAAGAATAAAATTTAATTTACAATAAGCTATAGATAAATAGTCGTAATGATATATTGTAATATTACAAAAAAAAGAATAATATGAAAAGTTTGGTTTGTTACAAAAAAAAAATAAAAAAAGAAATTATTTTTTGATGGAAAGTAATTTATAGAAGACTAGTGGTCCAATGTTGATTAGATTAGATTTTTGTAATTCTATATGATGTAGTGGAACAAAAATAAAAAAAAATAAAAAAAAAGTAACAAAACAAACAGATTTGAAAATAAAAATATATAGATTTATTATGTAAATAAAAGATTGATTGGTAGATATAAAAAATGAAAAGGGAAATCAATTGATTCTTTTTCAATAACCAATCAAAAAAAATAAAATTTAATTAAATAAATAAATAAAAAAATATGTTGCAAAATGAGGACATTCCACACAAACTTTTCAGTTTTTTTCGTCAAAAACACCAAAAATGATTTTTGCGACCAACCGAAATTGATTGTCACTTCCTAAAATTTTTGAAAACTTATTTTTTGTGATTCGTTTTATGTGTTGTTTTGTCAGTTATAAAATCAAAGTAATTTTTTAGTAAATAAAAAAGTTTTTGATCAGTCACCAGAGCACTACTTTTCAGATAAATATTATAATAAATTACTAACTGATAAAAAAATTACTAAATAGTATTATTGGTAAAAAGTGTAAAATGTTATAAAAAATCATCATCTTTGGTGTTTCAAGATATTTCTAAAAGTAATGATAGAACAGCAAATATAAATATAAAAAGAATGAATTTTTTATTTATTTATTTTTTTATAAAAGGTTTTTCTTAATTTCTTAAAATTTTTATTGAATTTAAATACTAAATATAGTTTTAAACACAAATTCTTTTATAATCTTAATAGAATAAGAACTCAAACAATATTCAAATTTTGAAGTGATTTGAATATTATTTTGAAAAAAATTATTGACAGACACTTTAATAGAGAACTTATTTGCAAAAAACCATTTAATTCTAAATCAAATTTTTAAATAGAACTTATTCTATTTAACTATATGATATTAAAATGATATCTTATCTTGGGAAATAAAAAATAAAGATCTTGGGAAATAAAAAATAAAGATCTTTATTTTTTCCTGGTTCACTCCTATTTCATACATGAAATTATAAAAAATCAGATTCCATGGAGTGCGGTGTTTAAGATCTTTTTTGCAACTTTTATTTTTTTATCTTCCTATCATGATCTTTTTAGTGATATTTATCAAGATAAATAAATCAATATGATATTTTAATTGAATCTTAATTATGAATCCGAATAAATATAAATAGAATCATTTCGGTTTATTATTAAAAAATTACAATGAATGAATAATAATAAAACTTAATAATAATAATGAAATATTCTATCATATCTTTTGCAGTAATTATACTATTTTATTTATTTTGCTCTGATGTCACCACCAATAGTGTAAATGCAACAGAGATCGATGTTGACTACCTCTCTTTAGAAGAAATACCATTAAAGTACGATCGACAAGTCAATAGTGTATTCACATGTATTGTATCACCACAGAATCAACCATTTACATGTGCAAACGTTACCGACAATACAGGGTAAGTAAATACATAACATTATTTATATTAAATATCTTTATATTAACAAACTATTTATTTAGTTACTGTCCTACAATATCACAATGTCTTGCATTCGAAGCAGAGATAGTTAAGCAAAATCCAAATATTGTTACAACCTATGTTGCACTACCAGCCAGAAAATATACCGAGTGTTTAGGTATAGTCAAAGACTTCCCACAATCTAATCTACACGTATTCTATTCATATCTTGGTGTAGCTGAATTCACATGTAATGTAAATATCTTATTAATATTATTTCTCTGTCAAAGTTGTATTAATTGTATAAGAAACTAACTTTCTGTTTTTTTAACTTTTGATATCTGAATCTTTGCTCTGTACAGAAACAATTTTTAATAATTGAACTTACAAAACAAAACACAACGATTATCTTTGATAATTTGGTATTCAATCAAGTCGGTAAACCAAATACTCAGTACGGTGGTATTCTATCGATTTTGGCACCGGTGGAAATCAATGCGCTTGTCAAGCTGGAGAATGTGCATGCCAATGGTATTCGTTCGCTTGGCGCCGGTGGTTTCATCTTTTTAACCTACATCGATTTGCATGTGACCGACTGCAGTTTCACCGGTCTCGAAGCGCAACAGGGTGGTGTCATCCGATCGTTCGGTGACTCCAACGCTGTATTCATAAGTAACTCGGTGTTCACCAATAACAAAGCCACTCAGAATGCCGGTGTCATATCGGCGCAGAACGTTGTCATGTCGAACTGCACGTTTACAGGCAACTCTGCTCAGGGTCTGGGAGGTGTACTCTACACGACGCTCGACATCAACAATATATTCATCGATAGCTCTACGTTCACAAACAACACTAACAGTGGATTCGGTGGTGGTGCACTCTACTTGATGGGTCCGGCGTCAATCAGTAACTCGATGTTCACAGGTCAGCGATCGACTGGCTACGGTGGTGCTGTCTACTCGACTGCTAGTCTCGAGATATCGTCGTCGCAATTCACCGATAACTCCGGCACATTCGGTGGAGCTATCTTCTCGAAGCAATCGCTTGTCATTGAGAACTCTATAATCACAGACAACAACGGTACATCGTCTGGAGGTGCCATTGCAAGTCAAGGTGATCTAGAGATACTGAACTCTACAATCAACAATAACTGGGCTGCTCAAGAAGGTGGTGCAATCTACTTTTACTATCAGGGTGACAAATCGAATTCGTCGTGTATCGTTTATAACTCCTACGTTCACAACAATTATGCAGGTACATATGGTGGTGCTTTTGTAAGTAATAATAATTAATTAACAAAACAAAGTAGTTGTGGTTATAACTCATTGTTCTAATCAATTTTAAAACAACAACTATCATAATAGTATGTTTACGAAAATATGCCAATATTCCTGTTGAATACAACTGTTTTTAATAACTATGCAGGGATAGAAGCAGGTGGTCTATACTTTTCTAGCCAATACCCTTTGAAGTTTGTTGGTGGTACATTTATGAATAACTCTGCCGGTCAAATCTATACCTCTCAAACATTTAACGTTGAGAATATCGGTAGAGCTATAAATATTGTTAATGTATCAATCGATATATTTACCGATGGTATTGAATATCATGTTCCTTTAGTATCTGACACCGTCGAACATGTAAGTGTGATTAGTGCATAGTAATGAAATAAACAAACCAACTAACTAACTAATATCATTTTATCATTTACTTTCATTAAAAAACAAATAATTATAATAATTAGGCAAGCGCATATGATGTATCTGGTGTATGTGATAATGGTATTGCTACAATCAACAGTGATGGTAAAGTAACTGAATGTACCAGTACGAAACGACACAAACAAGTCATTACTTTAAATTATTAAAATAATAAATAAATAACAAATTTAATCATCATCCATCATCTCTTTAAAGTTTCACGCTGTGACTCGACTCGAAACGAAACCAAATTGAACATTCAACGTCATAAAGTGTGTGTGGCTGATCAGTTTCTAAATTTGGTTTTCGTTTTCATTTAAAAAAAATATGATGATGTAAATCTGGGATTATGAAAATTAGAAAATTAATGATTTTTTAAAAATCTTTGATTTTCTGACGTGTGATGCCTGACAATTCCCACTTCAATGTGAAGATCCTGGTTTTGTTGTTTGTGTATGGTATCAAAGAAAAGTAAATTTTTAATTTTTTATCGCAAAATCTAGAGATGTTTTACTTTAAATATCTCATTTTGTAAATCAATAAAAAATCATTAAAACGATCTTCTTTATTTATTTAAACACTTGTTTAACTCTTTATCATCCATCATTCATTAATTATTAATTATTATTTGTTATATTTGTTATTTTTATTATAACGTTAGTTATTATTTTATTATAGTCTAAAGAATGGAAAATAATCAAGAAACTCATTGTTCTACTCATAATGAAGTATTGGAGTACTACTGTTTCAATTGTAATAAACCTGTTTGTTCTACCTGTTGTATGGATCATCACGGACACACTTGCGAACACTTTTTGAATATCACAGAGGAGTTCTTAAAGACTTGCAATATGGATAAGATGATGTTGGAAATCCTTCGTACTCTTGTTCAACAATTTAAATTCCTCCAGCAATCAATGACAGATCCATTCGGTGCCATGAACAACATGATGGGTTCAATGAACAATATGTTGGGATCTATGGATCAATGGTTACAAGGTGGTATGGGAATGAACATGAACATGAACATGGGTGGTATGGGAATGGGTATGCCACCAATGGGAATGCCAGGTATGGGAATGCCACCAATGGGAATGCCACCAATGGGTATGCCAGGTGGATTCCCAATGCCACCAAGTTCAAACTATCCAGCTCAACAACCAACTCCACACTCAGCTCCAGCTCCACAACCAACTCCACATTCAACTCCAGCGCCACAACCAACACCAGTTCCAGCTGTAACACCAGCTCCAGTTCCAGCACCATCTGCAAACTCTAAAGTATACATTCTATCGGCTGCACAAGGTAAGGAAGCACACTTGTTTGATGTTTCCAATAAGGACATAAGCTTTGTCCAATCTTTCAAGGTGGATTACGATTTCTATTGTACAAACAACTCGTTGTGTTCGGTTGGTGAGGAGGTTTATTGCTTCGGTGGTAGAAATAATCCAAAGAAGTATTGTGTATTCAATGCCAAGACCAAGTCATTCACAATTCACGATATTACAGCTGGCTGTGACGGTGGTTACAATCTATCGGTGTGCTACGACGGCAAGGATCATATCTACATTCTCAACGGTTCATTCCACATCATGAACATGACCAAGGTCGATCGTTTCAACATACGTAGCAAGACATTCGAATCGTTCGTTCAATTCTATGACTACAGCCAATTCCATTGTTTGTCGCTCGTCCACAACAACCATTTCATCACCTTGCCAAGAGGAGAGTCACGTGCATACTACATCGACTTGAACACCAAGAAAGTGGAGATCTACAACAACAGTCACCTGTTCCTCCAATCGTCAGTGTTGGGTGCTAATGATGGTGCCGGCAATATCTACATCCAATTGAACAACACAAGATTGGAGAGATTCAATGTTGTGACACGTGAGCTTGCTGGTCAAGTCGGTAAATCACCCAAGACATTTACACAGGCACGTGCAATGCATCACCACAGATTCTCGGCATCCGAAGGTTACATATATCATATTGGTGAAGGTAGATTGTACAGATATTCTATTGAATCTGCTCAATGGGCTGAAATCGGTTCTGATGTTCAAAAGGTAGACAGACAATTCTGTGGTGCTTCTTTAGTGTCATTCAACTTATAAACTATTAAATAATAAATAAATAAATAAAACTAACAATAATAATAATGTTATAATTCTTTAACAATATTGATTTTCCTTTTTTGTTGAGTTGGATTGATCGATCATATTTTTTTATGTAATCTTTTTTTTTTTTTTTGTAAGATGTATTAGCACATATACACAAATTTTTTTAATCCATAAAAAGGTGGTGATATTTGATCAAAATCTTATTATTATTTTTTTGATTATTTTTTATTTCTATCTATTTTTAATTTTGAAATATATATAAAGAATTAGAATGAAAGAGTTTATTTATCATTATATTATTGTTGTTGTTTCAAAAAATGAATTATAACATTTCAAAGTCTAAATTATTGATAGTAGTACTATGTTTTCTCTTTTTCTTTATTCATTTAAATATGGTCAGAGCTAGATGTCAAGGGTTAAGAGAACAACAAATGGGAGGATACAAAAAAGTTTATTGTAAAGAGAGGAAACTCGAAGAAGGTTGTAAAGTTATTTCAATTGATGAAGATGCACCCTATCCAGATTGTTGTCCTAAAATAGAGTGTGGATATAGTTTCTAAGCTATAAACTTTCAATTATCTGTTTAAATAAAGATCTTTTTTTTTTTGTATTTGTTTAGATATTAAAAAAAAGACATTAATTTTTTTTGTTTTTTTTTCCACAATTATTAATTAATTATAATCATTCTTCATATTAATTAATAAAGATAAGATATATACATTCACTTTTCTTGTATTTATTTATAGTATTTGTTATTAGTTTACTATTTGGTTGTACACTTGTCCTCTGTCTTTTAGTTTTTGTTTAGTAATGAACCAAGTATCTTTATTCCTAATGGTTGGATGACTTTGAATGATGCTATCGATAACTTTTAAATCATCTAAATCTACAATATAGTCGTCTTCTTTTATAGAAAGATATAATCGTTTGAGAGTCGTGTTATTCTTGAGTGCTTCTAGAAACTCTGGTTCAATATTAACTTGACCTATGTTGACTTCACACTTTAGTACTCTATCTGCTGGAAATCCATATTGTTTTTGAAGTTGTTGTTGTCTGTTGAGAAACTGTGTGATTCCAGCAAGACTATTTGGATACTTTGGATGTACTTTAAGATATTTAACCATTGCCAGCTTATGCATATCTTGATCACTTACTGCAACGAGGCTCAACTTTTTTATGTTGTTTCTTGTCACTTCACTGAAACCTTGATGTAAATCCAAGCTGAGATATTCAATCGATGATGACTCTTGTAATAGATACTCTTCAATTGAAGAACCTAAGAATCGATTATGGTGGAAACTCTTCAATGATGATTGATTCATTAGATAGCAGAGCAGATCCGATTGAAATTCATATGACTTTACACCTTCATCGTCCCAATTATCTTTATCTTTATCAATTTGGAACTCTATTACCAAGTGTTGCAATGACTTGAATTTGAGCAGTCGATCAAACACCATCTTTGAATTTCGATAGAGGTTGCAAAGGAGGACATTACCAGATGTTTCGATCAACTCTATTGATGTCAGGTGCTCGAAACGTTCAGACAAAAAATGGATAATCAACAGTTGTAATTCATAGTAGAGCTTCATATTAATTTGGAAACTGACAGCTTTCAGAGTCGATGCCAACATTCCGATCTGACCTCTAAGCTGTTTAGTTGTGTCATCGAAACCCATTGTAACTAGACATTTCAATTGCTCCAATGATGACATACCACATTCCAATAGGAAGCCGAGTTCCGTATGATCACATGTAAGTGCTCTAAGCTTTGGTGTAATCAACTGAAGTGATTGTTTCTTAATACTTTTAAATCCACAGCCATTATAATGAAGTTTTGTCAAATGATGATGATCAAACAATGAACATCTATTTAACTTTGCTACTCCTAATGAAGATTCTCTCTGAATATGATAATCTAATAAATCAAAAGCTTTGTGGTCTAGCTTCCCACTAAACTTTGTATTAAGAGAACAAACAACACCATGAAAATACCAATTCACTGATGAAAGTGATCTTGCATAACTTTTATATTTTTTGTTATTCTTATTAAACCAAAGATATTCTAATATTATTCTATAGATTCTATTTTCAAATATTGTCATAACTTATTATTTCTGTATATAAAATCGTAAATTAACTTTATGTAAAATCGATCAATTAATTCATGATCGATCGTTTGTTTTGCAGTAAAAATTAAAGTTGCAAACAATAAGTTATTTTTTTTAATATGTAACAAAAATATTCTTTATTATATTGGAAATTCTGAGAATTCGTGATCGATAGATTGATTGAGCTTTTTTTTCATTGTTTAAATTGTTTATGATAACAATTTAAACAGAGATCAAAACTATCTGGAGAATGGAAAAAGGTTTCGATGGTAGCACTCTTGTGAGATCTGCAGACGTCACAGATCCAGTTGACAGTGTCGTAGACTTCTAATGGACTGCCATGTTTTTGGAGTGGCTTTGAGTGTATTGGGATGGTGATGCTATTGGGAAGACCGGCGGCAGTGTGCTCATTCAACTTGGCTGGATTCAACATCGACAAGATGCTATTGCGTTGTTGTGTACGACGTTCCTCGTTTTGTTTGTCGTGAGCCGGCTGTACCACTAGTTTCTCTTGTTGTTTCTGGCTGAGTGAAGTGAATCTAAAGAGACCATCTCTCTTTGGTGGTTCAGCAGCAGCAGCAGTTGTTGTCGATGTTGTTGTTGTTGCTAATGCAGTGGTTGTCTTTACAATCGGTTCTTTATTGCAACATTTTGAACAGACGTCAAAGTTGGTGCATGTCGAGCAGTGGTAGATAAACTGCTTGGTTGTCAGACGACAGATGTCGCAGATGGCGTCGTTACCATAGACATCGAGTGGTGACATGCAGTAGAGTGAATGCTGGTGAAGTCTTGGCAGTGAGAGTGGCTCGGTATTGCCAATCTCTGGTGTCGTAGGAGTCTTTGTCTCCAGGCAGCAGAAGCGACACAAGTCGAAATTCTCGCATTTATAGCAGTGATACTGCTCGGAAGTTCCAAACTTCTTGCTGCATCGGTTGCACTGCCAGTACAGTCCTTTGTAGATGGTAACGGGATTGACTTTTTGTAACGTATGTGAATGTGGTGGATTCGTATTGAAATTACTCGTTGAATTGAAAATTGGAATGACCGTTTGTTGTGGTTGTTGACTATAAAGTGCAGCAGATTGATTCAATTTTGAAATCATTGAACTACTAGTACTAGTACTGCTGGTATTTGTATTTGTATTATTTAAGACAGGTGAAGTAGTAATACCACTACTACTAATACTATTGTTGTTGTTGTTATTTATATTAAGATTTCCTGGCCATAATATACTAGATGATGATGATGATGATGTATCAGCATTAAAAACAGGTGTAGTATATAGTGAATTGGGTTTAGTGTTGTTGATGATGGCGTTGTTGTTGTTGTTATTAAGTTTGGGTGTTGTTGATATGGCTGTCGATGTTGATGTTGATGTTGTGGTTGTCGTTATGACCGATGATGAATCTGTTTGTTTCTGTAGGGTAAGCTTCGAGATACTCTGTAGGAGTTGTGTGATGATCGGATCGAATCTAAGATCGGATTGTTGGCAAGGCTCACGACACAACGGACACATATGTTGCTTTCTGAACCAATCTTCGAAACACGCTTTATGAAAGCAATGCGAACACTTCAGACGATGAGGAAGATCATTTTTATTCGCTGTTTGCTCTACATCAAAGCCACACATACAAATACAACAAATGAATTCATCTTCCATCTTTTTTTTATTCTATATTCATCATCAAACAAAATGTGAAAAAAAAAATAAATATAGTATACAAATAAAACTAATATAAAAGAATCTATCTATCTTATCTAAAAAATAAAATATAAATATTAGATTAAATGATAATGGATGAAATAAATAAATAAAAAAAAACTTAATTAAACAATTTTCAAAAAAAATTATTAAAACAAATTTTTTTTAATAAACTGTGTTCTTTTATTTTTAGGTGTGTTGCAAAAAACAGCCCCATTTGGGCTTAAAAAAATGAAAAAAAATGGTAAAAAATGAAATAAACAGAATTTTTTTTTTTGATTTTTTTTTTTTTTGATTTGAGGGAGTTAAATGAGAAAGAAGAATACTATTTCGATTGTTGTTGATATCTAGATTCTAATGATTTCGCTATATCTACAAAGTTAAAGTTTTCAGTGTTTGAAATGAATCCACCCATAAATTGTTGATTCAAAACGAATACATTGTTATTATCTAAATATCTTATTCTAATGATTTGTTTACGCAGGTGTATCGTTGTTAGATGATATAAAGATTTGAATGGAATGATTAGTTTGTTTTTGTTGTTCTTGTCGTTAGTATTGTTATTAAAGTTAGCGTTGTTAAGATTCAACGATTCAAGTGTAGGAGGTAAGTAGAGCAACGGATGACTATAGTCATCGCCGAGAACAAGTTGTTTCAACGAGGTGTTTGAGAGTATACCCGGTGCAAACGCCAGATTGTAACTCGGTTGTAACTCGAGGTATTCTAGGCCGGCCGGAAGCGATGCCACTTGCAGCTGATCATTACGGTTGTTGAACGTGTGTAGTAATCGCAGTTTCTTCAAGCCCGCTGGCAGCCAGCCAGGCGCGATCAGTTGGCTGTACTCGGATTTCAGTGTGAGTGATGTCAGACTCGCTGGCAGCACTAACGCCGTGTGATTGTAAGAGAATCCCATTGTGAGGGTGGTGACCGACTCGGGAATGACACCGGCGCGAATCGGACGGTCATAATAGTAGCCAAACGTAAGATTGGTGACCGACGTCGGAATGGTACCCGGTAGAATCACATGGTTATACTGATGACCGAATGTCAGGTGAGTCAATGTCGCCGGAATCGAAGATGGCGATATGAACCGTTCAAACTTGCTATTGAAAGTGAGATGAGTAGTTCCGGGCGGAACCCTACTGAAAGATTCGTCATCGACGACAAACGATGTACTCTTTGGATTGATAGCATCATCCAGCTCCAATATCTTGGAAAACTGTGAACTTTCATTACTTCTATTACTACTACTATTACCACCTTCAAGATCATTAACACGTTTCTTTAGATCTCTCAGTGCTCGGAAGCTTTTCTGGTAGTTCCTGGCTGCCGATGGCGACGATTGGAATGCAGGATCGGAAGAGAGTGCCAGTAGGTCAGAGACTTCCAGTGGTGGTTTGAATGCGACGTTGGTGGTGTTGGTGGAAGTGGTGCTATCCAGACCAATCAAAGAGTCGAACAGTTCCAATTTTCTTGTATAGGCATCAGATCTCTCTTTTTCAAACTGTTTCACACTCAATTTATACTTTAATGATCTGATTATCGATGATTTGAATGATTCCAAACGACAATGTTCATCCATTTGTTCTAAATTCAAAAGACAGCCCAACAATCTAAATTCGATCTTTGCTCGATTTCCAAATATTCTCTTACAAGTCAGTAGAAGAGATATTTTATCTATATCAACCTCTACATATTGAAATATCTTTAATAAAATTAAATCTTGTAAATAATTCATCTTCCTTCTAAACAATAAACAATATAAATAAATTTTAACACTAAAGATATATAAAACAAAAAAAAAAACAATAGATAAAACTTAAACAATGTTACCACCAACCAAATAAAATAAAAAAATATAGTAGTGGTAAATCAATCAATAAATTATCTTTTTTTAATAATAATTCAGTGAATTTCGCACAACCACAGGTCTTAAAGTCGAAAAATGAAATAATAAAAATCAATAAATAAATCTTTAATTTATTACAAGCAAATGATGAAAATAATATTATAAAATACAAATTTATATTTATTCAACGTCTTCCTATTTCAAGGTATTTTGGATTTACTCCAGCTACAGAGAATGATAGATTCAATTTCTGATTGATTTGATTGAGACTGCTGATGGTGTCTTTCTCGGTGATGTTGAGGTGATGGCATTGCATACGACAGAGATATCTGGTGTTTGTGTGTGTTAGGAATTTAATAAGTTCATGCTCGTTCGACCTAGAAACAAAGTGATCGATTTTCATAAATGATAGTTGATTGTCATTGTTTTCTGTGATTGCTGATAACAGGTCGTTGTAGTTTACTTTGTTTTTGCTCTGTCTGGGTGCTGGTTCATTAAGTTCCAAGTGTCGCAGTGATTTACTGGTTCTGACAAACGCTACAACCAGATCAAAGATATGCCAATACTCTTTGCCGATAACCAGTTTTTCAAGGTTTACCAAAGCGTTGCTAGTCAATCCAATATCCATTAGTTCAGGTTTTAGCGGTGATGTCAGCTGACAGTCAATCTGTAGTTTCTTCAAATTCGAATGGAATTTGAGTGTAAGTGGATTTGGGGTTGGTGATGGTATTGGTTTTGGATCGGTAATTTCAATGTAGAATTCATTCAAGTGGCTAGAACCTGAGAAGATGTCGATTGTTTCGATATCTACTGGCAGTCCCGACGGCAGTGTAATTGTTTTGATGTTACTGTTTGTTCTCATTACTTGTGTCATTCCATTGGGAATCTTCTCGAAATGCGATTGGTTAAGCAAATTTGCTCTGGTGATAGTAACACTCTCTAGCTTTTCGTGGCTGGCAAGTTGTTCCAACTCCACTGTAAGGTTGGTAGCGAGATGTTTTAGGTTTTTCGGTAGATGCGATAGCACTGCTTTATTGAATGGCAAATTACAATCGATATTGAGTGTAAGGGAGGTGAGATTAGGATGGTTATCGAAAAACTTGATCAGTCCATTCGATTCGAATTTACAAAATCTGGTGTGGATCGTCAGACTTTCGAGATCTTTCAGGACTGGCGAGAGAACCACCAGAACTGTCTCTATGACATTGGTTGCTTTAGTGTTGGTGTGATAACCTTGACTTTGTTGGTAACCAAGATATGAAATCTTTAGGCTGCGAAGCGATGCTCTCTCAACGGTTTGTTTGGTTTTCGGATCTGTTGTGTTTGAGAATTTCATAAAGTTGGAAACCGTTTGTTGAACGTTCACTAGTGGCGGCGACGAATTGAAATCCAACTCGAGATTCTGAACAGTCGAGTAGATAGGACCGAGTTTGAAATAATCGATTTTGTTGTCTTGATGAATGCCACTGATTTGGTCGATACTATCGGGTATATAATAGCTCGTTTTCACGATCGAACTAACATACTTCATTGGACAATAGGCATTGGCAAGATGTGGTAAATAGCTTGTCAGCGATGAATTTACACTACTATTCGCTCTTGTCACTGCAAAGTATGAATTCTTACTGAATAGCGCAGAGACAGACTCGAACCACGCTCGACAAACCAAACCCAATTTCAATCGATACGGAAGCAACAATGATTTATCATGCCACATATACTCTATTATCTTTCTCTGAAGCAACAGATTGAATCTACACTCTACTGGTTCCACCCGGATGTTGTTCTTCAATTTATCATTATCGAAATCATCGTAATCATACTCGATTCCACCAAAGAAATCGATTTCATTGATCAAACCATATAAATCAATATTATTATTTATTTGATCTGTCATTTGCAAGACTAAACTCTCAAATAATTAATAAAACATCAAATATATTACAGATGATTATATAAATACATACAACTATCGTTCATTGAGATTTTAAAATTGATGATAGTTTGTTAAACATTTTTTTTTACAAAGTTTGAATTATTCATAAAAATTTCCTAAAAAAGCAAAATATTTAATTCATTTTATTTTCAAAAATTTCTTATCTTTTTTTGCTTCTATTTTGCAAAGAAAGTGGGTCTTTATTACCAAAAAGCTCACTTTTTTTTTTTAAGTATTAACAGTTTTTGAAAAAAAAAATCAAAAATAAGATGGAATTATGATCATACGATTTTTTTCACACCACGAAAACAACTGAAAAATAGTTTTCGTTCACTGTTAAAATGATAATAGTCAGCAATATATCACATCTATTATTGGCAAAGATAATCAGTTATCTCGATGATAATATAGATAGAATTTGTTTTACTCTTGTGTGTAGACGTTGGTTTAACGATAGGCACAGATATCTATTGTTTAATGATATAAAACATGTAGGAGTTCCAAATATGTCGAAAATCTGTATGAATTCCTATAAATCATTGATAAATGATTCGATGCAACAAAAAAGATCTAAAATGATCATGGGACCGAATAATCGATACAAATATTATAGCTCTGGTATTCAAACAGGTAATTAGATTTATCTATAGAAGTCTGTAACAAAATACTAATGTTTCTAATCGATAGGTTTAAATTTAGCTACGATCAATATCAGTGGTAGTAACAGCAATACTACTTCTTATGTATTGGCAGAGAATCTCTATCAAATTGAATCGAATTCAAACATAACCAATATAAAACGATGCTTGACATTGAAAGATAAATTCCCTCCGAGTTTAACATCGTTGTCATTGGATCAAGCTTTTGAAGAACCACTATTTAGAGATTGTTTTCCTCAGAGTTTGCGGAAATTGAGATTGAATAAAGATACACAACCGCTTGGACATGGTGTTCTACCGTCGTCACTAGAGAAACTGATTATCGTAAAACTAATGCATCCAATCGAACCAGGTGTATTGCCAGCATCACTAAGATCTTTGTATATTATATATTCAAAGATCGAAGGTTTTCTTAAGGTTGGATCGTTACCAAACCAACTTGAATCGTATTTCCACTCTATGAATGTCATTCATATTGAAGATAACGTGTTGCCTACATCGTTGAAATCGCTAATGAATATTCCCACAATATGGATTCCACATTTAAGTTCATTGGTGAATCTACGATCGCTGTCATTCCTTCTTCTTCGTAATACAGTGGTGTTAGATCTCAGTGTTCTTCCAAGCTCATTGACTGCACTCAACTTGATTGGTTCACCCACATTGAAATCGGCATTGCCCATATCCATTCGACATTTACAACTATGCAATTCATTTTATAATCTCGATGAGCTCTTTCCAGATCGATCAAACTACCACTTGGAGGTATTGGGTATTGACGGATTCAGTGAGCAGTCATTGGTCGGTTTGGACATTAAACGTTTGGAACTAGGCACCCCATTTACAGATTCAAGAAAAAAACTCAGAGAAATTCCATTTGGAGTCCGAGAACTCTCTCTCTGTACTAGTAATGCCATTGTCGATGATAATACTTTCCCATCGACACTTAGAGAGCTCAATGTTTACGATCTGACTATTTTCAATCAATCAGGAGTTAAATTACCAAATTCAATCAAACACCTTATTCTTCGTAGTAATGATAGCAATATCACAAAGATAAGTAATAACATATTTCCAAACTCATTAGAAAGTATAAAAATTTCAACCATTTCCATCCCATTCAACAGTATGGTTGACAACTTAACCATTAAAAATGATAACTGTAATTGTACTATTAGAAAACTTGATAATGACTATTTCATTCTATTTGGAATGATTGACCGAAAATTCATTGCATCATTATTCCACAAATCAAAATTTCATCCTCCCAATAAATTTAAATCAATATTAAAAAATAAAATTTCAAATCTTTAAAAAAAAAAAACTGGAACATGTTTCGTGATCATTTACATCTGTGGTGTCATATAAATATGTAAAAAGATCAAAGATAAGTTAAGTTTTTCAGTTTCATCCCAATCAAATTTTATAATTAAATTTCAAATATTTAATCAAATAAAAATAATCTATGAAATTGGATTCAAAGATAGAAATTTTGGAGAAGAAAACGTCCTTTGACCATGATTTTTTTTGTTTTTTATGAAAAAAAAGTTTCAAAACTTGCACCTCCACCTTCTTAAAACTTTTTAATCTATTTAGTTATTGCTAAAATAAATGGATAATAATAACTTAGATATAAAAATATTTAGAAAAGTATTTTTAAATAAATTTCTATCAAATTTAATTTTTAGAAAGTTAAAGGCATACGATGCTACTGGTAGTAAAATTAAGAGATGGAATCAGTTAACATTCAGATGGATCTGCGAGAACAAATATTTTGGTTTATTACGATATTGGGTTGATGCGCACTATGATCTTGTAGAGGAGTTGAATCAATCTGTTATGCTGAGGATGCCACTCACCTTGGAGACCTATGATGAACGTCTAGATGAGAATGTAGTTCTTTTCAGACATTGTTCAATCACAACGTTTATGGAGAATAACCGTGACCTCGGATTGTTTCTATTTATCTACTTTCGGTTTCAAAATCATTTCGAACTGGCACGTGAACCAGTCAACTCTCGCTATGAAGTCAGTTTCAATGTATTGGAGTCGGCGTGTCTCGCCGGCAACTTGGATATAGTGGAGACGCTCATTCGCAACAAATTCAAGATCAATAATAAACAAGAAGCATTGGTAAAAACCGGACGCTCAGGAAATATGAAACTGCTAGAGCGGATCGCAAAGCTGTGTGCACCAATCGATATCTCTGTTATTAAGGATATGATTCGAGAGAACCGACGTAAAAATGTGATACCAATCGACATGATCCTCTATCTACTGAGGAATCCCCAGTATTTCAAAACGCTTTTCAGTGTGGATGGTCATCTGTTATACCATATCGTTCAATTCAACCATTTGGATTTGTTAAAGTTTTTAATTGAAGAATTGAATCTCGATATAACTAGTTCACAAACAGCTCAAACTTTGAATGCAACGTTTGATTACTCTGCTAATGCCGGTATCGATATGTTTAATTATGTTTTAGAATTGCTTACCAAAGCGAAATGGACATTGGTAATAAGTAGTTTAGGATTTTCCGGATTGATCGCTCTCTACAAACAAATCGATGATGAACTGTTCTTCCAACTCTACTCTACAATACCAAAGTCTGAATATGTAATTAGGACAGCTCAATCGATAGCAGTATCGAAATCACACATCGATTTGTTGAAGAAATTGGTAGATTTAGAAGGTATACCAGCTCTGACAAGTCCTATCATTATATCTGCATTTAAAGTTGGTAATATCGATATCATACGTACTGTTCTATCGATCTATGGAAATCATGTCGGGATTGAGCGAGAGGAAAGAGATAAGTTGATATTGGAGATGGTCAAAGCAGGTAATCTAGAGTTATTACAATTGATTATTACCATTGGTATTGATCCACCTCCTATCGGTACATCGGTAATGACCGAAGCAGCAAGATTAGGACAGCTTGAGATCGTGAAATACATTCGAAAGAACAGAGTTGAAGGATGCGAACCACATACTCTCGCCTGGTGTATAGCTAATGGTTCTAGTCAAGAGATGATCGATTTTCTACTGGATGAATGCATGCCATTCTTTAGTGTAAAGTCATTGGAACCCATTAAGAATGCATGTGGAAGAGGAGACATACTACTAGTTCAAAAGTTGCTATCATTTGGCTTTGCAATAGATCATGAAGCATTGGAGATCGCCGCTGCCAATAATCATCTGGACATTGTCAAATCACTCGATATGTATGCAGGTTCGCAAACAGCAATGAATCTAGCAGCTGAGAATGGACATCTCGAAACGGTTATCTATCTTCACAATCATAGAAAAGAAGGTTGTAATCATTTGGCTATGGACAGAGCTCTACAGAATGGCTGTATGGACGTAGTTAGATTCCTGCATGATAATCGTACGGAGGGTTGTACGCCCACCGGTATAGATAAATCGTTATCATACGGACAGACAGCAGCAATCAAATTCGTTGTAGAGAATAGAAGTGAACGTTGGACTCATAACGGATTACACAGTGCGGTTTTGAATGGTCATTTCAAATTGGCTCGCTATGCAATGTCGATCCTAAACAATCTATCTCAACAATCGATCAACTCATTTCTAAAATACGAAACCAAAGACTTTAATTATCGAGCGATACAATTCTACTACTATATAGGCTTGATTAAAATCGATGATATCAAAGAAGTAATCGTTTCAAAGGATGATATCGATGCAAAATTATTTTTACTCGGACTGATCAACCCGAAAACAAAGTACTCTCGATATGATAATGTACGACGAGACTCTCAATTAAACGCTCAGGTTACATTACAACAATTCTTAAAGAATGTCCAAAGATAAGTTAATAAAGATTACAAGTTTTTATTTAATTATAGTTATTATTATCTAAATATATTTTGTGGTATAGAATTAGTTTGAAATCTAAGATATTGTTCAATTGGTTTTCTCTTGTATATTAATGATGTTATTATTAAACTGTTTATTATTCTTTGTTTTTCGCTTTTGTACCAACTATCATTATGAATGTAATCTAAAATATATTGAAGCATCTCTAAACTACCTATTTTGATTGCATTCTCCAAAACAGAGATAGCTTCTATCTCTTCTAATCTACTTTTACTCTTATTATCTTCTAGGTATTTCTTTAAATGATCGAAATAGTTATGAATGGCCATTACTCTTGGTGAAGCTATAACTTCATTCCAACGATAAACTTTTCTTCCATTTCTAGCTGATATCAATCTAACATGATTAAATATTAACTTTTTTAAAACACTATTATTAAAAACTAAAGAAAAATAATTATCCATTTTAAGCTTTGAAATAATAGATCGATCATATGATCGCAAAATATGTTAAAAATTGATTGATTTATTTTTTTATTTTAATTCTTTGTTTTAATATATTTGTTTATAACATTCTTTGATTGTTGTGAATATAGATATTCAGTAGAAAATTAATATAGGTTTCCGTGTTGTACCACCATGTCTATGCTATCTGGACGACACTCACACTGATTTTCAATTAGCAACCTGAAAATCTCACCTACAGAGGTGGAAGCAGTCTTTACATACTCTTGGTTTTGTGTATCCAATCTATCTCTGTGCTCTACCAATAGGTACTCTTATAATTCTTGTTGCTGGTGAATGATAGCAATCATGAACATATCTGAATGTACCAAATCCTGGGGTCTGTTGTTGGATAGCCATGGGATCATAGATATTCTTCCATGAGCAGCACAAGAATTGAAAACATTCACATCATAAATTGAACTTGGACTGTTTTCAATTTTATAGTGAAATAGTTTCATTAGCTCCATATCTCCACAAAAAGCAGTGTTGCATAAAGCCCTCTTGAAATTCCATTGTTGCATTGGATATTTCTCCAAGAGTAAAAGAATAAATTCGGTTCGACCATACAGTGTAGACCAAGATAGAATATCATTTAAATTCTCATTAGAAGAGGTCGACCTGATCAGGTAAAAATAATTCTTTTCTTCATTAAGCTCCAATAAATATTTGAAAATATTTAAATTGCCAACTTTAATAATATTCTCTAAGATTTGAAAATAAAAAGATCTCCGGATATCACCATTCTTTCTCTCTATATATTGATTTAATAGATTGAAATAACCATTTCCAATCATTACATGTGGCCTTAATAACTTCTCTCCAATTATAATATAACTGATTATCTTTTCCTAATATAATTCTAACTTGATTGAAATTTATATTTTAAAACTTTATTATTAAATATAAAAGAAAATATAGTTTATCCATTTGTGTTAGTTAACATAATAAAAGTTGTTATTATTAATTATTGGTTTTGATACTCCCTTTAACTTTTTATATATTTTATCTTGATAGTTAACCACTTTATATCTATAAGTAAAATCATTAAGGTTATACTTAAAATTAATAACAGTGGGTTTAACACAATCATTTTGCTTGATAAAATGTTTTATTACTTTTTTTTTTAAGTATTAATCGTTCAGATAAAAATAAAAGTTAAAGAATGAGATAAAATTTGATTTAATCAATGATAATGAGACATTAATCAAGAACACACAAGAATTGTAAATAAAACAAATTTTTTGCTGTGCACTACATAAAATATATATATTTTTTATGGGTTTATATGTATTCTCCAGTATTTGATGATCAAAATTAAATAAAATAAAATAAAAAAAAATAAAAAAAAACACCAAAAGTGAAAAAGTTTTTTTTACTAAGAAAAAAAAATACAAAATCAAAAAAAAAGGGGGTGATTCAATCCAGAAAGAACTTGGAAATCATCAATCTATAGTACTTCCAAACTAATTGCTTATTACAAGTTTGCATGAGTTCTTAAAAGGAAAAAAATAGATATCATTCTTTCACCAGATCAAGGCAATCAATGACTACTCAACAGCAATACTTGGAGTCAATAGTAAAAGATCCTACCAATTCCCATTCATACTATAACCTTGCAGAATCACTTTCAAATGACGAATCAATCGTACTTTCAAATGGACAATCTTTTACGAAACAACAACTATACTTGAAAGCAATAGAATGTGATCCAACCAATTCCAACTCTTATGCTAACCTTGCAATGACACTTGAAAGTTGTGAATCAATCATACTTCCGAATGGACAATCAATGACAGAACAACAACTATACTTGAAAGCAATAGAGTGTGATCCTACCGATTCCGATTCTTATTATAACCTTGCAACGACACTTTCAAATGGTGAATCAATAACACTTCCGAATGGACAATCAATAACAAAACAACAACTCTACTTGAAATCAATAGAGCTTGGTCCAACTGATTCATATTCATATCATGAGCTTGCAACGACACTTTCAAGTGGCGAATCAATCACACTTCCTAATGGACAATCAATGACAGAACAACAACTATACTTGAAGGCAATAGAGTATGACCCAACAAATTCCAGTTCATTTCATATCTTGGCATCGACACTTTCAAGTGGCGAATCAATCATACTTAACAATGGACAATCAGTTACAAAACAACAACTGTTATTAAAAGCTATAGAATATAATCCAACCGATTCATATTCATATTATAACATTGCAACGACACTTTCAAGTGGTGGATCGATCACACTTAACGATGGTCAGACAATGACAAAGCAACAACTACTTTTAAGAGCAATAGAATTTGATCCAACCAATACATTTTCATATTCAAGCCTTGCGATGACACTTGAAAGTGATGAATCAATCACTCTTCCAAATGGAGAAGAAATGACTGGACAACAACTATGCTTAGAAGCAATAGAATGCGATCCAACCAATTCCCAAGCATATCATAACCTAGCAACGGCACTTGAAAGTGATGAATCAATCACACTTATTGACGGAGATGAAATGACAAAACAACAACTATTCTTGAAATCAATAGAATGCGATCCAACCAATTCCAACTCATATAATATGCTTGCAAATTCAATTGCAATTGGTGAATCAATCACTCTTCATAACGGTCAATCAATGACAGACCAACAACTATACTTGAAAGCAATAGAGTGTGATCAAACCAATTTCAATTTTTATTATAATCTTGCAGAAACACTGGCATGTGGCCAATCAATAACACTCCCTATTGGACAATCAATAACAAAACAACAACTCTACTTGAAATCAATAGAATGTGGTCCAACCTTTTCCCCTTCATATCATAAACTTGCAACAACACTCATCGGCGATCAATCAATCACACTTCCTAATGGACAATCAATGACAGAACAACAATTATACTTGAAAGCAATAGAGTGTGATCCAAACAATTCACCGTCCTATAATAACCTCGCAACCACGCTTACACCTGACACATCAATCACACTTTTAAATGGAAAATCATTGACCGCACAACAACTCTACCTGAAAGCAATAGAATGTGATCCAACCAATTCCCATTCTTTTAGTAATCTTGCATCGACACTTTCAAGTGGTGAATCAATAATACTAAATGATGGTCAAGCAATGACTGCGCAACAACTATACTTGAAATCAATAGAACTTGATCCAACCGATTCCGATACATATTATAACCTTGGACTTACCCTTTTGGACAACAAACAAACCATTACACTTCCAAATGGTGAACAAATGTCAAGGAGACAACTAATTCAAAAAGCAAGAGAATAAATCACTTTTTTACACTACCGCCAAAGTAATAGCGAGTACTATCTATTTTTACTATTTATACACAAATTTTATTTTTTTAACAATAATTGTCTAAATTTGATATATGTTCTAAAAGTTTGGTATTATTCTGGTCGGAGAGTAGGAACAACACCATTAGTAACTTCTTATTAATACCAAAGATCTACGTAGTGATCTGTTATTCTTGAGTGCTTCAATGAATTCCGGTTCGATTTGATCACCTGTCATTTTGACGCTGCATTTCAAAACTCTGTCTGCCTTGAATCCATATTTTTGTTGTCTATTTAAGAGTCTGGTGATTCCTTTGAATGTATTATCGAGGTCATAGCGAAGTAATTTCAAGTGGTGAACCCTAGCCAACATCTCTACTTTTTATCGTTTACCGATGTCTTCATCTTGTACAAGTTGTTTCTTGATACCAGCGAGCAATAGTCGATACAATCCATGGAGAGTTGTTCTATCGCTGTCTCTTGCAAGAGGAACTCTACGCATTTCGCTCCATCATTGAATTCACAATCGATGTGGAAAATCTTGAGAATTCGAGGTAGCTGATCAGCTGCACTTGGAATGCCGGTGTATCATCGACTGGTTCACGATCGAAATACATAATGAAGCGGAATAGCAAGTGTTCCAACGCCTTCAAATTCAGCAGACCTTCGAATAACATCGGGGAGAACTTGTCACCCATCAAGAAGAAACAAAAGTCACCTGTTTCTTAGTTGCTCTCGGTAAATTCAACCAACTCCAGGTAGGTGAGCTCTTTCCGCGCCAATTCTCAAACGTTTCAAGCCGAGCGGTGACAACAATTTGATATCATAGAACTCATCGTCGAAGGTGCAACTTATTGGACAACTGAAATACTCTGGTTTCACTCCGAGCTTGATCATCATCCTGATGTCGCCGTGACCACACTTTAGAGAACGAAGATTCGGAGCGATCATCTTAGAGCATCCATACTGACATCTCTGAGTGCACCGGTAGCACAATCCAATTCCATCAAATTGTTAAAGAGTGCACATCTGTTAAGCTTATCTCTAGAGTTTGGTTTAGAAATAAGCAGGTTTAGTGTCTGATGCAAACAAGCAAAAACTGTCAATAAAATTATTAACAAATGATTTTCATATCTTAGTATTTTAGATAATTAATAAATATGATTTGTTTAGATTTGAATTACTTTATATATGTTGTTGGTGCGGGCGGACGGGTGTGATAAAGGTGTAGGGGTGTCGGTGTGGTGTGGGTTGGTAGTTTGTTGGTTATGAGGAAGAGCAAGCTGAAGTATCTAATTATAAATATATGATTCTGGTTCTACTGTATTTTAATACTTCAATCTCACAACTTTTTTGTTGTTCTTTTTGATTCTATTCTTTTTTTCTCACAATTCTCTTCTCTTATTTTCAATATTTCTTTTCTTACTTCTCTGCTTGTTTTTTTGTTTTTATTTTTAAATGTGAATGTGTTGATGTTATTATTCTAGTGTGTATTGTGTTGTACAGTGATGTGAATGAAAAAAGACAAACCAAACCAAAGAATAAGTTGACCTTAATAAGGTATATTAGAATATCAACTTGTGTTTAAAGTTGTTATATTATATTTGTTTGTTATAACTGAATTAATTTGGTCTAACAAATAATCATCATTCTTTTTATACTTTTTTCTTTTTGTTTTTATTTTTGATTGTAATTTGATCAAATTGATAAAATTAATTTGTTTTAAACACTTTAACTAACTGACTCCTATAGCATTTATTATAATGCAAAACTACTTTTTATTGTACGATTCTGTTTTGTTTAAAAAAAGACTAACAATTTAAATATTTTGATTTTTATAATTTAATCAATGTCGGTTGTGTCGAGATCAATATTAAACTTTCTAGATATGTTGATAGAAGCTGACTGCTTTCACCAGGTCTGTGATTGCCAACTTCTCGTTGTAGCCATGTGGCATTGCAAGTCCTTGACTGTTGACAACACATGGCATTATACGATAGATGTTGGGTGACACCGGCCAGTAGTATCGGGTGTCGGTGTTTGCAAACATGAGTCCGGACTTGACGTTCACGTCTTGTCCAAAGATTTTCTTGATGCACTGCTTGACCGCTTTGAATGGCTTGGCGGCGGGACTCGAGTATGGCGATGGTGGAAGTTTGGCGTCGATGATAACTTTGATTCTGGTGTCGTTGATCAAGCGGTTGTTTCTCTCGATGATGGCATCGACGTCATCGCCTGGAACCACACGATGACTAATCCAAGCGGTGGCGGTGGTCGGCAACACATTTGGCTTGATCCCAGAGCGGAACATTGTCACGGTGGTGGTCCTTCTCATGTAGTCGAGGAATGGAATCATTTCGATTTGTTGCTGTGTAAATTGATCGAGGAATTGATTCGGGTAGAGTGTGCTGTCCGGTGGTGGAAGCGGGTTCGATTCAAAGGCGGTGACGGCTTTCGTGAGAATACCGATTGGCGATTGCTGTGAGGGTGGCATCGAGGAGTGACCGCCTGGCGCAGTGGCGGTGATGTTGAAGTAGACGTAGCCTTTCTCGTTGACACCGAGCAACGCGGTGGTGGTGTTAAGTCCCGGGAGGAATCCGGCTTGTAGCAGCGGGATGCCCTCGTCGAGAATCATCTCGGCGGTGATTCCGAGGCTTTGGACGTGTGCCGATATCATCTTGTGGCCGTTGTATCCACCGATTTCCTCGTCGTGTCCGATGGCAAGATAGAGTGTTCTCTCTGGAACGTACGATCGTTTCAGCAGAGTTTCGATTGCCTCCATCGCACTGATTACGATCAGTTTGTTATCGATGGAACCACGACCCCAAACATAGCCATCTTTGATGACACCACCGAACGGATCGACAGACCAGCCCGACATATCAACAGGCACAACATCGTAGTGACAATTGATAAAGAATGGCTTCAGCGCAGGATTGCTACCATCCCATCGATACAACATCGAATATTTATTTATAATCTCTCGATTCAAGTGGCTATGTAAAACTGGGAATGCTTGTTGTAAATACTGAATGAAATCGGTGAATGGTTTATAATCAGTTTTAATATCTGGATCATCTTGGGAAATTGTTTTAAACTTTAAAGCCTAATTGAATTGAATTGTTAATATAGTAAAAATTATTGTGTATAGATATTATTAATATTTACATTTGCTAATTTTAATGCCACTTTATTGGCATTCGATTGTGGATATGCATTTACATTTGAAGATGGTGCAAATGACGAGACCACTACTAAAAAAATAAATAAAGTAAAAACAAAAAGCTAAATAAGAATAAATGAATTAATAATTTCTTCTTTATTGGATATATGAAATAATAAAGAAAGTTTATATATATACTTACTACAGGATTTAATAAAGTTATCCTTCTTTTAGGATCAGTGAATTGTTGGTAACACATTGGCAGCATTGTTTGAAGCTTTTTAGACTAACCCAATTCCTTAGCACTAATATTAGTGCAACATTTTATTTAAAAGATAACTTTATTTTAAAGAAAAATGACACCACTCACTTATTTTTAAATTCGATTATGAATATGTTTCGCATTTATCTAAATCAAATGAACTCTGGAAAATTATGTTTGGAGTCACCCTTATTTATAAAAAAAAATATATAAATCCTTTTTAGAAAATAGAGCGGAAGTTGTGTTCTAGTACTAGAATTCGCACTCAGAGATCGATTCACAAATGAAATACTCTAATTTTGAAACAGAATATCATTTTTCGAGATACAAACACTAAGATATATAGTTAAGGTGAATTGATCCATCTTGAGATACTATTTAGACTTGTAGTGTAATTTACCATATTTTAAGGTCAACAAATAATAATGTTTTGTTCATAAGTTTTAAACTTCACACTATTTTTAAAGTGGGTTGTAAAAATTTGTAAAAATAGTGTGAAGTTTAAAACTATTTATTACTATTACTTTATTCTTCTAGAGTGATAAATTTCTAAATGCACAGTGTGCGAAAAAAACAATTTTTATTGTTACTTTTCCCTTATGTTAAAAAGAAATGGCTCACCTCACTTATCAACCTCAATTAAGACAATTTACACAATTCTCCAGATTTAGAATGAATTTAATATCCCTATAAAATTGAATAGAAATTCAGTTTTTATTCTTTGATGATCATAAGAAATTAAATAATCTTAACAATATTCAAATAAACTCAAAGTATAAATATTTAATTTGATAGGCCTATCAAAAGAATTGTTCAAACCAAATCATAAATCATTTTATTATAGATACTTAAAGAAATGAAAATTTCAATAATATTGTTAGTAGTTGTTTTGACTGTTTTTGCCTATACTGCATCTGCTGGAGCAGCATACTTCGAAACCGCCGATGCTCATGGTAAAACTGGATTTATCATCAAATTAATTGATGAAGAAAACATTAAACATGCCAGAGGTTTGCTTGAAGGAACAATTACTGTAAGACCACATTTCTTGGGAAGAATTAAAAAAACCAGAGCTGATTATAACCCAAGATACAATTTCCATTTGGACTCAGAAACAATTTCATTTTTTGAAATGGCAATTGAAGTTTGCGATGCCACCACAATCTATGTAGAAGAACATTTAGATGAAGCATGTGGTGCTGTAAGTATTCTTTTAAATACTCCTCTTTACAAAAAGATTAACCAAATTTTAATTGGAAACTTTATCATAATTTAGTTCTTACCTGGATGTATGTGGTGTCCATGGTCCGGTAGATTAGTTAAAGAAATTAAACATTAATAAAATATATGGAATTCATTCATATTATTATGTTGGTCCTGTAAAATAGTTAGAGAAATTCACCATAAATAAAAAAATTTGTTTAGAATCTAAAGGTTCTTTTCAGTTTAAGAAAAAGTAAATTTATTCTAAATACTTTAATTTTGTTCACTTTCAAGATTTTGATACTGAATATTTTTATATACCACAATATTTTTATAGTTTTTTGGAATCAGGATCATATCTATTTATTCAGTGATAATTTTCAAACTTCTCAATGATCTGGAAATTAAAATATTAGCTCCAAATTAAAAAAAATAGGTTTTATTTATATATTCTAATTTAAAATAGAAATCTTTTATCTGATTATTATTACAAACAAATTTTTGATATTTTAATTAATAGTTTTTCTGCCAATTGGTACATGGAAAGTACCAATTGATCATACTAAGTGATCGAGCAAACCTTCTATTCTTTTTATTTTCAAACCATAGATATTCTATTATATTCTATAATATGATTTTGAAGTATTGTCATTCTTTCTATTTGACTAATTGTTGGATGTTGCTGAATGATATCATCGATATGTTTGATAAACTCTGGATATGTATTCAATGGGTCTACCATTTCAATATATTCGTCTTAGAGTGCTATTATTCTTGAGTGCTTCTAGGAAGATGTCATTGTATTTTGTATCTTCAAGTCTAACTCTACACTTTAATACTTTTTTTGTTGTTATTCTTTCGTTGTCATTTCCATTTAATGATGGTTTTTGATTCTTTAAATATAAAGAGAGAGCATTTAAGGTATTAAAGTATAAGAGTTTTAGATGAGTATGGTACTTTTAATGTAATCAGTTTCATTACTTTCTAGACATGCAGCAGGAGATCATCTATAGTTTTGATTTATCTATATCTAAACTTGACACTTTATTGGTTCATCTATCTAAATTGTATTCTTTTTAAGAAATATAAAAATCACATTATATCATATTTTGAAAAGTTATTGTTTTTATTAAAAGCATTACTGATCTTATTTTTAATACTGATATTTAAAAATAATAAAGTGTGTCGATAGTCAAGTTAATCAACAAAATGAATGATTTGTAGTTTGTACAAGTTAACAGTACTTTGAATTAAAAAATTTTTTAAAAAAATTCAAATTTATCTTTTAATTCAACGAATAATGATTTTTTTTAGTTTTTTTTTCTCAGATCATCATTCCCACAGTCAATTTCGATAATGATCATCAATCAAAGAACTAATTTTGATAATGTTATTTCTTGAATTTACAAAGTTATCAATTCAAGATAATGTTTTTTAATATAATTAAACTTAAATTGAATGAAAACTTATATTTTTTGGATTTTATTTTATTTTGTTGTTTAAGTTAAGTAGAGTGGTGAGAAAACAACAAGCACTACTACCACCACACCGACAAAAATATCATTACCCATATTTAGAGGTGATGTTGATGAAAGCGACCGACCAGGTCATTAATAGAGCCATCATGTCAAATGATATTATTTTGCTTTTGAAGAGCCAACAGTCCAAAACCAAATAATGTTAACTTTTAAACTTGGAAATGCAAAGAATTGATTGATATTTTTTATTAAACTCTACTTTGAATATCGTTTTTTTTAATTGTCATGAATTTGTTTTGATTTCCCAATTAATCGGTAACAACTGTCAAAACAACAAAAAATCATTAAAGAAATGATCACTCTGATCAAAATTGATTTTTTTTTTTTTAATAAAAAATAATGAATGAATGCAAAGTTTTTTTTATTTAGGCTTTGCAGGTTTTTCGTTGATTTATTATTTTGTGGGTAATGAACTTTATCATATTTGCAAGTAAATTTAATTAAAAAACGAAACTACAAAAAAACACAAAATATCATAAACACATTGTTTGATTTATGAAATTTAACACTAAAAACTAAATGAAAATGAACCAATCAAAATCAAATTTATTTAAAAACAGTTTCACCTAAAACATTTCATTTCTTGGATTTATTATCTTTCATTATATTAGTATCTATTGCTATGTGGTGGTTGGTTGTTTTATTTAGAGTTTTGACAAGATTAAATTCAACCTGAATTTTGATAGATACAAAAGAAAAATTGCGAATGTTGCAAATTTAACAAAACCAACTTTTTAAAACATAATTATAACCACAAATCAAAAATAAAATATACCCTTAATAGTGGAATGGGTTAGTAAATTAAAGCAAATCAATCTTGAATTTGAAGTAATAATCTTTTTTTAAATACCAGTTGGAAAAAAACAAAACAATTTTTGGTTTCTCATTTTAAATAGAAAATACCGATAGAAACCTTTTTGTAGTCTTTGTCAATATTATTTTTTTGGATATATAAATTAAAGGAATTCCCCAATAATATTAATTTAACGAAACAGTAATTTGGTACAAAGGTAAAATTGGAAAATAGAAAATAATTTCGTGTATCTTTCTAATTTATTTTTATTTTTATTTTTATTTTTATTTTTTTATAGTTTATTTTTCAATCTATAAATACTTGGTTTTCAAATCAACAAATAAATCATAAAAAATTCAAAAACTTAATTATATATATATTTATAAAATGAAATATATATTTTTAGGATTATTGTCATTAGTTTTATTTTTCACAGTGGCCAATGCCAAGTGTGAATTTTATCCATGTCCACCAGCACCAACCGAGGATTTCTGTAATACACATGGAGGTAATTTCTATCCGATAAACGAAGTCATGGGAAGATGTTGTAATGAATGTCTTTGTGATCCCGCTCATGACTGTCCATATGTCAACTACGATCAATGTTGGCTCACTGGTGGTGTCTTTGTAAAAGTCAATTACACTGCTGGAATCTGTTGTGAGTATTGTGATTACTCAAAGCTCTGTGAAACTGTCAGATGTGCTGCAGTTGATCCAACCAAGTGTAAAATTGAAGGTGGTATCTATCACCCAGCTGATCCAGGTATGTGTTTGTTTAATAAAAATAATATTAATATAAATTAAATTTAGCTAATATATTAATTTCTATTATTTATTTAATAGTTAATGGTTTCTGTTGTCCAACTTGTTACAAAAAGGATCCATGTAAAGGAGTGATTTGTAATGTAGTTGATCCAGATAAATGTAAAGCCAATGGTGGTGTTTTCGTTCCAAGTGATCCATTGAATGGTAATTGTTGTGATGTTTGTAATTACACCATTCCAAATCCATGCAAAGGTGTACTCTGTGATTTTGTTGATCCAACAAAATGTAGATTGAATGGAGGAATTTACTACCCAGCTGATCCTGCAAATGGTCGTTGTTGTGCCGATTGTAAATATCCATGCAAAGGTGAAGAATGTCCATTCGTCGATGAATACAAATGTTTAATGGAAGGTGGTGTTTACGAACCAGCCACACCTCCAGAAGTATGTTGTGCCAACTGTAACTTTACCAATCCATGTCAAACCAACATCAAATGTCCACCAGTCGATCCAAATAAATGTAAGGAACAACAAGGTACTTACACTTTACCAGATCCAGCAAATGGAGTGTGCTGTGCAAACTGTACTTTCCCATGCAAAGATATTAAATGTCCACCAGTTGATGCTGATAAATGTAAAGCAAATGGAGGTCAATATGTTCCAGCTGATGTTTTCAATGGTATCTGTTGTCCAAAGTGTAACTACACTGATCCATGCAGAGGTGTTGAATGTCCATACGTTGATGAAGTTAAATGCAGATATGAAGGTGGTGTATACATTGGTGCCGATCCATTAAATGGTAAGTTAATTTTTTAAAAACAAAATTTTATATTTTTAATTTTAAAATTATATTAATATAATAATAATTTTTTAGGAAGATGCTGTGCTCGTTGTCCATGCAAAGGTGTTGAATGCCCAACCATTGACCAAGCTTATTTAGATAAATGTAAGGCAAAAGGAGGTGTATTCACACCTGCTGATCCAATTAATGGTGTATGTTGTGGTAATTGTACTCTACCATGCGAAGGCGTTCAATGTCCAAATGTTGATCCTGAAAAGTGTAAACTCTCAGGAGGTGTATACACTCCAGCTGATCCAGCAAATGGTATGTTATTTTTTTAAAAAAAAACAAAATTTTTAATTTTTAATTTATATATTAATATAATATTTTTACCTTTTTTGGTTTATTATTAGGAAAATGTTGTGCCAACTGTACTTACAATCCAAATCCTTGTACTGACGTGATTTGCCCATTCGTTGATGCTAAAAAGTGTATTGCTAATGGTGGTACATTCATTCCAAGTGATCCAGCCAATGGACGTTGTTGTGATAGATGTTGGAATCCATGTGATCAAGTACTTTGCCCAATCGTTGTTTCGGAAGAAAAATGTAAAGCAAACAATGGTACATACACACCTGCCAACCCAGCTGCCGGTATCTGTTGCCCAAGCTGTATCCTCCCACCCAATCCATGTGAACATATCGTTTGTCCAGTCGTAAGTCCAAAGAAATGTATTATTTCTGGTGGTCAATATATTCCTGCAAATCCAAGTATTGGTAGATGTTGTGCTTCATGTAACTACACCATCTCTGATCCATGTTTCGGAGTATTGTGTCCAATCGTTGTAACCGAAGAAAAATGTAAAGCAAATGGTGGTACCTACACACCAGCTGATCCAGCTAATGGTATGTTTAGAAAATAGAATTGTTTTTGTTAAAATCAAAAAAACAAATATTAATATTTTCTCAATTAAAAAAGGAATTTGTTGTGCATCTTGCAAATTAAATCCAAATCCTTGTTTAGGAATCGTGTGTCCACCAGTTAGTCAAAAGAAATGTATTTTAACTGGAGGTATCTATCAACCAGCCGACCCATTGAATGGTAAATGTTGTGCAAAATGTTTGTATCCAATTGATCCATGTGCATTCATTCCTTGCCCACCAGTCAATCCACTTAAATGTATTTTCCATGGTGGTATCTTTGTTCCAAAGGACCCAGCAAATGGTATTTGTTGTGATTCATGTAAGATGCCTTGCGATGGAGTAGTTTGCCCAATTGTAAGTCCAAAGAAATGTATTTTCACTGGTGGAATTTATCACGCTGCAGATCCAGCAAATGGTCTTTGTTGCCCATGGTGTGAGTATAAATTGGATCCATGTTTTGGTGTAGTTTGCCCGTTCGTTGATCAAAAGAAATGTATTGCAAATGGTGGAGTATTTGTTCCAGCTGATCCTGCAAATGGACGTTGCTGTGATACTTGTAAGAAACCAATTGACCCATGTGATGGAATTCTTTGCCCTATAGTCTTACCAGAGGATAAATGTAAAGCAAATGGAGGTACTTACACACCAGCTAACCCAGCAGCTGGTATCTGTTGTGCCAACTGTACATTGCCATGCCAAGGTATTCAATGCCCACCAGTAGACGGTCATAAGTGTATTGCCAATGGTGGTACCTACATCCCAGCTAATCCAGCTGCTGGTATCTGTTGTGATTCATGTAAGATGCCATGTGATGGTGTTTCATGTCCACCAGTTCTTTCTGCTGACGAATGTAAGATCCAAGGAGGATATTACACACCAGCTAACCCACAAGCAGGTATCTGTTGTCCAAGCTGCAAGTTGCCATGTGAAGGTATCCATTGCCCGACTATAGATGCTCACAAGTGTATTGCCAATGGTGGTACCTACATCCCAGCTAACCCAGCAGCTGGTATCTGTTGTGATTCATGTAAGATGCCATGTGATGGTGTTGAATGTCCACCAGTTCTCTCTCAAGACCAATGTAAGATCCAAGGTGGTATCTATACACCAGCTAACCCAGCAGCTGGTATTTGTTGCCCCAACTGTACATTGCCATGCCAAGGTATTCAATGCCCACCAGTAGACGGTCATAAGTGTATTGCCAATGGTGGTACTTACATCCCAGCTAACCCAGCTGCTGGTATCTGTTGTGATTCATGTAAGATGCCATGTGATGGTGTTGCATGTCCACCAGTTCCCTCTGCAGATGAATGTAAGATCCAAGGTGGTGTCTATACACCAGCTAACCCAGCATTGGGTATCTGTTGCCCATCATGTAACATAACAACTGTTAATCCATGTGCAGACGTTGCATGTCCACCAGTTCTCTCTCAAGATCAATGTAAGATTCAAGGTGGTGTTTATACACCAGCTAATCCAGCAGCAGGTGTCTGTTGCCCAAGCTGTAAACTTCCATGCGACTCCGTTCAATGTCCATACGTAGATGCCGATAAATGTAAAGCCAATGGTGGTGTTTACACTCCAGCTAACCCAGCAGCTGGTATCTGTTGTCCATCATGTAACTACACCAGCAATCCTTGCCAAGGCGTAGAATGTCCATTCGTTGATCCAGAAAAGTGTCATGCTGAGAATGGAGTGTACGTTAATGCTGATCCAGCAAATGGACTGTGTTGCCCATACTGTCGTAGAAACGATTCATGTTGTTACGAAATCCAATGTCCATACATTGACTTCAAGTTGTGTCAAGAATCCGGTGGTATCTTTGTACCAAATGACATCTATGAACACCGTTGTTGTGATACTTGTTACAACCCATGCAAATATGTCAAGTGTCTCTATGTCACACCAGAGAGTTGCAAGAAACAAGGATTAGTATACTCACCAGCCAACTCACCATTAAAGTGTTGTCCAACCTGTGAAAAACCAGATATCGCTACTCCAACCACTAAAGTTCCAATTGCCTAAACATTATTAGCAATCATATAAATATTAATAAGATAAATTTTTAAACAAACAAAAATCTTATAAAAATTTCATAATAAAATAAACTAAACTTTAATATAATTCTTTGTTCTTAGATACAAAAAAAAAAAGTCAAAGTACCGCAATTGCAACATCTCCTGTCAAACCCACAGAATTCTCCTGTTGTTGTTGTTCTTGGATAATTGTTGATAAATCCAAAATCATATGAATTTTCTAAAAAAGACAAGTTTATTGATTCGGCTGTACAGCCATCTTTATGCTGCATGAATCGGTGTTTTGTAATTATAATAATTACTGTTACTATCAGCGTCTTTCTACTGATGTGTACTCTACCAAGGGTTGTAAAAAAACCAAAAGACAATAGATTAATTATTTGTTTCATTCTAGAAATAATCAAAAAAATATAATTTTAAAGATATTTAAAAAAAACTATTATCTAACATTTCAAATGTAAAATTAATTAATTTAGATGAATCATAAAATCGAAAGTATTGATATCAATATATCGTTGAATAACGATCAACAACCTAATGTTGTTAATGAAATCATCAAATATCTAATGTATATGAGAAATCAGATAAAAAGGTTTGTTAATTTAAATATCTTAACTTGCTTGCTTGCAGTCGACTGACTTACTTACTCTCTAAAACAACTCTCACAGTACTTTTAATAATCTAGGACAACAGTCGTTTGTAGCTACAACCAATGCAGGAAGAATAAGTAAATCTGCACAATCGAAAATAGATAAATTTCAAAAACAATGTGATCGTTTGTTTCAATCGATTCAAAGAGAGTTTAGTAAACCCTCGACAGAAATAGCAATGGTTGCATTAATATTCGGTAGTTCTGTTATATCACCAAGAGAAATCTATCTAATTAGATTTGCACAATCGTCGACAATAACTAGTTTAGATATGCAAGATGATCAAGCAACAACAATGAGAGAAATCTTTAGATCACTTGTTATCGCACAACCAAATAGTTTTATCGATCAAATACCAATTACAAAGATGTTTACATTGTTATTTAGAAAATATAATTCAAATAACAGCAACAATCATGATGATAATAACAACCAAGAAGAAATAGATGAAAAAGACACTGATAGATTCATACCTAAACAAAATCAAACATCAATTACATTTAAGAAATCAACGAAAATTACATTATTTGATTTCGATTCATCAACTACACCTATTTCAGATCTAATTGAAATTAATAAGAATAAAATATTATTCAAATGTAATATAAATAATGATGATAACAATAATAATAGTGATATGGAAATGGATATGGAAATAGATACAAGTCAGACATCTGATAATAATGATATTAATAATTATCGAGAATCAATTATATGTCTACAATCACCAATATCAATTAAAGGAATGTAAAATAAATGTAAAATACTTTTTTAAAAAAAATGTATTATTTAATTATGTTTTTGATTATTATTTTGTTTTTTTATACTTTTATACTATTTGCTCTACAAGCATAGACTGTCTCTAAATCAGATACTTCTAATGGATCACGATCTTGATGTCTAACGTCTACTCTGATGACCTTTCTTACGGTCTTGTTGTCGTGCAGCAATGCACCGAGTGTCTTCCATGTCATGTTGAGTTGATAACGTGTTCTAATATCGTTGAAGATCTGATCTTCGGTTCTACCGGCGTACCAAACGTTGATGTCCTTGGCGGCGTGTTGTGCGTATCCTTCATAGTGAATAGCTTCTGGCAACTCAATGAATGTAGTCTTTCCGTTCATCAAGTGATTCATCAATACCTCTTCGAATTGCTCACGAGTCTTCATTCCGAACCAATGGAAAACACTCAGACACAACTGATATTCATAGACGTGCTTCTTGGTGACGAGTTCCTTGAACATCGACGATTTGATGGTGGTCTTACAGAGGTAGTTGTTGTTGATTTCGAGTTCCTTCATCTTGGCTTCGTGTGCCTCGTGTGCTTTGCTGTATTCACCGATCGCCTCACCCTCGAGCGACATCACCAGGACGTTTGGTAGCTTCTGTGCCAAGTTGACAGAGAAGTATCCGTGGTTCGATCCGTAGTCGACTGCCTTGGCATTCTCTGGGATCACTCTGAGATTCTTGCTGTCCATTTCGATTTCACGCTCGATCATTCTCCAACGTGGCAAGTTTCTCAGTGGGTGGTAACCAGTCTCGGTGGCACCAGCCAAGATTCCGAGATTTTCGAGATCCTTCTGACTCGACTCCATGAGAGCACGCTCCTGTTTGGCGTTGAGTTGTTGAACCTTTTCGCTGGTTGGTGTCGAGTGGAAGCTGACTTCGATGTGTGCTGGGAACACGGTTTGGAAGGTGTATTGTGCACGCAACATGTGGAAGTCAGAGGTGACAACGTAGACACGCGAGATTCCATCGGATTCGAGACGACCCAATGTATTGAGAGCGTTCTCAGCTGTGTTGGTCGAGGTCAAGTCGAGGTAGATGCTAGATTCAAGAACCTTATCGTCGAGTGCCAAAGCGAGATCTTTCATAGCGGCAGCTTCCGACTTGTATTCGTATTCATCGAGTTCGTTGTTACCGGTCTTTCCCTTGCCAGAGAAGATGAGAAGTGGATTGGAACCGGTGTTTACCAACTGCACGTAGGCATCGACGGCCGTTGACACACGATCCTTCAAGATCTTTGATGGCATACCGTCAGAGTGCAAAGTGTATCCAAGCGTAACGATAGCGACATCGTGGTTATCGCTTCTCTTTGTCGAGGGTGAATCGCTGTCAATGTCTATGGGAATATAGTTTACATCGGCTTTATCGTTGCTATTCTGATTGTTGTCGTTGTTGTTGTTGTTGGCGTAGTGATCTGCATTGTTGTCGCTATCGTATTGTTCGATCGGTGTTTTTGTGTGAGGTGGTTGTGTGGGTGGATTCGATGGATGTCTTGTTGGTTTTTCAGTGACATCTACACTCTCAGGTTTTACATTACTATTATTATTATTACTACTGCTATTATTATTACTCGAGAAATTCCAGAACGATGTCAAATAGAGAAACAACACCACACCCACCAAGATTGTAATCTTATTACGTGAGATACCGAACCTCGATGATGAATTATTATATCTACGCATTTATATATATTGTTTGATTTTTTATTAATTATATTTTTAAAATCTATTATCTATTAACTATTTATATATATAAACTAAACTAAACTCTCAATGAGTAATTAAACTAAAATATCTTTTTACTGGTTGGTTTGCTGTGCTGTGAGTTGTGTTGTTGTTTTTTAAATTTTATTTTATTTCTTTGATTAATTAAAACACAAAGATAAAAAAATAAAAAGTTGTTTGTTTGGTATTGTAGTGGTGTGTGTTGTTAGTTGTAACACTCAATTGAAGTTGTAGAGTCAATGGATTAGCGAGTGTTAATCCAGTTATAAGAGATAATATAAAATATTAAAAAAAAAAAAATATTAAAAAATATTAAAAATAAAAAAAAGTCCTCATTTATTTTTTCAGATTTTTTGGTGACCACATTCAATTTGATTTTATTTTTATTTTTTGCCAAGTTTTAACTGATGAGTTGGTTTTTCATATCAACAAAATTCATTGGAAAGATCCAAAAAACCAAGAGGTTTGAAAAAAAAAAAAGTCAAACCAGTTTATTCACAACTTAGATAGATCCAACAAACAAATAATTATCAATTCTTTATTTATTCAAAAATGATGTTGTGTGTGTGATTTTACTCAATTCTTTAGAGTTAAAAACTAAAATTAAAAATAATTAAAATAAAATTTTTGGTAGATAATAGATAGATAAAATTAAATCTAACCTATCTATCTATTATAAAATAACGTTAATAAAGAAAATTATATTATTACAATTAATTAATTACAACTATAAATTTGATTATTTTTTTTCAAACTTAGTTTTGTTAAAAAATAAAAATAAAGATAAAAAAAATTTTAAATTAAAAAATTCATTTCACCTTTTTGCAATTGATTAGTTTTTTCATTAATGTTATTTGTTGTTTTGTAAATTAGTAATCAGATAGATAAGATAGATTAATTAATTGATTGATAGATTGCTTGTTGATAATAGAAAAGATATGAATAGTAGTAGTAGTTTTAGTGGTGGAAGTATGGGAAGTGGCATTGGAGCGGGAGGCACTGGTGGATCGACAAATAGCAATCTTACTGGTGGTGGAATGGGTGGTAGCACAGGATACTATAATAGTGGTGGTTACTACGGTGGTGGCGGGGGCAGTGGTAGCATGGGTAGTATGGGAAGCATCGGTAACATCTCTGTCATCAACGCAACCAAACCAATCAGACCATCCTACAAAACTCCCGAAGGTTACTACAAGTTAATCAAAGAGATAACGCCACAATCACATAAATATTCAAAAAGATTTGCAAGATCATTTATAAAATTATCATTATATCATAGTAGTAGTAGTAATAACAATAATAATAATAATAATAATAATAATAAACAACAACAACAAACAACAAATAATAATAAACAAAAGAATATAATACCAAGTAAATATTCATCGGAGGATAAAGTTTATTGTAGTGCTGTGGTAGGTGGAACCTATTTCCTTTATCATTTCACAAATATTGATAAAGCGGAATACGATGAATCCGCTGCTATTCCATTGGAGCGTGTACCGACCTGTTTGAAATTCAATAGATATAGGAGTGTGAACAATAAGTTGAATCTGGTGATTGGAACGGAATCGGGTGAGATATTCTATATCGATCATACCGATAATCCTCTGATATTCAATAGGAACGGCAGGTTGGTATCGTCGTCGGTTACCTCTGTCGAATGGCTACCTGGATCGGCAACGCAATTCATTGCTTGTTTCGCCAGTGGATTGATGCTTGCTTTCGATATCACCAAGGCAGAGATCACTCCTGGCGTTGCTGCCAACAATGACGACTCTCACCGCGTCAACTTGAATCCGATGATCGAGTGGAACGTCTCTAGTAAATCAATCTCCTCCACCTGTTTCTCACCGAATGGCAAGTATCTGGCGGTGTCTGCACTTGACGGTTTGCTATCGGTGATCGACTTTGAACGTCGCCAAATAGTTGTACAGTTCAAGAGTTATTTCGGTGGATTCCTATGTGTCGATTGGTCACCCGATGGAAAGTATTTGGCTAGTGGTGGCGAGGATGACTATCTCAGTATTTGGTCGTTCGAGGAAAAGTGTTTGATTGCACGTGGACAAGGTCATCAGTCGTGGGTGAGCAGTGTCAAATTCGATCCTTTTGTTGTCCCCGAAGACGAATCGGTTCATCTCCAAGCACATCCTGATTCACCGGTATTACAATCTACACCGGTCGGTCCTTCACCTTTTAACTATAGGATTGTAACCGGTGGTGAAGATACCCGGCTATTGCTATGGGATTTCACAAGAGATTCACTAAAGAAACCAAGAGGATTCGTTGCAAAAGGATCGGTTGCTGTAACTAATCAAGATGATACCTCTGCAACTTTGAGTGCCAGTTGTCAAATACAACATCAACCAAATAATAATAACAACAATTCAAATTCACTTGTAATCACACCAATCTCAAGATTACAAGCATCTTTCTTGACTCCAATCGTATCACATCGTGTACATACTGATCCAGTGACTGATATCACACTATCTAAAGAATGGATCATTACAGCATCAAATAAGAAAATTTGTATATGGGCAAGACCAAATACTGTTGCAAATGTAATTATCAAAATATAATTATTAAAATAATAATCTAATATTAACTTTTTTTTTTTATCTTTATTTTTTTAGACACAAAAAGTTGATTCTATGATGTGCTCACCCAATACACCATCATCATTCACAGCAATGAATATGAAACTTCATGAATAATAATCAAATCAAATCAATATAGATATATAATTAATCATATACTTGTAAATAGAATAATATAATAAAATATTTTTGTTATTTTTAAAAAAATAAATAAAAAAAAATAAATTAATATTATAGTTTATATATATGTTGTTGTTTTTTTTTCTCTTAAAAAAAGGTTATAGGTTATAATTATTTGTTTCTATGTTGATCGTGTAAGTTAATTTAATTTAGTTATTAAAAGTGTTATGATGATTGTGGAGGTGTTGTTGAAGTGGATGGTGTTGCTGGTGGAGATTGTTGTTGTGGACTTGTCAGTGAGGGAGATGGAGTTGTTGGTACAGCCGGTGTATATGAATTGTTGAGTGAGAGTGGAATCGGTGAGTGTGAGGTCGACGATCCACCACCACCGTTCGGCGATTGATTGCCAGGTGTCGATGGCTGAGTGTTTGGATTGCTATTACTACTGCTCTGTAGTGGTGAAGTTTGTTTCTTTCTAAAGAGATCCCACAGCGATGAACTACTCTTTTCGGCGGTCAGCTTTGGATTGGAAGACGATGCTCCGTTGGGTGAAGCACTGCCACTGGCGGCATGCTGTGAGATGGCCAATGGCGATGGAACCTCCTTTGAACTCTTGTTGGTATTGGCATAGAGATTCGATGAGAGTGCCTGTTTTTGTGGAGTAGATGGTCCACCTGCAGCACCACCGCCACCTCCACCTCTCAGTGGTCTAACTATTCTCGCACCATCGGAAGGCGCCAGAGGATTCTTCTTATCACTCTCCATTGACTTGTATTTATTCAATTCATTATTTAATGAATCATGACTGAGAAAAGAAGATGAAATGTTGGTTGTTAGTTTAACTTTACATTTTACATGGTATGTAATTATAAATTACTTACTTTAATGCTAATTTATAGAATCTTTCTTGAGATTCTTTTAGTGTATCTTCAAGTCTAAGGATATGTTCGTTTCTCAATGTCAATTGTTTGTTACAACGTTGTGTTTCTTGTTTCAGTTTGTTGTTTTCAATGGAGAGTTGATGTTTGACTGATGTCATTTCGTCGAGTTTCAATTGAACCAGCGAGTTTTCTTGTTCACCATTCATCTTTGATGTACGTTTGAGACGCTCTGTCAAGGTGGCGTTTCTGTCTTGGAACTCATCGAGTACCAACTCCAAATCGATGACCTTTTGACAACGATTCTCGAGGTCACGAAGCAACGACTCTTTGAGTGAACCAAACTCTGAGAGCTTCTGGTTGGTCTGCTCTCTTAGCATATTGAGTTCCTCTTCCATACGTTGTCTCATCTCCTCCTCGATATTGTTCAACTTGGCATTCAATCGCTTATTCTCATTCTTGAGAGTGTCCAACGTTGATTTCTGTTCACTGTTTTCATTGAGCAGCTTCCTCAATTGCTCAGCTTGGAACATCATCTCTGATGGAATCTCATCTAATGAACTATTATTATTATTCTTATTATTATCGACATCTGTAAGAGAAATAACTGGATTGGAAGTAGTATCATTATTATCATCATCAATTAATTCTTCTAATTTAGATGAATTATCTGTTGAATCTACTTGATTATTATTATTATTGTTGTTGTTGTTGAGTGAATCTATTTGAGATTGTAACTCTTCTAACTTCTTTTTCAAGAGTTCATTCTCTTCGATAAGCTCGGTGCTATTGTTGTTGCTAGTAATCGATAGACTTGAAAGTGGTAAAACACTTGGTGATGATTTACTTGGTTGTTTTGCTTTTGAAGGTGTCTTTTGGAGAAGTTTCAATTGTTCCTCTTTCTCTGCCCATTCGTCATTGTGTTTCTCGACCTCACTGATTGCCGATCTAATTGGTGGTGAAGGTGTGTAATGGTCACCGATACCACCGACACCCTTTGAAGACTCGATCTTTTCTTGCAACTGTGATTTAATCGATGCATTCTCTGCACTCAACTCTTCTATTACCAAAGTTTGCTCCACCGATTCATAATTCTTCTTTTCCAACAATAATTTAATCTCTGTTAATTGTGCACTTAGAATATCATTTTCCTTTAAACAATTATATTAATATTAGTTTTGTTTATAATAAATATATTATTTCCAATCCAACTTACATTTGATAAAGAAACATATTTACTTGCTTCATCTTTTAATGAAGTTACTTGATGCGTTTGAGTTTCCAATTCCTGTTCCTTGTCTTGAAGTTGAATGGAAATGGTATCCAGTTGTTCAGATAACTCTTTCTTTTCCTCTTCCTTTTGGAACAACAATTTCTCCAATTGTATACATTTCTCTTTCAAACCCTGTACATCAGCTGATTTATCAGTATCCAAATTATTTCCAATTTCTAAAAGTAGTAAAAGTGGTTAAACCAAACATTAATAATGATATAATTAAAAAAACGTTGATAGTTTTATAACTTACTGGAATGTGGTACACCAGATACAGTTTCTAACTCCTTAATATAATCTTTTAGACTTTCAATCTCTTTCTCTGCTTTCGATAGTAGGATTTTCAGTTCGGCAGCGGAACGCTCTTGATTGATCTTTGCTTTGTTCTTGATGGACTTGGCACGATTACCGAAACGGAGAGTTGAGAGTGTTTCAGTCTCGTTGTAGCTACTCGGTGAACAATTGATGATCAGTGTAGTTCGCGAGTTACCACCGAGTGACTCTTGCAGTACTCTTGTCAGCTTTGAATCTCTGTAGGGAATGTGCGTCGACTTGCCATCGGTCAGCGCATTGATAACATTACCGAGTGACGACAGCGATTTATTAATCATTTTCGCTTCGTCAAGAGTCAATCCCTGTGCACCTGTCTTGGCAATCTTTTCGGAACCCGCCAAATCCACCAGGTATAACTTTCCACTCTTATTCGATCCCTCCTTTAAATTCTTTTGTTGTATAGTCAAAATGAAAATACTATGTGATCTAGATGATTCTGCATTCATCTCTATAATAATGAATAATAATAATGATGAATATTATTATTATTAATATTTGATTACAAATGTTATGTAACAATAATAAACAAAACAACTTACTTGTCTCTGCAATTGCTCTGTTGGCTTGACCTGCACGCATTACCTCTAGGATATCATCTTCTCTGTAGATGTAAACTTCAGTTGTACCGTCAACCCATACACCTTTACCCTTTTCCTCACGAACCTTTAGATTATCCTTACGAACATCCAAAAGATCACGAATTCTCTCCATGTAGATTTCGATATATGATGCTTTGACAATGAACTCTATATTCTCATCCGCTTTAGTAATACAATCAAACACTGTATTGATCATTCTTGGAATGACACCTTTCAACTCTGCATCATCAATAGAAGGTCCCTAATGGAATTGGAAAAAGTGATAAAAATAGATAATTAAACTTTGAGCTTTTGTACAAATAATAATAATAATAACAATAATAAGAATCAACTACTACTTACTTGCATTGTATGAGTTTTACCAGAAGATGTTTGACCATATACAAAAATGGTACCATTGTAACCTTGCATGATATCTTCGATTACTGGCTTGGCAGCGTCATCATATACATCTTTCTGTGAGTTCTTCTCTGTGTAGATTCTATCGAATGTAAATGTGTGATTCGATTCATTACCCTGTTGATGATAATATCGATATTATAATTATTATTGAAATTCAAAAAATTAACAAACTTGATCATTTGACTTGATATGATTTGATCAATCTTCTTTTTCTTCTTCTTTTCCTAAACTCTTGATTTTAAATTACCTTTATAGTAACTGTTTGATCGTCGGCAACATCTACAACTGAACAACCACCTTGAGCCAATTCAATCTTGTTCTGAGGTCTGAATCTACAGACCACTCGAATAGATGACATCTTTTCTTTATTTTTCTATTTATAAATTACTATAAATATATATAACTATACCTAACTATTCTATACTATTTCTATTACTATTATTACAAACTAAACTAAACTATAACTTATTACTTTTTATCTTTTGTTAGATATGTATAAATAATGTAATTTCAGATATATTTGAATAAAACGAAACTAATATGATATTGTAAGTGCTTGCTTGTAATAAAATAAATAACTATATATCATATAATATCTTTTATGCCAATAATAATACACACAAACAAAAAATCTAATCAAAAGAAAATTAAAAAAAATGCATGCAAATTAAAAAATTTTCGCTTGGAATTAGAAATAGAAAATTTTTTTGTTTATTATTTTTTTTTTTTATATTTGTTTTAAGAGTTAAACCAACTATCATATATATTTGTAATTCTTAATTATTTTTGTTTTAAGATTTAAACCAATTATTTTTATTGGTTACTTTTAAAAAATATTAATATTATCTATTTATGATCTTCAAAAAAAAAAAAAAAAAAAGAAAAAGAAAATTAAAAAAAAAATTAAAAAAATAACTAAAATGAATTCAAATAAAATAGTTACGCAATAAAGTTTTTTAATTTATTTATTTTAAATTTAGAGAGACTAAACTACTATACCAATTAGTTATAATTGTAATTGAATAATTTTATTTTATCTGTTCTCTATAAGAATAAAAGATAAAAGATAAAGTATTATTTATTTATTTATTTTTAAAGATAACAGATAAAATGTTTAGAGTTTTTTTTTTTTATTCGTTGACTCTCTAGTTGTTAGTAACAGCAGCAAAGAGTTGTAAATGCAAAAAAAACAACTTTTATATTATCTGTAAATCTAAAGTTATAATGTTTGCCTCATGTTTCAAAACTACATGTTCATTCTCAAAATTTTATTTGTTTGTAGAATCTATTGGTTAAGTAGTTTATTTCTATGAATAATAATAGGGTTGTTTAAACTATAGCTTTTGGGCTACTTTACATTCTTTTTGTAATTATCTCTCTTCTTAACAACATCCAAAACTTATAACATTCTATAATGAATTATCTGTCTATTTTTCTCTGCTCTACATAATACCGAAGTCAACACACAACAACAAACAGGGGGGAACAAGTCCAATATTACTTTTCTGATTTCTTATTGTTTTTTTTTTTTTTTTTTTTCTTGTGCAATGATGCAAAAACAACTGATTTAGAAAGAATATTATCAATCAATCGATCAATTGTGTAGAACTATTGTTAGTGATACCAAAATTGGGGGTACCGTTCTGCTTTGATATTATGAATACCACCACCACTCCACTACTTCTAATGAATCCGAATACTACCTCCAATATCACCTATATGATTCTATTAAAACTCCACCAAAACCATTGTTGTTTACAAAATCAAAATATCAACAAGTTGTAAAATTCATTTGAATATTTGCTTAATGAAATTTGAAAAAAATGAAATCAAAGATTTTTTTGTTTTTCATGTCATCATTCTCCATCCATTTGATTTTCAAGTTTTTTTTTTCTATTTTTTTTCAAACCGATTTCGACGTAATGGGTATATACTTTTTTTGACCAATTTTGTAGGAACCTTGCACTGCAAAAAAAAACTCCATTGACAATTGACAATTCTATTTAGTAAGTTTTTTCAGGTTGGAACTTGTTAATTTGTTTTTTTTTTTTTTGCTTTATAAATCTCCATGTCGTTTGTGGTTGGGGGTATTGATTTGATTTTTGAATGTTCAAACTCCATAAAAAAAAAAAAAAAATACAAAATATTTTGAATAATTTTGATATTATGATATTTTAATTTTATTTAATATTTTATTTTTTCTAAAATCTTTTCCTCTCTGTCAAGACACCTTTAAAATCAACTTGCAAGTCTCTCTAGAAACTAATTCATTTATTTATTTTACTTATTGTATAATAATATTACACATATATAAAAACAATGAGATCTGTTATTATCTTGACAGTACTTTTATTAGTTTCTATGGCTGCTGCCAAGAAATTGTCATTGGGTAAGTGCGGAATCGAATTTTTAATATTTATTCCTAAATCAAGTTATTTTTAGAAATTTAAATTATTAATTTTATAACTTTCTTTTCTTTTATAAATAATTTCAGAGGAAACCCAATTCCGTCAATTCCAAATCAAATATAACAAGCAATACACTTCATCAGAGTATGCTGAACGTTTCGCTACTTTCAAGAGCAACTTGAAGGTTATCGATGAGAAGAACAGAGATGCTGCTTCCCGTAAATCCTCAGTTAGATTCGGTGTCAACGAATTTGCTGATCTCTCACAATCTGAATTCCGTGCTACCTACTTGAACTCTGTCCAAGCTGTCCGTGATCCAAATGCCGCCGTCGCTGCCGATCTCCCAGTTGAGGATCTCCCAACCGCTTTCGATTGGCGTACCAAGGGTGCCGTCACTGGTGTCAAGAACCAAGGTCAATGTGGTTCCTGTTGGTCATTCTCTACCACCGGTAACGTTGAGGGTCAATGGTTCTTGGCTGGTAACACTTTGACTGGTTTGTCCGAGCAAAACTTGGTCGACTGTGATCACGAATGTATGGAATATTTGGGTGACAATGTTTGTGACCAAGGTTGCAACGGTGGTCTCCAACCAAACGCCTACACCTACATCATCAAGAACGGTGGTATCGACACTGAAGCCTCATACCCATACCAAGGTGTTGATGGTACCTGTTCATTCAAGGCTGCCAACATTGGTGCCAAGATCTCCAACTGGACTTACGTCTCATCCAACGAAACTCAAATGGCCGCTTACTTGGTTGCCAACGGTCCATTGGCTATTGCTGCCGACGCCGTCGAATGGCAATTCTATTTGGGTGGTGTATTCGATGTTCCATGTGGTAACACTTTGGATCACGGTATTTTGATTGTTGGTTACTCTGCTGAGAACACCATCTTCCACAAGGACAAGGCATACTGGATTGTTAAGAATTCCTGGGGTGCCACCTGGGGTGAGCAAGGTTACATTTATATTAGTCGTGGAAACGGAGAGTGTGGTAGGTTTATGAAAAACGAAAGGAGTTTCATATTTTAAAAGTTTATTTAAATGATAAACCAACAAATATGTATCTCTTTTCTATTTATTTATTGAAAATTAATAATTTCCCATTTAATATTAATCAAAAAATTTCTATTTTTTTTTTTTTTAAAATTTATTTTCTAGGTCTCAACACTTTCGTTACCTCGTCCATCATCTAAATTAATAATAAATATTATTTGATTTAACTGTATTTCTTTTGTTATCACAACAAACTAATTTTTTTTTTTTTTTTTGTTCCACATGAAATTAATTCATAGTTCAAGTCAAAATTTACAATGATAGATAAAAACAAAATTTAAAAGTATTATTAATCAAATAGATAATCAACAAAGCATCAATCACATCTGAAATATTAATACATTTCAGAATATGTAAACTAATCATGGAGTTACAAAGATAGCCACCTGTATAATCTGATAGAAAGGATATAAATAGTGAACTAACAAAATCAATTAAATTAATTTTTGTACAAAGAATCAAATAAATATTACACTTTTTCTTCTAAATTAAATCATACTCTTTATTAATCTTATAATATTTATTCAATTTATATTCACAACTATTTCTAACTTTTCTCTTCCTCTATTAACGTATCAACTTTAAGTATTTGTATATTAACCTGCAATACTTTTAGAAAAGTGAACACTTCAATTTAGTGAATTATTTAATATGATTGACAAAAAATAATAATAAAATATCATAATATAAATTTGAATTTATTAAAATTAATTTTAAATTCATAAATATAAATAAATTTTAATAATATAAATTTGATTGAATCAATAAATGGTACTTGACAGACAAACAAAAATTTGAAAAGTTGTCTGAAACTGATTTTTGTTTCTTACTGTTCTTTCTATTAATTTCTACTTTTCTTTTTTTATGTGAATCCATTTTTTAAATTGAATATAATTGAAAATATATCTAAATTAAATAAATGTATATAGATTCTTATAGAAATTAAAGGCTCATTTTATACTCATTTTATAGCTTTTGAGATGGACAATTGACAAACAAGATTATTCTCTTATTATTTTTTGTTAATCATTTTTGTGTAATAATTGTTTGTCAATCATATGATTTTTTTAGATTCAAAAAAAAAAAAATTTTATAACTTGTTTAGTATCAAAAACAACTTCAACACCAACACCAAAAGCAACTCTATCAACAACTCCAACAACAACCTTGACCTCAACCAATACCAAGAAGGGAGAAACAAAATCTGATTCAGAAATAGATATTGATGTGATAGAAACTTCAGAAAAAGATTCTTATTTAACCTCCGAGTCCCCTTTTAGTATTCAAGAAAAGAAACTATTATCCAATTGCCTATGTCCTTTGTGCTTAAAACAAGTAGTTTTCATATCAAAAAACAAATACAAACCAGATACAGTTAAGATGGCTATCTTTTGTTTATATATGCTAAAGAAGCACAATTATCGTTTCGACAGGAATGAAATTATAGAATTTATCAAGGACCATTGGGAATTCTTTAAAATCAATAGAGTTAAATATGGTAAGTATTTAAAAAGAAAATATATTTCAGTTCAATAATAATTATTAATCTAAAAATTTAATTTATATCTTATTTTTGTAAACATTTACAAAAAAACAATATTTGATTCAAATAAATAATCTTTTTAATTTGTTTCTCTAAAAATTGATTTTTTATTAGTGTGGTATGATCCTAGAGCTAAATAAATATAGTTATTATATAAATAAAATGACTTATGGAATGGGACGTTACCCTTCAATATATAAATAAAAACAAAATTATTAAATTTCTCGATAATAAAAAGAAATGATTATTTATTCTTTATTATTCTTTATCTTGATTATTCTCTAATTCGTTGATTGATTGACGTACTGAATTTAACCAGCCTTTAAATTCAAAGTATTTTTGTCTGGAAACATTGAGAAGCTTGATGGAGGAAACAACAGATTTAATTAATTGAATTATTATTTATAAATAGATCTGTTGTTTTAGGATATCATTTATTTAATTAATTTATTAATTTAATTATTTAATTAACTATTATTGTAGTTGTCATCAATTGATCAGTGGGTATTACAATTATTATCTAGAAGACTATAAAAATGACATACCTTTTTGTTTAAAATTTCAAAAGAGCTGGGGTTAGATATCTAGCCAAATAATTTTTAAATGTATTATTGAAAATCATAATATAGTGAAGTATTAAAAAGAAATAATTTGTAGTATTTAAAAAAATTATATTTTGTTGATATTGTTTTATTGAAAATTTGATAACTTTTTTGAAATTTTTTAAATATTTATATGATTGCTAATAATGTTTAGGCAATTGGAACTTTAGTGGTTGGAGTAGCGATATCTGGTTTTTCACAGGTTGGACAACACTTTAATGGTGAGTTGGCTGGTGAGTATACTAATCCTTGTTTCTTGCAACTCTCTGGTGTGACATAGAGACATTTGACATATTTGCATGGGTTGTAACAAGTATCACAACAACGGTGTTCATAGATGTCATTTGGTACAAAGATACCACCGGATTCTTGACACAACTTGAAGTCAATGTATGGACATTGGATTTCGTAACAACATGAATCGTTTCTACGACAGTATGGGCAACACAGTCCATTTGCTGGATCAGCATTAACGTACACTCCATTCTCAGCATGACACTTTTCTGGATCAACGAATGGACATTCTACGCCTTGGCAAGGATTGCTGGTGTAGTTACATGATGGACAACAGATACCAGCTGCTGGGTTAGCTGGTGTGATAGACACCACCATTGGCTTTACATTTATCGGCATCTACGTATGGACATTGAACGGAGTCGCATGGAAGTTTACAGCTTGGGCAACAGACACCTGCTGCTGGATTGGCTAGTGTATAAACACCACCTTGAATCATACATTGATCTTGAGAGAGAACTGGTGGACATGCAACGTCTGCACATGGATTAACAGTTGTTATGTTACATGATGGGCAACAGATACCTAATGCTGGGTTAGCTGGTGTATAGACACCACCTTGGATCTTACATTCATCTGCAGAGGGAACTGGTGGACATGCAACACCATCACATGGCATCTTACATGAATCACAACAGATACCAGCCGCTGGGTTAGCTGGGATGTAAGTACCACCATTGGCAATACACTTATGACCGTCTACTGGTGGGCATTGAATACCTTGGCATGGCAATGTACAGTTGGGGCAACAGATACCAGCTGCTGGGTTAGCTGGTGTATAGATACCACCTTGGATCTTACATTGATCTTGAGAGAGAACTGGTGGACATGCAACATCAACACATGGATTAACAGTTGTTATGTTACATGATGGGCAACAGATACCTAATGCTGGGTTAGCTGGTGTATAGATACCACCTTGGATCTTACATTCATCTGCAGAGGGAACTGGTGGACATGCAACACCATCACATGGCATCTTACATGAATCACAACAGATACCAGCCGCTGGGTTAGCTGGGATGTAAGTACCTCCATTGGCAATACACTTATGACCGTCTACTGGTGGGCATTGAATTCCTTGGCATGGCAATGTACAGTTGGGGCAACAAATACCAGCTGCTGGGTTAGCTGGTGTATAGATACCACCTTGGATCTTACATTGGTCTTGAGAGAGAACTGGTGGACATGCAACACCATCACATGGCATCTTACATGAATCACAACAAATACCAGCACCTGGGTTAGCTGGAACGAAAGTACCACCATTGGCAATACACTTGTGAGCATCTATAGTCGGGCAATGGATACCTTCACATGGCAACTTGCAGCTTGGACAACAGATACCTGCTTGTGGGTTAGCTGGTGTGTAATATCCTCCTTGGATCTTACATTCGTCAGCAGAAAGAACTGGTGGACATGGCACACTTTCGCAAGGCAACTTACAGTGATCACAGCAGACACCAGCTTGTGGGTTAGCTGGAACGAAAGTACCACCATTGGCTTTACATTTATCTGCGTCTACTGGTGGGCAAACTACTCCATCACATGGCATCTGACATGAATCACAACATACACCGGCAGCTGGGTTAGCTTGGATGTAAGTACCACCGTTGGCAATACACTTATGACCGTCTACTGGTGGGCATTGAATACCTTGGCATGGCAATGTACAGTTGGCACAACAGATACCAGCTGCTGGGTTAGCTGGTGTATAAGTACCTCCATTTGCTTTACAATTATCCTCTGGTAAGACTATAGGGCAAAGAATTCCATCACATGGGTCAATTGGTTTCTTACAAGTATCACAGCAACGTCCATTTGCAGGATCAGCTGGAACAAATACACCACCATTTGCAATACATTTCTTTTGATCAACGAACGGGCAAACTACACCAAAACATGGATCCAATTTATACTCACACCATGGGCAACAAAGACCATTTGCTGGATCTGCAGCGTGATAAATTCCACCAGTGAAAATACATTTCTTTGGACTTACAATTGGGCAAACTACTCCATCGCAAGGCATCTTACATGAATCACAACAAATACCATTTGCTGGGTCCTTTGGAACAAAGATACCACCATGGAAAATACATTTAAGTGGATTGACTAGTGGGCAAGGAATGAATGCACATGGATCAATTGGATACAAACATTTGGCACAACATTTACCATTCAATGGGTCGGCTGGTTGATAGATACCTCCAGTTAACATACATTTCTTTTGACTAACTGGTGGACACACGATTCCTACACAAGGATTTGGATTTAATTTGCAAGATGCACAACAAATTCCTTTTTTAATTGAGAAAATATTAATATTTGTTTTTTTGATTTTTAGTTTTTTTTAACAAAAACAATTCTATTTTCTAAACTTACCATTAGCTGGATCAGCTGGTGTGTAGGTACCACCATTTGCTTTACATTTTTCTTCGGTTACAACGATTGGACACAATACTCCGAAACATGGATCAGAGATGGTGTAGTTACATGAAGCACAACATCTACCAATACTTGGATTTGCTGGAATATATTGACCACCAGAAATAATACATTTCTTTGGACTTACGACTGGACAAACGATATGTTCACATGGATTGGGTGGGAGGACACAGCTTGGGCAACAGATACCAGCAGCTGGGTTGGCAGGTGTGTATGTACCATTGTTTGCTTTACATTTTTCTTCAGAAACAACGATTGGGCAAAGTACTTGATCACATGGATTCCAACATCTATCACAACAACGTCCATTTGCTGGATCACTTGGAATGAAAGTACCACCATTAGCAATACACTTTTTAGCATCAACGAATGGGCAAATCACATCTGTGCAAGGGTTTGGATTGTAAGTACAGTTGGCACAACATTTTCCTAATAAAAATAATTAAAAAAAATGTTAAAAATATTTTATTAATATAAATTAAAATTAATAAAAATCTTTTTTTTAAAAAAATAACATACCATTTGCTGGATCAGCTGGAGTGTATACACCTCCTGAGAGTTTACACTTTTCAGGATCAACATTTGGACATTGAACGCCTTCGCATGGTAGAGTACAATTACCACAACATACACCATTAATTGGATCAGCAGGTGTGAATACACCTCCTTTTGCCTTACATTTATCTAAATATGCTTGGTCAATGGTTGGACATTCAACACCTTTGCATGGACAACGGGCACAGCATCTTCCTAGAAAAATATTATTATATTAATATAATTTTAAAATTAAAAATATAAAATTATATTTTTTTAAAATTAACTTACCATTTAATGGATCGGCACCAATATAAACACCACCTTCATATCTGCATTTAACTTCATCAACGTATGGACATTCAACACCTCTGCATGGATCAGTGTAGTTACACTTTGGACAACAGATACCATTGAAAACATCAGCTGGAACATATTGACCTCCATTTGCTTTACATTTATCAGCATCAACTGGTGGACATTTAATATCTTTGCATGGGAAAGTACAGTTTGCACAACACACTCCATTTGCTGGATCTGGTAAAGTGTAAGTACCTTGTTGTTCCTTACATTTGTTTGGATCGACTGGTGGACACGTGATGTTGGTTTGACATGGATTGGTAAAGTTACAGTTGGCACAACATACTTCTGGAGGTGTGGCTGGTTCGTAAACACCACCTTCCATTAAACATTTGTATTCATCGACGAATGGACATTCTTCACCTTTGCATGGATATTTACAATCGGCACAACAACGACCATTTGCAGGATCAGCTGGGTAGTAAATTCCTCCATTCAATCTACATTTTGTTGGATCAAAAAAATCACAGAGAACACCTTTGCATGGATTTGGAATGGTGTAATTACAAACATCACAACAATTACCATTCAATGGATCACTTGGAATGAAAACACCACCATTGGCTTTACATTTATCTGGATCAACTACATTACAAATCACTCCTTTACATGGATCCTTTTTGTAACAAGTTGGACAACAGAAACCATTAACTATTAAATAAATAATTGAAATTAATAGCTAAATTTAAATTATTTTAATATAATATTATTAAAAAAAACACATACCTGGATCAGCTGGGTGATAGATACCACCTTCAATTTTACACTCGGTTGGATCAACTGCAGCACATCTGACATTTTCACAGAGCTTTGAGTAATCACAATACTCACAACAGATTCCAGCAGTGTAATTGACTTTTACAAAGACACCACCAGTGAGCCAACATTGATCGTAGTTGACATATGGACAGTTTTGAGCGGGATCACAAAGACATTCATTGCAACATCTTCCCATGACTTCGTTTATCGGATAGAAATTACCTCCATGTGTATTACAGAAAACCTCGGTTGGTGCTGGTGGACATGGATAGAATTCACACTTGGCATTGGCCACTGTGAAAAATAAAACTAATGACAATAATCCTAATAATATATATTTCATTTTATAAATATATATATAATTAAGTTTTTGAATTTTTTATGATTTATTTGGTTGATTTGAAAACCAAGTATTTATAGATTGAAAAAATAAACTATAAAAAATAAAAATAAAAATAAAAAAAAAAAATAAAAATAAATTAGAAAGATACACGAAATTATTTTCTATTTTCCAATTTTACCTTTGTACCAAATTACTATTTCGTTAAATTAATATTATTGGGGAATTCCTTTAATTTATATATCCAAAAAATAATATTGACAAAGACTACAAAAAGGTTTCTATCGGTATTTTCTATTTAAAATGAGAATCCAAAAATTGTTTTGTTTTGTTTTTTTTCCAACTGGTATTTAAAAAAACAAAATTATTACTTCAAATTCAAGATTGATTTGCTTTAATTTACTAACCCATTCCACTATTAAGGGTATGTTTTATTTTTGATTTGTGGTTATAATTTTGTTTTAAAAGTTGGTTTTGTTAAATTTGCAACATTCGCAATTTTTCTTTTTTATCTATCAAAATTCAGGTTGAATTTAATCTTGTCAAAACTCTAAATAAAACAACCAACCACCACATAGCAATAGATACTAATATAATGAAAGATAATAAATCCAAGAAATGAAATGTTTTAGGTGAAACTGTTTTTAAATAAATTTGATTTTGATTGGTTCATTTTCATTTTGTTTTGAGTGTTAAATTTCATAAATCAAACAATGTGTTTATGATATTTTGTGTTTTTTGTAGTTTCGTTTTTTAATTAAATTCACCTGCAAATTGATAAGTTCATTACCCACAAAATAATAAATCAACGAAAAACCTGCAAAGCCTAATTAAAAAAAAACTTTGCATTCATTCATTATTTTTATTAAAAAATCATTTCTTTAATGATTTTTTGTTGTTTTGACAGTTGTTACCGATTAATTGGGAAATCAAAACAAATTCAAGACAATTAAAAAAAACGATATTCAAAGTAGAGTTTAATAAAAAATATCAATCAATTCTTTGCATTTCCAAGTTTAAAAGTTAACATTATTTGGTTTTGGACTGTTGGCTCTTCAAAAGCAAAATAATATCATTTGACATGATGGCTCAATAAATGACCTGGTCGGTCGCTTCATCAACATCACCTCTAAATATGGGTATTGATATTTTTGTCGGTGTGGTGGTAGTAGTGCTTGTTGTTTTCTCACCACTCTACTTAACTTAAACAACATAAAAATAAAATAAAATCCAAAAAATATAAGTTTTCATTCAATTTAAGTTTAATTATATTAAAAAACATTATCTTGAATTGATAACTTTGTAAATTCAAGAAATAACATTATCAAAATTAGTTCTTTGATTGATGATCATTATCGAAATTGACTGTGGGAGTGATGATCTGAGAAAAAAAAAACTAAAAAAAATCATTATTCGTTGAATTAAAAGATAAATTTGAATTTTTTTAAATTTTTTTTTAATTCAAAGTACTGTTAACTTGTACAAACTACAAATCATTCATTTTGTTGATTAACTTGACTATCGACACACTTTCTTATTTTTAAATATCAGTATTAAAAATATGATATAGTGTGATTTTTTTTTTATTTCTTATAACACAATTGTTTATTTATAAGAATACAAGTTTAGTAGATAAATCTACAAAGTGTGAAGTCATCGATTATCTAATATAAAGAAAATGTTTATATTTGATTAATTTTAATCATTTAAGATAAAGAGGTAGAATCACAACGTAATCACAAACAGAATATAAACCATGTAAAAAGAGAAAGATTATGTGATTATTGTGAAAGGTTTGGTCTACATCTGGTATCATCTTATCATCTTCATCTTTAGGCTTAGTATTTAGATTTACTGTTTTTGTTTTTAGTAAAAATCATGAAATATATAATATTAGGATTATTGTCATTAGTGTTGTTTTTCACAGTGGCCAATGCCAAGTGTGAATTCTCTCCATGTCCACCAGCACCAACCGAGGTTTTCTGTAATGCACATGGAGGTCATTTCTATCCGATAAACGAAGTCATGGGAAGATGTTGTAATGAATGTCTTTGTGATCCCGCTAAACTCAATGGTGGTGTTTTCATTCCAAGTGATCCATTGAATGGTAATTGTTGTGATGTTTGTAATTACACCATTCCAAATCCATGCAAAGGTGTTCTGTGATTTTGTTGATCCAACAAAAGTAGAGATGCTCGCCAGAGTTCACCACTTGAAACTACTTCGCTATGACCTCGATAATACATTCAAAGGATTCGCCAGACTCTTAAATAGACAACAAAAATATGGATTCAAGGCAGACAGAGTTTTGAAATGCAGTGTTAAATGACAGGTGATCAATCGAACCGGAATTCATTGAAGAAATCAAGAATAACAGATCACTACGTAGATTGTACCTCAATATCCGTGATCCGTAATTATTCATAAATTATATAACTGTGTATGTAATAATAATAAAAAAATAATTAAAAACATTTTATTTATCTTTCTATATCAGTAATTCAAAATTGTTTTATTATATTTAAAGAACAAAAAATTAATTTTAGGATTATAAACTAAGCTTTAGAATTTATATCTTTTTTATTTATATTATAATTATCTATTACTTTAATATTTTATTAAATTTTCATTGTAATATTAAAAGATCATATCGTCCATATGTTTGTAATTCCCCTTCTCTATTAAAATTGAAATTAAAACAAATTCATTTGTAGTTCTTTATTCTTTGAAATTTTATAAAATAAATTGTTCTTTTATTACAGGTAAACGTGCTCATACAGATATAGTTTGAATTTTAAGACTAACCTTATTATTACTTATTTATCATTAGAAATATGTATTCAATGTACTAATATTGTGAAATTAAAAAAGATGAACTCAATGAATTAATTCCTTTCGGTACAAGTAATGAAAATAAACTAATAAAAATTTTCCAAACTTTATTGTATTTTAATATGTTTATATCTAGAACCAAAATATTGAACAGTAGTATATCTTTCAAAGTTTGGGATAGTAAGCTCCTTAAGATTCGAACAAGATTCTGCCAACTTTACAAATGCAGTATCACTTATATTATTAGTTGCTGATATTGAAACTGATTGTAGAGTATGAATGTTGTTTGAAGAACATAATGCAATAATCGAGGCATCAGTTAGTTCTTGACACAAATCCAGAGAGATTGATTGGAGTGATTGAATATTCTCTAGTATCTTTTTGAAACCAGTATCGTTAAAGTAGGAATTTCTAATATTTAAAGATACCAAGCTTGGGAACATGATTCCAATATTTACATAGTTGTTGGTGGGTGCACGTAGTTGACTTAGTGATAAACACTTGATATTTGGTTGTGTTGAATTGAGTTGGTGGTTGTCGAGTTGCAAAGATGTACAATTGAGATCGAGTGAATCGAGTAATGGAAGTCCATTGATCAAGTAATTTAGATGACTATCATCAAATTTGGAACTATCCAGAGTGAGTGATGTCAAATGTGTCAGTTGGCAAATCATTTCACCCAAATGTCCAAACGCACCAGAATTGTTAACAACAAGATTGAGGCTGCTGAGACTGGTAGCCCAAACACTGAGATCCTGATGCATGTTCTGATTGTCGAGAATCGTATTGTTTAGCGATAGTTTTAGGTGTGAAAATGGATATTGTTTGAGTGTTGTAAGTTCACTATAGATTTTATGATTGTACATCTTTACATCGAGATTGGTGATTAATGGACATTGTGACATCAGGGAATATACCATTGGTTCATTGCACTCGTTAAAGTCGGTAAAACAACCAAAGGTAGTGATATTGGTTGGTAGCTGCTTGATATTCAAACCATATACATAGTAGACATATAAAGATTCTAGTTTGTTCATTGACAATAGGCAATTGGATGTCATTTGTTCGAAATGAATATTACCAAGAATAAGACTTTGAACTGATGCTCCAATTACATTGAATAACCAAACCAATGTTTCATTTTCAAGATGGAAATCTCTAATTTCAACTTGTTTAATATTCGGGCAGGTCATTGGTGTGAGCTTTGGATTTGGTTGGTTATATTTGACGGAATTCAACTTTAACACCTCCAAGGTTGGACCAATACATTGAAAGATATCAAGGAAATTCTGGTCACTTGTTATGAATAGATTCTCCAGCAGCAATGTAGTAATTTGGTTCTGGAATTTCAATAGTGAATGACAAGTCTCTGTAGATTTCCTGTTGATGATAAGGATGTCGACTGGGTGCTTCAATGAGAGTAATGCTGAAACGGCTTGGTTATCTTTATAGAGATTCTCCAAACAATATTGATTGAATGTGGACAATGGATAACTCTGTAAATTTCCAATGAGAATCGGAGCAAGTGATGGAACATACGGTAAGAACCTAACGAAACTGGTAAAGTTTACACTTCCATAATGATTACCAAATGATTCCAAAAGAATGTCATCCAAAATATGTGAATCGAATTGCGATAACACCTTTTCAATGAATGGTCCATAGGTTACACCCAAATCGAAAGGATAGTCGTTTATATCCAAACCGTTAACTACGTTGTAAATCACCTGTAGAGTAGCGATACATTGATTATTCTTCTCGGCAATCGAACGAAGTAATACTATAACCATAATCTTGTAGGTATTATATAGATATTTACTCACTAGTTCATGGTCAACCGGTAATGATTCCAACAAGTTGATAAGTATCCAAAGTTGATGAACAGAAATACAAAGAGATTGTACTTGATAGGAATTCGAATAGTAAGGAGCATAGAGAGATGCACTCTCATAGAGAGTAGGAACGACCAATGACAAATCGAATCTCTCTAAACGACCATAGGTAATATGTGCATTCTTACACTCTGATTTAATATTATAGATGGTACCAAGTGTAAGAATTGCATTGGGTGTTTCATTAAATTGGAGCGATGTCAATACATTCTTTTCGGCGCGTTGAATGATAAGTTTGCTCTCGACGATCGTAGGTAACCAATTCTTTTGATACCACTGCAACTTGTACTTTTCGATATCTACCAGTCCCAACAAATGATAGAGTGAAGAATCAGTGGTGGACGATCTCGATGCCAGTTCCAACTTGCGACGACACGAATCCAACAAGGATATTTCTTCGGCAAACTTTCGACCGAATCGATTGTAGTCGGGTTTGGCATTTGGTTTTCCAAAGTAAACAGTGTTGGCATAGATAAACTCGAGTGCTTTCATGTAGAGTGATATACCTTCGGAGCGTGCAATCTGGTTGGTATGCTTGATGACCGGTTTCACCTCTTTGATATCGGTATACAAAATCATTGGAAGATCATTGGTTTTCGGATCCAAGTCATGTGTCTTTAGTATGGTCTTTACACGAGAAGACAATTTAATACCAGTCTTTAGTTGGAATCGATCGATGACCTCTGAGAGTGAAATACTTTGTAGCAGATCGTATTTACTATCGAGTTCCTCATTTGTTAATCCACAATTTCTACCGTATTTATCGAGAAGCAATGTCTTGATCTTAATTGTCCAGAACTCCTTAATCTCCGATTGATACCGGTCGATATTGAATACTCGATTCAAAAAGTTGACAATCGTAGAGATACACTTTTCCTCCGAGCCACTAAAGTGTCCGGACAGCTGAATACGTTGTTCATCTTTGATTTCATTCTTCAATACTCTCACCACCATCTCGTTGAGTATCAGCTTTCTAAGATGACGGTATTGGACATCGATATGCGAACGAACTCTTCCCAAGTGTCTGAGATTAATGCCAAACTTGTGAACCTCTACAGTCACTTCAAAGTTACTGGCACTCACCAGCCCGCCTTCAAACTGCTTTGCTTTCAGCTCCAACTCTCTTGCAGCCTGTCCAACTACCACATCATACAAATGCTTGGTAGCATCGACCACATCTTGATTGTGCTTCTCTTCATCTGGATCGGCATTCCAATTGGAGAAACAATCGGAATTCAATGGTTTCACATAGGAATGTACTAATTCCGGTCTTAACAATTTATAGAAAACATCTCTATGTGGAATTCCTTGACTATAATTTACGAATATTAATATTTATGTTATTTTAAGATAATTAACATGTTATGTTCTTTCTTACTTTGAATCATTGAAATGAGCTTGAGGTGGAAGTAATCTTGCGAAATCAAGTGCATAGTATTCATCGTCTGGAGTAGCATGTATTTCAAAGTCACCAGGTCCGTAAATGAATTTAGGTTTGAGACCAGAGAGATGACCTTGTAGATTCATCTTGTTTCCAACTTTCTCCATCACTTGATTGATCTCTTCACGATCATTATGTACATTTTGTCCACCATCACAACTTCCATATATCAATGTTGATTTATTAATTGGTAACTTTGAAATTGCAACTCTACAACATAACATAAACATAACACGTTGTTAATAAATGAAATTGGAAACTATGATAATACAAAAACAACAAACTTACAATCTATAACCATAATAATCAATGATACACATCAAAGGTACATTAATTTTATGTCCAAAGTCATTGTCCAACAGATTCTGGAAGAAATAAGATAGTCCTCGAAGTTCGTTACCAGCTGCTTTCGATGCACCAATATCAGAAGGTACCTTTCCACCATATAGCCAACATGTTGAACTTGAATCGCTATCATCACGATCTTGTTTATTATAGACTCCTCTGAAAATAGGTTGATCATAGGCAAATTTGAATAGGATATTCTGACAGATATACTTTTGACCACCGGCAATACCACCGATATCGATTGAAGGTATAGTCTTTATTTCGTTCGGCATAAACATCTCCTTGATGATGATACGACCGTAGGTTTCCGCTGCCTTTACGAAATCTACAGCCATAAACGTTAGTTTCTCGTACTTTTCAATTGTTGGTTGCATCTTTAGTAATATCTGAAACTCTCTATTCCAATCTCTACCGGTATCTTTCAACTTTCTACTTGTAATTATTGATTTCTCTCTTTCTAATTTTTCATTTTTATCTTTTTCATATTGTTTATTATTTTTATTATTATCGTTATCGTTATTACAATCGTTATTATTATAGTTATATCTTTCACTACTATCAAGATAACATGATGAATAAGTAGAAGATGTATCTGTAATGAAATAAGATAAATCTTCATCTATTGTATATGTTGAACTACTACTACTCTCACTTTCACTAGACATTGGCATCATTGAATATATTGACTGCTCTCTACTACTATCATTATTACTATTAACATTATTATTAATATCACTATTAATATTGTCATACGAATGAATTAGTTTTTTAGGTGTAACACTTTCATTATTCTTTAAATTACTGTTATTATTATTATTATTATTTGAATAAACATTATCATAGATAGATTTAATTTGATTTTTTTTATTTGATAATTCTATATTATTTTCTATATTTTTATTAACTATATTATTATTACTATTATTTTTCTTTTTAACTATATTATTATTATTATTATTATTATTATTATTATTATTATTATTATTATTATTATTATTATTATTATTATTGCCACCCTTATCTTTTACAGTCCAATATGCGAAAAGTTTTAAAAAATTATCATTATTCATAATAAAAATAGTAAATGTGTGAAGATGAATTTGTTTAATAAACAAAAACTATAATACTAAAAGACTATAAAACTATGATGTCATTAATTAAAGATTAAATCTGAATAATAACAAAAAATGAAAAAAAATGAAAAAAAAAAAAAAAAAAAATAGAAATAAAAACGAATCGTTGTAATCTTTATGTTTTATTAATTATCTAACCAACCAGTTATTATAATTTCTAATTGTTGGATGTTGTTTAATGATATCATCGATTTGTTTAATAAACACTGGATAATTACATTGTGTGTACATAGGTTCAACCATTTTAATGTGTATTCGTTGTAGAGTTTTGTTATTTTTGAGTGCTTCAAGGAAGATGTCATTGTATTTATTATCTTCAAGTTTAAAGCTACACTTTAACACTTTGTTTGCAATTCTGTTTCCACCGTTTCCAACTGATGATAATGATGGTTTTTGATTGTTTAATAATAGCGCTACATCATATGGTGAATTAAAGTATAACAGTTTTAGATGAGGTACTTTAACCAACTTTAATAGGTCTTCATCACTTAAAGCCGTGATTGATAGTTTGTAAAGTTTCTCGCTTGTTACTTCACATAAACTATTGAAAACATAGTTGATAGTAAGTCGTTCGATAGATGATTGTTGTAAGAGATATCCTATCAAATCTTTATTGCTAAGTTGAAGTGGACAGTCGAAACTCTTTAGCAATGGTTTATAGTTGATTAGATATTGGTGAAGTTTTGTTTGAAATGAAGAACTCAATTTGAAAATCGATGGTTTAAAATTGAATGCCAAATGCTCTAGTGAAGTAAGCTTGACAAGTCCATCAAACAATATCGAATTGGAGCGATCTGACAGTAGAAATCCGAAATAATCATTTGAATGGGTGTCTGTTATCTCTAGCGATGTCAACTGTCGGAATTGCTCTGAGAACAAGTACTCTGTGAAAGTTATAAGTGAATCATTTCCAGAGAGATCGGAAATATCCATAGACACCTTTACTTTGAGTCGCTTCAGCTGAGGTGACAATAGATTTAAACTTTCATAGTCTGGTGGATAAGCTGGATTGACTGTTATCTCAAAATACTCGAGTGTATTCATTGCACGGTTGGCCAAAACTTGATAGTCACCACAGAAATATCCACATGAAAGTGATCGAATTGATGGTGCAATCTTTAAAACCGAATTGATTGAAGCGGTATCGAATGACTGAAAACCTTTACAATTTACTTGTTTTATATTATTAAATATTGCACATCTATTTAGATTGTCAGATGATAATGATGTTGATGTGGTTTGTTGTTGTAGATAAATATTTATAAACTCTTCCAAGTCTTTAGTATTTTTAAATCGACAAGTTGTATTCAAAGAACATATAACTTTATGAAAATACCAATCAACCATACATAATGATCTTGCATATCTTTTATTCTTCTTATTATCATACCAAAGATATTCTATCAATATTCTATAGATTCTATTTTCAAATATTGTCATTCTTGTGAATTGAGTATGTGTAATAAGTTTAATAATACTAATAATAATAATAGAGTTGGCACAAAAATTCAGAAAAGATATTTTTTTCCTATTCTTTTTTTTTGATCATTCTTTAAATTTACTAAAACTTGAATTATTTTTAGATTTTTTGATCAAAAATCTATAATTGGAATAATTATGTTATTTTTTTCTATTTTGATAACAGCAAATAATAACTCTCAATTTATAACTAAAGATGATCATATTCCTAGGGTTTAAATGATTGTTAACATTATTTTTCTTTTTTTTTTTTGGTTTATTTTTCAATGATTTCCACTTCTAATTGTTTATTTTCAATTATTTCTGTTTCTGTTGGTGGGACAGTTGGTGTAGATATTGAATTCTTCTCACTACCATCACTGCTTCTCCTACTTTGTTGTTGGATATCGATAGTATTAGTACCCATAAACTCGAGTTTATTGAGTTGTATTCTCTGTAGAAAAGAGATACGAAAGACTTTTTCTTTGTTGAATGTCCAGCTGTATGTGATAGCCATAAATGAAACACACATGAGAATCTGACCAACAATGGGATCACCAAATAAATAGTAACCAATCGGTAAGATTGGTATTTGTGCCAACATTTGAACTGCGAATGGTACAAGTAAACACTGAGTGGCAGAAAAAGAGAGAGTTCTCATTACACCGCCAAAGTAAAATAGAGAGGTCTGATATGCTGGACTCTTGACAAACATTGCCGTGTAAATACCGATGAGCATGATAATAAAGATAGTACTTATGATGTCGGCGAGATGCGGCCTAGTCTTTCTCAGGAAACTGAGATACATAAGTACAAAAGTGAATGGAACCATTCCTGCGAAACGAAGAGCAATAAAGAGGTAACGAATGTTGGATTCTGAAATCTGAAGATCCTGAATTAAATAGTAGGTCGATGAGAATATTATGGTAAGGATTGCAAGATATTCAACATTGACATGATGTCGGTAATATTCAACAAATGCCCTTTCTTTTTGAGCATCGGTGAATTCCCAACGGAATCTTTTGGTCTGTGATTTCAAATCCTTAATATAATTCATATAGATTCTTGAAGTCTTTAGCGGTTTCTTTAATTGCTTTTCCTTCTTTTTAAGTTTCTTTATCTCTTTCTTTTCCTTCTTGCTAAGAACTATATTGACATCTACCACTCTTTGATTTTCTTCTATTGTTTCTATTCTTTCAACTTCTATTGTTCCTGTTTGAAGCATTTGATTAGAATTAATAATATCCAACTCCTTTCGAATATTTAGATATAATTCTCTTTCTATTAATTCAATCGACCTGGAAGCTGTTAGAATAGAAATAGTATAGACTAGATAACTGGCACCCTCAATGAAAATAATTCTGGTAACTCCATAATTGTTTTGTACTAATCGAACAACGACCAATGCAGCTATACTGGTAAATGAAATGATAGTTGATCTCCAAAACTTGATACCGGGAACAGCAAACATCAACCAAAGAAGAATCTGACTGACAGGGTCGTAAGTTACGTCATCGTATCCAGTTACCTTTGGTAGGTTATTGGTACAGAACACCAGCGGCAGAAAGAATGCAATGGTAAGATGATTGGTAGATGTCCATAACCAAGTCAACAGAAAAGCACAGGTTGTATTGAAGAGCTCTATCCAATTGCCAATGTCTCTAGCAACAATGACACCGCTATTCGTCAAAAAATTAGAAACCGTCCAAATAATCTCGAATGTCAAGATTAGTGAAATCAACACTCTATTATTAAGAACATGTATTTTATTTGTATGTTGGTCAAATTGTGATTCGATTTTCGAATCTTTGAACCGTAGCGAAAATCTAGATATTTTGCCTTTTAAATCATTTTTAACTATCAGGTGTCTCTTGAATGAATTAATTAAATCTTCCATTTAATATAAAAATGATTAATAATTATTTTAATAAATAAATGCATAAAAATATATAATATATATATAAATAAATAAATATAAAACAAATCTAAAACAACTAACAACTCTATCTCTATCTATCTATCTCTTCCCTTTGATATCAATAAAGTTTGTATTGTAATGAGTCATTTCTTTTTGATTTAGAATCAATCGAAAAAAGATAAGAAACAATTAGATTTAGAAATAGCTAAGTGTTTTTAATAATTTAAAATAATTAAAATAAAATGGGGTAGGTAAGCTGGATATGTGTGATTGAAAGTGTTGGATCAAAGTTGGTGCAAAGTTATCTACCATTCATTATAAAAGTTCAGTCACATTTGCACAAACATTGGCAACAACAAAATAAAAATCTATTAATAAATTTTTGTTGAAAAAAAATTAAAAAATTAATAAAATTGATGAAAATGGGGCGATCAATCATAGATCTAACATTGATCTTCATCGATAAATATCTTGCGAAGTGCGAACCACTCCTGAAACAAAAAAAGAAATTTCTTTTTGATTTAATTGTTTTTGGATCTTCGCAGTCAGACAGACCGCCCAGAGTTTGATGAATATGATCGATAGAAATATGTTTGTTTTTAATCCAAATAAAGAAAGGGATGATGATAGCATAGAGACGAATAGAAGGCAATGAACTTGTCAATCCATATCGTTATTACTACTTCTATTTACATGACATTATGAAACAAAGAGAAAAAACTAAAGAGTTATGTTATTATTTAACAAATTATATGATACAACTCACTCTTAGGATACTACAATTGTAGATATATAGCTAATATTGTCAAAATCATAGAAAGTTCGACCAAAAAACACATAAACAACCAAGATTTTGACAAAAGTAAAGACAAGAGAAAAGAGAGTAATAAATCAAAGATAACAAATCGATTTTGTTTATATGATTAAAACATTTACTTTTTATTTATTCTATTTATAAATTACTTTTTATTGAACTAGTAGAAGATAATGGTTCTGCTGTTTTATTGGGTGTTTCAACAGTATCGTACAAGTAAGGTGTAACCTGGAATACGGTAAGCTTTACGAATGTGTTATCTAGGTTTACACCAGCATATAAACCTGGACTTCTTCTATTGTAGGCCATGACATTGTTTGTGTTTGTCAGGCTGATGGTGTTGTCATCGTTGAAGGTGAATGCAATGTTATCACCTTTATAGGTGATAATATCACCACTGATGTCTAAAGAGGTGAATATCTTTTTACCATGATCGATTACGCAATCCGAGTATTGAGGATGATAAATCTTTGTTTTTGGATCGCCACTGTAGAGAACGAATGTGTTATCACCCAGCTTATCAACCCATATTCCTGGATTTTGAACATTATCGGAATCCCAAGGAACCAAATATACAAAGCCCGGTTTGTTGTCATCTACGTGTAAAATAAATTTTTTACCATTCAGGGAATCTTGAAGACCAATGATATGACGATAATTGTCATACATAGCATTATACCATTTTGACATTTTATTTAATTAGATATATAAATATTTAAGTTTACAAAGAATGATTTGAATGAAATTAATTTGGTTCTTTTATTAATAAAAAAAAAACAAAAACAAAAAAAAAAGATATTTATTAAAATTAAAAGTAAATTCGTTAACTAATCAATCTGGTACAACATGAGTTCTTCGACAAACTTTTGTACAATGATCAGAATCTTATTTATATAATCTATTGGTATCTGAGAGACTTGAAAGACTCGAGATTTACAAATTCGCTAGCAAAATTGATGCTTTTCAATCAATTTTAAAAAATTTTGTGATTGAGATTGAATTGATAGGCAAATTTAGAAAACGTCAAAAGAATTTCAAGGAACTTGCCAAAAATTATTATTAATTTTTAAATTCAATTCACAGCTTTGTCTTTACTATAAATATCTTGAGTCTGGAAACTAGTGCTCACTATAATAATATAACAAAGAAAAGATTGTATAAATTTTTTTTATTATAATTTATATATACATAAAGAATGAATTGGGATCAATATTTACCTGTTGGTTCACCAATTTTTTTGCAATTTAAATCAACCAAAACCGGTGAACTACTCTATGCCTATGTAAATGGAAATTATATCCAATTAATGTATACCAATGATCCAAGAACGAAAGATTTTGTAAATGCACCTGTTTGTGACAGAGTCAGACCAACGGACTATCCTGCGCTATTCTACTTATCGTTTTGGGATCCCAGTGGAGAGGTACTAGTAAAGAAGAAAGGAGCTCAGATTTTAGGATCGATCGATCTCGACTCGAAATACCCATATTCCTTCAGTGGAAATAGATTGTATCATTCCAATAGCATGTCGACTCAACCAGCTATCTTACAGGTCCAAGATGACAACACTGTAATAGATTTTAAAAGCAAACAGAAACTCACTTTGGTACGAAGTGATCATACTTACTTGGGTGTCGGTGGTGATGAAGTAGTAGTTTTGGTCAGTGCGTTAAAGGATACAGTTAATCATGGCAGAGAAGGATAAATAAATAAAATTTTTAAAAATAAATCTGAATTTATTTGTTTAATTAGCATTTTTTCGTTTTTTCATGTCTATATTTATTTTAATTATTGATGAATAGAACTAAAGTATTAGTATTAATAATAGTATTCGTTGTTGTAATAGATTTTACAAACGGCAATTTAGATAAACAAGATATATCTACAGTGACTTGTGTTCTATCAAACAGTAAAGTTTTCACACAATGTCAAGATAGTGTTTGTCCATCGATTATATCATGCATCAGAAAATACGAATCATCCTATTCGAACATCAATATTCATGTGGAGAATGGATATCATATATGTAAACAAACTACTGATTATAAACTGAAACACCATTTACACATTGATATTCGACCTTTAGATCAATCATCATTAACAAAACCTATATTTACTTGTCAAGTATGTATAATTAATAGTTCTTAAAGAAGTGCAATTTAATTAATTGTTTATTTTTTTATTTTAACTTTAATAGAGAGATACATCATTCTTAAGATTGAAAACAACGTTTGATTTAACAATCAATATATCGAATATTGTGGTTGATACCAATCAACTGAAACAATTCCGTGGTAGTTTAATAACAATAGATGCGCAATCAAGTAATCCATCACTTTCGTTATATCATGAACCAAATTCCAATGTTTTAACATTGAACAATGTTGTTTTGAATAATGCTAACTCAATGCCCAGCATTAAACATTACTATACAGAAGCAGGTTCGATAACACTTGACTATATAAGTTTAATCATCAATAACTGTACAATTAACAACTCTCAATCAACAGGTGGTATTTCATCTCGTAAGTCTAATTATATCTATCTTAGTTATGTAATTCAAACAAAACTTATTAATAATGAATACTCTATATATTATTATATATGTTTAGTTTCAGTTATGAAGATCAAAGCTAATAGATTGATGATTCGTCATTCAACTATATCAAATTCCCAAGCTTTTAATGGACTTAGTGGCATCTACTTTAAAGGAAAAGATCTTGAAATCTTTGACACTGTCTTTGATGGAAATTCAATGCCAGGTACGTCATTCTTCACGGCAAGGACATACAACGCTTCAGTAACATTCAGTAGATTCTCAAACAACAAAGTAAAATATGGTGGTTGTTTAGTATTACATTCCGACTCAGTACTGATTGATTCAAATGTTTTCGATAGAAATCATGGTGAAAGTGCATCCGCATTAGTAAGTAACAAATAATAATAACGTAATAATAGTTTATCAAAATAAACATTTACTGACATAATACAACAATATCTACATTATTAATATTTTAAGCTTTTTGACAGTAGAGATACAGAGAACTATTTAACAAACAACAGTTTTACAAATAATTTTGCTCTTGAACAAGGTACATTGGTATGTTATATTTTTAATTTCCATTTCGAATGTTTATCCTCTTAGGACAATGCAATTTCTTACTAAACCTTATTAAATTTTGGTAAATATGAATAGTATATTGGTTCAGGTGGTAATCATTATTTAAATGGATCTATTTTCGATAGTAATATTGGTAAATCAGCTGTTGATATCTATTTTGGTTTTAGGAACTTGACAATGTTTGGTGGTACCTTTATAAACACAACAACAATCTCTAACAATCAAAAGTATGTAAATCATGATTTATTATTAAAAGTTTCAATGACAGAATCTAAAATAATATATATATATATATTATTTGCAAAACAGTTTATCTTATCCACAATTCCCAGAGTATGCTTTGAATATGACCACCACCGTTCCAATGATGGAACGCAACCCCGATTTGAAAGGTGGTTGTCCATCAGACTTTCAAACAATTCAACTACAGAATGGCAATACAACATGTTTGAAGATCCACTACACAAACGAACCTGAATATGTCTACGAAGAAGATGATGAAAGTTGGCGTCCACTTCATTATATTGCTCTGCTAATAATCTTTTTATACTTTTTAATTTTCTGTTTCTTGATGTATTGGCTAATTCGTATTATAAAAATAATTTTGAATTATTTATATAAAATCATTTTTTAAATAATAAATAAATAAATTAAGACTATCTTTTATTGGTGTTATTATTTTAAATCTGAATACTTTGGTATAGATAATAATAGATACTCAATAAAAAACGATTCGTGAAATAGTAGTGCTGTGAAATTATACTTGTGAAGGAATGAGTTGTAGTTGTTGGAATCGTGTGGTTTACCGAATATCAAGTAATAGCTGTTGTCTAACTTTCTAACGTGACAAGCGTGATGCCACTTTGGTAGTGCTCTAAAGATGATGTTGGTCAACGATTTCGGTATCGACTGAAGTAGATTCGGTGAGAAATACAATATCAACGTTCTCATGGTGTTCGGTATGGTGCCTGGCTGGAACTCATTGTCCATATAGAAATTGTTAATCAGCTCCAGTTGCTCGACGGATTCCGGAATATAACCTGGTCGAACCAATCCATCGATGTGATCCAACCTCAAGTACTTTACAGATTGCGGTATCGATCCTTGCTCCAACTCAATATCATAGGCCATCGATAGATCCAGTGATTCGATACCAACCGGTATCTGTCCAGCAGCTACAAACTGTTGATCTATCGATACCAACGACAGTTTCCTTATCTTTAGTTGTGAGAATACCTGATGTTGTTTGGAATCTACAGCTGGAAACCAACCGACTTTCAACTCTTCCAACTGATAGTGTATGGTATCCTTTTCAAACAGTTCCTCTATGTCATATATACATTTATCTATACCGAGATATCTTATCGATTGGGGTAGTGTCGATGTCAATCTAAACTTTGAATGGAATCGCAGTCTGACCAGAGTTTTCGGTAGTTCACTCAAGTCGATTGTCTCCTCCAGTGTAGCATCGTTTCTAATGTTATTGTTCCTTATTGCCGTGTCGTAGAAAGATAGATTCCTTAGGTTTGGCAGTGTCTTTATGATTGAGATCCATTGCGTTGGTGCAACGTAGAGTGTATGGAGAGTATGCGGTAACACGCGACTATCAATGGGCAGAGGAACACCGGAGAACTCCAACGACTCTAAACTCGGTGGTAAAACACCGTGCGACAGTTCCTGCTTGTATTTATGATGATTTTGGAAGCTGATATGCTTCAACGACACCGGTAGCACACCCGGTTCAATTGGTTCACTATAGCTGTATCCAAGCTCCAGCTTCTCCAGACCCTCAGGGAACAAACCGTTCTCTATTCGCTGATCGACATTCAACCCGTTGAGCTCCTTCAGGCCAGCTGGTAAGCAGCCTTTGTACAACTTCTCATTGAAATCACCGTAGAACGACAGAGATTTCAAGCGAGTCGGTAAACTATGTTTCAAAGTTCGACAGTCATCCAATCTAGTGACATTGGAATCTTGCAAAAGCTTTGCCAGATACTCAGAGTCAATAGGCAAGTCTCTATCCACATTGAAATTAGCTGGTACGCCAGGAGTAGAATCTAAAATGACTCTATCTACATTCGATTGTATTGATTTATATGATTCTAAACTATCTAAATAGATTCAGATAAAGATTAATAATATTAAAAAATGTTTTGAAAACAACAATTAATAACAACAACAACTACTACTAATACTTACTTCCATCAATGAAATAATCAATTTGTGGTCTAACATTATATTTCGAACCAATGAAGAGGTTACAATTATTCTTTAACTCTAATGATTTTATATAGATCGATTTAAATGATTTTAGATAAAAGTTGATATGATGAGAGTCAATGTTGAGTGTATCGCTATTGAATATTAGATATTTGTCTCTTTGTTCGAACCATCGTTTACAGACTAGACTCCAACATATTCTATCGATGTTATCATCAATACATCTAATAATATAACTTAATAAGAAGAATGGGAAATTAACCAGCTTATTATAGCTATTATTATTTATTATTGACATTAAATCTGTTAAATTACATCAAAAATAAAACAAAAAAAATATCGATTTCTTGCGTAAAGTCATACCAACCACAACACTAATTTTATGATCACACAGACTTAATAATCATTGATAAATAAATAATTTATATTTTAATTTGATATGTTGAATAGTATTCATTAATCAGTATTGTTAGAATAGGAATATAGTTTGAAGATATGTACAATGAAGAGGTTAGTAATAGAATAAGAACAAATATTCAAAAATAACTTTAGTTTGATAAAATGCTTGTCTATCTTCGCGAGATTGATCAGTATTATGAAAGATAAAAAAAAAAAAAGAATATTTCAACTAGTAGTTACCGTTATTACGCTTTAAGAGAATGTTTTGATATGCGGCATTGTGGTCAAGTATTGTGTAACATTTTGGAGATGTTATGTTCACGACGAAACTTTGTTCGCATTCATTCAATTTTATTACAGAATACCTATCACAACATAAAAATCAATCATGCATCTCATTCCCTATCACTACATCGCCAGAAAATCACACCTATCATCATGGTCATCAAGAATTCGCACAGCACCTTTAAGAAGAAAGAAAAGCCAACAACAAATAACAAATCAAAAATAAACATCAACACAACATATTATTATTTAATAATTCATATTATTCATGAATGTTCACTACCCACCCAACGCTACCCTATCTTTACTTTTTTTTTTTTTATATACGTTTAATTTCTTATTGGTGGTGTTCAAATACCAACAACTTGACATTTACAATTTTAATTTTTGATAGAGTGCTCACTGTTATTAATATAAACAATTTACTCCGAATACCCGATTCAAATAATAATTAGCCTGGTTTATCTTTGTAAACCTATTCAATTTTAATATGAAACTTGCCAATTATATTTACAACAGCGACCACTCTATCAACAATTAAAATTGTAAATTGTTAAGTATATTCCAAGAAATTTATAAATAACTACAGTTATTTGAATTTATTTATCCAAGTTCCATTTTAAATAAATCATTTTCAACATGATTTATCATTTTCAAACAACTGTTGTATTATCAACGGACATTTTTAAGTTTTTTTTGTTTTTTTATTTCACAAAGTTGTTTGAAATCAGGGACAAGAATTTGTATAAAATTTTTTTTTCAGTCTACTTAAATCAACAACTGACTAGAAATGGGATTAAAGAAAAATATATGATACCACCTCAACAGTTCAGCTCCATTTTTCGGATGATCTAGTGGGATGATGATTTCTAAAAAACTAGTAATGGGCACTTAAATCAATAAATAGCCTTATTCTGGGGTAAAATTAAAAAATTAATCATCTCCACTGTCCTGCTCAAGTTTTGATATTGATATGATTTATAGTTAAAAATAAATATTACTAAACTATATAAATGGAAACTAGTTTCATTATAGTCATTCATTAATTACTAATTTCTTTTAAAACAATAATTTATAAATGCTTTATAAAAATATAGTTTTATTAAATTTACTCTTTTTTATAACTATTGTTGCTGTGTGTAACGCTGCTGTGCCAACAGTATTTTATGTTCCTCACCAAGATGACGAGGCATTGGGTATGCCACTAGGAATCCCTGAGCATATCGCTGCCGGAAGACCAGTCAAGGTGATTCTTTACATGCCAAACAGATCGGATCCAGGTTTATTGGATATCATGAACGGTGTTACACAATGTCCACTTAATAAATACTATGCCTCTCGTTTCCCAGGACATCCAGCATATCACAACTTTAACATGAACCAACAACAAATGAATACCTACAGAAATGAAGAGTTTTCAAGAAGTGTCGGTGCTCTTGGTTTATCAACCTATTCCTCAACTGGTTGGGGAGACGCTCAAGAGTCACAACTCGTTAGTCTCATGTACAATCTAATCCTCAAATATGAGAAGATTTATCCAGGAACCGGTCATAAATGTATTGCAGGACCAAGGTAAGCATAAATCAATTAAATTATATATAGTTTTATGTTAATTAACATTTTTAAAATCAAAAATAGGGATTGTTTTCCATGGGATAATCCTCCAAAACCGATGGTTGATCATATCGCTTGTTACAAGGCAGCATTACTTTTAAAAAGTAACTATCCAAATGGTATCAATGGTTTGGGATGGGATTTTAGATTCTATGACGATTATATCTGGTTTGATCCAGTGACCAATGAGAACACTTACTATACCTATACCACTCACCCAGAGCCACCATGTCCCCAATACACTTATGGTGCTGGTCAGTACATGGGCTATAAGATTAACTCACAGAATGCATACAAAGTGTACACTCCATCCAGTAATCGTTATGCATTGGGAATGCATTCCGTTCCAAATCTATTTTATGGTTCACAAAATGATCCGTATATCTATCTCGAATTATTGGAACCAGGAAACAACCCACCATGTAAAATTCAACCATACAATCAAACTCCCAGAGGTTCATTTGCAAAATCCATTCATGTTCATGATCATGATAATTCACACGATTTCAATAGCACAGAGGTATGTTTTATTTTATATTTTAAATATTTATTAAAAATTAATTTTTTGTAACTTTTTTTTTAATCAAAAAGGGATTCTATCATGGTGATTTCCAATATGTACCAGCTGTTGAAGAAATTGAAGAATATATTGAATTTGAAGATGTTACTGAGCAAGCAATCAAAATGTTTGGTGATGAACACTGGAAACAATAAAAATAAATAATCATTATTTATTATCTTTGTTTTAAACTATAATAACAACTATGAACTTGTTTATATTTATTAAATATAATTTGTTTGATAGTTATGTATAAAATTTTCAATAAACCTATTAATAAATCTTTTTATGTAAAAAATAAATTGTTTTACATAATTTTTATTTTCATTGCCTCAAAAAGTTTCCACCTTTTTCTCTTCTCTTCTTATCCGCGATTGAGGCTGCCCCTAAAGGGGTTGATGTTAATTTCCAAAATCATGTTTTGCTACCACTGTAAACTAGCACCGAAGAAAGAGAATCTCCCTCATTTAATTTTTATATTCTTTCTTTAATTTTTTTAAAATATTAACCTCTTTTTTGAAACTAACACACTCCACTACTCCTTTGAAAATAATTTATTATTTAATTAAATTAATAACCCTAAACTCTTTATTTTTACTTTTTTGTTTTTTTTAAAAAAAGTTAACTTTATTTGTTAGAAATATTTTCAAATGTTTTATCTTGCTTTGATTTGAAAATAAAAATAACAAAAGTTGTTTTTTTAGTGTGGTAATGTAATGTCAAGATTGTAACAGGTAATCTGATTCTTCTTGTCGTCTCTCACTACGATGTGAGTGGTGTAGTGACCTGGTGGAGCCATGGCTGGTACTGGTAGTGAAATGGTTTTGGCAAAGTTACCTGCTGGTGCTGGACATTCACTTGCATGAGTGAAACTATTCTTGCAAATATCGACTTGTGTATCCATTTTCTGATTGTTATCTCCAATCATTGAAATATAGACGATACCATTTGAGATCTTTTCATTTAGAGTACCAATCACTGTGATGTTCAAGTTCTTTCCACGAACTGGTGGGAATGGAGCTAGCACAACATTCTTTAATGTCAACTTGTCACCCTTGGCTGCACAGCTACTCCAATAACTGGGATTGGCTTCGGTTTCACTACGGACCAAAGAAAGCATTACAAATACAACCGATAATAATAAAATATATTTCATTTTTAAAACTTTTATGTATTTTTATATTTCTATAATTTAACTTGATGTTAATGAATTATAAAGTTGAACAAGTCAGACTATTTATAGTGAAAATCAATTCAATTCAATCATATCAATTTTATTTATATTATTAATTGATTTAATTGAAAACGTTAAAAATATATATGTTTAGATTTAGTATTTTAAAGAGTTTGTGATAAGTTATAAGTTACAACATTTAAAACATTTATACCACATTGAAAAACTAAACGAAAATAATAATTAAAGTGTTGAATTGTTCGAAAAATGACAATTTGATTCTAATCGCACAATATTGATGACAAAGAAGATAGATTCAATCAATTGTGGTTATGGTCATATCATTTTTTTCGTTTTTTAAATTGAATTTAAAAAAAAATGTTAACATACTAACCACATTGTTAATAAATCTGTCGTAAAAATAAAATCTGTGATCTGTTGTAATAATATTGGTTAAAGAAGATAGTAATGTTGATTGTTTTGTTCATATGAATAAATGTACTCGTTTAACAACTCTTATAACCTCCAATCGATAAACTGATTTAATACAAAATTTCACTTAATAAATAAATAAAGCTGTTCAATATATAACCTTTAATCAAAAACAATTTAATAATTAAACAATTAAGTCATTTCTAATAAAGGTTATCAATTTCGTATATTATGATTAAAAAAACAAATACTGTGTGAGAAGGTAAAGTTATACCAACAACTTATTCTTGATAATTAACTTCTATCTATTTATTTGATAACTTCTATTATTATTTTGTACTTCATTTATGATAAGCTCAACGAATGACCATTGAACTGATGCTCTTCTACCAATGACCAAAGCCGATACAATTGGAAGCGTGGACATTAACAAACGAAGCGTTGACTGATGCCCACCTGTATAATAGGAATTCATTGTCAGCGCAAAACACAAAGTAAAACAAAGCATATGACATGGATAATGAGCGAATCCAGTTTATACTGATGCTATTATTATTGAAAAAAACATTGACTATTTTTTATTTTTTTTGTGGTTTTTATTTTTAATTATATTTTGATATCTTTATTTAAAACTTGAGGTTAACATTGATACAGGCAATTTGAGATTTGTTTTGATCAGTGATAACAATATTGGCTTTGTAGGATCCAGATGGTGTGTTGCTTGGGATGGCGGCGGTGAAAGTCTTTGAGAGTGGTCCAGCTTCGATTGGACATGGAATTGGTGAGTTGGTTTGACAAATTGGTTCATCCTTGTTGAGAATGGTGATGAATCCATATTTGACAGAGACATGAGCATTTCCTCCTGTTAATGTTTCAGATAGACTACCACCGATGGTTACTGTTAGATCCTTTCCTTTGGCAGGTGGATCTGGTACGATCGAAACCGATGAGATTTGGAAGATATCATTTGGATTTCCACAGTTTGACCAAATATCAGCGTTGACAACTGATAATACTAAGACAACAAATACAAATATTGAAATTGATTTCATTATTTAAAATATTATATAAATAAAAATAATTATAAAATGATTGATAAAAATGTAAAATCACCTTGTTTCTTTTTCGTGTGAATAGTCAGAAACATCTTAATTTTTTTTTTTCTAAAATACCATCACCAGGATGATCTAGATTTGTTTCGTTTTTTTTTTTTGACAAAGACAAAAAAAATAAAAATGAAAATAAAATAAAAGTTTTTTATCAAAGATCACACTAACAAATATGTTTTGTTTTTATCATTTACTTTGTTTAAAAGTGAATATCGATGTTAACACAGGCGATCTCATTTTTAGAAGGATCAGTAAGAACAAGATTTCCTTTGTACTCTCCAGATGGCAAGTTGGATGGTATACTAACGGTCAATGACTTACTGAAGGGTCCAGCTTGAATTGGACATGGAATTGGGGGACCTACTTGGCATAATGGCTCGTCGGTGTTGATGATAACGATGAACCCGTACTTTACATTGATGTGTACATTACCGCCATTCACGGTCTCTGTCATATTACCAACAACGGAAATAGTCAAATCTTGACCCTTTACTGGTGGATTTGGAGTGACTGTAATAGATGTAATTTGGAACTGTGTGATTTGCATACATTAATTATTAGATGATTGAATTTACTTGTTTAACAAGTAAATTATTTAAAATAACTTCTACTACTTACTTTGTCAGCAGGAGTACCACATGTTGTCCATATTCCAGCATTCACATATGCCAACATAAAAATAGTAACAAAAACAATTATTATTGATTTCATATTTTTTGATTTATTTAAAATATAACTAAAAAAATATTATAATATGTTTATTAATGAATAAAAATGAAAATCACTTAAATTTAAGTGATTTTATTTGTTTTTATACACACATAATCACAAACGTTTTATTTTTAATTTTATTAATACACAATTGTGGTTGGTGCTTAAGTGTGTATGTGTGTTTGTATGTTTATTTATATAATATTTTTAAATAAATGTTTATGTTTAAAATCATTGCAAAAGTGAAAAGGTAGTACTTTTCTAAAAAGAGATTTATTTATCAATTAAAATATTTGCATCTGATTCTCCAGATAATTATATATATTTTGAGTATAAAAAAAAAAATTACAAAAAATTACAAAAAAAATAATTAATTAATTTTATAAATTTCATATGAAAGTTTAAATTTAGATAGATAATAATAATAATCAAAGAAGAACAACAATGAATGCGTATAATCTAATGAATCATCAAGCATTTACACAATTGCCATCTAGGAATCAAGTGTTGTATTTGTATAGAAGAATCTTTAGAATGGCAAATCAATGGGAGAAAGTAGACCAAAGAGATGCTATCAGGTAAACAAAACCTTTGTTGTCAGTCGATATGATATGTGACATTCCACATTTGATCGATATGTACTAACTTGCACTTAATCTACTATCTGCACTGTAGGAGTGAAGCAAGAGCTACATTTCATAAAAACATGGATTTAAGAGACCCAGTCGAAATCGAAGAGAAAATAGAAGAGGCAAGATCAAGAATGTTACTTGCTGCACATTATAGGTAATAATCATCACTTCCTATTATTATTATTATTATTATTATTATTATTATTATTATTATTATTATTATTATTATTATTATTATAACTATTAGGCTATATAAATGTAATTATGTAACTTACTAGTATTCGAATGAAATGAATGATATATTAAATTATAGAATACCATTTGCAAAAAAGAGTTATGCACCAAAGTCTGAAGGTGTAATGCCAAAAACAGAAGATCCAAACAGTGAATCAAATATTTGTTAACAACCCAATTTTATATATATAATACTCAAATCGAATCGAAACTTTTATAATATACTGTAAATAAATGTATCCTCACCAACAAACAGAATCACAGATTGAAGATCATTGACACTATAGTAGTAGTTGTTGAATCCGATCAATTCTATTCATTATAATGATGTAGATACCTACCATTCATTCACTAAATAGATATAATCTTGACTATCATAATAACAAACCGACCGATATATCATCATTGATTCCTTCGATAATATTTTAATCCATTCATGACTATTCATTGGTAAATATAACAGCTGTATTGTTTAAACTACAATGATAATCATCATTCAAATAAAATGTTGGTTCTAACTATTTTGATTTTCTATTCTCAGTCATTTGATACATTGATTATCTAGATAGATTGTAAAACAAATTATTATTTATAATTTATTTATTATTATTATTTTGATTATTTCTAGCGATGTATCTATTCGATTGACTTGTAGATCTAATGTTATCATGTTTTTTTTTTGTTTAGAAGTGGAGGTCTACGTTGATACAGGCGATTTCATTGTTGGCGGTATCGGTGAGGACAGCGTTAGCCTTGTAGGTTCCATCTGGTACGTTGGATGGGATGGCAATGGAGACGGTTTTATTTAAGTTACCAGCGTTGATTGGGCATGGAACTGGTGAACCAGATTGGCAGATTGGTTCATCCTTGTTGAGAATGGTGATGAATCCGTACTTGACATTGACATGAACATTACCTCCGTCGATGGTCTCCGATAAGACACCACTGGCAGTGATAGTAACAGTTTGTCCCTTTACTGGGGGATCTGGTACGATTGAAACTGAACCGATTTGGAACTACAATTGTAAATCAAACACCAAACAAAATTATTAGATATTACATATGTTAAAAAGTATTTGGTTTTTTTTTTTTTGATTTGTAACATACTTTGTCGGTGGAGGAACCACATGAGCTCCAAATGTCAGCATTGACAACTGCCAACATTAAAATAACAACAATGATTGACTTGAACATTTTAAATATTATTTATATATGTAACAATTATTATGTTAGAGAGAATAATGAATTAATATGATTTAAACTTAAATCCTTGTTGTTGAAGTAATGTATTTATAATTAAAAACCGCTACAAAAAATCAAAAAATCAAAAAATCACCTAAAAAATTTTAATCAAAAAATCTGAGCTTTTTTTACTGACCACAAGATATTATTGGTTTTAAGGATGTCAACAACCACCAAATTTAAAGAAAAAAAAAAATCTTTTGTGTAGGTTTTATAAAATTTTTTTGTAACTAACCAACTTCTGCACCTCCAACCCGAATTTATTGTATTCAAGTTACCTAAAATTTTTTTGCATAACATTAATCTAGAAATTTCATATCAACTTTCCGACAGCACTCCTCCACAAATTTGTTGTGATGAATCTTCATTTTATTCGAATCCAATTTAAATTTTAAATTTGATATTAAAAATCATAATGCCGAAACCAATAATCAAACAATTTTGATGTTGCATGGTTGGAAGTTGTTTATGCTATTTTATTTTTTATTTTCGACCAATATATTATAGTAGAGAAGAAAATTCATCTTAATTGCTACTCAATTAAATTATGTCCGAGAGAATGTAATATTATTGATAGTTCGCCTGTCGTGAGTAAAAAATATGTAGATATCTTCTATTGTCGGAGTAGTTATCTCTTTTTCAATGAGCTTAACGATTTCTTCGCTAAATGGATCGTCGACGGCCATATATAGATGCTTCAGTGTTTGATTGGACTTGACACTATCTACGAAAATTCTTATTGTTTCCTCTTTGAACTTCTGGAACTCAAGAGTGTTGTTTGGCTTTTTTGACTTTTGTCTGAAGGTGTAGTAGTCACTTCCGAGTCTGCTGTCACTCATACAGGTAATATCCAACTCGCAAAGTGTCGTGTTGTGGAGAAGCATTGTGCTGATCGATCGGAGATGTTCGAGATTGTAGTCTCTCAGCCTCAAGTACCGAAGAGTACGATTGACATTGCCGTTCATACAATCGTAGAACGACTGTGAGAGAATGTGACATGAGATCGACAGTCTCTCAAGGGTGGCATTGGTTCTGAGCGCGTTGCTAACGGCTAGCGACGACCTCTCCAGAATGAGCTGGTCGGTCACAGGCTGTCGGTAATTCATGTTGGTGAGATACAGTTCTTTCAGCGTTTTGTTGTTGGCCAACAGCGTACACAACGACTCCCATTTCTCTATTGAGCTACTAACATTGTTGTCTAGCGATTGAGAGGTGTTGCCAAGTTTACCCAGCCCAACTTTGGCTCTGATCGATTTGATTTGATGGTTGTTTAGCTGTACTATGCTGTTCATATCTGTCAGACTAACATGGCATTGCTTTTCAAACTCCACGTATTGCAGGCCTTCCCACGTAAATGAATACTTGGTGTCGAACCTATTCCGATGAACGAAAATCGATTTAACTTGATAGGTAGTGCAAAACGGTGATGATTTATCGATATACTTGAGTGAATTGTAGTCGAGATGTACGAATTCCAATGTTGGTTGCACATCTTTCATTAGGGCTGCCATCGATTTGATATTCTCCACATTCCAGTCATCGGGTTTCCTATGTGAATCTCTAGCAAATCGAATATCATTAAATTTGATATACAATTCATATACTACTAAATTATTATTCTTAAAATGATTAATTATATCTTTAAATAAAGCAATATACTGTGTATTCAATGTTATTAGCTGAAGATTTGGGAATTTTTGAATGAAATCTATTATGTTCTTATGAAAGGTCTCTGATGCTACTCTACTTTGATTACTGATGTATAGATGTGTTATGTTATTGAACTGATAGAGTGAATTTGGTGATTCAAGCTTGGAAATGATATCTTTATTCGATAGATTGTTGATTTTTGGTGTTTGTGATTGTGATGATTTAGAAGCTTGTAGTTTCGAACTGGAATCTGAATCTGAGTCGGAATCTGAACTGGAATCTGAATCATCATCATCATCATCATCATCGTCTGATTTTAGTTCATCTATTGATGTTTCCCTTATACAATCGTTAGCTAGCTGTGGTTGATAAAAGTATCGGTAGTTCAGTATCGAGAGGTATTCGAACCAATCTTTACAGACTAAAGATAGATCCTTGATGTAAGGAACCTCTAGAAAGTATCGGATAGCATCGAATCGATCTGTTTTCTTATAGGTATACTCTGTTCTATAGTAATATGATTGAATATATTCTTCAAGTGTTTGAAACGAACTTAATTTACAACACAACAATGTTAAAATATAGTGTTGAATCAATTTATTTAATTTTACACAATTATATGATGATGTTGTTGTTATTATTGTTGATTCATCCATTTATATATATACACATTAATTTATTAAATGAGATAATTTTAAAATAGTTTTTATTTTTTTCATTTTTTTTAATTAAATTTTTTATTTTAAAATAGGGAATTCCAAGCAATTCAAATTATTCTTAAACAATTTATTCATTTGAAAGTATAATTTAATTTAGTTTTATCTTTATAAATTTTATCTATACCACAATTAAATTGAATTTCAAGAATGTTTTATTTTATGTTGTGGATTTATATAAATAATATTTGAGAATATTCATAAATTTTGAAAAAATAATTGAAAAAAAATAGATAGGTATATTAAAACAACTTTATATTAAAAAAGAATATGATATTCATACCTATTGAAAATGTCATCGGGTTTAATTTAATTTCGCCACATACCACCAATATTGGTATGAAAAAAAAGATTTTGTTTTTTTGGTGGGAGAATAAAAAAAATCAGATTTTTACTAATTTTTAATTGATTTGTTGGAGTTTGATAAAACCATCCTATCATTTTCCATTACTTTGCTAGACATGTAATTAAACATAGTTTCTTTTTTTTATATATTATTTATTTTACTTTTTTGTAGTATCACCAAGTTTACATTTTTTATATCTATATCTATATTTAGTTTTGTTTTTTTTTTTATAATAATTTAATAACAATAATAATAATAATGATACCAATTCATAGTAATAGTAGTAGTTATGAAACAGATGAAGATCATTATAATAATGTAAATCAAAATGAGATACAAAAACAAGTAAGGTGTTTCAAAGAATAATTTTTTTTTAAACGAAAGATGATTAATTAAATATTTTCGATCGCACCGCATCGCAGCAAGAAGATATATTGAAAACAAAAGGTTGGCGAGAATGTATGAAACACCTTTATGATTACTCGACAAAGGCAGGATATATTCAAGAGCATCGTCTTGCACTAAATGTTATACTACCGACCTTTACGAAACATCAATATAAACCGGTTGCTTTTCAGGTGACCATCAATTGTTCGAAGCCAGAGATCATCGTTGGACAGACACCGTCGGCACCACACTATTCGAACTTCGAAGGACAGTGTGTGATTTGCTACGAGAACGTTGGCTCGGCCAAGAGAAAAGGTTTGAGAGCGTTCGAGTTTCAGTGTAATCAGCGTCGCTTTTTCCGACAGTTTCCGCCCTACCCTTACTTTACGAATCACAACATCATCATTGATCGCGAGCATCAACCACAGGTGCTAACGATCGACACCATCAAGGAGCTGCTGGAAATCAGTCGGTCTATGCCCGGCTACAAAGTAGCGTCGAACTCGGATCGCGAAGGCACCGGTGTAACCAATATGTCGCATCGCCACTATCAGGCTGGCGATTTCCATTTCACAGTCTACGATGCCGTTGCACGTAGACAATATCGAGCGAACCACGATTGTCTCATTGAATGGCTCAACTACCCTTCGGCCTGTCTCAAAGTGATTGGCGGTGATTTAGATCGGGTAACACAGACAGTCAATACACTGTTTAGCACCTGGAGAAACGGTGACTTCCCAACACTCAACCAACCACTTCAGACAGCATCGTTGATCGCCACCTACAATCCAGACACTAGCAACTACGAATTCATGATATTCCCAAGAAATGCTGAGCAACCACGTTTCCTAACGAGTGCAACACTCCAGTGTTTGAAGCGAGAGTTTGTTGGAATCTTTGAACTCTGTGGCTATGCCATCTTACCTGCCAGACTAAAAGATCAACTTGCAACAATTAAGAGTGAACTTGTTAAGTACGAGTTAAACAATAGCAATTGCAGCAATAACAATATAACCCCATTCAAGTTGGAAACTGATGAACTGAGCATGTTCAATGGTTGGTTAGATAAATATTACTTCCCATATAGAAAAGAAAATAGTAATCTAACAACTGAAGAGGCATTCGATGATACACTTCAATACAGTTTTATAGCTATACTAAGAGATAACAGTCCCATTAAAGATGATGAAGAATCAATCATTGAATCATGGATAGAACAATGTAAATTTTATTAATAAAAATTTATATTCAAAGCAAGTTAGTGATCACACACACACTTCTTTTTTCTCTGATGAGATTTTAATTATTTTAATTAATTAAGCATGGTGGAGAATAATAAAAAAAAAACCACCCCATTATTGACAATCTAAGCTCAAGATTGTAACTCATTGTAATGAATTGTGTTTGTGTGGTTAAAAAAGAAAGTGTGTGTGTTTAATTTTTAGTTAAATGATCAAAATATCCTTTCAATTGTAAGGTGCACATAAAATAGATACATTGATCAATATAACTATTTTCAAGTAGTTGTGTAAAGTAAAATGATCCAAATCAAAACAATTAAGTTTTTTTTATTCTTGATATTCAACTTTGTTATTTATTTTATCTTTTAATCTCAAACAATGAATATTTTAGTTTTTTTTATTTATCTATTATTGATTTATTTGTTTTATTCTTTTGTAGGTTCACTACCAAATTGATTTGGTTAAAAACATATTAACATAAAAATAAAATTTTATAGGTTCAAAAGAATAAAAGATTTTCAAATAATGATCCAAAAGGACCTATTGGATTACCGATGATTGGACATCTTCATCTATTGGGTGATAGACCACATCGTGCATTAACAAAAATGATTAAAACATATGGACCAATTTTTAGAATGTAAATATAAATTATATCAATGGATAATAATTTAATAATTAAATAGTAATAACTTTTTTTATTTTAATATAGATGGATGGGTGATCATTATACTCTTGTAATTAATGACATTTCATTAGTAAAGGAGGTGTGGGTTAAGAATTTCGATAACTTTGTAAATAGACCTCATCCAGCATCATTTGAGATTTACAGTGGTAATTTTCAAGATTTAGCTTTCAGTGATGAAGCTCTATGGAGAAGAAGTAGACACATGGTATCCGCTGCATTTACCAAAACCAAACTAAAGACAATCATCAAACAACTAGACCATCAAACATCACTTTTAATAGAAGCAATGAAGAAGTATCAAGTTGAAAAAAAACCTGTAAGTTGTTACCTGTTGTTTTAAAATCTTAGAATTTCAATTAATTGATATGATATTAGTTTTATTGTAAGAAATATTTTAGTAGATTTGCTTTGAATATTATTTTCAATGTATTGTTCTCAGAGGAGATACCATATGACGAAGGTCTAGACGATGGAAAGATGGCGCGTCTAACAGAACCAATTCATATTGTCTTCAAGAAATTGGGTGCTGGTAGTATCGATGATTATGTCTCTCTATTATCACCTATGTTTTACTTTAACCGTCGCCACTTTAATTCCGAAGTTATGAAGGTAAAACAATTCATGAGAGAAATCTATGATGAACATCTAAGTACTTTGGATAAAGAAAAGTATGTATGGAAAACAAATAAAATAGTTATAACTATAATTTATAGATTGATAAATTCAATACTAACTTTATAATTGTAGCCCAAGAGATTTGTTGGATCAAATGATTATTGAATCCGATGGAAATTCAGTTGATAATATCCTGCATGTAGGAATGGATTTCATGTTGGCCGGATCCGATAGTTCTGCAGGAACAGTTGAATGGTTTTGTTTGTTCATGACTAACAATCAAGATGTCCAAGAGAAGGCATATGATGAGCTGCAGAGTGTTGTCGGTAGAGGCAATCGTGCAGAGACAAAACATCGTGTCAATACACCCTATATGAATGCAATCATCAAGGAGGTGATGAGAATGCGACCGATCGGACCATTGGGTATACCAAGACAAGCGAAAGAGGACTGCTCGATCGGAGGTTACTTTGTGCCAAAGGGTACTCAAATGATTATGAATATCTATGGTTTGTCAAACGATGACCAATGTTGGGTCGACCCACTTCAATTCCAACCGGAACGTTTCCTAATCGATACACACACCGACCGATGTCTGCCATTTGGCATTGGCAACCGTAATTGTGTCGGACAGAACATGGCACTCGACGAACTCTACATTGCATGCACCAACATCCTAATGAACTTCCACCTACGATCAGTTGATAATAAACAAATAGATGACACTGAAAGTAAGTTGTTAATAATCATAATTATCAAGTAAACAATCTTAACCACTACTAACATACACACACAATATCTTTTAGTATTTGGTTTAACCATTCATCCTAATCCATTTGCAATGTATTTGGATGCAAGAACATAGATAGAATTAACTCATAAATTTATTATAAATTGGAATGGTTCCGCTGGATTTGGTCAATGGTTTCTTGTCCTCGAAATGATATTGTTTGATTTTCGTTGGATCTTGACTGTTGATAGCCAAGACATAACAATAATGACCTTGAATTAGATACCATTCTTCAAATTCATCGAATATCTCCAATCTTTCAGTTCTAATTTAATTTAATAAATGTAAATAAATAAATAACATTAACAATCATTCGATCAGCATCTCTATTGTTTTTCTTTTCAATATACTTACTCTTTAACTCTTTCCTTTTCAATAAAGTAATTATATACATCTAACATATCCAATACATCTACACGTTTCCATCCGAAGCCAAGATATCTTTCTCTTTGATCTTTAATCTCTGGGAATGAATTGATTGATAATAATGGACATCCTTTATTCTATATATATAAATATATAAATAGATATTAATAATCTTGGTGTATCTATCTATGATGTTAATTAATAATCAACTTACTTCAATATTTTTTATCATCATCGATCCGAATTCATCATAGGGTTTAATTTGTTCGTAGGTAATGAAAACCGATTCTTTGAAACGATTGGATGTCCAGTTTATCAGTGAGTTACCTGCTTCGGTGGGAATGTAGATGATAACACACTCTGATAGGAACATAGTGGGTGCTTCAAAGTCGATGTTCAGCGCAGAGAACACTGAATCGAAACATTCTGTACCAGCTGTTAAATCGATGGGTGCCACACGATAGTCTGATGTCTGTAGTGAATGATTTTCATCGTCCCACTTGGCATTGTCACCAATCAGCTGATTCAACTCTTTGCAACTCTTTATAATCTTTAACTTATTTACAATCACCTTTGAATAATCTACTTCATAATATATCATATTTTTAATACCTCTAGACTGTTGTTATTGTTATTATAATTATAGTTGTTATTTGTTTGTAGAATGGTTAGATTAGTAACATATCATAACATAACATAACATAATTGCATATCATAGTTGAAACAAAGCATTACCTTCATTCTAAAATAGAGTGTATCGAATCCACATCCAAGACTGACAATCTGTATTGGTTTGGTAGAATCTGAATAGATGGCGAAGAACTGTTTAATGAATTGTTCGATTGCTTCCACTCTTGAAAAGAATCCTCTATTGATAAGAGGTGGTCTTCTTATAGGTGTCTTTACGAAATACTGTACAAATTCATCTTTATAATATCCTATATTAACTGCTGATCTTTAAAAATTGATAATAACAATTTTAATTAGAATATAAATATAAGCATTGTAAAGTAAGTAGAATCAGAGATGAATGATTGATTCATTCTTTTATTCATTCGTTCATTAGTGCGTTCGTTCGTTTAACCTACAATTTACAAGATGCAGCATCATCATTTGTACCGATGACAGCTTCAATATGTTTATCTATATTCTGTTGTCTAGTTGATCTACTACTACTGGTAGAGCTACTATCACTTTGTGACGATTTGGGTTTAAAGAATGTTGGTATATTATCTTTTGACATTATTTATCGATAATTATTTGAAATCAATAAATTAAAAGGTTGTTTGAAAGCCAAAATGATCATCATAAAATTTCCAAAAATGTGAAAAAATGAACATCAACATATTTATTAGATATATTTAATATTATTAAGATAAAGATATATAAACTAACCATCATGATAGTTATTTGAATATAAATAATTTATTCAAAATATTAAAAATAAAATTTCTTTTATCTATTACTATTTTACTACACCTTGATTGTTATAAACTGGTTCTCCTCGACATAACTTGGGATTTGGTGAAACAGTTGGTTACGGTTCAATTCCACCAGTGTTTATAATATTGAAAGGCTCCATTCCTCTAAAACCATTGTCACCCAATAAGATATCTCCTTTGTCAAGATATATATGACGCCACTCATGGTATGTGAGATGAATAATGGCATCATCTTTAACGCTACCAGGAAAGGCCTTTGACATGTATAAGATTGTACCAGAAGTGATGGATACAATAAATAAAACAATGTATCCAATCTTAAGTCAAGTGGCTTTTCAATTCTTCTGTACAATCCACTGAACCAACAATATTATCGTTACAGAAATAAAACTTAACTATCTCTCTATTTGATAGATCAGAATTATAACTATCTATTCTTTGTATAGAGTTAGAGTGTGTATCGATTTATCAATGTAGGTTGAGGAGGTATATCGTTTGTATAAACTCTACTGGATAAATATTCAATCATGGCCATTTTAACTCTATTAACTGTTGTTCTTGAGATCCTAAATAAAAATCCTGTAAGTAAATCAGTTGTATAATGTCTCATATGAAACATTATGATTACTATCCTATCCAATGGTCGTAGGAATATAGTGGAGTTTGGATGGGTCAACGGATTATGAACAAGGTATTCATCTAGAATAATGTCAATGCTACTTTTTGATACATCAACTAACTTTTTGAATCTTTTATCTGGTAAATTGTAGAGTTCTATAACTACCTTATTTTTACTATAAACCTCTATTTTAAATGTTAAATAAATGACATTGGTAAAAAATTACATTTACAAAACAAAACTGGCTCCCAACAACTTTCGCCTGCGCATTAATTTTAAAAAAAATATAAAAATTATAAATTAGTGGGGTTAATGTGATCAGAGTGGTTTTTTTTATTTTATTCGATTTATGGTTACAAGCAAGAGCCAGTTTTGTTTTGTTTATTATTTCTTCTTCCACTTCTTGATTTAGTTGTTGTTGCTTTGGGTGCTGATTTTTTCTTATTTTCATCATCATCGTCCCCATCACCATTATCATTCTCTCCATCATCGTCATCATCTTCCTCTTGTTCATCATCTTCATATGATATAACATTCTCACAGACCAGTTGTAAGTTTTCCTGACATTTAAACTCTACAGAGCAAGAGACTGGAACATGGTCAGAATAATGTCCCATATTTCGATGGAGCTTTTGGTTGATTATTTTGATGTTGGGTTTTTTTTTTCCAGTCCACCCAGCCAGAATGTTGTCACAATGAGACACATGAAAGACACAAGACATGGTCGTTCCATGAGTTTCATCCAATGCTTTGACAGTGTTCTGAGGAAGCTTAGCTTTGTTAAAATCACCAACTAAAAGTGACAGACCAGTATGTATAAATTCCAAAATACCATCGTCTGTGTTTTCATAGGTTGAGAAATCATTCCAATTATTTAGCAATTCTTGTGATTTTTCAAATGTATCTTTATTGGTGCCAGCATAGAAATGGATACCATATACCCCAATATAGACATCAACGAACTTAAAGACCACTCTTCTACCAATATCTGACTCGTACTTTTCATGATCGACAAATTCAGAATAATCTTTTATTGTGTAGCAATACTCCAAATATTCAGGGTTCCAAAAGAAAACAACTTGTTCTCCGTTTTTAGAGTCGGTGTCATCGCGGAAAATCTTAGTTAACTTGGTGTATTGGTATTCTAATGATTAACAAAGTGAGTTAGGTTTGAAGTGGTTCACAATTGTGTGTCCATGGAATACATACTAGACTTCTCACTGAGCTTTTTAAGAACTTCATCTGATTCACTAGACACCTCTATCAACACAAAGAGGTGAAAATTCATCATCAAACTAGATAGATCATTGAGGAACATATCAAGGTGAACATTATCCAATATCTTGTCAGACAAATGATGTACGTTCCACGTACCAACATTAATGGTGTAGTCTTTTTTTTGATTCATTCTGGTATTAAAAATATGAAAAGAAAATTATCTAGTTATAAAAGTGATTAATATTTATTTTTTTGTTACTCAGTTACAATATTTTCGAAATTTTGTCACTCAACATTTTTTTTATGATATTTTGAGTTGAGATATTTTTTCATATTTTTCACCAGTGACGATATGAAATTCTGAAGTTCACTAAATAATGGTATTTAGTGACAATATTCATTAGAAATCTATAAATTGTTTTTTATATCTTTAAGATATCTATTTTTTCGGTAGCAACAAACCCGATATCTCCAACAAATCTAGATTCAATGTCGTTCCCAAAGATATCGAGGAGTTAGATACTAGCTTTGAATTGGAAGTAAAAAATCAATGATTTATCATCATATCTCTAGCAAGGAAGGTTTCGATAATGATAAAGATAGAGATTTTTGTGGCAAAAAACTAAAAAAAATTTACCTTTAGTTTAGTTGTTTTTTTGGTTCGCTTCTTACTAAAAATAACTTTTGTATTTAGATTATTTTTTTCTTTCCTGACCTTCAAAGGTTTGAATTCAAAAAGATCCCAATTCCAATTTTATCAAGAATCATTAAAATAAATAGATTCAAGATTGGTAGATTCATCATCAGATGATCAACTGAAAACTCAAATTTGAAGAAGAAAAGAAATGGGGAGCTAAAGTCATCTCCCAAACCTACAACTATAGATTTAGATACATCATAGGAATTATCATAAATAAATGAATAACAAATCTACACAGTGTTTGATTAACTCCATTCTACAAAAATGTTTTTTATTAAATTTGAGAATTATTAATTAACAAATATTTCTAAGTACACAACCTTCGAATGCTAAACCAGGACCAAAAGCAAGTCCAATTGAATATTGTGGAAGTGATTTAGATTTTCTGGCGTGATCCATTACAAAGAGAACGGAAGCACTCGACATATTACCGAATGCTTTGTAGATAGACCAGGAATGACTGTTCTGAGTGGATACAATGTCGAGTGAGTTTTCAATGGACATTAGAATGGCTTTGCCACCGGTGTGAATAAGGAATTCATAGTCTTTAAAGTTGGTCGAGTGTGTCTGTGCTTTCGTCTTCTCAAGCAACTCTCTGACAAACGTTTCGATTCCACCGCCAATGTGATGAGGAATCGACTGATCCAAACCTAAATCCCATCCATTCGTACTAATTTCCCAGGTCATCGTATGTGCAGTACCTGGCACCGATCTATTCATAGATGTCAGCACTTCAAACAAAGGTCTTTCATAAATTGATGGATTACAACTAAAAATAATAGTATTAATAAATATTAGATTGTTAACAATGAACATGAGATATTCAATTCAATTCAAATATATTTTTACAACTTACCCTAGAATATATGCTGCTGATCCATCTGCAAATATAGTTGAAGCAACAATCTGGTCAACTCCTTCGTTGGTGGTAAAATGAGTGGAACATATCTCTGTGCAAACTACTAGAATTCTATTCTTAGCATTGTGACAAGCCAGTGAGCAAGCTGCACGTAGAGATGAAAGACCGGCAAGACAACCCATAAAGTTAATGGAGACACGCTCGACATCGCGATTAAGTCCGAGTTTCTCGATGAGAAGGAAGTTGATGTCTGGCACTACGACACCGGTGCTCGATACCGATACGATATGGGTGATATCTTCGACATTGCCACCCCAGTCTTTAATGGCTTTCTCACAGGACTCACGTGAGAGACTGGGAGCTGCTTTAATGAATTGTCCGTTGACATCAGAGATATTCTCATTCTTTCGTTGCTTCAGCGAAGTTTCAGGTAGGAGTGGATTTCTAAAGAGGTGACGTGTTTTAATGTGAGATTGTTCGAATATCTTTACTACTTTATCGACGGTTTCAGGATCGTCAGAGAAATCCTTGGACATTGTTGCTCCTAGATCGTCTTGGTAGAGTGGACCGTTCGGTACTGCAGTTCCCATGCCAAGTATGTAAGGATTGATATTGTTACTGATGGTTGGCATGACAAGTGATAGCATTGGTGACAATGAGCGTGTTGGTGATGATGAAGTAGGAGATGAAAGAGGTGTTCCTCTGCCAGAGCTATTGCTACCGGTGGTGTTAGAAGTGATACGATCACCATTATTGATAAGTGACTTGGCATGAACTGTACGTAAGAGTGGATTCGTTTTACTTGATGGGACAGGTGATGACTGTAACTTGTTGTATTGAGGTAGATTATTTGTTGAGTTGTGGAGTGAAGACTTTTCTTTGGTGATTGGCAGCAGTGATGGCAACTCAATATTTGGAACGGATGACTTTCGAGGTAATACATATGATAGCTTTGGTAGTGGGGATGTTCTAACATCAACTTTGAATTTAGCTTTAGATGTATCTTCCGATGCCGAGAGTAGTGCAGTGGTAGTTCCTTTAGAAGTGCCTGTTGCAAGGTTTGCAATCTTTTGAATAATATTTTTGATACTTGATGATGACAGTTGAATGTGTGTGAATAGATTCTTTTCATACTCTTTATCAATCCATGATTTGAATTGAACTGTCAATAGTGAATCTAAACCATATTCCTTGAGTTTGGTGTCTGGATTCAACTTGGAATGATTGACAGAGAGTAGGTTGGCTACCTTGTTGGTGATTCTCTCTTCTAGTGAAATGTCATCTTTTCCATTGTCCAACCTGTTATCGTTTTCATTGATAACTACAAGATGTGCCATCTTTGGACGCATATGTGGGAAAGAATCGAAATACAGTTGAGCGTTGATGGGACTGACAATCAGTTGACGTGGAGGATGGCAACTCTCGTTTCCACTTAGCGCGCACTCCAATGCACCAAAGAATCTCGGTAGAGAGAGTGACGGTAGACCTCTATTAAGGAACAACTCTTCTATTGCTTCGTTGTCAGCGACTTTACCCTCACTTTGAAGTGGTCCCCAGTTGAAGGATAGCGATGGTAAGCCCGCTGAAATACGGAAATTACAAAGAGCATCGAGAACTGCGTTGGAAGAATTATAACTGGCTTGTCCATTGTATCCTGTTATCGATGTAATCGAAGAGAAAAGTACAAAGTAATCTAGTTTCCAACCAGAGATAATGGAGAGACGATGAAGGTTGATTGCACCAATGACCTTTGGATCATGGACTTTGTTTATGACATCGATATTCACTTGATCGAATGGAACATCATAGTAGATGGCTGCCAAATGGAATACTGCTTGAATAGGTGGAACTTCAAGCTTCTGAACAGAGGATGTAAGTGAATCCATATTAGCGATATCCACTTGGATGTGGTGAATTGCTGGTTTCGATCGATTCAATTGGAGTCGCTTAATAAGAGTCTCAAGCTTCCAACCAAGTGAAGAACGTGAGATTACAACAATGTCAGATGCATTCGATCGATTGGCTAACCATTTAATGAGTTCCAATGAAATACCTGTTTGTCCAGTAATGATTACGGTATTGCTGATATCCAATTTGTAATTGGGAATTGGAACTAAAGTTGGTGATTTGAATAGAGGAATGAGAATATCTTTATCAATTGATTTACAATCAATTACAATCTTCCCAATATGTTTTCTTTCACTCATTGATTCGACAGCTGCTCTCGATTTGCTAGCGGAATAAACATTGATTGGAATGATCTCTAGTGATCCAGAGCTAATGTTATCCATAATCTCAGAGAGCATCGATTGTAAGAGTTGTGGACGTTCATCGATAAGTCGCTCCAAGTCAACAGCAGAGTAGGAAGTATCTCTTTTGAAGTTGGACATATCCAATGGTTCGTTGGCATAGATGTGTGTGACCGAGAGATCTGCAATACGTCCAAAAGATGCCAACGATTCAAAATTGGCGTTCATGAACTCTCCAGATAGAGTATTGAGGAGGACATTGACGCCAGACGATGTCTCTTTGATTCGGTCGGCAAACTCCTTGGTTCTACTATTGTAGACACCACACAACATTTCACCGAAACGCTCTTTTAGTAACTCTTGTTTCTCAGTGGAGCCAGCAGTTGCAAACACTCGGAGGGCAGATTTCATCTTTAGGAGATTGAGAGCAGCCATACCAACACCACCGGTGGCACCATGAATCAACACTGATTCGTGTCGAGTATCAAGTTTGGCAACATTGAAAAGCGAGTAGAATGCCGTACAGTATACAACTGGAATCGATGCTGCTTCCTCGTAGCTAAGCATCGATGGTTTCATTACAACTAGATTTTGATTGGTTACGACGTGTGAGCCAAGCGAATGACGTGCAAAACCAACCACTTCATCACCGACACTGAATTGGTCGACTTGCTCACCAATACGAGAAATGATTCCAGAACATTCAAGTCCGAATGGAGGATTGTAGATATCACCCTTACGGAATATCTCTTGTGGAAGTAATCCTCGCATAAATAGGTAGTCTTTGAAATTGAGACCGACTGCCTTCACCGAGATCTCAATCTCTGAACTGCCAAGCGGTGAACGTGTTACACAATGGAATCCCAACTTGGCATCGGAAAGACAAGCCACATTGTTAATATTCTTTTCATAGGCACCACTGCTTTCCAGAAGTGTATCTCTTGGAACCGGGGTTAAACGTGGTACCAATATCTTTCCACCTTTGATAATGAACTCAGAGTCTGCCAACTTGTCAGATTTGCCAGTTAGATTGATCAGTGTCTTCATATCGGTTGTATCCTCATCGTCAATGTCAATCATGGTGATCGATAGTGTTGGATATTCATTGGCAGCTGTTCTTGCAATTCCTATCAAACTGGCATTCAGATAGTTGCGAGAGTTCAGTGTGCACGAGTTCTTTGTTACAATAGCCAGTTTCGGTGCCGAACCAACTGGTATCGTTGCCAACTTTTGAATGAGAGTAACCAACTCCTGAGTGACCAGTTTATAATTTCCACTGAGTGTTTCCAGCCCGTGGAAATAGAATAGGTAGTTGGAACCTTTTATGCGATCCATTGAAGTTTCGATATTCTGAGATTCAATGATTTCCACTTCGTGCGCGGAAACCGATGCTTCCCGCAATAGCTTGTGAAGTTTTCTTGTGGGATTGGTCGGGTGAACCTGTGTCTTTGATACAATGAGTGAGATCTTTTGAATATCATCCTCGAGGTGCTCCGTATTCATCGGTAGTTTCTGTGACAAAACAACAAAAGAATGTGAAGCACCCATTTGTCCCATTGCGTTGGGTGGACTGATAGTTATAGTCTGTGGGAATCCTTCTTTGTGTAGCAACTTTGACCATTGTTCGGGAGCGAGTGAACAATGATCGGATCGTTGATTGTCAGAGTATTGCCACCACTGATGGAAACAACCAAATACAATATCACTGAAGATAATGTTCTTTGATGGTTCAATAAAGAGAAGCCATCCACTGGGACTAGTGATATGATTGAGTTGTTCAAGAGCATACGGTAGATTGGAAACAGCATGTACAACATAGGACATTAACACCATATCGTATGAGCCAGGCAAGAATCCTTGCGCGACAACATCACGTTCCAAATCTAGTGTTTTGAATTTCATTGAAAAGTTGTGAGGTAGCTTGGCACTCTTTTCAATCTCCTCGTTCATTGTAGTGACGAAACCAGCCGAAACATCGGTGAAAGTATATTCTATCTCGATTCGTTGCTTTGGTCCACCAAGAATCAAGTTGAACGTGTTGAGAAGTCGATAGGTTAAACTACCAGTTCCACCACCAATCTCGAGTATTCTGAATACTCTTGGCTCAGATAGCTTCGAAGTGATAGCATGTTGGATAGTGTCTGCCAATTGCTCCAAGTAGTAGGTTACTGAAGACGAATGAGTATAGAACTTGCTGAGCAGATCATTCTCAAACAATGAGTGGCAAGCGGAACTGTCTCCTGTCAACAGAGCAGGTATTAGGTTGGCAGCTCTCTCAACCAACTCGAATTCAACAAGCGCCTTGGGGTATCGGTCGAGTATCATTGCTTTTTGAATTGACATATCGGCATCCAACTCTCCGTTGGGATCGAGATCGATACGATTATCAATCAATATCGATTGGAGACGTGTGAGGAATCGTGTGAATTTCGAGTGAATCTGATACTGGGTGAGCAACTCGGGAATCGGGGTTGCGATAAACTTGAGAAGATTGTAACCTAGCAGATATTTGCTCAACGATTGGTTAACCAGTTTGGCGCAATACAAGACGAATTGGAAATCCATAAGTATCTGACTTTCGGCAGCTTGTTGTGGCAGTTTCTCAGGCACAATAGAGAATGGCGATGGCAATGGTGACTCTTTGGTTTGCCAGTTCATAGTGAATACATTGTCACATGGGAATTTGATTTGATCACTATGATTCTTATCGAGTGTCTTTACTGTGAAACGTTTCATTGATAAAAGATTTTGTCCACTCGGGGTAAGGAGCTGAGTAGAACCGGTTATCTCAAACTGACCACGATGCAGAATCTTTGTGTAAAGATAAAGGTTATCGACTGGCTGCGAGTTGAGATGTTGTAACAGCTCCAAGTTGATGTGTACGTTCTCTGCCTGTGCCACTACAAAGTGTTGACGATTGTCTAACAGCGCCAACATTCCGTGGAAACAGTTGTCGATTAAACAAGCATTCAGAATGTGATGAGGTCCACCCTTTACATGGAAAGGAATGTTTGCCATTGAACAATCTGGACCGATATCGATTGATTCTACTCTCTGGAATGTCGGTCCATAATTCAATCCAAGTCTCGATATCTTTTGATAGAGATCGGTCTTTCCGATTGTTGTGAATTTACAAGTAGACATCAAACTAGCGATATCAACTCGGGTGGTGTCGTTAGTTGGCTGCAACAATGAGAGTCGTGCATTGGCAGTCTTTGTCCATGCCTGAGTCTTCTCACCATCCTTTTGAAAGAATTGAACTTTGTAGCTGTTGTTGTTGTTCAAAGTGACTTCATCAAAGACGGTTTCCAAGTATTGTTGTTCACCATCGACCAAGAAGAATGGACTTTGGAACTCGATGCTCGATATCATGATATCCATCTGACGCGGATACATTGCTTGGATGATTGCATCGATATAACCTGCACCTGGGAACAAAGCTTTTCCTTTTACTTTGTGGTCTTTCAGATATTCAAAGGGACGACGATTACAATCGATGATACTCTCATATCGTTGAAGTCCCTGAATAGCTTGATGTCCCAAGATGGTACCTGACGGTCCTGATAAACGACAATCGATAGAGTACTGCGGTTCATTCCAATAGACGTCGGTGTCCCACTGGTATCTAGGTAGAAGATTTACTCGCTCACGCCAAACTGGACTACTCAACTCTTGATGTGAGAATTGCGATGTGAAATTGACATTGCAGCCATTGCAGTGAAGTATAGCTATTGAAGTATTGAATGAAACCAGTTCATCTTTGTTTCTATAAAGCGACGGTATTACGTTGGCATTTGGAACGATCTTATTGATCAAGTAGGAGAGTGTTGGATGCGGTGTAATCTCCAAGAATATCAAGTTGTCCGATGGCTCCGACGCAATATCATAGATCGACTCTATTGCACCTTTAAACTGTACTGGATGGCGGAGATTACGATAGATGTAACGAGCATCAACTGGATCGGTTTGAAGACTACCAGTCACAGTCGAGAAAAGTGGAATCTTATTGTGTAGAACACTCGGTAGGTCTGTCAAACTCTCGAAAACTCTTGACTTTAGAACCTTTTGATGTGAAGAATGGAATGAGCAAGGTGACTTTAAAAAGACATTAAAGATACCAAGTGCCGTTAGATCGTTGGAGAACTCTTGTAGTTTATCTTCGACACCCGTTATCACCAATGAATCAAGAGAGTTGTAGCAAGCGATTTCCAACTCTGGATATTTTGAATGGTAGTCGGCATTGAATGTATCAGATGTCAAAGTGACTGCCAACATCTTTCCACTTCCAATCGTAATATTTTGAAGACTACTACGATGATATACTATTTTTACAGCTTCTTCCAATGTCAAAGCACCAGAACAATATGCAGATGTAACTTCACCAAAACTTAAAAAAATAACATTTAGTTAAATATCACATCCATTTCCTTCATAATAAATAATAAAAATAACATACCTGTGACCAACTACAAAAGATGGTTCTACTCCCCATTGACGATAGAGTGATACCAAACCACATTGCAAGAGGAAAAGAGCTGGTTGTGCAATGATGGGATGGTGTATCTCCAGTGAATCATCGGGCAATGAAATTAGCTTCTCGAGGATACTATAACCAAACAGTGGTTTAAATAGCGAGTCAATATGGTCAACGGTTTCTTTATATATACTTTCGGCTTGATAGAGTTCACTTCCCATGCCTTTCCACTGTGGACCCTGACCACAGAATACAAATACAACTTTACTACTATTTACACTGTCGATACTACTATCGTTGTTATCGGTTGACGAAGCAGAGAGTTGACTTGAAACCGATACACCTTGTTCTATAAACTCCTTCCAATCTTTGGCGAAATATACTTTTCTGTGAGAGAGATGCGATTTGTTGAGTGATTGATGCATCACAAACTCTTTGAAATCAACATTTCTATGAATATCACCATTACTAATAATATCTTCCGTATATTTATTTAAAGAGTGTTGTGAATTTGCACTTAAAGGTACTAAGTATCTAAACCCATCATTTCTAAATAAATTAAAAAAAAAAAAAAGAATAAAAAAATATGAATAAATATAATCCTTGCACAATTTTTTTTTTTTTCATCAGATGATGATATCAACTGATTTTTCAACACTTACTGTTTATTTTCAATATCAGTTGAAATGCTCTGATATTCTTCAATGATAAGATGACAATTAGAACCTCCGAAACCAAATGAATTGATACCGATCCTTACTGAATGTTCAGGGAAATCTTCGATTTGTTTGACTACATCGATATTCCAATCTTCGAATGGAATGGCTGGATTTGGTTTGTTAAAGTTGATGGTTGGCACCAACAGTCTGTTCTTTAGCATCATACAGACTTTGATAAGCGATGCAATACCGGCTGCACTCTCGAGATGACCGATGTTTGACTTGACCGAACCGATCTTCAGTGGATAGCCTACGGAGTGATTGGCGCTAAACACTTCATGTAGAGCTTGAACTTCAATTGGATCACCCACCGGTGTACCAGTACCGTGTGCTTCGACGTAGAAGATATCCGATGGGTTCAGAGCAGCCTTGTTTAGAGTTGTCCGGATATTCTCTGCTTGCGAGCTGATCGAAGGTGTTGTTAGACTGGATTTGTTGAATTTACCATCTTCGTTGGTACTACCTCCACGAATGACACCGTAGATTCTGTTACCATCTCGCTCCGCTGCCGCTAGACTCTTCAACACAACGATACCGGCACCTTCACCTCTGACATATCCTTTGGCATCGGCATCGAACGCTCGACAATGTCCATCGGGATTCAACACTCCGAGACTCGAGAATGCAGCGCTGGTCGACGGATCCAACAAGGCGTTGACACCACCACAAAGTGCAACTTCCGACTCGCCAGAAAGAATCGATTGACAACCCAAGTTCACAGAGACTAACGACGATGAACAAGCGGTATCAATAGTGATGGAAGGACCACGAAAGTCGAAACAATAGGAAATACGATTGGATATGATCGATCCATTCGTTCCTGTCATTGTGTACGGTGGTAACTCTGCCGATGGAGCACCTTTAAACTGAAGCTTCATATAGTCGTAATTGGAAACACCCATAAAAACACCGATTTTCGAGCCACGCAGCGAAAAAGGTGGAATTTGGGCATCCTCTAGCGCTTCCCATGCCAGTGTCAACATCATTCGCTGCTGTGGATCGATGAGCGGTGCTTCCTTTGGCGAGATGCCAAAGAAGAGAGGATCAAACTTTTTCCACTCGTTCATATTGAGGAATCCACCGTAATTATTATTGATGATATGATTCTCGTAGAAGGAGGCAGCCCATCTCTCTTTGGAAACCAAAGAGACACCATCGAAAGACTGAAGCAGTTGTACCCAAAATTCATTTGGAGTTTTCGATCCACCTGGCATTCTAAGTCCAATACCAACAATTGCAACATCTCCTGTCAAACCCACAGAATTCTCCTGTTGTTGTTGTTGTTCTTGGATAATGGTAGATAAATCCAAAAAACTATCAGGTGAATTTTCTGAAAATGACATGTTTATTTTATTTTTTTTTGTAAATTATTTTTGTTTTTATTATTCTATTATCGTTTCTTTATTTTTTCAAAAATATATATTTATATACTATTTATTTTTCAATATTGGAATAAACAAACATAGACAAGACAATAATTAATTATTTTTTTAAAAAAGAAATTTTTTTGTTTTAATTTTATATATATACAAATTAAGGATTGTATCACACAAGTAATAAATTAATTTTAAATGATATACAATATATTTATAAATACAGAGAAGGAGAGAGATTTATTTCAAATTAAGTTGATTTTATTAAAAGTTCAAATTGTTAAAACAATGCTTTAAGAAATTATATTAAAAGAATTCGTTGTTGACGAAATACTGGGATTGAATAAAGTGGTCAGTGATGTTTACTATATCTGGAATGATACTGGTTCCAATAAATGCGAGTGAGTGAGTGTCAAACTTTTAGGAAAAAGAAATAAAGAACAATTGAAATACAAACTAAAAAACTTTAAAAAAAACTAAAAACCACAACAATAATTCACTACCAAAAAAAAAAAAACAAACTCGGCACCTCACCACAAACTTGACTTTTCCTATTCATCTATTCAATGTCCATTGACACATATAAGTAATCAATTTTTCAGGTTTTTTTTTTTTAAATAAAAATGTATAAAAAAGTGTAATAGGTAATTCAATACGAGGTTTAGTGGTGGTTTTTCTTTTTAATATGATTGCTTCCAATCTTTTAAAAATAAATGGAACCGAAATGGTTGTTCATTTAAAAATTATATTGGTTTTCTATCCCAAATTGGAAAAGAACTTTAATTCAATTTACTCCATTTTTCATTCATATCTTGCAGCATATGAATCGAATTTTCCAAAACAGGAAATATTGTACATTAGAAAAAACAAAAAAAATACCCAATATATCTAAATTTTTAAAAATAAAAAAAACAATACTATTCTAGTCAAGTTTTATTAATTTTCAAGATTTAAATATTCTTTTATTTTTTGATTTTTATGGACTGACTAATGAATACATGTATTCAATCAAAATTAAATTTAAACTTTGTTTTTTTTTTAAAAAATAAAAAAGGAATATAGATAGATAAAGATGTATTAAAAATAAAATATCAAATGATTTCTCAGATATCCAAAATAAGAGAGTGAAAGTTTATTACTTTTTATAAAATCATTCATATGATAAATAATTAAATAAAAAATTTAAAAAATTAAAAATTTAAATTAAAAAATTTTTTTAAAATTAATATTAAATAATATATATGATTCATTTATTTTAAAGGAAATATAAACTAAGATTCATATCTTGATGTGGCGATGCATGTAGATTTTTACCGATCAAGAAAGACAATTTCTGTGCGTATTGACAGACCGATGGAACCCTGACAGCTTGGTCGAAATTAAAGTACATGTGACAAAGACTGTAAGTGAACAATTGAATATCATCAGCACTAACATTACTGTCGTCAGCAATGATGTGGTAGTGTGTTGGGTTGACGGTACCTCTATTCGCTTTCTGAGAGATGAGGTAAAACTCGAACCAATCCTTGTGTACACAACCCTTGTTCACGACAGTGCCTGCGCCTGGATTTTCGAATCCACGCATATTAAAAAATCTGGTGTTGGTGTTCTTCTTGACGATTGTGTATATAAGTTTTGGACGATCACCGAGATGCGCTGGAATGTCATTGATAGCCTCACGTACCGTGCCGACCTCGTGTTTGAGCACCTTCTCCAGCATGCCGTCACCGACACCGTCACGGTAGATCATAATCAACGAGGGCAATCGGTTGTTTTCCTTATGGAACGCCTGAATGCACTCTTTCATCGAGGTTTGGAGCGAGTCAATGATATCTTTGCCCGGTGTCTGCTGGATGATGGCAGTCGAGAAGTAACGGGTCAGCGAACGATTCAGTGTTGCTGTGATGGCGACGATAGATTTACCTCTGGTGGCTGCGTTGTGTCCAACGTCGATACCGACAACCATGGTGTGCTCGGGAATGTTGTAACCTGGATTCTTGAGAACCCATGGATCCTTACCGAGCTTGGCAATGACCTGTAAGATAACCTTGGAAACGACGGAACCAATGTTGTCCTTATCCATGGTCTTTGCCAGAATACACTGAGTGATGACTCTTGCAGTGATCAATGTATACTTCTTGATCAGGTTATAGAAGTCCGGTTTCTGTTGGATGGCACAGAGGAAGAAAGCAGGCTTGTTGCCTTTTTCCTTGTCCAAAATATATTGGATGGCATCGACATATTGCTGTGCTTGAGGACCACGACCTCTGTCTTCAAGAACATGAATGAGAGGTTCGCACATCTTTGATTGTGCCAACATCTCTTTAGAGAATCTATGGACGCATTCACGATCCTTTTGCGTGCAAATAATGACCCATTTAAAACCGGCCAATGGCTGGTGACGATTTTTCTCAATTGTCTGTTTTGGCAATATGATACCATCTACCTCCAAAGCATTGTCAAATGAAATTCCCCAGGTATCCATTTCTTTGGATGCTTTAGGTTCAGTTTTGAAACTTTCCAAAAGAGATTTCAACTGTTTGAATCTTTCTTTTGGTAGAACGTTGGTGATATCCGACATCTTCTTCATCGTATGGTAATCCGATCTAAGATCATCGGAACTACAAGTGAGTTGTAATGAGAATGAATTTCGTTTGTCAGTTAGTAGTCTATTTGATTATTGATTCAAACCATGTAGTTATTATACTTACACTCCAGTCATGAAAGCAAACTCTGGGATAAGATAAATGATTTCATTTTGACCACGTCTTTTGACCTGAGAGGAAATCAGTGGTTGTCTATCGCTAGTTACTCTCAATTTGTGTTGGTCATAGTAGTATGATCTGAATGAAGTTGAACCTTTTTGAGTTTGGAACTTGGAATCTGGGTTCATTGACCACTCAATCTTATGAATTCTATAGGTTCTATTGTTATATCTAGATAGATTGAACAAGGTGAGATTATGATGATGATGATGATGATGAACAATTAATGATTATTCTAAAGTGAATTTACTACTTACGTTGTAATAACAATCTTTCCTTCAAGACTCTGATTGATTGCACTCTCTTGCATATTATTTCTTTTCATACTTTCAATATAATCGTAAATGCTTTGAGTACGCACCAATTTGTGAGCAACATCGGTGAGCAAACTGAGACCTCCCTCGACTGGATTGATAGTTGCAGAGAAACCAGACCAATACTCCAAAGATTTTCCTTCGATTCTGCTTTTGAGCTTTGAATTGTAATATTGTCTTCCAATGATACTGTAATCGACACGCAACATCAACTGTTTCAGGAAAACATTGTAGAATTGAAGGAGTGAACGATCGTCTTGTGCCAGCTCACGGACAAATGCAACTTTGATAGTTCCAGTCTTTCCCTCCGTGTTGTATGGATAGAGCTGAGTTGGTTGATCACGAATAGAATACAACAAACTAGTACCATCGTAATTGAAAGGTGTAAACTCTTTTGGCATTGAATTGTTCATTGCTTTAACTCTTATACCTCTGTTTTCAATTGGTGGCTAAAAGTAAAAGTTGTTGTTGTTGTTGACAAAGTTTTAGTTGGTTTTGATTTGATTCGATTAACCAATTAATTAACTTAATACATACATCAAATTCAATCGAATATTTATAGATAACTTTAGATTTCAAGTTGAGCATGAAATGATTGGTTGTAATTCTAACTTTTTCAAATCTACCACCAGTCTGTTTGGAGGTAACCAAACCAGTGACATCGTCATCCTTTGTAAACTCCTTTCTGGTCTTTGGAATGATCGAGAGTAAACTTGTCTTTCCGTAGTCATCGGCTGAATTTGGTTCATTGGAATGCGAGGAAAAGTCATCACGTCTGTCATCTCTTCGCTCGAATGATCTCTCACGTCCATACGGTCGCTCGCTTCTCGACTCACGTCTCTCCTCATAGGAGAGACCGCTTCGCTCTTCACGCACACGAGCCAACTCCTCTCTCTTTCTGCTTCTCTCTTCGTGCTCGTAATCGTAGTGGGGATCTTTAGAGACTGGAACTGATGAAGAAGATCCATGTAGATCATTTGGCTCTTGCTTCACTGGGATAGGTACACGAATATCGTCGTTGGACCTGTAGTGAGGTGGTGACAATTCACTTTGTTGATGTTGCTGTTGTTGCTGTGGTGGTGGTGGTGGTGGTGGTGGTGGTGGTGGTGGTGGTGGTGGTGGTAATTGTGATTGTGATTGTCCTTGTCCTTCAATTTCTTCTCTGTGGGAACTGCTAGCTCTTGGAGGTGGTGGTAGCCCTCTTGGTTCCGAACCATAGGGTGGACTATCGCCTCCAGCGACTGGTGGTGGCTGTGAATAGTATCCAGATGGTCTGCCATAATCACCGTAGTATCCAGATGATGGTGGTCCACGATTATCATGATAGGGTGATGAAGGAGGTGGTGGTCCATAACTTCCATGTGGTGGAGGTGGTCTGTCATATGGAGATGCGGGTGGAGGTGGTCCACGACTGTCATAGGGTGAAGCTGGAGGTGGTGGACGTCTATCGTATCCACCGCCATAGTATGAAGATGCTGGAGGTGGTGGTCCACGATTGTCATAGTAAGAGGGTGGTGGTGGTCCACGATTATCATAATATGAAGGTGGTGGTGGACCACGACTGTCATAGGGTGAAGGTGGAGGTGGACCACGACTATCATATGGTGAAGGTGGAGGTGGACCACGACTGTCATAGGGTGAAGCTGGTGGTGGTGGTCCACGAGCATCATAGGGAGAAGGTGGAGGTGGTCCACGACTGTCATAGGGTGAAGCTGGTGGTGGAGGTCCACGACCATCATAGGGAGATGGTGGAGGTGGTCCACGACTGTCATAGGGTGGAGCTGGTGGTGGAGGTCCACGACCATCATAAGATGACGACAATGGAGGTGGTGGTCTGTCGTATGGAGATGCGGGTGGAGGTGGTCTGTCGTAGGGAGAAGGTGGAGGTGGTCCACGACTGTCATATGGTGAAGGTGGTGGTGGTCCACGATTGTCATAGGGAGAAGGTGGTGGTGGTCCGCGATTATCATAGGGTGAAGGTGGTGGTGGTCCACGACTATCATAGTGTGAGGGTGGAGGTGGTCCACGACTGTCATAATAGGCAGGTGGTGGAGGTCCACGATTGTCATACGAAGATGGTGGAGGTGGTGGTCCACGACTATCATATGAAGGAGGAGAGTTGTTTCTGTAAGGTGGTGGTGGTGGTGCATCATAATAAGAAGATTGTGGAGGTGGTGGTGGTGCACCTCTATCATATGAATGCTTATTATCATAACCGGGAGGAGCATCTTCAATACGTTGTTTCTTATCGTTCAAAGGATCTAACTCCTCACCATACGGTCTCTTAGTAATAGGGTATTTTGAATCCATTTATACAAATATCTTATTGTACAATATAATTTTACTATTATCTATCTATCTATCTTTGTATAAAAGATAAATATACAAATGAATTGAATTTGACTTGATTGTGATTTTAGATGAGTTGTTTTAACAACAACAACAATAATCCTTTTCCTCTTCCTTTGGTTTTTTTTTTGTTTAAACTTGATGTTTGTTTCTTTTTTTCTCGTTATAATTAAATTAATCTTAATTATATTTATTTTATTTGTTTTATTTTATATTTAATTAATTAATTAACTATTCATTTGATTTAATAATTAAATAGTATCTAATTATATCTTTTTATAATATAATAAAAGATAAAAGATAAGAGATACTATCTTATAAGCAATGACCGTAAAAAAAATGAGAACAAAATAATATGAATGTTTATTTTTTTTTCATTTTCATTTATATTTGTTTTTTTTTTTATTGATGAGTTTGTCAATCCAAATGAATTCAGTTTTCTCTTTGTCTACTCTTAGTGTGTTTTTTCAATTGAATTTGTTCACACACAGTATAATGGGAATATTAAAAAAATATCAATCGATTGAAACTTTATAAACAAACATATATAAAAGAGCGAAACTCTATCAAAATTAAAATGTGTGTTGGCAAATTAATAAAAAGTAGTGAGGAAACCAAGTGTAACCTATATTTTGTAAAAATGATTAATAAAATTTAAGATAATAATAATTAGATATTAAAGGGAAAAATAAGATTTTAATTCTTATAATTTAACTACATAAGAGAAAATATCTATTCCACTCAGTTAAATATTTCTCAATTCTTGTTGAAAGTAGAATCAAAAAACATCTATCTTTTTATCAAGAAAAATAAATTTTCTTTTAGTTATATTCAGAATCTATATCCGGGTTTTATATATTTGTTTAATTTTTTTTTTGTTTTTTTTTATTTATGTTTATTATAAATTTATTTTACTTTTGATAAAGTTCCAGCGTTTGAAGTTACTCTGGTGATTACAATGTCGTTGGATACTTCGTTTGGTGTCGATGCATGAATGTCGACGTGGAATGGTGAGAATGTTTCCTTGACGAATCCAGAGTGGGTACCGAGCTTGGCTCTGAACATACGTGGGATGCTCTCACCGACAAAGTTAATCCAAACGAACTGGGTGATCTCTGAGAGGTCGAATTGAGTCTTGACACGAACCAATCCATAGGCAACGATCTCTGGTTTCAAGTGGGCGACCAACTCGTCGGCATCACCATTGCCAGAGGCGATAACAGTGAGTGTGGTGTTGTTTGGCTGGTAGCCAATCAGTGTCCAGTTGGTTGGTGTCGAATCGCTACGAACATCACGAATGGCGGCACGCACAGAGTCGTCGGCTGTAACTGGGGCTCCCGAGGAAGTCGGGGTGGCACCACGGTAGGAGCTACCAGAGGCATTGGTAGTTCCACTGGATCCGGCACCTCTGAAAGACGAAGTGGTTGGCGATGTTCTAGTTGGTTGATCGGCCAAAACACTCGACTTTGTACCGGAATTCTTTGTGATAGCAGTGACAACAATTTCCTCAGTAATTTCCGACTTGTCGGCACAACTGATATCAACATGATATGGTTGAACCAATTGCTTTACGAATCCACTGTGAGTTCCAAGACGAGCACGTTGCATTCTGTGAATCTAAATACATTTTCGTTGAGTCAATTAGTTTGTTAATTTTCTTGTTTGAAATTAGTTTTAACAACTATTTCAGATATTGTTATTATCTTACATTCTCACCGGTCCAGTTGATGAATGCGAATTTAACAGTGTTGGAATTGTCGATTTTCTCGACGATTCTGGTTAGACCGTAACCTACGATGTCGTCACGGAGGTTATCGATCAACTCGCTTGGACCACCGGTTCCTTTACCGAGGAGTACGATTGTGTTTGAATTTGGAGCGTCGTATCCAAAGAGAACCCAATTGGTTTCGTTGTCATCCGATCTGAATTCTCTCAATGCTTCACGCACCTCCTGTTCATTACCCAAAGTAACGGCATCCTTATTTACAAGACTACCCGGTGCAACCGACTTTCTCACAGAGGTAGAAGCAGTAGTTTGATTTCTAGTTCCGGATTCATTCAAAACTCTTGAACCAGATCCAGATGTTTCAGAAATCTTTGTTTGAACAATAGAGTCACTAAAATTGTACAAAACAAATAACATTGTTAATATATATATATATATATATGTATTTAGATATTGTTATGTGGAAATAACTTACGAAATTTCAGAGAGTGATGAAATTTGGAAATCAACATGGAATGGAGTGAACAATGTCTTTACGTGAGAGGTGGCGATTGAGACGAATGCCTTTTGTAAGATACCGACTTTGTCACCGATCCATTGGATGAATGCGTATTTGACGGTCTCAGAGTTATCGATGACATCGATCTTACGAACCAATGCGAAACCAACGATGTTATCGGCGAGTTGCTCAGAGAGACTGGCAACACCACCGTTACCGGTAGCCAATAACTTTACCTTCTTTGATTTCGAGTCTTCGAATGACAACAATACCCAATCGGTATCATTCTTATCACTACGCAAATCTGCAATAGCTGATTTTATTGCTTGTTCATCGACATATTGTAAAGACATCTTTATTATTATTCTTTTTAATTAATTAATATAAATATATAAATATGAAAATCCAACAACTAAATAAAAGTAAAAATAAAAACAGACTATTAATATTGATTTGATTTGATTGAAATTTGAATATTATTATTATTTTTAATAAAATTGTTTTGTTTGTTTATGCAATTGAAATTGATATCAATAAATTTAATTTAAATGCAAATCAAAATCAATCAATCAATCATTAATACATACATTTATTTTCAAAAGAGTAGTAGTAGGTGGTGGTTAATTTGATTTTGTTAACACCAAAAATTAAATTATAATACAATAAAATACAGTGATGTAGAGATATGTTTTTGTGTTAAGTTTTTTTTTTTTTGAAGTGGGAGGTGTAAGAAACAAAAAAATAAAAAAGAAAAAATCAATTAATTTAAAATTTTTTTAATTATGTTTTTTTTTTATGATAATCATTGAAGGGTTGGTTTTTTTTAAAAGAATTCATTTTTTTCTCTTGCAACAAACTTTTAAGCTATTTTTACTAAAATCGCTTAGATTTTATACTTCAAAAAAAATATATATATTTAATGATAATTAAAAATGATTTAATAAAAATAAAAATAAAACTTGTATAGTTTTCAAAAACAAATAATAATAAAATTATAACAATGTTTGGGAATGGTTTTTTACTTTTTTTTTGTGTGTAAACAAAAAAGTTTGAGAACTTTTGTTTTTTTTTTATTATTTGATTTAATAAATAGAATGAGGTCTGATTGAGGATTCTTTCTTCTCTAGTCTAATCTTAAACTAATCCAAATTAAAGACTCTAATGATAAACGGTAGATTTGTTGTTTTGGAGAATCGGCTCTTTCATAGTAGACCAAGAGGTAGTCGCCGTGAAGTGTGGTTGAGAGCGCTGCCGAGGAGGAAGGTGGAATTTCACCGGTGGTATTCTGAAGTGTCCACTCGAACGAGTCGAGATTCAACAGGTAGATCTGGTTGAGTTGTCGGGCGTTCTGATTCCATCCGCCAAACACCACCATGTATTTGTTCCAGAGGAGTGTTGCCGGTCCAACCGTTGGCGGCGGTGTCAATCCACGACACTGAATCAACGTCCAATTACCATTTCTCGTTGAGTTTGATGAGGAGAATTTGAATCGATGGAAACTATCTTCAATCGATGAAAGGACATAGGGAATGGTGTCGTTGAATGCACCCGGTGTAATATTGCTGGTGTTGTCGGCGCCACTTGGATTGGCGCTATAGCCAGCCGATTCAATAATCGTTTTTCTGAGTTCAATCTTTAGGGTTCCGGGCAAGTTGATTTGTCTTGGCGCGGAATCATCGATGAATGCCTGATGAATTTTTCGCGCGTTCAAACGAACGAGTTCGCGCTCGTCCGGCGTCGACATTGGTAGCGCACGGAATGCCCGTATCGCTTCGTAGTAGAGGAGATTCTCCTCGTTGAATTCACTCTGCATGTGAGCAAAGAATGTTTTGTAGGTTGGAGCGTGTTTGTTCTTGAGGACGACACTCAGCTTCTCTTCGAGCACCATGTTGGAGAGGTTGAGGACATAGAGGTTGGAGTGTGGCTTACCGTTTTGTGCCCATCCACCGAATTGATAGAGTCGGTCGTTGTAGATAATGGTACCACCGCTTGGCAACGGGAGCTTCGAGTAGATGTTGGTGTCGGACGACAGCGAGTTGTAGTTGTTATCCTTGCCTTCCAACTCCATCTTGATTTGGGTGAGTTGCGAGATGATGTCAGAGAAGCACGGACGATTGAGTGGATCGCCCGACCAACAGTCCTTGATGAGATCGCCAAACGACGGAAGACAGTCGGGTGGAATCGAAGGACGTTGTCCATTGATAACCATCGATGAGAAACGCTCGTGGTCTTGGAAAGCAATGGAGCGAGTCAGCAGCTCGTAGAGGATGATACCGTAGGAGTAGACATCGGTCGATTCATGATAGTTTACCTTTTGGAGGATTTCAGGTGCATGCCATGATTTCGGTGAAGTATCAGTTGGGAAGAGTGCAGGTAGAATAGAGACTGACGAGAGATCCGATATTTTGGCAATGATTCCCTCTTCGACCTCCTGAGATTTCTCGAGGATGATGTTGGACGAAGACAAGTTGGTAATCAAGAAGGGCGGTAGTTGTGATTGTAACTTATCCATTGCTTTGGCAATGTCTAGTGCAATCTTTAGTTTCAAACGCCATGCAATCTCTGGATGTTTCTGACGGTCCTGAATGTACTCTGAGAGGAAAGTACTGGCTTTGTTGGCAAATGTCGGATTCTCAGTGATGATTGCCAGTGGATTCAAAGTGATACCAATCAATTCTAGTACATTTGGATGACGGAATGCAGTCATCGATAGAACTTCATGTCTAAACATCGATAGCACCTTTGTGTAGCTACCATAGTTCTCTGAGGGCGTGTTGAAGATCTTGATGTTCACGAATTTGCCATCCAACATTCCCATTGACAACGATGTGAATATCGACTGAACACTGTTGTCAAAGTGATGCACGTTGTTGTCGTGCATCACCTCGATGTCACGGAAATCAATCTCTTTGACACGCTCCAACAGGATAGAGTGATCGAGTAGCAGGGTGTTGACATCGATTGGGATGGTGGTGTCGGTGCTAATCGACGATGTCGAAGAGGACAACGATGAAGTCGATTCCTTTCTCTCGAATGACATTGACACCATTGACGACGAACCCTTTGAATCTCTACGTAACGCTTCCGGTTGGAGTTGAACGGTTGTCTTGGAATCCTTACGGGTGAGGGGACGTGGCACCGACTTGGAAAGATCGCTGCCACTCGAAGAGGAGTTGAATCGATGTTGTTGACAGTAAACCAGTTTGTCACCACGCATCACCGATGCTTCACATTCCTCAACGCGGAACAAGTGTGGAGTGGCAATACGGTTGGAGACACAATGTGAGCAGAGAACCAGTGCACGGTAACTCAACTTGTACCACTTGCTAATGAGTGATTCAGTGATGTCGTAGATGTGGTAGGAGAGCAGTGAGGTTGTTGAGAAACGACTGACAATCTCAATGGTATTGGTGTTGGGGTCGAGAGTAACAAGGATTCGCTCGTCGCCAGACGATGGCACGAGAATGGCAATGTTGTGCCAACACTTGAGCAAGTGGCAAATCTGCATGAGACGTGAGAGAAGACGTCCAAACAATCCGTGTGGCGTGAAGTCAAGAACGTAACGACGTGTGAACTGTTGGATTTCCGGACGTTCAGGATACGCTGCCCATATAGGATCGGTGGCGAATGGCACTGGCAGCGGTGAAGGTGGCATTGGCAGCAGCGAGGCAATCAACGCCCATCCCAAACGTGCATTGAACGAACTGGAACGTCCGTTTCTCACACGAAGATTCGCTGTGAATTTGATCATGCCTGCCGACGACATGTGTCGGTCCCTGATCGAATCCGACTCGATAATCGTATAGATATTGATTGCCAAGTCATTGGATTCGAGAAGCGAGAGGAACAACGAAAAGAAACGCTCCGGTACGTGGTATGGTGCATTTGGATTCCAAACATATCGGAGAACACGATGTGAGAGTATTCCAGGAACACAATCCTCCTCGTCCGACTCCAGATTAACATTGAATGGGAGTGCATGAGGTTGGAATCCGACCAACGACGCTATTGCCTTTGCAGTCCAAACTGGGTTGAGTGCAATCATCTCTGTCTTCATGGGTGCGGCACCCGGTTCCAACCTGATGAACTGCTCAAACGAAACAAACGATCCCAGTGCATTGAAAAGTGACTTTAGCTGTGTGAAATGTGGTTCGTTGTGCAAGTCCATTGTCTTGGCCATCTGAAGAAGATTCTTTCGGGTTACCAGTGGTGGCGACATTATTCTCGATTCCTCGGCAAGGTAGTCTTCGAGGAACATAAAACTGGCTGGATACGTTTGTTTGAGGATCGGTAGTTTGGCAACAAAGTTCTTGATGTCTCGACGAAGACGTGACATTCCATCGCCATCCGGTTTCGTTGCACTCACACAGTGAATGGCGATGTGCAACGTTGGGAACGATTGACGGAAGTGGAGAGCAAGACGATCGATTGTCTTTTCAGCGGTCGACTTCTTTGGACACTCATCCAAATGAGTACCAACCATGTACACCACTGCTTTGCGGTCTCGCAAGTAAATCAAGTGCAAATACGATATCAAATTCTTCTCGCTTGCTGGTGTCAATGTTGCCATGTTAAAGACAACGGTGTAGATAACATTGGGAACAAAGAATACGTGACAGATCTCATTCTTCAGACCTTCAAACTCCCAGAGATTGATGACGACCTGCTTCTTCTTTCGACCTTCAACGCCATCGATATGCAAAAGACACTGCCAATCCTGAATGTCCAGTACCTGTGTTGGTGTGGGCGGTGTCACAACGGCTTTGGGCAGCTTCTTCAGACACTTGATGAGATTCGACTTACCGGCACCCTTTTCACCGACCATAATGATACGAGTTCGATAGCACGGAACGTTGGCACGCATTATCTCTGAGAAGTATGAAAATATTCCTTCTTTGCCACGAACGATAAACTTCTCGGGGATGTGCTCCTTGAGTGGACGATTTCCAGTGAGTTCGAGTGAAACCAGCTTCTTGAGTGCAACGATTCCTGGAGGAATACGCGAGATGTTGTTATTGGTGAGACGCAACTCAATCAGCGATTGCATTCTATGAATGGCAGACGATATCGATTGCAGCTGATTGTTATCCAAATACAACTTTTTCAAGTTGGTCAAATGCAAGATCTGTGGTGGCAAAGCATTGATTTGATTTCCATTCAAATTCAACTCTGTCAGATTCGAAAGTTTCTGAATGTTCGCTGCAATCTCTGTGATCTGATTGTCCTGCAGTGTCAGAACTTGCAACTCCCCGAGATTAGTAATGCCATCGGGAATAGAACCCATTCTATTTCCACGAAGATCCAACGATCTCAGTCGTGTTGTTCCAATCATCTTTGGAATACCTGCATCATCTATTAAATTATTTGATACTCTCAATACTTCTAAAGATGGTAATCTATATTAAAAATAAATATTAGAAAAAGAGCTATATATCCTTATAATTATCAATTTCTACCTACTGGAATATATCGGCAGGTAATGCAATTAGATGATTATTTGAAATGTTGAGAGTTTTCAATCTCACCCAAGTATGTAATGGTGGCATTTCCGTCAGTTGATTACTACTGAAACTAACATTCTCCAACTGATTCAATCTTGTACCTAAAAAGTCTGCCATCTCCACTGAGATCTCAGAGAGATGATTCTCTTCAATGCTGATCGTTCGCAATGAAGTCAATCTTGCCAAATCGCCCGGTAACAATTTAAATTTGTTTCTATTTAAATTGATTTCCTAATTGATAAATGAAAAAATATCATTGTTAGTTTGTTGCTGATGTTATTATAGAATTTGTGCGTTTACTTACTTGTAATTGTTTAAGTTGTTTAATTTCATTTGGTAAACTCTCGAGATCCAGTGAGAACATGTCGATTTTCTGTGAGAGTGGAGTTCGTCCGATGGGTGTAACGGTGGTAATATTTTTGGTAATTCCATTGATGAATGAATATACTAATTTACAGGTGGCAGGTGTTTGGAATCCAAATGTAATGACAGTCTTGGTATCGCTACTACAATAGACCGTCAGATTCGGAAGTATCTTTTGTTCTTTTTTGTTGGTAGGTGCCAACACCACCTTCAATATACTACTTAATAATAATACAAGATCTTGTTCTCCATTTGGCTAAATTAATTCAATTAATTAACAATTCATCATCATTATTCATTTTTATCTATCTATTTACTTACATTTACTTTTGGTCTCCAAACAATTTGTCTTTGAGATAACCACATGTTACCGGTGGAACTAGTTTTTTGGGTGGCAGCCACCTCTTCAATGTACAATAGGAAAGAATCGTCGTTGTTGTTGTTGTTGTTGCTGTTGCTGTTGCTGGATTTATCATCTCCTGTTTGGAAGAGGGAATCCGCTTGTGTAATGAACATACCAAGAATATCCTTGATGGTATGCTGCTGTTGTTCGCTAATGATTGCCTGTGACGCAACGGTTGGTGATGGACGCATAAAATACGGATAGAATCTATTCACCAAAAGATCCAAAGTCACATCATTGAAATTACAATATAAAAGTACATCCTTCAACAACTTTATGAATCTAGTTAAAATTGATTTGTTTGGTTGATTCATTTTTCTAACCATCAAATGTAATAATGTTTCTATTATTGTTGTTTGTTTTATTATTTAGTAACTAAACTATAATATCATTAATAAACTATTTATAAATATCGATTACATACCTGTTTGATAATAATTTAAAAGAGTTTCGTAAAACTCAGAGCTGATCAATGGTTCTGGAAGTTGTCTGAGGAATTCCACTAAAAGCTCAGCTAGTACAATGACACTGTAATTCTTTAGCTGTACGTCCTGAGCTGTATTGTAAAGCTGGACGAGTGATTCTACATCTTCTTTGACATCCTCTGTGTTCTCTGGTTCTCTAAAGAGATTGGCTGTCGACAGCGATTGACTCGATTCCAAGATCGTAAAGATATTATTTAAGATCGATGGTATTTGATTTCCCATTTCGCTCTGATATCGCAGTATCACTCTTAATGGAATACCAAATATACCTTCGAAAGGTGTCGATTGTTGTTGTTGTGCTCCTTGACCAATTGGACTAATAAATAAATATGCAAGTTAGAAAATTAAATTTCTAGAGTTTCTTCTCAGATACTATTACTTACGTTTTATATGCTTCTTTTGATTGTTGTACTAATTTACCCATTCTCTCTTTACTTAAACTTAGTTTACCAAGGAAATTCATTACTTTATCACCGGGACCTGCTTTTTGGAAACCATTGGATCCAGAGAGCAGTGGAGATCTATTCAATGGTTTCTTGGTGGTTGCCGAACCAGATGTAATCGAGAGTGAACCTTTGCGGTGTTGAATCTCAGTCGGTGGATAAGGCATCATACTGTTGAGTGCTGCCATTGTTGGTGATGATAGTGGTGATGGTGTACCCGGTGAGTTCTTTCTTGGTGTTGGTGGTGTTGGTGATGATGCTCCAGATACTCCTGCACTACTACTTGGTAAACCTACCAACTGGTGATGATACTGTTGTTGTAGTTGTTGTCGTAGTTGTAGTTGTAGTTTGTTGTTGATGTTGATGATGTTTATCTTTATCTTTTTGATGATGTTTATCTGGTATTATTTTTAGTGGTGATGGTGTGGAGGTTGGTCTGTCCAATGATTTGTTTCGTTTGTGCTTGTTTGGAGATGGATCTTTATTGAGTATCTCTCTCATTTCTGGGAGCATACTGGATGTGGTTGTTGATTTTGTTGGTGAAAGTGGTTCGGGTGTACGATTGGCATGTGGCTGCGAAGTTGCTTGGTCCGGAAGATGTAGTGCCGGTGGTGGAGGCGGTAAATTCATACCGGACAACTTTAATGTATTTCCACCGCTATTGCTTCCTATACTTCCGAAAAATTCTAAATTTGGACTGCCTGCTATGGGAGGTACTGATGTTGTTGTTGTTGTCGTCGAAGTTGGTATAAAAAGAGGCAGTGTTTTCGATGCACCTGAAAGTTTGCGTCCCATCACTATGTCCAACTTTGGCTGGTGAGGTGGCACCGTTGCCAAAGAGTATTGTGATCCCTCTGAAGAGGTAGAGGTCGATTTTGTCAATATCGATTGATTCGATCCATTCAATTGGATTGAACACTGTCCTGCTGTTGATCCATTCTGCTGTTGTTGTACTATATTGATACTGCTGCTACTGCTGTTGTTGCTGTTGCTACCACCACCGATACTGCTTGTTGTCATATTTGGTACTCCAATAGTGGAAGAAGCAATTGTAACGATTGACTCTGATTCAACTATGATTTCATCATCTTCCTCCAATAACGATGACATTGTTGTAAAAGTTTTGTTTTTGTTTTTTGTTTTTCTTGGTCAAAAAAAAATATTGTTATTTCTTGGATTGATTGATTGATTGATTGGATTCTGGATTTCTATTCTAATAATAAATAAATAAATAAATAAATAAATATAAAGACTAATAAAACGAATGAATTATATTATAATATAAATAAATCTAATAAAGTGGATAAAACAAGTAAAAGTTAGTCTTTCTATTCCTTCTATTTTTTTTTTAATATTTTAGCTGGAAACTAATAACACAAACTATATCTATCTTATCTTACTCAATGATTGATTATTATTTTTGGGTGGTGTGGGATTGAAATGTTTTTTTTTTGTAAATTAATATGGGAGTGATTGGATTGATTTGGAATTAAAACTGGTGGGATAATTATAATTAATTATAATTATTTGTTATAACAAACAAATAAATGGATTGTATTTGTATTGTTGTGATGGTGGTGTTGTTGTGGTATGATTTATTTATTTATGATTTGATGATGTAACAATCAATTTTTAGAGATCTTTGCTGGTATGTAAGTACAGCACTACTACTCCTACTCTTTTAAAATGATTAAGAGTATTCGTGGTGATGGTGGTGGTCACGTTATCAAATTTAAGCTGTAATGTTGTTGAAAATAAAAATGTAGTGTTGTGTCGGACTGAATGTTTTCAAACTTTGAATTTGATTGATGTAGATAGATTAGCAGATAGAGAATGGATGAGGTTCAACAAAATTAAATATATCCATTCATATTGAATTGCTTGCTCATTATTATTGACAAGGAACGAATTGAATTGCTAAGCAAATAAATAATAATTTTCAAAACCTCCTGAATTAAAGTATGTATAGTTTAATAAACAATCACTAGATATAAAATGATTTGATTTTTCAGTATTGTTTTTTTCAATCAAAACAAACAGAATGATGAATTGAATGATTACCAATTCTGACTGTAGGGTATACAGCTAAAGATTGATAAGAAAATAGTTCTTCTTATAAAATATATATATATATATTTCGATGACCAACTTTATCTTTATCAAATCACTTACATATTATCTTTTTTTTATTTTATTTATTTTTCTATCCTATTCTTTTTTTTTTTTTTATTGATTTATTGATTTGATTGATTGATTTGATTGATTTGTTTTTTTAAAATGCGATACAATGCTGTTTGAAACACACATATAACAAAAAAAAAACATGTAGAATATGTATATATTTGATTTGTTTGATTGACTGATTGTTTGATTGATTGATGATTTTATTTTATTGATAGTAGTGAATGTAGTGATGTGTGAGTGTGAAAGCAGAAGTAGAAGGGCACCTGTATGTTTAAAAACATTGTGTGTATGTGTAAGTAAATAAGTGTGTCTATTCCCTATCGAAAACACACAATCATCATTAATTAAATTTTAAATAAAAATAAAATTTGCATAATGGGGTAAACTAATATTAAAGAGAGCACCTCACTCCACTTAGCTAGTGGAGTATTTTTGGATGTGTGACAAGAATGCTCTCAAAATTCAAACAAAATCTAAACCTATATCTGCTAATAGTGTGATCATCTTTCTATCTATATTGATGATATTGTAATTATTATTGCTATTGCATTACATTTTTCAATATTATTGAATTTATTTTAAATGAATTGTTTTTAATAAAGTATAAAGAAACAAATAAATAATGAAAGATAAATAGGTAGATGTGTAGATAGAACAAAACTTTAATCAAAAGATACAATACTAACTTTACTATATATATATTATTATTATATTTTGTTTCGTTTGTAATTGTCTAACTTATGGGTAGAACTAACTATTTTGTTATTTGTTATTTTTGCTATTTGTTATTATTTCATGCACCTAATCTAATGCAATCAATTCTCTGTTGGTTTGGTTTAGTTTATTGGTCTTGAATTATATAAATAAGACAACAAGTGTTGCCAATTTTATTTCTATTTTTGATTATTTGAATACGAAACTACAAGTAAAAAGTTGTTGGTTTTTTGTCTGAAAAAACTTTGGCACTAATCACTGTCATCATCTTAAAAAACAAAAAATTCAATCAAAACCTTAGCCTTAAAAAAAAATATAAAATCGTTAAAAGTTTTTGGACTGATGAAAAAGTTTTATCAGTTTTTTTTAAAAATTATAAAAAAAAGGTTAATTTTAGAAAAAAAAAACCCGTTAGCACAAATTTACTTACAATTTGTAAAAAATTTGATCAAAAGTTTAAATAACAATGATGTTTAAAAAAAAATTTTCACTTTTTTTTGCTATTTATAATTTATTATTATTATTCTTTGTAATAGTAATAATAAAATTATTAAAGAATTGAATTGAATTGATGAATTGTAAAATGAAATAGAAAATAGTTTACTTTGTCTTTTTTTTTTTTTTTTTTTTGAATCTTTAAAACTTTAAAGGGAATTATTTCATTCATTTTTCATATTTGATCTAAAATCAATGTTTTTGCATATTTTTTTAAATGAATCGACCAATCTAACCCACTACTTTTTTATTTTGTTTTCAAATTTTTAGATGTCAAAAAGATCGAATCTAGATCCGATCAGAATGAGGATTTGTGAAGGATTGGACTTATAATTCATATATTTGCATATCTAGATTAATAAAACACTAAAATGTTAAATTTAATGAACAAACTTAAACTACTTTTTTTTTTTTTTTTTTTTTTGTGAACATGTTAATATTTTCAACTGATCAGATCAATTGAAATTCTTCGTTAGATGATCAAAATGGAAATGAATTATATATATTTGTTTGTGTTTATGCTTTATTATTATTATTTAATCATTTTTTGCAAGTGGGTTCGGTGTTGTCATTAAAGTATTCGTTACTTTTGTGAGATAGTCTAGTTCTTCGGCGGTTGATCTACCACTTGATTTCCAACGTATTTTATTATCCATGACCAAGTAGATGTATGCACCGAGTGGGTTGGTTATAGTCAACTCCTGTAGTGTTTGGTTGACGTCTTTAATATAGATTGCCTGGTTACTCCACGACTCTGTTATACCAGCCGAAGTGGAACGTCTCGATGGCTTCAATAATGGTGCCAACAATTTATAGCCTGTTTGTTGAATTAAAACCACGTGATGCACTGGTAAATCTGGATATTTCTCTTTGAAAGGTGCAATCCAACTATCTACAAATTGCTAGATAACAACAACATAATAATAATAATAATAGATATATATTATTAATTCAGTTCAATCAATTAATCTTGATAGATTAGATTTCTTTCTAAAGATGATGATGATGATGATGATGATTGTTGTTGTTTTATACTATACTACATACTTGTCCAAGAAATGGTTTTAAAGTAACAACTAATAGAACGGGTGTGGATGCAGGGAAATCTTTTGGTATATTTACATTGTTGCCGTAGAGATCGACCGATGTGATTGGTGGGCATGTTATGGATTGACCGAGAGGAATTGCTTTCTGAGTACCGAGGAACAACTTCATATTTGGATTCTTTAACATCTCTTTATAATCCCAAGAAATACCTTCTTTCAATTCATATTGACTATAGTTAATTGTTATTGTTATTGTTTTGAAATTGAAATCGATTCGAATTAGTGAATCATAATAAATAAACTGATGGTAATGACTTTAATCATCACATCATCATGATTGTATAGGTTTGTTGAATTTTACATTTTCTTCTTTTGAGGTGTGTCAGCTGTTGTCTTGTAATACTTGAAAGGATTAAGATATGACCAAAACGACATATATCTTTTACTACATTGTTGTTGTAGTAGTTGATCACTACCACTACAATTTAATATACATCTACTGATACTACTACTACTGCTACTACTATTATATATCTTATTTAAACTACTGTATCTATACATTTTTTTATGAATTCTGCAGATGACTGAAATTTAGATAATCTGATTAACTCGTTTTTTTTTATTTTTTACCTAAAAATATTTTATTTTATAAAGACTAATCTTCAAACATAGTTTAATTGATATTGTTATATGATGCTTTCTTTAAACAACTGTTTATCATCTACTATTACAGTTATGTACATAGGTGACTTCTTTTATTATTATTCATATTATTCACATAATAAAATTCGAGGATGGTTATCAATTGAAGATGAATAATAATAAAAGAAATCACCTATGTACATAACTGTAATAGTACAAGATAATAATCATATCATCATATGTAGAACAAAATAAAGTTAAAGTTTGTCTGTAAATAATCAAATTGCTTTTTTATTTCTTTGATTTAGTTGTTGTTGTTGTTGTTTTTGCTTTCTTTTTGGGTTGTGTTTCTTTTGTTTCTTTTTTAGATGGAGCGGTTTTCTTTGGTGGTGGTGTTGGTTTTTTCGATGTTGTTGATTTCTTTGTTGATTTCTTTGGTTTTTCTTCTTCCTCTTCCTCTTCTTCTTCTTCTTCTTCTTCTTCTTCTTCCTCTTTATCCTTTTCTTTCTCTTCTTCTTTCTCTTCCTCCTTTTCATCTTCACTTTCTTCTTTTTCTTGTTTTCTCTTCTTTAATACGGTGGTGGTAGTTTCTTTGGTTTCTTTGGTTTCTTTGGTGTCGGTTGTCTTTTTCTCTTTCTCCTTTTCCTTTTCTTCGGTGGCAGTCTTGGCAGCCATGGCCAACTCGTACTTCTTCTTTGACTCTTCGTATCTCTGTCTCTCTTGTTCGGCTTCCTCTTTCTCACGAGCCAACTCCTCTTTGGTGGCGAGTTTAATCTTGGTCAGATCCTTGGAGACCTCCTCTGGGAATGTCTGGGTGGCATTGCCAAAGAAACGGTTGACAAACTTCGAGGCAAACTGGCTGACGTCGATCTCTGGGTGACTCGGGTAGAACTTGTACAACTTCGAGTTGTCGTAGTTGTCACGCATCTCCTCGGTCATGGCGTCGACTTCCTCGCCAATCGAGGCGTGTGCCTTCTTCTTGATTTCACGTGCCTTGGCAAACTCGTCACGCAACATCTGCTTCAACTCCTCGATACCCTCGTCCGAGAGACCTTCGTCCTCTTGTTTCTCCTCGGTGTACGAGCTCATGGTATCGACGGCCTTGTCAAAGATGAAAAAGATCTTCTTGCGACCCTCTGCCAACAACTTGCTGGCTTCGTCCATCTCCTTCTTCTCGGCCTTGGTAATTCTGTATTTGATACTCTTGGCGGCTTCCTCCTCACGCTTCTTCAAGTGAGCGGCAGCTTTCTTCTTCTCCTCCGCCAACTTCTCCTCACTCAACAACGGAGCGAATGTAAAGCTAACTTGCATTACATCAACATATTTAACATCTCTTGCAATCTTTGGAATTCTAACAACTAACAAACAATATTGTAATGAGAAAATAGAAATTGTTAGTTTTTTTTTCAAATATTATCAATTAGATAGATTTAGAATAATAATTAATTATTATATAATGATATTTACATGGTAAGAGATATTGAAGTTCAACCATTTTATCTTCTGGCATTTGATTGGTACGCTTCTTCCATTGGAGTGCATAGATTGGTTTGTGAGTTCTACCGAAATCCATGTTTGAAAGCTTGGAACGGATGTATGGTGACCAGGTCAGTGGATATCTGACGTTCATGTCATAGATCTCTTCACCACCACTTTGAATCGATGCTTTAGCAATCTTTTCAGGTGGTGCTGACTTACTATCGAACACAACAATATATGGAATATTCATTGCAATCTTTTTTTCAACAATCGCTGACAAATTGATAAAATTATTGAGTTAATATCATGATAATTAAGCATCTTAACATAACATAACATAACATACGTTGTGCACCCATGAATACATAAAGTGGATGATCAATCTTTGAGAGGAATCCTTCCCTCAAAGCATGATTCAATTCGTGGAATGACCATGGTTCCTTTTGCATTGCTTCAAGTGATTTAACTTCGAATCCAATTGGGATTAAATCTCTCCATTCCTAATGTAATTGTTTTGTTAGTACATATTCATACTTATTAATTCATAATGAAATGAATGACTTACAATTTTTCTTAATTTCAATTGAAGTTCTTCGGCTCTTGATAGCTTTGGTTGATCGTCTTTATCTTTCTTTTCTTTAGTGATTGAAGATGGTTTCTTTGTTGGTGCTGCGGTGGTGGTTGTTGTTGTTGTTGTTGTGGTGGTGGTAGTGGTTGGTTTCTTTGCTTTAGAGGTGGCAGCTGGCTTTGCTGTCTTTCCTTTCTTTGTGGTGGTGGTGGTTGTCTTCTTTTTCTTATCATCAACTGCAGCTGCAGTTTCATCTCCTTCTATATCCTCATCTTTCTCAGCTACTTTGCTGCTCTCCTCCATATCATCCTTCTCAACGATTGGTTCTTCTACAACTGGTTTCTTCTCGACGGTCGTTGTCTTTTTTGTTGTTTTAGTCGACTTCTTTCCATTGCCAGTGGTGACAGCAGTCGATGTAGTAGCGGTAGTAGTCTCCTCAGTATCCATTATAATTATTATTATTTTAAAAAAATTAAACAATTATCACTAAAATAAAATATATAATCAAAATAATTTAATAACTTTAATAGAATATAAATCGATAATAAATAATGAATAGTGTTTGGTTGTTGGTTGCTGCTGTAATTTTTTTTTATTTTTGATCAAAAAACAACGAGTTGAGTGCGTGCATTCATTTTTTTTTCAACTTCACAAACAAACTCTTTTAAATTTTTTGAACTTTTTTTATGCAGACATTCATTTTAGTTTGTGCCAACTCAGTTTCACTCATGCAAAACGTTGCGTGTTTTTTTCAGTTCCCGCTTTATAAAGTATACTTTTGAAGAGGTTGATGTAAAATGCTGCAATTTAAATTGTTTGAACTCCATTATCTTTTTTTTTTTTTTTTGAAAAAAAACTTTTTTGGTTTTTTTTTTTTTTTTTAAAAATTTCCCAAGTTGTGGTTGAATATAGTTAATTTATAATTATCTTTTTTTTTTGACGGTCAGTACTTATCTTTTTCTTAATTTTAACACCAAACAAGGTAAGTCACTAAAAACTGAGAATTGTATTGGATTCGATTTTTTTGTTTTTCAAACAATTGTTAGTTTAGTTTAAGCATAAACAGATAGATAGACAATTATAATATATATATACATACAAATAAATAGTTTTTGTTTATTAATACTAAAATTTAATTAATTTATAAAAAATAATATTCTAGTTTTAAGATTTAGATAAAAATAATAATATAGAAAGAAAGAAAAATGCCACCAAAACCATCAGTAGTTGTAGATGAAGAGTTAGTTGAAAAGTTTAAAAAGATCGGATTGGATGCGACCAAAGCAAAGGAAGCTGCCTCCAATGCTAATCTCTCGACTAGTTTACAAGAGGTCATGAAGGAAGCAGAGACAGTCGACGGTTGCGATAAGGATGTCGGTCAATTGCTCTACTTGATCTCGATCAAGTATCCAGCGAACGCCTTGAAGCACCGTGCCACCCTGGCGAAATTCATTGCCGCCAAGACGGTGACATCGATCAACGTCACACAATCGATGGACTACCTGAGAAAGGTTGCCGGACAAGAGTTGGATCTCGCCGATTTCACGGCGTCGTGCGGTGTCGGTGTCGTCATCACTCGTGAGCAAGTCCGTGATGCCGTTGCCGCCTATGTCGCCGAGCGTCTCGACGACCTGAAGCAATCGCGTTATCGTTACAACATGGGTGTCTACTTGGCACAAGTCCGTGAGCGTTTAAAGTGGGCCGATGCCAAGGATATCAAGGAGGAGATGGATGCCAAAGTCCTCGAAGTTCTCGGTCCAAAAACCGAAGCCGACAATGCACCACTACCAAAGGAACCGAAAGCACCAAAAGCCAAACCTGCTGCTGCAGTTGCTGCTGACGAGAATAACAACTCACCACTTCCATTTGAGATTGAAAAACAATCGATTACATTCCCAGATCCATCTGATAATATTCAACAAACACCAGAGATTCTGGCTAAACATCTAAAGACTACAGGTGGAAAGATCGTTACTAGATTCCCACCAGAACCAAATGGATACTTACACATTGGACATGCCAAAGCTATGCATCTCGATTTCGGATACGCCAAGAAGAACGGTGGTAAATGTTATCTTCGTTTCGACGATACCAATCCAGAGAAAGAATCACAAGAATATATTGATTCAATTATTGATGTATGTTAATGTTTTAGAGTTTATAATATAGCTAACTAACAAACATATTTTATTTATTAGTCAGTAAAATGGTTAGGACATGAACCATGTGAGATTACATATTCCTCACAATATTTCGATGAATTATATGATTTGGCAGTGGAATTGATCAAGAGAGGATTCGCTTATGTATGTCATCAAACTGCAGATGAAATCAAAAAGGGACGTGAGGAGATGACAGATTCACCGTTCAGAAACAGATCGGTCGAAGAGAACTTGCGTTTGTTTGACGATATGAGAAAAGGAAAGATTGAAGAGGGTAAAGCAATCCTCAGAATGAAGGGTGACATGAAGCATCCGAATCCATGCATGCGTGATCTCATTGCCTATCGTATCAAGTTCCATCCACATCCAGTCAGCGGTGACAAGTGGGTGATCTACCCATCGTACGATTACACCCATTGCTTGGTCGACTCGATCGAGAACATCACTCACTCGCTCTGTACATTGGAATTTGAGGTGCGTCGTCTCAGCTACAACTGGTTGATCGACGTCCTCGGACTGTATCGTCCAGTGGTCTGGGAGTACGCGCGTCTCAACCTGACTCACACCGTGCTCTCCAAGCGTAAGATCATCCGTCTCGTCAAGGAGAAGGTTGTCAACGGTTGGGACGATCCACGTCTGAGCACATTGAATGCATTCCGTCGTAAGGGTTACACTCCAGAGTCGATCAACTTACTCTGCGAGACCATCGGTGTCACCCGTACCAACAACACCACGATTCCCTACGAGTTGCTCGAGTTCTGCTTGCGTCAAGATCTCAACGACAAGGTCACTCGTGCAATGGTTGTCTTTGATCCAATCAAGGTGGTCATCACCAACTACCCAGAGAACGAATCGGAGGAGATCACCGTCAAGAACATTCCCCACATTGCCACATCGGGAACTCACACCGTGCCATTCTCGCGTGTCGTCTACATCGAGCGTAACGACTTCCGTTTGCAAGACGACGCCAACTTCTTTGGTTTGGCACCAAACAAGGAGGTTCTCTTGAAGTACGCCTACAACATCAAGTGTAACGAAGTGATCCAAGACGCCGCCGGAAAGGTCGTCGAGTTGCGTGTCACCTACGACAAGACCAACGCCACCAAGACCAAGACAATTCACTGGGTCAGCTCCAAGGCCGGTGCACAACCAACTCCAGTCGAGATCCGTCTCTACGAGCACCTCTTCACCCAAGAGGATCTCGGTGACGACTGGTTCGACCAAGTCAATCCAAACTCCCTCAAAATCATCACCACCGCTTTGGCCGACGCCACCGTTCTTGGATCGAAACCATACGATCGTTTCCAATTCGAGAGAATCGGTTTCTTCTGCACCGACGAAGATTCCACCCCAGAGAAATTGGTATTCAACAGAACTTGTTTGCTCAAAGAGAACAAAGAAAAGCCAAGTGCCAAAGCAGATCCAAGAAAGGCAAGAGCTGCACCAAAGAAATAAATAAATAAATAAATATATAATTTATGTTCAAATACGTTTCTGGAAAACAAATAATAACTAATTTTAATTTATTTATTTTTAAAGTGAAAGTGAAAGAATTAAACTTAAATCGGATGTCCATGCATCACATTTGGAAGTGGCGGAGGTAACAGTCTTGAGGAATCCACTGGTTGGATAACGGTAAGTTGTACCATCGGCTGTTGTAAAAGTAAAGAAGTAACTCTGACATTCATTGTAGGTATCCGGTTCATACATGTAGATACCTTTCGATGCTGATCCGAGATGGAGTGACAATTGGTATTGTTTTTCGTCGGACAATAGTCTCTGATTCAAATGAATCTTCACAGAGGTGGGTGCAGCTGTTGAGCTCCAGGCTGCCAAGTAACGAAGTTTGTTGTTTACAAAAGTGTGGGAACCCGATGGAATTGGAGATGGGGGAACCTTATTGCATCCATTCAACTCGAAATCCTGAGTCCAATAGGTTTTGAAACGAGAGGTATCGTTAACTACTCTGGAGGTGCCTACTGTGTTGTATTTACTGGACATCAGAGCTACACGATGACCATCTTTAGTTCCATCTGGATAGCATTCCTTACCGGTTAGAGTTTTCTCACAGATCCAGTAGTTGATAATATCCAAACCGGAACTGTAGCCAGCAGCAATATTTTCGGCAAATGCTCTCAAACACTTTGGATCGAGATTGGCGAATACTCTTTGCATGATACCAGTACCGTTACAAGAATCATGTTGGAAACAACCATTCATTGCCATATCATCAGAATGTAGTTTCGACAGTTTATTCATCTTATCGTCGTAGTAGACTGGATCAACCGCTGGATACTTTTCATTACTCATTACATTGCTTGGTAATGTAAATGGAAAATAATTTGCTAAATAATTTTTTGGATCTTGAAAAACAAACAAAATGAAATTCAAGAAAAATTAGATGATAATCATTTAAATAATGTTAATATTACTTACCTATTCTTACACTGTTTAATATCATATGGGCTTCTCTCTCTTGCCAATTTGGATGACCTGAGGACGATTCTCCGTATCCAAAAACAATAGAGGTATTTAAAATTAATAGATTTATTAATAATATTAATTTGATGTTCATTTTAATTTCTAATTAATAGAATGAATCTTGTAGGACGCATCATTTCTATTTATAAAATTTGAAAAATAGGATCTTAACCAGAGAGATAAATTAACAACTCTTATTCATTCCTTTTATATATTCTAAGATCTTTTTAGTCAAAATCAAAAGTGTAGGGGTAGTTTGATTTCAGTTCACCACAAAACATAAAATATATAAAAATGAACACCAACACAATTTTGACGATATTCAATTTTTAGTACTTTTCTACCACATCAATTTTTAATGATTCATTCAAATAAAATAAATAAATAAAGCACAGTTTTGCATAAAAGTATTTTTCTTTTTGAAATAGAACTTGTTTATTTTTAAAGGGGTAAAAATAGTGTTGATTTCTTATACTTTTTTACAGATTTATATTTTTATTTCATTGTGAGAAAATAAATAAGTAATTATGTTTTTTGCCAAACTTTCAGAGAGCACCCATTTTTTTTTGAAATAGTAGTTTAAATTATTTAATAATATTAAAATAGAACAAATAGAAGAATTTCAAAAATGTTTATAAATTTTATTAGACCAAGTCAAAGAGGAATATTGATTTAATGTAGGTTTAGAATTTTAATTTTAATAAATCAAAAATTTAAGTATATTGATTTGATGAAAAAGTTAATGGGTAAAAAAATTATTATTTTACTTTTTGATTAAAAAAAAATAATTTAAATTGGCTTGAGGAACCATTAAAATAAATACGAGATGAAGCTATAATACTTTGAATATCAGCCAAGGAAGTAGATACTTTCTACAAGTATCAGGTGTTATAACACCCTCAGAATCATTAGTACAGCAATTACAAACAATTCCAACCATTTCAATTCAACACCATCTTTAGCAACAATCAGTAAATACAATAAATGATTCGCCAACGCTTTGAGAAGAATAATGATAGTTTAAATAATGATCATAAAACAATAATAACCAGATCTAAATGTAGATTAAATACACTCACAACATAGGAAATCATAGATCACCTGAGTCTGACTGTAGCCATGTCATATTGCAACTTAATTCAAGAGAGATAAGCTTAAGGATATGATGAATGAAGAGCAATAGAGTAGATGTACTGAGGTTCAATTTCCTCAAGTTCTTGAGAAGAGTTTAGAACAAGCAATCAAAGTTCATTAAATGCATATTGTGTAGCATGTATTTGTATTTTTCTATATTGCTTGTTCTAAACTCTTCTCAAAGAAACACAACAAAACAACAACAAAAACAAATCACCTCTATACTAATAATAGATATATATATTATATACAATGTTTACTTTAACATCTATTGACTCTGAATGATTGTTTTCAACAACAAGAATCATCATATCCAAAGAACCTCTTACAAATTAAGTTTTTAAATAAAAATAACATAATTATAATATAATTTTTAATATAAATCTTTGTAATACATCAACTATTTTAAATCTATTAATTCTATTGACTTTTATAAAGATTCTAAGATTTATCTTAGATATGTTTGTAATTCAAAAAACCAAAAAAATAAATTTTGATTCAAATTATTTTTATTGTTTCATTAAAGATAGATATAGATAATGGATAAATATTTATTATGTTTTCTATTAAATAATGTTTATATTAGAAATCAAATATTTAATCAAGTTTATCAATTAAATAGAAATCTAGTTAAAAATCAATGGAGGCAAGCGTTGAAATCAAATTCAAATGTAAAAGAGTTTGTTGTATTAAGATGGGAAGATATGATTCGTAACCCAATACAATTGGTTAATCATCGATACTATTCAGAGTTGAAACGATTCTACTTGACAGTTAGAAACTTGAATTGGAGAGTTGAACGATATTGTACTGATTTCTCTTTTGAGAATAAGTACTTTAAGCATTCAGATCTATATTCCATATTGATGCATATAGCGAGGTTGAATGATGTAGAGTTATTCGATCATGTCGTTGAAACTCTTTCATTTCTCAGTTTCGATTATATCACAATCAAGCGAAGTCATTTCGATTTTGGTGAACTTTTGGCGTTGGCAGCTCAGTCAAATAGTCTAGAGATTGTAAAATACATAATTCGAGCACATCGCTATACGAGAAGAATAGATCTAACCGATCAAGATTATTTTAAAGCACTTTCAAGATCACCATTATCAAAGAACTATGAATTATTCTTGTTGCTAACGGAGTATGTCAACTTTCCTGAACCAAACCATCATAATTTCGAAAGAAACCTTTCAAATCATCATATAATCTTGGAGTGTTATATAAATGCAATGCGATCAGGTCAAATAGAATGTGTCAAATGGCTACTTGCACAAACGAAATGGAATCCATTCAACTCTGTTAAAGATATTGCGCAACTTCGAATGTATGCAGGTGAATCCGGTTCGTTTGAGATGATGAAGTGGTTAAAAGAATCTTTCAACATGTCATTCTTTAGTAAACGTTTCATTGATCATTGTCTTAAGATCAAGCGATTAGATATTATCGAATGGATATATCAATGTGAATTCGAAACATTGGAAAAAGACAATCCTATTAATACTTTGCTCGGTAGTAATATGTTTATTCGTATTGGTTTCTATTTGGATATAGCCCTTCACTATCGATATCTAGATGGTATATTGTTTCTCTTTGAAAAGGGTGCTCCTTTTGGCTCGAGAATATGGACGCAAGTTGCCAAATGTGGTGACCAGCCAACAGCTAACTGGCTCATTGGCATTGAACCAATCGATATTGAACATCCTATTGATGTCGCTGCATCAATTGGTAACCTTGAGATGGTGAAATGGATGAATCAAACCTGCCCAGAAGGTCTCAGTGATGACGGAATTGAAAAGACAATCATTGGTGGACACTTGGAAACATTAGAGTGGATCTATGAAAATAAAACGGAACGATGTTTGAATGTAAAGGCTATCAACGCTGCTGTAAGTTACAATAGAATGGAGATAATTGAATGGTTTAAATTGAATGATCGCGAGTTGTTCAATCAATGTCCATCATTTGTTGCCGTCAAAAACGCAATACACAGCTACAGTTTCGAAATGGTTCGATTCGTTCATTCCAACTACCCAGAGTATATAAATGGATTGTCAGAAGCTGAGCTGAATGAATCATTGGTGCTACTCGTAGAATATGACCAATTGGATTTGTTTTTGATTTACAGGGACAGACTTGGTGAGCGATCCAACCTGGTACAGGCCATAAGAGCATCCAGACACGGTGGATCCTATAGTGTGGCTATCCATCATCTAGATATAGCAGACAGAGAGATAGAGCTCTCCAATATATGGTTTCGTGCCATAAATAGCAACGATCTACAAATGATTGAGTTGCTGGCAGAGCGATTCGGTAAAACCAATGCAGATCTACCTCATTATTTCATCTCTTACATTAACGATATCAAAGTATTGGACTATATGATTGATAATTATCATTTATTATTCCGCTGTAAGCTTTCGTGGGATATATTTGTGATTATGCTCTATAAAGGTAAACAATATCATATGGTCGCTCATTTTCTCGAGAGAGTAGGTTGTAGTTACTTCTATAAAGGTGAAGAATATAAATTGGGTAAGCACTCCGTTCTGATATTCAAACTATATAACACTCATAGAACAAGAGCAATTAAACGTCTAAAAGAAGCTGCATTCATGAACAACCAATATATTGATAAATAAAACAAAACATTGTAATACAGTATACTATTTAATTTTCTAACAAAACACTCATTATGTACTAAAATATAATATATACACTTCAAATTTTGTAAATAATTAATATATAGATGTCAAAGTCTCCAAATTTTATTTCTATCTTAAAAAATTCATTTGTAATTATTAATAGACTAAATGAAAATAGAGATTTTTGGGGTTTTACAAGAGAATTTAGTTCAAATTAGTACTCATTTGAGTCGATCACAAATGATACTATCTACACCACCAAAGTCTACCTATTAGTATAACAAAAATTATATAGATCCATAATTAAACTATCTACTAATTTTTTGTATACTTTTTTTTTTAGGATCAAATAAAATTACACAAATAATTCTATTTCCGATTGGTTCATTAAATATCTTTTTATCCAAAAATAGTTAACACTAACCAGAAGTACTTGTTTTAGAGATAGAAATAATAATAATAAAAAAATGAGATTAATCTCATTTTTTTTTGCTTTAAAATGTATGTGGGGTTTTTAAACTCAGTTACAAGAAAAATAGATTAATATGTGTTTTATTATTTTTTTAACTTTTGTTTTTAAACCACTGGTATCTATTGTTCAGATTAAAATAATCTATAAAAAATGTGGAAATTTTTTTTCCTGTACTTTGTTTAACCAACAATAATAAAATGATTATTCAAAAAGAATTTAAAATAGAAGTTAATATTTTTTATCAAAAACAGAATTTTTATTTTAAACATAATACAAAAAAAAAAGGAATTCTAAATGTTATCTTTACAAAAAATAATTGATAAAACTCCAAAGAGTTGGACTTTACCTATAAACTCAAATGATCCAATGGAAATGGTGATTGAAAAAATGGAGAAGTTTGGAATAATAAATGATGAAAATCTTCAAAAATATAGACTGATTTTCAAAGGATTTTCAATGTTTGTCAGAAATATTTGGCCATCCGGAGATCAAGAGTCATTGGTATTGGGTACACAATTCTTTATTTTCTCAGTAATATTCGATGACCTTATTGATACGAATGAACCGGAATTTGGAATGAAAAAAATCAATAGAGCAATCAATATTTTCAAATTGGGTAAACTGGAAGAGGATGCTACTCCACTTGAAAGAATTGCTTTTGATTTAAAAGAGAGCTTAGAACACAGAGTTGGAGATCAACATCCTTTGCTAAATGTATTCAGAAATGCATTCATTGATTATTTTGATAATTTAATGCCATGGCAAAATATCAAGGTAAGTTATTATTTTATTTTAAAAAAAACAAATTTATTAAATTGTTTTTTAAAATTTTTAGAAATTAGATGGTGACATGAGTATGAATTTATATTACAATATGAGAAGACACAATATTGGAATGGTACCAACATTTTCTTTAAGTGCATTATTCATTATGAAAAGATTAAACTCTGATATAATTCTAGACCCACTTTGGAAAAGTTTAATCGATCATTCAGGAAACATCTGTGCTCTTTATAATGATATATTCTCTTATGAAAAAGAACTCAGAGAAAAAGATGAAAGAATGAATAGTTTCCATTTTATGAAAACTCAAAACAATTGGTCTGATCAAGAGTGTCTCGATTTCATGGACAAAGAATTTGATAAATGTTTTGAACAATATTTTATTCATGAAAATCTTATTAAACAAAAATTTATTCCAATTCTCAAAAACAAAGAAGATCAAGAAGAGTTTATTGAAATTGTTGACCACTTTCATACCGTGGTATCTGCGGTAGTAGCTCTCTACTTAGTAAAGCCAAATTATAAATCACCAAATTCCATCTTTGTTGAACTTAGAACTAAAATTCAATGAAAATCTGAGATCTATCTATATTGGTTCAGAATAATCATGCAATCATCTTGTTTTTAATAAATATTTAAACTTAACAACTTATGATCTTGTATCTATTTTGTCAAATTTTGTCTTTCAGATCTCTATAACTATTGAAATTAACAAATTTTTATTAACAAACTTATATCTTTTTTCTTTTATTACTTAAATATTCGATAGAGTGACAGTGCTTGGGAAAGCATGTGCATAAAGGAAAATGCTTTCTTTTATCGAAACGAGAATGACCAATCTACTATTAACACTCTAAAAATATACCTTCTGTCTAATAATATGAAAATATTTATTTATATGTTAAATAAGTATTATGTCATAAATAACAGTAATAATTGTGTAATGTTCTGATCAGAACAAAGACACATCTCTAAAGAACGATAAATAATGATGAACAACTTTCTTTTAAATGATATAAAAAATAGAGATAATACTATATAAAAGGAAATGATAGGTAGAAAAACTGTATATATGTTGTTTTTACCACGATAAATTACTTTGTTGTTACCACCAACTCTCTTATATTGAATAATGTTTGATAAGAATGATAGTCTTATTTAAATGAGTTAGTGTGTATTATTATTGAATGTTTGTATTATTCATTGTAAACATCTTCTTAGTTTATTATTAATAAATCTGTTTTAAAAAAAATGGTAATAGCGAATTAAAAATAATTTTATATGTCACACCTTTATAAATTTATTTTGAAACACAAAATTATCCAAAAATCGACACATTTTTGAAAATTAAAATTTTAATTTTCTTCTTGATTCCCAAGAATATCGGGTTAACAAGCCATACAAAATGGTTTATTTTCTATGAGATATTATTTGCAAACCACACAATGATAGAACTGAAAATTCTTAGTCAACAAAAATCGTACTAAATCAAGTTTATAAAGAAAATTCTAGTTTTCTTTCAAAAAAATAAAAACAAAACAAACATTTTGTTAAAAGACAGAGAGAGTGATAACAAACAGTTCGAGATAGATAGATAAAATGTTACAACCACCTTCACCTTCTGCTCCTAATATAACAGATTCATTATTATATAATATAAATGAGTTACAACAATTGCAAAGAGATCAAGAACAACAACAACATCATCAACATTGTCAACAACCTACAACATCACCACTTTCAATTTCTACCACCACCACTTCCAAAATTACAAGATCTACAACTAACACTTTCACCTTTAGTCGACTCTTGTAATAGTAATAATAACAATCATTTAGTATTGTATAATAATAATAATAATCAATGTTATTTTAATAATTCAAAATTAATACTTTATGATACTTTTGTAAAAGTTGCACAATATCGTATCACTTCACAAGAAGCTGCACATGCTTTCGAGACTTGGAAACAAAGTCTATGGTTTACACCAACTGGGTAGAGTATCATTATCATTTAGAATACCTAATCTCTTCAGTGAAGTGTTACTTACAAGATTAATCTATTTAGTTTTAAAAAACAAATAGGACCAGAAACAAATAAAATATATATACCTTTCTATTGTTTTCATTCTACTTATACCGTAAACTTTCAGGGTTTGGTTTACTATCAAAATGGTGGAACTGAAATCACTATGAATGGTTCGGGTGGTATCTCAAACATTGATCCAGCCAAGAGGCAACCACAGCAACAACAACAACAACTGGTTGTAGCAACACCAAAAGGTGGTAACCATGTAAATAAATCATTGGAGAGAGGCTCCATTAGGCGAACGATTGCCAAGATATTCTTGTGTGGCTCGTCGATGGACGATTGGAAAGACTATCAGGATATCCGTGTGTTCTTTGACTTTAATCGTGTTGATCAAATGACAATGTCAGAGTTCAAAGAGAAATGTCAGTTCCAGCATGCTCGTGAATCGTCGCGACTCTCTCACGACTCGGTCTGGGCAAATCACATCTCAAAGATCCAGGTCGATGAGCAATCGAATGCCGCGTCGTATCTCTGCAGCCAAGAGCAGACCGCCACCGTTGAGAATGTCAGTAGCGACATTGAATTTGACCAGACCGTCGCTACGCTGTTTTATGTTCCTTTCTACCACCATTCCTATGTGTTTGACAATAAGCACTATAGCTTCTTTATCGATGGCCAGAGCGGCCAGATCTTTGCCACCCGTCCGGAAGTCGGTCTAGGAAAGCTTGGCGACTTGGTAAAGGGCGTCAAGAACTACTTTGGAATGTATCTATGGCAAGAGCAAATCCAGAGAAAACGTGGTTCCGAACTCAACATCGAGGACAACGTCGATGTCTATGCCAAAGAAAATTACTTTATAATGTGGCCGCGCTCTGCCAACGGACTGCTAAGTGGTAACCTCCAGGGTTGGCTCACCATTAGAAATCGATCGAATCGACCAATCACCTTCAGAGGTCAGAAGCGAAGAGGCTACACCAAAGGCAACCCGATTACACTGCAACCTAGAGCAGAGCAATCCTATTCATACAAAGGACACTGGTGTATGGAGGTCATCGATGGTGACTATCAGAATCTAGAGATCATACATCTGAATACAAGTGAAAACAATCGTTTTCCAAACATTGGTTTTGCATAATATATTAATATGTACATAGGTTTGACAGATAACAGAATTGTCAAACAAAAACAAAAACAAAACAAAACAAAACAACACCATTCACAATCTGATACTGTCCATCTCTAACATTTTTTTTAACTATCATTTGCAAAAGAATGAATAGTATAATCAATATAATTACAAGATAAAGAAAACAAATAATCTAAAATCAATTCAATTCTAATTCCAATGAACTGAAAGAGAGACTGCAATTGGATAGCCAATGATCATCGTTGGTCCAAAATTCAAAAATAAAAATTAATAATATCCAGATTTATTTTTTTAATCAAGATCTGATTTATTTTGAATCGGAGTACTTTGCTTTTTCTATAATTATGATCAAATATATATATTTTCTTTTATTGATATCTCTGGTATCATCCTTTGATATCAATACGGATATTGATAACGACTTTACAATCACCTGTGAATTATTATTAAACGATGGTAGTTCAACTTGTAATAATATTTCAACAAACTATGCGTATGTTACAATGATATAATATTAGCTAATATTGACTTCATTTTATTTATTAATTTATTTAAAGTACCTGTTCAAATATAACCTTATGCTTAAATTGGTTATATGAACAACAAGCCTCAAATTCAATGTATAATACAACTGTCATTTTGATTGCAGATGGTAAATATGATGATTGTCCAGGTGCTATCAATACATTCCCACAATCCGAACTACATGTATTCTATTCTCCTGGATATTCGCTGTTTACGTGTGATGGTCAATTCGTAAGTGTCAATATGACCTACCCAACCAGTGTAACTTTTCAGAATATAGGATTCAGCGGATCATTACAATTCCCTCAGACAAAGGGTGGTCTCCTTGGATTCTCTATACAGCCAGAGTATCTAAGAAATGAAAAACCTGCTATCTCTTTGGTAAACGTAGAGGTATTCCAATCGAGTGTGAATGGCAACGGTTCGGTGTTATACGCAAGTGGATTTCACGTGGATTTCATCGACTCTTCTTTTGAGAATTGCAACTCAACCATGAATGGCGGTGTTCTATACGCAGAGGGTGACAATACCAAGGTATCGCTCATCAACTCTCGATTCACATCGAATGGTGCCGATGAAGAGGGTGGCGTTATCTACGGTGACAATGTATTTTCGCTCAACTCTACATTCATTGGAAACTCGGCTTTGTATAATGGTGGGGCCATCTTCAGTGTTTACAACATGTTTTTGAATCTGAGTACATTCATTGACAATCAATGCGTGGACAGTGGTGGCGGTGTCTCTGGTAGCCAAAATTCAACGACCATAGCAAACTCATTATTCCAAAATAACTGTAACTATTATTAATATTTATATAATACTATTAATTATTTATTAATTAATTAATTACTTATTATCAATATTGTTAGATGCCTATAGTGGTGGTGCGCTCTGGTGTTCAACCAACTCTAAAATTGAAAATACAACATTCATTGGCAATCGATGTACACAAAATGGTGGAGGTTTGTATGTAGGAGGGAATCTTCTGATGACCAACTCTACAATCAATGGATCGATTTCTTACAACTGTGGTGGAGCTATATATATCGATCAAATAGTAACAAGTGTTCAGGTGCAATTCTCTAACTTTAACGATAACAAAGCGATAGCAGGAGGCGCTATATGTGATTTTGCCAAGAATTTGACTGTTTTCAATTCTACCTTCAATGCTAACCATGCCAATACTGGTGGAGCAATCGTAAGACTTATTACCTAATAATACTGTTGTCATGCATGATAGCAACTGACAATACTAATTGATATTGCAAATATAGAAATCATATTACTCTGAACTAAACTTTATGGGCACTGAATTTACCAATAATGTAGCTTCTGAACTAGCAGGTGCAGTCTATTTTGCAATCTATCCAAATCAATTCTTGGGTGGTGTATACACTGATAATATTTGTAAAGCAAGACCAATCTCCAATACCTTTAACCACCAAGCTACTATCAATGGAAAGATTAATGTTGTCAATGTTTCTTTGGCTTTGCTAACTGATAATCAAGAATATACAGTACCAATAATATACAATACAGGTTCATCATATGTAATTATTAAATATATCATTTATAATATAACATTTCAAAAACCTAATATTCTATCTCTAAACTCTAGGCAAAAGCATATAATGTACAAGGTCAGTGTATTAATGGAGTTGCTTCTATAAATACCGATGGTCAGTTACTCAATTGTCAATGTTTCAGTGGATACTCAGGTGAAAGTTGTCAAAACTAATACTTTTAATAATTACAATTATGAAGAACATAAATCAAAAGTTCATTGTGTTTTACAAAAATTTTGGAGAATAAACCATCAAAATAACCAAAGGTTTTGGCGCCAAAATTCAAATTTTTATGTTTGATTTTAAATTAAATAACATTATTTTACTTTATATATGATAATTTACGAATATTATTAATCTCTTTATATATATTCATATTAAATTAATACTAAATAACTATGCAACAAATAGATAATTCTATTTTAATAAATAAAAATAAAGTTGAATATGCAGAACAAATTGGTTTTAGTTTATCACAATATAATGAGTATGGATATTAAGATCTTTTAGTTTTTAGCAATGTATCCCAATGAAACGTATTAATTCTATTTATTATGATTATTAGAATTGTAAATGATATACATAAAAATATTTTCAATTATTTAAAATCAGATCAAATCGATAAAAAGAAACTTCCAAATATAGAAAAAGATCTTAATATAATTCAAGTAAATACACTTATTCAATACGATTATTATTTCGAAATTATCTTATAATTATTCTTTATTTTTTTTTAAAACAATTTAGGAATGTTTTCAACAGATGAAGTTTAATTATATTGAAATTGGAAGTAAACAAAGATTTATGCAATCGATCATCAGTTTGGATTCCAATTTAACATCACCATCACCAGAGGCAACCAATCAACTGGAGAGTTCTATCTCCAAAGGCAAAAAGGATTTCAAAGAACTAAAGGACATTAATGTCAGGCTGGCAAATGAGGTGATTGCCATCATCAATCAGATTGCAGAGGACGACCAGATCCTTCAGAAAGAACGTGAGAATATCAAGCGATTGCTAGACGATGCCAACGAGCAATTGGATAAACTCTACTCAATGGACCAAACCATCGAAGAGATGCAGAAGAGCGATAATAAATTGATAACTAACAACGATCGTCTGCTGGCTACCATCGAGTGGTATCAACCGTATGTCAAGGTAATTGAGAAACTTCAGGGCATTAGAATGACAGCCGGCAATTCCAACGCCAAGGAATTACAATTTGAACTGACGGTCATGGCTGTTCAACATCAAGTAGCGATCAAACTGGATCAATCGAGACAATCGATTATATCACTGAACATGCAGCCAACGCCTTTGAGACACATCGACTATCTCACAGAGGATTTCTCAAATATTAGTGAATTGGCGACACTCGTAGAGGAACTGACATTTGCACTCACCAATCACTATCGTAGAGAGAAGGAGATCAAAGAACTCTCGAAATCCTATCACATCCAACGTTTGCAACACTCCAATGAGAATACCAATGGCTGTACCATTGCAGTATCACTCCAAACCGGTCACACCTGTATTATAGTTTTTGAATCTGATTATCCACTTCATCCAAATGTCCATCTCTATTTGAAGTCAATCACAAAGAATGACATCCAAATAGAATTTAATGAAATTAAAGTAAGTACTATAATAATAAAACCAATCAAATCATTCTTCAAATAATTAATACAAATTATAATTTCCAGAAACATTTACAGGAAACCAAATATGATTTACAACAACTGATAGAACAACTTTTAAATTATTTCAGAGATAAAGAAAATATTTAAAAATAAATTAATTCAATTGTTTATTATAATATAAAATTTAATAAGTTTTTAGTTTTTATTGATGTTGTTTTTGTTTCTTCTTTCCTTTGAGTGCTTCCATCTTAAACTTTCTCTTACTTTGCTCTTTAACTCTTTCTTCTTTTTCTTTTTCCGATTTCTTTTTCTTTTCCATATATTCTTTATGTTTCTGTTCCTTCTTTTCTTGTTCCTTTTCGAGTTTCTTTTGTTTGATGACCTCAAGTTTGTTCATAAGCTCGGCAATACGTTTCTCGTGTGGCTCCATAACAACGACACGATGATTGGTGAGTGCGTCGGCCTTGTTCTTGAGAACCTTACCCTTTGGCTTCAAGTCAAACGGCAGCTGACTCTGTAGGGAAGCGGGGATCTCCAACTCACGGAAGTGACGTGGTTGACGCTCAATCTCACGGTAAACGGAATCCTCCTTGATTGGCGCACGCAATCCCTTCTCGAAACGCAACTGTCCAACTGTCTTCATACCCTGCCATTGTTTCTCCTGAGTGAGCATATTGGTAACGGGCGTGTAGAACTTGGTCGGTGTAATCGTGTACCAAGTTCGCAAAAACACAATGTCACTCATCAGAACCTTGTCTTCGAAAGTGGCACGGAAAGCACCCTCTGGACTGCTCATTGGCTTCTTGATTTGACCACGAATACCTGAGACCGTTCTGATGGTGGCACCAACGAATTTGGCGACTTCGAGACGCGATGAAAACATTCCCTGGATGAAAGCAGTCTTTTTCAGAATCTCCTTTGGACGACCTGTCAACTTTAGCTTCTTCACCACGTTGATGGTGTTGTCCAACTCCAGAACACTGCCGTTGGCACTGACACGGAACGACGCTTGGGTGTTACCAAGGTTGGTGAACGCAATGAAACCGGTACCGGGTGGTGTGATGGGACCATAGAAACTACCTTGACAATGCATATGCTCCGGTGTGTATTTTAGCATACGATTACGACCGTTGATATCTTGGATCGAGTAGAGTATCATCGTTTGGAAACGACGCCAACCCATGGAAATAACCAAAGGATCGTTGGATTTCAACAGTTTCTTGTGCCAACGATGCTTCTTAATCTTGACATTGACCATACCGAGATTCTCTTCGGTGGTTTGCAATCCACCGACCAACAGCGGATAGCGTGGATCGAAATGCTGGCAAATCTCATAGGGAACCGATTCAAATTCTATACGTACATAAACACCAATTGGAAAACCTGCGTATTGCATTCTACTGAATTTGTCATCGTTGGCAAACTCTGCTTCGTTGATGGCACGTTGTTTCTTGGCGGCTTCGTTCAACTCACTGGCAAAGTCTTCTTCTCCCTCCTCGTACTTGGCGTTGATTCTCTTGATTTCACGTTCCTTCTTCTCACGATTACGTCTTCTGGCAGCTTCAAACTCGTCGTCATCCGACTGCTTCTCATCGTCATCGTCAGTCTTCTCCTTGCCATCCTTACTCTTCTTATTCTTGTCGTCGTTGTCGTCATCGCTATCCTCACCATCTTCCTCTTTACTCTTAGCAGTTGAACCTGGACCATATTTCTTTCCGGTTTCAAGATCTTCGAAATCACCAAACATTGCTTGATCGTCGTTGGCATCTTCACGACCGACGGCTCCAACCGATTCCAAATCATCTTTGTCAACGAATCTCGATATCAAGAGCTGATAGATATCATCGTTGTCTTTGAATCCCGATGACTTTTGAATGGACTGAGTGCTCTTTGATGTCTCTACTCTATTGATTCCAGTCTCGTCCAACTCTAGATCTTTCTTTAGCTTCATCTGTCCAAAACCACCTTTCTTGACCTTGAAGAAGTCTTCGTCGTCATCCTCTTCCTCGTCGTCTAGTTGTGCAAAATTCTTTTGTTTCTTCTTATCTTCATATGGATCACCGTAAATTAACTTTGATAAACTAATCTTTGGAGCTGGTTTATTTGCAAATTTATGCATATTCTCTTTCCATTTTGAACTTTCTCCTTCTTCTTCTTCTTCTTCCTCTTCCTCTTCTTCCTCTTCCTCTTCTTCCTCTTCCTCTTCTTCCTCTTCCTCTTCTTCCTCTTCATCTTCATCATCACCATCTCTTTCTAATTGTGGATCATAATATTCATCATCATCCATCTCTTCACCACTGTCATCATCGAATTCTACACCTTCATCGGCACTTTCATCGTCATCATATTGAATTCCTTTGGATCCTTCGAGCTCTTCGTCGTCATCCTCGTCGTCTTCATCTTGATCATCGGCGGCATCTTGGTCATCATTATCGTTGTCGTCGTCACTCTCCAAATCGGTGGGTGTCTTCTTTAGATCTACAAACTTTACTTTTCTTCTCTCTCTGCCATCTACGACTTGCTTAATCTCCAACTTTTTAGTGGCAACACCGCTGCTGTTGTTAGTTGTAATTCCAGCTGGTTCGTCATAGTACTCGCTGTCACTCAGCTCATCGACATGATCGAGATCAGCTCTCTTCTTTTGTGAAATCGGCTTATTGTTTGTCAACTTGATTGGTGCACCCTTTGAGAACAACGATACCTCTGAATCCTCCATCTTTTCATCGAGAGCAATTCTAGTATTCTGTAACTTTCTAACCATTCCAACACCATCTCCAATTCTATCCTCATCGTCGTCGTCCTCTCCATTTTCCTTTTCATCATCATCCTCTTCTTCCTCACTTTCATCTTTTTCAACAAACTTTCCATCTATTTAATTATAATTGTTGTTAGTTGATAATTACTAAATAACAAACACAACTTAAGTTAAGTAACTATTATTATTTACCTTTATCCAACTTTGAGAAATTGATTCTATTCTCTGGGATGTTGATATATACAGCATCTTTATCGTAGAGGATATTACCGATATCACTCATTGGCGAGTAGATAAGACGCTCCTTTCCATTGAGTACACGCTTTCTATCGTCGGGCAGTGGACATGGATCGGTGAGTGGAGTGATGCTCTTCATTCTAAAGTCACCGACACCCGGCAAATGAACCTTCATATGTGGCTTCAAATAGGTGCCTCTCACATAACCATAGAGACAAATCGATCGATTATCCTTTGGTCGTGTTTTGATCTGTTCGACATCGGTTGTATCTTCAAAACGGTCGACATACACATAGGGATGTGAATTTCTCCAACTCAACGGAGTGAATTTCGCAACCGAAATGAAACGTGCCAAATTATGAATCTCTTGTTTCGGATACTTTCCATGAATCAAACCAGATAAATAAAATAATTTAGCTCCCTAAAATAAATAACAATATTAATAAATGGATATAATATATATTTGGAAACTAGCACAACATACCTGATAAATCTCTGTCCAAAATCTATCTTTTAATTTCTTTTTCGTTTTCTTCAAACGTTTGTTGTTTTTGAAACCGTCGAGGTGAGTGAGTACACCGATTACCTTTGGGAATCCGTGTGTCTGGAGGATGTTGAGGAATTCGAATGTCTCCATTTCGAAACCGTACGATGCGTCGATCAAGAGCAGTACGAGATCTGCAATCTTGGCGGTATCGATCATCGAGTTGAGATCGTTGTTACACTCGACGAATGTGATACGACGACGCTTCGATGCAACGATCGTTATCGGTCCTTTGATCTCACCCACCGAGTAACGTGTGTAGTTCTTGATGAGCGAGCGAATCAACGTTGATTTTCCTACGGCGGGTGGACCGACCACCGCAATGACGATGGGCGGCACTTCCTCGGCCGTACCAGATTGATCGAGAATCGGTAGATTGACACGCTTCTGCTCCAAATCCAGATTACGACGTTGCGATTTGAGTGCTGCGTGTGCCGACGAGAAAACGAAAGCCTTTGGATTCTTGGCACGCACCTCCTTGGTGATACCTTGCTTTCTTTGCTTGACCGCTTTCTTCTTGTCGGCTTTAGCACCTGCCTTTGGCTTTCTATGTGCTTTCCTAACTATATCATCCATCCTCTCTCTTTCTAATAAAACTATATAAATCTATAATCTTTTAAAAAACAAACTTTAAAAAAAATTATAAAAGTATAAATTCTATTATATTTAACTAAAATAATAATATTAATTTTATTAAAAATTATTAAAATTATCAAATTCGTTCGTTTTTTTTATAAAAAAATTCAAAAAATATTAAATAATCAAAAATGATTCTTTTATGTGTGGTCTATGAGTGAGTTACGAAGTTCTTTTTTTCTGCATAAAAATTTGGATGAAGCCCCATTTTCAATTCAAAAAAGTCAAAGGTGAAATTTGTGTGGGTGAATCAGTGGTAGAGAAAGTGTTGTCAAATGCATCATCAACATCACCAAAAAAAATAAAAATAAAAAAACTAATTTTTTTAAAATCAAACAAATTTATAAAAGTCAAAGTTTCATTTTCATTCTTTTTTTTTTATAAATATTATATAAATATATCAATAAATAATACAATGGATTTAGTTGAAGAAAATGTTGCTCCACTCAAGGAGTTTGCCAAGAATAGCATTCGTTTATTCAAGAAATGTACTAAGCCAGATCAACAAGGTTAGTATAATAATATTCCTAAAACTAAAATAAACAACAATTTATTAAACTTTGATTTGATTGATTAACCAAAAAACAGAGTTCCAAAAGATTGCTTTCGCTACATTGGTTGGTTTCTGTATCATGGGATTCATTGGTTTCTTTGTCAAGCTTATCCACATTCCAATCAACAACATTCTCGTTGGTGGTGTCTAAAATAACAATCAAAAATAATAATAATAATAATAACTAAAAAAAACCATATAGAATATAATCACATATATTATAACAATATAAAGTCAACTGCTCCAAAAAAAAAAAGTCAAACAAACTTTTTAAAAAACTTTCCTTTTCTTCTTCTTCTCTATCTATCTACCTATAATCTTGTATGAAAAACAACAAAACAAAACAAAAACAAAGATAAATGTATATTTAAGTAAATCAATGAATAATAAAATTGTCTTATAAGGAATATAATTATATCTTTATAATTTATAACAAAAATACATTTTAATATAATAAGTTGTGTTGATTTTATTTTTCTTTATACTTTACTACTACTACTACTACTACTAATATGATAACTTTTCTCTTAAGATGGAAGAGTTCAAACCTTCTTTCCATTCTTGTCTGGTGATCCAAATCTCTTTGGAACTCTCGAGACAACCGAGGATGGCTCCACCCTTCCAGGACATGTTACGCTCATCCACGTCTTGTCTGGTGTTGGCAGAGAAGGCAAGTGTGATTCCGGCGTTGGTTTCTTCGGTGGAGAGCAGTTTGGCCAGCCGTTGTTTGAGTACCGCTTGAAGGCCGGGCACACGCGAAGCACCGCCACCCACAATCAACAGGTTCGAGTAGAAGCGCTTACGGAATTCAATGCGGTCACCCGAGTTCTTGATGGACTTGTAGATCGCCTGGTCGAGAGCCAACGTCAAATTACGATCGTGTGCACCGTCCTCTTTGCGATCGGCATCGTAGAGCTCTTCGAAATCCGTCATCTTTGATGGTGCACGTCTCATTGGCGACAGACTATCCGGATAGAACATAGACATGCCCACAACCTTAAACACATCGTCTCCATTGAATTGATAGATAGTATTCTGTTGTCTGGTCGGTACGTTCGCAACCTTTAATTTTTCATGCTTTATCCTATTATCATCATTCTTTCAATATAAACACAAACATATTAGTAATTCATTCAAAAGATATCTTTGTAGTATGTTAGGTGTTTACTTACTAAATTTAAATTTATACATTCATTCTTTATGGTTTCAATTTGATTAAAGTCATAGGCAATATCGAGATTGGTTCTCTTTAGTGGGAAGTAATATTTATGAATTGGTTTCACATTGGAGGTTGCAGAAGTTGAAGATGAAGATGTTGTTTGATCTTTATCATTTCCATTGATATGATTATTGGTGGTGGTGGTGTTGGTGGTACCATTTTGATGTGAAGAATTACACTCTGTGTCTTGTTTGTAGAGTAACCATGCTAGTAGTTGAGTAATGTTGGATCCACCATATCTTAGAGACACTCTAGACTGTGGAATCATATATCCTTCGTCGACACACGATATACTAACTCTCTGATGTCCAACATCGATTACACATGCAGTACCAATAGATGCACCAAACAACGAACATATAGATTCCTACAAACAAACAAGCCAAACAAACTATTAATATTTATAAACAAGCAAAACTAACAATATATATGTTCAAATACATACATGATATAGTAATGCACTTGTAAATGGTAGTTCTCTCAAAAGTAAGTTGGTAATCTCTTTGATTTGTTTTTTATCTAAAAAGTCTGGAATTATATATACACATCCATAGGACTAAAGAATGGAATGTAAAGATAGATAGATAGTTAGTTAGTTAACTGGTTGAAATGAAGCATTAATGCTTTGCTTTGATGAGATGGGATGAGTTACGTTTAAATCGGATGGATTTATGTTAAGATATCTTTGAATTGAATATCTCCACATTTGAACGAGATCGTCGAGTATAGGGGTGAGTGAAGACGATTGAGGATTGAAGGTTGTCGGTGAGAGTAGTGGTTGATAGCATATCCAGTTGTCAGTGTCTCTGCTTGCGAGTATAGCATCCTCACCGATACAATAGTCAACTCTATCGAGATCGATCGGTTCAATCTCACGTTTAGCATTGTAACCTGTGTCATTGGCTTGATCTGTTTGTAGTTGTTGTTGTTGCTGTTGCTGTTTCTGCTTTCTCTTTTTCTTCTTTCTAACGGGTTCAACGTTTTCTATTACCACTGAATTTGATTCATTATAAATAGTTGACTATATATATCATAATATATGATTTAACATTTAATAATCTAATCTTTAATATATATTTTTCTATTTACATACTTGTTTTGGTAATTTATAGGTTGAATCACCAACGAATTGTGGATATGATTTATATGTTTCTTTGATTGTTTGTTGTACTGATTTTAATGCTGTTAATTTACTTTCTAGATGTCTTCCACTCAAGACAGGCAATAAAGAAGGTATATTTATATCATTTTGTTTTTCTTTTTCTTTTTCTTGTTCTTTCTCTTTTTCATTATCTTTATCATCTTTATTATTATTATTATTATTATTATTATTATTATTATTATCTTTTGAATCTTCCATTACAATATCAATTTTATCATCTTGTAGTTTTGATTGTTCTTCTTGTTGTTCTGGTTTTATTTCTGGCTGTTGCTCTTGCTTTATTTCTTTTATTGAAGATTCTATAGTGGTAGCAATACCACTACTATTGTTATTATTATTATTATTACTAATATTATTATTATCATTACTTTCAACAGAGTTTGTTAAATTTAATTCTTTAGTTTCTGTCTCTTTTGATGCTGCTGTGTTGTTGGAATCGATTTCCATTGGTACTAATTCAGGCTGTTGTTGATGTTGTTGTTGTTGTTGTTGTTCGTTAGCATTGTTTGTTTCTTGAGTGGTGGTAATAGGAGTAGTAGTAGATATAGTGGTATCATTTAATGTAGAGGAATCAGTAGTTGTTGTTATTGTTGTTGTTGTTGTGGCTGTGACAGTTTCGGTCAATGTTGGTATTGGTGTTTCTGTTGTTGTTGTTGTTGTTGTTGGTAATGTTGTTGGTAATATTGTTGGTAATGGCGTTGGTTTTATAGATATCTTTGGTAGTGGTTTAATTCTCTTGGCAATAAAATTATTGATTGATTTAGGGAATGGGTCAGATGCCAAACCTATTCGAAGTGAATGCGATCCATGACTTATAACAATGACTTTACTCTCCATTGAGTAAGTAATAATATATTAATTATATATAATCAATCAACAATCAACCAACAAACAATCAATCAATCAATCAACTTCAACTTTGTCATTCAGAATTCAATCTAATTTAAAAAAAAATTAATAACTTCAAAAAAATAAAAATTTACAAAATTAAAGTGGTTTGTGTTTTTATGACTCACACACAATTAAATAAATAACATTATACATAGATAGATAAATTTAGCATATACATATAATATTTATAATGAAATAATAAATATCAACAACAACAACAATAATAATAATAATAATAATAAACATTCTTCTAAGTAAATAGATAATAAATAGATAAATCAAAATAGTTATATTTAAATCAAATCAATTCGATAGATAGATAGATAGATTTGATAGTTTGTAAATTTTGTTGATAAAAAGTAGTAGTAGTAAAGAAAAGAGATATATAAGAAATGTATTCGGCAGGACCTTCAGGTTTACGTATGTTTTGATAAATATATATGAATATGAATATGAATGTTAATAGTGTTCATTTTATTGATTAAATTATATATATATTTATAGAGAATGCACCTGTAACAAAGATTATATTGATAACAGTGATTGGAAGTACATTATTGATAAACTATATTAATGCAAAACATAGAGGAAGAACAGCGGATACTGCGTCGGCCATTGGAAATATTTCACTTTCACCGTTTGCTCTCACTGCAAATCAATTCTACTTTAGATCTCTCGGTGAACTTCTCACTGGTTCAATATTAATCTATTCCTATCGTATCTTTGAAAGGTTGATGGGATCATCAAAATATACTGTAAGTCAAGGAATATGAAGCATATATACTACAAACTAAGGAATCTCGACACTAACCTAACACTCTTCATAAAACAATCACAAGTTATTTGTAATATCATCTATCATTTTATCAACTTTAATACAACTTGGATATGTTGTGCTGTTTAGAAGAGCGGGTTTCTCAGGACCGTCCACTCTTATTTTCGCGTGTCTCGTTCTGTTCTACAAAGAGATACCACCCACTCGTTGGTTCAAATTCCTTGGTTTCCCGCTCAACGACAAGTTTATGACCTATGTGATGTCACTGCAGCTGTTGCTGCTCGACACTTCCAATGCCGTGAGCTGCTTGACCGGTGTAGCAGCAGGCATTCTCTACTACACCGATGTGTTTGGCTTGAAGAATCGTCGTCTACCGAAATCACTCGTCAAGTTTTGCAACCAGTGGATCGCGCCACTCGTCAACGCACCGCCTGCGCCAACTTCACTACGTCCACTGATCGAGCAACAACAACAACTACAGAATCTGCGCCGTCACCAACAACAACAACAGCAATTCCAAACACCATTCTTACAAGCGGTACTGCCCTCCGAGGAAAACATAGCAATGCTCGTATCCATGGGATTCCCACGCAATTTGGCTGTCGAAGCACTTCAACGTACCAATAACAATCTCAATGATGCAACCAACTTTTTATTAGGTGCATTATAAACAATTAATAATAATAATATAATTTTTTAAAAACAAAGATTTTTATTAATTTAATTGTCAGCAATCACCATGATGTGATATTTGTTGTTGAAGTAGTATGAAAATATCATTATCTTTGGCATTATGACATATCTTGAATGTTGAGATCTGAAAGAGTTTGTTTGTTATCGGTCAATTATTATATTTTCATTCTATTATTTAAATAGCTCTAATTCGATTTAAAAGTTGATAAATTTTATTATCTATTTAATTCTTTACCAACAACTTCTCTAGCTGTAGAATTTCAATTTTTTTTAATTCCTTTCTAACTCACATTATTATAAAAGATTATTTCTGGCTGAACCCGTGACTTCACTAACAACAATTTATTTAAATTCTATTTTAATGGCGGTCTATTAGTGTACTATCTATGTTAATAACAAAAATTCTAAATCTGAATTAATTCCATTTAGAATCACGATCATCCATTGGTTTATCCTTTTTACATTTCAATTTAAACTTACTTGGTTCGAGATTGGGATGACCTTTCACAATTTTTTATAGGGTTGGTTGTACATTATGCTAAAAATAAAACATCCACGCCAAATAACATGATACATATTCTCAGAATTCAAACACTGCGAAAAAATAATTTTTAGTAATTATTTATTATATACTAAAAATTAATAGTGAAAGAAATCATACAAAATTTGAAATCAATCTATCGAATATTTAAGGTTGTTATTTTGTTCCTGATTATTTTATTTACTATCTTTTTTCACTTATATATCATAAATAAATGAAAATTAATTATCTATTATTTATCTTTTCACTTTTGTTGTTGGCTTTATCAGCTTCCCAATTGGAGAATAATGAATTACTATCAATTACATTGACTCTTTCACCAACAACATCAGCATCCTCGACATCACAACCAACATCATCTTCAACTTCGACTTCGACTTCGTTCTTGACAACGTCTTCAAGTATCACCGTTACGACGACAACATCACCAATATCAACAAGTGTTACAACATTACCAGCAACAACAGTAAGTTCAACAACATCAAGTATTTCAGAATATCAGCAACAATTCACAGATTGGATGATTCAATATAATAAATCATACACAAACAATGATTTCTTGACAAGATTCAATATTTTTGTAGATAATCTCCTTTATATCAACCAATTTAACTCGCTGACTGGAAATGATACTGAAGCCATGAAATTGGGAACGAATATATTCGCTGATTTGACACTTGATGAATTCGCCAACACATACCTTGTCAAAGATTTATTAAATTTCTCTGTAAATTCAAATACTACAAGTACATCAACTTCAACTACAACAACAGGAGGTGGATTATTAGGAGGATTGTTAACTGGTGCTTTAACAATTGGAACTGGTGGATCTACATCTGGTGGTGGTGGTGGTGGATTGTTAGGTGGACTTTTAACTGGAGCATCTCAACCATCAAGTTCAACTCTTAGAACTTTAATGGAGTCCAGAAATTGGATAGGTCGACTACCTCCAATTAAAGACCAAGGAGAATGTGGAAGTTGTTATGCATTTGCATCGTTAGTTCCCATTGAATCTCTATTATATGGAAAGGGTTCTATAGTATCTCTCTCAGCACAAGAAATTGTTGATTGTTCAAGTATGAAGCTTTGTTTTTTTTTTTTTTGAAAACGTTAATATAATTAATTTACTTCTTGGAAATTATTAGATTTCGAAGGCAATTCTGGCTGTGATGGAGGTTGGATGTCAAATGTTTACGGTTTTGTTAGACATAATATAGGTGTAAGTACAGAGCAAGAATATCCATACATTGGTTCTTTTCAAACATGTACATGGCAACTTCGAAAAAAATACGGAATTGTGAATAAAGACTTTGTTGTTACCAATCAAACAGCAATGGAGGATGTTTTAACAAACGTAGGACCTGTTGCTATTGCCTTACAGGCCAGAGTAAGCTCATTTCAATTGTACAAAAGTGGTATCTACGAAGATGCTGAGTGTGGAAAAGGTCAAGTGGATCATGCAGTTGCACTTGTTGGTTTGGGAGTAGAGAGTGGAAAACCATATTATACTGTATGTATAGTCAAATTTATAAAAAAAGTGATTGATTATCTTCATTTTTATTTTTTATTAACAATTAATTTTCACTAAAATGATAGCTGAGAAATAGTTGGGGAACTGGATGGGGAGAAAGGGGGTAAGCTATACACTAAATCAAATAATTAATTATTATTTTCGAAATTTACTAACAATTTTATTCCACGAAATAGATATATGAAAATAGTGCGTACAACAAAGAAAATCAATAACTATGGATATTACCCATCAATATTATATAATAATAATTGAAATGAATTCATCAAAAAGAATACAAAATATAAAATTACAGTCTTTGATGAACTTTATTAAGAAATTAATTACTTTTTCAAACTCTATGATAAGTTTTAACTACCAAACACCAAAAATTTGTCATTTCAACCGATGTTAAATGTTTAAGTTTTATACTCTGTGAAATAAAATGTAGAGTTGCGTGATTTTGTTTATCTAATTTTTTATAGTTGTCAAAATCAAAACCACATACAATGAAAAATTAAGTTAACTTTGTTGTTTTTAAATCACAATAATTTTTTAAGGGTAGATTAAATTATGTTTAATATTAGATTTAGTAGTAGAGTTTCACCAGCGGTACTTTTAATAATGGTGTTGTTGCTTGTGGTGTCAAATGCGGAATTCAGTGGTTCGACCTATGAAATTTGTATGGAAGCATGGACAACTCAAAGCTTAAAGAAATTCAATGACTATTGCAATAGTAAAACAATTAATTTTTGGAGCTGTCACAACTATCATCTAAGAATGATTCCTATACTCAAAAAGCCAAGAGAAGATGCAATCAAATTTTGTGAAATAGCAAAAGATTTTATGTGAACAGCAACAAAAAACAAAAAACAAAAGATATCTTTTTTTCATTTCAATAATCTTTAAATAAACTCTATAAAGTCACTATTAGAAGGTAAACACCAATAACCTATAGGTTGTACACATCATCGTTATAACCATGAACCTACAATGTATTTTCACCATCACACACACGTATATTTCTTTTTACGTTTATGCATACTATTATTATTTACTATTTATTTTATTTTAACCTTTAATAGTAAGAATATTAGTTGTATGTAGAAGAATGAATTCATTTTGACTTTGCAGCAAGCATGAACATTATGTTTGACTTTTTTTTTTTGTAAAAAAAAAAATTGTGATATGTTTGATATTTTTCAGTGTGATATTTCCTTGGTTTTTAAGGTTATAAAATGATTCAATTTATGTGAATAATTTTTTTGGTGGTTGTTGTTATTTATTATTTTTTTAATTTTCATTTTTATTTTTTTCTATGGGAATGAACTGTTGTTCAAATCAATCAACTAATTTCCAATTAACCAAAAAAAGAAAAGATAAATCAATAGCAATAACCATTACGGAATATCATTTCATAAAAAACTTTAATTAAAACAGCAAATTCCCAACTTCACAAGTAAAAATAATATAATCTTGAAAGATTGACAAATTAATATTGTTAAAAAAAAAACAACAACAACCTATAGCAAAGCAGAGTAGTTATCTATTTTTATATATCTTATAGTTAAGTTGTTTTTTTTTTTTTTTTTTTTTTTGCTATTAACAAGCAAGCAACAATGTTTGTACATATATTTTCCTTTTTGTTTGGTGTGTTTTCTGTTATCATTTGTGGTATATATCTGCTTGTTAGATTCCTAGAGACACTCGATTCAAAGACAGAGAAGGAATATAAAGATATATTAGAGCAAGCTGCAAGAGAACGAGCTGAAAGAGTATAGTATCTCGATTATTATTGTTACAACAATGAATATCGGTTAATTAATCTTAATAATAATAATAATCTACTCTTTACTTTAATATAGAGATTAGATACATCAAGATATGGTTCAGAGAAACGTGGTAAAGTATTCATTCGCACACCCGAAAACAGTGCATCCGACTCACAAGAATGGTACCATTGTGTTTTGAAAGCCAATATGTTATTCCTCTTTAAACAACCAACTGTATGTTTGTCATTTGATTGATTGGATGATTGTTTGTTTATAACACAGTGTTCACTTATTATAATTGTACGTATTCAAACTCAATAGGATACATCTGCAGTTGGTGTTATTTGTTTCGATGGATGTTCGCTAAGTATCATTAGAAATAAGACATCGAAATTCCACAAGAAGAACGGTATCACTGTGTTGCATGCCGAGCGAGAACTTCTCTTCCACTCAAAGATTCTAAACTTTTACTTTGAGAATGGCAAGGAACTAGAGACATGGTATTGGTTCCTCAAGGAAGCTGCCGCTCTCACACTAAAGAAAACACCAGAGGAGGAGTTGGAGACAAAGGTTAGCAAGCAGTTCTTTGCCGACTTGCCAGTGCGTGCCTGTGTACCACTCGCACATCAAGCACCGATCGGCAATATGAATGGGACAAACAACAGCATTGGAAACGGCAGCACTTTGAATAGCATCAATGGAGGTGGACATAAACGATCGAGCAGCAACAGCAGCACGTCGTCGACATCGACATTGACAACGCCATCCGTTATCATCTCACCGAATGGCTCGATAACTAATCAACTCGAGGAGTCGGTGTTACGTGAGCGTAAATCTGCGTCATCGTACATACCTTCTTCATCGTCGTCATCATCAAACACACCAGCATCATCAACAAATTCATCACCACCATTCACATCGACCAGCAACAACAACACAACAAACAACTCATCATCTCCCAATATTAATATAACAGGTGTAAACATCGATCCAAACAAGAGTAAAGTAGTTCAATACGATTGGCTAAATGTATTACTGGGCAGAGTATTCTTCAATCTATATAATTCAGAGGAACTTCTAGCATTTGCATCATCTAAAATCACAAAGAAACTAAACAAATTAAAGAAACCATCTATTCTTGTAAGTTATCTTATCAACTTTGAACAAACTACATACAACAACAACAACAACTTACTAACAACTAAACAAAATAATAGAAAAGTATAACATTACAGAATCTTGATTTTGGACCAAACTTGCCGATACTGCAGGATGCTCAACTTTTGTTCTTAACACCACAGGGTGAACTTAGTGTGGATCTCGTTGTAAAGTATCAAGGTGGATTCACACTTACCATTCGTATCGAAGTTTCATTCAGTATCAGAGGTAGAACTATGACTATACCACTAGTTATATCAGTACTTGTTAAATCATTATCAGGAAGAGTAAGTAGACAGTAGTTAAGTTTTAAACTTGTTTTTTGTTGTTGTTGTTGTTGTTGTTGTTGTTGTTGTTGTTAATCAAGATTAATTAAACATTTACTTTACAAATGTAAAATCAATTAGCTCAATTTACAATGTTTACCACCACCAACTAAAAGATTGTGGGTTGGATTCTACGAAGAACCACAGTGTGAGATTGAGATTGATACATCGATCGGTGAATCAAAGAGTAGTTACTTTAATATGCCAAAGATTGCCAAGGTCATCGTAAACAAACTGAAAGCAGAACTCTTTGAGATGATGGTCCTACCGAATACCGACGACTGGCCACTGCCATCCGGTCACCGACGTAAGAAAGCAAAGAATGAAATACCACCCGCTCAAATCAATCCAACCAATATACCATCAACCCTTGGTAAGTATTTTTAACAAATCATCAGCAAATCATTAACCTTCATTAACCAACTAACTTCTTCTTTCTTTTTTTTTTTATTTTTAAAAACTTCTTATTTTTCTCATAATTTTTATCATCATTTTATTTTATTTAGATGCACCACCAGAATCAATGTTAAATTATTAGATTTTGTTAATTTTACAATAAATATAATATTAATAATTAAAATTAAAATGTTTTAATATCTTGTTATTTGGTAATCACAAATAGTTTGAGATTGTTTTGCTATAGCAATAAAAATAAAAGCCCGGGACGATATTTCGATTTTTATTCTACTACCTCGTTGTTCAAAAATTTTATGTTTGGCGTTATTTTATTTTTCTCAAAACAATTTTTTTGAATTAATTTTGAATTTTTTTATTTTTGAAATTTTTATGCATACAAAATGACGAGTTTAAAGAATTACACAGTCCTTTTACTTACTTACTAACTATAACATAATACAAAATGGGTATGTTTTTCGATAAACACAAAACCCTATTATCAAAAAATAATTTATAATGTTGTTAAATGTGATCATCAGTCAATCAAATCAAAATGCAAATATTATCATTGAGCTCTACACTACTACAAATACAGATTTTAGAAAATATACAGAAACATATACAGATAATTTAAAATTTAGTTATAAAATAATAATCAATATAATTCAACACAGAGAATCAGCAGTGAATTAGAGTTGGGAATTAGAAAGTTAAAGATACTTTACAGATTAATCAGAAATTATAAATTGTAGTGGTGGTAGATGTAGATCAATAATTTTTAGCATTATGATTGATTGGTGATTATAGTATATTACACATTTAAATGTTTTTAATTAGGAGTTTTTATTTTGAAATAGAAAGAAAGAAATTGATTATTAATTATTGTTTTTTTATCATATCAAAAAAATCTACTTTTTATATAATAATCAATTTATATTATTATTATTATTATTTATTGAAATGTAAATAGGTAAGGTTCACGGTGGTTTGAACAGAGCTGGTAAAGTCAGAAACGCTACTCCAAACGTTGAGAAGAAGGAGGTCAGAAAGCCAAAGGTTGGTCGTGCCAAGAAGAGATTGTTGTACAACCGTCGTTTCGTCAACGTTGTCGTTGGTTTCGGAAAGAAGAAGGGTTACAACACTCAAAACGTCCCAAATGTCTAAATAATTAATTTCACCCTGCTCCTCGTAAATAAATTATAAAATCAGCGCTTGAGAATAGTTCGAACCTATCTCTTGTGTGAACATAAAAAGCAATTTACCATTTCTTATTTTATTATTTATTATTCTTTACTTTATTTTTAACATTGTCTACAATTTAAAATAATTTGTTTTTTTTTTTAGAAAAAGATTATTTATTTATTTATTTTATTTATTTATTTATTAACTTTTATTTACTATTATTCTTCTTTCTTGTTATAATTAATGCAATAAAGAAGATTGCAATTGCACTTAGTAAAGTTAGGATGACGGTAGTGTTGGAACTGTTCATTTTCGTTGACACTGAATTGATTGCACAACATTGGAGTTGTGATTCGACTGTATTCAATTCCTGATTTACATAGTCTGTGAAGACTACTATCTTCTTTGATAATATATTTAATTTCTGTAGAACTGATTCTTTTGTTCTATTTTATTATTTTATGTATGATAAAAGTTATTGTTGGTTAGTCAAGACTAGTGAAGATTATTATTTCTTTTTTTTTACTGCTTACTTTTTCTGATTAAGATCTTGTTGATTTATAGTTTGTAGTATATCTATCGATTCAGTCATACTCTGCTGGATTGATTCCAATTCGTCGTGAAGTCGCTTCACTGTTGACTTGACCAACGGCAATTTAGTGGGTGGCGAATGATAGAATCTATCAATCAAATAACCTGCTGAAGGCATCTCGTCGATTTCATATCCAAGTGAATCCATTAAATATTTCTATATTATCAATATAATATCTATTAGTTTCTTAGATCTAAATTCTACCATCTCTCTCTCTCTCTCTCTCTCTCTTTGTACACACATACAGTTGAAAATCTATGAATATTATTAAATACTTCATCCAAGATATCTGTGGAACCCTGTAGTGTTGTAATGATTGTATTTCTGGTGATGGAATCGATGAAGATCTGTGAGAGTTCAGTACCGTTACCAAAGAAACCGAATGGATGTTGACCATAACTCCAAAGATAGTTATTCTTTAGTTTTTCGTGTGGCTTTGAATATCTCTGAGTTGGACCAAGCAAACCTTGTGACGATGCCAATCCAGCTATAATATGTCTATTTACAGATTGTGGTTGGAATGAAACCAGTTGTTTGCCTTGATAGTGTATACCATTGAACGATGTTTTAGTTTGTAGTACTGCTACTGCATCTTGATTACTTTTAAATAGAAGTAATAACATCATTAATAAAAAGCTAAACATTTCAAATATTTAACATAACAATAACATTAACATTCTTTTTAATACATACGCAACATGTAAATAATATTTATCTAATAATAATCCAGAGTTTGTTGATTTCATTGAGAATATATATACTGGTAGTATCTTTGTTCTGTGAACTTGATCTATATTGATATTGATATTAATAATAGGTTATTATTATTAGTTTAAATGTATGTTTTTTGTTTATAATTATATATATATACAAACCTGTTTTCTTACTTAAAACACTTGGTATCTGTGTTACATGATCTCCTATTAATCCACCAGCTAGTACATCATCTTCATTCTTTAGTTTCAACAATAGTTCTTCACTGTCTATATATGTCTTTATCGATGTTTCAAATTTACTAAATAATAGATTGATATTGGTTTAATAATTCTTATTATATAAAAAGTTAAGTTACAACTTACTTTGATTTTGGATTCAACTCAAAACTAGAATGTGATCTAATTGATTTTGAAAAAGCCATTCCTATATGACGATGTTCATGAATCGAATGTGAACCAGTCACAACAGTGACCTCTGAGAATGGAAATATTCTCTTTGCTTCCTTCTTTATAAGATTGACATCTATACTAGTTGCACTACCTTCTTCCAACGGATCATATTCATCATGATCTCTAAATACCAAAACAGGTATTAAAATCTATAGAAACATACATATAATTAGTAATTATTATTTAGAAAAAAAAAAAAAGAGGTTATAAACTAATTACCTTTGGGAATAATGGTATTAAATTATATTTGGAATCGGATAGTATCACATTTTGTATGGCAGAGATAACGAGAGATGACATGTGTGCTTTGATTTCGGTGGGTGATGCACCTTGGAGCGAGGTTCCAGAGTAGCCTGGCTTCTGGAAGTACTCTATCAGTCGTGGCAGAGAGTCGTAGTCGACCGAACCCTCTGAGAGTATCTCCAGTGCCGATTTGTGAAGTGTCGAGCCATACTTGAGTGGACCGGCAGAGAGATCGACCACCAGATAACGACCGGCACCAATCCAAGCAGGTCCGCACAACTGCTCTTGCAACTGATACAAATACTTTGCCTGAATACCCTCCTTAAACATTCTCTCTTTCGCTGGATTGATAAACAATATCGTATAGGTCGGTAAATTCGACGGTAAACTATTCAATCTGATCTCCGATTCAAAGAATGGTTCCAAGGGATCTACTGGTATCAAATAGGTTTCATCATCAACTGACTATAAATAACACATGTTATTATTATTATTATTATTATTATTATTATTATTGTTGATCAATAAAGTTATTATCATGTTATTATATTAGTTAGTTTAATTGTTTTACTTACATTTGTAACAACTGGTATTGCACTGGTTGCAATTGTATGTTCTAATCTAGTGATTGAGGTGGAAGGTAGTGATCTAACAGAGTATGTAATATCGTAGTGTGAACTTAGTTCTTTTGGGTTGTGTACTTTCTCCACTTTTGAATTGGCTCTGTTGTGTATTGATGAGAGATGATATATCGATGTCTCTAGTGAATATACATTATGTATTGTATAAGAGTCTTTCAGTAGATTCTTAAACTGTAGTGGATCCAATCTATATTTAAATGCACCATCCTCTTCGAATCCCATCAACAAAACTTGTATATTAATTCTAATACCACCTGGTTTATCCTATAGTTATTATTTTATTTTAATATAATATTTATTAAACAATTACCTATTCATCTATCATATCTTTCAATCAATAGTTGACTTGCTTACTTACTTGTACATATTTTGTATCTTTATTGTTTGGTAGTTGTGAATGAACTAATCCTGAAAAAGAATAGATTGTTAAAATAACAATCAATATTCTTATTAATATCATTTTTATATATAATACATTAAAGATATCCTTTGTTTAGTTTCTACTACTATCTAATTTATTTGATTATTTAACTACTGATTGATCTGATTGATTGTAATCACTGGAATAAATTAAGAAGTTCACCAAAAATAAAAAATTAAATTAATTTAACACTGTATTTTTTTTAAAAGGTTAAACAAAGATTGTCGATTGACGTGTCATTATTCATGTTACAAATGAATAACAGACTATTATTATATTATGATTGATTTATTTTATATTACTATATTGTATTATTATTTAAAATTCTGTTCTTACACCATAAATGAATGCAATTGTACTTAAACCACCGAAAAAGAAAGCGAATTGACCAGCAGCAGCATCCAAACCCTCCCAATCATTTGCAAAAAACTTTGGTACTAATGTATAGATAATCTTTGGCACCAACATCAATGGTAGATTAATAAAGCTACTTCCTTCTTTCATTGCAATAACATATTGAATTATATATGCACTATTAATGTTGAGATGAGTTGTTTGTTTGTTTAGTTAGTTAGTTATAACTACATTTCATTTAGACTAATCTTTGATGATGATGATGATGATTATACTACTACTTACCATAAATATAATAATGCAAAGAAATAGTTTGATAGCTTTGGTCCGAGAATGTTTGCAAGTGTAACTGCTCGAGCACGTTTGTCATTTGCGATATCACGTGTGTTGTTAATGTGAAGGATAGCTTCGATGATGAGTGCTAGCGGTAGTGAGTAGAGATAGACATCGCTCGATGCAATGTGTGTCTGTGCAATGTAGGTTCCTTGCATAATGAGTGGACCAAAGCATGCTACAATCACCAGATCACCGAGTCCACGATATTTCAATGAGAAAGGCGCCATTGTATAGGTTACAGTGAGTACACCGCCAATCAGAACCAATGGCAGCAGCTGCTCAACGACTACGTGCAGTGGCATTCTACTTATAAGCACGGCAAGCGCTGCCAGAGCAACAAAGATCCAGCCGTAGATCATCTTTTTAATGGTGGCGCGTGACAGACCCAAATCAAACATGGTTCTATCGGCCGATGACTCTGCCTTATCGACACCGTTCGCCAGATCGCAGTATGAATTGACGAGGTTACCAATGATCTGAGTCGCCATAGCACCGGTAAACACAACGGCAAAAGTTAGCGGATCGAAAACCCCGTGGAATCTATAGGCCAATGCAGTACCGACCAACACTGAACTTGCACCAGCTGTCAAACTCCATGGTCTAACAGCAATGAAAGATGCCATCCATTTGTTTGGTGTTGTCTTTGTAGTTGTTGCTGTTTCAGTTGTTGCTACCTTTACATTCTTACTTGAACTAAGCACCGGTGAATGATTCTTCTCTGTATTTACTTTCTTCATAGAGTTATTAACTCTTTCTTTCAAATTTGATTTATCCATTATTTAAATTAAATTTAAATTAAATCAAATCTGACTGTCAATCTAGATTAATAAATAAAATAAACAAAAAAAAAAAAAGTTTAGCAAAAAAAAAATAACTAAATTATCAAACCTTTCAAATATTAAAAAAATCCCCGATAGCTCGAACTCTAACGGATCTTAAAAAAAACAAATAAAAACATTTGTGAAAACTTTGGATGAAAGTGACGAGTCACTTCAATAAAATTTTTTTTTGATTTTTCATCTTAATATTCCTTGTTTTTATTTAGTTTTAGTATTTCAGTAACAATAAATAAAGATCTATTTTTTTTAAAACTGTTTTTATATTTAATTTTTTTATTTTTTAAGAATACAATAATTCATTAATAAGAATATTTTAAAACACAAAAATGCAAATATATTTTGTTCAATTTCAGAAAATTTATTAAATTGCAAATATCTAAGCAAAATGCCGATCAACTTCATCTTGAATTGTAGATCTAAAAAAAAAAACAACGAAATCACAATCCTAATTTGTAATTAAAATTATGCTGGTTTAAAATTAAGATCAGACATTAAGATGAGAGACCAACCTTTGCAAAAAAAAACAAAAAAATCACCCTAGATTTTTTTTGGATATTTTCGGATTTTGTTTTTGAGAATTAAATAGCTTTTTTTTGAAACCCAGTATTCGATCTTTAGGTGGAGTAAATCATAATCAAAAAAAATAACGATTTCTTTTCAATTCAATTATTTATTTATTATAACCAAAATGAAAAATCATATAATTATTATATTTGTTATTAGTTTTTTAGGTATGTTATTATTATTAAATAGAAAATATTTATTTTAATTTATTAATTTATTTTTTTTGCAATATAGTTTTTATAAATGCAGATATACAATTGGTTACAAAAACTGATATGTACCCATCGGTAAGAAAAATATCAACTTTTTTTTTATTAATTGTTTTACTAATAATTATTAATAAATAAATAATAGGGTATCGGTGGCTTGATAAGTTGCGCTCGAAGGTATACTCTTGTGTTTTCTTCTGATCAATTTATAAATTATGGTAGCATCATTTGGCCCAATCAAACTCAATCTGGTGGATTGTCTTTTGGAACCGCTCCATTAGTTTTTACCAATACAACATCACAAAATAATTTGAATTATCAAATGTTTAACATTCAATATACTACCAGTGCCGGTGCAAATCTATTCGATATCCGTGTCACAACAACGAGCGATTCAGCTTACTTTGTATTGGAACCAAACTATAATTGTCAACGTATGTAATAAGTGAACAGACTAAACTAAACTAAATTTTTAGTTTTAAATAAAAGAAAAAGGTAAAATATCGATTTATTAACAAATTTAAATTCAACTATTCTCCAGTTCTTACTCCTGATATGTTGAATCCAGTTGTTGGTGTTTCAGTTTACAATCCAATTGTAAGCGCCCAAACCAATTCAATATATTTACAAAATTTTACTCTAGACCTGATGAACATTAATAATGCTCCAATTATAAGTTGCCAATCTTCAGATATATCCTTTCTTTGTCAAACTAGATCTGTTACAAGTGATGCCTATAAGAATGAACTTTCACTTATCATCCTCCCCAATCCAGATTCAAACTTGCCGTTACCAGAGACATTCAATGTTACTCTCATTATACAGATTCTAGACCGTGTCGAAAAAAAACTTGTCCTTCCAAGTGCATTTCCTAAAAATTGTAAGTACAATTCCTCCCCTATATATTAGATATTAGTTCATCTTCCAACAACCTTCTAACATTAAAAAAAACAAAACAACAACAATAATAGTAAAAAGATCGACCACTGTCACGAGTCTTTCATTTAAGCCAGTCACAGATACATACACCCAGAATTTCCTTGCTATCATACCAGGTGCTTCAATTTTGGTAACTTACAGTAACTTGGATTCCAGTTCAGTGCTGTCTATACCGGGTGCACCATTACCTGGAGCCATGGTTTTGGCAAACGACACCTCTACATCTTTCCTTCAAATTTTTGGAGCCAACACTATATATTCTCAATATTACTGTGATACAAATTGTACATTAGTTGGTCAAAAAAGTTATACTATAGAACTATATCCAAGTATGTATAAACTACATATTCTCTATTTAAATTGCTTTCCTTACTAATATTAATTTATTTTAGATTATACACCACTTTATGTTAATATCACCAAAACCCAAGACCTGATACCAAACACCTTTATTTTCGAAAACAAGGCACCCATTCCTTATATTACTATAAGTTCAATTGTATTCACTACGATCAATCAATTTAATTATGAATCATATCCATTTGGTTATATAGATAACTACAATTATGGATTCACTTCTATCTCACAAGATATATTTCTTGGAGACTATTATGCTACAATCTTTGGAAAACAAAATAGCTCAATAGGAACAAAAGATCGTAAGTATTGAGCTGTATAACAGATTTTGTTTTTTTTTTGTAATATTAATAATTGTTTTTTTAAACTCCTTAGCATTAAGTCCTAATATTAGTTTGGTTTTGGATTCTTTTACTATATATAATCCCACCCCACAGAGCTTTGTAATTAGTTTTCATGCAAAACATCCTCAAGGAATTTTATTTATAAATTATGGAGGTGACAAAATCGACAAATCAAATCTCATCTCTGGAGATTCCTATGACGGATTCTACGAATACCATTCCACCGGATATCCCCAATACCTTCTTGAAACACTCTCTATTATTATTAGATCCCAAACATATTCCGCAGAAAAATATTATGCCAGTGGAGATATTGTTGGTCCAAATTTGGAGAGATTGCCTTTTTTGACTGGTATATGTAAGTATTTAATTTTTTAAAATGAATCTTCAAATTCTTACCTATATATTATATAAATATTACAGTTACTTTTAGAATATATAATATTACCTATTTCCACTTTGAAAAGAATAATATTGATATGAGTGATGGTGGAGATGTAGAAAATGTGCTCTGGATAAGTTTTAATAAAAACGTTCCAGGTGGCACACCAGTTCTCACCTTTGGATTATTCACCCAATTAGATTCCTTTGTTGAGCAAAATACATTCTATGGTGAATATGTCCCTGAAAAGGATATGTACAGAATCGATTTTATCATGACAAACTGTTTTCCAGGTTCACAATCCTATTATTTCCACTCTGCAAATGCCATGTATTTAAGTACAGACATACAGAGTGCTATAGGAAGCAATGCAACACTTAATGTATTACATTCCTGTAAATATTTTTATTGTTTAGTTATATTTACACACAAATTTATTAATTAATAATTTCTTTTAACTTTAGATGGTGATTATTTAAGACCTTCACTTGTAGAGTTAACTACAAACAAAAATTTAAATATTCCACTCGAACTGAATATAACACTTGGTTGGCTTTTCAGAGTCACAGATTATCCAAATGGATTTTTGAATGGTTCATTGGATTTCCTCTCTGACAAGGATTTGAAGATAAATACCATTCGTTTCAATGAAACATCGAGAGTCAGTGGAGATAAATACGATGGATACTATAGTGTTAATTTCACAGTCAATGGCGATACTTGCAGATCGCAAACCTTTATGATTTTAAATTTGAATCTTTACGACCAATACCCAGCACCTTCAGTATTGGGACCCGGAATCTCCTCAATCTATGATATCTATGGAACAGTTTATGAACAATATTTAAATATTACAATCAATTGTCAACGTAAGATAATCTATTTTTCTTTAGAAATATTTTAAATCATTTTCTAATATTTATTTTATATACCCTTCTTTAGTTGCTGTTGATACAATTCTTCCAAAATTAGAAACATTATCATTCACAAAAACAGTGGATGTAGGATCAAGTAATAGAGAGTTTGAAGCAATTTTCTCGATTTCAGATGTTGGTTCAGGAATTTCAGAGAGACATAATCCACATGTCTATATCTTGTCTGACAATCCCGATACATTTACAATCCAATCGACTGTACTCAATTATACCTCCAAATTGGCATTCTACTCTGCCAAAGCACAGCTACCATGGGGATTCGGTCAAAACAATTTACTTTTCTCAATCTATGGTCTCACGGATAATTATTTGAATATTAAAGGATATTCATCTATGGATTTACATAGTGCTGGATTCGATTACTCCATCACCAGACAACAGTCATTTGTTGATCCAATACTTGAGAGTTGCACTCAAATCACAAAAAAAGGTGGACCATTGGTTATTTTTGGTCATAATCTTTATAAACCACAATCAATATCCTTTCAGCTTTTAATCAACTATAATAATGGAAGCAACTGGGCACCTGTTACTTCTCTGACAATGAAATCAGTAACTACACTTAGAACTGACGTTTCACCATTCACGGCAGATTATATTCAAGTCAAGTTTGTTTTTAGCAATCTAGTGGAATCAAATATATTGGATATCTACCCGTTGATTAGAACATTGAAACCACCAAGACCAACAACTACACCGAAACCAACAGTTACGCCATCACCAAATCCAAATCTATGTCCAGGAGAACCAGTTTGTAACAATCAAGGTGAATGCTTGTCAACTGGTTGCAAATGTAATGCTCCATGGTATGGTCCATCTTGTTCATCGAAAGTCAGACCAACACCAATTCCACCACCTGCCGAAAATCCATCAGTTGAATTCAATGTTACAACACCAGATTCACCAAACCAATTGATTACTGCTAAAATTAGTGTAGTATCATTGTTAGAGTTGAATTCTGAAATGATTCAAGTCAATAATTTCACACTTGGACAATGGAATTTAACTTCATCCGTATCCAACGATGACAAGACAACCTACAGTTACTATTCATATTTAAATGGAAGAAATACAATTGTCAACACAACAATCGATTTCTTCAAGAAGGAATCAAACATCACTTTTGCAGGTGGTGTTATCAACATTGTTCCATTCACAATCAAATTCACAATAGCTGTAAATCATTTCGATTTCGTTGACCGACTTTCATTGATGCAAATTACGATGGAGGCAACTATCACCTCGTCAGATTCCGATGCTTGTTCATCAAAGTTCATTGGTGAGGAATCGAATGACAATGTTCAATGGGTGAAGATGAACATCAATGACAACTCGTTGTATGGTAGATTCTTGGATCGTGCGTTGGTTGACAACAATGTCATCACATCAAAGAACGTTATCATTGAAGACGGCGAATCTAAAGACTCATACGATTCTGTCACGTCGAAGATCGGTATTATCATTCCATACTATGAGATCAACGCGATTATAGACCCTGATTTTTCAACACTGATCGATACTAGCTACGATGGACCAAGCAAGACATGCAAAAAGAAAGGATTATCAACTGGTGCAATCGTTGCTATTGCCGTAAGTTGTGGTGCTTTTGCCTGTGCTATGGTGGTAGGATCGATCATTTTCATCAAAAAGCAAAGGAAATTTAAAAGGCAAAACAAAGTTATGAAACAGAAGCTTGAAAGAATGTCAGCAAAAGATTAAATAATAAAATGTTTGCAAATTAGTTTCACAAAAAAAAAAAAACGAAAGATTTAGATATTTCGAAAAATTAATTAATATCATGTTGGTGTGAAAGTCAACCACTTGTTTTTTTTTTAAATACCTCTTATGATCCTAATTTTTAACAAAAAAAGTGGTATTCATTATGCGGATCCCATTGTTTATTTTTGATTGGTTTTTTGCAAAACTGTTTTTTTCGAATCATTGCAAAACGTCAAATTAGTCCCACACCGGTTTTTAAAAAAAGTGTAAATCGCATTAAAATTTGATCTAAGATTTTCAACCTTGGAAAAGATATACAAGATATTAAGTTTGATATTTAATTTTAAAACCAAACTCTAAATAGGATAAACAATTCTATCTTTTAATCCAATCCTCAAAGAAAAGAATCAAGTCATTTTTTAAAAATCATTTAATTCAAAGATGAATAATTTATATATTAAAATTTTTATTCTATTTCAATTATTTTATTGTATGTAGATTAAAAAAAAAAAAAAAAAAAGTTTAATTAAAAAAATATCTAATAAATTTTTATTTTTATTTTTAGTTTGTTCATCACAAGATATTCAGATTGTAAATAAAGTAGGTAGACCCTTTATGTATGGTACTTATAGAGGATGTACATCGATTGTTAGTATAATTTTATCCTATGATAAACAAATATTGCCAGCTGATTTTTCATGGCCAAATGCAACAACCACAGGTCAGATGAACCCAAGTATCTTTACTTTAAATTCGAGTATTGTCGATAACCAAAATCAAGTTTTTGATATAACCTATTCAGTTCCAGAAGCTGGAGGTACCATATTAGATATTCTCATTTCAAGGGGTTCAGATCCAACTTTCAAAAGTGCATACTTCCAATTAGACCCAAGTTATAATTGTATATGTAAGAATTTGTAAAACTATAACTACTTAATTTCAAAAAGTATCAAACTAATTGGATATAACAGTATTCTCAGAGGAACAATTGAATACAATCAAAATAGGTGAATCCATTTTTGATCCCATACTCAGTTTTCAGACAAATGTTTTTGTATTTAATATTACTACTCAATGGCTTGAGGCAGCTAACCAACCATCCATTGGATGTGATACAGATTTTCCTTCCAAATTTATTTGCCAAATTCCACGTGTTACAGGAGATTCTTCCAATATTGTCTCTACTTTGATTTATACTCAAGCATCACTTACCATGACATTCCCAGATACTTTTAATATTATTTTTACTGTTAGCTATTTGGGATCGACTTCGAGTAGTACACCTATTACAAAACAATTTTTAGTTAAAAATGATTTCCCAAAGAATTGTAAGTACTATGTTTTTTTAAACAAAATACTTTATTAATTTATTTTTAAATTTAGTGGGTAAAACTACCAAATTGATTGAAAATAAGATATATCCTGTACCAAATTCCACCTATGTGCAAAATTTCCTAGCTGCTACACCTTCGTACACTTATATTGATACCTATGGAGCTGATCTTGACTCTTATGCTACTCTTTCATATCTAGATTTGGTTCCATACCCTATGATTTATTTGGCTGGAAATTCAACTCAAAAAACATATTTTGTGACTGCACCTATTTATCCTTATATAGTTTATGACTATATATGCGATACAACCTGTGTTAGAAATAGTGAACAACAAATATCAATCCAATCATATCCAAGTAAGTTAAAAACCCAATTTTTTTAAATTAAGTGGAAATATTTAATTTTTTTTGTCAAAATAGGTTATACAGGTGTTTATTCAAATGTGACACTTAATAATGATACAATGACCAATTCATATTTCTTCGAGAGTATTGGAGAAGTACCTTATTTGACAACAAGTTTACAAAGTAAAATATCATCTACTATCAATCCAATTCCAATTGATTATCCATTTGGTATCATCAATCAAACCAGTATTGGTTACACATCAATTTCAGATTATTCAATTGTAGGACAATACTCTTTTGTTGTTATAGATAAGACAACAAGCATAGTACTCGCAAACGATGGTAAGAATCATTAAAATTAACAAAATTTATCTGTTATTAACTTTAAAGAAAAGTTTCTTATGGAAATGAAATGGAATTGAAAATTAGTGAACTTGAAGTTGTTTTTACAACTCAATATTCATTATTATATAGATTTAGAGCTGCCTATAAAGATGGTATTCGTAGTATAAAATTGTTCGGAACACCACAAGGTTTGATTACAGTAGCCAATCTTGTATCAGGTGATTCATTTGATGGATACTACGAATATCAATTCAATACAATCTTAGGAAATAATCTAAATCCTAATATTATATCTTTCTCTTTAAATTATCAATCATATACCAATTTTTACAAAACTCTGGCTAGTGGTGCATTGTATGATGATAAATTGGATTATGTACCTTATATCAAGAATTTTTGTAAGTTTAAAATTATTTTAATTTAATATTCATTATTTCTAATTAAAAATATTTGCAGACCAATTTAGTCCAATGAATTTTACATACTTTGCATTTGAAAAGAATAGTATTGATATGGGTGCTGGTGGAGATGTATTGAACACGCTCTGGTTCTCATTGAACGATAACGATCCAACATTAAATCCGATGTTGGACACTGGACTGTTCTATAATCTTGATTCTTATCAAGATAAGTTTTTGTTTTATGGTGAATATGTTTCGGAAAAGGATATGTATAAGATTGACTTTATCGTCTATCAAAATACACTTCCTGGAAACTTTAGTTATACTTTATTATCACCAACTTCCAAATTTTCTTCAAATCATATTTCATCTTTAATTGGGTCCAATGCAACTTTTAAAATAATTAATTCAAGTAAGTAAGATATAATTTAATCCTAACGAATATTTATTAATATTTATCTACTATAGATGGTGATTTTATTAGACCAATTCTCAAAGAATTAGTTTCAAACCTTGGAAATAACATCAATGTTCAAACTGGAAATACTATGACAATTGGATGGAATCTCCGAATCACCGATTATCCAAATGGATTCCTGAATGGAACAATTGAGATTGTATCAGAGAAGGATTTAGAACCAATTTTCATCATGTTCAACGAAACTTCAAGAATCAGAGGTGACAAATACGATGGTGTTTATCAAGTGAATTTCACAATCGATGGAGATACTTGTAGATCTCAAACTTTTGTTATTTCAAAACTTCAACTTTTCGATCTATATCCATTTGTTAAGATGGATTCATTTTACAATTCATTTTCTTCAGCATTTGATATTGTAGGTACTCAATATGAAAAAGATATGAATATCACAATCAATTGTCAAGGTATGATCAATTTTTATTATTTTTTTTTTCAATAGTGAAACTAATAATTTTTATTCTTCAAACAGATATTCCTGATTCCAATCCACCAAAGTTAGAAACATTATCATTCACCAAATCGATTGATGTTGGATCAAGTAATAGAATATTTGAAGCAACATTCTCGATTTCCGATGTTGGTTCAGGAATTTCACTTCGACATAATCCATATATTTATATTTTAACAAATGATGCAATTTGGTTCAAAGTTCCATCCCAGAGACTAAATTATACATCAACTTTGGCATTCTACAATGCAACAGCAGAATTACCATGGGGATTCGGACAAACTAAATTGGTTGTATCTATTTATGGAATCGTTGATAATTATTTGAATATGAATGGATATTCAACTCAGAATTTGAAGGATGCTGGTTATGAATATACGATTATCAGAACTCAAACTTTTACAGATCCAATCATTGAAAGTTGTTCACAAATTACAAAGAAAGGTGGATCAATCTTCCTTTACGGTCACAATTTTGGAGTGGAAAATACACCATATAGTTTAAGTGTTGATTATCGAAATGGAAGTAATTGGGTTGTAGTTAATCCGACAAAGAAGTATGCTTCTTTGATACAAGTTGATATATCACCATTCACTTCAGATTATATTCAAGTAAAGATCCAAGTTAATTCCGTGCAATCAAATATCTTGATTATCTATCCAATGATTAGAACATTGGCACCACCAAATCCGACAACTACACCAAATCCAACAGAAACCCCAAAACCAACAGTCACACCATCACCAAATCCAAAACTTTGTCCAGGAGAACCAGTTTGTAATAATCAAGGTGAATGTTTATCAAACGGTTGTAAATGTAATGCTCCATGGTATGGTCCATCTTGTTCATCGAAAGTCAGTCCAACACCAATTCCACCACCTGCTGAGAATCCATCAACAGAATTCAATGTAACCAATCCAAGCAATCCAGATCAACTGATCACTGCTAAAATAAGTGTGGTATCATTGTTGGAATTAAACTCTGAATTTAATACAATTAATCGATTTGTATTCAACAAATGGAATCTCAGTTCAGTTGTTTCCAATGATGACAAGACATCCTACAGTTATTATTCATATTTAAATGGAAGAAATACAATTGTCAACACAACAATCGATTTCTTCAAGAAGGAATCAAACATCACTTTTGCAGGTGGTGTTATCAACATTGTTCCATTCACAATCAAATTCACAGTTGATATCGATCATTTCGATTTCGTTGACAAACTTTCATTGATGCAAATCGTCATGGAGGCAACTGTCACCACGTCAGACTCTGGTGCTTGTTCATCAAAGTTCATTGGTGAAGAATCTAATGACAATGTTCAATGGGTGAAGATGAACATCAATGACAACTCATTGTATGGTAGATTCTTAGATCGTGCGCTAGTTGACGACACCATCGTCACATCAAAGAACGTTATAATCGAAAATGACTCTAGTGATTCATACAATTCAGTGACATCAAAGATCGGTATTATCATTCCATACTATGAGAACAACGCGATTATAGACCCTGATTTCTCATCGTTGGTCGATTCCAACTACGATGGACCAAGCAAGACATGCAAAAAGAAAGGATTGTCAACTGGTGCAATCGTTGCTATTGCTGTAAGTTGTGGTGCTTTTGGATGTGCATTAATTGTTGGTTCTATCATCTTCATTAGAAGGAAAATAAAATTCAACAAACAAAGTAAAATAATGAAAAACAAACTAGAATCTTTAAAAAATCAAAACTAATAAAAATTAAATCAATAAAAAATTTAAATTTAATATAAAACAAAGTAGATTAAGTTGTTCGTTAACAAAACAAAACTGGCTCCCAACCACTTTCGCCTGCATTAAATTTAAAAAAAATGTAAAAATTAGTTGTGGTGTTTTTGTCTGTGCATTAATTGTTGGTTCTATCATCTACTTCAAAAGAAGAATTAAATTAGGAATTACGATTAAACTAGAAAAGTTAAGAGGGAAATAAATTAATCGATAAATAATCATATTTTTTTTTTTTTTTAGATTTATTTCACATTCAAATAGATAATAAACAGAATTATTAATTTTATTTAATAATTAATTAACAATATAAAAGTAAACATTATAGTTTAAAGAGTGTCTTTACCCTGTAAATATAAAGAAGTCATATCAATGACTCTGTTGTAATCGGTTTGACATCCGAATCCTTCTCTGGCGGCATTCACTAAAAGTCCACGACCTTGGTCAATTGCATGAGTGAAGAGACCACCAAGTCCATTTGTCTTGACATACTCTGCTTTCGATCTAACGGATCTTGGAGTGTCGAACGAGATGAACACCTTTGTGGTTGGATTGTACAAAAAGTCTGCATCAGCAACGGTATCAGTGTAGAGAATGTAACCATTTCTACCGGTTTGATTCTCGAAATCCATGAAGTTGTACATCATATCAGCGTATTCAATGACACCAACCTCGAACATTCCAATTGGATTGGCATTCTTGTCGTAGGATCCAGACAATGGGCTGACCTTTTCGATGGTTGCACCGGCTGCAGCTCTACCGAATCCGGCATATCCAATGAATATCTGCTTGGCTGGAATGTCCAAAGACAAAAGATGTTCGACCGCTTCCTCAATGGAGTAAGAGGAACCCATATACTTGTTCAAGTTTGTTTGGTGAATGAGAGATTCCGAATATCCTGAACCAAAGAAGTGGAACGATTCAACGTATAAACCGTGTACACCAGCTTTGATCAATCCTTGAACATCGATCTTCTTCAAATAGTCGACACGCGATGGAAGTTTAATATTGATAACAACATCGGAACGTTTCTTGGAATCAAACTTCTTTCTTAGCTCTGAGATCAAAAGGATGAAGTTGGCAGAATCACAGTCATCGTAGGTGTTGGCTCTGTCACCTTGGGAAGATGGATAGTCCCATGACAAATCGAGATGATTCAACATTTCGAAACGAGAATAGATATCCATGATACCATCGATAAAAGCAGCACGATTGTTAGCATCCATTGCCATATAGTGGAATGCTTGGGACATCGACCAACCACCAACAACAATGGAGAGTATCAAGTTTGGATTCTTCTCCTTCATGAGACGCAAACCACCGAGAACTCCTTGAGCAGAAGCTTGGTCATAGTGATTACGAGCGTCGTCAACACTATTTTTAAAACCAACGTTTCTTCCGGTGAGAACACTTCCATAGGAATCGGTAAAAGTTGGTGACCATTTTAGAGTGACTCCAAATTGGTTGGCAGCTTCGATGATTTCGACCGCTCTCTTTCCAGTGTCACCCAAGATACCAACTTCAGCAACTGTAATCTTGTCATATGCATCTGGCTTGACAAGAGTAAAGTCATATCCACGACCGGCACGTGAAACATCCTTGTTTCCATCCAAACGGTCATCGTATTGGCTAGCACTGGAACAGCAACCGGCGACAATGAAATCACTCTTGGAGTAGGCATTGTAGACCGGCTTCATCACTCTGGCAGAGGTATAGCTAAGCTTATCAGTGGCATCCTTGGCGGCATTGAATCCAGTAGCTTTGTAAGTTTCAAGAGTCAACTGGTCATCTTGAACCAATTTGCTTTGGTTTGTTTGATTAATATTCATTTATGTATTTGTTTTTTTTTTTATAGAGATAATTAAATGTTTCTTTTTATTTTGAAATTATAATTCTAAAATATTAAGCTTAAATACTTTTTTCATGGCTATCAACCAATTAATTTAAAGTAGACATCTTATCTAAAAAGAGAGAAATTTGAAAAATTGATTGTTTTTCTCTTTTTGTTATGATATTTATTTGTACTACACAAAAATAAACTGATAAATTTGTTTAATTTCATTTTATCCTTCCCCCAAAAAATGAAAAAAATTTTGCATAGCTTTTGTGTGCATATTAACCAAAGATAAGAAAACAATATCTTTGTGATCAACAAAAAATTTTACTAGAAAAGACACTCTGACTCGTGCACTTTTTTTTTTTTTAAATCTATTTTGTAAACTTAATAGTTTAAAATATTTAGTTAACAAATAAACCAAAGTTCACAAAACAAAATGAATAATCAAACATTCACAAATTATCATAGAGATGAATTGAAAAAAATTAAAAAAAGATCAACTACTTAAGATTTGTTTAGATAATAATATAATAATGAAAAAAAGTAGCAACAAAACATTAATAATAGATGATATTATCAATATCAAAGGAGAAATAGATCGTTTACAAAAGAAATTGGTGGATGACAATCCTTCAAATCAATTTCATCGAGGTCATGTTGAATATAAACTACCAGTGTTGATCATCACAAAGATACTTGAGTTAACTTGGATGCAAGCGACCTCTGACCGCATCACCCCTATATCTTCATACCGACAAGCATTACAACTGACATTAATCAACAAACAATTCTTTGGTATCGTCAGTAAGATGTTCAATAATGTCAGACTTCGTTCAAAAGAAAAGTAAGTACAATAACAATGATTATTGTTTAACTTTCATAATTCATTGTTATTAAACATTATTTGCCTTATTAGAAGTAGATCTTCACCTTCACTCATTGGAAATGATCTTAAAGATAGACTTACCAGTGTATGGTGTCCAATTAAACATATTGTAAAACTACAAGTTGGAATACTCATTTTTGAAGAGTTAATGAAACAAAACTCTGCTCATCTCACTCATATTCTATCAACTGTTGAAAAATTGAATGTTGTGCGTGAAACTAAAATCGGAAATATAAAAGAGAACTGCCTAAAAACTTTTGTAAACATCGCCACCAATCTTCGCTCGCTCTGTCTCTATCGTTTAAAAGTGGAACCTTCACACCTGATTGTAATCTGTTCAATTAAATCACTTAGAAAGATAGATATTTCCCACACTTTTAGTGACATACCTGATTTTATCACAACCCTATGCAATGGTTTACCTTTCTTAGAATCTATCAAATCGGGATATTTTCATGTCACAGATATTCCAAAGTCGTGTCGTTCAAGAATTAAAAAGATTGGAGTTAAATTGGGGGAGACCGAAGAAACCAAAACTGATGAAACCTTTGAATTTCCAAATCTCCAAAAGCTATCCGTCTATATCTACTCCCGTCCCGTTTTCTTTAAATATTTCTCACAATCCAATATCACACATCTATCTCTATTTTTAAATAATCAATTAGAATTCGATCAATGGATAGCAATCATCATAGAATTAAAGTGTCTGGTCACTCTCGAGGATTTAATGTATCATCGTCAATCAGATCGCTATTTTATATACAAACTTAAATCGATTATACTACCAGCAACACTATCTCGAATCATCATTCCCTCCAACACCGATGAAGTCTTTAGAGCAAACAACTATTTGATTGATATTGGATTTCAATATTCCAGAGATCTTGATCATTCAGATATCCACATTAGAAGAATGGTTTTTAATAAATTAACAATTTAATACAAAGAAATAATAATAAGTAGAAAATAATAATTTAATCAATGTTTAAAATAAAAACAAATCTTATTGTGATTAATTCATTATAAAACCCTGTAGGATATATGTATTCTTTATTTCTCTGAAGTTATTAAAAAAACTACAAAAAATACTAGACACTTTTAAAACGCCACAAATAAAATTGTGTCTATTATTTTCAAACAGACTTTTCACTAGTATAGTTTTATCCAAATCTTACTCTGTCTTTATTTTATTTTTTTTGAATATTGTTAAAAAGGTGGTTACTATAAAGATTGATAAATCTATTGTAATCAACAATATAAAATTAAGAAACGAAATATTATTACTATTTTGAATATTGTTATAAACATAGTTGTTTTAACTATAGTTATTAATATTATTGATCTAATTAATACAAATATATAGATATAAAAATTAATTGAAAATATAACTGTAAATATTAATAGTTTAATATATTTTTGTGTAACAGTTAAATAGATGTAAATATAAAGGTGAAATCACAATAAACACTTAAAAAGGTGTTATATTTACAGATAGCATCTATGTCTGTATTGAAAGAAATTTTTAAAAAATGAAATGGTGGTGTCATGTTTTTTTTTTTTGACAACGTTTGTGCATATGTCCTACGTGGTAAAAAATTCCACTTTCCAAAACTGATCATGTGCAAATAAATAAACGTGGTAAAATGATTTGTGAATTTTTCACCCAAAAAAATGATTAACCTAAAAGTAATTTCTTTCATTTGACTAATTTATGCCAATTCATATAAATATTTTACAAATTGATCAATAAGAAAACTATCTAAATCAGACCAAAAATGGAAGCATTAATTCTAGATATTTATCAAAGAGCCTTTGGATATGACTTATAGGCCTACTCTTAATCAAAGAAGCAATGATCACACCAAACATTCACATATCATTAAAAATAAACAATAAAACAGTGACTGCTTATCATCACTGTCACCATCAAATTTCGTTCAAAACACACAACTTGATTTGTATCTCAGTCAAGCCCAAGAATGAGTGTAATACCTTGCAATTATAGTATAAGCACTGCTGTTTATTGGGGATCAAAAAATCAAAACACAGTTTATGAAAAATTTTTATTAACAAACCTATTGTCAAAGATCATCAGACACTCATTCTCAGAGTTGAAGTTAACAATAATTATATCATAGACTCCCACAAATTAGGTGAAACATCACAGGTTTTGAGAAAAATGTTTCGTAATATTCTCAAAATATCATCCACACTAAATATTATTGGATTCTTGTGGTGTTTTGTGTTCTCAAAAAGTATTTAAAATGTGATGATTCAGCTTTATAAATCATTATTCAAATTACCAATTAAACAACAACAACAACAATTATATATTTGTAAAATTCATATTCTGTACAAATACAATTAGTTTATATCTCTTTTATTACCTCTTATATATCTATAAATCAACTTTTAAAAAATGTCATTACCAGAATTTATCTCAAGTTGGTCCCAAATCTCCAACAAAGAAGATTTCATGTTCCAACTCAATGATGCCGATGAAAATCAACTTACAGTAGTTTACTTTGGTCAACCAAATTGTATTGCTTGCGATTTGGTCAAAGATTTTATGAGAGCCTTACCAGGTAGATACCCTAATGCAGTTTTCTTCCAAGTTCCATTTGGTTCCTCAGTTACTGTTGATTGTATGTGGGCCAATGATGTCGCAATCTATCCATTCGTAAAGGTCTTCAAGAATTTTACCACAGTTCAAAATCATATGGGTTACGTTACTGGCTCTGGTACTACTATGATCGATAATTTAATCAAGAAATACTATTAGGAATAATAATAGACTTATCACAATCACAAATTTATAATAAAATAAACTTTAAAAACCCTTTGGCATTTATAATTCACCACAAATATAACATGCACAGTTGTTGGAGACGTCGTTGAATTGTGATAGTAACGTCATAATGTAATAATATAGTGATGTTATAATAATAAATAGTTTATGTATTTAAATATGGTTGTGAAATATAATGAATTTTATGAATTGTTTATTGAGTTCTTGTTGCGCTTATATAATCTTATTAACTTGTCGGTTAGGCAATTGTCGGTTGATTGACATCTTGGAACTACGATTCCAACAGATTCCTATTTGAAACGATATCAACTGTTCCATATAAGAATCCATTCGGTGAATCTTCAATAGTCAGATTCCAATTTAAAAATCCATATAACTTGATAGATGAACCTGCTATCAACTTAGTTAGCAATGGTTTCATAATGTCATTTGCTAATTGTAAAGATGTCAGTAAATTTGATATCTAATAATATAAATAAAATATACATTCCTGTGCTGATTACCTTTAGACTTGCAAAACCACCAAACTTGGATCGTAAATCACTCGATTGAATATAAAATCCTGATAATCCAATTGTATAATAGAAATCTCCAGAAATTACCAATGGTGGTACAGTGAAATTGATTGAATAGCTTTGTATATATGGGTCAAATATACCTTTGAATACATTTGAATTACCAAAATCGATTGTTGGAATTAAATCTGGATTTTGTTGAGTTGTTGAAAAAACCACTGAATTATTGATTGGTAAATAATTTAAATTGTAGTTCATGATTCTGTTGGTAAAATTAATAGTTTGAATGGTAGTTAAATCAAATGTTTCTATAAATAAAATTAATTTTGTTAAAAAAAAAAAAAAAATACCAATTTAAATTTTTATACAATACCATTTTTATCAAACTTTAACTCGGATGGTAACACTGAGAAATCAGAGTTGTATGCTTGAGAATAGTATAACACTGAATTAAATCCAGAACTATCGGTGAATACCATTTGATATCCAAATTGGAAATATTGTGTTTGAACTTCCATTTCAAATACTCCATTGATTCTGCTACCAGAAATCAACTTTGGATTGATAACTTCACCAATGAAAACAACTGCCAAAGGATAAACCGAGGTTATAGTAATACGAAGTAACTGTGTTGTTGGTGAAACTTTGATAGATTCTATCTTGTTAAATGTGATCGGTTGTTTTGGTACTATTAAAAAACAATTTTAATAAATTAATATATATGTTTATTGAAATTAATAATTGATAGTTACCTGAAGATGTTATAGGAAATTTAAGGAGATTGGAAGAAGAAAGTTTTCCTGATACACCACCTCCATAAATTTCTGATCTTTGAATAGAAACTATACTGGTATGTATCACTATTCATTCTGAGTGTTGGATAAATTAAAGATGGCCATTTATAGAATAATATTGATTGACAATTGAAAATGAGAAATCCCATTTATCTAAAACACTTTGACTCACATTGAATCCGAGCTGTGGACCAATGCTATAGGTAATCAATCCTAATGGTAAACTAACTAATGAGAAGATAAAGTTTAGTTACAGATCAAAAACAATTGAAAAAATAAAATTTTTACTTGGATTAATAGTATAATTAAGGAAAATATTTAGCTGATTCGGATTTGTTCCAACAAAATATGCATCTGAAGGCTCCATACCACTGATGTATTGAAAGACTGTAATATTAGAATTATTGGGTGGATCAAAATAGGATTTGATTTGTTTAAATATTTGGAATGGTGAGCTATAAATATTAGGATAATCCATCGGTTTATCTTCCAATTTAAAAATTCGAAGTATTTTTCTTAGATCAGCCATTTGGGAGTAGGATTTCATTAGTGGGGTAGCTGCTTTTGTTGGATAAGTAGATATCCCAAAACCCTTATTGATAAAAGGTAATGTGAAGAGATTATCTATTTCTAAATTAGACGGATCTTGACCATTATAGTATTGAATCTGTACGCCTATAGAAGTAGATGAGTCTATCGGACCAAGTGGAATCTTTGCTATCCTTGCTATATATAATCGACTGTTTCCCAATATTGGAATCATCTTACAATTCTTGTTGAGAGCTACACAACCCATATTCACTTTAAATTGATTGTAATTAATGCCATTCGGAAGATTAAGAACCTCAACCGGATATGTGGTTACCATCGGAAGCAATCACACTTGAAAATTTCGATGTTGGTTATAGTATTCTCTATAATCAGATGTAACGAGGAGAAGAAAAAATGTTTGTTTATTTATTACCTATAAAAACACACAAAAATGAAAAATAAATATATAACATTTTTGTTTGTATCTTTTTTAATGTATTTTAGTATGTTTTTTAAAAAAAAAGATTTGTTTGATAGATAAATATTTATTTATTTTTTTTTAATTTTTATCCATTGCTTTTAGTTTATTTTCGATTGCTCTATTCTGGGATCTCGTCTTTTTTCTTTTGTATAGCAGCATTGAAGTTCCTACAATCAAAGTAATGAAAACAACAGCACCAACTACAATTCCAGCAATAGCACCATTACTGAGCTTTTTGGATTTTGATGAACAAAGTTCGTTGGTTGAATCACCATCGACATCGATAAGATTCGAAAAATCAGGATCAATTTTAACATTACGATCATAGTTTGGAATGGTGATTCCAACACTGATCTCTCTGAATTGCGATGTGTCTGTTGTGTTGTTGTTTGTGGTACTGTTTTCATTGTCGACAATGTTGTTTGTGATATTTGTGAATCTATCATCCACCATTGCAAACGATAAGAATCTTCCATATAAACTTGTTTTGTCGATATTCATCTTGATCCATGCAACATTGTCACCATTTGAACCAAGTTGTTTCGACGAGCATGAATCACCGTTTGAATTCTGAATCAATGCACTCATCACAATCTGGAGATAATTTGTCTTCATGAGGAATGAATACGATGAAATATCCAAAGTATATTTGATTGATGACTTTTGAACTTTGATTGTTTGTCCTCCAAATTGAATATCGGTTTCATTGATAAAGAATTCGATTGTGACATTGATTGTTGTTGTTGTTCCTGGTAATATTCCAGTATAAAAGTAAGTTGGGTTTGATGTTTTTGTTGTTAGATCTGTGAAATCCCAACTATCGACATTGTTTCTCTTGACAATATTCATTGTATCATCCAATTCTCTGATCTCTCCAATTTTAATACTTGAAAAGATTGTACTGTCTGTAATATTGATACCTGTCGATGGATCTGGTTGTGGAGTAGGTGTTGGAATGATAATAATTTCTAAAAATTATTTAAAGAAAAAAGTTAGTATTGAGAGTTTTTTAGATAACCAAATAATAGTTACCAGAATTACATGATGGTCCTGTCCATGGTTTCTGACAAACACATCCACTCTCAAGACATTGTCCTCTATTACTACAATTGTTTGGACAAACTGTATCTGACGGTTTTGGTGTTGATGTTACTGGTGGAGTTTGTGTTACGGTTGGTGTAGGTGTGGGTGTTATATCTGGTAATATCATACTCGATCCATTAGGAAAGATCTTGATGATATTTGATTGAGTCATATCAACTTGAACTTGCATATAAAAATATGGAATATCATTTAATGATGGGATTCTATTGTTCAATTGTATAATAGATCCAGAGAAGAAATCGAATTGAATATATTGCCATTCACCATCATCACCATATTTGATCAATGTTTGGAATTGTTTGGAATCTAAACCAAATGAATTTCCATAAAGTGTTATTGATCCACCTGAATTTGAAATATTGCTTGCTGATTGAATATATGGTTGATTGGTGGTAAAATATCTACTGATGTTGTAAATGAAATTTGATTGTTTCAAGTCATCGGTCACATATCCATTGATATTGAAATTATTGTCAACCAATCCATAAACTGAAATAAAAATATTGTCGAAACCATATCCAAATGGTATTTGGACACTTCCAGAAAATACAGCAAATGTTTTGTTAACATTGTTTGATAGTTGTGTTTCTATATAGATTGGATTGCTGTATTCAGAAGATAAAACAATGACTGGTGTATTACTAATCGATAGTCCTGTGGAAAGAGAAACTTCGCCATCACTAACCGATATTTGGAAACTAACATTTCGATTGAGTGACCCAACATCAATACTTCTTGGTTGAACTGAAAAACTTGAAATAAATGGTGGAGTGTCATCGATAAGAACGGCTGTTGTTTAGAGAAAATTTGTTAAAATTTTCACATTTGAATAGTTAAATCAAAATTAATCTTACTTTGACATGTAGCTTTGATTTCAAGCTGATATTCATCACTATCATATATTTCTATTAATTGATCGGGAATTTCATAGGTATTGATATTAGACCGGTCATATAGGCGAAGATTGGCAAGTCTGAAGGTCTGCTCACAGCAACTTGAAGTATTGTATTGGTAATTAATTTGGTAAACACCATAGAAATTGTTTCCTGAAACTAAACTAGAGTTGGTGAAAGTAATTGATATTGGCTTGGGGTTCTTATTTGATATGATATCAACTGTTCCATATAAGAATCCATTTTGGGTATCCTCAATGGATAGATTCCAATTTAAATATCCATATAACTTGATAGCTGGACCCGCTTGTAAATTAATCAAAGTTGGTTTCATTGTATCATTTGCTAAAAATAAAAAAGTAAATAAATTGGATTTTTTTGAATTTCTAAAAAATATAGGACTTACTTGAACTAGATACTTTTAAGTTTGCCAATTCACCAAACTTTGTTCTTAAATCACTTGATTGTATTGAAAATCCTGATAATCCAAGAGTATAGGGTAAATCTAAATAAATAACCAATGGCGGGATTGTGAAATTAATAGAATAAAGTTGAATACTTTGATCATAGAATCCATTGAAAAAATATGAACCTCCAAAATCGATTGTTGGAATTAAATTTGGATTTTGTTGGGTTGTTGAAAACACCACTGAATTATTGATTGGTAAATAACTAAAATTGAAATTCATGATTGTGTTGGTAAAATTAATAGTTTGAATGGTAGTTAAATCAAATGTTTCTAGAAAAAAAAAAAAAATTATTATTTTTGTTAAAACATAAAATAAAATATTAATGTAAAATTTTTATACAATACCATTTTTATCAAACTTTAACTCGGATGGTAACACTGAGAAATCAGAGTTGTATGCTTGAGAATAGTATAACACTGAATTAAATCCAGAACTATCGGTGAATACCATTTGATATCCGAATTGTAAATATTTTGTTTGAACTTCCATTTCAAACACTCCTTTCTTTCTGTCACCTGAAATCAACTTTGGATTGATAACCTCACCGATGTAAACTACCACCAATGGATAGAATGTGGTTATATTAATACGAAGTAACTGTGTTGTTGGTGAAACTTTGATAAATTCTATCTTGTTAAAAACATTAGTATGTTTTACATCTAATTGTTATAATTGAAATGATTAGTTTGTGTTGTTTAATTAAATTGGTTATAAAATTTATATTACTGTTTGATAATATAAAAGAGTCGTAGGAATTAGAAGAAGTAAGCTTTCCTGTGACTGTTCCGGAGAAATCAACCGGTCTAGGAACTGAAACTCTATAATTAAATGCACCTCTGTTGTCTGAAAATATTGGATAGATTAAAGATGGCCATTTATATTGAATAGTATAATATTGATTCTGCATTGAAAATGAGAAATCCCATTTATCTACAACTGTTTGAGTTACATTATATGTCAGTAGTGCTGGTTCAATAGTACATGAAATCGGTTCCACCGGTAGTAAAACTAAAAAAGAAATGAAAATCGATTAATTAAACTGTATACAGAAATAAATCAATAAAGAATAGTTACTTGGTGATTGCACGTAGTCAAGGTACAACTTGGAAAAAGTAGCTTCGGTAACCAAGTATCCACTTGATGGAGCTGAATCACTAATTACCATTAATATAGCTATGTTCTTATTAGAGTCTGTAGAATAGTAGGATCTAATTCTTCGGAATGCTTGGTATGGTGTGTTAAAGTAGGTAGGATAAGCTATTTCCACTTTCTCAGCTGCATAGATTAGGATCACCTTTCTTAGGTTATTTTGTTGAGTATATGTTTTCATTGTTGCTGCAGTATTGTTTCGTGGATATGAAGCCAATGAACTGCTAATGAAATCGTATGGCCGTCTGAAGAGATTGTCAAATGAATAGATGTGTGCAGTTTGATCAGTATAAAATTTAATATTGGCACTCATCGTTACACCACCTGCATTCTGGCTAACTGGAAAATTACTAATCGTTAAAGAAAAGAGATTTCCGTTTCCAACGACCGAACCAATTGAGCAAACTCTGTAGGGGGTAGTGCAGCTTACAAAATTATCGAATTGACCATAAACAATTCCACGAGGAAGAGTTTCAACTTCAACATAGTATTTAAGATATCCTTTCTGATCGATTATAGATGAAGCATTAGAGATAGATCTAAAGTTAAAATCGGAAATGTCTTAAAAAAGAGAGATCTTGGTATTATTATTAAAAATATTTGAAGATTTACTTTTAATCAACTTACAATTACAAGTGATATTAATGATTGGATACAAAGCTGAAGTAAGACCAGCTTTTTCAAAATATAAATTAAATTGGGTGGTAGAACTGTTCGATTTGATTTTGACAAGAAATGAAATTACTTGATTAGTTAAAAGATTGTTGGAAATTATAGTTGCATTTCCAAATGTGATGGCTGTGTCGTTGAAAATGAAATCGCCTGGATCTAGTAGAACCGGTGCTAAAAACATTGCTGAGAATGGAATCAAACATGTTTTATCATCTGTATTGGTGACGTGTGGTTGTAAATCTGTTATTTGTTTTAGAATAGGTTTTGTTTGTCCATTTGTTAAATCTGCAAATTTAATAAATTAAAATTAAAAAAACAATCAATAATAAATTTTTAAAAAACATTGCTTATCAAAACATACCTGTTTTTATACATATAAAGATACATAGAAATAAAAAGAAATATTTAACTATCATTATTTGTTAAAAATGAATCTGAGTAATGGTCGAAAATTCGATTTTACAATTTTCAAGATGAACCAAGTTCAAAGTAACCCAAACATAATTCGTTACCAGATTTTTGTTTCAATACAAAAAAAATTAAAAAAAATCACGATTTTTTGTGCTAAAATCTAATTTTTCTGGGCTAGTCACTGGTAAACCAATACAATCATGCACCATTACTGTTTTTTTTACAAAGGAATATTATAATAATGTGGTTGTGGTTATTTTTGGATGTTTTTTTTAAACATGTGTAATTTATGTATTTTTTTGATTAATAATAATAGTTATAATTATAAAGATATTTGTGTGATTATACATTCTCTGTTCTCTTTAGAGATTTTACGTCGTTAGTGTATTCATTTGGCAATAGAATTGCGTTGGATCCAATGTAGATGTTTCTCTTGTAGTAGGCGGCGAGCTCGTAGATCGAACGCATCTCAGAGTATGACATACCACCGAGCACGAAAAGAATCAACTTTGGACCGCTGTATTTGATTTCCTCCTTTTGAGCGGCGGGATCTGCCCATCTCGGTTGGTTGCTCTTACCCTTGAGTGAAACCTTGCTGGTTGGCTGATTGTTGCTGCTGACTGTTGGCTTCTCCTTGACGTAGGGGAAGTCAGAGTCTGGCAGAGTGTTATTAACGAGATTCTCAGCGATGTCCTTCAGGAGTGGAACGTAACGAGATACTTCGTACGGGTTGTTTCCCTCGTCTTGCTTTCTTTGTTTGGTGACCTGTGTCTTTTGTTTGCCTTTGGCACCCTTCATCAGAGTGACACCCAAGAAGAAGAGATTGGAAATCGATGCCTGATCTTGCAATCCAATGCCAGCGAGATCCATCAATTTCTTTCTGTCCTGCTCTTTGATACCTTCCTGTGAAATAATATAAATCATCAACAAACGAATTTTATCTGCTGGTCTAAATAAATAATTACAATTAGTTAGTTTTTTGAGAATATAATAAACAAAAAAAACCATACTCTAACATTACATCATTTAAGAAAGTTGATAATCTTGGGATGATATTCTTTGGTGTATTACCTTTGGCATCTTCACCGGTAGCCATATCCTGTTCGAGGTAAGCAAGATTTGCCATTGGCTCAGTGAATCTCTGTGATGCTTGCTCTGCAATATTGATATGTAATGAATACTTTGACATCATCTCTTGATATTGTGGAAGTGATCTAATTACATCGGATGCTTCCTTAAGTGATCCTGTATTCTAAATATTCATTAATATTTAATATATTAGTATACTTTGTTTCTTCTTTTTCTTCTTTTGTTGTTGTTGTTGTTGTTGTTGTTGTTTTGTAACACTTACATGTTGAGTATATTGAGTAACTTGATTTGTCTTTAAAAAGTCATCTAATCTTGTTTTGAGATAATCGATTACGTCTGCAATATGTTTGTGTCTGAGTCCGTTCCACATGTAGTCGTTTTCGTTGAGAAGAACGTCCTTTTTGACGGAACCGTTACCGGTGACGGCATCGTACGAGTACTTGTCACCTTCGATCTTAAAGAGATCGTAGATCATTGCCTGATAGGTGAATTCATGAAGCAGTGGTGCAAGAGGATCGATCGTTCTGTCGATAATCAAAAGAGTACCGTGCTCTTCGTTCGGTGTAAACGCCTTTGATGTTCTTGCAATTGAATCCAAACGCTCTTGCGTCATACCGGCAACTGCAATCGATACTGGATTCGAATTGGAATATCTAATGATTGGATATTCATTTAATGATACACATAATGTTGCCAACTAATAATAATAATAATACAAACAAACAGACAAACAATAAACTAATTAGTAAATATATAATTTAATGGTCTATCTAACTATAACTAAACAAAACATACTTTGATAGCCATCTTTGCTTGTTCTTCAACTAGATTCATTGTTTCTGGTGAGAACAATGTGTATAATGCACCTTTTTGATCGAAATGGAATGCTTGTGATTCAATAGCGAGATACTCAATGTTCATCTCTTTGAATGTCTTTATTCTATGTACTGCATTAGAGTTTGATAACTTTTTAAACTCTGTCTCTGGTAATTCTGTATAATATTAAGTAGATTTAAATGTTATTAGTTTACTATTCTTATTATTAGAACTCATTAGCATTAAATTACGTACTGGATGTCAAGAATAAATGAATAGCTTGATACTGTGGAGATCCTTTCTTCTTAAAGTCCTCAATCAATCTATCGATAGACTTGGTTGTTGGTGTAATGAAATAGATTGCTTCAACATTTGCTAGTCTTTGTCTTGGATTTTCAAGCTTATCAACAACTAAATATTATTATTATTATCATTAATATTAATATATTTATGTATATTTAAGTGTTAAAACATATGTTTTGTTAGTATAGTATTTACCTGTAACTTTCTCTTCAGTGATATCAAACATTTGACAACATGCTGAAATGATACGAAGTGATTCTTGATCTACGACCAATGCTTTCCATCCATTATTTGATTCAGGATTAACAGATCTAATAATTTCATTTAAAATTCCTATTCATTCATAAATTTTTTAATTAATATATATATTAAAAAATATAATTATGTTTATTAACAATAATAGTTACTTTCTTTAGTAATCTCTCTAATACTTGAAGCCATTGCTTTACTTTATATTATATAGCTGCTATTATTATTATTATTAATATTATTACAACTTATTTAATTATTTTTCCCTTTAATTTTATTTTATTTCTTTAATAATTATTATTTTAATTATATTATATATATTTTTAATTTATTGCAACTTTACTTTTTAATTTATTTAAATATATTATATTATATTATATCTCTCTTTTTATCTACAAATTTAACTAGAAAACAAAACAAACGAATAAAACACAATAAATAATAGAATAAAAAATCCATAAGCAAAAAAAAAAAAAAAAATATTTATTAAATTTTTTATGAAGTTGATGAAAAGGTGTGTTTCTTTGGTTCCGCCATAATGTTTCAATGAAATTTTATAAACCAGGCTATGATTATGTTTACAATTTATATGTGGTAAAATAGCTTCTTAGAGTAGAGCAACTTGGATTCAAAGAATTAATTTTTATTTTTATTGATTTTATTTTATTTTATTTTTATTTTTTTAATTTATTTTATTTATTTTTTTAAATCTCATTTTCAAGAAAGAAAATTAAAATGACTAATGATACAGATAATAATATCAAATCAATGTCATGCATTGAACACAATAAATCATTTAAAGTAATTTGTTTCACTTGTAATAAACTATTGTGTTTAAGATGTTCGTTCAATCACATCAAAGACCAACCAGATCATTGCGAACATTCTGAACACATCGATGACATCAAACAAGCTTTGAAAGATATATCTAATAATGATAATAGTGAAAATAGTGTTAATAACTATGATAATAATAGTAATATTGATAATATTAGTGATAAAAAACAACATTCAACATTCATTGAATCAAGAATCGATTCAATATGGAAATCATTAAAGTCGTCATCAGAAAGATACCAAACATTAACTGCGAAAGAGAATCAGATAAAACAACATTTTGAACAGCTACATCAACATCTTATCACTGAAGAGCATAAGTTAAAGAAAGATATAATCGATGATATCGATAAGATCACCAATGAAATAAATGACAATGTCAATGAATTAAAACATTTAAATAACATTCTAAATATGAATATCAACTTGATGAGTATGAACGATGACCATAGTAATAATAGTAGTAGCTCTAATGATGGTGATTCAGTAGTTTTAGATACAACAGAACAATATTCAACTATAACATCGATCATATCGATTTCATCCAGTTCATCATTACTATCATTCATTAAAGATAATCGACAAACTTTATTCAATGATAATAATAAAAAGATCAATACAAAAGAACAGTTGGAGCAGTATAGTAATAACCCATCATTGTTGCTATTGGACTCCATTTATAAATATAATAATCAATTCCAACCAGACAGAATGGTATATATTTCCAATTTAATCAATGAATATGATGTTAAAATCAACGGACCTGATCTCAATCAATTCAATTCGTTCATTCAGCAATCGATTCAGCTGTTGAAAGATTCGGGTTATAGAAGAGCAACAAAAAGTAACTACAAGAGATAAAGATTAAAACCAAATACAGCAATCTCATAGAATAGCTTTATATTTAGTACATTCAGAGGAATCAAAAGAGAGGTTCGAAAGAATAAATAAATATATGATTGTAGCTAAAAAATAAAAATAAATAAATAATAGAACAAAACAGTTTTATCAAAACTAATACATTAATACAAATTTAATATTTATAACTTTAAATTAATGTGCTAATAATCCATAAAAGAACAACAAACAATTAAAAATATCAAATTAAAATCAACAAATTTGAGATAGATCACATCAATTCATTATTTCATAAATCAATTCAACTTTTGAAGAATAAAGTATGTAAATTCATACAAAAATTATAAAACAGTTCAGATAAATATTAAAGCGAAATACACGACACGCAGTGGAACAAAATTATATTTATTAAAATCAGACAGGTGAAAGAGTGTATTCTTTTAATGATAAATCAGAGCATATATTTAATATAAAAGTTTAATAATAAAAAAATACATATTGTTTAAAATGTAAAAAAAAAAAAAAAAAGATTTTAATTATGTTTAAACAAATATATAAGTGTTAACATTGATTTTATATTTATAGATACATCTTTGTTTTTTTATTTTATTTTTTTAGTTTTTTGAATCTCTATGAATCACCATTGTTTATTTTTAAAAATATAAATATAAATTTATATTTAAAATTAAAATGTCTGATACAGATAATAATAATAATATCAAATCAATGTCATGCATTGAACACAATAAATCATTTAAAGTGATTTGTTACACTTGCAATAGATTATTGTGTTTAAGATGTTCATTCAACCATAGCAAAGATCAACCAGATCATTATAAACATTCTGAACACATCGATGACATTAAACAATCATTGAAAAACATAATTAGTGATAATATCGATATTAGTAGTAGTGACAACAGTGATAATAGTTGTGATAGTAAAAGACAATATGCAACATTCATTGAATCAAGAATCGATTCAATATGGAAATCATTAAAGTCGTCATCAGAAAGATATCAAACATTAACTACAAAAGAGAATCAGATAAAACAACATTTTGAACAGCTTCACCAACATCTTATCACTGAAGAGCATAAGTTAAAGAAAGATATAATCAATGATATCGATAAGATCATCAATCAAATTAATAAAAATATCGATGAATTAAAACATTTAAATGATATTTTAAATATGAATATAAACTTGAATAGTAGCAGTAGTATGCACGATAATGACAATAGTAATATCAGTAATAATAGTGATTCAGTAGTTTTAGATACAACAGAGCCATATTCAACAACAAGATCGCCTATCAAATTAATTTCATCCAGTTCATCATTACAATCATTCATCAAAGAAAATCAACAAACTTTGTTCAACAGTCAAACGATCAATATAAAAGAACAGTTAGAGCACTACAATAACAAATCATCATCATTGTTATTAGATACCATTTATAAATATAATAGTGGAATCCAATCAAACAAAAACAATACTATCAATATCGATTTCAATAATGAATATCAAGTTAAGATCAAACAACCTAATCTCAATCAATTCAATTCATTCATTCAGCAATCGATTCAACTATTGAAGAATAATTCGACAAACAATAACATTTTTGACAACAATATTAATAAAACAATACAATTAACGATTAGAGCGACACGCAACGAAGCAACTGGAATAAGAGTATATTTAATTAAATCAGACGGGTCAGAAGAGAGGTTCACAAGACTTGCAGATAAGCCTATTCATGTTTTGAATCTGGAAATTGAATAATTAAAATAAAAATATAATAAAATTTGTTCAAAAAAAAAAAAAAAAAAAAAGTAAAAAAAAATTTTTGTATACAAAAAAAAATCAAGATCTTTCGAAAAGACACAATAAGTTCCATTGAAAACACACTCATTTAGATTTAAAAATAAACAGTGTACCATTACTTATCTGTTAATAATACAAATAATTATTTTTTATTTATTTTAAGAAAAACAAAAAGAAGAGGAACCAATCAATATTTAACTTTTGACAAGAAACCACTCTTAGTGATAATCAATAATATTAAAATAATTTTTATAACAAAGATTTCATTATTTTTATAAATCAGATATATTTATTTTATAAATAATAAATATAATAAAAGTATTATTTATTAAATCACGATTTTTTAATTTTTTTTAAAAAAATCCAAAAAAAAATAAATCAAAAAATTTTTTGGACACACATTAATTAATGAAAGATAAGATTGTGAGAAGTCAGTCAATATCATCCTCCTAACCCTTCAACAACAACAATAAATAATCAATCTCTATATTTGAATAATATATTGTTATAGTATTATCATTACAATATTCATATATATAAAGAAATAATTTATTCATAATTGATTAGACACTTTTTGACAACATCAACAGTTGATAATAAAACCCCACAATAACAACAACAATAACAACAACAAACTAATAAAACAACACACACATTGTTCCACATTATAATAATAATCACTAAAGTAAAAACAAAAAAAACAAAAAACAAACCCAACATTATAAAAAAAGAGCATTGTGGAATATAGCAACATCAAAAGTAAGACAAGTTAGGAAGGACTTTGAGATCATCTCGAAAATCAAACAAGACCTCAAGACAAGGAGCTACATACCGCGTCAAACATCCAACCACACATCTATTCGATTTAACTCGATTTCTATTTGATTTAAGGTGTTTTGGCTAGTCAACATCATCCGTCATCTGGCTCCTTTCTCTCTGCCGACCACAACAACACAACACATCACATAACAAATTACCCATTTATACAAGTACATATGTATAAAATAGAATAGAGTGGACTAGTAGTAGTGTAGTGTATCAGTAGTAGTAGTAGTAGTAGTATATAAATTGTTATTCAATTCAAATCAATTCAATTTCACTCATAATAACAAGTCAGTCAGTTAGTTAGTTAAATTGTTCGAACAAACAAGCTAACAAACAACAACAACAACTTTTTCTTACTTTCTTTTATTCTCTTATATCTCTCTCTTTTTTCGATTTTAATTTAAAATTTTCGATTATAATAATCATTTATTTTAATTAAATCTTTAAAGAGCAAGTTAGAACAATCCAACTTTGTAATATTATTATAACAACAACAACAACTTTACTTTACAAACAAAAGTACCATATATTTATTAATAATAACCATATATATTTAATCTTATATAAAACTCTATCTATCCTTATTTATAATATATCATATATATAACAAACAGCACTACAACTTAATTAAACCTTAAAAGAAACAAGAAAACAAAAAGCAAAAAAAAAGATAATTATAATTATTTATATAAAATTGTAGAATATAAGAAAGATTTCAATAATGATATCAACAAGTGATAATTTACAACGTATGTTAATAGACATAAAGAAAGATGAAAGAATATTAAAACTTATTATTTTATTTATAAATAGCACTTTACTCAAAAGTAAAAGTAGATAGATCAGATTGGAGAAGAAATGTATTGAGGAATAATCCAGAGGTAAATAATCTATGTGAACGTATATATCCAATGAACAGAGGTATCATCTTTGGTAAGCAGTTTCTGCCTGGCAAGACAGAGGTAAAACAAAAGTTGGATAGAACCGCTATAATACAGTTGATCTTGCAGCATCTGCAGACCAAAGGTTTGAAACAGACTCGTGTCTCACTGGAGAAGGAGTCAAAGGTGGTGACACCCACAGCCGACCAACTCAGTGAGAGTCGTCTCGTCACGTACATACGCAACGCCTTGAAGGATACCGACCGCATCTACGACCTCTCGATGGAGCATCTCGAGTACAACAACGACGAACGCCAACAAAAGATATCGGAGCGCGAAGAACTCCTCTACCAGATGGGTCTGCTCGAGGACGAGGACGACGACGACGGCGTCAACATCTGGGACGAACCCACCGAGAATATCATCATCGAGATGATTCGCAACCCCGAAGACGACCAGGACGAAGAGGTTGTCAAGTCGGGTTCGCTCAACCAACTGGTGGTGCGACTCACTCACGAGTCGAAAGTCGACCTCCAATTCCTCAAGACGTTCCTCATGACCTACCAATCGTTTTGCACACCCGAGAAGCTGCTGAACAAGCTGATTCAGCGTTACAATGTACCGAAATATTTCAAGACCGACTCGGATCCCACAGGAGAGTTTGCCACCAAGGCGATTCAGCTCAAGGTGGTCAACGTGCTCAAGAAGTGGCTCGACGAATACTACTCGGATTTCGACGACAAACTGATCCAGGCGTTGCGTGCATTCATCGAGCAAATCCAGATCAAGCATCCCGGTCCATCGGCAGCGCTGCTCAAGTCGCTCACCAAGGTCGAGAAGCCCATAGCATCGAAACCGATTTTCAACGATAAAACACCGGAACCAATCGTTCCACGTAATATCTTCTCACAGCATCTACAGATCTACGATATCGACGAGGAGGAAATCGCCAGACAGATGACTCTGATCGAGTTTGAGATCTACAAGAAGATTAAACCACCCGAACTTCTCAATCAATCGTGGAACAAGACCAAGTTGAAACATCGTGCTCCCAACGTGCTAAAGATGATCGACCGTTTCAACAACGTCTCGATGTGGGTCGCCACAATGATCATTCAAACGCAAAAGGTAAAGGCCAGAGCGAGAATGATGACTCGTTTCATAAAGATTGCCGACCATCTCAAAGCGATGAACAACTACAACTCATTGATGGCTATCATTGCCGGACTCAACTTCTCGTCGGTCTATCGTCTAAAGTACACACGTGACGAACTCTCTGCACAAACGATGCGAGTCTATGGCGACCTCGAGAAGATCATGAATTCCGAATCGTCGTTCAAGAACTATCGTACGCGACTCATGGCATCGTCGCCACCCTACCTACCCTATCTCGGTGTGCATCTCACCGATCTTACCTTCATGGAGGAGAATCCCGATCTCATCAACATGGAGGTGGCACCCAATCGTAAGGTCGACCTCATCAATTTCACCAAGCGTACACTCGTATTCAAAGTCATTTCAATGGTACAACAGTCACAGCAACTCTCTTACAACTTGCAGCCGGTCCACCAGATTCAAGAGTTCCTACTGAACATAAAGAGCGACTACAAAGGACAGAGTTTGGATCTCTATCAACAAGATCTCTACCGTGAGTCTCTTAGAAGAGAACCTCGAAAAGCACAAAGATCCGACATTCAATAATAATAACATAATAATAACATAATAATAATAATAAACAAAATAATATTTCACAAAATAATACTATTCTTTATTTTTTATTGGCTTGCTTGATCTTTTTGATGTGGATGTTGAGATTGTTGTTGTTGTTATTGTTGTTTGGTTATTCACTAGTTTATATAGATAGCCATTTGCTTGGAATTATGTTTATATATTTACTTTATTTTCGAATAGAAACACATTTCCAAACAAATAGTTAGCAATATAAACTAGTGAATACCTCTCAGCAGTTCCAATCAAAGTTTCACAAGTGCATGGTATTCTCGGTACACTTTTTTCATTGCCCTAAATTGTTTATAGTTGATCGTTAGTATCTTTAATACAAATTGCAATAATAATAACTATAAATATTTACATTTACAGAGCTTGAAATCGGAGAATATTAGGGAAAAGTAACACTATCCATGTACGGTTCACTAATTATATATATACCGACGGAGGGAGATATAACCAATGAAAATATGGTCCAACAAATTTTGTTAGATGTATAAATAAATAAAGATAGGATAGCTGAATTTAAGAAAAATAAATAAGTGAAATTAAATTAAACTGATGCAAAAAGCAAATATGAACAAAAAATTTAATTTGATCATAAATTTTAATTTTAAAAATTTTAAAATAATTAAAATTTAAATTCAATATTTATCATGTTGAATAATAAGTTTAATATTTTTCCAAGTTTATTTATTAAGATTTATTGCAAGATTTTCCAAGAATGGGGGGAAACAAGAACAGGCTGTTATGCGACCATTTACTTTAATTGTTGCAACACCATTGCAACACTAACCTTGTACATCATATGCTTTGGCCTAGAGATAGCAGAGTTGTTTTATTAATATGTGAAAACAAAATAAAATAAAAATAAAAAACAAATTAAATATAACTTACATAGGTATCAGGAATATTATAGGAAAATGGGACAAAATAGGTCATTGGACTTGAGATCAACTCCTGAGTTACATTTACATTGGAAATTGTAGAGCCAGCAACATTAAAGTTATTTGAGGCATGGTGCACCATTATTGTATAGTTATTATCTTGATTGTTGAGTAATCTTCCACCAGTAAATCCAACTGGGAATTATTTTCGAAATAAAATGGGCCAGCATATTCAGCATTGTTACTTTATACCAAAGTGTCGGTAAAGAATAAATCAGGAAATCCAAATGCATAATGATATTAATATCTGAAGCTGAGCATATCCACCTATGGCGAGTCCACCACCGTTTTGTGCCTTTGAGTTATAGATATTGGTGTCGTAAAGGTAAAGTGAGGAATTCTAGTACATACTTCAACCGTATGACGCTTGGTTATTATAAAAATTGCAACTATCGAAACTAAGTATCGCTCCATACACCAGCTCCTCAATTACCAAATGAATAGCTTGATGAGAAATCACAGTTTTCAAAGACATTTTCATATCCAGTAGTGAAAACAGAGCCACCACTTCCAATTAGTCCGCTGTTTGAATTTCCAGAGAATATAGTGTTATTCGCATATAGTTTATCAACAAATAAATGGCATTGAAAAAGATCGAACTTTTGCAAATGATTACCATTTGGTTTTGAAAATGATTTTTTTTGATTTTTTTTTAGACAAAAGTGATTGAGTTATTTTTAAATAAAGAATGTGGGAGTAGTCAGATTCTTAATATTTATTTATCTCTTTCATATTGATCTTTAACTTTTAATTTGGTTAAAATAGAAATTAGGATTCATTGATAATAAATTTGTATGGAACCCTCACCTAAGAAATTGATGAATCACCAAATTAACGTGGCACTCGGGTGTAAAAACATCAATAATAACAAACATGTTTGGACTTGATTTTTTTTTATTTTATTACTACTAAAATGAATATATTTCTATTAAAAGTTCTATTAAAAGTTATAAATATTATTCTTTTAATTATTACAGTAAAGATTTATTTAGAATTTCCAGATCATGTCTTTAATGAAATTCAATCTCTTCGAGAGAATTACTTTGAATATTATGTAACCAATGCCAAAAATCCCCACAATAAACCACTCTCTATAGAATATCATAATCTTTGTTACTACTCAGTCATTATGTACTCTGTCTTGTTGCTTTGTTACATCAAAACAATTCTACCAATTAAATTCTACTTTAAAAAGAGAGAAGAGGATGAAGGAGTGGCCAGTGTAGAAAGTAGCATTAGTTCAAGTGGATATCAACAAACCTCTTTGTACAAAGCATCTTTGGTCAGTTTTGGAAAATATGGTGAACTGACTTATCAAAACAACTATATAGCATTGAGAAACCAATACTTGTACATGATGGCCGATCTTATAATAGTGCTCATTTCATTCTTCGTTGTTATCGTCCTACAATTTGACTACAGTCATCTTGGTAGCTTTGAATGTGTATTTATAGATACAGTACTGATGAGCACCCCATGTTTTATTATCCAAAGAGTGTTTTTATTATTTGTAATCAATTTTACACTCTCAGTAATAAATAATATTAAAGAGAATCCATTCAAAGACAATAATAATAATAATAACTCAATAGTAAATGAAGAAAAGAAAGATAATTAATTTTTTGTTAATTTTTAAAAATTTATTTTAAATAAATAAATATATACATTTTTAGTTTTTAAAGAATTATTATTATTGTTATTTTTGTTATTGTTTAAGTTCTTCATCAACTTTATTTTGATTTGTATTGGTTAGTTCTATTCCATATCTATTTTTAGTTGTCATGTCAATCTTTTCTGTTTTCATTTTCGAGAGTGCGCATCCAATAAATTGATTTACAAAGAGAACGACCAATGCTGCCAATCCCAGGTAAAATCCTTTCGATGGTCCGTATTCTATCTTTGTGGGTGTATCTGATCCTGGGTTATAAGGATTGGTTAAAGTTTGATTGTTACCTTTGAAATTATCACAGAAATTGGTACCACCACATCTTAAGAAGTTCTGATCTTTAAAGTTTCCTGGGAGACTCAGCATCGAGAGAAATCCAATTAACTGACAAATAAAGGTGGTTACTGAAAAAACAGAAATCAAAGACTTGGCAACTACACTATCACTGACCACCGTAAAGAATACCATACAAATGAGCCATGCCAACATGAAAAACAAGCTAATCACTTCAAACGATGAAACAGTATTAAATGTACCTTGCAGAATTAAATTACTATAGGAAATATCTTCTTTTTTTAATGTTCCATTTAAAAAATTCTAAATAATTGTATTCAATTCGAATTTATTAACATTTGAAAAGAATGAAAGTTCTGTGTCTATTTATCGTGATATTTACAATTGAATGTTTATATTCAAATAAATTGAAATAGTAATTATTGATTGAGGATATATTTTGTTGTTTTATATGTATATAATACCAGTCTTTAGTTAGAGATACTGATGTTAGAGCTATAGATACAATCCAAAAACAAAAGATTATAAATAATACTGTTCTTATTGCGACTAAACCCATTTTAATTTATAGTTCTAATTTAAAATTTCTTTTTATATTTATAAATAGAAGATATGGGGAAAGTGAAAGGGAATAAAAATAAAATAGAAATCAATTATTTGAAGAGATTTGTTCTAAATCAATCATTTAATCAAACAATCAAAAAAAAAAAATGAATAAAAATAAAATTCAATTTAATAAAATAATATCCTAGGTGTTAATTAAAAAAAAAAAGCAGTATTGGGCAATCAATTAAGGTATAAACCACCTAAACCTTCCGATTTGTGGAAAAGGTAAACACAAAACAACTCAAACCACAAAAAAAAAAAAAACCATAAAAAAAAGATATTTTTATTAATAATTGTAAAATAACAACAATGAAATTTCATACTTTTAAATTTAAACTTAAGATAAAAATAAATATTTTATAAATATTTGTGAAATAGTAGATTTAGTAAATTATACTAAAAACTTTACAAATTTTGATATCAACTAATAAAAATCTTTGCTTGATCGAAAAAAAAAAAGTTACCTTTCTCAGAAAATTGTTTAATTTTTTTAAAAAAATTTATTAAAATTAATTTGAGTTGTGAGGGAATGAGGGTTGTTTTAATTTTTTTAGATTAATTTGATCAGTTCAAATCAAAATATATTTAATTTAATTAAAATAATTAGTTTTTTATTTAAATAAATAAATAAATAAATGGAGGTTAAAGAAGTAGAACAGCAGCAACAACCAATAACAGATGAAGTTGTTAATAATAACAGCACAGATTCTACAACAGTGAATGATACACCAGATGTTTTACAAATTGGAGATGGTGCTACCTGGGGTAGATTGGTTTCACTCAACCCCATTTATCCATCGATCGAACTCAGGCAGAATGTGGTGATATTCGGACGTACACCGGCGTTGTGTCAAGTGACTTTCAATACACCGACGGTGAGTGGTAAGCATGCAAAGATTCATCGTGATCCAACAGCCAAACAGAATATCGTTTTCCTCGAGGATACCTCTACCAACGGTACATTCATCAACAAAGAACTCATTGGCAAAGGCAGCAAGATCCTGGTGAGCAACGGCTGTGAGATATCAATCATTCCAAAACAAGGACCAGAGCGTATCTCCTATATCTATCAAGATTGCTCCGAGGAGAAAGCAGAGATCGATCAAGGTGGTCCACAACCATATTATGATTTACGTGAAGTTTTAGGAACGTAAGTGTATAATATCATATCATTATTATTATTCAACTATCATATTTTACATTTTATTAAGTTATTTACTTTTTTTTGTTTTATTTTATTAAAGTGGAAACTTTGCAACGGTTAGACTTGCAGTTCATAAGGAAACAGGTCAGAAATATGCATTGAAAGTAATCGATAAAAAGAAGATGTCAATGACCAGTAAGAGAAAAGATGCGTTGATGGATGAAGTCAATGTTTTGACCAAAGTAAAGAATGAAAATATCATTTCTATTAAAGAGGTATTTGAAACCAATAAGAATTTATATCTTGTATTAGAACTGTAAGTAGTTTTTTTTTTTTAAATTTTAAAATCATAAAGAATAATAACTAATAGTAATAATAATAATAATAATAATAGTGTAACAGGTGGAGAATTATTTGATAAGATTGTTTCTGAACAAAAGTTTACGGAACCGGTATGTCGATATGTGATGCGACAGATTTGTAATGCCGTGCAGTATTTGCATCAAAGAGGAATTGCTCATCGTGATTTGAAACCAGAGAATATATTGTTGGCTAGACCCGATAGCTTTGTGATAAAGATATCGGATTTCGGACTGAGTAGAGCACTCGATGAAGGCAGCTACATGAAGACGATGTGTGGAACACCGCAATACGTTGCACCGGAGATCTTGACGAAAGGCGAGCGTGAAGGCTATGGAAAGTCGGTCGATCTCTGGTCGATTGGTGTTATCATGTACATCTTGCTCTGTGGATTCCCACCCTTTGGTGACCCTTCCGATGCACACTTCTTTGACAAGGTGAAGCGTGGTGGATTCTCATTCCCATCGCCCTATTGGGATGGTATCTCTGACGAAGCGAAAGAGCTCATCAAGAGTTTGATACTTGTCGACGTCGAGAAACGTTTGACTATCGATCAAGCACTTGCTCACTCTTGGTTTGCCAACCATGTAGATGATCTCGATAAAATAAATGTAAAGAAAGAACAATCATCACAACAATCATCGTCACAACAACAACAACAAGCAGAAGAGAAAGAAAAAGAGAAAGAGAATGAGAATGAACAAGAGAAACAACAACAACAACAAGAAGTAGTTATAGCACAAGCAGAGACTGCCGAAGATAAATCAGCAGGAAATGACGAATCACTAGCTGATATGTCAATGACAAGCGATAGAGGTGATAATGAAGATAAAACTAACTCGATAACAACAAATGAAAATAACAATGATTTAGAAGTAGAAGATCTTATACCAAAGAATCAAAATCAAAAGAGAGTAAGAATTATAAATATACTTTTAAATAATTACAATACTAATAGACCTTGATATCAACTATATATATATTATTATTTTTTAGACTTTAAGTGAGAATAGTGTTGATCAAGATGAAAAAGAATTAAAGAGAGTTAGACAATAATAACCAAAATCGTTAAATAATCAACATTAAATCATATTGTTTAATACTACTACCAAACTAAACACAATGTTTATGTTAAATATAAAATCGTTAACTTAATATATTCTTTAAATTTATTATTAGAATGACTATGGTTAAAATATAGATCGTTGAATGTTGGTAGTTGAATCGTATTGAAGTTGCCGGTGATGTGAAAGAGTTTGAAAGATAAAAGTGTTTAATGTTATATCCTTCTTGCTGGTCCAATGTCAAAGTTGTCTCTTTCATTGTGCCAAGCTCGATATTGTAAATCGATAGAGTCTCTGTTTCATTGGAGTAGAACGAGCAATATCTAGGATTTCTAGAGTGTATAACATTGGTAACTCGATACGGTAGAGTTTGTTTGTCTGCCTGACGCGTTGTCGTATCAATGGCCACGATATTGGTTTCATTTGAATCGATACCGTTGTTTATTGCCAACAAAACGGTTTTATCGAATATACAAATTCCAACTACTAAAGTAGTCTTCATCTCGAGAAGATTATTGGAATTGGATATCTCTGTAGGAATACCAAACATATTTAATGATCTATCGTTTAAATCGAATGTTACCAATGTCTTTGTATTTTCAATACCACTGGTGATGAATGCAACGTATTTCCTGTTAATAGGGTCATTTGCTACGGGTAGTCTTTCAATGGATTCGAAATCGATCTCCATTGGTGTTTCAATATAGCTGTAATCACTAATTCCAAGCTCTCGTAACCCAGTATTATCCAAGGATGCTAAGGCTAATCGATCGTTTACCACTGACAATCCATGAATTTCCATTTCATCTTTATTATATCTATTTTGAAACTGTACAGGTTGAAATATATATTTGGGAAGAGGTGTTGATTCACCACCTACTAACATTGATCTTTCTACAGATACAATTCCATTTGTTTGAAAAGTTCCATCCATTTGAAGATCCAATAATACTCTCCATATTGATCCATCAATAATTGAATTCTCTCTACTATATAATCTAACCTATATAAATAATATTTTTAATATTAATATCTATAGTATAGTATATACTATAACTACTTTCTATTTGTATAAACTTACTGTGCAATCATTGGAAATCATTGAAATTTCCGAAAAATCAGAATATTCTCCAATCATCGTATTTCCATCCATTTCTATGTAATTATTTGTATTGTCGTTTAAAGATTGGTAGTATATTCTAATAGAAGGAGCACTTCCTTCAGTTGAATCTTTACTTTCCAATAAAATAAATATATAATTTGGTTCTGTTGATGATTCTTTATCTAAAAATAATATATCTTCTCCAAAACTATTTCCATTTTTAAAGAATAAACAAAGTATAAATAATAGAATATGAACATATTTAATTGAATTCATTATTTATTATTTATTATTTTATAGATTATTATTATTATTTTAGTTTAATATTTTATTAAAAACAACCATAAAAGAAAATAGATAAGAACTAATAGGTATGATACTTCAGATTCATTGATCAAAGGATCATGAAAATTTATATATTTAAAAAACAACATTAATATTTATTTCTCCTATCGATTTCTTACTTTTACAAATAGAATAATCAAAGAGTACTTGTTACAAAATTTGAACTGAATAATAGATATGATTATAATTGAAATCTACTAATAAATAACCAGACAATCACTAACAAAAAGATTCACGAAAATTTCATTCTAACACCAAAATTATTTAAATCTAATTGTTTTTCTGACGAAAAAGATAATTTAACCACACATCTCTATGTATGTGTATCACCACAAAAAAATTATAATTATAATCAACTTTTCAAACACCCACCACAAAATTAATATGTGTGTTTGACAATGAGATAAATCAATAATTTTAATATTATTATTTGATTGAATTGTGTACAAGATATTGATTGATAAATAATAAAAGAAAAAATAATAAATTATATCTTTTTTTTTTTGGTACCTCAAATTTTCATTATGTTTATAATTCGTTCAAAAAAAAAAAAATAAGTGTTTATTCTAAATATATATATATATATATATATATATAGAGAGCTATCTATTCTTTTTTTCTTTGATTACCTAATACAATTTTGGATGGTGTCCATTTCGATGATGATGGCGATGTTGATGATCTTAAATTATGATTTGAGTCTCTGAGGCTGAATCCATTATTGTTGAATTCCGATTCACTGACGTTGCTGTTGACACTTGAATTCAAATCGTTGCTCGATGTCAGTGGGATGTATCTCTCGATTAAAAGCTGGTCAAGTGAGTTTTCCTCACCGAAAAAAGTATGTACATTGGAACCGGAAAGTCGCAGTGGTGGTGAGATTTCGATTTGCGGTGTCTTTCGGTTGTTCACCACTTTCAGGTCGTCGATAGATTCAAAGTATTTGTGTTCTTCGTTGGCGTATCCGCTGTTGCTGTTGGTACTATTACTTTTACAATGTTGTTTTTTGCCAGATGCTGTTGCTGCAGATAGGTTGTCCGGTGATTCTTCGTCGTCGTCTGAGAATGTTCCAGAGAAATTCAGAGGAAGATCCTCGAGATGACAGGTCGAGTTGACAGGCGTAGTATCTGGAAGACAGCAATCTGAGCCACTCGACGAGTCGGAATCCGAGTCGATATCCAGGAAATTTGGATCCTCTTGAATGATTTGTTTGGAATCCTCGACAACAATTGGATTATGATTGTAAACAGAGTCTGGATTATTGTTGTTACCTGCATTGCTGTTGTTGGGAGGACTACACATCAAGTCACTGAGATTACTCTCGAGTGACGATGTAAAACTATCGTTCATTCCATTGCTACCCGGTATTATAATGATGTGTGAAGAACCAACAACCGTTGGCATTCCATTGCTGTTGTTGTTGTTGCTGCTGCTGTTATTGGTGACACCAGATATTGTCGAAGAACCGTCATTTAAAGGTTTTCTCGTTGATCCAATGAGATTTCTTGTGTGATAACGATGGGCACTCGGTCCTTTCGACTGCAGATCCTCTGCCGAGAGTGAAAGTTTCCTAAGTGGACGCGGTGAATTTGAATATTGACTGGACGGCAACGAACCAATCACAAAATCATTACGATTACTCTTGGTTGTCGATGTCCAAGAGGAATTGGAGGAAGTCGAAGAACTGGAATCTCTTAGCGATTTTTTCAGTTTGGGTGGAACCGGTGGTATTGGCAGCTGCTTCGTTGGTAATTTATCCGTCGATAAATGAAGATGTTGTTGATTGCCAATCGTGATTTTGTTGGTAAGTGAATTCAAATTGCCAAGAGAAAGCGACATCTTTATACTGTTTCCATTGGAAGCGGCAGCAGAGTGGTGGTTGCCATTTGTCAAATCCGGTGACTCGGCACGCTCGTGGTTGTTGTGAAGAACGGCCTGTCTAATTCTTGTCCATCCACTGGCAGCCTGACTAATTGGATAGTCTTTTACCTCCACCAGAAACAATCCAGAAACCGGACGGTGATCCGACTCCAACAGCTCGTGACGTCGGTAAACCAATGGTTTGATGGTGTCGCCACGATAGAGGATACGGTCGCAATAGGAGGGAGTACGCATCTTTTCAGAGGTGTCATAAGTAGTTGTTCCTACATCGTATTTATAGGTTGGTGCAAAGTTGATGGGTGCCTCTTGAAATCCGATAAACGAACGGCCGGCTTTCCTCTCGTTTGTCAATTGATCGTTCACCAGCAAGTAAGGATAGTTCTTGTTGATGACGGCTTGCTTACAGTCCGACTGTGGCAAATCGATTCGGTAGTTGAGATCACCGAACCACAGCAGACACTCGTGATCCAATATCGAAACATGGTTATCAAATGACATCATTTGAATCTTTTTGAAATCTTGGGCACGACGTTCCACTCTCTCGTGAGAGGGTCCCGCTGCCAAGTGTGAATTTATAAAGCAAAATCCTGTTTTATATAATGAAAATCTTATTCCAACTCCTCCTTTATTTCCCTAAATAAATAATAAATTAACAGAATAATTAATAAACCAACCATTGCAATTCTTTTCACATAATAATAATAATAATTTCTCTTACAATTTTACCCATTGCTCCACATGGAACAATTGCACCACGTGCATCCAATACATGAGGTGCATGTTCTTCTTTAACAAACACTAGAATCATAAGTCCAACCAATATCTTATTCATTACTTTTACGTATTTACATCCACCGGAGCAGAGTGAGAGTGTTTGCTCGATGTCGTGTTTCCATGGATGATAAGCATTTTCCTTGTTGTTCTGTTTGTCTGCTGCGGTTGCCTTTACGATGGCACCTGCTTTCATGTTGACTATCTCCTGCAGTCCAATGGCAATGATGTCCGGTGAATAGGAATTCGATAGCAGCCAATTCGCTAAATTAGTGGATCGCTTTCCATTGCAATTCCAAGTTCCAACGAAAACACTGAGGTTCCTCCTTCCTTGTTGTGGACTATCCAACGACTTTTCTATCTCCAATCCAGAGATGATCGATTGGTCGTCCTCTACAAACAGTGCAGAGCAGTCGCCTGCAGCGAAAATAGCGGATGCCCGCAGCTTCGGTCGGACAACGAGTGACGGCCACATTCTAAGTCTGGTATTTCCATGACCGAGTTGATGTGACTCGCCCGAACCAAAAGTATATACTTCACCGGAAGCTGTCAATAGTATCGTATGATTCAATCCGAGTGCAATCGAATGGATTCGCTTGTCTTCAACGTCGACCTGTATGCGCACAGGCATGTTGCTGTCCTCGACTCCACCGTTTCCAAGTTGTCCATAGCTATTCGATCCCCACATAAACACAACACCGTCGTTTGTCAGTGCTGCAGAATGCTGTTGGCCGGCATCAATGTCGATAGCCGGCATCTTGTAGCCGACCACCGTTGAGAGCTGCTCGAGTGGAACCGGCGCCACTTTGTCATTGTTATGTCCAAGTCCGAGTTGTCCACGAGAATTCGATCCCCAGGCATAGATTGCACCTTCATTTGTCAGGGCAAGTGTGTGTTGGTCGCCAAACACCAACTTTTGCCAACGGACTTCGCGTTTGTCGATTGGCGGAAAAAATGACTGTGGGCGTCGATTGGTGGATGCGTTCCGATTGACGTCCGTTGGCGAGCTGTCCATACTTGCAGCTGCCCCACGTGTACATCTGACCAGTGTCGCTAATGGCGCCGCTCACCTGATTGCCTGCGACCACCTTGGCGATGTTGCCGGGTAGCGCCACAATCGGCAGTGGCACAGCCGAGTCGCCTATATCGGTACCGAGCTGGCCAGCTCCATTCAGACCCATCGAGAACACTCGACGATCTTCGGTGAGCAACAGAGTATGGTTGAAACCACACGACACGCTGATCACCACTTTTTTCCAGACGATCTTAAAGAGAGTGGTATGTTTTCTTCCCATCACCTCGCCCCACATCAAACATTCGCCATTGACGATGGCAGCAGAGTGATTCGCGCCCATTGACAACTGATCCAAATTCAGTGAAATCAACACCGATGGTGGTGTTGGTAATTTTTTATCAACATTATGGCAAGTATTACCTGTTTTACCTATTATTGTTTTTTTACAAAATATAAAGTTAGTTATTATACAATATTCAAATGATCTTGAATGTATATATTAATATTTACCCTTTCCCCAAGTATATAAAATCTTCATTATATATAAATTTTTTAGGGAAGTGAGCTTGAAAGCTTCACAAACCCAAAGATTACTTCAACTTCAAACCAACTATTTTTCCTTTTTTCTCCTCTAGATTTATAGTTTTGCTGTTTATCTTTATTAGCTTTGCTGACCAGAATTAATTAAAAATATGAATGTATGTTTTAATTTGTAACTATCTATCTAATTATATTATTCTTGTTCAATGTTGGTTTGAATTTGATTTTTTGTTTTGTTTTTGATTTGCTATTGTTATTTTTGTTTATTGCTGTACTAATTTAGTCTGTATTTAAAAAAGTGATCGATTGTGTTAGTCAGTGAATTATTAAATAAATAATAAGAATCTAAAATGTTATATGTTTAATGGGTTGTGTTTGCAAATAAATATACATTCAAATGAGTTGGTGTGTGATTGAAAAAATAAAAAAAAAACCGAGCTCTTTGGTTTAGTTTGATTTTGTTTACTGTTGCAACAAACACTCGTGTTTGAGATGGATGAAGTTTGATGAGGGGGTGCGAAGAGAAGATGCAGTGTGATACAACAACAATTAATTGTTTTTTTTTTGTTTTTCAAATTGGTGGTGTTTGTGAGTGAAGTGAAGAAAGAAGAGAGTGGATTGTTGGTGTGGAATATGTATGTTTGTTTTTTATTTGACTTTGAATTTATTTACAAATATCTAACACACATATTATTATTCATTTATTCATTCACTATTAAAGATTATTGCTGTTTATTACTTTACTTTCTTTAATTTTTGATGTATGTCTATGTTTTTGTTTTCTATCGCTTGTCTATGTTACAAAGATTCTGTTTTGTTGTCTAAAATATCAAGCTAATATGACAAAAATAACAACAAAAATTATAGTTTACAATCGACAATAAATTGATAAACTTTATTATTACTTTATTATTTATATTATTAAATGAATGAATCGATATAACTGTTCTATGATCTATAAGATTTTATTATTGTGATTTTGTTAACACTCATTGAATGAAAAACCAATCAAAAATTCTCTCATTGTAAAAAAAAAAAAAAATTATTTAATAAAAAAAAAAAAAATTCACCAACTTTTTTTTTTTGCACACGAAAAGCATGAACTAATGGTGGCGGCAAAAACCATCTATCTGCTGAATTTGTTTGGATTGTTTTTTAAAAAAGAGATAGTTATTGGGATTTTAATGTTTTTTTTTTATCTTTATAGATTTACCTTGTTTTCAAATATTTAAATTTAATTAATAGTTTATTATATTTATTATTTATTGTTCACCACCCATCATCATCATCAATGAGGAAGTGTCAATATTAGCTGAAAGACGCTCATTCATTGAACATGAAGTTTGGATATAGTAGAGAGTGTTACCACCAAAGTATGGGTAGGATCTTTGAAGATAATTGATGTATAATGTATAACCATCGATTATTTTACCGGTGACTACAGTGTAAGCGTAAAACTTCCAACCTGGTTGATTGTAGAGAGCACCTTGACCATTGAAAGTTCCATCGGAATTGACTGTAACATTGACTAAAAATGGATTACCAGTGGCCGTTGAAAAACTGTTGACTACACCATTAGTATTGGTAAGAGTAACTTGTGTTGGATAAAGACATTGTCCTTGGTTTTGCCATACATAGGTTCCTGGGACAATGTAAGGGGCTAAATTAATTAAAAAATAAACAGTTAATATAATTGAAAACGATTATGTGAATTATTTAAATAATTAATTACCGGAATATGAAACAGAAATTAATGCCAAAAAGGCAAAGACGATATATTTGTACATTTTTTAAAAAAATAAAATGTATATAATTAAATAATTTAATAAATGGGAAAAATGACTAACTATTCTAATTAATTATTCTATAAAAAATTGGACACTTGTAAAAAAATTTGTAGAATAAAAAAAAAATATATTTTAATAGTTTTATTATAAAAAAGATCAAGATATTAAAAATAAGATAATGATGTCAAGTATCTGTGGTACGCTCCTGTTTAGCTGAAGATCTTCATTCCTCATGTTTTGGCATTCCATTTTTATTGGTGGTTTTTTGCAAAACTTTTTTATTCTACAATAATCTTCAGATTATCATAAAAAATCTAAAAACAATGACTTTAAAGTTGTTTTTGAGGGGTGTCATCCTTGTTGGAATGGTCTGAAATCAACGATCATATACCCAAAACAATTGATTGATGATGTCAAATATCAAATATCTTTTGATTTAAAACTTAAAGATATTTTTTGTAAAATCTTGTACAACTACACATATTCTACAATTTTTGTTAATCTAAAATAAATAGTAAATACTAGTCATTTCATTTTTATATTTTAATTTTTATAAACTTTCTCTTTATTATTTTATAATATCTTTCTATTATTTATATCATATACAAAAAATGTTGAAATATACTATCCTTGTTTTATTTGTATTAGTTTCCGTTGCCAGTTCATGTAAGTAATATTTACTTCCAATCGAATAAAAATGATTAAATTAGATGATGATATACTAATGAATGAATCAATGATTATTTCGAAATAGACCTCTATGTTAGTCAAGGTCAATATGTATGGCAGAATCAAGGTCAATGCTCAGCCAGCCCAACACTTGTAAATGTCACTGTCACCAAGAATGTAGTCAATAGTTTTTCTGCCAACTACGGATACCCATTTTTAGTAAATGTTACAGTCAACCCTGATTACACCTTCAATGGTCTCGGTGCACTCTACTATCCAGGTACATGGACACTCAATGGATACACCACCGTAAAGGGTCAAATCATCAGTCAATACAACTTGTTGGTCGTCTACAACCCAAGTACCACTCCATCATTCGGTGGTGCCACATTGAACTACCTTTTAGTTCAATGTAATTCCGGTTCGTCCAAATCGATCTCCGAACAACAAGAAGAAGCTAACCTTGCATCTATAATGTCTGGTGCAGATAATTGATTAATTTAATTAAAAATATTTAAAAAATAAATAAAAAACTAAATAGTATAAAAAAAAATTTATTTTCTTAGAATTTTAGATATGCATATGTTTTTTTTTTTGCCGACATTGGTTTCTTAATTTGTTATCTAATCGAGATATGACATATATATATATCTTATCTTAAAGATTTTGAACATTATAATGGATGAAGATGATATTTTCGATGATATAAATGACGATGAAGAGTTGGTGTATAAATCATTTTCAGAAGCAAGATATGCAGAGTCTAAGAAAAAGAGAAAATCAACTACTACAGCAAACGCATCTACTACATCAAAGAGAGTATCAACGAATAGATCTACTGCGACTAATAGTCGTATAGGTAATAGTAGTAGTAGCAGCAGTGTAAAGAAAGTTACAAATAACAATAATAATAATAATAGTAAAAGTAATAATAATTCTAGTAATAGTAGTAATCGCAGTATTACTACAAATGTAAATAATAATAATAATAATAATAATAATAATAATAATAATAATAAAAGAACAAGTGTAAATAAACCATTAAATAGTAATAATAATAATAATAATAAGACAAAAGATAGTAGTGTTTATGATTTAGATAATGAAAATGGTGATGATGAATCGACAGAGGATGAACTCGATCAAGATGAAGATAGTAAGGTATTGGAAACTAAATTAAAACAATCGTTTCAATTTACAGTGGCAAAGATATGCGAAAGAGAAATAGAGAAGCTGCCTAACAAGACAACTGTAACTCCTCATGCTATAAAAACAGTTTCAGAATTAATATATCAAATAGCAAAGAGTATGTTAGTGTTAACATCTATAGCAAGTAATATATATCTTTTGATATTATTTATTAACAAAAGTTTATTTTGTACTGTATTGTATTGTATAGAGGAAGTAAGTAGAGATCTCGCAATGTTTTCCAAGCATGCCAAAAGGCAAATCATTAATGGTGATGATGTTTTATTGATGGCAAGAAAGAATGATTCAGTTGTATGTAGATGAATCTTTAATTTAATAATATTGATAAACATATACATACATTAGAGAAACTTCTAACTTGATAATTAATCTATTATAGTATAAGAAAGTATTAGCGAAAAGAAAGGAATTACAAAACAGTAATAATATTAATAATAATAATAATAGTGGTGGTGATAGTAATCTTTCGAGACATTTCGAAAACAATTTATTTAAAGATACAGATGCAGATTTAGATGAAGACTTTGATTATCAGACAACTACTACTACAACAACAACAACAAAGAATACCAACAAATTTAAACCTAAAGAAAAGAGTCAAAGTATATTCGATTCTGATCTCTTTTTAGGATCGTCTGATTCAGATTTAGAGAATATTGTCAATCAGAATAACAATAACTACTCTCACATTAATGATGAAGATAATTTATTTAATGATTAAAATTTTTAATTTAAAATAATTAATAAAACAATTATTTAGAGTGTACATAATTAATACTATTGTATGTGATAAACTGTATATTCAGCACCATATTATTACTCCTAAGATATTCTGACATTATTTTTTAAGAGAAGATGCTATCGTGATTTTAAATTTATCAAACAACCTTTTATAGATCTATTGTTAGGAAAACGTTTTGAATATAGTCTTAAAATTAAAGAAGGGATCCTGTAGTGCTATCTGATACTTTACAGCTGCCAAAAGCCAATAAAAAGTAGACAAACAACAAAAAAAAAAAAAAAAAAAAAAAAAAAAAAAAAAAAAAAAAAACATACCGCAGGCGGACTTAGAAAAATTTAAAGATTAAAATGCGTTGTCCGGGAATCGAACCCGGGTCTCCTGCTTGGTAGGCAAGAATTCTGCCACTAGACCAACAACGCATTAGATGAAATCTAATTTTCTTATTAAATTTTTATAATTTCTTCATTTTGTAAAATTGGAAAGTTTTTAATTTTCTTAGGTAATATATTAACTTAAGCATTAACACAAGATTGACAGTAAAATTGTCAACTCCAATTTATAAATTGGTCTTTAGATTTGATAAAAAAAGAAGTTCAAGAAAATAAAGAATTGGTGTGTCTATTAGAAGGGTGATGATAGTGAAAGGTTTTAATCAAAATTAATTAATTTGCAGTTATTATGATTTTGAACTTATTACCAAAAATGGTTTAACATAATATCATATTTTTTGGGAACTCCCAAAAAAAATAATTGATTTTAAATTTTCTGTGAAATTCATTATTCTAGGTACTATTTGATCAAATAGTCACACTTAAATGTCAAATTTAATTAATTATTTTTTTAATATATAGATATAGATAATCATGACTTTAGAATTACCTCATTTTCTTCAGAATTTAATTGTTGAGTATGCAATACAAAGAAACATTAATAGTGAGACTAATGCTTATAACACGAGTTTGACCATTGCTCTTGTATGTGAACGATGGTTCAAACATGTACAGCAATTGACCACCAATGTTAACCTCTTAAAATGTCCTTTGATCAACTGTCAATTCAAAGTAGATAATCAGTACTCTTTGTTACAGTCAAAGAATATCAGCTCGTTGGAATTTAACACCTTAAACCAAGCAGTCTTTACAATGTTGGAGAGTGTAACAATGAATATTAGTTCATTTATAATACATATCGAGCAAGTAGGTCATGATATCAATCAAACACTGAAGCTATTGACCGAGTTGGTTAAATCAGATCGAGTGGAATTCCATCTCTTTGTGAATGTAGAACGTGGGATTTTCTCTATGGCCAAACCACCGAATCGTGAACTCTACAATATCGCCACTGTCAACATCCAATGTGGTCAAGAAGTTATTACTGAGGAATATCTTTGGGAGGAGGAAGGTCTCGCTTCGATTGCCGCTGGATGGCGACCAACTGACTACACCCTGAGATTCAACAAAGGTGGACTTTCGACTCATTTCGGATACTCATTATTCCTTACTGTGAATACACTGCGTACTGCTTTGATTGAAACGGATTTCGTTGAACTCTGCTATGTTAATTCTGCCCTTTCAGGTAACCACTTGGAGGAGTTGGAGTTTTCATATCTTTTCCACCACATTTCGGGAGAGAAGCATGGAAATACCTATAGAAACTCTTGTTTCCCAACGATGGATGCACCATGGCACAAACTTCCTGATACTCAACAGCATTTCAAAGAGTTTTGTGGTCTGTTGGCAAATAATAGAATACTCAGGGATTTAACAATACACAACTTTTGTAAACAACCACTTGGTGAAGATCGAATGGATGAAAATCAATTGTTGGCCAATCAATTCGCAGAAGTATTTGCTCATAACAATTACTTGACCAGTCTATGTTTGGACAATATACAATTGGTCAATGATGAATTCTTTTATTCATTACATAATAATCGTGGATTGAAAAGCTTAAGACTTGAAAATGGAACAATCAATAACGACAACTTGATGACTTCAATCGGGCTCATGTTGAGTGAGAACAAACATATTTCTCATCTATCCATCTCCAACAACCAAGCGTTAACAGATTGTTCGGAATTGGCAAAAGCAATAACAAACAACAACACACTACGATCACTCGATATTAGTTTTTGTAAATTTAAGAATTTATTTTTACTCTTTGAATCAATTCTTAACAACAAAACACTTTACACACTCTCCATTTCCTTTGATATGAAAACATCAATCGAAAACCATCCAATTCTTTTGAAACTTATGAATAGATTTAATCTTAAAACAATCAACAATTACAATCTTAAACCTTCTTTGTAAAATACAAAAATATCAATAAATTTTGTCCGATAAACTGACACTATTACTTTTTTCACAGGAACAAAAAAACAACTGTAAAATGAAAAACAATTCACAAAAGATATCTAGTTTTACCCAGTTTGTAAAGAAATTTGTTCTTTGTGATCGAAATTCTATAATTAGAATCAACTTGTCAAAGATTTAAAATATATTAATTAAAATTTTAATAAGTTATTTATAAAATTGTTTTTTTTTTGGTTTAAATAGATTTTATTTTAATTTATTATATTATCAAGCATTGATAAACTTAATATTGGAGTTGATATCGAAGGTTTAATAATATTTGAGAGCATATTATACCAATTTTTTGATTGTTTACTTGTGGAAGAGGTAACCGAGCATGTTGAAGACGGTGATGATGAAAATGAAACAGAAGAAGATGGCTAACCAAACGTAGACTGGGTTCTCGTAGTAACGACCTGGTGACCATTCAGCAGAGTGTGGGGTGGCGTATTTACCTGGGAAAACACAGGTTCTTGGCTTACCCTTACCTTCGTTACCTGACTCAGCGTCGTTCTTTCCATTGTTTCCGGTGTAGTCGCAAAGTCTGCAACGACCTTCGATACAGTAACCTTGGTATTCAGTGACCATACGTTGATTAACGTTTGGATTGGATGGATCGTAGTATTGGACGGCACACTTGGTGGAGTTGTCAACACGTGGGTCAGCCAAATCACCGGATTCGAGTGGAATACACTTGGCGTGGTTGTATGGGAACTTTTGGCATGAACCGAAACGATCCTATTAATTTTGAAGAGGAAAAAAAATTAGAATAATTTCTATCTATGAAAAAAATAGTATGATTTCTGAGTGATGGACACTTACCAAATCTCTCATATTTTTAATATTGCAATATTCGTTCAATGCGCAATCGGCATTGGATTTACATGAAACACAGTATCCACCAAAACAGTATTGGTCGGAGCTACATTCGTGTTGCTCTAAGCAAGTCTTTTTGTTGGCTTGAGCGGTGGAGGCAAGAACTGCCAAAAGTACAACTACAAGTGCGAAAGTTCTCATTGTATTTTATATATATATATACGTGATTTATTTATAGATAGAAAGATAAATTTATATAAATAAAGTTTGGTTCGATTGAATTGATTTTGGAAACTTTAACCTAGTGTTTGACCTACTGATTGAATTACAGTTTATTTTTATTTATTTTTAATTTTTTCTTAAATTAACTATCAAAAAAAATTATCAAAAAAAAAAATTCTATTAAAAACAAACAAAAAAAACAAATGTTGATTTCTGTGGTGTGTTATGAATTCTATGTTTATTCAAATTCTGATTGTTTTCGACTCAATGGGGTAGGACCTCAATATCATGGTCTCGATGAAAAACTTTTTTTAGTTTTGTCCAAATTGAAAAAAACTCAAATATTTTTTGATCAAAAAAAAAAAAAAAAAAACTAACCGTCTACTTAAAAATACACCCCACTGACCGTTCATTTTAGGCATCGAAAATCTTTCAGTTTGTTTTTTAGAAATTTATTTTAAGATATTTTTAAGTTTTGATTCTATGCACGTCACAAAATTGGGTAATTTCAAAGAAGTTTTTTTTTTTCAACAACATCATTCACCATGCGTTTTTGATCTCGTGAATGTTGTTAGTGAGTAGAGTAGACCTTGGCAAGTTTAAGGCGCCCAAATTCAATAAGATTACAAAAAAACTGAAAAAAGTAAAAAGGTGCAAAAACTATTAAAAAATTAAAAATAAAAAAATACATATTTGTTGATGGGCTTAGATGATCAGTTTCAGAAAATCTTTGAATTTGTGTCAAATTTTATTGTTTTTTTTCTGATGGTGGTTGTGTTGATCTCTCAGTTGATCAAATATTTTTTCTATTTTAAAATGATTTTAGATCTCTATCTTTTCTTCATTTTTTTTGGTGTAACTTGAAAAATATTTATCAGAAATGAAAGGGGCAACCGTAGGAAGAGGCGCCTTATCACCAAAAAAGAAATTACTCAAAAGGTGGCGGGGCATGCAATTTAATCGAACAAAAACACTTTTGTTCTGATAATCGAATTAATTGACGTTAAGTAAATCAGTTTATTTTTAAACAAACTAAACTACCAATCAATAAGTATTCTTGTGTTTGTTAATGCAAAACCTACAATCGATAGTTTGCTTTGGTCCAATTTTTATTTTATTTTTCTGAAAAACAAACATAAAGCTTTTTTTTTAATTAATAGGTTATATTAAAAATATTTGTATCTGATTTAATTACTTAATATATCCATATCACTGGCAATTATACCTCTGAAGCAGTAAGTCTAAAATCTATTTTTAAATTACTTGACCTTTAACGTAGAATTTCTTGAATAAAATTATCTCAAAGACATGTGTTAGGATGACGACAATACCTAAGACTGCAATGGATCCAGCCAGTAGTAATAATTTAGTATTGAATTATAATGATAGTAAAAATAATGATATTAAAATATGATTACACCCCACCCTCACCAATTCCAATCAATGAATCATTTTAAATATAGTATAGAATTATACAGAGCTTACATTGGTTTTATTTTTCTTTAAATATATTATTAGGTTACAGATGTTTTTAAATGAAATCTATTTAAATATAATACACATATTACTGGCAAGTCCAGGACCAACATTATCCAAATAATTGGTAAGTAAACCTCTGAGTCTGTTGGCAAATGAAGCGTTAAAAGACGAAAGTCTGTACTCTTGACCTTTGCCATCGAATATCTTGATCGAATCTACTGCATTTGGATAGCGTTGAGAGAAACTAGTGGTTGGAGCATCATCTACAAACGCACTATACGGTTTCTCATCTGAGATCTTAGATACTGCTTTCTCCAAATCCACCCACTGATAAGATTGATTACAAAGTAATTCCGATGGTTTAAATTTACCCTTTAAATTTGATTCAATTAGTTTCACTCTCCTTCTAAGTATATCCATCAAATCATATCATATTTATACTTACTTTATATCGCATCTTTTGACAAGAATGAATATAATAACCCATGTAATAGTAGTGTAGTTGTGATGCTTGTTTCGATAGTTGGTTTTGGATGTATTCGATCTCTTTGAGTGCAGTAAGTTTGCCGATCGATAAAAACTGGAAGTCAGGATCGTACAGCATGTAGACACTGGAGAGACAGTGCGGTAGGATGTCGACGATACCGAGAGCAGCAAGCTTACCATCGATTCTGTAGTACTGATGGAACGAACCGAATCCAGTTTCTGGTATCTCTATGATTCTGTTCTCTCTCTTACTGTAGTAGCCCTCCTTGGAGTACGGCACAAACACCAACGGACTATCGACAAGGAATCGAGTGAATCCCTCTGGTTTCTTTGGCTCCACCTCTTTATGTACAATACGTTGATATTTACAATACAATTGGAATACTTCCTCTGTATACTCTGCTCTTCTAATAGTTATCTAGATAATTGGAAAAACAAACAGCAAACAACAACATAAGTAAATAAACAAACACAACAAACAACGATATTATTAATATTACTTACTTCTAATTTATGTTTTGGTTCAATTGATTTTGGAATACTATTACTATTGTTATTATTAGAGTGCTTTTGTTTTGTTGTTGATGATGATGTTGTTGTTGTTAAATGAATATTAATATGATTATCTTTTAGGAATATATCTTTGATTAAAGATGAAAGATCTGGTTGTTCTTTTAGTCTTTGGATGATACTGTTCTCGATGAACTTATCGAATGAACTTGAAGATGTTTCTTCTATTCTCTGTTTGTGTACTAATAGAGGTGCCACACTACATGAATATTGTGCACCGCCGACCAACTTTTGGAACTTTGGAGTATTGCATCTCACCAGCAGATGATTCAATACATGTTGTTTAGATTGTTCATCAATTCCAATCAATGAATCATTAAAATATTGTTTTAAATATAAATTTAATTGATTTAGAATATCATTATTATTATTATTAGTTGTTGTTGATGTTGTAGATGTAGGTGTTGGTGTTGTAGTTGTGTTTGTTGTTAATGTCGATGTTGTTGTTGTTCTAGATGATGATGTTGATTTAATTTCAGATTTAGCATGTAAATCATCATATTTAATATAGTTTTCGAAACGATTATAGACTTGTTTGTTATCTTTAGTCTGCTTGAATCGGCATACATCCAACCTGATAGTGTACTGTGGGCAACAAGTGCTTTCATTTACATTATCAGGTCTATAGATGTATGACCCTGACCTGCGCCATCCCGTGTCACACAACGCCTGATAGTCGTCAACAGTCAATTGTTTTGCGTCAATACCTAACATAAATAAAAAAAAACAAACATAATAAATAAAACAAAACAAAATAAAACAAAACAAAATATAATAAATGTTAATAGCTAGTTATTATCTCTATTTCTATCTATATAAACATACCATATGATATTCTACCGATATCGGATTGATAACAATAGTGACACTCTGAACTATTTTTACCATATGGTGTAACATATGATGTATTTGGTTTAAACATTGTTTAAAATTGTATAAATAATAAATAAACAAACAGATATATTGACAAAAAATATATAAATAAACAAAATTAAATTAAATTAAACAATTTACAATTTAGCTTGAACAAGTTCTCATAGAAACTGAATTTTTTAAAAATTCCCCAAGAAAAAAAATAATTGTTTTTATTGATGGTGCTGATATGAGGGAAGCAAGCTTTCCTTTCATTCCCACCAAAATGGTACAACCAATCATCAAACAAATTATTTATTAATAGTTAATAGTTTGTTCGTTTTTGTTTATTTTCCATTAAAATAGAAAGAATATATAGATGGATGAAAGAAAGAGAATTACTTATAAAGAGGAAATGGATGAATATCGAGCATTGAGTGTAGAGTCTGCAAAACAAATATTAGAGAATTGCAATGTCAATACAAAAGAGTATATGAATGGCTACAAGAATGTCTATAATTTCGTGTCGATGGCAGGTGAGACACAATATCATGATCAACTCTATAATGAAATAAAATCAAACATTGAAAACTATTTGATCGTTGCCAAATCTGAACAACTTTGTTTATCATTTACATCTTACAACAATAACAATAATAAAAATAGCAACAATAACAATGAAAATGAACAAAAAGATAAAGAAAAAATAATTCATTCATTAATTACGTTGTGGTTAAACTTTAAGAAATCTATAAAACTACTAAAGAATATGTTGGAACCACTTGCAAGATCAAACCATTACTTTGAAGGAAAAAAGAATGTTATTACCTTTGGTTATTTTCAATTCAAACATATTATCATTGAATCGATATCATTACAATCGATAGGAATAAATATTCAAAACCTTGAAAACAATGAAATGTAAGTATTAATATTCATTGTATTCATATATCATTTTTACAATAAATACTAATAAATACTTTTACATTGTTCATTCATTCTTAATATATAGGTATTTATCAATGTTACAGGAAATAGATAGTCAATAATAGGCTCCCATTAACTTTCAATTGAAAGATCATGTGTTTGACAACTTCTTTCACAAATCTACGTATGATATAATGCTGAGTAAAGCGATCACTAAACATACATGCCTGCTCTTTGTCCATAGGTAAACCTTAACTCTTTTTTTTTAACCAAAGTAAAAATTTATAAAGAAATAATGAAATAATGAGAATCAATTAATTAATTAAATAAATAAAATGTATCAAATCAAAACAAGATTGTGGATTCAAATGAAGATAAATAATAAATAAATGATTATATTGAGAATTCCTGCTATAGATAAGATTGATTTCTGCTCGGTCTGTGCTTTTGATTGAACAACTTCATCATCTTCGCTATGTAGATTAACTAGATCTGTTTTGACTATTAAACCATTTGATTTTAATTGTGAATGTACAATACCACTTGTAGTTGTTGATATAGTTGATATAGTTGATGATGACGATGATGTCGATGTAGTTGATATTGTTGTTGGTTGTGATTTTGTCGATGGTTGTGATGATGATGGTCTAGTAGTAGATGGTAATTTTGATAAAGGCGGATGTGGTTTCATACTAGGTGGTAATGATGGAAAGAGTAATGATTTAGATAAAGTTGGTGATGATGATGATAATGATAATGATTGTGATTGAGATGGTTGAGCAGCTGATGATGATGATGATGATATTAGTGGAGAAGTTGTGACTGACGATGAAGGTGTGCGTGTTCCACTTGAAATCCTTGATTGAATGTTGCTGTTGTCAACATCATAGTGTTGATTAATAATAATAGGTGCTGTTGTTACTTTATTAAAAGGATTTGGTTGTGATTGTAGTTGTGATTGTAGTTGATAATCATCATTGTGATTGATATTGTTATTTATATGTTGTCCATTCTCTTTATCTTGATCTTTATCTTGATCTTTATCTTTATCTTTATCTTTATCAATTGAATTCTTTCTAGATCCTTGTGATTCACTCTTTCTCTTTGAACTCTTGAATGTTTTCTCCATCATTTCCTCTAGAGTTTCAGAATATATCTTTTGTAGGGCATCCAATTTTGGAATTTTAAATTTTTTAATTTCAATCAACTTTAACTCTACAATAGTAATAAGATAATAAGATAAGATATTGTAATGTAATGTAAATTATTAATCTAAATTAATGTAAAGTAAAGTAAATAGGATATTAATATTATTATTAATTACTCTTTCGACAAGTTGTATGAAAAAAGTTCTTTGTTCCAGAGTCGATGTCAGAACGAGGTTTGAGTAGATCATAAACTTTTTTGTGGGGAAGGTCGTGTGATTCGTTCGGAGATTGACAAAGGTACCGCGTTAGACTCTTGCATCGCTTTTCATCAAAGATTTCATTTGGAACGACAGAGAAACATGCAACTGAATTTCTACTGAAAAACAAAAGATTGTGTAGTCTTTGTATTGATGATCTCGAAACAAATTCATCAATCACTTTTTTATGTTCATCGTTGATTCCATAGGTTATTAAATTGGTTTTATATCCTAAATATTCAAAATCATCCATCTTGATTAAAAAAAAATACAAAAATAAATTAAATAATTTTATTATATAAATAAACTAAATACACAATGATATTTCTTTCTAAAAAAAATAATGTCTATTTTTTCATCTTTGGTGTAAATAAAAATCAATATTGGAGAGGGTATTTTTCTTTTTAGTTTTTTGAAAAGTTTTTGGGCTGGTTTCTTTGGATTACTATCATCACCATTATTTTTTTGATTCCAAAGAAAAAATATTCATGAAAAACTAAACTGTGATATTAGCTATATGGATGAAATTTACAATAATGAAAAACTAATATGTTTGGATGTAATCAAAGAGATATTGGAGAATAATACTTTCAATGCGAAAGAATATATGACTAAATATACGATCTTTCACCATTTTGTGGCATCCTATAGCTCTACTAAAAGAGATACTGAACAATATCATAGTGTACTCTATAAAGATATAGAGGTGGCAATCGAAGACTATCTCAAGATGGCAATAGCCGAGCAACTTTCTTTTGAACATTTACGCAGTGGTGGCGGCGGCGGCGGCGGTAGAAGAAATGTTAGCACTAACACCAACACCAACACGACTACTACTACTACTACAGATGCCGATATAGATATAGATATAGATAGAATAGCATTCAATTCATTCGTAACACTTTGGTCGAATTTCAAGAAATCATTGAGAATCATACAGAACATGATGGACTATCTGATAAATTTGAATTCTTTTCAGCCCATTGTGATTGCTGGCTATCGAATTTTCAAAAGAGTAATCATTGAGTCGCTCACTGTACAATCTATCATCTATGATAGTCATCGAAATAATATTGAAAGTAATCTTGAAACGTAAGTTAATTCCCTTGAAGAAATGAAATTACTACTTTATTGATTTATTTTTAAACAACCATAACTATATAGTCTATCTTTAATCTTACAAGAGATTAGTTAATTAATTACAATAGCGAATGTAAATTTTAGCAAATAAAATGTAAATTATCTAACTACACAGTGTATATATATTGTTTTTGATTGTTTATTTTTTACAAATTATTATAACAAATCCTATCTTATCTTATCTTTTCTTTCTAATATTGTATGATTTTAAGCGGTGATTAAATAAATATGATGATATTACTACTACTACTACTAATGGTTATTGAACCATTTTCGGATTTATCGGTTTACCAGGATGTTTTGACTCATAATGCTGGTTAACCTGATTTTCATGCGTAAGCATAGCCTGTAGTTTAGAAACCATAGTTAGTTAGTTAGTTAGTAAGTATACTATATTTTGTTCAAATTATTCTATTATCTAGTATATTTCTATTCAATCTTTTTGATTATCATTCATTTTCTAACTAACACTAATCAATCACATACCATACAAATGTTACATTGAATCTTAAAAGCAGCAGCTCTATGTTCAAGTTGACTACCTTTGGCTGGTTGATTCTTCTCTTGATTTCTTTTTTGAGCGTCGATCTATCATGATACAAAGTTAACTTTTGTGTAAATAGCATTGTAAAGATAAGGTTTTATATTGATCAATGATAAATACCTTTTGTTTACCTCTTGTCATTGTCGTTTATTGTATTGTATTGTATTGTATTCAAATTAATCAGTTAATCACAAAAAAAAAAAAAAGTAGCTATGAAGAGACAAAAAAATTTTTTTAAAAAAAAAAAAAAAAAAAAAGAAATTTTCTTTTTACAACTGTGATCTTTGCAACTTCACATAACCCAATCCTATGTATAAGTAGTCGTGGTGCATCTTGTCTATTATCCACACCAATCTTAAGATTGTGTCGGTATGATGACCATTTGTGATTCCACCAGTCAAACTGTTATGATGAGTTATTACTATTCTATGTGGTCTGTTACTTCTGAATCACTCATCATCACCTTCAGAGAAGACATGTCTGTCTTTTTAGTCTATCTCTAAGTAAGTGATCCTACTGATCTTTATTAATTTAACATTATTATTTTTATTTTATTTTCATCCCGACACAACAAATTTATATAATCAACAAACAAATAATAATAATAGTAATATATTGTTAATTTATTATTATTATTAATATTATAATTATTATCTTGTCTGTAAGTGGGTGGGGTATTATTTATTATTCATTTCATTGCTTATAATAAAATTTTTTGTGATTTTAGATCGATCTAAAATCTTGGTTGGTTTTTTTAATCAGATTATAATTTCAATTATTTTCATTTTTTTTATTTTTGGTTTTTTTTATTTTTTGGTTTTTGAAAGCCCCAATTTCAGGAAGGCGCTAAACAAAAGTTATCAAATCATTGGTTGTATAATATTTATTTATTTATTTATTAATTTATTTATTTATAGTATATATTAAACATAAATAACAACAACAAAGAGAAAACAGTAAAACAACTTCTGCATTTATATCAATAATAATAATAATAATAATACACTGGTGTTATTGTTTTTTAAAACAAACAAACCAAAACACCCACACTTAAACACAAATATACATACTTGGGACAAAATCAACACCCAACCTAACTTAAACTAACATAACCAACCAACCAACGAACAATAAGTTTATTGCTTCAAAAGAATAGAATCAATCAAACAATTCAATTCAAATACATATGATTGATTAAACAATAAAGAATAGAATATAATAGAATACAATTTAATATAAAAGTTTAGAATACAAAAAATATTAATAATCAGAATAGTTTTAGAAAGAATAATTAGAAATCAATAATCATTGGATATTATTAGATGAATTTTTAGATTTAAGATCAAACATTGTTAAAACACATACATACATATAGATAAACAATTCAATACCACAAAATTGATTCTTAGATCGATTGATTGGTTTGCTCACACACCCACTCACTTTTTTTTTTTTTGTGTGGCTTTTGTAAAAACAAAAAAATAACAAAAGCCAAATATTAGCAATTAGTTAATAAATAATAGAATAATATTAAACAGATATAATATATATATATATAGATAATCAATGTCATCAAGTGAACAAACACCAGACTTTTTGTCGGTTGCTGGATCATCTTCGACGTTGGACGGTTCACCAATTCCATCGCCAAGAAGCCATGCCGGTAGTCTGTCACCACATCCATCACCGGATATGAAGCGTAAGAATTCCAGTAATCTGCATCTGGGATCGGAGGCGTCACCACCTCCACCACCACCAGTTCCGGCGCGTCTCGGCCTGGCTGCACCACCACCCAACGGCACTCTGTCGGCGTCGTCTTCATCTGCCGCGCGACCAACAACAGCTGTCGACGGTCTCCGTAATTTCGCACAGCGTAAATACCTAGCAATGGCATCGTTCCTCTCGATCCACCACAAAGACGACGCCGACACACCACAACTACCGCTGCGCATGACATGGAACGACTTTGAAGTAGAGTACGAGCGTGAACGCGACAGTCTGCCAGCGGCACTCACCTTCCCAGTGGGTGAGGTAATTGTGCGGCGTATCGAGCGTTTTCCACGCTATATATTCCCACCGACCGTTGGTCTGGTGATGGGCGGCCTCGAACAGCATGTTCGCGATATGATTCAACACTTTTACAAAGACTATCTGATTGTTCAGCACAAGAGTAATCTTGGCAGCAGCGGCAGCGGCGTAGGTGGATCGCTCGGTGTGCGCAAACCAAGCGCAACAAAATCACAGAGTTCCATCTCGATTGCAACACACGATCTCAACGGATCACAACCTCAACTACGCAGTCATCTCTTCTCCAGTGGCAAGTCGATAAACAAACAACTTTCGAATCGACGACTTCCACTCTCTGATTCTGGCGATGATGTTATCAACAACAACACGCCAATGTCACCAATGTCACCAATGTCACCATCCATCCAAATCAATACACCATTATCACCAAACATAAATTCAACACAATCTTCACCCAACATATTATCTACCAACAACATAGATCCATTAAAACAATTGATTCCAGAAAGATTGTAAGTTAAAATTGAATGAAAAAAAAAAAAGAAAACAAAGTGGAAAACTGAATATTAACATAATTATTTTTTTTTTTTCAGTGGTTTGGAATTACTTTGTGAAGTAAAAGAATTGAAATTCCTTCAGGAAATAGAACCTTTCTTTTGTAGTTTGTATATTGTAGATTTGGAGAAGCGCGAAAGAATATCAGAGAATTTCAATTTTCATTTAAATTCAAAGGGACTGCTAGAGTCGTTGAAGATCAGTGACGATCTCAATAATGGATGGGCCAATCAGAAGCAGGCGTTGTTCTCACTGAACAAATACCATCCGAATATGTATTTTATTTTGCGTGTCTATCATATATTCCGCGGCGACATCGAGAAGGATATCAAACCCTACATCAAAGACTACAAGAAACAAAACAAACAGAATGTAATAACACAATTCAAATCAGAGATCGTCGAGAAATGCACAAACTGGGGATCCACTGAGCAATCTCAGATTCTCCAGCCATTCGCATGGGCTGCCTATCCAGTATTCCACAGACCAACACTTTCAAACTCATCATCCTCTGCCAATCTTTTACAATATCTTCAACAACAACAACAACAAAATAATAACAATAGCAATAGCACACCAACTTTATCAAGTCAAACATTATCACCAAACAACAACAATCCTGTACAATTAAATTCTTCTTCAAATTCCAATCCAAGCTCAACTCCACCTTCACCAAACCCCAATGGTTATTCACCACCACTCGTGCCAAGTATACCTTTGAATCTTAACAATGGAACTGGTTCTGTTAAGGCACGTAGTTTCACACCTCCAATTAACAATCAAGTTCCTTTGCCACCTCCTCTGCCGGGTTCGCCAGGTGGAGTCGCCAATGGCGGCGGCACCGTCAGTAGTGGTGGACACAACAAGACAAACATTGAAATCGTTGGAATGGTTCCATGCACACCGAACCTCAGTGATCGTTCCATTTGTGAACTGCTAAACAACGACAAAGATCTAAAGAAGCTGAAAACAGTACAAGCCAGCTTCACAATGTCGATTCGCTCGCTCGACGCCGACGACGAATGTCGTGGACGTATCTCTCCCTCGCTCATCCCAATGCTCCCACTCTCGAGTGAGCGTGATAGCTTTATTCGCGACATTCAAGATTTCACAGAGACACCCTATCCCTTTGTCGACTACGTTAACAATCTCTATATCTACCCAGAGACCGTCTTTATCAAATACAAAAACCCGAACCTACAGATCCAGGTTCAGCTGATTGAGGATCTCGGCTGTCTGAAAGCGTTGCGTTGTATCTATCCCTCGACACCGCCATACATTCCCGCTAACCTCTGGGATTCCCTATCGTTGCCGGCACCCGGACAGCCCGGACCCGCACCGACAGTCCCGTTCCCGCCACTCGAATTCATGGCGCACACCGCCGTCTCCTTCCACGACAAACGTCCACACTTTGCCGAGGAATTCAAGGTGAAACTGCCCACCAAGATAACCACGCACCATCTGCTATTCACATTCTATCACGTCAACATCAACGCCAAGAAAGATCAAAAGACGGCGATCGGCTATGCAGCGGTGTCGCTCGCACCCGGAAACATCCTACGAGACGACATCTACCATATCCCAATCGGAACGGAACTCACCAACGCTTTGGATACGACACTGCTCAACAATGAAGAAAGCAAAAAAGAGAAACGTGCATACTTTACATTCCGAACGAAACTGGTATCCAGTATCATACCGCAAGATGCCAATCTCTCGCAGTTCTTCAAGCATCTCAGCGGTACTCACGATTCGATTGGCAAGACATTCGAAGTGGTCAAAGGTATTCAAAAGATCGATCGATTGAGTTGCGTACAATTCTTCCCAAGCATTCTAGATCAACTCTTCCAAATCATGTGTTCAAGTGCCAATGATGTTGCATCACAAGCATTCTCATCAATCTTACATGTTATTAAAATGTATGTTAATTGATTGCATATGATTCATAACAACAAATATATATTAACTAATATTCTTTAAATATCAATAATAGTGTTGATGGTTATGAAAAGAAAGCAGGTACAGAAAAGAGTAGATTATTAACTTACTATTCAGAGTATATGTTTGATTATGTACCGGATTCAAAGAATGTATATGAAGAGTTATGTAGACAATGGGTCAATGCAATTAATACAGGTGTATGTAATAATTATAATAATCATAATAATAATTCAAACATCTATTAGATTATAGTTTAAGATTAACATGTTAATATCTTTTAATTTATTATAGATTTATGTTAAAGATTTTAGATTAAATTGGTTCTTGTTTGATATTATGACGAAATCAATGGCATTATCTTTGGCGAATTCAGGTCAGTTGGAGAGTGACATTGGTAGAGAGAATCGATTCAAGATTGAATTCCAAGAGAATCTCAATCGTTTAGTTCTAAAGTTACTTCCACAATCCGATTCCAATGGAATGTCCGTTCAAAGCTGGGAGTTCTTTACGAAATTCCCTAATTTCATAAACAATCTATTCCCATTAATCGATAGAGGTTTCTTATTTAACTTGGTATGTAATTAATAATAACACGATTATTATTATTATTATTATTGTTATCCTCTTTATTAGCTTAGCAAAACTAATAACAATATATAAATATTTAGATTTATAATTATATAGCTAGAATCGTAACAACATTCACAGATGATAAAGATAAAGATAAAGATACCATTGCAATGATAACTATAAAGTTTAACTTTTTAAGAATCATTTCCGACTACGATCATTATATACCTTTGAACTTCCCGCTACCAATCAAAGTAGTAGATTCAATTGCTGATTTAACTACAAAGTTCTTGTATGTATAACATGATTAAAATAACCAATTAATAATTTGTTTATTAACAATTTGTTTACTAACTTGCTTGTTTCTTTATATACTGTTAGTAAACGTCATTTCATTGCTGTTTTATTGTTGAATGAAGTTGAAGCATGTCTTAAACAAAATAAGAGCTCCATCAGAAATCAAGCTATTCAAACATTGAAACAGTTACTCAAGAAACATCATTTCGATCCTCGTTATCAACAACAAGAGATACGTGAGAAGATAGCAACTATCTATTTCCCATTCGTTTTAATGGTATGTATTTGTTATTCTTTACCTATAGTAATATTATATTTTTAACAAATAATATCTATATAATATTATTAATAATAATAGATGGTTGAACATTATTCGATATTGAAACATTCATTGGATTCTGTTGAAGTACCTGATTGGTTGACATGCTTTATTTGGGTGTTGCAATATTGTAATCGTGATCTGCTGAGAGTTTGGTTTACAAAGGAAACAGAGACAAGACAGAATAGCTTCCTCTCACTGATTCTGTTGTCGCTAGAGACGTTCAAGGATGAACCATCGATTCATGAGATCATCTTGTTAGACATTGAAATCTGTAAGATCATTTTAGATGATTTCAAGTCGATCGACGATAAACTCTTCAATATGGTCATCAACAACATTCAACGAGCACTATCGTTGTCGGCCAGTGACATCGTGCCGGAGGTCTACAAGTTGATACGCGATTCTCTCATACCTAAACACCCACAGCATCTCTTTGAGAACACCAACAACATCTGTGAGATTCTCTGCTACGAGTTGCTGTGTGCTGCCGACTCACCGAAACTCTCGGTGGAAGCGGCCAGCTTGTTTTACTTCCTGTTGGAGCAGAACTTTGCTCGCACCACCAACGATATTCTTCGTATGAAGATTCAGTCGACCGTCGCCATCTCCAAGTTGGTCGGTGAGTTGAAGCTGGAGAACTCGAGCAATATCATCGTGTTTATGAACAAGGTGAAGGAGTTGATGAAGACACATCCTTCGAGTGTCTTCAAGAGCCAGATCGAAGAGGTGATCAACCGTATCAACACGTTGATAAAGTATAGCAATACGATCAATGCCAATCGTACCGATATCGAGATGGTTGCAGAGATGTACTACAACATCTCCAATAGCTACTTTGAGAGTCCGAACCTGCGTGTCACCTGGCTGGAGAATCTCTCAAAGAAGAACTGTGACAACGGTCAGTTTGACGAGGGTGCACAGTGTCTCATACAGAGTGCATACCTCATCTCGTGCTATCTAACGCAAAAGTCAAAGCTGCACATCAGACAGTCAGACTTTATCGCCATCTGTCCAAACATTCCAAAGGAGTTGGAACTACCGCCACTCAAAGATGAATCGCTCTTCCAAACATGGACATTGGAATACATGGTTGAACTACTGGAGAATGCAATCTCACTAACTCTCAAAGCCAATCGTTATGAACTCGCCATTGAAATCTATTCACTCATCTCAAAGATCTATAAATCCAAGAAGGATTATAAATCACTGATCAGTGTTCTCTCCAATCAAAAGGTTGTCTGTGAGACACTGATTGAGAAAACGAAGGAGATACGATTCCAACCAAAGTACTACCGTATCAGTTTCCAAGGTGCCAAGTTCGAGGAGTTGGACGGCAAGGAATACATCTACAAGAAACCGGCCGATTGTCTTTTGAAACACATTCAAACGCAGATTCGTGAACATCTCTTTGAGAAGTTTGGTAAGAGCGACGAGTCTGTTGTTCTTCTGCCGAATACTCCATTCGATCGCGCTTCACTCGATAACGATAAACTCTACTTCCAGATCATCACTGTCGAGCCATACATTGAATTGTCGCAGTTGCAGCTGCCCGCTGCCGATCCACTGGCGAACGGATCGCAATTCGACCAGTACTTTGGTGTTTCGCAATTCATTAGTGAGACTGCTTACAGTCATGAAGGCAAAGCAATCCAGGAGGATCTATCGAAGCAACTGAAAAAGAAGACGATCTTCTCTGTCGATCCAGCATCGTTCCCCTACCTCAAGAATCGTATCGATGTCACCTCGAAACGCGAGATCATTCTATCGCCCATTGAGAATGCAATTGAACTCATCAAAGGACGTATCGTCAAACTCATTGAACAACTTCAAACACCATCTCCAAGAATCAATCTTTTACAACAAGTCATTCAAGGAAGTGTTTTCCCAAGTATGTATATTTCGGAATTAATGATTATCATTCTGATAAAGATGGTTTTACTAATCAATTATTGATTTAATAGTGGTAAATGAAGGACCATTGAAGATTTGTGAAGTATTTTTAAGTAAGAGCAATAGTTCACAGTATAATAGTGAACATGTTGATCAACTAAAGAAGGCAATGGAAAGATTTATTCACTATTGTGGTTGGACCATCAAGTTGAACAAAGGTCTCATTTCTCCACAGCACCAAGACTTCCAAAACATGGTGGAAAAACAATTTGAGCAACTGAGAAAAGATGTATTCAGTTATCTATAGAGTATTGAAATAAACTGTTGATATTTACCAAAACTAGTACTTATATTTGAAAAATGATGTTTTTTGTTTAAAGTGTCAGTCCTGTCTTTTTAAGATTGTACAATTCTTTGGAACCTTCGATAACTTAATCTTGAATATAAAAGATGAATTAATGAATAAAATGGTGTTTTTTCATACTAGATCCATTGATTACTACAACAATAATCGTTATGGCCGATGATATTTCTCAAGATTGTACCCGGGTAATATCACTACATTCCCAAAGTCAGAAACTCATGTTTTCGAAGGTCAATATAACTCTATCATTACAGGAAGTAGTTTCATTGGGAATGTTGCCAACGAAGAAGGTTCAGGAGGTGCTATCTATCTCTCTTTGGGATTGGTAACCAACAGTCAATTCAAATCTAACACCGCAGGTCTGGGTGGTGCCATCTACAACGAAATTGGTAAGTTGTTGGTTATCAACTCAACATTCAGCTCGTGTAAAGGATATGAATTAGGAGGTGCTATTTTCTCAGGTGGAGAACTCATTGTCGATAACAGCACATTCGTTAATCAACTCTCCTATTGGTGGTGCTATTGCTATTTCAAACACCAACTCCAATGAATAATAAACAAAAAAGACTTAGATACCGTGATTCAAGTGCTATAAAGAAGAAGAAAGATCAAATTTGCGACCAAAATAAATAAAAATTTAAATAATTGGTTTTTAAGTTTTTAACAAAAAAAAAACTTAAAAATCCTTCTTGCGAAAAAGAGAAGTTTGGATTAAAGGTGTTGATTTAAGATCAATTTTGAGTACCATCGATTTCTTTTTAAGAGAAAAATTTAAAAAATGATGACGTTCAAAAGATTTTTTATCTTGGTTTCCAACCTACAAAGTCGAAAAAAATCCTTGGTTCGCTGGTACCAAGGATTTTTTTTTTATTGGTACTTTTAAAAAAAAATATAAATACTCTTTAGAAAGTATTTATTTATACTATTATTTAAAATTATAAAAAAATGAAAACATTTAATATTTTATTACTTTTTATTTTTATATTATTCTTTTCAACTTCGAAATCTTATAAAATAGTTTCAGATGAGGGCACTGTAACCTGTTTGGTGAATGAAACCCTTACATCGTGTCAGAGTTATAATAATGTAGATCAGTAAGATATCATACGACAAGAAATTCATTTTTTAGTTTATTTTTTCTAACTTTTTTTTTATTTTTATTTTTAAAAGAGTTTGTGGTACAATTGTTCAATGTATTAATTATCAAGCTGAAATAGTTCAAGACAATCCATTGATTACTACAACAATAATCGTTTTGGCCGATGATGTTTCTCAAGATTGTCCGGGTAATGTCACTACATTCCCACAGTCCGAAACTCATATTTTCATTGGACAAAACAACACTGAATATATATGTTTTGTAAGAGTAAAAGAATTTAAATTCTTTAAAGAACCCTGTCTTATAATGATTTATTTAAATATTTTTAGGAAAGTTTTATTACAGTAGATTTGCAAATCAACACCAATATCATTTTTGCTAGATTTAATTTGAGCAGCTTTGGTATTAATGGTAACCAATATGGTGGTCTCATATCAATCACATATGAAGGTGCCGGAGTTGGTCCATTTGTTATTTTCGACAATGTAACCGTTGGAAATTCCAAAACATCTGGTGATGGTGGTTGTGTGTATGTAGATGGTGCTTCACTCTCTATTATAAATTCTACTTTCTCAGGCTGTCAATCAGGTTCCTATGGTGGTGCCGTTTCTACTGGTGAGAATACACAGTTTATCAGCATTGTAAACTCTTCTTTTAGTTCAAATAATGCTGCTTTGGGTGGTGCCATCTACAGTTATAACCAATTAATGGCAACCGAATGTACATTCACGATGAATTCAGCATTAACTGGTGGAGCCATAGCCTCTAACACAGTCAATATCTTTGGCAGTACTTTCATTGAGAATGTCGCTAAACTAGATGGTGGAGCTGTCTATGCAATTGGAAATGATAATACCATTGAATTCAGTGGTTTCTTTGGAAATGTTGTCAATGAAGAAGGTTCAGGAGGTGCTTTGTATATCGCAATGGGATCGGTAACCAACAGTCAATTCAAATTGAACTCTGCAGGATCAGGTGGTGCCATCTACAGTGAAAATGGAGAGTTAGTGGTCGCAAATTCTACATTCAGCACCTGTAGAGCTTTAGACTATGGAGGTGCTATTCTCTCTGGCGGATCACTCAATGTTGATAATTGCACATTTGTTAATCAACTTTCTTTTTATGGTGGTGCCATTACGATTGGAAACACAAACACCAATATTGAAATAACAAACTCCATCTTCTTTGCCAATCAAGCCACAAATGGAGGTGCAATCGTAAGTTATTTTTATCTATTTTCTTTGTTAAAAATATTAATTTGAAGATCTTCTATTTTAGTCTTTTACTGAAAATAATACAATATCTTTACTTGGATCAGTATTCCAGAAGAATATGGGTAATTATCGAAAGAAATTAATAGAATTTAATATTGCAACATTAATATATATTCTTACCTTTATCTTTTTTAAAAAAAGCTTCAATGGAAGCAGGTGCTATTTATTTTACAAGTGCTTATTCAAAGTTAACTGGTGGTAAATTCATTTATAACAAAAACGAACTTTATGCTAAATCAAATACCTTTAATATTGATGCTATCCCAGCTTCACTTCAAATTGTTAATGTATCGACTTCCCTCATTATGGATCAAGTTATTTATAATGTACCAATTGTAATCGATGAAACTATGGAATATGTATGTAAAACAAACCATTTTTAATAATCTTAAAACTAATTAAAACTAATATATCATCGAATTAAATATAAATAGCCACTTGCCTATGGTGTTTTTGGTCATCCATGTATAGATGGTATTGCAACTATTTCTTTAGATGGTTATGTCGAAGACTGTCAATACTTTAATAATTAAACATTAAAAAAATAAATAAAATTATAATATTAATAATAATAATAATTTTATCTATATTATTTATTAGAATAATAATTGACCTATGATCTACAGTAATTTATAGAAATAAGTTGTACCTGATAATTCACCATTTGAACTTAATGCATATTGAGGAATGACACCAGCCTCTATATAACTGAGTTTAGTGTATAAACGAGAGGCAACATCATCCTGTCTTGTATCCAAAACCAAAAGTGTACGACCATTGTTCTTTGCAAGTCGTTCTATTTCATTCATTAAAACTGTAGCTATTCCTTTGCCTCTATGTGTTGATTTCACCATTAACTTTTCTACTTCAGCTCTATGTAAACCATTCTTTTTCATACAGAGTGAAAGTTGCACAGAACCTAATATCTCTAAACTATCTTTACTGTTGACATCTGTATTTTCATCTATTGCAATTAGCATGAATCTCGATCGTTCTTTCAAATCATTCTGAACTGATAACCAATAGCTAACTGCATCTATACGTGGTAGTGGAGCTATGAATCCTACAGATGCTCCACTCTGAACACTATCAATTAATAATGTAACCAAATTATTAAGCGCACCATCATTGAACTGATCTATCGTTATTATTTTAACTGTCATTTTTAAAATAATTTATTTATTATTTTGTTACTTTTGATTTGTTACTAAAATAATAAATCTGATTTTTATTTATTTTTTTTGGCAAAATGATCAATCATTTCATTTTCCTTTTTTCATAGATATCAGATATGAACAGAATAAATAGATTAACTAGATTGATTGGAAATCAATTCCAATGTCAAAGATATTACTCAACAAATGTAAAGTTGAATAAGAATAAACAAATACAGTTACAATCAAATATCTTTTTGTTAATTAATTAGTTTTATTTATATGTATATTTAGACAAATGAAGTTCTAATCGATGAACAAGGAAAGGTGATTAATATCTTATTGAATCGTCCAGAGGCATTGAATGCATTGAGTCTTCCAATGGTTAGAAAGTTGACACCACTCTACCAACGTCTACATCAATCAAAGGATGGCGATGCTGTCGTTGTCATGAAAGGTGCCGGTGGTAAAGCGTTCTGTGCCGGTGGTGACATCCGTAGTATCTACGATACCAACAACCCAAAGACCAGAAATCCATCGGTCAGACCCGACGACACTTTCTTCCGTGAGGAATACGTGCTCAACAACATGATCGGAACCAATCCAGTACCACAGGTATCGATCTACAATGGTTTCACAATGGGTGGAGGTGTCGGTCTTTCGATTCACGGTCGTTTCCGTGTCGCCACCGACAACACTGTTTTCGCCATGCCCGAGACCGGAATCGGATTTTTCTGCGATGTCGGTGGCAGTTATTTCTTGCCACGTCTTGCTCACCACACTGGAATGTATCTCGGTTTGACAGGTGCCAAAATCAAGGGTAAGGATTGCTATATAACCGGTGTCGCAACTCACTATATCCCAAATGCAAGAGTGCCGGAACTCGAGAAGGCATTGGCCGCTCTCAGCTCGCCAACCGAGAGTGCCGTCAACGAAGTACTCGACAGTTTCCACGAGAAGGTCGATATCAACGACAACTCGTTGATTAGCAGTAAATTCCAGTTGATCGAAAAGACATTCTCAAAGAGATCGGTCGAGCAGATCATCGAGGCATTGAAGGCCGACGGTAGCGATTGGTCGAAACAAAACATTTCAACACTCTCAAAGATGTCGCCAACATCTCTCAAAGTAGTCTACCAACAGATCGTCAACGGTGGACAACTTCCAACTTTGGCCGATTGTCTCAAAATGGAACTGAGAATGGCACAAACCTTTGTTGAGAACAATGACTTTTTCGAAGGTGTCAGAGCTTTATTGGTCGACAAAGATAAGAATCCAAAATGGAAACCAGAAACATTGGAACAAGTTACCGACTCTATGGTAGCTAAATATTTTGATACACATGGACACGATTTAAAGCTTTAATTTACGACAAATATGTTGATCGAAAAAGTTTAACATGATCATTCATTTATTCAGTTTCAAAAAAGAAGAATGAATAAATTGCAATAACGATATTTATATTACTTATATTAACAACAAACTGACTATCTACTTATTTATATTATATAATTTTAAAACATTCTCTCTAAATATTTTCAATGAGAATTCTTTTGCTTCTTCCAAGGTGATCTCATTGTTTTCGATACATTTCTGGAATATTTCTGTTAGACATTTTCTTGCCCATTTCGATGCCAAGTAATAGAGTTCTGGAATGTGGTGTGCGTCCGAGCTGTACAGTATTTTGTCGATTGGACATACCTCTAGGAGTGAATCAAGTGTATCGTACATTCCACGCTGACTCAGCAGTGGAATCGCCAGTCCAATGTCAATGTATACATTGGGATAGATCCAACAGAGGAATGCACCCTCTCTGAAATACGGATAGCTACAATGCAGCAGCACAATTGGCACCGTTGGATAGTCGGCAATCAACGGTTTCAATAGTAGTGGATTCGCTTTTTCCAAGTCCAAATCGCTGTCACCGTAGCCAGTGTGTATCTGAATCGGTAGTGGTTGGAAACGCTGTGAACTGATCTCCATTGTCATTCTCAGGAAATAGACAATCAGTACCTTTGAAGAAACTCTATAGCTACCCGATGCCAGCTTGTCACTGTCCTCTGTCATTATTCGTTTGTATTCCGACTCCACTGTTTCCACTGGACTCGATTCAACACCCAAACCACCACGATATGCCAAAATCGATTTGAAACCAATGATTTCAATGCCGTCGGTATCCAACTGTCCCGGAGCAATCGTTACCTTCGATCTCAGATGTTCTGTCCACTGTTGGAAACTCCAGTCGCCACCGTCGGATTTCGCTAGGACCAACGACCGCTCGAGAATTGTTTCCAAACGTACAACCTTGTAGACCTTTGTGAATTGTAGATGCCAACTCGATGACTGACCCTCGATTACCTTGTTATCATAATGGATAGTTAGAGCGTCATCCAAAATAATCGACTCTAACTTTGATAGTGAAAATGACTTTTGAGTGATTGAAAATATACCTAGTTCACGTCGTTTCAACTCGACCTGCTTATCTATGAGGTCGAACGATTTCGACTTTCCACTTTCCAGCATTAAATCGATACCATATAACTCTGCCAATTCTTTAATAGATCTTCTATATATTAATGTACTCTATTTAGCAATATTATTAATGTTAGCTATGTATAGTGTTATATAATAAATATAAAGAGATTCTTATTTATACTTTTGATTGATTCATGAAATGTTGATTACTATCTATTGCACCTTCACAGAAAGAAGCAGCCAAAGGCATCAATTGAACACATTTATCACCCAATACATTATGACAATGATGATCGACAGCCACTATATCATTGATAAAAGTTCCAAGATCAAGTTCTTTACAATGTTCATCTTTGGTATTATTATTAGTAGTAGTCTCCATGAGTAGTTCTTTCTCTACTAATTATATTATATTATATTATTTAATTGTTTTTATATTAAAATGAAAAATGAAAAAAAATACAAGAATAAGTAATAGAAAGAGATATAAAGAAATAAAGTCTACAAAAATTGTATAGAATATATGATGATTATAATCATTATCATGTTTGTTATTTTTATTAATTGGAATCTCCAAAATTAGATTATTTTTACAAGTTCATGTGAAATTGATTGGGTTTCACCAAAAATATAAAACTATTTATTTTTATTTTATTTTTTTGATACCACCTCTATTAATCAGACCCTTTTAATAGTATTTATTTTCAAGAAAAGATTTATTTATCAGATCAATTTTGGTCTTTAAATATTGTTGATGACAGAATTAGATCTATATATTTGAATTATTTTTTTACTTTTTTTAAAAAACAACCGGTTGTAAATCAATTTTAGGATTGGTCATCATTCTTTCTTTCTTGGTTCTTTCATTGTTGTTAAATAAACTAAATATACTTTATCTTTCTTATTGGTTTATTATTCTTAAATAGAGTGTATATAAGAGTTTGATTCCTCGATTATTAAACTGATTAAAAGCCAATACTGAAAATAGTGGTATAGTGTTAACTTAAAACCGATCAGGATCATTTTAATTGGTAGCAATGACACCAATTAAATCAGCTTCTTGGGCAATAAGATCTGGCTATGATCAAAAGATCATTGGAAATTTTTTTTTTTACTATCGAGGTTCTTAATCAACTTCTTCAACTCACTACACAAAAATTTATAACTTTTTTGTATTAGTATTCTATTAATATGTCTTATTTTTTTAAGAATTGAAAAAAGTGAATTTAACAATGGCTTTATCTTGTATATAATCTAATCTAATATGCTATTTCAGAGTAAAACAAGTTCACCAAAGTAAAGTAAGTTTTTATAATATTTTTATATACAAAAATAGGTTTATAATATTGACATATCATTGGGCACAAAACATATTTGAATTGAATGATTGAACCATTTGTTGATTGGATGGTATTGTGTTACTGGTAGTTTGAAGAGTTTCGAGATCGATTGCGATCACATTTACTTCAGATTTCTGATTGGTCATCAACGCCAAAATATAACCGGCTTCGTCATATACAAACTGGCAATTTCCATTTCCAGTGTCAGAGTAATTAAACTGGAAGATACTATCAATGGATTTCGAGTTAAAGTTGGCAATACCAACTTCAATGTAGGAGTTTTGAATGATACAGACATACAACTTTGATTGGTAAACGAAAATTTGTTGAACGATATCCTCTAAATTATATGCGATTTCGACATACTTTGTTGTCTGACTGGCAAGCGAGTACTGAGCGAATGTCAAAGAACTATGCTTGCCAACTTGATTACCGTAAATATAATAGATTTGAGTAGAGCTATCGTAAGCTCCATAAGCATAATCCTGGCAAGATGTTTGGTCAAAAGCAGTATGATTCCTATAAAAAAGATTGTAAGTTGGTGAAAAACAAAGGTGTATTTAACTGGATTAGTTTTAAACTTACACAGTTTTTTCATTGACATTGAATATGGCTAAACTTGGGTAAACACTATTGCTACATATTGAAGCGAAAGCAAGTCCACTGGAAGAATCGAAAGAATTAAACTGAAAATCAAATTGAATGTTTGTAAAGAATTGTGCCTTGGTAGTCATTAAACCAGACTTGAAAAAAAAACGTAATATATATTTTAATAAATAATTAATGAAATAAAAAAACTAATCAATAAAGATTACTTACAACTCCATTATAGATTGATAAATTATAATGTTTATCTTGAGTGTCATATCCATCAGTCAATACAATGTAGTCATCTCCTATACATTGTAAAAGACTGTTTATAAAATAGCTATTGGTATAATCAGGACGATTTTGTAAAATTACACCATTAGTCAAGTTCTGTTCGATGAAACCACCCTGGAGAGTGAAAGTGGCTAGTGATGTTGGATTGCAATCAACAAAGTTAACAATGGTGACCGTGGTGATTACAATGAATAAAAACAATTTATTTACTAAATACATTTTTTTTTTTTGAGGAAAAGTTGATAACTAAACACTTTAGATGAATCAAGAAAACTATTGTTTACTGTTGTCTTGTTTTAAAATATCTTAAATATTTATTAAAAAAAAAATAAAAAATGAAAAAAAAAAACAATAAAACGTTGATGAAAAAGACAAAACACCCGATGAACATGATTGTAACCTGCATTTTGACATCTTCCCTCATTTGGAATTTGATTCATTAAAAAAACCAAAAAAAAGATATTTTGTTTTTTATGTCTTTGCAAGAAAATCCGGATTCAGATAAATTCCAAAATTTTTTTATTTTATTTCATATGAGAGTTTGAACAACAATTCAATATTAATATTAGGATAATTTTAATTGGGGAAAGAATTGGATTTACAATCTTTCAATCAAATGGCAAGAGATTTTGATTTATTTTGATAGACTTCACACACAGGCGGACAAAATAATGAATATGTTTTGTTTAATAAAATCTCAAGCTTTGTTAGAATAACTTTTTTGTGAATCGTTTATAACTATTGATTATCTCCCTAAAGTCTTTTTTAAAAGACGAGTACCACGTGGTTGAGGGATTTGAGGATGATGATCATCCATAGTTGTTGGTACAAAGTATCTGTAGATGAGTATAAATATCAAATGAATTCATTACTGGTAAATAATCAGAATATTAATTATAAAAAAAAAATGTTAAAAATAATTATTTGTTTATTTTTTATTATGCAATTGGGCAGTCACTTCAAAGTATCTGCCCAAACACCACTTACCAATGCTCAATGGACTCTTGCCTATAACTCTTTGGTTATGAGTTATGCCTCCTATTGTTCCTTAGACCAAATTAATTCATGGGGATGTCCAACTGGTATCTGTCAAAGCAGTGTAACTGGTGGATTTTTCAACACTGGAAATTTCCATGTCGCTAGTGCCAATCTCTCAGAAGTAATTATTGAGGAGAGCCCTATCCCAGGACTACCAGATAGCATTTTTACTGATGTTGTCCATTATGTTGCTATTCAAGGAAGTCAACGTATGTTTAAATAGTTTATTAATTGTTGTTTTGAATATTAAAACATACCTCTAAAAAATTACTTTTATTATAAATTACTATTATTATTAGATTTCCTTGTATTTAGAGGATCTAACAATACTGAGAACTGGGCAGAAGACTTTTTCGTCACTCACTCTACATATATTTACCCAGACGGTACCGATTCTCCATACAAAGTAGAGTCTGGATTTAACTTTGTTTGGAACAATCTCAAAGACGATGTAGTTTCTCAACTTACCAGAGCTGGTTGCATTGGAAATTGCGACCTTGTTATTACTGGTCATAGTTTGGGTGGTGCAATCTCAAGTAAGTATTATATCTTTCTTTTTTATAATTAAATACAACGATATACTGATATTATAATTAGCTCTTGCTGCATTCTATTTGAGTCAACTCAATCCAGGATGGACCATTTCTGTTAGAACATTCGGATCACCTCGTGTTGGAGATGCCGCTTTCGCCACAGCTTACAACAATGAAGTCATTAATACCTTTAGATTTGTCAACTATCAAGATTCAATCCCACATCTTCCATTCGAGTGGGGTACTGACTACATCCATGTAAACACTGAGATCTGGATCTCGACCAACCAAACTGGTACTCCATTCAGCATTCCACCACCAGCAGCAGTCTATTGTCCAACAACTGAAGATCCAAGCTGCAGTGACAGTGTTCATATTAATATTTGGTCAATTCTAAACATGAATGAATTCCTCTACTTCCACAGAAGATACTTTGGTAACGACTTGGAAACTTTCTGTACCGGATGGACACCAGCTATTACCATTTAAAATAAATATTAAATAATAATAAACCACATTAGAATTTTGATTTTGTTCTAATCCTTCCCAACCATTAGTGCATTATATTTAATCAAATATTATACTATAGCTTCCAAATAATATCGAGTAATAAATCTAAGAGACAATGACTGACTATTCATAATATCCTCGTTAAAAAAAATAACCTTTTCTTCTACTTTCTGTCAACATTATCGATTGTTGGTTGTTTTGTTATTCGTTCTTGTTTTTTTTTAAATTAAAATCAATTTTTAAACAACAAGGTTGTTTTCGTAATGTTCTAAATCACTGAATAGTTATTAAGTAGTTGTTATTGTTGTTGTTGTTGTTGTTGTTGTAACTCTATAGATTACTTGTACATAACCTATGATCGAATGCTATTTGTTGTTGACTTTCTTTTTTTTTTTTTTTTTTATTCTTTATTATGCTTAAGTTGTAATGTTGAATAAGTAAAATAAATGATTTTACGATCAGCTTTAACTTTTAAAACTCAATATTTGAATTATTTACATTTTAAATCAAATAAAACAATTATTTCCTTTTAGATCTAAATCTTGAAAAAGACAAAGATTTTTTTTTCATTTTTTTGATTTTTTTTTTTTTTTTTTTTGGCAACTGATTAAAAACAAATTTTTTTAACATCATATTGGCACCACTTTAGTTTAATAAAAAAAAAACAGGTTATATATTCAAAAAAAAAAACAAAATAAATAAAAAAGATTTAAAAAATAAAATAACATTTTAGATTTAATTATATTATATATTGTGATATCAAATAAATAAATAAATTATTTCAAAGATAGCTATAATTTAATATTAATAATAGTTTAGTAGCTAGTGTTGGTTCATTTCAATTCAATTCAATTCAATTTAATTCATTGACAGTCAGTTTCGTTTAGTTTAGATTAGTTTCGTTTAGTTTAGTTTTTTAAATAACAATAAATAGTTAGTTAGATAAGTATTATGAGCAGACCAGCAGATAAGAATGAGAAGGTCATTCGTGATCTCTTAAAGTTACCAGAGAATATGAAATGTATGGATTGTCCAATCAAAGGTCCTGTCTATGCATGTTTAGATCTCGCAACTTTTGTTTGTCAATCATGTAGTGGTATTCAGTAAGTTTCATTGTTTTTAATTATTAATATTAAAGTAATTTACAAAATAAAAACTAACAAAACTATTATTATTATTAATTAGTTCAAACATGGGTAGAAGAGTTAAATCAGTATCGATGGGATCATTCAAACCAGAGGAAATTCAAAAGTTGCAAAACGGTGGAAATAAGGCTGCTCGTGCCTATTGGTTGGCTCGTTGGAGACCCGACGACTATCCAGAACCAGAGGAAGGTGATTCCCAACGTATCAGAAAGTTCATCGAGTTGAAATATAACAATAAACAATGGGTCGATAATAACTCTGGTGGTGGTGGTGGCGGTGGTATCTCACAACCAAAGATTGAACCACTCTCCAATATTCTCGGACCTGACATTCCACCTATCCGTGTTGCACACGATAGAAATTCACAACAATTCCAACAACAAGATTTATTCAATAATAATAATAATAATAATCAGAATATAAATAGTAATAATAATAATAATCAACAACAACAACAATATCAACAACAACAACAACAACAACCACAATCAATTCAACATACACAAGTTTATAATAATAATCAGAATAATCAGAATAATAGTGTAACATCACCTAATCTTTGGACCGATAAACCAGGTAGCTCCAACGGACAGAAATCATCTGCGACATCGCTGTTGGATCTCAATGATATATTCTCTTCACCAGCTACCACTCCACAGGTACAGTCTTACAATAATCCGAGCAATCAATGGGCTACCACCAATAGTAATCCAATGATGGGAATGGGTAGCAATAACATGAACAGTAATAATAGTAGTAATAATAATATCAATGGTGGTGGTGGTGGTGGTCTTTGGGATAATAACCAATGGCCAACTCAAGCTAAACCTGCAGCTCAACAACCACCAGCATTCAATCATCAGAATTCATTCAACCAATTCCCACAACAACAACAACAACAACAACAGCAATACAATCAACAACCACAACAACAGTTTAATCAATTCCAACAACCATTCAATCAATCACCACCATTCACTTCTCAAAATTCATTCAATCAATTCCCACAACAACAACAACAACAACAATACAATCAACAGCAACAATTCAATCAATTCCAACAACCACAACAATTTAACCAACAACCAAACCAAATGCAACCAAGTATGGGACTTGACTACTGGAATCCCAATGCAAACAACAATGCTGCTTTTTCACAACCAATACAACCACAGGGTGCTCAAAGTCAAAACCAAAACAATCCATTCTCACCACAACCTGAAAAGAAAGATTACTCTGGTAAGTATTAAATATTAATAATAATAGTAATAGTAATAATAATACTAATAACATCTTTGTTTATTTACTTTTAATCTTTTTAAATTTATAGCTTTTGCTAATTTGTCACCATTTGCTAATGTAAATTCAAACTCATCAACTCCAAATGCATTTGCCAATCAATCGCCAACAGGCTCGTTCAAGGCAAACAATAACAGTAACATCTCTAGTCAAGGTGGTAACAAGGTGAACCCATTCGAATCTACATTTAATGTGAATCCATCGATGCCTCTAAGCAGTCACGGCAATAAGACCTCGTCAAATCCTTTTGCAAATGGCGGTGCTGCACTTCCTGCAACTACAAGCTCAGGAACATTACTTGGAAACAACCAAAACAACCCATTCAATAACCAAAACGACTTTTTTGGCAATAATAATAATATGCCAGCCACAATAAACTCACAGGGTGCTGGTGGCGTTCCCCCGAGAGCTGCAAGTGGTGGTGGTGCCAACAACCAGTTTAGCCAATTTAATCAATTTTCTAATCAACAACCTACTAAACAGCAATCTTTCAACAACAATCAACAGTCATCTCCATTCGGCGATTTCAACAACCCACAACCCGCAACTACCAATTCACAAAATTCATTTTCTTTCTTCTAAGTTACAATGTAACATAACATAAAATAAGATCCAACAACACAACATAATGGTATATAGAGATGCAAGAAATCTAAAAAACAAAAACAAAAAAAAACAAATCTAAAAAAAACAAAAACAAAAAATAAATAAAACATCCAATTAAAAAATTATAAATCAATTAAAATCTCACCTTTATTTTATTCATTTTGTTGTTGATTCATCTTACCATTACATGACACTATTGTCAAACACTCAAATCCCATCCCAGTCAGAAATTTTCTGAGTGTAGTGCAAATAACTATCGGAAATGAAAAGTTTGGTGGAAAAAAATAAATAATTCGATCGTAAATGAAGAGATATTTATTGGTTTATTAGAGACCAGGTGTCAATTGTTTGATAGTTTTGAACCTCAGCAAATTTGTTTAAGATCCGTAAAATATCAACTTTGAAAATAAAATTTTTTAATTTTTATTGGTTTTTTATAATTTAAATATTTGCAGGACAACCCACCTTTAGTAATCAACCGCATTATTTGTTGCGAAAAACAAAATATCAAGTTGTGGTTTTGCAAAAAAGAAAAGAAATCATCTTAATTGTAAAACGTGTTTGTTTTTTTTGATTTTTTTTGATTCGAAAAATCTTTTTGCGAATCTACAGTACCCTGATCACCTATAACACCTTAAAATTAATTGAAAATCTGATTTAGCAATTTTTTTTTGGTTTTTTTTTATTTTTTTTTACACCATTTGACCAAATCAATTATTACACAAAGTCTTGTGCTAGAGGGTTAGAGGAATCAGGAATAATATTCTGTGGTGGTTAGCGCGTGTTGGCTATCTCTTAATAAAACCAACCACTAGGAAACCATAGTTTTTATTGAAATAAGAGACTTTTAGGAATAAAGCACAAAAACTCTTATTTTTGATCATTTGAATATTGTTATTGTTGATGGTAGGCTGGAGACAGGGTCAGTTTTTATGGAGATGGAACCGATATTTTTCTTTTAGGAAACTTTGAGAATAAATATCAACAACAGTGTTTTGTTGATTAATCTAATATTTTAAATTCTACAGGGTTTTAATAATTATTTTATTTTATTTGTAAATAATTTAATTATTTATTTGTAAATAGAGTATTTGTTTATTTATTTTTCAACTTTTTCTATTTGTATAAATATCTATTTATTTTTTTTATAATGTTGTCGACAATTTTCAAAATAATTTACTTTTTATTATTATCAGTATGTTTATTTAATATTGTATTTGCTCAAGATCAATATCCTGTTGATCAAAAAGCTAGATGTGAACCATACGTCGGAGATCCTCCATCAAAAAAACTATGTGATGGTAAAATTGTAAATCCAAGTAAGTAATATGAAAATAAATATTTTCGGAAATCAAAAATTAATCAAATAAAATTAGAATCTATTTATGTTGCAGGTGATCAAACTCAAGAAGATTTACAGAAGAGTGTCGAATTTTTGTTTGGATTTTTATCAACATCAGGTTCAGATGAATGTAAACAATCTGTAAATACTACTGTTGGGATTTGTGCAATGGTAAGAGAGATATGTCATTTTATGAATTTTCATTGATATTAACTTTTTTAAAAATAGTATTTAAGAGAATGTGAATATGTAACATTGTCAACAAATCAAAAAATAGCTGTCCCAGTTAGACCATGTAAACATTCTTGTACAGAGATGTTTAATTTCTGTCAGATTACACCAAATCCACTTTTAAATTGTGATTTACAAGAGAATCCTCCAGTTGGAAAAATATTTGTTGAACAATATAGTTCATATAACCTCTCTTCCGTGGATAAATCAGCAAGCTCAAATTTCACTGTCCAGTGCGAAGATGTCAGTCAAGCCGTGGCTTTTTTGAACTTAACCAATTCGAATCAGACTGAAAACTTTTCAAATTGCTTGGCACCACTTGTACCTTACAATACCTCGGATCGTGCCTTTGCAGAAGCTAACGGTGTCCAATACACAAGTAACGTATCCATCTGTGCCGTTACATGTCCTGCCCCAATTTTTACTCGAGAAACTTGGAAGAGAATCTATGCAATGAATGATACTTTAACCTATCTTTCATTTGCTTCCTCGATTTTCTTGGTGATTACCTACGGTTTCTTGAATCCAAAGAAGTCCAGATATGACCGTATCAATCTTTGTTTTATTGCTGCCGTCTGTATGATTTGTGTTTCTGGTCTTATTGTTTCTTTCAATGGAACCGAGAAGACATTGTGTCCTACCAGTTATAGATTTTCAGTATTCACCGATGCCCCATGTACAGCATCAGCTTTCATTCTTCATATTTTTGCTATCTATGCAGTTTTATACTGGGCAATTATGGCTTTTGAAATCTGGTGGGGAATTAAAAAAGGTAAATAAGGAAAATATTGTTAAAAGAAAGTTGACATGTTTTTAACTGTTTTTTTATTATAAAGTTGGTGGTTTTAGAAAAGATCTATTTTGGTATTATGCTGCCGGAACATCTGTTATTGCTTGGATATTTCCTTTAATTGCCATTGGTAAAAAGCAATATCACTCTGGACTTGCCAATGTGTTTTGTTGGATAGATTCTGGAAAATATCAGGTTGCTTTGTTTTGGGTACCACTTGGTGTAATCTTGCTGGTAGGAGCTACTTTTATGTTCTTATTGATGCATGAAATTTATAAAGTAAATAGAAAAATAATACCCATTTAATCGTAAAATATTAACTTGTATGATTATAGATTGTATCAGCATCATCAGGTTCAAAAGGAAAGAATGCAAAAATTGAAATATTGAAAGTAGAAGCTAAACCAATCATTGGTGTAATTTTATACTTTTCACTGTTTCTTTATTTGTTTATCTATACAAGATACGTTCAAGATAATTACAAACGATTCATTGCTGGAATTCCTGAATGGTTCAATTGTGTTGTTCAGGCACAGGGTGGAAAAGGTGATCCATACAGTTGTATAGTTAAAGGACCGAATCCAGCCGGTGTGGGATATTTCATTTTCTGTGTAAGAGTGTTTGCTTTGGTTTGTTTCCTTTTGAACGGTATTTCTAGTAGATCCTTAAAGATTTGGAGAGAATCCTTTGTATTCAACAACAGATTAGTCAAACAGTTGAGATCATTCACAAGCAAGATGACTTCTTCCACCGTGTCACAAAGTACAAATAACAGTAATACAACTTTCCCATCTGCTCCCTCTCAATATGATTCTCGTAATTCATTGGATACTCCATACTCCATAGAACTCAGAGAGGAAGAAAGTTAAAAGTATAGTTAAGCGAAAAAAAATAACAACAAACTTGGATCCGAAAAAACAATAATAATATTAAAACAAACAAATAGTTTACTCTCCAATTTATTTATTATCATTTATTATTTATATCAAATCAATAAATTAAATCAATTACATGCAAAAAAATAATATTCTTATTCATTAATTATTATTTATTATTTTATACATAATTTATTATTTTAATTTAGATTTTATGTTTTCTTTTTTTTTTTTTTTGTTTTATTCTTGTCCTTGTTCTTGTTTTGCTGCTTGTTCTTCGCTTTCGTCACTTGTGGTAGTATAGTCGTCGCTGTCACTTGTTTCGTCGCTCTCGCTGGATGAGGTGTAATCTGATGAGGTGGTCTCAGAGCTGTCTGAAGATGAACCAGACTCGTGCTTGTCATCTTGACCATTGCTTTCTTCCTTTGGTGTTGGTTGGTCAGAGACAACAACCTCGGCTGGAATTGAAACTGGTGCGGCGACCAATGGAACTACATCCTCGACTTTGGCCAAGGGTGGTGGTAAATCGGTGGCAACTTCAACATTCTCTACGACTGGTGCTGGTGATTCAGCCTCAACTGGCTTTGGTTGTTCTTCGACTGGAGCAACTGGCTCTGTTGGTAATGTATCTACAATTTCAACTTTGACTACTTCCTCTTGGACAATTTCAGATGGTGCTTCTGGCTCGCTGACTGCGGCGGCAACAACAACTGGTGGTTCCTCAACAACTTCGACTGGTGCCACAACTTCAACTGGTGCAACAACTTCAACTGGAGCTGGAGCTGGAGCTGGTTGTTCTGGTTCAACTGGAGCTGGAGCTGGAGCTGGAATAATTTCAACTGGAACTTGAATGACTTCAGTCTTTGGTTCTTCGACAACTGCAGGTGGTTGAGCAAATACACCGGTTTCACCCAATGGATTGTAAACTGGGGCTACGACAACCTCCTCAGTGACTACAGTCTTTTCCTCGACAACGGTGACTGGAGCAGACTCGACTGGTGTTGGGTTGGTTTCGGTAGTGGTATTTGAAGTGTTTTCGTGATTGTGATTTTCAGTGGCGACAACAACGGCAGCTGGCACAACAACGGCAGCGGCGACAACAGCAACTGGTGCGACGACAGCAACTGGTGGGATTTCCTCGCTCTTTGGCTTGGATTTGATGTCAACGACAGTCGATTGAACCAAACCGTTTGGTGGTTGAACAAAGGTACCCTCAGCATATTGGTCACCATACATCTCACGAATGGCAGCGTCATATTTGGCCAAGATAATCTTACGCTTCAACTTTTGAGTTGGAGTCAATTCGGCATCTGGTCCTTGATCGGTGAACTCGGTTGGACATATCTTATATTTCTTGATGGTCGATACGTTTGGAAGACGCGAGTTGACTTCGTTGATCTTGGATTGGAGATACTCGTTAAAGTGTGGGTCGTTGATGGCATCCTCCAAGGTGACGGGTGGTGGATGTCCGTATTGTAGACGCTTGAAGAAGTCGACGTTCAACGAGAACAAACAAACCAAGTACTTCTGACGATCTCCTACGACCACAGCCATGTTGACACCTGGAATCTGACGAAGATAACCCTCCAACAACGATGGTGCAATGTTCTCACCACCGGCAGTGATAATCAACTCCTTCTTACGATCGGTAATAAATAGATAGCCAGCTTCATCGATGTGGCCAATGTCTCCGGTGTGTACCCAACCGTCGTCGTCGATGGTCTCACGAGTGGCCTCTGGATTCTTATAGTATCCTGGGAAGCAGTTTGGTCCCTTGACACAGATCTCATTGTCACCCTCGTTTAACTTGATTAGCGAACCTGGAAGAGTACGACCGACCGATCCTGTCTTGGCCTTTGGATATCCGATGGTTTGTGGACCGGTCAACTCTGACATACCGTAGGCTTCAGTGATGGTGATACCGAGTGAAAGGAAAAAGTCAAGAGTGTCCTTTGAGATGGGGGCAGCAGTCGATGCCATGAAACGACAGCTCGACAAACCGAGTGTTTTGAGAACCTTTTTGAATACCAATGTACGTGCCAATCCATATCCCTTTGGTTTCTTTTCACCATGTTGAATCTTATAACCACCTTCCAAACCCTTGTGTTTGGCCCATCCCACTAATTTCTTTGCAATACCCTTCTTTGTCGACATGACCATATTTATCTTTAATTGAATCTTTTCCCAAACTCTTGGTACACCAAAGAACAATGTTGGTTTAACTTCCAATAATGTATCTAATAAAGTTCCCTAAAAAAAATAAATAATAATAAATTAATAATTTAATATTCACAGAAAGAAAATTAATAATAATAATTACTTGAAGTGCATTCTTATCAGCGAATGAAATGGCAAAACCAAAAATAAGTGGTGCATAAAGTGATACGACTTGTTCGGCAATGTGAGACAATGGAAGATAGGAAATCATACGCTCACGATGTCCTGACTTTGGACTGAGTACCAATGATCCGAGTGTGTGTACTGTCCATGCAACATTACGTTGTGTAATCATACAACCCTTTGGCATACCTGTGTAGAAATAAATGAATTATTAATAATTTAGTCTATATTTTCTGGCTATCCATTATTATTATTATTATTGTGAATAGATTAGCTAAGCTTACCTGTTGTACCGGAGGTATAGATAAGTGTGCAGAGTGTTTCTGGCTTGATGCTCTTGCTGATACGGTCGATCTCAGAGTCTGGAACGGCACGACCCAACTCCATGAATTGCTCCCAGGTGTAGGTACCCTCGGGGTGAGTGGCGGCTGGATCCGACGGTTCCATGATAATGTAGGCGCGCACGGTGCTGCTGAGTTTCTCACGGATCGGTGCGTACTTGGCGAGTTGCTGCTCGTTCTCGACGACGATAAACATCGCTTCGGAATGCTCAGCAAAGTATTCGCACTGTGGAGTGGAGCTGGTTGTGTAGATACCGGTTGGCAAACCACCGGCGAATATAGCACCGAGATGTGCCATATGCCACTCTGGTGAGTTGAAACCGATGATGTTGACACCGCTCGTCTCCTTCATGCCGAGCTTGACAAACGACTTTGCTGCAGAGTAGACGTCTTCGCGATACTTTGTCCAAGTCCACTTGCGCCACTGACCACCACGCTTCACTTGAAGAGCGAGGTTATGTGGGAATCGCTGCAATGTATATTCGAAACCGTCGACAATCGTCGCTGGCATTGGAATTGGGTCGATCAAGTGACCGTCCTCTGCATGCTGTGGCTGTGGATCGATCATTGGCAAACCATGTGCCATCTTTGAGGCACCGGTATTACCTGTCAGAGTAGATCCATTATTAGATGATGATGATGATGCTGCTGCTGAAGTTGTGGTGGTTGTAGTTGTCGTAGTAGTAGTTGTTACAGTCGATGACGAATCTGTTGGTGCTACTTCTGCCATCTGTTTTTAATTGTTATCTGTTAAATCTAAATCCTAAATCTATATTATTATAATATTTTTTTAATTTAGTTTAAGTTTTAGATTTGACTGTATGTTGTTTTTTGATATGATTTGATTGATTTGGTTGATTGATTTGTCTTTTAAAAGAAGAAGATATTTTCACTTTTCCAAACTATTTTATTTTAATTATGATAAAAAACAATTTGTCAAAAAAAATTTTTTTTAAAATTTTTTTAATTAATTTAAGCTTTTTTTTTTTTTTTTAATTATTTGATTGTTATTTTACTATTACTATTTTATATTATATAATATATATATATATATATTATATATGAATCCCAAAGTAAATGTATAAAGAAGATTTATTAAATTAAAAGTAAAATTCAAACAACCCTTTTTATTTGAATATTTCTTTTTAGTTAATTAATTGATAACTTGGGGTGTGAATTTAGCTGTTAATTTTTTGGTAATTTTTTTTTATATTTTTTTTACAAAGTGATTTTCCAAAGAATTTTTTTTCTTTTTGTGGTTGTTATGTGTTATATATCACCAACAACAAGATATTTATTTTATATACAAGTTTTAAAAACTTACAATCTTTCTTTGGTTTGTTTTGTTTATACAAATTATCTTTAATTGGTTTTATAATATAATAATGTTATAAAAATATTAATATATATATATATTAAATTAAAAGCATTGAATTTAAAAAAAAAAAAAACAACAATTTAAATTAAAAAAAAATGTCTTTGACAACTGACATCATTCAAGAGTGTCGTAACTCATTTTTTTTGAAAAAACAACACAAATAACGAATAAATTTTGTCCAATATTCAAAAAAAAAAAAAAAAAAACTAATATTTTATTAATGATTTATCATTAAACATCTTTTATTTTACCTGTTTATATCTGAAAGATACAAATACTTTTTGTTCAACTTATAATATTAATATTATTATATGTATTTCATTATGTTATTTGTTGTCAGAGTAGTTTGAATCTTCAGAAATGAGTTGTAAAATCTGTCCCGCTATCAGTATGTTGTTGCAATGAGTAGGGTTGTCAATATTGACAGTCCTCGTTGCCATTGACACTCTATAGCAAACCAGAGAACTGTAGAGTAAGTTGATTTTTATACATTCCAATTCTACATAGCTGTACTACTATCTTTATAAAATCCCACATGATATTTTTGAGTTTGTAATTGTTCTATCTTTTCTTTGCAATGATTGTTATTTTTATTTGTTATTGTAATTTTTATGGTAATACATCTTCAGGGTCAAAATCTGAAGAACAATATTCAATTAAAAAGAATTTGCTTCTTGTCCTTCTTAGTATATATATTTTTTCTCTGATCGCATAATCTAAATCTATTTTGAAAAAAAACTTTTTTATTTATTTAAATATATCAATGTTTGTAAATCAATTACTTTAGCAAGTCTATTGATTTATTTTTATATTATTGGGTAGTATCCATAGTTATTGACATGCTTTGTTGATCGCGCCAATCTCATATATCTAAATAAATTGTTATTGTTTGTAAGTTGAAAATAATAGAAATTTCTTTATAGATATTTGATTTAATAAAAGACTTACCCTGCTTCTCCCCATCCAGAACCCCAACTATTTCTAATCTATTGAGATTTTAGTGAACAATTGTTAATTAAAGATAATTATTTGATAAAATTTGACAATACATACAATGTAATATGCCATTCCGTTTGCTTCTCCAGAACCAACAATTGTAACTCCATGATCTATTTGACCTGCTCCACAAGCTGGATCATTATATACACCACCACTGTACATTTGGAATGATCTTACACCGGCCTGTAAAGCAACAGCAATTGGTCCTACCTTTGTTATTGCATCTTCCATTGCTGCTCGATTGGATACTGAAACATATTTAGCCACTCTTGCATATTTAGCTCCAACAGGTTTACATTGTTGAACAACACCTTTGTATGGATATGATGATTCTGAACTTACACCTCCTGCATCTGAAATATAATTATAAACACCTGTCATCCAACCTCCATTACAACCATGATTGCCATAGCTTGCTATAAATTTCTGATAAGTAAATAAATTATAAATTTTCTAATCAAAAAACAAAGCAACATACTTGAACAGTCAACAATTTCTTGTTCTGAAAGAGATACTATTTGACCTTTTTTTGCCAATAAAGCTTCAAGTGGAGCTAACGATGCAAATGCATAACAACTTCCACATGATCCTTGGTTTTTAACTCCTGATAGATAACTTCTCCAATCTACAACGGTGGCCATTAAAGTTCTGAGAGATGATTTTGATGGTTGAGATGAACCTGTTAAAAGACCACCTAACAATCCACCACCACCACCAGATGTAGATCCTCCAGTACCAATTGTTAACGTTAGTAATCCTCCTAATAATCCACCTCCTGTTGTCGTTGTTGAAGTTGTACTCGAAGTTGATGTACTTGTAGAAGTGGTTGTGTTTGAATTTAATGAGAAATTTGATAAATCTTTCACAAGGAATGTGTTGGTGAATTCATCGAGTGTCAAATCAGCAAATACATTCATTCCCAATTTCATGGCGTCAGTATCATTTCCAGTCAACGAATTAAATTGATTTACATAAAGCAGATTATCAACAAAAATATTGAATCTTGTCAAGAATTCATTGTTTGTGTATGATTTATTGTTTTGAATCATCCAGTCTGTGAATTGTTGATATTCTAAATTACTTGATGTTGTTGAACTTACTGTTGTTGCTGGTAATGTTGTAATACCTGTTGATATTGGTGAAGTTGTTGTTGTACCAGTGGTGCTGGTAGTAGTTGTCGAGGAAGTTGAAGTCGAAGACGAAGTTGGTTGTGATGATGTCGATGCTGATGTTGGTGAAAGAGTCAATGTAATTGATAATAATTCATTATTCTCCAATTGTGAAGCTGACAAAGTCAACAACAAAAGTGAAAAGATAAATAATAGATAATTAATTTTCATCGTTATGATTTGAGAGAAACACTATTATAAATAAAATGAATGATAAAGGAACAAAGTGACAACCTTAAATATTCTATAGATTTCAAATGGTGCATGATTTCCTTCGTTAAAAATGATTATTACTGTTTGTTTCGGAGAATATGTGATGTTTTGTGTGTGTGTCGAAGAGGGTGATTTTTTTTTTTTTTTTAATTGTAGATTCGAAATTACAACGAGTGATCTACTTTTAGATCTAAAAATATCCAAAGTCATATTAATTAATTAATTTTTAATTAACAAAAAAATTTAACAAGAACTTTGAAAAATGATCACCTAAAAAAAAACTTAATCCAAATTAGTGGTAACAGTCCAGAGAGCTCCTTTTGTTTTTAATATATATTGAGCAACAAGGTCAATCACAACAAACACAAGCGCAATTACAATGAATATCACAACACATGTTTTTTTTTGCACCACTTTTTTTGTATTCTCGCATTATTTTTGCAAAATGCACACTAAAGCTGTGCAAATTCTTTTCATTTTTTGGGGGATAAAATGAAATTACACAATTAAAATGCAACAAAGCATAGTCACAGCATTTATTGCGTCAATCTAATTTTCTGTCCAGTGATGTAGTTTGGATCTTCAGTAATGAGTTGTAAAGTCTGTCCTGCTATCAGTATGGTGTTGCAACGAGTAGGGTTGTTGGTGTCGGTGGTGAAGTAGATGAGTTCATTGTTGTATGAGTCGACAATAGTTTTACATATTGTATCTGTATCAATGAGCAATATTCTTTGTATCAGTGGTAGCGATGACTTGAACTCATTGACACTATAAAGTGAGCCAGAGAATTGCAGAGTAAGTTGATTCTTATACATTCCAATTCTACATTCTATACCTGTACTATTATCTTTATATAATCCCATATATGACATCTTTAAGCTTGTACTTGCTCTATCTTTTTCTTTGTTATGCTTATGCTTATTTTTGTTGTGGTTATTATTATGTGACAGGGAATTGTTTAATAGTAGCTTTTGATAAACAGGCAGTAGAATATCAAGGGCGTCACTGGTGAATACATCTTCAGAGTCAATATTGAGAGTGGCGCCAAAGAACAGACCGATTTGGAATGGTGGAATCAGTGCCATGTTGACAGTGTAGCCACTTTGAATGCCTAGTTTGTTCTTTGACCATATCTGATTGTCTTGGTTGTAGTACATCTCGAATGGAGTGCCATACGCCGATGAACCATCTTGAATCAAAGCAATTGCTTCTTGTGCTTCGTTTAAAGTAGATGGATCGAGAATGTTAAAGTACTTACTGCCATTCACATAGTTGTTGCTGTTACTGTACAGCGAATTGAGCAGGAATATCATGAATTTCGACATGTCACGACCGGTACTAAACAATCCACCGGCAGGTGCACCCCATCCTATCGGTAGAACCGGTGATTCTATATAGCTGCCATTCGAAAACTGAATGATTCCACGCGCTAAATTATCTTGAATCTCAGTGTAGTTGAATGTTGTACTTTTCATTTCAAGTGGTTCGAGAATATTTTCGGTGATATACTGTTGGTATGTGTTGACTCCTTCGATTCGCTCCATTGCATGACCAAGTAGTGAAACACCGAGATTCGAATAATGGGTGATAGAGTATTGCGGTAGTATAAGGTATTGGTCGGAAAGACGTTGAAGTATCAGCTGCTCCGTACAGGCTGATGTTCCTTCTTCGTTTGACTGACACGGAATTTCACGAGGCAGTCCACTTTGATGTGAAGCTAACTCACGTAGTGTTATTCCACGTTTCGTTGGATACGGATTATTAATGCTAAACTCTGGAATATATTTAACGAGTTCATCGTCCAAATTCAACAATCCTTTGTCTCTCAATTGGAACATCATAATATCAGTGAAAACCTTTGTTATACTTGCTAATCTTATACTTTATTTTAAAATATACATTATTATTTTGTTTAGTTTTCTTTAAGAAAGATACATTAAAAAATAAACAAACTTACTTGCTGTCAATTGTTAATGGATTGGTACTGTTATCGAGTGGATTGATATGTCCATATGCTTTATACCATACCAGTTCATCAAGGTATACAATAGATGCAATAAAACTTTTGATACCGTATTGATTCATTCTACTTTGTATCATCTGATCTACTTGTTGGTATGCCTCGATCAGAAGTGGATTCGATTGATCCAATGGAATCGGTGTTGGGTACTCAGGACATGACTCTACCAAAACAATACTATGATCGACCACCCATAGAAATAACAATGATAAAAATATACATTTGAAGATTAGTTGTGGTGGTATTCTCTTATTTTTCAAATCATAAACAGCAGTACTATTATTATTATTCTTCATTGATGATGAGTTTTGGTAAAATAAAAATAAAAAAATCTGCAAATATAAAAATCTAATGAAAAATTAATTGTTAAAAAAAAAAAATTTAATTTAATAAAAAAAGATAAGAAACTAATACTTTTTGTGAAATCTTTATGATATTTTATGTATATCATGTTGTCAATGTTGTTTATTGGCAGTTGACAACCAAGGAAAAATTTGACAATTAGCGATAATTATCGATATTTTTTTCTTGGTTGTCAAGTGTGGTATTTTGAATCTTCAGAGATTAGTGGTAAAATCTGTCCATCTATCAATACGCTGTTGCAACGAGTAGGGTTGTTGGTGTCGGTAGTGAAGTAAATGAGTTCATTGTCGTGTGAACCAATAACAGTTCTGCATTGTACATCTCTATCAATGGGCAATATTCTTTGTATCAATTGCAGCGATGACTTGAACTCATTGACACTATAAAGTAAACCAGAGAACTTCAGAGTAAGTTGATTATTATTCATTCCAATTCTACATTCTGTACCTGTATTATTATCTTTATATAATCCCACATACGAAATCTTTGAGTTCTACTTGTTTTATCTTTTTCTTTTTTCAATAGGGTACAGTTATTATTTGTTGAAAGTAATTTGCGATAAACAGGTAGTAGAATTTTAGCTGCGTCACTGGTAAATATATCTTCAGAGTTAATGTTGGGTGTAGCACCAAAGAACAGACCAATTTGGAATGGTGGAATCAGTGCCATGTTAGTGAGGTAGCCACTTTGAGCACCATTTTTGTTCTTTGACCATAACTGATTGGTTTGGTCGTAGGACATCTTGAGTGGAGTGCCCATTGCAGAGGAACCATCTGCAATCAAAGCAATGGCTTCTTGAGCTTCATTTAAAGTAGATGGATCGAGAACTTTAGAGTACTTATTTACATTTACATAGTTGTTCTTGTTACCGTCCAGTGTATTAAGCAGGAATATCATGAATTTTGACATGTCACGAGCGGTACTGAACAATCCACCGGTAGGAGAACCCCATCCAACTGTAAAAGGAGTAGATTCTATATAGTTACCATTCGGAAGCTTAATTGTTCCACCAGCTAAATTATCTTTAATCTTATTGTAGTTGAATGTAGTACTTTTCATTTCAAGTGGTACAAGTATATTGTCTTTGATATATTGTTCGTAGGTGTTGACTCTTTTGATTCGCTCCATTGCATGACCAAGTAGTGAAACGCCAAGGTTAGAATAATGAGAGGTGGAGTATTGTGGTAATATAAGATATTGGTTGGATAAACGTTGAAGTATCAACTTTTCAGTACAGGAAGAAGTTGCTCTTTCATTAAATTGACATGGAATCTCACGAGGAAGTCCAGCTTGGTGTGAAGCTAACTGGCGTAAAGTAATTCCACGCTTTGTTGGATACGGATTTTTCATATTAAACTCCGGAATATATTTAACGAGTTCATCGTCCAAATCCAACAATCCTTTGTCTCTCAATTGGAACATCATAATATCAGTGAAAACCTTTGTAATACTTGCTATTCTTATACTTTATAATAATTATTTTTTTAGTTTTCATTCACAAAGATACAAAAGAATATTATAACAAACTTACTTGCTGTCAACTGTTAGAGGAGTGCTACTGTTATCGAGTGGATTGATATGTCCATATGCTTTATACCATACCAGTTCATCAAGGTATACAATAGATGCAATAAAACTTTTGATACCATATTGATTCATTCTACTTTGTATCATCTGATCTACTTGTTGGTATGCCTCGATCAGAAGTGGATTCGATTGATCCAACGGAATCGGTTTTGGATACTCAGGACATGACTCTACCAAAACAATACCAATACTAAATTATAGTTAATCACCATTAGAATTATCAAAGATAATAATATACATTTTAAGATTTGAGGTGATTTAAATCTCTGATTTTTCAAACCAATAATATTTTTATTTAATATCATTATAATTTTGGATTTATTTTAATAATTTGTTTTATATTTTTTATCCATAATTTCATGATTAAATAGAGGAACCCAAAATTTAAATAAAGAAATAAAATTAAAAATTAAATTAAAATTTAATATATAAAAGAATAGTATCAGATTGAAAATAGAATCGTCCAAAAATAATTTGTAATATTCAAAAGATAAATCTTAAATTTGATTAATTCATTATGTCTACTGAAAAATGTGTATAAACACTTTTAAATCACTACTTGATTTTTTTAAAAGAGAGATTGTGGGTTCATCTTTATTAATATATAAATCTTTTATAATATAATAACGTTTAATATTTTGACAATATTCTTGATTAGTTATTTTAAAAATATATTAAAATCATTAGAGGGGTATATCTATTTTCAAAAAGAGCAACTAGATTATAGATATTCAGACTAATGCTCCAATTCGTCCGATTTTTTATAAAAATAATTATTTAATTAATCAATCCAGATTACACCAAACCATAAATATTTAAATATCAAAATTAAAACTGATACCTACATCAAATTACAATTTGTCATAATTTGTATTCACTGTGAAGATCTCTTTTTGTTGAATATAATGAAACTTTGAATAACATATCTAAATGGTACAGATAATGATTATCAAGATTTTGAACCGATCAATTCTATTCTTTATATTGGCATCGTTGTTGATGTCTTGATCTGTGTTACTTTAATATTTCAAATGATTGAAATCAATTAGTTAGGTTGATAGTTTATATGATAAAAATGAAATATCTTTATTGTAAGCTGTAGTATTATTAATAAATAATATCTAATATTAATGATGTTCATAATTATTAAAATTTTAATTATTTATCTTCATTATTGATCAATGTTTCATTTTTATTTAATTATTGAATCGACTATACTATATTACTAAATATATTACTTTTATTTATATTACTAATTATATTAAATAAATAATTGATATTTTTTGTTATTTGATCATCGACAAATAACAAAGGCACATTTAAAATAATAATATAACATAATGAACTAACACCGTTTATACCAAATTGACTCACTCTCTATCATTTGATCGACTTATTGGTATGCCTCGAACAGAAGTTGACTTTTGACTGATCGATTTGTTAGAAGATACTATACAAATAGAAATGAAATAGCTAAACTAAAATGTTTAATAAATGATTATTTCTAAAAAAAATTTTGTTGATGAAAAATAACTCTATTAATTTGGTTTTTAACTCAAGCTAAATTTGTAAGAATTACAAGCACATATGTGGGTTAATGTGATTTTTAACCACATCTGAAAAAAGAAACTTGTTAATCTTAAATGAATGATCACACTTTTTATTTATTTTGAAATCATCTGATTTGGGGGTTGAAATACTAATGTTAAAATTTAGCACAACATTACCACAGTGGTTTATTATACTAAATTTGCTACATTCCTCATAGAGTATTGGTTACATCTGCAATTTTACTTATCTTAATAAAATTTATTAATCATTTAATCTTCAAAGTTATCATTTTTTATTAACTAAATTAAATCTATATCTATAATATAAATAAACTTACTTTATTTATTTATTATTCTATATTTATTATTTTTATAGACAACCTAATAATAGTAAAATTAGATGGAATCTATTTTCGATCAAGTTCAAATAATAAAAAGAAAATCAGAGGATGATCAAGATAGATTGAAAAAACAAAGAATGGAAGTGGTTGAAAATGAATATGATTGTCAACCAATTCAAAAGGTTTTGATGAATAAAAATCTTTTGTCTATCATTTTGGATTTCACAAGATTCATTCTTCCACCATTCAAAGATCGATTTATTAAAATCAAAATAGGTCTCGATCCACCACTTCCTGCACCCACCTATTTTCTTTGTCCAAAGCCAATTAAACGAAAAGCAAAATCACCAATCTATTTTCGATATCTGAATCTATATAGAACACCTTATGATATCATCTTTATGTTATACAACAAAATGTTTGCAGCAGTTCGAAAATATATAGAGGATGATAATTTGTTAACATTTCGTAGTAAATTATTCTACAAGACCGATATTCCACTGGATATTTTCAAAATTCTTTATCAAAGATTAACCGATGATTTCGAAGAGAATGGCAAGAATGAGGTAATCAGAAAACTATTAAAGAAGAAATTTGATAAGGATTTCATAATCTTTTGTCTTAGCACATACACCCCTACCAACTATTCCTTTAAAATGGCGAATCTACTAATGGCTCTCGATTATGGCAGTGTGGAATTGATACAATCATTTTTCAAATTTCCGATGGACGAAACTGACAATGATTTTCACCCAATACAACTTTTACAGAGAGCCTTCAAATATGGATTGGAGATGTTTATTCTTTTGGAATCTAGGTATAGAGAGCGATTTCTTTCGTCAGTAACGAATCAATTATACAACACCTTGTTGTTTCTGGTCTATAGTTATGATATCAAAGTGATTGATTACTTTTTCGAAAATTATCAACTTACTATCGACGTATCTATGTTGGAAAAGATATTCTATTGTATCAATGTAGAGAGATCTGCAGAGACACAACAAATCCTTAATATTTTCCAATCTCATTGTATTGATTACAAAAAACCAGTTTCTATCGATAATGATTCGAGAAGTTGTGATGGAATGGATGAAGAAGGAAAAGAAAATTCAGAGTTGCCAATGAATCATTTCGAGTTCAATCCAAATACACTCAGCAATCAAGATAAATCTATTCAGGACATTGTATTGAACCAAGTAGGAAACAATTTACCTTTCATTAGTGATTTTACCGATATGGAATTATTTATGAAAACTCATTATCAATTTGTCTTGGAAGGCCATTGCCCATTTCTTCCAGAAAAAGAGTGGCAACTTCCAATCATTAAATATCTTGTCGATAGTAAAGTCCACTCGAAAAACAACTCAACGATGATTGAATCAGAGTTAAGACCACATCTGTTGTCAACCACGATATTCGCAATCCGGAAGGGTTTCTCTGAAATGGTTGAATATATGGTTACGGAGACACTGGCAAGAAATCCGAAAAACATTGGATTCAGCATTAGAAACAACATACGGGAATTCATTCAAGAAGCAATCTATTATTGTCACTACGAGATGGCCAAGTATTTGATTTCGGTTGCCAAGAAACTATCTTTGAAGAATACCATCAATTTCGAAGTCTTTCAAGCAGTGCATGATACATCGGATCCAGATGCATTCGAATTGTTGATCAAAAACCGAAAGTTGGGAATAAAAGAAATCATACGTCGGGCAATACGACTCAATCGATATTATTTTGTTGGCGAAATCTTTGGAAATCCGAGATTCAGTCAGTACCTTGCCAGATTTGAGCAATACATTCCGAGGATGGCAACATTAATAGCCAAATGTGATTATATAGAAATGGCAGAACACTATATCAACACGCCCACCACTAACGAAAAGAAAAGATTGTTCATTTACAAAATTCAAAGAAGACTTCGAGAGAATGGTGATTGGTGGAGCGAAGATTTATTTCATGAAGTATCTTGTCTGGCATACAGATATATCGTTGACTTTGCACCAATTCAATACCGCCTACATCAAGAATCTGAAGAAGAATCTGAAGAATCTGAAGGATCTGAGGAATCTGAGGAATCTGAAGAAGAAGTATAAGTTATTTTTAATAAATAAATATATTTAATCTAAATCGAATCTTGAATATCCAGTAGATTTCTTTTTAGCCAAATCTAAAAGATTTGCATCAAATTTCTGTTTCTTATAGGGTTGGTTGTTTGAAGTGGTTGTAGTTGTTGAAGTGGTTATTGTTGTCGTTACTGTTGTGGATATCGGTATGTTTCTAATATTTGAATTCTGAGAATAGGTTCTTGTTCCTCCTGTCATGCTAGAACTGTTCTTTCCAACGCCAACTTTAGCAGAATTGTCATCCTTGTTTGTGGTTTTACTCTTACTTTCAAACGGAAGCACTGGAAACTTTGGCATCTTATCAATCGACTGTGGAAATGGACTTTCTAAAAAATATGGATGTTTCAATGCTTCCGCTGCTGTTATTCTTTTATTTGGATCATATGTCTATTGTTATCGATTAGTAAGACCAACAAAATTGAATAATTATTATTTTTACATACCAATAATCTATTTAACAAATCTAAACCATTTTGAGATAGATTTGGAAGTTTACGTTTGAGATTGTTGTACGGTTGATAGGGAATATCTAGTTTCTTACTGAGTGGAAGTGACGAGTATTGTGGCCATATAGAGTCATTTGGCGAGCCGAGTGTCTGATAGATTCTTTTGATTTGATCGATTTCATTGACACCGTTTATCATTGGGTAGGACAAGAGCAACTCGCCAAAGATACAGCCGATCGACCATATATCGATAGGTGCAGAATACGTTGTATCTCCCAGCAACAGCTCTGGTGCGCGATACCACAACGTCACCACCTTTGGAGTCATAGGAATATTGGGCACACTATATTTACGTGCCAGCCCAAAGTCTGCTAGTTTTAGAAATCCTGATTCTCCATACAATAAATTCTTTAAATAAAAGTTATTTAGTTTGGAATTGATCGATTGATTTGTTTATAAACAACTTACAGAACATTTTAAATCACGATGAACAATCCATTTAGAATGTAGACACTCAACAGCACTCAAGAGTTGCATTATGAAACATTTTACAACCGATTCTTTGAATGGCGTTCTTATGCTGTCGACCAGACTTGCGAGATCATTCTCGAGATATTCAAAGACCAAGTAGACACTGTTCTCACTCGAACCAGTGACAACCTCAAGCAACTTTACAACATTGACATGATCTATCTCTTTTAACAGCTCTATCTCTCTTAATGATGTCTATATATATATATTTATATAAATATCAAAAAACAATAAAGTAAAAGGTTAGTTTTTTATTAATTTATTCTTTTTTTTTTTGAATAAATACAAACTTGAGGCATTCCTTGTTTCTCTTTCTCCATTTTCAATTTCTTTAAAGCAACGATTCTATCATTATCTTTATCTTTTGCTCTATCTTTTATTAATTTAGTATAAATTGAATGATTCGTAATTAGATAATTGGTTTGCTTATTCTAATAAATAATAATAATAAATTTAATATAAAAATGACATACAAACAATACCATAGGTACCTTCACCGAGTACATTTAACTTCTCAAATGAAGAGATCGATCTAATTGTATATATTTTCTTGAATTCTCTCTTTTTTTGATTTTGATTGTTATTAGATTTATTACTGCTACTACTTGTATTATTACTATTATTATTATTATTAGTAGTATTATTATCTGTTAAAGTAGAAGAGCTAGATAAAGGTTGATCATCTATTTTTGTTGTTGTTGTTGTTATATTTTGATTGTTATTATAGTCATCATCATCTTCATCATCACTATATGGAACAATCATATCATTAATATCTTATATATCATTCGAATCTCTTATTACATTGATTGACCTTTTTATCTTTTTTGTATTTGATTTCACAAACAAATTTTTTGCAAACTGACCAAAACTTAAATGTTTAACGATGTTTAATTTTATTATTTTTTTTTGTCACTTAGCCTGATTAGCTTTCACTTAATTACAACAATATTTATTTCCTTTCTAAAGGAAATTGCAACTGTTAAGATCCAAATTATTGACTTGCATGAATTGGTATAAAGAGACTCCACATCCTTGAGCCATACCGTAGCAAGTATTTTGAGGAATATCTCCAAGAACAAACCAAGATGAGCATTGTCCGGAACTGGCGACATCATTAAGAATCCAAATGTTAAATTTACCTATTTTATTAAGATTTTTTAAAAACAAAAATTAATAAAACAATTAATTATTAAGTTAAAATCTACTTTCTTACTTTATTCATTCTTTTTTGATTTAATTAATAGTTTTTAAGTTTTTTTTTTGAGTTAATTTATCTGATTGTGAATAATAAATATCCATTGTTGTTGGATATTTATATTGAATTTTCAATCAAATCTATGTCTTTTTTATAAATCTGTTTTATTTTATTAATACATATGTTTTAATCGAGGAGTTATAGATCATTTTAAAGTTGTATGACTTTTCTGATAAAAATTGTTGAATTTCTTTTACTAATTTGCTTAAATAGTTGTAGCTTTTGATTAATAAAACTTTTGATAGTGTATAGTTATTGTTGATATTATTGATAAAGATGTCTGTGAATTCGAAATCTTCTTCCCAACCTTTATGTGCAAAATAAGAGCGAACATCGATCTTCTTTAGATGTTTGTTTTGTACAAGCATTTCACCAGTCCATCCTAAATGTTGTCTATTCATATTGAAAAGTTTGAGATACTTGATCGATTGGTTCGATTTGTTCAATGTTGAATAGAATGATTCCGTTAGAACATCACATGATATCGATAGCTTGGTAATCGTGTTATTCATTGTTAGAACTAGATTGAATTGTTCGGAAACCAGATCCAGTGCTACGGGATCGATGATTTTATGATTGGTACATAAATTGGATAGGCTCATCTCTCTAAGTGTTTTGTTGGTAGACAATCGTTGACATAGATCTACCCATTCAGTTGTGTGATTCCTCAGTGCAAGATTATTGATAAAGCCATCTTCTTGATGAACACCATGCATACATACACATCCATTCAAACGATCTCCATCTTCTTAACCCATCAGGCTCAGTACTGCCGCGACTTTGAATGATTCCAAATGATCGTTAACCATCCACTTTATGTCTTTGATATCTATATAATCGATTTCTTTTATTTCGATAGATTGTAGTGACTTAATTCCAAATAAATCTGAAAAAGATATGTGTGGACCGCCACATATCGGACCAATATTATCGTACTGGAAGTAGATATGATTGACACGCCACTTATTTATTACTGAAAAGTCAATGATTGATCGATCATCATAGTCACTATCATATGATAAATCGACAATTTGAACATTAACAGATTGCAATACAGATCGATCAACGTCTTCAAAGGAAATCGATTTGCTTTCTTTATAAAATATCGAATTATCAATATAATAATTGATTTTGATATTGTTGAATCGATTGATTATCTCTTTTAGTAGTTTGGTATCGGTGGTAAAGATATCCAATCTTTCAAGTTGTTTAAATCTCTCCAGAAACTGTAAGGTATCTTCATAGTGATTTTCATCAAAAGGCAATCGAATTGATAGACTAGTGATGTTATCATACTGGTAGAGCGATGTGGTGCTCGATAGATTTGGTATGAGCTGATCAATTGTAAAAAGTACATCTTCTCGCTTTGAGGATTTAGTTTTCTCTATATCTACTAGATATGATCTACATAGTGTTCTACTGATATACTTGAACCACTCTCTACACACCAACGAATAATCTACAATACTGATCTTTTCTGAATACAACTTTTTAAATCTATCATTTACAACAGCTATTCTAAACTCTTTTTCTGCCCAATTCAATCGTTTACCTATTAGGTGATCAATTATTTGGTAATGAATAACATGTATTTGTATTGTCATTTAAATAAAAGAATATGTTAACAAAAATAAAATAAAAATGTAGATCATAGATGACATTCGTTTTTTATCAACTTTTAAAAAAAAAATCAAATTTCATATCTAGAAATAAATCAGATACATCTATCTAGTAAGCTATAACTGATTAGAGATAATGGAAGAGAAGAAGAAAAGAGAAGAGAATAATGAGGTTGACTTGATTTGACTTTAAACAAAAGAAAAGGTTGTAACACTTTTTTGGGGTTTAAAAAAAGTTATCAATTGATGTGTTTTTAAATGATCAACAATTTTGTTACTATTATTTAATAGTTATTTTTTATTTGTTCAAAAGATATATATTACATATAAAAAAATAAAATGGGAAGTGTAAACTCAATTCCAATAATAAATTATGCAGTAAATAAAGATGATAACAAAGTAAGAAAAAAACCAGTATGTATCTTAAACCAAAAATAATAAAAGATCAAATAATATTAATGTTTTTTTGATTTTTAAAAGCTTCCAAACAAAAATTTACTCTATTTAGTATCAATATTTGTTACATTAATCGTATTATACATTCTTTTTGTATTATCAGCAACAACAAGATAGACTGCTTTTTAAAAACAATGAAAAAGGTTATAAAATAAAACATTCTTCAATTTTTCACAAAAATGAACTTAATATTATATTATATTTCAACAGTCGCTTAACCAAATTCAAAATCAATTGGTTAAAAAATATAAATATATAAATAAATAAAAAAATAAATAAATAAATTAAGTAAGAAAATATAAAAATGGTTAGACCAACAATTTATTTTTATAGAGCAGCTGATGCATATGGTTGTTTCAGTAACTTTTCAGATCATCCTGTAATGATGGATGGATATATATGGCCAACAAGTGAACATTACTATCAAGTAAGAATGAAAATCAGAGAATCATTCCAAATTTAAAAACTTATGAAATCATTTTTATTTGCTAGGCAATGAAATTCAAAACAACAGATATTGAGTATTACCATCAAATTAGAGATGCAGAATCTCCAGCAAGAAGTTTTAAAATGGGAAATACATATGCACATGACAAAAGAAGAGACTGGAATCAAATAAAAGATCAGGTTATGTATGATGTAGTCCTTAATAAATTTCTACAAAATAAAGATATTCAAAGAAGTATATATTTTAAAAAAAAAAATTGCCTTTTATCTATTTATACTGATTCAAAATGAAATATAGTTTTACTAGATACTGGTATATCAAAAATAGTGGAACATACGAGATGTGATGACTATTGGGGTGATGGTTCTGATGGAAAGTAAGTGATAAAATCTAATTTGTTAAAATGAAGATGCAGATTTATATAATAAAAATTAATTAAACTAATTATATATATAGTGGTAGAAATCAACTTGGTAAGACATTGGAGCTGGTAAGAGAGTTTATAAAGAATGCAAATGAAAAAGAGCTACAAGACAATGTTTAATAAAAAATGTATATGATAATATTTTATTTATTTAATCCAAAAAGAAAAGTAAGGAAAATATTTCAAAGAGATGATCTTCCTTGGTAGAACATTCCATCCATATCAATTGTTTTGTTCGTAATATGACATCCAAAACCTTCTCTAGCAGAGTTGATCAAAAGTCCACGATCTAAATCGATTCTTGGTGTTTCACACCAGATCCAAATTTTGGTGGCTGGATTGTACAAAAAGTCACTGTCAGCGAAGGAATCGGAGCCTGGGATTTCATAAACTTTAATTTTTTGTATTGTGTTTTAAGTTATATTAATGGTTATTAAAACTAAAAGAAATTTAACTTTTTTAGCAACATGTTTGATGTTATTGGATTAAAAAAAATAATAAGCAATCAAAGTTTTATTGAAATTTAACAATTATGTGTGAATAATTAACAACCCACAAAAATGATCGGTGTACAAGATGAATCCATTTCTATCTGTTGATGTCTACATATTCCACCAATGCTGGTTCAAACGATCCAGACAATGGACTGATACTTGCTCGCATGATATGGGATTCATCTCTGTGGATGATGTAAAACTGAGAAAATTGGTAGAATCAGTGGCAGCAATGAATCCAGTGGTTTTGTAGGTCTCCATAGTTAATTGATAGTCTTGAACCAATTTACCTTCAATTCTTGTTGAATTTCTATTTCTATTCATTTTATTTGTTATTTTAATAAATAATTAATATGATTTTATACCTTTCATTTTACATTATTTTAATAATAATCAATTAATAAGTTTTTTTATTTAGAAATACTGTCATCAATTAAGAAACAAAATGAACAAAAATAAACAAAATAGTTTTGACAAGACAAAAAAAATAGCAATCCCTTTTTAATTCTAAAAGGCGCATGCCCCTTTGTGGGAAATTTTATTAGATTTAACATTTCAGATTTTGACCTATTTGAAGAGCAGCACAATTAATACCTGGATTAACTTTATCGAAATCAGTTTGACTCCAGGGATGACCACACTTTGAAGTCCAAATCAAATAGCAGGTATCGCCTTTAACAACTGTAATACCACCAGAAGTGGAACCACCTGATGTCGAACTACCGGCGTCACCACAACTCAAATGTTGACCGATTTGAAGAGAATTACAGTTGATACCTGGATTAACTTTATCGAAATCAGATTGACTCCAGTTATGACCACATTTAGATGTCCAAATTGCATAGCAGGTATCGCCTTTAACAACGGTAATACCACCAGAAGAAGTGGATCCACCTGATGTCGAACCACTGTCGTCACCACAATTCAAATGTTGACCAATTTGAAGAGTATCACAATTAACATTAGGATTGGCCTTATCGAAATCTGACTGACTCCAATTGGGATGACCACATTTAGTTGTCCATACACCATAGCATGTATCACCTGATACAACAGTGTATCCACCACCGTCACCACCAGATGTAGTACCACCAGAGGTTGTTCCAGAAGTACCACCACTACCGCATTTTATTGTCTGTCCGATTTGAAGAGTATCACAATTAATATTGGGATTGACCTTATCGAAATCGGATTGACTCCAATTGGGATGACCACATTTAGTTGTCCAGATAGCATAACAAGTATCACCGTCCATTACAGTAATATCCCCATCATCAGCTTGGCATAGAGAGGCGATCGCTAAAACTAATGCAATTAAAATTGTTTTTCTATACATTATTTTTAATTAAAATTCAAATGAAATAAAATATATATTTTTGTTGATAATATTATTCTTATTAATAATTTTACTTGTTTTTAATGATTAACATGATATTTATAGTGTTGTTTTGGAATGTGTTTCAAGTAGAACCATCTTCTCATTTCTTTAGCAATATAATAGTATGAATATGTTAATAGGTATGTAAAGTAATCTTCTAAATAATCTTGATCTTTGTGCATTATGATAATTTCAAGGTATTTACCTTCTCACCTCCAATCTAAGATCATAATAATTGAAGTTACTACGATTTAAAATCATTCTTACTTCAATACCCATAGTCATTAAAATTTAAATTTCATCATTTATTATGAAAAATTTGTGGTTATAATATTGAATATTAATTAGTGGTGATAAAAAATTTTAATAAACAAATATCTACAGAAAAGGTATAGCTATAATATGATTTATATAAAAGTAAAACAAACAATTATTTTTATTATTTTATATTTAAAACGATTGGTAAGTTCTGTCGGTTGAAGAATTTAAATAATGTAAAAATAAAAAATCAAACTACAATAGATATTTTGGGAAAAGAATGTAAAAAGAGAAAACTAAATGTCAATTCATTATAATAAACATAATAGTTTGACAATCAAAAAACTAAATGGTATGAATATTTAGCCCAAGTGTTAAAAACAAGTATAAAAAAAAGAAATTTATTGTAAACTGTAACATTTTTTGTTGTAAATGAGGTGTTTATTTCACCTATCATTTTTAGTTAAATGAAATAAACACCTTTTTAACAATTGAGATGTTGACCGATTTGAAGAGCAGCACAATTAATACCTGGATTGGCTTTATCGAAATCAGATTGACTCCAACTGTGACCACATTTAGAGGTCCATACACCATAGCAAGTATCACCAGATACAACAGTGTATCCACCACCGCCACCAGAGGTAGAACCACCACCGCCGCCACCACATTTTAATTTTTGACCAATTTGGAGAGCAGCACAATTAACTCCTGGATTTACCTTGTCAAAATCAGATTGACTCCAAGGATGACCACATTTTGATGTCCAGATAGCGTAACAAGTGTCACCGGCCACTACAGTAATGTCATCGGCTTGGCATAGAGAAGCGATCATCAAAACTGAAAATACTAGTAAAATTGTTTTTCTATACATTTTTATTTATATATTTGTTGTTGTTTTATAGTTTCTTTTTTATTGATCAAAAACTATATTTAATTTTGTTGAAATTGAACTCGATATTTATAGTGATATTTTGAGCTGTGTTTCCATACAACATGCTTTTCTTCAACTTTGTAAATGGATGAATGATTATAGATTTGTTATTTTAATGTTTATCATTTTTCCAAAATGATCTTTGATCTATACCTATTATTATAATCTGAAATTTGTATCGACTCCCAAAAACAATAAAAAATAAATAATCCAAGATACTAATAGTTTTGAAGTTACTAATTCAATCCCTTTTGATTTTGTGGTAACTAATTTTTATGTCCACATGTCGCCAAAGTCATAATGTTCAAAAGAAATCATCAATGTTGAAATGAAATAATATGAGAGTAGTGGTTATATATGAATAATGTGGTTAAACAACAAACATTACATTAATTACCATTGAAGTAACCAAATCATATTATTAAAACAATCATGAAAGAAATAAAGTAAATAAAATAGAAATACAAAATGATTGGTAAGTTTGTCGGTTGGAATGTTGTGAACAAACAAAGTAATTGTTGTAAAAAAAAGAAAATGAAAATACTAAATCTACTAGTGTACTAATTCAGAACAAAACAAAATAGCACTATTATTTATTTTATTATAAAAAATAATGAATTACTTATAAATTAAAAATTAATTATCTCATTTTGCAAACTAGTTTGAACGAAGGATGACGGTAGTGTTTTTTATTCTATTCGTTTACTCACAACAGAGATTACTAAGTTTATATCTTCATTACCTTATTATTATTATTTTAAAAAATAGAATAAATAACATCAATAAATAAAGATTATTGTTGCGGTTATAAAATGACTGTCAAAGTTGTCTAAAAAAAGAAAAAAAAAAAACACTTGTTTTTTTCTAAATAATGAAAAAGTTTTTATGAATAAGAAAAAAAATAAAAATAAAAATAATTTAATTTTAATTTAAACGACCAGCAGTGGTAGGGGTTTGACACCTATCATAAGCAATGATTTCACGAATTAATGATCAGATATTATTATTATTTAACTTAACCTAATCAATAAATCATTTTGCAAAAATAGTAAATGATATAAAAAGATAATCTTAATTTTTAATTAAAAAAAATTTTTTTTATTTGTATATTGCAAATAGTTAAACAAGTTAGAATAATAAACTATAATAATAATAATAAAATTATGGACACTGATAACAGTAGTACAAATTTGAGTCAAAGATTTTGCAAATCACACTCTACGAAAAGATTAAAATTTTTGTGTGTTGATTGCAATCAACTTCTTTGTTCGAAAGGCTGTGCAAGTCCAGATAACACTCACAAGACTCATCAAATAGTAGATTCTGACACTTTAAAAAATGATATACTAAGTAGTAGTGGTAGTGTTTTAAATTTATCTTCAATAATCTATAATAAAGATAAAGATAACAACAAACAACAACAACAAAACGAAAAAGAAAATAATAATATTAGTGTTGTCAATGAAGATTTAATAAATAATAATAATAATAAGAATAATCAAAATAATAAAGAAAATAATTTATATACAGAAAGATTATCAGAGATTTGGAAATATTTAAAACAGAATAATAAGGCTATCGAAAGTTCAAAGTCAACTGAAGAACATGTAAAATATCAATTTCATTTGCTACGAGAGTTTCTCAACAGAGAAGAAAGTAAACTGTTGAATGCACTCTACAAGGAACGTGAAAAGGCAGAACAGAATATGAATGTACTACTCTCAGAGACTAAAGTAGTAAAATCAATTCTTCATCAACTAGGCTCCAAGACTCCAGAGATAAAACAATCAGAGAAATTAGAACAACAATTTCAACTAACTTTCGATACAACAACGAATCAACAACAATCAACTGCTGCTGCTGCTATTAATATTAATAATAACAACAGCAATGGATGTAATGATAGCAGTACTGTACAATCAATAAATAATAATAATAACAATGGTTATGGAAGTAGTCCACTTTTCCAGTTTTTAGGTACTAGTTAAGAATTCATTACTATTCAATATCAATCAACATAAATATCTACTTGTCAATCTTGTACAACAGCATGTAAATCTTATCAATCAGAATCGCTCGATATCAAGACACTCCAATCAATACAAGATTGAATTCAATGAGCTAAAGATCGAGGAATGGAAACAGCAATTCCAAAACACCTATGAAATAATAGACAGTCGAAATCAACACATGACTTGTTCGACTTTTCTCAATCAACGTTTCTATATCCTTATGACTGGTAGAGATGGCTCCAACATACTTGATCTCGGAACATTGAAATTCGTAAACTTTAAAGATACCAATCATTTTAACAACAACAACAACCTTAACTCTTCACCTTCATCCACAATCAACTCCACCACCGGCTCTGCAGCAGCCAAGTCATTACAACATCACTATCACTATGTATATTCCACTGTTTCAACCAATGATTTCATCTATGTATTTGGAGGTCGACCGAAATCGACGTCGTTTTCACGATTCTCCATTGAAACGCTGTCTTGGGATCATGTTGGAAACATTACGACCGACGGTGGTGAAGGCATCTCCACTTGCTACGACGGCACTCGCTATATCTATTTGATTGGCGGTCGCACATCACTCGGCGATCTCCGTAGAATCGACCGGTTCGACACGCACGACATGACATTCCAGCGCATCGGCGAGTTCAAACGAACGTTGGTCAACGCCTGCAGTTTCTACCTGGACGAATCGATCTACATCATGGATCGTGACTACAACGAGATAGCGACGTTCAACCTACACACCGGCGATATAGAAACACTGGTATTCGATATCAGTAGTCTCAACTTTGTGGTGTCGTTCTGCTTCGATGGTCGCGACCTGATCTACGTGGTCGATGAATACGGTGAATTCATGAGACTCTCCATTAGCAAGCGAACGAAAGAAGCCATTGGATTCCCTATCACTGCATTCTACAACAACGCGAAATACCCGATGTTGTACATCAATAACCTCATCTACTTCTTTGGTGGTAAGAAGCACGGTGACTATATCTACTCAATCGAAACCAACAAGTGGAAGAAAAGTAAATTCTATCACTATGAAACTGATTATAATTCTGCTGTTTATTTTTACAAATAAAATAAAATGCAATAAAGATCTCAACTTATTTATTTATCTTGATATTAAATTATTAGTTTATTTTTTGTTGGTGAAACACAATAATCTCATTTAATGACGATATAAATGTTATGTGAAAATTTAAAATTTACTTGTTGTTTCACACACAGCATGCTTAGCCAATTTTGGTAAAAAATATCGATTGTTCATTTTTTGTTTGGAAATTTTAATTGTTTCTATTTAATTTGTGTCATTTTATTTATTTTTTTATTCATAACTTACTATTACTATTTTTCATATATCTATATATTATAATATTTAAAATCTATATCATTTAAATAAAAACAAAGATGAGTGTAGCTACTTTTGGACATTGTATCATTGAATTGGCACCGAATACTGATGATGTTTATATCTTAAAGTTGAATGACAATGAAAATAGATTCAACAATAAGAATATAAAGAATATACATGATGCACTTGATTTCATTGAAAAGTAAGTAATCTTATTTACAGTGTTGTTATTTTGCGCGAAAATACTGATTTGGTTTTGTTTTGTTTTGTTTTGTTTTGTTTTATTTCAGACAAGAGAATGCATCGTGTTTAATTACAACAGGTACGAATCCAAAGTATTTCTCTAATGGTTTGGACTTAGAGTGGGCTATGACCATTGGAATGGAAGGATTCCAACCATTCATTAAAGACTTCCAATGTTTGTTGGCTAGATTCCTTACATTCCCGATGCCAACAATTGCTGCGTTGAACGGTCATACTTTTGCAGGTGGTGCAATGTTGGCGTGCTCACACGACTACAGAATCATGAGAAACGATAAAGGTTTCTTTTGTCTTCCTGAAGTCGATATTCATATTCCATTAACTCCTGGTATGAATGCTGTATTACAGTAGGTTATTGTTATTAATATAATAATATTGTTATTATTTGTTAACTGTTTTTTTTTTTTTTTTGTTTTTTTTTATTAATATATTAGAGCAAAGATAACAGATGCGTCAACTTATAGAGATACTGTTTTGTTAGGAAAGAGATTCTCTGGTGAAGAAGCATCAAAGCTTAGAATCGTAGATAAAGCAACTACCGAAGAGATGTTGTTACCAGAAGCTATACAATTAGCAACTAAAATAGCACCAAAAGGTAAAGATAGATTTACATTCGGTGCACTCAAGAGAGAACTCTACAGAAGCGCTATGGATAAATTGAAAACCGGTGATTTTGGTGAATCTTCAAAATTACAACTACCATTTGCCAAGCTTTAAACAAAAGTAATAATAGTAATCAATAATCAATATCAAATTAAGATAATATAATATATAGATTGATTGATAATTCAAATATATAAAAGAAATCTTAATAATAATAATAATAAATGTTAATAAATTAAAATGTATTATAATTTATCTTGTTGTTTTTTTTTTTGTTATATATCTTTATCTTTTCTTTTTCTTTTATTTATTTCGTTTCTTTTATTTTATTTAAATTTGAGTATTCAATGAATTCTCAACTGTACTACATTTGTCAATCAATATCTTGATAGCATCTTGAAACAATGTCTTTGGTGCAATAGTACCAACTGATTCAATTGAAACTAAAAGTAAAATTAAAAAGTAAGTTTGTTAGTTAGTTGATTTGAAGTGAAATGAATGAATAATGAATTGTTGTTGTTGTTGATTTAACAAATCTAAACACATACAAATGAAATGATCTCTAACTCTTTCCAGTTTTACGAATGGTTCCATCTCTGGATCTCTGATGCACTCACGACACATAGTGCAATCCATTGGACGTGCAGCGAATGCCTTGCCCGAGTCTTCGATGTCGTATACGTTCATTGGACACGACTGTTTGAGTTTCTTTGCTTTCTCACCGGTGACCTTGTCAGAGACACTGATCTCCGGTAGGATCTTGTAGAATGCAGTTCCGACCGGTGACCACTTGATGTGCTCACGACCAATGTTCTTCTCGCAGTAGCACTGTACTTCGAGTGCTTGACCGGGTCTCAACTTTACGATGGGAATATCATCGTATGCCGGTCTTGGATGATCGGCTTCATTAGGGAACATCTCATTCTGATCGTCTGTTGGTACCCATGTCAAGTGTTTCGACAAAACAGTACCGTTGATAGTCTCACCATTTGCATCCTTATAGCATCTAACCTTTAATGTAAAAATCAATGTATCTTCTGCTGTATATTCTTTACCCGCTGTTGTATTTTGTTTGTTTTTTTGTTTTAGTATTAATATGCTAATATTTGTTAATAAGATTGATTGATTAACACTTACGTTCTTTGTAATTAAAGATCTTTGGATCGACTTTAATTGGGATTAATCCTAGACGATGTGCTAATACTTCATCTTGTAATATCGATGTATTGTTAATCATAAAGACACGCTCGATTGCCATCGTCGGGATTTCCGAGATTAGAATACGACGGAGTGCATTGGCAATGGGTGCATCGACACCGATCATCTCGAAAACAAGATGATCCGGTTTATCTGAAAGTACATTAATCTTAAAGTTCTTTTTGAATTTATCTAAACTGAAACTGTTATCGTATCCCAACGATGTATATGCACCACTATAATATATTCCTCTTGTCTGAAATCGATCAATCGATCAATCAATCAAAAATATTAATAATCTATTCTATTTTATTGTACAATTTTATAATAATAATAATAATAGTTTTTGTTGTTGTTTCACCAAAAGTACTACTTTCATACATTTTCATTACCAGCATTACCAACTCTAACTCTTGTTCTTTGATTCTCTAACAATGCATCTGGTAATCCATCTTGATCCTGTTTGTTGTTATTATTACTTGCTGATGACGATCCATTTTCCTTTGATTTCTTTGCCATCTTTTTTTTTTCTTCTATTATTTATTTATTTACAAATGTTGACAAACAATAAAAACAAACTATTTTATAAAACAATAAATAATGTAATAATAGATGGTTTCAAGTAAGTATTACTTTATCATCAACTAATTAATCGTCAAAATAGTTTTTTTTTTTTTTTTTTGTCGTTTTTTTTTTCAAATTGATTTTTTTTTATTTTATTTTTATATATTTTGACGAAGACAGATAGATCCATAGATTCACACATTATTATTTTTCTGATTCTAATTATAACTATAACTTAGTATATCTCTAAAAATAAGTCTTTTGAAGAAAATAATAATGTATTTTGTTTTTATAATTGGTTTGTGTTTGTAAAACGAATGCTACCAAAATCTATTAGGTTGTTGTTATTATTCGATTTTTTTTATTTTATTTTTGATTGATGTGATTGGTCAATCATCTTTATTATTTTTTACAGCTTCATCTCTTATTACTTGAAAGCTACCTAACATGCTACCGAGTTGTAGTTTCTCACTTGCACCAAACGATAGATTGTATTCAATGTCCGACAGTTCCTTTACCAAATTCCAAAGAGCTGGTCCACCTATATTTGGTACTTTCAATGTCATAAAATGTATTTCCTTGATGATATCTGTCAACGATAATCCTTTCTCTTTCTTTAATTCAAGAATATCTAATTAAATAAATAATTTTTGTTAATACTATTATAAATTATTATTATTAACATTTATAAACTTAACATACTATTTAATGCCTCAATATAACTTTGATTTAATGACCACATTAAGATCTTCTTGATATCAGTTGGTAATGGTTGACCTGTACAACGATAGATGGTATCTTTATCGATGGTTGTGCCAACATCGATCGACATTGACGCCGACTGCAATATATTCAAACACTTTCTCATATCACCTTCACTCAATGTAATAATTGAATTGAGTGCATCATCATTTACTTTTAATCTAATATTGTAGATAGTTAATTAGTTAGTTTATTTGTTTATGATATAATATACTATATTATATATATATGATACATTACGATTCACATTCAATAATCTCTTTCATTCTCTTGGTGATTGCCGATCTTGGTAGTGGACTGAATCTAAATCTTGTACATCTTGATTGGAGTGCTGGTAATATCTTTGATACATAGTTACAAATCATACAGAATCTAGTGGTTCTTGTATACTTTTCGATGACTCTTCTCAATGCTGTCTGTGCTGGATTGGTCATAGAATCTGCTTCATCCAATATAATCAATTTATAAGGATAGTTACTATAGTAATTAAACAACAATTCAAGTTAGTATATTGTTTCTAATCTTATCTTATCGCATTTTCATTATGATTAACATGTTAATCTATTATCAGTATAAAACAGACTTACCTAAACATAAACATTGAACTTGCAAACGTTTTAATTTGTTCTCTTACTACGTCGATACCACGATCGTCAGATGCATTGAGTTCTAATACCATACGAGAGTAGCTCTCACCATAGAGTTTACGTGCAATCGCTTGAATCGTTGAGGTCTTACCAGTGCCTGGTGGTCCATAGAATAACAGATGTGGTAATGAATTCTTTGCAATTAATTTACTAACTTTTTGTTTAGATTATTTTTAGTTAATAGATTATTAGTTTGTTATCATTACAATATGATATAATATTATATTTAATCAATCTAGAGAGGAACACGCATTACCTGTATCTGTAATATCTTCATGTGCAATCAGACCACTCAAATCTTTTGGACGATATTTCTCAACCCAAGGTAGTCTATCATGAAACAATTGTTCTTTACTTGATAATGCTGGTGTAGGTGTATCTGTCATTCTATCCATAATCAATATTATTCTACTACTAAAGTATAAATATATATATTAATTCTCTCCAGTAAAGTAATTTAAAAGATGATCATCATATTAAAAAAAAAAAAACAAGAAAAAAGGAGGGAAAAATTTTTGATTGAAGATTTTTGAGAATTTGATTGAATCCTTTCATAACATTGATAAATATATTGATTCCGATGCAAGGCTTTCCAAGTTTTAAGAGTGAACCAAACCATCGATTGTATGAAGCACATCGACGATTCTACGGAATACTACTCGCAAATAGAGGATATCGACAACCAACTACACTCTCACCTTCAACTTGTACATGATATCACTTCGAAGGTTATTGTGGTGGTGAGACCCGATAAGTTAATCTATGGAATCTACCAAAACGAGGAGATTAATCGTTGTTTTGAATCTTTTAAATTTATTTTCGATCAACAAGAATGATAATTCTATTAACTTTTAGAATAGATTTAATAAAATTTTGGGTTCCAAGCAAACCTCAAATTAATCAAAGATTTTTTACATTAATTTATTTATTGATAAATTAAAAATTTAAGTTAATTTTAATCAGTGAGAGGGGTTTGATGATAGTGTTAATCTCAATAAATAATAATAAATAATTTTTTGTAGTTATTAATTTTTTAACATTTTTCAAAACTAAATAGATTAGTTAACAATAATGATTAATTTAAAACATATTTTAATCAATTTAGTAATTTTACAGATCTTCTCATTATCTTTGTTTCCCTTTAATTTTACTTCTATTCAAACAAAATGGTATTCTATTAAAACTGAGATAGACCCTAAAACTGGTGCATTTAATTTAACTACATATGATTCAGTTTGGGTATTTACAGAAACAGTATGTATTTTAGGAAAACGATTCTACTATTTTATTAATTAATACAAATTAGCATAATTCTTCTGGAATATTCAAAAGTAATGAGACTTATAGTCATATGGAAAGACCACCACCTCAATTGTTTGGAGACCTTTTTTCTTTAATGTTCAATTGCATGTGGATTATACTCATTTTGAATATATTTGTATTATGTTCACAATATTGTGAAATTAAACCGAAGCAAGCAATTGTCGCTTCTATATTGGCAGTAATGACTACAGCTATTATTCTTGCACTCCATATAGTAACGATTATCTATATTATTACTCTACCCAATTCATTTAGAAAAAGATATAATTGTCATTCAAAATGGTGTGCCAGTTTGGCTGGGAAACAAGAAAGAGATGAATGGGGACCAAGAGTTGGACTTTACTTCTGTCTTGTGTGCTTTGTTTGTTGTTTAGTTTGCCTTATCCTCGCAATAGTCAGAGTCGGAATGTGCATAAAATACATGAATAGAATTCAAAAGGAATCATCAGTACCTCTTAAACCAATACAACCAAAAAAATCAAAACAAGCAGAGCCAACTTTAACTAATCTTCAAATTAATGATCTTGAAGCTCAAATTCATTTTTAAAATATTATATTAATTCAATTTAAATAAAAAAGGATAAAATAATATATTGATACTAATATTTTATACATTATCCTAATTGAAAACTCATTTTACCCATCGAAAAATAGAGGCCAAACTCTTTCAAAATTTTTTTAAAAGAATAAAACCAACTTTATATTCTAAATCTACTATAAAAATGCTTTCTATTTATCTAATTTTTAATAAAACCCAAAAAGGTTTGATATTTTATATTATTACAGATTATCAAGATAGGGCTAAGGGTGAAGATAATAATAAAATACTGGAGATGATACGCGCTTTATTTCATTTTAATTGTACAATTTCATTTTGTGACTCCCCAAAAAATGAAAAAATTTTGCACAGCTTTTGTGTGTCCATTTTGAAAAAATAATGCGAGAATACAAAAAAAGCTGTGCAAAATAAAACCCAACTTATAAAATGAAATAACAACATATTGGTATCATCCATTAGTTCTTGTTGTAATATATTTATAATTGATCAAAAAATAGATATTAAATATTGAAAACTTAATAGATTATTTTCAAAAAAAAAATATGTTTTTTATTATTTAGAAATTTTATTTATATTGATAAAAAGTTGTTTTCCTATAACAAATCAAAGAGTTTTATTTGTTTGAAAATTTTTATCTTTGTGTCATTAGGAGATAGACGTTGATAGTTGATTCATTTTGAATGTTGAGATCTGAAAGAGTTTGGTTGTTGTCAGTTATTTCATTTCCTTGGAAATTAAGAATTTGTCTATTCATTGGGAAATTCTCCATTTCTTGAATCATAAGCTTTACTTTTTCAATAGTGAAATTATTTTCAACTTCTAATATCGTTATCTTTCCGCAAAAAGGTAATTCTATAAATATTTTCATTCTATTGTTTGATTAAATTTAAGTAGTTTATCAAATATATAGGATCAAATTTCTTAAAAAAATTCAAAAATTACCCTCAAAACTTAAAATTTTAATTTTTTCTATTTTTCTTTCCATTGATAAAAATGAATCATAATTCATATATATAAATTAAACTTATAAGTTTGTCAAAAACGAAAAATAAAATTTCTCTCGAGATCTTAAAAACTAATAAACACAAAAAACTGTAAAAAAGTGTCACTTTTATTCTTTTGGAGTTTTTCTGAAAGGAATGGTTTTGCAGCTATAAATATTTTATTAAACTAATGAAAAATAAATATGAATATAAAATATACTATATTCTATTGAAAGTAGGCTTGACAAGAAAAAATTAAAATTTAAAGTTCAAACATATATTATTTAAGATTCATAAATATGTATAATACATTTCATTTCTTTGTGATCATCATACTTTTTTATTTTGATCTCTTATTTATCTTGCTTGTTTCACACTAATTATACCTATGAAAATTAATTCCTTATTATTTTTCTTTTCGCTTTCGTTTTTGATTTTATTTGTTTCACTTCTGGAGATTAATTATTTAATATCATCACAACCTTCTCCATCTTTATCTACTAAATCTTCAAGCACCTCGGGTACAACTAAATTACAATCAACAACAATAATTTCAACTTCAAGTTTTTTAGAATATCAACAACAATTCACAGATTGGATGATTCAAAACAATAAATCATACACAAACAATGAATTCTTGACAAGATTCCATATTTTTATTGATAATCTGCTTTATGTCAATCAATTCAATTCATTGACTGGAAATGATACTGATGCCATGAGATTGGGAATGAATGTATTTGCTGATTTGACACTCGATGAATTCGCCAACACTTTCCTTGTGAAAGATTTATCAAATTTCTCATTAAATTCAAACACAACCACTTCCACAACTTCGAGTACAACTACTACAACAGGAGGTGGATTATTAGGAGGATTATTAACAAGGGTTTTAGCAATTGGAACTGGAGGATCTACATCTGGTGGTGGTGGTGGTGGATTGTTAGGTGGTCTTTTAACATGTTCATCTCAACCATCAAAATCATCTCTTAGAACTTTAATGGCTGTCACTGTAGATTGGAGAAGTTATCTACCTCCAGTTAAAAAACAAGGATCATGTGGAAGTTGTTATGCATTTGGACCGCTAGCTCAGCTTGAAACTGCATTGGCCATAAAAGGTCAAAGAGTATCTCTTTCAGAACAAGAAATTGTTGATTGTACATGTACGTTGTTTGTTTTTTGAAAATTTATTACATATATTACATATTGAATTAATTTAATATCTTTTCCAAATTTTTAGCAAGTTATGGCAATAAAGGTTGTAGTGGAGGATGGATGACAAAAGTTTATAATTATATTTCAGATGCAGGAGGTGTAAGTTCAGAATCATCATATCCCTACAAAGGTGTTGTTCAACAATGTAAACCTGTTGGAACTAAATATGGTATAGTCGTTAATAAAGTGACTCTTTTCGACCAAAGCGGAATTGAAAATGCTTTAACAAACGTAGGACCAGTTGCTGTTGCTTTACAGGCCAATGTAAGATCATTCCAGATGTACAAAAGTGGTGTCTATTATGATGATACATGTGGAGCAGGTCCAATAGATCATATCGTAGCACTTGTGGGTATGGGAGAAGAGAGTGGAAAACAATATTATATTGTATGTATTGTCAATTTATAAGTGATTATCTTCAATTTATGGAATTAACAATTAAATATTTGCTAAAATGTCAACAGGTTAGAAATAGTTGGGGTACTGGATGGGGAGAAGGAGGGTAGGTTTAACTAAAATTAAGTTGTAAAAATCCATTTTCAATATACTAACCAACTTGATTTCAAATAGATATATGAGAATGGTGCGAACTACTAGACGTGTCAATGACCAAGGTTATTATTTAACAATACAATAATAAATCATGAGATTAGATAAAGTATTACCATAAGACAAAATAAATGGAATTATTTTTTAAATAAATTAAAAAACAATATAAAATAGATTTATTTTATAATCTGAGAAAAATAAGTATTATTATTATTACACTTGAAGAAATTTTAAATGATCAACGATCTCCTAGTTTTTTTTTTTTTTGAAAAAAATTGAATCAGATTGATTCGACTTTTAAAAAAAATTGATAAACATATTAATATATATATGAAAAATGAATAATAGTAGTAATAATAATAATAGCTATAGGTTTTTATTGATAGGTTTATTATTGTTATGTTTAATATTTATAAATCAAATACCAACTGTACATTCACAACAAACAAAACAAACAACAACAACACCACCACAAAATGTTAAAATAATAGATAATAGTAATAGTAATAATGTGAATCAGAATCTAGAACAACTGTACAGAGGTAAACATACCAATAATTGGGCAGTTCTAGTTTGTACCTCTAGATTCTGGTTCAACTACCGACATATTGCCAACGTGCTTGGTTTCTATAGAACCGTAAAGAAATTGGGTATACCTGATTCTCAAAGTAAGTAGTAGTAGTAGTAGTTTAGTTGTAAACTAACAACACAAGTAGCTGCTATTCATTCAGTGTTTTGTTAATTAACACTCATCAATTTATTGATTAAATCGATCGATCTAGTTATTTTGATGTTAGCAGATGATATGGCATGTAATCCAAGAAATTCATATGCAGGCGTAATGTTTAACAATGAGAATCACAAGATGAATCTATATGGCGATAATATAGAAGTAGACTATAGAGGTTACGAAGTCAACGTCGAGAACTTCATTCGTGTATTGACAGGTAGACACGACCCTGAAGTATCGAGATCAAAGCGATTACTTACCGATGATAAGAGTAATATTTTAATATTCTTAACTGGTCATGGTGGTGATGAATTCTTAAAAGTATGTATAATATTACTCCTATCTATCTATCTATCTACATTGTTAACAAGTATATTTTACTTACTTACTCTGCTTAACTACTACTTTCTTTAGTTCCAAGATAATGAAGAGATTTCATCATATGATTTATCGGATGCATTCAAACAGATGTATGAAAAGAAGAGATACAATGAGATATTGTTCATGGTAGATACATGCCAAGCCAATACATTGTACAAACGATTCAACTCACCCAATATTCTGGCAATCGGTAGCAGTAGACTTGGTGAGAATTCATATTCTGTAAGTTATTAGCTATTTATTATTATTTTGATCTTGATAACTAATTTGTAAATAATTTATGTATATCATGTATTTAGCATCACTCTGATCCAGAATTAGGATTGACAGTTATCGATAGATTCACATATTATACACTTGAATTCTTTGAGAATGTAGATCCTCATAATGTTTCGTTGTTACAGTTGTTTGGAACCTACAATTATCAAAAGTTGATTTCACACTCAGAGTATCGTAGTGATCTATTCTCAAGACCATTGGACAAGGTGCCTGTCACCGACTTTTTCGGATCGGTAATGAGAGCTGACATCACACCGACCATCGAAGCGTCGAAGGAACCTCTCGCAACTCAACCAAAGACACAATCAATAGAGATAACAGAGAAACAAATATCATTAGATAACAAAAATATAAATAACAATGTAAGTTTTATCAATCAACAACAACAACAATAATAATAATCATATAAGAATAACATAATAATATCAATATAACTAATTTATTTTATTTTATTCTCTTTATAGGAAAACAAACTATCATTTATAAATACAAATTTTATTATTTCATTTACAATTACAACATTATTGTTTTGTGTATTTTCTTTTATTGGTTCAAGTAAAACAAAATAACATTAAAAGAAAGTGAAAAAAAAAAGATAAATAATAAAATATTCATATAAATTTGTAAAAGTATAACAGTTGGGTGTTATTATTTGAAGTTCAAAAATTTGAATTTGAATTTTTTTGAAAATTTTGCAATCAAAAATAAAGGAGGTAACCGTTGAAAAAACAAAAAAAATGAAAATTGCAGAAATACATTTGACCTATATTGGTAATCTAATACTCCTTTTAAAGGTTATTGTTGTTATTTTTTCTTATCACAAGTTTTTTTACATCTAACTTTTAATAATTTTTAGTATTTTTTTTTTATTTTATCTAAAATTAATTTTTATTATTTTATTTATTTTTGTTTTTATATTAATTAATTTAATATTACAATAACAGTTTCCAAGTAATTACATAACATATCACATTAACATTATCATCATATCTTATATTCCATCTTAAAGTGTTTATTTTTTTAAAAATAAATTTAAATAAATAAATAAAAAGATAAATTGTTTTTTTATTTTATTTTTATTATACAACCAATCTTAAAAGTTTAAACACATAAATATTTTATTTTATTTTTAGAAAATTAAGTTAAATAAAAATGGTTATATCATTTATTAAAAAACGTTATATGAATATGACACACCATCATCAGCAACAAGATGGTGATCAAAACAAACAGAATCAACAGAATACTAATGAAAATCAAAGTTGGGACGATCCAAGATCACCAAGTAGATCGATAAAGAGAACACCGACTCGAAGACGTAGTGTCATTCAACAACTTCAGAATCTCGAAGATCCACGTTCACCATCGATGCGCGTTCCTCGCAGTCCAATTCCAAGCGGATTCAACCGTCGTGGTTCCATCTCGCTGATCGACCCGAGATCGCCCAGCCAAGGCATTGCCCGTTCGCCATTGAAATTCTCATTGACAGCAGGATCCACTACTCATGAGCAGCAGGAGATCATCGATCCACGTTCACCAACACTCAACGTTCCAAGAACACCGGTGGTCGCTTCTGATCTCAGAAAATCTGTCATTCTCGCCGATGCACAACGGCTACTGGATCCAAGATCGCCAACTCTTGGAATTCCTCGAACTCCAATAACATTGCGCTCCACCGTCCACAATGACAATTGTGATGCCATAGCTCAGACACCAAATGTCCAATATTATAATGAAACAAACATTCCATCCACACCAATCACCAACGAACCAATTCCACTTTCATTCAACACCGGCGTTGAACCAATTACTTTACACAACGAATTTGAATCAAGTCCAAAAGATATTATTACTCCAACAAGTCAAGAAGAAGAAGAGGAAGAAGAGGAGGAAGAGGAAGAACAGGAAAAAGAAGAAGAGGAACAAGAACAAGAATCATCCGATAACTATACAATCACAGCAGAGGTTGAGAATAATGATACAATTACCACTACTTCTTCCACCACGACAACTAATGTCGATGCAGAAGTAAATATATTACCAGCTTTATTACCATTTGAATACAATAGCCAAGAAGGAGAAGATCAACAGATAACAACTACCCTCGACTTTGATTTTGTTGAGGAGGTAAAGATTTATACTCCAACAAAACCAATCGATCTTACACCAAAGAGAAGAAGCCAAATGAGATTGGGACAAATGAAGAATCGTGATATTTTCATATCGTCGCCAACACTTTCCAGTTACTCTCCGAAACGTTACAGCAATGCAGTCCTTCAGGATTTGAAGCTGTCAAACTCCTCATCGAAACGTAGCTCTGTCACAGAAGCCTTTGGAAAGCTCAACATCTCTTCAAGTCCATCGGTTTCCTCCACTCCACTCTCACAATCACCATCGATCAGTCGTCGAGTTACTTCAACCAAGCTCACTGGTTTCAACTGTTCCGACAACAACAATAACCAACAGCAATCAGTGGTCGATGAAAACAATCCCAACATATTGAACAGCAGTCTTTCCAATATGAAATCCAGTGGAAACAATGTAATTACCAAACCACTGACACCCAAGACACCAAGACTTAGAAATGGACAGTCACCAAGTATCACAAGAAAAACAGAGTTGAGAGCATTGTCAATGAAATTCGATGGTAGTCCAATGAAGTTAAATTTCGACTCCTCTGTAATCAACTATTAATAATATTGTACATATATATATTTTTTTATTCCCTCAGTACTTTTGAGATGACACTTTATAAAATTAAAAAGTAAAACATTTTATTTTTTTTTTGTGTATTTCAAGGTATACATATTCTAAAAAAGGATCACTCTAATAAACAATTTTTAATATTTATTTTAAAAAAAATCAACAAATTAATTGTTTTCTTTATTGATGGGTTTGTTTGGCTGCTGATTTTGATTGGATGATTCCACCGGTGTTAAAAGGTAGTGCCACAGAGTGTTTGACTCAGTTTTCAAAAAGTATCTCTCAAATTGTAATAATTGTTTTTTCAGATCACCGTGAGGTCCGATGATTGTTCTTTTAGTCTTTACGTATTGGAATGCATTATTTAAATCCAACTTTAATTTATACATTACATAAGCAATAACAACTGTTGCACTTCTGGATCTACCTCTCATACAATGAACAATACATTTCGTATTTTTTTTTTCTACTAGGTCTTGATAAATAAAATAAAGATATTAATAATCAACAAAATATGTTTGATTCGTTTGCTCTACACCAAAATTAAAGATTGTATTTCAAAAAATAAATAAAGGGGTTCAAACATACCGATTTCATGAAATAATTTATGAAACGATTGAAATTGTGGTTCGTCAACCCTATCATGGATTATCAACTTTAATTCAGTGATTCCTTCGTTAGGATCGTACTTTTTAATACTACATTCTTCAGCTAATATAAAGAGAATCAAATAAGATAAATCAAAAAATAATTGTAATAATTTAAAAAAAATTTATAAAAAAAAGTTAACATACCAACATTGATAACCAAAGTTACACCTAGCTTTTGAAGATTTTGAGCGGTGCAAGCACCAACACCACCTAAATAGAGATGTGGAAAGATAGTTGTGGCTTCATGGTATCTATGATCTTTCAAATCTGATGCTGGGATTTCTGCTTCCTCTAACAATTCATTTAGAGTCTTCCCAATATCCTTTGATCTAGAATAGATATCCTCTTTGCCATTGCTTAATAAAGTTTTATTTGATTGCATTTATTTTTTGTTTGTAAATAAAAATTTTAACTAATTGTTCAAACTTATCAAAATTTAATTTAACTGTCTCAATCTGAAGTTTTTGATAATTTTTTAAGAAAATTTTATAATCAATCGTTTCTATTTTTTTTATTTATTTAATTATCTCAGGATTAGTTTTATGCTAAGGGTATATATATTTATTTCTAAGATTTAATCATATAAGTGGGGATATTATATAGAAACATTGGTTTTTGTTAAATAGAGATCAATCTTACAATCACATGGTCTTTACATCATTTTTATATTTATTTTGAGGGTTCAAATTATTTGTTATTTTATAATCAGCGATTTAGATTTATTCTGGTAACAAGAATTATATTAAATTTCAAAAGAAAAAGTATTTAATGAATATTATGTAATACTCCGTAAATGATATTTCTAATTGCCTCTCTTCTACACATTCGTGGTGTGGTGGAAAGAGAAGATCCACAGAGCTATATTGGCACTTATTAACAAGTTCATCTTTTGTAATTACAAACATATCATATTAATACATGAAAGTTCAATTGGTGCTTTTACGATTGAAGTGCAGAATATTATTATTTATTGTATTTTTAAAAACATTTAAAAAATTTTTTTGAGAAAAAAGTAATAACTAAAACCATAATCGAGTGATACTCTTTGTTTAGGAATGTTTACATTATATGATAATGTTATTTTAATTTGGGCTACTTGCGACATCTGTTCAACAATTGTGAAGACTCCATCATATTACGATACATTGTATCGCAACATTTAACAACCTAAAATTGTGAAATCTAAAGAGATTCGTCTCAATAGAAATCACTACAGTTGGAAGTGGCAACACTTCTGAACAAACCAAAAAGTAATCATGAAAAGATCTGATACCAAGTAGCCTTTTTTTTATTTTTCCAAAACCAACTGTTGCACACTTTTAATTTTATATTGTTGCAAAAATAGAGCAATTTTATCTTTTCTAACATTAACACAACAACAAATGATGTACATAAGATGGAAACTTTAATTCAACAGCAATCAAATCACAACTGTATGATAAGATTTAAAAGAAAGTTAGATTTAAAAAAAAAAATGATATATTTATTTAAATTATTGATTATTAATATTTTTATAAAATTGATATTATTATTATTATCTTGAGTAATTCTTTTGACCGACAGCATGAATTTGTTTTGCCATCTGTTTGTCACGCATCGACATGAATTGTTTGGCTCTGACCGATTCAGATTGTTTAGTCAAAAGGAACGGTTTGGTAAGCTTAGCCTTGAGTTCGTTTCTAATTGATTTACCGTAGGTATCCTTTCTGGCCTTCTTACTCTTGTAGTCTTCTCTACCCTCACGACCCTCCAAAACAGACTTCATTCTCTCTGCCTTTGATGCTCTCTTTCTCTTGTGATCACCAGTCAAATCCGAAGCATCGATATAACCAAGTTCATTCTCTTCATCTTCATCAGAGTCTTCTTCTTGTGTACTATATGATACATGATTGAAAAGTAATTATTAATAAATTTGTTTAAATGTTTGATTTGTTTTAAGAGATCTTCAATACATACAATTCTTTACGTTTGTTTTTGTTTTCTAAAGCTTCTTTAAATTGTTTAAGTTGTTTAATTAAAATTAGATCTTCATCACTTAAGATCTTGATACCTAAATCGTCTTCTTCCTTCTTTGGTTTCTCTTTCTTTTCTTTAGAATTCTCTCTTTCTTCGTTTTCAATTGCTTCATTTTCATTTTCAATTGATTCTTCATCTTCTTCCTCTTCTTCGTCTTCATCTGAATCTGCATCTTCATCAACCTCTTCCCATTCACCATTATTAAGTTCATCAATAAGTTCTTCGTCAACATCTAACCATTCACCACTGTCATCATCTTCAACTTCCTCTTCCTCTTCTTCCTCTACTACTTTCTGAACTTTCTTTGATTTCTTTGGTTCTGGTTTCTTTGGAATTGATTTCTGTACTAAAGTTGCCTTTTCACCATTCTTTACTAAAGTTGGAATCTCTTCTTCTTCGTCTTCGTCTACTTCTTTCCATTCTCCTTCACCGTCTTCATCTTCTCCTTCTTCATCTTCATCGTCAGTCACCCATTCATCACCATCTTCTTCGTCATCAGTAACCCATTCATCACCATCTTCATCCTCTTCAACCTCTTCACCTTCATCTTCTTCTTCTTCTTCATCGACACCACTAACATCTTCCCATTCACCATCGTCGTCACTTCCATCTTGATCTTCATCGTCATCGGATAGATCGAAATCACCGGCTTGATAGGCTTCGAATTTAGCTTTGAGTTCTTCGTCGTAGAGCAACTCGATACCTTCGACACCTGTAGATACAACGGTTTGACCGAACAACAACGGTGCCTTATCGGTGGTTCTGTTTCCACGATCCTTCTTCTTCAACATCGATGGATAGTAGTCTCTGAAGAATTGCAAAAGACTTCTACCGGCCATCATGACACCCTTCTCCTTCTTATCCTTGTACATCACCAAGTCTTGCAACAACACTGGATCCATTGCAAGTGGACAACGCTGACAGATATTTCTAATTGTATTCAAACCGATTGCAATCACCTCTGGATTGCTTCCATCATTAACAAAATAGGTAGCGATAGCTCTAATAACTGGTTTAATAATCTCTGGATCGACCAAGTCATGACAAGATTGTGCCAATACTGCCAATATATATGTAATATCTATGTGAATAGAAAATAGATTAGTTAGAAAGGTTTGTAACTTTAAATTATTATTATATTAATGATCATAGAAAACATACTCTTTTGATGTGGTTGAATATACTTTTGAAGGAATGGATAGAAGTTATAGACTAAAAGTTTGTGTACGTGAATGAGACGAGAGATAAAGTTCATCATCAGTAGACGTGTTTCGAATTTCTCAGTGGTACGACGTAGGACAGAGTAGATACGTTCGGCGTAGGATTGTGGATCGTGAATCAACTCGATAGCAGGGAAGTTTGGATCGGTCTTTTTCTCGTTGGCCTCCATGATCTTTTTGTAGTCTTCTTTGGCCTTACCCAGACGTCTACCACGTGCCTTGGTCTTCTTGGCAACCTTGTTGGCAAGACTTGCCTTTCTCATCTGTTGTTTTGCATCCTCTTGTCTCTTGGCATCCTCACGGTCACTGTCATCCTCCTTGTCGGGATTATCAACATGCAAAAAGAAATTCAAAGTAGTAGTAACAATCTTTGAATTCTTTGAGAAAACACCATTTGAAATTACATTAACTGTTTTAATGTCATGCCTTTATAATATAATATAATATTTAGTTAATTTAATTTAAATGTTAGTTTGATTACAACTTTTATATTTATGATTATATATATATATATATATGTAGGACATACCAAATCTTCTTTCTAAATAGATCAACCATTACTTTCAATGACATGAGAGTTGCCATCTCAGAGCTATCGTTCATCATTGTGTACATAAAGTTTTGGAGTGTTTTGTTGAGTTTTACGTTCTTGTGTTTGAGATTGGTGTTCTTGATGTCGGTGACGATGTAAGAGTAGAGCAACTTTCTCAGTGGTTTGTCGTGGATACGGAAGAGCTTGAAGAACAAAGTCAACATTGGGATCTGTTGCATCATATTACGATTTCTCATGAGAATCAATGACTTTGCTAGAATACGTCTGAGATCTGGTTCCAAATTGTTACAGTTATTCTCCAAGAGATCTGCAATTTGTTTTGGGAAATCTACCATTTCCTTTGGATATAAAGAACAAACCTATAGCATTATAAATAATAATTGCAATAGACAAAATAATAAAAGTTAATTTTTTTTGTTTTTTTATTGATTGATTGATTAATTTCGGTAAATATTTACATGACTTAAATAACTAACTAATTGAGCGAATGGTTTGAAATCTTTGGTTGGTTTCAATTGAAAGATCTGTAGTTGTGTTAAAAAGTGTTGGTGTTGTAACAAGAACTCCTCTTTATAAGCTGCTGGATCACGCTTTGTTAAGTTCTGTAGTTGTAGAAGATCTACAATTCTATGATTACCACTACTCATTTTTAATTAAAACTATATATCTATCTATAAAAATATTTATATTATTTTAATCAAAAATAAAAAGTTTAAATTTATTATTATTTTTTTCGTTCGTTTTTCTCCACCCAATTTCTTAATTTTTTTGATTTTATTTTATTTAATTTTTATTAATTTGTTTTTTTTTCTTGGGTCTATCAATTGATATTTGTTACAATTTATAATCTTTGTTTATATTAATTTAATTTATCTTTTGATTTTCCAAAAATTAATTACAGTATAACTAAATAAATTAATTTAAATTATATATTCAAATGTTTCGAGAATTTGATCATAGATATCTATAGTGTTAGTCCTAGTGGATAATCAAGTTATCTCAATTGTTAATTTTAATTAAATATCTTTTTAAAAAAAAAAAAGTATTTGTTTTGATCAGATTGAAAAAAAAGGTGAAAATAAATAAATTTTTTGATGGTAATTAAAAAAAAAATGGTTGTTCATGTTGCATTTGTAATCACATCTTGTATTATATATTTTTGTAATGATTTCATATCAACAACAACAACAGCAACAACAAATCAATGAAGTTTTACAGAATGAGATAGTTATTACTTGTACGTTGTTCTCCAAGTGTGGGAACTACTTGATTGCATCGAACAGCTATGGTTATATCAATGTTTGGTATCTTAATACCAAACCACTTCATAGATCGACAACAACAACAACAACATCATCATCAAACAAATTAAATAATATAAATGATTCAATGTCAATCGATAATAATAGTAGGAAAAATATATCTTTATCAACATCCTCTACATCTTCAAATATAAATAGTTATTGTAATGAAAACTCATGTCACTATGGTTTCAAAGCACACAACACTGCAATCAATTGTATTTTATTTTACAATGAGAATCAATTATTATCTTCGGATGACACTGAAATCAAAGCATGGAATTGGAATGATATTAAACAATCAATAAGTATGTAAATGTATATACAAATTTTATTACTTATTCTTTTTTTAACACAACTAATTAATTATTTAAATCTATTATAGATATAAATATAGAAGAGATAAACAACAACAACAATAATGATAATGAATTTATAAATTACTCATTTGATAATATAAATACAAAAGCAATGTTTATTATACCTTCCCCACAGAAAGAAGGTGTTAGAGGTTCGTTGTCAGAGAGATGTGAAATCAATGGTTTAGATGTTGATAATGTATGTTAAATAACTTACTTTTACAACAATTAGTTATTCATGAATGGGATATTAATAGACTAATATATATTTATTTATTATTTTAGAATGGTAGATTATATTTTGGTTGTGGTGATTCCAATGCATATTGTTGGGATGTTGTAAGAGGTCAAATGATATCAACGTTTGTTGGGCACAGCGATTACGTTCATCAAGTTAAATACAATAGTTTCTATAATACACTGTTATCTACCTCTGAAGATGCAACAGTTAGAATCTGGGATTGTAACACCAATCAATGTCAAAACATTTTATCACCCTCATTGAAAAAGTCAATAAAACAATCTGATGTCACAAAGAGTGGTAGTGGTAGTGGTAGTGGTAGTGTTAGTGGTAGTGGTGTTCAGCATGCTAATAGTAATAAAATAATGTCAAGCAGTTGGACTGGTCCAATTGATTTGGATGTCACAGGAAATTGGTTGGTGGTAGGTGGTAGTTCTCTGACGATGTGGTATCTTGGCAAGCTGAATACGATGTCTGCGCAACTCTCGAATCAACCACTCGCTTCCTACCACTCGGTTGTCTTTGAAAAGGATAGAGTGATGGCGTGTGGCAGTGAAGGTGTAGTCAACCACTATGCTCTAGACGGCAAGCTTCTCATGCGTGTTCCATCCACCTCTGATATTCTCTATACACTCTCTTGCAATCCACACTCAAGAAATCAAGTAAATATATATATATCCATTTGAATAATTATGTACAAATAACGAGCTAACTAACAAACTAATTAATTTAAACAATTCTATTAACAAATTCATTAATATTAATAGATTATCGTCGCAGCTGGAACTTCAACTTTGATAAACACTTATATCAATCAAGAGAATATTGCATTTTCTTATTGTTTCGGTAAAATATATTAATTTTTATATTGAAGAATCTATTGCAATAAAAATACGTATGGATGTCCTTCTATCTGTCGATTTATACTTTGATCAAATTCAAGACGTTTAAACAGAATCTATTCTTATTTATTTAAATTAAAATAGATCTATCTAATCACCCTCCCACTCCTACACAAATTTTCAATCAACATGTTCATTGTAATAAATTTGTACTAAATGCACATGTGCCATGTTAAATGATGTATTGATTCTAATAAATCTGTTTATTGAAAATAATACACCCCACTCTTCCACTATATCACATACCACATTTCATCATCACCCAAGTTTATTCATTTCCCACGAATTAAAATAATTTCACACAGTTGTTGAACAATCTTTCGGAAATCCATTTCTTTAACCATAAATATTATTATTTCTATATATATCATTGTATGTACATGATCACACACAATTTTATTCATTCCATTTGCAATTTTATTTAATTATTCTGGTAGACGCCCAATGATTGATTATGTTCAAATTTGAACATGACGATGACAATATTTTCAAGATATTTATAAATTACGATATAAATATTAAATATTTAGATTTGTTTACAAAACAAAAAAGATTTTTTTATATAACTATGAAACTATTTTATAGTTTATTATTTTTAGTATATATTGCTTTTGTGTTGGAAGTTGGAGTTTATGGCTATTCAGAATATAATGGACATAATAATAAAGAAAATACCAACAACAACAACAATAATCCAAGTTTAAATTATTTTACCTATCAACGTCTTGCTTCCGATGCACCATGCAACTTACCACGTGGATGCTATGGTTATGTTCTAAGTCCTTTGAATCCATCATTCAGCGGTATAAAAGATGGAATCATTGTAGAGGACATTGTGTTCAATAGATCCAGTCGTATTTCTCCTGCTTCATTTAGCGATATCGATATTGACAATGTAGTGGGTGGTGATATCTATCGATACAATGGAAAGCTTGTTCTCTTAGTTAGTGAATTATATCGTTTACTCTCAATGCCACAATTAAACAATGAAAACAATAATAATAATCAAAATAATAATATTTATAATAATCAGAATCAACAACAACAAAATCAACAAAATATAAATAACTATAATAATAATAATAATCAACAACAAAATCAACAAAATATTAATTTACACTATTATAATAGTGGTGGTAATGGAAATGGAAACCCAAATTTCGATTTGAATATCTATGAGAAAAATCGTAATACAGCTGAACAACTAGCAAATCATAATGCCGATTCCAATCAATATCAAAACCAAGACAATAATAACAATCAATTCCAAAGTCAGAACAGACCTGGTCAAAATCAATATCAGAATCAAAATCTAAACCAACAATCTCAGTCGCAATCACAAACACCTCAAAATCAAAATCAATACAATGATAGACAATCACATAATAATCAAGATAGTAGATCACAAAACCAGAATCAATCCAATGGTAGACAATCACAGAATCAAAATCAAGATGATAAAATTCAATCACACAATAATCAAGATAGCAGATCACAAAACCAAAATCAGTCCAATGATAGACAATCACAGAATCAGTATCAAGGTGATTCTAGACAATCACAAAATAACCAAGATAGTAGATCACAGAATCAAAATCAATCAAATGGTAGACAGTCTCAGTATCAAAACCAGGATGGATCTAGACAATCACAGAATAATAAAGATGATACAATTCAATCACATAATATTCAAGATAGTAGATCACAAAATCAAAATCAATCCAATGGTAGACAATCTCAGAATCAGAATCAAGGAGATGGAAGACAGTCACAGAGTCAAAATAGATTCGGTGAAAGTCAGAGTCAGAATCAAGATGATTCTAGACAATCGCAGAATCAAAGTCAAGGTAGTTCTAGACAAGATAATAGATCACAGAATCAAAATCAATCAAATGGTAGACAACAACAAAATCAGATTCAAGATGATTCTAGACAATCACAGAATCAGAATCAAGATAGCAGATCACAAAATCAAAATCAATCCAATGGTAGACAATCACAGAATCAGAATCAAGGAGATGGACGACAGTCACAGAGTCAAAATGGATTCGGTGGAAGTCAGAGTCAGAATCAAGATAGATTTGGACAATGGCAAGCCCAGACTCAAGGAAATGGACATCAATCACAAAGCCAATTTGGATTCGGTGGAAGTCAAAGACAGAACCAAGAGCCAGAAGGTCAATCACAAACACAGAGCCAATTCAATGGAAGATCCTCAGGAAATCAATGGTTTGCATCTTCTGATAATGTTATTCAACCGATGGATCCTGCCCAAATAGTCGAATCAATCTTCAATAATAACCAATACCAACAACAAAACAATCAATATCAGCAACAAAACAATCAATACCAACAACAAAATAATCAAAATCAACAACAAAACAACAATAACCACAACAACAATGAGAATAGCAATGTCAATATTAACTATGCCGGTGGTAATGGTCAGTCTGGTCAATCTTCGGGTCAAAATCAAATACAAATCAACCGTTCAGGTGGTGATGGCAAAGGTGGAAACTTTAATTTCAACTACAATGGCAATGGTGATCCCAACAATCTACAGAGTATCTTCAATTCACTTAACAGCGTTGGTAATTTAATTAGAAAGAAAGTAGAGATTATCGATGATGAACATCCCGATCCAACTAGAATTAGAAAGTTGGAAGCAGAAGCAACGATCATTGACGATTTCAACAATATCTTTTCTGCCAACGATGCTGCCGCCGAACTAGCTGGATTGAATCAATTCTTCTTCCTCCAGTCCGTTAGCTCACAGGAACAGATTGGCGCCATTGAAGTCAACACTGAAAGAGTCTACTACTTTGATTCCTTCACAGAGAGCTACTCTAGTGATGTATTCCTTCTAGACAAACAGTGGTTGTACTCCAGACTGCTATCAAAGTCAGCGATAGTCTATGCGGACGCTTCCAACAACGATATACTTAGAATCAAGAAAATATATGTTCACGTACCGGACCTCGTTTCCAGTCGTTGCGATACAAACAACCAAATATGTCCAGCGAACCAAGTGGCTACCTATACCCGAAACAAAGACCGATGCAACATTTTCAATAGTTGCGTTTCCACTGGTGGTGCCTGTCCTAATTCCGTTCCAAAGTGTAATAAAGGCTATAGCCCATCAAGTGTACCGTCCGCGCCATCAGGATGTCCACATTGGTTCTGTGATCCTGATTTTCTATAAATCTTTCTATCTAAACGAAGTGGTGGTCACAAATTTAATTTTAAATAAATCTAAAATAATTCATCATTAAAAAAATAAATGTAATTTTAATTTATCATTTTTAAAGTTCGTCAACAATTTTTCGGAGTTTAAGCAAATTTGCAGATCATCAATTTTCAGAACCTTTTTCTAAAAAATCAGACTGAAGCAACGCATAACCTTCGTTTTTTTCTCGTGTCAAATATAAAAAAAGTTAGAAATTGATGTTTTTTTGGTGTGGTAGTTGTTGAGTTACCCCAAAACTTTTTGTGGGTGTTATTTTAAATTAGTTTTTTTATTATAAATTAGTTTTTTTTGTCATTATTAATCTAAATTTTGTTATAATACTGTTATAATATTGTTAATTACATTAGTTATTTATAATACTACGATACCTATTTTTTGTTTTGTTTATTCTAATCTAGAAAAGTAAAGGTTTTTAGTTTTAGTTTTAGTTTTAGTTTAGTTTAGTTTTAGATTAGGTTGAAATTATATTGATTTAGTTGATTTGGTATTGGGCAGCAAGCGGCTATTACCGAAATTTCAAATCAAAAAGGTACTGTAGATGTCTGTTTGCTTTCGTGTTTTTAAATAGCTGTGATTGGTTTTATCGTTTTAAGTTTATAATCTAAGAGGTTATGAAGATAGATGATTTGCACTTTCATTTTACTTTTTTAAAATAATAATAATCAAATCAAAAAAACTAGACAATAAAAACAAACAATCATTCGTATCACCAGGTGGAACCTTACTCAAGTAAGTCCCCCCATTAATTTTATTAAAACAACAACAACAACAACAACAACAACGAGGTGCAAAAACAACAACATTTTCAAACTTAATAAATGGAATTACATAACTTAAATGTTAACAAAATCAAATCAAATCAATAAATTCAATTTCAATTTCAATAAAATCAATATATATTTATTATTAAACTACAAAAACAAAGAGGTATACAGCATTGCCTAATATAGACGACAAACACTTCAAAACTGCCACTTCAACAAAACCACCCCCACATCACACCACACCACAAAAAAAATAATAAAAAAAAACAAACGAATGTTGCATATGCAGACCCATTAATAAATAATCAACAGAGACAACAAGAACAATAACAACAACGGTATAGAATACTTTATTGGAGTATGAACGAATCAACATCAATCAATTAGAAAACAAAAAAAAAAAGTACACAGATAATGTGAAAAAGAGGGTGAGATATTGATTAAATTGATGTTTCTTTATTATTCAAATTAATTAAAGGTTGTTATTGTTGATGGAAGATGATATATAACTTTTAAACTATAAATCATTTGCAGGAATGTTGAAGTTTCACTTGATTTGTTTTTATTAAATATTTTATTTTTAGATACTGATTTTAATAACATCATTTTTTTTTTTATATTTCTAATTAATTTAATTTATTTTTAGAGAAGTGCAAACCAGTCCCAATTTGGAAAGCATCAGAACCGGTGGCACTGCCTATTGCATTCTGCTACATAATTATTAGGATGAAATCAACTTTGGCTGATGAAATATCGTCTGGTGATGAGTTGGGTGTCTCCCACTTCCTGATCGATGATGAAGAGTACCAGTATGTTGTTTAATTTTTGATTATTATAAATATCGATTCATTTCTATAATTTATAAACATACATAAATAATATATATTTTCACACTCCACACACACAACAAACACCACTAATCATTCTTAGATTGATTAATTAATACCATCACAACCACTACAAATTTTATATACATATAAATTTATAAATCAAATATACATCAAAGTTGATTTTTAATATATTTTTGAAATTTATTTTAATTTAAACATTTTTAATATATATATATTGTATTATTACATTTGTTGTGTTATTTTCTATCTATTCCAAAATCAAATTTAATCTTAAATTTCAACTCCAACCTTTTTCTTTTTATATAATATCATTTATTCATAATTAATATAATTAATTTTATAAAAAATAAAAATGACTAATCAATTTGACATTGAATCCAGTCACAAATCATCATCAAGGAAGAAGAAAATCATTATTGCAGTGATTGCAATATTGATGGTTGCTCTTTTAATTTTGTTTGTTGGCATTCTTGATTCCAAGATCCAGAGATAAAGATGAACATCACATTGCAAGTAAGCCACTGAACATCATTTTTATGATTGGTGATGGTTTTGGACCGGCAGCGGCCGTCATGGCAAGAGCTGCCATGAAACAACGTACCAATGGTAACATAACCTCGTTGAACTTGGATAAATATCTGGTTGGAACAGTCCGAACCTATTCCTCAAGTTCAATGGTAACCGACTCTGCTGCCGGAGCCACTGCCTACGCCACCGGTCACAAATCATACAATGGCGCTATCAGTGTCGACCCGATTAAAATGAAACCTTTGGGAACTCTATTTGAAGCCGCTCAGGTCAAGGGAATCAGAACCGGTGTTGCAGTTACCACTCGTATCTCCGATGCCACTCCGGCCTGTTTCTTTGCACACGCCACCAGTAGAAAATCAGAGGACTTTATTATCAGCCAGCTACTCGAGAAAAACCTTACTGTTGCTCTTGGTGGTGGTGCTCTCTATTTCAACAAGACCGTCTTTGAGAATGCTGCCAACGCAAATAATAACTACAAGGTTGTTCGTGACCGTGAAGCCATGTTGAACGTCACTGAGGGAAAGATTCTTGGTGTGTTCGTCGACTATGATATGCCATATGAAATCGATCGTATCAATCAGAAGATCGATGTTCCAACCTTGAATGAAATGACTGTCAAATCGTTGGAGTTGATCAACCAGAACAACGAAAACGGATTCCTCTTGATGGTCGAAGGATCGCAAATCGATATTGCCGCTCACTCGAACGATGCCGCCGGCCAAATCTGGGAGACCTTCCAATTTGACCAGGCATTCCAAACCGTTATTGATTTCGCCAAGAAGGATGGAAACACTTTGGTAATTGTGACTGCCGATCACGAAACCGGTGGTATCACTCTTGGAATGCAACCAGATCCAAAAGAGTATCCACAGTACGAGTGGCATCCAGAGACACTCTTGAAGCTGAACGCGTCCGCTCATTACATGGCGACTCAACTTTTCAACACAACTCTATTCCCAACTATCGATGCAACCATCATTACCAACTATGTCAATGCACATGCTGATGGACTCAACATTACTTTCACCAGTGACGAGATGAATCTTCTCATGTTTTTCGCCACACCTAGAAACGACGAAAAAGTTTGGAATTTCGAACAATTTCTCGGACAATACATTAGCAGACGTGCCTGGGTCGGATTCACAACCGGTGGACACACTGGTGTCGATGTCAATCTCTACTACTACTACAGTGGTGATGATGAAGACTTGCAAGAAGATCACATCCGTGCCAACGTTGAAAATATCGATGTCGCCAACTTTATCGCCAAAGCCATGGATTTAGATTTACCTGCCATGACCGCTAAATATGCAAACTTTGTTCCATCTCCATAAAGCTTTTTTCACATTTTATTTAAATATAACAATACAACTCCGACCCCAATATATATAATATTACTTTTTATAAAATACAAAAACAAATAAATTAATATATTCTTAAACCAATTTTTCTGATTCATAAATCCAAATCCATTAACTTACTTTAAATAGTAATAGTTATCAAAGAAAGTAAAGTACAACTCAAAAGACAAACAAAACTAGTAAGTGTAGTCCAACTATTCTTTATAAATATAAATTTACTATCATTATCATTTTTATTGTTTGTTCCATGAATTTATCCATTCACCAATGATCTGTTGATTATGTTCATTATCCTCGATGGTTGTTGATTGTAATTCTTTAACGATTTCATGTTTATAAGAGTTCTTTGCTTCCTCCAAAATCATTTGATAAATTTCACAATCGATATTGTTTTCAATCTTTACTGTATTATAATTTCTATTAAACATGAAGTGAAATTGATTTGTCAGCAGCTATCAGCGTAAATCACAAACATCGTTTTTGAATGATAATAGTTACCTCTTTTTTAATCTTTCATTTAAAATCTTTGTATCAGTACGCAAAACGATAACCAAATCAAACCATCTCTCTGGGAACCATTCACAACCGTGATGATCAACAATGATACCACCTTGATTCATTGTCTCTTCCAGTTCATCACAAACCTTATCTTCATCTAAAATGTAACATTGGAATTCATCATCCCAACCATCATGCAACTCCTTCTCTTTCACCAAAGCAGAGATATCAACATGCTTAAAATCGTGTGTATTTGAAAGAATCTCTGAAAGTGAAGTCTTACCAGTTCCTGGTGTACCTGTGATCTGTATGAATACATATCAAAATTTTGTTAAAAACTTTCACTAACTACTACTAACATATTAATGTTTTAAACAACTAAATAAAATGACATACCAAAATATTTGGTTTAACTCTTTTTGTTGTACTCATTTCTATCTATTCAGAATTTAATCTATTATATTGATTGATATTAATTAAAAAAACGAAAGAAACGAAAGGGAATAAATATATATTTTTTTTTAATTTTTTTTTTTTTTGATTATTTTTAAATTTTTCTTTAAAGAATTTTCGTGTGTGAATAGATTGTAGATTGATTGATCCTCCTTCTTCATTAATATTTTCATCTTTTTATCCTTTTTTATTCTATTTATATATATCTAAATCATATCTTAGTATAATAAACTATGCCAAAATATTATTGTGAATATTGTGATAAGTATCTTACACATGATTCACCATCAGTTAGAAAATCACACACCATTGGTAAGGTGCATCAACAAGCTGTAACACTATATTATAAACAATTCGAAGCAGAATGGTTTAAGAGTCAAATGCAACAAAAAGGTGGTCAAGGTAAGCATTTATATTACATCTATTATTATTAATAATAAAAACAATTTTAGTTAATGTTTAAACTTATAAAATAAATTTATTATTTGTATATATTTAGTACCTATGATGCCACCATTTGGTATGCAACCAGGTCTATTACCACCAAATATGGTACCAGGTCAATTCAATATTCCGATGATGCCTCCAGGACAATTCCCATTCCCACCACCACCAGGTCAACCAATGGGTGGCATGCCACCACACCAACAACAACCAATGAGTTTCAATCCACATCATCCATATCCACCTCCACATCTTCAACAATCGGCACAACAATTCAATAGCAATAGTCCACCATCAAACAATGATCAGTAGTAATATAATCAATCATTAACCATTACAACACAATTACTCTTACCACTCTTCAACTCCCAGCTTTCTAAAGACTATCAATCGAATAACAATTGATATCAATTGTTTTTTATCAATTGTTTTTTACAGAATCAAAACAACAACATCGTTAACTATTAATCGATTAATTAGACAAATGTATAAACAGATAGAATAGACACAGTCATACATATATATATATATAGATCGATTACTTTATATTGATATTTGGTTGAGAGAGATAGATTAAAAGAAAAGAAAAAGAAAAAAAGATGGTAAAGTTTGGAAATCAATTCATAAATAAAAGAAAGAAATTTGTATATATAAAGTAAGCTTAGAGAACATTAAATAGTTTTAGATTTTTTGGATTTAAAAAAAACATTTAAAATCAATTGTCTATGTTGATTTTACATTTAATTTGTTATAGTTTTCATTGATGTAATCAGAAACTTCGAGACCCAACGCTTCTCTTCTCTTCTTTTCTTCGAGTACCCAATTGTCGAAATTACACTTCTTTTGTGTGAGCTTTCTCTGTTTCATTACCTTTCGGATGTGAGTTGCCAATCGATAGGTTGCATAGGGAATCGCTCCAACCACGATCACCGGTGGACCCACGATGACCGCACCAACACCCAGTGCAAAACAGGTGGCTGCATGCTTGATCTTGTAGTGTCGCTGGAAGAATCCACGCCTTTGATGATATGCATAGTTGTAATAGTTATCGTATTTCGGTGCAACATATTTCGGACCGTGTACATGTGTCGATAAATTATGATCATGAGGTTCCAAACAAAAATAACAACTAAACAAAAATAATTTTCCATATTAATTTTGTTCTAAACAATTATTATTGTTTCTAATTAATTATCTACTTACAATTGATGACCACATGCTAAACAATATACATATTCACAACCATCTTCTTTGTAGGTGGTTATTCCGCATTTTGGACAGGCTTTGTACTGCTCCGCTTCTAAATATTTCAGTGATTTCTTTTCGTCTTCCGATAGTGTATCGAATATATATTTCTTGTTCTCTTCGCATGTCATTCCATGATGTGATTCTGTGGCGCATTCATAACACAACTCTAATTTACACTCGGAATTGTCACAGATAATAGTCATATCTGTCCCACTCGGTTTGCTTAATGGATGAAAACAACTCAGACAGAATATAATATTCTTATCACCAAACAGCTTGTTATTGATAACTTTATATAATTCCAATTTATCGTGTGATACTTTATCTAAAAACTTTGACTATAATTTGAAAGTTATTAATATTTAGAATAAAGATTGTGTTTGATCAAAGTTATTATTCACTTACATTAAACTTTTCATCACTTAAAAGAGAATGGTTACATTTTGGATCGGGACAGGAAAGCTTCTTTCCTTTGAACCTCCAAACTTGCTCACGAAGATGAGACTCTGTACAAGATAAACAATAGGTATGATTACAGACGGGAAATTCAACCATGACATCGTAGGTGTCCAAACAAATTGGACACTCTCCACCTTTGGCTTGGTAGGAGGTATCGTCTTCCACCGCTGGACTACTATTAACACTACTGCTACTACTGCAACAACTAGTATTTGTCGCACTGGTATCGGACAACTCTATGCCAATGGTGGAAGTCGATATCGATGATGTTGTAGTTGTAATGGTAGTTTGTTGCTTTATATGCTGATAGTTGGAATCTCTGTTATCAAGGAAATCATCGGACCAGAAAATATCGGAATCCATTGGAAAATTATTCAATAAATCTCTCTCTTTTAAAATACAACCAAGATGAAGACCACTCAGAAAACTATCAAAACTATTTTTTCTATTCTCTGGAGTTGATGTCAATGTTGTTGTTGTTGTTGTTGTTGTAGTTGTTGTTGATGCTAATGATTCATTCTTGGTATTTCTTTTACCATTGCATTTAAATGTAAAATTTACTTTGGAAACCGGTGGAAGTGGTGGTGGAGTTGGAATCACTGATCTACTAATCACAGGTTGGTCGTTGCACCCGTTATTATTAATAATATCGGTTTGGTTTCCATCCGATACAATTTCAATCATTTTTCTTTCTGGAAATTGAGATTTAAAAGAAAAACAATTATAAATATACTACTCTCTCTATGATATTAAATATATACCAAGTAAATTTAACCGATTAGATTAAACTTTAATGTTCAAGCTTAACTGGAAATGCTTTTTTTTTTGGTTATGTAATAATTATTTAAAAAAATTAAAATAAAATAATATATATAAATATATTTATAAATATAAACATTAACACCAAACACACAAACACAAACTAACCACACACAATTTTTGATATTGAATGAATGTGTGATATGACTTAACTAACCATAACAACAAACAAACAAATCAACCTTTTATACAATTAATAACAACTGTTGTTGATTGATTGTATAGCTATTAAATAAAGATGTAATTTTGACTTTTTTTTAAAAAATTTGATTCTATTCTCTCTCTAATATATGTCTATCACACTCTAAATCAAATGAATTTCTCAGTGAACTCTCTCCTTCTTCCTTATTATTTAATTTTAATTATAATAGGTAAAAAACTAAACTAGTTTACTATGTGTTACTGTTGGTTGTGGTGATGGCTTTATACTCTTTATAATGTGGTATATTGGATTGATAGTGGAAAGGTATAAATTTCTATAAATAAACGTTAAAAAAAAACAATAATAAATAAACTATTGTGTTTAAAGCTTAATATGAGCGAATTATTAACCATGGTTAATAATTATTAGTTGTGGCTCGCACTGAGTTAGTGTGAATTAGCTAGGTGGTCCAAATCAATATCAAAGTGGAGTAGCTAATAAAACATGTCAGCGTCATTAAAAAAAAAAAAGAATCGTTAATTGTGTGGGTGTGTGTTAAAATCAATCAATCAAAAAAATAAAAAAAAAATTGGAAAATTAATTACAAACAAACACATCAACAAATAAATGTCAGTATGTAGTAGTTCATGGTGGTAAAATAGCAATAAATGAAAACTAAAAAGTAAAAAGAAAAAAAGAGATAGTTTCTATTTGGTTTGAATTTAATTAAATTGTTGTTGAATGAATAATTGAATTGTTCACTTTTTACCTACTTATAATTTATTGACCTTTCAAAAAATAATGAAGGTTTTAGGTTGATTTTTTTAAAAGTATTTTAAATTTGTTAATATAAATTAAAATCTAAAATCTAAAATCTAAAATCTAAATTCCTATTCTATAATTGTTTGTTTTCTGTTGTTGTTTTGTACTCTTTTTTTCTCTTTTTTTTGAGAGATAAAACTTTGAATTTTTGATCAAAAAATTTAATTAAAAAAAAAATTCATCCATTCAAGTTCGCAGAAAATTTTTGTTTGATCCAGGTTTTTTGACATGTTTAATGTTTTTTTTTATACGATAAAATTAGATTATTATTGTTTAAACAAAAAAAAATTTATTAAAAATGTTATTTGAAAGAAAAAAAAGGTACAACGCGATTGTCAGAGGTATTACTTGTTGTGCTTATGATATCTCTGATTCTATTTCTTTCATCAATTCATCATCTGAATCTATTGTAGGTGGTGTCAATTTCAAAAGCTCTGCCTCTCTCTTTAGTTCTTCATCTATAATTGTATCGGAATCTATTGAATCACTATCTTCATCCAGTTGTTGTTGCTGTTTGCTATTTACATTAAGATTATTATCATTATTATTATCATTATCTAAATCATCTAATAAATCATTGTTCATCGATAGATCCACTACCAACTCTTCATTGTTAAAACCATCTAATTCGCTAAGTAATTCTTTCTCCCAGTTACTTATATCATTTTCACTATTTTGTTTTGTAATTTTCGTTGTTGATGTTGATGTTGTTGTTGTTGTTGTTGTTGCGCTATTATTATTACTATTATTATTATCTACAGTTGTTGTTGTTGTTAATTCACTATCATCCTCTTGAATTGCAGTACTCTTTACAACTCTATCATTGAGACCATCAATAATATTGAATTCCTTTCTTATCAAAGTTACTCTATAATACCAATTCTTCCAAAACTGTTCCTCCGAAATACTTTGTTTGATAGATCAAATAATTTAGTTAGTTATCTTTTTGATATTGTACAATGGTGAAAGACATACAATCTTGGTACCATAATAAATCTAATCTTTTCAAGTTGCTTATCGTATTTCAAAGATGCCGTTGCTATCTGAATGAGAAAGTCATCAAACTCTTGACAATAGTCAGAGTCGATCGGTGGTGATTGTAAGAATGTCTTTTTACTCTATAAACAATTATTAATTATTAAATTTAGATTAGTAAGCTAAACAATAACTATCAATATATATACCTCTCTCTCTCTCAATTGACATACCATTTTAATATCTAATATTTTATCTACAGCTTCTTTATGTAGTACTTTATCGGTTAATTTGAAATCCATCCATGGTGGTAATCGCTCTTTGAGTACACGACTCATCTTTTCCTTTTGCTCTGATTCCTCCATGAGTTTCTTTCGCTCTTCATCTATCTTTGTAATTACATTCGATGTCCACATTGAGAATTTAGCTAACAAAACAATGATTGGTCATTAATTAATTAATAAATTAATCTCTTCAACATGCATGTTGAAATGTATGCAATGTTCCAATTCTTTGAAATCTATGAATACATACAGCCTAACATCTTAAATGTATCACCTGAATTCGAAACAACATTTGTTAATTTATTTAAAGTATTATTATTATTATCATTGTTGTTGTTGTTGTTGTTGTTGGTCGTTGAGTCAGTAGATTGAGATTGAGATTGATTGTCAACATCTTCACTGTTTGCGCTCAGCAACTCATCTGTACTCTGTTGTGACTGATTCACAGGAGTGACTGTACTTGAAAACAATGATAGATTTTTAAATGAATTGAACATTTATATTCTTCTATTGTATTTTATTAAGTGTACTAAAAAAACATACACATACTATAATTTCATTTATGTTTTTTTTTTTTTTTTTTTTTTTATAAAATTAGTTTAAATGAATTTTTGCAACTTCTACTCCAAAAATGGAATGCAAGACGAGAACAAAATAAATTAGATATCTAATATGATCAATTTCAAATATGATAACATAACTTTAATATTCAAAGTAATAGAAATATATTAAAAATTAAAAATTAAATTAAAGGAAATAAAAAAAATATGATAATAATCATTGTAATATTCGTGATTATTAATAAATAATATTGATAATCACTAAAATATTGTTTTTTTTTTAATTAATTAGGAGATCACAATCAAATAATAATGTTGTTTGAAGTTCCAGAATCAATATGAAAGAGTGGGTTTTCGTGTGTTTGAAAAAAAAAAAAAAAATTAAAAAAAATTTTCAAAACAACTAGTTTTTTTTGACGTTTTTATCCAATACACTCTTAATTGTTGTTCCAATAATAACAATAACGTTTTGTGCAGTGTAGAAGTAAGAGGTAGTAGTAGAATAATTAAATAGATAGAATTAGATAGATAGATAGATTAGATCGTAAATCAAATTTAATATTTATTTTCTTTCAAAGTCTAAAATTAATATAATAAATAAAGAGAAAAAAAGAAAAGTTTTATTTTAGAAACAATAAAAAAGTAATCATCAAAGATTGATTGTATTAATAGAATAGAATATCAATAATAAATATATCACTCTCTTTATTTAAATCAATAAACATATAATATTAAATTATTAATTGTTTAAACAATTTAAAAAACAAAAAAAAGGTAATATAATATAATTTTACTTTTAATAGTAATAGTTATAATAATAATAATAAGATTAAGAACAATATATTAATATATTATCTAGTTTTAATTAAAACAAAACAAGACAAGACAAGAACAAAACCAAAACACAATCATATTATTTTTCATTTAATTTTTCGTTTCAAGAAAAAGTTTTTTTTTCTTATCATTTTTCAGTCAAGACAGACAAAACACATAAGAAATCAATCGATTTTATAGGACAAAAACAAAAAACAAAACAAAAATTAAATGACTTCAACAACATCAACAACTAGTTCAACTTCTACTACTTCGTCGGTTGCTGCAGCGATTTCGACATCAGCAGCAATCGGAGCTTCTTCTACACCGACCCTACAGATATCATTGCGTTCAAAGAACATCATTCAATCACAGACTTCACCAGCATATGGAAAAGACGGACGACTCTTGTCGATTGACGGCGGTGCTGCCGACTTTAAGCATGTCGAGTACAGTCGCGACGGTTCACTGATCGCATACGTCCACACTCAATACATCGTGGTGCATCGCGCCGACAACGGTGCGGCACTCCTCAAGATTGAGCGCGCCAACGTTGTCTATGTTAGCTTCTCACCGGCCAACTCGTTCCTTCTGACATGGGAGCGTTTCTCAGAGGCCAACAACAACGAGAACAACTTGCTGGTCTGGGACTTGAGCAACGCTCAAATCACCTACAGAACTTCACAGAAACATTGTAACGCTGAGAATTGGCCACTCATTAAATGGACCGACGACGAGATGCTGGCCGGTCGTCTCGTGCAAAACGAGATCCACTTTTTCAACGGCAGAAACATTGGAATGGTCGCAAAGAAACTGAAACTTCCAGATATCCAACAGTTTGACTTTGCACCCGGTGAATCACCCTACAAGTTCTCGACATTCGTTCCCGAGAAGAAGGAGCGTCCCGGACTCTGTCGTATCTATATCTATCCAAATATCAGCGAACACGCCTCACACATCTCTTTCTACAAGGCAAACGACGCCAAGATCTTTTGGAACCGTAAAGGTACCAACATACTGATTCACACATCGACCGACACCGACAAGACTGGAAAGTCGTACTACGGTGAAACCGGACTGTGGTTCCTCTCACTCGATGGCACCAGCTTCAGTCTTGGCATTAAGGGTCCGATCCACGACGTCAAGTGGTCGCCCACCCTCGACCAGTTTGTTGTGTGCTACGGTAACCCGTTCAACACCACTCTCTTCAACATCAAGGGAACACCACTCGTCGATTTCGGATCGTTGCCACGTAACACCATCAGATTCTCACCGAACGGAAAACTACTCTGTCTCGGTGGATTCGGTAATCTACAGGGTGACATGGATTTCTGGGACCTGACGCGTTACAAAAAGATTGTTTCCACTCACGCCCATTGCGCAACCTACAGTGAGTGGGCTGCAGACTCGATACACTTTTTGACAGCGGTGCTCTCACCGAGAATTCGTGTCGACAATGGAATTCGTGTGATCAAATACGATGGTTCTACTGTCTACCAAGAACAGATTCCAGAGTTGTATCAAGCATTCTGGCGTCCACAGAACCCACTCGCTTTCCCCGACGAGAAGATCGTTTTCCCACCACCATCCGTGCTGAAAGTGACCAATTCGCCTCCAACAAAGTACACTCCACCCAGCCAAAGATTGGCGGCACAACAAGCACCACCAACACCTGTATCCAACTTGCCACCAGGTTTCAAGATCTACGTAGCACCGGGTACCAATGCTGCCGGTCAATCGTCAGCCGCCACCACTGGCAGCGGAAGCAGTCCAGCCGGTGCTCCAAAGAAGGAGAAGAAGCCAGCCACTGCCAAACCATCGACCTCAACAACCAGCACCACCACCACATCGACAGCATCACAACCAACACCACCAAGCAGAGAATACACACCTGAGGAGCAGTTGGAAAAGAAAATTAAGAATTTGGGTAGAAAGCTAAAGGAAATCGAACAACTGAAAACAAAGATCGAAATAGGAGAACACTTGCCACCAACTGCAATTGAAAAGGTTCACAATGAGAGTAGATTTAGAGAGGAATTGAATGTTTTGAAACAACAACAAGCAGCTCTTCAACCAACCACCACAGCACAATAAACCAATCTCATTCTTTTTTTTTTTTACTTTTTTTTTATTGGAATCAAAGAAATCAATTCAATTCATATCAAATTAGATCATATTTATCAACAAACAAAACATCAACCAGTATTATTAGAAATTCCTGTAACACCTTTAATATATATATATTAATATTTAAAAAGGTTTAATTTATTTCAAATTCAATCCGAATAGATTAATTTCAAACAAAAAAAAAGATTCAGAGGAAAAAAACAAATAAATAAATGATTAGAATTGATTTACATTTATAAATCTTATTTTTTTTTTTTTTCAAATCCAAAAAGTAATTAATAAAGTTTTAGTCTATTTTTATTTTATTTTGTTATGTACAACTAAAGCTTTGATTTGATACCATTGGATTTGTTGTTATTTTGTGGATTACTATTGGAAATTCATAATGACAACTTGGATTTGGTCTCTTTACCGCAGACAGATTTCTTGACACCTTCGGTCAAGGTTGATTCAATGGCAAGTGGTGATTCAGTGTTACCAGAAACCAATTGCTTCCATTCTTGGTTGGTTTCGTTGGTGATTTTAATGGCGAATTCCTTGTCGAGCAACTTTCCGTCGAAAGCGAAATTGTTTGGTCCCTTTCCGTCGGGGATCTTGTAGTCACGCAAGAAAGTGAATACTTCATTGATCTTTCCTGGCAAAACACGCTCGACATCTTCGATGGTGTTGATTTGATCGGCAACTGGATCTTTGGTATCGATACAGAGGATCTTCCAGTCGGTTTCACCGGCGTCGATCATTGCCCAGACACCGAGGATCTTGACTTGTTTGAATTCACCTTGGGCACCCAAAGCGGATCCAATTTCACAGGCATCCAAGGGATCGTTGTCACCCTTGGCACCGGTGTCTGGGTGGACGTGGTGTGGGTTCTCCCAGGTTTGTGGGAGTGCACCGTAGTTGAATGGATATTTATCGTGAACGAAACGCAATTTACCGTCTTTGACGTCCTGCTTGATTGGGTTCATCAACTCCTTGGTGGAGATTTCCATCTTGGCGTTGGTTCCACGTGGAATCTCGACCAACATATTGGCGACGGCAGCCTTCTCATTGACCCAGAGTGGAACGTCGTGGAATGGAGAGACAACGGCTTCACCATTCAAGAAATATACACGGAAAGTTGGAGTACCAGCTTCACCAGCAATCTTTGTTGTGATAGTCATATTTGTTCTAGTTCTGTTTGATAAATAAACTAATATATTAAAAATTAAAAATAAAAATGAAAAAAAATAAACACTATTTATTTTGATCATCATCGAATTGTGAAGGTGTGTGTCTGAAAATAAAAATAAAAAATAAAATTTTGTGACCTTTGAAAATATGAAGTTCGATTAAAATTAATATGTGGTTGTAAAAAAAAACAAAATAAAAATAATATTGTTCAGAAATTTCAATCTGTCAATCTTGTAGTTTTAGAAATTCTAATCTAGATTATTGGTAATATGTTTATAACAACGGTTAATAATTGTTTATAAAAATTTGAATTACTTTAGTTATAATTTAAAAAATGAGAAAATTTTAAATTGAAATTTTGATGATTGCGCCTTTTTTGATCACCATCTCATTATGAATCACCTGATTGTTTGTTTTTTTTTTTTTCATTTAATTTACTATTTTTTTTTTTTGTTATTTATATTTTTTATAGACAATAATAAACTATATATAGACAAAATAGATTAGATTGTTGTTGGAAATGAATGATCAATTTGATAGTGATGATGAAAACGAATTGAATAAGAAAAAGTTTGGAGATGCACACGATGATGAAGATGACAACTTTGATGAAGATGGCGATCCAACAGAGAATATCGATTACTATGCAGTGTTGAATGTACCACGTGATGCATCGGCATCGGATATTCAGAATGCCTATAGGAAGCTGGCGATGACCTATCATCCCGACAAACATCAGTCCGAGGAGTTGCGACAGCTCTCACAGCACAAGTTTGCTATGATCAAGCGTGCCAAGGAGGTGTTGTCCGACGAGAAAGAGCGTGCCATCTACGACAACTACGGTGTTGCCGGCTTGGAGAATGCACAGTCGATCATCAAGTCGACGACGAGCGTGGAGAGTCTGCTCGCAAAGTTTGCACGTGCCAACGAAGCAATGAAGGAAGAAAGACTGCTGAATTTCTTTAATGGACATGGATACCAAGCAATGTCAGTGGCAATCGTGCCAGAGTACAACTCTTGTTTCATCAAGAAGATCAGCACCACACAGAGTTTCAAAATCAACAGCTCGAAATTGGGAACATTGGAAGTCTCACCAACCGTAATCAAGCGACGTTATGACTCAAATTTCGAATGTAGAGCGACACACAAAAAGGTGATGTTCAATAGAGTCCAAATGATTACTTCACTTCACTACAGTGAGACACTTCCAATTTTATCATCAATAGGATTTAAAGGTATAATTGGACATAATATGTAAGTGTTTTGAATGAATTTGGAAAAAAAAAGCAGCACTTTATCTTTTTTCTTTTAAATTAATTATTATTCTCTCTCTCACTCTAGTCGTGCACATATAGCATCAACACAAGCAATTACATATTTGAAACCATTGGATATTTCAGGTTCATTATCAAAGAGTTTAAGGTAATAAATAACAAGAAGTGATAAAGTGTTATTGAATTATATTTATTAATGGAATAATTATATTATAACTATTATAGTCCAACGACAGAAGCAAGAATATCAGCACATGCATCACCAATAGCAGGTCAAATAGGTTTCAGTATTAGCAGAAATATAGAGAATCGTATTTTAGGATGCGATGTTATGGTTGCCAGTCATTCTGGTGTTACAGCGAGTATCAGTAGACAACTCCCGATTTCCAAGAAAACAGTGTTGGGTGTATCAATTTCAACGAATAACCAGCATTTCGGAGGTGTTACAGCATCGATTTCGCGTAGAATCTCACCGGTACTTCAATTTAGTTTTTCACTGGCAATGGATACCAAAAAATATGTTTATTCAATTGGCGTTCATCACAAATATCAATCGTTTGAGATTCCAATTCCCATTTACACCGATGTACATTGGCTGACATCGGTACTCTTCTTTACAGTGCCATCGGTCATTGGCGCCGTCATAAAGCTGCTGGTTATCGATCCGCTCAGTCGACGTAGCGACCAAGCTAGACTGGCGGCACGCAAGGAGAAACACGCCGAAGCCATAGGGGAATCGCGTAGACGTGCAGCGATCGATGTCCAACTGATGAAACCAACGGTCGACAAGAAGATTGCCAACGAGAAATCAAAGAATGGACTCATCATACAGGAAGCGGTGTACGGTGTGCTCAACGGTTCGACACCAGATCAACAGATCGATGTCACCATCGCACTCCAATATATAGTGGAAGACAGCAAACTCGAGCTCTATCCCAACAAGAAATCAGACATGCTTGGTTTCTACGATCCATGCATCGGAGAGCACAAACAACTTCGTGTCTCTTATTTCTTCCAAGGTAAACTCCACCAAGTGACAGTAAACGACGAAGATTTATTAAGAATGCCATTGAAATGTAAGTAATTTATAACAAATTCAACCTTTTTTTTTAATTACAAATAATTAACTTAATTCCTCATTTTCCAGCTCATTTAGTGAAATAAATTTAGATGCATTATAATATAATAAACTAATAAAATATTATTAAATTAATTTTAATTGTAAAAGAAAGAAAGAAATTAATAATAGATTTACAAAAACAATATTTATATTTATATAACTTTTTTTTGGGTTGTTGATTTACATAATAATATTTATATTTTCTTTTTTTTTTTTTTCATTTTCTTATAAGAAATTTTGTACAGATGAATCCATTTCAAGTGAAATATGTTGTCTGTTGGATTCTCTCTTTAGCCATGACATGATTTGTCCTGGTAATAGGGATGAGGAATGATTGAAAAGTGAAAAGATGGTTCCAATCATTTTGATGGGTGTGGCGAGTGTGCTTATTCCAACAGAGCTGGCAGAGATACCAAGTGGGACACCTCTTTTATCGAGTTCATCGGAGTTGTATGGTGCCGATGATGAGAGCAACTGTTTGATTAGATTGTCTCTTGGGAATGGAATCAACTCTACCTTGTCGTCCTTTCCGAGTTTGAGCAACTCTTTGGTCTCTTCGATTGCCTCGTTGAGTCCACCGATTCTGTCGACCAACTTGCGCTCGAAAGCCTGTTGTCCAGACCAGACACGACCACGTGCAACCTCCTCGACTTGCTCCATACTGAGATTTCTACCTTGGGCAACCTTTGATTTGAAATCACCGTAGATTTCATCGAGTTCATGGTTGAGAGTATTAAGTTGCGCCTCGCTGTAGTTGTAAAGACTGGAGAACAAGTTACTGTTGTCACCGACGGTATCGTCACGCTCATTGATCTTGAGATTGTCAAAGGAAACACCGATTTTCTCGAGTGGTTTTCTAATATTCAATTTACCAAGAAGTACACCAATCGAACCGGTAATGGTACCGTGTTGAGCGACAATCTTGTCGGCATTACAAGAGATAAAGTAACCACCGGATGCAGCGACCGATCCCATCAGAGCAATCACCTTCTTTCCAGCCTTCTTTGCTCGCTCGATCTCGAAGTGAACGATGCAACTCGCTTGATAACTTCCACCCGGTGAGTCAACACGAATAATAATTGCCTTGATAGTCTTGTCGAGTACTGCAGCTCTAATTGCCAACGAGAGTGATTCAGCACCGATAGTTGGACCACCATTCATCTTTGTCAGCGATTTACCACAGCTGATTGCACCCTCTGCATTGATATAGGCAATACGATTCTTTTTCGAATTTCCAGGTGCATTGAGTCTACCAGTCAACGACAAATACTTGGTCAAAAAGATGGTATTGACCTTTGGTGATTTTCTTTGTTTGGCAGTCTTCTCTGCTGCTGCTGCTGCGGGTTGCACTCCCTTGATTTCATCGTAGGCATCCGGTAAGTAAGCTAGTTTATCGATCAACTTTAAACTCTCTGCTTTAGCAGCGGTGAATGGACCAGACGCAAAGTAACGACTGACATCATCCACCAAAAGATTTCTATCCTGAGCGATACCCTCTGTCATTTGATTGAACAAACTATCTAAAATCGATTGCATTGATTCTCTTTCCGATGGAGTCATCTTTTCTTCTGTGAACATATTAGCAGCAGACTATATAATATAAAAAATAATAATAATTATGAATAAGTAAATCAATAAACAACTTCATATCATATATGATATTTATAAAATAACATACTTTGAATTCCCTTCTTCTTAAAAACTCTGGAACAATTTCAAGTTTTTCTAAAGTTTTCTTGATGAATGGAGCATCAATTCCCCAATTTACAATGCATAAAGAACCAACTGGTGACATATAGATTGTTCTATTATTATTATTGTTTGATAAGATATAATTGGTTAGTTTTAGTTCAACTTTATTGTTAGTTATTGTAATACAGTAGTTAATTTTACTTACTCAAATGCAGATGCCAAGTAATAGGTAATGTTTGCATTGCTAAATTCACCAAAGGAATCAGCGTAGAACAATGTTTTCTTACCTTTGGATCTCATGTAACGTACGGCATCACGAATCTCTTGAATGTGGGCGAATGACATGGCAAAGTGTGTTCCAATACGGAAGATCAAACCGGTGACCTTGGGATCATCTGCAGCCTTACGAATACCATCTACAATATCCCTAAAGTATAGTGATGCTGGTTCAAGCCATTGTTCAATTGAAGTTAAAGGTGTCTAATTGAATTGATAAATAAATATTGACAAGTCAATTATAAGTATTTAATTGTGTAATTATCGGTGTGTGAACTACATACGGTAACAGCAAGTAGATTGGCAAGATCTATTTCAATAAAAGTATTGTTTGGAATGATTGAACGGTATTTCTTTACGATCTGTTTGAAACCGATCCAACCGAGCATCAATGCGATTTGAGCGGACTTGTAGGGATGATCATGGATGTAGTCTGTGAGGAATTTCGAGATCTCATCGAAACGTTTTGGAATTGCTAATTGAAATTTACTCATCTTACTAAAAATATATTTATTCTATTCTTATTATTATGAGCAGTGTAATGATTTGTTAATTAATTTGATTATTGTGATATTAAAAAGGCAGTGAACTGCAGCTTTTAATATAAAAAAATTTAAATTAAAAAAAAATAAAAAAAAATCAAAATTAATTTAATTTTTACACATAAATTTTATTCATTGTTTTTCATGCTAGGTTATGATTCATTACAACATCACATCCAGTCCCAATTAATTGGAAAATAAAAATAAAAAGAAAACACATAATTATGATAAAAACAATAAACAATTAACAAAAAAGAAAGAAATAACAAATCTAATGAATGAATCCTACTTTGAATCAAGTATATTATTAGAGAAATTTGTTGTTTTGAGTAAGTATGTTGCTCAAGTTACTAGGGTATATCATTCAACTGAACATAGAGGTGATGAGTAGTTTGATACCTACCTATTATCTTCTAAAAAGAAAGAAAGAGTTCACCATTTTTTTCTTTCTTTTGGAGGTTACCGCGGTTCATGCTTTACTAAATTTAATTGATAATAATTACATCGATCTTTTTACATTTGGAATCAAATGATTATGTTTAACTTATTTTTAACTAAAAAAAACCATTAACAAAAATTAAATTTCTAATCAAAAAAAACAACAACAATTTAAAATATTATTTTATAAAATCTTTAAATAGTTTATTCACACTTATCATAGAAATTTTCTCCGAAATAGAATGAAAAATAATTATCTTGACTGAATGCGTAGAGAACTTGACTGTTGTCAGGACATATCAAGTTGAATGAATATTGTGTATCATTTTCTATTTTCCATAGTGGACTGATACTGACAGCACCAGTTTTGTATAGAACAATACCATGAGCATCGTAGAAACTAATCTGTTGTTTTTCGACAGAGAATGGTTGAATCAAGTTATCGTTGCAAGATGTAAAATCATTTCTGACTACTTTGAAAGGATCTCCATTGGTAAGTGTACTATAATAACTGTATAGCATCTGTTTTGTGTAGATCACAGTACCATTTCTTAAAACAGCTGTTTGAATAAATCGTATTAGTTTGGTATATTATATTTTTATATTTTATAGTTGACAAATTACCTGAAAATTGAACTAAATGATTTCCACCGTCGAAATAAGGAGCAAGAGCTTCTGAACAATTTTTAGATTCCACTCCATAGAAAAATACCATTCCAAAGAATAAAACTACTAAAAATATATATTGTTTCATTTAATTTTTTATTGAAACAAAAAAAAATATTCTTTTTTAAGTTGTTTATTATTAAAAAAATAATCTGTATTATATTTAAAGGTAATATATTTATTAATCAAAAAAATAAAAAGTATTACCGTTCTAACCTAGGTAAAACATACCTTCAAAGTATAATATTAATTTTAATTGAAATAAAATTTTTGTTTCCTTCAGCCAATGGAGAGAAAATTTGTACCACAACCTATTGAATCGAAATGAATTATTACAGTTATACAGGTTAATTGCAAATGAAGTTGAGTTGTTGGGACGAATTAAGTTGATTGAGCTATTAAAATAGAGTAAATTTAGAAAATGGATTTGTTATCGAAGCCACGATACTTTAAAAGTTTTTCAAACTTTTATATTTATTGGGATCCCCCTTCAATTTCATCTTGCTTTCTTTCTCTAATTCGTAAGTTATTAACTCTTTTAAGAGATAATTAATATATTTATTTATTTATCCATCTATCTATATATGTCAGTGTATGTATAAAGATAGAAAAAGTTAAATAATAACAAATTCAAACTCCTTAAAAAAAATATATTTATTTCATTTACACAACCACTAAAAAGTTAACTTCTACCTTTAATATTTTTCTTTTAAGTACTTGGTTTTTTTTAATGAGAAAAGTGAGAAGTGATTCTTTTAAACTTTTTAGCTACCAAGTTGAATATTTAAAAATTAAATTGGTAATAGTTAAATGTATTAAAAATTTAAAAGTTTTTTTTGATTTAAAAATCTTTTATTAATTTCTACTTCGACTGCAATAGGATACTACAATAGTTCTTTTTAAAAGGAAAATAAAAGAAATATTTTACTCAAAAACCTCAGAAAAATATTTTTGAGGTAAAGTCAAAAAAGATCAATATTAAATTATTTATTGGACAAAAAAAACCAAAAATTATTTGTTAAATATACAAATTAAAATACATATGTATAGATAATTTTGTTTATTAGTTGTGTGAAATGAAAAACTTATCACATAAGAAAAAAAACAAATAATTAACACAAAAAATATTACTAACTACTATTTTTAGTTATATTTAGATTAAATGGTGATCAATTCGAATATTTCAATTTTATTTTATCAAAACCAATGATATATAGATATTCTTAATCCGCTAACATAGATCATCACCGTGTACAATCTTGTTATATATTGGAATATATACTCTTTTACTAATGGATGATACCAATATTAAAAATATAATGATTTCATTAACATGTGTAATTTTCATTTTATCCCTCCCCCAAAAAAATGAAAACATTTTGCAAAAATAATGCGAGAATACCAAAAAAGCTGTGCAAAAAAAATGAAATAACACACATAAGTAAGTAAACAAAAATACAAATTCTAACTTGTCATTGATAACAATTCATCATCTGATCAGATGGATATGTTAAAATTATCACGGCGAATCGTCATCGGTGGATGTTCAATTTTATTGTTTCATTTTTCATTTATTGTGAATTTGTATTTTGATTTGATGTTATTTCCATTAGTTTAATAAAATTGTAATAAATTATATTGTTTTGACATTTCTGACAACGTTTAGGTTTGTTTATGATTCTAACTTCCTCTAATATAAATAGTAACTTTTTGAATATCAATTGAATCAATCAGTCAGTAAGTATCTCAATTTGGAATCTACCAACTAATTTAATTAATTAAACTCAAAGAAAATGTTATACAGTAAGTTTTCTAATTGTCAATCAATTAAAGAATGAAAGAAAGTAACTAACTAACTGACTAACTTTAACAAAACAAAATAATTAGAATCAATGGCAAATCTCTCACCAATCTCGAAGAGCTCGAGTATTGACACTACCAATCTGAGAATTCAAGGTGCTAACAACATGGAAGTTGGTCAAACAAGTAATAAACCAACAATTCTTCCACAACTCATTGGATTATTGTTTTTGTTGGGTCTTTAAACGATTCAAAACACTACTACTACCACTACAACTGAAATTATTTTATTAAAAGATTATCTTTTTGATTTCTATTATTTAATAAATAAATAAATTAACAATTTCAAAAATATATTTATTTCTTTTGTTTCTTTTTCTTTTGATTATTATTATTATTTGATTGTTCTTGGTTGCTTCTTTTTGGAATTGATTTTGCTTTTGATTTTACTGCTGCTTTTTCTTCTTCTTCTTCTGAATCGTCGTCACTACTACTACTGCTGCTTGAATCGTTATCACTTTTAATCATATCTTTTTCATGATCAAAACCTTCAAAATCTTCTACTTCTTCATCATCATCATCTGAATCGTCGTCTTCGTCTTCGTCATCATCAGAGTTAATCTCTTCATCATTCTCTTCATCATCCTCTTCTCCATCATCTTCATCATCTTCATCATCATCATCATTTTCATCATCGTCATCGTCATTTTCATTCTGCTTATTTTCAACTTCATCTTCACTGTCGGAATTGAAGTTCAAGATAGCATCGTCATCACTGGCTTCTTCTCCTTCAGCACCATCGTTTTCAGCATCTTTATCGTGATTGATTCTCTTTTTCTTGCCATTGAGTCTTTCGTTTATGATTGATTTATATTGTCTTCCATTGATGTGTCTCTCTATCTCCTCTGGTACTTTATTCAACTCTTTCTTTGTAATTTTACAATATAATCTTCTCCTATAATAGTATTTATTAATAAAAACAAACAATTGATACACTTGTTAGTTATTTTTTAATCTTTCTAATAACCTCAAATATATTTTATATTTAGATAATCTTGTTGTTTACTTACTCGTGTGATGTTGAAGGTACTATATTCGGTGCATATTTAGTAAAGTCGTACTGATCGATAATAGCATTCTTGTAACTCTTTGAATTTAAATGAATCTTTAGTTGATCTAATCTCAATGGTATCTCATGTTTAGTTGTTTCACATCTAATCTAAATAAAGTAAAGTAAATATATTAGTGTCAATCTTCTATGCATGTGTGGTGAGTGTGTGTGTAGAATATAAATATAATAAAAATAATATAGATAGATATTATTGATTGAAAACAGAATGTTAAACGATTCAATTCATATTATTAATAAATCGATACATACTTTATTAATCTTGCTATCAAAAACAAAATCGTTATGTTGTTTCAGAAACTCTTCTATCTCTTTATTCATTATGTTGGTTGTTGCTTTTACTTTTTTTTTGTTTTAACGCTTCGATTAACACAAAAACAATACAAATATATTACTTTACGTATTTGTTTTTAATTAAAATCTTAAAGTTTACACAAAATTGCGCGTAAATAAATTAAAAACGAATGTCATTTTTTCAATTTTTTTTTTTTTAATATCTTTTAAATATATTTTTTAGTTTATTTTCAAAAAAACATGAACACATGCACCATTTTCAAAAATCAATATAACTGTATCTCCCCTTTTTAATTGTGTGTTTGAACATTTTTGGATTGTTAAATCAATTATAAATATTTAAGAACCAAAAGAGGCTAAAATGTAGTGGTTAAAATATAAATCAATCACTTTCTCCATTTGGAAAAACACTATTACCACTAAAAGCAAATTTGTTTTACTATTTCTTTACCACTGATTGGATAATGGTAGCAGTGTTTAAGTTTTGAAACCCTTTTGTTTCTAAACTGATCTGTGGTATTGTTTTAAGTTATTATCATTTTTAATAATACAAAAGAAATAAATCTATTATAAATTAATTTATTAATAAAAAATAATAAAACTACACTATAAATACTTGTTGATTTGAGTCAACCTTCATTCAATATACAATCAATTGAATTATTGAAGATAGTTGTTTGAACGATTTCAATAATATTTATTATTTTGATAAAAACAATTTGAATATAGTTAATTCTATAGAATAAATACAAATAATTATTAAAAAATGACTATTCTTTGTAAGTATTCTTAATATAGATACTATTATTGTATTCTTTTTATTTCTAATATAAAAAGCTTATATTCTTAGCATCTTTAGGAAAAATTGGATTAAGTTCAAATAATGTATTTTCCGATAGTAAAATGAAATTTTCTTCTGTTAAAAACATTGATTCTATTCAACAAAGTAATTTTACAGTCAAATTAGGAAGAGAAATTTGTTATTACACTGCTAATGGATGTTTCTGTAAACAAGTCTAATAATATTTATCAATTATATAGATCTTAATAAAAATAATTTAAAATTTAAATTCTTTTTTATAATAAATTTATGTAAAAACAAGTGTGGGAACAAAAGAAAATTGAAATCTAATCAATGATTTTATACAAAAAGTTAGAAAATATTTATTTATTTAGATATTGATTGTTATCTTTACTTTTATCTTTTTTAGTTATTAAATTGTATCAAATGAATAAAAAAAAATTAATAGAAAAAAAACATGATTGTTTATTCAAAAATATTAATTAAATATTGAATAACTAAGCTAACAATTGATGATTTAATCAATTGGTTTAGAGGTGGACTTCCAAACATGGGATGTAGACGGTTCTGTTAAGGACATCAATATCAGTAGCAGTGAGATCCAACAAAGCAGTTTGGTTTCCAGATTGCATCATCTTTGATCCAGTTTGACCAGAGACGGTTTGGGAGACTGAGGAGGATGAGGATGAGAATAAGTTGGCAATTGATTCTATAGAATTAAAGAGAAAATAGATTAAAAAGAAATTTTTTTAGTAAATCAAATATTTACACGAGAATTGTTATATTTTTTTTAAATCTAAAAACTTACTGTATAACATTTTGTATTAGTACTTTTAGATTTTACAGTTAATTTAGAATACTGAGTAATGATTTGATGAATAAACTGATTGAGAAATTTCAATATTTATAGATTTCAAATTGCTATCAGTTCCTATTAAAGATAAAAATTAAATAGGGATATTATTAATTATTCCTTTAATTTATTTCAAATAATGTACATTATTATTTTTATCTTTTAAAGAAATAATCTCTTTACAACTAATCAATCTAATAGTTTTGTAGTATTCCATTATGATGTATTTGTACTATCAAATGACATACTGTGTATTGGTGGTTATGAAAAAATCTAAGATTTCATCTTTTGAAAAAACTAACCCACTTTAATAGATATCTGTAACAATCATTATTTTTTTCTTGTGGGGGAATTGAATGACATAACACATTTGGATTGAGTAATATACAGAACTATATAAGATGATAAAATTTTGGTGATGTTTTTAATAATCATCCAAACAATTGTTTTTGTAATAAGAAAAAACTATTTATTTCAATATATACTGACAAACAATCATACTAGGGTTAATAATTTCCCTCATTCAATCTACCAATTTGGTGGATCAGATATCAATTTGATGACGAAAACAAGGTCTATTTATAATAATTGTATGTTTAATTAAAGGTATGAATACTCATTGTATAATAAACATACTTGAATTCTTCAATCAGTTGACTGAAAATATAATAGATTTTACAAATTTATTTATTGTACTTTAAATTTTTGTCGTTTTTGATTGGGGAAAGGATAAACAATCAAATTCATTCATTGGACTGTTACTTGCTAATCTATTAAACTACTAAATAATAATACATATTTTGAATTTTCAAAGTCAATAATTATTGATATTAACTTTTTCGAATATTGCAAATTACTATTTTTATTTAATAGAAGTCAAATACCTATCCACTGACAATTATATTGGTTTTCCACATTACCCCCTTTTTTTCTCATCTTTAAAAAACAAAAAACAATCAAACAAAATAATTATTACCAATAAAATTTCATTAACACTCCATCTTTATTGAAATATTTGATGAGTTTTTTTTTTAATATTAAAAAGATAACATTAATGAGTCGAATTTAAATTAAAAAAAATAAAATAATATGAGTTTCTTAATTGATTAAAAATAAAATAATATTATTTTTTTTTTGAGATAAATAGTTTTTTTTCTTGATATTTTTTTTATACTTATTATATGATTATATTTTTATTTTAATTATACAGATGATTTTATGGGTGATGTTGGTGGTGCACTAACAAAGATTTGCTCGTAATGCTGTACACAAAAAGTGAATAGTCCAGGAATCAATCCTTTCAGTGATTGTGCAAAGCATGTTGTCACATTTGCTAAAACCATCTTGTTGTGATCGCTCTGCTCTGTCACTCTCTTTGCAAATCTTATCATGTGTTTCAATAAATTATGTTCATTCTTTGGAATTTGTTTGAATAACTCTACAACTGAACTGATTTTTTCATCCTCTGACATTGTTCTATCAGCTATTAAAAAATAAAATGATTAAATTAGTTAGTTAGTTGGAAAATATCATTGAAACTAACAAAAAAGTAGTTTATGTTATACATACCAATAATTTCAGCAGATACAATTCTTAAACTTGTTGGTACTAGTAAATCTGGAAGTTCTCTTAGATATAGTTTGAGTAATCCAGCCACTGCATGGGTGTCACGCGATGCTGGATATTCAACGTTGGAACCTTTGTCGAGTATTGCTTTCATCTCCTGAATCTCTGTGGAACTGCCAGAGATACGGAGAATTCCTTCCTCCTGAATGTGTCGCTCGAGGAAATTTACCATTTTCGTTACAAACGAAGGAATCTCTGCATTTGGATTCTCTCGTGCCATTACATCGTCCAACTTGATGCCAAACACTCCTGGGAATTTCATACCGCCACTCTCCTTCTTCCAGGTGGATGACATCGACTCTTCTTTGGCACGATCGACACTCTTTTGCTTGGTGTGTTTCTTTTCGAGGATTGGCTTGGAAATTTCGTTGGGTTTACGCTCGTACCACGATACCGATGCCTCCAGAACACCGAGCCATGCCTCCATGTCTTTTTGGTTATCGAAACCAAGTAGACACCAGAGCAGTGTTGGCATCGAAGAGATGAGATCTTTCGATGAGCTATTGATAGAGTTGGCGGCATTACCTGAACCACTGCCACTACCGTTTCCGTTGGATCCACTACCACCGTTTGCGTTACCAGACTCGGCGTCGTGTTCGCCCGAGGTTATAAGTGTGCCAATACAAATGTAAAATGTTTTCTTCTTGGTGGAATCCTGTGAACTCGATACTGAGATCGATTTCTTATCGTTCAGATAGACGACGTCGAGTGGCTCTTTGGATTTGTCGTTTTTGAAAAAGAAAATAAAATTGTCTTTGAGAGTGCCCAACGCTTTCTTCTCTTGTCCTTTCTTCCAGAGTTTCGAACCGATTTGATAGGTTACCGGTGCAGCTAGTGTTGGATTCAGCAAATTGTCAAACGATATCTTGTGTTTGTAGACTACGTTGGCCAACTTCTTGGCGCAGTCGTCCTTGGTCAGCAGATAATCTTCGAGACGCTTGATGTTGTGACGGAAATATTCATTCTTTCTGGTGAGTTCCGATGCCATCTGGTTGGTACGCTTCAGCAGCATGTTACTGTGCGCAGAGATACGCGCACCCGTTTTATTCTGATCGAGAATCTCTTGAAGTTTCGACTTCATATCGACCTGGAGATGGTAGCGATTGATTTGTTCACGCTCCAACTGTCCAATTACTTCTTTCAACTGACGCGTTTGTTCCAAATTGTAATCGATCATCTGATGTAGCTGTTCAATTTGTTTGGCTGGCGGTAGCGTTTTGTCGATGCTACTATAGTGGCGTGGCTGCATAGCTGCCCAGTCAGCGCTGGATTGATGCGGCACCGGATTCAGCTGCGATATATCATGCTCGTTGCTCTCCATCTGCGAGAGAAAGTCGATTGAGAAGTTTTCCGATCGTGGTTTTCCAGCGGATTCTCTGGTGTTCTGTTGGAATTTCATGGGTGGCTGATTGAGGAGCGCAGAAAAGGCAACGGCGTCTTGTACACCAGTGAATCCTAGCCATGGATGTTTCAGCAGTTGCTCGGACGACGAACGAGACGCTGCATTTCTAATAAAACAAAGGTGGAGGAATGATTGTAACTCTGGTGAAGCGTCGTCGGGAATGTGCACTGGAACGCGGTCGTCGATGATATGCACGAGTGCTTCCATCGCTGAATATTTACCGAATGGTGGACTACCAGTGAGTAGCTCTATAATCAAGCAGCCCAGTGACCAAATGTCCGACTTTGGACTGACGTCGCGCAACAGCAAGACTTCTGGCGCCGTCCAGTAAGGTTCGCCAGTGATGGCGCGGAACGAACTTCCCAGTGAACAACCCAGTCCGAAATCCGAGAGTTTACATCTTCCACCCTTTGCTAGCAATACATTGTTTGCTTTGAGATTGCGATGAACCAGTTGCTGTTGATGGATGAACTGCAGTGACTCTAGAATCTGAATGACATACTTGACGAGTAACGACTCTGGGAATGCACCCAATCGCTTATAAATATCAGAGAGTGATCCATTCTCAACAAACTCCTGTACGATTCCGAGATGATTGTGATCGACAATCATCGTCTGATAATTCACCACCGATTGATTCGATAATGATTTCAATATCTCAAATTCCTGTCTCATTATATTCTGATTGGTGACTGTCACACGATTCAAATCGATCAGCTTCACCACCACATACTCACTGGAATCTGGTGATGCCGCTGAAAATGTATTTCCAAAATATCCATTTCCAATATGATGTAATAATTGCTAGATATTAAAAATAAAAACTATTAATTTTCCACGTTGAAAATATTGTTTTCGTATAACCGACAACTTACAAATTTACCTAGAGTTGGTGGTGCTTCATCGTTTCTGGAGTTTGGTGAATATAATAAACTGCTAAAACTAACTGTTGGCTTACTGTTGTATGATGCTGGCGATAATGATTGATTGGGAGAGATCGAGGGTGAAGCAGGGTAGGATGTTGGTGTCGCTGTTTTGTTGGGCGATGGTGAAAGGTTGCCGACCGACGATGATCCAATCGGTGAGAATGTTGGATGGTGATTGTTTCCACTGGTTGTGGTTGTCAGTGTCGACGATGGTGAAACCGGATGATAGTTGGAGTGATGATCCAACGCCGAGTCCGATCCGTTGGCAGGCATAGCGAATTTCCTACGATTTCGCTTCAGTGTTTTCTGACCTGGTGCAACCGATTCGAAAGAAGATGAAGAAGCGCCAGCAGCAGTCGGTGTGTCCACTTCGTGATTGTTATTGTTGTTGCTGCTGTTGTTGTTGTTATTAGTCAATTGTCCATCGTCTTCATCAGAAACACCACCATGGTCAGCGTTGAAACTGTCATCGAGTAGTTCATCGTCATTCTGATCGTCGTCGTAATCATATTCATTCTCGTCGTTTGTAGCCTGTAGGAACTCTCTGACCTGTGCTTGTAGTACACTCAAGTCCTCAGTGCTTGGGACATCAGCGGCTACTGAAGTATCTTCCATTATATTCAATTGGATTCAATACCTCCTACTACTATTAAATTAACCAAATCTTTACTACTACTATTACTATTCCTTTTCCTTTTCTATTATTACAGTTTTATTGATTTTCTAAAAATACAATGATTTTTGCTGTGCTAAAAAAAGAAAAATTAAAAAATTAATTTCTTTTTATAAATTACTGTAAATATTTCAAATTTGGAAATGGAAATATTAATAATAAAATTTGTTGGTTTTGGTGGGAAAGTGATTGATCCGATTAATTGGACGAATAAATTATTACAATGATTGATTAAAATTTTGATTTACTAAATATTTGTTGTTTTTAAATATTATTATTATTATAATTATTGTTTTATTTATATATCAAGTTGATTGGTTGATTTGTTTTATTTTGGTTGGTTTATAATTCTTGATCAATGATGATTATGATTTAGATATACTCCATTTACAACATACAATGTATTTTATTATTCTTATTTATTTTATTATTAATATTTTATTTTTTTATTTTTTTATTTTTAAAAAAAAATTGATGGGTTGATTTAAACAAAAAGTTGGTTTTTGGTTTGGTTTAAAAAAAAAAAAGGTAGTGTTTTTGCTCAGCGGATAATTGAATATCATGTTAAAACAACAACAACAACAACAATTATGTGTATGTGTGTTTTGGTTGTTGTGTCAAATTGTGTTTTGGTTTATTGTTGTTTACTGTGTTGTTTTGAATCAAGTAAGAAAAAAAGAAATCATCTTAAATAACCACACCACTAGTTCCTCATTTGTGAATCTGAGTATCTAGGGGTGTTCACTATTTTAAGATGTTTGCTCGAAAGTAAATCACACCAATGCAAATTCTATTCTTTTTTTCTCTACTTCCTATGATAAACAATTGTTAATCCAATTCCTATCCTATTCAATACTTAGGAGACATTATTATGTATCGTCTATCATCTCTCTTTACTATATATCAATCATTTATCCATCATTAATGTGTTGAATGTCATATCTAGTGTATGGACACTTTTTGTTTTTGTGTGTGATTGTGTGGTTTTTTTTTTTTTAAAACTGAATAATGTGTGAAATATGTATGATTTTTTTTAATGTGATGGCAATGAAAATATATAGGACAACCACATTTGAATGATTGATTTACTTACAATTTTATATTAGATTATATATTAAAATATATTGCAACTAACTAGTTACTTATAATAAACAACAATTTGTTTGTTATGTTTGTTTATGATGACTACTGTTACACTATTAATTTTTTATAATCTGATAATATATTTTATTGTTATTTTGTTATTTTCGTAGTTCAAAAACTTTAAAAGCAAATGCATATCACTAATGATTTTAAATAAATAAATAAATAATAAATAAATAAATAATAAGAAATGATTAGAAACAAAAAAATTTGATATCTTTGACAGCTAACAAAACAACAAACCAAACACTTTCATCAGTTTATTGAAATTTATTTTTATTTTTTTTAGATTTTGGGTGGGGTAGTCCAATTTTCACATAATGGCACTTAAAAACACCATCGATGTTAAAATATCGTATTTTTTTCAAAATGTTGGTGGATTTTGTTGTTGGAGGAAGAAATTTTCTTGTTGAGTTGTAAAAAAATATCTCAAACAGATGAATTTCAATTGTTTTTATCTCGGACATCCAAAGATATTTAAATATCTTTAAAGTAAACATATAATCATAATCAGAAGAACAATCATAATAATTCTTTTGTTTTTTTTTGTTTTTTGTTTTTAAATAATTTATTTCTAAATTTAATTTCTCCATCTATAAAAATAATTAATTTGTGTAAAAAAAAAAAGAAATAAAAAAGTAATTTTAAATATTAATAAATTATAATTGATTGGTTTGTAATGTTTGTTTGTTTAAAATAATAATACTTACATTTTCAATAATCTATCTTTTGAACCTGAAACTACATTCTCACCGTTTGGACTCCAATCTACGGTATAAACTTCATCGGCGTGACCTGGCAATTCCAGTGTCATTTTCTTTGTTTTGATATCCCAAATCTTGAGAGTACTGTCTTTACTGCCACTGACTAGGAATCTGCTGTCACTCGACCAACACACTTGGTAGACGGCACCGACATGTCCACGGAAATTACCGAGGAACTTACCGGTCTGACCATCCCACAGCTTTATCGATTTATCGAAAGATGCACTCGCGAAATAACGACCGTTCGGTGAGAAACTGACCAAGTTGATTTGCTGTTGATGTCCGGTGAGTCTGGAGATTGCTGTCTTTGAAACCGAAGGATTCCACATGATCACGGTGAAGTCATCACTGCCACTGATGAGAATATCGCCACCGCCATACTTGGCACCAGATGCTTTCGCTTCGTTGTAACGCTCCAACGCCTTTTGTTGTGCTTTCTCCAGTGTCTCTTGGTGTTCTCCGGTGTGATCGAACGGGCCCGTTCTCAAGACGTAGTCGGTGTTGAGCGCCAGTGTATTGACCCAATGTGCATGACCCTCCAAAACCCTAATCAATTTACCCTCATTTGTATTGTAAACACGAATGGTACGATCTTGCGAACCCGTGTAGATCATCGATTCACCACTCCACTTCAGACAGGTGACGGACATGGTGTGACCGGAGAGCGTCATCAAACAATGATTCGACTCGGTATCCCAAATCTTTACGGTTGCGTCCTTCGAGGACGATGCAAGACGCACGCATTTCGGATTCAAGTGGAACGGCTCCCATGCCAGTCCAGTAATGAATTTGGTGTGTCCTTTCAGGGTGCTTCCAACTTGCTTGCCGGTGAGTGGATTCCAAATGCGAATGTCACCTTCCATGCCACCGGTAGCGATCTTCTTGCCATCGGGTGACCAAGCTACTTGGAGAACCCAGTTGGTATGTCCTTTACAGGTGAACGACGGTGTCTGAGTGTTGAGATCCCACAGTCTGAGAGTGGTGTCACCACTCACCGATGCTAGACCGGTTCCATCCGGACTGAAAGCACTATGCAACACCGCCTCAGTATGTCCTTCCAACGAAGAACTACAACGAGTGACTGGAGTAACTCTAAACACTGCCTGTGGTTGATAATAGATATTGATTGTTGTCTCTTCCGATTGTCCTTCCAAATGATTCTTCAAATTTGAAACAACTTCACTCTCACCAACAAAGAATGAATATGGTAATTGTTCTTCCTACAAATTTATAATAACAACAACAACAACAATGTAATTAAAGTTAATAATTAAAGTTAATAAAGTAAGTATGTTTATATAAATTTAGATAAACTTACATTATTTAAAAGATTATTAATTAAAAGTTCTAATTGTTCAGTTGAAACATTCTGTGAAATATTGATTGGTGGACCTGTTGTTTCATTTTCATTATCTTTGCTCTTGAATTGAACTATAATGTTGAGTGCACTATCTTGTTTTTTCAGTTGTTCTGCCTCTGCTACTGTAGATGGTTGTTCTTCAGGTCTCTTAAATCCAAATTTATTCTTTGGTAATTGTTTTTTTGTTGGTGCTTTATACATGTTTTTGTTTTGTTTTATAACTATATATAATAAATAATTACAGTATTTATAGATCTATCTATCTATCTATCTTTTTTCTCTATTAATCTATTATTATTATTATTAACTTTTATTAATTAAATCAAAAATTAACTTTTACTACATTCAAATCGATTCGATTATTAAAATCAAAAATTAAATTTAATTATTTTTAAATAAATCGTGTTTTTTCTTTTTTTTTATTTATTTTTAATTTTATTTTTTGAGAAAAACGAAGTGTGTGATCATTGCGAAAAAGGTAATGTCACTTAATGTAAATTGATAATCAAGAATATATTTTATGTTGATAAGTTCTTTTCAACTAAGTGTTTCTTCAATTTATCATTATTGAATTGATCCCAAGTTTTTATAAAAAAATAATACAGAATAAAAAGAAAAATAAAGTTGATATTGTTTGTTTAAATAATGTTTATAATGTAAATTGGTTTTACAATTTTAATTTTGTTAATATATTATCTAATTGTAGTGGAGGATATATGTAACCCAACAAACTAAATAGTACTACAAATATAATTGGTGAAAACTTCTTGTCATCATTGTGTAACATTGGTCCAGAGTCGGATTTGTGATAGAGATATGTCATTGTTCCCATGAACGATGAATTCAAAGTATCTGGTTCATATTCTGTTAAATATAATATTAATGCACTAACAAAAAATGATAAATAATATTAATAAATATTGTTGGTTGTTTGGTTGATTGGTTGATTAAACTGATAAATAGTATATTCTATAATTCCTTACAGTGTTACACCAGCGAATATTCTGAAACCTGTTGGTGTGGTGGTAGATAGTGATTCTGGAATGATCTTTCTCTTGACACCACTCTGAATGAAACCGATCAGTGCACGAGCAAATAAATAGAGTACGATCTGATTGTTGACACTGCCACTGGTGCCTTTGCTCTCACCGAATGCATAGTAACCACCGACGAAACCAGCAATCAGAGATTCAACACCACCTTTAATTCCGAATTTTCTAAACACACAACATATCAATTTGTAGATACCGACAAACATTCCAAGATTTCTACCATGGAAAAACATTTGTTTAACTACAAATTTTACACGTGATAATAATCTAAAGATTGATAAAATATTTATAATTTTGAATATATAAGTATTATTATTATTAATATTAATTCTATTAGATAGTTTATATAGTTTGATAAATATTTACTTTGCATCTCTAAAAATAGCGGCATAGATAACCGCTTGAAATATATAGGGTATTCTAATTCTGACACCTGTTAATATACCATTTCTAAGTCCTCTGATTACAGAAAGTAGGCAATCACTGTGGAAATGTTGATGTTTATTGATGTGATGATACAAATTCTCTAGAGTGTTGGATGTTATTGCAGCTGCTGTATCATTTGAATTCATATCTATCTTATCTTCACTTTTATTATATAATCTAAAAATTATTGTTTTTAATCGATCTATCTATCTATTTTGATGTTATTTTATTATTATTACAAACAAACTGAAATACTAGTGAACAAAAAAACAAAAAAGCAAAAAAAAAAAACTATATAAAATATCTTTGATAAATTTATACAAAAAAATAAAATTATTTCAAACTTGTTGACGAATGAATTTCCAAAAATAAAAGTATGTTGTTGATGGGGGTGATCAATGAATCAGATGATGTGTGTTAAAAAAAAAACAATCATTTTTACTAAAAAAAATTAATGAAATCATAGCACACATTAAATTAAAAAGTTAATCTATCTTTATACAATTATATATCTTTTGAATAAAAACAGATGAAGAAATGAAACCTATTGTACCGCAAAAGAATCCAATTATCATTGATACCATTAATGAATATGAAAAGAAATAGCTACAAGTTACATTAAAATGTAATGTTAGTTAATGTATTTATAATAATGATATATATATATATGTTTAGGTTAATAAAGATACATTACCATAGTTGAATGAATCCATTGATTTCAGTTCGTAGGAAATAATAGATGATCGAGTGAAGTAAGATGTAGAGTGAGGTGGATGCCGACGCCAAGAACGATGTCCAATGCCACTGGTGATCCTCGCGGTTCAGTGTGATAAACGTTGCAATGATACTGACCATCACGATCGATATCACAAATATCAGAAGTTCAATGAGCGTGAACGGAGTGAATAGGTTGAAGTGTTTGTAGTTGAAGAGCGACGACAGGATCTGCTCGGTATACAGGTGAACAACGACATACGGAAGTATACCTGTAAATGGAATCAAGAGGAGTCGGCTCTTTACTGCCGACGGTGCAATCGGCCTTGCAATCGAGAGATGCTTGTTCGACGCCGACGTATTAGATACCCAGCCAAACAGACGCCACCTATGGCCCACGTAGAAACCCGCTGCCGTTGCCGGCATGTTAACCAGCGAGAACAGTAGCAGCATTCGCAGCAAGTGCAGTATCGACATGGAGGTAAGCGAACGATCGTCGTATGCAACGACCAACAACACAACAAACATCGATAGAATCAACAGAGGTAGCAACACAATGTAGAAACAACACGCACGTATCCAACTCTGGTTGGGATGCTTGCTTATCAGACCGCCGGCAAACATACCGCCCAGCCCCGAAGTAACAGGGAACAGAATGAACAGTACATTGAATATATTGTGATGACCAAGACCACTTCCACGATCTCCACTTCGCAGACCCAATAGCACACCCAGATACAAGATGGCAAACATGCAAAACAAATGGAATCCAACACCGACCATCGAACTAAATAAAAGCATTCTATGTGGCGCTCTATTTACGTCGGATTGTATTAACTTCCAATTCGATGAATCTCTACCAAATATATCTGTACACAATTCACCTATTGTCTCTTTTAATTTAAATTTTTCTTCTTTACAACTATTAATATTATAATTTTCATCCCTATTATTATAACTATCTATATTTAAAGTAATATCATTATTACTATTACTATTACTATGTTGTTGTTGTTGTTGTTTAATATCAATATCATCTATATCTAAATCATCTTGGGAAGATAAAGATGTTAATGAAGATGTAGAGGTTGCTTTTGTTATATAATCTTGATTGTTATTGTTGCTGTTGTTGTTGTTGTTGCTACTATTGTCACTATTATCGAAATATTCATCAGTAGTTGTACTATCTTCATATTCACTATCTCTATCTTTCTTTATATTGTTATTTGATGATGTTTTAGATTGATATCCAATTTTATTGCTAATACCTCTATTACCACTACCACTACTGCCATTGCTATTATTACTATTATTATTATTGTTATTGTTGTTTGTACCATTATTATTATTATTCCTTAGAGTTTTCATAAATATCGAAATCAATGGGAATGTCAATACGGTCAATACAATAAAAGAGTTGATTAACGATATCAATTTGGTCTCTGACGATGGATCCAACTCGTAGATTCTATTACGATCATCGAATGACTCCACTGTTGAATACCACTGTACTGAGTAGCTGAATGTAAGATTCTGTCCAACATGTAAGGTCACTGGTTTCTGTGGTATCAATGTTACACCAACAATCTAGATTCGTTAGAAAGTAGTAGTAGTAGTAGTAGTTTAAGTTTACAACCAACAAATTAGTACTAAAGTAAAGAACAATAAAAACAAACAAACAATTGTTTGTAATGTAATATATATACATACTTTATCATTATTATGTGAAATAACCAATTTCTTATGTGTAAATAAATAATATTCTAAAGTTGGATTATCATCTTTGGCGTTGTCGTTCGGCTCTACTACTACTACTGCTGCTGCTGCTGCTTTATCATCGTTTACTTTTGTGAATTCACCTATTTTCGAGAAGATAGATAAACCATCTATATACATCCTATTGATATAGTCGTGTCTAATTGCATTGATGAATCTATTCTTTTGGTTCAATGTCAAGAGTGTTGTATTACATATATTCTGTGTTGAAACACTCTCTTTTTTAAATTTATTTATTAATAATTGGTAAAATTAAGAATAATGCTAATACATACTTCCAAAGAGAATAGGTAATCCACTATCTATAAGTTTATGACCGAATAGCAATGAATCTAGTAATGTCAATGACTTGGTTGAGTAACCGCCGATACTACACCAAGGCAGACTTTCGAATGAGTAGGATTCACTTGGGTTTCTGTATGGTCCTATATAGTCGTACCACAGAGTCACTTCTTCACCGAACTGATATTGGTGACTTGCTTCACCCGCTGAAACACCGCTCATCCCACAGTCATAGTTATAGATCGATATTGTTGTTATCAATTGCAATAGCAACAATATTTTAAAGAATCTAATTATGATATGATTTCTAAACATTACATTAATTTATTTATGATATGTCGTTTTGTTTTAATTAAAATTTATATCTTAATGAAAAAAAAAAAAAAAAACGAAAGAATGAAAGTGTTTGAAATTGCAGATTGGAAAATGCTCTTCAAATTGTTTTTAATTTTTTTTTTTTTTACCTTTAAAAAAAACAAAAAAAAAGATAATTTATAATAATATATATATTATTTCTTTTAATCAAATATATATATTTTAAAAAAAACAAATCAATAGATAATCCTAGAAAACTAAAGAATAGTTAAATTTAGAGAAAGAATTTTCCAAACTATTTTTTTGCATTTTCAAAATAAAAAAAACTAATTTTGACCTTGATTTTCAAAGATTTTTTATAAAAATCAAAAGATCTTTTTAAATAATAACAAAGATCTGATTAAAATCTATTAAAATTTACAAATTGTAAAACAACACTGTTTTTGTTGCTTATTTACAAAATGATATGGTTTTTAGCGAAATTTAGTAGAATAAAACAGTTGATTCTTCACGATTGTTATTTATATAAATAAATAACAAAGAAACTATTTTCATACAAATCATTTGTAATGTTAGATCAAATACCTTTATATCTTATAAAATGTTATATATTATCAAATAAAGATATTTCATGGTTTGACAGAATCAGTGTTAGTCTATTATGTAAGACTTTGTTTGTCAATAGATCGCAGTATTTGGAATACGACCCAAAAGATATTAAAGTTAAAGATGTCAGTAAACTATCGATGAAATCATATTCATCGATGTTTGAATATGCATTATCATTACACAACAACAGATCAATGAAATACTCTGATTTCTTGGACGTTGTGCAAGACAATGAAGAGAGTAATGACCCTTTTATTCTTAAGAATTCTACATACGATTATAAAGGTAAGTACATTTTACTAAGTTAAAATCTAAAGATATATAGATACTAATTAATAATTTAAACTATATTAGTCCTGACTACAAAAACAGACATGTTATCACAGTTAACAGCCAACAGCAATATTAAGTTATTAAATGTTGATTCCATAGGATTTCCAATGTCTTTGGCCAGTACAAGCTTGGTTTGTATTGAATTTGGCAAAGTAGAGGGACTCTATCTGAGAAGTGGTTTATTCCCAGAGACTCTAGAGGAGTTGCATTTGCCACATGCCTACAATAGTGAAATCAGAGTCGGTGTATTTCCAAGGTCATTGAAGAAATTGGTATTCGGATTTGACTTTAACCAACCGTTGGAAGCCGGAATATTTCCAGAGGGTCTACAAACCATTGAGTTTGGATTCCTATTCGATCAACCAATTGGAGATGGACTTTTACCGAATTCATTGGAGAATCTGACATTTGGAGGTAGTTTCTCTTGGGAATTCGATCGTCAATCTCAATTTCCTTCGAATCTGAAAGCATTGTGTTTCCAAGCGCCAGATATCGCCAGACTGGAATATCTACCAGCCACGTTACTAAAGCTCAAAATGAACATTATTGCAAGAAGTGATGCCGAAAACCGTATTTTCCTTCCTAATCTTTTGGGACAAACTCCTTGTCTTGAGGAACTTATTTACTGGCCTGCCAATTTCACTTTTATGATTCCGAGCACTGTCAAGTCGCTTCAACTCATATGTTCAGCTGACAATACAATAGAAAACATTCCAGCTTCAGTTAGATCGCTCGTTCTATTGAATAAAATCACCAGTCAGCTTGCCCATGTCATCCCACCAACTGTCACATCGTTGTCCTTCGCCAGAGAGTTTACCAACTCTGGTTTGCTCGAATCTTCATTCTTGCAAAGCGGTCTTAGAGTTTTGCATCTTGGTAAACACCATGAGCCAATCAAGTTTGAATCGAATACACTTCCCGATACACTTGAAGAGCTCTATATCTATGCTGGTGTAGTAGAGAAATTCCAAAAGAATTGCTTACCTCATTCTCTTAGAATTCTCTCTATCAACAATACTAAATATCGTCACGCGTTTGAAGAGGATGTACTTCCACCAAACTTGGAAGAGTTGCATCTTTTGGTAAAAGAAGATATCTCTCTTGACTTGGCAGCCTTACCTTCTTCTCTCAAACTCTTGGAACTATCAGATTCATACTCTAAAGAAATAGTAGATTCAACTTCAAATAATAATAATGAACAACTACAACAAATCAATAGTAATAATAACAGATTGACTTTGGAAGTTGGAATATCATTCTTTGCTTTCAATAACAAAATTGAAACATTACCAAAGTCAATTGACAAAGTTATTATTAACACTGATTATGCCAATCAATATACAATTAAAAGGTTCGATGGAAATACCTTTTTAGCAATGGATTTTTGTGATGGTGGATTCGTAACCTCAACAACCAAATTACAACAAATGTTAATTTAAATAAATAAAATTCGAAACTTAATCTTACTATTAACATGATAATTCGAATGAAAATGTTGCTAAGATGAAATTAAAAGGGGGCATTGCTAATTCCTAATACCGATGATCATCAACACAAAAAACTATTCATCTTAATTTTTTTTTCAAAATTATGATAAATGGGATTTTTGTTCATGAACCCCAGGGTCACACCAACAATTTAAATACCGATTTTTATTTTTTTTGCGGATTTTATTTTTGAAAAAATATCCTTTTTTTTTTGTCCCCCTCTCCATTCCAATCCCAAAAAAACAATCAAAAAAATATCCTTTTTTCTTAATCTTAAAAAAAGATTTTTTTTTTATTTTAAATTTTATTTTTTGATCAAATTTTAGGAGTAAATCATACCCAAAGGATCACTATAAATTCATTTCATCTTAGAATCAACTTCAACAAATAGTAAATAAATTGTTTTAGTAATAATGAAAGTAGATGAAGAAACACCTTTGGTAAAAGGTAGTACAATAACTTCCGATACCTCTATAAATGTAGATGTTGATAAAGATACCACTTCAAAACCACCACCCAAAAAGAGAATGTTAAGTTTAGATACTGCTAGAGGTTTAACAATCTTCGGAATGATGTAAATATTTTAACTTTATAATAATGTTAGGTCTTGATTAAACTAATTTAAAAAAAACTTATTATTAAAGTTTGGTTGATAACCAAGGTGGACCTGAAGTTATTTGGGTAACTATTTATATGTTTGTTTAAAAATAAACATTACTTTAATATTAACAGCTCATTTCATTATAGCCACTAAAAGAAACCGATTGGAACGGTATATCTACAGCTGATTTGATTTTCCCATCCTTTTTATTTATTTGTGGATTCTCCATCTCTTTGGCTTTGAAAAATGCTAAAAATGATAGACCAAGTATGTTTATTTTCAAATACAATTTAAATCTTATTGATTTCTAACTAGTTAGTTATTTTTACTTAGCTTGGATCAATATTATAAGAAGAACAATTTTATTATTTGGAATACAATTATTCTTAAATTTAATGGCACATAAATTTGTATTTTCTACTTTTAGAGTTATGGGGTAAGAATAGCTAATGTTTATTAATAGTGTATCAAATTAACTAATATGATACCATTTTTAAATAGTGTTTTACAAAGAATATCTTTATGTTATTGCTTTAGTTGTTGTAGTTTTATGTTATTACCAAAATGGGCACAAAGAGTTGCTTTGGTAATTAGTGCTACCATTTATTTGTGTTTGATGTATGCTTACCCTGTGCCTGGATGTGGACGTGGAAATATTACACGTTCATGTAATGCAGCTGGATACATTGATAATCTCATTCTCCGAAAGAATATGATTCATCCAACAGATCCAGAGGGTTTCATTTCAACTTTTAGTGCATTCATAACAACTTGGATGGGTGTCGAACTTGGTCGCATTCTAACTACACATGCCAGATCAGCCGATGGTTGGAAAGACATCTTGATCAGATGGCTATCCATTGGAATGGTCTGCGCCATGATTGGACTTTTCTTGGATGCAACCAACGTCATACAATTCAACAAAATCATTTGGTCATTCAGTTTTGCAATGTTAACAGTTGCATGTGGAGCTCTTTTCCTTTCGGCACTCTACTATTCAATGGATGTCGCTAAATGGCCAGAAACAGTTCGTCACTACATTGAGATTGCCGCTCAACCATTCATTTGGATTGGAACCAATCCAATTACTATCTATACACTAATGATTTTCATTGAGATCATCTTAATGTTCTACATTACCGTTGACCATGGTTCAACAACTCTCTGGACTGCCTGCTATGAGAAAATGTACCTAACATGGTTAAGAAATGGATATTTGGCATCGACTGTATTCAGTATAATGTGGTTTGTCTTTTTCGATGCAATTGCCTATTTAATGTATAGAAATAATATAATTATTAAATTATAAACTAATTTCTATATTTAAATATATTTACTCCACTCCCCCTTAACAAAAGAAATAAAATAATAATAAACTATTTAACATACTAAATAAATTAGCTATAATATATTTATAGTTGATTTTAAATTTAAATTCGATATAATTTCAAATATACCATTGAAATTATGTTGTTTTGAAATATTTAGAATTTGATCAATGTCAAATCTTTCAGGAAAAGTTTCCAAAAGCCACAAGATAGTTTCATAATGATGGTTCTGAATCGCTTCATAGATGTCCTCTTTGGTGAATGTTACTTTCGGTATGTTTTTGTGTAAGAATTTTAATGTATCCAAACTTCCATTAGCAATTGCCTTACTATAGGCAGCACCAGTACATCCTTCAGTTCGATTCTTGTATAGCCAATCTACCACCTCCAACCTGTTGAACATCGAAGCACCATCAATAGCATCAGTAGTACAGCCTTCTGTTCGGTTTTGGTGCAGCCATTTTACAATATGTAAGTGGCCACGAGTTGCAGCTTGATCCATCACATCGGAAGTCCATGATTCTGTACGATTATAATGAATCCATTTTAAAATATCTAAATTCCCAATTTCAGCTGCATAATTCATTGCTTGGACACACATTCCGCCTTTGTCGTGTTCGTGTAGCCACTTCAATACTTCCCACTGATTGGCAATCGCAGCACTGTCCATTAAATAACTGAATCCAAAATCATAGTTATTCTGATCCAACCACTCGAGAATATTGATATGGCCACCACAGACAGCATTCGGTACCATAAAAGTTCGTCGCTCCGATATCCTGTTATCGACAAGCCACTGAATCATTTCGTATCGTCCATAGAGAGCTGCATTCTCGATAGTTGTATGTATGATTTTCATATTGAAATATTTTTGAATTCCACCGTTCTCATTCATTTTCGTTGACAGCCAAACTAGGGTATTCATGCTTCCACTCGCGGGAGAGACTGTCATTGCCTTGTAGTAATCCCATCCAACTTGAAACTGTCTGGAATCATTGAAATATCGCTGATTATCACTGACCAGTGTCTTAAAATCCACATTGGCATCCAAATATTTCAGAATATCCAATCTCCCATACAATGAAGCATAATACATTAGGTCGTCGCTCGAAGGATTTCCAGATTCTTCGGTAGCCACATTGAAATTATTTAAAGCCATATTCAGATATTGTTTGACTTTAATAATTCTAAATGGTTTAATACATTCCAAATTGTAAGGTGGCGCAGTCAACATTCCAATGATAATCTCCAATAATTCCAATCGATCGAATCGTATACAAAATACCAAAGCATCTGTAATATTTACTATTATATCATTTTGCTCTTTATTTATTTCAATAATACGATCACTATTATCTCTATTATTACTATTGTTATTATTAACTGTATTTAAATAATCTTTTAAAAGCTTTATATAACCATTGCCAACTAATGCTTTTGGATTCCGAATTAATTGATTCCATTTTAGACGAACTAAATGGTTGAAACAATAACGATGAATATATACTATGAAATTAAATATACTCTTTGATAAAACAATATTATTAAAAACTTGAAGGAATAATTGTTTATCCATTCAAATTTTTTAATCTAATCTATCTAAAGAATTATTTGTTCACTTTTTTATTTTGGTTAGTTTATTGGTTGATTGATATTTATTAATTAATATTAGGTAACTAACAAACAACCAAAAAAATAAAATAAAATAAAATGAAAACTAAAAAAATAAAAATAAAAAAAAAACAAAGACAGACAACCACAAACACACACAGGTTACTCCTATAAGTCTATTTTACATCTAATGATAAATGTTGTTGGAATATTGAAGGGTAGGGTTTGTTTATGGTTGTTATTTTGTTTTGTGGTTTTTGTTACGGGTATGATGTAAAAGTGTGGGGTTTGTTGTCAGTTTTTATAGATTTGTTAATAATTTTTTTTTTTTTTTTTTTTTGAAAGTTTCGTTGAATTGGTCACCCCGAATGAAAATCAACGACCTTTTAAAGGTTGAAAGGACCATCAACGCGTCAATTTATCTCCATCAAACAACCTAAAAATAAATCAAAAAAAAAAAAACTAAATAATTTGTAGATTTGTTGTTTTTAGATTTTAAGATTTTGTAGGTTGCTCATCAACAATTCTATAGATTTTATCGATAATATATAACGTTCGCGAATAATATATCATATCATATCATCTCATCATGTTAAAGAGAATTTCACTACTGTTCCCTGGCCAGGGTAGTCAATTTGTTGGTATGGCTAAAGACTTGTTCGCCGAGTTTGCCGAAGTACAGTTACTGCTAAACAATGCTGATAAGATATTAAAGATACCATTGTCAAACATCATGTTTAATGGTCCTATGGTATGATTATAATCATTATCATTTAATTAATGATTGTCGGTTATTTATTTACTTTAATCTTAAAAAAAAAAAAAACAAAGGAACAATTGAAACAAACTGAAAATACACAACCAGCTGTATTCTTACATTCATTGGCCATAGTAAAGATACTACAAAATGAAACAACATTGTTCAAAGACAATAGAGTAGATCATATGCTCGGACATTCACTGGGCGAGTACTCTGCGCTGGCTACAGCAGGATCTATCGATATCGAGAGTACTCTACCGTTGATAAGACAACGTGGAATGTTAATGAAACAAGCTAGACATGGTACGATGGCTGCATTGCTATCAAAGAAAGACTTTCTTGTTGCAGATAGCAATAGCAGTAATGGTGGTAGTGCATTTAAAAGATTAGAAGAATATGCTAGAGAGTTGGAAAGAATCGATCCAACGAATGATCTTGTTAATATATCGAATGTCAATTCACCTAATCAAATAGTGATAAGTGGAACCGAGAGTGCCATTGATAAGATGATTAGCTTTGCAAAGCAGAACAAACTGGTCAATAAAACAGTGAAGCTAGAGGTTAGTGCTGCATTCCATAGTCAACTGATGAAAGACAGTTCAGATCAATACAACAATGATTATTTGAATCATATTGATTTCAAACAACCATCCAATCAAGTTATATCAAATGTTACAGGTAAACCAGTAAGTTTGTTAAAAGTTTATTCTATCTCTTTAATTTTTTTATTAATATAATTAACATTTATCAATAATATCATCGTATATCATAATATAGTATACAAATAGTAACAACATTAAAGAGTATCTATCACAACAGATGGTATCAAAAGTTGATTGGGTATCATCGATTAGATATTGTATAGATGACTGGAAACAAAAAGAACAACAAGGCTACTTTATTGAGATAGGTCCGCAAAAAGTATTGACACAACTTCTCAAACAAATAGATCCAACCGCTGAATATATAAATCTATCTACCATCGATGAAGTAAAAGATTTCATTAATAAATATAAAGAAAATAAACTGTAAACTAAAAAAGAATAGTTATATTTTGGTTTAATATTATATTATATTATTATTAGTTTATTTACTATTTGTTTACTATTTAGATTATTAATGTTTTAATAAATTATTATTATTATTATTTTAATAGAATTTCAAAGTAACACATAGACCAAATCTTAAAGATTGATCGGTAGGCAATTTCTTCAAGACATGTGAGAAATAAACGTCGACCAAAGCAGGACCTGCAGCACCTCTGATACCGAAACCTGCAGTGTGTCTGAAATTCAATGGGTCAAATAAACTACGAACACTCTCTCCAATATTATTATAGTTGAGAACAGAGTTTCCAAGTGAATAGAATCCAAATAGTTGTGCTGGATGTTCATTTAGATCCTTGGTAATATATAATGTTGTATTATGATAGAAATCTCCACCTAGACATGGTTCTAAAGTATAAAATAAACAAAAAAAAGTTAGTTTAAAACTTAATAGTATACTACAGCATAGCATCATTGAATGTATATACGTATATACTTACTTTTACTCTTTGTTGTTGCTAAACCTTTATATTCGAATCCTTTGAAATGATATGATACACCATTATAGAATCTATCGATCATTGGTGACATTCCCTTTGATAGATTAACCAGTGCACCACCAGCAATCATACATTCAACATTCTAATCATTTTTTAATTGAATATCTAATAATCAGTTATATAAATACAAATACTAATGTGAATCATTGTAATACTTACGAAACCTCTTGAAAGTGGATAATATAGATGAGTGAATGATTCCGATCTTAAAAACTTGGTACTAAGTAAACCACCTGCAATCTCATTACTAACACGTCCCCATAAACCTAAACCCAAACCTGCACCGGTACTCGATGGCCAATCTTTAAAGTAGAAGTATCTATGTGATAAACTTAATTTATGTGATAGCCCTGTATGATTTCTCATTCTTTATTTCGAAAGAATAAAAGAGTAGTTAGTTAGTTAGTTAGTAAGTTTATTCTATTATCTTTTATCAAGGTTTCTAAAATACATACTCTTCATCTTTATTTTCACCTGTTATAAATGTTCTTCTATCACCTGCATACAACGAAAAGTAATGACGACCATAGTTCTTTGGTGCAAATGTAATACATGTCTCTTCGACCTGTAAGTTCTTATTTCTAACAAAAAAAGCATCATACCATTAATATATCATAACCTAATAGCAAGTAAATATATATATATATATAACTAACATACAATTCGATTGGATTCTCTAATTTCTTTGATATCTCTAATTTATTACCAAGTTTATCTTTATAATATAACTATATTTAATATTAAAAAACAAATAAGTAATTAATTACAAACATTAACTAAACTAAAATAAACTATATATATGAATATGACAAACAACATACTGAACCATTTAATGTTTTGAAAATACCAACGGATGCTTCACCACCCAATTCACCACCATGACCGAATGGGTTGATCATTGAAAGAGTGGTTTTCTTGGTGAGATCGGTGTTGAATGAAGTGTCTAATGATATACCACGTTTAATAGCGGTTACAGTGACTCGTGAACCGTCGTCGCTCACCAAGTAATCACCTTGACTCAGAATACCATCACGTTCCATCAGAATAATACCATCCTCAATGTAATCTCTGAGGTGTGCTCTAGTTCCATAGTATCTATCGATATTCTTAAAGTATGTTCTTCTTAGATACTCGCTATTCGATCTGATATTTTCAAATTCTAAATCAATCGTTTTCTTTGTAAATTAAATATTGATATAAATAATGTTAATTAAAATCATGATCTTTGGCGACATATCTATCTAAATCTTTAAAACACAAATAATACTTACATTCATTTCCATTTTATTTTATTTTGTAATTGTACAATAAATGATCACACGTATGATCATCAATAAAAAACAGATATTTATGACAGTAATAATTTCAAATAAAAATTTTTTTTTTGCTTGCCGAAAAGCAATTCATCGGTGGCAACAAATTATTATCTTTCCATGATGTAGATGATTCACCTCGTTTTTCATTAGTAGAGTGAATTTCTTCACTGACTTCTACTTGACTGCACGTACTAAGAACATTTACGTGATTGATCTATTGCTTTATAATTATCCAACAAACTAACACTACAACTAATACATTTTTTGAATCGTTGGGGTTGAAGCTTACAAGTGTTAGTTGATTATCCGTTGGTTATCTACTACATTGTTTGCTTTGGATTACTCAAAAAGCATATTGTTGAAAATATCTTTCTTCTTTCAAATAAATTGTTCTTTGCTAATCCATAATCGATTTAATTTACATGTGCGAACGTTTATTCATAATAATACATTTTAATTTATTATATAATAATAGATTTGAATTAAATTAAATATTTTAAAATCTAGGTGAATTGATTAATTATATTTTGGATCGGTAACAAGTCGATTGGTTAATTATTTGTGATTGATTGGTTGATTGATTGGTTAATTGAAGAATCCAGAGGTATTCAAATTTCTCTGTAAGAACATATTATCGAACAATCCTTTCATTCCTTGTTTTGACTCTGCTCTTTGGAAGAATGGATGCTGAAAAACAAATGATTAATATATATGATTTCATTCACTAAAAAATAATAACTATTATTTACTTACTCTTAATAATTTATTAGCACTTGATCTCTTCTTTGGATCCATTTCGAAACATTGCCACAACATATCCTTGAGATCTAGCGAGCATTTGAATTTAGTGACGTCGATACCTTTGGTTGCATTTGTAAACATTGCCTTTAAACGTGAATCTCTATTTGGTGGTTTTCTAAACATCATTTCCAATACACAAACTCCAAAACTCCAAATATCCGCTGGGTAACTATGTGGATCACCCTTGATCATTTCCGGTGGCATCCAATATGGCGATCCAACCATATGATTTGAAGTTCCTTTTTCAACTGAAGAACATAATCCAAAGTCAACTAGAATATTAAAATATTATTAATTAAATTACCATCCATCCATAACATATTATGAAAATATTGATTAACCAATTGTAATTACTTACTTAATTTAATATCACCATTGATTGTTATCATTACATTTCCACTCTTTATATCACGATGAACCAATTTACGTTCATGAAGATATGCTATACCTTTTAGGATTTCCTTGGCAATGAAACCAATGTGTGTCTCTTTGAAAATGTGTGCACTGTTTACCGCCTGTTCCAACGTTCCACCCTGCATGAACTCTGTGACGATGAATAGCTGGTTGTCGTGGAGCACCGCTGCCTTGAACTCAATGATATTCGGATGGTTACATCGCTGGAGGAATCCAATCTCTATGAGTACATTATGCTGTTCCTTCGGTGAACGGTAATGAACCACTTTGATTGCAACCTTTTTCTTCTCGTAGTGTGCCTCGAAAACCTTGCCATATCCACCCTTTCCAATGAGGTTTCCAAATTTAATTTTCTTCTTGATGTCAGAGAATGTCTTGATTGAAAGCGATGCCTCTGCCAAAAACTCTGTTGATGCACCTGCCAATCTTCTCTTACGCTGTAGCTTGAGTTCCAGTGTCTTTCTCTTGAGTTCCGCTTCGTCGTTGATATCCGCCAGTTGTTCTTTATCGACCTCGATAGAAGATGTCTGAATTTCCTCCATTGTTTTCGATCTTGGTTTGGTTGTTGGTTTCTTTACATCGGCACCATTTAGAGTTGGAGTTGTTGTTGCTGACGAAGATGTCGATGTCGATGTTGTGGTGGTAGTTGTTTCCAACTGTTTTTTACTACTGTTTATAATATTTATTTCCTCCATTCTGCCTGCCAATAGCGATTGGTACGATTGATTTTGGTCGTCTTCATCGTCGGATTGTGGTCCTTCGCCATCGGGATATACAAATGTAATTTTCTGACGAGTGAGAAACTTGAGAATCGTCAGGAACACTTTGAGATTCGCTCTGATCTCGCTCATGGCAACCTCCTCTTTTTGTAGATCATCGATGATATCGCTAGGGATGTCTTCGAAGCAACTGATGTAGAGACGTGGACACTTCTTTCTGTTGGCATAACGACGCTTTCCAGTGGAACTGGTGTTGCCACTACGCGAACGGTGGAAAAGACCGACATTGCCTGCCTCTGACTCTTCTCTCTTCTTCTTCTTGTCGACACCGGTGATATTGTTAATGAAATCTGGAATGCTTCCATCATTGGCACCGGCCGAACCAGTACTATTCTTTCGCTCTGCTTGCAGATGTGAGAGATTCAACGAACTTCCACTGGAGGGTGTAGTCGATGGTGATCCAGTGGTAACATTGACATTGATCATTGAGTTTGATGCCGGTGACGACGACAGCAATGTACTACTTCCATCGTATGACGATGATAAAGGATTGGTATTTGGTCCACCACCTAAAATCTAAAAAAGAATAATCAAATATTAATTAGAAATTTCATATTTAATTATCTTTATAAAAAAAATAATAATTAATCAATTAATACCTACAGATAATGGACGAGTTTCAATTGTAATATGAGAAGAAGGAAGTAATCCAATCTTTCCATCTAATTTGCCCTTGACAAATCCATTCTCAGCTTTCTCTATATATTCGATCTTTGTGCCTTTTACAAATGTGAGATGATTTTCTGTTGCTCCATTGTAATCGGCTGTTGCAACCAAGTACATCATCTTTTAAAATGTCGACTGATTATAATACAAAATATCTGAACCACTTTCTAAATTAATTAATATACAACGAATTTAAATTGATTTGATGATTGATGATTCTAAAATATCCAATAGAATAAATAAATCTTTAAATTTAAATTAATTTTTGTTAATTATTATAATAATTTTGGTTTAAATATATGAATATATTATTTAAATATATGTATAATTTTCTTTTTCAAACTTGGAATATTCAAAATATTACATATAAGGAAAGTTAACAAAGATGAGTGTATTGTATAAAATATTTGTGATGTGTTTGTTTGATGGGTGATGATGATAATCTTTAAACTATTCACGAAAATCTTTAATTAATAAAGGTGAGATGAAGTGAAGTTGTTAAGGTTGATGAATGAGTAACAATATTGAAGTGAAGTGCAATGTACTTTAGAAATTGAAGTGAAGAAAGTGTAGCTATAAAGAGTAATTTCTCAACAGTATTACTTTAGAGAGAGTATTGTTGTTGTTGTTGTAGTAGGAATGGTAGTAGTTACAATAAAATAGTTGTAGAGAGAGAGAATCAGTACAATTAAAAGTAAATTAAAAAAAAAACTTGATTGGTAGACACCAATACACTCGACACGATACACAACTATTATGATCTAATTATTTTCTCTCTATTATTTTATTTTAAAAAGTATCAATCGCTAAGCATCTACCACCATTCTTTCTCAAGTATATTTTTAATTTAGTTTCTGAGTTGTTGATCACCAAGCTAACTGACCAACTGATTGAATTGGTGAGGTGTGGTGTGTTTTGTGTAGCGAGTTAAGTGATTTTAGATGGTGTTTTGTGATGTGTGTTAATGTGTGAATGTGTATGTGTGATTTGAAATGAATTTTTATAATGTATGAATTGATTATTTTATTTGTTATTTGTACTAATAGATATATTATATAATATAGCATGTATGGTTATCAATGATAATTAATCAATGATTGTTGATTTCTTTAAATGTATGTGTATGATATGATGCCTTGATTTAATGGGGGGAAATAAAATTGAGTATAAATGGTTACTGCTATTCTTAAGTTGTTGTTGTTATAGTCACTGACATCTATTTAATTATTGTCTATTTTTATAGTTTCAATTGCTTGACTCCAATTGTTGTTGCTATCAACAATAGAGTTGATATTACTTTCGATAGATGAAGACCAGACAATATTATTTCTATATTAATATTATATGTTGGTTGACAATTATATGGGTGTACTATTTTCTTTTACTTTCTTACCTCTCTATTTTCAATTCTGTGTTTTTTTATTATTATTTTAATTATTGTTATTCTTTATAATAAACCTGTATGTACCTTTAAATATAAGAGGTATGTGATGTCACACAATATCGATATACATTAAAACAAGCTTATAAGCTTGTTGTTGAAATTGGTTGTATTATTATTTGGCGGGTTCACAAAGAGAGTAGTGTGTGTGTGTGTGAAAGTAATGAAAGTTATGTGATCACTTATTTGTTGGTGGTGGTAGTGGTGAACAGAGTAACTCTGAAAATTAAATTTGGTGAATTATTGTGGGGCAAACCGTGCTATGAATTGAAAGTAAAATTGTTTTGAATGTTCTCAGAGCAGAGTATGGAACAGATTTGCACCTTGTTTGAATGTTTGAATGAGAATTCGATTGAGATTGGTTGTTTGTGGTTATCAAAACATCTACAAAGAATTCAATTCAATCGCTCTGTTTGCTAAATCTATAATTTATCTATAGCTATATCTCTATGAGTTGTGATAGTACTGTTAACTATTTATACAAATTCACACATCACTCTCACACACAACAAAATCAAACTTCGAATTTCAATAAAATTGATTTGAGAATTATTACTATTATTATTATTATGCGCACTATTGTCTAATGATTATTATTTATTTCTTTCATTTTTACTTACTTTGTGGTCTAAAGAAGAGGTACCTCTCGACTTTTTCTTTTTTTTTTTTTTTTGTTTTCAAAATATTATTATTATTTAATAATTGATAATTGAATTGCTTACTATATGAAACTATTATACAAATATATATAATATTACACTAAAATCTCAATGATAATTGATTTGTTTGTCCTGCCCACATTATTATCAAGAACAAACCAGTAGTTTGCAAAGCAAGAAAAAAGAAAACAGAAAAAAAAAATTTTAAAAAAAAAAACCACAAAAAATTTATAAAATTTTGTCAAAATTTGAGATCTATGATTTGATGGTAAGATGGACTTTCCTATTAATTTTGTTTTTTTTTTTTTTTTGTAAAAACACCAAAAAGTTTTCTTGATCCTACAACTATAAAAAAAAACGCATTATAAATATCTCGGTGGATTTTAAATTAATCACAAGAGATTTTAGAAAACAACTTTAGAACTATATTTTTCTCCCTTTTTCAATTGTTTTCAAAAGAAAATCTCCTTAATTTTTGTCAATAAAGATATTTATACTTTTTGATTTATATTAAAATCAGAAAAGGAAATTGTCTTGATTTTTTTTAATTTTTATAATTTTTTTGGATGTAATAAAATTTTAAATTATTGAATGCATACTGTACAGGTAATGAGAAAATAGTTGTTATAAAAAATTATCATAAATTATAGGTGGCGATACACCTAATCTCCACCCTTTATTTTTGAAAAAAAAAAACAAAAGGGTTAACTTTTTTTTTTTTGGTCCACCAAAGTTTTGGCGCGCTTAAAATGTATTTTAAATTATTGAAGAATGTAAGTTATAAACATTATCATCGATTAATTTAAGATCTAATTAGTTTTGCTAAAATTTAAAATTGCTAATATTATAAATCGTATAAATGGATAGTGAACATAAAACAACAGAAACAACAGAGATGAAAAGAGGTATATTCATATTGTTTGAAGGTGCTGATAGAGTTGGTAAATCAACACAAGTTCAATCATTGTTTGGTCATCTCTCAACTACACTCGGTTTGCCCACCAAACAGTTGCGATTCCCCGATAGAACTACACAGACCGGTACAATCATTAACAGTTATCTTCAAAACTCAACACAATTAGATGATAGAGCACTTCATCTTTTATTCTCTGCAAATCGTTGGGAATCAAAGTAAGTAATAATAATAGTGTGAAAAACAAAAGAAGAAGAATAAGAATGAAAAAAAAAAAATAAAAAATAGAAACTAATTAGTTATTATATTATGTTTTATATTTATATATATTTATAATTAGGGATACATTATTAAAACATTTGAATGAAGGTAATAGTTTGGTTGTAGATAGATATTCATATTCAGGTGTGGCATATAGCGCCGCCAAAGGTATTGATTTCGATTGGTGTTTCGGTTGTGAGAAAGGATTGCCAGCACCAGATTTGATATTCTACTTGAAGATGGACACTGAAGACGCTACAAAGAGAGGTGACTATGGTAATGAACGTTACGAGAAGGTAGACTTTCAAAAGAAGATCAAAGAGGTCTACGAGTCTAAATTGGTCAACAGCTCATGGAATGTCATCAACGCCAATCGGCCAATCGAAGAAGTTTCAAAAGAGATCAACGAAATAGTAGATCGTTCCATAAAGAATGGTATTCAAAATAAACCAATTCAATGTATATAAATTATAAATTATAAATTAAAATAAAATAATATGTTAGATATTATTAATATTACAAGTTCATTTATTTATTTTATTTTGTTTTGTTTTTGTTTTTGTTTGTTTTATAATACATATTAAAAAAAAAAGATGATAAAGCTATTTAATAATCAATTTAATTTATATTAATGGACCACCTAAATGAAAATCGGAATTGTTAACTGTGAGTGATGTTGTTATTGTTGATTGGTGGTTACTGGGTAGCGATTGTGCAAGTGAACTCATCGATGACATCGATGTTTTGGGTGATGGATCTTTACTGGGTGGACGATGTGATGCGAGGAAATGTTGTTTCTGAGAGTTCTGACTTTTGGAGTGTTCATTACTTCTTATAAAGAGAATACCTGGATTGGAGCTTGATTTGTTGCTGCTTGTTGAACTTTCGGATTTCGTCAGATTACTATTACTACTATTGCTATTGTTACTATTGTTATTATTCTCATTGTTATAGAAAGATTGATTACTCTTCACATCGAATGAAGTAGAGTTGTTGGAATATGATTTCTTATGACATCTCGATGTTCGCTGTACATTACTGCTTCTACTGATAGTGGCTGGTGGTGATGGTGTAGGTGTTATTGATGGTGAATGAGCTGAAGTGGCAGTCGCAGGTAAATAAGGTGAATTGTTGGATATTGTGATAGGTTGTTGTTGTTGTTGTTGAGATTGAGATTGAGATTGAGATTGATTGTTTGTTGTTGATATCGATGTTGATGATTTCAATTGTTGATGTGATTGAATCATCCATAGATTGTGAATATATGTATTTTGTGAGTCTGTTCGTTGATAGAGTGCTTTCCACGGTTCAATACAACGTAGATTTAGATTTGGTCGCAAAACAATACCTTCTTGTTGTGATTGATAGAATGGATTACTGAAATATGGTAGATTCTTATTGACATCGGTCCAGATCGATACTGTTTTGGTTTTCGTTTCATTGTCCAAACGCTCCTTCTCAGAGTTCAAGAGGAACGTTCCGTATTTACATGAAAAAAGATGCTCAGAGATGAACAGCAACAACGCCGGGGTGTATTCAAAGAGCAAGGGGAATTGGTTGACCAGCTGGAATATCGAGTCGAGGAACTGAATGAAAATGGGCGATTGTTCATCGTCCGATTCATGAAGATGTCCGAGACGGTGTGCGAATTTATGTCCGAACGACAGCCAATCTTTTTCTATCAGTATTTCCAAGCCAACGATAGTTCGGTAGTATGGATCGAGCAGGATTTGCGCTAGTGAAGTCAGTTGTGGAGTACGATCCCATCCGTCGGAGCAATGCACAACAATGGAGATGTTTTTCTGTATCAGCTCCGAAGCGTAGACAGCGCCAGCCAGACACTGACGCACGTGTGACAGCCAACCACTCTCTTCGAGCAACGTCATGTATTTCGAGTCGGAATCGGGTGCACTCCAAGGCGAGAGCGTTGAAACGAATTTCTCGAGACTCTTTCGCATCACATGAATATTGGCGATATTGAGGAAAACAATCTTACAATTCGGATAGTTTGCAATGTTTTCGAAACCTGCACCATTCGCTGTATTGGCAATGGCATTCAACTTTGGACGTGCATCAAGTAGGTAGATGTTTGACGATTTCGTCGCCAAGTCACTGAGATACAGTTCGTCTTCTACGCAACGAGCACTCGATAGTCCTACTAGCGGTTGACTACAACGCACAATGACAGCACCAGTCAATGGATTCCTCCAGACCAGCGCAGGAATACGTCCTTTACTTCGATATCCAAATACTTTTTCCAGTTGTTGATCGGTCAGAGTTTTGGAGACGACCAACGACGACGGATAGGTTGCGGACATCTTGAAATCCTTGTTTATATTGGTGAATCGCCAACGTGTACTATTGTTGCTATCTTCGCTTATTCCGAAGCGAGCGTACTCCCTCTTTGGTGAGTAGATTTGCCAGCCGTCTTCTGCCAGCTGCAGGGCGTCAGCGGGCAGTCGGAAAACATGTGCAAACAAATAGGGCAGAGGCTCTTCGAAAACACCGTAATACTCGAATTTATCGATATGGTCAATTCTATCTTCCACCTCCAAATTCATGTTGTCGTGAGCAATCTTTTGTTGAAGCTGTCGGTTTGTCTCTATGTGTTTCAGTATTCTCTCTAGTTTGGTGCGAGAGTGGAAAACGATCGTGTCCATCAGGCTGTCTCTCAGCATCTGACTAGTGAAATAGAGTTTCGAATGTCTAAAATCCTTTGATAGTATTGTAATTGTGTAGTAGTTTGATGTCGTTCCTGATTCCTGTAAATCTCTATCTCTTTCTTTATCTCTATCTTTTTCTTGTTTTTGTTTCGATGTTGCATTCATTGCAATCGCTGAAAGATATGATTGATTCGCAGATGAAATGGTTCCAGTTCCAGTTGCAGATGAAATGTTTGATAATGGATGAAGGAAACTTGATGTTGGAGTACCTCCTCCATTTGGTGTTACATGTCCAGATGTATTATTATTATTATTATTGGTATTGTTATTAATTGATATGTTAAATTGTGAAGATGTTGGGGTTAGTGTTGTTGGAGTGGTGGTGGTTGTCGTTGAGTTGTTGGGAGTGTTTGTTTGTTGTCCAGGTGTGTGATTATCGATCGATATTGAATCGATTGACATTAGCGGTATCATCATTTCTTCGTTGTCACCGAATGGCCATCCTGCTGAGTAGGTATCTGTGTTCACCTGTGATTGTGAGTGGTCCGCACGAAACACCACTCGATAGTTTGTAATATAAATATGTCCTGTAACCAACTGCGTTGCACTGCTATTCAAAAACTGATCGCCACTCTGATAGTATCCAAGTTGACTTCTTCCAATAAAACAATTGAATTTCTCACTCTGTAGAATGTATTCTCCACATGCACCTATTCTCTCTGTTTTTGTTTTGTTTTGTTTTGTTTTGTTTTGTTTTGTTTTGTTTTGTTTTGTTATTCCGTTAATTAATATGTGTGTATGGGTAATTTGAAATCTAAACTAAATTAAAACTAAAACTAACCGTTGAAAAACTTTAAAATAGTTGGATCTTCAGATTGTTTTGCAAATTCCAAGGGTGATGGAAAGTTGGAAGATGACTTTGTAAAGATTGCACCATACTCTAAAAACATTTCCAAAAGATCGACCCGTTTATTTTCTATTGCCAAGTGTAAACATGTCTTTCCTCGCTTATTATAGATATTTGGATTGGCTCCATGTTCCAATAATAATTTTATTAAATCTAAATTACTATTTTTTCATGATTATAATGAATATGTTTGTTAATTTCCAATGTTATCATATCTACTGCACTGTTTAATATTATTATTTACCTCTGTAGAGTTGCACGATGTAATGGTGTTTCGAATCTGGAATCTTTATGGTTGACGTATGCACCCGCTTCAATAAGAAGTGTCGCCAATTTGTTTGCTTTCGGATGTCTGTAGTGTCGTGGTAGCAAGTGAAGTGACGATGATCCACTGACAGTGGTTGCATTGGGATCTGAATTTTTCAATAGCAATTTCTCAGCAATATCCAAGTGACCCAAGTTGATCGCACACAAAATCGGTGTATATCCATCTTTATCTCTTAATGTCAGTGGTTTAACTTCATCTAAATTTACATACTAAATATTGTTGTTTTAATTTGCAATTAATATAAATGTTATTTGATTTTTGTCAAATCATGGTGGTGGTGTTTATGATTAATTTTACTTTTTTCTTTAAACATTGTCTAATAACTTCTTGATTTCCATTCATTGCAGCAATATGGAATAACGTTTGATCACGACTATTCTTTAGATTCAGTCCATGTTTCTTAAGATGATCTTTGATAGTTGATTTATCGACAGTGTTTGAAATATTCTCGAGTATTGAGAATTGAAGCTGACCTGATAATACTGAGGATGAATGTGTATGTGTAATACTACTTGGTTGTTGTTGTTGAGCTTGTGGTGATGATGGTATTGAAGTTGTTGCTGCTATTACGCTGCTCTGTGATGAAGCTGTCGATGAATTTAGATGATTATTACTACTATTATCTTTAGGATCCATTATTATTATAAATATATATGTTATTTAATCCATAAAAATAAATATTAATTATTAATGATCAGATTTTATAACTTTTTAATTTAAAAAATTTAAAAAAAATATCAAAAATGAAAAAAAGGGTGTTGCAATAAACGATCAAAGCTTTATACAAAATTTTAATTAAATTTAAGCCAATTTTTTTAACCACCATAAAAATGATTAAAAAATATATTAATTTTTAAACGAAACAACCAATAATAATATTAGTTATATTTTTTATCTATAATAGCAATACTTTTTAAAGTTTTATTAAAATTGTTATATAAAATTGATAGAAAAGAACAATATTTAATTTAAATTAAAAACAATAGTGTCTGAAAAATCAGAATGCTGTTACTTTGATTTTTTTTTTTTTATCACTTCTTTACTTGACCCTTGAAATACATTTGGGACATGTCAATTACTTTCGATTTGACAGTGCAACCTAGACCCTCTCTGGCAGCGTTGACCAAGAGTCCACGATCTTGATCGATTGTCCAGGTGAACATTCCACCCAATCCCTTGGATTTGACGTATTCTGCTTTGTCTTTGACGGTTCTTGGTGTGTCGATCGACAAGAACATCTGCGAACTGGAACTATAAAGGTAGTCGGCATCAGCTACTTCATCAGTGTACAGAGTAAAACCGTTTCTTCCTTGTTTCTTCTCGTAGTCCATGTAGTTGTACATGATATCGGCATTCTCAGAGACACCAACCTCGAACATTCCAGTGACTTGTGCACTCTGGTTGTAGCTTCCTTTGAGTGGACTTGTACTGGTAATAGTGCAACCTGCTGCATTACGACTGTACGCGGCAAATCCAATGTAGATATTCTTGGGATTGACACCCTTGTCAAGAAGATAGCAGACAGCGCTGTCAGTACTGAATGGCGAATTTGGATAGGTCTTCAAATTGGTGTGGTGAGCGACTTCAGTTGCCCATCCAGTTCCAAAGAAATCGTAGGTCATCAAGTTAATACCAGTTACACCATTGGTAATCATAGCTGGGATGTTGGCTTTAGCCAATTTGGTGACATCGGCAGAGCAGGCAATACTAATAAGAACATCAGGACGGCTGATGCTTACCAACTTGGCCTTTAACTCCTTGACCAACAAAGCATAGTTTGGTGCATCACTGTCATCGTAGGTGTTTCCTGGATGACCTGCTGCTGATGGATACTCCCAATCCAAATCGATCTCAGTGAACATTGGGAATCTGGTAAAGATATCAGCGATTCCATTGATAAAGTTGGTACGATAGGTTGCATTTGCTGCCATGAAATGGAAAGCTTCAGACATGGTCCAACCACCAACAGAGAATGAAAGACGTAAGTCTGGATTGGCATCCTTCAATTTACGAAGACCTCCGAGAACACCTTGTGCCATTTTTTGGTTGTAGTAGGCTTGTACATCGTTCGATACCCAACCTGTGAAACCACAGTTTCTGTAGGAGAGAACATCACCCCAGGAATCAGTAAAAGTTGGTGCCCATGGAGTAGTGATTCCAAAGTCACTGGCAGCTTTGGTGATTTGTTGTTGCTTCTCACCCTTGTCTCCAAGAATACCAACAAATCCAATAACAATTTTGTCATACTATATTAAAAAAATAATAAATTAATTGTCAATTGGATTAATGTTTTAAAATATTTATTATTTATACATACGGCATGTGGATCAACTTTGGCCAAATCATAACCACGACCAGCTTGGTTTGGATCGGTCATACCATCCAATCTACCGTCATATTGGCTCCAATCAGTGTAGTAACCAAAGACCTTGAAATCATTCTTGTTGTAGGTGTTGTAGACTGGCTTCATTACTCTGGCGGAGGTCTTGCTGGTTCCAGTGACAGAGGTAGCTGGGTGGTAACCCAACATCTGGTAGGTTTGGAGAGTGGCTGGATCGTCTTGAACAAGCTGAGATGACATGTTTTTTTTTTTCTTTCCAATTAACAAAAAATAGTTTAAGATTATAGAATTAAAGTTATAAAAGTTTAATGTTAATAATAATTTTGGATTTTGGTTTGGTTTTCAAAATGATCAGGAACTATTGGAATTTATAGGATTTCTTTCTGGCCAGAAAGATGAAAATCATTGTTTTTTTGTCCTGTTGTGATCAAATTAAAATTAAACTTCACCCATTAATTTTTGTAATTTGTTAATTTTTTAACCCCACAACAAAACTGGCGCTTGCCAATAATATAAATCGAATAAAAAAACCTCTGATCACATTAACCCCACTAATTTTTAATTTTTACATTTTTTTAAAATTAATGAGCAGGCGAAAATGGTTGGGAGCCAGTTTTGTTTTGAATTTAACAAATTAATTAAAACTGTTACTCTTTCATCGTAATTCAGTGTTGCGATAGTATTGTAAAAGATCATTTTTAAGTGAACACACTTTTAAAACAAATAAAAAAAAAGGTGTTAAATTTGATATCTTGATCATTTTTGCAGTTTTTGTTGTAATTTGTCCTGAACGAATTCATTATTCTTTTTCATTTTCATTTTAGATGTTGTGTTTGGAAATGTGGAGTGTGATTTTAAAATTTATTAATTTTAAACTTATGAATTCCTCATTCATTGTAGTGTAATCTTTCCACTTTTGATTTAAGCAATTTGTTTATAAACTTTTATGATTTTTATTTAGGAGTGTGTACAATGAAAAATGTGATGTTCACTTTAATAATTTAAACGTCAAAATATTTGTTAGAAACAAGTTACTTTTTTTAAAAAATCAAACACATATCTTCAGGTTTGAGGAAAATTACAAAAACACAGCGTTCACATTCACAACAACAACCTAAATTTGATATTTGAGTGGGAGGTTGGGTGGTTGCAAAGGAAATAATGAAAATGTTAAATTAAATTATTTCTACCCCTTTCTTTGATTCATCTTGCCATAGAGTTAAAAGATCAATATAAAATTATAATAAACATAATATTAAATTAAATTTATAATAATTTACTTTCTCACTACATTCTATATTTACTGTGTATCAAAGGATTTTATTTAAATCGATTATTAGTTTTTTTTAAAGAAAGGAAAATAGATTTATTAAAGGAAAAATTGTTTACTAATGAAATAATGAGATATAAAGTTTTTTTCTTTCTGCAAAACAAGATTTGTTGATATTAACCTGCTTGATCCTAGTTTTTTATTATATTTCATTCTCACACAGACCGTGAGAATTAGAGCCAATAAAATATTACTATTATTATTATTATTTTTGAATAGATCTAATAGTAGCTGAGTGTTTATGAACAACTGAGTAAAGAGCTGGGAGAATATAAGTTTGTAAAATTGTTTTTTTTTTTTTGTTTTTTTTTTAAAAAAAAGTTTTGTTGAATCATCGTGAAATATAATAATAATAATAATAATTATTATTGTTTATAGTTATTATTAATTAATAAGTTGGGTAGTATTATGATAGAATAGATCTAAAAGTAGATGAGTGTTGATGCAACAGTATAAAGTGGTTGCACGTAGTTGGAAGGATTTAGATTCCAATCAGATTTAAATTTACGCGTTAATGTGAGAGTACAGCCGGAATATGCTGTTACCTAGCATAGGCGCTTTGACCTTGGATACGTTTGGGAACTGAGATTGGAGAACCAAAGAGTGACCTCTGGATGGTTAGTTGACCTTCAGTACCGCGGACACGGGTACTTGTGGTTGAATAGGACAGAATAGATTTCCTTCAGAGTAAGGAGACTACCATCATCAGCAAGGATGGGATTGCCCGGTATGACTCTGGAGAAGTGATTATTTCTAAAATCCATCCAAGACGAATGGAATAGTTTGAAGGAAGGTGAAGAAGTTGGGTTAGTAAATTTTTTGGCACAATCAAGCATGGATGACCAAGTTTTGAAGTAACCAAATGAGTTGCTTCTACTTAACAACAGGAATCTTTTAGAGACCTATATCTTATAAGCAGCAGAACGAAGAGATAGATCCCACAAATTCAGACCACCATCATTCCAGTGAAAGCAAGACCTGTCCAAAGACATCAAAGCGGTGAACTTTGCTTTGGCATTAGGTGCACTGGTGAAGAACCAAGCAATAAGTCTGTTGACAAGCTTGATTTGATCAGGTGTGGGTGATTCTAGATAGAAGTGATAGAAGAATCTTATGTACTTCCCATGCTCTTCTGAGCTGATAGCTCTTAATACAGCAAAAATCTGAGAAACAGGACAGAGGTATTAAATCATCAGACACATATTCATTTATTTGATTTAGAAAGTATAAAATATAATGGAGTATAGATCTTTGAAAATGATTAGTATTTATAAAAAATTGAGAGATTTATCATTTTTAAAAAAAATAAAAAAAATAACAAACAAATTATGTGGTGTTGAAATAAAATACTTTTTGTTTTTATAGATTTAAATTTATTTTCTTAAAAATCAATAAATAGGATTAAGATATACCTAGATGATGACTATTTGATTCAAATTGTTTCATAGAAGATTCATAGGGTTTTTGGCAATAACCAGGTGTCATTTCATATCACCACTATTAACAATATTAAGAGCTCTATTGAGTTTAGAATGAATATCATCTAGTATATATATTTATCTCATGAATACCCAAGAATTTTAAAAACCTTCAGGTCCTGACTGGTTTGTTTTTATATCAAATTTAGTTGAGAATGCATTTTAAGTAAAAAATATTATGTGTTTTAGTATATTGATGTGAGATGTCTTGTACAGTTGTGGATATACTAAAATTAGTGAAAAAAAATTATTTATTAGTCGATCTATATCATACTCTAAAATTCCAAAAAAACTGGGAATAGTTTGTCTATGTATCCTGTTCCATATTAAATTAAATTTAGAAAAGATTGAATTTAATCTACCACTTTCAACTTAATGATAGAATATTAGTTGTTCTATAATCGGGAACTCCTTTAAAGAATAACCTTTCTTTTTACTATACTCTCCTTGTTTTATTTTCATCTGTTAAATTCCTTTTCTAAAAAAACAATATCTATTTTAAACAAAGCACTGTGTTATGTAAAATCAATTAAAAACCTTTACATTTTTAAATATGAAGAGGAGTCTAAAAAGTTTTTTTTTGTATTATTTCTGAAAGTAATTCCTTAATCCTTTATTATTCTTCTAATAGTGTTATTGATTTATCTTTTTAAAAATGTATTGATATCCTTTTTTTTTCAATATTTTAATTGTTTTTTAAAACAAAATTTTAAAATTTTCTTTTAAATATATACTCTTTTTATACAAATAGTATTTGTGTTCTGTGCTAAGTTTGTTTTTGATATTTTTTAGGATAAGAATAGAAATGATCAATATGCAGAGGAAATGATAAAGAGAATTAGTGAGGCATATCAAGTGTTGTCAGATGCAGACAAGAGAAAGAAATACGATCAGTTTGGATTCGATGGTATGAATGAGAATATGATTGATCCGATCGATTTGTTCAGATTGATATTCGGAGGTGGTCAGTTCCAAGATTTCTTTTGTGACCTCACATTCTACGAGATGTTTGCACAGGCAGAGACCGACCCATCACAAATCAATTCATGATTTTAGGTTTTTTAAAAAAAACCTTACCGCATGCAGTACCAATATTTTAAAAATAAACCTCCCTATCCGGGAATCGAACCCGGGGTTTCAGTGTGAAAGACTAATGTGTTACCACTACACCAATAAGGAATTTGGTTGAACCCAAAAGGAAATCCAAAATAATTCTATTTTTAAATATTCAATACAATCTAACATTCATTTTTATATTTCTTTGTTGTTTTTCATTGTAAAATCAGTTTGTCTTCCAAAAAACAACTTTCTTTCAATCTTAACTATTCATTTTCACCAAAAATTTTGACATTCTTTTCAAAATTCTTGGAAGTAGCATTTGAAACACTTTCAAGTCATAACATATCTCTATTACCCATTTACATTTTACATATAACCTCTTTCAGTTCAGTAATGGATATCGATAGCAACGATATTGTTGCAAAACAAACAAAGAGAAAAGATTACCGTAATGATGATTGTACAAACGATATGGATATAGTTACAGAGAAGAAACAAAAAATAGATGTACTCGATCAAATAAAACTAGCTGTACAGTTATGTTTTGAAAATACAAAGAAAGAGAAAGCTGCTCAACAGGAGGAGGTCTACAGTCAACTGTTTAAAAGATCGATCGACGCACACTCTGAAAATGGTGAAACTATCGATGGCGTTTTTTTCATGTTGGAATCACACGCCAAAACCACAAACACTATAACTGTGGGTTCCATACCGTTTAACGTGACAATCGATATCTATATCAATATTCTAAAGAGTTTAATCGATGAAACAACACTAGTGGTAGACATAACAAAACCTATTGCAAATATTCAACTATGGCAATGTATATCGTATCAATCGAAAATTAGTCTATTATACAGATCGATGGAGTTAATTGGCAAATACCCGATATTACAAACATCTCTGATACCTTTGGTCATACAATTATATAATCAATACAATAATGAAATCAGTAATATCACCAATTATACATATATAAAAATAACTATTATTAATAAATAGTTGCATACTAATTATAATTTTAAACTGCTAATTTATTAATCACAGGTGAATATAGAGATCTATTAAGAAATATAATCGCTAGCTATATTCAAAGTGATAGCTATAGTTTACAAATGGTATTTATTTCTATCATTTCACAAATCATTAAAAACAATCCATCGGCTTATCAATATGTCGACGATATCACGTCATCGCTGACAGAGATGGTTCAACATAGTCTAGAGACAGATGGATATGAATCATTGGAACTGTTGAAACAATTCATCATAGTTATAACGAGATGTGATATAGATTCACCTGAACTAGTAGTAAGCTTGGTTGATGTAAGTAGTATTAGAGAGTTTAGTTTTAAAGATAAACTAGCGGTGTAGTCAATATATATATATATATATATATATATATTAACAAAGATATCTTTAATACAATGTATATAGACTTTACTTAAATATCCTCTGAACGATGAAGAGAGTTTTGATAGATTAAAAATCTTTATTTTCGATATGTTAACATCACAAACATTAGAGACAAGTAAGTAGTTATAATACGTTATTAATATATCCTTTATATAGATTGTATTACTAATATTCTTATTCATATTCAAAATAGAATCTGTTGTATTGTTTAATGATACCGTATCAACTTTTCTTAATACAAAAGAAAATCTAACAACACCGAAAGCAATACAGTTGCTACAAGAGTATTACAGATTAATGTTTGTTTGGGCATCTTATATCCCTGAGAATTTCGATATAGAAGCATGGAAATTGACTGTATGTAAACTTTATATATGCATTTAGATTTCTTTCGTAGATTATTAATTATATAATGAAATGATATAAAGAGTGGTGATTTAGAGAGTTCCGATAAACAAAAGAGTTCACTTTCATCTTTAGATAATATCGGCGCGTATGGTGATGCTGTGCTTCTTTATCAAGAGTTTATCAAGTATTGGAATAACGCAATGCTACCATGCAACCAGGATCAATGGCAACTAATAATGAATGTATCTCAAATATTCTTAATCATCTACGAACATGTACATAATTTAGTTGGACCAAATGTATATAAGTAAATATATCTATATTCTTTTTTTTTTTTTTAAAAGTTGTTTTAGTTTAACTAACTAAAAGTAATCTATATAATAATCATATGATTTATTTAGACAAATTTTAAAAGTATTTAAAGATACTACATATCCACCGATTATAAAGTTTAATTTCGTCGCATTGATGTCACAGATGATGAATGACAATCGAAATGATGACGAGATGTCAGAGTTGTTCTTGGATGCTATGTTGAGTGAAAATGTCGTTGAGGTGGTGGTGCAGTCACGTCTTCTCAAAGCGATTTCCGATGCTTTTGCCGATCGACGACCAGAGGTGTTGGAAATGTACAAACCACGATTGTTCCAATACATAGAGCCATACTTTAAGTGGGATCAACATCCCGATAACATAGAGGGTGCCATCAGTGTACTCACCGGTATTATCGATATCATCCCAGACAACGACGAGAAAGTGTTCTTCCTACGTGACCAATATCTACCTTTGTTCTTAAAGTTACTGGAACATAGTTTTAGTAATAATAATAATAACAACGATAACAATAACAATAATATTCATGGATCAAATATAAAAGGTAGAGTAATCGAAGCAATAAGTATGCTATCTCTATCTTTAAAGAACGATAGTTCTTTCGATGTCTATGTATTAAAAACATTGGATCTCTTTTCGAATGAAGATATATCGGTGGATACTAGATTCTCGGATTTCTATTTGAGAGCGTTGGTGCGTTTTGCTCAGAGGTTGGAGTCGAGATTCGAACCTTATCTACCGTTGACCATTAGACATATAATGAAGATTTTGACATACGATTTGGATCCCGCCAATCATGTCAAGGTGCGAGATATCAACAGTATATGTAATCATACGATAAAGTCGGTGTTGAATCTACTTCCGGTGCTGGGATGGTGCACTCATTTGGAGATCAATCCCTACTTGGGTATGTTGACCACTGAAGTTCTCAGACTGATGGACAGTGAACTCGATGAAGACATCAGAGAGAGCGCAGCAGTAATCACTCCCTATCTACTGGGAATCAACAGACTCAACTGTATAACGGATCCAATGAAATTCAGATACTCTCAGTACATGGAGCTTCATTGTATAATCACCTCTAGACTAGAAAAGTCTATTCAAATTGAACCACATCCTGACATTGAACAAATCAAACATGGTTTATCAACCACTGTAAGTGTTCAATAATATTTATTGTTTATATATGAATCAAATAATGTATTAACAAAAAAAAATAATCGTTTAGTGTTTTCAAATTGTAGCAACGAATACAAAATCAGACTTAATGGCATTATTATATGAGCAGAATTAATAATAATAATAATATATATAAATAGATTAATTGTACATTTGTTCATTTTAAGGAATAAATAGATTATTTTCTTTAATGGAGAATCTTTTAATCAATACTGGCACTCTATCCAAACTTTTTTGAAAAAAATTTAATTCCTCACCAAACTGAGGGAATCAAAAGAATAAAAAATAGTTCGAATTAAGGAAGATTTATTCATTAAACAATAAAATCAAAAATAATTTAAAAAAAATATAAAATATATTTAAATTTCTACCTATAAATAATTATTAATATTTAAAAATATACAAAATCTCTTTTCTCCTTTTAGTTTTGGCTTTTTTTGCCTATTCTAAAAAAAAAAAAAATTAGAATCTATTCACATGTTGTTGTAAAGCCTAATTTTTGTATCCTTTAAAAGTTTTCAGTTATTGGAACTCGATTGAGGGATAAATATATCATAGGTCTTGTCTGATTAGATCAAACAATATTTTTCTTGATAAGTTATCAATGATTTTACAATTTTTTTTTGTTTTTGGGGGAAGAAAAAAATAGATACTTTGTCAAAACTGTCGCAAAATTCCCTTAAAAAGTCTACGTGTGGATTTGTTTTTTTTTTTTTCCGGGACTCGAGGAAAGCATATGATTTTAAATCTAAACCAAAGACTTGAATTAGAAATACAATCGGTTGGAATTCCTCATTTCAATGAGGGAATTGCAAGAAATCGATTATAATTGCTCAAATTTGAAGATTTATTAATCAAACAATCAAATCAATAATAACTATAAGATATATTTAAATATCTACCTATAAATAATTATTTGAAAATGTACAAAATCTCTGTCATCCTTTTAGTTTTGGTTTTTGTTGCCTATTCTACTGCAAGTTCAATTGAATTATGTGCTCCATGTTCTGGTGGTAAAGTCCAATCTTGTGGTTCATCAGGCTCTGTTAAATGTGTAACCATCCCATTGGGTAAATGTTAGTAAGTATATTAAATTTCTTAAATAAATTTAGTTTTAAAATTAATAAATTATTAAATATATTATAACAAAAACAGTACTTTTGCTAATGTTTGCTCTGGTGCTCCAAATATATTAGCATATTACATTGAATCTATTGATAGAGGTGCTGTCTCTGGACTTGTCTATCCTTCAATGGAGGCATGCTCAAAGAAAATGGCAGGTATCGTAATCTCTGAAGACTGCGGTGATTGCAATCTTGGTACCACTCTCACATGTAACGTCGGTAACTCTGCTTCCAATAACATGAAGACCTTTGCCATGGGTGCTGCCTCTGTAGTTTTGGCTGCCCCATTTTTACTTTAAATTAAGAATTAATTCTTAACTATATTTGAAAAATATTTAAAATAAAATTTTCTATCTTGGTGTTGCTAGCCTAATTATTTTTGACAAAATCTATTTACTTTTTATTTTTTAAAACAAGCTTTATTGGATTACAAAATTAAGATCTTAAATTAATAAAATGGATAGTGATACATATATATTGGTTGGTCGTAGAGATGGCGGTGCAAATTTGATAAATTTAAGAAGCGGCAATATAGAGTTGATTGATTTCAGATTCAATCTAGCTAATACATTCAACTCTTTTGCTACGATTGGTGAATCTGTCTATATATTCGCTAGTTACTTCCATCAGAACAGCTTCTTTAGAGTCTCAATGCGTACAAAAGTCATTGATTTCAACGGTGAGTTCAATAATGGTGTGATTGGTGGTCACTGTATTTCGGTGTGTTACGATGGTCTTGACCACGTCTACTTGATCGGTGGTCGTAAAGGAAGTGACAAGCAACATCTAAACCGAATAGACAGATTCAATTGTAGAACAAACACATTCGAAAAATACTTCTATCAACAACAACAACAACAACAACAGACAACATCGACATCAAGCATCAGTAACAAGAATACTTCTAGTTTATTAAGTAGCAATAGCAGTTACTTTATCATCTCTGTATATCTTAATGGTTTGATCTATTCTGTACTTGCAAATGAGAAGAGTATATTAATATTCAACACACTCGATCGATCTATTTATAAATATCAATCAGATCAGTTATTTGACAAAACAATATCTGCATGTACAGATATAAATAATAATAATATTAACAAAACTAATAATAATAGCAATAGTGATAATATATATTTACATTCTAATGATGGAAGATTTATTCGATTCAATGTCAATAGTAAAGTGATAACTAAACTCAATCCTATTATCGAACAAAGAGTGGATGACTTTTTATCGATGGTATTCCACAATGTGTCAGAGCATGAGAACAATATATACCTGTTGGGTGGAACACAATACAAATATCACAGATACTCTGTTGAAAACAATCATTCACAATCTCTACCACTATTTAACAATCTTAATACAAATAATAACAATAACGATTGCGGTGCTTCAATAATATCATTTTAACACTAAAAAATTACTTATCAATAAAGAGATTACTGATGAACATCATCTTGTTTGTTTTTTTTTTTTGCAAAAGGTTACTTTATAATTGTATAAAGATATGAATCTCGATCAAATTTCTTTTGCCAAAATTAACTAGTTTCTAGTAAAAACAAATAATCTGAAAGTCGACAAAAAATTAATTTTAAACAGCAGATTCTTGGAACCCAAATTTTAAGAAATTTTTTATACCTCGATATTTTTGTTTAAACTTTTTTAATGAAATCGCTAAAAGGGTCTGAATAATAATAATTAATCACTTTTGAAAAAAGAGATAGATATATAAATAAACTATATGACTACCAACAATAAGAAAAGAAATCATGATGATGAATCTAATGTTGTAGAGGATATCGACAACAAGAAGGTAAAAGGTGAAGCAATGGATTTTGGTGAAATCGATAGATTATATAAAGTTATTAAAACAGAGAACAATGAAGCTGTAAGTAGTAAAGTGTTTTGTTTTATAGATCTCCATATTTATTAATATTATTATTTAAAAGTTAATCAATGAAGCGTTCGAAAAGTTAAAAGATGAGACCACAACCAAATCTAAATGGTCATCGATTCCAATCAAATTGAAAGAAACACTAATCAACGAAGCCTGTATGACACTCCTATCGAAGAATCAATACGTTCATAATCTATTCATTCCATATATAGCAAAGCTTATTATTGAAAACTATGATACAATCGGTAAATATTATTAATGATTAGTAGTATTCAATTAATATTAACATTACATTATAAAATACTAACTAACTACTTTACTTTAATATAATAATTATCTATCTATACATCTATCTATCTATAGATTCAATAAAACAAACAATTGAACAAATGTTTGAAAAATTCGAATTCTTACCAACAATCGAAGCAAAGAGATCTTGTTTGAAATTAATTGACTTGATCTTTAGAGATAATGAAGAATATGGTGAAGCATTCCATGATATCGCGTCGTCGTTGTCGATAATCACCAAACACGTTCAAACATTACCACCACAGTATCACATGGAGTTCTTGATTCTCTTGGTGAACATTGTTTCAAAATGTCCATTACATAACTCTGATAATCTAGTTGATCTTGCAGAAGTAAGTATAATATATTATATTGTGTAATATAGAATTTCTAATCAATTAATATCTTCTCTCTCTATAATTATGATAGGTCTTAAGAGATTTTTCAATTTCAGATGAATTCGAACCTGAAAGTTTCACTAAAACAATTATAGAGACATTAGAATCAACAACATTACCAATTGGTAAATATATATAGCTAATAATAATAATAGTAATATACATACTAACAAGTTTATTAATCATACTAAAAACACATAATTAATCTATAGAAACAATACAGTTCTTTTCAAATTTATTGGCTATTTTCTTTGCACATTTCTCATATGATGCGAATCCACGTGAAGAATATATAAGTTTAATGTTCAAATGGATTTCACAGGTACCTTATGATGATATTCTAGAAGCTTGGATAAAAGATGTAATTATTAAAATCAGTTTTGATATCCACAATTTGTTGGTAATCTAATCTATTCTTGTTTTATTCACCGATATATATATAGCCAAATGCTGATACAGTAGCAACTCCAAAAGAATCTAGTGCAAACGAATCAATTGTAGTATTATCTAATGCTCAAGCAAGTTGGGTATTTGATTGCTTCAAACCGAAATGGGATGCAGCAATGAAATCTAAAGATTGGAAACAATTGTATTACTGTGGAAATATTCTTGGTCAAATACATGAAAATTGCATCGGAATAATTACAGATACTCTATATATGTAAGTATAAATAATATTAAATAGAAATATTCTAAAGAAACTTATTTTTTATTTATTTTTATAATTATAATTTATTAGGGAAATGTTAGATGTTATTATTTCACCACCAAATCAAATGATACAAAATATCTATTTAAATTTAACATCAATGGTATTCCAAGAGAGGGGTGACGATATGGAAGATGAGTTGATTGGTACTTTCTTGGAGAAACTCTTGGCGTTGGAGAATCCATCGGCTTTTATACAACCTTCGATTCTCAAGGCAATAGGAGAGATCATCGATGAGAAAGAGACAGAGATTATCGACGATGAAATGTCACAAAAGATCTTTAACTATATTAAGCCGTTCCTAAAAATCGATCAACCATCATCCATCATTGAGAATTCCATTAGTGTATTCACAAGTCTTGTCGATATTGCTGGTATCGATGATTTCATAGAGTTTAAAGATCAGTATTTAATGTTGTTGATAGACGTACTCCAAAAGAATGTCAATGGATTCAACGATCTCAAGGGCAGAGTCATGGAGGCAATGAGTGTACTCGGTACCATCTTGCCAAAACAAGACAAGCAATACGATGAATATGTTGTTCAAGCGATTCAGCTCATTAGAAAACTGGAGCCGAGTTGCTATACTAAACAAACGGATTTCTATATGCGTGCACACGTGCGATTCGCTCAGCGTCTGGGCAACCGCTTCGAACCCTACTTGGATTCTACCTATCAGTATTTACTAAAGGTGATGTCGTCCCACAGTGATCCTTCACATCGTGCCAAGCTTGAAGCCGGTGATGTATTGTTGATTGACAATATAAAACTGGCAATGGAGATGACTATGGTACTTACAGAGTCAACAGTCGATTTCTTCCATCGTTATGTCGGATCGATTGCCACCGAAGTGTTAAAGTTGATCGATTTCGACTTGGATGATACTATCAAGAGTGATGCTACCAATACCCTACCGAAACTATTTGCATTCTACAAGTTAAATAGCATACTCTCGACAAAAGAGAAGAAAAAAGATCTGGTCAAAAATGACGATGGTCCAACCAAACTATTCAAAATCATAGCAAATCGTTTGGTTAAATCAATGGAAATCGAAGAATTTGAAGATGCATTGGAAAGCAAACAACTTGCACTACAAATTGTAAGTAGATGAATATTTTAAAAGTTAAAAATAATAATGTTTTTAACAACCTTTTTTTTTTTTTTTTTTTTTTTAAGTGTGGACAAATTAACAAGATGGATTTAGGAAGCATTTTAGAATTCATTGAAAACAATTAAAATATCAACTTTTAGTGATTAGTGTATTGATAAATGATCATTATGACTTAAATACAAAAATATGATTGACATTTTTTTTACAAATTTACTTTTAATAAAGTTAATTATTTATTATAATCTACGCAGAACATATCAACATAGTAGTTTGGTATTCATATCCTTGAGGATGGTGAATAGGTGGCAGTGAATTTAATTGATTTTGAGTATGTGGCCACGGTCTTTCAATAGCAGACAAGCAACTTGATCATCGACAAGCATTTTTTTTTTTTTTTTTTTTGCAAAAAAAGTTTTGTTGACTCACATTACCTGCAATTTGTGGATCATGATAATATTGTGGGAAATTAAGGTCAAAAAAGTAAAATTTATAAGGTGAACCACATTAAATTAATATGAGCCAAGCAATACAAAAAATTGATTTATTGCAAAAAAATACTTTTATTGTTATTTCCTCATATCAACAAAGCTATTAGTCAATAGTCCAACACAACACCAAATTTTATGGTGAGACAGCAGCAATTGTTTAATATTTTTAGCCTTTGAACTGAAAAAGTTACATGTAATTGCCCACTTTTTAAAGTGAGCAAAAACATTTTCTATAATGATTCTTACAGACTTGAATCTTTTATCTGCTTCTTTTAAGCTATCCTCTTTCCATCCTTTCTATTTTCCCTGTCAATAACTATAAATTTTTTGTATAAATTTTTTTTTTTTGCAAAAAAAGATTTGTTGACTCATGATCAGTCAACAAATTGCAGGTATTGATATTAACCTGCTAGTTCGTGTTTTATATTATATACATTCTCACACAGGCCGTGAGAAATAGCCAATAAAATATTATTATTATTATTATTATTATTGTTTATAGTTATTATTAATTAATAAGTTTAGTAGTATTAGGATAGAATAGATCTAACAGTAGTTGAGTGTTGATGAACAACAGTATAAAGTGGTGGCACGTAGTTGGAAGGATTTAGATTCCAATCAGATTTAAATTTACGTGTTATTGCAGAGCAATCGACAGTGATTCCTTGGGAGATAGAATTAGCTATTGTGAAGTTAAGCTTGTGGTAATTGGCATCGATTAATTTGGTGTAATGGGTGACTGCTCTTTTGACGGTATTTTCCAGCTTGTAATGGGTACCATCACCAAACATTTTACAGGACAGCGCCTGCCATAACGAATGTACGATAGCAGCAGTAAGGTGGGTGAAGTGGACAGAAGTACGAATAGGACCGTCGAACTTGATGCACGAGTGCTTCCAATTGCGAAGTCTATTGTTACAGTACTTGTGGTATATATGTTTGATAAAGGAAAGGAACTGCTGTGAAACTACATTCCTGCATTTGAAGAAGAAATGCTCATGTGGGTTGCAGAGTTCAGTGAAGGTGTCACCACAGAACTCACAGACATGACCAGTGCGCTTGTGGTTGATGGGGAAGGTGTGAGAGTACAGCCGGAATATGCTGTTACCTAGCATAGGCGCTTTGACCTTGGATATATGCAGGAACTGAGATTGGAGAACCAAAGAGTGACCAATCTGGATGGTTAGTTGACCTTCAGTACGGCGGACTCGGGGGTACTTGTGGTTGAATAGGACAGAATAGATTTCCTTCAGAGTAAGGAGACTACCATCATCAGCAAGGATGGGATTGCCCGGTATGACTCTGGAGAAGTGATTGTTTCTAAAATCGATCCAAGACGAATGGAACAGTTTGAAGGATGGTGAAGAAGTTGGATTAGTAAATTTTTTGGCACAATCAAGCATGGATGACCAAGTTTTGAAGTAACCAAATGAGTTGCTTCTACTTAACAACAGGAATCTTTTAGAGACCTATATCTTATAAGCAGCAGAACGAAGAGATAGATCCCACAAATTCAGACCACCATCATTCCAGTGAAAGCAAGACCTGTCCAAAGACATCAAAGCGGTGAACTTTGCTTTGGCATCAGGTGCACTGGTGAAGAACCAAACAATAAGTCTGTTGACAAGCTTGATTTGATCAGGTGTGGGCGATTCAAGATAGAAGTGATAGAAGAGCATGGGAAGCACATAAGATTTAATGATGGTTGATTTAGCTCTTAGAGTATAAACTTTATACTTATACAGAGCTAGGTTAGCTTTAATAAGATTGATTATACTTGCCAGTTTGGAGCAGTGACCATCCGGGTTGAAATTGACACCTAGGTATCTTTCAGGGACGGTGGAGACAGGGAACGGAAGGTTGGCGGTGGAAGTGTTACCGAGCGGAATGATAACCGATTTACTAGAGTTAACATCTGCAGTGGATAGCTTGAACAAGCGGGTACATGTGTACCCCACTAGTCTCGCATGCGGTATTTTTTCGCTTATAAAAGCTACTCCTTGTGGGGATCGAACCCACGACCCTGACCGTGTAAAGGTCATGTGATAACCACTACACCAAAAGAGCACGTGATAATATAAAAAATATTTGTTTTGTAATGGTGCGGTATGACAAAAGGTATCTCGTTAATCCTTATGCCGATAAGCATACTTACTTCAGTTAAATAACTCCTTCTAATACAGTTCTTGTCTCAAAACATTGTTTTGATTACTTTAACCAATTAGAATCTCACTGCCACCTTGTACGCACCTTAGATTAAAAAAAGTGAAGACCAAAAAGAACAATAAAAATAACTTTCTATAACATCTGTTACTCTGCTATTAATTTCAATCAATATATTATCATAACAATTAACTACCAAGTTGGTAGTACCAACAACCTTAATTTTGTGATCATTAAAATGTTTGAACATCAAAACAATATTGTTCTATTCAATGGTCTACCAGCATCAGGTAAAACATACTTGTGCACCCAACTGACCTATTACATTGTAAAATTATTAGAGTCTACATCAAACAACGATGATAATAAATCATTTCTAATCTATCATATTGAATATGATAAGATTTATCATTTAATACAAGATTCTATCAAGAATAACAGAAATCTACAAACTACAACAACGGCAACAATGGTTGCAAAAGATAACATCAATCTAACAACTAGTAGTTGGAAAATAGTAAGACAAGAAATACAATATCAAATCGAATCATTGCTAAACAACAATAGTTTAAAGTCATTCCTTTTATTACCACCGATCGAACCAATTTACAGATTCCACGATAATAGCAACAATGATCATAATAATAATAATAATAAGAATAATAATAAAACAATATATAAAATAATACTATTAGATGATAACTTTTATTATAAAAGTATGAGATATATTTATTATAAAATAGCGAAGCAATGTAAGTTAGTTAAACTAAACCAATGGTTTAAAAGGTTAAGATTTTCAAGATTAATTAATTAACTTTGCTTTAAACAACCAATAAACAAAAGATAATACTGGATTTACACAGTTGTTCTTATATAAAGATCTATATTTATCAAAATTAAATAATAAACTTAGATTACAACAATTATTAAACTGTCAAACAAAACCATTTGAACAACTGATAGTTACAGACGATGTCATTGATAAAATGAATCAAATATTCGAAGATCCAAATCCACAAAGTCATAAATGGGAATTAAACACCGTAGTAATACCAACCATAAACTCTTCAAATCATAATTCATCAGTATCAATGTAACTATTATTTACTTACTTAAAATTAAGCTTAATTTTTATTGAATACTAATAGTAAATAATATAGAGAATCAATATATAATGAAATTATCAAGAATTTAAATACACCCATTGTTATAGATAATAGTTTAGACCAACAATTACTTCAACAACAGCAAATAGATAGAGATAATACAAAGAACAATACAATTCATCAACTAGATCTTGAATTTAGAAGATCTGTTAATCATCTACTATCAAGCCATCCAGAGTATAGGAGTAAAGCTAAACTTCTAAGTAGTTATAAACAACAATTTCTAAAACAACTATTCGATTATATTGATATGCAACATGATCATAATGATGATAATGAAGAAGAAGAAGAAGATGGTCATAATCAACGATCACAGCAACAAAATCTTGATGAATCAACTATTGAACATTTAATACAAAGATTTAATAATGGTTGTTTATCATTATTAGAATCAAACAACTAAACAATAACAACAATATTATTAATTAGTTGTGTATTATTATATATATATTAAATAATTTATTTATTATTACATGTATTATGACATTTTCTTTATCAATTTACTGGAAACTTCAATTTTAGCATCGATATTATCGAATTTCTTATCGATTCTTTCCAATCGTTCACGTTGTGCTTTCATTTCTATCATGGTGTCAGACATTACCTGTATGTCCTGGTGTAACATTGATACGGCTTCTTTCAACATCTTTGTACCGTTGTCTGCGACTACTTTACACTGTTTAACTCTATCTAGTTGTTGTTGTTCCTGTCTATTTGGATTCCTCAGTATATAACTATCACTACCAGTTCCATTCCTCTCATACTCTAATAAACGATCCAATTGATTCTTATCATTCAATTCTTTAATTCTCTTCTGTAGTGTCTGATATTCATTTTTTAAACTTAAAACTGTTGGATCTTCTGATTTGGTGTACAATCTTTTGTATTCCAATTGAAATAAATCCCATTCACTTTTTAATTCGATATTTATTTTCTCTATTTCTTTTAATTTATTATTACTATTGCTATTATTTAATAAATCATTTATATCTTTAATATTATCTTTTATATTTCGTAAATATAAATTATATAATGTTTTATCCATTTCTAAAAATAACCTTTCTCTAGTTTAAACTAAATAAATAGTTGTATAGTTTTTTATATATGTATATATATATGTAAAAATATTTGTGTGTTTATGCTGTACTGAACTAATTATGTATACAAATAAATCTAATTATTTAAATAATTTATTTTTTTTTAATTTTTGACAAAGTGCAACATAAGGGAGAAGCAAGAATTCTTTGAAAATTTTTCATAAAGATCAAAATCAAATTCTTTATTTTTTCTTTGTTGCTTTTTCAAACTCTGATTTTCAAAGCAAAGATGAAATTTATTATCAAAATTTTAATACTAAATATTAAATCATTAAACTTTTAACAAATATTTTACTTTTTTTATTTTATTTTATAACTATATATAACTTTTAACTTTATTTCTAATTAAAGAATGGAATTTGATGATGATCCTGAAATTAATTTATCAATACCAGTAATGTATAGACTACACTATGATTGATTGTTTTAGTGATATATAGTATTAACACTTATTTTATCAACACAAATCAATAGATAAAACCATTGGCAGAAGAGATATCATGTCCTATTTGTTTTAGTAACATAAAGAGTTGTCTGATGACACCTTGTGGTCATAACTTTTGTGAACGTTGTATTCTAGAATGTATCAATAGAAATCATAAATGTCCATGTTGTAATGCACCCGCCACCAAAGATAAACTGATAAAGAATCATCAACTAGAAAAAATAATATCGATCATTGAATTTGAAAAAGAAGAATCATCGAAAAGATATTTTAATAATTTAATATATAATAACAATCAACAACAACAAGTTGTACAACAATCAAATGCTAAAAAACCAATACTACATCCTGTACAAGAGTTATTTAGTGTAGGTTAAAGTTTAATTATTATTATTATTATTATTCAAACAACAACTAATATAAATAATCATTATTATTATAGAAATATTTAAAAACATCACTTTTAGCATATGAAGATTTCTATAATCAATTGGCACAGAAACTAGAGGAGAATAAAAAGATTTTGGAAAAGGAGAGATTGGAATCTATAAAGAAATATGAAAATCAAGTTGTCATGTTGGATCAAGTAAAAGAAGAGTTTGCATACAAACAAGATAAACTAGTGAAAAGCCACCAGAATACACTGGATCTCTTTTTGAAATCGTTTGAAGATCATCTAAAAAAGACTGCTGTTGCACCGAATTTCGTGAACATTCAGGTCTCCATCGTCATTTCATCAAAGAATATTACATTTGAACATATTTCATTGAAACCCTCAACAACAGTATGTTTCTATTATATTCATTATCTATATAAATCTAAACAATCAATCAAACTAACTTATCTTCCTTTCTTTCTTTTAATTCAATAGATAATAGATATTAAACAATTGATTATAGATAGATTTAATCAGAAAGGTGGAGAATCTGCATTTATAAAGTATATGGATGATGCTCGACTGGTTGCTCAACTACCGATTGCATCGGGTGGCAAAGAGATTGCATTGGATGAAGATATCAAACCACTTTCACTATATGAGATTGTACATGGATCTAAAATCATATTAAAGGGGGATATACAACTATACGAGTAAGTAGATAGCTATCTCGGTCGATCAGTTACTTTCAAACATCATTACTAATAGCATCTATTATCCAATATCTTTAGAGATTTACCAAAACAATGTTTTGCAGCAACATATAAACCAGGTGATACAATGGATTATTTCAAATGTTTGGATTGTAACTACAGTTGGATCTGCAAACAATGTTCGAATCACTGTCACAAAGGTCATAAAACCATACCTTATCTTGTAAATCATAAAGCATCATTTGCATGTTGTTACGATACCAAAAACAAATGTATATTATCAAATAAATAAAATGATTATAACTCTTTTTTTTAGAAAAAAACAAAAAAACATTACATTATTATAAAATGAAATAGAAACAATGATGAGGAGGATGATTTTGGTTTGGTTTGATTTGTTTGTTTAAAGTTTTGATTTTGGTTTAAAATTACAATTTTCAATGATGGTTGCGGTTGCCTGTCCAAATCCAATACACATGGTTTGAAGTGAATAACGTTGACCTGTACGTTCCAATTCATTGACCATCTTGGTCATGAGAATGGCACCTGTTGCACCGAGTGGATGTCCGTGTGCAATTGCTCCACCATTTGGATTGATTTTGGCTGGGTTGATCTTTAGCTCCTTTTGCCATGCCAATACGACCGATGCGAATGCCTCGTTGATCTCGTAGTGGTCGATTTGGTCGACGTTCAATCCAACGTTCTTCAATGCTTTCTGTGTCGCTGGAATGGGACCGAGCAACATATACTCGGGGTCGGATCCGACGACCACGCAAGTCACGATCTTGGCACGTGGACGCAAGCCAAGCTCCTTCAACTTTCTACCGGAACAGAGCAGAACTGCTGCAGCACCGTCAGAGATCTGCGAAGCGTTGGCAGCGGTAATCAAACCGTTCTCTTTGAATGGTGTTTTGAGTTTCTTCATCTTTGAATAGTCGACTGGAACTCTGATGCCTTCGTCGGTGTCGATCAGTTTGTCACCGACCTTGATTGGCATGATCTGTGATTTGAAATGGCCGGCTTTGGTGGCGGCGTCGCATAGCTCGTGAGAACGACCACTGAACTTATCGAGTTCGTCACGTGTCAGCTTGTACTTCTCGGCGATCATCTCTGACGAAACACCTTGATGCAGAACCTTAAAGTCGAATCCCTTTACGAAATCTGGGTTATCCATTTGCCAATCCGAACCCATTGCAACGACACTCATCATCTCAACACCACAACCAATAGCGATATCCATACTACCTGCAGCGATTGCCTGTGCAGCAAAATGAATTGCTTGTTGTCCACTCTTCAACACAAAACAAACATTAAATATTAATATAAACTGTTTGAATCAAACAAATAAAATGATTGATTAATTAGTTACTTACACCACACATTCTATTTAATTGAACACCTGGAACATGTTTTGGGAAACCAGCTTTCAATGCAGCGAAACGTGGAATGTTTGCACCCTGTTCTTTTACTGGTGATACAACACCGGCGATTACATCTTCTACCAATGCTTTATCAACACCACTTCTCTTCATCAATTCATCCAATGTCATTGCTAATAAATCAACTGGCTAATTTATAAATGATAATAGGTAACAAATCAATAAATGAATAATACCATTCTAATTGTTGTTAAACAACAACAACAATAATAATTTGATTTCTATATATACTTGGATATTATGTAAAGCACCATTATTATAACCTCTGGCAATTGGTGTACGAACACATTCTACAATATATACATCACGATCTAAGATTGCACTTGACATCCTTTCTTTTCTTTTGAAACTAACTAACTAATAAACCTTTTATGTACAATTAAAAACAACAATGTTTGTGTGAAAATGAATGAAATTTAACCAAAAAAAAAAAAAAAAACAAATTGTTTTAAACACAATCAAAAGACTATTGACAAAAATTAAAAGATATTTTATGTTAATAAATAAAAAAATAAAATATATAAAAATCTGGATAAATTTTTTTTGTAATTCACATGACACCATCTTATTCCTTTTTGAACTTACCGATTCTGATTTTTTTTATTAAAAATATTTGATAACATTTTTTTAGTTCGGAATCTATTATTCTAATTAATGTTACTTTAAATAAATGAAATTAGTTAACTAACTTACCCTTAAGTGTGAAACTACATTTTTAGAGATAAATAATCGGATAGTGAGGGAAAAAGAGAGTTGAATGAATAAGCAATGAAAACATAATTTATCAAAAGACAAACTAAAATCTAGAATCCTAGCTCGGTATCTGATAGCAATTCCATCATCATATTGATATCACCATTTCTAGATGCTCTGAGTAAGTCTAAATAAATCTGTCCAAGTAGGAGTCCTCTACCTCTTTCCATTTGTCGATCAAATGTAATGGTCTATCTCTTGCAGCAATATGAACTTCTTCATTGACCAATTTATCGGAGAATGATCAAGATCGTCTTTCTTTGTAGATTTATGTGGCACTCTGTCACCAATAGATTGCAATACAGCGGTTGAAGCAGTGTAGAAAGTTCCCTCATAGTTTTCAGTGGAATCCAAATCAATAGCTGATGCCCAATCTATGAGATAAATCTATGAGAAGTAAATCAAAAAAACAATGAAAAAATGGTTTTTTAAAATAAATAATCAGTAAACCATCAACATAGTTTCTATCTACATTTACAACAATCTCTAAATCTAATAGACATAAATAAACTATTGTTTCAAAATTGGTTATAACGAGTATCGCTTTTTTTCCATTCTCGCTTTATTTTTTCAAAATGAACACTCACATAAAACAAAATAAAAAAAAACACTCCAATCAAGTGATATATAATACTCTTTTGTTGCAATCATGTTGAGTAAAAGAACAATATCATCAGTATTAACAACAAAATATCATAATAGTTATAGAATAGTAAATAGTTTTAATAGTTTAAGATCGACATCATCATGTTGTTTACATCTTTCAAATAATAATTTTATAAAATATTTATTCGACAACTAATAATAATAATAATAATAATAATAATAATAATAATAATATAGATAATGATAAACTAAAAAAGAAATCAACGACAACATCAACATCAACGAAAACAAAGAAACAACAAAATGATATTGAAAATAGTATTAATAATAGTAATAAAAAATTGAGTACATGTCCAAATTGTTATAGTATACAAGTAGCGCTAAAGAATAGACATACAGAGTGTTTCAAATCTTTGGTTGCAACCGACAAGGAACACAAGTCAAGAGGCGACTCTCCACTGCAAGTCGCTGTGGTAATGCAAGATTCCGACATGGTATCGCAACTGCTGAACGATAGCACGATCGATGCGCAACGTCGTCAATCAATGGTGAACTTTGTCAATCGAGTCGGTTTCACTGCGCTTCACTACTGTTCAATGACAATGATGATGGAGCGTGACAAACGTCTAACGGAGAACCACAGCTACCTCACAAAGAAAATACACTTTCCTGGACGTGTCAAGAAACTTGATGATCCATCGCTGGTTCGTGCTGATGCCGGTCTGAAAACTCTGGAGATTGTAGAGCTACTGCTGAATGCCGGCGCCGATGTGAATATCCTCACTCCGACCAATGTCGATGCGTTCGGTATCGCCGCAGAGACAGGACTGCTGCCGCTGTGCAAGCGACTGGCGGCTGCCGGCGCCGACTTGGAGCGGCCAAACGTCGAAGGTGACACTCCTCTGATGACGGCGATTGCCAACCAGAATACAGAGGTTGTAGAATTTCTAATTGGCAGTGGTGTCAATATTGAGTATGTCAATGAGAGGAACGACGAGACTGCATATCAACGCGCCGGATTCTACACTTTTCTGCCAGTGTTGAAACTGCTGATTGCAGCGGGTGCAAAGGATCGCGACGTTTCCAACACTGCACTTCACTCGACGGTCGCATCCAACAAGCTGGCTGCAACCAAACTGATCCTGCAACACCAACCGGAAGCTATCAACTTCCGTGATGTTGGTGGCGCTTCTCCTATTTTCTTGGCGGCGCAATCGTCGTTTAGCGAAGTGTTGGCGTATTTGTTGGAACAAGGCGCGAGAATCGACTATACAGTTCCGGGAACCGGTGATAATTTAGGTCATGTTTTGGCATTCTCTGGAAAAGTAGGTGATATGAAAGTATTGCAATCCGCCGGAATCAATGTGAAGACGACCAATCTCTCGGGTGAGACGCCACTTCATGAAGCGGCAAGAGGTGGCAATTCAGAGATGATTCGATACTTGGTGAAGGAATGTGGATTGGATGTAAATATGCAGAACAATAGCGGAGAGACACCACTAACGCTATCGGTACGTCAAAGAAAACTTGGTGGCACACGTGAGCTCCTGGAGCTTGGCGCCAACGCAAATCACCCGACACCAGATCAACGATACCCAATACACAACGCAGCTGAAATTGGACTTCCAAAAATGATTTCACTACTCATCGAGCATGGTGCAGATATCAATGTTCAAAATTCATTCGGTCAAACTCCACTTGTTCTTGCCATCGAAAGAAAGAACAAAACCTGTCAAGATATTTTACTTTCCATCACCAGACAATCAATTGGATCATGAAATTAATAAACAATTTTATATTAATATATATATGGTAACAATTGAAGAACTTAAAAGTAACTTTATTAATTTAGTTTAGTTTATCTTTACTTTTCCAACTTGATTCAATTGAAAAGATCAAAATCCTCATCAACATTATTGTTGTTGTTTTCTGAGTTATCGATTTCTGAGCGAATTAGATTCCAATCGGTGTCGGTTGCATATGGTTTGCCTTCGAGGAGCGGTTCCAAAGTGATGTATGGAAGTTGTGAAATTGCACGGCGACAAATGGATGCTACTTTCTCGTGGCTTTGGATGAACATCGATGGTGAGTAGTTGACCTCTAGCAAATAGGGTTTGTCATCACGATCGAATATGAAATCCAATCCAAGCAGTGTGAATCCAGAGTGTTTCAAAAAATTGAGTCTCGACCAAAACGGTTTGAAGACATCCAGTACTGCACCCTCCAACTCTTTGAATCGACTGCCATCTCTATCCCACTCGCTCAACGGCATTATATTATCAAACTCTGGATTCAAAGACAGCTGATAACAGAAATTCGTAAACTGTTGTTGCTTATCCAAACTACCATCTTTATATTTTGTATTTGTACATCTAATTACACCTTCCTAATGTAGATAGATAGATAGATAATTATTATTAGTATTAAAAAGTTAACAACAAAAACAACAACAATATTTATAATCGTTATTATTATTATTACTTACATTGAACATATATAATCTTTTTGAAGTTGCTGTGAATACGAATAAAACATTGATTCTTACATCGAATTTAAAGTTGTTGATTAACGATGGTATGATTTCTCTTTGTAGAATATAACGTTTCTTTGGATTACAATGTGCAAGTGCATCGTCGATAGAATTGAATAGTTCAATTCCTTGTGATTTATTTAATAATGGATCTTTTAAAAACCACACTAAATCAATGTGATAATATATTGAAGTAAAGTTTGTTAGTTAGTTATCCTATATATATATAGTGTTTCTTTTTTTACCTTTATCTTTTTCTAATTTTGCTTTCTCAATATCGATTTGATAGGCATCTATGATTTGTGAGCGTTCGATCAATATACATGGAACCAAGTAATTTGAATTCATTAGGTTTCTCGTTAGGTTGAATTTATCTGTCAGCAATTGATATCCACTGATTGCATTCCTAATGATGGCATACGAAGATATCCTTCTCGGTATGAATCCAGTGGTCGACTCTGTCACTTTACTGTAGGATCCCGATGGTAATAATAATGAATCGCCACCTTCATTTTCATTATCATTATCTATTGTGATGATTGGTGATGTTACATCCTCCAAAGGTGTAGTGGGAGTAGTATCTTGTTGTTGTTGGTTTTGACCTTGTTCCAATTCCAATTGATATCTTTCTCTCTCGGCATCATCTCTTCCTTTTCTGATGAATGTGTAACCTCTGTTGTATTCGATAGTTAGGTTTGTCAAGACAAGTGGTACATCAACATCATCACTAACTTCACTATTGTTTTCGTTGGCTAACTTTAATGTATCTTGTAGAGTTTCGCCAACAGGTGCAGTCTGAGAGGTGACACGACGCCACTTACTATTCTTACTTAGATATAGGTCATCTAGCAATCTATAATAAGTTAATCTACTCTGAATATCATAACCATATACCATTTGATCGATCAAATAAAACCAAATTTAAATAAATATGTAATTATGTAAGTGTGTAAAAAAACATTAAAAATGATCATCTTGCTTTCATTTTTTTTACCCACTTAAGATTTTTTTTTAAAAAGGAAATTATGCAAACATTTTCTATGAACCATTATAAAAAAACACAAATAATTTTTTTTAATTTATTTTGAAATATTTTTTTGAATTTGTATTTTTTTTTTTTTTTATTGTGTGTGGTGATCATCAACATAAAATACACAAATTAAATTAATTGTTTATTTTCTTTATAATACAGTAATCATTCATATTTTAAACATATCACAGATAATATTCTATTCTTCAGTTTATTTAGACTATTTTTATTTTCGCAAATACATTTCAATTAAATCAATTACGTTATTAGTTTTATTTATTTTTTAGTTTTGAAAAACAAACAATAAAATGTCATTTACACCACCCATTCAATCACACACACCAAAGCTGTCATCTGGTCTCAGAACCTCTAGTTCTGGCTTGTTGATGGAAAAGAGAAGACAAGAACAAGAGTATGTTAAAATCTAATCTACATGATAAATCTTTAAAAGATTTACTTGGACCTTTCAAAACATTTTGCAAATTGCTCAAATAGAATTGTATATTCACTCATAAAAACCAATCATATCATTAATCCATATTTAAATACTCCACCAATTAAATATTACATCATTTAATCATTTTATTTTGCAATTAATTAATTTTATCTATCTTCATTTAAAAGAAAAAAAAAAATCTTTATCTTCAAACAATATTTAATTGACAATCAAATTTAGCTGTCAAAAAAAAAAAAAAAAAAACAAATTAATTTGTTTACAAAAGGTGGTGATGTCATGAATATTAAGCTGAAGTACCCCCCAAATTTTTTTTAAAAAAACAAACCCCAAAATCAAATATCAACACCAAACACACCTTCAAGATTTAAACATTTACAATTTTTTTAATTTAAAAAAAAATGTTTATGTCATTTGACTTTAAATGGTCATAATATAATATATAACAGTAACCTTTTAAAACAAAAAACAATATATATCATTAATTAAACACACACATATAACACATATATTAATTCATTACTATTTTAAAAGTAAAAATACAATGAAAAGTATACTTTAATTACAGACTTATAATTTCACTATTTACTTTTTTATTTATTTATTTATTTTAAATATTAAATCAATAGAAGAATCAACAACCAATATACAAATCAAATATATATTTATATAAATATTCCAACACACAAGATTATTGTATTTTAAATATTTCAATATTTTTCCATTTTACTTTTACATATTTTATATCCATTGTAATAATATTTTATATTCATTGTACAATTATCAGAATCTTTTTTTTCTACTCTTATCATTACATCATATATATTTATTAATTTAATTTTCAAATTTAAAATATATTATTTATTTATTTATTTATTTATTTATTTATATTATATTAATAAATGGATTATATTAGTAAACAAGAAACCGATACTTTAGCCGAAGAAAAGAAGTCACCATCAACCAAATTCGATCAATTATCATTGAGTATGTATTAAATCAATCATCATAGTAATAATCATTCTTATGAAATCTAATTTCATTGTTAACCAATTTAAATTATTTTACTTTTTTTTTTTTTATCAATCCAGATGATTTATCAAATCCACCAACTGATGAAGAACTTAGAAGATATAAGGATTTACCATCATCCTTACTCCCACCTATCCACAAACGTGAGATGTTAAAGAGAATCTATGTCAATCGTGATCTAAAGTTGGACAGAATCGAATTCTTTGGTTGTAAGTATTAATAATACTTTATTTACTACCTGTTAAAGTTATTAATTTCAAAAAAAATAATTACTTTATTTTCAGTCGATATGGATTATACAATTGCAGTATACAATTCACCGGATTTCGAAGAGTTGGCATATGACATGGTTATCGACCGTTTGATTGCACTCGGTTATCCAAAGTCCATCAAAAAGTTGAAATACGATCCATCGTTCCCAATTCGTGGTTTGTTCTTGGACAAGGAGCTCGGTAATCTACTAAAGATCGACAGTTTCGGTAATATTATTCTCTGTGTCCACGGTAGACGTACACTCTCCTCGAAGGAATCGACCGATATGTACCCAAGCATGAGAGTGCCAAGCGACGATATCGGTAAGCGTTTCTACCTGTTGAACACCTTGTTCACCTTGCCAGAGGCTTGTTTGTACAGTGATCTCGTTGAGCATCTGGAGAAGGAGAGCAACTTGAAGCTCACCGAGGAGGTTGCCGACGAGCAACAACAACAAAACTCACCACCTCTGACCAGCTTGCACCAAAACACCGAGGGTAACATGGCAATCGAGGGTGACGTCTCCTACACCAATTTGTTCCAAGATGTTCGTGAAGCAATGGATCTAGTTCATAACGACGGTAGTTTGAAAACCAAGGTATTGGATGATATGCCAAGGTAAGAAACAGCAAGCAAGACAAACAATAATAACAATTCTTTACAAAACTAACATATTTTCTACTATTTTATTCTAGATATATCAAAAAAACTAATCCATCTGTTCTTTTCGATAGAATGAGACAAAATGGAAATAAAGTATTCCTTTTAACAAATAGTGAATATTATTATACCAACAATGTTATGTCTTATCTTTTAAATGATGCAAATCCAAATTATAAATCATGGAGAGATTATTTCGGTATGTTTAAGAAAAGAAGGGAGGGAAACTCTGTTACTTTTTTTTTTAAAAAAATATTAATATTAACAACTTTACTTTGTTTCGATATTGTTTAGATTTAATCATTGTAGGTGCTGATAAACCAAGATTCTTCTCTGAAGGTACAACCATTAGAGAGGTTGACATTAGCACTGGTAACCTGATGATCACAAAGGTCAAGGATAGATTCGAACAAGGAAAGGTATACCATGGTGGTTCCCTCTCTTTGGTTCAAAAGTTGATTGGTGCCAAAGGTAGCCGTGTTCTATACACTGGTGACCACATCTTTGCCGATATCATCAAGTCAAAGAAAACTCACGGTTGGAGAAATCTTTTGGTCGTCCCAGAGCTTCAACATGAATTACAAGTAATCGTAAGTTTTTAAATTTTATTTTTGTAAATCAATAATTGGCCAACCAACTAATATACATATTATTAATTCCGATCACTATTAGAATGAAGAAAAGAATACAATGATTCATTTGTTGAATTTGGAATTCATTCGTGCTGAAATCTATAGAGGATTGGACTCTGAGAGTACAACACCACCTGATATTACCGTTTTGCACAACCATATCAAGGAAGCCAGAGACAAGTTGAATAGCTCTTACAACAAATACTTTGGTAGTCTATTCAAAACCGGTTCACACGCTTCCTTCTTCTCGATGCAAGTCCAAAGATACGCAGATCTCTACACCAGTGACTATCTCAATTTACTAAACTATCCATTGTTCTACAACTTCTGTGCCAACGTCAACGCCATGCCACACGAAAATCTTGGTGGTGCACAATCTATCGATAAGATGTCAAATTAAACATTAAAAAAAAAAACAGAAAAAAAAATATTAAATAAACTTCTTGTACTTATTTCTTTATCATCATAAATAATAATAATATTCATTTTATTCTTAAAGATAATAAAAAGAAATAAATATTAGAAAGAATAATCATTTTTAAATCTAAAAAAGTTTAAAGTTTACTTTTTATTAAAAATACAACACTATATTATTATTAATATTATTATTATTACAATCGATTTAATTTGTTACAACTAATGTATTATTTCTATTCTCTATAATTGATGAATTGGTTATTATTGGTGTTATCTTTCTATGACCTTGATTACTTTTAAACAATGACTTAAAGTTGCCCAATATTGAGTGATTCGATTTAGAAATGATAGAGGATTTAGGTGTAGCATTGAATTTGTCTATCAACACAGTTTGAGGTGTTGGAAACCAATAGTAACCATTTTTTTGGACATTACCACAACCCAAAGTCGACATTGAGTTTGCATTGTAAAATTCATTCATCAGTATGATGTCACTCTTTTTTAATTCATAATCTTTAGAGTTGACTACTGATCTTGCATATATATGATCAAATAAAATTGATCTAAACTATATCAAATAAAAATTGAATGTTAAAAATTTAGATTAAAAAATATTATAGTTGATTTTTTTTGTTCTTGTACTACTTACTTGTTTTTTATTAAAATAACTATGTGGAGAAACGGTAAAATATAAATTCTCTGAACCTTCCTCTGAAATAATTGGTGGACGTCCATCAGTACAAAATCTATCAAAACCAATATATAAATCTACAGAATCAACTGGAACACCATAATATTGTTCAATCAATTCATTTTTACTTGGCACTAAAAAAACAAATATAGAATTAGTATAAAAATATATCTTTAAGAAATAAACTTATTGAACTTACACTTATTGTGAATTTGAAAATAATCTATTGAAAGCTTAGAAATAATTTCTGTTGTAGATGTTATATTGGTACCAAATAATAAAAGATGATTTGTACAATGTTTGGTTTTTGACATCAGCGATTCCATTAGATTCTCCAATTCTTCATCGTTACCTATTCTACAAAACTCTCTCCATTCTCCATAGAAAACTATTCTTATTCCAAGTGAAAGAAATATATCCATCAGTCTGCTATCGGTAATCAGACAATTGAGTCCCCATAAATATTTAATAAATTTCGGATAGTATTCAGGACCACGTTTTCCAAGTGTTGGGAACCACATTGGATAAATTACTGTATGAATACCATGTTTCATCATCATTATTGTTAGATCGATCATTTTCTTAAACGATTTTGAAGAATAATCATTCCAATTTATTTCGATTAAACTATCATCAGTTCCTTTATCTATTTGTTTTTATTTAATAATAAATTAATAAAATAAAAAATTATAATAGTTGAAAAAATACTTACTTTTATTTATTTCATTTATTAAATGACTTCTTCTAGTTCCATCATAAGCGAAAACCAATGTTTTTGTCTTGGATGTTCTTACAATTTCTGAAATTTCTATCTTTGATTTATTTAGAAAGTTCATTTTACAAGATTTCAAAATTGTAGAAATAATAATAAGTGTGCTTATACAATCTATTCGATATAGATAATAATATTTTGTTTGAATTATAAAAATCCAAAAGAAAAAAATATTTGTAATTTTTTTTTAATATACAAATTGGATATTATTGATTGATTTTGATATTTGAGATGGACGATTTAGAAAAAAACATGAGTTACAAAACAAAAAAAAAAAAAAAAACAAATTAATAAAACAACCATGCAAATCAATTAATCAATTTCAATCGATTCAATTAATTAGTTTTTATATTAATTATCTTGACATCCAAAAAAAAAAACAAAAAAAAAAAGTCTAAATTTAAATTTAGAAAAAAAAAAAAACAATTTTTAAATGAGATGGGTTGATGAACAACCAGGTGCCTTTTAATAAACAAAAAGAAAAATAACATCAACAGAGTGGGTGATGTGTGATGATTTTATGTCCTGTCCTTAAAGATCTTTTAAGATCAATAGTGCTACAAGGTTACACATCACCCATTTTAAAAACGATCTGTTCCTTTCTAAAGATATTCAATTGAACTAAAAAAAAACGACCTTTTTAGTTCAAGTGTTTGGAGAGATTATTTTCACAAAAAAACCAGCATTAATATTAATTTAAAGGTACAATTAGGATTAATAAAGATATCATAACATAACTGTTTATTTTTATGTAAAATGGATTTTAACTATATCTAATCTATCAAATTTTGGGTAGAATAGAAATGAGGGAACTAAAGAGATGAACTTGAAAACCATCAATCTTATATTATTAATAAAAACGAAAACAGTGGGTTGATGTTATATTTTATATTTCCTTTTTTAAACTTTTACTAGTTTTGTAACTAAATCTAAAATTACCTTTAAAATTTTAAAAATTGATAGTTTAATGTCGTTATAGATTCGGTAGACTGGGAAATCAAAATATTATATGATTGGAGCCATTTTTTTAAATATTTATTATAAAATTCTCTTGTTTATCAAAATCATAAAATTAAAAGCAAGATTTCTTTAAAAAAAATTGTTTTTTAAAAGTTGTTTATTGAAGAATATTATTTTTTTTAAGAATCTAATCTGATTATAATGACAAAGACATAGATCAATATTTGTACTTAATATTTAGAATTTCTGTTTTAAAAAATTAATTTGTAAATAAAGTTTAAATTTTAATTTCTATAGAGGTAAAATAAAATAGTTTTTTCTTACCAAATATATTCAAACTTCATGTTAATTAAGATTGATAGTTAAATTAACAATTATTCACTTTTTTATTTAGAATTTGATATGATGATATTTTAGGGAAAAGAAGATAAAAATATGTAAAAAAAATTATTTATTTATTTTTAGTAAATTATGTCATCTGTCTATAATAATGTTTTTTTTTTGAATGAAAAACAACTATAAATACAATGAAATTTTAAAAACTCATTCAATTCATTATCTTCATAAGAATTTAAAATAATATATAATTATGACTATATTGGGTTAGTATTATTTGTTTATATATTAATATTATTTCTTTGATACTAATATTTTTTTTCATTTTTCATCCAAATAGAGAATCTCAATAAAATAGGGCATCCACTTGAAAGTATGACTTCTTCAAGTGTAGGATCATCTTTTGGTTCTGATTCAACCGAATCTGTCAATGGTACTGCTGATTCTGATTGGAGAGGTGGTGGCAATTGGAGAGGTAGTGGCGGTGGTGGAAACTGGAGAGGTGGTGGTGGAAATTGGAATGGTGGTGGAGGTAATTGGAGAGGTGGTGGCGGAGGTGGTCACTGGAGAGGTGGTGGCGGTGGTGGAAACTGGTGGTAAAACTATTTCCAAAAACCCCAATCAAACGTTATCCTTTTTGTAAATTCCAAAAATTTCAAAAGGATCACCTTAATTGATTTCTATCTGAAAAACAATTGATATAAAATAAAAATTATCTCTTTATTTTGATAAAAAAAAAAAAATGATTAATATATATCAGTGTTTCAAACAAGTTTTTGTGAAAATAAATGTTCTTAAAAAAACAAATAATACTATAGTATTTTCAAGAAAATATTTTAAATAATCGAAAATCATATATGTTTTATTTGAATATCAATAAATTATTTAAATAATCTGATTACTTAATTAATATAATATATATAAATATTTTATATTTTAAAAAGTTAGTAGTATGAAGTGTTGATATGAATAACTATCAACCTAAGCTGTTAGTGGGTTGATTCTTTGTCAGACCTAAGTGGTAATTTTTTTTTTTTTTTGAACATCAAATTCTTACTAAAAAAGGTAAAAAGTTTTTTTTTCAAAAGATATTGTTTTTTTTTGTTTTTTTAAATCTACAGTTAATAAGCAATACAGTTAAATTGATATCCAATGGACTCAATTTTAAACTTTGAAAATGATATAGATGTGACATTGTTAGATAGGATGATCGATAGTCAGAATGTAAGTTACTATATAGTATTTGTTTGAATGGTATTTATGTTAACTTTGTTATTTTATAATGAATTAAAGGATCCAAAAGTTGGAGTTGTTCTTAATCAGTTCTTAAATCACCAATTGTCATGGACGAGAATCAATAGTATCCTAAGTAGATCGAACAATGAGAGAACCAAGTATTTCGCATTGAGTATACTGGAGCAAGTCATTAGAAAGCAATGGAAGAATCTACAACCAGAACAAAGACATCCGATATTGAATCAATTACTTTGTATTGTTAATTTTATACCGCAACAACAACAACAACAGCAACAAGCAAGTCAACAACCATCGAATCTACTGCGAAAAAAGAGTAATTCACTCATTGCTCAATGTCTAGTGTATGAGTATCCCAATTGGAATCAGTTCATTACGATTATCGTCGGTGCATCGTCCACTCCCCATCTAATGGAGTCGGTCATACAGATATTCAGAGAGTTGGCATTGTCCTATAAGCGATTCTTCAATAACAATCTCGGTGGTTTGACGCCTGCCCAGTTGCAATCACAGCACGCACTCTTCAACGATACCTTCCTAAAGTGTAGATCCGTCGTTGAATCGACAAACACTTCCAACAGCAATGCCAGTTCCAATACGCTGGTCAACGAATCGCTGAATGCATTGAAAGAGCAGATGGAACTGGTAGACAGATCTATCCTACTGCAATCATTCAATCTAATCATTGAGAGAATGATATCTATGCCTGTCTATCGTGGAACCTGTATATTGCTATTAATTGAATTCATTCAAGTCATTGGTGGATCTACATCAACAACAACAACAACAACAACAACAGCAAATGAACAATTAGTTATATTTGAAACGATTATTAAATCATTGACAAGATTCATACCATCTACATTCAAAGAGATCAACCAATTCTTTGTAAACAATGGTATATTGTGCACTAATATAGTCACTCTTTTAACGACACTGTACAAATTATATAATCCTATAGTTATGCAATCATTCTCAGCACTTAAAGATACTATCTTGCTCGGTAATAGACATATAGTATTACTAGGTTGGATAAACGATACTGCAATATCACAGGCATGTCTTGAATATTGGAAGTTTATGGTATGTATCTACTACAATCTTTTATAAACTAAACTTATAGTTCTATATTAATTGTTGTTTTTGTTAGTTTGATAATTTGCGAGATTTACAATCAAAGGAAATGTCAGATAGTATCGGTCAACTAATAGAACCAATATCAAGAGTTATCTATAAGATATTGAAGAATCAAGATGTAGAGTTGATAGAATCAAGAGAGCTAGGTCCAGAAGCTGGTATTCTCTTTAAGAACACTAATGATTCCACAGATGAACAGTGGCAACCAATTTCAACATTACTATACGATGCACTCTACTCTATATCGACGATCTATTCATCACATCTACTTAAACTTTATTTCGATAAATTACTAAAGTTTTTATCTGTAAGTTGGATATTATTATTATTATTAATGTTATTATTACTTTGATTTTAACTTATCTAACATACTTTTCTGCTTTATTATTTCGTTTTAAAACTAAAAGAAACAAGATCTATTTGTACCAAGTAAATTTAGTTCAATCGTATGGTGTCTCGGTGTTTGTTTGGAGAGAATGCAAATCTATTCGGATATCGATAATCTGTTGTCTTTGTTATACAAATCAAAAGACTCAATCTCTGTTGAATATAGCAATTTAGTTGCAATTGCTATTTTGTATATCATTAGACACTCACAACAGTATCTACAGTGTAAAGATGTAAAGATGGCACCAATATTAGAGTTAATATTAAACTTTATCAAGACAGAGTCTGAAAAGACACAATCACTCTCTGAAATGAGTTGTCTTACTTTACTCTCGGTATTTCAACAACGCGCAAGTCAAATAGTAGCAGAGTATATGAATATACATATTACATTGAATGAAATAGTACAACAACCAAATATATCAAAACAAAATGTATGTAATAACAATGCAATATTATTATTAATAATAATCTTATTTTTTATAAATTACATTAATTAATGGTTGGTTTCGCTTCTATAGAAATTAATATTATATGAATGTATAGGAACTTATTTCAATCTATTCCAACAATCGAATGTAAATGCTAGTATTCCACCTTCATTTGTAACGTTAGTTACAGATGTATTAAATAGAATGGTAATATTTATAGTAGATAGATAGATACAAACCTTCAATTTATCGTTATTAATTATTATTATATTATTATAGCTTGGATCAAAGAGAATAGAAACAGATGGTATTGTTAATTGGATATTAAACATCAGTACTGTACTTCAATACAATAGTAGTTTAGCAAAGTCATCTAAATCAGCATACTCTACACAATTCAATAGTATTATTCAGAGTTTAATAGAGTTATACAAATGGTCAAATCAATGTAAATATATATATATTAAATGATTAAACAATAGCTACTTGATTAATGGTTATTATATTTATTAACTATGTTTTGTTCTTTTGAATTACTACAGTAAACAATGATGTATCATATCAGAATCATCAGATAACAATTAAAAAGTCTGTTCTCGATTTGTTGGAGGTATACATTCCCAGTATGACCGATGACCAATTGCTTCACAAGTTGGTACCGTTGCTCGCTGTGATGCTAGAGGACAGTAGAATCAACCAATCCAGTCAGCAACAATTCATTCCTAAAGGTCTACAGTTTTTGAGTGTACTTTGTGGTAGTCACGCCTCGTTGCTCTCACAGAAACCCGATATTACACTCTACGTCTTGAAATACTTTATGATACCGGCATTCGCTATTTGTGCCGGTCAGAGTGCTCATTCATCTTCGTCGTCTACACACACCGTTCATCTCAGACTGTACGACTTGATGAGCACCATTGCAACGTCGCCGATCTTGATGATCATCGATCCCGAGACGCTTTCAAACTATTTCAAAATGATTGAACACTCACTGGCCAACACGAGCAGCGATGTACATTCATCGGCAATGCAAGCACTCCTAAAGTACTACGACTCAGCAACACAACAACATTTTACACCGGGTGCGAAATCACTCAGTCCCAAAGCAGGCAGTGCTCAACTTATACTCAGTGTTCCAGTCAAGAATATATTCATCGCTGTACTTTTGAATTTATTATTAAATCCAGAATATAATTCATGTAAGTTAAATAACTACTTTGTTATAACAAATATACATATATAAACTTATTAATTTATTAATTTATTAATTTATTAACTTATTATTATTATAGCATTAGATTTAATCTCACAATGTATATATAAATTAGTGTTATTGTCTAGAGGTGATGGTATTGAAGTTACTCAAGCATTAAGACAAAGACTAACACCTGAACTCAATAGTTTATTCCGCCAACTCGCTTATCAATACGATTTCGATCAATTCGATTCTATCTTGAAGAACTTCACTAGAAAATAATAAATATCACTTATTTTAATTTTTTAATAATAATAATGTAAATTATCAACTGCAACAATCATATAATAATTATTTATATAATAATATTTCTGAATCATTTTTTTTGAATTATTACTTTGAACTGACACAACCACACTTGATTTATTTATTAAAAATAAAAAATTCATCCAACAGATAATAATTGATGTAATGAACTTATTTTTATAATTTGATTCATCTAAATAAAATTAAAAATAAGATATTATATTATTATTAATAAATATACAAACTAAAATGATATTCCATGAAGATATTTATTTATTATGTGATTCAGATATGATTGATTGAACAAAAATAAAAAACTATTAACAATTTCAAAGAATATCTTAAAATAAAGTAGAAACAATGAACTACTTTTTTTTCTAAAGTATAAATACAAGATTCTAAACATGTTAATCATTCATCAAAAAACAATTAACAAAAACAAAAAAAAACAATGTTTAAAATTTTTTTATTCTTAATATTATCAATTTCTTCTCTATCCCAAGCAGTTCCCTTCGGTCAGGTATTCAATGGAATTGCTTCTTTTTATAATAATCCAGGTCTTGGTTCATGTGTATGTAATATAAATTAATAATTTTATTTTATTAAATACTGATTTAATATTAATTCATTAAAAAAATAAATAAAAAGGGTTCTCAAATTGATGCAGGTACTGAAATGTTGGTTGCTGCACCAGCTGCTCATTGGACATCTGGAAACCCAAACAGCGACCCACTCTGTACTGAAAATGTCTACATTAAAGTTACTTATAATGGCAATGTTATCACTGTACCGGTCAAGGACAAATGTCCATCATGTCCACCAAATAAAATTGATCTTTCCAAACCTGCATTTGCTCAACTTGCAAACCTTGACGTAGGAATCATTCAAATCACATGGGAGTATGTTCGTGGCTCTGGTCCATCATCTAGCACTCCAAGCTCCTCTGGCTCTCCTCCAATTGGTAGTGGTTCATCATCGGGTGGTAATGGCCAAACTGTTACAGTTGTTGGTGGTGATACTTGTTATGCAATCTGGACAACAAAATGTGGTCATAATTGGGATCAGTCTGCTTTCAGTCAAGCTAATCCAAGTGTTAACTGTGCATCTCTTCAAATTGGACAACAAATAAGTTGTGGTGGAAGCGGTGATAGTGGAAGTTCATCAAGTGGAACAACTGTTGTAGGTGGAACTTCTTCATCTAGTGGTAGTGGTCAAACAATCACAGTTGTTGGTGGTGATACTTGTTATGCAATCTGGACAACAAAATGTGGTCACAGTTGGGATCAGTCTGCCTTTAGCCAAAGTAACCCAGGAGTTAACTGTGCATCTCTTCAAATTGGACAACAAGTAAGTTGCGGTGGAAGTGGAGGTGGTTCTCCTTCCCCAAACTCAATCGGTGGAACTTCATCATCTAGTGGTAGTGGTCAAACTGTTACAGTTGTTGGTGGTGATACTTGTTATGCAATCTGGACAACAAAATGTGGTCACAGTTGGGATCAGTCTGCCTTCAGTCAAGCTAATCCAGGTGTTAATTGTGCATCTCTTCAAATTGGTCAACAAGTTAAATGCGGTGGAGGCGGTAGTGGTGGATCTCCATCTTCAAACTCAATCGGTGGAACTTCATCATCTAGTGGTAGCGGTCAAACTGTTACAGTTGTTGGTGGTGATACTTGTTATGCAATCTGGACAACAAAATGTGGTCATAATTGGGATCAATCTGCTTTCAGTCAAGCTAATCCAAGTCTAAACTGTGCATCTCTTCAAATTGGACAACAAGTAAGCTGTGGTGGAAGTGGTGGAAGTGGTGTTCCTTCTTCCTCATCTTCCAATTCAATTGGTGGAACTTCTTCTTCGGGTGGTAGTGGTCAGACTGTCACAGTTGTTGGTGGTGATACTTGTTATGCAATCTGGACAACAAAGTGTGGTCATAATTGGGATCAATCTGCTTTCAGTCAAGCTAATCCAAGTCTAAACTGTGCTTCTCTTCAAATTGGTCAACGAGTAAGTTGCGGTGGAAGTGGAGGTAGCGGAGTTGCTAATCAAGGTGGTGCTGGTAGTCCATGGTCTAATTCTGGAATGTCTTCTTCATCATCATCATCATCTAGTGGATGTAGCAAGAACTTTTCAGCAGTACCAGGTGATACTTGTTATGGTATTTGGACAACTAAATGTAGTAACCCATGGATTGAATCTGCTTTCTTCTCAAAGAATGCTGGTATCAATTGCGCTGCACTCCAAGTCGGTCAACAAGTATGCTGTTAGTCTTAAATACTATTGTTCTTTCATTTTTAAATAAAAAATAAAATTGCAAAAAAAATAATGATCATCATTTTTTTTTTTTTTCCATAAAAAATATAAATCATCCTGGAAAAGATATTTAGAATAAGTAATAATGAAATAACAGTTACTATTATTTATTAGAAATATCAACTAGCGTATATAATATCGTTAAGAGTCTTGGCTGAATGGATGAATCCACCTTTGTGAAAATTAGATATTCCAATAAATGTAGACTGAAAGATTCGACGGAGCGAGAATTGATTGACGACCTCTATATTATAAATCTCCAATGGTAGGCATTCCAATATGTTTTCATCGAAAAATAGTAGATCTACTCTTATGTCAATTCTCCTTGAGGGTAGTTGCTGAATTTGCTGTTGGTCGGGTTGTAAGTTGTTAATGTTATTGTTGTGGTTGATGAAAATAGCTTTACGAATTTTAAGTTTTTCTAGAGTGATTGGTAGCATTTCTATGGAGAGTGTTTTTGGTTTGTTGCTGTGCCAACAGAGGATAAGTAGGTGAGCCGGGAGGAGACCTGGCCCCAGTGAATATGGATATCGTTTGAGATTCAAATGTACAATCGAGGTGGGTAGAATATTCGGTTGGATTTTGAGGGGTGTGATGTCAGAGTAAGTGAGCTTTTCCACACCGTACGGTATGGAGCCCGCTTGCAATGGCCGCTTGAAAGATGCCGTCTTCAGGTTGAGATGTTTTACACTGTTGGGAATTATTCCCGGCAGGATGCGATCGACGCAAAGACCAAACTTTAACTTTATTATACTGCTTGGAAGGAATCCCGGTTCAAGTTGATTGGCAATGTTAGTTTCCAGTTTAAGATGCTTGACACTCGACGGAATACTTCCTGGTACCAGTCGGAAGTTTGTCAACCCGCCAAAGTCAAGCTTGTCAATGGTCGAAGGAATCTTTCCTTTTCCAATAGTTTCGCCATTGAGATTGAATTTAGAGAATGAGATTTTACGAACGGTTGGTGGCACCAAATGGATGTGTTCGAATTGGAAATTCTGAAGTGTGGCTAGACGATGAAACTGGTTGAAATCGGGCAGCAGTTTGAAAGTGTTGATTTCACCAAACTCGATACACTCCAATGATTTTGGTAGATGCGAAAGATCTTGATTGCCCATGAGAAATAGAATGGTCAGAGTCTTGAGGCGCGACGGCAGCGAGCCCGACTCGAACGGCTTGTCGTATTCCGATAGCAGTTGCAGTGATTCCAACGACTCGGGGAGTACGTTGGGTTTGAAAAACTGATTGTTACGGTCGTCGATAGTGATCGATTGAAGTCCCTCGGGGAATAGACCGGGTTCCAATGTATCTTGTATCTTCACACTCAGCGTCAAACTCTTGAGTGAGTGTGGCAGACTGCCCGGTTCAATATACAACTCCTGTTCGGGTTCGAGCATACTAATCGACATCGAAGTAACATTGGTCTGTGAAAGATTAGGAATATATTTTATTGTTTTATCGAGTACCACCAACTGTCCTACATCTGGTGGTATTTCAATATTTGGATTTCCATCTAAAAAATAAAAATTGACCAATTTTTTTTCTAATTTAATAAAAGATGTAAATTAACTGCAAAGTAAGTAAGTAATACATACCCATATATGTACTGTAATCAAAATATTCGGAATATACACAACCTTTTATATTTTTCAATTTCATCCTACAAGCACAATTGAATTTTCTCAGTTCGTAAGTACGGTCAAAGATGTTCCTGTAGGATGGCCAATGGTGGAAATTAATTCGATTGGCGCGAACGACATTGTAATCAAAGATCAGGTAGCGATCACGATCATTGAACAGCTTTTTACACGTCAGACTGAAGCATATGCAATCTAGTGTTTTTATATCGTTCTTATAAGACAGAATATTCTTCAATATAATATATGATATATCTAATATAGAAGTTGTCATGATGAAGATGATGATTGTTTTTCTTGACGTGAATTGAGTAGCTTAGTTTAGCTTCGCTTATCTATGAGCTGATCTGAGGAGGTGAGGAGGCGAGGAGGGAGGTGTTTAGTTGTTTTGGTCGTGGTTAGGTCGTAGTGGTGATGTTGACTGTTGTTTGTTTTTTTAATGTTTGTATTATAATACAATCGAATGACTGACTAACTAACTATAACTAACTACTCTTTGTTATTTATATTTATAGGGGTGTTGCAACTACGACCAAAACAGACATTTTAAAAAATATTCAATTAATATGTGTTGTTCTGGTATTTGGTTGGTTGTCTATGAATAATAATTAATATGAATCAAATATATTGATTCTATGTTATATGAAAATAAAAGTATTGTGTATGTTTTTGATCGAAACTACTTGGTTTTTAGATCCATTAAAAATCGATTCGAAACAATTTTGTGGAGAGTTGAAAAAATGGGTTATGAAAAAAAAAAAAAAAAAGATTTTTATGTGTGTCTGTTGGTTGGGAAAAAGTCATTTAATTAATTTAGAATCGATATGGGTTGTAAAGTATATGAACTTTATTGGACTAGTCCTAGTTTAATTTAATTTTGATTAATTCAATCATTAATTATTTATTGTTTTTTAAACTGTTTTTTTTTCAATGTTTTTTTTTTTTGTTTTTTGATTTGTTTGTTTTTTTTTTTATAATGTTAGTATGAGTGCACCACCACACGCAACTCGTTGAGAATGATCATGTTTTAAAAATGGTTTCCATTTGTTGCTTGCTATGGTGTATCGATAGTTTCCAATATCTTTACCACCCATAAAGTAGATGAATGACTCATTCTTTGATTGATAGTAGATCATTGGGATTGCGGAATCGAAGCGCGCCGCCGGTGCCAAGTATTCAACGCTCTTGTTGGTGACGTTGAGCCGGATGAATCGCATATCCGTAGAGTGGATATAGATGTTTCCGTTGCCGTCGGTGCACGCCGCAAACGATCGTGTGAAAAGACGCTCAGATGAGAAGGTATCGAGCCGCTTGCTGACCGGATTGAATATATAGAGCTTCTGCTCGGTGGTAGGAACAGAGTAGAGCAGTCCTTCAAAGAAGAATGAGAGGACGTGATTCGATCCACTCGCTACGAAACTATAGTATTTCTCGAATTTGTGAGTGTTCAAGTTGAAACGATCGATTCGGTGGTGTCGAACGACTTGGTTGTTGACGTCGGTGCATCCGTTCACCAGATAGATGTGTGAGGAACCGTCGTAACAAACCGAGATGGATCGTCCACCTTCAACGCCACCGTCGATATCGGCTAGCATATCGAAACACATTAGATCGAGTGAGAATCTAGAGTATTGGTTGGTCGCTTTGTTCTGCTGGTTCGCTCCGCCAAAGATATAGATATGTCGATCTACTGCAACGAACGAGTTGTAAGTCATGAAGAGTTCCGATTCAGCATTGATAGGTATCATCGAGTTGTCAAGTAGCGAAATCAGCGAAACACCACGGTGTTGATGTCCTGAAAAGATATAGGTTTGTGTGATTGTCTTTTGAATCGATTGTTTTATAATCGAACTAAATTGTTTCTTATCAAATGGTTTAATGGTAAACCTATATTCATCAAACATCTGGCTTTGTTGCTGTTCTTGTCGAGCCACCGATTTAAATTGTAAGAAATGTTTATTCACCAATTCTAAAATGTTTGTCATTTCAAGTGGATCATCTACATTGCCATAAAAACCTCGAAGATTGTCATTATCGTTTTTAAACAATAAATTATTTTCGATGAACTCAACCATTGTATCGGATTGATTAATCGATTCAATTGTTGATTGAACTGTATTAATATAATTTATATCTTGTTGTTGTTGATGTTGATCTTCTTCTTCCTCCTCGCCAACTAAATGTTCATCTTTTTTAAGTTTGTTCATTTCTTGTTTATTGGAGGTGTTGATTATATTTACGAGAGACTTCATCTCATTGATTTGTTTGGGTATTTGTTGCTTGATGGTTTCAAGATCATGGGCAATGGGCTTCTTCAATCGATGTTCCTCGATCACCAGATATTCATGAAGCTCTCGGAAGTAAGAAGCTATTTCACTCTCTTTGAATTCCAATAGCTGATGTCTAGTAGCCAATGACTTTAGAGAAATCCATACATTCAACAGTTTTGAATTTATATCATATTGATCGGCGGTATTATTATTATTATCATCATCATCACTATTATTAATAGATCTTTTGCTACTGGATGATCTACTTAATAGATTATTTTTTATATTATTGATATGTTGAATGGTATGATTCCGATGTTCATTGAATCTATCGGTCAAACAAATAGTACAAAGCAATTGATTACATTGATAGCATATTATTTTACATTGTTTTTTATGTTCTGGACATCTTATTTCATTATTACTGTTGTTATTGATTGACATGATGTAAATACTAACAACAAAACTTTTAAAAATGATGTATAAACATGTAGGTTTAGCCCATAAAAATACTTGGTTTCAGATTATCCTGGTGATTATAATTTTGAGTGATTATTTTCGAAAACAAAAGTCTGCTCCTTTTTCGTCCGAAAAGTTTAACCTGTTGTTATTTATTTTTGTTGAGCATTTGTTCCCAGAAAAAAGAAAGTAGATCTAGTAGTTAATCGGATGTCAATATGTTAATATTTAATAAATTAAAAACAAAAAAATATGGAATGTGTGTTTTAGGAATGTGAAAAAACTATACTAATAAAATTTATAAACTTTTCACCTTGCTTAAATGGTTTGAGGATAATCATATTAAATATTGATTGGTTGGGTTGTCATATTTATTTCTTCCTCAAAAAGATATTTTTAAAAAAGAATAAATAAACTTTAATTGATTCATTGGTATTAAAACAATAATAATTTAGGTTTAAAATCTGTTAGATCTAAGAAAGAATTTATTGTGTAAAAAACAAAAAAAAAGTAAGGAGGTTGGGGAGATTTAATTATTAAATTATTATAAGTTTATGTTTTAAGTTTAGATTTTTTTTTGGTTTTTTTTTAAAAAGATTTATTTGTTCATGGCAGCAACGGCTTTGATGGCAGCATCGTCCAAATCAACGGCGGTGATGATGTTGAAACCACTGTCCTTCAAAATCTTTTGACCAATCTCAACGTTGGTTCCGGCCAAACGGACAACCAATGGGATCTTCAAGCCGATTTGTTGGCATGCAGAGACGACACCCTGTGCAATGATGTCACACTTCATGATACCACCGAAAATGTTGACCAAAATAGCCTTTACCTGTGGATCGGTTGTGATGATCTTGAATGCCTCTCTGACCTGGTCGGCAGTGGCACCACCACCGACATCCAAGAAATTGGCTGGTGTTCCCTTGTGTAATTTAATGATATCCATTGTGGCCATAGCAAGACCGGCACCGTTGACCAAACAACCGATGTTTCCATCCATACCGATGTAGTTCAATCCAAACTTGCTGGCGGCAACCTCACGTGGATCCTCCTCGGCAACATCACGCATGTCGAAAATCTGCTTCTGACGGAACGATGCGTTGTCGTCGAAATTGATCTTGGCGTCCATAGCGTAGATCTCACCGTTGGTTGTCTCGGCGAATGGGTTGACTTCGACTTGGGTGGCGTCCGACTTGATAAAGAGCTCGTAGAGATTCTCCATTTGCTTTTGGGCGACGGCAACTTTGTCACCGGTGAATCCAAGCTTCTTGGCAAGACGGAGAGTTTGCTCCGGTTGGACACCCTTCATGATATCGATTGGCTCCTTGAAGATCAACTCTGGAGTCTCTTCGGCGACCGCTTCAATGTCGACTCCACCCTTTGGCGAGGCGACCAACACTGGACCACCAGAGGCACGGTCCATCAAGATGGCAAAGTAGAGCTCACGCGATGGATCTACCGATTCGGCAATCATCACTTTCTGGACAAGAGTACCGTCTTTGGTGGTTTGCTTGGTAACCAAGTGCTTACCCAACATCTCAGCAGAGAGACGCTCGGCTTCCTGTGGGGTGGTGCACAACTGGACACCTCCCTTGAAACCGGTCTCGATGAAAGTTCCCTTTCCACGACCACCGGCATGTACTTGTGCCTTGATGACCAACTCCTTGGCATTCAATTCCTTGGCAGCCTTTTGGGCTTCCGAGGCATTGGAGATCACTCTCCACTTTTGAGTGTTGACACCATACTTGTCCATCAACATCTTTGATTGATATTCATGGAGATTCAAATGACGAACTTGTTGTTGTCCTGCACTGAATCTCAAGAAAGCCTAAAAAAAAAATGGTTATAAATAAATCATATACCAAAATTAGTATATATACATTGCATTGAAAAAAAAAAGTAAAAAAGAAATATCTTTTTTTGATTGTGTTTGTGTGTGTCTTTTCTTTTGTGTTATTTGTGTGTATAATTAGAAAACACACAAATAAGTAGCACTGATCATCAAAAAAAAAAAAAAAAGTAATTCACAATGCTAAATTTGATGACTTTGATTATTTATAGATATCTAAAACTAAATATAGTAATTTGATAAAATTATTCATATTTTGAATAGTTAATTAAAATATTTAATGATTATGGCTGTTGAGTTGATGAAGATCTTGAGTGGTAAATATGTGATGATGATGATGATGATCAATCATACAGAAGTTTGAGTAATTGGAATACGAGCTCTGTTTAATAAAGACATTTTAATATATCTATCCTATCTAATATATAAATAAATTAAATGATTATTAATATTAAAAAATAATAATAATGATTAAATTTCAAAGACAGTGAATTTTTTTGATCACTAAAAAAAATTTTGAAAATCAAATTAAAAATTTATAAAAAAAAAAAATCATTGTTCAACAGATTCGGTGTTCTTTAAATTGGGCATTGAATAATATCATCAAATTATTGCTTTAGAGATAACTTTTGGAAGATTTAATAATTTATTGTTACATTAATTATTACTAATACCAAAAAATATATATATATATAGTAAAAAATTTATCAGATTAATAATAATCTTGATTCAGGTCAGGTCTGCCTGTTGTTCTTGTTATTCCTTGTTTTATGTAAATTTATCAATCATTTATCATGCTTGACCAACTTTGGAATGAATAAGTGCAAAATACAACAACAAAAAAAAACAAAGATAAAAAAATTTTTGTTGGTCAAAAATCAATTTCTGTTGGTTTGTAATTATTATAATTGATTGAAAAGGCTAAAAAAAAAAAACACACACCACCAAACAAAAACTTAACAAAAAAAAAAAAACCTTAAATTTTTTAAATTATTGATTTCAAACAAAAAAAAAAAAACACTTTTCATTTCATTTCATACATATCCACCATCTTTATTTATTTGTATATCTTCAAAACAACACTGTTGTATTACAAGTGTTGTCTCATTCATTATCTTTAATCAAACTTTGACTAAAATCAAAAAACAAAAAGTTCACTCTCTTTTTTTTTTTCCTTTTTTAGTCATTTTTTAATTTTTGTAAATTATATATTTATTTGTAATAATAGAATAGAATAGATAAGATAAGTTAGGTTAGTTTCGTTAGTTTAGTTTAGTTTAGTTTAGTTTAGTTTAGTTTAGATAAAAGTAAAAATAAAAAGTGATGGCTTCAATTGTTTTTGATCAAAATTTGGGTGGTCAAGTCGATCAGTTTCTTGGAGATGTCGATGACCTCTTGACAGTGAAGACAGGCTCACCTGCTGAAAAGTTGATTCGTTTGTTGCAGTGTGAGGAGCGTCCGGTGCGTGAGAATGCGCTGGCATTCTTGGCGTTTGCCAATCAGGCACCGACCAACAAGGATGCATCGCGTGAGGCCGGCCTCATCCCGATTTTCATTCAGTTCATCAGTCCTTCTACGGTAGCCACTGCCGCCTCGATGGCCAAACACGCCGTTATGAGCTTGATGTTCCTCGCCAACCACTCTGACGTCAACAAAGAAGCGATTGCTGCGGTGGGCGGAGTCGACAATGTCTTTGAGTTGGTGCGTGAACTGCTGCCAGCACTCGCTGCACCGCCTGCCGGCGCGAAGCGCGACGACATCCAACAGGCGTTGTCACACTCGTTGAATCTTCTCATAATCTTGGCGTCGTCGGCACCGATTCGTGAGAAGATGGGAACGGTTGCCAATTTCCTGGTGCTCAACAGCCTGTTGACCTACGAGGATGCCGCCAACCAGGAGTCGCAGTTGTCCATCCAGGAGAAAGCGTTGTCCGCCGTCAACAACATCTGTATGCACAAGGACAACAAGGATAATGCACGTGTTGCCGGTACGATCGAGGCGGTGATCAAGCTGTTCCAATCGAAGAAAGCAACTCTTGTCGATAGTGCCGTTCGTATGATTTACAATATGACGATTGTCGATGCCAATCGTGAGGCATTGCGTCGTTGTGGTGGTCTCGAAGCGCTGGTCGGAATACTCAACCAACAGGACGCTATCAAGCTGATCGTATTGAAAGCACTCTCAAACATGGCGGTCGACCGTCAAACCATTGAATATGTAATCCAAAACAAAGATACCGTTCTCAAGCCAATCCTTGACTTGTTCCCACTGAACAACAACGAACCGGTATTCGATCAGGTTCTCACCGTCATTCAGAATCTCGTGTCGGAGGACAACCTCATCGAGGAGGTCTCCAAGAATGGAATCGTCGAAAAGATCATTCCATCAATCAAAGGAATGCCACTTCAAAACACATCACAACAATCCATTCTAATCAAATCTTCATGTATCATTTCAGCATTGGTGACAATTGGTAGGCTGCAGCTTAACTATTAATCATCAACTAAATCACAGAATACTAATCAATTATCTAATTTGTTATTTATTGTAGAGGATGTTCAACAAAGTGCAGTTGAAAATGGAATCGTTGATATATTGATCGATTTATTAAAGTATCCATCTGTTGATATTAGAAAAGAAGCAGCTCGTTCACTCGCCAATGCAACTCCATACTACGATGACGTCAGAGGTGAAGTAGGTAAATTAGGTGGTGTCGAATTAGCATTGGATCTCCTACTTTCAAACGATAAAGAAGTTGCTAAACAAGCTGCAAGAGCATTAGTTAATCTTGCACGTAACAGTAAGTATAATATTATTAAAATACTTAGATCACAAAATAACTAACCAACTAACCTAAACTATCTAATTAATAATTTATAGCTCATAATGAAGAAAAGATTTATGAAGCAAAAGGTATTGAACATTCAATTCGTTTGATTAATTCTGCGGAGAAGGATTTGAAGATGTTGGGTACAAAGTTGTTGGTCAATTTGTCGTTGAATGAGAAGGCAAGAATTTCATTCTGTCAAAAGGGTGGATTGTCTATTGTTCTCCAATTGTTGAGCTCACCCGACCAAGAGTTGCAATTACAAGGTACCAAGGTTGTTACCAATCTTGCTATTAGCGGTAGAAACCGTAAGTTGATGAATGAGAACGTACCAGAGTTGGTTCCAACCGTAAAGTCACTGCTCAACTCTAGCTCTGCCGAGATCAAAGCACAAGCAGATGTTGCTATCAGCAACATGTCTTTCCCTTACGAAAAGTCGTACGATGGTTTGGACTTTGGATTGGAGGAGCAATTCCCAACACTCTTGACACAGTCGCAATACGAGCACGAGGATGACGACGACGACGAAGACAAGGAGGAAGCACAAAAGGCACGTTTGATCGAGGAGGAAGAGTTACGATTGGCAGCAGAGACAGAAATTAACGAGCGTAAGAGAATCATGGAGGAGGAGATGAAGAGAATCGAGTTGAGAAGAAAACAAGAGGAGGAGAAACGTAAGCAAGAAGAGGAGGAGAAGCGTAAGCAAAAGGAGGAAGCCGAACGTGTTAGAAAGTTGGCTGAGGAGATGGAGCGTTTGCGTTTGGAGGAAGAGGAGAAACAGAGAAAGGCTGACGAGGAGAAGAGACGTGCCGATGCCGCTGCTGAAGCTGAGCGTTTGGAGAAGCTTTCCAAGGAGCAAGCCGAGCAGGAGAGAGCTGCCGCCGCCGCTGCCGCCGTTGAACTTGCTGCCAAGCTTGCCAAGGAGGAAGTAGAGCGTAAGAAGCGTGAGGAGGAAGAGCGTGTTCGTCGTGAAGAGGAAGAGCGTAAGAGACGTGCCGACGCAGAGATAGCTGAACAAATTCGTTTGGCCGAAGAGGAACGTCGTCGTAAGGAGCAAGAGGAGGAGGAAGAGCGTCGTCGTAAGGAGGAAGAGGAGTTCTTGAAGCGTATGGAACAAGAGATTAAGGATCGTGAGGAAGAGATCAAGAGAAAGAAGGAGGAGGAAGATGCCCGTCGTCGTCGTGAGGAAGAAGCTAAGCGCGCACAAGAAGCACAAGACAAGGCATCGCAAGAAGCTGCCAAGGCTGCACAGGAAGCTGCACGTGCCAACAAACGTACTCATATCGTTCAGGAGATTATGCACGTCGAAGCCAACTACGTTCGTAACTTGGGATTGATCGTTAAGAAGTTCTTGAATCCATTGGTTTCCGCTGCCGCTTCGAAGCGTCCAATCATCACTCAAGACAAAATCAAGGCGATCTTCTCGATCGTCGAAATCATCCATAATTTCAACTCGATGCTATCGGACAGTCTTCAGTCTCGTGTCAAACGTTGGTTGGCCGACAACAAGAAGGATGCACTCATTATCGGTGATATCTTTATAAAGACAACCGATTTCATGACCGTCTACAGTACCTATATTAACAACTACAACAACGCCATCAAGAATTACAACGAGTGTAAAAAGACCAATCCAGCATTTGCCCAATTCATCAAGAAGGTCGAGAACGATCCAGAGATGAACGATCAAGAGTTGGAGAATCTACTTATCAATCCCGTACAACAGCTGCCACGTTACGTAATGTTGTTGGCCGATTTGATAAAGAATACCAACGACGACCATCCCGATCACAAAGCATTGGTAGAGGCACTCGAGAAGATTCGTGCTGTGACCTCATACGTCAACGAGCGTAAGCGTGACGCAGAGGATGCCATGACAATGGTATCGATTCACCAGAATCTCCGTGGAAAGATCCCATCGAACTTCTTGGCACCACACCGTAAGTTTGTCAAGGAAGGAAACATCCAGTTTGGTTCTTCGTCCGGTTCCTTCAAGGACAAGGATCCAGCGGTGTTCCTCTTCACCGACATGCTGATGATGACAGCCAAACATCCAAACAAACCAAACGAATACAAATTCCGTTACAGTGTCATGTTGACTCACTCAACAGTGATCGAAGACTTTGCAAGAATCAACAATGGTTTCATCGTAAAGGCAGCTCAATGGTGGATGTTCTCATGCGCCACACCAACTGAGAAACAACAATGGATAGAATCACTCAACAAAGTCATTCAAGCATTACCAAAGAAATAATCAAATCAAATCAAATATAAATTTAAACTACAAAACAAAACAAACAATTACAACAACATTATTACAACAAACAAACTAACAAACAAAACTGTGTTATAGTAGTAAATAATAATAATAATTCTTTTTTAAAACATTTAAACATATAAATAAATCAAAAAATTGTATACAATAACAACATGTTATATTATAATATATCTTTATATAGTTTTGTTTATAAATCTTCTCTTTCTTCAAAATAGATTCCTTCCTAAAAATGAATGATGTTTGTTAGTATTGCTTCTACTGGTGTTTGAGATGTTGATATAATTATTTTAAACAATAAAACTTACTTCTACTTTCCATTTTCCATCGTCATTCTTTTTGGCGACACAAGATACTTCCAATTGACCTGGGATTGGATGTTGATATTTAGCGTTGGCGTTGGCAACCATGTATGCCTTGGTGTCGATGTGTTGTAATCTAAAGACTGAAGAACGATTCCACTCCTTAGAGTCGATCAATTCGACTTTCCAATTGTCACCGGTGTCACCCTCACCGTTCTCACCAAAACAGCTGACCTCGTTGTTCTTTGTCAGTGGCGAGACAGCGAGATGACTGTGCAAATTCTTTTTGGTGTTCAAGTGAATCAAACGAATGGTATCACCGTTCTTTACGATGGTTCCTTGTGGCTTGTATTCACCGTGGGCAGCCTTGATTGTCCATAGACTGTTGGTATCGTCGTTGTCAGGGAAACCGGTAACCGATTGTTGACCACTACCACCACCGGTATTACCGTACGATACTTTATGTGAATGTAATCTGAATTTAGTTGGTACGTGACCTAATTTAACAATACTACCATAGGTTACTTTGGTAACTTAAAATAGTTTAGTTAGATAGATAGGTAGTAGTTAGTTAGTTTTGTTCTTTTTTGTTTTGTTTTGCTGTTTCTACACTCAAAACAACAACAACAACATATTATGGAAATCAGTAATAACAGACAAGTACGTACTTGCATGATCTTCGTAGTCAGCAAATGCCAAATTTATAAAAATACAAGATAATAATAATGCTACCACCACAAATGATTTCATTGTTTTATATAACTAACTAAATTAATATAAATATAGATACACAATTAATTACTTCTGTCGACAATAAAATGAAATAGTTCTTTTAATTTTTTTGAAAAATTTTTAGGTTGATGACGCATCACCCTTCGTTTTTTTTTTTTTTTTCAAAATTTTTAATCAAAAGTTAGCTTTAGCGGTGAGACCAAAATGGAACAAATGCAATCAGTGCTGAAGATGCCATTATAAGGGCAGACTTATATTTATTCAGTGTGTGAAATTCAATGAGATGAAGAATAGTTAACTATTCCGAAAGGTTTAAACCAGTTAGATACCTCTTTGGTTTATCATTTTCGAAATCAATGAATACAGACTACTGAGTAATATATCATTAAGAGATTTTGCTTTATTAGACGTAGTGAATTATTTTGGACAGTAAAACCATATCGACGCCAAACGTATAATATATTTATACTCTCAGATGGTTTTCAAATTCACAAAAACTATTCATCGTTAGGAGTTTATATTACTTTCACTTATTATATCAATAGTATCGGTATGTATATAAGTAACTGATCGTTTGAACAGCACTTACGAAATACTTACAGTTCTTTAAATACTTTATTCCACTGTCACCATTAATAATTAAAATTTAGATTTAAGTAAGTTCTAACAAAGATAAACCTAAAAGATATCTCACACCAATGGGCTGAGGAGTGTGTTATAGTTACCATAAACACAATCTTCCATTCAAAGAAAAACTATATTTTAATAGATACCCCTATAAATTTATAAATCTCGCTGATATTCAACAATAAATTCAAATGCCACAAATTGCTCATCGACTTTCCCACACTGTATAAATATAGGTCTTGAAGTGATATCACTCAACTTAAATAATAATAATAATAAAGTTTATTGAATGAATTAAATTTATTTTATCAATTTAATTTGTTCTTTTATTGTATATATATTCATGGTCTCTCCCTAACTCTTTTGAGATAATAATATTATTTTATTTTTGTTATTTTTATTATGATCTATCTTATTCCATCAAACCCTTTTCAAAAATAAACAATCCACCCAATTATAATCATTTTCTGAAAAAAAAAATAGATATTAAATAATGATAGATAAATTACCTATTCATTTAAAGAAGAATATATTGTCGGATTTAGTTGATGATATTCAATCATCATTCAGTCATAGCACATGGAGCAATAGAATTCTGGATTTTGCGCTGGTCAATCATGACCTATTCAATACGGTTTCCAATATAATCAAATGTTGGTTCCACTCAGAAGATGGTTATGATCAAACACTCAGTACCAATATATGCTATATACCAAATGATTTACAGAAATCTAAGAAAACAACAATAACAACAGCAAATCAACCATACCGTTTGGTTAAAAATGAGAATATCATTACTTTGGAATCAAACTTACCGAAACCAATACTCCGATCGATCTATCCAAACTACCGGTACTTGGTGATACCCTATATAAGTGCTCTCAGTGTGAGTATTATTATGTTTGTCGAAACCAACGATAGTAGTATCGAAGGCTTGACAATAAAAACATTGTTTTTCGATAATAGCATATCACTAGATAATCAATTGCTTAAGTACTACCGAAACAATGAATACAATGTTAGATCAAGAGTTATCGTTGAGAGAATTCAAATCGATCAATCGATTCCGGCATTTGACTTTGCAGTTGCATTCAATCCAAAGAGTTATTCATTGAACCACTGTTTTTTGGAGTGCCTTCAGAAAACAAAGTCAACCAGTGCATGCAACAATACACAATCACTTGCAATAGTCGATGACGAACTTCATCCAGGCTTCTTTATTGATCTCCAACGATTTCCATCACTCAGATATCTAGCTTATGCAAAGTGTTTCCAAGATTTGCTAAAGAGTCATGTGATTAAACCGACGACAACAGCAACAACAAAAGATGGTCGCTCACTACTTAGACAATGGGAGTTGTTTATGGATCAATTAACATTACACCCAACACTTACCTCTCTAAAGATCTACGATTTGACACCGGACGATACCATTGAACAACTCAATCGGATCGACTGCAACAACAACAAGTTGCTCGATGATATTGTCGATCCGCTGCATCGGATGTTGAAAAACAAAAGTAATTTAAAAACACTGTTCTTGCATCAAATAAACGTTGTCGATAATCAGAGATTCAATCAAACATTATTTCACTCGATACTATTGAATAGCAGTATCACTACGATCAAGTTGTTCTTCTGGAAGGGTCTACCAGGCAACACTCTCGATCTACTCTTTGAGAGTTACACCGACTATCGACACCTTCGAAACATTCATATCATGTCGAGTGCCAAAGACCAAGGTCTATCGATACTCAAATTCATTGAATCGATACCGTCACTCGATTCATTTTACTTTGCAATTCCTTTTGACTTGGCAGCTAAACTATTCGAAACATTCAAACGTATTCACTCGATCCACAACAGCCACTACCCAAAAATAAGTGCGCTACCTAAATTCGTCAACCTCTGTGATTACCAAATCGATATTAAATTCAGACAACACAAACTTTACAACCAAAACTATCCAATTATATTCGAATCAATTTATGACCATATTGATTAAATTAAATAATTTGAAAAAAATTCACAAACTTTGAAGTGATGTCAGATCACTACACACTTCAATTTTTAAGTAACAAAACAACAAACACATTTGTAAAATAATAAATGATTCCATTAATTAAAGGTAGTTGTCATTGTAAGAATATAACATTTGAATTTGATTGGAATTCAGATGTAGATACAATAGCTGCGAGAGCATGTAGTTGTACTTTTTGTTTTAAGCATGGTGGTGTTTGGACATCAAGTGTAACCGGTAAACTCAATGTCAACGTAAAGGACAGAGAATTGCTAAAGCTATATAATTTCGGAACAAAGACAGCCGATTTCTATGTATGTAAAGAGTGTGGTATTGTACCATTGTCTTGTTGCACAATCGACGGTAATCTCTATGCAGTTGTCAATATCAACACTTTCGAAGGTATAGACCCAACTCTTATCACAGAGATACCCGTAACTCTCACCGAGGAAACAGAATCATCGAGATTAGCAAGAAGAAAAAAGAATTGGATAAACAATGTTCAAATAAATTTAAATTAATACAGAGAATGTAGTACTACTACTATTTATTATTACTATTTATTTCTTTTCTAATTCTGCTTTTAATAAATCTTTTGGTTCAAACAAAACATTTGATTTATTATGTTCAAAGTCAAGATATCTCATTGCATCTGATAGTTTAGCATTGATTACTAAAGGTGACCTATAGCTATAATTATTGTTACTGTTATCGTCATCTACACTATTTACATCTATTAGGATACTGTTTATATCTTCGCTATTGTTATTACTATTGATACTACTACTACTAATATTATTATTACTATTGCTATTGTTATTAATATTTAGATTGATAGATCTAACTGCATTTTCTATGTTGGTTGCAATAGTCTCTGTGTTTTCATAACGGTCCTTTAGTTTACATAGGAAACTAAGATGATCTCTACCTTCTCTGTATTTGGGTGTGTTCTCTGGTTGCTTGAGTACCGACATTCGGTCATTGATAAAGTCAAAGAGGAACGATGTGTGGTGCACGAAACGATTACGTGAGACCGCCTGTGCATTTCCACCAAACTTTCGTACGCCAAAAGAGTAGTCGTGTTCCATCAGCGAGAAGTCTTGGTGGTCTGAGAATACCTGGCGGTAGAAACCTTCGCTCCACTTCATGATGTCACGTGGGAACTTGGACTTGAGACCGGCATGCTCAGTGAGCCAATCGATATCCATGATGAACGAAGCAAACAGTGTGCTCTGATCGACAATCACCGTGCCACCACCAGTGAATCGCTTGATGATGGGAACTCCCATGTCCACTGCCTTGTCAAGATTGACCAATCGATCGGGCTTACCAGAGATGCCCATCACCACCATTGGATCTGGGGTACCTTGGTTGATAATCACCCAGTTTCCTGCATCTTTACATCTAAACAATGCTTCTTCGATCTGAAGTTGTTTAAATATCGAGAAATTATGTAATCTAAGTAAATGAACTGGTTTCATTTTGTAATCAAAATCAAATGATCTGATCAGAACTGATTTCGTTTTTCATTGAAAAAAAAAAAAAAAGTAGTGCAGAACAAAAAAAACTGGGCAACAATACAACATTTTTAATCTTTTTAGTAATTTATTTGTTTTTTTTTTAAAAAGTCTGATCAAATATTCTTGATTGTCAAAGTTGAAATCCCAATTTCTTAACAAATAATTTGTACTATTTGATGACTGCCAGATCATCACGAATATGATGAAATATTTTACTTGAAAAGAGAGTATAAAATTAAATAAATGAGTTTCCGGATCAAACTAAATATTTTTTATAAAAAAACGTTGTTTCAAAATCACCATTTGAACATCTTTTCAGACCATTTAACTCCCAATATAGTAATTTCACTATGCACCAAAACTTGAGTAACCATTAAAAAAAGATATTTTTGAAAAATCATGATTTTTGACGATGAGATCTTGAATTTTTCTGGTACCAGGACAAACTCGATGATGAAATATTTTTTTTTTGCGAGCGTCAGATAAACACAAAAAAAATGTAAAACAAAAAAAAGTTGATGATGAAACTACTATAAATCAATGAATCCAAACGATTTGTAAAACATTATAAAATTTTAAAAAAATACAAATAATTTAAAACATATAGAAATGGCAAGACATTCAGATCATAATCTTGGTAGAGGATATTTGGTAAGATATTAAGTTGATTTTGAAATAAATGGATAAATAATTTTAATATTGGGTTATTTTTTTTAGATGGCCTTTTTGGGTTTCCCAATGTTGGCTTTTGGTGTTGGTAGTTTAGTATCTATTGCTAAAAACCATTACTTACCAAACTCCTTTAATTTGGGATTGGCTCAAGCTTCACTCTTGGTTGCAGGTTTGGTTGTTGGAGGAAAATATTTAACCACCAAGATTGGCATTGACAGACTTTTCCCGGTTGTTTTGGGATTAATCCCAGTTGCTTGTGGTTATGCCACCGGTGCAGTCGTAGGAACTGAATACGCCAAGATTCTTTCAGCTGGTACTGTAGTATCTGGTGGTGCTATCATGGCCTATGACCTTTTAAAATAAAATAAATATTTATATTTAGTGTATCATTATATTTTAAGATCATATTTATTTTTTTTAGAGACACCAAAGAAATATATAAAAATATCTCAAAAGATGATCTTTCTTAAATCAAATCTCATTTTGAGATTTTAGTTTAATTATTTATTATCTTGTATCTGAACATTTATGATAAATCTCTCAGTATTGTATGTATTTATTTTGTGTTTATTTTAATTATATAATTAAAATAAGAAAAACCCAATTTAAATTGGTTTATGTATTTATATTTGTTCAGTACTCACAACTACACTTATTTTTCTTACCTCTTTAAACAAAATAATAAATATTAATAAAAATCAAAAAATGAATATATGGTGTTTTAATACAATTTTATTAATTTTTTTATTTAATTTTCATCTTCTTCTTCCTCTTCTTGAACTGGAGTGGCAGGTGTATCATCAAACATTTCTTCATTGTTATTGTTATTGTTGTTGTTGTTGGCATGACTGATTGATGCAATTCCTGTAACTTTAATCTTTTTGGTTGGTGTTGCACTTGATGAGTCATGTTTATTCTTGCTTCCTCTGCTGCTGGCGGCTTGAGATTTCAAGAGTGAAGCCTGATTGGTGGCTTCAATATTCCAAACGGAATCGTTGATCAAACCAAGCATTTGAAGTAGCTTCTTCTTTCCTTTTTGTTTCTTCTTGAAGTCCTCTACGAAGCTTCTCCAATATTCATCTTTTCCGAGGGTGGCACACATTCTCTTCTTGAAGTTCTTGAGCATCTGCAAGAAAGTTGGATATTGACTCGGTAGAATGGTTACCAACATGTAGTCAGTGGCCATTATGAACATCTCTTTGATCTTCTCTGGATAACGTTTCTGTAGTGAATCATAGAGTGAATCGAGTCTTTCGTATGCCCATTCTTGGTAGCAACGCTTGGCATAACGTTGGATGAGTGGGAGGATGGGAGTGAGCAATTTGAAATCGTACTCATCGACAGCATCGTAAAGTGATTCCAATAGGACCATTTGTTGTGTGAGTTCAGTGTCGTCTTCGGCTGGATGAGGGAATATCTCGATACACTGCTTGAACAAACCGTCTTTCATCAACAGCTCAATCTTGCTATTGATATTCTCGTCACGCTTCATGACAAACACTACAAGTTCCTCTTTGATTGCTGCCCATTCCTCTTCGGATGAAAGGTTTCTGATTTGATCCCACTTCTCAGAGGTGGTGTCAATCTTGAAGGAAATGATAGTTTGGTCACGAATCACTTCACCGAGATCCTCAAAGTTGGCGGATTTAATCATAAGGTCGGTAATCTTAAGAGTGAATGATTTGATTTCCTCGTAGCTATATCTTGGTTTGATGTTCTTGAGTTCGGCGGTCATACGGTCGATTGAATCTTGGATGGCTGGACGCTGAGCCAAGTCTTGGACGTGCAAGAACTTCTGTTGGTTTGACTTTATCTCTTTTTCAAGTCGCTCCTTGTTCTCGAGAACATCATTGTGTTGGTCGAGAGTCTTTTCAATGATTGTTCCAACTTGGATCACCATGAGATACTCTTTCTTGGCAAACAAATCATTGGCAAAGCTCATCATTGTCTCCAACGACTTGATTTGTTCAATACACTTCTTTACGGTGGTCGATACTTTCTCACTGAATTTCTTACGATCGCTTGCAACCTGTCTCAAACTGTCTTCACTGAGAGTGGTGATGTTCGATTCAAAGTTCATCTTCTCCTTCGAGACACTACCAATGAGAACCTTACTGACTTCCAAAGCGTTGTCGTCGACATTGGCAGTGTGGAATGATGGCAACAGACTGTTGAGTTTCTCAGTGTAGAGGATCTCACGAAGTTTCTTGTGTTTCTCGACGGATAGTCTTCTACGTTGCTTGTCCAACGCTTCTTTCTCTTCGAGAATAACAGATTTCTCTCTCTCGAGTACTTCTCTCTTGGCTTGTGATTCTCTGAAGAGTACGAGTTTGTCGAATGCGAATGAACAGACTTGTTCGACAAGTGAAAACTCTTTCTTTTCCAAGAGGTAGCTTGTTAAGCTCAAGAAGGTGGCTGGATCTTGTACATAGGTCTGGACGATTTGCATGATCAAATTGATACGCTCTTTGGAAGCGGCCAAAGCAATGTCGGATTCCGCTGCTTTCATCTCGGCATTGGCAATCTTGACTAGAACAGCTTGACGTGCATCAAAGACAAACTTGATTCCAGCCAACACCATTTGGGAGTGATGTGATTGATCGGCCAAGTAGTCGTCCAAATACGGTAGAGCAACGGCGTTGAGTTCATTACGTGTGTTCTCCAACAGCGCCAAATCCTCATCGGACATATCCTTCTTCATACGAGTCAACTCTGCAAGTTCCTCTTCGAGCATCTCCACCAAGATCTTCTTTCTCTTGGCATTCAAAGCGTGTTCATAGAATTCACGAAGCTTTGGATGGAAAATCTTGGCAATGTCGACAAACAACGAGTCATTCTTTGGACCGAGTTCTTTAGCCAGCTTAATGATGGAGTGGATCGATTCCAAGTTGGAAAGGCACAACAGCAATGCTTCCTGGATGAGCTTTTGCAATGTTTCTTGCTCCTTTACCAAATCCTCTTCGCTGATAGTCTTCAAATCAAACATCTTTCTCTTACGGATCTTCTCCTCGACAAAGTGGAGACAGTCAATCAAAGAGTTCAATAGAGTTGTAGATGCCTGATACTTGATGTCGTCGTATTGTCTGGCAGCATTCAAATTGGCATAGTGTGGCCATACTGGAAGTGCTTCTATCTCTGCTTCCAATTGTTTCTTCTTTGCCAACGATTCCGCTGAGTTGTCTCTCTTGACATTGGCAGTGGCAGTCTCCAAGCTGGCTTCGAGAGCGAGACGAACTTGACGTGCCGATTCAATCTCGTTGGTTCTCTTGAAGATCTGTGTAATGATTCTTGTCATCACTTGATCCTCACGACTGTCTTTCATATGATTGGCAAACTTCATCAAATAAGTTGGATCACTGAATTTCTCCAAACACAACTCGACCAACTGATTGAACTGCTGGTTGACCAATTGTTTCTTGGCAGTATCCTTAGAGTTTTCCAAATTCTTCTTGGAGAGCAACACCGATGAGATCATAACCTGAGCAACCTCCAAATGCAGATTGTCATACTGATTTCTGGCAGTGAGTACACCGAATGCTGGCCATTCCGGTAGTGCAGCGATCTTTTCTTGAAGTTTCAGCGACTCCTCTTGCTGAGCAGCCAACAGATTCTTTCCGACTTGACGAAGCTTCTTTTCCTCTGCCAACAAAGCATCGAGCGATTGTTGTAGTGGAAGACGAACTTCACGCAACTTCTCGAGGTGTGCAATATGTTGTTGACAACGCTCACCATAACGAATGGTAGCATCGTTCTCACCATGTTTATGCACGGTTTGAGCGAGTTTGAAGATGTGAGTGGGATCCAAGATGGTATCGAGAGCATCGTTCAACTCCTTGTCGATATTCATCGGTGTCTTGGAGGTTGTCTTCATCTCAATGATACAGGATACACGCAACTCTGCATTCTGAAGAAGGAAATCATTGTGGGTGGTTGTCGAAATGAAACAATGAGTCGGTAGGATCTTGTAGGTCTTTGCAATGTTTTCATATTCGGTCAACTCTGTCTCTTGTGCAGTTGGATGTCCACCTACACCCTTGATAGTCTGGATATCTTGCTTCAACTCTGTAATTCTCTTCTCAACCTTGGTTCTCTCTCCTTGTGCTTTCTTCAACTCATCCATTCTAATTCTTGCACGTTCAGTTACCAAAACAACATAATTAAATTGTTTCCTATAATAATTATAAAGGTATATATTAGTTAATCATTAACTTTTCAAACTATACTATAATTAAAGTATAACTTACAATCCTAATAACATCTTTCCAATCTTTAAGATACCTTCTGGATGAGTAAGATATGTTGGAATATAAAATTCAATTAATTCCTTAAGAGTATCGGTTTGTAACAATGTAAGATCAAACAATTCTCTCTGTTTAACAAATACAATAATAAAGTTAGTTAAATATGAAATAAGATTAAATCTCGATGTCTTGATATTTATATACTTACTGATGATAAATCTTGTTTGGCATTTACTTTGGCTTGAAGTGATTCGATATTTGAAAAGATAGCGTTAATCGATGTCTCTACGATTTCGAAACTGATTGCTGTCAGATCGGATTGACTCTTCTTGAGGATATCTAATTCACGCTTTCTTTGGAGATGTAGCTTTTGTGCAGCAACTTTGCAAACACGAAGACAAAGAACAGCAAGCTTTTCAGTTGCTAAGAATTTAGCGACCTTCAAGACCATCTCTGGCAAGGTGAGCACATTGACAGCGTAGTCAATGAATTCAACAAACTGATTGAACAATGGTTCTTCGTAGTCCACCTCTTCTGTTGGTGCCGCTGCTTGTTTACCATCGTGAATCATTGCATCTTCGGCAGCAGTGGCGTCTTGCAGTGCTTTCTTCTTGGCGGCACACTCTGATGTATACAACTTATATGCCGATGTTACCAACAACAATGATAGATCAGCCAACTGAGTTTGTTGTTTGCCGAATCCCATCTTGAGTTTGGCATTCAATTCCTTATAAATATCATTTCTTCTCTTGATTTCTTTCAATGTTTGTAATTCCTCTGTAAGTTATAATTTAAATTCAAGTCCAATTGGACAAATAGAATAAAAAAAAAGTTAGTAGTGTAATCAAATTTCATTTCATTTGATATATATATGTATACAATAGTAACTAGTTATATTTACCTGGAGTCTCTGAATTTAATGCAATTGGTCTTTCTTTTTTGGCCTTCTCGATTTTTGCAATGGTTTCAGCATCGATTTTGAAGATTTCTTGTACCTTGTGTTGTTCGTTCGATTGATGTATCGATTCTTCTATTGCTTTTCTTGTCAATCTAATGGCATTGTTTGGTTCATCTCTGGTGTTGAATTTCTTTGCCATATCCTCCAGGCCTTCGACTGAATTATTATCCAAGATGAATGAAAATAGCGATTCATCTAATTTATCTGATGATGTAGTCATTGTTCACTTCCCTCTATGTGCAAGTCAGTTTACTGAATAATAATTAAAAATAAATAAAATACAAATGTTAATAAAATATAAAACAAGATTTATAAAAAGAAGAATAATAATTTATGAGGCTAAAATTAAGATATTTAAACAAAAACATTTCAAAATTTTTGATAGTTATTGGAAAAAAATCTTTTTGCTACTTGCAAAAAAAAAAAAGTGAGATTTCGAAGAATTTTTTTCGATCCACCATCTAATCATTCATGTAGCCGATTTAGATTTAATTTTTTTTTTTTCCTTTTTAGTTATTATTATTACTTTTATGAAATATCAAAGTTTAAAAATACAAATAATTATCTAAAGAAATTAACATATTGAATTAAAAGAATTCTATTTTTATTTTAATACCAAGAGCTTTTTTTTCTGAGTTTGCAAAAAAAAATCCTTCAAATTTTACCACGTCATCTTCTTTGCTTTCCAAGAGATGTGAACTTTCTTATTAATATCATTAAATCAATATCTCTAAAAGTAGGCTGGTTTCCAAATGTCTTTTAAAATTTGAATTCAGATGAAGATCAAATTGCAATGTAGACTTTAAAGATTTATTTTAAAAAAATCTATACTATAAGTCAACATTGATTGGTATCATCACTCAAGAAACAAGGAAATTAATCTCTAAACATGAAGAAAGATGGACTTATTTAAAGGATTCGCGACTCCTGGAAATAACTTTATAAAGAATATTAATACTAATAAGTCAAGTTCCTAAAAAAAACAAATAAAAATATTATTAATCTCAACTAAAAATAATAAAATAATGAAATCCACTACAACTTTATTAATTGCAGCAATTGTACTTTGCTTTGCTTTCACATGCTACTCCAAAAAAACCATAGAGTTTTGCGAATATTGCATTGAAGAGAATAATTGTGATACCAATTCCTCATATAAGTGCGTCAACTTCAATACTGGAGAGTGTGTCTTGTATACAGATCCATGTGGTTACGTTCCAAAGCAATACTATGTCAAAATCCACGAATCAACACCTTTAGTCAAGATTACCGTTTTCATGGATCATCGCTGCCGCCAACCAATTTCAGAGCCAACCAAATACGTTTGTGGAGAGTGCCATTTAGGTGGATTCTTTAACTGTACTGACTATCAACTACTTTAACAGTTCAGCCAACTTGTTTGAAAAATTTAAACCATTGCCAAAATATTTAATAAATATAAATTTTATTAAATTCATAAAGAATTTGATACATTCTCAAAATGTTTTTATTTTCATTATAAAATTTAAAATTCTCTTTGAACTATGAGGAGTCTCCTTCTTTCTGAAATCCTTACGAAATTGTCTACTCTTTTTCTTCTTCTATAGGTCACACTATCTTGATAATCAACGAATCTTGTTGATCTTGATGATGTTTGTTTTCTATAAACTCCCCAACCTTTTCTTATTCCTAATTGACTAGTTCATTTGGTGTCTATTCCTTTTACTCCTCTAAACTCTTCTACTAATGATATATATTCTTATATAGTATATTCTAATAGATCTCCTATCTTATTATCTTCTTTAAAAGACTTGATTCATAATTTTTCTTCCAAAAACTCATTCTAAACTTTTAATTTTATTGTTTTTAAAAATATAAATTGAATTAAAATCTGTTGAGCCAAGTTTGATGATACATTTGTTAATTTTCAAGTCAATCATATATTAATTTATTTATTAAAATTTTTGGTTTAGTTACAATGAAAATCAAACAAAATAAACTTTTTTATTTCATTTGTATATTACAAACAGATAGATAGAAGATAATTTCAATTATTATTATTATTATTATTATTATTTTTATTATTATTATTGTTATTATTTTTATTAAAAGTCAATCAAGAAAGCTTAATCTTAAATAAAGAGAGAAAGAAAAAATAATGAGTGACAATCTCTATACAAAAACAACTGGTATGATGAATATTCACTTTGTTTATCTCTTGATTATTTTTATTATTAAAACATGTTTCGCAATATTATTCTGTAGGTTCTAAACTTTACAAGTTTCCTGCCACTCACTTCTCAAATATACCTGTGCATTCCACTGTTTATATCGCTACATATAGAATCTATGCTAATATGTATACTGAAGAATCTATCAGAGCTTATGCATGTACCTATTATGGTTGTACTGATGATGAGCTGGAGAATGTAATAGATGAAAAGAAAAATGTATATATCTTGTATTTGTTTTATTAATTAATTATTAAGCTTATGATTATTTTGTTAACAACCATCATTGACTTAAATTTTTAAAAAAATACAGAAATCAAAAGCAAATAGTCAAAAGAGACAACAAACAAAGAATAAGAGAAGAGAAAAGTTGGAGGAGGCTCTACAAGCCATTGGTTTGACTATTAGAGGTGATTCAGATCTCTGTGCCAAGTATATTAATGGTACTTTAAGAGGATGGACTCTCAAGGGTGTAGTTCATGAATGTGCAAAGTAGGTTTAATCCATTATATCTTAAACTCTAAGTATTCTAATCATTGATTGATTTTAGGATGAGATATTTTTTTGATTATTGTGGTATGGGTAATGAAATTGAGAGAATAAAGGATAATCGTTACAACGATGGAAAGCGTGGTCATTGGTATAAATACGATGATAGTCCATTTGATGAAGCAAAGGATTATATGGAAAGCAAGTATCCAATGCCTGAGGTATGGCCTTGGCTTCTCCCTAAGATTGCAACTCCAAACATTAAAATCGAACCACTAACTACAAATGAACCAATTACTACAAGTGAACAACCTAACACAAATGTGCCACTCACCACAAATGAACCACTTTCTTCAAATGAACCACTCACTACAAATGAACCAATTACTACAAGTGAACAACCCAACACAAATGAGCCACTCACCACAAATGAACCACTTTCTTCAAATGAACCACTCACTACAAATGAGCCAATCACCACAAGTGAACAACCTAACACAAATGAGCCACTCACTACAAATGGTATGATATTTTTGATTTGATTATAGGCAAACACACTACATCATTGTACTGTATTGTACTAACATTATTTCTATATTTAGATTCGAAAAAAGAAAGTCCATAATGTCTTTTCTCTAGAATCAATTTTGATAATTGTGACAAAAAAATCTTTATTTACATAGATTCGCCATAAAATAAACAATATTCAGTTTAAAGTTCTCATTTTAATCAAAATTTCTCATAGTTGGTAGTTTTAGGTGCTGGCAGACATCATCATAGATGTATTGTTTTGTATATTTTTTTTTTTTATTTTTCTGATTACTGTATGTATTATAGTTTAATTAGTTCTCTTCATCAATCTTTGGTAGTTGTTTGACAGAGGAACTAGAGGAGTTGACAGATTGTGATGGTGAATCGGTGGGTGAGTTGGGCGATGCTTTATCAGAGGAAGTTGGAGTCTTATCTTTTTCAACTTCCTCTTCGGAGCGACCGTCCAGTCTGAGTAATTCGATTTGCCATTTCTGTCGGTTGGTGGACATGATCTCCATCAGAGTCTTGGTGTCCGAGAGGAATCTGGCCAGACCTTGGTAGAGTGGCAGTGCAACATAGTCGATGAAATCGGCAGCGATTCTCGGACGGTTTGTCTTGGTCTTGTCCATGAAAGGCGTCACCGGATAGCCGCAGACTTTTTCAAATTGCGATTGCTGGAAAAACTCGTCCGAGACACGGTTCGACCACTCCAGATTCAAATGCCACGGTCTTGCGACATTCGAGATGTCTCCACACTTTATCAAAAAGTTTAAAATCATTTGTCGGTCTTCTTTCTTGTTTCTGTCGAATGGCTGGTTGTTCAGGTGATGTTGGAATTTGTTGATGTACTCGAAATGGAATGCCATATCAGTGGCCAAAATTAATTGAATAACTGATCTTCTTAATTCCTTGTATTGATCTTCATTCAAACCTTCGAGAATATTACAGTCACTATTTTTAAGTATTTTAAATGTTAAGGTTGCATGATGATTCTAAAATAATTCAAATCGATTTCTTAAAGTTAAATTCAAATCTAAAATACATTCTAGGTTAACTGTTTTCAACTTACTTCTAAAACTGAATTATCATTATATTGTAAAGTTAGATCTGTTTGAGCATTGACCTGGAATGTATTATTGAAACCAGGATGATTGAGATCATGGCACATCGCAGCGATCAACAATGACAGAATATCCAAATGTGTCAAGTATTGCGCTGCTTTAAAAGTGGTTAAAAATGTATAGCATGTTTGTGTTACATCGAATGCATGTAAAAAGTTATGATATCTAGAAGAATCGATTGTGGCAATGGTATTGTGTTAAAAATATATATAGAGTAATATAATATAAAGGATGATTCAATTTGTATTTTAAATACCTGTTGCTTTTTCTATAGAGTGAATGTACTGCCATAATAAATCTCTGTAGTTTTTCGATGGGAATCTTAAATGTTTCAAGTAGCTGGAAGTTCTCAAACATATCGACCAACATGGGCATCAAATCATCCTCGGAATATCTAAATACATCAAAGTTCCAACCTTTGATTCCCTCTTTGGTGTCTTTGCTCGAGACAGTCTGTGGGAATGTTGGAATGGAGTTTCTTCGGGCGCCTGTCACCGACGAGAATTCCGTCACCAAAAAACTCTTTGTAACAGGATCTACCGATTCATTCTTTATCAACTTTTCAAATGATGGTCGATAAATATTTGATGATCTAAAAAATTAACAAAAATAATGATGAATAATTTAATTAATTAATATTGATTAATCATTTAATTAAATTTAAAATCAAATCAAATCAAATAAAATAAACTTACCCTAATTCTTTTAGAATCATTGTTAATTTATATTTAATATCGTTTTCGTGATCAGTCCAATTGGTTTGTTGCATCAGTTCTTCGATGGTTCTGGTGACGGAAACGAGTGGTGATTCCATTGCCTCTCTGGAGATCGATGCCATCTCTGATATCTTTCTGGTCAATTCTTCAATCTCATGTTCCTTAGCCTCCATTTGTTTCGCTAAAATACTTCTATTCTCCCTTTCTCTTGCCAAGAAAGATCTATTTATAATAATAAATATTAGCTAAGCTTTAATGAATTTGAATAAACAGTAATTAATAAGCATACTTATACTCTGCTTCTTTCTTCTTTTGCCAAATACTAGTTAGAACGGTATCGATTTTCTTTTTCAACAACTCTTTTGCAATTGGTTTTGTAAGAAAATCTTGACCACCAATTTTAATTGTATCATTTGCATATTTATAATCTACAGCTGTTCCAGACATCACTACAATTGATTAGGCAAACCAATAATATAAACATGGAACGAGAGTAAGTATAGGAATGGTCGTAAGAATAATAAAATATAAAACTTACAAATGACTGGTATATGTTTAATTTCAATGTGTTCATTAATTCTTTGTAACAAGTCAAATCCAGTTACCATTGGCATCATGACATCGGTTAATACCAAATCATACATAACTTTACCGTTTAACAATGTATCCCATGCTTCTTCACCATTTGTAACAAGTGTAACTTTTAAATTATTATTAATCGAATATTGGTTATTAATCAAATGTACTCGAACGAAATGACATATATATGAAATTGTAATTACCATTAAAATTAAATTTTTTTAACATATTGTTTAATAGAGATCGTTGAACTATATCGTCATCGACAACCAATATATGGACTTTAGATGGTGAATACTCTGCTGGTAATTGATCGGATATCACCAAACCATTTCCATTGTCTTTACTATTATTGTTACCGTTGTTATTACCGTTATTATTATTGTTATTGTTATTATTATTATTTAAATTTTTGTTGTTGGAATCTGAATTTGAATTTGAATTCGAAATGGAATTTGAAATTGAACTCTTAGTTGTTGTTGATGAAGATGATGATGATGGAGATTTAGGTGAAGCTTGCTGATGTTGTTGTGGATCTGAGGAGTCTGGGTAGTTTAGTGGTAGTGATGGTACTGAGTGTGCACGACCGTTCGGTTGTTGCTGTGACTTTTGATTATCACCGAGTTTTCCAAGGTGACACTGACACTGCTTATCGCGTAGATCATCGATGACAACGCAATCGTCGACCATGCAATCACCGGAATTCTTCTGATCGGATGCTCCAGTCAAATGACTCCTGCTACTACCACCACTATTAGTTTCTGCAGTGCTGTCATCTTTCATATTATTCATCATAATATTATTGTTGTTTGTTTGTTTTTTTTCTTTTCTTTGATTACTTTTTTTGGTATTATTATTTTTTTTTTTTTTAACTTTTCAATAAATATATATTAAATGTAATCGTCGGTATTAATATTATTATAAATTATAATCTATTTATCTAAATTAAAAAAAAAGATGGTAAAAGTAATAACTTAATATTATTATTATTATTATTTGTTGTTAATGTTTTATTATGTGTTTCTAAAAATAATCAAAAATACAAATTTATATTTATATATATAATGAAAACAAAACAAAAAAAAAGTAAAATATAATTAAAATATTTAAATCTATCTTGTTTTATCTAAATCTATCTGACTATGTATATCTATCTTATCTTAGTTATCTATATTAATATAAAAACAATCAATTAGTTTAATTTTTTTAATTTTTAATTTTTTGTTGAAAAAATTAAATTAATTAAATCAAATATGTGCAAAGATAAAATAAATTTGTTTGTTTGCAATTTAAATTTTTTTTTTTTTTTTTTTTTTTTTTTTTTTTGATTGAGTTGTTATTGTTAGTTGTTGGTTGTTGTTTAATCAGAGGTAAAAGTAGAGTAGAGTAGAGAATTGAAGAGAAGAAGAAAGAGGATATAAGAAAGAGCAGAGAGACTTGTGATTTCTTATGGGTGTTGGTTTTGATATCATTTATATAATGGTCATGTATCATATCATATCATATTAATAACCAAACAACAACAAACAACAACAACCAAACAACAACAAAGCAAATTAAAATCCAAACAACAACAAACATACATACATACATATAGAATAATGATAATAAAATTTATTTTTACAATTTAAGAGAACTATATTTATATATAAATATATGGTGGGTGTAGTAGTGAGTGAGTGCCTTTGGTTATCGTAATAACATTTACTTACATCTCTTTGTTTTTCAACAGAGGAGTACGTACGGGTTGTGTGTGTGTTTTTGTGTGTTATAGATTGCTAATAGTAGTAATAATTAAAAATAGTGTGTGTTGTGTGTTTTAGTATGTGTGGTGGTGGTGGTGTGTTGAAATGGTAATATGTCAATCAATAAAAACACCTAATATAACAGTTTTAGTAGTAGTAAGAAATTTTAATAAAATAAAAAGTTTAATAATTAATTTTTTTTTAATATTAAAAAGAGTGTTGTTGATACTGATAATAATACTGTTTTTCAATAATAATCATAATGTTGTGGTGTTTTTTTTCTTTTTTATATATTTCTTTTTATTTTATATACAATTAATTTAATATAATGATAAAATATAAATAAATTATTTTTTTTGGGTATAAAAAATAAATAAAAAAAACAACAGAAGTTAATTTAAATCACAATCATATATATATATATTTGTAATAATTGATTCAATGATACACCACAACTCTTTTTTTTGTTTATTTTCTAAATTTTAGATGCGAGGAAGAAAGATATTATTTGTGTGAAGTTCCCATCTATCTTATCTTATACATTTAAATAGAGAATAATAAATTGTTACTATTATACAAAAAAAGAAATAAAAAACAAATATTTTTGAAATATTGAAAAAAAAAAAAAAAAAACACAAGTTCAAAAAAAAAAAAAATGAAAATAAATGAAAAACAAAAATAAAAGGGAAATACCAAATTAGGAAATTTGGAGAATAAGTTCTTAGAAAGAAAATTTGACAAACCCTCAACATATATAGGCACGGTATGGTGGTGAGGATGTCCCGGGACATAAACAACTAACTACATTCACTCACAACAAAGGAATTAATTATGTGGGGAGGCTTCACAAATTGTGTGTGTTTAGACTGACCAATAATTAATTAAATTTCAAGATAAATAAGTAAAACCTTGTTGAACAAACACACACCACTATCACCATACATTATATATATACCTCACCACGCTCCTGAGACAACTCTGTTAAGCATACACACGATATCATAATATTTAAATTGTTGATATCTATGATAAAAATAAGTTTGAATTACTTGACCTACACACTTTCTTATTATTCTTTTTTACATGAGAAAATAAATTAATTGATCAATATTCTTGTAAAAGTAAAGAAAACCTTTACTTTATGTGAATACCACTACGAAAAGTAGAATTTCTATTATCCATTCTTGAAAATAAAGACAAATTAAGTTCGGTGCTTTTTTTTTTTTAGTTAGTATAAATACGGTTCCTAACGATGAACGTACAATTGTGCCTACTCAAAGTAAAGGTCACTGGTTTCAATACCAAATTCGGTAAAGTTTTTAAAATTACCAGGATTAAGGAAATTCGCCTTTCGTAATAGTTGCACGAAAAAAACAACCAACAACCAAAAGAGGTATGTATTCGTTTACTACCATATTAAATATAAAACAAGATACCCAAAACAAGTTAAATCAATTAAATTTAATTGAAACGTATAACTTCGCTTTAAAGATAAAAAATTATAATTTTTTAAAAAAAAAAAAAGTAACAATTTATTGTTTTTTGTTTAATATGGTTGATTCTAGCAAAACAATAATAACTAGATTTGGTGAGTGTTTGTTTTTTTGGTTGTTCAAAAAAAAATATATATAAAAATATAATATTTTCTTTTTTTTTTTTTAGTTACCAACATAAAGTGGATGCATAAGTGTACAACGTGTGTCGATTGGGAATTTTGTTTTGTCTACTGTAATCTTTACTTTGACAGTAGAGAGCTGTTTGTATTCCTGTGTGATCTTTTCGTCGTTCAAATCCATTCCAGGCCATACAACATAGTTGGTGTCGACCTCCTTGTTGTAGCTGTGTGAAATGATTTGTCCATCGGTCTGGAGATCTTCGAGGTAGATACGTTGTTCAGTGCCAAACATCGGGACGATAACACTAAGGAACTGTGGACCACCATTGAGAACGACGGCATCGGTGATTGTAAGCGAGTTCTGGAGCAACACGCAGAGGAACACTTTGTCACTGCGCTCCTGTGCCTTACGTGAATTCAACTTCTTCTCATTGCAATTCTTGGTGATGATGGCGACCTGTTCGGTCGAGGGAACACCGGCAACTTGGAAGTTCTCAATGTTGGCAGCTTCGGCGCGCTCCACTTGAATGGAGAGCTCGAGAAGTCTGTGCACAATGATATCGGCATATCTACGAATGGGCGATGTAAAGTGAGTGTAGTGGTCGACGTTGAGCGCATAGTGGTGCCAGAGATCCTCCTCTTCGGAGCCGGTACAGAAATACTCGGCCAAACGCATCGAGCGAATCGACATGATCTGGATTGCAGCGAATACATTGGGGCTGTCTTTGAGTTGTTCACGCAGTGCTTTAACGGAGCTTCCAAAGCTGCTGACGTCGGATGGATCCACCTCCCAACCGTGTTGATTACAGAACTGGATGAACTGCTCGAGTTTTCTGGGATTTGGATTGGGGTGACGACGCAACAGTGCATTCGCTGGGAAGTATTTGGCAATGCGAGTTGCCACCTGCATATTTGCCAACAACATAAACTCCTCTACCAAATGATTGGATTCGTAGATCGGGTAGATCTTTGTGGAGATTGGATTTCCCTTTGGATCCAACTCGAATGCCAGCTTTGTTGGGTGAATGTTGAATGCACCGTTGTCCATACGCGATTGTCTGAGTCGCTTTGCAATCTCGCGGAGATTCATGACCGACTCTACAACGGTTTGGACATGCTCCGGTGTGTCTGGACCAAGAATTGGCTTGATTTGTGCTGGTAGCAGACCGTCCTTCCAGGAGGTATTGATCTTTCCATCGATGATGGTCTGTGCAATTCCATAGGTAAGTCTGCACGCCGACTTGATAACCGATCGACCAAACCACTCTCCCAACACTTTTCCTTCTGGGGAGAGTGTCCAAATCACAGAGAAAGCAAATCTCTCCACTCCATAGTTGAGCGAGCATAACTCCTCTGACAATAGCGATGGTAACATTGGAATTGCTTTTTGTACGAGATACACTGTGGTGGCACGTTGTTGAGCCGATAGATCAAGTGCAGTGCCGGGCTTGACGAAATGTGAGACGTCGGCAATGTGAACACCGACCTGGAAGTTACCATCCGGCAGACGAACACACGACAGTGCATCGTCTAGATCCTTGGCAGTGTCGGGATCGATTGAAACGATCACTTCATTTCGGAGATCACGACGTTGAGCCAAGTCCTGTGGTGTGATATGCCACTGGCTGGCGTTCTGAATCTTTGGCAAACAGTCCATCACCTCACGTGAGAATGCATTGGTATCGACACCGTACTCCTTGAGCAGAGCCCTGGTTTCCGGCTCGATTTCACCACACTCACCAAAGAGTGAGTGGAACGAACCAATTGGAAGAATCGAAGAATCCTTCCAAGCAGTGTAGTTGACCGACACCAACGATGTCTTGTACTTGTCGGGATTCGATCTAAACTCTGGAATCGACTCTTTGAAAATCAAACATCTTGGAAGGCAGCCATCCATCGGTGTGAAATTAGCAAAAGTCGAATTAGTTGGATCGTTCTACAAATGATTATTAATATTTGTTTAGTTAATAAAATTATATATATTAAAAGAGAAAGATATTTAACAAACTAATTTAAACTTACTGAAATCAAACCAATATGATTCTTTGAATGACGAACTTCAAGAATATGAACAACTCTACATGTTACAAACTGATTATTCTTACTTCCTTTGTCAATGAATGATTGAAGTTGCTTCAAGTTTTGTCTTTGACCTTTAACAATTTCAACCTTTGATGATGTTTTTACATTGGTGAGTAATGATTTCTTTGGAGTTGTTGAAGTAGTAGTTGTTGTTGTGGTAGTTGTTGTTGGGGATGGAATAACAACGAAATCATCTTCATTCAAATCGTCATTGTTGTTGTTGTTGTTGTTTCTACCAACAACATCTTCACGAATGATAATCTCATCATCATTATCAGATGAAGTGGAGCTGTCAGATACAGAAATTGGCGATTGAAGTGCAACCAACTCTGCTTCATCACGTTGTTGTAGACTTAGGTTGGAGAGTGACGATCTCAATACTATGGTACCTTCATCTTCACCACCCATATCGGTTGTATCCTTGATGGCAGCCAACTCCAAGTCACTGTCCTCATCGTCGTCGGTCAGCTGAATGTCATGATGCTGACCAACTTTGTTTCTAGCAGAGGTATCTTCTTCTTCGTCTTTTCCAGACGATCTATTCTTCCACTGCTCGTCGGGTAGAATCTCAAATACAACAATGTCCGTGTGGAATGCACGATTTCTAAACTTGAGACCATCGCAGAACAAGTCATTGTCAACTCCATCGACAGTAACATAAGCATCGTTATATTTCTTTGGATTCACACGTAGTTGTCCATAGAAATACTTTGATGTGGACAATCCTTTCTCAACCTCTTCAATGGTTACATGTGCAGGAAATCTTGCCTTTCGTTTTCTCTTTTGTTGATCATCTCCAGCACTTTTCTTTGACTGTTGTTGTTGCTGTGGTTGTGATTGTTTGTTCTTAGTCTCATCTTTCTCTTTCTTTGGCTTTGACTTTGACTTCTTGGCTTTTGGTTGTTTAGCTGGTACAACGGCAGCAGTATTGTTGTTATCAGCTTGTTGCTTTTCAACAACAACATTGTTCTTTGGTTTCTTTTCTTTCTTTTGTTTTAGTTGTTTTGCTGTATTTGGTTGTTGTTGTTGTTGTACTTGTTGTTGTTGTTGTGGTTGTGGTTGAGCAACGGGTTTTGGTTGACTAGCAACTGGCATTGGAAGAGGTGGAAGATGTACTTGAGTGAATCCTTTTTGTACAACAACGATTGGATCTTGGGGTTGATTAACTATTGGTTGTTGTTGCTGTTGTGGCAGTGGTTGTTGTTGTTGAACTTGTTGTTGTTTCTTTGGAGCCTTAGGTTGCTTCGGTTGCTTTGGCTCTTTTGGTTGCTTTGGTTCCTTTGGTTGTTTCGGTTGTTTTGGCTCCCTGGGTTGTTTTGGTTGTTTTGGTTCCTTTGGTTGCTTGGGAACAATAACTGGGTTTGCTTGATCGACATTGGTAGCTTCACCACCTTCAACGTGTGCACCTTCTTCTGGCTTCATTTTGGGTGCTTCCTTTTGTTGTTTTGGCTGTTTAGGTTGTTTTGGAACTATTTGCTTTGGTTTTTGTTGTTTTTGTTGTTGTTGTTGTTGAAGTGGTGTTTGTTGTTGTTGCTGTTGTTCACCGTCATTTGGTTCATTTAATTGCTTTGGTACCTTTGGTTGTCTAGGTTGCTTTGGTTCTTTTGGTTGTTTAGGTTCCTTTGGTTCCTTTGGTACTTTTGGTTCTCTTGGTTGTCTAGGTTGTCTAGGTTCTTTTGGAATATTATTCTTTGGTGGCTTTGGGAATGATTGTGAGATAGCATTATGTCTAACATGATTCTCTACGTGCTTGCTACTATCATTATAAAGTGGTGGTACATCTGACTTTTCATCTTTTGTTAAAGATGAACTAGTTGTTGTTGTTGTTGTTGTTGTATTTGACATTATTTACTCTAATATATGTATGTTTACTATTGCTATTGATATTGATATGAATATGATTGATATTATAAAAAATCGGTATTATTATTATAATTGTTATTATTATTATTATTGTTGTAATGCTTTTTAAATGTTTAGTTTTTATATACAATTTATTTATTATTACAAAAATAAGGTGTATGTTATATCTTAATTATAATATAATAATAATAATGTTAATATCAATTGATTCATTTCATTTTTGTTTTAAAGTTTGATCGTGATCAAAATCAAACTTTCTAATCATTTCACATATCAATGACTAAATTTAGTAAATAACTAATTAATTACATACATATAAAAAATAGATTAACTTTCTTTAAAAAAATGTAAGATTAATCCAATTTATTACTTTTAAAATTCTTATTCTGTTTTTTTTTTTCAATTTAAATTTTGTTGTGAGAACAAAACCAACCCAACAATCAATAAAATTAATATTTTTTTTAAAAAACTGGAATAATAATTATATGCGAAATTATTAAGATTAGTGCATGCATCAAGTTTTTCAATTTTTCTAGTTTTTTTATTAGATTTTGTCTAACATGTAAGTCGTAAGAATTCAAAAATGCGGTTCAAAAATATATTGTTCTAATTGAATAAAATTAGAGTATTCTATTTTGTTTTTAAAATTCTCTACCATCAAAAACAAGAGATAAGATTTTAAAAAAAATTATATTTAAATGAAGTTTAAAAATATGTAATTTGAGAGTTTCACTTAAATCTAATGTCAAATTACATACTTTTTAAATAAGTTTAGAACAATGTTCAACACGTTTCACCCTTTAACTGAAATAATGAAAGTGAAAAAGTAACAAAGCATCGCAATCTTCATGGCGTATTGTTTCAAATTTTATATAAATTGAAACTGTAAATTTAGTTTTATTGTTTGTAATATTACAATAATATAGTTGCAACTCTATGATGGTGTAAAATAAACTTGTCCTTTCTTTTTGTAAAAAAACTTAGAGCTATCTGGAGAATAAATGAAGGTGTCACTTTATATTCTTTTATAGTATTATTTTTAAGTAAAATCGTGTGGAAAGTGGTAGAAGTGGTACGCTAGTAGGTGCAATTTAACTAATATTTAATTTAATTGTTTGTGTTTTGATAATGAAGAATCAATAGAAATGGTATTAATATTGGAGGTATAATGTTATTAAAATTAAAATTTTTTATTTCAATTCTTATCAAAATTAAAAAAGTTTTGTTAAAATTCTAAATTGGAGTTAAAACATAATAATATGAATGAATTACATGTATTTTATTTATGACCAATTTCTTTAACTAATCTACCGGACCATGGACACCTAAGACATCCAGGTAAGAACTAAATTATGATAAAGTTTTCAATTAAAATTTGTTTAATCTTTTTATAAAGAGGAGTATTTAAAAGAATACTTACAGGACCACATGCTTCATCTAAATGCTCTTCTACATAACCTGTGCTGGCATCGCAAACTTCAATTGCGACATCAAAAAATGAAATTGTTTCTGAGGCCAAATGGAAACTGTATGTTGGGTTATAATCAGCTCTGGTTTTTTTAATTCTTCATGAAATGTGGACGTACATCAATAGATCCTTCAATCAAACCTCTGGCATGTTTAATTTTTTCTTCATCAATTAGTTAGATGATAAATCCAGTTTTACCATGAGCATCGGCGGTTTCGAAGTATGCTGGTTTAATGTCGCCAGCAGATGCAAAATAGGCAAAAACAGTCAAAACAACTATTAACAAAATGATTGAAAATTTCATTTCTTTAAGTAATTTAGATATCTATAATAAAATGATTTATGATTTGGTTTGAATGATATTCTAAACAATTCTTTTGATAGGTATTTATACTTTTATTATAATTATGAGTTTATTTGAATATTGTTAAGATTATTTAATTTCTTATGATCCTCAAAGAATAAAAACTGTATTTCTATTCAAATTTATAGAGATATTAAATTCATTCTAAATCTGAGGAATTGTGTAAATTGTCATAATTGAGGTTGATAGGTGAGGTGAGCCATTTCGTTTAAACACAAGGGTCAAAAAAAACAGAAAATCAAGCTGAAGTAGTTTTCTAGACCTAGAATACGCACTCAGAGATCGATTCACAAATGAAATACTCTAATTTTGAAACAGAAAACACTAAGATATATAATTAAGGTGAATTGATACATCTTGGGATACCATTCAGACTTGAAGTTTAATTTACCATATTTTAAAATCTTACTTTATCAAATGTTTTGCTCATAAGTTTTAAACTTCCCTCGCAAATTTAAAAAAATTAAAATGAAAGAAAAGAAAATTAAAACACTCATTTATCTATAAATATTCACTTAATTAATTAGAATAATGAATGAAAATGAACAATATAATAACAATAATAACAATAATATGCAAGGTGGTGTAGCTGATGAAGACGATGAAGATGTTAATATAGAGGATGACGATTATGTCTTGGTGGCAGCGGCAGCGGCAGCACAACAACAACAGCAACAACAAAGAAACACAATGCAAGATGATACCGAAGAGAATAATCCTTATTCTACAATGTCATTCAGTAGTACCAGTAACACTCCATCCATCTTAAACAGCTTTGAGAATAGCTATAAGAATGAACTATATTATTCACCAAGTTTATCAAATACTGACATTATGAATAATAATAATAATAATGATAACAATAACAACAATAGTAATATTAAGACTAACAATAATAACAATAATAACAATAACAATAGCAACACAATATCTTCAGATAATAATCATAATAATAATAATAACGGTCATGTTGATATTGGTGGTGGCAATAATAACAATAATGGCGATGATATAAACAATCAATCTACATCTGGAAGATATCGTTTGCTCTACTCTGATAACAACATTGACAACAATGATAATATCTATCATCAATATAGTGCTACGTCTTCATCTTCTATATATTCTGTTGAGAGTAGTACAACTACTAGTAGTAGTAGCAGTAATATTAAGAATAATAATGATATGAATATAGATATTGGTTATCTATCAGTACAGCAACAGGACCAACAACAACAACAACAACAACCAAGTAGTAGTAGTAGTCATAGAAATAAATTAATAGAGTATGAAGAAGAGGAAGAAGAAGAGTTTACAGTTGTAAAACCAAGAACGATAACAAGAGATGAATTATACTCTTCACCATCACCACCTCGACCTACATCTTCATCTATATCAACTAATGATACGACATCAACGTCATCATCTTCAAATACCAAAAACAAAAAGAAATCATCACCTAAATTTAATTTAAAGAAATCACCTTCTCTTGATAATAGTAATCTTAATACATTACATTCACAGACATTGACGACACCTACACCTTCAACAACAGATAGTAATATTGAAACTGCTGACAAACAACAACAACAACAACCACCACCACCACCACCACAAACACAAGTAATATTAAAATTACCATATGATGTAAGATATATAATGAAAGATCTTTATTATTTATTGTTACTTACTTTTATATTAATATAATAATGTTAATTAAATTGATTGTATATAGTTAAATAGTTTACATTGGGATTTGGATCATCTTTCAAATGAAGAAGCTATCTATTGTTACTGTGGAAAAGATCTAGATAAAAAGATGGTTAGATGTGATCTATGTTTGCAGATATTTCATTTCGATTGTGTGAAACTACTGGAGGGATCGGACCAGATCATCGGTGACTGGGTCTATAGATTCAGCTGTTCAGTTTGCACCAAAGGAAGAGAGTCATTCGAGAGATTCGCAAAGAACTGGGTAGATGTATTGGAAATAGTTTTATACAACTTGGCATTGTCACATCCAAACAGAGCATACTTTCATCTCGACGATGAAATCATACCAATGATCGATCAAAATTGGCATCTATTATGTAGTGATAAAAAGAGTAACTATCTAATTCCAACAAATCTATAACTTAAACTAACTTACTTTCTTTATTATATAATATAATATTATCAATGATCATTTAGAAAAAGTAAATTGGTTTAAACAATTACAACCTGCATTAACCAATGGACATATATTTAAACAAGGTGATATCAATATTGGAAAACCTGGATATTGGGCATTGGGAACATTACAACTTGTACTCAAAGATAATCCTACTTTCAAAGATAAAGTATTGGCACCGATCAACAAGAAGAAAAAGAGAAAATCTTCATCGTCTCAAGAAAAAAGAGTGAGTAGCTAGCTTGTTATTACATAACAAAGAATAACAAAGAATAATAATAGGTTATTAATATTGTTTTTAATTTTATCTATTTTAATACAATTTGTTTGTGTGTGTAGTTTAAACATTTAACAAAATTATTATTGATACCTTTGAAAGAATCCAATTTCGTTCCGACCATTGAATATGATAGGCTGTGCGTTGCCATTCAGAATTCAGCACCACAAATTGTTATTGAAGAGAATGGTATGGTTGCAAAGAGTTTGAAAGGATATAGAATGGCAAAAGCTTCGTTTCCATGTATTACTGGCAGTTGGTATTTCGAGATTGAGGTGGTTGGCAATGCAGGAAGTTCGCGTCTTGGTTGGTCGACTTTCCGTGGTGATAAACAAGCGAATGTAGGATACGACCAATTCAGCTACGGCTACAGAAGTCAACAGGGTGATATCTTTCATTGTGCCAAGAGCAAGCCGTACGGTGAATCGTATGCAGTTGGCGATGTCCTAGGATTCTACATACATCTGCCGCTGAAGAATGCGCCATTCGAGGTGTTTGACAACAAGGTCGATCCTCTTAAGATCTACGAGATGATAAGCGACGAGCTGGATACGGAGCAACCGGAAACTGTTGAGGGCAGTGAGATTCGATTCTTTAAGAATGGCCGCTCTCCAGGTGTTGCATTCACCAACATCGGTCGAGGAATGTATTATCCGGCCGCTTCGATGTATATGGGGGCATCGGTTCGATTCAATTTTGGACCGACATTCAAATTCCCACCACAAGGTCTTACCACTCCGTTCCGTCCGTTTTGCGAAACTGTAAAATTAACTCCAAACTCCAATACAACCATCATCACCAGTAATCTTAATGATAATCTTCATCATCAGAATGATGACGACGACGATATGATGATAAGTGATTAATAGCCAATTCATTCGTTTACATTGTAACAAATTAAAATAAAGTTTAAACAACGTTATGTTTATTTACTTCATTTGAAAAATAATACTGTATTACTACAATGAATCTATATAGATTCAACTTTTTATTTTTTACATATTCTCACCAATGAATGTTGATACATTTATAATACTATCAATCCATTGCATTAGCTCGGTTTCTGGTGATGGTGGTTTTATGATTTCACCGGACCAATCGACTTCTGGTGTGTAGGTTGAGAAATAGAGTGAATGACCACTTGTGACCACTTCAAATCCATAGGCACGATTCACACGTTCCTCATTCAGTTTCTTTACACCTTTGACTTTGTTGATATAGTAGCTAGAGATTGGTTTCTCGCTTGGATCGAGTGGTGATGAGTACAGCGCGATTGTCGGATTTCTCAGGACCATCCAACGCGGCGCCCAATTGCTTCCGGACAGCAAATCCGATTTCTGAACAACCCATCCCGCTTTCCAGTAGGCGCCGGTCAAGTTTTGTGCTTTGTCAGGATCGTATGTAATGGCACCGGCAGCAGCATAGAGCGCTCCCTTGATCCAAGTGGTAGAGACGATCGACATGATATTGACAACGGAAATCGTACAGCTTCCAGCGGAATCCCATTTCTTTCTCGAGAGTTCCGATTCGTATTCACCGTGTTTGTGTTTGGTGGCATCGACTGAAGCATCCCTCACACCTCTCGCCGAGATTAAAACACCTTCCTCCAGACCACCCCAAACATTGGTGATGGCACTGATTCCTGCCGACCCCATACTGGCACCGGCTTGCTTCTTTTCGTTCTTTCCATACATTTCCTCTTCTTTCTTCTTCTTTTCTTCACGCTCCTTGTACCAATCGGTCTTTCTAACGCCCTCCGACGCCTTGCTGCCGACAACACCAAATGCCGATACAATTCCTTTCTTGACACTGCTCGATCCCTGTGCCATTTTCTCTGCGTTTCTCTTTGATTTGTTCGCTTCGCTGTCGGGATCCTCTAGTTCTCTTCTCTGTTCCTCTGTCATCTCTGGTCCTTCGTATTTCTTTGTATTGTTCTTGTAGAACTCACCTACTTTTGACGCACCTTTTGCAAAGTAGGTTCCACCGGTCACCAAACCTTTCGAAACCACAAGACTACCTTTTTCCAACTTTGTAGTTGCTTTGTCCATCTTTTGTGCTGTCCTATCGTTGTAACCCTCTTTCATTGGTGTTCTGAAATAACTTGTATAGAATGTAAAAATTACTTCCAATTTATCCAATGATTCCTGTGGTGTATTCCTAGATAATGAGAGAAGAGAAGAGAATCAATAAAGTTAATATTGAAATTATCTTATAATTGTTTCAAAATACATACTTTGGTAATTTCAATATAAAATAATTATTAAAGTTATCAGAGATTAAATAATGATGTGGATAGATTCTACATGCACATTTCTCTTTGAAATTGGTATAGATATAGATGTATCCCAGCTGAAGGATGATGGTGTCTTCCACCACTGTTTTGTAGATGATCAACTTGGTGTCTTTGACAACTGGATGCTCTTTCTGACCTAGTATACATGGTTTCAACTTGATATCGTCGATCTCCAATATGATTTCGGTGTATTGGAGTGTTGCAACATACATTGGATTGGTGAGTAGTAACTCTGGGTAGTTGGCCAACACCGTTGCATCGCCAGCACCAATCGATGTCATTGCGATTCTAGAGTGTGTATCAATGCTATTCTTTGTCTTTGAGAGACTGGATGAGAGTGAGCTCTTTTCTTTTGGTGTGTTGTTTTGATTGTAAGTCGCCACTGCCTGTTGATGATGTTGATAATATTCCGATGCTCCATCCTGTTGGTGTTGTGGCGAGTAGCTTGTTGGTGGTGTACTTGACTTTTCTAAACTAACAACATGATTATTAGGTGAACTTTGATTATATTGATTGGACTGATGATCATTATTATAATATTGATTGTTTTGATCATATTGATTATAAGTTGGTAGTGATTGTTGTACTTGTGGTTGATATGATTTCTCTAAGCTAATAACTGGTTGTGATGATTGATATACATATTCATTTTGTTGATATTGTTGTTGTTGTTGTTGTTGTTGTTGTTGTTGTTGTTGTTGTTGTTGTTGTTGTTGTTGTTGTTGCTGAAGTTGAATTGGGTTTAATGGAAGTGCTGGTTTTGGTTTTTGTGGTCTTGGTGGTGCTGATGGTGTTTGTTGGCTGGCCACCACTGGTTGTTGTTGTACTTGTGCTGGACTTTTATACGTTGATGAATTTGTCAAAGAAGGTGGAGGTTTTGACAATGGAACTTTTGGTCTAACTGGAGCAGCAGCTGCATTATTGTTTGGTTGTTGAATAGGTTGTTGTTGAACAGGCTGTTGCTGCTGAAGTGTAGAATTTGATGGTTGTTTATATAAAGATGGATAAATAGGTTGTAATTGTTGCGGTTGTGATGGCTGTGATGGTTGTTGTTGATATTGTGGTTGCGATGGTTGTTGATGTTGTTGTTGTTGTTGTTTAAGTTGTGAAGGTGGTGGAGGTGGTGGAGTCTTCTGAACTGGTGGTCTGGGTGCAGAGTAATTGTTACTATTGGTTGTAGTATTGGTATAGGTGGGAGTACTATTGTTGGTTGTCACCGTGGTCGGAGTAGCTTGTTTTTCCTCCTTATTATTACTTCCTACATTATTGATCGCATCTCTAGATTTCGCCACAAAATTATTGAATCCAGATTTCTAAAATAATTAATTTCAATAAAAATAAATTTTAGTTTCACATTTTATTAATTAAAAAAGTAAGTCAATCATCAAAATTTATTTAATCATCATCATATAATCTTACAAATGACATTTTAGTTAGTTAAAGGTTATAAATAAATCTATATAACTTTGTTTTGCTATCAATTCTTGATGATTAAAATAAATATAATGGTTATATGTTTTGTTGCAAACAAAAAAAAGTAGTCAGTTTTATTTTAATATCGGTAATAATTATGATTGCAACAACACAACCAAACAAGAATAAAAATTTATTTTTAAATTAATTTTTTTTTGATCAATCAACAGCAACCCACATTTTTTTTACATTATTATAAAAAAAAATCAGATTTTCTTTGAAAAAGAAGAAATGTTTACTTTTTTTCGTTCTAAAATTTAATATTATTTTAATTAATTGGTATCTATAAATATACAATGAATATAAGAGATTGTGCAATGAGTGAATCTGTACACAAAACAACATTTTAATATTCTCTTTATTAGTTAGTTTTGTAATTAAGAAAAAAATAAAATAATTTTTTTTTAAAAAAAAAAAGAACAAAAATGAAAAAAAACAATGACGTTTTAATGTTTTGTTGATTAAACTACAAAAGAAGAGAAAAAGATGACTATATACTTGGGTAGAACACCCCCAACCAATCCTAAATTCGAAATAATATACAAGTCTGATAAATATGTTGTAGTTAATAAACCATATGGTAAGAATTTAAATATATGAAGATAGATAGATCTACTTTTAAAAGAAAAAGAGTGGTTGAACTTATGATAAAGAAAAATAATTATAATAGATATTTGTATAGATGGAGATGATCGAGAATTTACTGTTAAGAAATATATTGAGAGTTGTTACCAAGAGGTAAAGGGGGAGGTGCGATTCGTCAATCGAATAGACTATGCCACGTCGGGCATTGTTTTGACTGCTACCACCAAATCCGATGCTAATGTCGCTGGTCAGCTATTCCAGAATCGTGCGACAAAGAAACATTACTTGGCGTTGGTATGGGGACATTTGCATCCGCTGTACGACACCAACGAGCCAGACACGACAGAGATCACCGTCGACAAACCGATTGCCGACGACAAAACCGACGTCAATGCATTCAAGATGTGTATAGGTGTCGCTGGTACCGACAACCCGGGCAGGCCGTCAACCACTCATGTCCGCGTCTTGCAACACGGCTACTACAACGGTAGGCCTGTTTCAAAGGTTCATTTGATTCCGCACACCGGACGACGACACCAATTGCGAGTGCATCTCGACACACTTGGTCATGTGATAGTAGGCGACGAGACATACGGTCCTAAAGACGCACAATGCTTTAGAATGATGTTACACTCATGGAAACTGACGATACCATTCAAGAATGAAACACTCAACTTTGAAACAGAGGATCCATTTAAAGATCTACTATCATTAACTTTAGAAGAATCAATACAAAAACAACAACAACAAACAGATGAAAATGAAGAAAAAGAAAAAGAAAAAGTAGTAACTTTAACAGATAGTCAAAAAATAGATAATAATAATGATAATAAAGAAGATAATAATAATAATAATAATGAATCAGTAACAACTACTACAGCAGCGGAATCAACAACTAATAATACAGAAACAGCTACAGTAACAACTAGTCATAAGAATAAATGTGAATGTAATGAAACGATAGATAATGAAAGTCATAAGAGATGTAAACTTGAACATCCCAATTCACAGTCAAATTAATAAATAAAATGATAATGTAAGTAAAGAAGCGAAACGAAACGAAAGAACAGTAGTAGATATTTTTTTTTATTTTTTTTATTTAAATTCAAAATATCATCACATCCAACAACTTAATAGATAGATAGATAGATAATTCAAATGCTAATTCTATTTTATTGTTATCATCTCATCATGTCACACCACCACAATCATTTCATTTTGCATGCAAATTTCTTCTTCTTTTTTAAAATAAATGAATTGTTTGTGTTGGTTGTCTGTGTCTACTTCCTTAATGTTGTTTGTTTAGAATCAACATTCACATCATCACCACATTTGCAATATCATTGCAAAAAGTAGAGTGACTCATCGTCGTAGCCTAAGATTATCATCTTATGCACATCTTTTTAATTATTAAAAAACGACAAAAAACAAAAAACAAAAGTGTGATGAACAAACATGGTTTTGTTTTAAAACTCTAAAATATCTGGATAAAATTAAAGATATTTTGGTATGAATTTTTAAAATAATATCTTTAATCTCCCCATCAATATAATTTGGTAAAGGAATTATTAAATTACTGGGTTACAAACATAATATATTTTTGAATGATCGTTTTTTGTTGTTGTTGTTGTTTTTTAATTTACTTTTTATTTACATTAATTATTTAATATTTTTTTTAATATCCAATCTTGTTTGTAATCTTATTCTATTTGGTCTTTTCTTTTCTTTTACTTTTCATTCTTTTCTTTAATTATTAAGATGCTAAGGTAACTGCCAAATCAAATAAGAGGTAATTATGTAATTATTTAACTGCTTTCTACACCACCTCCAATAATAATAATAATAGTAATAATAACAACCATATTTTTCAATGGGGAAAACTAAAAAGTTACCACAACTTGTGTCAAAAAAGTTTTTATAATATTATCCAAACAAAAAAAAAAACTAGATGTAACCCTCACACCAAATATTTTACATCTACCACATCTCTATTTATCTTTAAGATTAATGTTCATTTATCTTTTTAAATGAAAAAATATCTAACCTGATTTTTAATGAAACAAATAGATTGTTGTTTAAATATTATAATGTGTTGAGAACTTATTACTTTCTTCTATCTATCTAATAACTTATTTGCTAAAAAAATATGTATATATTAAGAACAATATTTGAAATATTCTTATAGTTAAATTTAAAAATCACGGATATTTGATTAATATTTTTTTGGTTTGTTGATCCCTCCCCAAAAACAATCACTTTGAATACCATCACATCATTATAATGTAGAATAAAATGTGTGAATGGCATTGAAGTTAGATTCTTTTTTTTGTGTGATGGAGTTTAATTGTTTAATTTTGGTTTTGCAATGTTGTGTTATTTATTGTTGTTATTGAAGTGAAAAGGGAATTCTAATATATTTTTACTCGTTAATCCCAAATTAAAATCCAATTAATTGGGATTTCAATGTTTTTAATGTCAATCATAAAAATAAAAAAAGTTCAGAGTCACTGTCGTCGAAAGCTCTCAATGAATGATTTTGGGAGTTTTCACTTATCATTGATAAAAACACCAATAAATGAATGACTCACTCACTGTTACCACTACACTACATGTGTTGTTGATCATCTACCATTAAATAAATGAGGGTTCGGGTAAGAGCACTAGTATACATCATTCATCTATCTTTTCATTTTCTTTTCTTTTCTTTAAATTGGCATCACACACAACAACCAGCAAAACACACCCTAAAGCTCTTGATTTGGTTATCTTTTGTTTTGTTTTTTTTTTTTTCATTTTCTATTTTTTTTTTAATCGTTTTTTTCAATATTAATATTAATATATATCATATCAATCAAACACAATCAAACAAACTACCACACATCACACTCTGGGAAAGATGCATATTGGAAATCCCAAAGTTATTTTTTTTAAAAATCAATTTTTATTGAATTCACAACCCCACTTCTTTAATTTTTTGTTTTTGCACAAAAAACTTTTTTTCATTTATTTTTTTGATTTTTTTTTTTTTTTTTTGGACCTCCTACAGTCGTTGAACAAAGCACCACCATGGTTTATGAAGAACTAAATAAATAGACACCAAAACTGGAAAGTTAATCCAATCCAATTTAATTAGGAACAACAATAGTTTGATTATTACTAATTTTATAAGTATATAATCACAATATCATATCCAATCAATCATTCAATCAATCATTATAATATTATTTTATATCTTAATACATATATAAATAAATATAAAACCAAAACAAATATATACATATATCGATTTAAATTTAAATATATATTTATATCTTGTTCTAACCTTTTTTAAAAAAATAAAATCTTTTTTTTTTTAGATTAAAAAAAACAACCAAAACAAAATAAATCCAATACATATCTCCACAACAATTATACATCCAAACAACAACCACACATAGTAAATCAATTTTTGATTTAAATACCAATCACTTTAAAAATTTAAACTTCTTTAATAATAGTTGTTTAAATTTATATTTGTTTCGATTTCAGAAAAAAGTCTAAACATAACATCTTTAAATTGAACCATTTTTATAAGTTCAAAAAAACATTTAAAAAACAAACAACCAGGTATGTAAATAATAAAACAAGAAAATGATATATTAAAAAAAGAAATTTGACACTAATTATTGATCTATTAATTTTTTTTATCTATTCCACATTTTTATAATTGCATTCCACATTTTCCATGTTTTACTTTTTCAAATTTACATTTTTTTTTCTTTTTAACATTTCCATATTACTTTACTATATTTTTAGTTTTTTTTTTTTTAAATATTAAATTCCCTATACCAATATTTTTAATTGTTTTGTATTTCTAATAAAAAAGAAAGAAAAACAATTTTTTAAAATCTATATTTATTTATTTATTTTCATAATCATTTTTATATATAAAAGAATAATAATAAGAACATTGTTAAAATGTCTGAACAACAAGAACAATCATCTACAAGTCAAGATGTAGCAGTTATAGGTATGGGTTTGAGATTTCCAGGTGGCTCTAAAAATCCAAATGAATTTTGGGAACACATGGTAAATCGTTTCGATGGTATCTCAAAGACTGCCGATACCAGATGGGCTCAATCTTTCTACGATCAAGACTTTATTTCCAATGAGTTTGGTGGTTATATCAGTGAGGAAGAGTGGAAGCGTTTCGATCCACTGTTCTTTGGTGTACTCCCAAAGGAAGCGATCCATTTGGATCCACAACAACGTGTTCTCATGACCATTCTCTGGGAGGCACTGGAAGATGCCCAAATTCAACCAGCTAAAATCCGTGGTTCCAACACCGGTGTTTTCATTGGATTGATGAATCTCGACTATCAGAAGCAAGGATTCCGTGAGATCACCGATATGTCACCGTATTTGCTTACCGGTAACGGTAATTCTTTTATTTCCAATCGTTTGTCGTTTGCCTTTGATTTCCGTGGTCCCTCCATGACTTTGGATACCGCTTGTTCGTCGTCGTTGAATGCCGTCTATCTCGGTGTCCAGGCGATTCAAACCGGTGATTGTGAGATGGCTGTTGTCGGTGGTGTCAACGCGCTCTACGATCCAACCATCTCGATTGCATTCACTAACTTTGGAATGTTGTCACACAAGGGTAAGTGTCGTAGTTTCGACGCGTCCGCCGACGGTTTCGTACGTGCCGAGGGTGCTGGTCTCTGTGTCTTGAAGTCATACGACGCTGCCATTCGTGACGGTGACCGTATCTACTGTGTCATCAAGGGTGGAAGCTCCAACGTCGACGGTTACAACAAGAAGAACACCATCACTGCACCATCGATGCACGCACAATCCGAGAATATCGAGTTGGCATTGAAGAAATCGAATCTTCAACCCGAAGATATCTATTATATCGAATCTCACGGTACTGGTACTCCAGTTGGTGATCCAATCGAAGTGGAGGCACTCTCGCTCGTGTTTGCCGACAATCACACCAAGAACAATCCATTGAAGATCGGTTCCGTCAAGTCGAACATGGGTCATCTCGAGAGTGCAGCTGGTATCGCTTCACTCATCAAAGTTTGTCTGATGCTCAAGAATCGTCAGCTCATTCCAAACATCCACTTTGAGCGTGTCAATCCAAAGATCAAACTCGACGAATGGAATGTCCAAGTCGTCACCGAACAAGAGCAATTCCCAGAGGACAAAGTTGTTCGTATGGGTGTAAATAGTTTTGGTCTCTCAGGATCAAATTGTCATATTATTTGTGAAGAAGTTAAATCAAATTTAACAGTATGTATAAAAAACTAATATTAGTAATTTAGAAAAAACCAACTTTGTTTTTAGTTTTACTAATTAAAATTTTCCAAAAACAAAAGAATAATAATGTAAATCAAATAGAAAAAGAATATTTAGTTCCAGTATCTGCCAATTCTAAATTATCGTTGGATAAATATATGGAGGAGATCAAGAATAATCAATCGAAATTCGTAGAGTCAATTCCATTCGAAGATTTCGTTCAGCATCAAATTTTGGCACGTTCTCACTTGTATGCCTCTCGTAGAGTAGTGGTTGCTCGTAACTGGCAAGATTTCATTGAACAAAAGACTGCCTACTCGACTTCTTCCACTTTGTCATCGAATATCGCTGCACTCGGTTTGGAGCAAAAGACACCGATCGTTTTCGTTTTCTGTGGTCAAGGTCCACAATGGAAAGCCATGGGTAAAGTATTATACGCAGCCGAGCCAGTCTTTAGAGAAGCAGTCGATCGTTGTGATGCTCTACTCACCAAGCTCTTTGGTTACTCAATTCTTGCCGCTCTCGACAAGTTGGAATCGGAATCGTCCCCAGAGATTCACGAACCTAAATTGGCACAACCATCGGTTTTCTTGATTCAAGTTGGTTTGGTTGCTCTCTACGCCCACTGGAATATCAAGCCAACCATCGTTGTCGGTCACAGTTTCGGTGAGGTAACTGCTGCGCTCGCAGCCAACATCTTGAGTTTGGAGACTGCCGCCAACATTGTCTATCATCGTTCGACCCTCCAGAATCTCACCATTGGAAGTGGACGTATGATGTCGATCGGTATTGGTGCCGACCAATACGTCCGTGACTACGCATCGCTCTATCCAACCATTGAAATTGCATGCTACAACTCACTCGATTCCATCGTTATCACAGGTGCCGAATCCACTCTCAAGGAGGTTGCCAACAAGCTCAAGGAGTCGGGAATCTTCACTGCTTTCCTCACTACTCCATGCTCGTTCCACTCCTCTCACCAAGAGAAAATCAAACAACAGGTATTCGATTCACCACTTGCCAACTTGCAGTACAACGACGGTCCAATGCTGCCGTTCTTCTCTACCATTCACGGTGGACAACTCCATTCCAAAGAGGAATACAACACCCAATACATCTACGACAATCTTCGTCAACCAGTTGAATTTACCAAAGCAATCGATAACATCTTTGGATACATTCAATCCAATCAACTTGGAACCTCGCCAATCTTTATTGAAGTCGGTCCACATCCAACCCTCCAATTCTACATCAAGAAGCTTGTACCTGCTCCACAGTCGGACGAGCATGCTTTCACTCCACTCATTCTCTCACCACTCCACAAGAAGAAGAACGATATTGAAGTAATGCAATCAACACTTGCTGCAATCTACAATCACGGTATCAACATTGACTTTGCCTCACAATTCAACAATCAAAACAACGCCTGGAAGGAATTGACTCACATTCTCCCAAGATACCAATGGGACACCGAAGAATACTGGCACGAGCCATTGATCAGTCAAAAAGTAAGATTAGAAGGTCCATCCTCAACAATCCTAGGAAACAAAGTGAATACCGGTGGATTACTTTATCAAACAGTTATTAATGTTACATTAGAGTAAGTTGCGATATTATTTGTTATAATAAGTTATTCTTCGTTTATTAATTCTATGTTATTATTATTATATTTAGTTCATTCAATTTCTTGAAGGGTCATAAGATTAAAGGAAAATACTTATTCCCAGGATCTGGTTACATTGATAATATTTTGAATATTTTCAAAGGACAAGATGTCTCGATTCACAATTTGGAATTCAATATTCCATTCTTCTTGACTGACGGTGTTCAACATCACTTGCAATCGAATGTCGTTCAAAACTCAAAGAATGAATACAAGGTTGAATTCAACTTTAAGGAGAATCATCAAACCGATAAGTGGATCAAGTCTGCTCATGGTCGTGTCTCAACCTATCAACCATTGCAACCGGCAGCCGTTCCAAAGGCTAATCTCGACCAACTCCGTCAACGTTGTAACCTTGCTACTTTGTCAAAGGATGAAGTGTACACCAAGTTGCAAACCCTCGGTTTGCCCTACGGTCCAACCTTCCAACGTATTGAATCGTTCTCCTTCGGTACCAATTGCTCGTTCGCCACTCTCCAGCTGCAACCACCAACCTCAAGATTCGACACCGGTAGCTTCTTCAATGCTTCCATTCTCGATTGTGCTCTTCACGGTCTTTTGGCTTTGATGGACGGTCCACAAGAAATTGTTTTCGAACGTTTGGAACACTTCAAATTGTACTCTGCCAACTTGCCAGCTGTTCGACCAACTCATGTCTACTTGTTCAACAAGGTCATCAAGGAAGCTGGTAACACATCGCAAGGTTCCGTCGAGATGTTCTTGGAGGACGGTACAATCATTGCCAGCTTTGGTAAGATCGTATCAAACTCTTTGATTAAAGTAAAGAGAACCTCTACCATTAAAGTTCCAGCCAAGGAAACCTACTCACAAGTTTGGCAACCAAAGGAAGCTGTATTGGCAACTCCAGTTATCAGCCAACCAAGCGCAACCGCTGAATGCACCATCGACCTCGAATTGGATAGCAATTTCAGAGATTTCGTTGGTCAATTGATATATACCAATGTATTCAATTCTCAGCCAGTCTTGGATCAATCCCTCGATCAACTCTTCACTCAATTCAACGTTGACGATAAGAATAAGAACTTGTTTGCTAGATTGTTCGATTTGGTTAAGGATGTCAATGTTCAATCGAATGTCAGCGAGACCAAACAGGCATTGCTCACTAAACAAGGCGAATCATACTCAAGAGATATCGAATTGGTTGAAAGATCACTCATTCAAGTCATTCCATCAATTTTGAATGCAAGTGACGCAGCTTCAACCGATAGCATTATCAATCAACAAGATGATGCTGGATTCACCAGTGTTGAACATATTCAATACAATTCCAAATTATCTCAAGAAGCAATCGCTTCACTCGTTTCATTGGTTGAATCATCGATTGCATCCATTCCAACAGCTACCAAAAATATCTTTAAGATTTTGGATGTTGCCAGTCAGTCGGATACCAAGAGATCTACCACTGTCAAATTGTTACAATCAATCAACAATCAATTGAACAACAGCAATGTCGTTGTTGAATACACTGTTATCTGTCCATCTGTTGATGTCAAGGAGTCACTCAAATCGCTCCTAGCTCCATTGGCAAGCGATAATCTCCTCATCAAATATCGTACTACAATCAACATTGAAAATGATTTGGTCGAACAAGGATTGCTCGTTTCCAACTACCATTTGGTTATCTCTCATTACACTCTCAGTAGTTCAGCTGTCAGCATTAAGACCATCGTCAACAACCTCACTCAAGTTCTCACACCATCTGGACAATTGGCTTTGATTGAAGCACCAAGATCCTCGGTTGTCTTTGATTTGGTTGCCGGTATCAATGTTGAAAAGTATTACAATAACTTCCAACAAGATGAAACTAGATCCGCCAACAACCATTGTGCTATCTCCAACAATGAGTTGAGCCAGTTGCTATCGTCTGTTGGTTTGCTCAATAGCACTTCAACTTTGACTCTTCCACATCAATCTTATTTAACCGTTGCTCAAAAGCCATCGATTCAACAATCAACTTCAACTTCCACACCAATCGATAAGATTGTTTTCGTTGTTGCCGGAACTGAATACGATGAGACATTCACTCAACAAGGTTTGTTGAATGCCAACAAGATTGAAATCATCAAATCATCGGATATTCTCGACCAATCCAATAACCAAGATCAACTTTTATCGCAAGTCAACGATGGAAAGAACAACTACATCTTCTTCCTTGCTGGTTTAGAGTCACTCACCATTGAGAACTACAAGATTAGAACCATGGAGTTTGTCAAACTCAATCAAATCTTGTTGAAGAATCAAGTCACCAATGTCAAGACTGTTTTGACAACCTTGAATGCTCAACGTGAGTCAAGCAACTACTTGAATACCTCATTGGTTGGTATCTACCGTTATTTCCTTGAATTCCAATCGACTTTGCAAACAGTTGCTATTGATCTCGATGTTGAATCTGCCAGCAAGGTCGATCTCTCATACTTGATCAAGTTGTCAAACACCGCCACTCTTGGCGACAAGGAATTCTTGCTCCGTAACAACAAACCATTGGTTCAAAGAGTATTCCTCGAACCAACTCTTCTCACTTCACCATCTTCCTACGAGAACAACACTGACAAACTCTGTTGCAAGTTGAACTCCAACCTCCAATTTGTATTCCATCCACGTGACCAACTCCTCCCAGAACAAGTTGAGATCCAAGTCAAGGCAACCGGTATCAACTACAAAGACAATTTGTTCTATCGTGGCTTACTCCCACAAGAAATCTTTAGCAAGGGTGATATCTACAATCCACCATTCGGTTTGGAGTGTGCCGGTATCATTTCACGTGTTGGAAGTGCCAGTCACTTCAAGGTCGGTGATGAAGTAGTTGGTTTCGCCAGTCACTCTTTCTCATCACACGTTATCACTCACCAAGATCGTATCGTCATTAAACCAAAGAGTATTAGCTTCGTCGAAGCTGCTGCCATCCCAGTCGTCTACGCCACTGCCTACTATGCCATCTTCCACATCGGTCGTTTCATCCCATCAAAGGATTCCATCTTGGTACACTCCTCAACCGGTGGTGTTGGTATCGCCGCTCTCAACCTCTTGAAATACAAACAACACACCGGTCCTGTATTTGCCACCATTGGTGGTTCCAAAGAGAAACGTGAATATCTCGAGAAACGTTATGGTAGTTTGATTACCAGCATCATCTCAACCGCCAACAACTCTGTCGCCGGTGGATATCCAGACGCCATTCGTCAATTCCCAGAGACAAGAGAAGGTGTTGACATTATTTTGAACACATTGTCTGGTGATTTCCTCAAACCAAACTTTGATGCTCTCTCACCAATCGGTCGTATCATGGATCTCTCTGTCACCCAGTTAATGGAGAACGACAACATTGACATTGAAGTATTCAAATATCATGTTGGTTATCAAACTATCGATTTGGAGCGTGCCATTGCCTACAGTCCAAAGGTTGTAAACGGTATCTTGCGTGAAGTATTCCAAGCCATTGATCAAGGTCAACTCGACTCCATCCCAGTCGAATCATTCCCAGTCAAGGAGACCAAGAAGGCTATTGAATACATCAATGAGAGAAAGCACATTGGTAAGCTTGTTGTTGATTTCGAGAAATTCGACCAAGATGTTTTGGCTCCACTCCTACAGGATGTTGCCGATCAAAAGGTTGCTGCCATTCTCAAACCAAACTACACAATCGACGGTTTGGATTCAACTCTTTTGATTACCGGTCAAACTGGTATTGCAGTCTGCATTCTCCGTTGGATTCTCCAACACGCACCAGCCAACCTCAAGAACGTCATTGTTCTATCACGTTCTCAATTGAAGTGGGAGCTCGAGCTCTTGATCAACCAACAAAAGGCTGCCAACAGTCCAATTCAAATCCACTATAGATCTGTCGATGTTGCTAATTTCAGCAATTTGAAATCGACTGTTCAAGAACTCTATCAATCGAATCCATCTATTGGACCAGTTAAATCGGTCATTCACTTTGCCACTATCTATGACTATTGCGACGTTGAATCAATCTCACAAAAGACAATCGATTCCACTCATAATCCAAAGGCTGTCGGTGCATTCAATCTCCACAAACTTGGTTTGGAGCTCAACTTTGCTTTCAACCATTTCATTTTGTTCTCATCGATTGTTGCCGTTCTTGGATCAACCAACCAAGCTTCCTACACCTCTGCCAACTTTGTCTTGGATGGTCTTGCCAACTACAGAAGATCTCAAGGTCTCAATGCTACCGCTATTAACTGGGGTGGTTTGGGTTCGGCTGGTGAAGCTGCCAAAGACAAGTCTGTCACTCAATTCCTCCAATCGCGTGGTATCCTCTTGTTGTCACTTCCAAAGATTCTCGGTACTTTGAACGGTATTTTCAATGCTGAGCTCTCACAACAATCCACTCAAGTGATGGCAAGTAGCTACACCTACAAATCACTCTTTGACTATTGTCCACAGATTCGTCCAAAGATGGAGCATCTCGCTGCCGATGAAGATCTCGAGAAGAAGCAATCCACTTCCAACAGCTCCGCAGGTGGAAACAGTGTATTCGATCGTGTTGTCGCTCAAATCTCAGAGTTGTTATCAATCCATCCATCCAAGCTCAACTATGATACCAGATTAAAGGATTACGGTATTGACTCATTGTTGACTGTTCAATTGAAGAACTGGATCGATCAAGAATTCCAAAAGAATCTCTTCACCCATCTCCAATTGTCTTCCAACTCTATCAATTCAATCATCCAAAAGATCTCTGCTAAAACTCCAACTGCCACTGCTGCTGCCACCACTGCAACTGCTACCTCTGCCAACAAGGAAGTTCAATTGTCAACCTCCAAGCCAGGTACCAAACCAATCGAGTTCTGGAAGAAAGAATTGGAATTGGATCAAGATATCACTCCATCTGCCACTTTGAAACCAGCGATTGCCATCACCAACGATGCTCCAATCAATGTATTCTTGACTGGTGTAACCGGTTACTTGGGTATCTACTTACTCTCTGACTACCTCAACAAACCAAACGTACAAAAGATCTACTGTTTAGTTCGTGCCAAGGCTTCAATAGAAGAAGCCAGACAGAGTGTCTTTAACAAGCTGAATCAATACAGATTGACTTGTGATGTTGCCGCCTTCGACCAACGTGTTGTATTGGTTCTCGGTGATCTCTCACAACCATTGTTTGGATTGCAACATGCTGAATTCACTAAACTAGCCAACTCTGTCGATTTGATTGTAAGCAACGGTGCCAATGTCAACTTTATCGAGTTCTACGATGAGATTCGTCTTACCAACATCAACGGTACCAAAGATATCATTCGTTTGGCAATCACTGGTGACACATTGAAGCGTATCATCCACGTTTCCTCCATCTCTGTATTCTTCAACGACAATCGTAATGAATCGATCACCGAAGATGTCTATCCAACATTGAATCACATCAACGACATGAATGGTTACATCCAATCCAAGGTTGTCACTGAATATCTCATCAAGGAGGCTTCGGCTCGTGGAATCCCATCGCAGATTGTCAGAGTCGGACCAATTTTCGGTGATTCTACCACTGGTATCGACAATGAAAACGATATCCTCGGTTTGGTTGTCAAGTCGATCTTTGAGCTCCGTTCCTACCCAGCTTTCAACCAACAATTGGGAGAAGGTAACATCAACACCTCTCCAATCGACTGGGTCTCCAAGTCATTCGTAGGTCTCACCCTCCACGGTCAATACTGGAGCAACCAATTGCAACCAACCGTCTACCACTTGATCAATCAAGATGAAAAGAGACAAATGAAGAATCTCACTGACATCTGTAACATTATCAACCAACAATACCCACTTACCGTCGAACCAGATTTCCTCCAATGGAAAGAAAAGTTGATGACCTCGAACAGCACACCATGCAAGAAGATCAGAGGTTTCTTTAGAACTGCAAAGACTTTCCCACTCTTCCACATTGGATTCGGTGACTGCAAGAGAACCATGGAACATCTCAACCACCTTGGTATTCCACCATGTGAAATCACCACCGAAACAATCATCAAGAATATTGAATACTATCAAACAACTTCAAAATAAATAAACAAATGCACAATATATATAATTTAAAATTTAAAATTTATGATTAATTTTTATTTTTTGGTTTCACTTTGTGGTTTTAATAAAAGATTATGTTTCTCTAGTACTGATATAATATCGGTGAATCCTTTATGATATGCTCGACTGAAAATATCTTCAAATTTAGCTGTTTTCTCTACTCTTTGTTTGTTGTTCATTTGGTTTATAATAAAGTCCAATATTTCACCTCCATTATGTCGTAGGCATTCATGGATATTATAATAGGCACAGGGAAACTTCTCCAAAAGATAAGAAAAAGAATTGATGAGTCCACACTTAATGGATACATCCATCATTGGTGTCACATGGGTTTCCTCTGAAATAATACATGAAAAACTTTCAACAAAAAATTGGAGTATATTGAATTGTAAAGGTAATTTTCTAAATAGTCTTGGCTGCCAGTGCAAGTCTTCAACTGAAGTGATCCTCTCGATGATAAACTTTGCAATATCGCATCTATCATAATGAATTGCAATTTCCAATTCAAAGCCACAATTGGTTCTTGGTTTGTGTTGGAACAAACATATCACCAGATCCAATCGACCACATGCAATTGAATCCCATAATGATTGAAGTAAGAATCGATAGTATGTATTTCTATTGGTGATCTTTGAACAATGGTCCAAGAAGAATTGAAGTGACTCTACCTTTGTCCACTGGTCAATCGATTCGAATGCGACATTGATAAACTCTGGATTCAACGATTGTATGTATTTCAGTGACTCCAATGATGGTAATGTTTGCCTGAACTTATCTGTTGGATCTGACAGTTTCATCTCTTTCTCTGGTGTTAGGAGATGTCCATATTCAAAGAGATCACGTTTAAACAATGATTTACTGAGGTCATAGAGGCTTGAGCTCACAACAGGAGTGATTCCTAATGTCTTTATCAAATATCCAATTCCATGTCCGTCATAATCCTCCAGGTCCTCCAGAATCCAAAGAATATTTCTGGCATCATGGAACTGAGCGATTGTTTGAATTATTTCTGTTGTATGGTGGTTGGTAAGCTTAATTGATACTGGTGGTGTATTAATATTACCACTGAGGTTTGACCATTTAATTTGTTGAGTGTTTCCATAGTTGTAAATTGATTCATTCATTGAGTCATGGCTGATTATATAATTAGTCAAATGAATGTTTAGCAAAGTGTTGTTCGTGATTGTCAAATATCTAAAAAACACAGGTGACACTTCTTCAGTGTGTTGATGACCTAATGATTTCAGATGCAACGAGAGTTGGTGTAGATTGATAACTGTTTGAATGGTAGCTGGTAAATCATCAATAATATTACTTGTTCTTTCATCTTTGATTCCATGTTGACTTGACAATATATACACTATCAAATCTAAACTAATGGTTGAGTTGACCAATGGTTCGAGAGAGTTTAGAGTATTGACAATACTCCTTTGAAGGACTACAATCTGAATGGGATTTGCAGGATCTTCTAACAACTTGAACAATTGACAATCACCTGACAGATAGAAACTTTCAGACATTTCAACACTGGATTCAAGATAGTTTATAAACAAATCTATATTGTTTGACGCTAAAAATCTTGCTATCTCCAGGTTAAATTGACAATTGGATGGGATAGGGCATTTATCCTTTAACAATCCAACACAAAAAGGAAGCATTTCAACTTGGTAGTTTGAGACGGCAAGGATGAATGCATCCTTTGCCCGTGCTGGGTCGTTCTCAAACAACGATGTAAATTCCGATTGCAAATATTCTGCGATATCTTTACGACCGAATTGAAAAACTACTTTGGTCAATGTCTCGTATAATGTCTCTTCTCCTAATATCTCATCTCTATACCTAGGGAACAAATGTTTAAAGATATCCCATGGCATATTCTTAAAGAATTTGATTACTCCTCCTTCGAATGGTTCATAGGAAAGATTGGCGCCATCTCTTATCTTATCTGCCAACAGACCGAAATGACCATTGGTAATCATCCAATTGGCATCTACAATATTGTGGTAGTCGTATCGCCAGATCCTCAGTGAATGATAGGCATCGCGCGGCTGAGAATACAGCGTTTTACGATAGGCAAAGATGTCGAATGACTTTATGATATATCGAAACAAGTACTTCTGACAGAGAACTCTTCGAATGACATCGGTATGGTGTTGTTCTCTACATGTTGTATTATTACAACGATGGTTGCTACCATCACTAAACTGTGAATGATAATAGCTATTGTCTTTAACCATCTTGTTCTTCTTCCTCTCAGTTTCTTCTCCTTCTCCGACCTCTTGCTCTCCCTCTTTATTATTGAAAGATATCAATTTCACATTAACATCATTCACCAGGTCATGATAATCATATCCATTATCCCAATAGGACGCTCCATCGTGATCGAATATTTCAAACCACAATTGATTATCTCTTACACCAACAACTATAATATAAAAGAATAGTTAAATACTAATACTAAGATAATCACTTCAAGTTAACAATAATGTTTGTTACCTAAACCTTGACCAGAAGTAGTTTCAACTAAATCACCATTGAAAAAACCATATTTACTACAAGATTCAAATGACGTATCGAATTCAAATAAACTTCCAACTTTTGTAACACATAAAACTGTATTACTATCATCTAACATTGACATTCTTTTTACTTTATTACTTCACTTTAAAAAAGAATGAGTTTCTCTCTGTATGAAAATATTTTAAAACACACATCCCTCATTGAAATGAAGAAATGTAAAACAAAATTTCTTATCTTTTTATCATTTTTTAACTTTTAAAATAAGCATTCCTCATTGAAATGAAGAAATGTAAAACAAAATTTCTTATCTTTTTATTAATTAAAAAAGATGGTGTGTGCCACTTGGTCAATCAAGATGAAAAGAGATAAATATAGAAGCCCAACGAAATTTGTTACATGTAACCACCAATACCTGAGAAGATTTTACAATGGTTGAAGAATATTGAACTTATTTTCAAACAAATTTAAAATATTATTAATTAAAAAAAATAAATATTTAATGCTTAACTTTTATTTTTTTTCTTGGTTTTAATAAAAGATTATGTTTCTCTAAAACTGACAGAACATTGCGGAATCCATTAGAATGTGCTCGACTGAAAATATCTTTGAATTTAGCTGTTTCCTTTGCTCTTTGTTGGTCGTTCATTTGTGTAATAATAAAATCTAATGTTTCACCTCCGTGATGTGAAAGGCATTCATGGATATTATAATAGGCACCTGGAAACTTCTCCAAAAGATAAGAAAAAGAATTGATGAGTCCACACTTAATGGATACATCCATCATTGGTGTCACATGGGTTTCCTCTGAAATAATAGATGAAAAACTTTCAATTAAATATTTGAGAATGTTGAATCTTATAGGTAAAAATTTAAATAATCTTGGTCTCAATTGTTTAACAGAAGTGATTCTCTGGATGATAAACTTTGCAATATCGCATCTATCATAATGAATTGCAATTTCCAATTCAAAGCCACAATTGGTTCTTGGTTTGTGTTGGAACAAGCACACTACCAGATCCAATCGACCACATGCAATCGAATCCCATAATGATTGAAGTAAGAATCGATAGTATGTATTTCTATTGGTGATCTTTGAGCAATGGTCCAAAAAGAATTGAAGTGACTCTACCTTTGTCCACTGGTCAATCGATTCGAATGCGACATTGATAAACTCTGGATTCAACGATTGTATGTATTTCAGTGACTCCAATGATGGTAATGTTTGCCTGAACTTATCTGTTGGATCTGACAGTTTCATCTCTTTCTCTGGTGTTAGGAGATGTCCATATTCAAAGAGATCACGTTTAAACAATGATTTACTGAGGTCATAGAGGCTTGAGCTCACAACAGGAGTGATTCCTAATGTCTTTATCAAATATCCAATTCCATGTCCGTCATAATCCTCCAGGTCCTCCAGAATCCAAAGAATATTTCTGGCATCATGGAACTGAGCGATTGTTTGAATTATTTCTGTTGTATGGTGATTGGTAAGTTTAATTGATACTGGTGGTGTATTATTACTATTTTCGGCATTTGCCATCTTAATTTGTTGAATATTTCCATAGTTGTAAATTGATTCATTCATTGAGTCATGGCTGATTATATAATTAGTCAAATGAATGTTGAGCAAAGTGTTGTTCGTGATTGTCAAATATCTAAAAAACACAGGTGACACTTCTTCAGTGGTGTTGATGACCTAATGATTTCAGATGCAACGAGAGTTGGTGTAGATTGATAACTGTTTGAATGGTAGCTGGTAAATCATCAATAATATTACTTGCTCTTTCATCTTTGATTCCATGTTGACATGACAATATATACACTATCAAATCTAAACTAATGGTTGAGTTGACCAATGGATCGAGAGAGTTTAGAGTATTGACAATACTCCTTTGAAGGACTACAATCTGAATGGGATTTGCAGGATCTTCTAACAACTTGAACAATTGACAATCACCTGACAGATAGAAACTTTCAGACATTTCAACACTGGATTCAAGATAGTTTCTGAACAGATCTATATCGGTTGAAGCTAGAAATCTTGCTCATCTCCAAGTTAAATTGACAATCCGATGGGAAAGTGGATTTATCCTTTAACAATCCAACACAAAACGGAAGCATTTCAACGTGATTGTATGTGACAGCAAAGGATGAATGCACGTTTGGCCACCTCTGGAAAAACGATAAACAAAGATCCAAATTCCGATTGTATAAAGTCAGCAATATCCTTGCGACCAAATTGAAAAACAACTTCAATAATTCCCGCAAAGACCTCCTTCTCTCGTAGTATCTGCTCTTTATACCGAGGAAACAAGTGCACAAAGATATTTAGTGGCATATTATCCAACGATTTACATAATCTGGCTTCAAACCAATAATCATAGGAAAGATTGGCGCCATCTCTTATCTTATCTGCCAACAGACCGAAATGACCATTGGTAATCATCCAATTGGCATCTACAATATTGGTGGTAGTCGTATCGCCAGATCCTCAGTGAATGATAGGCATCGCGCGGCTGAGAATACAGCGTTTTACGATAGGCAAAGATGTCGAATGACTTTATGATATATCGAAACAAGTACTTCTGACATAGAACTCTTCGAATGACATCGGTATGGTGTTGTTCTCTACATGTTGTATTATTACAACGATGGTTGCTACCATCACTAAACTGTGAATAATAATAGCTGTTGTCTTTAACTATCTTGCTATTGGAATTCTTCTTCTTTTTGTTCCTCTTATTCTTCTCTTTTTCTTCTTCTCCTTCTATATTATTGAAAGATAACAATTTCACTTTAACTTTATTCACCAGGTCATGATAATCATCTCCATTATCCCAATAGGACGCACCGTCGTGACCGAATATTTCAAACCACAATTGATTATCTCTTACACCAACAACTATCATATAAAAAAAGAATAGTTTAGTTAAATATTAATACTAAGAGATAATCATTTCAAGTTAATAATAATGTTTGTTACCTACCTAAACCTTGACCAGCAGAAGTTTCAACTAAATCACCATTGAAAAAACCATATTTACTACAAGATTCAAATGACGTATCGAATTCAAATACATCTCCACCTTTTGTAATACATGAAACTGTATTACTATCATCTAACATTGACATTCTTTTTATTTTATTACTTCACTTTAAAAAAGAATGAGTTTCGCGATCATTATTCATGTTTTTTCATTGAATGAGGGATAAACTTAAGTATTTAATTTTTTCAAATGCTTTGTCTCATTAAAAATTTTTATGTTATTTTTTTTTATTTTCAGACCATTTGTTTCTCCTCCACATTACTTAAGAATAAAAACATTTGATTTATTGGGAAAACATGTTGATAGTATATATAAATAAATGATCAAACAAAGATAATCAATCGATTATAAATAGAAACAAAAATGGAATCTAAATATACATTATCTATTTAAAACTAAAACAATAATAATTATCTATTTAATTTAAATAAATATGAATATGAATATGAATAAATTACAAAAATTAATAATTGTTATCATATTATTGTTATCATTGACCGGTACCTATCAGGTTAATTCACAATTTCTGCAATATTTGAAGATTTCCAATTATTTGACTGCCGGATGTTTCGGTAATCCTGTTTCCTATTCATGGTTGCAATTGAATCGTTGTCGTTCCAATACCATCTACGTAGTGACCAACAGTTCGAATCCGGCATTGACATCGTCGAGCTCCTCGGGTTTCCTAACTGGCTTTACCTCTGGACTCTCGGGATTCACCAATCCAATCACTAGCCTGATGACTTCATCGTCATCCGCTGCTTCATCGTCATCCTCCACTGCACTCCCAATTGTTCCAGTCGTCGTTGAGATGTACTGTATTGATCCAACCTGTTCACAACCAGAGAATTGTATTCCCGGCCAAGCGGTGCCAATCGATAACCTGTGTACTCCATCGACCAACGGTTTCTTCATGATCTACTCCATTGAGAATTCAATTGTGTTCACCAAAGACAACAACATGGGCAATTGCTATAGCCAATCGTATCAGAGTGTTTGTAACCTTCCACCGTACCACGCCACTTAAGACGGTAACAACATCGCCAACATCGGTTACTTTGTCAATTGCACTGCGAACACCTACAACTACTATACCTGCATGGATGTAGAGTGTACAATGTCAACATTGAAATACAGTACAATCACCAACAAGTGCCTATCGAACTCCAATGTATCAACCAATCCCAGTTTCATTAAATACTCTTCATTCATTCCCGTTGGTACATCACCAAGCTCCACTGCTGCATCTTCCACATCATTCATTTCAACCACACCAATCTCAACATTAGATACATCCGGTTCTATTATTACACAACAATCACAATCTACAACAACCAGTGATAATGGAATAACAACAACAGGTGTAGATGAATCATCTGCATCATCCACTTCATCAACATCATCTTCATCATCATCTAAATTAACTATATTTACAAGTTGCACATCATCATTATTTATCTTTATAATTATTATTAATATCTTTAAATATTTGTTCTAAAAACAAATCTAAATGATCTAACAAAATAAAGTTATAAAAAAACATTTTTGTGATTGTGCAAAAATAAAAATCTGAAATGTCGGATCGCCCACAACCTGCTATGATGATATTTTTGCAAAATAAAATTAATTAAAAAAATATTAAAAAATAATCAAAAAAAAATATCTTTTCAACTTCCTCTGCAAACACACCTCACCACATATAACTTTTCAATTTTTGTAGTCCAAAGTATTTTTATTCATCTAATAATTCTGTCTATCTAATCTTTTTAATTATTATTTGTTTATTTTGAATGTTTTATGTATATACATATTTTAAATGACAGATAGAACTACTACTATAACAACAACAACTACAACAACTACATTATCATCATTATCATCCTCATCTTCGAAAACAGATATTATAGACAATTATTCGAATTCAAATAATAAAATTAATAACAACAATAATAATAATAATATTATTAAATTAAAAACAATGTCAAATAATAATAATAATAATAATAATAATAACAATAACAATAATGAAAATACTACAACAGATCATATAGATATTAATAGTAGTAGTATTGGTAGTGATAATAATGTTAATAAGAGATCAAGTGTTTGGATTCCACCAAATAAAAGTATTGTATCATTTAAACAAATATTTGTTTTATTTTGTTTGTTTATTAAAGTTTTTAAAAAAAAAAAAAAAGAATAAAAAGTTTTAAATATTAATATGTAATATATGTATGTTAATTTAATTTAGGTGCACTTAAATTTCAACCAAGTCTAAGACAAAGATTAGATGAAATAACAGTTGGACCGATTGCAGAGATGTTGATATTGAGAGTATCGATACCAGAACACCAAACGATCTCTTCATTCAAGGTGTTGCGTGAGAATCTTGTAAAGGATCTGCTGTTCTCCGTCATCAAGAAGAAACGACTGTTGAATAGTGAGCAACATCGATATTCATTGTATCTGGTACCAAACAACAAAGTGGAATGTGGTGTTTGGATGGATGAGAGTAAACCTCTGTGGATCTACGAACTCTACGATCAAGATCTAATCGAATGCAAACTGAAAACACTCGAGAAGGAACCGACCTATCTCAAAGTGGTATTCCCCGAACAAATGAAAACCAAAACATTCCAAGTCGACGATAAAATGTTGGTTAGAGATGCAATTCAGCTGATCACCTCGAAATTAGATGTATTATATTTCATTGGTCAAGATTTAAAGTAACTACTATATTCTCTTTGGAAAAGGCTATCTTGATTGATCACTTTGTAACTAACTATTATTATCACTTTTAAAAAACAACAAAGGTATTATGGATTATTTGCATTGTTAAATGATGGATCGGAAGTGTTGTTACAAGATGAATTACTTTTAACTACATATTCACTTGGCAATATGAGTATTATAGAGTTCAAAAAGAAAGATATCATTGTATTGTCAATAGATGATACACCATTATTGGATATGAATATGAATATTAATATTCCACAGATTGTTGTATCTAATAATAATAATAATAATAATCATTATCAAGGTGATAGTGGTGTAAATTCAACTAGTGTTGGTGGTGTTGCTAGCTCTGCTTCGATTACCTTTAGAAATTCAGCATCGTCATCGGCATCGTCAACTTCATCACTATCCTATGTTGTACCGGTGAATCAAGTAACCATTACATTCAGTACGAAATCAACGGTCAAAGAGATGATCTCCGACCTATCGCCATGGTTGGAATCACAGATAAAGAAACGTACTCTAAACTATAAATTGATGTTAAGTGATCCTAAACTATGGTTACTTGAAAACAATCCAGTTTCATCATACGGTATAAAGAAGAATGTACGTATTAATAATTATCATATCAATAACAAAACGAAACATTATAACATTAAACAAACTATCTTTATCATTTATATAGGATAAACTATATCTGTTTCCAAAAGTTGAAGATAATCTAAATCATGAAGAAGGTGTTTGTTTAAAAGTATTATTCAGTGCATGTGTTGCAACACCATTCTTTAGTAATCAAAACAAACTATCAAAATCGATTCCAGGTGAAATCTTAATTCTAAAAGTAAATAATACTTACTTCTTTGTAATCAATCATCATTATTAATCATTTTAAACTAACTGATAATCATTTTTGTTATTTTTTTTTTTAGATTGATAATGTAATTCATTTAACAGATTATATTAGTGGTAAATCGGGTGGTGTTGAAGGTGAACTTTTTATGACAAACTATCAATTAAAATTCTTCTCAAAAGAGTCAACCGTATGTACAAACATTATAATTAAATAGCATTGGAATAACAATTGTTCTAATATTTAGATCCTAATAAATATATATATAGAATCAAGAATATAATATACCTTTGTATTCAATATCGAAAATTGAAAGAGTCGGTTCATCCAAATCAAATACAAATTGTTATCTAGATCTACACTGTAAAGATTTTAGATTCGTTAGATTCTTCTTCCCAACCAATCCAACCGATAAAAGAAACACCTCAAGAAAAAAGCTGTACAAAACATTAAAGAATCAAGTATTCCCTTCAAATCAATCAAAGTTATTTGCATTTTATAACAAGTATGTTGGAATCAATCAATTGTTAGTTCAGAAAGGCTATCATACTTACTTAATAACTAATTATTTAGAGAAACATATTCAATCAATGGATGGGATCTATTCGATTTGGAAAAGGAATATCAAAGACAAGGAGTTGGTAGATCATCGAGTGGCTGGAGAATCACTAGAATCAATGAAAACTATGAAAAGTGTGATAGTTATCCATCGTTGTTGGCAGTACCAGAGAGAATCAGTGATAATGAGTTGGAGAGTGTTTTTCATTTCAGAAGTAGAGGTAGAATACCTGTGTTGTCATGGCGACATCCAAACAACGGTGCGTCGATTACGCGTTGTTCACAGCCTTTGGTTGGTATCACTAGGTCTCGTTGCGCTGAAGATGAAATGATGTTTCGAGAGATCGGTAGAGGTAACAATATGATCACCACCACCAGCAATGAGAAGCCAACTAAGTCATTCAGATCATCATTGATGCTACCATCCCCGTCTGTTACCAAGAATCTATCGCTACTCGATGCAAGACCAAAAGCAAATGCCATTGGAAATCGTGCAATGGGTGCTGGCTATGAGAATACATCAACCTGCTACCCGGAATGCACCTTGGAGTTTTTAAATATAGAGAATATACATGGTATGTTAAATAATGATCGATTTTATTTTGCAAAATATGAATATAATATTAATATGCAAATTAATGGAGTGATGAGAAATTCATATGAAAAGTTTAAAGATACTTGCTTTGTAGCTGTAGGTGGTGTAAATAGTCAGCATTATAAAGAACAAAAGTCGGAAGGATGGTTAAGTGGTATAGATGCATCACATTGGTTGGACCATATCATATTGATTCTTCAAGGTGCAATTAAAATAGTTGAGACTGTACATAACACCAGTACATCTGTATTGATTCATTGCTCCGATGGTTGGGATAGAACTGCACAACTCTCTGCCATCTCAATGTTCTTACTAGATCCTTATTATAGAACTTTAGAAGGTTTCATTGTATTAATAGAAAAAGTAAGATAATATCTAAAATAACAATAATACAAATATATAAAAGCATAATAATAACTAATAAAAAAAACCTGTCAACTTGTTATTTATAGGAATGGTTATCATTAGGACATCAATTCTTTAAGAGAATAGGTCATGGTGATCCAAAATACGGAGATGAACAAAGATCACCAGTATTCTTACAGTTTATTGAAACTATTTATCATATTCTATGTCAATTCCCAAAGGCTATTGAATTCAATGAACGTCTGCTGCTAGAGATCCTCCATAATCTGTTCTCTTGTCGATTCGGCACGTTCCTATACAACTCTGAGAGAGAACGTGTACGAAACAATGTAAAGACTCACAGTGTAAGTCTGTGGAGTTATGTACTATCGGAAAGAGACAGCTTTGTAAACTCTCTGTATGAGCGTGACGAACGAGTGCTCATACCAAAGGCGAGTGTACCATTGTTTTCTGTGTGGAAGGGATACTACTTGCAGAATCTACTGCCGACTACCGACGCAACGCTTCGAGAAACACTTGCACTGCATCAAGAGATACAAAAATTGAAACGAGAAAACCAAGCACTCAAACAACAACTACAACCTGCCTCTAATCTATTCGAATCTACATTATCATTACCGATCATTATGTCAGCGCCAAACAGCCCAACAACAAATTTAAATTTATAAAATAGATAAACAAACACAAACAAACTAAATAATATAATAAAGCAATTTACAGGTGCATCTTATTTAACTCTACAAAAAAAAAAAAAAACAAATTGTATAACAACTATTTTTTTTTTAATAGATAATATATTTAATATATTATCTTTGAACTAATTATATAATTTAAATTTATTAATACTACTATTATTATTATTATTTACAAAACCATACTATTTAACTCTTCATTCTTTAATAGTACTCTTTCTTCTTCTTTAATATGTAAAATATCGTCGTCGGATCTAATCAATGGTAAAATGAATGATTCCCTATAAATTAGATTAATAATTTTTAAAAATGTTAGTAATTTGCTCTGATCAATGCTTTTTTTTTTGATAATATTTACTTTGTATCTTCAATAATATCGGATGCACTTGTAACAGTAAAGAAGTTTTTGATAACTGGAATGATCGAACTTGCAGGATTGTTGAAGAATGTCTTGGTTTGAGAGTTGTAGAGGAATGGTTGTTTGTTTGGATCTCTAAACTCTTTGTAAGAGAAGAAAAAGTGATGCAACACTGCAATGATCAACATTTCAACACATGTAATAAAGTCTTGAAGTGCTGATGAGATGTTGTCCACTGTCCAATCACCGACCGGTGTGATCACATCGATATATGTCAAGAATGAAATGATGATACCTTGCCAGAATGCAAAGAAAATAACTGCTTTGATACACATGAATTTACCAAATGGTTTGAATGGTTTCAATTCCTCTCTCATTGCTTGATAATATAATACCAAGAAATAAAGACTCAGCTAAATTTACAAGTAAATTAATTAATTCAATTGAAACTTATTTAATAATAAGTATAATAACTTACTGTTACACTTATATTCTCGAAAATGGTTAACCAGAAATAACCTTTGGTAGGAACGAATTGACCTTCTCCATAATTGTGTGTTGCTTGTAAAACAATAGAAATAAGTGCAATGATTGGTTTTACAAAAACAAATTGTAGTACAAATCGCTTGCAAGTCTTTAAAAATGATCTATAATAATCAATTAAGTATATTTAAAGTAAAGTTAATTAGTTTGTTTGTCAAATTGCTGATTTTGTTTTGTTTTGTATGTTTAATGTTACCTTCCAAGTCTAATCTTTGGTAAACAATATCCAAGTGGGAATGGATGAGCAAGTGGTTCTTTGGTGTGTAATAACTCTATTACATCGAAATCTCTCTCTACATAGGCTACAATCAAACAAAAGAAGCAATATAATACGTAACCTTCATATCTATTATATAAAAAAAAACAAAAGTAATATATATAAGTATCGAACAGTTCTAAAGTATATCGTGATTTTTGTTTGTTTATAATCTTACACATCTCTAATCAAATCAAAATATAAACTTAAATCTACAAATCTAAGTGATAACCAACTGTCCACTGCATAAACCTATTATCATTTAAACAAAACACTGTTAAAATCTCTAACAAATTTGCAAACAATCAAAATCTATCATGATGATTTGCAGTGTGATTGATACTTACAGGAACCATAATCAAAATTCTAATAATATATTTCTGTAGATCTCCACATGTATAATTTCTAAGATGTTTATATATAAGATAAAACGACAGGAATGTCGCGAGCAATGAGCAAGTTCCTGCAACGGCCCATATTGTACTTTCGATTCGGGTCAATGTTTTAATATTTAGAATCATAATAATAATAATAATGATATGATAATGATAGTAGTAACAATAATATTAGTATTTCTATTCTCTATATATGTATATCTATTGCATCAAAGATGAAGTTGATTGAATGTTGTTTGTTGATCAACAATAATAATAAAAAAAAGTATAAAGTAAAAGGTGAAGTTTAAAACTTACATAAATGCTTTGGGATAATGTACCATGTTTTAAAATGTATACAGTACTGTTTGATAAACGGAGAGAATATAAATGTGGTTTGTTTGATTGGTATGATGTGTGTTGGTTGTGTTGGTTGTTGTTGTTTAAATTATTATTTATAAAGATAGGATTGTTATCTCGAGAGAACCAGCATCAACAACATCACCAAAAACAAATTTGTTGAATTGAAAAAGTATATATTTAAACTGAATGAATTGAGTGAAAAAAACACTACACTACTCTAATTGCTTTATTCTTGTTGTTTGAATTTTAAAAAAAAAAACACACAACACACAAAAAATGTTACTAAAATATTTATTAAATGTGTGGTGTAAATAATTATAAGTGTTGTTTTTATAACTATTGTCAGATTATGTTTTTTTAATATTTGATTACTTTTGGTTTTAAAATTAAAGAAAATTTTTAAGGAGGGATGGTTGAACAATCTTTTGACTATTCAATTTTTAGCTAATCAGGTCCAACTATTTTTAATCACACAGGGCTCAAAACAAAAAAATAGAAAAATCAACGATCTTTGATATCACCACAGATCTTGGGTAACCAAGAGTTGAAAAAATAAATAAATAAATAAATAAAAATAAATAAAAATAAATAAAAATTAATAAATCAAAAGAAAAGATTTCTGATTTTTAATATATGTTACTTCAATAGATTTCATCACTTCATTCAAATTGCTCTAAAATGAATTACGACCTCTTTAATTGTTTATAAAGACAAAAGTCGAAAGATACCACCTACCTTTTATTTTAAATTGATCTTAAAAGAAAGAGATTCATTTGCTGAAACTATGTTATTACCCAAATGGGTAATAATATTTGATTACTTTATACACTACACAATTCTTTCTATTTATAGTATTACAAATAGAAGAGAGATATGTGAGTGAAATATATACCTATTTTATTTATATTTTATATTTTATATTTTTATTTAAAAACACAGTTATTTCTCTATTATTATAATTTAACTAAAAGGTGTGTTTGATCTATTTAATCCTTTTGTTGCTTCTTGGCCCTGATTAATAATAAAAAATAGTATATATATTAGTATTATGATATTTAAAAGATCAAGAAACAATAAAGGTTGTGTGATACTATACTTTTGGTGGTTAATGGCGGCGAATGGGATGTAAGCGAAAAGGATGCAACCAGCAATCTTGGTGACGAATGAAATATTCTTTTGGAGACCTACTGGAATTCCGTACTCTGGACCCTAGTATATATTATTAGAAATATGAAATATATGTTATTAGTGAATCATTCTTTGAGTTTCTGTGAGAACAATCAACAAAATCACAATCTGTATCAATCAACTCTCCCTCTGTGTGTCCTATTTCTTCTTCTTTTTTTTTTTGTATTCTATCTTTAAGTGATGTTTGATCATCTGCAACGATAATAATCTAATCTATCTATTCTTTCTACTTTCTAAATCTAAAATATCTGTCCGTATTCATAAATTCTGTATGATTTAAGAACACTTTTTAATATTATTTTTATGTTATGATTATTATAATATTTAGATGATGATTAATCATTAAGCTGTTATTTGATCGATTTAGAGTTGACTGATGATATTGATTGATTGATGGTTGATTGCTTTGCATTTGTAAATGATCACCTACATCATGACCATGACCATGACCGTCACCACCTCTCAAGAATTGTCTGTTTCTTGGTTGGATGATAGTTCTTCTGGCAGCGTTAATTAAAGCGTTCATTCTAATATTATTTATTTGGTTAAATTACTGATTGATCAACAAAAAATTCGTATAGTGTGTGAAACAATGAAAAAAAAAAAATTGAATTTTTTTTATTTTTATTTTATTTTTTCTTTTTTTTTTAAATTTTTTTTTTGATTCGGATGTTCAGGATCTCTGTTTCAATAATATTATGATGGACCAAGACAAAGTATCTTTTTGAGATGAAGATTTACATTAAACAAAGTTATAATGATAGACAACACTAGACAAGTCACTATCAATTTGATTTTACTGTTTCTAAATTAATTTTAAAGTTTTCCAAAAAATAAATTAAAGTATTAACAAAACACAACAAAAGTATTTGTACAAATAAGAAAAGGATTTACCTATTATCGTTAGTTTATTTAGTTTGGAAAAAAATGAGGGTGGGGTTTTTTTTATTTCTTTTTTTTTTTTTTTTTTTGATTATTTCTTCAACTTTAAGGAAGCTGCTTCTGCTGACTTTATAATATTGATAACAGCAGATGATAAACCTTTAGCACAAGTGACTAATTGCTCTTCAGAGGTGGAGTCGTCGTCGGATGCTGCTTTGACAGCACAAAGAATCTTGAGTTGTGTTGAGAAATTGCTACCGCAGTCGAGGTAGGTGAAAACTGCTTGTTTCAAACGTGGATCGATACAGGCGTCAGCGATACCCTTGGCGTTGAGTTGTACGGCCTTGATCGAATCAGCAATCTTTCTGGCTGCCTGAATCATACCCTTGACATCACCCTTGGCGGCATATGATGAGAGCAATGCCATTTGTGCAGCGATATCGTCACCGAACGACACCAGCTTTCCGAGTGGTGTGTCGTCTCTGACCTTCTTCTCGAGGGCATTGGCGACCTCTTCGGCGGCGACATAGACAGCCTTGTTGACAGGACCTTCGATCTTGAACTTTGGAGCTGGTTTGATTTCGACTGGAGCTGGCTTTGGTTGTTCAACCTTGGCCATTGACATCTCACGGTTCAAACGTTGCATCTTCAATTCTTCAGAGGTTGGTTGTGTGGCGACTGCCAAATTGGTGCTGGCGTCCTTGACTTCGCCAATCAGCTTGTCGAGACGTGCACGAGCAGCTTTGTTTGTTGGATCGGCCAATACATCCTTGATTGCTTCCAAGAGTTGTGGAGTCAGTTGTTTCAAACGATCGACGGCATCTTGAATCTGTTTCTTGTGGACTGGATCGCTGATCGATGCAGCGTATGCCTCTGCTTCTTCGATTTGTTTCTTGATGTCCGCTGCAATGTCTTTGGCGTGTTGAACACCCTTGTATTGCATGTCTGGTCCACCTGCATCGATACACTTGGTGAGTGAATCGAGGTCGTTGTGCAACTTGGTGTTGAGAGCGGCAACCACTTCGTATGGCTGTGAGATCTGTGAGATGGCACTCTTGGCTTCCTTGACCAACTGGTTGAGTTGACGCTTGGCTTCTTCGTCTCTTGGATTTCTAATGCATTTGTGAGCGGCTTCCAAGATCTTTGGTTTCAAAGCGATGAGTTTCTCGATTGCCTTTTGTACTTGGTGACGCAGCGATGGATCCTGGATCGAGTCCAACAGCGCGGTTGCCATCTCGATGTGACGATCGATCGACGAACCCAAATTATTGGTGATTGCTTCGGCACGCTTGATATCGCCACGATTGATGGCATCTTCGAGCGACTCAATCTCACGAGTCAAAGATGCTCCGCTTGCAGCAACGATTTCGCTTGGTGTGGAGATGACAGCGGATGCCAAGTTCTCCGATGCCTTTTGGGTGGAGTAGATCAAGTTGTCCAAATGTTGTTTGGCTTTCATGTCGTTCGGATTCTCGAGAACCGGTTTCATGGCTGCGATCAACTGTGGAGTTAGCTTCTTGAGCTCCTCGATGTTCTTCAAGATCATCTTCTTCTTGATTGGATCCTCACAACGATTGGCGACAACAATGGCGTTGGAGATCTGTAGATTGGCGGCATTGACAATTTCACGTGCAGCGGCAGGACCGTTTCCAGCTTCGATCTGTTTGGGTAGCGCATGGAGATAGTCGACCAACTGAGCCGAGGCATTGGTGACTTCATCCTCTGCGATGGTTCTGACTGGTTGCCACTTGAATGCCAAGTCAACAAACTTGGTGTTGGAAGCAAAGATTTGCTTGATGGTGTAGATCATATCGTCGATGGCACCCAACAGCTTCTGACTGGTGTCGGCACGACGCGCGCGTGCATTGTGGTCGCCAGTGTTTTGACACACATTTCTGGCGGCCTGTTGATGTTGGTGACTCAGAGACGACACACTTGCCGAGAGTTCCTCAAGACGCTGACGGAATTCTGGATTGTTGGAACCCTCGGAACGACGCTGTGAACGCTTGACCAACTCGTCTTCGAGCTGGGCAACATCACTGACCATCACATTCAACTGGTTCAAATTCTCAATCTCGTCGATACGCTTGACACCCTCTGCCACCTTCTTGGCGATGCCTACCAACACCTTGATATTCGATTGCTCCTCGATCAACACCAGCAGCACTACTTTCTGAAGAATCATCTTTGCCGATTTGATTGCATCCTTCTGTGGAACACGATTCCATGGATCATCACGTGCTCGCACCGCATCGGAATGCAATTGGTTGGCGGCATTCTTCAACTGACGAGCAGTGTCATTCAAGATTGGTTTGAATTCTTCATCGATTAATCCCAATGTTTCCTCAGCAGCTTCACTCATACCAACCACTGCTTGTTGAATAAGTTCAACACCTGGTACCATATCCTATAATTTTAAGAAAAAATAGTTGGATATTAATTTTTTTTTTTGCTTTTATTTTTTCATGGACAATCCAGAAGAATATAAATAATTTTTTCTACATACACCAAATAAGGTATTCTTTTCTTCTGACTCTGTGATTGCAACTACCAACGATGACACAGCATCGGCAATCATTTCTAATACTTCATCCATTTTATATGAGTTTTGTTTTTAATAAATATGTGAAATTGTTCAATAAATAAATTTTCTATCTATAGGATTGATTGATTGATTTAAAAATAAAATGAATGATTATATGTTAGTACATTTAAAAATTACTATAACAAATATAAAATGATATTATTATTATTATTGCTGTTGTTGTTCCAAAATAATAAATTATTTTTATTCCAATCGAACCCAAATCCAACTTTAGTAGTGGTTGTGATCAAGAATATTTAATTTAATTTTATAACTTCAAAAGAGGGGAGTGTGCGTGTTTATTTATTGAATGTTTTTTATTTATTAAATTTATACATTACCTTATGATGGTGATGATGTTGTTGTTTATAAATATAATTTTGGATTGGCTTTTTTAATTACAACACTTTGCAGGTCAAATTTAAATTTATATGTGTTTCAGGTGGGGTGTGTATTTGGGTGGGTGTATTTAAAAATATATGTGTGTGTGGTAAATAAATAAATAATGTGTTAATGTGTTGAGTTACTATTGCTTTGTTTTTCTTTATTTAAAAATACAATAAGTAAGTATTGATATGATTATAATCGAGATTTAAATTTAAACAATTTAATCTCTAATAAATAAATAAATAAATAAATAATTTAATTTAATTTGTAAATATAATGTTACAAACAGAGTCTAGATTGAGTCTGATGATAATGATGTTTATAAAACAACTTTGATGTTTGAATAAATAAATAATAAATAAAAAGCTTTTTTTTTTATTTGTTAAAAATAGTTGTTAATTGAATTTGGATGTTGGCAACTTTTGGAGAAAAGAAATTTGTCAAACCAAAAACAATAAAAAAATAAAATTATATTTATTTTTCAAACAACTTGATTACCATACGGTCAGGACCTACCTGACTGATGTTTAAGCCAAGTGATTGGCTAAGCGCACGTCAAACAAATCCATTTCAAAAATAACACACAGACAATGCCACAATTCATGAAAACCATAAAAACTGCAAAAATTCAAAAGCCATCTCCATATGGCTTGATTTTCTTATTTTTTTTTTATTTTTCTTTTTTTTTAACTTTTTTTTTGTTAAAAAATATATGGGTTGATTTGTAAAACAAACATCTTTTCACAAAATTTTTTAAAATTCAATTAACATAATCCAAATTATTTGAAAATGCATTGCAAAAGTTTTTTTATGTTCTCTTTTTATTGGGAACTTTTTTTGTTTTTTTTATTTTATTTTTGGTAGTGGTATTGGTGATGTCAATCAAAGTTAAAAGATTTGATTGGAGTGTTTTGATCAAAACAATTTTAACAATCTTGTTTGTTGTTTTAAATTTAAACTATTCAATGAAAAGTACCTTCAAAAGATGATTTATTAAATTTGATAAATTCTAAATAAGTTTAGTCAAAAGAAAGTGGAAGTTCGTTCGTTCATTCACATGTAATTCTTATCGGCTGATATCAATATCGTTAAAATCAAGATGATTATTATTTATATTTTGAGTGGTTTGATTTATTATAATGGCAACCATTCCAAGAGTTGTGGGGTGAAATAAGTGATAAAGATATCGCAACCTGCTCGTTTGAGACAGAGGAGTGACTCCATTACACCAGTTTTCAAGTCGAATGCACCGGCCTGTGCAGAGTGATAGAGCATAGCGAATTCACCACTCACTTGGTAGCAACACATAGGCAAGTTGATTGCATTCTTCACTTCTCTGATGATGTCCATGTAGGGACCGGCTGGCTTCACCATGAGGAAGTCGGCACCCTCGTCGGCGTCACGCTGAGCGGCGCGAACAGCCAATGAGCGCGATGGTGGTGGCAACTGGTACGCCGAACGATCACCGTATTTCGCGCCAGACGAAGCGGCGTCTCTAAACGGACCGTAGAAAGCCGATGCAAACTTGGAGGAGTATGCCATCACCGCCACCTTTGAGCCGTAGCCAGCGGCAAACAACTGCTTCTTGATCTCACCGATTCGACAATCCATCATGTCGGACGGCGCAATGATATCGGCACCGGCCATAGCAAACTCGACAGAGAGTTGAGCGAGTCGTTCGATCGAAGGTTGATTGTTGATCGATCCGTCGTCGTGAGTGATTCCGCAGTGACCGTGCGACGTGTATGCACACAGACAAACATCGCAGGCAATAACCAACTCTGGGATTTGTTTCTTTAGCAATCTCAGTGCTTTGATCACCGGTGAATTATCACGATCCGTTGCCAACGAACCAGTCAAGTCTTTCGATGCATTGTTCAACAAAACACCAAACAAAATGATTGTCTTCAAACCTTTTTTAACGAGTGGTTCCAAGAATTCAGTTAGAACAGAGTCAACTGAGAATTGATAATTACCAGGTAATGCTAAATAAATTCAATTTCATTCATCATATAGTAATGTTAGTTTCAACCTTCTTCTTCTACTTCTTCTTCTTTTTTTTGTAAATAGATATATATATTTACATTTAATTTCATTCTTTGTATTAACTTGATCTGTAACGAAAATTGGATAAATAAGTTGTGATTTCAAGATTGTAGAATCACCTTGCCATGATCTAGTGATAGGATTAGCATATCCACTGTGTAAATAATGCTTAAAAGGATATTCGTTGTTGTTCATTTTGCAAACTAACTTTGAAATTTCTGTTTTTTTTAATTTAAAAAAATCTTTTTGCTACTTTCCAAAAGTCGAAAAGAATTAGAATTAAAAAAATAATTGATTTTAACAAATCTTGATTGTCATTTATAAAAGGAAAAATGTAGTGATAGTGATGATTTTGTTTATCTTTGTTAACATTCATATAAATATATATATAAAAAGATGTTAAATTACAACATCTTTTGTATTCTTTTATTGTTATTGTGTAATCTTTCGTTTGCATGGTCGACACGATCAGTGACACGATCAAGTTGGTTAGATTGACGGTCTGCCTCGTTACCGATCGTCTTGGCAATGCCATGAATGTCACCGAGCAGTGCACTGATTTCATCGAGATCTTTGTCTTGCTCCATCAAGTCTTTCTTGATTTCCTCGGGTGCGTTCTTGATGACGTTCGATACACCGAGTGTCGAGGTTCGTCCAAACATTGGACCTTGTGTTTGTCTGCCAACGGTCGGTGTGAATCTTATGGTTGGATTGCCATAGGCAAACTCCTTGGTGCCCGGTTCGAAAATGACTTTGGCAGACTTTCCAATCTTACCGTTCGATCGCAGCACAAACTCATTTACAATATTCTGAATGTACGACGAACACAAACGGAATCTGGACTTATTCAAAAATCTGAAATCCAAATGGAAATGTCTGGCTCTAACAACCATAAACTCAACTTGGTCGTAAGAGTAGGTTCCGGTTGGTGTTGGTTTCTTATTACCATCTAAAATAACAAATTTATCGGCTTGGAACGAAATATATCCTGGTTGTACTGTGGTTTAAAAGTTATAATATAAATATTAGCTGTTAGTAGTTGACAATTTAATTGTTAACTATAGTAAAAGTATTACTACTACTACTACTACTACACATACACATATCGTTTTGTAATTTCTCTAAAATATCAATGTCGGTAGTTGGTTCTTCTCTTTGTCTCACTTTGAGGGAGCGATCCATTGGTCTGTGTGGATCACGATCCGGTGACTTGTCTTTGGAAAATGAGTTGGCGAGTTGACCACCGAACGACTCGATACCTTTGAGTAGTTTCTCACCCTTGTCGAGATTGTTGTGTATGTTTTCGACGTTGTTTTCGATTTGATCGATCATCTCTGCCTGATATTGTAGTTCGTTCATTGTTGCGATACCAGTCTCTCTTGTTTCATGTGCGATTCTGAGAGCTTGTTTTGTGCTCTCTGTATCGACCTTTGTGAACTGACGTTGCTGTTGTTGTTGCTCTTGTCCTTGACCTTGTCCATATCTACCACTACCATTACCATTACCATAACTTCCACTTCCACCATTGGATCCACGATCTCCAAATAGACTATTACTGCTTCCACCGTTACCACCGACAGTAACAGAACCATACTTTCCACTTCCACTGTCTCTATTGAATCCACCATTACCACCATTACCACCATTTCCACCATTTCCACCATTTCCACCATTACCACCACTTCCACTACCACTCATCTGTTGTTTAAACTGTCTCATATCTTCATCTTCCACTGCATTTGGATCGTAGAATAAAGGAGGATTCTTCCAAAGATGATGAATAAGATTGAATGTTTCGTCTCTATGCATAAATGAACCAAATGAAACCTATAGTTTAGTTTTATGTTAATAACTAATAACTAACAAACCAATTCAAGAGAATAACAATGTTATGCTAAGTATGTTAATATTACATTTTGAGCAGAAGTATTGAATGTAATTGCATTGCTAAAGAATATAGTACTGTCTTTCTTCATATCGATGATCTTTCTGAATGAGATTGATTCGGTTGATTCACCGAGCATCGGAATGAACGATATAAAGTTGGCAGTGATATAGAGTTTGCCTGGTACCAATAGTGTTCTCTTTAGTGAACAAGAATAATCTTGAATCACATTCTCTGTATCTGGATAGTTGAATGTTCTTCTAACTAAATCTGATTTAACTTTCAATGCACTTGCTTTATCATCCGGTGATGCCTTTAAATTTAATAATATAATTGTCATGTATTTTTATTTTAATTAATATTAATATTAATATTAACTATTTATAATAACAATAACCGTTAACTAACATATCATACCATTTTTATTAAATAAGTTATAATTAATTTAAAATATAAATTAAATTAAAAATTAAAAACCTTTTTTTGAAATTACAAATAAGTAATTACTTTTATAAACTATTATAGTAAGTAATACAAATATTATTATTTGTTTATTTGTTTATTTAGTTTTAAAAGATAAAGAGATTTGTAAAATAAATGGTTTTTAAAAAAACAAAGATATTATTATTGTTTTTGTTGTTTGGGGGAATGGACAATTTTTTTTTTGAATTCTTTAATTTTAAGGTGCCCAATATTGAAGACTAGTATTTCAATTCTTTAAAGAAATATTTTATGAAAATTATTTTTTTTTATTGTAGATTTTATACATCAATTGAGGTGTGGTGTTGTGCAGTGACATCATCAAATCGAACAACACAACAACTTTTAAAAAAAAAAATCATAATTTTAATTTAATATCTTTGAATTTATTTATTTCTTTTGGTTTTAACAAATGGTGACCGGTCGTTTGTCTATTGGCAATTTTTATGAAAAAAGGGTCACTAATGAATGTGTTTGATCGACCAATTTCAATTGAAAAGATAAGATTCAAAGTTTAGTTTCGTTTGCGGCAAATATAAAAAGTAACAGCAGCAGTAATATATTTGATTTGATTTGATTTGATTTTAGTTGTATATATATTTTTTAATTTTTTTTTTTATTATTTTTTTTGTATTATATATTTTTTATTTAATAGTCCATTGGTGGTTGAGCTGGAGCTAAATGAATGGGGATGGAAAGGAAATGAAAAAAAAAAAAAAAAAATAAGAAAGAAATTATATTAGAAATTAGTGATCGATTTTTTCGAAATTGGATGTTATTTTTTAAAATATCAATTGACTTACCTGGTGAAGATTCTTTTGGAAGTTCGACAACCATGGCTTCGGTGGTGGTCATGAGCGAAGCGACGGAAGCGGCATCGACCAAAGCAGTACGGACAACCTTGGTTGGATCGATGATACCAGCTTGTACCATGTTTTCATAGATACCCTTTTGGGCGTTGTAACCGTATTCGAAATCACGACGAGCCAAGAGACGTCCGATGACAACGGAACCTTCGACACCGGCATTGTTGGCGATGGTCTTGCATGGCACCAAGAGGGCGTCACGAACAATCTTGACACCGATGGTCTGGTCAAAGTTCTCCATCTTGATCTTACGTAAGGCGAGAGTGGAGTAAAGCAAAGCGGTTCCACCACCTGGGACGATACCCTCCTCGACGGCGGCACGAGTGGCGTTCAAGGCATCGACAATACGATCCTTCTTCTCACCGACTTCGACCTCGCTGGCACCACCGACACGGATGACACCGACACCACCGGCCAACTTGGCAAGACGCTCTTGGAGCTTACCCTTCTCGTACTCTGAGGTGGTACGACTGATTGATTCACGCAACAACTCGACACGCTCTTGAATGGCGGACTTCTCACCGGCACCGTCCAAGATGATGGTGTCGTCCTGTGAGATACTGACCTTCTTGGCGGATCCGAGCATCTTAATATCGATGTTGTCCATCTTGACACCGAGTTCCTCGCTGATAACTTGACCACCGGTCAAAACGGCGAGATCTTGCAATTGAACTTTTCTCATATCACCGAAACCTGGTGCTTTGACAGCACAAACTTGGAGACCTCTCAATTTGTTGATAATCAAAGCAGTGAGAGCGTCACTCTCAACCGATTCAGCAATAATCAAAAGTTTTCTTCTTTGAGCGTGAACAGCTTCCAAAACTGGAATCAAAGAGTGTACATTATTGATCTTTGTATCGGCCAACAAAATCAATGGATCTTCAAATTCCTATAATAAATAAATATAACCAATTAATTAGTTGATGTTAATAACATAACAATGTTGATCAACGTTCAATAGTGTTATAACACTTGATTGATTACATACACATTTTTGAGTCTTTGGATCAGTGATAAAGTATCTAGAGATGAAACCTTGGTCAAACTTCATACCTTCAATAACTTCCAATTCATCCTTTAATGTTTTTCCATCCTATAATAATTTAATTATTTCAAATTGAAAAAAAAAAAAAAACAAGTTAATAATTATGAAATTGTTGACATATATAAAGAGAATTATTACTTACTTGAACAGTGATAACACCCTCCTTTCCAACTTTCTCCATTGCCTCGGCGATGAGGTTACCGACGACCTTGTCACCGTTGGCAGAGATGGTAGCAACTTGAGCGATCTCTTCGGTGGTGCTGATTGGACGTGACAACTTTTTGAGTTCATCGATGACACGATCGACAGCAAAGTTGATTCCACGCCACAAATCCATTGGATTCATACCGGCGGCGACAGCCTTGCAACCCTCGGCAAAGATGGCCTTGGTCAAGACGGTGGCAGTGGTGGTACCGTCACCGGCAATATCGTTGGTGTTCGAAGCGACACCCTTGACGAGTTGAGCACCGAGATTGATGTGACGATCCTTGAACTCGATGTGCTTGGCGACGGTGACACCGTCCTTGGTGATCTTTGGTGCACCGAATGGCTGATCCAAGATGACGTTACGACCCTTTGGTCCGAGAGTTACCTCGACGGCGGCAGCGAGCTGCTCGACACCACGCAACATCAAAGCACGACATTCCGCACCAAACTTGATGTCCTTACCGGTGGAGTAGGCACGTCTACCGACCAATTGTGAAGTTGTCTTTGCCAATGAATATCTCAACATCTTTTATTCCAACTTTTACTCTATTTTAATTTAAAAATCTAATAAATCGAAAATTACTAAATTAATTAATAAAAAAAGATACTGAAAAGATAAAAAAATAAACTAAATTGCTAACACTTTTTTAGTTTTTTTTGATCAACACAATGAACAAGTAAAAAAAAAAATTCAAAAAATTCAAAAAATGAACACGAAATCATTCGACAAATTTGATTTTAACGAACTTCTAATCTGATCAGACAGATGGATGCTTCGGTTTTAAAATGAAATAGATAAATTAAAATGTTTTGTATTTGATTTTATTTTATTATTTTTATTTTAAAATAGAACTATCTTTTTATATTAAAGTTAATAATTTAAATTATACAATGGATTTGAGTTGTTTTGTTTTGTTCTGTTCTGTTTTGTTTAGGTATATAATTATTATTTATACTCTGTTGTTATTTTTCGAATTCGAAAATGTATGTGTGTGTGTATGGGATTTTTGAGAAAGTGTTTTGTTTTTGCTTTTTGTTTTGTTTTAGCTTTTTGTTTTGTTGGGTTTGATTAATCTTCGGTTAATGCCATAAGATGGGCTATTGTACATTGTCTTAATGCTGTTATGTTATATCCTCCTTCGAGTACGGATATCAGTCTACCACGACACCATTGATCAGCGACTTGACGTAGTTTTTTGGTGATCTCTATGTAGTTCTCTTCGTGTAGACAGAGCGATGCTAGATGGTCGTCGATGTGTGCATCGAATCCACAGGAGATCAACAGCAACTCTGGTTGGTATTCATTGAGTTTCTCGATGATGATCGAGAATGCTTTGATGAATGACCCTGCCGAGCTCTTTGGATCCATTGGGATGTTGACAATGTTGTTCACTGGTGGTCCGACGTTTGGCTCGCTCTCCAGTGGCTCGGGAGTCTCTCCGTTGGGCAAAATGACACCGTGTGAACCGCCACCTCCACTTCCGGGATAGAATCCCTCCTCGAACATGTGGATCGAGAGGAATTGGAAGCCGGGATCGCCAGCGAGAATCTCTTCGGTTCCGTTGCCGTGATGCACGTCAAAGTCGACGATGGCAATCTTTTCGACACCGTACCTGAGTTGTGCGTACTTGGCAGCGATGGCAACGTTGTTGAGTAGACAGAATCCTTGGGAGGTGGTACCAGAGGTAAGTCCTTCACGACCGGCATGATGGCCGGGTGGACGCGCAGCCACAAAAGCTGACGATACCACGCCTTTGAGAACCTGGTCTACGGCAGCAAGCGTTGCACCAGCGGCACGCTTTGCTGCCTTCAATGAGTTCTTTGAGATAAAAGTATCGCCGTCTTCGCCGTCCGATGCGGGAGTAAACTGGATTCCAGCACCAGCTTGAGTGGCACCGTCGTTGACATTGAGTGGACGAATCTCATTGGGTTCCAACTTCTCAGTGAATTCATCGAGTTGTCTGAGGTAGTCGGGTGAGTGCACAGTCAATATCCATTTGTCCGAGATCTCTTCTGGGTCGTCCTTTATAACGAGTCGATCCGTTTGCTTGGCATACTCATTGATTGCTTTGATCACTGCATTGAGACGTTTCGGTGATTCCGGATGGTCTTCTGGCACGACGTGGTCCATGCATTCCGAGTGGTAGACAGCCAAGATCTTTCGATCCTTTGGCACAATCGATGAGGATGATGGTGATATCGATTGTTTGCTCGATTCATATTTATCCAATATCTCTGTCAGTTTGTTTACGAATGGATTGGCATTGGCTTCGACAATGAATTGGTCGTTCTCACTGTTCTCATGAGGATTTCCACCGCCGATTGAACGTTTTCCACCGTTTGATTTCAAGAGTGAGTAGGAAAATGCCATCTTGTCGGCGTTCACCAGTGATTGGTGAATGATATCGACCAGGTAGTTTTGAACGAGACGTTGGTGTTTCTCAATGATTGGTTTCCAACTTTGAATATGTACATAGTATAATACTTCCAACATTGTCAGGATCTTGTTGACCAATGAAAGTTCTTTGTTGATAGCACGCAGACGCGATTCAATGTTGGAGAGTGCAGACTCTAGAGGTGCGAAACTATCGAGTATCTTGGCAGTATCGTTTCTGGTTTGTTCCAAGTGAGCGTTGTTCTCTGGTGTGGAGAGCACATTGAGGCCGCCAATCAGATTTGGATCGGTCAGACTTGACTCTAACGATTCCTTCTTGTTGAGCAAGACTTCACGGTGTTGTTGGACGTCTTGTACAACACTTTCATACAACTCTTCAATTGGCTGGTATGTATCGCTGAAGGAAATTAAATTCATAATCTCATTGTCATCGAAATAGGTCTCGCCAACCGACAACAGATTATCTTCCATGGCAGCGTGGTGGTGTGAAATTCGCTGGTATAGCGCCTGATAGGATTTAGCGATTTGGAAGAGTGGCAGATCAATGCTGGCCAGTATTTTACGTGATGCTGGAATGTTGAATTGTGCATCTGCACTGGGAACTGAGAGTAACAGTAGGTAGTTGTTCAGTTTCAGACGGTTGTCAGGTGCGATCTCATGTGAGAATATGGCAACGGAGTGAGTGATTCTCTTGAGACACTCTATGATGTTGTGTGCTGGCACATACGATGCGTTTTGGATATTGTTCTTGTGCGAAGAATTTATTGTTCCAAACTGTGAAGTTACATTCCAATTCATTGGTTCCTGGAAGAGCAACGGAGTGTTATTATTGTTGATATTGTTGGTTGGAGAGTCACTACCATTGCTGAGATTACCAGCAAAAGTTGTTGGCGATTGTGACATTTCACGCATTGAGTTTTGGTAAATCGAAGGTACCTTTGGTATTGGATTGGTAGGTGACATTCTCAGAGATGAAGATGATTGTGGTTGGTAAGGTGTAGATTGCATGAATAGTTTACTTGGATTATTCTATTTAGTTTGTTAAGATGATAAATAAGATGTTAGCATTGATATTTCGCTCCCCCCTTTTGCCCAATAATAATAATAATTAAATTGTATTTATAGTTACAGGTGAATTTGTTCCAGTTGGTGAAGATTTTGATACTGCAAGTCGATTGTTTGTTATGGTAGATGTTGTTTGGCGTTGGCTGGACTGTGGATTTCCAGATTGAGAAAGTTGTTGGATCTGCGAGGATGAGTAACTCAGTTGGCGACCACTGGATGAACCGGATTGCGATGGACCAACTACCACTGGCTTGGTAGGACCTCCCATACTATTAATATTACTATGATTACTATTGTTTATAGATTGATTGTTGGCTAGATTCGATGATTTATTGATGTTTGGTAAATAAGATGGATATCCATTATTGTTATTATTATTAGTTTTTAAATTTGATAGCATACCAGACATATTGTTACTATTGCCGCTGTTATTGTTGTTACTCAATAGTCCACGTGTACCACTCTGACTGGTTCTAAGACCTGTCATCTGTTGTTGCTGTTGCTGTTGTTGAGATGGATGGTTTGATGATGCTTGAGTTGGTAGTATCGGTACATAGCTTCCAGAAATATTACTGTTGTTCGAAGGCATCAGAGATCTACTGTTGCTTGGCACAGTGGAAATCATTTGGGTTGGCGAGGGTGGCGAGGAAATCGGTGAGCCATTCGGAGAGTTCGAGTTGAACAACGAAGGGAATGGCGAAGGAGATGTCGAGATGATTCCACCCTCTGACATTCTACTCTTTTTGTACGGTCTAGTGGTTCTGGCCGACAAATCAAGGCTTATCTCCTCGGGACCACTTCCATAGCCAATTGAATTTACAATAGTATCTGGAACAACTGGTGGTATAATAATACCTTTTGACTATAAATTAATTTATTGGAAAGAAAAACAAACAATTTTCAAGAATTAATTATATATACAATTTTTTGTGGATAGTTATTTAATAAACTTACAGTCCATTTTGTACCACAGGCTTTACATCTCCAACGCTGAGCACCTTTGTTTGTCTTTCCTTTACGTTGGGAGTAGAGTACGTCTTCGATTCTTGGGCAATGTCCAGTGCAATGGCCACGGGCGGCACTTGCACAACATGGAGGCTTTTCAGGCATTTGACCTCTCTGAGGGTCGCCCATAGCCAAAGTATGAATAGACGTCATAAAGTCTAAGAATGTAGTGGCTGAAGATTCCAGTATTGATAATTTGGGTCAACAAATCAACTTTTAAAAAAGGGTAAAAAAAAAAAAAAAAAAAAAGTCAAAATAAATTCTTGAAATTTAAAATTTGTAATAACAAATACAAAAAAATAATAATATATACAATGGAACGGAAAGGAATTGAAAAATTAGGATAAATTTAAAATATTAAAGAAAACTTATAAGTATAAGTATATATAAATAATAACTTTAGGCAGTTAAAAAATATATTATATATATAAATATGTAGAGTGTATTATTAATTAATACAAGTAAAGAAAATGAATGACAAAGAAAATTATAGGCTGAAATGAAGGCACTTGATAAATCTAATTAATGGAAAGGAAATTTAAAAGGTGTAAATAAATAAGTTGCAATCTTGTTAGTAAAATAAAAGTAAAAAGGTAACACTGCGAAGAACTAAAAAAAAAATACCAAATAATAAGAAATAAAATTCAAAATAATGACAAATATTAAAATGGTACTATAGTTTGATGATAGGATTGTTTTGGGTTTTGTTTTTTAATGTTTTTTTTTTTTAGTTTATCTTTGTGTTGTTTGTATGTTTTAATATTGTTGTTGTTTGTGTTTTTTTATTTTTTTTGGTGTGGGTTGAAAAGGACGAAGGCGGAGTTAGTTAACTCGAGTTATTGGTGCATTAAAGTAGTTTATATATATTTATAAATATATATATGTGTTTGTTTTTGTGTGTTTTTTTAAAAATTAATTAAAATAGTAATGTTACCAACTAAGGTATTTAAAAAAATAGGGTGGTTTCTTTCTTTCTTTTGTTGTTTTTTTTTGGATTTGTATTATTATTTGTAGGATGGTTTTGGATTTGTTTTTTTGTGTTTTTTTTTGGATTGGTTGGTTTTGGTGGGATTACCTAGTGATAGTGTGTGTACAGTAATTATTTTTATGAACATATAAAAAAATAAATATTATTTATAAATAGATTTCTAGTTGGTTAATTAATAATATATCACAAATTGACCACTAAAAAGTCTTTTACCTCTTATGGACAAAAAAAAATCAGAATTTTTGAAAAATATTTTTTTGATGCGTAGAAGGGAAACATACAAAAAATTTATATTTATATAATATGTGGGTGTGCAATATTATAATTTAGATTGGTTTGACTTTTTTTTTTGTATGATTTTTTTGGAATTTAATAAATGATTGAATTTTGAATGGAAAATTAAAGTTTTAGATTTTTAGTTTTATGTGTATTAAAAAAAATATATATATAATTTAATTATAAAATAATTTAAAATTGGTCTTTTGATTGGACCTTTTTTTTTTTTTTGTTAAAATAAATACCTTTTTGATTTTAAAAATTGATGGGTGGAAAAAAAATTTAAAAATATAATATTAAACAAATAAATAATAGTTAGTTAGTTAATGAAAAAAAAAATTAGAAAGAATAAAAAGGAGTGGATGGTGTAGGACCTCTTGGGAAAAAAAATTTACTTGATTGATTGATTGATTGGTGACGATGATGATTTAATATGTTTCTTTATGTTTCTTTGTTTCTATTGTTTTTGTATGTTTGTTTTGTGTCTGTGATATTTTAGGTTTCCTTGGTTTGGAAAGTAGGTCTAAACAACTAATGGTTGATGGGAGCACTAAAAGAAATTCTTATCGATGATTTTTTTTTTGTCTTTGTTGTTTTTTTGTTTTTTTTTGTTTTTGCTTTAATTTGCTCTGCTGCTCTGCAAATATTGTTGTTTCTGTTTTTGAAACACAAAAGTAGCATTCACAACAACAACTGAAAATCAAATATGTGAATTTTAGCTTACCTTTACCCAAGGAGGTAGCAGCAAAAAGGTAAGTTGTGAATTAAGAAGGATATGGGTGTTTTTTTTTTTTTGGGGTATGTTTGCTTGGTGTTTGTTATAGTAGTAGTAGTAATAGAAGAAGTAGTAGAATTGAATTGAATAGTGGTGGTGCAAATGGTATGTTGCTGCTGTTGTTGTTGTTTTTTTTAATTGGTGTGGGGTATTTTGGATGATGCTTTTAGTGTGTTTTTTTTTTTCAAAAAACAATATACATGTATAATTGTATATCGATATTAATTGTTGTTTTGGTTGTATCGTATTAATAAAAGAAATATTGATGATGGCAGAGTTAAGAACAACAGCAACATTCATTAATTATTTATATGTACAACCAGAAACCAAACTAAAAAGCAACACCTTTCATTTATTGATATAAAGGTTGCTGCTTGCGAATGGTGTTTTTGAGTGTGGTTTTTTTTAATTAGAGTTGTGATTTTGAAATTTAGTGTGTAGGCGCACTGTGAATTATTATATTATATTCTCATCGATGTGTGGTTGGAGTTTTAATGGTGGTGGTGTGTTAGAGTGGTGTTGTTTTATTTTTGTTGTAATGGTGCTTGCTCGTGTACTCAATCTCAGTAATATTATTTATAGAGTTTTTTGTTGTTTTTGGATGGAAATAAAAAGGTGAAACAGTGGAAGCTTCCACCTTTACTATATAGATTTTTGCCAGATAGATAGATATAAAGACAGATAGATAGAGAGACAGTGAGGTGTAGTGAGATTTGATTTGAAGCTTGTAGAGTGTGGGGGTAAATGTAAGTGTATCTGTGTTTATTTATATATATGTATATATATGTATATATGTATAAGTGTGAGTGTGTGTACTTGTGAGTGGTGTTAAAGTGTGTGTGGTATGAGGAAGAGGACGATGTGAATGAAAAAGGTAAGGTTAATGGTAGCAACTTTACTTTATTTTGCTTTACTTTTGTGTTCTTTTTGAATTTCTTCAGCATTAAAGGCAAACAACAACAACAACAACAATATAGCAGAATAGAATCAATTTCAAATTACAATTCCAATTCAATTGATTTCGAATGATACAATTAGTAAGCAACAATGTACTACTGGGGTGTGGATCAAAGGAATTTTTTGTTATAATATGAAAAGAACAATTATAGATATGGTGTTAATTATGTGTATTTAGGGGATGTTGTTGTTGCTGATACTACTTTAGATGGTCATTTTTTTTTTTTTTTTTTTGTTAGTTGATTTTGGTAGAAAGTTTAGATGTCTATGGCTTTTTAATTATAATTTTTGTATTTTTAATAATACAACCAACTAATCAGCCGTACACCCAAAACACTTCATCGACATAACCAAAATAGCTCAATATTGTATTATCCCCAACATTATACAAAAAAACAACTAATGAAACACCATCAACACCGTAATGATTTTTCCATAAAAACAAATACAACAAAAAATCCATATTCACTTTTAAATGGCTGGGTGTCTGGCAAAAAAAAAACAAGAAAAACCCATGTATGATATCAAGTTAATCAAGAGGAGCAACAAAACCAAAAAACCTACTTGTTAACAAACCAACAAATAATAACTATTTTGTTTTACTCACTTGTGAGCTATGTATTAAATATATCTATATAATAAAGTAACAAAGATTCTATGGTTGGTTGTGAAATTGAGGGTGATTTTGGTTCCTATTAATTGGTTGGTTTGGTACCAAAGAATTATTGGATGTTTCCAGTGGTGTAAAAGAAGGAAACAAACACCAACACTATTTAATTTATTATTAAATGTTGGCATATCAAAAGTGAGATTTGAACTATTAAAACAAATTTATTTGTTGTGTGAAAAATACCAATATTATATTGAATGAATATAGATCTTTCAATAATAATTTATTCAAAAATGAATTAAAATAAATATGTTACTGTGGTCTGATGATTATCAGAGAGAGAGTGTGTGTTGAGTGTTTTTTTATATAAAAGAACAACAAGTTAATGATAGGATATCTTCTATAAATAAATTTATATCCTGTGTACTGTTGATTTACTATTGAGAGAGCATACTTGTGATATCGATATTAATCCAATCAGTCCTAACCAAATATAAAATTTTACAAGGAAACAACAACTGCTTAACCATAGACATTGAGCAAGGCTTTAATGAGTATAATTAACTACTATTATTATTGTTGTTAATAAATAAAACAAAACATTTATAAAACAGACACACTTTAATGATCAGTGTATTCAACATTTTTAGTTGGTGAGTGGTTTAACCACACAAATTTGTTGTTGATCATATTAATACATATATATACGTAAAAGCAAAACATGATCAAAAATAATATATAAATATAGGAATATTTGTATTTCGAACACACATTTCCAAATGGAAATTGAATTTTGAGTTTGTTATTTGATTTAAAAGAGGTAGAGTAGATTGTATAGAGGAGGAGTTTGTTTTTAACATTTTGGGAGAAGATAGCAAAGTATTACTATTAAAATATGTACACTTTTGTGATCCGATCATCATAGTTTTAAAAATAACAACAAAAAAGCAGATTTTATCTTAAACAAAAATTTAAGGGTGGATTATTGGTTTCTAAACAATTGCTGTTTTATATATCTCTACAAAAATTGCTAGACTATATTGTAGAGATAATAAAAATGAAGGTTTTAGGTTGTTCATTCAATAAACTAAATAAGTCAAAATAAACTAAAAAAATTTTGATTACCCAATTTTTTACTTTTTTTTTTTTTTTTTGTTTTGATTTTTTTTTTTTTGATAAAATAATTACTATTTTAGAAAACTTACTTTTAAATGAAAAATAATAATATACAAAGAATTGTTATTTGTTATTATATATTATATAAATATAAACTTGTATAGTTTTTTAAGAAAAAAAAAATATTCAAATGAAGATGAAAATAAAAAAAAAAAAAAAAAGGATTTAAAAGTTAAAAAGAATGAAGCTTTTTTGAGTTTAGGTGTTAAGATAGCAAAGCCCTTTTAGAGTCTTTGTATATTAAAAACAATTAAATCAAAAGAGTAGGGTTACCCCTCACAACTTGTTTATATTTTTATAGGTGTTTTGTTTTTAAACACACACACAAGATGTGATTGAACTAAGATTGGAACTTTTTTTTTAAAAAGTCTCTGAAAATTGTTTCACACACTTGCAACAAATAACAATCACAATAACATCAACCGAAAGAACAAAAAAAGTCAATACATCAAAACAAAACAAAACACACTCACAATCTAATCATCATTCTTTTAAAAGAATTATAAACATACATACATTAAAAACAAAAACAAAACAAAAACCTAAAAAAAGAGAAGGGTTTATTGACAATTGTAAGCACCAACTTAAAGTGCGTACATGCTTATCGATAAACACTGTGCTTACATCACAACCATACTTCATCGGTTCAATTGAGTTTGAAATTCCTTCTACAATGTCATGAATTCAGTTGGATATCTAAAGATTAGAAAAGAGTGGTTATCAAGCATTACCATGGTTCCATTAGGCGAATACCAGTTCAGAACTACACAGAAATTTTTATTTTGTTTACAAAAACTATAATAACATAAAATAAGGTTATTTGTATTGAAGGTTCAAGTTAATTTGATTGTTGACAGAGTATGATATCAAGTATCTAGTCTTTACATGATTTGGTTTGTTTGTCTTGCAAGGTTTCCCTTGTTGGACAGGTATCTATGATTTAATTTAGGACGAGTCCTAAGTCAAATTCATTTGAAATTCTTAAGAGTATTAGATGTTAAATCTGATATGATGGGGCAAGGTTCGTCATTTTGCAATATTGGTTTCATTTGTTGTGGAAGTAATTTCATAATTGGTCTGAATTGTTGCCAGAGTTGGATTGAATGTTTGAGTTTTGGTGAGGTTATCTTGTTGTGTCTGATCTGATTCCGCCAGAGTTGGTAGTATGGGGAATAGACGTCTTGATTTTGCAACTCCTCAATTTAGTATCCAGATGTTCTGTGAATGACCTGATAAATGATTCTGTGAATTTGTCTAGGTGCATGTGGTATGAGTTTTGTTAGTATGAATTACTTGAGTATTGCCATTTTAGTCCTTAGGGTTGTGCTGAACATCATCCATTTGATCAGTGATTATTTGACTTCGCTCACTATTGATGAAAATGAATGGTGTAATCTTTCCGAGTTGAAGAAAAGGCCTAGATATCTTTTGTTGACATTTGATTTTGGTATCCTAGTATCGCCTTTGATCGGAGGGTGGTGAAGATGGTCTGCAAGATGGTCCTATTTGGATTATACAACATTTGGTGGGATTGATTTTGGATGATGTGGCATGGCAAAAAAGGTTAAAGATTCCTAATTTTAATTTCAGATCTTTATAGTTTGCTGAAAATGTGCAACTGTAGACGTCTGCAAAATTCAATATTAACCATTGTGTTGAAATCATATAGTTGAAGACAGATTGCTTTCGAATTGAGTATGGCTCTGGCTAAATTAACTAGAAAAAAGAGTGTTGGTGAAAGTGGATCGCCTTGTTTAACGCTTTTGTTAATGGGAACTGGGTTAGTTAAAAGTCGATTGATAATTACTCTGGCGGTAGAGCCAGTGAGGAGGTTCATGATTAGGTTGATTATTTTGTTGTATATTTTAATGTGTTGTAGTGTTCTTCTAAGAGCGACGTAAGAGATGTTGTAGAAGTTTTGTCGAATAATGTAATCAAACCACTTAATCCACTGATTTTGCAGTATTCATCGTGATGATATTGTCCATGATATATCTCTTGTTTACCAAGGCCAGTTTGGTATGAATAGATCTACCAAAGCAAAAAAAAGATTTTTTGATTTAAAATCAGTCAACAAATTGCAGATATTGATATTAACCTGCTAGTCGACAGTGACTAGTTGGGAGAGTTACACAACGCGTTGTGGCGATGGTTTTTTTTTTTTTTTTTTTTTTTTGCAAAAAAAGATTTGTTGACTCATGATAAGTCAACAAATTGCAGGTATTGATATTAACCTGCTAGTTCGTGTTTTATATTATATATACATTCTCACACAGGCCGTGAGAAATATAGCCAATAAAATGTTATTATTATTATTATTATTATTATTATTATTATTATTATTATTATTATTATTATTGTTATAAATTATAATAAGTTGAGTAGTATTAGGATAGAATAGATCTAACAGTAGTTGCGTGTTGATGAACAACAGTATAAAGTGGTGGCACGTAGTTGGAAGGATTAAGATTCCAATCAGATTTAAATTTACGCGTTAATGCAGAGTAATCGACAGTGACTCCTTGGGAGATTGAATTAGCGATCGTGAAGTTAAGCTTGTGGTAATTGGCATCGATTAATTTGGTGTAATGGGTGACTGCTCTCTTGACGGTATTTTCCAGCTTGTAATGGGTACCATCACCTTTTTTTTTTATAATAACTAAAGTGGTATACATGTTTTATTAAAAGTTGTATTAAAAGGATGGATTTACCATCAAGTTTTTTTCGTAGTCTATTTTTTTTCTTTTTAGTTGTTGGTTGATTTAATTAATTAGTTGGCAGGTTGGGAAGAGAGTTAATTTCATTTACTTGATTAGTTGGCTGGTGTTGGAGTGTTGTTTATTAATTTTAGAATGTTTCTGTGGATATCGAAGTCGGATATAATAGATTGGTTGGAGAAATCGAGTATTTTGTCATCTTGACTGAATAGAATTGAACTGACATGTTTCCAAATGTTGTGGTAGATGATCGCTGTTAGGTCTGATGATTCATCGCAGAATGGGTACCATCACCATGAAAAAGCAAAAAAAGGGTTTGGCAAGTATCTAGTCTTTACATGATTTGGTTTGTTTGTCTTGCAAGGTTTCCCTTGTTGGACAGGTATCTATGATTTAATTTAGGACGAGTCCTAAGTCAAATTCATTTGAAATTCTTAGAGTATTAGATGTTAAATCTGATATGATGGAGTCTTCATTTTTAATGTAAAGACGTCTTGCTTCGCCCCAATTTTCTAATGGAAATAACAAAAATGTAAATCGAACCAGTTTGGGTATTGCCAACAAATTATGGTTCTTTGCATGATTTTCCAAATTTTTTCATGATATTTGAATTTTGTTTTTTAAAAAACTAAAAATTTGTCTTTAACAAAAATATATACATAAATATAAGTCACATTAGTAACAGTAATAATGTTTTTTTTGTTTCAATTAATAATAAATAATAAATTTATTTTAGTGTGATTGTTTTATTTGAAACAATAAGTTAAATAAATACTTTTGATGCAGTCCGCGAGAAGATCAAACAAATCAAACATAAACTTTTCTGCGTCATGTATTTTTTTTTTTAGTTGGTTCCTTTTAGTAACTTTTAATAGTTAACATACAAAGCAGAAGAACCATAGATGTTGCAATTATCATTATTAGCGGTCATTCGAATATAACCTCCTTCACCCCAGGAAGTACCCCAAGAATCTTTTTTTTTTTTAGATAAAATCAATTAATATGATGATTTTCATAGTTTTATATAAAAATTTTTCTACATACTTTTAATTAACCATGAATTGGTTGCCAAATCATAACCTGTAAGTAAGACACCATGGTTCACCCAATTATTTTGTTGAGCACAACTATAAATACCTGAACGGTAGTTCTGCCAACCTTCATCAACCCAGAGTGCAATAGTGACAGGTCCTGTCTTGAGTGATTCAATCAACTTTTCTTTTGATCGACCAGTAGTAGTATAGCCTGCGAATGGAACACGTGGTTGAGCTGTCTTTACACATGTAGTTTGAACTTGAGTGTATGGAGTAGCACTCTCTGGACCGAAACCTTCATTCTTTAAAGCGTCGAATACCATTGTATACCTTATTCATACAATTACAAGTTGTTTAGTATTATTAATAGGATAAATATTTATAATCATTTTTTCTTACATACCATCCACCATTACAACCATTGGAAATACAATTCAAACATTCTTGTTCAGAAAAGTCAACTGTATTTGGATCTGCACCGGTTTTTATGACATATCTAGTTTCTGCACCGGCAATCGCTGAGAAGATATAACAACTTCCACATTGACCTTGATTCCTTACTGGAGTGGATTGTGCCCTCCAATTGATGCTAATGGGACCGGTTGTCTGGGTTGGAGCGGGAGTCGGTGGTGTTGTTTTAGTTGGGGTTGGAGTAGGTGGTGTTGTTTTGGTTGGTGTTGGAGTTGGGGTTGTGGTTGGAACCGGTGACTTGGTAGGAACTGGCTTGGGTTCGTATGGGTTAACTCCACGATAAGGACCAACCGGATCAAAGTTACAGTAAAATCTGTAGGTATCGTTACATTTATTAAGAGCACATGCAAAAGATTTCATCTTTGATACCACTGCATAGCTATGTAGACAGACGGTACCTGGATTACAAGATTTCGTTGTAAAGTTGTAGTTAACTTTTGTGGAAAGAATGTAATTGAGAACAACTGTGACGTTCCAATCTCCTTTATAAGAGATTACGTATTCACTAACATTTCCAGCAAGAGCATTTGGAGAGTAGCCATTCGCACACTTATCAACAAATTCTTGCAATTGGTTGGCATAAGTCGAATTCCAACTCATCGCTCCCATTGGTGGATTGGAGAGTGGAGTAGGGTCGAATCTCCACCAATTCATTTCATTTAGAATTTTCATTCTCTCCGTGCTGGTTAACTCACCATTTGCACCAGTGAGAGCAATCGTTAATATAATTACTATACTTAACAAATAATTTATTTTCATTGTTTATAAATAAATAAATAAATAAATAAATAAAAATACAAATAGTTTTAAATAAATAGAAAAAAGAATAAAAGTTTATAAAATAAAAATAAAAAATAAATTTTATAAAATAAATAAAAAATAATAAGATTTAAAATAAAATTTTAAAATAAAATAAGATTGTTATTATAAAATTATTCTTTGGGATACCTAGGTATTTAATTCCAGTCAATATAATAATATCTTGATTATTTTGTTTTCTACATTCTTTCAATTTTTACAAAAAGTAAAAAGGTAAAGATTTAAATTAAGAGCCATCTCGATGAGAAACCCACCCTATTACCAAAAATTGATATTGATCATTTTTTTTTTGGTGTTTGATTAATTAATTAATTTGATGATCTCAATAAGAGATTTGTAGATTTTATAAAAAATCTATGATTTTTTTTTTTTTTTACAATAATTTTTGCATATTAGCAAGATTTTAATGTATGGATTCCACCATCAAAGAAACCTAAATAAAAATCAAAGATTAAATTTTAAAACAAACGAGATCATTCAAGTAAGTGGGTTGTTGTAAATCGATTTCAATTGTATCGAGTCCATCATTAATTGAAATTTATTTTTGATTGTTCCAGAATAGATAATTTTATTTTGTATAATATCTTGAATCGATCTATTTTTTATTATAATTTATATTTGGTGACCTAAATTTTATATTTTAGAATAAAATATTTAAAATCAATTCTTTAATTTTAATTTTTGTAAACTGTATAGTTAATTATTTTATTTTATTTATTTTATTTATTTATTATAAATTGTAATAATGAAATATATATTATTTATTTGTATAACATTATTATTTGTAGCTGTGAATTCACAGGCAATCGAATATAACTTTGAGACTGCCTTCCAAAACTATGTTGAAGCTTATGGAAAACAGTATACAAGCCAAGATTACCAAAATGCATTCAAAGCATTCAAGGTAAATTTTGAAAAGATTCAACAAGTCAATGCCAAATGGGAAGGATCCAATGTCCATATTGAATATGTAGAGACACCAGCTACCCTAAGATCTTTGTCTGATGTGGCAAACGAACCAGTCATTTCATTCCCCTCTGAAAACATACAGACGAGTAAGTTATATTTTAAAAAAATAATTAAATTATTATAAATAGCATTCCAGGTTATTAATATTTAACTATAAATTTAATTAATAATTTTAAGTGGATTTAAATACATTCAGTGATTTAACATATGAGGAATTCGCATCAACTTTTACTGGTGCTGATGCTGCTTTTGCTCCAGCCGTTGCCGGTGCTGCTACAGCAGTACTCTCCACTGGTGCCATCATTGGTATTGCAGTTGGTGGTGGTTCTGCTGCAATTGCAGTTGCCGCTGGTATTACAGTAGCCGTCAAGAGAAGAAAGAGAAATCAAGTTGAATCATCCTCAACTCCAGAGGTTGAGATGAAGACAACTCCAAAGGGTATTGATATCTTCAAATGGAGAAGATCCAAACATCAATCTATCACTGCTCGTGCAATGCCAATAGACAAACAATAATTATTAAATAAATTGTTATTAAAATAATCACATGAATTGAATCAGCTGATCAATTCCAAAAAAAAAAAAAAAAAAAAAAAAACCCCAAAAACAAATTTCAAATCGAGATTTGATTGTATGATTTAATTGTACGTTTTATTTGATTATGAGGGATGTTGAAGAGAAAATAAAAAAACAAAAAAAAAAACTTTGATCAACAACAATTATTTAAAGTTTCTCTAGAGTTGTAAAATAACAAACAAAATTAACTTGTTATTATTATATTCATATCTCAAACATATATAATTTTTGATCAAATATTTTCTTTAAAGATGACCAAATCTGCATTTCAAATCAAATTAGACCAAAAGAAAGAAAAGCTGCAAAAAAGAATTGAGAAAAAGCAATTACGGGAACAAAAGAGGGTTGAGAGGGAAGCTAAAAAGCTTAAACGAGAAAAGAGGGTTGGTTTGAATGGCACAAGGGTAAAGAAGGGCAAGAAGAACAATCGGGGATTTGCACATGCACGTGAGACACCAAAGAGTGCTCTGGAACAGCCAAGCAATGAAGTTGAGATGGAGGTTCATGATCAATCATCGGACTCCGATACTGAAAGTGATTCCGAATCAATCGTGGCCGACGAATGTCAAGCTAAGCCAATTGTTGACCAACCGGAAGATATGATACCACCTGTCAAAAAAGAAGAAGAGGAAGAAGAAGACCATTTCGACCAAGTAGAAAAGGAACCTGTAACATCCAGAGATGAACCTATGCTTAGTCTAGACCTCCATCAGCAGCCGCAACAACAAGAGCCAACACCAACATTCGAAAAGAGTGAAGAAGAGGACGACTCTGAAATGACCACAACTAGCTGTAAAGCTACTACCACGACAATAAAAAGAACATCCGCAGATGCAAGTGAACCTTCTTTCTCAATTGAGAGTGTATCACCGAAAGCTCATGAACCACTTAATTCAAATGAATCTCTGGTTACTATGGAAGTAAAAGAAGTCAACTCTCCAATGAAAACACCATATAAAACACCATATAAATCATCATCTTCCTCTTTTTCAAAGTCATCAACTAAATCTCCAAAGAAAGTAGAAGTCCAAGAAGAGATGAATAAGAACATATGGAAGAAGGAAATAGCAAAGTCACTCAAAACCTATGCTCCCGGTTCCATCGTTACTGTTGATAGTGTTAGATTAGATATCATCGAGAGACAAATTCAAAAGTAAATCAATTCTTTATTGAAGAGTTTCATAAACAGGTATGTATAATAAGCTCTAAAATCGATATTTTGTCGAACAACTTAAAACTAACTATTAAAATACATATTTTATAATAATAATAATCTTGTTAGATTCTTTTGCATGATGATAGATTCTCATTAAATGAAAATGGTGATATTAAGGTGCTTCCAAAGAATTAGAATTTATCAAAACACTTGATTCTTAAACCAGAAACAGTAATCTAACTGACTTTAACAATCCTCTAGAGTTTTGTGTAATACACTTTTTGTTTTGTTTATTAAACTTTTCTTTTCTTTTCTTTCAATAAAATCATTAATATAAAATCAATTTTTTTATATTATTTATTGTTTACCTTGCATTACCTTGCCTTGCCTTGCCTTGCTCAAAGTCTCTATCTTCATCATCACTTTTCAAATAAATGAGTTGACCAACCCTACCATCAAATTTAATTGAAGAAATCAGATATTATTTTCTAAAAAGACAGACAAATAGGAAGTTATTATAGTAGATCTACTATAATACCTACCCACTTAATATATTTTGTTTTTAAGGAACTAATTAAAAAACAAAAAATAGTCTTTAATAGAAAAAAATAATAACCAACCGATATTAACATCTTTTAAAAAAAAAAAACACTTATGTATTGATGATAGCTACCATCAATGTATTGACGAGAGCACCTTGCTTGATACTTTTTACAACGATTTTAACTTAAACCACAAAAACCAAATTTCTTTCTATTGCAATTCATGTTTCATTTATCTTATTTAGGAATTCTTAACACCAATGTGGTGGTGCACAGAATTACCAATGGAATTTTACCCCTTTTTTTTTTTGTTTAAACTATCACCCCATTTTAATAGATGCTTTCAATCACACTCCACTGTATACATACAAATAAACAAAAATTTACTGAAAACAAAACAACAATCAAATAATAATAATAATTTATTTATTTATTTTATTTTATTTATGGACGTTATTTGATCTTCAGATTTTTGCAGTTACAAACTCATTCAATGTTGTAATAGTTATAAATTGTGATCTTATTTGTTTATAAATATCAAGTGTTGTATTTTATTAATTATTTATACGATTTGATATGTTGTTATATTAAGTAGAAAGTAAGTAAGAGTAAATCATCTTTATTTGGAGTTGGTTGGTTAGTTGGTTGATTGGTTGTATTCTGCTCGATTTATGTTGTTTTAGAATGTGTGTGCTCTCTCTCTCTCTCTCTCTCTCTCTCTCTCTCTCTCTCTCATTGTCAACATTCACCACCACTTTGAAAACAAACATCGATGCAGAGATTCAAAGCGAGTTCGCTGTTTTTCCTTTTCATTTTGCTTTGCTTTTGAATGAAAAGATACCGATATTATCATCTCTAACAACAAAGCAGAGTATAGCATAGCAGAGCAGAGAGATAGAGAGATGCTGCTCATTTGTTTGCTGGTTTTTATTTTTTATTTAAAATTTGAAGATCAAGATGAGCCAACCAACCAATTTATTTGTTTGTTCGAACAACCAACGCTATATGTTATAGTATTTAAATTTCCCCACTTAAGTTCTTACCACCCAAACATAACAAACAATAACAACAGGAATCAGAAATAATTAAAAATATTTTTGTTTAATAATAACAATAAACCAAGCATACATAAAATTCTTAGCAACAAAACATTTAAACAAAATTGGTTGATTTTTATGACAATAACAACACACGTTCATCTTTAACTATGTATTTTTTATTACTATATTGCAAAACATGAATCTTTTCTTCGGTACCTAAATAATGTATTTTTATTAATGTGAGATACACAACAATAGTAATGTTCATCAACATAATCAAATCAAAAATCATACCACCACTATTTAATTTATTTAACTCTGCTCACACAACAACAACAACAATAATAACAACGATAACACAACAACAAACAACAACTTATCATATCTTTTACATTCACACAAACACACACCCTTCAATTCAATTTGAATCAGTTGGTTGAGTTCAACTCTCGAATTCTCTTTTTCACTGGTCATAGGTACCTTCAATGACAGATATAAATGCAATAAAATAGGTGTTAATGCTTTGGGAGGTGATAATTAACACACAAACCACAACATGAAATATCTAATACCACAAATTTCCCACCACTTCAAAAAAAAAAAAAAAAAAAATTATATATTAAATAAAATATTCATAATGATGCTTTGTTTCTATTTTTTGACACTTCAAATTATTGATATTCAATAACTTAACTTATAATAGATACAATTGTATTTTTTTATTTTTTCTTCTAAAGAAATAATAATTTTTAATTAAATCAAAAAGATTATTCCAAAAAAAGGTTCTAATTTGCCTGCACATTCAAAAGAAAAAAATAAAAAAAAATCAAAAAAAAAAAAGTATGTCAACATTAAAAAGAATTTTGCAATTAATTTTATTTGCAAAACAATCCAAAAAAAAAAAAAACAAAAAAAATAATTCAAAATTAAATAGTTTTGTTGAATCATCATTTGCATTCTCACTTTTTTTGGAATTTAATTTAAAAAAAAATCTTTTGAATTAAATTAAATACATTTTTTTAAGACCAGTTAGATTTCGATGATATTTACTGTTTTTTTTCTTCTAGGTTCTCTAATTTATCAGACAACAACAAGTATTTATATCTAGATTGGGCTAAGAAAATTCCATCTTTCTATTTAGCTTTACTTTATTTATGATTTAGATAGTTATTAGTTATATATATTTATTTTTATATATATATATATAAAATAAAAAAAAATAAAAAAATAAAAAAATAAAAAAATAAAAATAATAATAAAAAATATTTATTTATTTATTATTATAAGTAATAATAATAATTAATAATTAATAATTAATAATAATAATAACAAAAAAGTGTAGTTATAATAACAACAATATTAACAATAACAATTAAATAATTATAAACAAAAATAATTATTATAACTTTTTAATTAAAACAACATGAGTAATTAATTTAATAACAATCACAAATAATTACTATATTTATATAGATTCTTAACAAATCTTAATCAATTAGTATTTTATTTCTTTCTTTTTATTTTTATTTTTATTATTTTTTTATTGTAAATACAAATAATCATTGTTCATTTCATTTTTTTGTAAATAAACAACAAATATACAATAGACCCCCTCCATCCCTTCCTATTATATACTATATCAAACAATAACTACTATATTATATAATACAAAAATAAATTAGGCTTGTTCGCCAAACAGCCTTTTTTATCACTTTACAACGTGACAGTGTGTAGATATTCGTTGGATAAAATACTTTAACACGCATAATTATCTTACTACTACTACTACCGTCATTATTCACTTCATCAACAACTACAACAGCAGCATTAAATAACACTGTATCATCATCGTGCCACAGTCACAAATAAAATCAATACAACAACAAACATTATAAAACAACAAATACAATGGTCTCAATTGCTCCAACACCACTCTACTTGCCTGTAGAGGAAGCCAACAAAATATTTAAATCACCAATTCCACAGAGAAGAGAATTCACTGCTTTCAGTTCTGCCGCCAATGTAAATACTATCGATTCATCCACAACCGAATTGGCAAAATCTCGTGATTCAAGTGTTACCAATAGTAATGAGATTGATCATCACCACCAACACCAACACCACATTTCAAACCTCGCTCCCCCTTCACACAACACCGCAGGTGGAGATTCAGATTTAACTTTGAATCGATATTATATTGGTCCAAAGATCGCCAAAACCAAACATCATTATCACCACCAACACCATAACCATCATGCTGGCAATTATCACAATCTTAAACCCGATGTAAATCAAAAGTCTTTAATCGAAAAGACTGTAAGTGGTCTCTGTAAATTTTCACCGATTCTATCTGAAGGTAATGGTCTTGGAGGTGGTGTATATTTCATGAAGTCACAAGCCGGCAAGAAGGTCGCCGTTTTTAAACCCAAGGATGAGGAGAACGGAATTATTTCGCCAGTCGCCCATATCTCCTCGAATGTCAAGAACCAACACAATGGTCTCAAGAATGGTACCATCCAAGGAGAGGGAATTTTTAAGGAGGTCGCTGCCTATCTGTTTGACCAACGTCTCAATGGTTATTTCGGTGTGCCAACCACAACCCTAGTTGAAGCTTCACATCCCTATTGGAAGGATAGCCTAGGACAACAGGTTCAAAAGATTGGCTCACTTCAAGAGTACATTGATTTCGACGATTCCGCAGAGGAAGTCGGATGCTCCAAGTTCTCAGTAGCAGATGTACACAAAATTGGTCTTTTCGATTGCCTCATGTTCAATTGCGATCGTCACTCTGGTAACATGTTGGTTGAATACGATGACCTTGACCAAGTAAAGCTCATCCCCATCGATCACAGCCTTTGTCTTCCAAGCTCCAACTCTCTATCCGACGCCTGGTTTGATTGGATCAATTTCCCACAGTCCAAGGTTCCATTCGACAAGAAAACACGTGAATTAATTCTCTCGATAGATATCGACTCAGAGATTCGTTACCTAAGAAGTGCCCTACCCGAACTCAGAATTCAATGTTTGGAAACATTGAAGATCACAACACTCTTTGTTCAAAAAGCCATCAAAAAGAACATGACACTCCATCAGATTGGCAAAATGATTTCGAGATTCTCACAGTTGGATCAACCATCTTCCCTCGAAAGCATCGTCAACGAAGTGACTCATGTCAAAGGAAATCGTATCTCTTTAAACAACCAAATCTTTTGGTTTGACTATCAAAAAGAAATTGATTTGCATTTGAATTTAGTTGAATCAAATAAATAAAATTCACAACTTTTTTTTTTTTTTTTTTTTTGTTTATCTAACAAAATATTAAATTGTTTTTGTTTTTATTTAACTAGTGACAAGAATTTCGACAGAATCCTTCTTTCAAATTGAATAATTAATTTCCAAAATAGAATCTTGACGCCTATTTTGTTCTTTAAAATCCAACTCAATTTCCAAGAACTATTAGAAGAGAATACAGAACACTTATTCATGAGAGGTAAAGTAAGTTGTAAAACATCTCTTGAATATTCTCAACTTTTAGGTATTAATATGATTCAAAAAGTAATCTTGGTTCCTCTATAATAGAGTTCTTTAAAATTTAATTTATATTTCAAAGTCAATGTTTTAAATTATTTAAGAAAGATTTAAATTGAAGTTTTTATAGGTAATTCAAATAAAATCTTAAAATAAATCTATTTTGTTAATAATAAAAATAACGAAAGATCTATAATAACCAATCAACTATTGGAGATGTTCTTAAAATCTTGAGTTAATTAAATTATTTAATATTCATATGTATTAAAAAAACTAAAATTAAATTTTTGAATTTATTTTTATTTTATTTTCACAATAAGTAAATATTTTTAAGTAAGAACTTAAAGTTAGAATGTATTTTAAAGGGTAGAAAAATGTTATCATTTTAAATTATTAACCCCAAAAGTATTTATTCAACTTCCAGTTTTTTCCAGTTTTTAAATTTTTTTCTAATTTTTTTTTTTAAAAATTGGTGTCGATCATATAAAAATCAAATATTTATATATGTTGTTTATAGTTTGTTTTTAATGAATCTATTGTTTATTATATGTATTTATGTTTATATAGATGGATAAAATAAATAACGTATTATTACAAGCGATATTCAACTTGATAGAACCAAATAAACTGCTTTATAGTGGTGATAATATAGCTGCCGATAGATTATACGAGTCATTTCCTTGCTTTGATATAGTTAGCTTGGCATTGGTGTCTTGGAAATGGTTCAACAATCTATCAAAGTTAATAGACCGATTAGAACTACGGTTGTACTATAAAGAAACACTCGGAAGGCGCATGAAACTTGAGAAAGTAGCAACCGCTGCACTCTATCGAGTGGGCAGAACCGAGAAGTTGGAAAGAGACAAACCGAATATCACCATAGATCTTGACCATTTCAAGAGTCTACTGGATTCTAAATTCAGTTTGTTGCGTGCTTGCAATCTACGACAACTGGTGATTCGCGATGTCTATCCGTGGAACAAGCGGTTCGACAGCGTCATCAACAACCTCTATAACGGCGGACAACTCAAATCGGTGACTGTCATCACCGAAATAGTGTTACTTCCAAACTTTATAAGTAAACATCCACACAAGAATCGATTCCAATACTACGTTGTACCGACCATTACCAACTGTCTAAAGAGCACGGACATCGCTGCTTCCATCAAATATCTGAAACAGCCGGCCAACAATATCGTTTGGCTGGAAACAATCTTTTCGAATCATCCGGATTCCCCACTGGAAAAAGGCATTGCTATGCTAGCCGACATTGAAAAAGCGGTGCCACTGGCGATGACTCAATTTTCTTTTCCTCATTTCTTCTCGGATATTCCCCCGAATGACTGGCTGCAGATGCACCAACTCTCCAATATCTACAAGTTAGAGCTTACGAGTGTCAAACCCTGGATCGCTGCCAAGGTTATCCAGGTAGCGCCATCCCTGAAAATCCTAAAGATCTCTGTCAATCTCTGTCAGGAGCAAGACAATGAGGAGTTCGCAGCAAAATCCAAGGACCTCTTTGAAGCACTGAAATCGAATCGGTCGATCGAACTCCTCTCCATCAATGATTGGTCTGGCAAAAAAGGTTCCAATACACTTGCAGGCTCAGAGTCACTGGCGCAACATTTCGGTGATTTGCTCGTGGTGAATCGAACCATAACCAAATTGAAACTGGAGAATTTCTTTCATTTCGATCAGCAATTCTACGATTCTCTTGAACAAACCAGTTTGAGGCGACTGTCAATCACATTATTCGATTCAAACATGTGTGACCGAATTTTCAAATCACTGAAAATCAACAGCTCCATAAGAGAACTGACGTTTAGCTCTATCTATGGATTGTACAAAGATTCAATCGAGAAACTAGTTTCGGAACTTATTGAAACAAATCACACACTCGAATTAGTTAATTTGTCTCGGCTGGATTTGGGTGGTAAAATGTTATTGAAATCACTTCAGTTAGAGTCCAACACATTACCACATTTATTTGTCCAACTTCAAACTGGAGAGTATTTATTAAAATATCTAAATAGCATTAAAAATACAATTATTTATAAATATTTTTATTAATAAAAATAATATTTTTTATGAAAACCCAAGAGAATAAATCATTTCAAAAATCATTTTTACATCTACAAAGAATTACTCATCAAGAAATAATAATATATTTGTTTTTTAGAAGGATTTCCAATAATAAAATTCTTTTAAATGAAAATCTTAAAGGAAAGAAATCAACATTTTTAAATGTCAATATTCATTTATGTCCTTTATTCAACTAATATTATTTGTTTGAATCTTAATTATTAATTATTTGGGTTGTTTAATTTTATAGGTTGGGTTTATTTTTGCACAGCTTTTTTTGTATTCTCGCACTATTTTTTTCAAAATTCACACAATAGAGTAATAAAAATCCAAAAACAAAAAATTTACTATTTATTATATTATATCTCAATAAAATTACTTTTCACCTTCGCAATATAAAACTAGTAAATTATTAAGGATCAAATTTTATATTATTAATTTTATTAAAAATGTCGTCAGAGGGTTGGGAAAATTCATAACAAAAAACAATAATTGGTACTGATGGTCAAGTTTTGAATTCAATTGGTTTATCAGGGAACACTATTTCTTTCTTTATACTCTTTGTGTTGGCAAGCTTCTTGATCGTAGTAAGAAAAAGAAAAAGAATAGCTCTGGTATTGAGTCTTCAAAGATCATTAAATTTTGATGTTTAGCTTCAACTATTTTCAACACTTGTAAATACTTTTTATTAATCCTATATATATTTATAAAAATTCAATAAACATAAATTTATTCTAAAATACTTTAGAGAATCTAACAATTTAATTAATTTTTACCAGGGATTTGAATAGTTTTTGAATTCTGTGCATTTTTGCAATGTTTACTTATCAAAAAAAAAAAAAAAACATGTGACAAATTTACTCGTTTTTAATTATTTATTTTGTAATATATTTATAATGTCATCTTCAAATCAAAATAGCAGAAAATTATTTGAAAAGTGTAAAGATAACAATACTCAAGAGGTACTCTCGTTGTTGGATAAAAAAGATGATTTAAGATTAGATGTAAATACAAAGTTTGAAGGTGGTTGCACTGCTACCTTCTTTGCTGCTTATCATGGCAATGTAGAGCTTCTAAAACGATTGATGGCCTGTGGTGCAGATATAAATTTGACAGAGGAGAATGGTGTATCGCCGCTCGCAGTTGCATGTGTACAGGGAAAGATCGCTGCTGTCGAGCTGTTGCTCAGCGAGAATCACGACCCAAGTCAGAGAGTCACAGGACTGATCGGTGCTTGTCAGTATGGATACGCTCAGGTGGTTAGACGTCTGCTCGACACTGGTATCGATGTCAATATAGAGGTCGACGATGAGGGTGCCACACCGCTGTATGTCGCCGTCGAGACTGCTCGTGAGGAGGTTGTCGCACTGCTGCTATCGCGTGGTGCCGACCCAGCAAGACATCGTCTATTCTACTACCCAATACACGTTGCAACACAGATATCGAATTATCCAATCATGGAGAGATTGTTAAAGTCAGGTGCTAAGCCAGATGTTAGAACACGTGACGGTGCCACATCGTTGCTCATCGCCGCACAGAATGGATTCATAAGAGCAGTCGATATACTACAGAGTTACAAAGCATCGCCCAATATTCAGATGGTCGATGGCTCCAGTCCACTTTATGTTGCTTGCTCTCGACACCATGCCAACACTGCTTTGAAACTGCTGGATTCACCCGATATCGATGTCAATCTGAAACTAGAGGATGGCACTACAGTTTTGCACGTTCTAGCACAATATGGAAATACTAGTCTGATAAAGGAACTACTCGATAGATTCTCAACAAAGATTGAATACGACGCAAAGAGAAAAGACGGAACTACACCACTGCTGATAGCAGCTAGACACGGACAATTCGAAATATGTCAATTACTCATTGACAAAGGAGCAGATCTAAATGCACAATGTGACGGAGATACACCACTTTCAGTTGCAACAAGATATGGTAGATCAGACACAATCAGAGTACTCACAGAAGCAACTAATAAATTGAAAGAAAAAGAATCAAAATCAACAGAATGATAAATAAATAAAAGGATTATATATATTAAAAACAATCATAAAAGATAATAATATAGAAATTTAGATAAACCGAAAATCATAAAAGTATTTATTTAAAATTGGTCGATTATCTATATATTTAAATATTTCCAAAGTTAATTGTTGGAATCATTGTTAAATTAAATCAAGTATGGACTGCAGATGTTGTTGTTAATGATGCAGACAGCATATTGTTCTTGGCAACTTGCAACATATCCTCTTGACTCTGGCTCAATGGTAGAGGTTCCGTTACAGTATGCTCCAACCTAATAATAATTAAATTGTTAATTATTTGAATATAGATTATACAATAGTTTTAAGAACAACTTACTTCTCCACGGTATAAGCAGAAATCGCAACAGTGGTGTACTGGGGATGCATTCAGGTTTCTGGCAATGAATTGACCGTTGTTCAAGTTACAGTGGAGCTTGTTAACTGGAGGACATGCCATTTTGTTGCAAACTTGGGAGAAGACACCGGCAACACAGACCAACAAGATGAGTAATAGAGTTTTAGAGAGCATTTTTGAATTATTTATTAGTTGTTTGTTTGTTTTTGGAGGTTGATTTATTTGATTTGATATTTTGAAATGAATATACAGTATCTATTTATACTTTAATTTCAAATATTTAAAAAGAATGTTTACTAATTTTTGTTTAAAAAAAACAAATAGTCTAGAAGGTTATATCGATTATCATTTGAAATAGAAAGGAAATTCAATTTTCCTTTGATTGGATAACAAGTAACTTCTAACTAACCTAGCTAACTACTTTAATGTTTTGTTTTGAAAAAAATGAGAAGAAGGTACATTAAAAAAATATTCATTTTGTAAAATTTATAATCTAACCTGTTAGTTTACATTTTTTAGTGAGTAAACTTTGTAAAACAATAAATATCTAATCTAAATGTGATAGATATTTAACAAAACAACCTAAAATGTAAATGCAAATATGAAAAAACAACAGGTAAACAATGAACTACACACCACAAATCAAACAACCCCGAAACTTGAAACTTTTTAAATAAATTTTGGACATTCGGTAAAAAAAAAAAGTTAGCCCAATGAATGCATAGTCCAAACCAATCAACATCTGACCTTTATCATTTTAAATCAAAATCAAATTGAATACACCATCAGTAATTATGATGAAGCAAATTATTCCATCATAGAATACAATATTCTTTTTTTATTAGAATTTAGGAATTTTTTCTATTATATTTAATAAGAGAAACACTTACTACTAATGATTGATAACTATTTTTCTAATTTGATTTGATTATTTGAATAAGGAAATGTGAATCTTTAATAGTCGGTTGAATAGAGAGGGTTAAATTCAAGAAATGTAAATAATACTTCTTCATACTTTACTTGACATCTTAATTAAAAAAAAATATTAAGAAAATTAAAAAAAATAAAATAATATAATATTTTTAAAAATAAAACCATTAATTAATTAAAATAAATAAATAGTTATTTATTTGATTGTTCTATAAAGTGTTGTTGAATCAATTGGGATAAAGCTTACAAAGTTGGTGTTTGATTCTGTAAACCATTTCTCTTTGAGTAATGCATACTTTTGATTTTCAACTTTCGCAGCAACAACCAAGTTAACGATCGATTTGTTCTCGTCTTTGTTCAGTTTTACAAAAATTTCTTCAAAGTAGAGTTTCGATTGTTTACTAGCTATTTGGAATTTGTTGATTTTAGATATCTCATCATGATATATCAACTCCAATGTCTCTAGAGTATGACCAGGATTGTTTGGAATGTACAATGACAGATTACATTCGATTTGACCCTCCAAAACCAAATGCTTGAGTGATTTGTTTCCTCTAAAAACTTGTTGTAGTAGTCCCGAGTAATCCCTGTTGGGTAGTATGGCGGTAATAGCTAGCTTTGATAGATTTGTAAAGTGGCAGCCAACTATGTTGATTCGAGAGGAGGTGACTGAGAGCGACCGAATCAGTGACAATAGTTTTGTATTTATATGACTGGTTTGGTGAGGAACGGTTATTGTTAGATCGACCATAATATCTAATTGGTTACTCTCTTTGATTTCATTGAGCAGGTGAAGACACTGAGGCATAAAGTTGGCATCTATTGAATTCGATTCAAATGTAACTGATGAAATTTTCTTTTCCTTTTGTTGTAGGATGTAGTTCTGAATAAAAGTTGAAAGGATATGCTCTTTGCTCTCTTCATCAACAGAAAAATCGTCATCCTCTTGGAAGTCATCATAGTACTGAAAGGTTTGGTCATAGTCGTTCGAGTCATTCAGAATTGGTACGTTGAAATACTTGAATCTATTGTATCGTCGAACAAGATGATCAACCTTTGTATTGTCTCTCACAAACTTTGAGTACAGTTCCATTATGTGCTTGTTGGAAACGAAATGTTTGAAATGTATGGAATTCAAACTTGGACAGCAGTCTAGATAGTGTATGAATGTCTCGTGGTAACTTAGATCTTGGTAGTCGTCAGTCTCGAACATATCAAAGGTATAGGAATTAACATGGTTGTTGGTGTAGGTATCGAATGTTTGAGTTAGTGCCTGAAGACTGTTGATACACTGAGGATGGAACTTTGTCGGAATATGAGCGATTTCATAATCGATCAAATGAAGTGGTGGATTCTTAAACAGACAGAATTTCGAACCGATGTGTGTCAACTTTGAACGAATTTCAACTGATTTCATCGGATTGTTCGAGAGAATCGAGGTTGAGACCTGGAAGAACAGTTGACATACCATCGGGAGTGTTCTTATCTTCCATTTCGTTGATGTAGTGGCATCGCTAAAAAGATTGAATAATATTTCCGCCCATATAACTTTACTGAGTTCAGGAAGTTCACAGCCATCCACGCACGACTGAGATGACACCTTTTCTAATGGATCTACAATTGCCTTGTCTTTAAAGAATTGAATGCCAACGAAATCAGCAGATTTGGTAAAATGAGAACTCGGAACATTGATAGGCAGTTCTCTTCGTAGATAGGTAACAATGGAGCTGTTTAGTTTGGTTCTTAGCAGTTTCTTTTCTGCGTCATTTAGTTTGTTGTGTAATGAATACAGTGTTTGATCCTCGGCTGTCATCAGATTGATATTGCTGTTGATGTTTCTATACTGTAGGGTTGGTCCTCTATATTTACTATCAAAGAATGTTCCGTAGACAAAGCGAATAAAGTACATTATCGACTTGTTGGTAGTACAACAATTCATTAAGCTATACAACGGTTTGAAGTGTAGGCAGTTGTCAATCAAATACTTCCAGTGTCGGTGTGCATCTGGCAGCATATCTAGGAACTTGGCAAGCGGTACAATTTTCTGATAGGGAGCAGCAAAAGCATCTCTGACATTGTCCAAGATAATTGTGACTATTCTGTCATCAACTACAACCGCTCCACTGGAAATACATTGATTTAGGAATGAAAGGTTTCTGGAAATTGTCAACTTTATATTGTGGTTATTAAAGTTGGAGATATTGTTGAACAACAATTGTAGTTTCTGAGAGTATTTCGTAATGAAAGGCATATGCTTATCGTCATCAGACTTTGTCATGAATATCACTAAAAAATTGAATATATCCTTCTGTTGCTGTGAACATGCATGACTCTCGTATGCGTAGATAAATAAATCAACGATAGTATCCGTCACCACGATATCCACTACCGAATTGCTTCTTAACAGCAAAGTATGTATTAAGATCGCCAAAACATTGTAACAGCCATCATCGGTTTTACTTTTTGCTTTCGTTTGATCGTAGTAAACCTTGAAGTAACCGAATAATCCTTCAACCAAAACAAATGAATCACTTGTAAATGTCATAAGTTTGATGATACCATTAATATAATTTTGATAAATATCTAATAACTAAAGGAAGAATATAAAGATTAATAAAATGTGTCAACGAGTTTAAGAATGTTTTGTTTAACAACTTACTGCACCAAATTTAGATTCTTGTTTCTTGATTAAGATGTTCTTAACGGAATATCTAACTCTTATATCCTTAAAGTAGCGTTTGAAATAGGAATCGTGACCCGATAGTCTGTCGTTGATCAATGGATAGAGAAGATCGAATAGCTTTGGATCATCCTCTATCATATCTTTCATTGTTTGAATGAGTTGATTTAAGACTGGCTCATTGTCCGACGACAATATCATTCCCATGAAATGTCGGAACACTTCGCCGAAATCATTGAGTAACGGTCCACTGGATTGATGATACCCTGCTATCAGCTTCAGCGAAACTGGTATCAATTCAGCGATCTTTGCAAAGTGATCGTTTATCAGCTGACTTGAAGTCGCTGAGAGATCGCATTGGGACAATATATACATAAACTTTGCGAGTGACCGCTGCTCTGAATTGAATGACAGTATCTTAACCTTCTCGGTATCACTCACCACCCATTCATTACACAACGCTTGAAATTGTACTCTTCCCAATGGGAAAGATAGACTATCATAGATTTGACACTTGAAAAGTAATAATGAAACATTAAATTAATAAATGGTTGATTGATTGATTGAATGAATATAATATTACTTACATTTGATGTATAGATTATAATTTTAAATAATAGTGGAGCGTAGATCAATCTGAATCGATCGATTATTGCTGGTTGGTTACTAAACAGTGGCACCAATTGGTCGAGAATACCCATGGTATCGTATGTCTCATACTCAAAGTTATTGGCAGTCAACATTGTCTCGGCGACATCGAATATAGATGGTACAGCGGATTTGTTTGACAATTTCACTTCCAAGTACTCTTTGATCACAGAGAGTTTGACCTTGGCAGGCTCCTCACCGACCAACGACAACCTAATCATACTCAATGTTTTAATAGTATAACCAACTAGTTTTTCTTTAATTTCATGATCTATCTTATCATCTTTTAATAGCTAAATTTAAAAATGTATTGAATTAATAAAAAAACGCACTTATAAGAACATTAAACAATAACAATGATATCTGTCATTGATACTTACATTTGTTATTGATGGAAAATTAATAATATCCTCTGCATTGGATTTCACCGTGCTTAACAATCGTTTTGATAAATCCATGTTTTCAAACAAAGAAAAGTGTAATTATCAATCGATCGAATTAAACTTTACAAAAAAAAATTAAAGAGGTACCTCACCTTCCAATGTTGGCAAAAAAAAAAACCATCATTCTTTATTATTTTTAATTTTTGCATAAGTCCAAAAGACACAACAAAATACTGTGTAAAAAGGTATTAATAAAAACAGAATCAAAAAAGAATTAATTATCATGATATTTTTTTGTTTTATTTTTGTTAAAATCATGATTTTATTCAACAAATAACCTTATAATTATACTTTAACAAAACTAAATTTAAAATGAATGATAGATATTTATAATTTTCAAAACAAGTGGGTGAAGTGAGTGTAAACAAAGGGAATAGAATAGGCAGAATAAACATGGAAATAATTTTATAAACTACAAAAACCATAACACACACTTTTTTGGATAATGTCAACCAACAATTTTAGATAAGTTTGATCATGATCAAAATGATGTAGATTTATACAATCTGTATCAGTGTCGTTGATTAGTTTAAAAGGCAAACGTGACACAAATATAAATATTATTATCATTATTAAAATCCAATAAATTTTATTTTAATATTATTTATTTTATTTATTAAATATATTTTAAATATGGATTCAACTTACATGCTGACTATAAATATACAACTTAAATAAATTATATACATCTTTAAATTAAAACCAAAAGAAAAAAAACAAACATATATATATATATATTTTAAAAGTTATATTTATATAAATGAATAATAAATCTAAAATATCATTATATCTTTTTGTTTTATTTATTTTTTTGATATTAAATGTATATGGTATGAATTGTATTCTTGAATCATTAAATATTGAAATACTAATTAAATTATATTTGTTTTGTTTTAATTTAAAAAAGGTGAGACATATGATGTCGAATATACTGAAGATTATAAATATGTTGAAAATATAGACGAGATGGAAGGGTTGGATGAAATTGAATATACAGAGTATATCGATGAGATTGAAGAGCTACATAGTCAACCACCTACAAAGAAACCAAAGGAACCTCCATCACCCTGCAATCCTAAATGTGATAAAAAACATGTTTGTAAAGATTATGTTTGTCAATTGAAATGTCAATTTGTACTATGTAAACCAAATTATTTCTGTGCCTACGATACAGTTGGATTTGGATATTGTTTACCAAACTCAAAGAAATCATAATGTAAATAAAAAAGACAAAATTTAACATATTTATATTTAATTATACTCTTTTTATTATTGTGTTTGAACATTATCTTTATCCTCTTGATTATCATTATTAATTATGTCACTGTTATCATTCTTCTTTTTCTTTATAGTTTCTTTATTCAACGTGATAACATCCAATACTGATTTCAATTCATTTATCATCTTCTTCTCTGGTGGCTATATTTAATAGAGTAAGTAAGACAATTGTTAATAAAAAAAAAATGATTAATTATATTAAATTATTAATAATAATAATTATAATAATAAAATATACATACAACTACAGGAGTAAATAGAGAATAGTTTGTTGTTCTCTTCTTTTTCTGTTTGTTTTCAACATAAGTTGGATCGTATACAGTTCTTTTGGGTGGATTCTTCTTCTTTGGTATCATTCCATCGGCAGGTAATGGTGGAGGTGGAGGTGGAATTCCATTGGTGATTGGTGTTGAATCTAAATCATTATTTAATTGTTGTTGTTGTTGTTGTTGTTGTTGTTTATAAAATTCTATTTCATCTTGATCATCTTGATCATCATCACCCAATTCACCAGTGTATGCTTCAAATACACCATCATCATCAAGAGGATCATGTATAATACTATTTAAATCTATATATTGTCTTCTCTTACTACTATCATTGTTACCATTATTGTTATTATCATCATCGAATTCATTATTATATAAAGTATTCTTTCTTAATGATTCTATTAAACGTTGTATTCTCTGTTTTGCTTCTTCCTCTGATAGCTCTGGTAGATTACGATCTACAGACTTTACGATACTGATGAGTGATCGATTTGCCAACTCCCAATACTTTAAACTATTGGAAAGCTCACTCTTGATAACCAAAAAGTCATTTACAATATCATCTAATGTTACTAAATCGATTTCTAATTCTCTTTTATCATCGTTATTATTATTAGTTGATTCTGCATCATGATTACTATTAATACTATTGTTGTTGTTGATTGTCGATGTTAATGGTGTAATAATATTATTAATCTTGGTCAACATTGGATTTATAGATGATTGAACAGATTCTAACATTTGATTATTGTTGTAAAGGAATGACTCCAACACTGTTTTCTTTGGTCTATTTAATATGATTCTACTTGGTATTTCTATTTAATTAAAGTTTATTAGTAATAATTTACTAATAACATAGTATAACATAACAAAACATACTATTATCATATATTTCATTTGAAATGATATTCTTTAATGTATTTGATTCTATTCTAATTGATTTTGTAAGGTTATCAAGTGATTCTTCCAATCTCTCATTGAACTTTATTACTTTTAATACTGCTTGTCCTATTAAATTAATTATTTTAGTACTAAGGTAAATTAAGAAGATCTTTCATATACTTTAATAAAATCATAATAATATAACACATACCATTATTATGTAACAATATAGATTGATCTGCCAATATAAACATTAGCATAGTATAATAATTTGAAATGATTGTTTGATATTGATAGAACATTGATTTAATCGTTAATATTGGTAATTGACTATCTATTTCCTCTTGTGATTTCATTTCATTTTCATTATTACTATTACTATTGCTGTTGCTATTGCTATTGTTATTATTGTTATTATTAATGAAATAAATATTATCATCTATTATATTTGATTTTAAATATGCATCTATATAGCTATTATCTATATATAAATTGGCGAATCTATCGAGATCTTCTTTGAATGCAAGTGTAGAGTGTCTTATAATCTTGGCGATAGATGCACGCAACACCAATGATTTCTCTGATTTAACTTTATCTATTTCGATTCTTTCAATTGGTATTACAGGTGATGAACTATTTATATTAGTTATATATAACGTGATTGGTTAGCAATTACTTAGAGTAGTAGAGAGATAGATAGATATTATACATACAATCTATAACCTTTTGATATTAACTCTACTTCTCTTACTAACTTTATTGATCTCGATATTATATCCAATTGTGTTTGAATATATTTAAATGATTGCTCAAACAACGATTGTAATGATTGATGTTGTCTATTCAATGTGTCTATTTCATTCAATATTCTAATGTATACTTTATAGCCATATATAAATATAGTAAAACAAATAAGCAATATAATAATATAAATAGTAATATTACTAAATAATAATAATGAAAATAATAATATTATTAATGATGATATTATAATTAAATTAAAGTTATTACTTTTGTTGTTATTATTTTTTAGAATAGATATATATAGATAATATAATAAATCTTTAATATTTATATCTCTATTGATTTCATTTTTATTATTATTATTTGTTATATCACTACTACTACTATTACTATTATTAATACTATCTATGTAGATGGGTGGAGGTAAATCAAGTGTAACCAATGATGAATTGATAAAAGGTGATTCTGATGGTAATAACATATCAGACTCTAATATATTGATTCTAAATCTACAATAATTATTATAAACTATCTTTATAATATATTTATATATACTATTATTATTATCGGTACTGGTATTAATATTATTATCATCTTTTATATGATTATTGTTGTTGTTGTTACTACTACTTTTACTCTTATCGCTATCTAATAGTTGTTGTTCTTCTTGTTCTTTTAGATTCTGTTCATTTTGTAATTGGTTAAAGTCAATCGATTCAGTTTGAATGATTTCACTTAACAAACTACCACCAAAATCATTACTTTCATTTTCATTGTCATTATCGTTATTATCGTTACTATTATTATTATTATTCGATATCAATGCTATTATTGATCGTAAAGATTAAATAGTTAGTTTTCGTTTATAATACAATGTTATCAGATTTACTACTACAACTACTCTAATAGTTACATTGTAAATACTCATCTAATGGTGAACCTGTAAAAATAACATCATTTATCTCATTACTCATCGTTATGATCATCCAATAATTCCACGTTGATCAGTCAATTGATTTTGTTTTAACAAAAAAAAAAAAAAAAAAAAAAAAAAAAGGTAAACTAAACTTAAAATTAAATTTCAAATCAATTTCTTAAAAGATAAATAAATATCTATTATAATTATCAAATAAGAAGGAAAATAGTTATTTATTTTCATATGAAGTTCAATTTAATAAATCTTTTTCTTAAAATCTTTGACAAAGAAAGATAGATAATGTTCTTGCAAAATTCTAGTTTTCTTTTAAATTTCACACTTTGGTGTTGGTACAATTTTAAGAATTATGCAAAAATTAAAATTGATTTTACCAAAATCTTAATTTAATTAAATCTTTCAGAGTTTTTTGCAAAAAGTACAAGACGTTATTTTTTTAGCAACACAGTTACTGATAATCAAACAGATTTTTATAGTAATATTAAGAATCAATCAATTTTTTTGTATATTTTTTGATTATTAATTTAATTTAAACAAAGTTAGAGAAACAAATAATATAGTAATATAATTGTAAAATAAATTTAGAATAACATGCCTATATCTAGTAGTAATAATAGTGGTGGTGGTAACACGACAACATCATCATCAGTATCAAAAAAATTGGTATTTAAAAATAAAAAGATATTCTTAATACCAAAAACATCGAGTGTTTCATGGTCACATAAAGCCCATGCCAAGAAAACCTTGGAGATATATGGTGCAACCGTTAGTTTCGCCATAGTACCAAAAGAAACTGATTATATCGTAGTTCTAGAGGGTCATGATAGATCGAGAACCTCTTTACATCCAAATCTGTGTGTGTTCATTTGTAATGCATTCACATTAACATTCATCATAGTAACTAACTTGAATAATATCACTCCAATAAACTTGTAGGATGTCAGCATATCAAAAATCAATCAAGTTCAATATTCCAATGTTTATTGAGGATTTTATTTATTCATCTATATCATCTGCCAAACTGAAAGATTTACCAAGTTTTAGATTCAACATGGAATTACCAAAGAATAGTATCAACGGCAATAGTAAATATTTTGATTTAGGATATGATGATGATGATACAAATAGTGAAAGTAGTTCTAAGGATGTCTATGGATTGTTCGATGATTTCGAAACAACGAATAATACACAAACAGCAGAAACTTTGGATAGTGATGACGATGATGAATCAATTTATAGTGAAGCTGATATGTTTGGGTTATTTGACGATTACATAGCCCCAAAGACATCAAAACAACAACAACCAAATCAACAACAACAACAACAAATAGCATATTTTGATGATGAAGAGGAGAACGACTTTTTTGCGATGTTTGGGGATTCACCAATCATTTCCCAACAACCCCAATTAACTTTTGAAGATGAAGAAGAAGAAGAATCAATTCAAGTTACTATTCCCAAAAATAAAATACAACCTCAACTTCAACCTCAGCTTCAACCTCAACCTCAAATCCAATCTAAAACTCAATTGATATTTAATGAAGAAAATGAAATTAAAGATATGTTTGGTATGGATACTCCATATTTCAATACAAAGTAAGTATTATTGTATATTATCTTATCAATTGTTTATAATAATGTTAATATATTCAATCTATTTAGAAATTCAAATGTAGGATATTCATTTTATGTTGTTGGTGATAAATTAAAGTTGATAGAGTTACCTTTAAAACTGAAACAGATTGATGTGTCGCAGAGTGGATTCATTTCTTTTATCGATTGCACTGACAAACTGTATAGTTGGGGAAAGCTTTCAAACTCTGTTAAATTCCCACAAGTTAAAAAGCTGACTGCTCCTCAGAATGTTACAAAATTCCTTGATGTCATTTGTACTAAAAATAATATCATTTCATTGGATACTGAAGGTCAATGTTGGGAAATAGAGGAGAAAAAACAACAACAGCCACAACAACAAGAACAAAATCAAAAACAACAAAGACAGAAACTATCACGTGGAGTTGGTGTTGCTGTTCAAGATAATCCTGTTGATTTCAGTTTGAAACATTTGAAACTTCCATTTTTGGTAAAGACAATATCGAGTGGAAATCAATTTGTTGTGGCACTAACCGAGAGTGGAAGACTTGTATCGTGGGGAACAACCAATAATTTGAGAGGACAATTGGGTAGAGAGTTGAAGAATCCAAAGGATTCAAACATTCCACAGTTCATTCCAGATGTTCAGAGAGCAACTTTCGTAAGTTGTGGATTTGAACATAGCATGGCTATTGTCATACAAAATGGAGTGGAGAGTGTCTTTGGTTGGGGAGACAGCGCTAAACAACAACTTGGTTACATAAGTGAGAAGGCGCAAAACACAGCAACCCCGATGCTCATTCATACCAAACAAACTCATATCAATGTGATATGCAATGAGAACTACTCTGTTATCATTGATGAAGATATTAAATTCTCTGGATTATCATTCCCTATGGAATTCCATACCATTAATCTAGTTATTCATCCATTGGTATGTTGAAAATCAATGATTTATATTAATACTATCATCATCATCATCATTGATTGTTATTAACAAACTTCTTTACCTTTTTTTAATCTCTAGAGAACAATACCAAATACTTTCAAATTGTTCAAATACAAACATTCGGTTGGAGTTACACTCTTTGATACCTATTCAACAGCATATTGTTTCATTCAAGTTGATCGATTAGACCTATTAAAGTCGCTTCTCTCTGGAAAATTGGATTTCAGCCAAACTAAAATGATCTCATTAATAATGTATTCCATTGAATTGAATAATTTAGAGTACGATATAATTTTTATTTAATTCACAAATCAAAAAGAAAAAAGAGAATAATGATATTAATGTTATCTTTTTAATTTTTTTTAGAATATTCAAATATCTCTATCATAGATTTGAAAATGTTTCATTAGAAGTTAGAACAGGAAATGCAGATCTTTCTTATCTACATTATGCGGTGGAGAACATCTGTTTACCAATTATGAAATACATCTTAAAGAACAAACTTCTCAAAGTTGATATTACAAATAGTGTTGGTGATACTCCACTTCATACTTCTGTTATTAAAAATAGTAACTATTATATATATATATATATATATATAGAAACAATAGATATAAATACAATATTTATATACTAACTAATAACAATATAATAGTCTAATGAATCATTATTGATGTTATGTGAATATGGTTGTGATAGAAATCTAAAGAATGCTAAAGGATATGTATGTTTATTATTTATATAACTCTTAACACTAAACTATAACTAATATTTTATTTTACAATAGACTGCATTACATCTTGCTACTCAAGATAATAAGCTAGCAATATCGATGTTGTTGTTAAAGAATGGTGCCCAAGCAATCACTGATCGTGCAATGAAAACACCGTTACAGTATGTCAATGGTAAAGAGAAAACCTTGCTCCAGAACATTATGTTTACCAATGAAGTATTCCTATCGTATGCACACAAGGATATCGGATTTGTTAGAGAACTTCGTATTGCAATGGAACAATACTCAATTAGATGTTGGCTAGACGAGTATAGATTACAAGCCGGTTGTGACTGGAGAGCTGAAATCACCAAAGGTGTAGCCAATGCTCAAGTTATCATCTATACCATATCAGAAACATCTTCTATTTCTCTTTGGTGTAGAAAGGAGTTGAAAATGGCAAGAAGATTAGGTAAAACTGTAATGTATCTAAAAATCTAGCTGTTCCTAAATTTAATGTTATTAACATATTCATTGATAACACCATTTCTAGATTATTGCTCTCTATTATCATAATGTCGAAATAGATCCAATCTTGAGAGGTTTGTTCGACTATGAATTTAAAACAGCTGCACCTCTTGACCCAAATGAAGACATCTTCATCACAGAGATGGAAAAACTAGCAAAGATCACCAAGAATATTATTCATGGTCATAAGCTAGCAAAGATATATCCAACTCAAAAGGTAAGAAAGAGTGTTTATTATTAATTTACCAACATATGTATTAAACCATTTATTCTTTTTATTTTAGGATTTGATTGAACACTTTGGAAATAGATCAATTTATATCAGTTTCTGTGATAGAGAGTACAAGTTGTTCAATTTCATTAGAGAACTATTGTTGATTAGAGGTGTTCCTATCTTCGATCGTGATTTTCTTTTAGGTAATACGAACAAGAATGTTGCCAAGGTTGTCAATACAGCGGTCGAAGCAAAAGAAGAGAAAGAACAGACCATTAGGCTCACAAAGCGAGAGAGAAGATTACATTCAGTGTTTGGATTCAGTCAAGATCTCTTTGACAGCCCACAACAAGAAGTACCAATTCTCAACGACTATACAATGACTCTGGCCCACCAATCAGAACATCCGGATGATCAAGCTGATCAGAAATCACCAGTGGAGAAAATTAACAAATCATCAGATGAATATCTTGAGAAATTCAAGGACATCCAGGATCTGCACCCCCACATCTCAAAGAGCATTCTACATCTTGTAATCAATCCATCGGTCGACTCTGAATTCTCACAAGTAAGTTTAAAAGTTGTTTTTTTTTTTTGTTTGCAAGTTATATTAATATTATATCAATTTTGTTTTGTTTTTTAGATTCAAAAAGAGATTGAATTCTCAACTGGTGATGAAAAGAGTATCTTTGTAATTACAACAAACTACAAAGAGAAATCTAAATGTAACAATATGCTGAAGAACTGTACTTGGTTTGAGCTAAACTATCAGAAGGAAGATGAATTCATAGATAAGATTTTATTTAACTATGAAGTAATTGATAAGACTCATCTAACCATCAACAGAATCATGCATGAACTCTCCAAATAAATAAAGGTTATGGCAACCAATCGTTTTCGTTTCTTTAATCAATATGTATAACTACTTGTCTTTAAAATCATCCTTTCTCTATATATATCGAATTGTTTATACTAAAATTGTAATAATAGATGGATAGAGTTAAAAATTAAATCAATCAAATTATAATTGAATGGGTGAATTTTAAATCAAACAACTTACCTCGGATGCGTGAATTAAACATTGTCTCATATCAAACTTTTTCAATGTGAAATTGGTTGCTATTGCTTCCACCAACGATGAACATTGGTTGATCATGTTTCCCTTGATGGAGAGTGTCTCGATTGTTTTGTTGTACTGTATCATGGTTGCGATGTGTGTGATTAACTGTGGATTTAAGCTGGAGTTCAATGAGAGATGTCGAAGCGAGTGGTTACACTCGACGAAACAAAGTATAAACTCTGGATTTATAAATGGGAAGTTCTCAAATTTCAGACTGGTCAGTGTGTTGTTCAGCTTGAAGGCGTCACCAAGGTAGGCAGACAGCGAGCTGTCTGTGGCAACCAGCGACTTTTCCTCGAGCCTGATCGCCAGGTCGAGAAGTGTCTTGTTTTCTGCTAGAGTCTGTGTGAACTCGCGATACACCGTGTCTACCGGTGGCTGCTGCTGACCGTAGTGATCTTCATGGGTGAGAGTACGCGCCGTTATTCTGAAGCGTTTGATATGCGTACACTGGAAGATTTTGGAAATCGTTTCCAGATTGAGTATGCCGCTTAGCGATAAGTCGATATTGACCAACTTGCTGTTGATCTGGCAACTCTGGATGATATAATCTATAGGGTAAGTACTGCGATCGTTGGTTTGCAGTGAGAAAGTCAACGTGGTGATTGATGTTTTGTCCTTTATGGTTTTCATAAACTGTCGTGGAATATCTATATTGATACTATGTGAACTCAATGGTTGCACCATTAAACTGAAGGTTGTAAGCGATTTATAGTAAGGACTACCTATAATCTTGGCCAAACTCGATAATAAATAGATTGGTAACGATATCCTAATACAAATCTACATAAATGAAATTCAATGTTACATCGTAGTAAACAGACATCAAAGTTGAACAAGTTCAACATCAAAAATCATAGAATCTTTAAATTAATATCAAAAATGATTGATTAAAGTTTCAAATATAATTGATTGTTTACATACTACACCAGTGTCAAAAAAACTATTATTATTAGTACAACTTGTTAATATTGGACTTGTATTATTATTACTACTATTATTATTATTATTATTATTATTATTATTATTATTATTATTATTATTATTATTATTAATTGAAAGTAAATCGAATAAATATGCAGAAGAAGATTTAGAAAGTGGTGGACCTATGTTTAATATTTCTATGTTTTTAATGATTGACCATGGTGTCGAACACTTTCTGAGTGCACTGTAGACATCTTCTATGAATGGGTCGTGCTGTTCATTCAATGTAAATGTATTGGAGATGCTAGATACAATGGAGAACCACTTTTGGCATACAAAGGCCATCGTGTATTTCCATCTACAATCCATTGTGTTGAAGAGATATACCAATATTCTCTTCTGTAGAATCGTGGGCAATGTAGGTGTAATTCTAATGATATTCAATGTTTTAGTTACTGTATTTATTGATGTCGTTGATGATGAATCTAATAAAGATTGATTCATTTCTATAATATATAACTTAACAACTAAACAACTAACAACGAAACAACTAAACAAATAATAAATAAATAAATATCAACTTTAATATAACAAATTTCTACACTCTCAGAAAGATAAATTTTTTTTTTTTTTTTTTAAAATTTAACAAATATAAATTAAATTTTAAATTAATTTAATCAATCTGAAAAAAAGACAAATAAAATGATAATTAAAAAGAAATAACAAACTACTCAAACTATTACTTTTGTTTTATATATTTATAATTTATTTTACAATAAAATTTAAGAAATCTTAAATTTCAACATTAAAAAGATTATTAATGTCATAATTATTTTGACTATTATTTTGTTGTTGTTGTTGTTGTTGTTGTGGTTGCTGTGACTGGTTCTGGTTTGTGTCTATGTTTTTAATATTATTCTGTTGTGAATGGTCACCGTGATCTATAGAATGAAAATATAATTATTAGCAAACTGTAAAAACGTAAATATAAATGTAAATTAGCATTAACAACTTACCAAAAAATAGAAAATCGGAATGTTCAAAATTAAAATCAGAAATAAATGGATTTTGGGGAAAAGTTACCAAATGATCACCAGCAGCAATATTCTCTGCTGTGGGTTGTCCCCAGAATGATTGATTATAATAAGGAACCTCATGTGAAACTTGATATTGATTAAATTGTTGTTGTCCTTGTTGATTATATTGTTGTTGATGTTGTTGTTGAGTTTGTTGTTGGTGTAGTGCTTGTTGTTGATTATATTGTTGTTGGTTATATTGTTGATGTTGTTGAGTGTTTTGTTGAATTTGTTGTTGTTGTATTGGTTGTTGTTGTTGAATTGGTTGTTGTTGAATTGGTTGTTGTTGTTGTTGTTGTACTGATTGTTGTTGTATTGGTTGTTGTTGAATTTGATGTGTTTGTTGTTGATGATGAAGTTGTGGACTTTGATTTGCAGGGATTTGTCGTTGAAGGTTTTGTGATGGATCTGATTTCTTAATCTGTGAGTTCATTTGAGGTGATGATGATGGAGTGGTTTGTTGTTGTAATCTTATAATTTGTGGAGCTATTATAGTTCCTTGTCTATATAAATCGTTTGGAAGATTGGTGTTTAGCATTTGGTTGTTTTCGACTTGGTGGTTTCCAGACAGAATGAATGGTGGTATATTGTATTGTTGCTGTTCAGTGGTTTGTACTGGAGTGCCAGTGAGGTGTGCATGGTTTGCTGCCGACGATGGATCGGTCGGATACAAAGAGATTGGCGAGAGAGCGGGTGAGTTGGTCTCAGAGTCTTCGTCTTCGTCGTCTTCGTCATCCTTGAGATCCTTAGAGGGACTTGGTTGGTGGCTCTTGCCATCGGCACCGATTCTCTTGATCAGTGTCGAATTCCAATGATTCTTGATTGCATTTGCTGGTCTGCCCTCTAGTAGCTTCGAGATTGCGGTCCACTTATTACCAAGAGCCAAGTGTGACTCAATGATAATCTTATCTTCCTCTGGTGTCCAATTTGTCTTTCTGACATCGGGACTCAAATGGTTGAACCAACGTTCTCTGCATTGCTTTCCAATTCTTCCTGGAATCTTTGCTGCAATAGTTGACCATTCCTTTGGACCGTTCTTTTGTACGAGTTCTACCAATTTAGCATCCTCTTCTTCTTTCCATGGTCCTTTGACTATACCTGGACTTTTAGTTTTTTGCCATCGACTTAACTATAGATTTTTAAAAAGATTAAAAATTAATCAATATGACTTTGACTATTTGAATAATCATTCAATCTAAAGTTACTTACATCATCACTACTTCCTTGATTCCATTTTGATTTGCCTGATGATCTTGAGTTTTTACTTTTCTTTGACGGTGACATTGGAGCGGCCGATGGAGACAATGACGGTGACATTGTCAATGGAGTTGGTGGATTTGAGAGGGAAGCATTCTGAAAGGCAATTTGAACTGAAGTGAGACCAGGCGACTGTGAAACAGGAGTTAGGAGAGGCGATGAAACTAATAGTGGTTGGTTTTTTATCAGGGAAAAGTCCTCTTCTTCCAGTTTTCTTTTTGGAACTCCTCCAACGATGATAGGCGATACTACTTGAGAACTCATTGTTGGTGTCAAACAAGATGTAACAGAGGGTGGAATTATCGAGGTAGTTGTCGTACTCTCTCCATATTCTCTATTCATATTGTTGTGCGCTGTTGCCATTTGTAAACCTGGATGATATATCATTTGTTGAGGTTGATGATAATGTTGTTGTTGTTGTTGATGGGGAGGTAGATGATTCATATTGCAATACATTCGTGTCAGTCAAATGGAAATTGATATCAATTTTGAATATATTAAAGTTGTGTAATTGAAAAACTAATTAAACAGAGGAGAAGAAAAAAACAAATTCTAGATATTGGCGTAATAAACAAATTATACAAATTAAAAAAAAACAGAAAAACCAAATATTAGTTTAAATCAAAACAAGTTTTTGGTGAAGAGGCGAGGCGGTAGATTGAATAATTTCAAAATTAAATTATTGTTTAATAATCAATTCACTATTATTAAGAGTTATTTAAATAGGAATTGTTTTTATATATATATATATAATATTATATGAATTATAATTATTGTTATAGAAAAGAAAAAAAATTAAAAAATTATTATATACAAAAAAATGTTATTATTAATATAATTGTTGTAGGAAAAAGAGAGAATAAATGATTCATATGTATTATTTAAATAAATAAAATTGTTGATTGGTGTATAAAATAATTATATATATGAGTGTGTGTGTGTTTTGTTTTTGAGTGTGATGCAACAAGCTTTGGGGTAGTAAAAGAAAATTATATTGTTTTTGTTTTGAATTTAATTAATTAATTTGTTCATAACAAGAAGAATTATTACTACTACTACTATATAAATATATTGGAAAAAATAATATATGTGTATGTGTGATTATGGTATTAATTATTATTATTTGTTGTGTGATACAAATAGTTATGTAGAGTGAAATTTGAGGTGTTGCTTAAAGATATGTTTTTGTTTGAATTATGATGAGTTGTTGAATTTGAATAATATCAACATGATATTTCCAGTGGCGTGTATGCTTAATAGTTTGGCAATCAATTGATATTTTTGAAGCAGCTTCTGAATATGAAGAGATTCATCAATGTAACACCAATTTTCAATTGTCCAAATTCCAAGTTTAATATATGTGATATCAAACAGTGTGTTGATTAGAATCCAAAGAGTAGAAAATTGATTTGATTATCAAGATTTAAATCAACAATATTTGTTCCTATTAAAATTGATTATTTCTATAATAATTTGATTATCTATTAAAAATGATTTGGTCTGTTGTCTGATTGATTGATTGATTTGAATGATTTGAGTGTGGTATACTATGCTGGTAATATTTTGATTTGATTTTGGTGGAGTGTTGTTGTTGTTGTATATATGTTAATATTGGAAGCAGCGAAAACAAGATGATTATACGATTGATTTTATTATTATTATTTTGAACTCTCTACTTTTTTTTTAAAAAAAAAAAACTATTTTATTTTTGAATGACTGATATGTGTGATGATTGATTATTATTATTATTTTATTGCAATTTTCTACTTTTTACACCTGGATGATGCACATTAACTAATAGTTTAGTTGAAGCTGTGTTGATTGTTGCAAATTAAAACTTATTATTATTATGATGATATTGATTTATGATGTATGAAAATAGAGAAATATATAGTAATAATAAATAAATATTTATTTGTTGATGATGATGACTGAGAATAAAAATTTAGAATAACTAAAGTGTGGTTTGAGTGTCTATTTGTATTGGTGCACTTTATGTGGTGGAGTGGTATATTGTGTATGTGTGTTTTTAATGGGGTGGTGTGTTTGTGTGTTTTTTGGTTGTTTGTTGTTGTTTTATATTTATTTATTTAATTAAAAAAACACACCAAAAAATGAACTTTTTTTTTTAAATTAAATTTAATTTAATATGTTAACAAAAAAAATTGCAAAAAAACAAATTTAAATATATTAAATTAATTTTCAAAAAAAAAAATTGCAAAAAAAATGATGATAATCAAAAAAATATTTAGAGGATCTATAGATAGGTAGTGGTGGGTTAATTAATTTGTCAAACCCCATGATCAAATTTATGATTTGCGATCCTGGCGATGATAGTGGTGATTGACATAGTTTCTATATATACACCAATGACACCAGAATGGAAGAAAGAAGAAACTTTAGGTTCATCTTGGTGAATGATGCATATAATTGTGTGATTTATGAAACTACTAAATACAGGTGTCTCTATTGCAATGTAGATGTGGATTGGATGATAATTTTATCAATCTTTAAAAGTGCAAATAAGAATTCAAACAAAAAAAAAAAAAAACAGATTGACAAATTAGTCAATAATGTATAACTAAGAATTGCATTGATAAAAAGAAAAACATATAATATGCACATCCACAAACCACAAACCTTTTTACATTTTAAAGCTAAAAAAATTTAATAGATACAAACATATTAAATTATTAACAATTGGTTGGTTTGTCAGCAAATCATTGTATTTTTCTGACTTTTTCAAAAATAAAAAATGAATTACAATCTTTGTTTTAAAATATATTTGCCAATATCTAAGTTTAGTTTTTAAAAAGATCATCCAATAAAACCATTTTAACAATTTTGATTGACTGATTATTATTGCTTACACAACTTTCAAATAGATCTGAAACAACTTACTTATTTTATTCAATGGTTTATAAATAAATATTTGTTGATATCAACAAATTTATATTCTACTTTATTAATCTTGTCTGCTATCGATCTACCTTTTATCTGATATTTAACTATTATTACTGAACTCTTAATTTAACTATTAATTAAAGATGTCGCTTTAAAAAAAAAAAAAAATTTGTTTTGCTTTTTAAGATTGAATAGATATTTTTCAAATTTTCTTTGCTGACTCCTAGTGAACTACAAAGTTAATTAAAATTATCTAAAATATCTACTATTCAAAAAAGATTATTATCTATCTCTCTTCAAACTTTTAATTTGTTTTTCTCTTCCAAGAAGCACTAAAATACAACTAACTTTTAAGAAACTATGTTTTTGATTAATACTTTATTATCTGTTGTATCCTTTTTATCTGTTATCTATCTATCTATTGTTATTGCAAATTTTGTATTGAACTTATTGCTTCACACTTTTAAGTTTGTGTGTTTTTGTGATTTTTGTTTTTTTATTTTTCTTTTTTTTGCTTTATGATTTTTATTTACTATACACAATGTAAAGGTGAACTAAAATATACAAATAATAATACTACTAATTATATTAATAATATTTTAAAAAGATTGAAGATTAAAATTCAAAAAAAAATATTTATAAATAAAAATAATAATTTCTCTATCACTATAAGCAAAGCAACAATATTATGTGGTGTTACTCCAATTAACAATCGCGAAAAAAAAAAAAAAAAACAAACAAAACAAAAGGAACAAACAATATGTGTTATTGTTGTCGGAGTAGATGTGGATGTGAAGAGGCAGGGTATTTTGTTTGTTTGTTTATTGGTAAAAACAATTGTATTGGTGAATTTGGGGGTGGTGTGTGTGGTGGGTATGAAGTTGTTTTTTTATAATTATTCCTTTTATATTATCTATAAATATTTTTATTGGTTATGGATGATTTTTGGTTTGTTGAATGATATCCAAATATTGGTGGTGTGTGGGTGCTGCGTGAAGTAGAATTGTATGGTGCTTTTTTGTTTTTTTGTTTTCTTTTTCTTTTTGTTTTGTACTTTTAATCTTCAAAAAGAAGGTCCAGCAAAATGTGCAAAGCTATAATTGTTCAATGTGTTTACAATTCACAAAAAAATGGGAAATTTTAATTTAATTAAAAAATAATAAAATTATATAAAAATGGTAAAAAGGAGATCTTGAAAAAAAAAAAAAAAATTAAAAAAAAAAAAAAACAACAAACAAGTTCCCCTGGGTTTAACAATACTACAAGAGCCACATAGACAAATTTGTCCAATTGGTTATTATGTGAATGTGGATATCATCAATAATTATCATTTTATTTTTTTTTAATTTTTGAATACCAATCCAATTATTAAAAAAAGAAACAGAAATTGTTGTTTCGATTGTGAAATAAATAAAAAAACGATTGATAAATCAATCAAGGATATCTCTCTGATTGGTAACTTAACAAATGTATTAATAATATCAACTTACATTTACATTTTGTTGAAGAACGGCATTGAATTCATTTTTTAACTATGACATTCTTCTTTCTTTCTTTCAAAGAAATATATTGAATATGATGAAAGTTTACGACAAACATTAAACATGTTGAGTTTACTATTACATTATTGATATATCTATATGGGGGTATGATATCTATTTATTATATGTACATATGTATAATATATCTATAGTATTTGAGGAAAATTAAAAACTAAAAACCTGGATGGTAAGACATATCAAAAAATTCTGATTAAATTTTATTAAAATCAGATATTTACTCAGACTTTTTTTGGGTTGCCAAAATGCATCATTACAAATAATACTGTTCACACATGTGTGCTTGCATGCTTCGTTTGCAAAAATTTTAACATCACACTCACCCTTTTTGAAAAAAAAAAAAAAAAAAATTAATCAATAATTTTGATTTAAAAAGTTTTTTTTTTTTTAATTTTTAAAAGATACCTCTTTTTCTCTCTCTTTTTATCAATATATATTATATATGTACTATATTAAATAGATTAGATTAAAAACAAAAAAAGATTATAAAATATTATTATATTATAGATAGATTAGTGATTTAGTTAGATAATTAGTTAGAAAAGATATATATTAAAAACAAAAGAGAAAGAATAAAAAGACAAAGATGGCAGCATCTGCTATATTTCTAATGGATTCCAAGGGAAAGGTACTGATCTCACGTAACTATCGTGGTGATGTACCAATGAGTGTTGCCTCTCGATTTGTATCAAAGATTCTCGAAGAAGAAGATCTAAACTTAAAGCCAATCATCCAAGAGGATGGTATCTCATATATATATGTTAAATATAACAATCTTTTCTGTATGTATATTAACTATGATATAATCTATTGTTTTAATATATAACAAACTATATAAATATATATATATATATAAGTATATATTAACTAATTACTTTTTTTTATTTATTTATTAGTATTGGCAACTACAGAAAGAAATGCAAATGCAGCAACTATATTATTGTTCCTTTATAAGATGATTGAAGTGTTCAATGAGTACTTCAAGGAGTTGGAAGAGGAGAGTATCAGAGATAACTTTGTATTGATCTATGAGTTGATGGATGAGATGATGGATTTTGGATATCCACAATCGACCGAACCAAAGATTCTTCAGGAGTACATCACACAGGAGGGTTACAAGTTGGAGAGAGGTGTCAGAGGTCCAGTGTTGCCCGCCGCCATCACTGGTGCCGTCTCCTGGAGAAAGGAGGGCATTAGATATAATAAGAACGAAGTATTCTTGGACGTCGTTGAATCGATCAATCTCTTGGTATCGGCAAACGGTACTGTTTTGCGATCGGAAATCGTTGGTGCAATCAAAATGAAGTCGAAGCTCTCTGGTATGCCAGAACTAAGATTAGGTCTAAACGATAAGATTCTATTTGAAAATAGTGCAAAGAGTAATTGTTTATCTGTTTAATTAGTGTTGTTAAGATTGATGATTTATTAACTTGTCAATTTCTTTTTTCATTATTTATTTTAATCAATCAACTTTTTTTTAGCTGGTAATCCAAAAGGTAAAGGTGTAGAGTTGGAAGATGTTAAATTCCACCAATGTGTTAGATTATCAAAGTTTGAGAATGATAGAACCATCTCTTTTATTCCACCCGATGGAGAGTTTGAGCTGATGTCATATCGTCTCAATACTACTGTCAAGCCATTGATCTGGATCGAGTGTATCTCTGACTCGCACGCACACAGCCGTGTCGAATACCTCGTCAAAGCGAAATCACAATTCAAAGGAAAGTCAATTGCCAACAACGTTCAAATCATTGTTCCAGTTCCATCAGATGCCGATACTCCTAAATTTAGAGTATGTATAATAACAACTATAACTAACCAACTGAACACTATCAATAGTTAACTAACCTTGACTAAACCAATACTATATCAATAAATTAACATAGTGTACAATGGGAACATGCAAATATGCACCAGAGAAAGATGCAATCATTTGGAATATTAAACAATTCCCAGGTGGTGGTAAGGAGTTCTTGATGAGAGCACACTTTGGTTTGCCATCGATCTCGAACGACGACAAGCCAGCAACCAAACCACCCATCATGGTTCAGTTTGAAATTCCATATTACACAGTATCCGGTATTCAAGTTAGATATCTAAAGATTATAGAAAAGAGTGGTTATCAAGCATTACCATGGGTTCGTTATGTCTGTTTGAGTGGCGACTACCAGTTCAGAACAACATAGAAAAAAAAAGAAAAAAGAAAAAAAAAGATAGGTGTTACCACGAACATCATAAAAAAAGATAGTTTTTTTTTTTAACACCTATCAAGAAAATAGAGAAAAACATAAAACTTAAGAAAATGATTTTCTATCTTTTTGAGAACTTACAATAATAATAATAATAATAATATAACAACAAAATAAAATAATAATAAACATTAATTAAATTCACAATCTTCCTTTATTTTTTTAACTTTTGCGATAATAAAATACTATTTTAGGCTTAAAAAAAAGTAAGATATATTGTTTTATTAATGATTAAAAAAATTGAACAATTGTTTAAAAATAAATTAATATTAAATATTTATTAAAAAAAAAATATATTTTTTTAATTTTTTCAAAGTTTTTCAATTGATTTCTTTTTTTTTATTTTTATTTTAAATTATACTTACTTTTTGTTTTATAAATATATCTATCTATATATTTGTAATAGTTATTGTTTGTAAATATTAGATTGTTTTTATTATATATATATATATATCTTATTGGTTTTTTATTATATTTTTATTTAATTTCATTTATTTCTACTTTAGTTAATTTGTTAGTACATTGTTATTATTATTAACAATTATTTCACATACCTACATATATTTATATATATTTTTGTTTTAGATATATAGATACAACAGATTTGAATTACAAATATGGATAAACAAAGTACTTTGTTACTGCGAAAGCAACTAAAGGGTATGTATCAATCAATCAAACAGTTAATCAACCACATTAAAAAAATAGAGGTGAGCCAAAAAGGATATCCACTAACATACATTTCAAATTTGATGATAATTTAGATTTAATGAAGTATCCGGTCGAGGGTTTCTCAGCAGGTTTAGTTGATGATTCAAATATCTATGAATGGCAAATTGTAATTGTAGGTCCACCAGATACCCCATACGAAGGTGGTTTCTTTAATGCCACTTTGACATTTACACCAGAGTACCCAAATAAGTATGATATCTATCTTTTATAAAATATATATTCATGCATCAAAATATTAATTAATCTCATTTATCTATATTAATAGACCACCAAAGATGAAGTTCCTCACTGAAATGTGGCACCCCAACGTATATGAGAGCGGTGAAGTTTGTATTTCTATTCTACACGATCCAGGAGATGATGTCTATGGTTATGAGAAAGCAAGTGAAAGATGGTTACCAGTACACACTGTAGAGTCTATTTTGGTGTCTGTTATTTCTATGTTGTCAAGTCCAAATGATGAATCCCCAGCCAATATCGATGCTGCTGTGAGTATCCACTATTTTTTAAATCATTCACCATATGTAATTACTAATATTTATCTCGATATTATTATTATCATTTACAGAGAGAATGGAGAACACAAAGAGAGGTATTCAATAAAAAGGTTGCTAGAATCGTTAGAAAAAGTCAAGACCAATAATAGTTATAGAACCTCAAACATTACAATATATATGAATTCAACGACACATGTATCACCCAACCAATCAATCAATCAACCAACCAACCAACCAACCAACCAACCTTACCACGATATTTTAATATGATAAGATGTCTTTGATTATTAAAAGAGCAAATGTCATTTAAAGAAAGAAATTTGAAAGTACAGCAATAAACCTAATGGATAGAAATAGATGGAAGCGAATCCACTTGATAAATAACTTTTATTCGTTTAGTTGATCAATCACATAAATTTGATTTCAGAGTTGCAATTTATTTTTGATTTTAAATTTTCAACTTCACTTTAACAAAAATGTTTTTTTGTTCCCAGCACATAGGGATGATTGTATGATAATCAGTAATAATGGTATTATTTTTTTTTTTTTTGAAACAAATAATTTAAATTATATAACTACCTTTTTTAGTAGTAATAGAGACTAAAATAATAGAACTCTTGAATTCTATCTCAAGAAATAACAATAACATGAACTGATGATTTTTCAATTTGGAAATTTTCCATTTTTGATATGGTTTTGGGGGTTTCAATTTGTTTATATTTATATATTTGTTTTATTTAATAATCATGGGGGTGATATCAGTTGTTTTTTTTAATCATGTATTCAACAAAAATGAAATTCATTGGTATTGAATTTTGTGTATTGGGATATATTGAAAAAATTAACACATAGAATATATTCTTTTGATATCAAAACACTTCTCTGGCTCACGCCTCATAAAAAATGATTTTACTCCCACCTCTCGCAATATTCAAATTTTTATTTCGAAAAAAACTGAAAAGTGGGTGAACTTTTGGCAATTTTGATGCACGAGTTTCTGAAGTGATAACTAAAGAAATAAAGGAAATAGAATCTACGATCCAATATAGATAGACAGTCATTCTTAATATTCATCATAAATGATTTGACAAAAAGATTTAATCACAAACTCAATAATATGTTTATCATTTTTTTTATTTTATTGGGACATAAAACTAATCATGTTGTTACTTTTTTTCATATTATTTAAATCAAAGATATTAAAATGCAAACAAAAAAAACTACAATTATTTCTGGAGTACCAAGAACCTCTGTAATGGTGGCTGCTCTTCGTACTCTCAATACTAATTCTTTCATCAAAGAACAATTGGAAAAAGATGAAAAATTAGATGCTCATCTATTACCATATTATGAAAATATTTACAAAAAGGAAAATTTTGTTTCTAAAACAAAATTATCTGTATATGATCCGTAAGTTAAAGATAATAAAAAAAACAAAACTAATATTAATGATTCTTAATTTGTTTATAGATATGCATGCTTTTTTAGTTCTACCGAGGATTCAAAGACAATCATCTTAAATTCATTGGATAAAATTGCAGAATCATGTCCAAAGGTTTTTGAAACCCAAATGTTCAAGGATCATTTGATTGATTCTGGACTTCCCGAAGACCTTACTGTTGATGGTATGATCAATATTATCAAGGATTGCTCTCCACTCAAAGCATGGAGTTTGGTATCATTCAATAACTTTAATAATCATATGGCATTAAGAACCAAATTCATTGATGACTATGTTCTTAGTAACATTGACAAATATCAACAATTTGTAATTCTTGGAGCTGGATTGGATACCCGTGCTCTAAGAATGCCTTTCAGCAACTCTACTACTGTTTGGGAGATTGATTTCCCAGAAACATTTGAATACAAAGAGACCATCTTGAAGGAAGCAGTCAAAATCATTCCACCAATTTCTCAAGCAAGAAATGTGCACACTCCAGGTAATCTTATTGGTAACAACGAATGGATCTCCAAACTAGAGGAATCTGGATTCAATAAGAACAAACCTACACTTTGGATATTGGAAGGTCTACTTATGTATTTCTCAAATGAAGATATTGAAATTCTTATGAACCAAATATCATCTATCTCACCAACTAACTCTACAATGTTAATCATGACAATGAGTGAAGAATACAATGAGACAAGCAAAGTTCACACATTATTTACATCACCATTAATAGATGAATTTAAATCTTCCACTATCAACCCAGAGCAATACTTAATCAAATGTGGATTCACCAAAGAAATCAAAACCTTTGATGAACATGATATTGAGAAGTTGTATCTTTCTCCACAATCCACTGATGTAGGTTGTTCTACTTTAACTGGATTTACAATTGGATATAAATAAATTGTTTAAATATCAATTGTGCTTTCTATAAATGATAAAATTTTAAAAATTTTTTTAAGGGTTGCAAAATCTTATTTTTGATTTTAAATATTTATAATTCACTAAATTCTCCAACTGAAATGTTATGTGCTGTGAAATTTTTTATTTTTGATAGAGTTTTGGGTTAACTTCAGATTAAAATGTTATAAATTGAGTCAAATGATTTATAAATTTCAAAATAAATATATAAATATAAGCAAATAAATAAAAACACATATAATATAAAGAAAATATCTAAACATTAATACAAACAATGTCAGCTAATATCAGAGAAAACAATAATGCCATCATCAAAGGTATCCAAGAAAATAAGATCTTGGAGATATTCGAAAAGTACTATGCTGATGATGTTGTGATGTATGAAAAAGGTGATTCCGCAAACAGAGTTGGAAAATATCAAAATAGAAAAGCTGAAGAAGCTTTTGTCAACAATGCAACCATCCATGAAGCTAAAGGTAGGTTTGATTTGAAACAGTCATAGTTTAATTGTTAATATTAATTTCTATTTAAATATTTTATAGTTCTCAAGGTTTTAGTTGATGGAAATAACATTCTTATGAAATGTATATGGATTTCACCTATGGTGGTCATAATATCAAGAAAACTCAATGGGCTATCCAACATTGGAATAGCAATGTTTTAGTTGTAAAGGAAGAGTTCTTTTAAATAAACAAACTTATTTATTGATTGTATACATTTAAAATAATTAGATTTATTTAATTTGCTTATTCTAAAAATAAAATTAGTTTTATTGGGGTGTCGGAGATTAAAACAAACCACAAAATATTTTTGAAATTCACCAGTTTTGATGAATTTCTATATTGGGTTATTTTCAATTATTTTTATCTAATCATCATGGTGGTGACATCAGTCGATTTTAATCTTGTATTGGACAAAAATAAAATCCATTGGTATTGAATAGTGTGTGTATTCGGACATAATGAAAAAAATTTAACTTTAACACATAGAATGTAATCTTTTGAAAAAACAAAATAATTCATCATATATCAAAAAAAAAAACGAAAAATGAAATAAGGAAAAAGATTATACATAGGTCCTATATAGATAGACAGTCATTCTTAATATTCATCATAAATGATTTCACAATCCGAAACTTAATGTCTTTGGAATTATTTATAAAAATAAAAGTATAAATATGATATGTTTTATGTCTCATTAAAATATAAAATCAAAAACAAATCATATTTACTATATCTTTAAAATGCAAACAAAAAAAACTACAATTATTTCTGGAGTACCAAGAACCTCTGTAATGGTGGCTGCTCTTCGTACTCTCAATACTAATTCTTTCATCAAAGAACAATTGGAAAAAGATGAAAAATTAGATGCTCATCTATTACCATATTATGAAAATATTTACAAAAAGGAAAATTTTGTTTCTAAAACAAAATTATCTGTATATGATCCGTAAGTTAGAGATAATAATAAAAAAAATAACCATTATTAATTTATTTTTAGATATGCATGCTTTTTTAGTTCTACCGAGGATTCAAAGACAATCATCTTAAATTCATTGGATAAAATTGCAGAATCATGTCCAAAGGTTTTTGAAACCCAAATGTTCAAGGATCATTTGATTGATTCTGGACTTCCAGCAGATCTTACTGTTGATGGTATGATCAATATTATCAAGGATTCTTCTCCGCTCAAAGCATGGAGTTTGGTATCATTCGATTCCTTTAATAATCATATGGCATTAAGAACCAAATTCATTGATGACTATGTTCTTAGTAACATTGACAAATATCAACAATTTGTAATTCTTGGAGCTGGATTGGATACCCGTGCTCTAAGAATGCCTTTCAGCAACTCTACTACTGTTTGGGAGATTGATTTCCCAGAAACATTTGAATACAAAGAGACCATCTTGAAGGAAGCAGTCAAAATCATTCCACCAATTTCTCAAGCAAGAAATATTCATATTTCAGGTAATCTTGCTGGTAACAACGAATGGATCTCCAAACTAGAGGAATCTGGATTCAATAAGAACAAACCTACACTTTGGATATTGGAAGGTCTACTTATGTATATTTCAAATGAAGATATTGAAATTCTTATGAACCAAATATCATCTATCTCACCAACTAACTCTACAATGTTGATCCAGACAATGAGTGAAGAATACAATGAGACAAGCAAAGTTCAAACAATGTTTACATCACCATTAAAAGATGAATTTAAATCTTCCACTATCAACCCAGAGCAATACTTAATCAAATGTGGATTCACCAAAGAAATCAAAACCTTTAATGAGCCTGATTTGGAGAAGTTGTATCTTTCTCCACAATCCACTGAAGTAGGTTGTTCTGCTTTAACTGGATTTACAATTGGATACAAATAAATTGATTAAAAAATCAAGTGTTTTTTGTATAAATCATATGTAAATAAAATTAAAAATCTTTATAGCACTACTTTTATATTTCTTTTTTATTAGGTGTAGCAAAATAAAAATAATGAATTTCAAATTTTTTTAAAATGAATATTTATAAATTTATCTATTTACAGTTCACGTGGTAACATCAGGTGTTATTTTTTTTTTTTTTTTGATAAAGAAAAATGAAAATAAATTAAATGAACACCAATTTATATAAATTTATTTTCATCATCTATGATTTGAACATTCAACAACTATATAATCTAATTAAAAATAATAAAGTAGCATAATTAATAAAATAAATAAAAAAACAATATTCATCTAATTAAATAAATTTTTATCTGAAAATTAATATGAAAACAAATAAAACAACAATTATATCTGGAGTTCCAAGAACTTCAATTATGGTGGCTGCTGTAAGAACACTCATTACAAATTTTTTTATCAAAGAACAATTGGAAAAAGAACAGAGATTGGAGGCTCATCTATTACCATATTATGAAAATATTTACAAAAAGGAAAATGTTGTTGCTAAAACAAAATTATCTGTATATGATCCGTAAGTTAAAGATAACCAGAACAAAAAAAAAGAATCAAAAATAAAAAAATTAACCAAAATGATTGTTTATAGATATGCCTTCTTTTTTAGTTCAACGGAGGAATCAAAGACAATCATCTTAAATTCATTGGATAAAATTGCAGAATCATGTCCAAAGGTTTTTGAAACCCAAATGTTCAAGGATCATTTTTCTGATTGTGGACTTCCCGAAGACCTTACTGTTGATGGTATGATCAATATTATCAAGGATTCTTCTCCGCTCAAAGCATGGAGTTTGGTATCATTCAATAACTTTAATAATCATATGGCATTAAGAACCAAATTCATTGATGACTATGTTCTTAGTAACATTGACAAATATCAACAATTTGTAATTCTTGGAGCTGGATTGGATACCCGTGCTCTGAGAATGCCTTTCAGCAACTCTACTACTGTTTGGGAGATTGATTTCCCAGAAACATTTGAATACAAAGAGACCATCTTGAAGGAAGCAGTCAAAATCATTCCACCAATTTCTCAAGCAAGAAATATTCATATTTCAGGTAATCTTATTGGTAACAATGAATGGATTACCAAATTAGAGGAATCTGGATTCAATAAGAACAAACCTACACTTTGGATATTGGAAGGTCTACTTATGTATATTTCAAATGAAGATATTGAAATTCTAATGAACCAAATATCATCTATCTCACCAACTGATTCCACATTATTGATTCAGACTTTGAGTGGTGACTATAAGGATAGAAGTAAAGCTCAAACATTACTTTCATCATCAGTAAGAGATTCGTTTAAATCCTCCTCCAATAATCCAGAGCAATACTTAATCAAATGTGGATTCACCAAAGAAATCAAAACCTTTGATGAACATGATATTGAGAAGTTGTATCTTTCTCCACAATCCACTGATGTAGTTTGTAAAGCTTTCTCTCAACTTACAAATGGTTATAAATAAATGTTTAAGTTTATCAAGTGTTCTTTATTTTGAGGAATAAATCATCAGTAAATAATGCAACATCAACTTAATGTTTTATTTTATATTACTTGAAAATAAAGAAGCTGGTATTTGTTTTTGTTCAAAATTAAACTTTGAAGTGGTGTGATCATTATTTTCATCATCATCATCTTGATCTTCATCGTCGATATCAATTTCATCGTCATTCTTTAAAGCTTGTTGTGCAATAGTTGTTGGTTGTTTCGATTGATTAATATTTGTTTTAGTTGATGATGATGATGTTGGTTGACTAACTCTTTCTCTTTCTTGTTGAGCTTTCTTTTCCATCTCTGCGATTTGCTGTTGTTGTTTAATTCTCTCTGCAATCTCCTCCTTTTGGGCTTGATTCATCATTTCGATATTGGTGATATTTATTTGGTTGTACTGTGCAGCGACCGACTTTTTAATTCTCAACATCTCTGTGAAGGTCTCTTCGTTACCGTGATGCTTCTCAAACTCGATCCACGACTTCCAGAAAATAGAGGATGTCGAAGGATCTGAGAATTGAGCGCCATGCACGTATATGCTTCTGGCACGATCGATCTCACCGTGTTTTCTCTCCATGTCGGCGAAACGAATACACATATCACGTGCCTTATCATCGGGCAACGATTCAATGGCACGCGTATAGATCTCTCTGGTCTTGGTCAAACCGTAGAACTCGGTGGTTCTGTTGATATACAATAGATACATATTGAAACGATCCTCTGGTGCGACAGCGCGAGTGGCGCGATCGTAGACTACCATCGAATGTCTTGCCAAACCAAATTGTTCCTCTACGTTGGCATACATCAGATAGAATATCTTTGATTCTTTAGGTGGAACCTTGGTGAGAACCTGTTCAAAGAGATCTCTGGTACGTTCCAACTTGGCTCCACCGTAGCGATTAATGAACTTCGTTAGATAGGTCACCCAGATATCTTGGACATTGGGGAATGGGAAGAGTGCAACACCCTGTTCGTATGCCTTGAATGAATCCTCGAAATACTTATGTTCCTCGAGGAACTCTGCATAGTTTAGGATGGTCTGAGGTGTGACAATCTTTAGTTGAATCATCTTGTCGTAGATTGACTTGGTGTTGATGAATGTGCCATACGACTCTTCGAGATCGACATAGAATGTCCAGAGCTTCAAAGACTTCCAAATACGTTTTTGAACAGGTTCCGTGTCTGGAATGTGAGTTGGACGGCGTGGCGATATAGTTGCACGCCTCAGAATCTCGAGTGCCGTATCATAGTTGGCATGTCTCAACTCCATCTCACCGTACTCGCAATAGAGCGATGCCAGGTCGTCCACCGTTTTGTACGGTACTTTAGTGGCGCGCTCAAAGATCTTTCTCGCCTGATCGAGCTTGTTGTGAGCTTCGTAGTACTGCGCGAATGCAGCCCACAGCGTGTAGAGCTTGCCCTTGGCGTGCTGTGGATCGACTGTGGCAACGGCCTGCGCATAGGTATCGACTATCATCTTTGGATTGCCAGTGTAGAGCTTGACGCGCTTGTGCCACTCGGCAACGTTGTGTGGATTCTGACGGAGTAGAACCGAGCTGAGCAGTAGCGGTTGTCTCTCGATGAGTCGCTCGTATCGCGCCAGCGACATCTCCAAGTCGAGCACTGTGTCACTCACATCTTCGTTGTTTGTCATTGCATCGTCGACTATCGCTTGTGCAGCGGCAATAAGACTGTCTTCGAACGAAGTGTAACCCTCCCAGACATGTGAGAAGTCACGTGCAGTGGAAACCTTGATCATTGCCTCCTCGTAGATATCACGTGCCTTGTCAAACTGTGCCAGCTGTGTATAGTAGTCGGCGAGTGACGTCCACAGCTTTCCAGCCTGATCTTTAAACTGTGCGATACCTGCTCTGATAATGGGGTCGGCATCGATACCGGATGTCTCTTGCGGGTGTCTAGCGAGAATATCGCACAACTGCAACCACAACTGATGTTTTGACTTTGATTTATATGAAACAAAGTGATCTCTATTCAAAAGATTCAATAGTTGTTCCGATGCTTCTCTCCAAGCTTGTATCTTTATTAAATATTCAACATAATCTTCTATTTTCGAATTATCAATCTGTTTGTATAAATAGATCATCATAATATAATGTTAGCAAAAATATCTAAAACAGTTATCATAATCGCGATAAATACCTTTAAATATCTTCTATATACTCTAATGGCAGTCTCTCTAATACCGATTTGCATAACGAAATCAATGTATAGTACCCATATTCTTTCATGTTGAGTAATGGGTAGTGCTCTCAATGCTCTATCGAATGTTCTTCTAGACTGTGTAATCTTTGATTGTGAAACTAAGAACTGACAATATTCTATCCAAATTCTAGGCATCTTTATAAATAGATTATATTAATATTATTGTTATTAATTATTGTTATTACTACTATCTATTTTCATAGTAATAGATCTATCTTGTCGAACTTACTTTATCTAAGAATATTAATGAACGTTCAAATGCTTTGTTAACAATATCGAATGATGGATCTACAATACATCTTCCTCTGACACATACAACCAGTTCTCTTAGATAAGAATGCCATAGTTTGTATGATCTCGGCATGTGTTTGACTGCTCTTTCATAGATGTTGTTTCTAACGGATTGTGGCGCCTCTTTCTTGTAATCTAAATATCTAATCCAACTGCTCACCACCAGCGGATTACGTTTTACATCTTCTTCATAAGCTAAATCATCTTCCTCCTAAATAAATATATAAACATGCATGTTAGTGTATTCGATTATTAATATGATAATTAGTTATAAATTCAAATTCAATCAGTAAAATCTGTTATATATATTTCTTTCTAGTACTACATTTACATACAGGTATATATGGTGTATTTAAATCTGATATTAACTCTGAAGGCATCTATTTATTATATCAATCTATAATTGATCTGTATAGTTCTATTAATATTACAAATCAACCAGTAAAATCAAATAGAACTATTGCAATGATTTTTAATCAATTATTGAAATTTTATCAGAGAATGAAAATTTTTTAAATTTTTGAAATGACAAAAATTTATCTCAAGATAATAATCATAAGATTTCGCATCAGGCACCATTAATTGTATTTTACTATTTTAATTAGTATTTGTAATAATTGATTTATCTTCGGAGGAGATAAAAAATTAAAAAAAAAAGTAAAAAATAATTAAATTTGAACTTCACAATTATCGAATTAATTATGATATTAAAAAAAAATCTAAATAGTTTTTTATTTATTTATAAACTAGTTCTTTATCAAAAAATCAAAATTGTAGGTTCAATAGAGAAAAAAAAAATAAATTAAAGAATCTTTAATTTTTAATTTTTTTTTTTAAAATTTTAAGTTTGATTTTTTTTTTTTTATTATTTATTTATGATTCAACTTGAAAGCTTTTTATTTTATTAATTTTTTTACACTCTTTATACTTTTAATATGAATTCAAATCCTAATTATTATTTGGTTTTTCTTGGGTAGGTATTAATATAGTTACTTAAAAAATTTGATATATATTAAAAATTGAATTCAGAAATCCAGGAACAGGTAAATCATCCATTTGTAATTGTTTATGCGGACAATTGAAATGTAAATCTGGAAATTCAAGTGGAACAGGTTTGACAACTCAATCTCAGATCATAGAAAATGGAGATTATACAATAATAGATACACCAGGATTAAGAGACCCACAAAGTAGAAAACAAGCTGCAAAAGAAATTTCAAATTCTTTAAAACTAGTAATTATTATAAAAAAAAACTACAAACTTTTATATTTAATTCTAATTGTTTTTTATTTTAAAAAAAGAATGGATATTATAAATTAATATTTGTTACTACTTTAGAGTCTGGAAGAGTTTATGTTGATGATATTGAGACTATCAATGTTATTCTCAAGTCTTTGAGTTGCCCTATAAAGTACGGAATCATTCTCAACAAGATAACTCCAAATGTTCATCGCAAGATTCTAGAGAATTCCTCAGTTCTATCTTGTTGTTGGAGATTGCTTGGATATCAACCATGTGCAAGTTACATATTGAAAAACTTTGATCATATGAAGGATAATACTGCACTCATTGAAGACCAGACAACTAAAGGAGCATTGAAACAATTTATCGATTCAATTCCAACTATCTATATAGATGAGTCAATGGTTGGTGAAATCGATATTAGAGACTACGAAGAAAAGGTTAGTGAATTGGAATTAAGGTTCGGCGAGATGCAAAAACAATTAACAACTCAAATCGAAAACAATCAAGAGTTAACCAAGAGAACAGATGATTTAGGAATCATTTTGGAGAAAGAGAGAGAAGATGCAAAAGAAACACAATTGTTAGGAATTCAACAATTAGTTAAACTCCAAGAGAAGTTTAGTGAGGACCAAAAAATGATGGCAGCTCAAGCAAATGAGATGATGATCAGACAAATGGAGATACGTGCAGAACATTCGAAACCCATTATTATTGATGGTGGAAATGGAAGTAGTGGCTCATTCTCATTCAATATACCAGTATCTCTTCCAGGTTGTTCTAGTCAATAAATATCAATATTTTTAAATTTTATTTAAATCTTATTTAACTATATCAAATAATCAAAAATAAATTATACTTGCATATCTAATTTACAAAATCAAAGAGTTTTAAAATAAACATTTTTAATTAAACTAGTTGAGTTTAAATAAAATTTTATTGCTATTCGTAATCTTTATTTAAATTTAAATAAAAAATAATGAATAGGATTTATTCAAGTTAAATTAAAATAAGATCTATTATATAGATTAATTAATATTTAATTGGATTGTTATTTTCAATTAAATCTGATCCAATCGATGACTTGTATGGTTTTTAACTGTATCAATCTAATAATACTTGCTTATAGTATTAAAATTGTGGTTGAGGTTATATTTGATAGATTTTGTAAATAATGATGACGATACATTTCATAGTATGAACTACAACTAGATATTGAAAAGAAGACAAACCTTTCCTTCTATAACTGAAAAGTCAGTTCTTTTCATTACAGAATCATTTGGTTACTCTATTAACTTACTATAAATTGTAGGATTGTTTAATTAATTAAAAATAAACAGATTAAACTTAAAAAGAAAAAATTGTTCATTTTGTAAAAACACACTTTTGGAGTTAACAAATTTGATTACAAACAACACCGGTATTAACTGCAACTTTTACAATATCTATCTATTTTGTATTGTAAACATCATATATTCTAGTTTTTTTATATTCTAAAATGGTTACATCATAATTTAACAAACTTAAAGCAAGCAAAGTAAAGTCATGTAAGTATTGTATTATTTACACATTTTAACAAACATTAGTTATGATGTTGTATGTTGGTTATTGCTTAATTGTAGATGAAGTTATTTGTTAAATGTTTATATATTCTCTCTCTCTCTCTCTCACCTTATACTTATCGTAGTACTACTTTATTTTTATATATATATATATATATAAAAGTGAATATGATTTGTTGTTTTTAAAAATATCTTATTTTTTATATTAATACACAAGCAACAACAACAGAAACCACAACACAAATGTTAACACACACACACAACAACAACAACATAACACAAAACATAAAATATATGAAACAAAACAACATTCTATCTATCATCTCACCATCTATTTCCACATAAAATATCTATTAAACACTTTGTATAGTATTGGACTTAGTAAATAGATATATAGATAGATCATTGGATATGATTATCATAATGGTGGTATCATGATTTATGTTCAAATTACACTACTTACTAAGGCATAGAGAATAAGTGTTGTGTTGTGTCGTTTGACATTTTTGTGTGTCATGTGTTATGTTTTGTATTGGGTGTGTGTGTGTGTGGTATTATTCATATATGTTGTTATTGTCTATATTTTTCTGATGAAATTGAATGACAAATACCAAACGATGATGTTTATTTTTATAAGTTTTATCAAGTTTTGACATACCCATCAATACCTGACTTACGCAACCAAAAATGAAAATATAATAATAACATCAACATGATAATGTTTTATCAATTGAAATTCAATTTAAATAATTATTCGTTTTGAGTGTATTCTGTACTCTTCTGAAATGGTTTAGTTGGTGGTACTCCATTCATTTATTTGGTTTGAACTCGATATTATTTTTAAGGTGACCACAGAGTGTGTTTGCTGTTAGTGTTGTTGTTGTTGTTGTTGTTGTTGTGGGGAATAGAGATGAGATGTGAGGTATTCGGGCAGATCAAATTAAAACCAAAAACAAACACATTCATTAATAACAAAAAAAATACATTTTTCTCAATCTGAACTATTTAAAACACATCAATACTAATAATACATTCTGATATCTTAATATAGGTATTAATCTATTAGTAGGTGTTGTTGATTGGTGTTTTGGTATTCGATTTCAAATATTTATAATGGTGATTTGACAGTTTGACAGCTCAAATACTCGTTCCTCCTTTATGGTGTGTATTGTTGGATTGAATTCATTACATTTTGATTGGATATGACTGGATTGGGGTTGAAGGTTTCCACTACACTACCATTATTCCATATCACATTGGACGGCTTATCAGTTATTTTTGATGTATTGGGTTAAATAGGGAGCAACAAAAGAACTCACTCACTACTCACTCACTCACAAATACTCACAAACACTCAAAAACTCAACTCATTAATTTTAGAGTTGGTGTTTTGTTTTAATTTTTGGGTGTGAGCGATAGACACTACAACGATTACCTTTCCAACTGATTCAATTACAATTGGTTAACCAAACTTTTGACACTCCTGTTTTTATTACCTATAGGCAAAAATCAATTAAAAATGCAATTTTTAACTATAAAAAAATAAAATAAATGTAGTATCTATCTTTTCAAAAACAATCTATTGATCTCTTGTTACTATTAAAATTTGAAAGAGAACTCTCCTGTTTTTACTTCCGCCAATAATATAATTTAAAATAATCTTACCTCCCCTAAACCTTTAAATTTTGAGGTTCTTTACCGATTCACACAAAGAACCTCAAACAAAAAAAAACACAGAGTAATTTTCCACTTTTTACTCAATACCTGTTTATTTTTAAATACATCAAAAGTAAATCCCTTTTTCATTTCAACAAATATGAATATATTATTGTCTTTCAAATCTATTATTTTACTATAATCAAAATAAAAAAGAAATTCAATTTATAATATATTTATCAAAATATCAAATCAATAATTTTTTTATTTATTTATAATCCATTGGAAATCATTTCATTTTTTTTTAATTTTCTCATAGGTAAAAATTTTATTATTTTACCAAATATAGAAAATATTATTTCAATCATATCTATCTATTATTTATTTATTTTTAACAAAAAAATTGCAAACAAAAAATTAAAAGAGGAAAATAATTTCGTTGTCAAATCCAATCAAAATCTATCCAAAAAAAAAAAATCCTGTTTTATCTCACTTCATCAAGCCAATCTGGAATAAAAATAAAATAAAATATTTAATAATAATAATAAATATCATTAATTCGAATAAATAAAAGACCAGAAACTAAATAAAACTAAACATTCATAAAAATGCCTTCGAATCATTCTTCTAAATCAAAAATAGATATATCAGAATCTTCACCATCTTCACCAACTTTAAATCATGATAGAACCAAATGTATGTCAAGTTAAATTGAAAAAAAACAAAAAAAAAAAACAAATAGTTTTAACACCATAATATTATTTCTATAGCACAAAGATTAATAGATATAAAATGTAATGTTTGTTCAATAGATCTGATGGTAGGTGAAAATAGATATGTTTGTGTTGAATGTCGGTCTTTGAATCTATGTGAGAAATGCCATTTTAAGGAGCGACAATTTTACAAAGATTCATGCTCGATCAACAACAATAACAACAACAACTCATCATTTTCATACCTGCACACCGATAACTCTCCACTACCACATAAATATACAATAGAAACAAGTAAGTGGATAAAAAAAACAATCATGTTATTTGAAAAAACAATAAGGAATCCAATCATTTTCATTTTCAAATTTCACTCTACATTTTTGTTAAATCTGATCTAATTTAATTTCTAATTTAATTTCTAATTTAATTTACTTACTTTTTCAATAATAATAAAATAATAATAAATCATCATAACTATAGAATCACAAACAAAACTTAATCAAATATTGAAATCAGATTCAACCTACAGTACTTTTAAAAATGTATTCAAAGAATATAGAAATAGAGATTGTTTTGGATGGAGAGAAAAGGTAGAGGTATCCGAAGAGTATCCTTTTGGATTAGGTCAATATCAATGGATAACCTACGAAGAATTTCAAAAGAGTTCAGAGTATTTTGGTAATGCGCTAGCTCATTTGATACCATCTGTATGTAATTACTTAATTAGATCTTAATCTTCTGTTTTTTTTTTGATGATTGTTATTAACTTTATGATGATTCGATTTGTTTATTTACGTAAATAGAGATCATTTGTTGGAGTGTGTGCAAACAATTGTATTGAATGGTACTATGCAGATTTCGGATGTCTTTGGTATGGTATGAGAGTGGTACCTTATCATCATCAAATCAATTGCGAATCGATGTTGGAGATGCTCACCAATTCAGAGACATCGTGTATGATCATTTCGAAAGTTGCATTCGCCGGGTTGGTAGATATAATCACCAAGTCAAAGTATAGAAAGATCAAACTAATCATACACATCGAAGATGACTTTGATGAGGAAACAAGACTACGTCTACCACCAACCATTCAATTCCGACTATTCAGTAACATGATGGAAACAGGTCGTAGAATTACCAAACTAAAACATAATCCAATTAAAAAAGATGAAATATTATCATTAAGTAAGTTGTTTATCTCTTCATATTCTCGGCCATATGTGTTTTTTATATGATATTAATAACAATATTGATAATAAACTACTACTAGTTTATTCTTCTGGTTCAACTGGTTTACCAAAAGGTGTTATTACATCCGATAGAGATTATAATCAATATGTTTACTCTACGAACAATGAATATCCACATGTTGCAATTAGTTATACTACTCTTGCACATGTTCAACGGCGATCCGACCATAAGGTGCTGTATTGTGGTGGTAGAATAGGTTTGTTCTCTGGCAATATGGAGACACTCTTTGATGATCTGAGGCTGCTGCGTCCACACAGCTTCTGGGCGGTGCCAAGAATCTGGAATATCATACATGCACAGTATCAACACGAGATCACCCAGTATCAATCGGCCGCGCCATCATCATCATCGATCAGTAGAAACCAAGCGGAGCTTGTTATCGGTGAGCGTTTCAAGCTGATTCTTGGCGATAGAATTCAAATGGTGATGACTGGCTCTGCACCTACTTCGCCGGCGGTCATGGAGTTCATCAAGAGAACGTGGGCACCTGCACCCGTTCTGACACTGTACGGCTGTACCGAGGCACTCGTTATCTCTGTCAATGACAACGTGCTGGAGCGTGTCGACTACAAGATAGTACCGGTGGAGGAATTCGGCTATTCACCAGACGATCAACCCTATCCTCGCGGTGAACTACACGTTAAAGTCGATCTTAACACCGGTTACTATCGAAATGACCAGGCTAACAACCAAGCATTCCAAGATGGTTGGTACAAGACTGGCGACATCATTGAACAGTATGCACCAAGAAAGATAAGAGTTATCGATCGTAAAAAGAATGCTTTTAAATTAGCAAATGGTGAATTCGTTGCGTATGTAATAATAAAAATAATAATAATATTAAAGACTGTTTATATGTTAACATATGTATAAATATTAATCAATCTATTTACAGACCAGAAAAGATAGAGAATATGTTTTATGCATCAGAAATCATTGAACATATTTTTATTTATGGTTATATCGATAAGACATTCTTGACAGCTATTGTTGTACCTAAAGAACATATTCTACATAAACATAAACTGACAATCGATAGTTCCAAAGAGGAAGTAGAAGAGAATCTACCGATTAGAAATGAAATAATGAATGAATTGGAAAGAATATCAAAGTTAAAGAGTGTATGTTAATAATTATTAATTGTCTAGCTAATAGAATGTGATAGAAATAATAAGATACTAATATTTTGTTGTTTTATATAGTTGGCAAATTATGAAATACCTAAAATGATTACAATCGATAATAATAAGTGGACGATTGAAAGTGGTATGATTACAGGTAGTGGCAAGTTTTGTAGATCAATTATCTATAATCATTATGTGAATGATTTTATGAGAATGAATGATACCATTGAATCGATTCAGACGGGTCTACGATCACAAACAACAGAAGAGAAATCAGACTATATCGAAACATACCTCAGACTTGTACTTGGACTCGATAGTTCAAGTGAATCAATAGATCTCTCTAAATTATCATTCACTCAAATGGGTGGTGATTCTGTTGGTGCCGTTAGATTATCATCTTTATTAAAAGGTAAGTTTAGTTAGTTAGTTAGTTGGTTAGTTAGTTAGTTAGTTAGTTAGTTCGTTGTTCAATTGAATTGTTATTCTAATCTTTTATACAAATATTTATATAGAAAAAGCAAATATAGATATATCACCACAATTCATTTTAAATAAGAATAATAATATGAATGATATCTCGAATATTGTGAAGAGTGGAAGTAGTTCCAGTGTAAATCAAGTATCAATCGATTGGAGTAAGGAGATGGAATTGGATAGTGATATCACTGCTGTTGGAAAGAGTGCTAAACCAATAAAGTCTGTTGGTAACAATGTTTTCTTGACTGGTGCAACTGGATTCCTAGGTGCATTCTTGTTGTTTGATCTGTTGGCAAATCGTGGTGCTACCATAGGCAATGTCTACTGTTTGGTTAGAGGTCAATCTGTAGAGGCTGCCAAATCAAGATTGTTACAGAAGCTCTGTGAAACCTACCGGTTGGTTTTGAGCAGCGAGATGATCGATAGAATCATCGTTGTCATCGGTGACCTCGAAGCCGAGAGACTGGGCATTGCCAACGACCAGTACAACCAACTTGTAGAGAATGTCGATCTCATCATTCACAACGGTGCGTACGTTCATCTTTTGAATCCGTATCCCAATATGAAAGGAACCAATGTCGGTGGTACAGCGGAAGTACTTCGGCTGGCGAGTGCAGTCGGACAGCAACACTCGATTAGCGTAGCGCATATCTCAACGATCGGTTGTTTCTCTGAGCGTAACAAGGTTATCACAGAGTTTGACAAACCAAATGTTGATCATCTAGATAAGATGTTTGGCTATACACAATCAAAGTTGGTAGCTGAGCAACTGGTTACAAGTGCTCACCGCACCCGTAACATTCAGGCTATCATACTCCGACCTGGAACCATCTATGCCAGCAGTGAAACCGGTATAGACAACGAACACGATTTCGTAAGATTAGTATTCCGTTCGATTCTACACCTTGGTAGTTATCCAAAGTTAAACAACCAGAACGGTGGATCACTTCTCAACTTGTCGCCAGTCGATTGGGTTGCATCGTCAGTCACCAATCTCTCACTCAATCAACAGCAACAACATCAACAACAACAACAAGAATCAGAAAATATTCCAATTTATCACTTAATTAATCAACATAATATTAGTCTATCGGAATTCTGTAAGGTTGTCAATGACAAAGTTACACCTTTGTTGGAATTGGAATTCGATGAATGGAAATCGAGACTGTTGTCACAACCAACCAATCCACTGCACTCTATGAGTTTAGTCTTTAACAAAGAATACCCAGTGTTTTCGAGCTATGGATTCTCCAATCCACTCACCCTCCAAAAGCTTATTGACTGTGGAATGAATGCATGTCCATACGTATCAAAGAAGTTGATTATTAAGAATATTAGATATTTGCAACAACTTAAAAATTGATACAATTTTACAATAAACTATTATTCTTTATTTATTTATTAGAGAAACTTTGTGATCTTTTATTTTATTTTTATTTTAAGAAAATAACTATATTCCATAGACTCAGCAAGCACCTTCAATCATATATCAGAGGTGGATAGGGATCATTACTTCATTCCCAGGTCAAAGTCACCTCCATCTATCGATGCAATTGTCAAAATGACAAATCACACACCATACTTACAGATGACTACCTCTCAACCTCACAATATCAAATACCAGTATTTAATTGACCAGGTTAAAGCCACACCTCCGCAAGTTGGTAGAACCCAGCTCTATTTTGTGGCACCAGAGGATTTGTTCGATGGATATACCCTTCAAAAGTATGTTGGAGTTGGTGGACATGTCCTAGTCAACCAACCAGTCCTTCCTCTATTTTGTATGTCCTTATCACCTACAAGTGCCGGAGAAGACTTAAATAAATAAAATGTTTTGAGGTGTAGATAGGCTACACTTATTTTTTCTCAAAAAAAAAATAAATCAATAAATAAAACTTTTTATTGAACTTCTCATTTTTTCTATTGAGATATCTTGGATTATTAAAAAATAACTAACTACTATGATAATTTAAATAAGTTCATTTCTTTTTAAGTATTGAAGCAATTTCGATTGGTGTCAATGTCATGATTGGACGTTGACCACTTGGAATATTCTCTGGAAGGTAACAGTAGTTTGGATAGAGTGGACCAGAGTTGACTCCACGTTGGGCGATGTGACAAGAGTTGTTGGTGAAACGAACCAATGCAGTTTGAATGTCGGTAACTGCTTCGTTTGACCAGAGACGTTCTCCAATAGCCAAAGCTCTTGGGTAGACACGTACATCCCAGCTTACTTGGTTGACTTGCTCTCCCCAGATACAAGCTTCTCCTCCCAATACGTTGGCGGTGGAAGTAGTGATGTTGTCAAGTGGGTCAGCACCGTAGAAATCTTGCCAGGTGTCTTGCCATTCGTAGTGAGTCTTACCCTCTGGGTTTGGAACTTGTTTGTCGAGGTAGTAAGCGAACGATACGATTGCTTTGTAACCAGCATCGACAATCTCTTGGGTGAGTGAAGCGGAATCCCAAACTTGAACCAAAGTATCCTTGGTCATGTTGACACCGTTTTGGTATGGATCGTTCCAAACCATCTTGGTACGGTTCAAATTGGTGAGGATGGTGGTCAATTGATTCTCGAAATACTCCTCAGCTTGGACCAAGTTGAAGTTGTTCTTCTTCATCCAGGCGGTGATGGTTGGATCTTCACCCCAGCAGTCGAGAACGACTTCGTCACCACCGGTGTGGAAGTATTGGTCGATGAAAAGCGATGACATCTCTGCGAACAAATTTCCAATGAATTGGTAGGTGTATGGCTGAGCGATGTTCAACAACATATTGTTGATGTTGTAGGCGTACGATGGACAGCTGGCAATCAACTGTGGATATCCAACACCCCAAGCAGCAGAGTGACCCGGAATATCAAATTCTGGTACTACACGGATACCGTAGGATTTGGCGTAGGCAATGACCTCTTGGATATCGGCGTGTGAGTAGATGGCGATTGGGTTGAATGCACCTTGAGTCAAATTGGTGTATGTCGAGGAGACGACTGGGAATGATTGGGCGTCTACAATGTGCCAGTGAAGAATGTTGAACTTTTGGTAGGCAATGGTATCGATGATGTGGAGGATGAATTGCACTGGGAGGAAGTGACGACCGGTGTCAATCATGAATCCACGCCATGGGAAACGTGGGAAATCGCTAATGGTCATTGGTACCCAGGGAATGGTGTAACTCATCTGGTCTGGATTCCATTGAATGAGTTGTGAGAATGTTTCGAGAGCACGAACTGCACCCCAAACTGTGTTGGCGTTGATTGTCAGCTGCTTGTTGTTGGCGACGATCGAGTAGGATTCGTCGATACCCAAGAAGAGATCTTCACTGTCGGACTTGGTAATGACCACCAAATTGAGGGCTGGTGCATTGCTCTTGACCATTCCGAATGGGAAGAACAACTTTTGATAACGCTTAATATTGATTCCGAGAATCTGTGAGGAGGAGTCGGTTGTGATGCTGAAAGTGTTTGGATTGACAGCGAGCACTGAACTGCCAGTATTCAAAACCTGTGGGAATGGAACAATGTTTGGTCCGATATACACAGGTTCCTGTGAGTATACTACAGATGTAGCAATGATGGCTACAAAAATAAATAAAGCTGATTTATACATGTATCTTCTCTATTTATACTTTATATTATTAATTATTTATCTGATTAAAATAAATACTAAATTAAAAAAATAAATAAAAAATAAAATAGAAAAAGAACTATGATCAATTTAGGAATTAAAAATTATCAAATTTGATTATTAAAAATCAACAAACCACTAATGGTGAAATAAAATCAAACTGTTGGAATTGGCAGTGGTTGATTGTGTTGTGTGTGGTTATTTGCTGCTCGATGATATTTTGCTTTATAAAATTTTTAGACAGTGAAAGATAATAGATATTGTGAACTATAGTTTTTGTTGTTCTAATTTATATATTTAAGAAGTCGGTATCGAATGTTGATGTCTAAATGATGAGGATCATAAAATGGCTGTGTATTTTTGGGCATTTCAAAGTACCAGTACGGTATTAACCCAATATTTCGAAATGTGTAGAGAAATTTTGAAATTAAAGTTCATTATTTTTTCCCATCAAAATTTCACCGCGATGAGTGATCATAGGGGTCTGTGATTCGAAAATGTAAATAAAAATGGTTTTGCTTTTTATAAAATTTAATATCCGAAATGGATATTTCCAAATTTAAAAATTTGCTCAATTTCAAGGTGTGGTTTTATGATTGCAAAAAAAAACACACACACTCAATAATATCAATATCAATACCACAAAAAAAACCAAACATTGTAATCACTTTTTTTTAAATGATTATTTTAATGGAGTTCAGCTGCTGAGCGTTGTTGTTTTAATTAGATAGTTTTTATTTTCTTTATTTTTTTTTATTAATATTAATTTACAATTAAAATAAATAATATTTAGTAAATAGATAATAATTTTTATTTATCTATCTATCTATTGTTAATATCAAATTCAAAAAGATGAAAGCTATTCTTTCTTTTTGTATTTTTTTTGTTTTATATAGTTTGGTAGGTGGACAATCACCAGTCTCAGGACCATTGATTGTTCCACAACCACAACAAATGACATTTGGAACACAGACTCTTCAATTGAATCCATTGAAGTTCCAAATTTACTGTCCATCAAAGAGCCCCGTGCTTGCCAGTGCTATCAAGAGATATTCAGATTTGTTCTTTTTGTATGGAAATGGTGCTCCCTCTACTGCTCCAGCTGCCATTCTCAACATTAAAGTCATTTCCAACTCTGATTCACTCTACTTGGGTGTCAGTGAGAATCACACAATCAGCCTTGTAGCGGCTTACTCGTTGCTTATCACCGCCGACACTGTCTACGGTGCCATTCGTGCATTGGAGACTGTCTCACAGATCATTCAATACGATTTCGTGACTCAGAGATACACCATTCCAAACACTCCAATTTCCATCACTGATTACCCACGTTTCCCATGGCGTGGAATCATGATTGACACCGCTCGTCACTTTGTCCCAGCTAGCTACTTGATGCACACTATCGATGCGCTTGCCGCCAACAAGATGAACACACTCCACTGGCATATCACCGACGGTCAATCTTTCCCAGCTTCCTCTGTCACCTACCCCAACTTGACAATGGGTGCTTGGGCACCGGAGGCCGTCTTCTCTGTCGACGACATCAAGGAGGTCGTTGCCTACGGAAAATCGCTTGGTGTTCGTGTCGTCCCAGAGTTTGACATTCCATCGCACACCTACTCATGGGCCGCTGCCTTCCCTACCATTATGGCCAACTGCCCAGACTACACCTACAGCTACGGACAACTCCCAATGTCCATTGCCAACTACCTTACCTACGAAGTCATCACCAATCTCTTCACTGAGATGTCTGGTTATTTCTTGGATACCTACTTCCACACTGGTGGTGATGAAGTTCCATACGGATGTTGGAAGGAAGATCCACAAGTCGCTGAATGGATGAATCTCAATGGCTACACCCCAACTTTGGCCGAACAATTCTTTGAGGATCAAGTCACCTCTATCCTCGCAAAAGTCAACCGTACCAAGATTGTTTGGAACGATCCATTCGTCGACGGTGTCAAGCTTGACCCATCGACCTTGATTCAAGTATGGGACTCCTCTTTCCAAGATATCGTCAATGCTGGTTTCGAAGTGATTGTATCGTTCGACTATTATCTCGACGAACAAGTCCCAACTGGAAATCTTCACTGGATGTTCGAAGATACCTGGTCTGATTTCTATGCTGCCGATCCATACAACGGTATCACCAGCAACACAAACAAGATTCTCGGTGGTGAAGCTTGCATGTGGTCGGAACAAGTCAACCACTTGTCAATGGATGTTCGTGTTTGGCCACGTGCTATTGGTGTCGCCGAACGTCTCTGGTCAGCTCAAACTCAAACCGATGTCAACAATGCCTTGACCCGTATTGGACCACAAACCTGTCGTATGTCACAACGTGGTATTGCAAGTGGACCACTATTCCCAGATTTCTGTATGCTCCCAGACGACTTTGAGAGCTATCTCCAACAACCACGTATGAGATTATCAAAGGAGCAAATCAACACATTCTTAAATAATAATTAAATAGTTTAATTAATAATAATAAAAAAAATAGTATATTTATCTTAAAAAAATTAATTTAAACTTCACAACCCAAATTCAATTTAAACTTTTCTCAATTTAATCTCAAATCAAGCAATGTGTTTTGTGAATGTGTCATAGTTATTATATTTTATTTTAAAAATAGATAAATACAGATATCAATAAATGGATCGATTATTTAGAATAGTTTTAAGGAATAAATTATTATTTAATTATATTATTTGTATTGGTAGACCATTTAGATCAAAGAATCTTTTGTATTATCAAATTAAACAGGTTGATTGGATTTTGAAAAATGGATATGAAGGTATTCTTTGGTACAAGATTAAAAGAAAAGACAATCTTATTTGGAAAATAGTTGATAGAGATACAGTTTTGAGATATGGTAGTCCAAAGCTATTTGAATCGATCTTTCTGAATCAGCTGGAAGTTGATGGTGGCGTTATAGATGCCGATAATGAAAATTGCTTGAGAGATATTATTTTCCCAGAGAGAAGAGCCAGTGTATTTCTACAAACTGCTATAGAGGTCAACAGTAACCAAGCTGCTAAGATGTTACTTCATTACGGTGACCCCTATTCAATAGATCAGATAGAGTCACTTTTAAATCATTCAATCAAACATCTCAACGCTGAAATAGCCAATTACATTATAGATACCTTCAAGCTTGGAGAAGATGATCTTAAGTTTAAAATGGATAGGATCGTTATCAAGCGAGACATTCCAGTCGATAGATACCACCAGTTCACTTCATTTCTTTTGCAAAACAAAAGATTACTTTCTTCAAAGAATTCATCTCTTTTCATTCTACTTATTATATGTGGCAACAGAGAGTACATAGACCTAGTATACAAGTCAGGAATCGAAAGAGATAAGACTATCATAGAGCAAATCGTTTATACCATTTATAAGATATTAAAAGGTAGCTTGACGATACCGATTTTCGGAGCATTGGAAATGATCAAATGTATTTTAAGTTGGCTTATGGGTGGATTGTATTATCGATCGTACTATAGATGCGCTGAAGAGTTGGTAAAGAAGTTTACAAAGTTATCAAAGGAAGATTGTGTTAAAGTGATCCTCTTTGAACTGCTATGTGGAATGAGAGGTGATACCGCTACACCAATAACAATCAAAGAAAAATGTTTAGTCAAGTTAAATAAGATCATGGCTGCCATCAACGATTGTGAAGATATCGATGTTGCTTATCTCAAATATATAGATAAATGTTCATCTGTAGACAAGAGACTGTTTCTATCAAACTCTACTTCTCTAACGCGTATGAATCACTATCAAAGAATAATTGATATCAGCAACATTAATCATTTGATATATCTACAGCAACAATTGGATTTGGAAACCATTAAATCTATTTGGGTCAAAGGTGATAGAAATATGATGATATTTTTATCGAGACATCATTTGACTAGTTTGATCAAATTAAAAGAAAAATCGGATTTTTGGAGTTCTCAGGTCATTGACCATATCGATTTTTTTAGTCTTGATGATATAGAGAAACTTGCACCAATTACTCAGTTCCTATATGCCATTAAGCATCCTAATAGGTTCTTCTCAATCGATCACATTCGAAACTACTTTGTTTTGTTTGGGTCATTAGAGCTCTGTGAATATTCACCGACTCAAAACTTGGATTTAGCAATTGTTCAATTCTTATTGGCAAATCTAAAGAAACAAAGTACACTTCATAGAGCGATAAAAAGAATTTTAATGAAATCTTTACATGATATACTCTCACCGATTGTCAAGTATATTTTGGATACTTATTGGAAGGAACTACCATTTATAGAACCAAACTTTACCAAAATAACAAGCACAGATCTCATTTTAGCGAAACTTTATCATACACTATTAGACTCCACTAATGACCAGACTACGGCCAAAGCAATAGTAGAATCAATTTAAAATAACAATACGATTGATATGTTTGTAAAGATAATATCTATTGCAACAAGAATTTCAACTATTGATAGAATTATCCTAAATTTTAAAGTAAAAAATTCAAATGACTATGAAACTTTATTATTTTCAAAAAATGTTTGGAAAATTCATAAAGGAAATGAAGTTTATACATCTTTCTATGATAAATAAAACGAATATACATATATATCTATTTTAATATTCTTAAAATAAAAATGTATTAAACGGTTATTCAACCAAATATTGAAATGAATTGACTTAAAAAAATATTAATTTATCAACACATTCCAAAAAAAACAAAACACTTCAAATTATTATTAACCTCCTTTAACCACTTTCAAGATAATAAATAAAATTTGATATAAAAGACCCAAAAAAATAATACCTTTCTATTCATTTACAAAAAAAATGAGGAAGTTATTAATTTTAGTTCTATTTTCCTTTATATTGGTATTTTCTTTGGCTAAAACAAATTTTGAAGATAATGTTAATAAATTACCTCTTCATGTAAGTATTTTCTTTTTTGAAAAAAATAATTTTAACTAATATTTTAAAATACAGTGTCCATCAGTTGAAAATATTGATTGTTTAATCAATAATTGCTCAAGTTCTATTGAATGTCCTTTTAAAATGCTATGTTGTGAAACAAATTGTGGTTTTAAATGTCTTGAAGGAATAATTTAAATCTACTAAATAAAAAAATAATTTTAATTATTCTAAAAAAACTTTTATTTTAAACAAAGATTTACAACATTTATTTAAAGATATTTAATTATTTAATTTTAAAAAAGAATATTATTATTATTTTTTGTTTTTATGTACAGCTGTGACTTAAAGTTCTAACTTCTTTCAGTTTAGCGATGGAGTTACGATAGTTGGCTTCCAATGACTCACGAGAGTGTGCAGTGATTTCCAAGTCACGGAGATAACCGTCATGAATACCATAGACCCAACCGTGGATATCGACTTTTTGTCCACGCTTCCAGGCGCTTTGCATGATGGTAGAGTTACCGAGATTGTTTACTTGCTCGACGACATTCAACTCGCAGAGAACGTCCAACATTCTCTTACGTGGTAGGTTTTGGAGGAGGTCGTTGTGCTTGAAGATGGAATCACGGATGTGGAGCAACCAGTTGTTGATAAGACCCAACTCTGGATTGTCGTTGGCAGCAGCAACACCTCCACAACCGTAGTGACCGCAAATAATGATGTGCTCGACCTTGAGTACATCGACAGCGTACTGCACGACGGAAAGACAGTTTAGATCGGTGTGAACGACGAGATTGGCGACATTACGATGTACAAACAACTCTCCCGGACCAAGACCTGTAAGCTTCTCGGCTGGCACACGCGAGTCGGCACAACCGATCCACAAGAACTTTGGAGTCTGTGATTCGGCGAGCTGCGAGAAATACACTGGATCCTCTTGTGTCATACGCTTGCTCCATTCGTGGTTGTTGTTGATCAATTGTTCTACTTCTTTCGACATTCTTAGAGTTTCAGCTGGTGTACGTGGAGTGGATGGCTCTGATAAACTGTTCTTTGGCAATTGTTGTTGCTCTTGTGCAGAAGATGATGAATTTGATACTAATGTTAGATTTTGGAATATATTATTACAACAGGGAGTGTCAGATTGATTGTTTGACATGTTTCAGTTGTTTTTTTTTTTGTTTTTTGAAAAATGACAAAGGGGTTCGATCTATTTATTTTGATTTTTTTATTTATTTATTTTTTTTAAATTTGATTTTTTTAATTTAATAAAATAAAAATCGTTGCGAGTCTTTTGGAAGTGGTGAATGTGGGAAATGGTGGTGCAAAAAAAAATAACAATATTATTGTTGGGGTGTGCAAAAACTCTTTAATTAATTAATTAGTCTTGTTTGAAACAACAAAAAAACACCAAATAATTCGTTTTTGCAAAAAAAAATTGATAAATCGAAGATAAAAAAAAAAAAAAAAAAGCAGTGATATTTTGAAATGTCGATTTGTATTTAATGTAAATAAATATACAATGTACAACTCTTAAAATATAATATATGTAATGTATAAATGTACAATAAAGAATTGTAGAAATGAAATGTTTAAAACAAATAATTTGAAGTGAAAGTAATTTTGTTGTTTTTAAAAAACAAAAGTAAAAGAAATAATATTAATTTAAAAATAAAATTTGCATACATATGGTTGTTTTGATATCAAACAAAACAACAAGATTTTAAACACAACACAAAAAATTAAAGTTTATGAAATCCCAGGCTCCGATTTTATTAAAAAAAACTGGTTCGAGCGACCCCAAGGAGTAAGATTCTATGATGTTTTTCTGGTGAAAAAAAAACAACAGTCATTTTGAAAAGTTCTGATGACAATTTTGGTGTTAGTGCAAGTGGTGAAAGGAATAGAAGTGCCGAAAAATCCTGGTGATATGTTATGAAACATAGCAACAATTAAAAATTTATATGTATATGTACATGTACATATTTATTTGTTATAAAATATGTGTGGGTGAATATTGAAAGTGTGGTTGTTCGTTTCAAAACCACAGACAAAATGACGTTATTTATCATTAAGTTATATTAATGGTTATTATAACTAAAAGAAATTTAACTTTTTTAGCAACATGTTTGTTGTTATTGGTTTAAAGAAAATAAAAAGCAATCAAAGTTTTATTGAAATTTAACAATTATGTGTGAATAACAACAACCCACAAAGAATGACATAATAATATTAAATTATTTGATAGAATTCAACTTCAACTTCTTTAGTTTTGAGAGTGGAGATGAATTTTTGTTTAATTGGATATGAAAAGAGTGTAAATGCTGCTGCTTTGAACAGAGGTTATTTACTTTTTCTTTAATTATTTGATTTTAAGAATGATGTTTTTTATTGTTGATCCAATCCAATGTTTGGTTTGATGAATAAAAATTCATTTGGATTCTTTGTTTTCGGTAGTTCCTTGTTGAATCTCTTGCTGGCAATCTTAAAGTGAGGTAGTGGGTGCTTACCAGCTACCAATGGTAAAAGGACATGCTTGATCTCGTGAGTCGATTCTGGGTGTATCGAAAAAGTGCTATTCTTGTCACCAGAAAACAAAAATGGTGAGTCCGATCCACCAAAGCTGGGTGCGTTGATTACCAGTAAATCAAACTCTTGTAAAAAGTTGGTGTTGTTGTATATCGAGATGCTGTGAGTGATTGGTACACCAACGGTTCCAGACGCTGGCACCTTTACATGTGTTACAAATGGATTGGTAGCAATTCTCATGTGTGGCAACTGAATCGGTAGTGAGGAGGTGATCTTTGGAGAGCTGGAAGCGTTATCATTGTTACTGCTGGACTTACGAGACCATTCGATATTTAGTGATCCAAGACTGAGTGACTCTCCAGTGATTAGAGGAATGAGGTTGAACCAACACGAGTAGTTGTTGTCTTTCGACAGTTCATAGGTTGGAAGATTCTGATTGGATGAGGAGAGCAGCTGAGCTACCGGGACTGCAGAGGCATCTGCATCTTCGCCGCTGAGTGGATTCAGAGTTGCCTGACTGATATTGTTGATTTCCAGAGTTGTTCGCAAGATGTTGACGTTGAAAGGTAGATTGGTCTTGATGTCACAGAGCAGCAGCAGTGGTTCCTTGGCAACGATATTTCCATCGTACATATCGTTCAACTGGAAGTTGGAGTTGAAGAATTGGAATTGAGTGAGGAATCCGATTTGCACTGGGAAAATAAAGATCTTTGATGCATGTGATATTTCGTTGGCTTTGGTCTCGTACGATACGTTGATGACCAGTTTGATCTCGTCGATCTGGCTACTATAGATATAAAATTTCTTTTTGAAAGAGGTACGCTCAGAGATATGTGGTAGTTCCAATCGCGACAATGGATTGTTCTTGTTTGGCTCCGAGTAGATTCCCTTGTCAATGAGATTGTGTGCTTGCTGTTGTTGTTGGAAGTCAAAGGTGATCGATCCACTGGTGATCTCCTTGTCGTTATTGATCAACTCTAGCTCGATCTGATAGAATTCATTGATGATGGCGGGTGGAGTATGGTTGCATTTGATTTGGATCAGTGATTCGTGATCCAATATTCTGATGGATGAACGTTCCAAAAACTTTTTGTAGGGATCGGGTTTGACGATGGTTTTAGGATCGATCTGGTCCTTCTTTATAGCTAGCTGCTGCGACGATTGGATCGGGAGTGGTGGATCCACCACTTCATTGTAGATCTCGCGTTCGGATTCATCCGATTTGATAGCCCACTCTGAAATGTTCCAACGAAAGTTGATAGAGGTTGGACCGTTGCCAAGTTCGAGAATTACGGTCTGACATTCGAGTTCCGCTTTCTCACGTGTGTTTAGAGTGAACGAAAATATTCTCGATTCGTCGGGAAGGAATACCAAGTCCTTGCGTTCCTCATTCATCTTTAGATTCGATTCGATTGGATCGGTGATTGCTTTCGATTCATTGATCACCTTATTATAGGAGCTATCTGAAAATATGGTTCTAAGTCTTGAAAATCTAATAGCATTTGGGAAATGTGATTCGATTACAACGAATATCTCTGTTTTACTATGTGAAAATGCAATACTATTTGGGAATTGTACTCTACAGTTAACTATAAATATAAAATAACATTTAAATAAGTATATTATTTTTGTTTACCAAAATATATCATGATACATTACTTAATGGATGATTATGATCCATATTTACATCCAAAGTTGATACAAGTTGGATATTTGGTGTTAATTTAGTTGGATTCTAAAATGAAATAGAAAAAACAATGTTAATCAACTTTAAATTGAATCTTGTTGAATAGTTGTTAATAAACAACTTACAGTTAATACATATAATAAAGATTGTTGAATGGATGATCTTTGTTCTTTTGAGTTGGTCAAGTCAGGTGAGAGTAGATCCATTGCATAGCCAATGTAGTTGGTCGGTAGATTCAGCATGTGTACACACTTTAGACACATTGCCAGAGTGTAGGTGAGTAGTACCCACCACTTTTCACGTCGATAGGTGATTGCATTCTTGTTGTAGAATTTCAAAGCGAGTTCATATTGATTCGATCCATAAAAGTATTCGTTGGCAATCAGTGACTCCACGTACGATATGATACGAAGGTTCTGGTGTTGGTTCGCCTGCTCGTAGGCACGCGACAACAAGTCGATGATGGCCGAGGTGTAGTTTGCCTGTAGTTCGATCGCTACCAATCGGTAAAAGTCGTCGGATTCATCCTCGTCTTTGCCAGCGGGTTTGCTCACCAGTTCGAGCGGGTGTGCGACATCGGGTGGTGGCTGACCGACATACTGCAAGATCGAGAGGTCATGACGTTGCTTGCTCTCTTTGAACTTGACAACACTCGGTGTATTGCGATAGCGGTCTGCCACCGCCTTGAAATACTTTCTGCGCTCGTCGACATACTTGGCGGCGGTCTGGTAGTAGAAGCCAGGGTTGGCACTGAACAGCGCTTTATTAGTGTTTGGACACATATCCAACAACTCTGCGAATATCTGATACTCTCTAGACAACCATGCACAATGATTGAATTCTTTCTCATCCGGTCCCTGATACAACTTGAACAATCTAATATGCTTCTCAAACTGTTGTATCGCTTCATTTAGATTGTTTGACCATAAAAATAATTTACATATCTATATTTATTTATAAAAAGAAAGAGAGTAGTAGTTATAGCTTATTGTTAATATAATGTAATGTTATGTAATCATATCATTGTTGTTGTTAAACACTTTTTATATATATTTACCTTGAAGTTTAAGAATGATGCAACAGTTCTCAACTCTGCAAATCTTATACCTTTTGTATCGTTGTTTGGTTTCCAATCCTTGAGAGAATGATAAGCAAATGCATAGTATTTCAATGCTGTATTCATGTCGATTCTAAACTCTGAGTAATACGCAATCTTAAAGTGATAGCGAATTAATAGGAATGTATGTGTTGACTTTGATATCTGTGATTTCGATGATTGACATTCCTCTTTATAATGTAAATCTGCTAATTCCAATGCTAATTTCTCCCACCTATAAAATGAATGATAAGATAATAATAATAATAATAATAATAGTTATATATATTTAGTTTTGGTTCAACTAGCGCAACAATAATATTGTTGATCTACTTACTTTTTAACAAAACCTTTCATTTCTAATTTATTCAAGAATAAAAAGTACTTTGGATCTACATCTGCTCTACGTCTAACCAAATTGAATCTCTCATCCGATACATCTACATTTGGTGTTGATGTTACAACTACAACAATTAACTTTATATTTCTTTGTTTTATATTTGCTCTTTAAAATATATATATTTTATGATAATAATAATAATAATAAAGTTAGTTTGTTATATCTATTAAAACACACACACATTATTAATTATTAGAGTTGTATAAATACTTACTTTACAGTGTCTATTTGAGACATAATTAATTCTTGTGCTTTTGGTGACTTGTCATCTGGCCACTGCAAGAATAGTGATATAACGGATGGAATAGAGACAGTATGTTTATGGATCCAATTGGCTCTCAAGATACCAGCAGGAACAAACGATTCTGAATGATTGGCACGTTTCTCTTTCTTGGCAGCAATGCTACCAGCATCGAGTGTTGTAACTTTCAACATCGGAATAACAAGTGGTTGTACACGCCATCCTCCTATCAGCGGATTGAAACTTGCACTTGGAATAGGTGGTGAAGATGATGTCGATGACAATGTTTGTTGAGGTTGATTGTTTATCGATAACTCTGGTACCTGTGTATTATTTGTATTTGTTGCTGCTACTCCTTGTTGTTGTTGTTGTTGTTGTTGCTGATTTGATTGATCGAATGGATCTAGTGAAGAGAGGTCAATCGATGTCTTTACCGATGGCTGTTGTTGTTGTGATTGTAATATCGGTGAAACAGGATGTATTCTATGAAAATCAATGAGTGATCTAGTAGTGATATTCTTCTCTATGAATTGATGAACACTATTTACACCGACCAAACCAACCAATGGTATTGGTATATTAACTAGTTCCTCAGGTAATTCATTCATTTTATAGTTGTTGTTGTTGTTGTTGTAGTTGTCTTTAATTAAAATCAACTTTAACAAACAACTAATAAAATACAAGATATATAGATATTAATTATGTGATGCTGTTACTAAATTTAATAAAGAATTCTATCACTGTTTTTTTGCAACATGATCACACAATTTTATCATTAAAAAAAAAAAAAAAAAAATCTAAAAAAAAAAAAAAAAAAAAAGTAAAAATCAAATATTGGGATAAAAGAAAATTAAGGTTTATTAGATTAAAATTTTATCTAATTATGTGAAAAAGTTAGAGATTAGTTTGTAAGTTTGATGATGTTTTAGTATTCATATCATCAACAGTTCCAAAATCAAGTTTAGAATGTTTAAGTAGAGATTCCTGTCTTAGCTCTTTGAATGGAGAGGTAGGCGAACGATAATGTGATTCGTAGAACATCCATTTTCTGTATTGGATCAACGATGAATGTAGATGATAGAAGAATTCATCGACTTTTTCATATTCCTTCTCGGTAAGCATTTGCTTCATGTCCTCTCGTATCATCGCCTCCAACTGTTGGAACGACTCTACCGATTCGTTAAAGTATTCGACCATCTTATTGAATGCCTCCTCGAAACTCTTGTTCTCCTGTTTCTGAATGCAAAACAACGGGTTTATATTGAAATTGCCTTCACAAAACTCTTTTTCGTAGGAGCAGATGTCGTTGATGATCGCATAGAGTTTGGTTGCTGCTTTTATCATGTCGTTGTAGCGCGCGTCACAAAAGAACCTATCGCCAAGCACCGATTGTTGGTCGAGGAATACTTCGAGCATTTGCGACGGTCCTTCAATTCCCATGTCGGCAATACGAATGAAAAAGTAGAGATCCATATGCAGACAACCGTTGTACTCCTTCAGGTTTAGGAATGGCGATATCGATTCGATATAATAGATATGTCCGCGAATCGTTCTGTTCAGAGCACCCGGACGACCTTTACAATTTTCCTTCAGGTCATTCAACAGTCGCAGCCAGAGATGATCCATGTAGAAAGGATCTTCCGGAAGTTTTCCTGTCAAAAGAATGGATTTACATCGCTTGGCAAATTTCTCACGTTCCACAGGATCTTTTTCGGCATCCATCTTTTCATCGAAACAAGTATAGAGCATAATAAGAAGAGTACATGATATCAGTTGTTTTCTATTGTAGCCAGGGTATGAATGCATTGTCATCTTACAAAAAGTATTATTAATATGACGATGAACTTTATTATGTTCTTCAAATACTTTTTCCTCCAACATCAACTTCCAAACATCTTCAATAAACTCTTGACTTGGGAGATCAAAACATTTCCAATCTGGAAGTTTTACCTTTTCCAAAGATAATATTGTTGTAGGTAGTTTAAATTCCATTATTTTAGTAATAATAATAAGTTATTTTATTATTTTTAATTTATTGTTTAGAAAAAATAGAGAGAATATTAATTATATTTTTAAAAGTTGAACTGGATTCTATATTTATAATTATTTATTTTTAAACAATTGTTAATTTATATCCGTAAATAAGAAAATAAAAATCTTATAATTTTGTATTGGCCCAAATCGGATTACTTTGTTCTATAAAGCTAGTTCCTAGTATGAAACCAATCACTTTAAATATTTCAGATAGTATCCAATGATTTTAGTCTCTATATTTTACACCACTAGCATCAACATGTTTTCAATTTCAGTAATGAAAATTCATTAGAAGTAATTTAATTGGAACTACGATTCTCAATTTAAAAACTTTCTTAAAAACCAATACAAACTTGAAATATTATTATTAACCACACACACATTTAATTAAGATATTCTATTCTATAGTGGTAGAATATATGTCTGAACACATGATTCAATCAAAAATGCTCATTACAAGTATAGATTCAATTAATCTTAGTTTAACATTAACTTATTTAGTAAGTAATATTAAGATCTTAATTTCCACTTCTACTTTCAAACACCTCCTACTTCCTACATTCTCAATAAACCGAAAATACAAATTGAAATTGCAGAATATACATATTTTGTTTTGTACAAAACAAAATTAAAATTAAAATATAAATAATAATAATTAGTTTTAAAGTAATAAAAATGTAACATTATCCAATGATTTGTTTTGTTTTTGAAAAAAAAATTTATTATTATTATAAAGTTAATACTATTTGTATTATTATTATTATTATTTAATTATATTTAATTATTGAACACTTTCAAATGGGTTATGGTCATCGAATGGGTTAGCATCATTGTTTGGTGCAACGTAGGTTTCAGGTGGTGGTGAGGAAGTGTTTTGGTAGTGATCTTGTGGTGAGGTAGCTTCGAATGGTTGTGGATCTTGGTGTTCGTGCAAGTTGAGTTTCTCAAGGCTGACCGCTGGTTGTTGTTCGAATGAGTGGTGTTGTTGTGGTGTTACGGCAGCAGGCGACTCGACACCAAAGATCTTTCCTTCGGCTTCGGTCCACATTCTGATGCCCTCCTCGATGAAACGCTTCTGATCCTGTACGAACTGCTTGAGAGCAGCGGCAACCTCACGCTGTGTAGTGGTGACCATCTCGACGGTCATCTGCTCGAGATTCATTGTCGATTGATCGTAGAGTGCCTTTGATTGATCGTGTTCCGCTTGACGCTCCTGTAGTTTCTGTCCGGACTTTTGTGCGTTCTTTAAATTATATACAGTGGCACTATATTTGGCGCGGACATCCTCTTGTTGCTTCTCAAAGGCAATGACCTTCTTGACGCTTCCTTCGTAGAGCGCGGTGAGTTGGTTGGCTAGACGGTCGTAGAATTGCTGGTTGTACTGCTGGAAGAGCAGCTGACTGTCCTTGATGGCACCACCGACCTCCAACAACGAAACCGACAACGGTACGGTTTGATTTGAAATATAGTTGGTGTGTGATGTCTTCTCACCGAAACGTTGAAGAATTTGAGCTAGTCCATTACCTTGTTGTACTTGTTTATCTGTTTTTTTTTTTTTTTTTGAAAGTAAAGTGTTAATACATTATTTGTGAACAAGTTTGAGATATCTCAAACTAATTAGAGTTTGTTTGTTTAAACAAAACAACATTATGATTATTTATTACCTGATGCCATATAATAATTTCTTGAGAGTTCAATCAACAATTTAAGATTCCACTTCATATTTTTGATCTGATTCTTTGCAGTTACAACATTCTCTGGTTCCTCTACCAACTCTACAATAGAAGCTTTAGCAGCCTCTTTTGTTTTATTCAATACATCTAAACCTTTCTTAAACATTTTTATAAATTGTTAAAATAAAAAGTAAATTAAAAATATATATATTATTGATATTGATATTATTACAATGAATAAACTAGTTTAATATTGATTACTTTTTTTTTTTTTTTTTGTTAACAACACAATACAAATAAATATGAATTAAATTTGAAATTAAAATTTTATTAAAAAAAATCCACCTTACATTCACATAAAAAAAAGTGAAAAATTTGGGTGAAAATAAATTCAATTAATGAGGTATTTTGCAAATTATGTCCCAACCTGGTGGTGAGTTGGTGCGAAAAGGTATTTTTCAATATAACCATTATTGTAACATCATATAACATCATGTCTTTTTGAGTATATTTTTTTTTTTTCGACTTCGAGATAAATAACGAATAGATTGGTTTTTTAAACAATGAGTGGTTCAAATGACATCACAAACAGATAATATTGATTTATTTGATTGTTATTGTATTATTGGACTTAAATGATATTATCTTTTATTAGTCTTTTTTTTTGTTCAAAAAAAAAAAACAACAAAACAATAAATATTATCTTTATTTTATTAAAACAAAAAAATCACATTTTATTATTATTAATTTTCTTTAGTTTTTATAATACAAATACATCAGATGCTAAATCAAAGAAACTGTTGGGTGGAGGTGGTGGTGAAGGTGGTTTCTCTTGCCAAGTATTGGTTTTCCATTGGAAGTATTGGTTTTGATTTCTGAGTAACGAGTCTTTTTGGTGAATCTGTTTCTCTGCGTTTTGTTGTACCTGTGCCATCTCTTCCAACTCGAACAAGGTCATACACTCCTCATCCGAGAGTTCATACAATCCGATTTGAATCAACGATATACATCTAAGAAGCAGTGGTATTTCAATTATAAATTCTCTATACAAATCTTTTAATAATTCAAAATCTAAAGTAATATTTAAAATAGAAAATGAATGTTAATATTTAAAATGATTGATTATTCTAATAGTTGTTAGAAAAGTTATACTTACAAACAATGAGACTCTTTTTCTTTATAAACATTTTAAGAGCTAAATCATCCTGTAATGATGAAACTAATACATCTCTAAAGGTCTATTATTAATAATAATAATAAAAGGATTAGTAACTGGTTTAAAAAAGAATGATATCAATTTTACTTACATCTCCATTTGAGGTTTTATGTTTCTTTGCATTTGGTTGATTAGTTGTGGTATGATTAATACTCTGGTTTTTAACAGGAACATTTGTAATGTTGGTTGGGATATTATTGTTGTTGTTTGCGCTATTATTATTGTTGTTGTTGTTATTGTTGTTATTAATGGCATTATTCATCATTGCCTTGTGTGAAACTGATTGAAGTGTTGGTGTGGATTTTAATTTTGGAGCTGGTGGACAAATATTTGGTGTGTCTTCGGACATTGAGCCTCTTCTGGTGAGCTCAGAGGTGGAGGCAATCGATGATCTTCTGGCCATAAGTGATTGTGCTACATTTGGATTGGGGTTGGACATTTGAATGGTTGCCATTGAGGAACGTCTGTTTTGAATCTTCTTTTTAGCGGGATGTTCAAGAGCCATGCTGTTCTCAGAGGATCTTCCAGAGCCGGCTGGTTCGTCGAGTGGCTGCATATGCATCACTGGTAGCTGTTGGATTGCTGGTGCTGGAGCTGGAGCTGGAGCTGGTTTCTTTTCTGGTTCAACTGGCTGAGCGACTTCCTCTTCGTCCATTTGAATCAGAGTGAAACAAAGATCGAGATACGAGACGTAGTCGGTTTGATTATCACACATGTTCTGCCAGATGGCAGCGAGAATCTCTGTTTTGTTGTTCTTTTTAAGTGTGTTTTTCATTTCGAGGATCTTGTTCATAATCTTCTTCTTCCAAATATCACGTGGTCCGATGATCTTACTGTCGATAATCGAGAGGATGACCGAGAGATTGTTGGCAGATGGTGTCAATTTGAGTTCTGGTGATTCTCTGTAGCCCAAACTGTTATTGTTATTGTTATTATTATTATTATTGTTGTTGTTGTTAATATTGTTCAAGCCGCTGTTGCTACCTGACAAACTACTCAGGGTTGGCGATGATTCCGATCTTGGAAGTTTGGGTGAGATGAAACCAGCTGGCAGATTACTCTCAATGTTTCTGAGCACTAAATTATTCATTGGTTTGAATTGAAGAGATAGACCACCGAATTCTTCTTTCTTGTTGTTGTTGGTAGCAACTGGGTTGAGACTAAAGTTGTCATCGATATCCATTGGGTGTTGTTGAAGTTCAGAGAGATTGAGTCTTTGGATATTGTGTGGATTCTTTGATACATTGTTATTATTATTATTGTTGTTGTTTTCAGAGTTGTTTACAGGTGAAAGAGGTGGACGTGCAGAAGCACGACGCAGCCATGGTGAAAGAGGAACGACTGGTGCAGAGGAAGGTGACGAGGTGGTATCTTCTAGAATGGTTTCCTTGAAGAGCGAGTAGTTGTTGGTGCTGATCGACTGGAGCAGTTTTTTCCAGAAGAGCTGAGCAGTCTCGGATTTAGTGCATTGGCGCGAGAGGAACTTGTTGATCGACTTGCCGACCTCCTCTGCAAAGTCGATAATGTCCTTTTGGAGTATCTCCTGTTCCTGATGATAGAGTGCTTGGTTCGGTAGCACCCAATGGTTGTTCTTGAGCTCTATCAGATTCTTTAGCATGTATCTGGTCTGTGGACGTACGTTGCGGTTCTCTGACAACGACTGGATCAACTGGAAGCCATCCTCAATCGCTTGTTGGATGATGAGATTCGAGTGGTTGGTCAGACCGGACTTGTTTGAAGACTCAATGGCACGACCAACGATAGTGGCGATCACTCCGAGCGATTCGATCTGAAGCAGCGTAAACTCGGAGTGTTCCGATGTCTGCGATGAATCTTTCGGTAAAAAGGTTGAAATGATATCACTGAAAAACGATGCACCTAATATATTGAAACGATAGCATTCCGCTAGAAATCTACTGGCATGAATGATCTTGGATTTCAGCTCAGTGATATTGGTTTGTGGTGAATGATGCAGAATTGCTTGAACATTACTAAACTCTTGATAATAATATTCTATAAATCTATCACCCATTGACTATTATTATTATTATTATTATTATAATTAGTTTAGTTAAACTTACTTAATTTATATATTATCATTTGTTATAATTACTTACTATTTGTAATTTATTAAAAAATAAAGGTGATAGTTTTGAACATATTTGAGAGATATATGGTAGCAAAAGAGGTTGATTAACAACTTTTGAATAGAGCTGACTGATTACTTCGATTGCTGAAACTCTATCAAGATCAGTGCATTTCGAAATGATTTGTTCTGATAATACTTGATGATTATCTTTTGAAAGCTTATTTAAAGACCTATTAAATATTAATTTTAAATAAATATAAGTTTAATCGTGATCATTATTATAGGTTGATAATATTATTATAATAATATATTACCTGTGAACTAAAAATAAATTCTCTTCCACACTTAGAGCAGTTTTTTGATTAATTTCCATTTTGTTATTGTTTGTTGTTTTGTTTTTTGTTTTTGAATGGATTATTGATATTATTAATATTACTAATTTGCTTTTAAAATCGGTTGTTATAATATTATTTGATTAGATTTGGTTTATTTACTAAAATAAAAATAAAAAGAAAATGGTAAGTTTTAAAATATATATTTTTTTAATTGTAGAGATAAATAATTGTGGTAAAATACAATAAAAATACAATTTTTTTTTTGTAATATTAACAAACTAAAGAATTTAGATTAAATTGTTATATTATTAAAAGTTTTAAAATTATGATTTTAAATAAATGTGATATGAAATAATATTAAGATTATTTCAAATTTGTAGAATGGCAAAAAAAAATAAATGATACTAATATAATTAATTTAAAATACAAATTCAGAAAATAAATGTATGGAAAGATAATGAAGATTACTTTACTTTAATTATAAAAGAATTGATTATATTACTGTTTGTTATGGTTTTGATTGTTATTAAGATATTGTTATAGGAAAATGAATAAATGCTTTGTTAAGTTTTTAAATGATATGATTGATCGATAAATGTGATATGTTGGAGATAATTTTTATATTACCACTGGTTTGATTTTTAAAAAAATTAAAACGAACAAATATAATGAAATATAATACGAAATAAAATATTATATTTTAGTAAAGTAAAAGTAGTAGTACTACTACTACTAGATCTATAGAAGAAAATGTCGGAATATAACAGATTGATATTATAATTGGAGAGTATATTTTAAAAAATGAAAATATTTTAATGTATAATGATTGTTTGGTAAAAAAAAAATTATAAGCTTGGATATTTTGATGTCATGTGTTGTTATAACAATATTATCTAATATAAGGATATGTTTTTTTTAATGACTTCTTATTCTTATTCACTTTAAATAATTAAAATTTAACTACTTTTTTTTTGTTTTAAAAATAAATTAATGACAAGTTGTTGAGTTGTTATTATTATCTGATTATTTATGTCCAAATGTAAAAATGATTATAGTACCACCTCCTTCTGAAATTAATATGGAGTGTAGTCAACCTGTTGAATTAAAGAATTTAAAGATGATTAAAGATTGTTATTGTTGTTGTTTTTGAATGTAATAAAAATATTAATTGTTAATATCAATAATAAATAAATTATTATCAATAAATGTATAATTGTTGCAACAATAAAATAAAAATAAAATAAAATAAATAAAGCGATCGCGAGCGAGAGTGAAAGCAGAATGAGATGAATGAATAAGGTGTGAGAAACAGAACTAGTGAGTGAGACGGACGTGGGTGTGTTTGTATAAAATTGTATTTCTTGTGGCTATTGGTTTGATTTGATTGATTGATCCTTACTCAGATTGTTTGCACTGTTATTGGTTATTGAGAAAATGAAATCATATGAATGTGAAAATATTGTATGTATGAAGAGTATTTGTTCAGTAATATTGGCTGATTTGTTTGGTGATAGTTTGATTGATTGATTGGTTGGAAAATCAAAGGATACTCTAATACTCTGTAATTAATTTATATTATTCTAAATTGATTGTATGTCTGACAGCAGCTGTGTAAACCTCTAAAGTGTGATTTGAGTTGTGATTCTTAAGATTATATAATATACCTAGAGGTAGAGATATAATAAAATATGGAAATTTGGATAATTAGTTTCAGATGTAGGATTTTATTTTATAATAATTATATATATAGTAGTAATTTAAATTATTAAAGTAGTAGGTGTAGTTAATATAACAATAACTACTACTACAACAACAACATGAAGAAGAAGGAGAAGAGGTGAATGGATTTGATTTGGATTTGATTTGATTTGATTTGATTTAGATTTGGATTTGGATTGAAATGTGAAAATGAAAGTGAATATGAGTGGATTGTTATAATTTTAAACAAAACACAAACAAGCAGCAACAACAACAACAACAATTGATTAATCTCACCTCTTGAAACTAGATTAGAAGAAGTGTGAAGAGAAAAAAGGATAAAATAGCCCAACAACAACTGTTTTGCTGGAGAAATATTGTTATACGGAATTTACTACCATCAAATAATTAAACACGTTTTGGTAAATTATTTAAGTATATATACTTTATCATTCTTATATATATGATATATGATATATATGATTCCTTTCCTCTCATTTCTTATCGTCAAAACACCTCCAAGTCAGTGTGATGTGTGTTTGCCCCTCACCACCACACACACAAACACATAAAACAACACACAAGTGAGAAACAAAAATATTATCCACTTTTGCACACACTCTGTGATTATATGTTTTTATAATTATAATGTTTTTTTTTGTTATATGCATTGATGTGATGGTAGAAATGAAGATTGCTATTCACTATCATGATGATTGATGAGTGTGCACATGTTAGCTTTTGATGATCGTGTTGTGTTTGATGTTGATGAAGGTGGGTAGAAACCACTTATAATATAATATTCAAATTTAGTGTTATATTGCAATATCATTTATATTACATTGTGGTATGTGTCTCTTGTATTCATTCATTCATTATTTGTAATACAAAAGAAATTGGTAATTTGTACAAATAAAGGGTAGATGTCAATGATTACAAATATTTTCACCAAAATAAAACATCTTAAATGCCATCACCATTCATACATTGAACTTATAGGTGGAGAAGTGAGTGTAATTGCAATATTAACTAAATCTACTGTTGATTTTAGATTATTGTATTGTTTTGTTTTATTTGTATAGTTAATCATCAAACTACAAAAGAATTTCATCAACATCATTCGTATTATTATTATTATTATTATTAATACTCTTTAAAACATTCGAAATTATCTTATGATGATTTTAAATGTATATTTTTGATTTCGATCCAGTTTTATTTATTTAATGATTGATGATCAAAAAAAAAAAAACAATACAAAAGTAGAAATTAATTTAATATACTCTTTTACTATTAATATCTATTTATGCGTGTTGTTCCAATTCTGTTTTGTTTGTGTGTCAAAAAAAAAAAAAAAAAAACAAATAAAATATATATATAACCATTTACAATTTAATATATAAATTTGGAAAGTGGTAATTAAAAATAACATCACATTGCTATTTTCAAATCTAATAAATCCTTAAATATATATAATAAAATTATTATCTTTTGTCCAAAATAAATTTAATCTCTCTTCATTTGTTAATTGATTGTGTTGGTGTGGTTGTTTTTGTTTTTTTTTTTGTATCACGCAAAGATATTAATATCTTTGGTAATGGTATTTTAAAAATGGAATTGGAATGAGATTTTTTGTTTGTTCTTGAATGAGAAAAAGCAACTATAGGTATGGAATAATATAGTTATATAAAACACTTCATACCACTACCACACCCACCAATCAATTTAAATTGAACCATGAAATTAGTCATTGAATTAATTTTCAGTATGACCTTTTTTTTAGTTAGATCTTATTTTCTTCTTCCTCATCTTCATCTTCTTTGAACATTTTAAAAATAAACACTCCTCTCATTCTTTTTTTCGCAATTTCATTCCAATCATTGTATTCCATGTTTATTATTGATATATTGATTTGTGGATTATTGATATACCTACAATTTGTTTGTTTTTAGTGTGAAAGGGTTGTTGTTGGTCGCAAAATTGGAAAGGACTGGAAAATTGGAAATTTTTATTGGTTGGTGCTGCTTCTTCTTGGTTGGTTTTGTGGAGTAATTGGGAATATTTTACAACTATGATATTTTCAGGTGGTAGGGAAGTAAGTGGAGACGTGTGGTGGTTGTTGGTCTGATGAAGTTGTTGTTGCTGTTGTTTGTTTGCAATAAATAAATAAATATAGTAACTGTTTTTTTCGAAAAAATAAAATAAAAACAAAATAAATTAATAATTTATACAATATGTTGCTGTATGCTACTTTAAATAATATTACTAAAATTTGTATTTTGATAAATAACAATTATATTGTTTTTGAGAGGAAAGGAGAAAATAACAAACATAAACAGACAGAAATTGCAATATAACAAAAATAAAACAAAACAGAAGGAAACAAAAAAAGAAATAATAGATGATTTAATTTTATCTTTCTTGGTGTGTGTGTGGCTTTTATTAGGTGTGGGTGAATTATATTTATAATTTATATGTTGTTTTTGATGTTGTTCTATATGTATGTATTATCATTCGTTCAAAAAGTAACTTTTGTTATTGTTGTAGCTAGAACAGAGGATTGGAAATTGGTCTTTTGTGTGTGTATGTGTTAATGTGTGTGTTTATAAATTAATTGTAGATGGTGGTAGTGGTGTGGCGAATTGTGGTGTTTGTTGTTGGTGGTGGTGCTAGTGATAGTGGTGGGTTGAAGGTGCTTCGTTTGTTTATTTGTTTTGCTTTTTTTTTTTTTTAAATTGATGCCGTACTCTTTGCAAAATCATTCAGGTTGTAGGTGAAGAAATGATAAGATGTAGAGTGTTTTTTTTAAACCCGTTTGGTTGTCTCTTTTCTTTTAAGAATTTAAAATATATGAATATAAAAAAAACACTTTTAATAACAATTAATGTGGTTATGTTTTTCTTATTTGTTATTTTAAAAAGAGCCTAAACTTAATCTCACATTCAAAATCTAAAGATTAAGTAGTGGTGGTATATGGTGGTTGTAGTAGTAGAATGAGAATGTGTGCTTTTTCTTTTATAACATAACATAACATATGTTCACAATTCTATTATTTAAATATGTTTTTTTTTTGTTTTTTCTTTTTGGCTTTTACTTTTGTATTCTTCTTTTGATGGCTGTATAGTAATAAGTTGTGAAAAGAATGTGTTGTGTTGTGTTGTTTGTTGTTATTGTTGTGTGTTATTAAAGGTAGGTATAGCAGTAGTAGTAGTAACCTTTTAATAAATGTTATTTTTACTTACAAGCAAAGATGTCAAACAAAAACAAAAACAAAAAAAAAAAAAAAAGATAGAGAATATGATAGTAGTTGGAGAGAACTATAATGACCACTCATTCATTTATATAATTCATGCTAAAGTGAGAGTAGTGGTGATGTACTGTGGGTGGTGTCCAACAACACACCCGTGTTCTTCAACATAAACAAACCCTAAACTTTTTACCCAACTAAGGTAAAACAATGCTATTATTATTATATTGTTGTTTTATATTAAAAACAAAACAAAAAAAAAACAACAAACATTCATTGTTGTGAAGAGGCTCAATTATTGACATGAAACACACCAAACAAAATTAGTCCACACCCACGCACATTTAAAAATACAAAATTTCATCATTCTAAAATGTGACATCGCCACCAAAAATTTTTGTTTTTTCTTTTTCTTTTTTTTTTTTTTTTTTTTTTGTTTTTTTTAACACAGATTATTTTTATACTAACTTTTATGAAATTACTTTAAAAAGTCATAAACAAAAAAGTTAAAAAAAATGAGAGTAACAAAGAACATCGTGGGCAACAATCTTTGATTGTATCATACAATTGTGGGTGTTTAATATGAATGAAAAAAAAAAACTAATTGTTAACACTACAACAATTTTATGAAATCAATGAAATTAATTTGGTGTTTATATAGCCTATCTAAAGTCTTTAAGTTTCATATAAAACTAAAGATCAACAAGATAGTTTGGTAGATAGTCCAAAAACACAAAATATAAAACTTGTTTAATTACAATTAATAAAAAAAACCCAAAAAGTAATCTACAATAATTTAAAAAAAAAGAAAACTGTTATTGTGGCTTGTCCAAAATTTAAAGTTAAATTAATTTTTTAATTAAAAAAAAAATAGGAGTTTGAAAAAAAAAACAAAAAAAAAAGGCTTTGTGTGTGTTTATGATTAAATTACCTTAATTAATTAATCTGATTACTATAATTTGATCAAATGCCAATAAATGTATCTATTTCTTTTATTTTGAATACTTAAATATATATGTATATAATTATATATATTTAGTTAACTTGTGAAATGGAAAAATGAAATTAAATTTGTATGTATATATTAATGTTATATACTTTTTTAGGTTGAGTTGTTGGTTTGAAGGTGTGTACAGGAGGGTGGGTAGGTTCTGGATTCAGTTCATCTAATATATGTATATAAATTATATATTAATATATAATATAATATAATGAATGAGCATTAATAGGGTTAAGTTGAAATTGATTTGTTTTTTATGTATGTTTATTGTTGTGGTTATTTTAGGTGATATCTTTATTTATTATATCCAAAAGCTGAGATGCCAAGTTTTGTCTTTCGGCAACACCGCGCCAACAACAAACTTTTAAAAAGCGCAAAGAAAAAAACAAAATAAAAAAGAATAAAACAAAGAGAGTTCTATAATACTGCGATTATTCATACAGAATCGTCAAGAAAAAAACTTTAATAGAAATATTATTTGATGTTATATGATGAAGTGGTAGAACTGATGGAGATTCTTATGAATCCTCATTTTTGTGTTATTGAGGATTTTGAGATCGTTCAGGATTATAACATTTGAGGCTAGAACAATCCAATCATTGGTTAAATCAATCTTTGAGAAAAGCTGATCACACAGACTATCCACATTAGAGTTTTTTTTTTTGAAATTAATTAACATTCAAAGCTTTGTCACAAGACAGACAAACATATTATTAAATTTATAAATTTTTTAAAAAAACCCACACAATATCATTGAAAAAGAGATAATGTAGTTTTTTTTGTTTGGTGTGACACTAACACCCACACACATTCAACAACATCACCAGAGACCTCAAAAATCAAACCACATTTACAACAAAATAATTATTTTTTTAATTATTATTATTTTTTTGATGTTGCAGATTTGATTGGGGCTAATCTCGCCAACAATAATAGGACAGTAGATTGGTATTCTTAGATAAAAGTGTCATGAAGTTGATTGATTCATATTATGATGTGTTGTTTTTGAATGAAAACATTATTATTTTGTTTCAAAGTGTTTAAAATAACAATAAAGCAACTTTTATTGTGTCAATTAACAATGATTTGTTTTTTTTTTGTTTTTTTAAAATTTCTTTAAAATAAACACACTGATTCAGGAACTAAAAGTAGTTGTGGTGTCATCAGATTGACTGTTATCATTCGTGGAGGAAGCTCCGCTTTCTTTGGATTGGAGTTGCTTACGGATCTTTTGGAAAAAGGATTTGTTGATTTCAAAGATCAACTTTACAGAGGATACCTAAATGGTTCAATTCATTAACGAATTAATATATTGTAAGGTGATGAAAGCTATTGGGTAGAATGTGCAATTAAAAAAATAAAACAAAATATGTGTGGTTTGTTTGATTATAAATATATCAATCCAATCATTACAACACAAACTTATAAACCAACCCCAAACCAACCAATCAAACCAATCAATTAGATTATTAATTAATAAATTTAATGCCTCTCTATACCGATTGTTATGTGAATGATGGATGTTGATGATGATGATGATGATGAATAAACTTGTGGTGATGGTAATGATGATCACAAAAGAACTCGATCATACATTACAATATCGATTCGAATGTTTGCACTTTGCTTTAACTGTTTTGATATTTTAATATGATGGTTGGTTGTATTTTATTATTAATAATAATTTAAAATACAAACCAATCATCATCATCATTATTTTCTGCACTATATATGTATCTCGAATTGCAACTTCACATTTTAAAACAAAAACAACAAACCCACAGACTTTATGAAATAATGAGGGTGATCTTATACATACCTCAATCAAAGAAAGATCCTGTAAGTTGACGGTTTGTGTGGGTGCCACTGGGTGACCATTTACGACAACTGTGTTCTTGCCAATATTTCTTATCACAAATTTCTGTGTTGATTTAAGCTTAATTATAAACTGTTGCATAAAAAAAAAGTAAAAGTGATCAGTTCGTTTGTTAGTTAATTAGTTCATTGAAATTCATTAATTAATTATTATTGTTTGGTCTCTTTAAAATATAATTGGTGATTTGATTGGCCAATCTTATCTGAACATTATTCAATCATTTATGATTGATAGATTGACAGATTGATTGATTGATTGATTGATAGATAGTATATATTGTATTATGATAATAACTTACTTGTTTTTTTGAAATTTTACTAATGTTGTAATCAGACTCCTCACGAAGATCCAAATCAATGAGGTTCTTTGGTGAGAGGTCTCTACCAACAACTATATCCTTTGACCTCATATAGTATCTAATGGAGTCACCTCTGATTAAAGCGAGTGATTTGTAGTCTCTCTCCTTGTCTGTGTTGTACTCCTTCTCCAGCTTTACAATTGACCTCAAATCATTCTTTTCATCCTCTTGTGCATCGGCAGCGACCATATACTTGGGTATACTGTTTCCAATAAATAATAGAATTGATAAAGTCAATCAAATAGTTAATTGATTGGTTAGGTTAGTTTAGGTTAGTTTAGCGTATTATTTTAAAATAACAAGTTTTAAGCAAAAAAAACTATAATAATACATATCATATTATAATAAAATCTACATACTTTAAAAATGGATTCAAAATAAGATCACTACATAAATCAACGTTTGAAGTGGGAGGAATAGATATCACTGAATCCCATTCTGTTTGAGGAATCATAGAACCTGATGCATCCGCATTCTTCCTATACAGAAATGTATTCATATCAATAAATTCAAATTCGCCATCATCCACCACCAAACTTTGTTGTTCTTTTTGACTTGATTGTTGTTGTTGTTGTTGTTCTTCTTCTTCTTTTATATTCTTATCTACATTACTATTACTACTACTATCTATATTCATTAAATCATCATTGTTATTATCTATATTTGAATTTGTTGTTGTTGTTGTTGTTGATGTTGTTGTTGATGTTGTTGTGTTTAAAGTTGTATTTAATAATGATTTTATCTTTTTCTTTTGATCAGTTAAAAAGCTAATGTATGGATGAAATAGGTTGATTGGTTTGGTGAGTAGTTTGTCTTTGTAGACCTGTTCGAGTTGTCTTGCTGTCCTGCTGCTATGAAAGTATGGTCTATGCTCTGGACTGTGAAGTAATCGTGTGAAATTGATACTGTTCATATTGGGTTGTGCAAAGCTGGCCAGCATTCTCAGTTCTTGTTCTGACCATGCCGGGCAAAGATGCGATTGCTGTATTGGCTGTTGCTGTAGATGCTGTTGCTGATGATGATACAACGGTGTATTCATTGAATTCGACAAACCAAAGACAGCAATCATCGAAGCAGCTTCATCAGCTACATTCTCATTGTATAACAACTGTCGCCAACGATCCTCTATTTCAGCAACTGTAAATTCCTTTGAAAAATGTCTTCTTTCTTTCTTTTGATTATTATTATTATTATTGTTGTTATTGTTACTATTATTAAATTGATTTAATAATGATTTCGATTCATTATAGATTTGCTCTATTGTTGTAAATCTCTGTGCTAGGTCGATGAGTAGACGGTCATCTGCTATGGTCCAATCGCCACGAAGTGAAAAGTCAGGCTTGTGATATTTGATGGCACGATTCTGCATTTTCTCAATCTTTCTTGGTATCTTGATTGGCTTTGGTTGTTTCAACTCCATAGGCTGATCGCTTTTCAACAGTTTCGGTTTCTTTGGTTGTAATATAGTTGGCATCATCTCCACATCTATAACAGGTGGTGGTAGTGATTTAAACTGTAAAACATCTAATTGATTTTGGAAATTACGTAATAACAATTCATTATTGATAAACATCTGTTGTTGCGGTTGCTGTTGTTGTTGTTGATCTGATGATCTCTTTTTACTCTGCTCACGAATGTCAGAGTCAACCTGTGACTCTACATAGAGTTGAGGTATAATCAATGTTGAATTGACACCGAAATTTGCTTTCTTACTGGCATAGTTATAGTTGTAGTCTTTCTTTACTGATTGTAATGTAGGTGTATTCGATGTCGATGAAGTCGGTGTAGTCGATGACTTGTTATAGGTTTTCTTTGGTGGTGGTGTAGTTGTAGTTGTTGTCGTCGTCGTTGTCGTCGTCGTAGTAGCAGAATCTAAACTGTTTGTAGATGATTGTAAAAGTGGTGATGATGGTAGTGATGGTGAAGTAGGTGATGACACCAGTGAACTATTATTATTAGCTGGTAATTTAGATGCACGTGCAGGAATATTGATTGCCTTAACAGGACTTTCTTTTGAGAGAACCACACCTTTTAGTTTCTTTGGTGTCGCTGTCGTTGTTGTTGTTATATCTTCAACATCATTATTCTTTTTCTCTTTCTTTTCTTTTGTCATACTAGACTAGTTAGCTAACCAAATATAATATATAAGAAAAACTATTATTATTATTATTTACAGATAAGATATCTTTTTAAAAATATATATTAAAAAAAAAGATATATTATTATTATAATTAAAAATCATATGAATATATATAAATAAAATAAATAAAATACAAAAAGGAAGATCTTCAATCATCAGTTTTGCGCGTTGTTAGTTTTTTTGAAGATGGATGAAACATACTTACAAAAAAAACGACAGCTTTTTTTTTTTGAAAATGGTAATTAAATAATTTAATTTAACTAATAATAGATAAGTCTTATTTGTGGAATATAATGGAGATATCGGGGCTTTATTTAGTTTATATTTGATGAATTCCGACAATTTTAATTAAATTAAATAAAAATGTTTTTTTTTTTCATTTTATTTTGGGAATGGGGGTGCCATCTAATACCACCAGGTAATCAATCACATCGAAATATACATCACATGTTTTAAATTAAATGTTTATTTATTAAACAAACTAAAAAAAAGGATTTATAAATGATCAATAATTGTCAATTTAAATTATTATTTTATATATTTTCCTTTTTTTTCTTTAAAAGTTTTATTTATTTGTAAATTTTATTACTATTATTTTTATTTTATTTCTAAAAATGGGAATTAAATTACTATTACTATTAACAATTTTATTATATATAAATGTGGTTTCTACAATGAGAATGCCAGAAAAGAAAATAGAGTTTGTCAATGATCTCGATGTTGAAGATGATGAAACTCATTGGCATACTTTAATGAATACTTTTGAAATTGTACCTGGAATACATAAAAGAGGTTCATTGGCATGGGTAAATAAATTTATTTAAATATAATTATTCTTTATAAATTATTAATTATTAATCTATATTTTTCTAATTTTTTAAAAAATAGGGATACTTTAAAGATGATATTGAAAAAGATGGTTGGGGAAAACTAAGAATTGAAACTGCCGAAGCAATTATCCCAGAGCAATTGTCTTTTAAGGCTGCCGGCTATTTGGAAGGATATTTAACATGGAACTATATTGCCAATTTCTCAGCGAACTACTTTAATTTGATGTTTAATACTACCGATAGTACACAATTCCCAAAGGGTGTAATGGATTTCGTTCAGAAGAACTATGAATGGACTGTCTACACATGCAATGCTACCGATCCAGGAGATCCCTATTGGCATCAGGTCGTAATGGTGTTGGAACAATTCGAAGGTCTCTGGCTAGGATATAATGCTGCATGTCACACCAATGGACACAAAGAGATGACCATCATCGAGATGCTGCTTGTCAATCTGATCGGTGATATCAATGACATTATGTCTGCAACGATTCCTGCAGAGTCGGAATTCAGTGTTCAATCGCAAAAGAAATTGGAAAAGTACTTTGCAGAGACTGGCCGATGCTCCGGTTTGATCAAGTTGACACCGGATTTCTCTGACCTCTTTGTTGCCCATACAACCTGGGGATCGTATACCTCGATGCTCCGTATCTTTAAGCGTATTAAAATTGTAGCTCCAACACTAGTCTATGGATATGAATCACTATTCTCCAGTTATCCAGGTGTCATGGTTTCCGACGATGATTTCTATATCATTCGACCTTCGAATCTCGTTGTCATTGAAACTACCAATCCAATTGTCAACCAAACACTCTTCTCCCAAATCCAACCTGGATCATTGCTCTATTGGATTCGTAATCTTGTCTCTAATCGTCTTTCATACACCGGTCAAGATTGGGTAAAGACAATGATGCGTTATAACTCCGGTACCTATAATAATCAAGTATGAGTGACACAACCAATTTATTGTTTTGCATATTGGAATTCAACTATTAACTAATGAAATTTCTTTAACAAATTAAAACAGTGGATGGTAGTTGATTATAAATTATTTACACCATATCAACCATTGCCACCCAATACTCTTTGGATTGTTGAACAAATGCCAGGAAGATTCGAGATGGCAGATGTAACCAATGTACTTCAAAATGGATATTGGTCTTCTTTTAATAGACCGTTCTTTGAATCGATTTTCCAAGACATGGGATACACTTATTATACTCAACTCTATGGTAATGCAATCTCCTATCAGCTGAATCCACGTGCTATGATTTTCAGACGTGATCAATCCAATATCTACTCGGTAGAGGATATGCAAGCAATGATGACATACAACGAATACCGAACCGATCCATTCAGTGATGGATATCCAGGATCTGCTATTGCCTCGCGTTTCGATCTAGGTGCAGGACCAAACATTCTTAATTGGTTCTACCAAGGCAGTCATGGTGCAATCGATAGCAAAGTAACCTCGAGTTCTATGGTGAAATCGTTCACTGCAATGGCAATCAATGGACCAACCGTTACACCTGACTGTCCACCATTCAGTTGGAAGCAATATCCAGATGTTCCACACCAAGGTTTACCAGAGGTTTATAACTTCCCTTGGGTAGAAATGGATTTATAATAATAATATATATAAATCTTTTAATATTGTCTCGAATAAACCATTTTTGTATATATTACTTTCTAAAGTTTTCTTTTTGATTTCTATAATAATATTACTATTGTTTTTAATTGTAATAGATTGATTGATAGAATGATCAAATCGAATAAAACAATTGTTTGTGCTTTGTTTTATGTCCTTTTCCTCGACTATCTCTTAGTTTGAGATACTGTTTCTACAGTTAAAGTTCACTTTAACAGAACTGGTGAAAACTGAAAGGTGAAACTTGTAGAGTTGGTGTTTTAGAACATCTTTTGGTGAGATATTAGTTCAAAACATTATCGATTGCCTATAATTGATATATAATAGTTGTATCTAATAATAAGTCCAAACCTTTATTTATCTTATAATCAAAATTTAAATATTGTATGATTATTGCAATATATCAAGGTTATATATCGTTTTGAAGACTTTTGTTTAATTTGTCCAATTCAAATTTTGTGCACAAAGAATTCTTTTTTTATTATTTAAAAAAAACCAAGTTCATTTTCACTTTGAAATTTGTTTTGATCTATTATGATTTCTTAAAATGACGATAAATTAGTTGCTAGAGGAAAAGTAGGGAAGAATATGTAGTACAGTCACTTGATCAAAGTTTTCTTTGAGCTTTTTATTATAATATATTATTAGGTAGCTTTCACTAGCGTTTTGAATCTTAGTTTTAGAATTGTGAGGAAAGATAGTGGAGGAAAGAGGTAGAAAGAATGTTATTAAAATATAAGATGCATTTTGTTGTGAAATTTGATTTGTTAAAGATTTTTAGCAAGCACACTTATTGTTTGGCTCTTGGGAGGTTGGTGTTGGTAATACATTGTTACTCTTTGTGACACCTCCATCTGGGATCAAATCAACACTAAAAATAAATATTAAATTGATTGAAGTAATTAGTAAATCTGAGTATAAAAAAAAAAAAAAGAATCTAATCTTAGATAAGCTTTTATGCTATTGATGATACTTACTTTCCTTCTTGAACGCTTTGGAAAATCAACTTGGCGGTCCTCAAGAAAGCCTCTTCGACATTCTCACCACTATAAAATAAATAAAAAAAGTAAAAGAATTGGAAGGTTAGAAAATGTAAAAAAAAAAAAAAAAAAAGTGAAATGTTGTTAATGGTTGTGGTGGGTATGATTATGACTTTGGTTGATTGATTGGTTGATTGTTTGTTTCTATGATTATTTGATGTGAGTTGTAATAGGGTGGTCGCATTAAACATACGTTTTAGCACTAGACTCAACGAAAATTAAACCATTTTGTTTAGCAAAAGTACTAGCTTCTTCGTAGGTTACGTCTCTTTGTCCTTCGAGATCCTTCTTGTTTCCGATCAACATGATAATAGTGTTTGGGTTGGTCAAGTTTCTGGCATCGGTCAGCCAGTTGGTCAAATGATTGTATGTAATTCTTCTAGTGATATCGTACACCAACAAGGCACCGGCAGCACCTCTATAATAACTTCTAGTGACTGCTCTGAAACGTTCTTGTCCAGCAGTATCCCAAATCTGTAATTTGATCTTCTTATTATTTACATCTACAATTCTGGTACCAAACTCAACACCGATTGTGTGAGGGTTATCAGGTACAACTATTTAAATATAAATGGTAGCGATTTGAATTAGATTACATCTCTAAAGTCATTCATTGTTTGTTTATTTATTTTTCTACCTACATTTATTCTCTGTGAATTGATGTAAAAGACATGATTTTCCTACACCCATATCACCAATGATGATATATTTAAAGATATATTCGTATGGAAATGACATTCTCCAAAGCTTCTATAGATTGATAATATAATATAAGTAAAATGAATATATATTGGTTGTTTGATATTAAAAAAAATACGATATTGTTTGTACAAAAATAAAAAATTAAAAAAATTAAAAAAACTAAAAAAGATCTGATAATCAAAGGTTGTACTCGAGTAAAGAATTTCAATATTAAATAGAATAGAAGAGATAAGATAAGATTAACTTTATATTTATATTTTCGTCTTAAGATTTGATATTTGTTATTAATTGAATTTGAATTGATTTATTGATCGATTGATTATCTATTTATTATTGAATATAATATAGTGGTTGATATTAAGATAATAACAATAATAATAATAATAGTAATCGATATCGTGTAGTTATTATAATATAATATCTATTGTGGCTATAGTATATGTGTATGTAGAGTGTTGTATGTATTGATGTTCACTTTTTATTTAATATTTACCTAAGCAAGATATATTAATATAGTAATGAAAAATGAAAATTAAATTTAATAAATAAAAAAATAGATGGAATTAAATAAATAAATTGAAAATATAAATTATTTGATTATAGTTGTATATATATTTGATGTAAAAAAAAAAAATTACAATTTTTTTGATTTTCAATAATTTTTTATTATTATTAACAAAACAAAAAAAACCATTAAAAAAATTCATCAAAAATTGAAAACACCTTGCTGTGGTGAAAACTAGGGGGTTATTTATTCAAAAATAATTAAAATTAAATAGATTAGACCACCAGGGTATTATTACACCACTTTCACCATAAAACATTATGAGAATAAATTTGTGATGTTAGATTATTTTATTAAAACGTCGTCTGAATTCTAAAAAAGAATCAAGAAATATTAAAGTTCCAATAGAATTAGTATTCAATTCATCAGTAATTAGTCTATTGCTACTTTCTTTCTTTTGGTGTTTTCTTTATAACAAATAAAAGATGTATTATATTTGAAGTAGTGGTAGTAGTAGTAGTTGACTGGGATAAACAATATTTTATTATTAAATTGATTATCACAAGGTGATACATATCTTTTAAATGATGTAGGTAGGCAGGTTTTAATAAATAAATAATAAATAAATAGGAGGTTTGTGTGATTGATTTTCTTTTCCACAAAAAAATCGATTAATAAGTTGATATTTGTACAATATTATTAGTGTTGAATTGAATCATGAATCGTGAATTGATTCAATCGGATAGTATATCATTATTTATATCGAATATTTGACTGTAGAAACGCATTCCATTATTTACTAGAACAGGTGAACACTTTAGTGTCGGCATTACAACGATGAGAATATTCTCTTCGGTCATCTTTGTTGTCGCTTTGTTCTCCACGGTCAGACGTAGTAGATTCAACAAAGTTTGAAATATCGTATAAATAACTGGATCTAAACTTTCAAATATAAACTTGTATTCCTGTATTTTCTGTTCTTGTGTTTGACTTTGTGCCACTATCGATTTAAAGAATAACATGGTGTTAGTTAAAGAGTAATCTAAATGTTAAGTTTGAATATCTATAAATTAGTTAGTATATTTACTTGAAACAGCAGTTGCATATTCATCTAGATCACTGGGAATAAGAGGTGTAGGTAGTTTTCTAAAGAAACTCTTTACCAATCCGGTGACTGCGTGTATGTCGTGTTGTGTTAGGTCGATATCTGGCAGTGGTGGATCCTGTTCGAATTTGTTCTTCAACAGTTCAATCTCAATAACACTTCCACTGACTCTAAATAGTCCTTCTTCGTGCAATCCATTCAGTTTGATATGTTGGAAACACTTGTAGAGAACATAAGGAATCGGTAGCTGCATACTCTTTGATTGCTCTGCCATCAAGCCGGCAATAGGCAGTCCAAATATCGGTTTGGTCTCAATGCTTTGTTTCAACGGTGAGGTCGATGGCGACATTGAACTATCGGAGCTACCGGCAAGCGATGACAAATTGATAGGTGTTGAATTCGATACTTTCTTTGCGTGACCTTTCTTGCCATTGCTACTACCTGTATAGCTTCTATGTTGTTGACCACCTTGTTGTTTAATTGGTGTATTATTATTGTTATGGTTGATATCGGTTGTTGATTGTATTATCTTATCACTCTTTTGAATAGATGATTGAACGATTGTCATCCAAGCATTGCACTCCTCTTCATTCTCTGCAGATAGATAGTAAGGTTCCTTTCTCTCAACGGTTACACCAACACCTTGATGCTGCTTACAACTCTGTAATCCATCATGAATGATCTTGAAACAATGCTTTCTTGTTGAGGGTGATACTTTCTTCACCCTGAAACTAATATGCAGTGGAATCATACCACATGGAAAAGTATCCTAATAATAAAAAGATTGTTAATAAAATTATTATGTTTATAGAAGCATAACATAAATAGTATAACAATAGACATACATAAGGATGTTGGAAATAAAATAAACAATTCTCTTTCAATACGAAATAACGTTTCTTCCAAATTCTTAGAATATCTTCACCACGTTTGTAGAGAAATCCTTCTTTGACTGATTTGTTTGAGTTGGGTGCCGACGGCAATCCATATATGGAGAGTGCACGATTCATGTTCTTCTCTTTCGGTGTGTTTGATTGTTTATTATGATTGAGATAGACTGCTTTCCAGTTTTGAGTGGTGTCGTAGATAGATGCCGGTGTCTGTAGATGCGTAGTGAATACCTGCCACAACTGATTGCAGCTTGCCAATCGATACCAACGACCTGATACCTGTCCACAAACCAACAGACTCTTTGGGTCTAGATACGACATGATGTACATTGACAGATGGTCCGGTAACAATGCAAACATTCCTTCATCTCTAATATTATTATTTTGATCATCATATTCATCTTCATCAATACTATTATTATTATTATTATTATTATTGACGCTTAGATTTAATTTAGATTTACCACTACTGCTAATACTAATACTATTTTTAAGAATGGTTGAAGATGATAATGGATTGCTATTACTATTACTATTACTGTTGTTATTATTATTACTATTGAAATTGTTATCAGAGAAATATTGTATTTCATCATAACATTCTTGTAGATATGACATTTGATTGTAGATTAATGTGAGGATATGGTTGGTTTGATCGTAGTCCAATGGTGGATTCTGTCTAACTAGAAGCTGACGAATCTTTACTGCGCCAAACGATTGCTTTCCACTTGAGCGATCGGAACCAGCTTCACAATTGATCGATAGACTCTTTAGGAATTGCTCTGCAATCGACTGTTTCAGATTGGAGGTCACCGTACTGGATGCACTTCCACTGCTATTGCCAAGTAGGTTCTCAGATGAAAGTGACTGCTGTGATCTCGGTGACAAAGGTGGTGATATTCCATTAACAAGATCTGCACTACTTCCATTACCATGATAACCACTTTGATTAAGGAATCCAATTGGATTTGGTGGTCTTCTTTGTAAGTTGTTTTGTGCATGATTACGTTGTTTCCAATTGTTCAAACCGGCTACCCATTGAACTACAGTCTGTTCGTCAGTCGCTCTCCAAATCCACTGTTGTTTCTTAATAACACCACCACCACTGCCATTGTTATTGTTATGCAGTACAAACTCTAATCTAGTGGTAGTAGATTGTTCTATAGTACAATTCTCAATCTGGATACTCTTGATTTGATATCCAACATTGATAGTCTCACCGTTTCCATTTCCAACACCACTGCCACCTGGGATAGCACCGGAGTGATGATAGTACAGCAATCCAGTGTCATATTGAAACCAACACCATTTCTTTTTGTATGTTTTTGGACCACCATTAGATTTACATTGTTTCTGTAGAAATGCTGATAACTGTATTCGTCGTTGTTGTTGTTGTTGTTGTTTCAAGATATTATTATTTAAAGAGTTATTGTTATTGTTAGTATAAAAGTTATTTTTGATGATCATTTTCATCATCGTCATCATTATTGTTATTTGATTGATTATTAAAAAAACTATTAGTATATATAATATTTATTTATTTAATTATAAAACTAACTAATCAATTTTATGATTATTATTAATGATTAATGATTATGAATATGCTTGATTACCTACAGTTTCGCCAGCACTTAATGTATTTTTCGATACTTTAACCCAGCCACCACCAGCTCTTGTTGGTTGAGGTGACTGATTCATATTTGATATACTTTAATATGGTGGTGAAGTGATTCGATTTATGTTTATTTAAAATTAGCTGCAGTTATATATTAAATTTCTAAACATAAATAAACAACAACAACAACAACAATAATTTTTAAAAAAAAAAGTAAAAATATCAGATAGTATAAGATATAAGATCAATCTAATGATTTAATTTGATTTTGATTTTCTTTCAAAATGATGATTATGATGATGTTGTTTAATCTTTTTCTTTTTCTTTAAAAAAAACAAAAAAAAAACAGATAATAAATAAATAAATAAAATTAAAATAAAATCTGAATAATAATTATTATATTACATTTGCTTAATTTTTTTTTTTTTGATTTTTTTTTTAAAAAAACAGATTTTTTTGTTTACAATAAAAAATTGCTCCGATAATTGATGTTATTTAATACCCATTTTGAAACCAGGCAATCCAATAGCTTTTTTAATAGGAGCTAAATAGTTGGCGGGCATAATTAGAATCTGGTCATTTTAATTGATTAAATCAATTAATTTTTAATTTTTTTATTTGATTTGATAAAATAACTTCAAACAAACAATTTAATCAATATAATAAACCTGGTTAAAAAAACAAAGATTGTAGAAGTGAATTATATTGACTTTAATAGTATCAAACGAGAAACACTTCTGCACTGTAATTTGATAGATAGTAGGCACTAAAAATAACCTTATACAAACAGGAACTCGGTTAGAAACATTGAACAAACCAAACTTCTTCTAAAAGACCATTTTTTTTTAACTATGTCTGATTGTGGATTTAGGTCTTTTTTCAATTATTTAAAACAATTGATTTGAAATATATAATAAAACAAACAAAAAATATATATATAAGGAATGAAATATATATTGATTATTTATTTTCATTTTATATTAATCGTCATACTCTTCGTAATCATCTTCATCATCATCATCATCTTCAGCCATTGGGTCATCAATAGATAAATTCTTCATTTTCTTTTCATTTTCATCCTCTACAATGATTGTTTTTTTTAAAAATGTACCAAAATTAGTAAAACAAAATGATATTTAATAAGCTAACACTTACTTTTATAATCATAAACAACATTTGAACCCTTTGATTCTTCTAAATCTCTCTTTAACTTGTCCCATTCTTGTGTTGCCTTTAATTGTTCTTCTTTCGATCTTTCTTCTTTTGATTTATCCAAATCTGCTTTATAAAATTTATAGTAATCGTCTGCTGCCGTATTGATTTTCTCGAAAAACTCATCTATTCCTGTTCCATCCACTGCCGAAACACCTACACTCTATAGAGAATAACAACAACAACAACAATTAGTTGTTAGTTAGTTAATAAAGTTTAAAAATAGTTTGTTTGTTTGATAAAAACAACAACAACATACTTGTAGCGTTGAATAGAATTCCTCTAATACTAAACTCATTGAACGTGTCAAGTTTGACATGTACGATGGGTCGGATGTCAGTGCGTCTTGGAACGACTCAAAGTCGTTCATCCACTCCTGCGCAAAGAGATGGTTGGCAACGTCGATCTTGTTGAATGCAACGACCATCGGCAGTTTAGATTTGTACATGATCGAGCATGCATACAACATGTTCGACATGAAGGTGGTGGGATCTATGGTTCGCGGAGTATCGATGATGTAGACAAGCACGGTTGGGAAGCTGCTCGCCATCAACTCGGTGATGATACCACCGGATGCCGACCAAGTGAAGACCTCGATCTGTCCCGGCGTATCCATAATGATGTAATCGAGTTGCGGTGCACGTTTCTCAACGATCTCCAAGACCTTGTCGAATTTCGTTGAGAACAGATTGAGACTGGTGACGATACCACCGTTCGGACCGAGACCGTACTGTTTCATTACCTCTTTGTAGTTGACGGTGTCACGTATATCAATGTTTGGTGTATAAGGTAGTTTAGCAACGGCAGGATCCAAATTTATAATGTAGGTAGGTATCTTGTGTTCGTGAACGTGTGCACGTAGTCTCTGAAGTAATGTTGTCTTTCCACTACCTGCCATACCCAACAAAATCATATTGATTGGTTGTTTTTGACGAGATGATACATTGTTATTATTATTATTATTACTATCACTCTTACTATTATTATTATTATTATCAGACATCTCTATCTATATCTGTATCTTAATATATTCAAACTATTAAAAAAAAATATATGAAATTTAATTAATTAAAAATGTGAAAATCGATTTTTTCGTTTTTTTATTTTTATTGTATTTTTTTTTCTTTTGCAAGAGATACAGATTACTGCAAAAGAATAGTATTTGTTATTGTTTAATCATGTGGTGCTCAATATTTGAATTTAGTATTATTTTTAAGTTTTTTTTCACAAATAAAGATTTATTTATCTATTGTTTGAAATAAATTAATATACAATACCATTGATTCAAAAAATAAATAAATAAATAAGATAAAATAAAACATAATCAATGGAAGGGAAAGAATAACAAGTAGCTTTATATTGCTACAAAGATTTATCATTCTATCTTACTATGGTAACATATCTGGTTGATTGATTATTTGTTATAAAAATAATTAAAAATTAATTAAAAAAAACGAATGAACAAAATTGAGAAAAAAAAAGTAATCGTTTTTTTTTTTTTTTTAATATTAATAGATAGATAGATAATTATTGATAAATAGAAATATGGAGAATGAAAATAACAATAAGAATAATGAAGATTATGTTGAAGATAAACCAAAATTTATAGATGATAGTTGGTTAGATACATTAAAGCTTACATCGAGTGATCATCTTGCTCAGTTGGATCGTGCAGTATGTCCAAATTGCAAAAAGAAGAGAAAATACTTTTGTTATGATTGTTATATTCCATTCGGTGATCCTGAATTAGCACCGAAATTAAAGTTACCAATTAAATGTGATATGTAAGTGTTTGTTATTCTCTAATCTATCTATCAATCTATCTTATCCTTATCATTTTTCATTGTAACACTAATGAAACATGTACATCTAGTTTACATTATCCAACAGAATTATTATCGAAATCAACAGCGATTCATTCGAAAGTGGTTGCAAACAGTGATGTTTCTATTTATGAATTTCCAGAGGTACCAGACTACGACGTTGAGGAAACAGTTTTGCTGTTCCCATCGGACACCTCCGATTTCGTGAGAGAGTCTGATTTGTCCGGCGTGAAACGTGTCGTTTTCATCGATAGTCAGTGGCACACTGCCAATAGAATTCTTAGGGATGCACGTGTCAAGAAGTTGCGTTGCATCAAGATCGATCAACACAAGACACTGTTTTGGCGTTATCAAAAGCATGGTGATAGTTTTTTGGCTACCATCGAAGCGATCTACTACTTCTACAAGGAATTCCACCAGCGTCTACACAACAACACCTACGAGGGTCAATATGACGACCTCCTCTATTATTACACCTTTTTCTACAGACTCATTCAAAACACCTACAAAGAGGGTGATCGTCATTTTTGGAGAAAAGAAAACTATATTAAACCAGAGAAAACTTTGGAAACGACAACAACTTCTGACAATCATAAAAATGAATCAGTAGCAACAACTATTACTACTACTACTACTACAACAGAAGAGCAAACAACAAAATCACTTGAAGAATTAAAGATTTAATAAAATTTGGAGTAAATTATTATAAGATATATTAATGCTCTGCTTGTTGAAACTATTTTATTTCTCTATTTAAAACAAAATGTTGTTTAAAAGTAGTGGTATATTGGTTCTCATTTTGTGGATTGCTTCATTCTTGGTCCCAATAGCATCGGCCAATAAAGTAAAGAGTACTTTGGTAATAGCACTAAAGACTCGTTTTTGCTCTGAAATATCTTTCTCTATCTTGTCTATATAATAGTTAATTTGTTTGCAAACTGATTCCTTAGATGTAATTTCTCTTGTTTTATAAACACTAAAATAAGTATAAATTGACTCGAGTGTTCTTGTTGTTGTGACAAGACACATTCGATAATCTTGGACGACACACATGTCCTCACCAGATACCTCTCTTATTAATTCTGATAATGCATTATCTATGCTAGACATTTTTGGAAAGAAATAGATAATCGAATGACAAAGTAAAACAGGAATGAAATAATGAAATGTCTATAGACTGCTATTTATTTTGAAAGACTGCTGTTACATTATTTTAATAAAACATTCTTTCACAATATAATAATATATTTATTATTAATATTCTACTCTATAAAATATATCTTAATGTTAATAATCCAACATTGTTGATTTATCACTTCCTTTTTTTTTTTTTAAGCATCCAAAAACAGAAATTTTTTCGAACTTAATTTTTTCCAAACATAGAGATTATGTGAATAAAAAATAAAAAAAATATTAAAATATTATAATGAATAAACAAATATTTCAAAGTATATTTAATCAATCTCCTATAAGAAAATTAGTTTTTGAAAATGTTAGATCAATACATCTTGAATTGAATAGTGGCAAATTTGGTGTTACTGTTTGTAGTTGGAAGACATTGGTTGATCGTCCCGATATGTTGGCTATCTATGGTTATTTGGATCTGTTAAAGTCTTATTTCCAACGATATAAACAACATGTCACCAATAGCTATTTAGAGAGTTCCTATGGTTTTAAGATGATGCTATTTGCAATACAACACAACAGAGTTGAGATAATAAAATATTTAGTAGAGGAATTAAAATTGGACTTGGTACCAGTTGATAGTGTCGCCAGCAAATCACATAATGATTGGATGCTAATAGCCGCTCGTACTGGAAAGCTTGACGTTATTAGATACCTTGGAGCTCTGTCGGATAAATGGAAATACGAGCAGGCATTCGAACAGTCTCCACGATCACTTAACATTGATGTTATAAAGTACTTGAACGATAAGCTGGATACTCTCGGTGTAAACAATCAATTGAACTTTAGGAGTAACTCAAATGTTTTTGATATCGCTGCAATCTATGGCCGAATCGATATTATTGAATATTTAACAGTTAATTGCGCAAAGAGGATTCCGTGGAGTCGTATGCACTACAATGCTATCATTCATGGTCACTTTGATTTGCTCAAGTACCTGATGAATCGAGTGGATCGATATCCATTACCGGAAGACGGTGAGGATTATTTCGATTATAACAATGGTGTAGGTTATCATGCATTGTTGGATTGTGCAGTTCGACACGATCAAATGGAGATGGCGCACTATCTCTATGACAACGGAGTTACCTCTTGCACAGAGGATTGCATTGAACATGCAGTTGAGAATGGAGATATCGAGGCTGTTAAATGGCTTTTGAGCGTCAGTGGACATGAGTGCTCTAGCTATTGTTTGGAATTGGCAGTGGAGTATGGAAATATTGAAATGATTAGATGGCTCAGGAAAAACACAACACATTCATTCCGACCTGATGATATGGATGTTGCTGCATATGTTGGTAATCTCGAGGTAATCGAATATCTTTACAGTCAGTCTATTGGTTGCTCAGGAAGAGCATTCAGCAATGCTATCCTCAGTGGAAGTTTGAAGGTTCTTCAATGGTTCATTGAAAACTATAGACATGTCTATAATTCCAATTTGTTATTAAAGAGTGATGCAGTGAAGGCCGGAAAATTACATATTGTTAGATGGCTCCATGAAAACGATTTGGGAGGTGAAATTAGTTTATACTCTTTAGATATGGCTTGTCAAAAAGGACACATCGACGTTGTACAATGGGCTCATCAAAATACTACTTTGCAATTCAACTCTACAGCGATGGTTTCTGCTGCTTCATCTGGTCACATGAAGCTCTTACAATGGTTACACGAGAATAGAACTGAATCATGGTCCCCATCTGTTATGGATAACTCTATAATGTTTCCGGAAATAGTTGAATGGTTACACGAGAATAGAACTGAAGGTTGTACTGTTAAAGCTTTAGAGACTTCAAAGAGTTATGGTGATTTAAGAATGATCGATTGGTTAATTATAAATAGAAAAGAATGTTTACAATCATAATAAAATTACAATTATTTTTGTTTTTTTACTATCAAATAGATAAAAGTAGTTTAAACTACTATTGAATATAATGATTTTTATATTAATATTTATTTATTTATTAAAATATTATCGGAGGTAGATTGTGTAAATAAAAAAAACCAATGATTACACATACCCAAAGTATAGAATTTCATCTATTTTCCACCGTCTGATCTCAGCCAATATATTTAATTTGGTAGAGTCACCTTCATTTAATATGCCATCGAATTCATCAATGATAAGGACAACAAGTTTGTTATTGAATATCCAAGCGTTCCCTGCACCAAATATATCCATATGAATTATCGAATGATATACTGAATGTAGATAGTGTTTTAAAAAATATTTGAGACCGATACTGTCACCAAACTTGAGAGGTTGAAGATATTTGACTAGTAGATTTGAATCATTGACTACATTTAGTATTCTCTGTCTGGTATGATTCTCTCTTCATTCAAGTATTTGGGAATGTTGATTGCCTAATTCTCATTTGGAAATCCGGAATCTTTCAAAGCTTTGTTATATATATCGAGTTCAAAGTCAGTATTTAATCAATTCTCTCAAAATATATGTTTATTAAAGCATACCATTCTGATTGAGAATAATATCCATTTTTAAAACTAAAGAATTAAAGAGAAACTATTTTGCCCAAATCTAAAAATAAAAATAAACTAATATATGTTTAAAACGGATACATTTATTTTAATTTAAGAATATGTTCAAGAACAAATAAATCGATATTAGATAAAATTTTATTTACTTGTGGTTGATTATTGATTCATTCAATCAAACCAGATTTGATAAATATCAATAATAAGATATAGGTTAAAATTTGTAAATATATATTGCCCGATGAAGGTAATAAGATATTCGACGAATTGATTTCTGTGTGGAAACATTGATATACATTTACATAGATTCCAGTAGAGGTGAGTGTGAATACAGTGCAATTGGCGATACTCTCTGCTCTGGATGCATCGAGTAAACTAAAATTGACGATTAATTGCTTTTGGTAGATTGCATTGTTATTGTCACATGTTATTATGGGGACTGGATCGCTTTTGTTTACCAGAGTATCAAAGACATTGTTACTCACCACAATATTGATAATACCATTCAATATCAATGATTTTGCTTTGATCTTGGGTGAATCGATTTGCAAGAGGTCATCGAGTTGAATGGTTGAATTGGAATTACTGTCCAAGGTAAGAGAAACAAGTTGAATTGGATCATCAATTGTAATCGATGTGTTGATAAGGGCTAAATCCAATAGGAACTGAGAACTCTTAATATTGATAATACTACTATCGACTACCAAACTTGAACTAGAGTTTGATAATACATTTGATTTGATATTTATAATGGAGTGTTTACATTGAATATAAGAATTTAAATTGATAGAAATTGGTGATTCAAATACTAGCTGAGAAGTATCTATTGAAATACTGCTTGATTGTATCTCTAATCCTTGATTAAATGTAATATTGCTATTTTGAGTAATATTTAAAGTTGAACCCTGATAATATTTAAAAAATTGGTTAATAATTTTGGACTTAATGTAAATAACATATTTTTAATTACTTACTGATAATAATCCATTGGTTGTGGCGCCAAATATAATATTTGAATTTGTTGAATTTAATAGTAATCCATTTACAGCAAAAGACTTTGTGTCCATATTGAATACTGAATTAACAATTGAAGATGTACATAAATCCATTCTTGCTATCTCATCTTGGAACAATGCAGTACTATCTACTAATTTAAAATTTGATTTATGTAGATATGTACTATTTTTTGAGAATTGTACTTTACTAGAAGATAAATCAAATACTCCACGCTTTCATATTTAGATTGTAGATAAAAAATTAATATTGTGTGTTTTTTTAAGAGATAAAAAACAACTTACTTCTAAACTAACATTTGATCCATCAAAAATGTATGATGATGAAGATGTACCTTTAAAAGTGAAATCAACCTTATTAATGTAAATTGGTACACTGAGGGTGGATCCTTCTAAGTTGGCAGACAAAGAACCTCCAATTATACTGCAGTTACCAATAGATAGTTGTGAAGTTGTTAAAGTTAATTGACCAAATAGACCATTTTGAGATTCTAAACTATCAATAGAGATTTGAGATCCAAACATTTGGAATTTCCATTGTGTCTCATTTGCAAATAGTTTCTATTGATTCAATAATAATAATAAATTAGAAAAAATTTAAAATGATATCAAAATAAACCAAAAAACTTACTTTTATAGAAACATTTTTACCTTGAAGGAAATAAAATAGACCACCATTGGCAATCAATGATTCAATGAAGGAATTTGTCATTAATGTGAAGTAAAACTGACCACTATTTTCAAGTTTTATTATGTTTTGTGATTGTAATGCTAAAATGTTTTATAAAAAATCAATTAAAATGAATAATAAATTAAAAATGAATAATAAATGAAAATTATTCTTACATATATAAGTTGCTTTGATAGATCCTTCATTATAAAGTTTATCGAAATTGCAATCATCAAAAATAATATCTTTTGATGACCCAGTGATTGAAATCTGTCCTTTTACAACGGATTTTTTACAACTAAATACGGTGTTGGGTTGTTTTACAGACAATGTGTTGGCTATGGTAAGATTGGCGCCAACAAGATAAAGACTGTTGGTAGGTGTAGTTGCATTATTCCAAACAGTGATAGAATCAATGGAGTTGGTATCATTGATCGAGCAAATACTACCTGGTGAACTAATGATCACTGAATCATTGCTAAGTGGTGCTACATTTTCTACCCAACTCGCAGGATCGCTAAACGTTCCTTGAAAGTTTGGTTTGAAATTTAAAGTATTTCCATTGACTTGAGCATTCAAGACAAAAAGTAAAATGAATAAAATACACAGAATTGTTATAGATTTCATTTTTAAAATATCATAATATAACTTTTAAAGTTAGATATATATATATTTAAAGTAATAATACAAATAGAATAAAATACAAATATTAAATAAATAAATAAATAAATAAATTAAATTATAATAACATTGTTTTATTTCTCTTGAATTTTTTTGTTTGATGATCTTTTATTAATAATGTTACGGGGAATGATTTTCAAACTGTTTGGAAACAAAACAATTTGCCAAAGATTATTTGAATCCCACTCCTTTAAAAAAAATGTAAAAATTAAAAATTAGTGGGGCTCATGTGATCATAGTGGTTTTTTTTAATTTTATTCGATTTATGGTTACAAGAGCCAGTTTTGTTTTGAGTGGGAGCTGGTGTTTAATGATTGGACAAACAATGTTGTTTTTTTTGATCACCCATTAAGAATTGTTTATTGTTGATGGAGATTCAGACAAAAGAACTTTGCAATGATCACTTTAATAAGTTGTGTGTTCACGTTATCTTCTGTATGTGATGGAATTATTAAGAAAAATTTGGATTGTTTTAATTTAAAAGAATGTTTTTATTTTATTATTGGTTTTGTTATTGGTAAATAAAGCAAAGTAAAGCAATGATTAGAGTTAAAGTGAATGGGATTGTGGTTTGACTTGCTGATGAAATGATTGTGGGTGGATTTGTTATAGTTGGAACAAAGCAATTTCGGATGTTAATAAAGAGACCTGATTCGTTATGGAAGTGGTTAACGCAACTCTCAATAACAGAGTTGGTCATTGCATCAAAACTGAAGACCCTTATGGATGTTTCATTTGAAAGTGTTGATAAACCATTGAACTTGATCAAAGGAATGGTGGTGTTCTTTGTCATAATGTCGGAGGCTCTGCTTACATTTGCATTATAAGTGACCAATACTGTGATATTACTCAGTATACTTGAGCCGTCTTTGACCAAAGTAATACTAGAGTAGTTACTTTCATTCATGTCGTTCGAAATGACGAATTGTAGCTGTGTACTATTATCAAGTGATAATGAATCGATTTGTACATTTCCACCTATGGAAAGTGTTGAAAAGCCTTCTAGTGTAAGTGGAGATTGAATAAAGGTAGTTTGAGATGCTAATGATACCGTGGAATTGGATCCATAGAATGGTGTATTTTGGAAAGTGAAACTACCACCTGAGATAGATAAAACAGTGGAATCTAAATTAAAAGATGTTGTTTTCTAATAGATTATTAATAAAATAAAATAATAAGGGGCTGTAATTGATTATACATACAATAGATGAACCATCTTTAATATGAAGATTTAAATTTGAATTTGTTAGATTCATTTTACTGTCTGTGTTTTGAATGGTAAAAACAGTTGAATCAATATCAAAGGTTACAAAATTCAGTACAGAACCAAAGTATGGAGCATTCAATTTAAGAGATCCACCCTTTGACACCAGACTGCTATTATGGAAGTCTATCCACGGTTTAGTTAAGTAAACATTTGAATTGATAAATTCCCAATTACTATTAACAAAGTCTGAATTACCTCTTTCCTAAAATATTTGATTTTTTAAATAAAAAGATAAATTTTAGTTTGGTTTGCTTAATTTTAAAGAATAAAAATGATATTTACAGTATTAACAAAACAATTATCAAATATATAATTTGAAGATCTTGAGACTATATGTATATCTTCGGAATCGAAATAGTCTTTGAAACGAAGTTGGGATTGTGTCGAATTTATAAGAGTTGATCTTCTGTTTGTAAAAATCTCAAAGGAAACGTTTGATTGTTGAAGGTTGTAATTGGAAGCAAGGGAATCGGTTTCACCAAAAACAATATCAGAATCGATGAAATTTATTAAAGCATCAGAGATGGTCGATTCCTTAAAGGGAAAAAAGTTAATAAACTTTAAGAGTTGAAATTGAATATTCTACTTACACCAATTAAAATATTTGTATAAATAAAATCAAGAGAGGATTGGTTTTCAATATCTAAATTTTTAATGGCACCTGTCATTTGGGAACAATTAAGATATGAATTACCATCTGACATTGTAACAGTATCAATCGTGCCTAGAATAATGAAAGTTTTATTAATATGGATACAATAATGTGTTTGTTTTTAACTCTTGAAACTCTTACTATTTGAGGTAACTGAAAATTGAGTATTTATTTCCAACTCTAACAATTCAAGATAACTATTAATAAGTATACTATTTGTAATTGCACCCTCGACCATTTTGAGCTTTCCTGTGATTGAAGATGAATCTACCAATACTCTTGTTCCATTGGTTTTTAGTTTGATGGTGGAAGTTTGGACGGTTGAGTTTAAGATTTTAATTAGGTTTTCCAGCTTTAAATTATTTGTGTTTTCCAAAGTGATTGTGCTGGTCGTTATATTTTGATTGACTATTAAACAAGTGGAGTTTATTTGCACTATCTCTGGACTATCATCTAAAGTAGGTACTTTGTTTTGTACCCAACTGTTGGGATCTTCATAGGAACCAATGAAATTTGGTTTAAACTCAATTATATCGCATGTTACTATTAAAGCTATAGATAATAATAAATATAATGAGATAAACATTTTTTTTGTAAGCATCTTTAAAGATTATTTTGAAAGTAATGATTTTTAATTTCAATGATCTTTTATTTTTTCCTCAATTTTGTTGGTTTGGGTAGTTATTTTTTTTTGTCAAGATCGATCCCTCTTGATTTCGGGTGTAAAAATGGATCTTTTTTTTTAAAAAAACAAAATATCTTTTGATGGGTGTTGTGGCGAACATAAAACCCACAATGGGAATCTTTTTGTTTTTGCGATCCAACTTGATGCATAAAATGATGGGGTGAAACGTTATGTTGTTTTTGGTATAACAAAAGACATGTAAGCCAAGCTTTGTGATATTAATTAATAATAACAATGTGATTTACAAATATTTGATTGTTTTTTTTGTTTTTTAAAGTTTATACAAATATATATATATGATTTTTATTTTATTCAATTGGAATAAAGTGTTTGACCAAAATCTCTATCATCTTCATCGTCTTCAAATGCAGATGGATATGTGAATTGATTTCGACCACCACCAACTTGATACCATGAATGCTCCGAACCTAATCCTTCATCCATATCGTCGTCGTCGTCTTCCTCTTCAAATGTCTCCTCTGCCAGTGCCTTTTCATACTCAGCCTTTGCAAATCGATTCCAATCGCTCATAGATGGATCGGATGTGCATATTGATTCTTTAGTTTCTTGAATGAAAAACTTTGTAGTATTAAACAAAATATTATAGAGATAACCTGATAGCTTTGAATTCTTTAGATCTATTAAAGTTATTCTCTCTGAATCTTTTGGTTTAATCATATCGATACTATAGATAAATAAATAAAAAAAAGTATATTATTAGTAACCGTAGATCATTATCATTGATAATGCTTTAAAAGACATACATTTGACATAAAAGATCAGTGAAAACAGGTGGATCCAAATTTAGATTATCCAATCTATCCTTTTGATCATTGTAAAAGTATTCCATTTCATGGTAACTCAAGATGCCATCGCAATCGAAATCTAGACAATTGAACCAATATTCAATACTTGTGCTATTGTTTTTATCTTCTTCTGATAAAATAAACCCTATTTAAAATAATAAAATGAGTGAGTTGAATATATTTGGATATTCGATTGTGATAAACATAAACTTACAAACAAAATTTTTATATGATAATAAATTGGTTTTGGAATCTGTGAAAATTGGGCATTCAATGATTCTGGCAATCATTTTCTCTGTTAAACTGAAATTAGAGTATTTGGCTAGATCTTGTGCTGAAATATATAAATCGTGATCGGTATCCAATTCCCAAAATTTACAATATATAACATAAAAATGTTCGTACGAAAAATATTCGAGATGCTAAGAAAAAAGATAATGTTAGCATGCTAATTGATCAACTGGTGTGGCGATTATAATTTTAAATAATTACCTTATTAATATCCGCCTCAGCATCTAATAAACTTAATGATTTAATAAAATTATTACTGATTAAATCACTGAGTGTAATTCTTCCTTTCTTTTTACTGATGGTGTAAAAGATACGAACTATAATGGTTTCCAAATAACGTTCTTGGAACTCTGGAGTATTCTTTAGAAACTCTAGACCAGGATGGAAATCCAGAAGAGCTAAAAAAAAAAGAACCAATTAATTAATTGTTAAAGTAATTAAACAAAAGTATATGACTACTTACTTCTTGCAAAAAATATAAAATCTTCATAAGTCAAATAGGTTGAACTTGGTGATTTTCGAAGTAAATTAAATAAAATTTCTTCTGGTTTTCTATTATAAATATCCTTCCAGTATCTATTTATATTTACATTAGTATTAATTTAATATTTATATATTTTTTAACTTACTTTATAAATACATCCTGAGTTATAAATTTCTCATCATTTAATGTTACAATATAATTAAATAAAAGTCTTATTATTACTCTTGGCATTGTATATAATTCTTTGATTAGAGAATCAAACTCTTCAAATGATTGTAAATATTTGGCGGGTGGTAAAGTTGGTGTTGTTTTAGTTGGAGATGTGGACAGTGATTGTTGTTGTTGTAGTTGTTGTTCGGTTGGTTTGATACTTTCAAAGCGTGTCTTTATTTTCTGTATATCGACGTCCATTTTACTACTAGAGACAGTAGGTGATTGCGGCTTATAAAAAGGAGGTATAACAAGTGAGCGTTTTGAAACTTTGCGTTCGTGTAGCTGTTCCACAGGAGTCAGCTCGTCCTGTTGCTGTGAAGTGAGATTACGTTTGAATTTGCTAGGTGAGCCTGGGCTGGAGGATGGTCCAGCTGGCTCCGATCCAGAGAGGTGAGCAACGAGCGCATCGTTGTCGTCTAGAATTATGGGGACACATTCATCCTCCTTGGACTGATTGAATTTGGAACGGTTGCTGTCTTCGTAGATCATGTTGTCATCTGCAAATACCATATTTGTTTTCTCGTCAATGATGCTTTGTTGTTGTTGATGTTGCTGTTGTTTCTTTGATTGTATTACTGTGGTGTTTGGTATCGAAGCAACACCGATATTTGAGGTTACAGTCATCATTGTTGTTGAATTGGTGCTGTTGTTGTTATTGTTGTTATTACTAGTATTCTTTTGTTGTTGTTGTTGTTGTTGTTGTGGTTGTGATGAAGCATTTAGCCCATTGATGAGCTCGCCAATATAGTTGACAGTATCCTGTTTCGCAAGCCAAGTCAAGAAGAGCTCATTCAACTTGAGTTTGGCACTGATAATATTTGTATCCGTAGTTGGTTGTCTCTCTTGAAATGCATTAAACATGTTTGTTGTTGGTTGATAATGATGTTATTTATATATATATATATATATATATTCAAAACTGTAATTTGAAATTAATCTTTAATTAGTATAATTGTTTTATTATTGTTGTTTTTGTTCAATTGGTTGAGTAAAGAAAAAAATAAAAAGAAAGAAAGAAAAGAAGGAGAAGCACACAAGATAATAATGCGTAATGATAATAGTAATCGTACAGTTTATAAAAAAGGAAGTGACAATGACTATTGGTCATTGAGCTTCTAACAAACGATAATTGCTAGCCACACAACACAACAAATTGATAGGAGCTCCAATGACTACTATCGCACCACTTTTACCTACTATTAATAAACTATAAATCTATAGTTGAGTTGAGTATTGTTTTTAATTAATATTTGTGTTGCGTGGTGTGGCAATGTTGAAATAGTAAAAGAAATTGCAGGAATGCTTAATTTATAATTATTTATTATTATGATGATTACAATAGTAAAAAAAAAAGATAAATTTATAATATATCGATATTAATATAGAGATAGGATGGCTAGATGAAAAAAAAAATAAAAAATAAAAACAAATTTTAAAATTATTTGAAAAATGGTGGTGGTAGTAACAGTGGTGATATTATAAATTAGTAATAATCATAGGAGCACACGAAATCGGTACAATAGTATGTGTTGTGTGTAAATAAATATTTATACTAGTTTATTATTGTTATTGTCATTTTTGATGTTGTAATGTCGTGGGCAATATTATTTTTGATATTTTTCGAATGTTTTAACAACTAGATTGAGTATACAATATACATTATCTTATCAAGTTGAATTTGAATATCAATGATAATGATGATGATGATAAGATGTTCTAATTCTGATATTAAAAAATAAATAAAAAAAATTGTGCTATTACAAAAATTTAAAGTTGCTCACTGACTTTATATAATTTAAATGTAACTACAACACTATTCAATTTTGAGTTGCATTAATATATACTTTTAACCAACAATTTCAAAGCTTAACGAAAGACTGGACTTGTTATCTAAAATGTTATTTTTATTATTATTATTGTTATTACTAGTACTAATTATATTACTTTTTTGATTTATTTCTGATTATTGTAATATTAAACAAAAGTAACCGAATAAAAATAAATAAAATGAAAAAGGATGCTGTTTTTGATGATACAGAATGTATTATTAAATGAAAAAAGCTTTAACTAACACACTTAAAACTATTTTATATATAACTAAACAAATATATAAATAATTTTTAATAGTGTTGTAATAATAGAGAGGGGGAAATGAAATAAAATCGCAAACCAAAATGCTAAATACCACTTTCCACATTGAGAAAATAATATTTTAGTTCTTTTTTTTTTTTTTTTTGTTTTTAATAAATTAAAAATTAATTTGTTTTGTTTGTTTGCAAAAAACAACATAAACAAATGAATCCTTGTGAAAAAACAATTTTTTGAAAATCCTTTTTTAGAATTTGGGAGTGGGTTATTGGGTGAATGTCACATATATAATGCTATCTTTATTGGGTGAGATTACACACAAGGCATAAAAAAAAAAACCAATGAAAAAAGTAGCAAAAAAAAAAAGTGATAAAACTTTTCGAAATAGAAGGTTGAGTTGAATAAATTTGAATCATAGAATAGAAAGGGTGACCACAAAATCTGTTTTTCTTGTTTTCTTTTGAAAACAAAAAAATAGATTAATTGCTTTTTAGATTATTATAATAATAAATCATTTTACTTACAATCTGAAAAACAAAAACAAAAAAAAAAAAGTTGACTGATTGAATGGTAACCTTTTTTATTATGACTATTTTGATAATTTCCTTTAAAAGCTTAATCTTAATAATATAAAATTGTTCTAATAATGAAATGATGATATTGGATTTTAAGTTTTAACTATTATTATTATTTTAAAGATAAAAATCAAATCGAAAAAGGAAGTTATCAGTTTCTGTTGTTTTAAAATAATAAATTGAAATAATTGAAATAATAACTTTTTATAAAATAAACAATTTATAGATGTAAAAAAAGTTGTATAATATAGGGAAAAATGATAAAATTAAAAATGGTATTTCCGATATAATTAATGATTGTTATTACAGTAGTAGTAAAAAAAATTATAATAAATAAAATAAAATTGATATTTGAATATTCAATTTCCAATTAGAGTGGATATATGTGCAATAAAGATGGATTTTTTGTTTGTTTGCTTTGCTTGGTTCAGGTTTAATAGTTGTAAGTTCTCTCTTTCCCCTTTTTATTATTACCTTGTGTATACATCTTCATCATGGCATACTATTTGTTTTTTTTTTTTGTTGTTAGCACATCAAACTGATGCTACTACAATTAATAGTTTTGTTTAAAAGTGAGAACATAGGTGAGTGTGTGTGAGAGTGTGGGTGTGAGTGTGGGTGTCTGTATATGTATATTTATATATATCTGTGTTTTATTGTCGTTATTGTTGTTGTGTGTTATTTATATTGGTTCATTTGAGATAATAATATATGATCAGGTTAGGTGAGGTGGTGGTGGTGTTGTGGGTTTACTCTTGTTATTGTTGTTATTGTTGTTGGTTGTTGTTATTTTGCTTTTTATGGTTATAATCCATTCAATTACACTGTTAATAATAATATCATATAACTACTAACTTTAACAATTATAAAATAAATGTGATATACATTAAAAAAAAATTAACTAACAATCTAGAGGTAGATTAAAAAAAATAATAAAAATAAAAAAACAAACATACCTTTATATTATTCTGATTTGTGTTTTTTAATGTATCTATTAAAGATGAAATATTTAATTGAAAATCAACTAATTCTATATATATCTATGGGTGTTTGTTTTTTTTTTAATATTTTATTTGTTGTAGATATAAGTGTTTTCTGTTGTTTATTGGGTTTGATTTTCAAAACAGAGTTGAGAACTGTATACTAGTTGATTGGATGAATTCCGTTAGATTGATATAATTGAATAGAGAATCTTTTTTTTTATATTAATATTATCTTTTGTTATTGCTCTCCAAAAAAAAAATTTTTGGTAAAACAATTCACCTTTCTACAATCAATTAATCAATTAATTATCTATCAAAATTAAATAAATAATTATATTATTAGATTTATTATAATAAACATGGAGAAGTGTTTAAAAAAATAAAAATAAAAAATTACATTGTTGTTGTTGTACTACTATTTTAGTTATTGTAGATAATCAATTCAAAAGAATAAACACACCACATTTCTATATTTATCATTTCATTTTGGATCATCACCACACAACTTTTAATAAATGAATTTTTTTAAAATGTGACTCTTTAAAATTTATGTGTGCCTTGGATTCAATCAACGAATAGTTTAAATTTTGTGTGCTTTTTTTCAAATTTTTTTAATGTTCTGATTCCAATATTGGATCACAACAATCTATAGTTAGAAAAGATGAATGGGTGCGATCAATTAAGAAACCAAACACATGGGTATGACTACTTTAATTGTCGTGTTGTTGGTGATTGAATTGTGATACATTTTTCATCTTGTTATTGAGTATTATTTTCTCTAACTAATCAATATTCATCTTAAATTACTTTTAAATTAAACTTGATCAAGTTGTTCTCAAGTTTTAAAACATATCTACTTTAATGCATTGAAGTTCGAACTTTTGATCATTCTGTAAGTTGATTTTAGATTAGATTAAGACTTTGCATATCTGATCTGTAAGATTATTGGCAGATTGCTTATTAACATCACATTAATCTTTTATAAAAATCAAAAATATGTATAATAAATGAATACATTGTTTTTAATTACAGGGAAATAAATAAAGATTAATCCTTCTCGAGATTTTATTTATTATAATATTTTTTTAAAGGATTATTAGGGAGTACATTATTATAGTATTATTATTAAGGTATTTTTTGATTCCTTGTTGATTGATTATATGTAACTTTTTGGATTGAAAAATGTTTACTTGGCCTTTGATGGTCCATATCTCTTCTTCTTCTCTTCCAAGTCCTTTTGCATCCACCACAAGGCACCCTCAGCAGAGTGTTGACCCTTGGCACCTGGGACGAAAGCTTGACCACCATACTTCTTACAGGCAATACGGACGGCAGCTTCGGCGGTAATCAAAGCCTTGTTCAACTCTTCCTTCAATGGTGAGGCATCGATTTGAGCCAACATGTTCTTGGCACCCAAAGCCTTGACACCGGTACCGGACTCGGCTTCGGCTGTGAGACGGGCCTTCTCTTCTTCGTAGGCACGGATACGCTTGTTGACTTCTTCGAGTGCCAAACGAGCCTTCTTGATCTCTGGGTGTTCATCATGACCCATAGAACGGGTACAGAAATCAGCTGGATTGGCAACATCTTGGTATTGGTACAACAAATACTCCAAGAAGGAGATACGACCGTCAAAGTTAACGTCGACTTTGTCACGCAACTCTTGCTTTCTCTTCAAGGCAGTCAACATAGTTGGGAGCGAACGGGCATATTGTTGGTATTGGGAGTTCTTTGGGTCTTCGCAGAACTTGCAGAGTTGCTCATAGAAGTAGAGACCAATGTCAAAGTCCAAATCGTTACCCTCGTCATACTTGTAGACCAATTGAACACCCTTTGAGTGCATATCAGCGTATTTCATGGTTTCCCAGGCAACAGAGTAGATGAACTCCTTCTCAGAGTTGACTTCGACCCAGTAGGCATTCAAGAAAGCGACAGCTTGTTGTGAGAATGGAGTTGAAGCGACTTCATTGAAGAATTTCAAGGCTTCAGCATCCAACTTTTCAGTGAATGAAGCACCACCCTTCTTGCTGAGGTCTGTTATTTAAAGAAAAAAAAAAAAAAAGAATAATCGGAAAAAATAATAATAATAATTTTGGTTAATTATCGGGTAATCCATAAAAATTAATTTCTTTTTCAAGAATAAATTTATCTCCTATCTTTGTTCTTTGTTATTTCAAATACATACTGATTCCTTCTAATACTTTTGGTGCAGTTTCGGTCATTTTTATTTAATAGGTTTTTGTTTAAAAAAATTTAAAATACAAGTAGATAATTAATAATGTTTTTGATATTGTACAAATCAGCTGATTAAGAATGAAAATGTTTGGAAATATGTTTTGGATTTTATCAAAAAAAAAAATTATAAATTCAATTAAAAAAAAAAATTAAAATCTTTATCTATATAATAATGTCAAAAAAAACTGACAAAAACCCAACCAACCAACCCAACTTTAACCATAAAAATTAATTTCAAAAAAATTTTAATGTCAGTTTTTTTGGATCGATACATCAAAAACTTTTTGATAGTTTTTTATTATAATTGTGCAAAAAAATAGTTTGCTTTTCTCTTCAATGAAAACCGACCATCTTGACAAGCTGCCTCATCCACCAACATAAAATTTTCTTTAAAAATAAAAATAGTTGACAATAAAACTGTTGTTTGTCCACATTTTCAACATAATGATACCAAATAACAATGCAATTAATAAAATGCCTGTTGATTCTCCTTTTTTCCTCTTGCATTTAAAAATATCTAAACTTGGTATATATTAAATCGCTTCAGTTAATGTTTCAATTTGACCAAAATCTTGTAAACCCACCACCACCAAACACACCTCAAAATGGATTGATAAACCAGTTATTTTTACACTAATCAATTAAAGATAAGACTTGATTTATAAATATGTCTTTTATAATTAAACAAACACCCAACAACAAAGTTTGATATATTTTTCTTAAAGTTATCAGATCCAAATTGAATCAAATAAATAAATTTGGATGTTAAAAGAAATTGACTTAAATATTCATGAATATTTTTCGTAGAACTAACAATTATAAATACAAACTAATTGCAAAGTGAGAAGTAGATTTAGGTAAAAAAAAAAAGACAAGATTTGTAAAAAAAATCTTTATTGGAAAGAAATTTTTTTCTTAGTATTCTCTTATCAGGGAATCAATAAAATTTCGATTTTAACTTTTTTTTTTTTTTTTATTTGTTGTATTTTATTATAATTAAATTGAATTTGAATTATGTATATTTTTAATAACTATATGATACTTGCCAGATCTTATAGCAGAGATCAACTAGTATATATTTGTAGATGTTTAGGTATTAAACCTCATAAAAGCCCAAAATATGTTTTGGCACAAGAGATTGTCAGTCATTGCTTCCCAACTGCAACGGAAAATCAGTCTTTTGAATCTGTATCATTAACAAAGGTGCCTACAATGACTACAAAGGTGACTACAAAGATGACCACAAAGAAAGCAACGCTAAAGAAGCCATCAATTAAGGCAAAGGCATATTCATTTGGAGCTCCAACCACTACCATTGCCTCACCTCCAACCTTTGCGATGACTCAAGAGTATGTCGATCGCAAACAATCATCATGGCCAGCATCAACATCAACAACAGTAACAGCATCAGTAGTGGGACCAACAGCAACTAACACTTATACACCAAATCCAGCACCACCAACTACATGGACAACATCAGGTGCCACCACTATATCAATGGACAAAGCAATCAAGTCAAAGAGCATGATTGGTATCAAGAGATGGATTCATCATAACAATGAGATTATTTATTATCTTGGATTGGATTCAAAGATTACCTCTGAGAAGATCGCAGCATTCGATATGGATGACACTCTCATCTCGACTTTATCCGGAAAGAAATTCCCGACCTCAAAGTCGGATTGGAAATTTTGGGATGAGACTGTACCAGATAAACTAAGATCGCTACACTCTAATGGATATCAAGTTGTCATTATCACCAATCAAGGTGCCATTGGGAACAATCCCTTGAAATTCATAGAGATCACTACAAAGATTCAGGATATCTGTAATAACATTGGTATTCCAACTGTTGCCATCGCCGCAACCACCGCCGACGGTCTACTTCGTAAACCGAATCCCTTCATGTGGGACTTTTTAGTATCACAACTATGCAGTGCCAATATCACAATCAACAAAGAGCAATCGTTCTATGTTGGAGATGCTGCAGGTCGTCCGGTCAACTGGAAACCCGGAAAGAAAGCGGATTTCGCCAGTTCCGACAAAGGTTTCGCAATGGCCGCGGGAATCAAGTTCCTCACACCCGAAGAGTTTTTCTTGGGTGAAGCACCAGTCAGCGATAGCATAATGAAAAACTCGAAATTCTCCATCCCGGTCGCACCCACTTCCGGACCACTGCTGGCCGGTGCGGACCAAACAATTGCCGTGACTGGCATCCAGGAGATGGCTCTGATGGTTGGTTGGCCAGCCAGTGGTAAGAGTACATTCAGTAAAAACAACTTTGTAACCGCCGGTTACGCATGGGTCAATCGTGACACCCTCAAGACTCCTCAAATGTGTCTGGCATTTGCCGAGCAGCAGCTAAAGGCTGGCAAGTCGGTGGTGATCGACAATACCAACCCAAACAAAGAAGCTCGTAGGCCATATATTGAACTCGCCAGAAAGTATGGTATTCAAGTGCGATGCTTCATGATGAAGACCGACCGTGAAACATCGTATCACAACAACTATCACCGTGAGAGAACTCAAGGTGTCAAACATATTCCCTCGATCGGATACGCAATGTACAACAAACAATTTGAAGCTCCAGAGCTTTTGGAAGGTTTCAAAGAAATCAAATTGGTAAACTTTATCCTAAAGTTGGAAGAGAAAGATGTTGCATCCTATTCCATTCCAGCACCAAAATAAATAAAGTAACTTCATTTTAACTATGATAATAATAATAATAACAACAACAGAATGACTTCAAATCTAAATTGATATTGATTGAAGCAAATTGAAGCAAGAACATAATTTATATTATAAAATAAATACAAACAAATTTTGTTTTTTTCTATTCTTTAAAAATAGTTTTTAACTTATAAAAAATAAATTCGATTATATATAAATAAATGAATAGATGGAAATAAATGTCAAATTTAAATATCTTTTTTAATATTGTTATCAATGTTGCTATCATTATCACTAAAAGCTTTATCTTTGTTTAATGCTCTTAACAAATCGACTACTGACTTGAGAAAAAAAAAAAATGAATTTCACAAAAAATTTTGAAAAGTTCACACTATGCGGCTGTGAGAGAATTCTGAGGGATTATTGGTATCTCATTGTTGTATCTTATATCTTCTATATTTGTATCTATATTATAAAGTTGTTTGTTTGAGGTATCCATCAGTTATCGGTGAATATCACATCAATTGAAGATAATAGAACAAAAATATGGCATCTGTTCCACAAACTGTATCAAGAGGTGATTTTGATGAGAAGGAAAAAGAAAAGGATGTTAGAACATCAAATATCGTAGCTGCAAGAGGTATTTAAATTTAATTTCCTCCTAGATTCTATATTATAATAATATAATATAGATATAGTTTGATTATCAAGTTTAACTAATAACATTAATCATTTTCATTTAAATAATTATAATAATAATAATGAAATCAACTTTATCATCATTATAATAATAATATAGCTGTTGCCGATGCAATCAGAACATCACTTGGACCAAAGGGAATGGATAAGATGGTATGAAACACAATAATAGAATATAGTATAGAATAGAATTGAAGATAGAAAATAGGTTGTTCTAATATGAAATTCGAATTGTTAAATAATAAATATTTAGATTAGCTCACCAAATGGAGAAGTTATCATCAGTAACGATGGTGCTACCATCTTGAAACATTTAGAAGTTAGACATCCAGCTGGTAAAATGGTAATACAACAAACATCATTCATATATATCAATAATCAATAATCAACAACAACAACATCACAACTACAGATATCTATTAGACGAGTATAGGTTTAAGAAAGATCATTCATTATCGAAACAAAACAAAACATAAACAACATGTTCAACTTTTTGAAATAGATAGATTAGATAGATAGTTAAGATAGATAGATAAAATAGAAAAGATAGATAGATTGATAGAAGAAAGAGATAGAGGGGATCGATAATTACATATTATTTAAAAATAATAATAATAATAATAATAATAGTAATTTGTTATAAAAGTATTATTTGAAACTAATTTTACAAACAACAATTATCATTTAAATACGTTTATAAATAGTTGGCAGAGTTAGCAAAAGCACAAGATATTGAAGCAGGAGATGGAACAACATCGGTATGTGTTATCGCAGGAGCATTGTTATCAGCAGTTTCACAATTGATGTCCAAGGGTATTCATCCATCGATCATTTCAGAGGCATTCAATTTGGCAATGAACAAATCGATCGAAGTTCTCACTAATATGTCGACACCGATCAGTTTGTCGGACAAGCAAAGTTTGGTAAAGTCAGCGATCACCTCACTCAACTCAAAGGTAGTTTCACAATATACAAATCTTGCAACGATTGCTGTCGATGCAGTGTTGGACGTCATCAACCCGGCCACTGCTACCAATGTCAACCTCAAGGACATCAAGATCATCAAGAAGCTCGGTGGTACCATCGACGAGACCGAGTTGGTACACGGTTTGGTATTCGATCAGCACACCGCCCACGGTGCTGGCGGTCCAACACGTATTCAGAACGCCAAGATCGGTTTGATCCAGTTCTGTCTGTCCGCACCCAAGACCTACATGGACAACAACATCGTTGTCTCTGACTACACCAAGATGGACAAGGTGCTCAAGGAAGAGCCAAAGCTCATCTTGGAGATGTGTCGTAAGATTCAAAAGTCGGGATGCAACGTACTGCTCGTTCAAAAGTCGATTCTGAGAGACGCGCTCAACGAGTACTCGCTTCACTATCTCGCCAAGCTAAAGATCTTGGTGGTCAAGGACATCGAACGTGAGGACATTGAATTCATTTGTAATACAGTTGGATGCACTCCAATCGCCAATATAGATTCATTTACACCAGAGAAGCTCGGTAAGGCCGACTTGGTCGAAGAGGTCGGTACCACCGACGGAAAGATCGTCAAGATCACCGGTATTCCAAATCCAGGCAAGACTGTCACCATTCTCGCACGTGGATCCAACAAGTTGGTTTTGGACGAAGCCGAGCGTTCCATCCACGACGCACTCTGCGTCATTCGTTCACTTGTAAAGAAGAAGTTTTTGATTGCCGGTGGTGGTGCTCCAGAGATTGAAGTCAGCCAACAGGTAACAGAGTTCTCAAAGACACTGTTGGGTAATCAGGCCTATTGTGTCCGTGCCTACGCCGAGGCACTCGAAATCATCCCATACACCTTGGCAGAGAATGCCGGTCTACATCCAATCAGCATCGTCACTGAACTCCGTAATAAACACGCACAAGGTGAAAAGACTGCCGGTATCAACGTTCGTAAGGGTGCCATCACTAACATTCTCCAGGAAAACGTTGTACAACCACTTTTGGTTTCGACAAGTGCATTGACTCTTGCCACCGAAACAGTTATCATGTTACTCAAGATCGATGATATTGTAACTGCTCGTTAAAAAAAAAAACAAAAAAAATAATAATATAAATTTAAAATAAAAATAGAAAATAATCCAAAAAAAAGAAACAAACAAAACAAACAAACAAACATCAATCATTTAAATTTAATATTACCTATTTATTGTAATGTCGACAATATTTAATAATAATAATAATTTTTGGTTTGGACCAATTACAAAATTGAAATTTCTTTAACAAATTTGGTCAAATTTGAAACTAAATAAACATTCAGATGGATGGTGAACATGAACTTACTGACTAACGAAGATTGCATTGGATCACAAGAAGAAGTAAGTTCTAATGATGAATTTAAAAATAATAACAATAATAGAATATATATTGGTAATCACATGGTGTGTTAGTATTAAATTATCTCGATCAATCAACCACACATCCTATTTTATTTATATATAAAATTATTAAAATTTAAAAAATCTTGATTAGCAATATTAAAAAAAACCACAATTCAGGACCATATTAATCATCAAATCAGAGAAACAAAGATTCATTAAATTGTGCAAACAAAAACAAAAAAAACTACTGATTTCCCAAAACAAAAAAAAATGTGTGCTTGTGCTTGTATGTTTGAAGGAGGTGTGTCAAAACTGATTTCCCACTCAAGTGTGATTCAAAAATTAAAATTAAAAAAAACAAACAAAACAAACAACTAATTCAAATTGAAACAGATCAAACTTTCTACAAGACCATTATTTCATTTACTCTTTTGTATTTTTTGATATATAATCTATAATTATTAGTTTGGTAAAAGAGAATAGAAAGAATAGAATAGGAAGATACAAGATCAGATAATTGTAATATATAGCCATTGAACTGTTTCAACATTATAAGATTAGAACATTTGTAGGTAGAGTGTGTAGCATTGGCAACTTTATAGTTTGATAAAACATACAACAAACAATATCAGTAAATCTATTTCTATTTCATTCAAACGAAATTTCGTTCCCATTTCACAGAAAACCATGGTTTTTGCATAATAAATATAATAATAATAATAAATATAAATTGGTAACCAATTATCAGTAGTTATTTTGATAGATGGAATTCACTATTATAAAATATCGATGATAATGTCAAATGACACGTAGCTGAAAAAGTAGATGGATGTGTTTTGAAAATTCAGTGTTGGGAAATCGACAAATTACATTACTCAAAGTTTTTGTCATCATAACTTTTAAAAAAAGTTCATTGCTTTTTTCACCCCACCCAATTATGACCAACCAATGGCAAAGTAATATTCATACTTTATGTAAAAAAAAAACCTTGATTTTTTTAATTATGATGTTTTTGTTCTTTTTTTTTTTTGACAAGGTAAATTTCATTAACATGAAGATCAGGTCGAACAAATTTTTTGTTTTTTGTCAACCGAGATTAACAAACCGGTTTTGACCACATTAAAGAAAAAAAAAAAAAAAAAAAACTTTAAATTGAAATTAATTTATTTAATTTTTTTATATTTTAATATTTAATTATCCCAACATATAATACCAATAATAATAATAAAGTAAATAAACAAACAAAAATAGATAACTTTTACTTTTGGTACCATTTCGAAAACGCTCATTCATTAAATTCATTAATACTCCCAAATTTTAAAGTTTTTTTAATTAATTACATCTAATTAATTTCATTCAAGTTCCATTAGTAACAAACGCCACTCACACAAGCAAACAAACAAACCACAACCAACACACACATCTACAATAAACACAATTCAAATTAATTATACACATCCAATTTAAAAGTCTTAATGTAGGTAGATGCAATCAACACATAGTTAGATGACCTGACTTTTATATAGCTACAAAATACACTATTCTTTTAAAACAAAACAAAACAAAACAAAACAAAACAAAACAAACAACAGCAACCAAAAACAAAAAAAAACAAACAAACACACAATACAACACATAATAATTCATTTATTCTTTTCAAAAAAAACAAAAAATAATTGAAAAACAAACACAATACAATTCCTACACGCTCAATCAATTAATTTGTTATATATATATATATAATACTAATTTTACTATATATTTTTTTATTTGATAATTTTATAGATAGTTAAATATTTTATATACAGTAGTAGTTATGCTGATTTTTCGATAGACAACAACAATAACAACAACAATAATAATAACAAGTAATACAAAATATACACTATCGAGTTGTAGAGAATAGTTTTTTTTTCAGTTCAGTTTTTAATAGAAGAAAGCAGAAAACAAAAGAGTTTTTTTTTTTAAAATCTATTCAAAAGATAATATATATATATATATAAATAATGAGACCTTCACCACCAAAACCGTGGGAAAAAGGAACATCTTCTACTACATCATCAGTTTTAAGTACACAGCAATCGACCTCTTCAATAACAGGATCAACCTCTTCTATACACAATGGATCATCGAGGTTACCACCTAGGTCAGGCTCACCCAACTCTACATCGAACAATCAACTCTCGACAAGACCACGCACACCAATGCGTCCATGGGATTCGAGTGGAACGAGCAGCTACGACAGCTCCATGACGGGCTACGGCAGTGGTAGCTCGTATGGCTCGGGCGGACTCTATGGCAGCTCTGGATATGGCAGCGGCTACGGCAGTAGCTACGGTGGAAGTGGATACGGAACAAGCAGTTTATATGGTGGTGGTGGCAGCGGATATGGAAGTGGACTATACGGAAGTGGATATGGAAGTAGTAGCTATGGCAGTGGCTACGGCAGTAGCTATGGTGCTGGCGGATACGGTAGCAGCTATGGTGCTGGCGGCTATGGCAGTTCGTATGGCGGTGGCTATGGAAGTGGCTATGGCGGTGGCTATGGCGGCTATGGAAGTTCATACGGTGGCGGCTATGGTAGAGACGATATGAAGGGCGGAATGATGAACGGACACTCTTGGCTCGACGCACTCAATTCAATGGTAGAGACATTCGGTCGTTTTTCATTCTTATTAAATTCAAATTTCGATGCAGTTCGTGTTTCATTTTCTTCGGTGGTCAGACTGTGTCATAGCATGTCGCAGTTCCACCACGAAGTATTCTCACTAGTAAAGACTTTCACACTGTTTCGATTGTTCCAATCGGTCTCTTCCAAATTTATAAAACTGTTTAGATATATACTTCGTAGGCCAACAGTAGATGATGTAACAAATAAAGAAATTTTTGGATTAGATGTATGTATTGATAGATAAACAGGTAGAACAACAACAACAACAACATAATAGTAGAATATATACTTACTAATATCAAATTACAATACTCTGTACAGGATTTTAAAAAGTTTGAAAAGAAACAAGGTGGAGGTATTACAACATTTATAATTATCATTGCTGTTACATTTATTGCGGTGCCAATGATCATTGGTCAGATGTTTGGATTGTCAAGAAGAAGAAAGGGTGAGAATTCACTCGATAAATCATGGGACGATCTCGGTGAGGTTACAGTTGTACAGGCCGTGGCCGATTTCGATCCAGAGACTCAGCGTGATTTGCCTCTGCGTGTAGGTGACATCATAAATGTTATAGGTAAACCACATCAAGAATGGTGGGAAGGTGAACATCAAGGACGTACAGGTCTATTCCCAGCCAACTTTGTAAAAATAATCGATTCCAATGATAAACAACAACAATCACAACAACAACAATCACAACGACTTTCAAGTAATTCAAGACAGAGACAATATTCACCACCAACAATGGAATATCAACAATCACAACAGCAATACAATTCATCGTCATCATCATCACAATACACACCATCGCCACCATCACAATCAAGACAAAACTCACCAAACAAAGATAAAAATCCATCTTTTAATCAAGATGGAGCTGATTACATTAGACAACAAACACCTCCATCACAAGACAACAGTAGATATAAATCTTATAGCGATTTTTTAGGCGATACTAATGATAATAATAATAATCAAATGGAGAATTCTCTTAGAAATTAATAAAAACCTTTATCATTTTTTTTTAACAGCATAGAAATTATTATTATTTGTAAAAAATCAAAAAAAAAAAAAAAAAAAAAAAAAAACCATCTTTTCCCAAAATGATCTTTTTACAACATGGTTACCCAGCAAGGTATTTATTTTTTTTTAATTTTTTAAACTTTTTGGTTGTTGTGTCTTATTTTGGTTTTTTTTTTTTTTTTTTTTGATTAAAAATATCTACAAAAGGGAATATTTAAAGCATAGCTAACTAGTTGAGTGTGTTTAATAGCTGTTATCGATGAGGTAGTCACCGAGTTTTTCAACAACATTGGCAGCGTTACCTGGTTGTTGCATTTCGTTGTAATAACCAACGACTATACTTTGGTTGGTCTTGACACAGACAATACCGGTAGCACCTTTCTTACCGTAGATACTTCTTGGATCTCCCTTGATACCCATATATTTAACACCACCAATGGTAATACCTTTGGAAAAGACATCTGCTGGTGATTTGAAGAGTGCAACAAGAGCGGGACCTTCACCTGGTTTCAAAAAGTCAGCTGGCTTGATTGCCCATGTACTACCGTCACTACCACCGAGTATGGCTGCCTTTGCAATTTGGCCGGTTCCAATTAATTGATCATCAACATAAGCCTAATGGAATTAACATTTTAAATTAAAAGAAAAAGTTTCAAATAAATTGATATTTTATTATTATTAGTAAATTTATTTTCCACAATGATGACAGTAATAATAAAAGAATAATAAATAGTAACTTACTTGCCAAGACATCTTTATTTATTTATTTATTTGTTCTTTTATAAATGTTAAAATATTACTTATTCTGTAAAGTGTTTCTAATTAAAATAAAATAATTTGAATGGAGCTCAGGGGTGTTTGATCCACTTTGGTTTAATTTAAAAAAATAAAATAAAATAAAAATAAAATCAAATTGAGCTTCAAAAAATAATAATCAAGTTTTAATTAATTACACCCATCTTTTATCAGAAAAGGAATTCCATTGTTTTTTTTTTTTTAATTTTAAATCACAACAAGAGGAAAACATAACTCCAAAACCCCAAAAAAAATTAATAATAAAAATTGTTTCCATTTCAAAAATGAAAATATTGATATAACTTTATATGTTTGTTGTTCAAATCAAAAATTATTATTTCCTATTAAAAAAATTTTTTTTGAATTTTTTTCATTATTTGTCATAAAAAGTGTAACTAGTTTTTGACATTTGGATATTATAAAGAGAACAATCAAATAGACTTGATTTGTTTAGTTTAGCTGAAAGGTTTTTTATAATTATATATTAAAATATTGTTTGTTGTTTGTAAATTCTTTAATTCTTTCTGTCTCTCTGTTTGTTGTATCTGTTACAAAACAAACAAATACGGTAATTGTATTGGTGATTAACTAACTGTCCATACAATTTAAATCTGTATTATTATTATTATTATTATTATTATGATTATATCATCAATCGATTGATATAAATTAATTAATATCTAATTGAAAATAAAATAAAATAAAATAAAAAAACAAAAGAGAAAAGAGAAAAGATAAGATAAGATAAGATAAGGAATAAGACAAAGATATGTCAGAAGATAGAAAGAAAGTTGTATATCATGGTATCGATGATATATATCAGGATTTAGGTGATCTAAGGAGCATAAGGAATAATCACGGTGGTGATGAAGACGATGTCAGTGGCGGCAGCGATGGTGATACCACCTACAGAGGCGCAGTACTGGATATACATTCAAAGTCATATGGCACTACTACTAGTAGCAACAATAGATTATACGATACCAGTGACGACAACAACAACAACAACAACAACACTAGTTTCAACATTGACGATGAGATTGGTTATAGAACCTATTCAAACGTTGTCTTGAGTGACGACGAATCCAGTAAACAACCTAAAGACTTGGATAACGATCCCGATAACCCAACGACAACAACGTCAACATCAACCAACAACAACAATAGTTATAGCAATAGCAATAGTTCATCATCATCATCATCAAGAAGGAATAATTCAATGTATAATAATAATAACAATAAATATAATAATAGAGATAATAATAGAAGATATAATAATAATAATAGTAGAGATAGAAATAGAGATAGAGATAGTAAGGATAGGGATAAGAATAAAGATAGTGAGAAACCTGTGGATGCAGCACCCAATGTGTATATGAGTAATCGTGCCAAGATGGAGAGTCTCACCGCTAAGGAAAGAATGGCACTGATAAAGAAATACAAACGTGAGCAGAATGAACGTAAGAATGTCAAGATAGCCTACTCGAATACCGATGGCAGTCATGTGCTCTACGAGGAAGCAGAGAAGATTGACTACAACCCAGAGAAGTACGATACAAGCAAGCCACTAGTTGTATCTTCAGATTCAGAGGATGGTTCTACTGGCGAGGAGATGAGTGAGCACGAGGCCGACACCGCTATCCAAGGAACCATAGATCTCATTGGTATTTACCTTCCACAGGATCCAATGGAAGAAGAAACCATTCAGGTATGGAATATTATAATATTTATATTGAAATCTATCAATCAATCAATCAAACCAATCAAACCAACCAACCAACAAATCAATATTATTATCAACAGAAAATACTTGCATTGTTTCAAGAGACCACCGATGAATATAGAGCTAATAAGAGAAAGTTTTTGTTTAGTAAGAAAATTAAACAGCTATTTAGAAAAGCTGTTGTTAAATTACCAACTGTAATGTATTAAATATCATTCACATATAAATAGAGTTATAATATTTTATATGTACTAATATAGTTTGGCTGATTGATTTCAAAAAAATGTAGATTACTACATTACATCAATTGTATAGAGATTTTCATGTATTAATGTTAAGTGATAATAGAAAGAGATTGAATTCGTGTCCATTGGCACAAAAGATGTTGTTACCCGATTTATTCAAGGTTCCAGATATTCCCCAACCGATGGCATCGAATCGTGTTGGTAGCGATGATCATCATCAGTTAAAGTCTAGTGCAGTCAGTTCATTCAAGTCTGTCAAACTACCTGTTGATCTATCGTATAGTGATTTAGTTTATTTCAAAAAGGTGTCAAAGATGTTGACAATGGAGAAAAGAGTCAAAGATAAAGTTAGACTCGATGAAACTAGATCTCATCGAAAAGGAAAGAAGAAACGTTATCATTCAAGCGGCGAAGAAGATGATTATGATAATGATGCAGATACCGAGAGCAGCAACAGCCGACATGCCGATCAAGATGAGAAAGATCATCAACTTCAAATACACCGACAGAAAGAACAGCAACTACAACTTCAACAACTACAAGATTCAAAGAATAACTATAGCAATAATCAAGATGAAAACAATACAAGTATCAATAGTAACAGTAGTGATATTAGTATGGATAGCACAAGCAACAGCACCACTAATAGTAGTAGTAAACAACAAGCATCAGAGCAAATTAAAGATAAAGATAATGTATCTTCTTCACCTCCACATAGTTCACCAAACGATTCACATTCAAATTCAAATTCAAATTCACATTCACATTCACATTCACATTCAAATCCAAATTCACATTCACATTCACCAAAGAGACACCACCCACAAGATAGAGATAGTGAGATGGAGGAACCTGCAGCAACAGCAGAGCGTGCTCCTACATCAACAGCTGCTACTGCTTCTGTTTCTTCGGTGGTGGCGATGGAAGAAGAACCAAAACAACAATCAGAGGAGAAGATTGTTACTATGCCCGTTGGTACTCCCATCCCACTGTCGGCACTCATGAAAAAGTCGACAACTACTGCGCCACCAAGCGACGAGAAATCCGCACCCAAAGAGACAAACGCTTCATTCCAACTCGATTCCAAGTTACTCGACTCACTGATACCCAACGAGAAGGACTCACAGCTGATACAACAAAACATTTCAAAACTCTCGATTCCATCGAACGACGGTGTCAATATGACGCTCAATATCAACAGTGACAATCTTGTGAATCGACTGCTGGCCATTGCCAACAACCACCAGATCATAGCACGTGTACAGCTTTTATTTACCAATCAACAGAGCTTCGAACAAAGCCTGATAGAGGAGCGTCTCAAAATCATAGAGTTGTCACAGATCAACAAGAAGAACATTCAAGATGAATGTCAACAACTTCAGAGTCAAGCACCAAACAATATGGCTAAATATCAAATCTATGAGAATCTCAAGATGCAAGAAAATGTAAAGTGTTAATATATATATTTTTATTTTTAATTGGCTATTAATATTTATTCTTCTTCGTACTTTTAATATTAGATTATTAATGAAGATTTGGAAAACAAATTAAATGAATTCAATAAGAATATTTTAAACAAATATACACAATTGATATACTTACAGCAGACCACTCTACAACATTTAGGTGTAATAGGTTTCTTCCCGACTCAGAATATAAGTCATATCAAACTACAGATCAAGATTTTAGAATGCTTATTCCCTTCAGGTATGTTGTATTTATATTTTAATTAAAAAAGAATAATTTATTAATAATTCAAAAAAAAAAAAAACAAAACTATTTATAAATTTAGTTTATAAGTAATTTGAAATTCACAAATAAATTTATTATTTTTAATACACATAATGATAGAAAACAACTTTTATATATTCTTTTTTTTTTTTATAATAAAAATGAAGTGGTACGTTTTTATTTTTTCAGGTAAATGATCCTTTTGAAAATATTGGAATTTACAAAAAGGATAGAGTTTGATTGGTGGTGCGGAAATAATTTTACCACCAGTTTCCACCTCTCCAGTGACCACCTCTCCAATGTCCTCCACCACCTCTCCAGTGACCACCTCTCCAATGTCCTCCGCCACCTCTCCAATTGCCACCACCTCTCCAGTGACCACCACCTCTCCAATCAGAATCGGCAGTACCATTAGCAGATTCGATTGACTCAGAGCCAGATGTTGATCCAGCACTTGATGAAGTCATACTTTCAAGTGGATTACCTATTTTATTCAGATTATCTAAATTGAATGAAAAATGTTAAAAAAATAATTAATTTTCAAACAAATAATAATACAAACCCAATATAGTCATAATTAAATGTTATTAATTCTTATGAATATAATGCATTGAATGATTTATATTAAATTTCATGGTATTTATAGGCATTTTTAATTTAATAAATTAATTTTGGAGAAGAATGACATAATTTCTAAAATTATTAATATTAGATATTTTTATCTTCTCTACACTTATAAAATATTAATCAAAATGTTTAAATACAACAATAAAAGATAAAAAAATTGATTGTTTATAAACTCTGTATTCAAAAAAAGAAATATCAACTATTCAATTCATATAAATGTGAAATTAGAGTATAACTAATTTTTTTTAGTAATTGTTAAATTAATTTTTAAAGATAAGGTTTGATTTTGTTTCATTTAAAAGATTATTAGTAATATTTTCAACTTAAAGAAATGATCTCTATGAAAGTGTCAAGTGTTAGAAATAGTGACATCATGTTATCAAGTCTCAATAGGATTAGAAAAACCGACAAATTTTTTTTCAAGAAATTTCATTTACCTTTATTTTTTTTTCACCCAAATCAAATGTGCCAATGCACAAGAAAACTTATATGGAATCAGAAACACAATGGTGGCAAACACTTCCAATATACAGATTTTTTGATTTTTATTTTTAGAAAATAGTTTTCATGCATCAGTCATATCATAATTAACGTTAACATTTTTAAAATTTTAAAAATGGCAGATAAAGTTTGTATTATTACAGGTATGTTTGTTATTATTTCTTCAAGATTTAAAATAAATAAAACTAAAAATAAATTTTTTTTTTACTTTAAGGTTCAAATGAAGGAATTGGAAAGGAAACAGCCAAGGCAATGGCTAAACATATGATGAAAGTTATTATGGCATGCAGAAATACGGAGAAATGTGAGGCTGCTGCAAAAGAGGTCAGAGAAGCATCAAAGAATGACGATGTCGTTTGTATGAAGTTGGATTTGAATTCATTGCAATCGGTGAGAGAATTCGTACAGAATTTCAAGGCCATGAATCTACCACTAAACTATCTGATAAATAATGCCGGTATCTGGACTGGTCCTCACTCGACCACTGAAGACGGTTTCGAGACAATGTTTGGTGTCAATCATCTCGGTCACTTCTTACTCACAAACCTCTTGCTTGACAAACTGGAAGCAAGTACCAACCCACGTATTGTTGTGGTATCATCACGTGCACATGCACGTGCCAATCTTAATATCAACAACCTCTCTGTGAGCGCCAAAGACTACTCATCAACTGCAGACTACGGACGTTCAAAGTTATGTAATTTAATGTTTTCCTATGAGTTACAACGTCGTCTCGATGCCAAAGGATCAAAGATCGTTGTCAATGCACTTCACCCAGGTGTTGTACACACCAATTTGTTTAACACTTTCCCAATGCTCGACTGGGTGATCTTCCCATTGGCATCGTTCTTCTTGACCAAAGCAACAGAGTCGGCAGAGGCAAGCGAGGCATTGGCACTTGGTACAGCTTCACATCTCCAAGGTGTCAAAGGTAAATACTTTAGTGTAAAAGATCAAGTAGAGTCATCTGCCTTCTCAAAGAAAGTAGATATTCAACAACAACTCTGGGAGAAATCATGTGAAATGGTAAAGATCCCAGTTGATATTCAATTGTAAATCGACATTCCAACATCAAATAAAGTAGTCTAGTTTTTAGTTTTTTTAAAAATAAGTTTATTATTATCTTATATTAAATATTCAAATAAAGTATATAGATATACATATAAAATATTTATAAATAAATATTAAATTATAATCAAAAATAATAAAAAAAAAAAGTGGTAACGATGGTATAGGGAAATCAACAAAGTAATAGCTAAACACAACCAATTAAATTAATTATAGTATGTAGAAATATATACAACTTGATTATTACAATTACCATCACTTTTAATTTTTTTAATACGATTGATCAATAAAAAAAAAAAAAATTTCAAAAAAATGAAAAAAAATAAAAAATGTATCGTGACTTTAAAGTCGACTCCATCAGATTGAGAAATTGTGTTGTGTGTTATTTCACGATTATTTATTTGTTCACTGCTAAATCATAATTCTCTAATTCAATCGCGAATCAGATCAGATCATTTTAGATAAGATTAGATTAGATTAGATTTTACAAGTTAAAAAAAAGAGATATAGATCAGTAGATAAAGAAATTAGCTTGTATATATAAAACAAAAAAAAGATGAATTCTCAAAGAATGTTAATGTCTTTGGGCAGATTTGTAATCAATAGATCAACAGCATCATTACAACCACAACACAATGGAATAATAAGTAATAATGGTATTAAATCGATGATGATGATGAATCGTTCATTGAATCAACAACATGTTCACTCTGCACTCTGTTGTTGTAACAATAGCAGTGCTGGTAGTATCATTGGTAAGCGTTACTTTGCTGGAGCGTCACCAATGGAAGCGATGCAACAAGAAGACGAAGAGGATGCACACCTGTCCAGAATGATGGAGGACGACCAAGACGATGACCAAGACAACGATATGGAGATGATGGACGAAGACGACGAAGTTGAAGGAGAGGAATCCAGCGGAATGAACAAAGAATACTCACAGACAGAATTGCACGACATGATCAGAGAGACTCAGATTTCCATCTATCGTGAACTACTCGACTGTCCAAAACCATTGGACTCTGAAGTTAAAAAGACAATCTATCTGCGTTGGAAAGAAGATCCACAATATTATAACACAAAGAAACTTTCACAGATGTTCCAATTACATAGATCAAGAAGTAAGTAAATCAATCACTATAGTATTTCTATCAATTTTGAATGTGTCGTTCTCTAACAAAACACCTTTCATCATCATTTATTGTATTGTATTGTATTGTATTGTATTTAGTTGCCGCAATTATTAGATTCCAACAAATATATGAAAAAGAAGTGGCGGAAGGAAATGAGGTATTCGACGATTTGGAACAAGATATTGCAGAGCTTTTGGGTACACGTACAAAAGATACCTATTTGGGTGTCGACGAAGATATATCCGATGACTTTTACTTTATTGGCGGTAAGGAGAATGAGTTCACCGCTAAGCGTAACGAGCACAAGAAGCGACCGGATCCACTCCACGAGATTCCAGTGCAAGTACCGGAATCATTCCCCGAGAAACCAATCTACTTCCGTCAACCATCGTCGACTCAATCAAAGCCAAAGAGAAAGAACCTCATTTTCATTGATACCAGTCGTGATCCATTCACCAACCGTCCAAACCCAGATCCAATGATGTTGATCAGCGGTATCGACGGTTCATTGCGTACACCATCGACAAGCGAGCGTAAGGTCATCACAGAGTACATCACCAATCCAAAGATCAGAAGAGATCCAGAGGCATTGTTACGTCGTCCACTTAAATATAAACCTGCCTATCATAACGATAAGAAGTCTAAAGCAACCGAAGAAAAGGAAGAAGAAGATGATTAAAGAAATTCAAAACAATAACAATAACAAAATCAACATTCAATATCTTTATTTTTCAAACATAATATAATAATAATAATAGAAATAATAATGATAACAACAATAGTATAACATAACATAACATAACAAAACCAAACCTAACAAAATCAAAAAAACATTCAAATAAAAAAGAAACCTTATTATAAATCCTTTTTAAACATATGTTTTGATTTTGTTTATAATAATAACTTTAATGATTATAAATTTAAAATTAATTAATTAGTTCATTGAATGTAACATGTTGTGTATATAACTTTCTTTTTTAGATGACTTGTTTTGTTTTGTTTAAAAGTGATGTTTTTTATTCCCAACCATCGTCACCATCATCATTCCATGCATTAGATAGTTTCTTTGTTGGTACTTCTTGTTTGATTGGTGTTGTTTTTTTGGTTGTTCGTCTGGTTCATCATCTTGTTCTTCAAAGACTTCCTCTTCATCATCACCTTCGTTTTCAAAAACTATATCGTCGTCTCCACCCCAACCAGCAGATCCAGTAGATATCTCTAAACTGTCATTATCCATTGTAAACTTTGTATTTTCATTGACATTTGCTAAAGATTGTGAAGTTGGTGTTGTTTTAGTTGTATTATTTACATTTGTTGAGAGTACTGGTTTAGGTAATGGTTTTTTAGCTAAAATAATATCGATTGATACGTAAACTATTAGTTAAGTTATTCATTTACCAAAATACATATATATGATCATAAGTATATTACGTACCACCTAATTTCATTGGTGCTTTTGCAGGTTTACTTAAAGGTACATTCGACAGATCTGTTGTTGTTGGTGTAGTTGTTGTTGGTGATGTAACAGTCGTTGTTGATTGTTTATTGCTGTTGTTGTTTTTATTATTTTTTTTATTTGATTGATTTTCATCCTCTTCCTCTTCTTCTTCTTCTTCTTCCTCTTCTTCATCTTCATCTATATTTACATGTTTTCTCTCTATTTGTATACTGTGTTTTTTGAGTGGTGTCGTTGTCTGTTGTTGTTGATCAACATCTTTATGTAACTTTAAATTAGTGTTGCTCATAACAACATCGATATTAACTTTGGTTGCAGGTGAATCCTTCTCAATCGGTGTTGGTTTGTAAGGCATCACATTAGGCGATACGACTTCTGATTTATCCTGAACTGCATCATCCGGTCTATCTGGTGCACAACTACTAAATATGATACCCATTACTACACTTTTAATATATATATATCCAATATATATATATATATCTAATATACTATCGAGTATACTATAATTAATAATAATCAAATAAAACTGAAATGAATTAAAGATAGAATAATTTAAATTACATTCCCCCCAATTTGCTCACACTGTTTTTTGAACCAAAAAATAATTTGTTTTTTTTTAATTTATTTTTTCTATAAAGTTGTATTTGGAGTAGTCGGACTACTACTATCTGTTGATACTGTTGTCGTTGTTGTTGTTGATATTGTTGTCGGTATTGTTATTGTTGTTGTTGTTACATCTGCTCCTGTTGTTGAATTTAGTGTAATTTCCGGTGAACATTGAACTAGTGCTGAAGATTTCAACCAGAGTTCTTTTGAATTCTTTGGTTGCTGAGAGAATGTATTGGATTTGCTGGGTTTTGTCAAGTCGAAATAGATTGCTTTCTTATCTTTATATATTAGAAGTTCGCCGAGTGCCAGGTTGGCCACTGCATTTCCTGAATCTTCTACTTTTGTCAGGAATCTAGAAAAGATTGGCCAGAGGAACCGATCTATTATCTTTAATCCTTTGAGGAAGCTGGTATGTACGGTTCCTGGGTGCAGTGAATTCACTACGATCGATGAACCTCGCTCATCGAGTTTTCGTTGTAATTCGTTTGCCATCAATATGTTGCAGAGTTTCGATTGGCCGTAGCCAACGAATCCGTTGTTCTTTGGTGGAAAGTGTTTGTCGTCAAAGTTAAGTGATGCACGTTGATGTGCCAGTGACGACACCATCACTATTCTCGCATCGTCGCTCATCAACGGTAACAGTAGATTGGTCAACAAGAAATGACCCAAATGATTGATACCAAACATCGATTCGAATCCATCGCTCGTAAGCACAGTATCACTAAAGTACACACCAGCATTATTAATCAAATAATCAACATTTCCAATATTCAATTGTTTATAACTTTCTACAAATTCTCTTATTGACTAGATATAGAAAAACAAAGTAAGTTAATCTATTGCATCTATAAAAACTAGATCTATTCTTACTTGAAATGAACCTAAATCTAATTTTAAACATTGCACATCATCGTTGTTTGAATATTCTTTAATCTCTTTGACAGCATCAGCAGCTTTATCTATATTCCTACACGCTATAATTAATTTAATTGGTTGTTTAGCTATAACTTTAGCTGTTGCTTTTCCTATACCATCATTACCACCTTTTTTATCTTTGATATTAATACGATATAATAGTTTATTTATCTATAAATATTTTATATGTATATCTATATACCTGTTATAATACAAACTTTCATTTTATTTAATATTAATATAAAAGATAATAATACAAAAATAATATAAACTGTTTAAAAAAAAAAAATCTAAAAATCTATAAAATTTTATAGATTTCTTTTATTGTCGGGATTAAATTTTAGTTGATTGGCATATACAAATTGGTTTGGTTATTTAGATAATGTTGGAATGTTGGAGTGTTGGAGTGTCAGGATGTTGGAATGTTGGAATGTCGATTTACAATTGGATGTCAACTGGGATCTTTACCATTTCACATGATTTCTCCCAGAGTTGTCTTTGAATATCTACTTTCTTTGAGAAGGCAGACGATTCTACTTGATCTTTTACACTAAAGTATTTACCTTTGACACCTTGGAGATGTGGAGCTGTACCAAGTGCCAATGCCTCGCTTGCCTCTGCTGACTCTGTTGCTTTGGTCATGAAGAGCGACGCCAATGGGAAGACAACCTTGTCGAGCATTGGGAAAGTGTTAAACAGATTGGTGTGTACAACACCTGGATGAAGTGAATTAACAACGATCTTTGATCCTTTGGCATCGAGACGACGTTGTAACTCATAGGCAAACATCACATTACACAACTTTGAACGTCCGTAGTCTGGTGTTGAAGAGTATTCTTTGGCGCTCACTGAGAGGTTGTTGATATTAAGATTGGCACGTGCATGTGAACGCGATGCCACAACAACAATACGTGGGTTGGTACTTGCTTCCAGTTTGTCAAGCAAGAGGTTTGTGAGTAAGAAGTGACCGAGATGATTGACACCAAACATTGTCTCGAAACCGTCTTCAGTGGTGGAATGAGTACCAGTCCAGATACCGGCATTGTTGATCAGATAGTTCAATGGTAGATTCATGGCCTTGAAATTCTGTACGAATTCTCTCACTGATTGCAATGAATTCAAATCCAACTTCATACAAACGACATCGTCATTCTTTGATGCAGCTCTGACCTCTTTGGCAGCAGCCTCACATTTCTCCATATTTCTACATGCCATAATAACTTTCATCATATGTTTAGCCATTGCCTTGGCTGTTTCCTTTCCAATTCCGTCATTTGAACCTGAATTTGTAAATCAAAAATAAAAAATATTAGAAATTTTATCTTTATTACTTTAAAGAAATAATAACAAACATACCTGTAATAATGCAAACTTTATCTTCCATTGTTTTTTTTATGTATTTATTTATTTATTTATTATATATATTATTATTTCTTAATATAAAAATGTTAATTAATTTATGATATGATTAATGATATTGGTTGTCAGTAAAAGCAAACAGTTTCTATTTATATTCCACAAAAAAAAATATCTACCTTTTTTTTTTCAGATTTTTTTTTTCTTTCTTGAAAAGTTTTGTCGGTTTTGTATCCCGATTTATACTTGATTCCATGATGCAACAATTTCTAATATTATTTTGACGCTTTCATTCTTAATGACATTTATTTTAGCTGGCTTTGGAAATAACTTAAAAAATAATTTAAATTTAATTAATTAAAATATATATTTAATCTTATCTCGAAAAGTTTAACTACAATTTACGAAATCTTTTTTTGAAAAGTATGATCTTATTTGTAAATATCCTTGTTTACGAAAATTTCTGGCTTAAATCAATTACGCAACACTCTGCTTTATTTTTTTCAATTCAGGGAATTTTTTTCCAATTTTTTTTTGCAAAAATCAAATTTTGACACGCAACCCAGGCGAGTTTAGGCAAATGTGTTTGATGACATCACACAGAATATCTTTTATATTACAAGCTTATTTTTCTTTGTAAACTTCTGCCAAGAACGATTTACAACTAACTAAAAGTTGTTGGTAGTTCACTTTGAATCCATTCATGTCACCATAGTAAGGATCTTCTACGTTTAGGAATTTGGGGTCGTGGTGATACTCACCGATACGCTTGATGGTAGAACGACAGCTGCTGCTGCTCTTGTTGTTTCGCTGAGCATGTTCAGCGAGTTTCTTGATGTTACGAAGATTCTCACCGTCCATTCCAAAGATATAGTCGAATCGTTGGAAATCCTCGACGACCAACTGACGAGCACGATGCAATGGAATCGACTTGAAGTGTGCGTGCGCCTTTGGCGATATAGTAGACTCCAGTGACAGAGCGCATGTCTCAACTGATCGATCATCTGGTGTATCGCCTATATGATATGAAGAGGTACCTGCAGAGTCGATAACCCACTCATCTAAAAGACCCATATCTGCAACCAACCCACGAAAGATAATCTCTAGAGAGAATAACAAACAAACAAATAAAAGTAAGAAATAAACTTGTTGTTTGGAGTCACTTAATCATTCATTACATACCAGCCATAGGACTACGACATATATTTCCAAGGCACACAAAGAGTGCACTCTTCTTTGGTGATTCTCCAGACATACTAAATTAAATGTAATGTAGTGATTTCTGTTTAAGTTAAAAATAATCGATTTTTTTAATTTTTTGTCATTTTTCATTTTTTTTTTTGGTTTATTTAAACAAATTTGTTAATACCAACTTAATAAGGGTAGAGAATATAACAATCAATACTCAATTTGTTTAATATTAATAATTTTAGAAATTATGTCATTTGTCTATATTATTATTTGAATTGAAAGAAAACAACTATAAATACAATGAAATTTTGATTTTTAATTCAATTCAATTCATTCTCTTTATAAGAATTAATAAAATTTAATTATGACTATATTGGGTTTGTATTATTATTGGTTATATCAATTATATTATTTCTTTAATACTAATATTTATTTTTTTTTATTTTTTTTTTTTTAAATTAAGAGAATCTCAATAAAATCGGTCATCCACTTGAAAGTATTACTTCATCAAGTGTTGGATCATCTTTTGGCTCCGCATCAATCGAATCTGCCAATGGTACTACCGATTCTGATTGGAGAGGTGGTGGTGGCAATTGGAGAGGTGGCGGCGGTGGTGGAAACTGGAGAGGTGGAGGTGGTGGCAATTGGAGAGGTGGCGGTGGTGGTAATTGGAGAGGTGGCGGAGGTGGTGGTCACTGGAGAGGTGGAGGTGGAAACTGGTGGTAAAATCATTTCAAAACACCAATCAAAACCTATCCTTTTTGTAAATTCCAATTTTTTCAAAAGGAACATCTCATATCATTTTCTGAAAAAACAAAAAAAACTTTAAAATAAATAACTTCAATTAGTTTTTTCAATTACTAAATTTTGTTTTATAATTTCATTTTGATTATCTGATTAGATTAATTTAAAAATAAAATATCATTTTTTGATTAATCATAAAAAAAAATTTTAATAAAACGACTCGGTTTTTTTTCCCAAAAATGATTATTTATTTGTCAGTTGTATATTAAAAAAATATATCATTTTTAAATATATATATATCTTATTTAAAGTAAAAATGATTAGTAATTTGTTCTTAAAGAAATCAACAGCAACATTGTTTGGTAACAATTGTTGTAGGTTGCTGAGTCTACAGCAGCTGCAGCAACCACAACAGAGTAAAAGATATATGATGTCGATTCTCTCAAAGAGAGGACACACCGGTGTGACTATGGGCGGTGGTCAACCAACAGCTTTGAGACCATCGGCTAAAGTCAGAAGAGACGTAATGAGAAAGCAGAGTAAACTGGTCGATCCTAATAGCTCTGAATATAAACTATCACAACATCTGCAACAACAGGAACAAGAAATAAGAAACAAGAATATACCGACTACAACAAACTCTGGCATCGCAGTACCTCACTCAAAGAAGAAATCAATCAACGACAATGAAAATAATAACAGCAATAGTCAACAAGAAGGAAAAGATGTAAATTTACAAGAATCTACTTTACAGACCATCATTGGTTCAACTAATGATGAAGAACTAATGTATAGATTAATGATTAACGGTATGTAATTATAATATTAAGTGACAATCTTTCATATTTATTGTAAGAAAACTAATTATAATAATTATTATAATTGTTTAGAAATGAATTCTGAAAGAAGATATAGTGAAATGATACATCAATTAATTGTTGACATACCAGAGTGGCAAGATTACAATAATGAAGTACTGAGAACTTTAAAACAAATAGAAATAGAGTAAGTAATTAGTTGGGTAATTTCAAATCAAATAGATCAATATTAATATGAAAGTGTTGTTGTTGTTTCTTACCAGTTTTCATGCATATGAAGGAACGGCTTCATGGATTTCATATGAGCATTTCGAGAAGAGAAGAATCAGAGAAGTCGAACAGATCAGACAAAGACATTATAAACGTGTTTCAATGGCAGTAGACGTGCGATTGGAACAATATTCAATGGAGTTGGACAAGCAAATCGAACAAAAGATTGAAACCATTAAAACAGAGAAAGGTCTGACAGAGGCACAGATGAGAGCAAGCAAAGAGTATGCCTATCTCTTTGAATCGGACGATGACAAGACACCTGCAGAAATGGAAGCCGACAGACTGGCAGAGCAAAAGAAGGAGGACGAACAAGACGAATTCGATCTTGCCATTGAGCGTGCAATGGGCAACGACAAACACTTGCTAGAAACCGAAAAGATTCCGGAGGAAGTGAAAATGCTCTATCACAGAACCATGGGTACCACCTACAAACGTAAAGACGAGCACTTTGACCATCAATTCGAAATGGAACCAATGGGTCAAACCAACAAACACTCTTTTGATGATTCCGATTTCGATTTGAAAGATATTTTGAAAACAATGACAAACAACAACAACAACAACAACAAACCAGATAGTAAAAAATAAAAACCTTTTAATATATATTTTTAATGAATCCAATATATCTATTTTTAAAATCATTATTTTTTTATTTCCTATGCCTGAAAGCTTTCTTTTTTTGGTAATGATTGACAAAATTGATTCAAAAAAAAAAAAAAAAAAAAAGTCATTAATTTCATTCTTAAACTAGAGTTTAAATAGAATAGATAATATTTGATTAGTTAGATTTAGTTAGTTATGGCATGTACTGAAGAAGAATTTTTAGAGATTTTAGGAACAGAGGTGTTCATTGATATGAACAAGTTGATTGCAGTATCTAGACATGGTATACCTGAACGTGTTCGATCTGAAGTGTGGAAGTATCTTTTGGGTGTATCAAAGAATGACAAATCAGAGGAGGAGAGAGTAAGAAAACAACAGTTACAAGATTACAAAGAGATCGATAAGAATGATTCAGAGATTACAAAAAAGATAAGAAATCATTTAAAACGTTATCAAATAAATTCAAAAGTAATATTTTATTAGATAAATCTAGATTTGTGATTGTTGTTTATTAATAATAATCATAATAATAATAATTATAATAGGAATCACGTGGAAAGGTAGATCTACAATCAGTAGAAAATAGAAACAAGATAGAGAATATAATCATCTCCTATATCAACTATAATAATGATATCGAATACAACTTTGGAATGTTGGCTATTCTCGGACCATTCATGTGTACACTGCAGACAGAGAGCGATATCTTCTACTGCTATGTTGCCATGATGAAGAAGATCGAAGAGAACTTGGCACAAGACAGTCTCACCTCTAAGCTATCGAGATTTATGATGTATTTTAGATCTGTTATACCAGAGTTGTAAGATTAATCAAATTATATTTTATATATAGAAGTAGTTAAAAAGAGAGGGAAGAGAGAGATAGAGAGAGATACAAAAGAGTTTTTTTTTTTTATGTGTGTGTGTGTTATAAGAGAATGATGACTCTTTTTATTAAATATATATTTAACAACAACAATTATTACATTCATGAATGTTTAGATTCAATCATTTCGAAGAAGAAGAAATCAATAGTAATGACTGGGCTATGAGTTGGCTACGATATTTATTAAGTGTAGAGTTGCCGTTGGAATGTGTTTTGCGACTTTGGGACACCTATCTCTCTGCGCAACTCGGTTTGGATCTTCACGTATTCGTGTGTCTCGCTATTTTAATTAACTTTTCCGAAGAACTATTAGAGTTGGAACACTCTGAGATACTTGGTTTTCTTCAACACTTGCCCGGTATCGATATGGATCAGGTATGTCATAAAAACATAGTATAATTATCAATTAATTACATTACAATAATTATTAAAAATATATATTTATTTTTTAATATCTATCAATCGAATCAATGATACTATAATTTTAGATAATTGCACAAGCCTATAACATAAGAGATGACATCAGAGCAAACAATGAAATATAAAAAAATAATTTTAAATATTATTATTATTATTATTAATTTAATTTAATGTATCAAATCGTGATACAACTGATGATGGTGTTATTTTTTTTTTTTCTTTCATCTGATGCTTATTTTAGTATACTCCATCCTTTGTGTTAAAGTTTGTTTTTTTTTTTTTGCAAACTTAGTTGACCAATTTAGACACATTTTTTGGCAACCCAATCATTTTGTTTTTTATATGATCTAAAAATTCATTGAAAAAAACCATAACCCTTTCTTTATTAAAGTATTTAAGTTTTTTTTTAAACATTTTTTTCTTTGGGGTTTGAAACCCCTTCCCGCATTAGCTAAAGTTTTCAGTTTTTTTTTTGTTTTTTTAATATTATTGTTAAATTTCGACATAATTTAACTCAATGCTCTTTATCGAGTGGAAATCAAAGTGACACGGGCTTCACCTTTTTATTTACTGTTCAAAATAATATTGTTGTATTAATTATTTTTGTAATATCATAGTTCTTGTTTTTTGTTTTTTTTCTTTCTTCACCAAACAAACACGTTCTCTTTTTTATTTTTTTCAAACTCAACCAATTATTCTTATTTTTTGTAGACAACCAATAATTATTAACATTTGATATATCGATGTGTTTGTTATTGTGTTGTTGATAAAAATAAAAATCGAATAACAATAATAATAAATAACTATCCTTAACATCATCTATATATTAAGTAGTAACTCAAGATTATTTATTGTATTTCAATTTTATCAGACAGACAAACAAACATCTGTACAAACAACAACAAATAATAGTTGATTGTATAAACAATTAAAGTAGTAGACACTTAAGTAATACAGTAACACACAGATAAATAAATATTAGTTTTATACGATTTACTCGTTTATTAATTAGTTCACGTGTACCACTAAAATTTCGGTATTTATCTCACAACAGATAAAAATCAATCACACAAACAACACACACATTTTCATAACCCATTGTTCAAAATAAAATATCTAAAGAAAGTTTTTAACAGCAATACTTCAGGTTTTTATTTTTCAATTTACAAATCACAAACAAAATAAAAACAAAAAAAAAGGAGATATAGATTTATATTTTTATTTTATATATATTTATATAGAATAGAATATTACTATTTGATTTGAATTTGCTAACAAGATTCAAAAACTGTAATATGATGTCTTCACCAATTATTCAAAATAATAATAATAACAATAGTAGTAGCGGTGGTAGTAATAATAGTGAAAATAATAGTGGTAAAAAGAATAATAATCTAAGTTTTTGTATTTCAAGCTTTGAAAATGCTCTTAAAAATGTGACCACTGGCACTGTATGCTCACCACCATCAACAAGTGGTGGATTACCACCAATTCCTACTATTCCAACTTTCAATGGTAAATCACCACTGTCCGACGATGTCATTCTGGACTACCAGTGCCCTGAGGATATCGATCAACTCCAAAAGGAGGTTATGAACATTTGGCCAACATTCTACCGATTGTTGTCGGTGAAGCGCGACAATATCTTCCGATCGGTCGTTGATTTGTTGAGCCATGCGCTTGGCGGCGATCGTCGTTACATCATTTCACAACTCAATGAGAATCAATCGACACTCATTCCACTCTACGACAGCAAGATATTCATTGACAAACCGACCACCGCAACCAATAACCCTGATCATCCAATCACCTCTGCTATCAACAGCAGCAACTGCAACACCAACACCAATGGCAGTAGTAAGATCAACCTCACTACATTTTCACCGATTTTCTTAGAACCAATTCCCATCACAGGAAACAAAGATGGTGTACCATCGCCATCGGAAATCCCGTGCAGTGATATTCTCCACCAGATCAAAGACGAACACTCGGTAATCTACAATGAAAAAGAATCGGTTCTTCAGATTCCTTTGTTTTTTAAATTCATTCTCGGTGCAATTACAATTAAACCATTCTACAAACATGAGCTAGATATTCTTAGTTCCAGTCAATTAATTAGGTAAGTATTCATTATTATTGTTGTTGTTTATTTGGAAAAAAGTACAAATCATATGAATTTTTTGTTAACTTTTTATTATTATTTTAAAACAATGTTTTATTTAAAATTGTAAAGATTCGTTAAGATAAAAGCAATTAAAGAGATGGAGAGAATAAAATCCGAGTCACTTTTGAATTTCTTTGTCGAATTTTCATGTACCGACTCTAATGAACTATTTCACAGTTTAACCAAATATCTTTGTTATTATCTCGGTGTTAAACATGCTTTCGTATGTCAGTTCATACCACCCGACACCAGTATATCGATATCGTACTGTAAGGAGGGTGTTATTCAGCCAAACATTGAATACCTACTCTCTGGCACACCATGTGGTGAGCTAACCGCCAAGAAACCAGTTCACTTTGCAAACAACATTGTTTCCTATTTCCCAGAGGACAAATGGTTGGTCGAAAACAACATCGTGTCCTATCTTGGAATTCCATTTTTAGATTCTGTCGGTGACATGCTCGGTCATCTCACTGTGATGAACGATCGTGAAATCAATCCCGATATTATGTATACCTCTATCTTGGCTGCACTTGCAAATAAAACAACAATGGAACTTGAAAGAAGAAAAGGTAATTTTATAAATACTAATTATTATTCTATTCAGAAAATATCTATTTTATTAACTCGCTATCTATTTTTCATTAGTTGCTGAAAACTTTGCAGTTACAAAGGAATTGTTGAACCAATTTCCATCTACTTCCGTTATATTGACCAATGGAGAAGGAAAGATCTCCAGAACATTTGGTGCACAACTATTTGATTTCCAGAGTACAGAGTTGATTGATCAATCGATTGATATTCTTCAATACAATCAGAACTCACAGGATATGCCATTGTCTCAGATGATTCCGGTTAACTGTAATGCCGACGGTACCACCAAGCCGAATGAGGGTATCAAGAAAGAAGTAGTTTGTTCCAAAAATCCCAAAGAGCAATTCCCAGCGGAAGTCTACGTAAAGAACATCAATATTCACAAGGACAAGTTCATTGGTAGAATGTACGTAATAAGAGATATCACAGAAACCAAGAACAATCAACGTGTACTCGTTGAGGCAAGAGATCGTGCTCTCCAAGGTGTACAAATGAAGAGTCAATTTATGGCATCAATAAGTCATGAAATTAGAACACCTGTAACTATTAAATATTAAATACATTTCTTATACAAACAAAACTAATTCATAATTTATTTATTTACTTTATAGATGAATGCAGTTATTGGTTTATCGGAAATTCTATTATCATCAAATTTACCTCAAGTACAAATGAATGTAGTTGAAACACTTCACAAATCAGCAGAACTTCTCTACTCTATTACCTCTGATATTCTGGATTTCCAGAGAATCGAAGCATCCAAATTGGAGTTGGAAATCATCGAATTCGATTTCCAAGGATGTATTGAAGGTATTGTAAATACTTTATCACTACAATTAGATAAACCAATCGAAATACTATTATCATTTGATAATAAGATACCAAAGATATTAAAAGGAGTAAGTTTACTCAGCTGAATAGCACATATAAATATACTTATTTCTTTGTTTTTAAATAATTATTAGGATCCAAATAGAATAAGACAAATACTTTTAAATTTAGGACAAAACTCTATAAAATATACAAACTACGGACATATTTATATAAAGATATCATTGTTGGAACACAATGATTTCAAATGTAAGATTTCATTCTCCATTGAGGACACTGGTATTGGAATGGAGGAGAGTCAGCACTCAAAGTTGTTCCAGCCTTTCCATCAGTTGGATTCAAGTACGACCAGAAAGTATGGTGGATCCGGTCTTGGATTGTCGATTTGCAAGAAGATGGTCGAATTGATGTGTGGAGACATCCGATTGCTAAGAAGTGCACCAATGTCTGGAAGTACCTTTGAGTTCACCATCGAGCTGGAAGAACCTCAACTGGACATACCTCAACAACAAACACAAATCTCAATTGAACAACAGCAACAACATCAACATCAACACTCGGCCTCTTCAACTTCTGGCGGTGCCAGCGATCCATACGGTGGATCGATCGTCAACGAGAAGAACAAACAATATCTACTACTGCAACAGCAACAACAAGCCAGTGCACACCCACTGTCCTACTCGATATTGATTGTCGACGACTATGACTTTGGAAAGAAGATTCTCGTGAGGAAACTCTACCAGGAGATGCCGACTTGCTCCATTAAGACACTGACCACTCCGGAGATGTTGAACTACATGGAAACACCGTCACTCTCGTCCGACGGTAACAAAGCATACGATCTGTTTATCCTGGTGGAGCGTGACTCTTCTTCGCCAGCCATTTACACGTCGCTCTCAATGTCGGGCGGTCACCACCAACATTACCAGGAGCAACCGGATCTCTATCAGATGGCACAACGACTCTCGAAACTACAGAAACTCTCCAAGATTATTCTGGCGTCGAATGTCAGTGTTGAGAACAAGCAGAGAGCCGACTTTTTCATTCTCCACAAACCATTGTCATCCACTCAGATTGTCAAGATTCTAGAGGGTGGCGACGACAATTCAAACTCCTACCAACACGAGTACTACAGCGCGCAAAACCAACAGTTTGGTGCTATCAATTTGTCGGGTCCGTCTTCGTCTTCGAGTGCACTAGGAAAGCGTTCCATCAACCAGATGGCTGTCGACGAAATTGAGTATTCACAGCTGCAGCATCATCAGGACAAACGATCTAGAAGTCAATCGCCTTCAATGATGATGTCATCGGCAGCGGTTGACGACTACGAGCGTACCAAGAACATCGGTGGAAGTAGCGAGCGACGAAAGAACTTTAAGATCTTGTTGGCCGAGGACAACGAAGTCAATAGAAAGGTGGTCAGTATGCAGCTGAAGAAGTTGGGATTCCAGTGTGATTGTGCCAAAGACGGTAAGGAGGCAGTCGATATGTTCAAAGGTGGAAACTACGATCTCATCCTGATGGACTTGACCATGCCAAACACCGATGGACCAACTGCATCGCTACAGATCCGGTCGTACGAGGAGATATACCGATCAAAGAAAGTAATCATCGTTGCACTCACCGCAATGGTACTCGAAGGTTCCAAAGAATATTGTAAATCAATGGGAATGGATGAATTCCTACAGAAACCACTGAAACTCGAACGTCTAGAGAAGATTCTAACTACTTATTTACTACCAATACAACAATCTGGTTGATCTGATTACCTATGTTTAATTAATTATCATTACAAACTTTAATCAATGACAACAAACAAAACCAATCAATTGTACATATATAGAACAACAACAAAACTTATTTATAATATATTAATATTTAAACATCATTAAATCAAATCAAAAATATTAATTTAAACATAATCAATAATGAATAGTAATAATCTTTCATTTGTATAGATCTATCAAAATAAAATAAATAAATATATTGTTATATGATGATATTGACATACTTGTTGGTTTTTTTTTAATTAAATTGTTATATATATAATAATGTTATTGTTATTAGTTAAATTCTCTCTTCTTCCAAAGAGTTTCATTTTTACCAGACTTCATAGCGGCGTACCTGCAAGCAGCAAACAGAAAATCACTCAAACGATTCATGAATACCGATACATTCTCTGGGATCACTTGATGTCTCGATAGTGAACAGATCGATCTCTCTGCTCTTCTGCAAATGGCTCTAGATAAATGTAAGTGAGAACTAGCAAGTCCTACACCACACTATTGAAATGAGAGGAAGATCGTCGGTTGATTAATATTAAGTAGATGTAGATGGGTTAGATAGTAGTTTTCATAAACCATTAACTTACAGGTACAATAAAGTTTTTCAATGGAGGAAGTTTAGAATCCAAGAGGTCGATCCAACGTTCCAATACGATGACGTGTTGATCGCTGAATTTAGTCTTTTGAATGTGTGAGTCTTTTGAGGTATCCAATGGTGTTGCACAACATGCACCGACATCGAGCATCAACGATTGAATCTTCTCAATGTAATCTTGTAATCCATTATTATCGATCATACAGTACTCCAATGCAACTCTATCATTGTTTTGTATTTATATTAATTTCATTTGCTTGAGATGTTCACTTGCATTGTGTATTTATATATTTATATACCCTAATGATGCATTCAATTCATCGATGTTACCAAGTGCATTAAAAAAGTCATCATCCTTTGGTTTTCTTTCACCGTTGAATAAAGAAGAATAACCTTTATCACCTGTTTTAGTATATAATCTACTTCTTTTTAGATCTTCTCCATTGTCTTCTATACTACTATTATTATTACTATTATTGTTGTTTGCGTCGTCTTCCATTCTCTTTTCAGTTTAATTAAAAGTCATTAATGACTTTTGGTATTAGTAATTTTAATTTTTTAAAAAAAAAAAAAAAAAAAAACAAATATATTCATTTCATTTATAAGACAAAGAATTAGAATCAATATATAATTTAAATATTTGGAGATATAAATAACAATAATTATAAAGACGTTGTTAATTAAGTACAATTCCACAAACTATAAAAATTTGTGTAATAATTAAATTTAATTAATTGCATTGTGTGATCACACTAAATTAGGTAAGACAATCACAGAACAATTAATTATACCCAGTTAATTAAGTGGTCCAAACAATTCTTTGTGCAAACTTGTAAATAAATAATAAATAATGGACAAACAAAAATACACAACAATTTAATTAAAATAAAAAAAGTGTTGGACCGTTATTGATACTTAATAAAAAAGTTTGTGTGACCCACCTTCGGATGACCACGAAAATCTTTGCAAAGGCCACCAAAATTTTTTGACCCAATCGCAACCTTAGGTCAATACGAATTTGCAATTTCAGACATTTTTTGTTTTTTCAACGAATCGATGTTTATTTTTGTGATGATAGGACTTTAACAAACCGTTTCTTTTTTTTTGTTATGGCGGCTTTTATAAAGACTTTTAATCTTAATTCTTTCACTTGTATAATATCCAATAATATTATAAAATAATCTATTATTTCTATTTATAAAAATGTCAAAGACAGTTACATTTGCTATTGTTGGAGATAAGAACGTTGGTAAATCATGTGTTCTTATCAGCTATGTCACTTATGCATTCCCACCTGATATTGCACCAGTATGTATTTGATAAATCGAATATTAATACTGCATTTCAATATATTTTTAAACATTAATTTATCCTACTACTCATTTAGAGCACTTTAGGTCTTTCAATTAATAAAAATGTTGATGGAAACAATTACAATATTGAATTTTCTGAAGTTGGTGACTATGATGTACTACCAAAAGCCGATGTATTTTTAATTGTATACTCTGTCACTACTCCATCTACACTTGATAGTGTTCAATCAAAGGTAAGAGAAAATCATTACAGAAAGATAAAGTTGAAAGTTAATTAATAAACAAAAATTATTTTATTTTATTATAATAGTGGGTACCAAATATAAAGAATAATGCTCCTGATGTTCCTTTTATTTTAGTTGCTAACAAGATTGATATGCGTGACGACCCAGCATCAATTGAAAGACTAGCACAAAAAGGAATAGCACCAATCACAACAGAGCACGGTAGATCAAAGTCCAAGGAAATAGGTGCTGCTGCTTTCATTGAGTGTTCTGCACTCACAATGTTTGGTTTACATCAAGCCTTTGATGAAGCAATCAGACAAATCCACACAGGTGTTGGAGGTAAAGGAAAAGCAAAAACTTCATCAAAATCTAAATCAAAGAAATCCTGTGAAATCTTATAAACAGAAACTTCAACATCATCATCACTCAAATCGCGTACTAGAATAAGTAGATAATCTATTCTTCCTACTTTTTTTTCTTTCTTTCTTTGCAACAAATAAATTCTTATTTCATCTTTCTTATTTATTTTAAAATTATAATACATATTTAATATTTATTTGAGGTATTGTTTGGTTTAAAGCTTTATAAGATATTAATAATATCAAATTAAAATAAATGATATTTAAAAATATCTACTTAATTTTATTTTTGTTTTTAGTTCTTTTTCAACTGTCATTGTCACACTCTAAAACAACAATATCAGGATAATGTAGTTTTGTTAACTAATTATTTAGGCAAATAATTATCTTCTTATAATTTGTTATTCATTATGGATTTTAATATTGAAAAAGAAAAGCAGAAATATCTCAATTTGTTAAAGATCAATCCAAATGATATAGATTCACTCTTTTATCTTACAGAGACATTTGATTTTGATGATGTACAGCAAGTAATGGTGCTTCCATCTGGTGAATCGGTGACTAAAGAGCAACTCCTATTGAAAGTGATTTGCATGAATCCAAACTATGGCTATGCATATCACAGCCTTGCTGCACCACTTTCAATAGGTCAGACAATCACACTCAAAAATGGAAAATCAATGACAAAACACCAACTCTACTTGAAAACAATAGAGTGTGATCCAAACTATTACCCTCCGTATTTCAATATTGCAATAGGACTTGCAAGAGATGAATCAATCAAACTAAACAATGGGAGTTCAATGACTCAGCAACAGCTTTATTTGAAAACAATAGAGTTGAATCCAACACATCCCGATCCATATTTCAACCTCTCACAAACACTTTCCAGACATGAATCGATTATATTAAACAATGGCCAAAAAATGACTAAACAACAATTAATCCTGAAATCAATAGAGTTGGATCCTGACTTTCCACCTGGCTATTCTCAGCTTGGAACAACACTATCTGAAGGCCAAACAGTCAAACTTTACAATGGTAAAACAATGGATTGTTTTCAACTTTTCCTCAAGGCATTATCACTGGATCCATCACACTATGATACACTTGTTAATCTTTCGTTTAGACTTACACTTCAATGTAAAAGCGATTCATCAGTCACTATGCCCTCTGGTGAATTAATGACAAAGAAACAACTATACTTGAAGGCAATCCAGGTTGACCCAGATCGCTACGAAGCATACTATTTCCTAGCATTGGACATGAAACCTAACGAAACAGTCACACTCTATAATAATAAAAAAAAGACAAAACAACAGCTATTACTGGAGGCAATCAGAGTCGATGAGGAAGAAACATCGATTTATAAAGACATTGGATTAACGCTTTTGAAAAACAAACAAGCTATTACACTTCCAAATGGTGAACAATTATCAAGAAGACAACTACTTAGAAAAGCAAGATATGCTTAGATTTACAATTATTTAATATTTTTCTATTCCTATATAAATAAAAAAATAATTGAACAACTAATTTTAAGATTGTTGGAATTATTATTAACATTGATGAATAAACTATGATTGTTATTATTATGAACAATGAATGATTTATCTTGATGTTGTTGATGATGAAGATGGTAAAATCAGAGCCCTTTAAGGAGTTGTATTTACCGCAGGGATACCAAACTGTATAGGTTTATTAATGTCGTACGATGTCAATAAAATCAGAGATGAATCTGACTAGAATACTAAAAAAATAAATGAATCAGAAGAAGATACCAAACTGGATAGGTTTAGTAAAGATCTAAATTTTGATTTTTAATTCAAATACAGAGCCGACCAAAACCACATTTTACTACCCAATCCAAAGAGCTCGCTACTAGACCAGAAATTGATGTTTTTATTTTCGAAAGCATAGGTCTTCAAGCTGACTGAGCTTCTTTTTGCGTGTACTAGAATTTGCGATTAATTACAACTAAAAGACTGCTTTAGATCACCATCCATATCTGGTCGTTTATTCCAACTAAATGATAAACTAGTGAACTTGAAAATGCTTTTAAGAATCCACTATACTTCCAAATCTTTTTCTTGGTTTGAGAAAAGGTTTCTTTGTTGGTTGGGGTACTGGTTTTACCATCATCATCATCACCATCAACTTCTTTGATGTTACTCGATATAACACTCTTGTACAAATTCAACTGAACGTTTTAGGAAAAAAAAAAAAAAAAATTAAAAAAATCATAAAAATTAAAAAAAAAAAAACGAGCGAGACTGTGTTCGTCAAAAAAAAAAAAATTCTATTAAAATAAATAAAATATTTTTTAATATTTATCTATAAATCTAACTATAATTATTCGATAATATTATATATTAGTATAATATAGTAGTAGATTCATATAGATCTTATTTAATAAAACCATGGTTGTAAAGAGAAAAGAAACTACTAAAGTTGCTACTACTACCACTTCAACCACCAAAACCAACAATACATCTAAAAATGTAGAAACAACAAAGAAATTAAAAAATGTAAGTATTATTATTATTATTATTATTATTATTATTATTTACTTAATAGAATATTAAGAATACTAATTAATATGCTGGATTTGAATTACTTTAATATTAAAGGATGAAAACGATGATCTTTCTAAATCAATTTTGGCATTGGGAAATGATTATGATGACGATGATTTAAAGTTTCAATCGAAATACTATAATGATGACGATGATGATGAAGAAGATGATCAACAAGATAGTGATGACGATGATGATGTAGAGATGGATGATGAATTGGCAGGTGATAATGACTTTGTTGATGATGACGATGAAGAGATGCTGGATGACAGCGAGCGAACCGTTGGCGGTGGAACTATCACCAAGGAGTACAACGAGGCAACCGACAAGCGATATGCCAACCTTCGTGTAAAGAGCACCGACAGCACCGAGCAATCGAGAGCACCAACCACCGAAGAGATGCAAGAGTTTCGTGAGACACAAGATCTCTTCAATTCCAATCTGTTCCGTCTGCAAATCAACGAACTCTTCCGTGAGATCAAAGTGAACTACACCAAGACAACCGCATTGGAATCTGCACTCTACCAACTAAAAGAAATCGTTGAATCAATACCAGATCAAATTGTAATAACTACCAATACTATTCTATCTAATATATATATATTAAGTTATGTTACTAACATATCTACTTGTTTGTTTTGTAAACTACTACTACTAGGTTAATGTTTATAGTAATAATGTAGAGAGTGTTAAATTGTTGGATATAACAGGTGAGGATTTGCAATTGGAGTTTCAAAAACCATCGGCTGTCGAGATTATCGGTAGTTACATGTTGAAGACGGTGACCAAGTCGAATCCAAACGTCGATATGGCAGTGCAGATTCCAGAGAGTTGCTTTACAAAGTCCGATGCTAACAACTTTAAGTACTTTACGAAGCGTAATCTCTATGTTTGGACATTGGCACAGGCAATAAAGAAGCACAGCAGATTCAGCAACGTTCAATTCACCAACTTCAACGGTGATTCAAACAAACAGATTCTCGTCGTCAGACCAAACGCAGATCCAGCATCGGGTGCACACACTCGTTTCACCATTAGAATCATTCCATATATTTCGAAATCACAATTCAGAATCGACACAAAGTTCAACCCGAATGCCAACTGTATCTTTACAAACAACGAGCAACAACAACCAACCAGTAACACCAACAATACAGTTTACAATGTCAATACATACAAAGATAATGATATAGTATTAACACAACTACCAACAACAACAACATCTACAACCAATTCAAAGAAAGAAAACAAAAAGATATTTGGTAAGTGTTTAACATTGTTTTTACAAAGTATAAGTACTTATACTTATATATATATATTTATATTTTATTTAGAATCAATTCAAAGATCAGCATTTTATAATAATGCAGTGTTGGAAGATGCTTTGTTTTTCGATCATATGAATCTATTGAATGAGAAGATTAGAAATGCACCAGTGTTGATTGATACCATTCAGTTGTTGAAATCATGGTTGTTGGTAAAGAATATTCCAACCATTAATAGTTTCCATCTTTCAATGTTGGCTGCCTATCTCTACAGTATCGGTCGTATCAACAAGGCAATGAGTACCTATCAGGCATTCCGTATGACTCTTGTATTCATCTCCAAAGACTTTAACAAACCATTGGAATTCAAATTGGAAAAGAATTCAACATTGAAACAAGGTGAATACATGGAATCATTCCAAAAGCTATATCCAGTTATCTTGGTCGATCAATCCGGTTTATTAAACATATTCTCAAGAGTTACATCATGGGCATTTAAAGAAGTAAGATTAATTAACTTAACTTATTAGATATAATAACTTACTAACATTATACATCTATTATTATTATTATTATTGTTAGTTACAAAATGAAGCTGTTAAAGCATTAAAGAATTTAGATAGTGGTGACGGATTTGAAGATATCTTCTTGACAAAGAATCATCCATTGTTAAACTATGACTATCTTATTAATATAAAGTTGTCAAAGGAATGTAATTTGAAGGTACCAACTAATGATTACTTCCAGGAGGAGTTGTATACCGATCATTCGATCTATCGTTCACTCTACAGATCATTGACTAATCGTGCTCGTTCCATTAGCGTTGTGTCACAAGCCGAGCCAGTCTGCTGGGATATCAGTCAACCCATTCCAGAGTCGTACAATCGTATTGTGCAGGTTGCCATCCAGTTGAATCCAGATCACTGGCTACGTCTTATCGATATGGGTCCATCGGCAGACCACCGTGACGCCGCCAAGTTCCGACAGGTCTGGGGTGCCAAGTCACAGCTACGTCGTTTCAAAGACGGTTCGATTCACGAAGCCGCTACATGGACACCCAAAGACGGACTACGTCATCTCGTCGTTGAGGACATTGCCAAGTACATCTTGGGTCACCACCTCAAGGTGCCAGCCGCCAACATCCAGTCGTTGATTACCAAGTTCGATCGTGTTCTCCACTCTGGTGCAGCTCTTGAAGATCACACACTGAGCGCTATCAAAGCAAAGGGCAAGCTACAACAGGAAATCAACTCACTTCAACTGCCTTTGAAGATCCAAGAGTTCACCGCAATGAATCCCGCGCTCCGTTACACCAGCGTCGCCACCAGCTACGATCCATCGTACAGCCAAAACACACCGATCGAAATCCTCTTGCATTTCGAACACTCGCGATTCTGGACTTCCGATATCGATTCTATCCACGCTCTAAAGACAGCGTTTATGCTAAAGATTGCCAAGGAGTTGGATGCCGATACCTATCGACCGCAGCTGACTGAAGACTACTTGGATGTTCGCACCGACGGATTCCTCTTCCGTCTGATTCCATACTACTCGAAGGAGACCGAACACTTCACATCGAGACACGCCGATAAACAAAAGAAGATGATGTACTTCCAACGCTCCTACCTACACCATCAACACATCCAAGCACTGCACACCAGTTATCCCTCGTACGGTGCTGCCACCCGTCTAGCTTTAAGATGGGTACATTCCAACCATTTCACATCGACCATTAAACAACAAACAATCGAATTGATAATGGCACATATCTACAAACATGTTCAACTCAATCGTGCTTCGAACGACACCGAGAATAATCAAGTGGACTATCCAGTCACCCCGGTACTTGCTTTCTTCCGATTCCTGCACTTAGTTGCTCACCACGACTGGAGCGAACAACCGATGATCGTTGACTTTACTGATTCTCTGAGCTTGGCCGATGTCAACTCGATCAAAGCAATCTTTGAACAACAAAAGTCGGTCAACAACCTACCACTCTTCTTCATTGCCACCGACAAAGACCGACCCTCTGTATGGTGGAAAGATGTCAACTCTCGTGATGTATCCGTTCGTGAGAGATTCGTAACACTCGCCAGAGAATCACTCGAGTTGATCAACTCCAACTTTAACGACAGTCAATTCGATTGGCTATCGATTTTCCAACCATCGTACACCGAATACAATGTTATTCTAACACTCAACAATCAATATATAACCAATTACGATAGAGAAATTAATCAACTTATTAATTCAACAACATTACCAACACAATCCACCATTCAACAACAACAAGTTAAATCAAATATTAACAACAATACTACTCCAGTAAATCCATATGCCAAAGTAAACCCACTATCACTTATTAAAAATCTAAAATCAACACCAGCACAAACAACAACAACCAATGATAAACCAACCGCTACAACCACCACCGCCACCAAAACAAATATTGTCTCAATCACCAAAACAAATAACAATTTAATTCCAGGTTTGAATATCGTGGAGGTATTCATTAATAAGTTAAACGACAGATTCAATGAATACTGCACCTTTAGCTATGATGGAGTTGGAGGTGATAAAATTGGAATTAAATGGAACACTTCACTATTGGAACCACATTCATTAAAACCATCGAAATCACAATATACAATTCCACTTGTAAGTAATCTAATAACAATATTGTTATGATAATATCGATTTATAATCATTTATTAATTATCTCTTTTGAAAATAATAATAGATTGGTGAAGGCTTAGTTAAATTAAATACATTTGAATTAGTACATGAAATTCAAAAGGTTGGAGGTAAACTAATTAAGAGCGTTGCATTCAATCAAAAGGATCAAATTAAACTAAATTAAAATAAATAAAATAAATAATATATTAATTATCAACCAACTCCTCAATAACAAAAACGATAAATTTAAAAGTAAGAATGGTAATAATAATGATTAACTAAAATTTATTTATAAAAATAATTATAATTGAATTTATTTATTTAAGAAGTTATCGTTTTGAAAGTTATTTTTGATGGAGTCCAATTCCATCAATGTGGAATGTCATATTATTCAATATATCATCTGAATGTTGGTCACTTTTGGTTTGTTTTTTTTTTTTTTACATTTGTAATTTAATTATTATTATTATATATTGTTTTTGGTATGGTGTGTTGATTTAATATTCATCATCGATTATTATTGTTGAACACTATTCATCAATACCATTTTAACTTCATTCATAAATACTTTCATTTGATCTTCGAGTTCGTTGATTCTAGAGTTGAGTTGATCCATTGTTTTGTCCTTTTCGGTCATTTGTTGACGTAGAATACGGTTATCCAACTCTAGTATTTTGATACGTGATTCCAGCTTGGCCTCTGTGACAACGCTGATTGAGTCACTGTCCTTGGTGGGTGCAGCTGTTGCCTTTGGGACGATCGGAACCACTGTGATTGGTTCGAGTTTGGTCGGGGTGCCTGGACGTCTCGATAAAGGTGGTGATTGAGTGGTTGGTAGCATTTGTGTTGGTGTTGCTGGACGTGATGACATTGGACGAACAGTTGTAGTAGTAGTAATATTGTTGGTATTGTTGATTGACGATGGTGTTGGATTTGATAAAATTCCACTTGGTGATGCTGGACGCGATGATAATACAGCTGGACGATTAATATTGTTTTGACTATTGTAGGCAGCGTTATTAGTGAGGTACAATGGTTCCAAAGTTACATCGGTCATCGCTTGTAAATGCTCTTTCTTGGAGGTGGTGGTGGTAATTGGTTGCATTCTTGGCGATGGTGGTTGCTGACTTAATGTGGTTTTCGAGGGTGAGGCACCAATTTTCGAAAAAGAAACACCACTAGTTTGGATATTTGGTAGTGGTTTGACAAAACTACCACTACTACCACCACTGCTAATATTAATTGGTTTTGACTGTTGTGGTGGTTGATGTTGTTGTTGTGGAATGGTCGATGATTGTACATGTTTGGTTGATGTGGTAATGATTCTTTGTTGATTCAATGTATTCTTTGACATATTTTCTTTACTATTATTATTAAATGATGAAATTGGATGATTTCCTATTGGTTGTTTACTATTATTATTGCTATTATTATTAATTTTATTTCCAGATTTATATCCATGTGGATCTATTATAAATATTTATGTTTTTATTACAAATTTAATATTAATATTTATGTTCTTTCTTTAAATTGCAAATTAATTACAAACCTTTTGGTGGAGATAGACAAAAAGAGAATCTCTCTTTATCTTTGTTATCGAATAGAACAGAGTCACGGACACTGTTGAGATCGAAAATACTTGCTTTGGGAGCACCAGCCATTGGCTTTGACGGTCCATGATTAGGATTGCTATTCATAAGATGATCTAGACCATCCCATTTATATTCATCTGTATTATCAATCATTTTGTTTGTTTGTTTGTTTTTTCTAGACTAGTATTATAATTATTATATCAAATGAAACAAAAATAAATAAAATAAATATATGTAAATTATGATTAATTATTAAATAAAATAATTTTAGTAAATAATAATAATAATATTAAATTAAATGTTTTGTTTAAATCAAAAAAAAAGAAAAAGAAAAAGAGGAGTGAAGATAGTATTATTGATCATGAAAATATTATCAAATTTTATTACATTTTTATTCCCTCCAAGTTTTTAAACGGATCAAATTTGGTTTTGAGTTTTTTTTTAAATTTGAAAAATGGAACTACGTTGATCAACATCAATGAAGGTGACAATCAACTTCAAAGAACTTAGTTTTTTTAAAATAATCACATATTTTCGTACTTTTTTTACATCTTTAAATTAATCTATTTAATTGTTAGATTAAAATCATCATATTTATCGTTATCAACAACAACAACTTCATATCTATATTGTATAAATAGTTATTAATATTAATTTGGTTAATAATTATCATAAATAGAATATAAATATAGATAGATAAGAAAGATAAAGATAAATTTAGATAGATGATAAATAAAAGTAAAATAAACAAAAAAAAAGGATGATATTATCTAAAAAATATAGGTTAAATAATAGTAGTAGTGTTAATCGACATTATGTGTTTTATTTAGCGACTTTATTATTTATTATTGGTTTGACAAACTGTGTTGTCGAATCAGCAAAGAATCAAGACACTGAAGTCAGTATCAAAGAAGTCAGTTTATTGTTACCATATACATCTTCAAGATCAAGACTATTCTATAAATTAGGTGCAATCAATGGTTGTTTTGAATGGTAAAATATCAGATAATAACAATAATCAAATCAAACAAAATGATCATAATATTAACTTTTTTAAATGACAACAACAACAACAACAACAACAACTTACTTTTTTTTTTTAGGTCAACTAATAATCAAGAGTTAATCGAATTAGAACCATTGTATGAATCGGCATCATGTGATACTGGTGCAGGCGGTAACAGTGGCGGTAGTACCGCACTCATTGGAACACCTTGGGGCGAACCAGAGAGCAAGAAGTGTTCGACAAGCGTCAAGGTTTCAGTGAGAAGTGGATTTGGATCGCGTGATTCCACTTTGATTTTCGCAGAGGATCGTGCATCTGGAAGACGTCTGCGTTGTGAGGTGTTTGTCGACAAGATCGCCTCTATCAGTATTGAGACTACCACACGTACCATGTTCAAGGACGCCAGTGAGATTCTCGAGGTGCTGGCATTCGATGCCGAAGGCAATCGTTTCTCCACGGTGATGGGTGTCGAGTTTGAGTGGTCGGTGTCCGCCGCCAACACCATCCAGATCGTGCCGTTCAAAGATTCATCGATGGATACCGATCCTGTGCTGCTGGCGATGGAGCGCGAAGGATTGCAATCATCACTGGTTCTAGTCCAAGGAATTGACACTGGAAGAGCACAAGTAACAGCTAGACTCACCGAAACCTCTTATTCCAGCATCGATCCATCGACTGTCACCATCTCTGTGCTCGAACCACTCCAATTGTTCCCCTCACATCTTCTCTATGTCATTCAAGGAACTCAGATTCAATATCTCTTACAGACAGAGAAGCGTAATCAATTGGAAAGTATGGACTATTTATCAACTGTTTATCAAAATACAAACATACATATTAACAGAGCTCTGTTTCTTTTCGTTTATTAATATCTATCTCTAGCAATTACTATGCCAAATCCACAATATGTCTGGGATTCAACTAATAAGAAGGTTGGTATTGTCGAACAGAACGGTTTGTTTATGGCAACTGAAATTGGAAAGACAGAGATTATCGTGCAACACAAGAATATGACAGAGAATCGTGCACATACTATTGTTCATGTGGTCAGTCCATCGTATTTGGCGTTGAAGATCGAACCAATCAATTTGGGACCGGGTCCAGTTAGCAATTGGAATCTGATTGAAAGCAAAAACTATACTTTGACCGTGGAGTTGTATGATACTGCTGGTCATAAGATCTACAACTCTGATATTTCGTACGACGTCGATATCTCTAAGAGCTATTTCGAACCGATCACCTACCCCGGTGGCAGAACCGGCTCCGATACTTTCAATGTGCGTGCTATCAAGGAGGGTGTGACAACGGTGCGTGCCTCACTCTCAAAGATCTACGATCCAAAGCATGGAAAACTTGTGCCACTTCTCCACCCGATCTCTGTCGAACAGGAACTCACGATCAGTCCGCAGATCTCTTTGCTTCCACCCATTCTCTATTTCCCTTTTATCGCTGGACAACCCTCCACTTCAGTTCCATTGCGTGCTCGTGGTGGTTCTGGTGAATACTTGTGGTACACTAATAATAGTTCGATTGTTGATGTCGATGCTGCCGGTGTTGTTAGAACCGGTGCCAACTCTGGCCAATGTGAAGTCGCCGTTGTCGACAAGAAGAATCCACACAATCGTGAAAAAGCCAAAGCTTTGGTTATTCCACCAACCGCTATTGCATTCTCACCGTCACCAGTCGAAGTAGAAGTTGGAAAAGCAATCACACTCGCTGCCGTCTTGAAAAGCGACCGTTTGGCTGCTGGCCATCATTTCGATGCTTGCAACATCCCCGATCTCCAATGGTCCGTTGAAGATGGTACTGTCTTTGCTCTTCAAGAGCCGTCGGCCGTGCCAGAGTCGCAACCACGTGGAATGGAAGGACACATCTGGACACCACGCAATCCAGAGCACTGCTCTGCCAAGCAAGTCAAGGCACTCAAGGAAGGACTGTCACTCGTCCACATCGATCACCACGGAATGAAAGCACACAACCGTGTGTTTGCCTATCGTCCTCTCACCCTCGATCCACCCGAAGCGCTGGTCACTCTTGGCTCCAACGTTGTCGTGCATCACCAAGGTGGTCCAGAACCATGGTACAACGATCCCAAGCTATTCCAACGTTCAGTGGTCGCCGAGCACCCTGACGATGTAGCCATCACAATGTTGTCGCCACACAGCTTCAGTGTAACTTGTCTCCAACACAACGAGCAGACTCTCACTCTCCGTGTCGGAAATCGTGCCAACGCTGCCAATCCTGTGCCAGCCACACCAACTGCCGCCTTCAAATTCCGTTGTGTTCCACCAGCATCGATCCAACTCAGCTTGAATGAAGACGCCGACAAGTTGACTGATCTCCCTACTGGTGCAGCATGCTCCAACTCTATCGTCGCACTCAACGAGCGTAAACCAAGCCAATCCAGTGATGTTCCACTCTACAAAGTACGTAACAATCGTGATCTTCCATTTATTGCCGCTGTCTTTGATGAAGCTGGTCGTCGTTTCACCAACTTCTCCACATTGAAATTCGACTGGGCTTCAAAGGATGAGCAACTCGCCAAGTGGACACCATCCATCATTGGATCACTCGCAACACTCGGACTCTTCAAGCGTGAAGGTCGCACCCGTTTAGAGTCGGCAGTCACTGGATACAACACTGAGATTCTCAAGCGTGCCGGTGTCACCAAGAACATCCCAACTCTCGATTCCAAACAACTGCACAGTTCCGTCGATCTCGACTTGATCTCCAATGTCAAATTGGTTCCATCGCATTCCACTCTCTTTTTGAATGAGAAGAATGTACTCTCGCTAGAAGCACTCGGTGGTAGCGGTAGTTTCTCATTCAGTTCCAACAACTCCAAGATTGCCAAGCTCGAACCCAACAAGAATGTTGTCCTCGTCAAACCGATTGCACCTGGCTACCTAAAGGTTGATGTTACCGATGTCTGTTTGGGAGGCGCTTCTGAACCAGCCATTGTATTCATCTCGGAGATTGGACATCTCGAGATATCGTCATCAGAGTTGATCCAAGTCGGAGGTTCCACTCCGTTGCACGTCAATGCATTCGACTCGAACGGTAATCCATTCGATCAATCACAATATAACTACATTGATTTGACTCCACACATTGATAATCCAAATGTTCTCGGTATCAAACCAACACCTGAAGATCCTCAGACATTCACACTCCGCGGTCTCGACGCTGGTGTAGCCACTCTCTCGCTGGCCAACACCAATCCACGCACCGGAAATGTAGCACAATCGCCAACCACCCAAATTCAAGTATTCCCACCATTCAAAGTATCGCCACAAACACTTCACTTGGTTCCAGGTGGACACTTCCAACTCCAATGGAGTGGAGGTGCTGCCTCTCGTCAGGACGTCTCTTTCAAGGCAGAGAACCCATCGGTTGCATCTGTCGATCGCTCAGGAGAAATCATCGCGCGTGGCATCGGTGAAACAGTGATCACCGCCATTGCCAATATCGTCGATACCAAGACTGGAAAATCTCAAAAGATTGGCGAAGACACTCTCACCGTCTACGTCAAGAACATGACTGGAATTCGTCTGCACAGCACCATCGATCGTCTTTTGGTTGGCGACGAAGCCAAGATCCGTGTTATCGGTGCCAACGGAGAGACTCCATTCACCTATGGAACAGTCGACCTCTACTTTACATGGGAATGTCTCGACGATGGTTACATTGTATCGCTCCTACCGGTCTACCAATCGGCCAACACCACAATCGAAACTGAAGGTTCGTTTGGTGTTCGTGTCTTGGCGAATGCCGCTGGCAGCACAACTGTCACCGCCTACGCCTACAGCGACAACGATCGTTCTCGTCTCCTCTTCAAGACTCCACCCTTCAAATTCACAGTTGTCGACAGCATCGGTATTCCCACCTACAGTCTCTTGTTACCTCTCAACACCGTCTACCTACTTCCATCCGTAACCAACAAAGAAGGAATCGACATTTCCAGACTGGATTGTCTGACCAATATCAACTGTGATGGTGTCACCGTCAAGGACATGAAGATTATCACACAGGATCGTATTGGAACTTGTTATCTCTCTGCCACTCGTGGTGGACGTGGTGACACTTCCTCACTTGTCAAAGTTAACACCAAGCCTTTCTCTCATCTCGAAGTGATTCCACTCAATCCAATCACTGTCGTACCAATGGGCGGTTCCATAACCTTTGGCCTCTACTTGCGTGACGACATTGGTGAACTCTTTAGCAGCTATGCTGGTGTCGCATTTGAAACAGAGTTTAGCAATGCCGGTATCATCGCGGTGCACATCGAACAAAATCCAAATCCAACTAGCAACCAACCACCTGTCACTCTTGTCGCCAAAGCATTGCGTGCCGGCATCGTTACACTGCGTGTCTACCTCAAGGGAATGGATCACATCGACGACTATGTAAAGATCTTTGTCGGTAGATTCATCGAGCCAGACAACTTGATTGTCCACGTCGGTGCCAAGATCCAATTCAAGCTGGATACACAACAACTTTCACAGCGTGGATACGCACTTCCAATGGGTGGTGAACGCGTCTGGGGAACTGGAAACAGCACAATCATGGCAGTGGAGCCAGCCACCGGAAAGGCAACCGCTCTTCAACCAGGTCGCACCACAATCAACTACCTGAAGAATCCATCGTCACAAGCCATCATCCAAGTCGCAAAGATCGCCAGCATCGACTTGGAACTCGCCAACCAAGTTATTGTCTCGACCAACGAAAAGTATTCCTATCCACTCCGATTCAAGACTCAGACCTCACAGGAATTGACCTCGCACCGCTCCGTTCAAAACAACATCGATTGCACCTGTTTCATCAAGGATACCAACGTTGCCACTGCCAAATGTGAACTCTCTGCAACCGACACCACCCAATTCCAGTGTGTCGTCACACCAAAGAGCATACCAACCTCAGTGGTCGACCGAATCACTCTGGTTATTCGCGTTGCCGATCGTCCATCGACCTACAGTCTCGAGAAACAATTCGATCTTCCATTCGAAACATCGTTCAACATCTTGGGACGCAACGAAGTACAACTCACCTCGAAATCCAACTCTTACAACCTCAATATCGAATCGTATCACCCGCTTCTCGTGGAATCATCCGATAGCTCACTTGTCACAGTCACCCCACTCCCGGCAACACAATCACCCTCGGGAACTGGACTCATGTATAATTACATCATCACACCGGCCAAGAATGCTCAGTCATTCCAAGACGTACCGGTGTATATACGCAGCTCCGAAAGCAAGACAAAGCAGTCGGTGCTTGTCTCTTACAACGAACACTCATCGTATGTCAACCAACAGTCATCGTTGCCCTACATGACCATCTCAGGATTGGGTCTAGCGATTGTGATTGCATTGATAACATTCTTTTTCTCATTTAAATACAATCATAAGCCACCCACCTACGTCATTCCATCTCAATCCAGACCAATTCCAGCATCACCATTCAGATCACCACCACCACCAACTAGTTTCCAATCACCACGAGGCGGATCCGATTCCATCTATCTTTCACAATCAAAGTATGGACGATATTAAATATTTAAAAAACATAACAAAACAAATCCCAATATATATATATATAAATAAATTAAAATTAAAAATAATAAGGTTGGGTTTTGAACCATTTTTTATCTGTCTGTTTAATTCTTTCAAAAACAGTATCGGTGTTGGATGAAAAATAAAAATTATATTTTTTTTTTTAAAAGTGATTTGTCATCAAAAAATGGGTTGCAGGATCAGCGGTCTATCAGGTTCAACATTTTTCAACCGACTCTTTATTTTTAAATTAAAATTGTTTATTAACATTATTAATAATAATAATGAATAGTAAAATAATGTCAAAAACGACAAGTTTGATATTATTTACTATTTGTTGTTATTTTATAGTGCAAACAACAATTGCACAGGATGGTGATTCTTCAAAAGCAGTTCATGTATCTTTAGTATCTAATTGGGAGAATACTCCTTTATATCTAGAATCTTTGTATGTTTGGAATATAATTACAATCTATATATAAATATTTAAAGTCAATAGATTGATATTGATTAACCTTTTTTTTTTTTTTAAAACAATCATTTATTAGTATGTTTTTCAAAGAAAGAGTAGATAATGTAGTCTATAATAAATATATAGAACAATTGGCAAAATCGGTTGCAAAGCGATCGTATTCAGAGTTGTCCGATAAACAAAAGTATGATATTGTGATTGACGCTGCTACCACTGTGTTGGGTGATGACACTCAGTTCTACATTGGTGCGTTGCGTGCCGACCTGACAATGCGTACCTTTTCACCAAAGGTAGAGTTACTCCGTCAGCTTTATCTTTCCGCTATGACATCGAACAACATTGCCATTGGTAAATCGAGTGTTCCACTCATTCAAATCGGTTCGCAGACAATTCACCAAAACCTGAATATCAATGCAATCGATCAAGCTCTAAAGTCAATAGTAGTTACCGAGAAGAACAGCAACAACAACAACAACAACACACAGGTATACTCATTCGATACAATCATTGGAAATGATATTACATTCGACTCACAACTCTTGGTTGACAATGGTAGACCAATTGTAATCTACTATGGTAATGTCTTCTCGGTGGAGTTCCTCGATGTCCATAGCCATCTTGTGAAGCTGGCAACCGGTAGCGACGCCAAGATTACCTATGTACTTCGTTTCACTGTGGAATCGAGTGAACAACCTGCCAAACTCCAAGGTTATGGCTATGGTTTGACGATTAAGAATCTCGAGTACAAAGTGATGGACGACAGTGTCATTGCACAGGACGAGAAGAACCAAGATGCCAGTGGCAATCAACTTCACGAAGACGTCGCCGGATTCAATTTCAAGGTGTTGCAAGACCGTCATCCGCAACTGCTAAGCACATTCAAAACCTTTAGAAAGTTCCTTTTGGCGCATCAACAAACCACCGATCTCAAAGTCTGGGAGATCAAAGACATCGGATTGCAATCGGCGCAAAAGATCATCAGTTCGTCCGACCCAATGAGATCGATGAAGTTTATCACCTCGACATTCCCATCGCTTGCGAGATCACTCTCGCGTATCTCGTTGAACGATTCTCTCAAGCAACACGTCGAACAGAATCACAAATTCCTGACAGCTGGCGCAAACCAATTGTTCCTCAACGATCTAAACATCGACTTGGAAGAGGAGTTTGCATTGAATCCAATCGGATTGAATGAGATTATCTACAACGAAATCAAATCGAAATTGGAAACAAAGAAACTAGATCTACAATCGTCACTCATCACCAAAGCAACCAACACCATGTCAAAGATGAATCCAGTAAGATTCGATATCGTTCCAGAGGATGACACTATTTTCTATATCAACAACGTTGAGAAAGATTATACATATCAACGTTGGGATAAATCATTTTCAGCTGTAAGTACTAATAATTAATTGGTTCAAAAAGAATGATCTAGATAACCTAGTTATTAATATTGAAACATTGTCGTTAGATTGAAAATGGAATAGATCAAAACTCTGTTTATATTGCAAAGAATATATTCACAGGTATCTTTATGATTGATATGGATAGTGATGATGCATATCAAACACTTGGTCAAATCAATATGATGATCAACAATAATCTACCAATGAGAATCGGTATCATTTTCGCTACCGATCGTGCTCAGGCCAGCGGTGTAAAGCCAAATCCAGCTCAAGTACCAAATGAAGCAATCATCAAGGTGTTTGCATCGTTCTGGCGATACATGGGTCAACGTGCCGCATTCTATTTCATGAATGCACTCAATTACTATCGTCAACAATACGATATCAACTATGTAACACACTCGCTGATGCAAGGTGCTTTCCAGACCGTAACCAGTCAGATGCACAACCGTATTCCAGGTGGATTGCACATGGCCATGGAGAATCCACAGATGGATGCACAACTAGTTGCCGGAAATCAATATATCGCATCAAAAGGTATCGCCAACTTCCCACAACTCTTTGTCAATGGTATGATCGTTGACCTGAAGAAGGGTAATCCTTTGGAGACTCTCATGTCGTTGGTACAAGAGGAAATGGCGGAGGTCAAGAAGCTCGTTGATCAACGTATAATCGATGATTCCACTCAGGATATCTACAAGACTATAATGTCGCACTACAGAGAAACCACCGGTTTAATGAGCAATTTCAATCCAATCATTATCCCAAGTGAATCTTCACCATTGAAATATGTTTCATTGGCATACTCCTCGGATGCTGCTATTCAACAATTGGCAAACCAAGTACTCAATACCGATATCATTTGGTTCGAGTCAACCACTGAGATTAAAGCACTTTCCACTTTTGTGGTTGGTGACTTTGATGAATCGTCAAGCTCCATCAAGTTGGCGTTGAATGCACTCGATCGTTTCAGCACCGATGCCAAACCAAACAATCAAGTTAGATACGCATTGCTATCCACTGGAAATGGTGTAGTTTCCAAGGTTTTGTCACATCCACAGATCACCATTCAGGGTGCAATTGACCTCCTCACCAAACAAGCTCAGATTCTCGAAGACAAATCAACTCCATTGACTTTGGATCAGGCATTGGCTGCTGCCAAGCTATCAAATAACCCACTTCTCAACCAGAGAAACCAGAATCAACTCACTTTTATCAAAGAATATATCGGTTTGCCAATGACTGGCTCACAAACAACTATTATCGTCAATGGTCGTGTATTGACTGTCGAGGAGAACGATGTATTCAATGAATTCTACTTTTTGGAGTGCTATGAATTGTCAAAGGCAAGAAAAGTTCTCTCGGATATCCTTGAAAATCCATCTGCTGACGACAAACCATTGACCAACAGCCAATACTCTACCATTTTGATGAGATTGATGTCGTCTCTCGGTAAGAGAAACGAAGACACCACCATTGCAAAGAAACAGCCACCCTCTGGTATCACTCCATCATTCACCTACGAAACAAATAACAATATTATTTCAGGATTGCTTAGATTCACTATGATTGTCAATCCTCTCAGCAAACAGGCACAAAAGATCATCCCTATCGTTGCCGAGTTTGCACAACACTACGGTATCCCATGTGATGTCTATCTCAACGTTCAACTTGCACTCTCAGAGATGCCATTGAAGAACTACTATACCTACGTTGTACAACTTGACAACGCATTCGACTCTGCCACTGGAAAGGTAGTATCTGAGCCAGGTGGTACTTTGGTCAACTTACCGGAATCGCGTGTCTTAACTCTTGCCATGGATGCACCAGTCGATTGGATCGTCTCACCAATCGTTGCCAAGTACGATCTTGACAATATTCGTTTGAAGGATCTCGGAAGTGACAAGGTTATGCGTGCTGTCTATGCACTCGAACATCTACTGGTTCAAGGTTCCGCTTTGGACATAAGCAACTACCAGCCACCAGGTGGTCTTGAGCTTCAACTCAGTTCACTCAACTCCAAGGTATCGACCGATACCATTGTTATGGGTAATGGATATTTCCAATTACAAGGTAATCCAGGTATCTGGACACTCGATACCATTGGTAGAGGTGTTGATATCTTTGATACTCTCAATTTGGTAGATCGTAAGGCATCTTCGTTGAAGAACGCTCATTCCGTTCCACATTTGTTGGTCTACATTGAGTCGTTCCGTGGAAGCAATGCTTTCCTTGGTCTAAAGAGAAAGCAAGGTCAGGAAGCAACACCGGTTCTCCCACCAGTAGAAGACAACCAAGATCAACAACAACCTGAAGAGGAGATAGAGGAATCATACTTTTTCAATTGGATGAAAGGTAACAACAATAAGAAGGAGAAGGCACCCGCCAAGGTTAGTTCGACCAATGAGACAATTCATGTATTCTCAGTTGCAAGTGGACATCTCTATGAGCGTTTCCTCAAGATCATGATGCTCTCTGTTAAAAAGAATACAAACAATCCAGTAAAGTTCTGGTTCCTTAAGAACTATCTCTCACCTAAATTTGTTGATTTCATCCCTTTCTTTGCAAAGAAATACGGATTCGACTATGAGTTGGTTACTTACCAATGGCCACCTTGGTTACGAGCACAAACAGAGAAACAACGTATCATCTGGGCATACAAGATTCTATTCTTGGATGTGCTGTTCCCACTCGATGTCAAAAAGGTTATTTTCGTGGATGCCGATCAGGTCGTTCGAACTGACTTGAAGGAACTCTGGGATATGAATCTTCAGGGTGCTGCTCTCGGATACACACCATTCTGTGATTCCAACAAGGACACTGAAGGATTCAGGTTCTGGAAGTCTGGATTCTGGCGTGACCATCTCAGAGGTAAGCCATACCACATCTCAGCACTCTATGTCATCGATCTTCAGCGATTCCGTCGTATCATTGCAGGAGACAACCTGCGTATGACCTACGACCAATTGTCTCGTGATCCAAACAGTCTTGCCAATCTCGACCAGGATCTACCAAACTACCTTCAACATTCCGTCAAAATCTTTAGTTTGCCACAGGAATGGCTTTGGTGTGAGACATGGTGCTCCCAAGCATCGAAATCGAAAGCCAAGACAATCGATTTGTGTAACAACCCAATGACTAAAACACCAAAGCTAGAGAACGCCGTAAGAATCATCGATGAATGGACAACACTTGACAATGAAGCAAAAGGTGTCGAGAAAGAATATGAACAATTGAAATCAACGAAATCACAAAACAAAACACCAACATCATCGACTGTAATCGATGTAGGTAGTGCCTCTCAAACAGTGGCAACAACAAAATACGAAGAAACTCTGCCCAATCAAGATGTTATTAACCAGGCATTAATCGATGCTGCAAATGAATTCATTTGAAATCAAAAAACCGATTCTATAAAAACAAATATATATTAATATGATTCTTTTCTTTCTTTTCATTCTTTCATTTTTTTTTGTTCACATATTAGTTCTATAATTATTTTTATCAAGGTTTAAATATTTATTCCGAAGTTTAAATGATGGTAGAATCCTTACAATTGTTCCCAGCCACACCCTTCACATCCCACATCAGCTATGCAATTGCATCACATTACACAAGTGCAGAGCTATTTTTATTATAGTTGTTTTTTTGATTGTTTACTATTTCAAAAAAAAACGAGAGGTCAGCGTCACTCTGAAATTGCAATCTATGATATCCTAAATCGGTAAAAGGTTTGGGACAAGGACAAAAAAATTTTTCAATATCAACAGGTTCGAATTTTTGACGACAATCACAACTGTCGAAATTAAATTCCTTTTTGGTTGGTTGGTTTTTTTTGATTTGAATTTTTTCAAATTAATTTATTTTTGAAAAACGAATATAATTGGGATTTACTCCCTCCTAGGAGATGCACTGTGATTTACTTTGAGAGTTTCTGACTTGTTTCGAGATCATCTATTAAGAATGTCTAACGATTCATATAATTTTTTATGACACTTTTTTCAACTATACTACTTCCGAGAGCTATACCATATCGATAAAATTGGAAGTATCACCATCAACAGCGAGATTGAAAATTGATTGTAGATGACCAACTGTAGAAATCATTGAATAGAATAAATATCTCAAAGAAATTATTTTATTTTTATTTTTATTTTTTTAATTCCTAAACCATTCCATTGGAGATGGAAACTATTTAAATGATTGGAAATCGTCGTTTTCAATTCCACCTCTCTTAACCTCTGTTGTAATATTATTATAAATAAATAATCATAATTTTCTATTTACTTTTATCGCCATTTTTATTAAATTTTTATTTGTAATATAATAGTTTATAACAACTTTTAAAAATGCCCACTGAGGACATTAATAATAACCAAGAGGTTGAATTTGACCATGTTCCTGTTGGAGATGTACTATCATCTGAAAGTACAACAGAAATTTGTATAGCCGATCAAACTGCCAATGATCAAATAATTGTAAACAATAAAATTCCACATGCAATGTATTTCATTGTTGGTAATGAAGTTTGTGAAAGGTACTATTGATTTATAAATAAAAAAATATATTTAAAATTAATTTTTTAACAAATTTTTTTATATTTTAAATAGATTTTCTTACTATGGTCTTAAAACAATTCTAAGTATTTATTGTACAGATTATATGGGTTACACTGATGACTCTGCTACAGTTTTAATTTCAGCTTTTAACTTTTTGGGTTATGCTTTGTAAGTACAATGATTAAAATTCATTTTTTTAATTAATATTTTCTAATTTTAGTTTTTTTTTTTTTAAAATAAAGTCCTTTGGTTGGTGCTTATTTTGCAGATGCCAGAATAGGAAAATATAAAACAATTTTGTATTTCAGTATGTTGTATTGTGTTGGTGGTATTATCTTATCGGTAACATCAGTCGATGGTGTAACTGGTAGCTCTCCTTCGAATCGTTCTTCATGGGGTCTTATCCTAGGACTTCTCTTGATTGCAATTTCTATGGGAGGTATCAAGCCTTCGGTTTCTGCCTTCTGTGGTGATCAACTTCAATCAAACCAAAAAGGATTGCTCCAAAAAGTTTTCCAAATTTTCTATTGGAGTATCAATTTGGGTTCGTTCTTCTCTACCATTCTCACACCAATGTTGAGAAAGTACACCACATATTGGATAGCCTTTGGTGTTCCAGCGGTCCTCCTGATTCTATCCACCATTATCTTTGTTATTGGTTCCAAGAGATACATTAATCGTCCAGTTGCCGGAAGTGTCTTGCTTGATTCCTGTAAGGTTATTGGTTGCGCTGTCAAGGAGAAAGTTCGTTCCAAACGTGATGGTTACGATGACAGATACTACAATAACCACTGGATTGACAGAGCCAAAGTCAAGCATGATCCAAAGATGGTCGATTCCGTAAGAGCTGCTCTTAAAGTTATGCTTATTTTTGTACCAATGCCATTCTTCTGGGCATGTATGTATTAATTTAACGTAATCTTTTTTTAACTTGATTAGATATTAATATAAATTAAAATAATAACAAATAGTATATGACCAAACCTCATCACGTTGGACTCAATCTGCTGAAAAGATGGACTTAAGTGTTACATCTAACTTTAGTTTTGAGCCAGATCAAATTCAAGCTGTCAATCCATTGTTAATTATGATTTTGGTTCCAGTTTTCGAGTATTGTCTCTACCGTCCATTGAAGCGAAGAAATATCAACTTCAGTCCATTGCTTCGTATGGTCGTAGGTATGTGGCTTGCAGTTGCAACTTTCCTTCTTGCAATGTTTGTCGAGAGAAAGATCGAGAGTGAAGAGAATGTTTCTATCTTTTGGCAACTCCCACAATATGTCCTATTGACATGTGCCGAGATCTTGATTTCCATCACTGGTAAATATTTATTAAAAACAAAAAAATATTTATAAGTAATAACTAACAAAATTTTCTCCCTTCTTCTTATTTTTTTATAATAGGTTTGGAGTTCTCTTATAGTCAAGCACCAGCTTCAATGAAATCAATGATTATGTCATTGTGGTTGTTCACCGATTCCATTGGTAATTTGATTATTATCGTTGTCATCGAGTCGTTCAGTATCACACCACAATGGAAAGAATATCTTGTATTTGCATTGATCATGACTGTTCCAACCATCGTATTCATGTACATCGCCTACAAATACCAACCAGTCGATCCATCTATCTATGAGTATGAGGAGACTGATAAATCTCCCAAATCAATCGAGTTGGAAGAGAAGAAACAAGATATCAAAAAGAGAAATATCAATGAATCGCAAAGACATCTAGAGGAATCTACTGATACTTTGTCACTGGACCATTAATTGTAAAATTATTAAAATAAAAAAATTAAATGTAAAAAAATCAAACATCTTTGTTAAAAATTTGATTTTAATCATTGTCTGTTGTGAGATTCATTTTGAAATTAACTTTAATATTGATACAAGAAAATACAAAATGAGTACTAAAATTGTTTGCTTTTAATAAAAGTAGTTCACAATACCAAATAAAAGAATAGTTTAATATGAAACTGTCAAACATCTATTGAATGTTATTTGTCTATTTATGGACATTAAAAATAAATAATTTTAATATTTTAAAACATTCTTATTAATTGCTAAAGTATAAATACTTATCACAAAGATGTTTCAAATCATTCAAATTGAATACAAATATTTAATCTCTAATATTAAAATTCTAATAAATAAAAATGACTCTTATCAGTATGTAAATTATTCAATATTAGATTAATTAAATTAATTAACTAATGATAATTATTATTATTACTTATAGAATCAATTTCATTGTTGGGCAACTCATTCTCTGGTTTGGAAAATAACTCTTCCTCTGACTTTGTTGGATCAGTTGGTAAATCATCGATTGATTCAGACTCCCAAGAGCAATGCTTTGGTTGGGGTAGAAGAAGAAGAACCACCAATGTTATTTTTGGTGATGTTAATGTCTTCAGTGGTGGTTGTGGAGGTTGCTGTGGCGGTTTTGGTGGTCTCGGTGGTTTAGGTTTCTAAAACTACAAAATTTAATAGTTTTCAAATTTGGTTATTATTCTATTCAATTCTATTATAAATAAAAGATTGTTCTTCTTGTTATCAATTTATTCGATTGAAATTAATTTCAGAAAATAAATTTAGATTTAAGTTGATCCACTTTATCCTTTCCAATTGTATCATTTAATGATTTTAATAATATATTGATTGCTTTTTATAAATAAAAGAAATAAAGTTAATTTAAATTTGCTATAAGATACTAGATAAATAGTGATAACTGATACAAACATTCTTTTTCCATAAATGACAATGATTGAAGATTTATACTTAATCTATTCATCTTGGTCAACGATTCCAATATTCTGTATATTAGGTCATATTCTTTGTTTCTATAGTAATAAAATATTAATATATATTAATAGTAAAATATGTTAACATCAATTGATATAATAATTTGATTGAGCTTACACTAAATAATTATTCTCCAATATAACTATTATACTGCTAAACAATGAGGGTGATAAAATATCATTAAGAATATTCGGTAGTTTCTCTGGTTCGATTAACTGTTGGTATAAATATCATTATTAGTATATTTAAGCTTTTATGTCTATGAACATAATCTGTTGAAGGTAATTACCTTGAAATAATTATAGAATAAATTAGAATCGTTTTGGATTGAATTATAGAACTTTTCAAACTCAAATGAGTTTCTCGGTGCTGTCTTTGGTAATGTTGGTTTCATATTGGCCAATCTTGCCAATCTTTCTTGAAGTGAATTTGATGATGACTTTGGTGTTGTTGCGTTTGTCGTTGTTGGTTTAGTTGTTTCTGCTGCAATTGGTGTTATTGTCGTTGTTGGTTTTGTTGTTTCTGTTGTTACTGTTGTATTTGTTGTTGCTTTAGGTTTTGTCGTATCTACAATCATTTCATGATCATCATCATCTTCGATCTCTACAACTCTTGCTCTTGTCTTTACTGGTGGTTCTGTTGTTGGTTGTGTTACTGTGGGTGTTGTTGGTTGTGTTGTTTTAACTGGTAATGTTTCGATTGAAGGAGATGTAGAGGTGGCAGAAGCAGAAGGTGTTGTTGCAACATTCGACTTCTTTTCATTGGAGACAATAGATTCCGCAACGGTTTGTTGCTGTAATAGCTTCTTGATTACAACGACCTCATTGGCAGCCTCATTACTCTTTGGATCTTGTTTTAACACTGTATTGAAATCATCGAGTGCCTCTTTGTATTTCTTTAACTCCTTATAAGCCTGACCTCTTCTATGATATGCTTTAATATAAGTTCTATCTAGATTTATACTGATGTTACAATCTGCAACAACTTGTGAATAACTATTATTATTATTATTTTTACAAATTATATATATATTAATATTTATAAAGTTTGTGGATATAATGTTGATTAGTAGTTTCAAACAGTTAACTAAGCTGTTGTTTAATTAATTAATGTAATTTACTTTTTTAATTTTAAATAAGACATTGCTCTATTTGCAAATAAGATGGCATTTGAATTATCTAGCTGAATGGCGAGTGTATAGTATTCTACAGCCTCTTTGTAGTGACCCACTTTGAATTGGTCATTACCTAGATCTTTGTATCTCAATGACTCTGCACTGGCATCGAATATCTTTGATGACGATGTATTGGTTATTGGAGTAGAAGCTGCTTTGATCCTCTTTGACTCTATGATCTTTTGATCGACTGCATCTACATTAGTCTGCCACACTTTTAATGACTTTAAATACTCTTTAGCAACATTTGATTTTAAGTTATTTTGATTAGATTTATCTGTCATAACTAATAACTATCTATAAATAATAAACAAATTTTTGATTATCTGTTTTTTTAATTTTATTTTTTAAAAAAAACGATGATCGATCATCTTCTCATAGCAAAGTATCGACCAAACATCTGTCTATCAATCACAATATTATCAAAATAAAAGGTATTAAATGAAGTATACATTGATATATATTTAAATATTTGTTTATTTATTTAGTACAAATAGATTGTATTTAATATTACTATTGTTGTGTTGGTTGAGTTGATGTTGAAACTTCAGTTGGTGTTGGTGTGGCATTTGCAGATGTTTGTAAAGTTGGTGTTGTTTCTTGAGTCGATGAACCTAATGAATTGTTAGAGTTTTGTGGTGATGCTGGTGATGTTGTTGTTGTTGGTGTTGTTTCATTGGCTGTTGTAGTTGTGCTTGTTGATTCTGTTGATGTGGTGGTGGTAGTAGTTGTTGGTGCTACTGCTGCTGGTTGTTCATCTTCGATTGTCCATGTTGAAATATTTGATGTGTAGACAGGCACTGCCTTTCCGATGAAATCCAAGGAGTCTCTATGTGCGTAGGTCTCCCACTCGTTCTTATTGATATCATAACACTTAAAGTCGTTGACTTTGGAATCGGTACCGAATGCAAAGATCTTTGGTCTACCGTTGTGATGTCCGTAGAATATAGAGGTCGCTGGATAGAACAATACCAACTTCTCAAGCTTATAGGTATCCAAACACCAACGATAGAATGAGTACTTGCAGATGATATAGATATGACGATTGACATTGTCGTAGCACACCGACGATATCTCACTGTCTACCTTGCCCTTGAATACCATCTTTGACGATCCGCTCGACAACGAGAACATAATGATAGAGGCATTCGAGGGTTTGTCGTCGGTCGAGTCGACAATGTAGATGGTGTCGCCATCCAAGATCGAATGTGCATTGAAACGTGGCCATCTCAAATGACCCTTCTCAGTGAATGTATTGGTTGCGACGTCGTACTGCACCACTGAACTCTCGGAGAAATGCTTCCAGATGAGGTATCTCTCACCGTAGCCTCCACCGATGATGTAGACGTAACGCGATCCATCCGAGCAGAACGAAGAATCCGGTCCGAAGCGTTCTTGTTTCTCAAAGTAGACGGCTTGTACCCAGTTCTTGTTGATGTGGTCAAACTTGAATACTCCACGCTTGCCATCGAAAGCACAGATGTAACCTCCGACAACCAACAGCTTGTGGAACGGCTCCGATGTTGGGTGATGAGCAATCCATTTCTTCTCTTCCAAGTCCAACGAGTGGAGTGCAAAGAATCCAGGTTTGTAATCGACGAATGCGTAGATCGAGAGAATATTGAGTGGTGCTGCCAACAGTTTGATTTGATCTTCGGCACCCTGTAGCTCATAGGACTTTCCAACGTCTTCTTTGATACGATTGATCGTTTCTTGACGCAACTTCAATTTGATGCCTGGCAACACGGACTTTTCCTCCTCGGCCAGTGTCAACAGATCTTCGTAGATAACGTTGTTATCGAACGATTGATTCTTATTGACTGCCAAGAAACTCTCTAGATTATCGACATTTGACAATTGCTCAAGCAACTGACTGGCGTTTTCCTGATGTTGGAGAGAACCACCCGATACCAACACTCCAGAAGATGATAGCGATAATGATGGTGGAGACTCGGTAGTAGTAGTAGTAGTAGTATCTGGTGATGTTATGGTCGAAGATTCAGAGTCACCCGAGGTGAGTAACGATTGTTCGAGACGCAACTTGACAGAGTAGAGACGATCGATACTGTTGTACAAAGAGAGTAGTTCGTGACCGAGATTGTTTCGCTCCTGTCCGATAATGTCAATGGCGCGATTCTCCTCTTGTTTCAAATACTCTTGTAACTCTGAGAAGTATTGACGCACCTCTTTCTCTACTTTGTTGGTCGATTCGTACGATTCAACACTACCACGTAGAAGACTCCATTTTCCATCTATACTCTTATTGAGTGCATCCAAACGGCTATTGAAAATCGACTTTTGCTCACCGATCGAATGACCGTTGTGTGTGGTTTGAATACATTTCGAGCAAATCAACTTGAATCTACAAGTTGAACATGCAAACTTTAACTTTTTATTATGTATTTCACAAAGACCTGTCATTGTTTTTTTCTACCACTTTTTTCCTCTTATGATGATAATTATACTAACTTTAGTATAGTTATAAAATATAAAAAAACCGAAAAATAAAAGAGTAATGTGAATATAAATTTAAAAACAAAGCTTTGAATAATGACTCATCAAAAACAGTTCCAAAATGCCACCTGTATGAATCCTCATGATACGAGGATTAAGTCCAGAAAATGTTGGCAAAAAAAAAAAAACTAAATTTAAATAAATTAAAGATATTTTTATTTTTCATTTTTTTTTTCAGGTCCCTCACCAGAAAACTCAATTAAATTGTCGCGTTATCCAAATGGGTTAATAATTCTAAAAAAGGTTAGCTATCTATTTTTATTAATATAAAAAAAATGGTAATTCCAACCATAAAAAAAAAAAAAAAAAAACCTTTTCAATTTCCGATCGATTATTCGAAATAAATAAAATTTTATTTATAATGATCTGATCTTCAATCATATCTAGATATTAGATATTTTTCAATTTTTTTTTTATTATTATTATTACTATATTACAATTTTATTTGTTGTGGTGTTTTGTTTCTAATGTTTCTTTTTTTTTTTGATTCTTTTTTTTCTTTAAATTAAATAAATAATATTGAATTTTCGTTGAAAGTCGAGTTGATAACTAACTAATTTGTTGATGAGTGTTTGATTGATTGATTGAATTTTGATCATTTAATAATCCTCGAAATCATCGTTATCATCATCTAAATTCTCCACGAAATCAACTTGATTCATAGAGTTGAAACGTTTTTGCATTGATACGTAGAGAAGATCTGCAATGGTAGCTATTCCATTCTCACGTGGAGGTGGCGGTGTGTTGGGAACTGGTTTCAATACATTCTTCATCTCTGAGAGTGATTCGCCCGACAAGCTATCGTCGTCAACCAAACGATTGCCTTTCTTGCCAGACACTGCAGGCTGTGTGATCTTAAAGGTTGGCAAGGGTGGTGGTTTCGGTCGTTTCAGATCCTCTATCTCCTCGAGTAGCGCTGTCTCTCTGGTTCTGAACGCTTGTTCTTGCTCCAGTTTGGCTGCACGCAAATCATTGAGTTGTTTTGTGAGTTGTTCGGATTTATGACGCTCCGACTCCAACTCGGCGCTGGTCGATGAGTGTTCGAACGACAGCTTCTTCAACTTGGATTCCTCTTCTCTCAGCTGAGCTGTCGTTTGATCGAGTGTCGATTTCACACTGTTGTATTGATCCTTGGTTGTCTGTTTGATTTGTTCTATCTGACGTTTCAACTCCTCGATCTCCAACGATTTCAATGCTGCAGTCTGCTTGTTACTCTTGGCTTCGCGATCGGCATCGGCCAGCTTGCTATCCAGCTTCTTAATGGTTTGCTCAAGACTGTCAATCTTTCTTGGGAATATAGTCTTTATAATTGTATCTCTATCCTTTAGTTGTTCGTTCAACTTTTGAATATTGGACAACAGATTCTCCCTTTCGAAACTAGAGAATTGATTGTCACCAATACTGCTGTCTGGTGATAAAATAGCTGTTGTTGTTGTTATTGCTGTTGGTATATATGCAACTGGTATTTCTTCTACTTTCACTTCTTCCTTTAACTTCTCAGAGATAGAGAGTAGTCTTTCTTCCTTTTGTTTGTGTTCCTCAACCTTTTGGTTGACTTCACTCAGTAGACTTTCATAGTGATTGCGCTGCTCTTGTTTCTTCTGGTTGATGTCATGTATCAGATGTTCGTAGTGATTGCGCTGCTCTGTCTTTTCTCTCTCGATCTGTCGAAGCTGGTTGACCAATCTCTGCTCGGTCTGCTCTGCAGCCATGGTAACACGCTCCAGTGCCGCCTCAGTAGAGTCACGCGCACTCGTCAACTCCTCGATAACCATCGATTGCTCCTCTATCGTGCCATTCAGTGCAACAACATCGCCCTTCAATGTCTCGATACAATCGTTCAGTCTGATCTGCTCCTCGGTGTTGGCTGATCTCTCCCGGAACAACTTGCCATTGAGCGAATCAACATCACTTTCCAACCTGGCTTTGTCAGACTCCAAGTGCGTGCGAGTGTCAATCAGTATCGCCTTTTCATTTTGCAGTGTGTTTATCTCTTGTTTCAAAGCGTCACGCTCTTGAGTGAAATTCGCTTTGACAACGGTGAGTTGCTCGAGCAGCCGCTGTTTGTAGGCGGCATGACTCTCTTCCAACTCGGTGATCTTCATGTTGAGATGCAACTCTTTCTCCTTGGAGTCGACAATCACCTGTTTGGTGTGTTGTGCCATCTGTCCGATCTTGAAGAGCAGTTGGTCGTGTGCTCGCGCACTGTCGTACAGCTTGTCCTCGGCATCGACAATGACCGCTCTTCTCTGCTGCGGAGTGACATTGCCAATCTGAAAAGCGCCGTACAACGGAATATTCTTGTTTCTCAGAGCATAGGGTGGAATGAACTCATTGAATGCCATGGTCAACTCCATCGTACTCAACCTACTACCAAGACCATAGTGATAGAGTGAGGATCCTCTATTCAAAACCAATGGGAACTCATCGTTACTTATCAAAGAGAATCTCTCGGGATCATCTATTTTAAATTTAGAACATAAATTCTCAATAACCTAAAAATCATGATTGTTGATTTAACTGAATTAATAAAAAGCTTTTTTTTTTTTGTGAAACCAACGAATAAGTTTCTACTTACTTGGGAAATGGTGATTGAGGAGTCAACTTTTAATCGCTTCTTTTTCAGACCTTGAAGTTGTTTGAGTGGTGGTAGTTTGAAATCGATGACGTATTCACCGCTAACCTGTTCAAGCGGCAGATTTACATCGATTTGTCCGGTGTATTCTTCCTTTGAGATGAGACAAAGCTCCCAAGAGCTAAAGAATGTTCCGAAACCATAGGTAGAGAGGAGTTGCTCGTTGTCCAATACACATCCAAGGATAGTAACCAACATGAAACGACGTGGATCCGCTACATGTTGCTTACGACACACGAGATTCACTGTTTGTGCAACTGTCAGCTTCTTACTGATCTTGTAGGTTCTCATTCGAACATCACCAAACTCACTGGAATTCGCTGGCATATTAATTGTTAATACATGACCACCCGATGCATCTGTATTGTTGTTTGTAAAATGATGTTGAAATTGAAATAGAATAGGGAAGAGATCCGGATGACCACCCCAAATCTCATTCTCTGTAAGCTTGTGCTCTGCTATCAGCTGGTAGATTTCGTTGGCTTCTGATTTATTGTTGCCAACCGCTGATTTTGCCATTGTGTGGAGAAGAACGGTTGCACTACGTGATTGAGTACCTGCAATCTTAACGGTCTGATCACCATTGGCAAGTGGAACTGTAGACTTTCCATAGATAGTACCAGTTCCATTCGATCTGCTAAGTCCGCCTACCAAATTACCACTGCTTACTGATTTAGAATTACTTGACAATGATTGGTTATGATTAGGAGGCGCTGTTCCTGTGTGGTGGTGTTGTGCTGTTGCTGATGAAGTTTGCTGATTTAATTTGGTAGTAGAAGAAGAAGATACAGATATATTTGATGTATTTGGTGATTTATTTAAAGGTGATGATGATGATGATGATGACGATGTTGATGTTGATAGTAGTGAACTACTATTTGTATTATTACTATTACTACTACTACTACTATTATTATTATTATTAGTACTGATACTGTTTTCATTTGGAGAGCTTTGTGAAACTGGTGATGGTGGTGGTGGTGGAAGTGAGGAAATGGTTGATTGTTTCGTAGTTGTGTTTGTGTTTATATTTGTTTTTGTGCTTGAATTTGAATTAGTTGTTGTTAACTCATTTGTTACTTCACTTGATATACTGTTCGAGTTTGCCAGAGGTGTTAATTGTGTTTTTGAAGAACTGTCATCTTTTGGTAATTTTGGTGAAAGTGGTGGTGTGTTTGTGGTGGTTGTTGTATTGTTAGAAGATACAGTGTGTTGTTGTTGTTGTTGAGAACTACTATTTATTGGTGGTTTATTGGCACCAATAGTAACCCTTCCAATTTTTAAATTGTTATTCATAATTTATTGAACCAAAACAACATGGTAAAGGTTCTGTTCTTCTTCTTCTTCTTTCAAATAATAAATATATATTTTGTTTTTTGATCTAACAAAATAATTTATTAAAAAATTTATAATTATATAATTAAAAAAATCAAAATGTTAAATGAAATATGTTAAATTTTTTTCAATGATAAAAAAAAAATAAAAACCCAAATCAATGTGAGACCTATCACAAAGTTATTTTTGTGTGGCTTTGGTTACTGTGTGATTAAAACATTGTGGTGAGATTTTTAAATTTAAAAAAAAAAAAACATTTTTTTTTCCAACAGTTTTTTTTTCATATTTTTGCTTTTAACATTATGATAAATCATTATCGTATTTGATTCAAAGATATATTTTTATACTCATTCAAATGACAATCTTTAGATTTATTTAAAATCAATATTCTATAATTAAGATAAGATTTTGTTTATTTTTAGTTTTGTTCGAAATCTTAGATTATAATTTTAATAAATTTAAATTAATTTGCAAATTTATTTTTACTTTTAATTTTTTAATATTACAAATTTGTGTCGCGTTGCAGTTTAAATTCATTCATATAATAAATAAAGAAGTTAATAATATATTAGTTAAATATATCTTAAAATAATTAAAAGATAATTGTTTTTATTTAAAAAAAGAATTAGATTTTTTTTTTCGAAATTTTTTAGTTTTGCAAAAATTTGAGATCTCGAAAAATATCGATAAAACAAGTTGGTTGGAGGACCAAAATCCCAAATATGAATTAAAATCTCAGATAAATTTCCAGAAACAGAATTTCGAAAAAACTATGGTTTGGCGGCAAAACTATGATGTAAACACTTTTAATCTGACTGAAAAATCACGGTTGTTGTTGCCAAGTGATCCTAAAACAATCAGCAAACCAAAAAAAAAGTCGAAAAATCGAAAAAAAAACATTAAAAACCAAGGTGTTAAATCGATTAATTAGTATGTATTGCAACATTCAAGAAAACTAGAAAATTATGTTTGTATTTTTTTAATTTTTTTTTGGTTTTGTGGTTGCAGTGCCTTTTAATTGTTGGAGAGCCACTCCACAAATTTCACATCACCCTTTGGTGTGTGTTCTTTTTGTAGACATCAAGCGTTTCAAAATTACGGGGATCGTTAAATGATAACCCCATTACGCTCAACCATCCCTCATTGAGAGCAGAGGTGTTTAAACCAGTCATATTCATTGCACATACAGAGTTATACGATTTTCAAAATAATTTTACAAAAATAAAAAAATAAGTTTTGTGTTTTTGTAAACCAAGAATTCCACTACGACTCACTATCCAAATACTTTATATAAATGCTTAACAATTTTTTTTTAAAAACAACCACAACAACAACATCAACAAGAATAACAACAGCAACAACAAACCAAATTTAACTAAAAAAAAGGAAAAAAAAAATTTAAAAAATAGAAAAACAAAAAAAATTGAAAACAAATCACAAATAAATTAAGGTCTCTTCCATCTTTTAAATTTTACTATTGTATTATCAACACATGTGGCATCATTAATATAGGAAGGAGTATAAACTTTGTTTTTTTTTTTTGTATTTTTCACCATAATAATTAGCACTACACATCTATCAATTATCTAGAGGTGTAACTCGGACAATATTAAACGATTACATAAATAATTTCCCCATCCATATAATCCAAATTTCAAATAATTATTTGAAAGTAAAAATTTCGTAAGTATATTTAAAATGTGCTCGTCCTATTTATTTCCCTCCTTGAAAAAAAGTCCTTTGTTGTTCTATTGGTTAACAATAATTCATTACCAACTTTTATATTGTACCTTAAACTAAAATAGAATTTGTCATTATATCAAATATATTCTATGTTGATAAGAAAATATAATATAATATTCTATTTTTCAGGGTGTTAATTTTTACTATTTATTCAAATTTCAATATTCAAATTGTCATTTCTAATAAATAAAAATCATTATTTGTTAAACATTTGTAAATATGTATCTCCAAAAGAAAACAATAAATCATAAAAAATTAAAAAAAACATAAAAAAACATAAAAAAAAAAATAACCAAATCAACTTCAATCACATATTTCAGAAAGTATGCATAAAAAAAGAAATAATTTTGATATATATCAGAGTAATAATGCTATAATATGTTGAAATCTATTATTTAAATACAAGAGTTATAGTTATTCAAAAATAAATTGTTATTTCAAAACATTAATATCTCTTTAAAAAAAATGTTGACTGGTAAGTCTTCAGTGTATTTAACCTACCGAAAATTTATTTATCAGTATATTGTTGAAACAATACAATATAAATCTGAAGCAATAGATTAGAATGAGATTCGACTATAATTTAAAACACTTCTTGACAATCAACCATTGTAAAGTACTCTCTCACTTACACCACCAACACCACATCGAAATATTTATATAAAACAAATTATTAATTAAACACTTTATCCACACGAATACACTTTGTTATACAACACCTTTCAATCAGTTCTTCACACTCTTTGTTAATACTATAAATTTGTAGTGCTCAAGAAGTAGCTAACAATACACCCACTATTTTCTTCTAGCATAGTTGATTTTGAATCAAATAATATTAATCTTTTCAAAAGTGGTAACTACTTACAAGTAGGCTTCTTTAATACTTTAATTCATTTTCCTTTGCTATTAGCAAGTTATTTCATTTAATTTCAGAATAAATGTCGAATGATTAATCATTACACAATTACTAATTAATATATTCCCTATTGTTATAAAAATTTCTCTATTTATATTCAATAAAAATAGACAGGTAGCATATTGTTGTTTATGTTTTAAATTATATAGATACTCAATAATTGATATCCATCAGTGGCGAAGAAGATAATTTTACTTTTGAAATTAATTCTTTTCCACCAATGGATATTGTAAAACTATTAAACAACAAATCGTCAGATGATAAATCTTCTCCAGAGAAGATTCAAGGAGCCTTAGTCTACGACGATAGCAATCTAGAAAAATTCAAAGACGATGGATTTTTTCCAAGGACTTCTTCAACACCAGGCTCAGATGACATAGAACTCGCCACCTCAACACCAGACTCATCAATTCCAATAAATAGCGAGAACCCGAAGCCCAAAAATAATTATTTATATAAAGATAAAAGTAGTATTCATCCTCAACAACATCAACAACAATCCTATCCTCCTCAACAGCCGCAAAATAAATATACAAGAAAATCACCACCGACTCCACCACGTCCTGACTTTATTTCTGAGACCAACTATAATAATAGTTCAAAACCACCAATACAACAACATCAACTAAAACACAACTCAAACCAACCGATTAATAATAATAGAAATTATAAAAGAAAATCACCACCTAACAATAACGGGTCAGAATCATCTTCACCTCCTTTGTTGCCGTCTCAACAACCTAACTATAAAAGAAAATCACCTCCCCACCATGAAATCATTTTACCTAGTTTATCATCATCTATAGAATATATAGGACAGATTGATGAAATGCCACCAACTTCTCAACAACAACAACAAAATCATAATCATCACCAACAACACTTTAATAAACAATATAATGGTCGCCATCAAAACCACCAACATCATCAACCATTACCATATAATAGTTTTCATCAACCACAACCGGCAATTCTTCACCATGTTAATCCACGACCAAACAATAGTCAACATCAACATCACCAACAACTTCATCAACCGAATAGTCAATTTAACCAACACCACAGCCTTCAACCTATTCATCACAATATCCAAAATCCTTCGAAATCACCACCTTCCATCAATTCACCATCGAATCCATCAGGTCGATACACGTGCCAACACATTGGATGTACCTCAAGCTACAGTCACTCGAGTGGACGTTCCAATCACTACAACACCTCCCATATAGAGCCATGCCAAACTGAAGGAAACCTGGAGTGTGAACAATGTATATCAGTATTCAAGAAACAATCAACCAAAAAAGTGAAATGCCGACACGAGGTGCCTTGTGACAAAGTCCTATCAACTTCGAATAGAGCCAGTCACGAGAAAAATATGAAAATGCATACCAAATGTAGTCCAAACTGTAAAAAATGTCAAGAAAACCGTATGAACCAATCCAAAAAGCCAACAGAAACCCAAGTAATAGCCCAGCTTCTCACCCCTATCGAAAATCAACAATCACAACAAAAACCATCCAATTCAATTTTACAACTTCAACTCTCTGGTACTCTCTTCCCATCCAGTGACTCCAACCCCAACTCTGATGATACTGACACCGATAGTGACCAAACAACAACGACTACTACCACAACGACTACTACCACTACCACTTCCAAGAGAAAAAAAAAAATTAAAATTAGTTCATATGTTATATATACTTCAAAATTGACTCCGAGTCTTGTTTGCTCTCCAACCTCCATTTATTCACTCCTACCACCACTTATTCTTCTCACAGCATTTTGCTGACACTTTTTAACCGAATCCGCTTAAAATGGAATTGATAGAACAATTTCATCCTGGTATTAGATACCACACAATCTATTTTAAAAAAAATTTTGAATTATAAATACTTATTTGATTGATTACTTTTTAGAATAATCAATACCTCTCAAGATTATTTCTTTTTTTTCTAGGAAAACAACAAACAATATTTTATTTTTTTTTAAAGAAGTAGAATGATAACTTTCATCCATTTATTAATATTATTTTTCGAGTGTTTAAATGTATTAACTATATTTATATTCCTATCTAATGTTGTTTTTTTATAATAAAAAAATTTCTATTTATCTTTCTTTGATTCGTTCTTCTTGAGAGCTGCCTCCAACTCTTCAATTTTCTTGTTATCTTTTTCGATAAGATATTCTTGTACGCTCGAATCAATGATGGAGATTAAAAAGTAGAAAATCATGCATGCCAATACACAATCCCAGATGACACCGACAAAGCTTTTCTATAATTTTATAAATTGAACATTGCTTGTTAATAATTGCGATATTTTTTTTAAATCACGATTTAAATTTTAAACATACTGGTGCATTTTTGTTGAGGTTCGACGATGAATTTAATCTATCTCTTTCCTTTTCGAGAATTGGTTGAATCTTTCCTTTTGACCATGGAATATAATTTTCGATGAGTGTAACAACCTTGGTGAGAGTTTCCATATTGAATGCTAAAATTACAAAGCAAGCTTGAATATGTGCCTTAATAACGGCTTTTCCAATCAAAGTTGCACCAAAGAATTTCCAGAATGGTACCAAACAGTGACCACATGTAATACCTGCCAAATCAAACAATGGATTTGGAATCTATAAAAAATAATGATTAATAAATAAATATCTAAAATAAAAAATAACTAAATACATACAGATGCAAAAGCTAAAATACCAAAGAAACCCATATTTCCAATCATAGCTGGAATAGCAGCTGTCATTCTTTGAATGAGACTTTGTTTCTCTTGCTTTTCCTCCTTCTTGATTCCTTTCTTGGCTTCCTCTTGTTCGAGCTTCAATCCTTTGATACGAGCGGTTCTCGCTACAAAGTAGGGTGGTAACTCACCGATCGCAGTTCCGGCACCCCACATCAATGCAGCCAACTGAATCGAGTTGAGAATCTGCCAGAATGTGACACCACCGGCTTGCGGGGCGTTCGGGTTGACAAAGCTGTTTGGACCGTACTGAAGGAAGTCTACTGATTGCCATTCGGAGGCAGCCAGTGTGACCTTGGCGATATGTGGTCCCAAGTACAGTACAAAAGTATGCAGACCAGTACCCAAACCGACTGACGACAATACACCGAGACCTACCCACCACAAACAGATCGAAATGAACTCACTGTATTTTCCAATGTAATTTTGGTGTTCACCGGGTGCATAGATCGCCAGAATCGAGAGTGAAATCAATAGACTACTGAAAAACAATGTCTTTGGTCTCTCCTTGAAGAAAGATAACGATGATGCAATCATATCCTTAATCACAATAAGGAAATACTTGATCGTCTTTATTGGATGAAAGAAAAGTCTAACATTTTTTCTATTTTCCTTTCTTTTTTCTAATAATGTTATTCTATCTAAAAAATATTATTATTAATGATTAGAGAGAATGTTAATATTATTATATCTATCAAATCATTCTTTATGAATTATTATGATTTTTACTTTTTATTTGAGTTTCTGATAAACTCTTTACGTTTGTTTTTGACATTTTACAATCGCTACTATATAAAATCTATTACTACCTCCCTATTAATATTACTTTTTTACTGTTTTTACTAATAATGTTACTTGTTTAATATTTTATAAATGTTTAAATAATTGTATAAATAAAGGAAAAGTAGTAAAAGTAAAAAAATCAAAACCTGATATGTGTAATTTATATATATAAATAAAAAAAAAATGAAGTATTTTTAAAAAATCTAACTTTAAATTTTAAAATTCTCTTTTTAAAAAAAAAAAAAAAAAATTTTGTCGTTTTAGAAAAATATCAGCTTTTTATGGAATGAATGAAGAGCTCTTTGTACACCCCGATAACTGGTGTTGTAAAATTGATATGTTTTTTTTATTTATATTGAATGATTAAAATATATTATATATATATACATATAAACTATGATTATTATTAAAAGATCTTTTAAAAAAATAAAATAATAATACAAATGATTTTTTTGTTTTTTATATTATTATTATTATTACTATTGTTATTTTGATTATTTGTTTTAGTGTTTTATTATTATTTATTTAAAAGTATTATGTGATATTTATTTGTACAAATTATCGCGCTATTAATTACATTAATTAGTTCAAATCCTGTTGTTTTAATTATAAATTGAAAAAAAATTAAAAATATTAGTTTTTTTTCTTTAAAATAAATAAATTGAAATTATGAGTCATCTAACTTACATTAGCAAAATCCTTAGCCTTGTTCACGACGTTGTTGATCTTGGCGTTGGTGTTTCTCTTTCTAGCCAAACTGTGGGCCAATACAACCAACAATGAGAACAAGGTTGTGTAGAACAATGTCAATCCACTTGATTTGTAAACAACAATTATTGATACTATAATATTTGATTCGATTTGATTTGATTTCGATTTGATTAGAAATGAAATGTTTTATAAATTAGTATCAACAAGAACTATACTAAACGACGACAACAACAACAATAACAACTTACCGATAGCAAAGATGGCAACTTGATGTAAGAGTTCAACTCTGAATCCACCGACGACATGTGTTTTTGGTTGAACTACAAATACATAGTAACCAATACCAGCGAGTACTAAGACAGCTAACAATAAGTTGTAGTTTGTGAATCTATTGTGTTTTTTATACAATGAATAAGTTGATTAAAATTCAAAAGATATATAATAATATTAATGATATCGATACATACAATGTCAACAATAAAACAGCACCAACAATCAAAGCATAGTTTCCAGAGTAGTAACCAAGATTAGTTTCTGATCTTTCTCTGAATTGAGCATCTGGTATGCTGAATCTTCCCCACTCTGCAAATTCACCCCATGGTCTCACTGTTAAACTACTGGTTTCGAAAATCTTTGCCATTGTGTATGATATATCTTTTATTTATTATTAACTTATTATTACGATTTGATTTATTTATGTTTATTTATATTAATTATATTATTAAAAGAAAAATAATCATGTTCATTATCAAAATTTTTGGATTGTGTGAGAAAACAAAAAAAATTGAAAAAAAATTAAAATAAAGTAACAAAAAAATTAAAAGAAAATTGGTATTGAGATGGGTTGTTTTGTTTATGGACACTTTGTTTTTATAGTTAAACAAGGTGGTGGTTGTGGTGGTGTGTTAACAAGATATGTTTGCAGTGATTAAATAAATAATTAAAATGAACATTTTGTAAGTTTTGTTGTTTAAGTTTTATTAAATAATATTAGTTAGAAGATGTTGTTGTTGTTGTTGTTGTTGTTGTATTGTTGTTATTATTGTTATTATTATTGTTGTTGTTGTTGGAGTTTGATACAGTAGGTGAAGTGGACAGTCTACTATTGTAGGTCTTTGAATAGTATTCATTGAAATCCAACATATATAGCAATGAAGTTGGATTGATATCTTGATGTTTGGTTTTCAACTTTAGTAGTTCGTCTTGTAGTATTTTGAATTGTTGTCTATATTCCTTAACGCTAATATTCAAACGTGCACCATAGTTAGTCAATTCCTTATGAATTTTTTGTTTTTTAGCATCTGTGAGTGGAAGTTCCTATAAATATTAATAACAAGCGTTTGTTGTTAGTTTTTTTCGTAAATTTAATTTGTCTTGTTTTGTTTTGTGTTTTGTTTTGTTTACCTTTCTAATGGCATCGGCAAATGTACATAGATTCTTTTGAGTGTAGGTGAATTTGGAGATTGCATTCAATAGTTGTTTGAATGCATCGTAACATGATTCTGTGTTGATAAGGAATGTCTTGCAGCTGATCTCTTCGAGGTAGAGAGTGTGCGCGTTGATCAACTGGTCCAAGTCACTCGCCGATTCAATAGAGTTGACCATCTTGACCCATGAACTCTCAATCACTTCAAACATGACATAGTAATTGAAATTCGATACGAAATGTGTCATCTCTTTGGAGAGCATCTGAGACTGCTGGAATAGCTGACCGAATCCAACGTTGGTGATCGCCTGCATCTTGAGAAGTGTATTGTACATTGTGTGAGTATTTCGCCACGTCGAACTCAGTGAGAACTCAACGCGTTTCACCGACCAGAGGAAGTGGAATATCCTCTTGTAGCTAGCCATGTTTGTACGACTGATAATGGTTGCCAGCGGCATCGTTATATGGTAGTCGAGCGAGAAGATGTCCCAGCCGATATTCGCGCTGCTGCTAGCGCCGCCCGTAGACACGCGGTCCTCCTGCAACGAGATATCCAGTCGTTTCAGAATGTCTTCATCTTCGTACTGCGAATTCGATGTACGAATTGCATTCTCCATGATTGTGACCAGTCGGTGACGCGTCAGTTGCGCCACCGGCTTCAAGAGGTCCTCTCCGAGCATGTCCATCAAACCCTGAATAAAGTCGCCTTGTCCCAGCAGCAAGTAACGACGCAACGCTTTACAATGATCCATGAATCGGAAGCGTACCATCATCAGATCGATCAGTCGCTTACTGCTATACTTGGAGGCGCCACTTATCACCGTATCCAAATTGGCGAGGTCGGCATACGATTCCAGTCGCAGACGACCACCCGCGCTTCCCTCCTTGTCGCCCGTCCAAAACGTCGATTCCTTGCAACACTGTTTCATAAAGTTTATGGATTTGCCGATCAACAGGATTCGCCGGCTCATGTTGCCGACGTTGAAGAAGCTCGGCAGCATCTCTGGTACCAGAGTGTACTTGTCGCTCCAGACGCGGTCTACCGGAACCTGCAGGTTCTTGGCGATGAAGAACTCTGAGTGTAGATCGTTGATCTCACCCTCTGATATCCAGCGATCCAACATAGTAAATATCGGTTTGGAGACGGCCACAAGTATAGACTTTACCATGGTGCGAACCGTTGAGTTACCATGCACCGAGAACGATTCGATATACGAAACAGTGGCACCGCCTTTCAAAGTGGAGACACCCGATACCAATGCACAGAGTGCTTTCAATTTGAACAACGGTTCTTGTATCCAAACAAACATACCCATCAACGTCATATGTTCACCGCCACCACCACCACCAATATTATCACTACTATTAACACTACTACTACTGCTGCTAGGTTCACTAAATTGATTCTCTGATACATTTCTATTTATCTTTGTTTCTAATATTGCAATTAATCTATAGAATTCAGATAGTTCCTCTTGAACACATGAACAAAAACACTAATTAATTGTTATATTATATTAGTTATTGTATATCTTGTTTTGTTTTTGGTTTTACTTACTTGATTAACTAAACCTTGATGTGAAAAATTACTGTGAACTAAAAACAATCTGACTTGACGGAATAGCCAACCAAATTCGACTAGACGACCAATAAGATCGGCTCTTGGCTTTGAAATATTTACATTCTTGTCGACGGTGTATCCATTGATGTCATTAAAGTATTTGATATACTTTCCTTCGATACCTTGGAATACATAGATCAAATCTTTCAATAGTAATTCCTCTGATACCTCTATTTTTTGACTTGCTCTCTTATTGCTATTGCTATTGTTATTGCTATTATTACTATTGGGTAATGCAACATTATTAATAGTTGATTGTGCAGTGTAGATCGGTAGTTGAGTGGGTGGTAGTTCATTGTTGAGGAATTGGTTTGCGATGGGTGGTGGTAGTTGTTTGGGTACTGGTGGCTGCACTGACATTGTTTCCATCTTTGAACGAATCTGTTCGACCAATACTGATGAATCGCTCTTCTTTGAGTGTTGTTGTTGTTGTTGCAGTGTATTGAATTGTTGGAGAATCTCGTCTGCCTTGCCATTGATCAGTGTAACAATAGTAGAAAGATAAACATTGTTGTTATTCGACACTTGATACAATTCACGATAGATATCACCAAATTTAATCAACTTTTCTTTATCTCCAATATTTGTTACTATAAATTCAAATGTGTTTTGTTAGCTATCTATCTATAGTAACACATAACTATTACTTATACTTACAATATTTATGTATTTCATCGTATATTTTAAAATCATCTTGTTTCAATTTTGATGGTGGTTGTTGTTGTTGTTGATGTACAATCATAAATCTTAATATATTATTTACTTTTGATCTATAGTCTATACTATTTTCATTGTCTTTTTGTTTGTAGAACATAATAATAAGTTTATAGAGTAGAAGTTGTATTTTACTCATTGGAGTTGTATTTGAAGTCTGTGATGTTGTTGTTGTTGTTGAGCTGCTATTGTTTGTTGTACTATTGACTGTCGGTAGTTGCATAGTTGGTAATGATGTCACTGATATAGAAGGTGGGGATATAGAAGATGATGATGATGACGAAGTTGTTGTTGTCGTTGTTGAAGTATTATTACTTTTATTTCCATTGTTGCTAACATTATTTAAAGTACTATCATTATCTTTTTTATTTAATTTCGATATCGATGATGATGTTGTTGTTATTGAACCATTCATCTTTTCTGTATTATCTGTTATTTTGATCATTTATTATTATTTACTATTAAAATGAATTGTCATTGCTTTTGGCGCGCAAATCAAACAATCAATCAAATTACCAAATTAAAATTTAAATTATAAAAAAAGATTAATAATTTTTGGAATCAAACCAAACTGATTTTTAAATTATTTAAATTTAAGTTTACTGAGATGATATATTTATAAATGATAATTTAATTAAACACACAAGCTTTGAACAAACAAGTTAAAATAGAAGCTTCTATTTTAATTGTTGAAAACTTGTTTTTATTTTGCTTTCAACATGTTATTTATCTTAAAAACAAATTATACCAAATTCATTACAGTACAATTTCACAAGATACAAAAGTTATTTAATATAGAGTGTATGAATTGTTCTTTGTTATAATCCAATACAATTCATATTGTTTTAATTAATTATATAAATTAATTAATATATTTTAAACAACTTTAAAAATTATATTAACACAATATAAGTATTTTCACAAAATAATTGTACTCGGCGAATACAAATATATAATAATGAATAAATAATTTATAAATAATTATAATTACTTTACAAATTGGTACAACAAACCGTAAAATCTTAATAATACAACCCAAATATATATTATAAGTGAGAGTTTATGTTTATCAAGTCTTCCGAGTTGTATTAAATCACTATCACTGTGACTATAGTCATATTAAAAATTGATACTGCTATGAACGATAGATAGTAATTAACTAAACATATTTATACTCAATAACTATTAGACATAGATTTTTTTCAGTCAAACGAATGTCTTTCTGCTATTTCACTTTTAATCAACAGCAGTTTTACAACTTGACTTTGAATGCACATTACTTGATAATATAGGAGTTAATATCTAAAAATAATGAATAATAGTACACATGAATATATAGAAGGCGAAGGTTTGGTCAAGAGTTTCTATTTTCAGAGATTTTAACAGTGATTTTTGAAGGAAAATCTTTAAAAATAGTGGCATACCGCAGGCGGTATTGTGATTTTTAAAATGATAAACCTCCCTATCCGGGAATCGAACCCGGGGTTTCAGTGTGAAAGACTAATGTGTTACCACTACACCAATAAGGATTATTTACATTATGTATTTTTTAAAATAAATTTTTATATTTCCCTTTTTAAAAACTAAACAACGGTTATTGTATAACAGAATATCAAACAAACCATCGACAACTTAAACAACAGCAAACTTATCACTGCTAAGGTACCTAGAACATCACATTACAGCTTAAAAAACAACACTGCCTTGTAGCTATTTATTACTCTTAATGACAGGCAGGCAGTGTGCTACATGTCATCGAACAGCCTTCTGCCACCCTACTCTCTCCGAATATCCAAGAAGAGATCGAACGTGGTGATAAAACATAGAAAAGATACCACCTGATAATTATCAACTATTATTTTCAGAAAATAATTAATTCTTAGTTGCAATAAAACCCGCTGTACAAGTGATGTGTTGTTGGATATCTCAACTTCATGAAGTTGTTAACCTTGTATTGTCACTTAAAAAAAAGAATTAAAACCGGTAGGTAAACTTTTCCAATCTTTAACAACGAAAGATCCTGTCCAAGCTGAGAATGGTCGTACTCCTATAAAAGTATTGTTGTAGATTTAATAATACTTTCTTGAAAAAAAGGAAGTTTAATAATTACATATATGAAAAAATCCAAAAATTATATCTAATGACAGTCTTGATGTTCAATCAGGTCCCTTGAATTATATATGGTTGTCAACTATGTTATTATTTCACTAATCAAAATATACATTCTTTTCTTTATTTTAATTAAAATATTTTATAGTCGATTTGATAATGATCAAAAAAAACTATTTGTAACCTCCACAATGTAATTAAACGAAAAGTCATGTTGATAAAAATATCTTTTTTTTTTTTGTAAGTGGGTTATATATGATTCACTAAGCGATTTCAAGCCCTAAAACTCAAAACCTAATATTTATTCATTCCGAGAGATTATTATAACCACTCGCTTAAACTTTATAGTTTTCTAAAGAATTAATATTTGTTTTATAGAAGTTCTATAGAAACCCATTATTGTCTAATCTTCTTGAAAGAATCAAAAGCTAATAATGTTGTCATCGATGGGAGTTCGTTTAAATTAATCTTTGGGAAATCTTTAGAATAGTACATATATCTTTTAATAAACAAAATTTTACAATTTGCATTTTTCAATTATTTCTTTTGTTTTATGATAATGAATAAACTTTGAATCTAATCGATTAATTAATTACGTTTTAGTTGGTTGATACTTTGATTTAAAATGGTTCAATAGTAAAAAGCCTCTGATAATGATTGGGCGGGTGTGCAAAAAAACTTTCCAATAAAATGAAATTAATAGTTTTTGGGTTGAAATGATTTTTAAATCCACAAAAGCGGGCTTAAAATCAACCAATGATTAGCACTGATTCAATTTCAATTAATATCCTAGAGGTAAATTTCAGTCGTTTGTTTTGGGAATTTTTCATAAACAAAAATATGTTTTTTTTTTGTTTTGATTCAGATGAAAAATCATACCTGTGATGTTCATGTTGAACAAAAAAAATGTGTGCTTTTCAATTACCGATATTTGATTGGGCAAAATGTGTTAAGAAAAAAATGATTGCAAAGATATATATATTCTACTGAAACATCATCCTCTTTTTGTTGAAAACAGAAATCATATTATAAAGAAAGATACAGCAATCTGAGAAATATAAGGTTATATAGATTTAAGTAATCAAACTGTTTATTACTACTTTTGAGTTTTATTGATATTAGAATACCCTGCTACATATTACAATGATGGCTTATCATAAAAAAAAAACTAAAAACAAAATAAATATTAAATTAATAAAATATTTTTAAAAGGTTTCTAAATGACTATAAATTGGACAAGTTGAACAAAACAGAATTCATTCCAAACTAATCAAATACTTATATTTATAAAAAATAAATACATACCAAATTAAATTTAAATCTTTTAATTTTCAAAATAAACTTTAATAAAATTCTAAAATGTTGAAGATCGTCGCTTTACTCGCTATCTGCATTGCTGTTGCCTCTGCTTCTACCTGTGCCACCACTGGTTGCCCATCCAACCAAGCCTGTTACGGTACCATTAACGCCACACCAACCTGTTACAACTATGGTAACTGTGGTATCGTCCCATGTCCATCTGGTCAATCATGTTTGGTCATTGCCGGTCAAGCTCAATGTGTTGCCCCAACTGTCTGCCCATCATGTTCCTCCGATCAAGCCTGTGCCTTTGTTACTGGTAACTGCGGTATTGTTCCATGTTCCCCAGGTTGTTTCACCTATGGTAACTGTGGTATTGTCCCATGTCCATCTGGTCAATCATGTGTTGTTGTTGCTGGTAATGCCCAATGCGTCAACGCTCTCTAAATCCATTAAATTTAATATTATTTTAACTTTGCATTCATTTTAATGAATAAATTATATTTATTTAAATATAGTTGAATAAATCTAAAATGAATATAATGATTTTGTTCAGTTTATATCTATTTATACAAATGATTTTGATTTATCTAATTACTTCAATAGAATAAGCTTAAATTTAATATACCATATTTTGAAAGGTATAAAGAGGACTCAAACCACAAGAATTATTTATAGGACTCAGTTTGGTACCCAGTTTCACAACAATCATTTGGCAAGATTTCTTATTTATTTAATTATTAATGATTATTTGGTAGATTCATCATCAATATAAAATATACTAAATTAATTTTATATTTTTAAATATTGAAAAAATTTTTCATATCATTTTGTTTTTAATACTATTTTTTTTATTAAAAAGATTAAATTCACGGGACCTACATCTTTAATTCATGGATTAGTGTTATTAGAATATTATTCACTATTTACTTTATTTGATATTGATTTTTATTTTTAAAAGAGAGCAGGATGAGATCTAAATTTAGTATTAATTGGATTAAACTAATCGACTATATATTGATCTCAAATAATAAAATCTAGAGTATATTAAAGGAATTGGAATAAACATTATGACCAACCTTTAACACTATTGTCAGGTAAGATTGCAAGAGAGAAATGATCAAATGATTAAATATTCTCTCTTTTTGATATACAATGTATATATTTATATCGAAAAAAGATTAGATTGGTGAATAAAGGAAATCAAGTTAAAAGTTCTTCCTTTAGAAGAATGTGGATATGATATATACAAATTGCTGTAGGAAATTCAAAGGGAAAGAATTAGATTTGGTTTTTTATGTCTTGCAACTACTATTTTTTCCTCATGGATTCAATCTTACAATTCCCTATTATTACTCCTTCTACAATTCTAATAGTTGTTTAGGATTCTATCTATGGAAATAAACTGTATTACATCTCTAACTGTTGAAAAGTATCTGTTTCTTTGGTTATTCAATACATTAATATAAGACACGATTCAAAGTTTTGTAAGAAACTAAGTGTGGATACCCTTGAATCAAAGATGATTGTACTCTTGAAAATATTAGACTCAAGATAATAACAATGATATCACTGGTACATTACACTCTATATTCAACTATTTAAATAAGCAACCTTCTAAAATATCATTTACATTTACATTCCTAATAAATCAAAGTTGACTAAGAAATCAAAATAAAATAAAGCAAAAAACTATGATATTTTGTAGGGTAGTAACCTTAAAGTGATTCACATTTGTCAAGAATCTAAAATATAACTTCAAGTAAAGTTTCAATTAAAGAAGAATATAATTTTAAGATTATCTTTCTTTTAGTTGGGATTAACCTTAAGTAAGTACTGGTTTGTGGAGATTAGGTAGTGTAAAACAAAAAAAAACATTCACTTGAATTCTCAAATAAAAAAATAATATTTTGATTAAGTAGTCTCAATCTCACACTTTCCAACCCTTTATATAAGAAATAGCCATCCGCCCCAAGCATTTTCACAAGAAGATAATGTTTGATTTAAATAAATTCTTATTGTTTTAAGTTCAATTAATTCACGATCCCAAACAACTTTCTTCCCTTACCGCATGCGGAATGGTCAATTTTATAAAGGCTCCAACGAGATTCGAACTCGTGACCCCTTCCTATCTCTTCCTTTACTAGGGAAGTACAATAACCAACTATGCTATGGAGCCTCTGATGAAAAATAGAAAATCATTTTTTATTTTTATTTCTTTTTCGAAATATTAATTAAAAAAAATTGATTAAATAAAAAATTGGCATAAAGTTTTAACCATCCTGTTTCTGGATGTCTCCAGATACTAAACCCTCTATAGAATTTGAAAGTATAAAACCATTTTCCTCAAATATCTTCAATAAAAAAAAACGAATCATTTTTACCAAAACAAACAAAAACGAACGACAACATGTTGAATGGTAGAGAAAAGAATGGACAGCTCAATATTAATTGGAAAGAGTATGCATTAGGTGCAGACAAGTTCAAGAGAAAGACTGTTGGATTTGGAAAGTATGATAAGCGTGAGAAAGAGTATGAAAAAGAGCTCTTTATCAGAGAGATGTCTATCATTCAGGGTGGTATAGGCTGTGCTATCTGGGATGCTGCTATCATCATGTCACGTTGGATCTTCAAGCATCAGGATGCATTCAGCGGTCAAAAGTGTCTAGAATTGGGAAGTGGTGTCGGATTGACTGGTATCTTGGCAGCACACTTTTGTCAATCGATTACACTGACAGATTATCTTCCACCTGTAAGTTTGTTTAATAATAAACGAATAGTAGCAATTTCAAAGAACAACCAATCTAACAACTATCATCGTTTTTCAATAGTTATTAGAGAATCTTAAATACAATGTAGATTTAAACAGTAGAAAAGATACTGTTGATATGGATGATGACGAAGAGATCAGAGTCAACAACAGAATGATAGAGTTAAAGGAAAAAGTTGATGTGAAATATTTGAATTGGGATGAAATCGATAGTGTAAGTTAACATTGTTGATCGTATAAAAGAAAAACAAAACCAAATCTATTATTAACTCTGATGTTTGATTAGATAACAGTGAGTGAAGACGAAAAATATGATATAATATTCGGTAGTGAATTGACCTATAGTTTATTAAGTGTTGATAATCTGATAAAAGTGATTCAAAAATATCTAAAGAATGACGGTATTTTTTATGAGATTCTATCTGACGACAGAGATGTAAGTAATTTTCTATTTTTACCAATATTGTTTTGATATATTAATTATATTATAATGATAATAATATAGGGAGTATCTTATTTCCTTGAGCAAATGCAAGAAAAAAAGTTTATTTCAAAGATTGTACCTGTTGACCAGCAATACTTGGGTTCTTATGGTACCAAACAGAGAGAGGAAACCTATAAATTCTATTCATTTAAACTTGACAATGGTCAGCCAAACAATCATATCGATATGATTTAAAGCAATGTTGATTGAAAAGAATTTTCTTTCAGTAGTAATAATTCAAAATAAAAAAGAAATTGACAAAACATTTACTTAAAATATTTTCAAACTTTGGACAACCAGAATCTCTTTGAATTGTGTTTCCATTACTACACTAAATACTTAACTAATAAAGAATTCTGAAATCATTCTTTTCCTCAAGAATTGAAATTAGATTTTAATACCTACAATTGAGAATCTGTCATAATCCCATATGAAGAGTGAAACTTGAAAGCTACAATAACAAAGAATATTCTAGCATTTACATTTATAAAGATAAATTTGAGGATTAAAAGACCAAAATGGTGGTCAATGATCATTAAAATAGTTTCTTAAAAGTAAAACAGATTCTAAAAAAGAAAAAATATATTGAACAATTCTTGTTTTTTTTGAAGTGACAATACAAGGTGGAAGTTAAGATATTCAAAAAACACAACAATTGTACTGCTGGTTTTATTCCAACTAGTAATTAAAATGAATGTCAACTAAAGACCAGGCGGGGGAAATTATATGTATCCTTCTATGTTTTACTCCTTGGTTGGTACCACCAGGATGCTGATTGTGAGGATTCTCTTTAATACAACCTATGATTTCGGGCACATGTGCAGGAGGGATATGGAATTTCTTCGGGTGGAGGTGGAGGTAATACCATTGGCTCGCTATTGAATCCGGTGGAGTCGGTATTTGGTTCACTTTTAGCAACTTGTTTGACCGGTGGACTGCTCAAAGTTTAATTGGGGACGTTGTTGTTGTTGAAGTTGCTGTTGATTTTGTCTTCTTTTTTCTATCTTAAGAGTTTTACAATTTGTTCGACTGCATAAAATATTGTTTTAAAAAAAAAAATAATAATAGAGTATTTAATATATTTTTTGAATGATTGATCGATATCTCAGCTTTAAAAAAATCATACAAAGAATGTATGTGGAAAAAAAAAATAAGAAAATTGTATTATTTAAGGGTTTGGGGTGACAAATTATTTTAATAATTTATTAGGTTAATTGGTAATTTTTTTAAAATTAATTCTATTGATTTAAAAGAATCCTTTTAAAATATTGTTGAGTTGAGGAGTTACAGTATGTGGAATTGTGACGACAGATTGTGATAAACAAGCTGAAGGCAAATCAAACCATGATTCGGTAAAAGTGTTTTCAAAGTTGTAGAAATTCATTAGGGTAAATCCTGGTTTTGAGATGTCGGAGTTTCTTAAAGTCGATGAAACCAAAGAGCAAGTCTTTGGATCATAAAGGTAGGTTTGATTGGTATTGAAGGAATAAGCAGCAGCATTATAGATTTGAACTGGGAATTGACCAATCAAGAAGCTACCCAATAAGTCACCCAATGGAAGGCTAATTGGGAATGGAGAGTTCAAAGATACTTTGACACAAACCTCATTTTGCAAAATGAACCCCTCGTTGGTTTTACCAAACTCCCAAATAGATCCAATGATTGGTTCTTGGCCTTCGGAAAGAATCACATAAGAGCTGAAAGTTCTTTGACCAACAAAGTCGGTAGTGGTATTTCCAGCTAAAATATTTATGAAATTAATATTAATTTATTTATTTAATTTAATATTTTAATATTATTTATTACCTTCAAAAAACGATAATGGTGGTTGATTGGAGTTTGGTAATAAAGAGTTAAAGGCAGAAACTTCATAATTTGTAGTGTATCCATTTGGCTCTTGACATTGGTATGGAAAATGTGGTTTGGATGAAACGCATGCAACTAAAACTAATAAAACAATTAAGAATTTCATCTTGAAAAAAGTTAATGTTTGAGAATAGAGATATTAAAGTGGAAGAGATTTTATATATTTAATTAAATGATTGAATATTTGATTTGATTGATATTAACTTTCAAAAAATAAATTTGTTTAAATAGTTTCTATTCCAATCTTAGATAGAGATAAAAATTATAAAATAATTTTATCATACCAGGAACAATTGTATGGTGTCTCTTGGGATATCAGTCAAAGGAATGAACCAGGATCCAGAATAAAAAAACTAAAATTGGTTTTATTCAATGAATGTCATTGGATTCCATATCTTCTATATGAGGTTAACCAGGTTAACATTAAAATGTGATTGAAACTAAAATAGATATTTTTTTTTTTGAAGAAACAAAAATTGGTTTTTTTTGACACATCATTCTTTTTTTTTTTATTATAAAAAATCAAGATTTTAAATACCGAATTATAAATCTTTTCACTCATTTTTTTATTTTACTTTTTAATCCTGGTTTTATTTTATTTTGTTAACACTGGTCTCTTAGATAATTTCCAAATTTATGATATCATACGATCTTAATTTATAGTTATTTTATTCTATGGTTTGTCGTCTAGTTTGGAAGTGTTCTGCAATAGATGGGATGGCCAACTCCTAAAGTTATTATCAATGAGTAAAAGTATACGAATCGTAAGCAGTGTATACAGATTTGAGAGCAGTAGACATCTAGAGAAGAGTTTGAAGAGAGTGTCACGCCCTTTTGGTCTTTGATCTTAGCTGTGGTGGTGAAGGTATCGGGAGAATCCTTTGCTTAAGGATTTCCTGTTCTTTTGTGGTTGGGGTTGGTTTTTTGTCAGAGTTCACTCTAATGAATGTTCTGTATATAGTTTTGAGTTGGATTATTGTGTTGGGTGATTCTGTGGTTGGTTGGTTGAGGTGGGAGTTGTGTCCATGCAAGCTGGTAAGTTTTTTCCAAGCGTTTTGACATTTGGTGAACTAAGGAGACGGTACTAAAAATTTATTTCAAAGATCACATTGTAATGAAAGGAGGTATATACCACTGACGTATGTATGCTTATCGGCATAAGGATTGACCAGATACCTTATGCAATTCCTTTTTTTTTTTTTTTAAAGTATTCTCATATCTTGAAGAATACTTAAATGGATTTTATTTTTATTTGTTTATTTGCTAGTGAGGTGGGATGGCGTTGGGAAGCTCCAGGTTTGGTGGTTCCAGATGAGTTTGAAGTCGTCTAGCTTCTTCAGCCATTTGGATTGATATGCTTGAATGTTTAAGTTATTTCGACCGAAGTCTTGTTTTGATTTTCTGATTAGTTTGTGGTATTCTAGTTTAGCTAGTCTGTTAATGTTGTTGGTTGTTGCGTGATAGAAGGTGGTGGGTGTGATGAAGGAGTTGTGTGCAAGTTTGCAGTGAAGAATCCAGACCTGGTGCAGTACAATTTCTATTATGTTTCGGTGTAGCTGGTTTTTGCTTGTCATCTTGAGGATGTCTGAATCTCAACCGTTGAGAGGCTATCCAGCACCATTGTGATACACATAATGTAAATAATCCTTATTGGTGTAGTGGTAACACATTAGTCTTTCACACTGAAACCCCGGGTTCGATTCCCGGATAGGGAGGTTTCTTTTTTTAAAAATCACAATACCGCCTGCGGTAAGTCACTATTTTTAAAGATTTTCCTTCAAAAATCTTTTGTAAAGTAGTAATACCAGAGGTATTATACCTCTTAGGATAGTACTCTTTATCAAAAGGTTGATTGAGAGATATGTAGAAAAGGTCTTGATTCGATATTAATAATGAGATATAACTTTATTTATTATCTTTTAAATAAACATACCTTGATTCGATATTCACAGGAAATTTTTCTTTTTTTTACCAATTATCCACCATATAAAATTAATGACGCCAGTAAAACACCCCACAACCCCAAAAATAAAAATAAAAAATTTCAACTCAAAATTTTGGAATGGTTAAATGATAATATGAAGGTGGGTTGGAGTAATACCACCTCCCATCCACATAAAAATCTTGATTTTACCCTTTTTCCATCATATTAATTTAATATCGCCAGTAAAATACTTTATTTTTTTTTATTTTTTTGACTAAATTTTGTTGAATCGCAGTAAAAAAAAAGTATATCATGTGTCTTTGTTGTTTGCTGTATCATTCTATACCCTGTTATTTCATCTATATCTTTTTAACTTAATTTAATTTTAAAAAAAATGAATGAAATAAAAAAAATTTCAATTGAATTTTCGAATTTTTTCGAAAAAAAAAAAAAAAAAAAATAAAATAAATTTAAAAATACAAGAAATAATTGAATTAAAATTTAAAATAAATTAAAAAAATAGATTTATGACTTCAAATAAGATAATATGAAGTTATTTATTTAAAATCTTATTTTTTTTTTTTTTATATACATAAAATTATGATGCAGTTTAAAATTTTTTTTTAAGTCAAAAAAAAGCTAAAAAATGCATGTTTTGTGAACTTTGTCACACAATGTTTTGAAATTTTTATATGAGTGGAAGCAAGTTGACGTTGAGCGAAATTTTGAAATTGAAAAATTAGTGTGGTGGAAGTCGAAAATTAATATGGGATGGTAAAAAAAAGATGAATCTGCTGTGAATAATGAGATATCGAAACAAGGAGTTCTCTCGGGTATTTATACTCTTAGTTTACCATCGGTTGGACGGGATTCGTTGATGACTTCATCCTGGTAAACAATTCTAGAACTTCTCCGGTTGGTGATTCATCAATGGACCGTTAATAAACGTCTTCTGGAATTTCTATGGAATTTCTATGAGTGTTCACTGAAATATCCATGACTTTTCTACAAATCACTATTAAAATCAAATAGAAACTCTTGACCAAACATTCGCCTTATATATATTCACATTAGTAAGCCTTAGAGGACTTGGGTCGTGGGATCGATCCCGGGTTTTTACAAAAATTTTCCCGACTTGAAAGGAGCGCGCCACGTACTAATCTAGTATTCAATACTATCTTGGACCCCATGAAGTTGACACCGACAGTAACTAGCAGGCTTATCACAGGTGAACACCGAGTGGTTTACACACGTACCCGCTTATAATTCTAAGTGGCTTAATTACTCCGTCTGCCAAACCAAATCAATCAATGGGAACATCATCATCACTCAAAATGATGGCTATCTCAGCCGGCCTGTGGCTGAACTGCTCAAACAATATATAAACACGAACTGTAGGGTAATATCAAGCTCTACACCTTGACTATCAGTAATGGTAGTACAAGGATAATTTAAAAAAAAAAAAAAAAAAAAAAAAAAAAACTATTATTCATTATTTTTAGATATTAACTCCTATATTATCAAGTAATGTGCATTCAAAGTCAAGTTGTAAAACTGCTGTTGAATCAGTGTTGAATAAAGTGAAAAATAGTAAAGACTGACTTGATACAAGATTTAATTACAATCAAGGTTTTTGATAAACAAAAGTTTGGAAAAGAAGTTGTTTGAGCAAAGGAAGTAGTAATTGAATTGAAAGAAGAGTGGGAATCAGTAAAGTAGCTAAATGGAATAGCAAAAAATAAGTCTTGCACTGTTTATTCCATGCTCAACTTTGATATAGTCAAAGTATTCAAAAAAAAGGACATTCAATGTATGATAAAACAATGATAATATTTATTGATTGCATACGTCAATATAATCTGGAACCATTAGAGAATAAGATAGATCTAAGAATGTTTGAATTGGACACATAACACCATTACAAGTTGGGAGTGTGTAAGATTCACCATTGTATTTGAATTGCAAATAGTAATCTCCAGTGTTGTCTTGCCAGATTTCCATTTCAACATGACTGGCATATGCTATTATTTTTGAATCAACAGTGTGTTAGAATGATTTAATCAAATTTTTTAATAAAAAAAAAACAACATACCTGGCCAAATCTTGTATAGACCAAAAAGATTAACGAATGGACCAACTGAATCGTCGTGACCAGAGAACAAAACGTATTTCAATGGTGAAGCACCAGAGAGGAAATTCTCAATGTTTTGAACAACCTCTTGGAGGAACGATGACATGGCAAGTCTAGAGTAACTCTCTGAACCGAATGGGTAACTTTCTGTGAAGAACGATGCTTCATAGACTTGTTGAACGAGATCATCGGTGATACCATCTGGAAGTGGGAATCCGTGACATTGCAATGCAAAGAAGTAGTCCATGAAGGAACTCCATCCTGGGAAATTGGGTTCACCAAGAGTGCTCATGATGGTCTGTTGAAGTTGGGCATTCTGTTGGATGAACTGCTGGTAGACTGGGAGCGATGTCAAATTGTTGTAGAGGGTGTTGAGTGCTGGACAGAGCACGGTGTTTGGCGACATATTCTCGTGATAGTCATCCATGGTGTGGATGTCAATGACATCGATCATCGATGCTGCGTTGGGTGGTGGTGGGTAGAGAGCAGTAAGCTCGGATTGTGCCGATTGCACAGTACGATAGACGTCGGTGGAACGCACCCAGACCTCAGAGAGATTCAAATGCTCAGAAAGCAATCCATACTTTTGTACGTAGAGTTGACGGAATGTGGTTCCGAGTTGAGAGTGTTGTGCGAAACCAAGATCTGTAAGTTGACCAAGTGAGCAGTTACCTGGGAAAAAGTTACGACCTGGGAGATAGACCTTACGGAATTGACGTGAAGCTGGTGGAATAGCTTCAACATCGTTGTGTGATGGATTCATAAAGGTTGCCAACGAACAGTTCCAAGTTGCGAATTGACCAGTTGGTGGACGATATAATGGTGTACGATCACCATGACGAATTAAAACTAAAAAGAATATTATTATTAAATGTAAAATCATCATAATGAATATTTATATAACTATTTACTTTGAACAAACTTTAATGTCATTCCTTGAGTATCCTCAGATGGAGTCTAAATATAGATGATTTTAATGAAAAAAAAACAGATAGAAAATAGAATCAATCAATCAGTAACCATTCTATGGTGATTGTATTCATTGCTTTGAATGATCAAATAGAAACTTACAGCCAATGGTGCTTGACAATAGAATGGCTTTTGAGAGTAACATAGTTGTACAATTAGAAGTACTACAACTAAAATAGATAATGATTTGCTATTCATTATTACTTTTATAAATAATAAATAAACTAAAAAAAAAAAATAAAGAATAAAATTAAATATAAATATATATACTTGTTGTTGTTGAGTTGATATTAAAACTCTTAACAACTTATAAGTTTATAAATATAATTAAATTAATGATCTGTGTGTGGGTAAACTAAAAATTACTGACATTTTATATTCAAAAAAAGTTAAACGATTAATAAAAAAAAAAAAAAAAAAAATGGTATTACAATTAATCGTGACAAAGAGTTGTTTACGTAAAATGATTCCAACCTTGTTGCATTGTCAATATAACAGCAACAAAAAGATTGCATATGAAAGAAATTTTGATAGGTCGTTAATAAGGTGAAGCTTTTTTTGTTGAAAAAATAGATATTTTTTTTTTTATTGGTTTTATATTTAATTAATAAATAAATTGCTACGTATTGGAAATTTGAGGTGGCTAGTTATATAGATAAAATTAATTAAATATATTTTATTTGGTTTATTTTATCTACGATATTTGTCATCGTGATGTGATGAAGACGATGAAGATGACGACGAAGATCGATATGATCTTCCACTGTCTCTTTCTCTTTCTCTATCTCTATCTTTTTCTCTGTCTCTGTCTCTATCTCTATCACTGTAACTACTTCTACTTTTGTCATCTCTATAATCTCTATCGTCCCTTCTGTCATCTCTTCTATCTCTTCTATCATCTCGTCTGTCATCTCTTCTATCATCACGTTTATAATTTCTATCTCTATCTCTGTCTCTATCTCTATCTCTATCTCTTTCTCTTTCTCTTTCTTTTTCTTTTTCTCTTTCTCTTTCTCTTTCTCTTTCTCTTTCCCTTTCCCTTTCTCTATCTTTGTCTTTGTCTTTTTCTCTTTCTCTATCTCTCTCGCGTGCTCTTTCTTTTTCTCTTTCGCGCTCTCTTTCTCTATCCCTGTCTTTTTCTCTTTCGCGTTCCCTTTCTCTTTCGCGTTCTCTTTCGCGTTCTCTATCTCTTTCCGAATCTCTGTCTTTATGGTCTCTCTCAGAAGGATATCTATTGGTGGAGTGGTAAGATGATGATGATGACTGTCTCTGATCTCTGTCTCTGTGATCTCTATCGTTGCTTCTTCTATGACCGTTTTCATATGACTAAAATAGATATTAAAATAAATGAAAATAAAAATGTTAACATTTGGAATCTTTGTTTTATTTAACCATATATAAAAGTATACTTTTGAATCGTCGGCAGTTGGTTTAGCACGCTTGTTTGGATCGGAGGCATCCGTTGTCTTTTGATGATCGTCTCTTTCAAGGGATCTCTTCTTTGAGTCATTTCTCTCGTATTCACTCAACTTTGACATCTCTACACCCATTTCCTTTTGGCAACTAGGACACAATATATCTTTGTCTTTATTACCCAACATTCTTTCCTTATTCAAATAATCTTTAATACCTATATATATATATATAAATTATATAAACAATCAAATAAATAATCAATTTTATTATTATAATTAAAATATACAAACAAACAATTAAAGATATATTTATACTTACATTTAAAACAAAATGACTTTTTACAACATGTTGAAACAAAATAGGACGATGTATTACATTGTCTTTGACAGATAGGACATTGTTGTGGTTGTTGTAGTTGATGTTCAACGACTGCAGACGTTGAACTACCATTGAGTTCGCCCAGTGCAGATGCACTTCCTGTGTGAATTGGTGAATTCTTGGCACTGTTATTCTCAGACTTTATATCGGACATTGACGTAATATTGTCTTCATTCTTTGGTGTAGTTCCACCCAATGCTTCATTAGTCTTTTTCTCTTCCAACTGTATGATAGATTTAGCCATTTTATTAAATTCTGATCTGTTGTTGTTGTTGTTGTTGATTATTGAATTAATAAACTAATTAATTATATAAGTAAAATAAATATATTATACATACTCATGAGTTAAAACAACGGCAACACCACCGCCTGGCATTAAAACAGTTGATGAACCGGCAGTACCTGGATTCTGAACTGGTCTAAGAAAGATCTTTGGTATACCTGATGCCTTCTTGGACTTTGGATGGTTAAAGTTGGGATCGCCATTGGTCGGACACTGGTTGATATAGTGACCTGGCTGGTTACAACGATGACATATATAATAAGGTGGTGGTGCTACCACTCTGTCTGTTGGGAAATTATGTGTACGATGTTCTCTTGTATATGGTCTGTCACTTTAATGATGAATATACATAAATATAATTAGTTTTATGCATATTATTGATATAGATAGATGTTACTTACGCTCCTAAGCCAGCTTGTGTTTGGATGAGAGCATTGATCTTAGCGCTCTCATCGTCTTGTGATTCGTCGACACTGCCAGTACTGTCTTTGATCAACAACGGATCTGGTGTTGGATTTGCAATGGTTGTCTTGGTACTGGAGATTCCAGCATTGGCCGACAACGTAGCGGTCAATGACTTTGAAGGTTGTGTAACTGGCACTCTCTTAATAATCAACGACGTATTCTTTGGAATCAAAAAGGAATCATCTTTATAATCTAGATTGATTATTATATAATATAAGATAAGTAAAAGTAAGTTAGTAAGTTAAGCTATAAACAAATAATCTAGGATTATATATATATATATATATATATAGATAGATATGTACCTTCACCTGATTGAGCATTTGAAATAAGTAGATCAAAGTCAGTGGATTTACCCATGTTTCTCTTTGTTACCAAGATCTTCTTGAGGTCGCACACCGAGATGTGTGTTCCATCAAAGGTGGCAGTATCATAGTCTTTGGCACTCTTGAATTTGAAATGAACAGACATTGTATACTATCGTGCGCGCTTTAGCTATAGAATAGAGATTAAGCAATTCTTTATTTAAATGAATTATAGCAAATAGAGCCAAAATTTTAACTTTTTCTTTTTCTTTTTTTTCTTTTTTTTTTTTTTCGTACTAATATTTAATAAACAAGAATCACAATGAACAACAACTAACTAACGAACGAACGAACGAACGAATGTTTATTATTTATATAAAATTGATAAATAATAATAATAATAATAATTGTATAATGATTAATAATAATTATTTAACTCTTTTTATAAAATATATAAAAAATGAATTTTATATATTAAATTTATTTATAAATAACTATCAAAAATATTATATTATCTTTCTCTTTCTCTTTTTCTTTTATCTATCTATCTTTATTTTACCGCTAACTCTTTTTGTGAAACCAATTGATTGATTCTTATAAAAATGCTCTCCTTTTTGTCTTTTTGTTTTTATTTACTAGTAAAAAAAAAATAGTAAATAATAAAAAATTAAACTAAATTAATAACTTAAGTTAAAATAGCACCTTATTCTTTTCTGATAATTTAGATCTTGATATACATAAATATATAAATATTACCAATACAATAAAAAAATGAAATAAAATCATTAACTAAAATTTTGTTATTTTTATTGTAACTTTTTTTTTTTTTTTTTTTTTTTTTAATTTTAATTTAATTTTTTATTATTTATTATAATAAGATAAAAGAAATTATTTTATTATTATTTGTTTTTTAGGCATTAATTCTTTCTAATTTTGATGTGGAATTGGGATCATCATCTTCTTGTGATGCTTTCTTTACAATTAGTATTCCACTCTTTGTAAATTTGATATAGAATTTCATTCTGATTATTAAAACTAAAATGATGATTATTGTAATCGAGGTGATTGGTACGACGATGGCAACGGGCAATACCCATAGTCTTTCGCTTTCGGAACACTTGTTCGACGGGTTGGGATTGACCAACACTGAAAAATCTGGATCCAACACACAGATCGAACAGAACGGCAAGTTGATACCGACATACACTTCATTCTCGGTTTGCTTGACAATCTCCGTGGTGATAAACGTTGGACGACCGTCAGAGAGCATCCTATCGATGAAACGACCCTGCAGTGTCTTGCCATTTTTCTCTATCGTTAGATAGTTGAGTGTATTACTGCCGATAGCATTGATATTGGTACTGGCACATTCGGCATCGAATTTAACACTGGTCTTGATCACCAGTTGCAGTGTATTCAGCCGACCCAAGAATCGCCAGTACGAGATCGACGCGGTCAACTTCACCGAATCCTGATCCATAAAGAGATCGAGTCCGGCAAATGAAATATTGGTCGGTTGATTAAAGTAGGTGACTTGATAAGTAATGGTAGCGGTTTCAAACGATGTCGAGTATGTCCATTGTGTTTTGTTGTTCTGGGAGGACGCGACAAAGTCTTTGAGAAGCACTTCACGGACTTGGTTCATCGAGCCGTCTCTCTCTATAACGGAGTACACTTGGAAGTCGAATTTCGCATTGTCTTTGATGATGGTGGTACTATTGGTTCCGGGAACGACAAGTACCGGTCCGGAATACTGTTGGTCACAATTCATTCCAGTCCATCCACGGTCACAGAGGCACGATCCATAGTTACAAATACCATGCCCATTACAGTCCGGAATGTGACAATTCACTCTCTCAGGATCGTCAGAGTAAGTAAAAGATCGAGATGCATTGGCGACAACAGAGTTGACTGTTACCAACACATCTTTCAGTCCGAACGTACCTTGCTCTTCCAAAGTGCATAGAATCTGTGAGAAATTCAAAAATTGAATATGACACGGTAGATTACCGATCACAACAGAGCTATTAAAAAAATCGTACCCATATAGCCCATAAATAGTTACATTTCCACCTTTGGATGGACAAGTAGTTGATGCACTAATAAAAGGATATGTATAGTCTGGTGAGGTGAATATGAATTATTATTAATTATTTAGAAATTGATTGATAATTAATTAATTTTTACTTACTTCTTCTATAGATATATGTATAGTTGGTAGTTATAATAGTATTGGCGGGTGTGAGTATTGTAATTTGAAAGATATAAGTATCATCTGGAATGTTTACATCGTAGACAGTACAACCTGCAGCTGCACTGAGCGCTTGCTCAACTTCACATCGGTAGTGACCTAGTGCCATTGCGATTCTTGAAGTATTATCACCAAATCCTCTACCCAACATGAAAAAGCTAATTCCATAATTTCCAGCTGTATAAACACTTATATTAGAAATCTGGGCACCCTGAAGCGTAAGAGGTGCTGAAATACTAATGTTGTTTGCAGATGGGAAACTAACATTTATATATCTATCTACATACAACATACTCCAAATAGGTCCACTATTAAAAAGATAAGTCATTCTAAAATTGAAAAATAAATGTTTGTTAATAAAAAAAACTTGAAAGATATTATAAAATTACAATACATACCCTAATCTTTCATTAGGAACTTCATTAATGATCGTTGTCTTTGGTGATTTTGTTGCAAAGGCATTTTCCCATCCAATATCTGTACCATAGATAGTCAATGTTGATTTATCATATAGTAATGCTGTTTGTATTTTTATAGTTGCTAATAATAATAATAGGAGTTATTATTAAAATAACAAAAACATGTAATAATTAATAATAAGTAAAACATACTGCAAGGTGGATATTGGCTTGGTGTCCAATTATCCCTATAGTTTGAAAATTGATTTCCAACAATCATGCTCTTGACTAGTTTGCTATAAAGATGGCAGGTAACACATGTTGGAAGCTCCCCGGTCATCAGGTTATATGATAGATTGAAATTGTAGTGACAGTATTCTTTTGGGATTAAACCAGAAAACTTATTATTACTGTAATCCAATAAATTTGCTTGTGGATAAATTGGTGGCGTTCCAGCTAGTAAATTTTTACTAAGTGTAAAAATATTCAATGTATTTGATATTGGAACATTTGGTGAAAGAGGCTTTGTGATACCTATACCAGAAAGTATACTATTTGAATAGAAGTAAGTTAAAACAAACTTTTTTGGTTTATATTAAAATAATTTATTACTTACATATAAGTTAGAGATTGACCAAAAGCTGAAAATGGAATTTCACCATTGATGTTGTAATTTGGAGAGTTGGAAATAGTACTAGAAATAAATAGTTTTAGTAAGAACACTGTTGCGGGAATTGTTATTTTATATATAAATTCCAAATAATTTTTTTTTTAAAAATGATAATAGTTACAATTGCATTAGACTTTTCATTGTCGATAAATTAAAATAAGCAGTTGGTGCAACTAGGTCTAAATTATAAAGTTGACTGAAAAAAAAAGTATTCATTATTAGTATTTTAAAATATTAATTGAGTTATTTCACATTTCATGCACATACATTGTATTAATGGTTGGGTGTACATCGGCAAATGGAAAATCTATTTGAACATTTGGTTGAACTTTGGTATCATTTAAAATCAGAGTAGCTATAGTAGATATAGTTCTTAAATTTTCAAAACTGGACTGATTGAAATTTAAACCCAATTGAAAATTTCTTTAAAAAAAAAACTGGTATTAGTAAAGAATATCTTTATAAAATTTTACAATATTGAATATATACAGTGAGTAAAAATTTGTTGTTGTAAGGGTGGTTCCATCTGGTAAACCTGATATGTAACCCTTTATAGATAATGGTAATACATTGTTTATTCCCATATTTAGCACCCAATATAATTCTCTAATAAAAGATGTATCAAATGCTCGATAATCCCTATTTTATAAAAATAATAATAATAATAATAAGAAGAAAATGTAAGGATTAAAATATAAAAATTAAATAAAAATAGAATAGAAACTTACAAATCGGAAACTGATCCCACTGAAGAAGTATAAATTTTTCCTGAAATTGGATTGTTTAAAATTGATCTTGTATTGAAATATATGTATATAATGTTAATTCTTTAAAAATAATCATATATTTGATTTAAATGTTAAACTTACAAAGTTCTGACTCCTCTGAAATGAAGAGTTGTAGTTTCGAGGGTTTGAATATTACAATGGTCACATGATCTTTAAAAAAAAATTAATAAATTTATAAATTAATAAATAATAAAAAAAGTATATTTACAGTTTACTGGCACTTGAAGGTAATTTATAAATAAAAAATTGGTCTCCACTTGTATCCATATTTGATAAAACACTATTTTATTTATTTTTTGAATTGGTTAATATCAATTTATTTATCAACTCAATGAAAATGGTATTCTTACATTTGTGAAGATATTGTAAAATTAAACATTTCTGCAGTTACTTGTTGTGTTCCATCACCTTGGAGAGTTCTATTAAAAATAAATGAATAAATAAAAAACAACTTGATTAAAAAATGTTTGATCAGAGAGAAAATTGTTGAATATTGATTTTTACACTCCAGCAATATTATTTTGTGATTGGGTACACAGAAAGTTAGGCTTTGTGACATCACAGAAATTGATAGTTTGTGGACCTGGTTGATCTTCTGGATAAATAGTTTCCAGATGAAACATAGTTCTTAAATTAAGTAAGAGTTGATCTAAAATTGATTGATTTTGGATTGAATTTTATTTTTTATTTCAATATTGTTTCAACTTTGCCTATCGAGAAAAGGTACTTACATTCGGTTTCATTGAAAGTCGCTTCAACAGAGCAACTTGAAACTAATAATAAAATTGAAATAAATAGAATATATACATAATTTTGAGATTTTGTACTACAACGATTATTACTATTAACAGTAATAATCATTTTTGAAATATAAAATGTTTGGATTGTTTTGATGGATATTTTATAAGATAAGATGGTTGGTTGTAGATACTTTCACATACACCTTTGGGATTTCAAAGATGGGGATGTTGCCGAGCGTGTGTCTAATTGGTGAGATTGGAACAAAAACAGAACATAATATTAATAATTAAACTAGATATTTTGTAAACAAATAGAAAAGTGTAGAATAAAAAAAAAAAAAACTATTTAAACAGATATTTTCAATAATATCTGTTTTTTTATAACCTTAAAAATATCTGATTGAACGACTCTTTAGTAAGAAAGTTTTTTTTTTTTTTTTTTTTATCAAAATTTTGACTTGAAAACTTTAAAAGCGAATGAAAAACAAATATCTATTATCTATGGTATCAAAATTTGATAAATAATATAATAAAAAAAATAATAAAAAAAACAGAATGAATTAAAAAAAATGACAGACGGCAATGATTATTTATTTTGGTCAAATTTGTTTTGATATCAATTGAGATCAAAACTAAAAATTATTTAATTTCTAAAAAATTATGATTTTTTTTTTTATTCCATTTTTGTAAGAAAAACCATTGCGTTCCACGAATAATGACATTCAAAAATCAAAAAAAAAAAAACCGCCCTCTTGACATTTATTTTACAATTTTTTTTATTCCATCACCACAAAAATCACATCAAACATAGAGGATCGACCCCCAACTTTATTTAAAATTAATGTCGATTTTTCTTTAAAGACTGAACGGAAATATCAAGAGAAAAGGTTTATAGATCTAGTTAAGAGTAAATAGAATGATGTATTCTCTCTTTTGTTTCTCATTTAGCTCCTAAGATTGATGGATTGATGACGATACCATACACCTACAAAATAAAAAAACAATCATGATCTCCTATAAATTCCAAATATCTGGAAAATAAAAACCTGGTTAGCAAATGGAACACCAATTTAGATTCTTTTGCCCATTACTTTTATAAAAATCTTCTATTCATATATAGCAATTGGTATGATCATTGAACTTCTCAATTAAATGAGAATCAACACTATAACATAATTATTATTTTATTTAAGATTCCAAATATCTTGAAATATCATTAAAGTTGTAAAATAGTTTTGAAATTTCTCTTAGAAAAAGTTAAAGAAATTTAATTCTTGATGTTCAAAGTGAGATTAATGTCTTTTAGTTTTACTTTAATTAAAGATAACTCTTGTTTGTTTTATTATAAATAATTTTAATTAAAAAGATATCAAAAAATTAAATATTTCTATTATTAAATTAATTATTTTTAAAAGATATCTAAAAACTATAAAAATCTTTTAAACTTTGAAAAAAATAAAATTAATTAATGAATTAATGTGGTTTTCAACATGAGATGTGGTTCTTTAACATAGTTTTAAATCTTTGCTCTTTTTTTTTTTAAAACTTTTTTTATACATTTACAATTAATTTATGAATCTAATTAATAAGGATATAATAGCAGCTGAAGATGATATCGTTATCGATAATGATTATTTAATTAATAGAAATATTAATATTGTTGATAACATAAAAAATGAAGAGAATGCCACCACTACAACCATTAAATTAGATAATATAAAACATATTCAACAGAAATTCGAATGGGATTGTGGGTTGGCGTGTTTAGATATAATATTAGAGTATGTACAATAATACTTACTCTTTTGATATATAACTTTAAATTAAATTAACTTTTATATATATATACTCTACTTTTAACTTTACTTTAATAACTATAGTTGGTGGCAACATCAATCAACTTCAAACTCTTCGGAAGTAGAACTACTGACTACCACTGCTACCGCTGTTGATATTGATACAGAGAATAATAATAACAATAATAATAATAATGATAATGATATGGTACCAGATTTACAAGAAGACGATGAGAATAGCATAGATACTATTGTATCAATTAGAAACATTATTAAAACCAAGTCGATTTGGTCGATAGACTTGTCAGAGGCACTCTATACCATTGGTATTAGACACTGCTACTTTACAACATCGATCGGAATGAATGAAACACACAAGCATAAACCTTTTTATGTAGACAATTGGGACTCCGATGAAAATAGGATACTCGATCTTTTTAACCTCTCTAAAGAACGTCAACCACCACATCTATTCTTTGGCGGTTTGGCAATCAACGAACTCATCAAGCACATCAAGAAACAGTTACCTGCAATCGTATTGGTAGACTCTAACTTTTTACATTGTAGTAGGTGTAGAACAATAAATGGTATCAATAGTAGCAGCAGCAGTAACAACAACAACAACAACAATGACAATAATATCAACAACAAAAACGATAATAATAAAAAGACAAAATACACAGATAATAACCTACAAAAACAATTCAAAAGACAACAAGAAGAAAATCAAAACAGAAATTTCAATGGACATTTCATTGTGATTGCTGGTTACGATCAACTATCAAATGAATTATTATTCATAGATCCTTCATTAAATCAAGGTAAGTAATAATAACTACGACAACAAAGTTAATAATAATTATCATAAAACAATAAAGAACAACTAATTAATTATTCTTTTTTTTTTTTTTTTTCAAAGATTATTGTAAAATAACATTAAATGATTTCGAATATGCAAGATCTCGGCCTGGTACAGACATGGATATTATATTAATATACAGAGATAATAGCATTATCAATAATTTCGAAATAATAAACCAACCGATAGATAATTATAGCTAACTCCAAATATTCAATATTCAAAATATTCATCTTGAAAAAGGAGAGGAAATACCTTGTAATTTGTGTTATTATTTTATAAGTATTTATTAATTCATAGGTATAATATTATTATAATTACTACTATTCTATATTGTAATGTGTATTGTATTTACGAAAAACTGTGATATTTGCTTAAAAGTTTAGAATCTGTTTGTTGGGAAAATACCAGCAGACTTTTGTTCGTCCCACTCTGAAATCTGTGACGATTATAATAATAATCATTTGTAATTAGATTAGTAAGGAGTCGATTGTGATGATTTAAAAATAATAATTGTTGGATCTTACCCATTTAGTTGGGCAAAGGGAGGTCATAGCTTGGTAGAAAGTTTGACATTTTGATTCGTCACCATCGTAATGCTTAACACAACCGTGGTAATCAACATAGCTGACCCAACAGTGCTTGGTTTGGTTTTGATTTGGGAATCTTGGGTTGTATTGAGCGGTTTGGGTTTCAACTCCTTCCATTATTTATCTTATCTATTTATTAATAACAACAACAAGTAGTATTTATTAGTATATTTAAAAGATGTGTGTAAATATATTTTAAATATTTGTTTTCTGCCGCTTTATTTTTTTATATTTATTATTAATCTATTATTTATATAACTAGTACTACTGTTACTGTTACTGTTACTGTTGACTGAGATTCATTATCATGATTTGTCACTGATTTCTATGAAAATTTATAAAAAAAATAAATTATTGTTTGTTATCTGTAAAATTTGATTTGAATGTGTGTGGGTGTGTTTTGATTGATATATATAATCAGGTGATCTTCATTAATGATCATTGTTTATTCGATTCCTAACAACCAAAATCATTATTATGATCTTATAATAATGCATGCTACAATCCGTTCCTTTTTGATTAAAGCTATTTGTAGTGGCTCTTTAAAAAAAAAATCACTATTCTACTGTTTTATTTTTTCCATTTGTATGATCTTATTTTAAGATGATTCTACTAGTAATTATTCTATTGTTCTATTTTACTAAGCAAGCAGTAAACAGTGATGATCTGTTTAATATAAAATACATACATAATTCGGTATGTAATATATCTATTGATGAAAAAACACTGAAAATGAAGTTTAGTGAGGATGCCAACTAAAATTTTTTTTTTCTATTTTTTTTTTTGTATTTTTTTTTTTTCATATCCATTTTTTACAACGTTACGCTAAATTTGGTTGTGTGATAACAAACAGATCATGAATAATATAACTATTTGATGATCTGATTTGATCAGTACTTATTTAATTTTATAAATATTTTTTTTTTGCACTTTTTTATTTCTAAAGATTTGTAGTGGTAATAGATGTTTGATTTAGTTTTGTTGTTTGTTTGTTTGTTTGTTTGTTTGTTTGTTGCTGGGTTGGTTACACTGAGAATCACTTTCTTTCTTTCTTTCTTTTTTCATTTCATAGATCTAATCTTATTCGGTGTTTTGGTTTTATGTGATTTGATTTGATTTGGCTGTGGATTGTTTGTTTTGAAGTTATTTGAAGTGAAAAGAAAAAGTAGAGAATGATTGATTTGTTTGTTTGGTTTGATTGATATGATTGATTGATTGATCATTGTTGTTATTATGATGATATTACATGACCGTTCATTGCATTTGTTGTGTTGTTGTTGGTGGTGGTTGTTGTAGATGACGCTGATGATGACAATGGTGAAATGGATTGAGTTATATTCTGTAAAAGCGAATAATTGGAAATGGATTGGTGTGAGCTATTGGGAGTGCTGTTGGTGCTGTTGCTGGTACCGGTGCCGCTGCTGTTGTTGGTGGTGGTGGTGGTGGTGGTGTTACTGGAACTATTACTACTACTACTGTTGCTACTACTATTATCCTGGGTGAACGACGATGTCAGACCGTAGAGTATACCCTGATACTTTGAATCATCGATTTGATTCTCAAAGTACATCTTTCTCATCTTGAAGAAGGTCGTGCAAGTCAAAAGTGAATCACTACCTGCCTGATGTTGTGGTCCAATTCTTTTAATCTACAACAGATTGCGTGCAATAAAAACATCAATTAGTTAACAATAATATTATAATAAAAAAAAACATTTACAAAATGCAATTAATTACATACATCTAAATCCTCTGCCAACTCACTAAGTCCACCTTTCAAATTCTTACAACTCTTCATCAGATACTTTATATCATAAATACATGGGAAATAAGTTCTGACCAAATCAAAAAAGTCTGGTTCTTCCACTGGTAATGCTGTACAGGTCAATAGCTTTATTAAATAACCAAAATCATACCTAAAAATATAAAGTGGTTAGTTTAAACTTTAATTTGTTTTATAATCTTTGTTTTTGTTGTTGTTGTTGTTGTTTTGATTGATACATTACCCACTGTGAAAAGATATCCACTTTATCTTATCATTTAAAACAATACCGGAGGACATCAGCAATTCACCGAAATCCAATACATCTATACCATTCTCTTCATTCTTTTTAAATTCTATACCACTCCTTGATAGCAAATCAATTGAATCCTGTGCATACATATCCTCACTAAAAAAAATATACAGTTGGTCAATGATTGTTTTGCGATTTGATTTGAATTGAATTGAATTGAATTGAATTGAATCTAATCTAATGACGATATGATATTGATACAAACTTTAAATTAAATTTGAAATTGAATTGCCATGTACAGGTATGATTAGCTAGATTACCCTCAGAGTCAGCAAAAGTCAGACCCAATTGGATGATCTTCAGCAGGTCTACATTCAAACGCAATGTCTGATAGTGATAGTCTGATGATGTTCTATATGATCCAACTGGTCTCGTAACTATACCAGGAAACTCTGTATCCTGTTATCATTTTCATAAACCAAATATTAGTGACATGTCGACCTTTTCCCCTGTTTCAATTAAACTAATCTATCTATCCTATCTTTCTATTCATCGACCCTTAAAACCAATTCAATAAATCTATCATATCATATCCTATCCTATCTTTTCTTTTCTTTTCTTAACTTAATCAGCTATATACAATATACCACTCTATCTAATCTAGCTAGCTATTACAATTATTTTTTGTATTCAATGCTTTTTCGGTTTCATTTGTCATATGAATAGAAATAGTTATAGTTATAGTTTAAAAGTTAAAGGTGAGTGATAACCAACCATTGCTATATAATTGTAATCTTCGATGAGATCTCTGATGATGGCCATCTCCTCTTCGAGATTGTGTGCCCATACTTCTCTAATCTCATCTGTGGCTAGGGTAACCATAGCTTTATGATTACTATATGTGATTATGGCTGATATTTTTGATTATTTGGGTTTCTGTTATTATTAATTTGATTATTACTCAAATCTATTAATGTTTGTTTGTATAATTATATTTTATTATTATTATTATTAAGTTGACATTATTATCATGATCATTTTATTTTATTTTATTTTGTTATTTTGTTATTTTTTTATTTTTATTTTATGTGAATATTATTATTATTGTTATTGTTATGTTGTTATTATAATAATTAATTAATATAGTTATATTATTATTTGTTTATGTTATTGTTTTTTTTTTTTATTTTTTTTTATTTTTTTTAAATTAAAGATTGAAGTTTTAGTTTACACATTATATGAGTAGTAGTAGTTCACATTTAAATTTTAACTTTACTTACAATAATAACTAAATATCTATACAGTTAGAATGAAATAAAATTTGAAAGGTTGGTGATGATGATGAAGATGGTGATGTGTTTAATACAGATGGTTTGTTTTACTGTGAATCTGATTTCGCAAAGCTTTGCTAAGAAATAAGCTAAATATATATTTATTGAGAACTTTGAAATATATCTATATTTTTTATTTTCTTTGCTCGTTTTACTTGGTTTCTGTAGTTAGATCTTGATTGATGAGTGTTCTGATGATCTATTATTATTACTATTTGTTATAATTTTTATGACTACTTGTTGTTGTTCTATTAATGTATGAAGTGTTTTTTTTTTAATCTGATTATCAAAAAAGCTTTTTTTTTTTTTTTTTTGGTGTGTTTGTTTTTTTTTTTGTTTTTGACTTTTTTTACAAAAAAAAATTTTGTGTGTGAACATATATTTGTGTGAGCAATTTAAATAAATGAATTTTTAATTTATTTGGTTTTATTTTGATGATCATCACTTTGCTTGATTGTGATTTTTTAACAGTGTAATTTACAAATGATTTTGGATGGCTGACATTTCCTTGGTATTTCGCTCTACGTCCGGTTTGTCTCTTATGAATTCATTGAGTGTTAAATTATTAATATTGGATTCCAGTGATGTAGGTGATGTTGATGATGGCAATGATGATGATGATGTTGCTGAAGTTGTTGAACTTTCAATATTTATATTGTTTTCTGCCAATCGTTTCTTTATCAAATTAAAACTATAACTTAAATCTCTTCTCTTGTGGTTGATATTATTAAATGTAGGTATAATTTCTTTTTCTATTTTTGGTTTTTTTTTCCCAGAAACATATAAGTATAAATTGTTAAAAATAATATAATTTTAATAAAACATGGACATACCAATAGTTGTTTGTGAAACATTTAAAATACTATCCCATGATTTCAACAATTCTATCTCTGACTCTAAAAGTTTATTCTTTTTTCTCTTTTCATTGCTATCATGCTGAATCTTAAAAATGATTGATAAATTAATATTTTGGTATTGTTGTCTTTTAAATCTAATTTAGCTTCTAAATGATAGTCCTTACTTTTGCTATTTTTAACTTTAAATCATCGATTTGTTTATCTATTTGATGATGATCTATATTTCTATTGTTGTTGTTGTTGTTGTTGGAGTTGGAAGGTGATTGATTTACAGATTGTGAGAGTTGATTGCTATTTTGGAGGAATTGTTCATTGGGCAACACCAAATCATCTGGTATCTTAAAAACATTGCTCAACAGGAACAATTCGAATTTATCTAAATTCTTTTTGAAACTTTCATCCAAGATATTCCATGCTTTATTTGCACCCTTAATTGATTTTAGTTAATTAGTTCCGTGATGATAAATTATAATTATTAACAACAAAGAAATGCAATAATAAATTTACCTGTGATATTTTTTCAAGTGTTTGTGGATCGGGTGAGAGATGTGTTTGTAGACAATGTTCGATGTAGTCGGCGGCATCTATTGCAGTGATTTCAAATACAGCTTCGTTCACGTCGTCGATGAATGCCAATGGATGCCATGAAAAGAATTCTTGTTCTCTCTTGAATCCCGTCAGTAAATCTGTTGTTGAATCTTGACTGCTACTGACACTGACGAAACTGTCCTCGTTGCTATTGTTGTTGTTATTATTACTATCAGCCTGTTCCACTGACATTGTAATATCATCATTTTGTTGTTTTTCATTATTATTTTTTGAATCCATTTTGATACAATATAACTTCAACTATCTATCTATCTATTTATTTATCTATAACCTATGTTTTAAATATATATTCATCTATCTATTATTTAATAATAAATTTATCATATTAGTTAATGATCTTTTTAAAAAAAAAATTTTTAAAAAAAGGCGCCACACCACCCAAGTTAATCTAAAAAAATAAATAAAATAAAAATAATAAATCAATTATTATTAATAAACTTACTATATATAAATATAATGATCGATCATTATTAATAATATCTAAAACTAGTTCAAAATGATTGTTATATCAAAAGAACAAGAACAATGAAATCTAAGGATTTTTATTTTTTATCATTTTCCAATTCTTATTGATATCAATAAATAAACCTAAATCTTGAATCTCAAACCAAAATGACTTATTTAGGTAATTTTATATTTAAATTAAACAAGTTCAAGAACAATTATAACAGCATTTACTTGTCTTTGATTTTTTCAACAATACAAAAAAAAAAAAAAAAAAACTTGTCTTTTAATTTTTGCAATTTTTATTTTTTCTTTTGTTTTTTTGAAAAAAAAAAATAATCACTTTCGATTGTAATTGTTATTAATAATAATATTATTAATAGCTAATTACTTTAATTTTCAATTATTACTATTTATAAATTCATTAAATATCAAGATATCGCAATACTAGTAACAAAAAATAAAATAATTAGAGAAGAAGATAATAGTTGAGAAAGAAGAGATTGAAGATAAGAGAAAAATAAAGAGATAAAGAGAAATAAGAAATGGCATCATTCTTACCACCTAATCTATTGTTGATGTTTGTGGCACGTCCACCTCTTGAATATATAGCACCTATACCAAAACCACAGCTACCGAACTACTCTGGTCTCGCAGCATTCAAGAGTTCATTCAGTGCGGATCCACCACCTCCACCCGCAACCAAAATAGAATCACGTGATCAAATCAAACAGAGAAAGATCGAACAGAAAGTACAACAAAATACAGAAAAGAATTTGAAATCATTAAAACAATGTATGAACTATCATTATTATAATTATCAATTATCAATTATTTGTTACTAATTTATTTTTATTTATTAATATTCTAAAATTTTTTATTTTTTTTTTAATTAGGGGACCCACATTCAAATACAAAATCAACAGGTGATCCCTATAAAACACTGTTTGTCAGTAGAATCAGTTATAAGACATCAGAGTCAAAATTAAAGAATGAGTTTTCACAATATGGTCCCATTAAAAAGATAAGATTGGTCACCGATCAAGTCACTGGCAAACCAAAAGGTTATGCATTTATAGAATTTGAAAAAGAAAGAGATATGAAAAGTAATGTTACTACCTACTACTATTATTATTATTATTATGTTTGGAATTTAACACTGAATGACTAATGTATATTTTATAATAATAATAATAATAATAGTCGCATATAAACAAGCAGATGGTCAAAAGATAGATGATAGAAGAGTTTTGGTTGATATAGAAAGAGGTAGAGTCATAAAGAATTGGAAACCAAGAAAGTATGGTGGTGGACTTGGAAATACTAGAGCCGGTGGTGCCGACGTCAACCAGACTTTCTCGGGTAGAGAGATGTCCGAACAGAGAGAGGCTGAGAAGCGTAGAGAGGAGCAGGAGAAACTGAACCAGAGACAGCGTGGCGGATCAAGTGGCGGACCCGATAGAAACAATAGTGGCGGTAGTGGCTACAGAGATAGAAAACCATATGACCGTCCAAGAGGATACGAAAGCGGTGGTAGACGTGACGACAATGGCGGTGGTAGACGTGATGACCGTCGTGGTGGAGATGATAGACGTGGCGGTGGTGACGATAGACGTGGTGGTGGCGACGACCGTCGTGGAGACAGCCGACGTGATGATAGAGACAGAGACAGAGACAGAGATAGAGATAGAGATAGAGGTGGTGATAGAGATAGACATAGAGGTTCTACCGGTGGCGGTGGTGACAACTACCGTTCTGGTGGCGGTGGTGGTGACAGAGACAATAGAGAAGATCGTTATCGTGGCGGTGAAAGTCATCGTGATCGTAGAGACGACAGAAGAGACGATAGAGATGGTAGCGGTAGATCATCGCGTGATGATAGAGATCACAGAAGACGTGACGATATGAGCAACGGTGGTGGTGGTGGTGGCATGCCAATGAATATGGGTCAAGGTGGTGGTGGAATGGTTATGAGCAACGGTGGTGGTAATGGAAATATGGTTGGTGTTGGTCGTGAAAGAGAAAGAGATAGAGATTATTAAGCTAAATCAAAATAATAGCAACAACAACAACAACAACAACAACAATAGTATAATAAGTAATTGCAATATTCAATAGTCAAGTAGAGGTACGTAACCAACTGGTGAGTGTTCCCCATTCCATTACAACAAACAAACAAACCAAACAAACAAACAACTGTATTTAATCATAAAACAACCAATTTTTGTCGCACTACATCAACATCATTTTCTAAGGTATGAGGACAACAAACAAACAAACAAACAAACTAAACATTAAGGTAAGGTGTCATTATTATTATTTTAACAAACTACCCAAAAAGATCCTTTGTTGTGAAAAGGTAAACTTTGTAGGTATAAGACAATTAAGTATAAGTTATTAATGTGATTATTATTGCTATTTACTATATTATTATTATTTATATAATAATCATATTCAAAATTAAAAATCAACCAATCAAAGCAGATCCCAGGTAACAACTCTTAAAACAAAAACTATAACTATAGTAGTTTTGTAAACTCTTTTTTCAAAATACCTAATCTATGATATTTCTTTCTTTTTAATCTATTCATACGATTATTATTATTATTATTATATTTTTTTTGGTCTTTTGGAAATAAATAAATCAGGTTGGTATAAAGTATAAAATTAAAAAAAAAAAAAAAAAAAAAAGTGTAAAGTATAAATATATAATATATGTATATATTATATTAAAATGATTGATTTTACGGTATGGTATTATGATTGTAAGTAAGTGTATTATTTATTTATTTATTTAAAAACTAAAACAGCGCATTGTGAGTGTCTATAGATTATATTAAGGTAATAGAATATATATATATATTTTGTTGATTAGTTTATTTTTTGTTTTACAATTTATTTTCTTACTTACTTTATTACATATTCATAAACATCGGAATGACCATCAAAGATTCTGTGAAGTCTTCTTTTGTGTTCATCATCATGACCAATAATAATCATATCGACATTGTTCTTCTCTGCAACTTCACATATTGTTTGTTTTAAATTATGTGTTGTCTCCAATACAATAGCTTCAAATGGAATCTGAATATATGTTTCGTTTATATAGTTTGTAAATTAGGGTGAGTTTAAACAATTTTAAGAATATAAAGTTTTGTTTTTAACCTACTTTATATGCTTCTAAATCCTTAACGAATTCCTCTACACCTTTGATACTAATCTCTTTTCTCTCGCTTAAATATGGGTCCAGTTTCTAAGTTTTTTTATGAATAAGAATCAATATGTTAGTTTTGTTAAAGGTTTGTTATAATAAGGTAGGGTAGTTACTTCAATTTTCATTTTATCGACTATATTCAAAAGATATATATGGGTATTTCTAAGCTCATCTGCCATAGCTTGAGAGTGAGCCCTTTTATTATGAAACAAATCGTTTTTGATATCAGATGTTGTAAGAGTGGATATCCATTTATATGGTTTTTTTTTATCATAAATTTTACTTACCAACTGTATGCCCTGTAGCTAACTTCTGAACCATCAAGACAGACTAAATATTTATATACCATTTTATTTATTATTACTATTTACAAAATATTAAAATCTTTTAGCCAAATTATCTTTTTTTATATTATTAATTAAAACGTTAAACAATTATTATTATTATTTTAAAAAATTAAAAAATAAAATATCTTTCTTTGTTTTAAAATAATTTTATTATATATTCAAATAAAATAACTATTATTTTGAATTTACAATAGTGTTGAGAATGTAGTAACTCATAATGTTGAAAATCTGATAATTTTTTTATTTTGCCAAATATGGTTATTTTGTTAGTTCCTTTGACACCCCACACCACAACACCATATGGTTTTTTTATTCAAGATTGTAAAACAATTAATTGTGAATAATAATAGACTTTAAGACAATTAATATTATCGTGAAATGATTATTTAATTAAAATAATATAAAATAGAATATCAAATCTTGATTAGTTTTATCATTTTTCATATAAAAAAAAACAAGTAACAAGATTTTGAGACATATCATAAATACATAGATTTGTTAAAAGAATGTGACATGTTTTGGTGTTATGCTAAGTCAAATATAGATTCTAGAATATCGTATTGAATTATATTGTTTTGTTTTTTATATACAGTTAAGATAAGACCTTTGTTTTATAGCCTTAATTAAACATTATTAATACTACTTCTAAGTTATTATTATTGTTGTTGTTGTTGCTGTTGTCTTCTTTAATGACTCATCACTATATTTATCTTCTATTCACTACTGATCTAAATAAACAAATAAAAGATAGTCTATCTTCCCTTTGTGAAATATGAAAATCTCTCTTTTGCCATTTCGATTGCATTGTTAAGGTCGGTAGCACCTTGATCTGCCAGTGGGGTTCTTGCTACAATAGTTTCTTCATCAACTTCAAAAACGATACTAATGATACGATAGTAGTAATAGGTTAGTAAGTTGGTTGTCAACGACATGTAGTAGTTGTTTGATCAAATGAACTAATGATATCATACCCATCACTTATAATCTCATCTAGATACAGTCTTAGCACCCAATAATTATCTAAAATACCTTTCTTTGTGATGACCGATGAGTCTTCGGTGGCACAGATTCTTCTCATCAGACTCGTGAGTACATTGAAGACATCTAGCAACACCAATTCATTTACATTCTTGTATCCGACAATGAAGAGTTCCAACTCTCCTGTTTTACCACCGACCACAATAAACTGATCGATAATTTCTAATTCACCTATTATTATTATTATTATTATCATTATTATTATTATTATAATTTGATAGATATAAACAAACAACATTATTTAATAAATAAATATCCATTTGAAAGAGATACCAATCAATGATTATAAGTGTGATACTCATTTACATACTATTTGTAATTTTATTCTTTTCATGTACTTTTGATTCAAATGCTCTTCTATCCTTTTCAGTTTTGAACTCCTCTATATTCTGATCGTAGAATGCACTATGTATTCTCTTTCCATTACTATCTAACAAGACCAACGCTTTAATTTGACAAATTAAATCTAAATCGTTCATTTTCTTTTCTTTTCTTTTCTTTTTGATCTATTTATTTTTATCTGTTTTACTCTATTAATAATAAAGTTAATCAAATTTTAAATTGAAAAAAAAATGAAGATCATTTTAATTTTAATTAAATTGTTGAAACTGAACACATATTTTTACTGACTCAGCAAAAAACACACAATATTTTTTAACAGACTTTTAATTATAACAAAAAGGAATTGAAACCAAAACAATAAAGAAAAATTATTATTTATTTATTTTTTTATAAAAATTCATTCTCAAATAAATAATATTTAATAATTATCATAAATTGATCGTTAAAACCAATAAAACATTCTTTCAACAACAAGGAATTAGATATGAAACTATTTTTTGAATGACAGAAAAATTGTGAAAAACAGCCACAACCACTATCATTGAAAAACATTTACATATTTCGAATACAATTCTTTATATTGAATTTTAAAATAGACAATTGATTAAACTTCTAAATTTACAATTATTTTTCTCCTTGAAATTTATATTTCAAAAAAAATCTTAAAATTACACGTGTAAAATTAAAAATATTAAACAATTTAATTCATTTAAAAGAATTTGGTATTTGTAACCTATCAGTTATTGAATAGATTTTTTTTTTTTTTTTTCTATATTTGTTTTTTCTAAAATCATCATATATTTGATTTTTTTCTAAATTAAAAAAAACTTTTATAAAAATTAAAAAAAATTCTATAAAAGGTATTAGAAAATCTTTGGACCAATACCATATTCCCACCTTAATATCTTTAGATAATTAGAAAAAAACTAATCTAATTGGACCATTACCAGATATAAATCCACGAAAAGCGTTGGCTTATTTTTTTTATTTATTTTTTTGTTTTTCTTTTTAAAACAATTTTTGAAATTGATTGTCGTTGGCATGATGTACTATATAAATTATTAATAACTTTATTAAACAAGAATTCCTCAAATAGAAACTTTTTCAAATGTTAAAAATCAAAAAACAAAAAAAAAAACAAAGCAATTGGTGGTCTTTTGAAAAGTACTGGGTTCCCAACAGATTATTGGTGAAATGCAACAGTTGTTGTGAAGGTACAGATGTCATTCATTTCTGTGGAGTGAAAAAAGTACTACAATATCTTGGCAAGGCAATAAACTTTTTTGGATAGAAAAAAAAAACAAAAAAAAAACACATACTTTCTACTGTTTTTATAATTGCTTTTTTTAGTCACCTAAATGATAGAGGTAGTTATACAGTGTGTTTTTTGTTTCTAATGAGTAAGAGACTGTTAAAGCCAATTGCCTTTTTCTAGAGGTAGTGTGTTTATGATGATACGGTAAAGGTATTGGAGGATTGCATCTACCTTTGTCCACTGTCCAAGATAATCAATGAGGTTGGAGTTACTTTTCTATACCAAAGCACTATATTCATATATATTTTCGGTCTAACTTACAAAGTGGAACTATTTAATTTTGTATTTTTTTTTTTGTTTGAAAGATTGTTTTTAATTTCTTACAAAAGAAGATCTTAAGTTCACCAACAATCAAAGATTAAATTCACACAACCTATGTATTTTGTTATATTTCTTTACCTCTATATGCTATATATATTTATGATTTTGAACAAACTATCATCTCTATTCAAATAAAATGTAATTCCTGTATAAAAGCTATATCTTATTTTTTTTTTTTTAAAAAGGTAAATATATTGGAAGAAATTGCTTTTCTAATATCTTTTTTTTTTAAAAGATTAAAAACGCCCCTTTTAAAAAAAAGATATGTATTTTCAAAACCTTAATGGTTAATTGAACCAATTTTTGATGAAAAAAAAAAACCAAACCTATGTGGACACGGTATAGTTACACTTCTTTGTTTTTCTTTCCATTTTGCAACAAGCAATGCATTCCATTTTGCTTATTCAAAGAGATTTTTTGATGGATCAATCAACCGACATTTTACTTTACCGTCAAAAAAAAAAAAAAAAAAAAAAAAAAGGGAAAAAAACAGTGTTTGCAAAAAAAAAAAAAAAAAATCTGAAAACACTCATCACCCCATTTATTTTTATTTAATTTTTTAAAATTTAACCCGCTCTAATTCTGAATATCAGAAGAATGGTCTTTTTGTTTTTTTTTTTGATTTTTGTTTTTTATAAATCAACCTTGCACCACATTTTCACCGACTCCTCACAATCAATCACAAACTAACAGTTTGCAAGAAAACACGCCCACTTTCAATCACATTACCAACAACTAATAATAAATTTATTTATTTAAATCTATATTCATTTCATCCTTTAAACAAACAATTTTCTATTCTTTTACTTATTTCCAAATCAATCAACATTAGTTTAACAAAATCAACAAAGTTTATGAATATAGAATATTTTATAAAAAAAACAAAAAAATAAAAGTCTCTTTTAATTAGGTGACTAAAATTCAGTAGATTATTAGTGTGGACGTAGCAAACTGATCAACCAGATTCTCCATTAACTCTAGAGTAAAACAAAAAAAAAAGTATTTACAACATCCTATTTATTAATCTATTTATAATTATAAATAATGATTGTGCGATATATTTCCAATTGCTAAATCTTTATTAGAGGAATATAAAAAAAAAACCGAGTAGTGTAAAATTGGAAGGTAGAAACCATTTATTTGGAAAAGTAGATTAGTATATTTTAAACTGGGAAATGACATTAAATTAATCTCTATGAGTAATATTCATTGCAAATTTAGATTATTTGATTCAAAACATTTTCACACACACAATTGTTTAATAATAATAATATGTTTGACCCATTGTTAAAATAAAAACTGTTATTGTTAATTTTTAACCTGTCAACAAGTAAAATCTCAAAAAAAGTTTAATTTTTTTTTGTGTTTAAGTGAAGCCATCTCAATTTCTATTTTTATTAAATCAAAACTTTCACCCCACAACCAACAAATATCAAAAAAAAATGATCAAAAAAAATAAATAAAAAAAATTAGTTATAAAGAGAAAGAGGGAAATCTATTTAACTGTTGTTCATCATTTTTATTTTTATTTATTTTTTTCATCTTCAAAATCAATTCATCCAATCAACCTATTTATAACTTAATTAGTAAATACCACACCTAATCAATAAAATCGATTTTATATTTTTATAAAAAAAAAAATATTTATATTAAAATTAAAATTTTTAATATATATATTTTGCCTGAATAACAAACACCATTCAGTGTTCAATCAGTGATCAATAACTCACCCGCCAAAACAAATATATTTTTTATTCACAATAACAACATTGTTATTGTTATTTAAATAGCAATAAGCAATTCTCAAATTTTGTCATAATAATGTGATTACTATAAATATCAACAGTACTGCTTATTCACACTATCAACGGCAATCAAATTGTATTTAGTCGTACTACCTACTACCTACTACTCTACGTAAGGCCAATATAATATATATCATAAATTTTTAATGTCGATTAGAGTGACAGCCATTTGTGAAGGTAGAACACCATTGTGAAAGATTTATATTTGTTTGCTCTGGCAATTAGTGGTGGTGGTGTGGAGTGGTAATTATATTAAGCATAGTCATACATTCTATTGGCGAACATCATCACTTCATCACTTCATCATCACAACATATAAAGTAATAGAGTAGTGTTACATTTAGGATAGTGAATTTTGATAGTTAGATGATTCGGAAACATCCTATTAAATCAATACATAGTGGTACCTTCAGCATCAATAGTTTCGCTCCCACAATACCACACCATCAGTAACCAATCAAAACAATCTTGACCAAAATCCACACCACCACATCATCAAATTGTCTATACAGATATGTATATCTTTTTATAATTGGTGCATATGTAATAACAATTTCCAATATTGATATAACATGAATCAATCAAAAAATCAAGTTTGTGTGTGATTTAGTGTGAAGTTGAATTTAAAATGAATGATATTGTTATATCTTATCTCATGAACATTACCAATGTATGCAAATATTTATATACAGCAACAGGTACTTCACTCCATAAACCAACACCTCTTAGCAATTAAGAGACACCAACAACAATTAACATCACATTTAACAATTGTTGTTATTTAAAATATAATAAAAAAAAAAAAAGAGTGATTCAGTGATGAATGTGGAGTGAGTGTATAAGATTTATAATATAATAACAATAATCAAGACACATAATACAACAATAACAACACAACAACAATATTAATAATTGTTTATTTAAATTCACTCAAACACTTTTCACCACTTATTTGTTTTTGAAAACTTCCAATCACTAACTGAGTAGTGTGAGCAAAACGATCACACAAATACACTTTGGTGTTTAAATAAAACTTTTTGTTTTTGTTGATGTTGTGCTATTGTTGTTATTATTTGTTTTTGTTTAGTTGTTGATGATCGCACTACTAGTAGCAGTTTAGTTGTGATAATAGAGCTAGTACTATAACCAGAAATTGAATGTTTGTTAGTTTGTAGGTTTTTTAACTTTTTTTTAAAAAAAAAAACCAATATTAAATTTTTTATTTCTTCAACTATTATATTTATATTATTTTATTTATTTATTTATTATTACTACCTACAACTATTCTGTTATAACTGTTACTCAAAAATATAATCATTTAAGATCACAATAATCCATTTTATTTTGGCTGTTAATTTTTGTACTACTTTTTTTTTTTTTGTTTGTTTTTCAGTCAAACATCATTTATCAATTTCATTATTATCCTCTTGAAGTTGTTTCTGTTTATTAAAACTCAACTTCTCTTTTACTTTCTTTTCCAAAATAAATTATTAATATTAATATTCATTTATTCTTAAAGGAAACAGAGTCTGCAAATAATTATTTTAACAACAAAAAAAACAGCACATCAAATCGCAACCATCAAATAGCTCGGCACCCAACAAAAATCCCTCCCCTTGATATACTTAATCAAATTTCCAAACATACAGTTTTATTCAATTAAATAGTGTATTTTATAATATTGTAAAGTAAAGGCATCGAATTTTGTCTATTTTTTTCCCCACAAACTATAAATAATAATAATACATTGTAATAATATAATACCAAAAAGGTTTTTGAAATAATAATAACAATATAATCCAATAACAAATATGGCATCACCAATTACACAAGTACATAACCCAGCAGATCAAAATCATAGTATAAATAATTATCCACAAAAATCAAAAAGTAAGAGCTGTAAACAAAAAAAAAAAAAAAGATAAAAGATAATTCGATATTAACTTATCACCAATTATTATTAAATTTCTTTTAGAAGATGCAACTAAATCCAAGAGAAAGAAAATATTCAAAGCACTTTTTTGTTGTTTTAGTGAACAGAGATTAGTATCAAAGCAAGAACTCACAAATGTACCAACATCAGACTCTCTGATGAAGCCAATGTCACCGAATCTTTTGGGCAAAAAGACATTGGTGTTGGATCTCGACGAAACACTTGTACATTCTAGTTTTAAACCGGTGGCCAAAGCAGACTTTATTGTGCCCGTTGAAATCGAAGGCCAACTGCACCAAGTCTATGTGTCTAAGCGTCCACACGTCGACGAGTTCATGCAAGCAATCTCACAAAAGTTTGAAATCGTTGTATTTACAGCGTCTCTAGCTAAATATGCCGATCCAGTACTCGATCTGCTGGATCCAAATCGTTTTGTACATCATCGTTTATTCCGTGAGGCCTGTCACCACCACAAAGGAAACTTTGTCAAGGATCTCTCTCGATTGGGACGTGACTTGAAAACAACAATCATCATCGATAACTCGCCAACCTCTTATTTATTCCATCCAGAGAATGCCATCCCAATCGACAGTTGGTTTGATAATGAAAACGATATAGAATTACTCGATGTATTGCCACTTTTAGATAGTTTGACTCAAGTTGATGATGTAAGAACTTGTTTAGATGAAAATAAGTAAGTTATTATTATAAAAAAAAAAAAAAATAATTATAAAAAAAAAAAAACATAAATTAATTTTAAATTCTTTTAAAAAAAATAGGGGATTGGAATGGTGAAATTTTGAAGTCAAGGTCTCGATAAGACTCTTTTAATTTATTTATTTAGGTTAAATACAATACAAAACTAAATTAAATTAAATATACTTTTAAATAACAAAAAAACATAACAAAAAAAAATAATTTTGTATAATTTAATTTAGATTAGTTTAATGGAATCAACAATTAGAATTAAACAACTCGAATCACCTAATTCCACTACCACTACTTCTCTAAATCTATTTAAATAGAGTAAATCTCAATAGATCATTACTCTCAACCGAATTCCCAATAATCTTCAATATTCCAAACTTATACACTTTAAATTTATTTATTTTAAATAATAATAATATAATATAATTATATTTTTTTTTAAAAAGAACAATTTTTTTATTTTTTTTATTTTTTAACACAAAGATTGAATTAACTTGATTAAAATGTAATTTTTGAATATAAAATGAATGATTATCTAAAACTGATTGATTGAATATAAAATGAATGATGAGTTTAATCACCATTGAATGATTGTTCATAAATGAAACTTGGTTTCTGTTGAATAGAGAACTGGTTATATAGTGATATAACCTTCTTGCAAAGGTGTTTGCCAAATATCACCAATTTGAACAGGTGGTATTGCATTCTTACCTGATTTATTTTGACCAACGTATTGTGCAAACAGTTTATAATCCCTTTTGACACAGTGTGATGGGAGATCAAAGAATGCCGATGTCTTTGTAGCTTCTTGACCAAGAATATCATCTTGATTAACAACATAGATCACTGTGTTATTTGAATCTACAACAAAGAATGTAAGTTTCACCGATTTTCCCCATTTCAAACGATTACATTTAACTGTGTGTCTAACAAGATCAGCGTTCATTGGAACCAATTCAGTTTCACAATACATGATAGTTGGATTGGGAAGATCTTTGGTATTGGTGCAAAAATCCATCATGGGTGTCTCTATCTTAAAAAGAGTAACCATATGCGGGTCAGCTTTGATCAAGTGAAATACCAATTGAACATGATTGCAATCGCTGTTGGTTCTTGTGAATTTGATATTCATTTTCACCTCGCCAGTTGAAGGTACATTCGCAGTGAATGAATTCAAAGTGAAAAAATGTGGTTGAGTGCAACGAGCTATAATGATAATGTCATTGGGATTAGCATTTCCTCTTACCTCGAATGTAAACATTCCACATCCACTTTGAACCAAGAATTTAGGGTGTTTGATCATAGTAAAAGAAAGAGGTTCTTGTGATCCAAGATAAACTAGAGGAGTAGGTAGAGTTTGACTTTTCTTGTTCTTTTTTTGATGATTCGATGATGACTCTTCTTTGATGACCGCATTGTATTTTCTATTCTTTAGAAAACGATCGTTTTCTTTTGTTGGTGTTTTAGTGACTGTGTACAAAGGTTCTTTGTAAACCACTGAAATCATTGGTGGTGCAGATTGATATTCTTGAATAGGAGAGGAATATGTAATTTGAATTTGATCAGCTTGAATACGAGGAGTATCTGTAAATTGAGTTTGATCATCTTGAACATGAGAAGGATCCGTGAATTGAATTTGATCATCTTGTATAAGAGAATCCGTAAATTGATCATCTGCAATAATATTAAATAAATTTGCTGCAAGTCCTGCATCCGATGAATAACTATAATTGTATAAACCGAGTGTTGAACCACCAATTCCTTTGTGCTGATGTGCATCTGGTGCAATATTGCCATTGAATTCAACTAATTCCAACGAGGGTTTCAATGATTCTGTTGAGGAACACAGGTTTTCTCCTTCTAATTGGCGAATATCTAGTTTAATCTGAGAGTCTTCAACTGTTTCAAACTTTAGGAAAGGTTCGTCAGCATTCATTATTTTGAGCACCTTATCCATTTTTTCTGTTACTACTAATAATTGTATGGTGTTTAAATTTAATATTTAATATATTGTGTTGTTTAAATTAATGCAAGAAAAAAAAAAAAAATCGTTTAGCCCAAAAATTTATATTTATATCATTCAAAAAATAATTAAAATTAAATCAAATAAATAAAATTAAAAGATAATTTTTAAATGAAAGATCATTTAGAATTCCCAGGGTTTGCAGATCAATTATTACCACATAAGTTATTAACATATTATTTCATTGCTTGAGTGAAGCCATTTAACGAAATAGTGTTATATTTAATTTAATTGAAAAAAAAATTCTCAACTTAAAATTTTAATTTCCAGAATCTAATTCTGTGAAAATCGAGAATGTTGTTGTAACTGATTGATTTTTCTTATAAATAAAAAAACAAAGAAAATAATCAAACAATAATATTTTGTTTTGATTATCTCTTATTGTTTGTCCTGTTTTTATTGTTGAGGTATTCCGATGCAAGACTGAATTCATCGTTGTACGCTTCGATTTTGACGTGAATCCGATGGTAGTTAAACGGAACCTCTGGTTCACTGGTGTGCCAAACCTTTTTATAGATATTGAGCAAGTCTCTCTCGTATCTGTATGTGTTTGATATAATCTTTCTCTTGATCGATCTATACTCCTGTGTGGTTTTCCAGTGGTAATAGTACTCCAATACGTCCGATCTAGATTTGTTGACCAACTAAATAATATATACGTGTATAGAAGATATTGTATGATATGATACGTATCGATTGATTTGTATTATCATCATTATCATGAATCCTTTAATAACAAATTCTTTAGGTATATAAACATGGTAATAGATAACCTACACTTAAATGTAACCTATTTAAATCGATGGTACCGGTACTTCTAAAATTATTTTTAAATATCTCTTTGTCTTTTGTACTCCAAGTTTCTTTATTATTATTGTTTTGTTGTTAATATTTTTTTTTTTTTAAAAAAAAAACAAAGATTATTTAATTATTCTTTAGAATAATAATGAATGACTTACGGTTCAGATGGTCAATAAGACAAGGAGTGGTATTCTGATAGGTGGTAAAGTCTATCGATGCAAGTGCATCATCGACCGAATAGTTATAATCGTGGAGAATCTTCAACAAAGATTCATCCGGTATTCTATTTACAGTAACGTTTTGGTCGGTGATTCCAATCCATTTGATTTCCTCAGATGTCTTTGTGAAGATCTTCCTCGCTTCACTTAGAAATCTTTCAATTTCCGATTGCTCTAATTTATAAGGATCGAAAACTAATTGATCCCTTTGTATAACTTTATATATAATAGATTAGATGGATGTTAGATTTATATTGTTTTATAAAACTTACAAAATTCATTAGATTCTTGGTTGTGCGCAGAAGATGTTACTAAGGGGCCAAGGTATTCGGGTATCTCTGCCTTGACTCTCTCATAATATTCATCTGTTTCCGACTGAGAATGATGATCATCATTTGCATTGCTCATGTTTAGATAATCTGTGTCCTCATCGTATTCCGCATCATTTGGAATCTTATCCTCATCACTATTATACAATACTTCTGCATCCAATAATCTTGCATCAATTACATCATCTTCATAGTCATCATCATCTTCATAATCCTTATCTACATATTCTTTTTCTTCAACTTCTTCCTCTTTAACTTGATCTACTTTCATCTCTTTATATTTATTTTGACTATTTTTATCATTATTGTCATTCTTATCATTCGTTTTATCATTTTTATCCTTATTAAAATTATTATTGTTATTATCATTATTATCATCACTATTACTATTGTCACTACTGTCATTACTGCTACTATCACTATCATTATCATTACTACTATTGTAATTATCATTATCACTACTTTTATTATTATTTGCATTACTTTTACTCTTATTATCTTTCTCCTTTCTATCTTTGCTTCCATAACTATTGTTTTTATTATTAACTATCTCCTTATTTGTGTTATTTTCCAATTTCTGTTTCTTTAGGGGTTGTGTGTATAATTCAGCGTTGGTGATATCATCGTCGTCGTCGTCATCATCTTTGTCTTTGTCGTTATTATCATCATTCATTTCCATTTTAATGAATGGGATGTAGCTCTCTTCAATAAACTGCTCTTTCTTTCTTTTCTCCAGGTTCACTTTGGAGCTGCTACAGATGAACATACTCTGACTGTCAGACACTGCGGTATTGCAATCCTCTTCAGTGTCACCAACGATGATACAATCATCGTCCACAATCAAAACTTCGTTATACAAAACAGAGTTGTCAGACTCCAAAAGTTCTTCGCCAACCAGTGAGACACTATCTAGGTCGTAGTCGTTATTCCCTTTATCTTTACCACTTTTTTTACCACGACCACTCTTTCTACCCTTTTTAGTACCACTTCTAGTGGAAGTCGGAGAAGAAGAGGAAGAAGAACTTTCCTTTTGTTTATTTATTGAGCTACTATTGTAGGTGTTGTTGTTGCTGCTGCTTTTACTTTTTGTTTTGCTAATTGATCTATTATCATTTATAAACTCTTCTTTCTCTTTGATCTTCTTTTGTTTTGGAATGTGGTTGTTGCTGTTGGTTGTCTTTGTACCTTTGCTTTTAGTCATAACTACTAGTATACTTGAAAAACTTTATTATTCTCTTTTAACAATTCATTATAATATAATAAAAATCAGACACAATGATTAAGAAAAAATTAAAATAAAAAAGGGGTTATTTGATTAATGTTTGGCGGTCTTTAGACTGTTGTTTTTGAATTTAAAAAAACAAAAATTTGCAATGAAGGATTTCTCACATAACAAAAACCAACTTTTTATTTTTGGTATAAATGTTAATGATATTAAATATGTATTCCAATGACAAAAACAAACAAATGATTAACAAATAAATTGTTCAAAATCATAGAATTGGTATTTTTTTTGTAATAAAAGTTATATTTTACAATGTAGGAAATCATAAAAAGTTAACTAATATTCGTACCTATTTTTAAAAAAAAAAATCAAAAATGAAACAGGCGGAAACATGGAGCTATGAATCTTTGCACTCGATCTGATCAGATCGAAATGATTAAAAAAAAAAAAACAAAATTTAACCTTTCAAAAAAAAAACATTCATCTTGAGGAATATTAATCATTTTAAATTTCACAATATTTGGTTTAGTTGTTTATATATATATATATATTTGTTATAATTAAATTGTTCCTTAAGGTTATATTTAAACAATAGCTGTTGTTTAAAAAGTTATCTAGATTTGTTAAGCTAATACATTGAACTTAAAAAAAAATGTAAGTTTAATCAAAATCTAAATCGTGATAAACAACAAACACAATCATCATATTCGAACACTTGAAATCAATTTTGAAGAAAAGTAAAGAATGGGCTGTGAAGTGAGGGGGCTTTTTGTTGTAATTTTACAAAATATTATATCCAAAAAAAGTTATTAAATTATTTTAAATTAAACCTTTAAAAAACTTTGACCACCCTTAAATAATAATTATATCCCCATTTCAAATTATGTTCATTTTATTGTTATAGACTATTATTCCAAACATACACCAACTTTCATTTTCATTTGATATTATTACATAGCCTAATTAGAATTATATCAAAGATCATAGAGATTAAAACAAGTGTAAATATTTTTATATATTTTTACATTTTAAAAATATGTTTGTTTGTTGTCATTATTACTATTGACTTTCCCAAAATTAATCATGTTGTCATTAAATAAACACAAATAAACCTAAATCAAATCATTACCTCATTTTGTTGGTCATAATTTTGAATTAGGGTGCAAGAAGATATTATTAATCTATAGTTATTCAAAATAAAAATATATCATCGAAACTTTGGGATTTAGTCCAACTAATTATTAACATAATTTACCACCATTAACAAATCAACCAAAGTAAATTTAGAATTTTTAAACCAAATTTTGTTTGATCCAAAGTTGTTTTTTTTTTTGATGTTTCATTAATAGAATCCTTTGATCGTTTTTCATTAATTTTTTCATTTTTTTTTGCAATTTTTTTTTTTTGGTAAAAAACAAACCTTTTGATACTAGCAATCTAAATTTATAAAAAAAAACAATCTGTTGTTGTTTGTAAATATATAGTTATTAAATATTGATATTGTATTGTTCATCAAATTATTTCGTTGTTATTTATTCAAATCAATATAGCATTGGTTAATTGTAATTACAGTCAAGGTATGTTGTAATTCTAGCCTTCCCAACTTGAATTCCGCCCAAATCTCTTAATTCAATTGTTTATTGTTTTTGTTTTTTTTGTTTTTTTTTTTTCAAGATTTTTAGTTTTTTTATATCTAGAAACTTTGTTTATAAACTAAACTATAGTTTAAAGTCAATATCAAAATAACAATAATAATAACAATAACAACATAATAAAAATATAATAATCAAATCGATTCGAATAAGGTGATAGAGTGTGATGTAAGTGTATAATGAACTTCATTGAACAACCAATAAATTAAATCAAACTTAACACACACACACACACACAAGTCAACACTAGTCTTTTGACCAGTCAGGTTGTGCTGTGATTTTTCACATCAGAAATAAATTAATTACATCTTAAAAAAAAGCGCTGATAAACACGCAACTCACACCAACAACTCACTCACATCATTTTGAGGCTTGTATTTCAATCACTGCACAGTGGTGATACAACCAACAACATCTCATTTGTTTTAAATTTAAAGCAAGCAATAGAATAGTTTAAAGAGAGAGAAAACCAAACCAGTTTAAGATTAACTTTATTATTAATCATTTTGTTTATTGAAAAACTACTACTATAATTATTCTTTGTTTTTTTTTACTTACTTAATTATTCCTGTAGTAAGTAAGTACATTATAATAAACTTCAAATAAAATACTAATAAATTGGAGTATTGGTGTGCACAATTCCTCTCTATTCTATTTTCAGTATTAAATTCACACACACAAACATAAAAATAAAAAACAACAACAAACCAACAACACAATATACATATTTATAATTTTCCTATATATATAACTGTGTAGTGTGCACAGTTATCTTTATATTAACATCTGATAGTAGCAATTTAATTGTTATATATCACCTTTAAAATATAAAAAAAAAGAAAAAAAGAAAAAATAAAAATATTGCCAAAAAATAACAAAAAAAAAAAACAAAATATTTATAATAATTAAAAACAAACAATCAACCAATCATTCATTCAGTCAATCAGTCAGTCAATTTCTAACCTTCTTTCAAATATCATCAACAAGCTTTATTATAATATTGAAAATCTAATCTAATCTTTTATTTTTATTTTTAAATTTATTTAGTAAGATTTAATCAATCAGTTAAGGAACAAAACAAAAACAAAACAATACAACAAAACAGAACAGAACAGAACAGAATTAGAATTATAATAGTTTGATTTGTTTTGATTGATTGTTTGTTTTTGCAATTTTGATAGACTCAAATTTTCTCATTATTGTCGACGGTCAAACATCTATTATACACGATTCAATATTGAAGAAATTAGACAAATAACCAACCACCATATTTATTATATATAGTTTTATATATTATATCAATAATCATCAACAACATCAACAACATCATTCTATAGAATAGTAAAATAGGTATTAATAATAGTTTAGTTATAATCGATATAAATAGTAAAAATAATAATAATAATGAATAATAACAATATGGAACAAAGAACCAAAGAGTTAGAGATTATCTTGAATGAGTTTTTCACTCTTGATGCTTCGAGTCCCAAGAGAAAGGAATTAGGTAAGCAAAGCAAAGCAAAACAAAGCAAAACAAATCAATCTTATTGTATTTTGTAAACAGCAACAATCTAATTTCGAAAAATATCTATTTTTTTTTTTTTAAAAAAATTTAATTTACATATGTTATTTATTTATTTAGATGTTTTCCTTACAAACTATAAATCACAAAAGGATTCTTATGAACATGTAAAATACTATCTTACTCATACCAACAATCAATATGTCTTTTGGTTTTCATTGTCTATCATCGAGGATAAAGTTACAAAGTCATGGTCATCTCTATCCACCCAAGAACAAAATGAATCCAAAGGTTTTATATTCGATCTATATCTTAATAATAAGGTTAGTATTATTATAAGCAAAACACAACACATATTCTATAAGCATAAACTAACACTTGTTATATTTCTAATATTATTTACAGAATTTGCCATCATATATTATTACTAAGCTTGGTCAAGTGATTGCCGATATAGGTAGAAATGACTTTCATTTGAACTCTCAAGAATACATATTAAATATTACGAATTTAGTGAGAGTAAGTACTGACACAACACTGTTGATTTACGTGTTTTACAACATAATTGATGTTAGTTGAGAAATTAACACCCCTTTTCATTTAATAATAATAATAATAATAATCGACAGAATTCACAAACTAGTTTAAGAGGAATCAATCTATTACAATATATATCAGAGGAATTTATGACAAACAAACAGGTGTTGTCACAACAAAAGAAGGATCAACTAAAGAAGCTCCTATTGGAACAGGTACCAACTATAATGGAGGTATTGACAAAGTATCTCGATCAACTTTTCATACAGAACGCACAGAAAAAGCTAAAGAACGAAAGTTCTCTACCTTTTCATGTCGGTTCGCCAGATACCAACACCTACACCGGTAGTTTCAGTGTAGAGACAAAGAATTTAACAAAAGCTGTTTTTGGTATGTTTTAAACAAATAACATATAATATATAATCCACATGCTAGTTATACTTACTAATATTTAATGTATTAATATTATTATTATTATTAAGATGCTTTGTTAAGTTATTTCAATTGGATTCCATTAAATGAATTGTTGACTTCATCGCTTTTAGATATATTGTTCAAGTATCTGAGGTTGGAGAAGAGCAGTATTCCAGCATTGACATGTCTCAATGAAATCCTATCGAAAAACTGTGTGCCCAAGGAATTTGAAGAGTTTCTCATACGTATATTCCACCAGATCTACTCGCTGATGACAGAGATCACATCGAGTAACAACATCAACCAATACAATCCAGAGTTTATTGAGAAGTTCACTCAATTCATTTCGTTGTTTGTCACCAATCATCTGCGTCGTGTCGAGAACAACCCGAATTTCCCAATCACCGACTTCCTCGGACTGCTCTTCCAGTATTCATTCTTGCAGCAGTCGGTCGAGTCGTTCAAGCTGTGTCTGGAGATCTGGATGACCTTCCTCGACTACCTCTTGGCGCAGGCCAACGAGCAGAACCTCCCTGGACCAACCAAGTACACCGACGGTCTCATTCTGTTCCAATCGGAACTAGTTAAGCGAATCCTGCATGCATACAACAACCAACTTTCGCAACTCGAAGAATCCGATGACATTATCGATAACGATATGGAACCAGTCGAATCACAGCGAGATCTATTCATCAAGGATTGTATTGATATCATTATAAAGATCACTGAGATCTATCCAACCAAAGGTTTAGAGAATTTGGTAAGTTTATTTAAACAATCACACACACACTATTTGAACATTTTTACTAATCAATTATCGTTTAAATCTGATTTAGTATCCATTGTTTTCACAAAATGTAACATCTTTCTTTGGAAAAACTGATGAAATGATTAAGCAAGGTGTTTTGGATCACGATCAAAGTATCAATGTCAATCTTGTTAGGGATGTCACTACAATCTTTCAGTTGTTTGGAAGTCTAACTCACCAATTTGGTGCACTCTTTGTTCAAACATTTACTGCCGCCAACTTTATTTTCCAAAAACTGATGGATATGTGTGAATTCTGTTCAATGTATTCCATTTATAAATACGGTTCAGATTGGGAGAGATTGTAAGTATCATCTACAATTATATAAAATTTGTAAATATATTAACAGTTATATATATCTCTTCAATTAATTAAAATTTTAGATATATCCAATTATTTACTACGGTGAGATCATTTAGTTATTGGTTAGCTGAATATGGAAATCAAGTTAGATTACAACCAAATCAACAAGCAGACTTTGATAACAATATTCAAAGACTGATCAATAATATCATTGTTCCAATGTTCAATAGAGCAGTACCGGAGAAGATCATCATTTGTGCAGGTAGATTATTGATGTCACTCGCCGCAATTACAAAACCACTCAATCTCTTCACCCAAATGGACTCTGTCATAAGTAATATCCACAATATCTGTGCACCACTTCCACCAGCTGTCCAAAGTGTCATCTATGCATCCATCTCCAACACCATCTTGATTCCACCATCCAACGTAAATCTAAGTCATCAAGTAAGTATTATTTTCATTCAGATTTGAGCAATGATAACACTGAGTTTAAAAAAACATATTAACACATTATTATTTATTATAGTGGGATTTAAGAAGACCAAAGTATAGTCCATTCATTAAAGGTATCACAGGACCATATCTAGAGATTCCACAGATTCCAGACTTTATCGATAAAAAGTTGTATATGAAGGATGAAGTGATTCAAAGAGTCCAAAAGGTATTGAAGATCCTGACAACCATCATCACATCGGTACCAGACTCGAATCAAGCCAAGGGAATCTTGCATGACGCCATTCAAGATACTCTGCAGGTGACTCTCGGTCTCTTTAGAATCTACATCAACAATCCCGATATTCTCGAGTCAATTTTGGACTTCTTCTTTACATTGTTTGAGGCACTCAAAGCAAAGGTCGGTGTGCAGTTCACCCAGCAAACAATAAGTACATTCCTCGAGATACTCGGTGGCGACAACATCAAGCAACTACTGATGGGCTCCAGCGAGACTGGCAATGTCATCATCAAGAAGCTCATTGAAATCCTAACATTTGTAATTCAAACCTATGGACACGCATTCGAAACATTGCTATCATCAATCATTAACTTTGCAATGGAGAAGATCTATGCGGTCATCATCAACACCACCTCGCCTCTGAAACCTCTCTTTTTCACTCTCCTCTACTCGATACTCGATAATCATTGGAAATACTTTTTCCCCGCCACCACAACCAACGCCAATGCCCTGATGCTCGGTAACACTAGCAACAGTAACAGCATTACTTTAAATAGCAACAACAACTCCTCCAATTTAAATAATAACAACAATAGCAACAACAACAACAATAACAACACTCCAGCACAACAACAATTTAATTCGATACTAGTAGCGTTCCAAACTACCTTCCAACAAAATGATGTAAACCTATTTAAGCAGAATCTAGATTATTTCGAAAAGCTTAATCATACCTACAAGCTCTACGAAAAGATTTCTCAACAAGAGCCAGTCTTTGGATGTTCATTCATCAACACCTTCTTCAATGTCTTGATCTCAAAGTCTCAAAGTGTCATGGCCGAGGAAATCATTAATACAATCTATCATTTTGCATCTGTAAATTTCAATAAGTTCTTTAACGAGGTAACTATCTTGACAATCATTTTATCATAATCCGTATTCACTTCACTTACCAATCATTCATTTTAAATGTTATTATAGTTCTTCACTGCCTTCCTTGGAGAAAAAAATATATCAATCGAACAAAAGACTTTAATTAAAGCAAACTTTACAGAGGACAAAGATCATCCTACATTCAATAGACATATGAGCCAGTTTGTTAATGATTTCTCCTATTATACATATTTAAATAGTTAAGCAAAAAACAACAACAACAAAAATAATAAATAATAATTAATAGTCAACAACATAATAATAATAATAACCAAAAATAATATCTATAGTAATAATTATAAATCAATCTTATTTATTTAATCAAACATTATAAACATATATTCCGCAATCAATAATAATAATAAGTTACAACATAACATAACATCACAACCCAACTAATACAGTTATCATTAATTCAATTATTGAAAAGAATAAACAACTATCAATAAATTGAATGCACCATCAAAAAGAAATCTTTTTAATTTTTTTATTTTTTTTAATCTTATAAGGTTACAAGGGTTACAAATGGATGAACATCAAAAAAAAATAGATCTCCGAAAAGGTATTGGAAGTGATAAATATATAATTTATTGGAATTTGCAAAAATATCGCGATTTAGGGGAATATTCATGAATGTTTACTAAGGTCGTAAAAGCTGTTTATAAATAGTTTCGTCAAATTATCAAAACATTCCAAATTAATTAATAAACTAATATCACACTTAATAAGCATTTATCTCTTCTTCAATGTCATTACCAACTCTCTACTATTTTGATGCCAAAGGTCGGGCTGAGTATGCCAGATTACTCTTAGCCTTTGCTGGTGTTGATTACACTGACTCTAGATTCCCATACCCAGGTATTCCCGCTGAAGTCGCCGCCAAAACAACTTTTGGTCAAGTTCCTCATTACACAGATGGTGATATTGAATTGTCTCAATCATTGGCCATTGAATTGTATTTGGCTAGAAAGCATGGTTTATTAGGATCGAATGCCGTTGATGAGGCCAAAATTATCAGTTATGCATTATCCACTGGAGATATCTTCCAAGCTTTCCTCATGGCACAACAAGGTGGACCAGAAGCAATGGAGAAATACAAAAATGAAATCGCTCCACGCTACTATCGAGTTTGGGAAAAGATTCTCAGAGAGAATGGTTGTAAGCATATCTATGGTAAAAGCATCACCTATGCTGATATTGTTATCTTTGGCTCCATCGATTATGTACTCTCAATGGATTCTAATAGATTCGAAAAATTCCCATCTTGTCTTGAATTCCATCGTCATATGCTTGAAGTTCCTGCAATTAAAAAATATTTAGCAAGCAGAAAAGTAACTCCATTCTAAAAAAATAATAAATTTTGTTTTAACCTAAGTATTTGTTTCAAGGCACATTTTTTTATTTTATTCTTTAAATTTATTGTATTCTTATTATTTTTGATAATTTTGGTATCAATAGACTCGTCTATATATTGTATATCATTAATTATTTGATAAGGTGTTGATTTCAAAAAGATATTTAAAGATGTTTTATTTTACAAACCACATGGTAAAAAGTGGGTCTTTCAACTAGATCATAACAAAAAATTGTTTTAGATTAAGGATTTCTCTTTTATATTTAGTTTTGATATCAATTCTTTTGCTAAGATTATCAAGATATATTTTATCTTTCATCTTTTAGAAAATAAATTGATAACGTTTTAAAAAATTTTTATTCCAATTTTTTGGACTTTCAGATCTTTGTAAAGTTGTGCAAACTTAGCACACTTTCGGTCTCTCAAAAAGTAATTATCTCTTATTCCTCCAATGTCTTTGCCAACTTTATACTATTTTGATGCAAAAGGTCGTGCTGAGTGTGCTCGTTTACTCTTAGCATATGCAGGTGTTCAATACGTTGACCTTAGATTCCCATACCCAGTGATCCCTGACAATGTGGCAGAAAAAACCACATTTGGTCAAGTTCCACACTACTCTGATGGTGATATTGAATTGTCTCAATCATTGGCCATTGAATTGTATTTGTCTAGAAAGTATGGTTTGTTAGGATCAAATGCCGTTGATGAAGCCAAGATTATCAGTTATGCAATATCCACTGGAGATATCTCTCAAGCATTTATCGTGGCGCAAAAAGGTGGACCAGAAGCAATGGAGAAATACAAAAATGAAGTCGCTCCACGTTACTATCGAGTTTGGGAGAAAACTCTCAAGGAGAATGGTTGTAAGCATTTCTATGGTAAGAGTATCACCTATGCTGATATTGCCATCTTTAGTGTCATTGATTATGTACTTTCAAAGGATGCCAATAGATTTGAACAATTCCCATCATGTCTTGAATTCCATCGTCATATTCTTGAAGTTCCTAATCTTAAAATTTATTTAGCAAGCAGAAAAGTAACTCCATTCTAAAAACACTCAATAATAAATTAAATATTACAGAATTTCTCAGATCATTATTTATTATTGTTTATAAGTGATCGATTATTCAACATTAATAAATAGAATATTCTCAAAAATAAATCGAAAAAAACAACATATCAATGTGTTCGTATGCATGGTATGTTTATTTTTATATATTTTCTACTATATATATCTATCTAATGGGGTAACGATGATGACAATCCACTTAGAGACTCGAGTGGCTGTGATACAGAGAGAGGCAAATGCTGTTCTGATTTGGTGGGTGGTGAGGTTTGTTCCGAGGCAATCTTTTTGTTTATATAGTTTTGCAATCCATATGGTAAATCCTTGGTGTGTGAACCAGCAGTCACTGGTTTGGCGTCTTGTGTCGACACTGCATTTCTTTGTGCATGCTTTCTAATATACAATTCATGTCCGCTGTGAACCTCTTTAAAGTGAACCAACAATGCATCAAAGTCGATATCCTTCAAATCAGGATTGTTATTAACATTGTTTCCATCTTGATTCTCACTATTGTATTGATATTTGATAACATATTAATAATCTGTTTATCACTTTTATAAAAAATGAATTATATTTATATTTACCTTTTCTCTACTAGTCTCAATACTCCAAGTGAAGATATACAAGTCAATCTACTCTTTAAAGTTTCAAATGCAGAACTCTGTGGAAGAATCATTAAGATTCCATATAGTAACTTAAAGAGTGAAGGATACTTTTCTGGTTCTAATAATTGTAATCTCAATGCTTTTGTAAAGATTAATACGTTAATAATAAATCATATTGTTAAACTCATTCAATTGGTAGTACTGTCAAACTTACACATAAATCTAGGTGACTCTATTAATTGAATTAATCTATCCATTTCCATTAAAAAGTTTACTGTTATTTCAATCTCAGCACTAAATAAGTAAGTAGATAGTTAGCTAATTGGATGTTTGTTTGATATGTGAAGATCATGATACATTACAATTTAGCTAATAAATCACAAGCATGAACATATACTTGTGATAACATACAGAGACTGAGAAGAGAAGCAGGACTGTGTGCCCATGATTTGTAGAGTGTCGAGTAGAGATCACGACTCTCTGGTGATGATAGAGTACGTAGGTTCTTTCTCATGTCCATACACTCATCGGATGTCAACAATATTAAGTTGAGTGTTTGGATCATTACACTAGCGAAATCAGGATCGACTTCGTCTTTCAAGATGAGCGAGAGACGACGGAAGATCAGCTCTGCATTCAGGAACAAGCAAAACTGTCTGATGATGAAACTACCACGTGACTTTAATAGAATGGTATCGGAGCGGAACATCTGAATAAGACTCTGCATTAAACGATCGAACAACACTGTATTGTCAGATGAGATCTTTGCAATCACCTCTAGATCCAATGTAACAACCTCATCGGATGGATCCGACAAAGTAGTCAACAAAATCGGGAAAAGATCCGCAAGATATGGTGAGATATCAGTAGGCAGCTTCTTATGCAACATTAGAATCCATTTCAAAGACGACAATCTAGATTGTACTGCATTACTTGATAGATGATGTGTAGTAATATGAAGAAACTCTCTGTTTTGTTTTGTGTAGTGGATAATGATGGGTATTAATAATCTTTTCATTAAAAGTGTATCTATTGTGTTTTAAAAACAACTTACTTGATAGGAATGGTTTGATTTGTTTGCATAACTAATTTATGTAAAAGTGTCATTGAATTGGTTGCGATATTCTCAATGTCTGTGAGTTGATGTGAGAGATTCGGAAGGATACCAGAGAGTATGTGAGGTGTGTATGGCAGTAGTTTCTCACGTCCAACTATGATAAACTCATTGATCCATGCCAATGCTCTCAATCTAGTGAATTCATCTGTAGATCCACAATGTGGTACAATAATCTTTACCATATTTTCATAGTCAACGTCTTCAGCTGTTTGTAACTCCCTAAGAAACTCTGACAATGATTTATCTGCATCGACTCTATAATAAATTCACATGACATAACATATTAATTAATTAATTAGGAAATAACAACAGACACACACACAATTATAATTGATGTAATTTACCTAATTTCCTTATTTTGATCTCTTAACATCTTGAATAAACCATCCAAAAACTTTGGAAGATGCAATAGCATATCGATATTTGGTACACTATCCAAAACGATAATCCATCCAACAATGAACTGTCTACAGAATGGATTGATGACATAGATTCTTGCTTTGAGTAATGGAATGAATCTAGAGAGTGTTGTGCAATAGATTGTGTTAGTCGCAACGCAATGCAAATAATAGTTAACAAGTACTTACTTATCAATGTCAAATGTTGTACTCTCTGTAACGATGTCTTTGAGTAGACGGTCGAATAGCTGTGCACCGTTCTTCACTTGTGGATCGGGATCGGCCGATAACTTACAGAGTGCATCGAATATCTCGTTGAAGAACAACAGTATCTTGTTTCTGATGACCTTTGCAATGTTAAAGAGTGATTCACACGCGTAGAAACGAACACGACTGTCGTGATCGATGAAGCATCTGAGTACCGGTGGAATGATCTCCTGAATGTAATCGTTTGCATCTTGACCGAGTCCGATTGCAACCGAAGCCAGACCGATGAGTCCACCCTTCTTATTGTGTCCTTGCGATGAATCTGTGAAATCCTGCGACAATATCTTTATGATCGATTTAATGGTGTTGTCTTGCGCGTTGCCATGCAACTCTCTGACCAGCTGCTCGACTTCCTGTGCTCCATTCTTTCTTCTATCGTTATTCTTATCGGTGATATTCTTCAATATATTAATCGGGATAGGTGATAGATCTTGTGATTTCGATGCCATCTTTTCCTTTCCTTTTCTTCCTTTTTTCTTTCGTTTAATCTCAAACTAAACAAAAATAAATAAATAATTACAAAATATTAAACAAAACAAAAAAAAAAAAACTAATAAACAAATAAATTAAAAATCTGTCTTTTTTTTTTTTTATGGTCAAATTAATCAAAAAATGATCAAAAAAAAAAATCTTAGCCCATCAAAAATTAGTGCCTTCATTTTATTTCAACAACAAAATAAAAAATATGAACAATTTATTAATTGCTTTTTCAAAGGAATTTTATTTATTTTTTAATAGATTTATTTATTTTAATAAAAAAATGTAACTTTTTTGTAAGATATAAAAATAGAAGAAAAATAAATAAAGCAAAGAAAAATGACTGTTGATTGATTGATTGTTTTGTTTTGATTCTGTTAATCAAATCAAAATAATAATTGTTTTTTTTGATGTTATGTTTGAGATAATATTGTTTTGTTTTTTGAATATATAAGGTTGGGTTTTTGTTTTTTTTTTTTTTTTTTTTTTAGGATTTTTTTTATTACATTAATTTTAATGGTATCATAAAGAGAGGTATAAACTAGAGACTTTGAGGGGAATTGGTTTATTTTGAGGCAGTGAGGGTGTTGGACAACCAGTCGAGACCTTCATAGAGACCATCACCAGAGGTGGCACAAGTCGATTGAATGTACCATTTACGTTGACGAAGTGAGTGGAGGTTGAGTTTGTCAGTGACTTCAGCAACACTCATGGCATTTGGCAAGTCTTGCTTGTTACAGAATACCAAGAGGACGGCATCACGAAGCTCGTCTTCATTGAGCATCTTTTGAAGCTCATCACAGGCCTCTTGAATTCTTTCTCTATCGTTCGAGTCGACTACAAAGATAAGACCTTGAGTGTTTTGGAAATAATGTCTCCACAATGGACGAATCTTATCTTGTCCACCGACATCCCATACAGTGAAATTGATATTCTTGAATTCAACTATAATAATAATAAAATATTAAATAAAATGTCAATAATTGTTTGTTTTTATATTTATAATAATTAAATATCAATCATGATCAACATCAACATCATATCATTTTTGTCACAGTGAATCATCAGCAAACATCAACAACAACAACCAGCATGCTACTATATTAAATAATCGCAATATCAATCAATCTTTATCACTCTACTGTTTTGTTTACTGTTCCCAAATCTAAAATGCTGTAATGCTACATGACTATGACTTATGATGATGGTGATGATGATGATGATGATGATTGATATATTTAGCTTTAAATGATTACATACCAGTTTCTACGTTGAAACCAATAGTTGGGATGGTGGTAACGATTTCACCCAACTTGAGCTTATATAAAATGGTGGTCTTACCAGCGGCATCGAGACCGACCATCAAAATTCTCATATCCTTCTTTCCGAATAATCTAGCAAAAATCTTTGAAACACTAACTCCCATTGTTGTTTAGTTTAAATCTGTATAAATCAAGAAAAAAAAAAATATTGTTATGTTAATAAATAATTTATTTTATTTTTTTGAAAAAATAAGAATTGAATAAAAAAATAAAATTTATAAGAAGATGATCTATATGTTATTATTATTATTATTGGTTTAGATGGAACAAACTATTACTAACAAAATATAATTATTATATAAAAAAAATTAAATAAAAAAGCTAACTACACACTAGTAGTGAAAAGGAAATTTTCAAAAAAAAAAAAAAAAAATTGAGCAAAAAAAAATAAATAAAAATAAATCAAATTATTTTAAAAAAATTGTTATTTTGAAAAACCTATCAGGTTTTTAGTGTGAGTTTGACCGGTGTATGTTGTTCACACAGTAAAAAGGGAGGCAAATAACGACTAGTTTGTTGCTTGCCTGTGTTGTTGATCAACAAAATTAAATGATGATGACAAACAAACAGTGATATTATATTAATTGATGGTGATGGTGCAAATATTTGATTGATTTATTATTATTGTTTACTATAAATTTGATGAATGTAATATTTATTATTTATTTATTTATTTATTTATTTATTATTATTATTATTGTTTACTTTATAGTAAATAAGATTTATATATAATCTTAATAATATGATTTGTTTGAAATAATGCTGTATTTATTTTAATGGTAAGAATAAAACATATTAAATAACTACACATTTTTGTTACCACGTAGTATTTTAATCAATGTTAAATTATGATTGTTTTTTTTTTTTGTTTGTTTATAGCAGTCATGATTTTATTGATTTACAAATAAAATTTGGATACACAATCACTATCTCTTTCTACTATATCTTTTGATAGTCAATAATAATGAAACAAAAAAAAACACACCTTGATGATAATAATAGTACAAATAAAAAAAATAATGTCCTTGGTGATTAATTAAATAAGTAAGTTGTAAAGTGTTATATAAATATATGAAAAAAACAATTTTAAAAAATTATATATATATATCTGTATGTTGTGTATGAAAAATTATAATATAAAGATATTTGATATAAAAACAAAAGAAAAAAGCTACTACATACAATTAATAATAATGTAAATAAATGAAGAAAAAACAGAAAAATAATAGTGTATGTTTGGAGTGTGGGGATTGTGAAAAAAAATGATTCTATTGATTTTTTTTTTTTTTGAAATTTTTTTTCTTTCAATGGATTTTTTTTTTTTTTTACCTCATGTGCAATTGGTGTGATGAGAGAGGGTTGTGTCGAGAGTTTCTGTTGTTACTCATAAGAGTCACACTTTTGAAGTTCTTTTTGAAATGATTCAACATCACGACGTTTATTTGAAAAAAATAAAAAAATAAAAAAACAATTCAAAAGAAAAAAAAAAAAATAAAATTAAAAAAGGTTGTGGCTGTTGGAATGGAGAATAATGGGTAATGCATTATGCTTTGTTGACCACCAAAGTAAGCTTGGTGTTGTTAAAGATTCATATTTTATTATTTGATTTTATATTTTTAGATTAACAGTGTGTGTGATATCACAAAGTAGTACTATTTCAGATCTTCAATTATAATTAATATAATAAAGGAAAATCACAAAAATTCCTATCTTTATGATTTGAATTATTATTATTATTTTAATGTTGGCTGGCTATACTTACAATAATGAAATTTATTACTTTAAAAATTGATTGATGTTACAGTGATAAGTTTAAAAATTAATGAATTGTTGACTTGTTGTTGTTGCTTTATTTTTAATATTTTTTGTATAAATATTAATAATTGTTTGATTGTTTGTTTTATTAATGAATTGGAATGTTGAGTTTATATAATAGCAATAAAAAAGGTAAAAATATATTTGTGAATGTCAATTTAATTAAGCTGGTTTGCAAACCTTGCAAAACATACAAAGTTGTTATTGTGTCGTTTTTTTGTCTACGTCGTCATAAAAAAACTCATTACGATGGAAATTTTTTATATGGGGTGTGTTTTGGTGAAAAAAGTGGTATTATTGTGGTAGAAATTGTTGTTGTAAAGGTGAACATTGGGGATTAAAAAATTCATGAATCACCGAATCTAAAAAGAGGTATACAATTCAAAAATAATCAAGAAAGTTAAAAAAAGATCTCTTGGAGCACTATTTATAAATTAATATTATTTATTTTTAATTTTTATAAAAACTTTTATTATGAGTGTTACTACGTACTTATTGATTCGTGTTTCTTTTACAACCTTTTTTCTTTAGGCATATTGAGAATGGTTATGTATCATTAAACCAATTTTTTCTTTTAGTTAAATAAATATTCCAATCACAATTAAAAATGATTCCAAAGAAAGACAAAAAGTATAATCTTTTGGAACAAATATAGATGAACCTTTAAACCAAATAAAACATTTCTCAAACTACAAAATACTTTATTATTTTATTTAAAATTAGATTTGTTTTAAAATATATCTGGCTTCAAGCATTTAAAACATTTTCATAGAAGTTGTGTCTTGATATTGTTCTATTCCATGGTACTTCTTTAATAAAATTAAATAAAACAAAATTCATTTTGAAATGTCTAGTGAAAATGATTCATCTTTCTATGAGTAAATTAACAATTAAAAATAGTTATATAATCTAACTTTAAAAACTTTTTAGATTTACAAATAAAAATGTATTTTTAAAAAAAATAAAAAATAAAAAAAACGAACGAAAGTTTTAATTAAATTTTATTATTTCAAAATCAGATTTTTATTTATATTGATTTATTATTAGTTTAGAGTGATAGATAGTAAAATAAAAATAAGAGATGAAGAAGAATTTTAAACATCAGTCAAAGTACTCGAAAAAGTTGAGTAAGAAGTACTCGACACATAGACTCTACTATAGTGACAATATCGATACGTTCAAAGCATTGGACCCAAAGAAAAAGAACGAAGAGAAACACAACAAGCTATTGGATCTTTCGAATCGATATCATGAGGCACATCAGAGAAAGGAACAAGACGAGCAGGAAAGAGAGAGACAAGAGATTATCGATCAACTCAGAGAGCACACCAACGATCAAGTAGAGGACAGAGAGAACTTCACTGATATCTTTGAACTTGGTGCTTCTTCATATGACAAACTTTTAAATTCATTCGGTGGTGCTGATTCTATTAAAAAGAGAACACAAGATACTCTTTTAAGTAATAATGCATCAAAGAAAAAGCAGAAATTGGAACAAAGAAATCAGCAGCAAAAGAAAGAAGAAGTTAATGAAGAAGAGGAAGAGGAAGATGAAGAAGAAGTTAATAATGACGAAATAGATATTGAATTCGATCCAGAGGAGGAAGAAGAGGTAGAAGTGGACGGAGATGAACAAGATGATGATGATGATGTTGATCAAGAGGAGTTAGAAGAAGAGGAGCAAGAAGAAGTAGAAGAAGGAGAAGAGGAAGAAGAGGAAGAATCAGAGTTTGCAGATGTTTATGGTGATAATAAAAAGGAAGCAGAGGAAGAGGAAGAAGAGATTGTCGATGAAAAGGAAGTAAAAGAGATATTGAAAGACAATAAGAAACAATCGAATGATATTTGTTTCAATCATTTCAATAGAGAGATAGAGACAGAGAATCAGTTGGAAGATCTACAAACAGAGTCACATTCATTCAGCTCACAATCAGTAGATGTCGAATCATTTGGAATCATAACATCATCGGGATGTCCAGCGCCACTAAACAATCAACCAGTTGCCAAATCTGTAATGGAAGCTAAACAATCATTTATTCCATCAAAAAAGAATAATTTCTCTGAATATAATGTAATTACATCATTATTATCACATTCAAATACAATAATACAATACAATACAATATTAACACTATTATTTTAAAATTTATAGATTAAGAGTAGATTATTAAAACCATGGTCAACTACAAAGAAGAATAAGGAAAATGGTATATATATATTATAATATTGCTTAGATATCGATACATATATAACAGTTTAGTTAACAGTATCTGTAATTTTATTATTATTATTATAGATTTATATTTTACACCTATTCAACAAAGTTTATTCCCTATTATGAATGAATATAGAGATTTATTGTTTTCAGAAGAGAATCATAAGAATCACAAGAGTATCTATCAACTTTATACATTACATGCAGTCAATCATGTTCTAAAGACAAGAGATCAACTCCTGAAGGATAATGTCATTACAAAAGAATTTGAAAAGAAAAATGAAATTGTGTAAGTGTGTGAAAACAAAACAAAACAAAAAAACAAACAATTTAAAATGATGATAGTTTTTTAAGAAACAAAACTGTTAAATAATAGCTAATAACTAAACATATAAATTTCAATTAATAGACCTGATTTAAGACATCAAGGTTTCACAAAACCAAAGGTATTGATTGTTGTGCCTTTTAGAAACACCGCTCTCGATATCATCAAGTTGATGCTGAAATTGGTACCACACGAACCAAAGACTCAGACCGAAAAGAAAACGAAATTGGTCAATGAATACTCTGCACCAGAGGGAAAGACTTTAAATCCAGAGAAACCAGGTAAATAATATTTATATTTAATATATATTACAAATTTAGTAGTAGTTTACTAAAAAACAAACCTTTTCAAATTAATTATAATAGAGGATTTCCAACATATTTTCAGAGATAACATCGATGATTGTTTTAGAATTGGAATCGGTTTCAATAGAAATGGAATTAAATTATTTACACCATTCTTCTTTTCCGATATAATTATTGCTTCGCCACTCGGACTAAGATTGGTTGTCGGAACTAAAGGGTATGTATTCAATTGATAATAATAATAATAGTTTGTTTGATCTGTTGTCAAAGAAATTTTATTAAAATGAATGTTTTTTATTTATTAAAAAAAAAGTGATGCACAAAGAGATTATGATTTCTTATCATCTATTGAAGTACTTATTATCGATCAAGTCGATACTATTCTTCAACAGAATTGGGATCATATCAATATCATTTTCGAAAATCTTAATCTCATTCCAAGAGCACAACACAACACTGACTTTTCAAGAGTTAGAATGTCCTATCTCGAGGGTTGGAGCAAACACCTAAGACAAACATTGATTTTCGGTTCATTACTTACACCTGAAATTAATTCTATTTACAATAGACAATGTTATAGTATGTATAGGTTTGAAATCTATTAAAATTCTTTATTTAATTATTTATCTAATAACAAATTAAAAAAAAAACTAAAACTAAACTTTTTTTTTTTTTTTCTTAATTTTTTTTTTATATCTATAGATATAAACGGAAAGATTAGAGTAAAGAGAATAAAAGATGGTGAGATTTCCAATATTATCAATCCTTCTCTCGTCCAGACTTTCCATAAAGTCTATATCTCAGCGGATGAGCACAAGGATGACGATTCAACCGCTCGATTCCAGTTCTTTATTGACACTGTACTGCCAAAGTTGACTCACCACTCGACGGAATCTCGACAAATTTTGATCTACATACCAAGCTACTTTGAGTTTACCAGAATTCGTAATTATTTCAACAAGGAAGCCAAGTCGTTTGTCAAGTGTGACGAGTACGCACAGCCAGGTGCCATTACCAGAGCGCGTCACTACTTCCGTAGAGGTGAACGTACCTACATGTTGTTCACCGAGAGATTCCACTTTTTCAATCGATACAAAATCCAGGGTATCAAGCATGTCGTATTTTTCGGTCTACCACAAATCGCTGCCTACTACTCGGAGGTACTAAACATGATCACACAGCAAGACGGAACCGTCATGGCACTCTACACCAACCGTGACCGTCTGGCACTCGAAAGAATAGTTGGTACAATCAGATCAACTAAAATGTTAGAGTCTGAGAAATCAACACACTTATTCTGTTAAAAGATAAAAATTATTATCATTTTTTTTTTTAACTTTACTTTATATATCACATCAATAAAATTTATAAACAATTCAATTCTAGAATTAAAGTTAAATTAACAAACAACTAAATCAATGAAATTATAAATAAAATAATAGATAATCATTGATTACATTTCAATTCTCAATTAAACTTATGTTGTATATTGTATTGTTAAATCAAAAGATAGTCATCATAATATAGTTTATAAATTTTATGATCATTTAAAAAAATAGAAGAATCAAAATATTATTGAATTTTAAGCAAATAAAGATCTTCTTTTTGAATTTCAAAAGTTTAAACAAAGTTCTGAATATTTAAAAGATTAGGTTAGTTGATATTCTTTAAAGTATTTAATTAAATAACATATAAAATTTCAATATTAATATTTTCTTGGTGTTTGTTTGAAAAAAAAAAAAAAAAAAAAAAACAGTTCATTAGTTTCATTTGAAATTTTTCAAATCAAATATATATATAATTTCATTATTATTATATTATTTTATTTGTCTGACAAACAACCAACATCGACAAGTCAACGGAATACCGCCGAAAAATGTATAGCCAACCTGAGGACAACCCTGCCTTGATATGTGGCCACGAGATATGCAGCCGAAATCTTTATAATCACCGAGCGTTCGCCGTCAGATCCATGAGAATCGCCCACGAGATCAATGATTTTCATCCATGTTCAGAGCGATGCCCTCTGAAGCATGCGAAAAAAGAAAAGCATTTTCCATTCGCCACGTTCGGCAACGACGATTCCATTCCACCCGAATTGCCAGAACTCGACCAGCCCGACATTCAAGAGCACTTTGAGAAGCGTCGCAAACTTCAGATGGAACTACGACCACCAAATCCTGAAAATATTGACAATCATAATATTTTCAATGCACCTCTGGTCAATCTCGAGCAATACATCGATTTTCATGACATCGAACGTGAAAATAATAACTATGACAATCATAATATCAATAATTTCAATATTGGTAGTAAACCATTATTACAACAACAACAACATCATCAACATCATCAACAACAATATAAATACAACACACATAGACAACATGAGCAACAACAAATAACTCCATTGGTAGACAAAGATGACAAGATTGTTCTATTTCTTTCAGAGTTGGCCAAATTATCAAGACATAGTCATGAAATTTCTTTCAATGACATTGTTGAATCGCTCAATATGATCAAACATCAATTTTTTCAGAGGTCCATTCCGGTTGTCTTGAATGAAATTAAACTTAAATTTGGTGTCAATGACCAAGATTGGCATAATTTGTTAGATAAAACAAATTATTTGGTCGATAGCGGTGGTAGTAGTGATAGCAGCGATGTCAGTGATAGTGATTCTGCAGAATCCTATGAAACTGACTCTGAGCTCGACGATTACCACGATCATGACGATGATCACGACAGCACCGGTGAGGTCGTTCCAGTTTTGAAATCGAGAAGAAGTGTACTCGAGTTGAAGCACCAACAACAACAACAACGATTACAACAACAAGAAGAACAAGAACAACTCAGACGACAACAAAGACAACAACAAATATCAAAGAGAAATCAAAAACAACAACAACCAGTTAAACAACAAAAAAAACAAGAAGATACCAATTCACATGCTTCATCAAAAGAATCATCAGCGAAATTCAATGCACTTTCTCCAAGCAAAGCTGAGGATACTCCTACCAAATCTTCAAAGACACACGATGAACCATCTACTCCTGAACCACGTAGCCACCCAGGACGTCCTAGCACTAACCCAGTCGAAGCCGAGACTATCTCTCTCACAAAGAGCAATATTAAATTATCGAAATCACCATGTTCCATTCATGTGATTATGAACACCACATTCCAAATGCTCAGAAACACCGCCATTATGTTTGAACCAAAGGAGTTCAGACGATACGATGAGCTTCTCTATGATTACAATTACACCAAGCGCGAGTTGGTCAATGTTAATCGTGAGCATCTCAGAGTGTCAGAGAAGAACGCAGAGCTGAAAAAGAGTATTTCAGAGGCCGCCGAGAAGATAGAGCAACTCAAGATCAACAAGAGACTGGCCAAGTCATACGAAAAAGACTCAGAGATACTGGCAGCGATGCAGTCGGATCTCGAACAACACTACTCTGACAAGTCAGTTGCCGAGCTGGCAAAGCAATTGACCAAGCTCAAGAAGCAGCATCAAGAGATCGAGCACGAACTCGAGTCTCAGAGAAAGAAATTGCCAGTGACACACCCGAATCGAACCAAAAACACTCAAGGTACCACATTGTTTTTGGAGGCAATCGATAACTTTGGCATCCATGTTCCAGTGCACCGAGAAGGTGAGCCTCTCTTGGACATTATCGATCGAATGGCATTCAACTTTAGCGATGTAATCAACGTTATAAGCAACCATGAGTATCTACTCTACAAATTCCTCCAACTGAAGCATGGAAAGCGACCTGTCTCAAGCGCCTCAAAGTCAAAGACCGATCTCGAAACTGAAATTTCAAACGACACCGATAAGAAAGTGAAAAAGTTGAAATTATCAAAGAAAACAAGATCTGATGTTTATAGACAAATAGATATTGAAGGTTCTTCTGAATTAACAAAAGTAAGTTGTTTATTTATTTATTATAGAAAATATTTAATATTAATATTAATGATTATAATTTTGTTTTTTTTTTTTTCTTTTTCTTAAACAATACAACTATAACAAAAAATAGCTTACTATTCTTTGGGGTCAATATAGAAGTTTAATAAGAGTTGTTCAGTCTGATGATTTCAAGATTAGAGATTCACAATATATTAGACAATCTTATTTCTTTGGAAACAATTATATCATACTCTTTGGAAAGCATGTCAATCTATCGTATATTGATATTTTGGTCAATCAATTGGGTCCTTTCATTGAGCGTCACAACCAGATAGACAAGTTGGTCAGTCTCGATTGTCGAATGGATGTCATGAGAAAGCAAAGTTTCAATTCACACAAAAAGTATTCAGAGAAATGTCTTGAGAAATCAGCTGAGAGCAGCAATAACAACAACAGCAGCAACAGCAACAACGCAACTGATATTGCCGCTCAAAACAAAAAGAGAAAATCAGCAGAGGGCAAATCAACCATCAATATCATCGAAGAAGTTCGTAAATTCTACATCACTCAATTCGATGAAAACTCTCCGAATACCATCTATCCTGTGTATCTGAGCGATAACAACTCTAAATATTTCACCAGACACTACTATTAAATCAAATTATTCCATCAAATAATTAATATAATATATATGTATAAAACAATTCATTTCATTTCCAAATTAAAATAAAATATGATTATTAAATAATAATATTCAAATAAAAAAGAAATTTATATTTTTGTGGATATCCAATTAAATGTATAATTTATTTTAAATATTATTTATATATTTACAGATTCTAACCATTTTATAATTAGTGGATTTAAAGATTAGCAGCCATAATCAGGGTTACATCAGGTTGAATGATATAGGAATTTTAACATCTTTAAATTACTGTTTCTATTACAGAGTCAATGATTGTTTTGGTTCGAATAAAGTTGAAATAGGTGTAGTAAAAGTATTGAGATATACGATGGGATGTAAAAAACTCTACAATATAATTACGTAATTATACAGAATTTACATCATCGATTCTCCACCAAGTATTTCACTATATCCAGTTGATCAAAAGATACTCGCAATCCTAGATTCACTGGATCTGGCCAACGATCATACTTGTAATAGTCAAGCAGTAGAGTTAGTAATTGTAAATGATTCACCAATGAAATCACCTCATTAGTTGGAACTTTATAAAAGAATGTATTCAATTGATCAAAGTATCCATAGGATATCAATGAATTGATTCTCTGACTTTTCGATTCCGAACTGTAACTACCTTTTCAATTTTGATCATTCCATCGAATATAGATAGAATTTTACTTTTTAAAAAATACTTTATTACTAAATATTGATAGTATTAGATATTTATTCATCCCCTCTTTATTTAATACTATTAATTAGGAATCAAAATTTAGATTTTTTTGTTATATTTTAGATGGCTGATAAATTATTTTTTAAAAAAAATTAGAGTGGATTTGGTACCTGCAAAAACAAAAATTTCCATACAAAGTTCTTTGCTCCCAATGTTTTATTTTTATTTTGCAATTTTTTGACCAAAGCAATTGCCTCTAAAGTCAAAATATATTTTTTTAAATAATTTTTAATTCAAACACAAATCTTAGTATAAGATCTAATAAGATAAAAAACTATGAGTGAGAATCAAGAGTTTCTAAGACAATTAAATCAGGAAAAGTCAGATTTGGTCAAACAAATGAGAGATGAAATCAAGATGGAAATGATCATAGAGATGACACAAAAAGAAACTTACAATGTCAACGATCTATTATTGGCTTTACCACTACCATCACAACCAAATGATAATCAGCAACAACAGCAACAACAACAACAACAACCAGTGGGAGAAGACACAGAGGAAGATGAATATGATGATGGAGATGAAGAAGAGGAGGAAGAGATTTTAAATACTCATATACCAGTACCGTCTCCTGTTGTTGCATCTAGTGCTGCTGTTTCAATAGATAGAAAGTCTAATCTCAAAGGTGTTCAGGTTGAGCAGGAATTGGAAGATGAGTCATACAACTGGAAGACCTCGGAATGGGATCACACACAAAGAGACTACTATGCCTTCAATCATCCGTATCAGCCATCCGATACCTATGAAGACCACGAATACTTTACAAGTTACTCAAGAGTTGTAAGTACTTTGACTTTTAAAAAGTAAAATTGATAATAATATTGAAAGAAAATAACAACGAGAATTGAATTGAAATTGTATATATATACTAAAGAAAATACCAGTTACAACTGACTATTTCTATTTTATTTGTTTTGTTATGATCATAATAAAACATAAATCTTTTTATCTTTTTGGTTTTTTATATCACATTATATTAGAGTATTCATAATGAAATGGTATTTGATAAAAGACGTACGGAAGCATACTATCAGGCTATCATGAAGAGTAAACAATTGTTTAAGGATAAGGTGGTGATGGATGTGGGATGTGGTACTGGTCTGTTATCTTGTTTCTGTGCGATGGCAGGTGCCAAGCGTGTCTATGCTGTCGAGGCTTCCGATATGGCGTTCAATGCCGAGCTGATTGTCAATAGAAACAACCTGCAAGACAAAGTGCGTATCTACAAGGGTAAAGTCGAACACATTGCATTCCCAGAGTATGTCGACATCATCGTTAGTGAATGGATGGGTGCATTCCTCATCTTTGAATCAATGTTGGAATCCGTAATCTATGCAAGAGATCATTTACTTAAACCTGTACGTAGAGATTAATACAAACTTTAAATAACTTACATTTTTCATTCAATCAATCAATCAATCAATCTATCATACAATCAATTATTATTTTTTTTTAACAAAGGGTTTGTTATTTAATTAATATATAAATAGAATGGTATATTATTCCCATCGAAAGCAGCATTATATGTATCACCAGTTAGAGTAGATTCACTGATGGATAGCAAAATTAATTGTTGGAATAATGTTTATGGATTGGATATGTCACCTTTAATGTAATGTATAAATGTTATAACATTTCAAATAATTAATTAAAGATACTAATTTTAAAGTAATCATTGCTTAGTCCATTTGCTCAACAAGAAACTTTGAATAAAACGATTAGAGATCATTACTTGGAGACAACAGATATTCTAGACGATCCATTTATTCTTAGATATTTAGATTTAAGTACTATTACAATTGATAGTTTATCAGTATGTTTTGTTTGTTTTATTGAAAATACAATATAAATTACTAATATATAATATAATTATAAAACAAAAAAAAGAGAACTGTATTAAACTTTAACTTTAAATTACCAAATGGTGCTTTTCATGGATTTGCATCTTGGTTCTCTGTATATTTCGAATGTCTAGATCGTCAAGAAAATCAAGAGTACAACCATCATCACCACTGGGTAATAGATATCGATGGTAATCTCGTTGAGAAATCAAAGTGTGATAGTCATCAGACAAAGTTGTCACCACAGCCATTCGAGATGTCTTCCAACACCTTGGAGTTGGCGACAGCACCTGGCACAGGATCGACACACTGGAAACAATTGTTGTTCCTCTTTGAACAACCAAAGGATATCTATCATCATCAGGTAGATAAGCAGTCGACCGCATCGATTCAAGGAACCATGAGAGTATCTCAACATCAAACCTACCGTCGTCACTGGTGGGTAGAATTCAGCGCAACTCAAACCGTAAATTCCACCCGATCCGGATCCTATCAAAATTATCTCATCTAATGAAAATATATATAAAATAAATTATTATCCAATTGATATTTATTGCATATTTTCCAGAGAGTGATAGTAATAATAATACATCCAATATTTCCATGTGTACAATATGTAGAATAAGAATAGAACAACTATATTATGTATGTTGGTAGTATTTATACAATCATGATTGAGAGTGGTCACCTTAGCTATAGCACTAACAAGCTTGTATAAATACAAAACCAACATACATTGTTCTATTCTTATTCTACAGGGTTGCGTAAAATCGAGCAGACAGACCTATAAATATATATGTCTATGTGTGATAACAACATAACCATGATCTGAGTCAGACAAATACATGATTGGAGGTCTTTGCATAGATTCTAGAATAAAAAAAATTAAACTTTGAAAGTAATTGGTTGAATCTATTCCTGTTTGAACTACCAGATCAGGATTAATGAAGGAGAACAATATAAAATGGCATTCAAAACACATTCGAATATACTATAATGCCTTTTGGTTTAGCTGGCGCTGATGCCACATTTCAAAGATTGATGGATCACATCTTTCAATTGCAGATATTGAACCAAAGATCTGTGTTACATAGATGACATCCTCATTAACTCTTTTCTTTCGTGCTCTTTTACTACCTATTGACTGTATTTATTGGCGAATCTTTTATTTAAATTGATTGTAATTAATAAAATTAAAATTATTATTAAATCCTAAATATATTTCAACACCTACTATTTTGGCTTCTTTTTATTCACCCGATCACACTCTTTCAACACCGCACTTGCATCTTTGTCCGTTATGGACTCCATATAAATGCTAATGATAAAAAAATTCATTATTGTTGTTAGTGAATTCGAAGTCAAAAAAAAATTTTAATTTTGTGAAAATCGACAATTAATTTTGTAATAATCTTGAAGAGTTATCAAATCAATATCTATATATAATCGAATAAATTGTTAGTATTAATGTTATAAACAAAAAAAAAAAGAAGTAATCTAAATATATTTATAGAAGAACTATGGCTGCAGATAATCAACCTCCACCTGAAATCTCAAGTAACTATACTTAAAATTGATTGTCATGTGATATTATTAACTGATTACATTATTTTTATTTTACATAATTAATAGCAATTATAGAGAAAACAGCAGAGTTTGTTGCTAAACATGGTGAGAACTTTGCAGAGAAAGTAAAGGCAAGAGAGAAAAATAATCCCAAGTTTAATTTCTTACATGATGGCGATATTTATAATAGATACTTTTTGAATAAAGTAGAGGCACATCGACAAAAGATACAATCAGCAAAGCCTGCTACACCTGCTGCACCCACTACATCTTCACCACCAACCGATACCACTGCTACATCTACAACACCGACTACTGCAACTGCAACACCTTCAGCACCTTCGACAACCACAACTTCACCGACAACAACAACAACAACACCACCTGCACCAACAGTTACAACACCTGCACCACCTGCAGAACCAGAGCAACCACAACGTGTCATCACCGAACCAACTCCATTACTATATATTCTTGAAGTACCAGACGATATGAATTCATTAGATTAGTAAGTAGAAGTTAGTTAGTTTGTTTTTATTTGATATTCATATTTATTTATTAATGATTATTTAAAATAATATAATAATAGTGATACAATTAGGTTGACTGCACAATTTGTTGCGATGAATGGTGAACAATTTCAAAGTGGTTTGGCATTGAGAGAGTCAAAGAATGCACAGTTTGAATTTTTGAAACCAACACACCATTGGCATGAATGGTTTAGAGCATTGGTGGAATCTTATGCAGCTATTATTTATCCTCCAAAGAATATCAAGGAGATGCTGGCGACAGAGGATTTCACTGATAAGAATACTATATTGGACAGATCGATCAATCGATTCGAATGGAACAAACAGGAACAGATTGCAAAGAAGAAGGCAGAGGAGGAAGCCGATCAAGAGAGAGCGATGTTTGCTGCTATCGATTGGCATGATTTCGTGGTCGTTGACACCATCGACTTTACTGGTGACGACCTCGAGTCATTGCCACCACCAAAGACATTCGAACAGTTGATAAAGCATCAATTCGACGAAGATGCAGATCGCGAAGAGGAAATGGATGTCGAGATGGACACTGAGATGGATATGGACGATGGCGATAGCGCGTCAACCACCGCCACCTCTGAGAAGACCGAATCGAAGCTGAAAATCGTCAAAGACTATCAAAAGACAAACAAACCTGTTGCTTCGACACAAAAGAAGATCACTCAGGCATGTCCCATTTGTAAACAAGAGATTCCACTCGATGAAATGCAAGAGCACATGAGAATAGAGCTGATGATGAGAAACAACGCAAAGAAAGACAACAGTAGCAACAACTTTGGTGGCGCCACACTCAATTACGATACCGATATCGCCAAGAATCTCCAGTCGTTTGCCAACAGTCGTACCGATATCTTTGGTGATGACGACGATGTAGAACAAGCCAGAAAGAAGGCCGCTGAAGAACCAGCGGTTGAAAAGGTTATATGGGATGGTCACACTGGAAGCATTCCAAGAACACAGAATGCAGCGTATGCAGCACAACAAGAGAAACAACAATCACATCATCAGAAACAACAACAGCAACAACAACAACAAGGAATGTCAATGCAAGATATGTATATGCAACAACAAGCTGCTGCGGCAGCTGGTATGATGCCACAGAACTATATGATGATGGGAATGATGCCATTCCCACCAGGAGTTCCATTCATGCCTGGTATGATGCCACCACCAATGAACATGATGAATCCAAATGCAGCTACACCCATTACAAATACAACATCAACCATCGCAATAGACGAACCAACTTCAAAGAAACAGAAAACAGAAGATCTACTTATTCCAGAGGATGAATACATCAGAGACAATCCAGGACCTGTACAAATTACAATTGAAGCGACCAACGAAGGAAATGCACAAACATTCTCAATTACTTTTAATCCAAGGGATACCATTACTGTATGTATTATAATAATTTGATAAATCTGTAATAATAATAGTATTGCTAACTAATTAATATTTTTAATTTATTTATAGATACTCAAAGAAAAGATTAAAGATTTGATTGGAATTGCTCCAAATAAACAAAAACTCAAAGCTCCAGGTTTATCGATTTTGAAGGATCAACACACTATTGGATTTTACAATTTGAAACCTGGAACCGTTATTACTGCTGGTTTGAAAGAAAGAGGTGGTAGAAAGAAATAAAAAAATATTTAATTCTAAAAAAAAAAAATTCTTATTTTTATTAAATATTTGAAAGAAGGTTTCAATTTTGGTCATGTTTTTCGAAGGAAGAAGAAACTTTATATATCAATTATTAATAAACTTACAATTATTGAAAAATAGAGTAGAAAATGTCAAACATCTATTGAATGCTATATGTCTATTTATGACCATTAAAAATAATTAATTTTAATATTTTAATATATTATAGAATAATTAGATTGAGTATAAATACACATCACAAAGATGTTTCAAATCATTCAAATTGAAAACAAATATTTTAATTCAACAAACAAATAAAAATGACTCTTATCAGTATGTATATTATTCAAAAATAATTCAATTATTTAATAACTAATTATTATAATTATTATTATAAACTATAGAATCAATTTCATTGTTGGGTAACTCATTCTCTGGTTTGGAAAACAACTCTTCCTCTGACATTGTTGGATCCATTGGCAAATCATCGATTGATTCAGACTCCCAAGAGCAATGCTTTGGTTGGGGTAGAAGAAGAAGAACCACCAATGTTATTTTTGGTGATGTTAATGTCATAGGTAGTGGTTGTGGAGGTTGCTGTAATGGTTTCGGTGGTCTCGGTGGTTTTGGTTTCTAATTCTAAAACAACGTTGTTTTAATTTTATTAGCTTGGTTTTACAATAATATTTTTTTATCTTTTCATATATTAATAATCAATCATAATTTATTAATATTGATTCTATATGTAAATAAAAATAAAGAAAATTTTATGAATCACAAATCATATAACTCTTTTCCTTTAAATCTCCACTTATTTATTTAAATAAATAAAATAGATCATATGTATGTTCAAAAAATATATTAAATTTCGCAACCAATTTTTTAAATGAGAAATTGTGCCTTTGCAAAAACTAAACCTAATTATTTCTGTGAAAATTCCTGCACCACCAAAATCAAATAAAATCATGATATATAAATAAATCACTTGGATTTTTTTTATATTCAATAAAACAATATCATAAAACAAAATAATAAAAAAACAAATAACAAAAATGTCTAAAAATAATAATAATAATAATAATAACAATAATAATAATAATTTTGATTTTAATCTACTGAAAGATTATAGTATACCATTGGATGGTGAAGGATATAGTTTATCATTTTCTTTGGAAGACTTTAATAGTACATCTAATGAAATCAATAGAAATCCAAGATTATTCTTTAAACACTTTGGATTTCTGGTAGTGAGAGATGTACTGACTCCAGCAGATGCCGACAACACCGTATCAGAGATATTCGACATCATCGAGAAGAAGTCACCGGCCTTCAAAAGAAACGATCGATCAACATGGGATCACTTCCCAACTGAAGAATCGATCGTGCAGTACGGTAGTCCGTCTCGTCCACCCATTTTCACACGTCAATTCCTAATGAATCGACAAAATCCAAAAGTAGCTCAGGTCTTTGCCGAACTCATCGGTAACAATGACTTGATGGTGAATAACGACCGTTGTTGTTTCTTCCGTCCGACTCAAGCCAATGGCAGCGGACTCATCGCAAAGCCAGAGTGGTCGACCAAAAGTAATGTGCATCTGGACATGAATCCTTTCAATTGGATGGGAGATGGCTCGGCTTGTCGAAACGAACTGGCAGCACTCCGTTACGGCAAGCTTGGAGAGTTCATCCAAGAGAACAATCAACCGAGTTGTCACGACGGTGTTCAACTCCAAGGTGTTCTCAATCTGCTAGATAATCACGAGCTTGACGGTGGTTACTGTGTTGTACCAGGCTTCAATCATCATTTCCGTGAGTATTTCAAAACCAAGAAACCAGAATTCACAGCGGTCTCTTGGAATTGGCAAATCAAAGATCCACTATTCAAGTTTGCGAAGCGTATCTCCATGCGTAAAGGATCAATGGTAGTATGGGATCAAACAATGCCACACGGATCGATCAACAACCAATCTTGCAACCCAAGAATGGCACAATTCATCAAGATCTTCCCGACATCAACCGTTTCAGAAGAGAGATACAAGAGTCGTGCCGATATTGTTTCAACAATCATCCAATCGATGCCAGAGCCGTTCCCTCTTACAAAACTCGGTGCCAATCTTTTCGGTATAAAAGAAAAGAATTTACCAACTATTGACTAGATTAAACTAAAACAATCTTGTACAAATAAATACAAATCAATATAATCTCTATTCATATTTATAGAGATAATATATATATATAACAATTCAATATTATATTTTAGTTTAATTTTATTTCATTTGTTTTTATTTTATTATTGATCAAAAGAATAAAGTTATTATTTTTTGACATTTATCATAAAGTTCATAAGTTTGGTTAAGGTGTTTCCTGACATTGGGAAATCAATCTTACCAGCGAATAGGGTGAGTGCTTGAGATCTCTCTTGGAGGTTGAGCAATGTTTGTTGACGACCTGCATAGAGTTGTGAGGTAGCTGGTGCCATAAATGCACTGGAAGAACCACCGGGTAATGCAACTAGTTCGTAGAGTCGCATGATAATGTCAATGGTGACTTGAATGATCGATGAGAAGTTACGTGTGACATGTGGACTTAGGAATCGGTAGTTCTCAACACACGGTTCAACGTCACGCTCTGTACGTGGTGTTAAACCGATCTTGTCTTGCAGGTCGAGAGCATCCTGATACTTTTGGTTATTATACAAATCAAAGAACTGACACAACTGTAACAACTGTTCGAATGCCAAATATGCTTGTTTCTCTGACTTACTAATCTTTATCTGCAATTGTTTATCATTGAATAACTCCATACCAAACAAATACAATTGTTCTATAGATAGAAATAAATGAATATTAATAAGATTATAATATAAACACTAAAGTAATAATAATAATAATAAATTAAACTAAACTAACTAGACTATACCTTTCTCAGTTGAATTGGTTGTGATAAGAGATGACATTCTGTTGTTGTATAGCTCGAGAACACGTGCGTACTCTTCGATTAACAACCAGTAGGCAATGGATGATTGGAAGTTACCTTTGAATTCAAAGGTGAGAGCTGTCTGCTCGATGATACGACGCCATTGGTCACGTTTGATAAACTCTGGTACTTTGAGAAGGTAGCGTGCAAACTCTGTGTCTCCGGTGGATGTCACTATCAAGTCAGAGATGCACAGTGTCTGAATTTGTTCGTCTTCAATGAGCAAGTAGTAATGTAGTGCTTCGACATTGTCTGTCTCTGTTGAGAATGTCTTTATGTATTGACGGATCATGGCGACGAGGTTAAGAGCACCACTCGCTGGGTTGTAGATATCGACGCTATCGATCACCGTTTGCTCTGGACGTGGCTTACGAATCAAACCGGATTGATTCAGTGCCAATGCATAGTGAAGAGCATCCTCCTGGTTGGTCAACGACAAATGTGCAATACCCAACTCGAATTGACAGGTCAACAAATGAATCTGGAACAAAACAAATGGATCGAATTGAATTTGTGATGTTGTTTCATTAATTGCAACTTGTAATGTTTGTAATGAATATGTTTGTAATCTAATAAAAGAAAGCTAAAACAAATATATATATATTGATATTAGTTAGTATTATTATTATTATTAGTAACTAATTTAATACTTACTCTCCACCAAATTAAATCCTGAATGAATGGGAATAGTATTTTATTGGAATGTACATTGGTGGCATCAGCAGCCGAAAGTATATTGAATACTGCAATCTTAAAGTAATCTTTACTTTCATTTCTAATGATTCTATATTCCTGTGTCATTTTATTCAATATTTCTTGTGGACTGTTGTAAGATTTGTTAAATATTAGTTAGTTGGTTGGTTGGTTAATTAAAGTGGTGAACTACTACAACTACTACTTACCATTTAAGATCATCTTTACGATGTATTGTTATGTTTCTAATTAATTCACGATATCTAATTGGTAGTTGTTGAGAAATGTCAATGATTACTTGATAGTAACCGGAACGGAGTGAGTAGTAAATGATAGACCAAACCGAACAGTTACGGAAGTTGTCTTCTGGTGTGTCGATAGGTGGCTTCTGTACGTTTGATACTATATATGAGATGATTTCCTCGAGTGGCGACGATATGTTGCTGATGGTGGGCAGCTTACTCTTAATGGTATTAACAAACTGTTCTTCGAGAAATTGAATCGATCTCTTTACCAATTGCATTGTCTTGTCATCGGACAATGATGATGATGATGATCCACTCTTTGACGAAGACGACGACGACGACAATGAACTTTGTTTATCAATGAGTATCCAGACATCCTCTATTACCTGACGATACTTTGTTACCTCTGCCAACTGTGCATTCATTAGATTCTCAACTAGCGGATAACTGCTACCACTCTCTACTGATCTCTCTGACAAGAGATACTCATAGACAACCTCGGCATATGCACGCATCTTGTTGGATAGACGAGTACGATCTTCTACATTGCCACGTGTAGACATCATCAGCTGACCATTTACACTGCTGTTGTTGTTGTTGTTGTTGAATCCACCAGCATTCGACATGAACATACTACTTGTTCCTGATCCATATTGATGGTACTGTTGCTGTGAAGATGTAAGTTGGAGCATTGGCGATGCAGTGGAACGATTCGATAGCATCAATGATTGTTGCTGTTGTTCTAAAGGATATTGCTTGTGAACCTTGATAAAACGTTGTCCAAGAGTCTCCTCCAGCTGCTTCTTGTCTTTGCTCCACTCTACGAGAGACGCACGCTGGTAATTCTCATTGAATTCACGTGTTGTCTTTTTCTGTACTTCATGGATGGTGTTCATGATCATCGATTCAAACTCTCCCTTTAAGAACTGATCGATATCTGTAGGAACCTGCTCCACCTCAATGAATGAAGATGGTGTAATATTAGACAATGATTCTCCAATTACATTTGGTTCAATATTATATTTATTAATTGCTTTTCTATATTAATGATATATATATATATATATATAGGTATTATTAATAAATGTAAGTAATGGTTGGTCATTTGTTTATAATTATCAAATATATATATACATACTGATATGAATCATTATATAAAGTTGACTTTGAACTGGTGATATCATTGAGTTGTTTTGAGTATTCACCGATCTCTTTGAGTGATCTGTTTATATTGAAACCTTGAAATGTCGATTGGAATCGGTTAACCAATTGACCGGATTTCTCTGCAAGATCACTAAAGTTAACTTCGGTTGTCATTCTCTCTGATTATTGTTTGAATTCAAATATTCTAGAATATATATATTGATAATCAATACTACTATCTATCAATTCACCAACCACCAAATTAAATTGATTATAATACAGATAAAGAATGATGCTTTTATTGATCACACATCTCAATCGAATTCGAGGTTCACTTCCAGTTTTGAAAAAAAAAAAAAAAATTCAAAAAAAAAAACACATTATTTAAATTTTTAACGAAAAAGTAAAGTAAATTAAAGCGGGAACAATTAAAATTAAAAACAACAGTTATTTATATTTATTATTTGTGAACATGTTCATATAACAATAACAATATTAATAATAATATTATTCAAAAGAAAATGAAAATGTTGATGATGATGATGATGATCTATCTTTGACGATTGGTTGGTTGGTTGGTTGGTTGGTTGGTTGGTTGTTTGTTTGTTTGGTAAACAAAATAAATAAACATGTGCATTGGTAATGTGCACATGTGTCTTTATTTTAAATCTAAACACTTTAACAGACAGATAGACAATTACATTTTCAAAATCTAATACAACATGCACACACCCACAAAAACACATCACACCACCACCACTACTATAATATAATTTTAAATCTGTGGTTGGTTTTACACTTTTACACATACTGATAATTGGGAATGTACTTACAGATTATTATTACTCTATTTTTTTTGTTAATAAAAAATATATATAAGAATAAATCAAATGATTCAAAGAGTCAGAGATATTGGTTATGAATTCCTTTAGATTGGGGATAATTTTTTCTCTCCCTTTTCCAATCATCAGTCAATCGGTCGATTAACATTCACTCGCAGAGTAAAGATACCTTTCCTACCTATTTTTGTCAAATTGGGATATGACATTCAATGTAATCACGATCAAACTATTTTCCATATATGTAAAATACAAATAATATTATAATGGTATTGGTTGATTTTATCTGATATTTGATCAATTAAATTTCCCTTTAGCTCTATTTATTCACTACTTTGGATCTTTTACATTCCATTCAATTCAATTCAATTCATTAAAATTCTTTAAAATTCAAAATATTTATATTCTATTAATTTATTTCTTATTTATTAATTCTCTATTTATTTAATATTTATTATAAAAAAAAAAATGATTAAATCAATTTTAATTTTATGTTTACTCATTGTGGTTAGTGCTTTGGCAACTCCATGCTTCCCTGGATCTGAAACTAAGGATCCAGTCGATATGACTATAGAATTTAATAAAGATAATCATATGTCTAAATTCTCAGGTCAGACATGCTTCCAAAAAAATAACAGAACTCTAAACTATGTCTACAGTGTCAAGAATTCCAAAGTCGACGGTTATTTCAAATTAAAGAGTTCCTATGAAGTTAAGTTTACAACAACCAGAGACAATAAGAAATCAGTGGAGAAATCAGCTACTATCTTACTTCAAATGCCAAATGAAAATAGCTATATTGTCAGTGTGAAAGAACAATAATAATTAATTATAATTAATTATTCAAGACACTTAACATGTTAATTAAATTTTAAAAAGATTTAAAAATAAAACAAATATTATTATTATTTATCAAGGAGTATTGGTTTTATTTAATTCGATTCGATTTGGTTTGGTTTAATTTGATTTTAAATATTTAGACATTGGTGAAATATCCCATTGAAAGAATATTGGCAACTTCGACTTCAGATGTCAAAACCATAGTTTGCAAATCCAAAGCAACGAAATTGAGGTTGTCACCAGCAAAGTTTACATTGGCGTAAATAACATCTTGATGAGCGGCATGCGAGACAATGGTGGCAGCCATCTGTGGTCTGAAGACACCCAATGGCTTAACAGCACCAGTAGCAATATCAATTTGAACGTAGTCGTCACCAACATTGTTGGCAGCATCGCTAAACTTGGCAGCTCCAATTAAAATATCCATAGATGGTACATATAATAAATTGAATGGTCCACCAATGAAATCTGAAAAAAGATAACAAAAAGTTTAATAAATACATCATTCCTAAAAAAAAACAATATATGCTATTATTACTTACTGCTTGGGAATGAAAGTTCAACACTGTCTTGTAATTGTCCGGAACGAGTATCGTAGCTGTTCATGCTGATCGATGATGCACCCAACGATCCATAGACAAAGAAATAGGAGTGGTTATATGGTGAGAGACCAGATGAAATGTAGACACCTTGCACGGTATCATAGACATCGTAGGAAGCGGATGCAGGATCCATTTCTCCGACCATCCAAGTGTTGTTTTGTGCTCCAGCGAGGACACACTTCAATGAATTGACATCACTGTCGTACTTGAGACCGTATGGAGTAGCTCCTGGTGCAATATCGGCAAAGTAAATAACTTTATTGGTTGCGACATTAACAGTAACTAAAAATTTGCTCTAAATATTTATAAATAACGAAACAAATTTTGTTTAAAAATAACAACATTATTAATATTAAGAAAAAATAAACAGAGTATTTTTTTTTGTTCCTTTAATTATTTAAACATACATTGGTAGTTGGATAATTTAATACAAAAGTGAATGAACTTGTGAAGTTGTTCATGGCAGAGTTACTTGGAATCCAGTTATTGAATGATGGAAACTGTAATTTCATTGTAACATCACCTGATATTTATAGATAGATAAAGTTATATTAGAATAAGATATTTACATCGATGATATATTTATTATTAATTTTAAAAATAGTTGTTTAAATACCTGAACTTGTGTCGACTTGACCAAAGTTGGCCTCTCCGTTTTGATCCCAAATACCATAGAGGTTAGCATTAACCAAGATAATGGAACAAAGTACAATAAATAAAGTTGATAAGTATTTCATTTTTAAATATATATCTATAATAATATGATGTGTGTATCAGATGATTTAATTATAAAAAAAATGCTATTAAAATTATTATTGGTGACGGATTCTATTGGCGCTTTTCACGAAAATTAAATAAACAAAAATTAAAATAAAATCAAATTAGGTCCACCACTAATAAGATTGTACACAAAAATATCAAACCAAAATTAAAAAAAACACAAAAAACCTCATCAATCTTTGGAATTTTTTGATTTTTTGATTTTTTGATATTTTTTTTTTCTTTTTTTTTTTTTTTTTTTGGTATCGGGAGTTTTTATTTTATTTTTTTGCAAATTTAAATGAATATGTGTACGAAATCAAATACATAATTACAATGTAATAGATGTTATTTTGATAAACACATATAGCTTAATCTAAGATTTTATTATTTTTTTGACAAAATTGATAGTTTATTTTTTATTTTTTATTTTTTTTTTTATAAAATAAAAATAAAAATTTGTATAAAAATGTTTGATTTTGTGCATTTTTTTGTTGATTCATTTCTTGCAAGAAAACGAGTTTGGTAAATAAAGTAATATATAATAGTTGTTTGAAAATGGCAATTGCAGATATCATTCACAAAACAATCACTGGTACATTGGTGTTGGTCACTGTTGTTGGTATTGGATATATTGGTATTGGTACTGCCGATGTCATGGAAAGAAGAAAGGTAAACAAAACTCAATCACTCAATTAATCAATCAATCAATCAATCTTGAAAGACATATTAAAATTGATAAGATAGAGAACAAACTGATAACTAACTAACTAACGTTCATTATTATTAATATAAATATTGTATAATGTTTAATTAATTCATTTAGAAACGTGCTGAACTACAAGAGAAACAAGTAAATGAATTTTTTGATCAACAAATAAAGTTAAAACAACAACAACAAGCAGCAAAGAAACAAGAAGAAGATGATTAATATTTGATTATCGTTCTTAATATATAATAATAATAATAATAATAGACACATTGTAGATATAAAAAATAAATACATATTAATTTATAATCAAAATTTTAAACAGAGATGCTATTTTTGCATCGATTAAACATGTATCAACAAATTTGAAAAACAAAAGTTGAATTGGTGTTGATTATAACAACACAATCACTGTATACAGTAATAATTATTTCCTTTTTTATATAAATCATATGATTTGGTGAGACATCAACACCATGTTCCATTTAATATAATCAGCATCAAAATTTTATTTTTTTTTTAAATTGATTTTTATTTCAAAAAATATCATGGATTATTAATTAACAACAACAACCAAATCATTTTTAAGTGTGTTTTTGATGTTCCTTTGTTCATTTTTTAATTTTACTGATAGATAGCAAAGATATATATATTAACAACAAGTTTATTATAGTGATCACCATTTATTTATTTGCAATATTATAAATAAAGATAATCTCAATATAATAAATATGAAGATGACAGGAAGTAGTAGAAAAAAAGTGAGAACTGGCGGTGGTTTGGTGAAAACAGTCATTTTCAGAGTGTTACTGTTGGTTCTCAGTATCATTGTTTATAATACTGTTATGTTCACTTCGAAACAACCAAATGTAGAGTTGTTGGAGAAAGATCATATCGATTCCTATTCGGCTTTGTCGGCGCGACAGCTGGCAGCACGTCTCTCCGATGCCATCAAATTCAAGACTGTCTCCTACAACAATCCAAACGATATCGAGTACGACGAGTTTATCAAACTGCATCGATACTTGGAGCAGACATTCCCAAAGACATTCAAATACCTTGAGGTAGAGGTCGTCAATAAATATTCACTGCTTCTGAAATGGCAAGGAAGCGACCGTGATTTGAAACCGGTCATGCTCGCTGGACACATGGATGTCGTTCCAATCACGAATCACGAGCACTGGACACATCCACCATTCGAAGGTGTGCTGGACGACCAGTATATCTGGGGTCGTGGATCGATGGACGACAAACTGGTTGTCATGGGAGTGTTGGAGGCAGTCGAGGATATGATTACACAGGGATTCCGTCCACAGCGAACATTGTATCTCGCATTCGGACACGACGAGGAACTGGGTGGTGCGAATGGCGCCAAACACATAGCACAACTTCTCATGTCGCGAAACGTTCAGTTTGAGTATATCCTCGATGAAGGTTTGCTCATTATTACACCACCGGTACTGCCCGGTGTCGACAAACCGATTGCCACCGTTGGAAATGCAGAGAAGGGATTCCTCACGGTCGAGCTGACGGTGACAACCGTAGGTGGCCATTCGTCAATGCCACCCAAGAACACAGCGATTGGAATTCTCTCATCGGCAATCGCCAAACTCGAAGCCAACCCAATGAAGTCAAACTTCAAAGAGGTGGCAAATCTATTGGATTTCGTTGGACGTGAAGCATCGCTACTCTACAGAATTATTTTCTCGAACCTCTGGTTGTTCAGACCAATCATTTCAATGTCAATGTCCAACAAACCAAGTTTAGATTCACTTCAAAGGTATTTTTATTTCAACATTATTATTATCTTCTAATGATGATGATGATGATCATTTTTCAATATTTAATTAATCTAATTTCATCTTTTATATTGTATGACTTCTCAGAACAACAACAGCAGTTACAATGTTTAACAGTGGAACTAAACCAAATGTTTTACCATATACAGCAAATGCAACATTAAACTTTAGAATTTCACCATCAAATAATATTCAAGATGTATTGGATCATATTAGAAATACAATTCAAGATGATAGAAGTAAGCAATAATAATAATAATGGAGAATTTCAAATCGATATTAATTAGTTTGTCAAACACTTTGTTTTTTTTATAGTTCAAATTGTTGAAATTGAATCAACAGAACCAGCACCAGTTTCACCAACAGATTCAGGCTCATTTAGATTATTACAATCAACTATTTTACAAGAATTCCCAAATATCATTGTTGCACCAGCTGTAATGGTAGCCAACACTGATACTAGATGGTATTGGGATTTAAGGTAACTACGAATTGTTTTTTTTTTAATTTTAATTCAGGTTTTATTTTCAACAAAGCATATTAATTAATTTATGAATTATTATTATAGTCCAAATATTTATAGATTCTGTCCACAAATATTATCAAACAGTGATTTAACAAGATTCCATGGTATAGATGAAAGACTATCAATCGATAATTATAGACAGGTGGTCGACTTTTATTATCATCTCATTAGAAATGGTGATGGTAAATTACAATAGACATTATTGAATATTAAATAAATATAATATTTATTATGGTTAAGTTAATAATACAGAGTTCTCAGTTATTAAAAAACATATACAATATTAATAATACTATTGTATTTATCGATTTATTTATCTACTAATATTATTATAATTATTGGTAAGATTGTCAATTGTAATGATGGATAGAAAATATTGTGTGAATTGTAATGTTATATATATAGTTTTGTTGTTTTTAATTTGTTGTTATTATTATTATTAAAATTGTATTATTATTATTAAACATTTAAAAATTAATTTGGTAAAGTTTAAGCTAATAAAACAGCTGATAAAATGGAAATGAGGATCAATAAAATAATTGGAGCATTCTTGGTGGATGACGATGGCTTTGGTGGTTCATAGTAGGCACGGACTGTGATCTTACCAATGTAGACATCTGCCTGGTTGGTCGATGATACCAATTGAATTCCATCGTATTTAACATTCTTTGGGAGTGTCGAGAGGTCAATGATTGCCTTGTACCAACTGCCAGCTGGAATTGGTTTATTATCCATAAACTGAGAGAGTGGATAGTTTTCTTTGATCTCTGCAGTGTTGTCGGAATTCAAGCTGACCAAATTGAAGGTAAGCTCTTGCTTACCGACTTGTCCACCGTGGAATACCATTTCGACTTGTTTGTGGACGTCGGTACTGATACATCCCCAACATCTCAAGTAGAACAATTTGTCTTTGGTTGGGGTGTACTGGATAGAGTATTCAGAGTTTTGATAGACTGGATATGTTACATTTGGTAAGACGAGTGCACTCGACCAATCGTCGACCCAATGAGTCATCTTATCGTCAAACATATAGAAGGTGTCAGAGTACCATGGAGTATCACCATTGTCAATGGTTTGCAAATACTTCTTGTAACCTTCACCGTACTCAGTGGCGTCACCATCGTAACTGGTCAACAACGATGGACCCGAACAATTGGCTACAATCCATGACCAAGCGAAATAGTGGAGATCATTCTTGTCAGCATAATGTAAAAAGTCTGTCAAGAAATCGGATTTACAATCTTTTTGTCCAGTCTCTGTTGCTACAACTGGATACTTTGAGAATACTGGTCTCAAGTAGGTGTCCCAACAACCTTGTGCACGACAAAAGTTGAAATCATAGGAATGTACAGATGCTCCCAATTGTCCTAATGATTATTTTAAATTAAATGTAATTAGTATAAACCTTGATAGCTTTGTATTTAATTGTTTTTCCTACCTTCTGGATCACTTGGAATATATTCTAAAAAGTGAGTGAGGGAAGTGGCATATTGAATACCGGCGAGGAGGATAATATTCTTGGAACCGGCGGAACGCACGGCATTGACGAGATCTTGCATACCGGCGACTGGATAGTTGATCTCTGGACCACAGGTATCACCATCTCTCCAACATTTCCAGGCATTGACGTTGTCCCAGGTATTTCCATATGGATATGGCTCGTTGTAGAGGTCAAAGAGAACTCGAGAGTTGTCCTTGAATGCCATGGCAACCGATTTCCAAAAGGCAGCACTGTTCACTTTGTTTGGCATTGGAATTTGTCGGGTAGCTAGGATGGTTCCACCGTTACCACCTGCCCAATGGAGATCGAGTAGCACTGCCATGTTCATGTCAGTGACAGTGTTAACGTAGTCGATGATCGCTTTACGATAGGCACTACCGAAATACTTGGATTCCTTATCGTGTAGACCCAACCAACAGTCTTCGTTGAGCGGCAAACGGATAGCGTTGATACCCCAGTCTTTCATGACATTGGTGTTGTCTTTGTCGAATGGACCATTGAAAATCTTTTGGTATTGAACACAGGAATACTCTGTACCTTCACGATTGACACCACGCAAACGAACCAATTCACCGTTTTTATTGTGGATTTCATTTCCAACTACCTTCATACCCTCCAACGAGGTTTCAGCTGCCACCAAACTGATGATGGTGGCGAAACAATAAATCAAAATTAAATCTTTGATTTTCATAATTTTTTTATTTAAAAAAAAAATAATAATAAAAAAACTTTATATAAAATATATAGAGATTTTAAATAATAATAAATTTATATAATATTATTATATAAAAGTTGGATAAATAATAATAATATATAGAAATAAATATATAAGATCGAGTTTTATATATATAAAATCAATTATTTATCTTCCTGAAAAAATATAAAATAAAGATGGATAATTGATGAATTGATTGATTTGATGGATGAATGGAAGATAGATAATTGAGATGATTTTAAAAATTAAAATAGTCTTGGATATTTATATTCCAAATTTAATTTATATTAAAATATAAATTATTTTTATTTGTAATTTTTAAATAAAACAATAACAATCTCTATAAAGTGTGTTTTTTTTAAAATTAAAAAAATACTTTTATAGAAATAATAATGTTTAGGATGGTGTATTGGAATATATATATAGTTATTTGTTTAATTATTTTATATGTGTTATATGTGTGGTAGTGTTGTTTTTTGATTTTTGTGTGAATTGTGAATTGTGGATGGTGTAAGTATGGATTGATTTGATTGAAAAAAAAACTACTATATTGATATAAATTTTATGGATATGATAATGATGATGATGATGATGGTGATGTTGTTGTTGTTTTGTAAGAGTGTGTTGTGCGTTTAGATGGATGGACAGATAGATAGACACCGACTTATCAATACTATTATTATATTTGAGAAGTTGTAGATGGTGTGTGTGATGTATGATGTGTTGTTTTTTTGTCTGACCGTCAGTGTTTTTGTTTTTCAATACAATAAAAAGTTTATATATGTATATATATATGTTGATATGTTGTCAAGTGGTGTTGAGATGTAGTTGTTGACAACACTCGGGTTTGAATAAGACAATCTATAAAAGTACTTTGTCTTTGATAAAATGTGTTTGTTCGTGTTTGTTGTTTTATGATTGATTTAATATTCAACAGAACAAAACAAAAATAAATGAATAGTAGTAGAAATTTTTAGATTGATTTCATATCAATCTTTTGAATTACTTCTTATAAATTTAATTATTTGTTTTATTTATATATATTTATGCTAGTTGTTTGTTTTTTGATTGTTAATTGTTCATTCTCAACTGTATATTTATATACAAGCATGCTCCATCTTTTTGCTTTAATTAAAACATATTTTAATTTAAAATTATAATTATTATATCAATCAACCATTTACCACCATTATTATTATTTTTTTAATTGATTGTATGTTGTGTGTGGTTTAGGTGTTGCTGCAGCTATAAATGAGGTGAGGGTGATTGATTTGGCTGGTTTTTTAATAAATTGATTGATTATGTTTACAATGATTATTACATGTTGCAAAAATGTCAAAGGGTGTTGTTATACTCTACTATAGTATTTCTCATATGACATGAATTCACTTAAACACACATAAAACGCCTATTTATATATATTTGTGGGTGGTGGTTGTGGTTATAATAAATGTGTTAAACTTCTTAAAAATATGAAGAATAATGTTGAATAGATGTCGACATTTTTGATTGTAATGTAAATGACAAAAGAAATAAAATGAATGCCTAAATAGTAGACTAATCAAAATGATATTAATTTTTTCAAAAAAGGAAAAAAATTTATGATTTTTTGGTACCAAAAAATTTCAAATAATAAAAAGAATGTAAGTATATTGGTTGGTACATCCACAAAACATAGAAAAATAATAGAAAAGGAACCTTTTTAGAATTTCCCAAAAAAGGTTATTAATTATTATTTTTATGATTTTATTTGATTTTATCTTTTAAAGATAAAGATCTTTTAATTGTTAGTTTTAAGTAATTTATAAATATTTACCAAGATGTAATAGTTTTACTATATCGATTCATTCAGAAATCAGACCAAGACTTAAACTTATTGAACAAATCAATTTTATATTTAAAATTGTAAAAAATCGTGGTTTATTTTTTAAAATCCCAATGTTTGATCAACCAAAAAAAAAAAGGGCAATCAAATTTAATCAAACTGTAAAAGTAAATTTTATTCCTATTTTTAGTTTATAAATATATAATATAAAAATGTTTGCCAATGCATGTGCAATGGGTGAATCACTCAAAGTTGAGGATCTAATCAAATCAAATCCAAATTTGAATGTAAATGAACAAGATTCAAGTAGTTATCATCTAAAATATTATTATTATTGGTTAGCTTTTAGATTTTTAATAGTAGAATGTATTAATAATCAATCTAATACCAATTGATCGATCAACTACATAAAGGGGGTTTAACACCAATACATTTAGCTGCAAGTCTTGGTCATCTCGATGTAGTAACCGTTTTGGTTAAAGTTGGAAAGGCTCGTTTGGATCAGTCCGATCGTAGTGATAGTACACCGTTGTTCAAAGCAGCCGCAGCCGGTCACGTTGAGATCGTTGACTTTCTCGTCAAGTCGGGTGCACGTGTCAACCACCAAGATGCCGACCACGCAACCCCGCTGTTTGTGACATGCGATGCAGTCTCTACGCTGGCAGCACAGCAACATTCCAACGATGGCATCAGTAAGGCGCCAAGCGGATTGTCTGCCTATCTCCAGATTGTACGTTTGCTCCTCGACGCGAAAGCCAACGTTAGCATTCGTAACAAGTCGGCAAAGACACCGTTGATGATGGCAGTTCGCTCGAAACAACCACAACTCGTTCAACTACTCTTGCAAGCAGGTGCATTGGTTGACGACAAAGATTCTCTTGGAATATCAGTTAGAGAGTATGCAGACAACGATAGGATCATCTTAGCATTACTAAATGGTGAACATGTAGATTTAAGCTCAACAACGAGTAAAACATCACCAACAGCGACAAGCAAACCAGCGACTTCTTCATCATCAACAAGTGCATCTTCTGGTGTCAGACCAACCAATTGCACAAAATGCTCAGCATCATTAGGAGCAACAACTAAATTCTGCTCGAAATGCGGAACTAAAGTGTAAAGTAAAGTGTATCATTAGAATATCATCAACAATATTAAAAACAAATAACAATTAACAAATAACAAAAAACAAAACAAAAAACAATAATAGCAACAATAAATAACTAAATTGTATTATATATGAAGTTCATTCGTTAAAACACAAACAAAACATAGCAGATGAATTTTTAAACGGTAAAAAAACAAAATATATATTTGAATTTTTTCAGATTTAATTGAATAGTTGTGATTAATTAAGTTTTATTTTCTTGATATTTGTTTATTTATTTATTATGTAGCTATTTTTTGATATACTTTGATCATAATAATAATATATAATAATAATAAATGTATAGAAATAAAGTAGCTTGTGATATTGTTAAAGAGAATTTTGGTGAAGATGTTGAGGTATGTTTGTTTTAGATGTTTATTCATTCTATTTAGAGAATGGTTAATAGATACTTACTAACTATAATATTACAACTATTACTACTACACTATTATTTACTTTTTTGATGTTTGTTTTCTATAGAAAGTATATAGATTGTTGGTGACTCGTGGAAAGTCGACTATTAGGAATATGGTACAGGGAACGGAAATGAAAACGAAACGTGTTCGTCAATGTTTGTTTGTTCTGATTCAACATAATCTGGTGGATTACGAAGAGTACTTGATGCCAAAGGAGAAGAAACCAGGCACTCCAGCAAAGATACCAACCACCGCACAGCTACAACAGGCACCGACACTCGACGATCTCTCTGACTCGCTCTATAGCGCCAACGTCTCATACGCCATTCATCGTCTGCGTTTCACCAAGTACATTGTTTTCATTCGTGAGAAACTCGGTGATGCAGCCGCTATATTGCTGGAGGAACTGATGGATAACGGACGTCTCACAATGGAGGCAGTTGTCAACCAGTCGGCAACCTACACCAAGCAGCGTACCGGTAACTTTGACGACGATCTCAATCGTCAGTTCGAAGAGGTATTCTCACAGCTCGTCGTTGAACACTTTATCATGAAGGCACCCAATCCCAAGCCGATTCTCGGTGACGAAGATGAAATCAAGAATGCCGCCAAAGACGCCAAGAAGGCGAGCACCACACTCTCCAAGCAGCAACAGCAGCTGCTTCACGATCCATTCGCACTGCCTTCGTCTCTCCTCAAAAAGACGAAGCCAGCCGATACCAATATCATTTCGAATCGACCGGTCGCTATCACACCAGAGGAAGATCCACGAAGAAAGAAGGGCGCCGCAGGTGGATTGGCGTCAAAGACGACAATGAAGACGACTTCGTCGACCAAAGCAACTTCAAAGTCGGGTGCCGTCAGAAAGAGAAAGGTCGACGACGATGAGGATGACGAGTCGCTACCGGATGTACTGTTGGTTTCAGAGTCGGCACCGGTCGATATACCGAACGATGGCGACCTCCAACCCTGGAAGAGAAGAGCCGTCGAGAATGTCTACAATGTAGTGTCGTCGGAGGAGCAGAATCAAGCGTTGCAATCGGAGGAAAAGAAGATATTGTGGCGTATCAACTACGATCAGTTCATCATTGAATTCAAACTGCTCGCCTGCTATGAATTTGTACAGAGTAAACTCAACCATCAGGCAGCGCTCATCTTCAACGCAATGGTCAACATCTGCAAGAAATCAATCAAATTGAATCAAGAGAACAATACCTCATCGATTTTCACAGAGGACATCCTCAAAGAGTACAACAAAAACGTCGTCGACGAATCCGACCGTATCGATGGTAAGATTCTTGACAACTACCTACCACTGATGCAGGCCACAAGACCAAGTATCATCACAAGAATGCAATCTCAATCGAAATCATCTTTAGCAGATGGAGGTGGTGTTTATCAAGTTAGTAAGTTATTTTTAATAATATTGAATTAACCACCGGTTTGTTCGCTCATTTAACTAAAACTATTATTGTTATCGATTAGATATTGGTAATATTTCAGCAGTTTTAAAACAAAAGATGGTAGAATCGATTATTAGACAAAAGTATTCAGAGAGTGGATTGAGAGTTTTCAAGTTGTTGTTGATCAAAAAGCTTTTGGAACCAAAACAGATTGCAGATTGTGTGATGATTCCTTTGAAGGATGCGAAAACACTTTTATTCAAGATGATGGAGCAATCGATTATAAAGTTACAGGAGGTTCCACGTTCGTCCGATCATTTCGCAGCCAGAACATTCTACTTGTTCTTTGTGGACTATCCCAATGTCTCACAGATGCTGATCGACGACATCTACAAGGCAGTCTACAACTGTAGAGAACGTCTGCGTAGTGAACTCCAACCACACGAAGACATGGTCAAGAAGATGGAGACCATTCCGGAGGAGCAACTCTCGAACGATCAGACCAAACTACTTCGTAAGGTTCAAAGAATGACAGAGATCCTTGAAACCATGGTAATGAACTTGGATAATGATTTATTAATTTTAAGTAGTTTCTAGCATCGTTTGTTTCTTTTTGAAAATAAAAAAAAATCAATCAATCAAAAACATCTTTTATTCTAATTTATTTTGTTGATTAATTGCAATCCAACTTCTTCCTGTAATCCACCAGAGTCTATGAACCTTTTGTTTCTTTCCATCCTCCTCTTCCTGTCTCTTTAATTTTTCAAACAATGTCGCATAGAAATTAGCTAGCTCCAGTGATTTCGGTACACCTAAACCTTCGAAATGCATTGTATATAAATTGGTAATGGCCGATAGATTCTTTGGCTAGAAAGAAATGGAAAAATAAATATTATTATTAATATGTACATATTTCCAAACCAAAATTAATTAATTCATCAAGAATTAATTCTCAACCAGGTGTTCACAACTTACATTTAATTGATATGCATTTTGATAACAATAGAAAGCAGTTTCATAACTAATGTCAGTGCCATAACCATTGTAGTACATTACACCTTGGTTGACTGCTGCATCTGAATTTCCAAGTGCAGCGGCCTCTGTAAAATATGTGAGTGCTTTCTTGTAGTTCTGTGGGTATTCCGTTGGCTCCATTCCACCAAAGTATAGTTCACCCATACACAGAATAGCGATAGGGTCACGCATCTCCACTGCCATATTCAAATAGCGATAGAATATCTCTTTGTTCTCCTCACGATACATCAGAGCTAACATTGTCGCTGCTTTTGCACTGCCTTGCTCCGCTGCTCTAACCAACATACTGAATCCAACCTTTTGAATAGGCTGCTTCTCTGCACCCAAGAAAAACATACCCAACCAATACGATGAATCGGAATGACCACGTGATGATGCAGTATCGAAATATTGATAGAATTTATCCAACATTAATTTCTAAAGAAAAAAAAACCAATCAATAAGTATTTAGATAACAAACTAAATATTTTGTTTAATATAACCACTTACATATTGATCTTGATTCTTTAATAGATTTTCATTCAATAATTGATGTTCAAATTCATTGTAGAAATGCAATCCAAGTTGATGCATTGCATTCAGATCTAAATGTTCATTTCCTGCTTTTTCCAACCAATATAAACCTTTTTCAACTTTTTTATCTATTCCATATTTTCCTTGTAATAAAATTAATCCCAACTGAATAGAATTGATAGAAATAGAAAATGTTAATAAAAATTATATAGGTATTTTCTATCAATTAAATATATATATATAGTTTACTGTTAATTGTGCATGTGGATACTCTTGAATGGCACTTAGGGTCAACCATCTCAAACCTTCTTTTTTACGCTCTGCTTCACGTCTTTCTGCTGCTTCGAATTCACCAGACTCTTTCATTTTAATGACACGTTTGCGCTCTTCGATCAACCATTTTCTATAGTCGAAATCTGCTGCGTCTGCACTGGATACCCAACCATTTCCTAGAATGGTACCACCGTCTTGTTTGTTGCTAGATTCGCTTGGTTGAGAGATCGTTGGAAATACCGGTTGGAAAACACCGATAGCCGATCCCATCAGATATGACATTCCCAATGCATATTGTCCCTCTGCCAGGTCGTGGTCAGCAGCACGCTTGAACCAATACAATGCCTTCTCAGCATCGCGTGGCACAACGATGCCCTGTGAGTAGAAAGTTCCCATATGAAAATCGCTCAGTGATTCATTCATCTTTAAATCTCGCTCATACTGTGTCAATCTGTCTTTCTCTGCTTTTGTCAATGAACACTCTAGTTCTCTTATCTTTTCCAGTAATCCACTCAATAAAACAGTCGATTTTTCATTTGTAAAAGTTGAAAAATTATTATTATTGGAATTTGTAAAAGTTGTTGTTGTTGTTGTTGTTGTACTTGTTGTGTTTATTGGGTTTGTTGAAGTTGTGTTGGTAGTATTAGTGGATGATGATGATGATGATGATGCTGTTGCTGAAGTAGTTGACATTGATCTATTCAGTAAAGACCATTTCAAATGAGAGGTAATCGATTGACTATTGATACTATTGAAATTATTTACAATGTTTCCATTGAATTTTATATTACTATAGTTATTATTGTTATTGTTTATATTTTTATAAATATCTATTGATACATGAACATTTGTATTACTAAAGTTATGGTAACCATTATTGGTGTTGTTTCCATTGGCATTTGAGCTATTTATATTGACTCCACCATGTTGTTGATATGATTTCGAGGAGGATGAGCTGGTTGGATATGGTGAAGATGATTTAGACAACCATGCAGATCTCCTTATGATATTGTTAAACATATTCGATTAATATATATAAATGTGATCACTGACAAACAATCAATTTCAAAAAAAAAAAAACAAAAAAAGACTGGGTGACCCTTTAAAAATTCAATCATAACAAGTAAGCATTATTTTGCAAAAAAATCGTCATTTTTTTGTTTTAGAAAGAAAAAAAAACTTGCAATTTGTGAACTTTCACGAAAAAAAAAAACAAAATAAAATATAAAAAATGATTATTCCTTTGAACTTTTTTTAATATTCCAATGAATACAAATGATATTTTTAGAAAATAATAGTATTAAATAATAGGCAACAATAATAGAATACAATACAAAGAAATACAAAAACTTTGATAAAACATACAGTAGTAGGTACACTATTTTAATATATTTTGTTCAAAACAAAAACAATATTAAAAAGAAAATTGACACTAAAAAGTAAGAAGAAGTCTTTTCTTTTTATTAAATTGGAGCACAATGAACAGTCAGTTCGTTGTTCATTAAATCTTGTCACACTTTATTTATATTCAAAAACAGAGAATTAATCTCTCATTTAAATTTCTAAAAACACACATTTTTTTCAATCCATTTTTAACATTTTATCTTGAATTTTAAAGTTGAAATTTCTCACCAACAAACAAAGAAAATTTAACAAATAAACAAAACATTATTATTGTTTTTCAATATTTCCATTGAAATTTACTTAAACACAATAACATAAAGAAATAAATATCATATTTTCTTTTTTTAGAACCAACATTCAATCATTACATACATAAACAAAACAAAAAAAATAAAATAAAATAAATAAGCAAAGGTAAAACAAATAAGATGTGAAATAATTTATTTATTTTATTTATTTATTACCACATTCGAAAAGATTTGATCAATTAACACAACACCACCACTGACTGTCAAATAATATTTGACATTCATTTAATTAAACTTCGTGGTAGATAATAATAATTAATCAGATTCACTATTCAATATACAATTGAATAGTATATGTTTTTATTTTCTCGAATATTAAAGAAATATAATAGATAATCATTTTGATATAGAGATTTATTTTCGAGAACATAAAGAGATAGATAGTAACCATTAATATATTTTGAAAGATATTTTTGGGCGCATTTATTTTTTTTTTTCTATTTTATTTTTTTTGCATTGCGCTTTCTTTGCTCTTTTTTTATTACTATTTTTTTAGTTTTGTTTAGTTTTATCGATTCAAATGAATTAATGACCTATTAAACAACAACAACATCATCAAATTTTATTATATAATAAAACAAGCTTTTATTAACACTGTAGTATTTTTATTACAATTTATTAGTCTAAGATTATAAAAATTAAACTTTAGTTACAGTGACAAACAATAACAACAAACAACAAAACTACCTTATCAAGAGACACAATAACAAAGTAATAAATAATAGTAGTAATAAGAAAAGAATAGTTAGTCGTGAAGCTTTAGGTTTAAAAGATAAAGTTTAAATTAGAGATAACTATATAAAAGAGAGAGAGAGAGAAAAAATATAATAAAAGAGAAATAGTTGATAGATTGATAAAGATTAGCTTAGTAAATAAAAAGATGGGAAGTGGTACATATCTGCAGATATCATTGCCTGTATGTCCATCAGGGACAGTACTCAATAAATATCTTGGATATCCATCGATCACAATTATATTTGCAACTTTGGCACTGGCGTGTTTCATCTTTGCTATCATCATTGCATTCAAATACAACAGTGTAGCTGTTTTTCACAAAAAGATTAGAACTCAAACCATTTCAAACACAATTTGGATTTTATATTATCTCACTTTAGGTCTCAGGTAATGTTACTACCATCACTATCAATCTTCTAAATGATAAATAGACAAACATAATACTAATTTATTCAACTTGTTGTACATAACAATAACGACTAATCGAAAACAACAGAGGATCTGCAAATACAATTAGATATGCAATGCAAAAAGATAAAGAAGAAGACATTGAGAGAGTGTTCTTTGTTGCGAGTCTGACGTTGAATGGATTTACAGCGTTGACACTTACACTGGCTTTGAATCATCAAAGAAAATACAGATCGTCGTCATCGCAGAAGCAACCATACAAAGAGTCGGATCCTCTCATTTCACCGGATAGCAACCAATCGACTCGACTGAAATCTATCATCAAGCGAAACTTCTCATGGTCAGAAGCTGCCTTCCTTTTCTTTTTCATTTGTTTCTTAACTTTTCTATATGTTGAAATTGTGTAAGTATTGGTAATTGCAATATGACAATAACAATTTTATTAATATTCATCTCATTGTTTTTGCTACTACGATATAATATTCATATATATAAATAATGTTGTTAGTGAGGAAAATGCAATTTTCTATTATATTTTAATTGGATTCTCTATATTACAACATTTGCCAGTTATGGCATTGGCAATTATGATAGCATTCACAAGGAACAACGGTGAGGGACCGACCACCAAGAGTAGAGTATTCTTGTTGTTAGGTGCACTCTTCAATCTCTGTAATTATCTGCCATTGTTTGTTTGGTCAAAGTTTTTGCCGGGTGGATGTCCCTTGTATATCTTTAGTTTTGTTGACATCGTCCAACTCTCTGACTTTGCATCGCTGTTATTCTTCTTTTTGTTCTTGCGTTCCGAATACATTAGAAACGTCGAAGAATGTATATGGACTGCCGTCAGTCAAATTCAAGTAAGTAACAATACACCTTAACAACCAATTAGCATTGTAACTAACTAACATTATCACCATCTCTATCAATTCAATTCAATTCAATTCAATATCGTATAGGATACATTTGATTTTAGATTATTTTAAAACAACACAACTACAACAACAACAACATTACAATTATAAAAGAAAGAACAAACTAGCCAACACTACAATATTATTTTTTTAATATTTTTATTTTTTCCAAAGTGACATCGATGTCATATTCAAAACTAGTATCAGATTAATAATTATACTATGACAGCTTTCATTTATTAAATTTCAAATTCAATCATCAACAACAACAACAACAATATAATTGCTCAACAATACCATCTTTTCATATATTCCTGTACCTTCTAAATTTCATTTACATGAAAAAATAATTAAAAATAAAAAATATATAAAAATCATAAAAAAAAAAGAAGTTAACCTGTAAATATTGATAAATTGATATGTCATATAGTTGGTTAACCAAACATCAAATAATTAGAACAAACAGATACAATGTACTGAGGTGGCATTCATTGAGTCACACTTTTCAGAAAGAAAAAAAAAAAATTGTTTTAAAAAAAAAATATTCAAATGAACTTTTGTTGTTGATCATCAAAAAAAGAAGTCAAAATAAAATTAAAAAAAATAAAAAACTTTATAAATTATCATTCATTCATTCATATCATTATTTATATTAACTATAATATAGATTCTAGAGTAGATTAAGTTAAGAAGTTTGAATTGATTGCTGCTGTATTAACTAACATAAATACAACACTGTTCAGTTCTTTAATCAATCAATCAATCAACATCAACTTCACTCATAACATATAGTTTAGATCCATTTAGTTTATTTAGAATAGAATAGAATAGAATAGAATAGATATAACATTTAGATTGTTTGTTAGATAATAATATTGTATTATAGTATAGAGAGAGGATATAGAAAAAGAAAAAAAAATGTTATATAAATATGAAACAAAAAGTAATAGAGTAAAAGGACTTAGTTTCCATCCAACACGTCCATGGATTCTTGCAAGTCTTCACTCTGGTGCTATTCATCTCTATGACTATCGTATTAAAACACTTTTGGAAAAGTTTGAAGAACATGATGGTATGTTGATTAAAGTTGATAATAATGATGATGATGATTGTGATGATTTTTGCTGAAATGTTGAACACTTTCAATCTAATCTATAACAACAATAATAATAAAATTTTATAGGTCCTGTTAGAGGTGTAAATTTCCATATGACTCAACCATTGTTTGTTTCCGGTGGTGATGACTATAAGATTAAAGTTTGGAATTATAAACAAAGACGTTGTTTGTTCACATTGAAGGGACACAAGGATTATATTAGAACTGTGGAGTTCCATCGCGAGGCACCTTGGATCCTCTCGGCATCGGACGACCAAGTCATTCGTATTTGGAACTGGCAATCGCGTACCTGCATCGCCGAGTTGAATGGCCACAATCATTATGTGATGTGCGCCAGTTTCCATCCAAAGGACGACCTGATCGTTTCCGCATCGCTCGATCAGACCATCAGAATCTGGGATATCTCTGGTCTCAAGAAGAAGACTACCACCATCAAGCCATACCCACAGAACGACACCATGCGTCTTCAAGAGGAGATCTTTGGTACCGACGTCGTCGTGAAGTTGTCGCTCGAGGGACACGACCGTGGTGTCAACTGGGCCGCTTTCCATCCCACTCAACCATACATCGTTTCGGCATCGGACGACCACCAAGTCAAGCTCTGGAAGATGAACGACAACGTCGACTCGTTCCGTGGTCATTTCAACAATGTTTCGTGTGCTCTGTTCCACCCACGTCAAGACCTGATCATCTCTGACTCTGAGGACAAGACAATCCGTGTCTGGGACATGGCCAAGAAGACAACCATCCAGACGATCCGTCGTGAACACGATCGTTTCTGGACGCTTGCAAGTCATCCCAACGCCAATTTGTTTGCCGCCGGTCACGATTCCGGTATGATCGTCTTCAAGTTGGAGCGTGAACGTCCAACCTTTGTATTGAACGGAACCGACGGTATCTTCTACCTCAAGAAGAAACACTTCAACTCCTACGACTTTTCCACTGGTCGTTCCGTTGTTTTGTTCAACATCTCCAAGATTCCATCGAACAATGGAACCACTGTGATGAGCTACAACGCTGCCGAGCGTTCTGTCTTGGTGTCGTCGGATGCCGACGCCGGAACCTACCACCTCTATCGTATTCCAACACGTGACACCAACCAAGTAGACACCAAGAAGGGAACTGGTGCCGCTGCCATCTTTGTCGGATCGAACCGTTTCGCTGTGCTCGACAAGGGTAACAACATTGTCATCAAGGATCTCAACAACGAGGAAGTCAAGAGATTCCAACCGGCTCAGACAGTGGAATGGCTCTTCCCAGCACCCGTTGGACACATCCTTGTGATGACCGACGAGAAAATGATTCTCTATGACATCCAACAGAAGAATCCAGTCGCCGAGATTGCAGTTCCATCGATCCGTTACGTTGTTTGGTCAAAGGATTTCAGCTATGTCGCTATGATGGGTCGTGACTCTATCATTCTCGCCAACCGTCGTCTCGAACAGATCTGTGTCGTCGGTGAGAGTGTACTTCCAAAGTCTGGTGTCTGGGACGAACACGGTGTCTTTATCTACACCACCTCCAACCACTTGAAATACTTGTTGCCAAACGGTGACAATGGAACCATCAAGACAATGGACAGCACCATGTACTTGACCGGTGTCAAGGGTAGCAAAGTATTTGCCATCGATCGTGAATTCAAGAAGCGTGTCATTGAGATTGACAATACAGAATACATACTCAAGTTGTCACTGCTCCAGAAGCGTTATGGTGACGTCATCAAGATTCTCAGAGAGTCGCGATTGGTCGGTCGTTCCATCATTGGTTATCTCCAACGTAAGGGCTATCCAGATGTTGTTCATTTCGTAAAGGACGATCGTACTCGTTTCAATCTGGCGTTGGAATGTGGAAATATCGACATTGCGCTGCAGTCGGCCAAGATTCTCGACGACAAGGAATGTTGGACTCGTCTCGGTGTCGAAGCACTCCGTCAAGGAAATCAACAGATCGTCGAAATGGCATACAGTAGAACCGGTGATTTCGATCGTCTTTCATTCCTCCATCTCCTCACCGGTAATCTTACCACCCTCAAAAAGATGATAAACTATGACAACACCGATATCATGTCAAAGTTCCAGTACTCTTTGTATTTGGGTGATGTTGAGGAGCGTGTAAAACTACTCCATGAAGCTGGTCTGAATCATTTGGCATATATTACCGCTGCCACCAACAACCTAAAGGAAAAAGCAGAGCAAATCGCTTCACATATCACTGCTGACGGCAAGGGCCAATTGCCAGCACTCCCCAAACACGTCACCCCACTGCTCCCACCCAAGCCAGTCTACCAAGCACCGGAAATCAATTGGCCACTCTTGAATATTGCCAAGACATCGATCGATATGAACAACGGAGAGGTCGGTAAGTTTGGATTGGAAGAACAGGTTGGATCCGGTGGTGGATCCACTCCGATTGGCGGAGGTGGTTGGGATGATGACATCATGGATGAAGATGAAAATGCCAACAACAACAATAGCAATAACAATAGAGAAGAAGGTGGTGGATGGGATGATGATCTCGATATCGAAACCACTGGCGAAGGTTGGGGTGGTGACGACGTCAAGATTGCAGCTTCGAATCAAGATAATTTCTTTGTCGCTCCACAACCAGGACCATCGTTTGCACAAATCTGGACAAGAAATTCAAATTTCGCAGTCGATCATGTTGCAGCCGGCTCTTTTGAGACTGCAATGAATATCTTTAATCAACAGGTCGGTATCGTCAACTTTGAACCACTTCGTCAGTTGTTCTTGTCCATTCATATGGGTGCTCGTTTGTCGCTCGGTGGTATCGCTTCGACTTCGTCACTCATCGAACCAGTCCAGCGTAAGCACGGACAACCATTCATTTCCTACGGCATCAACTATCTTTTGGATCGTCTCAAAACTCAAGCATATCCCGCTTTCACAATTGGAAAACTTCCAGAGGCACAGGAGCATTTCTCCAATATTTTACAGTGCTGTTTGGTGAGCACAGTTGAATCGCGTCAGGAATTCAACGAAGTTCGTGAGCTCATTGGAATCTGTCGTGAATATATTGCCGGTATCCGTTTGGAGACCGAACGTAGAACTCTCAACGACGACCCCAAGCGACAAGCAGAGTTGGCAGCGTATTTCACTCACTGCACACTGCAATCCTCACATATTTTGTTGACTATCCGTGCCGCCATGAATTGTTGTTACCGTGCCAAATACTTTGCTGCTGCGGCTTCGTTTGCCAAGCGTCTTTTGGATTTGTCACCACCTCAAGAACTTGCAGTGCAAGCACGTAAAGTTATCACAGCCTCACAACAGAGTCCAGCTGCACCCGATTCCAACTTGAACTACGACGAGCGTAATCCATTCGTTGTTTGTGGTGAGACTATGACACCAATCTATAGAGGTTCGCCATCTGTCAAATGTCCACTTTGCATGTCTTCCTACCTGCCAAATCTCAAGGGACAAGTTTGCAAAGTTTGTAATTTAGCTGAAATTGGAAAGGAAGCATCTGGATTACAACTCGTAATGAGATCATAAAATCATTTAATTTTAAACATATAATAATAATATATTCAATAAAATAATTAAAATTTAAGTTAATCACAGCAGTACACTTTTCTATTTTTACTAGTATCTTTATCATTTCATAGTTACAGCTGTGCACTGTCGACAATTAATATTCAACCACAACTTTTAAAAGTAATACATCTTTCCTTTTTAAAGAAAATCAAATAATAAAATGTAGATGATAGTCTAATTCTTAATCAACTTTTATTCCAAATATATTTATATATACAATGGTAAGGTAGATATTTAGAGAATCCCTGTTTCCTGTCTCCATTCCTCAGTTGATGTATTATGCATCAGACCACATTCAATTAATTGTACAATGTTTCGACCTTTTTATTAATTGGTTTACATTAGAAAAAATGAATATAAAAAGGCTGGAATAATGTTGCAAAGTCCAAATGTAATTGGAATATCACTTCTATACATACCAAAACTCTTAATCACCTTTATAATTATATTGGTAAGAGTTCTCTTCGTTTCGTTTCAATTTTAAGTGATGTTTCTTATCTTTGAGAGATCTTCTTTGTGTAAAAATATTAGCACAAGTATGATGCATAATACATCAACTGAGCCGTACAATTTACAATTGACTCTTTTTTTTTAGATTAGTTCAAATCTGATCATAGATGGGTCATTTTTTTTAACAAAAACTATCAAGATTAATAATAATATTTTATTTGATTTTTATTTGATATTTACAGATTAATTAATTAATATTAATTTGACTTTTTAATTTTTACAAAGAAATTTTTTGTCAAAAATTTGACAAATTAAAATAAAAATCTGCAAAAAAGCCAAATTTATGCCACCCATAGCATGAAAATAATATTAAAAAATGGGAAGTTTGATCAAAATCATCTAATGGCTTTTTTTTTTAACATGATATTATTTACTTAATTAATGGCCATTATTGTTTTACCTGTGATTATTACCTAAACAAATCATTTTAGATTGTAAATTAATTTATTTATTTGTATATACATTATTTATTTATTATATATATTTTTAATTTTATAACCTGTTGTTTCTTTAAGATAAAAACAAAAAACATTAAAAAAATGGAACCTGGAGTACAAGTACGTGAGATTGGAACTGGTGCACTTGGTGTAGTTGAGCGTGGTAACAATGCAGGTATGTATTATATTTTTAGATAATATTAAGAACAACAACACTGTAACTGTAATCAAACACCTTGTTAACTTATTTACTTTTAATATATTTTATGAATATGCCGGCAGGTGGATATTATGTAAATTTTGGTTCTAGAAAGAACTGGAAGCGTCCAAATGAGCTGGAGATTGTAGGTGCAAACAGTGTATCTCCATCTGCCAACCCTGCCAGACCTACCGTAGGTCAATCTACACCAACAAAGACATCAGGTATGTATTTATTTATCTTTCAAATTGATCTTTGTTATTTTCCTAGAAAAGAAGTATATTTACCATTAATAAATATTATTATTCTCTGTACAGAGGAACCAACGAAATTGAGTTTTGGAGGAAGACAATTCACAAAACCTGGAAATGCTCCAATGAATAAATACTCTACTTTACCATCGAAAGCCTATTTCGAAGCATCGACTGCACCCGCTCGTCAAACTGCTGAATCCATTCAAAAGCTGATGCAGCAATTCCCACAACAGCAACAACAACAACAACAACCAGCTCAACAACAACAACCAATCAAACGTGTTTCACCACCACAAACCAACGAAGTTGTTCAAACTCAATCATCTTCACGTCCAACAGCAATTGTATTACAACAATCTCCAATTCAACCAACTCAACAACAACAACAACAACAACAACAGCAAGTTCAAGCACAAAAGGTTGTTCAACCAGTAAGTGTTGCACCAATTCCTATCAGCAATCCAGTTCCACAACAACAAGCAGCTGCTGCAGCACCAGTGTCACCACACCAACCAGTTCAACAACAGGCACCAATTACCAATGGACACGCTCATCATTTCCAAAAAGACATGTGGCATATCGACTTTAGTGAATTGGTATTGGAAGATGTCATTGGATCAGGAAAATACGGTGAGGTATCTCTAGGAACTTGGATAGGAACACCATGTGCTATTAAGAGAATTCTTGAATGTAATGAAGAAACAAACTTGATGATCGACAGAGAGTTACAAATTTTAAAGTAATTATCAAATATTGCAACAACCAGTTTCATTTGTTTAAATGATAAATATTAATTAGTAGATGGGAACTAACATTTACTTTACGTACTTGCTTGTCGATATTCATAGGGAAGTTAGACATCCAAACATCGTTCAATTCTTGGGTGCAACCAAACATAACGGTGAAATCTATATCATTACAGAGTATATGAACAAAGGAGATTTGTTTGATGCACTGATCTTTGGTGATGAACCATTGACATGGAAGACAAAGCTCAGCATTGCATTGGATATTGCACAGGCTTGTACCTACTTGCAAGCCAGAGGTATTTTACACAGAGATCTAAAGTCTCAGAACATCTTGTTGAGTGACAACCACAGAGCTAAACTCTGTGATTTGGGTTTGGCACGTGTATTCGAAGATCAAGCAAACAAGAGATTAACATTCGTTGGAAGTGATAGATGGATGGCACCTGTACGTAGTTAAATATAATACATATTTATATTATTATTATTATTATTAACACAACACGATATTATTATTATTTTAGGAAATATTTATGGGAGTTGATTATGATTACAAGGTAGATGTTTTCTCATATGGTATTGTTTTGGTAGAGTTAATTACCAACGCAGTTCCAGACGAGAGAAAACCAAACAAAATGTTTGCTTTTGAAACTCAGTTGTTCCTCAACAAGGTTCCATCGGATTGTCCACCGGCATTCGCCAAACTCACGGTGGCATGTACTTCCACCGATCCAAGAAGTAGACCATCGTTCACCAAAATTTTAGAAATCGTTAAAGCAATCTATGATTCATTACCAGAGGACGGAGAGGATGAGTAAATCATCTACCAAAATCCAATAAGATTAAGATCAACCGCTAATCCGAATCAAATCAAATCAAAAATACCAAACAAACAAACAAAAAAAAAAACAAACAAACAAACAAACAAACAAATCTATTTATTTATTTATTTATTTAAAATATATTATAATATCTCAACAAATCATGTATACATACAACTAATTAATCTATTATCAATAAATTCCAACCTATTTATTCATTTTCCCAAAATCCTTTGGAAAAATCAGATGAAAAGTGCAAAAATAAAAATTTTTTAAAAAACAAAAAGTTTCTAAAAAAACAATGTTAATTAAACATTCCTCCTCATCCTCATTTATTTTTTGTTTGTTTTTTTTTTAAAATATTTATTTGTATTGTATTATAATCATATTATATATTTAAACAGTCTTTTCAAAATAGATTGAATCGATAAAAAGAAAGATTAAAAAAAAAGTATAGAATATAGATATAGATCGCGATATAGAGATAGAGTAGTACTATGTCATCTGCACAAATCTATCAGGTACCTGTTGTTGCCAATGGTTTGAGAGAACCAGAGTCAATTCTTCAGATCGTAGATGCTCTAGATAAATTGGATAAGGTTTTCAATGATGTCTATACTTCGATTAGTGCACGTGTCACAAGAGAACGTTCAAGAATCGAAAACGTTTCAAATAGATTAGATAATGCACAAGTAAGTAACCTATTCTTTTCTATAGAAACTAAAAAAAAAAGAAGCATCGGACATATACAGGTTACTTATTATTTATTATTACAATTAACTATCTTTAGTTTAGAGTAAATCAAATCGTTGGAAGTAAGAGTGCAATCACTGTTTTCAGTTCTGCAAAGTATCCCGCCAATAAACAATGGATCGATTATTCACCGTTATACACAGATAAAGCACGTTCACCATATAAACCATCTCATTATAATCTGCATGATGTTACAACTGTATGTTTTATTTGTTTATTGATAAAGAGCTGCTATTTCCTTTCTAACCTTTTTGTATCTAAACAATAAAAACAACAACAATAACAATAATAATAATGACTATTATAATTAATAATCTATAGAAACCACAAGATACATATTTAGAAGTAAACGATTTAGTTTTCATTGAAAAGAGTATTGATGCTGCATCGAAAGAGATTTCTGTAAAGGAAGGTTTGGGTCTGTTACCACACCACATTCCATCGGTTTCCAACTTGTTGTTGTTCAACACTCAGGAGAATCCATACAAGAAATACTCGAATACTCTTGACAATCTCTCCGGTAAGGATGGAGATCAGTTGCAAGTACTCGGTGAGAAGAAGGCATTGCATGCCGCACCTCACACCGTCGAGAAGGGTGACGTCTTGCCACAGGCCGACAGCATGAAGGTCAACTATCAACCAACGATCAACCCAATCGATTTACCAAGCTACAACTTCCCATCGGCACTACCACTGCCAAATGTCGCTCAGAATATCACATGGGCTGCCGAGCAGCTCGTTGGTATCGCGCCGTCCAACCAGGTCGTCGCCGCCAACATGCCAATCTTTGACGGTTCCGCACCGGTTACCGCTGATCCCAACGCTGCAACTGGCGGCGTTCCATCGTCTGCTCCTCCACCCCCACCTCCATCCGGCTCTGCACCACCTCCACCACCCCCCCCACAAGCTTTCAACACCAACGCACCACCACCTCCACCACCACCCGCTTTCAACAATAGTGCTCCACCACCTCCACCACCTCCAGCCAGTCGTCCACCACCACCATCGGCTGACGACGACGATGATGACGATGACCATGCTGGCGGTAACTCTGACGGTTCGGCAATTGGTAATCTTCTCGCTGACATTCGTAAGGGTCACAAGAATCGTTTGAAGAAGATCGAAGAGAAAGGATCGGACGACGAAGACGACGAACGTCCAGCTCCAACCAAACAAAAGGCATCGACAGGTGATGTCATGTCCGATCTCTTCCTTGCTCTCCAACGTAGACGTTCAAGTATTGCATCAACCAAAAAGAAAGCACCAGCATCAAAGAAACAACATGACTCTGATGACGATGAAGATGGATCATCAGGTTCCGAATGGGAATAAACAAACAAACTCACATCAATATGATACAACAACAAAACTAAACAAAAGTGTTATCATATTTTTTTTTTCTTCTCTTAAAATAAACCATTTTTTTGTAAAATTTATATAATATTCTCTTTTTTTTCTGACTATGTATTTACTAATTTAATTGATAAATAAAACAATTATATCTGTGACAAATAGAAAATTGTTAATAATAATTTTCAACGAATTGCTAAATAATAATAAACATAATTTAGTCATCAAATCTTAAAAGAACTAGCTCACTGCCAATAGGTGATAAATCATTGGCAAACATAAACTTAACACAATTAGTGAAAACACCAACGCCAATAAAAATGAAAAACCAAAGGGTGGTTATTATGATTGTTGGGGTTAACAAAATTAAATGTGAATTATCCACCCTTCTTTTAAATTCAATGATGAGGATGATAGTGTTTATATTAAAAAATAGATGATCCTTTTGCTTTTGAATAGATGTGGAATGATCAGTGAGTGTTTTTCAAAAAAAGATAACTGATAGCCCACAAATCACAAAAATAAAACTTTTTTAAACATAGGAATATTATTAAAGTAAATGATCCATCACTTAATTTAGTTGTTAAAACGATTGGTTTAAAATAAAGGACACAAAAGAGATCAATTTAAGTACCATTTCTTCTATCAAAATTCAAAATGGGAAAGATCACATTAAATTTGGTGTATGTACTTTTGCCACATAGAAATCAAATTTAATATGATTACTATGACAATTTTACTGTGACTAAGAAACTTATAAATTAAATGAGTCATTATTAATATCATTTTTATTAAACCAGAATTCTTAAACAATAAATACTACTATTCTAATAATATATAAATAAAATGTCAACTGAAATACTTGATCATTGGAAAGTAGTCACTGAATGTGATCAATTGGATACTGAATTCACAAACTGTGGATCACAATTGGTAAGATTTAATAAATTGTTTCATTCATGAATAATAAAGTACTAATCAACAATTATTAATTAATTACAATAATTTTGTTTAACTCTTTTTGTTTTAGGTTGTATTATACTTTGGACAACCAAATTGTATTGGATGTGAACAAATCAGAGGTTTGATGATTTCACTCCCAGCTAAATACCCAAAGGTTAAGTTTCTTCAGATTCCGAGCAACAGTCCAGTGAAAAGAGATCACTATTGTTGTAATGATATGATGGTCTTCCCTGCTACTCGTTTCTATAAGAATTGGAAATACCCAGATCAAAGAGATCATCTACAGATTGCTATAGGTGCATGTGGTAGTGTCATTGAAGACTTGATTAAACAATACCAATAGGTAGATAGATAAATAAACTTGGTCATATCCTCACAGATTGTCTTTTTTAGAAAAAAAAGACCACAACATGTTAATAAACAAATTGTATTTTTTTCTTTTAATATTATTGATTATTAATAATTCTCAATCAACATAATTGAACTTTTTCTCAATAAAATACAAAAGAATAAGATATTTTTTTAAATATTATAAATTAAATAAATAAAAAAAAAAGAAGGGAATAATACTTATAATTGATGGAAATTTCTAGATTACTACCATTGTATTTCTATTTTACGAATGTTTGATTTTCTAGAGTTAAACTTGATAAAATATAAGAGTGATCTCTGGATGGGTTGTAAAATGGTTAATTTGAGAAAAATAGCTATTATTGTTTGTGTCAAATTTCAGTATCTTTGTCAATAAATCTTTCATTTCAGTTGTGTTTCTGATTACTATTATAAATGGATTCAAAGTTATATCTAGTAATAAGAAACAAAAAACAGAAAAGAAATAATAATAAAAAATAAAAAAAATAGATTAAAAATCATTAATTTATGCAGATAGATTAAATAAAAATAAATATATCTTATAATTATTAAATCAGTCATAATCAGATCTTAATAACTACGAAGGACTCATTTAATCAAAAAAAATCAAAAAAATAGTGATTGTAGAGAGGTGGCGCCATGCTTTGTGATGGTGTTCAAAAAAAGTAGTTTTGGCTTAAATTTTTTTTTTTTTTTTTTTCAAAAGTCGTTTTGTTTTGTTTCATTTGTTGAACAACTTAATCGGTACAGAAAGACCTTCACTCACACACTTTCATCATCATTACATTATCAACACATTTACAATAGTTGAAATCGAAAACATCAATAATATTTTCTAATCTTCTTTTATTTTATTTAAATAATAATATAATTATATATTTACAAATATTGATTACCAAACATTACATTATATTACAAAATAAAATAAAAAAAGCCACACACACATTAACAAATTACCCAAAATCGATTCATTTGTTTCAATTCAATATTTAAATTTTTACTTTTATTTTATAATTTTAAAATAATATTTCATATTTTTATCTAAAAACAAAAGACTTCAAATTAACAATACTATATCAAGTAACAATATCACACAATATTATAATAATAAAAGTAATAATAATAATATAACTTTAGTAATAGTAATAATAATAGTAGTAGTAGTAATTTTTAGATATATATATAGGAGTATAGAATAATGAATCCAGAGGAAAGAAAGGAAAAACTACGTCATATATTCGACCATTTCGATAAGGATAAAGATGGATCATTGAGTAGATATGAATTGCAACGTGGATTTCAAGATCATGGCATGTCCATTCAAGATGTATGAAACAAACACACTTCATTTGGCAAACAATAATGTATCACTGACTAATTAAACGTATCGATTGTATTGTTATTGTTGTTGTTGTTGTTATTACTTGTTGTTGTTGTTTATTAGGATCAAATAAGTAAGATGATGGATATTGCAGATTCCAATAAGAATCACTCGATAGAGTGGGATGAGTTTTACAATATAGTGAGAGACTCCAAGTCCAATGAGATTAGCGATATCGCAGAGTACTGGCTGCAGTACACCAATAAACCTATCATTCACGCACCGAGCGACATACCATCGTGGAAGTTGCTGGTGGCTGGTGGTGCTGCCGGTGCAGTGTCGCGTACCTGCACATCGCCACTGGAGCGTCTCAAGATTCTCAACCAGGTGCAATCGATGAACCTCACCACCACCATAAATAAATCGGCAGCAGCAGCAGCATCCACCGATACAGCACAGAAACAGCGAGCCCCACGTGTTGGAGTCATCAAATCACTCGTAAATATGTATAAAGTCGAAGGTTTCAGAGGATTATTCAAAGGAAACGGAACCAACGTCATTCGTATCGCGCCATACTCTGCCATTCAATTCCTTTCCTACGAGAAATACAAGAAAGTAAGTAGTTGTTTAAACAAGACAAAACAAAACAAAACAAACTTACAATAGTTGTATCTTAATTCATTCTCTACTTGTTCTTTTCTCTTCTTTTTAATCGACTAGTTTTTTTTAAAAGATGGACAATCACATTTACACACTGGACAGAATTTATTTGTTGGTGGATCTGCAGGAGTTACATCGCTGCTATTTACATATCCATTGGATCTGATTCGTTCTCGACTCACCGTTCAGATTCATGAGCAGAAATACACAGGTATTGCAGATGCCTACAGGAAGATCGTCGCGGAGGAAGGTTACCGCGGTCTCTACAAAGGATTGTTCACATCGGCACTCGGTGTGGCACCATACGTAGCAATCAATTTCACAACCTATGAAACACTGAAATACTTTTTTAGCAAAGACAAGAATCTGACGGTCGTCAACAGTTTGATATTCGGTGCGATCTCTGGTGCCACCGCTCAGACCATCACATACCCGATCGATCTTCTGAGACGTCGTCTACAGGTGCAGGGTATCGGTGGTGCACCACTCATCTACAGCGGACCGCTCGATGCATGTAAAAAGGTTATCAAAGAGGAAGGTGTCAGAGGTCTCTACAAGGGTATGATCCCATGTTATCTCAAGGTCATACCTGCCATCAGTATCAGTTTTTGTGTCTACGAATTAATGAAATCATTATTGGGTATCAACACCAATAAGATTTCATACCAAACATAAAAACATTAACAAACAAAAAAAAAAAAAAAAAAAAGAAAAGATTAATAAATAATAATCATCATTATAATAATAATAATAATAGTAATAACAATAATAATTTTCACAAATGGCCCAAATTACAACAACTTTATTAATAACAAATAATCAAAAAAAAAAAAAAAAAAACAACAAAAAAACAACAACAACATTATAACTTAAATTACTTTAATTAATCATATCATCATTATCACCATAGCCAATAATTACAAACATTTATAAATCGATTTATATTCAAACATACAATTATTTAGGTCTAAGTTGACTTATACAAAATCAGTTAAATCTAAAGTTCCCTACCCCTTTCTTTCAGCAACAACAATAATAATAACAACGACGACGATAAAGTAACTAAAACGATAAAGATAGCAGATAACACATATAGATCTCACTATTTTATAATATTACATAAAAAATAATACATAAAATGGTTTATTCTCTTGAAAAATTTAACAAATAAAAAAAAACTTTATAAACTAATTTAAATTAATTTATAAAATTATTCAAAAAAAGTCAATATTCAAATTGCACATTAAAGATATTTATGTTATCACTTTGTGAACATCATTAGCATTTTTTTCAAATTCAAATTTGAATTTTTAATCAATCGTTGTATGAACATAAAAATTGAGCAAAATTACCGGTCAAATTTCAATTTTTTTTTGTGTGAATTTTTACACTATATAAACCACACACTTTCATTCATTCAAATCAGTTTAACATAGTTAACTTTATAATATTATTATATAATATTTCCAAACCCCCTCTATTACCTACCATTATACTTTATAACTTGCAATTATATCAAAAATGAACTCCAATTTCTACACTGCCGAAATCGAGTCTATGCTCTCACTCAACACTCCATTGGAGAACGTTGAAGCCAGATGGCAAAGAAAAGCTCGTGAAGCCTCCACTTCCGACCGTTTCATGCCATCCCTCTCAAACTTGGATATCAGTCACTTCAACTTGACCAAGGAAAACGTTGAGCTTAACACCCTCTACGCCGACTCCCTTGCCTCCTCCATGTTTGCTGAGCAATCCTCTGATTTGCAATCAAAGATCCTCTCCTACAAGTCCAAAGCCCCAGCTTCCTCCGCCCTCGCCAACTCATCCCTCCGTGTCCTTTACTCTCAATCCAAGGTTGCCGACGTCCAAGCCCTCCCAAAGAAGGCTTTCCGTCAAATTCCACAAGTTCCAGAGCGTATCCTCGACGCCCCAGATATCGTCGACGACTACTACCTCAACTTGTTGGACTGGTCCTCCCAAAATGTCATCGCCATCCCACTCGGTAAGACTGTCTATCTCTGGAATGCCACTACCTCTGCCATCCAAAGATTGTTCACTGTCGAGTCTGCTGACGATTACATCACCTCGCTCCAATGGACCAAAGACGGTTCCCACTTGGCCGTTGGTACCAACAGCTGTGTTGTCCAACTCTGGGACGTCGAGCAAACCAAGAAGGTCCGTGAAATGCGTGGTCACACCGGTCGTGTTGGTGCTCTCGCCTGGAACAACTACATCTTGTCCTCAGGTTCCGCTGACACCAACATCTTCAACCACGACGTTCGTATCCAAAACCACCACGTCTCAACCCTTGCTGGTCACCAACAAGAGGTCTGCGGATTGAAGTGGTCACACGACGGTACCCAATTGGCCTCCGGAGGTAACGACAACATTGTCAACGTCTGGGATGTCAACAACGACGCCGGTTTCGAAACTCCAAAGTTCACTTTCGAGCAACATACCGCCGCCGTCCGTGCCATCGCCTGGTGCCCATGGCAACAAAACTTGTTGGCCACCGGTGGTGGTGCTGCTGACCGTACCATTCGTTTCTGGAACACCCAAACCGGTGCCTGTTTGAACCAAATCGACACCATGTCCCAAGTCTGCTCCATCCAGTGGTCCATCCACCACAAGGAGTTGGTCTCAAGCCATGGTTTCTCCCAAAACCAACTTTGCGTCTGGAAGTACCCAACTATGGCCAAGGTTGCTGAGCTCACTGGTCACACCAGCCGTGCTCTTCACACTGCCATCTCCCCAGACGGAGAAACCGTCGTCTCTGCCTCTGGTGATGAGACTCTCCGTTTCTGGCGTATCTTTGAGAAGGAAAACAAGTTGCCAGTTGCCCAAAAATCCAAGGAATCCTCCTCTGGTTCTATGTTGAGAAGCAATTTGATTCGTTAAATTCGCTGTTTTCGGGTATCTCTTAACTGGAATTTCGTTTATCCTCTTGCACTCTCACTGATAAGTTGGTAGCTCTCTCTACTTTAGACAATCTGTTGTTCTTTTTGCGGTTATATTTGGTTTTGTGTGTTTCTTCTGGCGAATATAGGAAGTATGGACTTTTGGTACTCTGTTACTTTACCAGGTACCAATCCCTGTGAGGATTATTTATTGCATGATCATGTGTTGATTGTGGCAATCGTAAGTATAATTTTTAAATTGATTTTATTTAACCAATTTCTACTCTTTATGATTTAGCAACAACAACTCGACAATTCATAGACATTAAGCGATTTTAAAATGCGATTCGGATTTTATTATTTTACAATGTATGATAATCGATTGATCAATAACACAATAGTAATCATTAACTCAACACACAACATAACCTGCGACAACAACTAATAATTATTTTTAATTATAGTGTAAGTGAAACCAATATTGCGTTGGACAATCAACTATTATCTTTTAAACAAACAACCAACTAATCAATCATTGGTATCAATCAACTCTTCAGTAAACATTACTTGAGTATCTATTTCTAGAAATAGAAAGTGTTTGGCTATACTTAAAAAGGTGTTTTTCAACACCACCCAAATAACATTGAACTCTTTATCTTATTTTCTTTTTATAATAGTATAATACTAAATAATTTTTTTCTAAAATAAAATATAAAATGTTCAAAACAAATACTATATCCATCTTATTATTTAATTTCTTTTTCTTTTTTGATCATTCCTTATACTCCAGAGTTTTAAAACAGAAAATAGTCCGAATCTAGATATTTTTTTTTGCAAACAATTTTTAAATCTTATTTATTATTGGCAACAAATCATAAATTAATTCAACAATAATTCCAGTAAATTCAAAGATAAATATTAAATCTAAAATAAACTTTATATAAATAGTCGTATTTATTTATTATCTCAATATTGATTTTAATCATTTCAATCACCATGACTTTTCTTAAAATCATTCACAACAAAGTAATTTTTGATAGGGTTATTTTTTTCATACACCAAGAGCATAATTTATATTGTTGTAAATATAGAAACAGAGAGATAGATGATGCACTCTGGTTAACAGAAACTAGGTGTTTCGATATCATAAGAGATAAGATAAAGTTAGATGCAAGTGAAGTAATAGACAATCAATATCCTTTGTTTTATTGGCCTGCAAGAGCACTTTCTATCCTATTGGAAGAGAAACAATATGATATTATTCACTCGTTGTTAGACAATAGGAGTAGAACATCGTTGAAATACTGCTTTTTCAATGCTGAGGTTGTTGATGCTGCCATCCGTCACGATGCACCACTCACTTTGTTAGACAAGATTGGTCAACACTTTATATACTCAATCACTTACCGTGCTTATCTGACCGCTGCCGAGATTGGTCGTGTCGATGTATTGCAATGGATGCGTACAAATCGTAAGGAGATAGAACTACCTTTGTCAACCGCTGATATTGCTGCTTCAAATGGTCGTTTAAATGTAATGCGTTATCTCAATGAGTGCAATGCAACCTTTACAAGTAATACTCTGGATTGTGCAATCAAAGCTGGTCATAGAGTCATTATCGATTATTTGGTAAACAATAGAACAGAGGGAATGATATCGGACGATACTATTGATCTTTTGGCAAAGAACAAAGAGTATCACGAACTGATAACCATTTTAATCAATAAGAAAGAATTGAATGCTAAATACAGTTTGAAAGCATTTAGAAGAGCTGTGAAACATGGAAATCTAAAGCTATTAAAGCTATTGTTTGAGAATTCCAATGTTGGCATTGGAAATATACCAGAACAGATCGATGTGGCAATGGTTGATGCGTTGAAAACTTCAATTAAATATTCAATAAGAGAATGTTTTGTTTATATCTTGGAGCAAAATGACCGTTACAAGACGCAGGCAAAACAGTTGGTAAATGATTACAAAGTACCGTTCAAGTGTCACTCAACGGATAGTAACGAGATAGAGTTCTACAAGTATCTAAAATCACAGAGCTATACGATGGATAGAGCGATAATGATGAATGTCGCATCGATTGGTAACGTTAAATTGATGGAGAATGTGCTGAAGGACATGGGTGGTCCTATTTTCGACGGTGGAAATCGACTGGATAAACAAGAAATGGAATGGATAATAACTTGGGCAATAAGATCTGGAAATACTGATATGGTATTGTATTTGTACGATAGATTCTCAAAGGATCATCTACAATACATGGTCAGTGGAATCGTAAATGCAATGAGTTGCACTGGATATCAGCCGCCAGAGGTCTACTTGGATTATTTGGTTCGACTGCATCGACGTCCGACCAACCCATTGCGATTTAAGAAACAATACATTCAGATGTTGGGAATATCAAAAGATGTGACACAGTTTCTGTTCCAAACCTATAAGGATTTGACCAAGAGTACATTCCTTATGCCGGCTTTCTACTATGGTTGCCTAGATATCGTAAAATATTGTTTCAAGAAGACCGGATATCATAGTGATAAGGTTAACCATTATTTACAGCTTGCTGTTGACAATAACCAATTCGAGGTATTTCAATATGTGGTGGAGTTGCTCAATATCAAGGTTGGATATACATTGTTAGTTGGTACACTTTCAAAGAAAAACTCTTGCAAACTGATTGAATTTGCTCACAGGAATCTGTATTATAAAGGACTTGACATCGTTATGATACCGAGATATCACACAGCCATCCAAACCACTTATTTAATAGGCAAAGTGAGATCGGAAATCATGGGTACACATCAAAAGACACAGAAAGAAACCATAAGCATCACAGTGTCATGTATAAAGAATCTTACTCATTTGAAGTTGTTGGGATCCGAGTGGTTTGGTACGGCTATTAATTGTAACGTTCAAATAGATGACTTTACATTCGATATATTGGTTAAATCAAACCGGTTGGATGAAATTGTTTATCTTTTCGAGGAAATGAAGCCTCCTGCCGACGATGTAGTTCAAACAAGTATGTGGGAATCCCTCTTTCTTGGGCATGCAGAGTTGTCAAACTTCATTATCGACTATCTCTTGGCGAAGTATCATCCAATATTCCCAACAGCGATCTACAATGATCTAATGAGGATTGTTAACTCACTTTCAAGTAGCAACGACACCAAACTTCATCATCAACTCTATCATCAAATCAAATCAAGATTAAGTAGTGATGACATTATATCCATTTTAAATTAGTAATAAAAGATAATTGTTTATAACAAATCTGATCAAAGCTATTTTTATTTATTTACATTCCTTGGGTGTCAACTAATGGTAAAGCTCCATTGTTTTCAAATGCTGGGCTAACTGTTCCTAATTTGATGAAAACAAATTAAAGTTAATAACCTGTTCTATGTTCACTACCACTCTGAGTGGTTGGTTGTTGATGTGATCCCATACTTTTTGTTTCAACTGGATCTGGTTGATTGTTGATTAAAGTGTTATTAGTTACAAATGATAATATTTAGTTAATTACATGTAAAACATACGTTCTTTGATATTTGAAGATGGATCTGGTACACCTTGTGTAACCTTGTCCATGTTGTAAGGAAGATCTTGTGAGACTTGGCTACTGTGTTTCTGGAGGTAGTTTCTGACAGCTGCCCTTGGACCTACTGCTGGGATGATTTCGGCCCATTCATTGTCATTCAACATAGTTGTCATCTTACTATTGTTAACTTGGTGCATCTTAAGAGAGTTGACCACAGATTCACGCTGCTCTAATGGAATGTTTGAATCATCGGAACGAATCCATCTAAATAATGGCCACTCTTCTCCCGATTGTTCTTGGAATCTTTGACCTTTGTTATCACCACCCAACCATTGCTGAGAATCAGAGGTGGATTGAGATGAGTATGGTGATTTTTGATGTTGCTGCTGCTGACCACCATCTGAGAGCGATGGGAGTGTTGATAGAGGTTGTTGTTGTAGTTGCTGTCCTGCAGAATGTGAAGATGAAGAATATGGTTGTTGTCCACCTTGTTGTTGACCCCAAGTAGTACTACTTGAGGAAGATGGATGTTGTTGTTGTTGTCCGGAGTTATTGCTTGGTTGGTTCCAGTTACCGACACCTTGTTGCTGCTGCTGCTGATCCCTCGAAGACACAGGCACAGTAGAGGTGGAAGTGGGTGAAGTATCACCGTATGGTGTATCCTCCCTTATATGCTCGCCATGTTGTTCTTTTTCACCATGATCACCATGGTGTTTAAAATGTTTCTTAATGAAAGACATATTATTATAGTTGTTTATTATTTATTCTATTGATTAACTATAGTTCAACAATAATTATAAATTGTATTGCAAAATCATATTGATTTATATAAAGAGCAGGTACCTCCCTCTTCTTTGTTTTTTTCTTTGTGATAGGGAGATTGCCTTCATTATCTCTAAATTAATATAATAGTTATTATATTCATTGCAAAAGTATTATTATTGACCATAATAGTATACAATGAAATTTGAGACAACCAATGTTTTAAATGAATCTATAAATCTCTTAAATGATTTAGGAAATGATAATTTATAATACTTTTAAAAAGTATTTACAAAAGACCTAATTCAAATGTTTACAATTTGCACAATAATATTGTATTCAATGAATGTTAATTGTTTATTTAAATAAAAATCATTGGTTCACCACACATTTAGCAATTCAAATAAAAAATATGATAATGAAATTATTTTTATTGATAAAAAGTTCCCCCATCAAAAATTACAAGATTTTATTTTGTTTTTTAAAAAACCCCAATCAATTCATTCTTTAATATTTTTTAATAAAATAAAAAAAACCACATAAGTGTTGTTGACATTTTTTATAGATATCTATTATCTATATATAAATTTACTTACTATTATAGTCAAATTAAAATTAATATACTATAGATAGTTGTTTATTAGAATTGTACAATAATTAACACCTGCAAATACAAAATATCAACAATAACAACAACCACAACCACCATATAGATAGATAGATTTGATTTGATATGTCAAGATCAAGTTTTGATTTATCATCGTCGTCAAACTCCATTGATTTGTCATCGACACTCAATGATTCGTCATCGATCTCGACCACCTCTTCCGGTGTCTCTTTTGCACCGGTGGTGGTAACAAAGACAGCTGCTGCCGACGATGGAAGTTCCACGGCCAACTTGGATCAGGAATTTGAGAAGCTACTGGAGAAGCTCGGTATTGTTGATCCACAGAAGCGAAAGGAGATGTTGGCATTGCCAGAGGCTAGCAAGCGTGTCTTGATCGATCAGAACAAGACCGACATCTACAAGACTGTAAAGTTAAAGTCTTCGAGCGCCGATCATCATTCTGTGCAGTCGTTTGCCGATGTAAAGAGTGTCATCACATCGATCAACACTCGTTCCATTACGATCGACGTCATCAAGACGTTGCGTGTCCACTTGAATACTGCGCCAGTCGACTGGATCCAGTCGTTCCTCAATCTCGACGGTATCCAGCCACTGCTCACCATCTTGCAAAAGATTGAGAAGAAGCGATCAAAGAAGGCGAAGCGTAAGGATCTATCGATTCTCCAGTGGGAGTGTATCAGATGTATTGCTGCCATCATGAAGATCAAGATCGGTATGGAGTATATCGCATCGTATCCAGCTGCAACCAACCAAATGATTCTCTCATTCGATACCGAGATGATCAAAGTGAAGACACTCATCCTTGAGCTGCTCGCTGCAGTCTCCATTCTCCCAAGAGGACACGGTGCAGTACTCACTTCAATGATCTACTACAAAGAGACACGTAAAGAAGAACAAAGATACTATTCTTTAGTTCAATCTCTTAAAACTGAAACAAACAAAGATTATTTGGTATGTTATTATTGTTTTGATTTTGATTATTATTATTTCATCATCATCCCAATTATGTATAACTAACTAATCAATACTTTTCTGTAGACAACATGTATTTCTTTTATAAATTGTATTATATCTTCGCCTGCAGAGGTATCGGCAAGAATGGAAATTAGAAAGGCATTTTTGAATTTGAAGATTCTAAAGTATTTCGATACTATTAGAAGAGATTTTAGCGAGGAGAAACAGTTGATCACTCAGTTGGATGTGTTTGAAGAGGAGATGACCAGCGATGAACAATTGAATGCCAGTCAGACATCACAGTTGTCGATCGAGGAGGTATTCTCACAGATTTCCGCACGTGTAACTGGAACACCATCGCAGATCGAATTGGTTCAGCTGATGAATCACTTCCAAAAGATGGCATCGTCTTCACTTGGTTTGAGAGTGTGGAAGTTGTATCTTGGCCTCTCGGGTCAACTGGAAGACGAGCTCAGTGTACATCCAGAGCTTGACATTAACGCAATCAATCTGTCATTCCCAGAGATCAAGAAATCCGGTGGTTTCTTTGGTTTCAAGTCAAAGTCACCATCCACTTCACCATCGATCTCCAGCCAACAATCACTCAATGACAAACATAAACTAAAGAAAGACAACGAAGAGAAACAAAAGACAATCGAACATCTCTTAAAACAATTGAATTCATTTACAGTAAGATCAACATTATTATATAGGTTTGAAAGAAATTCTACTAATCCACAAACATAACAACCTATCTAGGGAGGACAAGATATTTCAAAGTGGATGACAGAGCGTGAAGAAAAGAATAAGATGATTGCTCAGTTGATGTCACAAGTAAAGATTACCGATGGCGTGGTAGAGAATGAACAGTTGAGAAAAGATCTAGAGGCAATGAAGAATGAGATGGAAATTTTGAGAAGCTCACCAAATCTAATCAGTTCGCGACCAGCCGGCACTCCATTAGGTGGTACACCATCTACTCCAACCATTATCATTGAGAATGTTTCCGGTGATATGTCACCAGTCTCATTGAACAATCCAGCGACAGATCAAGATACAGATTCATTGTTGTCACAGGGCGGTGGAGATATCCCGCCTCCTCCTCCTCCCCCAGGCGGTGGACCTCCACCTCCACCTCCACCCCCAGGTGGTCCAGGCGGACCTCCACCACCTCCACCACCTCCTGGCTCCAAGAAGGCACCCGGCGGTAGACCACCAAAGCCAATCATCAAACCGTCGGTCAAGATGAGAAATTTCAATTGGGTCACAATGCCAGCACTCAAAGTTGACGGTACCATCTGGGAGAAGATGGATGAAACACAGATCATTCAATCGTTGGATACCAATGAGTTGGAATCTTTGTTCTCAGCAAAGGCACCAGCTCCAAAAGCCGAAGCTCTCAAGACACCAAAGAAAGTAGCAATCACTCTGATCGATATGAAGAAAGCAAACAACTGTGCAATTATGCTACAACACTTTAAGCTTGGCAATGCAGAGATGAAGAGATTGCTCAGTGTAATGGATGAGAAGTTCTTGGATCAACAGAATACCACATACCTCTTACAATTCGTGCCATCCAAAGAGGATATCGATGCCCTCAAAGATTTCCAAGGTGATGTCACTCTGTTGGGTGCCGCCGAACAATATATGTTACAGATAATGAACATCCCCAAATTGGAGGCCAAACTCAAGGCACATCTCTTCAAACTAAAGTTACCAAGTCTATTGGAAGACTTGACTCCAGACATCAGAGCGGTTAGACATGCATCGATGGAGGTCAAACAATCAAAGAAACTTCAAGAGATTATGAGATACCTGCTTGGTGTTGGTAATTATATCAATGGTTCGACGACAAGAGGTGGTGCCTTTGGTTTCAAGTTGGACACTTTGAATAAGCTCAGAGACGCAAAGAGTAACGACGGTAGAATGTCACTGATTCACTATATGGCCAAGTTGATTCAGGATAAGAATGCCGATCTCTGGAACTACACTTCTGAACTAACACACGTTGAGCACGCTGCCGAAGTATCACTCAACAATATCACTCAAGATTTCGCGGAAATCAAGAGAGGAATCGATTTGATCGAGAAGGAATTCATTGCCAACCCAACCACCGGAGCATTCGAACAATCGATTGTCAGCTTCCAGGCCACTGCCAAACAAGAGTGTGCCAAGCTGGAGTCAGCAATCGAAGACATGAACAAACAATACGAAACTGTAACCGGATTCTATGGTGAATCAAAGACAACTTGTCAACCCGATGTCTTCTTTACCTACTTTACCGACTTCTTGGAGGATCTCGAAAAGGCACTCAAAGAATATCAAAATATGCTCAAAGCCGACGAAAAGGACTCTAAATACGAGGATCCAGAAAAAGGTGGTCTTGAGGATCTAACTCACCACATTCGTTCAGGTCAATTGTTCAAGGAAAGAAGAAAGTCATCCAATCTAAACTTTGCTCTCGCTGAAAAAGTACAATTGGCAGCTGCTTCTTTGAAGCCAAGTGGAAATAAATTACAAGTCCCAGGTCAACCTCAACCAGCTCAACCCAAAGTTGTAATTCCCTCTCCTTCAATGTTGAAACCAAGAGGTGCGGCAGCGGCTAAGAAATAAACTAAAATGTAAAATAAATAAACAAAACAAAAAAAAAGATAAATGTATATTTATAATATTTAAACAACCAAAAAACTCATTTGAGTTTGAAAGTTCTATAATAATATTATTATTTTTATTTTCTGAAATTCAATTGATTTATAATTTGATAACAAGAATTTATTAATATATGAATAGAATAAAATAATATTGGTAAACCAAGCTAATAAAATTAAAAAAACATTATTTTAGAATTAGAAACCAAAACCACCGAGACCACCGAAACCATTACAGCAACCTCCACAACCACCACCGATGACATTAACATCACCAAAAATAACATTGGTGGTTCTTCTTCTTCTACCCCAACCAAAGCATTGCTCTTGGGAGTCTGAATCAATCGATGATTTGCCAATGGATCCAACAATGTCAGAAGAAGAGTTGTTTTCCAAACCAGAGAATGAGTTACCCAACAATGAAATTGATTCTATAGTTTATAATAATAATTAAAATAATTAGTTATTAAATAATTAAATTTTTTTTGAATAATATACATACTGATAAGAGTCATTTTTATTTGTTTGTTGAATTAAAATATTTGTTCAAATTGAATGATTTGAAACATCTTTGATGAATATTTATACTGAATCAAATTATTCTAGAATATATTAAAATATTAAAATTAATTATTTTTAATGGTCATAAATAGACATATAGCATTCAATAGATGTTTGACAATTTATACATTATTTTACTGCTTTCAACAATTAATTTTCAAAACCATTTATTTTTTTCATTTATTTTTTTGTAATTTTAAATTGATAGTTTGTTGATTTTTAAAAATCGTCGGCAGAAGATTCTTTGATTTCAGTTTCCGATTGAAAGATACAATCTGAAGATGATTCATTGATTTCAGTTGGTCTGTTGTGAACAATTAACATCTTGGCCATACCATAAGTACCTTCGGCTTCATCATAAAGTCCAATAGTACATGTTGGGTATTCTGTTGGAAGTTTATAATTTCCATCACAGGTGAACTGTGTTGTCGCATTTAGTTAAGTGGCAATTGATTGAGCATTGGTAAGTAATGTTTGTTGCCAAGTTTCAGGATCGGTTTCACCAACAACTGGGAAGTTAAGCCAGAGTCCAACACTATCTCCTGGTCTCAACATACGAATGATTTCAGTGACCTACCATTCTGCTAGTGGTTTGCTTGCATTGTGACATAGTTGACACTCTGATCTTCGAATGGGAATATCACTTTGTTGGTCGGTGTATCATTCCATGTCGAAAGACGAACCAAATATGGAATGGAACTAGAAGTATTCTGACTTTGATTGGTTTGAACATTGATATTGAGTGCACTTCTGAAACCAGAGATAATTCCCATTGCTTTTGGATGGTTTGGATCTTGTTTGTAAATATAGTATCCTTCACCTCCAAAGTCAACATGAAGTGTATAATGATCTGGAATATTAAGTTGCTCTCTTGTAACCTTGGTTCCGTTGGCGACAATTGTTGGAGGATTGGCATTGGGGTTTGATGATGTTGCCTTTAAGAAATTATTGTAAATTTCAGTAATTTTAATAGTTGGTTTATCATATTTAGGCATTCCAGTGGTGATAGAGATATTATTAGCTGTTGTTTCAACATTATTCTTTGATCTTGTAAGAGAATAGAGGAAATCAATTCCAACTCCCAGTAATAATCCGACTGCACCAATTCCACCTGTGGTAAGAGTCGCCGGTGGAGTAACGAGAATTACAGAGGCGAATCCTATTCCTACTAAAATTGTTGGGCTATACAAACGTGGCAAAAAAGAATTTTGATCCGATGGTTTTAATAATGACAAAAATCTCATGCCTACCTATTTATTTGAGGGATTCGATGAATCTTCTTTTAGGTCTAGAGAAAGGTTTTTTGTTATAGATTCAAGCTGACTAGCGGAGTATCTCTTACACCAAATTCAATGTCTAATTCCTTCACTGATACTGTGGTTCTTTTTTTTTTCCTGAAAATACAACAAGTTTTATGTTAGTTTACTCAATTTTTAATCAATAATTCAAAAGAAATATGAAACATTTGATTTTTTGATTGAAAGAGGGTGTGAAGACTAATTATCGGGTCCACTAATGAATCTCATCGGATGATGATGGTGATTGTGATTTTGTATTTGAAAATACCTTATTACAATATGTAGTGTATTTGAATATCTAGCTAAATAATCAGATGTTTTCGTATACTTGATCATATTTCCTTCTTTTTCTTTACAAATTAAATTAAGAATGGAACACAAAAAAAAAAATGATTGATTTATTTATTATGCATTTATTTTTTTTCGAATTCTAGAGAGATATTTTAATGGACAGTAATAATATTAATAGTAGTAGCAGTAATAGTGACAGCAATGTCAGTTTTTATGGTTCGGGTGTAGGAAGTAATATTGTTAATGAGAAATCACATTGTCAAACACATCGTAGAGACTTTGAGTATATATGCTATCAGTGCAATAGGTTACTTTGTTCAAAGTGTTATCACAATCACAATAAAGAGAATATAGATCATAATAAATATTGTCAGGATATCGATGATATCAAACAAGGTTTAAAGTCTACACTTTTTGAGATTGAACAATCTCAACCACAAACTGATCAAGTATATCAAGACAACAACAACAACAACAATAACAATAATACTAGTTATAATAATAATAATAATAATGGTGATGAATGCTGTTATATCAAATCAAGATTATCGATGTTGTGGAATACTCTGAAAGCTGCCACCTTACAATGCCAAACATTAGAGTCAAACCAAAATGAAATATCACAACACTTTCAACAGTTACACGAGTATCTCGTCGTAGAAGAACATCGATTAAAGAAACCAATGGTCAACGATATCGATTCTCTTAAACAAACACTAACCAATAACATTAAGGAACTAAAAGAATTAGTAAATATCATTCAGATAAATAACAATGATAGTAATAAAAATAGCATTAACAGCAATAATAGTAGTAGTAGCAATAGTAATGATAATGATAATAATAATGTAGATGGTATAACAGATGAGTATAATATTACGAATATAATGAATTCAATTACAGTAAATTCAACATCATTACAATCTTTTATTCAATCAAATAATAATACACTTTTTCAAAGAATAACAAATATTAATGATCTACTTGTTGATCATTACAATAATAACTATGACTCAATGTTATTGGATTTAATATTTAAATATAATGATCGATTCAAATTCACTTCTATGCCAACAAACTCGACAACAACCACAACGACAACATCACAAAATCAACAATATGATCAATATAAAGTAACGATAAATGATATCGATCTAAATAATAGATATAATAACTTTTTAAAGCAAACGATTAAAGTTGTAATATTGCCAGGAGTATCGAAAGACTCAACAGAGGCGACGTCGCGCCCAAAACAACCATTCCTATTGCTCTCTCATTACGATGATGACAATGGTGGTTTGGCATTGATGGACTTTGTCAATAAGGAGAATCCAGAAGCACACGTCCAGTTAAAATATGGATTCCTCGGTACGTTCAATTCTATGGTTACGGTAGGTGAACACGTCTATGTGTTTGGTGGTTTCGCTCAACGAAAGATGTATTGCCGTTTCTCTACAAGAACCAATTCCATTGAACACACCGGTGAAATGGTGGGTGTCGAAGGTGGCTTTTTCATCTCGGCCTGCTACGATGGACAAGACCATATCTATTTGCTCGGTGGAAAGCTCGACTCTATCAGTTACCTCGATAGAATCGATCGTTTCAATATCCGTACTTCCAGGTTTGAACGTTATCACCAACTTGGACAAGTTGGTACTCGAACCTACTCTTTCCATTACAAAGGTTTGATCTACTCGGTACTCTGGAATCAAAAGAACGCTCACATATCGATATTCAATCCCGCCAACAAAACGAACGATCAATACCAATCGAACCATTTATTCTCAAGAATTAGAGCTGCCTGTTCCGATCAAAATGGAAATCTCTATATGATCCCAAGAGATGAACACCGATTCATCCGATTCAATGTAGAAACCAAACAAATCGATAATCTAGCATTGTCGCCTTTCAAAACACGACACTTCCTTTCCGCTGTATATTATAAATCAGCGGTAGATGGTGCCGATGCCATCTACTTTTTAGGTGGCAGCAAATATAAGAACCACAAATATTCAATTGAAGACAACAGATGGTATACATTCTTATCCAATGATCCACTTGAAAGATATGATTGTGGATCAGTCTTATTTGAATATCAATATGTTTAATTCTTCTGGAAAAAAAAAACAGCAAATAAAGAAATGTCATTTTATATAAATAGTTTTAATATTAAAACACTCTTTTCATTTTCAACTTTATTTATTATTATTTTGCGAGTCTTTTCTGTAAGGTACCATTGATTTCATTTGCAATTAACAATGCAAGTCCTTGATATTCCAAGAGTGATTGGTTGCTAAAGTTTTCAAAGTTCAGAGTCGACATCATAGTCAATTGAGTCTTGATGTACTCTTCCTTTTGATAGTCGTTGGAGTGTTGATGATTGATGTTGTCCATCTCCATTGTGCTATCATCACACAATGCTATTTGTAAATTTGGTGTACTATTGGCGCTGCTATTCTGAGGTGAACTCTTTTTCGAAGCTTGAACTGGTGAATCCAACACAAACAAAATCTCTTTGGTTTCATTTTGATCTATCTCCTCATGTTGTTTTTGATCCGGTGAAAGTTTCTTCCTTTTAAGAGGTTGTTCTTTTTCTTTTTCTTTTTCTTTTCCATTAACTTTGTTATTATTCTTATTATTACTTTGGTTATTATTATTATTATTATCTTTGTTATTCTTTTTCATAATATGATCTCTATCAAATTGAAAATCTGTTGGTGCCATCTTAATTTCCGGTAACAATTGTAACGAACCTTGAAAGGATCCGAGTGTGGCTGCTGGTATGATACGGTTTGAATTGTCGTCGAAACTATCGTCTAGATCGGGCGGATTCTCTCTTGGTGGAAGTTTAATGTCAACTTTTCGCTTGACGGCACTCAGTGTAGTCCAAAGTGTGGAGGAGTAATTGAGATGTTTACGATCGCCAAAAGTGGAATTCCAGAAATCCAATGTTTTCTCTGTGACAAGTGTTTGCTTGGACAAGAATGCTGTGTTGAGAAGTTCACCGATTGCAAGGAGTAGCTGGTCTCCTTGCTCGTGGTTTGTACCTACAGCTTTACTGGAAACGTCGAGTAGTGAGTGCCATGATTGGTTGCATATCTTTTTGAAACTGGCCAGATGCTCTTTTTGTTGTTGTGACGAAGAGGTGTTCAATTCGGATTGAATACACTTTAATATAATGTGGTAGGTGGACGACATTTCATTGATAAATAATATTAAGAGTGATGAACTCTGAATTTTCTTTACAAAGGAAACCAACGGACTCAGTAATACTGGTAAATATTTATTGCCATCGACCAACATGAATATCTTGTTTATAAATGAAAATATATGTGTGAAACTTTAAAGAGATTTGAAATATTAATTATTTGTGATGGCTTACTAATTAATTAGGTGAATGTAATAAAACTTACAATGCCTCCATTTGGTCATTCTTTTTCTTTGAGGAAGAGGATGATGTTGATGAAGTAGGATCTAAAATTGAGAGAAGAGTTGAAACTACGCCAACGTAAATCTCAAGGTTCGATGGGTGTTTCCAATTGGTTGATGATTCAATGCCGTCAATGATTTGCTCGACCAGAGGATTCGATGAAGTTCGTATGGAGCTGTATCGGTGGAATGATTGTAATAGTGATTTCCAACTTTGAACCAAACTATCACAAATTATAGACAACTCACTATCACCATCGTCTTCTTTTTGTTTACTAGTATCCCAATTATCGCAGAGTGACACAACCTTCAATGGCCATAATAAAATCGATTTAATATTGATGGATTTAGAACTTCCAATGGAATTCGATGAGATCTGTTGTGATCTATCTATAAAATTCTGTACAATAGATGCTATCATATATATTAGTTAGAATTGTAATTATCTAAAAATCTAAATTTAAATAAAATTGTACATACAATTTTGAACCCAAAATTGAATAATAAACTTTAAATCTTTAATGTCCAACTCTTTCTTTATTAAAACTGGATAAAATATATCTAAAATTGAATTTATTTTAGACGACTATATAATAATTAATATAATTAATATATGTTGGATTCATAAAATAATATTACTTACAATATCAGGAGAATTTGAACATGAAAATTGTATTATTTCATTAATAATAGGAAGCAATGATAAACCAATATTTAATTTGTCAATTAATCCAACTTCTATTAAATTTACTAAAATGAAATCTACAGTTATAAATTGATAATTTAATAAGTAAACAAAATTGAAAAAAAAATAGAATAAAAAAAACATACCATATGGAATCATTATACTATCATCTCTATCCGGTAACTTTTGAGTTTTATATTCCTGAGAATATAAGATTGATTTAGGAAGTATTCGAATGACTATATTATGTACACTCTTGATGAAATGAATAATGAATTCGTTGGTGGTTTCATTGTGGTGAGCCAAGGTAAATTCAATAGCACTGTTTGAAATCGCTTCCATTGATTTCAAAACCAATTGGGTGAGGGCTACTGAATTACAATCTTTGGTATCGACCAATGCAACTCTCTCGAGCATTGAACTCCAAATCTCGATTCTCTCACGCAGTTGATTGGTCTGGAGTAGATCTGCATCCTCAATGGTGATTGAATCATTCAGCTTTTGTGTTTCTGAACTCAAACTCTTTCCACTGTGATCGACACGGAAATACTGTAGAACCTGAATGATTACCTTTATGTTTGCCAATAACCATTGTCCGCTCAACTCTGGCATCGATTTCAAACTTATTTGAAAATCAACTTTTAATTTATTATTAAAACTTGAATTCTCCTTTGAAAACAATGCGCCTGTAATATATATTTTAAATAAAAAAATAAATAAATATTTTAATTTGATATTATTATTTTAACTTACAAATAATGGTATAGCAATAATTGGAGAAATTGGCGTCCTCTAGTGCCAATGGTACAATTGGTGAGAATATATATGGGAATAAATTGACAATATTAGTCGATCCAATCACAGAGAGAAGATGTATCCATGTCAGAAAACAGGACTGATCAACTTCAGTCTGCTTAAATCCAGCAGTGATTGGTCTTGTAATTAATAGCAATCTCTTTGGCATCAATAATGACTCATTCTGGACACTATCAATTAAATATCTCCACGATTGGAATGTCTGGAATCTAATTTCTTCATTGGTATGTACAAATGTTTTCTAAATTATGAAAAATTAATAAAATTGATAATGCTTTTTTTTTTTAATTATATAATTACTTACTTCTGGTAATTTCAAAAGAGAGTTAATTACCGATCCATTTGTAAATAAACCTTCGCCCAAGAAATAAACATAATATCCCCATACTCTAATGGCAAACAAATGATTTGATGATTCGTACAGATTGTTCATCTTTTCGATTGCTTCAGCATGTCCATCCACCAATGCTTTTCTTAATTGCTCATTCTGATTGATAGTGGAGTTTGATGAAATCAATGACTTTAAAATGTCCTCTATTTTTTCAGAGCATCTAGAAAAGAGTAAAATTCAAATAATATTAGTAAGTTTGAAATAACATAAACATCAACTTTATGATTTACCTACGCAATCTCTATGCTATCTTTTATTATGCTGACATCTGTATTCAACAATTTATTCAAGAGTATAGGTATCCAGATATGATAGGACGGTACAAATAAATCTGGATTCTGTTGGTTGATCTTTGTAAATGATACAATAATCTCATGTTCAATGGTTTTCGATCCGAATGGTGTAGTTTCCAAGATCGTACAATAAGTCTGTGCCAGCTTTGAGGTGATTGGTCCTTTAGGTAATGATTGTGATGATAAACACCAAATTGCATAATTACATATATTCTATCATTTTTTTTAAAAAATAAATTAACAACCTATTACTAACTAAATTTAAGATTATAGAGTTGAAATAAATTACCTTTTTCTTTGTAATTTGTATGGTGTTTTCCAGTAATGTTGAAATCTCTCGAATTTGATTGTCTAACAATAACGAAACTATAGACTGTGAGAATAGGAAGTAGCCGAGTGAACGTAGTGAACTGATGGCCAGCTTATCATTGCCTTGCTGGTTGTTCGATGACGAGATGTAGTAGTTGAATACCTTGAGGAATGAACTGACATTGGAAGCATTCTTTAGAAATGGAATCGGTTCATCCTTGTCTACCGAATCCTTCAGTAGCTTAATCAGTGTAGTGAAATGCTTCTCAACCTCTGCCAACATTGCTTGCTGCTGTTGCTTACCACCCTTTCCACTACTACCAATCGATAAATCCAAAACTTTTAATATTTGATCCATTATTGATTTTACTTTGTATTAATATTTAAAAATAATTAAACATTATAATGATAATTAATATATGTATATATCTAATTGATTGAGATTGATTGATTGACAATAAAAACAGTCATTCATTGCAATCAACAAGATCAGTCTTTATTTATTTTTCTTAGTATATTCGAACTGTGTTATTTTTTAAAAATTTGAAAAAGAGGCGCCAAACAACTTGATAAGCATACCATCTTTTTTTTTTAATTAAATTTAAAGATCACATTTATTATATTATAAGTTAACAATAACTATGTCAAAATCAACAAATCAAAACACACCATATAGACCTGTAGAACCATGGGTTAATAAATAGTAAGTAATATTCAATATTGTTAACAAGTAAAAGCTCATCAAACTAACTTATTTTATTCGAAAACAAACATTATAGTAGACCTAAAACAGTCGATGAAGTATCACATCAAGATGAAGTTGTTAAAGCATTAAAAAGATCATTAGAAACAGGAAATGTAATTAATAATTCACATATATATACAAATTGTTAGATAACTAAACTTGATTAACTGTACAATTGTTATATATAGTTACCACATTTATTATTTTATGGTCCACCAGGTACAGGTAAAACATCTACTATATTGGCAGTTGCAATGGATCTGTTTGGTCCAGAGTTGTATAAAGACAGAGTGTTGGAGTTGAATGCCTCCGATGAGCGTGGCATTGAAGTCGTTCGTACAAAGATTAAGAACTTTGCTAGTTTCTCTGTCAGCCAGAACAATACACTGACCAACGGTAAGCCAGCGGCTGCCTTCAAGTTGATCGTACTGGACGAAGCCGACAGTATGACACACGATGCACAGGCTGCACTGCGTCGTATCATCGAGTACACCAGTAAGACAACACGTTTCTGTCTGCTGTGCAACTATATAACACGTATTATCGAGCCACTCTCTTCGCGTTGCGCCAAATTCCGTTTCAAATCACTGAATGACACCGCCATGATTGAACGTCTGCGCTACATTGCCTCGTCGGAATCGATGCCACCCGTCAAAGACGAGGTCTACCAAGCGATTCACGCCGTATCCGACGGTGATCTCAGAAAGGCAATCACCTACCTCCAATCATCCTATAGATTCTACGGTTCAAGAGAATTGACACCAGATAACATTTATAATATATCGGGTGTAAGTTATAATTATCAATTGATTATTATTATTATTATTATTATTATTAGATGTCTTTATCTTTAGTTAAACTAACACATCTCACATCTATGTTATTGTTCATGTTAATTCTTGTTATAACAGACTGTACCACCAAAATTAATAGAAACATTAATCAATACATGTAAATCGAATTCATATGATAAACTACAATCGAATCTACAACAGTTGGTTACAAAAGGCTATCCGGCATCACAAATACTCGTACAGATATTCGACCAAGTCACAAATCATAAATCATTTTCCGATAAACAAAAAGCACTTATTGCCATGAAGATTGGTGATGTCGATAGAAATCTTGTTGATGGATCAGAGGAATTCCTTCAACTCTTTGACACTGTATCTTTTATAATGAAACAACTCAGTGATAACTCAAATAACAACAACAACAACAATAATAGAATGGATTTAGATTGAATAATTAAGATTTATTTAATAAAAACAAACAAAACAAAACAATTATAATATCAATATCTACATATACACTTTTATTTACTTATTTACTTATTTATTTATAATCCTAATTCAGATAATGATTTATGATCATCAGGTCTTCTTCCTTGTGACCAATGGTAGAGTCGTTGTTGTTCGGTGATGGCAAGATCGTTGATGCAAGCGTAACGCACTTGCATCAAACCTTCGGGTGAGAACTCCCAATTCTCATTGCCGTAGGAACGCCACCATTGACCGCTATGATCTCTCCACTCGTATGCAAAGCGCACTGCAATGCGGCTGTCCTTGTATGCCCACAGCTCTTTGATCAGTCGATACTCTTGTTCCTTCTGCCATTTTCTAGTGAGAAATTCAACTACCTGTTCTCTGCCATTGATAAACTCTGATCTATTTCTCCACTTGGTGTCAACGGTGTAGGCTTGTGATACTCTTGTCGGATCACGTGAATTCCATGCATCTTCGGCCAATCTTACTTTTTCACGTGCTGTAACATCGTCGAATGGAGGAATAGGTAACTTGATAACACTCATTTTGATTAATTCTATTTTATACAAATCTAAATAATTATTTTTAACTTTTCTATCAACAATTTAAATGATTAAACACACATTCACAAACCTTTGATTTATACTAAAAAAATTAATTAAAAAAAATAGATTAGTCGTAAATTACCAAACTGTTCCATCATTCTTTTTGATAATAAGATCTTCGGCGATAACAGTAATGTTCCTAATCTTTTAATTTTCTCATTATTAATCTGTTTAAATTGTTGAAAAGATTAACAGAATCAAAGAATTTGTAAACTTTTGTTTAAGTCTCAATAACATAGGATGTCACTTGATTGATGATGTGTTTTTTCTAATACGTCATATAAAGAGGATCTTAAAATAAACTGTTTGATTAATCAAAACTTGCAAGTGTACTTTTCTACAAAAAATAATAGAATGATCAAAAAGATCTTTGATGGCTTGGGAACAAATAGTTTTATATCTTACTAATTCCTATACACATTGGGTTTAGGGAACTTTTACAATTGTATGAATATTTTAAAAAGTAATAAATTAACAAATTTTATTGTATTAATACTTAGTTCACCTTCTACCTCCGCCTCGAGGTGGATCTTCTTCCTCCTCTTCCTCCTCTTCCTCCTCTTCCTCTAGTTGCATTATTGTTTCTTAATACCTCTTCTTCTTGATCATCTATATGTTGAGGAGGTTGTTGAGGAGGTTGTTGAGGAGGTTGTTGAAGAGGTTGCTGTGGTACAGCTTGACCGGTTAATTGTGGGAGAAACTGAGCCATCATCGCCATGATTGCTTGTTGTGGATTTCCAGGACTCACCTCATTTGTTTTTGTTTTGAGAACAATCCGTTGATAAAACAGTCATGTTCTACTCTTCTAGGATCTGAGTAAATGTATCCAGTTTCTAAAAATGGGAGTTGAATCTAAGATTGTATTAAATAAGAATATTGCATTAGAAAAATTGTTATTTTTGATATAATTGTTAATAAATACCATACTTTTTCTTCATAAATAGTATTTTTAATGTCAAGTGCATTGGAGTTAATATTAATTATATGTTGTAAGTTCTCCATTGGCATTTGTTGCCATCTTATCACTAGAATGTTAGACGACAGAATATTGAAGCTAACTGGTTCCACTAATGACTTATCTTTTTGTGTTATTTCTGGGTAGAGCACTAACACAGCTCTTGGGCAATCAATAACTAATGGGGTTCCTATGTGTTTTGGTTGGGCAAAAACCTTATAGCTTTCGAAATCTTGCTTTGAATCCTGAATCCAATTATCCATTAAACTTTTATTCTCTTTAGCAGGGACTAGAGGTTGGTAGGTAGGTAAGGTGGGTACAATAAGAGGTTGACGTCCTGTTTTAAAAAATATTGTAAGTTATTTCCTTTTTAAAATTCAAAGAATATCATTTACTCTTTAATTCTTTCTTTGGTACTGGATAATCTTCTTCATCTGAGTATTCATCTGAATCCTCTTCTAGATCAATATCATTATCTCTCTTGTCTAAAGAACTTTTGACTTTCTTAAGAGCGGTACTACCCTTAGTTTTCTTTGCTGCTCTCTTCATTTCTTTTATTTTTTTTTCTATTGTTGACTGATGATGATTTTTTGAGGATATTTTATTTATTTTATCTATTATTACTTTATCTGATAATTTATTTTCTATACCGTTTTTTATTATTGTAATTTCTTCAGATGAAAAAGTACCCATACTAAATTATACTATAAACTTTAAAAGTTTCTAAAGAATGTTAGGAAAAAAAAAAAACATTTGAAATGAAATGAAAATGATGTTTTATAAATTTAAAATTCGATTGCTCAAAGATTGAAAAAGATATATCAAAAGTATTAGTTCCTAACCTTTTCCCTAGATTTTATATGAAACTCAATATAAAATGTTGGGAAATAGGTGCTAACATTTGTTAGAAACTCTAAATCTGGTATCCTCCACCGTAGGTATTAATTTGTTCCCATTTTTGAAATTTTTTTATTCTGTAAAATGAGTTAAACCACACATAAAACACCCTAACAAATTGGTGAATTAAAATAAATTATTATAAAAGGTGAATAAATCAAATATTATTATACCACATTTTACTCAAAACACACATAATTCTATTATACTCTGCTACATTAAACAAATATTAATTTATTATATTTATTGTTTATCTGATAAACAGAGAATGAATTATTCAGAGAAGTTTATATATAAAGATAGTGAAGTTCATTTCAGATCAGATTATGGATGTTCACCCGAAACAGCCAATATTCTTTTTGAAATGCTTAGTCCTCATGGCGTCAAAATGGATTGGTTATTATGGATGCTGTATTACTTCCGAAATAATATACCAATATCGAAATTTTGTTCCAAGTTTCATCGAAGTGAAAAACACATTAGAGACAAGATTTGGTATGTTTCGAAAAAATTGAACAACCTAATATCAAAAGATCTTTTGGTAAGCAATTCTCGATTGATAAATTCAAAGTAAATGTATATACAACAATTTTAAAATTTAGCACCTTTCTTCGAACTCAAGAAGATTTAAAAAGAATAAAACAGAGACTCTCAATGACAATGTTTATGCGTATTTAGCATTGGATACAACTTTGTGCCCTGTCCCAGCTCCAGACTATCATGATCCAGACAATAAGTTACTCTATAGTAAAAAACATGCCACACATGGTTTTAAATACGAGGTGGCAATTGGTCTCCAAGATGGTTTAGCATATAGAGTGTATGGTCCGTGTATGGGTAGTAAACATGATTATTCAATCCTTGCTGATTCAGGTATTATAGAAGAGCTTGAAGATACCGAAGCTATTATTGCCGATTTAGGGTATGTTGGAGAAGAATATAATGGTTATATTTTAACTTCATGCAAAGATACAGGTGACCTATCTAAAGAAGAAAAACTCTGGAATTTGTACATCTGTTCAAACAGAGCAATTGTGGAGAATTTCTTTAGTAGATTAAAAATTTTTAAAATCGTATCTCAAACTTTCAGAGCAGATTTTGAAAAACATATACAGGTTTTTTCAATATGTGTATGGCTTACTAATCGCAATATCAGTGAAAGTCCTCTTCGTTAAATTTTTTATAATAAAATCAACTAATTCTTTTATTTTTAAAATATTAAAAATTTTTAAATTTTTTAAAATTTATAAAAACACAAAAAGTGACAGGGAGGAGAAATTGACAAAGTTCCCTATACCCATTTTAGTTTAAGTGAGATATGAAACTATTTTTTGAATGACAGAGAAATTATGAAAAAAAAATGTGAAAAAAAATTTAATTGAAGGTTAGTGTCAAAAATTTTTTCTAAAAAAAAATAATTAACTTACTTGTTGTTAGAATGTAAAATTCTATTTGTTAATAAATTTGATGTATTGGAACACGACTGGTCGGAATTGATATCGAACACTGAGTAACCCAAGAAGTAAGATGTTTCTAGCAGCGTTCTTATCCCGGTGGTAGAAGTGACCACAGCAGCGACAGAGTGGCCTTTTCCATTTTTTCTCTTGGAATACTTTCAGGATCGGATGATCCTTAGCCAAGCCATCAACATTTACATTGTTTCCAGACATTTGATTGGAATACAAAGAGTGGTGTTTCATATAGTCAAATCGTTCATTACTTTTATTAGTAGAACTATTGACTTTATTCGTACCATCTATGTATCCTGTGACTGTCTGGTGTAGTGTTGATAGTTGCTTGTGACACTCAGCTACTTGATTTCTATCGATGCTAACTGATTTGGAGTATGGTCCACTTGAAAGAGCACATGGCGGAGGATCTTTCATATTGCTAACTTTGTTGTTAAGTTTAGCAAGAATTTCCTTTTCCGTCTTGTTCCAACATGCATTATGAACCTATATTATAAATATAAAAAAAAAAAAGATTAATTATTTAATTATTAAAAAATATATTTATAATTTGTGACAATTTAAGTTGTACTTACTTTTGAGGTGTAGCATTCATTGATCCACAATGCTTTATGTTTTTTTTTCTTCACCCACTTGTAGAGAGTGGCTGAAGAAATGAAAGAAGATTGGCCACGACTGTTGTGGCTGAACTTGGCAGAACCAATAAAGACTATACTATTTTTGATTGGAACCAGTTTGTCCACCATTGAATTGTAGGATTTACGCTTATTGTAGTAGTTATTCTTCTTCATTATTAGGTTGTACTCATCTAATCTAATGTTGACATAGTTTTTTGTTGTTGTTGGGTGTAATCTAAGATAACTAATCCTGTTACTAATCAGTGATCTATCCAAACAGATATCATTGATATCTAAAGAAAAAATAATAAATAATATAATAAATTAATATCAATCTATATTAAAAATAAAAGGTGATAGTTTACTTACTCTTACTAGGTGGAATTAGACTTTCAAACTTTAACATGGCTGGACCCAACATTTTCTTTTGAGCTTCCGAGTTGAAACGACTTCTTAAGTTAAGATAATGTTCATGGACAGAGAATGAGTGAGTTTTACCGTGTTCATCGATGGATACATGTGATGATCTTCCGCAATCGATTCCAAATATATATTTATTATTAATATTATTATTATTAGGAGTTGTTGTAGTAGTTGTTGTTGTTGTTGTTGTCGTTGTTGTTGTTGTTGTTGTTGAAGGATAATCTATATCCATTTCCATTTCTAAAGCCGTGGAGTTGTTATTGGACTGAAGGCTATATTCGTCTCTTTCCTTGACGAATCTACCTCCCTGGAAAATATAATTCGTCGTTCTTGGTCGCTTGTCGACATGATTGTATGTTTCAATTCTACTACGGCTACTATCGGTAGTGGATATTGTTGTTGTAGATGTTGTAGATGGTGATGGATTAGAGGTTGGTGATGGTGCTGATAAAAAATTAGAGATTGGTGATGGTGCTGATAAAGAAGATGTTGGTAATATCAATGATTTTGTTGTTGCTGATGGTTTGAGTTTTAATAGTTTTGGTAAGGTATTGGATGATTGTGGTTTTGTAGATGAAATGGTTGTTGTTGGTGATGTTGTAGATGGTGGGGGATTAGATGTTGATGGTGAGGGATTAGATGATGATGGTGCTGATAAAGAATTAGAAGATGATGATGGTGCTGATAAAAAATTAGAGGTTGGTGATGGTGCTGATAAAGAATTAGAAGATGATGATGGTGCTGATAAAGAATTAGAGATTGGTGATGGTGCTGATAAAGAAGATGTTGGTAATATCAATGATTTTGTTGTTGCTGATGGTTTGAGTTTTAATAGTTTTGGTAAGGTATTGGATGATTGTGGTTTTGTAGATGAAATGGTTGTTGTTGGTGATGTTGTAGATGGTGGGGGTGATGTTGTAGATGGTGGGGGATTAGATGATGATGGTGCTGACAATGAGGATGTGGGTAATATCAATGATTTTGTTGATGATGATGATGAATTGGGAATACAAAATGCAAATTTAGAAGTTTTCTCGGGAATAGGTGGTGGTGGTGGAATATAGAGAGAGCCACTATTGGAAAAAGACGACCTCTCCAGTTCAAAGGATATATCTGGCAAAAAACTCTCACAATTCTTTTGTAGTGTTGACTTTGATGGTGTTGTAAAAGCCTGATCTTCCAATTTATTCTCAAGACAATACTGGTAGTAATCCAATAAATTGAATTCTTCATCACTATCATTGTAATAATGAGTACTGCTGTCACTGTTTGTAGTGGATGCTGTTGAATGAATGGTAGTGCTAGATTGTGAAGATGATGCCATTGATGACTTGGGTGAAGGAAACACATGTGCCAAAGTAGATTGAGAATCAATATCCATTTTGAAATCTTTATCATATGTATTATTATTATTACTTGTTGCTGATGTATCAGCCGACAATTTGTTATAGTTGAATTGTATTGGCTTGGATGATGATGATGATAATGTTGGAATGGTTGGAATTAAAGGTGAAACTGCACTTGGAGAAGTTATTGGTGGTGATAAAGATGTTGTTGAGGTGGTGGTTGTTGTTTTAGTTGTTGAGGGTGGTGGTGGTGGTGGAGATTTGTACTCCTTTACCATATCTTGAATGTATTGGAATTCTTTAAGATCCACGTTAAGCGATGAATGATACGGCTGTTTGGAGGGATGAATACTTTCATCATCTTCTCGTGTCTTTGGTTTCTTATACGTAATGGAGAAAGTGATTCCATTCAAAGATACAGTCGGTCCTATATATAGTTTTGATAAAATAATATTAATATAAAATCATCCTAAAATCAATAGATTCTAATTAATATTACCATCATAATCGTAACTGACTGTGTTGGTAGCATCCGATGGTTTGGTTTTAAAATTCAGTTTCTTTTCCTTGGCTGGATCTAGTATGAAATGTTTGGAATCTCCATCATACTGCGCCAATAGTCTGCTTGCCAATTCCAACTCAGGCTTCATAACTCCTGGGGTCGGATGGTTGGCAAATATGAACAATGTTGTTGGTCGTCCAGAGTGGTAAAGGATGTAGGATTCGATATTACCAGAGTTCTGATTTGAGATGTTATAGAGTGAATTTTGAATTGGCTTGCCCGAGAAAAGATGTAAGATGAAGCTCTGAGATTCCCAATCTGCCAATATAATCACTTTGTGGTTCCCTTCAATTATCTGATCCAACCATGCCAATATATGAGGTAGTGATTGCTCCGGAATTCCAAAAGGTGAATAATTTGTAGAGGAGTAACTATTGGTTATAAAGAGTTTTGGAAGCACCTTTTTATCTTTAAACACCGTATTAATAATTTTACCGAGCTTTTTAAAAGATGGATTGAAATCAGTGTCATCTGCGGTAAGTCCAACATGCCATTTACTGGTTGGATCGCTGAATATGACACCTATATCACAATTCGGTGGAATTGATTCCATTCCTTGATAGTTTATATCACAGCCAACAAAAAATGGTGAATTGAAATGTTCTTGGTTGGGTTTCACAGAGGCGGTTGAAGCGTTGGTTGATGTCCAAATGATAGACGTTTGTTTTTGAGACGTAACCTCTATGATTGAATTTGGCTTTGATAGGTCTCTAATCCATTGGTTCTTCTTTTCAATATGAGGTTCGGAATCCAGTGATCCACATCGTATACTCTGGATACGCCATTCCGACTCCTTGAATTTAGAAATGCAGCGGCTCCCACATTTACTTAGCTTGCACTTCTTAGAGAGTGTAGAGTGCTCAGGGCAAAGCATAGCACCAACTTTCTTTTGCTTCGGGACAGTTAGAGTTAAATTGTTGGATGCTGCAAACATACATATTGTGTGTGCATTGGTGTGGTCGACTGAATCTACTGGTGGCACGTGTCCACAATGTGATACACGATCCAAATTGAATTGACAAACGGTAAGAGGATGTTTAAACGTATAAAAATTTTGTTTGAACTGTTCCGGTATGTTGATTAACAATGACAGATGATCCAGATAACTTCCTTCTTGATTGAAATCGGAACCGTTATAGAATTGTTGAAGAAACTGTTGGAGAAACTTTGTAGATAAAATAAAGTTGCGTGGTGCCAATTTAAACTTTGGTATAAATTCATTTATTATGATTAGTTTGTTGTAGTTGTCATTGGCTTTTATCCATCGCGAATTATTATTTTTGAGTGGAATTGGTGAAGTTGGTTGTTTGATTGAGTTGATCCATGCTTGAGATTCAGTTTTATAATTGTCTTCATTGTGATATTTTCCAAATTCTTTTTCAATATTTTGAAATTGATTAATTGTGTGTTGATTCCAATTGACTTTATTGTGTTGATTCTTCTTCTCCTCCTCTTCCTCTTTCTCTTTCTCTTTCTCTTTCTCTTTCTCTTTCTCTTTCTCTTTCTCTTTCTCTTTCTTCTTCTTCTTCTCCTCCATATTTTGAAGTACTCTTTGATTGTGCACTAAAGTGATTTATAAAATTATATAAATTAGAAAATAAATAAAAATAATAAATAAAATTTTAAATAAAATTAAAGTATACATACAAATAATAGTTGGATGATTCAGAATAGATTGAATGAATTCCAATGCACTCGTACAATTCGTTTCACTAGATTTTGTCACTGGCACCAAGTATGTTTCAAAATCATTTTTGAAAGATTTGAATCGGTCGAACGATTCTTTGGTGATTGTGGCGTCATGTTGTCGTAACCATATTAAAATTGAAGGCTCTCTCAAGGCCGAGTCTACGGTTTCCTCTGGCTTTGCAAGAAGGTACTTCTTGATGGATGTTACGATCGGACCAAAACCATTCAGCTCCATAATGTGTTTACTTATCCTTTCGATATTCAACAGATTCAAATTGGATTGATTCTTCATGTGGTCTCGTACTATTTGGTTGACCATCTCGTTGAACCAGTCTCTATTCAAACTTCCAAGTCTGTTCTTTCCCAAACCATGTTCCTTGAGAAATGCCAGATAAACATCTTGATAAAGTTTTCTTAGAAACTTGTAATTCTCATTCTCCTCGTCTCTCAGTAATGGTAGAACAACTACAAAATTAAAAAATCTTTTTAAAAAAAAAAAAAAAATTTCTTATTAATTTAATTGTTTAAAAAATACGAAAAACAAAAACAAACTTACTTGTCAACTAACTTTTGAACTTCTGGTTTCAAAATGAATTTATCTTTAGCAATTTCACTTTCTTTTAACTCTTTAATAATCTAAATTAGAGTAAATAATAAAAATTGATTAGTTTATAGAAATAAGAATAATTTAAAATTTTAAATCTTACTTTTTTTTCCTTATCTTTCAAATCATACAATTTACTGTCAGAGAAGAACTGCAAAAGAATCACCTCACAAAGGTCAGTATTGTGTGAAATTTTACTTTTTGCAAAAAGCAATCTAAATTTACTAATGCTCGCTTCATCTTTCCTAATATCCACCCATTCCTCTGGGATATCCGATTTTTTAAATGTTTGACTAAACATTTTCATATCAAAATCGATTTTATTTACAATGTCGTGATATATTAATGAAAAACAATAGGAAAGTAATCCACTAATTTGCGATAATTGAATAAAAATTTTTTGGAGATGATTATTATTATTATTGACATTTCTATATAAATGATTATACGGATAAACGATTGTTTCCGTTTTGATCTCATTTTCAGATAGATGTTGATTATTGGAATATTCATATTTCATATTTAAACAAACAATAAATATTATATAAAAAAATAATAAAAAATTATTAAAAAAAAGGTTTTTCATAAAACTAAACAAAAAAATAAGTAAGAGTAAAATGTAAACAAATAAAAAGAAATCTAATAAGTATAATAAAAATAGATAAATATATAAAAAATAATATTTTAAAAATAAAAGAAATAATAACTATTATATAAATTTGAAGATTGTATTTGTTGTTAAATTTGAAGGTTGTAAAGTAAAAAAATTAAAATGAAAAAATTTGGTTTTGATCAAAACAAAAAAGCATAGTTTTGTTGTATTGAGGCAAATTCTCTCCGTATTAACAAAGAAAGGTTGAAAACTTAATTCCAAAAGTTTTTTACAAAGAATTGAGGATCAAGAAAAAAAAAAGAATCTTTTTCTAATATCTAATATGATTGGTATGATTATACCAATATATTTAGCAAACATTCTAAATCGGGATATTTTTATAATTTTCTTCCAAACTTTGTGTTTGGATCATATGAAAACTAAGTTTTGCAAAAAAAATGTTGAATTTGAAAATAATATTTTTTTTTAATTATATTTTGGTTTGGTTTTTTTTTTGCAATAAAAACAAAAGAAAACAGACATCTTAATTCATTCTTTTAAAATATAGTTATAATTTAATTATTATTTGAATATTTATCACCAAGATATACATGTAGTAAATTAGTAAATAAAGGTTAATTACTGGACAATGACCGATTAGCATGCGTTTCAATAACAGAAACAATTACAAAGTTTGAGTTTAATAACAGAATTAGTTCTATTGCTCAACTAAAAAGTAAAATAAACATATAAACAAGCACATGTAATCATAGATTGGCTAAAAAGGATAGTGGATGTAATATTTATAAAGGTATAGATTTATTTTATTTTTTCACTTTTAAACAACTATTAACTGACTGGTTAAACCATCATCATCATTCAGAGAATTCTATAGGAGAAGAGCAGCTGAGAAACGTGAACCTTTTAATTATTGTCAAGATATGGTGAAAACCAATGGTTTTATTTTAGCTAACTAATAATGCTTAGAGCAATTCAACATTGTTTCGATTGTCAAAGAAAATATATCGAGAAAATATAATGTTCAATCAATTCGTGAACATTATGACCCCTCGTAACCTCTTTGGTATTATTCTACAAACAGGTAGACTGTTGGTAATGTGGTTATACATGGATCAAAAGTTAGTTATTTAAAAAACAAAACACAATATATATATTAAAATTTAATAATAAAGAAAAAATAAAACAATCTATAGATTTAATCATTAATAGAAATATTGTTGAAGAGGTGCATCAAACTAATACTTATTATCATGTGGCTATGCTTTTTTGTGTTTTGCTTTTTTTAAAAAAAAAAAAAATTTAAAGTTAGTGATTCTTTTTAATTATTTATATTTGATTTTTGATTCGTTATTTTAATTAAGTTTTATTTTAAAATGGCAAGCAGATTAACTACACAACAAAATAAGAGTAATAATAGTCGATCATTGGCTCCCTCTTTCAATAATTATACACAAGGAGTGTTGAATTCAATAAAATCAGTTAGTGATCCAAACACTAAACCAGTCAAGAGTAATCGTTATAAGGACTATAGTAAATTATCAGAGAGGTCTGGTAATAAAAGTAAAGTTTTAAATTTAATAACAACTTCAGTAAATGTAATAGCATCACCAAAAAAACATAACAAAGTAACGAATGATCAACAGACACATTTAATGAAAGATTGGTTAACAAAGAATACCACTGGAAAGCAGGTACACTATTGACAACTATACATATCATAAACTGTTGTTTTGAATGATTATTGTTAATATTTTAACTATAAATATATTCAGGTTCTTGAAGAATTAAAGAAAGATGGTAGTATTACTACAACAGAAAAATTCAGAAAGCGATATAAGGAGATATATGAAGAGATACCTGGAGCAACCACACATGCTGTTGCGTTGTCATATGTTATTGCATCACTTCAGAGTGGCCAATATACAGATAGAGATGGATTTGAAAAAACAAGGTAAGTGTTTTGTAATGCTCGTGATTTTGTATATCATTGATACTAATATACCCAATCTAGATTGTTATCAAGTTTAGTTCCTTTTTACACTTCTAAGGAAATCAGAGAGTTTGGAATCACAATAGATAATAATGCGTGGAATCGTGCAATTCAACACGTACATAAGTATGGTGCAGGTAGACTGATTAATGCAGAAGAGATCAGCAATTGGAGATCTAAATTTACACACAATGGACAAATGACAAGAAAACAAAGAACCACGATGCTAAGGACAGCCGTCGAAGGTTACTTCAATATGAAAGATATAACTGAAGAATCAAGTAAAAACATGAGGTTGTACAGCAAAGAACTCGACGCAGATGGTAAACGAGCTTTCGAGTTGGTGCCAATCAAGAACCTTGCTTTAGGAAACATAAATACCTGCTTTACAGATTACCTCAAGAAGAGTGAAGTTGATCAAGTCAAGTATCCACTCATGGGTAGAAGTGCATTTTACAGTTTCGTACCAGATTATGTCAGAGAAATGAAGAATCGAACCGACATGTGTCCAATGTGTGTTCAGTATCAGGCTCTCGAGTCAAAACGAATTAAGTTTGGGCAACTTTCAGATCAAGATCATAAACTGTTTGAAATCTTGACTATTCACAAGATGTTTGTTCAGCAAAGAAAGAATGATTATTTGACATGTGTAATTATAATTTTATTAATACATTTAGTTAATGATTTATTAATGAAATTTTTTTTTTTTTTTATTTAGAAAAATGAGTTAAAGTCAGGAGAGTGTATTATTCTCTGTGATTTTAAAGAGAATATATCATTAGGTAAATCCAAAGTGCAAGTAAGCCATGAATTTTACCAACAACCTGCTCGTACCTTCTTTGGAATGGTCCTCTTCTATAAGCAAGGTGACAAGCTGAAGATTCACTACTATGACTGTCTTTCACAAGTACTTAATCACTGTTCGACATTTGCAATTTCATGTCTCGACAAATTAATCAATGATCCATTATTCACCAGTCTAAATATCAACAAAATTACATTTTGGTGTGATAATGCTAGACACTTCAAGTCAAATGAAATACTTTCATATATGCATACATTGTCAAAGTTGCAAGTAGCTGATCCAAACACTCCAAACAAAACCAAAAGAAAGTATCTCGTCGAATTGAATACTTTTGCACCCTATCACGGAAAGAGTGAATGCGATCAACATTTTTCAATGGTTTCTAGAGCGATAGCAGACAAGTCGAGTTTCAAAGATTCAATCTATACAGATCAAGATGTTATCAATGCAATCAAGAGTACCACTGACAACAACAACTATCAAAGAACATACAAATTGACTTCTGAATCAGAGAAGGAGGCTGTTACCATCAAAGTAACAGTCGAAATTCATAACCCAAAGGAATTGAAACAGAAAGAAATAAAGATCTTTCCTGGTTTTACAGAGTATCATCGTTTCCAGTTTTTAGATAATAGATCAGTAAGTTAATCAATTATATAATTTGTATTCAAAACAATTATTAATCAATATTTTTTTATAAAAAAAAGATGCGTGCCAATAAACATTACATTAAATTCATGGGTGGAAATGAAGTTGACAAAAATGACTATCTACAAATATTCTGCTATGAAAAGTCAAGTTGGTAAAGAGACTACAATTTCCAGAGGCTACGAATCGACCACCAAGGAGGAGGCACAGTCTTGGAAACCAGCTCGAGATAAGGCACATACCACCTATCTAAACACCATGATAGAAATGAATGAGATTGCCAAGAATGTAGACGAATCAAATAAGGAAAAGGCAAAAGAGATGAGCGATATTATAAATACTTATGCCAATGTAACATCTAAATTAGCTCCACAACCCACACCTTCAAGAACACAACAAATTGTTTCGTCACCTCAGTCACCATCTCAACCAACACTTTCAAATTCACAAGCTGCTTCTACTTCATCTCAATCTTCACCAAAACCAGCTACCACAACTACACCAGACCAAACACTCTCTGGTACAAACAAAAGAAGAAGAGGCTACAGAGGAACAAAGAAAACAAAACAGACTAATTCACAAAATAATACACAGAATAATACACAAGATAATATACAAAATAGTACACAAAATAATAAACAAATTAATACACAGAATAATACACAGAATAATACACATAATACACATAATAATACACATAATAATACACAAAATACCCAAAGTAAACCATTGTTTGATATCGAATCGATTGATTTTGGTGACGATGATCATGATATCGGATCGAGCTTGATTTATAGTGGTAAAAGAAAAGAAAGAGAGGATGATTGTGACAATAATAGTCAACATAAAAAAATAAATAACCAAATAAATAACCAAATAAATAACAATAACAATAATAATAATAACAATTCAACAAAAAAAAGAATAAGAGAAGAAGATAATAATCAAGAATCAATGGACAATCAAAAACATCACAAATCAACTCATGTAAATAGTCAAACACCAATCCAATCCCCATCCCAAACACCAATTCAAACACCATCCCAAACACCAATCCAAACACCAATTCCAACACAATCCCAAACACCAATCCAAACTCCATCTCAATCACCAATCCAAACTCCAACCCAAACACCACTCCATACTCCTATTCAACACAACACTACAGTGCAATCAACAGAACAATCAAAACCAGCAAAAGAAATTGTCGTAATCTTTGAAATCGATAACAATTACAACTCGCAGATTCAAGATTATAGACAACAACAACAACAACAACAAATCAACTATTTACAACAACTTTCACAAACACTGCAACAACAATCTCCACCACAGTCAGAAGCAGCAGCATCAAATGATGTAGAAATGACATCACATGAAGATCCTATCATGGAACAAGTTGAGGAAACTGACGATGCAATGGAGATCGATCGATTCTGTATTCCATATGAAAAGATCAAGGACCAGTTGAATACCGCAGAAGAAGACGAAAACATGAACAATGCCGGTGACTTCTTATCTAATTGGCCATCTCTACGAGAACTTATTATAAGAATTCCATGCCTCACAGCCATAGCGGACTATGGACAGCTCTTCTCCACTCTACTTATTAAGAACCCATTATCAAACCTGGTAATAAGACCAATTCAAAATATGATTGGAAATGTTTTAAAATCATTTTTATAATTCAAATTTTATTATAATCTTTTTGGTATGTGGAGATGTTTAGGCATAAAAGATAGTGTAAGTAAATAATTGTTTTATTTTAATGAATACAGATTACTAATTTTTATTTCTTTGACATATCTTTAGTGGATCATAATTATTCAATAATTTTTGATTGCTTGTTTTGAAATAGTATATGCAGTAGTGTGTAAAGAATCTTGCAATCAATTCGCCTATTTTTTCATTTGTTGTTATGGGTTTGATGAAGCTATGTATATGTTCGGATGGGAGTCTGGTCTAGTACATTTCAAATCAAATTTATTTCAACATTGAATAAGGTGATTTTGGTTATTAACAAAAACACAATTCAACATGTGAGCACTTTGCAATATTATTTTAGAATAACGCTTTCAACCTGATTCATTATCTGGAGTGTTTGAATGTTGAAGCATATTGATTTGGTAGTAGTAAATTTTGTTTTATATTATGTTTTAGTTCATTGTAAGTATAAGTTCCTTATATAGCAGTTGTAAATGTACTTAACTAATTCATTCTATTATACAAAGGTCAATTCATACAAAGAATGTGATCTTTCTAGATTTTATTTGTATTTTTAATCAAGAGAATAGTCCAATAAAGGTATACGCATATAATTTTATTAATATAAATTTTATTTACTTCTTTATTATATTTCGTATGTCATTAATTTATGTTCAACATATCAGATAATTTTGTATGCCTACGACAAATTATTCTGGTATTACCGAATGTAAAAGATGAAGACTCCCATCTGGCTGTCACTCAATAATGTCTAGTATACATTATTCAATTAATGTTTTACTAACTTATTTGATACAGACCAATCCGGCATTATAGGGTAGGCACACTATAAAACTATATATTTTAAAATGCACCACTTTAGAATATATAAAGGGCCGACTAGTCAATATTTCTAACTAAGGTGGTCAAGTTATTATATCGACTCAGCTACAATCTTTAAAAATAAAATGTATGTAATTGAAAATCTATTTGGATAAACATTCTTACTTATTAACTTTTTTGTTTTAAATAGAAAAATATTGTTGAGTAACAACAATAAAGGTGCATCGAACGAGCCACCCGGTTATCATGTAGATTTTCTCCATTTTGATATGATAGTCGTGAATAATAATAGAATGGATTACCAGGGGCACACTCAGTGCAGGGAGTGGGTAAATAATCAAGTATATTCAAGATAACTAATTCAAATTTATTTTTTTTTCTCCAAAAAAGTATAGGTTAGTTTTGCCTTTAATTTGTTTATATATGGTATGTATCATTCTATAAATAAATAGATATAGGTAATACAATATAAGTACTGTATTAGTCCAGTGCACATTGTGCTGTCAACGCTTTACATATTTATATTCTTACACTATATTTCTATTTATTTCCACTGCAGTGAATTAGCACCTAATTCACTTTCATTCTTCCTTTCATCCATTCTTTCTTTCTTTCTTTCTTTCTTTCAATCTTTCATCCACCCATTCTTCTTTCTTCCTTTCATACATTTATTTATTCATCCAGTAATTTATTTATTTCTCTATATATCAATTATATGTATTATATTTATTTATTTATATTTATCTTTATATCTATCTTAATATTTATATTTATTTTCAGTGTTATATTTATTTATATTTTTTATATTTATTTAAATATTATATTTATTTATATTTATATTTATATTCATATATATTATATTTATTCATTTATTCATTTATTAACTCACTTTATTGTCAATCTACTATCATACAAAGTTGCTTTTTCGTATCGCTAACATTATACAATTGAATTTTATATGGTTATTGTTGATTTGATTGTGTTTGATTCAAATAAAAACCAAAAATTTAATATTTAGTGAAGATTGGCAAAGTGAAAGATTCCAGCTTATATCCACTATTCAAGGAATCGATAGAAATTCAAGATCACATATCGTGTGTTGAACCATTTCTATTTGATATATGTGCTTTATTTAATCAGTAGGGTCCATTGTTAAATATCTATTTCGTTAGTTGCCAATCATTGATTTTCTCATATAAATTTCCCATATTACAATACCCATTTTTTGAACACCATTTTTTGATTGAAGATCTTTGAGAAATTGATTGAATCTTTCATAACATTGATAAATATGTCTGTCCCTGTATTCTTTGATCTCTCGGGTACGTTGTAGCTTGCTCCGAACTCCGATGCAGATTGGAAAACTCATTTTACCCATCGAAAAACAGAGGCCAAACTCTTTCAAATTTTTTTTAAAGAATAAAACAAACTTTATATTCTAAATCTACTATAAAAATACTTTCTATTTATCTAATTTTTATTAAAATCTAACAAGGTTTGATATTTTATTTTATTTTTTTAATATTAATCTCTATTGCAAAAACTTAGAAAAAAAAATTGTGAAAAACAGCCACAACCACTATCATTGAAAAAAATTTAACAAATAATATTAATATTATTTTGGATGATGATGTAAATTTTTTGTTCTTAAAGATATCAAGATATTTATTTTTTTGTTTTTTCAAAAAATTATAGGTCACGGTTTGATTATGAAAAAACATGAACTAACATATTATTAAGATCAAAAAATGCTTATTCTGAGTTGATTCCCAGTCTAATGTTTTTTGAATTGTGTAAATGGTTTGACCAATTGGACTTTTGTAAAATTAACAAGCCATAAAAACCCCAAAATTAGTTTTTAGGAGTGAGAATGGGGGTACATATTAAAGTTTGACCCACCATTTTATCATCAACTTTTACCTTTTTCAAAAAATTTTAAAAAAACTATTTTCACATCAATCAACACTGAATCAGTCCATCTCTCCACTACAAAAAAACTGTAATATATATTAACCATTTTAATTTATTTTTTAATTTAGTTTTTTTTTTTTTTTTTTTAGTTTTAGAAACATACCATAGATTTCTTAGACTTTTAACAAACCTGATCATATAAATACTTGTTTACCAAAGACATCATCAAATCAGAATCATAAATAATCATTATATCTTCAATTGACTTTTTTTAAAATATTTGAAAAGTCAAACTTTTATATATCTCTCAAAATTTATTAACTTTATAAATTTATTATTTGTTTAAACTAAAATATCATTATCAATTTGAAATGTGTGGAATCCTTGCTATTTTAGGTTCATCAGAACCAGCACCAAAACTTAGAAAGAAGGCATTGTCTTTGTCTGCCAGGTTTGTATAAATAATAATAGTTTGTTGTTTTATTTTTATTGTAAAATATTCTAATATCTTTTTTTATTACTACTTTATTATTATTATTATTATAGAATTAGACATAGAGGACCAGATTGGAACGGTGTTTTTGCTTCTGAGGATTCAATTCTCACTCACGAACGTTTGGCTATTGTCGATTTGGAAAACGGTGCTCAACCACTTTTAAACGAAGACGAAAGCATTGCTTTGACTGTCAACGGTGAGATCTACAACCACAAGGCATTACGTGATATCTACTTATCATCTGGTAAACACACATTCAAAACCAACTCTGATTGTGAACCAATTTTACATGCTGTAAGTAACAATCAACCAACAACAATTCCGTTCCTCTGGAAATAACAATTAACTGACAATTGTGCCAATTGGTATTTTTCAATAGTACGAAGATAAAGGAGATGATTTCGTTGATAGTTTAAGTGGTGATTTTGCATTTGTATTATATGATTCAAAGAGTAAATCATATTTGGCTGCTCGTGATCCAATCGGTGTCGTTCCATTGTATATTGGATGGGCAAAGGATGGATCGACTTGGTTCGCCTCTGAAATGAAGGCATTGAAGGACGACTGTATTAAGTTCCAATCGTTCCCACCAGGACATTACTACTCGAGCAAGACCAAGGAGTTTATTCGTTACTACAACCCAAAGTGGTTCGACCAACACATTCCAGCTCACACCAGCGAAGCTGAGGTTCTCCCATTGATTCGTGAATCCTTTGAAAAGGCGGTTGTCGCTCGTATGATGTGTGATGTTCCCTACGGTGTTTTGTTGTCGGGTGGATTGGATTCATCGCTAGTTGCATCGATCGCTGCCAGACACGCCGAGAAGCGTACCGAAGATTCCGAGCAATCGCGTGCCTGGTGGCCAAGATTGCACTCGTTCTGCATTGGACTGCGTGACGCACCCGACTTGAAGGCCGCTCGTGAAGTAGCCGACTACCTCGGAACCGTCCACCACGAATTCTACTTCACCGTGCAAGAAGGTATCGATGCACTCACCGACGTCATTCGTTCGCTCGAAACCTACGACGTCACAACCATTCGTGCAAGCACACCAATGTATTTCCTCGCCAGAAGAATCAAAGCTATGGGTGTAAAGATGGTGCTCTCTGGAGAAGGTTCCGACGAAGTGTTTGGAGGATACCTCTATTTCCACAACGCACCAGACGCCGCCGAGTTCCACCAAGAGTGTTGTCGTCGTATCAAGGCACTCCACTCATTCGATTGTTTGCGTGCCAACAAGTCGACTGCCGCCTGGGGAGTGGAAGTTCGTGTTCCCTTCTTGGACAGAAACTTCTTGGACGTTGCAATGGACGTCGATCCAGTGCACAAGATCTGTAAGGACGCCGACGGTAAATCGCGTATCGAGAAGTACGTACTGAGAAAGGCATTCGATGTTAAGCAAGGCGAGAAGCCATACCTTCCAGACTCTGTGTTGTGGCGTCAGAAGGAGCAATTCTCAGATGGTGTCGGATACAGCTGGATCGGTGGATTGAAGGATTACACTGAGGCTGAGATCTCCGATGAAGATTTCGCCAAGCGTGAAATCCTTTTCCCAGACGACACACCAGCCACCAAGGAAGCTTTTTACTACCGTCGTATTTTCGAGTCACTTTTCCCAGGAAAAGAGTGTCGTGAAACCGTTGCACATTGGATACCAACATGGGGTGCCTCTCAAGATCCATCCGGTAGAGCACAAAGTAAGTTGATCTCTATCTCATTCAGAATCATAAATCTTATTATTTATTAACAATCAATCTTTCTCATCAATTTTTAACAGAGGTACATTTACAAACAACATTGTAAATAATAATAGTCTAAAAATATTCATTTCTCTTCTTTTTCGAGAGATGGTATAAGCAATAATTAATTAATAAAAAAAAACAATATTTATTAATTCACAAACATCTATATTTATATTTATTAAATCTGATTTGATTATAATGAAATTATAATTGTAAAAAAAAATCAAAAAAGTTTTAGATTAATTTTTTGTTTTATAAATAGATAGATATTATTAGTTTTTTAAAATAATCTTTTCTTTGAGTCACATTCAACACATAATTTATAATAAAAATTTTATTCACCCATCAAGTATTGGATGTCAGTTCGATTTTACATCTTCTTAATGAATGAGTTTGGTTTGTTTTTAAATTTGTAGTTATCGGATTGGTGGGTGAGTGTGTGAATTAATTATTATTTGTGTTTGTGTATGTGTGTGCGTGTGAGTAAGGTATTGTTATTATTTAATTTTAAAAGTTTTGTTTGGTAATAAAAAAAAAACAACTGATAATATTAAAATTATTATTAAATTTAATATTATAGTTTCATTCTATCTTTCTTATCTGTCATTAAAATTTTATATTATTATATATCTAATAAATAAAACCAACAAGAACAACTTTGCAAATTATAGTACTTTTTTTGTTTTTTCTTTATTTCTTTAAAAACTAAGAACATTTGTATTTGTTTGTTAGTTTATTTTATAGGTTTACCAAATTTAGGTAAAACAAATTATATTTATGTATTAATTATGTATTCTATTCAAAATGTAACAACATCATCATCATCATCATCATCAACAACAACAACAACAACAACAATGTTGAATTTAAGTGATTACGAAAGAATGAGAATAGCTTCGAAGCTTGGCGATACAGAAACACTTGGTTCTATACTTTCTCAATTTTGTCAAGATTCAGCTTGTCAAAAATGTAATTTAAAATGTGGCTGTCTGCTGTGTTTCAATAAAATTTTTGAAAAGACAGACGACAACTCGTCGGAAACAACAGATAATAGTGACAAAGATATACATAATGAACAAGATATAACAACAATAGATGAACAACAGCAGCAACAAGAAGAAGAGCAACAATTCTGTTTATGTAAATATAATTTCTTAAATCAACGAGATCAAGATGGAATGACATTTCTTCATTTGGCATCATTAAATCACTACACTAAATCAATCGAACTATTGGTAGAACATGGATCAAATATAAATGTAATGTTATTTAAAAATCGTAACAACAATAATAATATGATTTACTGATACATTAATTTTATTAGATTGTCAACAATGATGGACAAACTTCTTTACATATGATTTGTAATTATCAATTTAATTTGTGTGGCGAAGAGAATCTTTCGTTGGTACAGTATATAGTGAATCATGGTGTAGATACCAATGTTGAAGATTACTTTGGCCATACCGCTGCCTATTATGCTTCGTTGAACGGTCGATTCCTCATTGTCCGATGGCTACTAGAATATGAATTGCAAATGGACGAACTAGTTAGGCAGTCTTCAAATTCAACCGTTGAATCTTCATTGCCATCATCGTCATCATCAACAACTAATAATAATAATAATAATATACTATCAAAATCATTGTTATCAAATTCAAACACATCACTTTTAAATAGAAATAACTCAACAAGACACCAACAACAACAAACTGGTAGCTACTGTAGAAACTATCAGTTGGTATATCAACCATTGAAATATATAATTTCGATTGCATATCCATTGATAGAGATCATTTGTTGCATGCCAATCATGGACGATCACAACTCGACAAGCACTCTGAGTAGATCTACAAACAGTCGTCCCATTACAACAGTGATGACTCCAAACACACGGACATCATTACTAAGAGATTTCTCTAGTTAATCAAAATACGCATCATCTTTTTTATATTATAAAATATCGTTGTTCGTTTAATAAATAAACAATAATATTATTTATTTATTTATTTATTCATTATTTTATTAATGATTGATTGATTGATTGATTGATCTTGTTTTTTTTACTATTAATATTTTATTTATATTTATTTCAAACTAGTAATCACTATCACTTTCATTTTCATCATCACTAGTTCTTCTCTTTTTCCTATCGAATCTGCCACCACTAGATGATTCCCTTAAAGGTTGATCTTTTCTATCGATATCATTATCTTCTGATTTCTTCTCATGTTGATCATCTACCGATCCAGATGTTGTTGGTATATCTTTTCTTCCGACTAAATTATCAATGTTTTTATCATCGTTATAATCCACATCACCATAATCTCTTTTCTTTCTACTATCATCTATTCTTTTCTCAACCACTCTATCATTATCATGGTCGTCTCTTCTATTATATCTATTATCTCTATCCCTATTATAATCTCTATCTCTATTATAATCTCTGTCTCGGTTATAATCTCTATCCCTATCTCTATTATATTCTCTATCTCTATTATAATCTCTATCTCTATTATTGTAACTCGATTGTTGTTGTTGTTGTTGTGAATATCTTACAGCACCTCTACCTCTAACCACTGGCTTGCCGTCAGAGTTTGAGTTGGTGTTTGAATTATAGTTATTGTTGTTGTTGTTGTTATTGTTTGTCCACGGTTTCATTGGTTTGTATCTATCTTTATATTGGTCGACAGATCCACTTCTAGAACGTGAACGTGAACTACTGCTATCTCTATGCTTATCTTTCTTTGACGACGACGATCTTCTCGGACTCTTACTTCTACCACGCTTTCTATCGTTGTCACTATCGCTATCGCTACTGTCACTATCACTCGTATCGCTATGATGACTCTTCTTTCTCTTTTTCCTTTCTTTTCTCTTTTCTCTTTTCTCTTTCTTTCTGGCTTTTTTCTCTGCTTTCTTTCTCTTTTTCTTTTCCTTTCGCTTGATGCGCTTCTCTTTGTCGTCCGAGTCACTTGTATCACTGTCGCCACTACCACTCTCACTGCCACTCTCACTCTTTTCCTCCTCCTTCTCCTTCTTCTTAATATCAGTCTTTCTTATCAGTTCTCCACAATGCGAAATTCTAACATCTGCGAATGGCTTATCACTCTGATCGGTCAACACAGCATTTAAGATATCTACAATAGGTTTACCATCAACTACTCTACCAAAAACAACATGTTTTCTAAAATAAGAAAAAGAAAGAAAAGAAAAGTGTTAATATTTGATATGATGATATGTTGTTGTATGGATTATGATTAGTTTACCCATCTAAATGAGAAGCAGCGTTTGTTGTTATAAAGAATTGTGAACCATTTGAGTTTGGACCGGCGTTTGCCATCGATAGAAGATATGGTTCGCTGTGTTTCAACTTGAAATTCTCATCGTCGAATCTACTGCCGTAGATGGACTGACCACCGGTACCATTTTTATTTTGAAAGTCACCACCCTGAATCATAAAGTTCTTGATGATACGATGCAATGTCGATCCCTTATAGTGCAGCCGTAGCTGCAGTGTATCAGAAACACCCTTCTCGCCTGTGCACAAACATCTAAAGTTCTCTGCTGTCTTTGGTGTTACATCACTAAACAATTCAAATACGATTCTACCAACTTAATTAATCATCAAAAAAAAAAAAAAAAAAATTAGCATATTATTTTCTATCTCTTTAAAATCAATCAATCAATTTAATAACTATTTAGTTAGTTAGGTTAGTACTTACTTGGTTTAGAATCGATTTCAATATCAAAGAATGTTCTTGGTTTTACCATTAAATTATCTATCTATAAATATAAATATTCTGTATTATTAGTTATGAGGATGTTGAAGTTTAAGAACTAATCGTTGAATTTGAAATTTAAAATGCTGTTATTATTAATTTTTTTTTCAATTGTTTAAATTTTTTGAATCAATTTAAATGATACATCTAAAATTTACTATCAATTAAATTTGAATTACGAAAAGAATAAAATAGTTTATATTTTATTTTATTTTATTTTTGGAATAAAGATAATTATTGCTATACAATCACTATAGTATATCATAGTAGTATTTGATATCATTTCTAAGATATAAAAAAAATATAATCAATGAAATCAAAAGTGTATTTAAAGATGATGATGATGATTAATTGTGGTAATGGGGCATAATTAATTCAAGATAATCTTAAGTGTTAGTTTGTTGAGTTGTGTTTTTTGTTTTTTTCAAATAATCGATCTATCTAGAAAATAATTAAAAATATTTTAAAAATTGTGATAAATGAATGTTTAGCATCCACTTTTTGTTTTATTTTTCTTTTAATGTTGTTAGTCAACAACAAATCAAATACACATTTACCACATTTAACTTCAGTAAAACACAAATCAATCAAATATAAAACACAAATCAAAATCAATCAAAAGAAACAAAAAAAAAACAAAAACAAAAACAATTTTGTGTGTTTTCTCCTTACTTTTTATTCATCACTTCTTCTTTTATATACATATATATTTATATATTAAGTTTATTTATTTATAAATAATAGAAATATTTATTTTAAAATAAGTTAACCTAGGTTAGTTGATTGTTTCATCATCATTGTAAATAATATTATTATTAACAAAAATATATAAAGTGAGTTGGTATGTTATATAAACTTTGACTTGATTTTCAATTTCTTCAATTTATGTATATCACTATCACTTTTTAGTTGAGTTAATAGTAATAATAATATTATCATTTATAAAAAAAATGTTTCGATCAAAAGAAAAGGTTGGATTGAATTGGAATTAGATGGTGGTTGTCGAAAATGAAAGATGATAGACTAACTATTCAAAAAGCGGCACACAACAACAGCAGCAACATGATGATATTGAAGTATTTCAGGCGAGTTGAGTTGGTTATCAATAATAATAATTCTGTTTTTTTTTTTGTTTTAATTTTTGTCTTTTTTTCTTTTTTGTTTTTTTTTTTTTTTGTTATCGAAATAGAGTAACCAACCCCTTTTCAAACAAAAAAAAAGGTGAAAACAACTTAAATTAACCCCTTTAATACAAAGTAACCTCCAACAATTCAATTGTTTTTGTCAAAAAAAAAAAAAAAAAAACTTATTAAAAAAAAAACTAAAATTAAAAAAAAATAAGTAAAGTAGTAATAATAGTAATAATAAAGTGATAACAATAGCAGTAATAAATAATCAAATCAAAACAAATCAAAACATACAATATAATATTAATATCGAATTCATATCGAAACAGAACAACAACAACGTAATAGTTGATTGATTTTGACAGAGGAAAACCTATCATTTATTCGTTAATTCTATCTCTCGCATCGATCGCACAACAACAAAACCACCAATATAAAAAAAATAAAGTAGTAGTAACAAAATACATACATATACATACACAAGTAAATATTAATACTACACACCACACTATCCTATCAGTATTTTTTTTTATGTTTGATATCAAATAAAAATAATAATAATGATAAAATTCACTAAACCACAACCACTCTACTTACTCAATTCAACTCAACTCAAATCAACTCAACACACACACACACACAGAATAATAACAATAATAGTAGTAGTATAGTTTGCACAAAATCATCCTCTCTACACCTATCTTAGCATCATTAAATTTATTATTTTTATTTCAAATACAATATTCTGTTCAATAGCACTATTTTTTTTTTTTTTTTTTTTGGATATTACTTACTATCACGATTTATTTTATTATCCAATAATTAAAAATAATATAAATAATAATATAATACTGTTTGTTTGTTTGTCTGTTTGTCTGTTTATACAATTTAATGTTAGAAGGTGAGAGGTGACTGACTGAAAATAATATTATTATTACATATAAATATTAAATAAAGTATATAAAATATAAACTTTTAATAATATTATTTTCACATTGCACAAAAAATCAATCATACATTCAATCGGTCAATTCAATTCAAATAATCGAATTCAACTCTTTTTTCATTCATTCATATTAAATAATCAAGTTGTTTGTTTGTATGATTGATTGATTGATTGATTTTGTTTTTTTCTTTAAATCACAAATCACATTATTATCAAATCAATATATAATAAAATTAATATAATTTTAGTATTAATATAAACCTAATTACATTATAGATTAGAATATATTGTTATTTGAACATCACATCATCGATAGATTGTCAGAAGTCTAGTTTTTTTTTCCTTTATTAACATTTTGTGATTGTTAATATCGAATCAACAAAAAAAAAAGTAAAAAAAAAAAAAAAAAAAAAAAGAAAGTTAAAAACTCTTACTATCTTCTTTTCTCAACTCTGTTATTATACAATATATATAAATATATATCATCTTTATCTATTTAAAACATATTTATATATAGATATACAATTATAATAGTAATAATAGTAATAATAGAAATAATAGGAATTGAAAGCAAAATCAATTCAAACCAAATAACAAACCAACCAACAACTAATAGTTTACAAGAATTACTATTAATAGATAGAGTATAAAAGTAAGAGAGAGAAGCGGAAATGGGTTGTGGGATTTCGACTTCAAAAAAAGATGGAACTTCAAAGGTGAAGAAACCGAAGCAACAGAATTACAATGGAAATCTAAAGGTGCTGAACGGCACAAACACCAATGGCGGTGGCGGTGGTGCCAGTATAAACAGTCCGCCACAACACAACATCAGCAATAATAATCTAGCTGCCACAATTGACTCGGCGCAGCACCCCAACAACACGACGACAAACACGACGACCACCACAACAGGAGGCTCTTCCGGTAACCTCGCCTCCAATATAGTTTCGAGTAATGGTGGCAACAGCAATTTAAATCTACATTCCGGTGGCGGTGGCAACACGAATGGTCCGAATAAAGATATTACATACGTTGATACACAGCAGCAACAACAACAACAACAAGATAAGCGGTTTTCAACAACGGCGGCAACAGCAGCAGCCAACAACAACAGCAATGTATTGACGACATCATCGAAATCCAATAGCAATCTACACAACTCTAGTGCTCCCCTCATTGGAAGCACAAGTGCGCAACCCCAAACAACACCACCCACATCATCATCGCTAAGTGTACAAACACACAATCAAAATCAACAAGCTACCTCTACAACCTATATTTTCAAACAGTCACTGGGCAATAGTGGCGGTCAACAATCATCACAACAGCAACAACAGACCACTCAAACTACCGATTCGAAAAATGTATTAAAGACCTCAAACAACTCAAATAACAAACCACAACAAACACAACAACAACAACAACAAACACAAAACAACAACTGTAATAATATTAATAATAGTAAATTAAATACTGGTTTATCAAATAACAATATAGTAAACGCATATGATAATCAAGTACAACAACAAAATAAACCATTAGATAGTCAACAACAACAACCAAAAGCCAATGCCAGTTCTCTAAATCCTTTCCCGGGCGTTGGCTCGATATTAAAGAACGGTATCTGGTACACCGAATCGGAGCTGTCAGAGGAGAACTTTGTTTGGACACCAAAATACTGGACAATCGATCGTATTGGTAAATGGGTTGATGACATTGAGTTTTCAGATAATCAGACTTCACCCACAACACCCACTTCATCTTCACTTAACCAACAACAACAGCAACAACAACAACCAACATCGCAAACATCAGGCATTTCACAATCACCTAAACCATCGAGGCAATCGTCATCATCAAACATCACATCGCCAGCACCAGGTCCAACAACAATGTAATTTGATTTTTTTTTTTCCAAAAAAAATATACAACAAAAAAGTAGTACTTTAAACACTTTAATCGATTTTCAAATAACATAATCCAACAACTTTAGTTTTCAGCTGTACTCAAACTTGAGCAGGGAAATAGTACAGAAAATAAATATATCTATTTATATTAAAACAAATAATATAAAGATTTAAACAAAAAAAAAAAAGAAAAACAAAAAGAAATACAACTTTAATTTGAATCGTAGTAAATGATAGACAAGCTGTTGTTCATTTATATTATTATCTATTGTAATGTACTGTTACTATCTTTTTTTATTTATTTACGTCTTTTAAAAATAAAACTCAGGCTAGTGATGTTACTCCCACCAACTAGAGCGAAAAATGAACACTGTTCAACAAATGTGAAAGAAAGAACTATGGGTTAATTACAACAAAGGTTTCCAAGTTTACATAACCGAGAGTTATATATATTATCATTTCTTTAGGATTCATTTCACAGAACGTAAAGTAATTTACAAAGTATACACCAAGAAGACATAAATAAATAAAAAAAGACAGTGAGTATTATTACATTAAAACAAACTGATGAAAATTCATCAACATCAATGTGTTTTTCACTTTTTTTTTTTTTTTTTTGATTACTTTTTGATAATCAATCATTCTCTATTATTATCAATATTTGTTTGAAAGTTAATTAGTATTCTTATATATTATTATTATTGTTTTTCATTAGTATTGTTATGATATGATATGATATGTCTTATATCAATCCATTGAAAAAGAAGTTCTTAGATCAAACACCTCCACCAAACTATGTTGCTGGATTGGGTAGAGGTGCAATCGGTTTCACTACACGTTCTGATATTGGTTCTGCTAGAAATGTAGATGGAGGGTAAGTTTTAACATATTATTATTGTTATTTGTTATTTGTTATTTGTTAAAAACTAACTTGTTATTGTTTGTATCTGAAAAATAGAGTACCGGGATTTGGTGATAGAAAACAACAACAACAACAGAGAAGTGGGAATGAAGATGATGAGAATGGAGATGATAGCGATAACATTGGATATACAAATTACGACGAGTTTAATGGTGATGCAAACGATGGATTCTCTGATCCCAATGCAATCTACGATGCCGACGACAAAGAAGCAGACGACATCTGGGCAGAGTTGGATAGAAAGATGGATTCACGTAGAAAGACAAGACGTGAGGAAAAAGAGAGAGAACAGATGGAAATGGATAGAATGTCACGACCAAAGATTCAACAGCAGCTTGCGGAATACAAGTTGGGATTGGCAGCGGTCTCTTTGGACGAATGGATGAATCTCCCGGATGGTGGTGACATCTCGAGAAAAGCAGTAAAGAAACAGCGGGAAATCTATGTTCCCGTGCCGGATTCGTTGATTGAGCGAGCGAGACAAGAGAATGAATCGTATTCAGTGCTGCAGGTAGGCAATTCCAGTGGTGGAATCAACGACGGCAACCTGTCGAGCATCTCTGGTACGACGACGACCGACTTGACACAGGTCGGATCGGCGCGAAAGACAGTGCTCGATTTGAAGTTGAATCAAGTGAGTGACAGTGTTTCCGGACAGACTTGCGTCGATCCCAAAGGTTATCTCACCGATCTAAAGAGTAAGAAGATTGCAACGGACACTGAGATTGGCGATATCAAGAAAGCGAGATTGTTGTTCAAGTCGGTGATCCAAACCAATCCTAAACATGCTCCCGGTTGGATTGCAGCGGCCAAACTGGAGATGTTGGCTGGTAAGCTGAGTCAAGCACGTAAAATCATATCACAAGGTTGTCAGGAGTGTCCGGACAACGAGGAGGTGTGGATTGAGAATGCCAATTTGCAGACGCCCGACAACGCCAAGGCGGTGTTGGCGCAGGCAGTCAAGCTGATTCCACAGTCTGTCAAAGTATGGCTGTATGCAACCAACTTGGAGAAAGACATTCGTATGAAGAAAAAGATTCTTCGACGTGCTCTAGAGTTCATTCCCACCTCTGTGAAGCTGTGGAAGGAGGCGATCGAGTTGGAGGAGCCCGACGATGCAAGAATCATGTTGGGTCGTGCAGTGGAGTGCGTTTCCGACAATGTTGAGTTGTGGCTGGCTTTGGCCAATCTAGAGACCTATGAGAAAGCCAGAGAAGTTCTGAATCGTGCGCGTCAATCGATTCCGACAAGCAGCGAAATCTGGATTGCAGCGGCGCAACTCGAAGAGTCGGCAAAGAAGAATGAAAACGTATCGCGTGTCATCAAGAAAGCTATCAAATCGCTGTCCACCACTAATATTGTTGTGATGGATCGTGAGAAGTGGATTGGAGAAGCAGAGAAATCAGAGAAAGTCGGTTATCCAATTACTTGTCAGGCGATCATTTTCGAATCGATTGGAATGGGTGTCGAAGAGGAAGATAGAAAGAGAGTTTGGTGTGCCGATGCCGAGGAGCTGATACAACGTGGATCGATAAAGACTGCCAGTGCTGTCTATGCTTATCTGCTGACGGTCTTCCCAACAAAGAAGTCGGTGTGGGTCAAGGTTGCGCAACTCGAGAAACAATACGGCTCGAAAGAATCGTTGGAACAAACATTGAAACAAGCTATAAAGAACTGTCCGCACTACGAAGTGCTCTGGCTGATGTATGCCAAAGAGAAATGGCTGGCTGGCGACGTCGACCAGGCACGTTCCATCTTGACACAGGCTTTCGAGTCGAATCCTGGAAGTGAGGAAATTTGGTTGGCTGCCGTCAAAATTGAATCAGAGATGAATGAAATCAAGGTGGCAAGAGGTTTGTTGAAGCGTGCCATCGATATGGCAGCGACAGAGAGAATTTGGATGAAGTCGGCGTTGTTGGAGCGCGAGTTTGGCGAGTCGAAAGCAGAGAACGATATTCTGGCCGAGGGATTAAAGGCGTTCCCAACAAGCTGGAAACTGTGGCTGATGAAAGCGCAGCTCGAGGAGCGTGTAAATCCACGCGCACTCGACAAGATCAGAGACATCTACAATTCAGCCGTAACGAAATGTCCATCTTCCATCCCATTGTGGTTGGAGTTTGTCAGATTTGAGAAGCGCGCCAACAACCAACAGAAAGCGAGAACTCTCTTGGAGAAAGCAAAGCTTCGTAATCCAAAGAACGAGGAGATCTATTTGGAGTTTGTCAGATTTGAAAAGTCGGTTGGAAATGCCAAGGCCGCTGCCAATTGGCTGTCAGTCGGCCTGCAAGAGTGTCCGAAATCCGGACTGCTCTGGGCCGAGGCGATTGCCAACGAGCCAAAGCATGGCCAGAAGAACAAATGTGTCGATGCTCTCAACAAGTGTAACAATGACCAATACGTTCTGACGCAAGTCGCCAAGATCTTTTGGTTCGACGGCAAGCTTGACAAGGCAAAATCGTGGTTCAAACGTGCCATCACCACCTTTTCAGACTATGGCGACGCCTGGGCATACTATTATTTATTCCTACTGAGAACTGGACAGTCATCGAGCAACACCAGTAAAAACCTCAATGAATCGGAAATGAATGAGCTTCTCAAACAGTGTCTAGAAGCGGAGCCTCACCACGGAGAACAGTGGACTAAAGTGTCGAAACAGCGTGGTAACTCAAGATTGAAATCAGATCAAATATTGAAACAAGTTTCAATTAATATTTCACAAAATCAATTACTTGTATAGATAAATAAAACATTTTTATATAAATAAAAATGTGTTTATGTTTGTTTTTTTTTTTTTTTTTTTTTTTAAGCACCAATAAGATTATTTTGTCATTGCAAATACAGATTCACCAAATAATTATGATTAAATTATCGATTCAACAACAAATAGACTCTGTTTATTTTTATTTATTTTTTTGTTGAATAATGTCGACTTTTTTTTGGTAACACTCAAATGTCAACAATATTCTTGGCATGTCAGTACATTTTTGTGTTTTTTTTTTTGAAAACATAAAAATCTATATATTTTTAAGTGAAAACTTCACATGTTTGTTTTTATCTTTATTAATAAGGTGCGACCCTCCACAGATACCCAATCTAATTAAAATAAAAAAATGGTAATTTAATAAAAAATGTTGACAATTGTTGATAAATTTTTTATAAATTAAAACAATCTTTGAATTCATTTAATTAAATATTGTTTTTTTTATATACTTCAAACAAACAAATAAATATATTATAAATTTTAATAATAAATAATAATAATAATGTCAACTGTTGAAACTGCTGCTGTCCAACCCGCTGCTGTCGCCGCTCCAACATCTACAGGAGGAAAGAAGGTAAAGCCATCCAAAGAAGAAGCTGTAAAATTGAAATTGGTATATATTAAATGATTTGATTGTTGTTTTGTTGATAATAATTTCAATGTATCTTACCAACTAGTTAACTTTTAATTTAATTGTAGGAGAAGAAACAAAAGAAGACTGCTTTGCTCGATACTTACAAATCAAAGACACCAGCTGAACTTCAAGAAGAATTAAAGAAAATTAGTATGTAAAATAGATGTGATTTGTATTATGTTCAATTGTTTTTTTTAACATAATTTTAATTATTATTATTATTAGCTGGTGACACTAAAGAGGATAAGCAAAAGCGTAAAGTTATCCAAAAGGCCATCGACACTCAATCTGGTACTGTAAAGACCAAGGAGGAGAAGAAGAAGGACAAGTCTGCCAAGAAGATCGAAAAGTTAAAGAAGAAGAATCCAAACATCACTCAAGAGGAGATTGACCAGGCACTCTCAGAGAAGAAGAAGGACAAGAAGGAGATAAAAGAAGCCGCCAGAGAGAAGGAAGGAAAAGCTCCAAAGGAAAAGAAAGACAAGAAGGAGAAGAAAGACAAAGAAGGAAAAGAGAAAAAGGACAAGGAAGGTAAAGAAAAGAAAGAAAAGAAGTAAATTAGTTACTTTTACTTTCAAAAAAAAATATTGTACTCTTTGTATCTATTTATTCCTTCATTCTCATTTAACAATTATTATTATCAAATAAAAATTTAATATTTTTAATTACATATTATAAGTAGAGATTCTTCTTGAACACACTCACCATTATTATTTAACAAAGATTTCATTGATCAAATAATTAGTTATTTAGATCTAGAATCACTAAGTTAAGATATTTTTGGCAGTCTCAGTATTTCTATAGTATCAACTATTTTTCAACTTTTTTACTCAGGGTAATTTCCCATTATTTAGCATTGCAAGATCATAGAGGTCATAACATTGTGGACCTTATAACATAGGGAATTTATAGTTCAATAATATTTGTTCAGACAAAGAAAAACAATAATTAAAGTTATTATTGTTTTATTTATATATTAAAAATCTTTAAACAAATTGATAACTATGATGGTTTCACGAGGAAGACAAATTGATAACTTGGAAATATATAATGTATTCATTTTACCTTTCTTGGTATTGATATTATTGTATTTATTGAAAAATAGTTGACATTTACAAGATATTGATTAGTTTGCAACATTTCTCAATATATTAGGAACATTAATTCCATGATACATTCTATTTTCAATCTAAGATGGATACTTTGAAAGTTTATATACTTAGTGAGTTATTGTTTGTTTTTTTGGTTGAGCAAAATGGTTAAAAATTAATAGATAGTTTTTTTTTTTGGTTAGATTTTAATTGGGTAGTAGAATCATTCACACTAATTATAGTTTAACTGACTTGGTTATGTATTATATTGACCTTTTATTATTCAAATAATAATGATAGCTATATATAAGAAAGGTTATTTCTAATTTTTCATAATTCAAAAATTAATTCATTTCTGTTGTAAATTTCTAAACTAATAAACTAAAGTAATATTTAAAAATGTCCTCTGTTGAAACTACTACCCAAACTTCTGATTCCTCAAAATCAGAAAAGAAGGTAAAGCTATCCAAAGAAGATAAAATGGTAAATATCAATATAGATGGATTTGATAATAATTTTGGTTATCATTTAATATGTTTACATTATAAATATATTTTGATAGGAAAAGAAACAAAAGAAGAATGAATTAATTCAACATTATTCATCTATGAAACAAGAAGATCTCTTAAATGAATTAAATAAAATAAGTATGTACATTCAAATAGTTAAACCTCTAAAAGATAACTAATTCTAAAATCATTTTATCAACCAACTTAATTTTAAAATTTAATCGGAGAATAGCTGGTGATACTAAAGAGGATAAGAAAAAGCGTAAGACCATTCAAAAGGTGATTGACATTCAATCGGGTACTGCAGAGACCAAAAAAGAAAAGAAACCAAAGGACAAGTCTGCCAAGGAGGATAAAGAAAAGAAGGACAAGAAGAAAGATAAAAAAGACAAGACTGATGATAAAGAAAAAGAATCAGAAAAATAAAATCCACATACATACCTGATGTGACTACATATGTATCCATTTTAATTTACAAAAAAGATGCATCTTTTTTACTTTTTTTTTGCGAACTACAAATGTAAAAATAAAATTAAATTTTTAATAAATTCAAAAACAATAACATGAACACACAAACCTCAATTTATTTTTTTCTATTTTATTTTTGTTTTTATACACATTTATTACGCTATTTAAATAATATATTTGATTTATTGTTATTTCTAAATTATCATCATAGTAGTACTCTAATAATCAAATAATTTTATTATAATATATATATATATATATAATTATATTTGTTTTTTTTAGATAGATAGATAGATAGAATAGAATAGAATAAAAACATAGTTTATTCACGATTATTTACAGAGCTAATAGCTATTGTTATGAGTTATACTTGTCTATAAAAGTGAAAAGAATTAATAATTAATTTTTAAATTGATTGATTGGTTGATTTGATTGTAGCATACTCATTCATCCATTCATTCAATTCTTTGTGTAAATAAAATATAATAATCATCATAATATATTCACAATCATCATAAAATAAATATTCATCATCATCATCATCATCCATCATCCATCATCATGCAAGCTTCGAATCCAACCACCACAACAACAACAACAAAACAAAAGAAACAATCAACTTCAAAAACATACAAAGTCGTAAGTATGAACATAATAATAATAACAAACATTTTAAAAATAACAATGAATCAATATCATATCATTAGGAATCAATTTTAAAGAACTTTGTTGAATTATTAATAAGTGCTCCTGAGGACAAGCTTATTGAATATCTATCGAATTTACAAGAATGGCCATTCGATCATCATGTAGGTACAATAGTGTAGTGAACGCAGTTCATCATCTTTCAAGAGATGAAACACAAAAAAAAACCAAAAATTAAATCACCAAAATTTCACACAAATTTAAATTAACACCTTTTGTTTTTTTTTTTTTTTTTTTATATTAAAAATTTAATTTAACTTATTAGGATGATATGAATCACTTGAGTGATCTTCTGATGCGGTTTCAAGATATATTTCATAGGTTAATTAATAAGTATACACCTCAGTCCTCCACTTCCACATCAGCAGCAACAACAACAACAACAACAGCATCAACTTCAACCAATTCCAGTTATATTCCATTATTGACTGCATCACCACAGCACACCGAAGAAGAATTCAAACATGACAAACAGCTCATCTTACAATTAGTTAAATGTACAAGATTCATCATATCATCATGTTCGAATGGTAATCACTATCAATCTTCAGAGGTAAGTAAACTTACACATATGTTAATATTAGAGCAATGTTTTCTTTCATTCATTCAATTAACTTAACTTAAATATTATATTATAGGAATTATTACAACTATTTTCATTCCATGATTATGATATAAGTAACGAGATATTAAAGCTATTATCCATATTATTGATAACTCCAAAGTATACGAGGGAGTGTGTATTTTTCATCCATAATAATCTTGGCCCTAGGCTAAAGATTCTCGCAGCAGGATTTCCAGAGAATCATATGGACCTCCTCACTTGTTGTAGTGAGGAGTTGGTGATTCCATCATCCATTACAAATTTCACTTTGGAATTCTATGAGAAACACCAACAACCACAACTACAACAACAACAACCACCACAACAACAAACAGAACAACAACAACCACAAACACCACAACAATCACAACAACAACAACAACAACAAAATGTACAGGTTAATGAAAGTGACCGTAAATCCTTTGTTAGATTTACAGATATAGATAAACGCACAGCTGCCAAAGAGAGTCTGTTTGATATTGTACAAAGTCAGATATCAAAGTACGCCATGTCGGAGGACGATCAATTTCATACCTACAGTCGTGTGCATACCGCCCAAATATTTGGTGATGTCGAGCAGCGTAGAAAGTGGGTTCAATGTCGATTGATGGCCATCAACTGTATTCAGTACACCACTGAGCAACAGCTTGCACAGATCGTCGTTGACGAACCGGATTTTGTCAACGAGCTGATGGATCTCATTAGAAAATACACTACAGTGCCACAGGACGTGCTCATCGCCGGAATCTACGCGCTCTCTTCGCTGTCCTCGTCGTACTTGTCGAGTGGATCGACAAACTCTCTTCACTCTGCACTCTCCCAAGGCTTCTTCCAGTCGATCCTTCGCAAGTGCGTCGCCATCCTCACTGGAAAGATCGCGCCAGAGCCACCCTTTACCATATACTTTATGAAGGCAATCTTTCACTTCCTGTTTGGCATCTCCTCGGTCAACAAATCGATTCTCCACACCTCGGGAATCTTTGTGTCATTGCTCCCACTCCTGCAGATGCACACTTCCACAGTGTCCAGCATCAACTTCCAGCTGGCAACCTACCGAATCATCCAGGTGATGATGTTCTACAAGACTTCAAACATTGAGATATTCGGTGAAGTCGAGCATCTCCAGCAATTCGTTCAGACACTCGAGTCCGAGGTTAATTACATCATGGAGAACCCACTCGCTCCCGAAAAGGAGGAAGAGTTGCTCGTCGAGTTCCCGCTAAAGACAAAGCGCACCAAGAAGCCACCATTCAAGCTGGCCACACAAAAGATAGGAGCGCACCTGACCTACGATGAATCAAAGGTCGACACCTCTTTGTTCCAGCTGAACAATCCACATCTCACGGGCAAGCGCAAGATGAACCTCATATTCGAAATGCTTCATACTCTGTTGCCCATTGTCAGTAGCAACGGAGTTCCCCGAACCATCTTGAATCACATCATCGACAGTTCCACCGGCATACTCAAACGAATCATTGTCAATCACAAGTATTTCAGCTCGCAGGTGCTCTGCCAAGCATTCCTTTTGCCGACCCAGCTCATCCAGAATGAGCCAACCTGTTTCACCACGCTTCAGTCGAGTGGCTTGATTGAGGCACTCTTTGACTACATCACTCAGAACGAGTTCCCACCAGAGATGGTATTACTTATAGTGTCGGCACTCAACTCTTTCTGTTTGAATCAACAGTTTAAGCAAACACTCCTCGATTCCAAGTTCCTCGAGCGCTACATGTTGATTTTCGCCAAGCCAAAGTATGCTAGCGCCATCTCCAATCGTGTCCTCAGCAACATCGCCACTTCCATTTCTGATCTGATACGTCACTACACTGAACTGAAAGCACCGGTAGTCGAATCGATGGTTTCACTCATCGATTTGGTTTTGGCACTCGACTTTGAATCGCAATCGGAGAAATCCAATAACACTGCAGTCGTCAACACGGTAACTCGTCTTCTCTCCATTTTCTTTAGTACTGGCGAGAATGAGAAGCTCTTTATCCAAAAGAATGGACTTGACAAACTACTGCAACTCTACACCAACCCCAGTTGTTTCCCAAAGAATCTATCGATCTTTAAAGCACTCAGTGTCAACAACACTTCGCTCGTTTTGAAATCCATCATCAAGAATTTGTCTGCGCAATTTTCTGAGCTCGATACATTGGCGCCAGCTTGGCGAACCGTTAGAATCATCCGTGACTGGGATGAGACCGACGTGAAGAACAAAGATCAGATACATCGTAGTATCAAAACCATTGGTGGAATCGTAGTTATCCTGGTAAGCTTGATCAAAGAAAATCCCGATGACATACCCATTTCCGTGATGGACGAATGGGCTACCGATCAAGGAATAGCCGTATCTCAATCAATGAGTTGTTTACAACGCTCGCTCTACTGGGAAGCTTATCTCGGTCGCCATTCTCTCTTGTCTACACCCAAGAAATCGGGAGCAACTGCAGCAACATCGGTAAATGAGTCCCCGAAACTATCTTCAACCGAAGACTCATTGTCATCGTCATCCAGCAGTATATCAGAACAAAATCAACCTGCAGCAACAACTACTACCACCACAACATCATCTTCAGATCAATCTAGTTCGTCAAGCAGTGGTGTTGCCAACAAAGATTATGAATTCACTTTCAGAGATCAAATACACGACCTCGAATTCCTCTTGAATTACTTTATCGAATCGTTGAACCCACATGGAAAGAGAGATATTCTCAACGACACTAAATCTGAATTGCTCTTAAAGACAATCGCATCTAATCTAACAAATTGGATTAAATGGAAACCTGATGGTAAAATTTAGAAATAACATTTTTTATTTATTCTTTTGATTCTAATACTAATCTCTTCTTTTTCAACATATATATATAGAGAACTTGGCCAATAAAATATATCATAAATATATTGTAAAGTGCACAGATGAAATTGCCAAAATAGTTTTTATCAATTTAGTTGGTTCTCTTTATAAATTGGATTTCATGGATGTATTTTCCCAGATTCTACATTCACTCGTTGAGGAATTCAATCAAAATCCACAAACTGAAAACGTTAACCTTAGATGTGCAATTTTTTCGTAAGTAATAATAGTAATAATAATAGCAATAAGATAATTAACAAAATTTATATTGTTTTTTTCGAAAAGATGTGGTAATTTGATTTTAAGTATTGTCAATACTCTCACTGCCAAGAACCAAAGTAAGTCGATTTCCGAAAAAGTGATGCCAGTCATATTGCAAGAGGTAATCTTTTGTTGGAATCAGCCAACGATCTCATTGCTTCCATTCAAGAGAGAAATTCTTGAATCACTCTATCTCATTTTGAATAAGCACGATGACCAACAACAACCAGAACGTCCCAAGGTTTCGAAACCACCTCCACCTGCTTTCGTTCCAAGTGAAGATAATATCAATTTGTTGATGGACATGGGATTCATTCGTGAGCATATCGTCAAGGGAATGAAAGCGCTGCAATCAAACAATGTTGAGAGTGTCACCGATTGGATGTTGAACAATCCGTATGTCGAGGAAGAGGAACCAGCCAAGTCTGCTGTTGCCACTCCACAACAACCGGTGGCTGCTGCTACTCTCCCGCCACCACCAAAGGAGAAGGTTACGATCGATGCCATGGTACAGGAAATCAGACCGACATTGGTCGATAAGGCACTCTCATTGTTGAACGACCAATATGAAACCAGCTTGATTGAGAGTATCTATCATTTGTTCTTGCTCATTGTGAAGGACACCAAGACACCGGAATGCAAAGACCACATAGTTGATCGACTCATGAAAGACATGGAGCTTTCATTCTCTGACTACTCCTCAAATTCCAAGTACACCATCGGTATTCTTTATCTACTGCAAAAGCTCAACGATGTTCCAGAGATTCACAAACTCTACTCGGACAAAGGATTATTGATGATTCTTGTTGGATTCCTCTCGGATTTACAACATAAGAAATCGGTATTTGTTTTGCCAGTGACTAGTGGTGAGGAATCAACAACAACGACCACGACCACGACCACCAGTGACAAATCTTCAATCGCCACTACAATGACATATCTCAATAATCTGTTAATGTTGGTTCAAGATTTGATCAGACCAGAGTATGTCAAACCACCAAATTTCGATTTCGAAGAGGAGGAGAAGAAAGAAGAGTCGATAGATCCCGAGTACTACTTGCTGTTGGAGACTTGCATTGAATTGCTCAAACTACCAAACACTGCACCACTCGATGTCGTTCTGTTGAAGATTCTCAAGCAGTTGACCAGTAAACATGGTCTTGCCATTCAGTTCTTGAATGAGGGTGGACTCGATGTTCTCCTGCCAAAGACTTGTTCCGGTCTACTAATGAAGGATGTCACTCAAATGTATCATACCATCGTTCGTCAGATCATAGAGGATAAGGATACATTGCTTGCTTCCTATTACAATGTCATTAAGCATCTCTTGATTGCCAACAAAGTCCCCAAGGGTGTCTCGGCAAAAGCTTTTTTAACTACTTTGTCCAAATTTGTTGCACACAATCCAGTGGTATTCTTGCGTGCCTCAGTCGATACCTGTCGTCTAAATCAAAGCAGTGGTATCTACTTTGCCAAGACCAACGCAGTGCCAACTTCAGTCCCAGAGGATACATCTCACATTGTCAAGGTCGCACACGTTTTGATCAATGCCTTGCTCGCACCCCAACCAGAGTCAACAGCTAGCGAGCCAATCGTATCGCCAACTATCTCTGCCAAGCGACACGCCAAGAGTAAGTTCACTACTCCACCAACAGGAGGTCCTGTTGCTATTGCTCCACACCCAGACATAGAAGAGAAACCCTATCCTATTCTCTCGAAAATAGGACTTTTGAAGTTGATGGAGGAATCGAATATTGCATTCCCAGTGTTCCTTGAGGTTCTGCTCGATTACTCTGAACAGGATCTACTCCTCTTTGTAATGAAGAATTTCATTGCCAATTCGAATGGCTCCACTCCCAATGAAAGTGCAGTTGCAAATCACCTCGCAGGCTATAGATTCATTTTATCATTCTGTGGAAGTGCCAGAGGTAGAACCAAGGTGGTTGAACTCATTGCCAAATGTCTCACAGAAGCTAAAAGTGATTATCAATCCAGCCATTCAAAGGCAGATCAATTACGAATCAGCCATATTGTCAATCTAGTTGGAATCATGTTGAATCTTCCGCTACATTGTTACACCAATGAGATGTACCGTATGTTGGTAGAGAATGATATGATCAACATTCTCTTGGAGGTCTTGAATGCCATCGATTTCAGTTCGAACAAAGCATCGCAAATGGTAGTATCCATGCTCCAGACCGTTGGACAGTTGACAAAGTATGCTTCCAATCCTCCAGAGAAAGAAAAGGACGATTCTCGTCTCAATATCTTTGAATCGCCAACTGGAAACTTTGACAATTTCTTTAGAAACAGCAGAGATGCTATTTTCACACCAATCTCTCGGTCACCAGAGGAAGAGCTTCAAATGTTAGTTGGTAATGCACTTCAGAATTTCAATCGTATGAGATTTGTCAACTCGAACGAAGCTGATCTCGACAATTCCGACGATGACGACAGCGATGACATTGATATCGACACACAGGACGACGAAGACGACGACGAAGACGCCGATATGATGGATGAAGACGATGATGACCTCGACGACTCGGATGAGGTGATCGACGACGATGAAATCATGGAGATGGAGGATGCACTCCCCGGACTCATTGAGAACATCCAACAAGAGGCAAGAAATCTATCGAATCTCTTGAATCAAGAATCAATATTTGATCATCTCTTGCGTTTCAGCAATGGTCAGCTCAACCATTTGGTTAACAATCTCGGTGGTAACCAACCACAGTTGGATTTGTCTAATCTCTGGCGACCATTAGAGAGATCTAGAGATCGTTTGATTCCAAACAATGCCACTCAGATCTCCACTCTTTCCAAGGAACTCGATGAAACAAACTATGCCGTCATGTTTGAAGTCGATCTCATCAAGTTGTTGACCAAAGCAACCAAGGAAGACGAGATTCAAAAACAAAAAGAGAAGGAGAAGGAAAAGGAAAAGGAGAAAGAAAAAGAGAAAGAACAAAAGCCAAAGGAAGAGAATTCAACCGGCGAGGAATCGTCCAGTGTTGTACAACCAACAACTACTCAAGATTCTCCATCGACAACAACTCCTACCGCTTCGAATTTCGTTGCTCCACCTTCCTCAACGCAATCGACATCTCCAACTACTCTTCAACAAATGAGTTCTCCACCTGTTTCATCACCATCGTCCTCTCTATCGTCGTCTGCCTCATCGATTCCGTCACCATCAGTATCACAATCACCAGTCATATTCACTCCCGACCTGGATATGAGTGTTTGGAGAAACAATACGGAAATCAATCAAATTGCCAACAGTATCTCATCGAACCAACAACAGACTTCATCCAATACAGACGCTCCACAAATCGACCAAGACAATGAAGAGGAACAAGGTAGTAGTTCAACTGCTACCACCACTACTACTTCAACAACAACCTCTGCTACTGATAATCAGGAACAACCACCACCACAGCAACAACAACAATCCCAAGAACAACCAGCGGTTCCTGCACCAACACCAGTATCATCTGAACCAACTACAGTCGATTTAGGTATCGATCCAACATTCTTGTCGGCCCTTCCTGCAGAATTGAGAGCTGAAGTACTTGCCACCCAACTTGGTTCCATTCACCAAAATGCTACTAGTAACAACATCACTATTAACCCAGAGTTCTTGGCCGCTTTGCCACAAGACATTCAGAATGAAGTACTCGAACAGGAACGTTTGATATCACAAAGAAGAAGAGCTACTGCACCACCTCCACCCGTTGATATTACACATGCTCAAGACATGGATAATGCATCGTTCTTGGCCACTCTTCCACCCGATCTCAGAGAGGAAGTATTAATCAGTCAACCAGAGGCATTCCTCTCAACACTCCCACCAGAACTCCATGCTGAAGCCGTTCGTCTTCGTGAGAGAGACCGTTACGACACCTACAGAAGCTTCATTGAGAGAAATGCTCAACAACCACCTCCACGTTCTTTGAAGCCAAACGCTCAACAGAAACCAAAGACTGTTCTCAATCAGAGTGGTTCCCTTGTGAAGAAAGAGAATCTTATTCCAATATTGAGAGTGTTGTATCTCGATCATCCATGGAACCGTCAACAACTCTCACAGATACTCCAACAGATCTGTACATTTGCTGAGAATCGTAATCATCTCTTGACCTATCTGATTCAGATTCTAACAGCATCCAAGAAGTCGGCTGTTTCAACAACATCCAGCACCTCTGTGACTTTGGACAACGATACCTTCTCACCAGTTGACGACCCATGCCATCCACTTGTAAAATACAAACACTTTAGATCGGTCGAGGAATCTGATCATCCACCTTTACTTGTCATTCGTAGAATATTGGATATTCTTCAAGGTCTGATTGCCAACAATTCACACGTTGCTCAATGGATGTGCACTGAGCAGTCATTGCCATTGCCAACCTCAAAGAAAGGCAAGGAGAAACAAGATGCATCAGAATCTTCTATTCCATTGTGGAAACTGTGCTCGATCATCACCAACAAGGATATCTACAACAAACCAAGTCATCTTGAGAAACTAGCATACACATTCCTCTTGATTTTGGATTCCCAAAAGAAAACACCTGTTTTCCCTAAGCAATTTGTCGATAACTTTATCAAAGCAATGTTAAAGAGTACCTCTGAAGCCAAGATTGTCCAGTTGTTAGTTAAGATCGGTACTTCCGAGGAGAATCGTTCCATTGTTCTCGATGAACTGACTCAAAATGCAAAGAAACTTGCTGGAGATGTCATTGCCAACCTTAACAACATCAAGGGTATCTTTAAGGAATCACACATGTCACCATCACTTGTGGTATCATTACTTCCATCATCCTCGAAAGAGACTAATCTCTTGCAAATTCTCCAAACAATGTCTATGATCCTATCACCCAAACCAACAACTCCAAAGATATCTATACCAATAGAAGTCAATGAGAATGCCGCTGCTGCGCCAACTTCTCAAGAGGCAAATACCAATACAGATCCTGCTGCTTCTACAACCAATACTACCCAACCACCAACTGCGACAACAACTCCAGCACAAGTTCCACCAACACAAGCAGTCGCTAATGCTAGTCAGCCTGCTGCTGCTGCTGCAACTGAAGAAGCAACTTCAACCACTACAACAACTACTACTACAACCACTACAACAACAACTTCTACCAACACAACAACAACAACAATCACAGGTACTTCTTCAGGTTCCTCATCAGCCACTGAAAGTAAGATCACAATTGGTGAATACTTTAAACATAATATGGAGTTTGAAACTCTTTGGGATACTATCAAACAATTCCTTAAGCTTATCAACTCTGAAAAAGAAGAGAAACCAGTTACCAAACAGAAATTCCTAAAGAAAAAGATCAGCTCTGTTCCACTGTCATCTTTGTTGTTGCCATTGATGGAGATATACTTCCAACTCAACTCACCACACCCCGACAAGTTGAATGTCAACACAGTTCCAGTGTCTCCAAATCTCTCAGGTTTGAAGTTATCGAACCAAAGCATTCCAGTCCAGACCTCAATTACACCACCATCTCAAGACTACCAGACAATGAGATTCTTTGAGTTTGTTGAACAAAATAAGAACCTAATCAATGACCTCATCAGACAAGATAATTCACTATTGAATGGTTCATTCAGTATTTTGATAAAGATTCCGAAATTCTTGGATTTCGATAACAAGAGAACCTACTTTAGACAATACTTCCAATCGAGAAAGGAGAGAGCAGGTACTATCAGACTCAAGATCAGAAGAAATCACATCTTTGAAGACAGCTACATGCAACTTAGAATGCGTCCAGCCGAGGAATTCAAGGGTAAGCTTCACATTCAATTCTCTGGTGAAGAGGGTATTGATGTCGGTGGTTTGCTTCGTGAGTGGTATTTGGTACTCTCCAGAGAGATGTTCAATCCTGGATATGCACTCTTCAAGACTTGCGCTGCCGACAATGTCACTTTCCAACCAAATCCAGAATCCTATATCAATCCAGACCATCTCTCGTACTTTAAGTTCATTGGTCGTATCATTGGAAAGTCATTGTATGACGGACAGATGCTTGACGCTTTCTTCACCAGAAGTTTCTACAAACATATGTTGGGACTTCCAATTACAGTGACAGACATGGAATCAATCGATCCTCAATTCCACAAGAATCTAATCTGGATTCTAAATAATGATATCACAAATGTAGTTGACTTGACATTCTCTACTGAAATCGATATTTTCGATTCACTCAAAGTCATTGAGCTCAAACCAGATGGTGCTAACATCCCAGTTACAGAAGAGAACAAGCTAGAGTATGTAAGATTGGTAGCATCGGTGCGTATGACCAACTCAATCAAGGATCAGATTGCAAGTTTCTTGGAAGGATTCCACGAACTCATACCAAAGTCATTGATCAGTATCTTTAATGAACTCGAGCTTGAACTGCTCATCTCTGGTCTACCGGAGATCGACATTGACGACCTCAGAGCCAACACTGAATACAGTGGTTACTCTGCAGAATCACCTCAAATCAATTGGTTCTGGAATGTCATTCAACAGAATTTCTCGAATGAAGAAAAGGCACTTTTACTACAGTTTGTTACTGGTACCTCAAAGGTCCCACTAGATGGTTTCAAGGCATTGGTGGGTATGTCCGGACTACAAAAATTCCAAATTCATAGAATCAGAGGAAATGCTCATAGATTACCGACAGCACATACTTGGTAAGTCAGATTTTCAATTTAATTCTTCAATTATTGTTGACTAACATTTTTTTATCAAATAGTTTCAATCAAATAGATTTGCCAGAATATGAATCAAGTGAACAACTTGAAAAGATGCTCAAGATAGCCATCAGTGAGAATTCAGAAGGTTTTGGTTTCCATTAAACTTTTGAGAATTGTGACGTGGTACTTTTTTTAACCTTTTGGGTTTGACAAAAGAACCCCTTTTTAATATATAAATAAAGTAAATTAGTTTGTTTAGTGTTTCCATTTATTGTAAAAAAATGAATTAAATGTTTTATTTGTTCACTTTCAAAAATGAACAAATTTTTTTTTTTTGAAAACCAAATCTGATTGTTTTTTTCTTATCTATGGATAAAAAGTAGGACCATCTTCAATTCGAAACAATCCAACTGATTTGTCAGAGATCTTTTTTAAAAATTTAAAGTTCTGACAATCATCCTGTCCAAGATAATAATAGTCACCGGGAACCCAATCATAAAATTCCCTCTCTGAGGATGACAGACCAATGATTGGCACCAAAACACCAAAAACCATCTAATGTTCTGAGAGCAATCCATACTTCGACAATTTGTCTTCAACGCTAACATCATCCTTTCTAGCATATTCTTTAGAACAAAAATTCAATTATCTAGTTAAAAGTGTTATTGTTTTCAACATTTTAATTTAAAAAAATTTTAATTGAAACTTATAGGATTAAGTTTATTATTTCTTAAGGTGTTAAAAATAGTATGGTATAGGAAATCATTCATATTTTAATTAAAATATCAAACAATAAAAAAAGGATAAAATTGTTATATTTTCTATTACTAATAAAAATAGTAACCACAATTTTTTTTTTCCTTCAGTTTTTTAAGTTAAAACTTATTGTATTAAGTTAATTATTGATCTCGGGTATAAATACCTCTTCTCTTTGAATAACTAAAGTTATCTTTTATTTATTTTAGAAATTGGAAAAAGAAATATGGGAAGTTCCTCCTCTAAAGCAGATATAACAAAAGGAAGAAAGGATGATGTCAGAGTTGAAGACAGAGAGAAAGATGTAAGAATTGTTGAAGTATGGATTGCTCTCAGAACATTAGATGGTTTTTGGTGTTTTGGTGCCAATCATTGGTCTGTCATCCTCAGACTCAGCAACGGACAATATGTTTGCTCTCAAAAGGAGACTCAGGGTTTCGTGTGGACGACCGTTTGGAATTCAATGAGATCGGCGGCACTCTCAACTTGGACAAATGAGAGTAATCCAACTAACCGTGTTAGAACCTCATGTTATGGTTATTGTGATTTCTCTTGGCATAAATTTCATGATTGGGTGCCACTGGGTGACAGTTATTATCTTGGACTTGATGATTGTCAGAACTTTGCAAGAGAAATTGTAAATATGATCACTGACAAATCAGTTGGAATGTTTCCATTAGAAGATGGTCCTACTTTTTATCCATAATAAAAAAAAGGGTTTTATGTAAATTCAATATTGATCATATCTTCATCAATCACCATTTATTGAAAGGAAACTATATAAATTAAAAAAATCCTCTTTCTTTTGTTCATCTTAAAACAAAAATCTTCAAATCAGTACTCCTTTGTAATTTTCCATCATTACCTTCAAACTTAATAATAAAATCCAAATAAATTTAATATTATTTATATTTTTAACAATATTTTATTTCTTCTTATTTTCTGACCTTGTAAAGTATTGTAAACTTCTTATCAACTTGAATATTTTGATTAAACTTGAAAGTTTTTTCATAAAATATTATATATTTACATAAATTTAGAGATCTTATCTTTGATTCAACTTTATTTTTTTCTAAACAAAATCAGAATTTTTTTCTTCTCTATGGATAAAAAGTAGGACCATCTTCAATTGGAAACCAACTAACTTTTTTTCCTGTTAGAATTCTTACAATTCTTCCTTCAAAGCTCTCACTATGGTCATTGAAAAGATTGAATTCATCACCGACTGGCACACAGTCATGAAACTCTCGCCAAGAGAAATTACAATCACCATAACATGAGGTTCTAACATGGGTAGATGGTACACTATCATTTGTCCAAGTTGAGAGTGCCGCCGATCTCATTGAATTCCAAACGGTTGTCCACACATAGCCCTGAGTATCCTTTTGAGAGCAAACATATTGTCCGTTGCTGAGTCTGAGGATGACATACCGACGAATTTTTTGAACAAAATTCAAAATCCCGTCTAACTCTCTTCGAGCAATCCATACTTCGACAATTCTTACATCTTTCTCTCTGTCTTCAACTCTGACATCATCCTTTCTTCCTTTTGTTATATCTGCTTTAGAGGAGGAACTTCCCATATTTTTTTCTTTTTCCTATTTCTAAAATAATTAAAAGATAACTTTAGATATTCAAAGAGAAGAGGTATTTATAACTAATATTTATACCTCTCATGAAACTTAATACAATAAGTTGTTTCAATAAAAAACTTTAATTTTTAAAATAATGTAGGAAACAAATAAAAAGAATAATGTGTTAATTATTTTTATCACTTTACTTTACTTCTTCATTTCTATGTTAAAAATCATTTTATTGCTAATTATCTGCACTTTTTGTGGCTTTTTCCAATTTCTGCTTCATTTAAGTTAGAGAGAAAATAAGATATAATCTCCATTTTAGAAAATGGGATGGGATATCTTCAATAAACCTACATTCGTTTATACACAAAAGATTACATGTGCATTTTAATTAAACTTTTAAGTTTGTTTATAAAGAATTAAATTTGATCGTGACCTTTTTTTTGTAGAACCGCAAAGAACCTTTAAAAAGCTTCTTTAAATCTTCAAATTTTCACAAAAAAGATTCACGAAACAATTAAAAAAAAACTTAAAAGTTTAATTAAAATAAAACCAATTGATTTTAGAGTTGTTTTTTACAATTTAAAGTCTTTTCAAAAATAATAGTTAGATATAAAATAATAAAAAAATGGCAAATGCACCACCAGACCCATACATATTGGGAGAACTTCCTCCTCCTGATGAAAATGTAATTCCTCAATTAGTAAAGCTACACGAGATTAGTTGTTTTGATGAGCACACAGACAAAGATACTGTTGGTTCAAAAACAGACAAGACCTTTCAAGATATTCTATTAAATCATATTGAAGACCCTTACCTTAAACATCTAGGCAAAGAGAAAACAAGAATTGATCCAAGGTTCAATGAAATTATTAATCAATATAAGGATTGGTTGAAAGAGGCAGCTAAACGAATTCTTCCACTACTGACATTCAAAAAGAATCTTAGACATCATAGAATCAATGAAATAGTTGTTCAAGGCGATTATCAACATTTTCTTAAAACTCCTTATGGTCCTAATAAAGAAATTGTAAATATTAAATTTACTTAAAAAGATAAATTTGAAATCTAATAGTATTCTTTCATATCAGGTATATCAAATTATAATGAAAGAAATTAGAAAGTTTTATTATGAAGCATTAATGCCAGCCTATTTAGATCAAAAAGAATATTGGGCAGAACAATACCAGAGATTTCTGGCATCAGATCTCAAAGTTTCACGTCCCGATAGAGCTAAAGGATCAAATATCTGCGCCATCTCCAGGTACATAAGCAATCTTAACCAAAAGTTTGAGATCTTAAACTTTGAATTGGCCAAACCAGTATTTGAGCGTGAAGTGGAATTCATTGCAGTCGATATGGTGGAGAATGATTTTAACAAGCACCTTGTACACCCAGATAAATTGGATCCTAAATTTATTGAAGATATAGTTGAGAATTTAGCTAAAGAATATTCATCAGACTTCCAACTATATTTACTTCATACTACGACTGCTAAACCAATTGCTCAGCTTATCATAGATAGCTACAAGGATGCGTTCCACAAAAATCCTACAACTCCAACCGAACTTACAGACCAATTGAGAAACAACATGGAAAGTAGTTTCACATCTGACATGATTAGGATCATTGGCGATGATGTATTCGCAAATGCAATCAGATTGTTCACTTTTGTCGCTTTGGCAATGTCAATCGTCGGTATTGGACATGCTTTTCTTTCTGGCGTCGAGCTAGGTACTGGTGAGATTCTATCATTGGTTGGAAATGCAACAAGAACTGTCATAACCATTGTTAGAAACTTAATGGATGCCGTTACTGTCATAGACAACTTTGTCAAACAAGCTATAAATGGTTTATTCAGTTTATTAGGTACATTAGGAGATTTTATCAGACTACACATACTTATTTTTTCGCTTGCTGGTACTGTCTTTCTTGCTTTTCTTGCTCTCATTCCGACCATTATGCAAATGATTAGCGATTGTAAGCATAAAAACTACCCAAGGTTGGCTTTCAATCTGGTCATAACAACTACAGTAATCGCATCCTTTGTTCTTATGACCTTCTTTAGCTTTGTTGTATTAATATCCACTCCTTTGGTATTCATTTTGGCGTTAATCAAAAACTGGGTTTTCCCTCAACCACTTGATGCACTCTATGACCAGATGCCAAGACACCAAAAAGACCTCATTGTCTTTTCTCGACTAAAGATTGCTAAACCAGATAGAGATAAAACAAGAAAGTTAATCTTTACCCAAGGAAAACAAACTACAGAGAGTAACGATAGTTTTGTGCTTGTCAAGGTGTTCCGTCATGGTTACTATTTGAAGCGTGCCAATGTAAATAATCCGAATCACAATGAATATTTGAAACCTAACCCAGATCCACAACGTATGACTAAGAAGTTATGGTGGGTCACTGAGACCGATTGGACTTATTCTGACCAACCACATCTATTCTATTTGCATGCCGTTGATCAATCGAAAATGATCAACTCTGAATTGGACGGCTCAAATCACAAATTTAATTTAATGACAATAACCGACAAGGGACAAAGAATGTTCCTTGGAATCAATAGACAAACTGGTGATTTCAGGTTCTTTAACAAGCCAACTGAAGTCAAGATTTCAGATCCACAACCACATCGACAACTACAACAAGAACAACAAGAACAACAACTACCACAACCAATGGTAAACAATGTTCGACAAGAATAATTTTTATTTTTATTTTTAACAAAAATTTTATGTAAAATAACGACTCTCCCTCCCACCTTTATTACCCTTTTTGGGTTTATTTCCATCTCGATTTTATCACTTCCTGGTTCCAAATATTCACTGAAAAAATAAATAAATCTGAACGATTATAAATTATCCCAAAATAAATTATATATTTCCTTTATTTTAATATATTATATGTTACATAACACTATTTCCTTGTGATAAATAGTCAGTGTGAAGTAATTTACATTGATTAGATGCTAGGTTGGTAAGAACTTTGTAATTGAACTTTAACTTGTTGAAATAGTCAATGGGACCACCTGCATAACCACCCATAAAGTATACATCTCCACCGGCGACACAGGCAGTACCCATGTCACGAGCGGGTGGTCTTGGCTCTTCGATTGATGGAGCGATCCATTGTAGAGTCTCTGTATCCAAAATATAAATATCGTTTGTAACACAATGACGAGGTTTACTTCCACCTCCAAAAATAAATAGGAATCGGCCCACTGCAAATGAAATGGCAAACGTACTCGTTTGAATATCACCTTGTGTCGCTGCTTTTGTCCAGTGGTTTCTGGTGGTATCGAAAATATGTATGTCATTGAATTTGTCTGTCCATCCGCTGGTTTCATTCCAGATACCACCACCGAAAAGATAGAGTTTACTTCCGATTGCAGTCATACAATGACCGGAACGAGCACATGGCTTGTCACCGGTGACTGTTGGCTGAGACCATGTCATGGTGGTGGTGTCGAGGGCATAGAGATCATCCAGTACCTGATAGTGTCCGAATTCATCGTTGTTGTTTCCACCAAAGATATACATTGTCTTGCCAACGGCTGATGCCGCATGGTTAGTTCTTGAGACTGGAAGACTTCCATTGATAAATTGCTTGGGGATGTTTGTCCAGATTTTGGTGGTTGGGTTGAACACAGCGAGATCAAAGTTGGATCCATGACCATCGAATCCACCAAATACAAATATGTTTTGATCAATCAAACATGAAGTGTGTCTCGAAAAGTTTGGGACACGATCACCTTTGATTTGTGGCTTTGAGAATGTATGTGATTCGGTATCGTAATAGATAATATCGTTGAAACGCTTGGTGTCGGTTTCTTGTCCACCAATGAATATAATCTTTCCATCGACATAGGTTGCTGTATGCTTGAATCGTTTAGTTGGTACTGCACCATAGTGTTTAGGTGCGATCCATTTAAAGCAATTGGGTGCATTGATAGCAACCTTTTCGAAATAATAGGTTTTGTATTCAAAGAGTGGATCATATCGATCGGCTGTGATCCATTGTCTTCGGAAACACTTCTTTTTCCAGAGGGTTCGCTCGTTAGCCAATCCGTAGAAATGTCTCGATACCATTGAAACACTCACCAAATCACTGGCATTCAAGAATGATAGGATTTTCAAAACAACTTCCTGAGGGAATAATTCAATGTAATAAAATTTGATGTTGTTGTTGATGGTGCTGGCGCGGTTGGTGTAGTTTTTGATGATTTGTGTATCGTTGTAGAAATTCTCGGGTGTCGAGTCAAACGAAGATGTCGAAGATCCCAACTCATTGCTTGCCGACGAACAAATCGAGTCATTACTCTCGCAATCCGATAATTCATATCCAAAGTGTGCAGAATTGCCATCTCCACTGTTGCTGCTGCTACTACTAGTACAAGAGTTGGATCTTGAGTAGTCTTCGTCGTCATCGGATGGTGCATATATTGAAATACTAAATTTTCTACGCAGACCTTGTAGACTTGATCGGAGGAAACCTCTTGGTGATCCCAAGGAGGAGGAAGAGTCGGTCGATTTATTCATTGAGTTTGATCTATTTAAAATGGGTGAGGATCTTGGTGATTGCACAGGAAATTGGTCTTGATTCATTTTGGTTTTCTTTCTAAGCGAAGAGGAAGAAGAAGAAGAAGAGGAGTTTGATGATGAAGATTCTGAAGAGGAATCTCCACCAACCCTGAATTTCGAAAAGAATGACATTTGTAATTGTATAATTAAGGAATTACTATTATTTAGATTATTATTAAAAAATGTATGATATCTATTGTTATTATTATTATTATTATTACTATTATTAAGTGACCTATATTGTTGGATCAATAGGAATGAATAATGATTCTTTTGTAAACGTAATAGAAATTCCGAATTGCTATTAATATATTGTACTAGTTTTCGATAAACGAATGTGATATAATTGAATTTCCAACTATATGTAATGTTACTTTTGTATTTGTAAACTATTTTATTCAATTTCAAAAAAATTGATTTTAAATTTATATTAAATAAATTAGTAAAATTATATATATCATTTTTTTCTAAACTATTATTAATATTTTTAATATTTTTTTTATTATTGTTCTGATTATTACTACTAATTTTATTATTATTACTGCTGTTTGATATTATTGGAATTTCATTGGTCGTACTGATTGGATCGGATCCAAATGTACTTTTATGAATATAAAACAATCTAATTGTAGATATCATTCTTTTTTGTTTAGTTTTTTTCTTTTTTGGAAAAAAGAAAACAAAGTGAAAACTAATAATGGAATGTATCAATTACTATTATACAAAATATAAAGAATAATTTAAAATATTATTTTTTGGATTTTTAAATTTTATTTATAAAAGATCCAAAAATAAAATTTTAATAATGCAGGTTTACAAAAAATAAAAATATGTTAAAGTTATAAATAAAACACTCTAACAATAAAATAAAACTTATTTAGTGAAATCAAACAAACAACTAGTGAATGCAAGGAAAATAATGAAAAAGAAAAAAGATTGGCATGCTTAGGAAAATAGGGAGAAGAATAAGAAGTAGTGCAAGTGTGGAGGGAAGGAAGTAGCTGACGCTAATAGTTTTAATGACTGCCTAAAAATATGTAACCTGTTCTTTTTGGTTTGGATATCTTTAAATGTACAAACAAAATTGTACTTATTGAAATATCTAACGTAGTATCAGGTGGGTGGGTAGTTTGTATCAACAGTATATTGTTTTTTTTAAAAAATACAACAACAACAACAGTAATAATAAACATATCTTTATCCAAGTACTGAGTGTCTATTGGATTTGTGGTATGATTGTTGTGGTGTGGGGTTGTTTTTATTGTTGTTGGTTTTTTTTTTTTTTATATGTTTGTTTTTGGATGAAGAGTATACAAGTAAAAACCGAATGTCTGCAATAAATGAGATAATTAAATTGTTTTCAAAAAAAGTGTATGATCAAATGAATTTATTAAAAACCAATACTATTCTTTAACCAACTATACACCTTGATTCTAACAAATCTTCAAGTATAATCTTTTCTTCTGTTTTTTTACCCCATTGAATATAATATAAAAACACTCACCACAAATTAACCATGAGAACAAATACATTCACAGCACTCAATCTTCACTTATTGTTTATAAAATAATAATCTAGATACAAAAGATATATATATTATGAAAATTTGATAGAATCTGACATATTGTTATAAATACATAGATGATAAGAAAGTTATACAACACACACACACCACAAACAACACAAGTAAATATTAATATTAACTTTGAAAGAAAGATAGTACTTTACTAGCTTAAACAGTACTGGTACTATTAATTTGGAAAAAATACAAATAGATCAAAAAAAAAAAAAAACTGAAGAGTGTTTGTGGTTGGTAACAATATGTTTCAAACACATAAAATTCAAGTTAACATGTGTTACGATATGATGTATGATTAAAATGATTATAGTGTGGTTAGTTGATATTTATTGGATATATAGACTAGTTGGTGGTGGATGAGGAGTAAAAAGGTGGAAGAAGGGTGTTGATTTAAAAACAAAATGGCAACCCTCTTTTTGACATATGCTTTCAACATGTCTAATACTAATAAGTATATCATATTACTGCAACATGTTGATGTTACTACATTCGTTGTTGGTTTGTAAAGATGTTTCAAACCTATTAATTAAATTAAGGAATACCAATGGCCGCTTCTTAAATAATGATTTGTTTTTTTTTTTTGGTATGAAGATGTTAAATTCGTGTCATCACCATTATTTAATGAGAGAGAGAGAGCTCTAACTAAATAATATATAAAACAATATGGTTTTGTAATTATCTAAAAAAGTGAACAGATTACAACTATTGATTCCTTTTGACAATGTTGATATTATTATAAATTGGGTGATTTGTTGATAGTGTGGTGGGATTATACTATTTAAATTATTAAGACTACGTATTACAACGACCAATAAACTAATTGAGTATACTAGACTAATACAACAGTAACAAATAAATTTGAAATTAAAGTAGAATTGGATTTTTTACTATTTCTGTAAACAACAAAAAGAACAATATTGGTTTTGTAAATTGAATTTCAAAAATGTTACTACCAATAACTTTAATTAGCTACAACTATTATTATTTTTGAGTATTGTCATGCTGATCACAATGAAACTCTATTATTAATTATTAAATTTTTTATCTCTTGCTTGACTAATAATAGGATGATTATTAATTATTACATACCAAAATATTGTAATAATATTTTTTTAAAATAAAAATATTGAAGTAATAATATATTCTTTAATCTAAATCTTCAGATTGAAATTGGACCTGGTTGGTTACCTTGAGATAAAAAATATTAAAAAAAAAAAAAAAATCTTTTGTTTTTTTTGGGACCGATGCAGTAATTGGTGGTGTGTTACAACGAAACTGGACTAAATTAATTGAATTTGTGGTTTTTTATTTAATTATTAATAATTTGAAATAATATATAAAAATAAATAAAAAATTATTAAATATAATTATTTGTTATAATATTACTTTTTGAAATAGTAGTAGAGGAAAAAACTCGATATAAATGAGTGAGGTTAGTGAAAGGTCCTTTTGTTGTGTTGTTTGGAAAAAAAATAATGTGGATGTGGTGGTACTATTCAAATGATTGAGATGATTTTTAGGTATCAACTATTTGGATAATGGTCAAATCAGAGTTGTAGGTTAATAAACTATTTTTTCAAATTATTATTATTATTATTATTATTTTTTTCTTGGATAGGTTGTTAGAATATGAATGGTACTCACACTGGTGCCCGGCAACTATACATATTTAAATTTACAATAGTTTCATAATTGAAAGACTTATTTGCAAATCATTTAGGTGTGGGTTTGAATAAAGTTCGTTTACGTTTTTTTTTTTTTTAAAAATTATTATTTTATTTTATTTTATTTTTTGAATAGAAACTATATAGTCTTTTATAATTGTTAAAAAAAAAAAAATCATTTGTTAAAAAAAAAAAATCATCAATCTGTTTAATCTTTCCAAAATTGGATTGGTATACAATAGCAAAAATACAACCAGTTTTTGAAAAAATCAAAAAGATTTTTTGTTGAAAGGCATTGGTCCAAAAAAAATATTCTCAATCTTTTGAAAAACGGGAAATAATTGATTTTTTTTTTTTTTTTTTAAACCGACATACTTACTTTTTAATAGTGGCCTATTTCGATTGTTGTTGATGATGATTGTTGTTGCGAAAAACCACTGATTTTCAGCGATTTAATTCGTAGAGGTATTATAATTTGTTGATACATTTTACTAGTTTTAAAATTGAAACAAAAAATGATGTCATAATAATTTAGTTATTGAAGAATCATTCACTTTCCTAGGGCAAAACACCTATATTCTAAACACTTTACTATTTATTGAAGTTAGTAAATTATTATCTCTTTGTTGTTAGATTTAAAAAAAGAAAAATATAATGTGGGATTGTTAAGTTTTCAGAGGATCCTTTGAAAAACAAAAATTTTTGCGCCAAATTATTTATTTATTTTTTAAAATGATTTTAAATATGTTATAGAAGAATGAAAAGATGCAAAAATTTCTGTTAAAGTTTAAGTTGAATTGACAGGGTCGAAGGAAACAAAAATGGATGGTCAGTGAGGAAATTGAAATAATAGATGAAAAGTTTCGACTTATGCCTTGGACATATTGTTCGAAGTAATTGAGAAGGAACAAATTATCGTGGTAGCATTAGTATTAGTAATAGTAGCGGTATTAGAAGTAGTAGCATTTAGCTTCAAAAATAAATCATAAAAGCAATAGTGTTGAATTCATGCAGGTGTGAGGTCTGCTATTTTCTTATCATGAGAAAAACATGGAGTGAAAAAGTCAATCTAATTGTAGATATAAGTAACAACTGGTCTTGGTTGAAATGCAGAAAGAGAAGATGCATATTTGAATCAATTCAAGCAGAAGTAGCTAAATAACCTAGCTTTTATGTTATTATATCAAAAGCATGTCATTATAGTTATGGTTGGGAGAGTTGGATGTAATAGGTGATGTATTTGATTCCCTCAACTTTAAGAATCATCGATGGAACAAGAGAAGCAGCAAGAAAAGAATCAAGATAAGAAATAATACAAGAAACAAAAGAATATAAATAAAAATTTAATATCGTTGTTTTTCATTTTTAATCTATTACATCACACTCTCTATCACGTTATTCGAATCGATTTCTTGAGATCAAGATTATAAAGAGTTGAAGTTAAAAAAGAAGATGAAAAATAAAAAAAGCAAGTAAATGATAAACAACACCCCCAATATAATTATAAAGAACAACAAAAAGAAAAAATTAATTAACACCTTCTCTTACCCAGCACCCCAAAAATTAAAAAAAGTAGATAAATTTTATATTACTTTTTGTTTTTTTCTTATTGTTATTTTCATCTAATTATTCTTTTAACTCATTGTAAATGTTAATCACATTCATTTTAAATGCATATTGGTTTAAAATGATATACCACCGATATGAAATTTAATTTATATTTAAAAAAAATGGGGTGGTTGAACAGTTTAATTTGTTTTTAAGTTGCTATAATGCACCCAACATAACTTCAAATTTAATAACACTTTGAAGTGGAAATGATCATTTTACAAATTACAATCACAAGAAATCATTCATACATTTGATTCAAAAAAAAAAGAAAATTGCAAATTCATTTATTATTTGTTAAAATAATTTAAACCCACAACTGACTTGACATAGAGAAAATACGCTTCTGCAGTACAAACTTTTTTTCACATCGCTTTGTTTCACTAGGTATAATTGGCTTTTAAAAATTTAAAAAAGTTATTATTCTAAATATTGAATAGATCCATTTTTGGAAGTGGCCAATTTACACTCACAAATTAAATTGCATAAATTAAATTTCTGCTCTTGCATAGTACAGTGATCATCAACAAAAAGTGGAGATTTAAAAATAATTATTTAAAAAAAAACATGTTGTTTTGAATATAAATAGTGAATTCATTTTAATCCAAAGTATTCTTTCCTTTATTTATATAAATATTTAATATATATCTTTTTTTTAACAAAATGTCCGTATTTGACGAAATTGATGAAAATGTCAAGAAGTTCTTAGACAGATTTGATGGAAATGGAGATGGAGAGGTATGAGAATAAGAAAATTATAAATTTTATTAAAATAAAAACTAACATTATCTCTAATAGGTATCTTTTGATGAAGTTGTCAACAAATTGACTGCCCAGAAAGTCAAAGATCCACAAGGAACTGCTTACAAAATCTTCAAGCAAATTGATGAGAATGGAGATGAAAAAATCAGTATGTAAAATTAAAAAATAGAATCTTTTAAAAAAAATGTATTAATTAAAATCTAAAATAGCCATCAATGAACTCAGAATGAATTCCAACAAATTCAAGAAAAATGAAATTGATCAATTGATCAAGAAAGAAATCGAGTTTTTCTTTAAAAACTATGATGTTGATAACGATCAAGTTTGTACTTTTGAGGAGGTTTATAATTTCTATGAAAAGAGAGGAGATAAGCGCCCAGAAGCTAGAACCATGGCTATTTTTTCTGCTTTTGACAAGGATAAATCAAGCACAATTACCAAGGAAGAATGTAATACCAGATTCTTGAACAAGAAGTTTGGTCAAGTATAGAAGTACTCCAATACCTTTCTTCATTCGGAATTATTTCAATTCCTCAAAAAACAAATAAAAATAAAAATTGATGATTAATCATTAAAATAAGTATTCTATTTCTCTTTTTATCGAATAAATAATAATTTAATATAAGTTTAAACCATGATTTCATTTATAGTGTTGAAAAATCATTTTAAACTTAAATTTTATTTTAATTATAATATTATATGAAATTTAACCTTAAACTATCATCACCTATTATGATTGAGGAGAACAGTACAAACATGTTTCTGATGAATCCAGATGCCAAAATAATAGCAGATGCTCTTTTCGAAATACTTCGTCAGACTTTAAAAGTAAAAATTTAAACAAAATGAAGGAATGATTTATCTAACAACTTTTTTATTTCAATTAATTTTTAAATAAAATTTTCTTTTTTTTTATAAAATTATTTAAATCCAATATACAAACAAGCAGTTGCAGACAGAGAAATAGAGAGAAAAGTAGAAATCGTTCCTACAGGACGACCTGGGCCAAGATGATTATGTTTACTTAGACCAATAGCATGAGATATTCTTCCAATAGTGAATATAGCCAATATAAATTGTAGGTATTTAGAATTAAAACCTTGAATTTCTAGCAATCCAGCCAACATTAATTGAAGTGGAACATATTCAATAAAGTTTCCATGAGATCGAATAGCAGCAAGGAGTTTACTATATTTTCTACTATCAAAAGCAATACCATCTTTTTTGGCGCTAACATAACTATTTTTTTTTTTTGGGGATAACTCTTTTAAAAGTTCAAAAGTACCATCTCCAAGTGGAACCTGATGAGCAAATCTTTCTCTAATGACATTAAAAAACAAGCCTAGATATACAAAGCTTAACAAACCAGTATAGGTAGTAGTTATTGGTAAGCTAATATTCATATTGTTAGAAGTTTTAAAATAAAAATAGAAATAAAATAATATAAGTCAATTTTAGAATTTATTGATTTAAATAGTTTAAAGTTAATTAATTAATTAATTAAAAAAATTTATCTTGTAAATTGTCAGTTTCAAATTCATCATGCAAAAATTTTTGTTTATTTGATTGGGGTGATCTAAAAGATTTATTTTTATTTTAAATAAATCAAAAGGTTGTTAAATTATTTAATTTAATGTTTTTAGATTTCAAATACTCAACCTTATTAGTAAAAATATTTTATTTCTTTTTGGACATCCTTTGTTGATTTTCTCTAAAGCAGCATGGTTATAACTGTATTTTCCAAAACCTGTGGGAATGATCCGTCTTTAATACCATATTCATGGAGTATAGTGATGTTGATTCATTTAACTTTTTGATCTATTGATACAAGAAATCTTTGATATACCTTCATCCTTTAATGGCTGACAGATTTCACCCATTGGTATTTATTCATCATAGATGTCCTCAAGTTATTCCTTTCAAAGGAATACTGATGAAAAACCACTGATTTTCCGAGATTTAAATCGTAGAAGTATAATTGCGCTGATCTTACTTAGTTTTAAAATATGGAATTTTTTTAATTTGGCAGTTATCAAATTTTTTTAAATGTAAATAACAAACTTATTTGTATCATATAAAATAAATAAATGAAAAAACAGTCGATTGTTGTTGACTCAATTGATATTATTATTTCAGATGAGATTTTTTTTTGTTTTTTTATAACAACTAATTTTTATGTGTTTGTTGATTCATTAAAAACATATGTATATATTTACTCGTTTACCACAAAACCAAAAGAAAGATAAAAAAACAAATATTTATTGAAATTGAAATTTGTTTAAAAAAAAAAAATCGATTTATTTTATTTGTTTATTTATTTTTTTATAGGTTGTCGAAAAAATAAATCTAAAATCAAAAACAACTTGTTTACTCACTTTTTTTTTTTATTACAATTTAATACGATACACTGACATAATTAGTATTCGAATTTTCAATAACAGTTAATTCAATTAAGATTCAAGAAAAAAACAATAATATAAATTAAAAAAAAAGAAAAAACAAAACTTTGAAAATTTTTTAATTTAAATTAATTTTTTCTAAAATAAAATAAAAAACAAACAAACCAACAACAACATCCTAAAAAGCAAAATAAAAAGTGAAAAGGTGAACTTTGACACCACAGCAGCAGCACCAACAGCAGTAGATAATAATAGAGTTTATTAGATCACACAGCAATACATAAATACAGCAACTACAACTACAACTACAGAGCAAGTCATTGTTTGAATAACAACAATTCGTTTATTTGAAAATTTGGAATCTCGTAGTTCAAGTTTTAGGTTTCTACCTAATATTCTCGGTAATAGTTGTGGCATCATTCTTCAAATTCGACAACTTCAAATCCTTCCTCAGGAAACTATCAACTACATCAAACGAAGAAGACTACGTTGAGAAAGACTCCATTAAAGCAGCAGTGGCCACTCTTACAAACAAGAAAAAAAGAACATTCGAACCAACCGGTATGTTTAATACATATAAACAAAGATAATATTTAAAGAAGATTATATATATAAAAGACTCAATTTACTTATTGTACCTATTTATTTTTAATTTATTTATTTATTAGAAATGGCTTCTAATACAGAACGACTTAAGAAGGCATTATCAGATGAAACCTACGATGATATCGATGGTGTTGTAGATAGCGATACAAACGATCAGATGGTCGAAGAAGATGACGACATCCCAAAGGGAATGTGCGTTGAATGCACAGATCAACCTGCCTCAATTCATTGTGATCAATGTCAAGATGATCTTTGTGAAGTCTGCGGATATGTAGGTTTAATTATATCATCTTAGTTATTTAGTTTAGTTACTTTAGTTAGTTTAGTTAACTTTTAAGGGATAATGACAGAAAATAATAATAATTGTTGGAAACAAAATAGAAAAAAAAAAGAAAACAAAAAAAAAAGATAGATTTCTAATATTTAAAAATTGTTATTATTTATTTATTAATAGTCAATTCATAGAAGAGGTAAAAGAAAGCTACACACCTATACTGATTTACTGTCTGGTTCTGCTTTGAAAAGCTTTGAGAATGGACCACACAGACCATCGGGTTCAACTTCATCGGCAGGTGAGAAGCTGCATCAAATCTCGACAAGTAGGTACTTAAATTTAAATAAATCCGCTATAACATCGACAACAACAACTACAACTACCGCAGGAATGCCAAAGATGACAATGAACATCTTGGGTAATTCAGTTTTTAATAAATCTATATTCAATTTACATAATAATAATAATAATATCCATCACTTTTCACCACTCCCAAACAACAACAACAACAACAATCACAATAATAATAATAATAGTAGTAGTTTTGTTGGTGATTCTTTACACAGCATCAGTAGTACTAATAACAATATTAATCATAATCATAATAATAAAGGTTTGGGAGTTGGTTTCGGTGCTGATCCACTCAAGAGTCATCGTAGTTTCACTCAGATGGTTCACGACAGCAATAGCGCAGCTGTAAACGGTGGTGCCAACGGACACAGAAAAGATGACGATGACGACGACGAAATTGACGAAGAGGAAGTCAATCGTTATATTCGTGTACCAAAGAGCATGACTGACACTGTCAAGAGTCTCAATCAGGCCTACTTTATGGAACGTTCCAAATATATTCCAGTTCGTCTCTCACTCCAGGAGCGTAATCTTCTTCGTCTCTTGGAGGCATCACTCCACGTCTCTGAATACACCGATAAAGTTGACATTCAAATTTCAAATCGTCCAAAGCGTATCAACGATCAATTGCGTCATATCTGTGCTATTCTCTGTGGTTTATTAGTTGCCAGGTAACTATCTATCGATATATTAATTTAAAAGCAATTGCCTCTATTCATTTCATTCTAACATAATTGTTTACCACTATATATGTATATTTAGTGATTTCAAGAAAGGACAACAATTAGTTGAAAAGAAAGATTTCTCAGATAATGAAATGTTTTTCCAGACTGTCTTTGAAATCGGTAGAAGACACAAGATTATGAATCCAGCAAAGATGAGAGCCGAATATGGTAAGATGATCCATTTGTTGCAAGACTCTAGTCAACGTGAGATTAGAGATGCACTTGGTTTGGAGTTGGTATCCGACTTGAAGACTGTCTATGCGGTGTTGGAGGAGTGCGATGGTCTCAAGCTCCTGAGCGATCCACTGTTGGATGTCGCCACCCGAGAGGTCTTGCCAGACGGTAAGCAACGTCATGAAATCCAACACGACATCAAGGTAAAGGAGAGAGCCATCAAGATGCTCTCAAACAAATACGCTTCATCGACATTGTCGACCGACCAAATCGAGCAGTGCATCTATTCGATCGGTGACAATCACACCTATCTCAGAGAGAACCGTGACTCTGTGAGAAAAATGATTAAATATCTAAAGACTTACTTTGATCCAGAAAACGAAGAACAATATTTCTCTTTGCGAATCACACCAGGACAAGCCGGTGCTCGTCTGAATCACTCACATCAAAAGCAATATATGTACGTCTATCAATCACTCACACTCTGGAAGAAGATTCTTCACGACATGTTCCGTCTCTGGTACTTGGCAGAGTACGATTTGCTCCGTGGCAACTCTTACTCACTGCGTAACACCGGTCAAGGTTTGAACCGTATCCAGGCGGCACCAAAGATTTCATCGGCCATGGGCAAGATTCTCCATTCCGCTCAAACCAAGGTTGGACAATACTGGGTTGGTTCTTCCGTTGTACATCTTGGAGATCACAATGTACCGAATGCACTCACATTCATCGACAAGTACACTCAGATATCACGTATTCTCAACCCAATAGTTATTGCAATTGATTTTATTCCAAAGATTAAAGATCCAGGTCTCCAAACCTATATTTTAAATACTTTTGGTAGTCAAAAGAATTTAGTAAAGGTAACTATCTCGCTCACTCAATCAACAAACGTGCTTACATAACCAACAAAATACTTGATTACTAATCATTGATGATTTTATTTATCAAATCATTTCCACAAATAATACAGTTAATTTTAAGTGACTTTTTCAAACATGCATTCGATGGAAGTGGTGCAGATAACTTCTTTGATGCAGGTTCATGTATCGATGGTAGATTGACATCAGCTTGGAATTGGTGTTCAAAGATTGAAAAGAAGAACTACTACAGTATATTTTTATTATCTGGATTCAATGGTTTCGATGGTTCATTTAACTAAAGAAGTTGGCCAAACAAAAGACCATTCTTCTGGCCAACAATCTTTTGAAACAAAAAAAAAAACAAACAAACTTTTCACCCAATAAATTTATAAATATTATTACTTATGTCATCATTACATTATATTCAATATATATATATATAAATATTTGCTTTGTGATTATAATATAATATATTATTAACATTTTTGTTTCTTTCTAAAAATTTGATTTATTGATTTTCAGTTGGGAGAACAACTGGTTTGGATGGATCGTATGGTACGGTCAAGAGTTCAGAGAAAATGGTGAGTGATGGTACACCTCTGATTTCAGCTTTCAAAAGTGGCATCTTGGTTACGTGGAAATCCATGTAGAGATCGGCCATCTGATCAATATATTTCTTTTGCATCTTACTTCTTGCATGACACAATCCACATTCTATATAAGGGAACATTCAAAAAAGAATGAGAATTCGTAATTAATTAAAACATTGATTCTAGACTAATCTGGTTAGATTCATTTCAATCACACAACTTACCATTCTCTGGGTAAACGATTTGATTTACAATGATGTTCTGTACATCCATATCCAACTTTGTCAATTGTTGAATCAATCTCTCGGTTTCATAAAGTGAAAGGAATTCTGGAATACATACTGGTACGAATGTTGTTACATCCTTTATAAATAAAATGTTAATAATAGTTTGATTCTTTAAAAAAGTGTACTATATATACTAAATTGTACATACTGGATTCTTAAATTGAATATTAACTTCTTCGATTGTCTTTTTGATTGATGATATCTTTGAATTGATTTGCTCTGGTGAGTGTTCAGATCCAACAACATTTCCAAACTAAAATTGAATGAATGAATGAATGATTGAATGAATGAATGTATAAGTTTATGATTTATATGTATCGTTACAATATTTCCTTTTGCTTTACTTACAGTTGAGAAAAGTCCTGATAAATTGTTATCCATAAACTTGGCGATACCTTTGTCGAGTAATGATGGAATTGAAAGGAGACGAAGAGTATGACCAGTTGGTGCTGTATCGAAAACAATAACAGAGAATTTCATATCTTGAACGAGTTTCATCACCTCTGCAAAACTCATTGCTTCATCTACACCCGGAATAGACATTGCAAGCTCTTGGAAATCCATTAATCCACCTCCATTCTGTTTATTGATAAACTCTGGTGCATCATGATCTGGTGTTGGATCTATTTCCTATAATAATTATATAAATAATACATATGTATTAATATTATTTGCTTTCTGCTTCTAGTTTCTAGTCTTTCACTATTAATAACTACTACTACTACTACTAGTGATAGGTTGTTGTTGTTGTTTGTTAAATCAAATTAAATTCATACCATACAAAAGAGGTTTGGAAAACCATTGACTAAAGATGGGTGCTTTGTGAACTTTTGACCGAAAGCATCACTGAGATTGTGTGCAGGATCAGTTGAAATCAACAATACTGACTCTTTTACTTTGGCCAATTGAATAGCAATACTACATGATGTGGTTGTCTTACCGACACCACCCTTTCCACCAACAAATATCCACTTTAATGTATCTTTTTCAAGTAAGTTATTTATTGTTGGTTCATAGTCATCAAAATCACCTGTATTTGTTGTTGTTGTTGTTGTTGTTGTTGTAGACATTGTTATTATATTAATACTATTATTATAATTAGTTTAAAAAAATAACAAAAATTACAAATTAGAAAAAAGTTTTATTTTTTTGTTTTTTTTTTTAATATTTTAAAAATAAATTCAACTAGTTTTGAAGTGTCAAACTTAAATTAAATTATATATCTCTGTACTTTTGGATATACTTTAGTAAAGTATTTATAATATTATATTATAAATAAATAAATAATAAAAATGAAACTAAAGAGTTGTGTGTGTTGTTTGTTTTTTTAGATGAAAATTAGATGAATTTTCGAAAAAGATTCTTTTGTGGATCACTCTATGTCTTTTTTGTGAGAATAATGAGTGGTTGTGTCATGAAGGATTGTGATCTTTTGATGCTTTCTATTTGGAATCCTGCTTTGTCTACTAGATCGTGCCATTCTTTGAGGTTGCGCTCTCTTCCTCCAAACAGCTGTAACATGTTGACGTCAAGCCATGCGATAAAATTACTTGCAAGCTTCTCGTGAGCACTGTCCTGATCGTCAATGATGTAATCGATGATATAGATTCTGCCGTCTTGTCGCAACGATTTCGATGCTGTCTTTAAAATCTCTATGCATTTGTCTTCTGACCAATCGTGTAGGATACTCTTTAAAACATAGCAATCCGATTCCGGTACCGATTCAAAGAAACTACCACCAACCTCAACATACCTAGAATCCAGTTGCTCTCCACTTTCAATTGAATTCACATGCTTATTCTTTTCAATGATAGCGACCATATCAAAATTAATACCTTTTTCAATGTTCTTATTTACTTTTAATATTTCTTTAAGTAAACTTAATTATATATTGAGAATGATGATGGTGATGATGTTAACAAATATATGTTAATTGGTGAAATTAATTTAAAAAAGATAAACAATATCCTTACACTCCTTTAGACCCACCAAGATCTGTAACAATCTTAAACTTTGAAAAGTCGGCAAGTCCGATGATTTTGTGAATTGTTAGCGATGTCAGACTTGACATTGAATCGGCAAAGAGATTCATAGTGTCTGGATTCTTCTCAAGGTGATCCCAGAAGCTAGGCTCTCCTAGAGTTTTGTGGCATTGCGTGTGACCGACTTTCAGTGTGTCCATGAGTGATCGCCAACCGCAGCTATACGACTCACTACCACGCATTAAGAAGTAAGAGTGCAACGTTTTGTCACGTGCAAGGTAAATGGATCGAGGTGAGTTTGAAAATACTCTTGGTGAGAGTTCTCTGAACATTCCGTCTTTGGAGAGTGCACGCATCACGCGGTATAGAGCATCGGCATCAACGTTGACTTCCGCTGCCAGTGACTCTACTGACCTCGAAGCATCGAGTGTTTTACCAACCCTGCCAAATATGTCCAGCTTCAACATGACCTCCATTGAATTGGCAATGAAAATGCCTCTGCTGTAATCCAAAAGACTTTTCAAATTCTCACAGTCATCGTCGCCACCTTCATTTACAAAAACATTACTTGATTGCATTGTTTAGCCGCTAGTTAGCCAGAGTATTTTGTTTTGAAGTAGAATTTTAAGTAATTGTTTATAAAAACTATTTAAATGCTTCACTCAGACATAACTTTAAAAATATAAATACAACAACTTTTGGAAGGAAAAAACATAACAAAATTGCGTCAAATATTAAAATAATGGATTTTTTTTATTTTTAATTTTGTTCACCCAACCATAATAATAATAGTAGTATTAGATATGAGCAAAAATTTATAATTTAATTGTTCTGACACTCGTTGTCAATACCAATATTAATCAAACAACAACAACAACAAAAAAAAGTGTCAGTTTGTAAAATGAATTGCATGTTATTTTATGTTAATATTATTAGATTAATATAATAATGTACACTGGGTTTTGTTGTAAGTTGTTTGAACACATATCATGTGTCTGGTCAAATATGGTAAAAAATACAAAATAATTAAAATGATCAAATTTAAAAAAAAAAAAAATTTTAATTATTTATTTGGAATTGTATAAACAAGTGAATGCAATGTATTTACTGTTGCCAAATCAATCAGTGTCAGAAATCAAAACAAACAGGGAGTTAAACCAGTGATTTGAACTGAAAAAAAATATCCATTAAATCATTGTAAATAAAAAAAAAAAAAAAGTTTGTAAAATCATTAAAAAAAAAAAAAGCCTTTGCTCTTTTGTATTCTTGCAGCGCCAGTGTTAAAATGCACAGGCATCACACAAATAAAGAAGAAGCACCCAGAGTTTTTTTTGTTTTTTTTTTTGATTTCAAGAAAAAAAGCTTACCAGGACCACCCACCCAGTTGAATTTTTTTTTTTTTATTGACTAATAATCAGCTCAGAAACAAGTGAATTAATTGACAACAATAAAAAGAAAAAAAAAACCAAGCTTCAACTTAAATTTTTTCGACACTAAAAAACAAAACTATTCATCCTAATTTTCAGTATTCAAACAATCACAATTTTTTATATCACAATTTTTATTTTTATTTTTATTTTTTTAAGTGTGAATTAATTCATATCAATAAATTCACAGACACACAAAATTATAACATTTTATTTTTGCACCAATTTTTTTTTACCAAAAATCTTGATTTTGATTAAATAATATTTATAAATAAAACAAATAGACATATTTAAATTAAAAAAAAAAAAAAAGAAAAATACAAAAAAAAAGAGAAATCAGTTCAGTTAGAGTATAATATTAGTAGTAGTTGATTTTTAAAAGTAAATTAGCAAATTGGCAGCAAACAGTAATAAATAAATTTGGTAATATCAACAACGACAACAGATTTCTGGAATAGAATATAAAATTATTACAATTTCATTTATAAAAGTATGTTTTATAAATCTAATCTTTGCAATAATAATGAAAAATTTCACACCAACCCCTCACTGCTACAGTATTTTATAATTATACAACCAACCACCCACCCTTTCACTTTATACCATAGAAACAAAAATCAAACAGACATATAATTAATTAGAGCATCTCATAATATTTTGTTTCAAAATTTTTATTTTAACATATTTATGAGCCTGGGAGTTCATTCTACCAGACACTGGTAATGGATGGAATTAAAAATGACTCACTTTTATTACTATCATGATAGCAATAATAAACTATAACGAATCACACAACTTACCTTTTAAATCAAATATTAAATTCACGTTTGCATTTTGTTTAGTTTTATTAAATGAGTAAAAAATCTTAGCAATCTTAAAAAAAACCAAAAAAAAAAAAATCACACTATTTTCCTACACACTATTTTAGTAACACACCAAAAAAATATGTCGGCACAAAATTTTTGAATTAATTCTTCCAATTTTTGCAAACAAAAAACCCTGGTCTGGTGGGACTGTTTGCAAATTTCATTCATTTTTTATTCCGTTATTACCAGGTTATCAAAGAATTCTTTTTTTTTTTTTTTTTTTTTTTTGTTTGGTTGTTTTATTCTTATTATTTTAAATTAACAATTATATAATTGTGATAAACATTTGAATCGATAGTTTCAAAACACAAATAATAATAACAATAATCAACAACCCTCTATTAAACAACAACAACAACAACAACAATCATATTATTATTTATATTGTTTTTATTATTATCATTTTTTTAACACATCAAATAAAAATAATAATAATAAAAATAATAAAAATAGTAATAATCATATTTTCATACTTTTATATTTTAAAATAATTAATATTATATTATTATTATTAAGACTTTAATAGTAATAATATTTATTTATTAATTTATAATCACCTTTTTTTTTTAAAAAAAAGGGTGGTGTTGTTTTAAAGATTATATATAATATTGTTGTTTTAATCAATCAAAATAATAATAATATTAATTAGTGTAGTGTTTAATAGACTATAGTTAATATCTAATTAAAAACAAATTATACTAATTTTAAATTGATTATCAGAGCAAATCATATTATTTAAATCATTATCCTATTAGTTGATCTTTTATTATTACAATATTGTCAAATCAAATCAAATCACAACACAATTGCAATAAATGGGTTTCGAACAATTCAATGATTACAGTGAGACGCAACAACAGCAGCAACAACAGCAACCACCACTCTATGGCTTCTCACAAATGAACACACAACCAGTTATGGTTCCGGTTGGTATGGTCGATTCTTTACCATATAATTTCCAACAACAACAAATGCAACAACAACTCTATCCACAAATGCAAATACAAATGCAAATGTCTGGTCAACCCGCTCAACCACCACAATTTGAAACCGCAACAGATTTAAAGCGTTGTCTCAAATGTACAAAAATCTATTATCACATGGATTCATTCAATAATCAAGCTTGTTCATATCATCGTGATAAGTAAGTAATTAATTATTTCAATCATCATTATTTAAATTATTTGTTATTAATATTAAAATCTCTCTCTTTTTTTATTCTTTTTAATTAATTATTATAGCTATGTTAAAGGTGAAGAAAGATGGTTATGCTGTAACCGTGTAGGTAGAGAAGCATCACCATGTTTTTCAACTTATCATGTCGAAGATGAAAACACATCGCAGATTCTTCGTTCAATGACCATTCCAAAACCAGATGTAGTCCAACAGAACAATCCAATCTATCAGAATTTGAATTTCGGTTATGTTGGTGCTGAACGTATTCTCTACGAAGGTGTTCTCAAGAAGCAAGGTAAACGTCTTGGTTTCTGGGAGAAGCGTAGATTCAGACTTACTTTTAGCTCACTGATAAATTACTATGACGAGACTGACAAGACAGTTCATCGTGTCTTCCAGTTGGCCGACATCACCATTTCATTCAAGAGAATGTCTACCGACGATGGTGATCGCATCTGTTTGGTCATCAACGATGGTCAACGTAATCACAATCTCTACTCACCGGTGACCGACCAAACCGAAGCATGGATCGATTCACTCCACACTCAAAAGAAAATCTACTTGCAATCGATTAGCAACCAACGTTTCCTCCACTCTTCGAGTCCGGGTATGGCTTCGTTCTCTCCACCCAATCCACATCAATTCCTCTCTCACTATCCCCCATTGCAAATGAGCAATCACATGAGCAGTGGCAACCTCAACAACATCATGAGCAATGCCAACTTGATGAACAGCCAGTCGATGCAAGCACAACAGTTTGCTCCACAGCAATTGGGTGCCTCCAAGCAAGAGCCTTTCCCAATCATCAACAACTACTTCCCACAACCACCAGCTCAACCACAGCAACCCATCACAACCTCTGACAAAGTCCAATGGATTCAACACCGTGTTCAAGTATCCGACACACTTGCCGGTTTGGCCATCAAATACAATACCACTATCGACATCATCAAGAGAACCAACTTGATCAAGAACGATACTTGCATCACCCATCAAACCCTTCTCGTTCCAGTTTCGGGTCCGATCAACATGACCACACAGGCACCAATCCCCCAAACCGAAGAAGAGAAACGTAGAAAGATGATCCAGCTCTTTGCCGTCTCTGAGAACATCTCCAAAGAGGAGTCTCGTTCCTATCTGGTCAACAACGACTGGGATATAACCAAGGCACTGAGAGAGCTCAAGGATGATCTCGATTGGGAACACTCCCATCCCTTTGTAAAATAATTTAAAACTCCCCCCTTCCCCATAATATCTTTGACTCTGAGCGATATAAGCAACTATCGCCACTGTCAGATATTCGATACAGTATCCAATCAACCAATACATCAAAAACTTGAGGGTTTGCGACCGTATTGGCTGAGCGAATCGATGCAGATGAAAAGGTTTTCCCGAAAAGTTATAATCAACTCTTTCCTACGACCTACCAGTTGCAACTTTCACTCTATTTTTTTTTGGATATCAACCGACTCAAATTCATCAATCACAAAACAAATCACCAACCATTCAACCAACCCAAACAATGTTAAAAAAAAAAACAAAAAAATATATATTTCTTTTTCAAGAAAAGCTTGCCGAGGGCTTTCTTCAATATTAATAATACAAAATATCTAGTTTTCAATCAAATCATAATTACAATCCACCCACTCCAACCAATCCAACTCCCACCAAAAAACATTCACCAAAGAACGAAAATCTATGGTTCCTGGATAAATCATCCATCAGCGAATTACTACCTCATTCTTTGATTTAATTTTAAATTAATAAAAATGTGAAGCGAGGCACACTTCGTATGGGTCAATTTCAAACAATTCTACTTTGATTAGTTAGAATTTAGAGAGATTGTCTTTTTGAAGTTGTTTTTGTACTTTCAAAAAAAAAAAAAAAAAACAAACATAAGAAGAAAATATATAATTTTCTTCTTTTTAAAAAAAAACTTTATTCTGATTGGATACCTACAACCCCATTTCTTTGTTATCAAACTCTCACATCATCTCAGTGTATATCAAATTAATTAAGAATTTATGAAAAATAATTGCAAAATAAAAAATATTGTTTGAATTTATTCTAAATTTTATTATTTTATCCAAAGATATTTGATTAGATAATTTAATTAATCTAAAAAACAACAACAATTAATCGATTCCAAAATTTAATTTATAGTTTTTTTTGAACCTGGTCCACATTTAGATTTCTTTAAAAACATACCCAGGAATGAAAATGTCGGGGCTTTCAGCAGTTAAACCTTTTTAATTTCAGAGAGACCAAAAAAAAAAAAAAAAAAAAAAATTCCCAGGTGTATTAAATCTAAAAAGGTTAAAGTGTCAATTTTTTGTCGACATTTAATTTTTGCAATCAACCTGGTATGAAAAAGTGTATATGATGATGTAAATACCAGAAACTCCACAAATAATACATACTGAAAAAAATAGTACTATTTTTTTAATAATTTTTTTTAAATATTTAAGTGAATTGTATTTTTTCCAGTAATATTATCAGTTCAAAAATAATGAAACAGAGTTAAATATTATCATATTGATCTGGTATTGTTTAAATATAAAAGATCTTCTTTGAATCCCTGTTTTTTTTATCTCATCCTATATTATTTTTTATAACTGCCTGTCAAAATAATTTTTATTAAATAAATTTTTTTTCTTTTATAATTAAGCGAAAATACTATTTTGAATTAAAATCAAAATTTTGATGAACAAATAAAGATATGATCTTTGTTATACTTTTGTGTTTTTACTGTTTAATGAAAAAACGAATTTCATTCTGAGCTGATCAAAAAACTTTTTTTTTTTTAAAAATTTAATCATATTTATTGATCATTGATCATTAATTGTCAATTAATTAATCTGAATCACACACTCGGGATGTTGGGTTACAGGTTATTGCGATCAAATATTGTTAAATATGGTCACATTGAAAGACCACTTCATTACAGTACTGTAGCTTCGTCTTTTCATCATCATCAATCAAACAATCATTCATTTGTATCGCCACCACAATCCACACCTAAGATCGCTTCAATAACTACTAAAAGCAAACAAAATAATAATAATAATAATGATAACGATGCTAATAAAATAATTACACAATCTAAATATAAAAATCCACCTGACTTTGCACCAAGCTCAATCGAACCATGGGCATCTACTTATAAAAATAATAAAGTGGCCGCATATAAAGAGTAAGTAATATAGATAGTATCATCCATTATAGTGAAGTTCAATTAATAGTAACTTTTATCAATCACATCTATTTATTTAAATTTAGATTAAGAATATTAATTGATAGTAAAACAAAAGGATTACATTTCTATTTGGATGTTTTTGAATTCACTAGAAAGATGGCAGATGATCAGGGTGAACCTATGACTTTGTTGTTACTCAATCTGCTGTTGGAGGCAGCTACATCGTTGAAAGGTGACAAGAAGTTCATCTCTGCTATCATTAAAGAGATCAATATCGTATCGGATGAAGATTTTGGCAGTAAGACACACGAAATCATGTTGTCCTACTATTTGGAGCGTGGTAGCATTGCAGGAATCTCCTCACAACTCAGAAGCATCAAGAAAAAAAATTTGGAATTTTCATCGCAAACCATGTCACACTTGGTGTTAAGAGCGTACGTTGCGCTACTCTCTAGCGATAAACCAAAGGCAAAGCAGCTGTCGAGCGAGGATTTGCAAGAATTTCTGTTGGAACACTTTGATTCCGCGTGTCAGAAATCGGATCGTAAGAAACAGAGAATCATGGAGATTCAACAGTTTTCGACGATGGTTGATTATTGGTTGCAGACAATGACACCACCCGAATTGATTAAACAGATTGTCAAGTATGTCAAGCATGTCCCAGATTACGTTGGATCCAGTCATTTCTTTGGAATGTTGGATACTCTCATGGCCAACGATGTTAATGAGTTCACACTACTCGAAGCTCTTGCCACTTCAAACATGCTAAATGTTCATAACAGTACGTTGATGAATAGAATGTTGTCGTTCTATCAGATCAGAGGTAAGCATAATATCACAGATGCACTACTCGAGTTGGTACAACACAAAACGGATGCATCGTCCACACTTGCATTAATAGTCGGTGCGCTGTCGTCAAATAACAAGCAATCTGCACTCCAATGGCTTCAGAAATTTCAAGATCAATCTCTATCGATTCCATCATCTTTGTTTATGGATCTATTGTATTTCTTCAGACCGTCGGATTCCGATGTCGAAGCTCAGCTTGGTTACCAAGAGTTTGTCAGTCACTTGGTCAAGTATCAATTCGGTGGATTGAAACCGGAAGTTGTTAAACAGAGTGATTACACTAGTGACGCCATTGGAGATTGTACAGCCATCATTGCTAAACTAGAGACAGCAGATACTAAGGATCTTTTGCAATTGATAACCAATCAACTTGTTGCAGCAGATGATATGCGATTCACAAAGAGTTTGGTCGACCAATTGGTTTATCATTACTTAAAGAGTGGAGAGTATTATATGGCTATGAAATGGGTTGCTCATTCAATGAGAGAGTTCAAACTGCCGCTGAGTGAAGTAACTTTGTTCCATATGGTCGAATATCATCGAGTTGCAAATCATCTGAAACTATTGCGATTTTGGGAGCAGCAGCTTATCTATCGAAATATTGCCACATATAGCGAATCTAAATATTTAGCCGGTTCGACATTCTATTTACCACCGGGTTCAGTGCGAGACAAGCAGATAGCCGATAGATTGGAGCATATCGTAAACCTATCAAATACAGGTCAAATGTTAGAGATAATCAAATTGTTGGGACAGCAACAACAGGACAATGAAGAGTATGCGTTGATTTTCGGTTGGGAGTTTGTATTGAATACCAACATAAGAAGAAAGCTTTTCAACTCTGTATATAGTGGCAGTGTTTTTGCTTATCTCCTGACCACACCGAATCCAATGTCGATCTTCTTGGACACCGACAAGACTTCGCTAAACAATGAGCTTTGCATTGGATTTTTCAACTCCCGACATCCCAAAGACAGGAAAAGGGCAATTGAAGTTGCCAAGAATCTAATGGAGTCTGGTTCCATTCAAGATAGGTGTTGGGTACGCATAATAAAGGCATTGATTGAACAGTACGACCAGAACGATCATGACTTGAAGCCAATCATAGAGAAGCTGGATTCATATACAACAGAAAAGCTGAACAATCTCAAAGAACATGACAAACACAGTATCATCCTTTTGTCCTATCGATTTTGGAGACTGAGTGGAGCTGGCGATGCAGATGCTATCTTTAGCTTGTTTGCGAAGGAAAGCGATGCGATTCAGAGAAACAAGTTCTATGCCTTTGATATTGTATCGATTGTATTGTATAATCTATGTAAATCAGAGAAGATCAACAACAGTGAAACGCCAATATTCGAGCAATGTGTTTCCATAGCCAGAAAGAGTCACCCGATACACGTCCTCGCAAGAACATTCAACTTGGGACCAATCACAGAGACAAACAAGAAAACACTCATCAAACACTTGATCATCGACAACAAATCGTTCAAACCAGATAATATTCCTGTACTCCAACAACTACAGAACCTTAAACCACAGCTCGGCGAAGATCAATCTTCATACAATTTAGTGATGGAATTTTTGTTACAGATCATTTTAAACAAAAACAACAACAGTTCACAGTCAACATCTAGCAAGCAGAGTACAAGCAGCAAATCCAGCAGAAAATCAATCACCGAAAGCTCTAAATTTGTGGATCAGATTATCGAAAGTATAAATAGTAAATAAATTTTAATTTTTTTTTTCACAGACTTTGAGAACATTTCAAAAGATCGATCGATCTCATCACCCACTCTCCAATCCATTAATGTTAGCGAAAAAAAAAAGTTGATAAACCCACTGTTACCTTGTTTTTTTTTTTTTTTTTTTTTTAATCGATTTTATGATATAATTTCAATTAAAATAAAATATTTCATTATTAATAAAACCATCACTAATAAATACTTATTCCAATTCTATTAGAAAAAAAAAATTAGAATTCATTTAAATAAGATTAAGATTAAGTTTTTATTCAATTCACAAAAAAGTACTAGTTTTTTATTTAATTTTTTTTTTAGTTTTTAGTTTTTTCCCATTTTTTTACAATAATTAATCAGAATCAGTTAATCAATCAAAATTTATAAATTTTCATATATTTATAGATAAATTTCGTATTAATAAATAAAAAATAAAAGATGGGATGTTGTTGTGGTAAAGAAAAAAAAGAAAAAGTTGAGCCAGTGGACAGTGGTAAATCTATGAAGAAGCTGGCGAAAAAGAAGGATGTAGATCATGTAGATTCAAAACCAACTTCATTGTATGTCGGCGCAGAGAAATACGATAAACGTGAATTGGAGGAAAGACTTCAGGAAAATCCAAACGATGTCGATGCACTAACGACACTCGGTGTAGTTCTAGCAAACGAAGGACGTGACAAAGAAGCACTCGAAGCTCTCAAAAAGGCAACCGAAATCGACAAGGAATCATCAAAGAGTTGGGTCGCATACGCAGAGTTTTACGAACGTAAAAAAGATCCAAAGAAAGCACAAGAAATATATAAAGAAGGTAAGAAGTCGTTTATCTTTAATTAACAATCAATTTTAAAGTTCTTTAAATAACAATTCTCTCATTTTTATGCATTAATAATAGGATATAAATACGCATCACCAAAGATTGCTTTGGATTCAAATGACTCTGATTTAATGTTACACTATGCTTTGAATTGTCAGAATCGTGGTGATATGGAAAAGGCAGAGAAGTTGTTTAGAAAGGTGATAACTTCTGGTCCTACCAATGTTCGTGGACTTGGATTATACGCAACGTTTGTACTACAACACGAAAAGGATATTGAGAAAGCAAGCAACTACTTCAAGCAGGCTGCTGACGTCGAACCTGCTTCAGCCTACTGGTGTCAACGTTATGGTGAATTCCTTCGTGATAATCTAAAGAATACACAAGAAGCAAACATTTACTTTAAGAAATCTGCATTAGCTGTATAACTAGATCCTTTTTTAATTACAAAACAAACAATGTAATGATATAAATATATCAATCAATGTATAATATATAATAATAGTAGTAGTAGTAATAGTATAATAAATGTAATAAAAGAAATAATAGTATAGTAACATTGTTATTTTTTAATATTTGATTATTCAAAATTAATAAGTAGTCTCTTTTTATTGATTTCCGTTAAATCTTGTACTATTATAGATTGATTATCTTCTGTTGTCAATGCAGAGGACTGTGAGAGGTTGTTGATTGATTTAAATAACTTTTGATTTGCTTTTCTCTTTGCATAGATTGTTCTGGTTTGACTAAGTGCATTCTTGTATGATTTAGTATATTTCTGATATTGTTCTTTCTTCCAAGTGAGTTTATCCATCTTTTGTGTTCTTCCTGCTTTCTTTATCATATTTGTAAAGTATGATTTCTAAAATAACAAAACTAATTAATAAAATGCTCTTTCTCTCACTCTCTAAAAGTATATCATATTCTTGTGTGTTAATACTTACTTCTTCTCTTGCAACTATAGTGTATGCAGAACCTTTTCTTCCTGCTCTAGCTGTTCTACCGACTCTATGTACATACAACACTGCCGATGGTGGCGCATTATAATTAATAACAGCATCTACATTTGGAAGATCCATACCTCTTGCTAAAATATCACTACATATTAAACTGTATTTATAATAATAAACATATGTTGTTAATATATATTACTTTAAAATATATCTATCTCTCTATCTATCATGGAGAGTTGTAATAAACATACACATTAATATCACCATTTGCAAATAACTTTAATAAATTTGAACGTTCGATAGAGTTGATTGACGATGAATATTGAGCTGGTTTCAATTTAACACCATCTACCTCACCGATGAAGCCTAGCAGTGTGTTTAGACGTTGTGTGATATCAATTGAATTTGTAAAGCAAATGATTCTTGCTATATTATCATTTTGATCTGTTTGTTGTTGTTGTTTCGATTTAAATATATTACCTATGACACTGATAAGTGCCAATGGTTTTTGATCAGAGTGACATGCAATATAACTCTCTTTAAGTGTGTCTGGTATGGTGTATTTCAATTCCGATATCTTGTTGGATTGGAAGTAGAGTGGTGCATTCAATTTCAACAATGAAATCTTCTCTGGATTGTAACTCATTGTAGCAGATAGCAATAGCTTGATTACTCTCGACTCTTTAAAGGATAGATGATCTATGTGTGATCTGAAATTACTACTTCCACCACTACTTGTATTATTATACTTTGAATCACTTATACTTATATCACTATATATTTAAATATTTTGAACATTAATAAAGTAAATCTATAGATTGTAAGCTATTAATAATTAATACATACCCTCTTGAACCAATAGATATCAATCTTTCTTTTGATACACTCGAAGAATCCATAACCTTCTCTAACCAATATTGGAATGACTCTCTCAATAATCTATCTGCTTCGTCAATAACTAAATAAGTGAGATGCTGCAAGTCAAACCCGGGTGTTTCATTGAGATGCTCTACAAGTCTACCAGGTGTACAAACGATTATATCAACTAAACTTTGATATGTAACACTATTATTCCTAGATTATTCAATATAGAGATGAGTAAGTTTGTTAGAATTCTAAAATGAAATAAACACCTTAATATATATATATATAGATTTAGTAACTACTTACTCATCATTGAAATGAGATGATACAATTAATGATTGCTCCAATGCGAATGATCTTAATCCAAGTGTTTCAACCACTAGATCGGTACCTTTGGTTATCGATTTGAATGTAGCTTCTGTTTGGGTGACTAGATCATGTGTTGGAACGATACAGATGACACGCAATCTTCTGACTACTCTATTATAAAGCTTCTGTACAATTGGTAAGACGTATGCAAGTGTCTTACCGGAACCTGTTGGTGCGCAAACACAAATATCATGTCCTTCGGTTCGAGCGATGAATGGTACTATTTCATTTTGAACTGCCAACAACTCTACTATTCCTTGATCGTTTAAGTTCTTTATAATCCAATCTGGTAAACCAATTGATTCCAATGATTGACTATCCATCTCTAGTAATTTTATTTACCAAGATAATCGACTGAAATTATTCAAGACTTTCGTTTTTATAAAATTTGTTCGTTTTTTTGTGCACAAAAAATGATCATTAATAAACTTTATGAAAAAAAAAATTGTTTCTTGTTTGTCAATATTTATTTATTTTATTATATAATACAACATTTCAAAGTTATACCATCTCAATCCTTGAAACCATGATAGAATCTAAAGATAGAAGTAAGTCTTGAACATAATAACCAATCACCCAGAAATTTATTAGTCTTTTATCCATTTCTTAATGTGTTAAATGAGAGCGAATAAATTCAATAATGGATTCGACAATTTACAAGTAATAATAGACAGTTTGTCAATGATGGTATATCTAATATCCTGAACAACAGAAAATGCTAAATAAAAACATATTTAGATACCATAGTCTGACTTTATCAGTTCCAGTGTATCAGTGTTTGACAATAGCGTCCTGGTTTCACCTATGGACCAACATTTCCTTCAACAAAGATCTTCAAGGGTCTAGATGCTTTAACTTTGCGATTTGTATTATAAAAATAAATATAGTCAAGTGTACAAATCAAATAACTATTTTTTTTTTTCTTTTCTTTTTTTTTTTTTTTTATTAAATACTAGTACTCAATATTAATTCGAATTAAATACTTGAAAATATTGAAGTTCAAAAAAGAAAAAAAGAACAATAATATAATAGAAGTATTAAATAGGTAAAGCAGTAGAAAGTCAGTGAATGTATGATTCCAGTTAACTAACCCTAAATTTAATACACTCTTCAACTTTTATATTCAATCATGTTTATTCCCTGTTTGATCAAAAAAAAATTAATAAATAGATTAACCTTAGACTACAAATTGTGTAATTAATATTCTGGAAAATTCACCTTTGGATTTTGTAAATTGTAACACACTATTTTATTTCAATGTTAACACTACAATATATATCTCAATATCAAAAAAAAATATTCACAATGATCACTGTGTTATATATGTGGGTGTGTGTATATATAGTATCTCTATGACTTTTTTTTATAATTTTGTGATATTTGATAAAATCACAAAATAAAATACTGACGGAATACTGTTAAATTATTTATTAGATATTTCATTTACTTCAATATTCATTTCCTATAGAAAACAAACAATCTTTTATTTTTTACCTTTTTATATATTTATATATTATTATTTTATATGGTTTTCTCATTAATAAATATATTTAACTAAAAAGAAATGTATTTTTTTAAATTATTTTTATTTTGTATTATTTCATGTTTAATTGGTTTTGTTATTTCAGCTAAATTGGAATTGTGTGAGAATGGAGGTGTTTCTTTTCAAGGTCATTGTATTTGTCCTCCTCATTTTAGAGGTAAATTCTGTCAGTTTACAAACAACGATACAAAGTGTACACAAGCTTGGGATGAATCGGTATATGTCGGACATTTCTGTTGCTGGTCAAAACATAGAACAGACAATCAACCAAAAACAGATTTAGAAAACAGCAATTGGAAGTTAGAAGACCACTCTGGACTCACTCAGAATCAAAAACTGAAAAATATTCTCAAGTACTATGGTCCTTGGACACGAAACGATTTGCTCTACCTTAATCACATTTTCCAAACCACAAAGATTCAAGGATCATCTGCCAACCGACACAAATATGTTTACACTGCAAAACACCAGAATCTCATTGAAGAGATAGAAACACCATCCAGTTGCACAGATGACAACCTCTCACCACCCTTAGCATTTTCATTATTAATTCACAACATTAATATATCTTCTTTGGAAACATTATTTAGTATTTTATATAAACCTAAGCATTATTATGTAATTCATTGTAAGTTTTAAAAATAATAATAATTTTAAATTAATTATATTTTACTAATAAAAATTATATAGTGGATCATAATTATAAAAATAAAGAAGAAAAGATTAAACTTGAAAAAGCTTTAATGAATTTCTATGAGATGTCCGATAATCCTTTGGGATATCCTTATAATATTAAATTAATGGAAGAGACTTTCCATGGTAATTGGGGATCACCTGCTTTGGTTTACATGGAGGTTGCATCGTATACTCATCTTTTCGATATGGTTAACCAAAGAATCTCTGCATTGAATGAATCTGAAAAACCAAAGTCATCCTACCAATGGTCACATGTAATCAACCTAAGTTTGAATGATATGCCACTTGTACCACTATCAAGACTTCAACAATACTTTTGTACGAATTTAAATACCAGCTATATACAATCCTATCATGAGAGTTATGATGAAAGATATTCTGTAAGTATAAACTGTAATTTTTTTAATTATTACTCTTTCTAATTATATCAATTCAATCATCTTTTTTATAGATATCTTTAATGGAGAAAAGTGATACTCAATATCATGATGTTTCACATCATCTGTTTGAGAAATATGAATGTGGTCTTGATGGTTGTAATCATTATTATAATAGATCGATTGCTAGATATGGAACACAATGGCATATGCTGACCTACAAGTTTGTTCACTTTATGATCAGTGATATGAGAGCAATCGAAAGAATGTTCCAAATGAAATTCAGTGTCATTCCAGATGAGACCTACTTCCAACAAGCCAATCAAATCTTTATGAATGACGTAGAGACCAAGAGAACATACCACAGTCAAAATGTAATCTCAACACAACTACAATCAAGTACAATCAAACGACACACCATGTGGAATAGAGGCGATCACAAGAATCGTTACGAAGTGCTAATACCAGACTTGGAGCAATTCCTCATAAACAATCGAAAGGATAATGAAGATAAACATATCTTTTTCATTAGAAAAGTATATGATCAAGAAGTAAAAGATCATATAATCAATAATTTTATAAACATTAAATAAATAAATAAATAAATAAAAGTGGTTAACACGTTTCTTTTTTCTTTAAAAAGATAAATTTGTTTATTATTTATTATTATTTATTATTATGTTATATATTTATATTTTTTAAACAAGTAATAGTGCATTGATACAACCATCGTTCTCTGGATTGTTTGTGACCTGTGCGAATTTACCCCAAACTACTTTACCGGTTTGTGTTACCAAACCGAGATCGGAAACGTTGACTTCGATGATGGTACCCTTGGTGATGACACCGAGCTGTGTGTAGGTCGGTGACTGTGGATTCTTCTTGACACCGAGAATATCGAGGTAGAATGTTGATTTCAACTCTGGATGGGTGACGTGTGCCTTCTTGAAACGCAGACCGGTCGGACGGATGAAACGCTCGTATTTCGGTGCCTTACGAGTGAATCCCTCACCGACAAATGTAACTTTAGTAACCATACGCTTCCATGCTTTCTTTTGACGCTTACCGGTCTTGACGACCTTGAACATCTCGTCCTCGGAGATGGCACGTACCTTGGGCAGTGGAACGGCCCACTTTCCGGCCTTCTCCTTACGCTTCTCCTTCACCATATTCGAGAGAACCTTTGCACGCGATACACCCTCACGATCCAACAGGTAACCTGGAACGGCACCTTCCTTGACCTTCTCGTCGGTGGCCTTCTTGTTGGTACGCTCTTGGTGCATGGCAATGGTTCTCTTCATCTCGGCCTTCTCTGAATAACGCTTCTTATTCAGCAACTTGGCCTTGATACCATATACCTTTTGTGCCAAAGCACTCTTCTTGTGTGTCTCTCTAGATGTTCTCTTACGCAGTTTTTCATAATGATCGAAACGTCTACCGAATCTCTTTCGATGCAATTCAATATAATCTCCTTGAGCCTATTAATTATCATCAACATATTATTATATCAAAATAGATTGATTCACAAAGAAATATATAAGTAATATGAATTTAAATAACCTCCTAAAATGATACATACCATATTTTAGTGTCTCTATGTGTGTATATATGATATAAAAAAAAAAGTTTTTAAAAAGTTTATTATATAAAGAAAAAAAAAGTAGTTTTACTATTTAACAATATGATTGATTGGTTGATTTAATAATTAAAAAAAAAGAAGATAATCCCTCTAGGTATTCGAAATCTTATTATTAAATGTAGAATTCAAATTTGATTAGATGGTTGATGCAAAAGTGTAGTTTTGTTTGTTTGTTTTAAGTTCGCTCGTTTAAATATTTATTCGATCGGTTTTGTTTTTGTTTTGTGAGTGTGAAGATGAAGTGATGATATGATATGATTGATTTATTATTATATAAATTTGTTTGTTATTAATGAAAATAATAATAAATAATAATAATAATAATCGATAATATAAAAATAAATAAATAATATGGATTTTTTTTATTTTTATTTTTTTTTATTTTTTGTCAAAAAAAAAGTTAATTTTCCTTCGTTCAAAAAAAATAAAATAATAATATTAAAAATCATCAATAATAATGTTTCGTTTTTAATCCATCTCAAGAAAACGACGATTTTCATCAAATATAAGTGAAAATTATTTTTTCAATATTTTTTCTTCTAATTTTACCATTGTTGTTTCAATTTTATAAAAAAAGAATAACATTCTAATTCTTTTTGTTTTTTTTTTTAGTTTTAAAATTTAAAAAAATTATAATAATAATACATTACAAACAAATCCAAATCATAAATCACAAATAATAGAAATATTTATTTATTATATAATTAATAATAACTTGTAACTAAACAACTATATATAAAAAATGGAGAAAGTAGGAGAAACTTTTACTTGTATCTCATGTCGTGTCATGTTTGATAATCCAGAGGACCAAAGAGTTCACTATAAATCAGAGTTGCACAGATTCAATCTAAAGAGAAAGGTATTGGATTTGCCACCCGTTACACTTCAGACATTCAATTCGAAATTAGAGGCATTGAAAGTAGAAGAGAAAACACAGAAAGATCCTACTGTCTATGAATGTAGAATTTGCGAGTAAGTTATCTTAATAATGTGATAATAATGAGTTATCAATTCAAATCCTAATTCTTCTTTTATTTATTCTTTTTTTCTCTACAACTATCTATCTATCTAGTAAACAATTTTCATCTGAAGGACCATATAATCAACATTTAATCTCAAAGAAACATAAATTAAATGTAGAGGCTGGTGTACCAGAGAAGATTAGAGTTAGAAAGCCAAAGGAAGAGAAAGTACCTGAGAAAGTACCTGAAACTGTATGTAATCAACAACAACAACAACAACAACAACAACAACAATATACAATCGATTGTATATTATTATTATTATTTTATTGTGTTAACACAACTATCATTTAAATTAATTTAATCTAGTTGGAAGAAGCAGAAAAGATGGTTGAAGAAAAGATTAAGAATACACCAAAGTTACCACTTGAACATTGTTTATTCTGTAGACATGTTAGTGCGACACTCGATGAAAATGTAGATCATATGGCAAAACAACATAGTTTCTTCATCCCTGATATTGATTTCTTGGTCGATTTACCAGGACTGTTAAGATATATGAGCGATAAGATTGCAGTTGGTAATATTTGTTTGTATTGCAGTGGTAAGGGTAGAGCACTTCACAGTTTGGAAGCCGTACAACGTCACATGATCGATCTCTCTCATTGCAAGATGAACTACGACACCGAAGAAAACTCTGATGAATACATTGAATTCTATGACTTTACTAACAGTTACAAAGATCGTTCTAATCCAGATGATGAACTTAAAGAGTATGTTATCATTTTTTTTTATTATATATATCATTATATTCTAAAGATTAATTAACATGTTTGTTTGTTTATTTATTCTTTTTATTTATTTATTTTTAATTATAGTAATCTTGTTATTACAGAGGGTGAAATGATTCTACCGGATGGTACAGTAATTGGACATCGTGACTATGCAGTTTACTACAAACAACATTACCAAGTTGCAAATGTCAGACAATCATCGATTGCCAAGATCATCAATCAATACAAGACACTCGGATGGCACGAAGTCACTAGATCTACCCAAGAGATTGATCAAAAGATACGTCATCGTCAAAATGTCATGGCTCTTAAGGTTGGAATGAAGAAGAACAATCAAAGACATCATCGTCTACAATTATTGATTAATTAAATTAAATTAAAGTTAAATTTAAAACAACAACATCATTGTCAACAATTATTCTTCTTCTTTCTTATCTCGTTAAACTAAATATATCATTTAAAAAAAAAAAAATAACTATTCACTTTTCTTATTCATCTCTTTCTTTTCTCCTTTTTTTTTTTACAAAAATGATCATCAATTTATACAGGTTACTTTTTATTTGTTTAATTTCTTTCATGAAAGTTATATATTATTACTACTATCTCTTATTGTTTCATCTTTTCTTCGTATTGTTTCTTTGTCCATGTCTTGAAGTTTATAGCGTGGATGTCTTTCATTAGTTCGCCAATGACATCGTTTGCCATACGATGTCTCTCCAAAAGAGACACACCTTCAAATTTATCTGAACCAATTACAATTGAAAACTTTGCTCCACATCCACCCGATACATCTTCTACAATCTATTAATGAATGAATAGTAAACAATATTAATATCTAAAAACTTTTTATATTATAATAATCAGTTATTACATACTATGTTTGAGTCTGGGAATCCTGATTTCAAGGTATTCTCTAATTGTTCAACTGTAACTGTCATTGTTTGTTTCGATTGACTGTATAATACGATATATAGATAATTATTATGATTATGAGAAAGTGACAATTAATTGAAAAATTAAAAACACCAAATTTTGTCATCAAAACGAACAAGGAACTGGAGTTGCATGGAAGCATTTTTCTTTTTTTTTTTTTTTTCTTATTTTTTTTTTTGGTGATTTACCAGCTTTGGTCGCATTCATTCTGAATCCATCAGTCTAAAATAGAACAGAACATATAATTTGTATAGTTTACACTTGTAATAACCTCAGTGTAAAAGCTAATATTACATGAAGTATTGTCAACCCTACTCCCCATGCAACACCGAAATACCATTCTAAAAGAAATGAAGCTGATCTATATATTGCTGCTATAATGGTAGCTTTGTTATATTATAATATAGTGTTATTATCTAAGTTAGTATAGTTTTATATATAGGTTTGTTGGTATTCATTGTGTGAAATAATTATGATGATTATAATGATAAAACATACCTGATATACCACCGAAACTGATACCTATTGCAACACCAAAGACAGCAGTGAATATCGGGATGAAAGGAGAGAGCTTTGAACGTCTTAAGATGATCGATGCGATGAAACCAGATAAAAGGTAGGTCAGTGTACAGCTTACTGTACACCAAAAAGTTATAGCCAACCAAATATCACCATATTTATGAAAGTATCCATGAAACAAAGATCCATCTGTCAGAGTACGAGTATCAGGGTTAGAATCACCCAATATCATATCATAACCTTTATTGATTGTCATCCTATCCTAAATACTATCGGTCTATATAGATTATTCTCTATGTTCGATCGATCTACACTTGAATATACAAATAGTTATTTAAAATATACTAATCTTTGTGTGTTTTTTTTTTTGTTTTTTTTTGAAATATGTTATATGTCTTGGTGTTTTGTGTGATCACAAACGAAATTAACTAGTTGTGGTAATATATCTTGATTGTATGATTTTTGATTTTTCTATTATTTTATTTATTTATTATTTGTTTTTTTATTTATTTTTTGATTCTTGTATTCAAAGAACTTCGGATACTCCAAAAAAAAACTTTACTTTTTTTTTAATAGGTTTATTTTGTATTTTTTATTTTTTGATTTTTTTATTTTTTTGTTAAAGCATTTGATCGTTATAAAAACAATGAAAGTTGGTAACTTTTTTTTTCATTCGTCTGTGCCAAATGGTAGTGTATCATAACAAATCACCAACTCATATTTTCATAGTAATTAATTGTGATGATTAATGCATTTACGACCTTCAGAAAGTTGATCTGTTGACTATTTTGCATCACCATATGAACCTTTAATAGCTATCACTATATATTTATATTTTATCTCCTCACTATATTATATTTTATTTCCTCTCAAAACCTAAAAAATTTAAATACTAACTATTTTCTTTTTTCCTCATAATAGGTTCTACATCCATAGAGATTGATTATAATTGCAAATTAATGAATATAAATAAAATGAAACTTTTTAAATTATCATTTTTTTTGTGTAATTTTATTACTTTATTGTCTTATAATATAAACATTCAATATTTCCAATATCTCTTTTAAAACTCATCATACTTTTAAAGTCCACTTACTGCGCAATTGTAATATTTTTTTTTTTTGAGTTAACCGACAAAGCTACAACTATTTTGGTTCCAAAAATTGAAAATATTTTAATTTTTTACTTTTATAATTTTTATTCATCTATCTGCTCTTCTGTTGATTCTTTTGGAACTTCTTCAACTGTTGTTGGTTGTTCTACAATTTCTTTGTTTTCATTTGGTAGATTATCGTCTGTTGTAGTAGTATTAGTTGTTGTTGTTGTTGTAGGTTCTTCAGTAGTAGTTGTTGTTGTTGCTGCTGAAATTGAAGTTGTAACAGTGGTTGTCGAATTATTATTATTATTATTATTATTATTATTTGGTTTACTCTTAATTGTAAAGTGAACAACTTTTTTGTTCATGAATGAATAGGTGTTGTTGAAAATAGCAGTATAGTAGCCGGGTTCTTCAATTCTAAACGATCCTGCATTGTATTCATGTTGAGAGAGTGGAACTACAAATTGATTGGCAGAGAGCGGAGATGTGATTACTTTTCCATCTGCCGACTTGACGATACCAAATGAGATATCGTTGGTTTCTACAATGTATTCCCACTCGATGAGTTGATCCGATGGCAATTCACCTAGTGCCACCTGGTGATATTCCTTTGGCTTGACGGTGGCCATTTCAACTTTGGCGTCGTCGACACTTGCGATACCACCGTAGCGCGCAGGCAGAGAGTCGGCGTCGATAAACTGAAGCAACTCACGACGATACGTCTTGTTGCTGCAGATGATGAACTTCTTTCTGGTGCGATCGTTGGTGAACGAACTAAAGAACGCGTAGAGACGCTCGAAAAACCATGGGACATTGATAAAGAATTTGCGCGCCAACATCTCGGGATAGTTGTCTTGCAGGAGCGCGATCGTTGCTTTCGACGCCTGTTTGGTGCGCTTGTCCATGCTGAGCATCGACACGTCCTTGTAGTCGTGAACTACCACAATAGATTCGCGGTCATACGCACGGAATCCACCGGATGTCTCTGAGAGCAGTTGAATCGATCGTTCCATCTGTGCGACTTTCCAACGGAGGAACTGGTCGACTCCGTCCTTAAAGACAGTGTCGACGTCGATGTTGCAGTAGTAGTTGAACATGAGAGGACGTCCGTCTTTGTCGGCACGGTAGATCTCACCGATCTTCTCGTAGTACTCTGGGAATTGCTCGGTCAAGATGTTGTCGACACCAAACTCCTTTCGCCATTTCAGACACGCCTGGAACATCGAGATGGCAGCATCCAACTTGAAATCTCTGGCTCTCAGAAACTTGAGCAAAACAATATCTCTGTTAGTTGAGTTTTGCTCTAGATTCACTGTCCAGAGAACCAATGTTTTTTCCTCTGGATAGCCAAGTTCCTCTCTGATCTTTGATAGGGTTTCATCCAACTTTGACCTGAAAGAATCTAAACCCTGTCTTTGAACATCATTTAAATCATTTAAGAATCCACTCATTCTAACCTTTTTATATTAAATTATAATTTTTGGGTAAACAAATAAAATAAAAAAGTAAGTACTTAATAATAAGTGTGTATAAAAAAAAATAACAATCAGATAAATTTTGAGTGACTAATCATTTTGTGTTGTTTTTATTTTTTATTAATATAAAAGTTTTATTTTTATTTAATTTATTGCATGACTTTTCAGAATGGTTTAATAAATATATTTAAAAAGGATTTATAAAATTTATTTTTAAAAATATTTATAAAAGGGATTTTATTCTGAATTAGAGCAATAATGGTTTGCATTAAGTTCTGATCAATATACCTTTCTTTTAAAGGTTAAAGTAGATATTCCTATATCGGCTGTCAAAAGCAAAATCTACAACAATGTAAATATAAAGTAGATTCATTTAAACGGATTATTAAATAGGTAACTTGATTATCTTTAACACCCGATTGTTGGCAAGCAATCAAGAATATATATTCTATCAATAAATTTGAAATCTTTATTACACTTTAATGAATTATAATACTGTATGAATCAGTCGGTTAGGATTTTTGTATTTTTTTTTTAAAAAATTTTTTAAAATTGTTATTATTATTTTACTTTTTTAAATAAAATTTACATAAACTAAGATAGGTAGATATCTATTTGTATTATAATAATGGCAACAGCACATAATCTGTCAGCGCCATTTCAAACGATATCGATTGAAAGAGACTATCGTGATTGTATCACTAAATTCTATAGAGAGTTACCAAATGAATTGAATGGAAAAGTATGCTGCTGTCATCATTGATTGACCGATTTCAATCATTTATAATCTAATTTATAAATTAATAAACACTTTATAATTAGGTATCACAAAATGAATTTGAACATACAATAGATAAGATAAATACTTGGTTGGAGAAAGCAGAGACTATCGACGGAAGAAATGTTTTAGAGGAATGCATAGGTTGTTTAACATTCTTCACTTCATATCTATGGTATAAAGATAAATATACATCTGTAAGTCTGCTATATAAATAGATAACATTATAATTGGCCAACTAAATACTTACTTACTTACTTATCATTTGGTACAAAAATAATAATAATAATAATAATAATAATGATAATAGAGTGTAGAGAAAATTAGTAGATTCCTTCAAGAACAAAACGATACTGTTTATTATAATAAAGGTATTTCATGGGTTAATCCAATGAATAATGGTTATTTAAAGGTAAGTAAAACGATGTTTATTAAGTGTTTAAAGATCATTTATAAATGATAATTAACTTTTGCAATCAATCAAACACTTTAAACAAAACAAAATAGATTGATATTATCATTCAGAATCCAGCAAATGCAAATCAATCACTTTCACCATTTTCATCGACTTCACTTTCGTCACCACCACAATCATCTGTACATACACAACCGACCATCAATATCAATAGTTCACCTGGACAGCTCACCTCTCAGACATCCGACAGTCATGCTGGTGGCGCTGCTTCACCAAACATCTCCACCGAGATATCAGAACAATCGTCAGCCATCACCACAAACAACACAAACTTTACCAACAACACAACAACTATAACAACAGGCAATCCAGATACAATCATTAATATCAACAATAACAATCCTCACACTGATTTCTCTTCGGATGACGACGACGCCGATGATACTGATTCCGATACTTTCTAAAGAAAATGTTATCTAAAGAAAAAGTAGCTAGCTAGCAGACAGACAGACAGACAGACAAACAACATCATCCAACTATATCAACAACAATCAAATCAAATCAAATCAAATCAAACAGAAAAGAAATCGTCACTTCCCAAATGATAAATCAAAACAACTAAATCAACAGAATATTTAAAACCAACACAACCCACCACAAACTATAGAGATGTAAAGTAATAAGGAATGAATATAATTTTATTTCATCTCTTGCCTTTTAAGAATATAGAACATCTCTATGATCAATACAATTTCGAAAATAAACTGGGCACTCATGGAGAAAATTGCACCGAACGGTGTCTTTTGTCCATTGAATACGACAATCAGTATCACTGATATTGTAGCAACTAGGAATGTCCATGACAAGATTGTAACTATAAATGTTAACTTTATAATTTGTTTTTTTTTTTTTAATGTAATTTTAATTTATTAGAAAGTTTAATAAAATAATTTTATCATCACCTATTAAACTATTATTACTTACTTTTGTAAATACTTTTTCTTTTGTTTTCTTTTCGAATTGTGCATCTCTGATCCTAACGAATATGAGTGATCCGTACACCATGAAAAAGAATGAAAATACGAATCCAACCACTACAATATAGATTCCATACAACAAATCGATGAGTTCAAGTCCACTATCTAATTTCAAGATATTCGATTGTTCTAGTCCATAAAGAATTCTTGCAGTCAGCTCTGCCAACAACCAAATAGTATTAACAACTATAAATACTCTTTTTGTAGCGGGAATAAGAATCTTATGACATCTTGTTGAAAATACATGGTGATAAACACTTATCCTATAATTGTTTTTATACAAAAAAAGTAAATAATTTTTAATACTGGAATTTGAAATCAATATACTTACCAATGTAATAATACTAATAAATATGCTGTAAAAACAAAGTATAATGATAGTCCACCGAGTAATTGTGTTATTGTAGGTGGAATTAAATAGGTTTGGACCATTGGGTCCAAAGATAAATATAAAATTCTAACTATAATATTGATTTCCGATAAAATTTATTAAAAGTTAATTTAATTTTTTAAAAGTAATAATCATACTTACAAAATGTATTGGATAGTAATATTATAAAACAAATTGATTTCAATGAGAGAATTGGATGGATTTTAATAAAATAGAATAATAATTTATATAACAAGAAAAGAAAAGTACAACCATAGAGCACCAAGAATATACAACGCCAGAATAAAAAAACATTTCCCAATTCATCTTTGAATGGAGTCTCGCAATAGTTTCCATCCCAATATGCTATACATTCACAAATTCCATCTTTACATATACCATGCTTTCCACAAATATTATCAATTGAACAATTTAATGGTAACATAATTGTTTTTAAAATAAATAAATATAATAAATAAATAATTAAGTTCTTTTTATAAATATATTATATTATATATTTATTTTATAATTTAATTAATGATTGCTATTAAAAAAAACAAACATAAGATAAAATCAATAATTAACAAATGTTTACAGATATTGAAATTGAAGGTGATGGTTGGTTGATAGATTCAAGTAGATTATACTCTCCATTCATTCGTTAATCCATTAATAAGTGTAGTATCAAAGATGCCAATTGTCTGGTCAAGTGGTGGTTGGTGGGTATGTGTTTTATTCTTTTACTACTGAATTTGGTAAATTTTAAGATATTATCAATTAAATAAGTTATTGTATATGTTCAAAAACAACTTGAAACCCCCTTTAAGAAATTGATTGAATTCTATTGGAAACTACTTTTACTTTTAAATCAAGCATATCAATGACACTCTTATACACTTTCACCACCGCTATTTTATATATAAATAATAAAAAGTATAAATTTGAATTAACACACACACAACAAAAATAATATATATTTTTTTATTTATTTACATTAACTTAATCACCACTAATTAAAACTTGTTGTTTTTTAATTAATTGATTAATCGATATATATATATATATGCTCGACGTGGGTACTACTATTATTTGTTATTTAGTATTATTCCTACTTGATTTCGTTCTACTCCCAATCAAATACTTCTTCATCATCATCTTCCAATAATGCACTGGCATTCTTTGATGGTGTAACTGGAGTGGTCGTAACTGTAGGTGTAGAAGTAGTGATAGTTGTTGATGTTGTTGGTGGTGGTGGTGATGATGATGATGTATTTGTGGTTGGTTCAAATGATGATGTGGTAATATCAATCTTTTGATTAGATTGAACAACTGAATTATTATTATCATTATTATTATCAATATCATCCTCCTCGTTATTAATAATAGTAGTAACCGATGTAGTGGTGGTTTGTTCTTCTAAATTAATATCACCCTCATCTTCATTTTCATTACCTTCACCAGTAGGTACTTGAGGTAAGGTAGTTGTTGAACTATTTAGTCTCTCCTAAAAAATATTATTTTAAAAAAGATATAAATGTAAATAATATATTCTTACTTTTACTTTTTTTTTTATGAATTGTTTGAATTGAGAACAAGATAATGACAATAACAACAAAATCATCATCATCTTCAATCAATCATGTTATTTATGAAAAAGTGATAGTTACCTCTTTTTGTTTACGTCTTTCTGCTTCTTCTTCTAAATATTTCAGTTCAATCTCTCTATTTAATTCTTCGTCACTATCAAAACACTCATTATTAGCAACATTATCAATGTTATTACTATTACTATTTTTAATGATGATATCATCTTCATCATCATCATCATCTTCTAATTGAACATTATTATCTAAATTTGAGTTGGTAATAGCAGTAGTACTTGTTGTTGTTGTTGTTGTTGTTGTCAAATTATCATTATTTTGAATTTCATTTGATTCATTATCAAACTCAATCTCTTCATCGTCGCCCCATCCTATTTCCTCATCTTTTGAAACTTCTATAATATTTTTTTTAGATATATATTATGTTAATATGAATTGAATATTTCCTCTTTTAAAGGTTTTAAAAAAGTATAACTAATTAATGACATACGTTGTAATATTAGTTTTCTTCTCTCTTCTTCCTTCTGTACTTTATATTGTTTATAAAAGTATTTCAACCAGAATTGTTGATGAGTTATTTCATTTGGTACTAATTATTAAAATTAAATGTTTTGTTTTGTTAGTTAGATTGTTTTGTTAATTGTTAATTGTTAATTGATTTGAATAGCTACCATATTTAGTGTAGAGTGACTTTATATTATCATCTCCAGAGAGGATTGTGTTGATTTGACTGTTGTAGTTCTCTAGTGGACCAAATGATTTCGACCATTGTTCGTAGTCTTCGATGTTTGAAGGGTCGGATGTAAGGTAAGATAATCCTTTCATGAGAAGATTGGTAGATGATGTCTTTAGACTGTTTCCACTGTCTGCGAATGATGACGGCGAAGTAGGTGAGACACCACTGCCACTACCGTTAGCGTTACCACCACCGCCAGTTGACTGATTTAATATACCTGCATTCTCAAGATTATTCTTTACATTGTCCAACTGAGTGTTTATTACAGTACTAGTGTCTTGATACAATGATTTCGAGAACTCTTGTAGATCTTCCTTGTAGATATTGACGACTTGATCAGATGTTTTCTTTATAGTCTCTACAATATTCATCTGTTGTACGGACTCCACCAACTGATTTCCGAGACTACCAATATCAACATTGCTCAAGTTATTCAAAGTACTCGATAGATTACTACTTAGACTTGAAAGACCACCCCAAAATCCCCTATAATTATAATAATTATAATAATAATAATAACAAAGATGAGTCATTCATCATCATTTATAAAATAAACATATAATTTAGACTAATCTTACCATGAAGAAGTAGAGGGAGCAGTAGTACTATTACCATTACTCTCTATATTATCGTTTTCTTCTTCCTCTTCTCTTTGCATGGTATGGTATTATATTGACTTTTTGTTTGTTAACAAAAAAAAAAAAGAAAGAAGTTAGAGTTTAGTTTTTTTTAAAAAAAAAAAGTAGGTGGTGATGTAAATGTAAATTTATTTTTTAAAGTTCAACTGTTTTTTTTTTTTTGAGTCACCATTTCTTTTTTTATTGGGAACTTATATTTAAAACAAATCATGAAAATAATAAATATCTAAAATCAGCCACAAATTCAGATGATGAAGATTGAACAACACTCTAATTTAAAGAATAAGGGATATTACTCAGGAAATGGAAAATAATAAAAAGAAACAAAACATTAAACAAAGTTAATGGGTTCAAAAAAAAAAAAACAAAATTAATTAAATTAAATTAAAAAAAATCATTTGTTTCTAAATTTAGTTTTTTTGGTTTGTTCAAAAATATATTTTTCAATTAATTTAATTTCAATGTTTGATTAATATAAATAAATTAATACTTCTCAATCGAACCATCCAACCTGTGATCCAAATGAGATTGAACTTCAAAACCCTATTAATTCAATTCAAATACAACGAAAAAAAATAAATTAAAATAAAAACAAACAACTGTTTCTCAACAACCAACATCCAACAGCAAAAACAACAACACCATTCTATTATTGCATTCTATAGACACACAAATAAGAATAGGTTAATTAAATTTATCCTTTTTTTTTTTAAATTTATTTTTTTAACACATTTTTAAATTTGTTTTTTTTTTTAAAAATTATTAATTAAAGCACAGAAATAGTATTAAATATATTATTATTATTATTATCCACATCTATTCAATTCATCCATCTTATTCATTCTTATTTTTTACAATATTTATATAAAAATCTTAATTTTATTTTATTTTTCAACTTTTTTTTTTTTTGGCAATACAAATTTTACAATAAAAAAAGTACAAGTTTTGTTGTTGGATTTAATAACAATTCAGTTCAGTTCACCGATTTTTTTTAAAAAAAATTTTGTTGAATAGTCCAATTAATATCAATAATTATTTATACATATACATATAATACATAAAAAATGACATCTACTGAAGAAAAGGTAAGCAATAGATTAAAAGATAAACAAACAAACAAACGATATATAGTCTTATTTACTCAATGTTTTAACATATATTTCCTTTTATAGCCACCCAATTTCGATAATATGTCTGCAGACGAGAAGAGATTGTATGAGAAATACGGAAGATTACCAAAACAATCTCAATTACTTGCTAAAAAGGTATGAACATATCATTTTGTTGACAGGTTATTGTTGTTTTAACTAACTTTTCAATTACCTACAATAATTCAACTAAATATATGATATATAGGATAAGAAGTTTTTCGATAGCGCAGATTGGGCAAAAGGACAACACGAAGCAAAAGAACAACAAAAACAACCTTCGGAAAAACCAATTAGCGAATAAATAGCATAAGAACATCAAAAAAACATTGTAAACTATTAAAAAAATCAAGCATACATGCATACATACCCTTTTTGAATTAAGCTTCACACTCGTAGATTGTACCATTATTTAGCCTACCCATCACTCAAGAGAACTACTATAATAACATACACAGAGCACTACACTTACTTTTTTTTTTTTTCTTCATTTTAAATACCAATTGTAAACCTGACCAAGTATTACAATATTTTAAATTAAAAACATATCATTTTTAAAAACAACAATAATCAATCATTTAGAATTCAATCTTTTTTCCCCAAGCAGCAATGAGTCACTTAAGATGGAGGAATCGACACAGGTTGTTGGAGTGCCAACAATGTGTTAATCTTACATCTCCATCTTAAAAAAAAAAAAAAAACAACAAAACCAAACAAAACTAGTTTATCATTTTTATTTATAACAAATAAAAAGTTAATCAAACCAATTTAAACAATAACAATGAATTTCTGATGATTTTAATAATAATATCTTTTTTTAGGGATTATTATTAAAAAAATAAAAAACAAAATGAAACTGTAGAAATCTATTTCATGAAATCTGATTTGTTTATATAGTTTCATAGCTATGAGTGGTAGATATATTTTCAAATCATTCAAACCTCTCTTTAGGTATACTACTACTGCCACTACATCACATAGTAGTAGTGGAGTATTGTCTTTATATAGTATTAGTAGTAGTTATAGATTACAAAACACAAATTTGATACAATCAAACAGATACACTTTAATCAATAGTCAAAATAATCTGATATCTGAAAAAAGATATTGTTCAACATCTTTATTTAACAATAATAATAATAATAGTAATAACAATAGTAGTAATAATAATAATAATAGTTCTATTAATTATAAATCAAATTTAAATGAAAATGATATTAAAAAGATGATCAAAGAAAATAATGATCATATTGATGAATCGGCAATACTTTTGTTGTATCAATCGGCGGTGAATGAGATCACTGCTAATCAGACAAAGTTGATGTCATGGGATTTGTTGCATTGGGCTGCACTCTACCAACAACACAGTTGGTTCATCAAGAAGCTTATCGATCAGAGAAAGCAGTTGAGAAACAACAACAACAACAATGACAGCCAGACAACGACGAGTGTCATCGTTTCCGACAAGTTTGGCGTTACTCCGCTACACATTGCTGTTGGACAAGGTCATTTAGAGACGGTGCGTTTGCTCTTGTCCGAAGGTGTCGATGTGAATGCACGTGATAAAAAGCAGTTTGTCAGACTGTCTGCACTACATCTGGCAATCGATCATCGCTATCCAAACATAGAAATCATCGAGTCACTCTTAGAGGCTGGTGCCAAGGTCAACCAAGAGACAACCGAGAGAAGGACACCAATCTTTAAAGCAATAGAGAAAGGTCATTCCTATGATATCATCAAATTGCTTCTTAAACATGGTGCATCTGTAAACATACAAGATAATCCAAGAACAAACGGATGGGAATATGTAAGTTGATCACATACATTCTATTGAAGAATAAAATCAATTGTATTAATTTATATTTTTAGTATAGAGTAATGACACCATTACATCTTGCAATAATTCATAGAGATTTAGATGTATGTAATATTATCAATAGGAATAGGATACAATACTTATGGATATATTTTTATTTAGATTGTTAAATTATTAGTTGAACATGGTGGAGATGTCAATTTGAAACTTAAAGATGAAATGGGAGAGTCATTATTACATTTGTCGTGTATGAGATTGGATGAAGAGATGACTGATTGGTTGATCGAAAATGGTGCCGATATTCATGTATTGGATTGCCATGAAGGATCTACACTGGATTATGCTATATCGTCATTACCTCCACAACTACAAAAGCAACCAGAACAAAACAAATTTATCAATAAGCTAATCAATCAATATAATGTTAAAAGAGGTAAGGGTAAAAAGATGTAAATGACAAGGAACAGGTCTTCTTTAAACTACAATATTGTTCAAACATCTTAAATAAATATTATCTTAAGATATATATTATTTATATACATTTTTATAAAAAGAGAAAGAAAGGTTATATTTACAATAAGAAAGAAAGAAAGAAAGAAAGAAAGTAAAAGATAAAAAAATAGATTAAATAATATAAACTTTTGGTTCAAACTTCCAAAGTTGACCTAAAGGTGTTGTAGAGGTAGAGGATATAGTGTTGTTGTCATTGTTCATGTTGATGATTCTCTCTGATTTCAAACCGAATCTGTCAGCTATTTCTATGGTTTTACGGATGGTCAGTTCACTGGTAGTCTCACAGTTGTAACTCATTAGAAAATAGGAACTACTTGATGTGTTTGAATGATATTGTGATTTTAATATTGCCGACACAAAAGAAAACATTTGTAATATACTTTCAACACTAAACGATGATTGTCTATATTAAAAGATCAAAGCAAAGCAAAGTAAGCTAATCGTTTTAGATTTAATATTATTAAAAAAACTTACATTAAATCAGATGCCATTATGATATCGAATGGTCTACTAATCAAATTTATAAAACTAGGTAAGCTATGAATACCCATTACTGGCGATAATCCAATGGCAACACTCGAAAGAGTACATTCATTGAGTTTTATATTCTCATTGAGTAGGTGAATTCCCTCGATCTCTTTCTCTGTAAGAATAACATTTGCACCAAGTTTGGCAGCATAGAGACCACAGATACCACTACCTGAACCAATTTCCAGAATTGTTTGACCTCTAATTATATTATCCTTCAAGAATTGGCCCATAACTATATTTGAACTAGATGGATCATTTTCATCGAATGAACTGATATTTGGATACTGGCTCGAAGGTGTTGACTCCTCCACAACCTGATCCATCATCCCATTGTTTCTATGTTTAAGTTTAATATCTAAATCATGAAATCTAATTGTTTTAAAATTAAACCTTCATTTTTCATTTCTATTAGTAATTTTATTTATTTTTGTTTATTGTCATAAAAAAACTAAAACCAAACTTACCCATTAAATTGGTTTAATAATTGATATTGTAAATCTTCCCTCATTCTCTCTTTCTATTTCTATATCTCTGTGAATGAATATTAGTAGTATATTTGATTTGAAAGAAGGAAATAAGAATTTAAATTAAAAAGCTTTAAACCATTGATATTTTATTTAATACATTAATTAAAATTAAATATATTAAAGTTAATGGGTTGGTTGCTTTTTAGTAGTAGTAGTAACTAACAACATGTTTGGTAGTATAAAATTTGACATGTTCATTCATTGTGAAACAAAACAAAACATAACATAATAATAATAGGTATGAATGAAGTGGAAGTAACTCCCCAATAATGTATGTGTTTGGCAATTAACCATCATTCTGTGTGTTAAATTTAACATTCAATTTAAAATAAAAAATCAACAACAACACCATTTTAGCAATTTTTTATTATTTCTTTAAAATACCCCCAAAGACCATGAGCTTTAAATAATTATCTTCACACAAACTTAAACAATTTAATAAACATGATTTAAAAAGTGGTGTGTTAATTAAATTCATCAACCAACGCATTCATCAAGATATTAAAATTTGTTGGTTAACGTTATTATCAAAACATTTATTATATCTCAAGATTAATTTTTTTACAAATATTGTTATTATTTTATTTTCTAACAATTTTTAATATTTGTATACAGATAAAATCAGAATCCTTCAACTATTTAAAATAGTGGAGCTAATAACCGAACCTACATTGCATAATTCATCATATATTATGTTGCCGAAGCTTTGAGAGTTCAAAGCCACCAAAAAGAGAACTTTCAATTGAATAATCAACTATTATTAATTTAATACAATTCCCCATTATTTATAAATAGGGGTTATAAAAGTTAACTGGGATTCATCTTTAGTAGTCTATATGCATTATCTTACAAGACCGATTTTTTTTTTTTTAAGATGGTTCACTTATTTTTAAGGTTTGGTCTGATGCCAACAGTCAACCAGATGAAAACAAAAAAAAAAAGAGAAAAAATAAAAATCCAAAGTATCGGTTTTGTAGGGATTTGATGGGAATAATCAGATTATAGAGTTCGGCAAAAGATTTTATTTAAATTTTTGGATATTTTTATAAAAATTTTTATCCTGGCATTCATCCAATCTTAAAATAAATAAGCTGAATCTTTTTTTTCAATTATCATTAACAAAAATATAAACAATGTTTAACAAATTATCTCTTGTTTTCTTAGCAACAATTGTAGTTGTTGCTTATGGATACAGCTGCAGCAAACCGTGTTACGGTGATATGTGCTGTAGTATTCCATCGAACAATCAATACTATCTAACAAGTTTCTGTGATGAAACCACTGCTTGTGGACCTTCTTGTTCCTCTGTAACATACTTTAGTGCTGATTCACAAAGGTAAGTACTTTAACATTCTACTTTCAATCGTTTTATTAATTTACATCTTGATGAAATATTAGATTTGGTTGTGGTGTTTATTTAACTATTTGCGCTGGTGGAGGTGGTTCAACATCTGGATCTAGCTCATCAGGTTCGAGTTCATCAGGATCGAGCTCAACAACTTCAAGTTCAGGCTCTGGATCTGGATCTGGCTCCAGTGGATCTTCAGGATCAGGATCAAGTGGATCCTCAGGTTCAGGCTCGGGATCGAGTTCAAGTGGATCTTCAGGTTCTGGTTCGGGATCTGGCTCTGGCTCAGGATCGGGATCAGGATCGGGATCTGGAAGTGGTAGTACAAACTCAGCTTCTGAGAAATTATATGTAGATGGAAATGAATTCTATGGAACCTGTGTAAAGGTTGTTACTATTGATTCAGGTCCTAATATGTAAGTGTTTAGAATATTTGATTCTCAAAGTACCAAAAAAAAAAAAAAAAAAAAGAAAAAGAAAAATACTAATTGAATTGATATCATAGTTATGTTGAACAAGATGCAGGTATGCCAATCATTGATGCCTCTCCACAAACCTGTCAGGATCTATTCGGTTCTAGCTCGTGTGGCTGGAGTGACTCTAGACTTATCACTGCCACCCAGAGTCTTGATGATGGTCGTCCACTCGGTGCATTCAACGTTACAGTCAACGAGTTCAGAAAGATCATGGAAATCGGCGATATCCTATCACAGCAATGCCAAACCCCAAATTCAAATTGCAAATTTAACAAGTTAAATTAAATACAAACAAATATTTATTCAAATGAATACTTTTTTTTTTTCGCTACAATAATTGATTGTAGATTTTAACCAAGATAACAAACACTGTATGTTTCTTTTGAGGATTATATATTAAAACTATTAATATATTTACAGACATAAAAATTGATTAAAAAAAAAAAAAGATTTTTATTAATTTGTTTTTCGTGTGATTGGTTGTCGGTCGACTGATTGATTACTTCATTGTGCACATGTATTTTTTGAAAAAAAACTTAATTAGAGATATTAATAATGTTGAATAGATCAATTTGTAGAACCAATCAATTGGTTGCAAATGTAGTTTTAAATAGTGCAAGAGCTGGACGTTCAACTGCGACATCCGGTAACATTTTAATTAGAAGATCATTATCATCAACCACTTTAAACAATAATAGATTAAACTATAATAACATTCTCAATAACAATGGAATAAGATCATACTGTAAATCCACTACAGAGACACCAAATAATAATAATAATACCGAACAAAAGACAACCGACAACACATCAGCAAAACCAGATAGAAACAAGATCATTCAAAAGTACATTGTTAAAGATATGCCAGCTTCACACAAAGATTTCACCGACAAAGGTTACGAAGTAGTTTTCTACTCAAAGAGAGAAGCAATCTTTAAGAATCTAAAATTACTCTTTGGTGGTCAAATTGCATTGACTTCTGTAGTACCCATTGGATTCCTTTTGAAAGGATCAGAGGTATGTTTGTTTATAAGTGATTAGTAACTTTTCACAATAGATAGATTTCACTCAACTAAAACCTATCTACACACCAAAACAAAACAATTAAAGATTAAATATACAATGTTTGGTATGATGTTAGTTGCATGGAGTACATCATTCTACTTTATCGGAAAGATGATGATGTCCAACTTTGTCATTAGACTCTACTATAAGAAAGGTGAAAATTTTATTTATATCGTTCAGTATGCACCGAATGCTCGTGTCTTAAAGGTTCCCATTGAAGATATCAAGCCTTCAAGCTTCAATCCCGACGGTACACCATTCCTCTTGTTAGAGTCTGACCAATTGTTCTTCTTTGAGCGTGATGGTATGCTAAAGAACCGTGAGGCCCTCGAGTACATTCTCTCGGGAGACGAGTACGACCTCAAGACAAAGTCACGTGAGGAAGCAGAATACAACGAACACATTGCCAACTCATTGGAAACCGCACAAAAGATCGACGCATCCAACAAAACTCTCGACGAACAATTGAAATCACTCGAACAAGAATTAAATACATTGAAGAATGATAATGATACCCAACAACAACAACAACAATCATCATCATCATCATCATCAACATCAAAACAATAAAATAATAATTATAATATTATAAAAACAATGATATGATATTTAAAAAAAATTAGATTATATATATATATAGTTTTAATGGTATTATAGTATTGTTATAATATATAATATTACTTTGGTTGTTGATATTATTATTGTTGTTGATTATTGTCGATATTATTATATTTAAACGGAAACAACAGAGCCACAGATACCTCTTAGACATTCTCTTCCGTATGGAATGTATGAAAATATATAGTATAACAATGCACAAACTTGGAAAATAATTAAAAAGATGATTAAAATAAAACTCCATCCCTAAAATTATAATTGAATAAATAGTTAGTTTGTTAGTTATGCAACATGATTGTAGGTAGATCTCTATAATAATGATAATCATCACTTACAGAGAAAACAGCAACTAAAGTAAGAATCATCGATAATACAAAAACGATAGCACAGATTGCACGTGTTGGTTGCATCATATTCTTGAATTGTTTCACTGGACCCACAATAAAACCTGTTGCTAGAAGCATACATATATTACCGACTGTATATAGAAATGCAAATGATGTTGGTGATGCCAAGAACAAAAATGCCTACAAAAAAAAAGATAGAATGATGATCATCAAATTTGATTCAATAAAGTTAGTAACTAATCTTAATCTATCTATCTAACCTAGCTATCATCATTTAGATCAATAACTAGTTAAACATCAAAACTACATGATGATGATGATATTTACTAAAAATGAAAAGAATAAACCTAAACCTGCACTAATACCGAAACCAATCAGTCTTTGAGTCCAAGATAACGAACATTGATTGTTGATCTCTTCCCAAACAGATTGATCTTCTTTGGGTTGTTCATTATTTCCCAATAAACTCTTTATTGAATCCATTGCTTATTTTAAATTGTTATTAAATGTATATATAAATAGATTATCTAGTTTCAAAAAACTGCCTACAAAAAAATTACACAGAATGATGTCAAATTAATTTGTTTTTAATAAAAATTAAAAAAAAAATTATTTTGAAAAATTCATAATAAAAAATATCTTTTGCTAGCTACTTATAATTTTGTTTTTTACTTTATTAATCTTAACTTTCCAAGAGTATTTAATTTAAAACCACGTTTATATTGTTGTAAATTATTTTTTTAATAAACAGCAAACACCCATACTCAGTGAAATTGAAAAGTTATTTGGGTGCCAATAGCTTTTCATAGAATAAGAAATCTTCGAAGAGTAGTAATCGTCAAGAAGATGTTTATATTATTTCTTTGTTTGAATAATAATCATTTCGTTTTTTTTCTAGATGTTCTAATTAAAATCCTATATCTTTAAAAACCATTAAGATCAATGATTCCGATTCAATATTCAGAACACCACTGATAAGACTTTGAAAGTCGAAAAAACTGTTTCGATTGACTCAAACAGTTTTGGGCAGAAGACCTTAAACATTAAAATGAAAGATTAATGTGTGTCAACATTTCAATTATATTAATATTCAACGAAGATTTATGAAAAAAAAAATAAAAAGATCGACGATCGATCAAAAAAAAATAACCTATTAAAAAGTTTTTGATTTTTTGATTATTTTTTTTGGGGTTTACAGTAAAAAATATATTAGAATTGTTATTTTTACCTACCTTTACTCTTTTTATTTATTTATCATTATCATTATCCTTATATTTTTGTAATAAATATTAATATCTATATTATAATACAAAAATAAAGTAAAAAAAATGGGACCAAAGAAAAAAAATAATAAAAAAGGAGGACAACAACAACAACAACAACAACAAAAAGATACATCTAATAAATCAAATAGTAATAATAATAATAATAAAGTAGAGAAATCAGATAATGAAGAGACATCAGCATCTACATCATCTATTAGTGTATCATGTGATTTGAGTGAATCAGTCGATATGTCAAGTGACATTTCAAGCTCTGTTGTAGAGCTTAGTGGTAACACTGATCTTGATCAAAGTGTAGACTCACTAGATGGTGCTGATCAACACATAGATAGCCAATCAAATTCAACACCATCAACATCATCACCAACAACAATCATCACTGAAAATAATAATAATAATAATAATAATAACAGTAATAGCAATCCTAATATTGAAATTGTGGATGTTGAAAAAGTTCAAAGTGGAAATAATAATGACAATGTAGTTTTAAATGAAATTTCAAAATTATATTCATTGTTATCATTAGTCTCCAATAATGTAATAGATATAAAAGATAAATTCAATAATAATAATAATAATAATAATAGTATAAATCATTTCATTAATAATCAAAGTAGTGGTAATTTAAGTACTATCGGTAGTAGTGGTGAGGTGTTTGGTGAGTTGAGATCGAGAAGAAGCGATAGTTTCACTAGCAATGGAGATAGCAGTGAATTCGATTGGAAATCAATGTATTTGATGCTCTCACAACAATACCAACTAGAGAAGAAGCGTGGTGATGAACTTGAGATTCAAGTCAAGGACTTGGTACACGAGAATCAATTGTTGACCGGACGTATCAAAGTTTTAGAATCACATGTAGAAGTAGAGAAAAAGAAATTACATCAAGGTAAGGAGAAATCATTCAATCAATTGATTGATTATATTCATATATAATAAAGTTATTAATTAATGGTTTATCTTTTCATTTCTTTATTAATTTAGCTTTTGGTACGATTAGAACTGGAAGTAAGAAGTTGACAATGAAGTTGGGTAAAGGAAATATCGATTTGTCAACCATTCTCGATGAGTTGGGTCGCGATATCGATACGATTTCAGATAGTACGGCAATCGATCACCGTTTGACAGAGAATGCACAGTCCATGTTGAACAAACTCAATAGTTTCACACCACACAACTCTGCAACTGAATTGTTGACTCCCGAGGAAGTTGCACAACAAAAATCACAAACCACAACTGTTGCTCCATTAGTGTCACATCATAATCACAATACCGCTACTACTACTACCGCCGCGGTTGTTTCAGGTGAAGATACTACACAACATCACCAACAAAGTTTTGCTACAATAATACCAGTTGAATCAACTACACCAACACCAACAGCAACTCCAATATCAACACCATCTTCAACTCCACTATCTATTTCAGCATCAAATAGCTTAGAGAATATCATTGCAACAACAACATCGTCATCAACAACAGAACAAGAAACAGATGTAATTGATGTAGAAAGACATAGTACTAACTACAAAGAGGCAGATGGTCAAGTTGTCACTATCTCTTATGGTGGCGAACAACTCAGAAAAGTAGTCAAAGTACAATCATACGTAAGAAGATGGTATGCACAACAACAATACAAGAAATTAAGTAAGTACACATCGCAGTGAGATATTTATCTATCAAATTTGAATAATGTAAACTAATAGAACAATTCCAACTTGTAGAAACAAAGAGATTGGCAGTTGGAGAATTGTTTGAAACCGAGTCAACTTATATTACACATTTGTCGAATTTATTAAAGATCTTTGTTGCTCCACTTAGAGTAAGATTGCAAAACGGTGAGAATCTGGTGAGTGCACACGATATCGAGAGAATATTCTCAACTGCCAGCACCATCTTTAAGAGTAACTCTATATTCTTGCATCAAATGGAGGATATGTACAAGAACTTCAATCGTTGGTCGCAAATCGGTGGTAGAATGTTGGAGCAATTGCCACTGTTTGAATCGTACATTGAGTATATTATCAATTTCGATCTTTCGCAACACGCACTGAAGCGTGCTCTTCAGAATACAAACTTTGCCAACTTTATAAAGTCGGCCGAAGCCAATGTGATGCTGGGAGATCTCGACTTGCCCGATCTCCTGATTATGCCCGTCCAGAGAATTCCACGATACATCATGTTGATCCAGCAAATCAGAAGATATACCTCGGCCAGCCATCCCGACTACATCCCACTGACACGCGCACTCGACGCATTCAAGAAGTTTGCCGACGGAATCAACGAGCGAAAAGGCATGAGAATCAAGGCGCTCGCACTCGAAGACAAGATCCTCGGTTACAAAGACGACATCACCTCGAAATCGAGATATCTCATTCGTGAGGGACCTCTGCGTTACAAGAAGAACAACGAATATGTATTCCTCTTCAACGACATGCTCATGATTTGTCATCCACAATACAAAAAGTCAAAGGTTCGTCTTGGTGTTTCATCTTCGCCAAGCAGTAGTAGTAACAGTCTCACCAGTAAAGATGGAAGTAATAAAGATGGAAGTAATAAGGATGGAAGTACTTCGCCATCGTTGATGTTACCATCATCGGTAAACGGTGGATCGACATCGCCAACTCCTTCATCGCCAACACAAGATCATCATCATCATCCTCACCACGACATGCCATGCTCCTATAAGTTCATAACAAGAGTGATGCTCGACGCACGTGTAAAGATAGTTCAAGACAGTCACGAACCAAAGTTCCTCACAATCATACCAGATCAATACTCGATTGAGTTGACCGCATCATCCACCGAGGAAAGACATCTCTGGGTTAAAGATCTTATCACACTTGTCACCATCTTCACCAACAATCTACTGAACAATCCAACAACCAGTGCAAACATCATTCCAAGTAATAACCTATCATCGTCAAGCAGAGACAACTCTTTAAATTAATAATGTAATACTAAGTGGGAAACACACACAAATTATATAAATCATCTATTTATATACATAAAATATAATCATATAAATTTAGAATATATACAAAACAATCAAATACCAAATGTACTAGTAATAAAACAAATATACAGAAACTTTATTAAAATCATAATCATAAGGTTCTTTTTTTCATTATTTTTGTTTGTGATAATATCATTTTGAAATCGACAGATCATCTAATAAAACAAAGATAAAAGGATAGATAATCATTACACGAGTCTATTCATATGAATAACAAAATTGTAAAATAATGAATTGACATTGATTGTTTGGTTGTTTGTTTTCTTATTTAATAGGATAAAAATAGTTACAGATTTATTTGGTTGTTGTTTTTTTTTTTTTTTTAATTGTTGACTACAAAGTACTAAGCAGTTGGTTTTGGAGTGTCTGATTTTGGCTTTGGTGGACCAGTTCTTGGTCTATTATTTGGTCTTGAGTTGTTATTATTATTATTATTATTGTTGTTGTTGTTATTTGATTGTTGTTGTTGTTTATTTTTTACAGATTTGATGATCTTGTTGATTTCCTTCATGGCATTCTCAATGTCTTCGAGTTCACCACGAATCACAACTTCTTTGGTTTGGCTATCGGGTGGTGGAATGGTGATTTTAACGTTGAATTCCTCACGCAAACGCTTGATTGTGGCACCACCGGCACCGATCAACAAACGGTGACTCTCCTTCGGGATGTTGTGTAGTGTCATGATGTCACCAAAGAACTCCTCTGGCTTGATCATGTCGAGAATACGCTGACGTGCATTCTCAACGTCGTCGGATCTACCTTTGATGGTGATGACTTTGTTCTCCTTCTCTTTGAGGTCTGGCACGGTGATCTGAGTGTTGGTGAGTTCACGCAACTCGTTGAGCTTCTTTCCGTCGCGACCAATGATTTTACCGTGATCGGACTTTGGTACTGTAAGCTTGATGGTGACGGCTTGGTCACCTTGCAGCACCTCCTTGATCTTTGAGAATACAACCAACTGCTCTGGTAGCAAACCAGCCATGTTCTTAATGGTTGGATCTGCACCGGCTTTCATCAACAGCTCAATGATTGGAAACTGGTCTTTCATAGTATCTATAGTAACCAGCTTGTGAAGACTGGTAGATCCAACTTGATTGGTTGCATTTGGATCTGCTCCTTTTTCTAATAAATATTTAACAATTTCTGAATTTGTTGAAAGAAGCAATTAATATTTTGAATTTCAAATTGGTATTGGATACCATCATGGTTTAAACTATTATTATTATTAATTACTTACTAACTCTCTTTTTAACAATGGCACCATGTAATGGTAAATCACCAAATGAATCTTTTTGGTTGGGTGAAACTTTTACTACTTCAATTAAACGTTTGACTTCATCGAGTTGGTCAGCTTCGGCAGCAAACTTTAACATTGATCCATTGAGAGTATCTTGGTCATTGCTGTTTGTTGCTGTAGTTGTTGTTGTTGTAGTGGTAGTGGATTCATCATCAACTAATACATCATCGATTGAATTCATTTTTATATTGAAATTTTTTGGAAATAAATAAATAGAAAAACCTGGAATTATAATTTATAATTAAATGTATGGAAAAAAAGTAAAACTAAAATAAATATTATATGATTGTTAGTTTATTGATTTAAATTTGGTTGGAATGAGAAAATAGTATGAAAAAAAATGGTTATAATAAAAAAAAAAGTTTAAGATAAAGGTCTTCTTTCTCTTTGCTTTTGCTTTTATAGGATTTATGATATGTTTATAAATATATTATTAAAATATTGAATATGAATGAAATGTTTTTGTTAACATTGAGAACAAAACACCCTATTTCCTTTCATCTCTCAAATTATGATGATCAATATCAATGATGTATGTATATGTTTTTTTTTTTTTATTATTATATTGTGGAGACTCTTTTTTAGTAGTAGAGTATATTATTATTTTAATTTAAAAAATAAAAAATGCTATTTGTTTTGTTGTTGTTGTTGTTGTTGTTGTTGTTTTGACACAAAATATATGGTAAGCGCAATAGCTCCTCTCTTTTTGCATTTGACTTTTTCTTTTTGTTTGTGATGAAGATGGGATGATATAGATGGTGATATGAAGTGTACCCCTACATTACACTACATTCCTCTTGTTTTAATTTATTTCAGGTGTGTGAATTTAGTTGTTCCGATTGGTGTGTGTTGTTGCGTTATAAAAACATTAAAGGAGTTGACTTTTTGTGTGTGAGTTGTAAAACAAATATGAAAATATTGATTCAAAATGCTAATTTCGAGTGATTCTCAGAATCTATGCCATGCCATAACAAAATATATATTTATCACTACACCTTTATAAGAGATAAAGGTTGTTTGGGAGTTTACTAAAATACATACCAGTGGCAGAACAGAGAATTGATTCTGTGGGGATGGACAAAAAAAAATCGTTGGTAGTTTGATATTAGGTAATTGATTGATTGATTGACTGATTAAAAAAAGTATGATTATAAAAAAAAATCTAAATATCTATCTAGTTATGTGTTTGTTGATCGGATATATGTATATCAAGATTTATATATAATTTGTGAATAAAGTTATGTTTGGTCAAATGACACGCGCTGTTGATTTATTAATAAAAAAAAGAGTACTCTTTGGAGGGGAATCAATGTCACACAATTCTGAACAAGAAAATTAATTATCATAAAATTAGTGACGGTGAGAAAGCATCTTTTCATAATAGCTCAAAGATATAAAAAAAACAAAAAAAAAATCGATTTTTTTCAAATTTTCAAAATTAGATGAATTTTTTTAAAAAATTTAAGAATATTTTTTTAACTAATAAATAAAACGATAAACTATCTCCAAATATATAATTTGAAGTAGATTTTACATTTAACTTTTAAATAGTTTATTAAAGATATCTAGATTAATAAAGTTAAAGCAACAACAACAACTTTAATATAATAATTGTAAAATGGCTGATTACGAACATGATGGAGGGTGAGTGATTAGAATGAACAAACTCTGTTAATGTATTACACATTAACATATATGTAATAACTGCGTAAACTAACTAACTAACTAACATTTGATTGATTGACTGATATAAAATTGTATTATATAACATTACATAGATATGATGGTGGAGATGATGAACCAGAAGAAGAGGAATTCGAAGAATACGTTGAAGAGGCAACAGAGACACAATACACAGACATAGTAGATCCAAATGCAACAGGTGATTCTGGTGAGTCTGGAAGAGTACCACCGCACTTGAGAAAGACTACTAGATACATGACGAAATACGAGAGAGCAAGACTTTTAGGTTCGAGAGCACTTCAAATTAGTATGAACGCTCCAATCATGGTTGAACTCGAAGGTGAAACAGATCCACTACAGATTGCATGGAAAGAGTTGAGAGCTAAGAAGATTCCTTTAATTATTAGAAGGTAAGTGAATACACTAGTGTTCTAATTTAACAGTTACTCTCTTTACTTTGTAAAAATAATTAATAATCATCATTTTTCGCAATTAATTTCTTTAGATTTTTACCAAATGGTGCATACGAAGATTGGTCTGTAGATGAACTCGTTGTAGCTCAATAAACAAACAATCAATATAAATAAACAGAAAAAGAAATAAAAAAAATAATAAAAACAAAAGAAAAGATATAAAAACAATCAAAAAAAAGATACAGTTGGAAAGCTTGATTTTAAGTTAAATTTGATTTATTAAGAAATTTATATAGATCACCACCATTCATATCCAAATGTCTAGACGGACATGTTTACCATAAAAAGAAAAAATGGACCTTTATTTGAATTTATCTCAAAGTAGATATATCTACTTAAAGTAGAAATAAAAAAAATTATTATCAAAAAGAAATTTAAATACCTAATTAAGTCTTTCTTTCTAACTTGACCTTAATAAAAAAAACTATTGTCATAATTTTTAAAAATTTCAAAACTATTTTTTATCACAAGTAATTTTAATAAATGTCTTCACAACAATTACATCAAAGAGCAGGAAGAAGTGAGAAAGGAAAGGAGTTAGACAAACTAATCGAGCAGTTTTATAATAGTAGTAGCACACAGGAACAACAAGAGAAAGATAAAAACAAGAAACCAATCAATCCCAAATTGAAATGGATAAAGAAGAAGCTGGAAGCACTTTTTTGGTTATCACTAGGAGTTGCTCTTGCCTATTATACTGATTTACTTGATGTCATATTGCATAGTGATAAAGTTGATAGGTAATAATGATAGAGTTGATGTTATTAATCAAACAACACTAACACAAACATTCTACATCTAGATTCTATTTTAACATTGGTTTAGTTGGATTGTTTGTTTTCTTTGTACTTTATATAAATGTTGCATATATCTATGGTGCTAGAAATAAGTCATCACTTGATTGGGAAAAGGAATTTCCAAATTCAATAAGAGTTGCTACAGCATCGTTGATCATAACAACCATAGGTTTCATATGCGGATTTTGGCCTATCTGGGGTTGGTTTACACCACTATTATTGTTTATCTATACAGTATCAATATCTTATTTGATATGATTTAGCATTTTATTATAATAGTTGATATAGTTGTCAAATTTCATTTCTAAAGTATAGTAAAGTAAAGTAAATAAAATCAAATAAATTAAATTGTACATAAAGAAATAATTAGTTCGACATTAGTTATTAAGAGATCATTTTTTTCTTATTGTTATCATCATAAATTCTGTATGATATTATTTTAATGATTCAAATGAATGAAAAGTTATTAGATTTTGATAAGAAAAATATGATCACTTGTGTTTCGACCTGTTCCCCCCAAACCCACACATTAACCAAATTTCTCACGAAATTTGGGAACTTTCGATCTTCCAACAACATATTTTTAAAGCAGCTGTCAAAAGTAAAATAAAAATAAAATAAATTTCAAAAAAAGAAAAGATGGTTTTTTTGAATACTGATGCTTGAAGATGCCCTTCTAACATCATTTATTATAACCACATTAATATATATATATTATAGATAATATAATAGTTGCATAGAGTTTAGTTTTGTTTTCTTTTATAACTTATTTAATCATATAATAGTAGATAACAAAAAAAAAACAAAAGAAATGGTAGATTTTCATAGGATAATGGTTGCTACCGTTACGATTGGAGTTACATTCTTCACGTGTATGATGACTGTACTCTACTACATGTTTCCTTGTATAGTTTTAATTCGTCCATTTTCATATCGCTGGTATCTTGCTGCCAATAACTTTTCTGCAGACCTCTGGTACCGTATGAATCTGTTCATCTTTGAGATCTTCAATGGCATTACAGTTAAGATCTCTGGTGATGATGTACCCGATGGAGAAGGTGCACTCATCATGATGAATCATCCATCAGAAGTAGATTGGATTTTCACTTGGTGTCTTGGAGTCAGAAAGAAATCACTTTCCAACATTAAAATTATATTAAAAGATGTAAGTAGTAGTGTGTAGATAGATAAAACCTTTGAAATATAATTTAGAGAAATTCAAATTAATTTTAATCATTAAAACAGGAAATTAAATATGTCCCTGCAGTTGGTTGGGGATGTGACAATCTAGATTTTATTTATTTGACACGTGATTGGACATACGATGAGAAACATCTTCAATACAGATTAGAGAAATTCAAAGAAGTCGGTTTCAGATCGTGGTTAACCATTTTCCCAGAGGGCACAGATATGGAGCCCGAGAAATTGAAAAAGAGTCATGATGTATTGTATCATTGAATATTTGTTAACTAACTATTTATTTTTGAATATTATATTAATCAACTGTTTGTTTTTTGATTATCCATATAGTATGCAGATAGAATGGGATATCCAAAGTTTAACAATGTTTTATTACCAAGACATAAAGGTGTCCAGACTTGTTTGGATGTGTTGAGACCGACTTGGGATGCAGTCTATGATATCACTATTGGCTATGAGAGTAAGCCAACAATTGGTACCTGTTTCACCGGTGTCAATCCAAAGGTGGTGAATATTCACGTCAATAGAATTCCCATCAAAGATGTGCCAACCGATGAGAAACAACTTCAAGACTGGCTCTTCAAGCTCTACGCAGAGAAAGATAAACTTTTAGAGAATCTTAAAGTTCACAAACAATTCCCAAAACCAAGAATTACACCATTACGTATGTTATTATTATTATTAACAATTAAATCAATCAATCATGATCTATCACAAATATATTAATATTAACATATAAAAACAAACAAACAATAACAGCACAATCAACCTATTTAGTTGCAGCATTTTGGTTTAGTTGTTTATTAGCATCATTTTATTTCATGTTGACATCGTCATCATTCAGAATCTATACATTCTTGACTATGGTATTCTATATTGTATGCTCGAAATCCAATACACTTAGAACTCTTAGAGGTATCAACAAACCAGGAAACAAAAAGATAAGAGGTCCAAAAACACACACAAATTAATTATATTTTATTAAATTATATTACAACAAACCACCAGATTAGATAGTCAGATAAGTCCTTTGTAAATTATATCTTCGAATAGATCCATCTTTATTTAAATTATATTCCAAAAATATAAAAAAAACAGCTTTCTTTTTTTTTCTTTACAAGTTTTAACCATATTTGGTTATTGTCAATTGTTTTTCTCATTTTTTTTAATTGTGTGTGTTGTATGTTCACCAAATTTATTATTATTATTATTAGTGGTGTAAACATTAATGTTATGTTAAAGATGATAAAATTAAATCTTAATAGATAATTATAATAAATAATATATTTATTTATAACTATTTTTTTGTATTGATGTGGAATTTGTTTTATTCAATCTTTCCAACTACAATGTAGGTAAAATAAGCTATCTATACTTCAATTACATTACAACTCATCTAATAGATTTAATTTAATTTTACAATTATAGTAAAGCATTATCTCAATTTAGAAGAGTAAATGATCTATATAAACATGTCCAGGAGTCACAAAAGAATGTAGCTTTATTTCATTTAGGTCATTGGGTAAAGGTAGGTGAAACAAAACAGAGCAATGAATAATAAACTTTTTAATTAATGTTGTTGTTGTTGTTGTTGTTGTTGTTGTTGATTTTAAAATAATAAAAGTTGAAAGTTGGTGGAACACCATTTATAGTTAGAAGAAGAACACTCACTTGGTATCCTGGTTCGGTGTTTGAGAGTATAGCTATCTACGATAAGAATACCACGAAAAAGATCACCGATTTCATTACACATCCATTCTTGGACTATGACAATCGTCCTATCAACAATGTGCTGGATGAAGTTGCAGTGGCACCGCTAAACACTGATCAAGAGTGCTCAGTAGATTCCACCTCAAAGAATATAATGCCTAGAACACCAAACAAACATTTCGAAATAACATCGGAGCGTAAAAATCAACTAACCCAACCTACGAAACCATCGTTTAAATTCGAGAAAGACACCGAAGGCTACTATCTTATCGACCGCGACTCTGGCCAGTTCTCGCTGATACTAAACTATCTGAGATCTGGCGAGATACCTCTTACTCTGCCAACGAGTATCGATATCAACATGTTACTATTGGACTCACAATTCTATAGACTCTATGATTTAGAAAAGAAACTAACCAATGTAAGTTAATAGATATAAAATTATCATAACAACTACTAACTAAACTAAACTAATAATTATTTAATAGAGAATACTATCTACAAGAAGAGATGAAGAAAGAATGTATGTATTGAATTCAGAGATGGCTCATAAAGATCAACCACCCTATTTTATTATTGACAAGAGCTGGGTCATTCAATGGAGAAAGTTCATCGACGAGGAAGGTGAACCTCCCAAATCAATCGATAATACCAAGCTATTTACCACTGATGGATCATTGAAAAAAGATTTGGAACTAAACTCTCATTATATCTGTGTATCAAAAGATACTTGGATGATGATTGCCAAACGATATCCAAAAAGTGGTCCAATAATGCCAAGAGCAACAAAAGATATTTATAGTTTACCAATGTAAGTAGTTTATTATAATCATTATAAGTATTAATACTAACATTGGATTCAATCATTTCTATAGTCCATCTTCTTTTTGGGATACAAGATAACAAAAAACATAAACATAAATATAATAAAAACAAATGTAAATAATAATGTGTAAATAACCTTTTTAAACAAAAAAAAAAAAAAAGTAAGTTAACAATTTTAATTTTATTGATTGATCATTATTATATTATTTTATATTATAAAAAAGAGAAAATATAGTATTTAAGGTATTATATTATTATTATCTGTAAGATTTTGTTTATGAATCTACAGAGTCTTGTGAAGTGGTAGTTGATGGAAGATTGATTGGTTTTAATTCTCCGATACGTTTCTTTCTTAACAATCTTCTTTCAGTCTTTAATTTCTCTTTGTGTGATCTAACCTTTGTCTCGACCATGGAGAACGACTCTTCGTTGTCGTCTACATCCACTCTGTAACCAGCAAAGTACTCGGTGAGTTGCTCTGGAGTTGGGTCAAAGTTTGGTTCAACAAATGGTCCGATATTGAGTGCCAACGACGAAGATGGAACCTGTGAGATCTGTCCATTGTGTGGATTGAAAATACCATCGTAAATCTTTAACTTTTGTCCCAAATAATATCTGTTGTTGTTCTTTGGTAACATTCCCATAACTGCATGTCTAATAATATGTTCTGGATTCTTTTCTCTCATTTCTTTTGCTTTTGTTTCCTAATGAATATGATTATTATTATTGTTTGATTTACACATATGTTAATAGATAGATAGTAGATTAGATCAAATATTGTAAAACTATATACCTTTAAACCACCTGGATAACCAGAATGTTTTCTATATAACTTTTGATCCCATTTCTTTCCTGTGAATTCGATACGATGGGCATTTAATACAACTACATAATCACCACACAAACGAGTGGCAGAGTTGTCAAAGATTGGCTTATGCTTTCCACGTAACAATCCTGCAATCTTTGATGCCAATTTACCAACGTGATGTCCTGTAGCATCGACAACATGCCATAATGGTGCTGAAGTGAGTGGGTTCTGTCATTTCATAAACAAACATGTTCATATTAATATCTAACCTGTTTTAATCAATCAAACTATAATGTTGAATATCATATCTACCTTGAAAATAGCTCTAGATCCCATTTTAATATAATATATATAAAATGATTATTATCAATAATAACAATAATAATGCAAAAAAAAAAACGATAAAATGATCAAAAAAAAAAAATTAAAAAAAATTAAAATAAAAAAAATGAAAAACTAAAAATTAATCAACTTTAGTTGTTCAATTACATTGCATTATTGATATACAAATTATTTAGTAGTTAAATTAATGACCAATTGAAATTATTCGAATAATTCTTTGTTTTATAGTTAGTTGATTAGTAAAGTTTGTTTCGTACGAAAATGTTATTCAATTGTAGTAGAACTTTTTTGAAACAACATCAACAACAGACAACTAAATCATTGGTAAAAACATTGGTTTTGTCAGTTCAACAACAACAACAAACTATATATAGATTTTCAACAGCTACATCAACACAACTCTATCGTGATAGAATATCAAGCAATACAATCGACTCTATCAAGCTACCAAAGAATCAATGGTCAGTGAGTAGACTTGGTTTGAATGTAGACGATCTAAATCTAATAGAATCAGAGCAAAAAGCTACATTGTAAGTTCATCTCTAGTTTTTGATCAAGTTGGACAATCTTGCCACACACCACCTTACTACTTTTTTTTTTTTTTTTTTTCAAATCCAGGATTTCAGCTTTTAAAAATGGATGTAATTTAATACATTCCTATAATAACGATTCAAAGTCACCAACAGATGTGTTGTCTTCGATTGTCGGTGTTTCCGATGTGGATACAACAGACAAGCAGAGCAATGTGATTATAAAGCGATCGGAATTAATATATATGCAGCGATCACGTCCACTTCCACCAAGCCAGTCACTCTCGGACCAGGCCGATATCCGACGTTTCATTGTCGACCAAGTCAGCTGCTCGCTGGAAAGACTTTCAACGCGCCAACTCGATGTATTTCTCCTGGACATCTCTAGCTGCATTTTGATGTCGACCAGCTTCGAACAGACTCGTCAACAGATTCAAACGTCGATGGTGGCACTCGAAGAGATGGTCGCCTCTGGCAAACTACAGAGCTACGGTTTGTCTCTGAATAACCTGGCACCAACCGCCGGAGAAACCATAGAACTACTGGAATCCATCCTCCAATTCCAATCGCCACACTTCCAGTTCCTCGAATTTCCATTCAATATCTGTCAACACGAAACATTCTCTATGAACAACTACAGCGTAAACACACAGTCACTCATTGAATTTGCCAAACAACACCAACTGACAACCATCAACTCCAGTCCCTCCTACTTTACCAACCCAGTCACAGGAAAACTATCTCGTTTCGCCAACGTACGTTCACACAAAGATCAAGACCTACACAAACTCCTAAAGGAAGCATTCGATCTTGCCATTCACCTTGAAATTATTAATCCAATTTTTGTAAGTTTCAAACAAATATACAACAAACATATTTATTTAATAACTAACAACAGTATTATATTATATTATATAGAAAGATTCAGTTCAAGCTGAGATGATAAAGAGAACACCAGATATTATTGGACAATTGAGATGGGCACATCTCTTGGTGTATGATGCACAAAAGCATGAGAAGCTGTCAAACTATTGGAGTTGGCGACGTCTTTTGTCCAGCAAGATTCGTCCCCAGGTGAATGAGGCAGTGATGTCGATATTCAGCAATCACATTATGAATTCATGGGGTGCTGGCTACCGCAAAGCCATCAACAATCTCTTTGATCTCTACAGTAACTCACTGGAGGCATCGATATTCGACCAACAGGAACAACTTGCCAACCAACTATACAAATCACTAGAAATACCGATCGCATCGACATCGACAACCACCACCAACACCGATCTTCTCAAACTATCACAGCAAATCTCTGCTACCGCTGGAATCGACCTCACCATAGAAACACTCACCAACACCGATGAATTGAAATCAATTTTTAACCAACCAAACAACAAACAAATTAATTTAACAACCAACCAACTTTGTAATTCAATAAATTCAATCAATTGGAAATATTAATTAAATATTTTCATTACATTAAATAATAGTTTGCAAAATCATCAAATGCAAAATTTATGCACGTGCATTTATTTTCATTTTTTTTTTTTTTTCAGTCAAGCAGATCGCAAGTTCTAAAAATCCATTCACCACAGTAAAGCACCACATATCAATTTCTTCATACTAAAAATTGATCGTCTTGCATTTGAGAAAAAAATTAAAAAAATTGAAAAAAAATTGAAAAAAATAAAAAAAATAAAAAAAAAGAACTACAATTCAGTTTGTTCAAAATAAGTTTGTCTTTTTTGTGTTTTTTTTTAAAACTTTATATTATTTAACTGTTTATTTATTTTAATTTTAATTGATTAATTTTAATAGCAGTAATAAAAAAGATGGCATCGTTTTCACTAGATTTAGGAACTATTAAATCAAATACTGAGGGTTGGGGTCCAACTGGTAACATCGAGAAATTCGATGATATTCCATATGCCCCATTCTCAAAGAGTGAGAAGATTGGAAAGTGTTCCGATTTCAACTCCAACATGAAGCAATATCGTATGTCATCAAATTAATCAATCATCATATATTTAATGAACATACAAAACAAACCAATCGATCTATCAAAGAACGACATAGCAGAAAGACAGACAGGGATAGGTCAGCTAAACAACATAATAACAATTAATTGCTGCCGATTACAATCTGTTTAGTTTTGATCGATCGATCAATTGATTATTTGTTTTGTTCATCAATCATTCATGCTGCTGCTATTATTATAAAATTTAACAAATTTTTACTTAACTTTTTAAATTTTACAAACAAAAATAATATATATTATAGAAAGACAAAATATTTATGGTGCTAATGCTTCTAATCCATTCACATTCAAGTTGGATGAGGATGAGGATAGCTTCCAATTGGTAGATTATTCAAGACCATCTGCCAACAAAGGACAATATAAACAGGGTCGTCGTCAATTGGGTGGTGGTCAACAACAACAACAACAACGTGGATTCTACGGTCAACGTCAAGGTGGTCGTGTCATTTTGGATCGTCACTCCGGTCGTGGATCACACGGTGGTCGTAAACAAGGTGGAAATCGTTACAACAATCGTTACCACTGGAACGATCGTCGTCAAAAGAATCGTGAATCATCCATTGAGATCGGTGCCGACTGGGAACTCAAGGAGGAGATCGATCTTACTGTATTAAAACAATATGTTATTGAAGTTATTCCACAATCTGAATTAATGTAAGTAGTCATCACAACACACTCACATACACAAATCAATGAATATCACACATATCAAACAGTAGTTGGTGACTAACCTATTTAACAACAAAACAATCTTAGTGCAACATGTGGTGCAGTTAGATATTATAATAAAGACATTGAGAGAGTCAATGCTAGAGATGAAAGAAAGCTACAGAGAACTGATAAGGAGATTCCATTGATCTCTACCTCTGACGACAAGGTCATCAGAACCAACTTTAAATTTGCTAATGTATATGCTACCGACGAGATTATGTCGACATTGATGACAGCCAATCGTTCTGTATACTCTTGGGATATCGTTGTCATCCGTATCGGTGGAAAGATCTTCTTTGAGCATCGTCCAGGTACTACTAACACACTCACTGTAAACGAAACATCAAACTCACATTACGACGACAAAGATCCAGTCAACTCTGCATCTGCACTCTCAAATGAAGCTGCTGAAGTAAACATTAACTATTGGCAACAAGTTCTTACAAATGTAATGTATCAATAATAATAATAGTAATAACTTTTAAAGTGAAATTAACTTATTAACTTTTAATAATTAATAAATAATTATATATATAGGATGAACCACACAAGTTTGAAACTCAATTGGATGAAGAGGAATATGAAAACTGTGTACCAGTCGGTTATAGATATATGAAGTGGAATCTTGGAGATGACATTACCGTTTTGGCTAGAACAGAGGTCGATGGTTGCTACGTAGATAAAGATCAAACAACCAAGTTTGTCTCGATTAAGGCTACCAACGAATTTGACAAGAGAGATCAATCAACAGACTTTAGAAAGAACATCGATAATCAACGTGCTTCAGTGTTGGCCAACGAAATGAAGAACAACTCCACCAAGTTTGCCAAGTGGTCGATTCAATCAACACTCGCCGGTGTCGAAACAATGAACTTGGGTTACGTTTCACGTTACTACCAAGGTGACCCAACCAACCACGTCGTTCTCGCCTCACAAAACTACTCTGTTTCCAGTTTGAACTCTCAGAATCGTGTCGATATGCGTAACACCTGGGGTATTTTCAAGCGTATCGTACAGAGCTGCATGAAGTTACCAAACGGAAAATATTTGTTGCATCGTGATCCAAATCGTGCCGTCGTCAACATTTACGCCGTCCCCGAAAATGCCTTTGATCCAGAGGAAGAAGAAGTTCAAGAGGAAGAAGAGGAAACCCAAAACAAGGGTTGGGCTCAATCCACCAGATAAAATATATAAAATTATATTTTTATTCAAAAAAGAAAAGATAAAAAACAACAAAAAAAAAAAAATAACAAACTTCACTCGATAAAAAAAAAAACAAATCTGAATAAAAAAAATAAATAAATTATATATCTCTTAAAAAAAAAAAATCAAACGAACGAATCATTTTTTCATTGAATTATTTAATATATTATTATTTGTAAATACATAATGGATTTATCTAAATTAGTAGCTATATATTCACAGAAACAAAATCAACAACAACAACAACAACAACAACAACAAAATCTAAATCCACTGACAAACCAAAACAATAATGTACAACAAATACTACCGATTATCAGTACAAATAATAATATAAATACTACATTAAAGCAATCAAATAGTCGAACAGTTAGCAGCAATAATTATATTAATAACAATAACATTAAGCAACCAAATAGTAATAATAGAAATAACAAGAATAACAATAGTAATAATAATATTCATCCTAATAATAATAATAATAAAAAGTTTAATGTTAGAAATCAACCACAAAATAATAAAAGGAAAAAAACAGATGAAGAAGAGGATGATAATATAGGTGCTGCAGCTGATGACGATGGTGATATGGATGAGATGAAGAGAATAAAGTTATTTAATCAAAGATTAAAGACAATAAAGATACAAGAATCACCAGAAGATATTGAAAGGTACTTGGAAGAAAGAAGAAAAAGATACCCATCAAGACAGAATATAGAATCCAAACAAAAAGATATTCAAGAATCAAGAAAGAGAGGTGAAATAACTACAACTACAACAGAAATAACAAATGAAAATAATAAAAAGAATAAAAACAATAGAAATAATAGAAATAATAATCGTTTTAATAAGAAAAATAACAATAGTATAAAAGATAAACAAGTGGAATCTGTAGCACCCAAAGAGGATGGAGAAGAAACAGATAGCAGTTTGACAATTGAAATAGAAGAAAAGATAATGTCTGATCAAACTGATATTGAAAATAATAATATCACATCTCAAACTATTATTGTAAACAATGAAGAGACTAATAAACAAGAGGATCCTCTTACCGAGATGGTTGAGAAGATAGAAGAAATTGAAGAAGAGCCTTCATCACTTCAACACTTTAAATCAACGACCAACATTGATGTTGAGAAAGAAGTTTCCAAAATTACCAAAGTTAATAATAATAATGACAAAAATACAAAATTAAAGAATCAACAAAAACAACAAAATCAAACATCCAAGCCAAAGTCTAATTTTTCAAATACATTGTATTCAAAGGTAAGAAGTTTGTTTTGATTTCTGTGAATCTAGAAATTATTATTAATCCAAGATATCCAGTTATTTTCAAGAGAGATTTCTGCTGAAAAAAGTATAATTCTTCAATGTTTTAGACATCTGGCAAATACAATAAAAGTTAGAGATGGGCTCATTACAGAGGAGGAAGAAGATAGTGGTAGCGAAAACGAAGGTATCACAAAAATCGACAATTAGTTAAATAAATTAATTTTTTTTAACAATATAAATCGATTGATTTGATTTTTGATAATAATTATTATGTATTATATATTTTATTTTAAAGTATTAATATTATTTTATGGTTGATAAATACCGGCGTCAGCCATCAGTTCTACAGAACCAATTGGACCAGTAGTGTATACGTAATTACCGTTGGCGTCTGGCTTACTGTTCATGTTATACGGGTTTTGTGGTTGTACGGACTTAGCGTTGGGTGCAGTGAATACCCATCCAGCTGGTATTGGGCCAAACCTGATGGTATAGGTGGTGTTTGGATCGACCTTGAATGAGTAGTAACCAAGGCTGTTGGTTGTTGTTGTAGCTATTTGTTGTCCATCCTTTAGTAGAGTAATTGGGATATCGGGTACACCGACTTCATTGTTGCTTTGAAGTCCGTTCTTGTCGGCATCGTTCCATACGTAGTTACCGATGTATGATGGTGGATTAAGACAGTTGAGATCCATATCACCGAGGGCATTCAATTTACCGAATTGATTCATTTGTGGAATGTTCTTAATGATACGGAACGATGAGTTCTTGGTACCGTTTGTTGTACTGTAATGGTGAACGACACCTTCGTTGACATCATAGAGATCGTATGCATTACCAACAACTTCGTTGGTACCTGCAAGATGTGCCATATGACCCCAACCGGTTTCATCATGTGCCCAGGCAGAGTTGGCAAAGTTGTCGTCAAAGAACTCACCGAAACCTGGACCTTCAGCTGTGGATTGAATACCACTTGGACCGGTGTGAGCACCGTTCATACCACCACAGTTACCTTGTTTCTCGAGAATGTATTTACCTTGGTCATTCTTACAGGCGTACAATTGGTCACCACCTGGAATAGTTGAGAACTCTGCATTTCTGTCCTTGAGACCGATTACCATGTTACCTTGGTATCCAATGAATACAATGTCAGAGACGATTGGATTTGGTGTGTATTGAATGACGTTGGCAGAGTATCTGCTCCATGTCTTCCAGAGTGCCGATCTACAGCTTGCAGTTGGTCTACCGTTGAACAATCTACATTGGACAGCACCTCTTGGGTATACCAACGATGCCTCCAAAGTGGATGTGAATGATCCGTCGTCTTCAATCTTGTAGATGTACATCCAGAGATCGTCCAAGACACCTGAATCTTGACCGGTACAAACACCACCGACGTGCATGTTTCTACCGTCGTAACCAAGACCTTGAATAGCCCAATCGCCTTGGACATCACATGGATTGGGTGGTGTCAAAATTTTAACATTGGCATTGGTGGGTGTCTGTCTCAATGGAATCTGTAAGACGGTTCTCTGATTCAATACTGTGGCGTAGAGATAATCACCAGCAATATCGATATCACCAAACATGAGACGATACTCGCTGTTTGGTTCCATTGGATAACCAACAAGATTGTAACTTGATGCTACCACTTGGTTGACATTGATATATGGAGTAGTTGCTCCGGTGGCTGGATCTACTCTGTAGATAGCACCACTATCTCTCGTTTTGGTTCCAATCTTGTAAAAGGTTGCCAAGAACCATGCACCAGTTGCACGATCAAAGGCTACACCACTGACAGTATTGATGGTTGGATACATAACAACCTGGTCAACGTTGGCGTTAAAGTCACCGGAAGTGTTGGTCTTGGCATTGTATGGGAATGTAATAAAGACTGGTTCGCTTGCCAATTTACCGGGTGAAACGGGTGGATCCTTAACGAAACAGGTAATACCGATCTTGACATCGTCTTGACAGTATTCGAATGGAATGATAAAACCGGCGTTGACATCGGTTCTAGAGGCAGTTGGGAATTGTAGGAGTGAACCTTCAGACTTTGCTTCAAGAATGGTTGGTTGATACGGACTTGGGTAGTTGTAGAAAATGACTTGGTATTGTTTGCCTTCAGTGAGATTTCCAAAGAAGTAGGCACCTTGATCGTCAGTTTGTACTGTACGAAGTACAGTGTCGCCATCGTACAAAGCAACTGTGATGTTCGGGAAGACAGTATCGAGACCATTGAGGAGACCGTCTGCATTGTAATCGTGGAATGAAATACCAGAGATGAAACCGGTTGGTGCGTTCTCCACGTAACCGGCATCAATGGTATTATCCACAGCGAGATATCGATCACGAGTTAATAAATTTGGATTGACGGTCATTAGTGGATCGTTGATATCGAGGGTAATGACATCAGTGTTACCAGTGGCAGGATTGACATTGGAATCAATGGTTCTATCGGTTCCAACATTTTGTGTAGTGAAAGTGAATCCACTTGGTAATGAAAAGTTGACAATGTAGCTTCCTGGTAACAAACCAGTGAAAATATATCTTCCATTTGTATCTGTGACGGTGCTTTGAACTGGTGCACCTGTCATATCTTTAGCGGGTTGCATTGTGCCATCAAATAATCTTACTTCAATGCCACTCTTGGGTACATATGGAATCTGAACACCCATCAAACCACCTGGTGCGTCCAAGAAGGTGAAGTCACCAATGGCTAGTACCAATGGTGATACTATGGCATCGATATCGGTTCTCATGAAGTTAGCATTGATTCCAGGATAGGCAGCTGTGTTGACAGCTGGACTGTTTGTGGTGTCAAGTGAGAATGGAATTGAGAAGGTTCTCAATCTCATGTTGGCAAGAGAGGCAGTACGGTAGGTTTCATAGATGAATTGACTTCCGAGGTTACTGAAAGTAACGACATAGTTGTCACCAGCTGGTAGATTATCAAAGTAGTAATAGCCAGTAGCATTGGTTGTTTTCGGTTGAACTGGGTTACCAAGTACATCGAATGCGGGGAGACCGTCTTCGGTAAGAGTGACAGTGATACCCTCTCCTTGATAGGTGATAGCGGTGACACCATGATTGTTATAGACAACTTGATCACCAACTGCGAATCTATTAGTTGGAACGACACCACGATTTTGATCTCGGAGAATCTTTTGAGCATTGGTAATACCATGGTCAATGGAAGGATCAACGTTGGCGAGTTGGGCATTCTCACCGATATTAACGTTGTTGATGACTGATTGAGTTGGGGTGACAGGTGATGGTTGGAAGTAGACGTATCCAGCTGGTACACCATTAAAGTTGAGTGTGTAAGTACCATATGGTAGATCATCGAATGAATAGTAACCACTGCCATCGGTAATAGCCGGTTGAATTACAATACCGTTTGATCCGACAACAGTATTGTTATTGGCATCAGTCAGCATCACATTGACGTTGGCAACAGGTTGTTCACCAGCGTCTTTAGCACCGTTCTTATTGTTATCATAGTAGACGAAACCAGATACAGCATTGATTGTGGTGTTGAGTGGTGGATTGACAAGACCGGCATCGATGGTTCTGAGGATATAGGTGGCATTGACAACACCCTTGTCGATATTTTGATTGACGATGGAGATTGCTGGATTGGTATTGGTGAGATTGAAAGAGTTGGAGTAACCTTGTTGATTGGCAACATTATTTCCTCCGAGTGGACCGAAACTATAGTTGGCTGGAATGTTTTTGAATACGACAATGTAGGAACCTGGTAAGATGTTGTCGATCCAGTAATTACCGTTTTGATCAGTGACAGCAACAGCTGGTTGTCCTAGCATATTGTTATTTGGTTGACCGAGTACGGTTGTGAGGAAATGGAGTTCGACGGTTACACCTGGTACTGGAAGTTCTCCTTGATCTTGCATACCGTTTCTGTTGGTGTCGTACCATACGTAGTCACCGACAGCGTACAATGGTGGAGTGAGATAACCTGCATCTTCAGTATCGTCAATCATTGTTGCATTGAGGGTGGGTGGATCACCGAGACCTGCATTAATGGCACGTGCACGACCAGCATATGGAGCTAAAAGAATATTGCTAATCAATCCATTTCTTACTTTATTATCGTTGGATCCGTTACCTGCTTCGAACAGTGTCTCACGAAGTACAGTAATTGGTGAGGAAATCATGATATCATAGACACCAGGACGAACTGCATCGATGTAATAGTAACCAGTGAGGTTGCTTATGGTTTGGTCGTAGAAGTTGCTACTAGCGTCGAGGAGGACAACCGTGGCACCGGATACTGGTGGTTCTCCTGGGTCTTGGAGACCGTTGGAGTTGATATCGTACCAGATGTAGTTACCTACTGCCATTTGTACCAATGGGATGAGAGCAGCGTTTTCAGTGTCGTCGATGAATGGAGCTTTGACACCGTCGGCTGGAACAGATGCACGAATTTGTGGAGCTGTTGATGAAAGTGTGAATGGCTGGGTGACACCAGAGGAAGAGTCAGCAGCAGTCTTGTTACCAATCATAAGATTCATTGGAATGTTAGAGAATGAAATTTGGTAGGTTCCAGGTGGAATGTTGTCAATGTAGTAGAGACCGTTGGCATCGGTGTAGACAGCGTTGATTGGGTTACCATTGACATCTGGAGCAGTTCCTCCACCTGGGTAGGAGAGTTCAACTCTGACATTTGGTACTGGTAGATCGCCACCACCATTTCCGTTGTAGACACCATCGTCGTTACGATCGAACCATACGAGGTGACCAACAGCAAACGAGGAAGTTGGTACTGTGTTGGCTACATAACCGGCATCTATCGTTGGAAGATAGAGTACAGCTTGCATTCCTGGTACATTTGGTTGGATAAGGTTTGGAGTATTTGGATTAAGACTGATAAGAGTTGTTAGACCGTTGATGGTTGCTACTGAATTGAGACCGGCTTGACCATTGAATGGAATGGTGAAACGGAATCCAGTGATGTTTCCAAATTGGACATAGTATTGTCCTGGAGGGATTTGATCGAAATAGTAGTGACCGTTATTGTCTGTTATGACATCCTTTACAATCTGACCAAATGAACTCAAAACTGGTTGGAATTGTGGGTTAACCAATTTAACTGTGACACCTGATGCTGGTTGTTCGCCTGGGTCTTGGATACCGTTGGAGTTGGCATCGTACCAAGTGTAGTCACCGATGGCATAGGATCTTGGTGGTTCTAACTCTTGATCGATTGTTGGGTCAAAGAAGATTGAGAGAGGAGCATTATCATTTGGGGTAGTTGGACGAATGGTTGGAGTGTCTCTTGCTAGTCTGAAACGTCTCTCACCGTTCTCTGGATCCTTGTAGGTGAATCCAGGTGGAATGTTGATCCAACGCACCAAGTAGTCACCTCTTTGGAGATTCTCAAAGTTGTAGAAACCACGTGCATTTGTTGTGGTTGGTTGAAGTGGACGACCAGAAATATCGATGACTGGACTTCCGTTGAGGTTAGTAAGCATAACAGTTACATTGGGTACACCAATTTGTTGACCTTGATCGTTCGTATAGAATACAAAGTCACCGAAACCAAGAGGAGTGGCTTGTCTGAGACCACCGTTTTGTTCACGATCGATACGGGTTGCGACAAGACCTGGTGGATCTTGACCGTCGTAGGTTGGGGTGTTTTCATCGAGTGAAAAGATTGGAGTGGTACGAGTTGTTGGATCTGGTCTGGTTTTGTCTTCAAATACATAACCTAGTGGAAGGTTTTGGAAGGTAACGATGTAACGACCTGGTGGAAGGTTATCAAATACATAGTAACCATTTTGGTCAGTGACTGCGTTAGGTACGGAGTTACCATTGACATCGAGTGCTGGAAATCCATTGAAATTGAGTAGTCTGGCGACGACACCTGGTGCTCCAAGTTCATTGGGTTCACGAGTTGCAGATTCATCTGGGTCGAACCATACATAACGACCGACTGCATAGATCTCACTTTGAACTTTACCTTGAATGATACCAGCATCTTGGAAGGGATTGATGTATTTATCTGGTGATTTATCCAATGGTGAGACAAGTCTGACTTCAGGATTGATTGTTGCCAGTGCAAAGAAGTTGGTAGAGTTGGATGTCGGAATGACACGAGAGTCGACTTCATTGAGTTGTCCGGCGGCTGCAAATGGTTTAGTCCATGAGTAGCCATCTGGCAGATTGCTGAATTCAATTCTGTAGAGCCCAGGGTATAGACCTGTGAATAGATAGTATCCATTGGAATCGGTAACTTGGTCTTTGACTGGTTGTCCGTTTATGTCAATCGGAGATGTTCTGTTGACACCATAGATTTTAGCGACAACACCAGCTACACCTGGTTCTCCTGCATCAATCAAACCATTGTTGTTCTGGTCATACCAAATGAAATCACCAACTGAATAGGAGTCGGTAGTGATAAAACCTGCATTGGCATCAAAGAAACCTTGTTGAGAGATAAGAGTTCTACCGAGATTGGATGGTGTAGGACTGGCGAGAGCTGGGAATCTCATTTCAGGAGTTGTTCCAGTGATTTGGTTGGCTAGTGATGCTTCTGGTTGGAATCCAAGTGTTTGGACAGTACGATTGAGTACAATACCTTGTGCCAAGGTGATAGATATGATGTAACCGCCTGGTGGCAAGAGATCATAGAAGTAAAGACCGTTGAGATCGGTTATTTGTGATTGGACAATACGACCAAAGATATCTCTGATAGCGTTACCGTCTGACGACCAGAGAATAGCACTGGCACCTGGAATTCTTGGTTCATCTGGCTGTGCAAAACCATCTTGGTTGGCATCGATCCATGCCAATCTACCGAGTGCATACGATGGACGGTACAATGGTAGATCATAATCTGGATTAATCATATCGGCTTTGATTGTTGGGAATTTATTCTTATCGACTGGAATCATTCCAGGATCGGAATCATTGATTTCATAGACTGGTGTGAATTTGTTGACCAACTTCAAGTCAATGGTGACATTGAATCCATCTGGGTAACCGAAATGAATGGAATAGTCACCCGATGGAATCAAATCAAAGATATAATGACCATTGGCATCAGTGATGACTGGTGGGAATCTATTACCTTGAGAGTCGACAGCTGGATTACCATTGGAATCGAATAGAGAAATTGGAACATTTGGAATACCGACTTCACCGCGATCTTGAATACCGTTTTGATTTTGATCGTACCAGACAGTATCACCAATGGCATAAGTTAACTTACTAGTGCTAACGAGAGGGAAGTTGAAATTTGGATTGGAATAGGTTCCGTTAAGAGTAGAGATAATTGCATTGTTTGGAACGAACCCATTCTGTCCTGGACCAACAATGAATGGATAGGTATAATCAGTACTAGGTTGGATTGTGGCAATTCCAGTGGAATTTCCATGTGATAGTTGTGGTGGGATAGTTGAGAGTCTGACACAGTATTCTCCTGCTGGGAATCCGTTGAAAGAATAGAAACCATTGGCGTCTGTAATAGTCGGTGGAATTGGGGTTCCATTCGCGTGGGTGGCGGGAGTTTCACAATCTTTTTGAGTGAGCGAAACAGTTACACCTGGAACTGGAGGGTCATTTTCGTTTGGCAAACCATCGTTGTTCTTGTCTTCGAATATGAAATAACCGAGTGAGAAAGTGTCTGGTGGAGTTTGCTTTGGAATCAATGGGAAGTTGATATCTGGATTGATCGTGGTGCTATTGACTGGGTGGATACCGTTGTTCTCAACGAAACCTGGAAATTCTGGACCGACTTGGAATGGACCGGTAGTATTTTTAGATGGATCGATTGATGGTCCACCAGTGCTTGGTCCATGTGTCAAATTGGTTGGTGTGTTTGTAACACCAACACAATAGCTTGCTGTCGCAAGATTATCAAAGAAGTATTCTCCTTTCTGGTTGGTTACGACTGGCGCAACTAGTTTACCAAATGCATCGGTAGCAGGTGTTTTACAATCGTCGTTAAACAATGTGACGATGGAATCTTGAACTGGAGTGTCAATAGTTGGATCGAATTTTCCATTTTTGTCATTGTCAACGTAGACAACATGACCGAACGATGTGGTTGGAACGGTTGGATCGGATCCAAGGATGACACCAACACGGAGGACACCGGCATCAACCAATATCTTACAATCACTAGTGTATTGAATACTGGCCTTTCCTTTTGGTCCTGTCAAATGGATGATTGGTGATGTTCCATTGGAATAAGCGAAACTCTCTGATGTTGGAGCCATACCGACGGTCTTGGTGTAGGAGTATCCAGTGAGAAGATTACTGTAGATGAGGTAGTAGTCACCGGTCTTTAGATTCTCAAAGCAAACTGGTCCTTGGGAGTTGGTGAGTTTTTGTGCAACTTGATTTCCATTGACATCGATAACGTTTGAACCATCTTGGTTGAAAATGCTAATGACAACATTGGATGGACCAACGTTTTCTCCTAATTCCGGTTGGTAAGCACCCTCCGGGCTGATAGTGTCATTCCAAAACATGACACAGAATCTAGCTACTGTTGTATAATCGGTACATGGTGGTGCAGTGGTGAAACCAGTGATGGAATGTGGACCAGTGATCGTTTGGAACATGGTGGATAGAGTCTGGTAACCAGTGATGGAATGTGGACCGGTTGGTGGATTGGTATTAGTGTAGTAACCAGTGATAGAATGTGGACCAGTGACTGTGTATGGACCAGTTATAGTATGTTGACCTGTACTCAAGGAGTTTTGTCCAATCAAAGAGTTTTGAGTGGTAATTGAATTTGGACCGAGTGAAGAATGAGTAGTTTGCAATCCGGAAGTTGTTAATGGATAGGCAGTTGTGATAGTATTTGGATTTGTTGGAATACATGTGTCAACTCCATTGAGTTTAAGACATTGATGGCCAATTGGACAATAGTATTGACCGCATCTGGTTGGTGGATTACCGGAAGTTGGATATACAGTTGGGTTGCCAGAGGTTGGACCAATTGGTACACATGTTGGAACTCCATTGATATTGACACAGGTGAATCCTACTTGACACATGGATCTACCGCATGGTGTTGGGGTACCTGATGTTGGGAAACCAGAGGTTGGACCAATCGGTACACAAGTTAGCACTCCATTGATGTTGGAACAAGTGAATCCAGCTGGACACATGTATCTACCACATGGTGTTGGGGTACCTGATGTTGGGAAACCAGATGTTGGAACACTGGATGTTGGACCGCCTGGTACACAGGTTAATACTCCATTCAAATTGGCACATGAGTATCCAATTGGACATTGATAGTTTCCACATTGTTGACCAGTGGTTGGAACACTTGTTGGAGTTCCAGAGGTTGGACCACCTGGTACACAAGTTAACACTCCGTTGAGGTTTGCACAACTAAATCCGCCTGGACACATGTATTGACCACATGGTGTTGGGGTGCCTGATGTTGGGAAACCAGAAGTTGGATTACCAGAGGTTGGACCGCCTGGTACACATGTTAACACTCCATTCAAATTGGCACATGAGAATCCAGATGGACATTGATAGTTTCCACATTGTTGACCAGTGGTTGGAACACTTGTTGGGGTACCAGAGGTTGGACCACCTGGTACACAAGTATCGACACCATTGAGTTTGACGCAACTATATCCATGTGGACATTGGTGGTTTCCACATTGTTGACCGGTGGTTGGGGATGGACCAGTGGTTGGTCCACCAGAAGTTCCGAATGGAACACAAGATGGAACATCACCAATCAATGCACAATAGTAATTTGGTGGACAGAACATGTTTTCACCACATTGACATCCAGTTGATAATGTTGATGGTGCTACAGTTGTTGGGTTGTTTGAAGTTGGGTTATATGAAGTTGGGTTGTTTGAAGTTGGGTTGTTTGAAGTTGACCATGGTCTACATTGTCTAACAGTTTCATCGCACCAGTATCCCCATCCACATTGAGCATCGTTTTGACATGCACCGCCAGTGGTTGGGTTACCAGAGGTTGCGGTTTGACCGGTTGATTGACTAGATGATGACCATGGCTTGCATTGACCAACGGATTCATCACACCATTTACCCCATCCACATTGAGCATCGTTTTGACACACACCACCAGTGGTTGGATTACCAGAGGTTGCGGTTTGACCTGTAGATTGGCTAGTGGATGACCATGGCTTGCATTGTCCACTGGATTGTTCACACCATTTACCCCATCCACAGTCGCTATCTTGTCTGCATCCACCGGCTCCAGTGGTTGGACTGCCAGAGGTTGAAGTTTGGCCTGTTGATTGACTGGATGATGACCATGGTTTGCATTGCCAGCTGGATTGGTCACACCAGTATCCCCAACCACATTGAGCATCGTTTTTGCAATGACCAGTACCAGTAGTTGGTGATCCTGAAGAAGAGGAAGCGGAGGTAGCGGAAGTTGCAGAGGTAGCGGAAGTGGCCGATGTTTGACCACCGTTTTGATGACAATCCATATTGATATCAAGTGGAATGCGATAGACTTGACCATTTTCAATGAATGAAAGCCAAACAGCAAATCCAAGATTTCCATTCTTTCCGTTGGCACCAATACCGATTTGCATTGGCATTTCATCCATTCCACCGACGAACGATATCTTTCTGCCTTGGTTGCAACCGGTACCTATCCAGTAGGAGTTTGATGGCAATGGAGTGTAGAATCTCCATGATCTGACATCGATTGGACCCTTTGGATAGTAAGCGTGGCTGTCCAACTCCTTACGGATCTCTTCACCTGGAAGAGTGGCAGCAAACTCAATGTTGACAGCCCATGTGTGGCAACTGTTGGCACCATCCTCCAATGGGAAGAGATTACCAGTCAACAAGAGATTTCCGTTAGCGAGAACACGGAGATTGGCGGCGTTATTAACGAAATTCCACATACGTTGGTTGTCGAGTGATTGGAGTTGCTCACCAATGTAACAGGCGTGACCTCCGAAAGTTCCACCGAGCTCTGGATCGGCAATCGGTGCAACACAGGTGTATGATACATCACAGTAGAGGAGTGCGCTCGATGGAACTTGATTCTTGTGAATACCGCGAGTCTGAAGTGGATAATCGTTCTTCACTGAGATGTCATTGTCAGAGCGAACCAACTCGAACTGGTCGAAAAGGACATTTCCTTCGGTGTCGGCACGTCTGCTGGCAATACGGATACCGTGGTATTGCTGACCGTCATTTGGGAATGGAACAAAGGCAGTAACCCATCTCAAGGGAAGCTCTCTGTTACCGGTGGCGGCAAACTCTGGCTCACTCTTGGAAACCAATTCCATCGATGGGCCAAGTGAAAGATCTGATTTTAAAAAACTTATACTTATGGATGGATTTCTTGATTCTTCTCTATCAGGAGTTGTTTTGAAAGAAATACCATTAAACTAATAATAATAAAAATCGTAAGTTAAAAATTTTGTATTTTAATAAAATATATTATATTATATTTTTATAATTTACCTCTGATCTATCAAAAGATTGCTCTTGCATCATTGAAATACTTTGGAAACTTTTTCCACTAAATATAATTGATTTCGAATTTGAAAATAGAGGACTACCATTATCAGATTTAAAGAGTTGGTTTGAAAGCTGAATGTTTTCGTGTGATACTACTAAATGATGTGCTAGCATCACTAAAATAGTGATGCCTATCCAATATAATTTCCAAAACCTATTTTGGATTGCCATTTTTTTTTAGTTTATTTTCTTTACAAAAAAAAAAAAATAAGAATCAATCCTATTAGGAAGTGAGAGGGTGTTGTGGTTGATGTTGGTTGGTTGGTCTGGTTGATCGTATAATTTAATATTCGATCAAATTAATTTAGTTCAACCAGTAAAACCTAGGAAATATTAAAATTAGAAAAAAAAAAGAAAAAGAAAAAGGAAATGTTAATTATATTATTAGATTAATATATTCAAATGATATTACTTTTTTGATTGGATTTTCTTGAATTTACAAAAAAATTGGAAATATTAGAAAAATCGGAATAAAGAATAATAATCAACAAAAAAATATTATAAATTATTTATGTTAGCTTAGATTTGTATAATATGTTATCTAAATATTTTATTTGTTGATGAAACTATAGTTGTTGTTGTTATTTGATTTTGGTTGTTTGATTAATATTCTTATTGTTGGTTGGTAACAAAACAAAAAAATATATTTTAATTAAAAATGAATTTTAATTAATTTAATTAGTTGTTGTTGTCAGTGGAACCATTGAATAGTACTTGAATTTCAACCAATAGAGGATCACTCACTCTGAAGTGTTATGATCATATGATAACCAAACAAACATTTTCAACATGTAATTTTGTGTGGACAATATAATCTTAACTATGAACTTTTTACTATACTAACAATAGCAAACTAAATCAAACCAAACCAAACCAAAACAAACCCAAACAGAAAATAATTAAAAACAATTAGGAGGTAAACATATTTTGGTATCCACAGATAGTAAGGTTCACAAACAAAAAAAATGATGATGATTTGGTATAATCAAACTTCGTAGTAACAACTATAAAAATTAAATTAGGCTCTCTCAATTGTTGTTTTTTTAATATGAATACTGATTATTCATATGAAATCATTGGGTGAATTGATCAATTTCATATGAATACTGATTATTCATATGAAATCATTGTGTGAATATGAATACTGATTATTCATATGAAATCATTGGGTGAATTGATCAATTTCATTTGAACAAACATATAAACAAACCATTTCATTCAAACAACAACACAAAATTAAATGTAGCTCCACTACCCACATCTTCTTCATTTAAATACATCAAGCAACACACACGCACACACACATTCCAACAAACATCAAATATCGTATGATTGCTATCACATAAAGCTTTGAAATTATAAGAGAGAGATAAGTTTGAGTTTGTGGGTGTGTAAGCGATGTTGTTAGTTTCTCTACCCCCACACATTTTATATAAAGACACACTTATATATATTTACACACACTTATTGCAATGCAACGGGGTTTCCAATTACATATTTTATTTTGTATATGGTTTAAAATATTGTAGTGGATCAATATTATGTATAAATCTTCATCAACTCTCTTTGTGCCCCGTAACAAATAAATAAAATAAAATACAAAAACAAAAATAAAACTTAACTTTACAAACCTTAAAAGATTTTCATTCATATGCTTACAATTTTATTTCTTTTTATCATTACATTGAATTCTTCTTGCATTTATGATTTCACTTAACTTCACTTTCATTACATTCACTATTATTATTGCTTCATTTCACACAACACCACAAACCATCACCCACCACATTCATTTTTGAACATGAACTTATGAGTAATGTAATGAATGCGTATGACTTATGAATTGAAATGAACAAGAATGAATATTCATTCATTCATTCATTCATTTTGCTCTTATCATAAATGGTTTACATTGATTGTTTGTTTTGAATAACAATAATAATATGATTCCAAAGGAAAATAGATAAATAGATAAATAATTATAAAAATGTTAATTCGATGTTTGTAAAATTCTGAAAGTTTATAACCTTTGATAATCCTACAAAATTGGGGTGCTTGTGGTGTTTTTGCAAAAAATAAATTGGTGCGTATTGTGAGGTGAGAATGTTCTAGCAATGGAATGATTGAGGTGTGTTTAATTTCTTAATAAAATGTGATTTGTTGCTATTTTTTTTTTATATCTTTATTTTAATACATACTTTCGAATTTTTAGTATAGATATATAATCAATTTTACAACAATCAACAAGATTGAGTGCACTGAGTGAGAGTTCCTACCAATAACCAAAAATAAGAGCAAAAAAGCACCACTTACAATATCCTCATTGATCAAGTATAATATAGTATAGTATATTATGTATTCTTTCCGAAATTAAAATAAATAAAAAATGAGGTATGTTAAACAAAAGATAAGATAAGATAAGATATTAAACAATAGCTGCTACCTACTACTAATACTACTATTACTTTGTGTTGTTTAAAACTTAACCATCAATTGATGCATCATCATCATCATCAATAATGACAATAACCACAGTATTCATTGTTAACAAACTATCAATGATTCTTTAACAATCAGAAAGCTAGCTTGCGGTGTGCTTATCTGATTCTATAGAATCGATAGATTTAGTCATCATTATTGTGTTTACAAAAGTATTAAAAGTAGTAGTAGTAGCGGGTATTAATAATAATAATAGAGTAGATTTGATCTTTGCTTATTTTACTAATGATTTACTCTTGTCTATAATAAATTTAAAAGCGGGAATGATTATAAACAACATGTTGAACTCTCAAGGCTTAACTACTTGTCAGATGATAACAGCGGTATGTAATTTTCATCTATTACTTTTTTTTTTTTTTTTCAATAGAATCTGAATATTTTAAATCAAATCAAAAACAAACAATCAACCAAACAACCATACACCATTACATACTAATATTATTGTAAATTATAATAATTTATTACTTAATACAATAATTCCATTGTATTTTAAGAAACCCTCTTTTCACAAAAACCGACTGTTTAGTTGGTGCACCTTACACATGTGGGGAGCAAGTTCAACCTTATATATTTGATTACAAAAAATATACAACATAAAATGATGTGGTGTTCGTTTTTTCTTTTTTTTTCTTTTTTTTCTTTTTTTTTTTTTGGACATATTAAATTTTTAATATATTGATTGTTGGAATTGTTTTTAGTCGCTCACACACACACGTTCATTTGGATTCAATATTATTATTATTATTATCTTTATCATTTTATTGGTGAGATTGTTAAATTAATAATATTTATATTTATTATTATTATGTTACAGATATGATGGATTGGAATGAACATAATGGTGGTAGTGGTGCTAATACCACTACTACTACTACCAATCTTGGAAACAGTAATAATAATAATAATAATAACAATAACAATGGTAGAAGAAAGAAAAAGAATAAAAAGATTAGAAACAATGCGATTATCACTGATAATGATGTGGATAGTTATGATGACGATGACGATGATAGTTATGAATATGATAATGATAACAAGAGTGGTGGTAACGATAGTAGTAATAATAGTAGTACCAACAGTAGTATTGATCTAAATAATAACAACAGTAATGTAAATTTAAGAAAATCATCAGCAAACAATAGCAATAATATACATCCAACTAGATATCAAAAATTGGGTGAAGTAGATTCTTCATTGTTGTACGATAGTGATAATGAAGATGATTACAGTCGTGGACGTAATAGCAGTAGTGGTAGAACCAATAATCCGTTTAGACAACAGACAAAGCGACAGTCGTCCAAGTACAACAGTAACGGCTATGGCGTCAGTCACAACTTGGAAACGATCAGTGGATTCTTTATCTATATCTATCACACTCTCAGATACACAATAGTCGCAGATTTACAAGTGGCAATCAGATATGTTCATAAAAACTCAAAGAAGAACCTAAAGAGTATATTAATGGGTTTATTAACTGTATTCCTTGTAGTAATGTTTATAAGGTAAAAAAAGAAGAAGAAGAAGAAGAAGATAACAACAATAACAAAACAAACATACACTAAATTATTCTAATTTTATTTTATTTTATTTATTATTTATTATTTTCTAGTTTTTTACAAAATTTAATTCAAGCATCACCTATTGTATTTTTAAAGTTATCAGAGGATCAAGCAGGTGAATGGGATCTGTTGATTACGGGTGATCCTTCACTTGGTTCAGCGGTGGCCAATAACAACACTCTGAGTGGTACAGCAGCCGATGGTGTGCATACCACCTCTTCGAAAAGATCAGCATCATTTAATATAGCTGCCGATTCTTCATCGTTTGATTCCGATTCTTCTTCGTCTAAAATACCACATCCCAATTTGGATCATATAATTGAATCTCCTCTACTGATACATCATTTAAACAACAACAACAACAATAATAATAATTTACAAGCAAACTCAAGTGGAGTCAATCCTTTGAGTATGCTTAGTGGTGTTTCCGGTTTATTCTTAAACTCTACGGTTCTGACGAAAAAGTTGGCCACTGCCAGTATGGTACATGGAGTTGCGCCACGTTGGTTGTCTTTGGCATCGGTGATGACAAAATCCACCAATATATCGGCGTCACTTATTATGCTGGTGATGAATTCGACACTGGAGAAGGATATGGGACTGGGTCGTGGATGGGATCACCCACCTCTCAAAGACAACCAGGCACACATCTCAAGCTCCTATCTACGTAGAATCGGGGTGGAACCAAACAAGAATCAATCGGTTAATCTACACGTTGATTTTGTCGATGTTTTGCAGCGACTTGGCTCCGACTCGATTCCTTCGCTCGACCAAGTGATGGCAATGGTTTCCAACTATCTGGGAATTCCCATTCCCGGACGACTCGATATCACTTTTGAAATGATTTTGCTCAAGATGCGATACCCCAATATCGTTCAGGAATTGAAAGATGTTCTAGGCGATGGAATCAGCTCCGATGGTAACTTCCTCTATCCACCACTGATCATCCAAAACTTTTACAATGATTTCCGACAGGAACTGGTCATCGATCAGACACTGGTTGTGATGGACGGTATCGATTCACCAGGTGGTAAATATCCATCTAGTTTAGGAAATGTCGCTGTACTAGAGAGTTCCTATATTGACAAAGTTGTAAAGTCGAAACTTCAATCGATGAACTCGAAATTCTTTGGTAACATTTCCACCATCGAAACACTACTCAAAGCAATCATCCCGCTATACAATCCTAAACTGAATGTAACCGATATACTTACTCAAATCGATAGTTTCCGTTATACATTTGGTAATTTTACAAATAATTTTAATTTAAATGTAAGTTGAACCAATATCTATTTTTTTTTTTGAATCCTTCCATCTTTATTAATTATAAATTATTTCTTAAAGGAATATTCAATGGCATCGATTGTAATGTTGGAAAATAGAGTTAAAATCTATACTTCTGAAGATCCAAAGAACTCATTGATTGCTTTTACCAATCAAGTAGCTATGCATATTGGATATAGTTATCCTGCTTTGTTCACTACACCTTTGGCTGCAGCACTTGGTGTTTTCCAATATACGAGATTGTCTTTGGATCAGGTATTCAATTGTGTTGCTGCGGTGCTGTTGGTTCTAGGTGCACTTATGATCTACAGTTTGCTGCTGAGTGACGTCGAGGGTAAAACCTTTGAGTATGGTATGCTTCGTGCACAGGGAATGCGTCACTACGCTCTGATCATCCTGCTGTTGACACAGGCACTCTACTTTAGTGTACCGGGCATTGCTTTTGGTTTGTTCTTTGGTTGGGTATGCTTTGCTATTGTTGCACACTTTGTCTATCAGTTTGTTATGCTCCCAGTGGATCTGACATTCTACACAATCGCCATTCTCTCGGGTGGACTCATGGGTTTGTGTCTGCCGATACTCGCCAATATCGCACCGATTCAGCGTGCTCTCAGTCGTACGCTGCGTGACGCTCTCGACGTCTACCACCAAGTAAAGAATGAGACAATGGTGAAGATCATGAAGTTGGAGGAGATTGGATTCGATCCACTCCAGACAGCACTCTCAATCTTGGCAGTGGTCGTTGGTTTCACAGTGTACTACTTGATTCCACTGTCGTTCACATTCATGAACTACTCGCTGTTCTTTGCCATCCTAACCGGTATTCTTTTGGGTATGTTGTTTGGATTGGCAATGTTGGCACAGGCTGTCCAATCGCATTTGGAAAAGCTAATCTGTTTCCTAATGATTTGGGGACCGGACCGTCGTACACTCTACAATCTCGTGCGAAAGAACCTTGCCTCTCACTCGGGAAGAAACGCAAAGACCGCCACAATGTTCACCATTTGTTTGACTTTTATCATTTTCACTGGCTGTGTATTCCGTCTCCAAGGTTACAATATTCAGGAACTTGTAAAGCTTGGCGTCGGTTCCGACATTGATGTGGTAACGACCAACACCAAATTCCCATTGCCCGAAACAGATCTACGTGGTTTCCTAGACAATGAAATTTTCAACAACTCGGCAACCACCGCCGTTGAATCGTATTCATTCGTAACACTTCCACTGGATCATGTCATGAATATACGTTCAACCTACATGAACACGCTCGCCGGTTATCCATGGACCTATGTTAAAGTCTATGGAATCGATGAAAACTATCTGGCGTCGACCTATATAAACTTTTTAGACGTAACCCAAACCAATCAAAGACTATCGTTCTCAACTGTACCCGGAAGTAAGAAGCTGGATGTCGTTAAAAGTCTCTATACAAATCAACATAAAGATGTTATCGACGACGACAAGAATGGCAAGATAATTGCACCACCCAATGCAGTGTCATACGATCCCAATACTATTGTATTTAATCGACCGACCAATATGTACATCTACGAGAACTACACAGACATGATTCTGTCCGATGCTTTCAAATTGGCAGTTGGTGCGACACCCAACACCCCATTCAATCTAAAAGTATACTTCAAACCTGGTTCTACCGGTCCACAGGAATCACTGAATCTCCTAGCCAAGCCACAATCGATGGTTTCGATGTTCCCCTCCTTCCTCTTCTCGTCGTACTCTGCGACATCTTCGCGTTCGCCAGTGTTGATCAACATGAATCAATTCATGGAGACGATGAACTTGATCTACGGAATGACCAGTGATCCCACTGTCCTACTCCCAGAGGTCCCTCCCAAGTCAAAGCTACTGATCCGTCTGAAATCAGGCACCTCTCAGAGCGCCAGAGAATACGTAGTAAACAGCTGCAAGAACTTTATTAAATCCGATTCTATCAATGTCATCGATACTGCCTTCCTGTTGGACTCGACCGACACTGCCATCACACTGTTGAACATCTTTTTCTACACTGTCTCGGCTACATCGATCATTCTTTGTTTCTTTATGTTGTGGGTGTCATTCGCTTCGAACATCCACGAAAACTCTTGGGAGTTTGGTGTGTTGCGTGCCATTGGACTCACCACCAATCAAGTGATTCGTATCTACATCTACGAAGCACTGGTACTCATCTTTTCATCGGTTATTCTCGGACTGATCATCGGTCTCGGAGTAGCAGTCACCCTAACGCTTCAACTCAATCTCTTTACTCAACTGCCTTTCTCATTCCAATTCCCATTCGGTTTATTCTTTGGTGTTTTCGGTGCATCCATTGTCATGGCAGTTCTCGTATCAAGACAAGCATCAAAAGAATATTCATCAAAACAAATTGCATCAGTATTAAAAGGCAAATAAATTAAATCAAAAAAACAATAAATTATTATTATCATCATATTTAAATCATTTAAATCTTAATTAATTAACATTAATAACGGTGAAGCTTATCACAAAAATAATTTTACCTTTTTGGATTTTTTTGTTTTTTTTTTTAAAAAAAATATCAAAAATATTATTTTTTTTAATAATAATCAAAAATTTACCTTTTTAAAAAAAAATTGAATTAGTTTGAAAAGATAGAAAGATAGATAAAATATTAAATATATATTAATAATTAAACATCAATAGAAATAATATATAATTGGATATAATTAAAAAATAGTAGATTTTAGATCAAAAATAATTGATTTATTTATAGCTTTATAATTTTAAATAGTTAAATCAATCAATCAATAAATAAATATACAACAGATATATAGAAAGATAGATAGATAAAGAGAATACAAAAGAGAATAAAACAAGTAGAAACAAGAAAAAAAAAGAAAGGAAAAGTAAAGTAAAGTTTGCTTTGAAAAAAAACTTTATCTTTTTTTTTAAAAGTGTAGTATAGTGTAGTGGGGTTGGAGTTGAATAGACTATAGATTAGACTATAGTGAATAGAGTAAAAGATAACAAGATGAGTGGTATTAATGGAAATGGAAATATAGGTGACGATAAATCAAATAATAACAATGCAGTCAATAATCTGGTTATTGGTTTGAATAAATCGTTTCAAACACTAAATATAGAAAATGTCAATAATAATAGCAATGGTCTTTCATTGTCACCACATAGAAACAACAATACGACTGCAGCGTTAGACCCATCGATAGGTGCACCACAAATAGCAACGACAGCCAGCTCGACAACCTCTTCCTTCAAAATGGTTGTACCCAATAAATCACAAAGACCTAGAGCACTCTCTCCATTAAGTAAAGAGAAACAGGTTTGTAACAAAACATAATTATAATTATAGTTATTACATTTCAAGTAATATGAATGTCAATCAAAAACTGACACACAAACCACCACTTTTTTTTTTTTTTTCATTTTGATCTTAAATCTTAAAAGAGAGTATCTTTTTCACCTTTGGTTGTAGAAATCAATGAAAATAACCATGTAAATAATAGTAATAATAATGAACAAAATGATAATATAGATACCGATAATAATAATAATAGTAATAATAATAATAATAATAGTATAGAAAATAATTTTAATAATAATAATAATAATAATCAACTCAATTCACAAAACATAAATATTTTCATTAATAGTTTGAATCACCATGTTTCTTCCAATGATAGTAAAATGACGTTTAATAAGCTAAGTGGAAGTTCATCTGGTATGATATTATTTATTATTTTTAAATGAAAAAGTAGATTATTATAAGCAATTAATTAACGATCGATTGATATTTTAGAAATATTTCAATTCGATGAAGAATATGAAGAAGATATGGAGAGTAAAAATTTGCCTGTAATTACAGAGGTGGAGATGGCTGATGACGACGACGACGAACAACCTCCCAACTATATGTCAGTGGAAGGTGGAAACAGATCGAGAAGCAATGGTATAATGCAGGAACTCAAACTTGGTACATCACTACCAATGGAAATCCCATCGAAACTTGCACAGAGTCTACAAAAGAATTCTGTGGCAATGGATTTCTCATATAACGATAATGAAAAGAAGGTAAGAGTGAATCTAACAATCAATCATAACCATTTATCATTTCGAATTTGTTGTGACTAACAAATTTTTATAAATTGTAATCTCTCTAGAAATATGTTACACCAAGACAAAGTTGGGTTGATACACTCAATAGTAAAGATGAAGTTTCCATGTCATTTGCAGTGCCTTTATCATTGAGTAGGAAATCAAAGTCATTTATTTAGAGACATAACAACACAACTATTAGTGATTTTACAAAATGAATAGGAGAGATTCTAAAATTTGATTTACATGAAGGAATTCAATGGACTGGAATGTATACTTTTATTTTTTATTTCTATAGAAAACAAAAAAACAAAAACAATCAACCACCAACAACAACAACAACAACAAAACGATCAAATAATTCATAAATTATTTCTATTTAAATAAGTTTTTTTTCATATATATATATTTTGTAATTACAAAAAAAAAAAACTAAAAAAAAAACTAAAAAAAAACTAAAATAAATATTATTATTATTATAACAAAACTAAATGTTTTTTTTTTTTGATGATCAGATATAAGTTGTAACCAAAAGTTAATTTATAACAATTGGATTGAATTTTATAACTAGTAAAAAAAACAAAAAAATTGAACAACAAAATAATTTTAATTCAAAATATTTAAAAAAAATTTTTCTCTTGGGGTTGTTTTTTTATTTATTAATTGATTAGTATTGTAACAAATTTAAATAAAGATATTGCCTTGTTCCAATCTAATTTAATCATTCATATGAATCAATAAATTATTTAAAAAAATTGAAGTTTTTGTTTTTTATTTTTATTTTTATTTTTCTAAATTGCACATCAAAAGTTCAAAACTAAATAAAAACATCAAACAATCATATTACACACTCACACACTCATCCTATCATATATTATATAATGGTAATTGATTCAATGTTATCTACAACCACAAATAATAGTAGTAGTAGTAGTAGTAACAACAGTAATAATAGTAGTAGCAATGAAAATGGTAATAGTTATATAAATCATATACATTCGGTAACTGTAGAATCATGGAGAACACGTGAATCACCTGTTAAATGGTCAAAGAAACTATTGGACTTTTTTAAAGTTAGCAATAATAATAATAATAATATAGGTAGTGGTGGTGGTCGTGGTGGTGGTGATCAGTCGATGAGTTATGGTAGAATTATATGTGGTATGTATATCATTATAGTTGTAGCTTGTACAAGCGAATGAATAGCTTGCTTTTTTTTTTTGTACGAATTAACATGTTAATCTTTCATTGTTTTTTTAAAGATCTTCTTTTGAAACAGATGATGGTTGGACCTTCACCAAGTCCACTGTTAGTGTCCTATCTGAGGTATGCTTTGGCGATGCAGATGATCAATTACACCGATTTCTTCAACTCGATGACTGAGCTATCCACCAACACTCTGATATCGAAGAAGCCAAAGCAGTTCAATACTATACTATCGGTACTGGTCGATGTAGTCAAGATTCTCGAACTTAAAGCTACTTCCGAACGGTATATACATTTGGAGAAAACACACAGTCAATCTTCCCACATCGTGCAAGAGTCCATTGGTCAACATCTAGGTGTTAATGGTACAGCAACAACAACAACAACAACAACAACAGGCGAGAAGAAATCGACAAAGAAGAAGGATTTGGTTGCCAATGGTGTTGTTATGCTTAATGGTAAGCATGGTCATCAGAATGGCAAATCGATTGCCTCTTACGATATGTTATTGGATGGTAGCTCCAAGAGAAAGAGAAACAACAATAATAATATTAGCGGTGATAACGATAGTAATAATGATATTGACGAAGATAATGATATCATCACCAACAATAATGATGATGATGAAGATGATAACAATAATAATGATAATGATATCAAGATGGATGGCGACCAGTTAACAACAACAACAACAACAACAACAAGTTCATCACCTACAATGATGGATGAAGACCTACAATATCTAAAGAAGAGAAAGAATCAATTGAATACTTTTCAAACTATATATGATACTAATAGTAGTGATAGTACAGAGGCAGCGACAACAACAACAACTACAACTACAACCACAACAACCAGTAAACCAAAATCAACAACATCAGGAGCAGCAGCAACAACAACAACAACATTAGATACCAATAGAGATATAGTTTCGAAATCATCTTATATTATGCAATTGACATCGATTGTAAAGCTAGTTGTATTACTTTTGCAATCGGTTGTCTCTGCTTTAGATGAAGAGATGAAAGAGGGTGGAGAACAGCAACAGCAACAACAACAAACACAGAAATCCAAACAGTTAAATGATAATGCATTAGAGTGTATGGAGATACTTTCTAATATGATCGGTAACAATAAGTTGGCTTCTTTCCTGTTGGACTCGAAACAAGAGGTTCCCGTTGTATTTAGCGAGCTTACAACTTGGCTAGAGAATTTAAAGAATAAACTAGGTGCACCAATAGATGAAAATGCAATGGTAGTTGACGACAACAACAACAACAATAACAACAACACTTCACTAAAGAGATTAATTCAACAACGATATTCAATGTTATTGACAACTTTACACGACACACTATTCATACCATTCCTACCGATAAACGAGTCACAAGCACTAATACAACCTAATAACAATAACAACAATAATAACAATAATAACAATAATAATAATCAGAATGAACAGAATAATAATAATAACGGTATTAATTATAATATTAATCAGTTGTCAACGACAGTCGGTGAAATCGATATTAATCAATCGCTATCGTTACAACTACTGTTTGAGGAGGAGATCACAGGATGTGTATTGAATAACTCTGTTCTCGACAATCTCTTCAAATTCGATTGGATTAGATCGGTGCGATCCATTCATGCTACCAACTACCTCTTTGAACTACTCCGTATTGCATTCCAACGACTTACAACCTGCGATCCAATGACCAACGAATATAGAAAAGTAAAGATGTTCATACTCGTTAAAATACCTTTATTCTATAGTAAATTACTATCTTTAAATAACAGCAGCAATAATAATAATCAAAATAGTAATAATATCAGTATAGAAGATGCACTACTTCAAATTACACAAATAACTTCACTCTATGATATGCTATCATATAATGAGAATATTCCACTTTGTCTATTGCAGACTCTTATCAAACAAAATCTAGTTAGCATCACTGTTTCCAAAGAGAAACTACCGATATTCAATAGCAACGGCGAATTGGATCAATTGGAACTTGAACTACAACAAGCCAACGCTCAAAAAACAGTTGATGATATTAGTATGGATTTTCATATTCAATCTTTATCTGTAAGTGTTTATATATATATATAGATATGTTTATTTATTATTCATTTTATAACTTATTTATTAATATTAATAATCAATTTAGGATATTGGATTGGTAAGAGAATCTTTGTTTTCATTGAATGAAAACTCTGAGATTTATGACATTCAAACGCTCATGTCGGTGTTGCGTACACACTTGATTGCACCATTCGATTTCCAAGAGAATCTGATGGCTTTGCTATTTGAGAGAATGGATACTCTGGCCGATCCGTTGGAGAACAAAAAGGTACTGTCTCATCTATTCTCGATACTCTCTGACCCCCTGATTCTCGAAACCATCGATGTTCATGGTTATTCACTAAAGCTAATGATTCATCTCATACGATATTGCGATGCCATCGGTACTATCACCAACAACGAACACGGTGGTATATTCATTCACTCTTATTTTGCACTACCATTTAGTATTCTATCAACTTTGATTATACTTTATAATGTAAATTATCAAAAACAACAACTTTTTTATTCATATAATGAAGAAACTAACCTTTTTTTTTTTATTTAATAACTTTTTTAGTTAAAAGGAAATAAATATAATTTAGATCAACTATATAATCAAATGAAACAGAAAGACAATCAAGATCTATCCTATCAGAATCCTTTTATTAGATGGATATTCGATAGTTTCAAAGATACCGAAATCAACTTTGGTAACAACTATAAAGAGGGTACCAACTCTGAGGATTACCAAATACTAAAGACATTGGTAGAGATGAATAGAGAGACTTTTTCTTTTCAGATTTTAAAGTAATAACCCGATTTATATTTCAATCTTCTTTAACTTTGTTGTTTACTAATTAACTTTTATTTGTTTATTTTATTTTAGTGAATATTCACCATGGAAATTATCACATCTGCTACCACAACTACTCTTCTTGTTGTTCAATTGTCTAGAGAAGAATCTTATATCATCCGATGCTATAGTAGAGATTATCTCGATGGTCATTGATATCGTACCGTATGCATCGATCATCATACTCCAATACCTCGCAAAGAATCCAAATACCATTCCTATAGAATTGATTCTAGGTTGTTTCATGAATGCCGATGGATCCGATAGAGAGAACGCTCATATAATTAATCTTTCAATTGATAATACTAATATTCAAATCTATCATTATGTATGTAGTATATTAAAAAAAAAAAAAAAAAATGACAATTTTTAACTAACCATTTTTTTTTATTTATTTTATTTAGATATTAGAAACACTTAATCTTATTCTATTCCCAATATTATATAAATTCCCATTTCAATCAAATCCAAATCATTCGATTCTCTTTAATCAAGTTATAAATGCACACCAAAATACACCAATTCATTCACAACTGTCATCACCACAATCAATCATCAATGAACTGTTCGAGGGATTCAAAACCAAGTTCTCAGAGATACCAAAGGATCTCCTTATCAACATTATAAGTAAGACCGATATTATTCAATTCATTCAATTCACTTCAAAGAAAGTACTCTCTGCAATCTCTACTACCAATGATCTCGATCAAAATTCAATCATCCATACAATTAGAGCTAGTAAGTTTATATATCATTGAACTATTATATATAAATAACTAATTCTTTTATTACTATTATATAGTTGAACTTGGAGGATTTATCATTGGTAATCTAGTTGGAATTGAGGCAATACCTATATTGTTCAATTCATTTGTACCATCATTCTTTAACTCACTTATAAACACTCCATACAAAGCACAATACCTTGCCTACTTTTGTCAGAATGTATTTATTCACTCAAATTGTCAATTTTATATACAAATGTAAGTTGTAGTAGTAGTAGTATAGTAATCATTTATTATGTAACTAGTTAACTAACATATCTTAATCTCATAGTAATGATCAATTTATTAAAAAAGCTATGACTAGTTTCTTCCAACTTTTGAGTGACAGTGCAAAGAGATTACTTCCAGACAATGATCCACAACATGCATTCGTATTATCAATGATTTCACAATTTATACATATGAACAAATCACTTAATCTCATTTCAGTTGGCAATAATAACAACAACAACAACAAAGATAAACAACAAAAAATTTCAGTATTCTCCATTTTATCAATGGATAAAATCGATCAACTATCAAAATCCATAACTTATATTTCCAACTATTTTATGGCTGCATCCATTTATGAATATAGAGATGATCATCATCTCTGTAACAACATAATATCAAATAAAAAATAGATAATAATAATATTAATAATAACTAAAAAAAAATTTCTTTTTCTTTTGTACATGCAGGATATTTTAATAAAACTAGAATGATTGGTTTTTTGGTTGAACAATCTCGTAGAGTAAAAGTTCGACACTCTTGGATTTGGAAAAAAAAATCCCAAATTGTTCCAACATTACAAAATTTCAGATCGTTGGATCATTATTGGGTAAAAATTCAATCAAAATTGATCAAACATACCTGTTTTGTGGGTGTTGTTTTCAAACAAGTTACCAACATCGTTTTTATCTTGTTCGAGATTAACCAACTTGGGATTTGTTAAAGTTATTTGTTTGCATTTTTTAAATAAATCTCATTTTCATTGTACAGTTCATTGTACAAATTACAACTTTTATTAATAATATTTTTATTACAAACTGTACAAACTTGTCTAATTTTTTAAAAATTAACTATAAATAATCAAAAACAATGTTTAATTGATTTCAAATCAAAACAACTCTTCTTTTAATAGTTTTATATTTGTAATAAATAATTAATTAATATAATCATGTCAACCGCTTTAATCCCAGGAAATGCCTATGGTACTTTGAATGTCCGTTCATCATCCAACTGGTCACCAGACTGCTCTGTTGTTTACTCACAAATCAACTACAAGAAGGGTAATATCTCCTCTGCCAATGCTTCATCCTCGTGGCACGCTCTCACCGCTGATGACAAACAATGGGTCACATTGAGTTCACCAGTACCAGTTGAATTCCATCAAATCCAAACCCAAGGTAGAGGAGATGACGATTTGTCTCAATGGGTTACTAGTTACAAAATTCGTTACACTGAGGACGGTGTCAACTGGGTCGATGGACAAACATTCCAAGCCAACACTGACCGTCATACCGTTGTTACCAACACTTTGTGTCCACCGATTGTCGCTCGTTCCATTGCCATTCACCCACTCACCTGGCAAGGATTTGTTACCATGAGATTCGATGCTCTCTACCGTCCAATCAAGCACACCATCACCAAGACTGGTCTCGTTATCGATGAAACTCAAAAGTTCAACTCTGGTTGTCCAATTGGTGATAAATACTCTGAGCACGTTATCAAGTTTGACAAACCATTCCCAAGAATCCCAGAGGTTATCTGTGCCTTGACTCAAATCGATTGTGCTCAAGACAAGAACTTGCGTATCCGTGTCTTTGCCAAGGATATCACCAAGGAAGGTTTCACCTTTGTCTTTATGACCTGGTTCGATACCAAGTTATACGGATTGAGAGGATCATACGTTGCTACATTGGATCAATAAATAAATAAATTATCGCAATTGATATCAATTGATAACAAGTATTATAATGTTCTTTTTTTTTATTGTGCAAATCTCTTTGTCCATTCTTTTGCTTGTTCGTCATGAGCTCTTTTATCTCTTGTTAGTTGTTCTGCAATTGAAAGTACTAAAGGATCTCTTGGATTGGGATCATCCAACAGTGAACAAATAGATAATAGTAACTTTGATACAGTAAGTGCAGGACTCCAATTATTCTTTAATATATCTAAACAAACAGCTCCATCTCCATTAATATTACAATGATATATTTTTGTTTTAAATGTAATCTAATCGCGAGTTACAAAAGATAAGTATTATGTTTTGATAATGTATTATAATGAATTTATATATATCGTCTATACCTTTGGTGGTTTAAAAGGATAATCTACAGGAAAAGCTATATTCATAAAGAAGATACCACCCTCATAGGGTGACCCTTGTGGTCCTAGAATTGTTGCCATCCATTCATATAGATTATCACCGATCGGACCTGCAGAGCAATTTGATGGTGGATCCATTGTAATATCTGCAAGTTCTTTTTGTATTCTATTTTATTATATTATTAAATAACAGTTGAATTCATAGTAAGATAATAAGCATTACATTTTATATAGATAATTAAAACACTTAATGAAATTCTATATCATACCTTTTTGTCGACGTAGATTTCTCCATTTTATATATATTTTATGCGCTTTATCTTTTTTATTAAAACTCTTTTATTCTTTTCTATTGCTTAGTTATATAAATAATAAAATTGTTTCGTTTCTTATTATTTTTTCTCATTTTTTCGCCAATATTTTGATGACTGGTGGTGAGTGTGCAAAAAAAACTGTGTGTAACTGTGTGTGTGGTTTATTAATTTTTAGAAGTTTTAGCAACTAGATTTAAATTGTAATAAATAATATTGGGAATCAATTTCCAACAATTGTTTTTGTGATCATTCTTGGTGCAACATACTACTACAGTTAATTATAAATAGCTAAAGTACCATGGTACCTTTATTTTGGTTTTATATACCATGTAAAAAGAATAATACTTGTAATAATCAAACAATAATTATTTAAAATATTAATAAAATAAAATAAAATATTTTAAATACTATTTATTAAATATTTCTTTGAGATTCTTTGTTAACAAAGAAATACTTGTAACAGAATTCTTCAGTCTCAAAATAAATTGGAATCATATGTTCACATCTTTCGGATTTATCTTTGAAAATGGCATTGAGATTTTAATACTGTAACAGTAACTCCATCCACATATGAACATTTACTTGAACACTAGCATTTCTGATTCTTACCAAACTCTGCATTCTTCTTCAAGTACTTAACTTCTTTATCATAAACATGGCGGCGATAGTGTTTTGTCTGTTTGGGAGCATATGATTTGGCTGGCATAGGTGCGTTGCACTCCTGGAGTATAGTACCAGAGTTTATTTTACTATAATCCTTGTTGACATCAAATGGTTCAACAGAATGTAGTAGTTGAATGTTACAATGAAAAGTGGCTAATAACTCAAAGATAAGCAATGTTACTTTTGTTTTTGTTGCATACCAAGAAACTATATCTCTATGTTTTTGATTCAAAGTTGTCTTTGCCTGGGCTTTGATTGTTTTAAAGTGGCACTCTTCAACCAAAACTTTGATGCCTCTAGTAGTCTATTATTATTCTTCTAAAATAGTTGTCTGGTGGTCCCAATGTTCTCTGATGTCAACTATCATTTGAACCAAAAAATCAGAGAAATTAGATCTGAGTGACTCTAGATAATCGGCTGGTGGAATTAAACCAACAAGCATACAATTCAGAGCATCTGCGAATTTCATAATGGTTGGTAGTTCTGTGAATGTCATTAATTATATCTATATTTTAAACTTTTTGGAATTAACATTGTAACCCGAGTTTATTTATATGTTTTTAAATTATGTGCACTATATTATAAAGATTTATTGTAATTCTAGAGTAATCTTTTTTTAAAACTTGAGGACCTTTGGAGTCTCCCAGGTGAAATCTGGATCATTACGACCAAAGTGACCACCAGAGGCTGTCTTGTGGTAAACTGGTCTCAATAATTGCAAATCACGGGTCAAAACACCTGGTCTCAAATCAAAGTTGTTGAGTACGATTTGGAGGATTTCAGTGTCTGACTTCTTTCCAGTACCGTAGGTATCGACGTGGACAGAGAGTGGCTTGGCGACACCAATGGCGTATGAGACTTGGACCAAACAACGGTCGGCGAGACCAGCGCTGATCAAAGACTTGGCGATCCAACGGGCAGCGTATGCACCAGAACGATCGACCTTGGATGGGTCCTTACCTGAAAAAGCACCTCCTCCATGTGCACCCCAACCTCCGTAAGAGTCAATGATGATCTTACGACCAGTGAGACCGGCATCACCCATTGGACCACCAATGACGAAACGTCCAGATGGATTCAAATGGTAGATGGTGGCGTCGTCCAAGTACTTGGCTGGGATGACAGCGTTGATGACCTTCTCCTTCAAGTCAGCACGGATTTGCTCATTGGTGACGTTCTCGTCGTGTTGGGTAGAGATAACGATGGTGTGGACACGTTGTGGGATCATACGACCACCGTCCTTCAAGTACTCGACGGTGACTTGAGTCTTGGCGTCTGGACGAGCCCATGGAAGAGTTCCGTTCTTACGGAGCTCAGTGAGCTTGGTAACCAACTCTGAGGCCAAATAGTGAGTCAATGGCATCAACTCTGGGGTTTCGTTGGTGGCATAACCAAACATGTGACCTTGATCACCAGCACCAATGTCCTCTGGGTTCTTGTCGACGTGGACACCTTGAGCAATATCTGGTGATTGTTGTTCAATTGCAACCAAAACATTGCAAGTCTTGTAATCGAATCCCTTTGAAGAGTCATCGAAACCGATCTTCTTGATGGTCTCACGAACGACCTTTTGGTAGTCAATGACTGCCTTGGTGGTAATCTCACCAAAGACCATAATTAAACCAGTCTTGGCACAGGTTTCTAAAAATTATTAATAATAAAAATAATATCTTTGTGTTAGCATAATTACCAAGATAAAAATTATAATTTTTAAATATATTTTTAAGATCAAAATGAATTTCCTAAAATTTTTTATAATTCGAATTCGTTTTTTTTTCACATGCGACCAAAAAAAAAAAAAATCTTTGACTTTTTTTGTCGATCAAAAGTTTCTTTCGTGTTTTGCAAAAATATTATGTGGTGTAATGTTCCATCTAAAGTCCACCTTGAAATTTGGTCATATAATCGTTCTTTGTTCCAACTTTGATTATAAATTATGCTTTACTCTAATATCTTCTTTGTGTTGGATTATCATTATTATTATTAATAGTTGGATTGACTAGTTTGTTGATTATATTATTATTATTTTAATCCTTTTTTGATCCAAAATATATTTATAATTTTCATTTTAAATTTGATTTATATTTGATTCACCTACCACAAGCAACCTTTGAGGCTGGATCTTGAGCGAGACAAGCGTCGAGGACGGCATCAGAGACTTGATCACAGATCTTGTCTATAATAGTAAAAGTAAAAGTAAAAGTAATATATATATATATATATAAAGTTATAATGTTAGGATATTTGTATAAAAATAGTTTCCGATTTTTAAATGTTTTGAATAATTACCTGGGTGACCTTCAGTGACAGACTCTGAAGTGAATAAAACGGTATTGGAAGACATTATCACTGACTACTAATTACACAGTAAGAAGAAGAACTTGATGTGTATGTTAAGAGTTGGAGCAATAGAATGAAAAATGATTTGGTAAAAAAAAAGTTTTTGAACTAGACGTCGTGCAACGTGCAAGAAAGAACAAGAAAAAAAAATTGTTGTAAAAAAAAAAAAAATATTAAAAAAAAATTGAATGATTTGAAAAATCTCAATTTTGACTTAATATTTATACATTTTTTCTATTTATTTTTTTTTTTTTTTGGAACAGTTTATTCAAAAGTTTGAGTTTTTTTTTTGCTTTTAAAGTGGGCAAACCAATAGTGTGTGGTGGAGCACCACTAAAAGTTATAGTCTGCAAACAAAAAAAATTGAAATATATATTTGTTGTGGTAGTGGTATTTTGATGGTCAAGTGGGATTACTGTTTGTTCTTTATTACAACACCCCTTCCCCCCTTTTTGGTGAGCTTTATATTCTTTTATTTTGGAACAACCATTATTAATTATTACCGTAAAAATCCACACAACACGAGATATATTAATTTGTTATAACTAATGAAAATGAATATTCATTTTAAAAAAAATAAAAATAGAGAGACAATTAGATTTATTATTTGTTATCGTTTTAAAATTAAAATTCATTAGTAAACTTGAATCTTTAGTAGTTGGCAAAAAAGTGTTTTAATTTTTCAAGTTTAAAAGATAATAGTTTTTTTTAAATAAAAATAAAAAAAAAGAGAATCTATTTTATTTATTAAAAAAAATCATCATTATTTGTTTGTTTTTAGATAACTTTACTTTTTTCAAACGAAATGTATTTGATTGAAAAGGTAACAAAAAAGGTAATAAATGTTGTTAATCAGAACTTTTACAAAAAAAACCATATTTGCAATCAAATCTTATCAATATGATCGTTCGGACCTTAAACAGAGGGGTTTTCTAAGAGATCAAAAAGTTGATGACTCATTGAGAACAATTGGGATTTTCGATATGTTTTTATTTGCAAATTTAATTAATTGATTTGACGGTTTTTTTGAAAAAAAAGAAAAACAAAAAAAAAAAAAAAGAAAAAAAGAATGTTTTTGTTTTCATTCGGTATAACAAATATGTTTAAAAGAGAATAGAATAAGCAATTATAATCTTCCAGAATTTAGTTAGTTAGATTATCCTATCAGTTAAATTATAAAAAAGATTATGTTTTTTTTAGTTTATTAGACTATTCTAAATCTTTTGAGAAATCATTCGAAAGATCTTAACCCAATGTAAAAATAAAAATTTTTTTTTGGGAACTCTTTGTGAATCGATACCAACCAGTGTCATTTATAAAGTTTATCATTAATCTCTTTTTATAGAAAGTGTTCGATTCAATATTTTATCTTTATTTCACCAATAAAAGTGGTCCACTATCACCTTTATTTAAACAACAACAAAAGATTATAATAGATTCAATCTATTCTTTATAGAATAGATAAAAAATTAGAATTGTTTGATAATTATAAACCAATAAAAAGATGATGTGTTTAGTTTGGTTTTGTTAAAAAAAAAAAAAAAGGTTGGTCTAACAAGTACTTGTTTAACACCACTTTAAAAACAAACAATATATTGTTTATATCATTTTTAAACACCTACCTCTAGTAAAACATAGGAGTGTTTTGTTTTTCTTTCTAGATTTTTATTTTTTTATTTAAAATTTTTTAATTTAATCTCTTTGTAACCTTTTTTTTTTTTATATCATAAGTTTGGCAACTGTTCATTTAGGTTTGTTTTATATTAATGTTGGTGATTTTTTGATATTTTAGTTGTTTTTTTTATTTTATTTAGTTGTTTTAAATTGACCAATAAAATAACAACAATCAACAACAATAGCAACATTTTAATAGTATTAAGAATAGGGATAAAAGTATTTATTCAATCCAAAACCATAAGCAAATCAAAAGAAAATTAAAATTCTTTCATGGAGTCATTAGACATCATTATATACAGTTGAATAATATAGTAGTATTATTATTAGGAAGCATTAGTGTAGAGTAATATTTATATGTTTTAATACTCAATAGACAAACTTAAACAGCTTCCTCAAAGTGAATTTTTAATTAAACACAAACTTTGCTTTTCCTTGACAAGCAGCAACAGCATCACACAATAACATCAAACATAACACACTCACACCACCACCACCACCACCACCTCACCAAAACACACCACCACACATTGTCCAACCAAACCAAATTTCATGATATCATTTACTTACTACTCAAGTGGAGTAGTAGTAGTAGTGGTAGTACAGTTTGAATAAACAACAACAATTACATATATAACACATTACCACAAGAGGTCTCAATGTCAATCTCATCAATTGATAATTTTAGTATTATAGATTTAATATAATATCAGTAATATATTAGTTTGATCAGAAATATCTGTGTTTCCACCCGATCATGCTAGTGACTTTAGGTTTTAATAATAGTATTAGTAGTAGTTGTTGTTGTTATTGTGTTGAATGAATGAATCAATCAATAATAAATTAAAATGTACTTTTAAAAAATATCATCATCATCATCATCAAGCAACAACAAACAAACTAGAAAGAACCCATCATTAAATTAAACAGTGTTTTTCAAGATTTTTTTAATCTTGCTTCACATTAATCATTCCAACCAACTTGTATTTACTTTTCTTTCTAGTTTGTCAATGTTGTCTCTCCATTAATAATTTAATTTTTATTTAATATCTTTTAGTTTTGCAGGATCAACTCTTGTAATGATGTCGGTCACCACTCTTTGACATATAATAATAACTTGGACCTTCTTTCACTCACTTTACTCCTCCACTCTCCTCTATCTCTCTTTTTTATTTCTCTCTCTTTATTTATTGTTGTTGCGTCACATTTTGCTAACGGCTTTTCTGCTGGCTGGCTGCTGGCTGACGATTTTTATTTGACGCGGAAACACCAAATGGTTCAACACTTCATTGTTCAAATTAAGCTTATTTGTTAAAGTCATTCTAATATCCGGTTTTAATATTTGTTTTTGTTTCGAATGATTGATACTAGAATCAATCTAATGATAGACCTCACTCTCACTGTCACGAAAAAACCAACCAACCAAATAAATCTGTCCATCCACCATCACCAAATCCGTCAACATCTTCACCAGTTCCAACAAAATTAACATTCAAAAACACCATAAATTATTTTTAAAAATATAATTAAGTGAATGAATTCATAAATCAGAAAATGAAAAATAATGTCCAATCATTTTTTTGTTATTTTATTTCCAATTGTTAGTTTTCCCTCTTACATTACTCTTTTAATTTTAACTTTTTTTTTTTTTTTTTTTTTCATAGTATTAGCTTCATAAACTAACCTACAATTATCTTTATTCTTTCTCTTTCTCTTTTTTTTTTTCAAACAGTTTGAACTACCAATCACAAATATTCGCCAACTACCACATTACAATCTGAATTGAATTTCAATTTTTAAATTATAAAATTTGTACAGTAATAAATAACACCTAACCAATTCACTTCAACAAAAAAATCAACATCTAAAATAATATATAACACAACAAAAATAATAATAATAACATAATAATTAATTACTAGTTGAAGATAATCTTTTTTTTTTTTTTTTTTTACTTACCAAATATAACAAAAGTAAAAAAAAAAAAAAACAATAGAAAAAATAGTAATAATAATATTATTATTATATATAAGATAGATAATGGCATCACCTTTATCTCCACCAAAAATCCAAACAGTCGCGACACCAAACATAATGTCGTATGATCATTATGTTAAAACACCTCATATTCAATTAAGTTATCAGAAATGGGGTGAAATTAAAAGATATTCACAGATAATACACGAGTTTGCAACAGATGCACCAAATCATCCACTATCAAATGCTTTATTTTCAGATCTGTATAATATATCAAGAGTATTAGTGGAAGTTATCGATAATTTATATATAGAATCTCATACAAGAGAAAGTTTAGAGGTATGATAATTAAAGATTATCAATTGGAATAATAATAATAATAATATGTTTTTTTTATAGTTTAATAATTTTAGTCATCAATTGGCAAATGGACAAATGGTATACAAGAATCAAACAGTTCCAACGGATGCAATGATGATCGATACAAAAAAACCTCAACATATTATACCACAAACAGGTTATTATCCATACGAATATATGGGATATTATTTACAACAACAACAACAACAACAAGCTACAATGCCACAAACAGCCAACTCTATAGCTTCACCACAAATCATTCCACTGGCTGGCCAAATTCCTCAACTTTCATCTTCAGGCTCGTCTATTGTGACTGTTCAACAACAGTTACCAAGACAAGCCAATGGAACTCCATCACAACCACTGACGCCACCCCAAAAAGTAATGAATGCCTCATCTAATGGCGTAATTGCAACGAATATGCCATCAGTGGCAGCAGCAGCACAGAAATCAGGCTCAAACTCACCACCCACCAACACCACCATACCCAAAACTAAATCTGGCAACAAACAAAACGTTTCAACAGTGTCCACAACAGCAGCGGCATCGACAACAACAACATCATCATCAGCAACACCAACCAACTCCACCAACACATCAAAGAACTTTACTGGCGAGGTATTCTTTGATGACATTTTGCATGACAAACCAAGAAGAAGAAGAAGAACTGTTTACTCTGCCAAGAGGAATCTGCGATGTCATTTCTGTCATGTCACAGAGACACCAGAGTGGCGAAGAGGTCCAGACGGTGACCACACTCTATGTAATGCATGTGGTCTGCACTATGCCAAGACACTGAAAAAGAAAAACAAAGACGATCAAGAAGAAAAAGAAAGAAAAGAGAGAGAAGAAAAGGAAGAGAAAGAACGAAAAGAAAGAGAAGAAAAAGATCGAAAGGAAAAAGAGGAAAAAGAAAAACAAACTGAAAAAGATACAAGAAAACATAGTATTGATTTTGTAATTGAAGCAACATAAAACAAGTTAATTAAATTAATAATATATATATATATAAATAATTTAAAATATATTATATTTTTGGTTTTTTTTTTATTATTTAAATTAAATAATTCATTAACATCTTTTTTTTTTTAAATTTTTATTTTTCAATGGGAAATCAATCAGTCGATCGATCTATTTTAAAAAAAACAAACAAAAACTATAATTGGTTTTTAGTTTTTATTTTATTTTTATTCATATTGTTGTATTATATTTTTATTATATTTTCAAGTGTATTATTATTATATTTTTAATATTATTATTAATATTTATATATTTAGTGTAGTTTTTAAAGTTTAAATTTAGAAAAAAAAAGAGAGGTGATTAAATTGATCAATCATTCAAATCATGGTTAGATTATTTGGAAACTCAAAATGTAGGATAGGATAATCATTGTTATTAGATTATTATGTAACTGATTATTTTTTATTTAAAATCAATTTAAATTATAATTATTATTATAGCGAATGATATAGATATCAGTCGACCAAATCAAATGACACATAAACTTCATTTGGATGGTGATCTAAATTGGAAGTCACCTGAATCATTCAAGTTTGAAGAGATGTTGGGTGAAGGTTCATTTGGAACTGTCTATAAAGCGGTGCAGAAAGACACAGGATCAACTCTAGCAATAAAAGTGTTCACCTCGAAAGAAGAGACGACAATGATCAAGCGAGAGATTGAGATTCTAAAGAAATGCAAGAATAGACACATCGTTAGCTACTTTGGAAGTTGTAGTCCACGCCCCGATGAACTGTGGATTCTCATGGATTTCTGCGGACTCGGCTCGGTCTCTGACATTATGAAATCACTCAATAGAACACTGAAAGAACGTGAGATTGCACTGATTTGCAAACAAGCTCTCGATGGATTGATCTATCTACACAACAATCATATCATTCATCGTGATGTGAAGGGTGCAAACATCTTACTGGCTGAGGATGGCACCGTTAGAATCGGTGACTTTGGTGTATCGTCACAGATTATCTCCACCTTTTGTAAAGGATCGATTGCAGGTACTCCCTACTGGATGGCTCCGGAAATATTGAAACAAGATGCCTACTCTAGTAAAGTTGATATTTGGTCACTTGGAATAACAGCTATCGAATTGGCTGAAGGTGAACCACCGTATGTATAAATATAATAATAATAATAATAATCATATAAGTGGTGGTGATATCTAATTATATATATCTATCTATTATTATTTAAACTTAGTTTATATGATGTTAATCCAATGAAAGCAATGTTTATGGTACAAAGAAGAGCACCACCAACATTAAATGACCCAAAGAAGTGGAGTAAGGAGTTTGTATCATTTCTTGAATGTTGTTTGGTTAAGGAGATCGATAAGAGAGCTTCACCAGAAACTTTAATGGAACATCCATTCATTCAATCTGCAAAACCAGATGCTCTCAAAGATCTAGTTGCAACAGCGATTAAAAATAGAAAAAGAGTAAGTGTGAATAAACATTATATTATAATATTAAAAGAGATATTTATACTCATTATTTGTTTGTTTATTTGTTTATTTATTTCTATAGAAATCAAAAAATCAAAAACCAATAACAGAGGAAGAGATCGATATGTTGTCTGGACCAATAACATCATCTGCCACTGTAATTCTAGATGATGATGATGATAGCAGTGTAACAAAGCCAAAGAATAATGAAAGTGGATCGATAATATATAATAATGAATCATCTAGATTTAAACCAAGTATGATTAGCAATAACAATGGCAATGGCAATGGTAAAGATAGTAATGAGAGTGGATCGATTATATATCACGATCCAACCGATACATCGAATGGTAGATCACAATTCACAATGGGAACAATGAAAAGAAAACAACAAACAATGGCATCAGACGATACTAGAAATGCCAGCAACACTGTGATAATCAACAAAACCATTAGACAATCAGTGCTGTTTGAAAAAGGAACACTGTTGGCTGAAACACTCAAAGAATATACGCACACATTAAACGAAAAGACAAACACACAAATAGATAAAGTCCCAGTAGTAAAGAATTTGAATAACATTCAAAGACAGTAAGTTGATCAACATTAAACTAAATTAATTAACAATTACTAATTATTCGTTCGTTTCATCAAACACAATTTCTATTAATTAGGATAATGATATTTAGTATTGTATTTTTAATATTGTTTGTAATTATAACAGTTATCAGGAAATTGATCACACCTACTCCACCAAAACCAATAAACACACCAAAAGATGTAAGTATAAACAATTTATTTTAACAAAAAGTTAATTACTATATAATAATAATAATAATAATAATCGAATTATTAACTTTTTACTTCTTTTCTTCATTTTCCTTTTGTTCTTCTTTTTTCTCTTCCTCTTCTTCTTCTTCTTCTTCTTCTTCACTCTGACTCTTTACCAAACCCATTAAATTGAATCTAATTTCCTCAGGATTTTCTTCAATCATTTTTTGAAGGACTTTAGATACGTCCTCCAAGAATGTAGCTTCGGTAGTGGTCGAATGATTGATTGGGAATGGTTTTCTGCCATCCAATTCATATAAATGTCCATCAACCTATTAATTTTAGGATTGAAATCAATTTAGATTTGGAAATATAATAAAATAAAAAGAGAATTTAATTAAATTAATAAATAAAAATAAAAAAAAAACAAAATATATATAAATAGATTAATCTTTTGTCTTGTCTTACATTTACAAATGAAACAAAATGTAAAATTACAGGCTCATCTTCATCTGGAACACTACTTTGACCTTGGAGAGCAGAGATTTCATGTGATTTCTCAATCTCTGTGTTGAGTGCCAGTGCTGTGGCACGTTGCTCTACATTGAGATTGGTGGTGGTATTCAAAAAGTTCTTAAAGAATCCATCTTTGAATTTGATGACATTTGCATTGTTGAGAACCGAATGAACTACACCGATCGTTCCACAGGCATTTCCGATGTATTGTTTCATAAAATATACTTTATCACTAACTATTTGTCCTTTACTTTTGATGTCATCTTCCAATTTATATCTTTGTTGTTCGTACTATTATTAATAGTAAGAGATAAAGTAAGTAAATCAAATTAAAATCAAAAAGAAAAAGTTGATAATCTATAACATACGCTGTTGGTGATTGGGAATAACAACAATACAGCAATACAAGGCTTTGGAACCATATCTAATAGCTCTGAATCAATACCATAGATGTCACAGAACTCCCATTCCTCTGGTACACCAAGATTCTGCATGAATGAAGTCAATACCTCTGGATTAGCTTCCAAAGGTACCCAATTCTTTTGAGTCTCGTAGAGTTCTTTATTTTCATGTGGTTGATGATCTGATGAGGTTTGTTGTTGTGATGATGTTGTTGAATCTGACATTTTGTTTTAATCTAATTATACCTAATTATTACTATTACCTTATTTATACTTATATATATTCTATCTATCTATTATAATATTTATTGATAAAGATTGTATTTATTTTGGTTACAAAAATAAAATAAATTAAAAAAATATCACAATTTCAATCAAATTGTTGTGAATTTAATTAAAAAAATAAAATTTGAGAAATTTGTTGGTTATTTTTTTATTGATGTTCAAAAGTTGTATGTAAAATATTATAGTTGACTCCCATGCCAGGTATTGGTTTTAAACTGATGCTGTTGATACCATTTAATTCTACTTCCTCTCTACTCTGATTCACCCAAACCGGTTTGTAATTACTATTGTTTCCACTGTTTCTATTATTATTATTATTACCTGGTGGATGCAGAGGATCTATATTCAATTGATCTGCATTGTCAGATACAAGTGAATCTTTTACATTCGATAGTTGATAAATATTTATTTGAAACTTATTATCTAGAATTAAAAATGTAATAAAATAAAAAGTTATTGTCAAATTTTGTTTAATATTATTAAAAGAGTTAGTTTTTATCTAAATGTAAACATACTGTTACCAATAACTTTAGGTAAAAATGCTTCAGATGTCAACAATCGATTTAAATAAGATCTAAACGAATCTTCAATATCAACTATATTTGGTCTACTTATCTGTTGTTGTTGCTGTTGTTGTTGTTGTTGTTGTTGCTTTGCTGGTTGCTTATTTATTGTAGGTGGTTGTTGTTGTTGTTGTTTATCAATGTTTGCTATTAAATTAAAATAATAATCTTTTGGATCATTGTTATTGTCAATTTGACTATTATCATCTATTACCATAAAGTTATTAAATGTAATATTGCTGTTGTTATTATTAATATTATTATTGTTATTGTTATTGCTATTATTATTATTATCTTGTTGTTTATTTAGTTGGAATACAAATCTCTCTATAGGTCTATCAAACTCATTCAGAATGGATAAAACAACTTTCTCTATAGTACCTTTGATAAGATGAGGTTTTAGACTATCTAATGTTACACCTATATAGTTTTTTAACTGTAAAGATCGACAAGAAGGTACTGCAATTCCATATCTTAATGCTCTTTCAAACAGAGCTATATAATCATTTAATTAATATCACATCTCCATAAGATATAAACAAACAAATTAATAAAAAAAAAAACAAAAAAAAAAAACAAAAAAGTATTTACAAGTATCATAAACCTTTCTTATATAAAGAATTGTGTGAAAAGATATCTCTAGAAACTCCAATAATAAATCTATATAATCTATATTGTAATTATTATTATTCATATCAATTGACAAGATAAATAAATTTCTATTTAAATAATAATAAAGAAAATCGTAAAAAAACCTTTGAAGTTTTTTTTTTTTAGTTTTTGATGTTTTTTTTTTAAGAAACAAATTTCTTTCTATCTGCAAAGGTAATACATATTTCTTGTGATCATATTCAAAACCCCATTAATAGGTTAAGATTATAATCTTGTAAACATTAAAATTTTCAATTCAGATGAATCAAGAGTTGACCGAACTGTCATCTGATGTTGTCATTTATTTGAAAAAATCTTTTACTTCATCGTCATCAATATAATATTCAAACAAAACATATGTGATGAAAAGTGATCAAAGTGCAGTTCATAAGTGATTTGCGATTCAAGAAACAAAAAAACGTGACTGAAATTTTCCACGGTTCAAAAAAGGGTTTCCTTCACTTAAAAACCGTGAACTCAATCAAAATCCTCTAAATTGAGAAAAAAAAAACCGTGGCATGAGTTTAAAGTGTTGAAAAAATATGAAAACATGTTGTCACATTGAAAATTTTGTTAAGAATCTTTCTCCAACCATCCACATTTTGTTGATTTTTTACAATTCACAAATAAACAATAAATTCTACACAAACAACAACAACAAGTGGGAATCAGATTTATTTTATTTTTATATAAATTTTGTTATGCCCCATCCCTACTCGTCTGTGATGGCGGTGTAATAAACCACTCTTATCACCATCTCTCATTGTATGTTAATGTTCATATTGATAATATCAATAATTCTTTCTTAAAACCACGTCCACATTATTTATTTTCCTAACAATTGGAATCAAATCATATTATGCGAAGTGTCGTATTGTTGTTGGAAGTTGGGCACTCTTATTTGCCCAAACCATCCAAATACTTGACTTGTGAATGGTTGAGGTAAATCAACTTGGGGTGATCTTTTATGGATGGTTTTTATTTAAAACCTCATTGCGCAATCCAATGAAATTTTATAATTAACTAATAACAATATTAATAATTTATAAGTAATCATATTTTTGTGGTTCGTTTCGAGCCTATCACCCAGTGTTCATTGTCAATATTATGACTACAAAAACTTAGAAAAATAATTTTCGAAAAATTTTAAAAAAAACAAAAAAAAAAAAAAAAGAAAACCGCTAAAAATTGTTTTATTTTTTTTTCCTTTTATGTTTATGGTGTAACTTATGTCTTACTACCCCCTTTTTTTTTTTTTTTTTTTTAAATCAAAAAAAAAATTAAACACACACAAACAAATTCATTCCAACGTCTTTACGCCACTTTTTCCAAAATTAGTCATAGTCGAGGCTTGATCTGTCAATTGAGAGCCTATTTTTAGAGTAACCACCACTATTTCAGTGCAGATGATGGTAAAAATCGAGATAGAAATTTCTATATTCTGTTGTAGAGTGGCGGTTTTAAAAACACGAGAAGTGTGTTTATGTGGTGTTGCCTAGATTGAGGGGGTGTTTATATGGTTCTCAGGGTATTTGAATTTCTCCTAGATCTTTTTATTCCAAAAACAAAAAAAAAAAAAAGTTTAGTTTGTCTACCAATATCAATAACAATTTTTTTTTATTTTTTTGATAATTAATTATCCTCACCACAATGTGTTGCGCTTGGTTGTTTTTTAAACAACATAACACTACAATTGTAGAAATAGTAGTGGTGGTTAGTATTAGCTAAAAACGCTATTGCGCAAATTGACAAGCTTTCGACCAGCATCAGCAGCCTATTAGCTAGTTATCGTCGAAATAATTATTGTTTCTCAAAAAACAAATTAACAACTGTAGAGTAGTAGGGCGTGGTCTATTGGTCAAAAAAAACCATTGCATTGTCTTATTAGTCGTTTTAAAGATCCTTTTACTCAACACCAGACCACTAGTTGTCTTTATTTGTTATACTACTACAATTACAATAAATACACTATACACATATCATATCATTATTTATATATCTGTAGATATTTCATAGACCGGCAGTACCAGGCAGACATTTCCTCCTACTCCTAAAATCAATCTATAAAGCGCAACCACCATCACAACCACGCCCATCTCTACCAATACCACCAACACAACTTTCGACCACCACACATCCCAAAACAAACTAGTTTCTTAGGCAACAATAACAACAACTAAAAAAAAAAACAAAACAATATTTTTTTTTAAACACAATCAAATTCACATCCTAAACCACTACCGCACCTTGTCGACCATCTTGTTACTATTATTATTTTATTGTTGTCTTTTAGAAAAGCACCGAATCATAGACATCGTCATCAAACTCATTTGTACACTACAACACAACTGCCTCTCCAAATATAAAACAACCAGAATCTTTAAAAAATAAAAATTAAATCAATTCACAATTAATCAAACCATCGACCAACACTCTCACCATTCCCAAACCCAATTCCAACCTGTATTCATTCAAATCAAACCAACACAATACCCAGATCTCGAAATCATAGAAAAACACAACAAACACACGGATATATAACTTTTACATATTTATATAAATAATAATAATAATAATATAATTTTATCAACAAAACAACACAGTACATTGTTTCACCAAAGTCACCAACAAACATCACCGACACTCAACAACAACAACAACAAATCAAACAACAAATCAACAACTCAACTAAACCGAACCACACCAAAACCATTCACTAAAATCGTTTAAACTAGAATTATAATTAAAACCCAATCAATCATATAATCTTTAAATGATACAATAGCTCATATTATATTTTGTAAACTATTTATTTATTTAAACAACACGAAATTTCACAATGTATCCGCATCGACTCCACAACACCAACTATCTCTCCTATTTAATTAGAAAATACAATGGCGAACATGTAACAATTCTACATGTAGAGATTCCGGAACGTGCAGAAATGGATTCAATTTCATCATTTGAGAGTAAGTTGATCAACTACTACAAATATATTTATATATAATTTGAAATAAAAATAAATATTAATAATATTTATTTAATATTAGATGGAGAATTTCATTTTGTAAGAAGAAAAACAGATAATAATAAAAACAATAAAATAAGAAAAAATATTCAAGGAAACTCTTGGAAGCAGAATGGATCAGAAACTAAAATCAAAGCACCCGGTACCGAAAAGGTTATCGGTATCAAGCGAACCCTCACTCTCCAAGACAAAAAGCGAGATTTCAAATTGTGGGAATTCACACTGGCCGACTCCAACGGAGAAGAGATCAAGAGTCTGATGTTGCGCCAATTCCTGAGGGATACCAAAGAGAACGACCAAAAGAAAACCTACCCAGATCCCGACAACAATATGATATATTCAACACCCGAAGACTATCATAACAACAATAACAATAAGAAGGTCGCTGGCAATGCTTTTGGGAATACTCAGCAACTCACATCAAGTGGCCGAGCCGAAAGTGCCTCACTACCAAACATAATGCATCTCAACACCCACAATTTCTCAAATACACACACGATGAGTAATCCTTCTCATCATCATCAGCTTTTCTATCACCAGATTTCGTCTTCTGCGCCATCGTCATCTTCATCCTCTCCGGTACCACCACCTCATCATGGTCATCATCAACATCACTCTCTGCCACACATAGATTATGCCAACTATAGTAACAATAGCAATTTTCATCCACTTGGAAACATTCACTATCAGAATCGCAATGATTCTGGATTACCCAATCCACCTGTAAATCCCAATTCCGTCGTTCCTACAAACTATACATTTGGGAATAACTCCAACTACTCTGCCAACAGAGCTCAACCCACTGGTTTTCATAGTTTAATCTCCGAACCATTGAGTCAATATCCTCACATTCAACATCACTTCTCACCACCTCAACATCCTCAAAGTGGTTATGAAAACAATCCATCATTCCAAGCACAATCAGCTTACCAAAATCAAATTCATAACAAATCAATGTATCATCCTCAATTCATGTTACAACAATCTCGCGAAGATCAACAACAACAACACCAACAGCAACAACAACAACAACAACAATATAGAAATGTACATATTCAACAACATCACAACAATAGTAATTCCTCACTCAACCAATTCAATTATCCATATCAACAAGGTACATTATCACCCCCTGCAACATCATCTTCATCGTCCGTATCATCGTCATCTTCTTCTTCTTCTTCCAACTCTTCAATTGGACATCCATCAAGTATTCCAATTGGAAATCTAACCTCTTCATCGAATAGTGGCTATGGAATATCCAATAGCAACAACAACAACGATTTATCTCTACCGAGAATCTTTAATGGTGCATCTGTTCCTCACAACACAGGTAACCATCAACCAACTATGTTCCCACCACTTCCAACCGGTTCGCAATCAAAACACACTCCCAAGAAGCATCGTTCTGATTCCGAACAATATTCGAGCTCGTCATCATCATCCTCTGCATCATCTTTTGACAATAGCACATCATCTGCTCCGTCAAACTTTCATCTCGCTCCGCCATTCCAATCTGGATCGGCATCAATCATTCATAACATGTTAGGTTCATCCTCAAACACTCCATCACCATCTTCGCCAATCATCACCTACAAGAAGCCGCCTTCACCACCATCACCACCATTCAACAAACAATCTATGCACAATCATCACAGTCCCATCACCACCACCACTACAACCACCACAACCACAACCACCGGTGCATCTTCACCCGCTGGCAACAAACAAATCAAAAGAAAAGAAAATTTCGACAAGTTAGACTTTGCCTAAATTTATAACTTGACGCGCTAAATCTTTCTTTTCCTAAAAATATTTATTAACCATATATTAATTAATAAATATCAATCATTCAGTACACAACTTTATTCAATAGATATATTCGACACAATAACAACCAACCAACCAACCAACAAATTATATATTATTTCACAGAATCCACAGAATCAACCAATCAACCAAAAAAAATTATAAATAAAATTGTATTATATTATTTATATTAAAAAAATAGCTATTAATTTACAAATTGCTTTATTTATTGAGTCGTTTAATTAAGTGATTGAATTATTTAAATTACTTATTCAATGTTATCTTTGATAACTGGTTTCTCACTGATGCAACCACATTTCTTGCAGGTTCTGAGTGGTTCTTCTTCGTAGAATCTCAAGATGATTGGTTTCAATTCTTTACCTAGGTCCAATCCTTTTACGTTGAATGACTCTTCAAAGAGCTTCTCTTTGCAGCCTTGACAGAACCAACAGAGACGATCAATAGATTGAGCATTACGTTTTTGTTCAATTACCAAACCAACTGTATCCTTGAAACGTTGTGGTGAATGTGGTGTATTACCTGGTAACAAGAAACATTCACCTTCACGAATTCTTACATCTTTAAACTGACCATCACTCTTATCGACAATCTTTAATATCATATCACCTTTGAATTGATAAAAGAATTCCTAAACAACAATATATAATATTAAAATTTATACGATGATAGGCAATTGTAAGATATATATTATAATATAGATTTACTTACATCAGTTTGATTGATATGATAATCTGTTCTTTGGTTTGGACCACCAACAATCATAATGACAAAAGTAGAATCAGGGTCATCATATATTAACTTTGCATTTACGGGTGGTTCTAAAAGATGTTTGTGCTCTTCAACCCACTATTTGTTGAATTAGTAAACTTTTATCAACAACTATACTATTACTAATAACAATATTAATATTTACCTTGTTAATATTTAAAGGAGGTAACATTTTTCTTTTTGATTTAATATAAATAATGAAATTTCATTCAACACAAAAATTTTAATGTTTAAAACAATTAAAATTTTATGTAAAAATTTAAAAAAATTAAAAACAAAATGACAGTATACTGTGAAGTTATATGAAGTTTAGTATCGGAAAAGGAATTCTATTGATATCTAATAATATTTTTACTAAGTACCATTTAAAGAAATATTTTTAAAAGTGATAATAGAAAAGATATTATATATAATTTATTTATTTGATAATAAATTATTCATTTGTTTTTTTTTTTGAATATTTTCAGGATGAATCAAATTTTGTCATATAATCAAGAAGAACATTAAAATTTGGTACACCCAAACCTGTCACTGGATCCCATCCGTCAGATGATTTAAATCCTTTACAACAATGAAATTCATTCGATCCAGTTTTAATATCTAAATTGTAAAATTGGTTAGTTTAGATAGTTCTTTTTATTTTTTTGGAGTTAATATTAATATTTACCATAAAATGATTCTGGATTTTCTTTAGCAATTTTATATAATAATGGATTAACAAATCCAATGGTTGGTTGATCTAAACTTAATCTTTTACCTAGGATAAAAAATTTTAACATTATGTTCTAATTTTTACAGTTTTTAATAAACCTACTGTTAATATTTGATAAAAGACCTGCAATGATTGGAGCAGAAGCAGAAGTACCTCCAATTGACATTAAACGACCACGATGAGCTATAATTAAGCTTTCAGAGAATGATGAAACATCAGGATATGCTCTTCCAGACGAGTTAAACAATTTTTCAAAACTTTTATCTACTTTTTTTGAAAGGTAATTTGAAACAACATCTTCTTGGTATCTAGATTAGAAAATAATATTAACTATTAATAATTGATCGTTTTTTAATTAACTTATTCATACTGTGGTCTTGGGAAATAATTTGAAAATCCACCTCCAGAGATAACATCACCATTCATGTTGGTTCCATCCCAATCTACACCCCCAACCGAGAGAACGAATCTTGATGATGCAGGCCATCCTGGAACATGTGAATCACAGGAGCTTGTACATCCTACACCAGAGTCACCAGAGGAAAATACCATAGTTCTTCCCATTGCAGCATACTTTTGGAATTCAATGTCAACTCTATCGGTATAAGCCTTTTCAATTGAACTTTCATCGTCCCCGTAGGATATACTGTGGACATACGGTAAATCTGGGTTCGATGACATATCTACCAACCAATCCAAGAATGGCTCCTGTCCTTCGTGTAATCCACCAGTCGATACTATCCAAGTGCTTACATTGGGTGCCATCGCAGTGATATACTGAATATCGAGTGCTGTCTCCATTCCAGGTTCGGTCTCTCTGTTTGGACCACGGATAGTTGTGATTGCTTTTTGATCCAAACGATAGTGTTGCTGGAACAAATCCAAATCGGATTGGCTGAAATACTCCTCCAAGAACTGTGCAATAGCCTGTGAGTTTGCTGCATGTGCCGGAACTATCGATGCATTCATAACCTTTCTTACCAGGTACGGACTCACATAGTTTAGTTCCTTCTTTATATTCTCCATTTTATTTAGTCTCGCAACCAAAGGGAAATGATTGACTCCGCCAATGAAATCGATATGATCCTCAAGCTCCCAGGGTACAGAATATGGATCGAGAGAACGGATCAGTATTCGACCTGACTCCTCATGGGTGAATCTCTGATACTCTACTTTCAATAGATCCTGTGCTTTCAAGACATTGACTTTTCCTTTTATAAAATCACCACTACCAGACAGTCTGAAATTATCAATTCCATTATTCTCCAACCAATTCGATACAATTCTAACACTTTCCTCCGAAGGTTCAACAATTGACTTCACTTGATTGAAATTAAGATATTTTCCATAATTTGGATGTTTAACATCACTTACTTCCCATACTATTTTCTCTATATTAGTTTATAATTAACTATTAGAAACTATTTAAAATAATATTTTTTTATATTTTAAAAGAATCACTTTACCCAAAGTATTTAAATTTCTTTGCTTTATACCAATAGTAAGTTCAATTTCAGTTTCTTGAATATTATCGATTCTTTTTCCAACCCATTGGCTTGGATTTATAGAGATTGGTTTGGTATGCTCGACATACTTTCTTCTTGGTAAGAGTGGTGGAGCTGGTACGAAATCTGACGAATAAACGTAATCTATTATAGAAATTGAAAACACCAAGAGCAATACTATTCTAAAACTATTTAATTGCATATTTCACTATAATTTAGTTTACATCTAAACACATTTAATTTATATCTTTCCAATCCAATTCATTTTCATTACTTTCATATTCAATTAAAAAAATATATATTAAAAATAATTGATAATATGAAAACAATAAATAATCAACTGATAACATGGGTATGAGTGAAACGAATATATATAAAATCATTGAAACAAAAGTATGTTACTATTGCAAAAATCTCAATCCAACCAACCACTCTTGTTTTTTGTTTTGAACTCACCAAATTTTATCATATCACACAAAAGGTATCTTTATCTTTGGGTATAATTAAAATTTTCATTATTACACACATATATTACTTATATTTATTTATTAAATATAAATGTGAAATGAAATGAATAAACCAAATTAAATTAATCAGCAATCAAACAACACAACGAATACACAGCTAATGATTATGATGAATGAAAAAACAACACTTTACTAATCAATGTTTGCACATATTATTTTTTTAATTTCCAACGACATGTGATCAATAATCAGAAAAAACAAAAACACCAGGATCTCAGCTGTCAAGCCATTTCCAATAGTTGGCTGAGTATGATGTTTGGGGGTGTCATTAATGTTCATCAACAACACAAAATAAAATTGTAGAAGTTCGGTGATTTAAATTGTTTGGAAAGAAATGAGTTTTGAATTTTTTTTTCTTTTTGTTTTTTTTTCTTTTTCGATTTTTTTTATTTTTTTTTTTTGTATTTTATTTTTTTTGTTTTATTTTTTTTAATTTTTTTTATGCCTTGTTGCAATCAGCATTAAGAAAATCCACTCATTTCAGTTCTTCACCCTTTTACACACTCATAATTTCAACACTCACATAGAAAGACAGTGACGACCACTCAGGGTGATTGTGATCTTCTTTTTTCTTTTTATCTCTATTATATATATTAACTATTAGATTTTATAAATCATAAAGGTATTTATTATTATTTAATAATAAAATAAAAATCAAATCAATCAAATCAAATAAATAGATAGCAATCAAAGAGATAAAAAAAATAAAATAAAAATAAGATTTAAAAATATATTTTTAGCATTTGGATAGATCAATTAAAAGAAAAAGATAGAAAAAAAAAAAGGACAATAGATAGAAAGAATAGATAAACAGATTTTGATTGCTATTGATTTGATAAAAAAATAGATAGTAAACAATTTTATTAACTTTTCAAATTCTTATTGTTTAATCTCAATCACAGTAATGTTTGTTGCCAGAAGAGTTGGAAACAAAGTAAACAGCCTCAGATTGGCCAAGAACGCCACTGGTGTCGTTAGTGCCAACGTCGTCCCAAAGAGAGGTATGTGTTTAAATTAAACTACTACTACTATGCTACAAACAAACAATCAATCAACATCAACATAAGAGTTTCAACTTCACAACATATCAATCAAGTTATGAAAGACCATCATATTACAGCTTTAGTGCGATTCAATTTTTTTTTATATTGCCAAAAAAAAAAAAAAAGATATATCAGTAATCATCACAGGTGAAAAAAAAATTGAAAAAAAAAAAAAATCAGTTCAGAAAAAAAAAATGTCGAAAAAAAAAAAATTCATAAAATGTAACACGACCTGAACAGTTCAACTTCAAAATAATAATATAATTGGATTGGTTGTTGAAGTTGATTAAAATATGATTAATAATAATAATGATGATTGATCAATTAGTAGTAGCAAAAATTTAATAATTATAAATAATTCATATATTAATTAAAAACAAAAAAAAACAATTGAATTTTCATAATATAATAGGTTACTTAAAGTCAAACAAGGCTACCTTTGCTGCCGTCCAAAGCTCAGAGCAAGCCTACCTTGATCAATTCAAGGCCGAGTTTGATGCCATCCCAGAAGACAACTCTGATGATGTCAACCTTGAGAAGCTCACTGAAATGCAAGGTGTTGTACATCAAGTAATTGGTGCCGTAGTTGATGTCTACTTCCCACACGGAAAGTTGCCATTGATTTACGATGCCTTGGTCGTAGAGAATTTCCAAGCTGAGAACGTCGAAAAGGTAATTGAAGACTTGAACAATCCAGCTTTGGAGGGTAAGCTCGATATGCAAAGTGTACCAATCTCACACATCAAGTTGGTACTCGAAGTCGCTCAACATTTGGGTGATGGTGTCGTCCGTTGTGTCGCCTTGGAAATTACTGACGGTTTGTCCCGTGGTACTGTCGTCCAAAACACTGGTGCTCCATTGAAGGTTCCAGTCGGTCGTCCAACTCTTGGTCGTATCATGAACGTCACTGGTGAGCCAATCGACGGTTGCGGTCCAATCAAGGCTTCCGAGAGACTCCCAATTTGGCGTGAACCACCCAAGTTTGATGAGTTGGCTCCATCCGCCGAGATTTTGGTCACCGGTATCAAGGTTATTGATTTGTTGACCCCATACGCTAAGGGTGGTAAGATTGGTTTGTTCGGTGGTGCTGGTGTCGGTAAGACTGTGTTGATTCAAGAGTTGATTAACAACGTTGCCAAGTCCCATGGTGGTTTCTCTGTATTCACTGGTGTCGGTGAGCGTACTCGTGAGGGTAACGATTTGTACCACGAGATGGTTACCGCCGGTGTCATCAAGTTACAAGGTTCCGGTGAGACCTTCTCCACCGAGGGATCCAAGGTATCTTTGGTGTTCGGTCAAATGAATGAACCACCAGGTGCTCGTGCTCGTGTCACCTTGACTGGTTTGACTGTCGCCGAGTATTTCCGTGACGCTGAGAATCAAGATGTATTGTTGTTCATTGATAACATTTTCCGTTTCACCCAAGCCGGTTCTGAAATGTCTGCCCTTTTGGGTCGTATTCCATCCGCCGTAGGTTACCAACCAACTTTGGCCACTGATATGGGTAGTATGCAAGAACGTATTACCACCACCAAGAACGGTTCCATCACTTCCGTACAAGCCGTATACGTACCAGCTGACGATCTTACTGATCCAGCCCCAGCCACTACATTTGCACATTTGGACGCCACCACTGTGTTGTCTCGTGCCGTCTCTGAGTTGGGTATCTATCCAGCCGTAGATCCATTGGACTCTACCTCTTTGATGTTGGATCCAAACATCATCGGTGAGGAGCATTACAAGACTGCCACCGACGTACAAAAGATTTTGCAAGAGTACAAGGGTCTCCAAGATATCATTGCCATTTTGGGTATGGACGATTTGTCTGAGGAGCAAAAGACCACTGTATACCGTGCCCGTAAGATTCAACGTTTCTTGTCGCAACCATTCGAAGTCGCTGAGGCTTTCACCAACATGAAGGGTGCCTTGGTACCATTGAAGGACACCATTGCCGGTTTCAGAGATATCTTGTCCGGTCAATACGATCACTTGCCAGAGAATGCCTTCTACATGGTCGGTAACATCAAGGAAGCCGAAGAGAAGGCCAAGCAACTTTTGGCTTCCGCCGAGGGTGAAACCAAGAAGGAGACCAAGAAGGTTGACGGTACCGTCGATAACTCCAAGAGAGAGTCTACCCGTGACAAGATCAAGCGTCTCTCTGAGGAAGCCTACGCTGCCAAGGTTGCCCAAATGAAGAAATATAACGTTGACACCAAGGAAATCGAAGCCCTCAAGGCTGAATTTGACAAGACTTTTGATAAGGAAGTTGCCGAGATTGAAAAGGTCTTTGGAAAGTAAATCGATCCTCAATCATCATCCTTTTAATTAATTAATTTATCAACAACATCACATCACCAAATATTCACCAAATCATCACTATAAAACCTTAATAAGATCGATTAACATGATAATAATAATAATATGATATTTTAGTAAGCGATATAATTCATTTATTTCTTTACAAAAAACAACTACAACAAAAAAAAATCTAAAAAAACATTTAAATATATAAAAACATCATCATTTTTTAACAAATAAATGATTATATTAATTGTAACTTAAGTTAAATATACAAAAAAGCAAACTATATTCTTTTTATTTTCTTTTATTTTGATAATCAATTCTTTGTTACTTCAGAATCATGTAAAAGAATAAAGAGCAAATTCTCTTTACATCGCTCTGTTACTCTTTATTGTTAGTGACTCTTTTGGGATTCGGCAAACTATTTAAAACAATGGATACAATATATATGGTCATTCATTCATTTGACCAATAACAATCATAAATCAAATAGTAATAATATTACTCTTGAGTCACTCTCTCTATAAATATCAAATAGATAATAATTATTTATTCAAAAATATCATTTTGCAGTCCATAAACTAAATTCATATATAAACTTTTAAAATCATGCAACCATTTAAATATCCTTTTGAAATGCCATTAAACTTTCAATATCCAGGTGCATCTGCAATTCATCCTCAAGCAACAACACCTCAAAGTATCAGACAAGAGTTGATTGTAAAGCAAAAAGCAAGAACTGTTCCAACACTTTTCAAACCAATACAATTAGAAACCAAACATTGAAGAACAGAGTCGTTGCTTCACCAATGTGTCAGTACTGTAGTGTCGATGGATTCATGGGGTGATTGGCGCCTGGTACACTATGGTACTTTTGCCAAAGGTGGCGTATCGATGGTTGTATTAGAAGCTACTGCCGTTGTACCAGAAGGTAGAATCACACCACATGATTCGGGTTTATGGAAAGATGAACAGATTGAACCATTAAAAAGAATAGTTGGTTTCGTACATCAATTTAATGCTGTAAGTATTTTCATAACTACTATACTTTTATCTCTCCAAATGATCAATTATCAATATTTATCTTAATCTATTTATAGTTCAAATTGGACATGCTGGTAGAAGAGCATCTACCGTTCCTTTGTATTTGGACAATGCCAAACATTATATTGGCGAGGAACAAGGTGTTTGGAGTCAAATCGATGCTCCATCACTGTTGTATGGACCAGAGATGATTGTGCCACCCGAACTTTCAGTGTTTGAGATCGAGTCGATCGTTCAATCATTCAAAGATACTGCGATCAGAGTTGAAAAGGCTGGATTCAACGCACTTGAAATTCACGGTGCCCATGGATATCTCATCAACTCATTCCTCTCACCACTTTCCAATCATAGAACCGATGAATACGGTGTCGATTTCGAAGGAAGAATTAAAATACTCAACGATATTGTAAAGGCAATCAGAACGGTATGGAGCAAGATTCTGATGGTGAGAATCAGTGCCGAAGAATGGATCGAAGGTGGATGGACACTGAACGACTCAATTCGACTCACCAAGATACTCAAGGAGTTGGATGTTGACATATTGGATGCATCATCCGGTGGAAACAGTGCGAATGCTAAAACACCATTCGGTCCGTTGTTCCAAGTTCCTCTGGCAGAAGCAATCAAAAGAGAAATACCAGATATAATCACCTCCACCGTTGGATCAATAAAAACAGTTGAACAAGCAATGTCCATCATTGACAATGATCGCGCCGACCTAATCATGTTGGCAAGACCACTATTGAGAGATCCATTCTGGGTATTACATTCGGCGGCAACCATCAAGTTGGATGTCGACCAAGCTCTCCAATATAATTTAGGTAAAGATTATATTTAAAAAAAAAAGCACATCTTCATTATATATAGTATAGTTATTTAAATAAAAAAAGAATGTTATTTTTAATATCAACTTTCATTTGACCAAAGTGAAATTAATTTATTATTGCAATAATAAAATGATTGATTGATGACAAAAAATGATGTTTTATAAATGTGTGTGAAATCGTAAAAATATTTATTAATGAAACGAAAAATCATTTTTTGATTAAAACCGATTGTTATATTTTCTGATTAACTCTCAGTAATATGTTACTGATTGAAAAATGAGTGATAATAATAAAAGTAGTAACAATGTTAATAATACAACTGTAAATAATAACTCAAACAGTAATCATAATATACATAATAGAATATCGAATGTTCAGAATAGCAATAAGACAATAAAACCACCAAAATCAGAGAAATCAAAGAATGCACTATTACATTTCGTAGCTGGAGGGTAAATATTAGTAGATGATTCTTTCTCTTTTTCGAAAAAAATAAACTATAGACACCTAACATCTTGATCTTCCAACTATTTAATCATATACATATATATATAGATTGGGTGGAGCAGCAGGAGTTGTCTGTACTTCACCTCTCGAGGTAATCAAGACACAATTACAGGGTGCAAGATCATCATTACTTTATATTGGTAAACCTAGATTCGTACCGACCACATTTTATTCATTATAGTATGTCATCATAAAATGTAATCATATCCGATTTCTTTAGATCTCTCATATTAATATTGGGAATTGAATCAATTCAGTAATTTAGTTTTAAGAGATGGAGCAAGAGGATTATTTAAAGGATTAGGACCACATTTGATTGGTGTCGCACCCGCTAGAGCAGTCCATTTTTCAACCTACAGTTTTACTAAATCGATATTGGAGAGGTTCGGAGTCAAGGAAGGACCTATTATGTATTGTACATCGGCTATCAGTGCCGGTTGTACTGTTGCTCTTGTTACAAGTCCCATTTGGTTGGTGAAAACAAGAATGCAATTACAGACATCATTAAAAAATTTCAATCAAGTAAGAAAGAGAAAAAAAAGAAAAAATATTGGAATCAGAACAGATCATTGACATTCATTATTTATATATTTTCAGGGAACCTATTATCATAATGCATTTCATTGTTGTTTAGCTGTAATCAGAGAGGAAGGTGTTTTTGGATTCTATAAAGGTTTGGGTGCATCGATCATCGGTGTATCAGAGTCTGCTTTCCAATTTGTTTTATACGAAGGTTTTAAAAAGAGAATCATTGAAGAGAAGAGAAAGAAATCACATAAATATCCAAATCCAAATGGTATGTTTAACTATTTTATATTATAGATAGGAAATTGACTTTTTTTTTTTTTTTTCTATTTGAATATAGAATTGACAACAATGGAATATTTGACGGCTGCTGGTGTAGCTAAATTGATTGCTGCAGTATCGACATATCCTCACGAGGTAGTGAGAACAAGACTGAGAGAAAACGTTGCACCTGGACATGTACCGAAATACACAAGCGTTTTACAAGCACTTTACTTAATTGGAAAGGAAGAAGGTGTGAGAGGATTGTTTGGTGGTGTCGGTGCTCACGTGCTAAGAGTAGTACCAAACTCTGCTATTATGTTTTTAACCTACGAGTTTGTTGTTGATATATGGTCATCGATGACAAGAGTATTCAGCACCAAATAATCAACAATCAACAAATTCTAAAAATAAAAAATAAAGATATAACTACTCAACTTATTTATATGAACAAAATTCAAACTTATCACTATTGATCTTAATAATTAATTCTCTTTCTATCTGTATGTTGGTTTGATCGTTATTATTGTTGTTCTTATAATTAATAAAAGTAGTCTGTTTTTAGATGATTGTTTTTTTTTTTTTCTAATATAAATTTATTTCTTTACACGCAAACAAACATAAATTTACTTGAGTGGGATGAAACGAGAAGAGTGAGTGGCACCAATACCTGGACGACCATGGTTAACAGTTTTGTAGGTCAAAGAGAATTCACCCAAGTAGTGTCCGATCATTTCTGGCTTGATTTCAACTTGGTTGAAAACCTTACCGTTGTAGATACCGACCATGGAACCAATCATTTCTGGGACGATCAAGATGTTACGAGCGTGGGTCTTGACCAACTTTGGCTTGTCACCAACTTGAGTAACACCAGCCTTCTGTTTAATTGAAAGAACTCTAGTTAAAATCAAACTCCTAAGTGCTATCTGTTGTGATGTGTTTAGATATACTTACAGCCTTTCTGCATTTCTTCAAGAAGGAAAGGTGCTTGATTGGGGTCTCACGATTTAACTTTCTACGTGCACGGCAACGGAATAATTCGGCCAATTTGTCCTCCTTGAGGTCCAAAAGGGACTCCAAAGCAACACCACCGTAGGAGAACTTCTTGAAGGTTCTCTTCTTAACTTGAGCCTAGATGAATAATAGATGTGATGTTAGATTCAACTATTCATCGAACAACTTAAAGGTATTGGGTTTAGAGGTAGTATCCCACATCATTCTATTTAACCACCAATCCATCAACTATCTCTGTATCTACTACTATCTATCATCTCTACTTCTATATAACCTCACTACCTATAAGATTTTCTAACATGTAAAACTACATACTTCAGCCATTATGTGGAACTATCGAAAAAAAGGAATGAGCAAAATCAGGAAGACAGCTATTTGAGTGGATACACACTACTCACACCACCATGCACTCCACCCACACCAAACCTGAGAAATTTTCAAAAAATTCATTAAAATCAAATTTCAAAAACTCAACGTTACTGAACTTTCGTTCGTTTTACATTGTTCACACAAATTTAATTTATTTTAATTTATTTTTAATTTTATTTATGTTAAAAATATAAGAATTAAAGATTGAGATAATGGGTATATAGATAATGGGTTATTATAATTATACTTATAATTTTATTAAAGTTTAAATAAAGAATATACATTTTTTTTACTTATAAATTTAACAAAAAAGTTGATCGCTCAAGGACGTAGATTGAGTTAAATATTAAATATATCATTAAGTTTGGCAATTTTGTTTGTGGTTATGTCTGGATGTTGATTATTTCTATCAATTAATAGTGATTTAAAACCAAATTCCTAAGATTAATTATTTGTTAGATTTTTTTTTTTTTTTAAATGATATTTAATAATTAATAACATACAGCAGCACCTTTTAAGTCTTTCTCTAAATGATCACCAATATAGAGAATCTGATCTTTTCGAATAGTACTATCAATGGCCTGTATCTTTTTGTAGCTATCTTCAAATATCAATTTATTTGGTTTCGAATAACCACAATCGAATGATGTTGTAATAAGATTAGTATGTTCATCTTTAAAGTAATTTGAGATTCCCAAGTGTTTTAGTATTGAATACTTGATTATTGATTAATGTTTTGTCAGTTTTCAAAGAGTATATTTATAAAACAACAATTTAGTTAAACTTACAATTCTTTCATCGAAATTTGAAATGATTGATACAATTTTTTTATCTTTATACTTTAATTGGTCGAGAGTTTGTAAAACCTCTGGGAAGAGTTGCCAACATTCATGTGCACGACCTTCTAAAAGGGTTTGTCTGTCACCTTCGAATTTATGATAGAGATCATGATAGAATTGCACCGGTAGTTTATTGATGGCATCGATGACACTCTGTTGATCACCAGCCGATCGTATCATGACCATCTTTACAAGTTGAGACCACCACTCTTGTCCGGTCTGATTCTCAACGGCCTCGCCTATATCCCTACCAAAAATAGGACTTTTCTTTGAAAGCTCCGAAAAACACTTTAAAAAGTTTCGATTCAATGCATCGTTGTCGATGACTATATTACCATATTTACTAAGTTCTCGATTCTGTTTACCAATCGACAACGACAACAACAACAACAACAAAATCAATAAGTTTTTAAAACCAAGAGGAAAGAAAGATCAACTTGAATTACTACCTACATAGTGATGACCAACAGAACCACGAACTCCAAACAATGTTCCTGTTGCATCGAAACTAACAACTCTAAATCTACTCAGAAATATTGCATTACAATACAAAATAATAATAATGCTATAATTAAAAAAGATTGACAGTGTTATATTAATAAAGTCCAAGGTGTTTGTTTTTATCTCAAAACAACTTCAATTTTTTAAAAAAATACAACCTATTTTTTTCCATTTTTTTTTTTCATTTTTTTTGGTTAAGTCCTCTGCCTGATTTGATTGTTGATCATTGACTGATTGATTTTTTCTTCTTATTGTTTCTTTAATTTAGCAATCATCCAATACATTATATATTTATAAAATGATTTCAATTAGAAACTGTCAAGTAGGTTATTTTTATTAATACCAGGATAAAGGAAATTGAACTATGAATGAAGAAATAAGAAAACTAATTCATAATATTGATTTGTATTATTATTATTATTATTGTTTAGATTTCAGATTTATTGGCAATGCAAAATGCCAATCTTACATGTCTACCAGAGAATTATCAATATAAATACTACTTATACCACGTCTTGACATGGCCACAACTTTCATTCGTTGCTGAAGATGAAAGTGGAAAGCTTGTAGGTTATGTTTTATCGAAAATGTATGTAACCATTGATTGTAAAATTGAGCAATAGATTAGTCACTAACATTTAAAACAAAAAGCGATGAGAATAACCCAAAGAGAGGACATATTACTTCATTGGCTGTATTGAGATCACAAAGAAAATTGGGAATTGCAACAAAATTAATGAAACAATCACGTATGTTTATATTTTTATATATTCTTATTTATGTTACGATATACAACAAACAATTATTAATTATTAACTATTTACTATAATTGTTATTAGAATATGCATTGATGGAAGTATTTGAAGCAGATCACGTTTCACTTCATGTAAGAAAGAGTAACAGAGCAGCATTTACACTTTATCATGAGATTCTAAAGTTCAAGTAAGAGTTTATACATAATCAATCATTTCAAGTTTAAACTTTTTAATTAATCTTTATCAAACGTTTTTATCTAAATTTTAGGATTCAAGAGATTGAAACAGAATATTACGGTGATAAAGAAGATGCATACTCTATGGTTTTCAATTTTAGAGAGGAAGACAATAAGAATGAAAAGAAAGATACAAAGTCAACTGCAGCAGCTGACAATAAACCAAAAGGACAACCAGCAGCAAAACCAAAGCCAGCATCTGCAAAAAAGAAAGCTGCTGCCAAGAAGAAATAAATCATCTCAATCATACATTAATATTCTAAAAAGGTATTTAAAACCTTTTAATGTTTCTTTGATAAAACGATCAAACCAAGTATTGACAAAGATATTTTATTTATAAGTTATTTTATTTTATTTTTAGTTGTAACATTAATTATATTATCATTATAATAGATACATCTGTTGATGTTGATCGAAATACTAGTTGTATGGTAACTAGTAACTGATTCACCACCATCCCCTTCGATTCACCATCTACTTCTTCGCTCACAAACATTACATTCCCTACCACAAACACACGCCTTCTTCATATTTTATACCTGAAATAAATATGAGTAGTGATGGTAAGACAATTTTAAAAATAGTTGGTAAGTTGGAACGATAGTTAATGTTAAAGAAAAAGAAAAAAAGCAGTTATTGAATATTACGAAGTGTATCAAAAGGAGGAGCTGGCATTTGGTCGACTTCGGCCAAACACAATTACAGAGGAGAGAGACATTTTCAGTTGGAGAGAATGTGATGATTTATGAGCGTACCTTGTATTTGACGATCACAGATATTGACCTTGTTTTTAGATGTAGACAATTTTTTTTAATGAGTTGTTTAATATTATAATAAAAAATAAAAATATTTATAAAGTAATAATATCTATCTATTCTCAATGAATTTTAACATTTATTAAAAAAGTAAATTAAAATTAACAATAAATTTTGTTCATCGGATAGAATATTATTTGGTGGATTCAATTTGATTCAAATTGTTTAGTAGTTGGATGGTTGATGTGAATAGGGTGGTGGATATTGATAGGGATGCATTGATGGATGATAGTAACGGTCGTACGGTGGTTGTTGTTCGTATTGTTGCTGTTGTTGTTGTTGTTGTTGATGTGCTGCTGCTTGTTGTTGTGCTTGTTGGTAAAGGTGTGGCGGTAAATGTGGTGTTGGTGGTTTTCCAGTTGGTGATAATTGTGGAGTTAATTGTTGTTGTTGCTGTTGTGCTTGTTGTTGTTGTGACTGTGCAGCTGCTTGTTCTTCTATTCTCTTTTGTAATCTTTGTTGAACAATTACCTTACTTCCCAAATGCGGTGAAGCAGCCGATGCAGCTTCATTGATCTTTCCAACCGATGCATTCCCACTGGAACCACCACCTTTCATATTACCACCGTTGTTGGCGTTGTTATTGTTGTTGACGGATCCGGACATCTCCTTGCTAGCAATATTATTGTTGGGGTTATTCGGTGCGCTGTTGTTGCCGCTTGCAGAGCCGGACGCACCACTCAGTGACAATGGAGGGGGATGATGTGAATTGCCTCTGGAGTCTATATAGTAGAGTGGTGGCGACGATGATTCATGTGAAGGTGGTTGTTGGTGGGGCGGCATTGGTCCGTATTTGCCCATCAGAGCCGGTGATATTGTGTAATCAGCGGAAGTTGCTGAACCTTGATGCTTGGACAGCAGATACTTGTCCATCTCACCGATGATCAACATCATATAGTGCATTCGTTCTTCGACAGCCAAGAAGAAATTGTCGTATTTGCTCCTGAAATCTGTAATATATTTGAGAGTAGAGTCTATTCTACGAGCCTGTTCATTGTAGTTCACTTGGAACTCATTCATAAATCTACCAAGTTCGCTGGCGACACACTCATGAATATATTGGTTGATTCTCGGTGATAATGGAGGAGGTGATGGTTGCTGCATATATGGATTTCCAGGTGCGGTGGTAGGTGTTTTAGGTGTTGCCATTGTGTTTGCCGGTGTATTACCTCTAGGTGAATTTCCGACAATTGTTGAATTGGATGGTTGTGTTTGTTGTGGTGGTGGAGGTGGAATATTGGTTGGAGCGCCAAGTGGTTGAGAGACTAGAGTTACAGCTGAAGCCGCCAATTTGTGTCGTAGATCTTGAAGTTCTTGTTGTAGACTATGCAAATCTTTTCTGGATATGCTAATAGAGTCTCCGCCCTCGATAGGCAAAGAGATGGAAGATGAAGATGAAGTATTATTTGAATTTACATTATTTGAATTACTATTATTATTATTGTTTTGGTGTGATAATAAACTATTTACAGGTGTTGTAGTTGGAGATGTCATTGGTGATGTTGAAGATGATTTATCATCGATTGATTTTCGCAGGTTACTTGAAATGATACTGTTTTGTTTGGTAATAAAATTCTTTGGAATATCAAATTCAGATTTCTCTTCATTAGATTTGGAAAGCAATGAAAAAAGGGAAGTTGAACTTTCTTTGGAATTGGAGTTTGAACGTGGTGAGTCATGTTGATCGTTATTCGGTTGATTCAACAAGTTATTAAGAGGGATGTTGCCGTTTGGACTTGGAATTGGGGATGAATCCTTTGAATTATTTATCAATAAATTGTTCATATCTATTGATTTCTAAAAAGAAAATGTAAAAAGAAGAAATAAAAGTTAATTTACAATATTTTTTTGTTGTTTTTAAAGCATTCACAATATATAAATCAAAAAAATTTGATTAATTAATATGATATTTCTAATTCAAAATTTAGATTTAGATTTATCAACTAATTTTTAATGTCGATTTAAAAAACATCTAAAATCGGGTTTATTAATTCCAAATCAACCAAAAAGGTTGTGTTTTGTGAAAACAAAAAAACAAAACTTTTGTTTTGAGATCCAACCAGGTTGTTTAATGGGTAAATTGATTTGAATTTAAAATCAAAATCCAATCAATTCCGTTAAAATAGATATTAAACTATTCAAACGGAAACTGTTTTGAATTACAATTTTATCATCAATGTTTATTTTTGATGGTGCAATGTAGCATTTTCAAAAATATTTAAACCCATTTTCTAATCCATAACTGTTGAGTCATTTTCTTAACAGTTAAATGAACCAGATTACAAATAACTAAAAATAAAAATAACCAATTGGTTTTGTTAAAATACAACTTACTCTTTCAGAATTTGAAAATGAATCCTTAAGTTTCTTTGTTGGTTGAGGTGCGCCACTTTCCAAATTATGATAGCTTAATAATACCGGCGATGATGGTGATGAACTATTATTATTACTATTATTATGATTATTTTCATATTCTCTTTTCTTATTGTATTGCTGAGTATTTAGTCTTGGTGACAAATTTGAATGAGATGTCTCATCCAATGTGATTCTATTATTTGTGTTTATCATTTTTTTAATTTATGATTCCAACTATAATAATTATTTAGTTATGATTTGATTCTCTATTTTACAACAACTTTGAAACCAATACAAATAAATTGTGAAGATGTAAAAACAAAGTTGATTTACTCTAAAAAAACTACTACTGTTTATTTGTAAAAATAAATAAATTGTTAATATAAAAGTTTCCAATAATATGTTTAGTGAAGTTGCAAAAAGAATGAAGTTGCAATTAAAGTTTGATTTAGATAGAGAGTAGGAAGGTTTGTTGTTGATCAACAACAGAGCCACAAGATTGTTAACAGAAGGAGAAATTAATTAAAAATAAATTAAAAAACAACAAGAACAACAACAACAACAATTTATAAAATGGAGATAACTGATTTATCTAATTAGTTAATGATATGCACTCACACTCTCTTGAAAATATATCATGTTAGCTGTGTGTAGTAATCTATATTGTTGGTGCAAAAAGGATGGGTTTTCAATTTATTACAAACAGATAATAATTTGCAAGGATGTGATGTTATTGAAGTGGTCTTGTGATTGAGTTTATGACAAAATTCTATGCATAAGATTTGATTATATTAATTTGGATTGGGTGGAGAAGCCGAGACCGATAGTGGCAGTGGCAGATAGGTGACGGATCTAGATCACAGTAGGCTGGAGTTGTATGGTGAGTTTCCAAAGACAAATAGAGTGTGTGTGTGGTTAGTGTTTTTTTGTGTGAGTGCGATGGGTTGGGTTTTGGTAGTGTGTGTGTGTGTGGAGTGAAATAAAAAGACTTGGAGCTATAGATTATCTTTACCTCTGTTGGTTTTGAGATTTATAATTAAAAAAAAAAAAGAGAAGTAGAGAGATAAAAGTTTTTATTAATTGAAACCAAATCAAAAAAAATGGAGAAGAAAACAAAACAATCATAAGTAAGAACAATGTTTGCAGGTTTTTTAGTTTGCTCTTTTATTTTATTTTGGTAACATTTGTGTTAATAATCACAAAAACTAATGTAGATTGTTTTTTTTTTTTCTTTGTTTTTTGTTAATTGAAAGAAAAAAAAAAAAAGAAAAGAAGGGTGTGTTGTGTGTGTTGAACAGGAGGCAACAATTGATTGAATGACTTTTGAAGATAAAAAAAAAAAAGAGAAATTGGTTAGGGTATGGTTGGTAGCTGATGATCACTGATCAAATATGTTTTGGTCAACTGATTGGTTCGTTTTAAATTATGTGGTTTTGATAGTTTTTGAAAAGAGGGGGAAGATTTTCTTAAGAGTTCAATCTGTGCTTATGACAACTGCAAAATTTTGGTAATTTTTTTTTGAAAATTGCTGTTTTTGTTCTATCTCAAGTAATCACCCTCATTTTGATCAAAAGAGTGGTTTGGGGTGGGTTGTTTTCATTTTTTTTGGTCTCATCACTCCATGAACCTTAATTGTGGGGTATTTTTGTTTCGATACAAAAGGAATCAACCTCTCGATGCACACTTTTCATACTTGGTAGTGAGATCTCATGCGAGATTTAATTTGGTTTAAAAAACCTTTAGTATGGTATGTGGATGATCTAAAAGGTCCGATCAACCAAGGATTGACATCAGAGATCTAATAGAAATTTATAAACATGCATCCCTTGAATTTCAGTGAATCTCTTACCTCTGTGATAGAATGTGTATCTTTTTCAATCATTTTTATTTCATTTTTTTTTTTGATTTTCTAATATATCTATTTTTTGGTCTCAATTGATTAGGCAAAATAAAACAAACATTACACGATTTCTAACAAAATCAAACTTTTTTTTTTTTTTTTGATAATCTATTCGATTTTTGAAAATAAATTAAAATAAAAGAATCGAGTCCATTCAACGAAGGGTACTACTATTTTAATAATATCTTTTGTTTGAAAGCATAAATTGACTTTATCCAAATCAAAGAAAGATATTTATTAATATTGCTTATTGATTAATAAAGTATTGGAATAAGTTGCTATACTAAAATTATTAGGTGAATGAATGACCAAAAAAGGTTGATGGATTTTAAAGTATCTGTGTAATGTCTTTATTGACCTGAAAGGTTTATAATTCTCAATACCTTTCTCCTCTATTTTTTTGAAGGTGCTTGAATTAGGATGTTTGGATTAATCTAATTCAGGGTTTCTAAAAGCAAAGTTATAAAAAAACTTCAAATGAATTAAAATAACGACTCTCTAAAAAAAGAAGGAACAAGACTTTAAGGATAATAAAATAATGGTAAAAGAATAAGTTTACAATTAATTATAAACGTTGCTGATTGGTAATCAATATTATCTGTTTTTGATTAGTATTTTAATAGATAAATTTTAAAATGGATCAAACCAGATAGAGAATCTCGTTTTATTGTGAATTTTTTTGATTTTTTTATTTCAAAGATTTGGTATGAGATTGGTGGTTTTCACAAATGACCTGAATAATTTTAATTCAATCAGCAAACAATCTGAATTGGACCTAAACAAGTGGTGGTGAAAAAAAAATTGAATAAATGAAAATTAAAAAAAAAAAAAAACAAAAAAAAACATCTGTTTTTGTTTGTGAAAATCTGATGGTCTGTGAACGTGTGATAGGATAGTGAATACAAACAAAATTCAATCAATAAGATTTACAATTATAGATAAAGTGATGGACAAACAAAGCAGTGAGAGTAGTGGAGATACCACTACCAACAACAACAACAACAACGTTGTTACATTGGAATCATTGCAAGCTCTTATGCGAGAGAGAACTGCATTGGAAGAAGAGCTTCAAGTCCACATGGACTATCTTACAAAGGGTGGTGGTAGTTTATTTGGTCTGCATGGAAGTTATCTGGATTCTGAAGGTTATCCTGTAGGTATTTTTATGATCATTCATTTAATTTCATATCAATCAACCAATCAACAGACCCAATCAAACCAATCAAAAGAACTCGAGATTGTTTATAAACCTACCTAACTCTTTATCAATTATGATTCATCATTATTGCTATTTACATTTTTTTTTTTTCTAATCAAATAGTCGCCACATTTAGACATTATCATTGAGGTAAAGAAAGCAAGAAGTAGAATAGCATGCATACAAAATGATTATAAATCACTGATGAAGAAGATTGAAAATGATATGGCATCATTTCATTCTTCAAATAAAAATAATAAATCAACAACAACAACAAGTACAACTTCGTCATCAACTTCAAATTCATCGTCAACTTCAAAACCAACAACACCGACACCGACTACAAATATAGCTTCTACAACAACTTTGCCATCATCCGATGCTAGTAATAGCACTGACAATGTGAATAGTGCATCGAATGTTGTAGATAATAGAGTAGTTGCACCATTTGTATATATTGACTTGGTATCACCAGGTTCACCGGCAGAGAGAAGTGGATTGCTCAAGAATGATCAGATCTATCAGTTTGGTTCAATCGGACCTTTCTTGATTGAGTTGCCTTCAGCTTCGACACAGTATCTTCAATCTATGGCAACCATAGTAAGAAGCAGTGAGAATACTGCAATTCCACTTTCCTACATCAGAGACGGCAAGAAGTTTACGACAACTCTTACACCAAGAAAATGGACTGGTCAAGGTTTAATTGGGTATGAATATAAACATAATCAAAAAAAAAAAAAAAAAAAAAAGAAAATCAAATACTTTTATTAACAAAATTTTTCATAGTTGTTTAATGAAACCAATTTAAACGTCTGACGTTATAACATTGGTGAAATAGATATTATAGAAATAGATTACTTCTCTCACTTGTGAATCTAACAAGAAAGAATGTTAGATAATAATAATAAATCTGTATAAATCTGTATAAAGATATTGTAATTATCAAAAAAAAACAAAAATAATTTTTTAAAAAAAAAAGTAAACAAATCTTTATTTATGATTTGATTTCTCATTGATAATATCTAGAATACAATAACAATAACAGAGCTGATAGGTGTTTCTAATGTAAACATAAAGGTAGACGCTTTTCGACCTTGGGGTCGTTATTCTACAAGTATTTATGTTGGAATTCAAGCTGTCATCATCATGTTTGATTTGTGCAATGAGACTTCATTTAATAATGTAAAGAGATGGTCTAAAGAGGTTGAGGTTTTTTTGTGGTAAAGTATCAAGGCGGTTCTGATCGTAAATAAACTAGATATTGCACAGTGGTCGTATAGCCGAGAAGCAAATCAATGAACTCATGTATAAATTTCCATTTATGTACTCTATGAAACTCACAAGTCGAGTCCAGAGCAGCGTGTGCTCTTTGATATGCTGGTCACAGAGATCATTTGCAGTATATCTGACGAAACTATGGAAACACAAATTGAATGGATTGAAACGTCATTAAAGAGAAAACAAAGAGTACTATCATTTATCAATACGAAAATGGATACAAATCAGATGTGCAAGTTATTTTAATGTTGGATTCATATGTTTGTTTGGAGTCAAATAAAATTAGTTGGGGGAAAGAATTTTTTGATTTTACAACAATTCAGACCTTTAAATTTTATTTTTTTTGTCAAATGTCTAAAAATTAATGTCACAAAAAGGGTCTTTTCTTCTTTATGGATTAAATATAAAATAAATTCTATTATGTCTAGGGTTACAAAAAGTCAATACATTCATTTAAATATAAAAATCATTGGTGATAGAGGTGTTGGTAAATTGAATTACCTTCAAACATGTTTGGGTTGTCCTGATTTCAAACCGTCGAGCAGTGATCGTGTATATCAAACTGATCTACCACATATTGCAGGTATGTGGTACAATACAATAATAATAATAATAATAGACAGATGATTTATGTTGTCTTGAAATCTTACTTTGATTATTTCTTGATAATATATAGAACTTGTGGGTGTATCCAATCTCAACATAAAGGTAGATGTTTATCAACCCGGTCGTTACTCAAGACAGAGCTACAGAGGATTCCACGCTATCGTTATCATTTTCGATTTGTGCGATAGAATTTCATTTGATAATGTAAAGAGATGGTATAATGAAGTGGAGCGCTATTGTGCGGAAGATATCAAGGTGATTCTGGTAGGAAACAAACTCGATTTGGCAGCAGAACATGTTGCTCGAAGTGTGACGGAGCAGGAAATCAATGAACTCATGTATTTGGTACCATTTATGTATTATTATGAAACCCATCGATCGAATCCAGAGCAACGTGAACTCTTTGACATGCTGGCCACAGAGATCATGTATCATCGAATTCAAGAGAGTATTGAAACACAATCAGAGTGGATTGAAACACTATTAAATAGAAAGCAAAGAGCATTATCAAAATATGAAGCTATTCAACGAAAATCAAATAATCAAACTGAAATATCAACAAACAATACAACAACGAATACATCTGTCAATACAAATATGGATACAAATCTATTTAGAATGGTTTTCAGAGCTCAGTTGTTAAGGAAACAAATTTGGAATGATGTTAGATCTATTCATCGATATCTTGGTCTGAGATGTGCAAGTTATTTTAATGTTGGATTCATGTGTTTGTTTGGATATTTCAATGTATTGAGTGATCGATATCATACACTTGGTGGTGATGGAATGTCAATGGCAATGAAACTTCCAGGTTTTGTGAATCTCATTCGATTCTGTCCATATGAAGATGTCATTAAACACTTCATATCGAGTATACCACAATCAAAAATGGCAAGAGAGACAATGACATTGATAGCAGATCAGTGCTACATCAATGGCAATATCAATGTAATCAAATGGTTATTGAAGAATTACAATGCTTTTTGTTCAACTTTTGGAATGACTGTTGCAATCATTACAGGAAACCTTCAACTTTTATCTTTCATTCTTGAACATACAGTGAGAACAACTAAACAATGTAAGAAAAAGAATAAAGAAAACGAAAAGAAAATGGAAAAGAACAAGAAAAAGAACAAGATCGATGACAATAATAATAATAAGACTGACTGTAATGGGAGCAGTAGCAATAGTAATAATAATAATCAATCTACAGGATCAGATAGTGTAATTGAAAATATATATTCTATATATTTGGAATGTGAACCTTCAGATAGCAAACCAATCATGATAATAACAGAATTCTATCGACACCATCTGTTGTCAATGGCAAAACAATATGGACAATTGGAAATAAGAGAATACCTAAAATCTAATTTTTATCCCAAGAAATCTTTTTTTAAAAGTTTGTTTAATAAATAGATAAGATACCGATTAATATGAAATAGTTGTAATATAATTTAATAAAATTGTCAAAAAGTCATTTTCCCCTCCAATTTCTTTGTTTGAATAGAACAGAACTATTACTTATATATATCATCTTAAAAAAAACATTTATTATTATATTTACAAATCCATTCACTTTTCCCTCTTTAATCCTAAAATGAAATTGTACCATTTTCGATTTGTAAATGATTGATTGGTGGATGTTATTTCATATCTATCAAAACCTACACTGAAAACAATCATTGTATTTTCATCTATGATTTTAAATATAATTATTAATACAAGTTTGAATTGAAATAAAACTAGACAATAATAATTAATTAGTTAATTAGTAACTTACTAGTGTCATAGAGATGACTGTCATTTGGATCGATTATTAGATCTCTTAAATAGATTACACTCTTTAGCGTTGCACGATAGTTGTCATGGCCATTGTTTGCATGATGCTCCTCCACTCTCATTATTAGATCTCTTAATAGAATATGAGTGATCAGCGATTGACTTGTTAGGTTCTGCTGCTCTGTGATAATCGTTTCATTGAATGAACATTGTGCAACAAATTGTCTGTCCGGTCTAAACAGTAGACTCTCTTTCGATAAACCAGCGGTAGTGGTTTCCAAAGTTTTCGGAATAGTGAGATTAGATACAAACGATTTGTATTGCAACTGGTCATTGATTTTCCTTATTGTCGTATTCATATCATCGATACAAAGCACAAGGAGTGGATGATCACGATGTTTGGCATCAGTATACTTTAGCAATTCGCCTAGAATCAATATGTATCTCGGTAGTCGGCTGACAGGCAAAACCAAGTAGCTCTCAAATACCATTCCAGCAGCAAGACTCTTGCCATTTTCTATCAAACTATTGATTGTAGATTTAAAAGTATTCTTTTTCGTTAAATACAATCTTGATAATATATATAAATTCTCAGTTAGATTTATTAAAAAAAAAAAAAAGAGTAACAATTTTCAATTTCCATCAGTATACTTACGATTGTATCTTGGCAGTTGATACTGTATAGTTGGAACAATAAGTAGTGTAACATTTAAAAAAGTCTTTGAAGAGATAGAATATGTCGGCTACATATAGCTGGTCTTGATCGATTTGGTCGATGCTATTGATGTCATTGTTTACACGTCGGTGTAGATGTGAAAGGAAATGGTTGTTGAGGTTGTAAATCACTTTGTAGTCAGTGAATATCGTTTTGAAATCGTTCACGTCAATAAAATTCTGTTTCGGTGTTGTCGGCGATAACACCATCTTCTCAAGTGGAGTGTAGATATTGTCTACCAACCATTTCATGTACTCTACATATCGCTCCTCTGTACTTATTAATTCTTTGATGATTGCACATCTTTTACTATCCGTCATTTTGTTGAAGATCGAAGAATTAAGAATTATATATATATAATCTTTAAAATATTATTTTAATATTATTCTTCTTTTGTAATAAATTATAATTAAACATCATTCTTTTTCCAAAACAAAGCTTTGCAATTAAATGATTCATTTGATTAGATTTCCAAAAAAATACCATTTTATCATTGAATTGATTGTGTGAATCAAACAAAAACTAAAAAAAAAATTCAAACAGATCTAACTAGTTGGATTGAAGTTGGAAAAAATTTTTTTTTCAATTATTATTCATTATTTTTTGAATCATCATATTTATATAAGTATGTCAGAACAATTATTGTTAGAGAAGATAAAATCACTATCTTCAATAATAAATAATCATAAACAGCAACAGCAACAGCAACAACAGAGACAACCACAACAAAATAAACAACCTCTTCAATCTATATACAAACAACAACCTTCACAGCAGCAGCAACAACAGAGACAACCACAAAACAACTTTCAAAAGATTCAACCTATTGTAAATAAACCGAATGTAAATAAACCATCGCCACTACCATCACCACCTTATAAAGGTGTCAAGTCTACTTCAGCAACCCAGAAGCAACCTATTGTAAATAAACCTATTAAACAGCAACAACAAACAACAATACCAAAAAAGTTTAGTAACTCTTCATATGTTCGACCATCAGCTAATGTTAGCGGTGACTCTACATCTCAAGCACCTTTGGTTTTACAACAACCAACACCTTCAATAACAACTACAACAACTTCAAATAAAACCTCATCACCTATCATTGCAAATAAACAACAACAACAACTATTGTTAAGACAAAAGAAGATGATGCTCTATAAACAACAGAAACAACAAATGATGCTACACTATAGGAAATCTCTGATGTACGGTTTTGCTAGACCACCATACTACTCTTATTCAAGTCCTTATTCATATTCATTCGGTAGAGGCACTGCTACTTCATCACCACCACCGTGGTTATCGAGGCAACCGACTATCACACCTAAATACCAGTATCCAGTATCATCAATAACAGCAATCAAAACAACAATGCAACCAGCAGCCAAGACACTACAACTCAAGAAAGCAACACAACTCTTAAAGAAAAAGAATGGTTCTGTCATCGATGCAATCTATATCAAGCAAGGCAATACACTCATAAGAAAGAAATTAGACAGTACATATATAACTGTAAATAATAAACTAATAAGACAAACCGATAGTAATAATAATAATAATAATAATAATAAACCAACAACTTCAACTACAACTACAACAACTTCTACAACTACAACAATTAAAAAGAAACCACTGCCTTTAGCTTCAAAGAAGATATTTAAAGCTCCTACAAAGCCAATTGGGTATGTACATATAATTAAACTATAAATATACCAAAAAGATAACTAACTATTATATAATCAGTGATAGAATGAAAGCAGCACTTAAAAAGATGGAGAAAAAGACTCAATATTGTTTATTTTTTAATAGATTTGGTGAGAATAATTTAGAATTTCTATTTCTATACTCTTCTACTCTAGAATATCTATTAGTTGAATGTATGAAAGATATTAGATACTAACCAATACCATTATTATTATTATTATTATTTATTTTTGTTATATATACTTAACATTTTTAAAAAAAAACAAATAACAAAAACAAACAAAAATTAGGTAAATGTAATAATAATGATAGTTGTAAATATATTCATGATAAAGACAGGGTTAGAGTATGTCCAAAGTATCTGTCTGGTAAGTGTGAAGACGAGAATTGCACTCTGCAACACAAAACAGTGGATATCGATCAGATGCCAGTGTGTTATCAGTTCCTCAGGGGTATGTGTACTCACGAGAACTGTCCATACCTACATGTCTACGTCTCGAGAGATGCCGAAGTGTGTCCAGATTTCCTAAAGGGATATTGTCCAAACGGTTCAGAATGTCTACTTCGCCACACCTACAGTTACAAAAAGAAATCAAAAGACGACAATCAACATAATAAACAATAATCAATAAATAAATAATAGCAATCAAGATAAAGACGAAGAAGACGAGGATGATGATGGAGATGATTTTGATTTTGAATATCATATATAACATTAAAAAAAAAAAGGTAAGGTAATGTGAAATATATATATACAAAAAAAAAAAAAAAAGAATAAAAAAAAATAAAAAATAAATAATATAAACTGAAACACTCAGATTATGAAATGATTTAAAAAAAATTTGATTGTAATTTATCTTTAGTTTGATTATCATGTCCCCGAAGAGATATCTCTTCTTCACCAAAGATGATTAAATAGTATGTGTATGAATTTATAAAATCAAATGGAAATTTAGAATTACTTTATTTTAAATTGCTCAACTGTTAAAAATCAACAACTGAGATTATATTTTGGAAAGTTCGCATTGATTTAATTTATTTGGACACTGATTAAATCAACAATATTTTCATGACAAAAAAGCACAAAAAAAAAAACAGATTCGAACCCACAATCACCTTTAAAAGATGAACTCACCAAATTTGATGAATTTAATTTTTTTTTAATTTTTTGTGTAATTTTTTTTTAATTTTTTTTTTTTTCATTGTCCAATATTGCAGTGGCACCTGACAACATTGCTTATTATCTTATCCAAACAAATAATTTAATTAACAAACAATGTCTATTGATATTAAGAAACTACAAGAGTTCTCAAATAATGCTTGGGACAAAGATATCCTCCCAACCTTGGAGAAATACATTGAAATCCCAAATCAATCACCATTATACGATAGGTATGAATATCATTGAAATTACAACCACAATCAATCTAAAGTTATAATCAGTGTTGGTGCTGGGAGTTGGAAGATTTGCTTTGTGTTGTTTAGGAAGGAAATTGCTGAGGTTGGAAGAGTTGTTAGAAAAATAATTATTTATTATTAACTCATAAAATTAAATTCATATTAATAATATTAAATATAGTGAATGGGCAACCAATGGATACACTGAGCAGGCAATTGTTTTGTTGAATGATTGGGTAAAGGCACAAAACGTTCCAGGTTTGACCACTGAAATCAAGAGAATCGAAGGTCTCACACCAATCATCTTGATCATTGTTGAAGCCACCAAGACAAACCCAAAGAATGTTTTGTTGTATGGTCACATGGACAAGCAACCACCCTTAACCGAACAATGGGAGGAGGGTCTCCACCCATACAAGGCTGTCACTAGAAACAAGCGTCTCTACGGTCGTGGTGGTGCCGACGATGGTTACTCAACCTTTGGTTCAGTCATGGCTGTCAAGGCTCTCAAGGAGCAAAACATCCCACACGATCGTTACGTTATCATCATCGAGGGTTCCGAGGAGAGTGGTTCCATTCACTTGCCACAATACATTGACAAGTTCGAGTCTGTCATCCAAGCACCATCTTTGGTTGTCTGTCTCGACTCTGGTTGCGGAAACTACGAGCAACTCTGGATGACTTCATCGTTGCGTGGTGTCCTCACCGGTGACTTGACCGTCAAGGTTCTCGAGCAAGCCAGTCACTCTGGTTCCGCCTCTGGTATCGTACCATCGTCATTCCGTATCGTCCGTCAAATCCTCAACCGTATCGAAAACGAGCAAACCGGTGAGATGTTGAAGGAACTCCAAGTGCCAATTCCAGCATACCGTATCGAAGAGACCAAGCTCTGTGCCCAAATCCTCGGTGACACCGTTCACACCGAGTTCTTCTGGGATGGAAAGACTCAACCGGTCACCAGCGATCCAACTGAGCTGTTGATCAACAAGACCTGGAAGCCAACTCTCTGTGTCACCGGTGCCGATAACTTGCCACCAATTAGCAACGCCGGAAACGTCATGAGAACCAAGACCACCTTGAAGTTGTCCGTTCGTTTGCCACCAAGCATGAAGGGTCCAGTCGCCGCCAAGGTCCTCAAGGAAGCCCTCGAGAAGGATGCTCCATACAACGCCACCGTCTCCTTCAAGGTCGACAAGTGTGCTGAGGGTTGGGATTCACCAGCCATCAACCCATGGCTCCAAACTGCTTTGGGTGAAGCTTCCGAAAAGATCTTTGGAAAGCCACACGTTTTCTTTGGTGAAGGTGGAACGTAAGTAAATCAATCAATCAATCAATCTATCATCATACAGATTTAATCTAATCATAATCATTATCATTCTAAAATATTAGTATCCCATTCATGGGTATGTTGGGTGCCAAATTCCCACAAGCTCAATTCATTATCACCGGTCTTCTTGGTCCACAATCAAATGCTCACGGACCAAACGAATTCCTTGACATTGAATACGGTAAGAAGTTGTTGAGTTGTGTAGTCTATCTCCTCGATGCCCATGCCAAGCACGCCTAAATGAAAAGATAACTAGCTCGAGAACCTAGTTAGTTTATAAATAAAAAAATTGTAGATTCTTTGTTTTTTACCAAATTTCTCAGGTATCTCATTAACATAAACTTTTTTGAAATAAACCACTCACACACACTCACATCATTGTAAAATCAGTGTAATGAAATTTCCGACAAAGACCAGAAATTTACTCCATATAGAAATTTATTTTGATTTTTTTTAAAAAAAAACAAAAAAAAGATCTGATTTGATTTTTGAAAAGTTTGCAAAATGGGCTATTTTCCAGGGTAACTTTGAAAAGTCGCATAAAAAAATATTTGATATTTTTGCTGTTTGAAATTAATGTGAATATTCATTATTTTCTTTTACCAATATCAAACACACAGAAAATTGTTCATTATTTCATTCACACAAAACCAAATTAGTATAAATAAATAAATAATAATAATAGTTCAATTAATAATAAATAATATTACTATTTTAACTCATAATCTATAATAGCATTTAGATTAGTTTCAATCTTTTTTGATTAGTATTACTATTACTATATTAGTATTTCAATATTAGATTGATCAAAACTTGTACGATTTGATTACATTTTTAATTATTATTATAATTATAATAAAAATAAAAATAAAACAGTGGAAGAAATAAAAGAAGAAGAAATAAAGAATTTAATAGAGTTGGATAGATTAGATAGTGGTAGAAGTAGCAATAGTAGTAGAAGGAATAGTACTGATAGTGATATTGAAAGTAATAGTAATAATAACAACAACCATATAGGTGAAGAGAACGAAGAGTTTGGTCAAGTAAACGAACAAGATCAAGATAAAGTATATTTAGTAAAGGATTCAACTTCATCATCATCATCATCAACGTTAGAAGATAAATATAAAAATACAATGAGAGATAAACTATATCTTCGTAATTGGATATCATTCCACTTTATGGGAAATATCAATAATTTCTCATATTGTGTCGTCAATGCAGCTGGTCAATCACTTGCAAACTACTTTCACAATCAAAAGAATATCGGTTTAATTCTATGGGCAAATATTGCATTTGGATTTGCTGCAAGAAGTAAGTTGTAGCGCTAGTTGATAGCAACTTTAAGTTAAAGATCTATATCTTTACTAACTAAACCATCTCATCTTCTTTATCTTATCTTATCTTATCACAACACAATTATATATATAGTGTTAAATACATTTGTTTTAGAAAATGTTAATACTAAATTAAAGATTATTGTAAATTGTTTGTTTATGGTTGCCGGTTTGGTCGGTGTTGCACTCTCGGTCTATGTAAACTTTTGGTTCTGTTTGGCGTGTATCTCACTGATTGGTATTGCATCGTCATTTGGTGAGTCGGTGCTGTTGTCGTATATCAAGCTGTTCCCGTCGGATCTAGTCAATGGATGGTCGTCCGGTACTGGTGTAGCCGGTGTCTGTGGATCACTCTTTTACATCTTGTTGTCGGGTGTCGCCGGTCTTTCGAATCCAACGATCTTCTACATCATCTTGCCAACCACTCTCGTCTATGGTGCACTGTTCTTCCTCGGTTTGAAAGTGCCAGGTGGTACTCCCGGTCAGCAACACTCTGAGTACACACCGTTGCGCGAGGATGAAACCACCGCCAAAGAGGAGGTAGTTAACATTAGCCAAGGTGACAAACTATCAAACATCGAAGTTGCACCAGAATGTGAAATCAAACCGGTGAGAGGACCACCATGTGAGACCAAGCAGGAGCGTTACATCCGTTGTGCCAAGCTCGTCTGGTTCAACTCTGTCAACCTGATGTTGGTCTACTTCTTTGAGTATGTAGCATCGGTTGGTGGTGCCGATCTCGCAGTTAAATCAATCAAAGGAAATTGGTTCCAAGAGAATTCATATGCTATTCTAAGTTTTTGTTATCAAGTAAGTATCTACTTATTGTCTTATTATAATATCAACATGTTATAGTTGTAATTTACTTACATTTTCTTTCTACTTGTTCAACCTTTAACAACAACTAAATAGTTTGGTGTATTATTATCAAGATCTTCATTACAACTTTTCAAAATCAAAAGAATTGGTATCATTACAATTTTACAAGGTTTAAATATGGCACTTTGGTTAATTCAAGGACGTGTAAGTTATAAAATGATTGATATCTATGTTTAAATTTAAATAATTTATTAATAATATTCTTAATAATTTATAGTATAAAATGATTGATTCTGTTTGGATTTTATTTGCTTTGATGGTCTATTGTGGTTTATTGGGTGGAGCATCATATGTCAATGTATTTTATTTGATTTTGCACGACAAGAAGATTCCAGACGAAGATCGTGAAGTTTGTATCAATTATGCTGCATTACTGGTAACCTTTGGTATTACAATGGCTTCTGTATTCATTTTAATTATGAATCATACGTTTATGAAGAACGAAGTCAGCACTGGATCAGAGGATTCATCCGCTGCTCACTCTGCTGATTTATTATTATCCTATTTAAGATTTTAAAAAAAAAAAACCGTTTGAAACAAAAATTAATAGTACTATTTAAATATATATATTTGAACAAATAATTATAACTAATAAATCGATATCGATTAATGAATAATTAATTTATAAACCTTATAAATGATAACCATTTTTATTTATATTATTATTATTATTGTGACTGCAGTTTATAGTTTAATTAAATTGCCAATAATCAATACCTTCTACTATATTTAAAGACTTTATATTGTTTTCAAACTCTTGATTGGTACGATCAAGTGAAACGCACATAATTAAAGGTGGTTTCACTTCTGAGAAATGAATAATTGGAATCGATTGGTTGGTATAAGCTGCGTTGTAGTTTCTTCCAATCTTTGAAGTATCGACATCACAGAATGCCTTTACCTTATTCTTATTATCATCGGATAGCATCGTAAAAAACTTCTTACCATCCCTTCCGGCTCCCCAAATCGAGAAACTTGACCATTTATTTAAAACTCTTTTCTCTAAATATTCTAATTTTATCTTTAATAATATTAATCTAAAAATAAATATATTTGTAATTAGTTATTGTTATTTATAGATGAAAACGGTAAATGTTTAATTTAAATTTAATTTTACCGACCTATGAATTTGTTTACTTAAATTATCTTGATGATATCTATAAAGCATTAATGTTTGATTTACTTTTCCAAGTTTTCCTTCGAGTTGTAGATGCTTGTGGAAGAATATTAAATCCTCCGGAATAGGTTGTTTCTTTATAGGTGTAGTTGGTGAAGTGGATGCTGTTATTGCTGTTGTAGGTGATGTCGGCGATTCATTCACTTTATATAACTCCAAATTTGATTGTTGAGTTGAGAAACCACCTACTCTATAGCAGGTATCTCTTCTCATGAACCAAGTAGGTTGTATAATAGTACACTCTCGATACTGATGAAGATAGAGCTCTTCGTTGGTCAATCGATTGCACCACTCTGTATATCTATTAGAAGATCCTTCCGGTATTCTAAGAAAGTTCGATCCAACAATAACATTATCATCACCATCGTCTTTATATTTCAAGCATTCTTTAATCTAGAATGTAATTGTAGTTAATACAACTATTAGTAAATAATCGTTTCTTTTCGTTTCTTTTCGTTTAGTTTCGTTCGTTTGTTTTTGTGCACAATAGATTAACTTGACATACTTACTTGTAGTTCAATTCTTTCGCGATACATAATATCGTCTGAATCTAGAATACATAGATAATCACCGTGTGAATATTGTATTGCTTTGTTTCTTGCGTATCCACATCCACCACTCTCCAAAAGAGGCATAGTGTCTTCGCCCAACTCAATCAGTGATTGGCTATTTGGATGCCGAGCGCGATAGGAATCCACTAGTAACTGATACTCTGGTATTGAATGAGTTTCAACTATTCTCTGTTCCACACCTTTCCCACCATTCAAAACAAACATAATAGAATAATGTTTAAATAATACAATCCATTTCTTTGCAATTTCAATTGTATCATCCTATTTATTATTATTATCATTAAAAATAAGAATTAATTAATAATTTTCAAATCTATTTATAAATATATATATATATATATATACATACAGTACTTAAATCATCAAACATTGATAATTCAATCGGACCTCTATAAGATTGTAATACGACAGAGAGTAATGTTTCGTCTATGTACAAACTTGCATTCTTCATACACAAACATATACTGACAAAAGGTAAACTAAAATCTCTTTTAAATCTTTCATTGTTTGACTCTAGGAGATAATGAGGTAGGGGTAATGTAGTTTTACACTCATCATCACTGTTATTCTTGTTATTTATATCTTTATCTACTAGTAAATCATTAAATGATAGATTTAAGTTGATTGATGATATTATTATATCTGAAATTTTACTATTCTTTATTTGTAGTATATATTTTGGTTGTTTTTGATCTGATTCTTGCTCTTGTTGATTTACTAATTGTAAATCTATTATTATATCAGACGATGATGGTGATGATGCCAGAGGTTGTTGGGCAGATCCTTCACGATTGTCACTCATATTTTTGAAAATTGAATTGTGTTTTTTGGATCAACGGCTAATCACAATTATTCAAATTATCATAATTTATTCAAAAAAAAAAAATCAAAGTGCAAATTTGATCAAAACCCAAAAACACACCAATCTTTAAACCATATCCATCAAATTTTAGGTTTTTTTTTTATTTTTGCAGCCTACCTTACAACAAAAATTATCAAAGAAAGAGTATTTATTATTTAATTTTATTTTTGCAAAGTCTTTATCAATTCTTATCTTGTTTATTTTAAACTGCGAATCAAATCAAATCAAATAATAATCCTACGCACCTCACCACAATTTTTGTTTTTTTTTTTTTTTTTTATAATTTTTTTATTTTATTAAAAGAAATACAGAGACAGACACACACGAATAAAATATTAGATTCAAGATTTAATAATAATAATAATAATAAATAATAGTTGTAATTTAATAATAATATTAGCAGCAAATACCCATTATCAGGAAAATATTGTACTATTGGTTTTTTTATTATTTTATTTTTATTTTTATTTTATTTTTGGAACACCACAATAACAGGAGAACTATTACCAGTTCATTGTTTTCAATACCGCCACCACCCCACAACCACAACCAACAACCACAATTTAAAGTTTGACAAACACACAATAATCCAAAACTCTAAACCAACACCCCCTACATACACACTTTGACAATATATTTATTTATTGGTATTTATATATATATTAATTTGTGTGTTACCAACTCTTCAACAACAAACACTCGACACTCAATAACCTGAAAAGCCACAAACCAACAAACAAATAAACAAACCAAACCAACAAACAACAGGCAAAAAAATAAATAAAAAACAAAAAGACTTTTCAAATTGATAAAACATATATTACTTTCATAGTTGGAAACGAGAAGAAATAAAAGAAAGAGATACGCCTAGTAGGAGAGATAAAAGGAGAATAGTTAGTGGTGTTTAGATCATCAAAAGAGTTGATTGGTATCAAGGTTTGACTCTCTCCCTCCCACCTCCAAATTCATAGTCATCATCAACAACAACAGCAAACACGCAATTTCACAATTGTGCTTTTGACAGATCAGACCACTCTTGAAAATAATGACAACAATATCACAAGTTCATCCGTAAACAACACAACATCACACAATATATCTCAATTCAACTTTAAAGTAGTGTTAGAAATCAAAACAGAATCTCTCTTTTAAAATATTTATATTATACAAATAATAATAGTTTTTTTTTTCTCTATATCCAATTAAATTATCAAATATAATTTTCATTTCACAGTTCCCTCATTGTAAATTGTAATAGTAAATAATAAATAATAAATAGAATCATGTCAACATCGAATGAATCAAATTCAACCCAAGAATATCCAGATGATGTTTCCAATTGTGACAACGTTTCCATTTCATCATCATCCGGACAACCAAGAAATCTAAAAAAGAAAATCGGTGATTTCTTAAATACATTTATAAAGAAAAGGTAATTAAAGAGAAATTACAATAATTAATGTTTAAATTATTTGGAAATATATTAATGTTTTTTTAAATGGATTTAAAATTAAAGACCATCACCAGATGATTTAAGGGAAAAGAATATTTTAATGGCACCAAGTAATGTTGCACCTAGAATACAACCATCTCGATACGATTTAGAGAATAACATGACACATAAAGGACATCAGAGAAAAGGCAGTGCATCTCGTGGCAAAAAGAGCAGTGACGATGGTAGCAATAGCGGAAAGAAGTCGGCGTGGGAATATCTTAGAAATCTTGACTTTACATTCTCAAAGTTCACATTTGGTAAAACTGTGGTACACAGATTGAAATTCCCACAATTCGGACTGACACCAGACGAACTACAAGATCTTTATCCTGATCAACCAGATGGAATACCTTTAGTTTTAACAAAAGGAATAGAATATTTAAAGAATCGTATGTTTTAAATTAATTTAACAACAATTCCAATCCTTTTTAAATTAATACTAATTACCTTTTTATTATTATTAAAATTTAAAATAGATCTTGAAACAGAAGGATTATTTAGAGTGAATGGTAGTAATAAGGATATCAGTTTATTAAAATTCAAAGTGGAAGATGGTGATTTGGATTTCAGTCAAGTCGATAATCCATATTGTATTTGTGGTTTGGTATCAACATTTTTCAAAGAATTGCCAGAACCTTTAATTCCATTAGATAGATATTATGAAGCTGTAGATAGTGTTCGTATGTATCAAAAGTAGATAATAGAAACATTTCTAAATTATATATTAACAACAACGATGATCATCAATATATAGGTGGTACTGAGAAATTAGAAATAATTGTACCAAAGCTAAGACAATTGGTATTAAATATCCCACCATCACATCTTTGTATTCTAAGGAAATTCACAGAGTTTCTCACGCTGATTGAAGCGAATAAAGATAAAAATAAGATGACCTCTGATAATTTGGGTATCATTTTCGGACCTACTTTGATGCGAGATCCAGATTTCAAAGACATCACCAGTGGTCTCGCTAATTTGAAGTTGCAATCCTACGTCATTAAATATATGGTCGAATGTTATAGTGCCATCTTTAAGAGTTTCGAAGTGAAGTCTGCCTACAGAAAATCAATGGTTGTACTACCACCGGTCGACACTTCTTCGATCGATTATCTCGATATTGCATCGCCTGCATCCGAAGCCAAGCGAGAGTCACTCGTTCAGGTGGTGCGATCCGATGGTCAACTCTCACGTCGTCCACGTCCGCCACCACGCCGTACCGGAACCATTCTGCTAAGTCCGCGTCAACCCGAACAACGACAACAACAAGCCTATGCCATATCAACAATGACTCGTCCAGTCTCGCGGTTATTCAATCCCGAGATCCTAGACTCGCCAACCACACCGCCATCCAACTGTCCAAAACCACCAAAACCACCAAGCAGAAAGCCAACTGCTGCCACCCCACCAATTAGATTCGATTTGAATAAACCAATAACATCAACATCAACAACAACGACAACAACAACTACTACAACAACTACACCCAATCCACCACCACCAATGCCATACAGGAAATTACCATCGAAACCAATGCCAACCATTCCAATAACACCACAATCACCAAAACTAGCACCAAGACCACCAATTTCAAAAGCACCAATTCCACCCAAATTACCAACAGCACCAGTACCAACAACACCAACACCAGCACCAACACCCAGCATGTCAGTCGAAACACCCAAAGCAAAACCATTACCACCTAAACGTAATTTCCCAGTTGATTCATCACTTTCAGCATCTCCTCCAACCACACCACAGATTCTCCGCTCAAATACAATGCCATCTACACCAAAACCACCAACATCAACAATGACAACATCAAATGTACATACAACAACTACTACAACACCAACAACAACAACAATCAATCAATTCGATAGACCACCTAACAAACCTCCACCAAATCCATTCGATTATAAATATAAAACAACTCCAAATCCAATAACAACCACCAATCAACAACCTGCAAAACTATCACCGGTTCTCTCTGGATCACCATCATCCTCTGACTCTGAACCAAAGAGTAGTGGTGCACCAGTGGTAAAGAAACGCGTACAATTTGGAACAACAGCAACAGGAGAGTCAAATGACTCATCAAGCTCAACAACAACAACAACAACAGCACCAACACCTTCCGCTAGACCACCTGTTCTACCAAGATCCATCTCATTTGTTGATCATACACAATCAAAACCAATTCCAGTTCCAAGACAACCTATCGATCAACAACAACAATCACCATTTTCCTTTACAAACAAAGGACAATCACCGAAATCAACAACACCATTACCAACACCAGTGACAAACCAACAACCAGTTACGTCGAACACCAACACAATCACATCTTCATCACCAAGCGGTAAATCATCTTCATTCAAATTGAATTCATCCAGTGAAGACACAGAGAAAGCGAAAAACAACTTTACCTCACAGAGAACATCAAAGTCAGCACTTAATCTAACAGGTAGTGGTACCAAAGACGAAAGAATCTCGCCATCATCATCACCAAACACCAACTCCAACCAAATAATCTTTAAAAATGTATCATTAAACCCACCACTAAGAGTAACACAACAACAGCAACAATCTTCCTCATCACCAGACATAACAACAAAATCACCAATTATAACAAGAAAATAAAATAAATTAACTCTTTTTTGTACAACAAACAAACAAATAAATAAACAAATAAAAAAAAAAGCTAATATTTTTTTCGCTCCTTTTTTTTTTTGATGCAAGAAAAAAAAAACTTTAGTTATTTTTTATTTTTTATTTTTATTTTTTTATAACTTCACTATCTAATCATTCATTTATTTTTAAACTTTTAAAAAATAGAATAGATTGATAAGATGTCGTTTAAAGGATTTAGTTGGAGTGACCAGGTAAATGGTGCTGGTGGCAATGATGAAACACCATCTACCACACCATCGACTACAACTTCATCATCGTCGACATTTTCATCACCGACATTCTCTAGTGAACCATCAACTTTGAACCCATTCTCTTCATCATTGTTTGGTGGTAATACTACGAATATTTCACCTTCATCGACAACACCAACTTCACTTTTCTCACAACAACTACAACAACCAAGACAACAACAACAATCATCATCATCCTCTTCAATGTTTGATACAACCAATTATAATAATAATAATGGTTTTTCATCTTTATTCGGTGGTAACAGCAACAACAACACCTATAACAACAATATAGATCAAGGTTTCGATTCTTCAAATATATTCGGTAATAATAACAAAAATAATAATCAAAATGAATTCGATATAAGTATGTTTATCTATAAATATGATAAGATGGGAGAGTAATCAAGTTTAAACTAATTATTAATTGCTATTGTTAGATATGTTACCAGATGATGATATCGATTTATCAAAGTATAATCATAGTAATGATGGTGCTATTGTTAGTGAAGATACTTATAGATCAGCATTGAACGATAGATTAATGGAGCAATATGATAATGAAGCCAATAGAAGTGTTAGTGGTTTGCAAATGGATGAAATAGACGATCCAGATTTAGATTGGTTTAGACACCAAACATTGAATAAAACAGATGATGATATCTTTTATGAGATCATAGAGAAGCAAGCTACGATCGCCAGCAACAACAACAACAACAACATGAACAACGACACAAACAACCAAGATAATCAATTTGCATATTTACAAATGGTTGATCAATTTAAAACTTATTTCGTCAACAAGTATGTCTGCTTATTAAACAAAACAAATAATATTCATTAACTTATCAAATTCATTTGTTAAAACAGATTATCATTACTTAAATATCAATTAGAGAGACATTATCATCTACCGAATAAAAAGGATACTGAAAGACAGATAGATCAAGTACAAAACGAAAAGAATACATGGGATATCCTTTGTAGATTATATCAAGATAGAGATAAAGATTAGTATGTATTAATAAAACTTAAATAATGATGATGATGATGATGATTTCGATATTAATCAAATGTTGGTTCAGTCCTGAAGAAAGAGATCAACCAGATGACATTCAAATGGATAGTAATATAAGTCAAGTCGATGTAGTTGCTTTGAATATAAAGAGAGACTATCAGATGCGTGAGAATATCATCGTTTTGAATTGGTTGGAGGAGATGGCATCAATGATAAAGTACACCGATGAACCTGTCTACTGGAAGAAGACACTCGAAGCTATCAAGACTGGAAACAAGCAACATTTGGTACAGTTTCTCGACCCGGATGCTCAGCAACGTTTGAATCTAAAGATTGACGCTATCGATGAGAAGGACGACCACCAGTTCCTCTCGACGCTCTGGTCGCTACTGCGTGTTGGCAACCGAGAGTTGGCCATCCAGTTTTGTCAGTTGGTCGGTCAGCACTGGCGTGCACAGACTCTTATCGGCGACGCCAAGTTTGCTTCGGAACTAGAGATTGGTAATCCCTATCGTAACTTGTGGCGACAGAGCTGTTTGACGCTGTCGAACAACGCCAGCGACGAGTATGAGCGTGCTATCTACGGTGTTCTGGCGGCAAACGTTGGTAACGCACTTCCAGTGTGTAAGAATTGGTACGACTATCTCTGGGTCTATGTTCGTGTGCTCATCGACATCAAACTCAATGAGGAGCTAAAGAGCATACCAGTGCCACCAACTTCCTACGAGGATATTCCACCACTTCCTACAGCCTCGACATTCCGATCGACAACCGATATCCTTCATATTTTGAGAACCAATTCACCGGTTGACATTATCAAACAATCGATGGAGCCATATAATATCATTCAAGATAGATTGATTTCAGATGATTATCAAACTTTATTACAATCCCTTTTAGATATATTAAAATCGTAAGTTAAAATTAACCTATAAATATGATTGGTTAATAACGCTAGTTAGTTACTAACTATTATTAAAAGTGGAAAGCAATCACCGGATTTCTTAAGATTGTCAATTGGTTTAGTATTATTCTATAGATTTAGAACTATTAATTATCAACCAAATCCAGATGAACAATCACCAGAGAATGTTATTATTCATTCATACATTCAATATTTAATTGATACTCAAAAGGTAAACTTTTTTATCTATTCTATTCGTTATAAACTAATTATTTATTAACTATTATTATTTTATTTAGCACGAGTTGGTAGCTTTATATACATCTTTCTTGGGTAATGACGTACAGAGAACTAAATTATATTCAAAGTTTTTGGAAGGTATTACAGAGTTGGAAGAACGTCAGAGATGTTTGGGATTGGCAGAACGTTACAATTTGGATACAGAATTGATTACAGAGACCGTCGTCAATAATATCAATGCAAAGAACAGAGGTGTTAGTTCACGTTCAATGTCCACCACAACCGAAGCCGATGTCGCTAAGATCGATGCTATTGGTTGGCTCTGTTTCAATCCTCAGCAACGTATTGAAGCCATTCTCAAATCGAACCTTTTGATTCGTGAGTTTGTAGAGAACAACAAATTGGATGCAGCTCAACAACTGATTGACGCACTACCAAAGAACTCTGTGGCCATCTCCAAGATGGAAAGCACAAGATCAGAGAGCGAAACCATCGACATCATCAAGGAGTTCACCAATTGGTCACAGTATTTGGAGGCAACCAGAAGAATCGGTATCTGGTTCCACAACTACTCAAAGAAACCAAAACAATCGACCCTCCATTTCAGACTGACTGGCAAGGAATCGTACGCACAGAAATTGGATCTCGAAAGAAAAAAGAAAGAAGTCGAAGAGGAATTTGGTCAGTGGAGTCAAAACAATATGCTCTATGGAAGAGATGCAATCGAATCGGTCAACACAATTATTAAACAAAGTTGGCTATGTCCAGAATCAATTCAAGATGGTATTTTTGGTTAAGTTAGCAATAACTTGATTCCATTTTTTGACCAACTAACCAACTAATTTGATAATCTTTTTTTTTTTTTTTCTCCAGTTAATCCAAGTGAATATCAAAAACAAATTCATTCATTAAGAGTCAGTTGTATACCACCATTATTCTTTTCACTTCATCAACTGTTGGTTGGAACTGAGCAATACAAGAAGAGCTCACGTATTTGTAATTTAATAGCCGACGAAAGATTGAAATGGTACAATGTCTTCAATCGTGAACAAATTCAAGAAATGCTTTCATTGGTCCAAAAGAGTTTAATCACTATGATGGAACGTCAAGATAATCAATCAAATAATAGCTACGATATATTACAATATAAACAAAAAATAAAGCAATAAAAATAAATAAATACAAATCTCGAGACTAAAAGTTATTATGATGCAATTCTTATCTATTATTTGGTTCTTTTTTTCTGTTGTGATGCTGCTATTCCAAGAGTAATAACAACTTTTTGCCTCTTCAATGTCTTTTGTATCTGTGTGATAATGATGTTCCTTGTTTCTTCCAAAATTAATGAGCAAAAAACAAAACAAAAGAGATATATATAATCTTTTCTGAATACATTTTGACCAGAAATATATTGATTTTTTAGAGATATATAAACATAATAAGAGAATTCAATTAATTAAAAAAGAATTAGTAGTGTATTTGTTTATATTGATTAGTTTACACCCTTTTTATTTCCTACCAAGTGGGAAATTCCTTGTTTGCAAACATTTTTTATAAAAAGTACGATCACTTTTTTTTATTTTGCAAATCATTTTTATTTTCTCTATCATTTTATTCAAATTAAAACCTATGATAACAGACTTAACAATGGATTTTTGTAAAGAACATTGGGAACAACCTTTTACATTTTATTGTTCAACTTGTAAAGAGTTAATTTGTAATGAATGTATTGTTTCACATCAATCACACACGTTCTGTACCATCAGTAAAATGAGAGTGGAAGAGGAAAACAATCGTTTCTATATGAAGAATATCGAATATCTTTGGAAACAATTGAAATGTACAGCAACTACAGTTGAAACACTCAGAAAAACAGAGTCAGAGATTGCAGAGTTCTACAAAGAACTTCATGATCTTCTCATTCAAGAGGAACATAAGATCAAGAAACAAGTTATCTCAGAGGTTGACAAAGCAGCTATGTTAATTCTGGATACTATTAAAGAGATACAAACAACAAAACATGTCATCGAATCAATGGGCCTGGAGATAAAGTTTGAAACCAGTCAAGAAAGTAACAACAACAATGATGATTCATCTTTCAGTGAGCAGGTGGAGCAAATGGTTACCGAAGAAAGTTCGTCTGACGAAATTGCTAATATTAAAGTTATCGAAGAAGATATCAATAAACTGATTGATACAATTGGTCAATGTTCAAATTTAAAATCATTTTTGAAAACTGAATCATTATTTCCAAAGTCAGTTGGAGAGAGTGACAAACCAATGGATCAGAAGCAATTAATTGAATGTATGGGATACATTGCACAACTCAAACCAACTATTTCAATTCAATTACCAATTGAATACGAAGTTAAGTTCTCTGAAGAAGCTAGAGATAGCATTGTTTCAAGTATTCCTCAATTAAACGATCTATATGACAAGAACAGAAAGTTTTTGATTATTCATAAGAGTGATGGATGGATTAAGTTGGATCTCTCAAACGAATCTATTGGCAAAGTTGGCACACCTACAATTGGTAGCTATTATTCATTATCAGTAAATGGACGTGATTCACTGATGGGTGCTAGCTCATTATACACGTTCCAAGATAATAATTGGAAGACACAGTCTTTAATTAAGTCAATTTCGAATATTATTAGTTCATGTCACGATTACGAGAATAACATTTTTTATATATTTTATTCAGAGCAGCTAAACTTCAAGTCTCCTTTGTATTACCATTTGTTGAAATGGAATATTAATGACAAGTCTTCAAATGTTTCAACACTAAAATTCACACCAAAAAGTAATACTCAACCTGTATTCGTTGACAATTCATTATATTTTTATGATATTTCAACCAAACAAATTCATCTTTTGGATCAAGAAAAATACACAGTAGATTTATATTATTCATTGGAGAAAGTGATTTCAAGAAAACTTCATGCAGCTGTCTATGATAATAATGGATCAATCTTTGTATCAACAAAGAAATCTATTTATAAGATATCAGTTATCGATAAAACATGCACCAAAATATCAAATCTTCCTTGTTTCATTGATAAAAAAACAACAATTAAAATGGTATGTGTTAATCAACCAAATAGTCATATCAAAGGGGATGTCATTTATATTCTCAACGTAGATCCAGAGGCAATTCATTGTTATCATATAGAGTCTGAATCATGGCATTTAATTAAATCTTCAATCAAAAATATTCGTTCAATTTCTGTATCTTTCTGAAAATAAAAAAAATTGTTTTTCGCACATTTGTAAAATTAGGAACCAGTGTTTCCCAATTTAATTCCTGATCAAAGGTTTTAAAACACACTTAAACAGATTGGTGATATTAATATTATTATTTATTTATTTTAAGAGAGTAAAGAATTTATATAAGAAAGGTCGGATGTTGAATCCATTGAATCTGCAGGACCAGAATCATGTTCACCATCAGACGTTGATGCTTGTTGCTTTTTTGATTTCTTTTCTTTCTTTTTCTTTTGTTGAGATGCCTTTCTCTTCTTTGATGGGTTTAATTGATGTTCAAGATTTCTCTCTTTGACCTGTGCCATCGTAAGGTGACTGAAATTGCAGTTGTTTGGATTTGAACATTGACCATTGTTGGCAAAAGAAAAACATACTTTGATATCGCTGTTGTTGGTCGATGCTTGATTCTTGATGATTGGTGCAGGTGGTTGAGGTGGAGCTGGTAGAGGAATTAATGTTACAGGTTGCACGTCGTGATTCACAATTGGTAGACCCTGATGTAATTGATGCAGATCATAGATGATATCATTTGGATTTTCAGTTTGATTGGTTTCAGTTTGTTGGTGAATATGTACAAAGTTTTCCAAACTCTTGTGAACCATCAAGAACCGATCACCACCCGACAGATTCTTGATATGCTTTAGAAGCTCCATCGTTATTTTCGAGCTCTTGGACGGGTTGAACTGACACTTGGGATGAAGAATATGAGTCATATCTTTTTTCTCCAGTGCCAATAGTTTACGATTCCAAACATTGACACGAGCGAAAATCAGATGTGCATCCGGTCGAATGTATGTGTATGACCACCACTTGGCTGTGTCACTCACCGAGGCATCTTCGAGACCACGTTCGGCTTGATATTCCAACTTTGTCTTGATACCAATATATCTGACCTTTAATTTCGATGATGGATCTGGTACCAAACCATGAATCTTACATCGAATGAGTAACTTCATCTCACCAAACCTCCAAACGTTGTACGTCAAATTTGTTGAAGTCAAGTGTTTTTGTTTCGTTGTATCTTCATCCGTTGAGAAATGAATGGGTGGATAATTTGATTGTTCTCCTCTTGTCAATCCAATAGACTCTACAGCCAAATTGAAATACTTTTCATTCTTTTCCTTTGGAGTAATCGATTTCTTTAATAAAGGTTTATCTAAAATATATACTTTTTTATTCTCTCCAGTTGCATTGACATAATCTAAAAATATATAAAATGATAACATTAGTATCTAATTATAATTCTAATAAACAAGATATTTATTACCTCTTGATGTAATAGGTATTTCCCAATCTTCTGAAAAAGGTGCAACATTATTTATAAGCTTAACAAACGAAGATGATGATAAAACTATATCTATATTATTCTTTTCGACTAAAGATTGAATGTTTGTATCTTTTGAGAGTGTAGGGATTGTCTAAAAAAGAAAAATAATGGTTAAAATAATTTGCTGAATAAATAATACATATTTGATATCCTTATACATACAGACTTTGTCCAAAAAGTAGATGAAATAGTTGGTTCATCCGGTGAAGGATAATAGTTTGAAAGTGGTACTTCTGAGTTTAGAGGTATCTTTTCGAAAACCGGACATTTTCCTAGTTGAAGAACTGTACCACGATGCATCAATATCGGATCGCTCGCATGTGGAATCATAGTTGATATATCTATTGATTGTATTAACTTGTAATATCGAGGTAGTGAATGTATCTGTACTACTTTTCTATTAAAGATTAACTATTTTAAATAAAAAATTAAATATAAGTAAATGGTTATAATTTGTTAATCACAATAATTGTTAACAAGATAAAACTTACATTCATTAATTTCTCAACTTCGTCATCTATACTATGATATAGATTTGGTCTCTTAACAATCGATTGATGTAAATGTGGAAATGCAGAGCTAGATGATAGTGGATTAACAGCTGGTTGATTTGGTGTTGGCTTTTGTATGGTTGGTGGAGGTTGATATTCAATAGCATTGTCGTTCTCACTCGATTTAGCAGCGATCTTTTGCAATGATTGAATCGATTTTGATGAAGAGATATCTAATGGATTTAATTTTGAATTTCTAATCGATGGTAGCTTTCGAATTGCAACTGTTGGTTTGACAACTGGTGATACTGTAGATGGAGAAAGAGATGCATGTTCATTATTTGTTGGTGTTGTTTGCTCTTGTTGTAATGGTTGTTGTTGCTGTTGTGGTTGTTGTTTCTTTGTTATAGATGGTGCTACACTAGGTGGAAGAGATGATGAATCAAGAAGAATCGCCGTTCTAGCAGCACTCTTTGATTTAGATTTTTGAACATCGCTTGGTTTAACCAATGCAAGACTAGGATTTTCAAATGAATTCGGTAGAGTTGCATCACTAGTTGACTTTTTACCATGATCTTCTTTCGTTTGATTCGTTTCATTTTGTTCACGTTGTTTCTTATCCAATGTAGTTGTTGCAGTCTTTTTAGGTGATTTTGTTTTTTTTGTTGTGGTATTGGTAGTCGCTGTTGCTGGTGTTGTTGTTGTAAATGTAGTTATCGAATTTAATGTTATTCTACTTGTTTCTGTTTCGTTATGATTGCTGTTACTATCGAGTGTATTATGATAATCATTATCTAGATAACTAGGTAGTTTCCTATTGAACAACTGCTCGAATGGTGTAAAGAAATACTCATTCCTAGAGAATGATTGGTTGAATTGCTCTTCATCTATCTTTAGTATATTCAAATTGAGATCGCTGCTCAATGTATATCTGGTTTGTTTTAAATAGATAATTTAAAGTAAAAAAAGTTAATATATAAAGTTATATTCTTATTTGCATTCTAAAATTGACATTTACCCATTGATTGATTTATAACATTCTTCTATAGATATTTTATTCATTACTTTAAAGATTTTACTAAATAAATAAAGAAAAAGAGTTTAAAATAATATTAATATTAATTTTTTAATTTTTCGAAAAATCGACCGATTCATGAAAACTCCAATGTCGAAGTTTTTTTAAAAGCCAACTTTTAGCGAATCAATGAGACTTCAAAATGAATGATTTGGATCTGGTCTCAAGATTTAAAAAAAAAAATCTAAAAATAAATAAATCCTATTATTATTATTATCATTTAATTTTTATTTTTATTTTTATTTATTTATTGAATGGTGGCACTGGAGAGAGGGTGATTGAATTGAGAGGCAGCCTTCAAGAAAAGATCATCGTTTTGAGTATATTTCTCGAGGATTGATTGTTGTTTCTTCTCATCTTCCTTGAGTTGTTCTTTTGTGGCGTTGACTTCAAAGATTTGTTCAAGCGATTCGTTGGCGAGACAGGTGATCTTTCCTTGAATTTCAGTCCAGAGGTCGGTTTGCATTGGCACCAAGAAGAAGTTGTAGAATTTCAAAAGTACATTCTTTGTGATACGCTTACGGATGGTGTCAAAGAGTTGTGTTGTCAAGAGCTCGACTGTAGACTTGGTGTCTTGGTGGTCGGTTCTGAGGAATGGCAACGATTGATCTGGGTGTTCGGTCAACTCCCAGTAGATGGTACGTGTCGAGTAGAACTCGTCCATACACTTCTCCTTGCAAACCTTGGCAGAGTGTTCAATGAACTTGTAGAACAAGTCCTTGACGTGGTGAGTAAAGTATGGATATTGGTCGATGTTCTCAATGTCAAATGCACGAATCGCTGTCGAGGTGACACGATTCTTCTTACGCGAGTCGATAACCTTGTCGGTGACATCGGCCAAACGCTTCATGATGTAGACGGCACGCTCGCAGAGTTGCTCAATGAGTGGCACCAATGCGTCTTGTGATTTCTGTTGAGCCAAATCACATGCTGCCCAGGCGTAGTTGGGGATGTTGTTGAGCTTGTTGATACCAGAGGCAGTGGCGACGTCGTCCAAGGTGACTTCAGTGATCTTGGTGTTGTCACAGACAGCCTTGAACTCTCCCATGAGACGCTCAAATTGTTGTCCACCGTAGAGCTTGCTGTTCCAATATGGGATACCCCATTCCTCGGCGTCAAACTTGATTGGACGGTTGTAGAGATCGACCCAGTCACCTCCGTCACCCTGTTGTTGCTTCTCCTCGTCAAGAGTCTGACCGTTGACCGATGGATTACCCTCGCTGGTACCTGCCAACAACTTCTCGGTGATCTGTAGGAATGTTACGGTGTAGTTGGATGCGACGGCACGCAACATGGTGGAGTCGAGCGATGCCGATTGCTTTTGGAGATCGGACAACGAAGACTCGGCCGATTGACGCTTGGAACGGAGGTGCTTGAGAATTCTTGGTACGGCATCTTGGTGGTATTTCCAGGTGATGTTGAGAATGTAACGACGGAATGGGTGGACACCGATGTTACGCTCGTAACGCTTGTCGTATTGGAGTTGCTCCAATGCGTTCATGTCACGCTTGTAAGCTTGAGTCAACTTCTCTTGGAAGTTGGCTGGCTCGGAGAAACGAGCACGAATCTTGTGGTTTGGAATGGTGACAAAGAACGACTTGATCTCTGACATGGTTCCGGCGAGGAAACGGTTGACGGAACGTGTGGAATTGAAGTCTTGGATGATGTTAAAGAATTTGGTAAAGACAAAGGTGGAACGACTCAACTCTGGGTCGACACGCTTGACAAAGGAGAGCATGGTCATGTTGGACCAGTCACCACAAGCTTCGACGGCAACGATCAAACGGTGAGTTGGACGGAGGATCGAGTTGACGATGGCGTCGATCTTGGCTTGATCGGCGGTACCCTCGGCAACCAAACCCGGAGTGTCAATCAAGGTGAGATTCAAAGTGTTCTTGGCTTCGATCATGATGTAGATTGGTTCTTCGGTGATGGCGGTATTACGACGGGTGATGGTGTCGTTCAATTGCTCGATTGGGATGACGACATCATGGTCAAACTCCTTGATGAATCCGTCTCTCTTGATAGTGATCTTTGGTGTCTCACACTCTGTGTTATTGACAAACTGCAAGTGGAGAGCTCTCTTTGAGCAACCCATTGCACCAACGATATTCAATGGACGACCAATGAACGATTCAATTAAACTGGATTTACCAGATCCTCTTGGTCCAACAAATACAATTTCTGGTTGTGGAATTGAAGTATTTAAACTAATATTAATGGATGATAAAAAAAGATTGTTAGGAACAATTATTAAAGAACAAAAAAAAATGTAACTTACTCTCTTGAGAAAGATTGTAATTTATCATAGGCACCATAGACTTCACCTGGGAAGAAAGTAAACATGTCTTGACCAACGTTGGATTTACCCATTTGTTCGAGTGATTGGATTTCAAACTCCTCATTGATCTCCTCGTTGGCAGAAGACTTTTTGCGTTCCTCTTCTTCCTTACGCTTTTGTTCGGCGGCAGCATCTTTTTCACGCTTGACACGCTCCTCTTCTTCTTTACGCTTTTGCTCCTCAGCCTTCTTACGTTTCTCCTCTTCTTCCTTCTTTAAACGATCGTCATCGGCAGTGAAGGTGGTGGCAATACCACTTGGATTAACAGTTGGAGTGTTGGCACCGTTTGGAGTGGTGCTGTTTGAGACGGCCACTGGTGTTGTGGTTTCTAATTTCTTCTCTAAATGAGCGAATTTACGATGATGGTTAGCATTTGAGATCATCATTTTTGAATTATTATTATTCTACTAATTAAAAAAAAAAAAAATTAAATTAGAAAAAAAATAGATTTTGAAAAATGTATAATAAAGAAATTATATATATAATAATATATAAATATTATAGATGATTATCAACAAATGACAATTGATAAAATAGTAACTAATTTGATAGTATTTGATTGTTTGGTTGATTGTTTGGTTGGTTGGTTTGATTGACTCCAAATCAATTTTACAACTTTTGGAAAATAAGTTTGTAAATATTAAAAATATGTTTTATAAAACAAGCTTAATGTTGATGGATATGGATTGTTTTATGATATTTGTATTGGAGTTGGATATCTCTATAAAAATTTTGTAATTTGTAAACTGTAATTTTAAATAATATCTAAATTATAGAGTTGGAATTGATTGTTTGATTGTTGTTTGTTTGATTGATTTAAAAAATCGATTTCCAGCTTGGCTATTTAAAGAAATTTTGTGTTTGTGGGGATGGTTTGGATAGATGGATATTTTGATTTGTCCTACTAATGAAGAATCATTCGTATACATGTGGTACTATTATTATATATATTTGGTATATAAATGATTAATATGTTTTTGATTTGATTTGTTGAGTTGAAATTTTGTGTGTAGTAATTAGATTGATTAATAATAATTTTAAATACTTATTATTATTATTGCTGTTGCTAATATTATTATTATTAATATTATTACTGAATTATTACTATCAACTTTATATTCATTTTTATAAAACAAAAATTATTATCCAATAAAACGTAATACTAAATCATATTAATATCGATTTCCTAAGTGATTGATTGATTGATTGATGGGTTGTGGATGAATGGACTAATCAAAACAAATAGAGTTGAGTGCCTATTTAATTATAGATGGACATTACCTTCATCAGAGGATTTCTTTTTCTTGTCATCTGACTTATCTTTCTTTTTGAATACAGACATCTTATTTTTGAGTGTATTTGAAATATCTATATAATTTAATTAAGTATATATATATAAAGTTAGTAAATAATCATCATTTATTTATTTTTTAATTGGATTGTCATTTTTGATTGAGTGTATAATTAATTTAGGTTTGTTTGTTTGGTGTGGTTGTGAGTGGTTTTTAATTAAATTGGGTGATATCCAAGGAAAACCATTATAAAAATATCGACAAAAATTTAAAGATGATTAATTTAAAAAAAAACAAAATGTGTGGGTGATTTGATTGATTAAAGAAATGGTAATAACAAAATAATGTTAATTAAAATGTTAGATGTTTGGAAATATTCGTTAATAATTAATAGGTAATGACATAATTTATGTGAATCATTCAATTATTATTACTAGTAATTAGATAACAACTAATCTAATTGATATCAATTACTAATATGCCACCTTTTTGAATGATTGGCATGAAAGAGAGATCTTTGAGTGACTATATAATTATTTAAATTTGATATTGATCATTGCTTATGTACATGACATTGTTTTTCTAGATTAGGTGATCGCAGTTGTTTCGTCTTTATCGTTTTTTTTCAGTATCGCAATGTGAATATTATTTATTGCTTCTTATTTTAATATTCTAACAAATTCGATATTGATATGATGAGCTGTATTGATTGTGGATGGTTGATTTCCTTTCTATCAAATTATTATTCTATTACTTTATTATTCCTTTCTTTCTTTTCTAATCCACAAATTCAATTCTAAAGTTATTGTACAATAGTAATAACAATATTAAAGACAACAATAATAAATTAAACTATATGAGTATTATATCCAATATATATATATATATATAATTATGTACTACTACAAATAGTAAAGTAAGTCCATTTAAATAGGTTACCATATAAACAGATAGATAGATAAATAGATAGATAGAATCTGTCAACTCAAATAAAAAAATTGAATTTAAATATACCATCCACTCATATCTTTAAGTTGAATTGATAATTCCAAAAAGAGATTGAATATATGGTAGGTCAATAGATAGAAAGATAGATTGATTAAATACTATCATTTGAATATCTAAATGATTGGTGAGTGGTGTGGGTTAATTAGTGGTGGTAGTGTGTTTGGCGCTAAGTGATGATATCTTTATTCAATTGATAAAAATGCCCCAAACCCTATACTCTACTCTACTCTATTATTATTATACTAACTAAATATAAAACTATTACTACTACTATTATTATAATATAAAAAGTTGTTTAAAAAAGTAAAGCAAAGCAAAATAAAATAAAATAAAAGTAGTTTAACTATTTTTGGTTTGATTGATTTGTTTTATGATTATGATTTTGATTTTTTTTTTTTTACCTCTTTTTTAAAATAAGAATTTAAATAAATATATATGAAAGTAGGTGTAATTTGATTGGATTGAATCAAATACTTAAATAAAATTAATATTATATATGATTTAAAAATACAACAAAGTAAGAGGAAAAATATTTAAAGAATGAATGATATTTTTTGGTACTGTCTCTCTTGAGATAAAATTAATTATGAAAACTTTTTTTTTAGATTTTTTAAAAATATTTTTATTTTGAATTTTTTTGATATTTTTCATATGGATTTGAATGGGTGGGTCACAAAAGATGGCGCCTCCAATTGGGTTTTGAAAAATGACTTTTTTAACAGTCAAATTTAAAATTCTATCGGCCAATCACGATAGCATAGTTTTGTGGGTGCTCATCAATCACAACCACAAGTAGTGACGACCAATCCAAATCTCTGATTGGGAATCAATTTAAACACGTTATGTTTTTTCATTGTAATCATTAATCACAAGATGTGAATTTGTTTTGTTTTGATCAAAATAAAATTGTTTGTGTTTTACAATATTTCATGAACTTCTAAAATTCAAATTTAAAAATTATCATTTTTTTTGGGTGTTGTTTTTAACCGCTAAAAAATTCTAAGTATTGAATGACTGATTGAATTGATTCAAAACTTTGAATAAAAAAATAACATTGATTTTTTTATTAAAATTTTAATAATTTAATTACAACAAAAACAAGACCTTTATTGTTTGAAATTGATTGTAAAACAATCAATTTGTTAATTAATTAAAATGTCTTTAAAAAGAAAATCAAATAACACAAATGATATAAGTTCGAGTTCTGCCGAAACTTTCGAAAGTAGTATATCGAATTTCAAAATAAGAAAAGAAGATTTTAAACTTGATTTTGATGATGAAATTGTAAGATCTTCAATAATAAATAATAATACATTTCCACAACCAATATTGCGTTAAAAATAAAATCGACTAAACTAATATTTCTATTATTTTTAGATGACACCTAAAAAGATATTGATTCAAGGATTTAATGGTGGAATCAGACAACAACAACAACAACAACAACAACAATCGTCATTTGGACACCTTTCCAATCAGGAGAACAGAAGGGTTGGTGCTACCACACCAAAGAGAAAATCTGTTAATAATCTTTTGTCAGAGTTTAGCAACAACTCTGCACCATTATCTCCACTCAATCTAGAGAATATCAATAATATAGCATCACCCACTTTTAAATCATCGTCGAGCTCTTCACTCTCGTCCTCTCCCTATGAGAAAAAGCTACAGGATGGATTCGCAGTGCCAGCACCTGTCAACCCAGCAATTACAAAGTTGAAACAAAAGGAATTGCTAGCATCATTATCACAGTTACAATCACCAAAAACCAAACCCGTAGTCATCTCTTCGCCAACCACAATTCCAACTACTACTACCCCAACAGCAACAGCAGTTAAAAACACAACAAATAGTTCAACTCCATCGAAATTAAAGACACCAATTAAATCTCTTAATACATTTGCAGTAAGTATTTATAATAGTATAAATTTAAATTATACTTATAGTTTAATCTATTCTTTTTTTTTTTTTTTTTTTTTTGGATTTTCTATAATAATACTACACCAGTCACCATCTCTTAAGAGATCTAATACTCCAACCAATGTTATTATACCTTTATCCAATATGACTGTTTCATCACCAAAAAAGTTACAGGTAGATGAGGAGTGCAACGATTCACCTTCACCACCCTCCAATGATCCCGTTACCGTACGAAAGTCACCGTCGCCAACAAGAACCAAGTCACCATCGAAAAAGACAAATATGATCAACAAGAGAATTAAGGATATCAAGCAATGCGAGACTACAATTAAATCCGATGTCCATCCATCCAAAGTTATTTCTGGCTCAAAGATGTTAACAAAGCATCAACAACAACCAAGTGCATCAACCAAACCAACAGCTAAAACAACAACAACAACAATTCCAAGAATGAAATCATCATTGTCAAACTCATCGATTGCGACACCAATCAAGTCAGTAAGCAGCGGCAGCAACAGCACCACCACTACACCAATCAAATCTATATCAACACCAATAACATCATTGACACCATTAAAACGTCAAAATGAAACAATAACAACACTTGTATCCTCCTCCTCCTCTATCGGCAACAAATCAGTATCTACGCCAATTGTTAAAAAGATTAAACCAACTATAACTACAACACCAACAACAATAACAACACCAGTATCATCCAAGTTCAAATCGGTTTCAATGGAGACTTCTGCTACTAAAAGACCAATGCCAACAACAACAACACCTGTATCTATTTCCAAGAGAGATCTAACATTGTCTTCAAGCAGAAAGCAATCAAAAAGACCGGTAGAGACGTCAGCCAACGATGACATCGATTTTGAATCTCGAATTGAATCAGCATTGATTGCAGCTGCACAAGGTACAATCATCTCTGGAAGTCTATTACTAAGCTCACCGGAGCGTGCTAAATTAGAACAACAACAATTGGAACAAAAGAGCAAATGGTCACCAATTAAGAGAAACAAACAAATATGAAGAGTAACTTACTCTTAACACTAATCAACCTATAAATTTGAGAATATTTAATTATATTACTCATTTTATCAAAAAAATTAACTTTTTTAAATAAATTATACATATTACTAATGATTGAGCTAGCTTATTATAAACTTGAACTTCTAATAATAAAAAAAAAAAAAAAGAAATTTCCTTTTCTTTTAAAGATATTTTTTAATTTCATTGTCCGATGCATTTCATTATTTTAGTTTTTTTTTTTTTGTTTATATAACTAGTCTTTTGATAGTAGATAGACAGATAATGAGTGAACAAAAGAATGTTGGATGTGGTCACCACGATCACAACGATGATGATATCAATTCAATATCAAAAGATTTAGATACAAAGATACATTTGACAGAGGATCAATGTAAATGTGAAACAAAAGAAGGTGAACCTGACGTAGATATGTTAGATCTTCAAAAATCAATTGATAGCAAAGTAAATAATAATAATAGTAATAGTAATAATGATACAAGTAATAAAAAGACAATAAAAGGTAGAGCAGAAGTAATTTGTTCAAAGTGTGGATGTTGTAAATTAGTACCACTCAAAATACCATTCTATGGACCTTATACTATTAGAGGACTTCAAAAGGGTGTAAAATATGAATACTGCACATGTGGTCTCACAAAGAATCAACCGTTCTGCGATAAATCACATGTTGGCACTGGCTTTAAACCAATACCTTTTACACTGGAGAAAGAGCAGACAATCTGGTTACTTTGTGGTTGCAGATACTCACAGAATCTGCCTTATTGCGATGCTGAACATTCCAAGTTACCTTTTAATCCAAAGGATCCACCATGTAGATGTGATAAAGCAAAAGAATTAGAATTTTAAATCATTCATTGATTAATAATAAATAAAATAAAATATAATCAATTGATTGTAATTGTATATTAACTCAATGAGGTAGTTCTTCTTTATTAGGATTTGCTTATTCAATCATTGTTTCAAAAAAAAAAAAAAAATCAATTACTTAGAAATAACGAATTTTTTCAAAATAGGTGTTGGCGTTGGCGCCATAAAAATAATAATGGTTTAATACTGTTTATTGAATCAATTAAATTTTATAAGTTATAAATTAAATATTTATATATAATATATATTAAAAATGTCAAGTCAACAGAAAATAAGTGATTATTTTTCGAAGAGAAAAAATACTGAAGATGAAACGACTGTAAAGGAGGAGAGTAAAGTCACAGAAAATGCCTCTGATGATGATAGCAATCATCCAGACGAAGATCAAAAGATAAAGAAGAGAAAAACCAACAATTCAAAGGTTTTAAAGAAAGAAAAAAAGATAAAAAGGAGAAGAGGAAGAAGAAGATAAAGTTGAAGAAAAAGATAAAGTTGAAGAAAAAGTAGAGATTAAAGCTAAAGAAGAAGTAGAAGAGGATAACGTATCTACTGAAGAAGAGAAAGAGAAAGAGAAAGAGAAAGAAGAAAAAGTTGAAGTTAAAAAACCAGCGAAATTAGTGCCATTAAAACCAGCAGGTGGAAAGAAACAAGCATCAATACCACAATTGAAAACATCAACTTCTTCCACTTCTTCATTGGAATCATCTGCACAATCACCTGATTCGAGTGACCCAAGAGACTTTAGCAATATTCTGGACTACCTCAAGGATGAAAGTTGGAAGAATGCTCTAAAGTCAGAGTTTGAAAAAACATACTTTAAAAAGATTATCAAGGAGCTCAATAGCACCGGTGCCAACACAAAGGAGCCAATCTACCCACCAAAGGACGAGATTTTCACTGCTCTCAACTGGACACCGTTAGACAAGGTAAAAGTTGTCATTGTCGGACAAGATCCATACCATGGACCTGGACAAGCTCATGGACTTGCCTTCAGTGTCAAGAAAGGTGTCAAACCACCACCCAGTCTTGTCAATATCTACAAGGAGCTAACCACCGATATCGAAGGATTCAAAACACCGAACCACGGATTCCTTGAGAAGTGGGCCAAACAAGGTGTTCTGATGCTCAACGATACGCTCACTGTGACACAGGCCAAGCCAAACTCGCATCAGCCATTCGGATGGTCGGCTTTTACCGACGCAATCATGAAGGTCATCAACGAGCAATGCGAAAACGTAGTGTTTATATTCTGGGGAGCGTTCGCCAAGAAGAAAGGAAAGGAAATCTCCAGAAAGAAACACCATGTCATCGAAAGTGGACATCCATCACCGCTGTCCGTCAGGACATTCATGGGAACCAAACCATTTTCGAAAACCAACGATTATCTCAAATCAATTGGCCAAGAGGAAATCGACTGGACATTGCAATGAATAAGATGAACAAAAATAGGTTTTTTTGTTTTGTAATTTACAATTTTAAATATATTTGTTTTTATTATAATCATAGGTTTTCCATTTTTTTTGTTTAAAATACAAATCCATTTCTCTACAACTTATTATTATTATTATTTGTTTGTTTTTATAATTATTATTATTATTACTATTATTATTATTACTAGATAAATGGATTCAAAATAAATAAGGTTGTTTTTTTTTTTCTTTTATGACTTTAGTTAATTATTATTGTTATTGTTATTATTATTATTTAAGTTCAGTTGAAGAAGGAGGTTCTTCATCGATTGAACACTGTGAATTAAATGAAGAGTTTAGCGATGCCGGTGAGGTGTTGTTTGGACTGGCATCGAGAGCATCCGATGATGAATGGTGATTCATCATTTCGGTTAGTTGAACTGAAATCTCCTCGAAACATGTTTTGCAAATTCTAGCTTTCTTTCCTGGTAGGTATTGTGAGAGATCTGTAACTGGACAACAATCATTACAATAAATCTTTCCACATTTTCTACAATGATGCTAATAATTAAAAAAGAAAATTATTGTTAGTATCAAATATATATTTAAATGGTTTAAAGTTTGTCTTTGTTTAAATTTACTTACTCTTCTTCTTGTCATAGTAAAACTTGAAGAACAATGCATACATGCTTTAACCATTTGATCTTTCAACCAAATTGGTTTGGTACGTATTTCATTTTCATTTTCTTCGGTTGGGATTGAATTCTCGAGTTCCTTGAGAATCTCACTCGGTGACATTGATCCACGCTTCTCAAAGATTGACGATCGTTGTGCTTCACAATCTGGATTCTGTTGGACCAGATTAGTGATGACCTCATTCAACATCTTCATCCAACTCTGTTTATCTGCCTCCGATGGTGCACATAAAAAGTATGTTTTATTTGGTGAAATGATTTGGAATAAACAATTAAATCCTTAGTTTAATAAATAGTTGATTGAAAAACATTAGTAAGTTAACACAGTTATTCAATGGAAATCATATTAGATTATTACATACTTGGAGTATCAGGTAAATCTTTAACCCAACATTGTAATAGTGGAAAAGAATGTTTGAAACGATAGAGATTCTTCTTTTCCTTTTGGGCATAGATAAGCAGATCGTTAAAGAGGAAAAAGTGACGGGTGTTGACTACACGATCCGATATCTTTTTGAGATCACCCTCTTTGAAGAAAACACGTGTTGGCTTTACAATATCTTCGTCCATTCCTACCAGACTGTTCTGAATGTCCAATACTCTGTGCTTGATCTGGAATTGCAGTAGACGTTCGTCCAACTCAGAAGCAACCGAGCCAATCATTGTCAATGCCTCCTTGAGATCAACGTAATCGACATGATTCTCTGGTGACTTGGCCAAGAGATTCTCCAACAACAACTTGTATCTTGGGATTCTTTGAATTGGCATAATTAAATAACTTGATAAATTCAATCCTTTTGATGCTGGTTTTAATAAACATTTCTAAAAAAATAATAAAATAAAACAAATAACCAATTAGAATGATGTGATTGTTTTTGCTTCTAAAAATCAAATCTCTTAAGATCTATTTTGGCAACATACTGAAAGGAAAGATGAAAAACTTGGATTCGATTTGGTTAAACTACTTAGTAATAATATTGAAGAGTTGTATGAATTTGAATATACTGTATAAGCTCTTAAAAATGGTGCCTAATAACATAAAAACAACAAAAATTAATAATAAACTTTTTTGTCATAACTAATTTTAATACTTTACCATCTTTAAAAATACGTCACCAATCTTTTGAGTGTCAGACCACTTATCGATTCTTGATTCAAAATCAGTTAAAAAATGTCTTGTGAATATTAAATATAGTATCAATATTCATAAAGATACTATTGATCTCATCGACTGAAAGTATTTTGTCTTTTGAATTTGATTTATCTCTTAGAGGTAAAACGAATATCTAAATAGAATAGAAACAAGTATTAATAAACATAAATTTCATAACTTTACGATCAATAACTCATTATTAACTTACAGTTATAATTCTATTTAAATTATTTATATATTTCTTCTCTGTCGATAGAATCTCTTGAGCAAGATAGTTTCTTTGAGTCATGTCTGCTGCACTTCCTGTTTTTGCTGATGCTGTTGTTGTTGTTGTAGATGAGCTTGATGCATTGGCAGTTGAAGTGGTGGTGGTAGTAGTAGTTGTTGTTTTGTTATTATTATTATTATTTTTGGAAGATAGGGCTGGTGATGATGGTGAAGATGTAACTGGTGATCCTGTTGTTGGTGTGTTGGTTGCAGATGAATTGGCGCTATTATTGTTGTTTGGTTTGTTGTTTGTTGTTGGTGTGGAAGTTGTTGATCTTGGTGTTGTTGGAGTGGTCGATGACGACGACGACGATGAAATGGTTTCATCATCCTCTTCATCGCTGCTGTTGTCTTCTTCCTTCTCTATGATCACCGTTTTGAGGAATTTCTTTGCATTGATCGTCGATGTTGGTGTCATGGCCACCGGTTTAGGCAGTACACCACCTCGTTTCGGTATCGATATACTGTTGCTCTGGTTCGAACCAGGTGTTTGGTTGAAGCTGGCGTCTCTCGGTGGCAGTGCAGGTTTTTTGGCGATGGGACGCGTCAATCCTTCCGACGACAGTGGAATCGGTGGAGTCTGAGAGCGTGGTGAATTGTTGTTGCTATAGGTGGGAAGTGTTGGTGTCGACGAAGTAAGATTATTGGTACTGGCCGAGTGTTGTAGTGTCTTTTTGTAGGTGGGTGTCGATGGTGGTGTTGCTGGTGCTGCTGGTTTTTTGAAAAAATTATTGTTTTGTATGGGTGACGGTGAAGGTGATGAGGTGTGCGCTGAGGAGGAATGTGGAAGTGTGCCGTAGGAAGACGATAGATTTACACTGGGAATCTTTTTAAAAGTATGATTTCCACTGGAACTGAGTGGTGGTGTATTTACTGGTGATGATTTGCCAAATTGTGATACTGGTAATGGTGATGTTGTGCCGCTGCTGCTGTTGCTGTTCAATTTTGGCGATGCTTGTCCAACGTCATCACTGTTACTCGATAGATAGGTTGGTTTGGCGGATTGCGGTGGAGGTGGAGGTGGTGTAGATCCAACCCTATTACTATTTATACCTTGACTATTATTATTTGATTGACTATTATTATTATTTTGTTGTTGATTAGGAGTTGATGATGATGAATGAAGGTTGTTAGGTGGTGCACCGGCAGCAGTTGTGCTTGAAGATGACATTTTTCTAAGTTGTGATGCAACTGATGATGCCGATAATCTTGTCATACTTCCAGTGGGCGTGGGTGGTGGTGGTGTTGATGGTGGAGGTGTTGAGGTAGTGGTGGGTGTTGTCATTGTTTTTTTCACGCCATTTGATTGATTATTTTTATTCATATTTGTGTTATTGTGAAATTTCAATGTTTGTGACAGATATCTTTTTAGTTTCCTCTTTCTTTGACGCAAAGTATATTGTTTTGGTTGTTTTTGGTTAAAGTTGGTTTAGTTTTTGGTTATTTGGCTGGCTGTAGATGGTTATCTTAAAATATCTATATTTTCACAGCAATGTAATTGATTGACTGATTGATTGATGGAATGTTATTGTTATTATTGTTTCTTCTTCAATTTTGTTGTTTGGTTGGCTGTCATAGCAAACATTATATTATTTAGAGTTTAATGTTTTTTTGTCTGGGCTGTTGTTGTTTATTGGTTTTGGCTTTTTTTAATTTTGATTTTGTACTCTCCAAACTTTACAATGAATTAATTATTATTCTGAAGAATATTAAATGTTATTGCTATTACAATCGGGTGTTGCTTCTATTTGCAAAGTTATAATAAGGGGGGACCAAATAGAGATGATGGGTAAAAAAAACACAAAAAAATCAAAATCAAAAAACTCTTTTCTTTCTTTCTGTGTGTGTTGGATATGATAATAAATAAAATACAAAAAAAAACAATTTGTTTTTTTTAAAAAAAAATCTTATAACTTTTTTTTTTTTTTTAAATTAAACTAATATAAAGGTTGTGTGGTGGGTTGTTATTGTTTTAAAAACAAATAAATAGATAAATAAATAGATAGATAGATAGAGATATATGTTATATACAGATTATTTAATATGTCAAATTTGTTTAATTGACTTGCTAGATCAATCAAACAAAATTAAATAAATAGTGCAAAGAAGAATATAATTAAAAAAACAAAAAGAAAAAAAAACACAAGGAGCACTAAATATTATAAAACTTTTATTTTTAATTGAAAATGATGTTGTATTGGTGTAATAATGGTGAATTGATGAACGTGGTAATAAGACTTCTAACCAACAAACTAAATAATTATAATATTGGATAACACAAAAAAACCAAAAAAAAAGTGAAAATATTTTGTTGACATTGATTTTTCAAAAAAAAAAAAAAAAAAAAAAAGTTTTAAAAATAAAATTGGTTTTCAAAAAAAAAGTCGATTTGATAAGATCAGCAGTTGGTTTGCTGGGGTGTTTCGACTTTATCATACCGCAAACACCGTAAATCAATTTATAGATAATTATTTATATCTTACGATCAAAAATATATTATTAAGACTAAATTAAATATCCTTTTTCAATTATTATTATTATTATTTGTAAATATTTTGGGTTTTGTTTATATTTTAGTTTCATATAAAGAAATATACCAATAGATTTATTATTATTATTGTTGTTTTTATTATGATAATTTGATTTTAAATTTGTTTAGTTTATGTACAGGTTATAGAGTGTTTTGGTGGTTTTAATTGTATGGTTTTGGTTGATTGTTTTTAGTATTTTTGTTTTTTATATTCATAAGTATCAAGGAATCTACTTTGAAGATAATCACCGGCACTGATAGGTTTGTATTTTGGTGGTGATGAATCTGAGCAACATGAAGGAATGCATTCAACAATGGTATCGGTGTGAGGTTCACCAAAGAATGGAATCGAATAGCGATGAACACCTTTTGGTGGTCTAAGGACACGGTGTGCTGTCGATCGGTAGATATCGTTGGTCCATCGTTGAAGCATATCACCGATGTTCACAACGTATGAATCTTTAACAAACGGTACATCTATCCACTCGTCACTCATCGTCTTTACTTGTAGTCCACCAACATCGTCCTGTTGTAGTATCGTTAGAATACCGTAGTCGGTGTGTTCACCACCACCGAGCACAATCTCTCCAGTGTTTGGTAAGTCAAGATTCGCAGTGTAGTGCATTAGTCGCATCGCTGCCAACGGGTAGTCGTAGTGACGCGCAAAGTATTCACGATCCAAATTCAAAGCCGATGCAATTGCACGAAGTAGCATGCATATTATATTCTTCATATCGAGATAGTGCTCGTCGATAAGATCGATCGTAGCTTGATCGAATGCACTCGGTCTTGGATTGGGTCCATAGAGTTTGTGTAGATACAATGGATTGTCAGGTGACATTTTCATACCGAATTCAAGTGTTTCCTTCTCGTCGTGTGGTGATAACGGGTTGAGTTGTTCCAACTGGAAACCTCCATAGCCTCTGTGAAACTGATTCTTTGTCATATCGACCTCCAACTTTTTCTCCATCGGCAAACCAAAGAAAAATCTACTGATTTCCATCATCTTTTCGAATCTTTCACTTGGGATTTGGTGTCCAACGATATAAAAGAATCCGATTCCTCTGCTTACTTCGTCAATCTCCTTTGCCACCTTATTCCATTTCGAAACATCATCACTCCACAATCCACTTATATCAATTATTGGTAAACTTTTTAATTGTTCCATATTATTAATTCTCAATTAAATTTAACAATTTAACAATATTAATTAAACCAACATGTTGATAATAATGATAATGTACATTATCATACTTTTTCTCTTCTTTAAATTTTAACAAATTTTTTTTGATTTAAAATGGGGGTGAAATATGTTATTGGGCAATCACACACATAACACACAGATGATCTTATTTTAAATTTCTTTTTATTAATTTAATTTTTTAACTCTTAGGTTTAAAGCCTTTGTCCTCATTAAATGAAACCATTGATAATATTAAATCAAGATATAGATAATTGTTTTTTTATTTATTTAAACACATAGTGATGGAACCAATTGAATATAGATTTGAAATAAGAACTTCAAAAAAAGAGGATATGGAAAGAGTGTTTGAACTTGTCAAAGAATTGGCAGATTTTCAAAATATGTTAGAAAAGGTAATCATTTTATTAAAGAAAAAAAATAAAATAAAATGATTTATAAAATTATAATTATAATTAATCCCAAAAAATAAATAAATAATAGTTTACAGGTTCAAAAGAAGATTTAGAGAAATGGACATTTGGTGAGCATAAATTATTATATATATATTGTGGATGGCTATGTCCAGTTAGTGAAGATTGTTATATACCACCAAAGATGATTGGATATACTATCCATTTCTTGAATTACTCAACTTTCAAACATATACCCGGAATCTACTTGGAAGATATATATGTACAACCAGAGTATAGAGGTAAAGGCTATGGAAAAGCATTGCTTCTGAATCTCTGTAAGATCGCAAAAGACAACGAATTTGATATTGTTGAATGGCAGGTTCTAGATTCCAACAAGTCATCTATAGATTTCTACGAATCAATGGGTGCCAAACCAATAAGAGAATGGGTTCAATATCGTTTATCAGGTGAAAATACAAAACATTGTGCAATGGAATTTGATAGTTTAAATTTGGTAATAAATAAAAAGTAGAGTGTATAAAGTTGTAAAAAAGAATAAAGTAAAAAAAAAAATAGAATAGAATATAGTTTATTGTTTATGAAACAAAAGGTGAGATTGTTATTGACAACTTGAATAGTCATAACAGTTGTTGTTGTTGTAATTAAAGTTGGAAGCCTGTCCTCTGAAAATTGATAAAAATATGACTGGCGAAATTAATAAGATCAAAATGAAAACAACAAATAGAGCAACGACCAAGAAAAACAAAACAACACTGATAATTGCAAATATTCTCGCGGTTGGATTCTTTGAGCGAATGTATGCAAAGTTGCCAGCCCATACCAAGCAGACAAACATTCCAATGATAAAAATCGCGATAGCCGGTATTATATCATTATCACCGTTGGATGGAGAATTTACAGTAGTAGTTGTTGTTGTATAAATAACCTGTGGTTGTTGTTGTTGAGGAGGAGGTGCTTGAAGATAAACTAAGAAAACACAAATGACATAAATTAATATTTATTCAATGCATTGAATAAGCAGAAATCAAGAAGATAATAATACATTACCTGGTGAATATCCATTTGAATTTACATTAAAGTTTTGTGGTGGTGGGGCATAATATGTTTGTTGAACGTATTGTTGATTTTCGTATTGTTGTTGATTTTCGTATTGCTGTTGATTTTCGTATTGCTGTTGATTTTCGTATTGTTGTAGATTCTGTTGTTGATCATACAACCGATCATATCTGTGATCTTTTGATTGCAATTCTATAGTGTGAGTGTAGGTGTGGTTTTCATCATCACTTTCCAGCAATTTTTTAGCAACCATATAAGTGAGCATCTTTATAACAATGATCCATCCATGGACATATTAAAAATATTTATGAAGGAAATTTATGTAAAAATTGTAAAATATATTTTTTTCTCATAAACAATTCCCTCATACAAAAAAATTTTAAATTAATTTTAATTGTTTTTAAAAGAGATTATAATTAATATGCATATGAATACAAAGTTTAGCTTATCTTTGGAAGAGAATGTCAACACAAAGCATCGATTGATTATGTGCTCTTTCAGATTTATCGTTATGAAAGATTGGTTCGCATTTGTTGTCTTCTATCGAATAGATGTATTTTTTCTGGATTGAATAGATGTAACCCTCATCATCATTAGGTTGATGGTACACCAAATTATGGTCTGTGATAGCAATGTTAGGTCTACCCAATCTACTGATCCAAAAGGTTTCAATGTTTGCTAAATGATGATTAATTGAACTCAATGATTTCATAACATTTGTTTTATATTCTATTTGTTGTTCTGCTAGCTCTTTGTTGTTTATGATAGACTTCTTTAGTCTTCGTTCTTCGACAACAAGAAATTCATGTAGCTCTCTGAATCTATTTGATATTTCATCTTCAGTTTGTTGAAGCTGTTCATATTCCTTGACTGATGACTCTAAAGAATCGAATGTTGATTTAATAGTTGACTGGAGATCAAGATAAGATGGTATACTTTTATTATTATTATTCGATTTAATATTATCTATATTTGCAAATGAATGACCTTTATGCTGTGGTGGACATTCGGAACACATAAACATATTGCAATCAAAGCAAATGAGTTCGAGTATTCTATTATGATATGAACAGCCGCTCATTTTCTAACTATTATTATCAAATCTACTGATTATGTTTATGTAAGATATCTGGGGTGCAAATTTAAGATGTAATTTCGTTAACTTTTGAACTTTAATTTTTCAAAACAATAAATCTTTTAAATTCCATAGCCATCAGTTTTTTAACATCTCTACATATACAATATTATTAATTTATTTAAAAATAAAAAAAATAGAGATAATAAAAGTTATCAAATGTTATCTGGTATTCATTTGAACCATTTTCATATGTTTCTCTTGTTTTTTAAAAAGTAATTTCTTTTTCTTGTACAGAACTACTGATATGATGATGGCAACACCTACTACAGAACATACTACACCAATCACGATTGCTTTCCATTTGGTAGATTCGTTTGTTTGACCACAAACAGATTCACCAGATGTTGGAATAATGAGTGAACTGATGCTAGGGTCGATAATGATTGAGTCAGCGAATGTTTGTGTCTGAATTTCAATACCAAAAATGAAATCTTGTGTTTCATCGTCTACTGATTTTTTTACTAATGGGTCATCATTTGATAACACTCGATAATCTGCAAGTACAATTCTGTTATCTCTATAGTAATGTTTTGCAAAGTTAATATTTAGAATATCCGACTTGGAAACAATTTGATAACTATCTGAGGTAGACGATGAATTGGAATAAACAGGTGTCTTTATACCACATTCATCAACTGAGAAACCAAATGATTTTGTTTGAAATAGTATTTGAAGAATGTTGAGGTTTGATTTAAATTGCCAATTGGTGATGGTAACTGTATATTTAACAGAGTTTGAATTCATCAACATTGTTTCACCTGCAAAGTCCAAGGAAGTTGGCTCTTTGAATAATAATATTCGAATGGAAATAACAACTGTTTCGTTTGTAAATGTTCCAATTAGAATACTACTGTTTGAATCACCAACATCTTTTGACCATTGGATATCGGACATGTTTAATACTTTTATGGAATTACCAATCTCATCAATCTCTCTCAAGTATGTGAATGAACTTGTGAAGTTGACAGGTGAAGGATTGATAACAGTTCCATTATTGATCACAGGTGTATTTCCTGGTGTTCCTGGCACTACACATGTACTGGTTGTCCATCCATCAAAACATTGGCATCTTCCTTGAATACATTCACCATTTCCACCACATTCCTTTCCATTCACTGAGGGACATAATTCGGGTTTGAGATAATAGAATGAATAATTACCACCAGTCATCATCAAGTTTGTAACGTTAACATAAAGACTGTAGTCTTTCCCATTTGGGATAGCCAATCCATCAAAATAACAAGTCAGCTGTGATGAAGACAGAAAAGTGATATGGTAACAAGGTTCATTTCCAACCGAAACAGAAATGGAAGTTCGAGCAAAGTTTGATCCTGAGATCGTTAACAATGTTGTTTGATTTTGATAACCTAATGTTGTTGCTGTGACTAATGGTGGTGCGTATTGGAAATCGATCGTGTTCAATGCTGGCACTCCATTTACAGATAGATTCATTTTGATTGAATAATCTGGTTTGTCAAGTGGATCCATGAAACATTTTAGTCTAAGATTTGAAAGAACAGTAATGTTTTTACATTCGAGTGTGCCTATGTTGATCTTAACAAATGATGTATTATCCATAAAGTTATAACCAGTAATCTCTAACCAACCACCATCCACAGTTAACTGATTGAATTTCAATATTGCTGGATTTTCAAAGTTGAAATAGTATACATTCGATACCTGCCCATCTATTATTATTTGGATTGGTAGATTCAATCCATAGGTGTAATATTTGCAAGAGATCTGAAAGTGTCTTGAAAAAATTGTTTGGCTTGAACATGTTCCATTGACAAATGAAATTACAGAAGCATTGGCACCAAAGTTCACACCATTTATCAATATATCGGAAACTGCTGATTTTGCTACCACACTATAAATTTGCGGAGCCATATATGTCAAGAATACTGGTGAAGGTGTAGATAGTATATTACCTTTCGGAGTAACGGTCGATAGTGTAATAGGATACGGTCCTAAACCTGTTCCCATTGGTATAGTAAAGGTTATTAAATTTATGGAATAATCTCTAGAAGCATTATATACCTTTCCATTAAGTTCGAAATACATTGGCCACATAGAACTTCCATATTGATTTACTAGAAGTTGAATATCACCACCAGGTGTAGATGATCTGAATTCCTTACCGGGATATAAAAATTGTGGTACTATAAATAAAAACAAAATATTAATATATATTAATCATTATTGTTAAAATCTTCATTTAATATTACCATTAGAGAAATATTCAACAAGAGCACCTCCATCTTTGGTTGAGTAGGAATAAGTTTGATTTTCGAAATTGAATTGATAAAGTTGTAAATCAAAAATACCTGGTATTGGAATACTTCCTCTTGAGTCATAAGGAGTAATTAAACTACCTTTATTGTTACCATATAATAATGACCAATTGGCTATGAGGTAATGAAATATTAAAAAATTAGAAATTTTGTGTTTCTCTTTGTTTATATAAGTTATGTTATTACCTGCTGTATTATTATAAAAAACGGGAGTGGACAAGTATTGTTGAATAGGTACACCATATGAACACATTTTAGAAAGTAAATCTGCATACTCTTTAGAGTCGACATATGTTGGTGTTCCATATAAACCATCGCTGGTGGATTTCGCCGAGAATATCATATTTGTAATGGCATCAATTCTTGTTTTAAAACAAGAGAGCACTCTGTCTTTGAAAACTAATATATTATTAATACATTTGAATTATCTCGACCAATAATTTCTATTTACCAAAAGATGGTTTGTTTTTAATTGAGTAAACACCATTCACAGACATTATAATTGAATATGATCCGAAATCTAAATTTGAGGATAATTTACAAGTCAAAATGTAAATGGTAGATCCAAATTTTATATCTGTACAAGGATAACTAAAGTTATAAATCCATATTTGTATTAAACTTGTGTTTTTTCCAAAACTATATCCTGATAAAGTTAGAATTTCACCAGATGAAAAAACAGGATTGATAACAGAGACTTGAGGTGCTGCATATTGGAATTGTGTTTTGTAAACTAAACTTCCATAGGTCAATGTTACATTATATCTTCCTGTAGGGTTGGATAATCCACATCTAATTGAATTATCACTAATATAAGAAACTGCAAAGCCACTTTCATTCTTTCCTGGACTTGAAAATACTACTTTGATTTGAGATGCTGTTGAAATAGTCAGATTCCAATTTAAAATATTACTTATACTTAAAAAAACGTTGTTTGTTGTAATAGGTTCAATGAATGGTACTATAAATAGATAAAAAGAATAATTAATTAATCATTTATAAAGAATCTATAAAACATATTTATCTTACTATCCAAATCACTATATTCACAAATATAATATAATAAACTATTACAATCGACATTATTCCACAGATTCGATGTTTGATAAGCTAGAGTACAGTTTTCGCCGGGTATTAAATTTGGTTCATTTGGTTTCCAATTGGTAAAATATAAACTCTATTTATATTTTTAAAAAACTGATGAGAAAATATTGATTTTAAATAGAAATAATTAAAAGTTCTTCTTACAGTATCATTATAAGTACTATACATAAAAATATCCTTTTCTGGACCTGAAGAATAGAAATAGATTCCTGGAATCAAAGGATTAATTCTACCTGAAATCCAATAACTTATTGGTTGAGTAAAATATTTTGGGTTTTGGTTTGAAATAAAAGTTTGTTCTTGGAATGATGTAATTGTAACAAGATATCTTTTAAATGTTGAAAAAAAAGAATGTTAACAAAAAAATATTTATAAATATTTATTGTAAATAAAACTTTACCCTTTATTATTTTGAAAGGATCTTTGAGAACATTGATATTGGGCATCATCATAAGTTGTTTGATTTGTTATGAATTCATAATAATGACCATTATCCTGATTATATTCCAAAACATTTTGTGAATAAATAAAAGGAAGCAATAATAATAAAATACAAATTAAAGATCTTAACATTTGACACTTTTGAGAAAATAAATCAATCAGAGGATCAAGAGTTTTGTAAATCTCCTTTGATATTTATGAAAAAAAATAATTAGGTACCTCAAAAAAAATAAAAAAAATAAATGGGATCACAGAATAAAAAATCGGATAGATATTTTATTTTTGTAGGATAAAAATCTAGATTCAGTTTTTCACCATTTCGAAGATATTTTTGTCCAAAACCAAAAGTGTTTGAATCACCAACATCTTTTGACCATTGGATATCGGACATGTTTATTACTTTTATGGAATTACCAATCTCATCAATCTCTCTCAAGTATGTGAATGAACTTGTGAAGTTGACAGGTGAAGGATTGATAACAGTTCCATTGTTGATCACAGGTGTATTTCCTGGTGTTCCTGGCACTACACATGTACTGGTTGTCCATCCATCAAAACATTGGCATCTTCCTCGAATACATTCACCATTTCCATCACATTCCTTTCTATTTATGAGATTTTTTATTGCAACAAAAATAATGCAAAAAAAATAACAAAAATTTAAGAATAAATAATAATATTTTAAATAATAATTATATTTTACTACTACTTAAAATAATAATATTTATTTGGTATGATTCTAGTTGAGAGTTTCTGGTTGTTTGATATCAGTTTTAGTGTTTCTTGATCTTTTAGTGAGAAGTTGAATTTCAAGATTGAGCGGTTTTTAAGTAGTGCGCTTGAAATGGATGCTGTTGTTTTGTAGTCAGAGTCGGATATATCGATGTAGGTGAGTGTGTTATTACGTTGGAGAAGACGCACAAACGAGCTCTTGAGTGACGTCGATCGGAGGTGGAGAGTTCGAATGCTGCAACTATTACTGCACAACGAGTTGAGAATGGGATCGATGTGAATGTTGTATCCAATGTCGAGTTCTGTCAGTGTTTTGTTGTGTTGGAGCAGCTTTGCCAGTGCTTTAGCTTCGCGACTGTGTATTTGGGTGGCATGAAGATTCAAAGTACGTAGTGACGTGTTACTCTGCAGTGATTGACAGATCTTCTTGACACCAGTTCGTAAGAAATTGAATCCAAGGTTGAGCTGTGAGAGTGAGTGGTTGTGCTCGAGGTAGTCCGCTATCAGCAGTGCAGAGGACATATGCAATCGGTTGATGGAAATATCGAGGGAGGTGAGTGTGTGATTGTTGGAGAATGCTTGGATCAGGGGAACGAAACGATCGTCTCCCAGTTTCAGTCTGGCCAGTGAGAGGGTGGTGAGCGTTGGCGACTGGCAGATGTTGGCAGTGGCAAAGTTGGATGGCTCTGGGAACGGGAAATTGTTGTTGAGTAGCAGTGTTTTGATGGTGCGGTTTGCACTGAGAAGTGATGGAATCAGTGGGAATAGGATGGCGTCGGCATGGAGTGTGGCGGTGTGAGATAGGTCGATCGATTGGATGGCAGTGTTGCGTGAGAGTGCGTCGAGAATCTCACGAGAGTGATTGGTGAAACTGTTGTGGTGAATCACCAAATCGGTGATAGATGTATTCTGGCTGAGAAGTGTTTGAAAGAGAGTGACTCGCTGTGAAGAGGAGAACAGCTGACAACACGCCAGGTTCACAGTGTTTATTGTGTAGCTGTGTGTCAGTGCCTCGACGATATGATGTACGCCCTGAGGATTATGATTGAAAATGAGGGTGTGGAGCTCGAGTCTACCGAGAGTGGATGCAATCTGACTGGCTATCTGCTCGCCAATATTGAGTCCACCCAAGTTGAGATACTGGATTGTTTGGTTGCCCATAAGAGAGCTTGGAATACTGCTGTACAACTTGAACTGCGATGTTCGTTCAAGTCCTTCTGGTTGGTTGGTACCGGGTGTTGCGATTGTGGTGGTGTTGGCGCTGTTCATGCTCGGTGTGAATTCCATGCTCAAATCGAGACAATGGATCGCTTTGCAATGTGACAGTGCATTGGTCAGAGCAATAATCGAGTCATCGCTCACCTCCTTGTGAAATGAGATATTTGAGAGGTTGAGTTGGTAGATCAGTGAAGATGAATTGGTGAGGCGCTGTATCAGGTAGTTTACGACTGAGGTGCTCAGTGTGTTGTTGCTGAAATCCAGTGAGGGACAGTAGTCCAGCGTCAGCAGATAATCTAGCAGCTGGCTGGACAGCGATTGATGTACGAAAAATTCAGAGATAAACTTGAGTTTGGAGACACGCAAATGGTTTCTCTGATACCAGCGGAGCGATGCCGAGGTGTGTGATGCAGAGATGCCCAGTACCAGCGCAAATCCACGCATGCTGTCGATGACACGGTGCAGCTGTCGGTTGATCAGTAGATACTCGACAAACACTGACGATGGCAATATGAAATCGATCACCTGTGAGAATATCATATCGAGCAAACGATGTGGTAGTTGGTGAAGGCAGATCGAGTTGGTCGTTGCCGACGACGACGAAGCAAAGTTTCCAAAGGCACGTGGACTCGAACGACGTGGACTTGTCGCCACACCAAACAGATTTCTCAAACTAGAGGTAGGTGTCTGAGGTGAGTGTGGATTAGCGGAATCTGCATCACCACCGCTATTTCTATTAATGATAGCAGATAAATTGATATGTAATTTCAATTTTCCACCTCCACTACTACTACTACTGCCACTACTACTTGAGCTGCCATTGAAATTAGTATTTGGAGAAGATGAAATTGATATTGATGGTGGTGGTGTTGTTGTTGTCGTTGTCGTTGATGATGATGATGTTGTTGATGATGATAATAATGATATATGATTATTACTACTTATTGTAGTTGTAGAATTAGAATTTGTAGTATTATTATTATGATTATTATTATTATTATTATTATTAACTCCGCAGCATGTTACAATGGTTGGTTGTTTCAGATGACTTTCAAGACTCATCTTTTCTAAAATTTCTTCCTCACTCTCTATTTTGAAATGTATATTTTCATCTGGATCCAGATGTTTACTTTCGATCTGATTCTGATTGTCTTTGCTGAAATGACTTGTTTTAAAATTTCTATATTTCTTTGACGCTGCACTACTTATATTTTTAATAAATGAGTGATTATTATGATTCTGATTTTGATTTTGATTATGATTATGATTTTGATTCTGATTCTGATTCTGATTATTTACTATATTATTATTATCTATATTGTTGTTATTACCGTTATTTTGATTATTATTGGTTGAATTTATATTATTTAAATTATTATCAATATTTTTAGATTTAGAACCCAATTTCTTTGTAAATAAATGAGCGTAACCCATTAAAAAACAAATCTGATGAAAAAAAAAAAAAGAAAATCTATTAAATAAAAATAAAAATAAATTAATATTAATAAAATCAGTCACTAAAATTAGGTCTTCTATAAAAAAATTTTTTGAAAATTTTTGAAAAAATGACGGCTCACTGTGTGATCGTGTGGGTTGAAAAACAAATAACCACCAGAAGAATGTATTTTTGTGTTTTTTTTTTTTTTTTTGTTGTTGTGAGAATAAAGACGATGGTGTTTGTTTTTAGCAACTATTATTATTTTGATCGACAGGCATTAAAATGGTTCTGCTCATCTCCTTCCATCAATTCCATAATTAGAAATTAAAAAGACAATCTTGGATTATCTCGTTTTTTCAATAAAACTAATTTTGTATTTAAAATCGCACATTTATTGTTTAAATATGAGTAGAGACAACCAAACATGATTGATGGTTCAAAAGTTTGCACATATGAGGTATGTGCAAACTTTTGTTTTCGATTCATTAATATAATATATATTTTTTATTTATTTTTTTTAAGTTGAATCAAAAAAATGATATTTTAAATTGAGATAAGAATCGATCTCATTTTTCAGTTGGGATGATTTGATTTGATTTGATTTGATTAGTTTTTGATTTGAGATATTAATTAATTAATTAATCGAATGAAATGAGAGCAGAAATAATATGTAAAGTTATAACAAATTTATTGTGTGATTTTTGATTTAAATTACATACCTTTTTTTTTTCTTATTCTATTAATTAACAGAGTATAAAAAATATATATTTATATAGTAACTTTAAGATTATATAATTTATTTGAATAATGTTTTTGTTTCCATCATATATATAGTAATAAAAAAAGTGTAATATTAATGTGATGTTTGATTGAAAACAGCAGCTCCTAAAAGTGTAGAACTTAAAAATAAAAAAATTGTTACACACTTGTGTATCGATAGGAGAATAGCGATGGGGGTGAAGTTAAATACAACCAGAATTTTATATATGAGGCAAATTGTGTTGTACTGATAGTTGTAAGTGAATCGTAAAGGTGAAAGTAAAAAATGTGTTATTACCAGATAGTTTGAAGTTATAAAGAATTTACTCTAGATAGACCCAAAATTTCTCTGATTTAAAATTTCTTTTGTATTTTGTAAATAAACCTTTATATAAAAAGGTATTTAATTATATAATTATTTGATAGTTAACTTAATAAATAAATAAATAAAATGTAAAAAAGTTTAGTAATACTTTAAAAAGTTGTTAAAGTATTTGGTAATGAATGAATATGTGAACAAGTTGTTGGTGACTGTTTGTTTGTTGCTATTGGGGGTAATGTAATGTAACTGCGGATATAAAAGACGGTGATGATGAAATTCCTTTAAAAGTTGTTAAATTAATATTTGGTGATGAATATGTCTAAACAAATTGTTGGATGATAAAAAAAAATTGTTTGATTGAGGTGTATTTGTTGGTGGATGGATTTAGTTTGTTTGGTTGGTTGGTGTTTAATCTGACTTTTAACCTTTTGTCAAAATATATTCATTTGATGATGTATCTGGAAAAAAACAAACATAACAACATTCATGCATAAAAGTGTTTAAGCTGTGCATGAATAATCATGGGGGATAGTTATTAATTTTATAGCACAAAAAATAAAATAAAATAAAATTAAATGAGAACTAACCTAAAAAGAATAAAATGGTTTCAACAAAAAACAAAAAACAAAATTGAAAAAATCTTTGCAAAAGTAATTTGATTGGTTTTCAGTGGTTAATGGAGCCGCTGGTAGGTTCCTTTAAAAACAATAAATTAGTGTTGATTCTATTGGTTTTTAAATATTTTGGTTTGCTGCATTTGCTGTTAAAACAAAAAAACAACTACGTCGACACTGATCAAAAAATGATTTTAATACGATGTATCAACAAACAACTTTTAGATCACATTTTGAGATTTATAAGTATCGGGTGTCTACCATTCATCAGTAAATGTTTTGTTTTTTATTCTTAAACAGGGAAAGTGAAAAGTTTTTGTTTTAAAAAAATCATTTAAAGATTTTTTTTTTTTTGTTATAAAAAATCACTCGTCTTATTCCTTTTAAGGGTTTGTGTAAAATAAAATGATTTAACATTCATCTTGCAAAATTTATTTTTTATCTCCCCAATTCCACTTTCAATGTATGATAGATCATTTTGATTGAACAGATTTATTTTATTTAAATGTAAAGGTAAAGTAAAATGACTTTTCAACTTGAATATTTATTTGATCAATAAAATATTTTAATAATATCTATTTTTCATTCTGCTTTGATTTTTGTTTTTTTTAATATAAATTGTCGACTTTTTTTAAAAAAACAATCATCAACTAAAGTTAGAAGTACCCCATAAAAATCTACAAACAACATCATTAGGAAGTTGTATTTGTTAACATCTTGAATTTAACGTTGTACATACCATTTTTTTCTATCGTGTTGAATTCTTGTTGTTTTGAAAACTGATTGTACCAAAAGGATATCCGTTATAACAGAAAGTTATATTTGAATCTGTTATCTTCCATTGGTATTTTAGCAATCATATAACACTATGCACTAGTGCTCACGGTATTGATACTATGTACTCTATATGACATCACTTTCACCATAGTTCTTATTCTCTCAGGTGGAAAAGAAAGAATGTGTCTTCAATGGTGATACTATTTTTATCTGGACATATTTCAGCTAGAAATAAATTAAAAGTAAAAGTAGATTCCTAATTGACATGTTGAATCAGATCTTCTCTTTTCTTTTTAGAGGTGGCATAAATAGATGTAGTGGTAGTTTTTTCATTTTTTTTTAAATATTTGTTGGTACAATTTTTATTCTTTTCTGACAATTTTTTTTAACTACATTAATAATTGTTTGTTTAATCATTTTACTCCAAATCTCTATAATTCATTCCCTGTCAATACTAGACCTGAACTAAAGTATAAACAAGATGTCAATATCTATGAAACAATCTTTCATGTATTCAAAAGTACAACTACAATAGATTAGGACTTTAATTAAAAATATGTATTTTTTTAACTTAAAGATGGACTGGATGAGTAGTCAAAACCCAACGAGTTATTCGAATTTAGTTTTGTTCCTTCTAGTTTCTATCTCCAAAAAATAACTAAAAGTCCTAAATCGAACAAATTTTTAAAGCTATTAAAGTTGGACTTTCTAGAAAGTAGTTTTAATATTTCAATATTAAAAAAAAATTATTCTAATATTATATTTATTTATTTTTAGGATCTTTCTTTGGAGACTTTGCTGAATCTGGTACTATTTTGGTTAAGTTATGCCATTATACCAGATATTTTTTCGCTTTCAGCTGAAATCCAATTGAAAAATTTGATTTATGATCCGGAAGAAGACTTTTGGACCAGTATACACTCCAACCCCTAATAATGAAACAAACAATTAAAGATTTTCATCGCAATCCCAAAATTGTAAAGAGATTTGTCTATTACATTTTTTTTTATTTTTTTTTTATTCAATTTTTTAAAAATAATAAATAAATAAAATACAAAAGTTAGAGGAGAGCTATTGAAGTACCCCATAGAAATTTACAAACAACATCGTCTTGAAGTTGTGTTTGTTCGTTAACATCAGAATTGCAATTAACATGATACATATCAGGGATTATTTCAGAGAGAACCATGAAATTTGTGTTTTCTTTGGTGTTGAATGAAAGTGTGTTTGTTGGTGTGTTGAAAAGACCAACTGTCGTGATGTAGCTGGTGTCTAGGAATGGATAAGTTATCAGTAAGTTAATATTGAATTTGTTATCTTTCCACTGGTTTTCTTTTAGCAATCTGATGTTATGTACTCCTGGTATCGATACTTCTATGTTCTTGGAAGCACTCCACATTACATCAGGATACCCATAGTTCTGAGAGGCTCTCAGGTGGAAATACGAAAAGAAAGTCTCTTCAATTGTGGTGCCATTAAAGTCTGGCCATATTTCAGCAATCAAATACTTTGAGTTTAAATTCGAGCCGTCCCAATGCTCATGAAAATGGTTTTGGCGCCTCGGAACTACGTGTCTTGGATTCTTAAAGAATCCACCATGAACATGTCCTTTGTCATCTCTGACCACCAACGCCCATTCACTAGAAGGTGTTTCATCCATCTCATAGTTATGTACTGGAAGATGTAGGTACCTTCCATTGCCAATCTTTTGACGGTATACGAACGATCTATTTGGATACTTTTCACTGTTATAAACCACAATAGTGCCAGCATCTTCAAACACAGCATGGTACTCTGTACTATGTAGATTCAAACTACTGTTGTTTGCACCAACAGGATTCCTTAGACTAACCACTGGTTGGCCGTTTAGAAGCAGCGAACCATGATGATCCAGCATCAACACATCTTTTCCATTTGTAATAAACTGTCCACTCTTCAAAGAGCATATACTCGATGCACATTCCTTGCTGTCCAAATAGCTACCGGGTATCAAAGACACTCTAAAGTCAATTAACGATCCAAATCTACCCCATATCATCTTGCCTTGATGATTCATTAATACCATTCCCCATCGATACCCATAAGCACCTTCCTCCAAAACAGTGAAATAGAATGGACCATCTTGACTTGTATCGTTGACTCCTGCACCCGATGTCCACACTGTAGCGTTATCACCACTGTAGATTACAAGACTACAATTTGGTTCCAATACCAATCGAAACGGTCCTTGAAATTCGCCCTCTGGCACTTCAGACTGCCAGAGTAACTGAGAATTCGATATCTTTGATAACTCGAGCACTCCATCGTCAGTCAAAACCAATTCTAAATCCTTCCATACTAGCTTTTTTGAGTTTTCACGAAGTATATTGTTACTTATAGAGTCTAGATTAATACCAGGTGTCAAAGGAATACTAAATCTATTGTAGTCTAAAGTTATATTATATTCATTTCTATTTGGTAGACCATAGCATTGTTCTTGGTTGATTAACAACAACCCAACAAAAACTACTAAAATAAAATTTCCAAACAAATTCTAAATAACAAAAAAAATAATCATATGAATAATTTTGTTTTTTTAGATAACAATTTTTGAAATCTTACCTTTATTTGGATATTCATATTTTAAAAAAAAACAAATTAATTTAATTTTGATTTACACTTTTTTGTCTCATCAAAATAATAGTTTTCTTAGTTTGTTGTTTTACTAATTTATATATTCTTAAATCGTAAACTTGGTATAATTGTTGAATCAAAAAAAACCAATAAATATTAGTGATAAATTGTAAAAAAAAAAAAAAAAAAAAGATATCTAAATATCAAACAAAAATTATCACAACATTTTAGTGGTTACTATTCAGAAGTTCTAAACCAGTAAACATTTATTTGTATGGATGAGTTTTTAAATTGTGTTTATAATAGAGGTGGTTGAAATTCCTACTCCACCAAAAATTATCATTGAAATTCAGAGTTTTTAATTTCCAATTGTTTTCTTTTTTTTACCATAGAAACTTGTTTATTAAACAAAAGAGGGGGTGTATCTTTAGGTTCTTTCCGCTTTTTCATACATTCACACAACGATTTCCATTCACTTATGAGAGAATAATAATGATCATGACAGGAGTATATTTAAAAGCAGAGAATCTACCATCCCTTGGTTTACTTTGTAGATCACTGAAACAATATAGAAATGGCTTGGCCAATATGAATATTTTGAAACAAGACTCCTTCACTGTTCCTCAGTACTACCTTCAGTTTGCAGATAACACCGATATTGAGCTAATACGCAAAAACGGTATAGAGATATCCGGTAATCTTTATCAGGTTTCATCGAATCCATGGTCAATAACATCTAATCTTCCGAATACACTATTAGAATTTGTAAGAAAGAAAAAACACTTAGAAATATATATATTAGATTATTTAAATTAATTGGTTTAATATTATGTTAATTTTAGGAAGATTATGCTGTATTTAACAATCAAGTATCTAAACCTGATAATTATATCAAAGATAATGATGATTTTGATGAATATCAATACTCTTGGGATGAAACTATTGGTTCTTTACCGATGTTACCATTCACAGTGCAACAAAAGATTATAGAGTTTTGTTTCCGTTTGAAACCTGATTGTTTAGTAAGTAGTTCAAACACGAGAGTACGTTCGTTCGGCGGTGACAGTGGAACTGTTGGAATACTCGGTTGGTACTCACGACACAAGTTGGATTTGGCTTTGGTGTGCTGGCGATTTTTCAATGTGGTTTCGCAGGTGGTAACAAGAGTTTTCAATGTTCGCAACGCTGCACAACACCAACCGCTCAACTTTTTTACACATATGACTAGCAAATACTGCGTGATAAAGAGAGTTACTCACTGTGTATCGACAAACCAATCGTTTGCCTTCAAAGAGCATTACATCGGGTATCAAAACAATAGTGAACTAGCGCAACAGGTCTACGAAGACGGTGTACTGGCGTGTCTGGAGTATCTGATGATCGAATACCGACCGGAATGCACACATCGCAATCCCTACGAGATTGAATGTATATTGTGGAAAGCAAAGAGCATTCGACATTTTATCGAGAACGACAGTATGCATCCTGGGTATGGCTGTGGTATCCTGATGCTGCTGACATCGACGAACAAACTGGAAACACTGATACTCGGTAACTCGCAATCGACTCACCTACTATCGTACATTCCGAGGATCATTAAAAACAATATCGATTCACTGGAGTACGCTAGACTGCCAGTGCAAGTGAGTTCACAGAAATACACAGAGATACTAGAGTTGGATGAACTACTGGCTACCACCAACTACAGAGAAGAGTCAACCAGAGATTTGAATATCGTCTATCAAAGAAACTATGACGGTGAGTTCATCGATAGCAATGAACAGCTATCAAAGAATCTTCAAGAAGATGGAAACTATCAGCATTTTACAACTATTATAGTATCATTTAGAAGAAACACCTTGACATCATCATCATCATCAGCAACTCTAACATTAATATGTATTAGCAACTTTTACAAACAATTGTTAGGTTCCGATTGTAATGATTTTAATTTGATAGAATCATCTATAAATTCATAAACTTTAATAGTAAACTATTAAATAAAAAGACTTGTTATATTAATTAATATAATTAGGTTTTAATTTATTAATTTATCATTTTATTATTATTATTATTATTATGATGTTTTAAAAGGAAGGAATGGGTAATATAACAAACAGTTTTGTATTAGTTTTTAAAAGATTGATTCTAGTTCTATTGAACCAAATATCTATTGGAATAGATGAATTTGAATGAATACGAAAGAAAGAAAGAGAAAGAGTTTATGTTGTTGTGTTTGATGATGATGATGATGATGATGATGATGATCTTATTGATAATTATTGTTTGGAGTGTTCCAATTTCTCGACTTTAACAGAACCGTCGATAAGCTTGTAGATGTAAATAGTGATATCGTATCCTTGAACATCCATCAAAACGAATGATGGGGTGACGTCGTGGGTGATGTTGCTAAAGGCACCAGTGGCTGAGCCTGGGTTGATGAAAAGTTTGTTGTTGGCTTCGAATACCTCGATGTGGTGGGTGTGTCCAGTGATGAGAACATCGACATCCATCTCTCTTTGGAGTGCTGCCAACGATGTCTTGTCACCCCATGGTACAATTTGTTGTCCATGACAAAGACCAAATTTAAATTGTCCAATTGTAACTACTTTTGTATCTGGATATGATGAGTTCTTTACAATCATATTTATATAATAATAATAATAACATTAATAAACAATTATTTAAACAAATCTATAATAATAATAATATGAATAATAATAACAATGTACATACCTCATCGAATTCACCTTTAACAACATGTACATCGCTAGTCAAAGTCTTAAAGTAATCGTGGATATCTTTTGATACGAGATTACCTGTGCAGAGGATGTGTTGAATCTTTTCTGGTACCAACAACTTTTTGAATTCTGGTGGGATACCGTGTGATCTGTGTGGTACATGTAAGTCTCCAATTGCAATAATGAACTAAATTAATGATAACATAATGATATTATTAATATTAATATTCCTGAATAAATATATGAAAAATGATTCAATGATTGATAGATAGATAGATAGATAGATAGATAAGAATGGATAGATATGATAATGAATATTGACAATTCACATTCAATCTTTTATATTTGAGAATATCAGCGATTGTAATCTCATTCATTTTCCACATTATCATTATCATATCATATCATAACATATCATATTATCATAAATCATCTAATTGCATGACTTTTTATTTAAAAGAAGTCACATACCATTTTTACTTCTACCTCTGTTTTATAAATAATAATAATAAAAATAATGATATCTAATTAATAACTAAATTGAGCAGTATAGTAAATAAGAAAGTCAATGCACAGAATGAGCATCAATAATTTTTTTAAAATATTAAAAAATTTAGAATTTTTTTTTTTAAAAATATCAACTGTGGAGAAGAAAATTCTGTTGCTGATCAGCAATTTTCTCGCAATACTTTTATCACATAATTTAAAAATAAACAAACTTTATAATCAATTGATTAAATCAATTACTTTATTTAGAAATATTCAATCAACCAATCAAACTCATATAATAATTAATAAAAAATAACTTTTTTTTTTTTTTTTTTAATGTTATAAAATGAATCAGTAATCAAATCAAATCAAAGATATTCTACTTCACTAGATTGATTTCTCAAGTTGTGTTCATTGTTTAGTATCTATTTTTACACAAGTTAAACATCATTTTAACAAGGATGTATCATAAGAATGACGGTGATGAAAATATTGGTGAATCTGTGTTGTTTTTAATCGTGTAATGTTATATCATTATTGTTTGGTAATTCAATATTTCCATTCTTAGACCTACACCATAATAGCTTATGGAAATATGAACTTTTCTACGTATTACTAAATCAACATCGATGTTGTTGTTGTTGTTGTTGTTGTACAACAAGAGAAATCTTTTACTTTAAATGGCTATTACCCTTAAACTCACCACAATACAACACAACAACACATCATCATACATATCAAAATACCATTCCATCTCAAGTAAAGTAATTAATAATTGTTATTATGTCTGTCTCTTTAAATACTATAAATTGGAATTCGACAAAGTTGTGTTTGGTGAAAATAAATAAATAACATTCTTCTTTGAAAACAAAACAAACACATATAACAATATTTATGATGATAATTAATGATGATGATGATAAAAGAACAAAGAATGAAATCCAATAACTTTATTAAAAACACATCCGATTCAATCCATACACAAACACAATTACTTAAATTACCTAAAACAATCAACAAACCCAATTGAATTTGTAGAGTCATTGGTTGTTGTTTTTAGGTGAATCATGATCAAATTAATTAAAAATTATTGGAGATGAATAATAATTAAAATGAATATTCATACTATCTTCTTTATGAGCCAACAACCTACCCTCTACAACAATAGTAATATCAATAACAACTAAATTCGATTGTTAATCGACTATATTTATATTTATATTGTTACTGTTTTTTTTAAAAAGTTAAAACCTCACACACATAGATTAATATTTGTTGAATTAAATCTGGAAATATACTAAATATGACCTCTTATCTTATCCTTCAATGTTATTGTTGTTAGCTACTACTATCGATAAATTCAGAGTGTTGAAGCGTTTACTATTAATCCATGTCACAACTATTTCAACCAATAACAAACATATTTAAATAATCAATAGGTTATGATTCCTTGAATAAAAAGTAAAAGTCTACAATACCTGTTGTTATTGTTATTGTTGTGTTTATGAGAAGCAAGTATGAGCAGGTATATCATTATCATTTGTAACAAAAAGTAAAGTACGTACTATCGACAATCATTACGTTATTTATAATACTACTACTACTACTATATTTTATCGCCGGATGGATGGTTAGTTAGAGTTGGTTGATGGTTGTGTATGTTTTATTGTTGTTATTGTTGTTGTTGTTGTTATTAATTAACTAAACTCCCAATAAACTAATAGTGTTAATCAAAGAAATAGGTTCAAAGCTTATCAACAATACTAACAACATAAATAAATTCTATAGAAAGAAAGCAAAAAAAATCTTACCACATTGTCATCACCAACCTTAATAGTACTAAAGAAAGAATATTTTAATATATCTCACGCATCCGTACTACAAATAATGTTGCAACTAAACATTTTAATCGATTCGATTCGCTCTCAATCTCCCACTCTTACGCTTACCTCCACTTTAGCTTCAGTGTTTTAATCAAATTTTTGTTAAAAACCTGGAAAAGAAAAAAAAACCCTCATAATAATAAAAACAACCATCAACAACAACATTAACAAAACAAAACTCCCAAATATGTTAAAAACAAATATATATCATGAAACACACCGATTCTCAAATACAACACACATAATCTGATTTGATTCCATTCACCCACTAACCATCATTTAAAATCGATAACACATAGATATCCCAAAACACCAACAAACCATTTTTCTAATTTTAACATCATTACCAAAGAACACAAAATATATTACTTTTTTGTCCAAGTAAAGTAATAATTATCTAAACAACAAACAATATAAAGATAACCTTTAACTCATTTCTAGTCGATTTTTTTTCTTTCTTTATTATTAAAGTTATAAAGCTTAGCAAAGAAAAATAAAATAAATAAAAAAAGATAAACAAATAAAGGTAAAATATATAATCAACCCACTTCATTGTTCCCAACAACAACAACAACTTGTTTTGGTTATTTTTTAATTTTTAGAAATATCCTTTTTTTGTAATTGTCTTTTTTGGTTAGAAATTAAATTTAGGTTTAATCATTTCTTCAATCATCTTGTTTTACCCATTTTCAAATTTTCACATATATTAATCAGGAGGAGAGTCATCATCAGTCCATTATAGATTGATTCCATTATTTTAGTTGTTGTAATATAATCACTATAATTCTCCCCCCTCTGGAACTATAATTTCGATTGGTGGGTGATTGTGACAAAAAGGTTTTTTTAATTTTGTAAAGATCGGGTGTTGGTGTGTGAATTGAATTCAATTTATTATTTAATTAGTTTTTAGTTTTTAAACATACATATATATTTAAAATTTTAATTTAGGTGGGCACTCATTAATGAAAAATAACATCACTATTCATAAAATATCGATACATCATCACCAAGTTTAGATTGTTAGAGTGTGAAATGTGTTAGTTTGTGTGTGTGAGTGTTTGAACCTAACCACACCAAACACCAAACACCAAAATAAAACAATTGAAATGAGTTTGTTTGAATTGAATTACAATTACCATCATCCTCGAGGTCACCACCAATCTAAATTAAAATTGTTCCTGCTGCACCACACAGCAACCAAAATCATCATATCTGCATCAACACGATCAATATAACTATAAACCTTTTCAAACTCTTTTTAATTCTTTAATTTTTTAATTTTATCACTATTGTTTTTCTACTGTTCTTTCTACAAATGGAATTCACATTTTATATGTAATGTTTTTATAGATATATAATTGAATACCCTATTATCAAATAAGGATACATCTTATCATCGCAATAGAAGTTGTAGTAAATGGCAATATAGCAAATCAAAAAAAAAAAAAAAAAAAAAAAAAGTAATATCCAAATTTAAAAAAACACCTACCACAGTTTTAAAGTCATTTTCATTTCTTTGTTTCTTTTTTCTTTTCCAACAACCAACATTACATTACAAATAGTAACACCAAAATTGACACCACAAATTTGTTTGGAACAACCATATTTGAAATTCTATCCAATTATATATATTCACACCAATAGAATAGAATTTTAATGTATCAATATCTGTACCTATATCTATCCAATATAGTTTATTTAGCAATAACAAAAAAGAATAATAGCTCAATTGGATATTAATAGTCACTTGCTCATTTCACCTAAAATCAACAACAGATGTTATAATTGTTGTATTATAATTCTTAATACTTTGCATAGCGAGCTACATCGATAATTCATCACCACTGTCCCACTAAACTACAACAATTTGGCTAATCAACCACATTAACATCTAGCCATTATTTATACATATATTCGAAAAGTTGAGAAATAACAAGAAAAAAGACCTTTTCAACTTTTTTTTTTTTTAATTTAATCCTCACTATTAGTTAGTTAGTTAGTTGGTTGGGTTAATTTAATATAGTTAAATTAGTTGCCTCCTTACCTTAATGACAATAACAATTAACAACATCATAAGTAGTAATTAATCTAAAAAAGAAGAATAAAAAATCGTTAAACCCAATAACCTTTATATTTTTAATTTGTGTGTTTTTTCATTCACTCATCCATCCACTTACTCAGTCATTTAACTAACCCTCCAATTAGTTTTGTTAACTCCCTTCTCGTTCTTTAAATTTCTATTCCTCTTATCTTTTTCTATTATTTCAACTAATTATTTTATATTTTCCAAATCGTTCTCATTTTATCGCATTTCCCTATTTTCAAAAAAAAAAAAGTATAGAAAAGATAAACTACCCAATATTCCAACTATCCACAATCAACTAAAAAGTAGAAACATATTTTCTAATCATCTAATCTTTAAGTTACAAATTATAAAATAATTTAATAATTAATTTTTAGAAAATAATCAACCATCACCAGAATTTCAACTTATTATAATACCTATCTTCAAAAAAAAACTGATATATCTATCTGATTTTAATTCCATTTCCACATCAATTCATAATTCATTGTCACATCATAGATTTTATTTATTTTTTGTTTGTTTTTGTTAAGTGATACTCTGGAATGGAATTTTATTCTGATTTATTAATATTTAATAATTTAGTTTAAAAATTAAAAATAATAGTAATAATATTAGTTATAGAAAATGATAAATTCAGAAATGGATGATTATGAAAGTCAATTTCAAAACCATCAAAAAAAGAATAGTGGTAGTGGTGCTATTTTAAATAAATCATTGAGTAAATCACAGCAGTCACAACAACAACAACAACAACAGTTACAACAACAAATTTTACAAAGTAGAAATACTGGAAGTAAAAGTATAAAATCATCATCAATGGAAGCAAAACAGAAACAACAACAACAACAACAACAAGAAAACTCTAGATATCTACTCAGTCCATCTTCATCTTCACCAAATGTAACATCGTTAGTGTCACCGGAGTCATCGCCAGTCCTTCTACCAAAAACTGGAAAACAATCATTGAAAGCGCAACAACAAAACATGGTCAAACAAACATCAATTGGTAATCTAAAGCAGCATATTCAGCAACAACAGCAACAAATACATCAACAGCAATATAATTTAAATTCACAATCTAAACTAGATCAAAATGATACTACTCCAACTTCATCCTCATTGATCCTTCAGAAACAACAACAACAGCAACAAACACCGAATCCTTTTGAAATACTCAATAATCATATAAGTAAACTTACAGATCAAAATCCTGAATTATATGGGAAGATGAACCAATCTCCACCTCCAGTCAACTCCAATTCAGGTACATCCTCCTCCTCTGAACAACAACATCACCATCAACATCATCAACAAGAATCAGTATCTTCAATGTCTGAGCAATTACTTCTGAGAAACCAACAACAGAGCTCCAACCATTCATCTCCCAACAACTCACCTTCCAATATTGAACAAGAAATGAGACATTCCGCAACTACCACCACCACTACAACCACTACCACTTCGCCAACTCACCATGAAAGAAAGAATTCATTCAATCAATACCAAATACAACAAGAAAGAGAAAGAGATATGAGAATAACCAACAACAACAACAATAATATTAATAATAATGGTAGTCATAAAAAGAGATCATTTGATTTCATTAATAGTCAACAACAGCAGCAACAGCAACAACATGGAATGGATAGTAGTAATAACAACTCTAGCGAAAACAGTCCAAATCTTCACTATAACAATGTTGTAGAATATCAAGAGAAAATTCAACACCAACGAAAGATAATAAAGGAGTTACAGACAATAAGCTTGAACTTAGAGAAACAGGTAGACTACTACAAGAATGAACTAAATCAATTCAAATCATCGATGGCTGCGAGTATTATGGATATTCTAGATGCCAACGAACACATACTATCAGCTCAAAAACAAAATTTAAATGAAGATAATAATAATAATAATAATAGTAATAATAATAGTGATAGTAAGAGTAATAATGATAAAAGACATTTACAACAACAACAACATTTGATAAGTTCATCTAAACCACCTCCACCTCCATCACCGTCATCCATGACAACACCTTCTCATTCGAACTCTATTGCATCGATACCTTCACCATCACCTATAATACCAGTACCATCACCTCAATCATCCAATATAAATACTGCTGAGCATGACAAACTGATACATTATCATCATCAACAACAACAACAGCAACAACATCATCATCATCATCAACAACAATTACTACATCCACATAACCTGACAAACAAAGGTACTACTTCTATACCAACATCTAAACTATTACAATCTGCAACACTTCCTATGCCATATAGCAATAGTAATCCAACACCAAACTCGACACCAACCAAACAACAGCAACAACAACAACAACAAATGATGATGTTACAACAGCAGCAACTACAACAACAACAACAACAAAATGGTCATAATCATCATCACCATCATCAACATCATAGTGGTAATAGTAGTCCAGGTCCTGAATACCAATATGTAATGGGAATAGACGAAAGTCAGCAACACCAACTACAGAAGCAATATATGGTGTATGAAGCTACAAAGAAACAAAAGGTATCTTCGTCTCCCATTCCATCACCAACCAACAACAACAATAACAACGTTAGCAGTTCTTCATCTGGTAGTAATAATAATGCCATACTAAAGAAAAAACTACTTCAACACCAACAACAAGCACAATATCAACAACAACAATACCAACTTCAGAAACAACATTTTCAAGCACTACAGAATGCACTGGGAGCACAAGCACATACTCAACAACACCAATTTGATTAAACATATATTATCGTCATCATCATCACCATCATACCATATATTAATATAATATTATTAAATTTAAAGAAAGAATAGATAGAATCGTTAAATATTACTATGTTGTATTACATCCGTAACAAGATATATTACAATAAATACCATTATATAAATAAAAAAATTAAAAGAATTAATAAATCTTGATATATTACTGTTTGCAATGTAAAATAACATAACTTGTCGTACAATATAATAAAGAGTTATTTATTATTCTAATTTGTTGTTGTTGTTTGAATGTGATTGTTTGATTATGATATGTTCGTTTTAGATGATTGTTATTACCACATTCTTTTCTTTTCTTTCTTTTCTATCTTTGATTATTGTGTCTAAATACTCCATGAGTGTAGATCTAAATGTTTCATTTGATTTCATTTAATAGTGTAAAAAATGATTATTTATTTATTATTAATATATATAAGTTTTTAGTTATTATTAAGTTCTAGATAAATTATAATATTTGCACAAAGTGTTGTTAGTAAACAAACATTAATGTAGTAGATAGATCTATTGATATTAATAATGATAATATAATATGGTGATATTACATACCATTTTTGATAAACTCTTGTCTCTTTAATCTATTTTCATATCTAGATAAAATTTGGAAGTTCTTCTTGTAAATATCCTCTTGCCAGTCGTATGTCTTGTAGTTGATGACACCAAGAGCGGCGGCAGCAGTCAAATGAACGTGTGGTCTGGTGAGGTATGGACGCTTGGCCAATACATTGATCATACAACCAAACAATACACCCATACCGATACCGGTGAACACCTTGAAAGTTCTATTGATTCTCAAGAATGGGTAATCTTCATTGCTAATGAGATTAGATGATTCTGTAGCTGTTGTTGTTGTTGTTGTCATTCTTCTTTTCTTTCTTTTAATACAATACAATATAAATAAATTAAAAAAAAAAAAGATAAACTCTGATCAATAATGATCACTCAAAAAATTCGAGTGATTTTATTTTATTTTTTTTACAATTTTTTTTTTTACAACATTCGAATTGATCAATGGAAGCAGTCCACTTATGATTTATTTGTTTAAAGATTTTAATAAGAGTTGATGATAGATATATGTGTTTATTCAGTATTAGTATTTATATGTGAAATATACACCAATTCAGTTAATAGTTAGTATATCTGTATAAATTGCGTATGGCTGTTGAATTTATTATTTTAAGTTTTGCAAAATTAAACAAATAATTTTTCAAAATAAAAAAAGTGAAATAACCTCAATATGAACTTGATTAACCTTTCATTCGATTCATATCAAATTAAATATTAATAATAAAATTATATGCAAATCTTTGTAAAGACTTTAACAGGAAAGACAATCACGCTGGAGGTAGAGGGTAGTGATAGCATCGAGAATGTCAAGACCAAGATTCAAGACAAGGAAGGAATCCCACCAGATCAACAACGTTTGATTTTCGCAGGTAAACAATTGGAAGATGAAAGAACACTCTCTGATTACAATATTCAAAAGGAATCTACTCTTCATTTGGTTCTCAGACTTCGTGGTGGGATGCAAGTCTTTGTAGAGACATTGTCTGGAAAGATCATTACAATAAAGGTAAAGGAATCTGATACGATAGAGAATGTCAAGGCCAAGGTTACAGAAAAGCTTGGTTACCCACCAAATGAACAAATACTTATTTTCAACAATAAGAAATTAGAAAATGGAAGAACACTTTTCGATTATAATATCCAAAAGGAATCAACAATATATTTAAAACTTTGGATGAGAGATCCAGAACTCAATTTTTAAGTAAATCAATCAAATTTACTACTTTTTTGTTAATTTTTTTAAATTTTATTTTTTATTTTTTGTGTTTCCAAGTATTAATGATCTTCTACGTCTCAATGTAGTGTTAACTCAAAGTGGTGTTAACTCCAGTGGTCCCCATATTGCAAGTTTTAGCTCTTTAACAAGTTGTACGAGACGTCTTTCACTCAAACAAATAACTTATAAATAAATAATTATCTTTGTTTTACTTATAATTATCTTATTTACTTTTATTATAATATATAATCGAAATGCTATAACATCACATTTGGCGACACCTGCAGGATTGATTCTGACCATCACCGGTTCAACTTTTGCATCAATCAGATCTATCAGTTCTTATGAAACTATAGATACACCAGCACCCGTGTCAATCAAACATCTATTTTGAGATGGTATCAACCATGGTTCCATCTCAAAATAGATGTAAATAAACCTAAATGTGTATTATTTTAATTCATTTTTGAATCTTGCTGTAAAATAAAGTATATTAATAATTGAACTTTTAATTAAAACAACTTTACTTGATAAGATCGAACATCTTAATTGGAATGTTTATCTGTTGGTGTGTAGCCACTTCACCTATTCCTCTGTGTTTCTTTATAGAAAAACATTAATAAAATAATTATTCTTAATTTATTATTATCTAACATTATTTTTATTTTATTGTTGTATTGACTATAAATTAAGTTGTTATGGAACCACCTGATCAAAAGTACAACAATCATATTTACTTAAATAATATAACCACCTTTTTTCAATTTTTTTTTTTTATAATTCCAAAATCTCTTTTTTTAGATTTGATTTGATTTCTTTTTTTTTTTTTTTTTTTTGAAAGTATCATATAATTATTGTAATAATAAATTTTTATCTAATCAATATAAAATCAAAAGAGGATATATCCTATATTCAAATTATAGTTACAAAATAGTAAAAGGGCGATCGAAAAAAGTTAACATATACAGAACATATTTTTTTATAAAGTATTCCAATTTGAATTTGATTTAGAGTGAAATAGGATGAATAGTACACAAGCAGCACAGACTGCAACTCAAATCATTGCAAAGATCAAGTCGAAGGAATTCAAAGATCGTTTGAATGGCTATGAGGAGATGTTGAATCTGTTTTCAACGTTGCCCGACGGTAACGCTCCAGAGTTTCTCAGATTGTCACCGGCCTTTGAAAAGTATCTGTTGGTCGATCCGCAACCCGCCAACAAAGACAAAGGTCTGCAGGTGTTGATGGTGTTTCTCGATCGAGCGGTGTGTCTAACGAATCCGACGGCCATTGCAAACAGCTATATCAACGACCTCACACTGGCACTGATTGAAAATGGGCTGAATAGCACGCGTGACTCGACCAAAGTCAAAACGATCGATGCCATCTTGATGTTGATCGAAGTGGTTGGACCCGATCAGGTTCTCAATCTGCTCTGCAACGTCGGATGCACCCACAAAACACCAAAGATTGCAACCTACTCGGTGTTTACACTGAAGGAGATCGTCCGACAATTCGGAAGCACTCTTATCAACATCGAGCCAATCATGACACAACTTGCCAATGCATTCGAACATCAGACCAAAGAGGTGAGATCTGAAGCATTGGCATTGGCAGTGGAGCTGTATCTCTGGATAGGCGACGCATTGGTACAACACTTGAAATCACTCAGACCTTCACAGCTCAAAGAGTTAGAATCATCGATCAACTCATTACCAGCCAATCGTGAAGTACCAGTTCCACTTCGTAGCATTAGAAATAACAGATATTCATCGTCATCATCTTCAGCATCAGCAGCAACATCAACATCGGCAACAATTTCAAATTCCACTACCATACCACAACCACCACCTCAACAGCAACAACAACAACCACAATCAATATTGAAATCATCAAGTTCGAAAATATCAAATACACCCTCATCCATCACAACAAACTCGAATTCACCACCAAATTCCATTTCAAACTCCCCACCAAACTCGATAACTAAATCGAATGTATTTTCAAGTCCACAATCTACACCTACAAAACAACAACAACAACAACCATTACAACAACAACAACCATTGAATCAATCACAAACTCCTGGTCTTGCAGCAACAACAACAACTAATAATAACTATGATATTGGATTACAGAATCAACTTTTACAGTTCTATCAGACATCGGAGGATCCCTCTTGGAGTGTTAGAAAGCAAGCTATTACAGAACTCTTGATACCATTGATCTCTAGTGAGAAGATCTCTCAGTTGGTTCACTATGATTATCAAAAGATATCATCTACACTTGCCAAGCTTCTTGGCGACCCAAATATATTTGTCATTCTCACTTGTATCAATGCACTCGAGTTACTTGTAAAAAGACTCTCAAAAGATATATTTTTCAATTATATTATATCACTTGTACCTATAATGGTAAGATATAACCATTATTATATATATATGTGATAATACTAACTTTTAAACAAAATACCTATGATTATTATTATTATAGCTCGATAGTTTTAAAGAGAAAAGACCTCAACTTTGTGATTCAATTCATGCATGTTTAAATACAATAATGGATAAACAATTAAGAATTAATGATGTTTTAGATTGTAAATATTATTTATTATTTTTAGAAACTTGTTAAACATTTGACAAATTCATTAACTAAATGCTATAATTTATAGTTATTTTAGAGATTTTAATTAATAGTAAAGTTAGCAAACTTAAATTTGAAGTATTATTCTGGTTTAAGAGATTAATACTTAATTCACATGCACAAACTTATAAGGATAAATTACCTTCAATTATAAGTGCTTTAATATTAGTAAGTTGTTTATTAATTTGGATACAATTAACTTAATAATTTTTTTTTAACACGAAAATATATATAGAATTTAGATGATAGTTTAAAAGAAAATAGAGATATTTCAATTGTAAATATATGTACATTAACAGTTATATTTAATGAAAAAGAGGTGTTTCCAATGCTGGAGAATAAATTGGATGAAACAAAAATGACTTTGATCAAAGATGGAATTAAGGATGTCGTTATTCCCACTCCGCATTGGTCGCGTTCCAAAAAGAATGGAATGCAATTCTCACCGCGAGCACCTTCGAAACTTGGTGGTCCCAATTCAAATATGGCTGGATCGCCGGGTGGCAGTAGCTACATGTTCAATGGCAATGGCGGCGTCGGCAGCGGCAACGCGCAGTCGCCAATGATGGAGAACAAGAAATTCAGTCGTCACTCTGTCAATATCTCAGAGTATCGCGCCAACAAACCAGCGGTCGACAGCGACAACAGCAGTCAAGGTGAGACTTCCTCCTCGAAGCAAATCAAAGAGTTGCAACAGGAACTCGAGGAATTCAACCAGAAGATGTCAGAGAAATTGAAATACTTGATGCGGTCGTCCGAAGAGGAGACCTGTTTGCTGCACGAGCAGATTGCGCTTCAGCGCCAACAGTTCGAAGCTGAGCAGCACTCGGAAGACGCCAAGTTCTACGAGACACTCAATATGGAGTTAACCAAGGAGCTGCAGTCGGAGCGCGACAAGAAGAAGGATTTGCTCCTCAGAATCGAGGATCTCGAGATACAGATGAACAACGCACAGCACTCGCAAGTCAAGATCATCAACGAGAGACAGCGACTCTTGGATCAACTCGCCCAGAAAGCCGAGGAGATCGAAGAGCTCAACGAGATGATAATGAGCGATGAACAGATGCGCGACGATCTCATGGATGAAATCGAGCGACTCAAGGGTAGCACTATCACCGTAGGATCACTTCACGATCCCAACCGTTATCTTGTTGAACTTCCAAAGCATCTCATCGACAAACTACCGTCCGACGAACTAGAGCTATTCGAAGAAGTATTCTTAGCAAACGTTAGAATTATTCAAGAAGCTAAATTAAATCATCAACAACAACAACAACAACAACAACAACAACAACAACAGCAACAACAATAGTAACAATAACAAAAATGATAATAAACAGATTTAACACTATTATATATATTCACAAGTGATTATCTTTTGTTTTCAAACATCAATAAATCGAAAAAAAAAAAAAAAAAGAAAAAAAAACAAATAAACATTGTAATCAATATCAAATAAACTTGATATATAAATGTAAAAACGAGTGTGTAATAATAGATGCATCGATCACATTACATTACATTTTATATTATCTGTTTCATTATTTAAACCGCCAATTTCTAAATGAAAACATATAAATCTCATTTTTTTTTTTTTTTGACAAACAATTTTATTACAATTTTTTTTTTTTTTTTTTTTTGAGTTTTTTTCATTCACACCTTTTTAAAAAACGTTGTCGTATATTTTTTTATAAAAATTTTAATTTTATTTATTTTTTTTTTTTAAATAAATAACACAATTGTGTATAATTCCTTTTTTTCTATTTATTTAATTTTTTTATTTTTCAAACACATCTTTCTTTCTCTCTTTCTTTTTCAACACCAACTACAATAACAAAAAAAAAAAACGTCATTATAACTCAAGAAAAAAAAAAAAGTAATAATCTAAAAAAAAAAAAAAAAATTGTGTCAGATAGACTAAAAAACCACACCAAAGAACAACTAATAACATAATAACATTTTAGATAAGCAGCAGTTCCGACATTAGTATATTGCGATTATACATATATATTTTTAGCTTAATTTAGATAACACCTCTAAGTTTGCAAATTTTATATGTCAGGTACAATGTCTAGCCATTCTAAAAGACAAAAGAATCGTATTCTTCGAAATAAAGCAAGAATCTATTGCGATGTCAACTATAACAAACCAAAAGAATATTGGAACTACGAAGCTCTTACTGTAGATTGGGGGTATGCATAAGAATTGATCGCGAATCCGATTGAATCGAATTGAATCTGATTAGATTGAAATTGATCGATCAAAAAGAAATAGTAGCCGTACTAACTAATATTTTTACTTATTATTATTATTATTATTATCATCACACAGATTACAAGATGATTATGAAATTGTAAGAAAGATTGGTCGTGGAAAATACTCTGAGGTATTCGAAGGAGCTCACAGCAAGAACAACGAGAAATGCGTAATCAAAGTACTCAAACCAGTAAAGAAGAAGAAGATCAAGAGAGAAATTAAAATCTTGCAAAATCTCTGTGGAGGACCAAATATCATTACATTGTTGGACGTCGTACGAGATCCACAGTCGAAAACACCATCGCTCATCTTTGAATACATTAACAATACCGATTTCAAACATCTAGCGCCGACTCTCACCGACTTTGACGTGAGATATTACATTTTGGAGTTGTTGTATGCTCTCGACCACTGTCACTCGAATGGAATCATGCATCGTGACGTCAAACCAAGCAACGTCATGATCGACCACCAGAAACGAAAGCTTTACCTCATCGATTGGGGTCTCGCTGAATTCTACCACCCCAACCAAGACTACAACGTCAGAGTTGCCTCTCGTCCATACAAAGGACCAGAGTTACTCGTCGACATGGAGGATTACGATTATAGTTTAGATATGTGGAGTCTTGGATGTATGTTTGCAGGAATGGTATGTGATATCTATAAATTTAACTTATAATAATTACTATCAATTTATTATCAAGTTTTAAACTAATCTTTTTATTCATTCATTGATATTAGCTCTTCCAAAAAGATCCATTCTTCCACGGACATGATAATATTGATCAATTAGTAAAGATTGTTAAGGTTTTGGGTACAGATGAATTTTATGCCTATTTAAATAAATATGGAATTGTAATCGATTCAACATTACAAAGTATTTTGGGAAAGTAAGTAGATCTTTGATCAAAAGTTTTGTAGGTAGAATGAAATACTTATATTTTATATTATAATTATTTTAGACACCCAAAGAAACCATGGGCCAAATTCATCACCAATGACAATAAAAACCTTGCTGTACCAGAGGCAATCGATTTCTTGGATAAATTGCTACGTTATGATCCAGCTGAGAGATTAACCACCAAAGAAGCTATGGAACACCCATATTTCAAGCTTTTAGTTCACAACAGACAACAAAACTAAAATTATAATAATAACAATAATAGCAATAATAATAATAATTATAATAATTATAATCTAATAATAAACGTATAATGAATCAATTAACCAAACAAACAACTACAACAAACAAAAAAAAAAAAAAAGAAAAGCAAAAAAAAAAAAGAAATACAAAAAACTAACTACTTAGAGAGAGAGAGAAAAGAAAGAGAGAGAAAAGAGAAAGAAATAGAGAGACTATCAACAAAAGCAAACACAAACAAAAATATAGGTTTGGTTAATTTGATTTGTCGATCGACTTTTAATCACTTGTTAAATTCAACAACCCAACCCAACCCATACCCATACCAATCACAAATACTCTATCACAAACACAAATCAAACATGTCCTTTTAAAAAAGAGTAATATTACTATTCCTCTTCCCAGAATATTACAAACTATTAAATTAAAAAGTTTATTTTTATCCAAAAACAAAAAGAAACAAATAATTATTTATAATATTATATTATAGTATTATATATATACTAAATTTTAATCTATTTTATTTAAATAATATTCATATGTACAACTTGTTCTATTCTAATTCTTACTTTTAAAATAAAATTAAAAAAACTACATTTAAATCTCTGTTTCCAATACTTCGTTGTCTTCTGACAGTGGAACAGAGACGATATCTACTTTGGTATTTTCGTTATATGCTTGATATTTAATAGTTAAAACAGCCCATATCTATTTAATTTGAAATTGATTATAGTATTAGTCATTATTTAGTTGATTGTTTTAAATAGGTGATTGTTTACCATTGCAAAGAAAAGAGTCATAACAGCCCAAGCTATATCTTCTTTACGTTTATAGTCGATGTAGAACATCAATGAAACACCACTGACCAAAACCAATGAAAAACATAAAACCAATTTGAGGTTAACCATGATTCTCTCTCTCTTTGAGCTTGCACTTGCATTTAATCTCTGATAACCTGGTGCTGATCTATAATAATACTATATAGTAATGACCACCATTATTGTCAATATTCAAACCTAAATCAAACAAACAACAACATCGCAACATGTTGTTTTAAACTTACCCATATATCAGCAACCAATAGAAAAGCAGCAACACAACTAATCAACGGTAGATAAAGTACACCTGCATCTCCTTTAGCAGAATAAACTAGAAATGATATCAGACATGCCACCTATATTAATAGTAACATAACATAGCATAATAAAAACATAATAATTATTATCAATACAATGAATATCTAATTGTTATTATGATTCAAAGCTTTGATTCTTACACCCCAAGCAAAAGGTACTCCCAATTTAATGAGATCCAACTTTGATAAATTAAATGGTAACATAACTAACTTTATGATTCTATTTAAATCTATATAATATATAAAATTGTTTGTCAAATAACTAGCTTTAATGAATAACTATTTAATAAATAATTTTGAGTTGCAATGAATATAAATATGATTGATTTCGAACGTTCAATTACTTATCAATAAATAATTAGAATTATTTAATTTTTAATTTATTTTTAAATATTTGCACTGGTTATAAAATTTTATAACCAGTAAATATTCATATGAATTCTCAACATTTCGAAATTTAAATTAGAAGTGATTATGCCAACAATGGTTTTGTTTAACTACAGGATAATTAAATATCTATGCTTTTAATTAAGACAGTAATATCATAGCTCAGTATTAAAATAGTAATAGTATAGTTAGAAAAAATAATAATAACAATACCTGCTGTGGTTTTTTGATTAATTAAAGTTTGACTTGAATTGACTGTGGACCACTAACATTTTTGATTTAATGTCTGTTTCTTTATAATTATCTATTTACAAAATGTTTTGACTATTAAATTTATTAGGAAATGTTTGTTGTTTGTTACGATATATGTAACAAAATTGGATTGGATTGAGTTGATTGATTGGAAAAAAAAGGTAGCAGCTGCAGTTTGATTACTATCTATATGTTTTGATTTGATTTGATAATGATATGATATATTATATAATATAAATTAACAACAACCACCTGAAGATTGTTTGTCATTGGGACTCTTTAAAGTTGTCTTATCTGCATCGCTCATCTGTATTCCAAGACTTTCCATATCGACTAAACCATCGTCTATCTTTGAAACTATTGTTTTTGCACACTTAAGGAAGATCTCTTCTACATTGTCTCCAGACATTGAACTAGCTTCTAAGAATAGTAAATCTACAAAAAAAATATTGAATATTTTAGTTTAAACATCTATTATTATTATTATCATTATCTAAATACGATTGCTTACCATTCTCTTGAGCTACTTTGATTGCCTCTAAAAATGATACTTCTCTTTCCGCAGTTAAATCAGACTTGTTTCCAACCAATATAATAGTAACATCTTTACTTGCGAGTGCTCTAGCATCACTTAGCCAATTTGTAATATGATTATATGTTTCTCGACTGTTGTTTCAAAAATAGAGTAGTAGTAGTAGTAGTAGAAGTAGAATGATCAGTTAGTAATTAGATTTGTTTGATATGAATTGATAAACTCGTACTTTGCAACATCATAAACTAAAATGACACCTGCTGAACCTCTATAATAACTTCTAGTGACTGATCTAAATCTTTCTTGACCTGCAGTATCCCATATCTATACGTTGTAGTAGTGAATGAAGATTAAAGAAATGAGTGAATTGATCGTCACAATGATTTGATGATCATCTAGTTTTATCAATATATCTAAAAATACCTGTAATTTAACTGATCTACCTGCTACCTCTACTATTCTCGATGCAAAGTCAACACCAATGGTATGATTTGATTGACTTTTAACTAAAGGATGAATTCCACCAATCAAAATTTATAAAGAGAGAAATGTCAATAAGAAATAGTAATTTCGTGTATAGCCTTGAAGATTTAAACATACATTTATTATCGGTGAATCTATATAATAAACATGATTTTCCAACATTTGGATCACCAATTATTAAAAATTTAAAATGTAACAATGTTTTATTTATTCACCATTTGCAAATTGTCTTTTTATTTATTTATTTATTTATTAATTTTATAACTATATATATATATATTAATGTTTGCAAATTGATAAACACTTTTTAGTAACCTTACCTTACAAAATCGATTGAATTGAATTAAAATATAAAATAAAAAAATCAATTTTAAAAAAACTCTAATGAAAAATCAAAGGTCAAAAAAAAAAAATGCGACATTGCAAAGTAATTTAACACATTTTTAAATGAATATCTTTCCTTTAAAATGAATATCATAATAACATTTATTCACCATTCTCATCTGAGTTGTTTGTATGGGTTTTAGTATTAGTATTATTGGTAGTGTTGGTGGTGGTGGTGGTACAACTTTTTACACCTCTTTTAGGTACTTTATAAACTTGTCTAATATTTATGTTGATACGTCTGTTCTTTTCTTTCATCCAATGAACTTGCCATCGATATTCATCGTCTTCTTTCGAGTCGTCGAGTAGACCTGCATCGAACGAATCCTCGACAATTCTTGCAACACCATGGTAACAGTACCGTGATCTACCGCCCATAATAACAATATCACCACTCCTTATAAAGATTGGCACTGGTGCGACATCCTTTGTCTCTGCACCCATTAAAAAGACAGCGGTACTTCCAAAACTAATAGAAACGATCGGTTTCTCCATTTCCTCTTCGGCATCGTCCAAATGGCCACCCATCACTGAATCCTCAGAATAGAAATTGACAATAGCAGCTTCAGCCACATAAGGATCGTATTTAGTTGCTTTTGCGATATGTGTTACCAATTCATGTAAATCTAGATTCATTCCGCATTGAGTAAAAGTTAGTTAACTTCTATTGATTCTATTCTAATCTAAGTTATTTGTATCATTCTTCTTTTATTACCATTTGGTATTTCTTCGTAAAAGTCTTCAGAGTAATCTCTTGATGTCCATTGATACTGATATCCCAGAGTTGCCCACGCCAGCTTATCCAATAAAGATCTATAAGATGGTAATTCTTCACCGTTTTTATCTAATGGTCTATTTTGTTGTTGTTCATTTTGTTTTTGCTGTTGTTGTTGTTGTTGTTTAAATTCAGATTGTGCATTACTCCAGAGATCTTTTATTTCACCATGAAAGAGACTGAGGTTTGTGAGGTTTGGTGGTTCAACATAGTGTTCGAGAGCATCTTTTATCCATTTACGTTGTTGTCGCGCTGTGAATACCGATGGTATAAAGTAGAATCCGGGATAGTATGCGAGACCGTAGACACGCCAACTCGATGGATTCGAATAGTATGGTGAATCAACTGCTATTGTCGAGACATTCGTTGCAATACCACTACTGCTGCTAGCAGTCGTCTGTGCTGAATAGTCAATGATTCTCTTTTTGTTCAGTTCATTGTTTCTCTCTAGATTATGATAGTCCAACACCGAGGAGTAGTCTATCGGTGGTCGTTTGTCCTTCGGTAGTATCTTCCCACGTTCATTCTTTGTTTGTTGTCTAAACATTTTCTGTACTTTCATATACTCTGATGTGTTACCACCACCACCACCACCACCACCACCCCCACTACTTCCTCCATTCTTTTCAACTTTATACATAATTCTATCTATCTATTTATTTACATCGGTCGCAACAAAGTCATTTTTTTCTTAATTAATTTCAACAACATCGTAAATTTTTATTGTCTTTTTTTTTTTTTTTTCAGTAAGTATTTCTTATAATATAGACAAGCTCAAATGCAAAAGGAGATCCCAAGATCTCTATTTTGTACTCTAGGTTATCATTAAATTGATTGAATTATGAAGATTTTGGAACTAGACACTTTCGCAATGGAATGACAGGCATGACCTTGAAGACTCTATATTTAGACAGATCAAAACACAATGGAGTTAAAATTTAAAGTTGGAGTAATAATGTATTAACTTTCTAGACACTAAATAAAAGACCTTCCCCTGAGGCAATTAAAAAAATTTAAACTGGTAAAACTATTTTAGCCAAGTATTGGGAAATTATTTTTATTGAATAAGAAATAGATCACGCAGATTGAGCATGGAACTAGGGAATAAAACCAAAGAAAGAGAGTTAGAAACACGATTGATAGGTGCACTATTTAATGACTTACCGCCATGTTTTTCTGTGCCGTTTTGAGTAAAAATTTTAAATAATGTTTAAACCTAGTTTTTAAACCATCGTCAATCATTGTAGATCGATCTACAAAATCGAAAACAGTATGGTAGTGCGCCAAAATATATTGTGCCAGTTCTCGCGAGATTTTAGTTTTTTCTACATTCCCTCCTTCCAAATATCGTAATGTTATATCTCTTTTTTCCTCATTGACCTCTTTAGAGGCCCAAAAGATACCCCCACTCTTATGAAAGTACTCTTGACAATCTATCAGTGTTTTGACACCAATAGCAAAAGTATTATCTTTATACTCTTCATAATGTGTTTGTATAATAACTTGGAGTTCTAAAAAGTGTTCCTTTTTGAAGTTTGGTTGCCAAACTCCAAGTACATGATTGTCATCAACTTTAGTTCTGATACAAGATGTTCTTAATATCTTATACATTCTTTGTTATTTATTTATTTATAAAGAAACGAAAATTCAACATATCATCTTGATCACTTCTTACACTCTTGTTTGTAAAAAAAAAAAAAAAAAAAAAAGATATTTTTCAAATTTTTGAATATTTCGATTTAAATATCGTTTTGTTTTTTGGAAAATGATGGTCTTATTAAACGATATGTTTTGCATATTTAAGATCATTATAATATAGAATTGTTTTGTTTGAATAGTAATGATAATACTCTTTATTTCAAAATCTATGACTCACAAAAAACAAACAACCTTTTCCTTAGGTGGTACTATGATTGTTGTCAATTTTGATGACAAACAAACAAACAAACGATAACCTAAAGCTTAAGTTAAACTCTGTCTTACCTTTCTTGTCACTTGAATAAGGCAAAGTTTAATACTCACACTTTTTTTGCAAAAAAAAAAAAAAAAAAAAATTGAACCTCAACTTTTATAAATGATGATTCATCACAAAAAAAAACTCCATACTGACTACCACACCATCAATAAAAAAAAAGTCAATATTTATAAACAAAACTAAAGAAAACTACTATATTTCTTTATTCATTTTTGTTTATTTTTATATTGTTTTTTTTTATTTCTTTTTTCAATATAGTGTAATTTAATTCATATTCATATTTTACAAATAGTTTAGTTTAATTTTGTTAATACAATAATTTATAAAAATAGATCAAATATATATAAATATAGATAGAACAAAACAACAACAACAACAGGTTAGATAGATTGATTGATTAGCAAAACATAAAGATATGATGAACTTCGATCAAGCTGAAGATAAAGATGGTGTAAGATTCTCATGGAATGTATGGCCAACTTCACGTGTGGAAGCGACACGTAAGTTGTTGGTGCCATTGGGTTGTATGTACACACCGATGAAGCAGAGTGCGGAGATCTTGCAACTGCCATACCCACCTTTACACTGCAAAGGTTTGTGCACAGCCATCTTGAATCCCTACTGCACAGTCGCACCACCCTACCGTACCTGGGTGTGTCCGTTCTGCTTGCAACACAACCAGTTCCCACCACACTACAACGGTTGCATCACTGACACCTCGCGTCCATCGGAGCTTCTCCCACAATCGACCACCATCGAGTACATGCTGCCAACGAAAGACACTGCGCCACCCATCTACCTGTTCATCGTCGACACCTGTCTGCCCGACGACGAACTCCAAGCGCTGACCGACTCGCTCACCATGTCGCTCTCGCTGCTCCCAGAGAACTCGTACGTCGGTCTGATCACCTTTGGTTCGATGGTGCAGTTGTACGAGCTTGGATTCACTGCCTGCCCGAAATCCTATGTTTTCCGTGGCAATCAAAGCGCCGCCTTCAAGGCGCAGACTCTCATCGAGAAGCTCGGTTCGCCAGAGACATTCAACTTGGTGTCGAAGCGTTTCTTGGTGCCGGTTGGCGAGTGCGAGTTCAACTTGACGTCGATCTTGGAGGAGATCCAAAAGGATCCATGTCGTGTCTCCTCGGACAAGCGTCCACAACGTGCCACCGGAATTGCCTTCTCAGTGGCCGCGTCACTCCTCCAAGCGGTCGCGCCAAATACTGGTGCGCGTATCATGGCGTTCATTGGTGGTCCAGCCACTGTTGGACTTGGTTTGGTCGTAGGCGAAGACCTCAAAGAACCGATCCGTTCGCACCACGACATCATCAAATACAAGGCAAAGCACTCGTCGAAGGCCTATCTCCACTATAAATCGATCGCAGAGCAGGCTGTCTCTGGCGGACACGTCATCGATATATTCTCGTGTTCACTCGATCAAGTCGGTCTCTACGAGATGCGAGAGATGGTCAAGATGACCGGTGGTTTCATGGTGTTGGCAGACGGTTTCTTCCATCCGATGTTCCAACAATCCTTCCAAAAGATATTCACACGTGACACCGAACACCAATTCAACATGGGCTACAACGCTGACATCCAAATCTCAACATCAAGATATCTCAAAGTTTGTGGTGCAATCGGTCATCTTTCATCTCTTAACGTTCAATCACCCAATGTTTCAGAAAATGTAAGTGTTGCATAAGTGATCACTAACCAAATATGCCAAACAACACTTTATTAAAACTTTCTTTTTTCTTTTTCCAATAGGAAATTGGTATTGGTGGAACATCTAGTTGGAAAGTTTGTGGATTGGATCAGAACAGTACTTTTGCTTTTTATTTCGAGGTTGCCAATCAACATACCAATCCAATTGCACCAGATCAACCGGGATTGATTCAATTTATTACTACATATCAGAATAGTCAGGGTAAGCGTATTCTTCGTGTTACCACTGTGCGTCGTGACTGGTCGGACACTGCCAATGAATCGAACGACTCGGTGTCGATGTTGGCCAACGGATTCGATCAGGAGACTTCGGCTGCGCTGATGGCACGTCTCGCCGTCTTCAAAGCAGAGACTGAAGAGCTCCCCGATATTACACGTTGGCTCGACAAGATGCTGATCCGTCTCGTCTCCAAGTATGCCGACTTCCGCAAGGACGACCCGCGCTCCTTCAAGCTGGCACCAAACTTTGCGATCTACCCACACTTTATGTTCCATCTGCGTCGTAGCAACTTCCTACAGGCATTCAACAACAGTCCTGACGAGTCGTCGTTCTATCGTTTCATGTTGAATCGTGAGAACGTCTCCAACACACTCATCATGATTCAGCCAACTCTCGAGAAGTACTCATTCAACGGTCCACCCGAGCCAGTTGCACTCTCGGCCACATCGATCACCTCTGACACCATCTTGTTACTCGACACATTCTTCCACGTGCTCATCTTCCATGGTGAGACCATCGCCAAGTGGCGTAAGGAAGGATACGATAAGAATCCACAATATCAAAATTTCAAAGATTTATTACAAGCTCCAAAAGATGATGCAAATGTAAGTATTATCAAATATCAATAATATCAAAACTCAATTCAATACAACGATAGATCGATCGATTCTAATTTTTTTTTTCAACTTTTGACAAATCAATAGGCAATTTTAAGAGACAGATTCCCATATCCACGTTATATTGATTGCGACCAACATTCAGGTGAAGCACGTTTCCTTTTGGCAACAATCGATCCTAATTTGACACATGTTAGCAACGCTCAACAAGATCCAACCAAGGGTGAAGTTGTATTCACCGATGATGTAAATCTACATGTATTTTTGGAACATTTGAAAAAGTTTGCTGTTCAATCTTAAATTAAAAAAAACAAAAACAAAAAAAAACAATATAAAAATGAAATTTTATATAAATATTAATAAAATAATAATCAAATAAAATTATTAATATTTAATATTAATATATTAGAATAATAATTTTTGGTATTCTTTAGCGTGAATGACTGACTTTTAAATATTTCTATGAAGATGGTAACTTTCATCTCATTAAGTCATTTTTGTTTTTTTTTTGTTTTATTTTTATTTTTTTTGTTTTTTTTTTTGTTTTTTCAAATTTTTATATGACACCAATTTCAACGGTTTGTTGTTGATTTGTTTTTTCAAAAATTTCAACATTTTTTATTATTAGTTTATTAATTTTATTTTAAAAGCAATAGAAAGCACGCACACCCGCTTTTCATATTTCGATTGTTGTCCCGACAGAAATCAAATAATCTATATATTAATCCGACGATTCAAATTTAGATTTTCATAAATTTCATTGGTTTTATTTGGTTTGCTTTTATTTTGTTTTATTATAAACAACTTTAACTCTTTCACCTAAACATATATACACATAATACATATACATAACATATACAACCAAAGCAAAACATATATAATAGATTTAGATTATGACAAGACCAAGAGGTGGTGGTATGTATACATACTTTTCAAATGAAAAACATAAAATAAAAATAAATATCAAAACAAAACAAAAAAACAAAAATCAAATGTTATCTTTTCTTAACTTGTAAAAGATAGATAATAGATAATAGATAGAATTCATTTCTAGAAAATGATAAACATAAATATATTTCATTTTTATCAATCGTTTAGATAAAAGATTAACTAACTAATATCATGATTGATATCTCTATCTTTAATAACTTTTATAGCATCTACTAAAGAGGATGATAATGAACAACAACAACAACAGCAACAGGAAGAATCAATAATAAACACAAATATAACACCAAGTAGACCAAAGAGAACTACACAGCTACCTGCTTCACAAAAGGATTACGTAATGTTTCCTACTTCAAATAGAAGAGCATCTGCTAATAGCAGCAACAATGGTGGTGGTAGTGAAGACGGTGGAAATCAAAATGGTAGCAGCAGCAGCAGTAATGGCAATGGTAACATAGTCATACCAAAGCGAGTTATTGTTATAGCACCGGGAGGAAATAATAGCAACAACAGTACACCAGACGAAAAGAAGAGAAAGTCGACTGAGGATTCCTCACCTGGCAACAACACAACTGCTTCTCCTTCCGCTACCACTCCAAAGCGACAAAAGAATGGCAACACTCCCATCACTCCTATTAGCACAAAGCGAAGATCCATTGAGAAAGCAGCGACTAACAACAACAACGACGATGAACATCAGGTGTCGGTACATGACGAAGACGGTACAGAGACAACAACTACCTCGGTTGTCACACCAAAGAGTAATCTTAAACTAACCATAAAGTTAAATCCATCAGCTGCTACATCAACAACGACAACGACTACAACTGCTGCTGCTAAAACAAAGGTTGATCTACCAAGTTCACCACCTCCTATGCCAACTTCTACTCCGACAGCCAAGCGTAGAGGTCGTAAACCAAAGGTTGTCGTGCAACAAGAGAAAGAGGACGATGAGGATGACGAGACAGAAGACGAGGAGGAGGAAGAAGAGGAGGAAGAAGAACAACGTCCAACACCAAAGCGACTCTCCATAAAGATCAAGATGGGCGAACAACAACAGCAACAACAGCAGACAAAGTCAACACCAACCAAAGGAGCAACTCCAAAGGTTTCAAACGCACCTTTTGTCGACCCCGCAACAGTGACACCGGAGCAACTTACCCACATGAAAAAGACATTCTCTACCATATTGACACAGCTCGTAAAGAAAGATCTTCAAGGATACTTTATGGAGCCGGTAACAGAAACTATTGCACCGAACTACTTTACACACATCAAGGAGCCAATGGATTTCCAAACGATGAAAGAAAAGAATCAAAGCTCACAATATCTCTCCATTGAGCAGTTCCTCTATGATTTCACATTGATCTGTGAGAATTGTATGACCTACAACGATACAGAGTCGTCGTTCTACAAAGAAGCAAAGAAGCTGCTATCGGTTGGTAAATCTATGATCCTCTCTTACACCTCCAAAGTACATCCCGATCGTCTTGAATCCGATATCGCCACACCCACCAAGCAGCCATTGCTCACCGGACCGGTCACAGCTACACCCTCTGCCTCCACATTGCGTGAGCGCGAGCGTCGTCTACGTGGAGCCGTAGTCGATGAAGTTCCTTCGCCAGCGTCAGCAGCAGCAGCACCAACACAAACCTCAGCAATTGAACCAACGGCGACATTAGCAGCAGCGGACAAGCATCACTACACACATACTCCAAGTCGTCGTCTGCAGCAACGCGAACGTGAAAAAGAGCGCGCCGAAGAGCACAAGGAAGAGCTCCCAAAGGCATTGTCAGTGGCCGCTCCCAACTCCAAGGTTGCACCCGTCACCAGAACCAAGAGAAAGCCTGGCGCACCTGGATCCACCCAGTCAACACCAATTATCCGTCCACAATTCGTACCGACTCCATCCACTCCAAATGTCACTGCTGTTTCCATGTTCCCTCCACCTGCTGTCACCCCATTTGTCATGCCACAAGTCGTTGCCGCGCCAACTGCAGTCGCCATGCCTACTCAACAGCCAGTGGTAGTCGATCACTCAATGGTAGCAATGACAGTCGATCAATATACATCTGCACCACAATCCACCAATATCTCACTTCCAAAGCGTAAGTATGTCAAGATTGGAGGTGAGATGAATGCCAGACCACAGACCATTCCTCCAGCATTGAAGATCTCTCACACACTGACCAAGAAGATCTCAGAGGGTGACAATATCATGGTGGCACCATTCAACATCAACTCGGCACACACCTACAGCATGTATATTCCAAAGGATCAGCAGCACGACCTTTCCAATGGCAGCTACCAGATCATCGGTAACTTTAGTCTACCAAAGTTCCTCGAGAAAACAGTCAACTTTGAAGAACAGAAACTAAAACAACTTCAGCTACAGCATCAGATGCTTCTACAGCAACAACAACAGTTGATTCAACAACACCAACTTTTACAACAACAGCAACCTGTAGTATCTATTGCCAAGCCAATAGAGAATTCTCATGAATCAACAGCATCAGAGGAAGGAAGCAATGAAGATCAACCAATGTCAGATGTCAACACCACAACTGAATCAACCACAACTGTTTCAACAGACAGCATGCATCCAGCAGTTCCAGAGGCAGGCGCTTTGGTTGCTCAAGCACCAATGTCACCATCTTCACAGATTCTGGCAAATAATATTGCTGGAGTAAATCTGCTTGTACAGCAATCGTTAAGTTTTGAAGCAAACAACACAGTTAGTGAAGAGAGAAGAGCTGACATTGCAGCTAACTATCCAGTGAATGGATCGATTCATCTAAATGGTTTACCCAATTTTATTTATGTAAAGTCTAACCTTTCAGGAGGTGGAGCAGGAGTCGCAGTAGTTTCGGACAGCAAGCAATCAGAGTCGCAAGGCAGCAGAGGCAGCCACAATAGCAAACTGAGTAGAGCCACTCTCAATTCACTGCCAAAAGAGAGTCTAGGATACCTCAGCCAACAAATGTCGAGCTTGATCAAACAAGGACAGATCCAGATCGACGATAAGATAAAGTCACACACCGAGCAACAGATTCGTAAGAACTTGCTCAACCGAATCAAAGACTCTACTGACTACGAGGTTCCCTCTACCATCGATGACATTGACAGTTTGAAACAACAGCTAACCGAATCACTTGGAGGCGTTGACCTCTCGTTTTTAGATCAAATTAAATTGGATCAACAACAACAACCATCTTCACCACTTGTAATTAATAACAATAACAATAGCAATAATAATAGTAATTTAGATGTTGAAATGACACCAACAACACCACCAGCCACTTCAACTACCACTACCACCACCACAGAAAACACTACCATTGAATTCGCCAAGAGCAATACTACCACCACAACAACCACAACAAAGTCCACCTCGAAATCGATTCAAGAGAGTCTCGAAGATGGATTTGAACAACTCTGTAAACTCCAGTTGACACAATATATGAGAGGTGTGCCAACCCCAACCGGCACCGAACTTCAATCGGCTTCACTACTACATACAGCGATTGGAAAGCTCGGTGTGTCACTCCCTCCATCCATGTATATCAAATCACGTGAAGCCATCAGAAAGAGCATTATCAAGAGTGGACTTCAAGTGGGTGCAGGTAGACAACCAAGACCCAATTTTCATAAAAAAGATATTCTCTCACCAACTTCCACCGCCGCCACCACCACCACAGCAACAACTATTCGCTCACCTGAAACAGAGGTAACAACAGAACAATCATAATCAAATTTTTCAAATCCCTTAAAAACAAACCAATCAACATAAAATATTCAAAAAAATTAAATAATTTAATTTTTTTTTTTTTTTTTTCATACTCATTGATTGATTAACTTATTTTGCTTTTAATTACACAATTGTTTGTTTATTCAACTTTTTATATTAATTAATCGATAACCAAAAAAAAATGGTATGTTTTATTTTGCTTTGTCCATTCCATTTCAATTTTAAATTAATTGAATAAATTTAAATCTTATCATTATCTCAACTAAAAGATATATTCAATTAATAATGATTTACCCTGTAACCTAATATTTAAAACTGCTAATGCTTTTTATCAGTTTTACATACTTGCATCTTTTGCAAAATAAAAAGTGAGTGTTTTATTTTATTTTATTTTTATTCATTTCATTTCTCACACATGATCATATATTCACCCACATGTATTGCTTAATATCTGAACATACACGTTGCCTCAACTTTATTTGTCATTAAATGTAGTGTGAGTGTGTGTATGAATTAAATTTAAATTTATGATCATGTGTTGATATATTAACAAAACATTAGTTTAGTTGATTTTAAAAAAGAAGATTTAATAAGTGTTTATTTTTAAAGATTAAATAACAAATACATCATTCATTAGATAAAAGAACTTTCAATATCATCAAAAGGGGTATAATCACGAATAAACCTTTTTTTCTCTACCAACCACTGAATTCTCATATAAAGTATAACAACAACTAGAAATAGTAGCATTTATTTATATCTTTATATATATGGATGTTGTTAATGTTGTTTTTCATACATTATTTTATTCTTTGTTGCAGATCTACGTTTTTATACTGTAGCAGTACTGTTGTTATATGTATGCAATATGTTCTATGATAGATTTAATTTTGATGTTACAGGCTAGACTAGATTTCCATTTTGTTATTGATATCCAATATTCATTTTGATTGGATTTTTCTGCTGTGTTTACTTGAAGTAATGATCAACCAAACTCAATAATAATTTGTTGGTTAATTGACTGACTAAACACCCAAAAAACATCTAATATTTTATATCTTTTTTTAATCATAAATCAATAGTTGATTTTGAATTTCAATTGTTTAGGAGTATGAAATTATCAACAACATAGTTTACTCCTTTTTTTTTTGATAAATAAAAATAGTTATAGTTTTTTATAAAAGTTTAATTTAATAGTAGTAATTTAATAAAATTATAAAGAAAAAAATAACAATTCAGATAATAGTAAAAAGAATAATAATAAGCTATAAATTTTAGAAAGAATAAGATTCTCAATTTTTATTTAGAATAGTTAAAATTAAACTATATAAAGATAAGAAATAATTACAAATAAACTTTAACCATTTTCCAATTGGATAGGAATTCAATGGATAGTAGTAATAGGAATAGTAGTAATTTGCAAAAGATTTAAACCGTTTTCGATTTATTAATATATCACTTTTAACCATATTGGTATGTTGGTTTTTTCCAGTTGCCCTTTGCATTCGGAAATTAATAAATCGTCTCACATTAAAAAAGACAACCATGTTTTTGATTGGATCATCAATCTTTTTTTGTAAATCATCTATCTTGAAATCCAAATATAAGAAATCATGAGTTTCGTTAACGTCATTAAATTAAATTACTTTCTAAAGATTTTGACCCTATCGAAACTGCATCGCACCACTTGGACAATCTAAACAAAATACGAAGAAGAGCAAGTGCATTACTTTTAATTTCACTCATTTATATTACAACTTAATTTCGATCACAAAAGAATCTCGCTTAAACATGCAATTTAGTTTATAATAATCAAAAATAGTTGGATGTATTTAGGAGTGTAGAATGTGATCATTCTTTGGTAGTGATTTTTTAATAATAAATAGAATACATTTATCTTTATAAAGATATCATTTGTTTTCAAACTCAACATTCTTACTAATCTGTAATCACATCACCCACATCATTGTATGATCAAAATCACTTTATGAATTTGAAGAATGTTGCATCATTTACCCACCCCCAACCACATAAATATCCAAGTGCATCACCCCACACACTTTAAAAAAGCACACACACAGTAACACACACACCACAAGGCTAGCTTGAATGAATGTCTGACTGTTTACACATCAAAAAACATATATATATATATTTGCAATCCACTTAACATCATAAACAACACAACAACAAAATAAATTCACCACAATGTTAACAAACCCACACACACAAACCTACCCTTATAATATATCAAATACACTGACTGACCGACACAACCTTGAATCAATCACTTTAAATCACATGTAAATTATACAAAAGGATCAAGTAATACAAGCAAGAATAAAAATGAAAAGACAAGTTTTACCAGATTACTATCCTACCTATATAATGAAAACATCTACTGCCCATTATGAATGTGATTATTTATTTCTTCAATGCTTGAAGAAAAACATTAAAAAATAAAAAGAAATACAATTTCATCAAACAATCAATAAATCAATCAAACAATATCACCCGACTAACAGGTTTTCCAGATTTATCAATTTAGCCAAAATTTAATAATAATATCGATTTATACCAACTTTACCTTTAAATATAAATACTTGCATTTCATCATTTTTATTTCTATAGATAAAATACAAATATTTTAAAATTAGTTAAATAATTTTGGTGTTGTCTGTCTGTGTGTAACATTTCAACTAAATTTTTACTACAACTACTACCTCTACAACTACAATTACAACTACAACTACAACTATACTACAAAACTCTTAACATCATCATCATAAACTATCGACACACACAGCGCTCACCTATAAATAATTTCCGCCACTCAACGCCAAAGCGATCGTTAATCCGTCTCGTATCGCTTTTTTATTTAGTGCTTCACCTCACACCACCAAACATTGATTACTCCATCCAATCCATATCATCACAATTACTTTTAATCCTATCTATTTACATTCCAATAATAACCCTATCTAAAAAGTCGATTTTTTCCAAATTGAGTCGATTTGGGTAATTTTTTTTTTAAAATTATAACTTTTTTATCTATATATATTTATAAGTTTTTCTTACATTTTCTTTCTTTCTTTAATTTATTTTCACACACCTCTTCTTTAACTACTGTTACACCAACAAATTTAATATTGATATCAATATCAATTAAGCTATTCACACACACCGATAATTGATTTTGATTAAACTTTTTTGGATAAATTTTGTTTTAAATGTGAGTAATAAAATCAAGGATAGATTAGAAATATTAATCTTTTATTATTTATAACTAACTCCAAAAATTATTAAAGTTGTTTAGAATAATAGTTGTCATAATAATACTTGTATTTTTAAAGCTTTATTTATTTATTGTTAAGGATTCTAACAAGAGAGGATCAACATGGAAAGTCCAAATCAACATTCACAACAACTTAAAAAATCACCACAACTAAAGGTGGAAATTCCACCAACGACCATGAGCGACACCCTTCCAACCACCAATAACAATAGCAGTAGTAGTACAAACAATGAATGTTCATCACCAACACTACCAACGCCAATCGTTTTGGATATAAATAGTAAATTCTCACTCGACAAAGATTATCTAACAGAGAAGATGAGTGATAACCCACTATCCAAGATGCCTAAAATCGAATACTTTCATCACTATGAGCAACAAAATGTAAAGTCTAAAGTATTCCACCTCTTGAGAAACCCATTTCCATCGATTGCAATTGCGCTACTCATTATGTCTTTGATTGTAGTGACACCACTCGGACATAAATCAAACAGACTGGCACTCAGTGATCTAACCTACCTCCTTATATATATTCCATTTGTGGCCATCTTTTGTTTTGCAGTATTTTTCAGTCTTACCTATACATTTTTCAATATTTCACGTATTCCTGAGCGTCTTTCTCTGATTCTATTTCTCTATTTGGGTGTTTGGATTTCCTTCCAAATCGCCGCACACGTTGCACTCAAAGCAAGTGGATATCTCCTGCCGTTTGGCTGGATCATCATTGCATTTGGTCTGGGTGTACCATTGATCTATGCACTCCTCTGGATATCGCTACCCAAGAGATTTAAAGAGAAACAACCAAACAAAGACTCTGAGTTTTCAGCGGAATCCAAAGAGGAAATCCCAATGCGCATCATTTCACAACAGAACGAACCATACTCCTATTCTAATATTTCCACACCAAACTCGGTCACAACACCAACTACCACTCGTACCCAATCCGAATTCACAATGGGGGTACTCCCAATTCCAATGCCAACTACACCGTCCTCTGATATCTCTGAAATCAGTACAGACTCATCGAATGAATCGTTCCCCAACTTCTCAACTACGGACATCAACAACATTAGTTTGGAGTCAATGGAAGGTTTCAACAATAACACCACCGCCGCCGCCAACAACAACTGTAATATTACTTTAGATTCGAATGGCCAACCACAAGCTCAAACCACAAACACCAACGCCAACCAAGAAAACAATAACAAAACAAAAGTAGAATCCAAATCGAAACCAAGCTTCCTCTTTAAATTCTGGATTGTTGCGTCGACACTCTCTCTCGGACCATTCGGATATGTATTCTTCCACCTTTTCTTGTTGGCTTTCTATTCCGTGACATCCAATCTTGCACAGTCATTCTTGATTGTGGCATTCCAAATGTTGGTGTTGGTGTACAAGCTGATTTTCCGTCTCTCTTTTCACCGTATGCGTGCCTACCTTCCAGAGATCCCATTGAGAGTGTTCCAAGACGGACGTGTTCTCTTCTTGTTCTGGCTGGAACTGAGCTCGCATTGCTTCTTCTCCATGGTATTCCCACATGTATCGAGTTGGTACATGATCGTACTCTACATTTTGATCGAGGCGGTCACTCTTGCCGCTCAGATCATGTTTGACACGGTGGTAGTGCGTTCTTTCTTTATCCGGTTATTCGAAGAGACCTACGAGTTCATCTTTGTGCGCAAGTACAGCGGCACACTGGTGTATCGCGTGCTCGGTATCTCTGGCGATCTGGACCGAACCGTCTCGTTGGAACTCTTCTTTTTCAATTGTTTGGCACGTGCACTTGCAGGTCTTGCCTACATCGTTTTCACATTGGTCATCTACTTCGGACCAAACCGTAAATACTACCAAACCATCAACAGTCTCACACCGACCAACTACTACCTCACCATCATCTATGCGTTGGGTTCACTCATCTCCAGTTTCGTCCAGATGGGCATCTTCAAGGTGCTAATGCAGCGTGTATACAAAGTGAACCTAATGACTCAAGGTGTCAAAGTTTGGAAGCGAAAACCAGACGTATCTTTCTTTTTCATCACCAACTGCTTTATCTTGCCTCTCGTCGTATTGTTGGATCACAACAATGCTGTATCATATTTATTAACATTTAATAGACTATAATAATAATTAATACATTATTTTTATTATTATTGTATTGTAATAAAGTACTATTTTTTAATTTATTTATCTTTTGAAAAACAACTTTGTTTTTTTTTTTTTTTTTTTCAGACAAGTCAAACTTCTTGGAAAAACAAACTTCAACTTTTGTGCATTTTCAAACAAAAAACGAAACTAAACAAAGTCACTCATCTTTTAAAACATTACATATGTATATTTTAATATTATATAAATAAAAGAAAGATGAAGAAATTTGTTACACCTTTTAAATCACCTGCATTAACAACTAATGAATCTGTAAAATCATCTGAAAAGAAGAGTGTTGGAATTAGTAGTAGTAGTAGTTCAACGACTAGCGGTGGTTTAAAATCAACTAAAAGTACTGTTTTGAAGAAAAAGAGTAGCGCACCTGTAGATACAAAAACTACTGTGGGAATCAATGCTGTAAATAGTGGAAGTCAAGATGAATTGTATTTCAAAGTGATGTGGTGTAATATGACTTCAAAGAAACACAAGACATATATGGATGGTGTCATCGTTTGTAAGAAATCATGTTTACTCATGGATTGTGAAACCAAGAAGGAAATAGGTAGATCTTCAACTTTGAAGGTCTCTGATCTTGTCGAAGGTTTCAAATCATCAATGAGTTCAAAAGAGTTTGAAGTTGTTGAACAAATTGATGGTGCAGCATATTCAGAGTTATTTGGTATATCTTCTTCTTCAACTTCGACAACAACGACAACGATAATAACCAATGAAAGTAATGAAAACTCTACAACTATTGGAAGTGGATTCAAAGTTAAAGAATTTAAAAGTCATCAAAATAGTAATGCTACTCTGGTAAATAGTACAAAGAATGCGTTACAACCTAGACACGATCCAAATGTTCCGGATGCTCTGGTGTTGTACACACCACCTGCTAGTGGTTTGGATGAGAATGGTCAGCGTGTTACATATGTGGTGGTCGATCCTTTCATTTCGAAACACTTGCGTCCTCATCAACGTAGAGGTGTTCAATTCCTCTATGACTGTGTCACTGGCCAACGCCACCAGTTTGGCAATGGTTGCATTCTTGCCGACCAAATGGGACTTGGCAAGACAGTGATGACACTGACAACACTCTGGACACTCTTGAAACAAAGTCCAACTGGACAACCGACTTGCAAGAAGGCAATCATTGTAACACCGGCTGGGCTGGTCGGCAATTGGAAGAGGGAAATCAAGCGGTGGTTTGGCGCGGAGCGTCTGAAGCCGTTCACTCTAAACGACTCTGTCTCGAAGAATACGAAACAGATGCTCGAAGACTTTAATACATCCACTGTCAATCCGGTGTTGATTATCTCGTACGACCAATGTCGTATATTCTCATCGATTCTCTGCACCATGAGTTGTGGAGTGTTGGTATGCGACGAAGGACACCGTCTCAAGAACATGGAATCACAAACCACTCAATCGATAGCATCGATCAAAACGAAAGCAAAGATCATTCTCTCTGGAACACCAATACAGAACGATCTCATTGAATTCTACTCTATGGTAGACTTTTGCAATCCTGGATCACTCGGTACACTCTCGCAATTCAAAAAAGACTATGCCAATCCAATCATCAGAGGTCGTGAAGACTCGACCAAAGAAGGAATAGCAAAAGCGATGCAACTCTCAAAGATAACCTCATCATTCATTCTCAGAAGAAAATCAAATGTATTAGAAGAATATTTACCAACTAAAAGTAAGTATTTTATTTTACAGCTCAATAATTACTTACTAATTACTAATATTTACCACTCTACTCCATTCCTATATTCAAAAACAAAGCAATACATGTTGTATTTTGTAGATTATCCGAATTCCAAAAGAAATTGTATAGAGCTGTATTGGATAACAATGGTGTTGATTCAATTATAGCTGGAAAGCAAAATGCTTTGACGACTATGACTACTTTGAAACAACTTTGTAATTATCCTTCTTTGATTAAATCCGATGATTACTCAAAATACTTTACAGATAGTAACGATACAACAACTCCCACCGACTTTGATGCTTCTCAATCTGGAAAGATGGAATTTGTCGAACAACTTTTGATTACTCTAAAGTCACTTGGAGATAGAGCTGTTTTGGTATCAAACTACACTCAAACACTCGATGTCTTTGAACTTCTCTTAAAGAAACTATCGATTCAATCCTATAGAATCGATGGACAAGTCAAAGCAACTGAACGACAGGACAGAGTCGACAAGTTCAACGATCCATCGAATAAGACGCACACTGTATTCCTCTTGTCTTCAAAGGCTGGTGGTGTTGGACTGAATCTTATCGGTGCCAATCATATTGTTCTCTACGATCCCGACTGGAATCCCGCTATCGATATTCAAGCGATGGAGAGAGTCTGGAGAGAAGGCCAAACCAAGCCAGTATCGATCTACCGACTACTGACCGCCGGAACCATCGAGGAGAAGATCCATCAACGCCAAATCATCAAGGAATCGCTCTCGAATAGTGTCGTCGACAAGAGTCACTACGAGAAATCAACGTTCACCAACGAAGAACTTAAAGACATATTCTCACTCAATGACACCACTCAATGCGAAACTCATGATCTATTGACATGTAAATGTGGAATCGTCAGTGGTTCCACGACAAAGTTGAATGGATCGTCTTTAGTGGCATCCAAAGAAAAGAAAGAACAACTTCAACAGATATCACACAGCGATACTTGGGAGCACTATAATGCTACCAACAAACTAAAGACACCTGTATGGGGCAGCAACAATGGTAATTTTAAAACGGTTTGTTTCTTGTTCAGATCGAAACCAAAAGAATCAAACTCGACAGGCATCGATGAAAATATTTCATTTTTGGAGGTGAATAATAGTAGTACTGTAAAAGATGGAGATGATGATGATGAAGCTAGTGACAACGAAAAGAAGATGACACACTCTAAAAAGAAATCAAAGAAAACAACAATTTCAAAAACCAAACCCGATGATGATTCCGATGAAGAAAACTATCTCGATGAGAACAAAGAAGAAGAAGAAGAGCAATATATTGTAAACAAAGGAAAAAAGAGAATAGTTTCAAAAGTTTCAAAATCAAGTAATATTAATTTCGAAGACGATTTAGATAGTTTAGAGATGTAAATAAATAAATTTGAATAATTAATAATATATTTTAATAAATATTTCAAAAACAAAAAAAAAAAAAGAATAGAATAAATTCTTTAACTAACGGTTTTGGTGAATCATCAAATTTGAGTCAACAGATAATAAATTGCCAAATTGGTTTGAAAAAAATAAAAATAAAAATAAAAAAAAATTTATTTTGTGTTTGCTCTGTTCTAGAATACAAATAAACAACATATAGAAATCCAATGAGAATAAATGGAATTCAAGATTGATGTTTAAATGGGAAGGTGTGTTTAATTTGTTTTGTGTTTGGGGTCAAAGCATCAACACACATAATGCAGAATTTTTTTTAAAAAAAAATGATTAAAAAAAATGAAGTTAAATTTTTTATAAATTGCTTTGTCACTCTAAAAAAGAAAAATGATGATTCATCAACAACAACCAAGGAATTTAGTTTTATTCTTGATTCAAAATCAAAACAAACATATAAAAAGTAGGTAAAATTTTTATTTATATCCCATTCATCTCCGCTTATTTAATTTAATTTACAATAATCTAAAATTATTTATTTAAAATATATCCTAAATATCTGTATAATAAATCAACAACAACAATAACAACAAAATAAATAATAAATTAGTTTGGATTAAATTAAATTTAAAGTTAAAATATTAATATTTGTAATTTTATAAAGAATGAAATTTTTAGTTATTTCAGCATTGATTGCCTTGTGTGTAGCCTTTGTTGCTGCCGATGGTAATGTAGTTGTTTTGTCACCAGACAACTTTGATACAGTTGTCGATGGTACCAAGACTGTTTTTGTAAAGTTCTATGCCCCATGGTGTGGTCACTGTAAGAAGTTGGCACCAGACTACGAAGTTATTGCCGATACCTTCGCCGGTAGCAAGCAAGTCGTCATTGCCAAGTTGGACTGTGATGTCCACAAGGAACTCTGTGGTAAATACGATGTCTCTGGATACCCAACCTTGAAGGTCTTTGCCAAGTCAAAGGAAGCCAAGGACTACAATGGAATGAGATCGATCGAAGAGATTGTCACCTTCGTCAACAACGCCGCCGGTACCAACGTCAGAGTCAAGAAGGCTCCATCGAACGTCATCGACTTGACCCCAGAAAACTTTGATGCCGAAGTCTTGAACAAGGACAAGGATGTTTTGGTTGAATTCTACGCTCCATGGTGTGGACACTGCAAGAAGTTGGCCCCAGACTACGAAATCCTCGCCAACACCTACGCCGGTGACAAGCACGTCGGTATCGCCAAGGTTGACTGTGACTCCCACAAGGAGCTCTGCAGCAAGTACGACATCAAGGGATTCCCAACCTTGAAGTGGTTCCCCAAGGATAACAAGGAAGGTGAGAAGTACGAACAAGGTCGTGAACTCGAGACCTTCATTACTTTCATCAACAAGAATGCCGGTACTCACCGTGTCAAGGGTGGTAGATTACTCCCATCCGCCGGTCGTGTTGAACAACTCGACGCCTTGGCTGCCAAATTCGTCGATGCCACCGAGAAGGCCCGTACCGAAATCTTGGCCGAAGCCAACAAGGTTGTCTCTTCCCTCGCTGAGAGCTTGAAGCCAGACGGAAAGATCTACGTCAAGATCATGGAAGCCATCCAAAAGACCAAGGACTACGTCAGCAACGAAATCAACCGTGTCACCAAGTTGACCCAAGGTCAAATCAAGGTTGAAAAGTCAGATCAATTCTTCAAGAAGCTTAACGTCCTCGAGCAATTCGCCAAGAAGAACTAAATATTATAAAAAAAAAAAAACAAACATTTAAAATAAATTAAAAATCTTTATATATATTTATAAAGTGTATTAATAAAAAATATATATAGTTTTAATTATAATAATGATTAAATAAAGGAAATGGAAATAAATTTAATAAACATCATGATGAGTAATTATTAGAAAATATTATTTATACAAGTGTAGTTTAGTATATGTTTATTGATGAAGATGATTGTGGTCTTGGAGTTTCGATCTTCTGGAAATTCTTGACAATCAATGAATAGGTTGTAGCATAGTTATTGGCTAAATCGAAATATGCAAAATAGAATCTAATACGTTCTTTTTCGTCTTGTTGAATAATACTATAGTATGGTATAAATAAAAATGATGAATGATGTTAATAAATTATGATATGATAGGAAGTAATATCGAGTAGTTGATTACATACGCATGTTTGTAAGAATCGATATCACGATGTTTGAGAGCTTTCTTTACGGTGGCAGCTCTGTTGATAAAGTAATTTTCCGATTGCTCCAAAAGATTGGTGTATACATCTTCGAGCTTGGTGAGTTGACTGACGACTTCCTCCTGTACGTCAACACCAAAATTATTACCATCCTCAATCTTTGGGATGTTCAATGTGATCCAACAACGAATGACACTGAATGTCTGTACCAATTCCATATAGTTTCTTTTTAGTTTTTTCTGTTGTTCCAAAATTGCAGAGTTTGTCTTGGCCAATTCCTCGACCGACATTGTGCTAACTGTATCGCAATCTAATTTACGTTTCTTATCGGTTACATTTGCATCGCCATTGCTATCTGAGAACAATGCTTCATATGAAAGTGTTTCCTATAATAAATAAATAATTTAAAATTTGAAAATTTAAAATTTTAAAAATTAGTCGTTTATTTTTTTTTTTCAACCAAATAAAATGATAATAAAAGAAATGATAAACATAATATATAATAGAGATATATGCAGATGTTTGATATTTACTGCCATCTTTTGAAACTCAATGATTCTTTGTGGAATAGTTGTTTTAAGATGTTCTAAACTCTTTTCATAGAGATTGTTCTTAAATTCCAAAACACGTTCGTCAATTTTCAATTCAACTTTTTTTGACATGTTTATATGTATGTATAAATATATGTATATATTAAAATAAAAAGATAGATAAATAACTAGTTATGAAAAAGTATAATAATTTAAATTTGATTAAATAAACAATCAAATTGCGAATTCGAAAAAAAATTGAAGGTCATAGAAAAAAAAATTAATCAAAATAAAAATAAAAAAAAACCAAAAAAAAATTAATTTTTTTTTTTGAGCATGAATTGGCGGGTCTGGTTTTAAATCATTGTCAATTCCTGTTATCTAATATTGATAAAAATTTTAATCTTACAAGATGTTTGTAATATGGTACCAACTTAAATTTAAAGATCTAATATGATCTTTATCATCATGATTCCTAATCATCTTTTGACAAAAAGAAAAAAGTATTAGTAGAATTAAGTTTATCAAGGCGATCTTTCATTTTTCTTAATTTTTTTATTTTTTTTCATTTTCTTTTGGTGATCAGAAATGAAAAATATATATTTATTTTATAATAATTATATTATTATTCTAATATTTTTCATTTAGGGGCAGTTTGAAACATATTAAACTGTTGTAAAGGTGATGATATACTATTGATATTGCTGCTTTGTTGTTTATATTCCTCCATCAACAGTCCATCCACTGATGAGTTGAGTCCATTGAGTTCGTCTCCCTCCTTTGCTTCATCCTTTGTTATACGATAAAAGTGTGGTTTATAATCTACTTTTTCGATTCTGAATAGATTACGAAGGCTTGCACTATACAATTATATAATAGAGTTTTGTTAGTTTGTCTGTTTCTTACTAATGAATGATCAATGGTATTATCTACTTACGCTATTCTTTCTTTTGAATCATTATCATTACAATCTTTATTCCAAATACCAATGAGACTGTTATCTGCTGTTCTAAACGAGATTACGATACCATTGATTGTGTCTCCACCGTCGATTTGCTCACCGACGAACGCCAGCAACAGATCTTCCCACCACTTTGATGTGTAGTTTCTTCGGACTTTGATGACGAATTTTCCACCGTTTTGATTCTCGGGATCCTCCCATACCGGACGGATACCCTCTTTAAATAAATAAATATCGCTCAACGATGAGAACTCATCGACTGGACGAATCATGTGACTATAGTACGACCAAAAATCCTCGACCGTATTGATGCCACCACCAATCATTTGCAAACCATTCAAATAATCAGAGGTGTTCTTTGGTCGCTTTGGCATATAAAAGAAATAGAAACTGTTGGCTAGCGAATGAACACTACCATTACTACTATTGCTGCTATTATTAACGACTACTCCTCCACTTCCAGAGGTAGGATTACTCTTGCTATATTATATCAATCAACCAACCAAGCAACAATGAAACCAACACCAACACCACCACCACCAATCAAAAAACCCAAACAAATAATAATAATAAAAAAAGATTATTTTAAATTAGTTAACTAACTCATTATTATTTCATTCTATTTATATGGTGAAGTGAGTTATGATAAACTAAACAAATTCGAACAATCTATTTCATTGTATCTCATCTTATCTTATCTTATCTAACTTAACTTCACAACGACAACGACCAGCCACAACAATAACAACGAGAAGTACCGTCGATATTAAATTTATACATACATATCCATTTATATATAACTTTTAAAAATAAATAATATAATACTATTACTGAAACAATCTGTACATATATAAAATATATATATTATAAAATAGAAAACTATAAAAAATTAATAATATTTAGTGTTTGTATGTTTCACTGGAACCAAAAACATTATTTTTATTTTATGTTTTTTTTTTTTTTTTTGAATTTTTTGAATTTTTTTTTTTCAACACTCACCATCATTTTTTAAGTTTTAAAACAAAAGATATTGTTTCGAAAAGAAATAATGTAAAAATAGAATAGATATTTTATTTGAACTTGTAAAGATGCAAAGAATGAACTTAGATTGACTTAATAAATAATGTAATTGTTGTTTGATTTGATTGTCCTTTGTAATTTCTTTATCTTTAGTTTGTCACATTCCATTTCGATATGATGATTGGTTGTACTCGAATAAGGGGAAATTCCGTTGAAATTTGTGAATGTACAACTTTATAGAAACTTGTGGTAATTCAAGATGAATTACGATATTGCCCCACTTTGATGGCAGGTTTAATGTTAAAGATACAGGTTTGGATGAGTCGTTCTTTATTTAGTCTTTAATGGCTCACCTTCAGCTTTATTCGATTTATCCTTTATAAACATATCTATTGTATTAATTGTAAGTCTTCGGTTTTCGATTGTCTCCAATAATAACTTTTCATTTATAATTAGATATTCTTAAATGAATTGCAGGAAGAACAAAAGTTTTATTTATAAAAGAAAGTTTTCTATAAAAATAAATCATTTTTAACAAAATAATAAAACCTTATTCATTTAAACTTGCAAAAGATTTTGTAACGAACCAAATTGGACAAAGACTTTGTTTTTTTTTTTTTTAAATTCTTTTTTTTTTTTGTCAAAAAAAAATGCGCAAAGTCGCGAATAAAAGCGAGAAAAATTCATTCATACTCTGTGTTACCATTTTTTATGATAGATAATAGAGCTTGCTCAATGATTATCTGTTTATAATGGTATCAGAGATTAGAAAAGGTACACATTAAATTAGCAATCGATATGTGGTCATAGCGTAGGTTTTCTATTCTTTGATTTAACTAGTAACCGATTGTCAGTAGCTGGACCGACAATCTAAACAAATTAATTTAAAAATAAAAATAAAAACTTTTGATTATATTTTACAATGGAATAATTTCTTTGTTTCAATTATTAAGTGTAGAGTCATTGAGAAAAAAAAAATGTTTTATTATTAAGGTATGGATTTCCTTTTTTAACTTGCCTATGTTTGTTTGTTTTGTTTTAGAATTATTAATGCTAAATAACTTGTGTAATAAATGAATTTGTTATCTTAGAAGAATAAATACATTCTTACTCATAAAAATTTTATATGTTTTATATTAAAAAATAATATCTTTAAAATTTTTTTTTTTTTTTTAGATTTGAAAAAAAAAAAAAAAAGAAAAGAAAAAAAAATAGAAAGAGAAACTTTGACGGAAATTTAGTAGACTGTTTTGAAAAGAATTTAGATTATTTAAATAGACATAATTTTAAACACTTTTGAAATTAGATTACCAAAAATAAATAAATCAATAGAAAAATAGATAAAGTAATCTAAAATAATAAACATTAAAAGAGTTGTAGAATATTGAAGTTGAATTGTGAAGACTTTGTTGTGCTCTTCGACCATTCACACAACGGGTATCTCTCTGAGACAACTCGAAACTTCATAACTAAAAAGGTAAATTTTGGAAAAAAAAAAAAAAAAAAAAACCAAAAAACCAAAAAATCAATCCTTTTTTTAAAACCCAATTAATTGTCACCGTTTATACTGTAAATTTTCAAATACAACTACTTGTTATTTTTCTATTTTCAAATTTTAATATTAATCTCAATCTCACCATCATATATATATATAACCAACCACAATAATAATAGTAGTAGCTAATACAAATATCCAAATTAACAGCAATCAAAGAAGTTAAGCGCACTTTTAAATGGTATAGTTAAAAATACACTATAGCACAGTCAAACATTGAAAAGATTTAATATTAGAATAGTAATAGAAGAGGTAACAAACATAGTGCTTTGAAACTTTCACTTTGTGATGTGTTTGGTGTGTATGTGTGTCGCTGTTTTTTGTGTGTGAGTGTGTGAATATCATAAACATGTTTTTCCAAGAGAATAAAATCATCTTATACACATAACAACGGTCAGCATTTTTAATTAAATTTAACAGAGTCAATGCCAACAGCAGCAGTTTTTTAAAAATATCAAAACAACAACATTTAATAATATTGATATTTTTATTCAACAAAAAAATAAAAAAAAAGCAATAACAAAAAAATAAAATTAAATAAAGGTGACAACTATTGTCTTTTTGTTCATTGTTTGTTTGTTTCTACATTTTATACTAAAAGAAGAACTTAAAAGATCGACAATCTATTTATTTGTTTTGTTTTCTTTAGTTTCGTTTTGTTTGTTTGTTTTTAGAAAATAACAAATTGATCAAGTTTCTTACAATTTTCTCTCTCTCTCTCTCTCTTTAATAATAATAGTCAATAGAGTAGTTAGTAGTAGTAGGTAGATGAACAATTGTAAGAGAGCATTTAAACAACAGTTGTTATGATGATGGAACCTATTCAATCAGAGTCGATAGCTACCAACACTACAACAGCAGCAACAAAGAAAATGGTAGAGATCATTCCGATGGAGAGTAGTTCCGATGCCAATGATCTGATTGCTCAGATTAAAAATAAAGAGAAACTGAAACTCAATGGCGAGTCACTTGCAAATGGCGATTCAACCAATAATTGCAATGGAAACAGTCATATTGAAATCGACTCAGATGTTATCGACAACAACAAAAACAATAGCAACAACAATATCATTAATAACAATGAAACACCTACAGTATCTTCACCAAAAGAATCAAACAGCAATGAAAATAATGAAGTTCAAAACAATATAAATGGTCATAGTATTAGTAATAATAATAATAATAATATAGTTGTAAATATAAATAGTACTCATAATAATAATAGTAGTAGTAATAGTAATATCACAGAAGTTCAGTTTAATTATTCATTTCATGTTGGACCAAAGATAAAAGCAGATAAAAGTGCAGCGAAAAGACATAGAGCGGAGCATGGAAAGACACAGTTGTCACTGCCGCAATCTATGACTATGAGTCCAGGAAAGAAAAAGTCGCGATGGAATCAACAGAGTAGTGTTCCAGTGATCAAGCAAACACATCAGACAAAGCAGAGTGCTCTTTCATCGCGGCGAGCAGATGACACTCCGCTGCACACTGGCGATATTGGTGGAAGTGATTTCTTTTGTCAGTTGTTCTCTGGCAATCTATCGTGTACAAAGATATTGAAAGATTCATATAGAATGTGTTCTTCCTCCTCGTCGTTGTTGTCGTCGTCGACCATGGGTAATCTACTCGATGACGAACATCATCCACTCGATCTCCTCGCTGGTAGCAATAGCAACAACAACAACAACAGTATCAACAATAGCAATGTAGGTGGATTCTCATATTTGGATCAACATGAAGCTGACGAGTTGATTTTGTTGCGCAGCAGTGGAACTTCGCTCATTACAGAGGAAGACGAATCGTCTTCCGACGAGGAAAAGTCGTATATGCGTAGTCTGAAAGAGCGAAAGACGCTGGAGGAATCAGAGAAAGGATACAATAGAGTGATGCGAGAGAAGATCGAACAGGCCAATGTCAATAGGATGTTCTTTGAGGGAACGACTCGGAAGAAGGTTCTCACAAAGGAGCAGCAACAACACCAGGATTTCATTGAGCAAAACATCTTTGAGCCGGAACCACCACCCCGGGCGTTCAAGCTGGCGGAATGCACAGAAGGACCTTACGATACTCTTTACTATACAATCCATCCGCTTCGACTTGGTGAGTTGCTCAAAGATGCCGACGGCAACCAGCGTAATGCCGAGGATGTCATCAAGGAGGGTGTTGTCACTCCACACTACACCAAAGTGGTGCCGTTCGTGCCATACAATGTGAACATCAGCAGGCGATTCAATCAAGACTACAAGCAAGGCTATATCGTATACAATCAAATGAGTAATCAGGCACATAGCAATATCATGAGTAGGCGATCCAACACTGGCGGTGTCGGCGGTGGTGGCAGTAGTCGCTCGCGATCCCATTCAAGTTTGGTTACCAACTCACCGCAAACATCGCGCTTTCAGCCATTACTGTCGCCGCCACTCACACCACTTTCCACTCCGAGCTACTCACAGGTCGGCGGTGCAACCGTTACCATCAACGGAATCAATCTCTCACAGGTACATCTGCCAGGTTACATCTGGAAGAAGGTATCGGAGATGTTCAACAGCATCAATTGGACAACAGAGGAAATCACCATGTTGGAAGAGTTGATATATATCTACGGAAACGATTGGCCAGAGATTTCAAGACTACTCTGTGGTAGTAAATCACCACTGCAGATCTACAGAATGTTCAACAAACAACACACAGAAGCGACCGACGAGGAATTCGAAGACGATTGGCGCAAGATTTGTTTCGTTTGTTTTTTATCAAATAGTTTCAAGAGCAGAGGAAAAATCAAAAAGAATACATCACCCTTGATCACCTGTCAGAGTTGTGAAAGAGTATTCCACACCGAATGTTTAGATACACCTTTAACTCAATTGCCAAAAGGAGATTGGTTCTGTTCAAATGATTGTATTCAAACTTCACATATTGTAAGTAATTAATTACTTCAACGAATCGTTCGTTTCAAACATTATCATTCTAACAACAACAAATTTTTTATACTTTTATTTTATCTATTTTTTAGAAATGTGAAGTTTGTTCAGGAAAAGATAGAGAAGATGCTTTTGTTTTGTGCGATGTTTGTGGTAATGGATATCATATTCATTGTCTTTCTCCACCGCTGTCTGAAGTTCCCGATGATAAATGGGATTGTCATATATGTGTTGAAGCTGGTGAAAACAACCACAACCACAATCACAACCATGCAACTCATTCATTGTCACCTTTTATCAATAAGCAACAACACAACCATGGTCTGGACTTGATGTTGTTGGATGATGTTCAGAAATTAGAAAGATCAACAACAGAAACAACTTCAACCCCAACAACAACAACAACAACAGCAAACAATAATAATTTATTAAATGAAAGTGATATGACTTCAACAACCACCACAACCACTACCTCAACAACAACAACAACAACAACAAGTTCACCTTTGATGTTTTCACCTGCATCACCAATCAATATTAGCAGTTCCAATTCAATTCCACAATCACCTTTAATTACACATTCATCACCGACTATGATGAAGAAATCACAAACTATTTTGCAGTCTCCTTCCTTGTCTTCGTCAGCCAGTGCCAACGGACTGCTAGCATATAATCATCAACCAATAGTTATTCCTCACCTCGAAGACTGTCCAAATCGTATGAAGAGCACAGATGAGTCTGACTCTAGCAACATCCAGATCCAACCAGACTCATCAGCACAAGAACAATACACCAGTGCAGTTGCCCGTGTGCTCGCCAAGGAAGGACAACGCCATGCATCGTCTGCCATTCCAAAACCGTTCCACATCCTAAAGAAACTGAGCCAAGTTTGTTTGGGCTGTCTCAGCCAAGTTGGAATCTTTGAGGACTCACCACAGCTATCAAACATCCACGAGATCTACGACTATGAAGAGCTCTTACCAAGCTCGATGTTCACCGAACTGGACACAGAGTCGGAGGGTAGCATCAGCCACCAGCTCGATATCATCCTAGCAACCGTGCCACTTGCCGTTGCCAACATGATAGCCGAGCCAGTGCTTTTGGACTCTCCACATCTGCAACCAACAGGCACACCCCGACGTAAATCAACCAATTTCATCAACTCGCTACTTCTTCAATCACAACAATCACTACCGTCAGCTTCATCCATTTTTTCATCGCCAGCCAATCACAGTGATGCTTCTTCTACGACACCCTATGTTTCATCGTCCACCAAGAAGAGAAAGAGATTACCACGTTCAAAATCTGGAAAGTCACCGAAAGCTGATGAGGAACAAGGTGGAGAGAGTAACGATAGTTCACCTATTCCACTTCACTTTGGAAGTACACCACCTCTTTCAGTTAATTCACCAGATTCATCTATTACCATTTGCATACCAAACAATACATCAACACCAGTATCTCCATCTCAACCACCTATCGAAAACGATAAAATATCACTAGAATGTTCTACTCCACTTGATACACCACCAATTCCCGATAACAACAATAATAATAATAATGATAATGACAATGAAAAGGATTTACTTCCAACTTTAATTCCAGATAAAACAGAATCTACTGATAATAATGATGATGATAATAATAATAATGATGATAGTGAATCAACAACAACAACAACCACCACCACAGCAACAACTACTTCTACATCAAACACAGAAGTAACAGAGTTAACCAAAGCAACAACAACAACAGATGTATTAAAGAGTTCAGAGTCATCAATGATCGCTTCAAGTCAATCCATTTCATTAATTTCAACGCAATCTGCCATCAACATTTTGAACTTTATGAATAATAATAACAATGATAATAATAATAATAATAATAATAATGATAATTCATCTCAAAATGTAAATTCACCTCCATCTCTTACAACATCTGGAGTTTTGGGAAGTGAAATACTTATGAAGATTGCCAATGGTGACAACGAAGATAAATCGATGTTTGATATCAATACTGGCGAAGAGCAAGTCAAAATAGAGAAGGATGTTGCAGATGATGATGATCCAATTCAGACACCAAAGAGAGGTCGCAAGAAGCGTTCAAAGACCGAAACAGATTCCACCCAAAAGAAAAGAAGATCAATGATCACCGATACAATTGGAATTGCGCGTGGAAGAAGAAGTCGTCTCTCCGAGGAAACAGCTGCCGTAGCGAGATGGTGGATATTCAGTGGTAATCCAAAGGTTAAGACCGAGCTGAACAATATGAAAGTAGGCGATACTCTGGAATGGGTAGTCAGACAGCATGCAGACAACATCCGAAAGGATGATTTCGTATATATTTGGGTGTGTGGAAAGTATGCTGGAATCTCTGCCACGGGAATAACTCTACAGGATCCCCAAAAAGTAGATGTACCTACAACACCACCAACCAATACAATCGACAATAACAACAACAACAATAACAATAGCGTGACATCTCCACCATTATATCATTCGACGAAACCAAATCAACATCATGTTATTCAGGTAAAGATTGTCAATGTGTTTGCCAATGTCATTCCAAAGCGAACGATGTTTGAACACTCGCTGCTCACCAATATGACGATCATTCGTGCACCGCTTGCCACCAACTTTTGGCTGACCGATGAAGAATCGAAAGCTCTCTCTGACCTGGTAGAGGGTGTCAACAACGGAACTATTGTTCTCCCGCCAATAGAAACAACCATACCAATCCCAAGAAAGACAAAGAAATCGAGAAAAGCAACAGAACTACAATTATGTGAAAATAATTTAGATGATAACAATTCAATTGCAACAACTACAACAACGACAACAACAACAACTAGCAACAACCCTTTCAATTCATTTCCAGATACATCTAATGATCATCATCATCAACAAATAGCACCGATTCCAACAACACCAAGTTCATTCAAGAAATCAAAACACACTCATCAATCGCCTTCTCTTCCACAACCACTACCACCAACACAAAAGTGTACGATCTGTGATGATAATCATCTACCAATGATTTTTTGCGATTCATGTGGAGATTTCTATCACTCTAAATGCCTTGCTGAACCAATTGATAAATCAAGCTATGCCTATTGGATATGTTTTAAATGTTGCATGAGTCAAGAGGATGTAAGTTTTATTGGATTTTAAATTAAAAAAAAAACAAACTTGTTTATTGAATTATTTATAACTAACAATCATTAACATTACTATCTAGATATTAAATTGTAAATTAGTTATTGGATGGTTAGAGTTAAGATCGAAATGCAAATCGATACTTGTACATAAATGTGAAACTTTTTGTCATTCTCATAAAAAGAGTAAGTTTTAGTGTTTAGAGATAAACAAACATGATTGATTACAAATAGTTATAGAGCAACATCTAATCTATCTATCCATCACCATCTAGATATTTACACAGGAAATAAGAAGAAAGTATTGAGTAAAATGTCACAGTTTACCTATCAAATCAATGCTCTTAGAGTACAACTGGCGAAATTGGTCAACCAAAGATATTCAGCTTGGTATCATTCATTGCTCAATGAGGAATTAAACTAGTTTAATATATTTATATAAAATAAAAATAAAAATAATTTTTAAAAAAAAAAAACCATAAACAAAAAAGGAAAATATAATACCAAAAGTAGAGTAGTTGATAGAAAAAAAAATAAATAATAAATTTAATTTATTGATTCAAATTCATAAGGGTCTTCTTGAGTGGTAAGCAGTTGGACATTTTTCGTGACAATCTATTTCATTGGTTATACAATCTTGTTGGTCCGCTCCTATTGTTAAGCACTTTTCATATTCTTTTGAACAGACTGCAGCACAAGGACTTGACAATGCAACACCAATAAACATTAAAACCAAAAATAAAATAACTAAAATTCTTTTCATTATTATTTATTATTTTTTTTATGTTCTTGATATTTAGATAGTTTTTTGGGATTTTTAAATAATATCTGATTGATGTGCAATTTGCTTTTTCAGTTTTATCTTGTTCAATCATTCATCATTCATCTTCATTGTTCTTGTTCTTTTATTTCTATTTTCATTATTATTATTACTATTATTGGAAAATTCAAAGGGTGATATAAATATTATACCAATATTTAGTGTTAACATTCAAATTCAATAAACCCTCCTAATTATGTCCGTATTCCACACACTTTTTTTCGATAATTGATCAACAAACAATCATTGATTTTTTGTTGCGAATGATGTACAAAAATAGGAAAGAAACTTTTAAATATGTTTAATTAATAATCTAGAAATGTTTACTAGTAATGAAAGTGATATATAGCTTATACATATAAAATGAAATAGCTATATATTTCATTTTTCAGATTTATTTTGCAAAATAACAATAATACTATTATTGTTTGTAAAAAATACAAAATAATTCGAATACAAATGTGTAGAATCAAGAGAAGAAAGAATGAATGGTCATGATAAAAAATAAAAAATAAAATCTTTTTATTTTTTTTTGTGGTTCCCAATTCCCGATAGCACTCATTAAGTTTAGGAAGTGAAAATAATAATGATTCGTTTTTGGTTCAATTTTTTTAATATTCGATAATCTGTGTGTGTAATCAACATAATAACAAAACAGATCATTCAATTTATAAACATGTTACAAACCAGTAAATCAATCATAAGATTAAAATTTATCAATAACAATATAAATGTAATTTATTTAAAAAAAAAAAAAACAAAATCTTATTCCACTTTGAACAACCATTTAGGAATCGAATAATTAATTTTTTTATCTACTTTAATTGTGTTACATTAGTTTATTAGAAAATGTAGTTATTCTACCACGGTGGCACCTACTACATCTACAGCAACAACAGCAAAATCTTCAGAGAAATTAACTTCTTTCTCGAAAAAGTTGGCAGACGGTCCATCTTTGGCGGATTTTATTAACGATAATACCGAAGAAATGTCATTGGAGGAAGCATTGGAGATTGCCGAACCTACTATTCCACATTCGACAACAACAACAACAAAGCAAAAGGGACGTTTGCCAGAATGGCTTCGTATGAAAATACCATCGGGTGATAATTTTAAGAAGATCAAGGGTGACCTCAGAGAGTTGAAACTCAATACCGTTTGTGAGGAAGCCAAGTGTCCAAATATCAGCGATTGCTGGGGAGGCGGTGAACACCAAACTGCCACTGCCACTATTATGCTGATGGGAGATCAGTGCACCAGAGGCTGTCGTTTCTGCTCGGTCAAAACCAGCAGAAAGCCAAAGCCTCTCGATCCAAATGAACCAGAGAATTCCGCAGAGGCAATCTATCGTTGGGGACTCGATTATGTCGTTATTACATCGGTGGACAGAGACGACCTGCCAGACAGTGGAGCGGAGCACTTTGCAGATACAGTCCGCCGTCTCAAGGGCAAGAATGGAAAGATATTGATTGAGTGTCTAACCGGTGACTTTAAGGGTAATCTCGATAATGTTGCAACGGTTGCACTCTCTGGTCTCGATGTGTATGCACACAATATCGAAACGGTCGAAGCACTCACCGACTATGTGCGTGACCGTCGCGCCAAGTACAGACAATCGCTGGCGGTGCTCGAGCATGCCAAAAAAGTTAAGCCAACACTTCTCACGAAATCATCGATCATGCTGGGACTTGGAGAGACCGACGAAGAAGTTCTCCAAGCTCTCAAAGATCTACGTGCGATCGACGTCGATGCTGTCACTCTCGGCCAATACATGAGACCGACCCGTAGACACATGAAGGTTCACGAATATGTTCACCCAGATAAATTCAAGTACTGGGAAGAAGTTGGAAATCAACTTGGATTCAAATATGTTGCAAGTGGACCATTAGTAAGATCCTCCTACAAAGCAGGTGAATTCTACCTTAGCAGTATTTTAAAGAAAAGAAAGAACGAAGAATCAACAATCACAAACTAACTTAACTTATTAAATAGATCTACTATTTCTAACCCTTTAACAAAATAAATTAAAATTTATTCATTTCATTGTATAAAAATTATTTTTGTTTTGAAAGTTCCCACCTGATGTTTACGAAGGATGTGGTGGGAAGTTCCCACAAAAAAAAAAAGGTCGTATGCTGAGAACTGTTTTTCTTTTTCGTCCGACTGATTTTTTTAAATATGATCTCCGACGAAATTTACAATTAGTTTATTGATTTTCTTTTAAAAAGAGATATAAAAAGATAATAATATATGTATATAAAATGAATATTCAAAGTAGTCAAAAGTTAACTAAATTAATAGGTTACCAATATCTTGGTACAATACCATATAGAAGATCATTAGAGTATCAAAATATTTTAGTAAAGAAAAGACAGATCTTTGATGCTCTATCAGAGGATGAAAAGAAAAATACAAAAGAAATACCGGATATCTTGTTGCTATTGCAACACCCACCAACCTATACAAATGGAGTTAGAAACAATTATAATGTCGCAACCGAAGAGATGGATCGTTTGAAATCGTTAGGTGCTGACTATGTTGCAATTAGAAGGGGTGGTGAAATAACCTATCATGGCCCAGGCCAATTGGTTGGATACCCCATTATCAATCTTAGAAATCACGGACTTGGATTGCGAGACTATGTACATAGGCTGCAAGATTCGATTTTGGATACCTGTTCGAAATTCGATGTGCCTTGTTCCACCTCTTCGGAGAACATTGGTGTTTGGAGAGGAAACAAAAAGATCGCTGCACTCGGTGTACATCATCAACGGTATGTAACTAGTCATGGTTTTGCACTGAATTGCACTACCGATCTGAAATGGTTCGATCATATAATACCTTGTGGTTTGAAAAACAAAGGTGTTACTTCATTCATGCATGAGAAAGGTACTGTTGGTCAAACTAATCCAGAGCCAAGTGTCGAAACGGTTGTCGAAGCCTATAGAGATAGTTTTTCAAAGATATTCAATGTACAACTTAAACCACTACATGAAATCGCACCATACCTATGTTTAGAATCACAAGAGATGCAAAATGAATTAATTGAAACATAGATTAATTTGTAAAATAAAAGTATCAATTTCATTTTACAATCTAGTACAAATTTAAATAAGTTTGTGGAAAAAAGAGAGAAAAACCATAAAAAAAGGAATCTAGAATATTTTCATGCTATTTAATTCATAAATTGATCTTGTTTCAACAAGTTCTCATACAGCAATCATCATAACAAATTTAAATCGTCAAATTAAACCAAAATGAGATCTGTCTACTTTATTTGTTTTTTAATTTGGGTCTTTATCGTTAATATCAATACCTGCAATTTGTTGACTGATCATGAGTCAACAAATCTTTTTTTGCAAAAAAAAAAAAAAAAAAAAAATGATAATAGAATTAAATGTAGATTCTTATTTTTTAATTATTTTGAAAAATAAGGTCATTTGATTTTTTTATTGATATCATTAAACATAAACTTTTTTCTTATTTTTTTTCCAATCAAAAATTACTGTTATCTATCTATTGTTTATCATTATTCTAAGTAAAAAATGAAGTTAAACTTACATCTTCAAACTCGTAAAAAAAAGTTTATTGATATACAATATGATGATCAAACATTAGTAAAGAAAATGGTAGATAGTCTTTTAGAGGATAATTTTGTGCCAATGATAAACAATGTAAAATTGTTTTCAAAAGATTTAGTTGTGCTGATTCACGACGATACTGTTATAAGTGGTGATAGTGACAATACTTTGAAACAGTCAAATATTGTAGATGGTGAACATATCTACTTATTAGAGAGATCAGCATACTTTGAAGCCGGCACAATGAAGCTTTTTATTAAACCTGTAGTAGACGGTAATCATTTTACATTAGATAACATCTCAAGTTCACAGACAATGTATTCAGTTGCAAAATTAGTATCAAACAGACTCATGATACCGGTAGATTCTATTCGTTTGATTTTCGCAGGAAAACAATTAGATTTGCATAGATCTGTTTCCAACTCTTCGCTACAAACTGAATCTACTTTACATTTACTAATAAAATTATAAATCTTAAATAAACATATTTGATTGCACCAAATATTTTTCGAAAAGTAAAGTTTATTTGAAACTCTACTGTAGAAAGATCATTCATTTAAACAAATAATGAAATATTTTAAAATAGAATCTATAGAATATTAATAGAGTATCTTTGGTTTGAGAGCAAGAAAAATAAGAGCTATCCAAGATCGTTGTGTTTGGTACTTCCATCGTGTGATATGCTCTCTCAATACAAGCTTTAAATCTAGTTATAGTAGTTGAATGAAGAGTTGTCCAGTCATCATATTCAGAGACAATCATCAGATTCATCACACCAAATAAACAAATGTGCATTGTTTAGTGTTTTGACAGAGTTTGGTGGTCTCAGTGATGTTAACATACCAAAGGAGGATCTAAAGATGATTACACCAAACATCAGATCGTTTTCTTGTCATACTGGATCGCGTGCTTATGAATATATGGTTGAAAATGGAATGGATTCACTCAAGTATTTGAAATATCAACCAATCCAGTTTATAGCAAACGGTTTGTTGTTATCACCCAACCTGAAACGACTAAAGATGGTGGTGCACCGCGAGGATTCTGACGCTCACTACGACCTCGAACCATTCGTTCCATTCATTCAGTATCTAACATCAGATATATTCAAAAATTGACTTGGTTAGAGATTGTAGACACCAATTTTAATTGCAGCTATCGTTTTAAATTACCTAGGTAGTTTAGCAAAAGTCAAAAACCTTAAAGTCATGGAGCTTTACTCAAGTTGCTCAGTAGATTCATTCAATAGAATCGAAACTCTTTTACAAGTGCAACAAAAACTTCAATCTTTACAGGATTTCCAGCAAACCAAGTATTAAAGTGTAAGATTAAAGAGAATGAAAAAATCGAAAATAGTTTTCTTGAAGCTTCTTTTTTTTTTTTTTGATGATTACAATATCTTTATACAACAGATTTAATTTATTATTATCTAACATTCTTTCTTATTATATTCACAAGTGAGAGAAGTAATCTAAATACCTACAACTGTTATTTTGTTTTTTTTCTCAAAATCGCTTCAAATGAATAATAATTTTCTCTTAACACCAATTGTCTGACCAATGGAAAAGTATTCCAAAGATGATTTCTTTATAAATCCACACTCCAAATGACGGTCTAACAATAGAGCGTATTTCCTGCTGTAGGATCTGACATGATAGATGTTTTCTGTGCCCATCAAGCTCATATCAAATCCAATGTTTTGCTCTAAAAGATCAAGATAGTAGGGTGATATTCTTCTTTGATTTGTATTTAATACCTGAGGCAATGAGCTTAAATGTAGGTCGCATTTCATTGTGATATTCGGTAGATTAACGAAAATGTTTTTGTTGTTGTTGTTGTTGATGTTGTTGTTTGATTGTGGTTCATTCAATTGCAGTTTCTTTTCTGATTTTGTTTTCTTGGTTGAAAAAACGTCGAATATCTTATTCTTTTTCTCTCCTCTCTGCTCTATTGTCAATTGGAATTCTATATACTGAAGTGTTGGTGGTAAAAGAGATGAAGTAATGATTTGTTCGAAATTCATTCCGAAATGAATGGTATGAAGTGAAGTTGATGATAAACTATCGATTTCCAAAGGTTGGTTGAAATCTCTACCAAGAACCAAACGGGCTAGATTGGTGGGTAAAGACAACGGTACAATTCTTTGATTGTAACTATTACCAAACTCTAGCTTTCTAAGTGATTTCGGTAGCAAACCCAATGGAATAGTCTTGTTAAAGTTATCTCTAAATTTCAACTCTTCAAGATGGTCGGGTAGGCATCCTACTTCCAACGGATGATTGAATTGTGCCGACAGATTCAACACTCTAAGTCTACGTGGAAGCGCTCCAACTGGAATCGGCTGGTTGAAAGCTACAGTGAGATCGAGTATCTCCAATGATTGGGGGAATACGTCAGACGTCTCGAGCAATGGTTGGTTGAAACCCGATAGCGTTAGACTTGTCAACGATGCAGGAAGTAATCTCTTCAATTCTTCGGCAGTCGGGTTGAGCTTCTCAGGTAGGTGCAACGATGTCAGTGTAGCTGGAAGTACCGTTATAGGATGGGAATAACCCTTTCCGAGATGAAGGCTCTCCAGATTGATCAATGTAGAGAGCGGTGTTACCGCTCGATTGAAACTATCTCCAAATCTTAGAGATAGTAACGTCTTTGGAAAGATAGAGTCTGAGTAAGGATTGTTAAAATCTTCGATCGTATAATTGTAGAATTGTGGTATTCTCAAGTGTACCAACGATTTCGGTAGTGATTCTCTCTCGATTGACATAGAAAACCGACCGTTGAATGTCAGATCGGTTATTGAATCCGGTAGTGATCCCGTGGATAGAGGTCGATTAAATAGACCGCCAAGTGTCATTGTCTTGATTGAATCTCTTGGTAGACTGTTTGGTAGCAATTCAATATCGCTATGATACACCAGAGTCACAACAGATCCTGGAATAACGTCTGGTGGGAAAGCATCACTCTTTGACTTAAAATATGTTACATTCAAATTGATAACTGAATTAGGAATCAGATTTGCCACTGGGTATACAGCCACAAGGGTAAGCTTCGTAACGGATGACGGTATAAACCCATAGGGAATAGATTCTTGACGTGACAAAAGCGAAAGATTGGTGACAGTGTTTGGAATGGTATATATATAACCCTCTAATGACATAAAATCTGTATTCCAATAAAGGGTTGTCACTGAATCTAGATGTTTAAGTGATCTAATTACTATTTCGATCGAAAACAGATTTACTATTTTTAGTATTTCTTTTATTTATTTGGTAATTGTACAATTTAATGTTTGAAAGAATGTGCTCACCTTGTTCAAATGAGTGATTTTTTGTAATAGTTAAAGCTCTATTGATAATTATGCTCTTTAAACTCGATGATAGATGAGAGTAATGTGGACTATAATCTTCTTTACAATACAATCTAAAGTGTTCTTTTTCTAGATAGAGTTTCTTGATCGCTAATAGTAAACAAATTCCATCGATTGTCTTATCGAAACAATCAAGGATCTTTTGAATTAATATTCTTGGTAGATCTACCAAGCTCATTGTTTATGTATCTTTTATTATTATTTGTAATTTATATTTATTGACTTCATTTTTTTCATTTTATAATATTATCATGATGAATGATCTTTGCAAAGATCTCAAAAAGGTGGAATTTTTTTCAAAGATAAAATTGCACATGTGGCTGGTAACAAAAACTGCATTTATATGATCTAAATAAGTCTGATCATTTTTTAAATAATATTGATACATTATTTAAAGATAATTGAATAAGAAGATGGTTGTTTACAGTTTTTACATTTATTATTATTTTCTATTTTAAATTCTTAACTAAATTTACAATCTAATATTTATTTATTGTAGTAATAATGTATTTACAATTGAGATTTTATCGTTGTTACAGAGACCTACGTCGAAAGGTGATCTTGATCGATCGATAATAGCACCTTTTCTACTCATTAGATATCTAGCAAAGCCATGGCATGTTTCGTCACACTCTAAAGAAATTGAATGACCACATGCTCCAAAATATCGACTGAGTCCTTCAGATATCTCGTAGAAAGGTAATTTTCTCATTACTTTAACCTTTATTTTCTTTGTATTTACCTTTATGTGTTTTCAATTAGCATTTAAATTCTTTTTTTTTTATCTAAATTAAATATAAACTTACATGGTGAAAACCAAACATAGTTTTTTCAAATTCCAAAGTTATAAATCTACAACTCTCTACATATTGCTCTTTCCATGTTTTATTTCCATGTGTTTTTTTAAAAATTGATTTTTGTGTACAATGATACTTCCAAATATCTTCACCATTTCCAATTCTATAGAACTGATTGGAAACTAAACTTAAATTGGCTACAATTTAAATCAATATTTTATTTTTTATTCTAGAAAATTCTAAATAAACTTACTCCAATCATCAACTTGTAACAAAGTAAATAAACTTGATATCAATTCTTCAGGTAATTCTAATAGGGACATTTTTACAATTGTAAATATAAAATAAAAAAACTAATAATATATGATAATTTTACAAAAATTGATGTTTAAAAGATAATAAAATGCTTTCCAAAAAGATTTATAAACCTTTATTTTCAAAAAAAATATAAACATATTAATTTACAAAAAAGAGATCTATACTCTTTCCCCCTTACCCAGTTATGATCAATTACAAAAGAAAAAAAAAAGCAAACAACTTTTACTAAAAAACAAAAAATCAAAGATTGGGTTACCCAAATATATGAGAAGTTTGAAAATAGATACCCTTTAATTTGTACCTTGTACATAGTAACATATCCTAAAAAAAATTTATTTTTAAAACCGTCATCCAACCATTTTTGATTTTTTTGAATATGGATTTGTTTGATTTTTAAAACTTTTAAAAAAAAAAACAAAATTGATTATTGGTTTTTTCAATTATCTACTTTTATTTTTTGATTTTACACTTTTGGTGTCAAAATTTTTTGTATTTGTTCAAAATTTAAAGATAATCCATTTTTAACATATAAATTGATTTGTTTTTAATCTAGTTTTTGATTTTTAAAAAAATTTAAATTTTGGTTTTTGAAAAAAAAAAAAAACTCATCAACTGATCTTGTTGATTAACTTAATAAAACGTACATAATTCATCTGTATTTGTAAATAAAATAGAACCGAATAAATTAATATTATCAAATTTAAGAGTATTCATAGAAAATAAATATATTTTAGTAGTATAATAGTCGTAATTTAATTTAAAATATATATTTATATCAAAGAAAACAAATATTTTACTTATTTTTTAATTGTAGTTAAACGATAGACAACAATAAAACAAAACAAATCACTTGAATATATAAATATATACAAAATATCGAAAATCATTCACATTGTAAAAGTATAAAAGATATAATAATAATTTAAGATATTAAGTAGTAATAAAAACAAAAATGTCATCTACACCACCTCATAGTGAACATAATGACTATAGTAAGTTCTCAAAAGAAAGAAAGAATGTGACACACAACATTGAGAGAGAGAGAGAATAGAAATCAATTATAATTGATCGAAATATTTATTTATCATTGCATCATTTTTAAATCGATTTAGGTGGAGTACCTCAACCAGCACAACCATTAGATAAAGAGGCAATGCATCATATTCATATGTTGGTTAAAGATCTTACTATACCAGAGAAACGTGAGAATGCTTTGGTCGATTTGAGTAAGAAGCGAGAGAGTGTACCTGACTTGGCACCGATCCTTTTGAATTCCTTTGGAACGATAGCGGCGTTGTTACAGGAGATCGTTTCAATATATCCTTTACTATCGCCACCGAAACTAAAAGCACTACCTTCAAACAGAGTATGCAATGCATTGGCGTTACTTCAATGTGTTGCATCGCATCCCGATACACGTACATTTTTCCTTCATTGTATGTGTTCATTTAAAATAACAAACAAATATCTAGTTGTCCAACAATAACTAATTTATATTTAACAACTATTCAATTCACATCTACTATAGCACATATTCCATTATTCTTATATCCATTCTTAAATACATCGAGTAAAAATAGACCATTTGAATATTTAAGATTAACAAGTTTAGGTGTAATTGGTGCATTAGTAAAGGTAATGATTTTAATAACAACATCTTTACTTAGTAGTAGCTATAACAACAATTTTATTAATTCAAACCGCGCTTTTCAATTATATATCTTTTAGATTGACGATAGTACAGTTATAGACTTTTTATTATCAACAGAGATTATGACATTGTGTGTAAGAATTATGGAAACAGGATCGGAACTCTCAAAGACAGTTGCAACATTTATTGTACAAAAGATATTGTTGGACGATATGGGATTGAATTATATTTGTGCGACAAACGAACGAATCATTGCATTTTTGATGGTTTTGAAGAATATGGTGGTTTCTTTGATTGAGCAACCCTCGCCAAGACTACTGAAACACGTGATCCGTTGCTACCTGAGGCTAGCAGAGAATCCAAAGTCTCGCGAACTCCTCAGACAATATATACCGATGGCACTACAAGACGGAACCTTCAACTCACACCTCAAAGACGACAAAGATTTCACAATCAAGCGATGGCTCACCCAACTCCTCTTCATTTTGAACCCACAACAAGAACAATTCAATCCAAATATGAACCCATCGATCAACACTCCACCACTCTCCACCCCACTAAGCAATATTTCCGCAGCAATCAATCAATCATTAACAAGAAACATGAATGCAAATAAACATTAAGAAAAAACAAACAAACCAAACAACATCAAAAAAGAAACAACAACAACTTAAACTAAATCAAACAGTAAATCAAATCAAAAAATAAATAGAAAAAAATTATAAAATTATAATAAATAAAAAAAAAAGAATAAATAAAATATTTAACTAATATAATTAATCTAATGATTATTATTACTATGATTTTAATTAAAATAATGTAGTTAATTGATATAAATGTTTAAAGTACTCTAACACCTTTATACCATAACCAACCCATGGACCATCGACTTACACCTTCTACAGTGATTCCAGTGATGACACCCATTGAAAATGAAGACAATGGATTTTGAAATCCAGATAATGGTATCATCGATCCAAATATAAAATAATGATGCATATGTAGATAATAGGTCTTTCTAACTATCCAACTGACACCAATGAGTATTACAAAGAATATTGAATAGGCAATTAAAAAGTATTCCCAAAGATTATCTGCAATCTAGAATAAAATAAATAATAACAAATCAATTAATTATAATGAAATATTCGGGTCAAAATATAAATAACTTACAATTAAATAAACATGCCAAACTATCAGTGTTACTATGAAAAGAATGATTGGAATGATTGTCATGATCTCTTTTGGTTTGTAGGTGTACCAAAGCGAGGGTGTTCCAAATTTGTCTCCAACACTTCGAAGGAATAAGTTATAATCTAAATAGGTATAGTGTAATCCCAGCAGATATGGAATTACAAATGAAAAATAATTGTATACAAATGACTATTTAAACAAATAATAAAATATAAGTAAAAATGAGATTGGTTTGTAAAGAGTATTCTTTAAACTCTATTGATCTTACAATATGAATACTATGTGGTTCTAAATCGTTTGGTCCCATCAATGTACGTGAAGGACTAATTATAAACATTAAAGATGCTAAAATTAAAAGTTGTACAAAATCCTATGATGATATCATTAGTTTTCTATTGATTTTTGATTTTGTTATTGTTTAATATTAAACATACTCTATGTCTTTTATATCTACAGTGAAATGGATAGTTTCTTTTCTCTGTTACCACAGCAACATAAGCGAATCCCAAAACGATTGATGTCATCCAGAGAAAGTATTTACTCCACTGGAAGTTGAAATACCAATATTCGTAGACTTGTTCATCGCCGAGGTGTGTCGATGGAAAGAGATATGAAATATAGCAAACGGGTATCATGGTTAGGAGGAACAATCCATCCATGAGCAACACGTGTATCACTCTGTTTCTGGTACTGCTTTCTTCACCACCAACGATCGACTTGATATTTTCCTCTAGGTCACTGAGAGACGAGGCAGTATCGTATCCTCCCTCCTCGAATTCATCATCTGCATCGATCTCTTCGTCACGCGCCAACATTGCCAATTCCTCTGGGGGTATTGCACGTTGATGCACCAGATCCTCAATGATAATACCTCCATCTCTATTATAATTATCGTTATCATTATTATTAAAGTTTGATTTACTGGATTCGTTTTCCTCATAGCTTATAATATCTGGTAAAATAGGTATTAGCTTATCTTCTTCAGAATGTAATTTTATTATAAGGTGTTTATTATTATTATTATTATTAATTGATTTTGTAATATTCTCTACTATTGTATCTATACTATCTTTTTCTTTATCTTTATTCTCTAGATCTTCTTGACTATCTGTAAAATCGGTATTATCATTTGTATCAGGTAATATATTATTATTATTATTATTTCTTGTTTTGAATATAGTTTTTGTTTTTGTTGATGATGTCGATGTTGTTGTTGTTGTTGACTTTTCTTTCTTCCAATGTTCATCGAAAGAGTCGGTCATGTCATCAGACTCTTCGTCAAAATCGATCGATGCATGAATACCGGTGTTGTTGATTGCATTCTTATTGTAGATACGAGAAGACGATGTTGTTGTCGATGATGATGATGAAGATGACGGTCTATTACTTTTTCTTTTACTATTATTGAATAGTCTAGTACTACTATTATTCTTTATCATGCTTTACTCCATCCACCTCTATAATATTAATTATATGTGTAATGGTACGTTTGCAAATTTATTTATAAAAAAAAACTTGTTTTGTATCGTTATTCCCGACGATTCAAGGGTTTCTGCTCTTTTTTGGATCTTAAAAAAAACGCTTCATTTTTTTTTTATTTAATTTATTTTATTTTTTTACATTGATTTTTATAGATATTTAAATTTTATGTACATATATTTTTTGTAAACAAATCGTTCATGTTTGTTCACGAATTGGTATTAGAAAAATAGATAAACCTTATATTCAAACATCCTTTAACTTACACAGACAGATTGAAAAATGGATCATTAGTAAAATTGTATATAGTTGGAAACATAGAATACCTACATACAGAATAATACAACATCCGATATCAAAACGGTTTGGTCACCAAAAGAACCACAACTGCAAGGTGAACTTCCAATTTGAGACATTATCTATCCAAAAGGACCTTACCGGTAAGAATAAAGCAACTCCCAAATAGCACACGTTCTGAAATTTGATCACCATTCAAATAACTCAAGTGTTCTCTCTCAGATTGTAGCAAGTTGTTTAGTTGATTGAAGCTTTTTTCTTTTTTTAGCATATGAACTCCCAAATGGGGTCTGTTCTTAATTTTGACCTTCTTCATTCCAATGACACCTTAGCCAAGTGGTTACGGCGATTGACTAGAAATCAATTCCCTTCGGGGGCGCAGGTTCGAATCCTGCAGGTGTCGATACGTTTTAAAACATTGATCCCATAAAGCGCGCATATTGAAATGTTAGGATTACATTTCCAGGAAATAACCAGCAATTCCGAGAAATCAGAATATCGAACTATATTAGAAGCAACTCATTTGGTTACTTCAAAACTTGGTCATCCATGCTTGATTGTGCCAAAAAATTTACTAATCCAACTTCTTCACCATCCTTCAAACTGTTCCATTCGTCTTGGATGGATTTTAGTTTTAAAAGGGGGTGATTAACAATAAAAACGTTTCTATATATATAATAACTTTAAGAATAACTAATTAAATACTATAAGTAATGCTAATGATGATAAAATATAACAATGTTCTTTATTTTGTTTGTTTAATTGATAAATACATATTTTAATTGATTTAAATTGATTATTTTATATATATTAAAGTGTTCTATTTAACATTTAGAAACAATCACTTCTCCAGAGTCATACCGGGCAATCCCATCCTTGCTGATGATGGTAGTCTCCTTACTCTGAAGGAAATCTATTCTGTCCTATTCAACCACAAGTACCCCCGTGTCCGCCGTACTGAAGGTCAACTAACCATCCAGATTGGTCACTCTTTGGTTCTCCAATCTCAGTTCCTGCATATATCCAAGGTCAAAGCGCCTATGCTACGTAACAGCATATTCCGGCTGTACTCTCACACCTTCCCCATCAACCACAAGCGCACTGGTCATGTCTTTGAGTTCTGTGGTGACACCTTCACTGAACTCTGCAACCCACATGAGTATTTCTTCTTCAAATGCAGGAATGTAGTTTCACAGCAGTTCCTTTCCTTTATCAAACATATATACCGCAAGTACTGTAACTATAGACTTCTCAATTGGAAGCACTCGTGCATCAAGTTCGACGGTCCTATTCGTACTACTGTCCACTTCACCCACCTTACTGCTGCTATCGTACATTCATTATGGCAGGCGCTGTCCTGTGAAATGTTTGGTGATGGTACCCATTACAAGCTGGAAAATACCGTCAAAAGAGCAGTCACCCATTACACCAAATTAATCGATGCCAATTACCACAAGCTTAACTTCACAATCGCTAATTCTATCTCCCAAGGAATCACTGTCGATTGCTCTGCAATGACACGTAAATTTAAATCTGATTGGAATCTAAATCCTTCCAACTACGTGCCACCACTTTATACTGTTGTTCACCAACACTTAACTACTGTTAGATCTATTCTATCCTAATACTTCTAAACTTATTAATTAATAATAACTATAAACAATAATAATAATAATAATAATAATAATAATAATAATAATAATAATAATAATAATAATAATATTTTATTGGCTATTTCTCACGGCCTGTGTGAGAATGTATATATAATATAAAACACGAACTAGCAGGTTAATATCAATACCTGCAATTTGTTGACTGATCATGAGCCAACAAATCTTTTTTTTGCAAAAAAAAAAAAAAAAAAAAAACTATATAAACAATTAACACGAAACCTTGAGTCACAATTATTAATCGGAACTTTCAAGGTATATATTCCATGTATTAAATAAAGCACAATTATTAATCGGAACTCTAAAGTGTTCTCTCTGATTGTATTACATTCAATACTTTGATTTATTATAGATAAATCCACCTTGTTGATTTAGTCCTTGGAAGTGAGAGCCAGCTTGCCCATCCAGATGGTCTTGGGGAAGACCAGCTTTTGTTCTGGATTATAACCTTCGGCCTCCATGAATGTTTCTAACATACCAAACCAGATCTTGATTGAAGTATCCTTGGTTTCAACAGATAACTTTGGTGATTTTCAACGTTTGATTGCGATTCAGCTGTCCTTGAAGTTTCAGAGTGCACTTCTTTTCAAAACTCTAGAGTAAATTATGAGCAATGTATTAAGTTACTAAATTGTTCTAAAGAAATGATTGAAATTTACTCAAACCACTGTGAAGATAGTGATGTTCATATTGCATCGGTTAGTAATAAATAAATTTGATATACATTACATACACTAACATCACTTGATTTAGCTAAAGTTACTTTGGAAACAATTAAACCATTTATTTGGTATCAGTCTGAAAAGAAGTACACATATAACCGAAGAAACATGGCTTAGATATGCGAGTGAATTAATATCATGTTGTTGTTGAATAGCTGCTGGTTTAAATTCCAATTGCACCATCGGTGCAGTACTCGAACAGAATGTCAAACCAATTGCTTTCGAATCAAAGAAACTAGATCCAAACCAAATGGTATGGGACACTAGATACAAAGAACTGAGAACTACCTTCTTGGTAAAAAATTCAAACTTTAGACCGATCATGCATCAAGGTGGATTTATCTATAATAAATCAATATCGATCTGTACCAAAATAATTTTGTATTTCAACTTCTTCAACAGAGTTTGGAATTTCGAAATCAAATTCGTATACTGTACTATAGTATTGAAAAATGAACTTCTTCACTGATGATGGAATCCCATTTGGAGATTGTTTAGTTAATTGAAAACTATCATATCCAAAATTTAAAGTTTCCACACCAAATGGAATATCTCTTAAGGCAATAATAATAATAAGAGTCAAAATGATTATTCAAGATTTAAAATTGATTCTCTTGTGTCAAATTTAAGTTGCAACTCTTTGATCTGCAAATTCTCGAGTGATTCTTGTTTGGTTCCACTTACACATAGTGTTTCAAAATGATATTGTGATCGATCTTTGAATATCTCATCGATATCATATTGTGTTTGGTATATGTTGAGATGTCTGATTGAAGGGGGCAGGGATGAGATGAGAAGACACGATGTATAAATAGATAAACTTGTGAGAGAATCTGGTAGAACTGACAAATCTATTGAGACAATGGAATCATCTCTTCGAGCGAGTGTAAGTGTCGAGAGATCTTGAAGTGATTTGATGAATGGAATCCATCTTTTACAAACTAAACTGAGACATATTTTATCTATATTATCGAGATAGCTAACTATCTTTGATAACAACAAAAGTGATAGATTAACAATCATTGAATAATGATCGAAAGTCGAATAAAAAAAATAAAGTTTAAAAAAAATATATACTTTTCACATATAAAAACACATGTGTAACCTCCAGCGCGTTGCTGCCACGGCGGTCTGGTGCACTTTTGATATGAAGATAAGATAAAATTTTGGTTTAAAAAATATTAAAAATACTTTATTGAAGCTTAGGAAAGTTTTGGTGTATAGAATGATAAGGTGAAGGTTGAGTGTTAATCGAGTTGTTATTTTGATATTATTGTTACTATTATTTTTGAATGTTATTATTTGATTGGTGTCATCGATACAGAGTTGGTTGACGACGATAGATTCTCTGATCTGGAGCTGTGTGTACTGGTGGAGCTGTTGGAACCAGTGGTAGATGATGGTTGGGCAGTGGTATTGGCCAAGTTCTCCCATCTTCTGCAGAATGGGAAGCACTTTGAGAATATTCTAGCGTAGTTACTGATAACCTTGTCATTGATACAATATGATAAGAAGATTAAGAATCCCTAAAAAAATTAAAATAATAATAATAATAAATAAGTAAGTTATTAGTTTGTTTGTTTGTTTGTTTGGTTGTTTGATTGATTGTTTGTTTTTCTTTAAAAAAAAACTTACTTGTAATGGAGTTGTAATAGAGAAGAGTACCAAGAAGATCAAATCGGTTACACCATCATTGAAGAAAGTCATGATGAAACCAAAGATCCAAGATAGACCAATCGATACAAAGATTGAAAAGTAAACTCTGAACTCTTTAGATTTCTCTTTCTTGTCGGAACGTGGAGCATTCTTCAAGGTGTCGTGAATCTCTCTTGCAATGAAGAAGAAAATGACTGCATTGGCACAAACGACCAAAAGACCTGGAACAAAGAATCCTAAAAATACTGGAAGTTGAGCATTCATATAACAGCTATAAAAAAAATGAAGAATAATAATATTAATATCAAACTAATCATTTTTGTTTTAAAATAATAATCAAATCATGCTATTGCTGTTAACACCTACAAAGCATCTCTTCTAACATAGTTTTTGGTGGCAGCGATAGCAATGACAAAGATGAATGGCAATCCCCATGAAGCCAAATGATAGTATTTCTCGAATGATTCAGCATCTCTGTTTCTCTTTACAATCATCTGTTTTTTGTTGTTGATGATGAATAAGTTGATTAGTGTTATGATGATTAAAATGAGTGGTAAAATGAAAACTTACTTGATAGAAATTAAAGGCAACACAGAATGTCCAAATGAAATCGGCCAAGAAGAAATAGTGAAGAATGATTGCGCTTGGCAAACACATGATTCCGTCGTACGCTTCGAATGCAACATAGAAGAATGTTTGTGCGAAAAAGATTGCCATGCACAGATAGAGAATCAATCTAATGGGATATGTCCTCAGTTTTGGGAACAGCATAAAGGTAATCACTGTCAAACCTGAACCAACAATCGATAGAATCAAGAATACATCTACTATATAACTGAGTACCGTATTAAGTGTTTCGTTTTCTGCCATTTTCTTTTTGCTATATTCTGCTTATTAAAAAAAAAATAATCGATCGATTTCCTGATTTGTTTTGTTTGTCTGTTTTGTTTTTTGTTGATTGTTTTTAATACTACTAAAATTACAAATGTTAATTGATTTGATTCAACTAGACTGTTCGAACAATTTGATTTAAAGAATGATTGTTTGATAAATATTTGTTTGGTTACTACTAAAAAATGATGATAATAATAATAGTAATTATAATATTTAATAATAATAATAAAAAAAAAGGTAATAAATAAAATTAGATTTTAAATTTAATTATAGTTTGTTTGTAATGATAAATATTAAATTGGTTTTTTTGAAAGGAATAAGCGATGGACAAGAAAGAAATATAAAAGTAGTAGTAGTGGTGATAGTAGTCAAACTAAATGTTACAAATAAATATAAATAAATAATAAAATCTATCTATATGTATTGATTGATGTATGTATGTATTTATGTATATGTATATGTATTGTTACATTGATCACTTAAATACGTTGATAAAACAAATTAAAATTCAATTTATTTATAATTATGTGTTGTGATTGGTTATTAAATAAAAAAAATCAGTCAGTCAAACAACAAATAACAATAAAAAACAAAAAAAATATCAATTAAAAACATATAAATTTATAAATATAAAAAATAAATAAACTTTGTCTTATAATAAAATAAAATACAATTTATATTTATATGTATTCAAATAAAACAATACAAAAAAAAAGATCAAAAATAGATATACCTGTCTAAGTTTTTTTTTTTGATCTTTTTTCAAATTATAGTTTTGTGTGAATGTCTGTTTGTTCTGAATGGGGTGTGGTTTTAAGTTGCATTGTTTTTTTTTTTTATATATATAATATTTATATCTTTATTTTTGATAACATTAAATTTATTTTTAATCTGATTTGATACAATTGTCAAACTCTTTAAATCTATTAAATAGATAAATCTTATTTTGTGATTGTTATGAAGTTGTTTTACATCATTTTGAAATAAATAAAGATATTTATATAAAGAAGTATGAGAAAGTAGATGAATAAGAAAATTAAGAAGGTAAATAACAAACTTACATTTTACAAAAGATTTAATAATACAATGGTTGTCAAGTTAAATATATATAAAAAACAATATATCTGTAATATTATGACAACAACCAAGAATATATATGATTTTGATCACTTTAATCTTTAATAAGTTTATATATACATAAACCTATCGAAAAATGATTGAATTGTTGTTTGGTTATATAATTGATTGATTGGTTGATGGCTAAAAAGAAGAATGCATTTGCAAATCCTATTGAAAAAAATAATCAAGGTGGAGCGCTGAAACAAAAAAAAAATAAAGAAAAAACAAAAAAAAAAAAAAAGTTTGCTCAACGGTTTTTTGATCAATGAAAAAAAAATAAGATCTTTTGAGAATCTAAAAAAAATGATGGTGTTTAAAAAAAAAAATTGGTGACTGAAAAAAAATTAAAAAAATAAAAAAATAAAAATATCCGTGTACACATATTTTTTAACATCGTGGTTGATGGGCAACATTAAAAATTAATTTGTTAAAATGGAATTATACAGATAATGGTCCACTCTTCTTTAAAGATGATTAAATCAAAATCAAATCAATTTAAAGTTGGTCTATATCCAAAGATAGAAGAAAATAAAAAAAAAGTATTTAAAATTGTCTAAATTTGGAATTTACTTTTTTTTTTTATTTTTTTTATCAAGATGACTTTTGGTTACAGAACAACAATGAACCTTTTTCCCTCATTTTTTTTGACAGTCCACCACACCAGAATCTGATTTTTTATTTTTTATTTTTTGTCTTTGTTTTCATCCGTCAGGTATATCAGTCCAAAAGCAAAAAAAAGATATCTTTTTGGGATTAATTCGAATGTTTGGGATGATAATGTTTGTTTGAAGTTGATTATTGTTTTGTTTATATGCTTCACTCTATCAATTGATAACAACCTTATTTATTTATTTGTATTTATATCCTTTCTTTATTAGATTTATTTATTTATTTATATATGTATGAGAATACTCCAGAGTTTGCACCATTTAGGGCTCATAACTATGAGATCGCTTCATTAGACAATGATGATGACGATGATAGCGGCAGCTGTTGTTCGACCGATGAGTCTGAAATACCAAGATATCAACAACACCAACTGCAACAACAACAACAAAGATTTAGACCATATTTATTATCATCTTCTGCGTCTTCATCTTTATATAGTTATAACAACAATCATTGTATTAATAAAAACAACAACAACAACAATCAATGTAATATAGATCATCAATCAACATTAGAATTTTTAGATAGTTTAAAAAATCAACAACCATTTTGTAATAATAATAATAATAATAATAAATGTAATAATAATAGTAAAAATAATAATAATCAATCTGATGACGATGATGACGATGAAGAAAATGAAAGAGAATATTCTGATAGATTATATAATATAGATAATCCACCTCCTTCTCCAAATACTTCGGACAACTTAAGTGGTGTCTACGATGGAAAGAAGGTCGCATTGGAACCAAACGGTGGTGGTGAAGCCAACATGGAGTCATTGCGAAAAGTACTCATTTCACAGCATCGTTTGATAGCTCTTCATAAGATAAATATCAATCGCAAACGAAGAGAACGTGAAAGAGAAAGAAGGCAACTCTTGTTAGATTGTATAACAAATTCACCAACCAAATCATTAGAGGTAAGTTAAATACAACAACCAACCAAATAGATTTATTTATATACGATTCGTTTTATTTGTTACTAATTAGTTGAGATTACTATTCTTATCAATAGGATGGAATGAAAAGTTTATCAATCGATAAAAAGAGAATATCATATAAGCCATTGAGACATAGAGGATCGTCAGCCTCTTCATCTTTGTCATTCTCCTCGTCTTCGCCATCGTCATCGTCATCGTCGTCGCCTTTGGGCACCAGTGGTTCACCACTGGTAATCGGTAAGAAATGGTTATCTAAAAAGTCACCATTGTAATCAACACACTCATCTTTTTTAATATATAAAATAATTATAATAATAATAATACAAGTACAAAGTACTTACGGTCGAGTCAGTCAACTCAGCTTTATCAATTTTTTTTTTTTAAGAAAAAGAAAAACAAACAAAAACAACAACAACCAATGTAAATAATAAATAAAAATTGTATTACTATAGTTTATTGAATTTCTTTTACATTTCCAAGTCTTCTAAATCATCGTCAAACATTGATGATTTTGTTGTTGAGCTTTGTATTTGTTGATGACTTGTATGATTATCAGTTGTTACTTGTGATTGCTCAATCTCTTCGTCACTTGGTAGTTGATCATCTGATCTAACTTTACCATAGTCAACTTCAGGTGAAAACTCCCAATTCATTGAACTCTCTTGTTGTTGATCCATTTCTCTCTGTAGTTCAGCAAGTGATTCGTTGAATTGCGTTGAGTTTTGGCTCGATAAATGTTTGACCTGTGATCTTCGTGCTTGAGACGATACCGGTACTTGTGATATTTCAACGGTATCATCATCGAATTCAATTCCATCCAAATCATTGTCATTGGTAGTTGTTTTGTTTACACGAGTGGTTTGTGATTGTTTTTGTTGTTGTTGTTTGTTATTATTATTATTATTATTATTTTTGTTATTGTTGGTTATTGTTGTTGGCGTAGTACTACGTTTCATTATAATATTATCTGATAAATCATTGAACATATCTTCATCGTCAATGAATGTTGTGACAACGTTCCCGTTTAATGATTTTCCACTGTTGTTGTTGTTATTGTTATTTCCACTACCTTTTGATTTTGTATTGTCATTGCTACTATTACTGGTTGTTGTATCGATGTCCAATCTAAAGGAAATGTCACTTTCATCCATATTATGTTGGCTTGCTTCTTGGTCGTTGATAATAACTGATTGTTGAGGTTGAACAAATCCTCCAGCAATAATATCATCTCTAATAAATTCATTTGCTTCCTCGAATACTCCAGGTTCTTCAGCTTCAACTTCTTCGACTTCTTCTACTTCTTCTTCAGCATGTACCTCTTCAACTTCGTCAACCTCTTCAACTTGTTCAGTTTCTTCTTCATTCTCTTCATCAGCTTCATTTCCATCATCTTCAACCTCTTCCTCTTCTTCGTCGTCATCATAGTTTGAATTTATCCATGACTTGTTAACGGTATGAAAAGTCTCTTTTGGTTTTGTTTTCTTTCTCTTTGATGGGTTGTAGCTGATATCGTAGAGTCCCAGTGAGTTCTTGATAGCTCTTTCGATTTGTTTATAGTCATGTTCTGGGTCTTCAGGGAACCTAGATTGTTGTGCATTCAAGCATGTAAGAATGCACGAGGATTCTGCTGAGCACTCAATCATGTAGATTGCAAAGATGGCATCCTGTATCTCTACTACGTTTCTAAACATCAGCCTTGCGTGAGCTTGTGACAAACGAATCAACGACTCCAACAATCTCGTTGTGATTCTTGCTTCGTTTCTCTGAGTGGCACCGGTTCTCTGCTTCTGGAAGTATGCATCTAGCAGTAGTTTGCTATCCTCTGAGAGTGTTGGATTGAATGTATTCTTAATATAATAGAGATAGCTCTGAAGATTTTCATTCCAGAATTTGTCGTCCGATTCTTTCAGTGGCTGTCCACGACGCAATATGAATTCCGATATCATCCTATCCCATTCCGGTTCTTGATCGTCGGTGATGATCAATATGATGTCGAATCTCGAAAGGAGTGGAGATGCCAAGTTTGTATTGACCATCAATGATTGTTGTTCATCGTATTTACCCTTGGCGTTTGTCGCGGCGATGATAGAGCATCGCGTGTGTAAACTAGTGATGATACCGGCCTTGGCAATACTGATGGTTTGCTGCTCCATCGCTTCGTGAATGGTGGCACGATCTTTCTCGTTGATTCCGCTGAACTCGTCAATGCAACAGACACCACCGTCGGCCAGCACCAACGCACCCGCTTCCAACATCATTTCACCACCTTGCTCCTTGACAACGGCAGCCGTCAGACCGGCACTGGTCGTTCCAATTCCCGTGGTGAGAACAGACCGCGATGCCACCTTCGCCGCATACTTTAGGAACTGACTCTTTCCAGTACCGGGCTCACCTACCAAGAGCATGTGACACTCGCCTCTACGCTTTGTATTGGTTTCACGATCGTTGATACTGACGCCACCGATCATCACCAGCATCAACGCCAACTTGACAACAAACATTCCATAGACACCGGAACAGACCGATCGCAATATCAGATTTCTTCCAACCAGTGGATTGGCTTCGTGTGCAATCCAAAAGTCTTCAAACTGGCACTTTAACTCATCGGTCAGACCAGCGCCAAACCGCTGCTCGTTCATCACCCTCACATTATTCGCCAGCAGAACCATCTCGACTTCACAACGCTCCTCTGTTTTCAACGGTCGCCAACGTCTAATTACAACACCACTCACAATGATATCGTCTCCTGCCTGACAGCTGTCAACCAGATCCTCTTGGAGAATGACCATAATCGATCGCGGAATCGTACCGGCTCCGATCTGGTGGATATTCTCCTGCAGCTTGATCTCTTGGTAGTCACAGTGTTCGTCCATCGAACTGGAACCGTCTTGCATCGGTTTGAAATATTGATTCTCACAACGACGTGGATTAGGACATCGTTTTGGCACATCGAATTGGTTGTGTTGTTCGTAGTCGATATGAACCTTGAATGACTCCTTACACTTTGTACAAACATAGTATTTGGAACGCTCGACAATCTTGGTGGAACCAGTTCTGATCACAGTACCTCTAAACTCTACAAACAAACCATACTCATTCGATCGTGGTAAGAATGACTTTCTAATCTCTCTACATATAGGTAGTTCACTAACTCTCACTCTACAGTTCTTCTTTATAGTGAGTTGTGATGGATTAAACACTTGCTGTTGTTGTTGTTGCTGACTCGTATTGCTATGAGCATTGAAAGTGTTTCGATTTACAGGTACATTTACACCACCCTCAGTATAGAGTGCTTTGATTCTCTCCTGACTAATGAGAAGTGCTTCATGAAACAAAGGTAACAACTTTCTAGGTTCAGCAATAAACAAAGGACCAAAGTTTACATCACCTTCAAGAATCATTGGAAATCTGATTATTAAAAACAATATATTTATATATTAATTTACAATTATTATTATTATTATTATTTATTTTTACATACATACTCTACCTGTAATGAGTGATATATAGATTGATCTTGTTTCAACATGATAGATTCAATCTGCTGAGGATAATGAGCAATCAACAGCTTTGTAAAGAAATCTAAAATTTCTTCTCTAGTGAAATTCTCGAAATCATATAATGTATACATGATTTTCTTTTAATATTTATAACTATAGTTCAATACATAGTTCGACCATAGGTAGGTTGAAATCATAAAATAATAAATCGTGTTGCAATAACAAACAAACAATAAACCAATTCTCAGAAATCTGTTTTTTTTTAAATATTAATTTTAAATTGAAGACAAACTTGGAAAGAAGAAAAAAATAATTAAAATCTTTGCAAATTGAATGTATTAATATCTTAATCTAGTGGTATCATATAACTATTGCAATGTTGTCAAATTATTGTAATTTGTTAATGTTAATTTTAACAACATTTTGTGTTTTAGTAATAAATTAATTAACTTGGTGGTATTATAATAAGATATAGAGAGTGGGTACAGTGACTTTTTTTTTTTAAATGTAATATCATTTGGTGTAGCAGTGGAACGGTGTAGATGACGAACATAAATGAAAATATGATTTTTATATTTGTGATTGATGAAGTGATATATAAATAGATAATTATCATCAAATATGTTCACATTTCACTAATTATCAAAATATTTAATTTAACTTTTAAATTAAATTATTAATTATTTATTAAAAAAAAACAACAAAAATAAAATGAGATTTATTAATTTAAAAAGATCATTTTAATAATTTTGATGATTGGTTTTGTAGTTGTTGGAGGAATCGAATCACCACCAACCACATTAGTAGTTAACAATGACGGAGATACCAGGCTGAACAACTACAAACAATATCAAGATTTCTATAGGAATATGAATCGTGTGAATGGACCGTTCGATCAATCGTTGATAGCAAAAGCAGAGCGACGACCAGTCTCTAAATACAAATTGGCAACGGATCCTTCGTCGGGAGCATTACCGTTTCAGAATGTTTCATACAAGGTTACCTACGATGGAAGATCGCTGCTCATCAATGGGGAGAGGAAGCTATTTGTGAGTGGCAGTGTCCACTATCCACGCTCGACGCCAACCATCTGGAAGAAAGTGCTGGCACTCTCGAAAAACTCGGGAATCAACATGATCGATACCTATGTGTTTTGGGATCTACATGAACCGCAGCGTGGAGTCTACAACTTTGAGGGCAACGCTAATTTGAAACACTTTCTCGATCTCTGCCAGCAGAATGGTCTGTTTGTCAACCTTAGAATAGGACCTTACATTTGTGCAGAGTGGAACTACGGTGGTTTGCCAATCTGGTTGAAAGATATTCCCGGAATCAAAATGCGTGATTTCAACACTCAGTACATGGAGGAAGTGGAACGTTGGATGAAATTTATTGTCGACTATCTACATGGCTATTTCGCACCGCAGGGTGGTCCAATTGTCTTGGCGCAAATCGAAAACGAATACAATTGGGTCCAGTGGCGATATCAAGAGTCTGGCAGGAAATTCGCTCATTGGTGCGCAGACCTGGCAAATCGATTGGACATAGGCATTCCATGGATAATGTGTCAACAAGATGACATACCCACCGTAATCAACACTTGTAACGGATACTATTGTCATGAATGGATCAATTTCCATTGGAATAACTTCAAAGATCAACCTCCTCTGTTCACAGAGAATTGGTCTGGTTGGTTCAATAACTGGGTGAATGCAGTTCGCCATCGTCCTGTAGCGGATCTGCTCTACTCTGCTGCTAGATGGTTCGCAAGTGGCGGTGCTCTAATGAATTACTATATGTGGCATGGAGGAACCAACTTTGGAAGGAAGAGTGGTCCGATGATTGCTCTCTCCTACGACTATGATGCACCGCTCAACGAATATGGAAATCCTAGAAATCCAAAGTATTCGCAGACCAGGGATTTCAATAAACTGATTCTTTCATTGGAGGACATCCTTCTCTCGCAGTATCCACCCACACCAATCTTTCTGGCAAACAACATCTCTGTTATACACTATAGAAATGGTAATAACAGTGCATCGTTCATTATCAATTCCAATGAAAATGGCAATTCAAAGGTAATGTTTGAAGGTAGATCCTATTTTTCCTATGCATACTCTGTTCAGATATTAAAGAACTATGTATCGGTGTTTGACTCATCACAAAACCCTAGAAACTATACGGATACCGTAGTAGAGTCAGAACCAAACATTCCCTTTGCCAACTCTATTATCAGTAAACATGTTGAGCGATTCGATTTTGAAGAATCATTATATGATAACCGGTTGATGGAGCAATTGAATCTCACCAAAGATGAAACAGATTATATCTGGTACACGACAATGATTAACCACGATCAAGATGGTGAAATACTAAAGGTAATAAACAAAACAGATATTGTTCATGTATTTGTCGATAGTTACTACGTTGGAACAATAATGTCTGACAGTCTGGCTATCACTGGAGTTCCTCTGGGACCATCAACACTTCAGTTATTACACACCAAGATGGGTATTCAACACTATGAACTACATATGGAGAATACAAAAGCAGGTATTCTTGGTCCAGTTTACTATGGAGACATTGAAATAACCAATCAAATGTGGGGATCAAAGCCATTTGTATCATCAGAGAAAGTAATAACCGACCCTATTCAATCAAAGTTTGTAAGATGGTCACCGTTAGATAGGAAGCCAAATGAAGTTTTCTATAGTGTACCTCTGACATGGTATAAATTCATTTTCTTTATAGATTCAGAAGCAAAACTACCTACTTCACTTGCACTCGATATGTCAAAGTAAATATTTTTATTGCTTGCCTATTAAAAACAATATTAACTATTAACTTGTTTTTAAATAGAATGGGAAAAGGACTGATATGGCTAAATGGACATGCTGTAGGTAGATATTGGATTACCAAAGGTTGGGGTGGTTGTGGAGAATGTAACTATAAAAAAGGATTCGATCCTTATTCTTGTTCCACTGGTTGTGGCGAGTATAGTCAAACGTGGTATCATGTTCCATCCGATTGGATCAATATCAATGGCACCAATGAGCTAATCATATTTGAAGAGTGTAAAGGTGATCCAAGGTCAATTAAACTATTACAAATAAAAGAATGATAGATATGATCATATACAAATGGTGTAGACAATTAATTTATTATTATAATTTTTGTTTTTTATGAATTAATAGTTCATTATCATCTTGTTGTTTTTCTATATAAACTCTTTGATTTCTATGATTTTCACATTGACATGAGCATCTACAAATACAGCTACATGAACAATGTTGAGCAGTTGTTTCAGCAACATCTTTATCTTTAACTGCTCTTTTCGATGTAGGTTTCTCTTTTGCTCTCTTTTCATTTTTCTTTTGTTTGATGCGTAGATTTAATATAGCCAGTGTTTTGAGTGATGATGGATAGTCTTCTTCGATGATACTTTGATATTTGATGAGTTTATAATATGCAAAGCTTTGCTTATTCAATATCCAATCGATTGTTTCATGAAGATCTTCTTGAATCAATTTGAGAATGGTTTTCTTCTTGATAACATAGTCACCGCCAAACTCTGGTCTGTTGCGAAGTAAATATGAAACTATTTCTAAATGATCTGACTCGATTGCATTGTGAGAGCATCCCTCTGTTCTGTTTTCGCTGAGCCACTTTACGAGCTTGTAATGTCCAAACATTGCCGAGTTATCTAATGCCCTATGTGTGCAACCTTCACCTCTATTCTCACTCAACCAAACAACAAGATCGAAATGACCACCAATTGTTGCCTCATCCATTGCGTACTCCGAACAACCCTCTGTTCTATTGTGATTGAGCCATTTTACCGCCTCCAAGTGCCCAAATCTGGCGGCGGCATCCATTGCATCAGTGGTATAGTCCTCTGTTCTATGGATTGTCAAGTATTCCAATATCTCTATATTTCCTTTGCGTGCAGCTTCATCCAATGCATAGTGAGCAGTGGCAGTAGTGTTCTCCGTCAACCACTGTATCATCTCCAAATTGGCGTTGGTCGCTGCAATGTCAATAGCATCAAAGTCCTGAGGAATATCAGGATAGTTGGAAATGAGCCATTTCACCATTTTGAGATTATCGTTTCTAACCGCTGAATGCAATGAGGATCGTGGCTCTGGAAAGTCATAGAGATGGAAAAGCTTCATTAGCTCAAAGTTGTTGTTTTCTGCCGCTCCATCAATACAGGTTATGCCACAGCGAGGACGGTCACTCTTAAAGTCTGGTTGTTCGTCCATGAGATACCGAACGACATTGGCATGATTTCCCTTGGCTGCGCAATGAAACATTTTGTTGTCCTCCCTGTCGCGTGGTCTGTTTTCAATCAGCCATTCGATAATCTCTATGCTCCCAACTGATGCAGCCGAGTCAAACACTTCGGAACACGGTTCAAAGATATTCTTGAAGCTGGTGGCATTATAATTCTCATCGACCAGCTTCGAAAAGTACACGACCATCTCCAAACTCGATGAAAGTGGCGAGTTGATAAATGCTCTATAGTAGTGCCATCTGTAGTTGATGTTGTCAAAGAGGTATTTAACTATTGCCATTCGGTTATTCTTGACCGCTGTGATGAGAAACATATCGAATATGTCATCATCATAGAAGAAATCATCGTTGCCATCCGAAAGAAAGGTGCGTAAATTGAACAGATCAAAAAGATACTCAAAAATATCGAACCGACCAATCTGAATAGCAAAGTCAACACATGTCCATCTTTCTTGCTCATCCAATGACTCGTTATTGGCAAGGTACTCCTTTAGCATATCAAAGTACCCATTTCCAACCATTATACGAGGTGTACTTATTAAGTGTTTCCATCTGTAGGTTGCACCAAACTGATAGCTTATATCTTTTAAGTTACTTAATATCAATCTGTTAATTATAACATTATTTATAACTTGAGAAAATAATTCTTTCTTCATTTTTTTGGTTTTTTTTTTTTTTTTGAAATAAACATTTATCATGATCATGATGTCTTTGGTTGGGTCAAATTTTCCAAGAAGTAACTAGCTCAAATAAAAAAAAGATATATCTTTGTATTCTTTATTAAATATATAAAAAGAATAAAAAGATGAACTATCAATACCATTATATTGATAGCTATTAATTGAATTTGTGAATTGGCGGTTGAGAGTTATCTCAGAAAGAGAGATGCCGATAGATATTGTTAAAGATAAACTAAGGTTGTGTATTATCTATTGTAACTTGTTCTAATTAAAAATCTTCTCAAACTTGAATCATGATTTTTAAATAATAAAATGAGTAATTAGTAATACTTGTATGTTTGGTTGTTACTGTTCTGCTTTTTGTTTTGTACTAACTACATGTTATATTTTATTTTATGTGTTTTTTTTGTTATTGCCTTCTTATCTTATCCTAAAGGGTTCTTCAAGACTAAAATAACAGAATCTCCTCTCAAAAACATCTTACTAATGAATCTATCTTTATTAACTGGCTTTGCTTTCTTTTTTCCTTTACCTGTCTTTGGTATCTCTGTCCACATTTCCTTAACCTACAAATAAAAACCGATTATAAATGTTAATAACTTGTTTTGTTTTTATCTTGATAATGAATGATTGAATGATCGAATGATCGAATGATCGAATTTTAAAGATCAAACTTACATTTTCTAAAACCATATTACAATGACGATCGAATGCTCTAACAGTACCCAATAACTTCTTATTATTTCTAACATTGATGAGAACTTGTGTATTCTTATTGACACTATCCATTAAAATCGACAATGGACCTGTTTCGAATTCCTTTTGTTCATCTCTTTCCTAAATAAATAAGCAAAATAACAGAGTTAATAACATGTTGTTAAATATCTACTCTTTTAGTATTATAATATAATATTTAATACATTACTTCTTGTTCAACTTCACTCATCTTGATATATATTAAAGTATATGTTCTATAGAAGAACAGATATAAATAATCTTTAAAAAAAATAAAGTTTGAAAAAAATTTTTTTTTCTGTTCAATAAAATTAAAATTCCACAATCGAAATGATTTGATTTATTAGATAACGATAGATAACATTATCTTACTTGATATTTTTATTAATAATGAAATAATCATCCTTAAAAGATTATACAACTTTGATTAATAAAAGAAAAACAATGCTTTTTTTTCTTACCAGTATGATCATGATTATATATACATATCTATTTCCTCAAATTATAAGCTGATTATAATAATATAATTAGAGATAGAATTATGATTGATACTAGAACTAAACAAACTTCTTTTTTTTTTTTTTTTTAAAATATTATCATATGATTTTAAGTTTGTTTTGTTCTTATTGTAATTTTGGTTAACTTAATAATATAAAAAAAAATTTGACAAATGTCAACAGATAATAATAATAATAATAATAATAATAATGATTATGATAGTGAAAATAACAATAATATATTATTAGATGGCAATGCCACTAGAACCGCAACAGCATCTTTTGTATTGCCATATACTGCTTCTATTGCCAACTCTATAGAACAATTAGAGGCTGATGCAAAATCACTCTTTTCTCTGCATTCTATGTTTTCAAATCAACTTCACAGATTACAAGTAAGTAATACTACATAATACATGTATTATTAAATAATCAACAAAACTAACTAATACAATAATAGCTTGAAGAAGTAGCTTTAAAGAAACAATTGGCAAATGAAAACAATCAATGAAAACAACCTATCATTTGTTTTTAGTTCTATTTAGATCTATCGTATTCAGATAGGTAGATAGATTAATAGATAGATTAATAGATCGATTACACTCATCCTAAGAATATTCGAAAATGGAAAACAAACATTCATTTCAAATAGAGGAGTAGTTTTTCAACAACTCAAACATTCTTTATTGATATTATTAATAATAACTTACTAAATAATACTGTAGTAAATAATGTAATTATACAATAATAAATGAGTTTATCTATCTCGGTAGATTAAACTGTACCAGCCAAATATGCAATGGCCCCAACAAAACCTGAATTGTAATCGAGTGCAACTTCATTTCTAATATAATCAGTTCTATCATCCTGTTTTGTTGTTTTGTTTAACATTTAAAATAATAAGTAATGAATTCATAGTATTTTCTATATATATATATAATATAACAAACTACTTACTTTCCAACTATCATCTTGTGATGGACCACCTACTAATGCACCTTTTAGTAGATAGGTGTTGTTTACAGGCACCATAATGTTGTTGGTAGTGGAGTGGTGAGCTGCACGATGATGAGCGTTGATTGGTGCGTTCGGTCCCATTCCGACGACGAACGATTGCTGCTTTGGATTGTCACCGAGAATATAGGCGATCTGTTTCTTGGTGAATTCAATGTATTTGTCGTCGTTCTTACCGTAGATCGACATAAGGAATGCTGTCGTTGCTGAATAACGACACGGTCCCCATTGTCTTATCCATGCCAATCCGCCCGGGGTGTAAGGAACACCTCCGCCTGGTAACCACCAATTGAGATACTCTTCTACATCTTGAATATACACTGAATTGTTGTTACTTGTCGACAATTGTGAAAGTAGTAATGCTGCACCTGGCGATTTCAAATCCCAATCGTGTGAGTTTTGCTTGGCAAGCTTGACAATTTGAAAATCGTTGTAATCTTTCTCTGCCTTTTCCAGGTATTTAGAGTCGCCAGTTGCTTTGAACAACCAGATGGAACCCCAAACAATCTCATCGTCGAAGCCCGACCAAGATTTATAGAATTGCGAAACATTTGGAATGTTGTCAGAGTAGGTTCCACGATAGTTGTCACCGAACGAATGTAGTTGTCTAGCATGCTCCAAACAAGTGGCAGAGTAGGTGGGATCCGATGTCTTGAAAACAATGGAGGCTGCTGCTAATGCGGCGGCTGCTTCCATTGCCAGCTCGGTGCCTGGCTTTGTGGTGTCGAGATAGTAGGTCGGACGATCCATTGTCATCGTTTCTGGTGGTCCCCAATAGGCGTGGTCTGCATTTGGATCACCAACTTGGCCAGCGATTTTATTGTCGGATTGGTGAGCAGCGATCAACCAGTCAGTTCCATACCTTATGGTATCTTGATAGAGTTTGGTAGAGTTACACTTTTCAATGTTTGGCTGATATTGAATGAAACCCCATGATAACATAGTAAGAGTAGAGGACAGAGGAAAACCAAACTTGACATGGTCACCAGCATCGAAATATCCTGCTGACAACACACCACCTCCATCGTTCAGCGTGGAATCACCTCTCCAAGGTACATCGTTATCCGGTAACTTTCCAGCGCGATTATACTTGTAGAAAAACAGACTATAATGTAGATACTCGCAATAGTCATATGCCAACATTGGTTTTAAAAGTACCAGAATAGTACAAAGAATAAAGAATAATTTACAGATTATATTCATTGTTTTAAAACAACTTTTGATTATTTGATTTTAATAATAAGTAATGTATTCAACTCAATTCAAAACACCTTTGTATTTATAGATGAATAGATGGTAGTGAAATTTCATTCTATTCGCTTATTCAAATTTGGAATTTCATTGTAATTGAATTGTATTCTTATAAAACTGATTGTGTTTGGTGTTTAATCATATTCATTGCAATGTATTGGCATTGGATTTCCATTAAAAAAAAACGAACAAGTGAAATTTTCTTTTTAACTTGATTCAATTCGCGATTAGATTGATTAGCATTGGTGTTGATCAAGATATGCAAATGATTATCAGTTTCTATGCTATATGTTGTTGAGTGCGTTGCAATAAATAATAATCTAAATAATCAAGATTTTATTAAGAAAGTAGTATTAAATCTGTGAAGTTTTAATCCATTTGAAAAGTGATGATGGTGGTTTGGTTGTTTCTAATTTGTTGAGCAAATCGATTGGATCATCGCTAAATACAATTGAATTTATAAACTTTTGATCAATGAAACCACGCTTTGCCGATGTTTCCAGCAATGCTTGCAAATGTGTATAGTAACCATCGATATTAAGAATACCAACTGGCTTTGAGTGGATACCTAATTGAATCCATGTCAATGTTTCAAATAATTCCTCTATTATTAAGAATAATATATTACAAATTAGAACAACATGTTGTTGCAAACGTTAAACATTGAAAGTATTATTATATGAATTACATACCGAATGTACCGATACCACCTGGCAAAGCGATGAATGCATCGGATCTCTCATACATGATCTTCTTACGAGAGTGCATATCCTCGACGTAGACAACTTCACCCATGGAGGTACCAGAGATCTCCTTTGGTGCAAGACCGTGTGGAATAATACCTTGCACTCTACCACCACCGTTGTGAATAGTCTCTGAGATGGTACCCATCAGACCAACGTTACCACCACCATAGACCAATCCATATTTTCTTCTATTCATCTCCTCACCCAACTTCTTTGTAACCTCTGTGAAAACCTCACTATCACCTGGTCTCGATCCACAAAATACACAGATACTCTCGATATGATTTGGTGTTGATTCCATTCCTTTTTTTTTTACTTTGATTTTAAAATATTTAATAATAATATAAGTATAATAATATAAGTATAATAATATAAGTATAAATATAAAAATATTATACAAGCGAATAGATTACAAAATATATAAATGAAGAATTACAATCGTTTTTTTCAACTGATTAGTTTTCAAAAATATCAGTTTTTTGATTTTTTTTTGTTTTCAAGATAAATGTGTTGCATTTCTGATTTTGGGGTTGGAAATTTGATCACTCATCTTAATCAATAATATTGTTGTACTAATGATCTTTAAAGATTGATTCTCAAAGAATAGATTTATTTAATTATTAAATATTTACAAAATATATAAATTGTTATACTAATGATCTTTCAGATTGATTCTCAAAGAATAGATAGTCAACAAGGAAGAGTGCTCCAAGTAGCAGTGCCTTTTGTTGTGACGATGAGTCAGGAGGGAAATTGATAAAGAAATTGTCGGCATCTGTGAAAAGTTCTTTCTTCCAACCGGACCATTTCTTTTCGATCTCACCGACTTCGTCACCGTCGTCTCCCCAACCACTGGATGTACCGTTACCCTGTCGAATTGAAAGACTGTAGTTGCTGCAACCACAACATTGACCGATGACACGATACACCTCATTACCAGTGTCATCGAAGACATTGAGTACTGGCAGACAACAACTGAATCTCTCTTTTATTCTACCGAGATACTTTCCTGGCATGCTCGATGCTTCACCCAAGAATATCTCTGCCTCCTGGTGACAACTTTCGACACAGCAACAGCAACAACAACCTTGACGTCCGCAATGATATCTGAGATGAAGAACATAAATAAGTTATTACTACTTCCACTAATCAAAACGATAATATCGTTAATAAACTTACGGTCTTTTAATTTTTAATATTTCATGACCTTCAAGTGTTCTAATTGTCATTTTAAACTTTCTATATTTTCCACAGCATAAAAGACAACCATTGCTTGTATGCTCTCTTGCAATGAGAATATCTGATTTCTTTTTGTTAATTTATATCTAAATAAATAAAATAACAGTTCTCTTCTAACATACGCTCATTGTTGGGAGTATATACTTTATACTCATTTTCATGCTCCAAACCACATAGTAACTCCCACCATTTGCCTCTTGGTCTTTGTTTAACGATCAAAGTATTGAAATTATTTAGAACATCTAAATACGGGTCCATTTTTAGCTTTTTTTTTATTTTGTTTTTTAAAAAGATATTTTATTGTATTGTTTTATTTACAATACATAAAGAAATAAATAATAAATATTACAAATCATCAATTTAAATAATTAATCATCAAGTTTATTAATAACAATATTGATGTGCTAATATTATTGGATTTAAGTTCAACACCATATTTATTTTAAAATTGATTTTTATTTTTAAAAATAAAATAAATAACCTTATAACATGTGTTGTCGTCGTTGTTAGATTCCCCACTACCATATAAAGAGAATAAAAATGAAAAAAAATTGTAATCATTTGATAATTTAAAAAATTAATAATAATAATATTGATAAAGTGCAAAGTACTTTGTTTTTGGTTAATGAAGGTTTTTTATTTTAAATTAATTTATAGATGGAACTGTTATACCCCAATCTAAACTTATTATTATGATTACAAAAATAAAATTATGATTGTTTTGAATTGGATACCATTGATTGGAACCCACTACAAGTTGCTGTATCTTAAGATTATGTTTAAGTATACTATACTAACTATACTATAGTATTATTGAGTAGAAAAAACAATACTATCTTTTTAATTATATTTATATATCTATTTAAAATATAATTTGATGATATTAAAAAATTGTCTGGAATTATTGTTATTATATTATTATTAAGTGTTTTTAGAATTGATTATTGATTGTGAAAATAATTATATAGGACAAAGAGAGAAAGAGAAAGAAAGGTAATGTAATGTTGAAAAAAAATATGTCTTTCTCTCTTTTTTTTGATTTTATATAATGAAATAGATGATATGTTATGATGAAAAATTATTAAATAATTCTATTTAAATATATAATAAAAAAATATGTGTGATTTATAGCTTTGAGACGATGGGAATCTTTAACTTTTCCAATTTCTCTTTGGCAATGTTGATCTCTAAAACACCGTCGTTCATGGTTGCCTTGATCTTGGCTGGATCGGTTCCAGGTGGCAAACGATAGGAACGTATGAACTTGCCATACGATGACTCTATACGATGACACTTTTCAGTGTCGTCTTTCTTGTGGTACTTTTTCTCGCCACTGATGATAATGGTCGATGCATCCTTTGAGACATCGATTGAAACGTTGTCTTTGCTCAGACCTGGCAACTCGAAAACAATGACAATACTCGATTCATTCTCTTTGATATCTACAGCTGGACGCCAAATACTGATTCTAGTTGGTGAATGTGTGTCAAACAGTTTCCTCTGAAGCTTTTTCATTTCTTTACTTGGGTGAAATTCCATTTTTCCAGATATATTATTGTTGTTATTATTATTTGTATTGGATTGTACTGGTTGAATAATTTGTTCTTTAAACTATATATTTATAATGGAATTTAATTAATATATTTTAGTTTATAAATATGATATATATTTATTTTATTTTGATAGGTGAGTTTATAAGATTGTTTTTTAGGCAAGATTTAACAAAGAAAAGGAAGAAGAATCCTATTTTAGGTCAGATTTGAATCGATCACATACACAATTTACTTTAAAGAAAAGAAAAGCAAACAAGATTGAATGAAATATTGACGTCAATGTAAAGAATTGCTTGTTAAGGTTGATTTTAATTGAGGGGATGACTATTATAATGTTATTATTATTATAATTACAAGCGAATAGCAAATCAATAAATAAATCTTAAAGTACTAAAATAAAAATTTGCCATTTGTGTGTTGTGTTTTGGTGACTATTTATAAATAAATAGATAGATTGTTAACTATCCAACATTTGGATGATAGTCCTGTAACACATTTCAAATCCTTTTAATAATTAATATTTAAAATTGAAGTGGTTATTTCTTTTCTCTTTGTGTTTTTAAAAAAAATAACAAACAAGTGTGTTTATTAATAATTTTCTGTTTAATATAACTCTGAGATTTCAATCTCTCTTTGCCTGCTGTAATTAAACACACACACACGTTATTAAACAAATTAAGATTGTAGCTATTCAATTATAAACAATTCTAATTATTAACAACCAATCAATAAAATCAAACTAGATTGGTACCGATTGAAATCTTTTGTTTGATGATCCAATATTAATAAATTAAAGAAAAGCAACAAAACAAATGTTACAAAAACAAAAAAAAGAACAACATGAGAATGAGAACATAATTACATAACATGTCATACATTTCTAACACTTTTATATAAAATGTAAAAGACTTTTTACTTTTTAAATATATATATATATAAAAAGATATCTTTGTAAAATAGTACAACAAATACAATATTTATAATTAGATGTTTTAGTTTGATAAGCTTACCTCCATTGTTTTGTTTTGTTTGTTTTATTTATATTGCAGTAAAAAAGTAAACTTTTTATTGTTTGCTTTCCCTTTTCCCTTTTAATTAGAAATGTAATTAGAAAATCTAATGCTACAAAATGTATCTGCTTGAATAAAATTATTGTTTGTTGTAGTTATTTTATTAGCTGTTGTTGAAAAAAAAAAAAGAAACAAATGAAAGTGTTTACTTTTTCCCAATTATTTTATCTGATTATTAATCTATTGGTGCAAAAAATAAATAAATATATTAATATCACCTCTGAGAGTGGGAAAAATTTGATGTTTTTTGATTCACACACTGGGATTTCCCATTTGAAATTTCGTTTTTAATGTTATTAATTTTTTGACATTTCAGCGTTGTTTTTTTTTTTTTTTTTTTTATTTCGTTGCAAAAATCATGTCGGTATTATAATTTAAACTTTGCATAGATATTTTGTTTAAATCAATTATTTTTTTATTTATTTAATTAAATTTAAATATAGGTTAGTGGGTTGATTTCTATGTAGAAGTTTAAGATCGATTTTTACTGATCAATAGATCAATCAATCACACTATCAATTCAACAAAACAAACAACAACAATCTCCCATTATTATTAGTCTGTTGATCTTTTTCCACTGGTGGTGTTTCCAATGATATTGCTTACAAAAGCGGTGCTGAGATTTTTTGGTGTAAATTTAGAAGATGAACTATTTTTCTGTGATTTGAGTGTGTTGTTGAGACCAAATAATCTTGAAGTTGTCGATGAAGATGATGATGAATGTGATGAAGATGTTGATTGGTTTCCAAGTCCAAGATATAACATCACTGTGAAAGCGAGTGATATGATAATGACAAAGAGCGAGAGGATGAATGTGGAGTGTCCACGCTCCAGTTGGTAGACATAGTATCCGTGAACCGTTGGCACAATGACATCGTTGTAACCATCGTTGTTTAGATCACCGATAATTGGTGGTCCCATTGGCATTACACTCAACGCTGCAGCATCGGTTGGTTGATAGTGCTCTTGCTCGCCAGCGGCATGGCTCTTTGACGCACTCATTCCACCCGCCAACTTCTGACTACCCTTCTTTCCAAGTCTCTCACTGATGAGAATCTCACCCTGTTGATCGAGAATCACAATGTGATCGGCTACCGCCAACAGATTTGTTTTCGGTCCGTACACCTCCAGTGAGAATGCTTGGATTGACGGGTGCGGATAGGGTTGGCCGTCTTTCTGCCAGCGCGCGTCAGTGTCGCGCTGCCAGTTGGCACGTCCAGTGTGGCGAACACTCGTAATCTTACCGCTGTTTACAAGGAATACAACGTCGTTGAGCTTGGCCGATCCGGCAACTGTGTTGGCGCTGGCAATGATGGCAGGCGCCACTGTTTGTGCGCCACGCGAAACTTCGGCAGCTGGCGAGCTTCGCCAGAAGAAATAGTCGAAATCCATTCCACCCTCATGGCAAATCGATCGATTGAAAAGGTAGTCACGTGGTGGCAAACCAGACATTCCTAGAGCCAAACAAATCTCCTGTCTTCTATTCCTCGAGAACATCGACGAGCCTGGCAAGTTGCCGGCAATCGCATGAACCTGGTCGACCACTCCATCGTTATTCAAATCGGTGTAGGTAATGTAGTGATCGCTATTCTCTGCCTTATTTGTTGAGTCCAATAGCAGCTTGCAGAGAGTTCTACCATTCTGTAGCTGAATAACTTCCATTCCCGCTTTGGTGTGGGCAATCACCACGTTTGGCTCGTCGATGTGGTCGGTCTCTGCATGTGGGTATTGTGCGGGCGCGCTATTTCCACCGGTAAGTCCTTCAAAATGCGATGGATGTACTCCAATTACCTCGGTATTCCAATCGGCTTCGTTGTTTCCCTTGGTAGGGTTGTGTCTGTTCGCCCCCTGCTTCTCGAAATGCGCCAGTTGGAAACGAGTATCAAACTTTGACGACCAACGATGTGGCATTGCCGCGAGCATCGACTGCTTGTAGCTCTTCCAACTGACCTCACCGATGTGCTCCAACAGCGAATACACATGTTGCTTATAGCTATGACGTTTCTCGTCGTGATGTTCCTCATCGGCATGAGTATTCTCCGGTAGGAACGATAGTTCATCGTGATGCCAATGCATCTGTCCATTGTAAGCACTGAAAGCATAGAATGAGAAATGATTCTCATCTCTATGAACCTCTTCTTTCTCATGGTCATGAGCATGAGCATCGCCTTCTTTACTGGCTGTTTCTCCAGTGGCAGTAGCAGCGGTTGGATCACCTTCATCTAGAGTACCGACTTTCGATGCCAGTGCATTCGGGTCGATTCCAATTGCCGGTGTGATATGCGAGCGGTGCAGTTCGTTCGGTATCGCTTCGAGACGTCCACCGACAATGATCAGTCCGTTCGAAACCACCTGTATCGTAACCTCGGAATGATAGTGATTCTTTGGTATTTCATCGACGACGTAACGCTCCCACAGCGGTTTCAGCTGGTGATCAAACACCAGTACTTCCCACTCCTCAGTGACAACGACCACCAGCTGCGTCGAACTGGTTCTACTGATGTACGGTGTTGCATAGCCAGTCTGTAGCGCCACTATTCTTCTGCCGCTGGACAAACCAACTTTAGACGCCAGAGAAACTTCATAGCGAAGACTAGCTTTTCCCATGGAAGTCGATTTTCCACCGACCACAGAATCATCTGCCAACACAGGATCTACAATTCTAATCTTATGATCTGTTGTTACATATATAATCTCTGTTTGTTTGTTTTTAAAAAGATAAATTAAAATCAATAAACTAAACTAAACTAAACTAAACTACATGTTCCCAAATTTGATTTTGTCTATTTGATTGTTCATACCATTCTTTCCATCACCGTCCAAGTCAGTGATGATTGGATTTGGTAATACCTCATTGATTTGAGGATAATGTGAATTTGCATACTGATTCGTATCTATAGGTATAATAAATGATAGTCTGGCATTGTGATCTCTATTCGAATGGAATGAGAGCAACACAATAACCATACATACCAAAATCATCCATGCATCTCTTTGTCTCATTCTCTCTGTATATATACTATATTTATTTACAAAAATATCTTATAAAAACTAACTATACAATTATATATATATCTATATATTAATGATTCATAATATCAATAAATATAAAAATAACTATTTTTAAATAAATCAAAACTTAATCAAATTTAATTAAACCAACAGATCACTTTATTTAAACACACACAACTCTCAACATCATCATGCAATTTCATTTATTTTTGCCAGATGCAAAAACATAAAAATAATACAATTCAACAATAAAAGTTAGAAAGAACATGTAATGCTTATCAATGAAAATGATATTAATGTTAATCAAACAATTGTAAAATCATCATCATATTGTTAATTTATTAATAACATTATTTTTTTTTTATTTTTATTAAAAATATTATACTTTTTTTTTTTATATAGTAATAATGTTAAAAATAACAAATATATTAAAAATTGGTTATAATTATAAAAAGTAAAAAGAAAGATATCTTTCTTTTTATAAAATTATTATTATTTTTAAAAGTTTATTAATTATATTTTACTAAATCTTTAAAATAAAGCCCGGGCAAGGATTTAAGCAATGAGATGATATGAAAGTCCTCATTCGTGTTACTATTTTTTAAAATTTTTAAAAACATTTTTTTTTCATTTTTTTGAATTTTGTTTTTTTTTCATGCACATTTTTTTTTTCGAAAGTAAGCAGGAGTAAACACGCTCAAACTGACTTCTGTTTCTCTTTTTCGACAACCATACTATCAGAGGATAATAGGCAAAATGTTCCAAAAGGTAGATAATCAAATATTAATAAGATAATGATTTTTTAAAGTAATTAAGTTCAAAGCAATCAAATTCAATCGTTCGTTCGTTCGTCAAATAATACTTCAAAGAATAATCAATAAAAATAGAAATAATTAGTAAAATAGATAAACAGATAATAGAAAATAAAAAAAGTGTTTGAAAATTATATCAGTAGCAATAATTAGTTAATAGTAACTAGAAAATAGTGAAACTATCTATCTTTACCTACAATTATCTATATTTCTATTTAGTTTATAAATTTTCTCTATTTAGTTATAATTACACAGATATCATAAAATTTTCAAGATTTTCATCTTTCAGTGAAATATAACAGATTATAGTATTATATTCAGAATTCTATGAAAACAGATCTTTGACTCTTAGGATACAGATCATGTCATGAAATATTGAATTTCTAAAGAAAAAATAAATAAATACTTTATAATCAACAATCAATCTATAAAAAACAATAATAACAACAACAATAATATCATAATAATAATAATAGTAGTAGTAGTAACAGTCAAGTAAAATATTATATAGAGTGATAAAAATCGAACGAACAACATTGAATTGATTTGACTTTGAAATTTTTTAAAAAATCGTTGTCACAAAAAAAACGTAAAAAAAGATCAAAAAAAAACGCTAACATGAAACTATCTTATTTTTCACACAAAAATCAATAGACTGTTGTAGTTGATGCTAAAGGACACCTTCTCGGTCGTCTCGCTTCCAAAGTTGCCAAAGAGCTCCTTTGTGGACAAAAGGTCGTCGTCGTCCGTTGTGAGGAACTCGTCATCTCCGGTCCATGTATGTAATCACACAACTTTTTGTTTAACAAAACAAATCTGTTCTGTTCATTTCAAACTGAAACTAACAAAATATCAATATTATCATTATTATTATTATCATTATTATAGTGTACCGTAACAAGTTAAAGTGGGCTTCTTTCCTTAACCTCACTTGCAATACCAACCACGCCCGTGGTCAACGTCACAACCGTTCACCATCAAAGATCTTCTGGCGTGCCGTCCGTGGTATGTTGCCACATCGTACTCCACGTGGTATGTTGGCTCTCCACAGATTGAAGATGTTCGAGGGTTGCCCAGCTCCATACGACAGAGTCAAGAAGATGGTTGTACCAGAGGCTCTCCGTGTCGTCAAGATGAACCCATGCCGTAAATTCACCGTTCTCGGTCAATTGGCCCAACAAGTCGGTTGGAAATACAGAGACGTCGTTGCCAAGCTCGAAGTCACCAGAAAGCAAAAGGCTGCCTCCCACTACCGTAAGGCTGCTCTCCTCCGTCTTTACCAATCTCAAGCTCTCAAGAAGGTCAATGCTTAAATTATTTATGCGTTAACATCATAAAATAAATGCCAAATATTAATCCTCTTAAAAAGAATCTACTACTGCTGCTGCTACTACCAAGCACATTTTCACATGAAAATTGTTGTTGTTGTTGTTTATTAAAATTAAATCTCATGTCTATCTTTGTTTGAATTATGTTTAATTTGTGTAATCAATTGATATATATCTAAATCAATTAATCAATTGTATTGTTGTTGTTGTCCAACAAAATCAAGATCAATACAATTCATTTATCATTTATCATTTAATATGAATGTTAATGATAACAATAATAATAATAATAGTATAAATAAAAGTAAAAGTCAGCGTAAAATAAAGAATGATAATGATATAGTGGATGTTGATATTGAAGATTTAGATTTAGATGTAGATGTAGATATTATAGATTTAGATAGTGATAGTAATAATAGTAGTAGTAGTTATAATAGTAAGAGTAGGAATAATGGTAATGAGTTAGTAGAGAACGATGATAGTGAGAATGATTATATGTATAAAGATAAATATTATAGTTTGGTGATATCCAGATGTTACTATCGGGTGTTCATTCGTCATATCTCAAAGATGAAAGTAGTACGATCGTATATGTTCGATCGTCGCTATACTTTTATTATGTATGAGCATATCAATATTTATTTGATAGAGTTGTTTGGCGATATCGTATCAAAGAATGTTCGATTCGACGACGACAAGTTGAAGTTCAGCTTTGTCATTGACGACAACAGTGGTGGAACCATAGAGTGTCTGCTTACCACTGCTGCAAGCACCTCTGACCAACAACTCAGAATTCAACAACAACTATCGAATCAACTGGTACTCGGTAGATTCGTACGTCTATGGGGATATCTAGATCTGACCAGTCAGAGTTGTCCGAGATGTATAGTCGATAGATTTGGTAATAATAAAACAAAAACTATATATATTATTATACTAGACATTCATTCATCATAACTAACTAACTTTAAATTAATTGTTATACATTACATTTAGAAGCAGTAGACGATGTCAATAAACAATCACTACTTTGGTTACAATGTATAGAATTACATCAAACTCTTTATATACCCTACTCAAAGTATTTAAGTAAACAGAGGCAAACACAACAGTAATAGATAGATAAACAACAACAACAACAACAACATAATAGAAATAATAGTAACAAGATAGTATCAGATATAATCTATTAGCAAGAGTGTTTTTTTTCTTTTTTTCAACTCATAATATAATAATTAACAATTAATTAATCAAATTGCAATTCGACAAAGGTATAGCTATTCAATAGATAGTGTATTTATTAAATGCCCTTTTAGAATATAATATAATATTTAAAGACAATAAAATCCCGATAATAATGATAATTTATTAAATAATTTAATAATAAAACATTATAATTATTTACAAAGTAAACACCAATTTGTTACTACTATTTTGGTTACTATCTTTCAACTCTTAGTGGATTTAATGATCACGATTAAGAAGAACAATAATTTTAAAAAAATAATGAATTGATTTTATTTTTATTTTGTGATACCATTGAGATAGGAAAACTAATCAAACAACAATAACAATAGGGATAATGATAGAGTACAAGATGAAGCAAAGAGAAAAAAAGAAAAGTAATGATTGGATGATCATGTGGTATTTGAAGTATCTTATGTCAACCATAATATGATTACTTCTTACTTGTCACTTCTTACTACTTATTTATAAGAGGAGTAGGAGGGTGTTAGTTAGGTTGGATGGAGTACGATTTATCTATATATAAGTATGTATGTATGTATGTAGAAGAAAGACTCACCTCACATCAATCATGTTTAGTTGGTTGGTTGGTTAGGAAATTGTTTTTGTAGAAAGTTTGTAAAGAAGTAAAGTCGATTAATATCAATTGGAAATTCAAGTAGGTGGGTGAGTTGGTTGGTCGTTAGTTGTTGTTGTTGTTTGTTTGTTGTCAGATTAAATATCGAATAATCATAATAATCACTATCAATTTGTTGTTATTGGTGTCAAATTTGATTTTCCTACTTGTAAGCTGAAGACATATCTTATCCAATAGTTCAATCGCACATAGAATGATATTGATGTTGTTGACCGTATTTCTCAATGTTCAAACATTACTTATAGCATTCTAACAATCACAACAACAACAACAACAACAACAACAACAACAACATGCCACATTATTATCCAATTGGATTATGAAAATAATAATTATTATTATACAGTCTAAATTTAATATGCATGTTTATTTGTTTGTTTTTTTTTTTTTTTGCAAAAAAAAGAATTATAAATATAATTATGAGTAGAAATGGATGGATGGATATATTCATTACATCAACATCAAGTCTGTGTGAAATCTGATTACAAAGATAAAGCTTTATTATTCAATTGATAGAAAGTTTGGTTTTTCTTTGTTTTTATATGATCTCACTATAAAATTAACACATCTATTTAATAAATCTGATGCAAAAAAATAAAATAATGTTGTTAAGCTTTATTATATCACTTTGGGATAAAGAATCCATCCCCAAACACCACTTCACCAAATCTAGAATATCATAAAACAAAAACATTACATAACACACACACACCCACACTCTCTAAATAATAATGATCATAAAAATAAATCATAACAGTCGGTCACTACACACAAACACACACACTCACATGAAAACATATTATTTTATATGTTTGATCAAACAAATCAACTATTCATTATATCAATCGACATTACCTCCCCCATCTCTTGATCACGAGTGGAGTGAAACAAAACTGATTTCGACCATAAATATTGAATTGTTGAATTATTTGATTGATTGATTTGTTTTTGTTTTTGTTTTTGTTGTCTGTACATACTTATTTACTTGTTGATGTACTTAATATTCGATTCTTTATAAAAAAAAACCAGTAATAAACAATGCATACAGATTTAAAGAAAATGGAACATGAAAATCAAACACAAAACCTTTCTTATCTATCTGGTGGTGGTTGTGGTAGAGCACCTGTCATTAATGACAATCCCACATTCAATATAAAAAATGATGCTGAACACCTCCAGAATTTTAACACCAACTTGTCCTAAATCAAAAAGTTTACTTTACAATTGTTGTATTATAAATTTCTGACTGTTTTAATTTAAGTAGACGGATTGGTAAGCGACCTGTTTGAATGTCAAAAGTAATACTACCTTTCTTACTTCACCTTCTTCCACAACTCACTTATTCACACAAATCAATATCTTTATCTTTTTATCATCATCATCATCAGCATCAACATCAACATTATTATACCATTAGTATATTTATTTGTATTGGTGTCTGTATTAATGTATGTATATAATATATGTCTGTTTGCAAGTCTATATGTTTATTTGATTTTGCTTAATTTAATTAATTAAAAATAGAATAATAATAATAATTAAGATAATAAAATAATAATAATATTATATTTTTATAAATTATATTTTATTAGTACTATTGTTTATAATATATATATATATTTAAATCAGCACAATATCACCTTCAACTACTACCAGTTCTTACTAATACTACAATATAGAGCTACAATTACTTATTACTACTACTGCTACATTAAATCTATCTACATTTTTTATTTTAGTTGTAATAAAATTGGAATCACAAACACTACCGATAGTACAATAATAATTAATATATTAAATAAATGTATTAGTATTATATTTCCAATCGAATTAGTTGTTTAACCCGTCACCAAGTTAGTTCACTAATCAATCACTCACTCACCTTTCACTTTCACTTTCCAACAAATCTAGACAATCAATCAATTAGTTGATTTCCAAATTAATACATTCATCTCAAAATTATTATTATTTTCTATATAAATATTAAATACTAGTAATACTATTTAATATTATTATTGTTATTATTTCATTTTACAATAAATAAATATTAATATAGTAATAAATTATGTTCATGTAGTTTATTCAAGATTTAAATAATAATAAATAAATTAGAAAATAATAATAATAATAATCTTATATTTATTTCCATTTTATACTTTTTAGTTGGAACATTGTCCTTGTTATTGTTGTTGACCAAAAAATATATTGTAATATTGTTATTTTGTACCATTATATTTATTTATTTTAAATATTATAATATCAGGCAGTAATAAATAATTAGTTTAAAATGAAAATCAAATTAAAATCAAAATCAAAAAGATCCAATAATAATCTGGATGTAAGTATTTAACTAAATAAATTTCATTGGAAATAATAATTGGTTGAAGTTGAAATAATTAATTATTCTTATTTATTTTTAGCCAAATAATAATTGCTATACATTATATTTGAATGATGCAAGACAAACATTGACACAGGGTAGAAAGTTTCCAAACAACTATATTAGAACTACAAAGTACACTCTGCTAACGTTTTTACCAAAGAATCTTTTCGAGCAATTCAGAAGATTGTCGAATTTCTACTTCTTGTGTGTGCTTGTCATCCAGCTCATTCCACAAGTGTCACCACTGTTACCACTAACCAGTATTTTGCCATTATCCTTTGTACTTATAGTAACTGCAATTAAAGAGGCACTTGAAGATTATGTAAGTATTATAATAATTCATTTTATTTTCTTTTTTCAATCATTCATTTTACTAATTTTTTTTTTCATTTTTAATTTAATTATTTATTTTTTAGTTCAAGATATTTATCTGATAAGACATATAATAAAGAATTATTCAATATTGTTAGAGAAAATCAATTGGTACCAATATTCAGTGAGGATCTCAGAGTTGGTGACATCGTAAAGATTAGCAATGGTCAACGTTTTCCAGCGGATCTTGTACTTTTAAGTTCTACCAATGACGATGGTATTTGTTATGTTGAAACTTCCAATCTTGATGGGTATGTATATTAATAAAAAATATTGATTAATATACAACAATTATTAATTAATCAATGAAAACAAAGTGAAACAAATTTAAAAGTTAGAAAATCAATTGCTGAAACAAGTTTTGCTCAGAATATGGAACAAATTTCATCGATGCGTGGTAGTATTGTCTATGAGTTACCGAATGAACGTCTCTACAGATTTAATGGTAGAATTAATTTGGAGGGTTTGGATAATGATCACACTGTACACTCTTTGAATCATACAATGTTCCTTCAGCGTGGTTCACAGCTGCGTAATACCAAGCATGTGTTTGCAGCTGTCGCCTACACCGGTATCGATACCAAGATGTCACTGAACCAGCAGCCACCTCCCTCAAAGTTCTCCACTGTCGAGAAGTTTATGAATCGTCTCATTCTCTATGTATTCATCTTCCAGATCTGTATTTGTCTGATTGGTTCGGTGGCATCATCCTACTTTGAGGATAACGTCGCACGATTCATCCCTTACCTTGGTATCACTCAGTACTCGCTACCGACCTATGGAATTGTTAATTTCTTTACCTATTTCATTTTGTTCAATACTATGATTCCCATTTCTCTCTGGGTGACTATGGAGGTTGTAAAGATGGGACAAGCTTGGTTCATGCAATGGGATCTACAGATGGCTGCCAATGAGAACGGAGCACCGGTTGCCGATCAGCATTGTAAAGCCAAGACATCGAGTATCAATGAAGATCTCGGTAGAATTCAACATATTTTCAGTGACAAGACTGGCACTTTGACTGAGAATATTATGCGTTTCTGTAAGTGCTCCATTGGTGCCGACCTCTATGACGAGCGTGAGAATCCAGGCGGTCTCATCGCTTCACTCGAGCGTAACAATCGCACCAAAGTACAGAGTTTCCTTCGTATTCTTGCACTCTGCCACACTGTAATTCCAGAGATTGACGAAACAACTGGTGAGACCGTCTACCAGTCGCAATCGCCAGACGAGTTGGCATTGGTACAAACCGCAAAATCCAACGGGTTCATCTTCCTCGGTCGTAAATCCGATGAAATGGTAATAAGAGAACTCGGTGTGGAGACTAGCTATGCGTTGTTGGCAGTGTTGGAATTCTCTTCGGCTCGTCGTCGTATGTCGGTTATTGTTCGTACACCTGAGGGTGCCATCAAACTACTCTCCAAGGGAGCAGACATGGCTATTACCTGTCGATTGAATTCACGTGATAAGAATCAATGTAAGGAGGAAACTCTCAACTATCTAAAGACATTCTCTCGTGAGGGATATCGTACTCTGATGGTAGCTGAGCGCGAGTTGTCAATAGACGAGTACAACCAGTGGAAAGATCAGTTCTTCCAAGCAAACACCGCCATTGAGAATCGTGAGGAGCGTGTCGAGGCAGTCTGTGAGTTGATTGAGCGTGACATGACACTGATTGGAACAACCGCTATCGAAGATAAACTTCAGTACAACGTGCCGGAAACTATCAGCTATTTGTTGGAGGCCGGTCTGCACATCTGGGTGTTGACAGGTGACAAGCAAGAGACTGCAGTCAACATTGGTTACTCGTGTCGTCTGTTCGATCCATCGATGGAGTTGATCTTTATCAACACTGAAAGCTCAGAGGAATGTGGAGAGATTCTCGATCGTTATGTTGCGCTACTTCCACCTGAAGTTGAGGAGGACACTGGTGTCGTGACTGTCAGTGGAGCACCACCACCCGAAATTATGATTCCACAGCTGGCTACTGAATACGGTATGGTTATCGATGGACAAACACTCTCATACGCTCTACACGACCATCGTGATAAGTTCTTGCGTTTGGGACGTGCCTGTAAGTCGGTTATCTGTTGTCGTGTCACTCCGCTGCAAAAGGCGCTGGTCGTGCGTGTCGTCAAGGAGTCAGAACAAAAGATTTCGCTTGCCATTGGTGACGGTGCCAATGACGTGTCGATGATACAAGAAGCGCATGTAGGTGTAGGTGTTTTCGGTATGGAGGGTACACAAGCTGCGCGTGCCTCTGACTATGCAATCCATCAGTTCCACCATCTCAAGCGTCTTCTCTGTGTACACGGACGTTACTCTTACCTGAGAGTTGCCGGTCTCATTCAATATTCATTCTACAAGAACATGTGTTTCACTCTCTGTCTGTTCTGGTTCTCTTTCTTCAGTCTTTTCACAGGACAAACCATCTTTGACAGTTGGATCATCACATTCTACAATATTCTTTTCACTTCGTTGCCACCATTCTTCTATGGTCTCGTCGAGAAGGACATCGACGACACTTCGATCATGAGTAATCCACTCATCTACCGTCGTCTTCAGCTTTCGCCAATCTTTACCAAAAAGACTTTCTTGATGTGGAACATTGCTGCGTTGTGGCACTCGCTTACCATGTTCTTTGGTTTCTACTTGTTGATGGACAACGATATTATGGGTCCAAACGGACACACCTCTGGTATCTGGACATTCGGTACACTGGTGTCGACCGCTGCAATACTCGTATCAAACTTTAAGATTGCAGTTGAAATCAAGACATGGAATCTCTTCAACGTCGGAAGTATCCTATTCTCTTTCCTCGTCTATTTCATCATGTTGATGCTCTACTCATACGTAAGAGGATTAAACTCAAATATGTTTGATATTTTCTGTAAGTAACAAAAAAAACAAATCAAAACAAAAACAATCTAATCTAACATTTATTAATCAAATCATTATAGCAATCGAATTAAAGACAGTATCTTATCATTTAACTATATTAATTATTATTCTAATTGCATTGGTACCTGATTTCATTTTCAAATAGTAAGTAATCAACAAGTACAAAACAACAAAAAACAATAGGGAATTTGTACTAATTCATTACTTTTTCTTTGTAAATATAGTTACTGTTGTCAATATTACCCAACAGATGTACAAATCCTAAGAGAAAGAAGAAATATAAAAGAAATTAAAATGAAAGAGTTTAGCGAACATACAAAGTACCACAACAGAACAACAGATGTATAAATACAAAAAGGTTATTATCAACAAAGAGAAATAATCAAATAAAAATTAATATTAAATATAACAAAAAAATACTTGAGTGTTTATTTTTATGAATACATACAGGTTGTATCATTATAATTCTATTTTTGTAAAAACCATTGTAAATAATTTTATTTGGGATTGATCCTAAACCTATATATATATGGTAATAAAAAGCAATAGAAAATTTAATAATTTATATGATCATTCGTTGTTCATTTTTAGAAAAATAGTAGTGTGAACATCACGGCACGAGGACATTATACATCTATCAACTGGGGTAATCAAACTACATTAGTAATAATATTAAATTTTCAAAACCAAAACCTTTATTTAGTTGTTAATTTTTAGAATGGTTTAAAAATGAATTAGTTTGCAACAAAGTGCACTTTTTTATTATTCATTAATGAGCGATCAAAAATAACCACTTCATACAAACTATCTCCATAGGTTTGTTTAAACTTAGTTGATCACAATTTATTTTATTTTAATTTTCGATTCCATTTGATTTTTTGATTTTTTTCTATTCCCTCATTTGTTGATCTTTTCACAAAGATTACTGGACAAAGATTTTAAAATTAATCAAATCAGCAAATAGACAATAATAATATAAAAATAAAATTTAAATTTAATTAACCAAGAAAAAAGATTATTGCAATGAAAGTATCAAGGGTGTTCAACACACACAAAAATAGATATGATCAAATGCAAAAAATTGTTGTTCATTTGATATACTTTAATCGTATTATTTAATATATAAACAGGTGGGGTGGTCACCACTCTTTTCTCAAACTTAAATTAACCACTTAACCAACTTTAGTATCACCACTCCACAAAGATGATCATCACCCTAAATATCATGGTACAATAAATCTCACAAAGAAGAAGATAATCAACAAACACATCACATACATACCTACCCCATTAGCTCATCTGACTAGGTGGTAATTGATTGCATGCTTAATCAACTTCACTTATTCAAGTGATTGGGTGTATGTATTCAACAAAAAAGGTCTACGATATATTTATCCAAAACATTGTTATTGTTATTGAATATAGGTAAATTGAATTCATGTATTAATATAAAAATATTGGTTAACTACTTATTATCATTCTATCATTTTCACACGGTCGACACACCTTGTGTAATTTTTCTATTATGACAATCTTTTCTTTGCGCTTGCACCACTTTTTTTTTTTTAAATTTTAAAAAAAGGTTGGCAATATTGATCAACACATTTTAAAACTAAACCCCATCACTAGGAGTGACTGAATCAAAATAATCAGTCAAAAATACTCCCGTCCAATAGGTGGAGCCTCATTTGGATTATGCATAGCATGTTCAATATAAAACCATTGTAAAATGTGCTTAACGTTGACAGGTGAACAGACACCAAAACATTCCTACTTTTATAATTATAAATTAATACTTTGATTTATATATATTCTATCCAGTAGCTACAAATTTTGGCATAAAAAAAGCCTATAAATAAATTTTACACAATTTCAATATTAAATTTCATTGTTGTCTTTTTCACCTTAGAGATATATATATATATATAAATTATTCAACATAATCACATCATTATACTTTCCAACTTTGTCCTTTTTATAGATAAAATTATTCTTCATTTTAGATATAAAAATATTCATAGAATGATAATCATATCAGTGTTAATAGGTATAATAATTATATTATTACTTCATTATGTATGTCAATTGACAGTATTTTTAAAATTATAAAGTATTTTGACTTTTTTATTTAAAATAGGTTCAAACAAGAAAGATTGGTCCACCAGGACCTTTTTCTTTCCCAATTATCGGATCTTTACATTTAATTGCTAATGGTCAACCACAAATTGGTTTACATAAATTATATCAAAAATATGGACCAATTTTCTCAATGTGGCTTGGTTCTGTTTATACTGTTGTTTTAAGTGAGCCAGAAGTAATCAACGAGGCATTCACCAACCAATCTGATATTTTTTCAGATAGACATATGAATTTATCCATGCATATTGTTGGAGGTAAATTAGATTTAAAATTTATTTAGTTTCTTTTTAAAAGTTATTAATATTTATTCAATTTTTTTGTAGATTCAAATAATATTGGATTTACTAATGGAGATCATTGGAGGAAATTAAGAGGAATTGCTGCAGCTGCCTTAACAAAATCTAAAAGTAGAAAAATGGATACTCTAATTTGTAAACAATTTGAAAATATGGCATCTGCACTAAAAGAGGAAATTAAAAAAGGTCAACCAGTATGTATGGAATTTCAATTTTATTTAATTTCTTTTTTCTAATTCTTTATTTTATAAAGATTGATATGAGACCATTCCTAAAGATGACTGCCTTCAATGTTATGTTTTCATTTTTATTCTCAAAAGAAGCACCTTTCAATCCAGAGGAAAGATCCGAAGAAGTTCATCAGATCCTACACAATTCTGTAAGAATGGTGAATCTAATGGCTGCTGGTAATCCTGGTGATTATATTCCTTTCTTAAATTATTTTAATAATGTAATTATATTTTAATAATATTTTATTTTTATAAACTAAATATTGATATATAAAAACATAGTTAAGAGAACTTAGAACTGTTACAAATGGTATAGTTGAATTTGCCAGAGTAAATGTAAAAGAACATTTACAAACAATAGATAGAAACAATCCTAGAGATTTCATCGATTATCTAATCATCGAGTATGAGGCGGATAGAGATTCTGATAGAATTTTGGACTATTCTTGCCTTGAGAGAATTTGTATTGATTTGATAGTTGGTGGTACAGATACAGGATCAACTGCCATTGAATGGTTGATTCTCCTTCTTGCCAACAATCCAGAACACCAAGATATGGTATACAAAGAGTTGGCTACAAACTATGTAGAAGATAAATCAATAGATTTCAGTAAGAAAATACTATTCCCAATCACCAATAGTCTAATAAGAGAAGGTTGGAGATATAGACCAACTGCTCCTCTAGGTCTACCCCATAAATGTACACAAAATACAACTGTTGGTGGTTATTTTATTCCAAAAGATGTATGTATAAAAGTTAAATCAATATTTATCTATTATAATTTTAAACTTATTAATTAATTAATTATCTATCTATTTAGTCACAAGTTATTATAAATTTATATTCTGCGTCACTATCTGAAAAGATTTGGAGTAACCCACTCATATTTGATCCAACAAGATTTATTGAATCAGATAAAAATACAACACCACCAATTGTCTTTGGTAATGGACCACGTCGATGTGTAGGATCAAATCTTGCAGAGGTAGAAGCTTTCCTACTGACTGCAAACATCTTTAGAACATTCAAGTTTGTTAGACCAACCGATGATTTATTCTCAGAGAAAACAAGTAGGTATTAAGTAAAATTATAAACTTTTTCAATTAATTGAATTTAAATTATATTAACAATCAAAACAATTTATCACTATTAGATATGGGAGTTACACTTGAACCATTACCATTTAAGGTTAAAGTAGAGTTAAGATAAAAGTAACTTTAATATCACATTTATTTGCTTAACTATTTCTGTCTACAAGCTGTCAGAAATATCTTTTTGTAATATGATTAACGTTAAAATAAATTGCTTTCGATTTTAATAGATGTAATTTAACTAACAATTATGTTTTTATCTATTGATTATCAATTCTAAAGTGTGGTATAATACTAATTCGATTGAACTATTTTCATCTGAATATCGGGTTATTATAAAGTTAATTTTATTTGTAGTTCAAAAATGTTCAAACATTATATAATACCTAATTAACTACATGTTAGTTTTATCAATAATGAATATTGGTGTTATTATTATTATTTTTTTTATTATCAGAGTGTATTCTAATGGATTAACGCCAGGTACCTATTCACACATAGTTTTTCCACCAGGAAATAATAATGGATTTAAAAAAGTTGAATTTGAAATTGTTGTATTCATAGACCCAGGTTCTTATTCAAATGTATTTTGGAGTAATCAATTCTCATTGTTAGGTTCAAATGGATATGGATATACAGGGTATGAATACAAATATTTATTTGTGCTATCATGATTGTTTTTATTTCATTTTTTTAACACACATTAAAAATATTTTATTATATTCACATGTTAATAGATTACAAACAATAGGTGAAAACAAGAGAACTTTTATTTTCTCGATATGGGATGCTGAATCTTTTAGTAAAGGAAGTCAAGGATCATACTGCACTAGATTTGAAGGTGAAGGAATTGGTTATCATTGTAACTATGATTTTAATTGGAGGGAAGGTGATGTAAACAAATTCATTCTATACACAACTGGTGATGGATGGTACACTGTGAATGTTACTATTAACTCTACGACCAAATTCACCATTGGAAGTATCAAAACATTACAATCAACTATAAGTCCACATTCAATGATCAATTGGGTAGAATACTTTGAGTATGTTTATAATTTTATTAATTATATAAGTTTATTATGTTAATCTAAATGTCTATATACTTATCTATAAATAGATGGAACTATAAAGACTCTAATTGTTATAACCAACCTTATTCTATATCTCGTTTTGCTACACCAATCGCTGATGATCATATTAATTCAACGGTTTCAAGAATTTGGGTATCAAAGAATTGTCAGCATCTATCGAAAGTTGAAGAAGTATCGAATGGGTCTATTCATTTCGATTCCGTTGGTAATTCAAAAAGAGATTCAATTAGATTGTGGTCAAACGGTTCATTGTGCATTGGAACCGCCAACAACAATACATCTGGTGACGTTGTTATGAAGAAATGTGTTGATAGTTGGGACGAACTACTGGTATTCAGTGATTATCACTCACTCATCTCTACAAAAGATGATACATGTTTATCGTACCAACTAAGCAACAATACAATCAACAAATACACAATTATATACGAAAAATGTAGAGAAGATAATATTAGACAACAATGGAAGTACAGCAGTGAAAACAATCTAATCATAAACAAAGATAACGAGTTATGTTTGGTTGGCAATCAACTATTGTCTAATAATAATAATAATAACAATAACTTAAAACTTGATAAATGTAATATTAATTATCAATTTCAGCAGTGGTTTGTTGCAAAAACAAAATAAACGGTTATAAAAAAACTCTTGAATTTTTCTATGAAAAAGATATTTATTTTTTACAGGAAATTTAAAAATGTAATCGTTCTTTCCATCTTTAAAGATTTGATTTGACTTTTTATTATTTTTATTTTAGTATAGAGTTGTAATATTTATATATATATATATTCTTTAAGGACTAAACAATGCCAAAAAGATTAATTAGTGAAGAGACTGATGAAGTAGATTCATCATCAGAAGATCAAGTCAAAAAAGTACAAAAGTCAGATGACTCTGATGAGCTTGATGACGCAGCTACAATCGATCGTCAACGGATTCTCGATATCCTCGAGATCAAGAATATAAAGACAGCAAAAGAAGAGGAATTCAAAGAGATCTTTGATAATATGGCCAATAGGTTGATGAACGATGTCGTTTTGATGGTTGGCGGTATTCCCTATGTGTTGGTGGAAATCGAATATTACTTCAAGGGCTACAATCATGTCGATCACTATGCACACGGTGACGAACATCAACGTAGAATGGCATCGTGGTATTTCCATCGTCAGAATGGCGGTGGCTACAAGACCGCCAGCTACAAAGGACTGGACATCACATTTGGCGACGGCACTGCCTACGCCGGTATTTTGATTCGTGGAATCGAGCGTGTCGATGCCAAGACAAACTTGGTGGACGGACCATCGCTAACAGTCGACAATCTCCTTAGGGAGGCGGGCGAGCCAGATATCCAATCGTTCGTCACCAAGTACGGAACCTCGCTGTTGCCAGGCGAGAACAAGGGAATGTATCTGACAATGCGCGACCACAGCTCGCGAAAGAAGCCCGACGTAAGAAAACCTATTTCCTCTGGTCGTGTCGGTTTGACGATGAAGATGTACAAGAAGGACAAAGAGTTCTACTTTGGACGTGACTACCGTTATATTAGATTGCCGGATAAGGTCAAGAAAGGAAAGCACTACATGAACACCGCACTACACAAGCAAGGTCACAAAGTTGCACAAATCAAAGACATCACTAAATCGACTGCCGCTGCCATTCAAAAGTGTATCGATGCATTCGAAGCCGGTCTGAAAGAAGCCAAAGATAAATCATCGCTTGAACCATACAAAGGTGCACTCTCCAACGACGATTGTTGTAAACTGATCGGTGTTTGTTACGGACTTGAGAAGCTTAGATCTACGGGATCACCAGATAAAGAGAAGGATGATGACAACAACGATTCATCCGATGGCGAAGGTGAAGAATCTGAAGAAGAACAAAATGATGATTAAACATCATTCATTCCTGTCATATTAGCTATAATATAATAAAAAATAACTCAAATCTTATCTTATCTTTTCTTTTCTTTTTTATATATAAAAAAAACATAATTTATTTGTACAAATTTAAAAAAGAAGTAAAAAAATGATATCTAATTTTACTACTATAAAGTAATAATGGTTGGCTGATTGTATTCTTGTTGTTGCTATATCTATCTTATTTAGTTTATCAAAGCGATCACATTATTTAAAATTCATTTTCCTCTCTTCTTGACTTTGAGTACATCAATGTCAATGAACTATAATAATAAAAAAGATAGAGATGATATGTTAATATTTGAAAACATATGTATTTTGATTTGTCTTAGCTAGTTGATAAGAAATAGACTTACCTAATGAAAATCATAACATTTTGAACGGTCAAAGCAATACCTGGGTACTCAGCGTCAGAGTTCTTGTTGTGTGGTGGCATAAAGACGGCAGCCATGATCCAAATGGCAGCGGCAACACAACCAAAACTGATAGCAAAACTAAGGAATAACCAGATACGGATCTTTGTTGAAGTACCTTCGTCAGAGAGGAACGACGATCCACTCAGTGACTCTATATTGACAATGTTGGTCATAACTAGTGCTACGGTTGCAAAGATTCCCGGTAGATAGTAAACCCATTGAATCGATGGTCCAAATCCATCGGTCTCTCTATTTCTATGATTCTCATAAACATGTCCATCAATCCAAATGAACCATCCTATACTAAACTATAATGATATTATCATTATTATTATTATTATTATTAATATTAATAATCTGTGAATATGTTGTTGTTTTTTCAAATGATTAAAGTAGAATTGATATTCGATCGAATCAAACAATCAATCAAAATAAACAATCTAATCAAATCAAACCAAATCACAAATCTACAAATAGTGATGACTATTGATCAAAATACATACAAATGCACCTGCCAAAAATGCCAATACTTTCTTCATTTTTTTAATGTTCTATATTATATTATATATATATTTAATTTTGTATTGTTTGATTGTATACAAAACTATAAAGCTTATATTAAACAAAAAAAAAAAAAAATTTTGATTAAAGAAAAAAAAAGAAAATTAAATTATTAAATTTGTGTGAGTGTGTTATTATTATTATTATTATATATATGTGTGTGTATGTGTGTGTGTGTGTTGAGTTTATTAGGTTATAAATAAAAGTTATTTAATTAAAAAAATGTAACAACTGATGAATGATATGATAGATGTTAGGGCAACTGTGTGCTTTAAAAAAAATAATTTTAATTGCAAAAAAAACTCCCACAAAATTAGGAATTCATTTTTTGAACCTCAAAGGAAAGTTGATTTTACGTTTTAAAGAAAAAAAGTGTTTGTTTTTATATCTTTAAATTTATTTGTTTACTCTTTCTACACAAGACATTAATAATGAACTGTCGGTATGACATTAAACAAACATTATTTATGTGTCGCGGAATTAAATTTGTTCAAAGAATAATAATAATAATGGCGATCGCCCTAGAAGAGTTACTCTTAACATAATCACGGTTTAAAAAAAAAACCAAAAACAACACAGCAGCATATGAAGAGTACAAATAACAATGCAAAGAAAGAATTATAAAAAAACCATATATTAATATTTTTAATTCAAGTTTTTTGGCGAATAATGAGTTCTACGAATGATTGACGGTTCGCTGTGCACATTTTTAAATCAAAAATTCTAATTTTACTAAATTATGAGCCTAAAGTTTTTTTTTTAGTTTCATTTTTTATCTTTTTTAGACTTTGAAGGCTTCAAGTGTTTGTTGATTTCAGAGGAGATATTTTTTTTATCCTACTTTTTTTTTATTCAATTAATTATTGCATTTTTTTTTGGTTTTTTTTGTTTTTATGTAAGATTAAAATGATTTTGTTTTGGAACTGGTACTTTAAAATATCTTTTGACACATTCCCTTTTTTTATTTCAATACTTTTGTTTGTGTAGCATAGTAAAATAAGAAAAACTTAAAATGAATATATTTTATAAAAATAAATTATTTATTTTAGTTTTATTTATAGTTTTATTTATAGATTTAAATTGTAAGTGTTTTTAAAACACTATTATTATTATTATTATTGGTAAAAATATGACACTAATGTGAATAAAAAAAAAAACAAAAAACAATATATCTATCTATAGATGGACAATCTAAAACACCTTATCTTTCAAGACTACAGGCCATTGAACTTCCTTCATTTGGAACGCCGAATTGTATTGTATCCTATTCATTCCTATATCAGTACTATTTTGAGCCAACGGACACCTTGAAATATTTCAAATTTCCCAATGCCCTGGAACTTCAAATGGTAGACAACACATCAAATAGTTTTATAATGTTTGCCAGGTCATTGATACTCGAAGGACAATCCGATACAATTGCCATGACCATCTCTATAAACGGTGCTAATAGCACATATATATCACAACCTTTTAATTGTGCTCGTAAGTAAATTCTATTAAAAATAATATACTTCAAATTTCCACTTTAGTATTAATAATATTATTAATTTTCAAACTAATATAAAGCATATAAACAATTAGCAATTGTAAAGAATTCACCTAATTGGTTGAATGACTACAATTACAATAATATCAATAATCTAAATGCGTTCAGTCAATTCTATTTGGAGTTTAATACGTTTTTGACCGGAATCAATGTCAGTTGCCAGGTCAGTAAATTCCGATGTGTTCTGACCACTCTGCAAAGTAACTTTATAGCCGGTAGCAGAGGAACTGCATACATTGGACAGATTTCATTGTTAGACGGCATCACCAATACCACCGATATAATAGCATCGCCAGCCATCAAGATTTACGTTGGAGATATACCGTTTGCTTTCAGTTTAGATGGTCCAATCTATCCTGGAGTGATTCCCATAACGAATTCTAACATTCCATCGTTTTTTCCACAAAAAGCAACGAACCAAATGGACGCTATTGTATTCCAAGGTCAAGTCAATCCAGCTATTATCTTTGTCAATAAAAAGTCAAGACCATTCCTTCCAGCCTACACAAAAGACGACGTATATGGTTTCGCAATCAACAACATGGATCCCAATAAAGACGTCAATATAAGTACAATTGATAATATAGAAAAATCAGCACAGGTTCTAAGTTTAATATATGAACCACAACCATGTAATTATATTTACAAACACATTAACACATTAACAAACTTACAATATTAATATTAACATTTTATGATATGTTTTATTTTTTTAGTGATTTTCGTAAAGAGTGGACTTAATGCCAATATAATCAATTTGACAAATACTCAATATAGAATATGTCAATTCATTGTAACACCTCAATCAGCCAAGATGTACGACACTGCTTTCTTTTTATATTCAACTGATTTGGATTCACAGTTTGATCTCGATATTGTAAGATACTCTCCTCAGTTCCCGTACGGTTTCAATCGATATGGATCTATATTCAATTACAATATATCAGGATACATGCCACCACATTCAACCGTTTGTAAATCTACATTTTTAGCTTATGATAAGCTCATTTTAAATAATTACTATAAAATATATTCGACATTAAATTCTTTTTATGGAGTATTATCACCAGGTAAATATATATTTTACAATATTATTAAGAAAAAAAATAATTAACTTTGTTTATTTTCAAAAAAAAAACAAAAACTATAGATATTAGGGCTCCAGATATTGTTAATATAAGTTATAACAGACTTTCAACTTATAGCTATTTGGTTACTATAAATGCATGGGACGATCTTAGTGGTGTTCATCTCATCAAATTCAACAATGATATTTACTCTTCGGAGTATTCACTGACTACACTCGACCGAGGATCAGCTGGACAGACATCAAGATTTCAATTTGAATACAATGTATTTGGATTAGAAACATTGGTACCAAAGATTCAAATCATTGATCATGCTTTCAATATCTATACAATCAAGAATTTGAATATTGCCAATTTCAATTTATTAATGATACCAGATTTACCAAGAATAAGTATGAATAATAATTACTATTTATCATTTGAGTTCTATTTTAACTTTTCTTTTATTTAAATAGATGATTTCGATGCATCAGAATTAACTTATTTCAAATTCAGTTCGAATAATGTTGATACTTCTAATGGATTTGTAAATGTAACACTAAATTTCAAGACAAAAGCTAATGATCCCACTTTACAACCAAGATTTACTTATTTCGTATCGAATAACTTTGCATCACTCTCACCAAATGCTATCGGTAATTATCTTTCCTTTGAAGGTGCATACGATATGGCTAGTTCAATGTATAAGATAGACTTTTATCTTCATCCTTATCGTCTTAATGGTACTCTAATCTACAGTCTTGGTGGACTTAAACCATTTGCCGAATCTTCATCTTATATAACCTATTTTGGTGACGATGCACTTTTAAATTATAGATCAAAAGGTAAGTAAAAAAAAAATAATTATCTAGTAATATTATAAATATATTAATAATTTTCTTTAGTTGCAGATGAATTTCCACCTGCTATCAATGATATCACTACATTAGAGACAAGACCAATTAGCTTTCTACCTGCTGTCGATGGTTCTGCTAAAATTAGTCTTACCTGGTTTGTACAGATCTTGGATATGTGGAATGGCTTTGAAAATGGTTATTTCAATATTAGCTCGGACTGGGATTTCACTCCGTATCAAGTCTATATTAATGCATCGAATAGAATCGAAGGTAATGAAAAGACTGGCAAATACAATGTCACCGCTGTCATTGATGGATTATGTAGATCTCAATCGTATAATATCACTGGTGTAACTTTGATAGATTCAGCTGGCTGGATATCCTCTACCGACAGTAGACTATCACCTATCAATCCAATGTTTGGTTTGCAATCCACTCCTATCAATGTTGTTTGTATACCGACAACGTTAGACAACACTCCACCAACTCTCACCAGTTTCAGCTACACTCTAAGCAGCAATGATTCAAGCTCACAATCAAGACAGCTTGTAGTTAGACTAACTGTTTCCGATAGCGGCAGTGGTATCTCACCACGTCATAATGCTGTGGTGAATCTCTGGACTGACCAGTATCGTTTCATTACAATGCACACCGATCGGTACTTAGACAACGGAAGAGTGCTCTCATACATAGGTACCACTACTCTACCATATGGTTTCGGAGCGAACGGTATCCAATTCTCAGTGGATGGTGTCACCGATAATCAACTAAACATCTGCAGCTTCAAGGCCGAAGATATAAATGCCGTTGGATCTCCATACTTTGTAAACTCTACTTTCAGTCAGACTCCTCTCCTGACTTCTGCTTCTCCCATCTCAAGAGCAGGTGGACAACTTACCATTAAAGGTCGTGCACTTGGCACCTCCGATATTCAAATTCTCATAAACTATGGTGATGGTACTCCAGTGAGCAAAGTTACACCGATATTCATCTCAAACATATTGGTTGTAATTCAAATATTACCTATTCCTTTACAACCATTTATAACTATACAAGCACAAACTACATATGGATATTCAAACACCTTCCAAATCATACCTATTGACTTGCCAAATACAACACCACAACCAACGCCAACACCCACCCAAACTACAAAACCAAACAATCCAGTCTGTCCAGGCACACCGGTGTGCAGCGGCCAAGGTGATTGCACACCAACCGGATGTCTATGCAGAGCAAACTGGGTCGGTCCAGAATGCAATTCCGAAATCATTATCATTCCCAAGCCAGAACCCAATCCATCAACACCCACCATCATCACCAACGCTAGTAGTATCATATCGATTCTCGCGATTCGTGAACTATCGCCAACCTCTGAAATTATCCATGAATACAAACTCAAGGATAGCGATTGGGTACTGACAACATCGAGTAATGCCAACACCAATATATTCAACTCATCGGCATCCTACACCTATACCACTGTGTTCCAATCGAATGTTTCAATCTCCATCATCGTACAATGGTATGAGAATGCAACGAATATAACATTCGCTGGACAATCAATAGCGCTGTCACCGTCATCGCTGAAATATCTCATCTCGGTTGGCTCTTACAATTTCACTAGCAGTCTACACACTCTCCAGCTGGTGATGGGTGCATACATAAGCGGAGAAGATAGCAGCTGCAGTTCGAAGCAAGCCGGTATCGATCAGAACAACGATCTCAAGTGGCTGAGGTTGAACATCGATAACAAGTCACTCTATGGCAGATTCAGTGAGTATGGCTATGTGGACGGACGTGTCCAACCGGTAACAAACACTCTCTTGAAGAACGATGCTCAATATATACCAGAGTCGACAAGAGAGAGCGCACAATCCTACATTGGAATCAACATTCCCAACTATGCAAACGGTGTATTGCTCGACCCAGACTTTTCAAACATTGTAAATATCGATGATCCATCGAATGAATTCGATCAGATATGCAAAGGCAACTCTGGTATAAGAATGTCGATCATCGCTGGAATCGTCGTAGCATGTATTGTATTCATAGCGCTTCTTGTCACAGGTGTCATTGTCTTGGAAAAAAACTCCAACATTCGTTTGAAAATTGCATCGATTTTAGATCCAAAATAAATAAATAAACCATCTTTTGTATTATTAATATATATATATGTATATAAATAAAGTAAATAAAGTTGATTATTGATTTTTATTTAGAGCTTCTACTTCTTCTCTTAATTTCTTTAGTTGATCTTTTTGTGAGTTTGAAAGTTTGTGTGATTCCAATGATGATAGATCTCTACCGATTGACATGTCAGTTCCAGTTGGTTCGGCTCTACCACTTGCCACATCTTGAATGGTTTGCTCTCTTTGATTGATAATATACTGCAGATATTCATCCCACTTCTTATAGAAAATGGTTGCAATTCTCTGATCGACATTCTTGTGAAGTCGCCACTCTGTCTTTACATATTGATCACCCATCGATCTCATTGGTTCCTGTAAGAATCTATGACATCTTAATATATTTCTATATAATTGTAGATATTTCGTCTTTGAATTCATTTTTCTTCTTTACATAATTTAAAAAAAAAAAAAAGTTTGATGGTCTTTAGTCTAAATCATTCAGCAATGATCATCGATAAAAAAAAAATAAAACATAAAAAAAAAACAAAATAAGTAAATTCATATGCCGTTCAAAAGCACCATGACAGACTACCATAAATCAATCGATATCGATCACGTTGCTTCCAAACGGTTTAATCTCGAATAGAGTGCATTGATCTCTGCCAAGGTTGGTCGATATGTCATATTAATACTACCTAATTTAATCGAAATTAGCGGTATTTCAAGTGTGGGAAGTGTGGCTAAAGTATACTGATAGGCTCACTCTTAGATGGTTTGCGTCATGTAAAATAATATGTTTTTTTATTTCATACCTCTCATTAATAAATAAATAAAGATTAAAGTTTTATGTTTGATTGAAAATAATAGTTTTTTTTTCAATTCATCTTTTTATTATTATTAATATTATTACAATTGTAACTTTAGTAATGTTTATCCAGTAAATCAATAAATCCTATTTCGTGTATAAAAGATATCTCGATAACATATTTGAATTATTTTTTCAATTTTGTCCTGTGTGTTTTAAATGTATTCCCATCACGAACTTGTTTAAGATTAGTTTTTTTTCGCAACAACTGTAACCTAGTTTTGATAACTTTTTTGAACCAAAAAAAGTAAAACAATCATAGTTGATGTCAAAATTCGCAATTTTTTTCATGCAATTACACATTTAATTTATTTTTTATTTATTTTTTTCAAAAATTAATTTTAATTCAAAAACTGTGGTTATACAACTGAAAAACAATTTAAAAAAATAGACTGTTCAAACACTGTCTATTAAGTTGTTATTTATTTTAATTATTATCTGTTTGTTTTATTGTTGTTTTTTATTAATTTTATCTATTTTTATTTATTTTAATTCATCACTTAAATTTTATCATTCTTCATTAGATTTCTTTTTTTTTTTTTAATATTAGCATTCTAAAAATATATAAGTTTAGTTTAGTTCAGTTTAGCTAATTATAATATAGTAGCAAGCGTTAGTAAATAAATTAAACTACCTAGTTTAATAATACATCCACATATAATATACATATAGATAGAGAAATGAAAATCAATCGGAGTAAAATAAAATTGATATCTCTCATTTTGTTGGGATTATGTATAACGGTGTTGTTTATATTGTTGATGGTACCGGATTCACCGGTTCAGAAGGTTACGATATCGACGATGGAGAGTATCAAGAAACTTCCAACATTTTGGGGATGTCTCATTATTACTATTGTATATGCAATTTCGCTGGTGTTCTGCTTCCCTGGCACACCTATTAATCTTGCAGCAGGCTACATGTTTGGTGTCGTTGCAGGCTCTGTTGCGACAGTGGTTGGATGCGATCTGGGTGCAGTACTCGCATTCTTTGTGGGCAGACTACTCACAAGAGAGTGGGCCGCCGAACAAATCAAAAACAACAAGAAATACAGTCAAATCGATCAGGCAGTCGAGAAAAACAGTTTACTTATCATCTTTCTCTTACGTCTTTCACCAGTAATTCCATTCGGTATGTTTGATTCTACAACAAACAGCTTAATTTAAAGAATCATAAAAATTAACATTCATTCAACTCAATCTCATAAAATTAGGAATCTGTAATTATATTTTTGGTGCAACCAAAGTAAAGTTTTCAAAGTATTGGATTGCTACTACTGCAGGTCTGATACCATGTACAGTCGCCTATACATATTTAGGTAGTTTAATGAGAAGTTTAGCTGATATCTATGCAGAGGGCTCAGGTATGTTTTCAACAACAAAAATGAAAATGAAAATAATAATGATTTATTAACTTGTTTTGTTGATATTATTTACTTACAGATGAAACAGATGGACAATTAATATTTATAACAGTTGCAACTATATTTACGGTTGTTATTATAGCGGTGATAACATTTGTTACAAAGAGAACGTTGAGTAAAGCAATGAACGAAGATGTCGAATTGGAGAACATTGAAATCGATTTGGATATGAAACATGAATCACTCTTGATGCAACATGACGATTCTCATAGCGAAGTAGAAATACGTGACAATGAATATATCATTAGAGATGAAGGTAGAGTCGAGAAGGAATATACTTTTGAACATACGAATAAGCGTCTGGATTAGATTACTTTTTTTTTTTTCATATACTGTAACTTCACCTTTCTTAACACAATACAATACACAATCAACAATATTATTGTAGTATTTGTTTTTTATTTTTTTAAATAACCTTTACAATAAAAATAATATCGAGTAGATATTAATTACTTACTATCCCATCAATATATAAAGATATATATAAAACTACATATTAATCTAATCTAATCTAACAAAAAAATATGATCATTAATAACAAAAACAATGATCTTAGATTTATCATAATCGTTAATAAAGTTTTATTTTTAGTTTTTTTTTTTAGTTTTTTAACTTTTAATTGTTTATCTGTTATACAATGTTTGTGTTTTGTGTTTTGTTTATATCTCTTATCATATCAATATATATATAGATATAATAAGAATGATAGTGGAAATTGAATGTTGATTGTTTGTTTTTTTTTTTTTGTTTTTTTTTTTTTGTTATTACTATTTTGTTGTTTGTTTTGTTTGCCGTAATGTTATATTGTTATTGTTTAACTATTGCTTTTGGTGAGATTATCGATGAGATCTTGAAGTGGTAGCATCTCCTTCTTGTCTACCAGGTTAAATTCAACAATGAAAAAGTAAAAGTGTTTGAAGCAAGTGTTGAGATGTGCTTCTTCTCCAAGTGACACAATCTTTGGGAAATGTGAATAGTAGATATGACCATAAACTCTAAACAATCTCTTAAAAATGTTTTTAACAATTGTTTGGAAGTTCTTTGGGAATTGTACATCTAAAAAAATAATGATACCGAGGGTATAATCGTTAGTTTTATAATAATAACAACTAAAACAACAACTATAGTTCTTTCTTAATAAACTTACCAACTCTAGATGGGAATGTATTCTCATCGTCAAGTATATTCTGTACCCAGGTCATCAGATACTCGACATACTCTGGTGCGGAAACCTTGATTGGCTTCTTTACGGTGTCACCATCTGCCCAGAGATATTCGTATTTGGGACCAGCAGACATCACCTCGCATGTCTTTGGTGTACAAAACTCTGTAATACTTCCATATAATAAATTAATTTGATTAAAGAAATCGACAGCTGTAACAAGGTATTAATAATCTTCATTTAATGATATTGATAAGTATGTTCGATCGATCGACTTACTGTTGACAGCTAACCATTCATTAAGATCTTCTCTCTCTGGCAGTGAGACTGCAAGTCTTAGATTACCACTACCGAGTGTAGCTTTGGCATGTCTGTGTAAATCGTGTCTCTTTGTACCCTTGCTGAAACCTTTCTTTGGTTTAAAGGTCTTATTCTTATCACTAATTTAATATATATATAAATAATCATAAAAGTAAACAAATAATAATAATATTTATCATGATGATTAATAATAATAATAATAATAATAATAATAATAATAATAATAGTTAGTATAAACGGCACATTCATTAAATTCGTTTCAAAAGATATCTAACTGACTGATTGCTGATTGTTTATAGTGCTGTTAGTCAAAATATGTTATATGTATATGTTGATTGTTTTCATCAATCTATTTATTATATCAATCAATGACAAATAATATTATTTAAATATCTATGATTAACTTTTTTTTTTAATACTTACAAAATTTTAAACATTCTTTAATCTTTTCTATTTATTTATTTCAAAACTTGATAAGTTTGACTAAGAAACTATATCTCTAATTAATTATGTACAAATAAAATAAAAATAAAATAACTAAATACAAAAACAAAAATTATCTTAATATTATATATATCTATCTTTTCACTTGCCTACTAGTAGTGATTGATATTTCAATAAATAGAGTAATATATAAATAAATAAAAAAATTCTTATTGATCAAAAAATTATGAGCAAAAAACCAATGGTAGTGTTTTTTTGAAAAAAAATTTTGATTCTAAGTTTTTTTTTTTTTTATAAATATATAATAATATATCAAATTTATATTTTTTTTAAGATCTCAATAGTTTTTATCATATGTTAGAATGTTTCGACAATGAGTATCAATTGTACACTATTTTTTTCAAATTATCTGAATAGTTTAATATTGTATTTCAACTTTTTAACGACAACCAAAAAATAATAACTTTTTCAGATAAAAGGGAAATAGTTTTGAAAAAATAAAACTTTTAAAAAAATCTAAAATTAGCGTTTCTTTTTTTTTTTTCTTGATAGATCTATTATGTTTATTAATATATGATCTTTTTTTATTGTATTGTTATTATTATTTTAATATAAATATAGAATTTATCTGTTATTCAACATAGATTAATAAAATGAAATTTGCACAGATTTAAAAATAAATAGAATTTATATTTATTTTACATTTTTGTTATTACCAAACATGCTCGGTTGTTCAAAATGTGGATGCCAGATGCTAAATCGACATGGAACAGACTTTACTACTTTTTTGTCGATTAGCCTCAGCCGAGGAAATCAGAATGTAAAAGCACGAAATCACAAACTCATTGCATCATTTTAAGTAAATTTACTACATAATATTAATTACGATAATCAGGTAACACATTGAAATATTATTATTCTTGTAAGATCATTTTAGTAATAAAATAAATATATAAATTTTATCTGTTTTCATTCAAATATTTCTATTTCTTTTTGTTTTTCCATTCATGTTTGACAGATCACATTTCTATAATATTATATAATTCATTGAAAGTAAAAATAAATATTAAATATTAAATTTAATTGGATTTAAAATAGTTTAAAAAAAAAAAGTTAACCGTTGCGATTCATTGTTTGATCAAAATTTTTTAATTTAAAAAATTAATAAAAATATCTATTAAATTTTTTTATACAAACAAATATAATTTATAATACTTTGATAAAAAATAAAATAAAATAAAGATAAGATAAGACAGAATTATTTAATTTATAAAAATTGTATTTAAATAAATATATAAACAATATATATATATATATAATGAATAATAGTAGTGATTGTATTAGTAGTAATAGTAATAGTAATAGTAAGGGTAGTAAAATGATATCTAATGATAATTTCACATTTATACAACAGTATGTTGAACATTCAACTTTAACACAATCAAACAAAAACTGATCATCTATTTTTCTTTTTGATTTACACCGATTGTTTAGACTGCAAACACTTTTTAATTCATTAGGTTATAATATAAAGTTTACTTTGTTACTAGAACATTATCATAAATATCAAAATCAACAACAGCAACAACAACAAAAAAATGATAATAATGTAATTGATGATCAAGTGAAAAAGGAAATAGCAAAGTATCTAATGGCTTTGATTGTTCTAAGAACAAAGGTGACTGCACTTTACAGTGAGAATATCATAGATAGTCTTACCAATATTATTGGACCATACGTTTGTTTTACAAGTAGTTCATCTACTACTGCTACCACAACAAATACTACTGCTACAACTACTACTTCGACAACTGCTGTTGCTACTCAAACTGCTACTACTACTACTACTTCCACTCAAGCGGAAGTTGTAGTTGCTACTAATGGAACACCGACTGTCACTACACAACTACCTGTCATTCCTTTCAGTGTAGATCATTATGAACTTCTTTCAAAGATTGCCGATCTCTATCAGTTTGGTGCGTTGAATACTAAAGGATTGTTTGCTATCATACTGAATGCTATCAACTTGATATTGTTGATGTTTCAAAGTTTCAAATCCTACAAGGACTGTGACATTTCCAAATTGAATCAACTTGTAAACAGTCCGACCTCTGCACTCAAGAAGATTGGCAGTGGATCACCTCGACTCGGTAGTGTCAATACACATGCACACGCACAAAATAGTTACAACCCACAGATTCTCTCGAATAGCCAGGTGTTCTCGGAGCTCGATACCGACCAGATTTCAATCCACTACCGTCCATTCATAAACTACCTGTTCGAGTGTATAAAGAATGGCGATTGCTCCGAGCATTGCTACAGCAAAACGGTTCGTCCCAAGGAGCAAGGTAGTTTCCTCTTTGACAGCGTGGTCGGTCCCATCCAGATCGGCGTGCCGCCAGAGACTATCAAGACTTCGCTGAAGGCACACAGCGCCGTTCCACAGATCTATGTGCTGCCACACATTCTCTGCTCGAACGGTGTCAGCTACTCCGAGGTGGAATTCCCAGTGTTTTTCAACTTTTTCATCAAGAAGGCCGCTTCGAATCCGTTGCGTCGCGTCATTATGGTTGGCCATGAAGATCAGCTGCGTCGTGTTCGCTCCATTTTCAAGGAGTCGATGTTTGGACCGAATCCCGACCAGATCTACATCAAAGAGGAGATATCGAAAGCAAAGTTGGACGCTGGCTACGCCATTGACTTTGAAGCGGAGCGCGCCACTCTTGCCTACAGAAAGCACGGAATGGAGTCATCGATCGATGACTTTGTCATATTCAAACCGTTCGACCAGCGCAATCAGGTGAAGATCGACTTGCCATCGATTGAGAATCCCGATGAGATGGCATCGGTAGTCATTGAGAATCGTCATGGATTGATTTGTTTCTACGATGGTGAACACACTCGCTTGAAAGGTGTGGTCGACTCGACGATGTCGCCACTACCCTCTGTTCTCAAGCAGGTCGCTACACTCAGCAGTCCGAGCCGCCAATCGATAAGCAACTTTGCACTCTCCACACCTAAATTCATCCCACCGACATTCGGTATCACATTCCTCGGAACTTCGCACGGTTTCGATCCGTTTGGACAAACGACAGGTTTCATCATTTGGATCAATGGAAACGGTGTGTTGGTAGATCCACCCATTGGAACATCAAAGTATCTTCAACACTTTGGACTCGGTGGACACCTAGTTGAATGTGTCATTCTCACTCACTGCCATTCCGACCATGACAGTGGACTTCTCCAACAGATTGTTGAGGGTACCAAAATGACACTCTACACAACCAGAACAATCCACGATTCCTACATGAGAAAAGCACAGGCACTCACCGGTATCGATAAAATCAATGAGTTTTACAATTGGGTTCCTGTTACCATTGGTGACACTGTCCGTATTCAAGGCGCAGACTTTGAGTTTGATTATAGTTTCCATACGATCCCAACGATTCGTTTCAAGATATCGTTCCACGGCAAGACAATGTCATATTCTTCCGACACCAAATACTGTCCAGAGTCGTTGAGTCAGTTGGTAAAAGATGGTGTGATCAATCCGCTACGTGAATCCAGTCTGCGGATGTTTGTTTTCGATGCCGATATGATTATTCACGAGTGTGGAGTTCCACCTATTCACACCGCAGCCGAAGCTCTCAACAATCTTCCGCTGTCGATCAAACGAAAGTTGCTGGTTGTTCACACTGCCAAGCTGCCAGACAACGTAACGGATCTTCGCATTCCAGAGGTCGGACTTGACAACACCATTCGAATTGACGTCGGTGACTTTAACGAAGGATTCTCAAAGGCCACCAGAAGATTCCAACTGCTCTGCAATTCATTCTACTTTAGACATATGCCGCCCTCGATGATCTACAAGATATTCTTTGCAATGGAACCAAAGAAAGTTACAGCGGGAACCGTCATAATGCGTGCCGGTGACGACAGCGACTGTTGCTACCTGGTGGAGCACGGTACCGCCGACGTTTTGATTCCAACGCCCGAGGAGATGAAATCGATGGAGAAGTCGGGATTCCAGTGTTTCGATAGTCCAACAATGAGTCGCGGACTAAACAAATCGATGAGCGCCATCAATACCAACTATCAGAATCAAGCTGGCGATCAGTATATCGGTAGTTTCTTCACTGGTGACACCTTTGGCGAGAATGCACTGTCGCGTCGTGCCAAGCGAAGTGCCACTGTCATTGCTCGTACCGACATGTCGTTGCTCTCGGTCAGTCACGACGCATTCCTCAAACTCCAAAAAGAGCTGCGACAAGACGAGTTGCTGTCGTCGCTCTCACTCGATCTCGAGCGGATTGCACTGTACTCGCCGTTCCTCAAGAATGTTCTCTCCAAGACATTCCCATTCTCGCAGTTGCAACTCTCGAAAGAACAGATCGACTATTTTGCAGCAACCATCGATTCAGAGATGGTCTTTGAGGAGGGTGCCACCATCATCAAAGAAGACGATCACGATGACTCTATGTATATAATTAAGGAAGGAGCGGTCACCATCTCCAAACAAAACAAAGTCTACAAGACACTTTCTCAAGGTGAATGCTTCGGAGAGATCTCTCTGATTCTCGGACTACCAAGAACATGTACAGCCACAGCATCCTCTGAAGCACCGACTCACCTCTTAATTTTGAAACGCGATGGATTCCAGAGAATATTGGATCGTTTCCAAAACATAAGATTCAATCTAACGCAATTAGTTGAACAAAGATTATCTGAAAGTTTTAATTAAAATAATTTTCTATCTTCTGTGTGTTTCAATATTGTATATCTTAATATATATCTGTATGTTTTGTATTATTTATTTATTTATTAGACGTTTAGCTTATCAAAGTTGATTGCACATTGAGTGATTCCATCACCAACCAAACGATATTGAATCCATTCTTTCATTGGTTTGGCACCTAATGATTCGTAGAAATCAATGGATGGCTTATTCCAATCGAGAACTTGCCATTCGACTCTACCGTATCCATTGTCTTTAGCGATCTTACAAAGGTGTAAAAGCATTTTCTTTCCATAGCCTTTGGATCTAAACTCGGGTTGTATATAGATATCTTCCAAGTAGATTCCTGGTCTATGTAAAAAGGTAGAGTAATTCAAAAAGTGAAGAGTATAACCGATCAACTTTGATTCACCACTTGCTTGAACAGACCAACCACAATAAACATGAACTACTTTATGTTCACCAAATGAAAACTTCTCTAAATCCTCTGCTGTACCAATGACCTGTATAATTAATAGACGATATGATATATTACAATAGTGATCACAATATATATTAATAAACTAGAATAGCTTGAAAATGAATGATAGAGATGAAAGAAATTAACTGACGACTTACCATATGTGAGAGTTTTTCATATTCGGCCAATTCCTTGATAAGTTCATGAACTCTTGGAATGTCTTCTTTGTTTGCAGGTCTAATTTCAAAAGTATTTGTTGTTGGTTCCATATTCTTTTTTATTATATCTGATAAGATTAATAAATGGTGTTGGTCGAGAATGGTAAGATCTTAAAAAAAAAAAAAAAAAACAAGCCAATTAATGAAACTAATTTGCAATTTTTTTTATTTTTTTTTTAAATATAAACAAGATAGTAATAAAATATAATCATTTTCTATGAAATTAAGCACCTATTGTTGGAGGCTATAGACTGCGATCCAACTTATAATACATTTACTCTTCCAAATGATGAACTTGATGTCGATTAGATGGAAAACCATGTTGATTTTTTTTTTTTTTTTAATATAATAATAAAAATATTCACTGTCCAATAAATAGTATTGGTTATCATAAAAATATCAAAAGTTTAAGATTCTTGAAGTGGATAAGATAAGATATGAAAGAGAGATTGTTATTAAAAAAATTATAAAACTCCGATTTAAATCTGGAATGGGTGATCAATAGTTTTACACAGTTTGATTTTGGTTGTAAAAATTTTTTTTTTTTTAAATTTAAATTTCCCTCCTTGATAGTGGTTTTTTGCCAATTTATCATTTTTAATTGTTGTTGGATAAGAAAGTATTGTTAGTTTGTGATCATTTTTATAGAATATATTAAAAAATAAAAACAATAGATTAGATATTCTGAACATTATTTGCTATCATATAAATCAATCGAAATTTTTAAAGAGAAAAGAAAAGAAGAGAAGAGTAGTTAGTGGGGATCACCACCAGTACATTTATAGGTTAGCTGTTGCCTGTAGTCGCCAGCATTTTGCAGCTATACATAATCCTACCTTGATCAAAGGGCATATATTTTATTTATATTGTATAGTATAGTATAGTATCGTATAGTGTATCATATCATAATCATAACAAATAAAATCAAATCAATTTAAATTGTCATACAAATTTTGTAAAGTCCAATAACGCATATAAACAAAATCGATATTGATGGGATAATTGAAACAGCAATAGTCTTATAACTTTTTTTTTCAGTGGATGCATTTGCAGACCTTAACATAGTTAGTTTAATTTTTTTTGTTATATCATTAGAAACAAAGAAATTAATATCAATTACTGACTAACACACATCACAAACAAACAACACACCACCACAATTAAACATTTAAATAACAAATATTATCGATACAACAATAACCACACCCAAATGCATCATATTAATCAATAACTACTACTGATATCTATCAGTCCAATTAATATACTAAAATCAGTAAGCAAAGTAAACATAATCAAGAATCTATAATAATGACATCGACAGACCAACCCATATGGAAAAGGACAACCTCAAACACTAACACCAACCAACCCATTCACACAACCAACACCACCACCAAATTATCCTATCCAGTGTTAATATATTTTAAACAAATCAAACATATATATCTGTATCTCAAATAAAATATCTAATATTACTATCTATTTGTCATTTCTATGTTGTTGATGATGATGATTATGATGATGATGATAATGATAATTATATATCTTATTTTAATGTATTGTTGTTTTTGAATGATTTGATTGACTGATTGATGTTTTTATTTTGTTATAATCATCAAACACAACTTAACTATTATTTATTAAAATAGTTAATAACTTTATTTATAAACAAGCAAGCAGGCAAACAAAAACTCTAATAGATGATTAGAATATCATTTCAAATTTTCTTTTCTTAACATCATCTCCACCATCACCATCACCATCATCATCATCATTATACCTATCATTTCAATTCCTAATTAGTTCCAATTATTTATAAATATATATTAAATATATATATATACATATTTAAATTGTAAACAGGTCGATTACATACATATCAACTATCACTTAATATCATTAGATAGCTAGTTTTTCTCATAAATAACTTTATTTATTTTATTTATTCTTAATTTATTAATATTAATATTTTTAAAGAATTATATTAGTATATATATATATTATTTATGATTAGAAAGTGTTGTAGAGAGTAGTATACAGATAGATAGATAGATTTAAATTAAAAATGGATCAAACATCAAATTCAAGTCAAAGTGGAAATAGTTCACCAAATTTAACAACATCTTCACCACCTCTTCAATCACAGCAACAACAGCAACTACAATCGAATGATTTAATTTTGAAATTGATATTCCCACCAACATCATCGATTATCTCTAAAACCATATTGGTCAAACCAACACAGAAAGCCAGTGAGATTGTCTCGTTTGCCTCGCAACTGGCAGGTCTGCAATCGGGCTACTCTCTTTACATCTCACACTCCAAGCTGACACAACGTCCTCAATGGATCGACGACGACTCTCCGCTGTCGGCCTATGGTATCGTCAGCTCCGACCAAGTGCTAATCAAGCGTCGACCAGGCTTCAGAACCCGAAAGAACACATTCGCTCAACTGAAAGGCTTCAAAGAAGGCAAAGTCCAGAAACTCTCTACCTTTGGTATGATTTGGAATCCTCGATATCTTCGACTGTACTCACAGCGCATCGTTCACTCACCAAGCGAGACCGATCCCAATACCGAGTTTATTACATTCGCCGATATCATCAACGTCGATCGTGATCTCACCAGAAAGTATAGTTTCATCATTGCGTCTCGTGCTCCACAGTCGAATGTCGCCAACACCAGCATGAACACAATCAGTGGAGGCAGCAGTAGCAGCAGTAAATCATTGAATATCGATGAACGTGAATACATCTTTAGATGTACAAATCAAACAGAGATGGAAGAGTGGGTATCCTCCATAAGAACCATGCTCAAGAAATCAAGACCAGACCTTTTCCTTCCTCCCCTCTCCATTCCATTCAACTCGAACAATAATAATAATAACAATAATAACAATAATAATAATCATACACCAGTTGCATCGACATCATCAACAACTTTAACTTCTACACATTCATCCTCAACAACAAATGCACCTATTTCATCATCATCCTCATCATCATCACCAAATTTAACATCAACAATAGCCACTACCGTTTCAAATATAGATAATATGGATATAAATAGTAGTAATAATAATAATACATTGGCACCAGTTACACCAGATAAATTAACAACAAAAGGTAGATCATTTTCATTCTCATTGTCAGCTATCAAGAAGAAACAGCAACGCGAGTCACCACCAGAGATGTCGCCAATGAAGACAACAACCTCTGTCAACTTTGAAGATGAATTGCGTAAGATGCGCAATGTACTCGACAAGGAAACCAAACAAAAGATGGAACTCGAAAAGAAATATAGAAAACTGAAACAAAAATACTCAACCTACAAAAAGAACAACAAACCGGAATCTATCTTTACACGTTCAAGGTCATTTTCAACTTCTGCTGCACCACCACCGTCTGCCTCCAACAGTAGTAACAATCTAAGTCAATCTCTTACTGGTATACCAACAAATAATAATATAAACAACCAACAACCACTAACACAACAACAACAATCAAGTAATAATAATAATAACTTTTCACTCTCTGAATCTGTACCAACAATTACCTTTAATGCTCCACAATCGAGATCGATTCCAAACTCTTATACTTCACACAGTTTGGTTGGACATATGAATAGTTGGACACCTGGCACCAGTCCATATGCAATCGGCGCCAACCGAATGACCATGAGAAACAGTGTGGGCAGTCACAGCAGCGGTGGTATGATGACCGAGCCTGACATCTCCACTGAAACCGAGACGTTCAGTGTGCTCGATGACGACGACGATGAATCGCTAATGAGCAAGCGTGACGAGATCAAAGAGCTGCGCGACCAACTGTTGCGTGTCAGAGAGAAGATGCAACTCGAAATGCAGAGACGCGAGGAATCCGAACAGGAACGTCAGGTTTCCGATCGGGAACTCTTTAAACGCCGAAAAATGGAGGAGCGTCGTGAGCGTGAGTTGGCCAGTGAGAAGGAGCGAGAGAACGATCAACTCGAAGCAATGACAGAGATCACCGAACGACTCAAAGACTCGCTACTCAAACTGAAATCGAAACTCGAAGAACAACAGGAACAAGAACAAGAGCAGTATGCCATCGATGGAGAAGAAGAAAGACTATCGCAATCCTACGATGGTAATGATAATTCTTTTATAAGTGATGTCTCAATGGATCAAGTTGAAGAAGCATATTGATCAACCAATAGCATCATTTTTTATTTATTTCTAAACAAAAAAAAAACAAATAGATATATTATCTTATCAAAAAATAAAAATAAAATAAAAATTGTATAAATTTATTAAATATAATAAATAAAAAACTTATTTATTTCTTTTTCAATATATTTTGGTATTCAATGGTGAAGATGCATGGTTTCTACAGAATAAAAAAAAATGTACAAAAAATACTTTTGGGAAATTTGATCTTTTAAAAAAAAAATTAAACAAATTTTTGAACAGGTGACACTGTGAATTGAACTGTTATTATCATTACACTTTTTTTTCATTCTTTATCATACTTTTTTTTTTTTTTTTTTAATTTGTTGTGAAAGAGATGAATAGAATAGTAAATAAATCAAGAGTTGTTATACAAAATTTTGTATTGAATAATGGAAGATGTATGTACTCTTCATCATCATCATCAGCTGGTCATGATGATTTTATGTTTCCATCGGTTCGTCGTCTTCTCACTGAATACAATTTGAAGTATTCTCAGGTGAAGCCAACTGGACCACAGGGAAGAGTACTCAAAGGTGATGTAATCACATATGTACAATCGAATAATCTTAAACCTGCAGATCTTAAATCATTAGAACCAACAACAACTACAACAACAGCAGCAGCAACAGCTACAACAACAACAGAAAATAAATCAACTACAACTACAACTACACAAGGATTCAATGTTAAACCACCACAATTTGAAGATACACCACATAATAACATTAGAAAGGTGATTGCCACTAAATTAACTCAATCGAAACAATCGGTACCTCACATGTACATGACAGTTCAATGTGAAATCGACAGTCTACTCTCACTTAGAACTGTTCTTAATGGTAAGATATAGATTAAAAGTACAATAGTATAATTTGCAAGTGAATCGAATCTAATAATAATATTGTTTTTGTTTATAGCCAATTCGACATCAAAGATTTCAGTGAATGATTTTGTAATTAAAGCATGCGCTTTGGCATTGAGAGATGTACCAGCAGCCAATTGTAGATGGGACGAGAAAGCTGGAAAGACAATCAATAATCCAACTGTAGATATATCAGTGGCAGTAGCAACGGATCGTGGTTTGATTACACCGATCGTTGGAAAGACCGACACCAAGTCACTCGGCAACATTGCCACCGAACTCAAAGACTTGGCCGGTCGTGCCAGAATCGGCAAGTTGAAGCCAGAGGAATTCCAAGGTGGAACGTTCTCAGTATCGAATCTCGGAATGTATGGAATAACACATTTCAATGCGATTATCAATTACCCACAAGCCGGTATCTTGGCAATCGGTGGTGGTCGTAAAGTTATCAAGAATCGTGCTTACACACTAGATGAGCTAGATTCACTCGACACTACTACCGCAGCAGCAGCAGGTCCATCCGTATCGAACGTCATTGATGTAACACTGTCCGGTGACAACAGAGTGTTTGACGATGAAATAGCTGCTACTTTCCTCGACACCTTTAAGAAATATATATCAAATCCACAATTAATGATGTTATAAACAAATAAATTATAATAATAATAATAATAGCCATTTGAACCGATTTTCAAAATAATAAATCAAATAATAAATGCTTCATTATTCTTTATTTGAATATGAATATTTTATAATAGTTAATATTTTTTTATTCTCTTGCTTTTTGAAGGAGTTGTCTTCTTGACATTGTTTCGTTTGGCAGCGCAATAGTTTGTTTGTTGTTCACTGTTAATCCAATATATTTGTAAGCTGATGTTTATGTTTGATCAAGTCTTGGTGATCCCAATAGGAGTTGTTGTTTTGTCATTCGAACATCACAGAGTGTGATTGTTTCGTGTCGGGATAGTATAAGTGCAAGTATATTATATGATAATGAATCTGTAGATCAATTTCTTTTGTTTTCAAGTATAGTAGTTTTTGTGTCATTGACTGACCATTGTGGAGTGTAATTGATTCACCTCCTGAGAGTGTCATTGCAAGGATATAATATAATGTGGCCTCCGTTGGATTAAACTCTATTGCTTTCAAGAATAATTGTTTTTGTCATTGTTTGACCATTATTAAGTGTTATTGATTCACCACTAGATAGTGTATTCGCAAGGTTATTATAAGAATTGAAATTTGCTGAATCATATTCTATTGATTTATTTATTCAAACAATTACAAACAAGAAATAATAAAAAGAATAATTTTTTTTATTTATTCTCTTGCCCTTTGGAGGAGATGTCTTTTTGACATTCGTTTACCATTTGGAAGTGTAATGGTTTGTTTGTTGTTCCAAAGTAATAGTCCAATCGATCTGTAAGATGATGTTTGTGTTTGATCATAATAAAGCAATTAACCCTAATCAGTGTATATAAAGGGTTAAATTAAATTTGTATTGATACAACTATTTTTTTGAATATTAATAATTAAATATTTTCATTGTTAATTGTCTTGGTTTGTCTTATTTCATACCAACACCTCTCATTTGTATCATTTCATTTTATCAATCCCCCCAAAAAAATTAACAAATTTTGCACATATAAAAAAAACTGAGTAAAAAAAAACCCAACCTATAAAATGTAATAAATACAGAATTAATTTATTTTTCCACCACACCACACTTAAATTAATTAATTTGAACTACAATTCATTTTTTATGAATTCTTCTATCTATTAAAATATTTTTTTTATCACTATAAATTTAATTTGTAAAAAGAAAATAATGGCAAATGAAATTTTTATCTATTAATATATTTTTTATTTCTATCTATTAAAATATTTTTTTTATCACTATAAATTTAATTTGTAAAAAGAAAATAATAGCAAATGAAAATATTTAAATTTTTAGATGAATTTAAAAAGTCTAATCATTTTGTTAATGAAGCAAAACAATCTAAATATATTATGATAAATTCAAATATTCCAGAGAAACAACAAGACAGTCAACCAGTAACAGATGAACAACAATTTTTATTGAGATCTATTGAATCATATCCTACAATATACACTTTTTATAATAACCTTGCATTAACTATTTCAAATGGTGAATCGGTGACACTTCTTAATGGACAATCAATGACACAACAACAACTATACCTGAAAGCCATTGATTGCGATCCAACCAATTATATTTCATACAATAATCTAGCAAAATCTCTCAGGAGAAAAGAATCGATTACACTTCTTAATGGACAATCAATGACACAACAACAACTTTATATGAAAGCAATAGATTGTGATCCAACCAATTATATTTCATATTATTACTTGGCACTTTTACTGAAGAACGGTGAATCAATCACTCTTAATAATGGCCAATCAATGACAAAACATCAACTATTTTTGAAAGCAATAGAATGTGATCCAACCAACGCCAGTTCATTCTATAGCCTTGCCTGTAATCTTACAAAAGGTGAATCAATCACTCTTAATAATGGACAATCAATGACACAACAACAACTATTTTTGAAAGCAATAGAATGTGATCCGAGGCATTCAAATGCTTTTGTTGAACTTGGATATATACTACACACATGTGTACCCAAGGGTGAATCAATCACTCTTAATAATGGACATTCAATGACATTACAACAAATATACTTGAAAGCAATAGAGTGTGATCCAACCAATCATGTAGCATATTATAACCTTTCATTTACTCTTCCACCACGTTCTAGCAAATCTATTAAACTTTATAATGGAAAGTCTAAGACTAGTTTCAGACTATTATTGAAAGTACTAGATTTAAATCCAAATTATTCCGATGCATATATACACGTGGCAAATGGACTTGATAGAGATGAATTTATATATCTTAAAAATGGTACACCAATAGATGCATTTAGTCTATATAAAAAGGCAATAATGTGTGATCCATCAAACTATTTTGCATATGTGAATTTGGCAAATAAAATGGAAAATAAGGAATCAATTACTTTACAAACAAACGGTACACTAGCGACTTATACAAAGAAAGATCTATATATCAAAGCAATTCAAATTGACCCAAATAGATATTATGCATATTTTAATATAGCATATAATATGAAATCAAAAGAAACAATTACACTCAACAATGGTGCTATAATGACAAAACAACAATTATTATTGGAAGCAAACAGATTAGATAATACAAATAAATTTATATACAAGTATATTGGACTGACTCTGAAGAGCAACAAACAAACTATTACACTTTCAAATGGTGAACAATTATCAAAGAAACAACTATTGGAAAAAGCAAGAAATAAAAAAAACAAATAATTTCATCACATAATTAATAAAAATAATTTAAACCTTTAGTTTTTTTGGTGGTTTTCTTTTTTTGATTTCCTAGAAAATTGTTATTTAATATTTCCAAAAGATAATATTTGTTAAAAGTCAATTAAAGCTAGTGAGAAAAACAAAAAAAAAACCGACATGGCGAATGTCCAGCAGGTGATGGGTTTTAAATGATTTTTAACATATCTTAGAGATTCCTCTAAAAGTTGTTGTTTTGTCATAGGAACATCGCCGTGGAGTGTGATTGTTTCATGTCGTAGATAGGATATTTGCAAGGTTATATGAATATGAATCGGTCGGATCAATTTCTATTGTTTTCAAGTATAATTGTCGTACTGTCATTGACTGACCATTGTGAAGTGTGATTGATTCACTATGAAAGTGTTGTTGCAAGATTACTATATGAATATGTATTGGTTGGATCACACTCTATTGCTTTCAAGCATAGTTGTCGTTTTGTCATTGTTTGGCCTTTAAGAAGTGTGATTGAAAGTACAATTGCAAGATAATAATAAAAACGTGAACTGGTCGGATCACTTTCTATTGCTTTCATATATAGTTGTTGTTGTGTCATTGATTGACCATCTGGCAGTATGGTTGATTCACCACTTGAAAGATTTCCTGCAAGGTTATTATATGAATTGGAATTGGTTGAATCATACTCTAATGCTTTCAATAGAAGCTGTTCTTTCGTAATTGATTCACCCGAAGGGAGTTCAATTGTTTGTTGAGCATTATTATAATCATGCTCAAGTGTAATTGCAAACAGCAGGAGTTCACTTTCATTCTCATTTGAACTGTTATTATTCTGATGTTTTCTTTTCATTTTTAAATAAAATAATAATATCTTTAATTAATGTTCAGATCTAATAGATATTTACTTTTATAACATATAAATTGATCAAGAGCTAATATAAATCTTTACTACGAAAATTAAATAAAAAAAAAATTCTGCTAAAATCATAACAGTTATTACCCCGATTTTTACCAAACCGTGTCTTTTCTCCCCTCATCATCCGCTTGTGTGTTGCTTCTATATTGCAAACCACAGTGGTTGACCAAAGGGATATTGTCTCGACATCGATGTCATTAGAGTAGTAAACTTACTCGAGTAAAGTCACTAGTAGATTTTAAGAGTTACAAATAAATTAAGTAATTGTTTCATAATATTATAGTGTATTAAAACTATAAAAAAAAAAAAAAAAGTAAAAACATTAAGAACTTTTTTGCAAAAAAAAAAAATAAAAGGTCTGTTCATATGGTTTGACACCCTGACATGAAAGGAAAAAAAAAGTTGAGGCGACGCTTATGACGAAAGATTTAATCAAACGATACTTTCATACATTTTTTTTGTTTCATTTCATTTTTTTTTTTATTCTAAATTTCATTAAATAATTATTTAAATATATAAAATATATTTATAGCAATAGATAGGTTGTTTGATTCACAAGAAAGACATCGATCCAACATTGTTTTGTTGTCCTTACCATTTACACCACCCACACACTATTTAAAATTGTTTTTTTTTACAACACAACAAATAAATCAACAAAACTTAATAATCTATATACTATTTATTTCAAATCTTTCACAATTGTTGCTAACTAACTATTTTAGATTCATTCAATTATTTCATTGTATTTTTATTGTAATTTATTTTACATATATTTCAAAAAACCAACCAATAGACAACTATAAATAGATATAAATTGATTGTCGTTGAATTAATACAATCTAGATTGATTAGTTATTTATTTATATTTCTAAATGAAAAAAGAAGATAGATATTAGTTAATAGTTTAAAAATAATATATATAAAAGAGAAAAACCAAAATAATCTAGAATGAGTTTTTTTAGTTTTGATAGAGGTAATCATTTGATACCAAATCACAAATAGTTAGATAGATAGATGTATTAATCATTCAATTTTCCAACAGAGCGATGGATACCGATCGGTAAAGATTTCATGGCTGGTTCTGTAGGTGGAATGTCATCGATGCTAACAGGTCATCCATTCGATACAATCAAAGTTATGCTACAAGATGGTTCTGGAAATGTTCCTAAATTTAAAAATGGTTGGCAAGCTCTTAAATATACAGTACAAATGGATGGTGTAAGTTGTTAATACATAAACCTTATTCAATCAATCAATCAATCAACCAACCGATCAAGTTATTTATTAATCATTGATTGTCTTTCTCATATTAGATTAGAGGTGTATATAGAGGACTTTCAGTACCATTAGTTAGTGTATCATTTATAAACTCGATATTCTTTGTAACAAATAATCATTGTCAAAAGTTATTCCATCCGAATAACGATACTCTGATTCCATATCACAAGTCAGTATTGCAACAACAATGACATGGAAATTGACAACTATATTAACACAACGTTATATATTTATAGGGTTGCAGCAGCTGGCGCGATAGCAGGTGGCACTATTTCATTTTTTTTAACACCACGTGACTTGATAAAGTCAAAACTACAGGTTCAATCGAGAAATACAAATCTACTGTCGACGGTTACAACAAAAGGCGAACCACCACGTCAGTTCTATAAGGGACCGATCGATGTCATTCGACAGATCATCAGAAAAGATGGATTTCTAGGTTTGTTTAAGGGTTTGCGACCGACACTGGCGAGAGACATCCCCGGTGACATGGTTTACTTCACAATGTACGAGTTTATGAAGCGAAAGCTATCGGCACTCTCGAAATCGAGTGGACATCCCGAGCACTTTCCGGCGTGGGTTGCCATTGGTGCCGGTGGTTGTGCAGGTATGAGTTTCTGGGCATCGATATACCCGCTCGACGTCATCAAGACGCGAATTCAAACACAGCCAGAGCCTGCAATCTACAAGGGAATCATTCACTGCGCAAAAGAAATCTACAGAAAGGAAGGTATCGCCACCTTTTACAAGGGTTTCTCAGCTACGATTCTACGAGCATTCCCAACGAGTGCCGTAAACTTTTTCATGTACGAAACCACAAAGAAAATGTTAAACTCTAAAATCGATGATCAAGATTTATCTTCTATTGGTTTAGAAGCAACTTAAAAATAATAATAATATAAATAATAATAATAATAATAATAATCATATATATATATATATATTTGTTCTTCTGTTATCAAAAAATTATAATAATCTTTTTTTTGTTTTTTTTTTTAAATAATAATAATCGAATCCTCTAAAAACTACTCTCATCAACCTATCTCCATCCTCTCCTCTGCTCTCTTCTTCACACCCAGGTATATTTTAAACATTTTCTCCACACAACTACAACCTCCAAACTAACCAATCAATTCACAATAATTATATAATAATAAATAATGTTATTATTGAGATTAACGAATTTATCAATTTTAATAAAGCATGTCTGTTGCACCAACAACAAACTTGATGCTACAGACCAAAAATGATCCTTTTCTCACGTGAACAGTTCAAGAGTCAGAAGCTTCAACAAAAAACAAATTAAAAAAAAACCAGCTTCGTTTTGTTGATAAAATCCCATATGAAAATTTTTTATTTTTATTTTTTCCTTTTTTAGGTATTTTCACTATCTAAATAATAAGCTTTTCTATTTTATTTTTATTTTTTTATTTTTTTATTTAAATGTGATACCAATGATGAATATATTAAACTAATCCTTTTTTTAAAAAAATTAAATAATTATAAATAATATAATATATTTATAAATCAAAATATAATTAAAATTTGTAGTTAATTCAAAATTAATATTAATATAACAATGGAATGTATAAATTTTTTAAAGACAACTCAGATTCAACATGCTATTAAACCAAAGACGATAATCACTGTTGACACCACCACCTCACTCGAGGAGATTCTGAGAGTGTTTGATGAGAATTCGATTGTTGCTGCCCCAGTCTATGATAATGAAACAAATAAAGTGATAGCTGTAATAGATATGATGGATATTGGTATGTAAATAAAATTTATTTATTTTTAGATTAATATTTATTAAAGATTTTTTTATTTATTTTTTAAATAATAGTTGATTTTATTATATCATTTGTCGGATTGGAGATAGTTGATATTCAACAAATATTAAAAGTAGAACCAAGGAAATTCTTTACTATCTTGGAAAGTTGTGGTGGTCTATTTTCTGATAGTCCAGCAATTAACATACTGGCAAATAGAAAGAATAAATTGATGGTCATAAGAGAGAGTGATTCATTCCTCAACGCAATAGAGAGAATGAGTGAAAAGCTATCGAAACTTTTTATTGTAGATAGCAGAATGACCATTATTAATTTAATTAGTGAATCTGATATACTGGCATTAATTGCTCAAAATATACATGTTTTAGGGTATTTACAAAATTATATTATAAAATAATAATAATAATTTAATCTTACAATATTTTTTTTTACTAAATCAGGGATGTTAGAACTAAAACTATAAATCAAGTTGGTTTGTCAAGTTCAAAGATAGTTTTATATCCTCAAGAAACTAGAGTAATAAATATATTACAAGATATTATACAACAAAAAATAACAGCAGTTCCTATTATCGACTCTAATAAAAAATTGGTATGTAACAATTATAAAAAAAAACAAAGTTTAATTGCTTATTCTAATAAACTTATTGATCTTCATTATTAGTTTGCCAATTTTTCGATATCAAACCTAAAAGGTTTGACAAAGAAGAACTTTTCAGAGTTGATGTTACCAGTGGTTGATTATTTACAATATCAAAATATTAAAGAGAAGAAGAATAATCTTTCGTGTTTGAAGGAGAAGTCTTTCCATCCACTAACAGTTTATTCGTGGGATACTGTTGAGAATGCAATCTACAAAATGGTATCTACAAAGGTGCATCGTTTGTGGGTAGTCGATATCGATTGTCATCCAATATCTGTTGTGACAATCGATAGTATACTGAAACTAATGTCAATGTCAAGAATGGATATTAACCAATAACCAATGACATAAATAGTGAATTTAATAATTGTACTTTAAATAATAATAATAATAATAATAAAAAATAAAAATAAAAAAAACTAATGTATAAATATAAATCACCATAATCCACCATCAACTCTAATAACTTGTCCAGTAATATAATTCGATTCAACTAAAAATAATGCAGCCTTTGCTATTTCCTAAATATATGTGTAGATTAATAAATAAAGTAAAGTTAGTTTAGAGTTAACTCTTCTCTCTCTCACTCTCTTTGTTATCTATCTATTCATACTTCAACATTTCCAATTCTTTTGAGTGGTATTCTTTCAATGAGTGTCTCGCCTTGTGATGCTATATAGGGTGCCGACATATCAGTGTCAATGTAGCCCGGTGATATTACATTGGATGTAATGTTGAAATGTCCTACTTCACGTGACAATGACTTTGAGAAACCAACTAGACCGGCTTTCGATGCAGAGTATATCGATTGTCCACGGTTACCTTGATCAGCTACAACGCTACCCAAGAAGATAACACGTCCCCATTGCTTCTTGATCATTGGTTTCAGCAGTAATCGCGTCAAATCGATAGGTGTCTGAAGATTAACTTGTAGGATCGTTCTAACATCGTTCGATTTCGATCTAAAGAATAGGTCGTTCTGAGTGATACCTGCGGCGTGTACCAGTATATCGAATTCCAGTAGATGATCGTTGTTTTGTTGTTTTAAAGCTTGTGACATCTCATCATAACTACCACCTGTTAATGGTACCGAGAGGTCAAAAACAAGACCACTATGTCTGTTGGTCGGCTGATCTCTATTTAAACCATTGTTTTCTAAGGTATTTAGATCACCATTTATATGAACGATCGGTAATGAACTGACAACTTCTTTGTTTAATATTGGATCTTTACTAAGGATTGTAACATTTGCACCACTTGCTGCCAGTCTTTGTGCAATTGCTTTACCAATACCTCTACTTCCACCACTAAATATGTTATTAAATAGATAGTTAAATTGATTAATTATTTAGAGAATCAACACCACCATCTATATATCTATTAACTCTCAATACCTACGTTACAAGTGCCTTTTTACCCCAACATGATAGGTTTGATATTGTACCTGTTGAACTAGAACTAACTTTACAATAATATCTATTTAATATTGAAATAGATAAATTTGATCTATTTAACATATCGTGAAATGCAATAAAATATTTAATTTGATCAATCGTGATGTTATTAAAATAAAACCCAAAAGAGGGAATTAGTTTTTTTTTAATAATCAATAATCAAAATAATTTATTTAGAAAAGAGTTTATCAGTTGGCTTTTGAGATTTCACTGTTGTCGTTGTCGTTGTTGTTGTTGGTTTCTTTGATAGTTGACTATGATTAAAGTATAGAGAGAATGGTGCTTGGAATAAGAAATAGAGATGTTCTTTGTTATCTTTGGGTTTGGTTTCCTGTTCATCCATGAGCGTAGCTAATGTTAAGAGAATGCACTCCAAAGGAAGAGGAGAGAGTATAGAGTTAAGAGTTTGAATGTCACCGTATTCGTTGGCTCTTGAATCATAGATCCATTGCTTAATTAGTTTCTTGTTGGTCTTTATTTTCTCTATCCAATCAGCATAGCAATTCCTCTCCTCCTCAGTAAGTTCCAACCTTTCAAACAGACTTTTTGATATCTCTTTTGTGGGTGTACCTTGTAACAATACAATGAATCTCATCATAACTAGATTTGGTTTCTTAAATAATTAAATTAATAAACAACAAGAAACAACATTAACATTTTTGTGTTTTAGTAAATAATCTAAACTATAATAATAGATACCTGATCAAGATGAAGTGTTTGATACCATAGTATTGTATCTTCGATATGTCTAAAAAGTCTGCTGTTAATCTGTAGGTTTGGAGATATCTCTTGGAGTATACAGTAGATCTGCATATCCTTGAGGATATCTATATGGTCTTGTCCATCTCTCTTGAATATTTGCTTAAAGAAATCCATGAATTGTCTTCCACTGATCTTCTTGGCTGCTGACATCTGCATGGTAGAATACTTTATGAATTTCTTTGTCTCTCTAGATAGTTTGAATTTCATCTTGTTGGAAACTGTTAGAATACTAAAACATAGTTAAATTAAGGTTAGATTGTTAGTTTAATATTGAATGTTATCTTTTTATTTTATTAACACCTACTCCAAGAGTGATTTAGGATTATCTATAAAAGAAGTTGAATGTAGTGTTCTTATTCTCTTTTGATTTAGATCATCTATTCCTAAAAAGAAATCATATAGACTAGATATAATGTTGTTAGCTTCTAGATTGTAAATGTATTTGTTATTTATATTAAGATCTTGTGCTAAACTTACTTGTATGATTTTAGTGAGATAACAATGGAATTGAAAGTGTATAAACCAGAGTAACAATAGGATTTGATAATACTTGGTTGAAAAGTATATATATAATCGGAATTTGGATAAAATATATTGCCTACAATTGATATTTCTATTAATTGTGGTAGTAAGTTAGTAATTTATTAATAGTTTAAACATTGTTTATTTTATCAATTAACTTACTAAATGTATATTTGCCTTTGGTCAGAATAATTGTTTGAGATTGATCACTATCATCATTATCATTATCTTTCTGTATTACTTTCCAATCACTATTGGTTTTAATATATTCTATGACATGGCTGACAGTTGTTTGTTGTTGATTATTATCCAAGACCAATACCGATGAGAATTTATCGATAGAATGTGAAGAGTGTTGATCATAGGTTAAGATCTCTACCACTGTATTACCAACTAAATAGATATCTATATTCGATTGATTACAGAGCTAAATATTTAATTAAATTAGTACTAATGAATGATTGATCAACCTCGATTGTTATTTTTACTAACAACTTACTTCATGTAATATTGTTACTAATTTATGAACTATACCAGGTAACCTTATAGATAAATCATAAGTAAAATCTCTTTTATTATTATTTTGAATATCTTCTACAATACTTTTTTTTTCAAAAGTGTTATTAATGTTAGCAATTTTGAATTGTTATGTTTTAGTGTTATATGTTACTTACATTTTATTATTGATAGCATCTAGTATGTTCTTTAGAATATCGGTTACAGATACAACACCTACTAAACCACAGCCATTGTTTGAACGATCCACAACAGGAACAATCCACTGAAGTTTACTTGTCATCAGTTGAATTACATCGAGCAGAGTACTCTCGGTATCAACATACTGAGCAGAGTCAATCTCCAAGATATCAGATATCTTTTGATTTCTATTTTTAGAGTTTAAAGAATAATAGTATTGTGATTGATTCCTAGATATCTGTCCTATATCTTTATCTTGCTCACTATTATTATTATCGTTATTGCTATTATTATTAACTAATAAATATTTAATAGTTGTATTTGATTGAAATAGTTGGTTGATATCTTCTAATGACGATTGATAGGTTACAACGATTGGGTTTATTGTCATTATCTTTTGAATGTTAATTCCCCTGCCAATGAGTGTACCGTAGATCAATGCAAACATGATGTTCTTGGCCTCGGAGAGAGTGGCATCTTTGAGGGTAACCGACGAAGCGCACTTGTGACCGCCACCACCGACCGTCTCACAGATCTTTCCGACATCGATTGGCGTATCTTTTGTGGTTCGACATATGACAACAGTTCCCGATTCCTCAGCACGAATAAACACCAGCAACGTATGAATATGATGATTGAACTCCAAGTACAGTTGTATAAGTGGTGACAATGAATGTTTAGATTCATCTCCTACAAGTTCACAACAATAGATATCGATAGCGTCTATCGTTATCTTTGTAAGTGTTTTTCGCATAGATTCTAAAATCAATATTTCATGAACATTATTTGTATGTTGTTGTTGATTATTATCTTCATCTTGTAGTTGTTGATGACTAGTTGTTGATTTACCAATAGATAGGAATCTTCTTAACATTGACATGTCCAAAGAGTAATGTCTGGTTAGATACTCCATTGCCTTGAATTCAAGATGTGAAGTTCCACCGTATGTCAACTTTCCAGTGTCTTCGTAGATTCCGATTGCCATGACGGTTGCCTCCAAGTCTGTTAGCTTCAGAGTATCGTGTCGTACACTAAGCATATCAATGATTATAGCGGCGTTTGAACCAGATATAGTTGTCTCTACCAGAGTACTGTCAGACGATGGAATATCATCCGATCCAATTGGATGATGATCACATATATATATAGATTTTATATTATCATTATTAATTCTATTGTTATTATTATTACTATTACTAATATCATCACTATTATTATTATTATTATTATTATTATTATTATTATTTAAATATAAAACATTATATATATGTTTTAATCTTGATAATCTTTTTGTATCTACAATGAATAGATATCTTATATTATCAATTATATCAGGTGATAGATTATTATTATAAAAGATATTGTATTGTAAAAGTATTGATTCATTGTATTCCTCTATGAATGCAACTAAATTTGGATATTGTGTAGGTGGTAATAGACATACTATATCTAAATCATGATTATCTTCTTTGAAATTCACGTTATTAAAATATCTCTGTAAATTTGCAAAATCTTTATTCGCAATTATATTTTTCAATAGGATAAAAGATGCAAAGACAGATGACAACGTATCAAAATCTGCAGCTATATGTCCTGTTATTAAAATATATTGTTTATCTTTATTTAAATTTGATTTAATCGTATTATTATTATCTTTTTTTTTATTATTCATTTGTTTATTTTTTTAATTACTAATTTAATTATTATTATTTTTAATATTAAAATATTTATTTATAAATAATATTTATTTATTGTTAAAAAAATAAATCATCTCTTAACAGACTAAGTTTAACTTAGTCTCGTTCGCTTGAAATTTGCCCTCTCTTTGAATGGAAAAAAAAAATTCGTTTTCGAACAAAATTTTATATGAAATTTTAAATATTTAAATTAATATAAATTTATTTGTTTGTAGATTTTATTTAAATAAATTATTTGTTGGCTGGATCGAAATTTAAATTATTAAAATTAAAGGTTATCAGTATAAGTTGTCCTATAAATATTGAATTCAGGTCTATTGAGAGTAAACCATTCGATGATGTGTGAATAATTGGATTTCATTACTTTCTCCAATGTCGGTGTTGAACATCTTTCTATGATGTTTTCACACAACCATATAATGATATCTAAATTGCCATTTTTGATTGCAGCGTCGAGTGGTTCTTGAACTGATTCGTGTTCATTCGTATTGAAATGGAGGAACTTAATCACCTCCAAGTCAGTTGCATTCGACATTGCTCTATGTGTTAATCCTTCTGTTCTATTGACATGTAAGAACTGGAGAATCTGCAAATGACCATTCTTTGCTGAGTTGTTCATCGCATAGGTTGTACATCCTTCACTTCTATTCTGGTGCAACCATTCTAAAATGTTAAAGTGTCCTAATTCACAAGCATGATCCATTGCCATCTTGGAACAACCTTCACTTCGATTGAAATGAAGATACTTTAACATCTCAAGGTTGTTTAACTTTGCAGCAAGATCCATCGCTCTTTTTGTTGCCATCGTAGTGGTGTTCTCTGTTAACCATCTAACAATCTCGAGATTCGAATTTTCGATTGCCATCTCTATCAAACAATCTGGAAACATTGCATCGGTCTTATTCTCTTTTATCCAAATTAACATCTCCAAGTTGTTGTTTGCAATGGCTTTGTGCGGTGTGACTCCGTGGCTCTCGAAATTATGCTGATGAAGAAGTTTCATAATCTCGACGTTGTTGGCCGCCAACGCATAGTAAGGGGCACTAACAGATCGATGTATCGATTCATTCGAAAGCAGGTACCTGACGATATCTATGTGACCACCGATGATTGCACCTTTGTACATGTCCGATTCTTTCAATTCTTTTTTTGGTCTGTTGGCAACCAACCACTCAATAACCTGGAGATTGCCAGCAGCTGCAGCATTGTCAAATACCTTGCTACTATGTTTCGATTGTTCCGATCGTGCTGAAAGCAATTTAACCATTTCTAAATTACCTGACTTGGGTGAAGCGATAAAAGCATCGTTTAGCTTTCCTTGGTATCCTGTTGTATCCAAGAGGAACTTTACGATATCCATTCGATTGTGTACTGCACCTTCGACAACAAACGATTGTAGATTATTACGAATGGTTGAGGCAAATTGGATCTCCAGAACTCTTTGCTTGATTGTCTTATCTGTATTTTCAAGGTCAACGGGTATACATCTGCTCCACAAGTATTCAAAGATATCTAGCCTGCCAACTTTGATTACCGCCTTGAATGCGCTGACTTGCTGTTCGAAAAACGATGACTTCTTGAGTAGGACCAAAGTATGGTAGTAGTCTTTCAATTCGTTGAAAAATTGATATAATACCAGCATATGCGGATTTCTCTTCAAATCTTGCCACTTGAAACTTTTCTCCCTGAGGATATAGAAAATACTTGTAACATGTTGAAAGATAATTCTATTTAATATTATATTGTTGAACACAGTTAAAAATAATTCTTTATTCATCTTTTTTTTTTTTGTATAAATATAATATATTATTATTATTATGTTATTGATATACTCATTGGTGTTAAAAAAATAGAATCTTCAAAATAACACTTGTTTTTTGTTTTGTTCATTTAATAATAATAAGTGAGTGAAAACAGGTTATTTAACATTATCCTCAATGATATGAGGGAGTTCCCCCATGAAAAACATATGACTGCTTCATGTATGTTCATGAGTTGGGCAAGAGACGGTTTTTGACAAGTTAACATATGTTTTTCATTTTTGTGTGTAGGTAAAAAAAAAAAACTAATTGAAAAAATCAGCTATTTTTACTAATTTTTGATGTGATAGGTTCATCTTTTTTAAGATCTAAAATATCTGATAGTATTCCACTTCTTCATTGTAGCGAATACATTCTCTATTATTATTCTTTACTTTTTTTATTTTGTTATCCTCTTCTTTATTCTTTAATGTATTTTTCTTTATTTAAATCCACTTAACTTTACTAACTCTTTAGAATCTAGCCCCTTTTTAAATCTTTGTTCATCTTTTTTTCTTTTTTTAAGAATCTTATCAGAGTACTCCATGTGATCAGATAAATAAGCAGATTTGATCTTTGGAAAATTGAATTGGAATATAGTTGTAGGCGAGCTATTTGTTGATCTTAATCATGCATCTGTTGATCTTTATCAAGTAACTCCTAGATTTTCTTATAACACTCGTCTAGTTTTGACTTAAATTTCTCGAAATGTAATTTCAAATTTTAGCAATGAATTTACACACCTATTCAAATGATCAATTTTACCGAGTGGATCCATTTGATGATCACAAAATAAACATTTCGGAGTACTGATTATTCTTTCTTTAATCAATTTTATAAGATCTTCAATGCTTTCAGAAGTATGTTTACTAGGTTCAACTTGTAAGCTCATTTGTAATATTTATAAATATATTTATGTGATAAGGTAAATGTACAGAACTGTTTTTTTATAGTGTGTAAAAAGAAAAACTTCTGCAAACCTGAACAAAATCATCTCTTGAGCTCAAGTTAAAAATTTATATTTATGTTTTGTTTGAAATTATTTAATTAACAATTATTATTTCGCATTTATATTTAATCTTGATAAAAGTTGATTTAATAATTCTATTGATTTACTAGAGTTTTGAAATTCTCTTTTATCAATATTCTTTAGTTTTTCAGGTGGCCAATTAAATTCTGGACTAACATGTTATCGATTAGTTGGTGTTTATCAAATCGTAGTAATGTCTTTAATATGGTCAGTTCATCGGAATACTGTCTAATTAATCTTTTGAAATCCGATACGTTCAAGATGAACCACTCTAGAAGCTCTGCATTTCTGCAATAGATAACTCTCTTTAATGTTGTCTCTGGAATACCGGTTACATAGTTGTTATCGAATAGCCATCTAATTATCTGGAGATTCTCATTTACTACTGCCATTTTAATGGTAACGGTGGTGTCGAATCTCTCTGTTCTATTGGCGACAAGGAATTTGATGACCTCGAGATCAGTTGCAAGATCCATTGCCAGATTCGAACATCCTTCCGTTCTATTCTCATGTAGATACTTTAACACGTGTAGATGATCGTTTCTCGATGCGTAGTCCATTGCATTCGTTGAGCATCCTTCACTCCTATTCTCATTCAACCACCGGACAACTTCGAAGTGGCCAAGTTCAGCTGCGCCATCCATTGCGTCACTGGAACATCCTTCACTCCTATTGAAGTGTAGATACTTTACCAAATCAAGGCAATTCAACTTGGCAGCCTGATCCATAGCTTTAGTCGTACACTTTGCCGATGTATTCTCTGTCAACCATCGGACGATTTCCAAGTTTGATTTACTAGTTGCCAGCTCTATTAGATCGTTTGAATAGCTTAGATTTGGTATTCTCTGATGAATCCATTGCAGCATTTCAATGTTATTGTTGATGACCGCTTTATTCGGTGTAATACCATAGATATTAAACTTGTGATGGTCGAGAAGTTTCAAGATCTCCAAGTTGTTACTCTGGAATGCATGGTAAGCTGCGAAATCCGGTCGAGCTATTGAATGGTCTTCAATTAGATATCGAACAACATCGATATGACCACCAACGATTGCACCTCTATACATATTATCTCTACCAGTATCTTTCGGTCTATTAGTGAATAGCCATTCGATGATTCCGATATTACCAACGGTTGCAGCTTTCTCATAGATCCTGGAAATGTTAACAGAGGTAGTTGTTGCAGTACTCTCTACTTGTGCCAGTGCCAGTCTCTCCGACAGCAGTTGTACCATCGACAAGCTATTGGACATCGGTGATTTGATGAATGCTTCTTGAGTATCTCCAAGTCGCGCCGGTATAATGTTCAATTCAAAGAGATACCGTACAATTTCGATTCGGCCGTTGGTGATGGCTGCCATGAGAATCGGTGTAACCGGATCACTGTAGTTGTCGTTGATTTGCGATTGATAAAACAACTCTAGTTTATTTGAGGTATCGAATCTATCCCAGAGGTACTTAAAGATATCGAACCTACCAACGACAGCAGCAGCTCTAAAGACATTGGCTTGGTCAAAGAATATTGCTTTCGAAGATTGCAACAACTCTAAATTCTGAGGAATACTCAATTCATTGTCGTAGAAATTCTTTAGTTGCTCGAAATAACCATAGTACACTAACAAACAAGGTTGCTTTAAAAGTTCATTCCACCTGTAAACCTTTACTAACGATACTAAACATTTCTGATGTATATCACTCACATATCTAAATATCAATCTATTTATAATAATATTATTAAAAGTTATAGAAAATAGTGTTTTATTCATATTCTATTATAACAATATGAATAAAAGATTTTAAAAATAAAACAGATTCGAAAAAATTACAAAAAAGCTTTGTGATAATGATGTAGATCTTTTTTTTAAATTTATTTAATGACAACAGTGGTCAAACATGATTCAAGAATGTTCTGATATATTTATCTAGCTATACCACATTTGAAAAACACCCATCGTCATTCTAGTTTAAGATTATTCAAAAATATAAGAAATTAAACAAAAGATATTGCAAAGGTCGGACTTTCAAGACCTTACTTTTTGTAATTACAAAAATAAAGAAACCATATGGTATTATATCAATTCTTTAAATTATTTACTATTTTACTTAGTTTTCAATTCGATTGCGTTGTTAATAATATCTCTTAGCTGATCAAATTCCTTATGATCTAGTGTGATGTTCAATGCCTCTTGATACTCTTTGAGGTTATCAAGCGTTATCTCTGTAAATATATTGTTAATCATCCATTCAACGATCAATGGGAAATTGTTTTTAACTGCTGATTTCATGATCTTATCGGTTCGACCTTTGGAACTATCGTAATTGATTCCGTTTGCGTTCATCCATAAAACCGTCTCTATATGACCGTTTTCCAATGCTAATTCCAATGGCATCTTACCACGTTCCGTTCGATTTAGATGCAAGAACTTAACTAATTCCAAATAACCAAAGGTTGCGGCATCATCGATTGCCTTTGATGAACAACCGGTTGTTAGGTTGTTATGTAGATACTGAACGATGTGTAGGTGACCAGAGTGTGCAGCTAGATCCATAGCCTCTGAACTAGTAATGGATTCCGTTCTATTCTTATGAATCCATTGTAAAACCTCCAATCTTCCAGCACTTGCTGCTGAATTAACTGCATCGTTCGAGCATTTCAAAGTTGAACAATTACTATTTAGCCAATCCAGCATTGAGATGTTCCCATTGCTCGCGGCATGATCGAATGCTTTACTATTTTCTTCACCAAAATATCCACGACTGTGCAACAGTGTTAATATGTCGAAACGATTATGAGATGCCGCACAATCGAATAGATTTTCTCGTTCATGTTGTATTCCAACATTTCGTTTCAATAGACCTTTGACAAACTTGTATTGTCCGTATTCAATGGCACGTGCATAGACACGAGCAAACTTCCGACCATCGAATCTCGTATTCGTCAGATAATCAAACATATCGATTCGACCGACTTGTGCAGAGTTTTCGTAGGCTCTAATGTTTAGGTTGATAACCTGCTCTTTGGGTGCGGGTTGAAATACCAATTCCGTGAGGTATTTGAGCAGTTCGAAATCGTTGGAGAGCGGTGCCCACGCCAGCGCCTCGTAGTAGTGAATCGCTCTCCAATGATCGCTTGCACCAATTAGATAGTGAATGATAGCTGTTCGTCCGTGCATTGCAGCTACGTTTAGTATATAAAAGTTTGATTCGTCACAGATGATCGGTCTCAGTTTTTCATGCTCCATAAAAAAGATGATCGGTTCGATAGCACCGAATTGAACAGCATTCGAATAGGTCATAAAGAATTCCGATTGATAGATATCTTCATCGTAGTTTGTTTTTCGCGCATAGAATTGTTTCAACTCTTCAAAGTATCCATTACCAGCCATAACATAGGGTGTCTCCAATAGATCTTCCCATCTAAAGCTATCTCTATAATCTAATTTATTGATATGAACTACATTTTCAAATATTATTTGATTTAATACTTTATTATTTATAACTACTTTATTAAATATATCTTTATTCATCGATGTTGCAATCTTTGATCATAAGTGTGGTAATACAGTAATCGCAATGGTGTGTTAATTTTGGTTTTTTTTTTGTTTTTTTTCAAGTGAAATATCTTTATATCTTCACTACCATTTTTATATTTTTAATAACAGAACTATCATATAGTAATAACACCCAGAGTTGTAAAAAAAAAAAAAATAGATATAAATATTGTTATATTTATAAATGGAAGAAAAAAAACAAACTTATCTGAATGTACTTAGTAAAAATCCTAATGATACACGTGCATTGTTCAAACTTGCAATGACACTTACACACGATTCCAATGGTCAACAATCAATCATTCTTCCATCAGGTGAATCAATGAAGAAGGAACAACTCTTATTAAAAGTCATCGATCTCGATCGAAACTATGCCCAAGCATATTCAAAGTTGGGTGTCATTCTTTCATATCAAAATCGTTCATCGATCATTCTTCCAACGGGTCAATCAATGACACAGCAGCAACTCTACTTGAAAGCAATAGAGTGTAATCCAATTTATGCCAAATCACACTATAATCTTGCAACTACACTTTCATATGGTGAATCAATCACACTTAATAACGGTCAATCAATGACAGTTCTACAACTATATTTGAAATCAATTGAATTAGATCCAACCCATTCAGACTCATATAATAACCTTGCCAATAAACTTATAAGTGGTGAAACAATCACACTTCCAAATGGTCAAATGATGTCAAAACAACAACTATATTTTAAATCAATAGAATGTGATCCAAACAATACCAATACATACAAAAATCTGGCATCTTTCATGGCAGTAGGCGAAACGGTCATACTTAATAATGGACAAACAATGACAAAACAACAAATATACTTGAAAACAATAGAATTAAAACCAAACGATCCAATACCATATTATCTCCTTGCAAACCAATTAGGTAGAGATGAAACAATCACACTTCTCAATGGTAAATCAATGAATAATATTCAACTCTATCTAAAGTCAATATCACTCGATCCATCATTCTATTACCCATACAATAATCTTGCAATTACTATTGGTCGGAATGAAACAATAACCATTCCATCTGGTGAATCATTGACAAAGAAACAACTATACCTCAAAGCGATCCAACTTGACCCAACAAAGTATTATTCATACTACAATCTGACATTGGATATGACATCAAAAGAAACAATTACACTCCACAATGGTGTGACAATGACAAAACAACAATTATTATTGGAAGCACTCACGTTTGAGACTACACAGATTTCGATTTACAAGGATATTGGATTAACTCTTTTAAACAACAAACAAACTATTACACTTCCAAATGGTGAACTGATGTCAAGAAGACAGCTCCTTCGTAGAGCAAGAAATTATTAGATTATCTTGTTAATTTTATTATCTACCCAATAGACTTGATTTTTTTTTTATTTACAAAAAAAAAAAAAACAATTTTTAAAAAAACTAATAAAGAGAGAGATCAATTCATTGTGGAGGGAGATAGAGTTGGTGGAAGTTTGGATGAATGGAATATACAGATTGTTTTTATGGAATTGATGTTGTAGACTGCCAGATCAGAGTGATCTGCGAGAGTTGGAGCTCTTTCATCATGGGAGCTCATCATTCGCAACTTGTTGGATTGAATGTAGGTCCACAACATAGAATAGTGGAAGAATGACACCTGGTGGCAAGGGAGCAGCCCCATTGAACAGTTCTACAGTTGGAATTTGGAGTTGGTAATGTGGTAGTCCCAGAGCATTACAAGGATTTTGCAGATTGAGAGGATTGGCGGGATTTGCAGGAACGGGAGGAGGGCCTACTGGAGGCATGACTCCTTCATAGCCATGGGGGGCGGCGTAACCAGGTGGAGATATTGCGTTGACTCTTGGGATTGTGTTGTTGGGATCCAAAAATGCTGTTCCACAAGAGATGATCCTGACTGGGTTTGCTGCCGCACCATTCTGATAGTATAAAACAAGCATTGCAAAGGTACCATTGTGTCTGCGATAGATCTTGATGCCAATAACGATTCTGATTGTGCTTGGTACTGCAACTACCGCAGAGACACCAGGTGCAGCGGGTATAGCAACAACACGATCCATGAAATAGTCCATGCACTTTTGATGCAACACTGGAAGTGATTGTGACTTTGCTGTCTCGATGACCAATGTTGGATAGGGCCTTCCATGTCCATTTGCCGAATGGATGTTGGGGACATTGGGTCGAAGCGGTCGTAAAGATTGGTGTGGCTCGGCGCATGAATGACCAAGTTGTAGAATCAAGGTTGAGGAGCCTCCAACGGACAACAAATCTTGGTTTGGATGAAGTTGTTGATGAATACGAGAAATGACTTTGTTTGCACTATACTCATGCTCCATTGAAGGCACTTCATAGATCCATCCTCTTCCGTTTCTGAACCATATCCTCGACTTGAATTCCGATTGATCTCCGTCCTTTTGTCTTCTTGCAACAAAATCATCGAATTCGATTGGACCAAGATCAACACCTCCTTCTGGAACATATCCAAGCTATAAGATTGTTTGTTCATTAATGATCTATCTCGTAGTGTAAAACTACAACGTCAATCAACAAACATACCTCTCTCATGCAATCGATCTTGTTTGACCATCCATTGATTCTATTGAAATCCACGACTGGATCAGTCGCTGAGTTCACAACAACAGTTGTGGTATGTACTATGGTGGGGAGAGCTAGAGTCTGATGTGCAGTATTTGTTAACATAAACATAACAAGATTAATTGTGTTTTTCAATTATAACCCAAGTGAATTATATTAAAATAAAAAAATATTAAAAAACAAATTCAATTAATTATAAAGAGTGTCAATTTTATATCTATATATATTTAAACCCATATTTTATTATTTGTTTATTTTTATTCATTATCTTTTTAGTTCATTTTAACAAGAAATGTCAAGTTCTTTTGAATAGAGTAATACCCCTTCTAGCACTTTCTCGAATTAATTTGAAAAAAAAACTAAAAAAAAATTGAATTTTGTTATCAATCAATCTCTTGAACACTTTCCATCACTCACAACAGCTTCAAATCTGTTAGCTATGTTTTTTTGTTGTTAACATTCAGCACAATACTCTATATAATAACTGCACGTCCATCAATATCTTATGACTGTTGTGTCCTTAAACATCAGTATTGTTTCATCACATTCATTGTCACCACATACGCACATACCGATGCACCAATCATCATCGTCATTGTCTAGTTGTTATATACAACCGGATTGTTAGACATACACCTCCTCGTGGTACAATCTGGGCAACTAGCACGACGATCATGTCGATGACTAGGCTAAGATATGTCAACTAAATCAAAAATGAACAGTACAAGCACAATTAATACAAATCATAGAAGAAATAGAAATATACAAAGCACCAACACCACCATTACCAATCAGGAGGCAAGAACACCACTAGGTGAACAAGCTGGTAACAACAATGGAGGGGGTGCAAATACAAAGTTCATATGGAATGACGAGCTATTGCAAGAATTAGCGAGAATTAAACAACTAACCCAAACCAAGTACACCCAACAACTCTCCATACTTTAAATCCAACAACACTATCACAATAGCAAATGCTGCACTTGTTTACGGTTGTTATAATATATACTTTAATGTCATCATTCTCATCATCAACACATTTACACCTCCTTCTCTTATTTAATCAAACAGTGGCTCAATAACAGGTAAACATTTCAATCCCAGTATTATCATGACCTGCCATGGTTGAAAAAAGAACTGCCATTGAAGAAGAGAAAGGAAGAGACTCCTGATGAATGGATTGACAAGTTGAACATGATTATTGATAATAAAGGAATTGATAGGTTTGTAATTGTTGGATTTGGAGGTGTATGCAATGTCATTGAACATTTTGGAACCAAGAAAGGATGAGATTACAGGGATATACCAATGCAATGATATCAAACAGTGAGGTACATGAGATGCTAAAGATATTACGATTGAGACATATGAGAGTGAGATATCAAAGAATATAAGTATCTAATGGAGATTAGCAGGTGTTATGTTAACTACTGCCTATGCAATGCACTCTCTGAATAGTAGTATTGCCTTTACTAACGTTAGTAGTAATAAATGATTCCATAAAAGTAGTCCCAGGTATCCTCCAAGGTTTTACATACATTATGTAAATTTAATTTCAATAAATGTGTTATATGTTATCTTGGAATCTTACTTTGGACAAGGAATCATCTTAACCACTACGATATGATAGAGGAGGATCATTACATCTTATTCAAACTAAAAAAAATGTTTCACAGAACAATTATCGGAAGGTAAATTAATTGACTTCATTTAAAAAAAATTCACAAGATCAAAATATATATCTTTTTTTTCTTGAATACCCACCCCAAATATTTATGACTTGTTTATTTTGAGTTATTATTGATACTCTTCATTTCATTTTATTTCTATTCAGCTCACAACAATTACTATTTCTTCATCTTCAATACTCAAACTACATCATTATCACTTTCTATCACAACATATACTATCTTTTCATCTTTCATTGTTACTCATACACTCTCATCCTTATCAGTAGCTATTTTATTTCTTTTGATTCATTCTCCTTCACTTTATCCATCTATATATATTATTCTTTGCTGCTTTCATAATGTCGCAACAACAACACCCACTTTTCACTTGTTGGGTAGAGTTTAGTAACAAGAAAGACGAACTCACCTTCGAGAACACCGCCAACTATAATCGTCTCATCCCTGTCATCAGAGGTTCCAAACAACTCGCTGTAGGTGACGGTTCTATCGATTTGTTCTCTGATGCAGCCAAGACCATTCAACTTGATGTTGAGACTCCAGTCGATAGGAATCTTCAGCGAATCTATGTCGCTACCACTCAACCACAGCAAGGTAAGTTATTAACAATCAACACTTTCTCTGGACATATTCCACAACATCTACAATCACCATCATTGCACGCATATCTGACATTATTTAAAGCGATTCATCATCATCAAAAACAATACCAACCAGAACTATATTATCCATCTCTTATCAATCATCACAGAGTAGAAAACAACAACAACACCACACAAACCACTTAATATTTATCGTACTCAACCAAACATCTTTATATTTAGTTGTGATATATATAAAACAAAAGCAAACATCTTATCCTCTTAAATATCACATTATTGTTACTAAATCTACTCATCAAATCGATCATACACAATAATCATTTGTTATTATCAAATAACCAACAACAACATTACTACAAACAAACAAACAAACAATCATCATCTTCATTTAGCCTTTGATACACAATTATCATTTGTTATTATCAAATCATACATTATAATATACATCATTGTCATTGTTATATATCATTTCAGATAAACTACACCTACAATTTTCCCTCGTGAGACTACACATATCAATTACACACCTCAATATCAACAAATATAGTCTCAGGTTAACAACCTTAAGGGTTGCTATAAATTGTATTACATCACCGCTTTGTTACATGATTGTTGCTATATGCAACCTACACTACATCAGTATTTTTTCTTCATCATCACATACCGATGATCACCTTCATTGTCGATGTTATATACAAATCTCCATACTTTAAAGTATATAGGACAAACAAGTTGCATCTTGCTAATGTTGTATAGCTTTTAAATCACAACTCCTATCATCATCACATTATCACTCCATTATCACCATCAATAGTATCACATCTTAATCATCATCTGAATCACCTAATCACTATCAACACCTTCCAACTACATCAATCAAAGTATACTAATCACATTATATTATAGAGTTCAAAGTAGGACAAATTCTTTATAGAGAATACAATGATTACGATATCGAATTCGTAGAGAGAGATTCATTTTTCGACATAATTGTTTCAAACCTTTCAGAAGGATTCAAATATAGAGGTACGGTAGAAAAACAAGAGCAAGTTTTTTTCTTGATAGCAGGTGGATCTGGAACTGGTAAAAGTAGAGCGGCCTATGAATTATCACGTATACCAGAGGCCAAGCTCATTGGAATAGATCAAACTTTAAGAAGATCACTACAATCAGCCATATATATCGAGATCAATTTCTTGAATGGTTCAAGTTATCACCCCCAGCTGGATAGTTTGTCTGCTGATATTCGCATTGGCATGCGTCTTGCAATATCATCTGGGATTTATGGTTGCAAAGTTATTGATCATCTAATCGCTTCTTCAAGCAGATTTACAATTAATCAAGTAATAGACGATTTAATTATATCTGTTCAACAAAATGGTAGCCCAATTACTCAATCCAATCCACTTACCATCATTTTACATTTGGACGAATTTCAACAATATATTAAATCATTACCACAATCTCACAATAATGATAAAAGTGAGAGTTTTAAACTATTATTAGATGCCATTGGTGTAATAATGGTTAAAAGAAAAGATATTTTTTTAATACCAGTTTGCACCGGAACATCTTCAATCGATATAGTCAATTTAAAGTCGAATTACCAAAGGATATGTATTGGCTTCAACCCTCTAAGTCGTAGAGAGTCACTCGAACCATTTATTGAGCACTACAAACATCCAAACAGAGATAAAAAAGGATATCTTTCACAGATTCTGATCAAATATCATGGTTTGTTTGAAATTGGTCTTGGTGACACTGGATTCATTCCTAGAGAAATCAGTTTTTATTTAAGATGTTGTAATAGTTATTTGTTCGAGTTTTCTAAAAGTTGCTATGATAAGATTAGCAGGTTAAGCATGTCATCCATTACCAATTTAAAAGTAGTGAAAAAAATTCTTTTATTGGCAATCACACAAACACCAGTATCATTATCAACTAAACTTGGTGAATTGGATGGCAATCAAATTACAGTGAACCAAATAAGATTGTCCGGAAACTTATATTTGGAACAGATAGATACTGTTAGTACAGATTCTGAGGAATCTGCTCATGTTGACAACAAGAGAAAGAGCAAATTGTTTGACTTAACTCCACAAAAGTCTCAAAAGTCATATTCATCATCATTACCTTCAAGACTTTCCACTTCATCTACAGGTTCATCTACAGATTCATCATCATCAACATCATCTGCCTCATCATCAGCTTCAGTCGAGGAAAGAGATGCTACTCAATACACCATATTTATTAGTTTCTATAACATGGTGGTTCTCAATTCATTACTGGTTGACAAGAGATTATTTCCTTCAGAATTACTATTTTTCCCATCTCCCACCAAATTCTGGACATGGAAGGATTTTGAAGAGTTGTTCCCAAGAATCTGTATTGCCAAAATCAATGCTCATGTTAAGCTTAAACATAACCTCACTATTCAATTATTATTAAAAGGTGTATATGGTATCGAGGAAATTACTAACGATATACTGACTTCCGTTCCAAAAAAGGTAATTAAATCTAATGAGAATTCAATTGATAATCGAACTCAATATTAATACTTTACAACAGGTTATATTTGATGAAGAAACAAACCCATTTAAAGCACCAAATTTTGAAGACACTGCCATTCATATTTGTAAAAGAAACACCGAGTCAGTTGACCACATCTTTAAATTAACAGGCAAGCAAGGTATAACCAGTATTTTTGTCCAATGCAAGTTCTCAGACAATGTTAATAATAAGAAGATATACCAGATATCCAATAGTGAAGTAATTAAACTTGCTGGTCATTTTTTCAGTAAGCTTGACGATTCTATATCCGCAAACACTGTTTATTTTCTGGTTACCAATCGTATTGTAGATAAATCAGTAATTGAAGATTTTCAAAAAAAGAAAGATAGAAAAAAATTCAAGATCAATCAATTCTTATTCGTTTTATCATATCACAACTTTAACACCTTCTTCACTCGTACATTCGCACACAGAGGCTTGATTGACACCAATATTAATGATAAACAATTTAAGGATCATACTATAATAAATTAAACTATGGTCATATTCTAACTGCAGTCTAGTCTATCTTTTTATAAACTTTTGATATATATCTTTTATGTTTTATAGGTTGTGTTTTATTTTAATATTAATATGTTATGATATTGTTTATGTCTTGAATAATCGATTAAATTTATTATCGAACTCTTTCAAGTTGTTTTTAAAGTTTAATATGACAAAAAACAAAACTTTTTTTTTGTTTTTTAATTTTTTTATAAGACAAAAAACAAAACTTTAAACTTTGAAAACAACTTGAATGTTTTTGACAATATTTCCATCATATTGCTGATCCCTAGATATACGATGTTCCAGCAATGATCGCGCAATAACTTTACAAAACAATCACTCTCTATTGGGAAATCTAATGACACATCGTTATCTTGACTATATTCTTAGTCTTGGAGAGTATTCACAACTCGATAGAAATGGTTTTATCTTTAAGGCAATAAGAAAGTTTCTAAATAAATCAGTAAGTAGTATTATAAGCAATAAGTATGATAATAATGAAAGACAAAAATAAACCATCTCTAAACATTGATTCGATATACATCTGGAATGGGAACAACTCCTCCAATTCACTGTCACTATTGATTCCACCCCTAAGTTTGTCAAGTAAGTATACAGCAATTTCATTACCTACTGGTTTTTCATTTCGGAAACAATAGATTAAGAATTCTCGTAGCGTATCGAAAGTAAGTTGATTTATCTTTTCCATGAAACCAACGTCATCTTCTCAAGTATTGGGAACGTGGATTCAACTTTGCTTATTTACCAAATGAAATAATAGCTAGACGTGTAGAAAAGATGAACTTTGAGAAGAAGAAATCAAATGAGTAGAATTACTCTTCAAAGCAATCAAGAGATATTGAGTTCGCTTCTTAAAAGAAATAGTCGGTGGGCTTCCCTATGGACCGAACTTCAAAAAAAGTTAATTTCGATATTAGAGTTACCAACAACTATAACAACTACGATGGTTACAATTTTAGTGATTGGCCGTCTATTCTGGAGGATATCAAAGACCTCGATTGTATCATGCTGAGTAACAACATTTTACTAACAAAAACAGTATTACCATTATTCGATCATTTCTTGTTGATTGATAAAGATGATCAATTTCACTCTGATACAGATGATTACGAAGATGATGAATAAAAAAAAAAAAAAACAACACTCAATCAAGTGTAGATCAATCATTATTCCGAGCACCAGACAGTCAATAATATCATTACCAATACCATCACAACCATCAATATTATCAAATACAACAACAACAACAATAATAATAAACAATCGCATTAGATGAAATAGAAAGAGAATATAAAAAGAAGAAGATAAATTAAATGCTAGTTTAAATAAATAAATCTCAACCAAGTGTTTTCTTTCTTTAAAAGAAAATTAAAATTTAAAGTTTTATTAATACTAATAGATGTAATAGAAAGAGCTGTGTGTTGTGTTTTAAGCTGTAATGTGATGTTCTAGGCAAGGTAACATCATTATCAATTTAAATGATAGCAGCACCAGGCAGTGGTACTGCCACACGTCATCTATCAGCTCTCTGCCACCCCTACTCTCCGATTGTTTTGGTCATCCAAGAAGAGATCGAACGTACTGGTAAAATATAGAACAGATCCCATATTCCCAGCCTGATAATAATTAACCATTTTTCATAAATAATTAATTTATTAGTTGCAATAAAACCCGAGGTACAAGTGATGTGTTTTTGAAAATCTCAACTTCCACCTTTTATTGTGACTTAAAAAAAAAAATTGTTTTTCTTTGCCACCTTCGAGTACAACAAACTCATCAACACTAACAACTCAGAGTTGGTTCTGCTGCTTTAATTTGAATTGATAATAATAATCATAATAATTGTAGTGGTACTGTTACAAGTCATCGTACAGCTTTCTGCCACCCCTCTCTCTCCGATTGTTTTGGTGATCCATGATCGAAAGTAGTGGTAAAACATAGAACAGTTACCTTATTCTTCCTCAAAAAAAAAAAAAACAAATTGATAAAATATCTTCGGAATAAATTGTTTTATTGCTTTAAATTCAATTTAAATTTCTTAATTAGTTGTTTCTTTGTTAATTGTTCACCATTTGAAAGTGTAATAGTTTGTTTGTTACTCTCCAGAGTCAGTACAATTTCACAGTATATAAGTTTACTTGTATTATTTAATCTGTTTGCCTCCAATAATAATTGTTGTTTTGTCATTATAGCACCATTGTTGAGTGTAATTGTTTCTTTTAATTTCATATTGCATGCTAATCCAAAATATGCAATATATCTATTTGGGTCAATTTGAATTGCTTTGATATATATGATCTTTCTTTGAAAAAGTCACTTTTGTACCGTTTGTTGGTAAAGTAATTGATTCATTCTTGAACATTATTATAGCCAAATACACATATGCAAGATAGTTTGATGGATCACACATTATTGCCTTTATAAATAGACCACGTGAATTTATTCGTATACCATTTTTAAGAGTTATCGCGCGACTATCTCTTCTATATTTTAGTAGATCTCCTAATAAGAAATATGCATTGGAATAATTTGGATTTAAATCTATTACTTTCAATAATAGTCTTAAACGAGTCTTAGACTTTCCATTATTAAGTTTAATAGATACGTAAGAATATTGTGGAAGAGTTAATGAAAGGTTAAAATATGCTAACCAATTGGTTGGATCACACTCTATTGCTTTCAAGTATAGTTGTTGTAATGTCATTGATTGTCCATTATTAAGTGTGATTGATTCACCCTTGGATACACAGGTGTGTAGTGTATATCCAAGTTGAAAAAAAGCATTTGAATGCCTCGGATCACATTCTATTGCCTTCAAAAATAGTTGTTGTTTTGTCATTGATTGGCCATTATTAAGAGTGATTGATTCACCATTTGTAAGAGTAAGGGCAAGGTTAAAGAATGAACTGGCGTTGGTTGGATCACATTCTATTGCTTTCAAAAATAGTTGATGTTTTGTCATTGATTGGCCATTATTAAGAGTGATTGATTCTTTTCTCATGAGAGATTGTGCTAGATTATTGTATGAAATATAATTGGTTGGATCGCAATCAATGGCTTTCAGGTATAGTTGTTGTTGTTTCATTGATTGTCCATTATTAAGAGTGATTGATTCTTTTCTCCTGAGAGATTGTGCTAGATTATTGTATGAAATATAATTGGTTGGATTGCAATCAATGGCTTTCAGGTATAGTTGTTGTTGTGTCATTGATTGTCCATTAAGAAGTGTCACCGATTCACCATTTGAAATAGTTAATGCAAGGTTATTATAAAAAGTGTATATTGTAGGATATGATTCAATAGATCTCAATAAAAATTGTTGTTCATCTGTTACTGGTTGACTGTCTTGTTGTTTCTCTGAAATATTTGAATTAATCTTAATAAATTTAGATTGTTTTGCTTCATTAACAAAATGATTAGACTTTTTAAATTCATCTAAAAATTTAAATATTTTCATTTGCTATTATTTTCTTTTTACAAATTAAATTTATTGATAAATGAAATATTTTAATAGATAGAAGAATTCATAAAAAATATTTTAATAGATAAAAATATTATTTGCTTTTATTATTTTCTTTTTACAAATTAAATTTATAGTGATAAAAAAAAATATTTTAATAGATAGAAGAATTCATAAAAAATGAATTGTAGTTCAAATTAATTAATTTAAGTGTGGCGTGGTGGAAAAATAAATTAATTCTGTATTTATTTATCGAAATATTTTGGGTTTTATTTTGCACAGCTTTTTTTTGTATTCTCACATTATTATTTGCTTTAATTTTTTTGGGATTGATAAAATGAAATTATAGATATGAGAGGTGTTGGCATGACATAAGACAAATCAAGACAATTAACAATGAAATATTTAATTATTAATATTCAAAAAAAATAGTTGGATCAATACAAATTTAATTTAACCTTTTTATACACTGATTAGGGGTTAATTGCTTTATATAATGTGCAATGCAGATAATAAAATAATACTAAATAAATCAATAATGTCAATTTCAATTACTTAATTAAAAGACATTTATTTTTATATTATTTAAATTTTATTCGAAAACACAAGGACCAGGACCATTTGGTGATGTTGAATTGAGTGGCGCAGACTCAATGCCTCGATAGATCATGTGACATCTGAAACGTTCTAATCTGGGTACTACTTCATCGACATCATCAACTGAAGCATCACTCCATAATCGTTCGGCGGCGGCTGCTGCTTTTGGCCATATCTTGGAAAAGATATCGCTACTATCCATCATCTTCACTCCATAGCGCTACTTCACCACTCAATACTCTTTTGATTTCTTCACTATCGGTAATATTCACAGTTATATCATTTAAATAAAACTTTTGCCATGGAGTATATAGAATACTATTTTAGAAATATTAATTTGATTAGATAAGATAATTCGATAAAATAACATGAATAAGTTGTTTTGATACTTTCTCTAAATACCAATTCCAGGCATTTGAAGCAATTGCTCTGTGACCTGCTTTAACAGCATCTTGCAGTGTTGTTAGCTGATGGTATATTTGAACGATAACATCTTTATTCAGTTGATCGCCAAACATTAAAAAGGTGTCTTCCCAAACAACAGGGTATCTCTTTGTACTCAGTACCTTGTCATGAATGATTTCTTCAAAGTATTGCAGTGCTAGTTCATAACTATTGAAATTGTTATCTCTCATCCATTTACTAAACTGTTCTGAATTCTCCCAACATTCATAGACAACTTCATCTCCACCAATATTCAAGTAATTAAATTAACTTTTTTTGTTTTTTAATTTTTTTATATGACAAAAAACAAAACTTTAAAACTGACTGTTTGCAATATTCATATACAACTTCAGATGCTTCTCCTTTTTTTGGTATCCCTCAGTTAGTTTTCAATTGTTTAACTCGCAAAGTGGATGGCACCGTTTGTCGTGTCTGGATGCCGAATATTTGGATTTGAATGATTCTTCCTTCACGTTCATAGCTACCATCTGTGTGTCCACATGGAAACTCAGTATTCATTGTTGTTCTAAAGATATATGAAATACATATTAATGGCTGGGTTCGGATGCTAATATGGGAGAGAAATGTGAAACAATTTTTTGTATAATATTTACATATGATCGACATAAAGTATCAACTCTATCAAGTCAGTGGACAATCAAAAACTTCACAAATCAACTCATGTAAATAGTCAAACACCAATCTAATCCCCATCCCAAACACCAATTCAATCTCCATCTAAATCACCAATCCAATCTCCAACCCTAACACGACTCCATACTCCTATTCAACACAACATTACAGTGCAATCATACCCAACAAAAGAAATTATCGTAATCTTTGAAATCGATAACAATTACAACTCGCAGATTCAAGTTTATAGACAACAACAACAAATCAACTATTTACAACAACTTTCACAAACACTGCAACAACAATCTCCACCACAGTCAGAAGCAGCAGCATCAAATGATGTAGAAATGACATCACATGAAGATCCTATCATGGAACAAGTTGAGGAAACTGACGATGCAATAGAGATAGATCGATTCTGTATTCCATATGAAAAGATCAAGGACCTCAGAAGAAGACGAAAAAATGAACAATGCCGGTGACTTCTTATCCAATTGGCCATCTCTACGAGAGCTTATTATAAGAATTCCATGTCTCACAGCCATAGCGGACTATGGACAGCTCTTCTCCACTCTACTCATTAAGAACCCATTATCAAACCTGGTAATAAGACCAATTCAAGAATGATTTTAAAACATTTCCAATCATATTTTATTATTATCTTTTTGGTATGTGGAGATGTTTAGGCATAAAAGATAGTGTAAGTAAATAATTGTTTTATTTTAATGAATACAGATTACTAATTTTTATTTCTTTGATATATCTTTAGTGGATCATAATTATTCAATAATTTTTGATTGCTTGTTTTGAAATAGTATGTGTATTAGTGTGTAAAGGATCTTGCAATCAATTCGCCTATTTTTTCATTTGTTGTTATGGGTTTGATGAAGCTATGAATATGTTCGGATGGGAGTCTGGTCTAGTACATTGAATAAGGTGATTTTGGTTATTAACAAAAACACAATTCAACAAGTGAGCACTTTGCTATATTATTTTAGAATAACGCTTTCAACTTGATTCATTATCCGGAGTGTTTGAATGTTGAAGCATATTGATTTGGTAGTAGTAAATTTTGTTTTATATTATATATGGTATGTATCATTCTATAAACAAATAGATATAGGTAATACAATATAAGTACTGTATTAGTCCAGTGCACATTGTGCTGTAAACGCGTTACATATTATATTCCTACACTATATTTCTATTTATTTACACTGCAGTGAATTAGCTCCTAATTCACTTTCATTCTTCCTTTCATCCATTCTTTCTTTCTTTCTTTCTTTCAATCTTTCATCCACCCATTCTTTCTTTCTTCCTCTCATACATTTATTAATTCATCCAGTAATTTATTTATCTCTCTATATATGTATTATATATGTATTATATTTATTTATTTATCTTTATATTCATCTTAATATTTATATTTATTTTCAGTGTTATATTTATTTATATTTATTTATATTTATTTAAAAAAAAAAAAAATCAAAATTTTTTAACGAAACATATGGATCGAAAAAAAGATAATTATACAGTTTTTTTTTTTAGGATATGGATAGTTTGAAGAGTTTGATCGTTGAATCAATCAAAACCTTAGAGTGTTTTGATGATTCAGATACCATTGTCGATTATATCTATGAATTGGTAAAAGACAATACTACAAAAGAAGATGAGAAAAGAGAATACCTCGGTGAATTCCTTGCATCTTTAACCGTAAGTAGTAATATATACTGTACATAATCATATTAATTGATTATAATAGTTTATTGACTAACAAAAAAAATGAATCTAAATAATATAGGAAAAAGATACAACATCGTTCATTGATGATATAATGAAAGCATTGAATGAAATCGAAAAAGAGAATCAAGATTTAAATAAGAAACTATTGGAAACAATGAAACTACAGTCAGAGTTAAAGATTAAGGAAGTCGCTGATCAAGAAAGAAATGATAATGATAAATTTGAAAAGTATGTAGAAAAATATTCACTAAAGTGATACATTGAACGACGTTTTATTAATAGATCAAATGAAAATATTACTATTACTACTTTATTTGCAGTCCATATCATAAAATGTCAAGAGAGGAACAAAAGAATAGAGATTTCCTTCTAGCTAGATATGCATATGAAGAAGAGGATGTGTAAGTTATCAATCATCATATTCAAATTTATTGTCAAACTTGATAAGATCTTGTATTTTGACATTAAACACTGTTGTTACTATACTAACACATAAAACAATCAAACTATATTAATAATAATAATAATATAAAGAGATGAAAATGGAGATATTATATTGTCAGATCAAACAGATTCTAATACACCCAAGGCATCTTTGACAGTCAATAACAACACAAAGCGTATAGTAGATGAGGAGAAAGCAAAGCGTGAGAAAGCCAAGATTGAAAACGAAAAAAAGGTCGCAAGAGACAAAGAACTACTTGCGAAACAAAAGAGAGACGAAGAGAAGAAGAAAACCACAAAGAAAGAGAAAAGAAGATTGTAAAAAGAATAAATATTTAAAAATAAAAAGAAACGAATGAACTTTCGAAGCGAACAAAACAAACAAAAACTTAATAATCAAATTTTTGATTTTATTTATTTTAAAAAAGATAGTTATAACATAAGTGTTGATCTCTGTCTTTTCAATCTAAAAAAAGAGATTGTGTATATATGTGTGTGTGTGTATGTGATTAATTTAATTTATAGACTTCTTGACTTTTCGATCAACAACACCCAATCCCAAATAAGAACAACTGAAAAAGATTATGATAGGTGTTAGTTTGTTTGTTTTTTGCAAAAACCACGACAAACGAATATCTACCACGTTTAAATATTTATTAGATTCGAGCCAAACATAAACCAACTGACTAGTTTGTTTCTAATTTAGATCTTTAATTTAGAAAACTATTAAAAAAATAAGCAAACAAAACTATATTAATGTATATTAATAATTGTTTATACATGCTAGATCACAAATTCACCACTCACTACAAAAAATAAATCTCATCTTGTCGCGAATTTGATCTAGATTCTTTTTTTTATTTTTTTTTATTTTGTTTTTTTTTGTTGTTTTACCAAAGTGGGAGTTTTTTTTAACTCAATTGTGGTGAATGGATAGTGTTTGAGCCATCAAAGTTTGTGATTATTCGGAATTGATGCAAATCTCAGAGTGGTTGGTGTGATAACAAGGCTCTGGGGCAATGTAAGGTTTTTTTTTTATTTTTTTTTTTGATATTTTTTTTTTTTTTTTGAACTTTTGAAACTGGGTCTGTTGTGTATGAAGGTATTCGCAAAATGATAAATCTATAGATTTTTTTGTCAAAAAAAAAACAAAAAAAAATCATCAAAAACAAAAAAAAAGTTTTTTTAAGAGATTTTTTTTTATTCTATTCTTTTATTTATTTTTCTACTTTATAAAGTATCAATCCCTTCCTTTATTTTTTAAGAAGAATCAATTGTGAACAATTTTATTTTTAAATATTTTAATAATAACATAACAATAGCAATAAAAAATCAAACAACAGACAGAAATAGATGAATTTTTAAACAAAATAGTTAATAATAACAAACAATCAAAATTAGTAAATCAATTATTTAGTCAAACAGTCATTGCATAGTTATCATAAAGAATCAATTGCATTTTCATTTTTATTTTTGTTTAATTAAAGTCATCAATCAATCAAAACAACCAAATTAATAAATTTATTTTGCAAAGGTAATATATTGTTAAATAGATAAGTCATTCATCTCATAGCATTTGCATCGAAAAACAATTATTTTTATTACCATAAAAGTAAGAAAAAATAGTGTGGAGGTTTACCACTGATTGTTTTCAAAACATCAGTTGTTTTGGAGGTCACTTCCAAATACTTTTGATTATCAGATCAACAAAAATTCCCCACACAAAAATTAGAAAAATCAGTGGTAAAAACAAAAACACCCACACCCATCCACTTCATCAACAAAAGAGAGTCGTCGACAACCTACTGAAATATTTTTACAATAAACTCACACCATTATTTTTAAAATAATTGAGAAACCTATTTGTTTGTTGCTGTTGTTAATGTTTGCAAACATATATTAACTTTTTGGAGGGAAATAATAGGTTTGTTTTGTTTTGTTTTTTTTTGAATTCAAAAATTAAAATTAATATTCATACAATTACCACTACCACTCACACCTTCTTTCTAAATAATTGACATATTCAATTAATTTAACCCATCAAAGAGGAGGAGTGTTAGATGAGTCAATCAATCAATCATCCGCTCTTATTTAAAGTAATACTTACACACAAACAAACAAACCAACACACAATCTTCCACTCATTCTCAATCATCAAAGCGCGCCCAATAACTTACTTACATACAACAGTCAAAAAAAAAAAAAAAAAAACAAAACTTGACCATCCAATTAATATTAACAAATCTTTGCTCATCCAACCTTATAAACCACAATCCTTTTGCACTATCTTCATATTTTATCCTTTTATACCAATAATCAAACACATCTCTTTACAATATTCTCTCCACTCTCTATCTCTCTGCATTCACACACACTCTACACTTTGTTTTTTTCTTTGGTCAAGATTTTGTATAACATATGGTGGTGTTTGTTCCAACGAATAAATTTCATATTCATATTCTACATTCATATTTCTTAATTAACACACTGGTATTAAACAAATTATAAATTTAACATCATCATTTTTTATCATCACATCAATCAAAAATTTATTTATACTAACTATATCTCTATTTATATCTCTTACATTACAGCAGTCAGTAGTCAACTAACAATAACTAGACAGACAGAAATAATACAGTATAGTTGTACCAAGCAAAGCAAAGTAACACATCCCATTTAATTAAAAATATATAAACTAGTTTATTTATATATTTATATAAAATTATTTTGTTTCTTTTCAAAATAATAATCATAATAACAGCATCAGTTAGAAATATTTTATTTCCATTCTATATCAAACAAAACAGAATCAAAATAGTAGAGTAGAATAGCAAAAAGTAATATAGAAATTTAAAACCTTTAAAGGTATGTCTAAAATTAATTTAATTTACAAAATTGTTAAAAAAAACATTATTTCGTTGGATTGTTGGGAAACAAACCAAATAATTACACCAAACAAAATATAATACACAAATAACAACCACTGAATTGGAAAATATTGGATTCAGTGTTCATCTTTTCATTCAATCGTATCATCATATCATGGTTGCAATGAAATTGTTGGAACTTGTAGTTTATAGTTATAGTAGAATAGATTTTTTTTTTATTTAAAAAAAAACATATAGAATGGTTAACCAATTTCAGAGTATCAGAATCGACCGTAAACTCAACAACATTCACAGCAAAAAGCAGTTGTCATTTACATATGTTATAAAATGACAACCATTGAATGTTACAATGTATAAACTTGACAGTTGGCATTGTACAATGTTGAAATCATTGGTACAGATGATGTCGTTTGCTTTTTTCTTTTTCTCTATTCTTTTCCACTAAAATTACAAGCGAGATTAGATTACAATCAATCAGTAATAATGAGAATTAAAAATAAAACAGATAGATCTACATGGAATGAAGTGAATCAAATTCATACTACTAAAATTCAAACACATCTCACTCTCTTCATTCACACTGTTGTCGTTTTCATCATTGAAAAAATCAAACCAACACACAAGTACACACACACAAACAAAGTACACCTATCAATTTGTTTATTCACATTAGGATAAAAGATTATAATTCCAAAGATCAAAAATCAACCATCAAAACAATAGATATCTTGTCTATGCCTCATCTCCCATCCCCCTTTAATTAAACAACATAATTATTATTATAATTATTAACGTATTGGTATTCATCATACCTCCACACTTCACATCACCAAATCCAAAACACATCATATTCATTCACACGTTTGACAACATCAACAATATCAATCATCAACTTTATGATCAACTTCAAGAAAAACAAACACCACTACTAGACATCACCCAAATTATTATTTTTCACACACAAACAAAGTGTGTACTTACCTTACCTTAACACTTCATAAGATTAAAAAAACAATAACCTTTAAAGTGTGTGTTTTGTGTATGTGTGTTGTTATTGTTGATGTTGTTGTTATGGATATTTTCTATTAAATGATGATCATACATTATTCCCACACTTGGGAATAGGTATATGAAGATCTTATAGATAATAGATTGAAGCGCCAATCATCTCCTATAAAAATTAATTTAAAATCAATTAAAATTTAAAAATCGTTCCAATCCAAGCGTGTATTCATATTATTGTCTATATCAACATATTAATTAACTAACGAGATAGCCAATCAATCTGTTAATACATCTTGATCGATCACCTAATCATTCCCAAAATATTTAAATCAAATTGGATGGATTCCAAAATCCATTTAATTAATCAATTTTAAAATTATTACTATAAACATATATTTAATCAAATAATTTATAAATTAATTAAAACATAAACTATAAATATATTTATTTTATTTTGTTGTTGTATTAATAGTCATTTATTTAATAAATATTTATAAAAAAACTATAAAACTTGTAATTTTAAAATTCTTTATAACTAACTTTTTAAAAACTAAAAAAATGTTGTACAATTCAATTCCAACTATTATCCAAACCAATAAATTTCAATTCTACAGGTGTAGTACAAGTAATAGTCATAGCATTAAAATACAAAATAGAGGTGGAATTAGAAGATATATAGCGGCAGCACTCGACAGCTACTCCCTACACTCTTCAATTTCAAACATGTCACACAGCAGCGGTAACAGCAGCAACAGCGGTAATAACAGCGGCAACAACGATGTCCACTATAAATCAAGAATCATCCTCACCGTCAAAGTACCAGAGATCTCCTTGACCAAGAAGATTCTCTTTGACCAAGTAGAGTCAATCAAAGATGCAATTGCATTGATCGTAGAGAAGCTTCCACCCGGTTGTCTCGAAAATCTCCACGAATACAACATCTACGTTCCACAAAAGAGTAAATGGTGTAAAATAGATTCTCCATTCACAAAATATCAATTCCGTGAAAATGTAAATACTATATATTAGAAAAATTAATTTATCCTTTTTTGTATTAATTACTTTTCTTTTCTTTTTTCATATTAATAGCAAGAGATAGAATTTAAACGTGATTCAAGAGGTGGTGTTAGTCATATTTTAAATTCAGTCGGTCATATTCTGAAACCATCGAGAACTGTACATATTCAACTTCCAGAGATTGTGGCTGTAGGACTGTCCACTGGTGCTTCGGCCATCTCTGGACAATCATCGGTCGAAACAACTCCACAATTCAATATGTCACAATCGACCACTCCAACTTTTGCATCTGCCAGCGGATCACTTAGAACATCTGCCGACAATACATTTATCACAGCACCACCACTTTCAATCCCATCAACATCAACAGCACCAACAACAATCAATCTTAGCACTAACAATTCACCTACACCATCCATTACAATTCAACGTCCATCCATACCAACTTTGAATCTCTCTGGATTGACTCCACCTTCGTCATCCTCGGTCATTCCACCATCGCCATCACCCTTGTCGTCGTCGCCACGCGCGCCACTCGAGCATAAAAAGTCATTCCTCCAACTGATTGGACTATCGCCACGCAATAGTTCACCAAGAACACCGTCACTCGCCATGACCACACCCATCACAACACCTCGTTCCATCGGAACTTATGCGCGTGCCGACAGCAGTTCGCGCGCCAGCTTCGACGTCGACGAACACACCACCGTCAAAGAGCTACTCCACAAAATCTACCAACACTACAGCCACATCGATCGTGAACTCCTCGACGACTACAATCTCCAGGTGCCAACCGACCAATCTTGGCTATCAGACCGCAACAAAACCATTGGAGAATATCAAATTCACCATTTCTCAGAGCTACAGTTCCGTCGCCAATACCAAAAAGTGAAAATCATCTTTTTGAATCGTGAAGTTGTCATTTCGCTCTGTCCAAACGAAACAATCGCCGCCATCACCAACAAATTCAAACAACAATACATCCCTTCGCTCATGAGAATGCACCGCTCACCTACCATCATCGGTGGTATCAGTAAACACCATCGTCAGTCACTCACTCTTGAGCCAATCCTAGAAGATAACAGCAGCAGCAACAGCAATCAAGCAACAACATCATCGTCTTCATCATCATCTTCTTCACCAGTTTTACAATCGGTAAACAAAACACGTTCACAAAGATCATACTCTGACAGTTCACCTCTTTCCTTTGCCGGCAAGAGTTCTAATCCAATCAACTCCACCGAACACTCAATCGATACAATCAAACGCAAAAACACCAATCCAAACAACAACAAAGACATCAACCAACAAATTGCATCATCACAACAACAGATCTCGCCAGAGCTCGTAGAGTTTAAAGATTTTAGATTTTTCCTATGTACCAAACACTCGAATCCAAACATTCAAAATCGTTTCGACTACCTCCTCGACGAGGATCGCACACTCGAATCATTCAACTTTTGGAACGGAGTGAAGCTACACTTTAAAAACAACAACACCACCTCACAATCGACACCACGCCTCAACAATACCTCGTTTTCCACCTGTAAATCGCCATTCTACATCACCATCGAAGCACCATCCCAACAGATCAACATGTCTCATGTTCTTGAAGTTGAATCTTCATCGCGAGTCTCTGATCTCATCAAATCTTATTCTCAAATTATTAGATCATCTTTAAATATTACAAAATTCAGTAAGTCACTGCTAATTAATCAAACTATTTTTAAAACAAATATATTAATATACCATTTTTATCTATAGATGATTCATTAGATGAATATGGAATTTATATAGATACTTCAGAAGAAGGTAAAGAAGGTATTGAATATGGACAATCTATTTTACTTTCAAATGAAAGATTACTATCGAGTTATCCAATCGATCCATTGGATAAGCTGATTTTCAAACGTACCAACTCGATTTTTGCAATGACCCCTCGCTCGCTTGAACAAGTTCTCGATGTCAACACTAGCTTGACGGTGCCATCGATACTCGTCCAGCTGAAACAAAAGTTAAAGTCACTCGATGGTTTCAACCAAGAAGGACTATTCAGACACTCCTCTCCGGACATTGCCATCTACTCGATCACCAAGTTGTTGGAGCGTGGCGACTTGATGTCACCGTCACTCTACCCACTCAGCAGCAGCACAGGACAACTCAACTCGTCCGCTCTTGTCGACCCAAGTTCGATTGACGCACACTCGATCGCTGCATTCATCAAACACTGGTTTATGAAGTTGCCCATCAAAGTATGCACACCGCTCGACGACCTCGAACTGCTACGCAACGCCGTGCTCAGCGAAGAGAACGCCATTCAAACCGTTAAAGAATCACTTCCCGAGCCAAATCGTTCACTCTTATTGTGGTTGGTCAGTCTACTCTCGGATATTGCACACAACGCTGCAACCAACAAGATGAATGCCAAGAATCTCGCTGTTGTCATGTCGTCGATCTTGTTGCCGGTCAGCCAGCAACAATCGATAGAGCAACAACGCCAACTCGAACGTCATCAATTGGTTACACTACTGCTGCAACACCTCATCAAGCATTCACTCAGAGAGAAAGGATTCATTCCACTCTCGTCTTCCTCCATTTCAATCTCAACAACATCCACCTCTTTTATCTCCACACACGGGTCGGCATCACCCATCACCTCTTCACTCATGTCTCGTTCACCTTCACTCACAGACATGTCTGAAGATCCATAAGATATTGATTGATATCAATCAATCAATCAACTCTACTCTTTTTTTATTATTTTATTTTCCTTCTCTTACTATCTATCATTACTCTTTCTTACTATCACTTCACTTACTTACTTACACGACGATAGACTTCTCTCTTTTCTTCTTTCTTTTGTGAATATCATTTTCCTCTTTTTTTTTTTTTTATATTTATTTTTTTTTTAAAAAAATAAAATAAATAACAATAAACAAAATAAACATTATTATTATTATCTAGTTTATCAAAAATTGGATAATATTTTAAACTATTAATTGTTATTATTATTATTTAAGCAGATTTTGCTTTCTTTATTGCCTTCATTTTATCGAGTAATGTCTTTTGATCTCTAAAGATGTTGGTAGTCAACTTTTTACATGCTGTACCAAAGTTAAAGTTATCTTCTTTAGTTTTGAAAGTTGTCTTTGAAATTGTAATCACTTCTTCTGATCCTTGTTTATATGATACTATAGGTATTAAAAAATAAATGATTGATTAATTAGTAAAAAAAAAGGTTGTCATGTTGGTTATATTTTTCTTAGTATCATACCATAGTCGGTATTTTCGAAAATTGGTAAAACTTTTTCGATTTGTTCAATTGCTTTGTCTCTCTTATTGATTTGATCTGGAATCATCGATGCAAGTTTGTTCTTTTCGGCTTCAGAGGTTGCTGGATCCTCAGAGAGTGCTTGACATCTAAATACACCTTCAACTGCTGTTGCTAAATTAGTCTACGTAAGAACAACAACAACAACAAACAATAAGATGATATTTTATTAATATATATTCATTTCTATTACTCTCTATCTATAGATTTATCTATCTATCTATCTATCTATCAATTTCTACAAATGTGACACTTACAATCAATTTTTTCAAATTACCTAATTCTTCACGTAACTTTTCAACAGTATTATATTCTTCACCGTAATCTTCTTTAACAGTTGGTGTTTCCTATATATATATATATATATATAATGTATATATTTATTTATTTAATTGTTAGAACATGTTGATACATAACTAACTATTTGATTTTTATATATGACTATTTAAATTACATACAACAATTGGTTGATTCATCCAATCAGCATCAGCTTCCATACCTGCTGGAATAGCTTTACCTCCCATTGGAATTGGTGTATCGTTATGATTCATCTCGTACTTTTATATTATAATATATAAATATTAATAAGACTAATATATTTACCAAACTTATATTTCTCTTTTTAGTAGATTAGTTTTTACAAAAAAAAAAAAAAAAAATCTTAAAAAAACAAAAAAAAAAGAGGCAAAAATTTAAATTATTCTTGCATGGGGTTCAAAAGTTCGATAGTTGCTGTTCCTTTTTAAGATCTAAAATAAACATAAACACATATATATCTTATTTATATTAAATTTACTTATTTAAAGTAATATTGTTAGATATTTTAGAAATAAATGAATATAAATGATTTTTATAATGAAATAGCTCGTTTGAATGATCCGAATTCATTAAAATGTAAATATATATCTTATCTTTAAAAGAAAGAGAGAGAAAATAATTATTAATATTTATATATAGTATTGATACAGAATGTTTTAAAAAACTATTGTATTAATCAGACTATAACAACTCAATATATAAAGTCATTCACTGATTTGGTTGTAGAGAGTATTGCTAATATCTCTGGTAATACAAACGATATCGATATTCTTAGAAAGTTAATCACATCCATTGGTTTGGTATGTTTCATCGATTTCGTTTTTTTTAAAAAACAACAAAAATAGATATATTTTTTTAACACTTTAATTTATTACTACACTATTTATTTTTATAGATTGCAAGATATTCACCTTATATCAATTCATTTAAAAGTTATTTAGATAGAGTTATCAATGATATCTTACTTGTCACTTTAAGATCATTCAATAATGTTACTGATTATGATAGTGTTGAAATAAGAGCACTTTATGTATGTATTATTATCGTTCATAGAATGAAACAGAGCAGTTTAATATTGATAATTTATTATTTTGAATATTTATAGGTTGAAACAATTAGATCATATACATTGATATTACAAGCATATAATGATCAAATGGATAAATATACTAAACCAGTGATTGAATCATTGACAAAGCATTTCGATTCTGGATTGTTCCCAGTGATTGTACAGAGTGAAATCGAACAGTATTCAATCACTTCAATCTTGGAGTTGGTTGCAGTTCTCATTCAAACATCACCCACTCTTATTTTAGATAATTTCAACCTTTTACAATATATTATAAATGTTTTTATGTATGTAGATTATTATTAATAGGATAGACTGACTATTCAATCAATCAATCAATCAATAATATTTAACTTTTTTTTAATTAAAATAGTAATTTAGATATCGAAAAATTCACACCAATCTTTGATGAGATTGTAAATGTAATTGGACATTACTTGCAAATGTTTATTTATGTACCTTTTGAATCGTTGGAACAGACACCTTCCACACAGAAAAAGAAGCATCCCAACGCCAGAGACGAGGAGAGTGACGATGACGATGACGAAGACCAAGACGATGAAACACAGACATTGACAGCAGAGCAACGACAAGAACAACTTAAAATCAAGAGATCGGAACTATCAAACTATAAGAAACCATCGATTCAGCAATCGATTCAATTACTTCAAAAAGTGACATCATCACCGAACCACCCCAAGAAGGAATCGTGCATCATACTCATGGGTATCATTTCTTCCTATTCATTGATACATCATTATTGTGAATGTCAACCGGTTGTTGAAATAGTATTTAATCATTTCTCTGATAGGTAGGTTATTAATGCTTTTTATAAATAACTTTTTTTTTTTTTCTAACAATCTTTATGAATAGATTTAATGAACAAGATGAACATTTAAAATTGGTAATCAATTGTCTGGCATATGTATTCTCAAATACACCTAGAGAATTGGAAATAGTACAACAATATCTACCGGTATTCTTTAATAAGGTTACATTGTATTTCACCAATATAAAGAATCACTCCAAAGAGAATCCAACCAACAAATCGCTTCGTACGGCACTTGCTGCTTCAAGAGAGATAGTCAGCCATGCAATCTCCAAGATGTTACTGTTATTCGATTGTTTCTTTGAGTATGCCGATGAGTTTATATCGTTTGCCTACGTTCTTGCCGAGCCAATGGTTCTTTCCAACTTTTTATATGCACTCCTCTTCCAATTGGAATCCAGTACATCCAACGAACAGAGACAACAATTCGATCAAGTCTATCTACCAAAAGTTATGAAACCATTATTATCACAATTATCATCAAAATATCAATCTGTAAGTTATCTTTTTATTAACTTGTCACAACAATAATATTAACATTACACATCTTTTTAGTCTACTAAATTATCAAGTAGTATACTAAAGAGTTTAAATAATATAAGTACATTTGGTGAGATGTATATTAAGGATTATTATAATGATATTATCGATTTGGTAGAAACCGTTTTGAAGTGTAGTTGGCAAACCTTTATTCCATACTCTATCGATTCGATTTCAATACTCTCAAAGATTACGATCAAGGGTGAATGTTCGCAGGTGCAACTCGAAAAGATATGGAGAATCTTTGGTTTGATCCTTACAGATCGAATCGTGTCGAACGAAGACGGTATAGATTTTGATTTGGTGAACCGATCGAAATTCATTGTACTCGAAGAGATTTCGTCGTATTTAGAGTCGGTCGTCAACGGTACTTGTGCCTCCAGTAAGACATGCGCACCAAAGCCAGAGCAACTGGCAACTCTCTACCGGTATCTCCTCGCGAATATCGGATGTGTAGAGGTAACCTTTGATTCTGATCTCTACCTCAGAATGTCACAACTTACCGTTTTAAACAGTCTGTTGAAATACTCTGAAAAAGTGGTGGTGGCGGCGGCGGTCCAATCCAATGATGTTTCCAAAGACATTGATAGCTCGATTCACTCGGTTGTCGCCGAGTTGATACTACTATCAAACATGGACGATGAAGAACAACAAGATACTCTAATGGATCATTTCATAGATATAGTAAACTCTAGTAATTTCACTTCATACAAAGTGATTTTAGAGAGATTAGTAAAAGAAAATAACAAAATTTCTATCACAATCAAAGAAAAGTTGTTTGAAAAAAAATAAATAATTATTTAACCAATATTAATGTTTGGTTCAATTATAAAAAAACATACAAAATTGAACTTTATAAATTGCAATCATATGGCTGTTGAATTTATAATTTTAAGTTTTAAAAAAAACACAAATAAAATTAATTTTGTAAGTTTTTTTTTTTTTGTTTTGATAAAATTATGCCCTGGGAAAAAGTCATACTTATGATTCATGTTGACTCAACTTTGAAAATCATGAATTTTTGATAAAGATCATGATCTTTTATTTAATTTCTTTTTTTCTAATTTTGATTTAAATAATTACTTTTTTTATTTTCTTTAAATATGAACTTGATTAACCTTTCATTCGATTCATATCAAATTAAATAACTCTTTTTATAAATATTAATAATAAAATTATATGCAAATCTTTGTAAAGACTTTAACAGGAAAGACAATCACGCTGGAGGTAGAGGGAAGTGATAGCATCGAGAATGTCAAGATCAAGATTCAAGACAAGGAAGGAATCCCACCAGATCAACAACGTTTGATTTTCGCAGGTAAACAATTGGAAGATGGAAGAACACTCTCTGATTACAATATTCTAAAGGAATCTACTCTTCATTTGGTTCTCAGACTTCGTGGTGGTATGCAAGTCTTTGTAGAGACATTGAATGGAAAGATCATTACATTAGAGGTAGAGGAATCGGATACGATAGAGAATGTCAAGGCCAAAGTTACAGAAAAGCTTGGTTACCCACCAACCCAACAAAATCTTATTTGCAACAAAAAGAAATTAGAAAATGGAAGAACACTTTTCGATTATAATATCCAAAAGGAATCAAAAATATATTTAACCCTTTGGATGAGAGATCCAGGACCTCAATAAATCAATTTTTAAGTAAACATCAACCAAATTTACTACTTTTTTTTGTTATTTTTTTTTGCAATATTTTTTTTAATTTTTGTGTTAGAAAAATTGATCAACAATAAATAAATAAATAACTTTCTACAATTATATTTGTAATAACTTAAATCAACTTCTTCATTAATTTCAAATAAGAATAATGGTACAAAACTATCTGAGAACATGATTTAAATCTTTACAATGTTTCAGCAATTAGTAGACTAGTTTGGATCAAAGATGATTTACATAAAGACTGTTGAACTTGATCAACTGCCTAAAATCAATATTGTAAGTTTATTTGTAAAATTTATTTTATTAATTTGTTTTCAACTGTCTATTCAAGTTAATATAGCTTCACTGCTGTTATTTACATTTATTTGCTCTCTTGACTGTATTATCCAACTTGATTGGATACCAAACATTTTAGGACATCGATCACATGCCACAACTGATGTAGTAAACAGTAGTTCGAATAAGGATTGAAGTATGTAGCTACATAGAGTATTTTAAAACTGTGAGATATAGGTTATTTCCCGTTGTTAAAGTATACGAATAGATATCCAATTATCATATAGATCTCCTACGTCTCAAAGTGGTGTTAACCCCAGTGGTCCCCCATATTGCTAAGTTGGTGTCCTACAGATTCGTCATACTACAGTATTTAAGTCGTCGCTCTTAGCTCTTTAACAAGTCGTCTTTCACTCAAACAAATAACTTGTTTAATTCCATGGAAAAACAGAAACAAATTAAAAAAATTTGTGTGGTTGACCCCCAAATTTTAATTTTTTTCCATCTATCATTAATTGAATGGAATTAAACCTTATAATAAATAAATAATTATCTTTGTTTTACTTATATTTATTTACTTTTATTATAATATATACTCGAACTGCTATAACATCACATTTGGCGAATATTCAGTTATAAAATACAATTTTATTGGTTTACTTAAATTTTATTACATATTCCACCATGAAGTCACTTTTATTTTCTAGGGAGGCTGGTTCTCAGCTGTCATTTGCAGAGTTCCTGTGTTATGCCGAGAAAGTTCTTGTCAAGAAGGAAGCTGGCCAGGGACATCGAGAAGAAAACGCAGTTGCCACCAATAGAGTACATCGCTCCGCACGTTATCGGTCTGGCTTTGAGATCGATAGTGAGTTGCTCTACTGTTAGTGCCGTGATGAAAGAATTGGAAAAGGTCTTCGGAGATATATATGGATCGTAACTAGATCGGCTAAAGATGCTGCGAATGACCACTGCTCCTACCTCCGATGCCATGTTCAGAACGTCAAATCGTTGGCATCTAAATTACCGGATGTTTCGGCGAGAGAGTTGTTGGCTGCCTTCTACGAAACTTTGGATCAAGCTTTCAAAGAAAAGGTTGTGAATACGCTGCCCAAGACCATGGATCAAGATATAGAATGCCGTTGAATTACTTCAAGCTGGCACTGTTTATCTACATATGTATAACCCTGCTCTACACTGTGTATACGTATTGTATGCAAGAGACAGGTTGAACCGGTAATGGTCAGAATCAATCTTCAGGTGTAGCCAAATGTGATGTTATAGCAGTTCGATTATATTTTAATAAAAGTAAATAAGATAATTATAAGTAAAACAAAGATAATTATTGATTATAAGTTATTTGTTTGAGTGAAAGACTACTGGCTAAAGAGCTACTGTAAGAGCGACGACTTAAATACTGTAGTATAACGAATCTGTAGGGCACCAACTTAGCAACATGGTGGACCACTGGGGTTAATACCACTTTGAGACGTAGGAAATCTATTTGATAATTGGATATCTATTCGTATTCTTTTTCACAATTGAAATAACTTATATCTGCCATAAAAACTCACAACAAGTTTCTGTAGTGTAGTGGTTATCACATATCCTTCACACGGATAGGGTCCTGAGTTCAATCCTCAGCAGAAACAAATTTATAATTCAAAAGAACCGCTTGCGGGTATTTCCAAAATTTCCCGACTTGTAAATAATGGGTTTTAAAATAAGTGTCATTGCTTGATGAAGTGCATCTATATCATTTTAAAAGCTGGATCAACCACAAGGGCACTGGTCATGTCTGTGAGTTCTGTGGTGACACCTTCGCTGAACTCTGCAACCCTCATGAGCATTTCTTCTTCAAATGCAGGAATGTAGTTTCACAGCAGTTCCTTTCCTTTATCAAACATATACCACAAGTACTGTAACTATAGACTTCGTAATTGGAAGCACTCGTGTATCAAGTTCGACGGTCCTATTCGTACTACTGTCCACTTCACCCACCTTACTGCTGCTATCGTACATTCGTTATGGCAGGCGCTGTCCTGTGAAATGTTTAGTGATGGTACCCATTACAAGCTGGAAAATACCGTCAAAAGAGCAGTCACCCATTATACCAAATTAATCGATGCCAATTACCACAAGCTTAACTTCACAATCGCTAATTCTATCTCCCAAGGAATCACTGTCGATTGCTCTGCAATAACACGTAAATTTAAATCTGATTGGAATCTAAATCCTTCCAACTATGTGCCACCACTTTATACTGTTGTTCATCAACACGCAACTACTGTTAGATCCATTCTATCCTAATACTACTCAACTTATTAATCAATAATAACTATAAACAATAATAATAATAATAATATAATAATAATAATAATATTTTATTGGCTATTTCTCACGGCCTGTGTGGGAATGTATATATAATATAATATTAAACACGAAATAGCAGGTTAATATCAATACAGGCAATTTGTTGACTGATTATGAGTGAACAAATTTTTTTTTGCAAAAAAAAAAAAAAAATAACCAAAAAAAAAAAAAAATAGTTTTATTTATAAGAAATGAATACAGCACCAATACATAATGTCCTTACAAATAAATATCTATTTAAAAAGATAATATTATCATTACCAACCTATTCGATATTACCAAATAATCCACAACATCTATCATTAAATGCTAAAGTACAACAAACAGGTTGGAGATGTAGATCATATCATTATCAAAAGTTATCAGAGTTATTAGATGTCGGTTATTACTCTTTGATTTTAGATCGTATTAAATCGGGTAGCATCAGCATCACTAATGATTGTATTAGAACACTGGTAAAATCATCGTTGATCTCTGACCAGCTATTTGAATCGATCTATCAGTTGAAGCAATGGATGTTTGTCAATGAAGATCTATTGTTTTGTGCAGTGGAGAGTGGTCATCTTGAGCGAGTGAAGCTGTTTGCACAACAAAGTTATCCTGTCATTCAGAGTAGACAAACCGTTAAAATAAGTATAGCACATCATGCTTGGCAGTGTCTTCAATTCGAGATCTACAACTATCTAGTTAAACATGTTTGTAAAGATAATGGTGAAGCGATGGGAGATCTCTCTCCGGGGTCTAAATCCAAATTACTTTTAGATAACATTTCAAAGTTGGAGAATTTCGATTATCTATACGAGATATTAGATGCTTCACCCAATGATAATACACTCTACCCAATCAAATTGCTATTACTGCAAAGCAATCGATACAAGGTTTCAAAGGAGCTGCTAGTTAAAGTCAATGGACTACAAGTGATTCAAAAGATGTTTCCACCGTTTGAATTCAGTGATCAATTCATTGAACATCTATTTCAAAGTTTAGAGTGTTCAGAGTATCACTTGAAGGTACTTGATAAAATAGCAAAAGGATTACCATTGGATACGATGAAGAAAGAGATAAAACAATCACTCTCTGAATCGTTGGAAACATTGAAACGATTTAATATCAAGTTGGAACAAAGTGTTTTGGATCATCAAGAATCATTTGAATTCTATGTCTTGCTATTCAAAGCTTTGGTTAAAACACTAACAAGATATCGTCCGATTTTCGAAATGAATGTCTATCAGGATTTTTGTATCAAACTCATTAAAAGTAGTGGTTTGGTTGGATTACCGATTGTTCTTGGCCTTGGTTTATCACCAAGTCATCAGTGCAACCATTTTGTCAAATATGGTACATTGGAACAAGTGAAATTGGCAAGAGAAATTTCACTTTCAAGTTATAACTATCATTTCGTCAAGACATGGGTAATTGAAAGTTTTAAAAATCAAGATGACAATATATTCAACATCTTTGTTGAACAATATGGTTATGATACTATTGCTTCGCAATTCGATGCGCTATCTACTCAATCTCTATCCATTAGCTCTTTGGAAAAGTTAACACTTTGTCATAGAATCGATCCGTCGCTTCAACACATTAATAGAGATTCATCATTGAATATACGATCGATGAACACTGAATATGTAAATTATCTCATGACTTTATCGATGCAACTAGGAGTAGCAAGTGACTCATTTCTTTTCAACTATTTGGTGGATGTTACTTACTATTCGGATCAAATAGAACATTTCAAAACAATAGTTACAAAAGAAATAGGATGTAACCATTTGAGCGCATTACTGGATTCAGCCATCAAGTCATTGAAATATCAATATATAAGTTATATCATTTCAATAGATTCAAAGATTTTGGAGAAATCCATTGAAACAGTTGCATTGGTAGGAGATATTGGTGTTTTGCAAATGATCGACCATCATCTGTCCAGTAACAATCAACTTTTAAGTAAATTAGTATATCATCTTTTGGTAAATGGTCAATTCTCATTATTGGAATACTGTAAAGAGCAATACAGAGATAGTACAATCAATATATCTGAGCATATGACATCGATCATTCAATTTGGTAGATTGGATATCATTAAATATTATATCAATCATTGTCAACAAGAAATGGAAACAACAACAACGCTACATGAGATCACCAAGGAATCAATAACATCAGGACAACTAGAGATATTCAAATATTTAATAGAGAATGTTGTATCAATCGATAGAGCACAACAAATTTGGCGATCAATGTTCACAGAACAGAATCTAAAGAGTTTATTAAACAGTAAATTCGCTATACCAATGTTAACCTATGCAATTAGTCATGATGCTACACTTGAACTGACCGAAAGAATTATCATATCAGCTAAAAAGAAATCAAAATATAATTTAATTGATAATTAAAAAAATAATAAATAAATAAAAAAATTTTAATAAAAATAAATATTGATCGTAAATCTTTTTTGACCTTTCAAACTAGTGCTATCTTACGATTTTTTTTTTGATCGGTGTTTTGGTTTTTTTTATTTTTTTTTTTGTTTTGTGCTCCGCTTCCCAAAGCAAAGAGATCTTTTTGTGTTTTTCAATGTTTTGAAAAATCTTTTTTCTTTTTTTAATTTTGATGATGATTATTTTAGTTGGTATTGGGTGGGGAACGGACTACATCAAATCATCAACAATAAATAACCATTGTTGTTGATTAATTAAACAAAAAGAAAAAAATAGTAAAACAAACAATCTTTGTTTTATTTGTATATTTATCGATTGTGTTTTTTTTTTTAGAATTGTTATATCTTATTTATTTAAATATGTCAATTGATTCTGAATCGGAATCGATAGCAACTACAACATCATCATCACCACCATCATCATCGTTGGAAATCAATAATAACAGCGAAAATAATAACAATAAAAATAAATTTGAAAGTAATCTTATTAGTGAAAGAAAAAAGATTGAAAGTTGGAAAGATTTTGAATCAACCTTTAGAAATGAAAAGTTGATTTCAAAAGTAAGTAAAATTTAACATTGGTTTAATTTACATTGGTATTAATATTCTTTATTAATTATTTGAAATAGGGATCATTTCCAAATTGTTTTTATCATTGTATAATATATTTTTTGTCGGAAATATCTGAAAATATCACATTGATTCCAAGATGTTTTCAACAACTCCGATATAGGGTTAGTGATTATTTGGATGAACAGTTTTTAGGTGGTGGTCAACCAGTGGATTTTGAAAAGCATTTGAGGAGTGCAAATGTTATACAACCCGAACTAAACATAAGGTGTTGGGATGACTTTGTTCTGGCGATATGCGAAACTCTGTTTCCAGGTGCATTGGAAATCGATGCATTGGTACAGCTCTACAGTATATGGACCGCCGGTGAGAAACTGTGCATTGAGGTGCACGACAGTCAGTTTGAACAACCGGTGATCTACGGTGACGCCTCGATAGCCAAGAACGACAAGCGTCGCCGCTGGCGACTAGCCAAACACACCAACCAATATCGCGTCATCCTCGATCCATTCCTCGATATTTCATTCCAACCTTCGTTGTCACCCGCCAACATTTCCTCACCAAAACTCATTCCCACACTGGCCTCTTCAATGGCCACACCGTTTTCACCGTCATCGCCAAGCTCTCAAGTCAAATTCAATAGTTCGTTTGGAGGTTCCGATTCCTCTTTGGAGTATACCAACGAGGACGATTGGAAATACGAAGTCGACAACTGTCTTTATCTGTCGAGTGCATGCTACCAGAGCAATCCAATCGGCTACCTCAATGCATTGGACAACAAGTATAAACATACCATCAACAGTTGTATTAGTGGTGATACTTTTATCGTTGACAAACGATCGTCTATCAAGTTGGTACAACCTTTTCTTCTGGCTTCACGACTACCGATTCCAGGCTCAAAGATCGGTTCGTTCCGCTCGAGAAAGACCTACTACATATCGTTCAAATGCATACCAGAGATCATCATAGATCAACTTCAACAACAGCAACAACGACAGCAATATGATAATCAGCAATCGCAGGTCTACGAAATGCCACAGCAAATGCCAGAGTCATTGCAACAACAGCAGCAACAACAACAGCAACAACAGATATTCAGAAGTTTCTCGAATATCGGATTCGTCAATCAATATTATTTTAGTCAAACTGAATCATTCCCATTGGTTCAGCTCTTTAAATGGATTCAAAAAGGTAGTAACCTTGTGATAACAGGACACAGTGTTGGCGGTGCCATCGCAGTAGTACTGGCATTACGAATGCTATTTGAACCATATATATCACGTGATCTACTTCGTACTCGTCTACTATGCATCGTCTTTGGTGCACCGCTAGTAGCTTTCGACTACCGACCGTCCAACATCTATGAACAACAGATACACAACGTAGTCAGTGTCAACGATCCAATACCCAACCTTCTAAACACACTTACATCATTACAAATACAACAAAAATCAACAACAAATAACAATAATAATAATAATACATCTACAACTACAACTACTACATCATTACAAGATTCAGTTGGTCAATTAGTTAGATCAACATTACAAAGATTATTTTATAATACAACATTGTCAACAACCATCACAAAAGATACATTACATCTCTTCTCAGAGACATCGACAAAGCAGATTAAAGCATTGTCACAACTTAGTCTACTTGGTATCTATCATTTGATAGGTGATCAAACTGCAACCAAAGGATATCAATCACTAAAGTCATGGGTTTCAAAAGATGCTGCCAAACTAGAGAAACTGATAACCAATGCTCTTTCAAAGGAGATGAGTGACGAACGAATTCAAGAATCGATAAGTAATCATTTGATTGCCAACTATATCAATCAGATATCATCGACCAACATTACACGTAACAACTATACAACACTAGATAACGTGGTACCTCTCGATTGTCAACCTAGAATCGATAATGTAACCGTTATTGTTGTACCAGAGAATGGTGTAGTCGTTAAGATCGAAGGTCCGTACGTCAGCTTTATTGGTGCAGCTGGTCTACCAGGTAGACTACCAACTGTATCAGTTAATATTAGACATATCAATTGTATAGAGATGATATATAATAAGATAGCAGATTTCTCTGATATAATAACACAACAACAATCACAACAATCAAATGAAAATTCATTACAACAACAACAACAGCTACAACAACAACAACAACCAAAGATAAAAGTTAAATATTTAACTATATTTAAAGATTATGTAGATGATTTATTCAATGTACAGGTTGTAAATTATATAATATCGGATCTGCTATGTACGGTTGGATCTAAATCACTAAGAGATCTACTCAACTCTTCACTGTGGATGTTCATCTTGAGTGACACTCATGACTCGCGTAGACTTCACAGGTTGTTGGATAGATTCTTGTCGACTGTGCCATGCCACTATTTAGTTTGTCAGGCAGTACGTTCCAAGAGTGAAGAAACCAAGAAGCTCTGTCTTGATATTCTATCAAAGCTAACCGATGAACAGCTTGCATCTGCCTTTGCCAATGCACAACATCTCGGTGTATCTATAGGTGAACTCAGAGATCTACAACTCCGTGACAAAGACCTCCAGTTCCCAAGTGTAAATATGACCGTATGCACCGAGCCGAGAATACTGGCACTCTCTAAACAGCCACAGACCGCCATTCGCAGTTGGAGTAGTGTAACCAACGACTTTGAGAGACAACGAAGCATACTCGATCTCTTTATAAGCTTCCGAGAGGAACCTACACAATTCCCAGATGGATTGATCGAACGACTGCTCGGATCAACGCCCAAAGACTACGCAACCATCAAGAATACTCTTATCAAGAGTTTCAAGATCGATTCGCTTCCCAGTGGTCTTGATCTAACCAAAGATTTTATGACAGAGATGGCACTATACAAACACTTTAAACAACGTGGATTCCTGTTGCGATCGTTCGATCATCAACTATCAGACTACCAGTGGTCGACTTCAAAGCCAGAGAGAATACTTTCACTCTACCATACCATGTTGATACACGAACTCCGTCTAGAGTTGGCAGTACCGCGTATAGTAGTTGCCGGAGTAAAGTCTGTTGGTAAATCCACTGCCATAGAGAAAGTATTTGGAATACCTTGTAGTCATATCGATGGAGTTGGATTGCACTATGGTGAAGGACACACCACTACCATCCCAGGTTTCTATCATATGGCTGGTAACACCAATGTTCATGTAATCGATTGTCCAAGCAGTGGAACAACAACTACTACTACCACCACTTCTACAGATATTCCACAGTTAGTCACTTGCGATCCAATCATAAAATCAATTGCTGACATTGCACTGGCAACACCTGGCATTTGCATGGTTATGCTCAACATGTCTAGCATCAGCTCCATAGAAACATTTGAATTGATTCGTCAATTCAGACAGGCATCCCCTCAGCGCCCGATAATCATATGCATCAACAAAATAGACGAATGGTATAGAGAACTCAGTATCGACAGTGAATTCAACAAAGAGTCACCCACAACAGCAGTAACTGATGAACTTGTCAAAAAGATTTCAAATCACTGGAAAAAGGTAATTATTATTATTTTTCATTATTTTTATCAACAACATGTTGGAAATAGATATTTTTGTTTGTTGTTATCAAATGTGTTTGTTATTTTTATAAGAGACAAAAAAATAGATATATAAGGTTTGAATGATGTCCAGTCAACAACAAAAAATGGGGAGATTTTTGTTTGTCTAAATTTTGTTGTCTAAATTTTGTCTATAAAATTTTTAATCATATGTGCAAAGCATATCTACTCCAACAATCTATCACATCAATTTTAAAGAAAAATCAGATTATCATGTAGGCAATCAATATTTGCATTTATGATTTTGACAAAAAAAAAAAACAAAAAATGATCAAGTCAAGAACTGCAAAGATTTTTTACATTTGTGGATGTTTTGCGTGTGGATTTCGATTGGATTCATGAATAATAATGTAATGTAACCATGAAATTTAAAAGATCTCATTTTCTTTTTCACATGAATTATCTTGTAATGAAAACCACATATCTTGATATCATTTTATTTAAAAAAATAAATATCTTGTCTATATTTTGTATACTAATAAAAATCTTTTTAACACAGATGACTCAACCTCTTAGAGAGAGATTACATAAAGATGACTACCTTATTCCAACAGTGATAGATAGAAAATCAATGACAAATGAACAACTAAAGAGACTTTGTCGAGTTTTCGAATTCAAGGAGGAACTTGAGGATGATGCCCGCTTTATTTCAAGAAAGTCTCCCTCATTCCTCCATTTGGCAATCGATATTAGAGAAATCATAGGAGAAATCTTTGCAAGCCTCAAATGGCTTTCTGAAAAAGAAATTCTGGTGTGGAGGACCTACAGTGAGGAATTGAATTCAAAAATCCCCTTAAAGACAATCTACTTGTGAACACGTAGCTAGCTTTTGGATGTGGAAGCGTAGGTGTTTTGGATTGGGGAGCCGCCACATATTTTTTTCTTTACCCTGCAAATCTCTAAAATATCAATGAATATGAAAAACCGAAAAAACAAACAATTGACTTTATCAAAAATCAAGTTATTTATGTTTGCAAAAGCAATAATAATCGAAATAAAATTAACAACAATAATTTTTATTTTAAAATATTTTTTAAAGACTTGCTTCGCAACCAAAAAAATAAATAAAAACGACAACTCTATTTTGAAGATCATATTGACAAAAAAAAAACAAAAATATCATTTTGATTGATCCCACGTGCGTTTCTATCAAAATTAAATTTCTCAAGTGCTAAAAATGGAATCGTCAAAAACTATTTTTTTGTTTTTACAAAAAAAGTCATATTATTTTTTAGATGATGCATTTGAAAAAAATAAATGGTCATGACAATAACAACCAGAGTATATTGGGGTAGACAAGGACTACCAAATATTTTGATATCATATTTCATTGTAAATGGATGTTTTTATTTTATTTTAAAATCAAAGACGACAGTCAGACAAAATCAAAAACAACAATATATTGTTTTTAACACAGTTGTATAGCCCATTAATTTAAACAAGAGTATGCATTCCTTATATTTTCTACCCCATTCAACAAGTATTAACTAATGAATTGTTTATGATTCGTTTTTTCGATCAACCATCATTTCGTTTTTGTTCTATGGCTAGAGAAAATGTGATACCGCTTTTGGTTATGAAGAAAATTATCATTCGTTTCCGGTTAGATCTGTGATAAGCGAATAAAAAAGCAATGGGAAATTTTAATTTGTTTTTAAAATGTATGGTTACTGGATTTTTGGAGATACAATTCTACAGCCACACAACTAGAACCCACACTGCTGTGATGGCTTTTTCAACACTCTATAAAAAGGCTCGAGCCATATTTTAGAGATCATTCGTTTTCTTCCACAACTTAAACAAATACATACACACACAAGAATAGTATTATCTATTCCTTTTTTTTTACAATTATTTGTATATAAATCGATTTCCAATATTTATATTTCTTTTTTAGATATATAAATATTTTTTCCCCCTTCACAATTAATTTTATATCTCTATGATATTATAATTATTGTTTTTCCCCTTTTACTATTATCGTTTTTCCCCTTTACTATATAATACTTACTTATATAGTTTTTCCCCAAAAATTAATTTTTTTTTAAAAATTAATTTATCTACCTTTATCTATATATTTTTTATATATTAACCTTTATCTATTATTATTTTTATTAATCTTATTTTTATACAATAATTAAAAAAAAACAAAAAAAAAAATGGAATCCAATTTCGTTTTATCTAAAATTATCAATCAAAACACTGAAAAGGGTAATAGATCAATTCCAAGATTACCACCAGTTGTTGATAATAAAAAAATTATTGCCTACTCCCATCCAAGATCCTACCAAATTCGTCCATCTTTGACACCAAAGCACGAGACCATTCATGCCTACGATAAAGAATCCAAAAGAGTTGCCGGTTCCTACAGTTGCAACATCAAAGACCAAAAGATCAATGGTTACAATAAAACCATTGTCTACACCTTTGACTACAGTGTCCATCCGGACTTTAGACGTCACGGTTTGTTCACCATTTTGTTGAGAGACATGATCAACAAAACCCATTCCAACGATGCTGTAATCTCTGCCTCAGTCCTCAAAAAGCCAGACAGTCCTTCATTCAAAGGATGTATGAATGTTGGTTTCCGTTATTTCTGTGACCAATTCCAGTATGCCTGGCCATCCGATCACATGATTCCACTCGAGCCATTGCCACACGGTTGTGAAATGCAAATCTGGGAGGAGAAGGATAACAAGTTCATCGCCGAGAGATGGCAAGCCGCCTTTGGTCACTGGAACTTCATTCCACAGGATTTCAATGAACTCCTCAGCTACAACCAAAAGTACATCGCCGGTACCTACTTTGCCCAAATGCGTCATGGTGACACTGTTTCCGAGGCCTCCATCAGTGTTTGGAATTCCGATTTGATTTTCAACTTGAGTAGCGGTTCCGCCGATAAGTCCCACAGACAACTCTTCTCGTGCTACTCAATGGGTGAGCATGGTGACTTTGTCTTTGAACAACTTTTGAAACACGTCAACAATCACCAACACCAACAAGGAGTCAACTTTTTGTTTGCTGGTTTCTCAGAGTTTGATCCAATCAGAAAGCACTTCCCATTGTTCCGATCGATCAAGACCCTCGATTTCGCACATATCATCTACACCAGTTCCGAAGAGGAATGGAATTTCCTTCAACAAAAGAAACAAGTTGTTCCAGTATACAATGACCCAAGAGATTACGGTATTCTAACTTTATTAAGAGATACACCACTTGCTTCTCTCTAAAAGAATCTTAAAAAAAATAAAAATAAAACAAAATAATCAATCAATCAATCAAAAAAAAACAAAAATATCTTTCATTTTTCTTTTAAATTTAAAAAAAAAAAATACTATAAACTTCTCAATTCTATCAACATCTTTATAAATAATTAAACAATCACAAAAAAAAAAACTTACCCATACATGAAATAAATGAATTCATCACTACAAAAAATTACCCAAAAGAGGTAAAAATTTATTTTTCACCAATAAAAATCTTTTGAATCCTTGCAAATTTGAAACCAACACTGTTTAAATTGCATTGGGAGCTCTATTTAATTGTGATTGTGTGGTGATTACAATGTATAGTATCAAAATATTGATTTTTATTGATGAGTTGGCTTGCTGTTGATGATTACGCCACACAATTAAAGATTCCGTCGTATAAGCAGCATAGTAAATAAACACTTTTTGAATCGAATACTATCCTACAGAATCTGAGAACATAATTGGTCAAAAGTAGCTACTTTACAAATGTGTAAGTAAACACATCTGTTACCTAGTGGTAACTTTGTATGAAATAAAATCTATCTAATTATTTATCTTCTGGATAGTTGATTTTTTATTTTGATTAAAGTATTGAAAAGAAAAAACTTATTCTAAAAAATTTTTAATGTAAATTATCCACTTCTTGATATTTTGATTCTTGAACAGCTAATTCAACTTTATAATATGAATCAATTAATATATAAAATTTCAAACAGAATATCAATCAATTGCGAAATTCAATCAATTTAAAAACACCAATCCAGTGATTTGATTTATTAATTATTATTTTCTTTCTTGGTGTTAAATGGGGCAATGAAGATGTGAACAAAAGTGAACTATTTAATTTGATGTTTAGTTTAAACACTACACATATTTCACACTATGTGTTGATCGATTTTGTTTTAATTTTTTAAATCTTTGTTTTTAGTCTCGATTACGATCAGGTAGATGTGGTTTTTCGTAAATAGGGGAGTTCACAAGTGTTAGTCTGACTTTTACTTTAACACAAAAAAATAAATTAAAAAGCAAAAAAAAAAAAAGATATATTTGTTTTGAAGGATTTCATTTGTGATTTCACAGAGAACAACACACTGTTGGAAGTGTTCAGTAAATATAAATTATTTTGCCTTTAAAAGAATAAATAAAAAAAAGAATAGTTAGGGTAGTTAATATCACATCCTATCATCATTATTAATATTGAAATACCAAATCCTAAAAATAAGTTGGGCAAACGAGATCAACCTTTAAAAAACTCGCACCAAATATAAATTAAAAAAAATATATACAATAGTTTTAATTATATGTTGGTGTAGTGGCACCGCTGTATAGGTGCGTGTTAATTTTTCGAGAGAAAAAGAAAGTTAGATAAAAGTAAATAAACAAGTGGAAAAGAAAAAGAAAAAGGGTTTAGTAATTGGGTGATGATGGATTTGGTTGTGTGTGTTTTTTTTTATTTTGTTTGCTTTGCTTTGTTTGATTGATCGAGTTTTAATCCTTACCATCGATGAAGTGATGAAGTGATAAAGTGTGCAAGAGGGATGAATGTGAAGTTGGATGGTTGATCTTTTTATCTTCATCTATCTAATTTTATCTCTAATTTTCCATTGAAATTTGAAAATAACAAAATGTTTTATTTTAAAAGTGATAGTAGCTTTAATGCATAAACACAACAAAGGTGCATAGGAAGTCTACAGTTTTAATTCTAAAGGATCAATAAATTAAAAAAAATATAATAAATCACATTTAAGAAAAAATCCTTATTTAAAGGAATTTAAAATGATCATTCTATTCATTAAAAATAACAACAAATATATTTTATAGAATTCCACATCATATAAATATAAAATTATAAATTATAAATTATAAATATCATTTTAAATTATATATTCTATAAATTATTAATAATTATTATTATAATAAATATTTATTAATAAAAAAAAAATGTTTTCAAATAATATAAATAATTATCTGACTAGAGTCCTTTTGATGATAATTTTCATTTTTATCTTTTACAATAATGTAAATGGTATGGAAAGTGGTCCTTTGATCAATTTCAAAAAAAAAAAAAAACCTATTAATAGAAATTTCTTTTTTTTTCTATTCTTCTTTTATGTTTTGATTTCATCCAGCTCAACTTTCTATTGGTTCAATTGGTACGATTGCTGGTGGTGGTAGTGCTCCAATAAATTATTGTGCGTCAACATGCAACAGCAGAGACAAATGCTACAAAGATTCGTGTCCATTCGTAGGTGGTTGTTTTAAGAATCAAATTGATTTGGACGACAACAACAAGTGTACTATCGATACCTGTAACTATTTGACGGGTGTAGTTAGAACCGCTGTCACTTGTAACGATGGAAATGCCAATACCATAGATAGTTGCGATCCAAAGACTGGCTGTGTCTACACACCGTTCTTTTGTTTGAATAGCTCGGCTTGCCCAACACCAAACACCAACCCATGCATCACCTATTTCACACAGAACAACAAGTGCTGTCAGAAACCAACCGCTTGCAACGACTACAATGCATGCACTGCTGACGGATGCTCGCCAACCAGTGGATGCACCTTTGTCAATATCACTTGCAACGATAACAATCCATGCACCAACGATTTCTGCTCGCCATCGACCGGTTGCTACTTTACACCAAACAACAAGTGTGATGACAACAATCTCTGTACTATCGACCAATGCAACTCTGCCAATGGTAACTGTATCAATAGTCCAGTGAATTGTGACGATGGTAACTCGAATACCATTGATTCATGTCAACCAAGTGTTGGCTGCATTCACCGTGCCAGTGCCAGCAGTTGTGACGACAACAATCTATGCACAATCGATACTTTCAATACAACTTCCAACCAATGTCAATACTCACTTAAAACATGTGCAACCAACACCTTCTGTACTATTTGGTCATGTGATCCAATTCAAGGATGCACGTAAGTACTTCTGAAATAACATAATAGTAATACAATTAATTGAAACTAACTGGTCGTTATTATTACTTTTTTTAGTGCTTCATCACCAGCATGTGACGATGGTAATCCATGTACTCTTGATGTATGTGATTCAAGTACTCAAAGTTGTGCTCATATCAAGAAAGATTGTAATGATAACAACCGATGTACATTCGATACATGCAATACAGCCACTGGACAATGTCAAAATATTCTAAACACTGTTGGATGTACACCATAAACAACGATAATGTATAACAGTTCAATATCATACATATAAATAGAAACCAATTCACAAATATCGATAAAAACTATGAGTATACATCTTTCTCATAGGTTATAATTTTTAGTTTTCTTTTTAAAAATACACATATATAAATAAACGTTTGTAATTTATAAATTATTTTTTTTTTAATAAATAAATAAGCATAGTTTTAGTTTTGTTTAAATATAAAAAAAGTTTATTATTATTATTAATAATGATTAAATTTTAAATATGTTTGACCAATCTATCTAATGATGCTCATCCTCAAGTGAAATAGCATGTTGGAGATCTTCCAAGTTGGTAATTGGTTTACCCTTGGTGATAAGCTCACGTGCCTTGTCCATCTTTCCATAGTTTCTAAAGGTGAGAACACCGACTACCTTGCTCTTGTCGTTCAAGTAGTAGATGATACCCTTGCTGAATTTGTCGGCGTCGTCAGTCTTTTGTTTCTCCCAGACTGCGTAGGTCTTGAGTTTGGCATCGGTGTTACCGACTGCTTCGAAACCGATGTGGTCAGTCAAATCACTCCAGAAGAATGGGAGATAGGTGTAAGGGTCGGCGGAACCAGCCATGTTCTTACCAGCCAACTCACCGGTTGCCTTGGCGTGATCGTGGTGCTCTACACGTCTACGCACACCGAGGTTGTAATCGTAGAAACTGGCAACGTCACCGGCAACGTAGACATTGGATCTGGCTTGCAACTCGGCGTTGACAACGTATCCACCGTTGACCGGGTCGACCTCCAACGATGTCGACTTGGCAATGTCGGTGTTTGGAATGATACCGACGGCAACGACAACGTGGTCAGTGTCAATCGATGAACCATTGTCGAGTTGAACCTTGAGTTTATCGTTGTTCTTGGAGATGTCCTTAACGAGACGACCTTCGAGCACGTCCACTCCACTGGCTTTGACCTTGTCGGTGGCGTACTTGCTCAAGTAGTCTGGGAATATCAATGGTAGGACACCATTCTCTGGGAACACCTGAGTGATCTTTACCTTATCCTTGAGATTATCGTTGATGGCACAGGTGATTTCACTACCGAGGAATCCACCACCGATCACTGTGACATGCTTGACCTTGTCGTCGTGGACAACATCGTGCAACTTTCTAAAGTCATCGACAGTACGATAGGTAGTGATTCTTGGATCATCGGAAGCAGAGTAATTGAACTTTCTTGGTTCTCCACCAGTGGCAATCAAACACTTTTCATAGGCAACCAAAGTACCATCATTCAAAAGAATAACTTTACCATCCAAATGAATATCCTAAACATAACTATTAGTTAATCTTTCTATTCCTTTCTTTTTCTTTTGCTTAATTACTTACGACCACTCTCTTGTTTCTAATGAATTGAAGTACTTCGTTACCGTAGACCGACTCTGGTTCGTAAAGAAGTTTGGATTTGGCACCGGACCAGTCAGAGTACTCGAGTGTCTCCTTGACGTTCTCATCCTTGTTGGCCCAGAGATTCTTTGAGAGTGGTGGACGTTGGTATGGAACCTCATACTCCTTTGAGATCATCAAGATAGTTGCTTGTTTATCGTGCTCCAATATCTTATCGACGGCATAATAGGCAGCGGTACCACCACCGATAATGACATACTTGAACTTCTCTATATTCAAATCATCCTCTGGTCTGGCGATCTTTTCTTTCTTCTCTGTAGTAGTAGTATCTTTGTTTTGCTCTTCCAACGATAAGATCGAACCCAACAATGCAGTGGCAGCAACTGCAGCAGCACCAGCACCAAACATCCAACTACTATTTCTATTATTATTCTTATTGCTATTGTTGTTTCCATTAAAATTATTATTATTGTTCAATCTATTTTGATTATTTGAACTATAATATTTAATGGAAGATGAGGATAATGATGATCTACCATTGTTTTGATTAAACTTTGTTAAATTTACAACATTTTTACTTTTTGTCAAAGTATTTCTAACTATTGAACCAAACATATTTTATTTTTTACTTTTATTTGTTTAATTAAATACAAACAATATTAAAAGTAACTTTTTTTTTTAAACAATAAAATTTTAAATTAATGATTTATTAATCAGGAGAAGTTCAACCCAATGCTTCTATCATCTTCTCTTTATTTTTTTTTAAATTTTTATTTTTAACTTAAAAAAAGCGTAGTTTTGCAACACACATCATCTTTAAGTTGCCCAAAAAACACACACAAACCCTTTTAAAAGTTAAAAGAATAAATAAACTACTACTAAATTGCTTTTGATAACTTAATCTTAATTTTATTTATATACATTGATTAATTAAAGTATGTATATTTCTATATATATATGAAGTGACGATTGTTTGGAATTGGAAAAACTAAAAAGTGATTGATCGAGTGAAAGTTTAATTACAAGTTGTTGTTGTTGTTTTGGTTTGTTGGAAAATATCTTGTTGGTTGTATGTTTTTTTTTGTGTGATATATGTTGTTATTATTATTGATTATTACTTATAAGTTTGATTGAGTTTTCTTTACGACACCACAAACAGAGACGTAATCGATGCTATGATAGAATTGACCTTTTCTATCTAAATCTTTCATGGTTTCGACCCAGTCGTTGTATTCCTCTTGGGTGATGACTTTGAGATCCAATGCACGCTTTGCTCTCAGGTCGAGTGTGACTACCTTGGCAAACTCCCACGAGGTAGCTTGAATCATGTATCCTCTGACCTTGGTATTCTTCAACTTTGGATTGACCAAAGAGAACAACTCGTTGGCAACACCCGGGTGACAGTTGAACTTGGTATTCAAAATACGATCGGTAACATCTCTCAGACGCTCTGGACAGTAGATCTTGGAGCTGGTCCAATCGGTATCGGAAATGGCTACCATACCTCCATCCTTTGTCACTCTGATCATCTCATCGATAACGGCAACTGGATTTGGAACATGTTGTAATAATCTTTCACATCTTGCACTGTATATTTAATATATATATCAATTGATGTTAATATTTAATAAACAAACAAAATAGATACTATTAAAACGTTTGACTAGCAAACAAATACCTACACATCATAATAATTTGATGGCAAATCAACTTTTTCAGCAGAGAAAACATGTAATTTGACGGTTGGACGGTCACCAAACTTCTTCTTGGCATAGTCAATCATTGCTGTACTGTTATCAATACCAGTTACCTCACCGTTTGGACCAACTCTATTCAAGAAACTCTTTAAATCCTTTCCATATCCGCAACCAAAGTCAATAATCTTGTCACCTTCTCCCAATGTCAATTCTTCCTTGGTCTTTCTAGTAATGTTGGCGGTCTATTGATATTTGATTAAAAAGATTGGAGTTAAAAAAAAACGAACGAATTAGTTTCCCAAAGTGTTTACAATCGCCAAATGTTGTTTGTTTGTTTTTTTAGAACTTACAGCTGGATGCTTGTTGACTCTTTTCAAATATTTAATTAAGGACAATGGACTGTTATTATCAACATCAGAGAAATCCTTTACGTGATCAGACATTTTCTTTTATAAGTATGAAGTTATATATAAATAAATATAAATAAGAGTAGAAACTATTTTTTTATGATTTGAAATTAGTTGTTGTTGTTCGTTTTATTTTGTTTTAAATCGCTCTTCCCCAAATCTAGTTATATATAGTTTTCTAAATTTACAAACTCTTACTTATTTTATTTAAAATTTATTTTTGTTTGTTTTTTCTTTGATGTGTATCTAACTCTGTTTGGTTGTGTGTGAGTTGGGGTATTCAATCACCTACCAACTAACTAAGGAAGGTAAGAATGGTGATTATAGCCATCTCTTATTTTTGGATATTTAATTTCAAGAGTTAGTTTGTAGGTGGGAGCCTAAAGTAGCACTACTTTTACTGATGAAATAAAAAAGCTTTATCCAAAAAAAAAACAAAACATAACTAATCTACCCCGTAAATAATCATTAATATTTTAGTGTGTATTTTGCTTTGCAGTTGTGGCACCATTACCTGATCAACATAATATTGTTCTTTGACTATTGATCATTTTAATCATGCTGCATTCAATCAATCAATTATTAAACACAATTCACACAACAACAACCCACACCCATCCCTTCAATTAAAAAACCAAAATCAAAAAAAAAAAAACCAAATTAAACAATTTTAAAAAGAAAAAAACAAACACATCATTAAAAGATTGATATATTGTATTTGCTTACAAAGAAAGTACCGGATTCTACTGGATTTATGTTTTTATTCATTTTTTTTAAAAACGAAAATCAAAATTTAATTGATTGATTTATAAAAAGACACAAACGAACCGTTAATGATTTCATTTAGGAAAGTATATATTTATTCTCTCGTTTTTTCAGATACTTTATTTGGTGCAAATGAAATTCAATATCACATTAAATTAAATTGAATAAATTAAATTTAATTGATATCGTGTAGAAGATATCTCGAATTTTTTGATCAACCATCAAAACCTTCCTATTAAGGTCAATGTTTTCGGTATTTCCAAATAGACTGTCATTTTGATAGACTTTATTGTAGGTTCCCCAATAATAGTTGCAACGTTAGTGATCAATATATTGATATGAGGTCACTATACTTAGTTTTGATTGAAATTCCAATCAAAAAGATAGGATCTCAAATTTCGAGATTTTGCGACTAAAAATAGTTGGAACATGAATTTTCAAACAAAAAAAAAATTTTGTTTGGTCTTACTCGTCTTTTATTAATATTTGTAAATTCTGAATCTTTGATTTTATTTTGTTTATAGAATTTATATCTTTTCATGTATGACTTGAAATCATTTTGAATATTGTTAAATTCACTAGTTAATCACCAAAACATTGATATTTGATTATGCAAACTCCACCACCTCAAATCAAATCAACATAAAACAATTCAAACATAACAAATAAAATGTGTAGCAAATAAAATATGAATCGTAAAGATAGTCAAAGATTAGTATTATTTCTCTAACTATCTTCAAACAAAATTGTAGATTAACAAATTTGTAAATTTTTACATACAAATCAGAGAAAAAATAAAATAGCTAGATTTCAATCTTTAAGGTGTATCAAACACTTTCTTTTAAATTAATCACCAAAATAACACATTATTTGTAAATTGAACCACCACAATGTTTGATCAAAATATAAATCGAACTCACATAATCACACACTAGCTGAATTTAAGGCTGTTTTTAATAAAGAAAAAAAAGTTATATGTTTGTTTGTTGCAAAATATTAATAATGTTCTTTTTTTTTTTTGAAAAATTATTTTATTAATAAATACAATGATATTGTTATTGTTGCTTGATTGTTTTTTTTTTGAAACATTTTTAATGAGCAAGTCTCTTGGTTGATCTGAACAATAAGGTATCGTTTTGATTGGCATCGAATGAGATCTTCATCATCATGAGTGCACCAAAGATGACAAACAAGACCAAGACGATTGGCAAGAAGAGGAAGATTTGGAAGGCAGCAGTTTGTTGAGAATCGGCCATAGTATTGTTACTGGTACCTTCGGATGATGAAGAGGCGTTACCAACATTGATCATCTCGATTTGATGTGGAACACAGAAGACCTTGTAGTCGGCAGATTCGAGTGACTCTTGCAATTGAGCGCAGAGGTCGTCACGTTGAGTCTTGGAGGTGTACTTCAAGTAGATCGATGGGAGAGCTGGAGTTCCGATGACGTGGTCTCCGACAATGTCGACGACTTGCTCCATCAACTTGGAGTCGGTGGCGGCGGCAGCTGGTGGCAATACGACGATCTCACAGGCGACACGACCACCATACAAACCAGAGAGTTGTTGGTAGGCAGAGGACATGGCTTGGTCGACGAGTTGGAGAGCCAATGGGTAGAAAGCGCTCGATCTGTCGATGCTTGAGATGGCACCGAACGAGAAGGAGATCATGTCTGGAACAGAGTCGGCAACGGCACCGTCAAAGGCGTTCTTACCAGAGACTTGCTTGACGATGTTGAAGAGTGAAGCAAGTTCGGTCAAGAAAACGATTTCGACGTCGATGTCGATCTCGATGGATTGGCTACCCTTGGTGAAGGTCAACTTGTCTTGAGCACGGCTAACAGCCCATCCCGATGGCAAGATGAATTGCTTGAACTCCTTGGAGTAGAGGATACGCTCGACGTCGTTCAAGTCCAACTTGAATTCGTCGTCGTAGTTGTTGTTGGCGTAGATCGACTGCATGGTGTAGGCACCGTTGTAGACGGCGTGGTAGTTACCGGCTGGGATCTTCTTGGCGACCTGTTGGTGGACGGCAGTGGAACCAGCCAAACCGGCCTTCGAGGAGGCAGAGATGATCAATGACTTTCCGTTGTAGGTCTCGGTGATGACGTCGGCCAAGTTGGCGGCGAGTGAGATACCCTTCTTTTGGTAGGCGTTCATACGCTCACCGGATGGAGTCTCCCAGTGAGAACCGACGACACCGTGAACGGCTGGAGTGACACCGCTAAAGATGGTGGCCATCTCGGCGACAGAGTCCATTGGGTAGTATGACTTCTCGATGGTGATGGCGTCACCAGAGACAAACTTCATCTTCTCCAAATCGGTAGCGGCGACGCTGTCCATTGCGAGAAGCAAGTTGAGCTTTGGCTTGTTAAAGAGTGAGATGGTTGGGAAACCCTCACGGTCGCTGTCTCCCATTGGGAGTGTACCCATAACATGTGAAATCAAGGCACTGATTTGAGTGTCCTTCAAATTTGATAATGATGCACTATTAAATACATTTCCCTTCAAATAAAGTAATGAATTTTGATTAAACTAAAATATAAAAATAATAAAATTGTTAGAAATTTTTCATTTTTTCATAATTATTATTTTCATCATCTATCTATCTATGTTAATTGATTATTATTTGTTTTGTTTAAATGCTATTTCTATTGTTATTGATTGTTGAACATTAGTTCTGATAATTGTTATTATTATTGTTTTTTTTTTTTTTTTTTGTCTTCCTGTATTTATATATCTGTTTTGTATTATATGATGATTGTATTGTATTGGTTGTTATCTATAACTGTTTATGATTTGTTTTGATCTACATAGATGATGAATAAGAATAACATGTTAAAAGATAGATTAGATATCATACAGTTGGAGATTCGATGATGATATCAGCGGATCTTCTGGTAAAGAATTCAATTTCTGATTTGACAACACTTAATGTGATAGCCAACAATAAAATATAAATGAATTGCTTCATTTTATTTATCTATATAGTAATATAATATCGAAAAATAATGAAATATATATAAATAAATCTAAAAATCGATAGTTATTGAAAATGTTTAAAAAAACAAACTAAATAAAAAAAAAAAGAGGAGTGAAAAAAAAACCACCAAATTAGAAAAATGACACTGGTAAAAAAAAAATATTTTTTTTTAGGATTCAAAAGAATTTTCGACCTGGTGCTTTTTGTTTTGCGCTAATAAAATTAAAATTATCTGTGAAGATATAAAATTTTTTCAATTTAAAATTATCTGTTCACATTTCATTGTGCTTATTTATTAGTTTCAATGTCCATATTAATTAATTTTTGTATTTTATAGATTATTTTGATAAAAAAAAAATAAAATTTGATATTATTTATTCCAAATATAGTTAGTTGTTTAATTATTTACAACTGATCTGTAAAAGCATTTGATAATTGATTGATTAATACATCATTTAATTTGAAAAAAATAGACAACGTTACAATCACACCATCACCACACATTGCAAATGAAATGTTTAATTTATTTCTATTTTTGATATTGTTTTTTTTATTTTTACATTTATTAATTTTATATATTTTAGATGAAGTATTGATCGGGTTGGAGCTAGTTTAAATTTTAAAAATGGATAGTGTATTAAAATCGAGAGGTAATCTAGATATTTCAACTATAAGATTGGTTTTAAATCATCTTGGTTTGGATGAGCAACAACAGCAACAACAACAGGATGATATGACACAATCACAGATATTACAGTCACAACAATCACAATCATCAATAAGATCAAACGATAATAGTGATACCAATGATGAAAGTGGTAATGAAGAGATGGAAGAAGATGAGGAAGAAGAAGAACAATATGAAGATGCAATGTCAACTTCACCAACCATTGTTTCAACTTCGCCTTCGCCTTCACCATCACCCTCTCCTTCGCCATCGCAACACAATAAAACATCGAGTTGGTTAGATCAATTGTCGGTTGCTATCACTGCCGATGGATCGATGATGGTCGTTGGTGGCGGTGGAACTGGCGGTGTCGGAACGGGACTAGCGATTGTCCTAGTGAAAAGAGCACATGATCAATCACAATGGAGAACTTCTATTACATTGGATCATCAATCAGGTCAAATGTATTGTATAATAGCAAGAAAAAACAAATCATGATTCATTTTAGTATCTTGCTTATTAACTCATCAATAATAACACAATATATATAGTGATAGAATTACAGCTATTTCAATATTAACACTTTCAAATCCACAATTGGAACAAGCGATTGCCATTGGCTATACATCTGGACATCTCAGAATATTCTCACTCCACGGTAATCTCTTACTCTCCCAATTGTTTCACAAAGCACCCATTCAAAAGATTAAAGTTAAAATGACACCGATTCTCACTTCAAGTCAAGAGTATGTTGTTTGATAGATTGATTGTTTGATAGACTGATGATTGTTTTGTTTTAGTTTGTTAGCAAACACCAACATGTTGATTAATTACTATTGTTATATATATATATATATATATAGGAGATATGTAATGCAAGAAGTTAGTATATTGTATCCAGGTAATATTGTTGCTTCGATGGCTGGCGGTAGTCTGAGTGGTGTTTTGGCGGTGTGCTATCAGCAGGTGCAACGCGGTGACACTGCATCGGCAGCACAAACCAAGCTGGATTTCAGAAAGTGGTCACTCGGTTCTATCGATGTGGCCAACGATTTCAGTTTTGCCGGGCCATTCTTGGGATCGCCATTCCGTGCTCTTCCGTATGGAACCAGTGAGCATGCCATGACGCGACTAATAGTCGCGGGATCGGACCCGATGCTCGCATACTACTATCCGTCGGATGACAGCGGTAGTTCTTTCACTGTTGCAGTGGCACTGGTATCTTCGGTTGCCGCTAAGCTTACGAACGCCGTCTATTCATTCGCCAAGAATTGGTGGGGTGGAAGTCAACAATCACAACAGCAGCAACAGCAGCAACAACAAGAAGCCAACGCAAAACAACAGGAATCAAAGATTGAGAATCCATCTCCGCTGCAAGTAAGATGGTCGTTAATCGATGAGAAGCGAGAACTAAAGAGTTTGTTGATGGATCCAAGTGGTCGGTACGCAGTTGCCACCGATAATCTAGGTCGTGTACTATTAGTTGACATTGTAAATAGTTTGATTGTTAGAATGTGGAAAGGTTATCGTGATTGTCAATGTGGTTGGATAAATCAATTATCAAATGAAGATGATGATGATGAAGAAGAAGAAGAGGATAGTAATGATAATAATGTAGATAAAGATAATAATAGTAGTAATAGTAATAATAATGATAGTTTTATGACATTGGAAGATTTCATACCAGCGAAAATGATGAAAAAGAAAGTTGGTGTAAATCATTATAGAACTTATTTAGCAATTTATATTGGTAGAAGAGGTTATCTAGAGGTTTGGGGAATGAAACATAAATCAAGAGTCGTATTTGAAAAGGTTGGAATGGGATGTAGGTTGATTTCCACTTCCGTGCCTGGAAAGAGACCACCTATCCAACAAGGTCAAACTCAACTATCTAGCCCACAAAACTATCAATCACGTTGTTATCTAATCAATCAAGATGGTAATCTCAATGAAATTATTGTACATAAATAAAACTAATACACTATCTAATTTAACAACAACAACAACAACAACAAAACAAACAAATAAACAACTAAAATAAAATAATAACGCAAGTCTTTTTAATTAGATATTATATAAAAGATGTAATATCATCATCGTCATCATCCATTGCTTTTTTGTTAATGTTGTTGTTGTTGTTGTTGTTATTATTGACATTGTTGTTGATTAAATTATATTGCTTATTGTTGTAATATTTCTTATGATAGTTTGAAGGTTCCAATAAATTGTTATGGTCATCTTCGTCATGCGCCCTAAAGTTGTATGGTTCTTCGACGTCTTCTTCATCTTCATCGTCTGCCGTATCATTATGGATCGATATCAAACTGTATTGTGAGAGATCCCGATACTGTTGTATCACGATAAACGCTATAATCAGCGAAACAAATGAAGATGTTGAAGAGAGTACTATGTATACAGTGGGTATCTCTGGTTTTGCTTTGTGTTCATAGGGTGGAGTATAAAGATCATCCAATGAACTACTGCTGCTCATGCTATTGCTATTGCTATTGCTGTTGTCGCCACCATAGAAATGAAGGTAGCAATAGATATTCGAGTAAGAAGGTAAATACGTTTGAACACAGGTGTTCGTAGGGGCAGAGAAATATTGCAGTTCAATCTTAAGCTTCGTGTCGGAAATCCTAACCGATGACACACCTAAGGTGTAATAGTCGATGTAGTTCGTGCGGATTGCAGGAGGTTCATCACCGTAGAATTGAAATTGACCCACTAAATAAGTGAATCCATTATGATCATATACGTTATCAATTGTTTCTATTGATAAGTAAGTAATATTTGCAGCAAAAAAAATTAATTAATTAATTAATTAATATGAAAAGCTTAATACAATCAATACAAACTAAACGCCTTAAAATACATACGTATGTTACATTTAATAAAATTTACATATAATACAAATAATAAAACAACATATTTATTTATCATGATGATGTTTTTATTATGAGAAAAAGTGCACCAGCTTTTTTCATTTTTACTTTAAAGAATTGGTGCGTGCAAGTGCCTCATGTGCATGCACATAATAATAATAATAATTATAAAATAAAATTATTTGTTTGTTTGTTTTTCAGGTTTTTAGGATTTTTTTTTATTTTACCCTGGTTGTTATTTTTTTTCAAGAATTATTATCAATTAAACCAAACATCTAATAATAATTAAACAAATTAGATTGAAAATTGAAGATCGATTGTTATTTTATTTCAAAGCAAATACTAACATATCTTTTGAACTTATTGTTTTGTTTGTTTTGTTTTGTTTTTTTTTTTTTTTCAAAATCATCCAATCTGAAGTTCAATCAAAATGATAAAAAATTTGAATATTTAAATTTGAAAAATTCTTTTGAAAAAATTATCAATCATCAGAGTCATTCATTAAAATCAAACTTTTAATATAGGATATTAAGGAACTTGATATCAAAATATAATTACAAAGTTTAGTGGTTATTTAGTAAATCAAGTTGAAAAAAAGTAGTAGTCTGTGCTCTCTGTCTGCTTCAAACAGTAAAATAGTAACTAGTTGCACCAACTTTACTTTTGATTACAAAAACAAAAACAAAAAAAAACAATGAAGCTATGAGTCAAAGTAAATATAAATGTGATTGGCAATCATATTTGATCAATATACTTACAGTAGTTTTTTTTTAACACATTTTAAACTTCTTCTCTTTCTCTCTAATTACTCTCTCTCTATCTATAATAATGATATGATTTAGACTCACCTCTTAAAAAGAAAAGAAGTACATCCACCGGTGGTAACAATAATAACAATAATAATAGTAGTAGTAGTAGTTCATTCAACTCAATCATTGCAGCGGGTATCTCTAATATCGAACATCAACTTTTAAACACACAGGAAGAAAGTCACATCAATACACATCATTCACAGCATAATAATAGCTATCAGCAACAGTCTCAACATCATCAACAAAACTACAATCAACAACAACAACAACAACAGCAACAGCAACAACAAACTTATGAAAATGAATTTCCAGTTGGTCCACCTTGGTCTACACAAGAATCAAATGAATTTTATAATTGTATGATTTTTAATTAATTCTATATATATATAATACCATTATAATAGTTTGAAACTAATTTAATTATTACTATTTCGAAAAACAAAAAGGTGTTAAAGAATTTAAACCCGATTGGAAAACAGTTATAAAACGATTCCCTGCGCGAACAGAGGAGATGCTTGAGAATCTCTATGGTCTAGTGAGTTCGGAGCTTCAGGAATGTAGTTCACCCGATATTTTTCATTACATTGTCAAAGGTGTTTGTGCTGCAATTCAAAGTAAGTCATTCATATGTTCAGGAGAATCAAAAAAAAAAAAAAAAAAGATAATGATAATGATTATGATTTTAATTGACTAATTCTCTCTTGACAGATAAAAAAGCACCAACAACACCTGGTAGTGCTTCAAAGCAAACTTCTTCATCGACACCTGCCTATACCAGTTTAAATCCTATTCGCTCCACTAGAAATGAATCACTTACACCATTGAAACAACAACATCATAACAACAATAATATTCATCATCAAAATCACCATCAACAATATCAACAACAACAACAACAACAACAATCATCATCATCGCCACAAATACCTTCAGATTTTATAAATACAACACCGAGTAGATCTGGAAGGACAAGTAGAACGACATCATCCAATAATAATAATAATAATAATAACAATAATAATAATAATAATAATAATATGGATGTAGAACAACAAAAATCACAAACAAAAACAAGATCCAGACGTTTATTTACAGATTCTCCAGCGAAATCTAGTAGTACAACAACTACTACGACAACAACTACAACTTCCAGCTCACCATCTTCCTCTAATATGACACCTAGAAAGAGAAAATCAACAACTATTTCTTCATCGCCTATTAACACTCCATCGAAACAGAATAGTAATAATAATGTTGGTGATTTAGTTGGTGATGAATACCAGGCAGCTAGTAACCTACCTGCCAAACTCAGAGGTAAAATGATGAAGCAAAGCACACCACCATTGTCATTACCTGCAATCGGATCATCGTTCGATCCAGCACTGTCACCACTTCAAACGACAGCATTGGACGAGAGCGGTGCCTATGGAACACTACTCTCCATGAGCAATAGCAACAATAACAGTAATAACAACAGCAATACATCATCGCCTGCATTGACTGGTGATAATAACAACAATAATAATAGCAATAACAAACAACAACAACAGATTGTCTTACCAACACAAGAAACTCAACAAACCATACAGAAAAGACTACAAAACTTTCTTACAAACTCACATACACATCTACCGTTACCAGTGGTGGATAGCGTTAGTAACAGTCATTCAATATTGGATGAGAGTAGCGGTGGTAGTGCGAGTGGCACTAACAATATAGCTAGATATAAGCTATCACTATCTGGCAAATGGGCAATGTATGAATGGTTCTACAGTGATGTAGAGGCTCCATTCTATTTCTACAATGAATTCCAGACATGTTTGAATCAAATCGGAATTGGCAAAGTCAGGAAACTAACGAGAATCGAGTGGAACGAAATACGATCGAGAATGAAAAAGCCAAGACGTCTCTCACAGTCATTCTTCCAGGAGGCAAGAGAGAAACTCTATCAATCCAGAGAAAAGATCAGACATTCAATGGCAAACGATGACTTTTTTAAATTTTAATTATACAAAGAAATTCAAAAGTATTATGTAAGTAGTTTAAATTGTTATTATAATTATGATATAAACCAAACAAACTAAATTTATTGTTATTGTTTTAGATGTACAAAATAATACAATACAAAAAGGTATTGTTTTAAATTATTTACCAGACACCAAAACATATTCAATTCAAAACGATGCAACCAATATAATTGATAATATTTCAGATATATGTGTTATGGTAAGTAATATATGGAAATTAAAGCTGGATTTTGAAATATTAATTTTTTGTTATTATTATTATTTTTAATGGTAAAGTCTATAGAAAAGAATATTAGAAGTATAATAGAATCAAGTTATATTTATTCGAATAATGGTAATAAAAACTCGGACAATGCAGATACCGCTGTTCAAAATGAAAATCAAATGGCACAGGAACAAAGTCAAAAGACACCATTGATTTTGGTATTGGGTCTCATCGTTGTTTTGGAGAAGAAAGAAGCATTGATATTACATCTGACAAATCTAAACAATCAAGCAGAGGAGATGCTACTCGATGGTTTCCCTGAATCATTCCAAATCGAATACTCCAAGGCGGTAGTCGATTTAGAATATCTAAACAAAATTTTAACAACACTACTAGAGATTTTTAAAAGAGATCATAATTTACATGTATGTAGTACTGTACTATTATATAATTATAACATATAGAAACATGTTCGATTGTTTACTAACTAACTATATATTTGAAACCAACAACAACAATAATAATAATTATAATTATAACAATAATAGAATCGTGCAGCTAATAATGATTTCACTCAACCACAAGTCCAACAATATTTAATTGCAGATCTAATCAATTCAATTCGACAACAATCAGGGAAATTTGTTTATAAAGTAATTATAATTAACAAAAAAAGATTACATTTTAAATAGTTTACTAATCAATTTTGGAATTAAAAACAGATATTTAAAGATGACAATAATCAAGCAATCGATGAGAATTTAAAGAAAATGGTGCATGGTTGTATTTCGACATTGTATGTCTTGAAGCAATCATGTTTAAACACTGAGCTTACAGATCAAGACATTTCTAATCTTTTAGATAATTGTCTGAGTCAAATCAAACCAAATTCAATTGATAATATCAAGTAAGTTACAAAAATAAGATATCTCATTTAATCTTTTTTTTAAAAAAAAAATAATATCTAATCTAATCTTTTTTTTTGTTTTTGTTTTTTATAATTTAGTTTGTATAATCAAATTCAAGAAACTGTTTACCAACTTAGAGATAAAATAATATCAGCCCAAATGGAAAAATAAATAAATAAATAGTTTTTTTTTGCAATTTAATCCAAAAATTGCAAAAAAAAAATATCTTGTGCAAAAGAAAAAAGAGGTCGATATCATGCGAATGTCAAAGAAATCTTGAAACTTTGAGAGTTGACTTTTTACATTACATTTTAAAATGATAGATTTATTATTATTATTACTATTATATAACTAATTGAATGAATCTATTTGCAACATCCTTCTTGTTTATTTGATGAATCTTCAGGCACAATTGGAATTCTTTCTTGTCTGTTTGAAGTGGTTGAAGATTGATTCGATGATCCTGATGTGCTAACTGTACTTTTTGATAACATTCCTGTTTGATTTGATTTGATTTGATTTGATTTGATTGTTTTATTTTTAGGTTAGTACATGTATGTTTAAACAATGATGACGATGATCTCAATTGTTTGTTGTTGATGTTATTTAAAGATAATAATTACTCTTTGTTAAATCCAAGAACAGTTCTTCGACTCCTTTGTTCAATTTAGCTGATGTACTATAATGTTTGGCACCTACTGATTGCGCGTATGCCTCTGCCTCCTCCAATGGGATCACTCTAGTCTTTTCCAAGTCACACTTATTTCCAATTATACATAATACAATCTCATTACCCAACATGGCTTTCAACTCTTTAATCCAATTCTTTGCTTTTATAAATGAATCATTATCTGTAATATCATATACTACCAGTGCACCTAAAAATAAATAAATAACAATATAAAGAATGTTAGCAATGTTGTTGTTATTGTTGATCAATATCAATATTTAAATTATACCTTGTGATCCTCTATAATAAATTGGTCCAAGTGCATGGAATCTCTCCTGACCAGCCGTATCCCAAATAGTTAAACAAACTCTCTTTCCGGCCATATTTATATTCTTCTGGAAGAATCCAGCATTCTGTGTCATCAAATGTTTATCATTGAATGTATTTTGAATGTATCTAAGCACAATTGAAGTCTTTCCAACACAACCTATATTATTATTTATATTTAATGTTATTAAATGATTTACTATTAATTAAAATCTCAACTCCACTCCATTCCACTCCATTCTACTACACTCCACTCACTCCACTCCACTTTGCTTTGCTTTGCTGTAATTATAATGATGATTAATTAACCAATATTCTCTGTTGCAACACCTGTATTATTATTATTATTATTATTATATCGATTGACTGCTATGTTATTTTTAACTCCACTGTTAATTTTATATGTCTCTACAATATCTACTCCAAATCGTCTTCATCATCAAATCATCATTATAACCATATGTGCTTGTTGTATATTGCTTGCTATGTTATGCTTTGCTTTGTTTTTGAGGAGTGTAGAGAAGAGAATACTGCAGTATGAGTAGTAGAGTAGTAGTAGTAGTAGTAGTAGTAGTAGAGTAGTATATTTTGACATACCTTCACCAAGAAGTACAACTTTAAAACCTTTCTCAGAATCCATTATTTATGAGTTCTCAATATCTATATATATATATAATACCTATGTTATTTATTAATTATTGGTTGATTAGTAAATTAAACTAAACTTGATAATCTATGTGTGATGAGATAATGAGAAGTTGATTCTCTACTTTTTGTTTGTTTTGTTTTATTCTCTATTCTTTATCAAAATCAATTGGAATGAGTGCTAGCAACGTATACATACATAACAAAATTAAAAAAAAAATTGAAAAAATTTATAAACTACTTGATATTTTCAAAAAACAAAAAACAAGAGAGTAGAAGAAAAAAGTGAAAATATCAAAAAGGTGAATTTAACTATAGTATTATTTGCAAGTAATAATGGAAAAATAAAATAAAAACAAATAAGGGAATTATGGTGAAAAATGTGTAATCTTTAAACAACGAGAATTCACTACAAAAAAAAAAAAAAAAATTAATTGAACAATTTAAAAAAATGAATTTTTTATGCAGAATGAAAAGTCTTGTGAAGAAGAGAGTGGAATTAAAGTGAAGACTTGCAAGTAGGATAATTTACCTTTTACTTTTTTTGTTTTTTTGTTAAAAAATCTATAAAATTGTTTTTTTTAATTAAATTTTTAATTCTTTTTTTTTTTTGTTTTTACAATTTATTTTATTTTTAATTTATCTATCTTTTTTTTTATGATACAGTTTTGTTTTTGAAAATAATAAATAGTTAGTTTGAGTGTGATTTGCAAATTCTTCTATCATCTAATCAAAGAACACAACCAAAAAGTATTTAAATTAATATATTTTATTTGTTTTTCAAAGATTTTTGTTATTGTTGTTGTTGTTTTTTTTTAATTAAAAATATATTACGAAATTAAAACCTGGGGGTGTTAAAAAGTTTGACAAATACAATACAACATTTATTTTTATTAATTATTTACTGTTTTTTTTAACTGCCAATTGGTGGGTGTTTTTGTCTTACAATATTTTTGTAACTTCATTTGATATCAATCGAGAGTTGTTCTTCTTTTATTGTTTTTAGAGCAAGTTTTGAATTCAGCCTATTGCCAAAACAATTTTGTTCTTGGTTGTCATCAATTATAATTTTGTTGTCTTTGTTGTTATGAACAATAATATCTTCTTGTTGTTGTTGTAATCTAAAGCAACTACTACTCATTGTTCTCATTACTGTTGTATTAAGATTGTTGTAACTGTTGTTATCACTCTTGTTATTATACTCGAGTGGAATCGTTACCAATCTAATATCGTCTTCATCTTTTATAGTAGTATTTTAATTAATATCTATTTTTTTCGATATTTCTTAATCTTTTTTTTTTTTTAAACACTTACCATAGACACATTGAATATCGCGTGGTGGATTTAATATATTACTAAAGAATAGAGCAGCACTATTATAAAATGATGGACTTCTTTCACCATCAATGAATGCTCTATTATATTTATCACCTGAATATTTATTATATCTTTAGTTGTTCAGATAAAAGTTTATCATTAGTCAAAGTTATATATATCAAATATGTTTATATATTTACACTTGGTCGGAATGATGGTTCAATATAAATTTATCTTGTTTGTCATGAACAAATATAGCTGGAATATATATATTTTGGGCGGCTGACGCAATATCTAGTGAACTATTGTTTTGTTTATGTTAGAAAAATCATATAACTTGGCAGCTTATTTATTGATTATTACATACCTAACACTGAAATGTGCAGCCATTTTAATTTTATTCTTGATTATAAGCATGTAAAGGGTGCTTACAATCTTTGGTAGTTTCATTGGTGCTATGTAGTTCTCTTCGATCAACTGTGACAGCGAGGAGAACGGAGTGTCCAGAATCATAGAGGAGATCGTTGGATCTTCTTTGGCATAGAGAATGGAAGCTACTGCACCAGCTGTTCTTCCCCAGAGTCCAATCGAGCTTGTATGTCCACACTCCTTGATATACTTTACTACTGCACCGATATCATATTTTTCATTATACCCACTGGTGTTGTTTCTACCTCCACTCATTCCACATCCACTGAAATCAAATGATACCACTGTAATATTAAGAGGCAAAAGAAATCTAATTATCTCTAAACATTCCAATCGATTTCCACCTGTTCCATGACAATATATTACACATGGAAATGTTCTAAATATGATTGATATTAATAAACTTTGTTTTATTTTGTTTGTTTTCATTAACTTACTGATTGTTTTTATAACATGGATATGGTGGTTTATAATGACTACATTTTAATGCAATTCCAAATTTATTTCTTACAATGAAATCCTCACGAATATAGAAATCATATTGGTAGAAAAATTCTTTTGGTATAAGTTGATCTATTTTATAATATCTTTTTGGTTGTCTAATTAAATTGTCACATATATTATCAATTAACTTCATATCCATATTTTTTAACAAACAGAAACAATTTCCTATTCCAATTTAATCTTTTTATCCAATACTAAAATAAAACTATTAAAAAAAAAACAAATCAAAAGTTTTACAATATGCTTTTAAATCAATCAGCCAACCAACAATTTTATTTTATTTTATTCAAAATAGTGTATTTAAAGTTTAAATTGGTGTACACTAATTATTATTCAATCAACAAACTTAATCAATCATCATCATCATCAATAACAACAGTGACAAAAACAACATGTAAACAATAACAATAATTAACACCTACTTCTCAAACTCCCTCACTTTTATATAAAATAACAACAACAATTAAGTAGTGACACAAAAACCTTAATACTATTAATACTTATGTTTGATTCCATTATAATAGATGTTGTATATTATATATTTTTAGGATGTCACAAACCACATTATAACTACATACCCCTTCCATTTGGTTAAATCACCCATCCATCATTTTTTTCTTATAAATCTTTAAACAAGATTGAAAACAACACAATTGTTTGTTAATAAGTGTTCTTTTGATTATCAATATTTGATCATTCTCACTACAATAAAATAAACAATTCTATTTAATTCTGTCTTTTGTTATAATTATTCGTTTAGATTAGTTTGTATTAATAAATTCATAATTATCAATTACCAAGTGCCAGCGAACAAAATAGATTTTTAATTTTAAAATTTTGGTTAGAAATAAGACACCTAATAAAATTTTCAAACATCGAAGTTTAATTAGCTCTTTGATCATTATTTTTTTAAAAAAATAAAGGTTGGAAATAAAAGCGGAAAATTTGAATTTACAAACAACAAAGCTCGATTAGCTCAGTCGGCAGAGCGTGGTGCTAATAACGCCACGGTCGCAGGTTCGATCCCTGCATCGAGCAACTAATTTTATTAAACTGGATCCCCGCACGCGAACCAAAAAAAAAAAACTTTCGATTTTGTAAGTTTTGAAGTCTGGTATTTTTACACTGGACACCTGGGTTGTGGTCAAGTGCTAAAGAAATGCTCATCAGTTTCTGGATCTAGAGCTTTGTTTCTTCTTAAAGAAACTGATGAGCATTTCTCTAGCAGAACGAAGCGATAGATCCCACAAATTCAGACCACCATCATTCCAGTGAAAGCAAGACCTGTCCAAAGACATCAAAGCGGTGAACTTTGCTTTGGCATCAGGTGCACTGGTGAAGAACCAAGCGATAAGTCGGTAAGATTATGAATCAACAGCATCTACGGATCCAACAACCACCACAAACGATCTAAGAATGAGTGATCTTGAAAAAAACAGTAACAAATCAACACCAGTCGACTACTACTTTGTTTCATGATGTTACTCCTGCCAGTGCTCCTCCAGATACACTCCCGACTGATCTAATCAAATCTAACCTGACATCATCTAAGCTCCGATCTCCTCTACCATTGCTTCAGGTCAACCGGAAGGTAAAGAGCCACCTTCTAAGATCCCTTTTTTGAAAGGGTAATTGAAATAAGGTAATGATTTCTTTCTTCGATCACTATCTTTGTGTTGGGTAGAATTGATAAATATATAGGAGAAGCTTTGTATAATATCTAGAACACATTCATTTTTTAATATTTGAACTATGACCATCCAATCTAGAATAATATCCAAAACAGATCATACAGAGTAGGTATTAAAAGAAAATTTACTTTATTTATTGTGGTTTATGGTAACAAGATATGTTCGGATATAAGCTGATAGATATTTGAATACAAATTATATGTTGTGATTTGGAGTTGAACAATAATGATTATTTTTATTGAATGGTTTTAATTTATAATCCAATTTTGATAAAAGAATACTGAACTTCAATTATAAGTCTACGGTAACGAAGTTCTTCAATTCATTAGAACAAGAGAGTTATAGTAATTAAATTAGAAAAAGGAAAGAAAGGAATAGAAAGATTAATTAATAGTTAGAGGATAAAAAAATAGTAATTTTAATGTAAATATGAGATCCTCGGAGTAAAGTCATTTATGTTTTTTTGAATAAAGTGTTTCCTGTTGGGGTTTGAATCAAAATATATAATTAATGAAAATGAAGTATAATAGAAGAAGATAAAAAAAGAAAATATGAAATATTAATATCAATGGATGAATTAATCCATATGGAAATGTTTGTTATCTTTTTTTTGAAATACTTCTTTCATAGGATTGTTATTTATTTTCAGGTTGAAATATTTGAATCGATAGAGTTATACAGTGTTGATATTGATAATCTATAGATTATCAAATAGAATTTTGAAAAAAATTATAACTATAAATTGGATCTATTCTCTAATATTCAAGTATTTGATTTCTAGATATCTTAATCTATAACTATAATTGTATTTTTCTTTATTTTTTAATTTAATTTTTTATTAGTTGGTTTTTTCTATATTTGAATACATATTACTTTGTACTTATAGAAAAAATAAAGATTAAATTTTTATATTAAATTAATATTATCTAGCAGCTACTATCTTGATTTCTTTATAGTTCAGAATATGAAGAGACAAGATGTGATTACCAATGTAGTAAGAAACAAATCTCTGATGCTCTACTATAAAATCTAATTTGAGAAAAACGAGATTTATTGAATAAAAAAATACTATATTTGCGATCATTTTGATTCTTTATTAATTTCATTAGAATCAAGTCAATATGTAAATCAAAACTTTTAAAGAGATTGTTGGTATTGTTGACAATAGTTAGCTATGGATAATTTGTTCAATACACTTTATTTGAAGAAAACATTTATGAATTTCTTTATAAATTGGATTTTGTGAAAGACCAAGCTAAAGTAATGGCCATGACTTTTACAAAAAGACATTCGGATTTTCATTCCAAATTGATCAACCCTTTCATCTTTTAATTTTACACAAGATATTTACATTTTATATTACCTTTGATCAGAAAAATCCATTTGTATTAACTTTGGTTTTACTTCAAACATAATGTTAATGTCTTCTATAATTCTACCAACATATACAGTGTAGTATAGATAGAGGAAATAACAATTAACAATTATGGAGATTTCAATAGATAATAATTAAATCTTTAGACAAAAATAAAAGATTTTATAACCAATATTTAGTTAATTTGAAGTAAATCAAACTTTTAAAAGATAATGACATAAATTAAACTAATAGTTTAATTTAAAATAAATAAAATGATAGTGAATCAACAATTACTTATGAATCAACTTGTCATACAACAACATTATTTTTGATTCAATTTCTAAAAGACAACAACAAAAAAGACAAAATTTCTTACTATTCTAAAAATCCGATGATAACAATTATATTTTGTTGTTCGAATAATATAAAATAGTAACGTATTTTGATTTTAAAAAACAAAAAAAAAAAAAAATCTATTCAATCTAAAGATTTTTGTTTTTTTTTTCCAAAAATAGAAATGGGTTGATGATAGTTAATTAATTAATTAAATTAATTAATTATGATGAGAAAAAATCACTTTTTTTTTTTTTTGTAATTTTTCATATGATTTTTTTTTTTACTATTAAAAACATTCATGAATTAAGTAATTAAACACATTTTAATATTTAAATAAACTTACAAAAAAATAACATCACCACCTTTTAAATTCGAATTTTCCTCTTTCTATCATTGTATTACAATTAATTGATTAGTTAATTAATTTAAACACACTGCTCCACATATCCAATATAATATCAATACCAATACTATAAATAGATAACAACTTGAGTGAAAAACAAAAAAAAAGTATAACTATAATTAAACAAAAACAAAAACAACAAGTTAACTTTTTTTTTTTTTTTTTTTTTTTAAAATTAAATACTAAAAAAAAGAAAAAAAGAAAAAAAAAGAAAGTAAAGTTTGTTTGTTTGTTTGTTTGGTTAATTTTTCTTTTTCTTTTCTTTATATATATATCTATTTAATAATGTCTTTGCAAAAGAATTATTTCCAAATCATATTGAATAATAAATATATTAGTAATATTATATTCTGTAATGTATATCGTATTCACAAGTTTGTGGTTGGAATAGGCAAGCGATGCTATCGGTACAATGAGATTGGCGATGTCGAGTGGATGCTGCTCAATCGGTATACAGGTTTGTTTTTGGACAAGTTCCGCGAGTTTGAAGCGACTGGCGACCACACCAAGTTTGTCATTAATCACATTGGATTTCAGCTGATATGCCGCGCAATCAATGAGCAAGCACTGTTTCAACGCATTGCAAGCGTGATTGGTGTGCAACACTTTGACAAATTTCAATGTATGGTCGAACTTGCCAAGTTTGGTGAGATTCCCACCACCAACTATCACCCTATAGATTCGCATCCCGACGATTTCGATCGGTGCATCCAACTGACGCTTGCCAACAATCATTACGCGCTCTTTGAATTCTATTGTTTGAAATTGCAGCAACAACAACAACAGCATCATCAGCATCAGCGGCGGATCAATCTGCGCTCACCCGAAACCATGCGACTCTTGGTGGAGCGCTGCACGAGTGACGACACGCGCTACAAAGCTTACTTTGCGCTGCTGGCGCGCAACCACAATACGCTGCGCTATGCAACGGTGGAACTGCTGGAACTCATCACTGAAAATTGGGATAGTTGGTTCATTGAGAATCTGCATCGTTGCGGGTCGCTGCCGATCGTGCAGTATGTAGTAGAGCGGGTTGGCGCCAACCAAACTTTTAAATCACTTTTGAATCGCTATCACAATTCGCCAATGGCAGCTGGCGACTGTACGGATGCCGCCGTCTACCAGCTGCTCATTGGTGACAAACCGCGCAGTCGACTCGCATTTATCTACAAAGAGTTGAACGACGCCATTGAGAAGCGCAACCTCGTCATCGTTCGACACATTGCCACTCTGCTCAACGGCATGTCGCTATCGGTGCCGCTCGAATCGATGCAGCAATGTCTGCTCGTGCATCAAAAGACACCAGTTGTCGCCGACGACAAGTTCATACAGGACAGCATCGAAATGTTTGAGTATCTCATTCAGTACTCGCAGTGTGTCTCATCGGAACTCTTTATCCATCTCAAAGAGAGTCGAATGGTAAAGTTCTTCTTTCGCAAATACCAGACTCTGGTCGTTGGAAATCTCAAACAGATTCTCATCACCGATTGCATCTTCATCGATAGCTACTCAAAAAACTGGCGACTTGTCTACTCGCTCGATGTCAATGGGACGACCATTGAAGAATTCAAGTGGGTGATGCACCCCGACAACAAATCGCGCTACATCACATGGAGTTCAGTCAATTCCATCTTTGAACTGGTGCTCCAGAACTGCGATGTCAAAGACGTACAGGAACTGGTTGAACTTGGTTACCTAAAGAATTTCGAACAGATACACAATAACCTGTTATTTAAATGTCCATTACAAAATATTCAATATATATTGTCGAATCAACAACAACAACTTGGCGGTGGAAATAATATATCAACAACAACAACGATGATGACGACAACTAACAACAACACTACTACTGCCACAACAAACGATCAAATTGAATCAGTTAATTCACAAAGACACATCATCAGATACAGTGGCTCCATTCTGGCAGCGGCAATTGGAAATTCACTAGAAGTTCTCCAGTATCTGCTGAATATTTATCAACATCAGCCAAACGATTTCCAACAGGATCTACAACAACAACAGTTGGAACAACACTCTTACGCTATCAATAGAGTCAACCAAATCTGCGACACACTAGACGAAGCCATTGAATCTGCATTTTTCCCACCGTCACCCTATAAAATGGAATGTGTAGAATATATCATCAACCAATTTCCACACCTCATACAACCTATATACTATTCACAGAAAGACACACAACGATACACTCTCAAATTATATCTTAAAGGCAAATTGAATTCACCTTTCTAAAATAATAATAATAATTATTATATATATATTTAATTAGAATAATTTCACCCAACCAGAAAATCAAACCAGAAATAATCAACTTTTAATACTATATAGATTTTAAATAATATATATATATTTATTTATTTATTTATCTTTTTTATTTATAGTTTTTTTTTTTTTTATAAAAATAAAATTAAAACTATAAATAATCTTTGTATATCTACACCAACAAACGACAAAAAAAAAAACAAAATAATTATTATTTTTAAAACAATAAAAAAAAAAATAATTGTTTTTTTTTTGCAACAAGCAACATCACTGATGGACTTACCACAGTTTCCTACCAATCACAAGTTTGTTTGTTGTGAAAAACAAAACCAGGACTAAATTTTTTTATTATTTGTTTTTTTTTTTTTTTTTTAATTACGATAAAAGTAATATGTTAAAATTTCTATTTTAAAATGGATAAAGTCAAATATTTTTATTTCCTTTGTTAAAATAGTAATACGATCAAAGATTTATTTCATGGTTCCAAATAGATCGATGTGAAGATATACCACTGAAGTTATAATAATTCAAGTATAAATAATGGTAAGTAAAATTTATTTTAGATATAATTTAATTGTAATATATAATTAATAATTATGTTATTAACTAAAACATTGAAATATTCAAAATCATCTCCTTCTCTAATTTATAATAATAGAGGCAGCTTAGATAATAATATTCATCTAGGTAGCAGCAGCCGTAGCAACAATAACAACCATAATAATGACAATTTATTTGATAGATCAAATAATATTCTTTGTCAAAATAATAATAATATTTTGAAGAATCAACAGATAGAGTTGGATCTCATTCGTAAAGAGAGTATCGATCGTATTGAAAATCAATTGTTTCCAAGTGAATATGAATTGACCAGCGATAGATCTTCAACTTCCAACCTATCAGTAAATCAATATGCTGAATACAATCATGACATCGCAAATACACCAGTTATCTACAATGCTGAAAAAACAACCATCATGGAAAGATTCTTGTTACTCACCGGTGCCAACAATTCTTCCACTGAACAGTCAGTTATTGTCAATCATTTATCCTACGATGTTTATGAAAGAAAGCAATTATTTAAACCAAAGGAAAAAGTTGATATTTTATCAAATATCTCTTTTTATTTAAAGGTATAATTTATTTATTTATTTATATTGAAAACAAAATTTTTATTTAGCTTAAAATATATTAACCAATTAATTTATTTTTCTATTACAAATTAAATGTTTTATAGCCAGGAATGATGGTTTTATTATTGGCTGGACCAAGTTCAGGTAAAACAACATTGTTTAAATGCTTGACGAATCGTATTCCAAGTAGAGGTGTTGTCAGTGGTGATCTGCTGTTTGGTAATTGTCCAATCGATCCAAAGACTCATCATACTCAGTATATTTATGTTTCGCAAACCGATAACCATATTCCAACACTGACCGTGAGAGAGACACTAGACTTTAGCATCCAATGTCAATCAAAGTTGCCAGAGGAACAACAAGACCAGCTGCGTAATACAGTTTTGGAGATGTTGGGTATGAAGCACGTAGAGGATACCGTCATTGGTAACCAGTCTATTCGTGGAGTGTCCGGTGGTCAAAAGAAGCGTATGACCGTTGCCGTCGAGCTATTCAAAGGTGCCAAAACAATATTCATGGATGAACCTACGTCTGGGTTAGATTCTACTACATCCTATGAATTGCTGTCTTCCATCAAACTAATCTCTGAAAGTGCTCATGTTCCAGTAATGGTTTCATTGCTTCAGCCGTCTCAGGAGCTCTATTCTCTATTTACACACATTCTAATGTTGAAGGATGGTCAAGTTACATTCTTTGGATCAAAAGATCAAGTATTACCATGTATGTTTTAAAATTAAACAATTTTTAATTTTAATATTTCATTTTATTTTATACTAATAATTATCATTTTATAATTAGTTTACAAAGAATACGGATTACTTTGTCCAAAGACTCAGAATCCTGCAGAATTCTTGAGTAATGTTTATGAACTGTCAAGAATAAATCCAGATGTTGAATTAAAATCAACTGATGATTTTATTTCTGCTTATGAATCATCAAATAGTAAGTTAATATTTATTTAATTATCAATATTATTTTTTTTAAAGAAGCATATTAATTTATTTTAATTATTTATTTCTAGTTTATCAAGAGAATTTAAAAGTTGTTAGAGATGAAATTGTAAAAGCAAAAAGATTTGGATTGGTAGCACCAAAGATAGATCTTTTTCAACAATCACTTTTTAATCAAATTAAACTTTGTATTAAAAGAGCATTTGTTATGACATTTAGAGATCGTCCTTCTCTCACCTCTAGATTTTTAAAGAGTGTCATTCTTGGCCTTTTGATTGGTAGTCTATTCTTTGATGTTGGAAACACTCAGAAATCCACCCAATTGCTTCCATCGCTTACCTTTTTCCTCTTGACCTTTGTGGTTTTCGGTTCATTGGCAGGTGTCCAACAACTCTTTATAGAAAGACCAATCTTCTATGACCAACAATACTGTAAATACTACCATAGTTTTGCGTATTTCTCTGCCGGTGTCATCTGTGACCTCTTTTGGAATTTCTGGGATGTCTTTATCTTTACCAATCTCTCCTACTGGATGATAGGGCTAAGTTCGGATATCAACAAATTCCTCTACTTCCTTTTGATACTCTATGTTCTCGATTCACTGGTAATCAGAACCGCCAAAGCGGTATCTGTATTCTCATCGACACCAATCATCGCCAGTACTATCGCGCCAACCTTCTTTTGTTTGTTGCTCCTCATGGCTGGATATATCATTCCACACATCTCAATTCCAACCTACTGGAAATGGATGTACTATGTTTCGCCATTCAAGTGGTCGTACGAAGCTTTGCTTGTCAATGAAGTACATGATCATACCTACCGTTGTGAACCAGACGAATTGTTGCCGCCATCCAACAATCCTCTCTTAAATCTCAGCTATCCCTATGGTTATCAAGGAGGTCGTATCTGTCCAACTACTACCGGTGACCAACTTCTCAATTCCAAAGATATCACCACCGATTTCAACTATCGTTTCCAAGCACTGTTTGTCTTGTTAGCCATGTATATAGTATCTTTGGTCATCTCATTGATCGGTCTCAGATATTTTAGATACGACAGTATTCCAAATAATCCACCACCAGTAACCACTTCCATTCTTGCCAGACAACAAAAACTTATCCGTAGATCAACATCGGGTGTAGTCGCAATGAAGAAGAGACTGAGTGAAGGTTGTTTCTTGTCATTCCACAATCTAACATATCAAGTCTATGTTTCCAAGTCTGGAGGCACTAGAGTCATTCGTACACTACTTGACAATATCAATGGTTTTGTTGTTCCAGGCACTCTAGTGGCATTGATGGGCAGTTCTGGTGCTGGCAAATCAACCCTGTTGGATATTCTTGCCAACAGATCCAAAAATGGAATTCTCAGTGGTGACATCATGGTGAATGGAAAGCCAAGAGACAAATTCTACAATCGTTACATTGCCTATGTTGAGCAAGAGGACAGACTTCCCAACTCTCAGACCATCAGAGAAGCTATTTCATTTAGTGCCAATTTAAGATTGCCACCAGATGTCAGTGAAGCTCACAAGAGTGATGTCGTATGTTATATCCTCGATGTACTAGAGCTAATTCCACTGGCCGATGTTATCATTGGCACACCAGAAAATGGAATTTCAATGGAACAAAGAAAGAGAGTCAATATTGGAATGGAGTTGGCTTGTAATCCCGATATCCTATTCCTCGATGAACCAACTACCGGTCTAGATTCAGTCAGTGCTCAAAAGATTATGACTCTTGTAAAGAAGGTGGCAACCCATGGAAGATCGGTGATCTGTACAATTCATCAGCCAGCAGAAACCATTTTCAATCTCTTTGATTCCATTTTGCTACTGACCACTGGTGGTTATACTGCATATTTTGGCGAGGCAGGAAAGAATTCCGAAAAAATTATTTCCTACTGTAGAACCTATGGATTTGAATGTCCGGCCAACAAAAATCCAGCGGAATTCCTACTTGACTATTCCGCGTCTATCAATTTGCAATCTAGGATGGCTGCTCATGACAAGTTGTGTGAATCAAGATTCAGTTGGGTGCTGAAATTGGTGAAAATGTTTAAAAGAGAAACAGAAGCAACAACAACAACTAGCCAGGATGAAATAATTTGTCAAGATGGAGTTGGTTGTGCTGAGGATGAAGAGTCAACCACAGGAAACAAACCAGATGTAATCGATAACTATCTTGGTTCCGATCAGTATAGAGCTAATTTGGCAACTTTGACTTCCGATACCATTCATTCCAGTTTCAAGGCTACCACTTTTACCACCAAACATGCATCGAATTTCCGTCGTCAATTTTCACACTTGATGACACGTTCGTTCCTCACTGCATGGAGAAAGAAGAATGTGGTAATCACCAGATCTATAAGATCACTGGTTTTGGCTTTCATCACTGGAACTCTATTCTGGCAGATTAGAAATGATCAGGAAGGCGTGAACGATCGTATCTCTTTCATTTTCTTCTCTTCCACTTTTGCTTCGATATCTTGTCTCTCCAATATTCCTTCGATGTTTGAAGAAAGACCGCTGTGGTATCGTGAATTGGATTCTGGTACCTACCGTCATTTGGCGTTTATTTTTAGTACTATCCTCTCAGATATGCCATTTACTATGATGTACTCTTGTTTGTTTAGTGCACCGGTCTATTGGATGGCAGGATTATATGCAGACGGTCATAGATTCTGGATATTCATGTTAACCTACTATCTCTATGTCCAAACACTGATTATTTTCTCTCAGTTGTTAGGTGTGATCTGTCCAAACATGAGTGTCGCCAACGAACTCACTGGAATAGTGTTCTCTATTTTCTCTTTGTTTGCCGGCTTCATTATCCGTGAATCGTTTATTCCAAGTTACTTTAAATTCTTCTACCAAATATCGTTCACTCGTTATGCAGTTGAGACGTTGACAGTCAATGAAATGCAAAGTGGAATCAAATTCACCTGTTTGCCAGGCCAATACATTCCGGTACCAGTGAAAATCAACAGTACTCTGACAGTGTACAAACCATACTGTCCTATTCCAGACGGCGAGACAGTCTTGGAGATTTTCAATCTAGATAGATCTGCAACAAAAGTTAACTCCATCGTACTTTTGTCAATATTCTTTGTATTCACAATACTAATTCTAATTTCATCTAGAATTTTCAAGTATAAAAAATAATAATAAAGAATAATATTTTGCTTAATTTGAATAATTGTAACAATTAAAGTTGTTTTAAATTTATATATTTATAATGAATAATACAACAAAATGAACAAATTTTTTATATTTATTTTTTAGAAATGAATTTTCTGAATACCTCAACCTTTTCGTAAAGTTGCTCGTCGATCTCACCATCGGATATATGAAGCAGTACATTGGCAATGTTATATTCCGCTAAAATCGATAGATACTCTTTTGATTTGTTTGAGTGTTTGAAAACATTTTCGAGTGATGAAATAACCAATGATATTTCTGCCTCCAATAAATTGTCGTGAACTTCCTCAAATTTTTTGCAAATCACACGATAGCACCTTAGATTCAGCATCAAATAGTCGATTTGTTCTGCATCACCACCATCAACAATGTTGGAGTAACACCATAGGATTTCTCTTCGAACCTGTGAATCTACACTATCGAAAATGCTGACCAACTTTGGGAAAATCATGGCTTCCACACACAGTTGAATGATGTTTGCTGGGCAGGCAACGATATTCGATATTGTCCAAACAGTTTCCTTCAGGACGTCATTGTCTGGACTGTCCAGCAGTTTGAGTAAAATCGGTAGAGTCTTCAAACTAACCATGTAAAGTGTTGATTTGTCGTCGCCTGTCACCAAATTTCCATAGGCACGCAATGCTGGAATCACCAGCTGCAACTGATTGCTATCTAAATATCTAACGAGTTGAGGTACTATTCCAGATTTTATAATCGTATGAATATCTTCGTTGGCAGTGTCAGACATATAGCTCAGTGCCCAGAGCGCATCGATCAGAGTGGCTTGGTCAGTCTCGTATGTAATCACTTCTTTCATTTGGGGAAGTATCGGTTCCATGTAGTAAGAGTCTGGCTTTGGTTTGCCACGACACAAGTTACTGATTGTCCATACCAGCAGTCGTTTCATGGCGAGATTACAGTTGTCGAGCGCACCCAGCAGCAGCGGCAATACATTCGATTGTAGAACAAGATCTCTGTGTGAAGCACAATCACCAGCAATGTTTCCAATTGCCCAAATCACTTGTTCTCGCAGTCTAGGATCACGATGATCCAGTAGAGAATTCAAAATGTTGAGACCACCCAACTCTATGACCGTATTGACATTACTTGATGTTCCCGATACAATATTGGTGATAATCCAACATGCCTCTGTTTGAGTCTGTGGATTATCTTGATCTCTGAGTATAGCCAACACCATTGGAACGAATCCAGCATTAACAACAGCATCAATTGGTGGTGTATCAGCTGACAAAAAAAAAAGAAATTAAATTAATTATTATTATTGATCAATTACTAAAACTGCTAGTACTTTTAGTTGAACTACTACTACTTACCTGAAGATACCATTTTTCTTAATGCAACACAACCCTCTAAGATCTCATTTTCGTCCGTTGAGATTAACTTATCAAGTAAACCATTGAGCTTAGCCAACAACTCTGCATTATCTTCTTCACTGATAGAATCTTCACTAACTTCGTCTTCTTCAACCTCTGCATTAAAATAAGCTTCATCATATGAACTCTGACTCTCGACACCAAAAATTGAATCTTCTGATAAATCAGCTCTGATATCTTCATCTTCTTCGGAATCTGTATCATCTAAACATAAATGATGAAGATCAATGTTATCCATTGTTATAATACAATATAATATATATAAATGATATTCAAAAAATCAATACAAAAAAAAAAAAAAAAAAAAAGTCCTTTTTAGAAAAAAAAAAAGATAAATTACAGATTTTTTTTTCCAATTCTTTTTTTCCCGAATTTTTTTAGGGTAATCTGCAACAAACTATTTATTGTATATGACAGATCCTCTATTAATTTTGTCGTGTTTTTTGTTGAATAATTAATAGTCACACCTTCCAATTTCTTTAACATATTCAGTTGTTTTAACATCATCACATAATTGTTATTACTACTATTATTATTATTATTGATAATCTTATTGTTTTTATCATATAATTGTTTGTTTAAAATGTTTGTTAGAATCTCTAATGTTACATCCATTTGATCGTTTCTTAGGGTACGTGGATCTGCCACAACGAATTGACAAAGATACCAGAAACAATGGTGATTCACCATGAAATAGTCGATTTGCATCTGCGTTGCTGTGTCGGTGGTGAACGTCAAATAACAATTGAGTAGTTGATTTCTGATTTTTTTGCTTGGAGAACTGATCATAATTTCAACAAACTTTGGTAGGAATGCTGCATCTATTACCATCTGTATTAGATTGGCCGATCTACTTCCGAATATATTGGTAATCGACCAAATCGCTTCTACAACTAGCTCCTCGTTTTGACTGTCAAGAATTCTCAATATCAGCGGCAAAGAATTCAAACCGATCATGTATAGCGTCGATTTTTCAGAACCCGATACTAGATTTGCAAAGGAAATCAACGCTGCTTTGACTGTAGTATATATCCATTCATTGATATTCAGATAATGTAGTATTTGAGGTGCAATTCCTGACTTTATGATCAAATCGATTTGCTCTTGGTCGGCATTGTTCGAGAGGTTTGCTACAGTCCAGAGTGCGAGACTCAGCGAATATTCATCGGTTTGCTGCTTTTGTTGAAGAAAATGATTGATCGAAACGACTGTATCTACTATATTTTGATTCGATGGTTTCGGCTGGCCAATGCTAAGCGTTGTAAGTGCCCACAAAATCGATTGTTTCAAAGATTGCAAACTTTGAAGATATAACAAAGTGTTGTGAGTGTCCATATTGCCGGTTGTTTCAAAGTTTTTTTCTGGAGTACTATTCAATTGATCCAATAGCAGAGGAAATAGATTTGATTCCAAAACCAACTCTCTTTTATTAATAGCAATCTGACCCATTGATTGGACAGCCACATCTTTTACTCTGACATTTTCAGAATTATCCAAAGTGGTTTGCTGGAATATTATTTTCAATATATCGATTGCACCAGAGGTAGCTACTATTTGTTGTTTTCCAAATATAGCTATACCTTGTATGACATAACATAGTTCTCTTAAAAATAATGGATCCTTAACATTGAGTACTCCTATAAACTTTTGAATGAAACCATGACTAATAATCAATTCTATCGGTGGTAATGGTTCTGTTTTGCAACAATATAATTATTAATATTCAACAATGATACACCTATTTCTTTATTAAGAATTATTCATTTATATACCTGATATAATAGTCCTCAGTGAAGCTAAACCAATCAATTTAGTTTCATTATCATCTGAATATAACTGATCACATATCAAATTGAATTTCGCCAACAATTCACTATTGATATTTAAATAGTTATATTGATCTATTGTCAAATTTAAATTTAATGACATAACTTTGAATTGATTATGATGTTCAGTTATAAATATATACAATAATGTTTATTATAAAAAGATGATCATTTTTAAAAAATTTTTGCAAAAAATTTGGATTGATGATAGATCATTCCACTCTAACTATTTCTGGATTTTTTCTGTCTTTGTTTTTTCTTTCTGTAGATTTTCTATCTTTATGAAATTTCGTAAAAAGCTTGTATAGTTCTTGCTCGGCGTTGACAACAGACCCTCTGGTTTTAATAGTACATTCAATCTCACCGTAGAGTGACTTCTCCTCGATGAGTAATTGTCGCTGATGTTTGGTGACTTGTCTCTTTACTTCCTCCAATGCCGCCATCGATTTTGATCGTGATCTACCGAGTGTACCGATGAGTGATGACGACTCTTTCACTTTCAAATCGCTCTTCAACCCCATCAAGACGATTGGAATATCGGGGTGTGCTTCTCTGGCTTTATCGATCTTGGCGCGTAGTGCATCGAACGATTCAGCGGAATCGTGTGCATACGCTGCAACAAAGATTGGTTTCAACGGCAGTACGCTCAGCGAATCTAGACGGTAGTCATGGAATACCAGCTTACCTTTGTTGTGCAATCTTGCCTTGATAAGTTTGTTTGAGAATGAAGTGAAACCGATGTGTAGAGACCCGAGCACCACGGCGATAGCTGGGTTTTTATAGCTTGAATACGACTCTATTCCAACTGGCAGACCAGCAATCACTTTGAATCGAATTCGTTGTGCTTTCATCTGTCGATCGTCCATAGACATGAATTTAACACATTCATGGAAAATATTATTTGTTTGATTCAACACACCATATCTTTTCTTAATAACAATAGGTCGTTCTTCAACTTTTGATGTTGTGTCTTCTCCTGTTGTTGTTGTTGTAGTTGTTGTAGTTGTTGTTGCTTCATCTTCTTTAGCTTCTTCATCATCATACATTTTACCAACTTTGAAATTCTCTTTATCTAGATCACTAAACATTGCATTCATATCTTTATCATTTGAACCACCTGCATTTTGTTCTACCATCTGATTCTTAAACTCTTGATATTTCTCTTTTGAAGATTCTCTATAACAAATAGCTAAAAACATTTCTGTAATCAACTATAAATATATATATATATATAGATAATAAAAGATAAAATGATTAGTTAAATCAATAAAAAGAAGATATTATTTGTTAATAACTTACATTAAAACGATCAAACTTTATACATAATCCACCTGTTCTTTCTGCCATCATTTGATAGAAGAATCTATTTCTCTCATGTTGACATACAACACCATAGATTTTGATGCCGAGTGACTCGAGATCGTCTACCTCCTGTAGCCAATTGATGTTTAGTGTTGTGTAGTACGGTGCATGTGGAGCAGAGTCACCAATCATGACTATGGCTTTGGAGGTGTGTTTCGACCAGGACATTGACTTTACTCTTTGCAGCGCCAACTCGTAGGCTTCATCTTCATCGCCACCACTAGTACGCGGCACATCCATAATAAATTTACAAAGAACATCGACATTCGATGTCAAATTCAAACTCCTGATTACATTGTAATGATCACAGAAATCACCGATTCCAACCACGCCAATCCTAATCGATGGAATCTCCTCTAGCAATTTGGTTACTGTTTCACGAACTTTGGCTCTTACCTCATTCAAAACCGAATACATGGAACCAGTTGTATCGAAACAGAATACAATCTCTACATCATTGGAGAGTGTAGATCCAAGGAAATGTGAAGTGAACTCTTCATTGGAAATCTGAGGAATTTCTTCTTCCTTTGGCTTCGAAGTGGTGCTTGCTAAAGGATTTTCTTTCACCTCTGTGAAAATAGTCAGGTTTGTTTCCACAGTTGTTTGTAAAGGTGAATAGTCTTTCAATTCATTGTTTCCTTGTTTGAAACAAACTAATTTATTTACAAACGATGGATCTACTCTAGTAATAAATTGTCTTGAAATGATTGAAAAATAAATTAGCAAAAAATAAAAACATAGAATTGCTTTTTCAAATAACATACTGTTTTAAATGAGAAACTAAAACACCAGGATTATTAACAATTGGAACTTTATGAATGGTACCATTGTATTCTATGTCATAGGTCAATTCCTTTATGATATTCATATGAATTGTACTTTCTTTTTTGATTCCGAAATTTGAAAGTGGTTCATCTGGAATATTCATAGTACTACCTGCATACGTCAATTGGAATTGATATAACTCCAAGGTGGCTCTCTTTTTCACTTTTTCTAAAAGTACTGATACATTGTCAGAGCTATCAATATCGAGTGAAAACGTTACTGTTGGTGTTTTAATAAGAATAATCATTATTATAATCAAGAAAGAATTTAAACAAATAATAAATAAATAAATAGATAAATAATTAAATAATTTACAAATGTAAATTAATCTTTAACAGAATTCAAAGATTTTATAGTAAAAGACGCACCACAATCAAAAATCTAAAAAAAGAACAACCACACAAATTTGATCAGAAAAAAATTTTATTTGAAAAAAATATGAAGTGACATTTTTTTTTCCAAGTTATTTTTGTTATTTTACAATTTAATTTTAAGTGATATTTATACATATATTATTAAAAATATTTAGGTGTATTTTTAATTTTTGCAATCTTTTCTGTTAGTTCAGCAATTTTTCGATCGTATTCCTCCATTTCTTTTCTTTTCTTTTCCAACATCTCTTTTCTACTCCTATCAGTTTGGGCAATGGCTCTCTGATCATCTTCAATCTGCTTTTCCTGTCTTTGTTTCTTTCTTTTGTTCAAATCGATGGCAAGCTTTATCTTTCCGGCTTCGGAACTCCAATTTTTCATTTTTGACTCTGTCTCTAGATCTTCTAGTTCTTTCTTGCTTTTCTCTAGGTTTTCTTTTAGACTATCGATGACTTGGTCAGTAACAATCTCTGGGTGAATATCACTGCTCTCTCTCAGTTCACTCTTGGCGTTTTCGGGGTTGGCATCGCCTCCCAACGATTTCAGAGTCTCCTGCAACTTTCCGATTTCAACGGATTTAGTTTCATTCACTTTCTTTACTTTTACAATTTGCTCTTCTAAACTGATAATAGTTCTCGATTGTTTATCCGTTAATGGAACATTACTTATCATTTGATTGCTATCTGCTGGTTTTCTTTTTTTTTTATAAAAAATTTAAAGTGTTAATTAACTACTCTGAGTTTAATGAAAATGATTGTATAGTATTCATACTTGTCTGTTTGTTTGTTAATTAACCTAAATAGCGATAGAATCTGATACTCAAAAGGTATTTGTTTGTCAAATGTTTTCAACAAAAATCGAACGGATATGTCGAAATCAGAGAAGAATTTTTCGAATGCGTTTTTACTATCAAAAAGTATGGACTGTAGGTTTTTGACCTCTTTTATGTATGTATCTGTATCACTTTCTTTTGCCTTTTGAAAATCTAATATATATTTAAGTGAGAGTCGCAATCTAGAATTTAATCATAGGTTGTAAAAAATTAATAATTTAATAGATTCATTCTTTAGATTTATCATTTACAACATACTTTGTTACATCAATTTTATCTTGCTTCATATTAACGAAAAACGGTCCTCCAAAAAATTGTTGAATGTAAAATGGCATATCTTGTAAATTTGCTGGTGTAGAACTAGGATCCTATTTTGATAGATTTAAATTTATAATTAATTTTAAAGAGTTATTATTGATCAATTATTAACTTACTGGAATACCAAAGGTTTTCAAATGTTCTATATTTTTTGAAATTTCTGGATCACCCCTATAATATTTAGAAATTCGATTAGATTAGTTTTATAATTTCTATGGTCAAGCATACGTACAATCTTGTTTTGAGAAATACTGAAAGTGTTTGTGTCCAACTATCATGGAATAGATTAGACTTTTGGGTGAAATCAATAAAGAATGGAGATAGAACATCGGCACATTTCTTTGCACAGTCAAGATCTGGTATTTCTTCAACGACGAAACTATTTGGAAGTTCCAAATGTGACTTTAAAACTGGCTCAATTGTACTAATTAAAACTACTTTTTGCTAATTGAGATTGTTAGAATATTTATTCTATATGTTTCAATTGTTTGTTTTTTCAATACTTACAACAGTGTAATAAGGTCTAAAGCTATTGATTGCTTCCAATGGAAAGAGATCAAAACTATCCAAAAATATTACAAATACTTTGTGATCGCTCATATTGATTTTCCAATCTGGCGATGGTATAAATGTATTGTTTCTAGAAGAATCGATTTTTAAATGTTAAAAATGAAATTATATAGTATTACAATATATTGTACTTACATTATTTGTTTTAAATTTCTTAATTTGATAACGTGCTGCGCATTGGTATTGAAAATTATTAATTTAATATCGATCGATTGAATCCAGTTGCACTCTGGAATGTCATACAAAGAGATTCTTGCATTCGGATTGTATTCGGTCATCTTTGACAAAAGATCAGCGAAATCTTTATCTTTTAATTCTTGAGCCTTCTCTGATACAGGTCTGCGACTGCCAAACGTATTTGGATTCGCCATGTATAGAAAAGTTAAACCAAGTGAATAGATATCGACACCACTATGATAGCCTTTATGGAAAACTTCCGGTGCAGAGTATAACGGTGTTCCTACGTGGGAATCCATTTGATCACTATAACTTTCATTTTGTTTTGATAAACCAAAATCCGCAACTAATATGAAATATTTATATTAATATAATTAATAATATCTGAATGGAGAGTAGTTTCTTTTTCTTACATTTGAGAATAGTTTTGGAATTATCTTTAGTGGGAGTATTATTGTTACTAGTATTGCTGTTTTTAGTGTGAAGTAAGATGTTGGCTGGTTTGATATCTCTGTGAATTAATTTCAAACTGTGAAGATAGGAAAGTCCAGAGACCAGCTGAACTACATAGGATTTCAAGGTTGAAGATTGAATTGATTTGTGACCATGCAGCCTAATATGCTCTTCCAATGAATTGCCATTACAAAACTCAAAAGCATAGGTATGTTCATCCTATTTTAATAATTATTTTTAATTTAGTAAACAATGTGTTTGAACATTGTTGTTGGTAGATTTAAAAAAATAAAAAACGTGCTCATACCAAAATTTTTTGAATATTAACAATATGAGGATGTCTAGCTTTGGATTGCAAAGTTTTCAGAATCTGATGCTCTGTATCATTGTAGCTGCTCGCTTTCGAGTGAAACTTGATCGCCACCATCTCTTTAGGTTTAGAATCTAGATGTTCGGCTTTAACTACAATTCCGAAAGAACCTGATCCAAGAATACCCAAAAACTTGTATGAATATGAACTGAGCACACTTTCAAAATCAACTTTGAGGAGATCTGGCTTTACATAGGCCATTGTTGTTTATCTACTATGTTCTCTACACAAAATACTAATTAATTACACAAGATATAAAATATAAATCTGTTTACATAAAATTGGTGTATGATTTGCTTTTTAATCAAATCAAAAAAAAAAAACAGTGATCAAATTTTACAAAAACTGACAAATTCAATTTTTTGTTTTGAAAAAAGCAAAATTTATTTTTTTTTGATTTTTTTTTTTTACTAAAAAAAAAGTGTGTTTGCATATATATATATGTACATTTAAAAAAGTAAGAAGTTTGTATGTGTTTGGCTTATTGATGTAATGATAATTCGAGTATTCTAGCAGCTTCACGGAGATTGATCACTTCTTTTTCGAGCTCTGAGATTTTGTTGTCTTTGAGTTCAAGTAGATTGGAGGTTTGGAACTGGTTGGCCAAATTCTTTGAATCCTGTTGCTGTTCCAATTCACGTATACGTTCTAAAAGCTGCGAGTTGGAGTCTCTTGTTGATTGGTATTGTGCATTTTGTTGCTCCATCTGTTTAACCTTTTCCTGGAGTGATTTGATATGATTGTTAAACTCGAATTGCTTTAGGGTCAGGCTGGCATCACGTTGTTTCTGCTCGTTGAGTGATCTCTCCAACTCTTGGATTCTCTTATCTTTATTGGTTGACAACTCTTCGAATTGCTCTCTCAGCATTGCTATCTCTCTTTCCTTTTCCTCCACTAAACTATCGTTGTTATTGTTATTGTTATCTTCCTCACACTTTTGAGCATGAATAACAGTGTCAATGAGTTGTTGTTGATCTCCATTGTAGATAACAGAGTTACAATTGTTTTGCTGATCGTCGTCTCTCTCTATAGTTTGTTGATCGTCTTGGTGATAATAATTATTTCTACCCAAAGAATTATGATCTTGTTTTCTCAACTCTGACAACTCTCTTTGTAATTCACCATTCTCTTTAATTAAATCCAACATAACTTTAGTTTGAACCAAGTTTTGATCTATTATAAAAATAAAAGCAACAAATGATTAATAACAATCTCCTAAATGTAAAAGATACAAAGTATAATATACATACTTCCACCCAGGTCATCATCTATCATATCAAAACCTTCACTTGTTATAAAGTCTCTCAAACTTAAACTTTCAGCAGTTGGCAAGAAATTGTGAAGAGGATTCTCTATGTCGCGATTGGAAAGAGCAAGTGGAATGAAATATTTTGGTAAATCAACATTTCTGAAACTATAAAAATAATAATAGAAATATTAGTACTCTTCAAATTGTTAAGTTATATAGATTAGTTTAGTTAATAATTACTTTGATCTTAATGAAATTTCACCTTGGATCAGTGTATGAATATCAAGTGCAAATCTTCTGGTTTGTTGATCGTAGAGTGCCTGGAACTCGGATCTTCTTCTCAACTCTGACTGGTAGCGCTTGTAGTAGGTTGGAATCTTGGCAATCTCATTGATCAACTCTTGGTCGCCAATGATATTCTGAGATTGATTCTGAATGGTGTCGAGCGACGACAACGATTTGATCAGACTATTAAAGTGGTCAATAAACATTGATAGATCCTTATTGATGGCTGAATAGTACTTGATGTAGAGCTTATAGCAATTCTCCACGTATGCCGAAAAGTGTTTCATCAAAGTCTCTGTGTCAAAGATGAAACCAAACGACGATTCATTCAGGCCACGAAGTTGATTAAGACCGGCACGCACCGTTTCAAATTGTTTAGAAAGACCTTCTACCTCTAACAATCCTTCTAATACACTAAATAATAAATGAAAAAAAAAAAAAAAAAAGAAGATGTCAAATTAATATTATTTCTTTAAAATTAGCGATACTATTTATCAATAACAACTTACTTTTGATTGAAATGAGTATGTGACTTTTCTTTTGAATCCAAATCCTTTGAGATCTTTATGATATTATCATAGAGATCACCGATGTCACGTTGCAAGAAAGTCTTTATGATGAATGGCAGACGATCTACAAACGACTCGTTGGTTTCATTTCCATCATTGTCAAGATCCTTCAAGTTTCTAACGTTTTCTAGAGCTTGATGATTGGCTTGGTTATTCTTACAGAAATCACCAATTCTATTCATTGCAAGTGTAAAGTTTGGTGTTTTGCTGTGAATTTTAAAAAAAAAAAACAATATTAATAAGTTACTTATTTTAAAACTGTGATTTTAATCATTTGTTTAAACTTACATTTGAGCAACATAAAACTCCTTAAATAAAGCATACAATCTTAAATAATCAAGTGATTTCTTTAGAATATCTGTAACAATAAACTGTACTCTTCTTGCATCTGCCAACTTTTCCTGTTATTATTAAGTTTAAATAAAAATATTTTAAATTAATAAATGTAATTGCTTTTCTTCTTAAATGATTATTAAGCTTATATATACTTACATCTTGTAATTTATGAATTGTCCAAACCATTGGTTGTTTAATGATTTCAGAGAACTTTGATACTTTATCAAGTGGACTGAAAAGAATTCGTGGAATCTCATGTTTCTTACTAATTAAATAAACTCTATCCTGAAATATTTGAAAAGTTTGGATTCAATATTTGTTTTGATTTGTTCAATATTATTAATTATTACTAATACTTACAACTGTATAGATTGGACGTTCAATAGTATCCTCCAATAGATACAACTTATCAGAGTCATGATAAGATACCAATACCAATTGATCAGCCAATGACAGATTAAACTTTGACTCAATGAATCCTCTATATGTTTTATCACTAGATTATATTTTCAAAAAAGATTATTATTGAGATAAAGTTAGTTACATGTGTTGATAAAAAAAGAACAAACTAAATCTAAACTAAAATAAAACACTTACTGAATTTGATACAAATCTTGAAGATTCATTAAATAACGATCTTGTCCTGGTACTTCGAGTTGTACGAATTTATCTTGTAACCACTTTGAACGAATGATCTCTTGAATTGTAATTCTTTGTTTGGGATTCGGGTTGATCATACGAATCAATAGATCCTTGAAATCTGCAGAGAGTGTTGATGGCAATCTATAGATTTGCTCTGGGTTGACCGGAAGTGATACCGGGTCATTATAACGTGCTCTTGCAATATAAAAGAATACCACACCCAACGAGAAGATATCCACCATATGATCGTATTTAATCTTTCCAATCTCTGGTGCTGTAAACAGCGGACTTCCAACATTAGATCCCAACATCTCTATCTCTGTCATCGATTTTGAAAATCCGAAATCAGTCACTAATTTAGTAAGTAATTTTAAATAAAGTTAGTTAGTTACTTTAAACATATATATAGATATTCGCCACTTTATCTACTTACATTTAAATACGAATCTATTATTATTTTGGTGAACTAAAACATTGGCTGGTTTCAAATCTCTGTGAACTATGGGTTTCTCTTGACTGTGAAGGAATTGAAGTGCCGAAAGAATCTGTACAAATATGGTCTTCAATGTGTTCTCTGTAATCGGTGATTTCTCCATAAAGTATTTCTGTAATGAATCACCATTACAATATTCAAAAACATATGTATATTGATCCTATTATAAAGATAACAATGATATTATTAATTTCAATATAGATATTAATGATAATAATAATAAAAATAACACATACAAGTACATCTGGAATGTTTACTATGTGTGGATGTTGTTGACCGTTTTTCAATTTATTTAAGATATCGAATTCTGTTTGAATGTATTTCTTTGCAGCGAGATTCGATTCGTAGGTATGATAGTTGAGTAGTTTCACTGCATAGAGTGTACCTGTTGCATGATCCTCTGCTTTGTAGACAGATCCAAACGATCCACCACCCAACTTCTCTAATCTCTTATAACCACCTGTAGTCTGACCTGGTTTTCTAAAATATTCTGATGTCTCTCTATTAACTATCACTATTTGATTTTGTTGTTGTTGATTCTGTTGTTGCTGTGGCTGAGCGGGTTGCTTTTCAGGTGTCTTTTTAAAAAAATACATTTTTTTCTATTCTTTTTCTCTTTTAATTAACCAAAGAAACAACTAACAAAACAAAACAAACACAGACAGATGTATGCTTCTGTATATTTCTATTGTACAATCAATGTATTATTAATCTATCTACAAACTATGAGTATATATATATATATATTATCTTATCTGTCTAATTATTAAAATAATAGTATGAAAAAAACAAATAAAAGTGTGAAGACAGACAGTCAATAAAAAAACTAGTATTAAAAAAATAAAAAATAAAAAATAATCTAAATTATTATAATATTGTTATATTATTATGATTTGTATGAATCGAACAAAAAAATAAAATAAGTATATTAAAAAAATAAAATAAAAATAGTGTTGATTGCTGTGTTTGTGTATGTCTATCTGTCACCAAAATTAATTAAAATAAAATAGAATATAAAAATTTTGCAAATATTGTGTGTGCAAATATTCACATAACAATAAAAAAAAAAAAAACCACACATTCTCAAATTTATGAGTTTCTAAAATTGAATATTTTAATTTTTCGCAGAGGTTTTTTTAATTTTTCTTTGTTTTTTTTGGTTTTTATTATTATTATAAGTTTAGTTGTAGAACTGAACGAACACTCTTTCCCTCATGCATCAAATGGAATGCTTCATTGATTTCACTGAGTGGCAAATTGAAAGTAACGAATTCATCTACTTTGATTTTACCATCCATATACTATTATAAAATAAAAATGATAAAAATAAAAATAATTATTATTATTATTAGTTTAAATAAATAAATCTCTAAAAAAATAAAATAAAAATAAAATAAAAAAGAATGATTGATTTTTTTGCTTTTACACTTACCTTGTCAACGATACCTGGTAATTGAGATCTACCTTTGACACCACCGAATGCCGATCCCTTCCATACACGACCAGTGACCAATTGGAATGGACGAGTGGAGATCTCAGTACCGGCTGGTGCGACACCAATGATTGTACTGACACCCCAACCCTTGTGACAACACTCCAAGGCGGCACGCATCACCTTTACATTACCGATACACTCGAATGAGTAATCTACACCACCATCGGTAATCTCTACCAATAGCTGTTCAATTGGTTTCTCATAATCTGTTGGACAAATACACTCTGTTGCACCAAAGAGTTTAGCTAAATAAATAATAAACAAAATGAAGTGTTAAACAATACATTCTCTAAATCATGATTTAACCTACAAATCTATCTATCTATCTATCCATCTCTATATATATAAATATTATAATTATATACACACACTCTCTCTATTTCTTTCTCTATCTTCTAATCTCTTATATTTCTAACCTTTTTCAAATTTCTCTTTGTTAATATCAATTGCAATGATTCTCTTTGCTTTAGCTTCGGCAGCACCCATTACAGCAGCAAGTCCGACAGCACCCAAACCAAATACGGCAACAATAGCACCTTCTTCAACTTTAGCAGTGTTTACAACAGCTCCATATCCCTAAGAGATTTGATCGATTGGTTAGAGTGTATGTAAGTAAGATACTTGTGAAATTAGTTTTGTTTTATCTTAACTTACAGTTGTAATACCACAACCCAATAGACAAACTTTATCTAATGGTGCATCTTTTCTAACTTTGGCAATTGAGATCTCTGCAACCACAGTGTACTCGGAGAAGGTCGAACAACCCATAAAGTGATAGACGGTCTGTCCACGACAACGGAAACGCGAGGTTCCGTCTGGCATCAAACCCTTACCCTGAGTGATACGAATGATCGAGCAGAGATTGGTCTTTCCGGACTTGCAGAACTTGCACTCACGACACTCTGGGATGTACAATGGGATGACGTGGTCACCGACGGCAACACTGGTGACACCCTCACCGACCGACTCGACGACACCACCACCCTCATGACCGAGAATCGATGGGAAAACACCTTCAGAGTCGTGACCGCCCTGTGTGTAGGCATCGGTGTGGCAGACACCCGACGAGAGCACACGTATTCTGACCTCACCGGCCTTGGGTGGGTCAACCTCGATCTCCTCAATAACAAAGTCTTTCTTTGCTTCCCAACAAACTGCTGCCTTACATTTAATAACTTGACCGACTGTTGTTGACATCTTTTTGTTTCTCTCTAACTAGCTAACTAATTTCACACACACACACACAAAAGTAAAAAAAAAAAAAACAAGTTTAAATTAAATTTTGATGTTTGTTTTTAAAATGTTCAACTTTAAAAAAAATGTAATTCAATTTAATTCAAAAAAATAAAAATAAAAAATTATGTTTTATTTAAAAAATAAAAATAAAAAATAAAATGATAATAATCTTGATTTTCAGATAAGATAATATCTTGACATATATCTTCATCAAGAGTGTACATTTTTTACATTTTTTTTTGTTTTTTTTCAATTTACTTTTTTTATGATTGGATTGACCAAAAACAAAAATTAATCAGATCGGATTTGACCAAAATAAATTTCATGCTTAAAACAGGTGACAACACAAATAAAGAAAAAAAAAAAAAAACAAAAAAAAAAAAAATTAAAAACAAATTTAAATTTTTGGTGATAATTGTTTTTTTGCAATTTAGTGAAGTGAAGTGAGTTTTTTTGCTCTGAAAAAATATTATTAAAAATAAACCAATATATTATTATTATCATAATCAGTTATTAGGAAGATTAATTTATAATTCTATATTAGAATACTAGTAGAATAATAAAAATAAAAATGAATTCATTTTGGGAAGACGACGGAGAGGATACAGAGAATGAAGAGACATTCAAGACTGTGATTAAAGCAACCAATTTCATAAATGATGAAGATGACGATGGTGGTGCTTGGAATTCACCGACCAACGCTGAGTTGTCAAGTGACTGGGGAGAAGATCCATTCAAGGGAAAACAAGCTGGTGCTGGTGGTGCCAAGAAGAACAACAAGGACAAGAAACCAAAGAATAGCAACCAACAACAACAACAACAACCATCAACAACAAACAATGTAGAAACAACAGATACTACTGATGGTGACAACAACAACAACAGTAACAGCAACAACAACAACAACACAAATACTACAGATGTAAAAGATGTATTAGTAAATGAAAATCCAGTTGATCATCAACAATTTGAAGATCAACAACAATCATCATCATCAAATAATAATATAGTTAAACAAAAAAAATCAAATATAAATGATGAAACACAATTTCCAAGTTTGTCAACAAAGAATCAAAAAATCAAAAGAAAAACACCACAAACCTCAGGTGACAATGATGACAGTAATGACAATGAGAATGAAGCTGATGATCACCAACAACAACAACAACAATCTTCATTACCATCATCAACCGGTAAATCATGGAGTCAATTACTTTTGGAGAGAAAAGATGATTTCGATCAAATCGATAAGGAGAGAGAACAGAAAGAAAAGGCAGACAAGGAGAGAGAGTTAAACGCCGACGTCGACCAATCAAGTGCACAAGAGACAACACGTTCTGCACCATTGATCATCAAGGCACAAAAGTCGGTCCATTCATACCAGCCACTCACAAGTAAGAGCAGCACTAAGTCTAAGCCAGTCAACAACGTTGAAGTTGTCACACCAACACCAACACCAACTCCTACTCCTGTTGCTTCAAACCAAACTAAAAGTAGTAGTACTACATCCAAGTCTACAGCAGCAACAGCAAAGACAGAGACTAAACAACAACAACAACAATCAACAAAGAGTGCTTCTAAAACAACTTCAACACCAACACCAACACCAGCTCCTGCTCCTGTATCAACACCAGCACCAAAGTCTGAAACTAAACAACAACAATCAACTTCAACTTCAACATCAAAACCAAATGTAACTAATAATAAATCTAGTACTACTAAAGTAAATAAACCAACAGCACCAACACCCACTCCATCAGCACCAGCAAAGTCTGAAACTAAGCAACAACAACAGCAGCCAACTAAGACTACTACTAAAGTAGATAATAAATCATCTACCAAAACAACTACACCAACAACAGTAACAGCAACTAAGAATAATACTCAAACAGCTAAACCAGAAGTTAAACAACAACAACAACCAGCTGTAGCATCAACATCAAACAAAAAGAAGAAATCAAAGTCAAAAGAAACAGTAGTTACCACTTCAAACGTAGAGTCATCATCCACTTGGAATAGAACAATCATCTCAATTCTCATTGTAGCAGTTGCTTTTGCAGTTGCAACCAAACTACCAGAGATTATGATTACTCTCGGTAGTCTCACATCACAAAAGAAATAAACAAACAAACCAATCATAAACAAAAGACAAATCATAAACACAACCATAAACAATACATCAAATCATAAACAAACAAAACCATAAACAAACAAACAAATCATAAACAAAAAAACAAACCAATATAGATATATACATACATATAAATATAAAATAAAATAAAAAAACGTTAATATAACAATTGATTTATTATAATTGATTGATTAGATTCTCTTTATTGTTTTATTTTACTTCTTCTCAAATTTGTTGTTTATAAAGTTAAGAGTGTTTTTGATTTAATAATATAATTTAATAAGTTCATCAGAGACAGCGGATGGAGTTAGTACACCGAGTTCGGTGAATAGTAAAGTGATATAGGAGGGTGGTGTGTAGTCGAGTGACGGTGAATCGATGGTGAGTAGTTCGGGTTTGGTGCATTTGCAACATTGTTTGCAAATGTTGAATGTGTCGTGTTCCTTCTTGAGACTTTCGATATCCGATTGGTCCAGTGGGTAGGATCTTGTGAATTTAAAACTTTCGGCGGCCACATAGAATGGTTTCTTGAATGCCTTGGCAACGATACTGATCTGATAGGTACCGATCTTATTGACGATACCACCGTTCTCTACGATCGCCTCTGCACCACACAACACATAGTCTACCTTATCAATGATTCTCGATACACCACCATCCATAATTAACTTTACAGGTATCTTTGCTTCTTCTAATTTCTCTGCTAATTTATAACTTTTTAATTATCAATTGATCAATCATTAGAAATTAGTAATTGTTGTTGTTGTTGTTGTTGATTTTGTAGTTAATCCACTATATATTCATAACAATAATTATAACATACCCAGAAGAATCAGGTCTTGATTCTGTTACTATAACATTGAATCTCTTTCCTTGTGATGATGCATAGAGAAGTACAGATAATACAACACGTGAATATCCATGTACCAATATAGTGATGTCGTCACGAATGAATCGGTTCGATAGGTGTGAAATCTTTGTACGACTCTTTGATGATTTATCAGAGAGTTGTTCACCTCTTTTAATTAATGTTGTTTTACATTGATCGAAATTCTAAAATAGCATAAATATATATAAAGTAAAGTGGAATAATCTATGAGTAAAATGTCCTATCATCTATCATCATATTCTTTTCAACATACTGGGAAATCTAATGAAGTTCTAGTTACAAATCTAATAAATAATTCGCAAACCGATGATAATGAAATGGAGGTATTTAAATCGCATTGTTTGAGATGAGCAGTTGCATATTCCAATTCCTTTTGTAGACCCATGATAGTGAATGCCTGACTCTTACTGATGACCTCTGTCAGTACCTTAATAGCAGGTATAGCAATTGCTGTATCAACTTCTCTTTTTATCTCTTGTGAAAACATATCTACAACTGTATATATATAAGCAATAAATAAATGAATAATAAATAAAGTTAACTCTACTGTCTATGTCTCTCTGTCTCTCACTCTCTACCAATTCAGATTCAGTTCAATATTTGAATCATATATATATATTTACCCCAACTAAAACTTGGATTGAGTTCTAAAGATGTACTGTTTGTATTCATTCTTCAATCATACAAAAAGATATATAAATAAATAAAATAGTAGTAGATATATAGATTAGATCAAATCAAATCAATAAGTTAGTCTAGTTTTAAAAAAAAAAAAAAAATTTTTTGTCGATTAATTAAAACATGAGAATAAAATGTGAACCATTATTTAAATTTACAAGTTGTTATTACTATTTTTATTTTATATTCAATTAAATTAGTCAATTATAAAGATGTGAATGAAGCTCAACTACAAAGGAAGATATTTTACTTCAATTATCACTAAATTTCAAAAAAAAAACAACTAAAGTATTTATATACGACCAACAACATTCTAATTAAACTTTTCATATGTAAACGCAATCAATTGCAAAAGTTTCAAACCAAAAGTAATATCGTCTCTTAAATACTACTACTTTCTATTACATTTCTTTAAAAGTCATTCATGTTTTCGCTCACCAACTAATTTTTGTTTTACAAATTTGTGTGTAAGTGTGTAATGATTAATAAGCTTAGATTTTGAATATATTTGGGAACTATTTCTTTTAAACAAGTATTTGAATCGATTTGCAATAGCAAAAACTAAACATCTGTACTAAATTAATATTATATTAATTAAAAGATAAAAACTTAAAACTTAACAGTAACAATTACCAATCATTATATTTATTGGGATGAATTAATGTTGTTTTTTACACAAATATTTGTTTAGATAATTAGTCATTTTTACATGTATTTTCAATATGCTACTTTTAAAACAAAATAAAAAACTATATAAATGATCAAATTTAAAATTATCTAATTCATTCCAAAACAATAATATATTTTACTAAAAACTAAACTAAAAAAAAATGAAGATTGCTATTTTTGCCATGTTGTTGGTAGCATTTACTTGCTTATCAGCTGTAAACTCAACATTCATTGTTGGAACCTGTGATTCCAGTAAGTGTGGTTTCGGTCAAGTCTGCATCTGTGAGGGTGGTGTCAATCACTGTGTATTGTTGGATCAATGCGATGAGGTTGCTGTAGTGCAAACCATTGAACACAGTTGGGTTGAGAACGGTCAATCATTCACTTTGTACCGTGTACATGTCTTCAACTATGGACCAAGAACCTTGAAGAATATTGCCATTCAAACCGATTGTACCTTGGATCCACGTGACCAAAGCTCAGTATGGAACGTTGTTTACAACAATGGATTCTTCTCCCTCCCATCCTATGGTCAAGGTATTGCCACTGGTAAAGAGTTTGTCTTTGGATACATTGACCGTGGTATGCGTTCACCAAACTTATTCATCCGTGCCCTCCAATATTAAATAAAATAATTATTTATATTTAAGTTTTCTTTATAATTTTAAAAATTCACCTTTTTTTTTTGTTACATAATATATATTATTTTTAATGTTTTTTTAAAGACAGGTCAAATCATTTACAAAAAGGATAGATACCAATAATTTTGTTTGTAGAGTATTTTGCATAAAGAATAATTCAAATAATATTTTATTAGTTGATAGGGGATTGGAAATTTAAAAGCATATTATTGATTAAACTTATATTCTTTTTTAAATGTAATTAATTATCATCAAATTGGTTGAAGTTTCCAAATTCGGTTATCTTGTTTTTCCAGTGAGTTTTGGAATACGTAATGCTTTTGATTTGATACTTCTGTAAATCAATTTAACCTATTGTATTTGTTGAGCATTGGGTTGATTTAATACGTTAAAAAACCATTAACTCCTAGGAGGAATTCAGGAAGAGACGAGGTTATTTCAAAACGTACCAATACTGATATATAAAAATAAAATTTTTTTTTCTTAATTAAATCTGATTTTTCATTTTTATTTTTACTTTTTTTTGTTTTTATTCTTTGCAAATAAAGTAAGTGATGATCTAAGTGATCAAAGATCAACAATATAAACAACATTAAATAAAACCATAAAATGTATATCAATGAAAGATTGTGATAAGAATATGTTGATGAAACTTACAAGATAGTTACAAAAAATCATTTCAAATTTTATTATTATTAAGGTTAACAATAAATTTAAATGTAAATACTCAAAGAGGTTCCGCAATCATACGAAATGTATGCATATGCATCCGGAGAGACGGTCGATCGCTGTCATTTCTCCTGTTTTTCACTGATTCAACACCACCCAATTAAATAAAGATAAAAAATAGAAAAAAAAAAAATGATTTATAAATTTATTGTAATAATTAATATTGATGATTTTATTTATTAATAAATAAAAAAAAATAAATAACCATCTGTAAGTTGAATAGAGTTGTATTTTAAAATTAGGTTGTGTGGTAGTGGGATTTACTCTTTCCTTTATATGGGTGGGTTGGTGATGCCGATGTCGATGTCGATGTTGGTGACAATGATGATGTTGATGATGACAATGGTGAAGAAGGAGATGTTGTTGTTGATGATGATGATAAAGATTTCTCTATTATATGAGGTAGAGTTGTGTTATTATTATTATTGTTATTATTGTTGTTGTCATTATTATTATAAAGGTTCAATTAGACGATAATCTTGAAAAGTTAAGAGTCCACTGCACATGAAACAAACTTTTGATCGAGAGATGCTCTATGTTTATTAATGTATACGAAATAATCTGCTATACATTCTAGGATCTCATTAGTTCTTTTGTCATATTCTTCTTGATCTACTTTATCATAGTCTAACCAAACTTCCCAAAACCTGAAACCTGATATGGGCCTGTTGAGCACTGCAACGATACATTTGGCTCTGTAATTGTTATGTTTGTACAATATCTAACTCTTGATCCAGATTCACACATGACAGATACTCTTTTGACATCGCCACCAAACCTATCGGATGTTATGTTGATACGTTGTTTTCCAATTTGTATCACACTGAAAAGTGTCATTGCCGGCTCACATACAGTATCATTGATACGAACATAACCTCATAGACTTTTTTTTTAATACCTTAACGCGCAATAAATCTTTGGTTGATGTACTGCCCCAAAATGATGAGGATAGTCAAGTAAGAAATTACATCATTAGGTTAAGAATAAATCATAGCAAAGAAAGAAAGTTAAATTTTCAGAAAAGTTAACTTATTAACCTAAAAAAACTAACCTAAAAAATTTACTTATTAAAACTTTTCAATTTGTAAAGGGTATGTTGATTCCTGTATTTCTCTTTAATGTTCGATTGAAGAAGAATTCAAAAAAAAAATTTATGAAAGTTCAGATAGATTGTCTATGAAATCTTCTAGAATTTGGATTTTTTTATTTTTATTTTTGTAAGATCATACATGGATCTCTTAGATTTTTTTTCAACAATTTGCATTCAATTTTAATTTAATTCAATTTAAATTTTGTAAAAATTTGTTAAGATTAAAAAAATATAGCACTCATTTTTTTTGATCATTCATCCACCCACTCACTCTCTCCATTTATCTACAGATAAATCAACAACATACTCTCTCTCTCTCTATTTATTTATTATTAAAACTTTTTTGTAAAAATAAACACTTGATTTTTTAAATGGCCACTCAAGAGCAATTGAATAAACTTTTCGAAGTTGCCAACGAGGCAAAGAAGAGAGCCTATTGCAAATATTCCAATTTTAGAGTTGGTGCTGCTTTGCTTTGTGAAGATGGTACTATTATCTCTGGTTGCAACGTCGAGAATGGTAGTTATGGATTGACCATCTGCGCAGAGAGAACCGCATACACCAAAGCCATCTCCGAAGGTCACACCAAATTCAAAACCATCGTTGTAACAACGTAATGTATTCAAACAATTACTTTTTAATCAAACAAAAAAAGATTACGATAATAATTTCTAACTTAAAATATATATATATTAATTATTTAGTGATGTTGAAGATAGATTCATTACACCGTGTGGTGCATGCAGACAGTTTGGAATTGAATTTGGAAACTTTGATGTATATTGTGTCAAACCAGATCTAAAATCATTTTTCAAATCAACTACCTCCGATTTACTACCAGGATCTTTCACTCCAGCCGACTTGGATGCTCCAAGAACCAACAATTAAAAATAAATAATTTAATATAATATAAATAATTATTAAAATAATTTCAAAGATGTACAACAACAACAATATATAAATATAAAATCTTGAAAGAAAAACAACCAGAAATATACTATATTTTATTAAATAAGATTTCTTGCGTAGAGATCTTGTTTGTTTGTATCTTTAAAGTAAGAGAGTTGTTCTTTGAAATTCTTTTTGAGAAAACGTCTGTCGAATGGACTCTGCAGTTGTGGTGAAATAACGTTGTAGATCGGATGCAAAACGATGGCGTCCAGTGCAGAGTAGTCGATCATCAGTTTCGAGAGTGGTCGCTTTCCCCAGATCTCAGCGGGATTCTCGGTGAATTGCTGTCTCGCTTCGTACTTGAGATCGACTGCACGCTGCGATATCTGTTTCGGTGTGTAAAGATGTATCAGTTCCTGCAGTCCGAATCGTCTAATTGGTATGTTGCCTTCGCGTTTCTTCTGGAGTAGTGCGTGTGCAATCTGGATATCGTAGACGTGTGTAAGTGATACTTGGTGACGATGATAGAGAATCTCGCTGTCTCTGCGACAGTCGTGAACGATCTTCAGTATGTTGTTGGATTCGAGGATCTGACGAAGACCGCGGTCAAACAGCTGTTGTCCCAGTCGCAGCACATCGAACAGGAATACACGTCCACTCATCAAGCCAACTTGCACCAGAGATATCTCACCTTGCTTACCCATTTCCAGACCTTCGACATCGATCGCTATGACGTGTTCGTGATTGATAATATTGAAACACCGATCCAACTGCAACTCTGAATCGATCCAGAATACACCGTCGAACGAACACCGCTCTTCGTCTAGCTGTCTGACGTGTTTGTTCGATGGATTGCTAGTATCAGTGATATCCTCTTTAAACTTTGCCACTGTTTCATTACTTCCCAATTTACCCAACTTTATTTCCCCCAATGCTTTTTTTAAATTCTAAAAGATTATTAACAAGGTATTAATAATACAACATCAAACACACACAATATGAATGTTGGTAATAAATATTTACAGAACCAGGTAATGATGTTAACTTTTTAATTAATATTTCATTTTTTGAACTTTTTACTTTTTTATTATTATTATTATCACTGTTATTATCATCATTATCTTCAATTTGATCTGCTTTTATATCTTTTTTATTTTTGCTATTACTAAAATATCTATTATTACTTAAAAAAGAACTATAATTTTTACATAATATACTTTTACTTTTATTACTATTAAACTGTACAAATAATGAAGTTGATGATAATCTTATCATTTTATAAATTTATGTATATATAATTATATCTATCGATTAATTACTGGCCTGTACCATCTAATTCTGATCACAATCATTCGTTTTTTTTTTTTTTTTTAAAAAATGTTTTTTTTAAAATTAATCAGATCTGTTTACAGTTAGTTTGCATTTTCATCAACTTTAAAATTGTATTGAAAGAATAATATATATATATATATATATAAAATGTATAGTGGAATAGAGCATAAAACAAAGGTTTTAAAATTATTTAGATCTATATTAAGGGTAAAAATATAATTATAATATAATTTTTGTTTGCAACAAACAATCAGATATCTAACTATTGATTGCTTTTATAATAACTTTACAGGAGAGATTAAAGATGCCCACTGAAAATAGAAGACAATTTGTATTACATAAAACAAGACAAGAGTTTAGAGATTCAAGAAATGAAACAGACCCAAAGAAAATTAAAAGTTTATTAATGTAGGTTGAAAGATAGATATTCATTCAATGTGAATTTGGGTATGTGCTAACTTTATGATTATTGTTATTATAATAGAATTGGAAATACACATTTAGATACAGTAATGATACAAGCTAAACATTTAGCAACGATTTTAGAATATGAACCTACAGCAACAGAAATAGCACATCACGAACGATCATCGAATGCCAATCAACCTTTACAATCACCGAACGATCAAAAAACACTGCTTATCAACAATCAATATATAGAACAAGAGAGAAAAAGAGAACAAAATGAGAAAATAAGAATTCAAAGAGAGAATAATGAAGATAATATAAAGTAATAATAATCATATATACCTATGATGATAGTTAGTAGTAATAATAAATGTATAAAAATTAATTTAAATATAAATATTATTACTTATAATAGTATATTCTATAATATTACTAAATTAGTATTACTAAATATATAATCGAATAGTTTTATCTACAAAGGTAATACTCCATTCACTTTTCGGTCTATAATATATCATTAAAAACCGGATTTTCAAACACATAACACACAAACACATACACAATATTCTATTCATATTCACAAACACACAACACACAACACACACAACCCTATACTATTCATATTCAATGTCATTATAAATAACACTTTATCTATCTATATTTATCTATCTATCTAATTTTTTATATCATATATTATGATAGTCAAACAAGAGATATTATTTTCATTATTATTTAATTTTAAAAAAGGTTCTTTATTTAATACCACAAACACACACACTCACAACAAAAATTCGCTCACTCACTCTCTCTATTCTTTTCAATATCAACAACAAACATTGTAGATTTAGAATATTTTTTAATAATATTTATTATTCTATTCAATTCAATTACCGCTTTTCTTTCTATTACATCAATGGATATATCCACTACAATCAATAAGATCAATAACAACAATAGTAATATCAAAAATAATAATAATAATAGCAATAAAAAAATTGTAGATTCGACTTATACTTTACTAAAATAATTATTTAATTATTAATGGTAATTAAATTTGTCCAATCAACAATCTTGGAATTATTATATACTTTTCCTTTGTTACATTTTTTTATTTTTTTTTTTGGTATTGGAAGAATCAACTTGATTTGAAATAATATCAATGGTTGGTTACAATTTCTAAATTTCAAATTCCACACTTTCAATAAAACAATAATATTTAAAAGAAAATAATACCTTATTTATAGATAGCATTTTTTTTATATTTATTTTTTATAAATTAAAAATAAAATGTTTAAATTAAATAATATCTTATTTTTGGTATTATTACTAATTTTTATATCAGTTTGTTCATCATTTAGATTCTCAAAGGATCATGTAAGTTATATTTTTACAATTCCTGTGTTAATTACAATCTTGATTTACTAATCTAATTTCAATTGTCTAATCAATAGAAATCCAATACGATCAGAACCAATGGTGATACTCAATTCAATGTTTATCCAATGCCACAAAGTGTAAAGAGTGGATCCGACATACTCTATCTAAGTAATTCTTTTAAATTTTCTACCGATTCCAACTCTACTATTCTTTTAGATGCAATCTCTCGGTACACTCAATTTATATTCGATGAGAAATCGACCAACGTTTTAAATGGACCTATTATAAATTCCATACAGATCAATGTTGATTCCAACGATGAAACCCTTGTAATGGGTACCGATGAGAGTTATCAGCTGGATGTCGAACAATCTGGAATCGTTATACATGCACCGACCGTTTTTGGTGCGCTACACGCTTTGGAATCGTTTTCACAGTTGGTCACCTATGATCCATATCAAATGATTTTCAAAATCCACCAATGTCCAATATCGATCGTAGATAGACCGAGATTCATTCATCGTGGATTGCTCTTGGATACCAGTAGACATTTTATCCCAGTCACCAAAATCTTGGAGGTACTCGATTCACTTTCATATGCCAAGTTCAACGTATTCCATTGGCATATTGTTGATTCTCAGTCATTCCCAATGCAGAGTAAAGCATATCCAAATCTTTGGAAAGGTGCATGGTCTCCACATGAAGTATACACTCAGGATGATATCTTGAATGTTATTCACTATGCTAAGACAAGAGGTATCAGAGTAATTCCTGAAGTTGACATGCCAGGTCATGGATATGCTTGGTCCATTGGATATCCATCATTACTACCTGCCAACTATAATTTATCTCCAAATTGTAGTCAAAAGTGTCCTGATATTTGTAATGTTGTAAGTATAATATTTTTTGTTAAATCATAATTATATCATTGTTTTAAAATAATCTCATTCTTTTTAAAATATAGCCATTGGATATTTCATCACCAGAAGTATACAATATTACCCAAGGATTAATTGATGAATTAACAAGTAATTTATTCACAGATCAATTATTGTAAGTTATTTTTGATTTTATTAATAATTATTTATAAATAGCTAACAAACTAATTGATTGATTATTTAAAATATAGCCATATTGGTGGAGATGAAGTTGTCTATGAATGTTGGGAGAATTCAGAACAGTTTAGTAAATGGATGAGAGATAACAATTTCAATAGTTATGAACAAGCACTGCAATACTTTGAACAAATCATTCATGACAAGGTACTGAGTACAAAGAGATACCCTGTTGTTTGGGAAGACACCTTTTTAATGTTTGGCGATCAACTGAATAAAGATGTTATCGTTCAAATATACCATCAGCTAACAACATTACAAGATGCTGTTAAAGCAGGTCACAGAGCAATTGCTTCAAATGCCTGGAATTGGTATTTAGAGTAAGTATCAAAACAACTTATTCAAGTTATTTTTATCTAATTATCTTATCTAATCAAATTAATATTTCTAAAATAGTATTCTATATACTCCATGGCAAAAGTTTTATTTAAATGATATAACTGTGAATATCACCGATAGTGAAGAAATCAAAAGAGTATTGGGTGGTGAAGTAGCGCTATGGAGTGAGATGATGGATAGTAGCGATATCTTTTCCAAGATATGGCCAAAAGCAGCAGCCGCTGCCGAACGATTATGGAGTGATGCTTCAGTTGATGATGTCGATGAAGTAGTACCCAGATTAGAACGTTTCAGATGTCACATGATCTATCGAGGCATTGAATCTGCGCCACTCAATTCAACATCACCAAATGGTCCTGGTCCTTGTGTTTTCGAATAAAATTTAAAAAATATAAAAATAAATGTCTTTTAATTAAGTAATTGAAATTGACATTATTGATTTATTTAATATTATTTTATTATCAGTGTATAAAAAGGTTAAATTAAATTTGTAGCCAACTATTTTTTTTGAATATTAATAATTAAATTTTTTCATTTTTAATTGTCTTGATTTGTCTTATGTCATACCAACACCTCTCATATCTATAATTTCAAAAAAAAAACCCACCCTATAAAATGTAATAAAATACAGAATTAATTTATTGTTCCACCAGCCCCACACTTAAATTAATTAATTGAACTATAATTCATTTTTTATGAATTCTTCTATCTATTAAAATATTGTTTTTATCACTATAAATTTTAATTAGTAAAAAGAAAATAATAGCAAATGAAAATATTTAAATTTTTAGATGAATTTAAACAGTCTAATCATTTTGTTAATGACGCAAAACAATCTAAATATATTAAGATTAATTCAAATATTTCAGAGAAACAACAAGACAGTCAACCAGTAACAGATGAACAACAATTTTTATTGAGATCTATTGAATCATATCCTACAATAAACACTTTTTATAATAACCTTGCATTAACTATTTCAAATGGTGAATCGGTGACACTTCTTAATGGACAATCAATGACACAACAACAACTATACCTGAAAGCCATTGATTGCGATCCAACCAATTATATTTCATACAATAATCTAGCTAAATCTCTCAGGAGAAAAGAATCGATTACACTTCTTAATGGACAATCAATGACACAACAACAACTTTACATGAAAGCAATTGATTGTGATCCAACCAATTATATTTCATATTATTACTTAGCACTTTTACTAAAGAAAGACTACACTGTGGAATCGAACGGTGAATCAATCACTCTTAATAATGGCCAATCAATGACAAAACATCAACTATTTTTGAAAACAATAGAATGTGATCCGAGTCATTCAAATGCTTTTTTTCAACTTGGATGTATACTACACACCTGTGTATCCAAGGGTGAATCAATCACACTAAATAATGGACAATCAATGACATTACAACAACTATACTTGAAAGCAATAGAGTGTGATCCAACCAATTATTTAGCATATTATAACCTTTCATTTACTCTTCCACCACGTTCTAGCAAATCTATTAAACTTTATAATGGAAAGTCTATGACTAGTTTCGATCTATTATTGAAAGTAATAGATTTAAATCCAAATTATTCCAATGCATATTTACAAGTGGCAAATAGACTTAGTATAGTAGTAGAGATACTTCTTAAAAATGGTAGACTAATAGATTTATTTGGTCTATATAAAATGGCAATAATGTGTGATCCATCAAACTATTGTGCATATGCGAATTTGGCAAATATAATGGAAAATAAGGAATCAATTACTTTACAAACAAACGGTACAGAAGTGACTTTTACAAAGAAAGATCTATATATCAAAGCAATTCAAATTGACCCAAATAGATATTATGCATATTTTAGATTAGCATTAAATATGAAATCAAAAGAAACAATTACACTCAACAATGGTACTTTAATGACAAAACAACAATTATTATTGGATGCAAACAGATTAGATAATACAATAAAATTAATATACAAGCATATTGGACTGACTCTGAAAGAGCAACAAACAAACTATTACACTTTCAAATGGTGAACAATTATCAAAGAAACAACTATTGGAAAAAGCAAGAAATAAAAAAAACAAATAATTTCATCACATAATTAATTAAAAATAATTTAAACCTTTAGTTTTTGGTGGTTTTCTTTTTTTGATTTCCTAGAAAATTGTTATTTAATATTTCCAAAAGATAAGATTTATTGTTGAGTTTTTTCTGAAATTTAAACTTTCATTTAAAGTGTTAGATGATCAACCTTGTTTTGAGTGATATCAACTAAATAAATTCAATTTTTTATTATTTTTTTTGTTTAAAATAAATAGAAGTTATTTTATTTTATTAACTTTTATAAATTATTTAATTTTCTCACCACCCCAATAAAACACTTGATTGTGAACATACAGTTAATTTAAATTAAAAGATAAATTTAAACCACATCAATAGAGTATGTCTTTTTTTTATTTTTTTTTTTCATTTTAATTAAAATTCTTTCTTGTTAGATTATTTCATTGACATTCTTATTAAGTTCACTGTAATTTGATTGCCATCCAATTCACCAAGTTGATAATGATACTGGTGTTTGTGTGATTGCCAATAAAAGAATTTTTTCACTACTTTTAAATTGGTAATGGATGACATACTTAACCTGCGAATCTTATCATAGCAACTTTTAGAAAACTCAAACAAATCACTATTACAACATCTTAAATAAAAACTGATTTATCTAGGAATGAATCCAGTGTCACCAAGACCAATTCCAAACAAACCATGATATTTGATCAGAATCTGTGAAAGATATCCTTTTTTATCTCTGTTTGAATGTTTGTAGTGCTCAATAAATGGTTAGATTTTAATATATTGTTGAAATTCGTCCAAATGTAAAATCATGGTAAGTGGATTGGATTGAGGAATTGGGCTACCATTTTGTTGAATAGATATATTTAAATCGTCTATTACTTGATTTATTGTAAATCTGCTTGAAGAAGCAATTATATGATCAATAACTTTGCAACCATAAATCCCAGATGATATTGCAAGTTTTTAATAATTATTGCTTGTTCTTAAATAAAATATAAATTCGTTAAATCATGTCAAAAGTATAAATGGGTTAATTTAATTAATATAAAGTTGATCAAATAAGTGTGCTTTACTTTTTAGGGTAAGTCTTACCAATTCTGGTAAAATCTACAGATCATTATTAAAAGGAGTGGCAGACAAAACATTCAATAAACTAAATAATTAAACAAACAACGAAACATAATTTTATTTATTTCATCCAATAGTTGATTAAAAAAAAAACTTTGATAATTTTTCATACATTGCCTAAGATAAATATGATGGGGTTGTAGAACTAAAATATTTAAAGAATTTTCTGATGTGATGGTAAATCAAGACTTCATCACTATCTTGCTCATCCAGTTGACCGAGAAGACTGTCAAGATCAGCAACATCATGAGAATGAGTTGTGGATGGGGTTGTAAATTTGGTGGGTGCCAAGATATTCTTGATATTGGAACCAAACATCTTTTCTTTCCATTTATAGCGAACTGAATCGATATTGTATGTATTACAGAATAAGTAATTGATCAGGTATTTGGCCACCTTTGTTTCGGTATTAGCACAACGTAGCACCAGTGGACCTGCAAACCAAGATATCTGCCAATTGTTCAGGTCAGTCAGAATGTGAATGACTGGTTGTTGACTTGTGTGAAGGGAGGCCGCAAGGAGTTGGGACCAACCTTGTGTTGAGCTTTTGGGATCATCGAATGTTTCATTGGTTTTAATTTCAAAGACCAAGTACAGCTGAGTCAGAAAGTGTTTGATCCCTTGAGGAGCGACTACAAAGTCTGGTGTACCCTTCAGTCCAAATGGAAGAAATGAGAGGTGTTCTGAGAGAAAAAATAAATTCTTTCTATCGTGGACATCTTTATACTCAAGTGATGCAGGAAGTGGAATATTGGTTTTAAGCCATTGTAGAGCTGGCCCCATTTGATCTACTTCATTCAGGTTGGGATTCCAAACGAAAGGTTCTATTTCCTCTTGTTGAAGTTTGTCGGGGCTGACACGAATAACTTCCTCCTTGAAGTTGATACCAGTAAAATCAATTATGGACTCCCATTTGGCTTGGGTGATATCAGAGAATGCAAAAGATTTCTTCTTGGGGGAAAGTGAAAGCTTGATGTCATTTAATCTGTTCAGTACTGTGAGTTCAAAATCTGAAGCTGCAGGCGATTGCATGTTTAGAATATTAATGTAATAGTCTTTTAGAATAGGCGATGGCTAATGTTTGTGATGATACATACCTGGTGCTTGAGGTGCTGCTGTATGAGAAGAAGAGAGTTGAGAAGGTAGGTTAGTATTGAATGAATAAATTGCCAAGATATGATGATAATGTGTCGCTATGTTGTTGGTTGTAGTGTAGGAGCTGCATATAGCAACAAGAAATATTGGTGGTATAGCGAAAAGAGTCAAATGAATGTGTGTAGTGTAGGAGCTGCATATAGCAACAATCATGTAACAAAGCGGTGATACAATTTATAACAACCCTTAAGGTCGTTAATCTGAGACCATATTTGTTGATATTGAGGTGTGTAATTGATATGTGTAGTCTCACGAGGGAAAATTGTAGGTGTAGTTTATCTGAAATGATATATAACAATGACAATGATGTATATTATAATGTATGATTTGATAATAACAAATGATAATTGTGTATCAAAGGCTAAATGAAGATGATGATTGTTTGTTTGCTTGATTGTAGTAATGTTGTTGTTGGTTATTTGATAATAACAAATGATTATTGTGTATGATCGATTTGATGAGTAGATTTAGTAACAATAATGTGATATTTAAGAGGATAAGATGTTTGCTTTTGTTTTATATATATCACAACTAAATATAAAGATGTTTGGTTGAGTACGATAAATATTAAGTGGTTTGTGTGGTGTTGTTGTTGTTTTCTACTCTGTGATGATTGATAAGAGATGGATAATATAGTTCTGGTTGGTATTGTTTTTGATGATGATGAATCGCTTTAAATAATGTCAGATATGCGTGCAATGATGGTGATTGTAGATGTTGTGGAATATGTCCAGAGAAAGTGTTGATTGTTAATAACTTATCTTGCTGTGGTTGAGTGGTAGCGACATAGATTCGCTGAAGATTCCTATCGACTGGAGTCTCAACATCAAGTTGAATGGTCTTGGCTGCATCAGAGAACAAATCGATAGAACCGTCACCTACAGCGAGTTGTTTGGAACCTCTGATGACATGGATGAGACGATTATAGTTGGCGGTGTTCTCGAAGGTGAGTTCGTCTTTCTTGTTACTAAACTCTACCCAACAAGTGAAAAGTGGGTGTTGTTGATGCGACATTATGAAAGCAGCAAAGAATAATATAGATGGATAAAGTGAAGGAGAATGAATCAAAAGAAATAAAATAGCTACTGATAAGGATGAGAGTGTATGAGTAACAATGAAAGATGAAAAGATAGTATATGTTGTGATAGAAATATATAATGATGTAGTTTGAGTATTGAAGATGAAGAAATAGTAATTGTTGTGAGCTGAATAGAATTAAAATGAAATGAAGTGTATCAATAATAACTCAAAATAAACAAGTCATAAATATTTGGGGGTTGGTATAAACATTTTTTTTTAGTTTGAATAGGATGTAATGATCCTCCTCTATCATATCGTAGTGTTAAGATGTTCCTTGTCCAAAGTAAGATTCCAAGATAACATATAACACATCTATTGAAATTAATTTTACATAATGCATGTAAAACCTTGGAGGATACCTGGGAGTACTTTTATGGAATCATTTATTACTACTAACGTTAGTAAAGGCACTACTACTATTCAGAGAGTGCATTGCATAGGCAGTAGTCAACATAACACCTGCTAATCTCCATTAGATATTTATATTCTTTGATATCTCACTCTCATATGTATCAATCGTATTATCTTTAGCATCTCATGTACCTCACTGTTTGATATCATTGCATTGGTATATCCTGTAATCTCATCCTTTCTTGGTTCCAACATGTTCAATGACATTGCATACACCTCCAAATCCAACAATTACAAACCTATCAATTCCTTTATTATCAATAATCATGTTCGACTTGTCAATCCATTCATCAGGAGTCTCTTCCTTTCTCTTCTTCAATGGCAGTTCTTTTTTCAACCATGGCAGGTCATGATAATACTGGATGATACGCTTCTCTTTGTTCTCTTCTTCTATCTGATCTTCATTCGCCTGGTCATCATCAAATTAAATTAACATGATCAGTGCATCTGAATATAATAGAGTATTGTGTGGGATTGAAATGTTTACCTGTTATTGAGCCACTGTTTGATTAAATAAGAGAAGGAGGTGTAAATGTGTTGATGATGAGAACGATGACATCAAAGTATATATCATAACAACCGTAAACAAGTGCAGCATTTGCTATTGTGATGGTGTTGTTGGATTTAAAGTATGGAGAGTTGTTGGTTGTATATAACAACTAGACAATGACGATGATGATTGGTGCATCGGTATGTGCGTGTGTAGTGACAATGAATGTGATGAAACAATACTGATGTTTAAGGTCACAACAGTCATAAGATATTGATGGACGTGCAGTTATTATATAGAGTATTGTGCTGAATGTTAACAACAATAAAACATAGCATTGTTGTTAACAGATTTGAAGCTGTTGTGAGTGATGGAAAGTGTTCAAGAGATTGATTGATAACAACAAGGAAATACATGAAAAGAAATGTTGTAATTATTAAAAGTGAATATATATATGACCGTGATAAAGTGTTTGTTGTTGGGATATGAGCATACCTTGAGGTTGTTGTTGTTGACCTATTATGATGTATAGAGAAATGAGTCAGAGTTCTTTTGATGCTAAATATTCCACAGCAAGTGGTTCGCTATGTCTAGTTTTTTTTTGTTTTTCTAAATAGCTTTAACTTGACTTTTAACAAATCAGAGAAGAAAAATAAATAGGAATAAAATCATTTTTTATAAAGTATTCACATATCTTGAAGAATACTCAAATGGATTTTATTGGTTTGAGATGTTTTGAGTTAATTTGTTAGTATATAAAATTATTAGAATTATTAATCTGGCATCAAAATTTGCTTCTGTGGCTCAGTAGGCAGAGCATTCGGCTGTTAACCGAATGGTCGTTGGTTCGATCCCAACCAGGAGCGATAATTTCTAAAATTAATGCCCATATTGCGCGCATTCTATCAAAAAGTCCAATTTAGTACTACTGTCCACTTCACCCACCTTACTGCTGCTATCGCACACTCGTTATGGCAGGCGCTGTCCTGTGAAATGTTTGGTGGTACCCGTTACAAGCTGGAAAACACCGTCAAGAGAGCAGTCACCCATTACACCAAATTAATCGATGCCAATTACCACAAGCTTAACTTCACAATCGCTAATTCTATCTCCCAAGGAGTCACTGTCGATTGCTCTGCAATAACGCGTAAATTTAAATCTGATTGGAATCTAAATCCTTCCAACTACGTGCCACCACTCTATACTGTTGTTTATCAACACTCAACTACTGTTAGATCTATTCTATCCTAATGCTACTCAACTTATTAATTAATAATAACTATATATTGTTAAACAATAATAATAATATAATAATAATAATAATAATATTTTATTGGCTATTTCTCACGGCCTGTGTGAGAATGTATATATAATATAAAACACGAACTAGCAGGTTAATATCAATACCTGCATTTTGTTGACTGATCATGAGTCAACAAATCTTTTTTTTTGCAAAAAAAAAAAAAAAAAAAAAAAAATCTATCAAAAATGTGATCACAACAACAACTATGCTTGAAAGCAATAGAATGGGATCCTAACAAATACTATTCTTATTTTTATTTAATCTATAGCTCTTGATTTTTGAAGGAGTTGCCTTCTTGACAATTGTTCACCATTTGGAAGTGTAATGGTTTGTTTGTTGTTCAAAAGTGTAAATCCAAGGTGTTTGTATATCATTGATAATGTTTCCGGTTGATCTAATCTGATTGCTTCGAATAATAATTGTTGTTTTGTCATAGATCGTCCATTATTAAGTGTGATTGGTTCACCAATTGAAAGTGTCAAAGCAAGGTAATAGTATGAACAGGAATTGGTTGGATCACAATCTATTGCCTTCAAGTATAGTTGTTGTTCTGTCATTGATTGTCCATCATGAAGTGTGATTGATTCACCATTTGAAAGTGTAATTGCCAAGCTATTATATGAACAGGAATTGGTTGGATCACAATCTATTGATTTCAATAATAATTGCTGCTTTGTCATTGATTGCCCATTAAGAAGTGTCATCGTTTCGTCACTTGAAAGAGTAGTTGCAAGGTAATAATATGAATCTGAATTGGTTGGATCACAATCTATTGATTTCAAGTAAAGTTGGTTTTCTGTCATTGATTGTCCATTAATAAGAGTCACTGATTCTTCTTCAGAAAGTGTCAATGCAAGATAATAATAAAAACTGGAAATAGTTGGATCACACTCTATTGATTTCAATAATAATTGTTGTTCTGTCATTGATTGTCCATTATTGAGTGTGATTGATTCACCATCGGAAAGATCCAATGAAAGATTAAAATATGAATTGGCATTGGTAGGATCTAATTCAATTGCTTTCAAATATAGTTGTTGTTCTGTCATTGACTGACCATTATTAAGTGTGATAGATTCACCTTCTGAAAGAGTTAATGCAAGGTTAAAATATGAATTGGGAAAGGAGGAGGTTATCTCTATTGCTTTCAAAAATATTTGTTGTTGTGTCATTGATTGACCATTATTAAGTGTGATTGATTCTCCTTTTGAGAGTGTTATTCCAAGATTATTATATTGATATGAATTGATTGGATTATACTCTATTGCTTTCAAGAGTAATTGTTGTTTTGTCATTGATTCACCTGATGAAAGAATGATAGATGAACGATTCTGGTCTGATAGAATGTTAGACAATTTGTAATATGCAACAGACTTGGAATAGTTTGTACCAAAACTAATTACTTTCAATAATAGTTGTTCTGTCGTCATTGATCTACCAGATGGAAGCTTGAATGTTTCTTGATTTTCAGAGGAATCATAATCTAGGGACATTGAAAGTTGGTGAAGTGCATCTATATCTTGTTGGTTTTCCATATATTTAAATAAAGAATAATCAGATAATCGATAACAATATAAATAAAAAAATAATAATCCTATTTAATCTTTAGAATTTAAATTGTTTTCTGACGTGTTCATTTAGTTTTGTAAGAAATAAAAAAGAACGTTTTTGCGAATTTGTTTGAATTTCGTTAACAATCGATTAAAAGATATTGGGTATCTCAATAATAATAAAGCAGCACAATTTTGTTTATATAAAGTAAAGATAGATATGTTTGTATTACATAAAAATAAACAACAAATCTACATCAACAAACTTAGTTCTCTTAAAAAACAACATAAAAATGATTAAACGAATGTTTTCTTTGTTATTCAAAAATAATTCTAATATCTTTTTACTCATCTTTTTTCATTTTTAATCTCGATAATTTAAAAACTTTGATCTATCTCATTGATTAAAATAAAAGTATTTATCAGTTGTGTTATAATACAACATGAATATGTTTGTAATCTAAATTCATAGCAACATGTTGCAAGTCGGTATCGAATCAAACCAAATATAAAAAAGCTCGAAATATCCAAAAAGAAAAGTTTTACAAATCAAGATTTTTAAATCACTAAATATCTACTTTTTTTATTAATAAATGAAAAAAATGGTAATATATAATCATTATTAAACTTCTTTATTTTACTTTTTTATTTGTTTTACATATATAGATATTGCAATATGAATCTTTCACAACATAATATTGATGTAATATTACCAGTAGTGATTTCTGGTAGTTCTTATTTATTAACATGCGTAGCAATGGATTTATTAAAGTTGGTAAAGAAAGAGTGGATCATTCAACCCAAACATATAATGGTGGGACAAGAACGTTATGATTGTATTGTGTATTCTCTTACCAATCTGGCAATTGGTATGCTTGGACTTTTGCTATTTAGATTTTACTATTTGGATGCGATTACACTACAAGAGTGTGGATCGAATTGCCTGTTTACAGAGACACTCAAGTTGATCTATCTTCTCTTCCTGGCGGACACTGCATTCTACTGGTCACATAGATTCCTTCATATTCCATCGGTCTATCGTATCGGACACAAACTACACCATACACATACATCGCCAATCTCGTGGACCGCACTCTACGTACATCCAGTCGAGTTTGTCTTGGCGTTCGGTGGAATATTTGTGTTGCCAACCATATTCGTGAGAACACACATCGTCACATATACTTTGTTCCTAGTGTTAAACATGGTGTCGTTGGTAGTCTCACATTCCGGTCTCCACATTCCCTATCTAATAAATGCCAGACATCACGATTCTCACCACAGAAATTTCACTGTTGACTTTGGCAGCAAGTTTACAATTTGGGATCATGTAATGGGTACTATTTCAAAGAAATCGAAATCGAAATCGAAATCAATGAAAGAGTAACTCTCCATCTTATATGTATACATTTCAATAAATATGAATCGATTTTTCTTTAGGTACTTCTCTTGTTAGCTTGAGATGAACTTAAAAATTTGATTTAGTTTAAAAATTTAAATTTAACTTTTTTCCTGATTTTTTTAAAAGTTGTCAAAGTAGAATATCTATCGATATGATTTTGTGTGTAATAGGTACATAAGTTGAGCAAAAATAAATATTTCTTTATTTGATTCATGAAGGTCTTAAAAAGATGCAGTTTCAAAAGGTATGATAACTAAATTTCCATCGTTGAGTCCTATCATCATGTACTTTTCATGAGCAACCAAAGCAATGGTTCTGATGGTAGTCGGACTTTCGAAACTATGAACAACCGTAAGATCTGGAAGACTTCTTACTTTGACACCTCTTGTCCCACCGGTAACCAAATATTGTATATCATCGCCAACACCTAAAACACCACCCTTCTTAATCGATTCACCCGTTAGTTTGATGTCATAGAGTTTTTCATCGCACTGCTCAATGTGTAAGAGCTTGCCGTTGAACGAATGCACGTAGAGGTAGGACATTGAGCAATAGGAAATAATGGTTTGTCCGACCGTTGAGATCTTGACAATTTCCACTGCACCCTTGTGAGACATCGTACGAACATAGCTACCAGTGCGTAGGGTATGGAGAATTAATTTTCTGTCTTGCGAACCACTTGCAATGAGATCCCACTCCTCATTGACATCCAAACAGTGGACGGCTTCATCGTGACTACAGAGACGATAGGCTGGTTTGGTTTTTGCATCACGAATCAACATGGAGACATCGTCCCACACCAAAATGGTAGTATCTATCGATGCTGTCGCGAGTGTACGTCCACTCGATCCCATTGCCATACAGGTAACCATTCCACGATGATAGTCACGATACATACGATGAACTTTACCATTTTGAATGTTACAACACTTGAATATCGAGTCCCAGTTGGCACAACTAAACAGAAACTTGCCATCCGGTGTCATAGCAAAACAATTCGAAATACAAGTGACCGAGTCCGACATGAAAAGAGTGTCGATCTGTTTCTCCTTGTAGGTGGAGAGCGTCTTATCGATATCAAATGTGAATGGAAGATTGTTGGATGGTGTCGGAACGAATTGGTTGACTGCAAGCACACCATCTCTGTAGACCAATACAATGGTGTCACTCTCTGACGATGCGCCGATGTGAACCAAAGGAAGACAACTGTTGGTTTTCAGTATCTTGAATGGATACTGTTGTTGATCTCCAGATGCAGAGTTCGCTGCGGCAGCAGCAACATCGGCATTCAATTGTTGTTGAAGCGGTTCCTTCAGTGCATTGGGGAACAAATTGGCAAATTTGGTGAGAATATCCTTTTGAGGACGATTCAATTCTTGCAGTGACTTTCTGGGTGGATGTGGTTTGCTGAATACCTGTGGAGGTGTTTGACCAAACTCCTTGATTTGCGATTCAACAGAGCGGCGCTCGTCGGGGTCCTCCTTCTGAAGCGCAGAGTTATTCTCATAGGTCAAATAAAAGAATACGTTGTTCGAGTCGATAGCAGCTTGACCGGTCTGTTTGTAACCGAAAATCAAATCGATCCACTGGTGCAGATGCATCGAGACATACTCTGATTCTAGAGCCTCTCTATTCTTTTGAATAAAGAGTTCCGGTGATTGATGAGCCCACTTTGGCAGTAGTAAATCACCGTTTGGATTGTGCGCAAAGTTAAAGTTGAACGATTCGCTATTGCTAATAAACTCGGGCATATAGAAAAACTCGGGTGTCAACTCTTTGACGTCGGCAAGATTGGCACTGACGACACCGTCCCACATCTTTTCTATCGATTCAAACATACGCTGAGGATGATCCCATACACCACCTTGAAGCGACAAGTGATACGATGTGAAAGGTTCCAGTCTCACATTGTAATAAGCAATGATTCCAAAGTTACTATAATGACTGCCATAGAGGAACGGCGGAATATCTGGATCTTTAAACGAGTGGTAACGTTGAATCAGAGTATCAAGTCTCTGTTGATTCAACGCTCCAATCGGTTTGGAGAGATCTCTAAACGATTTCTCATCGTTCAGATCGAGCTGTTCCGAGCGGTAGTCTGCAATAACCTGTGGGAATATTGGATACTGTGAAATGTCGTTGTAGGTTCTTCCGGCAATGGTATTCAGCATCATGAGATACTCGAAATTGCTAATCTCACGATTCTTCCAGCGTTGTGTAATCTTGAGTCGTTTTGCAATCTTGGCAGGAGACTCTGACCATTTCACTTTCATCTGTGGTGGATGAAGATTGGCGATCTTGTTGAACGCCGACACTGACTCAGAGTCACTGTTAAAGGTGAACATATAGCTCTTGTAGTTCAAAAAGATCTCGAGTGAATTCCAACGGAGGAGATAACGACGACGATGTATTTCCATCAGGTCCTTAACCTTGAGGATATAGTAGTTCTTTATACGAACACATCCGTGATCCGACTCTAGAATGACCTGTCCATTGCGATCGTATTTGATTTCCTTATCAAACAGTATATGTACGGTTGTAATGGTAAGCTTACCATTGATAACACCGACTGGAGTTACCATTCCACAGTGATAGACAGCGACCACCTTTTCCACCGATGGGTCTCTAATGACAACACCATCACTACTTCGAATGGTATTGTTTCCACTACCACTGATTATCTGTGAGGAAGCAGAGGAAGAAGATGGTGATTGATATTGAATGGTTTGTTTACTGGGTGTACGTATCAACTGAGAGAATGATTCAATCTTTGTTGGACTTGATATATTACCACTACTACTACTATAATTATTACTACTGTTATTATTATTATTGTTGTTGTTATCTGAATATTGTGAATTTAAATTTGAAAGATTTAAAAACTCTTTCTCTTTAAATAAAACGGTTTGGGGATTAAGTGGTGGATCTAGTTGAATCTTGATAATGATGTTTCCAAGTCCATCTCCACAGTCTTGATCGATAAAAAATTTTTCCTTATCATTTGAAAAAACATCTAAAACGGCACGACGATTACGACCGAATTTGTTTTGTTTCGAAACGCCCTTGTAATCGGATCCCAAATAATTTCGCTTAAGTTTACGTCTCATTCTGAGTGGTCCCTCGGATCTGTCTAATTTCCAATGAATAACGGTTGTATCTTCCGGTTCAATCTCTGGAACTGTGTTGATGGAAGTGTTGTTGCCTATCATCATATTACTGGTGCTTGCATTTGGACTCAAAGGTGGAGACATTGCCTTGTTGCTGAGCGGTCCACTGCCTTCTTTCGGTGGTGACGATGATGGTGACAACGGTGGAGAAGTCGCTGGAGATTGTACAATCGGTGAAAATGTCATTCCGGAACTCAAGCTGTTTGCCATGGTAATAGATGAATGTGGAATGCCAAGCTCTTTCAATCGATAAACAATAGATACAGGTGTAGTCTGTTGCTGCTGAGAATCCAACAGTGTCCTTCTGACTTTGGCACCGCTAAGAGTACCTGCTCTTCTTCTTCTCAGTTTGATCCAGTGTCTGTAGAGTAGATACTGGTCTTTTTGATCTTGATTCAATTGATCCTGTCGTTTCTGTAGTTCTTCCAGGCCGTCGATGTCCCAGAGGTAGGAAAGATGCTTTGGAAGCGGAAGTTGTGTTGGGAGAAGCTGTCTAGTGCGTGGCTCATCAACAATCTCACCAAACAATACATCTTTGGCGTTGTTCACATGGATGGCTGGTATCATATCCTCAAGCATCTTTGTGAGATCGTCTTGGTTGTCTACGGTTGATTCCTTCAGATAGAGAGCAATATGACGTGTCTCGGCAAGTGTGAATATCGGATTGCAAGACTCTCGAAGGATCACAATGATTTGAGAACGTGATTTCTTTACTCTTTCAACGTGAGGATGCAAATTGGAATGAGTAGACAACTCCATAAAGTCGAAATCCAAACTATAGAAACGCCTCAGAATATCCAACCATTGTTCAACCTTGACATTGTTCCTCCAGAAATGTGTATTTGCCTTCACTCTCTGTCTAATCGATTCAAACAGTGCCATTTGTGTCAGAGGATGAGTATTTGACCAAACCTGGAAATTCCTTACAATTAAATATTCAATTGCCAACGTCCATAATTGTTCTAATTGAAATAATAATAAAAAACATTAATATATCAATATATAATGAATTAAAAGTAAAGTAACTTACGATTTGAACTACAAAAAGATAATAATCTTCCAACTGTTTCAATATCGTCCGGTGTCCAATATGGTGAGGAGTTGGGATATGACATCAGTAGAAAAGATATAGTTTGGAAACCTTTGGTTTCAATGATTTGCTCGCGATAAACGGGATTGTATTCGATAATTGTGGTGAGTAGACGGAACAGTATTCCTGGATGACCAAGATAAATAGGTCGTGGGAAAATGGCGAGTGGTGCGTGTGTCGCCGAGTTGTTGGGTATCGATATGTACTCGATAAAAGTGGATGTTATTGCGGTTTGATCGGTGATGTCAGCGGGACGTGTCTCCATTCCATTGACAGGATGTCCAAGTTGTGCAAACAGTGGATAGATCATTGAGATTCCACCGACATACAGTAGCTGATCAATAGGCGATGTAGTTTTAATGACATTGACGCACTCCATTGTTGCGGCATTCGGCAGTTCACCACTGGATATCTCGAAACACAATGCTTTGTCAGTGGCTTTCGGTGAGTACATAAACAGCACCGGGATGTTCTTCCGCGACTCCAAGAATAGCTCGCCATTATAGATACCGATCGCTCCTTCACGTGGCAGCTTCTCGAGCATCAAACTGGTGTCTTTACCCATCGAATAGATACTGTGAATCTCTGGTTGTGTGAGCGCTTCATTAACCATGAGAATGGCACCCATTCTTCCGATGAATCCTGCATTGAACGACGATGAATTACCGATGTGGCACCGGGTGTACGGCCGATCGGTCTTTGGATACAGCAGAGGAATCTTCTCCTCCAGCTTCGCGTTGACATAGAACGACAACTGACTCTTTCGCAGCATGAAATACTCGTGCGAAATAGTGATGTGATACCATCGTTTCGGATGGAAAACAAACTGTGATTTCTGTGTGGCCGTCTTGTTCTTGGTCTTGATGATGTAGACCAGTGAGAATCCCTGGAAGTAACACTCCAGGCCGACATTGTCGTCGTCGGTATTGAAACTGTAGAGAATGGGCGAGTATCGCATGTCCTTGAAGTCATCGATGCTTATCCACATGCTAAAGGTGTAGCCACCGTCGAACGGCGCCTTCTCCGGTATCATCAAACCACCGCCGCCACCGGCGTCGCTGCCGAAATTAAAGTAACAATCGGGTCCTTCGCGCGGACGGAATATGTACTCGAGTAGCTCAACCAGAACGCTCCAGTAGAAAGGACGTTCCTCGTTGACCGACTCGAGCAGACGGAACATGTATTTCAGCTCTTTCGGGGTGATCGAGAAGAACGCCAGGATCTGGAGAGTGATAGCGACCTCGCCAATGACATCGCTGTCACGCTCACAGCCAATGAGGAAATTGAGCAACTTGATAATCCACCGATCGTTACAACAGTAAGTCTGCACCAAAATATTCGAAAATATCAGACCATTCAGTTTCTTCAACATTGTCATATGCAAGACACGGTTCTCTGACAACGAGAATGCTGGCACCTCCAATAGTACATTCATAAACATATGAAAATAATCAAAGTTATGTTTTTTCAATGATAATATATCTACTTTTGCCATATCTAATAACTTGTATTGTTAATGAAATTTTAGTTAGTTTAGTTAGTTAAATTGATTACAATATGTGTTTTGTTTTTGACTCTTACTTTTTCATAAACTTGTATTATATCTGAAAATTGAGGATTCTTTGGATCCTTTGCATTTGCTAATAAATTCTTTATATATTGCTCTTCTATTCTAAACCCAGATTGTTGTTGTTGAAGTCTAGCTGCTCCTATTCCAACACTTTCTCGAAGATTACCAATACTACCACTATGTATTAGGTTATTATTGTTATTATTGTTATTATTATTAGTTGTGGTTGTAGTTGTAGTTGTAGATGTAATACTACTATTACTATTATTATTAATATTACTCATTTTTTACAAATATTTTAAATATAATAATAAATATTATAAACTATTATTATAAACTATCTCTCTTTTAACTAAATATATATAATTGTTGACTTGATTCATTCATTGAGTTGAGAATGTACTTATATATCTATAGTAGTGTATTTGTTTATTTAAGACTTATGATATTTTAACTTTTTTAAACAAATTGAGCTAATTTAAATTATTTTATTGTCTTTTAAATATGTTTGTGTGTATGGTGAAGAGTGTGATCACAGTGAAAATCCAAAGTGGTATCGTACTAATAGTATCTATAAAATTGATTGAAATTTTCAAAAGAAAATTAATTAACTTTATTTAATTTAATTTTCATTTTTATTTTTTGAATTAGATCAATTTTTTTTTGGTATTAGATCTTTTTATCAGATCATTAAATAACTGATGATCATCATTCATTCCTACATAAATATTTAATCAGAAAAGTTGTTTAATTGTTACTTATAAATAATATTTTAAATAAAGTTTAATAGATTTATTTTTATATTTATTATTATTATATTATTTTTAGAGATGATAATCTTTTAATTAATTTTGGTTTTGATTTAGATCTAACTAATAGGTTTTTGTTGTTGCTATTGGTACTGTTGTTATTGTTGCCTTTAAGCGTGTTTTGATCTACTACCACTAGGTAATCATTGTTGGATGGTCGTAAAAGGTATGACTCTCTAATTGGAGAGAGAATGATCTCGAGATCCTGTATCTTTTTGATCTCTACTGTGTTGCCATTGATCAACTCTGACTTGGATCGCTCGATCAGCTCCTCCGACTCTTTAATCATTCGTTCCGATATATCGACACTCAAAGACATTACAGATTCATCGATGAATCGGCAATGATACGAAGATATCTCCTCGAGAATTCCAATGATTCTCTCTGTCTGTTGTTGAAGTATTACACGTTGATGTTGTTGAAAATTATTATTATTATTATTGTTGTTATTATTCAATGTTCTATTATTAATATTATTACTATTGTTTCTATCTATGCTATTGGAGAGTTGTTGAATGAATTTAGCAATTTCCACTAAGTCTTTGGTTAATGTCAGTCGGTGTTGATGCTTAGTTTCAATCAACGACCATTCGTGCTCTGTGAAATAGTATTTCGGCGATGTCAAAGCGGGACATATGATTCTCAGGAAGAAGTAGCCGCCAACGATTTCGCGCCAGTGTTCATAGTATTTCTTGGAGACGTGTCGTTTCAGCATATTGCAAGTGTAGATTATTTTCAGTGGGCATTTCTGGATGTTGTCGATGATGGTCCGCAGCAGGAATCCACTCAACTCTGAGACATCGGCAGGCTGGCCGCGCTCGTCGGGCATCGCCAGCGAATTCAACTTGTTGATCATCGGAATCAAGATAACAGAACGCAAGTATTCGTGGTATTCGCCATCTATATTATAAAATTTAATCATATCTATTACAGTGGATCGACTCCTAAACAATGTGGCATAATTAAAATTATCTTGAATCTCTCTATCTAAAAACATCTGGAGTATATAGAGATACTCGTTCAATTTGACATTCATTTTTGGTGTGTCTATGTGATGTGTGTAGTTTGAATGATTCGAAAATAAGTTAAATTATTGGAAAAGGAAAAAGTAAAAATTTATGAATAAATAATAGATTATTATAAATAATAATATATACAAATTGGAAAAGTTTGATTTTAAATGATTATGAATTAAAAATAAATTATATCCGAAACAACAATCATAAATTGATTTGATTTGATTTAGTAGTAGTATTTTAATATTTTTGGAAATGAAATTATTATAAGTTTGGAATATTGATGGAAAATAATATTTTCTTTTTTTTTTTTTTTTTAATATATTATTATATTGATTGATGGTAGAGTGGTTGATTTTAAATTAATAATAATAAATTAAAATAATTTTGATCTGACTAATAATAAAATAGATAATAACAATAAAAAAACAAAAAAATGAATGATTTTCTTTTCTTTTTTGTTTAAATATAGAAATTTAAAACAAGATATATTTATAAAGGAAGGTATTATTTAACTTTTAAACGTTGTTAATATTGATTAAGAAGGGTGATAATATGTTATTGTCAAATTAAAAAAATATAATTGACTTTTATGAATCTAAATGACACTTGTTCAAATAACTAAACAAATAATTAGATGACATTGAAAAAAATCAAAAAAACAAGCATCATCATGTCACCTAATACCAAACTGTCACATAGGTTATGATAATGTCAAATTAGTCTAGTGAAGTTTCTTTTTTTAATTTTTTATTTATTAATATCTGTACTACTTTTTTTTTGTCTTTTTGTTTTGTTCTTTTTTTTCTCACACCTTGTTGTTGGTATCCTTCTTTGTGGTTGCATCATTGGATTATAGAACAGTAAATATTTACCACAGGTCAGTATAGGTATTGGCTATGTTTAATGTTGTTGTGTTTGTCTGTTGTTTTCTCATTAACCAGATAGATACTACTAAACTTAATCAAATCAAATTATAAAAAAAGTTTATACAAAGTATTAAAACTGTAAGTGTTGAACTACTAATAACCAGATCAAGAATAGTAGTTGTAGTTGTTGTGGGAAATGGAACTTTTTTTTTCATTCACAACAAGTATGTTTTTTTAATTATCACAAACCACACAAATAATAGATAATCTCACAATTTCTATGAAGAAAGAAAGAATTTGTTTTAAAACAAAAAATACATATACACCAGCAGTTTATGGCAGTATTAAATAACAAAAGTAAAACTAAAAAAAAATTAAAATGGAATAACAAACAAAAAAACAAAGTTTGAACCACTATACTAAACAATCAACTCACCACAACAACAACACCAACACAACAACAACAACAATTTCTCACACTTGATTTATTTATTTGTTTTTAAAAATTGTGTGTTTTATGATGAAAGGGAGAACTTGAGTTGAGTTTTGTCCAAAAATGCAAGAAGAAGAATGAAAATACACAGCAAATATATTTGAAATGGATAGTGTTTTTAAATACAGAGAAAAGTGTGAAGTGGTACCTTTTTAAAAAATTTGCAGTTGTCTCTCTTTTCATTTCAAAATTATCATTAATCTCATTCACACGTCAACTACTATTAAGTAAACTTGAAAGTTCTTTTTTGTTTTTGTTAGGAAATTAGACTATAAATATTATACAACGTTGATTATTATAATCAAAAAAAAATATGATAACAATGTTAAATTAGATAGCTTTGGTTTGTGTAAGCACAAGTGAAATTGTTGTTGGTGTTGGTGTTAATATTCATGTTTTTCATTCTGATGATTATGATGATTTTGTTTACAAATATAACTCTGATCTTGTTGATAGTTAGTGTATTGCTTGATTTGGGCAATATGAAATCACTACTGAGCTTTATCTATCATTGTCAAAACAAACTACTGAAGATCGAATAAAGATTGTTTTGACAATGATAGATAAAGCAATAAAAGTGTTGTTACAATGTAAATTATGTTGTGGAACTATCTTTATAATCTAACCATTTGCTGCAAAAATAATAATAATACTATTTTGTTTAAAATCACACAGTAGTTATACCAACATGTGTTTGGACTTTGAAGGAATCTTCATTGGTTATGTGGGTGTCAGATTATAATGAATATTGTTAATGAAATCTGTTATGATACAACACAACTTTAACGTTATACAATCATATGTTTAATTAATTGATTAATAACTGTTTAAACAACAACTAACTACAGCAACAAACCAATATACTAAGTAATTATTAAATGATATTAAGAAATTGATATAAAAGTTTGAATAACTTGAGATATGGGATCTAACTTTGTAAAATATTTAATCATTAGGTTGTACACCTAATGATTATGATTATACTAGTTCTAATTTACTTTGACTAATTATATAACTATTACAGTAAAAGTTTATTCAAACAAATAATTACGACAATTTCAATGACGTGTAAAAAAGATATTTGGTTATAAAGATATTAAAAAAAAGGTGACTCATCAAAAAAGTTACATTGGGATTCTTTCAAAATTAAAAATAAATTTTTGGGGATACTTTAAAAAAAAATATAAATAATGTATTGAATTGTTAATTTAATTGTAGAATAATAAAGTCAAAAATAATAATAAAATGTCAAAATCTAATAAATCAATACAATTTAATGAAATTGGAGATTCAACAGTTTTAAAGGTGGTAGACACAGTGATACCAGAGTTGAAACCCAATGAAGTTTTAGTAAAGATTGACGCTGTAGGATTGAATAGAGGTGAAATCCTCTATAGAAATGGAACTTTCTTTAATGGAAGTTTCCCTTCAGGTGTTGGTGCTGAAGGCTCTGGAGTCGTGGAATCAGTTGGAAGCGATGTTACCAAATTTAAAGCTGGTGATCGTGTAGCATCAGTTGCGAATTTCATGTTATCACAATACTCAACCAATCATCACTATTCAGTATTATCCGAGAACAATCTCACCACTATTCACCCATCGATCGATCAATTACAAGCTGCCTCTATCTACTCCAGCTATATTACATCTTATTTTGCTTTCACCGAGTGTTCCAAAGTTAAATCTGGTGACTTTGTACTTATTACTGCTGCCAGTTCAGGTTCTGGAGTCGGGGCAATTCAAATGGCACAAGCTTTGGGTGCAAAAGTGATAGCAGTCAGTCGATCACAAGAGAAGTGTAGAAAACTCTTGGAATTGGGTGCCGATTTCGCTGTTACCTATGATAATCTCGAAGATAAAGTCAGAGAGATAACAAACAATCAAGGTGTCAATGTAGTGTTTGATGCAGTTGGTGGCTCTTTATTCAACTCTCTTGCCAACACAACTGCAATGGGTGCCGTAATGATAATCTATGGAGGCTTAGCAAAGGAGCTAGTTACACCATTCCCAGTGATGCAAGCAATGATGAAAGGATTAGAGGTAAAAGCATTTGTAGTATTTAGATATTCAGCCAATCCACAATCACTCGAGAAATGTTTAACTACCATTCACCAATTCATTGATGAAGGTAAACTATTAAAGTCACCACTCATCGGTAAGGTATTCAAAGGTATTGAAAGTGTTCCTAGTGCTCACGATTATTTAGAAAACAACCAAGAATCATTTGGAAAAGTAGTTGTCCAATTTTGAAAATAAGAAAAATAAAAGAAAAATAAAATCAAACCAATAATAATGCAATATAGGTTATACTTTTTAAAAGATTAATATTTAAATATACATCAGATTTTGAAGGTGATGTTTTTTTTTGGTAGGTTCAAGTTTATTCATATTTTTTCGATTTAATTGTTTGTCCATTAAATAAAATTGTTGGTATGTTGTTTGATTTTCCTATATCGATAAAAAAAATTATTACAAATATATTTTATGTATATATATCTTAAGAAATAGATGATAAGGTTGATTGATTTTGTTGGGATGTGTTGAAAAAAAAAAGATAATTAAATATATAAATATATAATTTAGGAATGTTTGGAAAAGAAAATATGTACAATATTTATGTGATGTGTGTAGGTTTTTTGTTTTTTTTTTGTTTTTGTATCAAGAGTATTTGATTTATGTTGAGATGGTGGTGGTGGTGGAGGTGGAGGTGGAGGTGGGTGATGATGGTTCAGATATAGGTTTTGAGATATTGTTGTTGCTGTTGTTGTTAAGTCGATTTGGTAAATGATTTGAATCAAGTACTATCTTTTCAATGAGTTGTTCGAATCTGTTATTGACGAGATAGGATCTGATGCTTGCTATGATATTAAGATAGTCAAAGTAGTAGACGTCGTAGGTAGTCTCTGTGAGAGTGGCTGCCGTCTCCGCTGCTGAATCTACAAGTGAAAGTAATGGAGGAGAGTTGGTACCACTGCCACTGGTGTTTGCTTTGTTGCCGGCTTTCAAGATGGGTGATGCCAACGGGGTGGTTGTGGTGGAGCTGGATGGCGATGGCTTATAGGGCAGAATCAAGATTGACTCTAGGTGTTTGAGGAATGCCGTTGCTTCAGCACGATGCTTTCTGACGTATTTGATCAGAGTCTTTTCGAATTCTTGTGGTTTCATTTTGTCTTGAGTGAAAAAGGTTTCACGGAAAACCTCGTTGAAATAGGTGGCATCGTTAGAGGTGCGACCTTTTGCCAACTCTGAGCAGTAACGAAAGATTCCACGACGAATCTGTCTTGGATCGTTGGTTACCAATCGATTGTTTTCCAAGTCCAACTTGGCTCTGTGATAATTACCATATATACTGAACACCTGGACACATAGATTGTTCCTTCTTTACTGTTGGAATACTATTTACTACTGTTGTTTAAAGATGGTGGTGATGATTGTTGTTGTTGTTGTTGTTGTTGTTGTTGTTGTTGTTGTTGTTGTTGTTGTTGTTGTTGTTGTTGTTGTTGTTGTTGATGTTGATGTTGATGTTGATGTTGATGTTGATGTTGATGTTGATGTTGTAGTTGTTTTGTTTTACCATTTGACTTTTCAGTAGCATTACTGATAGTATTGTTTTTAGTAATGGCTGTTTCAGAAAGAGCTTTGTTGACAGAGTCCACCAAATGTGGAGTTGGTTGGAGTTTCTCAATAAAGCTCTTGTCCCACAACGAAGATTTAGGTGTAGTTGGTGATGTTAGTTCTGGAAGTGGTGGTGAAGGTGCAAGTGGTGTAAGATTGTTTGATTTCTGCTGTGGAACAACAATAGAGAGTGGTGGGAAATCATCTTGTTTGCCTTTACCAGTTTTCTTTCTACCATTTTGTAGATTGGTATTGTTGTTGTTGTTTCGCTTTGGTTGTTGTTGTTGTTGTTGGACAGAGTTGGAAGATAACGATAGCGATGAAGATGATGATGTGAGTGGAATTGTTGGTGTTGGCGGCAGTGGTGGAAGTGCTCCAGCATTGGGTACTGGTGAATGTGATTGATTCAATGAGAGCATTGGTGGATACTCGTCATCGAGTGAATGAACATCGTTGAGTAGATTCGGTGAGAATTGGAAGAGTGTTGGTATCGAAGAGTTGGAAAAAGACAGTGGTGACGATGTTGAAGATGACGATGACGACGAAGGTGGACCAGCTATCGATGACGATGCCGATGTTGCCATCATCGACATTGAAGATGGCACAATATTATCAAGAGAGGCAGCGGACGACGACGATGAAGACGACGATGAAGGTGGTGGTGAAATGGGTGGATGAATTTGGTTGAATGAAAGTGATGCATCAATATACGATGATGAATGAACGAGATGATGGTGGTGGTGATGTTGAGCATGTGGATGGAAAAAGTTGGGTGAAGATGGCGCGCTTGTCACTGAAGACAGTGAGGATGGAGAAGAAGAACTACTATTGGCATTTGAAGAGGATTGATGCTGCTCTTGAAATTGGTCAATTGACATGAAATTTGATTCTATATCTTTGTTGTTGTGGGGGTTGGTTAAATTCTGGAAATTATTATATGGCAATAGGTCTTTGTAGTTTTCCACTAGTGGATCCAAGATGATTTGAAAGGAATCAATTGAGAATGCATAGGGTCTCTGTATCCGCTTGACAAATTTGATGTCGATGTGTCGCGCATTGTCGTGTCCAATCGTTATCAGTGACCAATCGTCGCCAGAGAACTGATCCAATTCGTCACGCTTGGTAACCTTGACACGCTCCCTAAAGAATGTATCGAAAACTTCCTTCTTACCAATGACCAAACCAGTCTGGCGATAAACCTCTCTCACAATAATAGTTTCTTCGACATCCAAAAGTGTCATAAAATTGGTGCGTGATTGAATATAAAAACTGAGATCAATATCATTAAATATTTCTGATGAAGATGTTGTTGTTGAATTATTTTGATTGCTTTGATTATTATTATTATTATTGTGATGATGGTGATGTTGATTTGAAATGATCATTGAAGCAGTACTACCAACTAAACGTATACCATATTTCGAGAGGACAAGACCACGACGATTCAACTCATTGAGAATCAACGCTAGAATCTCTTCAATGGAGAGGACAATTGTGATTTTCTGATCGATCGAAGATATCTTGTTCTTCTCTTTGAGAATCTTGTTCAGCAGATTGATCCTATCCTTTGAAAGCATTCCAAAAGCGAGATTCTTGCAGCCAACCTTTGTTTTCCTAGTAGTTGGTGAACTCGGCACAGAGTTGGCGGGCATTGAAATTGAAAGTTGTTGTGGTGTTGATGGATGAGAGTGAGAGTGATAGTGATTGGCAGTGTTATTGTTGCTGTTGTTGATGTTGTTATTGTTGTTGTTATTGTTGTTGTTATTCATTAAAAGTGGTGATGGATGTGTAGAGGAAGGTGCTGAAACAGAGGTAGTTGAACTTGAATGATGATAAGAGTTCAGTGATGTGTCTTCATGAGAGTTGATACCTGAAGAAGATGCAGATCCTCTTCTATTTAAACTCTGAAAAGCATTACCACTACCATTAAAAACAATACTACTATTTACACCATTTCCGTTTCCGTTTCCATTTACAATAAATTTTGATTTTGGTTGTCGTTGTTGTTGTTGTTGTTGTTGTTGATTTTGTTGTTGTTGTGGTGGTTGAATGTTGTGATTTGATTTTTTATCAATTGAAATTTTATTATTGTTATTGAAATTGATTTTGTATTTTGTCCAATCTAATGAACCACTACAAGATGTTTCTAAAATATCTGAATCCATTTTAGTGTATACAAATCAAATATGATTACTTATTTGTTATTATTATTATTTGTTTTTAATGTTTATGTGAAATATATAAATATATATGTATATATGTTGAAACAAGGGATGATTGAATGACTATTTGAATTTGAATAATAACTAATTATTGTTCTATTTGATAATTTAGTTCTAAATAAATAAATAAATAAATTAAAAAGAAGAAGAAAAGAAAAGAAAAAGAATAGATATTTACAAGTTAGTATATATTTTTTTACAAAACAAATGATTGAATAATCAATAAATATGAACAATAATGATAATAATGTCAAACAAATTAATGTAGTGCAACATCATAAACAAAAAAAAAAAACTAAAACTAAAGATGAGAGATACCTGCAAAGGAAATTTTGTTTTTTTTTTTTTTTTTTTTTGGATTTGGGAATTTTTTTTGATTTTTTTTTTTTTAAAAAATATTCTATTCTAAAAATCAATCTAATCAATCATAAGAAAATAACAATAAAGGTAAAATGAAAATATAGAGGTGAGTGGAGCTGAGCAGAGAGGAGTTAACTTAATCAATGATATGATTGAATGATAATCAAATAAACACTACTACTCCACGAGTGATTATCGTTTAAGTATTCAGAAATCAACAACAATCAAATTTAGTGTTTACATGTTGTGTGTGTTGGTGAACAAACATTGTTTATTCGATTGATTGATCATGACAACAATGACTCTAGGGTGGGGGAGTGTCTTTTGTTGTGTTTGTTTAGGTGAATTTTAGTATTAAGTAAGCTGAAATTGATATTTTTTCAGCTTTTTTTCGATTTTTTTTTGTTTTTTTTGAGAAGTGTGAGGTTGGGTGTGGTGATTGATGGGTAACTATTGTTGGGTATTTGATGGTTTCGCTGATTGTTGGGTGGTTATGGTAAATTTGGATAAAAAAAACAAAACAAAAAATAATAAAAATTGGTGATTTGTGTGTAATGAGTGAACTACCACCACTTTATATCATTATATTAATATTTTATAAAATATACCATCACCATAGTTTATAAACTATATAACTAACGAACAAATTAACTAACTAACTACCTTGTTATAATAAAATTATATCATATATAAAATGTATAGTTTACAAATATTTTATAAATATAAAAATATGAATAATTATAGTTAGATATGGCGTAATGATGATTTTAGAACAAACACACATGCTTGCTTTTGAAGATGATATAATGATCGTCACAAGTGAGCGTGTTAGAAGTGAGATATATTATATATCTCAACGTATTGCAACGATTGTCGTCAATTAGCGCGAAAAATAACAAGTTTTAATTATATTCAATCTGTATCGATTGATCACTGTTATATTGTTTATATCTACATACACTTTTAATAATCTAGCTGGCTAATTATACTACAAAAGAGAGAAATGGACAACGATTAATATTGATGAACTTTAATTAATGATAAAATTAAACAATCTATCTATAAATAATCAGAAAATAAATAAGTTTTATAAAGTACAAAAAAATAAATTAAAACAAAAATTATAATAATAATAATAATAGGAAAAGAATTATAATTCTACAAATATAAAATATGTTATACAGATTATTTTTAAAAATTGATTGGATTGGATTGGTTGGGAAATTGATTGGATTGAAATTGGATTTGTTGTTGACGATGATATTGATTGTTTTTTTTCAGCAAAAAAATAATTTTTTGGTTGATTCGATTTCTGAGAAATAATTAAAACATATACAAAGTGAAATTACAATAAAGAAAGATTGATGATGGAGTATAGTAAATAGTAATATTGACAGAGCCAAAAAAAATAAAAACTTGTTGCAACAAATAAAACAACTTTGGAAAAAGAATTTTAAAAGTTGGTTATGTTTTTTTTTTTTTTGATTGATTCGTTTTGTTTATTGGGTTGTTGCTCTGTACAATAATACTTGATTCCCCTATCTCTAAATCTCTGTATCTCTTTATCTATCTTAAATACAATAAATATAATCTATTATTTGATCGTGACTACCAATTTCTAAAACATGATCATGAATATATTCCAACTGAAAATAAATAATGAGAAAAGTAGTTGGTTGGACACTCCAACAAAAGATATTATTATTCTAAAAAATATTATTACTATACACTGTAGAGTAGAGTATATTTGTGATAGTTAAAATTCAAATTATAATATAAGTTATTGTGATTATGATTATTGTTATGGTTATGGTTACATGTAATTAAGATAATTATTATTATAATAAAAATTAAATTCTTGTATGATTGAAATATTTTCTGATTTCCCCAGTACTGTGTAAATAATTTATATGATTTTCAATACAAGTATGGCTGGTTTGACTTATTGCTTGGGTGATTGATTTATTTGTTAGATTTAGATTACCAACTGCAAAAAATATTTAAAGCTATCTTTAGTATTTTTTTATTATATTGATTCTCTATCTATTACTCTGTTTACTCTTTATTCACGTTGTCTCTCTGTCTTTTATTCGCATCTATGCAGCAATCTAACAATTGTGATTAATTTTTCATGAAATAAATATGCTATATATGTACATAGATGTTGGCTCATGATTAAAGGAATTCACACAATTGCAATACAGAGACAAACAAACAAAAAGAGATAAAATAATAAAAATAAAATAAAAAAAAAGGAAAACTTGAAAAAACCAACCAAAAATAGAGTTAACCAAAAGAGGAGAGGGTACAATTAATTAATAGCTTTCTGTGTACACAATCAAGTATTTGAGTATATTCAAAGTTGTTGTTTACAAAAAATATTTTTGATTTGATTTGAATGATTGACTGGTTTAATGATTGTTTGACATTAATATTTTGATTGGACATTGTTAATAACTCGATTTCTGTCGAGTGAAAAATAATAACAAAGAACTACCAACTCTCACCCACAGTAGTAGACAAGTGAATCGATAAAAGTAGTGATGGGGTAATTGTGGTGATGTGGTAGTTTTCTTATCAAAAATGTGTGTGTGTGATGGAGTATTGTTGATGATGTATTATCGCGTGCTTCCATACTGATGGGGTCGATTGGGGTTTAATTGAATGAAATTTGAACCAATAAATTAAATTATCGCCACCAAAAAGTTTTTGTCGGAGAATAAATACAAACACACTCTCAAATATGGCATTAATAATATCAATTTAATTAGATATTACTATTTTCTTGTTGAATGGAGTGTAGAGGTAATATTTTTTTAGTATGATTAATTGTTTGAAACAATGTTTTACTAGATGATGTAATTAATTAAAAAGGCAGTGTAATTCTAATTTTTTTGTTTTTTTTTTTTAAAAAATATTAAGCATAAAATTGAATTTGATTGGTAATGTTTAGTTATTGTACTTGAATGTTTGATTGTCTGATGGGGTTTGTTGGTATTGTTGATGATGGTGAAGATGATGATTATAATACTAAAAAGCAAAATAAAAAAAATAAAAAACGAGTATAATTACCACGCTGTTACTTTTTGATCCACCTGATTAAATCAAAATTAATAAAATAATAATAGCTGATAATTACTTTTACAATTATTAAAAAGTATGTAGATATATGATTACTAAATATATCTAAATTTGTTATTAATTCTTGATCAAGCTTGTGTACTACTAATTATTGTTATTACTAACAGAATCTATAGATATAACAGTTATTTGATTTGATTAATTAACTGACTGATTACCAAACGAATTATAAGTTTGTTTGTTTGTTTAAATCTATTAACAAACTTACCAAATTTAAAATTTCAAAAGGAAATGGAAAATATTCTATATTTATGTATTGTTTTTTGTTTTTTTTTTTGATTGGACAAATATGTTTGGGAAATAACAACAACAATAATTATTAATATAAATAAAATTTATTTATAAATAACAAAAAAAAACTTAATTCATTAAAAATATAATTAATAAAAAAAAAGATTAAAAAAACAAATAAAAGAGTTTCGTCTATAATTCCACTTTCAATTTTTATGAAAGATGTTCCTACAATTTATTTTCAAATGGACAGTCGAGTTCAATGTGGGATGTTACAAAGTAGCGAAAGGTTATAATTATTTGGATATAAAAGGAGAAGACAGCCTTCAATATTGAAGTGGTCGCTTCATTTGTTACTATTAAAAACAAAGCTGTAGTTGCCATTGTAAAAATGAATGAGGTGGTAATACTAATATAAGATCTGGACAGACTACTATGAGATCTTACAAAAAATTGTAAAATAGAGAGTAGAGTATTGACGGTGTGGGGGAATGAATGAATAGTATACATACAAATTGCTTCTTAATGAACAATAACAATTTTAAAAATTGACGACTGACACATTTTAATCTTTTATATATATATTTTTTTATTTTATTTATTGCTCTTCATTATTTGATATTGATATATTTTTAAATTCTTGAATATGTGTTTTGAGATGATCTATTAAAAAATTACCAACAAACAACTGTAATTCAAACAAAAATCCCTCCAAAATTTAATGTGCTTTCATTTGCAGGTGGTGGTGATAATAAAAATTAACAATGACATTCATTAGTTGATTTGAGAGATGATTTTATTTGACTCGCTATGTTTAATAGTGGTCGAATTTTGTATTGTATGTTCTAAATTAGGTGAAGAAAAATGATAATTGCAATGGTAATATTAAACATTATTTTAAATTATTGTTATTTTGAATAGGTAATTATTAATATTTTAATTATTGGTGAAGTATTAAACTTAGAGATAATGATAATTTTGCTTTTGGGTATATACCATGCTATGGAAAAAAATAAATTAAAAATATATAATTGAAATATCTTTTCATCAGACTGATTTTCCATTGATGCTATTAAATTCATCGGTTATCATCATAGGGGAAAAAAGAATGATTCGTAAAATGAATTTTAATAAAAAATAAATCTTAAAAAAAAAAAAAAAACAGAACAAACAATAATATTATTTGAATTTCAAAAGGATAAATTTGAACTTACTTTTGAATATTAAGATCTGGACAGCAAAAATTATATCTATTAAATTTGTTTTAAAATTATTAATATTTTATTTATATTTATTTTGAATTTCTGGAAGTTGAGAAATTTTTGAAAATTATTTTGTTTTTGAAATTTGAAAGTAGGGATAATCAGATAATTATTGTACAAGAGATAAAATATATTTTAATGAATGATATTTATAATTATTATTTGTCAAGAAAATATGAATGTTTCAAATTGGAATTGAATGATCAAATTGATTATTTTAAATAGTGATCCAGAAATGAATTATTGTTATATTTTGAAAGTATAAGTCTTGTTAATCAAATTTGTTTCAATTTAAACAATTTGTGTCCTCTCATTCACGATGTTTGAATCTTTATAATATATGAGTGTGTGATTGTACTACTCTTGATTCTTTATAATTATGTAGTTTTGTTGGATTAAGTTGTTGTTTTTTTTTTTAAAAATAAAACAAATGTGGTTCTCTCTATCTGTCGGAATGTGGTAAATAGTGAGTGACTGATTGTTACCGAAATATTGTTGGATATTTAGAAGGAGGTGGTGCTATTCATTGAGAGCTATCTATCATCTTAACTCTGATGTGTTTAAAGAAAGAAAAAGTGGAAAGTAAAGATGAAAAATAGGAGGAATGGTAGCAAAATGAATTGTGGTAATCTTATTCCAAGTGATTTTCATTTCTTTGCATTACTTGATTGTGTCAATCCTCACAAATATAACTATGATGTTGATGGTGTTTAGGTGCTATTTGTCTCCAACAACAATATTGTTGTCTCCAATATCGTCATCACTCACTCGAACTTGTGCTTTAGCATGGTAAAGATTGTATTTATTATTATTATTATTAAAACGATCTATTCTATTATTATTCATTATGATTGACATAATTAATGAATCCCTTTGAAATTCTACGCATCGTGCCTGACTAGATCTCAAACGGATCACACCATACATAATACCAATAAATATTTTTAAAATCCACATTTAACTCAATTATTATTATAATTAAATAATAATTTATCTATAAGAAGCTGTTGTTGTTTTAATTGTTTGTTTTAAAAACAAATATATTTGATTGAAGGTGTGTTGAATTGAGTATGATGATGTGCATGAAAGTGTGGGTGACATTCATTTAAAAACTTTTTTTTATTTAAAGGTGGTGTGGTGTGTGGTTATGATGTTTGTACTTTAAAAAGACAGATAGATAGTAAATGTGATGTTGAATATATATATATGTCAATCAGAAACCAAACTACTGATATTAACATATTAATGTGCACACTTAAAAGGATTTGAATGGAGGCAAACTATTGTTGTCAAAACATTCAAATTTAGAAAGTTTAGATTAAGATAATGATCTTATAATATTATTATAATCTTATTGACAACACATTTTTCATCTTCAATTTGGTTTTACTATATTTAAATAAAAGAGCTCTTTTATAGTATCTGCTTCAAACCAACCAATCATCAACCAACTTATAAGTAAGCTTTTATATCCACCATCTTGATACTATGCAAGTGTTTATTTTTAATGATTGTTATTGTTTATCTAAATAAATATGTCTGAGAGTCATGTAGATATGTGTAAAATAAATGAATATTCCTGATAGAAATTGTTGCTAGATGAGATATGGACGTTTAAAGATACTTTAATTTTAAAGAAGAGGAACAACAATCTAAATACAGCAGCTATTGCTAAATGTCTGACAAGTAGTTTATATAACCAGGAATATCAATCAATCGGACATCATCAAAAAAAATGGAACTTTTAACCATTTAATAAATAAAATAATTTATAGAGGTAATAATAATGGAATCGTTCGTTTCTGAGAAACTATTAAAAATTTGTGATTATGATTTTCAAACAAAATGTGTCGTGGTATTGTGTGGGGTGATTGTTTGTTTCACACACCTTGTTTGATGATTTGATTGATTTGATAAAATATGCACTTGTGAATGTGTATGACTGTCACTCAATCATTATTAAAATGTCATATTTGGATTTGATTTTCTTTTCATTAATTAATTTGACTTGAGTGTCTGATTGGTTGAATAAATTGATTCGAATTGAAAATGATTTTGTGGTGAAGTGGTAGTGGTAGATTTCTTTTTTTACTTACTTATAATTACAACAACTTATAACCATAGTGATACTCTAAAGATTGATTGACTGATTCGATATAATATATTTTATCAATTATATAAGTAAAATTAATTTCTCTGAATCTAAGATTATTTCTATTCTAATTACTATAATAATACCAAAACTATTATTTTTACACTAATTATTGTTATTAATATTATTTGACAAAACTATTTTAAAAAGATGTGTTTTTTTTTTGTTGGGTTATCTTTATATATATTTATTACAATAATAGAATGATCTAACAATTACAACTGTCTGTTAAAAAAAAAAAAAAAAAAAAAAGAAAAATATAATATTATGTTAAAAAATAAATAGGTAATATTAATAAAGTTTTTTTAAGTAATCGATTCAATATCAATTATCACTTGATGTTGTTTTTAAAAAAAAGAGGTTGATTTTTAGTAAAAAACTAATTAATCTAACCTGAAACTGGGTTGAATCCACGTTTTTCAGAAAAAACTTCGTTCGAATTTTCAAGAAAATGATGTAAATGCAACAAGAAAATTTTTGGGATTAAGTTTTGATTAGATTTTTTATTTTTTTGGTTTTTTTGTTTATATATTTTTATTCATCGTTTTTTTTTGATGAAAAGCCCAAACCAAAAAGTCGATCACCTTTGCTTTGCAAAATCATATCAATTAAAGCGCTCAAAAGATGATGTTGTTGCAGTGGTTGTTGAAGTTGTTGTTGTTGTTGGCGCTGGGAATTGTTTTGCAACTTCAATTTTTGTGGTTTGAGTTGTTAGTGTATTTCGAAAATCAATTGGAGATTTCCAAAGCAATGAAGAAATGTTGTTGGAAAGTTGTTGATAAATGGTTTTTTGTTTTTTTTTAATGAAAAAGAAAAGAGATAGATTTAAAAATAAAAAAAGTTAGAAATTTCACATTTAAGATCTTATAAATATTTTTGGATATTTAAATGTTGTTGCAACTTCACATCCATCATCACAACCAACCTATCCTAATCAAATTATTTAATTGAAAAACAAAAACATACCTAAATTTTGATATAGTAAATCGGATTGAAGTAGTTCACTGTGCACTCCAGTTTCAACAACTCTACTGTCTTCGAAAACAACGACCTGTTGTGATTTCTCCAGTGTTGACAAACGGTTTGCAATGACCAAGACCGTTCTGTTTTGATAGAGCTGATCGAGTGGACCATTCAAATCGTCGGTTGACTCTGTTATGCAAGAGGACTCATCGACGAGCAACACCTCTGGATCTCTGAGGAATGCACGCGCCACCGATATCTTTTGTATGATATTGGTACTCAGTCTCTCTTTTCCAAGCATAGTGTCATAACCTTGTGGCAAACTAATAATGAAATCGTGAAGATTCGCTCTTTTCGATGCTACAATAATATTTTGTTGTGATAGATGTGACAATCCATATCTTATATCTATAGTTTTAAATTGTATATGGTTAGTAATTTTTACAATAGAATAACAATTATAATTAATTACTTACTTTGTTCGACTGTTCCTTCAAAAATAGAAGTATTTGAGGTAATTGAATAGCATTTGCTTCTGAATAGATGTAGATCGACTGCTTTGGTATCGATTCTTCCAATGGTGACGGATCCACGCGTTGGATAGTAGATTCCTTGGATGAGTGAGAACACAATGTCTTTGGATTGAGATGGTCCAACCAGTGCAACCATCGTACGCTTTCTGAGGTTGAATGAAATTCCACTGAGTAGGATTGTGCCATTCTTGTGATGGAAAGAAACATTATCGAATGCTATACTGAGCTCCGATGGAGTCGGTGCAACGCCGCCCTTGAACGAAACCTTTGGTCGTCTGTCGATCAAACTGAAAATACGACGACATGAAGGTAGCAACTTTTGGAACTCGCCAATCACACCAAACAATCCACTGATAGACACCGACAACATCAATGCATATAAAACATACTGGAACATTGAAATCTCTCTCTGAATTGTCTCATACAATGTAAACATAAATGCAAATATCAAGATTAATAAAACTGTAAATCCACCAATTGCCTATAATAAAAATAATATTATAATATATTTGATCAAAGTTGTTAGTTTTTTTGTTTGTTTTACTTTTCATTTCTTTTTTATATTGTACTTACAATCCAAAATCCACTTGTAAAAATTGAAGACTTTATTGCACGATGTACTGTCTCTAACTCTGTTTCGAATGCACCCATTTGCTTGGCTTCAGCATTGAGCAATCTGATCTCTACAATGTTGGTTGCGGTGCTGTCTACCACGGAGGATGCTCTTGTCGACAACTCCTGTATATATTTATATTTCGGGTGGATAAACGCATTGAAAATAACGTAGAACATGAAAAATAGCACACCAAATGAGAAAACAAACAATGTAATTCGCCATGAAAGGATTACCAATATCAGTAATCCACCGCCCGATTGTAATAAACTACGAACAAATGTTGATAATGATACAGATACTATATTTTGTAATATTAACTAAAAATAATAACAAATTATTAATAAGAATATTATTATTATGATTATTATTATTAAAATAACAACTTACAGTGTCGGAAGAAATGATAGCATTCAATTCACTACCTTTACTTGAATCGAAATAGGTTACTTCTTGAGTGAGTATTGAACGGAATAAATCGTTTTTCAATTGTGTTACAAAGTGGAAGCTGGCGATGGTGAAAAGGAGATATCTTATAAAGGCAAATGGAATCTGAACGATGATGATCAACAACAGATACTTTGAAGATTGGAACCAATCGAAATCCTCATTCAGCTTGAGCCCCAGTGCTTCCAATGCCTGTGTCTTATTCGTACTTGGATCTTCAATAAATAGTTTATTTATAACAACCTGTTGCATTGTATCTTCAATTTGTAAAGCTTTACAAACAAATAGTCAATTAATAGTTATACATTTTTTGGCATTTCATGAATGAATGAAATTGTTTTTTTTGTTTTTGGAATTCCATATAAATATAATATTTTTATAAATACATACCAAAATAATATGGTAACAGTAATTGACAGAGTGTGGTTATGCTAAGTGCAATTAAACCAAACATGTAGTACCAGAATTGTGGTCGTAAATAAGAGAGAAGTCGATAGATGCATCGTTGTGTCGAGTAGTTGATCTTGTAGAACTGATCTTCGTCCAGCAACATATTAGAGGCTATATTATATTCATCGTCTTCGTTGTCTTCGTCGTACTCATCAAACTGGTCATTATATCTATCATAGTCATCGATATACATTGGACTCGGTGATGATGTCCTATTCTTCTCTTTGTTTGTTTTGAATTCATCTAATTTAAATTGAACTTGTTTTGATTTACCAATACTATTATTTAGGCTACTGCTACTATTATTTATACTATTACTATTATTAATACTTTTATTATCTAAAATTACACCATTTGATGTTAGATTATCATTACTACCAGTACTGCTGGAATCATCATAATCTTCCTCCTCAAGATAGGCGTATTGTTTCTTCTTATTCATTCGGTACTATTATTATTATTATTATTATTATTACAACAATTTCTAAAGAGAATTATATATTTATATCTAAAGTATTATGATTTGGTTTGATTTGCTTACTGAACATAAATGCTTATAAAGTTGATTGATTGATTGATTAAACGTTGTTCAGCTGAATTATAATCTATATATTAGGAAAGAGTGAGAGTGAATGTGTGTGAATTTATAAATGTGTGTGTGTGTATGAGTATGTTAAATGTGTTTTTATTTATATAAATATAAAAATAAATTATATATGTGTAATTTTTAAATTGTTTTTTTTTATTATTTATTAATATTGTTTAATCAAACTGGTAAAAACTACACTACTAATAATATATACATAATTGTAAAGATGATGAATGAAAATTATTGGCTTAGTTTTTTTTTTTTTTTTAAATTGTTTTGACCACCAAGTTTAAATGAAAACTAGAGCTGGCGTGTGTGGTTCTATTACCACTCAACAAAAAGATAACGGTCACTTTAAAAAAAAAAAAAAAAAAAAATTTTTTGCAAACAACTCATCTATTGCAAAAAATCGAACTTCCTTTTGATTTTCCTCGTTTAAAATTTTCTCGTTTTCAAAACCTATTCAATTCTATTTTTTTTATTTTATTTATTTTATTAATTTAATTTATTTATTTTTGTGATCGATCACATCTGATTTATTAATAAGTATTTCGGACTGACCTCTTTTTATATACATATATATATATCGACAAATCAAGAATGTCTAGACCAGAGCATATTGCCCCACCAGAAATAGTATGTACAAAAAAGCAAAATCATACATATATATATTAAATGAATCAATGTTACTAACATTCATCAATCATTATTTATATAATTTAGTTCTACGATGATGTAGAATCAAGAAAATACTCTTCAAAGTAAGTAGTATTAGCAATGTTATATCATCATAATCATAAAGTAGATATTAATATGATGTGTTATTATTATTATTATTATTATTATTATTATTATTATTATTATTATTATTATTATAGTTCTCGTATTATTGAGATTCAAACAACGATGGCAGAGAGAGCTTATGAACTACTGTCGATTCCAGAGGATAAAGAAGGATTGTTATTATTGGATATAGGATGTGGATCCGGTATCAGTGGTGATGTCATTACTGATCATGGTCACGAATGGATAGGAATGGATATATCAAAGGACATGCTCGACGTATCGATAGAGCGTGAAGTAGAAGGTGATGTAATGCTTCGTGATATCGGTCAAGGTTTTCCATTTAGAGCAGGTACATTCGATGGTGCAATAAGGTAACATTACTAATACTAATACTAAAACTTAAACTTAAACTTACAAAAACTAACAAATTAATCACAATCAATAGTATATCAGCAATTCAATGGTTATGTAATGCAGAGAAATCACATCACAATCCAAGAAAGAGATTGTTGGTATTCTTTCAATCGCTATTTTCAGTTTTGACACGTGGTGGTAAAGCGGTTTTGCAATTCTACCCGGAGAATGCAGCACAGATCGAAATGATTTCGTCGGCAGCGATGCGTTGTGGTTTCACCGGTGGTCTGCTGGTGGATTTCCCCAATTCCACCAAAGCCAAAAAGTATTTCCTGGTGCTGTTCACCGGTAGCAATGGCAGTATGCCAGCGGCAAAGGGTGTCGGTATCGAGGAGGCCGAGGAAGACGGTGTTAAATATGTAAATAGAAAGACAGAGATTAGACGTGGAAACATCAACAAGCGTGTCAAGACTAAAGATTGGATCAAAGGAAAGAAAGAGAGACAGAGACATCAAGGTAAAGAAGTTAAAAGCGATTCACAATACACCGGAAGAAAGAGAAAGCCAAGATTCTAAAACAAAACCAACTATTTTTTTCAAAAACAAAAATACAATGTTTCTTTTTTGTTTATTTATTTATAATCCTACTACTACTTTCGTTTCTTTCTTATTTATAATTAATTCCATCCATTTTATTTATATTTATTTATTTTGAGATTAAATCAATTAATTAAATTATAAATTACTGTTCATCGTTGATACCAATAATCAGAATAATTCAACCTCTTTTGGTTTTATTTTAATAATAAAATATTGTAATTCTATAAATAAATCTATTAACTTTATTTTGTTAGAATATAATAATTTTTATTGTTTAATAGATTTATTTTAATGAACAAAAAAAAAAAAAGGTAAGATTATGATCAAACAATCTTATAGATAAAGATTGTATCTTTATAACTATCTGTATGAATATGTATTTTATATTTATAAATATACATTAATTTCCAATCTATTAATTTCATTATAAGATATCTGCCCAAACCATCTATTAAATTAACTTTAACTTTATGCTTATCAATTTTTAATAAAAAATAAATGATTATTTTGATTATGTTTAAGTGAATAATAACAATATTTGAATATTCACATAAAACAATTGATATATTATATGTAATCAAATCGACATTATAATTGGTGTATCGATTCTTTGTATATCCGTCGAAAAACTATTTTATTTTTCCTTAGATACCAATACCACCCCAATTAGATTGAATCAATTAATCAATCAGTCAATCAATCAATCAATCAATCAATCACTCTTCAATAATTCACTATCTGATATACATACACAAATTAAAAATAAATAAACTCATATAGATAGACATTTTAATAATAATTTTTAATAATATTTGAATTGTGTGTGTCTGGGTTTGTGTTTACTTTTATAATATTTATTCAAAACAAAAACACATAAAACAACAAACACACAACAAACAAACAAATCAGATTTGATCAATGGCTACTATACAAATTTATTTATTTTATTTAGGGTTTTTATATCAATAAGTCCAATCATGATTAAAATTGATTACATTATTATCCATAGTGCTACAGCAAAACCCTCATTTAAAATAAACATATAAATATGAAATGTCTATCATTATAAAACATTTCCGCTCCTATAATTAGATAGTACCAATTGAATTAAGAAACAGATTGTAGTACTGCATCAGGTGTGTGTGGTTGTGCTCTCTATTCCTTTTATTTCATCGCACATATTACCAATAGTAATAATAATTAAGTTGTTTCTTTATACATCAAATAATACAATATTAACAATATGTTGATTATACTGACTGAATCATAAACATGTATTTTAAATCAAATGTTGTTATTTACTCTAGAGTTAGAAATATTTTGATAAATTAAATGTATAATAAAAATAGATAAATAAATAATAAATAATAGATAGAAATAGTAAATAGTAAATCAAGGAGTTAATATTAACTTTTTTAGTTCTCTTCTGAAACATCTTCATAATATTATATTCTTGCCTAACAACATCAGCTCACCTCAATATCTGATCACACAACTAGTTCAAATCTCGATAAATCTTGAGATATATATATTTAAATGGTATGTTAGAACTAACGACCAAAGAGTGTGTGGAGGACCTGCGAATCACAATACGTTTTCATTTTCTTTAACTAAATTTAGTGTTTTTTTGGTTTTTTTTTTTTTTTTAATTGAAATTTTAAAAAATGGTTTTTGCAACACTACCAAGCTCTCTTTAAAGTTTTTTTTTTTTTTGCTTCAATTTAATTTAATTTTTGACAATTTTTTTTTTTTTTTTTGAAAATTGTTGGTTAGGAAAGTATCTAAAGTGCACCCACTTTACCAGCAAAAACTTTGTACTACCATCAACAAACCAACTCCTTTTCGATTTATTCACTCTATTATTTTGCAAAAAAAAAAAAAAAAAAAACTATTGCTGTCAATCAAATCAATTCAATTAAAATTGTGAGATTTAATAATAAATCAATAATATCATTTCATTGTAATAATTTTCAAAACAACATATCCCTTCATTTATACAACAATTCTTATAAAATTTTAAAGAAAGTCTCACAACACACTTTAATATAATAGCCCAATCATATAAATTTCATAGCAATATTCACATTCAATATTGATTAACTATTAAAAACAAAAAAACAAAGTAAATAATCAAAAGACATTTTTAAATAAATAAATAATAAAACGTCGAGAGTATGAATTAGTTGTTGTAACTTTATCATTGCTTATTTTATTTCAACAACATTAAATCCAGAACCAAATAAATCACAAAACAATCTAAAATTACCACACATTTATATAGCCCAATAATTTTCAAGAAGAATCAAACAATATCCTATTTCACACACTCACAAAGCAACAAAGTAGACCAAACAAGTCGACCACTTACTAATTCAATTTATTCCTGCAGTACTTCCCTCTGTCCTTATAAACACAGATTAATAATTATTATATAGTGTATTCATAGTAACATAATTAAAATAGATAGATATAGATATATATAATATAAATACAATATAAAATAAAAGGTAATGTGCAAAACATCAATAACAATAGCAAAAGAATAACAAAACTTGGACTACTTAATAATAACAATAGCAAAAATAACAAAACGAAATCATAATCATATCATATCAAATCAAACCGTGGTAGATCTAAAAGACTTGAATTTACCACAACAACTACAGCTACCATCAATACTTTAAAAATAACAACACACATTTATTTTTAGTAGTAAAATATGTATTTGTACAACTCTTGATCTGTTCACTTCTCAACTTCAACCGGTCATTCATCACACACATGTGACAGTTAGTCACAATAGCACCCAACATACTAGAGATATCTTGCATTGCATTAATTAATTAATTTGGTAATCTCACCAAAAGCGTTGTTATTGTTTGTCAAGGATCTCAAGATGGGTCCCACCCACAACCACCCTATCATTTTCTATTAATAATCTATTATTAGTTTACATTGCCTTCTTTGTATATACAGTTTTGATTACGTATCAGATCAGATTGACTGACTGACTTGAAAAGTTGACTTGAACAACCATCATAAACATTAACCACACAACAAACCAATCAGTCAATATTGGATATCTAACCAATAGTAAAAATAATAATAATAATAACAACACAGTAATCCCGAGAATCATCAAAGTTTGGGAGTTACTTGTATTTCAACCTACAGTGTATTGTGTGTTTGTTTGTCTTCCTTCCATTTAAAGTTTGTTTGTTTGTTTTTAAAACATGTTCAAATTCTACAAGACAACGTTTTATTAGCAATCATTCGAAGCAAGATCTTGTAAAGACATGTTATTGATACAATAAAAACGATCACCAATCATTGTAATAACAAACTTTTTAAAAACAACAATAACAACAACAACAGTCGTTACTACTACACAACACTTCACTGTTATCTCATTCATTCATTTACAATCTTAACCACACTGCTAACTACCTATCACACACAACACACATTTAATAAAAACAAAACAAAAAAGCAGTAACAAAATACCACCCCGTCAAACTATATTGTATTAGTATGTATGTATTTATATTTGTACATACCAATCCAATCAAAACTGTCAAAAGAAATGACATTTAGTCAGGTTTAATATTTTGTTGTTTTGTTTATGATCTTACTTTTTGTGGTGTGTGTAATCAAGTGATTTCCACGGATATTACCAAAAGAGCAAAAAAGAGAGCAGCAGCTCCCCATCATCCCTCAAGTATAGTTAACCTATATTTATCGTATGACCATTGGATGACGATGATAAAGAATAACTATTACCTACTTGCTTACTACTCACCAACCAGCTTCTTCTATAATAATAATAATACAAGCATGGTAATTGTAGAGTATTATTTGATCGAAAAGCAAAACAAAGCACACTCACACACTCACACACACGATCAATTAATTACGATCTCTACTAGTACTCCAGTATTGAGTAAACTGGAAGTTTCAAATTATTGTGTGAATGTTTTATTTGATTTTGTGGTGTGATGAAATCTCATTCCACACCCACACTCTCACACTGTCGTTTTGCAATGTTAAATTTGGCAGCCTCAACTTCAAGAAGCAAAATAGCAAACATTATTTATACATTTGATAGCAGGCATCCATCCGCCATCCATTCTTTAATTAATTCTAGTATTTATTGTATTTATTCATTGTTTATTTTAAAATACAATAATTACAACCAACTCTATTCTAAACTTAGTTCATTCCTCATTCTCATTCGTGTTCTCCAGCTTTTTTAAGTTTATATACTCATTTTTCTTTTCTCACAACGCTAAAATTGGTTTCTTTTCATTTATTACATTTATTTATAATAATAATACATTAAACAAGCACAATCCGCCACCTCAAAATTTTAAATTTAAAACATTTAACCAGTTTATCATCTTTATTTTTATATATTTATTTCCTATCCAACAGCTAAATTATATTTTCTTTTTTTTTTATTTAAATATTTATTATCTATCCATTTAATTTATTTATTTATTATTTATTAAATCATCATCTACATTCACTTAACTCCACACGCACCACCATCACTTTCATTATCAGAAATCCAAAATCGATCAGAATACACAATATTATTTTGGAAACTGGTCACAAGTAATATTTTCATTATTGGAATCTCAACAACACAATAGCCAATAGCAATTAGCAACAGTAAAACAGTGTAGATAATACCAACAACCACTTATTCCAACAACTTCGTCTTCATCCTGAAACACCATCTACGATCGGTCACTCAGTAGTAGTATTGTATTGTTTAAATTCATAGCTAACAACACTACTCTAATCAAGCTGGTCATCAAATTCATTCATACATTCACTCAAATCAGTCAATTCCAACACCAACAACATCTTCAGTACTGTTCATCACACACACACTCTCAATACTCTACTACTACACATTGTTTTCACACTCAATCAGTTAAGTGTGTTATTTATTTTTTTACTTGTCTGTGTTAGATTGATTTGTGATTTCTGTGTGTTTCAACGTACACACTTATTAGTTATTGCAATACAATTCAATACATATATAATAGACTAAACACATATTTTAAAACATTAATCATCTTGACGCACACACCAGAGTTATTTGTTTAACTTCACCAACAATAATAAAACATTAAATATTGTTAAAACAACCACACCCTCACACTCTCACACAAACTCATACATTTATTAGGTTAACCACCAAAATTGATTATACTACTTTGATTGATTGATTGATTGACTGATTCACACAAATAATAATAATTATCTCTTTTCTTTCTTTATATATTTATTATATTCAAACAAACAAACACACACACACACACACACACAACACATACAATTTAATTTAATTGAAATCAACTCTTATTGTTGTTGTATCTTCTTTGACTGCTTCACAATTCAATTCAATCCATTTGAATTGTTGTTGTCGACCAATTATAATTATAATTTTAATTAATTATAACGAACCTGCTTTAACTTATCACCTTTCTTCTTCTTTGTTTCTATTATAATATTATTATTCATATTTATTTTTTTACCTACCTGTTTCCAACAACCTATTTTTTTGTTTTTTCAGATATCCATTCAATCAAATCAACTCATATGAGTTAACTACTTTTGGTGAAATTCTTAATCTCTCAAGTAAAACTATACAAAACAACAATAATAATATAACCTCTATCCCTCCACCAAACTCTACAAATTCTTTAGAATTTATAATTATCGTAACTGCTTGCTATCTGTCCACCTGTATACTTGCCAAATTCAATATTTCCTATCTTAATATATATAAACCTATATATCTCTGTTCATTTATTAATTACGCCATTATACAATAACAAACCACTACCCACTACCACACCACGACCACCACACATTAATTAACATCATCATCATCATTAGCATCATCATCATTTTTTAAACCATGCATTACATCGCAACGAATTCAACAACTAATACCAATAACAACAATAACAATAATAATATTAAAATTAATAGTCCAAATTTAATATCAACTAAAAATTATAATAATAATTTAGATTTGAATCATCAAGATTCTTTTTCATTAACTAATAATAATTCTCCAAATTCTAAATCAATAAACAATAATAATAATAATAATAGTAATATAAAGGTTTCAAAAAGTAATTCAGTTTTCAATTTCGATCAACTCTTATCATTACCCACCAAGCAGAGTGTCTTAAAACAACAGAAACCAGAATCAAATCATTCCGCTATTTCAAGATCATCAAGTTCCATATTTTTTGGTAAAGATAAAGAAAGTAACAACAACAACAACAGCAATAAATTACAACAATCAACTGGAGGATCGTCATCACCAAAGCAATTGTCGTATCAACAACAGCAACAACTTCTCCAAATTTCGAAGCGATCTCCAACACTTTCTCCGTTACAACATTCTTCTTCAGATATGAACAGTATGTTACAAAGACTCGACTTAAGGAGACCGAGTATTGCAGCATCGGGAATGGACGACTCGCCGAATGGCGCTGACATGCCCTACTCACTGGAACACTCGCTCGGCTCCACACCGTCGCTCTCCTCGATGAAGGTGGCCGAAGAGATTGACATTGTCGTGATTGGCGATGAACTCTCAAACAAAGCACGTTTCATCACTTCCTTCCTCAACAACGATGACTTCCAGAAGGATCCAACTCTGGACATTGCATGTCGTCGTCCAGTCACCATAAAGAACGGCACCTACAACGTCAACATCCACACTACCGTCGGCCAAGAAGATTTCTGGGGAATCAACGACTGCTACAATCGTCAGGGTCACGGATTTGTATTTGTATATAACATCAACTCGCGTGAATCATTCAATGCATTCTCGACGTTGCGCGACAAGATTCTCTACGACAAATCGTCAGAGAATGTCATGATGGCCATGGTTGGCTATGGCGAGCACGAAATCGATGGCGAATCAGGCGAGAAACGTCAGCGTGAAGTATCGTATGCCGAAGCGAAACGTCTGGCAGAGTTGTATCAATATCCATTCACAGAGATTCCAACGTTCGAACCATCGTCCGAGCCACTGATTAGCAATTGTATCTCTGAACTACTTCATCGTATCACTCACTTTAATGGATCGCAATCTGGCAGCGCCGCTTCTAGTGCTGCCAACGGCGCCAACGCCTCCGACAAGACTGGCGCTCAAATCCAACAGACCACCGAGATCATGGTGCTGGGCGAGCTCTTCACCGGAAAATCACAGTATATCCAACGTTGTCTGGCCGGACAGTTCAGCGCCAGCTATCGCGAAACCACCGAATGGTCAAAGAATATCATACAGTCACAGATGAACGATATTCGCTATTTCATAAAGTTGGTGGACACCCGTGGTTTGATGTTGGAGGAATCACTGACGCGTGAAAAGCTCAATACCACACAGGCATTCATCTTTATGTACAGTATTACCAGCCGCAACAGCTTTACAACACTCGAGTCACTCCGAAAGAAGGTCTTGGCATGCAAGGCCGAATCTAAAATCCCATGTATACTCATCGCCAACAAGTCTGATTGTCTGACACTGGCTCGTCAAGTCACCACCCAAGAGGGTAACGACCTCGCCAAACTCTGGGGTTGTCCATACTTTGAACTTTCAATGAAAACATCTGATGAAGAAGATGTACTTAAAACAATATCTCAACTATTAGTTGAATTACAAAAAATGAATAATAATATAGATGGTAAGTTTTATCTGATAATAATTTATCTATATTCACCAAAAACAACAACAATTTACTAATTTACTTTTCCATATAAAAATATATTTAGTTGGAGAATTTAAAAAAGAAGGATATTTAATGAAAGAAGGTACAAAACTAAAGAAATCAATGACCAAATACTATTTCAAGATAAAACGTGGATATTTGTATTATTGTAAGAACCAAGCGCACACCAAGAATATAAAGACGATCGAGTTGTCGGAAGCCGTGCAAGTCCAAATATTAAATAATCAAGAGAAGAAGGATGTTTGGCCATTCAGTTTGATCGTCGAGGGCAAGGTGATCAATTTGGTGGCGACGACAGAAGCCGAGCGTGACCAATGGGTTACATCGATCAAGATCAACTGCTACGTCAACGAATTCATCGGTAATCTGATGGAAGACGTCATGGTGACGATGGTCAATGAGATAGCACAGCAATCGCAAGGCCAGACACTCCACAAGCGTACCGACTCTACGAAATCATATACATCACTCGCCAGTTCCTATCCTTCATCGCCACTTTCACTCTCACCGGATTCGTCGTCGGTGTCAACATCACCCTCGGAATCATCGTCACTAGCCGGCTCACCTCAACTTCACTCACTCAACTCGTACGACAACAACTCGCCACTCCACAGTCCACTCAAAAAGAATCTTTTATCACGTACCACCAGTTTTTCTAAAACCACAAAATTCCACTAAACAAAACAATCAAAAATCATTAAATATATTAAATCCCACTATACAATAACCAAACAAACAAGCAACCAACCAACTCCAACCTCTAACTTTTAATATACAGAATATGATATATATATATTTAAATAGAATATAAACAAACAATAATCAATGTTTCCGAAATATTAATAATAAATTATATATCGATATCATTTTATGATATCTTTATATTGTTGTTGTATTTTTTAAAAAAATGTTAAGATGTTTTTATTTAGTTAGATTTTGAAATAATTGAGTTGATATCTATTTGTTGTTAATAATATAATAGTACATCAGAATAATATTATGTTAATATTATTCATTTGAGAATAAAGAAGAATTCTTAAGTCTTATTCTCAAATCAAAACCTTTTATTATTTTTGTTTTCATTTTTGGTAGATCGTACAATTGCTTTCGCTGGATATATGTCTATGACATAGAGAGCTGATTAATATTCTGAAAAACAAGTAACCAGTCATAAAATTTTGCAGAATCCAAATTGGACTTAATGATACCATTGGTTGGATCCTGTTTACATTACCACCATATCTGTTATAAACTTTGTTTACGCATTCTTCTATTTTAATTCTATTCTGTTGTGTCCAGTGCTTAGATTTGAATGTTGTCATCTTCAGGTAAGGATTGAAGAAAGTAGAAACATAAAATGGTTCAATGCCACTCTCTGTTGTTGTGTAAAAACTCTAAAGTATAGTTAATTAGAAAAAAATGAAAACAGAGAATTAATACATTAAAAAAATGAAATAAATTTAATTTTATATATAATAAGTTTACTGTTTTCAATTGACTCTCTGATAATTCAAAGTCTCCAAATTTGTTTTCCAATTCTTAAAGTTACAACTCCAAGACAAGAGAAAGCAATTGTACGATCTGTCAAAAAAGAAATCTTTAAACTGAAAATTAGGTTATTTCTAAGATAAAGTAGACATTCATAATTATATATTACTTGCAAGCAGTATCAAAAATAAGACTTTCAATTAAGTGATCATCAAGAACATGACCGGTAAATACATATACTTCCAAGACAGTTGAGAACTATCTCTGAAAAGTATAATATTTACTATTAATTGTCTTTATTATTAACAATAAAAAAAACCAATAATTTGATTCAATACATATCATTATTATTTTGAATGTTGTATTCTAAACACACAATTTGGATTATCAAACTATTTAACCCGCCTTCAAATAGAATAATAAATTTGACCAAAAAACAATACGTCAAGATAGCAATAAGTATACTTTTGAAACTAATAAATCACCAATCCAGAGGTGAAATTGACTTAAAATAAATAAGCTTATCCAATTCCTCATTAAAAAGGAGCTTGAGGTCTTTCACATTATTTTGGTTTAATAATAAAAACTGTTTGATTGTTAATTAAACCAAAAATAATAATTTGTTTTGTTTTATTGTTGTTTTTCTTAATGATTGTATCAAAGGTAATAGTAATTGATTATTACTTTTAATTATTATTATTATTATTATTTATATTATTTATATTATTACTACTATTTATACACCGAATCTAGTTTTTGATCTATCAAAAGATTGTTCTGCATGTAATTGTGACTCAAGCCAATGATGCTTAGGTGATGTCGATTTAAGTTGACTAAAATATTTGAAGTATTATTAGTAATCGTTAGATGGGTATTGTATTGCATTGATTAGTTGATTAATTGAATGATCATTAGTAATTACCTTAAATATCTATTTGTAACTTCAACTGGTTTCTTCATGTGAATATAACAAGCGATTAAATTTGCAATGGTATCTGGATCTTTTGAATTCTTCTCGAGTGAGAGCAACAGCAAGTTCTCTGCCTTTTCGAATCTTCTCAATAAGATCTCACATGTTGCACGACCATTCAACAAGAGTGAAGTTGGTCCATACTTTTCAGAGAGTTCTTCAAATACTGATAAAGCAACCTTTACCTGCTCATCTCCCTATTATAATGATCATAACAACAATAGTAAATACATTAATTAATATTATCATTCTTACTGCTATACATCATAATAATAATTAAACTTTTTACTTACTTGAGTGATTGCAATCCATGTAGAAGCAATTAAAGATGGAGTGGCATCGACATCGATTGATTTCATTTGTGCATATTGTTTCTCTGCTAAATCCAATCTATCAATCTTTAAATATGTTTGAACTAGCAATGACATACTAAATGATAATATTAATAAGTATAAATATGCGCATATTATGTTATATATTAATATATAATATATTATTTACCATTCTAAATTATCAGTTTTGTTAAGAATACGTAAGGTATCTTCATAGTTTGATTCGTTGTAGAAGATAGTTGATGCAACTAGTTGTACGATTGGGTTGTTGTAGTCAACACCATCGGTCAACCACTTCTTGACGGTGGCGACTGCAGTTTCAGCGTTGGCATTTGGCGATTGAGTGTAAGATGCCAATAGACGAACGGCCTGTAGCGATGGATTCGCTTCGGACTCTCTGATCTCTCTCAATACCATATCGCAATCACCGAGAGCAATCATCGCTCTGTACATATAGCACTCTGCATCTTGTTTGGCACGCAATTGCTTCGATCTCTTATTGACCTCATTGACAACCGCTTGATAATTACCAAGATAATAGTAATTCTTTATTTCGAAAAGCTCATCCATCCTATAACTAACAAACTAACTAACTAACTATAACTAACCAACAACTCTAAATATGTATATATATATAAAATACACTTATTTTTAATAACAATAAAAAAAACAGGTCAAAATCAATCAAAAATAAAATTAAAAAAAATAAAATGAAAAAAGTGTGCACCTTCAATGATTCATTATTTTAACACACAAATAAAATATTTTTTTTTAATTGCAGTCAGTTTCTCCACGTTGCATTGCCAAGATCCATGGATGATAGAACAAATACTTTTTTATCAAACATATCATATGATTTATTTTTATAAAAATCTTAGAAATAAGAATATTAAATAAATAAAATAAAATTTTTTATTTAATAAAATTTGTTATTCATTGTTGTTTAAGTAATCTTGAATCAATTAACATTAATATTGGTCGATTAAAGAAAAAAAAAAAAAAACTAAAACAAACAATCAATGAATTAAAGGTTGTAAATAAGTAGATTTACAGTGTATTTTTAATAATGTTTATAAAATTCGATTGAAAAGTTAAAAAGGTTTAAAAAATTTTTTTTAAAAAAAATTTCAATTTTTATGATATTTATTGTTTCATTCATAATTGAGAATTAGTATTATTATTTTTGCAACATTTAATAGATATATTTATTTATAATAATAACTTTAGGTGTAGTAATAGTAAAAACAAAGACCACAGCTTAATATTTTTTTAATAGAAATATTTGAGATATTTAATTATATCTCAAAATACAACAGATATTTTTACAATGCAAGTCTATGTTGATTACCGTAATGTTGCAGCTATCTCTCACAAGAAGACATTGTCCTATGTCAACAACTTTGTGATCAATACAACACAGTTTTTGAATAGATTCAACTATTTGTGTGAACAGAAACTCACTGACGTTAGCAATCAGCTGAATCGTTTGGAGGTGACAATGTCGCTGCTGGAGATCAAGTTGGGTTCGATCGATGGTTTGGAATCGCTGCCCACCGCAAATGCACCAATCATGACAAATACCGCATCCGGAGCTTCTTCTTCGGCCGCTCCACCACCTCCACCAGGTTCCACAACAACAACAACAACAGCCAACAACATTTCAAATGCTTCTGCACCACCACCTCCACCACCACCACCCGGTTCAATCAGTACCAACGCTGCACCACCACCTCCACCACCTCCACCCGGTTCCTCGGCAGCGGCACCACCTCCACCACCACCACCATCATCATCTTCGGGATCTTCTTCCGACTCAAATTCAGCAGCCATTACCTATCGTGACGATCCTCGTTACAAACCATATTTCAACCTCTTTGCCAAGGGTGTTCCACTTGTTGCCTTCCAGGGTAAGATGATTGCCGACGGTCTCAATCCAAATGCAATCTTGTATGTATAATCAAATGCAATCCTTTATTAAAATCATTCATGAATGAAAACTAACTGATAACTATCTTTCTAGGAATCCAGATGGAACATCGGATGCCGCCCCACCAGCATCAAGTTCGACATCCGCTCCTCCACCTCCACCCGTTTTGGAATCACAATCAAGTGTTGATTCAGGCTTGGACGCATTCATTAGATCACCGAAAGCACCACCACCTCCAGTTGTTCCATCTGACAACAGTGATGATAATAATGATAATGATGATGATGATGACGACGATGATGATGATGATAATAATAATGATAATAATAATAACAAGAATAACAATAATAATAATAATAATAATAATAGTAGTGAAGATGTTGATCTGTCATCACTTTCAGTACTTCCACCAGAGATTTCAGATGATTTACCAATTATTACATCTACACCATCTGTTCCACCACCACCAATGATTTTCGACAATAATAATAATAATACAAATAATAATAATGACGACGATGATGATGATGATGATGACGATGATATCTTCATTCCAGCTCCACCATTAGCAGTCGATGTTTCAAATTCCGCTTCATTGGAATCAATGATTACAAGAAGTCGTCAACACGATGACGATGATGACGACGACGACGATGATGATGACAATAATTGGAATTAAGAATTTAATATAATATAAATATCAATCAATCAATCAATCAACCAATTAATTAAATGGTCAAATTCAAGTCAAATTCAAAAAAGTCAACCTATTTTTTTTTTAAAAAGTCCAACAACTACAACCAAACAACAATAATTTATCAATATTTTTAAATTAAACACATACAATGACGATAATTTATTATTCATATTATTCTTTAGAACCTAAGGAAGTGGAAAAAGAAATCTAAAAATAAAAAAATATTTGTAAATTAATTTATTAAAAAAAACTTTATCATTCTTTTTTTTTTTTTTTTTGAAGTTCATAAAAATAATAATAATAATAATAGTAAAAAATAAAAAATGTAATATAATATTTTGTTTTTTTGTGTTTTTTTTTTGTGATCCACAATTAATTTATTTTTATTTTATTTTTATTTGTCATTAAATTGTTATTATTATTATTATTTTTAATTAGTTTTTTGTAATTATAATTAAAACAAAAAAAGACAGATATATTATTTCACCTATATTTTAATAATATATATATTTCATTTTCTAAAATAAGTTTATATTTCAAATAGAAAGAAAAAGAAATTTCATCATGGTCAACATAAATGTTAAAGCATCTACAGGTGATAAGTTCTCACTCGATGTAGAACTTTCGATTACCGTACAAGAGTTTAAGAGATTGCTAAGTGAGAAGTCAAATATTGCACCGGAGCAACAAAGAATCATTTACTCTGGTCATGTATTAAAAGATCATCAGAAATTAGAGGAATTCAGTAAGTGCTTTATTATTATTATTATTATTATTATTATTTATTTAAGTTATAGGATATAGATCTTTATCAATCAATCAATCAATCAATATTTATTGAATGATATTGATATTGATATTGATAATCTTATTGATATCGAAATTAATAATGATTATAATAATATATTTAGATATTAAAGATGGACATACTGTACATTTGGTAAAGAGTGCAGCACCACCACCTCAACCACCCACAGAGCAAGTACCCAACCCAAATACAGCATCGAGTCAACCACCACCCATTCCCGGTATGACCAACAATATGTCACAGATGTTACAGAACCCGATGATGCAAGAAATGCTAAACTCACCAGCCTTCCAAAGTATCTTTGATAATCCCGATGTTTTCAAAGAGATGATTATGAGCAACCCTGAAATGAGAGAAGTTCTCAATAGAAATCCTGAAATGAATCAAATATTAAATGATCCAAGAGTATGTATATTAAATCGATTCATTTCGTTTTGTTTTTATAAAGTTAATTAATATCTTTTTGGTTGTTTTTTTTATAGGCACTTAGACAAACATTTGATATGATGAGAAACCCAGAGTTGATGCGTGAAGTAATGAGAAATGCCGATAGAGCTATGGTTAATATTGAAAATCATCCAGAAGGATTTAATTTACTTAGAAGAATGTATACAAATGTTCAAGTAAGAATTATTTTAGTTATGTTGAAACTAATTAGCTGACCAACTGACTAATTTTAATTATTATTTTTAGGAACCATTATTTAATGCAGCAGCAAATCAACAACATGCCTCAAATCAAACAAGTTCAACTCCAGCAACCAATCCCGATACACCACTACCAAATCCATGGGCTCCACAGCAACCAGCAGCAGCTTCAACAGGATCGACAAATACACAACAATCAACCGCAAATAGAAATTCAGGAACAGGAACAGGAACAGGAACAACACCAGCAAACAACCCATTCAATATGTTTGGTGGAATGGGTGGAATGGGTGGAATGGGTGGTATGGGAGGAATGGGTGGAATGGGAGGAATGGGTGGAATGGGTAATATGGAGAGTATGTTAAATAATATGGATCCACAACAACTCCAATCGATGCTTAACAACCCAGCCCTACAGTCACTATTTTCAAATCCACAGATGATGCAACAGATGGTCGAATCCAATCCAACATTGCGTCAGATGGTTGACTCTAACCCAGCGATGCGTGAAGCTATGGCCAGACCAGAGTTTTGGACTAGAATGGCTGACCCCGCCAATCTCCAAGCGATGATGCAGATGCAACAGGCTATGGGAACACTCAGAAACAATGGTTTCTTTGGTAACGATATGCTCGGTGGAATGGGAGGAATGGGTGGAATGGATCCATTCGGAATGGGAGGTTTCGGTGGTGGTATGGGTGGTATGGGTGGTTTCGGAGGTTTCGGTGGATCGACTCCAACTACACCACCACAAGACCAAGAACCACCTGCCCAGCGATTCCAAGTTCAATTACAGCAACTCAATGATATGGGATTTATAGATGAAGCTGACAATATTAGAGCATTACAAGCAACCAACGGAAATGTAAATGCAGCTATTGAACGTTTGCTTAGATAAAAAAACAACAAAAAGTGTATTATCTGTATACAAAATATAACAATTTTTATAAATAAACCCTATATACCTCAACTTTTTTAAAAAAAAAATTCCATTTCTTATGCTTTAAAGTATTGATTCTACACAAAAGTTTTAATGATACAACTCCTGTTGAAACAAAATAGTGATTTTTGCTTTAGGTTCCTTATTCTTTGAGATGATGTTTATAATAATAGTATCAAAATAAAAAAATCTAGATATTATTTAATAAAAATAAATTTTTGTATAAAATATTGTAATTTTTATTGCAATCGGGGAGTTTTATTATTTTCTTTTAAATCACCTCTTTGTGTTTTTTTTGTAGGTCCAAGATTAAGTTTTGCAAAGATGCCCAACAAAAGATTCTAAATTTTTTGTAAGAACTTTAGATTTTTTTTTTTCTTTATTAATTAAAAAAAAATTCAATTTTTTTTTTTAAAGATATTTTAATAATTAGATGGTCTTGAATAAAATCAAACCTTAAGGTTTACTGTTTTTAACAACAATAAATAATTTAACACAAATATAATAGATAGATAGATATAAAAATGAAAAATCCAATAGTTTTTATAATTTTATTGGCTGGTATCTATTCGTGGTACTCTTGCTATGCTTATGCAATACCATCAGAATATTTGATTAAGACCGTACCTTATCATCGGTAAGCACTTGAACTAACTAGTTAATCATCAGTTATGTTTGAAACGAAAAAACTGATCTTCATATTGTTTTCGTTTTCGTTTTTTAAATAAATGTGTTATTCAGTCAGGTTACAGATTATAACTGTGGTGATGCCTCGTTACAAATGGTATTTGGATACTATGGTCAAGACATTAATCAAGAGCAAATAGATGATGTTGCAAGAACATCAAAGCATGAAGGAACAAGTTCCTATGACATCGTTAGAACTGCTCAGTTTTCTATTCTAAGGTAAGAAATGTATTTTCGTTTTTGTTTTTTTTTTTTATGTTTTATCATTATACTTATACTACTATAATCTCTGATCACATCATCATCATTACAATCGTTCATCAACTACAACAATAATAAAGTCAATCACAGGGAACAGACAAGAAAAAAAAAGAATTGAATCACGGATTTCCTAATTATCCATATGGTTTGAATGCAGTCGGTTATTCATCGAACGAAGAATGGATGGATGGTTTGAAGAGTGCTATTTCGCTGAACATCCCAATTATCGTTTTGATGCATTATTCACTTGAAGATCCAGGTGGTCATTTTAGAGTTGTCATTGGATACAATGTATGTAATAATAGTATTATTAATAATAGTTATAAACTACTTGTTGTATCTTTAATTAATAATCTATTTTAAAAGGATGATCTTGAAACAATTACTACTTTAGATCCATGGGACAGAGATGGTCAACCACAAGTCTATACACTTTCATATTCTAACTTCACAGCTTTGTGGAACTACACAGAGAAAGATTCTCCACGTGGTACTCCTTTCTTTGGTGTTGCAATCTGGCCATTGAATGTGGATATCGTAGCATTTTCAAATGGTAACCAAACAACTTTCAATGTAAAATTCGATTACACCAATCCAATTCCATTTTTATCTGAATTACAATTGTAAGAATATTGATAATAATTAAATCAGCAAAGAAATATCGATTAATATTAATTTCAATTATTTTTTTTCGACAATTAGATTACCAAAGACACTTGGAACCATTACAAATTTCATTGCACCAAAGGATTCACAATTCGTTTCGGCCAGTTCCTACACTACTGGTCCAATTAATGAAGGTGATACCGTGAAGAGTTTATTTGTTGTAAATTGTCCTGGAGGTTCTTGCCATGGTCTATTTATTGCCAATGTCGAAATACTTATCCAAGCATCCGTTCCATATACCTATGATAGAAATCATTACTATTATCCACCATATTCCTATATCGATGTAATTGGTTATTCAGAAGAAGCTAAGATATAATAAATATCATGATCATACACACAATAAAATAATAATGTGAATATTATATATTTAAAATTATAAGATTTATTTATTGTTTCTTTTTTTACAAACAAAAATAAACAAATCTAAATCTTTTGTGAAAGAAGATAATAAATAATTATTATTAAGTGTAAATGTTATTGTTCCATTTCAACTGGAGCTCTTTTTCTTTGTTGAAGTGGAGCTGTGAAAGTGTCATCGGGTTTGCTCTCCTCTAGATAGAGATTATCTGGATCACCAGCGTCGTGTTCATTGTTAGCTTGATCGTCGTGTGGTTCATCTTCATTCGAGGGTTCAGCTTCTGGCCCACCGTTGGGATCGTCATCGGCGACACCCATTGTTGTCTTTCCTTTCTCGGGTGGCAGCCAAATTGCCAGTGCAATAATACAAAATAAACCGATACCAAAGAACACCCAAAACATTGTTGATTTACCAATGTACCTGACTGCAGACAAAAAGAGAAAAGACAAAAGCATATTGAATAGCCATTGCAGACCGGTGATGATTGGAGCACCGATATTCTTTACATCGTCATCTAGAATCTCATTGATAACGAACCAAAACAGTGTACCAATAGATGCTTCAAATGCAGCTACGAAAGTAAAGAGTGCTACAATCGAGAGCCATCCTCTTACAGCTCCAGTCAACGTTACAAAGAAGATTGCAATCAACAAATCGCATGCAGTCATAATAATTGACCCTGTGAACAGTAGAATTCTTCTACCAACTCTATCTACTAAAAACATTGCAATAAAAGTAGTTAAAACATTCCAAAATTGTAAGATAGTCTATTAAAATAATAAGTTTGTTAATGAATCATTCTTTTTGTTTAGATCTTAAATAACTAACTTACCGAACCTGTAATAGGTCCATATTCTTGATCGAAACCAGCAAATTCAAAAATAATCGTTGAGAAATACATAAAAGCATTGATACCAGTCAGTTGGGAGAATGTCGCTAGAATCACACCCATTGCCATAGGTCTTCTATTTCTTGGTTCGCGAAGAATTGTCCATGGAGATGGATCTTTTTGACCCAAAAGTCTAAGCTCTTTATCACGTGCCACTTTTCTCTTTCTTTCGTTTATCCATTTAGGTGACTCTAGAATAAGGAACCAAATTACTAACACCCCAAATCCTGGAACCTAAACAACAGTAAGTTTACTTATTTTTAATTTATATTTAAATTTATTGATACATACTGCACCAACAGCCCACATCCATCTCCAACCATGAGGTGATGCTCTAAGAATGATACCCATAACATTTCCCCATAACAGACCGATGGTAATGAATATCTGAAAGACAGAACCAAACCTACCTCTTTTATTCTCTGGTACAACTTCAGCTACCATCAGCGGACATACAGCAGAGGCACATCCAACACTCAATCCCAAAATAATTCTCAGTGATGCTTGTAGTCCTAGAGGTGATACCGCAGCAGAACTAACTGCTCCACCAATACATGTTATTGCTATATTATAAAAGATTGATAAAATATATTTGTAAGATTAAGAATAGTATACAAAAATAATAGTAGTTATTTACCTGTGAAAAGAATTACAGGTTTACGACCAATAACATTCGCAATTAAACCTCCAGCAACTGAACCAATCAAAGCTCCTAATAGTACACTACAAACTACTAAACCTTGTTGAACTGTATTTAAACCTTTTTCTCTTGTTATCAGTGGTAGAGATCCAGAAATGACACCAGTGTTATAACCAAAAATCAATCCTCCCCTATTTTTTTAATTTTTTTATGAACAACTTTTTGATTTTGAAATGAAAAAAAAAATTTAGAGAATATTTACATAGCACTAAGAGTCACAACAATTAGTCTACTGTATCCAATCCTTTTCCTTAGAGTATCTATAACAACTATATCATCCTCTACAGGTTGTGGAGGTATGATTGATATAGTTTGTTGGTCTTCTATCATATTCTATTTTCCAAACCATATCCAATAAAAGATTCTACAATATTATTAAATTTTTTTATTATTAAAATATTATTTTTTATTATTATTATTTTAAGAATTTTTAATTAATTATTTATTCTTTTTCTTTACAAATATTTCTTGGATTGATATATTTTTTGAACAAATATTTTATAAAATTGAATGTTTTTACAAAAAACTAATGATAATTATTCTATCTATGAAAATTGATGTTCACAATGAGCTACAATATTTAAAATTAGGCATTGGAAATTTAGAAATATTATCTTTTAAAATATTAACCCCTTTTGTTTTTTTTATCTCTAGAGACTGATCAGGAAATAATAAAATTTGAAAACAAAGAAATATTTGAACTAAAGGGGTTAACCATTCGAATTTTAATTATCAGTTTTTTTCACAATTTAATTTTTATTTGTTATTCATTTTTTTATATTGATTTTCATATGATTTACAATGTTCAATCTTAAGTTTCTTTGCCAAACCTTGACTTGTAAACTCTTCGTCAGCTCGTGAGACCCCAACCAATAGAAAACCTTCCAGTTTTTGACCACCGAATAATTGACTGTCAGAACAGAACTATGTTCTTGTTAAGGAAATTTAAGGTCTCCAATGCCGATATCAAATACATGGATGATAGGAAGGTGGAGTTGAAGTTTCATTTCTCGAAGAAAGGAGACGAAGAGTTTACAAGTCAACGTTTGGCAAAGAAACTTAAGATTGACTTAGAGCAGAGATTTGGAACATTTCGCCAGACCAACACCTCCAATAGTTATTAATTTTGAAATACCGGTGGATATTCTCAGAGACTCGATGAAGAAAGTCGATGATGATGAATTTTTCATTTTTAAGTGGAAGAAGACTCAACAAGAGGCCAAGTTAGAAAAAAAAAAAACAAAATCTACCTCTGAATGTCAATCAATAAAAACACTGCTAAAAAAACTTTTTTTGTTTTTTTTGTAAATCAAATTTAGTTCTTTTTGTTTCATTTGAAACATTTAGTAGTTCAGTTTATATTTAGAGTTGTCCTATTTTGCGTGTTTTTTAATGAATTTGATTTGTATTTTTTTTTTAATAATAAATAATTAATTAACAATATTTATTTAAGTAAAATTTAATTGACTAATAAAGGTTGTATTTCTTCAGAGAGATTATCGTTGATTTCCTCCAATCTATCACTGAATTTAACGATTGGAATGCATTGATGTGCTGGTTGTAAAAGATATTTAAATTCGAAATAGCTATCTTCGTTGTTTGCAGAGGTCAGTTCATATTGTATACTATATACCAGTCCTGGGTCGATTGTTGATGGTTGAATGTTAATCATTGGATGTGTATTTACTATTCGGTGTTGTGATACATCCATGCTGAAATTACTCTGGTTGACCTGCTTCTTACCGATTTGCTCTGATCTATAGCTTCTAATCGATAGCTGTCTTCTATAACAGATTATTTGCAGTATGCAAAAAAGTGAACTTGTGTAACATACTATCAAGGCAGACATCGCAAGCCAGAAACCCTTTAAATAGGATTTACTGATTGGAGTGAGATCGTCATCGTCCAGATTTTCGAAAATGGAAAAGAATGAAAAGAATCCGATTGTCATGAATACCGAAGTAACAAAAGGTATATAGGTAACTTTCAACATTGGATCTCTAAAGAAATTCTTAAAGAGCTTGAAAACCAATATGAACGATGCCACTAGAGCACAAACCATACCAATAATATAGAATGAAAATACAGTTGCAAAAGTACCTTGGAGGTCCATTCCACTATAACTTTTTTCCTATATTTTGAATATAATAATATTAGATCAAACTTGTAATAAATATATATTAATGTCATTCTTTTACTTACACCATTGTTATATATTAAATTGCCAAAAGTGAAATAAGATAAAATTTTAAAAATATAAAAGGTATATTGTTTATCATAAATTGAATACCATGGATAGCAGAAGCTGGAAATAACCAAAGCAATCATTGTAAGCTGTGTAATTAGTTGAATGAAAACCGAAACTCTAATAGCTAGGAGTGTCTTTCTTAAGATTGGTTTTAGAATATATTGATGGTAGGAAACCGTTGGAATTGCACAACCAATCTGAATGTTGATAGGGATTTCCTGTAGTTGGAATTGGTAGAATCCGTCGATCTTGACACTGAGATTTGGTGGAACAACGTAGGTACTAATACTGTTGGATATAACAATGTTGTTTGTTGTAGAGATGGTCTCAGTGTTGTTATTAGAGTAAAAATTGGAAGTGGTGGTAGTTGCAACCGATGTTTTTCCTCTTCCTCCGAGATGAATACTCCTTAGTGGATTTTCAATAGTATGTAGTCTTCCAAGAGATTTTCCAATCTTTTCCCTGGTTTGCTCTGACAATAAAAAGAGGTAGATAAAATGAAGTACATAGAGAAATGTTGCTGCTCCATCCAGTGCAAGAGTAATGATAACTAGATTGAATCCAATTTTCGGTCCATTCGAACAAAGGCCACTTCCACCGTTGAACTCTACATCATCACCACAAAAGTCAGTGTAGTATGGGAAATAATCAAAGTTATCGGTGATTGAAAACAACGAGGAGAAAGCAATGACGCACATAATCAAAGCGACTCCAACCGAGGCAATGGTGATCATATACAGATTTCTCGAGAGTGAAGGCGTTAGTTTTGAACTCTTGATCAGCCATGTCATACTAATCATCGATGCAATACCATTGGCAATGATAGAGACAATCAAAACTGCAGAGATCACTGTAAACATATTATCTAAATTCCCTTCATAACTTAATTTCTGAGAACCAAAAAACTATTTTTTTAAAGTAGCAATGAAATTTTAATAAATAATCCTTTTTATATTTTCTTTTGAAAGTGTTGAATGTTTTATATATACCTACATAATTGAATACTTTTAATTCAATTATAAAACCGTTTAAATTCAATTCATACCATGGTGAAGTTAAAGATGCAATAACAATAAATATACTTGAAAAAGGCAATAGATATGCAAGATATGGTATTAAATTAAAAATTATCATTTTAAGCTTTTTATTATTTTACATATATGTTTTAGGAAAAAGAAATAAATAAATAAATAAATGGACTAAGCTGATTGATCAATATCATAAGTAAACATCCCAGAGATTTCTTTTTGTTATATTCAATCCTTAAAATAAAACAAAAATAAATTAAAATTGTTTTCTTGTGGCTTGACCTAAACTGGTAGATTGTTTTGATTAACTTTGTTGTTTTTTTTTTTTTGAAAAAATATGCAAAATTTATGTTTTGCAAATAAAACAATTTTTCTTTGTTTTATTTTTATCTTCCTGGTTGAAAGACACGAGTAACCACAAAATTAGTTTCGCCCTTAAATTTCCAATCGGTTCCAATTCCGAAGTAAAAACTTAAGTTGATGGAAAAATACAAGATAGATTTTTTTATTTTTATTTTTTTATTTCTATCGATGATTTTAAATTGATGATTTCTTTATAAATTGAATGTTTATCATTGGTTGGAATTGATAGATCTTTTAGCAGTTTCTTTAGTTGTGTCATTGTCGACCTATCATGATCAGTTGTTTTATCATTATTGTTGTTGTTATTATCATCTTCACCATCGTTGTTGTTGTTGTTGTCATCATTGTTATTATTATTATTAAATACTTTGTTGGTGATAGAATGTTTGAGTTCATCAGATTTTGCAGATGATATCATTAGTACACTCTTTGGTAAGTCAGCGATTCTAGCGACATTCAATCCGTAACTGTTTTTGGCAGCACCTTTGGTTACTTGATAGAGGAATATTACCTTGGGAATGGCAGGAGTGTAATCCTCTTGTTTCTGCTCGATGAATCCCATGTGATAGTTGGCAACGGTGGTTGGGTATTGATTCTCCAACTCGGCCAACAGAGGGTAATGCGTGACGAAAAGACAGAAACATTGCTTCTTCTCGATGATGTAGCGCAGCGATGAGTAGGCAATGGCGACACCGTCGTGTGTTGAAGTTCCACGACCGAGTTCGTCGAGAATCACCAGCGATCTCGGAGTCGCCTGTTGCAATATCGCCGATGTCTCTTGGAGTTCAACGAAGAAGGTGGAGCTGCCTTTCTCAATGTTGTCGTGTGCGCCCATACGTGTGTAGATGGCATCGACAACGCCAAGACGACAGCTGGCGGCGGGGACGTTCGAGCCGATCTGCGCCATGATAACAATGAGCGAAGTCTGTCGGATGAAACTACTCTTTCCACCCATGTTTGGTCCGGTTATAATCATCGCTCTTTCGGCGTCGGGCGATAAACGCACCGAGTTTGGAACGTATTGTTCGCCTTGTAGGAGATGCTCGACAATTGGGTGACGACCATTCACTATCTCGATGCCACTGTTCTCAGTGAACTCTGGACGTACATAACCAGCTTGCTTACCGACGACCGACAGCGAGTACAGACAGTCTAGATTCGCCAGTTTACTAATGACATTGGAGAACAAGCTGTAGTCCTCTGAGAACTTACTGAGAAAGTCAAGCCAAGACTCTTTAGCACGGATTGTTAGCAGCTCTCGGTTTTGTTGTAGCAGCTTCAGAGTGGTGACGACAGCAGGCACATGATATCTCGCAAGCTTTTGAGTAGCATTCACTTTCAACCAATCTTTTGGCACCGATTTAAAGTTAATAGGTAACTCTATCAAGTACTCCAAGTTATTCTTTGGTTGATGTAAATATTCTAATGTAGGTTTACCAAGATCTTTTCTTATCTTTCTTAAATGATCTGATAATTCTTCTTGAACTGTTTTAATTTTCTAATAATAATAATAATAATAATAATAATAATAATAATCATATCATATTAGTAAGATATATTATTATCTAAATTTATCAATAATCTATATTATAATATTAATATTAATAATATACCTCTTGTGTTTCAACAATTAATGGATATATATTTGAATGTGACCATAGATTCTCTTTTTCATCTTTAGAGGCAGCGGTGTGATCGATAGATGATAAATAGAATTGTAATCTCTCATTGAACTTTGTATTTGATTGCTCATTCGTAAAGATATCATTCAACAATTTCGATTTCAATTCTTTTAGACCAGATACTTCTTTAAACAATTGATCTAACCTATAAATAATGTTATATTATTAATAAAAATATATAATATAGATCAACATACATTATGATCAAACATACTTTTGGAATGATTTCATTGTACTTAGGAAATCTTTTGGTAAACATTGTGATTGATAATAGATCTTTGATAGATTTCTTTGTAGATCGGGAATGGAACCTTTGAGAAAAGTAGATATCAAGTTGTGTGATGTTGTCTTTGTCGATGTAATCAATTCATTGACTGCATCTTGTCTTTCTTTAATCAATCTGTTGATAAAATATAATGATTAGTTTTGTTTTTATTTTTTTTGTAATAGACAATTGTTATGATCGATAGTTACTCTAATTTCATCAATGGTTTACATAACCATTCTACAATTAATCTTCTACCGGCAATGGTTTGAGTTTGATTCAATACCCAGAACAAAGAACCTTTCTCAGACTTGTCCCATTCGTTCTTGAGAATCTCCAGGTTCTCAATAGTTGAATGTGGAAGAATAAGATGATTCTGTAGAGTGAATGTCTTGAAATTGGTCGATACTTTTAATAACTATACAATATTTTGGTAAGTATATACATATATGGTAAGTTTGATTAATTGTTTGATAGATTTAAATTATTATACATACTGAAGTAAATTGAATGAATTCTTTCAGATAACTTAATTGTATATTTAAACATATGACTTGTGCTTTTGGTAGCATCATGACACTGGAGAGAGTGTTGGCAGTCGACTTGTCAGCCTCGTAGAATTCAACCAATGAACTTAATGCACGATCATAGTCATACAGTTCTTCGGTCATTGTTTGAACTCTTACATTATTTAATTTACAATATGTTTTAATACACTTTGTAGTTTGTTTAAAAATAAAAGTAATGTTATTTTGTTAGTATATAGTTTGATAATTAACATTATAACTATTTACCTTTTTTGTTAAATTTGAAAGATATAAATAAGGTGGTGAAACAACTGTTGTTGTTGTTGTATCTTGTTGTTGTTTCTCTATTGTTCTTTCAGGTGGTAACAATACTTCTGTTGGTTTCAAATGTGTTAATCTTGTCTCTAGATGTGTTCTTAATACATCATCTTTAAAAGTATCACAAATAATCTCACCAGTACTAATTGAAACAGCCTACAGATAGATATTTAAACAATATTAGTTAGTTTGTTAGTTTGTTGTTTGGTATTCAAATAGATTGTTATAAGTACTTACAACAAAAGAAATTTCAGTTAGATCTTCTGTTTTGTATTGCTCGGTGAACGATACCAAGTAATTGGGTGATATATTGACCGGGTCGTTCTCATTGATATCGATATCGTCGATAAAAGTCGATGCAGTATACAATCGAGTGAGTTTCCTCTCGAATGGCTGTGACTTGGAAGATGACACCGCTTTCAATGCTGCCGTTTCGATCTGCTCGACGACACCCACTTTGTAGCCGGCGTACACCAGTCGTCGCAAGTGGAAGTAGAGTCGCTGCACCGGTACACTGGCATTCAAGAAGTTCTTGGCGACATACGAGTAGATGTTCAGCACCCGCGTAGCGATCTCTGCATCGTTACCAAAGAATTTGAATTTATATCCACATTCCACCATCAACACCGTATCGGGATATTGTTTCTTGATTTCAATGACCTGCTGCTCCAAAGGTGTATACTTTATCTTATTATTATTGCTTCCAGCTTTTCCAGCTTTGGTATTGTTTCCAGCTTTTCCACCCTTTGCACCTTTTCCTTTCTTATCGTCTTCATCTTCTTCGTCGGATGGAGCAGCACCTTCACCCTCTTCACCATCACCTTTACCACTCAATTTCAAAGCAGCTAGTTTCTGTGCTTCATAGGTCACCATTGCCTTGACAAGTTTGCGTCCGGCTGCGAGGTCACGTTGGTAAACAGGTGTTCCAGCAGGCAACACCACTCTTCCGTCGGCCAACACTCTATCGCTCTGACTAAGCTCTACTTTACTATTATTCAAATCACCAACATCAATATCTGGCATTTCATCATCACCATTCTCTTCTTTTTCTTCTTTTGATTTTCCTTTACTACTACTACTCTTGCTCTTACTGCTACTCTTACTATTACTGCTACTACTCTTCTTGTTATTATTACTCTTACTCTTATTCTTTGTTGATTTATAGTCATCGTCTTCATCTTCCATCGACTCGAAATCGTCATCAGATCCCTCATTATCATCTGGAATGTAATCATCATCTGATTCCTCCTCTTCCACCTCTGGTTCGTAGTCATCATCCGATTCTATCTTCTTTCTTTTGTTACCAAGAGTTTTGTTTTGTGGAGATGTTGTTTTTGTTGTTGACTTCTTTGGTGTTAGCTTCTTTATTGTTGGTGTTTTTATTGTAGTAGTAGTCGTAGTGGTTGTACTCTTCTTTTTACTTTTACTGTCTTCTTCATCCTCTTCTCCATCTATAACTATGTCACTATCGTCATCATCGTCACTACTACTCTCATCCAATGCATTGAAATCGATGACTGCTTTCTGAACTATCTTTCTACCAGTACTTGATACTCGTTGATCTGGACTTTGTATCTTGTTGTTGTTGTTGTTGTTGTTGCTGTTGTTCTGGGGCAGAACTGTAGTTGTTTCATTCTTTTTCTTTTGTGGCGCTTTCTTTGTATCTAAATCCATGCTATTCTTTATTGATCTATTACTACTAGTAGTAGTAGTAGAGGTAGCAGTGGTTGCAGTTGATTTTGTTTTACTATCATCTTTGAAGTCATCATCAGCATCATCATTATTTGTTATTGTCTTGGTTGTAGAATCATCCTTGGTCTGTGAAGTTGTAGATTTCTTAACAAAGAAACTATTTATATTGGTTTGTTTAGAATCATCTGATGAAAATGAATTTGGTAGTTTCAATCTTCTGCTCATCACTAACTTTTAAGTAAATAATAATTATTATGAAATGAATGTGTAAAATTCATAGAATTTAAGGATCATCAAAAATTTTTTTTTGGATAAACACAACTCATTCCCTCTTTCTCTTTTACAATTCCAAGAACTGGTTTTTTTTTTAATCCACATCCCTCATTGGATAACACTCACTCCTGATAGTTTATTCTTATATATGTAAAAATGATATAGAGATAATAGTACTATCACATTTTCTTTTTATTTTTAAAAAAAAATAAATAAAATCTAAACTTTTTTAATAAGACAGATTATGATAAGATAACGATTTATAAGATAAGAGTGTATCAGATAGCAAGATTGATCAATATTTAGATACAAAGCACAAAAATAATACAGATAATATTTAACTATTTTTTATAACTTTAAGGGGTGTGTGTTAATACCAGTCATCGATTTTTTAAAAGCTTGAGTTGAGTTGTCACGTGGGTAGATTGTTTGTGTTATTTAGCATGTTGGAATAAGTTTTTACATATTAATTAAAAGTAATATTGATTATTAATAAATATATATATTAATATTTTTTGACCAAAATGGATAGAAGTGGAAGAAGGAGTATATCAAATATGATTATAAACTAAAAGATAGATAGGTAAATAGATTGATTAGATATTTTTATCAATGATACTTGGTGTATTGGGAACATTATTATTTCATTAGGTATTTGAGCGAGAGACAGTTGTAATACTTAAAATAAATAGAAAACGAATTCGTTTTTGATCTTTATAGAACAAAAATTTAGTTTTTTATGTCATCAAAGCATTATGAATCGTTTCAAGTGTTTTACATATCTTTTAAAAATCATTTAGTGAATAGATATATATGTTTGGGGGTGATCTATAAAATAAAGTTTTATTTGTGGTTTGATTGTATTGATTATAATGTAATTTGTTGTTTTTCTTGTTTGTCAGATTTCCAGTGGATTCGATTGGATTTTTCTGAATTATGAATGACATTAGTAATGAACTGGGATTAAAAGTAAAAACAAATATTAAGTTTGTCAAATTAATTATGGATATTTTAAGGTTAGATATTTAAAATATTTAAATTTTAACCATCATTCATATATACAAGTATGATATAGATATATTATTTGATTCACACAAAATGAGGTACTTTTTCGCTTGTTATGTAAAGGTATAATCTTTAAACTAATAATTTCCCTTTACCTTTTGTTTTGGTGAGTTTGTTAGATGGATCGTCACTTGTGTTTAAAGTGTGATTGATTATTCAACAGTCCAATTATTATTCAATACCTAAAAAATTTACTAAATAAATATATCGGTGAGTGAGTTGTAATGAGGTGATCAATATTTATTCGTTTGATTTAATATTACATTCCTCACAGAAATACAATTTCCCTTTCACTTTCTTAATATAAATATTTCATAGTTTGAGTTTAGAATTTCAGATTTATTGATTATCCGAATATATATCTATTCATATATAAACAATTAAAAATATTCCTATATTTATTTTCTAATATTCTAAAATATTATTTATTTATTTATTTATTATTAATTTGTTTTTTTTTTTTTTTTTTTGGACGAATATTATGAAATATTACCTATCATTTCTATTTATTTATTTTCTAATATGTATCCATATATATAGTGTTGAATCCAAAGTAGAAAATAATAATATTAAACAACAACAACATGGTGATATACAAATAGTTAAATCCCTCATTGACAGAACCATAGGTAATGGATTTCTAAATGATATTATTCTTGGAATTCAACCACATCACAAAGGTGTTGATTACTTTTATGTTGGAACAGCCAATGGAATGGTTACACTACTCGGAAATAATGCTGTGAATTTGGCACAGGCTTTCAATTACTATTTGAAATACACTGCAAAGTGCTCGATTACCTGGACTGGAAATCAATGCCAACTTCGAGCTGGCACCAAACTTCCATTACCGGCCAATGTGCAAGTGGAAATTCCCCATAAATATAGATATTATATGAATACCTGTACGTTTGGATACTCTACTGTTTGGTGGGATTGGGAGCGTTGGGAGCGAGAAATCGATTGGATGGCACTGAATGGCTACAATCTACCGTTGGCACAGGTCGGACAAGAGTACGTGTGGAACGAGTTGATGTTGGAACTTGGATTGCGCCAAGACGATATCAACAAATGGTTTACCGGACCTGCTTTCCTACCTTGGAATCGTATGGGAAATCTAGATGGCTGGGGAGGTGTCCTACCTCAATCCTGGATCAAAGGTCAACATGAATTGCAAATCAAGATTCTCAAGAGAATGTCGGAATACGGAATGTCGCCTGTGTTTCCGGGTTTTGCAGGTCATGTTCCAGTGGCTTTCAAGCAATTCTATCCGAGTGCCAATATTGTTGAGCTACCGAGTTGGCATGGATTCAATGCTACCAATCATCTGCTGACAACCGATCCAATGTACGATATTGTAGCGGATAGATTCTACCAAGTTCAAAATGAAATCTATGGAGCGTATGCCAAGATCGATTATTTCAGTATCGATCCTTTCAATGAGTTGATACCACCCTCGAATTCCTCGCAATTCCTAAATGAGTGTTCCAGTAGAATTTTCAATGCAATCAACCGATTCAATCCAGATTCAACATGGGTTCTTCAGAATTGGTTTTTGAATTCAGCGTTTTGGGGAGATGGTCAAGTTGCATCTTTCTTGGGTGGTGTGCCCATCGGTCGTTTGATAGTATTGGATCTGTGGTCAGAATTGAAACCTCTTTGGAATCGAACTGCCAATTACCAGGGACACAAATGGATATGGAATATGCTTCATAACTTTGGTGGACGTCCAACGATCTCTGGAAGAATGCCAATCATTGCAAATGAACCGTTGGAAGCGAAAGCTAGTTCACCAACGATGGTTGGAATAGGTTTGACACCAGAAGCAATCGAACAGAATGTCATTGTATACGATTTGATGAGTGAGATGGGATGGCGTTCAAGATCGTTCGATTTGAATCTCTGGGTGGATGCATACGTCACCAGAAGATATGGAGTCAACCTACCCAATCTAAAACCAGTATGGAAAATGTTGGCATACACTGTTTACTTCTCACCAAACCGATCGCCTGCAAACTATATCGCAAAGAAACCATCATTGGATTTCCAACTGGGATTGTATTATAATCCAGTGGTAATAGTCGATGCTTGGCGCGAATTGCTTGCAGTCGACTCAACAATAGTAAGATCTAGCGAAACCTACAGATATGACTTGGCAGAGATAACTCTTCAGGCACTGAGTAACTACTTTAATGGAAATCTCAAACAGTTGTATCAATCCTACTATGCCAGTGATTTCCAAACATTCCAATCGGCCAGACAGAACTGTAGTTTTGCACTTCGCGCGATGGATGCCGTAGCCGACACAGTCCAACTACTGAAACTCGGAAAATGGACTGCCGACGCAAGAAAGTGGGCAACCGATAACAACGAGCGAGAACTCTATGAATATAACGCTAGAAATCAAATTACGTTGTGGGGATGGAAAGACATGGGAAATCCTGACTACGCCAACAAATGGTGGTCCGGATTGATTGCAGACTACTACTTCCCACGTTGGCAAATCTTCTTTGAACATTTAGAGCATGCCATCTTTGATAAATCGAAATTCAACGAACATTCACTTGCCGTAAATACAATGTTGCATGAAGAGCGCTGGAATAAACAAACCAATATATATCCATCGGACGTCAATTCAAACGATGATGTCCATACGGTATCAAAAGTAATTTTCAATCAAATATAAAAGTGTTGGGGGTGTCTGTCTATCTATACATCAAAGTTTCAAACAACTATCAAACACAGCACATTTAACGATAAACTAAATTTAAATTATTAATTTCCAAAAAGGAAAGAAAAACAAAAGATAAATCTAGTAATATGAAATAAACATTTAAAAGATAATTTAATTAATGTCGTGTCGTTCGTTTTGTATGATACAGTTATAAAAATCTGTTAACAGATTTTTCTACTTTTAATTGAATGAATAAAAAAGAAAAAAAAAAGTCGACTAATGAGTTTTACAGATGAAATAAAATAAACGGGTTGACTTAATAAAAGTAGACAAAGAACAACATGTTGATGAGGTTGAAAAGCAAGTGAATATCCAATGTAGAGTTTAGTGAACAACAAATTAAATAAAATAATAACAAAAAATAGAGAAATGGGTCCAATTAAATTTAGCAATGTATATGTATGTATATATTGTACAAATAAATAAAACGAAATAAAAAAAAAAAAAAAGATCTTTTGTTTTGTTAACAATTTAATTTTATAAAAATATATATAATTATTGTTGTAATCGTTCAAAAAGTTACATATGAATATACAATATATTAATATATGACTTACTTTTTTTGTATTATTAATAATACATATTTGTTAAAAACATTTTGTAATAATAATAATATTATAGTTCTTTCAAAAAAATATGAATAGAAATACTCTTAGTAAGATATTAATAGTAGCCGTGTTGTTCTTTGCTCTGTTTGCATGTGCAATGGCTGAAATTACAAGTGTTGATTGCAGAATGGCCAATTGTTTGAGAATCGACGAAGACTTTTGCAAAAGAAGAGGTTTAATATTACAACCACCTGCACCTGGAAATTGTTGTAACAACTGTATCCCTCCAAATTAATTAATTAATTTACTAGTATAATAATAATCTAAATTCTAATAACAAACAAAATATAATTCATAAAAAACTATTTAAATAAAAACATCTGATCCAACAGCTGATCAAAACTGAAAAAAAAGTAAAAAAACGATTATTTCACAAAAAAAAAACAAAAATTCTTAGGATTTATTCAGAGAAAAAGATAGGAATAAGTTATTTATAAAATGATTTTTTTTGAATCTTGAAACATATTTAATCAAATAAACATTTAAACAAACAATATATATTGTTCCTTAATTAAATGGAAGAAACTATAGATTATAAAGTTAGAAACTCAACTTTGTTTCCACATAATATTACAGTGGAGGATTGTCGGTTAGCTATAAAAGATGTTGTAGGTTTCAGAGAGGTCAAGCGAGAGAATACAATCGTTTTCACATATGATTCCCTATACGATGAATCATTTCCAAATCCAGATGAAGAATCCGATCCAAAAAAGTCATTCCTTCTCAAGATTAGAAGAGAATGTCGTGGTATCATATTCGATCAATCCAATGGTAAATTACTTTCAAGAAAATTTCACAAATTCTTTAATATAAATGAATTAAGAGAAACAAAAGCTGTATGTTATGTTGAAAATAATATTATTTTAAATTCGAAACCGAATAACAATAATAACATATTTTTAGGAATTAATAGATTTAAATCAACCATTTATTTTAACTGAAAAAGTTGATGGTTCATTGATTGCACCGATTTTAGTTGGTGGATCGGTTTTGTGGGGATCGAAACAAGGTGCATCTACAGATCTTGCAGACAAGATTGAGGATTTCATTGCTAGAAATCAAGAGTTCTATTCATACAATCAATTTTCATTGGAATGGCTAAACAAAGACTATACACCAATGTTTGAATACTCTTCGAAATCACAACAAATCATCTTGTTCTACGGTGAGGAAAAGCTAAGTTTGATAGGTATCAGAGATAATGTCACTGGAGCATATATTTCCTATGAAGAGATGTCAAAGTCTGCCACTGGATTTAATGTTCCAGTGATAAAGAGAATCGATATTGCCAATCATCCGGAGCTCTCACTGATAAAGACAACCACAGACTTGGTGCATGCAGCCAAGAGAATGAGAAATGTCGAAGGATTCGTTCTGAAGTTGGAAAACACTGGACACCACTACAAGGTAAAGACCGAGTGGTATATTGATTTGGCACGGCTTCACTTGCAGTCTCCCAAGGAAGTGAAGAATGAAAAGGATGTTTGGTCACTCATTCTCTCTGGTCACATCGATGACACCATCGCGATGTTGTCAGACACGTTGGAAACCGACGAACTCTCACCGATCAACCAGAAGCTAATACGGATCAAGAAGTTTTCCGCTGTGCTGATTGAGCGTATTGAAATTGTTGCACGTGGTCTCATTAAACTGGTAATCGATTCAAAGAAAGATGCAATCACTCGAAACAATTTCACAAAGTACTTGACAGAGAAGCAATCGGCGTATTCAGAGTTGGACGGATGTCAATCAAAGAAACTGATCGCCGGTGCCTTTCAGTTTTACGACTTGATAAAAGAAGATTCGACTTTGGAAGAACACATCTCATTCGTCACAACAGCAATTCAAAAGAAATGTAAAGATTCAACAAATAACTCTGCAAAACTTGAAGAATGTCGGTTATTTTTAGGTGGAGTACCATTAATAAAATATTAGCATTACATATATATATAAAAGTTTATCATTTAAATACAACCAAATTAAAATCTTTATTTATTTATTATCAAAGTTTGATATATCATTTTTGTAGTTGTATTTTATCTAAAATGAATAAACATAAAAACAAAGAACCAGTGGTTAACCAAAAACGGAAAAGGAATTAAAAAAAATTTAAATTTTAAAACATTTAAATTTTGGGATTTTTCAACCCAAATTTCCTGTCGACTAATAAATTGCCAACCCCCAAAGCATTTTCAATTAATCTTATCAACATTTTTCATTATTTACATATATTAAAGTATTTTGTAATATTTTTAAGTGTATTATTATTATTATTATTATTCTAAAGTAAAGAAATAATTATGGTTGTTATTGAAGATTATACACCTTTTTTAAGTAGTCGTGCTGCTCGTAGAAGACCATCACCTTTGAGAGAACTAGTAAAATATGCAACTAATCCAGAGATTGTATGTTTTTTAGCACTTTGTGATTATAATAAATATATACAGTTTGAATTATAGTCTAATAGAAGCAATAACTAAATAAATCTAGATTTCTTTGGGTGGAGGATTACCAAATCCAAAGACATTCCCATTCAAGAGTTTCAAATTTGAATTAAAAGATGGTACTTCTATTGATATCGAAGGTTCAAACTTGGAGACTGCTTTACAATATACACCGACCTATGGTATCCCAAGCTTCATCAAATGTCTTAAAGATCTTCAAAAGAGAATACATAACCTACCAGAATGTATGTATAGAAAAAAAAGATGATTATCACCTTTCGAAATACTTAATAATGGAATCATATTATAATTGTAAATAGCAAATACATCAGGTCAAGAATGGGAAATTGAAATTACAACTGGTAGTCAAGAGGCTTTGGCATTAGCTATTGAAACTCTTTTAGAAGAAGGTGATTCAGTTATTCTTGAATCTCCAACTTATTCGTAAGTTGTTTGCTTTTTATAATAACTTATTGTTAATACAAGCTAACAAACAAACTAACAATTGTTATCTTTATTTATTCAAGCGGAACATTATCAATTTTAAATCCTTTGAATTTACATTTGGTTGGTATTGATATCGATGGAAATGGAATGAAACCAGATGAATTGGAGAATACTCTTGCCAATTGGGATACCTTACACTCTGGTAAACCATTCCCAAGAGTATTATATACAATCCCAACAGGACAGAATCCGTCGGGTTGCACTCTGTCCGTCGATAGAAAATATAAGATCTATGAAATCTGTTCAAAGTACAATCTCATCATTTTAGAGGACGATCCATATTATTTCTTACAGTTCCCAACTGGTGACGATGCTAATCAGCAGGTACAACTGCCACCAACATTCATATCGATGGATACCGATCGTCGTGTTCTCCGTTTCGATTCGTTCTCCAAGATCTTGTCGTCGGGTTTGCGTCTCGGTTGGATCACCGGACCTGCCAAACTGGTGGAACGTGTTCAGTACAACCAGCAAGCCACAACTCTTCACGCCAGTGGAGTATGTCAAACCATTGCAATGACACTACTAAACACATGGGGATTCGATGGATTCATGAATCACTTGAATACCGTCCAGAGATTCTACAAAGAACGTAGAGATAAATTCGTAGAGTATGCAAACAAGCATTTGGATGGATTGGTTGAATTCGATGCTCCGGTTGCCGGTATGTTTATTTGGATGAAACTCAAAGGTATTCCAGATTCACATCCACTCATCTACAAGAAAGCATTCGAGAAGAAAGTCATCATGGTTCCAGGCGGTGAATTCACCCCAGACCGTTCCAAACCAAACTCCTACGTCAGAGCATCATTCTCTGTTGCATCCTACGAACAAATGGAAGAAGCATGTAAACGTTTAGCCTCATTAATCAAAGAGAATCAAATTGAACAATCATAAATAAATAAAGAAAAAAATAAAATAATTTAATTTCTTGTTACAATAATTATTATCTTTGTTTAACATCTCTCGAATACTTTATATAATTTAGATAGTTGTGTAATTTCAATGATTGTACCATCATTTGAGAATGGTTTGGGTGGTGTCAATTTACGAAGTGCTGGGAATATAAGATGTTGTATGACCCATTCTCTTCCATTTCTCTTTGTTGTCTGATTGCTGTTGTTGTTGTTGTCGTCTTTGTCTTTCATCGATGACTCTACTTTGTAAAAGATCGATAGCTCCCTTGAGATACTATCGAAACATTCTTTCTCTGATTCCCAATCGACTTCTGTCGCCAGACGTAGCAAAAAGATTGGTAGATTATCCATACACGGTACATAGTTATCGAGAATCTGAGGAATACCGGCAATGTTACCATCGATCATATCTATTGAAAAGTATTCATGTAACATTGTTGCTTTACTCATTAATAATTTAGCAAGAAACTAAAAGTAAAATATATATTAATATATACTATCGCCATATTAAAGTTATACAAAAGCTAGCTAGCAACTTACATCAGCAATAACTTTTTTTGGACCATCTTCTGGTAACCATCCTGAACAAGGTGATTCCAATGATGATTCTAATAATTTACTAATCGACATTGGAGCGAATTTAATTGTATCGAAATTCGAGAATCCATGTAATATATTCTGATACATTAATTCTTTACTAAAAGATTTACAAATTAAAAGATAGTAATGAATAAGTATTATAGTGATTTAATAAAGTAAAAATAATAATAGTAATAATTGATAGTTACCTTAGTGTTTCAATATTCATCATATACAAATTTGTTTTATATTGCACAAGTGAGAATGTATGATCTAAACATCCAACGAATACACAGTTTGTAAAACAGTCTTGTAGTGCAGGGTGAACATTGTCATCGACTGCCTTGATCAGATCTTTGATACTGGTAAGCTCTGCTGGTTTAAGTTTTTTGGTTCTTCTTGGATTGGCGACTGTTGTTGTATCTATCTTTTGTTTCTTTGACTGATTATCTCCATTTGTAGCTTCATACATTTTATCAATCATATCTGTACTATTATTATTATTATTATTATTATTATTATTATTATTGTTGTTGTTATTGTTATTATTATTATCTAAATCTATATCAGCTGGTCCGTCACCAATACCCAATTCAAAATCGTCATCATCATTATTATTATTATTATTTTTATTATTGGTTATTGGATTTGTTGTTATTTTGCTATCTTTTGAATTATTTGTGGCTGTTGTTGTTGTTGTCGATGTTGTTTTTGTTGGCGATGTAGTTGCTGTCGTTGTTTTTGCTGATGTAGATGTGACAATCGGTTTTATTATAGGTGGCACAGTTGTCATAGCATCAACAGCATCTGGTTTCTTCTTTGTAATCATGATATTTGGTCTAAAATCATCTTCCTCTCCTTCATTGATGAATGCATTCATTGTTTGTGTCTTTGAATCGGTTCTAACCATTTGCGAAGGTAAAATAGTATTCGACGACGATGATGATGACTTTGACTTTGATGTTGCATCAATATCAAAATCTGGCATAGATACCTTAATAATAATTAATAATGTAAGTATAATTTATTGATTTATATTGTTGATGTTGTTTTTAAACAACAATTAATTAACTTACTTGAGTTGTAAATAACTTTGAATTGATAGATTGATTCAATTGAACATCCACTAACTTTTGAATCATCTCGATGATTGCCTCTTCATTGAGAAACTGTACTTCACTCTTGGTGGGACTGCAATTGACATCTACATTCTTTGGATTGAGGTGTAGTCGAATATACATAAATGGATGTGTACCTTTAGGTAGATACTTCTCATAGAGTCTTTGTAATCCTGATTTCAGATTCTTTGATTCAACTAAACGATCTAAAGATTCAAATAAAACGCAAACTTATTAATAAATGATTTTAAATCTTTGTAAGTATATAATATATGTAGCTACATAAACATACTATTAATAAACAATATAAATACAGCTTTCTTTCCACTATAGTTGGTAGAGGTGAACCATCCTTTCATCTCGAAATCCAACTGATTGTTTGACAACGATAGTTCTTTAAGTTCACGACCAATTTCATTACCATACAATATAGAGATGACTTCTTTCTCTGTTAGACTACCAGGTGTATGTACATCAGGTGTTGGATCTCCAAACTAATATAATAATAATAATAATAAATGATGTTTAATTATAAATGTCTATATGTTATTTGTTTTGTTTTGTTTTGTTTAGTTGTTACCTTTTTAACTATGAATGCAACAGTACTATTATTAATTGAATACTTCTTTATTAGATCTACAATACGATTATGTTCATCCTGTGGATTCTTGATGACTAGTTTTCTCGATGGATTGTTATAGAAGAGATCTTCCACTGTGATCTGCGTACCAACTAGACCTGCGCATGGTTTGGGTTCTGCTGATTGTCCTGGTGTCGGGGCGTGTAACTTACCATCGTGATACGACGCACGATAGGCATACGGTGATTCGTGTGTTCTCGTCAGTATCTTTAGATGCGAGCAATGACTGATACTGGACAACGCTTCACCTCTGAACCCAAAAGTCGTAATCTTTCTAAGATCATCGAATTTACTTAGTTTACTAGTTGTAAATCTTTCACAAACAATCGACATATCTTCCAACTATAATTAGTTTTTATATATTATTTGTAATTTGTAATTAGTAAATATATTATATTTCTAAAAGTAGTTGTTACCTATGTATATTAACAATATTACTTTTATACCACAACCATTATCTTGTATTTGCAATAACTTTAGACCACCTTCTTTCAATGTGATAGTTATGATTGTAGAGTGAGCATCCAGACAGTTTTCAATCAACTCTTTCAATGCATTGCTTGGTCGCAGCACAACTTCACCTGCATTGATCCTATTGATGACATCTACCGATAGTTTATGAATCTTTTTCGCTTGATTTACATTACTATTACTATTATCGCTGCTCATTTCTATTGTTTTAAAAAACCACTACTCAAATGACTTTAATTAAAGTGCACCTAGATATTAAAAGCATTAAAATTTACCACCATCAGAATTAAAAAAAAAAATTTCTAAGAATTGCTTTTTTTTTTTTTTTAAATCATTTAATCTGTCTTCTGATAATAAATAGTTTAAAAATCGTTGATCAATCTGAATGCATTTTAGATCTTAATTTCAATTGAACATTGTTTTTCAAGATCTCTAATATTGAAACTTTTTGTAAAACTTGTTAACTTTTGAGTGTAAATATAGATGAACACTATTAGTATTTGAATGGAAATAGTTACCACATTGGAAAAGTATAAATTATTGAAAAGATGGTTAGGTTGTTTAAAATTATGTTCTACTTTTTAATTATTTTATTAAAAATCATTTTTCTAGTCATGCAATCATATGAACGAATATCATCTTTGGAATATTGGTATCCAATATCAATTAAATAGTTGTTTGGGTCAAAATCTCTCATGGTACAAATGATGATTCGAGATAGCGATGCTGGTAGTATGACATCTCTAAGTTTGGAGAATTCTTTACGATCATATTGTCTATGAGGTTCTAAATCCTCGAGAGTGACTATACACCTTAACTTTCTTATGATTGGCGCCCAAATATTGATTTTAAACTTCAAATATACCGATAGATGTGTGATATTGTTGGATTGAGAGAAATATTTAAAGAAGATCGATTTGATATTTTCTAGGTTGTAGTTCAGTCTTGCCATAGATAGCTTTTGGAGATTTGGGAATTCAAAGGTTTCATTGGTTGATTTCAAACTAACTTCTGAAAGCTTTTTAATTGTCGAGCGACTTGACTTTGGGATACGACTGACATCAAAAGAATTCGATCTGAGTGATTCAAGCAATGGTAAACCGTTGCATAACACTGTGAAATAATCGCATGTACGTTCAAATAAGTTCCAAATCTCTATCTTTTGAAGTGATTTAATTGAACATATTGCATTCAGTTGTTTGGAATCCAAAGTTAGATATTTCAAGCAGAGCGAGCGAGGTTTGGCAATGATTCCAAAGTTCTTGATGCTTGTCAATTGTAAACGTTTGTAATTGGTGTCGTGAAGAATATTTAGATTTTCAACAGTCGATAGAATATGAGCGAGATGAGCAGATTGTTGTTTCATTAAATATTCGAAAATGGGCATGTTGACCGTAAGTTTAACGATATGTTTAATTGGACACCATACACTTGTAAGTCTATCTAAATGATAGCCTATTTGTGGATCTCTAAAAGTAATAGTCATTATATATAGGTAGGATAGAATGTTTATTAATAACAAATAGTTAGAATATAAGTTAGATTCGCTTCTTACTTTGATAATGCTCGAAGTTTGACATTGTTGAACATCAGACTGACAACACCAAATAATTGTTGATTAATGTTAGTTGTAATGCTTCTCGGTATGAGAGCAAAGCTTTGCTGTACACAGCTGTGTAAGAGGTTGATAGCTGCCAACTTAGTTGAAGTATCTTGGTGATGATCATCACAGGAAGTTTATATTCAACATGACCTCTATGAAACTGATTCGAAGGATTGTCATCAATCAATTTCTTTTGCAAACAATCTCTTTCTTCTTTAATACTGATTATATGATCGATTAATGATTTTTTTGTACACTTTTTTATTGTTATTTTATTGTCGACACACATCTGATAGAGTTGATCTTTAGTTAACTTTTTCAATTCATCTCTTGTAAATGTTTGTTCACTATACATTGTTTTCAAGAGAATATATAGTTTGAAACAATTTAAGTAAATGATAATCTGTTTTCAAAAATGTTTTACATAACACAATTAAAAGAAGATTTTTTTAAAATTTTTCAATAAAATGTTAAAAATCAAATAAAACCCCACACCTGACCAGACATAGCAAAAATAGTATTCTGCAGTCGCCACAAACTTTTTTTCATCCAAAAAAAAAAAAAACGTGCGAACGCTATGTTGTTTTTTTTTTGTTTTTCTCACTAGCTTTAATTGACTTTTAACAAATATGATAAATTAATATACTATAAATGTATCTTAATATTTAAACAAATAATAAAATTGGAATAATATATTTTGTAATTTTTTTGACCATTCTTTACATGCTTACTCTCCACCAAGAACTTAACAACTGCCAAATATCCTTTCTCAGCGGAATCCGCCAGTGCTGCGGCTGTATACTTCAAACCTCTGTCCGCCAGATACCGGATACTCTCAGGACAACCTGTTTGGTAGCGTTATCGATCGTCTTGCAAACACAGTCGAAGCGATGACCTACCACTAACAGCAAATCGTGTGGACTCACCGCCAGTGCATTTAACAGCCGACTTCGATTACCAGTTACCGAATGGCCCAGTAGATGTGTAAGGAAGTTGAACTGCTCGAGATTAGTAACCAGTTCAAAGACACCCAATATATTATCACCCGAGCCAAAACAAAGTCGTTTGTTTCGCTTTCGACGATCGATGATCAAACCAAGATATCTGTTCTCGAGAATATATATACCAACCACTTTACACCAACATTCGTATCTGTTTGTTCTCTAGTTGACCAGGTACGATAGAGGAAGAGATCGGAGTCTTGGATGCGATCAGGGTTGCTTGGAATACATCCGACGGGAGTGAGTCTGGGCGTGTGACGGAAGGAACGATATCAGGAAACAAAGTAGAGGTTGATGGGATTGAATCACTATCATTATTGCTTTCGAGATAGTTCATTGTAAGATCGTTTGTTGTGGTTGTTGTATCAATAGATGCTGCTGCATTACTGGTTGTTGTGGTTGTTGTTGTTTGATCAGTTGGATCTGACATTTCTTATTCAAGTGATAATTAATAATAATATAAAATAATATTTTTAATAATATCTTTATATAATTTAAATTTTTAACTTTATTTTAATTCTTTTTCTTATTTATTTAATTTCTTCAGTTTCTATTTGAATATTGAACAAATTGAATGAATCTTTAACGTCGCGTTAAACTCAATATATTCATTATTGAGAAGCTTGACGGCTGAGTGTTGAATACTTAATTTAGAAACAACAGAAACAACAGATTCTAATTTAATTATTATTTTGATCTGTTGTTTTGAACTATTACTTATTTAGTTGATTTAATTAATTTAATTAATTATAATTGACTGATACTATATGTTGGCTGGTGACTATTATTGATGATGTTGATTGATAGGTATTGATATTGCCTTGGTGACTACTTTATTGTCCTTAGACGGACAAACAGTATCGCAGTACCCTTCTATTATATCCATCGTAGCCATTATAACAATAATTTAAAACTATAAACTTCGATGAATCATAAACAAATAAATAAAGATACTTTATGTTTATTCTCCGATTGACCCGAGGCAATGGCAGAGGAGATCGATGACTTCTTTCGTATCCATAGTATTCATGCAGAAAGATATTCTTTAGATTTGGCATTGGTGGTAGGTATGTGAAGTAAAGATCAGATGTAATCATATACCGATAGAAATCTTCATAGGAATCATCATTTGAAACATTAATGTATTTTCTTGAGAAGACATTGATTTTAACATCGTATTCATCTGATTTAATATGGAACAATTCAACTCTTGAAAAGAATTGAGTGATTTGTTCGGCACTATCATCGTATCTGATGAACTTGATCGATTCGTAATCAAAGAACAATGGTGGTGATTTGATTAATGAATATTCATTATCAACATTGACATATCCAAACATATTTGTTATTGTTAATCATCTTTGATGCAACTCTAAAGAATTGCTTCGATACCTATGCAAAATTCAATACAAACTTGTTGTTCAACTCTTCTTCTTCGATTTGATATCTTTTCTCTCCATATTGAACTTGATCTTCTCTCAATGAAAATGAAATGATTCTTTCCACCATTAAATCCGATATCATTCTATATGACACTTTTTCTTTATTCATACTATTACTACTATCACCATTACCTATTTCTTTTTCTCAGGTGTTAACAATATTCTCGATATTGTTGTTGTTTACCATATTCAATTTGTTATGATCTTTACTTTTGATTTTCTTTATTTTGAACAGACAGAGAATTCAAAACAAAACTGGCTCCCAATCACTTTCGCCTGTGCATTAATTTTAAAAAAATTGTTAAAAATCAGTGTGATCAGGGTGGTTTTTTTTTATTTTATTCGATTTATTGTTACAAGCAAGAGCCAGTTTTGTTTTGTATACGCTCGACAAAAAAGTTCGGTCACCCATGACATGTCGTTCTTTTTATTATTTTTGAAAAATTGATTTGACAAAAAAAAAAGAAACAGTTCTGTTTATTGATGAACTCAAGCTCGGATTTAATAATGAAGTTTTCTATTCTCAAGAGAAACATAATCAAAGCAACCAATCAACCAGAACTATATCAACAGGATTATTAACATAAATACAATAAAATCAACACAACAGTATCTCAACCTATAATAAATTAAAAGATTTTCAAATAGAGTATATAAAAATCCTCTTTCTAAATCTACCAATTCACAAATGAAATTAAACCTAATAAGTGTTAGTGATTAATAAATAAGACTGCATGTTATATTTATGGTGAATGATATAATGTCAAAGGGTTTTTAAAGTTTATTTTATTATAAATTTGTGATTCTGATAAGTCTATTATTATTATTAATTACTCATAGTATCTCTTGATTAAATCATCGATCATATTAGTACCAGAGCCAGTAACGTAACCCATACAATTTTGAACTTTGGAGAAATTCTTGAAGACCTTGACGAATGGATAGATTGCGACATCATTGGCCCACATACAATCTTTAGTAACTGGGGAACCAAATGGAACTTGGAACATGTAGGCATTTGGATATCTACCTGGTAAGGTTCTCATATATTCTTTGACCATATCGCAAGCAATACAATTTGGTTGACCAAAGTAAACTATTACAACTTCATTCTCATCGCCCTCAGTGAGTTGGAACATGAAATCATCTTTGTTGGAGATTTGGGTCCAACCTGAGATAAATTCTGGTAATGTCATTTTTTAAAAGTTGATTTATAGATATTTATGAGGTAATAAAAGAGATGTATTTTACAAATATATAATAGTTGTGTTGTTGTTGTTTAATGGGTAATTTGAATAATGATATATAAAGTTGAATCATCACATTTAAATACTTTTTGAGAACCCAAACACCACAAGAATCCAATAAGAATTAGTGTGGAGTGATATTTTGAGAATATAACGAAACATTTTTCTCAAAACCTGTGATGTTTCACCTAATTTGTGGGGGTCTATGATATAATTATGGTTAGCATCAACTCTGAGAATGAGAAAATCTTTTTTTGTTTATTTTTTGTTGTTATGTTGGAGTTTTAAATCAGATTTTATTAAAATTATTGGCCAATGAGTGTCTGATGATCTTTGACACAACAGATTTGTTAATAAAGTTTTTTCATAAACTGTGTTTTGATTTTTTGTGATTGGGCTATGAAGTGTGATCCCAATCAACAACAGTGCTTATACTATAATTGCAAGGGATTACACTCATTCTTGGGCTTGGCTGAGATACAAATCAAGTTGTGTGTTTTGAACGAAATTTGATGGTGACAGTGATGATATGCAATCACTGTTTTATTGTTTATTTTTAATGATATATGAATCTTTGTTGTGTGATCATTGCTTCTTTGATTAAGAGTAGGCCTATAAGTCATATCCAAAGGCTCTTTGATAAATATCTAGAATTAATTCTTCCATTTTTGGTCTGATTTAGATAGTTTTTGTTCAATGGTATTGAGGGTGTGAATTTATTCTAAATTCAGAGACATTGTGATTGTGAGATAAAAGAAAGAAATTACTTTTAGGTTAATCATTTTTTTGGGTAAAAAATTCACAAATCATTTTACCACGTTGGACTTTTGACGTCAAAAAAACTTTTTTTTTTTGGGTTTATTTGCATATGATCAGTTTTGGAAAGTGGAATTTTTTTACCACGTAGGACTTGCGCACAAACGTTGTCAAAAAAAAAAAAAAAACTTGACACCACCATTTCATTTTTTAAAAATTTCTTCTGAACATAAATCGATGTTTATACAGATGCTATCTGTACATAACTTTTTAAATATAACACCTTTTTACATCTATTTAACTTGTTATTTAAAAATATATTAAACTATTAATATTTACAGTTATATTTTCAATTAATTTTTATATCTATGTATTTGTATTAAATAGATCTATAATATGAATAGTACACTAAATAACTATAGTTATAACAACTATGTTTATAACAATATTCAAAATAGTAATAATATTTCGTTTCTTAATTGTATATTGTTGATTACAATATATTTAACAATCTTTATAGTACTCCTATGAAACAAAGTACTCTGTATAGATATCAAATCTCTTCTTAAATTGATTATTATCTATTTCGATTTGCTTTAAGTATTTAATAAATAATAAAATAGACTTAGTATAAATACAATGATCAGATGCAATAATTATTAGATTACAATATAATAAAATATTGATTAATAGTTACTCTTATATCATTGGTTATTCGATTGGAAATATCTTTGATTAATGATTTAATATTAACAGATTTAGATGATAACATGTTGAATACATAGATTGACGGATCAAAGAATACATCTACGATGAACTTGGAATAACCTTCAACATCGATATAATGTAAAAACTTCCATTTGTGATAATCAACAAAGAACCTAACATTTTGAACTCGTTTTATCATCTCTATTCTCCAAACATTGATAATAAAGATGATAAACTCTATTAAAGTTTATCAATGAATTTCGATCATCGAAATCAATATCTTCAATGATGATAGGCATTCTATCTTTATCTTTTGATTGCTCTTCTAAAACAAATATTTCATTTGACTAAAAAGATCTCTTTCTTTATTGATTTCTCGATGGAAAGTTCATTCTATATAATTTAATTATAAATTATTATTATTTGTTAATTTTTTAAAGCTTGGTGAAATTTTCTTTTTATTTTTTTTTCACCTAGCAAGGAACGATACTCCCAAGAATTAGTAGTTGGGGTGTCATTCTATAGCCCCGTTACTATGAATGTCATTATATAGCTCTGTTACTATGCATTCTTTCTACGCTCCGTTACTATGCGTCATTCAATAGAAATTTCCCTAGATGACTGTTCTAAATTGATTTGTAAATAAAAGAATTTATTCATGACTTGACAACTCACTCATATATAATATATTTATAAACAATAAAGATTTGACACCTCAATAAACTGGTGCTATAACAACAAAATCAAGGTGAACTAACACTTTCAACTTTAGAGCCAAGAAGACTTAGTCAAACATCTCAAGATCGCTCTGTGTAAAGAAGAACACCACACTATCAACAACAACAACCGAACACTTCGAACAGCAAGAGACCAATAGCAACAACAGCAGCAACAGTAGTGTTATATAATTCTGTTGATTTATTTAAAGCACGAGTTGAAAATCAAATAAAAATATTAGAAAAATGTTAGAAGATAAAATTTTTGAAAAGCAAGAACATTTAGATAATATTACAGATTCCTACTACTCTGTTTTAAAAAAAAGATCATTATTATTGAAAATGATACTAAGCAAATGGATGCAATCTGTTTGATTACATCACTTCGAAAGATAGATATTTATCAGCGTCATAATGATCATTCAGACTATTTCACAGTGTTATGTAAAGGCTTACCATTACTCGAATCACTCAAAACGAATACTTTGGATATTTATCATTTTAAATTAATATACTATAGATGTATCTTAATATTTAAACAAATAATAAAATTGGAATAATATTTTTTAGTTTTTATTGACCATTCTTTACATGCTTACTCTCCACCAAGAACTTAACAACTGCCAAATATCCTTTCTCAGCGGAATCCGCCAGTGCTGCGGCTGTATACTTCAAACCTCTGTCCGCCAGATACCCGATACTCTCAGGACAACCTGTTTGGTAGCGTTATCGATCGTCTTGCAAACACCGTCGATCCGATGACCTACCGCAAACAGCAAATCGTGTGGACTCACCGCCAGTGCATTTAACAGCCGACTTCGATTACCAGTTACCAAATGGCCAGTAGATGTGTAAGGAAGTTGAACTGCTCGAGATTAGTAACCAGTTCAAAGACACCCAATATATTATCACCCGAGCCAAAACAAAGTCGTTTGTTTCGCTTTCGACGATCGATGATCAAACCAAGATATCTGTTCTCGAGAATATATATACCAACCACTTTACACCAACATTCGTATCGCAGTACCCTTCTATTATATCCATCGTAGCCATTATAACAATAATTTAAAACTATAAACTTCGATGAATCATAAACAAATAAAGATACTTTATAAATATATTTTATCAGATTTAACATATAATTTTTATTGGTCGAATAATCATCATAACGATGATGAAAGTGACTCTGAATATGAAATAATGTCATTTTTATTTTATTCATCATGATGACTAAATTTGTTGAAAATAAATTGATTGAGTAAAAATTGATATACTTCTAGATCTTCATTATCGTTACATGCGTAACTCAACCTTTCAAAGTTTCCGTAGAGATATTATATTATTTGATTGTTGGAAGCATATCTTTCAAACTAAAAAGAAACTCAGGTCCATCCTCTCGATAGAAATGATAATATTCAAGTGTGACTGATTTCAATGTCTTTGAGTGTAATGATAACAGTGGTTGCAAGAAATCCAAGTTACTGTAATCTGGAGTTGAGTTCCAATCTTTGTTGATACTGTACCTATATAATGATTCGATACCATGTCCATCTACATTCGGTGTGTTCTCAAAGATCGATAATAGAAATGAACTGTAGTTTCTTTCGTATCCATAGTATTCATGCAGAAAGATATTCTTTAGATTTGGCATTGGTGGTAGGTATGTGAAGTAAAGATCAGATGTAATCATATACCGATAGAAATCTTCATAGGAATCATCATTTGAAACATTAATGTATTTTCTTGAGAAGACATTGATTTTAACATCGTATTCATCTGATTTAATATGGAACAATTCAACTCTTGAAAAGAATTGAGTGATTTGTTCGGCACTATCATCGTATCTGATGAACTTGATCGATTCGTAATCAAAGAACAATGGTGGTGATTTGATTAATGAATATTCATTATCAACATTGACATATCCAAACATATTTATTATCGTTAATCATCTTTGATGCAACTCTAAAGAATTGCTTCGATACCTATGCAAAATTCAATATAAACTTGTTGTTCAACTCTTCTTCTTCATACTCAATTTGTTATGATCTTTACTTTTGATTTTCTTTATTCTGAACAGAGAATGAATTTATACTCTCGACAAAAAAGTTCTGTCACCTATGACATGTCGTTCTTTTTATTATTTTTGAAAAGTTGATTTGATAAAAAAAAAAGAAACAGTTCTGTTTATTGATGAACTCAAGCTCGGATTTAATAATGAAGTTTTCTATTCTCAAGAGAAACATAATCAAAGCAACCAATCAACCAGAACTATATCAACAGGATTATTAACATAAATACAATAAAATCAACAACACAACAAAAAACAAAAAATAACAACAGTATGTCAACCTATAATAACTTAAAAGATTTTCAAATAGAGTATATAATAATCATCTTTCTAAATCTACCAATTCACAAATGAAATTAAACCTATTAAGTGTTAGTGATTAATAAATAAGACTGCATGTTATATTTATGGTGAATGATATAATGTCAAAGGGTTTTTAAAGTTTATTTTATTATAAATTTGTGATTCTGATAAGTCTATTATTATTATTAATTACTCATAGTATCTCTTGACTAAATCTTCGATCATAGTAGTACCAGAGCCAGTAACGTAACCCATACAATTTTGAACTTTGGAGAAATTCTTGAAGACCTTGACGAATGGATAAATTGCGACATCATTGGCCCACATAGAATCTTTAGTAACTGGGGAACCAAATGGAACTTGGAACATGTAGGCATTTGGGTATCTAACTGGTAACTTACTCATAAAATCTTTGACCATATCGCAAGCAATACAATTTGGTTGACCAAAGTAAACTAATATAACTTGATTATCATCGGCCTCAGTGAGTTGGAACATGAAATCATCTTTGTTGGAGATTTGGAACCAACCTGGGATAGATTCAGGTAATGTCATTTTTTAAAAGTTGATTTATAGATATTTATGAGGTAATAAAAGAGATATAAAATAATTGTATTTGTACAGAATATGTATTTTACAAATATATAATAGTTGTGTTGTTGTTGTTTAATGGGTAATTTGATATATAAAGTTGAATCATCACATTTTAAATACTTTTTGAGAAAACAAAACACCACAAGAATCCAATAAGAATTAGTGTGGATGATATTTTGAGAATATAACGAAACATTTTTCTCAAAACCTGTGATGTTTCACCTAATTTGTGGGGGTCTATGATATAATTATGGTTAACATCAACTCTGAGAATGAGAAACTCTTTTTTTTGTTTATTTTTTGTTGTTATGTTGTGTTTTAAATCAAATTTTTTTAAAATTATTGGCACAACAGATTTGTTAATAAAGTATTTATATAAACTGTGTTTTGATTTTTTGTGATTGGGCTATGAAGTGTGATCCCAATCAACAACAGTGCTTATACTATAATTGCAAGGGATTACACTCATTCTTGGGCTTGGCTGAGATACAAATCAAGTTGTGTGTTTTGAACGAAATTTGATGGTGACAGTGATGATATGCAGTCACTGTTTTATTGTTTATTTTTAATGATATGTGAATATTTGTTGTGTGATCATTGCTTCTTTGATTAAGAGTAGGCCTATAAGTTATATCCAAAGGCTCTTTGATAAATATCTAGAATTAATTCTTCCATTTTTGGTCTGATTTAGATAGTTTCTTATTGATTGAGGGTGTGAAGTTATTCTAAATTCAAAGACATTGTGATTGTGAGATAAAAGAAAGAAATTACTTTTAGGTTAATCATTTTTTTGGGTGAAAAATTCACAAATCATTTTACCACGTTGGACTTTTGGAGTCAAAAAAACTTTTTTTTTTTTTGGGTTTATTTGCATATGATCAGTTTTGGAAAGTGGAATTTTTTTACCACGTAGGACTTGCGCACAAACGTTGTCAAAAAAAAAAAAAAAAACTTGACACCACCATTTCATTTTTTAAAAATTTCTTCTGAACATAAATTGATGTTTATACAGATGCTATACATAACTTTTTACATATAACACCCTTTTTAAGTGTTTATTGTGATTTCACCTTTATATTTACATCTATTTACTTGTTATTTAAAAATACATTAAACTATTAATATTTACAGTTATATTTTAAATTGATTTTTATATCTATGTATTTGTATTAAATAGACCAATAATATGAATAGTACACTAAATAACTATAGTTATAACAACTATGTTTATAACAATATTCAAAATAGTAATATTTCGTTTCTTAATTTTATATTGTTGATTACAATAGATTTATCAATCTTTATAGTACCCATATGAAACAAATAAAATAGAATTAGTATAAATACAATGATCAGATGTAATAATTATTTGATTACAATATAATAAAATATTGATTAATAGTTACTCTTATATCATTGGTTATTCGATTGGAAATATCTTTGATTAATGATTTAATATTAACAGATTTAGATGATAACATGTTGAATACATAGATTGACGGATCAAAGAATACATCTACGATGAACTTGGAATAACCTTCAACATCAATATAATGTAAAAACTTCCATTTGTGATAATCAACAAAGAACCTAACATTTTGAACTCGTTTTATCATCTCTATTCTCCAAACATTGATAATAAAGATGATAAACTCTATTAAAGTTTATCAATGAATTTCGATCATCGAAATCAATATCTTCAATGATGATAGGCATTCTATCTTTATCTTTTGATTGCTCTTCTAAAACAAATATTTCATTTGACTTTTGATATGATCTCTTTCTTGATTGATTTCTCGATGTAAAGTTCATTCTATATAATTTAATTATAAATTATTATTATTTGTTAATTTTTTAATGAATGGTAAAATTTTCTTTTAATTTTTATTTTTTTTCACCTAGCAAGGAACGATACTCCCAAGAATTAGTAGTTGGGGTGTCATTCTACAGCTCCGTCACTATGAATGTCATTATATAGCTGTAATAACAACAAAATCAAGGTGAACCAACACTTTCAACTTTAGAGCCAAGAAGACTTAGTCGAACATCTAAAGATCGCTCTGTGTAAAGAAGAACACCTGCAGTACAATATCAACAACAACAACCGGACACTGGAGACCAATAGCAACAACAACAACAACAGTAGTGTTTTATGATTCTAATGATTTATTTACAGCACGTGTAGAAAAACAAATAAAATTATTAGAAAAAATGTTAGAAGATAAAATATTTGAAAAGCAAGAACATTTAGATAACTGTTTAAAAAAAAAGATCATTATTATTGAAATGGATTTTCTGATTAGGTAGTATATATCTAGATGAGCCTAATTTGAGTATTTGTAGTCCAAAAACATTAATAAATTTTTATTTAATAATAAATAATTTCTTTTCTACAGTAAAGAAAAAAAAAGAATAATTAAAAAAAAAACTTCTAGCCAGGTGGTGACCTTCTTAAATAGATTAGTCAGGGTAACAATAATGTTTCTCAATATCACTTAACAAACTTTATTAAAAATCATTTTTCTGTAATAGCCTAAAAGAGTAATATCTTGGGAATGTTGATATCCAATATCAATCAAATAGTTGTTTGCTTCAAAGATATCATTGGTGGAAATGATGATTCGAGAGAGCGATGCTGGTAGTATTATATCTTTAAGTTTGGAGTTGAATAACACACCGTCTCTTTGACTATGTCGTGCTAAATCCTCGAGAGTGACTAAACTCTTTAATTGTATTATGATTGGTATCCAATGATCGAAAGTTCCGTAACTATTCAAATAGATCGATAGATATGTGATATTGTTGGATTGAGAGAAATATCTAGAGAACTGGGTATCGGTAGATATTGGGGTGTAGTTTGCGAGAGTTAGCATTTGGAGATTTGGGAATTCAAAGGTTTCATCGGTTTCATACAAGCAAACCTCTGAAAGCTTTTTAATTGCTGAGCGACTTGACTTTGGAATACAACTGATATTAAAAGTATGCGATTTGAGTGATTCGAGCAATGGTAAACCTTTACATAACACTGCGAAATAGTCTGAACAATCTTTTTTGTGCCAAATCTCTAGCTTTCTAAGTGATTTAATTGAACAGATTGCATTCATTTCTTTATATTCTAAATTTATATAGCGGAGGTGGAGCGATCGAGGTTTGGCCGTGATTCCTAAGAACTGAATGCTGGTCATTGATAAACGTCCGCTACCTTTTTCATGATGAATATGTAGCTTTTCGACTGTTGATAGAATATGAGTAAGATGAGCAGACTGTTGTTTCATTAAATGTTCAAACATGTGGGTGTTGATCATCAATTTAACGATATGTTTAATTGGACACCATACACTAGTAAGTCTATCGATATGATCGACCATTTCTGAAGATCTAAAAGTAATAAGAGTAACGAAATAATTGGTATAGGTTAAAGAATGTTTTATAATAAAATAAAATATATTTTTCTTACCTAAAAAGTGATCGAAGATTGACTTTGTTGAACAACTTACTGACAACACCAAAGAATTGCTTGTTGATTGATGTCAGTTTTAATGCTTCTCTGTATGAGAATAAAGGACTATAGCGATCGGAGGTTGATATGTTCCAACTTAATTGAAGTATCTTGGTGATGATCATCACTGGAAGTTTATATTCAACATGACCTCTATGAAACTGATTCGAAGGATTGTCATCGATTAATTTCTTTTGTAAACGATCTTTTTCTTCTTTAAAATTGATGATATGATCTATTATTAATGATTTATTTGTACTTTTTGATACTTTTATATTATTATCTAGACAGATTTTAAAGAGTTTATCTTTAGTAAACTCGATTAATTCATCTCTTGTAAATGTTTGTTGACTGTTATTCATTGTGTTATTGTATTTCAAGCTAGTGCTTCTAATTCTGATCTTTTTAAAAATGATTATTTTTTTAAAAAATTCAAAATATCTTTTGAAGTTTGCTTGATTTTGTTTTCTTTGCAGATCTTAATAATACAATTTTTAATTTCTTTAGTGGTAAACTGATAAAGATACTAAAAAATTATTTTATTATAAATCATTTTATAGTAAGTGCCTATATGATTACTTTGTCTGGAATATTGAAATCCAATATCATCCAAATAGTTGTTTGGTACAAACTTAGCAATGGTGGAAATGATGATTCGAGATAGCGATGCTGGTAGTATGACATCTTTAAGTTTGGAGTTGAATTCTTTGCAATCTTTTTGTCTATGAGGTTCTGAATCCTCGAGAGTGACTAAACTCTTTAATTGTATTATGATTGGTAACCAAATATTGAAACTATGATTTAAATGAATCGATAGGTATGTCATATTGTTGGATTGAGAAAAGTATTTAAAGAACAGGTTATCGATAAGTAGAGGGTTGTGTTTTGCTACAGTTAGCTTTTGGAGATTTGGGAATTCAAAGGTTTCACCATTGGTATAATTCAAGTAAACTGATGAAAGCTTTTTAATAGCTGATTGACTTGACTTTGGAATACAACTGATATCCAGCGTATTCGTTTTGAGTGATTCGAGTAATGGTAAACCTTTACATAACACTGTGAAATAGTCTGAATGATCATTATGACGCTGATAAATATCTATCTTTCGAAGTGATTTAATCAAACAGATTGCATCCATTTGCTTAGTATCCATTAGTATAGATCGAAGGTAGAGAGAGCGAGGTTTGGCAATGATTCCTAAGGCCTTGATACTGATCGCTGATAAACGTCGGCAATTATTTTCATGATAAATATGTAGCTTTTCGATTGTCGATAGTACATGAATGAGATGCGCAGACTTTTGTTTCATTAACTGTTCGAACATGTAAGTGTTGATCATCAATTTAACGATATGTTTAACTGGACACCATACACTAGTAAGTCGATCCACTTGCTCGGCCACTGGTGAAGATCTAAAAGTAATAACATTAAAGAATGAATGTCTAACAAAAATAATATAACAAATAATATAGATAGATTCGCTTTCATTCTTACCTTGAGAGTGATCGAAGATTGACTTTGGTATACATCAGACTGACAACACCAAAGAATTGCTTGTTGATTAATGTCAGTTTTAATGCTTCTCGATATGAGTATAAAGGACTGTGGCGATACCAAGTTGATAGGTCCCAACAATATCGAAGTATCTTGGTGATGATCATCACAGGAAGTTTATATTCAACATGACCTCTATGAAATTGATTCGAAGGATTGTCATCGATCAATTTCTTTTGTAAACGATCTTTTTCCTCTTTAAAATTGATGATATGATCTATTATTAATGATTTGTTGCTACTTTTATTCACTTTTATTTTATTATCTACACAGATCTTAAAGAGTTGATCTTTAGTAAACTCGATTAATTCATCTCTTGTAAATGTTTGTTGACTATTATTCATTGTGTTATTTTACAAGATTAGAATAAAACACTTGAAACAAATAAATAAAATGAAAAATGAATTATATAAAAAAAAAATAAATTGATAAAAAAAAATAAAAAAATAAAAATAAAAAAATATCAAATTCATTTAAATGTCAATATGTTTAGACAGACTTGATAACTATCTTACTTTTGAAATGATCGAACTGATTTCATTAACCAATAATCATTATTTTATTCAATTCCCTTGGGGAGAAATTTGTATAATATAGATGAATAGACTTATTACAACATTAGCTCAAAGATCATGACTTTCAAGTCGCAAATCAATAAAAAACCTATAAGTAGGAAATAATAGTTTCTTAAAAACAAATTCAGTGGTGTTTGGTTTTAGAGGTAAACTTGTGAACAATTATGCAATTAGGAATTCTTTTGGTATAAGAAACTTCAGTAGTGGTTCAGATAAACCAGTAGTTGTAAAAGAAGTTGACAAAACTGGGGTAATAAAAATCGAAGAGGTCAATGGTGTACTGAAAAGATGGCTATCGATATCGAAAGGTTAAAAGAAAATAGTCAATATGAAGATGCCCTGGCAATGTGTGATCAGCTAATCAAGACCAACAGTTTCTACACACTGAATCGACATCTCATCAAAACTCAATTACTACTAGAACATTTTAAGAATCCAGAGAAGTGTTTGAACAATTTGAAATTGCATGTAGCACGATCAGGAATACCAATACAGATGATCAGAGAAAGTTGGTCTACCTTGCAAAAAGGGAGAGCGTGGAGATCTGCTACGGAGTGTTCCTCAACATTAATACAATGAATTTGGCGATTCAACTCCTCGATAGCTATCCTGAGCGTTGCGATGCCAATTTAATAGGGTCAGCCAATCAGTGTGCATTGCGGGCTGACCATTTTAAGATAGCATATCAGATGTCAAAGATGTTGGAATCGAAATTCCCTGATGAATTGAAACCATCGGATATCATCTAGGCATTTCAGAGATGGGAATTTGAAACAATGAGAAGGCACTAGAGAGAATCAATAATGGTTTGGCATGTTATCTCACCTCTGAAATCAAGGATCAATAAGCTGAAAAGGATGCATACTACTTTGGATTAAACGCAAAAGAACATCTTCTAACTAACAATCCCTAAAGCCTTTGGAAGAATAAATTATAGTAATTATTCAGATATTTTAGAGGATCCGGATATTAAACAAAATGTATATTTTATCTGATTTCAAAAACGATCTTTTGTAAAAATAATATTTATGAAACTTTAAAAGAATCCTTTACTTGATCAATAATTGAGTAATTTCATTTTATCCCTCCCCAAAAAAATGAAAAAATTTTGCATAGCTTTTGTGTGCATTTTGAAAAAAATAGCGAGAATCCTAAAAAAGCTGGTGCATGAATATACATGATCATTTTAATTTTATTAAAATAGTAGATGTTAATAAAGTTCATGGTACAGGTAGTAATATAGTATATTCAACAAAATACATGTATTCGGATGCCACACTGTTTAAAAGTTGACATTAGGGATGACAATGTCACTCAAAGTATCCACGGCAACAGCAACATCATCTGGAACATCCACAATCAGTGCAATCTTGTTTGATGATTGGCTTGAACTTGTTCCAGTTACACCAACTTGACTCTTGAAGATGGAGTTGTTTGATTGAACTGATCCCATTGAAGATAAAGCAGCTATAAATATATAATTGTATAAAAATTAATAAATATTTATTTTAGATATCTAGTTTTTTTAAATTTACCAATTAAAGTCATTTTTAGATTTATGAATTAAATTAGTATTAAAAGTAATTTGATTTGATATTGAAATAGAAAAAAAAGTTAACTATTTATAGTTAAAACAATCATTTTTAATATTCCAAAGATTTAATTTAATAGATTCGATCCTTTAAAAATATTTTTAATAAATTTTTATTTTGAAAATAAAACTTTGAACTGAATGTTGGAATATTACTAAAAAAATATCATCTATATATTTATTTATAAAATCAAATTCTCATCATCTTTTCAAATATTAATGACGAATTTACTCTCACCAAATAATAAAAAAGGGGTTAAGTTACAAATAGGGGTAATAATTGTTAAAAAAGTATAGAATTGATAATTTTCTAGTTTTGATTAAATTTCTCTTAAATCTTTTTAAACTTTGACAATAAATATATTGATATCAATATCGATCTAATAAATGATCATTTTCAACAACATCTATTATAAGTTCTTACCTTTTATATAAGTTCTATAAAAATATAAATGAAATACAAGAACTTTTCAATATTATTTTGATTATTCTTTAAAATATTAACATTAATACTATTATTATTATGATTTGTTGTACAAAAATATCTATGAACACTGATAATAGATCTATTATTTAACAATGAGTATTTATATATTGATTTATTAATGTATAACATATTTCTTAGCATGATATCAGTTATTTTTAATAAAATTACAATTCTTTATACGACACGAATATCTATTTAAATAAAAGAAAATTTATCAAATATATATTTACTTGTTTTATAGTTTCATTTTGTTTGGTTTTACTGAGAGATTTCAATTTTTAAATAACATTATATTTAAATTTAAGTTAATTAATTTTGTTAAAATTTGATTTTACATTTGATTCCAATACTTAATATTTTTAAATTAATACAAAAATTGAATTTATTGATATTAACTTTAGGAGTATTGATTGCCATCGGATTCTCCATCAGAGTCACTGCAATAGCCATCGGATTCCGATAATTCCATATGATCATTCTGATTTTGTATTTTTGACATCAACGAATGAACTTTTATTTCCAATTCAGACGACTGATCTTTTGAAAAAATAGTTTTTTTATATTTGATATCATCTTCGATAAAAGTGGCCAATTCACCAAAGACATAGATTTCATCTGAACTGAAAACAATTTTATCCTCAAACTTTCTTAAGATTTTTTTGATAAATTTGATGATGAGTGAAGTTGGGTATAGGAATACTAATGAATTTCCATGCTCTATATTATTTATACTTATAAGTAAACTAAATTACACCATTTGTGAAATACTGATAGTATTCAAATCTTACCATTTGGAAAAAGAATATTTTTTTGATTAGAATTAAAGTACTTATAGTTTTTTTTTAGTTTTTCCTGTGGGTTTGATGTTTTATGCCAATTGACGCATCGTGTGGTGAAGTAATAGCTTTTTCCTTTAGAATCTGTGTGAGATAATATTGCTATGTTACTCTTATTTCTGACAAAGATATATTCAACAATGTACTTTTTAAAAGGCATTCCTATTTACCCTCTATATATGAATAAGTTTAAATCCAAGCATTAGAAATATAGAAATGAAATTAAAATTAAATATAAACCTTTGAAATATATGATTTCACCACAAAATATATATTAATAATAATTTACACACACCATAAATATTAATTATTTTGAATTGTGGTGATGAAAAACACAACAATATTTGTTTGTGTGATCTAATTCTATTATTTTTAAATAATTTTTTTTTTATGAAATCTACTAAATCATACAATGATTTAAGAAAAAAAATAATAATAAAAAAAATACAATCTGATCATACATTTGATAGTTTCCAAAAAATTGTTTTGAAAAAATAAAAATATGAGAAAAAAAAAAAAACTAAGATTATAACAACAAAATAAGATATTTTTAAATAATTTTTTTTTTAAATGAAACAAAACAAATCATAGGAGTGAGGTCAGATAGAAAAAATTTGATAGTAACGAAATTTAATCAAACTTACAAAAAAATTGTTTTGGTAAAAAATGAAAAAACTCGGTCCACTAAATCATGTGGGGGAAATGTCTTATGTATTTGAATTCCAAAAAGAAAATAAATCTACCCACATTTATTTAACCCTACAAAAAAATGGTGGTCATATTGTATTAAAATTTATGTTTCTTTATAAAAAAAAATATAATTTTGTTTATAAATGAAATTAAAGATATAGTTCTTTTATTAATATTTGAAGGAGTTGTCTTGTTGACAGTTGTTCACCATTTGGAAGGGTAATTATGTTTTTGTTGTTCAATAGAGTTAATCCAATCTCTTTTATATCTTTATTTTTGTGTAATCTAATTTGATTGCTGCCATGAATAGTTGTTTTTTCATTTTAGTATTGTTCTGGAGTGTAATTGTTTCTTTTGATGACATACACAATGCCAGATTGTAATATCCAATAAAGTTGTGTACATTACTTTGAATCATCTTGGCATATATTTGTTTCTTTGTCAAAGATTCAGTAAAATTAAGCATATTTGCAATATTGTTGTATGAGTTTTAGTATGTTGGATCGAGTGTTCTAAGATAGAGTTGTTTTTTGTTCTTTGATTGTCGATTTGGAAGTGAAATATATTCATTTCCTAGAAGTGTTGATGCAAAGTAAACATATGAATATGGATAACTTGGATTTAATTCTATTGTTTTCATAATAAGCTGTTGCTTTGTCATTGATTGTTCAGTATGAAGTGTGATTGATTCACCATTGGCAAGTGAAATGGCTAGATTTATATATGAATAAAATATTTTGGATATAATTCATATTGATTTCAAGAGTATTTTATTCGATTTAAGGTTACAAGATAGAGCCAGTTTTGTTTTGTTTTTCAACTTAATTTTGTAAAATAAAAGGTAATAGTTTGGGATTTTTAAAAAAGTTTAAAAATATAAAAACAACAAAATATCTAAAAAGATATAAAAGGTAGTAGATAATTTAAAAATAGATAAATAATTATCATTTTAAGAAATAAATCATAAATTTAAGACATATTTGTTCTTTTTTTTTTTTATTTTTTATTAAAATCTTTCTCTTGCAAATCGAAGTAGTTGTCTTCTTGACATTTGTTCACCATTTGGCATAGTAATTTTTTGTTTGTTGTTCAATAGAGTTAATCCAATGTCTCTGAAAATCTTTATTTTTGTTTGATCTAATCTGTTTGCTTCCCAGAAAAGTTGTTGTCTTGTCATTTTCGTATTATTGTGGAGTGTAAATGTTTCTTTTGTCGTCATACACAATGCCAAATTATAATAGCCAATAAAGTAATGTGGTTTGATTTGAATCATCTTGGCGTATATTTGTTTCTGTGTCAATGATTCACCTGATGGGAAAATAACAGATTCGGTATACTTTAGCATATTTGCAATATTGTTGTATGAGTTATAGTGTGTTGGATCGAGTGATATTGTCTTTAGATTGAGTTGTTTTTTGTTCATTGATTGTCCATTTGGAAGTGTAACACTTTCATCTCCCAGAAGTGTTGATGCAAGATATTCATAGAGTAAGTGATTGTTTGGACTTATTTCTAATGCTTTTAAGTAGAGTTGTTGTTTTGTCATTGATTGACCATTATTAAGTGTGATTGATCCACCATCGACAAGCGTAAAGCCTAGATTATGATAATATGTAGATGAACTGGTTGGATTACCCTCTATTGCTTTCAAGTATAGTTGTTGTTTTGTCATTGATTGACCATTATTAAGTGTGATTGATTCTCCTCTGGAAAGAGTTTGCCCAAGGTTATTATATGAATTGGGATTGGTTGGATCACAATCTATTGATTTCAAATATAGTTGTTGTTCTGTCATTATTTGTCCATTATTAAGTGTGATCGTTTCACCATTGGAAAGTGTAGTTGCAAGGTTATTGTATGAACTGGCAAACGACGGATCACATTCAATTGCTTTCAATAACAATTGTTGTTTCGTAAATGATTGACCCGATAGAAGATTAATAGATGAACGCTTCCCATTTATAAGAATTACAGCCAGCTTGAAGTAAGCCATCGCATAAATTGGATCGATATCGATGACTTTCAATAAGAGATGTTCTTTAATCATTGATTCACCTGATGGAAGCACTATTGATTTTTGATTATTATCAAGTGTCATTGCAAGTTGGTATAGAGCCTCTTTATCATTGCAATTGATACCTATTGCACTTAGATATATTTGTTGTTTGTCTTCCATATTTATAAAAATATATAATAAAAAAATAAATAATAAATATATATATATAAAAATATTTAAAAAAAAAACAAAATAATATAATAAGCAACAAACTATTTTACCCCTAACATTTTCATTGTCTTCAAGTTGACGATCAAACGAATAAAAATAAAACGAAAAATCATGATTTTTTTATCTTTGTTTTCTGAGAAAATAAAAGGCGGGTTTTTTAAATGTTTAATTAAATTTGAAGTTTAAAAATATAAAGCTTGGTTGATGGATGGACCATCTTTAATTAGACTCCAACTTGATGGTATTTTAAAGTCGATTGTATTGTTGTTGTTATTGGAGGTCTCTGTTGTTAACTCTGTATATTGTACTACGTGATTGGACATAACGATGGCATCTTGTGTGTTGTCACCCTCCGAACAGAAGAGTATGAATGCAACCATTGCAATACCCTTGCTATTCTCCTGAGTTGCGAGTGTCATCAATCTTCTTCCAAGTCCGGTGAGTCTATCACTGAGCTCGATGAGATCGCCATCGATAACAACCGATCTCTCCATGGGTGGTACACCACATTGTTTCTCTATTCTATCTACAATAAATTGATTGTCACCAACAGCATCCGATGCTACATATCTAATCTGAGTTCTATATATTCCAAAAACAAACAACAATAAGATAATTAATACTAAAAACTAATAACTATTCATTAATATTAATAATATGCTAACATACCCAAATAATTGAGTATCAATTCTTTTGTTGGCATTGGTACTGGCCAGGAATAAGAGCTGTGAGAATCCCGATTGTTTAATCCATTGGTTGAGTTTTTCGGCGAATCGGTTGATGTGACCGGCAATAATGGGTGAACGTTGCTGTACGATTGTAATGGTTGTGTTTTGTCTGTTTGTGAACTGATATACCTCGACGGCAGTAGAGAGTACACCCTTACCAGCTGGTGTAAGTGTATCATTTCCTGCCAATGGTACAATATCTTCATCGTGTATATATCCAACCTTTTTGAATCCAAATGTATTCAATATTAAATCTATAGATAATTGACCAACATTTCCCAACGTCAGAGCAGGCTATTGTTAAACAATTAAGTTGTTTAATATTAAATATCAATGACTGTGTGTACATCTATTTAAATATAAAAAGGTAGAGTAGAACCAAAACAAAAACACTTACCCATATTAAAATACTATTTTGAAAACTAACTGAAGATTGTGTTGAATCTTTACAGGGATAAAAGAATTCCATTTTTATTTAAAAAAATATTATGTATTATATATAAATGTACAATGATAAATGATTATTTAATGAACTTTAAAAAAAAAATATAAAGGTTTAGTGATCATCAATATGTTTAAATTAAAAAAGGAAATTGAATAAAAATGATTTTTTTTTTTTTTGGCTTTTTTTTATTTTTTATTTTTTAAAAGATTTGTTATGATGATCATGTTGTGTATTTAACATGGTATTGATTGACATTGTTGATCGATTGTTGTTGTTGTTATTTATAATGTTATAAATATTGTGACTATTACCTAGTGATGTGAAAGTGGTGGCCAACGGAGTTGTAATATTGGTTGGTGTGTTGGTTGCCGATGATGACGATGATAAGATTGTGTTTGTCATTGGTATGATTAAATTTGGTGATTGGATTAACCCACTGTTGTAATTGTTGGATAACGACATTACCGATGTCGCTGTTGACATGTTTGGAAGTGGAAGTGGAAGTGTAAGTGTAAGTGTTAGTGGTTGAATGGTTGGTGTTGTTGTTGCTGAGCTTGGTTGTGTCATCATCGATGTTGTTGTTGTTGTTGCTGAGAAAACACTGTTGTTGTTGTTGTTGTTGTATCTTGGCAGATGAATCAGATGTGAATATTTTAGTTTTCTTAATTTGTTTGATTCCTTAAAGATGCGGATGATCCACCTCGAGGTATTCAGACTCTTTTCGAGTCTGCAGCGCTTCATAAGGAAGGTCTGCTCGACAATCTCTAGAGTGGAGGTGTTCCTGTTGTTTTTGTAGGTGCGAGTATCGACATTGTCGAGATTGTCATCCTCGCATATCTTCATGAATTCACCGACCACTTTCGAGTAGCAACTCTCCTTTGGATTTCTCTGGAGATACTCTTTCAACTCTCGGAATTTTCGCTCGAGGTGTTTCATCTCGTTTTGTTTCTCCAGTTGAAACAGCTCGATCGTCTCGATCTCCTGGTCGATGTGAACAACATACTGCGAGAGACCCTTCTGGAACTCGGCGAGCGATGTCTTCTCATAGCGAATGTCGTCCATTCTGATGTTGGTAAATAGCAGAGCACGGTGATATTTCTGATAGACTTCTGGTGTGTCGCGCATATACTCGCGGTACGACAACAGCTGAACGTTCTCCTTGACATACTGGTAGAATGGATCGTGGCCGGCTTCGTCCTCCAACGAGAATCGCTCCATCACCTCGAGAACGGCGACTGAGAGCGCCAGAGCATGTTCATTTCCAAGGTCGTCCAACACACCGTATTTGTACATAAACGCTTCGAATTTCTTTGGATCGTGGATGGTAAACCAGAGTTCGCCGAGTACGGATTGTGCACGTTGCGGATACCACTCGTCGATTTCGCTGGCCGGATAGCCAATAACCAGCTTACAGGCATTGATGGTGCAACGATAGTAAAAGTCGGCACCGATAAACCAGTCGGGCATCAGAGCGATCGACATCTTTAGAATGCCAATCGATTCTTTCAAGACTTTTTCCAGGCGTTTTCTACTTTCGTCCTGACGTTTCTTGTCCTTTTGGAGGAGTTCACGCAGCAGAATTTCAACAACCAGACGCATAGAGCGAGACAACTGGAAATGTAGTGGTTCGTCCATAGTGATACGTTTGGCAATCTTATTCATGCGATCCAAATGAATTTCATTTAAACCACTTGGAATTCTTTGTTGCATCCAAGATTCACCCAATTTCGAATATAAATACACTAATCCAGCAAAAACACCATTTCTATCAAACTCACTTGTATTATTATTATTATTACTACAAGCCAGATTATAAACAATTTGAATAGTTTCAATATGATTCATATTTATTATTATTTTCCGAAAAAAAAACAAACAAACAAATTATTATTATTATTATTTTTAAAATTTTAATAGTACAAATAAAAATAATTTTAGTTATGATTTATATTGGTATAATTAGTTGATAAGATACGATGTATTTGCAAAAATAAAAAATGATTATTGTTGATTTATATATATTTAGAAAGAAGAAGGTACAAGTTATTGATTATTAATTAATAGTTTATTTTTAAACTAAAAATCAATATTTATGTAACTCGACCTTCTAACATGTCTGTTATCATTTTGGGGAATTCCATCTTGCTTAAACTAAAAGAAATATTATTTGTTAATTTTATGTTATTCAAAATTGGAATATTCAAATATTTGAATGTTTGAATGAAAAATAACAGAACAAAATTTGGTTTTTTATAAAAACACAAATGATCATCACCACAACTTTGAATTTTTTTTTGTTTTTCAATGAAGCTTCCAAAAAATAGTAGAAAAATTTGATGACCAGATTCTTGTTTTTTTTTACAACAAGACAAAAAAAAAATTGAATTTTATTTCTTTTTTTATTTTTTTTTATTTTTTTTTTTTTGGGCGGGGTATTCAAAATAGACCCAGATTTATTTCATGAGTATTTTAACTAATTGGATGACCTGGCTTCTCCTGAGTTTCAATCAGTCTCTTTAGAAGATATTTAACTTCCGATGATTCATTTAGATAGAAATTCTCTTTGCTACTCTTCTTTCCTACTGAGACTGTAAATTGTTTACCATCGATCTGTGGCAGTTCGTTGGGATGAATATGTGTGTCGCCAATCAACAGCACAAAGTCCAAACCCTTTGGAATGGAATCGAGAATGACGCGACGCAGCGAAGTCGTTGGATTGATATTGTAGGAACGAACACCGAGTGTCTTGTCGCCAACGATTACATCGAGTGGCAAGTTATCGAGATGAAGATGTAGTTCACGGGCCTGAATCGATCCAAACACTGGATCGGCGTTTCTATAGTGCCAAGTGAAGAGCATCTCCTTCTCCTCAAAGAACGAACCCGGTGTTCTCAGAGCAAAGTACTTGAAGAGCGGACGAATCGTCTCCTTCCAGCTACTGTCCATCGAAGGACACATCTGCTCCCACTCTGGCGAGTCTGGATTCTTGGTGAAACAGCCAAACTCTGCAGAGAGACCGATCTTCAAGCCGTCGAACCACTCACCCAGTGTCTTCTTGTCACGTCCACTCAGCAGGAAGATCTCGTTGTTCGGGTCGTTCGAGAGGTTGCGCATGATGTCCAGCAAGTCGTCGGACGGCTTACACAACGACGGTATATTAGAGTAGGGAATGAGAGTTCCATCGTAGGCAAACACCAACAATCGCTTTGAACTGGTGCGATAGGCTTCAACAACCTTATCGATATTCAACTTTGGCACCGAAGTAATTTGGGCGGCCTGATAACTAGCTTTGTAAAGTTCACGAACGAATCCATTTCCCCAGTGAGCAGCAGTGTGTTTAATGATGAAATTGAAGAGCATATTATGTTTCTCTTCTCTCTCTTCCTCAGACATCAACAATGCACTATTAATTGAATCTGCAACATCCTCTGTATTCCACGGATTAATCATCACCGCACCACTAAGTGATTGAGCAGCCTGTAGCATTTTTTAAAGTTAGTATTTCTATTAAAAACATCAAACTAAATGGTTTGTTAATATTATTGTTACTTACACCTGTAAATTCACTAAGAATTAGAACACCTTTCTTCTCGGATTGACAAGAAATGAATTCTTGTGCAACCAAGTTCATACCATCTCTTATTGATGTGATTAGACATGCATCAGAGATATTGTAGAGTGCAGTCAATTCAACGGAATCAACCGATTGGAAAAGATAGTGAATAGGACTTTCACCAAGAGAACCATATAATCCATTGATTCTACCGACTAGTTCTTCAACATCTTTCTTTAATCTTTGATATTCCTCAACATCTTGTCTTGATGGAACTGCAACCTAAACAAAAAATAAAACATATTAGTAAGTTTAAAACTTGCTAACAACATTCATATAATCAATGATGACACTTACTTGAATTAATACAATTTTACCTTTCCACTCAGGATATTTTTGGAATAATCTTTCCATTGCTTGTAGTTTCTGTGGAAGTCCTTTGATGTAGTCGAGACGATCGATTCCAATGATTACCTTCATGCCTTCGAACGATTTCTTGAGTGCAGCTATTCTGTTTTGTACTTGATCTTGCTTGAGAAGATCAAAGAATTTGTCTGGATCTATACCGACTGGGAAGACACCGACCGGAATGAACTTGTCGTTGACATACACTCCGTTCGGAGCTGTCTCCAATCCTAGGATTCTGGTGCACGCCTTCAGGAAATGTCTGGCATAATCATAGGTGTGGAATCCAATGAGATTCGAATTGAGAACGCCCATCAATATCTCCTTGCGACACGGCAGCACACGGAAGATCTCTGACGAAGGGAATGGAATGTGCAGGAAGAATCCAATGCGAGCGTCGACCTGCTTCTTCTTGATGTACTCTGGTAGCAGCATCAAGTGATAGTCGTGCACCCATATCAAATCGTCGCTGCCCATAATGGAGAGCACGACGTTGGCAAACTCCTGGTTCGCCTCCACATAGGAGTCCCAGAGTCTGTCGTCATAATCGAGGTCACCCGGCAAATAGTGGAACAACGGCCACAACACGCCATTCGAGAATCCATTGTAGTGGTCATTTGCAAGTTTCTCAGAGAGAAACACTGGAATACAGTTGTGCTTTTCCATCAGCAATTTCTTCACGTATTCGCGATCCTCAGGGTCGATCTCTGTTCCTATCCATCCGACCCACAGAAAACTCGTAGACTTTAGTCCAGAGAGCGCTGCCACCAGACCGCCAGAACTCATCTTACTCGTCCATTGTCCATTCTCCTCCTTTTTCAGCGAAACTGGCAATCTATTTGAAATAACAATTAATCTTCCCTCAAAATTACTATCGGGAGATAATGATCCAGATGCATGTAACATAATTTATTATTATTATTTGGAAAATATAAAAATGAATGAGTGAATGAATGTTGGAAATAATATTTAAAAAATAAAAAAGATATTAATATTATTATTTGATTTGGTTAAAAAAAAAGATAATGTTGATAATTAAATTATTCATTAAATAAAAATTAATTTAGATAATATATATTTATAATTTAAAATATCAATAGCTAACTAAACTAACTAAACTAACTAAAACTAAACTTCTAAATTTGTATTTTCTTTTCTTTCAAGAGTAACAAAAATAAATGAATGAAAGATGATGAATATTATTATTTTTGAATTTACAAAACAAACTAATTGATTATAGATAAAAATAACATAAAAAATAATGAATTATCTCTTTTTTTGTTAATTTAAACAATCAAATTAGTATTCATATAAAAATAATAATTATAATATGTTATTTTTTACTATTTTTTTGTGGTATGAATTAAAATAAATATACTTTTATTATTATAAATGTGTTATGAATTTATTTTCTTGGTGTGTGTGTTTTTTTTTTTGATGTTGTTATATAATGTGGTTATTGCAATGTAATATAATGTAAATGAAAAATAATGCAAAATAATAAATATAAGAAATGAAAAGAAAAGAACCTTACTAAAAAAAAAAAAAAAACAGATTAATTATATTTTTATTTTATTTATTACTTTTTTTTGTTTTTATAATAAACAAGTAGTTAAGATGTTGTTTTTACTTGATCTAAAAATGAGATCATCATAAATGATGGTCCATCGTCAATCATGCATTGATTCTTACTGATGAAAAACTAAAAAAGGGAAAAAAAAAAAAAAAAACAAGAATTTAAATTAAATTTTTACCAAATTATGATAATAATTAAAAATCATTATCCTTTTTTGTAATTAGGATTGATCAAAAATAAACACTTTTAACAATTAAAAATTTTTTGCAAAGAAAAATAAAATTTTTTCGGACCAACCAAATATTAAAAAAAATAAAAAAAATCTGAAAAATGAACACTTTAATTTTTTTGTTTCATTTTAATTTAATTTAATTTAATTATATATATCTAAAAATATAATAAATAATTTAAATTTATTTAAGAATATATATATTTTTATCTTTTTTTTATTTAGTTTTTAATATATTTTTAATAATAAATAGAATTTAGATATGATGATGACAGATAATAATAATAAACCATTTCAATTACCAATGATATTGGTTACCAAGATTCTATATTATTGTGTAAAGGACAATGTTGATCAACATTTCAATCAGTCGTTTCATTTGACGCGGATGTTTAAGCTGATCAGTAGGAAAATAAATGATGCGATCGTTCATCGATTCCCGGTGAGACTGGCACCAAGTTCGTCGATGACATTCGACATTGCAGACTTTGAGAGATTCCACTCGAATTTTCAGTGTATCACTTCGTTGTCGATGGGCAGAGAACACAGCCAGTGTGTAGAGGCAATCGCCACACTCCTGGCAAACCAACCCGCCAGCTTTGCAGCACTGCAGAGTCTCAATCTATTTTATAGTCAACCGTCTATAGTCTTGGGACTGACGCGTCAAGCTCTCAAGCATTGTCCGAACTTGCGGGTTCTCCAGCTGCCGAGTTGCTCGCTGGATCGCGCGCATCTCACCGCGCTCTCAGAGGCACTGGTCGACAGCAGCCTCTACTACTTGAATCTCTCATCGAACAATCACAACAGCATCTACGAGGATCTTGGCGAGCTGCAACAAGACGACACCACCACCAACGACCAACAGCAAATCGAATTTGACGCCGAGTTTTTCGGTAATATGCCGTCGGCGACTCTCCGCATTTTGGACTTGGGATCGTGTCGTCTGACGGAGATGAGTATAAAGAATCTGGTGGAATCGGCGGTGATTAGACATCTGACGTCGCTGGTACTGTCGTACAACATGATAGGCGAGGAATCGCAGCAGCTGATTGCTGGCGCGTTGTCGCGCGAAGACGTCGCACTCGAGTATCTCTATCTCGACTACTGCGGATTGGGGTCTGGCGTCATAACACTCGGTCAACATCTCCTCGAGAATCGATCGCTCAAATACATCTCTCTGGAATTCAACAACATCCGACAACCGGTAGGCGAGCAATTCCTCCAGCTACTGGATCGTTCGTTCCTGACGAAAGCAGGCACACCCATAAAAATCAACTCCGATATGAATCACTGGCAACTCTTGGATAACAAATACCGACGTAACGACAATGAACTATCGATCATAGATATAATGAAATATGATTTATCATTAAAAGATATATTATTAAGTTAATAATGTAAAGATAATGAGATTATAATAATTATAAACATATTCAACAACAACAACAACAACAACCAATATAACAATATTATTAATAAGTTAATTTAAACTAGTTAAATTAACAACAACAATAATACCAACAATTAATTAAATAGCATTAAACAATAACAAATCAATCAATAAATAATATATATGTGTAATATTGATTTTTATTTTTGATGATCAAATTATTATATATGAATACCTAATCTTTTATGTATCTCTTCTTGTATTCTTGTTAGATATCTAAGATAAATAGTTTTGCCGAGTGCATCTTTGTAGTTTTGTTTTTGAAATAGGTTTACCAGTTCTTCTTCGCAGTGATTCATCTTGGCACGGTTATCATGCGCAATCTCCTTTAGTTTATCTTCGTTGTCAGTCTCTTCTATCTCCTCACGTACCTCTAAGATCTCTGACAATACCTCTGGATCTACATCGCTAACACCATTCAAATCGTAACCCTTTTCATTCAGAATGAATTCTGCACGCAAGAATGGTGATTTCAAAATATTATATGCTGAATTGATCAATGTAGATTGATCTTTCGATAATGATTGTTCTGTCTAGACAATTACAAAACAAATAGCGAAATAATATCATGATATTAGTAACTTTTGTCACAATCATTCTATTTATATGTTAAGAAATTACTTACCTCTGTAGATTGTTGAAATAGATCTGGATGTAACTTCTTTTGTAATTGTTTAAATCTATGTGATAAATCCTTTTGATCTACACGGTAGGATGGTTCACTTTTAAAAGATTATAAATATGTGTTTTGTTAGTGTTAAATTATGATGTATTTTTTTTAATATAACTTGTTTTAACTATATAGCTACTTACAGTGAGAATACTTCGAATACATTGAATCTTTGTTGAGGTGTTTGCACTACGTTACATAATGGACAAAAGAATTCTCTTGCCAACACAGACTTCTTACATTTCCAACAAGATTTCTCATTGTGTTGATGTTGGTGATGTTGACTACTACTACCTGTAGAATAACTCTTTATATTTACATTATTACAACTAATAAAACTTGCATTCTTAGTAATATTATTATTATTATTATTATTATTATTAAAGTTAACAAATAATCTATTATTATTATTAGAAGTATTGTTTATGTTATTTTTATTATTATTGTTCTGACTTTTAATAGTAAATAATATACTATTACTACTATTCGATATTTTCCTTATTTTGTTATTGTTATTTATTATTAATTTGAACATGGCTGATTACTTTAAATATATAAACAAGTTGAATCAACAACAATGGTTATTCTTATTCAATGAACTCATTCAAAGCGAAACTTCATTATCCCAATGAAATTATAAAAAATCTAATACCAAAAAAATTTTATATTAATTAATTAAATTTTTTAAAAGTGAAGATTTTATTGTTATTGTCATGTTCTTCGAATTCGAATAGAACATTTCCTTTTGCATCATCATTATTATATCACTATATAAAAGTATAATAATAGTACTTTATTAAGTAAAATAAACAACGTAAGATATACATGTAAATGTTTAACATTTATTTATTATTATTGTTTTTATTAAATTACTTTTTAAAGTAAATTCCACAGATGACTATTTAATTACAATTATTATTATTATTATTATTTATTATTCATTATTTACTATCTAAATATCTTTTCTAAAATATAAAATGATATTATTACTGATAGTACGTATATAAGCATTTGTATTCTAATAGATTGAATCGATGTTTTTGAGATTGAATTTGAGGTGAACCAAGATGAATCTTCCCATGGTACCGTCAGTGTTGTGCTATTTGAAGAAGCTGTGTTGTTACCACCTGTAGTTGCTGTTGCTGTAGCTGTACCTGTAGCTGTAGTTATATTTGGTTTAATATTGGTTGTGGTTGTGGTTGGCATACTACTGATACCACTGCTGCTGCTTATTGTTGTTCTAATTCCAACAGTGGTGGTAGATGCAGTGATGGTAGGTGGAGTTGTTCCTCTTGTTGTACTGGAGAGTGTCATAGATACACTACTGGTTGGAGGTGCTGGTGTCTCAGTTGTCTTGGCAATCAATGTGATTAGTGTAGACAGTAATCCAGTGGACCAAATGGCTGTTGTTGGTGTCGGATCCCAATTGGAAGTGGTTGTTACCGTAGTAATTGGAAAACCAATAGTTGAACCTGTACTTGTAGATGAACCTCCTGAACTTGTGCTACTTAAACCAGTTATACTATTTGTATTGGAAGTTGTTGTTGAACTACTACTTGTAGTGAATTGAATATTTGTTGTTGAAGATGTTGATGTCGATGTAGATGATGCTACAGTTTGACTATTACTGTTTGAAAGAGTATTGGAATTAGTATTAATTATTGTTGTTGAAGTTGATGGGGAAGATGAGGATGATGTTGTTAGTGGTGTTATCGAAGTTGTCAAAGTGGACGTTGATATAAAATTTATTGTCGATTGTGTAAAAGACAAATTACAACATATTGAAAGTAAAATAAAAATAATGAAGAATAGATTTTTATTCAACATTTTTCAAGAAATAATTATTTATTTTATTCTATTATTATTGTAATATATTTTTTGATATTTTTTAATTGGATAGATTATACAAATTTATATCTATCCATTTTTTATTGTTTTTTTGTTTCTGTTTATTTTTAGATTTTACTTACAAATTGGTTGAGTCAGTAAGTCAATATGTTTAAACTTGAACAAATTAATGATACAAATAAACAAAAATAATACAAGTAAATCAAAAGTTTAAATGAAAATGAAAGAAATATTCAAAATGTAAAGCATAAACTTAAATAATACGATTGTAAATATTTTTTTATTTTAATTAATTAATTATTAATTGTAACTACCTCTTTTTTCATTTTTTAATTTATGATTTTTTAAAAAAAAGATAAAATAGGAAAATTGACAGTTTTAAATTTGATGATGCAAACTTTTGACTTTTTTTTTTTTCAACCCCGAATCATATTAACATGTAATATGTGTTCAATGAAATTTTTATTATCAAAAATAGATAAGCTGTTTAATTTATTAATTTATTTAAATATAAAGTAGTATTAAAAAAATGATTGAAAATGATAGAATTAAAGGTGGATAGTTGATTGATGAAGATGATTTAAAATCGAATGCAAATGATATTGATGATCCAATGTTTCCACTAATCTCCACACCAACTGTACTCTTGTCATCCTTCGAAGATGCTGAACTATCGTTTTTAGTGCTATCTATTATTTCGGTATTTTTTGAAACAGCATAAGAGAAAGGTTCTCCTAAAGCAGAATCATTGTTCGGACTATCTTCACTTGAACAACTTTGGCAATATATACATAATACTATTATTACAATAATTAAGACTTTAAATATTTTATACATTTCTAAATATATAAATATATTAACATAAATATTACAATCATAAATAATTTATTAACATTATTGTCATCTTCAAAAATAATAAATAAATAAATATTTATAAAAAAAACTAAATTATTAAATTTTCTTTTTGTTTTTTTTTTGTTTTTTTTTCAGATTGTAAATTTTTTATCACTACATTTTTTAAAAACACATTAAAGTGAACTGATATGGAAATATATCTTTCATCAAAAAGTAGATAGATAGGTCTGAAACAATTTATTAATAAAAAATTATTGATTATGAAAATAAAATAAATTAAATATTTGTATTTTTCATTTGAAATTTAAATATTTTTTATAAACAAATATTTCTTCCTCTATTCTTCTAATATCAACTCTAACACTTGATTCTTATTTAATAGTGGCAACTAGACAATTTTCGGAGCATGATTTCAAAAAAAATATAATCTAGATACAGAAAATATTTATATGGGGTATTTTGAAATAGTCTATATAAATGTACATCTATCCTTACATTTCGACGATCCTGTCAAGTTGCAATCATTAAAAAAGATTCAAGTTCAATTTGATGGAAAAATAAAGAGAAAGAAGAAGTTAACCTGTATATCCCTATTTCAAATAAAAAATAAAAAAAATAAAAAATAAAAAATAAAAAATTCATTAATTAAAAAATAAAAATTGCTTTAATAGGAATATTTTTTTTGCAAAAGTTCAATCTTATTAGTTTTTTACTAAAATTTATTTGAAAATGAAAAAGAAAATGAAGTTAAGTTGTTCATGAAAACATAAGAATAACAATTTTGTTTAAACTTTAAAATTTATCATTTTTATTCAACAATTTTATTTAATTTAAATATATATATATTAAAGATGTTATATTATGTATTACAACATATATTGAAATATCTAGATAATGTAGATAGAATATGTATAACACTATTATGCAGACAGTGGTATCAAGATAGATCGAAATATCTGTTGTTCGATACGAACTTGTTGTCTGCAAAGAATCGTGAATTCTACGAAAAAGATTCTACATCGTTTAAACTACATTCATATAGAGATCAAGTTTTCAAATCGTTTCAATTAAAAGAAGAAAAAGGACAACTTACCATTTCAGAAAGAGGTATAGTAAAGAAGTTTTAGATATCTAAAACATATTCATTCATTCATTCATTGTCGTAAAACTATTTACTAACTTTTTTTAAATAAATATATAATTAAGAATCATTGGGTGAAAGATCTATAACTACAAAACATATAATTATAAATACAGATAATATAAATCATACCAGTGAATTACCGGAGGATGTAGATCATTGGGAGTTTGCAAAGAAGTTCAATAGTGTGTTGCAACGTGGTCAGATTAGAGAGGGTGTTAGACGTTTGACTTTCGGAAGAAACTTTAATCAGACGATAGAATCTGGTGTGATACCGCAGTCTGTCGAGTTCATAGAGTTTGGCTATGATTTCAATAGAGCGTTGGACACTGTCGGTTTACCACATAACCTAAAGACATTGGTACTGGGCAAGAGTTTCAATCAATTGATAAAACCAGGTTCTTTACCATCGTCTCTGGAGTCACTTACTTTCGGCGAGAGTTTCAACCAACCTTTGCAACAAGGTGTCTTACCAGCCGGTTTGAAATATCTATCGCTTGGATTCAGTTTCAATAGAAACGTTGAACAAACTCTATCGTTGTTCTCAAATAGCCCATCGCCGTCATCTTTGGAGACATTGAAGTTTGGCAATCATTTCAATCAACCGTTGGCCGATGGCGTAATACCAAAGAGTGTTAAACACTTGGAACTTGGATGGAATTACAATAATGAACAACTGGTTATTCCCGATACAGTTGAATCGATCTATATCAACGGTAGTTACTTCTTGGAGAGTAAGAGATATCTTCAGTTCCCAAAGAGTGCAGCTTTGACAGTCAATCTTTTCTATCATGATTTCCAGATACGTAAATTCAACGAATCGACCGTACTTGTCTTAACTGAATCGTTGGAAGGTGGATTCTTACGTGCTAGTCAAATTGAAAACATTGAAAAGATTTACAAATCAATGGTAGGTGTTGGTTTAGCTGCCAATTAAATAGTTAGTTTATTAGTTAATAATAATTAAACAACAACAACTCACTTGTAAATAAACTTTTAAAAAAATAAGAATTTTTATTGATATAATTTGATTTTGTTTGGTTTGCAAACTTTTTCTTTACTTTTCTTCTTCCATTTCTTTTCTTTTCTGCTCAAGAAGATTTAAATACCTTTAATTAAAAGATTTCTGTTGGATAGAGATACACAGATTCCAAAGACTGAAGATACTAACAAACCAAAATGACAAGCATGTCCAAAACATAGATGGATACATTTCTATAAACAGAAATTAAAGAATAAACATAGTTTTTGTTATGGTTAATAACAATGAATAATAGTTTGTTTTTAATCTATATATTATTACATACCATCCACTTGCAATCCTTTTCTTTATCACAGAAGTTTTTACATGATCCAAACATTCTAGAGAGTACCCAACCACTACCCAAAATCAGTGCAGTCTTTGGACAGGTAAAGTATGAGCAGAGATAGGTGGTACATATGACTGGTGCCAAACCTTCTGCGGTATGTTGGTAACTAACCAAAGTTCTCTCTAAATCTTCATCACCAGTAACAGCAGGAGCTGGAATCTTTAAAAAAAATAAAAAAATTAATTAAAAATGCATATGTTTTTTTCTAAAATAGTAGTTTCTTACATTTGCTTTCTCTCTTGCTTTTTTAACACAGAATGCCTGAATGTGCCACCTTGAATTATATGATGATTTATTTAATTGTTAACAATAACAAAGAGTAATTATAGATCTATAGAATTTTGAATCTAAAAAAAAATAATTTAAACTACATACATTGATACAGCACCTGCAGCGACTATACTTGGGAAGACATGTCTATCCGGTAAAACCCAATTCAAAGGATTATTCATTTCTTTTGTTTTTAATTATACTTAATGAATATAATAATAAAAATGGATAAGTAAAATAATTATTAATTTAATTGTTGTAAAAGATATGATTATTTTGTTGTTTTTATTTATTAAATAAAATAAAAGAAAATAAATTAAATAATTTGTTCATCATTTCATTACTTTTGTTATAAAAAGGAGGTAAATCATAGAGAGTGTGGGTGACTATAAATTTAACACATGTGAAGTTAAAATAAAAACAATGAACATCACTAATAGATATAAAGAGGGGTTGATTTAGAGTAATAATCTTAATCAACTAATATGGTGGTGATAATAATTTGGTAATAATACTATTATTAAATATTTTTATTATTATTATTATTAGTATGATTATTACCAATCATAATGACAAGTTTAGTTGATTATTTACAAATACATAATAAGTTGACATTTTGAATTTTATTTTGAACATTTATACACCATTAAACAAAAGGCAAAGATATTGTCTGTTTTTATATCCTTGAAATTGATAATGATTGAGATTTGAATTCTATTTGTGGTCTGTTATCAATGTTAAATATATTATCGATATTGTATTTAGTTTCCAATTTGATTCTGTACTTGACAAGTCTACTCCATTGTGGTCCGAGAAAATCGTTTTTAGGTAAAGGTGGTTTGGTAATTTGATGATTGTTATTGTTGTTAAAGTTGGGTGTTGTATTTGTACCTTCTTTAAATATCGATTGTTTAATACCTATTACTGTAAGTTGGTATTGGCTAATGATCTGGTGGAATAGATCGAGACCGACCAACTGACCGAGTCGACTACCCAGCGATTCACCTTGTTTGTCGAGCCAGTAGAATGAAGAAACACTATCGATTACTACTAGCTGGATTTCACGCTTTGCCGAACCGTCTCTAACTTCTTTGCCAACCGATTTTATCAGATGAGGTAGAGCATTCAACGTCGATATAAACTGTACACTATCTTTACATTTGTATATATATAATCTTGACAGACATTCGTTGAATAGCTTTTCAAATAATATATAACAGGCTGATGACGATGATGAACTATCATTGATATCTAATTGTTGAATGAATAATTCATCGGGTGTTGACGATGAATCTTTATCTTTTTGTAATTTGATCTTCTCTGCTATTTGATGTTGTTTGTTTGTTAGACAATGATTGAACTTCAAAAGAATGATACTACGTAGTCTTTCAAGGTCAAACTTGTAATCATTATCAAAGTAAACAACACCTATTTCATTGCCACCAAATACCAATTCACTTGAGTTACTATTACTCTCATAGATTGGCCAATTGTTTGGAAGTATAGATTGTACTACAATGTGAAGTGCACACTCTGATTTACCAGTTCCACTACTACCATTAATTTCAATTACACCACCTCTTTTATATATTATATTATTATTACTATTATTACTATTATTACTATTATTGTTATTAAAATTATTATTAATATTTAGTTTATTAAATGTTTGTTGCTGTTGTTGTTGTTGTAAAGTTTGATTGATTACGATTAAAGGGTTGTTTTCAATAAAAGTATCAACTTGATCAACACCCAACTTTAAATTAGGTTTAGTAATTCTTTTATAAAATACCTGATAAGCTGTGTCGTCAAAACTATTTATATCCATCTTTCAATTTTCTTATTTCTTTTTTAAATACAATGTCAAATAATGATTATCATACAATATCAATCATAGGCAAAAAAAAAAAAAAAGTTAAATCTCAATTTCTTAGAAAGTTTGAATCATTCGAATTGTTGTTCATTTTTTTTTTTTTTTAATAGAGATAGATAATTATGTAAATTTACTAAAAATAATCAATATTTTTTATTTAAATTGTTTTGATTGTAATTACACTAAAGAGTAGTAGTATTCACAACAATTAATTGATATATGATATTTTAATGTAAGTTATAGTAACCAGTTTCAGTACGTGACTTGAAGAGTTGAGCAACCTTTTCATTTTTGATGTGGCTGGCAACTTGACGTGCTTTAATCTCCAATGAATTGTCTGGTTGGTGGGTGGCTTCGTCGGCGTGTGGGAATGGTTGTGGTGGACGGTATAACAAGCTACGGTTGGTGACGAATCCGATCTCGTCCAACTCCTTTTGGATTCTCTCGATGGCCTTTGCCGATCTGTCTTCGTTCTTCTCCCACTCTTCGAATTCGATCTTACCGTCGGCAAGCTTCTGGGCGTTTTGCACTTGAGTGGACTTCAAGATGTTGAGGGTCTTTGACTTGATGATGGCAGTGTTGAACTTGTCCATTCTCTTGATGTCGTCGATCGACAACATGGTCTTGTAGTAGTAGGCGGTGGTGATGGCAGTTTCATTTCCAAAGAATTGCTCGTCCTTCAAGGAGACAGAGGAGTTGCTGATGAATACAAAGAGACCTGGAACCAATCTGTTCATCAAGAATGAGTAGGAGGTGGTCGAAGATGAGCTGGTCTTGGCACTGTCACAGACGGCACCGACGAGGTCGACGTACGAGCTGATGACATCGTCAGCCAACAAAATGTTTCCACCACTGGCTTTGGCGGTTGTGGCGGCGGCCTTCAATGCGAGGGTAACAATATTCTTGATATTATCCATGTGGAATTCACTGGCATATTCAGTTTGGACTTCCTTGTTCTCAGTGAGCAACAATTGATCTCTGATACCGGACTTATTCATGCTGTCGAGGATTTCTTGTTCGAATCTGGCCTTCATCGATCCCTCTTGCTTGTCGACGGCTTCTCTTAACTTGTTAATGGCCTCTGCGGCTGCTCTGGAGTTGTCACTAACTGCTTTTCATTGAATAAACCATGAATTAATAAAATTGGAACATAATAAAAATTGTTATTGAATGGTTAAACTTACCTCTTGATACTGATGCACTTTGACCCATTTTATTTATTTAATAGTTTAAATTACAGATAGATATAAAGAAATCTTTAGAATTGAACTTGTTTGAATGAAATTTAGACTGACTGGATCCAGCTATAAATACTTTTTTAATTCTTTTTGGGCAATGAGGAAAGATATTTTAAATCATGATTTGTTGTTGGTTTAATTTTGATTGTACATTTTGGTTATTTTCATTGATTGCTGAAATTGAGGCAACCACCTTTGATTCTTCTGATTGGAAAAGGCAACTGCCTCAATATCATTTACATCTAATCATTTAAGATTTTGCTAATGTTATGAACTTTTGAAATTTAATATTGTTCAATTTACAAAATAAAGATAAAATAATAGATAAAATCATTTACTCTTTCATATAAAGTTAGAAACTATGAAATTTCATTTTAAATTTAATAAAGTGGTTGTAGTTTGACATTAAATTCTGTTTTTTTTGGTAGCAGTTTAAAATGAAATTAGCACTTCAATCAACTAGATTAATAAATCGCCCATTTCTCAAAAAAAACTTTGCAAAGGTGCACCTTTTTGGGAACAGCACTAAGCAGAAAATTAAAAAATAAAATAAATTCCCCCAAAATCAGTTGATAAAAATTTTTATCAAAAATCTGGTTTCTTCATTTTTATTTAGATTTTGATTGATTGTCTGTGAAATTATTTTTTTGTTGTTCTCAGTTTGTTTATTCATGAAATGTTATTATCCACTTTCATTTATTTAAAATCATAAAAATGGGTCAAAGTGTGTCAATTTCCAAAGGTAAATAATAAATTTTTATTTGTTTGAATTTTTTTTTGCATAATTGATCAAATAGACTTGATTTAACTAACTTATTATAATTCCTAGTTGTAAAAGATTCCAGTAAAGCTGGTAAATCCATCCATGATTTAACGGATGTCACTAGCAATAAAATTAAAGAGAAATTTGAATTGGATATTGCCAAAGGTTTATTGGAATCAGGTCTATCTCATCATATGTTAGTTTATGAAGGTAGCTTTAGCCAAATAGAATATGAAACAGAGTCATCTATAGATGAGTTGGGTATCATAGTAACATCAGAGTTGAATAAGATCTCTTTGGCTGCACAATCCAACAAGGTTTTTGGTGAAGAGTTTTATGTAACACCCGATTTAATTCAATCCTATATAGACTTTGTCAGTGCCTTCTACCAATATTCAAAGATAGCCTCCACCTCCGAAAAAGCTTCCTACTCATCCGAATATTCCAGAATAGTAGAGAGTCTCTTTTGTTTTATCTGTTGCTCTTCCGTAGCCATCCAAGATGAAGCTCTCTTTGGAGAAGGAACCGTAATCATCACCACCTATAAAGTTAAAATTATTTATAGTGAAGATGATCTAAAAACATTTGACCTACAAAACATTCAAGAGATGAATAGAGCTACCGCTGACATTCTTAGTAGTTCAAAGAAAACCGAAGATACCAACTATAAACACGGTGATTTTTCTCAAAAAGAATATAAAATAAGACAAAGTAATAGAAATACAGCTTTTAAAGATTTCTCACCTTATTAATAAAAGATTTATAATAATATTTTTTGATTTAAATTTTTTTAATTATTTGAAAAATTAATTAACTTATTTTATTTGTATTAAAATTTAAATATTTATTTTTGATTAAAGTATCCACTTCCTAATCTCTTTTTGAATAGTTCTACTATTTCTGGACTAAGATTAGAATTGGAGAGGGACTCATTTGCTTGATTTTCCAAAGAGATTTCTGGTGGAGAAGTATATATTAGACCTGAATGTGATATTGGAGAGATCAGTTGAGAAACCATTCTGGTTAAACATAATTGATTCAATTCTTTTTGTAATTTTTCTATTGCTTTTGTTGTTCTATCTTCAATTGCATACCATTCTTCTTTTGTAATAACTCCATCAACCAAATTCCTAAGATTTTGAACTTGAACTGATTTCATAATCTCTATTACTTTGGTCTTCATCACAATAGTATTGTTTCTATCTTCTTTCTTAATATCATCGATGCTGACCATGATTTTGTAGAAAAAAGCAGTTGCCACAACTATTTCGGTTCCAAAGAAAAGATCTTCTTTTAATGAAAGAGAGGAACAACCAACACAGACAAAGAAACCAGGTAACACTCGGTTCATTAACAAATCAAAAGATGTACTTCTTGAATAAGCCCTTTTCTTTGAGTAATCATAAAAGTTGGCAACAAGCTCTGCAAAAGAGTTGATAGTTTCTTCTGTTAACTCCAAGTTATCTCCATATGGTGAGCTTGCTGTTTTTAATGATAGAGAAACAATCTTTCTAACAGTTTCATAGTTGTACTCACTTGAAAATTCAATTTTTAAATCCTTATTTGAACTGATTGTCCTTAGATCTTTAGCACCGGTTCCTTTCATTGCAGTCTCAGATTCGTTATCAAATCCTGATTTAAATTCATCGTCATGCATATTCAATCTTTCCCTTAATCTATCTATGGTGAAAGAAGCTTCGGATGATTGATCAACAATAACTATAAAAACAATTAATTAAATCATTAAAGTGTAAATAAATGAAACGAAATGAAATTCATTCAAATCATAATTTTTTTTTTTTCTTACCTGCTTCTATTGATTGACTTTGACCCATTCTATTTTTTTGTTATTTATAAATATTAAAAGTTTGTGCAAAGTTAAAAATATTTTTGTGGAGTGTGGTTGAAAACAAAAAAAATTCCCCCAATAAATTTTATCTGATCATTCCTACGATCCCCATAAAAATTGGTTTCTAAACTGAGATAAATATTTATATTTAAATATATTTGTAACTTCATTTTATTCTACTCCAAAAAAAAGAAAAATTGTAAAACATCTTTTAAAGTCGTATTGCAATATTTTTCTTCACAGTGTAAAATGTTTTTAATTATTTCTAAAATCTTAATTAATATATTCTTTATTTTTTTGATCACTTTTATGAAATCAATGTTTTGTATTTCCAAAATTAATTATCTATTTATTATTTGTTTAAATAAATAAGAACTCCCAAGACCTAAATTTATTAATTTGATTGTATAACACTTCTTTGTGTATAACATAATATGGTGAAAAAATTTTTAAACAAGTAGTGCTATAAATAAAAATTATGTGAACCACTTTCTCCCAGGTTTAGAAAAAAAATGTACCAATATATTCAAGTAGTAAAATAATAAATAAAGTTTATAATAATCTATTTTTCAATTTTTAAATTCAAAATGTCTTTTATAAAATTTTATATTTTTTTTGTTTTTACTTTTTTTTTTTAATTTAATAAATAGTCAAAAAGTTCAGATTTATGTAGATTCAAGCAAATCATATAGTTCAAATTGTGGTAACACTCCACAAACAGCATGTCCAGATATATTGACTGGTTTCACTATTTTTAGAAATCTTTCAAAAACTGATTCTTCTTTGACTCTCAGTTTAGCAGCTGCTACTTACACAGGATCAAATAATAGCTTCATAAATATCAACATTGGTGAAACTGTTTCCATTGTTGGATCATCAACAGATCCAAGTTCTTTTCCCATCATTGATCTTCAATCAAATAGTAGTTTTATAATTATAAACGATAGCGTATCAACCGGAGATTCAACTACAACTCTAAAGATCAGTAATTTAAAGATTATCAATGGAAAGAGTTCAACTCAGAATGGTACTGTTGTCAATGTAAATACCAAATCTACCTCGACAGTAGTAAGCTTGTCAATGAACAATGTTTATTCTGTTTATAACATTGCACTTGGAGATATGGAGGTTCAATTTATTTCCACACAAATAATATCAGTTCATTCGTTACCATAACAAACTCTATATTCCAGAACAACAATGCCAATTACGGATCTGTTTTTCTACACTGATACTCCAGGTGATGTAATGTTTGACAGTTGCCAATTTATAAATATCAATGTTACTATAGATTCCATTTTAGCGATTGAAAATGCTGCTACTAGATTTAAGAATCTTACTTTTACAGACAATCATGCAACTAACTCAATTATCAATCTCGACTCAAATACTGATGGTGTTACATGGATCTATAGTTTAAAGCTACTGAACAACACATTAAGTTCAAATTCTAAAGGTTTTCTCTCGACTTTTAACAACTATATATCAATAGATGAGTCAGATTTCAATTGGAATACAGGTTCTACTGCTATTTTTTTATGAATTTTCAATAGGATCTAATAACAAATTCCTTTTAATTTCCAATAGTAACTTCATACAGAACACTGGAGCTAAAGATGGTGGTGCTATCTACCAAAACGTTTGATCATCGGATATCTCGAATACAACTTTCATTGACAATCAAAGTCTGAATAATGGTGGTGCTTTGTTTTTATCAAATTATTTAGATTCATCATTATTTAACGTTACATTCACAAATAACAAACTGGTTGGTATTGGAAAAGGTAGCTCTATCTATACCAACTCAGCATCAAAGATACTCTCTTTGAATAATGTCTCATTCGATCATTCAAATACCAACTCTTTAATCTATTGTGATTCGACATCAATATACTTAAAGAGTATATATATATATGACAATGCACAACAAGTGATCTCATGTTCTACAATTAACTCTTGTTTGGTACACAGTGATGGTATTCTTGGTGAATATTGTAGCAATGATATAAGTTCTAGTGATGATAAGCCACAACATGGTGTAGTAGTTTTGAATTTAATTCTACAAGCAGCGGCAATAGTTATCAAAATCAACATGACGACGATGACACTAAAAAGTTATCGAGTGGTTCAATTGCAATTATTGTTATTGGAGGAATAGTAGCTATTGGAGCTGTTGTCATAGCTATTCTAATGAAATTTCATAATTTCCCAACATTGAATGGTTGTTTTAATTAAAATAAATTTATAAAAATAAAAAAAATAATTTTAAATACAAATACTAACTATTCAATAATTTTATTTATTTTTGATTAAAGTATCCACTTCCTAATCTCTTTTTGAATAGTTCTACTATTTCTGGACTAAGATTAGAATTGGAGAGTGAGTCATTTGCTTGATTTTCCAAAGAGATTTCTGGTGGAGAAGTATATATAGGACCTGATTCAGTTGTTATTTAATACTGCCACCAAAAACTTTTTTTTTTGAAAAAGAAACAATTTTTTTTGAAAATAATCGACCAGATTAAAATAAACCTCTTGATCAACATTAACAATACTATGACGATATTCAATAATTTTTATATATTTATATTTTTTATTTTATTTTTTAATTTAATTAATTGTAAATCGGTTGAAGTTTATGTAAATTCAAGCAAATCATATAGTATAGATTGTGGTAACACTCCACAAACAGCATGTCCAGATATATTGACTGGTTTGACTGTTTTTAGAAATGGTTCAAACACCAGTGCTACATCTTTGATTCTTAAATTAGCATTAGGTATTTACACAGGATCAAATAATAGCTTCATTAATATCAATATTGGTGAAACTGTTTCAATTGTTGGATCGTCATATTTGTCAGGTGCACCGCGTGCTATCATTGATCTTCAATCAAATAGTACTTTTATATCTATAAACGATGCTGGGTCAATAGGAAATTCAACCACAAGTATATCGATCATTAGATTGGAGATTATCAATGGAAAGAGTTCAACTCAAAATGGTACTGTTGTCAATGTTATTACCACCCAACCCGGAACAATGGTATCCTTAATAATACTCAATGCTCATGTTGTTAATAACAATGCACTTGGAGGATATGGAGGTTCAGTATATTTCCACACAAATAATATCAGATCATACGTTACCTTAAGAGACTGTGCATTTAAGAAAAACACTGCTAAATACGGATCTGTTTTCTATACTGATACTCCTATGTTTGTATCGATTCTATTTTGCCAATTTATGAATAATACTTCAATTTTCGATTCAGTTTTACACCTTGAGCATGCTCATATACAACTTTTATATACCCTATTCACAGACAATCATGCAACCAATTCTATAGTTACATTCAATTTCAAAGCACAATTTACTAGAATCTCTGAATTAAAGTTTTACAACAACACACTAAGTTCAAACTCAAAAGGTTTTATATCTTCTCTAGACCGTATGATATCTTTAGAAAAAGCAGATTTCCAATGGAATACTGGTTCAACTGCTATTTACTTTATATATAGCTTGGGATCATCTGAATCAAGAGACAGTAATAGACTTGTAATTTACGATAGCAATTTCTTTAAAAACACTGGTTCAAAAGATGGTGGAGCTGTATACCAAAGCGGTGGATCATCAGAGATTGCCAGTACAATATTCATCGATAATCAGAGTTTAAATAGTGGTGGAGCGTTGTTTTTATCTAATTATACGGACGCATCTTTGTTTAATGTAACATTCACAAACAATACAGCAGCGATTGGTGGATTAGGTAGCTCTCTCTATACCGATTGTGGATCAAAGAACTTAACTTTGAAAAGAGTCTCATTTGAAAGTTCCTATTCCAACTCTCCAGCAATTAATGGTGAATTGACACCAAATAACGAACCTAAGAACATAAAGTATGAAACACCATCTTCGATAATGAATTCTCTTGTTTGGTATACAGCCATAGTATTATTGATAAGCAATATGACTTTTTTGATTAATTTTTATTATAAAAAGTACAAAAATATGCCCCAACACATAATATATCATGCTGAATAAATAAATACAAATAATAAATAAATTTAAAAAAAAAGTTTAAATTATTTTTCGTAAAAAAAAAAAGTTGATAAATCATTTGAAGTAGTCTTTACGTATTATTATGGATATCCTTTTCAGTCATCAATATTTTCAATTGGGAGTTAAAAAAAAAAATTGGAGTCAATTAAAAACGTGACAAAAAATTTATATGACCACACTTAAATTTGATCGTAAAAACAAATTTCAAAATTTGTCTGAATGCTGTTGGCAGCAACATTTTTACCACGTTTTTTGAAATTTTTCAAAAAGGTCGTCTGCGTGACTGAGAAAGATATTAAGAACAAAACACCTATGATCTTACGCAGGTATCTAATTGTAAGTTTAAACGACATACACCCACATAATTACATATCTCTGTCTATCATTGGATTCTATCATCTTAAATACTTGATAATTATCTCTAAAGATTGTTATATTTATGAAGTTAATAGATAGTACTATAATTTGTTTAAGAACAAGATTAATGCTCTAAATATTGATCAGAATCACACAATCATTCTTTTATTTTCATATATACTCGACTAGTTATCATACCAATCAGTACAGCTCTGATTTTGATATTTATATAACATACACTATCATTTTAATTGTAATTGCTTCGAGATGTATATAGTAGTTATAAAATTAAAAATTTATACTAATTTATGTATTTATAATAGGTGTTAGATGTGACCAAGAATAAGATTGTAACTCACCTCAGTATATCAACCAAAGATTGCAATGAAAGTGGAACTGCCGTACGTGTGCTACAAAGATGACATAATTATAGATCGGCAACATGAACATCATCATCATCCAGACTATCTAACTGTAACGCCATGACATCGATGACGAGTCCAATGTAGTTGTAGTTCAGAGGTTATGCACCTTGTTGTAGTTTGTCCGCCACTTGATCATCAGACACAACAAGAGAATGCCTATGACCACGGTGAAGAACACCAACACCTTTCATCACACACATATTCTGTTCGTGTCAGCACGTATTGTTGTCTCTATGTGCCGAAGTAATCTGAGGATAACACTGGCCATGAGGTGCGCCTGCCGATCACTAGTCTTCAACATCACCTTCAGCCAGAGTGTAGTTGATGGACTTGTCGTAGATGAAGCAGATGGACATCATTTTGTAGATCGTCTACCGATGAAGTCATGCACCTCGAGCAACATGAGCATGCTGAACATCACCAACACCATCAGGTCATAAACGTAATAAACTTAACCAAGCAACAACAAGAACAAGTACAACATCTAGATCAACAAGCTCCTCACATTAAGTATAAAAAACAACAACATAGCTGGAGACTCCGTGACAGATGAGCAGTTGGGTGTGTCCACCACTCACCAGCAGTGTCATGAAAGGAAACTCAATCGATGGATCGCTAAGTCTACAGGTCAGACAATGTCCTTCCAAGTGATTGACCGATATCAGTGGTTTGTTGTATTGCTTGGCCAGAGCAACCGCTTTCTCCACGCCGACCTGGAGAGACAGTGCGATGCCCGGCCCGGTGGTAACGGCGACAGCGTCGATCTCCTCCATACTCTTGTTGGACTGGCGCAGTGCATACTCCACCGCTTCATCGATCACCTGAATGTGTGCTTCCGACGCCAGTTTAGGCACGACACCATTAAACTTCTTATGAATGTCCCACTGTGCTTTTCTGTATTCCGCGAGAATCTTCCGGTCACTGTTGACCACCGCAACACTTGTGTCATCACAACTTGTTTCAATTCCAAGAATAGTTGTTGTAGTCGTATAATATCTATATCTCCATGACTGGTTGCTATTATTATTATTAAACCTGTACAGCAATCGCTGGTATCCAAGTTTACTTGAACTTCTGTAAAGCATCATCTTGGAAAAAAAAAAAACAAAAAAAAAAAAAAACGATGATTTTTTATTAATTTAAATTCATTTAAAAACTAACTAAATGATTATTCAATTTCAATTAATTGATTTGATTTACCATTCGTTTTTTTCACAAAATTTTAAATGGGTGTCGATTTTTTTTAATTTTTTTTTTAAATTTTTTCTTTTTTTTAATTTTTTTTTTTTGGATGTCGACACCGGACAGAGAGAAAAAAAAATAACAAAACAAATCAGCTTCGGCGCTTAGACGTAACTTCCTCTCGTCTTTTTGATAATCTTTGTAAGTAGCCAGTAGTATCAAGAAAAAAATAAAATTGTTTATTTCTTGGAATCAATATTTTTAGTGTAAATATATATATAAATAGTTTTGTTCAATATTGCTATCTAGGTTTTAGTTAGTTTTGGTTGTAGTAAATAATGTCATTTCATCTTTTTTTAAGATGAGAAAAAATGAAAAAGCAATAGTAATAATAGTTTTTAGCTCAGTGTTCATTCTTAGCATCATCTCTTAAAATCAAAGAGTGAACACCAACTATTCGATTAAGATTTCACCAAGATTATTGATGATTAGCAGACAGGACAACGACAAACAAGACAACAATAACAACATCATCATCATCATCATCAACAACAACAAAAAAGATATATAGAAGTTTGATTTGATTTTAAAATAAGAGTTGGAATTTTACAATAACAATAAACACAAACACAGCAATCTTAAGTGGACAAAGGAAATTATCGACAACCACACAAACAAACAAAACAAACAATAATACCAAAACCCGAACCTAAAAAGAACATTGACAACAAGTTAGAGAAGAGAAAAACCAAACTACAACACACCCTTTATTTGTTTTTGTTTTTTTTAAAACATTTTGATAGTTTGTTTTTTTTTTAGTGCACTTTTTATTTTAAATATCAATAGTTTGTTTTTTGTTTTTTTATTATCAAATTTTAATATTACAAAATTTACGTTTTGTTGTTGGAAACCAATCCTATTTTTTAATATTAATGTTATTATTATTTTTTGAATTGCTATTAAATTACAATTATAGGTGATAATTATAGACCATATATATCATATCTATTATATATTAATATAGTTGTTATTGCTTCGGTTGCTGTTTCGATAAGTCAACAACACACACACCCACACACTTTTCAAATCAATAACTAGATCTATCTAAACGACGCGACGACGACGACGACACGATATAAAAATAAACGATGGACCAAATTCCACAGACTTTTATCGACACTATCAAAGCACTCACTCACAATGATATCAATGTCATCAGAGAAGCAGAGGCAAAGTTCAACACCTACAAGGCACAACCCGATCAACTCATTGGATGTCTCTTGTTCATGATGGTCAACTCCACAGATCCATTGGTATGTTGTTTTAGTACACTACAACCTTTTTAAAACTCACATATTAAACACTCAATCAACCGCACCCTTTAAATAACAAATTTAGTTGAAAGAATTCTCTGCAATTTTGGTTCGTCCACTTCTCTCACCAGGTGACAAGAACTCACTCTGGGAAAAGATCTCGGTATCCACACAAGAGAGCGTCAAGGTTCAGTTGATCGAATTGTTGAAGGCCGACATCTCAAAGACATCAAGAAGCAAGGTTGTAAACATCATTGCCTCGCTGTAGGTAGTAACAGTAATAGACTTGATCAACAAATTATTATTGTTGTTGAGAAGCATATGATCGATCATGAACAAGCCAAAACAGACACCTTTATTCAATAACAACAGCGAAATACAAAATGAAAAACCACAACTAATTCATCAACATCTCCTTCCGACACCACCAACATTCAGTCAACAAAACCAATTAATTTTATAAAAAAAAAACACAGACATAAAAAAAGGTGTTAAAAGTTAATCAACAATCAATTTACCCAATATTTAATTCATCGCGCTCCAGATGCCCATTATTAAAAATAAACATAAAAATAATAAATCAAAAAAAAAAAAGAATTTGAAAACATAAAAATTTGGTAGAGATAAAGTTTTAAACAAATAATAATATTTAAAATAAATATGACAACATTAAATTATAATAAATATTTTATTTTTACTTTTTTTATTTTATTTTTTAATTTAGTTAATTGTAAATCAGTTCAAATTTATGTAGATTCAAGCAAATCATATAGTTCAAATTGTGGTAACACTCCACAAACAGCATGTCCAGATATATTGACTGGTTTGACTGTTTTTAGAAATGGTTCAAACACCGGTGCTTCATCTTTGATTCTGAGTTTGGCAGCTGCTACTTACACAGGATCAAATAATAGCTTCATAAATATCAACATTGGTGAAACTGTTTCCATTGTTGGATCATCAACAGATCCAAGTTCTTTTGCCACTGTTGATCTTCAATCAAATAGTAATTTTATATCCATTACTGATGCTGTGTCAACAGGAGATTCAACTACAACTCTAAAGATCAGTAATTTAGATATTATCAATGGAAAGAGTTCAACTCAAAACGGTACTGTTGTCAATGTTAATACCAAATCTACCTCCACAGTAGTAAGCTTGTCAATGAACAATGTTTATGCTCTTGGAAGCAATGCACTTGGAGGATATGGAGGTTCAATTTATTTCCACACAAATAATATCAGTTCATTCGTTACCATAGCAAACTCTATATTCCAGAACAACAATGCCAATTACGGATCTGTTTTCTACACTGATACTCCAGGTGATGCAATCATTAACAACTGCCAATTTATCAACAACAAAGTTGTATTCGATTCAATTGTCTACTCTTTGTATGCAACTACAAGTTTTTCCAATCTTACATTCACCGACAATCATGCCACCAATTCAATCATTACACTAGATTCCAATATCGGAGATAGTACAATTTCCAATACCCCGAGTGTTACCTTGATCGATAGTTTAAAGTTATTCAACAACACACTTAGTTCCAACTCCAAAGGTTTTCTTTCATCTATTAACAACTATATATCAATAGATGAATCTGTCTTCCAATTTAATACTGGTTCAACAGCAATATACTTTGTATCTACAAAAGGATCTAATTTCCTTTTAATATCTGATAGTAACTTTATTTCCAACAGTGGTGCTAAAGATGGTGGTGCTATCTACCAAAGCGGAGGAACATCAGATATCTCGAATACAACATTCAATGAGAATAAAAGTCAAAACAATGGAGGTGCTTTGTTTTTAACAAACTATGTTGCTTCCACTTTGAAGACAGTGTCACTCACTAATAACACTGTGATTGGCAGTGGATCAGGTAGTTCTATCTTTACCAACTCAGCATCAAACACTCTATCTTTGACCAGTGTCTCATTTACCAGTCAATCAAACTCAACCTCATCCATCTACTGTAATTCAACATCAATCTATTTATACAGTATTAAATATGATAATGTTGCACCAGTGATTGCTTGTTCCACAAACAAATCATGTTTAGTTCACAGTGATGGTATTATCGGTCAACATTGTGATAATGTTGTGAACTCTAGTGATGAACCAAACACCAGCAGCAGCAGTGACAACAGACATAGCAGTAGCAGTGATAATCATCATCCAGACAATGATAAAAACGGATTATCAGGTGGTGCAATAGCAGGTATTGTCATAGGTGTAATAGTTGCAATTGGTTTAATCGGTGCTGCTGTATTCTTTGTTCTCAAGAGAAGAAATCGTTCACAATATTCAAGTATTTAATTCTTCCTTTTTTAGTTTAAATAATAATAATAATATATATAGATAATAATTTGATTTCTGTGCAAATTTTATTAATACAACTTTATTCTTTTTTATTTTATTAATTACATATGTTTTTTGTCTTTTATTTTTTTTTGTTTTTAATAGAATAACCAAGACAGTCTATTTTTCTTTTATTCTTATCTTGTACCTCGTGCATGATAAACAAATCAACAAATAAATACATATGCAAGATGACTGACGAAGATTAGAAAGATTATAAAAATAATAATGTTCTTTTGAAACTTCGTTTGTAAGTTACTTTAAAAAAATATCTGTTTTTTTCAATTTTTTTATTTTACTAGAATAGCTAATTGATCATTGGAGGTAATTCGATATTAAACTTTATTTTGAATGACAGAGAAATGATTTATTTTAAATGTTCTTAAGTTTGAATTTAGCAAAGCAACAGACCGATAATTTGGAGGACTAGTTTATAGTTGTAAATATTGTTAACTCTGTAAGTTATAGCCACAAAACTAGAATCGAGATATTTTACAACTGTTAACCTTGACCAATTGTATTACAAAAGATAGAACAATGAAAGTACGGAACGATGACAGCCAACTGATTGCAGTAGAAGTACTTAAATATTAGATGATTCTGCCTACTTACACTTCACTTTAAAACCGTGTCACCTCTGAATTCAGGATTGCATAGAGGAACAGATTGCTTCAAGTTGTCAACATCGCGAGGAACTAAAGTACTTGGACGTGATGTGCTTTTTAGAGAAAAAATAATGTTTGGCAAGAATGGCCATTCTTGCTGACAGTTCGATCACATGCCTACCAATTGTTCAGCCACTGGTATGTGGTGAGAGAGCAAGTCCATGATCAGTGCAGTGTGGTGGTTACAACAACAAAACATTACTTGACCAGCAGTAAGGAAAGGTAGAGTATCCGGTGCCAACTACAACAAATGAATTCAAGTCTTCAACATACACAACAACCAATTGGTTCCTCCACCAATCGAAAAAGAGCGATCGCATTAATCCAGCAGCTGTTACAGTTTTTGATGCTCCAGAACTACATTACCAACAGGTTGCACAGAGTCAGACATCATCACATCAGATACCTCCACATCAGTAACAAGCAATGACAATGTCACCACAACAAACTCCACATTTCAACACTATAGAATAACACAACAACAACAACGACAATCTACAGGCAAACCGATCTACATATTACCACCACACCAATATCAACAGCAATTTGACAATCAAATCCATGTTCAACAACATATCCTAAGCAACAGCAACAACATAAAAATATATTCATTCACTGTTTGTTGATTAAGGTATAGAGATCAATTAGCAAGAGTAGTGATTAAATTACAAATTAATTAATAATAATAATTCAATATTTATTAATTACATTTTATTTTTTAGTATGTTGTAAGAAGCATAGGTTGTGCGGAGTTTGTAAAGATGCTAATTTAATTGCAGATGCAATAGGAAATCAATTGGAAATTAGGTCACTTGAATGCTATATTTTTGTATTGTAGGTGTTCTAATTATTCGGAAATACACATATGTCATAATTGGGAGAAGTTATCGTAATCAGTTGATTAAGAAACTGAAAGTAAAAGTTGAGAGCTGTTATTTGGTCGTTGGATATCAATATATTGGTCACATGAAAATAGTGCCAGATGCATAATGCCACCTCCGATTTTCTTTTTAGTTCTAAGAAACATAAAATAACTAGTTATAAAAAGAAGTGCTTTCAGAAAAAGAATATCAAAAAAGATAATATTAATAAATGAAAAATATATTATTATTTCTTTAATTAGTTAATATTATTTTTTATTAGTTTCAAATATTATTTTGTGAATTTTTAATTCTTCTTAACTGTGAGGGTAAGTTTATTGATAATTAAGACAATTGTTATTTTATTTAATATATTATTAATATTCACTTCCAAATCTCTTTTTAAAGAAAACTAATTCTGGAAAGAGAATTCAATTGGGGAGGGAGGCATTGACTTTGATTTTCCAAAGATTTTTCCAAGGGAGTTGTGTATATAATAGTTGATGTTTGTGATCGTGTTGATGATGATCCTAGTTCACAATTCAATTGAGGTGAAGATAAAGCATCTATTTGGTTTTGAATTATAATTTGTGCATTATAAGCTCTGACAGCAACATCATATTGTTCATCAGCTGTAATAAGACCATTAACGTAAAGTCCAGTAGCTTTCATCACAGTTGAACGAACAATCTCTATTTCCTTTTGCAAAGTCATAATAGTATTATTTCGTTCTTCTGTTACAATATCATCGGTGCTGACCATAATCTTGTAGATAAAAGAAGTTCCGACCACGGTTTCCTTTCCAAAGGATTGTAGTTCTTTATATGAAAGGGAGGAGCAGCCTACACAAACAAAAACGCCTGGCACCACTCTGTTCATCAAAAATGAAAATGTTGGATTTCCTGAATTCGCACTAACCTTTGATTGACTATAGAAATTAGCTACAAGATTTGCAAAAGAGTTGATGTTCTTCTCTGTTAAATCCAATTTATCTTCATATGCTGAGTTGGCTATTTTTAATGAAAGAGTTACAGTTTCTCTAATCTCTTCAATATTGAACTCACTTAAATATTCTATTCTAAGTTGATTATTTAAACTAACAGTACTTGGATCTTTAATACCCTTCACGTTCATTGCTTTATCTGATTCACTATCAAAATTTGATTTGAATTGATTATCTAGAAGATTTAATTGATTGATCATATTATTCATTAAAGTCGAAGGCAGAGATGATGGATCGCCAATTACTAAAAATCATTTGAATGTTTTATTGTTAGAAAATTGTTGGTATCAAAAATTTATACAAAAAAAAACATTTGTTTTTCTTACCTGTATCTATTCTTTTAGAATGTTTTTGACCCATTTTGACTTTTATAAAAATAATAATAAAACAAATAGAAAAATCCTAATTTTTATGTAAATTTATAGTATAAGTAAAAAAAAATAAATAGTTCGAAATAACCAAAATTTGTTCCTTTAAATATTGTAGAAAATTTTTTACAATCAATGGGGAAGTTTACTAGAAGAAAATTAAAAAAAATAATATCTATTTCCAAACAATGAATTCGGGGAAGCTAAACCTAGTAGAATCAGATTCACCTAAAACTAAGTTTTTGTGTTTCGGTACTCTAAAAATAACTATTTTTTGGTCAAAGGGACCAGTTTCAAATGAGGGAAGAAAAAAGTAGGGTTGGTATTTGGTGTTGGTATTTCACTCAATTTTTTTTTAACATTTTACCACGTCTTTTTTTTCTTTTTTTTATGTCTACAAAAAAGGAAAGAGAAAAAAAAGAGTGTCCACGTCTTTTTTTCTCTTTCCGTTGTGTCTGTAAAAAAATTAATGATTTCTATGTATTTTTAACATTTATAATTTATTTGATTGAAATATTTATTTGCTTTTCGATTCGTATTCATTACACAGCAGACTGTATCATAGTTTTTAAAAGTTTTTTTTTTTTTTATAGTTCTGTTATTGATAACCCATTAAACAAAACCACAAATCAATCTAATGTTTATATAAACAAATCAATCATTTAAACGGTGTTATAAATTACTCTTGTTTTATATATTTTTAATAGATTTATTATAATTATAACAAAAACAAAGAAAATAAACCTAAAATATATAGTTGGTTATCTATCTAATAGGTGAAGTTACCAATGCTATCGATGTAGTTATAGATTGATGAATTGTTACCAAATGACACTCTATTACTGATGATGCGAATTCAAGTCATAGTTTAATAAGATCTTTGACGAAATGCTAAATTCTTTCCTTATCAATTCTTACCACCAAATGTAAAACGGTTGTCTATTTTTTATTAAAAATTTTAAATTTTTTGGTGGGAAAGAGTAAATCAGATTCACCACAACATAAAAAATAGAGTTGAAATATTCTTTGGTGAATATGTAGACTATGGTCACTCGATTGAGTATTGATGCTTGATGTCTAATCACATCGATCCGAATTGTTCACGGATATAAGCTTAATATTGCTCCTCTTTCTAGTAACTTATGAGATGTTCGAATGTCTTTCGTAATGTTGGTTCTGGTCTGATCGTCGATGGATCCGGTGCCAACTAGAATGAATTGATAGCAACAAACACCAGTAACAAAGAATGACAATGGCACAGAGAATACAACTATCACAATAACAACAATAATATGAAGCAAAAATATTCATCACCACAAATAGGTTCACAGCAACTAGGTACAAGAAAGCACTACCACAACAACAAATTCCATAATCACTACAATGTACAGCCAAACCATCTACCAATTACGCACCACAACCACAACCATACCAAAACCAACAGCAACAAAAAAATACAATTAATAAGCATATTAATAAGCATGTTTCCTCTAAGTAAGAGTCCGCAGACCACAACATGCCAAAAACAATAGTAATGTTGACTGTGATAATGACACCTACCATTCGATAATTGTTTCTATCAATGATGAATCAGTGGTTCATTCACTGTTCTCCGTCATGTTAAATAACCCTTAAAAAATAATCAATAATCATCGACCAATTCGATTTCATTTTAAATTTATCCATTTTCTTTTAAAAGGATCGATGATTTAGTGTCTGTTATTAAATTTGTTAATGTATTATAATATTATATATTTATATGTATAGTAGGTTTAATTTATTTTTGTCTATACTTCAAAATTAACGTTTTGAGATTTGTGTTCCAATTCAAAAAATATTTTTTTTTGTGAAACAAAATTTTGTTACCATAGTCTGACTTGTGAACATGTGGTCAAAAAATTATTGTTTTATGTTTTATTTTCTTTTACAAACAGTTTTTTATGCTTTTGGTTATCTAATATCACTATACAGACCAATATCTGGGGGTTTAACTTTCCAAAAGTTAAAGATTTAACTCCATTGATTACAGTCGTTAATCCAATCGAATAATTTCAACAATGAGATCCATAGAATTACGACTTGGGTCTCAAAAAAAAAAAATAAAAAAAAAGTAGTTAAGTGTGAAGTATGTCTCTTTTTTTTGTTATTTATTTGTTTTGTTTATAATTTTGATTTTACAATATATCCATAGTAACCAGATTCAACACGAACCTTGAATCTTTGAGCAACCTTTCCATGATTATTGGCAATTTGATGTGCTTGAACGGCCGTTGAAACTTCTGATTGTTTAGGTTTAACTCTTCCACATAATGATTGAGGTGGACTGTAGAAGACACTAACTTTTTTTGTTTTCGCTTCAATATCCTTTTCTGTTTTTTCAATGCTCTTTGAAAATTGGTCATCTTTCAACTCCCAATCTTCAAATTCTATCTTACCATCGGCAAACTGTTGAGCTAGCTTGACTTGAGAGTCTTTAAAAATATTGATGGCTTGTATACCACTCGCAATCGTTGAGAAATCGTTGGATGCATATTCATCTGTATTGGAGGTCATCACCCTGTAGTAGAAAGAGGTGGTGATAGCAGTTTGATTTCCAAAGAATTGTTTATCCTGCAATGCGACCGAGGAGGTACTAATACATACAAAGATACCTGGAGCCAATTTGTTCGTCAAGAATGAGTAGGTGGTAGTCGATGATGAGTTGGTCTTGGCACTCTCAGAGATGGCACCAACGAGGTCGACGAATGAGTTGATGCTTTCGTCACTCAAAAAACTTTTGGTACCAGTTTTGATTGAATTGGCAGCAGTCTTCAAAGCAATTGAAACAACATTCTTAATATTTTCCAAGTTAAATTCACTGGCATATTCAGTTTGGATTTTCTTATCTCCGGTGACCAATTTTTGGTCTTGGACACCAACTTTATTCATGTTTTCAATGACATCTTTGTCGAATCTGGCAGTCATGGCTCCCTCTTGTTGATCAATTGTTGCTTTAAGATTGGCTATGGCATCTGCAGCTGCTTTGGAGTTGTCACTAACTGTTTTCATTCAATAACAATGAATTAATAAATTGGATTAAATACAATAATATTTTAAAGAATGAATACAAACCTCTTGATACTGATGCACTTTGACCCATTATTATTTATTTTATTTGTAGTTTAAAATAGAGATATATTTAAATATTAGAATTGAACTAATTTGTTTTTTATGAAAATTTAGAAAAAAAAATCAGTCTCTAAATACTTTTTCCAATATTCTTTATTTTTTTAAAAATTAGATATTTTAATATAAAATATTTATTATTTTCTAATTGACCTATTTGCCTCAAAATCTTTTGTCTAATCATTTCAGATTTACGGTGTAGGCTTTTAATTGCACTTCAATCAACCAGATTCGGATTTTTTCATCCCTCATAGAAGAATTCCCCCCTTTTCAATATTGTTTTTTTATTCTCTTCCAAATAGCCTTTCGAAAACTTGAAATGCAAAAATAACTACATCCAAACTAAATTTGTGATACCCAACTATGAAACTATGAATATTAATAGTGGAGATTAACTAAAACCTTATTCATGGTGTATGTATTTCTCTGATTCACTGAAGTATTGCTCCCTCAAATCAAAAAAAAAATGCTCCCACTGCCACGTATTTTAAATATTCTTTTAAAATTGAAAACCAAACAAATGATGCGCAATTACTTTCCTATATTCTTTTTTAGAAGTTCTTTTTTGCCAGCAGTGCAAAATTGATTTTGGAAAATATGATTGCAAAAAAAATAGATTTTTGTATTGTGTACAAACGGGTCAAAAAAAAACAAATTAAAAAATCATGATTTTTTTTTTTGGGTTATTTGCATATGACCAGTTTTGGAAAGTAGAATGGAATAATAAATGTTTTTTTAGGGTTTAAATGTGGTTTTACTATCACTTTTGGTCAAAAATTGTTAATTTCATGGGGTATAGAACAACTTTACCTTAGTGCATAGCTGTTTTTTTTCTTCCAATTCCGTAAAAGTTATTTTAGTTTGATAAATAACCTTGATTTTCTATCTTCTTTTTTTTTCTATACTAAAAACATTATTCAACTGAATTTGATTTTGATAAGGGGTTTTATTTGATTTTTAATTTATTATTGAATTATGTGATTTTTTTTATTTTACTTGTAACAGACTTTTCCTTTTCAAAAATAAATTTAATATAATATCAAATCTAAAATAATTAAAGGGTAAAATGATTTCATTTTGATCAATCACAATATTATTGGGTTTATTTGACTCTAACAAATAAAAACATCAAGCAAAAAACAAAACTTTGAAATTTAACAAACACCAATTGTTTTAATGAAAAAAACAAATTAATTCATTATAAAACCTATTTTCTATATATTGAGTTCACTTTGTTGCCATCCACCCACTGGTGTTTTAACAAATAATAATAATATGACAATTTTAAATAAATATTTTATTTTTACAGTTGTTTTTTTATTTTTTAATTTAATTAATTGTAAATCTGTTCAAATTTATTTAGATTCAAGGAAATCATATAGTATAGATTGTGGTAACACTCCACAAACAGCATGTCCAGATATATTGACTGGTTTGACTATATATAGAAATGGTTCAAACACCAGTGCTTCATCTTTGATTCTGAGTTTGGCAGCTGCTACTTACACAGGATCAAATAATAGCTTCATAAATATCAACATTGGTGAAACTGTTTCCATTGTTGGATCATCAACAGATCCAAGTTCTTTTGCCACTGTTGATCTTCAATCAAATAGTAGTTTTATAACAATTGGCGATGCTGTGCCAATCGTAGATTCAACTACAACTTTAAAGATCAGTAATTTAGATATTATCAATGGAAAGAGTTCAACTCAAAACGGTACTGTTGTCAATGTTAATACCAAATCTACCTCCACAGTAGTAAGCTTGTCAATGAACAATGTTTATGCTCTTGGAAGCAATGCACTTGGAGGATATGGAGGTTCAATTTATTTCCACACAAATAATATCAGTTCATTCGTTCGCATTACCAACTCTCTCTTCGAGAACAACAATGCCAATTACGGATCTGTTTTCTACACTGATACTCCAGGTGATGCAATCATTAACAACTGCCAATTTATCAACAACAAAGTTGTATTCGATTCAATTGTGTACTCTTTGTATGCAACAACAAGTTTTGTCAATCTTACATTCACCGACAATCATGCCACCAATTCAATCATTACACTCGATTCCAATGCCGGAGATATTATTAATTCCAATACCCCGGTTGTTACCTTGATCGATAGTTTAAAGTTATTCAACAACACACTTAGTTCCAACTCCAAAGGTTTTCTTTCATCTTTTAACAACTACATATCAATAGATGAATCTGTCTTCCAATTTAATACTGGTTCAACAGCAATATACTTTGTATCTACAACCGGATCTAATTTCCTTGATATTTCCGATAGTAACTTTATTTCCAACAGTGGTGCTAAAGATGGTGGTGCTATCTACCAAAGCGGAGGAACATCAGATATCTCGAATACAACATTCAAAGAGAATAAAAGTCAAAACAATGGAGGTGCTTTGTTTTTAACAAACTATGTTGCTTCCACTTTGAAGACAGTGTCACTCACTAATAACACTGTGATTGGCAGTGGATCAGGTAGTTCTATCTTTACCAACTCAGCATCAAACACTCTATCTTTGACCAGTGTCTCATTTACCAGTCAATCAAACTCAACCTCATCCATCTACTGTAATTCAACATCAATCTATTTATACAGTATTAAATTTGATAATGTTGCACCAGTGATTGCTTGTTCCACAAACAAATCATGTTTAGTTCACAGTGATGGTATTATCGGTCAACATTGTGATAATGTTGTGAACTCTAGTGATGAACCAAACACCAGTAGCAGTAGTGACAACAAACATAGCAGTAGCAGTGATAATCATCATCCAGACAATGATAAAAACGGATTATCAGGTGGTGCAATAGCAGGTATTGTCATAGGTGTACTTGTAGCAATTGGTTTAATCGGTGCTGCTGTATTCTTTGTTCTCAAGAGAAGAAATCGTTCACAATATTCAAATATTTAACTCTTTCCTTTTTTTTTTATATATAATATATATTATATTATTATTCCAATTTTATTAATACAGGTTTATTCTTTTTTTTATTAATTACAACTTAATTCTTTTATAATATTATTTTTATAAACTCTAAAAAAATAAATAAATACAAAAAAATATATCTATTTGAACTATCTATTAAACTATTTTATTATTCTTATGTTTTAAAAAAAATTAAATTTACTTAGTAATTCGCACTCGATTTTCTCTTTTTCATTTTTTTTTGTTTTTAAAATAAGTGTTTGATTTTATATTGATTAATATTTGTAAATTAATACAAATATTATTAATATCAATTAACTTTAGGAGTATTGCATATATATATATAATAAATATAAGAATAATTCATAACAGTGTACAGATTATAGCTGCAAATAATATGTATGGAGTTAGATAATTTTTAACTTACTTTGAAAGCTAAAACCGTGACCGTTATTCATTCATTCTAAATTTTCATTAAAATCAAAGTAATTACAAAAGAGTATTTCTAAAAAAATTACACAAATGATTATTTATTGGAGGTTTGTTTTGTTTATAAATTTGATTTTACAATATATCCATAGTAACCAGTTTCAGCTCGAGACTTGAATAGTTGAGAAATCTTTTCATGCTTGACATTGGTAGAAACTTTAAGTGCTTTAGTAGCCAATGAATGATCCGTGTCTGGTTGGTGAGCAGCTTCATCGGGTTGTGTGAATGGTTGTGGTGGACGGTAGATCAAAATAGAGTTGGTATTGAATCCGATGTTATCCAATTCCTTTTGGATTCTATCGATGGCCTTTGTTTTTGTTTCTTCAGCGCTCTCCCATTGCTCATAAGTGATCTTATTATCGGCAAACTGTTGGGCGTTTTCGACTTGACAAGCTTTCAAGATGTTGAGTGTCTTTGCTTTCAGTAAAGCAGAGTTGAATTTATCCATTCTCTTGGTGTCGTCGATGGACAATACAGTCTTGTAGTAGTAGGAGGTGGTTACTACAGATTCCTTTCCAAAGAATTGATCATCCTTCAAGGAGACAGAAGAGTTGCTTATGAATACAAAGAATCCTGGAGCCAATCTATTCATCATGAATGAATAGGTGGTGGTCGAAGATGAGTTGGTCTTGCCACTGTCACAGATGGCACCGACGAGGTCGACGAAGGTGTTGATGACATCATCACCCAACAGAATGCTTAAACCACCGGTTTGACTGGCTTTGGCGGCTTCAGCTGCAGCCTTCAATGCTAGGGTAACAATATTCTTGATTTTGTCAAAGTTAAATTCACTGGCATATTCAGTTTGTACTTCCTTATTCCCTGTGAGTAACAATTGATCTTTGATACCAGACTTGTTCATGCTGTCAAGTATTTCTTGTTCGAATCTGGTCTTCATTGATCCCTCTTGATTCTCGATTGATGCTCTAAGATTGCTATTGGCATCTGACGCTTCTTTTGAGTGGTCACTAACTTAATAATCTTGGAATTAATACAATAAAAATAAAATTATTTTCTTAAAGAATGAATACGAACCTCTAGATACTGATGCACTTTGACCCATTTTATTGTTGTTTAGATTTCTATATATATAAAAATTTTAGAATTGACCTTTGACAATTTTATTTTAATGAAAATATAATCTAATGAAATAGAATAGAAGTTCTTTACCTATATTCTTAAATATCATATTTTGAAACAAATAAAACCATTATTTTTTTTTATTTTTTTTTAAAGTGTTGTTAGATAAATTTTTTTACACCCATCACTCCAGTTTTGGAAAGTGGAACAACACCAAATTTTACATTCCTTGATCAATTTTTCTATCAATATGGATTCCAAGTGCTAACTAGGAATATTGAGAACACAATCTCAATTTTAAAATTAAATTCTCTGAATCATCGCTCCCTCAAAAAAAAAAAAAAGTTTTTTTGTTATTGCCAGCAATGCTTTGCCGACGTCAAAAATTATTTTTAAACATTTTCGTGTCTCAGATTAAAAAATATTATAAAATACTAACAATAATATTAACACTTAATAAGTTTATTTTATTTACAATATTATCTTTCTTTTTTTTTTGAATTTAAATTTGGAAAAATATTATTTTTTTGGGTTTCCATTCTCGTGTGAGATAGTGATGAATTTATGATTTGAATATGTAACCGAAATATGTTTCGAAGAGTCTATTAATATTTATAAAATCTATTTATTATCCAATTGTAAAAAATAAATTTATATCTTTATAGATCTACCATTATTTTGAAGTATTTAAAATTATAATCTAACTAATTTCTTTACAATATTAAAATAGTTTGGTAAAGAGTAAATCAGTTTTACTACAATAGGGAACTAGAATTGATATTCATTTGTGAATGGTTTGGTTAGATATAGGTGTAGTATTGTTTCTCTTTCCAGTTACGTTGGAGATTTTCGAATGTCTTTCATTGTGTTGGATCTCGTCCGACCGTCAATGGATCCCACAAATCCAATCACAACAAATGAACAAACACAACACTCAATTTTCAATGGTACGGAATAATATGAATACGATAGTTCCTCCACCGGCAACAAATAATACAAATTAATAAGCATGTTTCTCAACAACCAAATCAATTCTAGATCAACCTTACAACGGTTTGAAGATGTTGCCTCGTAACTTGATTATCTATCACCAAAGTATTGTCGATCTATACCGTACTCAATGGTTAAAGAGTATAAACACATACTTGGATCATCGTGCTCTCTATTGTTTACTATGGGAATCAGAGATCTGGGTAAGTTAATTAGTTATAATATATTATAGTTTAGAGCATTGTTTATTATTATTTTTTTGTATTAATTCCATTTTATCCAAATTATCTTGGAGTTTCTTGATCATTGCTAAAAATTTATCATCTTTCTCTTTCCATTCTTCTGGTGAAATCTTACCATCTTTAAGGTATTGGGAGAGTATGAGCTGATCGGATTTAAGAACGTTGATGGTTTTTCTTATATTATCTTCTTCTTCGACTTTCACTGAATTGGCTTCGTCTTGAATGGAGAACATCATTTTATAGAGGAAAACGGTAGTGATAACAATTTCATTTCCAAAGAATTTCTTTTTATCCTCCAAGGTGACCGATGAACTACAGATAAATACAAAGACACCTGGAGCCACTCTGTTGTAGATGAATGAGTAGGAGGAGGAGGGGATCGATGATGAAAAGGCCTTGGATCTTTGATCCAAACTACCAACCAGGACGGTGAGTGAGTTGATGTTATCATCACTTGCTAATGGTTTATTTCTTAAATCTTGAATTAAATTCACTAGTTAATTTTGATCAAATTAGTATGGATATTTTTATACATTTTCACCCTTTTTTACAACCATAATTGTTCTACTATTTTAATTTACCTTCGCGATCAGTTGATTTTAATACTTGGGAAACAATATTCTTGATATTGTCGAGGTTGAATTCACTTGAAAATTCTGTTTGGACTTCCTTGTTTTGAATAATCAATTTTTGGTCCTTGAGACCTAGTCTGTTCATATTAACAAGGATATCTTGGTCGAATCTTGTTGTCAAAAAACCCTCTTGTTGCTCGTTTAATGTTATTAGATGATTATTGATCGTTGTGGCTCCAAAGCTGTTAATGGCATTGCCTTTGGCATTGTCTAAAACTGATTTTCATTCAAAAACCTTGGATTAACAAATTGGAACTAAAATATCATATTTTTGAAAACTAACCTCTTGATACCGATGCACTTTGACCCATGTTTCTATATTTTAAACTACAGATATATTTATATTAATATTAAACTTATTATAATTAATAATTGAGACTGAATGAATAGTCTATATATACTTATTTTACCTCTATTAATTATTATTTATGAATTTAGATTATTAATCATTGATATTTTTCAACACCAGTCACTGTTTCTCAATTTTATTTCTCAAACAACCAGATCGGTATCTTTGGATTTGTGATTATCAAATTAAAATTAACATTTTAGGTTAATTTTAGGGTCCTTTGTAAACACAACACCAATATTTAACTCTAAAAGATTGATAAATCATTACAAATGAGAGAAGTTATTCTAAATTCAAAGATATTTTGATTGTGAGATAAATGAAAGGAATAACTTTTAGGTTCATCATTTTTTTTTTTTTTAGATGAAAAAATCACTAATCATTTTACCACGTAGGACTTTTTATGTTAAAAAACTGTTTTTTTTTTTGGATTTATTTGCATATGACCAGTTTTGGAAAGTGGAATTTTTTTACCATATAGGACTTCAGCACAAAAGTGGTCAAAAAAAATCACAAATCTGATTGCCACGTAGTACCTGTGCACAAATGTTGTCCAAAAAAAAAAAAAAACTTTTTTTGAGTTATTTTCGTTGAACAAGTTGACAAAAAAACCTCACATAAAAAAACTTTTTTTGAGTTAATTTTCGTTGAACAAGTTGATAAAAAAACCTCACATAAAAAAAAAAAAGAAAATGGATTTAATTTTGGGATAAGAAGATGATATAGAATTAAAAAACAATATCGAAAAGGGGTTGAATTAATCTATTAGCTATTAAATTGGATCTGGTTGATTGAAGTGCAATTAAAAGCCTACACCTAAAATCTGAAATGATTAGATCAAAAGATTTTGAGGCAAATTTGATTGTTATTGCCTCAAATTCTTTATATTTTTAAATTATATTGATGAAATATTGGAAAAGTATTTACAGAACAAATTTTTTAAATAAATTTTCATTAAAATAAATAATTGTTAAAAATCATTTAAAACCCAGACCTGACCAGACATAGCGAAAATAGTGTTCGGCAGTCGCCACAAACTTTTTTTCATGCAAAAAAAAAAACAAAAATGTGTGAACAGCAAGTGGTTCGCTATGTAGGTTTTTTTTTGTTTTTCTCACTTGCTTAAATTGACTTTTAACAATTCTAAAATTTAAATATATCTGTAATAACAATTAATAATAGGTCAAAGTGCATCAGTATCAAGAGGTTAGTATTATTTTTATAATTTTTATGATTTTATAAATCCAATTTATTAATTTATTGGTTTTTGAATGAAAACAGCAAGTGACAACTCAAAAGCTGCTTCAGATGCCGTACTCAAGCTTAACAACAATTGAAGAGCCATCTTAGCAAGATTCGACCAAGATGTCAATGAAAACCTTAAATTTGCTGGTGTCCAAAACAATTATTAGTCATAAGAATAACCAAACAGAGTGGGCCAGTGAATATAACTTTGACAATATCAAGACTATTGTTACAAAAGTATTGAATACGGCAGTCAATGGACTCAATGATGTTACCAAAAGTAAATTGACTCCAGATACCATTTCATTGTATCTGGAGATGACTTTTGAAGACTGGGAGAAAAAAGAAGATATGGCTTCAAAATTAATTCAGAGAGCAAAAATGGATATGGATACCTTTATCAAACCTGTTAGTTTGGTATACCGCCGACCACAACAATTCTCACACTTAGTTAAAGCTACGAAGGGACCAGAAGTATCGTTGTATACTAAAGCATATCAAATTGCCGACCAACATGAAAAGGTTGCTAATCTATTCAAGTCTCGTGTGGAATCTGGTTACTATTGTTAATTCTATTAATCTTATATTTAACGATTTATATAATCTTGAAAACACTTTGATTTTCAATATCAACTAAAAACAAAATTTAAATAAATTCCAAACTTACTCTTTTAATTATAATAATTCTAGTTCCTCTTTTCCAAATCTGATCTCTACTAAAAAATTCAAACATTTAAACAATTTTTCAAGGTAATGAAATTTAAAAGATATTCGTTTATAATATTGATTATTAATTAAGATATTTGAAATTAAAATTTTTAAATATACATTCAAATACTGTAGGTGATAAAGTTCAGAAATTTGAAAGAAATATATTGATTAGTTAAAATTATTATTATTAAATTCAGTGTTCAACAAATACAGTGAATTGGCTGTATATTTATTTAGATTAGTATCAAATTTAAAACTTTGATTATCCAGAAGTACAATTGATTCTGAAACTACAATACCAAGTTTCACAAAGTCAAACATCACATCAGATACCTCCACATCAGCAGCCAGCAACAAGCAAAGACAATTTTTAAAGAGTATAAACAAATTCTTGGAGTACAAGGTCATGTGCAATTATTAATTATTTTTTAATTTGTTTATTCATATTTATAAGGGATGAACATATAATAAAAATATGGTGATCTTAGATTATCTTCATCTGTTTAGTGAATAATCTTGAAGGACAAAACTCTGCCATTAGATTGAAGCGTTATAGTGATGAGAGTGATGCTATTATCTCTGGGTAAGTTAATTTGTTAGTTAATTCGTTAAAAATTAAAAAACACTGATGAAAAATAAAAAAAAATTGATCGAGTGATCATGATTCGCAATTTAACCAAATAGATTAATTTAATATTAATTAAAGAAATGAAAGAAGCAAAGAGTTTAAGGAATAGAGAAAAGACAAATAAATTAATTATTTGGAAGATAGGTGAAAGAAAAGCAGATGATAGCAGCTTGAATTCCCATGCAAGGAGATTTAGTGAGTTAAAGGTGTTCATTGATGATATAAAGATTAAATTATCTTTGGATCATCTCTCTAAATTGGCATCTAAGTTTAAAATTGCAAATTTTTTGAAAGGTGCAGATGTTTCACTTGTTTTGGGTTTAAAAGATCTTATCAATGATATGAAAGGAAAAGAGCAAAAGAAGTATTAGCAGCAAGGTATATAATAAAAAATATAACAAAAATATATAATAATACTTACATTATATCATAAATATAAAGAATGTGTCGATCTTATTTTAAGATACACAAAAAATATCCAAAACTAAGTGTGTTTAACAAAAATGGATTTTTTGTCGGGAAACAGACTTTTAAGAAGGCTATTATCATTGCAAAGAAGAAGATTAAGAAAGTGGATTATGATCAGATGAAGCTTAAGAATGATAGACGCAAAATAACAAGAGCTAGATTAATTTCAGGTGCAACTTTCTATCTAAAAAACCGAGTATCAAAAAACAACACTCTTGTTTTGGAATTGGATAGTACACTAGAATTCAAACAAATAAAATTATTCTAATAAGTATAATTGATCAAATAAATGGAATAGAAATGTTATAATGAAAATCTTTCAAATTCGAAAAAAAGAGACATCTCATGAAAAATCAGGATTTTTTTCCCACCTTTATAAATTTGTGAATAATTCTAGAAAAATTACAAGATATCTTTTTATGAATCATTTATTTGATTAATAATTTTATTTTATTATTTTAATATGAGTGTGTGATTAATCATAATAAAAAGAGGTGAATTGAAAAGTAGAACACAAAAAAAATAATGAAAGATAGAAAAATTGATTTTTTCAAAGAATATAGCGATAGTTTTTATAAGTGTAACGACACTACATGCAAACAACAGTATCATACAGATGTAATCAGAAGTGTTCTCTGTCAGAAAGTACTATTTAGACGTATAATTCAATCATTCAATCGATATGGCTATCGAATGACATTCGTAGAGAAACCACTTGCACTCAACGATGTACTAAGTTGGCGTTATCACTACCACGAAATAAATTCCGTCGAATGGATGGTAGCGAACTGTCATTTCGGTTTGTGTCTCGACAAGATCAGACTCTGCCAGAAAAATCAACAGCAACCGGAGGAACTGTTCTATCCCGATCGTATCAACGGTGTGATGTTGAACCGAATCCAACAGATGCCACTCGAGTTGTTTAGCCATCTCATTCAAGAGTACCGTGATTCTCTCATCAAGGATCACGTCCATTTCGTGAAAGTGGTAGATGCATCGATTAGAGCGGGACGTGTCGATCTCTTTGAACACATGAGAAAGAACATGTCGTTCACACTGTTCCAGGCGGTACAGACATCGATTGTCGAGACGGCGGTCGCTGCCAACAACTTGGAGATCACGCGATTCTGCTTTGACAATTTCGACTTCTCCAATCCGAGAAGTAGATATTACGCAGGAAAGAAACCGCTATTCAGAGTATCGGATCGACCCACTCTGGCTATGGTCAACTACTTTGCCAGCTCCGACATTGTTGGACTCCCGAAAGAGCAGCTACTCGTAGAGTATCTCGGAGAGAAGAACTACATGGCGGCGCTACTGAGATTCGGTGACTTGGTGTTGTATTGTAGCTATATTGACTATCTAGATCCTCGTGTTACACTTCATTTCGATCCAATGCTATTAGAGAATGCACTGACTGCACTCATTAAAGACAAGGAGGTGGTAACCGGTCGTTCACACCTAGAGTTGGTTAAATACATATTGCGTGAGGAACCGTCGTTGGAGTTGACATTCGAAGAGGAGACAATGGCACCTTTCATCATGGGAATACCAGAAGATCTACAATATCGTATCTATCTATATCATGCGAAATGCGATCTTCTCAACAAATACATGGAGACAACTAGAAACAGGAAATTAGTAGAAAGAAACACACAAGCTCTATCAAAGAAATACTTTAAATATCTAACAATAAGAAACAATCAACTCTTAAACAAAGAATTGACACTATATATTATAAAGAACGACATTAAAGCTATATACAGTCATGGTTCAATTGAACAAATAATAATGGCAAATAGTAATAGTAATAACGACAACGACAACAACAACAATGATAGTAGTGACAATAATAATATGTTGACTTCAATTCAACTAAGTAAACATCATACTGTTGAAGTGTTGGAAACGATTAAACGTTATCATAATCTAAGAAACATTAGATTCTTGCTAAGGGATATCACAGATTTCGATAGCAAGGCAATTACATATCTGGTGATGCAACAACACATCATTCCAAAGACATCGAACAAAGATGATATCTCTGGTTACTTGTATGAGCGTGAACTCTTTGAATGTGCTCACATCATCAATCCAGAGTTTCACTTGAAACTACCGAGTAGTGAGCATATCGTGCAGAGTTCATTGCCATCGCTAGCGTCACTCCAATACATACATACTATCAATCCGACGTTTGCCAATCTCACATTCAAGGGCGTCGATTACAACACTCGTCCGGAAGCACTACGATACTATCTCGATAACTATCATTTCAAAGCGACCAACTCCTTCAAGTGGTTCCTGAGACAGGCGACACTACATGCCATTGCAAGCGGTCGAATCGATCTCGTTCAACTGCTAGAGACATACAACCCGATGACTCTCACTGTCGATACCGACTTTGTAGCACTTGCAATTATGTATGGTTACTACGACATTGCAGAGTATTGTACAAAGAAGCTGACGCTCCAATCTAAACTACAGCTAACACTCGTCCGACGTTTGCATCTTGACTTTGACTTTCTAAAGCTGTTCCTTCAGTATCAATACGACATGATCAAACCTAAACTCAATGTAATAGCAAACAATGCATTAGGTGCATGCAAACTAGATATTCTTCAATATCTTCTTGAACTAGATCCATCTATCAGGTTGGAGGATTACAAATACTACAATGGAAATGAAAGAACAAACATATTGAAATATTTATTATGCCAGAAGGTTATATCAACCAACTCTGCTCTTCAAGCAAACCCTCAATTCCAAATGATATTAAGTAAATTATTACATTTAGAATCTCTTATAAATAAACATTAATATATATATATAAGTGTACAATACAAATATTCAAAAACATTATTATCTTAATCAAACAAAAGAAAAAGAAAGAGAGATAAATATATATATATCTATTCATAAAGTTATTATTTTTTTTATTTAAATTAGTTTCTACTCTCGGAGATTGATTGATTAATCAATCGGTTGATGTTGATGATGCTTTTCTTTGTTTGATACCGGCGAGTTCGTCTGGAGATTTACTGTTTTCGTTGTTGGCAGAGGCGAGATCGTCGGACGAAGAGATCTTGCTGAGGTTGGCAGAGACCAGTGGACTGTTTGGATCTTCACCGTTGAATCTACGAGCGAATCTCGATGCGAATATACGTTGTTTGTGCTCGGCGAATCTAGAGCTTGGTTTGAAGTACTTGAGATATCCGTCCCATGGTACGTTGGTGATACCTGCACGCTTGGCAATCATCGCCTTGACACGATTGGCAAACTGTGCCGATGTTTCATTGGCCTGCTTGGTCTGTGCCTCTAAATACCAGACATCACAAACACATGCCCACGATGTCATCATATTGAACATATGTCTAACGAATGATTGTTTCTTTGAATTCCAGAATGCATCAACAAACAATGTACTAAAAAGTAGTAAATAAGTAAATAAGTACAAAAATAATAATTAGAATAAACCATACTTTAACATAATAATAATAATATTAACTATGAAAGACTTACTTGTATTTAATTGCAATTGGTTGAATAATAACATTTGGAAGATCGAATGCACCTTTCTTGAACATGACACAGTAGTTGTTATTCACACAAACACCCTCTGGGAAGATAAGTAATGGATCATTATTCTCATTGCCAATATGTTTTGAAATTCTAATTAGAGTGAGATAGAGATAGAGAGAGAGAGAGAGAGAAAGAAAGAAGTGTTAATATTGTTTAGTTTGTTTAATTGGTTAATGATAAACTTACTGTTGAGCGATTAAAGCTCTGTCTTTAGCTTCTGCTCTGTCGAACCAGAGACAACCGATACAGCTTAATAAGTAATCTTGAATGAAACCTAGTAATCCCTTGTGTTTCTGACCAACCGATGCGCAATTGAATTGATTCTGTAGTACTACGACATCCATTACAGTTGTATGATTGGCAACAAACACCTGATTCTTCTTTCTCAATGGTTTCACACCATGATATTTAATTACACCTGACCATGACATAATGAATATAATACATAAGAAACGTAATAATTTTCTCTATACATAATAATAATGATGATGATAATGATAATATTCATTAGTTTACTATATTGATATCTTATCTTTATTCTCTTATCTTCATTAATAACATACCTGATAATGTTTTTTTGTTTTATCATTCTTTACAAATGTTGATACAACGAAAAATAGTACAGCAAATGTAAATGCACCAGATAATAAACATGTAAGTCTAAAATATAAAGAGTAGATAGAGAGAGATAGTTTGTAGATTAGTTTAAACTTGACTAACTTTTTGTAGATGTTTGTTTGTTTGTTTGTTTCTAATGGTGGTAGAAAGATTATTACTACTTACCTAAGTGGGAATAAGATACCGTATCTAATGAAGGCACCTAATAGCCATGCAGGATAGAGATAGAAGTTCCAATTCCATGCATTTGTCTCTGGACTTGTAAAACACTTGGTAAACTCATCTTCGACCAATACTTCGACACCGTCTGTCAAGAATGGTGCTACATCACTTAAATTGAATCTAATTTAACAATTGAATTGATATAATATGATATGATATGAAATGCAATAAGTAATTGATTATTTTCTTTAACAACAATAAGTAAACATAACATACTTTTTGGATGGATTTACTTGTCTATTTAATTGTTTCAATAGTTTCTCTTCGATCTTTTGTTGAATTTCGTCTACTTCACCTTGGGTGACCGGAGTGAACAATGACCATGGATCTTGGCTGATCTCGAGTGGACCTTGCTTTCCTGTGGTACCACCACTACTTGGTGATCCAATTGAATTTGGTGATCCACCACCACAATTGTTGCTATTATTATTATTATTATTTATACTATTCATTTTTATATATGTATATAAATAAATAAAAAGTAACTATATTATATTATATTATTGATCTTAAAAAATTTATAAGATTATTATGTACATGAATGAATTTACAATTTGACTAACTTTAACTTTATTCCGATTGATGATGATGATGATGATGATGATGTGAATGATTGATGATGTTCAACTAAACTAATGTATTGTTAAATAGAATAGAATTAAAATGGTCAGGTATTTTATATAAAATTATTATAGTAGTATGATAATGGATACTTTGGTTTGGTGTTGAAAAAATAAATTAAATGAAAAAAAAAAAAAAAAAAAAGGGTTTTGAAAAAAAATGATCACTTTTAAAAGGTGTTTAGAAAATTCCCCGATTCATTTGAAAAAAAACAACAAAATCAATCAAAATTTTAAATCTTTTATGATTTTTACAATGAAAAAGTCCTTTCACTATTTTTCGATAGGAGTTACCCAATTTAGGAAAATGATGTAACATTGGTTATTTATAAACTCGTTTACTATAGTCTTAATATTGTTTGAATTAATCACAAATATCAGTTTCATTAAGTGTTCTTATCAAATCTATCTATAGTAACTTTTGTTGTCAACATTCCAGCAAAATATATATATTTAATACCATTTTTATTATTTGTTTTTTGTAGTTTTTTGTTTACTAAATCGATTTTAATTAATTCTTTAGACCATTTATTATTTTAATCAAACTAATAATGATAAATTCATTCTTATGAGAATTTATAGATTGATTGATATAGATCTCATATATTAATAATAATTATATCTAAATTAATTACTACAAAAATATTTGTGTTTTTTTTTTTAAAGAAATCAAGCTGGGCTTAACCATCCATATTATAGTTTTTTGTATATTAATCGATTTTAATTAATTCTTTAGACAATTTTAAAAATTGAACATTAATTCTTTCAGAATTTATGTTGGTATACTTTTTGATTATTTTCTTTGAATAAAAGAATTTTTCAATTATAAGATTTCAAAAATAATACTAATATATTATTTGATGTTAATCAAAACTCAAATTAATTCATTGAATTATTCTATTGGAATCAAATGAAAAGACGCATGATCAGCGCCTGGTGGTTTTTAAAAAAATAAAATAAAATTAAAAAAATTCAAAAAATTAACCGTCTCTTTTTTATTTAAAAAAAAAAAAACTTTTTCACTCATTTCCCCAATTCACTATCTAATTTAACACAATATTTATAAATATATATATTTTTTTGGTGTAGGTTTATATTTTTATAACATTACAAAAATTAACAAATTAAATAATAATAATTTTTATCACCTTATAAAAACAATATGATGTCACCCTCAACTTAATCATACAATAGAAACAATAAACATCAATTCATTGTTAATTTATAACAAAATAGAAATATTATAAAAACAAAAACTTACCTTTGAATAATACAATATAGTTTTAAAGTTAAAAAACTATCAATTTGATGATTAATAATATCAAGCTTTAGATTGATAGATTAATAAAAGAACACACAACAACAACAACAACAACAATGATAGATTAGAAAGATAAATAGATAGAATAAGCACATAGAAGAGAGAGAGATAAAGAAAAAGAAAGAGATCAATCAACTCACCATATTTGTGTTTGTGTTGTGAATGTAATTGAATAGAGTGGCGTCACTTAACAATGACTTTTCTATTGGTGTTTGTAGTGGTTTTTGTGTGTTTGAGGAAATTTAATATCCCCACCACATACCGTACACATCATACCACCTCTCTCTAAAATAAAATAGTATATAAAGTTGACTACGTATACACATTTATTTAAATTTTTTTTTTTTTTTTTAATTACAAATTTGCTATTTCTTAATTTAAATTCTCAACTCTCTCTCTCTCACTCACTCAAGTCATTCATACCATAACAACAACTAACCACTTAATCAACAAACACAGCAGCAACAACAAAACAAATAACAACACATTTTGTTTATTCGAGTATGTAAAAAAAAGAACATAAGTACTTATTTTTATTGTTGTTTTTTTTTTTTAATTATTTATATATATGTTTGTTTTTGATTTTGTTTTGATTTTCACTTGTTGTGATTGATAAAATATCATAATAATAATAATAAAACAATCAAAAATAATATACTCTATTTAGTAAGAAAACAAAAGTTGTAGTTGTAGTAGATAATAGCAATAATTTCAATTATAATAATAATAACAACAATAATTAATTAATAATAATCACAATCAATAGAATTTAAAATTAGAAAGAAAAATTTTTATTAATTTTAATTTTTTATTATTAGGTATATTTATTAATATAACTCTGCCGATTTTCTCAAGAATCAAACTCCCTCTCTTTTTTTTCACATATAAATAAAACAATCTATATAAGATGTCACAGTAGGTATCATAAATATTAAATAACATTGATGATTGACTAACAAACTAATCGCATTCTAGAAATCAACCATCAAAGACTCAAGCTATTTTGCAAGAGGTCGATAAAGTAAAGGATGTAATGCACAATAATATCGGACTTATGTTGGACAACCACGACAAGGCCACAAATTTACAAGACAAAACAGCATCAATGAACAACAATGCCAAAATGTTTAAAAAGCAAACCGTCACCATCCGTAGACAAATGTGGTGCAGAAATATGAAGGTAAGACAGTCAATCAATCAATCTAATCAAGAAGAGGAGGTCTTTGCAAGTTGTACTAATCTAAAATCGTTATTATTTTATATAGTTACAAATTATTATTGTTTTAGTTGTTATTTTGGTTTTGGCAATTATCCTCATTCCAATTATTTTGAAGCTCGCCAAGTAAACAATAAAACAAACACTAAACATAACATACATAACAAAACAAGTACCTCCAAAAACTCCACACAATCTCCGTTTCGTTCGTTCTCCCTCCTCTCCACAAAACATTATAATGTATCAAAAGAAAATCATTTCATTTATTTAGTTATATGTTATAGTTTGTACTTTATTTATTGAATCAGTTCATTCACTCTCATCTCAACCTCAATCTTTCACATTTAGAATAAATAGCCAAAACACACAGTTTGATTATTATTATTTTTTTTTTATCTATCATAAACAATATTTTTATTTTATTTTATTGATATTATTAGTTCATACTATTAGATTAAAAACAACAATAAGAATGAGCTTATTTATTTATAAATACAATAATTTCTTTATTTTTTTTTTAATTTAAAAATAAATATCTAGCCCCAATGAGCAAATTAATTCCAAAGTTTCCAAATTTGATTTTGTTTGGTGACGTATTGATCTATAAGGCCAAAGAATGTTTCTTTCGGAGCCACTTCTCTGGTAGAACTCTAAAATTCTCTGATTTGTTGATAGCACATGTGTTCCTTCTTGAATCATTCTAACAAATCTTCTGTATCCACGACTAAGGACTGTTGTACTTATTCCATATTTCTTTGCAACATCTGATTGATTCGATTTTAGATCTTCAAAAGTAATTCTAATTGATTTTTTATATGGATTGAAAGTTTCTCTACTTTGTTTTGGTGAACCGGTAGGAGAATTTGTTTGTATAAAACCAACCAAGTCTAAATTGATATCAATATTGAATTCCAGTGATAAATCTATTACAAGTTCTGGGGTTGAATAGATTGATTCTTGAGAATATGATTCATTGTCTAATTGATTTTCGGAATAAATAATTTCATTGTATTGTTGTTGTTGTTGTTGTTGTTCAAAGTCATTCTGATATGAAATTTGGGTATCCAGTGATCCGTTATCAGAATATTCAATGGATTCTTCTGAGTTTTGAGATGATACATCATCAACTTGGAAAGGACTATATTCATTGAATGTTTCGTTGGAAAACTCTGCTTGATAGTTTTGATTCCAGACTGACTCCACTTGGCTTGAATAGAGATTCAAATGGTCTAAGAATAACTCTTCATCGGTACTCCATTCTTTTTGTTGACAAATCAAATTGTATAGTTCTTCGTCAACTTGGAAAGTATTAAAAATAGAAGTGGTGTCAATTGGATACATTGTAGATATAATTAATAGATATATATTTAGTAGTGAATATAATAGTAAGGATTGTCATTTCCTTTTATACTTTGGCTTAGAGCTACTCAAGACAGCTTATTAGGTAGTTTGTCAATCATAGATTTATTTTTGGATTGACAAAGTTTGGCACGACAAATTTTTTTTTTTTTTTGATTGACAAAATTTGATTTTTTTGATTGACAAATGAACAAATAATGATAATCATGTAATCATATCTTTGATTGACAAAATTCAAGAAAATATCTTTAGATAATAAAATTGATTGGCAAATATATCAGATTTTTTGATCTATTCATTATTTGGATTTACTTTTTTTATAAAACATATATATATAAATTTCTTTTATCTTTTATTTCTAATAAATCTACTATATACTATATATATATTACACCTTTTAACCATTATAATATCTAAATGCGACTATTATATTTTTAAATGATTTTTTCAAAATAAAAATAAATTGATAAAAAACCAAAAATTTTTTTTTTTTTTCTGCAGAATGATTATAGCGCTTTTTTTATCTTTAAAAATTAATAAGAAATGAATTTCATCAGAATTGAAATAAATCACATACGCAACTGCAAAAAAAAGTTTATTAGAAATTTTAAAATTAAATTTAATAAATTGTGTGGTTATCATTTTTACCACTTTAATCAACATATGATAACCATTTTTTTTGTTTTTATATTTTTTTAATTTTATTGTTCAACAACAACCAACACCAAAGACAACACTACATATATACATTTATTTATATATTTTTTATTATTATTATTTAATTTAATTACAATTTCGAAATCGATTTTAATTTAGTAACCAATAATCAATCAAAATCAAACTATCTTTCTATTTTTATATATTTAATATTACTTGTGTGTGTTGATACAGCTCTATCGTAAATAGTAGTTTGCATTCATTCTATTAAATTAACGTAGTCGTTCATTGATATAGTAATATAATCCTACTTTACGTAATTTAATAGGACAGATCAGATTATTGAGTGTTTTGTTGTTGAACTGCTGAACAGCATAAATAAATAAATAAAATCAGTCAAAAAAAAAAGAAAGAAAATAATTCAAAATCAATCAATTAGTCAATCAATCTTCTATATCTATATCTAATCAATATCATTATCATTGTTATCTTTTTTTCTCTTTTATTTTAATTTGTAAGTACCCATTTTTTTCTCTTTTATTTTTTTCATTTAATTTTATGATTTTACTTTTTCCCAATTTTTGAAAAATCAAAACTTTTTTTTTTGTTCAACAACCAATAAATCAAGTCGGAGGAAGTGCCAATGCAACATCCGTCTCCAAAAAAACAAAAAAAAAAAACAACTTTGAACTCTCTCTTTTTGGTTCAATTTCAATATTAGATTATATATTAGTCTAATTGTTTAAATTTAATTAGATCATTTAATTTAAATTTATTTTTGCACTCTGGTATTTATCGAAAATTTATATTTATTAAAATGGTAATCCATCTACAGATATGCGACACATACTGCAATATCAATATTAATTTCTATCTTTGAAATTTTAAGTTTTGTTATTCTCGACATTTACATATGATGATGATGTTGATTAATATATATTATAATTTACATAATTTCATATTATGTCTGCTCAAATTTATTGGATCACTTTCCAATAACGATATTTCTAACTACCTATCGATTGGTTTGATCAACATCAATAATATTATTTTCATTTTAAAATCAACATCATCATGAACATTGACCAACATGATCATCACACCCAGTATCATCCTTAAACAGGTAACAGTTTCTCACAACAATGTGTTGGTAATGAATAGTAGCTTTATCTTTATCTATAAAATTAATTCCAATTCAAAGTGAATTTCCATTTACCACACACAAATCAATCAAATCAAACATCAGTCATATCATAAACAAAAACCGTATTATTTAAATAATTGGTTTTAAATCATCAAACATATAATTAGTCAACCAATCACAGGTTAAAATTTAAACTACCGTTGTTGATTGTTTTGGGTTTGATTAAACAATAGCATTAGATCATATAATTTAGTACTACTCATATGAGTTTCATTTCATCAATATCAACATCGTCTTTCTTTTAACTATTAAGACAGTGTTGGTTTCCACTAAATATTAGATATCACCCACACTCACTTACTCACTCACCACATTAGTAGTAGTAAGTTGTTGTTTTATATTCTTCAGATTGGCATACGGACACACATCAAAATTTAATATACTTACTTTATTACATATGTAATTAACCAATCTAATCCAAACACAACAACAAACATACCCCTCACTTTTACATATAAACAATCATGATATATCTGACTCCAATAACACAAATATACTTATGACACTTTTTTGTTTTAATTGTTCTTTTTATGTTGGCATTGGAAATCCAACTCAATTTATATAAGTGATTATTATCGTTGGTAGTCTTGTTGGAAACAACGACAATACTGTTGTCACACTATAGGCAAAACCTCTTTTTCTTTACAAACTTAACACACACATCTCTAAACATGCAAACACAAAGAGGTTCTTCGATACTATTTTGATCTCATTTACCACCACACACACACACACACACAACAAACAATCCCAATTCTCACTACAAATCTATAAAAAGTAAAGTAGCTCAAAAACTCATGATTATTATGATCTTGTGTGCTCTTGAGTTAGCTTAAGTGGTTTGAGAGATTGATGGTGTGTGTGTGTTTTAGTGGTTTAGTGATCTCACACTCCTATATTCAAGTATAAAAGTTATTTTTCAGTTTAGTGGTATGTGTGTGTGTGTGTGTGTGTTTGTTTATTTTTACTGGTTTAAATGGTGGGGTAACTTTTATGATGATGTGTGTTTGTTTGTTTGACGATTGATTATAAGATAAATAAAGGCGTGGGTTAATGTTATTTCTTTGTTGTTGTTGTTGTTTGTTTTTGATTTCTGCTGTATTGTTTTTGGTTTTATTATTGCTATTGAACACTCATACACCAACTATCTATCTATCTATCTAATTAGTTTGAGTACCTCTTATTAATTAAATAATAATAATTACTTTCAATTCAATTCAATTTATTTGTATATTTATTTTATATATTTTATGTAAACAAACAGCAGCTCTCCTTAATATCTTTTATTTTATTTTATTTTTTCCAAAATAACATATATAGCACACCAACCACTCATACTACCACCACTACTGCTCTCTCACAAACACCATAAGGATAGATATCCGCTTATCAATAACCAATTAATACTTTTATTACTACACCTATCTACCAATTATAATTGCACCACCACAATCGCCACCAACACCAAGCCAACACATAACACATAAACTAATTTCACTGTTTTTCTCAACACTTGATACAACCAACAAACAACAATAACAACACAACATAAACACCAACAAACTAAATTTTGTTTTTTTGTTATATATCAAAAGGTGTATTCCAACAGTAATATTTTTGAAACAAAATTAAATTATCAAAAAAAAAAAATTATTTAATTTATTTCAATTTATTAATAATAAATAAATAAATAAAAATAATAATAATAACAAACAATATATAATTGTTGTCATTATTGTTGTTGATTTTCTTTTTCCAATTGTTTTTGTTTTCGACTCCAACCAAACCCATCAAATCAATTAAATATTTATAAATATCGCCACAATAAATAATAATAATAATAATAATTATAGCTCTAAACTATTTTTTGAAATTTCACTACCTGTTTAGTCCAGTAAGACCTTATTTGTTTTGATTTGTTCACTATCTTTGTTGATAACTTATTATTATTTTTGTATTTTATCTTATAAATTTTCAATTGTTATTTTGTATATCAATCAATTATCATTTCATCTCCATATTTGTATAATTTGATTTAATAAACTAAAATCTATTTTCATCTTCAAATTTAAAGAAGAAGAACATCAATAATAATAATAAACAAATCAATCTCACACATTAATTAACTTAATTTAATAATTTATTATAATTTTTTTTTATATAAATCTTTAACAAAATCTTTAAACATATATTGTTGTTGTAATTTTAAATATTAATTTTAAAATATTAATTTTTTTATAAGTTTAATTATCATATACAAGTACCAATTACCGCCATTCACTTTTACCTCTATTTATTTAAATAATAATAATTTAAAACATTGTAATTCTTACCAAAAATTAAATTTAAACCAAATAATCTATATTAATCAGGCAATTAGTTTATAAATACCAACTTACTTTTTGAAACACCTGTTGATCAACCAACTAATAGAAGATTGAATTAAAATAAATCTTTTATAACACACACCACACCAACAAAGTAAAAACAAACCAACTAAATCAATCCACAACTTATAAGTAAATCAACATGTCATCTGGAGTAAGAACAAGAGTAGAAATACTTCATGTAAATATTACAATTTTTATTTATATATTTTGGAATTATACAATTTAAAATTTACAACTTGTAAACTGACAAATTATTTTTATCGATAATAGGATTTAACAAACTTTGTAGATTCTGAATACTATAAAATTCATAACGATTCATTGGCTTTCACATTAACAAACTCACTATTGCAAGAAGTAGAAGAGAATTCAATACAACAATCGGTTCAAAACTGTGGTAATCAACAACAATTGAATAATAATAATAATAACAACAATAATAATAGTTTAAAACACAATTTAACATCTTCTACTTCATCATCATCTTGTTCATCATCGTCATCAACCACTTCTTCACCAACACTCAATTCCATTAATAGTTCCACCGATTCCGATTCAATACAACCAAGAAAGCGTTGTAGACAAAATGAACCATCGCCAAACCTGACCTCAACATCATCATCATCAACTACCACCACTACAACCACAACAACTACCACTACCACTTCCAACAGTAACATTTCCACAATAATTGATGATAAACAACAACAATCCTGTTTCAAATCGTTTTCACCAACCAATAATTTATTTTTTTCCTATTTGGATGAAGGCTTGACAACATCATTGCCATCAATGAAATCCAAGGTCGACGAGAATGCCGTAGAAGTGTTTTGTAATGATTTAACAAAAGGTAATTACAATTTACGTATTTTTCTTTAGATACTTTACTAACATTTCTTTATTATCTTATATATAAAGAAGATGAAATCTTACCATTCTTGGAAAACGAAGATCAATGTACAAATACAAATAAACAAATATCAGACAATGATAACAATGTGAGTGATCAATCGGTCATTGACAATGAAAACAGCACTGGATTAAGAGGAGAATTGGTCCGTTCCAGTGTTGACAATAATGTAGATAGTGTAGATAATTCAAATAATATTTTAACTTCTTTGTTTTCACCTCAGTCCTACAGTAGTAGTAGTAATGAGAGTTCATCAAATAGTAAGTATTAAAAAACATAACTTATTGCTATAATATTATTATTATTATTATTATTATTTACTAATTTTATTTTATTTTTTTCTAGTATGTGTTCCTTTTATTCATAGTTTACCACAAGTCGATCATGATCTAAGAAAATCAATAGAGAGAACTGTGCCTGAGGAAGAGATAGAGGAGGAGGAGGAGGAAGAGGAACAAGAATTCAACCCATGGCTGTTCATTAAGCAACTGTCGCAAAGCTCAATTACACCTCCCAGTAATCGTTGTATGCTGCCTCCCAAAGACGAACAGACTCCAAAGATCTCACTGGTGCTCGACCTCGATGAAACATTGGTACACTGCAGCACCGAGCCAATCGACGAGCCAGACCTCACGTTTTTCGTAACCTTTAACAATGTAGAATACAAAGTATTTGCAAAGAAGAGACCGTTCTTTGAGGATTTCCTCTCAAAGGCATCGTCATTGTTTGAATTAATTATATTTACTGCTTCACAGGAAGTCTATGCAAACAAACTGCTCAACATGATCGATCCAAATAAACATATAAAGTAAGTAGTAATAATTAAATATTAACATAATTAATTACATAATTTAATTAACTAACAAACTAATCATATAATAATAATAATAATATTTAGATATCGATTATATAGAGATTCTTGTGTTTGTGTCGATGGCACCTATTTGAAAGATCTATCGATTCTTGGTAGAGATCTCTCGCAGGTGGTCATCGTAGACAACTCACCACAATCGTTTGGATTCCAAGTTGACAACGGTATACCAATCGAGAGCTGGTACGAAGACAAGAACGATCAGGAGCTTATGACTTTAATTTCATTTTTAGAATCTTTGAAAGAAGCTGAAGATGTCCGACCATTTATTAGAACTAAATTTGGTCTTCAAGAACTAATTGATAAAGCATAATTAATCATCACACAATTGAATCCAACCCATAACTTAATTGGATTTAATAACTATTTTTTTATTATTATTATATTATTTCTTTCACTACTCTTTTAATCTATTCTATTCTATTCTATCATTTTATAATAGAATAACATAATTAATGTGTAGTTGTTTTATGTATTTACAAAAGAAAAAGAAGAAAACAAACAACAAATCAAAATATTTTTTTATTGATATTGTTTATAAACAAACAAAGATATATTAAATTAATAGTATTTAAACATATAATTATATCTCAATCTAATCAAACATCAACTTCATTCAATTCAACATTTTATTAAATATAAATCGTACAATCAATCCAATGTAACTTGCTCAAATGATAATAAAATTAAATAAAGAGTTTATAATCATAATATTATAAACTTTCTTTAGAATTAAATTAAACTCTTATAAACATATATATGTTTATAATATTATTATTATATGATTATTTGATTGTATATTATTATTAATAATATAATCCGATGAGATCTTTAATTTCTTTAAGATTGTTTTGTGCAAGTTGATTTGCACGTTGAGAACCAAGTTGGAGGTATTCCTTTACTTGCTTTGGGTTGGCACGATGATATTCGATTTGATCACGAATAGGTGTAATCTTTTTGCAGAGTTGTTGTGCGAGATACTCTTTGAATTTACTGTGATATTGATCTTTGAATTCATGTGCAATGTCGGTGATAGGTGCACCGGTGGCAGCCGATGCTATCGAAAGAAGATTGGAAATGTTTGCACGATTCTCTGGGTCATAAGATACTCCCACGGTCGAATCGGTAGCTGCTTTCATAATCTTGTTGGTGATGATCTTGTCAGAGTCGGTCAGGTTGATTCTCGAATTCTCAGAGGGATCTGATTTACTCATCTTTGTAGAGGCATCGGTCAAACTCATGATTCTCTTGGTCTCTGTACAATTGACGATCTGTGGCAATGTGAAAAAGTCTACTTTATGATGTGAGTTGAATGCATATGCTATCTTTCTAGTCAACTCGACATGTTGTGTTTGATCTTCTCCAACTGGTACATGTGATGCTCTATTATTATTATTATTACATCATATTAGTAGTTGTGGTTATAATGATAAACGACAAACAACAACAACAACCAACTTACTTGTAAAGTAAAATATCTGCAGCCATCAAAATTGGATATGCCAACAAACCATATGTATTTTGAACTAATGAAGATGTATTCTTCTTACTCTTTTCCTATATATATAATTATTGTATTGTTTTGTTGTTAATTCTAATCGAAATGAAATGAAGGTGATTAACAAGTGCTGTTTAGATCTAAACTTACTTTATATTGAACCATATTCTCAAGTCTTCCAATGGCTGTGTGACAACTTAGTATCCATTGCAACTCTGCGTGTGCAGATACCTGTGATTGGTTGAATAGAATTACTTTGGTAGGATCGATTCCACATGATATATATTCGATGGCAACATCGAGTGTGTTTGCTCGTAGACGCTCTGGTGTAACCGCTTTATTTGTAAGTGAATGAAGATCGACTATCGAGAAGAGAATATCATGCTGTTGCTGCTGGTTGTTATCACCCGACAGTATAGTGTTTTGAATCTCTACCCAATTCAACATAGCACCTACATAGTTTCCTAGATGCAGACCACCGCTAGTTGGTTGCATTCCACTGAATATTCTCACTTTATTATTCTTGAAATCATAGTTTGTCTTGAATTGCTCGATCGATGTGATCAATGATGGTGGTTCAGCTGAAGCAGTAACCTTACTACTAGAGAAATATCTATTATTACCAACAAAACTTGAACATCTTACTCCAATTGAATTTGATATATATTTTGATGATATATTTTTAAATAATAAAGTATTCATAACTTATAATGAAATTATGATCAGTTTAATTTCGGTCATCCCATCTGATTAATCTCCAAATTTGGAACAAAAAATTTTTTTGATCAAAAATTTATCTATAAGCCACATAAGAATTATTCGTCACATGATCATAATAATAATAAAATCATATTAACCAAATATAGACATATTTGATTAGGTTAATCAAAGATTTACTATTAATCTACTTTTATCAAATACTTACAAACTCAATATTTTCTAAATGGTTATAAAATTTACAAATAGATAATCGTTTAAAACTTTTTAGATAACATCTAATATTAATTGTCTTTCATAATCTATTAAATATCGACAATATGATAGATAGTGTATTGTTGTTTTATTTACATTATAATTAAGTATTTGTTTTACCAATTTTCACTTAGTTGGGATGTTGGACATTTACATGGAGTGTGTTTTGGATTGAATGGTAAATTAGTATGCGATCCATCACAGTGAGGTGGTCGTTGGGAATATCGACAACCACAGAGTAACCACATACTCTGATTTCTGTCGAGTGTAAACTCTATAGGTTTATACTTTGTTCCGATATGTGATTTGTCGCAAAACGGTTGATTCTTGGTTTGTCCACACGTACAATATTCGTAGACTACATCTTTTTTCAGACCTCTCACTGTGTAAGGACTGTACATTTGAATTTTCAGAGGTATCAATTTACTACAATTACATTTACTGCAGATCACCTCGGTCTCTGCATCGATGATAGAGTTGCCCATCATCAGACTACCACTGGTAGGGTTGCTGGCGGGACTACTATTGCTGTCGTCAGTACTGATATCGCTGTCTTGATCGAGAGCTGGAGAAGGAAGAGTAGTAGATGAATCACAACCAATAATTACATCGTTGTCATTCAAGTTCAAATTCTTTGAATTCGCAATAATTGATTGAATCATCGATTTGTCATCTTTATCGCTATCCTTACATTGGCACCGGTTTTCCAACTCCAAATGAATTTTCGTGTCTGAAACTTCATGAGAATGGGTTATTGTTTCCTCCAATTTTCTTGATGACATAATCACTATTTTTGTTTTTTTTTGATTGTTGAAATCGAAAAGCTTCACTCAATAAATTTCTTCAATCCAATTTATCTGTGATTCAAATGTTGGATGTTGTAATGTAAACCTATGAACCTATGAATATTGAATAGGTATAAATTAAAAATGAAATGCTTATACAAAAATAAATAAAGAATATATAAATAAATACTTTTTTAGATTAAATAGATATAGGTATTGAAATATAAATATTTATATAAATTTTATTTATTTACATCTTTCAAAAACAATTTTTATCAGTTTAAATAGAAGAGGAAGAGTTCGTTGTACTTTAAATAAATTTTAAATTAATCAAATCAATTCATTAGTGAGCAATAGCAGGTGTGCCAAACAATTGCAGTAGAAATAGTAAGAAGTAAATATAGCGGAGCTAAAAGTAAGGAAGCAGCAGTTTCATTTTTTGCAATCAATCAGTATAATATAATTAGCAGTGCACTCTACCATATCGATTGATCTCCAACATATTAACCAAACTTGAATGAATCAATCAAGTATACTTATATAATACAATGCTTGTTGTATAAATAATTTGGTGACTGTGTGTTTTTTGTTTAATCAATTCCAGGTGCTTCTTATTTACTTTTTGGTAAATTGGAATCAGTTTGGTTCATCATATTTAGATATATATGAGAATGAATTGGTTTTCATCATCATCCATCCTCCACCCAATTAAATTAAAAACTTACATCTAAACATGTGAACAATTAACCATTATTTTAATAAAGTCAATTGGCAAACAACAAAACAACAACAACAACAACAACAATACTTTTGGAACATGCACTTTATAAATAACACTATGATCATACAAAACAGTCACACGATAGCGGGTTATGAAACTATAACACGCACAGACCACCCCAACACAACACATCCAACACTCTTACACACACACTGCAAACAATATGATCTCGCTCAATACTTTCTAAACCAAATTTAAATATTTGTTGCAACAATATGTGTACATCTATAATAAACGACAACAACAACAACAATATAAAGAACAACATTGATCAGTGTTCTATTAACAACAGCAATAGACATTCTATTAAATCTGGTCAAACAATCTAACCAAAAAAAAAACAATATGCTATGCTTTTTACAAAAAATAATAACTTTACTTAAACCAACATATTCATTTTTAAGGTTTAATGAAAAAATATTTAGTTATAAAAAAAAAATCAAAAAATTAAATAAGATTAAGATCAATCGGACTTCAGAAAATGGAGAACTATTCAAATTTAAATTTGATGTTCATTCACGTGACCGTTAATTTTTAATATTTTTTTTTTAAAACCTAAACATTTATTTACATGACGTAAAGTTTATTTATCGATATATTTATAATTAATTATTATTATTGATCCTATCTTAAGACTCAGATATAATCAAAACAACATTATTTGCAAAATTAAAATTTTAATTCTTTTTATTGTTAAAAATTATTATTATTGGTGATCTTTAAAAAAAACAAAAAACAAAAAAAAAACAAATAAAAAGATAAACAAATATTCTATTCCTCGCCCACATAAAACTTCATAGACAACAACAGCAACAACAACTTGTCACAATATATATTTATAACAACAATAAATAATAATAATAATAAAATATAATAAAACATAATAGTTTTGTTAACATCATACTAATAAGACAATTTAACATTCATATATATCAAAAATCATTTATATAATATACATTTTTAATAACAGACATGATAAATTCACTGCGACTAAGATCAACAAATCAAGCCAATTCAACACAAACAACAACACCTCTTTTAGATAGTTTAATAAATACAAATGCACAAGTAGCTTTCAAAAACAACGATGTTGCAAAATCAATCGAAGCACATGTACCTAGGAAAATAGATGATGAACCACATAAAAGGTATATTAGTGAAGTAGTATTAGAGGGGTTAAGAAGAGAGTATAGTAGAGTAGAGTAGAGTAGAGTGTGTTTTATATATAGTCAAAAAATGAATACTAATAAAACAACAACAATATTAGTATAACATTTAGAAAAGGAACATTATTATATTTAAAATCATCGATTTCTTTTGGATCGTATGCAGTGTTAATTTGTATAGCAACAGTAATTGTACTTGAAACATTCTTTTCTTTTATTGCTGAACTACCGGGTTCGCAGTATCGAGAGAATGACAGTCATCGGAGTGTGTTGATTCTGACGATACCCATACTCACTGCGATATCGATGGCGTTTGCATTTGTAGAGGCATCGAACAAACGATTGGAAATCAACTTTTACGAATCAGAGAAACGTCGAGAGACATGGGAGTACGATAACTATGTCGAAGGCGAACAACGAGAGATGGTCGATCTCTACTGTAAAAAAGGAATGGCAAACGAAGACGCGGTTCAAGTTGTAACTTTATTAAGTAAATACCGTGATCTTTTCATCGATATCATGATGGCCGAAGAATTGAATTTAATATCCGCAGAGTTAAATCTAACTCCTTTTTATAACGGTATGCAATGAATTAACTTTATATAAATACATAAAAACATCATAGTTTAAGTTTAACTTTACCTAACATATTCAATATCTATTAATAACAATAGGAATAATAGCATTTGTTTCATTTTTTATTTTTGGATTATTACCGTTGATCCCATTCTTTTTCAATTGGAGTTTGGATAGTAGTGTTGTACTTCCATTGTTTTTAATAACTGCGGAAATCGAATTGTTTTTAATTGGTGCCGCCAAGGTAATTAACAAATCAAACTGTCTAGACAAACGAATGTTAATAATAACTAACAATGATAACAAACAATAATGTAGAGTAAATTTTATACAGGTATTTGGTGGAAAGAAGGTTTAATATCTGCTTGGAATGGTATAATATCGATTGTTGGATCTAGAGGTACTGTTTATCTATTAAGATTAACAATGATATAAATTAAAGTATTTGTTTTTAATATTACAAATATTATATATAATCAAAGAAAAACACACTTTTGTATTTGTTTTTTCTTAAATGTTACATAGTTAAAATATATTTATTTATTTTAAATTATAGAACATCTACTTGGCTCTACGGCTTGTTGATCTTTCCTCAGATGACCTATAAAATAATGATTGTTTAAGAGTTGAAGCATTGTCTTTGAGTGGAATTGAACGTTTTCAGTACCGTCTTTACCGGCGAATCTAATGAGTGCTCGCTTTCCACCTGGGTGTCGATCTATGTATGTTGTAATGTCGTAAACTTTATTCTGTATGATCATCCAACAGTCATCTATAGTACAGTGCTTGGAAATCTCTTCTAAACTGAAATGGTTGTTTTGATTCAGTGGGTCTTTCAAACTTGTTGGTGTATATTTTGGTAATGATTGTATTTTTACTTCTTGTTCTATATCCTGTTGTTGTTGTTGTTGTTGTTGTTCTTTTATCAGACTATCTTTTTCTATACTTTGTACTAATTGTTGTTGTGGTTGTTGTTGTTGAGACGACGTCAGTGTATTGCTGTTGCTGTTATTTAAATTTTTGATGTTTGTTGATTGTCTAAGTTGTCTTGTTTGCTTCTGATTACTTGTTGTATTGCTATTGTCATTTTGTTGCTTTTCAAACTTTATGTAAATTGGAGTTAGATTGCTGTTTGTTTCTTGGTTGAATTGCTTGTGTGTTGAATCGCAGTAGGGATAGGCTTTCGATTGCTGACAGGTGCACAGTGGTATCTTGATATTGGAACTCGCCAGTTTATCATTGTCGAACGAGTTGAAGAGGATATCGGATGCAGACTGACTTTCATTGGGCAGCGCTTCCGTAAAGTTTTTCAGTGACTGTGTAATGGTGTTCAGTGAGTGTGAGAGTGGTCTGTTGCTGCTGTGCTCTATCGTCACCTTGGTACCATCCAAGTTAGCGCTGTTGGAAACCATTCGTTTCTTCAAGATCGATGATGCAGTTGGAGGTGTCGATTCCTCTATATCCGGTATACCGCCGTTGTGCTCGAGCAGCAGCTCACACGAACACATCGATTTACACGATCTTGGTGATATCGATGAATGTGGTGGTGGTGTATTCATAGGTATTGGTTCCATAACTAGTTATTATATCTATCTATCTTTTTCTTATTTTTTTATTTCTATTTTTGTTTTTAATATATATATATAAGTAAATAAATAATTATTCTTCAAAAAAACTTTTAACTAAAATAATAATAATTAACTAACATAAATAAATATATATTATATAATTATTATATATAAAAATAAAATTACTAAATATGTATATATTTTATTTCTGGTTGTTGTGTTGTTAAAAAAATAATGGGTTTTGTTGAAATATATAAATAAATAGAGTTTAGTTTAATCACCGATGATTATTATTAATGTTGAGAAAAAAATAAAACTTGTTAAAAAATGATTAAAATCACTATTTTTGTGTTGTAGGTTGGGTGATGTGGGGGGAAACAAACTAAGGATGGAAAAGTTTGTGCAAGAGTCTGTTTTTCGACAAAAAAAAATGAATGATACTGAGCACAAAAAAAAATGCTAGGCTTTTGTAACTTTAATTTGCCTGAATTATTACTATTATGATTTTTTAGGTTTTTAGAAAATTTGATTGACAAGTTTCTAACTAAAAAACCAATATTTAAATAATGATAAAACCAAACTAGGTTATCTATATAATAATAAATAATTAAATTTATATCTGAAAAAGAAATTACAAGACCACTTTACTTTACTTTGCTTTGCAAAACTTAATTTAAAATTAAACTAATGGTGCTGTCGTTTAGTGAATGTCTGTTTGTTGTTTGTTACTGTTATTGGTGTTGTGGTGAATTGTAGCTCCGCTGTATATATGTTATTCAATCTAATGGTGCTGAGGGTTTATTCCTTTAATAAAATTTATCTACTTTTTCTATTAATTTTTTTGCATTAAATTAATAGTTTAACCTATTTAGCTGTTTGACAACTCTGAATAAAATGATAATAATAATTATAATTATAACTCTTTTTATAATGTAATCTTATTCTTATTATCTGATAGCAACAAACTTTCTGATAGTTGTTTTAAATATTCTTTCAAAATTTATTTATAATGTAAATTTTATTGTGTGTTGTGTGTTGTTGTTTTTGTTTTGTGTCTGTTTCTGTTTGTCTGTGTTATATTATATTATATATATATATATAAAATAAATATAAATAAAAATTTAAATTCAAATTTGAAATTGAATTGAATTTGAACAAAGATGAATGGTGATATTTATGAGTAGTATTACTATAAAAATATTATAAAAATAATATTGATATTGATTCAAGATATTGAAAAAAAAAAAAAAAAAAAATAATAATAAGAGAAATTTAAAGAAAAAAAGCTCTTTGAAAATATTTATATATTTATATGTTGAAAACAACCAACAACACTTTTTCTCAATTTTAAATATTTCCTTTAAGGTATTATTATCATTCCACTCCACATTCTGGTATAGAGCTTATTTTTTTTTTTTGTTTTTTTTTTTTCTGGAGTTTTTTTTTAATTTTGAAAAAAATCGCACTACTGGAATGAACTTCCAGAATTTGCAAAACATAATCATAAATCATAGAAAAAAGATAGTTGTTTTATAAGATAGTATACATTTTCTTATTATACCATGATTGATTGTTATTTTAAATAGAAAAATAAATTAGAAGATATAAATGAAAAAAATTTAAAAATTTAAAAATTTAAAAAATAAACAGTTGTTTCAAAAAAAACTTTAACGATTAATTATTATTGAGTTCATTAACTAGCGATCTGATTGATTTAATTAAAATTTTTTAATTTCATTAATTTAATTACTATAAATAGATATATATTATTCATTTATAGATATTTATTTATTTATTTAATTTGTTTATTTATTTATAAAGATTATTATTTAGATAAACAAAGATGTATGGTGGAGGTGACGATGTTTCTGCGGTTGTACTAGATGTCGGTACATCTTATAGTAAAGGTGGTTATGCAGGTGAAGATTCACCAAAAGCAATATTCCCAACCGTAAGTATATCTATCTATAAAGATATCTTTCTTCAAATTCAATAGTTTGTTTATTCATATATATATGATGTGTTAAACTTATCCAAATTGGTGTTTATATTTTTTAGGATGTTGGAGTGACCTATACCTCTGGTAAAGATGGTATGGTTGGAAGTAGAGAGCAGGGAATCGGTGAAGACCAAGACATGGATCAAGACGTTAAGAAAACATATTATATCGGTACAAACTCTATCACCTATAAACGACCACATATGGAGATACAGAATCCTTTACAAGATGGTTTAAGTATGTTGTACTTTACTTTAATAGATAGAGATTGATTAAACTATTGTTAACACACACATCCTATTCACATTTGATCTATATAATATGATGATTTGCTTATTTTACAGTTAAAGATTGGGAAGCAATGGAGAAGATTTGGAATCATGCATTCAGAGAGAGATTGAATATCAACCCGAATGAACATCCTATATTGTTGGCAGAGCCATCATTCAACACCAGACAGATCAGAGAGAAAGTTGCAGAGTTGATGTTTGAAAAGTTTCATACACCGGCATTGTTCATCTCAAAGAATGCCGTACTCACCTCTTTCGCAAGTTGTAAAGCATCGTCACTCGTTTTGGATTCAGGTGGTGGAATGACATCTATTGTACCTGTTCACGATGGTTATGCAATAAAGAATGGTAAATATATTATCATGATACATGAATGATGCTAACAATACAATTCAGATTATAACTAAACTAATCTTATCTTTTTGTTATTACTATTAATAAACAACAACAACAACAACAACACCAAATTATAGCAATTATTAAATCCAATCTTGCAGGTAATAAACTATCTTCAGAATACTATAGAGTGTTATCACAAAAGAATATTAGGATCAATCCACATAATCTTATCAAAAAGACAGAGATTAAGCATCCGGAGTACAATGTATCGGTTATCGAGTCGCCAGAGTTGACAGAATCGTACAGACGCTATGTATCATTAGAAACAATTAGAGATTTAAAAGAATCATCATTTAGAGTATCAAACGGTGCCGTTGGTGATGAGTATGTAGAGAATATATCATCAAATATACTATTATAGTAGTATATATATATAAACGCTAACAAAACAAACATACAACTAATAATTACTCTTTTATTATAATAGTATAAATATTGCAACAGTACCATACGAGTTACCGGATGGTAATTTACTGGAGGTAGGATCCGATCGTTTCCAAATACCAGAGTTGATGTTCAATCCGACGTCATTGAACGACGAGACCAACAATTACTTGCCACTGCCCAAGATGATCTATGACAGTGTCGAAAAGTGCGATACCGACATCAGAAAGGAGTTGATTGCCAATCTCTTGTTGTCCGGTGGTAACACACTGTTCCAAGGATTCTCAGATCGTCTCTACATGGAGCTCGGTGATCTCTCACAGGCATTCGGTAAAGTGAAGTTCGTTGTGCCCAGCGCTAACGAGCGTAAATACAGTGTTTGGATCGGTGGTTCTATCTTGGGTTCACTCGGTACCTTCCAACAGATGTGGATGAGTAAATCGGAATGGGAAGAGTTTGGTCGTCCTCTAGTTGAAAAGAAATGTCCATAAAAAATCAAAAGTAAAAAAAGTAATAATAAAAAAACTAACAAAAAAATAAAAGAAAAAAAACAAATAAATTAACTCAACAAATAAAAGAAATCAAAATAGTATAGTATTGTTTCCATTTGAATTAAAAAAAACAACTCAACTCAACTCATATATATATATATATTGATATTAAATTAACACTAAATATATTATATTATTTGTACTTGATTTAACCCATTAAAACGAGATGTCAGACCCTATCAGGAGCAGGACTTTCAAATTGATTTATTTTTGAATCAGCTTTTACTTTCTTTTTCTTGTTTTTAAAACACATCACTTTATTGGAAAGAGACTGTTTTATTTTGGGTTTTTTTTTTGTGTTTGGTCTTTGCACTTTATATTAAATCAAAAAATCTTTTTTATTTTCGTGGGTTGTTTATTTGATCAGAGTGATTCGGGTGTTTCTATTGAAAAATCTTAAATGTAAAAAGGTAAAAGTATTAAGTTCGGTGTTAGCTCGGGTGTTTGTTTGTTTGCAGAGATTTTCCAAAAAAAAATGTTTTTGGTGATTTTAACACACATCAAACATGCACAAAATTTATTTTTATACATCATTTAAATATTTTCACCACCCTATATATTCACAGTCGACTTGATCAAAATAAAATTAATGAATGAAATGATCAAACTCTCTGAGTACTGTGATATAAACCCTTTTTTTTGACCCACACTCTTTATTTTTGGGAATCATATTAAATTTGTACACATGTTCTACTTCTCTTTCTGTTTACTAATGATTTGATTCCATACACTAATTCAATAGTTTTACTACTTCCACTTATCAGCGAATGATGTGTGCTCCTTTAGAAAGTTGAAAAATTTAAAGAAAAGAAGAATGATACTTTTTGTCAATAATAAAAGTTGAGTTGACCAAAGAGTGTATTTTCATTCATTCTTCATAATCTAAATTATATATTCTTTTATTTATTTATCTTTTCAACTTATTTATATTGTATATTATTTATATTTTTTATATTTAAAAATGATTTCACAAAAATATTTAACATTAATATTCTTTTTTATTTCAACATTTTTATATATTTCCATAATCAATGGAGAGAATCAAAATCCTATTTATAAATATGAATCCAAACTAAAATTTAGAACCGATGGAAAATTTAAAATTGTAATATTATAAATAGTTTTTTAAATATTTAACTATTAATTAAATTATTTTTAATTTTAAATATTTAAATATTTATAACTATTATTTCTTTTCTTTTCTCTTCTAATTGTTTTAGATAATGTTTACCGATTTACATTATGGTGAATTCAATTCCTTTGACTCTTTAAATCACCAAGCTCAGAGTATGTATTATTAATGTATCAATTTTTTATTTATTTTACAAATATTAATAAAATTCCAATTTATAGATAAATTATTGGATTTCGAAAAGCCAGATTTGGTAATCCTATCTGGTGATATGATAAGTGGATATAATAAAAACTTTTTCAATGAGTCAAGATATCATCATTCATGGGAATTATTAACTAAACCAATGAGAGATAGAAATATACCGTAAGTATAAATAAAAAATAAAAAAACAAGAATATAATTAACAAATTTTATTGATTTTTCACTATTTTTTTAGATGGGCAATTACTTTTGGAAATCATGATGCTGAAGGATCCTATACAGGTAGTATGTTGATGGATTTAGATTTATCATACAATGGTAGTCTATCTCAACATGGTAAAGTCTATGGTGTTGGTGCTGCAAACTATATTCTACCAATAACCAATTCAAAATCAGATGACATTGCTTCACTGGTTTATATCTTTGATAGTGACAATGAAGATTGTGATGAGAATAGTTATTGGGGTTGTGTTTATAAGGAGCAAGTTCGTTGGTACGAGGAACAAAGTGAATATTATAATAAGGTAAGTAAATCGATTAATCTATTTTTTTATTAAAATCAAATAATTAACATGTTTTGTTAAAATATTATAGACACCATCAGTTGCCTTTGTTCATATCCCACCAATTGAAGCCGTTGACCTTTGGAATGAATATGAAGTGTATGGTGATTTCGGTGATACTCAAGCATGTTGTTATACTACCAGTGAGTCGAAATTTGTGGATACTATTGTGGAGAGAGGTGATATCAAAGCATTGTACTTTGGTCATGATCATAGAAATGACTACCATGGTAACTACAAAGGTTTGGATCTTGGTTATGGAAGAAAGACTGGATATGGTTCATACGATCCAAAGTATCCACAGGGTGCAAGAGTGATTGAAATCGAGCAAGATCCGTTCACTCATAAAACATGGATCCGTAATGTCTTTGGTGATGTAGAGGATCAGCCATTACACAAGCCATCGGCTGATCAAGTTCCAAGAATCTGTTGCCTACCAGCGAAAGAAACACCTCTATACTGGGTGCCTTATGTTCTAGTATTTTGTTTAGTGATCATTGGATTCTCTTTGTTCCAATTCAAAAAATTATTATCGATACCATCAATGAATGATGAACCAATTTATTCAAGTGTACAAACTCATGATATTTAATAGTTAAAGATAACATTAAATTTAAAAATAAATAAATAATAGTATATTCTATAATTTTAAAATTTTAATATTCGAACAATAACAATAGTTGCTAAATTGTACTTGATCTAAATATCTAAAATCAAATCCCTCATCAGGGAAGTGCACAAATCCTAGAAACAAAATATTAATCTAGATCGTTGATCCGATCAAAAGATGTCTATCCCTCATCTCACCACTAATTTTTTTTATTTTGTTTTGTTTTTTTTTCACTAAAAATCCTTGATTGATTTGTTTCTTAAAATACCATTTCTTAAATTCAAATAATTTTATTAAAATTATAACATATTTTATCAACAATAATATATTTTAAGAATGGATTTTTGTAAAGATCATTGGGAACAACCTTTTACATTTTATTGTTCAACTTGTAAACAGTTAGTTTGTAATGAATGTATCGTCAGTACACATCAAACACATACATTTTGTACCAACAGTAAAATGAGAGTAGAAGAGGAAAGCAATCGTTTCTATATGAAAAAGATCGAATATCTTTGGAAACAATTGAAACATACAACAACAACAGTTGAATCACTCAGAAAGACAGAGACCGAGATAGCAGAGTTCTACAAAGTACTTCACGATCTTCTCATTCAAGAGGAGCATAAGATCAAGAAACAAGTGACTTCAGAGATTGACAATGCAGTTCCGTTAGTTCTTGATTTAGTTAAAGAGATACAAACAACAAAACATGTCATCGAGTCAATGGGTCTGGAGATTACCAACTTAATGACAGTGGAAACAGTACAAGAAAGTAACAACAACAATGATGATACCACTATCAGTGAGCAAGTGGAGGAAATGGTTACCGAGGAAATAGTCAGTATCAGGGTTGTCGAAGATGATATCAATAAGCTGTTTGATGCAGTTGGTCATTGTTCAAATTTAGAATCATTTTTGAAAAATGAATCATTATTTCCAAAGTCAGTTCGAGAGAGTGACAAACCAATCGACCAAAAGCAACTTATTGAATGTATGGGATACATTACACAGCTCAAACCATCAATTTCAATCCGATTACCAATTGAGTATGAAGTAAAGTTCTCTGAACAAGCTAGAACCAGTATTGTTTCAAGTATTCCTCAATTAAACGATTTGTATGACAAGAACAGAAAGTTTTTAGTTATTCATAAGAGTGATGGATGGATTAAGTTGGATCTTGCAAACGAAACTATAAGCAACGTTGATCCACCAACTTCAAATAGTTATTATACCCTATCAGTAAATGGGCGCACTTCTTTGATATGTGATAACTCATTATACACATTTCAAGATAGTAAATGGAAGAAAGAGTCTTTAATTAAGTCAGTTCCGAATATAACTAGTTCGTGTCACGACTCCAAGAATAACACTATTTATATATTTTATTCAGAATATTCGCAAAATTATATGTTGAAATGGAATCTTAATGACAAGTCATCAAGTGTTTCAACATTAAAATCACATGTAAGTGGTATACCTATATTCATTGACAATTCAATATATTTTTTCAATAACTCAACCAAACAAATTCAACTTTTGGATCAAGAAAAATACACAATGGACTTACATTATTCATATGAGAAAGTAATTTCAAGAAAACTTCATTACGGTATCTATGATAGAAATCGATCAGTCTATATATCAACAAAGAAATCTATATACAAGATATCTGTTATCGATAAAACATGCACCAAAATAACAAATCTTCCTTGTTTCCTCAATAAAAAATCAACAATTAGAATGGCATATGTAAATCAACCAAATAGTCAAATCAAAGGTGATGTCATTTATATTTTCAACATAGATCCAGAGGCAATTCATTGTTATCATATAGAATCTAACTCATGGCATATAATTAATTCATCAATCAAAAATATTCTTACACCTTTAATATTCTTTTTGAAAATAAAATTATTCTAAAGTACTTTTTCCTAAATATCAAAAATTAAGTTAATTTCGAGGCTTTACTGTTTACTTCGACTATCTGTGGTTATTAAATTTAAAAATTAATAACAGATAAAGCTTGGATATCATTTGTTTTTTTTGTTATTGAAAATTCAAAAAAATAAAGATAATTAATTTTTGAAAATTAAAAATTAAATTAAGGATATATCATTTTCTTTTCAAACCTTTTTGAATTGTTTTAGAATTTTATAATATTTATTCTCTATTCTTTACTTTCATCTCAGGTTCAAAAGAAACTTTCTTATCCTTACTTAAAAATCAAAGACTCTAGAGTATAGAAATTGTTTTAGTGAAAGATATAATAGTATTTACACTCTTTTCACTGATCAACTTTTTTAAAGTAAAATTGGGTTCTTTCATACTTTAATAATTTTGTAAATTGTTAAACCTAAAAAATTTAAGAAATATCATATTCTTCTAATTAATGACGATTGGTATCGATTTTTTACTCGATCATTAAGGTATTGATACTATTAAAATTGTATCGATATGTGACCTCAATCCAAATTTGAAGTTTTTTAGATTAAAAAATTGATGAAATTCACAAAAAAAAACAAATATATGGTGCACACCACAAATTTTTGTCTTTTTCTAGATTTGAACAATTTCATTCTTTTATTCTAGAGAATATTTGGTTTATTGTTTTGGAAATCAAGGAACTTGTTTTAAACTCATTTCTTCTATGTTTTGATAAATAACTTTTGTAAAAGAACCATTCTTGATCCTTTAGGTTTGAATAAAAATTCGATCAGACCAGCAAACTCACAGTTTTTTATCGACTACGTAGATATTGAAGTTCAAAAATGGAAATTAATTAATTTTCCATATATGGATATGGATAAGTGTCAATGTGGCATTTTTTAATATATTTATATGTAATAATTTTAGTATAAATACTGAGATTTCCAACAATGTAAAATGTATAAAAATTTTATTTAATAACAATGATTGTAATTTCAAATCCTATATCTGAAATAATAATTATCTTCTTCTTATTATTTGGATTGGCATTTTCAGGTGATCCAGGCCAAACCGATCTAAAATTTAGAAGTGATGGCACTTTCAAAATCGTAAGAAAATTCTATTTATTAAAACAAACTATTTTAATTAATATTTATTGAAATATTTATTTTTCTTTTTCCAAAATAAAAAGATTATGTTTACCGATTTACATTATGGTGAAAAGACCCTTTATGATACTTTGAATATTGAAGCCCAAAGTAAGGAATATAATAAAATAATTAGAATTATTTAAAATATAAATATTAATTTTTTTATTTTAGATAAATTATTAGATTTTGAAAAACCTGATTATGTTATGTTATCTGGAGATATGATTAGTGGTTATAATGAACACTTTTTGAATGAATCCAACTATCGTTATTATTGGGATACCCTTACCAAGCCAATGAGAGATAGAAATATTCCGTAAGTTAAACAATAATAAATAACAAAAATAAAAAATAAAAATTCTAATTTTGACAAAAAAACAATAGATGGTCAATTACTTTTGGAAATCATGATGCTGAAGTAAGTATTATTTTTATTAAATATATAAATAAATATTAATAATAATATTAAATAGGGACCTTATAACAGTGCCATGTTAATGGATTTAGATATGTCATACAATGGTAGCATTTCTAAAAAAGGTACTGTTTTTGGTGTTGGAGAGTCAAACTATATATTACCAATCCTATCATCCAATTCCAGTGATATCGCATCATTAATTTATATCTTTGATAGTGATAATGAAGGATGTGGTAATTTAGGAAACTGGGGTTGTGTTTACAAACAACAAGTAGAATGGTACGAACAACAAAGTGATTTTTATAACAAGGTAAATATTGTTTTAATTAATTAAAAAAAATTAAAAAAAAAACAAATAAAATATTAATTTACTTACTATTTTGTTTTAAATATATAGACACCAGCTGTTTCATTTGTTCATATTCCACCTATTGAAGTAGTTGATCTTTGGAATAACAATGAGGTATATGGTGATTTTGGTGAATCTGCTTCCTGTTGTTATACTACTACTGAATCGAAATTTGTTGATACTATTGTGGAGAGAGGTGATATCAAGTTTCTCTACTTTGGTCATGATCATAGAAATGACTACCATGGTAACTACAAAGGTTTGGATCTTGGTTATGGAAGAAAGACTGGATATGGTTCATATGATCCAAAGTATACTCAAGGTGCCAGAGTATTCCTTCTTCAAGAGAAACCATTCACCTTCAAGACATGGATCCGCAATGTCTTTGGTGACATCGAAGACCAGCCTCTCCATAAACCATCAGATCAAATTCCTATGTATTGTTGTGCTCCAGGTAATTATTAAATATAAAAAAATATAAAATATATAATGAAAATATAATATAATTATATAAAATATTAATTTTAATTTATTTAAATTACATAAAAATAATTATTATAGAGAAATTCAATCCTAATTGGGTTATATCTATATCAATATTAGGTGCAATTCTCATTGTATTATTTGTCGTACATATTAAAACGGTAAAGAAATATCATGCTGTGAAATTAGAAATTATTAAAAAATAATAATTATATTTTTCTAATTTATTTAATATTTTAGAAAACAGCCACAACAACAATCACAACAAATTCTAAATAAAGTATGTAACTAAAAGTGTAATCATTGATTACCGTGGCATATTTATTTAGTTTTCACCCCACAAGTTATACTGTATCACTGTCGATTCTTCGAGAGAATTTAATTTGATGATGATCATATTTAATAGGTTGACGCCACAAGGATCTCATTTTAAAAACCCAATTTACTTTCAGAAAATTATAAATTCATTTTTTAAATTATTGGAAATTTTAAATAAAAACAATAAATATCTATCTATTTTACATCAGGTGACCTTATAAGGATAAACAAATTTTTAATAATTTTTGGCATTAGTTAATTTATTTTGAAAAATAAAGAAAATCTTTAAAATCCAAAAAAGTTTTTCGTTTTGCGTCAGAAAGAAAAAGTAAAGGTTTTGATAGGTCGATATTTGCACATTAAAAATATTTTTTTAATAATTAAAAATTTAATATTTTTTTTAAATCGGGACTATATTATTCTTTAAGTACTTGTATTAATTTTTTATTTTATTATTTTTAACAAGATTTATCTTGAAGATGTTAACAAATATATATAATAATTTTTTTTTCTTATTTGAACCTAATATTTGAAAATTTTGATTATTTATTTTTGATTTAATTTAAAGATAGTTACTATTTTTTTTATCACTATTAAAGGTCTTGCAGGACTATGGAAGTAATGATTAATGTTAACAAATTGATTTTATTGTTTGGTTGCCATGTAACATCTTTCATGTGGTTAAAGCTTGAAATTTAATTATTGGAAATTGATGTTTTTTTAATGTTAATTTTTTGCAAACTATTAACTTTATTTATTATCTAATTTTTTTTTGATAGACTATTATGATACATTCATATATAATAATAATAAAACATTGTTTATATATAATTTAGTTTGTTAGGTAGTTAAGTAAAGTTTGTTTGTTTTCTATTCAATCAAGTTTAGTTTGTTTGTCAATATATTTATTTTATCAAAGAAAGAGAAGAAGAAGAAGAAGAAGAAGAGGGAGGTAGTAGCAACAGTTTTACATTTATTTTTATGCTGGTTTTGTTACTAAAACCATGATATCAGAGAGTACACCTGATATTACATGTCCTTTTCATCATCTATTATGTAAATTGATAACACCGACCCAAGGATCATATGCTGGTCGTATCTACACACTCTGTCCCAATAGGATATGTTCATTCTCGAAATGGCATGACAGAGGTACCACTCTCTCACAGTTACTCATTAACAATAGTACTACTAGTACTAGTAATAGTAATACGACAACAACAACAACAACAATGCCAACAATGATACCAACATTAACAACAAATGTTAATAATAATAATAATAATAACAATAATAGTGGCAATGACATTACTAGTAACAGCAACAACAACAACTACATTTCATCATCACCAACACCACCACCACCACCACCACTTGTGAAACTAGATGTCATTAAACAAGAGTTACCGCTTCAACTTCCACTTAAACAAGAGCCAACGTTTCAACCTCAAATTAAACATGAGATATCATATCAACTTCCACTTAAACAGGAAATCAAGCAAGAGACTGCTTTTCAACCTTATCAGCCTCAAATTAAACAGGAGACATCATATCAACTTCCACTTAAGCAAGAGTCAACATTTCAACCTCAGCTTAAGCAAGAAGTCAAACAAGAGATTACTTATCAGCTTCCACTTAAGCAAGAGACAGCATTTCAACCTCAGCTTAAGCAAGAGACAGCATATCAACTTTCACTTAACCAAGAAGTCAAACAAGAGACTACGAACTTTCAAATCAATGTTATTAAGAATGAAGTTCAACCTACTTTATTACAGCCTCCTCAAAATAGTATAAAAGTTCCAGATATAGTTAATAATAGTTATAGTGGTAATAATAATAATAGTTATAATAATAATAATAATAATAAAAATAATAATATCGATATAAGGAATGGCAGATCGGACGATGCAATTTTAATTAGTTCATCCGATGATGAAAGAGAAGAAGCAGCAGATCAAGGTGTAATTTCACAGACAGAGAGTATATCTGTAGATGACGATGGTAATGATGAAGACGATGGTATAGAGCTTGTAAATGATGACGACGACGATGGCAACGTAGAAGATGACAATAGTATTTTAATAAACGATGACGATCAGATCATTTTCACACCAACACCACCTTCATATAATCCAAAACAACAACAGCAACATGATAACATTAAAAACAACAATAGCGTAATCAATAACAATAATAACAGCTGTAGCAACAACAACAACAATAATAACAATAATAACAATAATAATAATAATAACAGCAACAACACAATAGATCTTGATGATGATGATAACAATATAGATGTAGATAATTATGTTTCACCAATACCACCGAATTCTACAGCAAAGTATCAATATCTACAACAAAAACGACAACAACAACAAATGCAACAACAACAAATAAAACAACAACAGCAACAACAACAGCAACAACAACAAACACCAAGTAAATATCAATTGACTTTTATTGATATCAACGATAATCCACAGAGTAAAACGCAAATTCAGAATCTAAAGGTGATGAGAAGCGACTCGAATGAGGTCATCGTTGATTTTCAGTTGATCGATGATCAAATGGTGGGAACGACACACCCCGTTCCAACGTTACGCGAGACACGTCCACTGATAGATATCTTTGTAGAGGTGAAGGCACGACGTGACCAATACGACATGTGGACATTCTCATTGGATCAGTATAATCGTGTGATGTTCCGACTGGTGGAAACATTCAATCAAGGCACTCGTTTCAACGTATTCATACGAAAAGTACCACAACAAGTTTTAAATTTTCACAAAAATCCATGGTCTATGGCAAATGAATCATCGTCATCCAACAATTTACAATTACAGTTTTCACAACAACCACAACAATATCAACAGCTACTACTCCCACAGCTTTCACAGTTTCAACAATTTCAACAACAACAACTACTTCCACAAAAACCAATACAACAAAAACAACAAATACAACAACAAGATCTTACACAAAGTTCTATTCCTTCAAAGCTATTGGAAGCACTGTTACCGTTTCAAACGAAAGGATTACTTTTTGGAATTCAACATCATGGAAAGTGCATGATTGCCGACGAAATGGGTTTAGGTAAAACAATACAAGCGTTGGCAATTGCATCTTTTTATATTCAAGAATGGCCTATTTTAAGTATGTTTATGGATAGGTTACCTGTATTTTAAAAATATACTAATCAGTAATTTTTCAATAGTTATTTGTCCATCTTCATTGAGATACACTTGGTCTCGTGAGATTCAGAAATGGTTTCCAGAGTATACAGGAAGAATCAGTTTGATTACTACAGGCGATGGCAAAGCGAATTCACTGATAAACATTGTTAGCTATGATTTGGTGACGAAACTTTACAATACAGAGTTGATGCCCAGAAACTTTAGAGTGATCATATGCGATGAATCTCATTATCTAAAGAATATAAACGCCAAGAGAACATCGGCAGTTTTGAAACTGATAAAGAGTGCCGTCAGAAGAATACTACTCACTGGTACACCTGCACTGTCGAGACCGATCGAGCTGTATCCACAACTGGTTGCACTGGAGACACCGATCTATTCGAAGATGAATGAATTCGGACTTCGCTATTGTGCTGCATTCAAAGGTAGATACGGATGGGACTACACTGGAAATTCACATCTACCAGAGTTACATGTTTTATTGGTAAAGTATAATCTAACAATCTATCTTAATTTTAATGTTAATGTTTTGTTTTGTTTTGTTTTGTTTTGTTTTGTGATTAACTTTTAGAGAGGTGTTATGATTAGAAGATTAAAGAGTACTGTCTTAAAGGAGTTGCCGCCAAAACATAGGAAACAGGTGTTTGTCGACGTTCCAATTAATCTTCAGAAATCGATTCAGGAAATGTTTAGTTCGACGCACAAGAAGGTGATGTTGAAAAATGGCAAGTTGGTCGAGTCGGAGCGCGCCAGGATGATGACGCTCTACCAGGAGAGTGGCCGTGCCAAACTACCGGGTGCACAAGACTACATTGTTGGACTGGTGAAAGAGAATAAGAAGTTCTTGGTGTTTGCACATCACACTGATATTCTCGATGGTCTGGAGCGATCGATTAAATCGACGGGCACCGGCTATATGCGGATCGACGGCTCGACACCGGCCGAAGCCAGACAGACCTATGTCACGCGCTTTCAAAACTCGGACAAGTGTAGAGTTGCGCTGTTGAGTATCACTGCTGCCGGAACTGGTTTGACACTGACAGCTTCGTCGCTCGTTGTGTTTGTCGAGTTGTATTGGACACCCGGTGTTCTCAGGCAAGCGGAAGATCGTGTCCATAGAATCGGTCAGCGTGAAGACGTGCACATCCACTATCTCATTGGAAAGAACACTCTTGACGACAAGATGTGGCCGACCATCTGTAATAAACTGGAGGTTCTTGGTGAGACATTGGACGGACAAGAAGAAATCCTACACACTGAGATTCACGATCTTAGAAGCAACACCAAATTAGATCAATTCATCGATGTTAAAACTAATATCAACAGCATTAACAACAATAATAATGTTAAACTACAACCTATACCAACATCGACCAAACAAGAACAAGTCATCGATGTTGATGACGATGAACAGATATTTTCATTGATTGGAAACGAAGATCTTGCCAACAGTACAAATAACTTTAACACCAGTAACTTTAATAACTTTAACAATGTCAACAACTTTAACAACAGCAATAAGCCGTATTTAGATCTACAACTACCGGGTGTGATCACTGCGAATGGTGGTAACAATAATAGTACTTTGGTTAGCAATAATAGTTATAAAAACAACAACAAAATCAACAATGGTAGTTATAAACATAAAAGATGTCATGACTATCATGAGGATAATGATGAGGAATCGGGTGAGGAATGTAATTGTCAAGCAAAGAGAGTGGCAGAGTATTATAAGAACAAGTACGGTCAATCACCTAGCAATAGTAAATACGGAAAGAAACTTAAAATGTCACCTACCAAATCTACCGCTGATAAATATAAGGCATTCCTACAGGTCAATCCAAACTATGAACTTGACATCAAACCACAACCTACTTCACCGTCAAAGAGAACAAACCAATTACTTTTCCGTGGAAATGGAATCAGTAACAATAGCAATAGCAATAACAATATCTTTAGTAGTAACAATAACAACAACAATAATAATATCTTTAGCAGTAATAATAATATTAACATCAACAACGGCAGCAACAATAACACTATCAAAACATATAAATTCACAAATCATGATTCTGCTAGTTATTTGTCACCTGTATATAATAATAGTACATATTTACCTACAACAACGACAACGGCAACTTCACTTCCAACAATTTCATCAACAACAACTCCACCACCACCTTATTATAGTACAACAAGAGAAATACCAAAACAAATAATGACATCGACAACAGTAGTTCCACCAATGGTCATACCAAATAGCTATAATAACTTCTACAACAACAATAATAATAATAATAATAATAATAACACCATCAACACTAATATTAATATGCATCAATCAGGAAGCATAGTTTCACCAATGTTTAATCAATTGAACAATAGAATCGTTTATAATAGCAATCAACAAGGAGCTACAAACCTTACATTCGCTCAACCACTCCAAAACACACCAACATTGTGTAACAATGATAATTCGACAATGAACTACAACAACAATTACAACAACAACAACAACAACAACACAGTAGATATAGACTCTATCTTTAATACGAGAAAAGAGTTTATAGAAGATATTGACGATGATACCACCACTCCATCAAAGCCAAGGAAATCGTCATCATCATCAAAATATCAATAATTTAATAAAAAACAATTTTTTTAGATTTTTTTTTTTTACCCACAAATTAACGAGGCAAATTGCTTATATGTAATTAACATACAAATTTATTTTTTGACCTCAAAATAAGGTTCATTTTTATTTTATTTTTTATTTTTCAACAACTTTTTTTTTTTTGTATAATGTATAATTTAATTTATTTATTTATTTTATTAAATGTATTAAATATACATTTATCAGTTGCATTAGTTTCAGAATCAGCTTCATACAACACAAACAATCCTTTTTGGACACTATCTTTGAAACTAAATGGTATTACACCTATACCTCAATCTGGTATTGAACAAAGATTTATCTTTTCAACAGGTATTTATAATATAGATTAATAAATTAATTAAACATAGTTAACATTGAATTTAAATATAGATAACTTGTTAATTTTAGATCAAAACAATAATGCTTGGATAATAGACAATCATTTTGAAATAGATATAAATATTAAATATCTCTATAAATGTAATTTCATTAAGCATATATATATATATATATATATGTGATATGTATATAAGTATTAATGTTAAAATAAACACATTTAGCTTTAGGATTAAGATTTATTGGTAATTACTATAATGCCTATGAAGAGGAATTGGATCAATCAAATCATAGACCTTGCGACTCGAAGATTGCCAATCAAGTTTGTTGTTCAAACAATAAAATAAGAATATTTAGACGTGGGACCTCGGTACCGATTTTGTTATTTGCTTTTGCAAAAAACCCAAATTTGGTAATCAAAGATTATTTCTCTGCTGAAGTAAACATACCAGGCTACCCAACATTTCATTTAGATTCACAGAATAACAATGGAAATAATAGTTTAGGTTTACAGCTAAGTGGTATGGAGGATACAGTACAATTCAAAGATATTGAAAATCGATATTATCTAGCAATCAACAGTATTGATACATCAATGTTTTTAATACCCATATCAATGGTTGGACATGATACAAATCAAATCGGTATCACAATGGATATTTGGAAATCAAAGGATATTTGTAATAATCCATTAGGTTATTATATTAAAACAAATATGAATTCAATGTAAGTAATTTATCAAAAATTTTAAAATATGATATTAATGTATTTTGTAAAAGTAATGATCAATTCAAAAACTATAAAGATCTTTTATTTTCTAAAGTATATCCAGATTGTGTTATTGATCAACTGAATAGTAATTTCCAAGTTGCTTCCAGTAAAGAATTACAGATGTCATTAAATTGTAAAAATTTTAGTTCAGTTTTAAGAATGTCTTTGGATACCAACAATTATAGTATTCATTCAAACCCCAAATCAGAAATTTTGGTAAGTTTTAAACATATTTTTGTAAAATTGATCCGGTATCTAACTATTTTATTCTTAACCTTTAGAATTCTGGTATCACTCCATTAATAAATGATACTTTAATAGCAAGTATTTGTATGTATAAATCTAATTTAATTTTTTTGTTTTAAACAAATATCAAATTAATTTACTAATTTTAAAACTAGATGTCGATATTCATAATAGTGGTGCATATACAGGAACATACACTTTGAAACCAATATTTTGTTGTAATGGAGAAGAAGATGATAACTGCAATGTAAGTTTTAAAAAATTAAATTTGGTATACCAAAATGTTTATTTATAAAAATTAATTTAATCTTTACAATTAAAGTCAATACGTATTCTTCAAGAAAGTTTATCTTTAAATATTGAAAAAGATTCAACAAAAAGATATATATTCGATATTTCGAATGATGTAAGTTTGAATTCTTTTTGAAAACATATTTAGAAACTAATTAAAATAATATTTTCTTATCTTTTTTTTAAAAGTTTGCATTGGACAAATCTGGATATTGTAAGTTGTCATTTTTTGATGGAATAAAGTTTAATAAGAATATCAGGGTGAACTTCTCAACTACTGTTGAGCAATATAAGCTACCACCACTAGATCCTACAACCACCACCAATATGATGACAAGCAGATACTATTCGAAATCAGAGTTGGATGCAGCATCTAATCCAATCACTTGTCAAGCAGGATATGTACTTGGTTACAAAGATGATGAATTCTCATGTGTTAGAAATTGCACGGTTGATGAATTCATGGATTACAATACATGGATCTGTATTCCCAAGAAATGTAAAGCGGGAACCTATTTCAATCAAGAAACCAGACTCTGTGGTGATATACCTCCCAATTGTGATGAGGGTTACTATTTCGATAAAGAACAGAATGCTTGTGTTCCATCTTACAGTCCACCTCCAGTAAGTAGTAGTTTATTAAACATTTTAATTAAAAATAATTTACTAAATATATTATAATTGAAAAAAAAACAAAAGGAATATTGTAAAGTATCAAGCTCAACAAATTGTACCAGTGGAAATGAAATTATTACAAATAACTATACATCAAATAACGAACCGAATGTTACAGGTCCATCTATTACATTGACAGGAATTATATTTATCATAGTTATCATTGTAATATTACTTGCAATCATCATTACAGTTATTGTTTGTTGTAAGAGATATAAGAGAAAAGAAAAGAAAAAGAAATACAAAGAGGTAAGATAAATAATTATATTTTCAGATAATTGAACAATAAAATTTAATCTAACGGTAACCAAAACATATCATTAGGCAAAATTACAATATTTGAAAAATAGATACAATCATCAAACCCATAGAAGAGTTAGAAGAGGAGGATATGGATATGGTGAAGAAAATAGATATCATAATAATAATAATAATAATAGGAGCTTAAATAGAAGACCAAATGGAAATATTATAACCGAAGTTAGACCGATGAATAATAATAGTATTCGTGAAAGAAATAACAATTCTAATCAGAATATCACCAATAGAAATAGAAGGAATGATTTTGACTCTGAAGAACATAGAATGAAGAGAAGTAAGATCACCAATGGTTTACTTTCATAGATCCATTTTTTAATGTAGTAAATAATAAGATTATCAAATAAAGAATTTTTATTGATTTTTTTTGTTTAGAGGATTCGAAGATATATATTATAAAGTGATTTGCTTTGTATATACAATGTATTATTATTATTATTTAATTAATTAATATTTAGCTTGTTTGGAGAGTAGATTGATTGTACATCAGATGACGGAGACCAATTGTCAAACTGGCTTTAGATCTTCGGTTGGTTGGAGTGCATCTATTAAAGTTTTGATTGTATGAAATTGTTGAAAACTCTTGACTGTCCATGGATTTGCTTTTTATCTTTGTTTCAATATTTTTGTTTTATTTTTTTGAATTTTTCTTTTTCTTAATATAATACTATCTATCTATCTATATCTTTAGATTGAATTATCTTTATCTTTAATGTTGATGTTGATGATGATGATGATGTTGATGTTGATGTTATGATAATGTTAAATGAAAATAATTGTTTATTATTATTTTATTTTGTTTATATTAAAGAAATAATATAAAGTAGTAAATGATGAAACTATTCTAAATAAGTGGTTGTTTAATCAATTGATTTTGTAATTATAATATAATAAACTAAATATGTTTTACAATAATTGTGAGAATAACTTTTATTTAGCTACTATTTTTAAAAATGAAAAGAAATATGAAAGACAACAGTTTGTTTCTAGTATATATTCATTTGTGTGTTTATAATACTTTAACTCAGTGAGTGTGTATGTGTGATGATATAATATTAGTGATACAATACAAACACACAGACACCACACAAACATAAATATTAAAATAAAAAGTAGTTGATCACAATTAATAGTGGTTGAAGGTGTAGTAGGTTCATAATATTCTTCTTTTCACTTTAAACTAAATTATTAATCATAACAAACACATACACACATACACACACGAACACATTGTCACATGATATGATCTATTTATAATCTTTTATTCTATAAAAGAAATTAATGATTGATTATTATATATTATTTTGTTTGGTTTTAAAATATATAAGTGAAATTGATAATTTTAGATTAGCGATGTTGATGATGATGAAGATGATGATGATGAATTTATTTAATAGTTTTGTTAGTAGAAAATGGATTAGATTGCTGAAACCAATAAAAAGAAACAAAACTAAATTATTGTCAACAAGAAGTCAAACAATATATATAACTTGTTGATGGCGATGACATTCTCCGAAAAACAATCATATGAACAGGGTAAAGATAATATACTACTATTATACTAAAAATAAAATAAAATAAAAAAAGTGATTGTCATTACTATATAATTTCTATTAATTAAACAAGTTCTAAAAATGTTATGTTTTTGTTTGTCAAGAAAATTCTTTTGAACTTTTGGGTTTTTAAAAAAATTGGTGAAAATAGATATTTTAAAAAATTTGCATTAAATATATTGTTGGTCTCAGAAGAAGAAGAAGTGTTTTAGAGTGATTGATTACTTTTTTATTTATTTATTTATTTATTTATTTAATAGAGATATAGTATAGTATAGCATATATATATGAATGGTAAAGTTTTTAACATTTGAAATATTCGATAATCAGAATCTACCACCATCGGAGCCTGATGAGTCGTTGGAGCCCCTCGAGATCATTGCAGCGCTCAACGACTTTCTGGTATCGACAAAAGGTGGTACGATTCTGCATTATACGATCGGTGCAACCGAGTCCACCATTCTCAACCGATTCGCAGCGCAGTCAAAGCATATCATTGCCATCCACTATTTGCCTGCCAACGATGCCATTCTCACGCTCGAGCGTGAAACAGACACCTCCAAGATCCAAGTAGTCAGACTCTATCAGAATTGGCGACAGAATCAATCGTTTGAAGATGCATCACACGGTTTATCATCCAGTCCAATAGTTAGTTCTTCGCCAATCATTGGTGGAGGTAACAACAACAACAACAACAACAACAGTTCATCTTTAGCCAGTATGTTATTACAACAACAACAGCAACAACAACAACATGGTCATGCTAATAGTAGTAGTAATAGTCATGGTAATGGTAATGTTTCATTACCAACTGTTTTAAAGATACCACTCGCTACTACGGTTACTGCTATCAATGTTTGTCCGGTGACGAGTCGTGTCGTTGTCGCTACCGAGAAGAACGTTAGTCTGTGGAGTAGTGTTAGTGGTGGTCATCTTATTACATCGTTCGAGCGTATCCTAGACATCGATGCAGAGAATGTTAAAAAGGTTGCAATCTACGATGGATACATTGCATACTCAACACTGGTAGACGTCAAAATACTTTCGCTAAACATTCACTATCAAGAGCCAATAGCAGAGACAACTGCAAACTCACAGATAACACCACCATCGAATGCCGCTGTAAATGTATGTTGGATCTATAGATTGTAGATTAACCAATCGAAGAATAAGATAAGATTAACTAACTAAACTATTTAATATATATTAAAATGAAGAATGGACCGTCAGAGATTGTTGAAGATGAACATTACTTTGAGGTGAATTTCGATGGAAATGGTAATCAGACAGGAAAGAATCAGTTGAGTCTATTGCAGATGGTCAATAGCAATCAACATGTAGATGAGAACGTTCATGAGATTATAGGACCGATCACAGATATCGATCATGGTATCAGTGTAAATACTGACTTTGGATATATATTGTTATCGTCTACCTTGGTGTTGAGCAGACGATTCTCACAAGACGACAATATTCATTCGTTATTCTTCTTACCAGATGGTTCACATTCATCAATAGATGAATTAAATATAAGTAATAATAGTAATACACAACAATCAACAAATGTACATCAACATCAACAACATAATAATCAAAATCAACAACAACAACAACAACATAGTAATAGTAATCATGGAAAGATACAATCAATGCAAATGAGATGTGTATTCTCAACACAGAAAGAAGGTTTTCTTTATAATATATCGAAACCATCACTTCTTGCTTATTATATGTATGCAAGTGACACTGTGTTTTGTGCTGCCAATCATTGTTTCTTGTATACGCTATCGGCAGACGGCATCCAGACTTGGTCGCTGCGAACGTGTGAAGGCGCAGAGCATGGTAATGACATACCGGCACCGTGTGGTTTCGGTATGAAACGATTCATCGGGTTGTCTTCTATGGCTGTGATGGGTGAGTATCTAGTGATTCTCTCAAAGATCGCCAATGACATAACAGAGTCGTTGACACCGTCGTTCATGCGGTCACCCTCACGTGTACTCTCGCCAAAGAAGCAGGTCGACGGTCATAGCAACAGCAGTAAGTCGTCGTCCAAACAGATCTGGTCGATCTATATATTGCACCATACACCACTGCAGTCGCTGTACACTCAGATCCTTGAGTACGCTACCGCTGTCAAAGATAAAGACGAAGACGTCTATCACCAACTCTTGCTAGAAGGTCACTTCCTCTTGCAATCGAAACTCTCGAATCAATTTAGATCCAACCCAAACATGAATGATGTTGCATCGATAGTTAATCATGACGTCGAAAGAAAGAACTTTAAGAAACTACTACGTAAATCATCTTCTTTCCTTGGTGAAGTAAGTTAGTTATACAAAAGCAACTTCAAAAGATAAGATTATTGTTACTAACAATACTTTAACTACAACTCGTTCTAGTTCTTCTTTAAGAATCAACAAGATTATATGAGAGCTGCTCTATGGTATAGTTCAAGTGATACTGATATCGAATTGGTATTCAATATGTTAAAAGAAAACAAAGAATCACAAAAAGCACTTAGCTATTATTTAAAACAAGTTTTATTTAATCCATCTGTAAGTTTTTATTTAATAGTTATCTAATATAAATATAACAATTAACCAACTAATAACCAACATAATTATTTACTTAAAATAATAGTCAGTTGAATTATTAGCAGACAAAGAAGATCTTAGTAATAAGATTCTTGAACATTATTATTCTGAAAGTCCACATAATCTATCATTCCTTATTTTAGAATCATCTGTTTCATCTTATTCACAAGTAAGTATATATAGAATTTTAACAAAGATAGATTATAAAGTTTATTAATATTCGATAATTCTATCTATATTTTATTAGAAATTAGCAATAGATTTATTAAAGAGATTATCAGAGACATGTGACTTTGATTTAGAACAAAGAAATATGAATTACTTTGCACTGGGATTGTTGTATTTAGATCAGAATAACATTGAAGATACTATGTCATCTTTGAATCAGATACCGGTGGATTCATTGATAAAGCTTTGTTTGAAGAATCCAAAGCTATTGTTGACTACGATGGGTGAGAACAATCCGACTGCTCTCGGAAAGATACTAAGACAATCGATTCCTTGGGGTCTGTTAGAGATAACCATTCAGTTGGTGCGCAAAAAGGATATATCACCCGATGAAGCATTCACCATATTGCTACATTCGACCACCACGTTTGCAACGAATGGCATATTGAATAGCAACAGCAGTAACTATCATCACGAGGATTTCGATATGGATGCACTGCTACTGAAGATCTACTTGGAGTGGTTCCTGAATGAACACTGCAATGCTATCAATGTCAATAATATCGGTTCGTTGGTGACACTCTCCACCACTTCGTCGACATCGAATCTCGTCGAGTTGGTTCCACCGTTCATCAAGTATCTCATTCACCTCTACGTGCAAGACATCCACAGATTCCGCGGTGACGACAAACAACTGTTCCAATCACTCAATATCGATGTAGCAATGATTGTAAACTATACACCAACCAACAAAATCAGTAGTACTAACAAACAACATCCTCAAAGTCAATTAAACAATATGATTACAACGTAAGTTAATCAATTATTTTTATAGCTAAAGATTTAGTTTATTAATTCTTCATCTTTAAAGAGATGAATATTGTAATCATTGGATTATGTATCATTTAAAAACCTATTCAATTATTCCTCAATGGCTGTCCAAGTTACCACCATTCTCTTTGGACTTTAATAGAAATCCATCGGAGAAAGAAGATCCAAACAATCAACTCTCGTCACTGTACTATAGAAAAATTCAATCGCTTCTCTCAACTACAAAGGTGACCGACTTTGAGTTTATGGAGAATGTAGAACTGATGTTTGCCAGCGATCCAGAGAATATCATGTTTGTATCGTTGCAGTTGGCTTGTCTACCGTTGTTGGACCGTACCGACGAGGGTATCAAACTTGCAACCAACACCGACATTGCTATCATGTTGGAGTATGGTTTGCATTTCTGTAAGCACAACGACTGGTCGGTCGTACTCGACCAAATGCTGCGCCGTTACCTGGCAGTCAGCCACGAAGTTCAGAATCAACTGATCCTGTTGGAGTACGAACGTGTCTTGGACTATCTTACCAGCTACATGGATCCAGAGGCATTCCTTCAGCTACTACCGTCCAACGGTAAAATGGATTACTTCCTCCCATTCATTGAGAAATCATTCTCCAATCACTATGCCAAGTTACTAAAAGCAAAACTTACAGACTTTTTGTTTGTTGAATAAAACAAACATGTTAAAAGAAAATAATACTGAATAAAAAATAATATAATATTTATAACTTTAAAAAGAAAATTTAGGTTTTTTTTTATTTTATTTATATATCTATTTCTTAGGAATATAAATATTTTTTCTTTCGATGTGAAAGATTCATGTCAATCCCTGATGAACGATTTGTTTTTCTTTTTATGTTACTTTTTTTCGTATTTTTGAAATACGGAATTCTTTCGTTTCCTTTGATATAGTCAATGATTTCTTGATTTATCTTGAATCCATAATTATCCAAAAGATCTGATGAAACAGGTCCTTCAGTTCGATTTTCATAGAGGAATTTCAGGATTTGGAATTGATTGTTTCTGGCTGCATTGTCGAATGTTTCACTTGAACATTGAGTTCCAGTAGAGAGAAGAAATTTCATGATTGATAGATTTCCAAAATGTGCTGCGTCATTCGTTGCATTGTGATTATCCTCAGAGATATTGTATTTGACGATGAATCTGACCGCTGCCATATTACCATTGGATACTGCTTTCTCCATAGATTCAAAATATTCGTGCTTATGATGATATGTTTCGTCATGATTACAACTATTCTCCAGTTCTTTGAGATAGTGCATAGCCATGAAGTTTGAATTCTCCAAAAATCTAGAAAATGAACGCGACAATTGATTGGATGGACAAATCGGCCATTCTCTCTCTGGATTGTCTTCAAGTGTTCTCTTTAATAAATCTGTCAGACAATGAACCATGTCAATTCTGTGAACGACATTATCAATATTATTAATAATTTTATGTGGTAGCAAATGTTGGCAATGATGATGATCTACAAGATATTGAACCAATGGGAGGTTTTCATTTAAACAAGCAGTTTTTAGTAAAGATTCATCCCTCTTTTCTTGATCTATAAACTCTTCCTTTCAAGGGAATAATTTTACTATGTTGTCTTGTTGATTAATATAAACTCTGAGCTTTTATTTTCATACCAATCTTACAGTCTTTTAACTTGCAAAATAAAATTGGTAAAAATAAAAATATAAATAAAAAACTTTACAATTAAATTATTTGTTTATTTGAAAAAAAACATAGTTTGTTTTTGAGAAGTATCACCATAGCAGACACTTCTATTGTAATTTAGATCAATAATTAGTTTTTTGTTTTTTGTTTCTTTTGGTTTGTTTAAACGGCTTTCTCTCATGTCCTTCGATAAAATCAATGATTTCTTGATCTATATTGAAATTGCCAAGACCTGAGGAAACAGGTCCTTCAGTTCGATTTTCATAGAGGAATTTCAAGATTTCATAGTGATTGTTTTTGGCTGCAGTGTCGAAAGTATCACTTGAACATTGAGCTCCTGTGGAATGAAGAAACTTCATGATTGAGATATGTCCAAACTCTGCGGCGTAATCCATTCCAGAGTGATTGTCCATTGAAAGATTGTATTTGTCGATGAATCTGACCGCTGCCAGATTACCATTAGATACGGCTTTCTCCATGAGTTCGTTTTCCCTAAAATATGCTTCGTCATGATTACAACTACTGGCCAGTTCATTGAGATAGTGCATTGCCATGAAGTTGGAATTCTCCAACAAACGAGCAAATTCAAGTGATAATTGACATGTTGGACAACGGAGATTTTTTCTTTCTGGATCGCTTTCAACTATTCTCCTTAACGCATCTGCCAGACAACGAACCATATCCATTCTGTGACCGACATTTACAATATTATGAATAATTTTATATGGTAATAAAGGTTGATTATCTAAAAGATATTGAACCATTGGGAGGTTCTCTTCTATACAAGAAGATTTGAAAACTAATTCTGTTCTTTGTTGACTTAACAAGTTTTTCTTTGTCTCGTATATCCATTTAACCATATTAACGGATCCTGATTCAACTGCCATTGAAAGATTAAGATTCCAATCCAACTCCGAATGGTTAGTGTCGGTTTCCAGAATATACTCTAGAAACTCCAATTGTCCGAAGGAACATGCTTGTGCCACTCTCGTAGAGAGTGATAAACCCGAACTCTTGCTTTGGAAAACGTTATAAAGATCTTTTAATTCAATGTATCCATTTTGAATGATAATACTGATTCCCAATATCGTCAAAACTGCTGGATATACACTGTATAGATATCTGACCATTTCGATATAACCGTACCCCAATGCATATCTATCGAATGGATGCGACAAAATATCATCCCAATCACTGAATCCTTCTTCAATGAAAGTGTTTATGATCTTTTTTACCAAAGGTAAATGATTGTATTGGATTGCATACTCCAAACATTCTTTTCTCATGAGCTCCTGTCTGTTACTAGTAAGATAGTCCAATGCTTCAAATTGTGAATTTTCAAACGCTTCCATTACTACTTTATATGAACATTGGATATCATTACAGTTTTCGTGGAGATATTTCAACATCTTCATGTTACCAACTCGAACTGCATGATTATACGCATCACTAGATAATCTATAACTACTGTTGTCATAACAAAACCGCAGCAACTCTAAATCACCATTTTCACCAACAATGTCAATTGCCTGCTGATCTAGCTCCAAATGTTTGTCTTTGACCAAGTATTTCACCAGATCTATTCTTCCACTTTTCATTGCAGCATACATAACATATCCAAGTGCATCAGAGTATTTGGTATCGAATAGGTGGTCTATCAACTTTGTATCACTACATTTGACATCCATTTCACCAATTGAATCTTCTACCAGATCAGCTTTGATTGCACCATGCTCATAAAGGTATAACACAACATCGGTATAACCATTGGATATCGCTACTCCATAGGCAGTATAGGCATCAATTCGATCCTCCGAATTCTCCATTAGGAATTTAACAGTCTCCAAATGTCCATTAGATGCTGCCTCAACCAAGTTTGATTCAATAAAGATTGAACCACCATAACTTTCTTCACCAGCATTCGCCAATCTTCTGATAGTCTCGATATCACCTGCTTTACATGCATCTTCAATACTCTTACGATTAAATGATCGATCAGCCAACACCAACTCATCTATATACTCTGAATAGTTGTCTACAATGTGATAGACCCATTTGTCTTGATCCTGGTAACGACACTTCCCAAGTGCTTTACTCATCAATGATGTATATGCCAAAATAGCATATCTATTCTCATATTCTTCTCTCTCCAACACTGATAACGAACTAAAAAACTGATCGAAATAAGCATACTCCAATAATTGAGATGGCTCTTCACATAACTCTAACCAAGTAAATAGCCTTAACTTTGTTTGATCAATGATTCTTTTATTGATTTCTTTTACATAACTAAACAAAAGACTCCTAATCACTACCGAATTTATTATAATCTTAAATTGACTATTCATTCTAAATCTATTTAATAAACAAACTCTTCATTTTTTAAAAATAACAATATCTTTATTTTGTTTTTTTTGCAACTGCCGAGAAGTTGCTTATACATGCAATTTCCGCTAAAACGTCAACTTTATTTTTTTCTGGAAATAATTAAGACTGACTAATTCTAAGTAAAAGAAACACCCAATAATCGTGTACTATGAGTTGGCGTATAATAATGTGAACCACCAGCATGGAAATGGAAGTATTCGAATATATAGGTGAGAGAATGAAGATGTTGCAGGCAGCTAGTTCTCAAGAAAACATTAATACATGTCTAGTTTCGCTATCTTACATAGTAGTTGGTTTGTGCAATTTATTTTTATACATTTATTATGTTTTGTTTTGTTTTTTTTTAATGATTGTGAAGATCATAATATTGTTGTTTGGTTGTTTGTTGTTGATTGTGTTTTCGATATCGATTGAATGATGATTGATTTGTCTATGCTTTCTTGTGTGGATATCTAAACTTGTTCAATCCTTGAATTTCATTTTGAGTGTTGTTGGTGAGGTGTGAGATGTAGAGACATCCAATGAGGAATACACTGTTGACGCCTAGCGTCCAGAGACTGGTGAAGAGTGAACCGGTCGAGAGGTACAGCAAGAGCGAACCAAAGAATGTAAAGACCGAGCTGATCAACATGATCCACTTCTTGATGAATCCCTTTACAAAGCCGGGATACATTGCAATGCCACCGGCGATAAAAGCCGACGCCGACATCCACTCCAACCAAAACAATATGAACGACGAAAACTTTGCTCGCAGTATGCCATGTGCCTCGTTCTCAAACGGCAACACTGTAAAAGGTAAAACTGCACAACATATCTTTAAAGCTCCAAAAACAAATCCAACTACACTAATTATTTTCTATAATTACAAAGATTTACAAAAGTTAGTTAACTAAACTAAAGTTAAAGATATTTTAATAAACAAATTGAAACATACTAAATATAATAAATTTATATTTTGATCTTTCTCTAATAATGATGAAATTAAATCTTTTTGTTCTATTTTAAATATTAATAAAGTTAGTTTCTTTAAATGATAAGTAATGCGTCATTCAATCGTGTTTTATTTAACATTACCATCATCATCTAAATAATCACTATCTAACTCATTTCTCTTTTGTCTTCTACTCATTTTATTTGTATTTCTATTTATATATATTTAAATGTTGTTTAATATCTATTGTTTTATATGTTGCTTTATATTGATTGTGTTGTTTTTAATTAAAAAAAAATGAAGATCATTGAGGTGACTCACCTATTTTAAGTTGTTTTTTTCATTTTTCAAATAATTTTAAAATTAAAGGTGAAAACCAAAAAGGCAAAATATTGATTTTTCAAATCAGTTGGATTTTTGGACGAATCGATCGAAAAACAAATAATAATATTTGGAAATAGAGAGATATGGATAAAATAGAAAGATACATGGAATCTGACACCAAAGAACCATTTATAGATAATAATTTTTGTTGGGTCTATACTTATCTACCTGGATTGAGATCAATGCATGAGAATGGCATTCAAGATATTCCACCAATTGCATTTCCTTTGGAGTGTGACCTGAGAGAGATACAAACCAAATTGAAAACGGTGGACAGCTACATATCCACTCGTTACAATGTGGTGAAAATCAAGGAGAACTCGCATCAGCGTGCAATGGAGTTGACACCCTACTTCAGGATGTCGTTCGACGAAGTCATTTGGTATCTGTCGAGCGATGGCGGAGTATACCTCTGCAAATCATATAACTGCTATCAGCTGTGTGCTCACTCCAAGGCAGAGTTTGACACACGGATTGCAATAGAGTCGTCGCTCTACTACAAGTTGGTGCGTGCCATTGGCTATGAAACCAATGTAATGCGCAGTATGATAGTACCTCTCGTTCCAAAGTTGAAACTCGACAGCATCGAATCTCTCTACTTTCAATTCTATCTTGTCAAACCATTAAGAGAGTTATTATACGAAAGGTAAGTAATAAATAATAATAATTATTAGAAAAAAACAAAAAAACTGGAAAAAAATAGAAAGTTTTCAGAAAAATATCTAAAATTACAATGTTTTTTTTCTCTTATCTATAACTAACTAAAATTTTACAATTACAAGTATATCAAATGAGTTTACAGGTACAAGAACAGTGATAGATGACTTTGTATGGTTTGGAACTGAAATTCCTGGTGTAAGAGAAGGTGGTACTTCCTATCACCAATATTTATCTGTACCACCTATTAAAAATCAAACGTCAAGAGATTTAAATGAAATTAAATCACCAACTTCTTGTATACTTTTGGATGATGATAATTCAATTGAAGTTAAAGTTCAACATATTACAATGAAATCATTTTATTCTGATCCAGTAAGTTTAAAAACTGTTAAAAAAACAAAAAACATTTGTTAATAATCATCTTGTTCCATTCATTCTTAGGCTCGTAATATAAATTGGTATTTAGGTAGTGATAATAAAGTTTATTATTCTGATGATTTTAAAGAGTTTAGATTAACTGCTAATTCAAAAGAGGAATTCGAAAGTAGAATTACTATAGAGGCATCTCTATGTGAGAAATTAAATACTCTAAAGATGGAAAATGCCAATATATCAAAAGAGATCATAGAACAAAACAAACATATAATGATAGATGAAGAGTTAAACTACATTGATTACTATTTTCAAATCAACAACAATATATAAAAATAAAATTTTTAATTAATATAAGATACAAAAGAACCTGCAGGAGTAATAATATTTTAATAAAAAAATGAACTTCCGTCATGAAATGTATCAATACTCTATCTCAATGAAAATACTCCGATTAATCTATCAACCTTAGTACTGCTATAACAATATATTGTTTAATATTTAAGAAAATTCATTTATACTTTTACAAAAACAAATATTTTAATGAGACAAAAGTTGTCATGTTAGAAGTTTTGAAACCACACATTTTCATCCTAATAAAAACTGTTATTAGTTCCATCTTTTTCAAAGAATTCTATCATAACTTGGAAAGTCTTTTGAAGTGTAGTGAAATAATCAGAATCAACTTATTGGATCTTGTCAATATTTGTGGAGGTGAAATAGTTTAATAATATTTTATAATCATTAGTCAACTAGACAGATATTAAATCATTAGAATAAAATTAAAATTAAAATAAATTTTTCAAAGTTCAACAAAAAACTAAATATGGTAATATTGTAAAAATCTTTATTTTTAATATTTTAAAAATTAAATAGGACAAACAAAACAATAAACTATATCTATATTAAATATTTATTTTTTATATTTAACTTTGCAATGTCATCACACAGCCATAGATTAACAGAAAGAGAAAAGATAAGTGTAATTATAGATTTGGATAATGGGTTGACACAAGAAGAGATTGGTTTAAAATATAATTGTAGTCACTCAACTGTTTCAAGATTAAAGAAAAAGTATGAAGAAACCAACTCTGTACAGAACATTAAGCCTCCTGGTAGAAAGAGAGAATATAGTCTACAAGATGAACTCGATATTAAGAATATTTTCTTAAATAACTATTGTCCAACTTTAAAAGCAGTTAAAACAAAGTACAACGAAACATATCACAAATCACTTAGTGTCACTACCATTAGAAGAATAATGATAGATGCAGGACTGGTATACAGTAGTAGAAACAAAAGAAAGAAACAATTATTAGATGCATCTAAAGCTGATACTACAAAACGTAGACAGGTGAAACATAGAACTAGGAGAACTACAAAGTAAATTTTAATAATAGAATGATTTTATTTAAGTTCTAAGAACCAACACTAAACTGATTGGTTTAAAGTAGTACCAACCAAAGCTACTTAGTTCCTTGTTATTTCTAATTCAAAAAATATAAAAATAAAAAAATAAAATAAGTTTTGTTAAAAAGATAAAATATTCTTTTTTTGATAAAAATCAAACTTATATATATTATTAAAGAAGGTATCAAAATTAAAAATTTATATTTCTAAAAAACATAACATTGTATCCGTTAATTTAAATAATAAAAAAGAAAATTAAAAAAATTCAATTTTGAAAATTTTTGAAAAATCATTCAATTTTTTTTTTCATATGATGATCATCATTGTTTAATAACGGTCATAACTAGTCAATTCAAATTATTATATTAAATAATTAGTTTATTTTAGTATAAAAGAAATTTCAATATATCTTTTTTTTTTTTTATTTTTGCACATTTTCTTAAAATAGAATAACAATCACAAACAATCACTTTTTTTTTTTAATTTATTTATTTATCATTTTTGTATATTATAAATAAAAATTAGATATATGTCAAATACCTAAGGAGATATAACATAATAGAATAATTAGAATAATCAAATAATAAATAAAATAAACAAAACAGTGTTTAAATTATTGAAGATAATAATTAGAATAATCAAATAATAAAAAAAATAACTAATTAATTTTAATATATATTATAAATTATGGCAACTGCAGAAGAAAAGGAATTTCTTTTGGGTGAGATTTCACAGGAGAAAGATCTACATCAAAAGACAATTGCTTGCTTCGAACAGGAGAGAGAAAAGAATGCAAAGTTGATCGAAGCGGTAAAGATGCTCAACGAGCAGAAAGATGCCACTCAACGTTACATCGAGGAGATTCAGCGGAACCTGTTGTCCGCCCAGAAAAAGTTGGTCGACGAACGAAAGAACGCTTCGGGATTCAACGAGCGATTGGCACAACTGGAGAGCGAGAAGTCGAGGGCGGTCGAACAGGCAGAGTCACTGACACATCAGCTGAAGGAATCGTCGATCAAGCTGCAAGAGGCCGACGATCTATTGCGCCTGATAAAACAGGAGAAGGGTGAAGACGAGGTGGTTGCGCGTGTCCTCGAGTTGCAGCGACAGATTGAGAGTGGCGCCAAAGAGAGTGGTGAGTTGCGCGAGCATAACCGACTGCTCGCTGAGGAGCGACGTTCCTTCGAGTTGAAGTGTGAGGAGTTCGAAGAGATGGTGCGTGAACTGCGCCAAACCATCGATCAAAACGAAACTCAAGTGGAAACCGACACAGAACTCCGGCTGAAATACGCACAGCTACTCACCAGTTTGGATGAAGAGAAAGTCAATCTTGACATTGCCAATGAAACCATCGATGAACTTCATGAAAAGTTGAGATTCTATGAATCTGGTGGTGGTGATGGCGGTGATAGTGATGATAGAGTTAGTAATCATGAATTATTCCAACAACAACAACAACAGGAAGAGATTGAATCTTCAACTTCAACTTCAACTTCTTCTTCAAGTACTTCAACTGTAATTAATCAACAACAACAACAACAACAACAGCAATTTAATGAACAAATAAGTGAGAAAGAAGCAAAGTTGAAAGAGGCATATGAAAGTTTGGTGGATGATAAGAAAGAACTTGAGAATATGATTGAACAATTGAAATTGGAATTACGTTCAGTTCAAGAGTTATGTTCAAAACAACATTCAACTACAACTACAACGACAACCGCAACTTCGACAGCGGTCAACGATGAAGAATTAAAGAAATTAAGAGAACAAATCAAACTTGAAAAAGAGAGCTCAATTGATTATCAAGTAAGTTATATTGATATCTATTTGATCAAAGCAATAAGAAAGAAGAATGACTAATTATTATCTTCTCTTTTAGACTAAATTTGAAAGAACAACAAGACAATTGAATTTATTGAAATCATCGATGGAAGAGGAAGCAAAGAAGAATCAGGCAATTAAATCAGAGTTGGAGAGTAGAGTCAGTGAATTAACAGAGGAGCTTTCTCAACAACAGATAAGAGATACAAGATCGACACCAAACGAACAACATCAACTCCATTCACCAATCGTTCAAGAAGACACAACCGATAACAACAATAACATCGATCAGGAATCAGTCGAAAGACTATTACAAATTGAAACTAAATATTTAGAGAGTTTAGATTCTATTAAGGATTTAACAATTGTAAATATAAATAATAATAATAATAATAATAATAATTCTAAATATATATAAATACTAATCAATATCTTTTTCGAATTTAATATTACAGACATTGGAGAACGAAAGAGAGTTTATTAAGGATCTCACCGAGAAATATGAGTCCATGAAAAAAAAAAAACAATCTTTGAAGAAACAATTGAAGGAGTTGAAGGAAGATTATATTAAGGTAGTGGAGAAACATACCGTTGAATTGGAGCAAAAGAATACATTAATTAATACATTAAACGAAAGAATTGAAATATTTACAAAGAGTATGTAGTAGTTTAAATTGATATTAATAACAACTTATATTAATACTTTTTTGTTTATTTTTTTATTTTATTGTAGATTATGAAAATACAGAGAATGTATTGGATAAATATACGCTGTTGGAGATTGAATATGATAAATCTCTGAAAGAACTGGAAAAGAAACAGACACAAATCAATTTATTGTTGGAGAAGAATCATGAGCATTTCCAAGTGGATGAGCGAAACACCAAGCAAATCGAGGCACAAGAGAATGATTTACACCGACTGGCCAAGCTGAATAGCGAGCAAAGCGAGGAACTCGAAACGATGCACCAACACTTTGAAACTATGAAGACACATCAAGCTGAATTACAAACACTTTACGATGAACAAGTGGAAACTAATAAGCGACTAAACGAACAACTTAAATCTAAATCTCAACAACAATCTCAACAACAACAACAATCTCAACAACCACAACAACAGTTATCTGAGGAAATGGTGAAAGAGTGGAAATCAAAGGTTGATCAATTGAATAATGAGGTCAATGGATATAAAGCTAGAATCAAAGCGATGGAGAGTGACCAAGAAGATCTCACTAGAACAAGAGAGGGATTGGCAGAGTTGGAGAGGGAGCTGGAATCTTTGGAGAACCAAGAAAAGTCAGCCAAACGATTGTTGGATGTTGCCAACAACGAGCTGGCAACACTGAAAGAGGAACTAAAGATGACCAAAGAGGAAGCTGAAGTCGCCAAAGAGGAGCTGGAGATGCAAGAGGTGTTGGCCAGTGAAAGCCAAGAAAAGGTGGAGCTACTCGAGAAAGAAAAGTTGGAGTGGCAATCCGAAGAGAAGAGACTGATGGAGAACTCTGAACAACTGCAACAACAACTGCAACAACTTCAACTGCAACAACAACAACTATCTCAAGCTGCACTGGTACAAAGACACAAAGGTCATCATCGTGAAAACAGCTTAACGAAACTATTTACCAATGTCGCGGATACTGCTACCAACTCGCAGTCATCCGATGAGTATAAACAGATGTACGATAAGCTGTTGCAGGAACACGAGGATTTGCAAAAGAAGTTGGTTCGACTGACCGTCAAGTACAATGCGGTCGAGAAGGATTTGGAGATTTCGCAAGCAGAGCATGAACGCTACCTTAGGGTGATGCAAGACTACGATGTCAATCGTAAGGAGTTGAGAATGACCAAAGAGATCATTCAGCAGATCGGTGCGCACATGGCAGGGAAGGGAGAAGATCAACTGTTCAAAAAGATAGAAAAGACCTACAGCGATAAGCATAAGCGTTCCGTTAACTTTAGTGACAACATAGAGTACTCTGATGTCTACACAAAGAATGTCATGCCATTCTTAAACACAGAACAAAAGGAGTTTGTCGGTAAAATTAAGAATCTTCAGCCAGACTACAATATCGACCGATCGAAACTCTGGGAAAATACCAACAATAAGATCAGTTTTACTGATGATCTCGAAAGAGAATATGAAGACAATGATGGAGAAGAGGAAATCGATGATGTTATTATCCATGACGATGATAACGAAGAAGAAGAGGAATATGACGATGAAGATGTAGATCGTGAACTAGAATCAGAGATTGTTCTTAATGAAGATAGTGAAGATGATCTAGTAGCTGATGATTTAATAGACGATGAATATGACGATGAAGCTGTAGATCGTGAACTGGAATCAGAGATTGTTATGGATGAAGATGATGATGAATATGACGACGAAGCTGTAGATCGTGAATTGGAGTCAGAGATTGTTCTAAACGAAGACAGTGAAGAGGAATATCAAGACGATGAAGTGGGAGAGGAAGAGGAGGATGAACACCAAGAGTACAGTGAAGAGGAAGTACAAGAATATCATCGAATCCATGAAGAAATGGTGGAGAAACTAGAGACCTACGAAAGAGAATTGGAATCGCTTGGTGCAACCGTTTCCTCTAACATCCAGGAGATTCAATCGCTACAGCAAGAGAAGAACTACCTCAATGATGTCGTAAGAGATGCCAACAAGGTCATCTGGTGTATTCTCGGTACTTTGTTGAATATGAATATGAAGATGTCGTCATCTTCCTCAGCTTCAGCTTCATCTTCGATGCTGCAGAGTGAAGAAGAGAATAACAGTGGTGACAGTGAAGGAGACAGCCAAGAGTATCCATTCGTTGCCAAACTCAAACAGAATATGAACAATCTCGAGAAGACAGTTCAACAGATTGCAACTTTACAACCGGCAACCAATGTTAGCTCCACTCAGATGAAGCGTGATCTCGAGTTGTATGAACAGGAGAACAACAATCTGGTTGCAGAGATTCAGCTGCTCAAGAAAGATCAACTGTTGATGAAGCAATACATTGAGAATCTTGAGGAGCGTGCCGACGGTTTAGAGTCAAAGAACAAGCAACACCAGCTCTATCTGACTACCGAACTTCTTCCACTGTTGGCAGAGATCAACAACCAACTGGAGGTTGCCATCCAGCAACGAACCGACTTGGTCAAGCAACTCAAAGAGAGACAAGAGCGTATTGCCTATCTCGAGCAACAGAACCTCAATACCTCACAGGATCTCGAAGTTACCAAAACCGAATACCAAGTACTCTACGATACCTATGCTGCTACTACCACTATTGCCGAGGCGGTAAAGGAAGAGCACAACAAGAGTATCGAAAGTAAAGATAAGAAGCTGGCAGAACTACAGAGTCAGATACTTCAACTGCAACAAGAGAATCAGAGCTATCGTGAGAAACAACATGCTTTGGACACCACAGCCAGCAGTGCAGAGCAGCATCAACAACTCCAACAAAAGTTGAACGAAGATCTCCAAAGAAACGAGAACGAGCGAAAACAACTACAAAGTGAAGTGGATAAGCTAAAGAATCAACTTGGTGATCAACAATCGAAACTTCATCAAACCAACTTGGAGTCACAACAAGAGATCGAAAGATTGAAACAACAATTAAGAGATCATCAAAATCAATTGGATACACCATTTGGAACTGGTGTAGTACATAATCAACAACAGCAACAGCAACAATCAACAAAGGAACAACAGCAACAATCAACAAAAGAACAACAACAAGTATCTCAACAAAAAGATAATAATTCAAATAATTTGAAATTGGATAATGATATTACCAATTTACTTAACTATACAAATCATATCATTAATAGCAATAGTAGTAGTAGTAGCAATTTGGCGGCATCGGCGGCATCGTTGTCGAATCTTCACAGAAGTAAAAGTTATAATGCACTTTCAACACCAATGTCTTCAAGCAAATCACAACCAACATTCACGCCACCACCAAACATCTCCAATACTACAACTACTACAACTACAACTACAAGCAACAAATCAACTCCAAATCCAATGGGTGGCTATTCACAATATCTCGATGAATTAAGTGATCAACACCACCAACAACACCAACATATTAATAATAATATTAGTAGCAGTGTAAACCAATCAATGTCAACTACATCAACATCAACTTCCAATAAGAAATACTATCCAACATCAACGATTACCTCACCTCCAACAACCACTACTACCATAGTCCCAGATGTCGAATTGATAACCGGACACAACGCAACCATTAAGAGTATCGATGATGTCCTCAATAACCAAGAGATTGAGAGACTCACCAATAGTAGTTCACCGATGTACTATGACCATTCAACACCTATTTCACCAATTGCGCCAACACGTGTTCTACCACAATCGACAACAACAACAGCTCCAACAGTATCACCTTTTGGTAATGCAATATTCGGATACTTTACTCCTTCCAACTCGACAACAGCAATGCCAGTAACTGTACATACATCACCAACAACAACCACTACAACAACACCAATATACACCTCACCTTTCAGAACTACAACAAAGCCACCAATATCCAATTCATCTTCAACTCATCACCAATATCCAATGTCAGCAATTCATACACGATCGAAACCATTCACACAATACAGCTATAGCGGTAGCAATAACTATCGACACACCAACGAGTCAAATGAATACAATAATAACTATAACGCATCGGGAAGTAATAATCTATTTGGATACAGTAACTCTGCACCTACAACACCATACAAACAACAAAGCAATAGACTATTCGCCAACCAACCTAATCAAACACAAGACTTATCAACCTCCTACTTTGACGAGCAACTAATGGAAAAACTCAAAGAAAAAGATGAAATCATACATTATCACGAAAGAAACGAACTTTTACTCTTGAAATCACAACTAAAAGATTTGAAACATATATTAGATAAGACAACAATACAATCATAATAAAGAAAAAGATTATTTATAAACTTTAGTTTTGTTTTTTTTTTTTTGGTTTAATTATAATACTTTTTATTTTATTTTATTTATGTCAATTTATTAATGAATCATATTTAAAACTTTTGGGCGGCGATCCATTCGGTGGTGACAGACTTGGGTCTCTCGATTGGGTGACCCAAAGCACGATCCCAAACCAAGGATGAAAGGACACCGATAGCACGGGAAACACCGAACAAAACTGTGTAATAAGAGTGCTCCTTCATTCCGTAGTATTGGAGCAAGATACCAGAGTGGGCATCAACATTTGGCCATGGGTTCTTGGTCTTACCTTGCTTGGTAAGGACTGGTGGAACGACTTCGTAGATTTGTGAGACCAACTTGAAGAGTGGGTCGTTTGGAAGATGCTTAAGGGCAAACTCACGTTGGCAAGTGTAACGTGGATCGGTCTTTCTGAGGACGGCATGTCCGAAACCTGGGACGACACGACCAGCGTTCAAACCTTCCCAGACGAGTTCAGCCAACTTCTCGTTGGAGACTTCACCCTCACCGATTTGCTTCTTGAGGTTGAGTGTCCAGGTCAATACTTCTTGGTTGGCGAGACCGTGGAGTGGACCAGCCAAACCGCACATACCGGCAGCATAGGAGTAGTATGGATCTGAGAGAGCGGAACCGACCAAATGAGTGGTGTGGGCAGATACATTACCACCCTCGTGGTCAGTGTGAATAGTCAAATATAATCTCATCAACTCGTCAAACTCCTTGGAGTTGAAACCCAACAAACGATTGAAGTTGGCGGACCAATCGAGATTTGGATCGATGGCTGGCATCTTTCCATCCTTGTAGGTTTGACGGTAGATAAGAGCGGCGATCTCTGGCAACTTGGCAATGATGTCCAAAGAGTCTTCCAAAGTGTGGACCCAATATTGATCCTTCTTCATACCCTTTTGGTACTCAGAGGCAAACTTGGAGTTGGTTTGGAGGGCCAAGATGGCGGCACCCAATTGGGACATTGGATGCATATCCTTTGGGAACTTCTTGATCATCTCAGTGACAAAAGTTGGCAAACCAGAACGATTGGCCAACTCCTTGGAGAGCTGTTGGACTTGGTTGGTGGTTGGGATTTCACCGGTCAACAACAACCAGAGGATACCCTCTGGCAATGGTTCCTCTCCACCTGGAGCCTTTGGGAGCTTCTCTTGGCATTGTGGAATGGTGTAACCACGGAAAGTGATACCCAACTCGGCATCGAGCGATGAGGTCTCAGTGACCAATGCCTTGACCGATCTCATACCACCGTAGGCTTGAGCAACAGTGCATGTTCCAATAATCTTATCACCATGTTCAGCCTTCAATTGCTTGACTTGTTCGATCTTTCCTGGAATGATTTGAGCTAATCTTTCCTTTAAGGTTGGCTCAGCAGTTGAGAAATATCTAGCAAATTGCTGTGTGAAAAAAAAAAAAAAGTGAAAAAAAAAACAATAACAAATAATTTGTTTTCCAATCATGATTGAAATAAATATGAAAGAAATGTTTATTAATAAAATGTACATTTAATTAATTAGATAATCACAATCATCATCATCATCATTTTTTATCATATTTTCAACTTCTTCCTTCCTTTCTGTGTTTGTTCTAGACTGATCTGATCCTATACAATTCTATCTTGTTTCATATCCTAATTGAAACTTATAATATTCTCTTTTTTGTTTTTGTCTTTTTCTTTTTTAGATTATTATTTGTTTGCATATGCATATGAAGTTGAAGTTGAAGTGAAGTTGAAATTGATGATTATAATAATGATGATTGTGATTTATCATTAGTATTATTCAACAACCTACTCTGTTAAGAGCAACGCTACGTCTAAGAGTTGAAGTGAACATTATTTGTTTATATACAATTATAATATTTAATATATATTAAAATAAAAAATAAAATAAAACTGTAAAATATGAATCGAAAACAACACACTCTTATTATACTTTACTTTAGTAATTTTTTGTTGTATTTTTTTTTTAAAAAAATATATTTTATTTTAATTTTGTTTTTTTTTTTTTTGATTAATTCTTTTTCCACTTCAATTTCGTGTTGTTGTTAACTTCAAAAAATTGAAAAAATCGTGACAAAAATTTAGCTGGTTCCATCACTATTTTTACATATGTAAAATATTTGAAAGTACTCTTTTTTTTCTAAACACTCAGTTCCCTTTTCATTTTTTTTTTATATCGAATGATCTGTTTTCCCAATCACAACTTTAGTTTCGTTAAATCATGATTTTTACTTAAACCAGGGGGCATAGAAACACGGAACATGCCACAAAAAAATCGAAATAAATTAATTAATTAAGAAAGAACAGTCTACTAGTCAAACAATTAGTTGACTTTTTTGTTTTTCTTACTTACTAAAATATTTGTACAAACCTATAATATCTAGGGTTATAATTATATGATTAAATAAATAAAATAAAATGTAAATGGTTCCGAATTTCATATTTTTTGATTGTTTGAAAAAAAAAAAAAAAAAGTATTGAAAATTTTTAAATTGATTTTCATTCAATTTCGAAATCACTTAATGATCATTTTTTAATAAAGTTATTGTTAATTAATATAAGAAAAGGAATAGATAATGTTTCGTTTTGGATCAAGATTATTATATAGTGCAGCAGGTAGTGGTGGATTCGCAGGTGCCAAAGGTATCGTTGGAACCGTCGGTTTGGGTCGTTTGAATCACGTTGCAATTGCAGTGCCCAACATGGAGGAGGCCGCCACTATGTACCGTGATGTCATGGGTTGCAAAGTGAGTGAAGCCGTCGAACAGAAGGAACACGGTGTCTCCACTGTGTTTGTTGCACTCGAGAACACCAAGATCGAGTTGCTCCATCCGCTCGGTGAGAACAGCCCCATTGCAAACTTCCTCAAGAAGAACCCAGCCGGTGGAATTCACCATGTTTGCATCGAAGTCGACGACATTCACTCTGCCGTCAAAGTACTCCAAGAGAAACAGATTCGTATCATCGATCCAAATCCAAAGATCGGTGCACACGGTAAACCAGTCGTTTTCTTACATCCAAAGTCATGCAATGGTGTACTTGTAGAATTAGAAGAGAAATAAAAACATAACAACAAACATATAGTAATTATTTAAAATCATAACAATAATACACTTTTTTTTTTTTCAACACTCCAAAGACATTTCACAAACAAACAATTTGTCATATACATGATGTTGTGCTGAAACAACTTTCCACAAACATTGATTGTCATTACCAAATCACTATGTCCTCTAATAACTTAACTTTGATTCTTTGTATTTACAATAAAAATACAATTTATTTTTTTTTATAATTTTATAATAATCATATGATTATTTTTATTCCTAATTAAGAAAATCAATTAATTGCACACATGGCAGAAAGTATAAATTTAATAAAAATAAAAAAAAATGGTCATTGTGTGTTAAGTTCACCCAACTAAAACCATCAAAAATTTTTAATCACTTGAAATGAAATTTAAATTAAACTTTTAAAATTATCATTTTTTTAAATTACTTAGTAAGAAATAAAAGAATAATTATAACTTAACTATGAGTAGTAATAGTAATAATAGTAATAGTTCATCAACGGATGGTGTTGATCCAACCTTTAGAAATGAAGCAGTTGCTTTGTTTAAGGAGTTGGTCTATAATATACCATCGGTGGATCAAGCTATTTTCTCGCACAAATCAGATGATAACTATGTCAATGTTTCCATCGTTACGTCGGTCACCGACTTGCAAAACAAGAAGGATAAATACTACCTTCACAGTAGATCGCTCATCAACAAGGACGAGTCGCATCCACACCACAACATTAGAAGCTCGCCATTCCCATGCGAGCTGGGAACACCGCTAATCTCTGTTTCACCGTCAGGCAAGACAATGCTCACCATCAAGGAGGTCACACCCGACTCTGAGTATCTCTTTGAGTTCCTCGACCAAACGCATCTCACCAGAACAATCACCTCCAAGGAGATTCATAAAAAGATCTTTAGTGATGGTAAGTAACATTCAATGATGAACATTAATTAAATAGCAAATTATTTATTTATCTTTATTGATTCATGTATGTAGAATGGTTTGGAAGAATTTCATGGTCACCATGTGAAAAGTATATCGCTTTTATTGCAGAGAGAAAGGTGGAGACTACCAATTTCTACGATAAGGATCCAAAGGAAAAGATCGTTGGAGATTCATTCCTTTTCAAGAATGATTGGGGTGAAACCTATGTGTCTTATCAATCACCATCGATCTTTGTTATCGATATTCCAAATGAAACAGTCATCCCCGTTCTTTGGCCATTGGCAGACAACATTACAGCTGGTCAAGTCACCTGGACTCAGGATGCCAACGGTCTAGTTTTCGTAGGTTGGAAAGTTGAAACCAGAAGATATGGTATTAGAGCTTGTTTTAATAGATTGTAAGTTTATTTAGTTTTATATTTACATCAATATAAATATTAATATTACTTTTTGATAATTTAAAGGAGTTCAATTTATTATGTTGATTTCGGTGAGTTGATAAAACAAAGAAATGAAATGAAAATTAAACAGGCAACCGATAGTAAGTGTAATCCAAATAATGTTACTGTCCAAGCGGTTAATTTGTTGGCTGATTATATCGGTTGTTTCAGATCACCACGTTTCACTTTGGATGGCAAACAATTGATTTTCTTGGGTATGCCAGGTATTGTATTACCACACAACTCTTGCTCACAACTCCTCAGTATCCAATGGAAGCAAGGTGCCCCAATCAAAGGTGAATCCGACATCACTACACTCATCGGTGAGAAGAACTTCAAGGATGAATTCCCTGGAATCTACTGTCAGGGCCTGCCAACTAACCCATGGATCGATGCAAAGACATTGGTATTCCATGATCAAATCCATTCTACCCAAGTAAGTTGTTAAAAAAATATTAATATATTATTATTATTATTAAAAGTTTATTTATTAATATCAACGAAATATATAACTTTTTAGAAAGCATTTCTCTTTAATATTGAAACAAAAGAATTGGAAACATTATCAGGACTTAAAGGAAACTGTACGATTTTCGATGTCGATACTATGAATCGCCAAGTTTTAATAGGTGAATCCACCCCATCATCACCAACTACAATTGTATGTTGAAATAATTATTATTATTTTTATTTTGTTTTGTTTATTTGAAATTATTAACTTTTTTTTTATCATTATTAATTATCTAAAGAATTTAGTTTACCTAAAGGATAAGAATTCACCTGCTAAATCTGAATTCTTTATTTACAAACCAATCTATGAACCAAAGTTGACTGAAAAGATTACAAATATATTACGTACCATTCAATGGGATATCGAGGATGTCAAAGCACCGGAACCAATCATCGGCGGTATCGATAAGTTCCAAATTATCCATGTACAACCAAAGACCACGAATCCAACTCCTCTCATCCTTTTCCCACATGGTGGTCCTCATGTAGGATCGACTTGTGAGTTTTTGACAAGCGTCTGCTATCTCAATGCTCTTGGCTATGCCGTTACTATGATCAACTACCGTGGTTCCACTGGATTCGGTCGTGACTACAACGATGTCCTTCCAGGACACATCGGTACCATGGACGTTGCCGATTGCTTGGCCACGCTCGATCATCTCTTGACGACACGTGCTACCACTTTGGATCGTGAGAGATGCGCTGTCATGGGTGGAAGTCACGGAGGTTTCTTGGCTGCTCATCTCTGTGGACTCAAGACACCGCGTTTCAAGGCTGCTGTCATCAGAAACCCGGTCATCGATATCTCCACACTCTCAACTCTCTCTGATATTCCCGATTGGAGTTTCTGTGAGGCCGGTGTCAAGTTGGAGAAGGGTGCCAAGGTGTACCCAGTGGTTCCAACCACTGAGGAGCTCATAAAGATGAGAGAATGCTCACCCATTTCACATCTAGATAACATGAACGTTCCAATTCTCTTGGGTCTCGGTGAGAACGATCTCAGATGTCCACCATCGCAAGGTATGATGCTCTACAATGCACTCCAACAAAAAGGTGTTCCGACCAAGTGTCTCTACTATCCAAAGACAGGACATGGATTGGCTTCAGTAGATGCTAAATCAGATCAATGGATACATTATGCTTGTTGGTTGAAGCAATATTGTTAAAAACAAACCAAAAAAAAAAAAATTATTGTTGCTTGTTTCCATGTGGAAAAAACAAAAAAAAAAGAGTTTGTTTGTGTGAAAATCCCCTTTTTTTTTTAGGGAAAATTTACAGAACTGGTATAAACAACAACAATAAAGTGTTAACAACTACTATTTTTTAAATTAAATTAGAAACCATAAGTTTATTATCACTAAATAAAAGATTGATATAAATAGAATAAGATGTTGGTTATTGGTGGGCACAACCAATCCGCTTACTTATGATATACAAGAATCATTTGTCTTCGGACATTGCAGGTTCGATTCCTGCTTTTCTCAACCCGAGAAAATGGGCGAATGGTCAAGCCGATGAAAAAATATCCTGCGTAGATGGTGCAATCCCACTTTTTTAAAATATTGATAGAGCTCATCCTAACTATAACCTGTGGAATTGGAAACTATCTTCAACAATGTAAGAAAGTTCGAGTTGATTTACAAACCAAGTAAGCCATTCCAAATTCAACATTGTAAATCATTAATAGGATTGAGAAACAAAAAATTTTAAAAAAAGAAGGTCAGAATAAGTTAAAGTAAATGTTGATGAATTTCAACAAAACCTTCTTTTTAAATATGATGAGAATTTAGTTTTATTATTTAGAAATTTTGATTAGAGGGAAATACTTGTTTATAATTAAAAAACAATTTCTGGAATCTTTCACAATTTCCAATTCTATTCTTTTACTTTTGCTTTGTGAATAATTTATTACTAATGTAAATGACAACATTTTCTTTCATTTTATAGTTTTTGACAATTTAAATATAATACCACATAATGATGGCCAAACTGAGGATCAGATAAACAAAATAAAAATTAACAAATTTTTCTTTCTAAATAAACTTATATTAATTGTCAAACAACTAAAAATTAAATGTTTAAGACAGGTGCTTTTGATTTAATTAAAGATATATATATTTACATTATTTTTATTATATTGTTATTAAACTGAAAATAGACCAGCATCTTGTCTAAAGAATTCTCTTAATGTTGGAGTCATTGTTTTTGGTAATCTCTTATAGAAATTCCAACAGAAATATGTAAAGTATCCCTCCATGAAAACGATAACAAACGATAGGAATATTCCAAATCCGTTCAATGTCTTTATATTTGCAAATAAATATGATAGTCTAAAGATGATATCTACAACTAGATAAGCATTAAACTATATTATAATTGGAAATAAAACAAAATAAAATAGATTAGTTGATTATAACAAATAGAAGTCTCTTTGACAAAAAAAATATATATTAGTGTCATACCATTAAAAACATTCTACCCTTAAAATAATGAGCTGAATAGAAACCAAGTGGATTCATAACCAATCCAAGACTGAAAATTAACCACCATGCCTGAACAAAGTATGTCATAATAGAGAAAAACTAGATAATAACAAAAATTATTAGGTTGAGTTTTAATCTATTTTACATAAAATAATGAGTGTGTGTTTGAAAACTTACCATTATAAACATGGAAATTGCTTTTATAATGGTGGCTGTTCTCTTTAGTGAGATGTAACGATGATGATCTTCAGAGTGTGTAACAATCTCTGGTAGATCGAAAGTGGAATCATAACTGGGATCAAAGAGTGATTCGTTCTGTTGTTGATGTGAATTCTCTCTGTTGTACTCCGATTGTAACTCTGCTGCGTAGTCTTCATCGTTGAATGTCGGTGTATACTTATTGTAACTACTGCTATTGTTGCTGTTGTTGTTATTCGTTGTTGTCGTTGTTGTTGTTGGAAATGGTGAATTTCCATTGCCCTGTTGAACATTCGATGGTAAGACATGATTGGAATTGGCACTTGCCTGTTGTGACAGGTGTTGATTTACATTTGACAATCGTTTTGCAAAATCATTACTATCTTCATCATTATCTTGATTTATATTACTCTTGTTGATGTTGTTGTTGTTATTGTTATTTTTGTTGGAGGAGTATTGAGGTGATGCTAAAGATGGTGGAAGTGCTGGCTTTGGTGACTTGTTGTTGCTATCCAACAGATTGAAATCATCATCCTTATTATCATTTGTATCAAAATCGAAATTATTACTTAACATTTTTATTTTATTTTATTTTATTTTATTTTATTTTACTAAAAGCAATAAAAAGCAAAATATACAAATATAAAAATAATATGTATCTTATATCTTATCTGATGTTTACTATTTGTTTTTAATATTATATTTTGTTTGTTTCCTTAATTAATCAAATTAAATTAAATTAAAATAATTAAAATTAAACCAAAATAAATTAAACAAATAAACAATAAATAGAAAACAAACAACAACAAAAAAAAAAGTCTGGTTTATTTTATATTTGTTTTTTTTTTTGTTTTTTCTTTTATCCCAAGGATAGAATGAATGCGATGGTGATGTCTGCTGTTGTTGTTGTTGTGCTATGTATTTTATATATTCTCTTTGCAATACACATGTTGATAAACACCAATAAAGTTCAACACACATATTTTTTATTAATGAATGAATACACTTTTTTTTTTTTTTTTTTTTAATTATTACCCCCATTTAATTAGTGAATTAGCAAACACATATATATTCTACAAATTTCCTGGTTATTTAAAAACAAATAATAATATTAAATAAGTTCGATTCAATCCAATTTAGTCTAAAATATTATTACTTTTATCATTTATTATTATTATTATTATTTCCACTGTGGATGCCTTGAACGACCTAAAACATTTAAATATCCAAGCAAACCTCCAATTGTACCTCCAATTGCCGATTTAGCAAATCCACCTAAAAAAAAGAAGTATTATAATTGATTGATTGATTGATTGATATGTTAGTGATATATGATCAAGCTGATATCAGCAATTGAGATATCTATTCTATTCTATTCAGTCTTCTCTTACCAGGAGCTTTATAAACGGAACCTACAGCTGCACCAGCAGCCACCGAACAGAAAACACTGTCCTCATCGTAACCAGTCGATTTAGAGAGTAACAGTTTGACGACACCGTATGAGAGTACTACAGAGGCTGCGGTGTTTGCGCAGGTAGCAGCACTCTTTCCTGTATAATTCAGCATTACGTTCAATCTTGGTTTGAAACCTGTGTATTGAGTGGCACTCTGTGAACCTTGAAGCACACCAGCGGTGGTACCAACGAAAACACCACCCAAATATGCAATACCTGTATTCTGAATGAAAGCGTAGTTTCCTTCGGCTTCGTTCAACGCTGAAAACTCTACACCCTTTGGTGCTTCTGTTCCCATATATTCTTCATTTACAAATTCTCCTGACATTCTCTCTATATATATATCTATTTATTTCTATTTTTATTATTAAATTGACTATACTATAGATAGTCGAATTGTATTTACTTTAAATTATTAATTATTAATTAATAATTTAATTAGATTTATAGATATATTAATAAATAAACAAAGAAAACTGATGTATCTAAGCTAATTTGGTAGTTGTCGATTGTTTGGTCATTAAATTTTTTTATTTTTTTATTTTTTATTTTTTAAAAACAAAAAATTTTGAACCGAGTCGAGTCGTAACAATTATCTGTGTTGAATTTGATTGATGTATTAATTATGATAGATTGATAACTGACTTAAAATACAATTATTCTACAATAAATAAATATTTTAAATTTGTATTGTTTGATCTTACTTTAAAGTATATTTGTTTGATTGTTTACTTTTCGATACTTCGTTCATTTGATTGATAAACTTCTTTATCCTTTATTTTTTCACAAACAAAAACCAAATCTGGTCGATATAAATTAAACTAGATCAAGTTTATCATTTTCTTTGATATGTTTTAATTATAAATACAATTGGTTAAATTAACTAAATAAAATTTAGTTGATTTGAACCAAACTTTTAATAACATACGTTTGTAGATTGTATTAGCTATAATAAATAAACTATCTGTAATATTTGGCACTATAAAAGAGTGAATTTCTAAGTGTTTGTTTTTCGCTCAATAGAAAAAAAAAAAAAAAAAGTGAAACATGATAAAAATGATCATAGATTTTGTTAGTAATTATGATGTTTTTGATTATCATTATTTGATCAAATAAGTGTAGTGTTGTTCGCCACATATTGTTGTTTTTTTTTTTTGTTTCCATATGACAATTTATTATTTTAGTTGTTTAGATCAATCCAATCTTGTTGGCAACGTCAGCAGCGTCGTGAGATGGATCCAACTTGACGAAAGCCTTCTTCTCTCCCAATGGGGTGATCATAGTGTTAACACGAGCAACTTCAACGTCGTACATCTTCTTAACAGCTTGAGCAATTTGGTATTTGTTTGAGAACATATCAACCATGAAAGTGATGGTGTTGTTGGACTCGATCTTCTTGGTGGCTGACTCAGTGGTGAGTGGTGCCTTCAAGACTCTGAATTGATCCATCTTGGAGACTCTCTTGACAGAGGATCTTGGGTAAGATGGGTTCTTCTCTTGTTGGAAGACATGTGGACGTCTGTGTATAATTATATGAATATCACCAATGTTAACTAAACCTGTTTTCACACACACTTTTTCCATCAAACTCTACTAATCATCATTTTACATACCTGAAGATAACCTTGGTTCTGACCTTACGGGTGGTCTTCTTGAAGGTACCCTTCTTGACAGCGGCGGCAGCAGAGGAAGCCTTTTCCTTCTTAGCTGCGGCTGGTGCGTTGATAACAGCCTTCTTAGCAGTCTTTGAGACAGTGAGATCCTGCTTTGGAGTGTTGGATTTGACGGCTAAATGATGTAGATAGTGAAAGAGAATGGTTAATCTTTAGTTCCTGTATATTCATTTCATTCATATCTGTGATTCTAGAAGAGAGTAGAGAGAGTGGATGTAGCTCGATAGATGATAGATAGAAGATAATAATAAAGAGATATATACCCTTCTTTGTCATTTTGGAGAGTCTAGGAGCGAAGGATGATTACTAAGAGAAAAAAACAAGTCGCTGGGAAGTTACTAACGATATAGTAAGTGGGTCGGTCACAGAAGGTCGAGTGAGTGGAAGCAGTGTGTGGGATTGCACGAGAGAGTCACCCAACCAGAAGCTCATTGAAAAATTAAAATGAAAAAATTCGGTAAAAATCAAATTTTGTTTTTCAAACGAACTTCCTTTCATAGCCTTTTTTTAACAAACACAACACTAATAATAAAAAAAATAAAAATAAAAAAAACGAACGAATAGTTAATTTGTTTGATCAATCAATTATTATTTTTTTAGTAATATTACATATTTATTATAAAAAGAAAAGATGACATCATTAGCGAAATATGAAGAATGGATGTCAAAGACTGGTTGGAAGAAAGGCAGTGGTCTTGGAAAGAACGAAGATGGTGATACTAACTTTATTGAAGTAAATAAAAAGAATAATAATGTTGGTGTAAGTATAGTTTTGGATATGAATATTTGTATAGATATTAATATTATTATCTAGATTGGTGCAACTAAATTCAAGTGGGATGAGCTTTGGTGGGACAACGTCTATACCAACACATCTAAAAAGATAGGTGAAACAGAAGAGAGTATCGATAACAGTTTATTTGAGACCGGTTATTCAAATAGATCAAAAGAGAGAAAAGCAGAGCTAGAAAAAGAAAGAAAAGCTTATGAAAATGATAGTAGTGAAGAAGATGATGAAGATAATGATAATGATAGTGATGATAGTGAAGATGATAGTAGTAGTAAGAATAATAATAATAATAATAATAATAATAATAATAATAATAATAATAATGGTGGTAGAGCTGGACTTGGTAGTGGAAATAGCAATAGTAATAGTAGTAGCAAGTCAAAAGTTTATCATGGTCAATTTAAGAAATCAAAGGTACAAACTTTTGATGTTGCAGACGATGAGGAGGAAGAGCTGAAGAAACAAGCGGATCTACAGAAGAAAATGAAAGATGAAGATAAGAAGAAATCTGTTAATATCAATGGAAAGGTATCTGATATGACAAGCGAGACATTCGAAGCATGCAAAGGCAGAGTTTTAAGAAAGTACGTTCCACTTGGAAAGTTGGCTAGACTTCAAGAACAAGAGAAGAATTTCAACAATAACAACAGTAACAACAACAATAGTACCAATAATAACACTACCACTACCACTACCACTACTATAGTTTTAAGTAAATCAGAGAAGTTACAACAAATACTTAATATTACAGAATCATCAAGTTCACAAGTTAAATCAACATATATTGCTGTTGTTGTTGATGAGAAAAAAGAGAACAGTAAAGACAAGAAAGATAAAAAAGAAAAGAAAGATAAAGATAATAAAAAGAGAGAGTTAGATCAACAAGACAGTAGTAGTGGTAATAGTGATAAGCAAGTTGTTAAGAAATCAAAGACATCCACATCAACAAGCTCATCATCATCATCAGAAAAAAGTTTAAAAAAAGAAAAAAAGAAAGAAAAGAAAGAGAAAAAGAAGAAGGAAAAGAAGGAAAAGAAAGATAAATAAATAGTGATAATAGTAATAATATCAATTGTAATAAAGTAAAAAATTTAAATTATTTCCAAAATACATGTTGCCTTTTTTTTTTTTTATACAATATACCGATTGATTTTGATTTATTAAAGTTGTAAAAGTAACTGTTTTGAGCAAGCTATTATTATCAATATTAATATTAAATTATTACTTATAGTTTATTTAAATTTCTGTTGAATTAATGCACCTAATAGACCTGCATCTTTTAAGGATTGTGATGGGTTGATTGGTATTGGTTTCATTGGGAATCCAGAGAGTAAATCGAATGGTCTTGTATTGTTATTGATAGCATTGATATAGTTGATCAATTGTTGAAGTGTATGTGTTTCATTGAAAGTCGCTTGTTGTCTCGATCCATCTGCCATACGTATTTGTATTACTGTAGTTGGTTGTGATCTATCTATTTCAACTGTTGGTGCTGTAGTAGTGGTGGTGGCAGTTGTTGTTGTTGGTCTGCTTGAAGAAGAAGAAGAAGTCGAGCTAGTTGTTGTTGTTGTTGATGTTGAAGATGGTGTCGATCCTAATGCTTGTCCACTGCCAGAGAATGCAACGTATCTGGGTTTGGCAGGCTCGACGTAATCCTTTTGACGGTTGTCCAACAAGACGATCGAGAGTCCGCCGGGTGGCGCATTCGCTTCGAGTTCACGTGGGATCACTCCACGCTGGATGTCCATGAGGAACTCACGGTTCTCTGGTCGGTCGAATCCTCGGAGTGGACCATCGTCAATGGTGAATCCCTGCTGCCAGAATGTGATTTTCACCTCAACGGTTTGGTCGTCAGGGTTCTTGGCGGGCGGCTTCGACTGGACGGTCTGACCAGCCTGTGTGTTACCGAGCATGTATCCGACGCTATCGAATGACTCTGGCTTGTTGGGTTTGCGTTCGGCTGCCGGTTTGGCGCCTTGCTTCTTGGCGCTATCAAATACATCGTCAACGACACCCTTGTCACCGGACTTCTTTGGTTTCGGACCGGATTGAACCATCAGACCCGACTTTTCACCACCGGTAAAGTAGTTCTGTGTCTTATCGTCTTCGTCGTCATCGTCGTGGTCACTGTGATCATCGCTATTGAAATCCGAGAGAGTTCTAACACCTCCTCTTGCTGGTGCACCAGATGTTTTCTTTGTTGATCCAGATGATGATGATGGTGGTGGTTGATTTGCCATTACACCTCTTGGTCTAAATGGTTCATCATCCTCTTCTTCCTCCTCTTCGATATAAGGTTGTCTTGATTGTTGTTGTGGTTGTGACACTCCACCACTTCCTCCACCTTCTGGTTGATCTTCAAAATATGAAAGTGTTGCACTCTTTAAAAATAAAATGAAATTATAGTTAGAATATAGAATATATATTTGTTGTTTGTATTATTTAATTATTAATATTTACATCTAAATTCCAATCATGACTCTCAAGATAGAATTGACAAACATGATCATCTGCATTTGTAATCGATTTAAATTGACTTTTTAATTGTTCTTTATCTGCCATATTTCTATAAATATATGAGTATTAAAATATTATAATATTAAAACAAATAAAATTAAAAAAAGATAGATGTTTATTTTAATAAAAATATAAATTAAAAATGATGAACTTAATTATTTACAAATTTTTTTTTTTGAGAATCAAATTAAATTAAAAAACAAACAATTTTTTTGTGATTCACAACATTAAAAAAACTTGGTATAAATTTCAATGAATTTTCAAAAAACAAAGATAAATAATAAAAAAAAAAAAATAAATATTAATGATCTTAATCAAATAAAAATAACTTATTTTCTATATTTTTTGATAGTTATGTTTTATAGTTTAATTGTTAACTAGTTTCTTTTATGAATAAGTTTGGATAGCTTAACTTTTTAAAAAAAAAAATAAAGTAAAAATGACTTTAAACACTTTTTAGATGAATTTCATTTTTTTTAAATTGATTGTCCTTGTCAAACAAATGTTATGATCATAATATAGATATTTATTTATAAATAGATAAACAATAATAAATCATGTTGAAATTTATTGGTAGTGATACTGATCAGATTAATAATAGTAATAATGATATCGATATTATTGGTAACAGTAATGAATGTATAACATTCTTTAAACAAAATTATAAATCAATAGTAGCTGATTCAAATAAATTAAAGAAATCAATTGATTATTTATATAATAATAATAATAATAATAGTAGTAGTAATAGTAATAAAGTTGTTAATGGCTTAATATTAGATGATTGTATACAATCTTCAGTTTATATACAACCACACAGATATTTAGATGTATTGTTAATGTGTATAGAATGTATCCCAACATTCAAACGACAGTTGTTAGATCAACTAACACTGGTTTATACAAATCATCTTCATTTCCAAATTGCAATAACCGATTCAATGCAATCCGGTTGTTTTAAACTAAGATTATCATCACCTAAATATCAACAACAACAATCAAATCAACAACAATCAAAGAAACGTAACTTTGAAAGTATTAATAATACAACAACCAATGCAACAACAAACAATGCAACAACATCAGCAATAACATCTGCATCGACAACAATCGAAGATAAATCAAAGATGTTGACATTGATGTCATCTCCACAAACAAAGGAATTGAGATCATCTATTTTAAATCAGAAACAACAACAACAAAGTAGTCATGGTCATGGGCATGGACATGGTCATAGTTATAAAGGATATCATCTTTATAAACATTACGATGAATATATACTTAGTATACATGAATATATGATATCGTTGTTGGATCGTAATGGTCAGGCATGGTATCTAGATATCATACAATGGATCCTAAGAACATTAACACATCTTAATCAAATGGTTTTATTATCATCTAAATCAACAACAACATCATCAACATCCAATATAGATACAATATCATTATTATCACCAATAATACAGTCATCATTATCATCATCAAATCAACAACAACAACAACAACAATCACAACATCCATCTATTATATTACAGAATAATCTTAGATATCTAACTATACGTAATTTACTATCATTGTTATTACATATGACAAAGAATGGAATAGGTATGTTTTGTTTTGTTTGACTAGATTATCATCTACACTTTTACATTATGAATATTAACATCTCCAAAGATCATCTGTTTAAACAAACAAAGCTATTGGAGACACCCAATCAAAGTTGGATTGTATTATTCATCAGTGGAAAGTATCCTATGGAATCAATTGAATATATATTGAATCAATGTTATAGGGATATCAATGGTAATATTAGTGGTAGTGGTAATGTTAGTGGTAGTGGTCAGTTGAAAACATTGGAATATCTATCGGATCAGTTTAAGGAGATTGTTTGTTCGGTGGTACTTAGTCAGTTGGAAGATGAACGTGTCACACCTCTGCAGTTGTTACAGTTGCTCTACCATTGTCCGGTGTTACTCTCCATTGTATTGCCAGTGATAATCAATCATTTCCAATCGATATTCAGTTCGCTCGATCTCTCTTGTATCGATTTGATAAAGACAATATTACAAGATCGTAATTCATTCTTAGATGCATCTTCCATAACTAGAATAATAACATTATTATTAGATTGTATAAATAATAATAATAATAATAATAGTAATAATAGTTTAGCAACAACAACATCATCATCATCATCATCTCAAAAACAACAACAAATTATATTATTTATGTCAATAGTAGAATATTTAGAACAGTCTTTATTTGATAGTAGCAATAACAACGTTAATAGTAATAATCAACAAGAATCATTAGTTCAAGGTCTTTCCAATTCACTATGGTTGTTCTGTCAGTGTATACTCGAGAACAAATCCAATGAATTTGATTTCAAACCATTAGTTTCACTTACCACCGCCATTGCAATGACAAGCTCTAGATATTGTCAACATGTATTGTTATTCTTCCTTACTAAAGAATCAGCAACAACAACATCATCAAGATTATCAACAACAAAAATAACAGCCAAATCATATATTTTATATTTTGTAAATCAGTTTCAAGTTGGTTGGCCAGGTATTCTAAGCGATTCAGTAAATTTAGCATTGGAAAGAGTCGATTCATTATCAGAGAGAGATTTAGATCAGTTATTATCAAATATATTATCATTATTATTAATAGATAGTAGTGGCATTAATCAACAAGAACAACAAAAGCAACAACAACAACAACAACAGCAACAACAAGTATTAAAATCATTAAAATCGAAATGGTATATTTTATTAAGAATGATAGAGCATCAATCACTATCGATAAGACAAAAGTCATTGGAGGCACTACAGATAACACTCTGCGATGCCGATTTCACAGCAAACTTTAAAGATCTGCTGGATATGCGTATCTTTGGTGAACGTATCTTGAATCTAATCTTTGGATTGCTGATCAATTTCAATGCCACTCCACTCTCGGTAAACTCTGCCTCTGACGAAAAGAAAGAGTTTAAAAGAATTATTATTTTAAATAATTTAAAATCTTTATGTAAGTTGTTAATCCAGATGCATCTTTTTCTCTATATATCTTATTCAACTAAACTAATTAATAACATAATATATATAGATAAATCAATATGTAATTTATCATTATTTAATCTAAGTTGGGGATTAGCTTTACTCTTGGATTTTATCATGAGTCCTACTCATTCCGATCTAAAGTTAAAGCAACCGACCACCTATGTTATACATCCTGCCAACTCTGCACAATCGATCATCCTAGAGCCAGAGGAACCAGTAGAGACCAATCTCATTTTAAATCCAAACATACCTTTATCACAACCATTACCTAAACATCATAAACAACAGCAACAACAAGCAGAAGAAGAAGTAGAAGACATTCGACATGAAGGAGATGAATATGACGGTATGAATGGTATGAATGGTGTGGTGATGAACGGTGTCAATGGTGAGAATGTGCCGGATGAGAATGAAACGCTTTTACAAAGTAACTTCAAGAGGAAATACTATCAGTATAAGTTCTTGGATATGAACCAACCTCGACATTTGCCATTCAAAAACGGTAGTCTACCCAATGGTCTACAACAAGGTGCTTGCTCCACTACACTGCCTACCAACTACTCGCAGAGTGATAATCAATATCAAATAGTTGAAATGATTAAATCACTTTTAAAGAGTAATAACAATAATAATAATGTAGATCAACAACAACAACAAGATGATCTTGTTTATATTAATTTAGATAGAGAGAAGCTTTCAATTTTTACTTGTCATCTACTTAAACGTGTATTGCCAAGCCATATCAACCCATCTTACGAGAACTATCAGGAAATAATGCCAAAACACTCAACATTTGAACGTGACATCTACCTTAGAAAACTGTTTCAACAAGACAGTATACTATGGGAGCTCTTTGAGATCATTTCAAACGGTAAGTAAAGTGTTGTGTTAAGATTAAACATAACCATTTAAAGTTAAAACAAATAGATAAAAGAAGATTAAACTAACACTAACATCCTTTTAAACAAATCAAAATATTAAACAAACACAACACAAAACAACACAACATTTATATTCCTCATTTTTGTAAAACAATTCAAACAAAACAAACACACACAGATGGAAGAGAATTTATTAAATGTATAGAGGTGGTAAAGAGTTTGTTGGTGAATGAGCTGACCTATTGGTACTCTGAAAAGTTCCTGAGTAAACCATCAAAGTCAGTGCACTTTCGACAAACTTGTACTTTGGTGGGAATGCTTGCCAACTCTAAATTTATTCCACCGCCACTCAGTCAGGTGACAGAGTTACTCGACAAGATAACACCTGAAGAGATATCATTTGTGTTGGTGACGATCTGGAACTTCATCAGGTATCATCCGCCAAATCCATCGCAATACTCATCAGCATCCACCAGAGTGTGTTTCACCGATGACAAGAAACCTCTCAACGTGGAGGTGTACACTCAAACATTAAAGTCGATTTTCCACAATCATATATCTGAACTTGCAAGTCAATATGGTAGATTCTTTTCATTGAACAACAACAACATCATCATCAACAATCACAATAGTAATAATAATAATAATAATACCTCAATGATCATCTCCACAGTTAACAATAACAAAAACATAGATAATAACAATAATAATCTAAACAACAATGGTAGTACTAGTGGTGGGGTAGAAGTAGGTTCACTTACCACCAGTCAGTAACAACATCATCAATACAGAAAAATCAACCAACCAATAACACATCATGAAACTATAAAATTAACTCAATCAAAATAAAATAAAAAGGTTTAGCGCTGAGGGATCAAAGAACCTAAAAATAACCATCAAAAAAATTCAAAAAACACATGTTGGGTGACCAACCCAAAACACTTTGTTTTATTTGGTAAAAGTAAAGAGAAAACAGATTATATCTATTTGTTTGTATGGAGTGAAAGTGTTAGAGATTTTATCTCGAGTGGTGGAGATGAAGATACTATTTACTTTTCTCTTATATCAACCATATAGTGGGTGTTCTCATGTGTTGGTAGTTCATAGTGTTTGTACCTACAGTATCAGCGTAGTTCGATCTCCATAGTCATGACATGTAGTTGGATCACATTTGTATCCTGTTTATATTTAGAGTGCATTTTGATATCGTCTATTGGTTAAATCATTATTCTATTGGTTTCTTGATTCTTTGATATAGTTTGAAATCAACAATCAATTTTCAACTAAATTCTATTTATTGACAATGAAACTTGGTTGTTACGTTATTCATCATCTTATTTTAAATATTTAAAACAATTGTCAATCAAACCTTCTATTTTTATATTCTTTTAGTTTGTTTGTATGTTTATTTCTTTCTATAATTATATTTTGTTTTGTTTTTAATATTAATTTTTTTCAAACTTGTAAATATGTCTTCGAACCAACCTTTTTGTTATTGTGATCCATCATCTTATGCTGCACCTTCCGATAGTACAAAATGTGAACCCCAAGGCTGTCAAGCAATCGCAGCAATTTTTATGTGTATATATTTAGGAGCTTCATACCTATCTTTTCTCCAAATCTTAAAACATAAATTTGGACCAGCATTCATTTCCTATATCCTGTTATTTATTGGAAGTCTCCTATTAGGAATAAGGCAATTGTTGTTAGTTTTCAGACATCCAGACTTTCTTTCACTAGGAGCCCTACTTTTAGTAGGACTAAACCTTACATTTTCTGGATATATTTTCACTCTTATTTATTGGTGTAGTTTAGTAAGCACCGTTGTATCATCAAAAAAAGTTAAAATAATAATAAAAGTTGTACAATATATTTTGGTAGTTTTTTCTTCTATATTAATGGCAACATCAATTATTGGTAAATATTTAAATTATTCAAGTATAATAATTATTTTTAAATCCTTAACTAATAATTTGAAAAAGGTTTTAAACTTTGGTGGGATTATTATGTTACGAATGTTCTAATTATTGCCAATGGAACTGGATTAGCATTTGGATTTTTTGTTTTAAACTATCTTTTGGTAAAGAAAAAAACTTATTGAAAGTAATGGTATAAGACTATCAAAGTTGGCATATAAAAGAATGGACAAACTGGGTAAATTAGCACTATTTGCAGTTGCTTCCTCCTCTTATTTGGCTATTATAATGGTGGCATGTACTCTTTTCTTACCAACCAACGATCAAAATGGTATTGCTTGGTTAATCTTAAATCGTTCAGCATTTGGAATTTTTATCTATTGTTTATTATTCTTTAAGCTTCCATCAACACAAAAGATGGTGAACTCGCCCGCTGGTTCACCAAGTGTATCATCTACCTCTGCCTCTTCTGACCAAACACCAAAATCACCAAGACTGATACCAGGAGGTTATGGAATCAAAGAATTTGAACTGGAACCTCCTGAATCGAAACACAATAGCTCCTCACTTGAGATTAGTATTTCCGAAAATTATTATAGTAGTAATAATAGTTGTATAAGTAGTGATACCAAACCTGAAAGTAATAGTACCGATTCAGAGGTTTAAAAAGAAAAAAAAATGTAAAAAAAAACTAAATTATTTAAATAAAATTTAAACATTGTATATATAGAATTAATAAATAAATAAATAAATATATTTATTGGTATTACAAATTTAATTGTTGTGGTTGTCGGTTTGATAATAGCAATTCAACTCTTTCAATATCATAGTAGAAAAAGTCAAGTATTATACTGCCACCAACATCGTCACGAATCATCAGGAAATTATGAAATCCAGGATACATATATTTCAAATATTGGTTGATCCATCTGGTGATTGCTTTTTGTTGGAGACGAAGGTGAATCGAGGCATTTCCATTGTGTTGGCCTATTTGCTCGAGGCTTGGTGATGTTGCCTCGTTGGCCGATGAAATTCCTATGAGACTACACAGCTCTGCAATCTTTTGAATCGGTTGGTCGAATGCTTTGATTACAACGCTTTCCAGTTGCTTGATGGCAGAGAACTCAAGAACCAATCGGAATTCATTTTCAAAGTTGAAAGAACTGCCGTCCTTGTTGAAAAGATATTTCTTTGCGGTGAGTGACAGCTCGACATTCAGACTTCCATTTCCAACGTTTATTTCAAACTTGTATTTCGGCTTAAAAGTCTCTTCGAGTAGCAGAATTCTAATCCATTCTGCCATGCTTGTATAATGGCCATAGAGGGATTTAAATGAGTTGCCAAAGAGCGGAGTTTGACGTGATAGGCTAAACAGGGAGCAAAGTTTGTTCTTCCAGAACATATTATCGTTCAATATGTTGTGGAACAATGAATTGACTTGGATCAGACTGGAAATATCAGACCATGAATCGATTTGACTGAAGATCGCAAGGATGAGTTCGTGTGGTAGTGTTTGGAACGGTGAATAATCAGTGGTAATGTGTTGTTGTTTCTGTTGTTTTTGGTATAGCTGGTAGGTAATGGTGATTGATCGGGATGCTCTTGTTTTCGGTGAAAGCTGCAGTAGGATATCGAGTTGTTTTTGGAGTAAAATGACTTTGGAATAATGAATTTTCGTACTGGTGGAGTTGGAACATGGCGGAAGATGTGAAAGGTGGTTCAAAATATAGTTTTCAAATTGATCGTCATCGTTTTGACAATCCATCATATGTTGACTTATGAATCCAAATGAATTGCAACTGGAACAATGTATCATAAATTGAGGAGTGAATCTAACTATCGATGAAAATGAATTCATTAAATATTTTATCTCTGTATTTGAAATAACTTTAATCTATAATAATAATTTGTTAGAATATGAAATATTAAAAATTAACAAATAAATATAATTATAGCTATACATACATATTCATCTTTGGTTGATAATGGATAATTGCATGATAAACAATTTGATAATTTAGTACATCTACAATTTCTATCTCTTAGAATAGGATTGGTAGTTTCACTGCAAAATGGAAATTCAATATAGTTGCATCGTGGACACTTTAGAATGGTAACTTCCATAAAGCTTGAATAAATATATGCTATTGTTTAAGAAAATAATATTAATATTAACAAATTTATATATTAATTAATTAACAAAACTTACATTGTAAAAATTGAATAGTTTCTTTGTTATTGCAATATGAGAATATATCATTTCCATATTTATTTCTTAAAGATGGATCTAAAAATAAAAAAAATAAAAAAATACAATAAAGTTAATAAAATATTTTCAAATGAAAGAAATAAAATAATAATTAACATACTGGCGCCAGAATCTAATAATAAACGTAGAACATGAATCGAGGAAGGTTGATGAATTCCTTCAAACTGCAAGGTTTTCATTAGAGGAGTGTAGCCATCGGGATCGGCATAGTTTACAGAGGCACCAAGTTCGATTAGTGCTCTGATCAATCCTATATTTCCATGTTTCGATGCTTTTATGAGTGGTGTGGTGTAGGTTGCTTGTTCAAGATGTCGGTTCTCTTTGAAGTAATGGTTGAATTTAGCACCTTTTCGTAAAAGTGCGTTGGTGAGGTGTGTATCTTGGGCACAGACAGATTGGTATAATAATTCTGTGGTATCATTTTCTGTGAGATTACCGGTAGTGAATTTCATGAATATCTTGATGCTGACATTGTTGAGGTTGTTGTTGATGATTGGTCGTTCGGCCAATTGCATTTTTATTGGAATCGACATTTCCAAGACTTTATCTCGCTCCAGTGCATATAGATTGATTTCTTTGGACTCGCCCATTACAGAGGCTGGTGTCGTTGAGAAATCAAGCAACTGGACAGTGAAAATTTGCATTGACAATGAAAATCGATGCATGGGATTTGATAGAGACAGGTCGAAGTATTGTTTCCAAACCAAATTGTTCGATAGCTTTTGATGGGTTTCCTTCTTTTCGGTGCTTCCCACTCGAATGCGACATCCCAGCCCAACGGGTGGAGAGTATTCCTTTTCCAAACCGGTGCAATTGACTACGATGAGATGAATGTGATCGTTGTTCGATCCGAATGGTTTGGAGTTGTTTTCCTCACGCAACAGCATCTCTTTCATTTCTTGTCGTTGACTCCTGCTTTCACCATTGAGACACTGTAGGTCGGATCCCATACGTATGCCATTCTTAATGGTACCAATAATCAAATGAGAAGCTGATGATATCGATTCTTTAAGTTGTTCCTTAAATGAATGTGTACTACTACTATTACTATTGCTATTGTTATAAACAGGAACCATTTGATCGTTACTCTGAGTATCTGTTGATATTGTCATTGGAACATCATTCTTTTCATCACGTTCAAGGTTGGAAATCTGAGATGGATATATATGTAAACTCTTTGGACAAGTGGAAATTGAAAGATGAATCTCTCCAATGTTCATAAAATGACTACCGAGATGTGAACTCGTTACATTCGAAATAATTGGTGCACAAAGACTATGAGTACTTGGATATTTAAGATGACCAATATCAATCATACATTCACCTATTACACTACCAAGAAATCCATCATCAACCAACTATAAAATTACATTAGTAAAACTATTTTTATTTGCTGCTGTGCAAAAAAAAAGCATGTTTATCCTTACTTTTATATATAGATATTGATATCTTTGTTTATAACGTAAGGGAAATGTCCAATTCCAATATATATCTATTCTCCCGTTGCTGTTCAGTGAGAAATGACTGGAGGGTAAATTTGAGGAATATTGTTTGAGCCATCCACCCATTTTCCCGAATCCAACCTTTAACTTGACATGTCTCTCCTGTTGTTGATGAGCGTTTGATTTCAATTGAAGATTTCTCATCTCCAAAATTTTCAACTCCAAAAACTCCATCCTTTTTCCTTTAAAAGAAAGATAGCTCAACTAGACAGCAATCTTCAAAGAATATAATATATATATATATAATTTTAATTAAAAATAAAAATCACAACACCCACAAACGAACACACACACAATGATCATATATCTGATCGATCAGATAAGATGAAAAAAAAAAAAGAATGATAACCACGACACACCAAATCACACACAAAAATAAACACAACTTCTACTTTTAACTTTTTAAATTTTTGCTTGTTGTTTTTATTTTTATTTTTTCTTTATCTTGTCTGATTGATTGATGATTTAAAATAGATAAATAATATAAATAAAAAACTACTATGTTGATTGAAATTAATTTCTGATTCTGCTGTTTGTGTTTATTTCTAAGTGTGATTGAAAGAGAATGAAAATGGTTGTTGTTGTGTAAAATTAAAATAAAAACTAGAGGGGCAGTAATGATACAACTGTTGTGTAATAGTAAGTAGGTGGTGGCTAGTTGACTAGTGGTGTGAGTAATGATGGAATGGATATATAATAGAAAGAATCCAACAACAAACAACTCTGAGACTGAGAAGTATTTATGATAATTAAATGTGGGTTTTAGTTTTGTGATTGTGTTTGTTTGATGGATGGTTAGTTTACACAACCTAACCTAACAATCATAAAAAAATAAATTTTAAAAAAAATCTTAACCGAAATGAAATCCTTTTTTTTTTTTTTTAGTTTTTCAACTTTTTGAGATTTTTGTTTTTTTTTCCACGGACCAACTGAAAAAAAACTCTAAAAAGATCAACACATTTAGTTTTTACTGCTGCAAAGAATACCATTTTGGACTAAAATCATTTTGATCATAAACAAAAAAATGTAGAATCAAAAATTGATCAGTTAAAAAACTTTTTAGTTTTTTTAAATTTAAATCTTCGATCGAGTTTCAATTAATCATTTTGATTCGATTGTTTTAAAATTCATAATTATGATGATATTATATAATAATATGTGATGTAAAATAATAAATAAATTATTCTAAATATTATAAGCAATTAATTAAAAAAGGAATATAATGTATCTAAAATTTTTTTGAAATCATCTACTTTTCATATTTTTCATTTTGTGTATCTTTCAAAATAGGGAACAATAAATATCTGACTCAATTTTAGTGAATAATATTTGGAATGAATTATTAATAATTTGAAAGTAATATGACAATTTTATTTTATTTTATTTTCTTTATAATTATATGAATTGCAATTTATTTGGCTCTAATTCGACCTACTTCAACTGCATTGATTGTTTGTACAACAGCTTTAGCCAATCCCTTGGCACACTTGATCAATTGTTGTTTGTTGGTTGATGCATCGTCGTCTTCACTGGCAGCCTTGACAGCAGCGATAATCTTGAGTTGCACTGTAAAGTTACGTGCGGCCTGAGCGGCAGTGATAATTTGTTCTTTGAGTTTTGGATCTGTACATTTGGCAGCGGTTTCCTTTGCTTGCTGGAGATAGATGTTCACTTGTTCCGAGAGCATCTTTGAGCAGGTCAACATACCCTTCTTGTCGTTCGAACGTGCAGCCTCTGAGAGATCTTTCATGATACCGGCGATACCCTGAGCGGTGTTGTAGAGTTTACCCTCGGACGAGTTGTCCTTCACCAAGTCCTTGGTACGCTCTTGGATCTTTTGAGCGGCGGCCATCACCTCATCACGCTCGGCACGTTCACGTTCTTCCTTTTCGCGTTGTTCACGCTCTTGACGCTCTTTTTCAGCGCGAATGGCGCGTTCTTTTGCTTCCTTGTCGGCACGCTCAGCCAGTGCTTCGTTGACGATCTTCTGGTTGTTGACTTTCATGGTTTGGACGAGTCCCTCGAGTTTGTCAGCCGATGCCTTATCGGATGGATTGGCCTGGAGATTCTTGGAGAGGATTTCGATTTGTGGGAGTGCTTGTTCGAGTGCATTCGCTTTGGCAGTGAGTTCTTGTTTGCGTTGAGCGTTGTTTGTCTGCGAGGCAAGTGCACGAGCGAGCAACGCTTGTTCCGATGCCGATTTGTGTGAGGTCTTGGCAAAGGAATCGATGGCATTCTTGTCACCTTTCTTTGCTTGTTTGACAAGGTTATCCAATTCATTGTTGACAACGGTACCGTTGATGATAATGTTCTCTTCCGGTGTTTGGTTGGCGAGTGACAAAGCATTGGTGAGATCTTCAATTGCTTTCTTGGAGTGTGATTCAATGAGTTGTTTGGCATGTGGATCTTTGGGTGCGGTGATCAATGTGTTTCCGGCACCGATGATTACTGGCAAGGTGGTATTGAGTGATTGTAGCGATTGTTTGATGTTTGGATCGTTGCTGGCGTTGGCGACAAGCTTCAAACGTTTCTCGGAATCTTGGAGGTTGGTAACGGCGTCGCCAATCGATTTCTGGTCACCGGATTGTGAAGCAGCGAGCAACTGGTTGATGTCGTTGTTTGCCTTGAGGATGGAATCTTCGACCAAGTTGGTTGGGTTGTTGGAGGCGGTGGTGGCGGCACGACCCAAGATGTCTTTGGTCTGTTGGATGGCAGCGGCAAGCTCCGATTGCAACTTGGAGTCGGCCGGTTTGTCAGCGGCATTGTTGGCGAGGTTGGCAAGTGGTTGTTGTGAGTTCTTTAGCTTCTCAGCGAGTTCGTTGAGTGCCACCTTTTTGTGTTGGTCACGGGTGGAGTCTGCAACCTGTTTGATAAGATGAATGGTGTCGTTGAGTTCATCACGATACTCCTTGAGATTCGATTCGACATCGGCTTTCGATCCTTTCTTTGATGAGGTTTGAACGCGATCCAGTGTTTCGCAGATCTTTACGGCCTGTGAGAGAATACGGTCTTCGGAAGATGGAGTGGCAGCCTTGATGACCTTATCCGATGCCTGGGTCGATGACTCCACCAGGTTCTTGAGAGTACGCAACTTGTCGGCAGTTGGATTCGGTCCGGCTTGACTGGCAGCCTTGATTGTCTCGTTGAGCTTCTTCTCCAGGTCGGAGACGGCGTCGTTAATAGCACGTTTCAAGAATGGATCCTGGACATTAGCGGCATATGCTTTAAGTTGTTCAAGACGTTGACGTTGTTCACCCTCTTTGAACTCGGAAAGACCGGCTTTGATTTGCTCGGGTTTTCCACTGTTGAGCGAATCCAACAGGTCGGAGAGATCCTTCTTGATTGCAGCTGCAGTGGCGGCTACTTGTTCCTCTGGAACCTTGTTTGACGAGGCGGCAATGAGCTGTGCCATGAGGACACGAGTGGCGGCGGCAGCTTCACTAAGCTTGGCTTTGGCAGCGGCGCTATTTGGATTGGCGAGCGACTCCTTTACGGCGGCCGACAAGACCAACGCTTGCTTCTCAAGCTTTTCAGTCAAGTCGATGATAGCACGACGCTGTGGAATATTAGAGGTTTGCTCGGCGATGTGTTTCGACAGTTGGATCTGTTGTTTGATTCCTTGGATTGCTTTTTGATGGTGGTCGTTGGCGTCGGCGGTATTGTTTGATTGGACAGCTTCCTCAAGCTTGACCAACTCGTTGGCAACGGCAATCGATTTGTTTTCGAGATGTTCAGTTGCAGAGGTGGCTGCAATGGCAGAGACATTCTCCACACCGTCACGGAGACGACGCAACAAGTTGTTGAGACCGTCACGAATGGCGGGATTGTTTGGATCGTTGAGGAAATCCATTACCTGTGGGTAGAGAGAGTTGTTTAGAGTCTCAAGATGTAGGATTGCATCTTGTAGTTGCTTACGACGCTCTGGATCGTCGATGGAGCTCTCAGCGATACGCGCCAAGAACAACTGCTTCTGGATCTCCGCTTGTAGTTCTTTGAGTGCCAAACGAATGGCGTCTGGATCACCAGAGGCAATTGCTTCTTCGAGCTTGCTGATGAGTTTCAGCAGGTTTGGTGTTCCCAGGACCAGTTCATCGGCTGCCGACAACATGGTGCCGTCATTGAACAAACCGATGTTGGCGCGTGCAATGTCTGCCAACAACTCTGAGATTTGTCGCTTGGTTTCTGGATCGGTCAACGAATTCTTACATGCCTCAACGAGGAGATTGACGAGTTTATTGAGATTGTCGGTTGATTCCAGCAGGTGACGTTTGGCATTTGGATCTTTCAGGGTGTTGGCGTGTTGGTGAGCCAAACGGATCTGGTTGTTCATCTTACGAACGAGTGATTTGACTTCGGCCATGTTGATAGGCTGTCCAGATTCCAAATTCTTTTTGATACGACGCATGTCGGCATCGATCTTGGCGGCATTCTCAAGGATCTCTTGCTCGGTGGTCATCAGGACGGCGTTGGTCAACTCACGATTGGTGTCGACCAGTGCTGTAATCTGCTGGGCAACAGCGAGTTGGTTCTCTTGGCTGTGGTCGGTAATGACTGCCTTGACTGCTTTCACAAGGTTTGGACCGACGGCGACAAGGTCGGCAGCGCGGTCTTTGACACGGTTAGCACGCGCCTCGTCGGTGGTGGCGATATAGTTGGCGGCAGGCTCGGAGATGGCAGCCTGTTTCTTGATGTCGGTGATGATCTCCTTGAGAGTAGCGACAGCAGTTTCGTGTTGTGAGTTTCTAATTGCGCTGGCCAACTCTGAGATCTTGGCTTCGAGCTCGCGAGTGTTGGTTTCCACGAGGTCGCGACTAACGGCGCCAACCAAGTTGGAATTGAGTCCGTCAATCATCGCAATGATGTTATCGAGCGATTGCACTGCACGGCTATTGGTTGGATCGTCGACAGTCTCATTGGCAAACTTGTAGAGATCCTCAATCATCGATTGTAGATTCTCCTCTGCTTTGAGGATGGCCGCTTCCAGTGCCTCGCGCAACTGCTCGTCGTCGGTGGAACGCGCGATCGACTTTGCAATGTTCAACTCGTCGTACAACGCCTTACGAATAGTACGCAATCCGTTTTGAACCTCCTTTTTATCTCCCTCGTGTGCGGCTTGACGCAACTTGGCTAGTTGTTCTTCGATCGACGACGACTTGTTGTAGAGGTCGGTCGAAGTTCCAATGGAAGTTGCCTTGACGACGTCTCTTCCCATCTCCTCCAACTCGTCGAGCTTGGCATTCAACTCTGCAACGATATGTGGATCGTTTGGATTCTTTGCTGCTTGATCCAACAGTCGCTCGATGTGTCCCAACAGCGTGGATCCTCTCGCTCTCGTCTGTGTCATAATCGATTCGATGTGTGCTTTCAGTGCTGGATCCTCAGTGGACTTGGCAATTCCATCAAGAATCGTTATCATATTGTTGAACTGATTGGTGATATCGTTGAGATCTTTTCGTGCCGCTTGATAGTCGCTCTTTGAGATATCTACTTTCATTCGCTCGATCGCCGATTCCAAATCGTTTTGAGAGTCGGCGACGTCGTTCGATGTCAACTTTGCCGAGCTGGTGACCATCAAGTCAGAGGCAGTCTTGATAGTGTCCAAATTGGCTTGAAGTTCACGCAACAACAAAGCATTGTCTGGCTTACTCAACAACTCCTCGACTTGGTGTCCAAACTCTGCAATAATAGAATCCAACAGCATCTGTGCATTCTGAGCGGCATGCTCCAAACGTTTCTTGTGCACTGGATTATCCGCTGATTTAGCCAACGCCTTTGAAATAACAATCTGATCATTCAATCCTTTCTTTATTGCTTTCAAAGCTCTAGATGCTTCTTTACCATCTCCAGCTATAAATAAATAAGTAAAAAGTGTTGTTGGAAATTAATATCTTTTGTTTTTGTTTTTGTTTTTTTTCCAAGGAAAACCAAATAAATTTCCACACATGCACATTTGGAAAAATAAAAAATAAAAACAATATGGAAAATTGATTGATTTTAAAACAAAACAACAATAACATACATTCGATGGCAGATAATAACTTTTCTTTTTCATGAGCAATAAAGATGGCAGCGTCACGCAAATCATCTTCATCACGTAAATCTAAACCGGAGATCATTGAGAGATCGAATGGTGACTTGGCAGACAGTCTGGCAACTGTGATGATCTCCTCGAGAATATCATTGATTTTACGGGCGACGTCCGATCCCTGTTTGTATGAGCTGCTATCGTTGGGATCACGTTGGTACAGTGCGTAGTATTGCAGTACCACTGGGACCTCTACTTTCAGCTGAGTGTTGGCCTCCTCGAAACGACGTTTGAAACCAAAGTCGTCGATTTCATTGGTTCTCTTATTGACGATCTTTCCGAGATCGATTGTCGATGTAACAAACTCCTGTGCTGCGGTGGCGAAATACGATTCTCCCGGTTCCAAACCGATGAAAACCTTCAACTTTGATTCGACGAGACGTGCTTTCTTGATGAGACGTGTCACTTCGTAGAGATCGGCTTGCTGCAGAAGAATAACCATGTGTTCCATGATGCCCTTGGCACCCTTCAAGAGAATCTTCTTTGCTGGCTTATTGAATGGCATATTCGAGAGAATCGTTGCAGATTCCAACAAATCGTTGCATGCCTGTCTAATATTCTCGCATGATTCCAACATCTTTGTTACCATCTCTGGTTGATTGAAATTATTCCATAAAACAGCAGACTAAATAGACAACACAACACACATAATAAAAAAAAAAAATGAAAAAGTAAAGTGAATATTTCTTATTTCTTTTATTTTGGTAAAGTAGCTATATATATATATATATATTATATATTTACTTACTTTTGCAGCCAAATCAACTAAATAGTCAACGGTTGTCTTTACAGTGTGAGCACCTGGTAAGATGTTTGGAATGGCAGCGTTGGATTCATCTGCTTCCACAGAGTAAAGAACCATCGATGACACGGCATCACTTACTGCTTCTAATAGTTGTTCCATACTTTTTCTTTTTGTGTCTGGTCAAATATATTACAATCTACTACAACTACTTTATATATATAACAAAGTATTAAAAAAATAAAATAAAAATAAATATATAAATAAATATATACAAAATATATATGAAAAATAAATAAATAATAAATGTATATTATATATCAAAATCTAAAATATTTAGATAAAAATAACAATATTATTTAAAAATATTTATTTTTTTAAATAATCAAAAAATAATCACAATGAATGATCATAATTGTTTAATTCAACAGCCACAATTTTGATTTTTTTGATTTTGAATTTTTTTTTTTGCAAAAATTATTTTTTTATTTGAAATTTTTGCAAATTTCGGGAATGATTGGTATCAAATTGGGTCGATCATAAGTTGAATAATGGGGTAATTCTTTATATTTATAAATAACCAGTAAATTATATGTTTAAATCTATTGAAAATAAAGATATCAAAAAAATAAATAAAAATATGTTTGATCGATCCAAATCAATTAATATAATTTTTATTTTTTTTTAATATCTTGGAAATTGTTATTTTAATTATTTTTAATTTTAATTTTAAAGCTTTTCTTTAAGTTTGCAAACATCGATCAATATAATATATATTACAAACAACATGAATTTTGCTAAAACTATTTCGGATTCTTGTCTATTATTAAATCTAGTTTTTTTTAATATTTTACATTCAACTATTTCTTCTACGATGTTAAGGGATGAGTCAGAAGCTACTAAACGGTTGAAGATCTCTTGTATCTCGGTTGGACCTTCAATGATATTCGTAGTTAGCTGTGAACCAAAGAGGCTTAATATTATTTTAAAATTATAAGTGAATACTGTGATGCGTTAAATTACTGTGAGGAAGAGCATAAAGATCCTGTAGTAGTTGTTTGTAATATATTATATATCTCTTTCAACTTAAAGCAAAGATTTTAATAATATCTAAAGATAAAATGTAGAATAGAAAAGAGACATTCTCTTCAAATGAAACAAATCATCAAAAATGAATCACCATTTTTGTTAACCAAAATTTTTTAAAGTTATATTTTTGTTTTCTGGCAACAAAGATTTTAATCCTTTAAGGTTAAAAGATTCATTCTTTTCTTATCTATCTATTATTAGTGAATGAATATGAAAAATGAATCAGAATTACTACCAACAACAACAACAACAACAACAGCAACAATATTATAATCAACAAACATTACCTCAGCAACCAACGCAACAACAGCAACAACAACAATGGAACTATAATATGCAACAGAATCAACAACATCACCATCATCATCATCAGCAACAATATATACAACAACCACCACAATACAATCAACAACAGTATCATCAACAACAACAACATCAACAATTTCAACAACAGCAACAATATCATAGTCAACAACAGCAACAGCAACAACAACAACAATATCAACAAGCTTTACAACAACAACAACAACAACAACAACAGTTACAAAATCAAGCAACACCACAACCATTGGTTGATGATAATACATTAATATTTCAATTCAATGAAATATTGAATGGACTTGTAAATTCAAATAACTATATAAGAAACACTAAAGATTGGATGATTGGACATGAAGGTAGAGCAAGTATTATCATTGACCAAATAGTACAGAGAATACCATTAAACAGCATTGATCAGAATATACTTTTATTATATCTAATAAATGATGTATTACATTTTTGGTATGTAAACAAACAATAATTATAGACTACGACCATATATATCATCTTTTTTATCCTTATACTGACAATACTTATATATATATAGTGCAATCAAAGTGATGAATGGATATCAAGAGAATTATATAAAAAGAGTTTATCAACAACTACCGTTAATTTTACAATTCTTTACAAATGCAAATCATATTCAAAGAAATAAGATAATCTCTGTATGTATATATTATATTATATATTATTATTGTTGTTGTTACAATAGCAATAGACAGACTAATAATATTAATAATAATAATAATTCATATAAAGATAATAGATATTTGGAATGATCATGCAATCTATACTCAAGAAGAATGTAATATGATAAAGAAACAACTAAAGATTGTTATAACACCAGGCGTTTTAGTTTCACATCTTTTGGACTATCAAAAGAACACCGGTAGAAAGTATCAATATCTGCCTTGTCGACTCGAAGACATTGATTATTTCAACTTGACAAGCGAGAGCAACGCAACTACACCAACACTGAATCAAAGTATTGCTGAATATTATCAGACTAGTAAATAGCAATAGCAACAAAAACAATAAACATAACTAAATATATTTGTAAATAATTTAATGTTATTGTATTATATTATACATATTTAAACAAAACTAAACTAAACAATACAATATTGAATGAAATACATCTAACTTATATATAAATCATCTATCTTAACTATCATCTATTAAGTAATCGAACTAATTCGTTATTTATACAACTATATATATTTGTTTTTTATTTTATTTATTTATTCTAGTTTGATTTCTTTGATTGCGCTGATATATATAAAACTATAAATAGGTAAAGATTAGTAATAGGTTCGTAAGATATGATTAACTGATATGGTGATGATGTTGATGTTGTTTGTGTCTTACCATTGTTTCCTCTCAAGAAGCAGTCACCATATTTAGTTTTCAGTTGACCATTCAAATATTCTTCGGTTTGTTCCATTACAATATTCATATTACCATCTACTACTTCAAGAATACCTATATTAAATCAATATCATTACAGATAAGTTTGTTAGTTTGATTTTTTGTTTTATTTGATAATTCATTAAAAGAAAAGCGTTAAGAAATAGATATTATTATCATTTCATGAAAATATATTGATCTGATCTGATCGATCTACCAATCAATCAATCAATCATTATCATTGTTAAAACAAAGAAAAAGATAGGAAGATAGGAAGATAGAAGATAGTTAGATAGGTTAGATAGATCTGTGTGGGGTGTGATTGTTGTTTCGAGTAACGGTTGAGTTGTCTTGTTGTGATTTTGCTGTTTTTTATTTTTGTTTCTCATTGCTTGATTTAGGTTGTTCATTCATACCTCTATATTCTACACCGTTATTGAGTTTGACAACAACAGGTCTACCTATACACATTTTAAAAAAGTTAAATTGGGCATTGTTATTGTTGTTGCTGTTTGATTGATGTTGTTGTTGAACTGCAGCTGACATCTTTCGATATAAATTTATAAATAAGAAGTTAAACTATTCTAAAAAAAGATATTATAACTTTTAATTAAATTTTTGATTATTTTCAAAAAAAAAAAAAAATTTATTGAAAATCGAAAACTCTCCAATGTTCATTGTATAACTATTTTTTAATCAACTAAATACAGCTGTAATGAGAGTTGTTGTGCAATCATGAAATATAGAACGAATGATTTAAAAATATCGTTTAATTAATGGAATGGAGTTGAATTCAAACTTCTTTGTTATTATTGTAAGAATAAAAGATAATGGAAACAGATGTAACCAAATTTAGTTTTTGGGGGCATAGATCTAAACAAAAGAAAAAAGATATTAAAGTTTATTGATCAAAAACATATTTACTTTTTTTTGTAAAAGTGGTGAGGTGGAAGTTGTGTTGTTGATTAAATCAATCAATCAATCTGCCCAAAATATATTCTTCCTTTTTTAGTAAAAAAAAAGTATACCCCGGTGCACCCAAAAAAAGTTTATTTCTTTGATTTTTAATAGTAATAACAAATATTTATATATGTTAATAATATATATAATAAAGTTTTTTTTAATAATTAATTTATTTTTTTTGAGAAATAATTTATTCAAATTTTGAATATCTTCGATAGAAAAAAAGATATAGAAACTGTTTAATTTGAATTAAATCAATTAGATATCGATTTTATTGATAGACAATTAATCTTGTTTCTCATAGCTAGTAGATAGTTAAAACAATAAAAGAGAGAATTAGGTCGTTTTATATTTGATTTGTAATGGGATGATTTATTAGATCGTATCTAAGGAGATGGGATAAACTTTTGGTATAATTAGGTGTTTTATAAAGCTATTTCTTAAGTTACCAAAAATATTATCCAATGAAACATTGGTTTAAGAATCTTATGACTAGGGAAGTTGGAGAGAATTAGTTGATAAGAAATTTTCATTGATTTTACAGATCTTTCTATTGATCATTCATTTCTCGAAGTTTTAAAGTTAAAAATATAAGAATCTATCGGTTGAGCTGTCTTGTGCTTTGAGATTTCAAATGCATTGATTTCATTTGAGAATGAATTTAAATTATCACTTTTTGATGTATTTAGAACTTATGATGAAGGATCTTCTTATTCAAAGATTACTACTATAAAAAAAGTAAAGAACGATCTTGTATCTTCAAACAATTAATTTAAACACAAAAAATGTTTCAAGATAATAATTTAACGGATACAATGGTAAGACTCTAGAAGGAAGTGGTTAAAGTGTTAGTAGAGGTAGTGTTAAATTTAATTTTTATGTTGCAATGATCAATAAGTGTGTATCATTTAAAACAACTAATCAACCATGGTTGATTTATAAATAAATTACCAATGATCAATGAAATTGATCCTAGATCAAAATGTTGTGTGACCGACACAAACCGACACCATTTTAGAAAGTCTGGAGCAAGACGAACAGTGTGTCGTCAGTTAAAAATATTAATCATATAATTGATTTAAAACTATAATATTAGCTAACATCAACATTAATGTTTGGGAGAGATTGAATTGTTTTATTCAAATTAAGGATTGGATTGAAAAAAGGTTTGGTTTGAGACCAGTGGTAGATGAACTTTTTTCAACTTGTTGGTGTTTAAAATAGGTATGACAATAGTTTAGAGAATATGGTGATACATTGGATTGTACAATCGATCATTGTGTGATTGCACTGCAGTGTTAAAAATTATTCGGACTATAATTAAAATACTTATCAATCAATCATTTCATTTACAATGAGATTGTTGATTGCAATCAACCACAAATCGATTCATTTTCACACACACACACATAAACACAAACACAATGTGTTAATAATAGATAGATAGAATGTGTTAAATTAAAAAGCTATAACTTAGTAACCATGTACTATTATATCGAATAGTAGTAGTAGTCGATCACCATCTTCAAAAAAAGAAATAAACTAAACTAACACTAACACACAAAAACACCACTATCCAAAACTCAAATCAACTCATCTCTTACTATAGAAATATTATCTGTTGGTTTTGTGTGTGAAGTACTATGTGAGTGTGTTTAAGTTTGGTTAGAAAAAACACACTTTTGTTAGTGGTAGTCAAATTCAATTCAATTGATCATTCTCAAATTCAGATGATTCTTTGTGCAAAGTAGTGGCTCATATTATTTTCTTATATTCATTTAATTAGTTGAAAGCTCCAATTGATTTGCTTACTTACCTGATCATCTTTATCAGCTTTTTTCATATTAAATTCTTTTTGTTTGATTGTTTGTTGGGCAAAAAATGATGTGGTGGGTGTTTAGATGATCATTTAATTATTTTAATTTGTAACTACAAATGTTGGATGCTATGATCCAAAAAGTATTATTTCCTTTTTTAAACAAAAAAAAACTTTTCAGCTAAGTTCTTTGATGATTGAAATCTCATGATAATAAACTTAAAATCAAAGATGAAAAATAAATTAAAAAACCACTCTATGTTCATCAGAGTTACCACCACACCACTCACTGTTTTATTGTTGAAAAGATACCCACAATCCATTCAATCACAAATCACCCACCCACCATTTATAAAACACCACTACACATTTTTTATAAAAAAACAAAAGTGTTTATTCAATGTTAATTGAATGTGCAAATAATCATTAACTCTAAATCGCACACACAAAACCTTTTACTCAACTTATTAGACAAACACCACCACATTAAGAGGTGGTCCTAACAGTAACAGCAACAACAATATTGTTATTATTTAATGTTGAAAAGGTTCACTTTCACCTTTTTTATATCTCTTGATGGAAGTGGGAATTCCATCTCGTACGGTTACTATAGTCAGCTACATGTGTTACCTAATTGGTTGTGTCAATTCTTGCTGCTGATTGTGTTTGTGTGTTTGTGTTGTGTGTAAGAATTCAATCACACAATTAAGGATTATCTCATGATTCAGTTCCTGACTGTGTTTTTTTTGTTGTTTTAGATGTTAATAAAAGCATTTTAAATGATGGAACTGCAGGTGATCTTCTCCTTCATTAACATCATTTATAACACCAACAATATGGAGGGTATCTCATTAGAATCGAATGGTAGTACAATCAATCAAACAGAAAAGAAGAATTCTATACTACTATCATCAATTATTATTAATATTATTTATCGTACTCTGATCAGAGTTGAAGCTCAGCTTTTCTTTTTATAAATATAATTATAACTTTAGAGAGATTCCAAATCACACACACACACAAACACAAAAAAACACACACACATTGATCACACACACACATCTCTAAAACTCCACACTATCTTATCACTAATTGTAGTTTAGTAGTAGTTTTGTTGTTGTACTGTTTAGTTTCTTTTCTTTTTATTTTTTCCTGCCACAACAATCACTACTGCCAATGACTATTTAAACACCAGTGATCACTTCTAAGTAACAATCAACAACAACAACAAATCTTTCAGTTAAATAAACAGATATAATATTTTTATATAACAACAAAAACAACATTGTAACAGTCAAAAAAAAAAAATAACAACAATCAAAAACATTCACAGCAATAATTATTTATTATAACCTTTTAAAAAAAAAAATTGTTTTTGTTATCTGTTACAACAAACAATAACATACATCATCAATTTATCTCTTAACAATTACTACATTTGTTCAAAAGTTTGAATTACATTATTTCATTCTTTTATTTATTATTCAGTTCTAAATCAGTTTCCTAAACATCTATCTTTGTCGACAATACAAACTTTTACAATTTTATCAATTAGTATTAGTATTATTCTTAGAGAGAGTTTAGTTTTCCATTGTGTACAATAATTTATTAACAATAAGAATTTAATTATTTATTATTATTTGTATTATTATTATTATTTCCGATATTATTAAATTATTTTTTTTTAAAAAAGAAAAATAATAATTTTAAAACCGAAATATATCTCCGATTCAATAATTTAAAATCGATCAAAATCCAAATCAAGATCAATTCGAATTTTATTTTAAACAATTTATAAAATAAAAAAATGATAGCTCCAGAAGGTTGGGTATATTGTTATTGCGATCCAGTGTTTTCTGTGTTTCTGCCAGACTCTTTTGGTACATGTCCAGTGGGTGGATGTCGCGCATTCCAAAGTATCACATTTATTCTTTTCTTTGCCATGTTTGCTGAGGGTTGTCGTCGTCTCTGGATCCAACGTGAACACTACAAGACTGCCATCTACATCAGTAATTCATTGTTGACTTTTGCCAATCTCACACAATCCATTCGTACTATCCTATTGTTTGCCGAAGTTGTTGAGATCTACGGTCCAACCACACTCTTCCTCTTTGGTATCGGTTTTTATTTCTCTGCGTATCTCTGGATTCTCGTGTCGTGGTGTGATATCATCCTTTCCGTTAACTTTTCAAAGACAGCCCAGAAAGTCTTCCCCATTGTACGTTGGGCAATTATTTTCCTCACCATCATGCACTTTGTCGGTTGGATCATTGCAATCAAGATCTGGTGGCCATACCAAGCAACCAACGCCTGGATCGCATCCTATGGATTCGGTACCAGTTTGGGATTCTTGTTTTTGGGATTCTTCATCTGGCGTGAGTACAAGAGTGTCTCGTCGATTGCCGCACACGGTGACAACGCCGAAAAGACCTACCGTAAAGTGAAGAAGGTAACTCGTCTCTCTGCCTACGTCGTTGCAGCTGCCTTGCTGATGACTGCCGTCTCGTTCGGTTCCAGCTACATCATGCCAAAGAACTTCAGTGGCATGCTGGCATGGCTTTTCATTACCCGTGGTACTTTTATCATTTTCAGTTCTTCCACATTGATCTTCTTGATTCCACAATCAAAGAAGATGAATCAATCGACTTCCTCAAGCAACAAATCAAGTCAGTGGTCCGACAAGATGAACAAGATGGAGTTCCACTCCAACGATGCTTCTGCCGCTGCCAACCACGATCTCGAAGAATCAGTAGGTCAAACTCAACAACCAACCAACAAAATTGTCGGTATAAGCGCGAACCAAGACAATAACACTGGTTCTTCACAAGTTTAAAAATGTTAAAATAATTTAAGAAAAAAAAACTTTAAAAATTAAATTGTAATTGTAAAAATATCAAATAAAAACTAAATTGTATTATACAAATATTTATCTTTTCCTTTTATTACTCTACTTCTGATATTATTTATTAGCGGGCGAGTTATATTCAATATTAATTATATTTTGATAAACCAAAACAAACTTACAATATTCGATTCCGGTTAACCAATAAAACTTTATTTTATTATTAATATACTAATTTTCATATTTTTTAGATGTAACAGTACAATAGAAGTACCAAGTTAAATCAATTCAGAGTCGTTGTCTACTGAACACCAATATTATTGCTTATAGAGTTAGCTGTTCTACTATAGTCTCGCTCATACTATTGTTAATATATTGTTTAAAGTATGTGTTTCAAGTATCATAACCCCCTTTGATCATAATATCCTATTAGAATTACTGATTATTGTTTATATATGATAGTATTAGGGTAGCTAAACGATGTTGTGGTTTGTGGATGAAACTAAAAGTGATTAAAATAATACTTTTTTATTCATCATCTTGATATTAAAATTAAAAAAGTAAATGATTAAATTAATCAGTCAGTTTTAAATTTACTAGAATTTATTATCTTTAATTATGTTGATAGTTAAATAAATAACATCATAACACTAACAAATCAAAAATAGGTTTTTTTTCTGATCAATAAAAAAATAAATGGTGTAACGATGTTTCTCTTTTCTTTGTTATTTTTTTATTTTAAAAAAATTATTTTGAAAAAACTTAAAAATTTAAATTTTGATAATTTTTGTTTAAAAGAGTAATGTTAGTAAATTTAATTAAGAATGACAATTAAATGTTTTAATCATCAAAGATCACTTGAATTCATTTGTTATCAATGTAATAGTTTGTTTTGTTCAAAATGTATCAGTAGTCATAACAGAGAGCATCCTGATCATTCAAATCATTGGGAGCATATTGATGACATCAAAGATTCATTGAATACATTAAAATTAGATGATATTATTGATAGTGCATATTCAACAACAACAACAACGACAACCAATAATCATGTTAACAATATTAATAATGACAGTACTAATAATGAAAGTTCCTATAATAATGATAATACCAAGTTAATTTCACAAATCAAGAATAAACTTAAATCAATATGGGAATCATTAAGATCATCGACATCTCGATATCAATCATTAACAACTACAGAGAATGATATAAAACAACACTTTGAAGTATTACATCAATATCTAATCACAGAAGAACATAAACTACAAAGAGATATTATCAATGATAAGGGTATAATTACAAATCAAATCGATAGTAATATAAATCATTTGAAATATTTAATAAATATTATAATGATATTTAATAAATTAAATAATAGTAATAGTAATAGTAATATTAATAGAAATAGTACATGTAGTGATAATCAATCAATGTTACCAGATACAACATCATTATATTCAACAGCAACAATCATTGAATCAGTTATATCAAGTACATCATTACAATCATTCATCAACGATAATAATCAAACATTATTCAATGAACATCTTGATATCTTCAATATGGATGAGCTTCTCAAACAACATTCCGATGATTCATCATCATTATTATTAGATATTATTCATAAATATAATAATCAATTCAGTAAATCAACAACAATCACTGACAATAATGACAATTCATTATCATCATATAAACTATCAATTAATAAACCTGATTTCAATCAATTGAATTCAATCATTAAGCAATCAATTAATCTTGCGAAAAAAACATCCAGCAACTACAATAGAAATGAACAATCATATATTTTCGTAACACACAAATCAACAAAAGGAGCTACTCTGATCAACACATCTAACAACTATTCAATTGAAGAATTACAGTTTGATTATGATTTTTGGGGAACGTTCTCCTCGATTGTTTCAATTGGAGAATATGTCTATATATTCGGTGGATCTTATTGTACTAGGAAATGGATTAAAATATCTATACAGTCAAAATCAGTAGAATATGATTTTATTGAAGATATCATCAGAGGTGATTCTAATATATCTGTTTGTTATGATGGTCAAGATCATATCTATTTAGTTAATGGTTGGAATATAGATAATAGAATTGATCGATTCAACATCAAGACAAAGAAATTTGAATCATATCATCAATTACCAGAAGGATATCTTACTCAAGTATCCTCAATGATCTTCAAAGGTTCATTATATTCAGTATCATTCAATCAAAATAAGATATTTCAATTCGATTTGACAAGTAGAACGATATCAGATCATCAAATTGACAACATTTTACCATCCTCTGCATGTCATGATAACAATGGAAACTTCTTCATATTAGATACAACACACAAACGATTCATCCAATACAATGTTGAAACCAAACAAACAAACGATCTCAATTCAATTCCTCATCTAGAGGGAACGTTATCATTTGTGATGTATCATCGAGAATCACCAACATCAAGTTATATCTATTCATTCGGTTCATCGAATGATTGTAATTTCAAATATTCAATTGAATCCAATCAATGTGAACCATTCTTGAGAGATATTAAGAATCATAATAGAGAATGGTGTGCATCTACATCAATTACCTTTTAAATAGGTTTTATAATAAATATTAATAATAAAAATAAAAACCAACTGCAATTTAAGTCTACCAAATATTAATAGTCTGTATAATAACTGTTTTTACTACAAATAAATGATGTAAAATAAAAGTTTTATTAAACTCGATGACATTAAATTTTAGAGTGTTTAGGTTTTATTTTGACAATGACATCATTTTGTGTTGACCGGCTGGAATGGCCATCATTTTGAGTAAGGGATGATGTTCCCATTGATTTGGTTTGGCAGACGGAGTAATTAAGCCACTTAGATTTCTAAGCGGGTACGTGTGTAAACCACTCGGTGTTCTTCCCGACTTGAAAGGAGAACGTACTAATCTAGTATCTTAAATACAATCTTGGACCCCATGAAGTTGACACCGACAGTAACTAGCAGGCTTGGGCCTGATGTGTAAACCATCGAAATTTTTTCTTTTTTTTTTTTTTTTTTTTACAGTTTTTACTTTTTTCATAATTCTGCAATTGATTGCTATTTTGATTATTATTATAATTATTTTAGTTAATGATATTAATAGATTGTTAATCTGATGAGAATACTGATGATTGAATTGGTTAATTTGAAAATGAAGAAATGAAGAAGAGGAAATAATAGTTGGCTGACATTTGATTGGTTATTGGTTATTTAAGTTTGGATTGTAAGTTACTGATACTGTTATTTATAATTAATTTCATTACTGATAAGTGCTGTATATATTCATTAATGATAGATTCATTAGATAGTAGGTTGTTATCGTGGAGTGGAGTACCGCCAAAATAGGATTTACAATAGAATTTCCAGATTTGATGAAAGACAAGTGAAACGAGAGTAGTGATGTTGTCCTTTCTTCTAACCAACTGATACGCGTTCTAGTCAAATCAGCCTGATACTGTATTTATAATTAATTTCAATATCTATATGTGCGGTATATATGCGCGCTTTATGGGAAGTTTGTTTAAAAACTGGTCGACACCTGCAGGATTCGAACCTGCGCCCCCGAAGGGAATTGATTTCTAGTCAATCGCCGTAACCACTTGGCTAAGGTGTCATTTGAATGAAAATGAAAAAATTTCGTTATGTGTCCCATTTTGGTGGTTTTCAACTTTACAAATAAGTTCCAATCACATTAATAACGTTAGGCCGAAGGTTTCATTTGAATGATTATCAAATTCAAGATATGATACCTTGATAGTAAATACCAGCCAATCGAAATATTTATATAACAAAAAAAAAAAAATAAAAAAAAATTTTTTCTCCCCCCTTTCATCTTCATTGATAGAATACTATCAAATAAATCAAACAGATATCACACACAGAATGAAAATAATTATGAAAAATACGATCCCTATCATTGAAAATAAATCAAAATACAAATTTTTTGATTAATAAAAAATGATATTATTAATAATAATTTATTCAGATCTACTTGATTAATTATTCAAATCTATTAAAATAGATATCAGTATTTATTATATTAACTATGAAATATTGTTTTATTATTTATTCTCAATATTTTTCGATCTCATATAGAGAGATATTAGATATACTAAAACCAGATCGAGTAGCTTTCAGCAAATCAAGATTTCGACCTAAGCTGAAAAAAAAGAACGAATTTATGTATGTTTTCTATGAGAATCACTATCCAGATAATTTATTCGAATTCAAAGATAGCGGTCTGTTAGAAAATTTATTTTCTACCTCTGAACTTCAACACCTTGACCGAGTGTCATCCAATTATCATTACCCAGATGTCAAACCGTATCTCTCTGAACCGATAACATCGATAGAAGAATCATTGAATGACAACCAAGATATAGCTACTGGTATTATTTTACTAGAGCCATATAATATCCCATTTCTCCGTTTATCAGTCATCAAACATCCTGAGAAGCTTTACTTTGTCGATCTATCTAAAGGATATTATATCGTTGGAAACAACGAGTCGTTATTGATAGACTTTACCAATCTCAATCAACTATCAGACATCATAAACAAATCACTTTGTGTAAAGACATTTTGTGATGAGATCGGTGTTGGTATTGGAATGAAAGATGACATTGTCTTGGAAATCTACAACAAAGACAATTACACGGAATTGTTAATGACAATAGATCCACAAGATAAGCCATTTTACGATCAATCCAATTCAAATCAACCTGTAATTCCATCTGGAAGTATCATTAAATTCAAACCAAAACAAGAATATCGTATGTATCTTTAAATCATTACAATGCACTCAAACACTTTTTTAATACAAACTCTTTAGTTGTTAGTTTAAAGCAATCGATACAATATATTATTGATAATGGAGAAGTTTATGGTAAACCTGTTGAGATCGACAGCAAGGATAAGAATGGAGAAGAAGAACCTAATCTTTGTAATCTATTCAAATATTTATTTAGTATTGATACTTATATTGAAGAGTAAGTAAAGATGTCAAATAATGAATTTAGTTTAATTAACCATTAATTTTTATTTCAGATTGATCGATATGATTAATGAAGCATTAAGTAAACTCGATTACAGTAAAACCATGCATTATTCATACAAATCTATTGATTTGCGATTACCTACTGCCATCATCTCCTTTCTGAGACTTAAACTATTAGATAGTGTTAAGTTCCAAATATTTGCATATTTATTTAGTGTCAACAATCAATCTGTATCACATTGGACCTGCAAGATTTTAAAGCAGATCTTACGTACGCCCCAAGACCTTCGCAATATGATTGGTTTTCTTTACGAAGAAGAAGAGATCGATGCTCTCCGTAATAAATATCCACTTTTTGGTCATGCTGCAAAGTATGACAATATCAATGCAATGGAACTTCTTTATAATGACAAATATGCTTTCCCAACACTCGATCTACTCTTTAATTTTTATTCTGTGGATGGAATCAAGCTATTGATGAAACGACAACCAACCTATCTCAGAGATAATCCAAATTCCAATCCATTTTGGATATTATCACTCAATATCAATCCAAATAGCAAAAAGAGAACAGAGTTCTTTTCAAGATATTCAGAGATTAGTCATTTCTTTAAAGTAAACAAACGTGCTATTTATTCTAATTTCGATTATAATCGAGATATAGAATTGGAAATAGTAATTAATGGTAACTACGAATACCTTGAATTCCTCCACAAGAATAAGATTGAATACCCATATAGACCCCCCGATTGTTACTGTGACGATCCAAAGTGCCAACTCAATTACAAAAAAGAAAAACAAACCACCTTACTCAATTATATCTTGCTTCAGAATGATGTCGATGGATTCAATATTCTCAAACAATATATTGATCACCAACATCAATTTCGTTCCGTCTTTCATGCTTGTGATCTTGCTATTGTGGATGCGATGTATCGCAAAAAGTTTGATTTGATCAAACAATTGCTAGACAAGAAAATTTCAGATTCATCGTGGCCCATTTATACCAAATACAAAAAGATACCATTTGTAGCTTTTGCTTGGTTTATGGATGACCTCGATTTGTTTATTTCAAAACCAGGATTTCCATCACTTCAAACTCTAGAATTTAAAACAGCTCAGTTCTTGGATGTGGGATATCATTTTTTGGGTGACTATGTTGACTTTTGTACAATGTTTTCCGAATATGACAAGATTGTCCAGATGTTTCCAACTCTATCTCTTGTCGATATTTTCATTCTTTGCGGAGAAAATGATGGAGTCAAATATATGCTAAAACAATACGGACTGACCAAACAATCAATTAAATTATTGGAATTTAGAACAGAAGACAAAGATGAAATCATGAAAATAATCAATGAATTCCAACAACAAGAACAAAAAATCATTGAAGAATTGGAGGGAAAATCAAACAAAAGTAAAAAACAGAATAAGAAAGTAAAGTCAAAGAATAATAATAAGAATATTTATAAAAAGAAAGTACATGAGAAAGAAATAGCACAAGAAAAAGAAATAATAGATAAAGAGAAAGAGAAGGAGCAAGATGATATAAAAGAGAATCATAAAATAACAGAGATACAACCAAAAGAAATAATTAAGATTAAGAATAATGAACAAATAAAAGAGAATAAAAAAGTTAATAATAATATTGAAGAGACAACTAATAGTATAAATGATATTAATATCAAAAAACCACACAACACAATTAAATTAAATTCCAATTCATATAGCAAATCAACTAAACTTTATATTAGAACAAGTGATTCAAATTTGACATCTTCATTACAATCAAAATTAAATAATACAACAAACATATATAATCAATCATCTAAATTACCAACAATACAACCAACACAGAGTTCAGTAAAGTTAACTGTAAAACAAATATCAACAGAATTTGCAACAATATATGATAAACAAATTGGTAAATTCAAATTCAATAGTTCAGATATCATTGGAAGAGGAAGCAATGCAACACTCGTGTTTCGAGGTGTTTGGAGTGACAGAGTTCCAGTTGCAATCAAAAGAATCGTCAAAGGATTCAATCATCTCATTGACAAAGAAATCGAGGTTTTGATTGAATTGACTTCGAAATCATCACAATCTTCAAATTTGGTGAGATATATCGATCGAGAAGAAGATGATAACTTTATTTATCTTGGATTAACACTTTGTGACATGTCACTTCAACAACTATTCGAAGATCCAACCAATTCAGAATTGAAGAATTCACTTTCATCGATATCATTGATCAATGGTATTGTTCTTGGTGTTCAATTCCTTCACAACAATCAAATTGTTCACAACGATCTCAATCCAAGAAACATTCTTTTCAAAGATTCACAATTATTCATCACAGACATGGGATTAAGCAAGATGATGGTCGAATCATCATTTGCATTCACACACACACCAAGTGGAACCGGTGGATATTATGCTGCTGAAGTCATAAAACAACAGAGAAAAACATCATCTGTCGATATATTCTCACTTGGATGTTTAATCTATTACATTCTGAGTGGTGGTAAACATGCATTTGGCGATGATATTATCATGAGAGTTCCAAATATCATCATGAATCGATTCGATCTCAAAGATATCACCAATCAATATGCAATCGATTTGATCAGTTGGATGATATCATTTGAAGAATCAAATCGACCATCGATTCAAACGGTGATCAAACATCCATTCTTTTGGAATATCGATGACAAATTGAAATTCATTGACAAAACACATCAAACAATCAAGAAATATTCAACAACATCACTGAACACTCATAATAATCAAACATATCTCAAAGAATCATGGGATAAATCAATCGATCAAAATCTATTATCTGTTTTGAACGAAGGTATGTTTAATGTTATTAACTTGTAATATTCCTTTTACTAACGCATATATCTTCTTATTAAGAATCACAATATAATTTTAACAATGTCAAAGATCTTGTTCGATGTATTCGAAACAGTATTCATCACCATCAAGAGATATATTCAGATTTGAACAAAAAGATATTGTGGTTCAAAAACCAACATATTGCATTCGAATACTTTGAAAAGAGACATCCAACATTATTAATTTATTTATATCAATACTTTAGAGATCAACACAATAACAACACCAAAAAAGACACATCAAATTATTTAACTGAATATTATCAATAAAACTAAATAAATTTTTAACACCATATTTGTTTTTGTCCTAAAATTTTCCATTAGGTTTTTCTTGCCAGAGATAAAAAAATAAAATACAATAAAGGTAGTAAGACAGAGCTCAATAATGATATCGTTGTTTTAATAAAACATCTTTTAGTTCTTTATTATATTAATGAAAATATTCATCAAGACCATTATTATTTGAATCTTTGTTTTTCGCATTAATATAAAATTGATCTCTAAAGTACTGATATAAATAAATTAATAATGTTGGATGTCTCTTTTCAAAGTATTCGAATGCAATATGTTGGTTTTTGAACCACAATATCTTTTTGTTGTTAGCGTCTGGAAATATCTCTTGGTAATGATGAATACTGTTTCGAATACATCGAACAAGATCTTTGACATTGTTGAAATTATATTGTGATCCTGTATAAATAAATAATATTTGTTTTATTTTTGTGAGTAAAATGAATGTGTTTTACAAATAATATAGAACATACCTTCATTCAAAACAGATAATAGATTTTGATCGATTGATTTATCCCATGATTCTTTGAGATATGTTTGATTATTATGAGTGTTCAGTGATGTTGTTGAATATTTCTTGATTGTTTGATGTGTTTTGTCAATGAATTTCAATTTGTCATCGATATTCCAAAAGAATGGATGTTTGATCACCGTTTGAATCGATGGTCGATTTGATTCTTCAAATGATATCATCCAACTGATCAAATCGATTGCACAATCATCGGTGATATCTTTGAGATCGAATCGATTCATGATAATGTTCGGAACTCTCATGATGATATTATCACCAAATGCATGTTTACCACCACTCAGAATGTAATAGATTAAACATCCAAGTGAGAATATATCGACAGATGATGTTTTTCTTTGGTGGTTGATCACTTCAGCAGCATAATATCCACCGGTTCCACTTGGTGTGTGTGTGAATGCAAATGATGATTCGACCATCATCTTGCTTAATCCCATGTCTGTGATGAATAATTGTGAATCTTTGAAAAGAATGTTTCTTGGATTGAGATCGTTGTGAACAATTTGATTGTTGTGAAGGAATTGAACACCAAGAACAATACCATTGATCAATGATATCGATGAAAGTGAATTCTTCAATTCTGAATTGGTTGGATCTTCGAATAGTTGTTGAAGTGACATGTCACAAAGTGTTAATCCAAGATAAATGAAATTCTTATCTTCTTCTCGATCGATATATCTCACTAAATTTGAAGATTGTGATGATTTCGTCGTCAGTTCAATCAAAACTTCGATTTCTTTGTCAATGAGATGATTGAATCCTTTGACGATTCTTTTGATTGCAACTGGAACTCTGTCACTCCAAACACCTCGAAACACGAGTGTTGCATTGCTTCCTCTTCCAATGATATCTGAACTATTGAATTTGAATTTACCAATTTGTGTATCGTATGTTGGTGTAGTGTGTGTTGGTAAAGCGGTCGGAGTTGAATTTTGTGTTGTTGTTACTTTGGACTGATTGTTGTGTGATGAAGTGTTGTTTATTTTAATATTTAACTTTGGTGGTGAAGATGCTAATGTTGTTGTGGTATTATTTGTTTTGATATGTAGTTTTGGTGAAGATGAGGTAATTGAAGGTATAGGCGTGTTATTCGAAAATGATTGTTTACTTTGATTACTATTTGGTTTCGTTGGTGTTGTTTTGTTATTGGTTTGCTCTTGATGTTTAATATTATTTTGATCTTTTTGACTACTAATTATTTCTTCAGTACTATTATTATTATTATCATTTTCTTCTTTTATATCTATTATCTCTTCTATTTTTTTATCTTTCTTTTCCTCTGTTATCTCTTTTTCTTTTTGCTTTTCATTTTCTTTTTTAATATCTTTCTTATTGTTATTATTCTTGGGTTTCGGTTTCTTTTTCTTTTTGTTGTTACTTGATTTACCCTCTAGTTCTTCGATGATTTTCGATGTCTCTTCATATTTAAGTTTGATTTCTTCAATGATTTTGGTGACTTCTTCTTTTCCTTCGGTTCTGTATTTCAAAAGGTTGGTCGATTCCTTTGGTAGATAGTTTCCGTTGTGCTTTAACAAAACTTTGAGTGGTCCAATCTTACCAAATAGTATGAATACATCGATCAAACTAAGAGTTGGAATGTTTTGTAGGAATGTGAGGTAACTCGCGTTGAATTGACCACCAAAGAATCGTCTTGCCAGCTCCAAAAACTGCGATGTCCTAATGTTGATTGTGTTGAATGACGGAAAGTCGGGAGTGGACAACAAAAGCTCGATAGTATCCATAAACCAACCGAACGTCAGAAACGGTATCTTTGTGTCTTTGATATAGATGGGCCATAGAGAACTGGTGAACTTCATCCCGGCGACATACTCTAGCACCTCATGATTGTTTGGCTTGTTGATCAACTCCACCAGAATTCCATCGCACACATGAAAAACACCACGAAACAGTGTTCGGAAACTGAGAAACTCGTTGAGAATCATCGTGTTACACTCGCTTACCGCCAAACTCACTGTCGTCAGCTCGGCCATTCTGTAGGAAGAGTAGGGCTGTGAGCAGAAACACTTGAACGGCTTCACTGGATATTCGACTTGTTTCTCGTGGAGCGCCTCGAGGTATTCGTAGTTGGATTTCAGCAGAACGACATCTTCAATATAGAATTTACGTTGTTGATTGTTTTCATTCTGCAGGATCGATCCCAACGTCTCCCATTCATCAAAGATCTTCCACTTTACGGGCGTGCTTTGCGAGTGTGCCATCGTCCATAGGGGATTGGCATCGGGGTTGTCTTTGATGTAGGTATTTTGTTTTTTCCACAGAAATTGAAGACCCTCCAGCGAATTGAATTCACAGAGAACATCCACTAGCGTCGGGTATGGCATATTGTATTCCTTTGTAAACAAATTACTTAGTATCATGTGATTATCAACGCTTGCAGCGATATAAACCAGTGGAACATTGACGTTTTCATGAAGATGTTCATTTTCTTTCTCCATCATCTTACTTGGAAAGAAGAAAGAACCTTTCAGCTTTGATATCTGTGGAATTGTGATTTTCACATATTGCACGAGTGTTAATAGTCTATTGGGTGAACTCTGACTGTGGTGAAGAATCAAATATTTCAACACATAGAATCTAACAGTGTCCGACAGGTTTTTACGTATCAGAAACGATTCGATCGCTCTTGGAAAATGAAGATCTAAACACTTGATTGTATTCAAATAGATCGCTTCATCACTAAGTTTATCCAATGCTCTATCTATCATTTCCGATAATCTATAGATTTGTTGTATTGATGTAAATATAAAATAATGTTTTGTTTTCTACAGAGATAAACTTCTAATTACTCCACACTTACTCTGTTGAATTTGTAGTTTGATCAACACAAAATAAATATCGAAACAGAGCGTTACTTTCAGGATCTCTAATTGTAACCATCGGTGTTCCTTTTGAGTTTATAAAGATCGTGGATATCTCCAATTCTCTATATGCAACTGGTGTTCCATTATCAATGATATGCTGTATTGATTTATATAAACTTTTAGCTAATGCAATTACACTAGATAGTTAGTTAAATTGAAAGATAATAGGCTAACTAGTTCGCTAAGCAATACTTACTGTATTCATCTTTCAGTTTAAACTTTATTATACTGCCAGAGGGAATTACAGGTTGTCGGCTAGGGGAAGCTTCTGCTGCTGCTGATTCATTGTATAGTTGCTTGTCGTCGGGCAGTTCGGTTTGTAAAAGCTGATTGTCTTTGTTGTAGATGAGTAGTTCGATGTCATCTCTCATTGGGTAGTTATACGATAGTCTGTAAGCATGCCAAAACTGTGATACGAATGTCGCTTTACTAAAGATATCGACCAGTCGATCTAGCTTGGTGTTATCGATCAGCGCCAAACCAGAATCGCTAATATTTGCAGCTGCATCTCCAACATAGTAATAGTCGCGCGTCAGATCGATGTAGTGGAGCATCGAATCGGTCAGCGGTTTCATCTCATACACCCACGGCAACTCGTGCTCTCTGAACCAAACGATGCCGCTACTCTGCTCGGAATCGAGACGCCCTACCGGTAGATCATAGGGATAGCCAGGCTGAAAGAAATACTCGGTCGGCACCAGTGGATATTCGTAGTTGTTACAGAGTATCGATTCGTCGATGTGATATTGCGCGTGTTTGGCATTGGTGAATCGATCGTCTGTAAAGTGTGTCAACGACAATCGGAGATTTGCCGATCGTTGGCGGTCGACGATGTAACATTCCTTCGGATAGTCATCGCGGTAGAACAAGTGAATAGCTGAGTGTGATCCAAGACTTGTATCGATATTCTCATTGCAGATGGCAATGTAATCTGGTTTTAAGAAATCTATAAATTCACATAGATTCTGTGAAAGCACCTGCAAATCTACATATATAACAAAACAATACTTTTTATACATTATTATTTTTATATTATTTATTTATTTATCTATACATGCTATGTGTTATGGTATGTTTTCTATCTATTATTTGTTGTTCTATTCATATATATATTTAAACTTGTTAAAAAATAAATATCATATCAAAAATTAATTAAAAAGTTTTTTTTTTTTTTGGGTTTTTTTAAAAAACTATTCAAAAAGATTGTTTTCTTCCATGGAAAAAGTAATAAAACATCGCAATCTTCATGGCGTATTGTTTCAGATTTTATATAAATTGAAACTGTAAATTAGTTTTATTGTTTGTAATATTACAATAATATAGTTGCAACTCTATGATGGTGTAAAATAAACTTGTCCTTTCTTTTTATAAAACAAACATAGAGCTATCTGGAGAATAAATGAAGGTGTCACTTTTATATTCTTTTTTAGTATTATTTTTATTTTTAAGTAAACTCGCGTGGAAAGTGGTGGAAGTGGTACGCCAGTAGGTGTAATTTAACTAATATTTACTTCAATTGTCTGTGTCTTGATAATGAAGAATCAATAGAAATGGTATTATTATTGGAGGTATAATTTTAGTAAAATTTTTTTATTTCAATTCTTATCAAAAATAAGTAAGTTATGTTAAAATTCTAAATTGGAGTTAAAACATATTAATATGAATGATTTCATGTATTTTATTAATGTTTAATTTCTTTAACTAATCTACTGGACCATGGACACCACATACATCCAGGTAAGAACTAAATTTTTATCGTAAATTTTTTAAATTAAAATTTGTAATCTATTTATTAATAAACAATATTTATCTAAAAAGAATACTTACAGCACCACATGCTTCATCTAAATGTTCTTCTACATAGTTTGTGTTAGCATCGCAAACTTCAATTGCTATATCAAAAAATGAAATTGTTTTTGAGTCCAAATGGAAACTGAATCTTGGGTTATAATTAGCTGTGGTTTTTCTAATTCTTCCCATGAAATGTGGTCGTTCAGTAATAGATCCATCAAGCAAACCTCTGGCATGTTTAATGTTTTCTTCATCAATTAATTTGATGATAAATCCAGTTTGATGATGAACATCGGTGGTTTCGAAGTATGCTGGTGTAACGTCGCCAGCAGATGCAATATAGGCAAAAACAGTCAAAACAACTAATAACAAAATGATTGAAATTTTCATTTCTTTAAGTAATTTAGATATCTATAATAAAATGATTTATGATTTAGTTTGAATGATATTCTAAACAATTCTTTTGATAGGTATTTATACTTTTATTAATAATTATGAGTTTATTTGAATATTGTTAAGATTATTTAATTTCCTATGATCCTCAAAGAATAAAAACTGTATTTCTATTCAATTTTATAGAGATATTAAATTCATTCTAAATCTGGAGAATTGTGTAAATTGTCATTATTAAGGTTGATAAGTGAGGTGAGCCATTTCGTTTAAACACAACGGTCAAAAAGTAACAATAAAAATTGTTTTTTCGCACATAGTGCAATTAGTAGTTTATCTCTCTGATGTAATAGTAATAAATAGTGTGTAACATTATAACTTTATTCATAGTGTAAATGATTGAGATGAGAACAATAATTTCAAAAAACCACATTCATTTCTGCAGTGTTTTTACCACCCACTTTAAAAATAGTGTGAAGTTTAAAACTTATGAACAAAACACTTGATAAACAAATAATTAATTAAAATTAAAGTAAAATCTTAATAAAAAGTTATAACAAAGTTACATTTTTGAAGTGAATTCTATAGCAAAAACAAAAAATGGTATCAATTGAATTAATTTTGTCCAAATTATTGATAAAATTCAACAAAATAAACCAAAAGTACTATTTATTACTATTACTTTATGCTTCTAGAGTGATAAATTACTAATTGCACAATGTGCGAAAAAACAATTTTTATTGTTACTTTTTTGACCGTTGTGTTTAAATGAAATGGCTCACCTTACCTATCAACCTCAATTATGACAATTTACACAATTCTCCAGATTTAGAATGAATTTAATATCTCTATAAAATTGAAAAGAAATACAGTTTTTATTATTTGAGGATCATAGGAAATTAAATAATCTTAACAATATTCAAATAAACTCATAATTATTAATAAAAGTATAAATACCTATCAAAAGAATTGTTTAGAATATCATTCAAACCAAATCATAAATCATTTTATTATAGATATCTAAATTACTTAAAGAAATGAAAATTTCAATCATTTTGTTATTAGTTGTTCTGACTGTTTTTGCCTATATTGCATCTGCTGGCGACGTTAAACCAGCATACTTCGAAACCGCCGATGTTACTGGTACAACTAGATTTATCATCAAATTAATTGATGAAGAAAACATTAAACATGCCAGAGGTTTGCTTGATGGAACTATTACTGTACGACCACATTCCATGGGAAGAATTAAAAAAACCACAGCTGACTATAACCCAAGATTCAGTTTCCATTTGGACTCACAAACAATTTCATTTTTTGATTTGGCAATTGAAGTTTGCGATGCTCACACAAACTATGTAGAAGAACATTTAGATGAAGCATGTGGTGCTGTAAGTATTCTTTTAAATACTCCTCTTTATAAAAAGATTAAACAAATTTTAATTGGAAACTTTATCATAATTTAGTTCTTACCTGGATGTTTTTGGTGTCCATGGTCCAGTAAATTAGTTAGAGAAATTAAACATTAATAAAATACATGTAATTCATTCATTTTATTATGTTTTATCTCCAATTTAGAATTTTAACATAGTCCACCATAAATAAAATAATGTTTTTAGAATCTAAAGGTTCCTTTCAGTTTAAGAAAAAGTAAATTTATTCTAAATTATTTATATATATATACCACAATATTTTTATAGTTTTTTTGGAATCAGGATCATCTCTATTTATTCAGTGATAATTTCCAAACTTCTCAATGATCTGGTAATTAAAATATTAGCTCCAAATTAAAAAAATGGAATTATTTATATATTCTAATATAAAATAGAAATCTTTTATCTTATTATTATTATTACAAACAAATTTTTGATATTTTTTTTTTTTTTTTTAATTAATAGTTTTTCCATAACAATTTTTTGAAAAAAAAAAAACAATTGTTTTTTACTAACAAACAATTGAAAAAAATAGTCGTTAGAGTTTATTAAGAATGAATATAAATGTTAGTAATGATAAGATAAAAGAATATCAACTAAAATGTTACAATCTAATAGAGTCAATAAGAAAAGATGTTGGTGATCTGTTGAGAAGAAACTTAGAAATGCAACTCAGGAACGAGACAATAATATAGTTACATTGGATAGAATGAAAGATTTAATAATGCTATCAGAGTTTAACAACGAAATAGATGGCTTGTTGAATCAACAGACATCGGATATCGATATCGACGGTCTAGAGTCACTGGACAACCGATTGCAATCGATACTCTACGAGAAGGATCTATACGCCTCGAAGCTGCTACAGCTAGAGTCGTCACCACCGTTCGATATCAACGACCCTTCGCTCAATCTCTCGAAGGAATCCGCTTTCCTAGAGACCAACGCCTATCACTCGGAACACCAATCGAACAAGTACTAAGAAATGAAAATCATTTTGTTAATAATTTTATTGACAGTTTTTGCTTGTTTTGAGGCAGCAGACACAAAACCTGCTTATTTCGATATGATTAATTAATTATTTATTTCGATTATTAACTCATCTTTATTAATTGGGAAAAATGCAAAAAGAAGATATTATTAGAATTAAATATCTATATTACTTTTTTTTTCGGCGACGTGTTTTTGCAAAATAAAGGTGATCACGGTGCAAAACAAAGGTTGTCAAAGCATAATAAAGATATCACATATATTATTTAATCTTTTTATTATCTATTTATAATCATTTTTTTTCAATTTTTAATATTGATATTATATTTAAAAAAACAAATAGAATAAAATATATCTACAAAAAATGGGATTATTATATACTAAAATTGCTGAATTATTCAAAACAAAGCATAAAATCCTAATGATAGGTTTAGATGGTGTAGGAAAAGTAAATATCTATAGATAGAAATTGTTAAAAACAAAAAAATGTTATTATTCAAAATTAATATATAATTTGTTATTAATATTATTTTTTTTATTTAAAGACAACAATATTACATAGAATGAAGACAGGAGAATTAGTCGAAACTATTCCAACGATTGGATTCAATGTTGAAACAGTTGTGTGTAACAATATAAGTTTAACAGTTTGGGATGTTGGTGGAGGTGACAAGATTCGTGAATTGTGGGGACAGTATTTAGTGGAAAGCAGTGCTGTTATTTTCGTTGTCAACGCAACCGATCATGAACGAATCAATGAAGTACGAGAGGGTATTTCAAGAGTGTTCAGTATAGAAGAATCATCGGCGGGCGTCTGTCTATTGATTCTCCTCAACAAACAAGATCAACCAAATGCAATGAACTCCTCAGAACTAACAGAATCATTGAAATTGAACGATCTAAAAGATAGAAAGTGGCATATTCAACCGACTACCGCCATCACAGGTGCTGGCATTCTCGAAGGTTTAGAATGGTTATCTAAAAATTTAAAGAACTAAACCCAACCCTTTAACTATTATATAAAATCATAATATTATTACTATTATCTTTAAATATAAATAAAAAGATTTAAATCTTTGTACATATATATTTATTACTTTAATAAATCATTATTATGATCTAGAAAATAGAAAAAAAACAATAATATCGTTGGAATAAATGTATGGATGATATGATTAAAAAAACAAACCGAGGTGAATACCTCTCCAGATTGGTGTTAGTTCAACCCACATTGACAACAAAGAGTCCTTACATAAAATTGTGTAGCTAGCTTTTGTTAAATTTTTATTTGAATTTTTTCTTTTTCAGGGGTGTTAGATTTTTTATTTTTAATTTAAATGGTTTTTCTTTTGAATTTAATTTAATTAAATTTAATGTTTATTAAGTTCACAACAACAACCTTAAATAGTAGTGAAACTTGTTGATCTTTTCCACCATCATAAATATATACATATTATAATTATTATAATCTAATAATAAAAACAACAATAATGTCTGAAGCACCACAACAATTAAGTGTCCTTGATAATCTTTACCAAATGTTTGTCCATGTAAAGACAAACAGAAATCAAGAGTTGTCATATGATGGTAAATGTTATAGATTATTTGGAAATAATGAAGATATAAAAAGTAAATAGAAAAAAGTTATTAACTATTTTTTTTTTTTTTTTTTTTTTATAGAGTTTTCCAAATTATATCAATCACAACTTGGTTTCTCTGAGAATACTATGAAGGGAATGTTCAAAGCATGTGACACTGATAATGTAAGATCATAATCATTGATACTATTAATAGCTATTACTGATTACTAATAACAATAATTATTATAGAATGGAAAGATTACAGTTGCAGAGTTTGCTGCTTTGGCCAGTATTGTTGTTGATGGTACTGTTGAGCAAAAATTGGGTTTCTTGTTTGCTGTTTTTGACAATGATGAATCAGGTACCTTGGATTTCGGTGAACTCGACTTGATTTGCAAGAGTATCGTATCAGTTGGTAAACACGGAGGTAAATCAGATGCTGAAATCAAGGAAATCACCGATAATCTCCACAAGGCCGATACCAACGGAGATGGTACCATCACCATCGATGAATGGATCGGTTACGGTCTTTCCAACCAAACCATTTCCTCATTGCTCGGTCACTAAACACAATGAAAAACAAAAACAATCAATTATATAATAATAATAATAAAAAATTAGTTAACATGTAAACTTAAACTTAAATAATAATTACAAAAAAAAAAGGGACTAAGATCTTATTCTTTTTATTATTAGTTTATTAGTTTATTTATCTTCACTTAATTTCTTTTTCTTTTCGGATGAAGGTGTTTTTGGTGTGGCAGCTTTTTTCTTTTCTTTCTTGGAGGTCGGTGATGCTTTCGTCTTTTTGAGTGGTGGTTCGATGTTGGAATCCAAGTTGACTGTTATCTGATCGATACTGTTGTTCAAATCCATCGGTATGAAGCCTTCTGTTGTGTTTGATGAGGCTGCTGCTGCCGCTGCTGCTGCGGCCGCCGCTTTCTTCTTTGTCATCTTTTTCTCGGTGCTTGGTGTCGCAGCTTTCTTCTTCTTGGTGGAGGAGTCGGTCTGTACTGAACCGCTACTTGCCGAGAGATTGTCCACAGAGGTATCTCCATCGACTTTCTGCGATTTCTTTTTACTGGCCTTCTGTTTGCTATTCGGTGTCGTCGATGAGGATGACTCCTCCAGTTTCACCGGTGTAGAGACAACCGACATCGAAGAAGAGTGCAGACTGTCTGTCGATTGATTAAGATCTACGCCACCAGTAGAAGCATACATTTGGAATAGAGGTTGTGTTTGTTGTATATTCAAAGGTGTAGATAGAGATGCCGTTGAAAAAGAATCACCACTTTGACTAATATTATAGTTATTATTATTAATACTATTAATATCAATGTTGCCAGCAGCTGATGATGTTGTAGTGGTGGTTGTTGTAGTTGTTGTTGTTGTTGTTGTTGTATTACTAGTTGGTGGAACTGATTCATTCTCTTCCTCTACGGGTATAGCTAGTATCTCTGGTGTCATTTGCATGTCATCGATCTCCTTCTGTAGATACTCTTTCTGAGCCTTTAGAATCTCACAGTGATATCGCTTCTCCATATAATACTTTTGGACATCGAGCAGTGTGATGATATCCTGTTTCAAATCATTGTACAATCTTCTCGCCAAAACATTATTGAATGGTTTACCGATGTGAAGTTCAAAGAGAGTTGCATCCACTCTCTGTATTTGTCTATTGTTTTGCGGTGACTGTCCTTTTTCATCCATATTCTCAAACTTTCTCTTATTCTTTTTCTAATTTAATATAAACAAACATTAATTATTAATAAAACATTCTTTCCATTCTATTAACAAACAAAGTTAATTTAACTATATATATATATATATATACATACACTCTCAGGTTGTATATCTTGTTGACTATAATGTTTAAGTGGGCCATTTGAAACTGCAATATTTGCTAGCTTTAATATTGATTTACTGTCCCTATTATTGTTATTAATAATAACATATTAGTAAAGTTTAAAAAAAAAGATAAGAAAAACAACAAACAACTACATACTTGCTATGCTTCAAAAGATGTTTCTCTATACTTTGATATTTCTCAGCGAGTGACTCTTCTTCCTCTACTTGTTCTTTTGTTAAATGGAATATTCTATCTGATTGTAACTTTCTTTCTGTTTCATAAACTATATATCAACATATTATTATATCGATATAATAATCAAATGTGATATTAATAACTAGTTAAAAGTAATAGATTCATTAATAATAAACAAACCTTTGTTAAAATTATAGTTTGTTAATGGGTTATGATATGGATCTTCCTCTGGTTTTGTTCGAAGTTCAATCAGTTTCGATTGTATCTTGTAGTAACGATCCTTTAGATCCTCGATGGTACGTGCAACACTTCCTTGATATCTATCGTGTACAACAACGAATCTAGTATCGAACTTCTTTGCCAAATCCAACAGTTGATCGGTATCTTCTTTCGTCCAATCAGGATCTCTCAAATACAATTCGTATTCCTCTTCATTATATATGAGTACATCCATCTTCTTATTAAATCTACAATATTTATAATCTTTATAATAACAATTAAAAGATTAATATATGAATAACAATTATTATTATTATTATTGTTGTTGTTGTTGTTGTTGTCTTACCATCTTTCTTATCAGTTGATTTAGAATAGTGATATAATATCATGTTGTCTGGTCGAGAATTATTTCTGAATCCACGTTTCTCCCATGATACCTTTACTTTTCTCTTCTCTTTGAGACCGACATTTGTGATTGGTGAAGCAAATGTAAGTGTTTCACCTTCTAGATTGAGGAATGCCTGTTGGAGTTTGTCGATAGTCGATCCACCTCTCGACGATGAAGATCCCTCTAATTTCGGTGTTTTCTGCTTATCTTTTTTCTTTAGGATAGAATCTACCGTCGATGAAGTAGTGACTCCCGACTGAGATACACCTAGAATATCTTTAACATCTGACATACTGTCTACTCTCTTCTCTCTCTTTGTTTAAATACACATAAATAACTTAGTTTAAAAATTTGCAAAAAAATTTGAATTTTTTTTCACCTTAAATTTAATCAACTCAGTCCTATTATATCCACAGTTATAACAAACAAACAAACTAACTAGTGATCTTCAATCAAAATCAAAGTTTAGTTCAATTTAATTCAATCAAAAACTAAACTTTTAGTAAAACTAATAAAAAATAAAAAAAGTTAATTTATTTAAATTAAAAATAAAAGGTAATTATTAAAAAAAGTTATCTTTTTCAAATGAACATTAAATTAAATAAAACAAATATATATTGATAGATAATTACAAGACGAGTCTAAATATATCAAAAATTGTCTAATTGTCTCTATTTAGTACTTTATACTTTTTTTTTTGAATAACATTTAAAATAGTATAAATAAATGAATAAATTGTTGATATCTTTTTGTAATTCTAACCTAATTTGGTAAAACAAAGATATAACGATAGACAATTACAAGATGAGTTCATTGATATTAAAATGGTCAAAAAATAATATATTCCAATACTTCAAAATAAATAGGTAAAAAACCTATTAAATTTAAAAATGAGTATAAACTATAAAACAAACAAGTTAATGTTTTTAATTATAAAGTAATGTAATTAACAAATAATACAACTATTGTTGTTGTTGTTGTTGTTGTTTGATTTGTTTGTATCTTCGTCATCGGCTTGGCCCGTAGTGGTTGTAGTGACGTTTTGGTTTGGTTTTGGATTTAATATTACATTGTTGAGGAATTTGATGACGATTTGATCGAGCCAAGCTTTGTTTGGAAGTGCTTTCAACATGTCCGATGGCAGTTTGGTGTAACCGATCACACAACCAATGAGTGCACCACAGACAGCTGCATTGGTATCGGCATCACCACCCTCTCTAATCAGCAGATCGATCGTCTTTCTAAAGTCATGTGGTGATCTAACACCCCAAATAGCACTTCCCATGCATTTGTAGGTGTAACCAATCGTTGTTTCATCGTCCAACTTCAAATCGCTCAAATCCGGTTTGCTCCAAAGATACTGCTGATACTCTTCGAACTGCTCCTTGGCTTCCTTCTCTGAGAATTCACCTTTGTAGCCTTTATCGACGAGCAAACGATCGATGACCGATTTCGCTTGTTGCTCAGCGTCTTTTATCCATTGCTCGATCTGCTCTTGTGACACGCCGCCGCTAGTGTTGTTCTCTTTGAAGTGTCTGATAATGGCGGATTGTATAGAGGTGATAGTAGTACATGATATCACACATTTCGGATCCCAGTGAGTCAGCTGTGCACAGAGTATAGAGTTCTTCTCTACTTGTTCGGGCTGGTCGAAGCTGGCGCATCCGAGAATCGATGTTCTCATGACGGCACCGTTGGCAGCCATCTTGAAACCCATTCTCTTTCCCATCTGAATCCAAATCTCTCTACTCGATTCAAGTGGATTGCTAGTGAACTTTGAATGCATAGTGACACCCATAACAGTCTGGCCAATGCCCATACCATGCAGGTCACCGACCTCTGGGAATCCATTTTCGATCCAGTGTTTCAGTTTCTTTGCTGCATCCGGTAAGTTTACAACACCACCATTCTCAATTAACATATTCATCAAAACTATAAGTTGATCTGTATCATCAGTCCTACAATAAACATAATAATGATATAATATGTTAACTAAACATCTCTGTACATTAATTAATAATAATAGTTTTAGATTGGATTGTTGTTGTTGTTTTACCAGTCACCTTTGTCCCATCTTGAATTATGTCTATTGGTAACATAATCAGGGAATGGAATTAACTCTCTAACATCTGGATATCTTTGTTTGACAGCTTCTTTATTCCAAAATTCGGTGGCTGTAGTTGTTATTTAGGTTATTTTAAATTGGAATATTAATAATATCTACAACATTTCGATGATAAAGATAGATTCATACCAAGACCATATGCATCACCCAAAGCATTTCCATATATCAAACCGAGTATATGGTCAATATATTTATTCTCTTTTTGAGATAAATATTCATGTAATTGTTCTTCATTCATTGAATTCATGATTTTATATAAAAATAATAAAGATAATAATAAATAACAATAATAATTGATTAAAAATGGTATTAATAATAAATAATAATAATAATTAAAAATAACGAACAAATCTCAAATTAAAAACACTTATTACTGCTTTTATTAAATAATTTTATTAAAATCTTAAGAAAAAACAAAAAAAGATAAATTCTTTGAAAGTTTTTAAAAAGTAAAAAGCTTATTAATGTTTTGTTTTTATTATAAATAAATATTATTGAACTTCTTTTTTATGTCATAAAAATAAAAAATAATACAAAAAAAATAAAAAATAAAAAATACAAAAAAAAACCCCATTTCATTTCAAAAAAAAAATTTAAAACACACAAACCAACCACACCACACTTTAATATATTTTTTCTAAAGAATAAATTAAATTTTTTATTAGTTTAGTTTCATCATACAATATTACACAACCATCATAGTTTTTTAGAAATAATAGTTAGTTATTACTATTACTATTGTACAATTCTCTTTTTTTTGAATTTAAATTATTTATTTATTTTAAAAATAAAATAAAATAAATAGTTAAAAATCATTGTAACCGCTACAACAACCTTCATTACTATTTGACAAAAGTACACAATACTCTACATTTTTTTGATAAATATTTAGTTCACAATTGCAAAGCAAATCAGAACTCGTTTTATCAAACAAAAAGAAAGAAAGAAAAAAGAACTATTTTAGTTAGAACTAAAATATCCAACAATACTTTATTATTATAAACCTGAGGTATGTTTAAAAAACAATAACTATAAAAATCATAAAACGATTTTGTTTTGTATTGCATTGCATATGCATTGTTTTTACCAAACGATTGATCTTAATAATAAACTAAGAAGAAGAAAGAGTAATGCAAAAGTTGTAGTCGAGTCGGTAGGTGCTATGCGATTTACCACAAAATCAAACATACCACTCACTCACTCCCAACAAAACACAACACACATAGCACACACCTCTAAAACCAAAAGCACACACACACGCCAACATAGAATATAGACACCACAAGTGTTGTTGTCTCATTGCAATTAATCAAAACATGACTTATATACCACACACACTTTGCTGTTGCCGCTACTAGTTGTTTAAACACATAACACACCCTCGAATCGAGGGTGAAATTTCTTGTTGTGTGTGGTGGTGTCTTTTATTCAAAAGAGACTGACTGTGTGGTGTGCTGTGTGTTTCTCTTGTTGATCCTTAGGTGAGGTGTGGCAACCCATATGGTTTATGTCAGACCCACACACACAACACACACACACACGTTCTAAACACATTATTTTTTTGTTTTTTTTTTTTTTTTCTTATTTTCTATTTTTATTTTTAAATCTCTATTTTTTAGTCTATATGGTCAACACCACCACACACCTTTAAAAATCAAGTATCTGCTTGTGTGTGTGTTGAGGGGGAACTTTTCGTATATTTTAAAGGGCGTGTCTCTTCAACAATATCTATCAAAAACAGGCTAGATCCAAGACTGTCTCTTGATCTGTCAAACTAATCAAAAACCAATTTTTTTTTGTGTTCATAATATTTTTTTTTGCTTTTTACTTTTTTTTTTTTTTCCCATCCTTTATTTTTTTTTCGATTGTGTTTGCTTTGCATTTGCTAATTTATTAAATCTATATGGTTTTTGCTGACTTTGTCATTATAAATCACTCATTGTTTGTTTCTCTATCATTAAAATTATTAATCTTATTTTATGCTTGTTCTCGAGTTTTCCAAATATTTATTTAAATACAAATAAATTATTGTTATTAGTATAATTATTATTTTATTGTGGCCAACGGCAATTGTTGAATCTCAAATTATCTTTGTTACTGCTAATATTCGACATCTTATTACCCATTAGTAATTCAGAGTTCTACAATCTATTTTTATTTTTGATTGTAAGTGTTGTTAATCATATGAATAGAGAGAGACAAACAGAGATTTGAATACCTCTAAATTTATATCTTTAACCAACACTCACAAACAAGCACACATACACATTAAACATAACCTGTACCAACACACGATGCTCACATTTGAGAGAGAGCAGCTGCTATAATAAAAATGGAAAAGAAAAATATAGAGTGTGTTTATTTTGAGTGGAGATGTGGTGAAATCTGACACAACACAATTTTAACAATTCAATACAATACAAACATCAATAAATAATATTAATAATATTAGTATTGTTAACACACAAGAAACCAATCACAAATATATAAATTTTTTGATCAAGTAATTGTTATTTTTATTTTTAACACACGACAAACAATCAGGAGCATCCTCATCACAATTCAAATATTCAGTTCCACTGAATTAAATTAGACAAACAAATAAATTTGGATCTACCACTGGTTATAGCACTTACACAACTCAACACAACACCCATTTCAATTATAATACATTAAACAACACACCTCACACACAGTGGCAACCATCTTTATTTATTATCTTAACTATTCTCACCAATCCACTGCCCAATATAAGTAATGTTGTCGAATCAATCACTTTCTGATCAACATTTAATAATAACATAACAATAGAAAAAGAAAAAGAGAAAAAGTGACTGATTATCCATCAATCAATCAGTCAAACAACCAACCATAAGCCAATATTAATTTGATGTGACGATGATTTGATTGTTGTTGTTTTTATTGTTTTTGAAAACCAAAAATAAGAATAGCACACAAATAGTAATAATACCACCGAAATCTCATCATATCAAAAACAACCACACACAAACCAATAATACAAATAATTTTTTTTTAATTGGTGTGGTTGTAATCTCCATTCAAAGTTTTACAGTTGAAATAATTATTTAATATAAAACAAAAACAACAACACAATTCAATTATGATGCTGATGAGCAACATTAAACAGACACTTTTTATTTAACCCCACCACACACAATCATTCACCCCCTCCGATTATGTGGGAATTATTTACAAATTAATTTCCATCTTAGGGGTTGATGTTTTTTTTTTGTTTGGGTTAATCATTAAAAAAAAAAAAAACTAAAAAAACCTCATTCAGCTATCTAAAATTAATTTTTGTAAATTCACCCCACACAAAATAGAGTGATAAATTAAAAAAACAAACAAAAAAAGAATTTAATTTAAAATTTAAAAAAAAAAAAAAAAAAAAACAAAATTCACACTCTGCTAATTAAATTAAAACCCCCACCTTAATATATTTATACATTGTATAATACCAAAAAGAAACAACAACACCACAACCTCTAGAGATAAAACAACAACAATTATTTATATTTTTTATTTATTTTTACATTTAATCATATTATTTTTCTAACAACAATAAAGACAGAGATTATCTCACCATTATCATCACTCACTCACCAACTCACTACACTCTCTCTCACCTATCTGTTTATCTAACCTAGAATAGATTAGAATAGAATAGAGTGTTGTTGTGCTGTTATATTATTATATCACTACATAATTATACATTACTCTTCTTTTATAATATTAAATTAATAATAATCATCATATTTGCTTGACCCAAATCAAACAAGCTAACCAACTAACTAACCCACCACTCTCTTTCTCTTCTCGACAACAATAAATAATTAAATATTATTTTGAAAATTAACTCTATTTGTTTCTATATATTACAGTTGTAGGTATTAGAAATATAAATTTAGTGTTGTGCACATTGGCAGTAGTAGCTAGTAGCACACAATCAAAATCACAAATCAATCAATCAAAACAAATCAAAACAATATTTATTTATTATATATTTTTATTTATTTGGATTGATTTAATAATAATAATAATAATAATAATAATAATAATAATTTAATAATATTTATTTTAATCACCATTTATTTATATCATTCGTCAAAGAAACAAACTAAACAAAGTGAATTTGTTTTTGGTTACCATTATTGTGTTGTGTGGTTAAATAGTAAATCCTATTTCCACAGTCTAAAGTACAAGCATTAACAATTTCATTGGTATTTTTATGTGTTATAGTAGTTGGTGGTAGTGGTGGGGTTGTTGCAAAAATATTAATATGTAGTTGTTGTATGACCACTACCACACCCACACTCAACACAAAACACACTCAACTCAACAACTAACCCACCCACTATCAAAGCAATTACCACCACCTACAAATAATTATTCATCAAATGGTGTTGTTGCCAATCATATCAAAACAAAAATTACACTTTTTTTTTGTTTTTGTTTTTTTGTATATCATGAAAATCTTTTTAAATAATGTAATATGAACCTATTTATATTGCAAGCGTAGATTGGTTACTTTTCTATCTAACATTTATCGCTATTTCTATTAGTAGTGAGCAAGTTGTTTGAGTTGAAAGTGAGGAACAACTACCGCTCACTAAAACAACAATATCACAAACAACAACAATTCACACCCATTTATGTCATCAATAGAAATTCACTTACTACTCAACTACTACTGAAGTAAGAAAGAAAGATAGAGGTAATTGCGCTCTCTCTTTCTTAAGACATCTCATTTGGAAACCACCCCCCACCTCCTCATATCAATAACATGTTGACAGTTATTATTTTAGTGGAAAAACAAAAATATTTGTTACAACAACATATAATTTAATTTTGTTGTTTGTTTGTTTTTGCAGTTGTCTGGTATTGTTTACACCCAATAGTTATCAATATGATGATGATGATTTGAATTATTGAAAAATTCCAAATTAAATTATTAAATCATTTATTTAATTAAATTTAATTTAATTTAATTTTATTATTATTTTTATTTTTTCTTTTTTATCTACAATATTATATGTTGTGTGAAAATATATTTAACTCTCACTCACTTCTTCTCACTCAACCCTAAACCCAACTAAACAAACCAAACAATATAATTATATTAACAACAACACACAAATTTCAATTTATTATCACAAAACCAACAATAACAACAATCAATTGATTGGAATTCCATCCTGTTTGTTAGTCCTTCAAAGATTTTTCCCTTTCCAACAAGCTATCATCATCTTTAAATATATTCGATTGTTAACAAGGTTGTTGTTTGTCATCTGGTCACCCACAGGTCCAAACAACAAATTTAAAGTAATTACCAAACAACTTTAGTTTATACACACTCTCACCAACAACAAGAGTGGTTCTCAAAACACTATAATCAACCAATAGCTTTGAAAAACAAACATTTAAGTTTATTTATATATTTTTTTTTGTAACGGTTTGTTGGTAGTTCCAAATGAATACCCAATCTTAAAAAAAAAACCACCACCTTAAACTCTTTAGTTTCCCACAGTAACCCATCCACCTTTCTAAATCACGTGGTGTTTGTTTAAACACTAGAACCATTTATCATATTGTGTTTTAAAACAAAATATCTGTGTTGTGTGTCATAATTTGTTAGTCCCCCAACCCGAATTTCCGTGGTACCCCTTCACCACCAAACACAATGTTTCCAATTCAACCCATATATAAAATATTTGTGACTTTTTATTTTCAATAATAATAAGCCTATTGCCAAAGTCATACATGATATCATTTACACATAACACACCCATCCAACAATAATTACTTAATGTGTTACTACTACTACGATATTTTTTGTTTAAACACAATTGTGTTCAATCATGATCTTACTAACCACAATAATATTTTTTTTTTTTTCTTTTACTAAATATAGAATCTTGGTTTATAGATTCATTTGAATTAATTAAAACCAAAGTCGCTACATCTTCTCCAAAGAGGCTCTAAAGAAAACTAAGATTTTAATCTTATTTTTTTTAGAAATAAACTAAAGGAGCAACACTATTTATTTGTCATCGCCATGCTACCAGTATCTTCAAATACCAATTCAGCTACAACCAGTTCCTCAGCAACTTCTCCTCAATCCATTCATACAGACGTTAATCTCACACTTCCACTGCCATCTATATTTCATAATAACACCAACAGTATGAATCCACCAATTCTTTTCTCACCGTCTGCTTCGTTGACACCATCTTTTATGTTGCCATCCTCGCAATCCTCCATGTTGTCGCACAACTCGAACATCTTCCAAGATGCCTCCCAGCCGTACGGTATGGACATGCCAAACATGGTCGAGCAATTCAACATGCACAGCCATGCTGGTCACTCTGCTCACTACTCACCAGCCATTCAATATCCCTATTTGTACCTCCAGCAATCGGCTGCTCAACAACAACAAGTCCAACATCAACATCCATCACACGCACATCTCGGTCAAGCCAACGTTCAACAACACCAGAGCTCACCGGCTGCTGCCACTACCACCACACCAACCAAATCTGTAAAACGTAAACACAACACCACCGAAAAGAAGGAAACAACTGCACCAAACACCATCCCTAAATGCACACGTTGCTCAGAGTCTGCTTCGTGGAGACACGACAAGAGAAGATGGTGGTGTAAAGAATGTAAGAAGGCTTTCACACCAGGTATCTCTAAACTCCAGAACGCCTCACCAACTCCACAGACTCAGATGCCAATGGCTCAACACCAACAATGGGACCAACCCCAACCCAACAGCTCACAGAATACACCACCATCGGTTCCACAGAATCCAAACCAAGTAACACCGGTCAGCTGCAATTGTCCAAGCTGTGGTGGTACCGCCGGTTGGAAGCATGACAAGAAGCGTTGGTTCTGTAAGGACTGTAAAAAAGCATTCACCCTACAACCAGACGGATCCATGCCAACCTCACCAACCTCACCAAAGCCAAAGAAGACCAAACAAAAAAAGAACGCCGCTGCCACCATGCCAGTATCACAACCACCAACCTCGTCGACTGTAAATAACCAGCTTCTCCAAGCTAACACCCATTTGGCCCAGCCACAACAACTGCCACCATTCAACAACACAATGTTTTTGCCACCACTAGGTACCAACAAAGAGTTGGTAGGAATGCCTTTCACCCAGATGCGTGTCGGTCCAGTAAACTCACCAACCTCAAACACTCCACCATCTATTCCATCGCCATCGTCAATCATGAACATGCCATCACAGGTTTCGATGAACAACAACCTCCTAGTGAATGGAAGTATGATCAACCCAAACCTTTCGCCGACTGGATCATCAAAGAAGATGGCCAAAAAGAAAGAAAAAGATATGACCGGTAATGATGGTCTCCAAGTTTTAGTAAGCGTCGACAATGGTCTGCCTGACCTGAGCAGTAGATCGATTGGTGACCTCAATGGAGTTTCAGATTATTCAAAGATGACTCAAAATAAGTATCCAGTTCAGGATCTCAGATATATTGCATCATAAAAAATGAATAGAGGCGAGACAACCAAACAATCAAAACACCAACCAATCAACAACCACTTTTGTCAAACACAACTTTATCAAAACAACCAACAAATAACCTTGAAAAACTAAAAAAAAATATCAAACAGACACCACAAAACCAATCAATCATATAAATCATCCGTTAGAAACAAACCAAAACAAACAAACCAACCCACCATACACCATCAACAAACTTATATATTTTGTGTTGATAAAAAAAAAACAACTCTAAAACCATCTCCATATATTTTAGTATGTTATATAATTATATAATTATATCCTCAAAACAAAAACTCAATCATACAGATAAACCACATTAATTTATAACAATTAAATTGATGCCTGGAATAATATAAAACCCTCCCCCTATATATCTTTGTTTCACCTATTCTTGTATAAACTCCAAAATCTAAAATAATACTATTTTTAATAAAATCCATTTAAATTTAAAATAATCTCTTTCTTTGTTTATAGCTTTTTTGATTATTGTTTAGTTTGATCTTTATTCTCTTGTGATTTTCTATTCATTTCAGCTATTTGAGCATCCATAACCATTTTTATCTTTCTATCTTGAACTTGTTTATTATAATTACATATTGGCCTATAATATCGTTTGTGTTTATTTTGATAGATTGTTAGTTATTGTTAAAGTTCTTATGAGTTCAAATAAACTTACCAATAGGCACCTGCTACTAATAGAAATGTTAATACACCGAAATCTGCTGCTTTCATTGGAGTTTCTAATGTGATTGATTCATTAGTTAGTAAAGATTTGATTTAGTTGCATTTCAAATGATAATGATGATATATAATAGTTACTTGAAGTAAATATATTTGTAAAAAAGGTAACACCAACACCAGAACCTATACCGTATATCAGAGAGTCTTTAAAACATGGTATTTTCGAAGGGTTGTATCTTTCCCAGAATGTAGTTGGTTCTTTAGTATCTATAGGATAAAGATTGATATTTTCATTCTCTGTAATCGATGTATTTGCTAAACCCTTTGGTTTCTCATTTGAATTACTCATTCTTTAGATCTAATTTATTTAGAATATAACAATAAACAATAAGCAAGGTAAAAGTATTAGTTAATGATATCATTAAAACAAAAAAAACGAAACATTAATTTTAATTTTTTTTGCATAATTTTGATTGCTAATTGCGACACACTGATTAGGTAATTGAAGCATCGATTGTTAGTTAACACACATGATTAAACTTTAATGTATAAATGTAAATAGATATTGATATAGATATATATATATATAGAATTGTAAAATTAGAAAAATATAATATAGATTAGTTTTTTGTTTTAGAGATGAATGTAAATACTTCATTTCATTTATTAAAAAGTTTTATAAGAGGTATGATTGATATTTATTTATATTTACAATGAAAATGATAAGATAATCATGTGATAAGAAAGTTAACATATTAGAAATTGAAAATTAATTCAAAAAAAAGCACCACATGGAAAGAATTTTCATCCAACTCTCAAGATGAGAGCAGTACATTTGAATCAATATGGTACATCACTGTCGAATTTGGAGTTGGTCAACTCACTCAATGTTCCTCTACCAGAGAGCTCTCAGGTGTTGATCAAAGTGAATGCATCTAGCTTGAATCCACTGGACAATGAAATGAGAAAAGGATATGCAAAGAGTATTGTCTCGATGTCACAGTCGGAGCTACCGTTGGTACTGGGTCGCGATTGTGCCGGTGAGATCATTCAGGTGGGATCGGATGTTTGGGATTATCGAGTCGGTGACCGAGTGTGGGCAGCGAATGCACCGTTCTCCAACGGTACACACGCAGACTACGTTGTGATGAATGAAAGTGAGATAGCAAAGAAGCCGAGAAACCTGTCGGATATCGAAGCGGCATCAGTCCCATTTGCAGCATTGACTGCATGGAATGCAATTTTCTCGACTGCCAAAGTTGGAAGTGGCATGCGAATACTGGTGAATGGCGCCAGCGGTGGTGTTGGATTCTTTGCTGTCAATCTGCTGAAGAATCATTTGAATTGCGTGGTTGGAGCGACCAGTTCCAGTGGTAGTTTCGAAAAGCTAAAGAATGGCGGTGCCGATCTCCTGTTTGATTACAACGTGGACAACAGCGAGAGTCCAGAGTGGAAGGGGCAATTCGATTTGGTGCTCAACTGTGTCGATAAAGGCGAGGAAGTACAGCGTCGATGTATCAAAGCACTAAAGAGAGGTGGTCAGTATATATCGTTCAATTCCGATCTTGTCAGGACCAGTGACTCTGAGGGTGTTCTACTCGGACTACCCAAAGCAATGCTGGACAATAGAAAACGATCGGAGCAGATACACGAACAACAAGGAATCAGATTCGATACATCGTTGTTTGTACCATCGAGCAAAGCACTCTCTTCCATCACCAGACTATTCGAATCTAAACAGCTAGTGACCAACATTGGCAAAGTATTCTCACTTACCGATATCAAAGATGCATACCAATATTTTGAAGATGGAAAATCAAATGGAAAGATAGTGTTTGACCATTCCAAATAATAATAATAATAATAATAAATTTGAATAAATTTGTAATCATATCACTAAATTTCTTCTTTTATTAAACATTTTTCATTAAATTTAATAACATTAAATTTAGTTGATAGATTGATCTATTTTTAGTTTTAAAAGTGAAAAAAAAAAAATAATTCTATACCTTTATAAATATTACATCCACTATCCTTTTTAGCCAATCTATGATTACATGTGATTGTTTATATGTTTGTTTTACTTTTTAGTTGAGCAATAGAACTAATTCTGTTATTGAACTCTCACCGGTCGTACTATTCCAACTCTAATCAATAAAAGAATTTGAATCATCTCACCTTTAAGTCTTTGTTTATTATCATCATGGAATCATTGTGATCAATCACAATTGGAGGTGAGAATGGAGAGTGATTGTATTGAGATGAGAGATAGAATTGGAGGGATGGTTTGGATGAGGAATATATACATTGTCTTTATTGGATTGTTGTTTGTTCTCGGGTTGACCAGGTACGATAGAGGAAGAGATCGGAATCTTGGATGCGATCAGGGTTGCTTGGAATACATCTGACGGGAGTGGGTCTGGACGTGTGGTGGTAGGAACGATATCAGGAAACAAAGTGGAAGCTGATGGGATTGAATCATTATCATTATTACTTTCGAGATCATTCATTGTAAGATCATTTGTTGTGGTTGTTGTATCAGTAGGTGCTGCTGTACTACTGGTTGTTGTGGTTGTTGTTGTTGTTGATTGATCGATTGGATCTGACATTTCTTATTCAAATAAAAATTAATAATAATATAAAATAATGTTTTTAATAATATCTTTATATAATTTAAATTTAATTCTAATTTTATCTTTTGTTTCTTTTTTTTATCTTTTCTAATCGTAATCGATTTTATGAATTGGATCATACTCAATGAATCTTTAACGTCGCGTTAAACTCAATATATTCATTATTGAGAAGCTTGACGGCTGAGTGTTGAATACTTAATTCAGAAACAACAGATTCTAATTTAATTATTATTTCGATCTGTTGTTTTGAACTATTACTTATTTAGTTGATTTAATTAATTTAATTAATTATAATTGACTATTAACATATGTTGGCTGGTGTATATTATTGATGTTGATTGATGGGTGCCGGTATTGCCTTGGTGGCTACCTTATTGTCCTTAGACGGACAACAATTGTTGTTGGAGACTACTGAATCAAAGTGCTCTGCGAGAGTTGGATGCTTCATCAAGGGAGATTTTCGTTGGCAATTTGTTGGCTGGAATGCAGGTCTACAGCGTAGAATGGAGGAATAATGACACCTGGTGGCAAAGGTGGTGCTCCATTGAACAGTTCAACAGTTGGTATCTGGAGTTGATAAAGTGGAAGACCAAGTGCATTACAAGGATTTTGAAGGTTGAGTGGATTGGCTGGATTGGCTACAGGTGGAGGAGGCCCAACTGGAGGCATGACACCTTCATAGCCTTGAGGAGCAGCATATCCAGGTGGAGATATGGGAGGCAAGTGTCTTTGGATTGTATTGGTGACATCCAAATGTGTCGTTCCACAAGAGATGATCCTGACAGGATTTGCTGCTGCACCATTCTGATAGTACAAAACAAGCATCGCAAAGTCTCCATTGTTTCTGGGATAGATCTTGACACCAATAACGATCCTGATTGTGCTTGGTATTGCAGCCACCGCAGGGACACCAGGAGCAGGAAGCACAGCAGCAACACGATCCATGAAATAGTCGAGGCACTTTTGATGTAACACTGGAAGTGATTGAGACTTGGCTGTTTCGATGACCAATGTTGGGTAAGGTTTTCCATGTCCATCTGTCGAATGATTGTTGGGGACATTGGGTCGAAGAGGTCGCAAAGATTGGTCTGGCTCAGCATTTGCATGTCCTGGTTGGATCAATGTCGCACCTCCTACGGTGTGCAACAAATGTTGGTTTGGGAATGTTTGAAACTGTAAAGTATTATGATTGATGGGTCCAAGTTCAACTCCTCCATCGGGAACATATCCTACCTGGATATAGATGAGGATGTTAGTAATATATTTCCTGTAATACAATTGAAGTCATACTTGTCGCAAAAAAATCTATTTTATTGGACCAACCTCTGATCCTTTTGACTACCTCAAGCACTTCCTGTTGAGACTGATTTGTTGGTGAGAGCGCAAGAGAGTCGATATATTGTTCAGACACATTATGATACATTTAATAAATAATGTTCCTTATAGAAGTAAAAAACAAATAAATAAATAATAGAAAAGACAATAATATTATTAAAAAAGATATTATAATTTTTATTTAAATTTTATTCTTTTAACAATTTGTTTTTTTAAAAGACACAACATTTTTATTTAAAAAACAAATCTTTTTTCAGTTACCATTTTTAATGAATTTCAATTCAACAACCGATTTGTTAGTTAAATCGATATATAAATAATGAATACAAATAAATTTAGAAATTACTATGAAGATGTTCATGGTGTAATTAAAGATAAGAAAGATGATTATGCTGAAAGAGGTGTGAGAGATCGGCCATATAGTGGTGGTAGAGGTAGAGGTGGTTTCGATAGAAACTATAGAGGAAATAGAGATACCTATAGTAATAGTAATAGAGATAGAGATAGAGATAGAGGTGATAGGAATAGTGGTGGTAGACACTATCATAACAACAGAGATAATAATACTAGCAATAATAATAGATCGATATCAAAGAGTTATCAAGGTTTTAAGAATACTATGCTGTCAAGGCATCATGGTAGTGGTGGTGGTGGTGGAAATAGAGGTTATGATGGTGGTGGAAAACATAAAGTAATAACTTCATTCGTAAATATCTATAGAAAACACTAGTTCATCATGATGTAGATCATACAATTAATAATGTTAATAATCATATTGAATCGATACATCTGTATTGTATATATATTAATAGCACGATGATAGAACACCAAGTAGTTTCAATAAGCGTAGTAGTAACAACAGTTCCTATAGACAAAGACAAGACATTGGAATCGATCAGAATCTACAATGGAATCATGATAGATTTGTAAGTTTAATGAGAAAGAGAGAGAAAGAGAATGAGAGAGAAGAGATAGTAGCGATATAATCTTGAACTCAATAACTTATCGAATCAAAAATTATCATTTTAGATTCCGAATGATAAAGATGAAGATCATGATAATTTAGATAGTAAAGATTTTTCAGATGAAGAGGAAATTGATAATTATCACAAAGATGAAGAAGATGATGATGAATCAGATAACAACCGAGATCGTCATCGTAATAGATCAAGTGACATGGACACTGGTGATGAAGATAATCTAGAAGAAGGAGAGCAAAGAGATTAGATCAAAATAAACTTAAACTTTGGGTTCAATCAATATAAATATATTAAAGTGTTATACATTTATTAATAGTTAATTGTAAGTTTTCAATTTTAATAATTTTTTTGTGTTTTTGGATAAACTTTGAATTGAATAGATAAGTTATGTAATAAAAGTTAATAATATTTATTAAAGATCGGACAAATAAATATGGATGTTCTATAGCAATTGATCTTTGGATAATTGTTTCAAATTTTGTTCTTGACTGCATCACCAGTGGTTAAAAGTGACAAAGCATTATTCATTTGTTTGATAAATAATTTTGAATATTAATTAATTTGTCATAGAAATGACAAATAAAATTATTAAGATGAAGGTATTTAATTTTCATACCTTTTCAAAACAATATTGCAGAGTATGTATGTATTAATAATTATAAATAATTGGAATAAATAAAAAATAATTTAAAAATTTATAATTACCTTTAAGATGTGTTAGATGAAGATTATATTTTCAACAAAATTTTAGAAAATAAAAAAAATAAATTTTCAACTTTAATTAAATATTTTACTTTTTCTCGTCTCACCTGCAGATTTGAATGCAACTTGTGTGAATGTTTCTCAATTGCATCTGAGTATAAATATTGAATTTATTATATTATAATAATAATAACTAATATTTTGTATATTTCTAAAGTGTTTAGATATAGAACATCCATATTTATTTATCCGTTCTTTAAATTATTAACTTTTATTGACATAACTAACTAAAAATAAATGATTATTGATTTGGAAAAAAAAATAATAAATGTTAATAATCGATTATTAATGCAAAACATTTATATTACTATCAATTTTCAATCACGTGATATACAAAAAAATAAAAAAATAATCTAAAATTCAAATATATACACCCTTCAAAGGGTGGATATTTATATTTAAGATAATATAGATGATATACCACACTAGTTAATCACAGGTTTCGATCAGTCTACTTTGAAAGAACATATAACACTTGAATATTCAAACTTTAAGTTTCTTTGTATTCTATTTCTTTTACTCCAGAGATTTCTATTTTTAAATAACATTTGTTTAAATTTATGATAATTAATTTTTTTAAAGTTTGATTTTACATTTGATTCAAATACATAATATTTGTAAATTAATACAAATTCTCCATTTATTGATATTAACTCTATGTAGATAATTATGACAAAGTAATTTTATGTTGTTTTTTTGGTTAACAAAAATTTTTATTAATATTAATTTATGATAAAAAAAAGTGTGTTTTGGTGTGTATGTTGTGTATGTTGATATAAATTGGTGATCAATGAGCAATCGAGTAATCTAACCAATTGAAAGAATATAGAAAAATCAAAAAAAAAACTAGATTCTTTTTCACATTTAAAGGACTGCCAATAAGATTAAGAGTAGACCAACAAAGGCAGTTGGAATGAGTTGTGAGGCAGCACCAGTGGTACCGGTAGTGGCGGTGGTTGAACTGTTGGCAGTTGATGGAGTACCGGTGGCAGAGGTGGCCGATGCCGATGAGGTTGGTGAAGAGGTGGTGTTTCCAGTTGGGCTGCCAGAGGCACCGGTGGTGGCGTTGTTGGTTGGTCCACGGACGGTCAAAAGGGCTCTACCGTATTCGACGGTTTGCTCAGAGTAGGTGACGTAAATGGTTCCATTACCAAGGTTCGATGAACCCAAGACGTCAGAGACGATCTTGGCATTGGCTTCGGTGGTGTTGAGTGAACCGACACAGGTGAGACCGGCAGCGCTAGTAGTGAAGGTGGCACATGGGAGATCGATGTTATCGGTTTGACCGAGTCCGTGGAAAGTGAAGGCATATGTACCGGAAGCAGGAACAGTTTGGTTGTGTACAACTATAATGGTGTAATTGAGTCCAAATGGTGGATTGTAATTGGTAATATCGAGATTGGCAGTTCCAACATTTTGATTTGCAGTGGCACCAGCAGTGGAGTTGGTCATAGTACCAATATAATTTGTTACAGTTGGAGATTGTGCATTAACTATAAAATTGTAAAAAAAAAATAAAAAAATAAAAACAATGTTAATAGGTTTTATTTACAAAATTGTGACAATTCCAACCTCCATATTTTTAGAAAGTATTAGAATTCTTTTGGAAATATTAATATTTATAATTACCAATAGCTAATGATAATAAAATGACTAATAAAAATCTCATTTTTCTATAATTTTCTTGTGTATATATATATGAATAGATAAATAATAATTCTAAAATTGTAGTTGGTTGGTTTGTTGTATAATATTTAAATATATAAAAATGTAGAAATGTTATATGTTCTTGATTATTTATTTATTCTGAATTGATGAACTGAAGTGAATGAATTATTTCAGAATAGCATTTATATACATCGGTGTACCAACTTCATTTAGTCTTCAAAAGAAAATAAAAAAAAATATTAAATAATTTAATTTGAATGTTTGTTTGTTGGCGGTAAGGTAGTGTGTGTAACAATCATTTAATTTTATAAACACATCATTTCATTTATCCATTTTCTTTGTTGTTGCAGGTGCATATATTGTAGCGTTTTTTTGAAATTAAATTATAGAGAGAACAGAAGTAAGTAAGTGCTTTACTGTATACTAACACCAAATACTTATTAGCACCATCACCACCTGTAAATTTATTGTTAAAAACACAGCAATAACAATAAAGAAACTCATGTGCTGTGCTTTGCAATGCAATAACATTCCATTCTATGATGATTTCCATATTTATATTAAAACATTTGAAAATATAGTAAAAAGGCGAGAGATCATGACACAAGTTCATTCACACACCTTACAATCAACAACAACATTCTTCTTCATATAGATTTCAATGAGTGGAGTGGGCGTGTGTGATGTTACTGCTTCATTATAAGTTTAGCTCTCAGAGTGAGTGAAACAAATAATAAATTATAAATGGATCAAAACAGGTAAAGAATAAACATATTTTGTATGAAAATACATACCACACACCACTGTGCTACAACAAATAAATTACCCACCACATTTTAACAATCTATCAGTAGTGAACTTGTTGTATAAAAAAAGTGTGGGTTCACGACAAAGAAATTAAAAATATAATATTATTTTTTTTTAAATATAAATAACAAACACCATCTTAACTGATTAGATTAAGTTGTAAAAATATATTGGTGTTCATATGCCATTATCATATTAATTCTGTGTGTTCCTACCACTACTACTAACCAACACACACACACAATGACCACACCACTACAGGGTGGGTGAATTAATAAAAAATAAAAAATAAAACACATCAACAAGACAATATGATCATCATGTTATTTTATTTTATTGTTCAAGTTTAATGCAATGCTGGGTGCAGTAACAAAAGTGCTAAAAATTATATAACTTTGTAATATATTTTTAAATAAAACATGCAAGACCAAATAAAAATAGTTTATATTTTTAATCTTGATTGAATCACAACACAATTTTTAGTAGTAGTGTGGAAAAATGATCATATATTCATTTCCTTTTTTGTAACAATGTAGAGAATTATAAATATTATCTAACTAGCAGATGGAGTTTAATTAATTGGTGTTTGCAATTGGTTAGATGATGATTAGAGTGTCTTTTGTTTTTAAAATAAAGGTTTTCATCGATCACCCAATCATTGTAATTATTATAATGTGATCATGCTATATCCCGATTAATCAACAAAAGTCAAACAAACGAACAACTCTATTTTGACTTTGGTGAAGAGGGAATAATATTAAGATTTTACTTTGTTGATACTTGTCTCTTCTTCCTATTATTTTAGTCTCTCTAGTTGATCAGTTATTCGTTTATATATTATAATAGAAAGTAAGATGTTGTCAAGGATGTGCATCTTTTGCATTAATAGTTAAATGCTTATAGGTGTGATTTATTGGTTAAAAAACGAGGATTATATTGTCTTTCTATCGCTATCACAATATTTACTTTACTTTTTGAGAATAATTTTTTAAATAAGAAAAAGAAATTAAGAAAATAATATAACTTATTTTCTTTTATTATCTCCAATAATTTATAAATCACTCAAAATAATAAAGATCTTGAGAATTTTTTTTTTCAGATATTTCGATCAAACAATGATATCAATTCTCAGATTTGCCAAAATTCATGACCAGGATAGGCGTTTTTACACAATCATGACAAATTAATTTGACCATTTGAGCCAAGTGATTTTTTAAAATAATGTACTTAATAAGCAAGTTGGTCGGAACCATCAACATTAAGTTTTATTTCTTTTACTAAAGAATAATAATAATTTTAATTTTATCTGTCTTTTAAATCTATATCTGACACACAAAGAAACATATCAATGTCACAAGACAAGAAACAAATTACATTTTTTAAGAGCTTCTTAATCGGAGGTACTGCTAGTTGTATCGCAACAACAATTGAAGCTCCATTTATAAATGCCAAGTATTGGGTCAAACTTCCTGTATATGAACTGAGCAAGAGTTACTCTGAAGTTTTGGTCAGTGTCATAAAGAACCATGGTATCTTGATTTTCTGGTAACTATTTAATATGCACCTAGAAAGACAATCATTTACTAAAATGGATTAAATTAACATTTTCCAAACTATAATTATTTTTATTCTTTTTTTAGGAGAGGTAATGTTAAAAATATTATTAGAAAATTACCGTCCCAATCATTGAGCTTTTCCTTCAATGAAGAATATAAGAGATTATTTGTTGGGTGGTTGTTCTCCGAAACAAGAATCAGTAAAGTTTTTCATTGGTAGCTTGATGGCTGGTGGTGCTGCTGGTGTGACATCCAGGTTCTTTGTATATCCTTTAAACAAAGCTCGTTTACGATTGGCTCTTGATTCTTATAACTATTCTACGGGCAAGCGTCAATTCACAGGTCTTGGCAATTGTATCACTACCATCTATAAGAATGAAGGTCTGAGTGCATTCTACCGTGGTTTCGGTCTGTCTGCCACAAGTACCTTAGTATACAGTGCCGCTTTCTTTGGTGGTTACGATTCAGCCAAAGGATTGCTCCTCAGCGATCCAAAGAATGCTAACTTATTACAGAGCTGGGCAATAGCACAGGTTGTCACTACTGTTGCTGGTGTCGCATCTCACCCATTCGATATGGTTATGACTCGTTTGCATAGGGATTCTTCTAATAACGATAAACTCTACTCTGGTGTTGTTGATTGCTATAAAAAGATTATTAAAAGTGAGGGTGCATATACATTGTTCAGAGGTGCTTTCACCAATTCCATTAGAAATTCGGGAGCTGCGCTTGCTTTGGTATTTTACGATCAGATTAAACGTGTTTGTATTTTTGATATGATAAAATTGAAAAGTGTTGTAAAAATCACATAATAACACACCTTTTATTATTCATACTCATAGATGCTAGGTTTCGAAACAGCTGTTGGTAATACACTATAGATAGACAACTAAAGAATGAGTGACCTTTAATATTAATGTAAAGGTGTCGAAATATAAAATAAACAAAAAGAATGCTTTATCTAAGTAAGATATGGCCATTCTCAAACTACACTACAAGAAGAAATATTCTATAAATGTGAGCAAGCCAAAGAATTTTATTTATTTATTCAACAAGACAACAAATTAATAATAGAAGCCTTAGATAGTATAAACTATGAACTTTCAATTTATATAAAGAAATTTCTTTTTATTTACTACGTATGATCTTTCTCAGTTAAGATGCTTGTGATTACTAACTCAGTCCTAATCCTCTTTATTGAAAATTACTTCTTCAATGTTTACTACAGTGTGTTACGAGCCGAAGTACTCTTTTATCACGATTAATTACAACATGTTGTAATTTTGATTGGTTGATAATGTCTTCAAATTTGTTTGAACCACACTATAACCAAAACAATGTAGAATTTTAACTTGACTTTAGATAGAGTTTATTTAATTTGTGTTTACGGTTGTTTTTTGATTAGAGTCTTTTGTTTTATAAAATAAAGGTTTTTGTCAATCACCAAATCATTTTAATTATTATAATGTGCATGCTATATCCCGATTAATCAAAAAAAGTCAAACAAACAACTCTAATTAGACTTGGTGGATATTCAGTTTCGTCTTTGTATATTATTTTAGTCTTGGTTAATAAGTATAATAGGTAAAAGTAAACGAGGAGTATTTGTCTTTTTACTTTCGCCTTTACTTTCCGACTTCTTTAGTATACCGAGATATAATCTTTTCATTTTCATTTTCATTTTCATTTTCATTTTCTTTTATTATTCGATTGGAGATCTTTATTCCAATAAGTTATAAATCACTCAAAATAATAAAGATCTTGAGATGTTTGATTTTTTTTAAGATATTTCAATCAAACAATGATCATCAATTAATTAATTCTCAGATTTGCCAAAATTCATGACCAGGATAGGCGTTTTTTAAACAATTATGACAAATTAATTTGATCATTTGAGACCAAGTTATTTTTAAAATAATGTACTTAATAAGCAAGTTGGTCGTTTATTTCAAATTTTTTTATTTAGTAAAGAATAACAGTTTGTTAATAATAATAATAATAATAATAGATAAGTTGTTGTCAAAAATCACTTATCACTTATTATTCTTCAACAAAAACAATTTTTTTTGTCTTTTAAATTTATATTTAACTCACAAACAACATATCAATGTCACAAGACAAGAAACAAATTACATTCTTTCAGAGCTCCTTAATCGGAGGTACTGCTGGTTGTATAGCAAAAACCATTGCAGCTCCATTTGAAAATGCCAGGAATTGGGTCAAACTTCCTTTGAATCATAACAAGAGTTTCTCGGAATACTTAATCAGAGTGATAAAGGACGAAGGTGTATTGATTTTTTGGTAACTATTTAAATATGCCTCCTGATAGTATTATTAATATGGACAATGTTAACAGACTAATACGGTTTTCGAAAACCAATCTTATTTTTATTCATTCTTTTTTTTTAGGAAAGGTAATCTTAGAAGTGTTATTAAATACTTTCCTTTGCAATCGTTGAACTTTTCCTTCAATGAAGAATATAAGAGATTGTTTGTTGGTGGTTGTTCCCCGAAACAAGAGCCAGTAAAGTTTTTCATTGGTAGTTTGATGGCTGGTGGTGCTGCTGGTGCGACATCGATGCTCTTTGTATATCCAATGGAATATGCCCGTTTTTCGTTGGCTGTTGATACCTATACTGTAATCCCGAGTAAATTCAAAGGTCTTGGCAATTGTATCTCTTACATCTACAAGAATGAAGGTGTGCGTGCATTCTACCGTGGTTTTGGTCTGTCTGCCACAAGTGGCTTTGTATACCGCGCCACCTTCTTTGGTGGTTACGATTCAGCGAAAGAACTGCTCCTCAGCGATCCAAAGAATGCTAACATCTTACAGAGCTGGGCAATAGCACAGGTTGTCACTACTGTTGCTGGTATCGCATCTTATCCATTCGATATGGTTCGTAGACGTATGCAAATGCAATCTTATCGTAAAGATAATCGTTACACTGGCGCTGTTGATTGCTACAAAAAGATCGTTAAAAACGAAGGTGCATCTACATTGTTCAGAGGTGCTTTCACCAATTCCATTAGAAATTCAGGTGCTGCGCTTGCCTTGGTATTTTACGATCAGTTTAAACATGTTTGTATTTTTGAAAAATAATGAAACCATATTATAGAAAAAACAACATAATAACACACTCTCATTTCACTATTCACATTCACACAGATGCTAGGTTTCGAAACAGCTGTTGGTAATACACTGTAAATAGACAATAATAAAGAATGAGTTGTCGAAACACAATTAATTGGCATTCATAGGAATGCTTTATCTAAGTAAGATATGGCCATTCTCAAACTGCGACAAAAAAGAAGAAATATTCTTAATTTATTTACAAACAACAATTTATCTTTCATAAATTTTATTTTTATAAAATAAATATCTGTTCCAAATCCTAATAATCTAAGTAATAGAATTATATAACATCATCAATCAGTTGAGCATACAACAATGATAAATATACATATAATATTATATGATCTCCAAAAAATTAATTGAATAGTTTTTTTTTTTTTTTTTTTTGAAAATCAGTATTTTAATTTAACTTTACTTTTTTTTTATTATGTTTATTTATTAAATTGATAAATTGTTGTTACATTGTTGTTATATTTTAGATGTCATCTAAATCAAAAGATAAAGATGGTGTTGTAAAGACACCATCGAAATCAGATAAAGATATAAAGAAAGAAAAAAAAGAGAAAGAGAAAGAAGATAAGGAGAGAGAGAGAAAAGAGCGAAAGGAAAAAGAGAAACAAGAGAGACGCGCTGTCAAAGAGGCAAGAGCAAAAGCAAAGTCTGACAAGAAAGCCAGTAAGAAAGCGGGTCGTGATCGATCCGGTAGTGATGTCAGTGTAGACGATTACACGAGTGATACGGACACCGATCAATCATCAGATTTAACATCATCGTTAGGATCATCGAGAAACAATAACAACGGTGATTTAGATTCTCTTCTTGGAACAAGTGGTGGCGGTAACAATAACAATAGCAACAATTCACAAAGAGAAACAGTCAACAGTACAAACAGTGGAATTGGATTGCTATCGAATAGCAACAAGAAGAATGAGGAGCAAAAGGAGAGAGAGCGCAGTGACAAGGCAAAGGAGATGTACGACGGTGTCGACTTGTTCACGTCGGAGAACTTCTTGATTGCGTTGGCCGATACCGATCATCTCGGTCCCGCTATCAAATCGATGTTCGAATCGAACAAGGAGAAGGAGGTGATCGATAGTCTCAATGAGTACATTCAATCAAAGGACAAGGATATCGAGAAGATCTGCGGTGACAACCACGAAGGATTCATCAATTCGGTTACGACGTTTCTCGGCTTGAAGGAAGACAATCTAACGTTGAAGCAATCGATCATTCATCTGAATTACGAACTGCAGGAACTAGGCACAAAGTACACCAACAAGGCCGACGAGATGCTTGCACACAAACGAACCAAAGACAACATACGCGGTACCAAAGAGATCATCAACAACTGTCAGTATGCCATACAGCTCGGAATGAAAGTAGAAGAGTTTGTAAAGAACAAACGATACTTCCTGGCAATCAAGAATATGGATCAATTACACAATGTCTATCTTAAACGTTTATCAGATTTTCAATTTGCAAGAAATATGGGTAACTATCTATACATACATAAATACACTATTAACAACATTATTAACATTGATAAATTTCAATTATTATAATAATAGATTCAAATATACCAGTTATAAAAGAGAAAATAAAGAAATTGGTAAAAGATGAATTCAATAGTTGGATGGTTGAGATCAAAGAGAAATCAGCGAAAATAGGTAGATTCGGAATGATTCAGTCGGCAAAGAGATTGGAAAAGGAACGAGAGATCAATCCACTAAAGATTAAAACAATGTTTGGTGAGAATGAAGAGGTTTGGGATAGAATATTAGATATTCCTTACAATGTAAATACTAGTGCAATAGGATCACTCTCCTCCACTCAAACACCTCTATCACCTTCATTCGTAAGTGTAACCGATACATCAAAAGAAGATATCTCTCAAAGTAAGTAGTTGTTGTTTTGTTAAACAAGTTTGTTAACAAAATTGTATATGATGTATATTAACATATGTTATACTTTTGATAATAATAGAGTCACCATTTGATGAAGTAGATATAAATTTCCATCCTTTATATCAATGTTTGTTTATTTATTCTAGTTTGGGATTGTTGGAGGAATTCCAAGCCTATTATACACAGAATCGTTTGTTGCAATTCCAGATGGTTGTTCAGCCAAAGGAGTATGGTCAGGTGTGGGAGTCGTTCCTTCAGCAGATTGCCGGCTATTTCATGGTGGAGAGCAAGGTGATGGGATCGACACATCCACATCTCTCAAAGACAACCATCAACGAATGTTGGAATATGGCGCTGGTAAAGATCACCTCGGTACTCCAAGAGTTGTTTACGCACTGCCACGACACACACTCACTCATCTCCTTCAAGAAGTTCGTTCTGGTGTTCACCAACACCCTCTCGTTCTACTCGTATCACGTGCAACCACTGCTCTACCTGCTCGACACCATGAAGGAGCGTTACTGCCAATTCGCGATTCGCGAAGGTGTCGAGCTGTTCACACGCATTCTCGAGTCAGAGTCGAGTGTCAATCTCTACGTGGAGACCGTCGCTGACTTTAAGAGTCTGATACTTGCCAATAATCTCGCAAACAACAACAGCGGTGAGAGCGGTGAGTTAAACGATGACCAAGCGATTACAAACCAACTGCCAAAGTCATTCCCATTCTCAAAGATGGTACCGCAGTTCTACACACTCTTGAAGAAGTTCATTGCAGAGTTCTACGAGTTCACCGACCAGCTGAGTGAGAACGAAGATTTCATCATTCGATCGACCGACACCTTGATAAGAAAGATCAACGAAGTACTCTATAACTTCTTGACAATGTCCAGTGCAGTTCCACAAGTAATACAAATCGTTGTGAATCTCGATCATCTGCTGGTGGCATGTCAGTTCTTCAAAGAGTATCTCAATTCGTTGGTACTTGGTGACTCTAAATCCAACGACCAATCGCTAAGTTCCTCCAATAAGGTCAGTCTATCTTCATCGAATCAACTATACACCACCAAAGGTCTTGGTGAGAAACTTATCATCAAACTCTGTGAGAGAAAGATTGAAGATCTAATGTCATCGTCTGCCAACATAAATTGGTCACCAATAGCATCTGACGATCGTCCAAGAGATTATATAGAAGGTAAAATAACTAAATCAACTAACTTTACTATAATTATTATACAACTTTATACTGATATTCATAATTTGTTTTAAAATTATTATTATTATTATTATTATTATTAGATGTAATAACATTTTTAGAATTTAATTTACCATTTGTACAACCATTATCACATCAATTAAGAGAAGAATTTATAACAAAAGCATTTAGAAAGATTTCAGAAACATTATCTGTATGTATAATTATCTTTTATAATATATATTAGTTTGATATATATATAAATATATTAATATTTGTTATTATTGTTGTTTCGTTTGAAATAGATTATGATACATAGTGATCAATTAAAGAAATTCAATTTATGTGGTGTTAAATGTTTTAATGCAGATCTAAAGAGAATAGAGGACTTTGCAAAGATAAAGGCAGATGAGAAAGATAGAACAACTACAACCAGTAGAAATCTGGTTGGATACTTCTTTGAACTCAGACAAACCGTTAATTTGTTGCTCTCTGAGAATCCAGAGGACTTTGCAGATTCAAAGATCAGATCATACAACTATAATCTATTGACAAACATACCGGATTTGATCATTCTCTTCCAAAAGTATAAAGAAGAATCAAAAGGTTTCTCTCAACCAAAGGAACAGAAAGATAGAAACAACAAAATCGCAAATGCAATTCGAAAGTTTAGAGAGATGGTATAATATTATAATAATAAAAAAAATAAATATATATTTTATTTAAAAAATATTGTTCAAATAATTTAAAAAAAGTAAATTCGTTGTTTGGTAAAATAAAAATTTTTAGTAATATAATTTTATTGAGATTGAAATAAAAAAGTTGCATAAGTCATTGGATTAGTGACATTCGTCAATATTTCAAATGATACAAAATCGATTATCTTGAGATAAAGAGTTCCTAATCTTGACCTTCATCTTGTTGAAGAATGATTGCAAATACCAATGTATAACATGCACTTGCAATCTCTGTATTTGGGATGTTGATAACATCTCTGAGTGTGTTTGTTTGAAGGTCTAGTTGTGTGAGGTATATTGGTGATGGGTTGATATTACCCCAGTTTACAACTCCGAGATATTGCATCGATTCAAAAGCAAAGAAAGGTAACTCTGGTTCATTTGTTTCAATATTCAATTTGAATTGATATTTGTTCTCTGTGAATGGATTGTTTGATAAATAGAATCTTTGAATCTGAACTATATTTTCAATATATAATGTATAAGCTGTATAAATAATCTATAATGGGATCAAAATAGATTTGAACTGCTGAATATTGTACAAATGAACTTGGTTCTATAAATTAATAAAGTTTTGTTCTATTTTAAATTGAAATTAATTTAAAATCATGATATTGATAAAGATATAAAAAATAATAGATACATACGTTGAATAATAATCATTGAAATCAACAGAAAAAATTGAAACATTAACACCAATAAAATCCAGTCCAAAAAAGTAAACTGAATTTCTTTTTGATCCCACCTAACATTAAGTCCAAGATCTGTATAATACTCGAGATATCCAGATGGATGAGTTTCTTTCAAAACTAAACTATTTTCTTTTGAGTTGTAAATTACAATATTATAGTTTTCGGGAATTGTTCCATTCGATGTGAAAAGATAATCCTCATCACCTGAATACCCCATTGTTGAAGTCTTTATGGGATTGTTTGGAATCTGAGATGTCTCTAAAATTGAACCATTATTCAATGCGAATCTTGTGTAAACATTGGAATTGCTTAAATAATTCAAAGATGTTGGTGGTTCTCTAAATAATGATCATTCAAAAATAAATTAATTGATTTGTAAATTAAATATTTGAAAAAATAATATAAACACAAATCACCAAATCAAAGAATATTGATAAATCAAGTAATAATCCAAATATATTTGTTAAAAATCATTTTTAACTTTTAAAAAAATGAAATGTATGGGTTAATAAACTCTTTCTTTATTAGATTTGAAGTGAAAACAACAATGAAGTTTCGACAAGCTGGAATTTTTTCAATTGCCCAATACTAAAAAAAATAAATAAAAAATTAAAAAAAAGAACTGTTTGAGGCTCTTTGAATCAAAAATCAACCGTTTTTGATTGGTTTGGGAGTTAATGGGGGTGTAAATTTACAACTAAAACCACATAAAGTAAAAAATTTTTGTAAATATCTGAGAGGACCACCATTAAGAATTTCAAAATTGCATAATTTAACTTCCATAATTTTCAATTTTCATCATATATATAATAAAATAAAGTTTTCTTAATTTTAACAAAAATTACATTTAGCTAAAAGATATATATTAAAAAGAATAGAAATTAGATATGAGTAATCATAAAAGAAATCTAGTAAACAAGAAACAATACGAAGAAGTATTTGCACCTTATGACGAATCAGACCAAGATTCAGATGAATCCTATGAAGATTCAGATGAGTCATATGAAGATTCAGATGAATCATATGAAGACCAAGTGGATGAAGTCTCTCAAAAAATTAATAAAATAAAAATTGGAAATCCTACTTATTATACTCCCAATAGTATGTTTGTTATATAATTTAATTTCTAAAAAATTGTAATTTAGTAAAATTAACAATCTTTTATATTTACAGAGACAATTACAAATTGGTATGACTCTAAGAATAAACCAACCAACATTCATGAGCTCATCAGAGAATATCTAAAAGATAATATCAGCAATGGAGTCGAACATTTCAATGTGATTTTAATTCGAACATCCAATACAGATAAAAATGGTGCAACAAACAAAAGGATCCAAAAGTTCCTCAGACAATTCGGATTTGTTTCTACTTCATCTTTTTCAACTGGTACATCTTTCATTGCACCTTCTACTAGGGATTTTCCAAAAGCAATGCCCGATGAAATGAAAAAAATTTCAGATGAGTTTCATTCTGATATTTCGTACTTCTTCTTAAGATCTGCATTTTTACTTGACTGTGGATTTATCGAACCTAAAAATTAGACTTACCAGAAATCAATCAAATAAAAAATAAATTTTGAATCTTATAAACAAGTTAAAACGGGTTTATATTAATATCTATTTTTCTTATCATTCAGTTTTGTTTTTTAATGTACACAATTTCCAATCTTTAAACAACTTTCTCTTTCTAATTCTTCTTATTTTCTTTTTCTTTTCATATATCTAATATCAAATTATTGGTAAGATTTTTTATTGGTTTTAAAAAATAATGATCTATCTTATCCAACCAGGCTTTTGTTTGATAAACTTATCAAACAGTTTTTATATTACTATAGTGAAAATCATGATGTTCACATTACATGAAATATTAATTTGAAAATTAAAATTCTTGATTTATATAGAGTATAAAATTCAATATATTATTTGTATAAATAAATTTTTATTTGTTTGTATAAAAAAATAATTTTCACACATCTCGGCATTAATCTACCTTGTTGAAAATTTTGTGTGTTGTTTTTTTTTGTTGCTTTTAAGTGATGCAATGTGATATGAAACGGAATCGATTAGATGTTAAAATTGAAAATCATATGAAATTATTAAATATATTCGTATATCTCCTAAAATGTGGATGGGGTATATTTTTATCTTGTTGATAAATAATATTACTTTCGAAAGTGTCGGCATTATCATCTTTGTTTTAAAGAAAATTCAAAGTTCATCTAGTCATCTAGGAGGTTGGTCGTTCTCTATAAATACTTAAGATTTTCAATGTATTCTACCAACAACAAATAAATAAAAAAAAAATTTTAAAGTTAAACAATGAAACTTTTAATATTTGTATTCTTTTTATCTTTTTCTTTTATATTGGTATCATCTGGTAGATACCACAACTATATATTCCCATCCGTATGTATTATTAAATTTACACTAAATAAATATAAATTAATGTTGTTATTGTTTTTTCTTCATTAAAAAAAAGGAATCAGAACAATATGTTAGTCATATAGAAAAGATGTTTCAACAAAAGAATCAACACCCACTGAAACAATTCCAATCTAAATTGGTAGAGCTTATCCAGATGATTGAACCTATGGTCGCATCGATGGGATCCGTTGGAAATGCCATGGGTGATGGTGCAGGACACGATTGGGTAAACGAACAATACTGGCGAAACTTTCAGGATGTCGTTAATAGAGCACCACCAAGATCGGCCGGTGGATATGTCTACGATACAAAAGCAACTCCAGATCCCAACGTTTTGAGTCAACCATGGAATAACCGTCCATCGCCATTCTCAATCAACACCTGGGAAGAGGTTCATTCTGCCGGTCAGATGTTGTCACCATGGTTCTTCCGTGAAGGCTCCTTGTTGGATCCACGTTTAGCTCCACAACCGAAACCAGCCGCCAATCACGGTGAAGTTGCCAACGATTTTACATGGCAACACTCAGAGGGTGGCGACGACAACACAGTAATGAACCAAGCTCCAACAACTGCAACTTCAACATCATGATTCAAACCAATAATCTAATTTAATTGAAAACCTTTTGTTCTAATATGTTAAAAAAAAACAAAAAATAAAACAAACATAGATTTATTTACAAATAAGTGTGTGTGTGTGTGAATTTAATTGATTGATCGATTTGGCATGTGTGTGTTGTTTATTTGTTTTTAACAAATGATCAGTTTTTTTTTGACAGCAGAGCTCTTGTTTTTTTTTAATTTTTAATTTTTAATTTAATTTATTTTATTTTTTAAGTTTATTTTTAAAAAGTTTAAAAGTTTATTTATATTTATATTTATTTTAGTTTAGTTTAGTTATACATGTTGAATCGATTCTATTAGATATATATTAATTTATATATCTATTTAGAAAAGAGTAAAAAGTTTATATTATATATTTATGAAATCAAGAGTATTTATAGGTGTAGTTGTTCTGTTGTTACAACTGATAGATTCAATAAATGGTCAAGAATTCAATCAATCGAATATCTATACATTGCCTTCGTCGGCAGAGTTGAAACGATTGCTCAGAGAAGATGTAAAGCGAATGTTCTATCATGGTTACGATAGTTATATGAAATACAGTTTTCCAATGGATGAATTGAAACCACTTTCATGTAAAGGTTCCGATACATTTGGAAAGTAAGTTGCAAAAAGAGAAGAAGTAGAAAAGAAGAAAAAAAAACAAATGAAAGAAAGAAACGGAATTAGTAATGTATTTATTAATTTGTTTTATTAAGATATGCTTTAACATATATAGATAGTTTAGATGCGTTGTTGGTTATGAACAATTTGACAGAGTTTGAAAAAGGTGTACAATGGACTATCGATAATATCAGTTTTGCAAAGGATATCAATGTTTCGGTGTTTGAGACGAACATTCGTGTGTTGGGTGGATTGCTGTCCGCTCATATGTGGGCAGAGAAACTGCTGCCGGCTTACAAAGGCGGACTGTTGCCGCTGGCAGCGGATCTAGGCGATCGTTTGTTGCTGGCGTTCGATTCACCCACCGGCATTCCATACGGTGCCATCAACTTGGAGCGTGGTGTTCTCAAGGGAGAGACAACCGTTACTTGTACGGCGGGTGGCGGTACTTTTGCGCTGGAATTCGGTATACTCAGTCGACTCACCAACAATCCAAAGTATGCGGTCGCTGCGAAACGCGCGGCAAAAGCACTCTGGAAATACCGGTCAGAGTTGGATCTGCTCGGGAATCACATCGATATTGCAACGGGCGAGTGGACAATCAAGGAGTCGGGCATCGGTACTGGTATCGATTCGTTCTTTGAGTACATGTTGAAAGCTGCCATCTATTTCGACGACGAGGAGTACATGCAGATGTTTTTGGATTCGTACAAAGCGATTTTGAAATACATTCGAAAGGATCCCTGGTACATAGAGGTTCACATGAGCAAAGCGATCATCATTTGGCCAATCTACAATTCGTTGCAGTCGTTTTGGCCGGGTCTACAGACGATGGTTGGCGAGTTGGAAGAAGGATTCTCCACCATCAAAGCATTCCACTCGGTTTGGCGAAGATTTGGATTCATTCCCGAAGGTTACAATCTAATGTCTGGAAATGTACAGCCAGGTCAGCGTTCGTACCCACTGCGTCCAGAACTAGCGGAATCGCTCTACTACATGTATCAAACAACCAAAGATCCCGTCTACATAAAAATGGCAAGAGATTTAGTTTGGTCACTTTCCAACTTGACAAGATGTGTAAGTTTTCATTAATTTACAATCATGAAAAAACACATATTAATAATTCTTTTTCATTATAATTTTAGGAATGTGGACATGCTAATATTGCAGATGTGGAACTACATATTTTGGAAGAACAAAATGGAAAGTTTCTTCCTATCGGAAACATGTAAATATTTGTATATGATATTCGACGAAACCAATATGTTTGTGAATGAAACGATTGTATTTAATACTGAGGGTCACATATTCCCGCTGGAGAGTCGATTCTTTGAGAAGGATTACACCGAAGACGATACGAAACCACCACAGTTGGCAAGCGAACAATATTCATCGGCGAGCAACAAACCACAGCAGCAACCGTTATCGATGTTGGAACATCACAAGGAGATTGACGCCATCGAATTCAACTGGCAATGTAAACCACAGTCCTACCTCCGAAAGATATCGGCTGGTGCAATTCAGATTTACGGTGCTAAAAACCTTGAAACTCCATGGTACGAAGATCGGAAACTATTCGATTCAATGTCAAAGTTTACTACTCCCTCTATGTAAATCAACATTCAAAAACAAAAACAAATATAATAAATAATGAATATAAAATAATTCTTATTTACACTTTTAGCAAACTATTTGTATGAAGAAGACCGAAGCGCTTAAAGTCAAAGAGGTGATGCCACCACCATAATGTCGTAGTAGCCATTCATGACATGATAATCTTGATTGTTATTGCTATCTTTATGATTATGATTAAAACTAAAATTGTAATGAAAGAATTATTTGGAGATCACCAATTTTTTTAAAAACAAAAGTTATATTTTATTGATCAAAACCATAGATATACTTTTTATTGATAAAGAATTCACAAGTCGATCTGATCAGTTTTAAATATATTTATTATCTTAAAAACAACAACAAAAGATGATGAATAGTCAAACTTTCAAAAATAGAGATGAATTGTCAGTGCTAACAAAAGATCAACTGTTTAAGATCTGTGTAGATAATAATATAACTGTGAAAAAAAGTAGCAACAAAACATCAATAGTAAATCATATTATCAATGTCAAAGAAGAAAGAGATCGTTTACAAAAGAAATTGGTGGATGACAATCCTTCAAATCAATTTCATCGAGGTCATGTTGAATATAAACTACCAGTGTTGATCATCACAAAGATACTTGAATTAACTTGGCGGATATCAACCAATAATAACCACACTCCTTTATTACCATACCGAGAAGCATTACAACTGACATTAATCAATAAACAATTCTATGGTATCATAAGTCAGATGTTCAACAATGTAAAAATTTGTTTAGTGTAAGTAATAAACAAAGATTATCTTTAAACTGTTAATATATTATATTAAACATTCTTTACCTATGATAATTATTACGTTTAGATCTTCACGAATAGAGGAAGCTCAGGATAGACTTAGCAGTGTATGGTGTCCGATCAAACATATTGTTAAACTTGTTGTCGAAATTCCCATTTTTGAAAGGTTAATGAAACAACCATCTGCTCATCTCACTCATAATTTGTCAGCTGTCGAAAAGGTAGAAATTTATCGTGAAACTGATAGTAAACTATTGTCAGCGACCAGCATCAAAACCTTTGGAACCATCGCCACCAATCTAATATCACTCTCCTTCATTAGAGTGACAATGGTACATTCACACGTGAATGCAATCTGTTCGATTAAATCACTTAGAAAGATAGCAATTTGGTACTCTAAAACTCCATACGCTGCTCTCATAGAGTTATGTAAAGGTTTACCATTACTCGAATCAATCAAAAAGTCAAATCTTAATGTCACTCATATTCCAAAGTTGTGTCGCTCAAGAATGAAACTGCTTTCAGAGGTTTGCTTGGAAGATACCGTTGAAAACTTTGAATTTCCAAATCTTCAAAAGTTAACTCTCGGAAGAATATTCAGAGATTCCACTCTTAACTACTATAAATTATTCTCACAAACCAATATCACACATCTATCGGTTTATTTCAAATCTAATTTGATATCAATCATCATACTATTTCCATGTATCGTCACTCTCGAGGATTTACATTATCATTGTCAATCTGACGGTCCGGTAATGAGCAACCAACTTAAATCAATCATACTACCAGCAACACTATCTCGAATCATCATTCGCACCAAAACCAAAGAAATTTTTGAACCAAACAACTATTTGATTGATATGGGATTTCAATATTCTAAAGATAGTTCATCTCGTAAACATAGAAGAATGATTTTTAATAAAATAATCAATTAATATTAAATGAAATTCTATTATTTTGTTGGTCTGACCTTATGTTTCTCTTTCAATTTTCTTTGATAATTTCTTTTTAATTTATATCTCTAGATAATTATCGAAAAAATTTGATGCAGATCATTTCCCAAAAAAATCTTCTTAAAACTTTATTTTTTTTTGTAAATCTATAAAGAATACTGATAAATGAACATTCAAACATTCACAAATAGAGAGGATATCTCTTTAAATCAGTGTCATAGAGGTCATGTTGAATACAAACTACCAGTGATGATCATCACAAAGATACTTGAATTAACTTGGATGATATCAACCTATGATCAAGAGTTTCCTTTATTATCATACAAAAAAGCATTAAAACTGACACTAATCAATAAACGATTCTTTGGTATTGTCAGTAAGAGGTTCAACAATATTAAACTTCTTTCTCACGCAAAGTAAGTAAGACAAACAAAGATTTCATGTATATCTTGTAATTATTAAACATTCTTTACCCACGATAATTATAAATTATTACATTTAGTTCTTCAATGATGGACGAGCTTCACGATAGACTTACAAATGTATGGTGTCCAATTAAACATATTTTTAAACTACAGGTCGGAATTCCCGTTTTTGAAGAGTTAATGAAACAACCATCTCCTCATCTCACTCATATGTTATCAACTGTTGAAAAGTTACATATTCATCGTGAAACTAATTGTGGACCTTTAACAGAGAACAGCATCAAGACCTTTGGAACCATCGACACCAATCTTCACTCTCTCATTATCAATTCAATATTACTGGATTTTGCACACCTCGATGCAATCTGTTCGATTAAATCTCTTAGAAAGATAGATATTTCCACCACTTTTATGCGTATATCAGATATTCTCGCTGTGTTATGTAACAATTTACCGTTACTCGAATCAATCAAATTGATTTGTTTCAGTATCACCGCTATTCCAATTGCAAGTCGCTCAAGAATTAGAAAGCTTTCATCAGTTTACTTGGATGATACTGATGAAACCTTTGAATTTCCTAATCTTCAAAGAGTAACTGTAGCAAACAAAACCAGAAAACCCAAACCCATCCCCTTCTTTAAATATTTCTCACAATCCAATATCACACATCTATCAGTTTACTTGAAAAGTAATATCGATCAATGGATACCAATCATCATAGAATTAAAGTGTCTGGTCACTCTCGAAGATATAGAATCACATAGTCAATCTGATGGTCAGGAAATGAACAACAAACTTAAATCAATCATATTACCAGCAACACTATCTCGAATCATCATTCGCACCAATTTAACATATTTTGAAGCAAACAACTATTTCATTGATATTGGATTTCAATATTCCAGGCAGAGAATTATACCAATTAGCTTTATTAGAACATTGATTTTTAATAAATTAAGAATCTCTTAATAGAAACCATGAAATAAAAGTGCTATATAGAAATTGCTTATTGTCAGATGATAAATGCATATCAAAACGGTAGAAGCTATATGTAAATGTCTATGTTAAGAGGTTCTTCTTTCTCTTTGGCATTACGTCTGACTGCTTCGTTGAATGTCGTCATTCAATAGCATCTTTATTCGCTTGGTTGACATCTATATGATAACAATTGTTAGCAATGATCAAATTATTTGTTACTATGGTATGTGCAAGATGAGAAACGATGGAATGATCCAGAAAAATTTAGACCAGAACGTTTCCTTGAGGGTTTTAAAGAGAAATACCAAGAGTACTTCCTGGACTAGGACCACGTAACTGTGTTGGAATGAACTTGGCCAACGATGACATTGCAATTTCCAATATCGTGTCAAACTTTATCGTCTCTTCACACGACGGTAAACCAATAGACGATACCTAAACTTTGGTTTGACCCTCAAACCAACCTAATTCCTTTTGAAATTAGACAAAAGATTTTAATAAAAAATATTTTTATCTCCCATCTTTGTGATTTTAGCCAAAAAAATTAAAATAAAAAAAACCCATCCCAAGGAGTATTGTGGGTGATGCACATCATCATTTATAAAAATAAAAATTAAAAATCTAATGTCATCACAGGCGATTGTTCAATCAAAATGAAGACTAGCTGTTTGAATCATCTTTCACTTTATTATCCGTTGTTGTCATTCTAGAATGATTAGTCGATAGAATAAGAATTTAGAAAAAAAAATAAGATGAGGTAAAATGAATCATAGTTATGTGATTATTCATTATTCAATTATAATTGAACTTATTAGAAAATGTATTTGTTTCTATTAATCAAAATTTTATTTGTGGTTTATTGTTTTTATTCATATGTAAGTAGTATTAACAATATAGTTAATAGCAGTACTGCAAAACTAACTTTTCATAATGATTATATTTTAATATAGGTATCAAAATTGCGAAAGTTCTCTGATCATGACCCTAAAGGACCATCAGTTTTACCAGTGTTAGGTAATCTTCACCAACTAGGTAAATCTCCACATATCACTTTGATGAATATGACTAAAACCTACGGTGATGTATTTAAGTTTTGGATGGGTGATGTAAGTATAAGTAATTAGTTTTTAACTCTGATATTATTATGATTATAACGATTGACTAATTTTTTTTTCATTTTTTATTAAATGTTTAGTATTATACTATTGTTGTAAATGATCCTGTGATTGCAAAGCTCATTTTGGTTACCAATGTTCATAACTTTTTAAATAGAATTCAAAACCCAACATTTGCAATCGCTAGCAATCACTATCAAAACTTTGGTGAGTGCCAGAGATGAGCGTTGGTATCACAATCGTAAGTTGGTTGCAAATTCATTCACAAAAACAAAACTACGTTCCACAGTCGCAGTTATGGAGAAACAATCTGAGCTCTTTATTTCAATGATGTCACAGTTTCAAAAATCAGGTGAACCCGTAAGTTTATTAAATCACTAATAATAGTTAATTGTCTAATAGTAACCAATTGTTCTATTCAATAATATTTATAGTTTTCACCAATGAAATATTGCAAGAAATATGCATTGAATATTATCTTTAGTATTGTATTTGCCGATGAGATTCCATACGAGGAGGGTGTTGATGAAGGTAGATTAGGAATGTTGGTTGGTTGGATCGACCAAATATTTAAAGTCGGTGGTGCTGGCTCATTATTTGATTACATAACCATTATTCAACCATTGTTTTACGGTTTCAAGAAATTCGTTATTGGAACTGAAATGGATCCAGTTTACAACTTTGTAGCAAAGATTTATGATGAACATTTTGAAACATTAGATAGAAACAAGTAAGTTTTATATATAAATTTTTTTATTTTTCCTGTTAAAACTAAACTAATAAATTTATTGATTAAATAGTCCACGTGATTTATTAGATGTTTTAATTATTGATTCAGAAGGTAAAGATAGACATGGTGTAATTGCAGTATCAATTGACTTTTTACTTGCTGGAACAGATACTAGTGCAACTACAATCGAATGGTTCCTTTTGTTCATGGCTAATAATCCAGATGTTCAAGAAAAGATTGGAAAGGAATTGAAAGAGGTTGTTGGTGTAAATGGAAATGTTACTTTGGCCAACAGGAATAACACTCCATATCTGGTTGCAGCCATCAAAGAAACACTGAGAGTAAGACCTGTCGGACCATTTGGATTACCACGTCAAACCAGAGAATCAATACTATTGAACGATCAAGTATTCATTCCAAAAGGTGCTCAGATTCTTATCAATTTCTATGGATTAGCACATTCAGAGAAGCATTGGAGCGAACCAGAGAAGTTCCAACCAGAACGTTTCATGGGAGCATCAAACGAAGAAAAACATGCTGACTTTTACCTACCATTCAGTGCAGGACCACGTAATTGCGTAGGAATGAACTTGGCCAACGATGAACTTTACCTTGCAATTTCCAATATCATGTCAAATTTTGTAGTCTCTTCATTCGACGGTAAACCAATTTATGATGTCGAAGAATATGGATTGACAATTAAACCTCAACCATTTTTATTAAAATTAGATAAAAGAATTTAAATAAAACAAAATAATAAATGTAAAATTTAGTTCAAGAGTAAAGTAAGTAAAGAAACAATGATTATCGTTAAATTCATTGTTATTAAACATTCTTTACAATGTAGTGTATGGTTTCCAATTAAACATATTGTTAAACCACAGATCACAATTCCAGTTTTTGAACAGCTAATGAAACAACCATCTCATCTCACTCATATTCTATCAACTGTTGAAAAGTTACATATATGAATTCATCGTGAAACTAATTGTGCACCTTTAACAGAGAACAGCATCAAAGAGTAACCGTAGCGAGCAACTCCAGAGAATCCAAACCCATAAATATTTCTCACAATCCAATATCACACATCAGTTTACTTGAAAAGTAATATCGATCAAAGGATAGCAATCATCATAGAACTAAAGTGTCTGGTCACTCTCGAAGATATAGATTCACATAGTCAATCTGATGGTCAGGAAATGAACAACAAACTTAAATCAATCATACTACCAGCAATACTATCTCGAATCATCATTCGCACCAATGTAACTTTTGAACCAATCAACTATTTTATTGATATAGGATTTCAATATTCCAGGCAGAGAATTATACGCTTTGTTAGAACTTTGATTTTTAATCGGTATAAATATGAAAATAAAAGTTAACTTTATACCGATCATGCATCATTAAGATACAGTAAAAATACTATTTTTTTGCCACTTACTATCAAACTAATAGATAGAAATATATTTATTTGATCATTTTATTTTATTTTTTAAATCAAACAAAATTTTTTTTAAAAAAAAAAATAGATTTTTGAAAGGGACAAATTTGGTATTGTTTGAAAACAAGATAATTATTTATTTTATTTTATTCTTTAAAAATAATAAATTTAATGCAATATTATATATATTTACAAGGTCTATAGCAGAGATACTAAGACAAAGAATAATAGATAGTTTCAATAGAGGTGACTCTAAAGAACAGATAGATCGAACTTTGGAGTTAGTAGAGGAACAGTATTAAATACAATCAAAAGATTCGAATAAATAGAATCTTTGAAAGATAGAGTAAGAACAGGTAGACCAAGAATATTCAGTGACAGAATCAGAAGAGCAATAGTCAGATTATTGTTAAATCGAGAATGTATGACCGTTTCACAAGTGCAACAATGTATCGAGAGAAGATTCAATAGGCTCGTTTCTATTAGACAGATTCAGAAAATAATCCATCTTAACTCGCTTAGTTTGATTCAATTGTCGACTCATCGGTGAATATACAGTGCTTGACCAATGGAATTAGTTTCTCCACTACTTGAAATCTTTGCTTGTCCCACGTCGTATGTAAAGAAATATTTACAATGTCCAATACTACAAACTGCTTTTCTGGATCCATTGTCCAGTGACGATGTTCTTTGGCGAAAGCCAACCTTGCCTTGATTGCAGCCGGTGTCAAATCATGTTTTTTCGACATATATTCATGTATTCACCGATGAGTCGGCAATTGAATCAAACTAAGAATTTAAAATACGTAGAATAAAAATTAATTTGTTAACATTAATCAATACCCTTTTTATTATTATTCCCAGTTTGGTGACTGGTTCGACTGGTTCTGCTCATGTATACCTTTTATCTTAAAACTGTTTTATAAAACCCATTATATTAATATTTTTAGCTAGTGACCTTCAATAGTATTAAAAACTATTTTAAAAAAATCTCCCTCTCCCTTTTGAATTATCAAAAATTTTTTTCTAGAAAAGTCACTTTGGACTCAGGCACTTTTTTTTTTTTTTACATCTATTTTCTAAACTTAATAGTTTAAATATTTAGTTAACAAATAAACCAAAGTTCACAAAACAAAATGAATAATCAAACATTCACAAATTATAATAGAGATGAATTGAAAAAATTAAAAAAAGATCAACTACTTAAGATTTGTTTAGATAATAATATAACTGTGAAAAAAAGTAGCAACAAAACATTAATAATAGATGATATTATCAATATCAAAGGAGAAAGAGATCGTTTACAAAAGAAATTGGTGGATGACAATCCTTCAAATCAATTTCATCGAGGTCATGTTGAATATAAACTACCAATATTGATCATCACAAAGATACTTGAGTTAACTTGGATGCAAGCGACCTCTGACCGCATCACCCTTATATCTTCATACCGACAAGCATTACAACTGACATTAATCAACAAACAATTCTTTGGTATCGTAAGTCTGATGTTCAACAATGTCAGACTTCGTTCAAAAGAAAAGTAAGTACAATAACAATGATCATCATATCATTGTTAAACTTTCATAATTCATTGTTATTAAACATTATTTTCCTTTATTAGAAGTAGATCTTCACCTTCACTCATTGGAAAGGATCTTAAAGATAGACTTACCAGTGTATGGTGTCCAATTAAACATATTGTTAAACTAAAAGTTGGAATACTCATTTTTGAACAGTTAATGAAACAAAACTCTGCTCATCTCACTCATATTCTATCAACTGTTGAAAAATTAAATGTTGTGCGTGAAACTAAAATCGAAAATATAAAAGAGAACTGCCTAAAAACTTTTGTAAAGATCGCCACCAATCTTCGCTCGCTCTGTCTCTATCGCGTAAAAGTGGAACCTTCACACCTGATTGTAATCTGTTCAATTAAATCACTTAGAAAGATAGATATTTCCCACACCTTTAGTGACATACCTGATTTTCTCACAACCCTATGCAATGGTTTACCTTTCTTAGAATCGATCAAATCGGGATATTTTCATGTCACAGATATTCCAAAGTCGTGTCGTTCAAGAATTAAAAAGATTGGAGTTAAATTGGGGGAGACCGAAGAAACCAAAACTGATGAAACCTTTGAATTTCCAAATCTCCAAAAGCTATCCGTCTATATCTACTCCCGTCCCGTTTTCTTTAAATATTTCTCACAATCCAATATCACACATCTATCTCTATTTTTAAATAATCAATTAGAATTCGATCAATGGATAGCAATCATCATAGAATTAAAGTGTCTGGTCACTCTCGAGGATTTAATGTATCATCGTCAATCAGATCGCTATTTTATATACAAACTTAAATCGATTATACTACCAGCAACACTATCTCGAATCATCATTCCCTCCAACACCAATGAAGTCTTTAGAGCAAACAACTATTTGATTGATATTGGATTTCAATATTCCAGAGATCTTGATCATTCAGATATCCACATTAGAAGAATGGTTTTTAATAAATTAACAATTTAATTAATACAAAGAAATAAAAATAAGTTGAAAATAATAATTTAATATATGTTTAAAATAAAAGAAATCTTATTGTGATTAATTCATTCTAAAACCCTGTAAGGTATATGTATTCTTTATTTCTCTGAAGTTATTAATAAAAACTACCAAAAATACTAGACACTTTAAAACGCCACAAATAAAATTGTGTCTATTATTTTCAAACAGACTTTTCACTAGTATTTTATTATCTGTTTGAATTAAATGTTTAAATAGTAACAGAATGAATAATCAAGTTAATTGACAGTGCTAACAAAAGATCAAATCATTCTGTGAGAAAAAGTAGCAACAAAACATGATCCCCACATTGTCGGTTTTTTCATACCAACAAGCATTACAACTGAAATTAATCAACAAACAATTCTTTGGTATCATAAGTCAGATGTTCAAGAATATTAACATAGAGCAATAGAAAAGTAAGTAAGAAACAATGATTATTGTATAAACTTTAAATTTATTGTTTTTATTATACATTCCTTGACCTTTGATAATTATTATATTTAGATCAAGAATGAAGGATCTTCACCATAGACTTATTAGTACATGGTGGCCAATAAAACATATTGTTAAACTTCAAGTCTCAACTCTCGTTTTTGAAAAGTTAATGAAACAACCATCTTCTCATCTTTAATAGTGAACAGCTTAAAAAGGTTCTCGTTTGAAAAAGTAGATTAATTTTTTTTTATTTTTTTTGGAAATTTTTTAGATCTTTTTTTCTCTTTTGTATAAAAACAAGATTTAAGACATGTAGATAATAATTAACGAAATTTCAAACATTTCATTATCAATGGATGAAATTAGCAATATTAATGAAGAAAGAGATCGTGTGCAAAAGAAATTGATCGATGACAATCCTTCAAATCAATTTCATCGAGGTCATGTTGAATACAAACTACCAGTGTTGATCATCACAAAGATACTTGAATATAGTTGGAGGATATCAACCTCTAATCACATCAATACTGCATTAGCATACGAAGAAGCATTACAACTGACATTAATCAACAAACAATTCTTTGGTATCGTCAGGAAGATGTTCAACAATGTCGCACTCCTAGTAAAGTACGTAAAGAAACTAAGATTATCGTAAAACTTTCAAATATATTTTCACTATTACTAAAAAATTCTTTACCTATGATAACATTACCTATAGATCTTCAAGAATGGCTGTTCTTCACAATAGACTTAACAGTGTATGGTGTCCAATTAAACATATTGTTAAACTTCATGTTGGAGCTCCTATTCTTGAAAAGCTAACCAACCAACAACAATCTGTTCATCTCACTCATATGTTATCAACTGTTGAAAAACTATATATTCATTATGAAACTCATGTCGGATCTTTAACAGTGACCAGTCTCAAAAACTTTGGAACGATTGCCACCAGACTTCGCTCGATTACGCTTTTTTCAGTAACAATAGAACCTGCACACCTCGATGCAATCTGTTTAATGAAATCACTTAGAAATATAAACATTTCCATACCTTTTCTTCCAACAGCTGATTTTCTCACAACCTTGTGTAACAATTTACCATTGCTGGAATCAATCAAGTTGATAAATTTTGATGTCGCTAGCATTCCAAAGTCGTGTCGCTCGACAATAAGAAAGCTTTCAGGTATTTGCTTTCGAGAAACCGATGAAACCTTTGAATTTCCCAATCTCCAAAAGTTAACCGTCCCAGAAATCTCCAGAAATCCCGATTGCAGCTTCTTTAAATATTTCTCACTCTCCAATATTACACATCTATCTGTTTATCTGAAAAGCAATATGGATAGATGGATACCAATCATCATACAATTAAAGTGTCTGGTCACTCTCGAAGAGTTGGAAACTCATAGTCAACAATATGATAGAAATAAAATTAACAACCAACTTAAATCAATCATACTACCAGCAACACTATCTCGAATCATCATTAGCACGCACGAAAATTTTGAACCAATCAACTATTTGATTGATATTGGATTTCAATATTCTAGAGATGCTCTTCATTTCTCCAAATATAATTCAGCCTATTATTATAGAAAATTGTTTTTTAATAAAATAACAAATAATTAATATTTTTGATTTAAATTATTTTTTTTAATTAAAATATTCCACTCACAAACTCACCCAACTTTATTATCCATTCAAATCTATCAAGTAAACTTACTTGATTGTCTTATATTTTTATTACAAACTCTTTAACCATATAAATAATAATACTATAACTATCTATCCATTATTAATAGTTTAGTTTTTTTTGCTTACAATCAATCATCGTTCAACCTACAACTCTACATCATCCAACTAAATGCATACCAAAGCCAAAGCCAATACCAAATATAAAAAAAATACACCTATACAACCAAATAGGAATAAGAAAAAGAATCTATTCCCTTTCAATGCCTCTCCTTTATTTTTTGTTTTCTCTTCCAAACTTGTTTAATAAGAGTACTATAAGATTGATTAATCTATAGTAATCAACAATATAAAATTAAGAAACGAAATATTATTACTATTTTGAATATTGTTATAAACATAGTTGTTTTAACTATAGTTATTCATATTATTGATCTATTTAATACAAATATATAGATATAAAAATTAATTGAAAATATGACTGTAAATATTAATAGTTTAATATATTTTTAAATAACAAGTTAAATAGATGTAAATATAAAGGTGTAATCACAATAAACACTTTAAAAGGTGTTATATTTACAGATAGCATCTGTATAAACATCGATTTATGTTCAGAAGAAATTTTTACAAAATGAAACGTTGGTGTCATTTTTTTTTTTTTTTGACAACGTTTGTGCACAAGTCATGCGTGGTAAAAAAATTCCACTTTCCAAAACTGTTTATATGCAAACCCAAAAAAAAAAAGTTTTTTTGAAGTCAAAAGTCTTACGTGGTAAAATGATTTGTGAATTTTTCACCCAAAAAAATGATTAACCTAAAATTAATTTCTTTCATTTATGTCACAAAGTATTTATATTGACTAATTTATGCCAATTCCATATAAATATTTTAAAAAAAATTCTCAAAAAAAGGACCCTCAATATGATTGATCTATAAGAAAACTATCTAAATCAGACCAAAAATGGAAGCATTAATTCTAGATTTTTATCAAAGAGCCTTTGGATATGACTTATAGGCCTACTCTTAATCAAAGAAGCAATGATCACACAACAAACATTCACATATCATTAAAAAATAAACAATAAAACAACGACTGCATATCATCACTGTCACCATCAAATTTCATTCTAAACACACAACTTGATTTGTATCTCAGCCAAGCCCAAGAATGAGTGTAATCCCTTGCAATATTGTATAAGAACTGCAGTTGATTGGGGATCTCACTTCAAAACCTAATCACAAAAAAATCAAAACATTGTTTATGAAAAAAATTTTATTAACAAACCTATTGTGTCAAAGATCATCAGACACTCATTCTCAGAGTTGATGTTAACCATAATTATATCATAGACCCCACAAATTAGGTGAAACATCACAGGCTTCTATCATCCACACTAATTCTTATTGGATTCTTGTGGTATTTTGTGTTCTCAAAAAGTATTTAAAATGTGATGATTCAGCTTTATATATCATTATTCAAATTACCCATTAAACAACAACAACAACAACGATAATTCTATATTTGTAAAATTCATATTCTGTACAAATACAATTATTTTATATCTGTTTTATTACCTCATAAATATCTATAAATCAACTTTAAAAAATGACATTACCAGAATCTATCTCAGGTTGGTTCCAAATCTCCAACAAAGAAGATTGATTTCATGTTTCAACTCAATGATGCCGATGAAAATCAAGTTACAGTAGTTTACTTTGGTCAACCAAATTGTATTGCTTGCGATTTGGTCAGAGATTTTATGAGAGCCTTACCAGGTAGATACCCAAATGCCGTTTTCTTCCAAGTTCCATTTGGTTCCCCAGTTACTGTTGATTGTATGTGGGCCAATGATGTTGCAATCTATCCATTCGTCAAGGTCTTCAAGAATTTCTCCACAGTTCAAAAATGTATGGGTTACGTTACTGGCTCTGGTACTACTATGATCGATGATTTAATCAAGACACACTACCAGTAATTAATAATAATAATAGACTTATCACAATCACAAATTTATAATAAAATAAACTTTAAAAACCCTTTTGACATTATATCGTTCACCATAAATATAATATTCACAGTCTTATTTATTAATCACTAACACTTATTAGGTTTAATTTCATTGAATTGGTAGATTTAGAAAGAGGATTATTATACTCTATTTGAAAATCTTTTAAGTTATTATAGGTTATAATAGGAAGACGTCGTGGTGACGATGGTCAATGAGATAGCACAGCAATCGCAAGGCCAGACACTCCACAAGCGTACCGACTCTACGAAATCATATACATCACTCGCCAGTTCCTATCCTTCATCGCCAAGATCCACTCCACCTTTGTGTAGATTATAGTATCAAACCATCTCACGCAACTAATATTGGGTACTGTCATTAACAAATTGTTTGGAAATGAAGTTGCATTTACATTTATCATAATGTTGAAAGCATAGGTAAGTACTGTATATGCCTTATAATACATTAATTCCCAGAACTATATTCATTCTAATGAAACGTTCAAACTCATCATCGAAACACTCTCAATGAATGACAAATGTTTGTTTGGTTTATTTTTATTCGCTTCATTAGAAGCAGATATACTTTTATTGGTCGCTTCCGATATGCTTGCCTTAAGTTGTGGTGTAAAAATGCGGTTAAAGATATTTGTTTCGTCAAATCCAGAGAGACAACCTTCTGATGTAATGATAGGACTTCCTTTTTTTCTAAAGAATCCTTATCCAATGGCTTAGATGTTGTGGAATAGTTTTCTATTGGTTTATATGGTTCTTTTTTCTTAGAATTACTCTTCACTTGTTCGGTGATGGGCTTTGGTTCGTTGGTGGTAGGCTGTTTGGGTTTTGGTTCGTTGTCGGTAGATTGTTTAGGTTTGGATATTTTACAGCCACATCCCTTTCTTTTTCTATCTGTGATATATATTAATTATTATGATTATAATCATTAATGTTAATAAAATACGTACTACACTATTTGCAAATCTGTTCTCTTACCGGTGTTATCAAAGAGTTTGTTTTGGGTTCTTTGGGTGATTCACCATTATTGTATATATTGACGACACCGCCATTGTAATTATTGTACTCATGATATGAGTTAATAAATTTTTGTATTTAATAAATGTATTTTTTAAATTAAAAATTTGATGATCAACCAACACACTTTTTTTAATAATAAATTCCTGATTTATTCAAGCAAATTTATTTATAATAGAAATTAAAATGGATGAATTAGTATGTAGTACTTATAAATAATTTAGATAGATTATATTTGTTGGTTATTTATTAATAAAGATGAATATCTTATATTACTTATCATATATTATAATAGGAATTACTTAGACAGAGGTTAGTCTCTGTTCAGAAGGAACAGACATCACAGAAGCTATCGGAGCGTAACTGCATTGAGATCATCTCAAAGATGATCGAGTTGAAGATGATCGATATGATCAATACCAGCGGTGGCAAAGAGTTTGTCACACCGAAGCAGCTGGAGAATGAGATTCGCGATGAAATTCTCGCATCGGGTGGTCGTGTAGTGGTGAGTGACTTGCAACCGCTGCTCAAAGTCGATCTCACATACATACAGGAGAAGGTCAATTACATCGTCTCTAGAGATAGATCGATGCAACTCTACTACGGTGAGATACTTACACGTTACTACTTGGATTCCGTTGTCGAGGAGATTCATGAAACCCTACAGGAAGTCGGTAGATTGGATATCAACGATCTATCGCAGCGATTCAACTTGAACGTTGAAATCCTGAGTGATGCAATCAACCTCAGACTTGGTAAACTCATCCAAGGTGTATTCGACTCTGATATCCTCTACACTCAAGCACATGTAAACAGACATAAATCAAAGGTTTGTGGATTATTTACATCTGTTACAAAGTATGTATAATTGTATAAACATAAAACATAACAATTATAATCTTTATATACTAATAACATAATATAAACATTATATATACATTAAATAGACCAACAAATATATCAAGTCTTTGTAAACAATATCAAATGAATGAAAGATTATTCCATTGTTTGTATTATTCATAATAATAATGATCAATCTATTTATCTATTTTATCTAACTTTAGAGTTGTTTACTTTTATATAAATTACAGCACAATTAGCGGAATTGATACAATCTAAAAGAATCAATGGTCAGATACAAGGAAAAGCATCACAAGCAGAATTTATTCCAACAATATTCTCACAAAGTCGTTCAAAGTGGATAGATTCATTCTTTACTCAAAACTCTTATATTCAATACTCGACACTTACACAACTACAAATACCAGATCCAACATCATACTTGAAGAATACCTACAAGAATGGTGTTGCTCTCTCATCTTGTTTCGTAAGTGGCTATATCATTGAGAATGTCGATTCTTTCATCACTGAGATCATTGCTAATTCTGGTTGGATGGATGTATCGGTAAGTAATCATTTATTAACTAATAGTTGTAAATTAACTAGTTAATTAGCTAATTAATGTTATTGTTTATCTATTCTATTGTTGTTAGACATTGGTACCATCGTCATTGGGTAATAAGGACGTCGCCATGGTAATCGATAGTTGTCCTGCGATGAAAGATAAGAATAATCGTCAGGCTATCGTGTTGAATGACTTCTTTATTGTCAGTCAATCGTTTGTCGACCGTTGTTTCGTGTTGTTGGAGAAGATGATTCAAACGAAAGTAGAGAAACAAGCGATCATTCAAGAGAGCATTGCAACCAGTAGTGGTACTACAGCAACATCACAATCACAATCGAAACTATCAGATTCTACCGATTCCACTTCTTCAAAGTCAAGCGGTAAACAATCGGGTGGTGGTGGTGGAAAGAAATCTAAACAACAACAGATTGAAGATGAGAGACCAACCAAACAAAAAGGTGGAAAGAAAGGTGGTTCTAAAAAAGGTGGTAAGAGAACAAATGATGATAGTGATGATGAAGATGACTTTACATCATCAAAACAACAACAACAATCAAAGAAAAAGACATCTCAAACACCAAAAGTTGATCATTTATCAGATGTAAGTAATAATAATAACTCCATAGTTTAAAAGATGACAACTAATCTAATTTAAAATGTATTTTGTTAGATTATTCAAATTCTCACTAAATCATTTGAGAATATGGAGGAAGAGTTGATTCAAGCGTTGGCTCAATATCTTAGACCAAAGGTCAATCAGATTTGGGAGACACTGGTGAAGGAAGCCAAAGAGAAACTAGAGACAGAGACAATCAAATCGAGAAAAGGACAACAACAAGAGTTGGCCAATGCATTCAATACACTCTACCAGAATGCACTGCTTTTCAAAAAGGGTTTGGAAGATCTCGATCCGGCATCGACCGTCCTCCATAAGCATTTGCTGAAGACCGTCTGTACAAACTTGGCCAACCTCGTAGTAGAGATCAACGGTTCCTACCACATGGTTGAAAACTGTAATTGCGATACTCCCGCTCAGAGATCCGCCGTTATCTCTCAACTTCCAACTGCCATCGCCAAGAATCTAGAGAAACTAATTAAATGTTTAACCAAAGATGTAAGTAATCTATTAAAACTACAACTTTGTTTATTTACCTATCTTATCTTGTTTAAACATTATTTATTTCTAGACTGTCAATGATTTTATGGATACTTTAGAATCGGTTTGTGAACAATCTCAAATACATTTGAAATCATTAGATAAGAAATCTGAAAAGTAAGTATTGTGTAACATACTGTGTATAGTAATCTTATTCTAATTTAATACAATGTTTTAAATAGGAATCTGTTGGAAAGTCATCAAAAGGAATTATATGAACAATTACAAAATGATCAGGATATCGGTAATCAATTCCAAGCGATCGTTTTACTACTTTACATTAAATACAAGAAGCATTTGGTACATATTTCACCTAGATCCATTGGAACATTGGTACAGACACTCAGCCAACAAGAATTGATACCGGATCAACAACTTCTCAAAACACTCACTGAAGCGCAACAAGATGTCGTTAACTTTATCATCAACAAATCCGAGAAGAAAGAAGACGAAGAATCACTCACCAAGAAATTAGATATTCTAAAGAATGCACTTCATGTTCCAACATCAACAACAACTACTTCCTCTTAAAATATTTTAAATTATAATAAATAAAAAAAGAAAGAATATAACAATGTGTTTTAATACAATTATTACTATTATTAATTACTATTATTATGCTTATTTTTACAATTATTTATTTAATAATTGTTTTAATTTAATGGTTGTTGTTATTTAAATTATATTTAACAATTATCTTAATAGATTTTTGAGTAGCAACACAATACAAACTATTTTAGTGTTTTTAGTTTGCTTCTTGTTGTTGATGCTGATGTTGATGTGGTTGGCGACGACCACCTTCACCTCCACCACCACGGCTGTTGTTTCCATTATGACGACGACCACCACCTCCATCACCACTACCACCACGTCTATTTCCTCTTCCGTTTTGTTGGTGTGTATTTCTTGATCTTGCCTTTGCCAATGCTTCGTCTACACTATTTACATCATATACAGGTGCTGGATGTTGATGATTATTCTCTTGTTTCTTCCATGGATTGTTTGGATCTTCTTGTTCTTTCTTTGTGTTTGATCTTCTACTGTTATTAGACTTTCCACGTCTACTATTATTGTTTTGATGTGACTGTTGTTGTTGTTGTGGTTGTTGTGGTTGTTGTTCATTATTCTCTGAGCTTGCTGTTGATGGTTGATGTTGTTCTGGTGCTTGTTCTTGTTGTTGTTCATGTGATTGATCATTATTATTACTATCTGGTTTTTCTTGTTGTGTGTTGTTACTCTCAGTTGTTTGTTGTTGTTGTTGATTTCTTGTTGATTTATTTTGATTTCTTGTTCTTCTCTTATTGTTACTCTTGCTTTCTGTGTTGTTGTTGGCAGTAGAAGTTGTTGAAGTTGTAGTAGTACTTGCTGAATCTTGTTGGTGTGCTTGTGGAGCATGGTGATGATGAGTTGTTGTCGATGGAGCTGGTTGTTTCTTACTGTAAAGCGACGCTGCTTTCTCAGCGGATGTAACAATACCTTTGATCATAGCCGATGAGAATCCGTTGTGTTCCATCTGGTTGAGACCGGCAATCGTACAACCCATTGGTGTAGTTACCTTATCGATTTCATACTCTGGATGGTAACCACCCTCCAGCACCAAAGTAGCAGCTCCCTTGGCAGTCTGAGCGGCAATCTTGATGGCATCTTCTGCGTGGAATCCAATCTCGATTCCACCCTGACTGGCAGCACGAATCGCACGGAAGAAGAAAGCAATTCCACAGGCGCACAACGCTGTCGCAGGAACGATCTGTTCCTCCTTCAGCACAATGCAATTACCGAGGACGTTAAAGATCTTCTCAGAGATTGCCAGTGCTTGATCTTTGCGCTCCTCGATCTCGGCGCGACCCGCAACATGGTGTGTGCCACGCACAGCCAAGCAGGTCATCGACTGGCAGTATTGGATAGCGGTGTTTGGCATGGCACGGACAATCGCCACACCGGAACTACCGAGTTTCACACTGATATCGTCGATCGACGCACCAGAGACAACGCTAATCACCACGTGATACTTTGGATTGATGACTGATCTGATCGATTCTAGCAGTGAGTCGAGTTGGGCGGGTGTCACACACACAATGACAACCTTTGATTTCTTGACTGCGAGGTTATTGTCAGCGGTAACTTGGAATCCTTTCGATCCCATCGACTTTTCCAGTGATTCGGTGTTACGCTTGGTCAAGATGATCTGATTAGATTTGTACAGACCGGAATTAACCAATCCATGAGCAATCGATAGACCTATATTACCACAACCCAAAACAGATATAGAATGTTGTTCAGTTGTCATTTATTATGTTTATTTATAAATTATGTAAAATTGTTATATATATATATAAAAGGTTATTATATTTTGTTTGACTATTATTATATTATTAATTATAAAATGGCAATATTGTTAATAAATTCAAAGCAAATGTGTGGTTTTTTTTTTTTTTTTGGAAACAAAAAATAATTAATTATAATGGTCAAACCAAAAGTCATCCTTTTTTTTTCATCCTACAAAATATTTTGTATATCCATTTTTATTTATTATGGAGAAAAAAATCGGATTAATTTAAATTAAGATTTTTATAATTTTTCAAAAAAAAAAAAAACTGAACAACTTAAAACTTATTTATTTGACCTTTAACTGGTAACTGTTTACCAGTGTACACTGCAGCCAATCATAAAAATTATGTACTTATAAAAATTTATGTTGAATCTTAAAAAGGATATTCCAATAAGCTAATTTTGAATGTTCATATTAATTTGAAAAAATTGATTAGAATCTAAATTAGAAGATTTTTGAAAATCAATTTATCTAAAACAAATTAAAAAAATAATAATAATCTTTTCTTTTTGTTTTTTTATAATAATTATTTGTTGCTGTGTTAAAGTGAAAAGTGAAGTGGTGTTGTTGCAAATATAATATTTAATTAAATTGTTTTTATTTTTATTTATTTTTTTGATTTTATTGTTTTTTTTTTCATTAATAGTTTAATATTTAATAATATTAAATTTAATTAAATTATTTTTATTTTTTTTATTATTTTTTTTGATTAATTTAATAAGCAAAGCAAACAAAAACACTTACTTATTATAGTTATTATTATTATTATTATTTATGAAATATATAATATTTATAAAACAATAACAACAATAATAAATGTCAAAGAATGATAATAATGCACAAGCAACGATATCTCTTGAACGGTCATCGAGAGAGGAGTTGGTCGATTTCATAAAGAAACAGGCACTACATATTAAGAAACTTGAGAACGTCTGTCAGAAGCTAAAGAAAGACAATGCAGAGACCACTGCAAAGATGAACAATCTCGATGAGGAGAAGACTCAACAGAAACAAATGTCCATCAATATCATCAATGGCATGCAAGAGGAGATCAACACACTCAAGCGTGAACGTGAGCAACTCGACGAGCAAACAGAAGCGAGATTCCAAATGGAGAGAAACATCTACATCGAAGAGAGCAAGAACCTGCAAGCCAAACTATTGGATCATCAATCGAAACTACAACAACAACAAACCATTATAGATAATCTAAAGAACGCAACTAGCAGTATGAAAGAGAACAGTGATAATCTATCTGCTGTAATCAAAGAGAATGATAATCTACAATTGAAACTAGTAGAGTTACAATCAATAATTGATCAACTGAACATAGAAAAGAAAGAGAATAATAGTAATAATAATAATGAACAAGAAAAAGTAAAAGTAAAGGAGGTCGAAGAAGAAGATGATGATGATGATGAAGAAGAGGAGGAGGAGAATGAAGTTCAAATTATGGAAAGAAGAAATAAGATGATGGAGGAATACAAGAGATTATCAAAGGAGAAGGAGAAGGAACAGGAGGAGAAGGAACAAGAGTTAAATGAACGATTGGCAGAGATTAATAAAGATTATATGAGTGATTACTCAAAGTTTATGGAGGAGAAGGAGAACACCATTGAGTTCCTCAATTCACAGAGAGTCGAGATCGAACAGCTACTTCAGCAATACTCAAAGGAGATGGACGAGTTGAAGCTGGAGGTGTCATCGAAATCAGAGGAGATAGCAACGCTCACACAACGACGTGATACCAATCAGAGTGACATAGTCAAGCTGAGAGATGACATCGAGAAGCTAAACGAACAACTAACCGATAGGGATACCATAATCAAGCGATTGGAGGTAGATGCCAACGATCAACAACAATCACATAAGCTAGAGATAGATACAATGAACAATGAAATTATCAAATTACAATCTGAATTGAAAGAACAACAACAGCAACAAGAACAACAGCATCTTCAACAACAGCAACAACAGGATGGTAATCAACAAGATCAAGATGATAATATTGATAATGATAGAATAATAAGGTTGGAAGAAGAGTTGAAAGAAAAGAATAGTCAATTGGTTAGATTAGAGAGTGAAGTGGTGAAGTTGGATGATTTGAATTTGAAGGTGTCAGAGTTGGATACAGAGATAAAGCATAAAGATGGTGAAATTACTAGACTTTTAGAAGAGATTTCTTTGAAATCAGAAGATATCAAGAAATTACATCAGGAGATTGAAAATCAAAATAATTCAATTCAACAACAACAACAACAACAGCAACAACAAGATAATAATAATAATAATACAATTACCAATCAATTGATAGAGAAAGATAATGAGATAGAGAGAATCAACAGTTTGATAGCGAATAAAGATGAAGAGTTACAAAGAGTTAATAATCAGCTGGATGAAAAGTCAGGTCTATTGGAGATTAGAGATAAGGAGATCGTTACACTGACTATCTGTGTCAATGAATCAAAAGCATTGATAGAGAAAACACTGGAATCATGTAAAGTAGAGATACTGGAGAAGGAGAATGCTCTTCAGGCAACAACAGCAGAGTTGTCAGAGATTCGCGTGGAGTTGGAACAAAAGACATCGGAGATCGAGCAGATGCAGCGGGATTTGGGTGAGAAAGACAATGCAATTCGTTCACAGTCAAATAAGAACGATATTAAAGTGGAGGATGAGAAGCGATTGAACGAGAAGGTTTTGAAGCTGAAGAATCTGTTGGTCGCAGCACAGAAGCATGTTTCCGATCTGAAGAAACAGATCGCCGACAAGACACAGGAGTTGCAAGACAAGACCGGTGAGCTGGCTGTTGCAACGGATCGCGTCAAACAACTCGAGTCGAACCGAGACGAAGTGGAGTCGAATCACAGTGAGTACTTGGAGATGAAGCGTAACTACAGTTTCAACTTACAGAGAATTCAGTTTTTGGATGGTCAGTTGTCAAGCGCCACTCAGTCGCTGAAAGCGATACAGGAGGAGTTTGACGACTACAAGGTTAAGGTTCATCACGCTCTCAAGCAACAACAGAGCACTGAGCAAGTGGAGCAAGATGGAGACGACGATCAACAGCAGTCAGCTGCCAATGCAGCAGCAGAGATGGAAGCTGCACTCGCCAAACAACAACAGCATTTCCAAACTGAAAAAGAGCAAGATAGAGAAACCATTATCAAGTTGGAAGCATCCATTTCCACTATTCAAAGAGAGTCGTTGGTTGAACTGGAAAAACTTCAATCTGAACTCTCAGAGAAACAAGAAAAGATCGATCAATTATCTTTACAGATAACAGAGCTTTCTCAAACTGTTCAACAACTAAATGATCGACTTGATTCAACAACTGTATCTTCAGATTCAAACAACGATTCTCAATCACAACAACAACAAACAAATGACCTTGAGAAAGAACTGAAACTAAGGGAGGAAAGAATCATAGAAATTCAATCACAACTAAACTTTTTCAAGAGAAACAATAATAGTTTAATGAGAGAAAAAGATAGATTAATTGAAGAACAAAGACAATCTATTAGTGTATGTTTATTATTATTATTTAACAAATTGATAAATCTAATTAACAAAATATTTAATATTAAACAATAATTTTAGAAACTAAAAGAAGAATTGGAAACATTAAAACTAAATAATAATAATAATAATAATAATGAGAAACCAAAATTACAATCACCTATACAACCATTAAACTCAACAGTAAATACACCACAGCTTATTGAAAATGAGTCATCACAGTCAATAGATATTGAACAGGGTAACAATTTCAGTATTGAACATCTTTTGCCAACAACCAATACCACACCAAAAGAGGACAGTTTCAAATCTATAGAACTACCACAATCACTTCCACTTGAAGTTGAAAAAATTCTACATAGTTATGCAAGAGTATGTAAAAAAACATTAAATAAGTTTACTAAAATATTTATTTTTCATACTAATCTTATCTCTCTTTTTTATAGACACAAGCAAATAGAGATGAAGAGTTAAGAAAATCAAAGATTCAAATTGATCAATTGAAAATGTTATTAAAGTAAGTAATTAAATTACTTAAATATTAATAATTTCAACTACTAATCAAAAATATTATTCTAACCAAAACTTGTTTCTATAGTGAAAGTGATAGAATGGAACAAAAACACTTTGAACAAGAAAAGTTATTAAAAGAAGAAATTAGAAATTTAGAGAGATGTAAAACAAGAGAAGGTTCTAATTTAGAGTATGTATAAAAGAATATAAAGTTTTGATTAAAATACAATTTGAAACTAATTATTATTTTTTAAAACAATTAAATCAGATATGTTAAGAATATATTATTAAAGTTTATAGAGAAAGATGATGAATCATTAATTCCTGTATTATCAACATTGATGCAATTTACACCCGACGAATTAAATAGAGCGACAACTGCTCAAAAATCAAAGAAATCTAATGGTAGTCTATGGGGTTGGGGTTCTTCCTATTTTACACCTACCAAATAAATGAATTCAAGATTGCAATCCTAATTAATGTTCTCTACTAAAGTTTGATTGTTTTTTATTTTATTCTAATCCCAATAACATATCTAATTAATTGGAAAGTTTATTCTTATATATATATTTAATTTTAAAAATGATGTTTGATTTTGTTGTTGATTTAATTTTGATTTTGATTTCTTAATCCTTCTTTCTCTTCTTTAAAATATTCTTATATGATGATGAAGATGATTGTTTTGAACGTTTGTTGAGTGTCTTTGGATCGAGTGGAATATATGCGTATGGCTCCAATTTCTGTTTGGTATTTCCTTTGATGTCTCCTTTCTTTGGTTGTCTTCCGATGGCATCGAGATTGACGTTGGTGTTGATACCTCTGACACGATTGTATCTCTCGGTGGCAGAGTCGATTCTCTGAAGATTCTTTTCGCTACGACCGTCGCTCTTTCCTGTTTTGCCTGTCATTGTTGTTTTGGTGGTCTTGGTGGTTCTGGCGGTCTTACCAGTCTTGGCAGTGGCAAATGTCTTCTTGGTGAAAGCAGATCTCAAATCCTCATCGATACCATCGTCTTCGTCGTCGCTATCGTCGTTGTTGCTGGCACGCTTCAATGCACCCTTGGCTTTGGTTGCACGGTAACCTGCTTTAGCTTCATACTCTTGAGCTTGCTCTTCAAACACTTCGTCGATATAAGATGGTCCTCTCTGTCTCTTTCTTTGTTTTCTCTTCTCCTCTTCGTCGTCAGAGTCTACAATAACCAGTTTACCATCTTCATTAGTCTCATAGGCGTCGGATTGTGCACGTCCTTTGTTGTTGACAGCCAACTGTCTGGCAGATCCACTTGTTTGTTTTCCACTCTTGTTCGATGCGATCTTGCTGATTGCATTACGGTCCAAGAAATCGATTGGATCGTCACCTTCCTCAACGATCCAGTTGTTCTCGTTGGCTGCTTGTTTGTTGGCCTTCTTTACATTGAACAAGAACTGTTCGATATCGTCATCGGAATCGTCGGATTCGTCACCGACCTGTTGTTCATCATCATCGTCACCGCCATATACACTTCCACGGGCACTCTTTACATCGCTTCCAGTGACTGGATCGATCATCTTATTCAAAGCGGCCTCTTCCTCCTCACGCTTTCTCTCGGCACGATCTTTCTTCTTCTTGATGTTGGCAACGATCTTTTTGAACTCCTCAGACGAGGTTGGACAACCGTGAATACGGTCGAATCCATAACGCTTCATCAAACGCTCCAAAAGAATCTGAATAATGGTTCTAAAGAAATTCTTGTCCAACTCTGCCCATTTCGCCATTGAGGCGATGAGAGTTTGTAAATGTGTCTCGACGACATCGATGTCCTTGAAACATGCCATAACAACACGAGTGAATCCAAGAACTGCCTTGACAACATCACGATTTGGTGAACCAGTAAGCACAATCAAAGCCGATGTCATCTGTTCGATCAATGCTGGATTGATCATACGACGGAAGTTGTGAACGACTCTGGTCATAGCAATGATAGTTGCACAAACCATATGTGTAGTGGTGGCAGCCAGACCGGCAGCCATCATATGGAGATACTCTTTCATCGATTCCTCTTTGGAAGCGGCGATAGTATCCTCCATTGTGACACCACGCTTTGCAACAGCCAACTTTTGACCGATCAAACACATGATGTTGGCACATTCAATCAAGATCTCGTTGGAAATCTCACGAAGACGGTTGTTTGATTCCTTTGTACAGAGAATGACCTCTGGTAATACCGAGGGAATGAATTTCTTCTTGAGTTGTGTCCAACTACTCTTGATTCTAAACGATGGTTTGTTCTCCTCTTCGACTGGCTCCTCGCCATTCTCCAAAGCTTCTTCCTCTTCGAGTGCGGCTTGTTCCTCTGCTTCCTTGTTGGCACGAGTAATGGTAACGAGAATCTCCTTCAAACACTTTAATCTTGTCTTTTTGATGTTGGAAGTGGATTGCATCAAATCGGTGACCAACGTCGATTTGATCTTGTCCATATTCTGTACAATGAATTGAGCGTGATACTCACAGATCTTTACGAGTACCTTGAAAGAACGTTTCTGAAGACCGGAATCTGAACATCTGAGTTGTGGTTTGATCACCTTGTACAGTGTCTTGACTTGTTCGTCATCCAAATGCTTAACGAAACCAACAGTCAAATCAGTCAAGTAGTATTTCTTTGATTTCTTCTTCTCCTCTACAGCTGTTGTTGCGTCCATCTTATCGTCACCTTCTTTCTGTTGTTTCTTCTCGATTCCCTCTTCTTTCAGCGCTTCCAAAAGCTTGGTGATTAAACTCTTAAACATATTTCCAAGAGTAGCTTTATCTGTGATACCGATGTACGCTTCGATGGTATCGATGATCTGTGAACGCTGTTCGTGATTGGAGACTGGATAGATATTGAAAAAGATGGGCAGATAGTTCTTGGCGTAGTGAGCGATCGTCTTGATGGAATCCTCTGCCAACTTGACATCCATAGTGACATGACGCTTCTTGAGTGGTACAAACAAAGCAACGGTTTTGGCATCTCTCGATTCAACGAGATGATTCAACATATTGGTGAAAGCAGTGCATATAACCGATCGGAGTTCAACGTCGTCCTGAAGCGACGATCCAATCAATCTAGCGATATTCTTAAAGGCGGAGGGCAAGTCTGTCGGTTGATTGAGGAATCCCGGAAGCAAATCCCAGATTTGGTTGTAGAGAATGTTGAGATTCTTTGATTCGATTGATTTTCCATCGGATTCCGATTCCTTTGATTTCTGCTTGACCATCTTGGTCATCGGCAGGAAATAGTCGATAAAGAATTGGAGTTCTGTGAATTTGATTGAATCTCTCATGACTTGGAGCAACCAATTACGATTGATACGCTCTTTATCCCTGGAGTTGGGTGGAGCGTCGAGATTCAGTGGCATCAACGTCAAGAAGTTCTTTGGACCGATGGCGACCATCGCAACTGAGAATACAGAGTGAAGTGCCTGACGACAATGCAAATCCGGCAATTGATTCATAGCGTCGAGACTAATCAATATATTATTCAACAGAGGATATGCATTCTTTCCGAGTTGTTCAAACATCGCTGACAACACCGAGAGAATCAACTCCCACGAATGTTTGAAAGTATACTTGGTACTCGATTCCAAAGTATCGATAATCAATCTCAACGGACTATTACCATTCAAATTGTTTACTCCCTGTGTAATAACTTCTTCATTTATACATTCATAAATAACATTCTATTTTTTGTAAATGATGATGATCATTATTAGTAAACGATTCATGATGATGAATAAATAAACGATGATGTTGTTGATTAACCAACTTACTTTAAAACCTTCCATTGTAATACGTGTAATTTCAAGTTTATCGGAACTGAAATTGGAGATTAGATGTTTGAAGTATTGGTGAATGTTTTGGTTGGAGATGGTACGGTTCATTCGCGAGATGGAGAGGTTGGCACGAGTGAGAAGTTCGGTGTAGGCGACGGTTGCTTTGGTGTCGATTCCACTTGGTGGATGGCTGTATAGTACTTGGATGATTTGATGTACGTGCTCCGCTTTCAGTTGATTGGTACGCAGGAAGAGAGAACCGATCGTTCTGTAGCAGATCGGTGTGATTGCGCTGTTGCCCAGTGATGTCATCTTGATGATGACATCGAGCAGTTGTGAGACGAGCGACGGTTGCAACTGGGGAATGAGATCGTGTGCCACCGACATTGCATAGAATGCTCGTTGCATAGTCGAGGATGTGACATTGGCAAATATGTCCAAACAGAATTTAGTTGTCATCTGGCTGACTGCCGGGAGGAGTCCGACACCCGTTGGATTGGATGCACCGACACTGTTGAGCACCAAGATGATCTGCTCCAATGCTTTGTGACGCAACTTACTACGCTCATCGACGGCACATGCCAACAAAGCGGAATAGGCATTACGTCTGTCCATCACTTGCCAAGCCGAAGATTCACTCATTGTCAAAACATGTCCAATCAAAACCAGCGTTGGTTTCATAATATGTTCATCTTTCGACTCCTCTTGAACAATCTTTAAACATAAACTAATAATATTGTCACTATTTGATCTGACAATTCCAATTGTAATTCTAAATAAATGTGATATTTGAAAAACAAAAAAAAGTTAATGATTGGGAAAATCCTCAAACAATTTAAAGGATTTGAATGTTCGAATGTTTTTGGTTGTTGAGTTGTTGTTTCATTGTTATTTACCTTGAGATTACAATTGATAATAACTTCAAAAGATCAGACTTTTGACCTTGTTTATAAGAGTTCTCTGTGAGTGAAGCGAGAATCAATGCGAAATAGGATGTTGGATGAATAGGTGCATTCTTTGCTTTGATGATATCGGTCACTGCATTCAATACGACATTCAATCGCTTTAATGATTCAGACGATGTGTCTGATCTAATAGTTGGAAATATTTCATCAACCGATAAGTTATGAACCATTTCTATATAATATAATTTAAAACCTAATTAACTAACTAACTAACTATATATCTTTCTTTAAAAAAAAATTGATATTAAATATATTAATAGATAGATAGATAGATAAATTAGATTAAATTGTAAAAAAAAAGAAAGAAAAAATTTGATGATAGTTTGTTTTTAAAATAAAACGATTGTTTCGTTTTTTTAAAAAAATTTAATTTCAATTTTTGTTTTTTTTGTAATTATTTTTTTTCTTCATATTTACTTTAAAATTGAGAAACTTTTGTAATTATTTTTTTATTTTTAAATATTTATTTTAAAATAATCTATCTTTTATCAATCATCAATTTAATTGAAATTTTTTTTTTTTTTAAATATAGATAATAATAGGGATGAACACCACTATCTAAAAAATATTGGATCATATATAAAATGAACCAACTTTAAAAATGGGAATATCTAATTTTTAAAAATTTGAAGTTTTTAATTTTTTTTTTCAAATTTGAACAGTTATTAAATTAACATATGTCGCAATAATATAATATATAGTAATATATATTTGATAAGATTAGTTAACTATTAAATTAATGTGTGTGTTTGAAAGATAGATACTATTAGTTTATATATTTAGTTTGAATAGAATAGAGATAGAATTAAGATATATTTAGATAGATATGTCACATAGATATTCAGCATTGTCCAATGATGAGGACGATGCAAAAGGTATTCTGGCTTCACCGTCCGATAAGAATCCTTTTGAAGACGATGGTGAAGAGGTAGATTTACTGACAACAACAACAACCACTACCACGACAACAACAACATCAACAAATAACCACCAGAATAATAATAATAATTTGGATATTCAAAATGAATCGAATGAACCAAATGAAAACACCGGACTAATAAACTCAGAGGCACATCCAGATGAAGATGACGAAGAGGGTGAAACCGATTTAGAAGATTTCTCAAATATGATCATTGCAATATTAGTAAGTTAAATGTTTAACTATTAAAAGTATAATAACTATATAGATTTACTAACTTACTATAATTACTAAAGAAACCAGTTACAATTACTATGTTCTTAGTTGTTTGGGCAGTAAGATCTATTAATGCAAAGAATAATATTTTAGGTCAATATGTGTATGTATATATATGTAACAAACAAACAACTTTTATGCTTATACTTTTAATACTTACTTATATTTATACTTATATTAAAATATAACTTTGTTGTTATGTTACTATTGATGTTAATGTTGATTAGTGGTGGTGGATCAATGGGTATGCTTGTCTATAATGAATCTTCGGATGATTCCACAGGTCAAAAGATTTGGGGATCACTTTTGAATGGTTTGGTTTTCTTGGTTGTAATCGTGTTGACCACAGTAGCATTTGTACTATTATATAAGTATCGTTGTCTCAAAGCTATCTATGCTTGGCTGTTTCTATCGGTTGGAATACTCTTGGCATCAATGGGTAGCTATGTATTTATGTAAGTGTGTTAAGTTAATCTTTAATTCCAACTCTCTAACTATTTTTTTTGACCATTAACTAATCATACAATTGTTTATTTTTACATTATATATATATATATATATATAATATTCAATATAATAAACATAACATAACATAGGGCAATGTTGGAAGCAAACAATTTAGCGTTGGATTATATTACGTTTGCATTCATTATGTTTAACTTTAGTGTTGGTGGTATCATTGCTGTGTTTTGGTATGCACCGGTACTAATGAATCAAGGTTATCTCGTTCTCATCTCGACATTGATGGCTATCTCCATCAGTAGACTACCAGACTGGACTACCTGGGTTATTCTATCAGTCATTTCAATCTATGGTAAGTGTAGTTTGTTAGTTTGTTAGTTTGTTAGTTAGTTAGTTAGTTACAATATAGAATGTTAATATTAATATTGTTGATTGTTGTTTTTGTTCTTTAGATCTATTCGCTGTACTTTGTCCAAGAGGTCCTTTGAAGGTTTTGGTAGAGACGGCTCAAGAGAGAAATGAAACGATTCCAGCGTTGATTTACAATGCCAATTTCGAACCACCAAGTAGACCGGAATCAATACCAAAACCACCACAACAACAGCAACAACAACAATCGGCATCTTCTTCTTCGTCTCAACAAGCTAGATCAAGAAGAAATAATAACAATGGTGGTGAAGACCAACAGGAAGATGAATTTGGACAACAACAACAACAACAAGAAGACGATGCTCAAGTAGATGTCAACAACAATGACGAGGAAGTACCACCCATCGAAGAGTTGGAACCGGAGCAAGAGAAACGAAGTTTGAAACTTGGTCTCGGTGATTTTGTATTCTACAGTGTACTCATGGGAAGAGCTGCTATGTTTGATATTAGTACTGTATTCACTTGTTTTGTTGCTATTATAACTGTAAGTATATAATTGATAGTTAATAATAATCTTAATCTTAATCTCAATCAAAATTAACATCATTTATCATTTTAAAATACTAGGGTCTATTTGCAACACTATTTTTATTAGCTATTTTCAGAAAGGCTCTACCAGCACTTCCAATTTCGATTGCATTTGGAATTCTATTTTATTTCCTCACTAGAATCTTCCTCTATCCGTTCATTGAAACCATGGGATTGGTTGAAGTATTTATATAAATAATCATGTTAACATCTTATTCACACTATATTATTTTAATAACCTAGGGGAATGAATGAATGACTAATTCCAATCAATCGACAATCAATACACTCCCCTATCCCTCCTCTTACTATTATTAAGTAATCAAATAAAACTGTTGTAAAATTTATTATCTTTTCAAATCGATTAGAACATGTTGCAACACAACACGAACAAAATGTTTGAAATATATTCATTAAACAAAGAAGAACGTAAGGTACACTTCTTTAATATTGTAAAGTAGTTAAGTTATCAAATACTTTGAATTGTTTACGCATAGAATTTAGTTGAAATAAATTTAACATAAATAAAAAGTTGCATAGTTTGTTTAATTTAGATAAAGATAAAAGTTTATTTATAATCATTTTTAGTTTGAAATCAGTGGAATCATGCTCAAGCGTAGGTCAAGTTACAATCTGTCTTTTATATGAAAAAAGAAATGAATGTTAGTTGTTGATGTTTTAAGAAAATAACAGTTGAAAGATTAATTATAATAATTGTGGAAATATATAAATATGAAGTCAGATATTAGATTGAAGGTCTAAGCGGTATAATCAGCTGGTGATCAGAAACACGGATGCAATATCATCATCAAAAATAGAAGAAGAGAATAATAATAGTTCTAATTAAAGAATATTTAATACATACATTAACGAATAAATCGCATTGAAAAAAAAAAGATACAAAATTATCGTTATTTATTCCACACCACAGCAGAAACTCACTCGTTTTTTTTTTTGAATTGAAAAAAAAATAAAATAAAATTAAAATTTTAAAAAAAAAAAACTAGAAAAACAAAAAAAAGTTTTTAACAAACAAATTACACAAGTTGGTAAAGACCAATGTGATCTAGCTCGACACACAAACCAAAAGTGAAGCTGTTTTAACTTGTAATTTGAGTTTTCAATTGTTACAGTACAGTATAGAATAGTGAGTTTGAAACTTCCATAATTATCTCTGTTCAGATATTGGATAACACTTTATGTATAAAAAATACAAAAAGGTTAATTAAAATTATTTTAAAAATTGTCTATAAAATATACTTTTGTAGTTTGGATTTTGTAATATACAAACGACAACTGTAATACTAATGATTTTGAAACAGTGTTTTGTTTCTTTAATTTATAGTTTTTTAATAACAGTACAGTTGCATTTTTGGAGGAAAGAGATTTGATAGAGATCGCGAATTGACGATTATAAGTTTGCCTCAAGCAAAGTTTCCCCCCTAACTATTATTATTATTATTATTCATATGAAAAGTGATCTTATAATCATAATAAAACTAATTATAACAATATGAATATGAATGTTGTTGATGTTTATAGCTAGAGCGACTATTACAATGTTATTGTTGATGTCGACAATCCAAGGTATTTTAGTATCATTTTATTGAGTTTTTGTTGTTGGTTTTGGGATGATGGACTAACAATATATGCAGGTAAAACAAAGGGTAATGGTGGTGGACTTGATGTTGATAATAATAGCGTTTTTCACTTGAACATACATGAATTTAGGTAACATCATTACCAATTTTGTAATGAGATGATTAATATGGGAATAATGATTAGTGTTAAAACAAATAAAGAAAGATATATCTTGAATTCTATCAATTTAATGTGTTTATTAACACTTATTAATGTTATGTTTGTAGTTGTTGTTGTTATTGTTGTTTGTTTTGGTGTGGTGGTTATTGACAATGATGAGCGAATCACCACACTTGTTAACCACTACTTTTCTTAAGTTCATCTATATGTTGTTGATGTTGTGTGCAATGAAAGATCTTTGGTTTTTTGTTTTGTTTTTTTTTCTTTCTAAAACCATCAGACTACACACCATATATATAAATACATATTAATATGTATAAAATAACTTAATAATCAATCAAACACTCTCTCACTCACCCACCATCACTCACACTAATACATAATAACCCCACTAAAAATTGCCTCAATCAAAATCATAGATGGAAAGTTATTATTATTGTTTTTATTATTTTTATTTTATTATTTTGTTTGTTCATACAGAGACACTTGTTTGCTTACTAAGCTTATCCTTTCCTTTATCCGTTCTTGTGCACCTCAGTGTTATCTCTCACTCTCACTTTTGATTGATGATCACTCAATTGAAATTCAAATTGATCACTCTAACCATTGCCTTTTAGGAAGATGTTAATTTTTATAAATTGTTCATCATCATCAACATCATCAAACAAACAAACAATCAACATTTATAACAGATAGATAGTGTTAGTAGATTTGACATTGTCACAATTTCAATTGAAATTGGTAAAGGGGTATGATTATTGGCGTGATAAGGTATGAACTAACACCCATGTGCATGACCATCAATCATCTTTTATTTCTTTTTTAGTTTTATTTTCTGATCTCAGAGATGGATCATACATATACTCTCTTGCTCTTGTTATAAATTTTAAAACATTTTTTTATTTTTTTTTTTCCACTTTTATTTTTATTTGTTTTGTTCTTGTTTGTTTTTAATGGTTATTAATAAACAATCTATATTTATAACAAAAAAGATAACATTAAAAATTAAACAATCAAAAATCAAAAATCTTAATATAAAAAGTATATTTATATTACTGCTACTACTATAGTAGTATATCAATCCTTTTTTGTAATTTTCATTTATGTTTGGTTGTTTTACGGTGGATCAACTTCACACTTTGCCCTACTACTACTTTACAGTTGCTTTTCACTTGCCTACAGTTTTAATTGTCATTTTTAAGTTTTCAATTCTAAAATAACACACCATCGTGTTGTTGATACACCTTAGTGTGTGTGTGTGGTACCTTTCCCTTCCAATAAAAGTAGTATACCTCTATCGTTTTGTTAATCAAACATTTCAAATATTATTATTATTCTCAACTCAAAGATCGACAACACTCACCCACCAATCTATTTTCAATACCATTACCACCACTAACACTAACACTACCACCAACACTCCCCCACTTAGATTTATATTTGCTAGTCAATATACTCTATTCTCTTCACTTCTCTGCTCTCTTTTTGAAATCAGATAAGATATTTGCATATGTACAACTATATGTGAAACCCGTTACCAGATTTAAAGTTTATCAACTAGGTGTTTGGGACTTGATATATAATATTAATATTAGGTTGACTTCTAAATAAAGGTTCAATAAATCTTTCAATAGATTTTTTGGTTGTTTCGTTGCATATCAATTCAATTGGAATTGCCACCAACACAAATATCGCCAACACCGCCAACACCACTACCGACTCTTCCAAAAGATAATGGTATGTTACAATTATAAATACCAATGAGTTCTCAAATCATTTTACAATACCATCAAAATAATAAACTAATAACAAACTTTCAAATAATAATATTTACAAAAAACAATTACAAAAAATAATAATATTTTTAAGATTTAGAAAAAAACAAAAAAATTATGAAATCTTTGAAATTCTTTACTACTCCTACCCTACTACTTCTAATTTTCTTGAGTTACAATATTGTAACAGCCAAAGATGATCGTAGAATTAACTATGTTGGATGCATGGACTTTGGATATAGTCTTTTTCCAGAGTACAAAGGTTTGAAAATGCACATTAGATGCTATCCAAATCCAAATTCAAAAAAACTCTCCAAACCAAACGTTATTTTCGATTCTGGAATGCCATTTTCGTCGTTGGTCTTTGCCGATGTAATTGAACAACTCATACCCTCGCTGCCAAACATTAATGTTGGAAATGTATGTTTCTTTGACCGATATGGCTATGGTTATTCCGATCCTTCGCCCTACGCAATGATGTCGAACGAGACAGCTCACCGCCTACACGAATCTCTGAGAATCGCTAAGCTATATCCACCGTATATCTTGGCTGGTTGGTCATGGGGTTCGATCGATATGCAATTCTTTGCAATGAAATACATGCGTGACGTAGTTGGATTGCTAACTGTCGAAGGAACCGACTACCAATATTCAATGGATACAACCAATCCTCAGAAATTGGCTAGTTCCACTGCCTATGCACAACAATTTCTCTACTTGGCGAACAACGATCTAATTAAAAACGCTACCTCGCACGGAGATATTCCACTGGAATTTGGATTCCTCCCGAACAATACTGATCTGCCACCAACAGTAGTGGAGAAATCCAACGATTTCTTTTGTTCTTCAAAGTTTTTCACTACCGTAATCCAGGAACTTCAAATTATGTTGCCAAGTGCAAGCCTGCTAGGTATCCAATATGACTCGATGAACACTACGACACCACTCTCCAATATTCCGTTTGTTGTTCTGACTGCCGAACAAAACGACAACAATTGGATTGAACGCCAATCGATTATGGCTTCACTCTCGACAACCCACGAACACCTAATGGTGAACACCACCCATTTCGTTCCACTCGAAAATCCAAAAAGCGTTGTAGATTCACTGAAAATACTTGTCAACAAGTATGTAGATAGACAAATACCAATACAAGTTTTGGAATGTAAATAACTATAAATTATATATAATTATAAAAATAAATATTTAATTAAATTATTTTAAAAAACAACGATAAAATTTAATACTAAAGTCATTCTTCAAAGGAAGAATCATCTTCAATTATCCTTTTTTCTTTTCTTAACTAAACTAATCATAGGTATTCCAAGTCACAGATTGAAGTGTATACTAATTCAAATATCAATATAATTCACTCCACACATCAAATAAGACCACCCCATCAACTAAAAGATAGTAGGTCTAAGTCGTTTAATTAAAAAGTCATCACAATTACATTTACCCACTACCTTGTCAACAAAGATTTCTCCAAAGCATTAGTTAAACGGTGATGACCTATTAATCTATTGTAATAATACTCTTATAATTAATTAATAATGATTTTATTATAAATCATTTTGCAATCATATTCATTTAAATGAATACTTTTGGAATATTGAAATCCAATATCAATCAATAAGTTGTCTGGTTTTAATAATTCATCGGTGGCAATGATGATTCGAGATAGTGTTGCTGGTATGCTATATTTGGGTATGTTCATTACTTTGCCATCACTTCGACAATGATACTCTAAATCTTCGAGAGTGACCAGACACTTTAATTCTATGATGATTGGTATCCATTGATAGATATTACTTTTCAAGTAAACCGATAGATGTGTGATATTGGAGAGCGAGAAATATTTAAAGAAACTGCGATCGGGATCTACGGTGTTGTATGCAAAAGATATCTTTTGAAGATTTGGAAATTCAAATGTTTCATCGGTTTCGCTCAAGCTAACATCTGAAAGCTTTCTAATTCTTGAGCGACTTGCAATTGGAATATCGGTCACTTTAAGATATGAAGATTTGATTGATTCGAGTAAAGGTAAACCGTTACACAATATTGTGAGAATATCGCGTGGACGGTTAAAAGTGGAGGAAATGTCGATCTTTCTAAGTGATTTAATTGAACAGATTGCATTCAGGTGTGCAGGTATCATTGTTACAGAATGAAGGTAGAGCGAACGAAGATTGGTGGCAATTGTCCCAAAAGTCTTGATGCTAGTTACTTTTAAACGTCCACAATTAGTTTCATGATGAATATGTAACTTTTCAACAGTTGATAGAATATGAGTGAGATGAACAGATGGTTGTTTTATAAACGCTTCGAAAATGGGTATTCCGATATCAAGTTTAACAATATGTTTAATTGGACACCATACATTGGTAAGTCTATTATAAAGATCCTCTATTTGTTTGGATCTAAATAATTACCATGTTAAAGTATGTTAATATTTGCAAGTTTAACGTGATAATCATTGTTTCTTTACTTACTTTTCGATTACTCGAAGTTGTACTTTGTTGAACATCTCACTGACGATACCAAATAATTGTTTGTTGATTAATGTCAGTTGTAATGCTTGTCTGTATGTTATTAAAAGAGTGCGGCGATCATAGGTTGATATCATCCAAGTTAATTCAAATATTTTTGTTAAGATCAACACTGGTAATTTGTATTCAACATGACCTCGATGAAATTGATTTGAAGGATTGTCATCCACCAATTTCTTTTGTAAACAATCTCTTTCTTCTTTGATAATGATAATATCATCTATTATTGTTGTTTTGTTGCTACTTTTTTTCACAGTTATATTATTATCTACACAGATCTTAAACAGTTGATCTTTTGTTAACTTTATCAATTCATCTCTATTAGTTGTGAATGTTTGATTATTCATTTTGTTGTTTAAAAGAGATTCTAGAATCAATCAACAAAAAATTTGCTGATTTGCAAATAAAAAAATTAAGATTGAAACCAATACAAAAGAATTATTTTTAAATTTAAAATTAGAGTAACAGTATATACTTGTGAAAGTAATTTTCTAGATAAAAGAGAAAAATTTAAATACATAATTTTAAGTTACACTAGATTATTAGATCTGATAGTAATTTTTTAGTTATTTAAAAATATATTATTTATATCATTTTTAAGCAAAAACCACAAATTTAGAAATCGTATGATCATTTAATACTTTTTTTTTTTATCCATCAAAAATGGATTTGTTTCAAATTATTTTTGGTATATTCATTATTATTGCTGTTTATATTAGAATTAGAATAGAAAGAAATGAAAGAGATTCTAATATGGCATTATTAGTGTTTCCATTGTTTGAGTTTAAAATATCTTATATCGATGGCAAATCGAAATACTCTAGCTGCATTGTCGATAAAGAGACATACTCTATTAGACAGTCAACAGATGTCAGTTTCTATAGCGATGCGATGAATGTAATCGCAAAGATAGAGAAAAACAAGATTGGTATCGACGATCTACTCTTCCTCTACCCTAAACCAGGAGAATCAAACGATTTTGCAACACATCCTTATGCGCTAAAGTATATTCCGTATGACCATGCACTGAAGTTATTCGCGGAATTCGAACACGTAAAGAATGAAATTGGAAGATTGTTCATTGTTCTTCAGTTTCTCATTTACTTCCACAACAAGAAAGACAAGAACATTCAAGAGTTCATTGCTTTCGGTGAGAAAGTGGAGGCCGATCGCTCGAAGATAGTGAGAGCAAGTGGTCCAATATTGTTCAGACACTTCAAAACTACTTCATACATTTCGCCAGAAATCGATAGAATATTCTTCTTTTTCTTTAAAGTTCTAGATGGTAGTAATAACGATAAGTCTGTCAACGATTTTACGTCTTACAGAAAATTCATTGCAAACAGTAATATAGATATATTAAAACGAAAACTAGAGATTCAACCGTCAAAGATACAGAGAGATTCATCAATATTAACACGAATAAAGATCATTGGATATACTTTGATGGCAGATTTCTGCCTACGACAAGATCATCTACCAACAGAGTCACCAAAAGTAACATAAGATACTATCATTCGAAAGATCATTGGATATACATTGATGGCAGATACATTCCTACAACAAGATCTACTTCATGAAACTAGAGTTGAGGATTGGAAAGAACTGATGGTTGAAATGTCAAGTGTTCTCTTCTCTTTAGCGATGGTATCGAAACAGTTCTTTGCAAATGTTGGACGTGTCTTGGAGAGTATCGATTGGACAAGACGATTCCCAAACAAATACATTAAAGGTCAAATCAATTACGACAAACCATTCTGTTTGCTCAAGAGAGTTCCTTCAAGCATTCGATACGATGCACTCATAAGAACTACACCTTACAGATTGGTTAGCCAAGCATTTAGCGGCGTTACATCACTCACCATTGTTGGTGATATGCTTGAGCGGGCTCACATATATGGTGTCGATAGAGACTATAAATTGGAACGTGACAATCTCTACGATATCGACAAGTGTATTTTCGTCACCTATCCACCGGTTGGATCGATGCCAAATCTCACCAAACTCGTTGTTGTTGGAAGAGCCTTTCAATGGCAAAGATCTTCAGCGGAAACAGGTGGACTCTATCTTCTCAAGTATCTCATTGCCAACACCAGATGCAAACTCGAACACTTTGAATGTATTGAACAACTCTCACTGAACTATCAACCGGAATTCGATATCTCTGTTTTCCAATGTCTCTTTGACAACCACGAGTCAACACTGAGGCTCTTCAAGCTGAAACGAACAATCAAGAGGAATGAAAGATATCTAACTGAATTAAATACCATTGTTGAAACGTTAAAGAGATACCAATTAAATCTTCAATTCAAGTTAGAGTTTTATGACAACAATGATAATAGTGATCTATGGGGAAATACTGAAGATTCATATAAATTGGTGGAAGAATTTGAAGAGTTGGAACTTTTACATAGAGTAGCTAATCATAACGATAACTCTGATGATGATGCTGATGCTGATTATGATAGTTCCTATGAGGATTCATATTCAGATATCTAATAACATAAATCTAACTAGTAATTTAGAATATATAATGTTTATATTAATTATTAATCATTTTTTAAATAAAGCACAACCACATCTGTTTATAAGTTGTTGTAGTTGTGTGGTTTGTTTATGCTTGTCCTTTTAGATTTTAATCATTCATCTTTACACCCAACATTTCTTTTTTTTACCTCTTTTGAAATAACAAAAAACAATAACAAAATCAAAGCGGTAAAAATGAAATGAGTAAATATTGGTTTATTTACTTAAATAGAGAACAATACAAAAAAAAATAAAATGAATTAAAAACAATATTTTTATTTTTAGTTATCAATTGATAAAAAAGATAACTCTTGAAAATTTACTCAAGTCAATGAATTGTTTGGAAATATCTGCTTGTATTATTTTATGAAAAATAATTGAAATTCGCTAGGTTGTAATGAAAAATATTTATTTTATATTAAAATAAAGTAATATATAAATAATAAAATGAGTGGAATATTCGGAAATCAATTGGTGAAAGATAATCAAGATGAAGCAAAGAGTGAACGAGAAGAAGATGAAGAAGAAGAGGAATTCGATTCGGATGATTACGATTCAGATGAAGATGCTGATGAGCGTACGTATATCTATATTTAAATTAAATAAAATACATAAAGATAAAAATATTAACAAATATATCTATTACACTTAGTTTATTTTGCTCGTACAGTAGGAGTCAATAAATTGGCGCAATCGGTCATTAAGTTGTTTACGAGTAGAATTACACCTATTAGCGCTTATTTTATTTACTCTAAAAGCATTGTCGGTAAAAAAGACTACACTATTTCATCGTCAGATGTCAACTTCTACGACGATGCGATCAATGTCCTCGATATGATAGACAACAAGAAACTGGGTGTCAATGATCTCATCAAGTTGTATCCAAAACCTGAAAAATCAAACACTTTTGCAACACATCCCTATGCGCTAAAGTACATTCCGTATGACGATGCACTGAAGCTATTCGCAGAATTTGAAAACGTTACGAATGAAGTTGGAAGATTATTCATTGCTTTGCAGTTCTTCATTTACTTTCACAACAAGAAAGACAAGAACATTCAAGAACTCATTGCTTTCTGTGAGAAGGTGGAGGATGATCGCTCGAAATTGGTGAGAACATGTGGTCCGATATTGTTCAAGTATTTCAAGGTTTCTTTTTTCAACATTCCAGCAGATATCGATAGACTCTTTGACTTATTCACTAAAGGTCGCAACACAAGCAATGTAGTCAGGCTATCTGAAATTAGGGATTTCACAACATACAGAAAATACATTGAAAATAGTAATAAATTTAAATATAAATTCAACAAACAAGACAAACAACAACAAGAAGAAGTAGAACAACAACAACCACCATTAAAGAGACAAAGAGTGACACCAACATTACCTCAAGATTGTTTCGATAAAATCGTTCAAAAGATCATTGGATATACACTGATGGCAGATACATTCCTACAACAAGATCTACTTCCAGAGACACAAACAGAGGAATGGAGCCAACTGATGGTTGAACTATCAGGTGTTCTCTTCTCATTGGCACTGGTATCGAAACAGTTCTTTACCAATGTTGGATGTGTCTTGGAAACACTGAATTGGACAGGACGATTCCCAAACAAATACATTAAAGGACAGATCAATTATGACAAACAATTCTGTATGTTCAAGAAAGTTCCTTCAAGCATTCGATACGAAGCAATCATCAGAACTACACCTTACAGATTGTTGGACCAAGTATTAAGAGGTGTCACATCACTCACTATTGTTGGTGATACGCTAAATTGGGAATGCATGGGCGGTGTCGATAAAGAGTTTGAAATGAGTTATGATAATTACTACAATATCGAGAAGAGTATTTTCGTCACCTATCCACCGATTGGATCGATGCCAAATCTCACGAAACTCGTTGTTGTTGGGAGAGCCTTTAAATTCTCCTACAAACAAAAAGCGGAAACAGGTGGACTCTATCTTCTCAAGTATCTCATTGCCAACACCGGATGCAAACTCGAACACTTTGAATGTATTGAACAACTCTCGCTTGGACATCATCCGGAATACGATCTCTCTTTTTTCCAGTGTCTGTTAGAACACCACGCGTCAACACTCAAACTCTTCAAGTTGAAAAGAACAGTCAAAAATGAACCAAAATATTTAGCTAGACTCAGCACCATCGTTCAAAAGCTAAAGAGGTATCAATCGAAACATCAATTCAAATTAGAGTTTTATGACAGTAATCCCAAAGATGATTCAATGGGAGATACTGAAGAGGCATATAAATTGGTGGAGGAATATAAAAATTTGCCACCAGTGCAAATAGATAGTGGTGACGATAACTATGATGATGATAGTGAAGATGACGATAGTGAAGATGACGACTCTGATTATTATATGTAATCATTTTCAAACCTAAATCATTTATTAAAAGGTTCACCCTTTTATTATTTAAATAATTTGATTAAAATGAGTGAATGACCATAGTGATCGTTTAAATCAATCTTATTTTTTTTTTTGTAATCTGTTTGTTTATTCATAATTTTATTTTAAAAAACTTAAGATCCACAAGTTTCTCTTTTTTTATGATCAATATTTTTACTTTTTTTAGTATATAGACTTACATATATATTATCAAAAATGAATTGGTTTCAAACTATTATATATCTAATCATATTATATGTCAGTGTTTATTTTATTAGATCAATACGAGTCTCTAGATTGGCAAAATTAGTCATTCCATTGTTTGAGAGTAAAATTATCGCTATCGATGGTAATTGGCAATACTCTAAAAGCATCGTCGATAAAGAGACATACACCATTAGATCAACAGATGTCAGTTTCTACGGTGATGCGATGAATGTCATCGAAAAGATAGACAAAAGAAAGATTGGTATCGATGATCTCATCAAGTTGTACCCTGAGCCTGGAAAATCAAACGATTTTGCAACACATCCTTATCTTTTAAAGTATATTCCTTATGACGATGCGCTGAAGCTATTTGCACAATTCGACCACGTAAAGAATGAAATTGGAAGATTGTTCATTGTTCTTCAGTTCTTCATTTACTTCCACAACAAGAAAGACAAGAACATTCAAGAGTTGATTGCTTTCGGTGAAAAAGTGGAGGCTGATCGCTCGACAATAGTGAGAACAAGTGGTCCGATAATGTTCAAACATTTCAAGGTTTCCTTTTTCAATGTTTCTTCAGAGACCGATAGTGCTAACAACCTATCTAAGATAAGAGATTTTAAGTCTTACAGAAAATTCATTGAAAATAACCGAGTACGCGAAGAACAACAACAACAATGGAATTCGAAATCGCAACAACAACAAAAATCATTAAAGATACTTATAGAAACACCAATAATAACTCAAGATACTATCATTCGTCAGATCATTGGATATTCACTGATGGCAGATACCTTCTTTCAACAAGATCTGCTTCCAGAGAAAGATGCAGATGAAGGGAAAGAACTGATGATTCTTATGTCAAGTGTTCTCTTCTCGTTAGCGATGGTATCGAAACAGTTCTTTACAAATGTTGGACGTTTCTTGGAGAGTATCGATTGGACAGGACGATTCCCAAACAAATACATTAAAGGTCAAATCAATTACGACAAACCATTCTGTTTGTTCAAGAAAGTTCCTTCAAGTATTCGATACGATGCACTCATAAGAACTACACCTTATAGATTGCTGAACCAGACTTTTAGCGGCGTTACATCACTCACCATTGTTGGTGATACGTTAGATTGGGGCTGCATCTATGGGTTTAATGTAGACTATGAATTGGAACGTGACAATTACTACGATATTGAAAAGCGTATTTTCGTTACCTATCCACCGGTTGGATCGATGCCAAATCTCACCAAACTCGTTGTTGTTGGAAGAGCCTTTCAATCGCAAAGATCTCCAGCGGAAACAGGTGGACTCTATCTTCTCAAGTATCTCATTGCCAACACCGGATGCAAACTCGAACACTTTGAATGTATTGGCCAATTGTCTTTAGATTATCAACCGGAATTCGATATCTATGTTTTCCAATGTCTTCTTGTCAACCACAAGTCAACACTCAAACTGTTCAAGCTGAAGAGAAAAACCATAAAAAACAAAAAACAATTAACTGCACACAACACCATCTTTGAAACACTAAAGAGTTACCAATCAAAACTTAAATTCAAATTAGAGTTTTATGACAACAATGATAATAGTGATAGCAGCGTCAGTAATAATGCAATGGAAGATAGTGAAGATTGAATTCCCATTTTTGAACAGTTAATGAAACAGCAATCTCCTCATTCTATCAACTGTTGAAAAGTTACATATTCACCATGAAACTGCTATTAGTTTATCAGTTAGAAGAATCTTTGGAGCAAATCCTAGAATCATCATACAATTAAGAGTATAGGATTTGAGCTACCAGCATCATTCACAGTCGTACAGATGAGTCAACAACTATTTGATTGATATTGGATATCAGTATTCTAAAATAACAATCCCTGAGAAATGATTTTAAATAAAAAAAAAATTTTGCATAAGGGAGATGTGATTTTTTTAAAATAGTATAAAGAAAGGTTATTCTTTACAGGAGCTCCCGATTTTTGTGTGCATTTTGCGAAAATAATGCGAGAATACAAAAAAAAGCTGTGCAAAAATAAACCCAACCTAAAAAATGAAATATCACATCTACAACCAAGTTGTTATTTTATTAAAAATCAATGTTCTAACAAAGCTAATTGGTATAATTCTCTGCCTGGAAAATTGAAATCCTATAACAATAAAATAGTTGATTGGTTCAAAAGTTACATTGGTGCGAATGATGATTCGAGATAGTGTTGCTGGTAGTATGATTGATTTAAGTTTGTTGTTAATTTTCTGACCATCAGATTGACTATGTGATTCTATATCTTCGAGAGTGATCAGACACTTTAATTCTATGATGATTGGTATCCATTGATCGATATTACTTTTCAAGTAAACTGATAGATGTGTGATATTGGATTGTGAGAAATATTTAAAGAAGGGGATGGGATTAGGTTGTCTGGAGTTGCTCGCTACAGATATCCTTTGAAGATTAGGAAATTCAAAGGTTTCATCGGTATCTTCAAAGTAAACTGATGAAAGCTTTCTAATTCTTGAGCGACTTGCAATTGGAATAGCAGTGATACTGAAATACAACATTTTGATTGATTCGAGTAACGGTAATTTGTTACATAACATAGCGAGAATAACTGGTGTACGAATAAAAGTGGTGGAAATTTCTATCTTTCTAAGAGATTTAATCGAACAGATTGCATCGAGGTGTGCAGAATTCAGTATTATTGAACCGATAATGAGCGAGTGAAGATTGGTGGCGATGGTTCCAAAGGTCTTGATGCTGTTCTCTGTTAAAGGTCCACAATTAGTTTCACGATGAATATGTAACTTTTCAACAGTTGATAACAAATGAGTGAGATGAGGAGATGGTTGTTTCATTAACAGTTCAAAAACGGGAATTCCGACCAGTAGTTTGACAATATGTTTAATTGGACAAAATATACTGTTAAGTCTATCGCGAAGCTCGTCCATCATTGAAGAACTAAATGTAATAATTTATAATTATCGTGGGTAAAGAATGTTTAATAATTACAAGATATACATGAAATCTTTGTTTGTCTTACTTACTTTGCGTGAGAAAGAAGTTTAAGATTGTTGAACATCTTACTGACAATACCAAAGAATCGTTTATTGATTAGTCTCAGTTTTAATGCTTTTTTGTATGATAATAAAGGAAACTCTTGATCATAGGTTGATATCATCCAAGTTAATTCAAGTATCTTTGTGATGATCAACACTGGTAGTTTGTATTCAACATGACCTCTATGAAACTGATTTAAAGAGATATCCTCTCTATTTGTGAATGTTTGAATGTTCATTTATCTGTATTCTTTAAATAGATTTACAAAAAAAAATAAAGTTTTAAGATTTTTTTGGGAATTTTTTGGATAATTGTTGAATTTTTTTCAATGATAGTGATTGTGCTATAGAAAAATAATCAAAAGCAAAACCAAAGAGAGAACAACCATCACCATCATCATCATCAAAGTTACAGAAACACCGAACACTTTGAATGTATTGAGAAACTGTCGCTGGATTTTCATCTGGAATTCGATATCTCTGTTTTCCAATGTCTTCTTGTCAACCACAAGTCAACACTCAAGTTCTTCAAGCTGAAGAGAACAACCATTAAAAATCAAAAACAACTAAATGCACTCGACACCACTAATGTGCTACCAATCGAAACTTAAATTCAAATTAGAGTTTTATGACAGCGTCAGTAATAATGCAATGGAAGATAGTGAAGATTCCTATAAACTGGTGAAAGAATTTAAAGATTTAAAACTTTTACAAAAAATAGATAACAAAAATAATAAAGTTGATGACGATGATGATTTTGAAGATGACTCATATTCCGATTTTTAATCATATTATTCGTTAAATCTAAATAATAATATTAAATAAAAGAAATAAATTTAGTATTTTGAGGTTAATTTACAAGAATTTAAATTCGTGTCGATTTTATGCATATTTAACATGATTTATCCTTTATAATTTAATTAATTAAACACTTAAAAATATCTGAATGATATGACAGTTTTAATATCTCAAATTTTTTTTAATTTCTTGAAATTAGAATATTAGACAAGAAGATCTCATTATGTATAAATCTAAATTAGTGGAAGATAATAACGATGAAGAAGAGAGTGATAGAGATGAAGAACTAGATGACGATGATGATGACGAAGAATTCGACTCAGATGATTACGATTCAGTTGATGAAAGTGATGAAGGTGCGAATACTTTAAAATAATAATAATTCTAATATATATTTATCTAACCATATTTATGTCTTACAGTTTATTTTGCTAGAGTAATAGGAGTCAATAAATTGGCGCAATCAGTCATTAAGTTGTTTACGAGTAGAATTAATGCTATTGGAGGATATTTTTCTTACTCTCGCAGCCTTGTAGGTAAAGAGACAAGCACTATTATACCAGCAACAGATATCAGTTTCTATAGAGATGCGATGAATGTTATCGATATGGTAGAGAAAAAGAAACTCAGTATCGATGATCTCATCAAGTTGTATCCTGAACCAGGAAAATCAAACGACTTTGCAACACATCCCTATGCACTAAAGTATATATCGTATGACGATGCACTGAAGCTATTCGCACAATTCCACAGCGTAAAGAATGAAGTCGGAAGATTATTCATTGTCTTGCAATTCCTCATTTACTTCCACGACAAAAAAGACAAGAACATTGAAGAACTCATTGCTTTCGGTGCAAAGGTAGAGGCTGACACCTCGGAAATGGTGAGAACAAGTGGTCCGATATTATTTAAACATTTCCAAGTTTCTTTTTTCAATTATCTAATTCTCGACAATAACAAAAGAGAAAAGCAATCTGAAATTACCAATTTCATATCTCATAGAAAAATCATTGAAAATCGAGATAAATCAGACAGCAGTCAACGCGAACAACAATCGAAATCAAAAGCAAAGCAACAACAACAACAATCATCAAAGATACAAAGAGTGACACCAATAATAACACAAGATACTATCATTCGAGAGATCATTGGATATACACTGATGGCACATACATTCCTTCAAGATCTGCTTCCAGAGAAACAATCAAAGATATGGAAACAACTAATGGTTGAAATGTCGAGTATTCTCTTCTCGTTGGCATTGGTATCGAAACAGTTCTTTACCAATGTTGGACGTGTCTTGGAGAGTATCGATTGGACAAGACGATTCCCAAACAAATTCATTAAAGGTCAAATCAATTACGACAAGCCATTCTGTTTGTTCAAGAAAGTTCCTTCAAGCATTCGATACGATGCACTCATAAGAACTACACCTTACCAATTTGTGAACCAAGTATTTAGCGGTGTCACATCACTCACCATTGTCGGTGATATGCTACAGCTGGACCGCACGAAAGGAGCCATGTGTAATGACAATTACTACGATATTGCCAAACCTAATTTCGTTACCTATCCACCGGTTGGATCGATGCCAAATCTCACCAAACTCGTTGTTGTTGGAAGAGCATTTAAATACCTATATAAACATCAAAGTGAAACAGGTGGACTCTATCTTCTCAAGTATCTCATTGCCAACACCGGATGCAAACTCGAACACTTTGAATGTATTGAACAACTCTCGCTGGATTATCAACCGGAATTCGATATCTCTGTTTTCCAATGTCTTCTTGTCAACCACAAGTCAACACTCATGCTCTTCAAGCTGAAGAGGACAATCAACAAAAATATAAAACAACTAACTGCACTAAACACAATTGTTCGAAAGCTAAAGAGGTATCAATCAAAATTTAAATTCAAATTAGAGTTTTATGATAGCAGCGTCAGTAACAATGCAACAAAAGATATTGGAGATTCCTATAAACCGGTGAAAGAATTTAAAGATTTAAAACTTTTACAAAAAATAGATAATAATAACAATGATGACGTCTGTGAGGACAATGATGATTTTGAAGATGACTCATTTTCCGATCTTTAAAGAATAATCATCATTTCGAACATTTAATCCAAACAAATAAAAGCAATATAATATGAATATATTAATTAATTGATTATTTTATTAAAAATCACTTTTCTAATTAAATGATTTGATTTAATACTATCTTTAGAATATTGAAATCCAATATCAATCAAATAGTTGTTTGGTAAAAAATATCCAGCGGTGCTAATGATGATTCGAGTTAGTGTTGCTGGTAGTATGATTGATTTAAGTGGGTTGTTCATTACCAGACCATCGTATAGTTGCTTATGAGTTGCTAAATCCTCGAGAGTGACCAGACACCTTAATTGTATGATGATTGGTGTCCAAATATCGATATTACTTTTAAAATACACAGACAGATGTCTGATATTGGAAAGAGAGAAATATTTAAAGAAGCTGGGATTGGGATTCATGTAGATTGAGATTTCTAACTTATGAAGATTTGGGAATTCAAAGATTTCATCAGTTGCCTCCAAAGAGACATTAGAAAGCTTTCTAATCCCTGAGCGACTTGCAATTGGAATATGAGATACATTTAACGATTTGATTGATTCGAGTGAAGGTAAATTGTTACATAAGGTTGTGATAATATTGGGTGTGAAACTATAATTGGTTGGGATGTCTATCTTTCTAAGTGATTTAACGGAACAGATTGCATTCAGAAGTGTAGTCACGATTATTACACAATAGAGGGACAGTGAGTGAAGATTGGTGGCGATGGTTACGAATGTTTTGATGCTGGTCTCTGTTATATGTCCCCATTTATAATCTTGATAAATAAATAACTTTTCAACAGTTGATAACATATGAGTGAGATGAACAGATGGTTGTTTCATTAACTGTTCAAAAATTGGAATTTCAACCTGAAGCTTAACAATATGTTTAATTGGACACCACACACTGCTAAGTCTTTTGTGAAGTTCTCCCATTCTTGAAGTTCTAAATGTAATAATAAAAAAACATGTTTAATAATAAAAGTTTTAAGATAATCTTTGTTGCCTACTTACGTTACGGTTGAACTTAGTTTTACATTGTTGAACATCCGACTGACGATACCATAGAATCTTTTGTTGATTAATGTCAGTTTTAATGCTTCTTCGTATGCTATTAAAGGAGTGACGCGATCAGAGGTTGATATCCGCCAACAATACTCAAGTATCTTTGTAATGATCAACACTGGAAGACTTCTATGAAAAGGATTGTCATCTACCAATTTCTTTTGTAAACAACCTCTATCTTCTTTGATTTTGATAATATCATCTATTATTAATGATTTCTTTGTACTTTTTTTCACAGTTATATTATTATCTAAACAGATCTGAAATAGTTGATCTTTTGTTAACTTTAACAAAGAATCTCTATTATGATCTTTGGTAAGCATTTTTAAAAAACTTTAAAACTAAGTAAATTTTGTGATTTTTTGATACTTTTTCAATAACGTTATTGACCTGTTTTCGTGGGGCAATGATCAATGTCTTTTTTTTCATTAAAAATAAAATTGTTAGATATCGACAAACTAGTTATTTAGTTATAAAGTTATTTAAAAAAGTTAGATGGAATATGATTATCAAATTTTTTTTTAATACAAACAGATCTAAATCATTAATCTGCAAGCTACATAACAATAGTAGTGGATATCTACACAACTTTCATCTCTATAGTTTAAGTTGATTTATGTGAATCTCGAAGATATTTATCGAATGAGTTTATTGTGTAATAGATTTGTTGATTTTTTATTTCTTTGTTAAACTTTTCTTTTAAAATAACATTTTAAATTATATAATTTTGTCAAGTAATCGATAAGAAATATTAATTAATTTTCTCGGTATCGTTGACCAAAATAAGAATCATTGAATAAAATCTTGGTATGGTAAACTTTATGAATATATTAAGTAACTGTTATTTTATTAAAAACCATTTTTCTAAAATATATACTCGAATGAATAGCATCTTTAATATATTGAAATCCAATATCAATCAAATAGTTGTTTGCATTGGGCAAATTATCGGAGCGAATGATGATTCGAGATAGTGTTGCTGGTAGTACGATTGATTTAAGTTTGTTAATGAATATACAATGATCTGGTTGATGATGATATTCTAAATCCCCGAGAGTGACCAGACACTTTAACTGTATGATGATCGGTACCCATTTATCGAAATCTCTCTTCAAACAAACGTTTAGGTATGTGATGTTGGATTGAGAGAAATATTTAAAGAAGTTGGGATTGGGTACTACAGAGTTGTATAAGATTGATACTTGTTGGAGATTGGGAAACTCCAAGGTTTCATCGGTTTCCTCCATGTAAACTCTTGCTAACTTTTTAATTTTTGAACGATATGGCTTTGGGACATCACTGATTTTAAAATCTGTCGATTTGATTATTTCGAGTAAAGGCAAACCGCTACATAACACAGTGAGAAAACCCGGTAAGATATTTAAAGTGTGGGAAATCTCTACCTTTCTGAGCGATTTAATTGAACAGATTGCAGTCAGGTGTGCAGATTCAAGTGTTACACCACGGAAAATGAGCGAGCGAAGATTGGGGGTAATGGTCACAAGGGTTTTGATACAGGTCTCTTTTATATGTTTGAACTTTGATTCGTAACCAATATGTAACTTTTCAACAGTTGATAAAATATGATTGAGATGAGCAGAGTTTTGTTTAATAAAATGTTCGAGAATGGGCACTCCAATCTGTAGTTTAACAATATGTTTAATTGGACACCATGTACTGTTAAGTCTATCTTGAACTTCCTTACCAATGTATGGAATTGTATATCTAAATATCAAAGGTAAAGAACATGTTTAATAAACAAAATGAATTTGAAATAATGATAATCTTTGTATCTTTTTTACTTACTTTTCGACTACTCTAAACTTTAGGCTTGTACATTGTCGAACATCCGACTGACGATACCATAGAATTGTTTGTTGATTAGTGTCAGTTGTAATGCTTCTCGATATGACATAAAAAGAGTGACACGATCAGAGGTTGATATCCTCCAACATAGTTCAAGTATCTTGCTGATGATCAACACTGGTAGTTTGTATTGAACATGACCTCTATGAAATTGATTTGAAGGATTGTCATCGATCAATTTCTTTTGTAAATGATCTCTTTCTTCTTTGGCATTGATAATATCATCTATTATTAATGATTTTTCAGCACTATCTCTCATTGTTATATTATTATCTACACAGATCGCAAAGAGTTGATCTTTTGTTAACTTTATCAATTCATCTCTATTAATGTTTGTGAATGTTTGATTATTATCTTTTTTGTGTGATTAGAGGGGTTGAAAGATCATTTAAAAAAAAATTTGCAACCCCCTCTGAAAAAAAACAAACATATATCACATTTTATATTATTAGTCACAGTTTATTTTATTATTAATTAAGTCAAGAAGAGCAACTAGAATGCAAAAATCAGTTGCAAAGTTGTTTAAAGTTGTGCCTATTGAAGGAAGTTTTTATTATACCAATAGCATTGTCGATAAAAACACATACACTATTAAACCAGAGGATGTCAGTTTCTACAACGATGCAATGAAAGTCATCGAAAAGATAGAACAAGACAATTTCGGTATCGATAAGCTCTTCAAGTTGTATCCAAAACCAGGAAAATCAAACATTTTCGCCACACATCCAGATGCGTTAAAGTATATTCCGTATGACGATGCACTGAGGTTATTCGCACAATTCGACTACGTTAAGAATGAAGTTGGAAGATTGTTCATTGTTCTTCAGTTCTTCATTTACTTCCACAACAAGAAAGACAAGAACATTCAAGAGTTGATTGCTTTCGGTGAGAAAGTGGAAGCTGACACCTCGGAAATGGTGAGAGCATGCGGTCCGATATTGTTCAAACACTTCAAGGTTTCTTTCTTCAATGTTTCGCCGGAGATAAATAAACTGTTATCAAAGCTTGGAGTTCCCAAAAATAAAAGAATCAAGCTGTCTGATATTAAAGATTTTACAACATACAGAAAACACATTAACGATAGAGAAAAAGAAATGAGAGAGCAACAACAACAATCGGAATCAACATCAGAACCAACACAACAACCACCATTAAAGAGACAGAGAGTGACACCAACATTACCTCAAGATTGCTACGATAAGATCGTTCAAAAGATCATTGGATATACTCTGATGGCAGACACATTCCTACAACAAGATCTACTTCCAGAGACACAAACAGAGGAATGGAAAGAACTAATGGTTGAACTATCAGGTGTTCTCTTCTCGTTGGCATTGGTATCGAAACAGTTCTTTGCAAATGTCGGACGTGTCTTGGAAACACTGAATTGGACAAGACGATTCCCAAACAAATACATTAAAGGTCAGATCAATTACGACCGGCCATTCTGTATGTTCAAGAAAGTTCCTTCAAGCATTCGATACGATGCACTCATTAGAACTACACCCTATAGATTGGTGGATCAAGTATTTAACGGTGTCACATCACTCACCATTGTTGGTGATACTCTAGACTGGAGTTACATTGATGGTGTCGATAAAGCGGAGGAATTGAAAAATGACAACTATTACGATATCGCCAAACCTAATTTCGTCACCTATCCGCCAATTGGATCGATGCCAAATCTCACCAAACTCGTTGTTGTTGGAAGAGCATTTACATACAGACACAAACAACAAGGCGAAACAGGTGGACTCTATCTTCTCAAGTATCTCATTGCCAACACCGGATGTAAACTCGAACAATTTGAATGTATTGAACAACTCTGTTTGGATTATCAACCGGAATTCGATATCTCACTTTTTGAGTGTCTCTTTGACAAACACAAGTCAACAATTAAACTCGTCAAACTGAAGAGAACAACCAAAAAGAATAGAAATTATCTAACTGCACTCGAGATGCTTGTCGAAAAGCTAAAGAGTTATCAATCGAAAATTAAATTCAAACTAGAGTTTTATGACAGCGTCAGTAATAATGCAACGAAAGATAGTGAAGATGCATATAAAGTGGTGAAAGAATTTGAAGATTTGGAACTTTTACAAAAAGATGATGAGGATGATGACTCTGACGGAGGTAATGATGTATTTGATGATGATTCATATGATGATATGTAAACCAAATGAAAAATATTAAATAAAAATAAAAGAAATTAATCACAAATAATATATGTTGATTAATTTTTTTTACTTTTATTAAATATTTTTCTAATGGTTTCTAATAACTCTTTTATTTAATATTTCAAGATTGAATTCTTTGTTTTTATCAATAAAATAGAAACTAATCTATAGTATATAGTATAGCTAATTAATATTTATTTATACAATGTTGATAAACAAAATATATATTTTTTGGTTGATTTTGATTTCTATACATCTGATCCACCTGGAGTGGATTGAATATCAACTATAGATTCAGCATTCGATTGATTATTAGTTTCTTTAACCTCTGCACCTGATTTTTCTTTTTCCTTTTCCTTTTCCTTTTCTTTTTCTTTTTCTTTTTCTTTATCATCTTTTGGTGTATGATCGGCCTCTTCTTCATCGTCGTCGAAATTGGTACCAGACATCTTATTGGAGTTGCCTGGACCCCAGGTTTGCAAAGATGGAGAAAGCACCAGCAACATAGACAAAGTCCATGAAATTTCGATTATTCTTACAACCACTGAGAAAGCCAAAAGATTTTTGATTTCCAATGGTGGGTCGGCAACTGCTGCCCATACAATTACAGCAAAAGTCATAAATGTAACAACTATCGCGATCTTTGAAAGCATTGTAACCTTTTTAATCTTTCCGTGTGTCTTTTCACTGAAAACACCGCAGTCTTTACTTGATACAATTTGATATTCGTTCCAAATCATTTTACCAAATACAGCAAATCCAATACTTTAATATTAAATGTATTTGATTAATATTATTGTTTTTTATAACAACTTTAAATCAATTAGTTTTATACATACGCTCCAATTCCTACATAAAATCCAAATACTATATTTGTTGCATAATATGGCCAGTTAACAATACTACCAATAATCATTAGCAATAATAATAAAACCTGGGCGGAAATTAAAATCTTTCCTGTGTATGGAAAAATCTTCTCGATGACTTTACTGAAATTGACATGATAAATAATCTTCATCAGTACAAGTAAAGAATTAAAATATGAACAAATTAAAAGCACTATTGGAACTAAATATAATGTTGCCATTGCAATAGGAGATTGAGTATGTAATATTAGAAGTATTGCTCTAACAATTCGAACTATTATTAAATAGATAATAAATTTGTTAAATTAATATATTAAAGAGTAATTACTGATCAACTCAAGAGTTACTTACTGAAACAGGCAGATGCAAGAAATATGTGAGAAACAAGTGACCATCTATTGTTTGTTGTTCTCGTTTGAATCATCCTAATTATACGATAGGTTGAAATCAACATTGGTGGTATAAATAATATTAGGAAAGCAATAGATTGAGCATCGCACGCCTTTTGATTACATCCATAGAATGCAATTGTAGGATCACAGTAACACTCTTCATTCGCTTTAGTAGATGGACTGAGTGCCGTTGAAGTGGTGATATTACTACTCATACTTTTTTTATTGGTTTTTTAATTATTACTAATATGATTATTTCTACTAACTAACTGAGAAAAAAGTGATTCGGGTTGTTTAGTTTAGGTTGGAAACCAAGAAAAAGGATTTCAATTCGATTGTTTATATATAATAATACAGAGATAGAAAGAAAGACTCCTATCTATAATTCGTACTCGATAATAACTATTTTACTATTGTTGCAGTTCTGACGATTATTAATTAATGATTTATTTATTTAAACAAAAAATAATATATGGAATGCAATTCTTGTCGTAAAAATATAATAAAGTAAGTAAAACAAAATGTATAATGAAAATGAAACAGTACGGTAGAATATATAATTGTTGTTGTTGTGTTTTTGTGTAGAATTTAATTAATTATTTGATTGAATGAGCAAGTAAGTAATGGACTATGTGGTGGTATAAGAATGAAAAGTAATAAAAGATAGATAAAATAGATATATAATATTTTTTATCTATAAATAATATTTATAAATCCAAAAAGATGGAAACCAAAATAAAACAAAAAAGTTATATAATTAATACTTTTGGAGGAGTGAGTAGTGGGTGTTTGATTAAATATTTAACTGATCGGTTGGTGAGACAAAAGATAATAAATGGTTGTTGTTGTTGTTGTTGTTAGTAGTAGTATTAGTTGAATAGTGTACAGTGTAATTGAATTTTTGTTGGATAATGAACTACCTCCTCTGTTTGATTGATTGATTCAAATAAGAACAAAAAAAAAAAAAAGCAAAAACAAATATTAAATTGATTCCAACCACTATCCAGAAACAAAGTAAAACATAACAACAAAATAGACAATGCAAATGCAAATTTAATTTAAATTAAAACAAACAAAAAAACAAAATGGAAGGAATAATTAAAACAGTTTTGATTGTTTGTTATACAGTGATGGGATCAATATTGTTGCTTTTTATATATGGGAGATAGAGATAAAGTAATAAAATAATTTTAAAATAAAATAACAACTTGTTTATTCTTACTATTAAATATTTGTAGAACTGCAATTTTCAATAACAAACATATCAACAACAGCTACATTCCTTACATACCAAAAAAAAACAGAAAAAAAATTTTTAAATTCTTATATTAATATATCAACAACAACAGTAATATTAATATGGATGACAAAAGGAAGAAAAAAAGAAGTAGTATATAAAACTGAGTGGATGGATGGTTTGTGGGGTTGAGTCCCTAATACACTCACTTTTCTACAATGTGAAATTGTGATGAATTGATCAATTTAAAAAAAAAAAACAAAGATATGCAATTATTCATATATGATATTTGAAAGACACATTCTGCTTTCTAACTGTACATACATATTAGTTGGTGACCCTAAAGTATCATTAAACACATATGTTCACCCTTAACCAACAACAACAGAATTGATCACACAAAACAGTCAAACACACACATAACCTCAATTGTATCACCTGATAAATTTTTATTTATTCTCCTCTAGATATGTATGGTTTTATATATATTTTTTGGATTGATTTATTGCAGATATAAATGTATATTTAATTTTTGATGGTGTGTGTGTGTGTGTGTGTGTTTGTTGATTGATGTGTTAGTGTGTATGTGATGTGGTGTGAGAAGTTAGGTGAGTGAAAGAAACACCCAACCCCACCACATACTATATTTTCAAATATAAATATACATCTTATTTTATCTTTTTCACTTTGTTTTATTTATTTATAAATAAATAATCATACAATCAATCATTTATAACAGTAAAATAAAAAGAACATTGAGAGAGAAACAAAAAACACAATGATCAATATTTTATTTTTTATAAACACAGAACATTATGTGGGATTAATATTTGTGTATCCACATCAAGTAAACTTACTATTAATTTAAATTATTCTATAAACTAACGATGGAGTAGTGTATTGATCAACTACTACCCAATTGATCATACAGCTTATCATAAACATAACATAATATAATATAAAAAAAAAAAAAAAGTGTTATTATTATTATTTTTATCTTTGTAGATGTATGTATGTATAGTGATGGTTGGTTATAGCCTCAACTGTTAAAACAAACTTAAACACTAATCTGTGTTGTTGCTACTGCTACTGCTGGATGTCAATGAGTGGCTGTTTGTTAAAATATAATAATTATGTCTCGATAAGGAAATATTTTATTTTGGTAATAGTGTGTGTGGATCAAATTTGATCTAAACAAAACAAAACAGCTTAACAAACCATTAGCAACAGCGCAAAAGTTGATCTACAGTATTAAGTTTTACAATAATCACTGGTGGTGACAATGCGGTAGAGTAACATTAATCTCAATCGATCATAAATATATACACATATAGAGTTAGGAGACTTATTTTGTTATGTTTTTCTTTTGTTGTTGTTGTTGATGAGATGTAAGAAGAGATAAACACACTGACCTATCAATTATAATGTGATCTTCACAGTAGATCTTGCGATATTGCAGCAATAGCATAAATGAGACTAAGGTTAACCAACTGTAAGTTGAATGTATATAAACCTAAATAATAATATTTTTTTTTATATTAACTAAAGTGGTATACATGTTTTATTAAAAGTTGTATTAAAAGGATGGATTTACCATCAAGTTTTTTTCGTAGTCTATTTTTTTTCTTTTTAGTTGTTGGTTGATTTAATTAATTAGTTGGCAGGTTGGGAAGAGAGTTAATTTCATTTACTTGATTAGTTGGGTGGTGTTGGAGTGTTGTTTATTAATTTTAGAATGTTTCTGTGGATATCGAAGTCGGATATAATAGATTGGTTGGAGAAATCGAGTATTTTGTCATCTTGACTGAATAGAATTGAACTGACATGTTTCCAAATGTTGTGGTAGATGATCGCTGTTAGGTCTGATGATTCATCGCAGAGGTAGAAGTGAGTAGTAGATTTTTCCAGTGACCATTCGTCTTCGTAGTTGGCAATTTGTAGATGTTGTGTGATGTGTTTGAGGTTGAATTTGTTTAGGATGACTCGACAATTAAAGAAATAATGTGTGTGTGGGTCAAAGTCATTTGCTGAACATAGTTTACAACTGTCTTGTTTGATGTATGCCATACCAGGAAGTGATCTTGAGAAGAATCTGAATACTGTGTTTCTACCTCTGTGGTGTTTGATTGAGTTAATGTAGTAGAAGATGTTTCGGGTTGATGTAAAGTCTATTTTGGTGGGGGGAAGAGATAGTTGGAATTGACCTGATGTAAGTACTGGTTTGTGGTGATGGTTGATAAGGTTGTGGTATATGAGTTTAAGTGGTAGTGGTTCGTCATTACGCAATATTGGTTTCATTTGATGTGGAGGTAATTTCATAATTGGTCTAAAGTGTTGCCAAAGAAGGATGGAATGTTTGAGTGTAGGTGAGGTTATCTTGTTATGTCTAATTTGGTTACGCCAGCTTTGGTAGTATGGGGAATAGACATCTTGATTTGCAATTACTCTATTTAGTATCCAAATGTGTTGAGCGTCATTTCGTAGTTTCATATCCCACAATGATATGCCACCATTTTTCCAATGATGTACTGCTCTGGAGAGTGTCATTGTATTCTTAAATGATTTTGCATCTTCGAAAGGTCTGAGATTGGATGACCATAGGAACCAAGTGATTATTTTGTTGAGTGATTTGATATCTGATTCTGTGAATTTGTCAAGGTACATGTGGTAAGAGAGTTTTGATAGTGTGTATGACTTGAGTATTGACATTTTAGTCCTTAGGGTTGTGCCAAACTTCTTCCATTTGATCAGTGATGATTTAACTTCGCTGACTATTGATGAAAGTGAATGATGTAATCCTTCGGAGTTAAAGAAAAGACCGAGATATCTTTCGTTGACAATTGACTTTGGTATTCTTGTGTCGCCTATGATCGGGGGGTGGTGAAGATGGTCGCTGCAAGGTGGACCTATTTGGATGATACAACACTTGGTGGGATTGATTTTGGATGATGTGGCTTGGCAGAACAGGTTAAAGATTCTTAATTTTAGTTTCAGATCTTTATAATTTGCTGAAAATGTGCTACTGTCATCTGCGAATTGTAATAATTTAACCATTGTGTTGAAATCGTTTAGTGGAAGACCGATTGCTTTGGAATTGAGTATGGCTCTGGCCAAACATTCGATGACTAGAACAAATAACGTTGGTGATAGTGGATCTCCTTGTTTAACTCCTCTGTTGATAGTAATAGGGTTAGTTAAAAATCCGTTGACAATTACTCTGGCGGTAGAACCTGTGAGAAGGTTCATTATTAGGTTGATTATTTTGTTGTCTATTTTAATGTGTTGTAGTGTTCTTCTAATAGCGCCGTGAGAGATGCTGTCGAAGGCTTTGTTGAAGTCGAATAATGTTATTAAGCCACTTAATCCTCTGAGTTTGCAGTATTCTATTATTTCATTCATCGTGATGATGTTGTCCATGATATATCTCTTGTGTACAAAGCCAGTTTGGTTGTCGTTGATGATTAGGTCTACCAAGGTTTTCATTCGATTGTTGATTGCTTTGGTGATAACTTTGTAGTCGTTGTTGAGTAGTGTTATTGGTCTTCTATTGGCTGGATCGAATATATCACCTTTCTTGTAAATAGTTGTGATGGTGCCTACTTTGAATTCGCTTGGTAGTGGATTGCCTGAGTTGAGTGATTGGTTGTAAAGTTTGGTGAGTATAGGGGCAATGACATCGCAGTGGGCTCGGTAGAACCATAGTCCTAAGCCATCTGGGCCAGGTGATTTCCATGGGTTGGATGAATTAATAGTTTCTGTGATCTCTTCGGTTGTGAATTCTCTGGCAATGCTATCATCGGTTATTTCACATTTCCATTCGTTAAGTAGTCTATTGTGTATGGTTGGATCATCTGGAACATTTCTGAATAACGATGTGTAGTACTTCTCCATGATGTTCACCATATCATCGAGATTAGATGTAACCGTGGTTTCATTTAATCTTAAACCGACGATGTTGGTATCTTTTTTGGATTGAGCTAGTTTAGCGGTTAATAATCGAGAAGGGATTTCACCGTTTAGTTGCTGGTTGACCTTGCGAATTGAATCTCTTAGATTCCTTTCTTCTGTTTGTAACTTGATAAGATCTAATTTTGCTGATTGTATGATGTTGTTGGGGAGGTTGGAGTCTATTGTTTTCAGTAAGTTGATTATCGTATTTCTTTTTATTCTTTTCCTTTTCTTTTGATAGTTTATGTAGCATTCTATGATTAATGATTTGACTTTTATCCAGTCTTCTATGTTGTTGATGTTGTTGGTGGTGATAATGTTATTAATAAGTGATTGTACTTCTGGTTCTAGTGAAGTTTCCTTATCGAGTCTCCACTGTGTTTGTGATAGTTGTGGTGGTGTGATTTTTATGTTTGTTGTGATTGGTGAGTGGTCAGATAGTGCTCTAGGGTGTAGTTGGAAGTTGGATGTTTCTATTGTAAATTTGCAATATATTCTATCTAATCTCTTTTCTGTATCGCCACGTTTCCAAGTGCTGCTGTTGTTTGTACTATCTAGATCAATAAGATCATGATCATCGCTGAGGAAATCTAATATTGTTGATAGTGGTGAGCTGTCTCCTGGTATACAATTAAAGTCGCCAGTGCAAATGTCTATATGGTTTGGTAACCAAAGAGAAGTGTTGTTGAAGAGTTGATCAGCAAACAATCTTTGCTCTGGTTTGCTTGCTGGAGCATATATATGTAGGAGATTGAAGCTATTGTTGAATATTCTTATAGTACACAGAATGAATCTTCCATTAGGATCGATGAGAGAGGGGTATAGATTGATATGCTTGGAATGAGAGATGATTGCAACCCCAGTTCCTTGACCGTTTGAAGTAGTTATTATCTTATTATTATTATTATTTTTGTTGAAATATGAGTTGAGTGAGGTGATTGTGACGTGATTAGTTTCTGTAAGTAGGGTGATGTGTGGTGAAGTAGATGAAATTAAAGAGGCTATATCTTCCAGTGATTTTTGTAGAACTGCGCCCCTGCAGTTCCATAGAAGTAGCTTAAGGTTGTCCAATTGGGGCTAAGGGTATTCTCACATGTGTCTGCGTATTACCTGCTGGAGCCTGAGTTCTCTTGTTTTGATTTGTATCTTCTGAATCTTTAACTTCTCTTTGTCTAACTGTTGTAGTGTCATTCTTCTTCTTATTTCTCTTCTTATCGGTTGAAGTTGTTGTTGTAGTTGTAGAAGAAGTTCTTTGTGTAGGTTCTACGTATTTGGTTAGAGTTGAAGTATAACCCGATTCTTCGTCTTTGTAGTCAGCGTCAGAAATGATGACATCTTTCTCGTAGAGTACCCATGTAGATGCTTTGTATAGTTTAGTGGTATTGTCTTTGGTGGGTAGCAGAGAGGAGACATGTGAAAAAAGAGCATGATTCTTCTTGTATATCTTCTTGAATTCATCCTCTTTAATTGCTTTAGAGCTGTCTGATGTTGTTATTGCTGATACTTTTAGAAAGTTGAAAGAAGGGAAATAGGCAACAATCTTTCTAGGTTTATTTATCGAAAGGTTCTCACTACAGTAAACATGTAGATCATTGAGACGTGATCTGTCAATCCTTCCGTTAAATACAATTCCTTTGCTTGTCCTACGACCCTCGGGATCTGATACAGTGCTCATAATGAAGAGATCATATAGTTTTTCTAAAATCTTGTTACTGACGTAATTTGATTTAGGAAAGTATAGACGTACATGAATGCTCTCTAGTTGTATGAGTTGCATGAAGGTCGCATTGTTGCTAAGCTTTAGATTCTTTTTATAGAACTCGAATAGAGTACTCATTTTACTAATTGATTGTTCTTATTGTTATTTAAATGTATATAAATATATATTATAGAATAAAATAAGATTTGATGGTGATTAGATGAATATGTAATAATTAGTTTAAATTTATATTAAATCTTATATTATTGCAATAATATGTTGTATTATTAATAGTTATTGCTAAATAGTTGATATAAATATGAAAATATAATAATTATAAATAGTAGTATACAGTTACTAATTGTATACAAAAAAACGAAAAAACTTGTTTGTACCTAAATAATAATAATAATTGTAATAATATATTGTTATTGTCATTAAAGTTAAATTTGGGGTGAGGGGAAACCTCGATAAATTCAAAGAACTTTATCTTTGTAGTAAATAAATAAATATATTACTACAAATTTGAAAAGAATTTAAATCACATTGACAAATCAATTATTTTCATATATATCTTTATGGGAGATTTGGAAAATAAACCAAGATTTTTTTTGTCAAACAAAAATAATTAATTAATTAGATAAAAGTAAAGAAATAAAAAGGTGTTTGATTATATGATTAGAAATAAAGATATAAAATATTGTTTGTTTTTTTTATAAATAAAAAATACATTTATTTTTTGTATAAAAATACAAATTATTATTATTGTTGTTTTTTTTTTTTTTTGAATATTATAATTAGATAATTGATATTTCTTTGACAAAATGTTTTTGGATCTTTTGTCAAAGTTAGAACCAAAAAACCACTTCTACTTATAAATTATGAGTATACAGGCAGTTTATTGATATTGCTCTTCGTATTGTTGCTCTTCGTATTGTTGCTCCTCACCGTATTGTTGCTCGTCGTATTGTTGTTCCTCACCATATTGTTGCTCTTCGTATTGTTGCTCTTCACCACCGTAGTGTTGTTGCTCTTCGTAATGTTGTTGTTCCTCTTCACCACCGTAGTGTTGTTGCTCGTGGGCGCTTGGGGAGGCGGTGGCATTTGAGTCGGCACCGAAAACAGTGTATGATGGCTTACCACCGGTACCCTTTTGGACACCACGGGCACCCTCAGCAGTCTTCTTTGGTGCATTCAAGGCATTCTTGGTGGCCAATGAGTCCAAACCAATCGATGGACGGTCACCAGATCCCTTTTGGGCGGTACCCAAACCTTCGGCGGTCTTCTTTGGTGCATTCAAGGCATTCTTGGTGGCAACAGAGTCAGTGACTTGGGTGTGAGTGGCCTTTGGAGTGTGTACAGCACAGTAGAGTTTACCATCGAGATACTTGAAGTTCTTGACATTGAGGGTCAATTTGCATTCAGAGCCTATTGTTTTATTTTATTAAAATAAATAAATAATAATATGAAAATAATTGATAAATTAATACATCCATTTAAATAAATATCAAATTGTTGTTTTGAATCAATAACCAACCTCACTCACTCTTTACTCTCTATCTCTCACAGCCACTCTCTCACTTCACTTTTTCTGGAAAAAAAAATAATATTTTTTTCTTTTGTTTGTTAAATAGACATACACTTGAAGCAACCCTTGTGATAAGTCTTGTCACCATTGACGATTGACTCTAATGGGTAGGAGGTTTTTGAACAGATTGCACATTTAGCAGCTGACATTTTATATTATATATGAGTTTTTTAATTTAAATAAAAAAGAAAAGAGAAAAGGAAGGAGTTTTTTGGAAGTGGTGAGAGTGATATATATAACACAGAGAGTTAATTATTATACAAATTTATAAAGGTTTATTAAGAATGAAAGATTTTTGTTCTTGCAAGCAGTTGTTGATTTTGTTGTTGCTGCTCCTGAATGTCAAACAAATTAATTTATTTTTATTTTAATATTTTTTTTTCATAAAAAATCAATTACAACACCCACAGTAATATGAGTAAATTAATGGGTTTTTGAGTTGGAAATCAATATTCAACATACCACATTTATAAAAGAAATTTTAATTTTGGTTTATAAGGTGGGTGGGTTTAGTTGGTCAAGTGGCTTTTGAAAAAAACCAATTTTTCAGTCTTTTTTTTTTTTGAAAATGAATTTTAATTTTTATTATTAAAAAAAAATTGTTGTTTGTAATTTTTTGTTTTTGATCTCGATCGATCATAATTCATTTTTTAAAAATATGATTTATTAAATAATAAAATAAAAAAAAAATCTTTGCTAGTTAAAGCAATAATAATTGCTTTTTTGCTATCCATCAATTTAAAAAATATCTTGAATTAAAATGAAAATTTTCATTATTGTAATATTTGTTTGAAAATTGTTTGTACTCTTTTTAATATTAAAAAGATCGTCCCAATTAAAATATCAAACACCACAAAAGTGACAAAACCAAATTGGTGCACCAATTTTTTAATTAGGAGGAATGGAAATCCGATACCAAATTTTATAATAATGACAACCATCATTTTTGGTATTGCAATATTTATATTTCATATTGTATATTGTATAATAAATATCCGTTTTGGTATACCAAATACATATGAACCATTTCTCATTATTTGTTTCAATTTGACGATAATAAATTATTTTGTTAAAAAAATAGAAAAAAGAAATGTCATATATTTATACAATCACATATCTAATAACATCTGATATCTTTTATACATTGATAAATAAATTGCTATAAATTCTCAAATACTTAGACTTTTAACTTTAAAAAAATATTACAAATGATTCTTTTCATTAAAAAACTGCTGCAGTCTCTTTTCGTTTGTGATAAAAAAAAAGACCATTGTAACGTTTTTTCCAAAATTTTGAAAAATGATCAATGAGATTTTGACGATCATAAACATTTTTTTTTTTTTACATATTAGACGACGATAATACATATATTGTTGTTGTTTTTTAATTTATTTTTGTAGAAATGAATAAGTTAGTGAAATCATTTACTTGTAGTTTATATAATGTTGGTGTTACATCGGCAGTTCGTCGTGGTATCACCAACAGCACTTTTATCAGTGCATTCCAACAACAACAACAGCCATGTGTCAGATCATTCTTTTCACAATCAATGGTTAATAGATCAAATACTACTACTACACAATCATCAGCGCAACAACAACCAGGTACAACTACAACTACAACATCTAATACCTCATCATTGATTCAATCAGTTTTGAAAGGACAAAAGGAAAAAGAAGAAAGCAATAAACCAGTAATCAAGACAGCAACAGCTACTTTAAGAAACTTACCATACAGTCAATGGAAATTGATGCCATTGTTCAAAGCTATCACTGGTCTCAGCTATCGTGAAGCCATTGCCCAACTTACATTTGCAAACATCGGTCCAGCCAATCAAATTAAAGGTTTGGTTACATCTGCACGTTACAACGCCGAGTACTATAAGAATTTAGATCCAGATCGTTTAATTGTTTGTAAGTACAAGCTGAACTCACTATAGTTGTACTATTCGTTGGGTTGAGTCTCCCCCTCTCTCAGATATTAATATTCATCATTTGACCCAAATTTAATTAAATTACGATCTATAGCACAAATATATACAGGAAGATCACACTATCAATCAAGAATCGAATTTAAAGGTAGAGGTAGAACTGGTATCAGAAGAAAACCATTCACACATGTCACAGTGGAATTGAAAGAAGTTGAAAAGGTATCGGGTGAAAAGAAACTCGGTAAATTTGGAAAGACTCACAAGACCATCGAAAATTATAACAATCCATTGGTATCTTAATAGTTTTTAAATAAATATTAAATATAATAATAAAAAAATCATTTATAAATAAAAACAATAATTAAAAAAAAGATAGGAAAAAAAAAAAGATAATCGTAGGATAAAATAGATGATAGGATGGATGAATTTACATAAATGTTTATGATTACTATAATTATTATTTAGTTTAACTACTAATACTTAATAAAGTTATTATCGTTGAAATGACGAATGCATCGTAGAGTACTTGTTGCCAAAGTTCTCGGTTTTTAAATTTCAACCACCACACTGCCAGGAGAGCAAGACTGACGATGATATGGGGGTATTGCGATACAATAAAGTGTAGTATGATATCTTTGTACAGGCATATTCCGGCGATTGGCGGAATCATCATTAGATAGCCATTCTGACTGAGTTGGTAGGTGAGGAATCCGATGATTACAATGACAAACGACGACCACTCCATAGAGCAGAGTGGATTGACTGCGATGATTTGCGATGGGTTGCGCAGCGACAGTGTTAGCTGTGGCATCAGACAGTAGCGTAGCGATGAGAGTGGCGACACGATCGTATTGACCATGGTGTAGATCGAATAGACCAGATAGATACCAAACACCGTTGCAGCTAGATATCTAAAATGTTGTTTATTCTCAATTTCACGCTTCTCTTTTTCCAGTTGTTTGATCTTCTCCATTCGTTTCTCCAACTTTATTTTTCGTTTCTCCTGAGATTTCTGGAGGATCTCGGCACTTCTTTCCTTTCTCTTTCTAATTCTATCCTTTTCCTTCTCCAATATCTCGGCATCTCTCATCTCCCTCTTATTCAACTCTGTCATATTATAACGTTTCCATTCATTCACCTCCCGATCCTGATGTGCCAATATGAAAACATTCATAAATGATACCTCTGGTGATAAATTACTTTGAGAGTATCTTTTCTTTCTATTATTATTATAGCTATTACTAATATTGTTGCTATTGTTACTACTAATATATTCAATGTCATCATCTTCATTGTCTGTTTTGTTTGTATTTGTAGTATTGACAATAATTGTTGATTTTTCATTATCATTACTGCAATTCTCTTCTTTTACATTATTACTATTCTCTAGTTGTTGTTGTTGATATTGTTGTTGATGTTGTTCAAGTTGCTCTAGTAGTAGTGTTTGTTCTTGGTATCTCTTTTCATTTTTACGAACCAAGTTCTTTAGATCAATCGATAATCTTAGTGTCTTTGATCCAAGTCCTTTCGAGTCAATAGTATCCAGTAACTTTCCAGACTCCTGTATATCGTCGTTATTCATATCAGAGCCAAGTTCTATCAACTTTTTGATTTCACCAATGATCTTATTCTCTTCGCTAGCCAACTTTATAGATTTCTCTAAACTATCAAATTCATCTCCAAGTTCATCTATATATTCATTTAAATTATGATAAATAAACATTTAGTAAGAAGATTTGTTATGGATAGTACTAATATATTATACCTTTAAATTCAGATGATGATTGTTTAAATTGAATGTAATCGGTTTGTAATTGATGTTGATCTATTTGATTGTCAGAGTTGTAGAGATAGTCATTGACTCGATCTTGTATGTTTCTTCCTTGGTGGTACAGTGCGAGTACTGTACGTGATCTCTTTGTTATTTCATCATCTGGTGACGACGACGACGACGACGACGACGATTGCTGAGCGTTATACAATAGCTTCAATTCACTCTCTATACAAAGAAATTCATTCTGTCGAAGATAATCCTCTAGATCGGTGCGTATCAACTGTTGTTCATCGGGCATTGCTCTCATCTCAACCTGCTTCTCATCCATCGACCTATTCTCTTGATTCTTTACATCCAAATTAGAGATAGTTGAATACATTATCATAAAGAGAGTAATTCCAACTATAACAACATTATTAACTATTCTATCTCTATCTTTATTGCTATTATCATCATAATAATCATCTTCTTTAATATCTATATTATTATCTTTTTTATTATCTTTATTTTGTTGATTTCGTTCTTTTATATTATTATTTGTATTTGTATTTATATTTGTTGGTGATGATTCTTCATCATTGTCGTTTGAACAAAGATCGGGAAAGTTCTTACAAATTGAAGAATCTATTTTAATATTATTGTTTTTGTTGTTATTATTACTATTTACATTTTTTTTATTGTTATTTTTATTACTATTACTATTTATATTTGTTGTTGGTTTTTGTTGTTTATTTATTAAATCAGGATGATGTGAGTATATCTCTGATTTCACTTTATTCTTTACATTTCCTGCATTTACAACTATAATACTGCTATTTAATGATAATGATAATAACCAAACAATAAATAATATAAATAATATTGTATTTTTATTCATTATTATTATTAGATTTAATACGCAATATCTGTATATTCATTGGGTAAATTAAATGAATGAACTTAAAATCTTAATTTTTATATTTTCGCATTAATTTAATTTCTTGAATTTTTGACACAAGAGTGGTGTGAGATTTTATTAGTTTTGGGGTTGTTTACAGTTTTGATGATTTCTGATTATTATTGTTATTGTTATGTTCAATATTATCCAATAGTAAATCAATTTGATGAGTATATTGTACTGGATATTTGCGATAGTGTGCTACATGTTCGGACTCGGTGAAACATTTCGAGAGAATGAGACTGTCGTCTCTGAGTGAATTCGATAGTTGTTTTCTGAATGACTCTACGCTTGACGGAGTTACCAGGGTGTCGCCTTTCGAGTAGAGGAACAAGTGTGGCCAACGATTACTCTTTGACGCGAGCGTCGAGTAGTACGTCCATACAAACGGTAGATACTGCAACGCCAGCAGTGGCGATAGCAACATCGTCAGGAGGAACACCAACCTTGGTGTCGACTTACGAATTGCCCTGATTGCGGTGATGAACGACAACGTCGGTAAACTATCGTAGATGACACCGCGAATGTACCGATGAAGATGTGCAAACTGTTTGGTTTGCATTAAGTTGATGAAATGTGAGTAGTTGAATCCACCGCCATTCGAAAACATGTGAATCACTATCGATTTGCAATCACGGTTCGCTTCCAGGTAGAGCTGAACCTCGCGCAGCATTCGCACCGCTTTGTAGCGCATGAAATAGGGAAATCCGAAATCGACGAACGGCGTCGGGTATTGCATCGTATTGAATCCTTTGTCGGTCCACAGCTTCGAGTACTTATCGAGTTGCTTATTGCTTGAACCTACCCAACCCAGCAACAGAACCAACGGTCTCGAACTATCGGTCGAACCTCCATCGAATTTTGGAACCGCTACACAACTATCTGCTTTACTTAATTTGAAAATAAATGTTGTTTTACTATGATTACTCATTATTATTATTATTACTACAATAACTATAAATAAATAAATAAATAAATACAAATATTAATTTAATAAATAAATCTAGTAGTTGAGTTGTTTTGATAATATTATTATTGATAAAACTCAATACTATTTAAACAGGCAGTATAAACAATTTAATTAATGTGAATGACATGTCATTTTTGGATTTTAATTAAATTTCGAGATTTTTGAAAAATTGTGAAAATTAGAGTGTACAATTGCAACAACATTATGTTGGTGTTAAAACATACCATCTTTGGTAATGCATACCGAAATGATATTTTTCGAATCATGTTCATCTCACTAATTAAAATAGTGATTTATACAAATATTATATATCATTACATTGAAGATAAGATTTATATGATTTTAATCAAAATAAAAATAAAAATAATATTATTATAAAATAAAAGATGAAAAAAGAGAGATAAAATAAAATAAAAATAAAAATAAAAATATTAATTTAATTTATTTATTTACTTAAAGAATGTATAAATATAGTTAAAAATAATGATTGTTATAACAAACACTATGTTTTGTTTATCTTTTTGTTGTTTAACTGCACTATTTGATTTTATGAGAGAACAGAAGTTCATGAAAAAATGAAATTTTTATTTTTTTGAATTTTTTTGAATTTTTTTTTCGTTGTCCTCTGACATGCTGTGTGGTGTAGTGTCTCACAGAGTGTGCGCATCCCAACGAGCGTCTCATGGTGCTCTGTCAAAACACTGAGATATAGTACCCTCGCTTGAGACTCAGTATCTATTCCTCCATAAGTTCATAATGGTATGTTATTATCGTAATTCTATCTATCATCTACTATCTATCTAGACTTATTATGTATTAGAAAGAGAAAATAGAAAGAGAGAGAAGATAGATGAAAAAATGGAACAAAATGACTTACATTTAGATAACCTACTCATATAGCCCAAACAAATCCGTGAGATCAAAGATTTTCTTTTGACTGTTCGTCGTAAGGACGCCAAGGAAATCAGAATCAAGAAGAACGCCAAGGACACCAAGTTCAAGGTTCGTTGCGGAAGATTCCTTTACACTCTCAAGATCACTGATCAAACTAAGGTTCCAAAGTTAATGCAAATCCTCCCACCAGTAACTATCATCACATTTTTCAACAGCTAATCTCTACTTTGGACACTAACACTTCTTTTTCCATTAACCTATAGGCTCTCAAGCAAGTTCACATTGACAGCAAGAAATAAACGGTTTTGCTAAGCATTATAGAGGAATAAATGATATAATTCAATATACTTTTCTTTTCGTCTCTCCCTTTATTCATACCACAAAACACACTCAAAACGAAACAACAACAACAGCAGGATCTCTCGCTCTTCTTTTTAGTTTTAGATAGCAGAATTGTTTCGATAGTTATGTCACTTTCCTGATAGTTTAGTTTATTAAGAAATCAGATTTCTATGAAGATAGGTTATGTATGTTGATCAATAGTTTATGATTTTATTTCTTTTTGTATTATTATTGATTTACAAACAAACAACATAAAAGTAGTTTTGTAGTTTAAACATTATATTGATTTATTTGATTGATTACCAATTTCATGATTTCATTGGTAGTCTTTGGTTTAAAGTTATAAAGGTGATAGTTCTTGTTATGAAGATCTTCCATACTGATTTCTGGCAAAAATGACAGACCTGTGATATATTGTGCCCATTTAAATGGTCTACCTTTTAATTTGTGTGTAGATAATGAAAATGTTTCACTAGTAAGCAAACATAGTAGTAATATTATGTTAGTTAATTTAAAGAGTGAATGTTTAATTAATTAATTAATCATACATACTTTCCAAATATGAAATGATTCGATTGATTTGGAGTTGTAAGACCTCGATCATTGATATCTATACTCTCTAGAACCTGTTGACCATCTTCTTCATTGTCGTTTAACATTGGAAGTACGGTGACGATCTTCAACGTCGGATAGTAGTAGAATTCCAAGCGAATTTGATTGTCATCGTTGTTTGAAGTGATCTTGAGCGACACATAAATATTTGAAGGTGTAAGAATATATGATTTAAAGTGTGGTGATGATATATCCATTGAATCCTGTTGTTGCTGTTGTTGTTGTTGTTGTTGTTGTATTGACGAATCCATACATTTTATATCGATATCGATTTGACTATCTAAATATTGTTGTTTATTTAGATTAGTTAGTTATTAGTTTGCATTAATAGTTAAAAAAGGAAAGAATGGGGGTGTGTTAAACTATAAACAACAAACAGCAAACAACAAATAGCAAACAATAATAACAAACAACAAACAACAAACAACACTAATCTTTTAGTTTGTTTACTTACATTCAATGTTTTTATAAGATTGTATTTCACTGTAGAGTATAAAGAGTGGTAGTGGTGTTTGTCTTAAAAGTTGGTGTGATTTGGTGATGGATGGCTGTGCGTACGCTATCGGTCGGATGTAAGGGTCGATCGGCTTGAGCACTGCGTTCAGTGTTATGTTGTGGTTTTTTAGTTTGTAGTCGAATTCGGCGAGTTGTTTGCGTTTCTTTAGTTCCTGTTCTTTCAGTTCTTTCTTGGTGGCTCGCAGTCGTTCGAGTTCCTGTTGTTTCTCGATGCGCTTCGACATCTCCCATTCCAGACGCTCGATGATCTTGTTCGATTGGTGTTCCGAGTGATAGGCGTTGGTCTCTAAGAAAGCGGATTCCTTCGAGAGATTGAGCGAAGGGTCGTTGATATCGAACGGTGGTGACGACTCTAGCTGTAGCAGCTTCGAAGCGTATAGATCCTTCTCGTAGAGTATCGATTGCAATCGGTTGTCCAGTGACTCTAGACCGTCGATATCGATATCCGATGTCTGTTGATTCAACAAGCCATCTATTTCGTTGTTAAACTCTGATAGCATTATTAAATCTTTCATTCTATCCAATGTAACTATATTATTGTCTCGTTCCTGAGTTGCATTTCTAAGTTTCTTCTCAACAGATCTACCAACATCTTTTCTTATTGACTCTATTAGATTGTAACATTTTAAGTTGATATTCTTTTATCTTATCATTACTAACATTTATATTCATTCTTAATAAACTCTATCAATCACATTATAAAATGACTATTTTTTTCAATTGTTTGTTATTTTTTTTTTTTAAAAAAATTGTTATGGAAAAACTATTAATTAAAAAAATATAATAAAATATCAAAAATTTGTAATAATAATAATAAGATAAAAGATTTCTATTTTAAATTAGAACATATAAATAAATCCATTTTTTTTAATTTGGAGCTAATATTTTAATTACCAGATCATTGAGAAGTTTGGAAATTATCACTGAATAAATAGATATGATCCTGATTCCAAAAAACTATAAAAATATTGTGGTATATAATAGTATTCAGTATCAAAATCTTGAAAGTGAATAATATTAAAGTATAAATAGTTTAGAATAAATTTACTTTTTCTTAAACTTAAAGGAACCTTTAGATTCTAAACAAATTATTTTATTTATGTTGAATTATTTTTAAAATTCTAAAATGGTGATAAAACATAATAATATGAATGAATTTCATGTATTTTATTAATGTTTAATTTCTCTAACTAATTTACTGGTCCATGGACACCAAAAACATCCAGGTAAGAACTAAATTATGATAAAGTTTCCAATTAAAATTTGTTTAATCTTTTTATAAAGAGGAGTATTTAAAAGAATACTTACAGCACCACATGCTTCATCTAAATGATCTTCTACATAGCTTGTGTGAGCATCGCAAACTTCAATTGCCAAATCAAAAAATGAAATTGTGTCTGAGTCCAAATGGAAACTGAATCTTGGGTTATAATCAGTTGTGGTTTTTTTAATTCTTCCCATGAAATGTGGTCGTACAGTAATAGTTCCATCAAGCAAACCTCTGGCATGTTTAATGTTTTCTTCATCAATTAATTTGATGATAAATCTAGTTGTACCAGTAACATCGGCGGTTTCGAAGTATGCTGGTTTAATGTCGCCAGCAGATGCAATATAGGAAAAAACAGTCAAAACAACTAATAACAAAATGATTGAAATTTTCATTTCTTTAAGTAATTTAGATATCTATAATAAAATGATTTATGATTTGGTTTGAATGATATTCTAAACAATTCTTTTGATAGGTATTTATACTTTTATTATAATTATGAGTTTATTTGAATATTGTTAAGATCATTTAATTTCTTATGATCCTCAAAGAATAAAAACTGTATTTCTTTTCAATTTTATAGAGATATTAAATTCATTCTAAATCTGGAGAATTGAGTAAATTGTCATAATTGAGGTTGATAAGTGAGGTGAGCCATTTCGTTTAAATACAAGGGTCAAAAAAGTAACAATAAAAATTGTTTTTTTCGCACACTGTGTAATTAGTAATTTATCACTCTAGAAGAATAAAGTAATAGTAATAAATAGTACTTTTGGTTTATTTTGCTGATTTTATCAATATTTTGAAAAAAATTCATTCAATTGACATCATTTTTTTGAGAGTAGTATTTTTTTCTTTTGCTATAGAATTCACTTCAAAAATGTAACTTTATAACTTTATATTAAGATTTTACTTTAATTTTAATTAATTATTTGTTTATCTAGTGTTTTGTTCATAAGTTTTAAACTTCACACTATTTTTAAAGTGGGTGGTAAAAACACCGCAGAAATGAATGTTGGTTTTTTTAAATTATTGTTCTCATCTCAATCATTGAATATATACCATGAATAAAGTTATAATGTTACATACAATTTATTACTATTACATCAGAGATAAACTACTAATTACACAATGTGCGAAAAAAACAATTTTTATTGTTACTTTTTTGACCCTTGTATTTAAACGAAATGGCTCACCTCACTTATCAACCTCAATTATGACAATTTACTCAATTCTCCAGATTTAGAATGAATTTAATATCTCTATAAAATTGAAAAGAAATACAGTTTTTATTCTTTGAGGATCATAAGAAATTAAATGATCTTAACAATATTCAAATAAACTCATAATTATAATAAAAGTATAAATACCTATCAAAAGAATTGTTTAGAATATCATTCAAACCAAATCATAAATCATTTTATTATAGATATCTAAATTACTTAAAGAAATGAAAATTTCAATCATTTTGTTATTAGTTGTTTTGACTGTTTTTTCCTATATTGCATCTGCTGGCGACATTAAACCAGCATACTTCGAAACCGCCGATGTTACTGGTACAACTAGATTTGTCATCAAATTAATTGATGAAGAAAACATTAAACATGCCAGAGGTTTGCTTGATGGAACTATTACTGTACGACCACATTTCATGGGAAGAATTAAAAAAACCACAACTGATTATAACCCAAGATACAGTTTCCATTTGGACTCAGACACAATTTCATTTTTTGATTTGGCAATTGAAGTTTGCGATGCTCACACAAGCTATGTAGAAGATCATTTAGATGAAGCATGTGGTGCTGTAAGTATTCTTTTAAATACTCCTCTTTATAAAAAGATTAAACAAATTTTAATTGGAAACTTTATCATAATTTAGTTCTTACCTGGATGTTTTTGGTGTCCATGGACCAGTAAATTAGTTAGAGAAATTAAACATTAATAAAATACATGTAATTCATTCATATTATTATGTTTTATCTCCAATTTAGAATTTTAACTTTTTTAATTTTGATAAGAATTGAAATAAAAAATTTTAATTTTAATAACATTATACCTCCAATATTATTACCATTTCTATTGATTCTTCATTATCAAAACACAGACAATTGAAGAAAATATTAGTTAATTGTACACCTACTAGGGTACCACTTCCACCACTTTCCACGCGAGTTACTTAAAATAAAAATAATACTAAAAAAGAATAAAAAAGTGACACCTTCATTTATTCCCAGATAGCTCTAAGTTTGTTTTACAAAAAGAAAGGACAAGTTTATTTTACACCATCATAGTGTTGCAAATATATTATTGTAATATTACAAACAATAAAACTAAATTTACAATTTCAATTTATAAAAAATTTGAAACAATAAGCCATGAAGATTGCGATGTTTTGTTACTTTTTCACCCTTTAATTGATAAAAATTGTTAAAGAAAATAAAAATTATTTTCTTAGTCCTAATGTAATTTTACAATAGATTTAAGTGAACCTCTCAAATAATATTTAAATATAATTTTTTTTAAAATCTTATCTCTTGTTTTGATGGTAGAGAATTTTAAAAACAAAATAGATATATTGAGGTTATTGAAAAAAGAATACTCTAAATTAGCAATATATATTTTTGAACCGCATTTTCGTAATGGTTTTTTTAAAAAAATACCAAAAAAAAAAAAAAAAAAAAACGCTTACATTGAGGTTAGTTAAAGGATGGCCAAAGGATCATCATCATCATCATCATCCAGTGCTGGTAAAGATGATAAATCTAAGAAAGATGAAAAATCAACTTCAAAGAAAGAAGACAAGCCAAGTGGTAGTAGTGGTAGTGGTAAAAAACCAGTTGATTCAAAGTCATCTGCAACTGCAGCTGATTCAAAAGATAAAAAGTCATCAAAAGATAAAGATAAAGATAATCAACAACCAATTCAATCGAATGAACCACAAAAAGTAAGTAAAATTATTACTTATCATTAAAGATATCAAAGCAAAGCAAAATATTAAGTGAAAGCTTAATGTAAATATTTATCATAATAGCCAAGATGGACTGGTAAAGTACCCGTTCAATATTTGAATGAATATTGTCAGAAACAACATATGGAGAGACCGGCCTATAATGAAGCGAAAGCATTCAAGTCGGCAAAGGGAGAGTTACAGTTCCGTTCGAAAGTAACGCTAAAGTTTGGAAGGCAAAGAAAAAGGTGATAACAGAAAAGTCTTATATGCCACCACACTCGTCGCCAACCATGCAAGAAGCTAGAAGTTACGCTGCTCTAGTTGCACTGTTCGATCTCTGTGGCAACACCAACATCTACAAGTTGTTCCCGCCCGAGTACACGCCGTTTTGGTTGCAGATGGCAGACGACTCCAAGGTGGCGGCCGCCGAACAAGAACGACTCGACAAAGTGGCAGCGGCAGAAGCCGAGAAAGCAAAAGAGAAAGAACCTACTCACACTCAACAGATTCCATCGATAAACATGTCCGAAGAAGCTATTAGAATCGTTCATTCTCTGGTGCGTCAGATGAATCTAAAGTTGGAGGAGAACGACAACAACAGTGGCAGTGACAGTGTAGATGTCAACATGAACGAACTCAATGAGAAAGAACACTCTGTATTAGCTTCCACTTTGACATCTCTAGGTTTTACAGAGTCGAGCATCAACAGTGCATTCAACAAGGTCAAAGATGTATCGAGTCTGACCAACCTCATTTCATGGCTATGTCTAAATGTACCAGAAGATCAACTACCAATTACTTTTCGTCCAAAGAATATTGGTATTCAAAAGAAGACAGCAACATCGACAACAACCAATCAAACAACAACATCTACAACAAAAATAACAACAAATCATAGTCCAGAAGTTATTAGTGTTATTAATCAGCTACAATTGTATGGTTGGATGGAAGAGGAGATTTCACAGTCATTACAATCACAGGTTAATAATGATAGTTTGTTTCATCGGGCATATTATAAGTTGACTGGTTATGATTTACAGGTTGACGGCGGTGAACAACAACAGGATGGTGATGGCGATGAAGATGTCAAATCAGATGAACAACAAGCAATTCAATCGATTTACGAAACATTCACAGTCAAGTCAGATAATCAGTTTAATATTAAGCTGGATCTAGGTGAACTTGATATTATATTCCCAAAGATTGCCCGATATCCACTGAACCCACCAGTATTACTTTTCAAACCAAAAGACAAGTCTCTACAACCTAAAACAAGACATCTCTTGACAGAGTTGATCAATCAATGTAAACAATCACTTTCACAACCAATGTTATTCACCATAATTGCATTCATTGATTCAAATGGTCAAGATATATTAAAGAATAGTAATAGTAATAGAAATAGTAATAATAATATGAGCAACAATAACAACAACAATAACAACAATAATATATTAGATTCGATATCAATAACTAATTCAAATAATAACAGTAATAAAGTTATAAAGAAACATAATAATGATAGAAGAAATCAACAATCGATTGCTAATAATGATAAGGAGAATAACGATTTACGCAGTCATTTCAATACGATTATAAAGTCAGAGAAGAATAAGCCGATTCTCAAGGTTAGAGAATCACTTCCTGTTTTCGCAAAGAAGAAGCAGTTCATTGAGATGTTGTCTGCCAATCAGGTGATGGTGGTAACCGGTGAGACTGGTTCAGGTAAATCAACACAGATACCACAGTATATCCTTGAGGATATGGTCACACGAGGTATCGGTTCACAGTGTAATATCGTTTGTTCACAACCCAGACGTATCTCTGCTATTGGTGTTGCCGACCGTGTTTCCGCAGAGTGGTACGGTGGCGACAAGCAACAGCTGGGGTCGATGGTCGGTTACCAGATTCGTAATGAATCGAAGCGGTCTGCCGCAACGAGGCTGTGTTTCGTCACCACCGGTATTCTGCTGCGTATGATGCTCGACAGTAGACCACTCGAGAATGTATCGCATATCATTATCGATGAGGTGCACGAGCGTTCGATGGACAACGATTTCCTGTTGATCATTCTCAAGCAGCTGCTAAGAAGACGTCCCAATCTAAAGTTGATATTGATGAGTGCCACCTTGGACGCTAAACTTATTGCCAACTACTTTGGAATTGGTGAATCCGCTATCTTTTCGATTGCAGGTTTCACCTATCCAGTTCAAAACGTCTACTTGGAAGATTCAATTAAACTAACACAATATAAACCAACCAATTATAAAAGACTACAACAACAAAAGCAACAACAGCAACAACAAGATGATCAACAAGATAAAGAATCAACTACAACTTCTACATCTACAACATCTACATCTACAACTACTTCTACAAGTGGTTCATTCGATGTTAATAATGTATTAGAAGCGATGGATGCTAAGATGGATCAAAAGAGAATCAATCATGATTATATTCAACATTTGATTTGCTATTTGGTGAGGAAAGAAGTTAAAGCCGGTAAATCAATATTGGTGTTTGTTCCAGGTTTCTCTGATATCTTGCAGATTATCAATGGTTTGAATGGATCTGCCGATTCCAATTTGATGTGGTTGCTACCGCTACACTCTTCACTGACACCAAAGGATCAGCAGCGAGTGTTTGAACGTGCACCCGCTTCCAAGACAAAGATTATCGTTGCCACAAACATTGCAGAGACATCTATTACCATCGACGATATCGGTATTGTCGTTGACACAGGTCGTGTCAACCAGATGTCGTACAATGCATTCACCAAGAACTCGATGATGTCTGAGTGTTGGATTGCCAAGGCGTCGGCGCGTCAACGTGCTGGTCGTGCCGGTCGTACTTCCGCTGGTGTCTGTTACAAGCTGTTCACCAAATCGATGGAACAAGAGCTCGCTGCACAGGAAACACCGGAAATCCTTCGTACTCCACTTCAACAGCTGTGTCTACACGTCAAGCTCTTCCAAAGCCAGTCGAACAACCCGAACGCCAAGTTGAAGCCGATCTACGATTTCCTGGCGATGGCAATCGAGCCGCCCGAGCAACAGTTGGTTCAACACGCAGTCGATGAACTCAAGAGTATCAACGCACTCGACAAAAACGAACAGCTAACAGCACTCGGTTATCATCTATCTCAACTGCCAGTCGATATCTACATCGGCAAGATGCTGTTGTTCGGATGTATCTTCCGTTGTCTGGATCCGATTCTCACTATTGCAGCGACACTCTCCTATAAACCGCCATTCATTACATCGTCACAAGATAAATCGCTGCGTGCCAACTCCAAATTCCATTTCGGACATCAGAGTGATCACTTTTCCTTCTTTATTGCATACGATCACTGGCGTAAATCGATACGCGAAGGTAACGAATATGCATTCTGCACAGAGAATCATCTCTCCATTCCAACACTACGAACCATTCAAGATCTTAAATTCCAATTCATCGAGCAACTATCAGAGATTGGTTTCCTACCTAATGGTTTAACATCAAAGAAAATATCGAAATTACAAGTAACTATATCATATAATAATAATAACAAGTATTATAAAATCAAATTTAACTAACACTCATTAGAAATCAAATATGTTGGATGAAGTAAGTGAGAGTTGTGGAGCAATCTATAATTCATTTGCATCAAACTCTAAAGTAATTAAATCGGTTCTATGTGCTGGTATGTATCCAAAGATTGCACGTATCGACTTGCCTGCTGCCACATACACTAAAGTTGCTGCCGGTGCCATTCAGAATAAATATGATCCACATTCATTACTTTTATTAACTAAAGTAGATAAGTGTAAGTTTATTAATATTAAAACTAATTAACGGTCACTATTAAACTTATTAACTTTATTGTATTTATTATCACAACTACTATAATAGCAAAACAAAAAGTATTTATACATCCAAGATCAGTAAATTCGAATGAAGGTGAATTTATTGCACCGTTTTTGTTGTATCATGAACGTGTTCAGACATCGAGAATGTTTATGCACCATACCACCAATATCAGTGCTTTGACATTGCTGTTGTTCTCTATTGGTGGATCGATCGAGATCGATCAATCATTCCAACATATTCTACTTGATAAATGGCTAAAGTTTAAGGCTACCGGAAAGATATTGGTTATTTTGAAAGAGGTTAGAATGCTACTCGACGAACTCTTGAATCAAAAGATAAGAGATCCATCATTCGACACTTCATCATCGGTAGTCATCGATATAATTATAAAGATTGTAACCAACGAAGGTTTTATCTAATGAATCGATTAAATACAAAAGTGTTATTCAAAGAACACTTAGTTTATTAATAAATAAGCTATTATAACATTTAAATAATTTGCGTATATGATAATTAGCTAAACAGTATCACATATTGATCTTTGTAATTTATTTATAATATTTATAGATTTAAAATTGTCTTTCTTTTTGAAGGAGTTGTCTTCTTGACATTTGTTCACCATTTGGTAGTTTAACGGTTTCTTTGTTGTTCAAAAGAGTGAAACCAATATCTTTGAAAACTGACGATCCTACTGCCTCAAGCAATAATTGTTTTGTCATTTCAACACCATTGAGAAGTGCTATAGATTCTTTTGATGTAATATCTAATGTTAAACCTTGGTATCCATCATAGCAAGATTTTTATATAAGGTTGAATTGGTTGGATCTAGCTCTATTGCTTTCAGGTATAGTTGTTGTTTTGTCATTGATTGTCCATTGTTAAGGATGATTGATTCACAAATTCTTCCAAGATTATAATATGAATCGGAATCGGTTGGATCTAACTCTATTGACTTCAAGTATAGTTGTTTTCTTGTCATTGGTTGTCCATTGTTGAGTGTGATTCTCTCATCTATTGATATTTTTGAAGCAAGGTTTCTATATAGTACGGAATAGTTTGGAGCTAACTCTATTCCTTTCAATCTTTACATTGTCTTGTCATTGTTTTTCCATTAAGAAGTTGTACTGACTCATAGGGAGAAATTATTGCTGATAGGTTATGTTATAAATTTGAATCCAATGGATCACAATCTATTCTCAAGTATAGTTGTAGTTGAGTCCCTGATTCGCCAAACGGAAGAACGATCGATGACAAATTCTGATCCGAAAGCAAGACTCCCAACTTGTAATAGCAATACCATAGTTTGGATTCAAACCGATCACTTTCAACAAGAGTTCTAATTTAATCTTTGATTCACCTGTAGGAAGTAATATAGTTCGTTCTTGATCTATAGGTTCATTGCCAAATGTCATTGCCAGTTGAAAGAGTGCGTCTTAATCATTTGGATTAATACTGATTGCATTGAGAAATGTTTGTTGTACATTTTCCATTTTTAAAAAATAGTGGAGATGAAAATATTTATATCTAGAAAATTATCTTTCTATTATTTTCTTAGAAAATAAAATTAAATAAAAAAAGATTTATGAAATAAGTGTAATAAAGTAATTGTAAAGTTGAACAATGATCCTTTTATAAATATCTTAAAAAAGACCTATCTTATGATTGTTTTTTCATTTCCCTCATTATTGATTGTTTGTTTTGCTGAGGAATAAAAAAAATCTCAAAATATTGATTCCAAAGTTGAACTTCGGGGACCAAAGAATTTAAAAAGTCATCATGAATTGTTTATAATACTGTGCAATTGAACTAAATTTCTTCTCTTTTTGGTGTATTTGATTCCTCTAGAGTCTATCTAAATAATAGTTGATATACAAAAGAAGTAGATCATTGAATCTTTTAACATCTCTGTTTTTTGTTAGAAGCCTCAATAAGATATTCTTTTTTTTCAATTTTAAATATTTTCAAAAAAATATAAATATTTTATTTAAGTATTTATTTGATTGAAAAGAAAAAAGAAGTTCTTTAAAGAACTTAAAAATAAATGAAAAAACCAAGAGACCGATTTTAACTCGTTCAGGACAAATTATTTAAACCTCTTTAATGAAATATTGTTTTCCAAAAACTGCATTGATCTAAATTCCTAAATTTGAAGAATAGTTCTTTGAATAATATCTTAATTTGGATCTAAACTCTAATTTATTTTTAAGTTCTTTAAAGAACCTATTTTTTTGAATTTGTTGGAACAATTTTTTGAATTAGTATTTATTATTATTAATATTATTTTATATTTATTTACCTTTTTTTTTCTAATACTTATAAATTATAATAATAAACCATTTTCATTTGATTTTAAGAATAATGAGTAGATAACTCTTTTGAATCATTATTTTCATTTAGAAGAAAAAATTAATTATTATTTAATTTATTTAATTAATTTATTAAATTTATTATTTCAAAGATTATGAAGTTTGTTTGAGAAAAAAAAAACTGTTTCTATCATTGATGTTTGTTTTATTATCAAAAACATCAATGTCTTAAGTATACTTTGTATTAAAGTAGAGATTATTTAAATCATTACGTTACTTTTCTGAAATATTTTACATATAAAAATTATTTAATAGTATATTTATTTAATAAAGATGGATGGTTATTGATTACTTGGAATAGAGGGTTGAAGAATTCTCTTTCTACTCCACATTGGTCGATGATATCGAAATAGAGCAGTGTTTTGTTTACTTGGAGTGCATCTATCAGATAATCGAGTGAATCTTCCTCTATCTCGTCGGTTAAGATGAGTTTAACTGATTTCGATTGTGTGTTGTGTTTGATAATCTTTGAGATGTAGGCAAACGTTTCTTTGTAGACAATCATAAACACTAGATTCTCTACATTATTAAATGCGAGATAATCATATACTTTATCCTCCAGCTTCGATTGAACATCGATTGTCAGATTACTATTGGTCTGAATACTAACGATGTTATTTGATTTCGTCAAAATCGATGCTATCGGTGTTGTTACCATTGGCTGTGGTTCAGAGTCATTTACATTATAGTCTTCGTCATCGTCATCATTTGTCGTTCTACTATTCTTTGCAATTGCATTGTTATTAAAGTATTCGTCGTTATCAAACACCAGGAATGTCACTTTGAGTATCGCGATTTGACGTTCGATTCTCACGCGATGATCGATATACAAGTTGAGTGACACCTGCTCGATCGCACAGCGTGCGTCGGCGAGCAGATAGTGATTGAGCTGGTTACTGACGGCATTCATTTCGTAGGCAAAGTAATAGAGCTGCTGATTGGTCTGCAGGAAGTTGATCAAGCAGAGTATCGATTCTTGGTCGTGGTGGATAATGGTGCATCGGTTCGCATTGATGTGAAATCGCGTGATATTCGGCATCGAATAGGCCAGCCCGTCGAACAAGCCTTTGTAGATATCAATATAGTAGACTTGGATGCCGGTGCTGTCGTTCTTGTCGATGTTGAACGACCGCAGACCCGGAAACTTCTGACTGAACAACTGCATCAGCGATTGCTGGTAGTTGAACCGGTAGTACCGTGGGTAAATAAGGGTGAGGTGTTCGAGGTGTGGAATCAGATTCCACAGATTATCCGGTATCTCCTTGCTCAAACACAAACTTATCGTTGTGATCTTTGAGTGGAGAGCGCTGTTGTTCATCATCTCATTCACATACTCCAAGTGAATGTTACTACAATTATAGAGACTGGTCAACGAATTCATAATGAGATGATCACCAATCAAATCGATTCCAACTCTTTTACCGATTGCATTATAACTGAATTCCAACGATTCAATCCTTTCAAATAATATATTTAATATATTACTATTACTACTCTTACTATTGCTATTACTATTGCTATTACTATTATTGTTACTATTATTTATTCTATTTAAATGATTATTTCTATCCAATGCACTGAATAGTTTCTCATTGAAGAATAATTTATTATTGAGTTGTTTGAATATCTTTATGAACATATGATTGATAAGTCTTAGAGATAGACACCAACTCCTATCGTACTCCAAAGACGTACTATCATACATCGATAGAAAGTATGCATTTCTAATGATTTTTATTAGTATTATATCTGGAAATATTCTAGATATACTGTTATTATTATTGCTGCTATTATTATTTTCTTTAAGTGAAGAAACAACTACATCAGATTCTGATGACATCATTCTTTTTTACATTATTTAATTAAATAAATTAATATATACACAATAAAATAAATAAATTTGATATAGACTCTATAAACTATTCTATTTTTAAAACCAAAAAAGATATTTTTTTTTTCAACACCTTTGAACATTTTTTTTAATTAATTAATCAAAAATCAATTTTGTATTTTTTAATTAACCCCTTTTTGTCTTCACCATTTTGGCAAATGATTGCATTTTAGCAACAAAAATTATTAACCACCTTCAATCTTTTTTTTTTTATTTTTTTTTTTTTGAAATGATTAGAGTATTATAAAAAAAGTAACAAATAACACTTTTAAAAAGCAACATTATCTATTCATAGTGATAAATAGCTGTTCACAAAAAAATAAAATGAACAATAAACCCCTTGTTTTACTAAAAACAACCCCACTTTTTTGAAATTATCAAAAATGTTTCAGTCAACAAATTGCAGTGATTTTTTTTTTTTAATAAATGACAAACAATTGTAAAGTCTTTTTTTTATTTATGACTTAAGATTAATATGTTTAATAGTTATTCTTGCATTCTGGGCATTGAGCAGAATTTCCGCTTGGTGGTGCAGCACCAGTCGACAATGAACGGGAGCAACCCTTGCATAACTTGGCACCGCATTTACGGCATGACTTGGAGTCAGAAGTACCACAACCAGATGAAAACTATATAGTTTAATATAAGATAGAACGAAGTGAAGGTGAAGTAAAGTGAAGTGAATAAAGTTAGTTACTTCGTTGTTGTTATGTCAATCAATTTAAAGTTTAGTAATAATATTTACTTTGCACATTTTATATATTTATTGTATTTATTAAAAGAAAAGTAGAGTGTATTTGTAATGATGTGTACTCCGGAGTGTATCCTTAAATAGTAAAGCTTTCTCACCGCTGATGCTTGTCTTTTTCATTTCCCAGCCTGGCTTGTTAAAGTAAAAATAATTGTTGTTAAAAAACAAAGAATTAACTGGAATTCACCAATTTCGAAAATATCTGATTACAGTTGCTGCAAACAGAGAGACTCTGTTTCTCTCTCTTATTATACTCTGTTACCATGATTTGGTCGGTTGACCACATTACCTCTGATATCATCATTTTAATGGGTGATTAAAATTTTGTGTAAGTCTTATCACCTATGAAGAGCAACTTTTATAAAATTTTATCGAAATTTAAATTTTCTATAACTCATAAATCCTAAATGTGGGCAAAAATGCAAAATATCTTGGACATGGTCGTTCATTTTTCGTGGAATCTCAATATAGATCAAGATATCCTTGTTTCTAATAACACAATATGGTGTTGTTTTTGTTTAATCGCTTTACTTTTTAACTGTTTGATTTAATTTGAAAAAAAGTAATTTTTTTTTATTTAGATATTTATTTATGCACATAAATAACCAAATAGTAAGTTTTTATTATCTGTTACGGATATTTTCTTGAGAAATATCTTATATTATTACCTAAAACTTGAAGGTGGATATAATTTAATCTTTTGTTTTTTGTGTATTTTGGATGAAATTAATATGTTTGGTTCAGTGATCATTAATTTTATTATATTTCTATTTTAAAAGATAAAGTATACCAAATGATAGACATTGCAATTCTCTATCGATTGACTGAAATAAATCCTAGTTATATAGTTTAGTTATAAACATTGATTATTTATCTAATTTTTTATTTATTTTGTAATTTTTCAAAAAAAAAAAAAAATAATAATACTTTTCATGTTTTTAAGGTTTATAACCAATTGTGTACAGTGTATTGGTTTCAGCAATGTCTATTTGATTTACATATTGAAATAGATCTTTTAGTTCCTCCTCGCTTTTGGTGATTAACTCATTGGTGAATCCACTATTAGTAAAGTAGGTGGCTGGTGTATTGGTATAGGATTTAAATTCATCACGTAGTGGGAATGCATAGACATTGGTTTGATCTTTATCTACTTTTGGACATAGTGTTTGAATGAATAGCGAAGATCCACTTGCAGAGATTGCCGATATTCTACTTAGCAGGTATTCAATCTCTTGCTCGGTGAAATACATAATTAAACCTTCCATCAACCAGAACGTTGGCTTATCTTGTTGAAATCCACTGGCAATCAACTTGTCGATCCAATAGTCTACTTTGAGAACATCGCTTCTAATATAAACATTCCTTGCTTTTGACAGAGGTGGAATCACCTCCTTGGCTTGCTCCAATACTTTTTTTTTGAAATTGAGCACCGGTGCAAAGTCTACCTCCCACACAGTTGAATCGCTTCCAAATGGCAAACGGAGTGCACGTGTATCCAGACCCGCTCCAAGATTGACAAACTGTCTACACTGGCCACCTGCAATACTATTGGTAAATAATAGATCAAGATACTTGGTACGCACAGCCACCCTAATATTAAGTGAATCGAAAATTAAGTAGCTCCAAGCTTTCACTGGTGAACACTCTTTGAGTAAATAGTTTTCCAGTTCCTCCGCGTTAATCTCTGGTGATAGACCTTTCTTCACTAGATGATTCTTAAAACTTTGACTCTGTGCAAAGTCAGAACATTGTTTAATATTGATATTAATGGCATCTCCAATGATAGCTATCGATTCTTTTGTTATTAAAAAGTAATAAGCATAGCTAAATATTTTTAATTTTTAAGGGCAATTAGTTAGAATTATATTTTTTGCTTTTGTAAGAATAAAACAAATAGCTTAACATACGGATCAAAACAGCAAATCTTAAAGTTTATTGCCTTTGACATTGAACTCTCCTTTTTGTAGACATTTTCATAATATGGTATTAAAGAGTGGTCCAAACGTCCATTTTTCAAATGCAATTCAAATCGAATATATTCATTCGACATCATTGTTTTGGCTGCTGCCATCATTACAGAGGTACTTGGTATTCCAGATGTAATTTCTTCCATTTTTAAAAAGGTAAAATATTAATTAATGGAATAAAAAAAATAAATAAATAAAATTAGAGAATTTAAATTGTTGTTGTATCTTTTTTCAAAAAATTAAAAAAAATAAAACACAGTTTATTAAGTTTAATTTAAGGTCTTAAAGTGGTAAAAACAATATTACCAATATACAAAGGAACTTCAAGTGTTTAAAAAGAAGTTATATGTTGAATTTGATAAAATGTAATATTATTAGTAGGTTGATGACAAACCAACCAAATTTGGTTTGTTTATTTTTAACATATTCATGGTTATTATTATTTTTTTTTAATTAAATTAAAAGTTACTGTTTTGTGTGTTGTGTGAGTGTGTCTGTTTAGAATTTATTACCAATAGTAAATATTGTGGAATCGACAATCTCGGTTGGTAATATTGATTTGTTACAATAGATCTGTAGGATATCCTCTTGAGATTTTTCATTGATGTCAACTGAGAATCCACATTTCTCGAGGTAAAGCGATGGTGTATTGGTAAATGATTTGAATTCCGCACGCAAAGGACTGGCAAACACTCTTCTTTTATCATTCTCCTCCAATTTAATATCTTGAGTTGTTTGAATCAGCATGACTGAACCACTCGAGGATAAGGATGATGCCGATGAGAGAAGTAACTCGATTTCCTCGATTGAAAGATACATCAAGAGACCTTCCAACAACCAAACAGTTGGTTTGCTTCTGTCAAATCCCGATTCCTCTAGTTTCTTAATCCATTGTTCAGTCTCCATCAAGTTACTTGGAATATGGATATTCTTGGCTTTCGATAATGGTGCAACGATCTTTGTTGCCTCCTCTAGGACTCTCGATTTATATTCGAATGTCTGTGGGAAATCGATCTCCCAGACAGTTGATCGCTCATCGAATGGCAATCTTAAGGCACGAGTATCCAGACCAGCACCAAGAATAACAAATTGTTGGTACTTTCCAATTTTACTCGTGATATAGTCGTCGATATACTTGGTTCTAAGCGCAATACGGGTGGAGATGTATGGGAATATGATGATACTCCACGCTTTGACCGGTGAGCATGTCTCAGTCAAATACTTTTTCATATCTTGAATAGTGGTATCCGCTGGCAACCCCATCTTGACAAGCCATTCCTTAACAGTATCGGTAGTTGCCGTTTGTTGTGGATTCATCTTCATTCTAGCATCATACATGCCACCGATGATATCTCTCGACTCATCAGTACAACTAAAAAAGTATGCATATCTATTGTTATATAATTTAAAAATAAGTAAATAAAATAATGATATTTTTTATATATATATATCTTACGGATCAAATGTTGCAATGCTACTATCTAGTACTTTAGCACTAAATGGTTCTTTTTGATAGATATTCTCATAGTATGACTGAAGTGAACTATTTAGTTTAAAAATTAATTGACTACTCTCATCGGTTGGTACAGTAGCCAATTGATCTTTAACATAGGAATTTGAAATAAGTGCTCTTATTGCTGCAACCATGACAGAAGTTCTTGGTACTCCCAAAGTAATTACATTAGATGACATAATTTATTTATTATTATTATTATTATTTATTTCTTTTATCTCTTACTAACTAACTAACTATTCTATTTAATAAATGATGATTGGTGAATCATCCACCAAAATATATTTATATATAAACTAAACATCTTTTTTGATTATTAATCTCTTTATCTTTCAGAAATCACCATAGATGACGGTACTGGGAATATCCAATTTTATTTAATTAAAACATCCACCATTTCAAAAGATAAATGATGAAGTGTTTATTTTTATTTTTTTATTTTCCATTCGGAAGATTTGCATGAAATTTCGGACAAAAATAAAATAATAAACTAGATTTATTAATATTACTTTTTTACAAATATTTGTTTTGATACCAAACATTATTCAAAAGATATTGATCTAAACATATTTATAATAAAAAAACAATAATTTTAAAATTAACACCTCTATTAAAAAAAAGATATTAGAATAGGTAAAGAAAAGATGTATCTATTTATATAAAAATTATTAATAAATCTTTAGATTTCATACTAAATTGAGGTTTTACCTATTGAATCAATATAACAAAAAATAAAAGTTTAGACATTACTCTTTATTACATGCATTTGTGTTCTACTATTTGTTAAGATTTAAAACCAAAAGTAAAAGTGGCGGAATCAGATAGAGTCAGATCGGCTGTTATTAACGCTACTTTGCTATTGTAAATCGTTAAGATTTCATCTTGCGATCTCTCAGTGATATCAACTAAGAATCCACATTTCTCGAGATAGAGCGACGGTCTATTGGTAAATGATTTTAATTCCGAACGCATTGGATTGGTAAACATCTTTCTTTTATCATTCTCCGCCAATTTAATTTCGACAACAGTTTGCATCATTATGGCAGAGCCACTGGCGGACAACGATGACACCGATGAGAGAAGTAACTCGATCTCCTCGTTTGAAAGATACATCAAGAGACCTTCCAGCAACCAAACAGTTGGTTTGCTTCTGTCAAATCCCGATTCCTCTAGTTTCTTAATCCATTGTTCAGTTTCCATCAAGTTACTTGGAATATGGATATTCTTGGCTTTTGACAACTGTTCAATGATCTTTGTTGATCGCTCTAGAACTCTCGATTTATATTCGAATGTCTGTGGGAAATCGATCTCCCAAACCGTTGATCGCTCATCGAATGGCAATCTTAAGGCACGAGTATCCAGACCAGCACCAAGAATAACAAATTGTTGGTACTTTCCAATTTTACTGGTGATGAAATCATCGATATACTTGATTCTAAGCGCAATACGATTGAAGATGAATGGAAAGATAATGATATTCCATGCCTTGACCGGTGAGCATGTCTCTGTCAAATACTTTTTGATATCTCTATTACCGATATCCTCTGGCAATCCCATCTTGACAAGCCATTCCTTAATAGTTTCGCTAGTTACCGATTGTTGTGGATTCAACCTCATTCTATCGTCATACATTCCACCGATGATATCTCTCGATTCATCAGTACAACTAAAAAAGTATGCATATCTATTTTAATATTAGAATAGTTTATCAGTATATATAATTGTAAATATATATAACCTATATATTTACGGATCAAATGTTGCAATGCTACTTTCAACATCTCTATAATATGGTTCTTTTTGATAGATATTCTCATAGTATGACTGAAGTGATCTACTTAATTTACCATCGGTTTCAACCAATTGTCCTTTAATATAGGAATTTGAAATGAGTGCTCTTATTGCTGCAATCAAAACAGAGGTTCTTGGTACTCCCAAAGTAATTGCATTGGATTCCATCATTTCAAAATAAATATTATTATTTATATCTTTTTATAACTATTTTTATTAGATTTTGAATAGAATATTTTAAACAGTTAATTAAATACAATTGTTTATGTTTAATAAATAGTTATGCTGTTATAATATCTTATTATTGCTTATATATATATATATATATATATAGATATAAAATAATCTGTAAAATAAAAACAAGAAAGTATTTATGTTGTGCTTTCCCCATTCCTTTTTGTTTTTTATTTTACTTTATTTTATTATATACAGATTTGTTATTTGTTTGTTTTACTATGTTGATTGCGTATATCACTACCATTCGATTAGTACTTATTTCAATGTAAAGAAGAATCACTGTACATATAGTAATAATATATTAGTAGATAGGTGTTATTTAGTGGGCATTATTACTTTAGATTATAATATTGATTAACATGTTGATATAATATGATAACAGTTCACCAAATGACAATGGAATAACGTTTCTTTGTTCATTCCAGAATGAATGAACACCAAGAATGCTAATTTAATATCGGGCACCCCCACCATTTTAATACTTTGTGATTTGGGTGTGGTGATATCTATTTTTGTTTTTATAATAAAGAAAGATTTAATGTATTGAAATCATGACTTTCAACTTGTCTTTACTATTTGTGAAGTGGCTATTCTATCTGTGAATGTACATTTTCATTAAAAAAAAATAAAATAAAACCAAAATCTTTTTATTTTATTTTTTTTCAATTTTGATCGTTTTTTTTGAATTCTTTTTTTTAATAGATTTATCGATTAATTGTTGTGATTACAGTGATCATATATATATCAAAATATAATATAAAGATGCAACGATTCTATAAAGTATTGGATTTACCAAAACCAAAGCAATACTCAGCACTATACAAGGCATATTGTATGCAAAAGATCTATTTATATAACACTGAAAAGATCACTTTTATTACAAGCAAATATGGAAAAGATGTCACTGGATCAAGGTAGATACATTTAATCACAATAAACTACAACTCAGAGTAATCAGATCAACATTCATTCATTCATTCATTATCAACATGTTCAGCGTAATAGAAGCGATTATCTTTGAGACATACAAACAAATAATGCAATGCATTGTTATGGTTAAAAGTTAATGAAAGAATGATTTGTTTGTTTGTTTGTTTTACTGATTAGTTGGTTTGGTTTGGTTTGGTTATCAAAAGAAAAGAAGAATAGTCAATACTAATATTCATTCACATATATAGAATGTTTAAATATACATATTTAGAACCATTTAAATATTGGAATAGCGATGTTCAATTTGAAGAGAAAAAGATGATCAGTGGTGAACCAGGTGTTGAAATTAAAAAAGGTAATTACAGGAACAGATCATTCTAATATCCGATTCATAAACAACCAACTAACTCATTTTGTTATTGTGTCACATAATACATAAATAGTTGATGGTACAGTACATTTTATTGCAGGTCGTGGAAAGACAGCAGATCAATTAATTACAGAGGTATTAGAGAAAGCTGATGGAAAGAAGATCAATGTTAATATTCCAGATTACTGAAAAAGAATGAAAAACGAGACGAAACTAAAAAACGATATATATAAATAAACTAAAAAAAAACAATCATTTAGATAACTAAATAACAATCTCTCAACGTAATGTAGTGTCACATGTCAAGTCATGTCAAATTGACAATTCTATTATTTAACTCTTTATATAGAATAGAACATGGTTCATTAACATTCCATTCATCCTGTGTTGACATAATTGATTAATCATTCATTCAACCAACAAAAAAGATCATATGAAATTTTTTTTTTTTCATTCTTTTTTTTTTTTTTTTTTTTTAAAAAAAAATCATGCTTATTTGTGAAATGATTCCTACATATTGAACAAATCTAATTAATTAATTAAGACGAATAATTAAAATAGTATCATATTTATTTTCACACACAAAGATAACATGTTTATTTGAAGAAAACAATGTTGAACTTAAATAGTTTTTCAAAGTCATCTATTAGATGTTATAGTTCTGTTCATCAGTCTATTTCATTGAAATACAAGAATAATAATAATTTTTATTATAATAATAAATCAATCAATAATAGTTTTGTAAATAATAATAATAATAAAGTTAATAATAATATATCATTTTATCAACAAACAAATCCGACTGCCAATCAAAGAATTTCAAATAATTTAAATTGTTTACCAATTATTTCATTCAGAGCGAACAATAGTAACAGTAATAATAATAATAATAATCGAATTAATAAGAGTTTACTTGTTGATAGCTATGATGAACAATCGAAATTCAATAGATGTGGAATCGTTAGAATGTATAGTATGGTTACACCACCACCATCACACATGTCATCATCGGTGAAAGGTGGTGGTTCAGGTGCAAACCCACTCGATAACCAAAAAGAAACTAAAAACTCTGCACTAAGCATGTTGAAAACCGTAGCGAAATATCTATGGCCAAAAGACGACAACGCATCCAAAGTTAGAATCATAGCATCCGTTATCCTGTTGTTTGGTGCAAAAATATTCACTGTACAAGTAAGTAAAAAATTATATATACACTCCAACTTCCAACTTCCAACTTCCACCAGTGACTTAGTTCCCTCCACCCACTCACACACGGAAAATGAAATATTTATAATGGCGCCACACCGGTAACTGAGTTACCACCCACTCCGACTTGGAAACAAGTTTTAACATTTTACTAATAAATTTTTGAAAAATCATAACTATAGATTCCATTTGTATTTAAAGATATTGTTAATTATTTTTCGAGTGTTGCACCCGATATGCTGACTGTTCCTTTGGGTCTGTTGGTTGGCTATGGTACGCTGAGAATCTGTTCCAATTTGTTCCAGGAGTTGAGATCCGCTGTTTTTGCAAAGGTTGCACACAGTGCAATTAGAGATGTCAGTTGTAATACATTCAAACGATTGCACCAGTTGGATTTGTCATTCCATTTGTCGCGTCAAACCGGTTCATTATCGCGTATTATCGATCGTGGATCGCGTGCAATCAACTTCCTGTTGAACTCGATGCTGTTCCACGTCGTTCCCACCATATTTGAAATCGGTTTAGTATGTACGTTGATGGCTTATCAACTGGGTTGGCAATTCTCTGCACTCACCTTTGGCACGCTCGTAGCGTACACACTGTTCACCTTCCAAGTGACGTCGTGGCGAACAAAGTTCCGTAAGCAAATGAACTCTATGGATAACGAAGCGTCGAACAAGATGATGGATTCACTGCTGAACTTTGAAACCGTAAAGTATTTCAATAACGATAAGGTCGAGATCGATCGATACAACAAGTACTTGATGGAGTACGATAAGGCGTCGTTGAAAACCACTAGCAGCTTGTCATTCCTCAACTTTGGTCAGGCATTTATCTTCTCGGCATCGATGACCGCCATTATGATAATGACAGCACAGGGTATCGTTGGTGGAACACTAACCGTTGGTGACATGGTACTTGTCAACGGTCTACTCTTCCAAATCTCACTGCCACTCAATTTCTTGGGAACCGTTTATCGTGAGATCAAACAATCTCTTGTCGATATGGATCATATGTTTTCATTGCTAAACCTTCAACCAAAGATAACCGTAAGTATTCATTAACATTATCTACTAATCTATCTAAATTTATCAGTTTTACAATCAAGCTATATATCTTGATTTAAAACTTGTTAACAATACCAATCAACTAAATCTATCTTTTTAACAATAACCATTTCAATTCTTATTATTATGTTTATCTATTTTATATCTATCAATCATGTTATCTTTATCGATAACAATACAAATTCTATCTATAATATATCTATCATGATAAATGATAAAAAGATAGATGTTTATCTTTTAACAATAGTTAACATTACAATTCTTATCATTTATGTTTATTTATCAACTCTACAACAAATATAATATATAGTTAACATTTTTATTAATCTTTCATTTTTTTTATATGTATTAAATTATAGGATAGGGAGAATGCTAAACCATTGGTTTATAAGAATGGTTCGATTGAATTTAAGAATATTACATTCGGTTATAATGAAGCAAAGAATGTGTTGAATGATATTTCATTCAAGGTAGAAGGTGGAAAGAGAGTTGCTATCGTTGGAACTAGTGGTAGTGGAAAGTCAACTATTCTACGTTTGTTGTATCGTTTCTATGATCCTGTTGCAGGCGCAGTTGAAATCGACGGTCAAGATCTCAGAGATATCACACAACACTCGTTGAGAGACAGCATCGCCGTGGTGCCACAAGACACAGTTCTCTTCAACGACACCATTCTCTATAACATCAGCTATGGTAATCCGAATGCGACACGCGAGCAAGTCGAAGAAGCAGCTCGGCTAGCACATATCCACGAGGTAATAATGAACATGCCCGAAGGTTACGAAACGATGGTTGGTGAACGTGGTTTGAAGTTGTCGGGTGGTGAGAAACAACGTGTTTCCATTGCCAGAGCGATACTTAAGAATTCACCGATTTTGTTCTACGATGAAGCTACCTCTTCGTTGGATACTGCCACCGAACAATATATCATGCAAGCACTACGTGGTTTCTTTAAGAATCGTACAACGATAATGATTGCACATCGTCTCAGTACGGTTGTCGACGCCGATGAAATCATCGTGCTTGGTCACGGCGGTGTCATTCTCGAGCGTGGTAGTCATCAACAGCTTTTGGAACTCGACGGTAAATACAAAACAATGTGGTTAGCTCAACAATATGAAGATACATTGTAAAAAAAAGAAGAAAATAAATATTACTATAATGATATTATTTATTATTTATTATTTATTGTTTATTATGAAAATCGAACTTTGGTTGTAGGTGTTTATACATTGTTATAATAACATCATCATCATCATCGATGATTGATGTCATTAGTAAATCTAATCTCTCATTTGGTTCAACATTTCGTAGTCACCATTACGAGATCTGTTGGTCTTGGTTGTTGTTTTAGCTACTCTCATTCTTCTGAAGAATAAGTATCCAATAAATAGAACACATGCTCCACCAAGAGTGTAAACGATAGTTGTAAGACTTATATCTATATTGTTGAAAGATTAGTAATTCTTAATATTAGTTTTTGTTGGTAATAATACTTACATCCTGCAGATGTTGGATATGGATTATCATCTGATTCTTCTATTTTTCCAGATGGCTCTTTAGTGGCATCAGGTATGAATGCTAATGTACCGTTGATCGTACTATTGAATTCAACGGTGATGGTACCGGTAACGTTGGCCAAAGTTGGATCTTCATCTTGTAATCCAAGTCGTACAAAAGAGATCGTTCTTACGAAACCATTTCCTGTCATTGATGAAGGATCTAATTTTAAACCTTTATTATCTACTGTCTTTCCTGTTTCACTTCCACCTGCTTTACCTCCACCTGATTCACTTCCACCTGCTTTACCTCCACCTGATTCACTTCCACCTGCTTTACCTCCACCTGATTCACTTCCACCTGCTTTACCTCCATCTGATGAACTTCCACTTGCTGTTGTTGATGTAGTTGTTGTTGTCGGTGTTGGTTTAACACTTGTACCATTAACAGTACCATTTAGTTTGAGAACTAATTTACCGATCATTATAGTATCGTTTGATGAACCGATTAGAGTACCATTCACTATACCTGTGACTACAACAGTGACATTCACATCTTCGGTTCCTTTTACCGTACCATTGAGTGTACCTGTGAAATCACCAGTGACCAGTGAAATTACAGTTTCATTGGCAGTGCTGTTATAACTACCAGTTACAACTGCGGTGATTGTACCATTCATCAAACCCTCTACAGTATCATTATTCTCTCCCTTAATCAAAGCGGTAACATTTGCAAGTACAGCACCACTGATAGTACCATTTACACTATCGTCCGAGAATCTACTTAAAGTAACAAGTACATCGCTAAATTGATCTTGATCTTTATCCTTATCTTTAGCATCCGCTAAACACACGTTATTAAATGTAAAAGATAGTGCTAATAAAACCAATACTAAACTAATTATGTGTTTATACATTTTTAGTGATAAATATATATGTGTGTTGAAAAAAAACAAATTGTTTTGTGGTTTTTTCGAGAAATGATTTCTTTTTTATCCAGGTCTGGTGAGGGAAAAAAGTGAAAAACAAATCTCATTGAATACGTGTCTCTTTTTTTATTTTAATTTGCACACCCTGTTTTCTAAATTTATTTAAATTGTTTTAAATAATACTTTATAAAGTTTAAAAGAATGAATTTTCATTATTTTAGTTAGTTAGTTAATGTAGAAAATAGATTATACACTGTAATCAATCACACGACAATGACATTGTTTCCAACAATAAATAAAAGACAAGCACACAGATGGTTGGGATGGGCAGTACTTCTACCGCTGAGTGTGACTGCCATCACCGGGTTTATGTTTCAATTGCTATTGACACTGGGCGTACAAAAAGAATCGATAAAATTCCTACTTTCAATTCATCAGATGTCGATACTCTTTACCAATAGTCAAGTTGTCTATACTGCGCTGCTATTTGTTATTACTATGCTGCTTATCGTTTTCGGCTATCAGATGCTGTCTTCGAATCAGCTGCTCGGTGGATCGAATGTGAATACCGACGACAATGTGGTGGTTCGATATTTCAAGGGTTTGCGTAATGCTAGTTCACCGCGCGAACTGCATCATCGGTTGTCGGGCGTGTTGTTTGCTGTGCTTGCGTTCATGGTGACAACGGGGTTCGTCTATCGATTCCTGCGCAATGTCTTTGGTGTCTCGAAGGAGCGCATCGGCTGGATGCTAAAGATTCACAGCATGAACTTTCTGCCGAACTGGCTAGCGCTTCTCTGGGTGGCGTTAGTATTCGCAGCCGTAGCATCGGTTGTTGTGTCTGGCATCCGAATGCTCTTCAAGAGTAAACGTTCATCGTCGACACCTTCATTACGATCGGCATCCAGAAGAAATTCATCGCAAATACCAACACCATCACCACTTCCCTATCAAAGATTAACAACTTCACCTTCACAACAAACAACAACAATAACAACTACAATCTCCGAAGATGATATCCCACATGAAGAAATCGAACAACAAAACACCAACCAGTTTTAACAAACTTAACAACACTCATTGTATATATGTAAACATTATTGCAGTAATACCCAGCAAATTACAAAGAAAAAAAAAACAAATTAATTTGGACATACTTATTTTATTTTAAAATATTAAATAGTATTGGAATAAATAAATTGATTCCAACTTTTTTTTTTTTTTTTGTAGCAATTAATTAAAGCAACAGGTATCTTTTCCTGCATTTTATAATCGATCATTTATCGAATTTTTTTTTTAAGATTTCTCCAAATTTTTTTTTTTTTTTTTTTTTTTATATCAGACAAAAATTTAAATTTATTCAGATTAAATTAACAATCAATAATGTGTGATATAAATAATAAAGATAATAATAATGAACAAAAATGGGAATCAGTTGAATCAATTGCAACTTCAATTAGTTTACAGTCGTTTTGGTTCACAATGGAGAAATGGACTCTAGACCCACAACACATCATGAAACCAGTCAAGAGATATCAGATTAAATCGAGATCGACATTCGATATCGATGATAAACAATTGTCAGAGCAAATCTATACAACAAATGATCAACCTACACCTTCAATTACAACACCACCACCAGACCATCATAATCATGGTCACGGACATGGTCATGTTCACGGTCATAATCATACAGAGAATAATCACCAGCAGCAACAACAAGATGAAAACGAAGAATCAATTGATTATCAAAATGAATTGATTGAATCTATTGTATTTAAGAGACATTTAATACCGAGATTAGCAGAGAAAGACAATACAATCGATGACTCTGTTACCCATTCGAAATCACAACAAACCAGCACCTTTAAACCGTTGGTACCAGAGGATGTTTCAAATTTAGCGGAATATCTTCCATTCTACTATCCAAAAGTAAAACAATTTAGATTTAGATATATTAAGAATACTTATTTAAAGGTAGATGATAATAATAACAACATCAATCAACAAGAGAATAAGAATGTAGTTAACGACAATAACAATACCGAGAACAACAACAACAACAATACAAATACAACAGATAATAACAACAATAACAATAACAATACAGATAATAACAATAATAACAACAATAATAATAATAATAAACGTAAATCAGTTGAATTGGAAGATTTGGATTTGGAGGAAGAAGGTCAAAAGATTCATGAGATTAGAATGGAAGTGATTTATTTGGAAGGTGAGGATCAGGATGAATACAAGGAGAAACTAAAGAAGATATGTTTTTCGTTGCTAGAGAAACTCAATAAGTGGGGTGTTGGTCATGAAGCCGGTTACAAGAAGCGTGTCTATCACGATTGTATCATACCGAAGGACGTCTACTTGGATAACTACGAGCGTTTGAAATCAAAGTATAAGAATTGGGCTGTCGGTTGGGAAGACGTAACCAAGACCGATCCGCAAAAGTTTGTATTCGAAGACATTGCCATCGCTGCCTACATCATCTCGCTATTCCACCTAGAGAACCAAGACCGAAACACACCCGATTACAAACAGTCATTCGTAGATCTCGGCTGTGGCAATGGATTCCTCGTCAACATACTCAACCTCGAGGGTTACCCAGGCATTGGAATCGATCTTCGTTGTCGTAAAGTCTGGAAGAAATACGATGAATCCGTACAAAAGAATCTAATCGAGCATGGTATACAACCAAAAGATCAATCTTACACTGAATACGATTGGATTATTGGTAATCAGTAAGTATTGTTTAGTTACAAATCAGACATACAACAAACAAACTAGCTAACTTTAACAATCTTTGTTTATGTTTATTTGTTTAGTTCTGATGAGTTGACACCTTGGATACCTTATATAGCTTCGAAATCAAAGAAACAAAGATTCTTCTTGTTGCCATGTTGTTTCTTTAACTTTATGAATAAGTTTCAGGATAACGATAAGAAGATAGGACAGTATATGACCTATTTGAACTATATCGAGAGAGTATCGAATCAGTGTGGTTTCAACGTGATAAGAGATGCCATGAGAATACCATCGACCAAGAATGTCGTTTTCATTTCGTCGCAGCGCTCGCCGGATATCACAGAGGAGCAACTCGAGAAGCAGAGACAAGCACTCTTGGTTCATTCAAACTTTAAGGAATTCACTCTCAGACCGGAACAAAGTAAATACACTCCAAAGAAAAGATATAGACCCGGTGAATATAATCCACATTTAGGTATAATCATGGGTCCAAAAGTTGATAAGAAAAAGAACAATAATCAGAATAATAACAATCAAAATAAGAATAATAATAATAATAATCAAAATAATAAGAATAACAATAACAATAAGAATATTACTCTTACAAATAACAATACAAAAGTAATTGATAAATCAAATAATGTAATAATAGATACAACAACAACAAATTCAAATAAGATCAACGAGAAATCAACTGTTACTGCTTCTGCTACTGTTACTGCTGATGATGCAGCTGCTGTTTTAATTAATGTAGATAATAATAAAGAGATTGAAAATCAATGATTCAATCATTTACCTTTTAAATAACTGTATTGTATTCATTGTAGAATCATTGAAAATTCAAGATAAAGTTCAATTCATTCTTTTCTTTTACCTCGTGGGTTATATTTTGAGAATCGCATAACATCATTAGATTATAATCCAAGATAGTAGATTTTTTGAATAAAAATGAATACCATCAAAAATAAAAAAAATGATTTTTTCTTTTCAACCTGTGACCTTTTTGTTTTTCTTTTTTTCTTTACAAAATGTGGGGGCTTCCTCATATCGTAAGCGGTAATCTGGAGTAAAATCAAAAAAATGTTGTGTAAAAATGTAAAAAACTAAACTTTGGGATTGGCGTTTTCGAGAGAAAAAAAATCTTTTGGTATCCTAGTTAACATGATGATTGGTTTAATACCATTGTTTTGTTTTGTTTACACCTTCTCAATCAACAGCACAACAACAACAACCTTTGTTTTAGAAATTTCGAGAGCAACTTAGCTTAGAACATTCATTCAAATCAACAATTGTTGTTTGGTTTTAGACACAACAAAAAAAACACAACAAAAATATAAAGAAGGTTGTTTTGGTCGTAATTTATGTGTCGTCAACATCTTTCATCTTAACATTCAGTTTTTAAGATTGATTTGAAATAAAATATCAAATTAGATTCTGATAAACATATCATTTCTTCTTCAATACCAATACCAATCACAATCATAACACACTCACAAAACAACAACAAAACAACAAACACAACACATTCACAAGCAGAGTTTAAGTTTATTTAAATACCCCACTGCGCATTTCGTTTAATATCAAATTGGTATTATATACTTTTATATCTTTTATTATTTATTTATTTATTTATTTATAATTCAAATTGTATATACATTATATATAAATATAAATAACTTTATTTATTAGTTTCTATACACACATATATATATAAATAGAAATCTATTGTTTATAAACACAACAACACAAAACATAAAACATGTTACAAAAAATAATATACTCCACAAAGATGGAGAGAAAATTGAATCTCTTGATTCGACCGATGAACGTCGACGACATAAAGGTTATCTACGACACTCAGAAAGAGGTATTCCCAGAGGAGCATTTCTTTGAAGAGTACAGCGTTTTCCGAGGTAAATTCGAACTGTTTCCAATGGGTTGCTGGGCTGCCGACATGATTGATGCAAACAACAACAGCATTCTAATTGGACATATCTTTACACATCCATGGCATCGTGATGAATTCCCACCACTCAACTCCATGGACAAACTTAAAAATGGTATGGACCGACTGCTGAACGACCCATCGTGCAAGCGTATGATCTATCTCAATGAACTCGGTGTTAGGCCTGTCGCTCGTGGTTTCAATATTGGTAGACTGCTGGTGAACCATGCACTTGAGAATCTATCAAACAACGGTGGTAGTGGTGTTCCATCTACCGTACAGTTGGTGAGTGTTCAGGGATCAGCCAGATTCTGGGAGGCATTAGGATTCCAACTTGAACAACTTAATTTAGATAAATCAGAGTATCTCAAGAAGAACTACGGATTAGATGCCGTTTTCATGACTAAATATCTACCGATAAAACCAATGGCACACTCCAATCATTATAATTCCACCAACACAAATAATAATCAAATTGTAAAGAAATCTTTGATTTTATCAGCATATTAAAATAAATTATACTATTTATAGTTTGTATTTGTTAATTGGAATACTACTATAATATCAATCAAATACTATTATTTTGTTTACTTTGTATTAATTCGAACAATCTAACTGTTTATTAATTAAGATTTTTTTTCTTGTTAAAATTTGTCTTTAGTTTAAATCCCTCATGTATTTATTAAAAAAAAAAGAAATTGATTGTTATTAAATCTATGTTAATAGTTTTAATTATCCCAAAATCAGTCCTACAATATTAAAAGAGTATATTATGCAAATACTTCAATTAGCTCTTGATGTTTATCAATTCAAATTTTTTTAAATTTAGATGGTGGCAACTCAGATATTGATCAAAAGTTTGTATGACTTAACTAAGATATATTTGATAGAAATAATTAATTATAATTTAATAAAATAAAATTTATTGTTTAAATTGTTTTCAACAATCAAAAATCATACAATCTACTAGATTGAATGAAATTAAATCATGATGACGGCTGGGGTTTTGGATTGCAGTTAAAGGCTTTGCTTTGTTGGCATGCATTACATGATAATCCTTATAGGGATGGGGATTTAAGATAATATTATTGTTGTTGAATGGATTTGGGTTTTGTTTGTTGTATAAATAAAATTCTGTTATTAAGATTTGTTGTTGTTTTGGATTTTGGTATGCGGTTGTAGTTTGCTTATAACCATTCTTTGAAGATTGCAATGTAGATCTTCTTGATGATCTGAGTCAAGAAGAAGTAACCAAAGAAAGAAGCGGCCAAACCTGGATAGTACATTGGTGGCAATTCGACGAGTCCGAGGAAAGTACCGAATTTTGGAATGTAAGGAATGGCGACACCGAGACAAGCGACCCACAAAGTATTGAGTGTGAGTTGCCATGAACCCCAACGCTGAATGAAAGGAATCTTTTGTGTACGAATCATGTGTACGATGAAAACTTGTGTAATGAGACCTTCAACGAACCAACCGGTTTGGAACTTTTTGGCGATGTCAGGGGAGCTGTTGTCCCAACCGAGATACCACCACATGTATGAGAAAGTAGAAACGTCGAAAATCGAGGAAATTGGACCGAGGAACACCATGAACTTAAAGAGTGATTTAACGGACCATGGATGTGGAATCTCGAGGAACTCTTCGTCGACATTGTCCCAAGGAATGGCGATCTGTGAGAAATCGTACAAAAGATTCTGAGTCAAAAGTTGAAGTGGTTGCATCGGGATGAATGGAAGCCATGCAGAGGCGATCAACATGGAGAAAACATTACCGAAATTGGAGGAGGCAGCCATCTTGATGTACTTGATGGTGTTGGCGTGAGTGATACGACCGGTTCTAATGGCAGTGTTGATGACATTCAATGATTTTTCGAGCAAAATAATATCGGATGCGTCCTTGGCAATGTTGGTGGCAGTGTCGACACTGATACCGATATCTGCTTCACGCAAAGCAAGAGCATCATTGATACCGTCTCCGAGGAAACCAACGGTATGCTTGTGTCTCTTGAGAGCACGAACGACATTGTATTTCTGGATGGGTGTCAACTTGGCAAAGAGAGTGCACTCCTCGACGATCTTATCGAATTCCTCGTCGGTGGCATCCTCCAACTCTGGACCAGAGATAATTTTGGTGACATCGATACCTACGTCACGACAGATCTTCTTGGCGACTGCAAGATTGTCACCGGTCAATACCTTTACTTGGACGTTGTTGTTACGGAGATGAGTGATGGCGTCGGCACAGTCAGACTTGGGTGGATCGATGAAAGCAAGGAATCCCAAGAAAGTCATTCCCTTCTCGTCGGTCTTGACATCATAGACGTGACCTGGCTCGGTATTCATTGGCTTGGTGGCAACACTGAGTACACGCAAACCATCGACGTTGAGATCGTTAGAGATTTGCAAGAGACTCTTGTGGAGTGCTTCGGTCAACTCGATCTTACCCAAGTTTTTGTTGGTGACATGAGTGCAACAGCTGAGAACTTCCTCAACGGCACCCTTGCAGACGAGTGTCAACAATTGGTCGTCTTCCTTCTCCAAGATAACAGAGACACGACGACGTGTGAAATCGAATGGGAACTCCTCACGCAATTTGTATTCAGTGGAGACTGGTGGGGTGGAACCATTTGCAAACTTTTCATTGTAATAATCGATAATGGAGACATCCAACACATTCTTCAAACCCTTCTGGAAGTTGGAGTTCAAGAATGAAAACTTCAAAACATCTTCAGAGTCTTGCTTGTCTGGACCAATATGAGCTGATAATTGTACTTCATCCTCTGTCAAAGTACCTGTTTTATCTGAACATAAAACATCCCTAGATATTGCAATAATTGATGTTAATTAGTTAGTGGTGTGAAACTTTTCAAAAAAAAAAACTATTGAATTAAATTGATTGATATCAAAACTTACATTGCACCCATATTTTGAATTGAACTGAGTTGTTTAACGATAGTTTTTTTCTTTGACATATCATCTGCACCCTTTGCTAAATTTGCATTGAGAATCATTGGTAACATTTCTGGTGTAATACTAAAAAATTATTATTGTGAAAAATTAAAATGTTAATATTTGAAATTTGTCATTCCTTTCTAATTTTAATAAACATACCCTACAGCAACAGTTAAACCAAACATGGCAGAATCAACCCAATCACGAGTTGTTAAACCATTGATAATAATTACAATTGGTACCATTGTTAAACAGAAACACATAAGAAGGTAAGCGACTTTCTTGACTCCGACATCGAAGGAGTTGGTTGTTTTGGTGCTGGTGAGAATCTCTGAAATCGATGAGATGTATGTCCTAACTCCAGTTTCAAATACTAAACCTGTACCACTACCGGATACGATGTTGGTTGACATCAAACAGATGTTGGGAGTATCGAAAATTGAGGTTTGTACGACAGAGTGGTGTGCTGACTTCTCGACTGGCAAGAACTCACCGGTCAGTGAAGATTGCGATACGAAAAGACTGTTGGATTCGAGAATACGGACGTCTCCTGGGAAGACGTCTCCTGCTTTCAAGGGGACGACGTCACCTGGAACGACCTCCTCAATGTCGATAAGCTTGTCGGTTCCAACGGCGTCGGTGTCGCTGTTACGACGACGCACTGTGACGGTGGTCTTGATCAGCGATTTCAAATGGGTGAAAGCCTTGCTGGATTTGTGCTCCTCGTAGAAACGAAGACCGGCAGACAAGAGAACCATAAGCATAACGACGGTACATGTTGCATAGTCTTGGGTGGCAGCAGAGACAACGGCAATAACAGTCAATACAATGTTGAAAGGATGTGTCAACGCAGTGAAGAGCAGCTTGTACCATGGTGTTGGCTTGACAGTCTTGATTGCGTTCAAACCGTACTCGGTGAGACGACGCTTTGCTTCAGCCTCTGTCAAACCTTGCTCGGGTGTTGCTGTCTTTATGAGAATATCTTGTTTGTTCATCATGGAGAGATCACGGAACTTGATGTTGAATTCTCTCTCCTTGTTTGGATCTTTCTCTGCCTTTTTCTTCTCCTTCAAACCGAGGAATACCAACAGCTTGCTACTGATTCCATCGTCGTTTCTTGGTTTACGCTTCACTATCTTTGGAGTTGAGTTTGGTCCATCATCTTCATTGATTGAAATGGCATCCAAAAGTCTGGTCTTTTCATCAATCGCCATTTTATTTTTTTAAATACTAATAAATAAAAATATATATAACTTTTTTCCTTTCAAACAATTATATAAAAATAATATGATTTTGTAGTGAAAAGTGTATTATTACAACTGATTGTTTAAAATATCTATATATCAAGCAAGTAAATTTCCAGATATATTTATAAAGAAAAAGAATAGAAAAGAAAAGAAAATAAGATTAGATTTGAAATTAGTTTTAATGAGTTTCAAACAAGTGAATTGTGATATTAAGTTGGTTGTGAGTGAAAGTCGAATGATTTTGGATCTTTTATGAAAAAATAAAAAATTTTGATCTTGTGATGGAAAACGAAAAAAAAAACTCTAAAACTCTGCTTTAGATTTGTTAGTGCTAAAGTAGTGATTTTTTTTATGAGCCTGGGAAGGGTGTTGGAATGTGTAGAATAGAATTAGTTATTTATTAGATAACCAATAATTGACTGCTACTCAAGTGATTGATAATAATAGAAATTATAGACTAGCTATCTTTCAGAATCAATCAAACAACAACAATATTTTAATAATTTAAATCAATTAAATTATTTTTATTATTATTATTGATGATTACACTTTTGATTGAGACAGAATAAATATTTATAGGTGATTGCTATGAAATATGAGTTGTTGGAGTTGCAATGCAGAGTGATGGAATTGGAATAGGTGTTTGAGAGATACGACAGATATCTATCAGTAACAAAAAAAAAAAAAAAAAAAAAACAAAAATGATAGATGTTTTATTTTTATTTTTATTATTTTTCCAAAAACTTTAAACAAAACTTAAAAAAAAAAAAAAAAAGAGTTAAAAAAAATCAAAAAACTTTTCTGTTGTATTTTTGTGTATATGCCTCCCCTTTACTTTGTTCTGCTTCTCTGTGCAGCAAAATTTGTGCAAAAAAGAGTTGTTTTAGTAAAATAAAAAATCGTCAAGATGGGGACTTTTTTTTAGATTTTTTGTTTTTCACCCCTATTACAAAATTTTTTTGACGACTACTTTTCTTTTTACGATTTTAATTTTTTTTTTGTTGGTTTTTTTGTGTAACTGACTTGTTATTTAGCCGCAGAAAAAATTTTGGTGAATGATGAACGATCAATTTTATGTCCAAAATGGTCAGTTTTTTTTTAACAATTACCTTTGTTTTTTAGCAAAATTTAATAAAATTTATAAATAATACACAATTGGGAAACAATGTGCACTTTTTTTTTTTCTTGCCCAGGGCAGTATTTGATGATGATGAATCCCAACTGATGCACTCTGCTGACTTTCACACTTCTTCAATTGATTTTTGTAGAGACAGCTTCTATTTTACTAGATATTTTATTCAAAAGATCTTCTGGTGGTATCTGAGCCCTGATTTATTTTGCTGATGTTATTAAATTGATGATCTGGTGTGGTTTTTTGTTGTTGATGTGATAATCAATCTGCGAACTTAAAATATTGCTGTGGAAATTTGAATTGTTTATGTAAAGATAGAAATTTTCTTATACTGGTTATGATTACTATATTGTTATTGGATGATTGGTTTGAAGATGATGAGAAATGAAAATAACAAACTCAAAATGTATAACTTTACTTAAAAGAGTGGTTATATAAATTTGAATTTAATTTAAAAGATTGGTTTGGGAATTGGAATATTTGAATGAATGATTGATATCATAGAGCAAACAAACTACTTCGTCTACCTGGTTGTTGATGCTGAAAATATTGATTATTTACATTTATGATTTAATTGTTATTTAAAATTATTAATTTATTATATAAATAAAGGCAATCACACAATTATTTTTAAATATTAATCAATAATTTTGTCTGAATTTTAAAATTTGAGGATGAATGATTGAATGTAAATTGATTTGGATTGAGTTTGAATTGATGATATTTAAATCTTTTTTGTAACTCAAACAAACTCTAAATTGTTAATGATTTGTTAATGTGAGCACACTGACATACAACAAAACTGATTGACTGACAGACTTGGTGTGTTTCGATCACTTTTAAGAGATCATATGAAACAACAACAACAATTTTAAAATGGATTTTATAAGGAAATAAAGAAATGTATTGAAAAAACAGAAGAAAAAAAAACAGTTCAATTTGATAGATATATGACAAGTTGATATTAATATTTACAATTACAACAATAACAACAACAACAAAACAACAATATTATTATTAAAATTCTTAACAAGTAAGTGAGATGAAAATGGAATTAGAATATGCAACAAACACGTTTTAGTCCATTTCTTTTGGAGCATGACTTTTAGTTCATTAAAAGTGAAGATTATGACTTTGAATTGAATTATTACCTATGGTATTAAAATAAAACGCCATACTACCACCCACCCACTACCCGCTCTCTCCAAGCTAGCTCTCAACCACAGTCAGCTCTCTCATCTCAGCTCACAACCTCAAATCTTTTTATTTTAAAACATAAAATGCAAAAATGCAAATACAAACGTAAATAAAAGGTAGGACATAAGAATAGATATATAGATAAGATAGATAAATTACCATACAAACACACATCACCTACAACTCACAAACACACTAAATAACCACCACTATTGTTACCTGTAGAATAAGCTTTATTCAGTGTATTTTTTTGATATTTTTATATATCTATAGACATGTGTGGTTGTTGTTGTTGTTGTTATTATTCATTATTTTAAAATAGTGTAAAAGCAAAGTAAAAGTAAAATAAAAAGTAAAGAAAATTATTATTTATAGATTAACCATTAATGGTGAATTCTACAATGTAAACAACAACAACAACCACCACCACCAAATAATTATTTTAATACCTTTATAGTTATTGTAATAGTTATTGATTTTATCTCAAAAACCAATGCAATTAGCATAATGTAGATTAAGATGTATTTCTCTCTCAAAAGCAAAAAAATAATGAAAAAACAAAGAAAATAATGTGTATCACTATGTTGTGATCACCTTAATAATAACAATAATAGTAACTCTGTTTTTTTTTTTTAAAAAATTTTATTATTATTTTTTTTTTTTAAAATTAAACAGTTAAAAGACGAATAATGTCAAACAACAATAATAACAATAATAGTAGTAATCCATCAGAGGATATAAAAGTACCTTTTAATGAGCCAACAACAGATAAAGAAGCGTATGGATTAGAATTAAAGCATGTCCACCAAATCTACGATGTGATCTCTTCACACTTTGATAACACACGATACAAGGTATAAATAAACATGATTAGTAGTACTACAGTAGTCATAGAAATATAATATAGTTGTGTAAAAGAGTCAGAATGTGGAACAGTTTATTTTTATTTTTAAATATCTTCTTTCTTTCTCTTTCTTTCTCTTTCTCACTTTTTCTCTCTATCTATTTAGTAATATGATCTATTATATCTCCCAACATTTCAGTCTTTTTTATTTTTCTTTAACTTTTTAATGCACTACTTTAATTCATACTTTACTTGGATATATATCATACTTTCATACCGTTCATTCATTATTAACATGTTTATTGTTGTTTGATATCAAAGGCATGGCCAATGGTTGAGAAATTTTTAAATGAACAGATGGTTGGTGCTATCGGAGTAGATGTCGGTTGTGGGAATGGAAAGTATTTAAATATAAACTCATCCAATATATTTTCGATTGGTTCAGATATTTGCAGTAGTTTTGCATCGATTAGTGCTCAAAAGGGAAGTGAATCATTGGTTGCAGATGGTCTAATTCTTCCTTATAAAACGAATTCTTTTGTAAGTATTAAAGAAATCGAGACAAGAATTAGAATGAGAAATTGACAGACATTCTCACCAACAACACAACTCAAAAAGTATTGATTCTAAATCTGAGCATGATAATTAACATCATTCATTATATTTATTTAAATAATATATAAACTACATTCTGTTGTTATTATTATTAGGATTATGCTATTTCCATTGCAGTTATACATCATTTCTCTACGGTTGAGCGTAGAGTCAACGCATTGAGAGAGGTAGTTAGAGTACTGAAACCGGGTGGTGTTTTTTTGGTTACAGCGTGGGCAATGACACAGAAATGGAAGGGAAAGAACTACGATTCACAAGATGTAATGGTACCTTGGATGTTCCAACAAAAGTTTAGCAATGGCACAGAGAATACCACTGAAATCGAATCGACACCCGTTCAAAAGTCAGGCACCAACTATCAAAAATTTCACAGATACTATCACCTTTTCGATGAAGGTGAATTCGAGCATCTCTTTTCACAAGTCTCAAACATTGAAATCCTTTCAAATAATTTAGATCACGATAACTATTATTGTTTCATAAGGAAATTAGAATAATAATAATAATAGGTTAATAATAATTAATACGAATTTGTATTATTACAATCGGTAAAAGTTTATAATTGGTTTTTTATTTTATTTTTGAGTTGATGGATCAGTTGTTGTATCAGCTTCTGGTTGTGTATTTTCAGTTGGTTGTGTTTGGGTTGTTGTTGTTGTTGATGTTGGATCAACTGGAGTTGTAGCGGTGGTATCTGTCTTTGATTGTTTCTTTATGGCTGGCTTTGAAAAAGGTAAGGCAGGTACTACACCCATATTATTTCTATTGAGCTTTCTCTTTCCTGATGACTGAGGTGTTTCGGTGGTACCTCCACTTGGTGCCGGCGAATCTGGAACGAATCCAATGATTGGTTGAATCTCTACTGAATCATTGTTTGGATTGTTATTGTTGTTTTCATCGTCGTTTGCATCGTCTTCCAACATTGCAGAGTCATTGTTTGCTGACTCTTCAATCTTCTCTTCCTCTTCCTCGAGTTCCTCGTCGGAGAATGTGCTCTGGGAATCATTCTCCAACTTTTGTTTCTTTACTACATGTGGTGTTGAGTCTCCTGTCGGTGTCGAAATGTCGTCGGTAACTACTGTATCGATGAGATTCTCTTCTGAGATCTCTTCATCCTTTAATTCACCATCTTCCTCTTGTTGTTGATGTGGTGACTCGACCATAGCTTGATCTTGTGCAGGTGGTGAAAGTTGTTGGAAAACAGTTTGTGGTGTCAGTGCAGATGCGAAAGGATTTGGTGAAGAAATTGTAGTTGGTGGTTGAGTTTGTTGGACTAAAACTGGTTCTGGTGTAATTGGTGTTTGAACAGGTGTTTGTATTGGTGTTTGAACAGGTGTGGATACGACTGGTGCTGGAGCGGCTTGAGCTAGAGTGGCTTGAACTGGAGCGGCTTGAACTGGAACTTGAACTGGAGCGGCTTGAGCTGGGGTATTGGTAGTGGTAGTGGTAGTAGTTACAGCAGGTTGATTTGCGAGTGCAGATGGTTTGAACAATGAATTTACTAATGAAGAAGATGGTTTCTTTAGAACACGTTTGCGAAGTGGTGGTGGAGTTGGCGATGCTGGTTGTTCTGTTGTTGAAGCTGGAGTAACAGTGTTAAAGATTGATGTGGTGGCGGTTGGAGTAGTTACTGGAACACTGGTGGTACCGAAAATAGAGGCAGCTGGAGAGACAACTGGTGCGAATGGAGAGGCAGGAGCAGCTGGAGCGGGAGGTGGAGCTGAGACTGCGACTGGAGTTGCTACCGGTGTGACAACTGTTTGTGTAACAGCGGCAGCGGCAGGTGCAGGAACTTTCTTTGTATGTTCGAAAAGCTTCAATCTCGATTTGAGAACCTCCATTTGTTCGGTAAGTTCCTTTGTCTTTTCTTTATCTTCGTTCGATTTCTTTAGCTGTTCATCCTTGTCCTTGACCATCTTTGACAGGGCAGACAACTTCTTCTTGTATTCTGTGACTGTCTTCTCTTGGGTTTCTGTGGCTGTCTTATCGGCACTCGATTTGAATGCAGTGAATTGGCTGTTGATTTCCTCCAGCTGTTTCTTGGTGGTCTCTAGCTCTAGCTTTGTGGCAGAGACTGTCGATTGCTGTTTCTTGGCCTCGTCCTTCCAGTGCTTGGCATGCTTCTTTAGCTCTTCGGTTTGCTTCTTGACCTCTTCGTATTGTTCGACCACCTGTTGATTCTCTTTGGTGAGTACATCGAATTGCTCGAGCAACTTCTGATGGACTTCCGGATCGATCGATTGGTACTTGTGGAGAAGTTTCTCGACCTTGGTTGACCAGTTGGCGATTTCCAACTTTTGTGAGGCAATCTCTTCACGCAACACCTGAGTTTCCATCTCGAGAGCACGGTTTCTCTGGACGAGTGGAGCGAGTTTCTCCTCGGTTTCGCGCAGCTTCTCTTGCGACTCCTTGAGCAATTGAGTCAACTTGTTTGTCTCTCCCTTCAACATTATATTGGACTCTCTGAACAGATTCATTTGATCGAGTTGCTTAACTACTTCATCGTGTTTCTTAGCGCTAAACACAACGGTCTTGAGATGCTCTTGTGATTCGCTGAGTTTCTGGTTGAGTGTATCGATAATCTTTTGATTCATCTGAGTGGTCTGTTTCAAACGACTGTTCTCCTGGGTGAGTGATTCATTCTTGACTTCCAATATCTTTTGTTCACGTGCCTGTACGTGGACCAACTCTCTCAGGTCGGCAACCAACTTGTTGCTTTGTTCGTCTGCACTGGTGCCACTGGAGATCAACGATGTCATTCTCTCGATCTTGGAGTTCTGATCGGTGAACGACTCGATCTGTGTTTGCAATAGGGTATTCTGATGTTTCAAATCTTTGATGCGCTCTTCGAATTCGCTGACTTGTGATCGGTAGAGATTCTCTTTTTCCTCCCACGATTGCTGAGCGGCTTCGAATGTCTTGACACCAGTGTCCATCTTGGAGGTGATAGTATTGATTACGTTCTTGGCTTCTTGGAGTTCCGCTCTGAGAGTTGGCAACATCTTGATATCGTGAGCGTGCAAATCGAGTTGTCTCTCGTAGTTCTCAGTGGCGCGCTGTGCCAATGCCGATTGGATCTTGGCTTCTTCGAGTGCTTGTTTCTGTGCGTCTTGCAACTCATCGATTCGCTTAAAGAGTGTTTGTTTCTCCTTGATAAGAGAGTCTCTCTCGGCAACAATCAAATCGATATCCTGCTTGTGAGAACTTGAGAATTGTTCGTATTTCTCCAAGCGTACCGATTGATCTTTGAGCTGTGCTTGCAAGTTGTTGGCAGCTTCAATCGACTCCTTCAACTTCTCTTCGAATTCGATTCTCAAACGATTCGATTCCTCCTTGAGTTTTGTCAAATCATTCTCATTGGACAAAGCAATCGATTTGTAATGAATGACATTCTCCTTCTCCTGTGAGAGTGACTCTTTGAGACTTTCAATCTCTGACTTGGCCAGCGAGAGATCGAGACTGTTCTCAGGATTGGAACTAGTGTTACCACCACTACCACTTGGAACAGCAGCATTGTTGTTTGATGATGATTGTGATTGTTGTTGTTGTTGCTGTTGTCTCTCCAACATGGAATTGAATCTAATCTCGTTGGTAGAGATTTGATTCTCGAGAGTGGTAATCTTTTGTTGAAGATTCTGTTCTTGAATCTTGTATTTCAACAGCTTCTCTTTGGTCTCTGCAATCTCTTTCTCCTTCTTTTCGTAGCGTTCACGTGATTCGCTCAGTTGATGGTTGAGTGAGTAGTTGTTATCCTTGTGAGCCTGCTTCTCATCGTCCAACTCCTTCTTTAGCGCAATACGAATGGTTTCCTGCGAGTTGAGGTCGTTCTCCAGCTTTCTACGTAGCTCTTGTTCTACACCCTCCTTTGTTGTATTCATATTGTTGACGGTGTTCAAGATGCTCTCGAGATTCGACTTTTCATTTGACAGCCATTTGTTTGTCTCGAGCAATCTTTGTTCGGACGACTTGAGAATCTCGTTCTCCGACTTGAAGTTTGATAGTCTCGACTCCAATTGACGCAACTGCTCTTGGATTTGAGTGTTGTTGTTTCGTTGCTCCTCGAACGACTGTTGGTGTTTGACGATGATCTGCATGTACTCGTTGTTCTTCTGACGGTATTGGTTGAGTTCCTTCTCTTGCGATGCGACCGATAGCGACAAGACCTTGTTGCTCTCGGTCAACAGTGTAACCTGAGTCTCTGATTGCACCAAGCTAATCTTGTTGGATGTGCTCGATTCGCGGAGAATATCCAACTTGGATTGCAGTGACTTTTCATTCTCTGTACGATCCTTGACGTATTGTTCATACTCCTGTTGAAGTTCCTCATACAACTTGGTTGTCTTTTCCAACTCTTTTCTCAACTCGTCGCCGTTGTTGTTGCTGTTGGATGGCTCACGTGACGAAGATGTGGAATTCACCCGATTTAATGAACGATGAGAATGACGACTTCATTGGCGATGCAATGTCGTCGTTCACCAACAAACCAGAGTTTTGTGAAAGATTCTTAAAGTAATCTCTCTGTTTGACTAGCGACTGGATTGCCTCGGCTTGTCTCTCACGAGACGAACGCAACACACCAAGCTCTTGAATGGCAATCTCTAGTTTCTTGTCGTTCTGGCTGTGCAGTGACAACTCCTGACTGAGAGTACGCACATTTCTCATCAACTCTTGATTTCTAATTTGTAGCTCCTCGATCGTCGAGAAGGTAATGAGTGAATCCGGTATGATTTGATCGACCTCTGTTGGCGATAACGAAGACGACGACAAAGAAGATCTAGAGTGTTGCATCGATGATTGTTGTTGATCTGGTACAATCGATGCAGATTTTAAGCTTCTCGTGGTATCGAGTGCCTCCTTCAAGAGATTTCTTACTTGCTTCTGAAGGTCACTGCTCTCTTGGCGTAATTTTGCATTCTCGGTGGACAATGTCTGAATCTTTAGTGTCAGCGTATCCTTCTCCGATTGCAACTCCTGGTAGGTGTTCAACAACTTCTCCTGACTCTTTAGCAAACGTTGATACTCTCTGTTCTTCTCGTGGATAATCGGTGCCTTCTTCTCGACTTCGCGCAACACATGCTCCAAATTGTCCTGAAGGAATCGCTTCTCGCGCTTCTCGTGGAGCGACAACTTGGTCAAGTCGTCGTAACGCACAACCATATCGAGCAGCTCCCTACGGATATCCTCACGACTGCCAAGCTCCACCACTTCCTGTAGTCTACGCTTGATTGGTTCCGAAAGCAATGGAATATCGTTCTGCGACATCAAGTCGGGTGTGGAAATACCGTTGTTGTTGTTGCCGTTGCTGCTATTACCAGAGTTATTATTGCTATTGTTATTCTTGTATTCATCGTACTCTTTAAGAACACGTTGATAGTTCTCCTCGAGTGAATCGTATGCATCTTCCATCTTCTTGTAGGCCTGCTCGTGTTCTTCGCGCAACTTGCGATCAACGTCTTTCAGTTGGTCGATCTGAGTTTGCAACAAACTAACCTTCTTTGTCGCTTCATCTTGACCGTCCTTATACAAATTGGCCAAACGCTTCTGAATGTCCAATTCATGCTCAAACTGTGTTGCATTCTGGATAGTCTGATCTTTCAGCGTCTTTATCTCCTTCTGATAGCGATCCAATGATTTCTCATACTCGGCGATAACACCTTCCTTTGACTTTATCTGGTTCTGTAATCTCTGATTCTCATCTTGTTGGAAATCACACTTACTTGTTGTCTCTGTCAATATCGATTTCTAAAACAAAACAAAGCAAACAAGTTAATACATGTTCAGTACTACTAAACAATTTAAAGTAACAACAACTTACAATCTCTTTAAGTTCATTGAAATAATGTTTGGTATGTTTCTCACAAGACTCTGAGAGATGTTGATTCTGATTCTTTAGTTCGTTGATCTCTTGTTTGAGTCGCATGATCAGGTATTCGTTGGAGGTCTTCTCGTTCTCGAGTGTCAACATCTTTGAGGACATCTCGCCCTTTACTCTAATGGTTTCGTTGAGACGCTCTGTCAGCTTCTTGACTGCGTCTGTCTCCTCGACGATATCCTTCTCCTTACGACCGATGATATCGTGTAGACTTGCCTTCTCCTTGTGCAACTCATCGTAGAGTTTACCCAATGCATTGGTTCTAGATTCCTTCTCAATCAACATCTGTTTCAACTTTGTCATCTCCTCCAAATACTCTGTATTCTTTTGATCTATAACAGTAACAATCAATCAATCAATATATCAATCGATTAGTTCATATAATCATAATAAATATATTATCTATAATCATTTACTATACTTACTTAACAATTGAATATCATTTCTAAACTTATTGTTCTCTTGTAGAACAGTATCATAATCTTTCTTACAACTGACATACTTTGCTTCTACTTGTTGAAATAGTTGTTCTGTTTGTTTATTTAATGATAATAAGATGATGAATAGTTGGATGTTTAGTTAGATGTTGTTAGTTTAAACTAATGTAATAGAGAGTAAGTAGTATAACAATAACATACCTGAATTTGTTGAATCAACTAATGATTTAGCAGAGATTGTTTCCAATGATTGTTTGAGTTGCTTTATCTTTTGTTCAGCTCTGTTGACAATTTGCATTGGATCTTGTGAGAGTTGATTGAATTCCTCTCTTGTGAGGAAAGAACAACCCCATGGTTGATTCTGAACCTCTGTCATTTATTCTGTTCAAACTATATACTTTGTTTTTCCTATAAAAATTGATATAAATCTAACTATCTAACTATATATATTTATATATTTATATAAAACTATTAATTAATATTAAATTAATAAATATAGTTAGTAATTGTTTGAATAAGATCAACAACAATTCAATTAGTATTAAAAAAAAACTAATATTTTTTCAATCGATTTGATGATCATTATTTTCAAAAAATTTGGTTTTTTTTTTTGGAGGGATAAAGACTTGAAGAAATAAATTGTCTTTATATCGAACTATTTAATAACATGCTTCAGAATTACTATGTTTATTAATATTAATATTGAGACTTTTAGCTAGATATGTTATTGTTGTTGTTGTTGTTGTTGATCATTATAGTCATAGAAATATCATGAAATCAATAATGCAGGATGGATAATCATTACTATCAACTCTTTAGATACAAGCTACTCAGAGGTTAATCAATCTATAACATAGCAAATAGAAGTGTGGGTGATTTACTTTATATCTAAAGAAACAACGAACACATGATCATTGAGGTTATTAACAAATGAATATATATTCTACAACAATTTAATTAAATTTGGAATATTTTATATTTAATCTCGATGATATTATCAGTTATAAACATCGTCGGTCAGCATACAGATACAACATCGAGGTGATCATCATGAGTTTTGATTCATAAATAAAAAATACAAAATAAAAAAACAATATCTCCCTTTATGTAACAATACATGGTTTATTTATTTATCTATTTGCATCACCGAGTAGAGGGTAATACCATGATCTTATTTTATCAAAATCGGTGTCGGTGTGTTGTTTCAATGTGATAGCAATGTATCTATTCAAAGTATTAAGCTTTCTCGCTGCTTCTCTTCCCTTTACTGCAACTTCATCATTGTCAGTTGTATTTTTATTTGTTAATCCATTCACAGTTGCTGAAAGAGCACTTTTATTTCTATTCTTACATAGCACAGCTAGCTCGGTATCTGATTTTTTATATGCCTTTGCAGCTATGATTATCTTTGCTTTCCATTCATCAACTGAGTGTTGTAATTGTTTCTTATTACTTTGTCTTTTAATTGAGACCTTTTTGTTGGTTGCTGTATTTGTTGTTGTTGTTGTTGACATTTTGTTCTTCATAATATAACAAATATGTTTACAAATTAAAAATTTATTAATTAATATTTTGCAAAATAAAAAGATAAAATACCAAGATTACATACACAACGATTCGAAACACTTCAATCATTAATACCACCTGTAGCTGGTAACGATGATGACTTTGATGATGACTTTGATGAAGTTGATGGAGTTGCAGATGGTATCGCTGATGTAGTGGTGTAGTATATTATTCAAACAAATACATGTTAAACTCTAAAATTGTCAAACATATCCGCCACATAAACAATCAGGTTTGACAATTTTAGAGTTTAACATGTATTTGTTTGATATACTAATAAAAATAGTTTTGTTTTAGATGATCAAATTACTGATGTTAACATCATATTTATAACTAGTTTTTTTCCGCATAGTAATTTAATTTTCATTTGTCAGTTGTTTACGTCAAAATGATGTTTTGTGAAAATAATAAAAAATTAATATAGTTTTATTTATTTAAATTATTATCCCAATCTTAAATAATAATATCTGAAAAGGGAGATTACACTATTTGTTTTGTAAGTAGTAGACAAAGATCCAATGATGCAATGATAGAAAATAGAAAATCAAATAAAATAATTGATTTTATGTGGTTTTTTGTAGTTTGTAAGTTACAGTGTGTGATGAAATTAATACAGGGTTATTTTCTTAATGTATTCTAATTAGATATTCATCATGGAGGAAAAGGAAAGAAATATATATATAGTTTTAGTTATTTATTTCTGTATTATTTATAACATTAATTAATTTTGTTTTGTTTAAAAATGAGCATAATAACAATTTGTCAGTCATTGATTTCATTATTTTTATTATTAGTTATCATCAATATTGTAGTTCCAATTATCAAATTCATTGTATTTATATATGATATATATATAACACTTCCAATGGCCTTGGAGATAGGGAAATCAAATCTTTCACAAAGTTTAGAGGAATATGGATATCATACATTAGAGGGTATAATTCCCCTAACTAAATATTAACAACAAATTGAATACTAATAAAATTACTTGTTTATTCTTAAAACTCTGAGTAAGCATGTGTGTGGATTATTAATTTATTATTATACTACAAATGTAAATTTAAATTTAAATCATTTTTTATTAGTTGTTGTTGTTGGCTGTTGATAACCTAATAAATTTAAATTTTTCTTTGAGTAATGAGTCGGACCCTTTATCGTTTTGAGGTACTTGGTGAGCAGTGTTTTGATTTCCGGTGAATCGGTGATTGCCATTTCGAAATGGGTCAGCGGCAAATCCAGGATGACTGTGAGTGAATCGGGCGAGGATTTAGTGGCGCACAGCAGGAATCCCTTCCAGAGTTGTGGATCTTGCCAGATCTGTTTCGCCACCAACTCACGAAGCATATCGACAATGAACTGTTTGAGATGCGGGAATTTCTGGAGTGCCTGAAGCATTGTTCTCATCAGTGTCTTGGGCAGCGTAGGTTGAACTATAAGCTGTTGAATGGTTACGGCCAGTGTCTCCTGTCGGAAAACATCGGTATTCTTGATGCAGGTATCGATCGTTTGAATCACTGGGATCGTATTCTCACTGTTCATTATCAAGTGGAGGTGAACCAGTAGTTCGGATGGTGAGAGCGGTGCATGTTTCATCGACATCATCTCAACAAACTTGGCAATATCGGAAGGTGGCATAACAAAGGTTGGCAGCATCTCAATGATCTCTGACTTGTCCAAACCATTGACAACAGGCAACAAGAATTTAACATCCTTTGTTGATTTCGAAAGTGTTCTAACAGATTGAACAAATTCTTTTGATAATAATGGTTGTTCCGCTGCAGCTGTTGTTGTTGATACTTCTGAATCTGATGTTGTTGTTGTTGTTGTTGCTTTTGAAGTTGATAAACTATCAATAATTTGATAGACTAACTTTTCAGATCCAACCGGACATACTTGGATGATTTGAAGTAACGATTCGTTCGCTTGTCCAATCGAGGAAACAACAGGTCCAATCATTTCAACAATCATATCTTTGACTGCGTCTGTACATCGTGGATAGCATTCGATTACCTCGGTTAGGAGTGACGGCTTCTTGGCGCATATCGAAAAGAAAAGTTGCAGTTTGTTGTTGATGGTCGGTTTATCTTGGTTCATTGATTGGTCGTCTGGCTGCGGTAACACCGAGAGAAGTTGGTCGATGACAAACAACTCTATCTTTTGTGAGAGTGATGCGAATTTAAACAACTCTTCGCTTAGGACACGCACGGTATTCGCGCGAATGAATTCATTCGGATCGACAGCATGATTGAATAGACACTGCAGACATCGATCTCTCGAGATTGGTCGCCAGATGATCAAGCTCAGCAGTGTGTTGAGACCGAGCAGCACCAGTGTCGTATCGTTACAACAGAGTGCGATATGATCCATCAAGCCAGAGGTGATCACTGGAATCTCCAGGATAAAGTCACTCACTATCATCTGATGTTGTTTGTCGTCGTCGAATGCGTATTTCGCTTGGAGTTTCTTTACGATGTTGATGAGTAGCTGTGCGTATCGGTTGGTTTCTTCGTTGTCGTCGGCGAGTAACAACGACAGCTGATACTCATTCTGCAGCCACTGCAGTGCAAGCTCGCGTCTATTTACAAATTCCTCGAGGATATATTCGATCATCTGATTCTGGAGGAGGTGATTGGCGTTCGATTCCTTACGTTCGTTCACCGATAGTAGCCTGGCAAACAGCGATGACCACAACAGTTTCTTGCCACCTTGGATCGCTCCTTTCTCAGAGTGTTTCAATCTCTGCATCGAACGGTCAATTATATTATTGATTTGATCTGTGTTTAAAGTGGGAATCTTAAATGTTGGATTGATAGAGAATCCCTGAGTAATATCGGAAGTCGATGCTGTTGTCGTCGATGCTGTTGTCGTTGTTGTCGATGTCGTGGAAGTGGAAGTGACGCCACGCATTTCATTCGAATCGAGACCATCGGGATTATCATTGTCAGGCTTGCTAACAGCTCCAATTCCAGCATTTGCATCTTGTTCTTTGTCCTGATCCAACAACTCTTCTGACTCTAACAACTTATCCAACTCTGGTTCTTCTTGTTCTTGCTCCTCTTCATAGACATCGATTGGTTTAGCTGTAGGAGACAACAGTGTTGTTGAAGTAGATGGTTGACTTGTATCCATTGGCATTGTCATTGCTGCATTCGGTATTCCAATCGAAGAAATAGCTGAACCAACGCTATTGTTATCGATCATACCAATTGGTAGTGGAGGTGATTCACTCTTACGTCTTGGATCGTTGGTTGTCGCTGATTTAAAAGTTGGTGGTGGAATGATTGGTGTTGGTGGTGATGTCAACATGTTGTTGTTGTTGGGTGGATATGGATAGGATGTTGATGATGGTGGTGGTGAAGATAATGATTGTATTGGTTGTTGATAGGAATTTACAAATTGAAAGAGTTTGTCTGTGTTTTGATTGTGTTGTATATTTTGAAGTAAACTAAAAAATGGTGATATATTCATGTTCTCTATAATGAGATCAGCAACGAAATCAGGTCTAAGTGATTCGAGTGATGAACTTTAAGAATAGAATATTGAATCAACAATAAATAAAAAAAAGAAAGGATTTGAATTAATATAACTTCTTTCTATTTCTTTTATTTTATGATTAAAAATCATAATAAAAACATGTATACTAATATCATTTAGCATCAATCTTAAAGATGTTCTCTTCGTAATAATTGAACAGCTGTTATTGTTGTTATTGTTATTGTTGTAATACTTGTTGTTGTTATTGTTGTTGTTGTTGTTGTTGTTTAATTTTGATACATACATAACTTTTAATTGAGTTTCATTATCTAAATGAATACCTGGTTTATATATAATCGGTGATGGTATTCTATTATTGTTATTATTGATATATCCATTGTTATTTTGTTGAAATTGTTGAAATTGTTGTTGCTGTTGTTGTTGTTGTAATAAATGTTGTTGTTGTTGTTGTTGTGTTTGTTGTTGTTGAATCTGCTGTTGTTGTTGTTGTTCAGATTTCAATTTCTTCATATTATTTATATCTGGTTGTTCATTTAATCTCTTTTTCTTCTCTGGTTCACCACGATACCATCTAGATGCTTCGTCAATCTCTTTTGGCGATACATCAATACTGCTCAATGCCCTACTCAAATCCTGTACAAATGGTGATACCAATGTATTCTTTAACCTAATAGTAATAATAATAATAATCGATAATAATCAATAGTTTAGTTTTAATAAACAAATATAAACATATATAAACATAAATAATCCATCTTATTACTCACTTTAAAATAGATAAGAAACATGTCTTTATAGCATGTTTGATACTCTCATTCTGAATGGTATTGAACTTTGGTAGGTATTGCGTACACTGACTCATCTGAGGTAGTATCTGCTTCAACAAAGACAGCCGTTGCTTACAGATAGTCGTTAAACTCGTGATTAATACCATTATATTTGTGCTAGTCCTTAGTGTTAATAACAATATTGTAAATTAGTAATTAATATTATGTTATGTTATGTTATTTAGTTTGGTCTAGTGGTTAATAGCTAGCTAGTTAGTTAGTTAGTTACTTACATTGAATCTAATGATACAATATGATCTAGCAATGTGTTGAGATAGGATGTACAGTCTTTTTGAAGTTGTTGTCTGTTCAGGAGGTTGTGAACGGGTGGCACACGATCGAGTGAGAATTCTTCGTCTGAACGGTAACGTCGTTGTACCACGGTGCTACTACTCGTTCCACTAGATCCCATAGCTTCATTGCTAACAGAGTAACACAATATCAGAATCTCCAACAACTTGAAAGAATGAGCCATCGTTGAATCACTAATCGATAGAATACTACAACTTGGATCCAATATATATCTTCTCAGCTCATTGAATGAGCTCCAAACATCACCAACATCATTATTATTACTTGTCAATCTGTTTAATAATAATAATAATAATCAAACAAAATACAAACATTATTAATATATTGATAATCTTTATCATTAACAACATATATAAACATTAATATACATTAACATACGTATAAGATAATAGAGATCTAACCAAATTTGTAAAACAAAGAATAGTTCGTTTAATGACTTGTGGTGATTGACCGAGTAGATACTTTAAGATATCTTTACTCTTTATAATAACTGTTGTTGTTGTTGTTGTTGTTGTTGTTGTTTTTAAATGTAAGTTAGTTAGTTAATGATTGTAAAGTGTTAAAAAAGTAGAATACTAGTACTGATCTACTATTGATACATTACATTGAGGTTTAGATTTACAAGTTAGCTCTATGAATCCAATGATTTGTTTCTTGATTTGCACTGTGCTATCGAGTGCAAATTGAATCAAACTTGTATAGTATTCATTTAACAATGCTGTATCACGATGAGACATCAACTCAAAGGCACTGGCGAGAAGATCGATCTTCTCAGTGTCACTGGCAATCGAAGCACTATTGAGTAATGTTGCTACATCAACATCATTGTTATTTGACATTATACTTTTTTACTTTTTTATATAAAAAAAAAAAAACAAAACCTACTAAACAAAACTAAACTAAACTAAAACTAATTAGATTGTTTATGTATCTATATATAAGTATAAAATATATTTAATATTAAAACAAAAGTAATTGTTTTGTTGTTTTTTGTTTTTTTTTTTGTGGTTGCATTAAAAAGGTGTGAGGTTTGTAGTTTTTTTTTTTAAAAATTTGTCAAAGTTGATTTTCATATAACTACTAAATAGCTAGCTCTGTTCTTGACGTAATTTAATTATTATCTTAATATTGTTTTAGGAATACTTTACTTTTTAGTTACCACTTCAAAATAAAAAAAGAAAATTTATTGAAAAAGAGAAATTAAAACAGATTTTAAAGGAAACGTAATAAACTATGTAAATTTTCATTGGATGATGACAGAGCTCATTTAATCCGCTTTGTCATTAAGAATGATCTGATATCGAAGCTATTTGAACCAATAAATTTGCAATCATATCTTTTAGACTAGCAGACGATTATTGAGAAATTTTTTTTGATTAAAACAAAAAGCTCCTTTTTATGCTCTCAACAATAATATTTATTTAAGCAGTAGTATAGTATTAACACTTTTAGATAGATTTCTTTAATTTTATTGAATTTATTACAATTTGTTAAAATTCTGTATACAAATTGGAATAAGTTTAAATAAATAAAAATGATGATACCAAAAAATAAAATGTTTCACGAATTAAAGTACATATAGAATAATAGATATAAATATATAAATAAAATTATCTATAGCATTTATAATCTACCTCGCGCTCTTTTTTTCAAAAATTATTTGAATTTCAAAATTTTAATTTTTCTGTTTGAACAAAGTTTTTTTTTTTTTTTTTGGTTTTTTTTTTTTTGTTTTTGGTTCTTCAATTTTTTTTTTTTTGTTTATTGAAAAAAAGATTTTTTTTTATTTTCATTATTTTTTTTTAAATTTTTTTTCAAAAAATAGTTGGGTATCAACACACAATACTAAACTTTACTATCTCTTATAAATTGCACCACCAAAGTAATTATTTATTTTATTTTTTTTTGATTAGTATATAGACCTTTTTTTTTTTTTGATTGTTATTTTATTATCGAGATTGACGTCAACACAACATTAACATCAAACAACAAATATCAATCAATCAATCAAACAAAACAAATCATCAAGAGAAAAGAAAATATAATTAATATAATATAAAGAATATATTAAAATATAATAACTTGAAAGTAGACTTTAACTTCAAATTTCTTTTAAAAAAAAACAAAAAGATTAAAAAAAGATTAAAAAGATTAAAAAACCACAGTACATCATCAAACAACACACCAACAATCATCATCTTCTTCATTGTAATAGATAAATAATAACAATAATAATAGTTTAAAAGGTTAATTAATCTAATAGATATTTTTTTTTTTTTTACTTTTTTTTTTTGTAAAAATTAAATTTTTAGAGTATAGTAGTGTGTTCGATTTATAATAATAATATATATAGAAACAACAACAACAACTAAACAACAGCTAAACAACAACAACAAAACAACAAGCAAATAACAAAGTTATATAGAAAGAAGTAATTAGTAATAATGAGTTCGAATATCGATAATATCAAAGAGGAAACTATGTCAGACAGTAATATACAGAACAATGTCGAGACTGTAAATACAACCACCACCACTGAAAATAGAAACATAGACAAAACAGATGCCAGTAACAAGAGTTTGGAGGTGTCTATCGACAGCGAAGAACCTGCCACTGATATAGATAATAACAGCAATAACACAGCTAACACCAACACCACCACCACACCACAAGAGAGTACAGCATCATCAACCACCGCCACCACCACCACCACACCATCTACATCATCATCATCCTCCTCATCGACAGACAACACCAGCAGCAACAACAGTGGCAGCAGTGGTAACACCAACACAAGCAGCAGCAACGACCAACAATATCCATCGACACCACTCGCCGAACCATTGAGCAGCAGCACTGGATCCAACCAACACGGTACCCACCAAGCAAAGTTCTCCTCGGTCAAGGACATCGGTATGTCATCCGAAAAGAACCCACGTTTCAGAAGAACAATGGAAGACGAACATGTTATAATCGATTCATTCGGTGGTGATCCACAACAAGGTTACTATGCAATCTATGATGGTCACGGAGGTAGAGGTGCTGTTGACTTTACTGCTAAAACTCTTCATTTGGTAAATATATATATTAATAATCTATTTTTTAACTTGTATATTCTGATATAATATCCTAACTTTATTTATATTATTCTTTTCTTTTTCTTTTTTATTCTTTTTTTTTTTTTTTTTTCTTTTTTCTTTTCCTTTTTTGTTCTTTATTTCCAATATATAGAACTTATTGGAAGAATTGAACAAAGATCCAAATGGAGATATTTTAGAACATATTAAAAATAGTTATTTAACTACAGATACTCAAATGGGTAATGAGCCAATACAGTTTAGTGGTACCACTACAATCTCTGCTTTGATTAGATACAATGAAAAGGGTGAGAAATTCCTCTATATCGCCAATGCTGGTGATGCTCGTGCTGTTATTAGGTATGTATATCAAACACACCAACATAACATATTGAAGATGGTTTTAAACTAATATTTAATAACTCTATTATAGTCGTAATGGTGTAGCTGAGAGATTGTCATATGATCATAAAGGTTCAGATCAAGAGGAGATTAAGCGTATTACAGAAGCTGGTGGATTTGTTGTTAATAATCGTGTAAATGGTATTCTCGCAGTCACTCGTTCACTCGGTGATCACTCTATGAAGGAGTATGTCGTTGGTGACCCATACAGACGTGCCATTCAATTAGACCCAAGTTATACACATTTAATTTTAGCATGTGACGGTGTATGTATACATTCACTATTCATTTTAAAACCCAATTCAATCAAAATACTCATTATTGTTAACCTTTTTTTTTTTTTTGTTCTACTTTACATTTCTATTTTTAAATATTTTCAATTTTATATTTTAATTTTAGCTCTGGGATGTCGTCAATGATCAAGATTCAATCGACCTTATTATAAACGAAACAGAGGCACAAAGAATGAGTGACAAGCTTTTATCGAGTGCATTGAGAAAAGGTAGCACTGATAATATTAGTATTATGGTTATAATCTTGTAAGAATTCCAAAAACAGATAATCAATCCTATCTGACCAAGAAAAAAAAAAACAAAAAAGAAAAAACAAAAAACTATAGTTTAAAATTAAAAACAACAATAAAAAAAACAATAAAAAAAGAATGTTAAAATTAACATTCTAATTATATTTATAAATATTAAAATAATTATCATTAATTAATAATAAAGTGTTATTAATATTATTATATTTGGAGTACTTAATAGTTTCTTGGTTTTATTTATTGTTCTTTTCTTTTTAATTATTAATATTGTTTGTTGTTTATCTTTTTTATTATGATTTCCAAATTTGAGGGAATGGATCTTTTGGACTTAGAATAAGACCAACTTTATGACATACATATCCTTTGATGTAACCGTTGTAGATGAGATTCGAGATGATACATTCTGCTTCGTCGATGTCAACTGTGTCATTCTCTGCCCATTTAAGTGCAATAACAAAGTTTTGAATGGGTACACGAGAATTATGATTTAAAAGATATCTTTAATATGAAAATGATAATGAATAAATTATTAATATTAATACAATGTTATTCAACTGGTTTAATATGATTAATGTAACTTACATTTTCTTGAAAAGATTTCTATATACAATATTCTTTAGTTTTTCTAAAATCAAATAGATTCCCTTTTGAATGAAATAGTTTTGATTGGTCGATAGACATTGATTGAATAGTTTGATGTTTCCTGTCTTCATTGCCTCTACTATACCAACGAATTGATTCAATCCATATTGTAATAATAACTCTTTCTTTGGGAATCGACAAAGTGATAGTTGCATTGGAATTAAATATAATAATATCAATCTAAATGTATTTGTTTTGATTTGGTTTGTTAGTTCAATTGTTATTTTTAATGATATTATTATTATTATTGATATTGTTATATTGTTATCGTTTTTGTTTTTGTTATTGTTATTGTTATTGTTTGAATTTGTCTTACCTTTTGTTTTTAGCAGAAGATCCAGTGCTAGGACACTTGTTGAAAGAGAACAGTAGATCTTGCTGAGCTTTTTGTGTGTTACCGTCGAATGCAGCGAGTCTACCGACAAAGAATCGATAGGTGATCAACTGTCCGAGTGGATATGATTCTAGTGCAGGGTAGAGTGGACTCTCCATGGCTTTGATTACGTTCTTACAGAGTTTCAAGTTGTTCAGCTTAAAGTAGATGTGGAACATCTGGTTGACGATACCCATTGCCGCCTTCTTCTTGGACTGCGACAGATCGGTGGTACGATCGGTACTCGACGCCTGGAAACAACGATTCAATATTCTCGATGCCTCTTCGTAGTAGTCCGCTTTCTTCTCTGCACTCTCCACTGTATTCGCCAGCTTTGCCATTATTCTAATATCATAAGTGAATTTCCACATCGCCTGTGATGACCATACTTCAAATACTTTTATAAATGCACTTCAAAATATTGACAAATTAGCATACATAGATAAAGTAGAATAGAATAGATAGATATATATTTATTGTTAAACATACGTTATTGATTCAGATAGATAATTAAATGCATCGTCATAGTTTGAATCGAATATTGAGGTGATTGCACGTAGACGTGATGCAATCATATCACAATAGGATTCTCGTTGTGTTTCGTTTGTTCCATGTGGATGTATTTTGTTTTGCAAGAGAGAATCTAAATCTGCTGTTTTCCTAACGATCTGATCGATCTTTTTCAATTGTAATAGCTTGCTATTGTACTTTGTCTCTTGTATCTTATTTGAAAAGCTTTGTTTCTGTTGTTGATAAGTAGTGATCGTGATGACTTCACTCAGAGATATCAATTCTGCAAAAACTTTTCCATGTTCTTTTGTTACACAATCATTTATCTGATTTAAATATGTATTTAAATCTGCCATTAATATATATCTATTCTATATCTATCTATATCTAACTAATTATCTAAATATAAATCTATATATATTTAATAATTAATTGTAAAAAATATATCAATTATAATTGATTTATTTATCATAAAGAAATTTGAATTTAAAAAAAAAAAAGAAATGAAAATATGAGCGATGATGACAGGTGCAATGATCAAACGATCATCTTCAAGTTAATTACTTAAATAATCTGTTCAGTTTTTTGAAATCGATCGTTTGATAGTTAGTTTATTCTATTATTATATATAATTTTAATTTGATGACTACAGTAAAGAAAACATTATATGTAGGAGGTTTGGACGATAATGTTACAGTGGACACACTGCGAGGTGCTTTCATTCCTTTTGGCGAGATCAGAGATATATCATTACCTTTAGATTATAAAACACGTATGAATCGAATCGAATTCATAATCAATAAATCAATCAATCTATTAAAAAGAATAGTATTAACATTTAAAGTATATATATAGAAAAACATAAAGGATATTGTTTTATAGAGTTTGATACAAGAGAGGATGCATTGGATGCCGTAGACAATATGCACGACAGTGAAATCTTTGGTAGAACAATAAATTGTACAATAGCAAAACAATCGACTGTAGATAAAAATAAATCACGTAAGTTTTAAAATCAAATCATCATTCCTCTATCAAGTATAGATATATTAAATTGAACAATACTAACCAACTTTATTCTTTTAAATTCCGCATTACTAGTATGGAGTAGTGAAAACTATAACACATTACAAGCACTTCAAGATAAGGAAAATGAAAAAGAGGAACAAAAAGATTTCATTAAAGAGAAACTGCAACAGCAATAGCAATATCAATAGCAATAACAATAACAATATCAATTATATCTCACAGAGCACGCACTTCACACCGACAATCAAATAAATCATAAACGATTTCTGTATACAGTTTATCAGTTAGCATCATATTTGGTTGGTTGGTTTATATAATGAGCAAAGCAATCTACTCAATGTTAGGAAATTAGGGAGACTAATTATATATATATAATAAGGAGAAATGATATTTATTTGTTTTACTAAAAAGGTGATTTAAACCGGTGGAGTTTTGTCAAGTGGCTTTCCATAAGGATATATATTATCTCCGAATATCTCGGGTGCTGCCTTCCTAAAATTATTTCTCTTGTTTCCCAAACAAGTTAGAAATATATAAGTAATTTTATCGTTCCTTCTTAACTCTGCACACTCACCAATTACATGTGTCAATTTGGCTAATCTGTTGGCTGTTTTCATTGTTACTTCTTTAAGTTAAGCATCGTTTTGCAACAATCTATCGGTGGTCGGCTCATCGAATATTCCTCCAAGATTCTTCATACCAACAATAATTCTATCAATACATTTATCTTTTCCACACACCATTTTTAACTTTTTGCATCTATATATCTTTGGGTTGTTCTCTCAGTTTTAGCTCGAGCGCATGATGATCCCACCATGTTTTAATGATTATTGGTACATTACTTGAGGGATCGAGTATCTTAATGGTTGTTTGTTCTTCTTTCTTAATAGGAATCGAAGACATATCTAATATTTTTTTAAAGAAAAAACCTATTCGATTAGGTTTTTCCAAAAATTAATATTTGATTAAACCATTGGTCTAATGAATACAAATAACAAAATACTATTAAAAAATTTAATTAATTTAAACATTATTTTTAAATATTAAATAATTAAATTTATAGAATATTTATTTATATTAGAGACTTAATTTATCCGTATTTTTTTATTACTATTTCTAGAAATGGATCACCAACAACATTTTCAACCATACTTAAACATTTATCATCAAGTTGCTACAAAGAAAAGTCTATATGCTATCGTATTTGAAATACACCCGCGAGGAGAATCACCAGAGTTTAACCCAGCTCTTTTTCTCCCTCTTGGACATAGAGACCGTGGTACTGAAACAAGACAATCATTTTATATTCTTTTCCGCGAAGCTTTATTAGAATTAGGTTACAGTAATGAACTATATGGTATGTACACACGTGAGTGCACATAGAAGCAGGCATTGACAGACGCCAATTCTCTACATCTTGATCCCAATTTAAATTGGATGCCATGGTGTATTTCGAGGATGCATGTAGTCAAGGTTATAACTAGAGTGTTCTATCTATACTTTGTTTACTGTCCGGTTCACCTGGGACAATGGTAGAGGAGATAGGTAACTTAGAAGTGGCCAGGCTGGATTGGAACAAATCAGTTGAGAGTTGAGAGTGGATCTGGGCGAGCGCTGGTAGGAGTGACATCCGGAAATAAAGTGGAGGTTGACTGAATTTGATCAAAGTTATTGTTATTCTCAAGATCACTCATTCTGAGATCTCTTGTAGTAGTTGTTGGATCCTTAGATGCTGTTGAACTACTGGTTGTTGTTATTGTATCTGATGACTTATCAGTTGGATCTACCATTTTCTTATTTAATTAATAATCAATAATAATATAAAATAATATTTCTAATAATGTTTTTATATAATTTAAATTTAACTCTTATTTAATCTTTTATTTGATTTTTTTATTTTTTTTTATAAGTTATTTTGAAAACTGTAAAATCGCACATATTAATAATAATAGTTGTTTCAGAAACTATTTATGTAGTAGGGAATGGCAATCAATACAGAGTTATTGGAATACTCGAATTGTTGAAGGACAAATAACTCAAAATAAAGTAGATTGACAAAACAAAAAGAAACAGTTCAGTTTATTGATGAACTCAAGATCGGATTTAATAATGAAGTTTTCTATTATTTTATTGTAGAATAGAAAACTTAATTAATTTCTATTATACAATAAAATCAACAACACAACAAGAAACAAAAAATAACAACAGTATCTCAACCTATAATAACTTAAAAGATTTTCAAATAGAGTAATAATCCTCTTTCTAAATCTACCAATTCACAAATGAAATTAAACCTAATAAGTGTTAGTGATTAATAAATAAGACGGTGCATGTTATATTAATGGTGAATGATTTAATGACAAAGGGTTTTTAAGTTTATTTTATTATTAATTGGTGATTGTGATAAGTCTATTATTATTATTAATTACTGATAGTGTCTCTTGATTAAATCATCGATCATAGTAGTACCAGAGCCAGTAACATAACCCATATGATTTTTAACAGTGGAGAAATTCTTGAAGACCTTGACGAATGGATAGATTGCGACATCATTGGCCCACATACAATCAACAGTTAACTGGGGAACCAAATGGAACTTGGAAGAAAACGGCATTTGGGTATCTACCTGGTAAGGCTCTCATAAAATCTTTGACCAAATCGCAAGCAATACAATTTGGTTGACCAAAGTAAACTACTACAAGTTGATTTTCATCGGCATCATTGAGTTGGAACATGAAATCTTCTTTGTTGGAGATTTGGACCCAAGATGAGATAAATTCTGGTAATGACATTTTTAAAAGTTGATTTATAGATATTTATGAGGTAATAAAAGAGATATAAAATAATTATATTTGTAGAGAATATGAATTTTACAAATATAGAATTGTTGTTGTTGTTGTTGTTTAATGGGTAATTTGAATAATGATATATAAAGCTGAATAATCACATTTTAAATACTTTTTGAGAACACAAAACAAATAGTGTGGATGATAATTTGAGAATATTACGAAACATTTTTCTCAAAACCTGTGATGTTTCACCTAATTAGTGGGAGTCTATGATATAATTATGGTAAACATCAACTCTGAGAATGAGTGTCTGATGATATTTGACACAATAGGTTTGTTACTAAAAATTGTTTATAAACTGTGTTTTGATTTTTTTTGTGATTGGGCTTTGAAGTGTGATCCCCAATCAACAGCAGTGCTTATACAATATTTGCAAGGGATTACACTCATTCTTGGGCTTGGCTGAGATACAAATCATGTTGTGTGTTTTCAACGAAATTCGATGGTGACAGTGATGATATGCAGTCACTGTTTTATTGTTTATTTTTAATGATATGTTTGTTGTGTGTTCATTGCTTCTTTGATTAAGAGTAGGCGTATAAGTCATATCCAAAGGCTCTTTTATAAATATCTAGAATTAATGCTTCCATTTTTGGTCTGATTTAGATAGTTTTCTTATTGATCAATCATATTGAGGGTGTCGCTTTTTTTGAGAATTTTTTTGGGTGAAAAATTCACAAATCAATTTACCACGTAGTAATATGACCAGTTTTGGAAAGTGGTATTTTTTACCTCGTAGGACTTGTGCACAAACGTTGTCAAAAAAAAAAAAAAAAAACATCACCATTTCATTACTTCTGAACATAAATCGATGTTTATACAGATGCTATCTGTACATAACTTTTTAAATATAACACCTTTTTAAGTGTTTATTGTGATTTCACCTTTATATTTACATCTATTTAACTTTTATGATGAAATTTTTCCTTTTTTTATTTTTTTATTTTTTTTTATTTTCAATTAATTTTTAAATCTATATATTTGTATTAAATAGATCAATAATATGAATAGTACACTAAATAACTATAGTTATAACAACTATGTTTATAACAATATTCAAAATAGTAATAATATTTCGTTTCTTAATTTTAGATTGTTGATTACAATAGATTTATCAATCTTTATAGTACTCATATGAAACAAAGTTTGGAAGAGAAAAAAAAAAATAAAGGAGAACCATTGAAAGGGAGTAGATTCTTTTTCTTATTCCTATTTGGTTGTATAGGTGTATTTTTTTTATATTTGGTATTGGCTTTGGCTTTGGTATGCATTTAGTTGGATGATGTAGAGTTGTAGGTTGAACGATGATTGATTGTAAGCAAAAAAACTAAACTATTAAGAATGGATAGATAGTTATAGTATTATTATTTATATGGTTAAAGAGTTTGTAATAAAAATATAAGACAATCAAGTAAGTTTACTTGATAGATTTGAATAGATAATAAAGTTGGGGTGAGTTTGTGAGTGAGTGGAGTGGAGGTGAGTGAATAGTGAAGTGTTTGTTGGTTGTATATAAAAAAAAAAAGGTTGGTTGAAATGTTATAGTTGGATGCTCCTCTTAATTGTTTTTTGGTTGGTTGGTGTTGGTGTGGTGTTGAAATGAGTTTAGTTTGATTTGGCATTTTATTCGAAGGTACCGCTGGTTCTCTCTGGTGATGATCTATCTCTTTCTCTTTGTCTGTCGTTGGGTGATCCTCCACTGTTTACTGCTCTTTCTTCTTTGTCATCGGATACAACGATGGTGGTGCTGCCGGTGTTGTTTCTTTCTCTGGAGTTTGATGTCGAGGTGTATGCTGGTTGTTTCTCTGGACTTGCTCTTTCATTCGATCTCTCTCTGTGTCTCTGTCGCTCTCTCGATCTGTCCTTCTCGTCTCTGTCTCTAGATCTATCTCTTGACGATCTCTCTCTGGATCTCTCTACCGATCTCTCTCTCGATCTATCTCTTGATCTGTCTCGCTCTCTCGATCTGTCTCTATCTGTACGTCTATGTCTGTCGCCACTTCCACCCATTCTTCTATCTCTCTCGTGTCTATCTCTGTCATTTCTATCTCTTGATCTTGATCTAGATCTGTCTCTACTACAAATATTAAACAATACAATTATAGTTAATATTATATCAATCTTGATCCAAAATCCAAACAAGATTTTTCATAATTATTAATATTTACCTTCTGTAATCTCTATCTCTCTCTCCTCTACTATAGGGTTGTCTACCTCTATTATTACCATTTCTATCCCTATTAATTTAACATTGTTGTATAAGTTAATATGAATGATGATTATTAATGTTAATTTGAATGATTCAATAAACTTACTTATCTGGACATTCTTTTGCCCAATGACCTTCTTGGTGACAGTGGAAACATCTTCCTTCACCTGGTACTGGTCTCTTGGCACCGTTGCTGTGACTCTTCTCTACGACGATGGAACGACCAAGAAAGTTGGTACGGTGAGATGAGTTGATTGCTTCATCAGCAGCATCCCTACTGGAGTATTCCTACACATAAGAGTATGAGTAAATCGACAAACAGAATTATATTACAAATCAGTAGTAGTGGTTGATGGTAATAGTTATGGATAATGATAAAGTTTAAAGTGGTAGTCTGACTGTGCAGATTAGATATCACAGTGAGATAGTAGAGTGGGGAGAAGAGAGTAATAAGAGAAGAGTCAACTAACTGGAAGAGAGTCCTCTGGAACATCAAAAATATGATAAATAAACAGAACTAAACAGAACAGAACTGAACCGAACAGAACAGATAGGTAAGGGTAAGACTGATTTACAGATATTTGAACTGTAAGGTAAGAGAGAAAGAGAAGCGCTGAAAGACAGAAGTTGTTTAGACAACGTATTATTTGACTTGTTTTTTTTTTTTTTGGTTTGCATAATAATAGTTAATGGCTTTAAAGAAGAAGAAGAGTTTAGAAGTAAATATAGGATTGTTAACTATTGTTACAGTACATCCTTGTTTTTTTTTTTTTTTTCTTTTTAGATGTATTTAAAGAGAAGGATCATCATTTGATCAAGAAGTGTTTGGTTGTTTGGTTGGTTGGTTTGTTAGTTCACAAATAGAGGTCGAGTTCAAACAGTTGTAACAAGTTCATTCACACATCATCATTATCATCATTATCATCATATTCCCAGTCAAGATAGTCAGATATTTAGTCAGTAAGTTAATATTCAGTCTGATAGATAGTCTTTAACAAGTTAGACCCCAAAGTCAGTCCTGTGTAAGCCCAGCTAAATCCTGATAATACTGTATCACAACTACTACTTAAATACTACTACAACTGAACTGCTTTTTTGTTATAATATATATAAGATTTATAGATAAATAGAAATATTTAATAATAGATAAAAATAAATAAATAGATATATATAAATATAGATTTAATTATATATATATATATATGTATAATTTGGTTATCTATTCTTATCTATCTACTCCTTAATCCTTATTCTTTTTTTTGAACTTTTATATGAATGAATTTATCTGATTGATGGTTGTGTTTGTTTTTGTTTTTGTTTTGTTTTTGGATAGAGAGAGAATGATAAAAGATAAGGATAGGTAGGTATAAGATAGTTTGTTAAAGGAACTAATTGATATCATGACAAAGTAATTTTAGTTTAGTCATAGAATAGTCGTCTTTGTCCAAGTGTCTAAGTCTTTACATTTTCGCAGACCGAATCGATTAGTCAATGATAGTAGTTATTCCTTTGTCATATCTTATCTATGTAAAGTAGAGAGGTTCGAACTTTTCGGGAAGCAAAGCAATTAAAAAAAAAGCGGGGTGGTGTAGGGTAGTGTAGGTAGGAGTAGAAGATTGAATTGAATTGAATAGATAACATAAAAAGCAGTAGAATTTAGAAGTAGTAGTAGTAGTAGTAGTAGTAGTAGAGTGTAAAGTAGTAGTTGTTTTAGATTATTTTTGAGTATATTTCATACAATAAAGCAGAATCCTTTCTTCATTTGGATGTGTGAGATTCGGCCATATCTTCCAAAGTGGTCTTCAATTTCTCTTTCTCTGGCATCAAATGCTAGTTGACCAACATAAATCTTTGACATAATTATTATGATATTAAAGAAATAAATAATTATGTTATGATATATATTATTGGTTGAAGGAAATTTTTGAAATTTATTATCTTTTTTTTTTTTTTTTTTATGTTCCAAAAAATATTAATTTTTTTCACTTTTCCTTTTTTAAGCAACCAATCTTTTTTTTTGTTTTTCTTTTTTTTTTGATATTTATTATGACATATGGATGATTTGTATTTCCTACAAAAATAGATAAATATAAAACTATTAAATTTTATTTATTTAATCAATTGTTTTTAAAAAAGGAAAACCAAATTTGTTTGCTGGTTACCTGAAATCAAAAAAAAATTTGTTTTTGTTTTTAGTTTTTTTTTTTTTTTGATTTATCCTGTGTGTTAGTGAATGTGCATGACAGTAGTGTTAATTAAATCAATCAGTCAGGTGTGTGTTTAATCAAAACAAGACACTCAAGATATATTTATATATATTTATTTTATATATTTATATAAATGATTGATTGATTTATTTTTTTTGAATTAATAATTTTATAAATTGTGGATAGACACTACACACCACTCTACTCACTTAACTTATATATATACTTTATATAAATATACTTTTACACACACTATTTCTTTTTTAGATAGAATAGAGGAGAGGAAGAGAGATTTATACATGTCATGATTGTTGAATCTAATATTAATGGATGTATGGTGTTGTTTCAATGTTTGAAATCAACGTTAGGACCATTCGGTAGTGATAAATTGATTGTAGATGATGACGGCAGTTATTTGACATCAAACGACGGTGCTACTATACTGAGGTATCTCGAAATAGATCATCCTGCTGCGCGTCTACTCATTTCCTGTGCGAAATCTCAGGATGATACAGTTGGCGATGGTACCACAAGCGTCGTCCTACTCACTTGTCTCCTATTAAAGAATGCTCTTTCCTATTTGAAACAGTCGATACATCCTCAATCCATCCAAATTGTATTTATCAATCCAATAATCAACAGTCATCACCATATTCCATTTTCCATTTTTCCCAAAACCAACACAAACAAACAACATAACATGAATATTAATATTAATTAAAAAAATACTCAAACAAAAAAAGGGTTATAATATAGGATTGGATGTAGCATTATCACTTATTGATGAAATAGAAATTGGATTCGATGTTGAGAAAATAAATAGTTACCAACACCACCATCAACAACAACGTATTCTCTATGATGTAGCATCGACCTCGATCTCCTCAAAGATACTGGCGAGACATAAAGATCACTTTGCTCGGTTGGGTGTCGAATCGATTCTAAAGCTTGGCGGAAATAGAAATCAGGAGCGTATAAAGATCATCAGTATTACTGGTGGGTCAATGTTGGATTCTCATTTGATTGATGGTGTAATGTTGAAATATGATTCCCAGCGAAACAGACAGAGAAACTACAATTTCCATTCGAAAACAGGAAACAACACTTTTAATATAATCGTTGGTAAACTACAACTACAGAGTGTACAGTCCGACCTACATTTTGTCAAGCTGAAAGCGAATCTTCAGGAATCAAACACCACATTGCACTCAAAGAAAATCCAAGAACAAGATCAACTCCTCTATAGAAATAAGATTGACATTCTTTTAAATTTGAATGTTCACGTTGTCATTAGTGATACTGATATACCTCAATACCTTGAAAAGTAAGTAAAATAATATGATATGATATCAATATATAAGAGTTGTTTTAACTAATTATTATTTAATATATTTTAAAACAGTTTATTTTTGGAAAACAATATAGAATATTTTTGTATTGATGATTCGAGAGAGTTGGAAAGAATTTCATTTGTTTTGGGAACAAAGTTTGTCAATGATATCAGCACTTCTCTCAATATGGAAATGATTTCCAAAGCAACCAATATAGAAAGAGTTTCTATTGGTGATTCAATATTTTTAAAAGTAATTATAACAATTTATTTTTAATGTAATTTAATTTAACATTATATTGTTTTAGATATCTGGTATTAAGAATTGTGATGCTGCAACAGTTGTATTGAGATCACCAACCGATACAATGTCCGAGGAATGTATTCGATCGTTTAAAGATATGTTGAATATCCTTAGTAGTTTCATACATAATCCTTATTACATTGGCGGTGGTGGATGTGCCTATTTGTACATAGCTAACAAGATAAGAGCGAAATCCAAAGCTACCGATAATGTAAAACTTCAGTTTGCACTCAATGCATTTGCAGATTCACTTGAATCAATACCTTTAATATTAATTCAAAATGGTATAGTATTATTAATGATTTATATTTTATTATTTTTAAATTATTTATTAATTTATTTCCAAATTACAAATTAATTAGCTGGATTTGATGGTATTGCTTTATTATCTAAATTGAAATCAATTCATGAACAAACAAATGACGAGAATAATAATAATAATTTATGGAAAGGAGTTAATTTGGAAACAGGTGAAATTGTTGATATGTTAAATGATATCAATGTTAAGGAACCTTCATTCCTTTTGCGAAATATCCTCAAACTGGCAACCAGAGCTGCACAAATGATTTTGCGAATTAATAATAATATTTTAATTGAACCAAAAGTTGCTTTTAAACCTCCTACTTCTTAATCCTAAGGTTTAAACAACAAAATAAATAATAAACCTATTAGAGTATAAATGTTTGTATTTAAATATTATTTATAATTATAGTATATATATTATGTTTTTTATTTATGATGAAGCTTGTGGTTGAACTTGTGAAGAATCCGAAGAGTTACTGCTATTATTTGGTATTTCAACTTTTGGTGTGTTGGCAAAAGGTCTTGGTCCAAGAATTTGCTCGATGTCTTCGGCGTGGATCACTTCTTTCTCGAGCAAGAGCAATGCAACCTTTTCCAATCCTTCTTTGTGTGCTTCCAATACTTCTTGTGTCTTATTGTAGGCGCTCTGCAATAGCAGTCTGACTTCCTGGTCGATGATCTCAGCAGTCTCGTCACTGTATGGCTTGGTCAAATCCGATGAATCCTTACGTGGATAGGAGAGTGGACCAACCTTTTCGTTCATTCCATACAATCCAACCTGTGAGTATGCCATCTTTGTAATCTTTTCCAGGTCATCTTGAGCACCGGTCGTAATGGTGCCAAACACCAATTGCTCAGCGACTCTACCACCGAGAGCCATACACATCTTATCAAAGATCTGCTCTTTGGTGTTAAGGAACTCCTCCTTTGGCAAGTACTGTGCGTATCCGAGTGCGGCAACACCACGTGGCACAATGGAGACCTTCAACAGCGGGTTGCAGTGCTCGAGGAACCACGAAACAACAGCGTGTCCAGCTTCGTGATAGGCAACCGTCTTTTTCTCTTGTGGCGACAGCACTTTGTTCTTCTTTTCCAGTCCACCAATGACACGGTCAATAGCAGCATCGAAATGCTTCAGCGTGATCTGGTCAGCCATTTTTCTTGCGGCAATCAGCGCAGCCTCGTTACAGACATTGGAAATATCGGCACCACTGAATCCCGGAGTCAACTTGGCCAACTTTGGTGCGTAGTGTTCAACGGTGTTGTCGAGAGTCAACGGCTTCAAGTGGACACAGAATATTTCTTCACGCGACTTCAAGTCTGGATTGTCAATGGTGATCTGACGATCGAAACGACCTGGACGCAGCAGTGCTTGATCGAGAATATCCGGTCTGTTTGTTGCAGCGAGAACAACTACGTTCTTTAGCGGTGTGAAACCGTCCATCTCCACCAACAGTTGATTCAGAGTGTTCTCACGCTCGTCGTTCGATCCAGAGAATCCACCTTTTCCTCTGGCACGACCGATAGCGTCGATCTCATCGATGAATACAATGCACGGTGCATTCTTACGTGCCTGCTCAAAGAGGTCACGAACACGTGCCGGACCGACACCGACAAACATCTCAACGAAATCCGAACCGGAAGTCGAGAAGAACGGTACGTTGGCTTCACCGGCAGTTGCCTTTGCCATCAGAGTCTTACCGGTTCCTGGTGGACCAATCAAGATGGCACCACGTGGAATCTTGGCACCGATATCATTATACTTCTTTGGATCCTTGAGGAAGTTGACAAACTCCTCGATCTCCACCTTGGCTTCACCCAAACCAGCGACATCCTTGAACAACACCTTGCTATCGTCCTTCTTGAATTGACTGGCATTGATCTTACCCTGTGAAAACAACTTGTTCGATTTCGAAGTCAATGTCTTATAGGTTCTATAGGCGAACCAACCCAATATTATATATGGTATCATTTGAATCAACAATATTCTAAAAATAAATAGTTAATTAATTAGTTAGTTTGCTTTAACAATAACAATACATCATTCAAACTTATTATTACTAGTAACTTACCTATAATCAACATTTTCAACATAAGATACAGGTATAAAGTTGTTCTTTGTGATACCCAATGTTGTTTGAGCGGCTTCCAATTGTTCTTCGAAAACCTTCTTATCACCAATGCTAAATGATCCGATTACTTCATTGTCTTGACCGATTACAACAGCTACATTATCATATACTTGAATTTTAGTTGTCTAAAAAAATAGATAGATTAAAACAAGAAGTTAGAGAATACGATGGTGAATGATGAATTGAATTGTGATTCATACCGATTTATCAGGTAGATTCTTTGTAATGAAATCACTGAATGTAATTTGTGGATGTTCATCCTCCGGAGTGTTTGGAGAGAGTAAATAGAAGAGTGCACCAGCACCTAATATTGACAATGAGAAATAGTTCCATTTACCTGGTTGTTCTTTATCTTCATCTGGCTTATTCTTATTGCTTTGATTGAATGAGTTGCTCTTCTTATCGCTATCATTGCTGCTATTATTATTTTTATTTTCTTCTTTTTTTTCGTTTTTCTCTTTGTTGTTATCTTTGTTGTTTTCCTCTTCTTCTTTTGGAGATGACGATGGTTTCTCAAAGTTACCCCAACCCTTTGCTTTTAAAATGGAATCATTTATATATTGTAATGATCTTTGTTGTTGTTCTTTGAATTGTGAAATGAAACTTTGTAATACTGTTGGTGTTGTTGATGAAGATGATGATGATGATGATTGATGTTTATATTGTTGATTTGATGATGATGATGATGATTGGCTATAATAGTTATACAATGTTTTCGATGATGTTGATGTTGATGAATTATTAGATGTTAAATAAGTATTATGATTATTTAATCTATTTCTATTTATTATATTATTATTTATACTATAATTTCTTTGTATTTGTTGTCTACTCAGCAACATTCTCAATTGTGAAGTTGCAACTGACATTCTCTTATTATTATGTATTTACAAGTGATAAAATAATACTATAAATGTTCGTTTGTTTATTACAAATATATAAAAATATAAAATATATATATATTCAAGATATACAAGAATTAAATAAAATCTTGAATCAATGATATATAAAAGGAATGAAATAGATCAATTAATCGATTGAAAAAGTAGAAATATGTGTGGTGGAATCAGATTCATACAAAAAAAAAAACAAAAAGAAATTCTTTTTAAGAAAAAAAACTTTATTTTGTCGTCGAATTTTTATGTCATTGTTTGTCCATCACTAAGAGTGATTGATTCATTCGTGACATAATTAATTAATTTTAATATTACATGGTTGTTTTTATATCTTCTTGAGATTATCCAATAGTGTTGGAATATTATGTGTGTATGGAGTTGTTTGTTTGTTTGTTTTTCGTTGATATTTTTAATCTTGATATTATTAATCGTGTGGATTTAAATTTGTTTGTTTTGTTTTTTTTTAGTTAGAATTATAGATCGTTGTTAAGTGATCTTAATTTCTTATCGAGAAGACTCTTGGTTTCGTTGAGTTTCATTTGTTGTTTGTAGATGTATGCACCACCCAAAAGGATGATGGCAGCACCCACTACACCAACGACTACACCTACGACGATCTTCCATTTGTTGGAGGAGGAGTCACCACCGTTGTTGTTGTTACCGTTGTTCTCTGGGTTACAGTTCTCTGTGACTGGTGTACGTGATTCGGTGGTAGCGAGCGAGCTAAAGTCGAATTCGAAATTGACGGTGCTAATTGGCTGGTTGTTTACGACGTCGACGATGAGACGGTTAGACAGACCATCGGCAACACCCTTGGTAGTGTTAATCGAACCACCACCACCGTTGATCGTAGCGACCATTGGGAAACGTGCGAACCACTTTGTCTTGAATTTGGTGATGGTCAGCCAGTGAACTGAGGAATTGGTTGAGAGCGTTGGATAGGCATAGTTGATGGCGGGTGCAGTGCATTCCTCGGGGTAGACATCCATTTGCAGTTTGAATTGGACGTCACCGAATGAGTTGTCGGTCTGATAGTTGACTTGATAGGTGAAGGTGTTGTTGAAGACGTTGAGAGTGGCACCTGGACCGACGACATCGGGTGGAGTTGTCTCGTTGTTTGGACGGATCACTACGGTGAGAGTACGACCACCTGACTGCCAGGCATACTGGAAGGAGTTGGCGTGGGGATCGTAGGTTTGGACCCATGATGGAATGATGGTTTCAGCGTTGTTCTCAAAGATCGAGTAGAGGTAGACACTGAGGGTTGTATCGTTGTTTGGTGAGTTGAGGGTGAGTCTTGGAATGGTATTGTTGATTCCCGGTGTTTGGAATTGAGTTGGTGCTGTTCCTTCGGCACACGATGGACCGGCAATCTGGTTGACACAATTGCATAGACCGAGACCGACATTACATAGACCGTTCGCTGGTCCACCACATGAGTTTGGACAGATTTGTGTGTCGATAAAAGCGAATAGATTGTTACGGGCAGAGGTTAGTCCGGCAACGGTAACTTGGAGGTCGAATGTTCCAGGTGCAAATCCGGTGGCTGGAAATGAGCATACCAAGATATAGTGATTTACAAAGGTGACATTGCAAGTCACGTTGTTTTGTGGTAGTGGGATGTTGACAGTGATGGTATCCAACTCATTCCAGAAATCGGCACCGGTGATAGTGAGGTTGGTTGCAACGTTGGGAACGACGGCAATCGAAGTCTGTACAGTTGGTGAACGGTAGAAGAATTTCGGTGTGTTTGTTACGTCGTTGGTTAATCCTTTGACATTGACGATGACATCGAGGTTGGAAATGATGCTTGGTGGCATCCAGCATGACATCTGAGTGAAAACAGTGAGTGAAGTAAGATTCTGACAGAGAGTTGGACCGATTCTGACGTTGGAATCTCTGGAGTTTACGTTGCTGAATGGAAGGAGATCGTATCCAGTAAGGGTAACCCAACCACCTAATGTTGGTGGCGAGGAAATAGAGACGATGGTTGGTGGATTGAAGGTGTAGTCTTTAGTGACTACCTTGGAGTTCAAACCGATGGTCGATGTCAATTGTAGATTACCTTTGCCTTGAAGGAAAACTGGAGTGTTACACAACATGGTGTTGGAATTAATGTAGTTACTGTTGACAGTGTAGTATTCACCGGCGGTACTGGTCATAACAATGTTTGGACGGTCACCGAAATTCTTACCGATAATGGTGAAGAAAGTTGAGTTTGATAGGATTGGATTGGTGATCGATGAAATAACTGGATCGCAATTTCTGGCGGTATCTGGACCTTGGTAGTTGTTGAAAGTGACATTATCAAAGACATAGGCTGGGATGGTGTTTCCGGTGAGGTATGATGGTGGAAGACAAAGGAACAACTCTGGAAGTTTAGTTCCGACCAATCCTTGTACATTGGTTAAATAGAAAACTTGGAGGGTTTGATCTGGTCCGAGAATGTTATCTGGAACGGTTCCTGTGATACCGGTGTTTGATAGGTAGAGATAGACAATCTTGGAGTTATCTCCATAGGTAGTTGGAATGGTAAGGTTAAGCGATGGGTTATCAGTCAAATGGAAACGAGTGAGTGATGGGAGGAAGAAGAATTGGCTGTCCATTGTACCTGTAAATGTAAGATTTTCAAGACGAAGAGTTACCAAATTTCTCCAACCGTTTGACATTGAAGCATATGAAGGGAATCCTGGATCGTTCAATTGCAATGATCTCAAATGAAGATAAGTCAATTGATTTGGAAGACTTGAAAAACTTGAGAATTGAGTTGCCAATCCTGGTGCTTGAAGTGCGCTATTTTATTATTAATAGAATATTATTATAAATTAATAAAAAATAAAATAAATGAAAAAAAAGTTAAATACATACAATTTTCTTAAATATGGAGCTTTGGATAATGTTTGACTGGTAGTGAAAGTTCCAGTGTATGGAATTGGAGTATTGACATAAATTTCACTTTTTTGTAATAAAGTTAGTTTTGATATTGAAAAATAAAATATTATCAAGTTATAAATACCAGTTTACCAAATTATTTGAGAAGATATCTCCAAATTTACTAAGAACAAGGTTAGAAGATGGTCCGGTAGCCTGTGCAATAAAACTGTTTTATTTTTTTAGTATAAGGAAGAGTGTATTAACATTTTAATAATATTTACATATTTTTAAGTTCGTTGTTCAAAGTTGGGAAATTTCCGACTGCATTCTCTACATAAATGTTATCGATATTGTCATTTATATCACCACCTTGGTTAAAGTTGGATCTACATTTTTGACCATAGAATTGGCTATTATCAAGAAAAAAAAGAAAAGTGTTATTATCAATATGATATATATACTTTTAAAAATAAGAGAATAAAGAAAACTTACAATCCTCTTAAACTTGAAAGAGAATAAAGTGGTTTAGGTACTCTATTAGAGAAATCAGCATTGATAAAAGTACTATAATTTTGAAATTCTAATATTAATATCGAAATAAAAGATAAACATTTAAAAAATTAATTAAAAACATACACATTTGTTAAACTTGTGAAATAACCCCAGTATGTGGAGCTTAGTAAGTAATTTCCATTATTTACTAATGGTGTACATCCAGAAGCTGATGGAACACCCTCTAAAGTTCTAAAAAAAAGGAAATAAAAAAGTTTAGTTATAATTAAAAAGAGTAAAGGATTAAGAATTGCAAATACTTACAATCCAGTAACTTTGTCTCTGTCTGAGGAACAATCTATATATGAAGAAATCATTTGGCTTCCTCTATATCCACGGCTGAAACACGAAGCACTGTTACCGCTCCATTTGAATCCAAGTTCTGTTGCAAACTGATTTAGAATATTGGTTACTTTAGAAGAGAGTTTCTCTGGTGTTAGTAAATGGTACGAAACCATAAATTTAACGATCGCGATTGATCAATATGAGGTAGAGTAGAGTATTTAGAATAACTGCTGTACTTACCATCATTGCTCAAGTCTCTGGCGGCTGAGACTTCATGAACATCGAGAATGCCATTGCTTTCTCCACTTACGATGACAACGGCCATGATTGCCACCAACAAGGCGGTGGCCAAACTCGACCTCACTGATTTAGTAAACTTCATATATTAAAGTTTTAGTGTTGTCGACTACTACTTGGTTTGGGGTTATGAAAGTGTGTGATGGTTTTTTTTACGACCTCTAGTTTTTGACTGTTGATGTGGTTGTTGTTTGTTTTTTTTTTTGTAGTGTAAAAGTCTTAGACTTTGGACAAAGATGTGGTGTGTGGTTGTTGATTGCAAAATAAATAGATATAATTATAATTATATGTTGTTGTTGTTTTAGAAAAAGTATAAAAGTAGCAAAATACAATTTGCAACAAGGTTAGTTTTAAAAATAGTTTTTGATTTGTTGATTTTCGAGATGTGGATTTTCCTTTGCGTTCTTTCTATTTACAATCAAACAAATAGATATGTGAAAGTTTGGATGTTATGTTACACAAAATTAAAAAGAATAGATCTAATTTGGTGTCACAAAGCTTAACATATATGTTGTACCAAATAAATATTCTTTTTTGTTACACTTGTCGGACTTTTTAAACCTTTTGAAAAAAAATCTTGTAAACAAAAAAAAAAAAAAAAAAAACAATTAAATCCAAAACCTTAAAAATTGGATCTTTTTTTTTTTTGCACTAATTGCTGTGCAAATCAATTTAATCTATAGCATGGTGTATAATGACTTTTTGGGGGATGAAATTTCATTAAAAAAATAAAAAAACATGTTTTGATTAAAATAAATCACCATCAGTTTTTTTATTTTGGAACCAAAACATGATTGCCCAAAAAAAAATATCAACAAAATAAAAAAAAGTTTTGATATTTTAAAAGAATTGATTTTATTTTAGAATGGTCACCCGCTATTTAGAACATTCTCATTCAAAAAATAAATATAAAATTTTAATTAGATTTCTAAATGTAAAAGAAAATGTAAAATATAATTCCGAGCGATTTTCAACCCCGGTGCCAAACGGTGTCGGGTTTGAGAGTGTGTAATGTGTCTGATTAGCTATACGGAGTCATAAATATTATTCCCCATGGCATGGTGTAAATGTGGGTGTGCTATAATAAATGCATTTATTGCAATTGTGTTGTTAAAAAAAAATTATTTATTTTTCACCAATATATTTATCAGTTGACAACAATTGATCATTCAAATACCAGGGATCTTGAATGTGATGAATAAAAATAAAACAATTACAATTTTATTTAATTAACACATAAATTACATCATCTGCACATTGATTGAATTGTTGAAGTCGTCATCCAAATCAAGGATTACTATATATGATTGTAAGATTTTTAAACATGACATGAATCTGTCAAGGTCTCATATTTTTGTGCAAAAATGTTTAAACAACACACATTAAAACATGATATTTTGAAACATTTATTTTAAATTTACTTTAATAAATAAATTTGGTAATGAATTGTTACTGCAAATCATTGACCTGGTAAATTGCTTGTTTGATTTGTCTGACAAGTTATTGGTGTCAAGTTGTTCAACTTATTGTAAGGTGTTAGTTGTTGTTCATTAAAATTCTTGATTCTATTTTTTTTTTTATCTATTTGATAAGCATAAATAATAAACAAAAAGATAAGTTTAATGTTTTGTAAAAGAAAAAAAGATAATAAATAAATAAATAAATAATTAAAAAGAAAAGAAAAAGAAAAGGAAGAGATATGATGATATAGGAAACAAAAAAAAATTATAAATTTTAGGTGAAGAACTGTTTCTTCTCTTTCTTTCTTTCTAAAAGATACCAAATTTCTTTGATAATCTTGATCCTTTCTGAGAGGTCTTTGTGTCTGGAGCAACAGCTTCCTCTTTCATGATGATTTGCTTGGGAATCCACTCCATTAGACTGTACCATGGGATGTCTTGTGCACGCGCCAACTCGTAGAGGTTCTGCAGACTGACCTGTTCATAACTCTTTCCGAGGTAACATTGGTTTACTTTTACACTGATCGCCAGCGCCATGAAATACTCGCGATAAAACTGATGTTCCTCCATGAATGGCTTGTCCTGTGCTTCTTTCTTCAGTGTGTTTATTTCCTCTGTCATCTTCTCGATGGTCGCAGTCTGTTGTGTAATCGTTGACTGTAGTTTGGTTACGATCTCATCGTCCATTCTCGACACGCTCGACGACGTGGAACTTCCCGACTCGGTAAGACTTTTGGCGCTGCCTCCACTGCTCCAATCCATGGAGACAACGGACGCTCTTAGCTTGCCAGCTCTGCCGTTGAGTGTCTTTAGCGTGTCCTGTAGCTCAGAGAGTGTAGGCAGCTGACTGTTTATCTTTTTGAAAATTGGGTGTTTAATGAGTTCGGTGGCGGTCGGTCTCTTATTGGGATCCTTCTCGAAGGAAACATTCAAAAAGTCTTCCAATTCCTTTGAGATTCCGGGTGGATAGGGTGGATGTGGATCCTGAACAATCTTGAACATCGCAGACATTGGCTGCAGGTTGTAGTATGGCGGATTTCCAGTGGTTAGCTCGATCGCTGTGCACGCCAACGACCAAATATCACTGGAGCTGGATTGGCCAGCTATTTGGATGGCTTCTGGCGCCATCCAGTAGGGTGTTCCCACCACACTGTAACGCAGCTGCACTTCATCGCTCAGCTGACTGGCAACACCGAAATCCGCAAGTTTTATAATACCCTCCTTGGTGATCAACACATTGGAACACTTGATATCACGATGTATGATACGATTCGAGTGGAGATAGGCAAGTCCGTGGAGTAGTTGGTAGAGATAGAGTGTGGCCAGCTCCTCGCTGAGCGGACCAAACTTCTCGAGGACATCCCTCAGACTGCCGTTTTCGACGTACTCTAAAATAAAATTGAGTTGTGACTGTGACTCTACACAGCCCAACACCTTTACAATGTTGTTATGATTGAGTTTCTGGAGAATCTCCACCTCTGATTTCACAGACTGCAGTGTATTTGCATCGATTTTGATTCTATCGATTTGTTTAATCGCCACGAAATCACCAGTTTTCGAATGTAATCCTTTATAGACTTGTCCATATGCACCTTTTCCAATTTTATCACCCAAGGCCTAAAAGTTTTTGAGGTAATATAATTAAAATCCATCCTAAATCTTATTGTTATTTATAATTATTAACCTACATATTCGCCGATTTTTATTGTTTCTTTTCTTTTCGATGGACTAATTCCATCGCTTCCACCATTACTACTTCCACCTCTTCGATTATGGTTATGTGCCATAATAATATTATGCAAGTTCGTTGTTGTTGTTTATTATAATTATTATTGTTTTTTACAAATAAAAATGAATATAGATAGTAATTATATAATTTATTAAACTATCGTTGAATTTAATTGTTTATGAGTTGTTTGTATCTGAGATCTTTTGATTTCCAAAAGGGTTTTTTTGTCAATGGATTGATTGTAACGGTTGATGATGATCAAAAATTGAATGATATTGATGTTGATGTTGATATTGATAATGTTGGAAATAATAATAGTTTTTTATTTATGTTTGTATTATATAAATATTATTACTTTTAATAGGTGTTTTATTGTTTTTTGGTAATTACAAAATTAATTGGTTTGTTATTTTCTGTTTTTAATTTTATTATTATTTGTTTGTCTTTGATTTTTTTATTATTATTGTTGTTGTTATTATTGATTAACCTTTTGGTTTGATTTGCTTTGCTTTGCTTTGATATTATTATTATTATTGTTTTGTTTGATTAACTTATTATGAAGATTAGATAGTTAATTTGCTAAAAATAAATAAATAAATAAATTATTTACAATGTATACATGTATGCTATGTGGTGCTGTGTTGTGTTGTGTTGTTAAATTAATTGTTTGTTTGAGTGATAGTGCTAGTGTTAATGTTAATGTGGTGTGTTTGATGATGTTGATGATGTTGATTGATATTTGTGGTTAATTGTCTAGTTAATTATATAATTATATGTATGTATTATGTCAAATTTTGATATATTCGTTTGTTTATTGAAATCTTACAAATATGTTATTATTTATATACATATGATATTTATGAATGATTGATTTGATTAAGTTACTGAAGTAAAAGGAAAAACATTGAGTTTTTCGCGACTGTCTTTTTTTGATGAGAAGGTGTGGGGTGTTTGTCCAAAAATAATTAATAAATTAACCAAATTTGATTGATTTTTATTTTTTTTATTTCATTGCCGCACACAACCAAGACTATGATTCGTAGTCTTGGACATAACAATGAACATATCAAGTAATAATAATAATTTTTTATTTAGTTTTTGTTGCGTGTGTGTGTGTGTGTTATTATATTGATGTTCTATATTTAGTATAATTTTGAATCGGAATCGATCAAATCAATAAAATTAAAATTAAATTCACATGTTTAAATGTATTTTTATTAGCTTTAGTTATAATAATAATAGTCTATGTAGTAAGTGTAGCATGCCAGTTGATAAAAATATTGAATTTATTGGTCGTTTTTTAACAAATTAGGGAAATTTACATTAGGTTATCTGTTCAGTTGTTGTTGTTGAAATCAACCAATCAACAACATCGACATGATTTATTCGTTGTAGATGACAATGACATCATTCGTCAATCAATCAATCAATCAATTAGCATGCTTATCAAATATAACCTACAAGTAAAGAATTGAACAGAAGCTTCTTTTTTTTATTTTAGCAATAGATATAAACAGATTGAGAAAACACATGATTAAATTGTTTTGTATGATGATGATGATGTATTGAGATTGTTAATATTGTGTTGTCATAATAATAATTATTTGTTCAGGGCAGTAGACTTTTCAATTTTGACACTTTCTTTTCAAATACCTCTATACTGTGTTCTGAAAGTTTCATATGCGTAAGATCTGTTCTTTCCAAGTGAATTAAAACATCACCTGTGATCTCTTGTTCCTCAAAGAAATCAGAGTAACCTCCAAGACCGATTTCTTCTAGCCATTTCGCTACTGTTTCTACATCCCATTTCCTGAAATGAATATCTTTTTGAAGTTTCGAAGGTTCTGTTGTTTTTGGATTAGAATAGGATGAATTCTCCTTTTGCTGACTATTGCTACTACTAAAATTATTTCTACTATTATAATGAGTCGATCTTTCATTCTCATCTACTGTTGTTCTATTGTTTTTATTTTGGGTTAATCTATCTTTAGAGAGATCAATGGATGTCTCCAATGTTTCTTTTCGACGATATCCACCGGATCCCATTCCTCCTCTTCCACCTCCTCGTCCACCACCTCTTCCAAATCCAGTTTCACTTCTACCTTCACTTCCACCTTCACCTCTACTTCCACTTCCTTTTCCTCTTCCTCTTCCTCTTCCACCTCTGAATGATGATGATGATGATGATGATGAAGTATGAAAATCTCTTCCTTTTTCTCTTTCTCTATCATCATTGTGATGATGTTCATAAGTAGGTTCAAGCTGTTGATATACTTTTGAAAGAGCAGCCATTCCACGTGGTCTACTCAATAAAATTTCATTTTCATCTAACTCCATTAAAATACTAAATTATCTTTAAAATAATATCTTTATCTTTAAGAGAATATAAAAAATTATATATTTTTGTATACAACACACATTTAAATCATTTTCTTATACCAACATGTTTTGGTTAGTTAAACCAAAAAAAAAAGTGAAGTTTTAAGTTTTTAATTTAATTTTGTTTTTGTTGTTGTTGTTTTTTTAAAATGAATGATTTTAACAGTACATTTACAATCTTTTCAGATGCATAGAATATTGGAATTTGCTTTGGAAGCAAACCTTTCTTGGTCATTTTTATTGGTTTAGCACCAACCGATAAAATAATAAACTAAATAATAAATAAAAAGTTAATAAACATAAACATAGATATCGATTTGATTTAACAAATTATATAAACTAAACTATAAACTTACCATCGGATATAATAATGAAAAGATTGCATTACCAATCAACAAGGGGAAGAAGAATGATGCCAATGTAAATACTGCACCATAACCAAACATATATGCCCAATGTGATTCGAAATATGTTAAACGTTGCATTAATGACCATTTTCCTCTTAAAATCCATTTATAACTATAAAATATCAATAAATTGATGATTAGTTAAGTTAATTGTTATTATTATGTTATTGTTATTGTTACATACTCGAAACACCAAAAAGAATATAACCATGTAATAAGTACAAAGTTAATGAGTGAAGTGTATGGAATGAAGGCAATGATTACAGAGAGCACTAAAAAGACACCAAACATCAGATTACGGTAGATCTCATCGACGATCGAAGAGAGCAGTCGGTTTACAGATGCTGGTCCACCAGTGTTTCTGAATCCAGATATTCTAAATGCTTCGGCAGCAATCTCTGTATACCACTTGGAATTCAATACCATACTGAAAATATAAACTGGATATACCCAGAGTAACTAAAAAAAAAAAAAATGTTTGAAAAATTATTAACATTCAAATGTCATTTTGATGACTATGATCATTATGATTATATGTAACAACTTACACAATAAATAATAGAGAATATGTTTGAGAGTGTTGGGAATTGTGATAAAAGATATTCTAAGGTGGGATGTGCCCAGTAGAGATAGACGAGGTAGGAACCAAGGAAGATGATTCCATTGAGTAAGATACAGTTGTAGTAGAGACGCTTGAGTGATTTCGAATGTAAAAGAATCTTGAATGCCAGCATCACCTTGAATGAATCCCTCACACCCAGATAGATCAGCTGTAGTACCTCTATCAACTGACCTACAATCTCCACCGGTTTATCTTTGTCATCGATTCTACTACTAATGAAACTACTATCGCTACTATCACTTATTTCACTTCCAATACTGCTACTTAATAATTGTTGTTGTTTTTGTTCATTTTCTTTATTAATATTATTATTATTACTATTACTATTATTATTATGATCACTACTACTGATATCTTGTTGTTCAGTAATTACTTTTGACATTCTATCTATAATTTGTACAATATTAATATTAAAAATGTTTTAGGAAAAAAAAATGTTTATAAAAAAGTAAAAATACAAATATGTTATGTTATCTATGTCCTTTTAAAAACAACAAAAAACATAATAATAATAATAATAATAATGATAATAATGATAATTCAATGAGATCAGACAATAATTAAAATTATAAGTTTTTGGATTGACAAAAAACCATGCAAACTTTTAAAAAAACATAAATTATTAATTTTTTCAAATTTTTTGTTGAAAAGAATCTTTCAAAAAAAAAAAAAAAAAAACAAAAAAAAATATTAATTTTGAAAGAGTCGTGTCTTTTCACAATAATCAATAATTATAAATATTTAAATAAATTTATATATCTATTGTTTAAAAACTTCACAATTCTTTATCCACAATCCACACATTTTTAAAAAGCTTTTGTTATTGTTCTTATTCTTCTTTTTTATCATTGATTAAATTTGCAACATATAAAGATATTTTTATTATCATTATCATCATCATCATTATCATCATCCATCATAACAAACTTATCAATCATATAAGAAGTGTATAAAGTAAAGTTTTGTTAAACTTTGATTAGATAATCAAGCAATCAACAAGTTGATTTAGTTTAGTTTTGTTTTTGTTTGGTTAAGTGTTGTTGATTTTTTTTTTTTCATTAGTTTTAACAAAAAAACAAAAAAAATAGTTAGTTAACATAGAAGAGTCAACCTTTAGACTTACTCCTACCTTACTGCTTCCAGCTACGGTTTTCGATTTCCGTACCACCACCGTCACCTCTTTCTTTTCCCCTTCTCTCCCTTCCCTTCCATTCCTTCCCCTCCTACCTGACTTGTACTGCTTCAAATATCCTACCTAACCTACTTACTTACTTACTTACTTACCTACCTACCTACCTGTCTATTCAAAAATATAATAATATAAATATGTCGTATGTATTTCATTAATAAAAACAGCAACAGCAACAACAACAACAACAATAACAGTTTTATAACTGTTTATTCTGAATAACAAAACAATAAGAAGATCAAAATTATTATCAATCAGCAATGCATCAACAATAATAATAATTATAATAATGATAACATATTGTCGCAAGGTCTATGTTATTGTTCATTCTCAATTTCAATTCGATTCTTGTTGTTGTGTGGTTGTTGATTGGTGATTGAAGATCATCTATTTGTTTTATACATATCATATATATATATATCATATATCTTTTAAACACAAATAGTCAGTCCTTTTCATCTAATAGTTACCTTTTCTCTTTTCTCTCTTTTCTTCTACCCAATTAAAAAAAAAAATATCATAACAAAAAAAAAAAAAAACAAAACTTAACCTTTATTTTTTTTTTTCTATTTCCCTCTCTCTCTCTTCAACTTAACTTTAACTTACCCTAACCTTTACTTTTCTAATTCAACTTTACTTTCACAATAACTAATTATTTATTGACAACTACTGAACTATGACAATGATTATTATTATTATGAATGAAACATATAAAACACATTATATATTACATTATATGAATTTGATGAATTACAATAATAATTAATAATAATCAATAATGGTACTACTATAAAGTCTCTCAACAACAACAACTACAACAACAACGACTACGAATGATATGATGTCGAATAAACGTAGTCTTGAGTATCAGTCGTCGGAGGACTACGAACAATCGAAATCAAAGAAGCAGAAAAACTACACACCAACACCATCAAAAGTGGTACATCTCCGAAATCTTCCGATCGACTGTACGGAGCATGAGATCATGGCACTGGCCAGTCCGTTTGGTCAGGTCGAACACATTCTAATACTCAAAGGAAAGAGTCAGGGTTTCATCCAGATGGCCGACCTCACTTCGGCCACCGCCTTTATTCAATTCTACACGACCATCCAAGGTTCTATCCGATCAAAGAATTTCTTTGTACAATACTCCAACCGTGAGGAGATCACCTCATACTCTTCAGTTGTATGTTAATCTACCAATCAAATCAAATCAATCATCATACAAATTGAAATATTATTGAAAACAAAAAAAAAAATAATTGAACAATTGACTCATATCAAATCAATCTCATCATACTCATAATTATCCACCATCCATATATTCATCATCATCACATACAGGAAACACCAAACAATATATTATTAGTTACGATTTCCAATATAATATATCCAGTGACAATCGATGTCCTCTATCAACTGTTCTCGAAATACGGAAGTGTTTTAAAGATTCTCATTTTCTCAAAGTCTGGCAACTTCCAGAGTTTAATCCAATTACATACTACCGATTCTGCTATCAATGCAAAAAGAGTAAGTTAACCTTTCCTTCTTATATATTTTAGTAACTTGATGATTCACATAATTTGACTAACATTTTATTAATACTTCTAATTAAAAAGGAGTTGGATGGTCAAAATATTTATAATGGATGTTGTACATTAAAGATTCAATATTCTTCACTTAATAATTTAAGAATTAAATATAATAACGATAAGAGTAGAGACTTTACCAATCCGACATTGTTACCAGGTACCACTTCACTACTTTCCAATCCGATTGGATTTGGTATATCGCCAGCACCAACAGCAGTCATTCAACATCAACATCAACACCAGCATCAACAAGCATTGGCCATTCCACAGATGGTTCCACATGTGGGTGCATTCATTCCACAGGTCACAGGTAACACTGTACTGATTGTAGGTGGATTGCCAACCAAGGATGTAACTCCAGACGACCTCTTCACTCTCTTTGGCGTCTATGGTGATCCATTACGTGTGAAGATTATGTTTAACAAAAAGGATACTGCATTAATTCAAATGAATTTGCCACAACAAGCGTAAGTATATATAAATGGTATTTTAATTATTATAACTATTAAAAAGGTTATAATAATATTAATTATTAGATTGGTGTGATAGATAGTTGGTTGTTGGTTGAATAATTTTATTATCATATAATTAATTATCATTTTATTTTAAATTAATTTAATAACAATAGAGATTTAGCTATACAATATTTAAATAATGTACCATTTAGGGGACATACAATAAGAGTAAACCCATCTAAACATAATTCCATTTCTTTACCAAAATCTGGAGACACTCATGTATGTCGATGTTACCCATCAATCAATATTATCGTAATAACCACTGCGCTGTGGGTGGTGTTGCGACACCACTGCACTTGCCTGTGATTCTTTCGTGAATCTACAACAACTACTAACGAAACAATCAAATTCATTTTCAAAACACATATTAGGGTGAACTCACAAAAGATTACACCGGATCCACAACCCATAGATTCAAATTGCCAGGTTCAAAGAATTATCAGAATATACATCCACCCTCTCCTACACTGCATCTTTCCAATCTACCACAGGATCCAAACATTGAGGAGCTTGTAAGAGAACTCTTCTCCAAATACGGCGAAATCAAATCATTCAACCTTTTCCAGTAAGTAGAGTTATAAACTTCCACCTTTCTTTTTTATTTTTTTGTTTTGTTCAGTTTTTTTATTTGCGGTTGGTGTGTGCCACCTTTCAAAGGAGCTGTAGATCTACCAATTGCATCTATTACTCTACACCTATCAATAACTTACAAATTAAGAGTGTTTTGACTTTCAAATAATCACAATAACTTTCTTGGTACTCACACCAATTTACTCTATACCTTTAATTTTTTTATTGTGGTTGTTTGTTGTTTATTGTAAAATTGCTTTATTTGGTTTTAATCTCATTCTACTCTAGTTATATCAATTTTAACTATATCTCATTTAACATTATTTTATTAATTTTCACGATCATCATTGTAGGAAGGATGCTAAAATGGCACTGATCGAGATGAAAACACTGGAGGAATCAATCAATAGTTTGGTAGCACTGCATGGCCATGCAATTGGTGAGTATATGATCAAAGTATCATTTGCAAAGACCACCACAATCAAACCCAATAAGCAACAGTCCTCATCTACAACTACAACAACAACACAACAACCTTAATCAAGTAATGATCAATTCATATCATGACGGCTGTCCTTACAATAATAATAAATAATTATAATTAATAATCAATCAAATCAATCATTGATCAACCCATAATATTGCCCCTTTGTGTCAGAAGTGGGTGGTTCCAAACAACAAAATTCTAAAGAGTTTTTTTTTTTTTTTTTTTTTTTTTTTACTGCTTTCCACAATGAATTTCTCCAATCACAAAGCAATTTCATCCAATTGTGTCATTAAGATATGATGCATATTATTTTTTTGATCTTTACCTCAAAGATTTCAAAGTGAACCATGACCATCATTTGTGTAACATCAGTTACGTGAATGATTTACCAATTTTGATTTATTAAATCAAAAGCATTTGATGTTAAATCTGATCTACCAAATTAATCAGACTAACTAAACTCTTTTCTTCATTTACCTTTGGTTTCATATCATCTAATCACCAAAAGCACAAAAACATATTGAAAACAACTCATTCCCACAGCTTGGTGTTTGTTTATGATAAAGATTAAAGTTTTTGTAAAAATAAACAAATTCTGTTTTTGGTAAAAAAAAATTTTAAGTGAAAAAGTGTTGATCAAGTGTTTTTTGAACAACTAGATTCAATCTAAATCTTTGTTATTAGGATATGAGTTAGTGATTTAATATTTGAATGGTTTACCTTTAAATAATAACTATTGATAAAAAGGAAATTAATTAATTAAGTTCAATCACAGAAAAGATTTTTTTAAAATTGTTTTTTTTAAACACTAAATTGAATATGTGGTTAAACTTTAAACTCCATTGAGGGAAGTTCGAATATTTTTTTATAGTATTGTGCAATGTGTCACAGTTAATTCAATGTGACAATATGAAATTCCAATATAAAAATCGATTTGGTGAAGAAAATTAAATTAATAAAAATTTTATTAAATGGAAATAACAATGTCTAACAATAGTTGAGGTGTTAATCAAAGAATCAAATAAAAATTAAAAATAATAAATTCAAGAAATGAAATAAATATGTTATTGTTAAAAGTGTGAAGTGTTATTAATTTTTGATTGGATAGTTGTAGTGTGTTTTGATGTTACATTATGATGATGATGATAATTTTAAAAAAAATAATGATAAATAGTGGTTCTTGTTTTTCTCGTCAGAGACAGTATTGGAAGATAGATAGGTGAATAAAATAAATTAATTATAGTTGATTTTTACTATTTCTAGTGAAATCAATGAGATAATATTGAATATTGCGATCATTCATCGCTTATGGTTCACGAAATTTGGTAAAGGGGGTTGATGATGAAAATATTAGAAATGAAATACATATTGGAATTTATCACATTGGGAATTATTGGGTTGAATCAATAGTATTCCATAAGCGGTTGTTCATATTGATAAATCAGTCAAGTGTTACAAATAAATAGATCATCAGATAAATTATTGGATGTTGAGTATCTTAATAGAATACATCAATATCACCCTTCACACACTCTAAATTTAATATATAAATATAGAATAAAAAATATAAATGGTATAGAGCTTTTGAAAATCGAAAGTAGTTTCATTTTTGGTGGTGGTTTGATAATATTTTTGACACAATCTTATCTGTTGAATTACATTGATAAAATTCATTCTATGATGATATTGATGATGAAATTGTTAAACTTAACTTACTTTCAATCTAATAAAATATAGCAGATATAAATATTATATAATATTAAATAGGAAGGTAAAACTGATGGTGGTAAAAAAATAATGTGGTGTGTGTTAAATTAAGTATATTTGACACATAATGAAAAAAAGGGTAGATAATTTCATATGATAAATTTAATTAAAACATTGTTGTTGTTAGTGAGTGGAGAGTGTGTTTTCGGTTTTGTGATGTCATTGTGTGTTTAATTTAATTCTTATTTTATGATGATAATGATGTAGCACTGTGCTTTTATTCATATTATTAACTTCCACAGTTTGTCAATCATTTGTAAACACAGTATTTAAAAATATTTACATAATCTAATCACATTAAAAAAATTCGTATTACCTATTTGTGAATTCCAATATAATAGTGTTTCATATATGAAAGTATCAGTATTTTCATCATTATATTATATACCAATATATATAATTCAAAACAAAAATACTGTGGATTCAATAGTTTAAACCACCATAAAAATTAATATGATTATTGTTGTCGTTTTTATGGAATTCACAACACCAATGATGATGGTTAAATAAGTTCGTTTTAAACATAGGTTGTTCTATAGGATAATTCCATTAACATCACAACACTATTAACCATTATTGACAATAACAGAAGTATCAAACTATAACAATATTCATGTTAGTTATTACTTCTTTCACCCAACATTTAGATTTTATTCATACTAAATTGAATGAAACTTTTGATAAAGATAAAGTTTTAAATACTACCACACAAATGAATTGATGTCATCTCCATACTTTGCAATTTAACTCATCCACACTATCCTGTGATTGTTATGAGGTGGATTGAGTGAAAAGTGGATTGGGGAGTTGAAATGTTTAATTACTATTATTCCAATTTTAATATTAAATTTTAATTCTTTAAAAGAACCATTTGTATCAATCTATGTCAAATAGGTTGTTGTATTTTGTGGTAGTGTTGGAGCTTGTATAATTTTTGTGATTGTTTAATAGTCAGATATGTAGTTGTTAATATGCTATAGCAGTGGTACATTAGTCTATTTGTTTTGATTGAATTTTTAACCTCATCTCTCACAAAACACAAACATCACCATTTATACTATTTCCATTTATGATAGTATGTAAAAACACAAAATTTCATTCTTATTGATTGTTTAATGAGAACAAATTGTCATTTACCCACTCCATCACTACCAAAAACAACAGCAAAAGTTTAGTACAAATTTTCTACTTAAATTTGAATATAATAATATCAGTCTTCTATTAACAACAAACAGCAACATCTTTAGAATTATTTCCGGTTTTGAGCGTAACTGGTCACAGCGTTGACACTATCATCAACCGGAATCTCGCTTTCTCAACCTCCAATAAAATACTCTCTCAAAAGATAGCAATTGATTTTATATGATTTACTATAGTGGTTGCAAAAAACAACCATAGAATTGTTAGTTGTTGATCAATTTTAACAATAACAAAGCAATAAAAAACAAATCATCACTAAACAACAACAACAACAACAACAGCTGCTGTAGCAGCAACAGAATCCATTTAACCTGGATCATACAACAACAACAACAATACTTCCCACAAAGTTATAATCAGGAGTAATACTGATTTAAATAACAATAGAATCAGTAGTACTACAACAATCCTGAAACCAACCACAATTTTAACTGTTGGTTAAAAGCAAGATACTAAATTAATATTATAATATTGTATTTTTAATCATTCCATAAATAATGTGTGTGATTACATTTAACCACTGTTCGATCATTTATATCTGTCAAGAATGATAAACTTCTGTTTTGCCCAACTTTGCTATTACTTACCAAAATTGTATGTATCTCTAACTCAAATTTATCACACCCACACCACTTCTTTCTTACAATATATCTAATTTTCTCTTTTACTGAACCAAAATTAAAGGAAATAAATATAAATTTATACACGATCAATAAAATATAGATTTAATTCCATTTACCATCACTAGAGAGGATATTTATTTTTTAAATCTTCAAAAATCCTCTCTTTCATCCATTTTAATAAATTTGTATTTTATTTAAAAAAAAAATATTAATTTAAAAAAAAATTGTTTGGTTTTATACACGTAATATAAAAAGTACTCAACAGGTTCACTTTTATTATCTCTATCTATTTTGGACACTTTGTTATAATCATTCCAATATTTATTTTCTATCTATTTCATTATTTATTTAATTTATTCTAAATAATCATTCAATCTCCTTCAAATTCAATTAATAATTAATTATTTTTTTTAATTGGTAAAACTCAATTTCCAATTTAAATAATTTTTTGTTGATCACATTTCAACCTATAGCCATAGGAATTTCCAAACTCTGGATTTCAAAATAAATTTTCTCTTTGATTATTGTAATTAAGAAAAAAAATAATTTAATTAAAAAAAAAACAAAAAGGTAAATATTATTTCCAGTAAAAATATAAAAATAAAATTCCAATAATAGATCTTGTCAAATTTGATTTTGAAATATATTTGTTGTTGGTTTTAACAATGATTTGTTTATTTACTTCAAGTAAATCAACTCCTTTTGTTTATTATTTCTTGTTAACATATTCAATTTTAACCTTTCTCATGAATTTCTTGTTAAAAAAATAATTTGACAATGATGTTGAAAACATCAATCTATCTACATTCTATAACATCATTGCTATTTTATATACAGACAATCTATTTCACACTGACCAAGAAAGGAAATAAAAAAAAAGTGAAGTTGTTTTTAACTTCACACTTTTATCATTCCTAAATTTCACTTCCAATTCACTTATTCAAACCTTCTATTTGGTTGTTTTAAAAACAAAACTTCAAACACCAATCATATTTGATTTCATAAATTATTGTATAATTATTGTATTTGTAAAACCTAGAGAGATAATCTGCCGACCCGATTAAGTTTACATCTGTATCAAATTTAACCTCACCATTAGAAATCATAACAAACTGGTAAAACAACCCAGTTCACTACACTAGATCTAACATCTACATTGAAAGAATATCATCCACTCTTCACCATGGAAATGTAAAAATGGAATTATAATATTTATGTTTACTGAAAAGTGACTGTAGCGATGACATTGAGGTAGAAACTGTCAGTTCTTCCATCAATGAAACCACACACATATATGATATATCTATCTTAATTAATTAATGTGTTTCAATTAAAATTATAATATATATCACAAATGTTCACACACTTAACATCAAAAACAGCACCCCTAAATCAATATATTCACTACTGCTGCTACTACTGTTGCTAGCAGTACTCTTACCATCAGTCATATTCACCAACGAATTTTGATTAGAATGTACTCTAAAACCAACAACAACAACACCAACACCACCACAACACCAAATTTGAAATTGAAACAATATAACCAAATCAAACAAAAAGGTTGAAAAAGCACAAAACATAGTCTCTACATTAGCAGTCAATCAAGATGGTTATTGCTCAAATTTTAGTTTACAAATACATAGTTTTAATGTGTTTTTGGTTTTTTTTTTTGATTTTAAAATTCTTTTTAAAATTCCAAAAAATTAATCTGTGGAAGTTAAGATGTGTGTTTCAATCATGATATAATTGTTTTAATTTTTTTTATTTTTATGTTTTTTTTTTTTGGTTTCATCTGTTTTTGGTTTAGCTTTAATGATTGATTCATTAATTTTAAATTATCTTTTTACACTCATTAGATTTATAGTGGGTAAATGTGTTTTTGTGTGGTGTGGGTGTGTGTTGTGTGTGATGGGTGCAAATAATGTAGTAGTAGGCATGTGGGATTATGTGATGATGAATTTGTGTGCATGTGTCTCAAACCCCCACCTAGCTACTACTACCAGCTCATAGATATATTGATCAGTGCTAAAAAGATACAATGATCAAATAAAATGGAGATTTGATTGTTTTAGAGTCGCTCCGTCTTTTCATATTGGAATAATATATCTATCACCTGTTGTGTAGAAAACTTTATTACATTCTCCATGATACCACCCACAATCCACCACTGCGCTGTACCTTCTTTTACACAACACAGCGCACACCTATTGTGCCACACTGAAATCACCTCGACAATCAGCTGCATTATATCTAACACCAACTACATTTATAATTAATATTAATAATAACTGCTTGCAACACCCAAGAGACAACAATAATATTGACATTAGCTCCACCCCCTTCGTTGGTGATATTGCTATCATCATCTTCACCCTTTGCTCTAAACCTCTTCACACATTTACCTTCATATATACCTGCTTACTATAAATCAATAATCCACATCTTTTAATTTATGAATATATCTTAATTTAAAAATTTATTTAAAGCCAGCAAGTTACCAAACAAATACTTTGATAACTTGACTTGTTGTTGTAATATTTGCAAATCAATCAACCAAAACAAAAATATATAAACAATTGTTTTATTTGTTACTTCCATTTTGATAAACATTTCTTTTTTATAACTTTTATCCAATATCCTTGTTGCCGTGTTGGTCACCATACTAACATTAGGTACCCAAACAAAAAAAAACCATAAAATTTTTACCTCTATATATTATTTAATTTATATAGCATTAACTATTCAATTGTTGTTGTAACACATATTCGCCATTAAAACCAACTTTGCATATTCACTCTATAAAGTGTAAATATATAATTTCTTAAACACCAACAAACTTTAAATTATTAATGATTTATCCAATCATTTCCAATTACCACCAATCACAAATCTAAAATTAATTCAATCAAAATGGTCATTCGATTAAACTAACTAACTTTATCTTTTTTTTTATTTTTTTATTTATTGATTTCTTTCTTTTTTTACTAATTTCTTAAAATACCAATACTGTACCATTGCTCCACTTTCGAATGAATTGTATATCTCTTCAATACTTAAAGAGTCATTGTCTGCATTTTCTACCTGCCCGATATTCAAATTATTGTCATTTTTATATAAAAGTGTTTAATCAGCTGGAACACCACCACCACACAGTCAGTCATCACCACCACCACCACTACCACCAACAAAGTAACACCAAAATATTATTGACACACTACCACCCCAACCCTTCATTAAAAACATTCATACTCACACCTACCACCATCATCATTGCAAATCTCACTTTATGAACATCCAAGGTAATTTAATTGAATTTCCAAATTTGTAAATTTTAGTAAACTCGATACTAACTGTGCTGTTTAAACAACACTTTATTTCTTGTTTTTATAATACTACTATTCTTAAATTCCTTGACAACCTAATCTTTATAGTTTGAGATTATAACCAACCAATCAAAATTCTTCAACTAATATTTCACTTTTGTAATTAATTAATATTTGTTGTTCAGTATCCTACTTAATTTATTGTTATATACTATTTATATAAATTTAGAGAGACAAACTTGTATAACTTTAATTGGTTAGCTACAAACTTGTATCACTAAAACTTAATTGTATAATATACCGTACCACCACCATTACTATTATTTAACAATATAAAAACCTTGTATAATTTCAACTTCACAACACCACAAACCAACCAGTCACTTAAAAATGGAACATAGAAGTTTAAGAGTTTTATTGAATACACTTGACCATGAGGAGGCCTGCTCCAGTCCATCCACCATTCTCAAGAGATTCAAAGAGGAAGATGAATTCGAACTCCGATCAATCAATTCCAAGTCCGAGGACAACCCAAATAGATCTCCATTGAAAAAGTCGCGCAAGTCTGACGATGAAGACACTGCTTCCTCGCCAACCTCCTACTCACCACCACTCCAAATGTCGCAATCTGGTGCATATAATTTAGAATTCATCCGACCAAAGCGTGCCTCTGGCTCCGACCATATGTGTCCATCGCCAAATTCACGTGATGCTCTCTTTGCCAATTATAATACCCACCACTCTAATAAATGTAGTAATTTCGAAAGATCCGAACAAGAGGTTGCCGACCACGACAACTGGGGTGAAGAAGATCTCTCGGATGACGATGACTGTGCCGATGACGACTACGAAGAATTTGAAATCCACTATCCACATTTCCACAGTCAATTCGAAGAGATGAGCAAATCCAAGCCAAAGCCAGATCAAAACTTCTCACTCAACGAGAAATTCCCAATCAATAGATCATCCAACAAAGTAAATTTGGTACCAAATTCTGCCGCCACCACCCCATCTCACTCTCCAAAATCACATGTAGGAACACCATCCCGTCCATTCCCAACACTTGACTACAAAGTAAAGAGTGAACAAGTCAAACAGAATCCAGACGGAACCTACAGTTGTCCATATGAGACATGTAACAAAACAATCAAAGGAAATAAAGGTAATCTTTCATCACACCTCAGATGGCATCGTAGACTCGATGCTGAGGCCGGTGACATCAAAGTAAACAATCTAGAGGAAGGCGAAGAAGAGGAATTCACCACACCCATTAAACCATCACAACGTGGTGTCCAACTTCGCAACCAAATGATCTACTACGGACTCAATTTGTTCCGTCAAGACAACCAAGGAAAATATCTCTGTTTCTTTGAGAACTGCCAACTGAGAATGCTTACAAACTTCTCACGTCATATCGCCAAGCATGAGCGTAAAGGTGACAAAATTAAAGAAGAACTTCTCCAGCATACCCCCAAGCGTGTAGCTATGGGTAGCTCACCAACATCACCACCACCACCATTCCCATCGCCATCAACCCTCTCTTCTCCAATGTCATTACTCTCACATAGTTGTCAATTAACTCCAACCCTTTCACCATTACAAGACAGTTTTAAGCCAAAGGCACGTAAGATTCTCACTGTCAACACCAAAGTCTGTTCCAATAATAATGTACACTCACCACCCATCCTCTCAACATTCAATGTAACATCATCACCATCCAAACAATTAATTTCTTCACCACCAATGGACCCATCGAATTTGAGACGTTCATCCTCGAAACTCGACGCCATGGTTTCAATTAATAGTATTCCACGTGACTCTGACAACGAAGAGTTGTTGGTACCATCGTCACAGACATCGCCACAAAAGGCACCATTTTCACCAACTTCATCAAACTGGTTCGGTTCCTCGAAATCTGCATCGACCAACTCCATTCCTTTTGGAAACTCCGATGAAATCCAGTGGGTATACAAAATCCCAAACACTCCAACCTCTACCCCAGGTAGTCCACGTGTATTCAATGCTCAATCACTGAGTGCATCGTCATCGATCGTTCCAACATCGCCACCATCTAACTCATCCATCCCCGCTGTAATACCAACCACTCCAACCTCTGCCATGAATTTCCAGTTTGCCAAACTTCAATTCTGTCGTTCCAAAGAAGATGAATGTGCCAAATCTCTCATGGGACTAACTGGAAATCATATCTGGGATTAAATTTGCAACATCATAAAAAAACAGTAAAATTTCACAATCACTCTAATCTATTTAAATATTCAATAACTATATTTTATTGAATTATATTATATAATATATATACATATTTATATATTTAACTATTTATAAAATCTTTTTTTTCATTGCGAATTAAAAGATATAAAATCATTCCTGCTTTAAAAGTTTTAAAATAATATTTTATAAAAAAAAATAAAAAATTAAACAATCTAATTGTTTTGTATATAATATAACAAATATCATTTTTAATGTCTTATTTTAATTTTTAGGATTTGTAAATCAATTTAAATTGGAATAAACTTTTCTTTACCTTTTTTATCTGTTTTCTGGCAAAAAGGATAAAATAAATTACTTTTTAATTTTTTACTGTTTCGTCAAAACAACATAATATGGTTAAAAGATAAGGTTGAAACATATCAAATCTGTCGAAAAAGTGATATTAATTCTTGATCAATAAAAAAATCTGTTTTTAAAATTCAACATTATTAAATATTATTTATAGAACTACATTATTTTATTATTTTGTAGAAAATAAAAGTAAAACTTAAATAAGATCCAATAAAATACGATAAACTATCACTCTAAACTTAACCTTTGATAAATAATTAAAAATCTTCCAAGAACTTTAAACTTTTAAAAGAAAAAATAGATTTAAATATTCGAATCAATATTTGTTTAAAAAAAAAAGATAGTGTTTCTCATTTTAAAACAAGGCCACAATAAATAATTTAAGTTAAAAAATAATATTTATTAATTAGCTGCTATAATTTGACCATTTTCCACCCTGTTTAGAATAGAAATCCATTGGATAAACAGTTTGCCACTCGATACCATTTAATGCTACTTCAGCTTCATATGTATTCAATAATGGTGTTGTAAAAGCATATCCCCAATCAATTGATAATCTAGGGCATGCTATTTGTATCCATCTAATATATAATTTAAATAATTAGTTAACTAAAATAATAAAACTAATGATTGATTAGAAAAAGTTGAGGGCAACAACATACGTTTGAATATCACTAAATAAATCTAATTTCGATGGAAATATTTCCGATAATAAAACTACTGTATAATCTTTGTTGGCGCGTTTCAGTAGATCTTCGAGATGCTCCAAGATCTTTGGACTACCTTGACGACCAAGTGTTCCCAAGATGATACCGAAACGGTCGGCTTTACGTGCAACCTGAATTGCATCTTTTCTGATTGCGTGCATCTGATCGAAATCGTAACCCTCAATCGAGAACACCTTGCTGTAAGGATCATATCTATAGGCCTTGATGGTGGGATTCGAAATCATGATAGACTCCAAATGGAATCGACCGTCACCCAAATAAACTACGACTACTTCATCACTGCTATCATCGTCGTACTTGATCTTTGGTGATGTGCAACCTAGAATTTCACCATGTGACAATGGTTTTTCCTGTGGAATAAAAACATTCTTGAAATGCTCTGCCAGTGTAACTCTTGCTGACTTTTAATCAAATGGTTTGTATGTATAAGATTGTGGTAATAATAATAATAATACGATTAAACAGTAAACAACACTTACTTGTAATGAAGCAGAAAACTGAATAGTTGAAACCAATAATAATTTTGTGTCGACTGTAAAATTAAATTTCAGTGTCTCTATAAAATGTTTCAAATCTATTTGAATATCTACAAAAATATACAACATTCTAATTTCACTAACATCAATTGGAACTATTAAAAAAGTAATTATTGTATATTAATAAATAATAAAGTTGATAACAGTGATATATATATATATATATATGATTAATTTACTTACCTAAACAAGAATGACCGTAATGAACCATAAAGTCAGCACCTAATGATCTTGCAGTGTAGTCGTCTACACAACATGCACCATAAGTTACATCACCCATGATGATAGTTTCAACATTGGCGAATCTCTCTAGAATGTCAGAGATGATACAAGAATACATTAATAGACCCTCTGGGAATTGAAGTGCTACACGCTTCGATTGCGATTGTCTTAGACGCCATATGGTCTTATGTATTTCGAAATTGTAGTTTGGTGGTAATATCTGAATTGCTTGATTCAATTGTTCATCGTTTAACAACTCGTCTGGTATCTGTTGTTGATTCGACTGAACAGCTCTACCAAATATCTTTGGTTTAGGCTTTGTACTACCACTATTCTGTGCAACTACAATATCTTTATTATCATTCAACGATTGTAATTGTTCGCCTTCCAACTGTTGTTTCTGTCTTAATTCTGCAATCTTTTTTTTACCGACAAATCTTATCTTTTTTTGTGGTTGTTGTACTTGTTGTTGTTCCTGTTGTTGCTTTACTGATACATCATTATTTGATTCTATATCATTTGTATCATTGCTATTATTACTATTATCTATATTACTCATTTTTAAATATTAATATAGATATCTTCTTAAATTTCAATTGGCGAAGAATGAAAAAACGAATGACCACCAAAATGCGGTTTCAAAACAAAACATACTCTTGCTTGTATATGGTGAATAAAACAAAAAACCCACCCAGATCACATTTACCCCACTAATTTTTAATTTTTACATTTTTTTTAAAATTAATGTGCAGGAGAAAGAAAAAAAATGTGGTTGGTAATTTAAAATGTTTTTTTTTTTACATTTTTAATTTATTAAAAAACAGATTAACATCTACAGTCAACTTAAGCTTGTTAGTTAATGGCTAAAAGAAAGAGTAAACAAAAGCTATTCATTACAGCTGGTGAATGGGCGAATGATTTCGGTGGAAAGAAAGACGGTGAAAAGAGAAGTAATGAGAAACCATTACCTTACTACTGTTGCAGTTTGTCTTTGCAACCATTCGACGATCCAATGTGCACTTTAGATGGTAATCTCTATGAGATGCTGTATGTTGTTATACTACTACTACTATACTATATATATATATATATATCTTAAATACATCTACTAACTATATCATTTATTATATTTTTATTGTTAGTAATATTATACCTTTTTTAAAGAAATATAAAAGAGATCCTGTCACTGGTAAACCTATGACATTTAAGGATCTTTTTAAAGCAAACTTTGCTGTTAATTCCGATGGTATGACTTATTATCTATCAAATTTTTAAAACATAACAAACTACTAACAAATCGATATTGTTGTTGTTGGTTTAGATGAATATCATTGTCCGATTTTAAAAAAAGTATTTACAGATTACTCTCATATTGTGATTATTAGAACCACTGGAAATGTATATAGTTACGATGCTGTCAAGCAGTTGAATATCGATGCTAAACACTGGTTGGATTTGATGGAAGATACACCATTCACAAAGCAAGATATTATTACACTACAGAATCCTGCTGACAAGGAATATACACAACAAAAGTCGCTATCAAACTTTCACTTTATCAAAGAAGGACTGGATTTTAAAGAAGATCAAACCACTTCAAATATCAACTTATCAGAAACAGCTCTAAGAATATTCAATGAACTTAAAGCAAAAGGTATACCAATTAATAGTAATGATAGTACATCAACGACTACAACCACTTCAACAAGTACAACAAGTTCAAGTAAGTTGACAACAAGTAATCTCAATGCAGAATCATCGAAAACCAGTATACTAGATAAAGATGTCGAACAATATAGAAGAGAGAAACGTGAGAAAGAAGAAGCAGTGAGAAAGCAATCCGGTCAAGCACCTTCGTTCACGTCGACTGGAATGTCGTTGACGTCGGTCATTGAAGATCATCCTGCAGATCGACCAGGAAAGAAAACCAAGAAGAAAGGATACGTCAGTATACAAACGAATATAGGTGATATTAATATCCAGCTGCACTGTGATTTCGTACCAAAGACCTGTGAGAACTTCTTGGCACTCTGCGCCACCGGTTACTACAACAATGTCATATTCCATCGTTCGATCAAGAACTTTATGATTCAGGGTGGTGATCCCACTGGAACTGGTACCGGTGGTCAATCGATTTGGAAGCGAGCGTTTGCCGATGAATTCAAACCCTACTTGTCACACCACGAGCGTGGTATACTCAGCATGGCGAATTCTGGTCCAAACACAAATGGTTCGCAATTCTTTATTTTATTCAGACCGGCTCCACATCTCGATCGTAAACACACTGTTTTCGGAAAGGTTGTGGGTGGATTAGATGTTTTGAAAACAATGGAAATGATTAAAACCAATCAAAATGATGTACCATTAGTATGTACATATTTATTTATTGTTATTATTATTTGTTTATTAACTTTAAATCAATTATCTTTGTTGTTGTTTAGATTCCAATTAAAATATTAGGTGTAAAGATATTTGAGAATCCATTTGAAACTATTGATGAAGAAGAACTTGAAGAATTAAAGAAAGCCGAATTAAAGAGAAGAGAAAAAGAATCTAAATTTAATGACACTGAAAGAGGTCAGTGGTATTCGAATCCAAATGTTGTTGTTCCACAAACCAATAAAACTGGTGTTGGTAAATATATTGTAGATACAAAACCGGTAGCAAAGGTATCAGCAAAAGTAGCAGTAAAACCAATAGCAACAACAACATCAACTACAACGACACCAGAACAAGAATCCCAACTTAAACGACAAATTATTCAAGATAAACTTAATGAAACAACAAAGAAATCAAAGACATATGGAAACTTTTCAAACTTTTAAATTGTTGAATGAAAAGTCTAATAAATCGAAATATATTAACTTATTAATTAAAATGGATTATATTTATTTATAATTATAATACATTAGTCGAGTGGTGATGGTTACTTATGGTTATATTTTTTTTTTTTTTTTAATTTAATTTTAAGCACCAACAATTTCCAAGAGTAATTTCTTGTAGTCACCGGAACAATCATTTGCAATTGCATGATGTAATGTCTTACCGTAGTTGGCTAAGTAGTATTGCTTGATGAGAGTCAAGAATGATTGACAGTAAATAATGTTTCTAATGAGCTTGTCGTCGTTGGTACCGACACCGGCGATTGACTTGTGGATGATTGATGCAAAGTAACCGAAAGAATCGGTGGCAAAGTAGAGGATCGCTTGGAGACCCGATCTGATGTCACCAGAGAACTCTGACTCGATTGCCTTTTGGAGGGTGTGACGCTTGTGCATGGTAGGGTAGAGACGTGCGATCTCACGCAACTGTAAGAAGTTACGTCTTGTGAAGATGTTGATAAAGGTCTTCTCGTCGGTACCGACACGACCCTCACCGGCATAATAGAGAGTGTCAACGTCTCTCATGGCACCGGCAACGTCAACAATCATTGACTCATCACGTGGTTCGAGTAACTCTTCACACAAACGCTTGAAATCACCAGAGGTTTCAGAGCTAACCCAGTGCTTCAAACTCTTGTGATGGTCAGAGTTGAAGATTTGATTGATTCTCATCTTTTGGGCATTGGATCTTGTAATTAAAATCTCTTGTAAACAATGTTCCTAAATAGTTTTTTTTTTAGTTTGTTAATAATTATATTATATTTTTGATTGAATATATATATATATATATTTACATTTGTTCCAGCACCTTTCATGGCATTGTAAATATTATCAGCATCATATTGAGCTGGGTCAGTCAAGAGTGCAACCAAAGTCAACTTGAAGTTTCCAGATGTCTCTGATTTAATATCCTTTACTAAATCTCTACCAATGAAAACACTGTATTCTCTGATGATACCAGCACGTTCTTCCCAATTTCTATTACCTAGAATTTCAATTAAAGTATGTTCATCCTAATTATTTTTGAAATGAGTTAGAAATTTGATCATGAATTATGAATCAAGATTAAATCCACTTACAGTTCCAATTCCCTTCATGGCTCTTCTTAAATTCTCAGCATCACGCTTCAAGTCATGAGTAATAGCACATACTCTGACAAGTGCGAATTGGACAGCTGGAACGGCAGCAACTCCAACTGGTGCAACTCCAACTGGGGCAACTCCGACTGGGGCAGCTCCAACTGGTGCAACTCCGACTGGTGCTGGTGGATAACCTCCTGCTGCTGGTGCTGGTGGATAACCTCCGGCTGCTGGTGCTGGTGGATAACCTTGTTGTGGTGGATAACCTTGTTGAGGTGGATAACCTTGTTGTGGTGGATATCCTCCGGCTGCTGGGGCTGGTGGGTAACCTTGTTGTGGTGGATAGCCTTGTTGTGGTGGGTAACCTTGTTGTGGTGGATATCCTCCGGCTGCTGGGGCTGGTGGGTATCCTTGTTGTGGTGGGTATCCTTGTTGAGGTGGGTAACCTTGTTGCTGTGGTGGATAACCATAACCTTGTTGTTGTTGAGGTGGATAACCTTGTTGTGGAGGGTATCCCTGTTGTGGTGGATAACCTTGTTGTGGTGGGTAACCTTGTTGTGGTGGATAACCTTGTTGTGGTGGGTATCCCTGTTGAGGTGGGTAACCTTGTTGAGGAGGATATCCTTGTTGTGGTGGATAACCTTGTTGTGGTGGGTAACCTTGTTGTGGTGGGTATTGACCTGGAGCTGGTTGCTGACCAGCAGGTGGTGGAGGTGAATTATATTGACCTGGTGCTGACATTTATTTTTATTTTGAAATTTTTTATTATTTAATTAAAAATACAACAAACAACAACAATACACTAAACAAATACAAAATAAAGATATATATAAAAAAAACAAATATTATTATTAGATTGATTAAAAAAAAATTGAAGAATAATAATCTTGAGACACTACAACGATTGCTATTGCATGCAAAAAAAAAGCTCTGTGACAACTGACTTTCACACCAAAAAAAGTTTTAATTAAAGATTTTCTATTTTTTTTTGTTTTTTTTTGTTGGTGGTTGTTTAATTTAGTGTTTTTTGAGCTTTTTTGTGACGATCTTTTTTTGCAAGCCAAGATTTTCTTTTTTTTTTTTTTTTTTTTTTTGTTTTATTACAAAGTACCATACCAGGCTTGTCTGTTGGATTGAATAAATTTTATTTTTAAATTTTTTATTTCTTTTATTATATAACATGTCTTCTGTGATGTGATGTCATCTCTGTTTATTTGTATAAAAAAGTGGGATAAGAAAGAAACTTGTGTGTGTAGATGAACATCACAACAAAATTTTTTTTTTTTAAAAAACCCCAAATTAATATAAAATTGGTGAAATTCAGCAAAATAAAAATATGATTTAATTTTTAATCATTTTTAATTTAACAATAAGTTATAAAATACCATCACATTTCATTTATTTATTATTTATTAGTTTAGAGACTTTGTTCATTTATTTTTACGTTAATTAGAACCCATAGATATAATTAATATATTAAAATATTTTCTAAATAAACAACATTACACAATAACACAACAATGAATTGTGTAAGATTCAAAGTTAATTATTATACTAGATTGGGACAGGAGGTCTATATCACTGGATCGTGTTCACAGCTTGGTGATTGGGATGAGAATAATGCCAAGAAGCTGAGATACGATGACAATGGTGATTGGGAGATATTCATAGAGTTTGCCAACTCAAACAACCAAGCAACAACCACTGCAGCAGCAGCAACACCTTCTGCACCACCTCCATCCACTTCCAATCTTATCAATCATCAAGGTCAACAGAAACAACAGAATCTCATTGAATACAAGTATTTCGTCATGGATACAAACGGTGAAAAGATTTGGGAAGGTGGACAAAATCGTTTACTGAATCTATCACTATGTAATCCTGCATTCATCCATGAAGTTAGAGATACCTATCAAGTAACTATAAATTAATAATTAAATCTTAATATTAATCAATCTGTACTAACAAAGACAAACAACATTAACAAAAATATTAAAGAATCCAGCATCATCTGAATATTCATATTTACACTGTTCATTATTTAAAGATGTAATTCTAAGAAGAAATATAGATACCATTAAACCATATCAATTCATTTCACCATCAAGTCCAGGTAATTAATTATTATTATATTATTTTTTTAAATTAGTTATAATTTTTTTTTAATTAATTTAATTGTTTTTTTTTAATTTTTAATTTAATTCTCAGATAAGGTTGTTATTCATTTCCAAGTTAGATGTACAAATGTACAACCTAGTTATAATGTATATTTGGTTGGTAGTAATATGACATTGGGTAATTGGAGAACGGAACGTGCCATTAAATTGAGTGATCAAGATTTCCCATTGTGGAAAGCAGACTTGGAGTTCACTAAAGATCAATTGCCATTCTCTTATAAATATATCATTGCCGATAAATCAAAGACTTATATTCATTGGGAGCAGGGTAACGATCGTTGGTTCACCAGCAGTATCTTGCCGGCTTCAGAGTACTCCAACACCAGATCGGAGGAACGCGACTACTACTTTAACGACGGTGACTTTAAGGATGTCGGACAGATCCGTACCACCGGTGTTGCACTTCCGATCTTCTCGTTGCGTACCAAGAAGGGAATGGGTGTGGGTGAGTTCAATGACTTGATTCCCTTTATTGATTGGGCTGCAGAGACTGGTCAGCACATCATCCAGATCCTGCCAATCAACGATACAATGGTGATGAACACCTGGCGTGACTCTTATCCCTACAGCTCTGTCTCTGTCTATGCGCTACACCCGATCTACGTGAATATCCAATCGATTACAACCAACACGGAGATCATAAAGAAAGCAAACGAACACTCGGAGCGTCTCAACAAGCTAAAGGTGGTCGATTACGAAGCTGTCATCAACTTGAAAGTGGAATTTCTAAGACAGATCTACAGCGCCGAGAAAGCCAATCTCGACAAGGATCAAGAGTTTATTGCATATGTCAAGGAGAATGCCGAGTGGTTGAAGCCATACGCAGTGTTTTGTGTGCTGCGTGATATCAACAAAACTGCCGATTTCAGTCTGTGGAAGGAGCACAGTACCATCGATTGGGAGACAATCGAGAGTCTGACATCGCCACAATCGAAATTCTACCAGGAGGTTAGATATCATTATTTCGTGCAATACCACTTGCATCGTCAGCTTCTCGCTGCATCAAAGTATGCAGTGTCCAAGCGTATTGGTATCAAGGGTGACTTGCCCATTGGTGTCAGCAGACACAGTGTCGATACCTGGTTGAATCCACATCTGTTCCGTTTGAACAACACTACTGGAGCGCCACCAGATGCTTTCGCAGATGACGGACAAAACTGGGGTTTCCCAACTTACGACTGGGAACGTATGAAAAAAGATAACTACAGTTGGTGGAGATCAAGACTTGGTCAGATGGCTAAATACTGTCATGCTTTCCGTATCGATCACATTCTTGGATTCTTTAGAATCTGGGAGATTCCCACCGATTGTTTCACTGGTTTACTTGGTCATTTCAATCCATCACTTCCACTTTGGAAATCGGAATTAACTCATAATGGTATTTGGGATCTTGATAGATTAACAAGTAAGTAATTATTTTATTTTTTTTTGACATAAATAACAAATTTAATATTAATGTTTTTCTTTTTTTTTTCTTAGAACCCTATATTAGATATCATACTTTACGTGAACAATTTGGTGACTTTGCAGAATCATCAAAGAAGTTCCTTAAGGAATATGCTAGTAATTCTTATAAATTAAAACCTGAATTTGAATGTGAAAGATCAATTGATGTATGTTGAATATTATTATTATAATTTTTATTTATTTTTTAAAAGATATTAATTAATTATTTTTTTTATTTATTTTATTTTAGAAAAATGTTACAGGTGAAGATTCAATGTATAAACCAGGATTATTGAAATTGGTTCAGAATGTATGTTTGGTCAAGGACAAGGAAGATGAACATAGATTCTATCCAAGAATTGAAATCACAAAGACATCTTCTTACAATGAACTCTCCGATGACTTGAAGAATACTCTCTATCGACTCTATATTTCCTATTACTTTGAGAGACAAGAGGAGCTTTGGTCTCAAATTGGATTACAAAGATTACCTTTAATTAAAGGATGTACAAGTAAGTTTAAAAAAAGTTAAACAAACAAACAATATTTATAAACTATTTGAGAATCATTTACTAATTGTTTATTATTTAAAGATATGTTGGTTTGTGGTGAGGATTTGGGTATGGTACCAAAATGCGTTGAACCAGTATTGAAAGATCTAGGTATATTGGGATTGAGAATTCAAAGAATGCCAGCTGACAGTACCAAGGAGTTCTATGTTCCATCGGAATACTCCTACTTGACTGTGAATACCACTTCTTCACACGATATGTCAACTCTTAGAGGCTGGTGGGAAGAAGATCGTCCACGTTCACAAAATTTCTACAACAATATTTTGGGAATGTATGGTGAAGCACCCTACTTTTGTGAACCATACGTAACAGAGGCTGTGATAACACAACATCTTCAATCACAGAGCATGATGTCTATTTTCCCTCTGCAAGATTGGTTTGGACTCTCATCGGAACTCTCACAACGCGATCCAAAAGAAGAGCGTATCAATGAACCTTCAAACCCATTCCACTATTGGCAATACAGAATCCAAATCAACATTGAGGACCTATTGAAATCTGATGATTTTAACAGAACCGTTCAAAGATTAATTACATCTTCCAATAGAAAGACAGAGTAATACACTACTGTATATGTAAATAAATATTTAATATCTTTTTGAAAACAAAGTAAAATGAAATAAATTAATGATATTATCATAGATAATAACTGCATAGTAAGACGAGTGCTATTGATATCAGTTTGTAAGTTTAATAACATTTTTTATTATTTTTACTTATTACTTAAATCACAATTTTCAAATTTTTAGAATCAGAATTAAACAGATTCAAAAAATAAAATAATAAACTTTCTTATATTTTCAAAGAGTAGAATAATATCATTGCCTGATAAAGAAAACAACATTAAAGAACTAGCTATTAAATTTAATACATTAAACGATTCTATTCAAACTAATTTAGTTGAAACTAGAAACTGTTTAATCTCGTAAAGCGAGAGTGATAACAAACAAATTGTTCTTTATCGATCCAAGAAGTTTAACACAACTGAAAGGGATTACCCTGTCTTTGAACAAGAGGTTATGGCAATCAAACATGCTCTCGAATCTAACTACCATATGCTATTAGGTTTTAAGATAGTTATTCATACCGATCACCAACATATACTATTTATAAATAATAAACTTAATGACAATACAAAACCTAAATTAATTAGGTGGTTACAATACATTTTCTCTTTTAATCCAACTCTTATTTATAAGAAAGGATCTGATAATGTAATTGCTGATGGTTTAAGTCGTTACACTTACTCCACCACCATTTCCATCGATGATAATGATCTAATTGCAATGATTGCAAATAGATATATTGAAGAAGCGACTAAATTTTGAATTTATTGATATTAACTATAGGAGTATTGTTGATCACGATAGACCAAATCCCAATCGGCGTCCGACATCTTTCCAAAGGAGACGTCTCTCAAGACACCGGCATTGTTAATGAGCACGTCGATACCAAAGCTGTTGTTGAGTGTCTTTTTTTTTTACAATTTTTGTACTTCAAAATATCAAATCATCCTTGGTGTAATGATGGATAGATGACCAAATCATATTATATTGTCACAATTCGATCACTAAAAATAAATAAAGTCTCTTAAAGTTAACGTTTTGATGAATCATTAAGCACGTATTGTTAAGAATTAAAACAATGACTCACCAATTTCTTTGATTTTTAAAATTTACCCCTCGAAATTAATTTTTAATTTTCACAATATTTTCAACCAGTTTTGTTTTTAATAAATTTTGTAAATTTTCATTTGAATATTAATTAAACTATGAATTTTAAACATATAATAACTATTTTATTACTTTTTGTATTAGTACAAACTGTTTATTCTTTCTTTCAAAAAGGAGATAAAGATGCTGTCTTATTAAAAGATGTAAAAGTACTTACATTGGTCGACAATAAGATGACTAGAGGTTCAAGATCATCACCGATCAAACAACTAGAGTGTGCGGGTGGAAGTGCCAGATGTCAACGTAATCTCTTACCTCAATCCGTTCAATGTCATAACATTGGATCTGGTATGTATTCTTTTTTTTGATTTAAAAATGATAATGATAATATTTTAAAGTTAACTAATCTTTTTTTACTTTTACTTTTTATAAAGATGGAACTGATGTTCAGTGGGAGTGTAAAGCAAATCTAGATACAGCTGTTCAATTTGGAAAGCTGGATGTATCATGTGAAGGATATGCATATCCTGAAGATCCATATATTTTAAAAGGATCGTGTGGATTGCGATATGAATTGGAGTATACTAACAGTGCGCTTAGAGAGAGTTACTATAAGCAAGACTGGGCAACATCGATCTTTACATTCTTTATTTGGGTGTTTGTCATTGGTGTCGTAGGATTCATCTTTTACAATATCTTCTTTGCAAGAAATGAAAACGATCGTGAAGCAAGAAGACGTCACCAACAACAACAACAACCCAATGGTGTACCATACGGTGGTTATATGAACGGTCCAAGTTATTATCCGGGTAGCGCTGGTTTTGGATCGGTTCCACCAGCACCACAAAACTATGGAAGTTCATGGGGTAACAGCAGTTGGTTGCCATTCTTGGGTGGATTGGGTACTGGCTACGCTTTTGGAAGACCAAGATCCTCGTGGTGGGGAGGATGGAATTCACATTCCAACTATTACACTCCATCCTATCATTCTTCACCTTCATACCACCACAGCAGCAGTAGCAGTAGTAGTAGAGGTACTGGTGTAACATCTACATCAACCGGTTACTCTAGTACATCAAGAAGATAAAAAAAAATAATTGCGAACAAACAAAACAAATAAAATAAAATAAAAACCTTTTTTGTATATTTATTAATTAACTAAAAATGAAACATCTAAATTGTTGTTCTATTGTTGCTAAAAAAAACTTTATTTCATTGATGGCTCTTCGATATCGTTGAGATTCAACAAGAGTGAATCACTGCTAATGTAAACTTTGTTTTGAGACTTGGCGATGATCTGTGCGATTTCACGAGCAGCTTCAATCTTTCTGAGTTGCAAGAATGCTGGATTCTCTCTGATAGAGTCAGAGATCAATTTAGCAGATTGAGACTCTCCCTCTGCCTTTACTATAATACTTCTCTTGTCTTGTGTAGCTTTTTCAACCAAGAAACGTGCTCTCTCTGCATCTTGTTGTGCAACTTGTTTTGATTCAATAGCTGCTGCATATTCTTTACCAAAGTTCAAATGTGTCTATTATTATATTAATATTTTTTTTTTTGTTTTCTATGATCATCTGAGCTTAAGATACATACGATTGAAACATCATCTAATTCAATATGGAAATCACGAGCACGATCAACCAAACGCTTGTAGATTAAACGTGAAACTTGCTCTCTTTGAGTGATGAGTTGCGATGCATTGAATTGAGCAACGATCGATTTGAGTACTTCATTTACAATTGATGGGAGTACTCTCTCGTCGTAGTCCTTTCCAAGAGTTCTATAGATTTCTGGGAGATATTTGATGCTTGGTTTCGACAAAACTCTAATTGTTACATTTACCATTTGAAGATCTAATATAATAACATATTAATTAGAATATTTGTTGCTGATATTTGATTGTTTAACACACTGCTATCTATCTTTTTCTATTTACCTTTACTTCCAGTCAATGAAGAGATTGAACGTGGCTTTGCTCTTACATCATAGATCTCTGGTCTCTCAATCCATGGAATGACAAAGTGAGTACCTTCATTGTAAACTCTATTTTTAATACCGACGAATCTATTGAATACGATAGCTCTGTGACCACCCTCAACTGTGTAACCAATGATGTGTTAGTAATTTGCTACTATTGAATGATATCCAAGTCTATATGGCAATACTAACCATTCAATAAAGAGTTGAAAGCACCATATAATGCAACACCAGCAACAAGCAAAGAACCAATTCCACCAACACCTCCTTTTGGTGCATTAAACTTTGGTAATGATCCTCTAATATTATTAAAATTGAAATTCATTGTTATTACTAATATCAAATAGAAAAAAAATGTGTAATTAAATTGTAATGATTTTTGATGTTTGATCATCACAAATTTTTTGAAAAAATTACAAAAAAAACAATCAAATTTTAAAAATTTAAACATAATTAAAGTGTCATAGTGTTTTATTTATTCTTTGGTTGGTTTTGCACCTGCTCAGGAATGAAGATAATTAATTGTTTGTCAAACTACTATTTTGCCCAATGCAGTTACTTTGAAAACTCGTTAGATGATTTTACAAAGTCTTTTTAAAAAAAAATATTATCTTTTGATTAAAAAAATAAAGTGATTGTCCGACTTCTATCAAATATGATAATTATATTATATTATTTTCATCTGAAGGGAAAAAAAGATAAAAATTTATTAAGAAATAAAAAAGAAAACAAATAAAATAAGCTTTTTTTTTTTTTAAAAAAAAAACAAGATTAATTAAAATTTTTAATATCTAGATTGAGAAAAATAATTAGTTGAAAAACAAAAAGTTAGTAATAATTGTAATTTATATTATCTAAATTTGAGATACCTGTAATAAAACAAAAACATGAGAAAACAAATTAAATATGGTGGAAGAGGTGGTAGAGCTACTATGAGACGAGGAAGAAGACAACCACAGAAAATTGAACTCCCAATTGACACAAAGCTAAGTAAACCATGTATGTATTATATAAAATAAAAAATAGACTTTACACTACATCTTTTACTAATATCTATATATTCTATATTTATAAATATAGTATTCACAAATTTAAAACATGTGTTTATAGTTGATCTTTCAAGTTACACTGGTTTAGCATGTAATGAGCTGTTACATCAATTGCTGTTTGGCGAGATTTTGAATGTTGAGGATGTCAAAGTGGTAGTTGTTATGAAAGGTAATAAATAATAAATAATAAAAGAAACAATTATAGTTATTTACTAATCAAATATTATATTAAAGCTAAATTTGCACCACGTTGTCAGTGTGGTATTGGTGAGAGAAATGTAGATACCGCGTTCTATAAGAATAGATTCATTGTCGAGGGTCAAGGTCGTATCGTTTTAGAACCTGAAAAGACAATCTCATCCAAGAAATATCGTGATGCATTGGTCAAGTATATGTGTTCGATTGTCAGCGATCCAGTGGCAATGGTACACGTTCACTCTGAAGACTACATCGATGCTAGTTGCAAAGTCTACTCATTGATCACACCGACCTCTGAAACCAACCAACTACTCTCCTTCTTCAAAATAGGATTCCACTTTAAGTCACCAATTGAACAGTTGGAGCAGCAACCACAGCAACAGCAGCAGCTAACAAGTTCAACCTCTAGTTTTGGTGGTGCTCAAACCGCTAGATCTACACCATCAAAAACAACTAAATTTGGAGCATCTGCTTCAACTCCAAAGAAATCATTGAGTAGTAACAGTAGCATTCCAATCAAGAAGAAAGTGCAGGTCGTTGACAGTGGAAACAACAGCAGAGTTGGAATAGTCGGAAATGAAGCAGATGTCGATACCGTTGTGGAAAAAGTGAAACTCTGGTTGTCAAAGAGAATAAAGAACTGCACCGATATTGTTAATCTTCCAAAGACAAGAGGATCGTTGGAAGCTGCAATCAAATCATTCTGCACACTCTACAAGGAGAGTGACATCCAAACGATCTTGAGCATTCTCTACGACAGTGGCGATATCAATATGTGTATGGTGTGCCAGAGTTGTCGTCCAACCAATCCTGGTGCTACCACTTTCTACTTTACTCACAAGCGTGTACCAGAATATCTTTTGGAGCACTGCCACTCCATGATGTCAATGATCAATACACTGTTCACCAAGAACAAAGAGCAACCAATTCAGCTCAACACTCTTACAGCCTCGGCTTTCAAAGACAAGGTATTCGTCAACGAACAGGCAGTCGTAGACAAGTTGATACAATCGGAATATTTGAAAATTATTGTAAATAGCAATGATACCACTACTCTCAATGATAGCGGCAGTAGATATGGTGGTTATGATTATAATCAACAACAGCAACAACCACAACACAAACAAAAATTGGAATACACAGAGATTTCAAGACAAGCAGAAAACCAAATCGATAGTTTTATGGATAAACTTGCAGGGTTGGTAGTGAATGATGCTGAAGTACCAGCAGCAATTATAGAAACAGGACCATTGCCTACCGATGATATTCCACCAGTGGTCGAGATAACAGAACAACCAAATATTTCATGGGATAACAACTTAAGTGTTTTTATCAACAACAACAACAACAACAACAATACACCAACTAAATCACCAACAACCTCAAAGTATAAATACTTTTCAAACTCACCAAGCAGAACACCAAAAAAAGATTTCAGTTTCTTTTAAACAAGTGGAAAAAAACTTAATTAATTTACATATTTTTAATTTATATTTCTAATACACTATAATTAAAAAATAAATAAATAAAATATCTTTGTATAATAAAAAAAAACTGAAATTTCAGTGGTGTGAAGCCCCAAAAAATAAAAAAAAAATAAAAAAAAAAATACAAAAGACGAAAAAAAGGATCACATGATCGTAATGATGATAAACTATCATTTTTTTTAATATCCTCTAATTTTTTTTATTTTATATTTGCAATTTTGTATATTATTTATATTTTTTTATTATATTAATATAGTATAGTAATATGCAATCTTTAAATAGATCGATTTTAAGATCTGTGTTCAACAGTCAGAATAGAAATGCCAATTCTGTGAGGTCAACTTCGAATTTGATTTTCAAGTCATCATCATCAGGTTCAACAATGTTGTTCTCAAACAATTTGGTTTCCAAAAGTGGAATCAAGATTAGAAATTACTCTACACCAAGCAACAACAACAACACAATCATTGAAAATCCAATAAATACATCAGGAATCAATTCCACTTCCGATATCAATGTCTCACCGAATCTCGTAGAGATGGTAGAATCTTTACCACCACCACCCAACCCAATCGTAGAGGCAATCGGAAATTTCAATAACTCAATCATAGAGTCTTTCAATCAGTTCTCTGTGAACACCGGTATCCCCTGGTGGCTTTGCATTGTCGGTGCAACCGTCGCACTTCGTTTCGTCATCCTTCCATTCACCGTCAAAACTCAACGTAGTCAGGTCAAGATGCAAAAGGTTCGTGAAGAGATGGAGAAAAACGCCCACCTCAACGATGGAACCATGGAAGGTAGAATGAAAATGGCTTCACTCCAATCGGAACTCTCAAAGAAACACGGTGTCTCTGCACTCTCAATGATGGGACTCGGTTTGGCACAAGCTCCATTCTATATTTATTTCTTTGTTCTCGTTAGGTAATAATTAATTATATTTAAATTTCCTGTTTCGTTCTTATATTCTTATAATACTTTTACAAATGCTTTTAGATCTGCATGTATGGATTTCCCACAATATGTATCGAATGGTGGTGCACTATGGTTTAAAGATCTCTCTGTTATGGATCCAACCTATATCTTACCTGTGGCATCTTCATTTTTGCAGTTGCAAAGTGTCAGAATGAGTTTTAACGAAACAACACCATTGATTATGAAGATTATTTTCAATGGTCTATGCTTTGTGCCATTGTTTTTCACTTTGAAGTTCGCAGCAGGTCTTAATGTATACTGGTGTATCAATTCATTATTGTTCGTCATTCAAAACTATTTATTCAAACAAAATTCAGTCAAGAAATTCTTTAACATTCCAATCGTCGAGGAATCTGCAAAGAAAACAATCCAATTTGCACCAAAGACCGCAGTCACTCTTCCAGAGGATATGATCAAGGCTCAAAACGCAGAGAAACAAAAGAAGATCGAAAAATTGAAGCATGAAATCAGTACCATCAGACAAGCAAAACAGAAAGCAATGGATGAGAATTTCGGTGGAAGAAGAAAATAAATTATAATAATAATAATATAAAAATCGATTTATTAAATAAATAATATAATTATATAATTTAACAACAACACCTGATGGTAATAATATCTAGATATCACCTTTTGGAATAGGGTTTCTGACAAAAGATTATTTTTTTGATTGTAACTTTTGTGATTTTTATAACCTTCAGCCCATTTTTTTGATCAAAAGCCACCAAAAAATTTTGATCTTTTTTTGATCAACATCGCGGTTTATTTTTATTATTTGCAACAAACCATTTTACTTTTTCTTGTTTTATTATTTATATTATATGTACAAGAAAATGAAATTAATTTTAAATTTATTAATTTTCTTTGTATTTTTACAATTTGTTAATGCAGCTCAACAACAATATCAATATGGAATTAATGGAGGATATTATGGTTGGTCAGGAGAGAAACAAAATCAATTATATGTAGAAGTAAATGTTTATTTGAAGTTTATTAAAATAACTTTGTTAACTAATCAATTATTTTTCAAGGCTGGCATTCAATCAGCCAGAATGTTATTCCCATATTCATTCTTTGAACAATGGGGTATGAGAATTCTCATTGATAACCATAGTTTTAACAAATCTCTAGGGATGACTGATTATGTTGCTTTTCTCACCTACAATCAATCGGCAGGTGTCTACACTCTTCCAACATCTCTATACGAACCGATCTGGAGCAATGGACAGGTAAATAAAAATAACTTATGGGCTGTTTTTATTAACCAATCTGTCAGTACCTACAAGGATTACATGTAATTAATTTAAATTTAATAATTTATAATATAAGAAACTAACAAGAAAACACTAAAAGAACTTTACTTGAAATTTGGAACGAGCCTGACTTTATAAATGATTGGAGATATTCTCTTACTTGGTGGAATTCTCCACCAACTGCACAACAGTTGGTACGTTTTGGAGGTGATATCTATACCTATATTAGATTACTAAGAATCACATATGAAGTAACAAAAAGGGTTGCTCCAAGTATCTATGTAACAGTTGGTGGTTTAGGTTATCCACAATTCTTAGATGCAGTATTAAGTAAGTTTCTTTGTTTATGATAAAAAAAAAAACAAATTAAAAAATTTCTAAATCTTCAAAAAATAATAAGGATATACTGATAATAGTGCTGACGGTTTGACTGGTATCAATTATATTGATGCAATGTCAACACATTTCTATCCATATTTGGCAACCAGTAAAACTGATTCCGATTCCTACGTGATGGCATACACCGAACATATCAATGCATTCAAGAATGTATCTAAAACTAGAGGTTTCAAACCTAAATATTGGGTTGTAACAGAAACTGGTGTCTCAACAAAGCCATTCGATAACTACTATGGTTCAGAAGTTCTCCAAAGAAATTACTTTATGAAGTTACCAAGTATTTCTATTATAAATGGAGTTACACAAGTAAGTAGAAATATTATATTATTAAAACAATGTATTATTCTTCGAAACTTATTTAATTATTTTTAATCTTTAATAGAATCATGTTTTTGTAACTGGTGATACTGATAATGAATGGTTTGGTTTGTTTTATAACTTTATTGGTAAGGACTCTGCTAAAATGAAGGATTCTGCTAAAGCTGTTAGATTTTGGAAACAAAACATGTCCAATAGAGTTAGAAGTGATTCACAATCCAATTTGCTGGTTTCACAATTACCAAGCAATGTTGTTGGACATGCTTATGTGAGCTTAACAAATTCGACCGATTTTGTATATATCATCTGGGCAAATTCATCTACCTACAAATACGATGAAGATACACCAAGTGTCAAAGTAACTTTGAAATCATCTGGTGAATACAAACTCATTGATTATACAGGAGCCTACTTTAAATTAGCACCGTTTTCAAACAACTCTGTTACATTTACAGTTGATAGTACTCCAATTCTATGCTATGGTAAATATCTGTCATTAAAAAAAAAAAAAAAAACTAATCCTAATGAATTTTTTATTTTAATAATATTTAGATACTTTCTCAACTCATAATGAAGATCCTGTTAATTCTTCATCCAAACTATATACCATCTTCACTATTTCTCTAATTGTATTATTATTAACCATTAACTTATTATTTAATTTCTAATTAAATGAATGATAAAGTTAATATTTTAACAGATTTTATGTTAAAATCACTATTTAGATTATTTATATAATAATTGTTCTATTTAAAAAAAAAAAAAAAATTAGATCATTTTTAGAATGATAGTGTATCTTCTGGGTGGTGAGTCGGATATGGTTGCTTCAGAAACAACAGTTAAATCTGGATTTCTGGAAGTAGCGATGGTTTTAGTTTACTATTATTAATATTATTATTACTGTTGTTCAATTCGAGACTTGGAATTGATACTGAAGCTCTCTCAACCGGTTTAGTCTCTGGAATAATGATTGGACTCTCCAGAGAATCTTCCAACTGTTGTAATAACAATGCATCGGCCACATTCTCTACCATTATCTCTTTATCATTTGTTGACGTTGTTGTTTCCAATTGTAAATCAGGTACTACTTGCTGATGTTGATGTTGTTGCTGTTGTAATTGTTGTTGAATTTGTTGATGTAACGAGCTTGGTGGTGTTTCCATATCGAATCTTTCTTGATAGAATAATACATGTAGTTTATCATCTTCATCGACAACAGAACTTTGATCGGATATTACATCCAATGTCTCCAATGAACTGTTTATGGATGCTCTGCACGACGGTGGATTGTTATCGACACTTTCATTCAATAGACTACTCTTGGTTACATCCGGTAGTGTTAGAGCTGTCTGATTGTTACTCTTGACATGATCATTATCATCATTATTATTATTGGGTGAAGTACTTGTAGAATGATGTACATCATTTCCACCCATATGGTGAAGTGGATGGCGATGACAGTGGTATCATAACGGATGCATGATAGTTTGATTTACTGGTTGTCATTGTACCCTTTCTCCATGCTTTGTCAATGGCAGCCTTGTGATTGGTGGGTGATGGTGAATTAGAGGTTGGGCGAGGTTGATGAAGCTAAATTGGGTGATGTTGATACGACGACTGATGATATTGGTACAGGTGATTGTTTTTGTTTTAGCAGTAGTAGAAGTATCATGTGTATTATTGTTATTGTTATTGTACTTATTATTTGTTGTTGTTGTTGTTGTTGTTGCTGCTGGAGGTGGAGTTGCTAAAGTTGTTGATGTTGTGGATGTTGGTGGGTTGGGTGAAGTAGAGACAACTGAAGGTGAACTATCAGTAGATGAACCTAGTTGAGAAGGATGTATCATTTCACCAAAGAACTTGTTAAGTTTGTTTATTCTCGACTCTACTACTGGATCGGTGTTGGTATTACTACCATTCTGGTTGTTGCTACTGTTGCTACTTCGTAGAGATACACCACCGCCACCGCTACCATTGAGTGAGTTCTGAACATTCTTGAGTGGACTATTGACAATACCACCACCATTGGCATAGTTGCTGTTGTTGTTGTTGTTGTTGTTGTTCTTGAGTGAAGCAGTCAACAATGACTCTTGAATCTGCACAGAGAATCTAATCTTCTCACCATAGTCTACCTGTTCAGAGTCTAACCATTCACCAATGAATGTTTCAATTCTATTGATCTAATAAAAATAATAAAAAAATGAAAATTCTTTCGAAGGTATCTATTTATATTGGGTGTTTCTTTATCTCTAAAATTTAGAGTAATCGATACAAAGATAAAGTTGGAACATTAAAATCAATAATAAAATATCAATACATAAAGAATTGATTTAAGTTTTTTTTAATATAATAAATCTGATGATTTCTGACCTATAGTTTTTTAGGTATTTCATGTCGATTCGTTGCATTCGACACCCCCCTTTTTTTCCCAACAGTTTTAAATAACCCACACCTTATTATTTTTATTTTTATTTTTGTTTATTAAATTTCATTCATGATTTGATTGCGATGATGTGATTAAACCAACAACTATAAACTCTTTCATCTTATTTTACTAAAATACAAATAATATATGATATACCTATTAGATATATATATATTAAAATATATATATCTATAGATATAGCAATAATATAAATAAAAACATTATGTTTTTTTAAATCTTTAATCCATTTATCTATATTATTACAAGTTTAAATCAAATATTTCAAATAAATAGAAACAATATCAAAAAAAAATGGTAAATAAAAAGTATATTTTTATGATTTTTTTTGTTAAACAACAACTAATTATTATTATTTAAATTATATAATTATAAGACAAAAGATAAATATGTTGATATAAATAATATCGACTTTTTAGATTTGATGAATAGGAAATGGTATCAACAACATTTCGGTACTAAATGGTTTGTAGCTATTAGACATTGTTGGTTGGTAGTAATCTCATCTATATGGGTGTTCATTCCGCATCATTACTATGCAGGTGCTGTTGTGATTGTACCAGTGTTTGGTGTGGTTATTGGTGCTGCCCTATCATCGTGGACTATCATTGCCAATGCTGCTGCGTTGATCTTTGCCAGTATGATTGCCTCGCTGTTCTCAACGCTTCTAACAGTTATAGTGCCGCGCCATCTCTATTGGATTATGTTTATACTGGTGGCGATATTCGTGTTCATCATCACCTCTTTTGCAAATTCGAGACGTTGGCTTACCATCAACACAGTCCGCAAGGTTCTCGTCGATACCTCTACCAATCTATTCTTCACACAGACGATGACCGACCAACAGAAATACGATTTGTTTTGGCAACAGATTGTATGTGCACTCGCACTGCTTGCTGCTGCTATTCTCGTCAATATGGTTATGCCAACACTTGCAAGTCGTATGTTCATCGTGAAAGCCGAGAAAGCACTCCGCTGGATGAAGATCTACTATCGTGGAATCGGTTGTAAACTTGTGGCCAGCAGTGTCGACGCTGCAGTAGCATCTACAAAGAATCCAATGTCAGAGTCGAGTGCAATCGATCAGATTTGGTTGATGAAGCTACCACTTGCAAAGAGAAACAAAAAAACAGAAACTTCCAATGACAATCGTGGTGATGATGAAGATGTAGAGGGTTTAGCTACTACCACTCTGGAGAATAATATCACCGATGACCAATTGAGTGAGATCGAAGTTAGATTAGTGAATGAACTCAACAAGTTGGCTGCACTCTACAGCGAAACCAACCAGGAGCGATGGAACAGTCATTTACTTCCTCTGTACGACAAGCTACTCGCTGATCTCGAAATCAATTTCAAACAATTGATGACATTGAAAATGGCGATCTCAAAGCGTTTCAGTTCGATCACCAGTCGAAAGATCATTGGACCTATGACACCTTCATTAAACCTCATCATTGAGGAGGTGTATCACCAGATTCTATTTATAATGGATATATTAGAGAATTGCTACAAGAAGAGCGATATTTCAAACTCACCGGAAGAAGACAACATCAATGTTCCAACACAATTAAACCAATCGATGTTGGCCACCGAGGAATTGGTTCGTCAATCGAAAACATCGTATCGTCAACTGATTACCGCCTATCAAAATGACAATGTTGAGACTCTCTACCTGGATGACATTACACGTGCTCAGTTTTGTATCAGTGCCATCATGACCATTGCAAAGAAACAGCGTACTCTTGTCAATACAATCTATACCATCAATGAAAATAGACGTCGCTATCCAATTCAGTTTGAGATCCTTATTCATGGTGGATGGTTTATTCTCAGTGCTTTTCCAAGATATTTGTATTCGTTCTTTACCTACTTTAAAAAAGATTCAGAAAACGAAAATAACACTGCATTGTCAAAACTACGGTCAATGTTTATGGAAACGTTTATTTTAAATAATCGTTGGCAATTCCCACTTCAACTTAGTGTTGCCTATGTTTCTTGTTTGGTTCCAATGTATTATATAGATGGCTACAAGATATCCGATTCATTTCTGATAAAGTCATTGTGGGCAGTGGTATCAGTTAGCATCGTTATGGCACCGTCTATTGGTGCAACCGTATCTCGTTTCATTCATCGTCTCTTTGGAACGGTCATTGGTGCAGGTATGGGACTTCTTATCTCTTTCATCGTTAAACTCATTCCAAATACCGTACCATCTCGAGAAGTAGCACTATTGGTTGGTACCTTCCTTTGTATTCTGCCAAGTTCATTCTTTCAACAGAATCCAAAATTTTCATATGCCGGAATGGTAACTGGATTTACCTATATCATCATTGTATTTGCACCCTATCAAACGGGTGTATTCAATGAGATGAATGCTGTCATGCGTACCTTTATGCTGATAATTGGTTTCATCTGGATTATTCTTACAACTTTTATAGTATTTCCATTCTTTACCTATCGTTCGTCCCGGCCAAATCTCTACAAGATCTCACACAAAATGGTTGAATCATTCGGTGATATCGTTAATGGAGCACTACAATTGGAGTTGGAATCTACTCCTGGTGGTGTGGTAGCAATTAATATTGGAAAGAACAGTCAAAAGTCACAAGAGATCGCAGACACTATCAGAGAGGTACGATCTTCAATCACCAGAGAGAAATCGTTGCTGTTGGACATTCGATCGGAGCTTTTATTTAGACCAGGCCGTTCACATCAATTCCAAAACTTTGTGCTTGTCATTGATAGCCTTACCTATCTGTATACAGGACTGGTTGCAACTGAGACCACGCTTCACAATCGATTTAGTGAAGCTTTAATACTATCGATCAGGGATATCGGTGAACCAATACGAATCATTCTGAGTTGTATCAAAAAGATGGATCGACTACTCGGAGAATACTTTTCTTCAAAAAAAAAGATATCGATTGATGCAGAGATACAAGAATTCGAATCAAATATAGCAAAATTCGATCAAGATATCAAAGCATTCTCAATACCATTGATCCATGAACGTGCATGTGCAATCTCTGATGTAGACGAACTATCGATTGCCTCTGAAGGTATCCAATTAGGATCAGCAATTTTCAATATTATTGAATTTGTTCATCAATATAAATATGTTTTGAAAAATTCAATATTAATAAAATAATAATATATATATATATATAGTTATTTGTTTTTTTTTATTTATTTATCTAAATAATTCTTTAAATATTGATTTACTTTTTCTGGGTTTGATCTACCTTTGGTTTGTTTCATGATCTCACCAACAAAGAATTTGAATACTCTTTGTTTACCAGATTTGTAATCCGCAACTTCCTTTGGGTTAGACTCGACAATTGATTTACATAGTTGTTCTAGTGTAGAGTCATCAGAGATCTGTGAAAGTCCCATGCTATCAACCAAAGATTTGACTGAACCACCTTTGTTTTGCTCTTCATCCAATAGTTTCTCTATAATCTCTTTTCCAGTTCTCGATGACAAATAACCTTGATCGACGAGATCTACCAACTCTGCTAGTTGTTGCACTGCCAGTGGACAACGATCGATCGTTTCATTTCTTGAATTAAGCCACTCAAAAACTTCTTTAAGAATCCAAGGCATCACTTTCTTTGGTTGTCTATTTATATTTTTTGCTTTGCCAAATGCAATAACATCTTCAAAGTACTTTACAATTCGTCTGTCCTCTACCAAAACAGTAGCTTCATGTCTTGGAATACTATATTGTGTAACAAGTCTTTCCAACATTTGCTCTGGTAGCTCTGGTAGTTCTGTCGCCAGCTTGTCGATGGTAGATTGCTCGATTCTGAGAGGTGGTAAATCTGGCTCTGGGAAGAATCGATAGTCTACCTCGTCCTCCTTGGTTCTCATGTGGAAGGTTGTTCCAGTGGTTTGATCGTATCCTCTGGTCTCACGAGTGACACGTCCACCCGACTCGAGTATCTCAATCTGTCGCATCGCTTCGGCATCAATTGCACCGGTGATAGCTTTAATCGAAATCATATTCTTGAGCTCTACACGAGTACCGTATTCCTCTTGAGCTTCGGGTCGCACACTAATATTGATATCAGCACGCATCTCACCCAACTGCATATTAGCATCGCTCGTTCCAATGTGTCTGAGTAACTGTTGTAATTGTTTTACATAAAGACCGACTTGCTCCGACGATCTAAAATCAGCTTCACTGACAATCTCCATCAGACCGATGCCCGCACGATTCAAATCGACCAGAGTATAGTTTGATGATTGATCATGTATTGACTTTCCACTGTCTTGTTCCAACTGAATATGTGATATTCTTATATTATGTTGTCTACCATCTTTTAAATTCAACAATAAACTTCCATTCTTTACAATTGGCTCTGAATTTATAAGTTTCACAAATTTATATATTAGCGTTGTTAATTTACTTATTAGTTTTTATTTTTAAATGAATAACTTACGATGATATTGAGTTATTTGATAACCTTGAGGTAAATCTTGATAGAAATAATGTTTACGATCGAAATAAGAGTGTTGATTGATGGATGCACCAATCGATAGACCTGTCTTGATTGCTTGTTCAACGCATTTCGCATTGAGTACAGGCAGTGTACCTGGGAATGCAGCATCTACATATGATACTCTACTATTTGCTATACAACCATCTAAACTTCCAACATTTAAACTATCTGGTAATTTGTATTTATAATATATATCTATATTAATTAAATGATCATCAACTTAACAACAACCAATAATAATCATTTTCAATGATTCATTTCAATGATTTCATACCAGAGAATAGTTTTTCTTTTGATTTTATCTGTGCATGTATCTCTACACCAACAACCAATTGATAGGAATTGTTATTACTCGTCTTAAATAAATCATTCTTACTATTGAATTTAATATTATTATTATGTGTCTGTGATGATGAAAATGATGTATTGCTATAATGATTATAAGAGATTCTATTCAAACCATATCTAGTATAAAGATTAATGGCTTTTTTAAATGAAGTCAACATCTTTCACTTGAACTACAAAGTGAAAGTTTGAAAAAATTAAAATTGAGCAGTATTGGGAACATTATTTGTTTCAAAAAAAAAATAAAAAAAAAAATTCATTTTCCCACAAACCAGAATCTGTGAAAGAATTTCACAAAAATACATAAAATCTTACATGATGTATTTTATTTCATTGCAAGTGATAAAGATACTTTTGTTTCTTAAAACAATCAGATTATCTTTCAAAAAAAAAAAAAAAAATCATATCGTTTTTAAAAAAAAAACTCCCCATTTCACCACAAATCTACCCCCTACTTTCACATTTTTCTCTTGTTTATGTGGTCATTTTTGTTGTAACGAATAATTTTTATATGTTTTTTTTTGCAACTGATTGAAATCATTAATTTTTTTATATTGTATATTTATTTTTAAAATTATTATTATTTTTTATTTATTATTTGACACATATATCTGTTTGTTATTATTTAGTAAAATTACATATTTGTATTATTTATATAAAAGATTGATTGTACATCAAAGATCTATCGATTGTGAAAAGAGAGTGTACATATTTCAACAAAAAGAGAGATGTATATCAATAACTGGATTATGCTCTTTATTGAGCTGTTCGGTGTTGGTGTTGTCGTGTTTATAGCAATGAAACAATATATATCGTTCAAGAGAACTCCGTTCTATGCAATGTTCACTGCATTCCTTGGTTGGTATTTATGTTTCAATATCGTATTTCTAGTTCCTCTTGATATCACTGCTGTATGTAATCAATCAACTATGAAATAAATAATAAATATATACTAAAAATAATTATTATTATCTTTATTTTAATTTTAAAACAAAAAAGACGATTCATGGAGAATGTTTAGTAAAAGCAAATGATACATGTACCATTAATAATACAACAAGCTGTGAAATTAATAATATGTGTCCAGAGCCAATCAGTTACTTACCAGATGTTATTGTTGTCAATCAGTGGCGTATTCTCTATTGGGGAACGTTTGTGTTGTCTTGGCTGATCTTCCCGATTCTTCAAACGTTTTCGGGCACAGGAGATTTCCGTATTCGTGAACGTCTGCTGCGTGCTATCAAAGAAAACATTATATTGTACTGCTTTATGGGTATCGTTGGTCTGATAACATTGATTATAATTCTGGCGATGCGTCTCCAGGCATTGGCGACACTGGTTCAGTCAACCTTTATCGTTTTGAATGTCTACGGTCTGGTACTGGTCGTTGTGACAATGGGTTTCGGTTTGGTGGACGTACCGCGAAACCTTCTACGAAAAGGTGACTACTATAGAACATTGCGTCACTATCGTGTGCATGCATTGGAGTTGAAAAACGAACTCGATGAATCCACCAAGAAACTGGAGCATCACTTGCGTCTCATTAAACAAACATCGGATCGTGCCGGAGAATATCATCCATATCGTCCATACCTCGATATCATTATTTCCAAATGTCCGTTGGAGTTTGACCAGGTCGACACTGAAGATATGTCAGAGGCAAGCGATGAAATTACCTATTCAAAGGTTGTGGAGATGCATGCCAATCTCATGGATTTCACACATCAGGCGGAACGTGCTGATACATCATATAAAAGACTACTGGGTAAAGCATTCGCCACAGAAGATATTATAGCTACATTGGAGAAGCCATCCGACCTGAGATCCGGTAAGATCGAATGGAGTTTCAAACAGACATCAAGTAATCCTACAAAAGCTCGTTGGGAATACTACTGGCATCTCTATATCTACCCCAACTTTTACAAGGCTTTGGGTGCACTCGGTGCCATAATGTCACTACTAATTGTTTGGGCTGAAATTTCAATGGCCTTTTCTTCAAGTAATCTAGCCAACGTGAAATCACCATTTGCAATGATTATTAGAAGTACTGATGCATGTAAATATTACTAAATAATTTATACTATACAAAAAAACTAAATATCTAACTATCTCCTTTTTTTCCTATTAAAGCAATGAATGGATTAGGATTACAAATATTTTGTTTCATTCCATTGATGTATATGGCGATATGTGCATATACAACATTGTTCAAGATTAGAATTTTCAATTACTATAGATTGGTTCCACAACAACAGACCAACTCGCTTAGTATTATGTTCAGCTCCAACTATTTAGGCAGATTGGCAGCACCACTCTCTTACAATTTCCTGCAGATCTGTGGACTGACTGGCAGTAATTTTAACAGTGCCATGGGTGATATGAATGCATTTGCTCTCAATAACTTTAACAAGTATTTCCCATTCATCGTTGTGTTTGTGTGTTTAATTCCATTGTTTCAGATTCATACACGTCTTGCGAGTATGTGCTGCATCAAGTCGATGCGTGTCACCACCGACAATTCTGAAGCCGCTGCCGAACTGGGATCCAAGATTCTTAAAGAGGTGCGTGAGAATCAGGTCGAGGGTGTACCACCTCCAAAGACAAGAATGTCCATCATCAAAGATATTATCACTGGCAAGAAGTCAAAGAGTGGAAGTGGTTCGCCAAAGGATGGCGCCAGTCAAGAAGTGAAGCGTCCCACCTACAAACCACCTTCATCGAATCGATCAACCGTTATGATGGGACTATCGAGAGATTACACATCCAAGAGTGGAACTACATTCAAATCGACAAAATCTGAAAACAATGCAATTTTAACCATCGACAACAACAACAACAGTGGCAGTAGCAGTTATAAGAGTATTAACAATGATCCACTCATTCCAAAATCAAACAGCAACGCTAGATTGGAATCGAAAGGTATCAACTATTGGGATAAATTAAACTTTAAATATAATCAAGATGATTCCGATGACGATATAGAAATGGGTAAATTTTAATAATACATTTAAATAAAAAATAAAAATATAATAAAATAATAAAAAAAACGAACAAAAACGAAACTTTTTTTGTTTTATTTAAGCAACTACCAGTTATTTTAGATTAATTGTAATCTAATTATAATGGATGTATTTGATGATGATGATGATGATAACGATAAAGGATCAAACTATAAACAATCAAATAAAAGAAAAAAAGATAAAATAGATATAGATTTAGATGTAGAGAAAACAGATACAGATTTAACTTTTAATAAATATGATAATCAAAGTAAAACCAACAACAACAACAACAACAATGATGATCATGATAATAATAATAAAGATATAGATCAACAAATACTATTACCACAAATATCAACAACCGGTAGTAGTACTAATCATTATCAACAACATAGTAATATAAATTGGATGTCAGTAGAGAAATGCTTTCATCTTTTAGTTTCACAGCATAGAGATGAAGAGGCTTACAAATTAATTGACTCTGTACTACACACAGTACCATTACCAATGTATCTGATGTCTTCAATACTTAGATTACTGACAGAGAAAGATTTGGAACTATATAATGCACATCTTAGAGATAATCTTTATTTCCTTCCAAGAGCATTAAGATTACATAAAAAAGAGGCTGTATGTTATTAACCTAATCTTGATCAACTAATATTAATACAACACTAACAATAACAATAAATAGCCACATCAAATGTTAATACATTTACTTTCATGCGATATGTATAATAATGATTTAGACTCTTGTTTAGAACATTCGGAATTGTATGCAAATAAATATATAATCATTATTTAGTATTGTTTAGTAACACTAATTATTTTAATAGGCTTATGCATCAACTAGTTGAAGAAGATTATCCTTTGGTATTTGCATATTCAGGTCTATTGAATTTCATAAAGTGGGAGAGAATGTATAAGGCCATAAATAATGTTTCTAGAATCTATGATCTATCACGTAAACATAAAAAGCACAAAACAGAAACTGATAATAATAATAATAATAATAATAATAATAATAATAATAATAATAATAATAATAATAATTACTGCTCAAACAACAAGAGCAGTAATAAAAATTATAAATCATCTAACAGCAAAGAATCGAAAACAGAAACAACCAAACAAGAACTACAAACCTATTTTGATAGATCTTTTAAAAGGATGAAAGCTGCATTGCATATTTTACCATCATTAGATTATTTAATTACTCCACTTTGTAAAGTAAGTGTCAATCGAAAATTTCAATTCTAGACTATCTACTTTTAACTTACAATCGATCGAATTTCAATATTAGTTATCATTATATCAAAAAGATAAGAAACAATGTCAAGAATTACTCGAGCAATTTCTAATTAATAATCCAACGAATCCAAATGCTTATTTGTTATATGGATCGTTCATGTTGGAACATTATAAGAGTTCAAAGATGAAGGATATCAAACATTGTTTTCTTCAACTGATAAAGTTGGATCCAATGTCAAACTATGCAATTGCAGTTCTAACAGAACTCTACAACGAGAATAATATCGATATTTCATCAATGATGGATCTTTTTTGGAACAGATTTCAATATGTACCTTTTGATACTAATATCTGGTTAGCGTGTACCAATTTATTATTTCAAAGTACTATAATTATACCATCATCCTCTTCTTCAAAAACTTCATCTTCCTCAACCTCATCTTCATCATCATCATCTTCTTCTTCTTCTACAAAGAAATCAATAAGTTTTACAACATATAGAACAGATCCTAAGATTATAAATCAATGGCACACAAATAGTAAGCAGAGATTTTTGGAATTATTTAATTCACCCGCAATTGACTCTTTACATGGTATTTATACATTCATTAAACTTTTAATTATAATGATACTAATTCAACTCTTCAATCAGAACATTGCATAGCCTATAAAATGATATGTTATTATACTATAACTAAAAAAAATGACTATCATCTCGAATTGTTAACTTTTTTAAACAAATCACAAATCCACACAATAAGATATATTTTTAAAACTAAATTCAAGCTTAGATTTAAGGATTTTCGAATAGATATTTAAAAAATTAACAAATAAAAAAAAATTTTTGTCTAAGAACAAATAAATTTATAAAATTGACAATAATCTTTTGGTTTTTTTTTTAAAAGGAACAACCGGTTTGTTCATTTTCAAAAGGGATCAATAAAATACTTCATTAAATCCAATTTGACAAACTTGAAAGTGTGAAGTGCTAAAAGAAAAGTGTTTTGACGGAGAAAAAAAATAACAAGTGATTTGCAGGTTGTTTTAAATTGTAAACAAATGGTCCACTCCTTTTGTAAGGTGAAGTGACTTTTGGAAATAATAAAAAAAAATCGAAGCTGAGGTGGAAAGAACGCATGATCATATTGTTTTTTAGATCTTTTTTGTTTATCACTCCTTTTTTCACGATATTTGCCCGATTCACCAAGACTAGTAAATTAACAAGAAAAGATTAATGGATGATGTGTTCTTGATTTTTTTTTTTTTGGAATGTTTGCAGTATCACTCCACCTTTAAAATTTAAAAATAAGAATTTGAAAAAAAAAATAAAAAAATTCTAAAAAAAAAATTAACGGAGTGACCAAACGATGTGATTCCACTCGACAAACCAAAGTGATAGCCAAAGTTGTCAACAATAATAAATAAGAAATGGTAAACATGTCCAATCCTTTGATAAGCAAGAATATAAATACATTTCACAACATTACTTAACATATAATTTTATTCAAATTTATATATTCTTTACTATAGTACAGTCTAGTTTTATTACTACAACTTTACTTTAAATAGTTTAAAATTATCTATAATAATACCATAAGAAAAATACAGAACCTTTACAACTCTATTCTTTACTATTTTTAGATAATTATTTATTTATTTATTTATTTATTTATTTATTTAATAATAATAAATAATATTTTTTTAACAAACAAAAAATCAATATATAATAATTTTAATAATTATAATATTTTAAATATATAACAATTATTTATTTATAAAATGTCAGATCACGGTCATAGTCACAGTCATGGATCAGAGGATTGCGAGGGTCAATTGCTCGACGATTATAATCAAGCTTTACATATTGGATCGATTTTCATTATATTAGTTGCATCGTTTTTGGGAACTGCCATACCCATTGTTTCGAATTTCATAAAAATTTTAAATATTCCTAAATATATTATCGTTCTTGGCAAATGTATGGGTGTCGGTGTCATTCTGGCGGCAGCGCTCATTCATATGTTATTACCAGCCAATGCGTCATTGTCATCACCATGTCTACCAGAGACTTTTACCGAGAGTTACGAAGCTTGGGCCTTTATGTTTTGCGTTACCGGTGCTATTGCCATGCAACTTATCGATTTCCTGGTGCTCCAATACATCCAACACCGTACCGTAGAGAAGCGTGCCACCCACCCCGATCCAGAATCACCAACTCCCATCGATTGCGGAAAGTTGGATGAGTCCACCGATACCTACGAGTTACAGACCGTTGAGGTTCACAAACACGGTGGACACGGTCACTCTCATGGTGGATTCATTTTGACCAACAGCGAGCTCAAGACTGTAGAAGCCTATATGCTCGAGTTTGGTGTCACCGTCCACAGTGTCTTCGTGGGGCTTGCTATTGGTGTTGCCGACGACACCTCTTTGCGTGCACTTTTAGTTGCTCTTTGTTTCCATCAATTCTTTGAGGGTCTTGCACTCGGTGCCAGAATCAACGATGCCAAAGCCTCACGTCTACAACAATTCATTCTTTCAATGATTTTCTCCATCTCCGCACCAATCGGTATTGCAATTGGTGTAGGTGTCTCCAGTACATTGAACACCAACGGTGTATCTTTCTTGTTTGTACAAGGTATTTTCGATGCAATCTGTGCTGGTATCCTCCTATATATTGGTTTCAGCATGTTACTCAAAGATTTCCCAGAGGATATGAACCTCCACTGCAAAGAAAAGAAGCATGAACAACTACGTAAAGCCGGTATGTTTGCTGCACTTTGGGTAGGTTCTGGACTTATGGCTTATATTGGAAGATATCTATAGATCAATTAATTACTTTCGATAAAAGGATTAATTAAAAATAAAATAAAGATGTAAATATAAATTATATAAACAAAAAAAGAAAAAAAAAGTATTATTATTATATGATTCGATGATCTATAAGTTAAAAAAGAAACTTTTATAACTCTTAAACTTAATGAACATACATTCTAGTTGGAAAGATATTCAATCTATTCTTTCCTGACATTCTTTGTAAAATATATTTGATGTTACTTGATTTATTCAACTTTAATTAAAAAGGTGGTGCAGTTGCAAAATTATGTATTCTCAAATTGTAATATGTAACATTGTTATTCTTAGAAATCTGTATAACTAGAGTTATAGATAAATAGATAAATATATAATATAGATAGATAGATAGAGATAATGATAGTTTAGATAAAGATGTAAAGTGTAGAATATTTTTACTTTTTTGACCTCAACTTAATAAGCTTCAAGAATAAAACATTGATATTATTTAATTAAATAACTCAATTTATCTGTTTTTTTTTTAAATGTTTTTCTATTTTTTATTTTTTATTTGGTAATTTTAATGGTGAAGAAAAAGGTTCATTCTCTCCTGGTACTTTAAAGTTGATTTTTCTTCCAATTTGATAGATTTGGTTCAATACTTCATCAAACTCTTTATTCTCTACCAATTGTAAATACTTTTTATACAAGTCCATTGCCTGTAAGTGAATGATAGAATTATACTTATTAGTACCAATAAAATTATAAAGATAGTTTGTTGATAACTTACTGTCCTAGCATCTTCTATACTACAATGAGTTTCAGTTTGAATGTCAATATTCAGCAAAATGTATGCCAAGAAACGAAGTGATAGCTTTCTCTGATTCTTTAGTTGGAAAAGTTCGACAGTATCAATGATTTGCTCTGGTGGCACATAGATATTGATGATTCTGAAATCCTTTTTGAGTCCGTGACCTACAAACAATACCTTTTGATCCGCTAGGTATCTGAGCTTGAGGTAACACGATTTCAGGGTGATCAAATTCTTGGAGCTTATCTTTAGGTCGAGATCACCTGGTTGAATACCAGAGAATCGCGTCAGATAGTCTGTGACTGGTTCAATCGATTGGATGTAGTCGTCGAGGAACGACTCGCCATTCTCACGCACTAAACTAACACGAGCCAAACTAAAGTTTCCTGGTTGAATGATAACACGTTTACCATCGCTACTGACTTCGGTTTCCTCTGGACCAATCGAAACAAACTCGGTATCGATGGCAACGAGATCGCCTTCCTTTGGTAGGGTTGCAATATGTGGTGGAATAAAAGACATTGGGCCTTTGGTTGTGATTAAATTGTTGGCCATGTAGGTCTCTTTGGTAATTGGATTGCGTTCAAGTGGAACAGGTTCAATCTCCTCTTCATAGCCAACTTTACGATAGAACAAGATCACTGGTGTCTTCCATGTGGCATCAAAGTGGGCTACATCATTGATTGAGCATGTCTTTACTTTGAAATCGTTGAACAAATAGTATTGCGATGGATTTTCTTTGTCATAGAAATCGGATACCTGAATCTGTGCAACGAGGTGTCCTTGCTTTGGAATTCGCTTGACCTGATCTTTAATGTGTGAAATCGATGACACCAATTCATAGAGTTGTCCGTCATCGGTAACAGGATCTATAAAGTTTACTGGTGTGGTTGGTGAGCTGGTTGATGGTGTTGTTATTGTTGTATTGGGTGAGTTTGGTCTGTTACTATTGTTGTTGTTGTTATTGTTGTTGTTGTTACTGTTGTTATCTTTATCTTGTTGCTGTAATAAATCATTGGAATATTCAATTACATTAAATTGTTGGGTAGTGGATTGTTCGTCGATCTTTAGTCTAATCTTCAATGGTAGCCAAGTGGTTTCATTTTCAAAAGTGATTTCATTGGGATTGGAAGTGTCACCCGGTGAATTACCACTGACTGGTTTGACACCAGGAATGCTGTTGGAGATGAATTTCCAGTAGTCTTCATATTCTTTTTTGGTTGCATTGGCATTCAAACACAAAATGTTTGGTAGTGTTTTAGGTGTCTTTTTCTGTATGGTAGCAAAGTAGTTCTGACATTTCTCGCACCATGCTGGTGTCTTGATCTGTTTGGAAAGACTGGTACGCAATATGTTGGCAAAGGTCGGACCTTCAGGGCCAAGTTCCTGAACAGTAGCGGGATAGACAATATCAAATTGAAAATGATGTGAAGTCTTTTCATATTGATATCCACAATTGATACATTTGTTTTGTGAAACTACAGTGGAGCCAAACAATGTATTGATAATTGAGTCTTGTTGTGGTTGGTTTTGGTTCTGTTGTTGTTGTTGTTGTTGTTTGTTGTTGTTATAAATAATCGATTGTTGTGGTTGAATTATAGTTGGTTGAGGATTCAATTCTTTATGGATCTGCTCCATTAGGAATCTATTGAAATAGGTAATCAAATGAGAGAGTGGGAATGGTGCTTCAGGTTGTTCTTGTGTCAAACATAATCCAAATGACTCTGTTTGTGGGAACTGCTTTAATACTCTTAAAAAGTTACTGGTTTCAACAATATTTGATTTTTGCATCATATCTATAAAAAAAAATTAATTATTTGCTTTAATAATATTTCAATTATACATATAAACTTACGGAAAATGAATCCAAGTTCACAAGATAAACAATAATTCTTTGAACAAAGATGATTTAAAAGTGAATTTCTTATATGTGGAATGAAATATAAGGTTTGAATACAACAGTTGGAATAGGTGTTGATAAGAGTATTCTCTAAACCTGCAAACTGTGTCTTGTTATATATTCCAACATCAAACTCTTCAAATCCAACCTTTGTAAATTTAATATCCATCCATCTATATGCTTTTGGTGGTCTAACTTGTGTAATAGATGACTATTTATCGAGAGAAAGAGTTAATATAAAATTAATAATATTAATTATTAATATAACATACTAGAGTTAAATTGGTTATTGTCTTTTGAGATTTTCCATCTTCATAAGTCTTTGAACGAATTTGTTTTCTTGAAATTCCAGTGTTTGTAATATATCCTACAAAGTCGTGTTGTTTCAAATGCGCTAAAAGTGATGGGTTCAGTGGACGTTGGGGTAGTCCAACCGGATATGATAGTGTTGGTTTCCAGTAGCTTGCAAGTTGTTGGTCTGGTTGATCCTGGAAGAATGGAACATATGATAGTGGCCAGTCGTCCTCCATTCTCTTTTGATGTTGGAAATGTGGATATTCAGCTGTTTCCAGTGGGTAGGAGTTGTTGTTGACACGAATATTTTCTTTTTCTGCCCACTGATGAACTAGGTTTCCTGCGTCTCCAAAAGCCATAATGTCACCGCTTGACGAGATATCGAACGATAGAATGTAACCATAGAGTGAGTCGATATGGAAGTACTGAGAGTTGGCAGTTGCTGCAGAGACAGTGTCCTGATGAATATCGGTGATTTGGATCTGTCCAGAGGCATCCGATACAATGGCAATCGATTGGTAATACTTTGGATGGAATCGAACCATCGAAGGACGTTTATACTGGATGGGTGGAAGTGGACGTAGTGATTTGATGTCGAATACTTTGACGATCGAGTCAGAGTAGAGTTGTCCGTTGCGTGAGGTACAACCACAAGATACCATGATGTCGCCTTTGATATCCATGCTTCGTACGTCTGCCTTGTGTGCAGAGAGTGAGTGTTCGATTCGCCATGTTCTTGGATCGAGCATTGAGATGTCACCATTGGACTGGCCACACCACACACCACGCGCCAAACTTACAGACTTTACGCCGCTTGGCATTTGAACCTCACGTATCACTCGACCCGTGTAGAAATCAATGACATGCAACACTGGCTGATCTGAACAGACAACGATTTCGGTATGGTCGTGCTTCGAGTAGCATGCTGCATTGAGATCTTTCATCTTATCGTTCTTTACCGCGAAAATAGGAGCACCGCCACGCGAGTGGAAGTTGACAGTGTTGACACCTACAGACAAAACACCTTCGAAATCAATAAGCATATCTTTGATGGGGATGTTAATATTGCCAGAGGGAGCTGCGCCAAAGAAAGATGAGTGACGTTCCATGTTTGGATTGATGAGCGATGTAACCTTGCCATTCTGATATCCGACCCAGAGCAACTCTGTCCACGGATCGAACCGCATTGCTGTGGGTGCGTTTGGTGCTGATTGACTGGTGGCATCGTATTCCTGTTCCACTCTCATCTCAAACCAACTCTCTGACTCTGGATAGTATTCGCCAGCCGAGTTGTGGTCGGCATAGATAGATTGCATTGGAACGACACCGTTTGGTTGTAAAACTGGTGATGGTACTGCAACCATCGTTGGATCCATTATGTACGGGTGAAGAGAGTAGCCACTCATAGCCACAGGTTGACCAGGTTGATAGACAGTTCCACCATGATGATTGTAATGTGTATATAAACCTACATGCTGTTGTTGTTGTTGTTGTTGTTGCTGTTGTTGTTGTTGTTGTTGAGCAGCAGCTGCTGCTAAAAGTTGTTGTTGAAGAACAGAGTAGTATGGTTGTCCGCTTGGTTGAAAGATACCAGCTGACTGACTCAGTTGAGTCAATTTACTGCCGCTACTACTTCCACTTGATGATGTTGATGATGACATTGATCCTGATTGATGTTCATTACTCATTCTATTAAAAAATAATCTCTTTTTTTTTTCGTTCTTTTCTCTTTTTTCTCTTTGTTTATCAAAAAAATTATTTATTAAAGAGTATTTATTATTATATACATATAATTATTTTGGATAATTAGTTAACAAACATCTCTTTAATAATATTAAAAACCCAAAATATAAAAAGTTGATAGTCTTAATATATAACTTTTTTTTTCTTTTATATTACTCTTTAAAGTAATGAAATCTCAACAACGAACTTAATAATAAAAACAAAGTAATAAAAATAAATATAACTTTTTGTGATGGATTTTTTTGAAAAAAAAATAAA